GTCACTGCGGCGGTGTGCAAACTAAAAAAAAAAAAAAAAATAAGTAGCGTTTCAAAATCTGCAGCGGACAAGGGCAACACTTCCTAATTGGATTCGTATAACTTAGAAAATAATTATTATATCTTTCCACACTCCTTTCCAGAAAAATAAGAGATCTTTGGAAAATCCCCAGCCCTGACCTTCTCTTATATGTCACTTTTTTTCTTCTTTTCTGTCACCGGTCCACACCGACTCCGAGTAGCTGACTCCACCGGCAAACACAGTTCGCGGCTGGTAAGGTTCCCTTGTTCGCTTTAACGAAAACGTCCCTTGAGAATTGGCGGGGACCTGCACCGCGGAACCCGGCGAGGCAGGAACGATCGAAGCAGGCAAATCGCAGTGCATTATATTCCTTCTTTTTCATCTCAGGTGGTACGGCAAAAGAAGAAAAATATCGATGCTTTTTTAGCCACTCAAGTGAAGTATCCGCTTAAGTTTAATTGCATGCGTCAGGGGTGGGTAGTAAAAGGACTCCTTTTACGATCCTTGGCTGTGTTACAGATATTTTTACGTGTTTTAGATTCTTGGTAAATCTGGGGTAAGGTGACTTGGTGGGGTGGCCTGGGCAGAATCCTAGCTTGTTTCGCACTTTTCCCCTGGCTTTCCCAGTTCCACTCTAAACTACAATTGGACGGTACAATTCCTCTACTATAGACTAAAACACAATTTGTTCGCTCGTTTACCATGAACAACGGCTTCTGGAAGCTTGTTTGAGAAGGCTGTGTTTCAATTATTGTTTGCCTTGTTTGCCTGCCTTTCTTGTCTTCGTATCGGCTCCTCCCGAAAGGGATGGCCCACATTCTCTGCCATTGTCAGCTTTGGTTGTCCCAGTTTCCCTGCTCGTTATTGTTCTTAGTGGGCTTGGGCCATTGGTCTTCTTCTATGCCTTGGACAATCCTTCCATGGACCCTTTCTTCTTTTCTTTTTTCTCATTTCGATCTTTGTATTTTGGCTTTATCTATCTACCCTTGCATCCTTGTCACCCTTCGTAAATCACGTATTGCTGCAAATGTCACAGCTGCCTTGCGTTGACACACTGTACCAATTGAGACCCTTCCACATTGGGCCAATCTTAATGATCACTGCCTTTTTTTTTTTGTCTTTTTATTTTACTCGGCAGTGCTTCATCTAGAATGGGCTTTGGCTAGCCACTGCCTTCTTGCTCCCCTCCTCTTTAACGGTTAAACTTAGAGAATTCTTCTTGAAAATCACTCGGCGTTTCCTTCCATTGCTGGTATTCGGCAATCGCCAGAAACCGATACAAAAGACCCTGCAATCCACCTTACAATATGCTATTGTTCATTTTCGTATCCTTGATTAGTCGAAGCGCCGATCTGGGCTACTTCACCTGGCAACCATGTCATCTTAGATGCTTCCTGTTTGGGTTCCTTGGCCACATTGTATAGTTTATGCTACCAGATTTCTTGAAATACAGTTACGGCCACTGTAAGTGACCATATCAGATCTACAACGACCACAGCACTTGATACGGTCCATCCCTGATTTTCCTCTCCACCAACTACTAGCCCGTGTTTCCATACATACACAATGAATATGGTCACCAAGTAAGGGCAAGATGTTCACTTCAACAGAACTTCCAAAAAGAAAACCCTCCTAAAAGGGGAACGATCTAATCTTCTATACATTAGTCCAGGATCTTCCATTCCGCAATTTGCTTTTTTTGATCCCCTTCTTGACATGTTCTCGAACCCGAGCTACATCTTCAAAGCCCCCCTCTCCCCTTGTAATACTCTTCTCCCCTACTGTTTCTTCCCCTCCTCCAAAGGGCTTGTGCCTGATAATTATGATCTTTGCTTACATTAGCTGGCAACTCTGAGGGGAACTAGTGGCTGTTACAAAGAAAAGTCATCAATTGCTGTGGTAGATTGCCGTGAATGCCTCTCTGTTTGTCAATGCATAGTGTTCAGCAGCACATACCAACGCCTCGTGTAACATATTGCTCCTCCGTGGATAGGGTTCTCGGCGTCCGGAGATTCTTAGGCAACATGCACAGATTATCATCTGCTTCAAGCCTCTGGTCCATGGCTTTGAAAATTTTCATAGACGCATTTGGCAAAAGGGTCCCATTTTGCATTTGTTGGTGCTTCTGACTACTTTGGGGATATATGCAAGGGTCATTACGTTCCAATGATACCTTGATTTGTCAGAGGCTCCTGGGAATATTGCCGTATCACCAATGGGGTTTACTCCTCGAGGCTTTCTTAGTGCCTTGTGGCTATGGACCCTTGATAACCCTCCAATTCATTTGGCATTGGTACAATCATTGGAGGGGATGCCACCAGGGTCATTCAAAAGGTATAGGTGGCAAAGAACTCGGCTCTAGCTGCCCTGAAGCTCACTGGAGTGATAGATCACAGTACGGATAGTCATCTTTGGCACGTTTAAACGGCCCTTAATTCCTTCTTTTGCCGGGGTTTTGTTTTTTTTTTTTTGACCGATTCTCTATTAGTAGGATGCCAAAGAGGATTTCTCCCCCTTGACTACTATACAGCTAACTAAACACTGTTTTGGCATTTTTAGCCTGCAGAAGTTTTTAGAAAGCCAAAATGGAGCTTAGTATGATTTTCTTGATCATTTAGGTTGGGTTTGAGCGGATTCATTAAATCGACTTATTAAACCCACATTCCTAACATGTATAAAGTGGCTCTGTGGCCGAGCGGTCTAAGGCGGCAGACTCAAGTTCTGTTATCGTAAGATGCGCGTGTTCGAATCACGCCGGAGTCATTATTTTTTGCTTTTTATCTACAATTCAGGTGAATTCACTTTACTTTTTGCATTAAATATTTCGTTTTCCTTTTATCCTTCTTCTACCTTCCAGCTCTTGGTGCAAAGTGCACGTTTGCTGCTCTGGCCACAGCTAACAGGTTGGTGAGAACTGCCAATCGTGAGGAAACCAATTCTAGATCTCCTCCTTTACTTTCTGGAGCAGATGAAAGCTTATTAGCTAAGTACACCAAGTCCCTTTCTGCATCTGGTGATAGGTTATCGGTAGCTAGCAATTGCCTCACTCTGTGTTCAAGTTGCTCCAACGAGTATACCACCGCTTCTTCAGATACCTGAGTCAATTCTGGTTCGTCTTGGGTATAATTAGCATGGGAATGTAGTGTACCAGTAGCAATGGTTTCTGTACTTTCTGCTAGGATGGTAAAGGGAACAGGTGTATGGTTTGATGATGCAAAACACTGGACGTCCTTTTCTTGGAACAAGACATAAATAGGCGGTAGTCTGTCCCCATTCTGCCTGAAATCATCAATTGCAGCTTGTGGAGGTTTTCCATTTATCAGGTAAAGCCCCACCAACGAAGCAGTAGGAGATACAGCCAGTAGTAACCTGAGTCGTTTATTTAAGTTATCGTAGTCTATGGTCAGACCCAGCCATTTCAATTCAAAGACATCTGCAACAAGCAATCCATCTTCACTTTCAGAACCCACTAGAACGCCAGCGGCAGTCGAGTTCCGTGATATCTGGTCCAGGATAGCATACAATGCTGTGGCTCTTAGTTGCACTAACATATAGATAGTAAGGTAGAATGCGTTTCCAGAAGACTAAATGAGACGATGTCGAGTCACGTGCAATAATTTGGCAATCTAGCGAAGAAAACCGAAGGATATGTACTTTTAAATGGATTTTGAGTGGTGAATTGACTCTTTCCTTCAAATTGGCTTCACTTCTGAAACAGAGTAAAGCAAGTGTTCAGGTCTGATACCTCCTATCGATATGTCTCACCATGTCTCATGTCTCATAACCATCATCAAACCCTTGTGCGACATTACCCTTTTTATCCCTAATGATGATAAGTATTAGATAAGGTGGCAAACGTGGAAAACTTAGTCATGACGGTCATCCCACTAACTGAATATCTTATCACAAGCATGATTTATCTCTTGATTATTTTTTTTTTACATTGTTTCTTACACCATTGGCTGTATATCCAACAGTTGTGGCTTCGATGAGTGTGCATACAGAAAATGGTCCCTATAGAAAAAAAAAAAAAAAAAAGTGGTTCTCTTCTCATCCCTACAACCATGATCATGTCTGTTCACGAGCCTCTAAGTAGGAAGCGTGCTCTAGGTTCAGACAGTGTACTGGATGTGAAAAGACATTGCCCGGACATCGATCATCCAGAGGCTTTCTCTGACACAATGTATACGGTACTTGTGAAGAGCGCCCTTGAAAACTTAGAAAAGGTATGTTTCCAACTCATTTGCTACAGCTGCTCCTTGCCACCATTATGAACTCAGAAACTAACTTTCAGAACGATACAATGCAACTAAACTCACTCACGGCCAAGATCAACTTCCCCCTTTCTCATAAGGAGGCCATGAGCTTGTCTAATCTTAATATAGTCTTGAAGAGTCTTATAGTAAATATTGCCAAGCTAGATAAATCGGCTTGTGCGCCACTCATATCTGCTATTATACGCTACCCATGGTTGGATGTCCGTGTTCCGGAATCTACCCAGGGAAAACTTGCATTCCACTCGTTTGTGGACCTTTACTCCCAGTTCCTCACGGTGCTCAGTTCCTCCATCCCCAAATACCTGTCGGAGGTGATTCAAAAGCTTATAAACGAGTTCCCAGACTTGAGCTCAGACACATACCCCCACCACAAGGTGCTCAAGCGCCTCATTGCCTATTCCCCCACTTGCATTAATATCATCCCTCATGCCTTGAACGCCACTTCACCCCACCATGTTTCATCCTCCACAGCAGATATAACAAACTTTGTTAAGCATTCGGTTACCATGATTACTTACTGCCCAGACTTGCAGTACTCCATATGGCAGCTGGTGATTGAACTTTGCATCAAGTTGGATGTCGACTTGCAAAACGAACTCGATGACCTAGACGATGACAGTATCGAGGAGCTCATTAATGGTGAAGATAGCGACAATGATAACGTCGTTGATATGGATGATGAGGAGGACGAAGACAACGTTGCAGAAGTATACGATGTCACATCTACCATGAACATCAGACAAATGGTTTCAAAGCTTGATAAGGTTATGGAGTTCCTCCTCTCCACCACGGAGCCTTCCTTCACTGCTGAGGAAATCAATAACGGTACTGGTGTTCACTTGTTCAATACCCTTGCATCGCTTTTCAAGACTCATGTCTTGCCTACGCATTTTACCAAACTGATCCAGTTTCTTATGTTCCACATCTCCCAATACCAACCGGAACTTGCTGACTCATTCTTAGTCATGCTTATAGACGTTGCATTTAACCAAAAAGAAACGGCCGAAAAGCGTTTGAAGGCACTTCAATACCTTTCTTCATACATCGCCAGAGCCAAGAACCTCACGAAACATCAGGTCGTGTTCATTGTGAGCTATCTTGTCGGCTGGATCAACAAGTACATCACTGAAAGGGAACATGAAGTTTTTGAATTCTCTGAATCATCCTCCGGTGGTATGGAGAGATTCAAGCTTTTCTATGCAACATTTCAGACACTCCTTTACATTTTCTGCTTCAGACATAAACAATTGGTCAAGGACGAGGCCGAAAGTGGAAGCGGAGAATGGGAATGTGACATTGATAAGTTCTTTCAGCGTGTGATCATTGCCAAGTTCAATCCTTTGAAGTACTGTGATGAAACCGTTGTGTTCATCTTCGCCAAGCTTGCCACTAAGTTGAATGTATGCTACTGTTACTCCATCATTGAACACAATAAGAGAGAACGGATGATTCAAGGTAATTCCAAGATGCCTTCCACCGTCGGAAACTTTAGACACAAGCAAGAGTTTTTGGACTTGGAGGCATACTTCCCCTTTGACCCGGTGGTCTTGCCTGGTTCTAAGAAAATAATAGACAAGAACTACGTCGAGTGGTCTCAGGTTAATCCTGTTATAGAGGATGATGAGGAGGATGACAGTGGGAGCCATCCCGAAGAAGATGACGATGAAGACGATAGTGATTCTGATGAAGATACTGATGAAGAAGACAAAGATGATGAGGAAGAAGCCGGTAGTGCTGAGGAAGACAGTGATAGGGAAACATAAAGTGATGACAAGGAAGGACAATTCTTGATGTTGTTGCTAAAATCTCATTTACATAACGTCTTATCTTAGCATGAATAAAAACTATTCGAACAAAGATAATGTTTGGCTCTTTCTTCTTGTAATTTTTGCTCCAATCTGACATAGTGCCCTGCAGTTGATCACCCGTAAGGGTTAGATCACTCGTCGAACTAAACATCCATCTTGCTTAAAATAAAAAGGCCGCAATTTGAGAGCTGGACTCTCATTAAATTTAAACGATTTCATGAACATATATGCCCTGTGTCATAGACTTATAACGTTCAATGTGGGATTTTTCTGAAAAACGTAGATAAAGTGATCAGAAAAATATGAAAAAAATAAAGCTTTGATCACGCCCAGGCTCGAACTGGGGACCTTCTGCGTGTGAAGCAGATGTCGTAACCAACTAGACCACGCGACCACTTTGTGAAGGAAATGGGCTAGGTTAATATATAACATTAGTATCGCTGTAATGGCAATTTGGTTTGCTCAAATTCCTTGAGTTACTTTTAATTATGCGTGGCTTTTTTTTTTTTTTTTTTTTTGACCGATTCTCTATTAGTAGGATGCCAAAGAGGATTTCTCCCCCTTGACTACTATACAGCTAACTAAACACTACCATATAGCAAACCCACTAACGATGTATACCACAAGTCGCTGAGTGATCTGACTGCAGAACGCGACCATCGTACGAGAGGAACACTCCCCCATCGGACAGTCTCTGAGCAGCTTATGGTGTGGGTGTAAATTCTGATGTCATCGTCCCATTGGCGCCACCACGGCCATGAAACGATTGAGTTCTCTCTTTGTAGGATACTGGAGCAATATATCTCCTCTCTGCGGCATAGCCTGTCGAATAGCATAAGTTCGTTTTACTATCTTGAAAAAACGATTCAATCTCTTTAGATTTTCAAATGAAGTGTCCACTGGAGCCACCATCTCCTCTAGACTCATCGGCCTAGGCGATCCAAGTTTATTCCAGAAATATTTCGACACTTCACATTCATTGTATAAATGTGTAAGCAATCTGTCATTTGTAATTTGAGCAATACAAAGCTCACATGTTAATGGATCCGAGTTATTTTCCTTGTCATGACCGGGAACGTAGGACCCAAAGTTAAATAAGTGGACAGCTGAAAAATCATGTCTCTGCAACCATTCATGTTTGTATAATTCTTTCCAAAAAACATCCCAACGCTTTCTGGGTTTAGCGGAAGGGCATAAATTTGTGAAGGTCCTGGGTTGAATAGGAGGATATGATTCCTGGATCCTCTTACTTATGCTTTTCTGCTGAGAAATTTGACGTACTAAAAGTAAGTTTTACCTACACAGTTAACAAAAAAAAAAAAAATACCTAAGCTTTGGTATATAATCCACCACGTTTTCAAATTTATATACAAGACGGTCGCGTGGTCTAGTTGGTTACGACATCTGCTTCACACGCAGAAGGTCCCCAGTTCGAGCCTGGGCGTGATCACTTGTTTTACTTTTTTGCTTTAGAGGTTTTCCATGAGACAGAATTAGAATAAGATCATGCTAAAATCGTATAATAATTGTACTAAACTAATCGGAAAGTAAAGAGACCTGATTGAGTAAAATGCAATCACCCCCTCGTTCGGGATCAAGGCCGTAAGTATAAAAGAATCCCTCAGAAGTAACCACGTTGATGTGGACAAGCTCTAACAGAACCAAATCCTTATTTGATGCACTTGATGTAGGAGATCCTACCGTCGGACGGGTGCCTGAGTCTGCAGCATCCTTTGAAAGCATATAGTTAGGAGGCACCAAGTCTTCCTGAATTTCGCCATTCATCGTGGCTATAGACTTCACGTCCTTATCAATAGTCTGTATTTTAAGCGATGCGAAATGCCTAGTTGGCTCCAAGATGGATGAGAATCGAGATGGAAGGAAGTCACCCATTTTTTGTGCTGCTTTTCTTCCAAGATTTTGAGACGAGCGACGTATAAGTCGTGCAACGGAAAGCCTGCTTTGGTCAACGACGGGCTCGTTCTTTTCTTTATGCTCCTCGGTATTTCCACTGATATTTGAGAAGCCTGATGTGCCACTATTTAGCGAGTTGGTGGATCCTTGTGAGAGCTTTCGATGACTTCCAGCGTCCATTGCATTCTGTATGTTACCATTATCACCGTCTCCTTCCGCATCACTATCATCACCATCATCCTCAATGAAATCCTCTTCCTCTTCTGCCTTTTTCAAGGAGTCTTCGTCCTCCTCATTGATGGTATATTCGGGGTTGAGGCGCATCTTTTTCGTCTTAGACTCTCTCTTCCGTTTTTGCTTATTAGCTAGAAGCTCATCCTCGCCGAGTCTAAAAATATGAACTGTTTCGCTTGAACTAGTCGCAACAACGTATTTGTTGTCTGAGCTGAACGATAGAGAGTAAATTTTCGTGGGGTATGTGCCTCGGCGGAATTGGTAAAGCTTCTCACCACTATCAACGCTGAAGACTCGAACGATAGTACCCTTGTTTGATGCTGTGGCAAGAAGATGGCCATCTCTCGAAAGACATAAAGCAGCCAATCCAGACTTGTGGGCTTCAATGACGACAACTGGCTGTAGCGCGTGAAGATCGAAGATGATCACGTCACCCACTCTCTTAGGAACCCTGGTTCCCGCTTGAGCATTAACATTGGAAGAGTTTACGTTTCCACTCGCATTGGCATTCACAATGAGCGATTCATGGGCCACAGTTTTAGGAGGCGATGGATAGGCCAAGAAAGATGCCGACGAGCGTGAACCCATTGATGTATCCGGGGAGGAACCTTCTTCAAAATCATCCGACAATGCACATAATCTATTTGTGTTTGGACTTGTTTCGATGGTGTGTAGTAATTGCATGCTGAGGATGTCGTAGATGTATATTTGCTCTTCCAAGAGGACAACCACTCTATGGCGAGAAAGGCGGACCGCCAAAATAGCAGTGGGAAATATCAAGTCGCATATTATGCTGTTATCTTTGGTATTGACTATCTTGAGCTTCCTAGGCAGCGAGCCGGGCTCGTCGCCCAATGCCACTATAGCCAAAAGCGAAGTGCAATACAACATCTCCACGATGCCCACTGCCTCTTCTTTTTTTAGCAGATGACATTTTGCAAGACTGGGTTTCATGGAGTACACTTTGTACCCATTATTTAAACCAACAGCCACACAGGTGGAGTCCTGATTGAAGGTAATATACTTGACTGTGGAATCAGCATGATGCGACTGATTTGATGCTAACAGACCCTCGTCTCCCTGCAGCAAGGAATCCTGGTACTGTTGAGCCAAGTTCATGTACGCTGGCGAAGCAGCGACTGACGTTTTGAGCATTTAAACCGGGTTAAAGTATGGGAATTTGGATTGGAGTAATGTATTACGCAAGGTCGTATGCAACAGGGAAGCCGTTTAGGTGAAGCCGGTCTAGACACCCGTGCACCACAGAGCCACGAGCCATGGGGAGTCAAAACGTGGAGGGGAATTGGGGCTTGGAGAGAATGTTACTAGGAGGGAAGAGTTTAATGATGATTGTTTTTAGCAGTATAGGTTTCTTTTTGATTTGAAGAGTTGCCTGAGAGAAAGACAAGTTTGCTTCGGATCCTTATCGCGAAGACCTGTCAGAAATGGCTGCATTCAGGGCTATTTAAGGAAGGGCCGTATGCCCCTAATGGTTGTGTTTTTTGGGGATTATCTAAATTTCCTGAACTAACCAGCTTGTAAAGTTTTTGATCATGCCAGGAGTCACATCATGCACTCTGCCCTCTTCCACGTAGGTTTGGGTGGATGTGTTATCGTTCATGTACATGTCTGCCCAGAGTGAGGAGATTCTGGAAGGTACAAGAGGGTCATCCGAGTAGAAAGAAGCAAACATTTTGATCTTGCCAAAGGGGAAGTTTTCAAATATTTGGATATCCTCGGCACTGACAAGACGGTGCAAAGCTTCAGGGTAGAGTTTCTTCTCCTCGGCAGTTAAGTCAAGCTCGTCGTAGTTACAGTAGAACCACTTCTTGTCGAAGTTGCTTGTCTTTTTCAACCTGTTGATAAGCAAAGACGTCATATCGTAGCTTCCAATTGTTGGGTTGATGATGGATACCAGGTCAGGATGGGCATTGGCAAAACGGATGGCCACATGAGCACCCAACGAGTAGCCGCCTACAATGTTGTTAAACTTGATAGGCAAGTCTGGGTCGTCGTTCAAAGGATCCAAGTCAAGCAAGCTGGGCAAGAAGTCCACTATAAGTTTCAAGTCTGCCACATTCCCGTTGATGGCAGAAATCATGTCAATGGCGTGGGTATCGTTCCCAGCAGCCCAATCTTCATTCTTTGCCTCGTCCACCACACGAGAACCATGGTTGCGGAGGTCAAACGTCACTGCAATCAATGGCAAGTCCTTAGCCTTGGTAAAGTCTTGAATGATATGTTGAGCAACTGCGCTCGTATAAGATTCGTCGCCGCCACGTTGGTGAAGCAAGTAAAGAACATTGATCTTGATATCTGCGGTACCCACGCTCTTGTTGCACTTTTCCACGAAGGGAGCCAAGCACTCTGTGTTGAAAACCTTGAGTTTAATGCCACCAATGAAGAACTCCTTGGCTTCAATTTGTGGAATAGCGTCTAAGAGTAACATGATGGATGTAGTAGGTAAAGTGTAGTGGTGAGATCGGTGAGATTTGGGTTACTGATAAGGTTCGCAGTTTTTTTCAGTGGTAGGACAATTCTGGGGAAATATGGAAACCCCGGCTAGGTATGGAGATGGACTGCAATGGTTAATTTTTAAAAGTGAAAAAAGCAAAGAGAAGGAGTAGTGGGGTTAAAAGGTGACGGTTGAAATGGAAAGATATTGAGTAGCATGGAAAATGGGGTACTACTAAAGTGGAACCACTTCTACAGCACTATACTATACTGAGAAATACTGAAGGTAGCCATAAACAATAAGTACGTCTTTTGAAGCCTGGCTTTGCGGGCTTTGCCCTAAAGTCTTGATATAGAACTGAGTACTTTTTCAAAGTAAGTACTTGTTTCCTATAGGAGTGGAGTCTGGGTATATGGGTACCATGCGGGTAGTGAAATGGCTGCAAAATGCCTACAGAGGCCACAATAGAATGGGTTCCGAACAATAGTAAGGGTAAAACTTTTGATAGCCACGAGATGAGCATAAATTAGAACTTAGAGGTAACACCACTAATAATGGCGTTTCTCTACTGGCCTCTGGTACATGTTGTATAACCTGTGACCCTATAGATATATATGCATAGACCACAAGACCCCAATCCACTTTGCCTAACGAGGCTAGCAAGACGGCAAAAAATTAGAAAATCAATATATTGATAACCACAGGCAGTGAGGAATACCCAGACCACCCTCAATTGGAGTACCTACTGCACCCTCTATTATCTTAGACACTTCAAGACCATTTCTTCCCTTCACTAAGCACGCTTAGTAAGATCCCATCGAGAAACAGCACCCCAGTGACGCTCCATTTTCTTTTATTCACGTTGTAAAGTGTCGTTGGGGCCCACGCTGGAGCTAGTGCAATGCACGATGGAGGCATCTCGGTTTAACTCCATAACTAGCCGAACACGTACCTTCCAAGCAAGCCAAAAAAGCGAAAAAAAATTATCAACATAATATCCCAAATAACGTAAATAGACCTCCTTAGTTTGACATATTAAATATGCTTGGAAGCATCCACTTTTCTTATTCTTACCCTTATCTCCTGTTGCGGACCCTTTGCCCCTCACTTTTTCGCAGCCAAAACCGAGCCCATTACGAAAAGGCCTCAACCAGTTGACAACTATACCACTGAAACCACCTTAAAATATGGCAAAAACGTTATGAATAGACCACCCTTCGCCCCTAACTAAACATCCCCTTTTCATCACCACCCATTTTCATGCCTCTAACTAATCTTTCCAGTCGCTCTGGTATTTTTCACAGTGGCTGCGCGAAGCGAGGAACGTTATGCGGGGGAACTACTCTTCCAAGAGCCCATACCAAGTAGAAGAAAGGTAACCAAAAAAACGAAAAAAACATGAACATAATAATCATGGGAAGAACCAAATCACCTATCTAACCCGTAAACGTGGGGCAGCTTCGTTGGCCCCGCTTTGCCACCGGCATCTCTTCTTTCACCTGTCAAAACCTGGGGACATGCTCCCTTCACATGTAAGGGAGTGCATGGCCCTCGCACACCGAGTATTTAAACTATGGTGCCCCCGAAACCGAAATGCCATATACACCTTTACTTTTTGCAACAAGATGCCTCCAAAGAACGGAAACAAGGCTGCTGCCCAGGCTGAAAAGGCCGCCGATAAGGTTGCCAAAACCACTCAGAATGCTGCCCAGACTGCTGAGAACAAGATCTCCTCGGCTGCTAGTGTAGCTTCCAACGCTTCAAACGCTTCCACTGCTACCTCTGCTAAGGAGCAGACCACCACCAACAACGTGCCAAAGGACGCTGACCCAAGAAATATCTTGGACTACACTCCTCAGGAGGAGATTGTTGCTTCTGTCAACAGGTTGAGAAACAACTTCCACTCCAAGCGCAAGACCCACCCATTGCAGTACAGATTGAACCAATTGAGAAACATCTACTTTGCCGTGAAGGATAACGCTGACGACTTGTGTGAGGCCTTGTACAAGGACTTTGGCCGTTCTCACTCGGAGACAAAGAACTTGGAGATTAACCCATTCTTGAACGAGTTGGTCCACACTATGTCTCAGTTGCACAACTGGGCCAAGCCAGAACAGGTCCAGCACTTGCCATTGATCATGAAGGCTAACCCAGTCTACATCGAGAGAATCCCATTGGGTACCGTGCTTGTCATTTCACCATTTAACTACCCCTTGTTCTTGGCTCTTTCCTCCCTTGTCGCTGCTATCTCCGGTGGTAACTGTGTGGTGTTGAAGGTCTCTGAGCTTAACCCACACTTTGCCCAGCTTCTTACAAAGATTCTTACCAAGGTTCTTGACCCAGACACTTTTGCCATGGTAAACGGTGCTATCCCAGAAACCACTGCTGTCTTGGACCAGACCTTTGACAAGATCATGTACACTGGTTCTACCGCTGTTGGTACCATCATTGCCAAGAAGGCCGCTGAGACTTTGACCCCTGTTCTTTTGGAATTGGGTGGTAAGTCCCCAGCTTTTGTTCTTGAAGATGCCACTGAGAAGGATCTTGGTATCATTGCCAGAAGAATCGTCTGGGCTCGTTTCATTAACGCCGGTCAGACATGTGTGGCTATCGACTACGTTTTGGCCCATGAGAAGGTTAAGAACAAGTTGGTTGAACAGATTGTCAAGGTTGTCAAGGAGGACTTCTACAATGGCTTGGACGCCAAGGACCCAACTTACACGCATATCATCCACCTGCGTGCTTTCGAGACCTTGTCCAACATGATCTCCAAGAGTAAGGGTAACGTTGTCGCTGGCGGTGACACCGATGCTGCTTCCCGTTTCATCTCCCCTACTGTTATTGACAACGTCAAATGGGACGATGCCACTATGCAACAGGAGATCTTCGGCCCAGTGTTGCCAATCTTGAGCTACACTGACTTGGAGGGTGCTGTCCAGGAAGTGATCAAGCGTCACGACACCCCATTGGCCTCTTACGTGTTTACCTCTGGCCCACGCGACCGTAACAAGAACCCACAGGTGGATCTTATCCGTACTGCTATCAGATCTGGTGCTACCATTGTCAACGATGCCATCATGCACGTTTCTTTGGCTAACGCTCCATTCGGTGGTATTGGTCAGTCTGGTCAGGGTGCCTACCACGGTTACTACTCTTACCGAGCCTTCACTCACGAGAGAACCACCATGGAGCAGAAGCTTTCTATGGATTTCACCATGAAGCTGAGATATCCACCATACGAGGAAAAGAAGGACAATGTCCTTGGAGCTGCCCTCACTCAGTACAACAACAACGTTTGGTTTGGTAGAACCGGCAACGTGAGCGTTCGTGGTCCAGGACTGGTGTGGAGCGTGTGGCACAGCCTTGGAGGCTTCAGCTCCTTGGTTTACAACTTTGTCAACAGCTTGTAGTTTTATATATGAATCTAATATTCTATGCTATGGATCACACTTTGGATATGTAGTCTCTTAGTTATAATTTTGCAACCATTATTCTGGTGGCGCACCCAGACACCACCGGTCCCGTAGTTATACCACGATTACTACATTGCCTTCCAAACAACCTACTCTTCCATATTATGACTTACAAAATCCCAATTAAGAATGCCGGCAAGGTTTACGATATAGAGTTGGAAGACTCAGCCACAGGTGCTGATTTCAAGCAAAAAATCCAGGAACTTACCCAGATCCCTCAAGCTCGTCAAAAGATCTTAGTCAAGGGAGGCAAAGTCACCGATGATGTGGTGATTGCAGACCTCAAATTGAACCTCAAAACCCCAATTATGGTTTTGGGAACTCCAGATAAGGATCTTCCTGTCAAGGCTCCAGAGAAGCAGGTGTTCTTGGAGGACTTGAATGAAAACCAGTTGAGCAGAAGGTCTGATGAACCATCCGGATTGGTGAATTTGGGCAACACGTGCTACTTGAATTCGTCCTTGCAAGCAATTTATAACAATAAGGACATAGCATCGCGTGTGGACGAGTATGCTGGCCAGCTGAGTGGCAACTCTCTTGTTACTAGCTTGAAGGGTATCTTCTCTGCCATGAACAAGAAGCAAGAGGACGTGAACCCTACTTTCTTCCTTATGCAATTCAGAAGTACATTCCCACAGTTTGCAGAGCAGGAGAGAGGATTCTATAAGCAACAGGACGCTGAGGAGGCGTACTCGCAGCTACTTAGCGTGTTGAGCAATGCCTTGAACGTGGAGGACTACTTGAGAGTTGATTTCAAAACGAACACTAAGTGCTTAGCATTGCCTGAAGAGGAGGAGAAGATCGGCGCTGAAAGTGCCCTCAAACTCAACTGTCACATAGACATCAAGACCAACTTCTTGAGAGACGGTCTTTTGAATGGCTTGAAGGATACGCTTGAAAAGTATAACGATACTTTGCAGTCCAACACGGACTACGAAGTCAATAAGACCATCACCAGACTTCCAAAGTATTTGACAGTGCATTTTGTCAGATTTTTCTGGAGAAGAGACACACAAAAGAAGTCTAAGATTCTCAGGAAGGTCCAGTTCCCATTCGAGTTGGACGTGGCTGAAATGCTCGATGACTCTATCAAGCCAGAAAAAGTAAAGGTCAGAGATCAATTGAGAAAAATCGAGAAAGATAACACTGAATTGATTAGAGACTTCAAGAAAGCAAAGAAGGATACATCTTTGACCCCTCAGCAACAACAAGAGGAGGAGGAAATGAAGCTAGCATCTATTAAGTCCAAATTCACGGACGACTTCCAGGATGTCTTGCCTGAGTCTATTGACCTAAGTAAGACGACAGAGAACCCTTCCTCTGTCTACGAATTGAGCTCCATTGTCACACACCAGGGTTCTTCGGCCGACTCTGGCCACTACCAGGCCTTTGTTCGCGACGAAAACGATTTGGACGGTAACAAATGGTGGAAGTTTAATGATAACAAGGTCTCTACTGTTTCCAGAGAGAAGGTCGAGATGCTCGCTGGAGGCGGTGAGAGTGATGCTGCATTGATCCTTTTCTACAAAGCCAAGGGTTTGTAATTAGGCCTAGATGACTTAATCCTCGACAATTGAGCGAGTAATGGGATTCCGTATCGTTATATTGCTCTTGTATAAAAAACTATGTTTCTTCTAATCTTACATGCTGTTCACCAACGTCTTAAACTCCTGGACCTCGTCCCAACAGTTCAAAGAACGTCCTTGGTTGTCCTTCAAACAGGCAATAACATTGCCACGTGCCTTTTTAATGTCGTCGTTCAATTCAACCAGTATCAACTTGGCGCTGTCTTGCAAAGCCTTGGTCAATTCCTGGACTTTCTCGTTCGACGAGGCCACAGACGTCTTGGAGTCAACGGCGGTTTCTAATGATTGCGAGGTAGTCTCCTTAAATCTCTTTGCTGCGTCAACCTCCAACTTGGACAATTCGGCAGCAACTCGTTCTTGAATATACTTCTCAGCATACTGAGCTCTGGTGTAGTCAGACTCCTGGGAGTTTTCTAAATGTGACAAGAAGGACGCACTGAAATCCACAGGCGCATTGGGCGTAAACACCTTCGTCTCAGGCTTGGATGCTGTGGAACCCATGCTTAGATCTGAATCTTGTGGAAGGTTTCCAGTATGAGAGCTTGGAGAATAACACCATTGGACGCACTGTCGTGCGAAGCTCATATTACTTGCAACTACTGTAGAAGGGGTGCCCTACATCAACAGTACGTATAAGAAGAGAAGAAAGACATAGAAAAGCTATCAAGAATAGAATCTCATCAAGTCAACTTGTTGGCTCTGTTTCTTATGGTAAGGGCTGGGGAAGTTGGAATACCGTCACGTGCCGAATTTCCAGATCTGGAAAAGATTCACTTTAGAACCGATCTTGAAACCAACGATCAGTCAAAGCCAAAGTAAGTACATTCTCTTCAGAAGTAAACACATCTCACCATTCCATCCAACAAGCTTTAGAGTTCCCCAGCGCTTCTTGGCTGTTGGAGATATGTGCGCGGCACGACTACCACCATAAGATTTTGCGCCAGATCGTCAGAACACTTACCTTAAGTTTGAGGAAGAACCCCAGACCAATCGGACTTTTTCAAGACATATTCATATAATGCCAGTCCACTACCAGCAACCTTCCAACTTTGACAAGTTCAAAATGGGCGCCATGATGGGCGGTACCGTCGGTGTCTGTGTTGGTGTTCTCTTTGGAGGCTTTTCCATTTTGCAGCATGGTGCTGGACCAAACGGTGTCATGAGAACCTTGGGCCAGTACATTATGGGCTCTGTTGCTACCTTCAGTTTGTTCATGTCTATTGGTTCTGTCATCAGATCTGACACTGGTTTCCAGGCTCACCAGCAGGCCATGATTCTTGCTAACAAGCAGAGATTGAGAAACATGTACGGTGGTTTTGAGCATTAAAAAGGCGGTCTATTGAATCCTGTAAATATATTTCAAAAAAGAAAAATCTAATTGTCTATCTATGGTCTAAAAGTGCTTGATGTGGTTACCATTGTGGAGATGGTACGAGTATGTTAGGCCGAACTCAGGTACTTTGTAGTCATCGGCTTTCCCCATATGTTTGGCGATATCTAGGAGCTTGTTTTTAGGCTCGAGGATTGGTTCAGAACTGAGCTTGAACGTACCAAAATGAATGCCCAACACGAATTGTGTTTCTAGCATGGTTGCAATCTTGATGCTTTCTTCTGGCAGAATGTGTCGAGGCAGCTGGTGCCATTCAGGACAGTATTGGCCAATTGGAAGCATCAGTAGCGTCACTGGCCCATACTTCTTTGCGATCATTTGGAAAAGCTCTCGGCAATAACCAGTATCACCAGCATGGTATAGAAGGGACTGGCCATTTCTTCTAAGAATGAAAGAGCCCCAGAGTGAAAAGTTGGAGTCAGAGACGTGCCTTCCAGACCAGTGCATGGCAGGAACACAGACGATTTCATAGCTATCGGCAAAATTGGGGCTATCAGTGATAAGGTTGTTAAGCGATACCTTATCCCACCAGTCCATTTCCACGACCCTATAGATTCCTCTCCGAGCCAATACCAGCTTGAGCCCCAATGGCACAACCCAAGTTGCACTGTTGCTTATACGGTCCACTGCATCCATATCTAAATGATCTGGATGGTTATGAGAGACCAAGACGAAGTCTAGCTTATTATTTGTAGCATACTTGACATCGTCAAGAGTCATGGGCGACTTCACAAGTCTCTTGGGGCCAATATGGGGCGTGAATAAATGGTCACTGAAGATAGGATCAGTCAATATATTGATACCTGAGATCTGAACGAGCGAACATGACTGACCCAACCAAGTAAAGAGCAATTGATCATGGACCAGAGCACCGTCTGTTTCTTCTCGAAGCTTTTCAAAATTCCCCAGAGCCGTGCATTGCTGGAAAATCTTTGAATTCGACCTCAAAAGCTCATAGTTAGGTTTAAAGCTTTTAAGCAAGTCGTCCACTTCTTTAAAGTCACCTTCTGGCGTAGGATACTTATCGTGAATCTCGATCTTGTTCCCGTAGAAACTCTCCACGAGCTCCATTACCCTTACCCATAGAAACTCAAAGCCTGTTTGTGGCCTATATTCATCAAACGGATTCACAAACATCCCATTGACAGTAGCTGACTTGAACCTGGAGATGTCTTCCAGCTGGAGAGCAGCTTCTTGCTCTTTCTTCCTCTGCGAGATAATATACTGGGTTCGTAAATGCATGTACGCTTCAAACCCAGTATACGAAACAAGGGCCCCTAGCCCAAGCTTGAGCCTGAGAGACCTTGGTGGTTTGTTCATGGGATGGGGAAGAAGAGGTGAATAAGTTGACTATGGTGGTTTCGCGATGGGTGCAAAATACACCGTAGAAGTTGGCACATAGTGAAGGTGAGAAATGTACTACACGAGACATGTTACTTGATTTGAAAATGCTAGTACCTATTTTGTATTTCTAATGTTGCTTGACAACACCGGAAGCGTCGGCCAATTTCAAAATATGCTTTCTGTAGTCGTGAATGTTACCTGGGAACTTCTTGACTGTACCGTCTTCACTGACCCAGATCTCGTCACAGACTCTCTCAATGGTGGAGACATCGTGCGACACCATAAGAATACCACCCTTGAAGTTGATCAAAGCATCGGCCAAGGCATCCAAACCTTGGGTATCCAAGTGATTAGAAGGCTCATCCAAAATGAGGACATGTGGTTGGTTCAAACAAAGTGCTGCAAAGGCAACTCTCGACTTCTGACCACCAGATAAGAGCTGCATCTTTTGAAGACCAAGAGATCCTGTGATACCGAAAGATCCCAAGTGTCTTCTGTATTCTTCGTCAGACTTACCTGGGTACGTTTGGGACATCCACGAAACGGCAGAGAGAGTAAGGTCCATGGCGTCAACGTGATGTTGTGCAAAGTAAGCGATTCTCAAACGACCGTTTTTGTTGATGTAACCGGAAAGCGGGCTAAGCAGGCCTAAAAGCAACTTCAAAAGCGTCGTCTTACCGGTACCGTTACCACCACAGAAGGCGATTCTGGAGTTCATTTGAACATCGAGGTTGACGTCCTTCATAAGAATCTTATCTGGAGAGTAACCAAAAGTGACATCCTGGATTTGTAAAATTGGAGGCGACACCGAGTCTGGGTCTGGGAACTTGAATGTGATAACCTTATCATCTTCAGGTGGTTCAAGAATTGGCAACTTCTCCAACTTCTTGATACGCGACTGGGCTTCAGAAGACTTGGCAGCATTATATCTGAATTTATCAATAAACTGTTGCAAGTGCTGTCTGTATGCCATCTGGTTCTCGTACTCACGACGCTGGTTCTTGATTCTCTCTTCTCTTGTACTGTAGAAAGAGTCAAAGTTCGAACCACGGTAGTAGTCCAATCTCTCAGAATGCTGGTGAATAATGTCTGTAGCCACTTCGTTTAAGAACGATCTGTCGTGCGAGACGACCAAGACGGTACCCTCGTATGACTGCAAGTATTTAGCCAAGTATGTGATGGATGGAACATCCAACATATTTGATGGTTCGTCTAGCAACAACAAATCAGGTTCACAGAACAATGCTCTTGCAAGAGACAATCTCATTCTCCAACCACCAGAGAATGCCTTAGATGCCTGCTGCTGGCTCTCCTTGGTGAAACCAAGACCATATAAAATAGATGCAGCCCTACTCTCGGCTTTATCAGAATCCATCTCCATAAGCTTCTCGTTGACTTCTTGCAAATGCTTATCCAAGTCACCTCTCTCATTATCCAACTTGGTTTGTTCATTAGATCCTTCCTCGAACTCAGCTCTGAGCTTCTCAATCTCCTCAATTCTCTCATTAATCTTCAGCTCCTCTTGCAATAAGGACTTTCTCCACACATCGGCATCAAGAACAGTCTGTAAAGCAGGGGTATCATCACCTCTGATTTCTTGCTCAACATGCAAAATGGTGATATGCTTTGGAATGTTCAACTCTCTTCTGGACAAGGCACGTAACAAAGTAGACTTACCAATACCGTTCTGACCCACAAGACCGTATCTACGGCCGTAGGCCAATGTCAAAGAAGTATCGCTAAGGATACGCTGACCGTCACCAACGTACAAGTCAAAGTTATCAACCTTGATATCCTTCGATTTACCAGCACTGGAACCAAAGTCAAGAGGGTTAATTTCCAAGAAGAAGGAATCGTAGTCCTCTTTCTTTTGTTCGTTCAACAACTTCGAAGCCTCGTACTTGACAAACTTATTATTCCTCTTAGCCACCTTCTTAGCGATCTTTCTCTCCTGCTTCTCCAATTTCTTCACGTCCACCTTACTCTCAATCTGTCTTCCAGCGTGAGTAATATCACGAGAGTTACCAAGGAATGCCAAAGATGAGTTGATATCTCTCTTGGTGTTCTTCTGCAAGACATTCACATCCAAAAGCCTCTTAGATTTGTCACCTGTGATCTCCAACTTGGCCATGTTATCTTTGAGTTTCTTAGCAAGTTGCTCTGTAAGTTCAGAAACCAATTTCTGGACATCTGCCAGTTTTCCACCAGCATCTAAAAGCAACTCCTCGATGAAGCCGAGCTCTTTGGTGATATCGATTTGCTGGGCAGTCACTGAGTCCTCAGTGTTGTTTGAAACATGCTGGACATATCCAACCGCATAGTCCTGAACCACAGGATCAATGGTAGGAACGGCTTTTCTAACTTGTAAGCCGACGTTGGACATTGGGTATAGTAGCTAACTTTTCAGTAGGTGAATAATTGAAGGGCAGTAGATGTAGTGAGTAAAGAGGTACGGGTGTAAAACACAGAAATGGGTGCAAAATGATGTAGTAAAAAGGTATCCATAAGTCAAACAGAAGCCAATGTTAAATTATCTTCTTGGATGACTCTGCTTTTTTTACTTCGACTGCTTATCATATGTTCTACACCTTCTTGTCTGGCTCGTTTTTTGGGTGCATATACATCTAGTCATACCCATCCATATTCTATTAAATTGTCTATAGCACTAAGTTCTCATTGGCATCGTCATCGTAGTCGTATGAATCAATAGGATCGTCACGATACGATGCTTCTTGTCTCCCGAATCTTGTCAGCACTGCGTTTTGATTCCGTTAAATGTGCCTCCCAAACGGGTCCACATATCACTTCCGAATGATGGTCTTCCTGTTTCACTCTCTTCGTCATGATAAGAATCAATTCTGTTGGATAAAGATCCACCAAAGGTTTGGCCTATATTGCTAGCCAATGTGTCGTTCAATGCTGTATCGTTTGTTCTCCTCAGCCTGCTCAGCCTGCTTGAAGAATCGGTGTAGTTGGGCACCCTTTGTGGACCTTGGTTGCGACGGTTGAGTTCAAGGGAAACTATTCTTCTCGCTTCCACAATGATGAGATCCTTACGCTTTGCCAGTGGGTCTTCAGACTCGGCAACTTCATCATCGTTATCAAAGTCAGCCCAAGCACCGTAAAAGTCAGCCAGGAAGCCGAGCTTCTTCTTCACAATTTCGTAAACATTGAACGTGGTCAAGACAATTGGAATGAGAAGCAACCTTGGGATCCAGTTGTTCATCAAGTTAAACAATCCAGTCAAGTGGATTGATTTACCATACCATTCTTCAAAAATCGAGTCTCTGCTTGCAAAAAGCGTGATGAAGTTGTAAGAAAGTGGAATAGTCAATCTGGCAATGTAAGATGCATAGAAGGCAGCCGAAACTGGGTCAGAATCTCTAGGCACCAAATGGTACTTGTTGAATATTTTAAGCTTTGCCATAGAGTTAAGCGAGCAAAACAACATGTACAGAAAGATGACACTCGTGAACACTGCTTGTAAGAAATTATGGTTGTGAATACCAGTTTGATAAACCAAGGTGTTCATGAGCGATAACTTTGTGGAATGGAAAAACTCTGACTGGACAATAACAAGGGACACAGCAAAAAGAAGCACCGAAAAAATTCTGCGGGAAACTGGCTGAACGTAGCATTGGAAGTAATAGTTGACTTGTGGAGGAAAAGGTCTGAATTTAAGCGACAGCATTATTTGGTCTCTTTCAAATGGATTTTCGGCAGCTTTGGCTGCAAGTAATGTCTGTATGCGAGAAATCTGGCCTAGTAGAATGTTGTACTCCGATTCATAAGCAGTGAGCTTATACAAATGGTTTTGGAAGTTGTAAGTCAAGTTCTTGAGGAAATTGACATTGACCTGGTCTCTTGTAATTGCGTTCGACAGGTCGTAAACGTACTGGCGGGAAACACTGTCACGAAGGTCTGGAGGATCTGATTTGAAAGAGAGAAGATCCAATCTCTGAACTCGAAGTTCTCTTCCACGTTCATAGACGTGTAGTTCATTTCCAAAACCAAAACCTGAAGAAGGTCTTCCTTGAAGGCGATCTTGCTATCTTCTAAAGCATCCACCAACCTTGGTACTTTCAAATAGTGATGGTTCAAATTTTGCATAAGGTTACCCTCGACCCATCTGTTTCTAGGAATGGCAATCAATCCGTGTGCCATAAGCCAAAGCGCTAGCACCAAGGCGTAAATGTGAGACAAGGCAATAATCATAGATCTCAAGTGACCAACAGAAAGACCAACCTCGAGCATTAAATAAATTGCACCCGCAATGCCGACCAAAAGCACAACCGCCTGGAACTTAAGGTGCTCCCTGAAAGCGTCTTTAAGCTTGGGAAGTCTATGGAAATGACCCGATCTATAGAACTCTTGAAGCACAGGGAGTAAAAGCCATGTAAGCAAGAACGTACTCCAATAGTTTGACTTCCATATAAGCAAAATGGCCTGATCACTTATAGTAAAACCAAAAATATCCGTTTTCGAGTTATGCTTCACATAGTCCACCGGCAAGAAAAACGTAATTGATAGCGGCATGTAAATGGCAAGAAACAACGGCACCAGCAAGTAGATCTTATGGTGGAACAAGTTGATATGGTACTGGAGAAACGCAAGCGACACAATGCTTGCTAGCACGTAACATAGTAGCAAAAACACCCACATGTACGCCCAACAATTAGATATATATCAAATGAACACCTAGTCCAGTGTGGCTACGTAATAACACAGGAAACAGGAAGGTGGTAGGTGCTTTCTGGTGATAGTGGTGTATGGAGGCGCGCACCAGGACTTATTCGGTCCGGGGGTGACAGAAGGTGTTTCTCGATAAGGAACTACTTGATCTGACAGGCAGTGCATAGCAAGATATTGTTTAGTGTCGGGTAGTCATATTAGGCAAGGATGTCGGAAACTGAAAGCAAACCAGAAGAAGTGAAGGAGGCCATTGTGGCTGCGGAGACCGAGGCCCCTGAACAGTCGAATGTGGAAAAGCCAAGAGAAGAGCACCGCATTGAGGAAAAGAAGGAAAGTCCAGCGGGAACGGAAATTGCGGAAGAGGATCTGGAAGTGGCTTCGGAAGATACAAAGGCTGCTATGGGCGAACCAAAGAAACGGAAGCTGGTGGGCTTTGCGCCTGAGCCAGAGGAAGACCTCGAGGAGCATCACCAGTACCTTGATGATCGGAGGAAAGATAGGGAGAAGAGTAACCCCTTCTCGAAGATTCCTCCAGAGTTGGCATATTTGGAGTCGAAACCTGAAGGACCAAAGCCTTTGCCTACGCTCCAGAATGTGTTTGAGCCTAAGGTCAAGGCGAAACCTTTTAAAGACATGAGAGACAGAAGGTGTGTTGCAGTGAAGGACATTTCTGTTGTGAACAAGCAGACGGAGCTCAATTTCAATTATTGGGAAACACCAAACCCTTGCAGTTCGGATTCGGTCATTGTGGATATAAAATACGTATCCCTCGCTTCGTACGATATTTCCAAGCTCAACAAGTACTTGGTGAACCTTTCCAACACGAAGGTTGGTTTGGGCTTTGACTTTGTGGGTACGGTCATTCGCCCTGGATCCAAGCTTGAAGGCTCGGAATTTACCCCAGGGACAACCGTCTTTGGTGTTGTCAACCCAGAAGAGCGGAAAGGCTCCTTGCTGTCGGCCCTTGTTGTAACCCCAGGAAGAGACATTTTGATTGCAGTTCATGACGAAGTGCTCACAAAGTTGGAGGCTTTGAACGTCAATCTCTCATTTGACCCAACATCTTTTGCCATTGGTACCGAGGCGGAAGATCATGATGGAAGCTCCTCAGACCTCTTTCTGTCGAATTCGGATCTTCCCCAAGTGGCAGCCAACGTTGCTAAGAGGGCTGATCCCAAAAATGATCTGCAATTGAAAGCGGATGTTCCAGACTTGGCAAAATTGTCTGTGTTTGGCAGCTCATATTGTAGAGCAAAACTGGCTCTCCTGGTAATGGATCAGGTATTTGCTCGTAATGCGTCCGCTAATGTTCTCATCAATGGTGGTGACACTCAATTGGGTTACACCATTTTGCAGATGTTGTTTTCAAGTGTCTACACCGATGTGCTTGAGACGCTCAATGTGTTTTTGGTTGTCAAGGAGAGCTCGCTCTCGAAAGTGAAAAATCTCGCCGAGAGATTTAGTAATGGGGGGTCTCACAAGGTGCACGTTATTTCATATGACTTGGTGAATGAAGACCTCGTACTCCCGGGCGAGAAAACACCAATCAACTACAAGAAGGTTCCATTCTTTGCCTCCGAGATAGTGGAGAAGATGTTTGAAGCTCTTCCCCCAGATGCATCAATAGACACATCCAACATCAATAAGTGCAAACTTGACTTGTTCATTGATATTGTTGGCAGCAAGAAGATGTTCCAGGGATCAATGTCTATGGGATCGCTCGACGAGGTGAACTTCCCATTCAAGAAGAAGATGGCGCCTGGCGTTCAATTGACTACATTATTTGGCAAATCCAAGGGTCCACTTTTTGAAAAGCTTTTGAAACCAAAAGCAGAAGGATGCTCGTTTATCTCCTTCTGTAAGTTTAACTTACCCGAACCATCGTACCTGATCAGTAAACTTGTGGATTTCACGGGCGCTGATGTATTTAATCCCTGGGCTCTGAAGTGGCTGCAGGCGTTGGCAAACCAATTTGTTGCCAAGTACAGCTATTATGAAAAGTTCGACTTGGAAGTAAAGAAGAGCTGGGTCGAAGAGGGCTTAAGACTCTTGTTGAAGGGCGAATTGAGGTTTCCAATCAAAGAGGTTTCAGACTGGAGAAACCGCTTCAAGCAGCATGTCAACGAATTGAAGCATCACGACGGACAGATCGTGTTTGAGATTGAAAATTTCTAGTTACCGCCGCCTATCCACGAACCATGCAACGGGTCACTTGTGCTGAGCTAGTTGATTGTAAAGTTCAAGGCGACGCGAGGATAGATGAACAATCGGAGACAATGAATACCGAGGAAGAGACAATGGTTCCAAGAGGATTGGGAAGGTTTAAACAAGAATCACAAAGCTTACAAGCGAAACAACAGAGAAAATAACAACAAACTGGAGACGAGAGACGACGAGGAAGAGAAACATTGACGAGTTATGACTATGGCATCAATAAGGCGGTGAGGTACGTTTGAACCCGGGAGCAAGTGGTACAGGCGGGCGTGGAATGCAAAAAAATACCGGAAGCCCACCAAAAAGGCAAAGAAGCAAGTTCAGGATAGTAAAAGGCTGCAAGCACAAAACAAACAAAAAAAAAAAAGTCTAAAAAGCTCCAACCGAAGCAACCCTGAAAAAGTAATAACTATACCCAGTTTAGTGGTCAGCACCAAAAGTGAGTTGCTTCGAGTTACACCAGGCGGCAGCGGCAGAGGTTACACAGCACGAAGCAAAAAAAAAAAAAAAAAAAAAAATAGTCCACACACCGCATCCAGGCTCAGCAGCCGCGCTAAGCTGAGCAATGACAGCTGCGGCAAGCCGAAAAATACCAGTGGCTGCAAACGAAACATACCCCATGGTGGCTCCCCCCATATCACGTCCCACACAAGCCCTCCCGGAAAACCAATTACATATTCGTAATCTACACCACCACTTTCGGAACCAAATTTTCTTCTCCCTGCACCACCTCTAAAATCACCCTCCCATTCACGTAACAAAACCTTCCCACCTCATCCATTCCCATCGGTCTCGCCCAGATCAACGACGCGGGCCCCTGGGCTTCTGCAGGAGGATTCCAAGCCCCGATTATCGTCTACAAGCCATCTTTCACTTTCCTCCTTCTCTCTCTTGTTTACCCCATTACAACTGATACAACCTATCTTCCAACCACTTTCCAGCTTCCACCACCCTTGCCAATCCAGCTACCTCACCTTCCTAAGCTGCCTCTTGCCGCTCCCCTCGAACCACTGCGCCTAGGCTTCTTCCACATCACCCCTTCAGGCCCAGTGTAGATGTCTGGACAGCCATGTCTGGATCCATGAGCGTGCATTCCCTCATCGACAAGTTCTCTGAGGACGACTCCAAAGCACAAAGGCCAGAGGGACAACAGCAGCCACAGCATCAGCAACGACTGCGTCATCTGCTTCCACCGCCGTCGCATTCACGAAGTCATTCACGAAGCCATTCACGATCCCGGTCGGCTTCGCCCGTCAGACCGTTGGAAAGTGTTGGTCATCGACAAGCATCAACGCCACAGCTTCAGCTGGCGCCTTTTTTGCCTCTGGCGCCGTCGTTTGGGCATCAACATGAGAAGCAACACATCCCTCAGCCTCAGCCTCAGGCTCCACCGCCTCCACCTCCACAACAACAACCACAGCCGGCCCAGCTGCTTGAACAGATATTGGGGCCTCAATTTGCATCTATCCCACTTACTGAAGCTAACCTCGTGGAGGCGCTTAAACTACGTACTGAACAAGAGAGGTCTCGCCAGGAACAGCTTAGACTTGAGCTCGCCCTGCGTAATTTAGCCATAATTCAAACCGCCGTGCAAAACGACGTGCCTCCACATATGATTCCTTCCATGTGTGTGGGCCCTGTTCCAGAAGGTTACGTCCAGCAACAGGTAGCTCAAGCTCGTGGTCTGCAATCCCACCCTCAGCATCTTCAACCGGAGTTCCACCAGAAACGCCCGTCCGATACCAGATCTCCCTTTATAGCCCCAGAGTCCATGAACCCTCCAACACAAACCCTCGGAGCCCTGCCTCGAATTACTCGTGGTCAAGATCAAGATAATGCCAGTCCCGTGGCGCCACTTAATTTCAGATTCGGCGCAGGCTCTTCTTCAACGAGCCGGAGACCGCTTTCGCCAGCCAAAATCGGGGCTGCAGCGGTTGCTAATTTATCAAACCCTATAACCCCCTATAGACCGGCTCAAAAGACCCTCCCGGCTCACCAGCGTCATTTTTCTATGCCAGCTGAGACTCTGCTGAAGAGTATGGAAAGACAAGAACGGTCAGGTCCACGGACTCGCCTGCTGACGCAGAAACTGACCCATCTTCAGTCTCCATTGGGTGCTACTTCTTCCATTCAGGTTAGGCCATCTCCCGCTCAGCCGTTGCATAAACAAGCTCGTATGACAGAGGCCCCATCGCAGGAATCCATGACATCGTTTCAACATGTCATACAATTTCATCATTGGAAGCCCGAGAATCCCGGCCAGCAGCCTCCAAGCGACAGAAGTCCCGAAAGACCTCAACACTCTCACAAAAGACACAAATCCAGTGATATGTCTGTCGATATGACTGGCCAAAAGGAGGCGTATCTTGACAGACACGCATCTCGCCTTAGCATGGACCTGACTTCAAACGTCAAGCGTGAAGATCCCGATGTTTCCATGGACACTAGCGACGTGACTCTTACTGATCCTACGAAAAAACGTGAAACAGATACCAACAGTGAAACGTCCCAGTCTCTGGGCCGTTTTCCTCATGACATATTACTGTCCAATTGATCCCAAATACCCTCTATCTATTGCATTGCTATTATACCCTAACTTATTCATGCATGAAGAATCAAGCGCTGTTTGCCGCTGCAAACGACTCCTCAGCCATAATTTCTACTTCTCCAATATCAAGGGCGATCATTTCATCGCCATCTTGTGTGTCATCCACCTTTTCAAAAGTGATATCCGATTTTTGCAACGCATCAACTTCTTTTTTCAAATCGTGTGCCAAAGTTCTGATTAAGTTCTCGCTAACTTGGTCACCAATGAACCACAGGCAAAGGTCCTCGAGCCAAATCTTGTCATATACATAGTAAACGTCATGATAGCGGAAAAGCTCCTTCAAATCAAGTAAACACTTGAGCACCATTCTCTTGCCTCCTCTAAGTGTGTAGTATGCGTCGTTCCAAGCTGCTCGTGCTAGTTTATAGTTTCTATGATATGGGTACGAGAGTGCCCGACGAACAGATGCTATTATAGCAGCACGCAAGATTGTATCGTTGCTGCTTTCATTTGAGATATGAATCTGGGAATCGAGGAATGCAAATTGGGGGACCAACTTACCCACTGTCCATGCACTTTCGATGTTGTGCTCACCTTCGTTTTCTCGTAGATCATACTGGTATGCAAAAAGAAGAGATGCAATGAGAACATAAAGCTGTGGCTTATGTGAATCGTCAACCAAGTAGTTCTTGCGAGGAAGTTGAAGCATCTTTTCCTGCTCCTCCTTGGAAAAAACCACTGGCATTGTCAGAGATCGTTCTTCAGCTGGAAGTGCCTGGTTCTTTGAATACCAATTGGCAAACATTTTAGTTGCCGGCAGCTTCCACTTTAAAATACCCGCAAAGATCTTATCGTCATCTGGAGAAGGGTACTTTTCCATGATATAGTCAGCTGCGTAGTATTCTGGGTCAAACTTGATGTTCTCTTTGATGAGTCGTTCAAGCACACGGTCAGGGCCCTGGGCAGCTTCCGGGTTACCCAATTCGTTGATATCATTACCATTCGACATGGAAACGCCAATGACTCCATTGTAAGCGTTATTAAACCCATATTGCACCGTCAAAGGCTGGTCCTCCAACGTCTCGGCGGTCTGTTCAATTTCCCAATCGTGTTTCTCCCCCTCCTGAGCCACTCCCTCAGAAACGTCAGCATTCGACACATCAAGGTCCTCGATAAGCGGTTTCTGTTGTGGGGCCAGTTCTGGCTCTTTCCTCGCAAGAAGCTTAGCAGTAAGATCCAAATCTGGAAACACCTGGCCCTTATTCTCCTTGGCCACCTTGATCCTCACAAACCCTTCCTTCAGGTCAAACTCAGCATGAGCCCTCTCATCGTCCACCAACGGAAACGGAAGCCTTATCCTCAAGTAGTATGGGTTAAGCGAGAAAATAAACAACTCATTGTCCACAACCATCTCTATCGCCAGCGCAGAAAACCTGATATGCGACACCTTCACATTGATAAAAATAAACTCCTCGTTCTGGTCGATAGTGAAAAATGGCGTAAGCATGGCTGGGGTTGGATCAGATGAGTGCAAGTCATCCCATCTCCCTCATCGTCTTTTGGCTACATATAGTACCCGCGATGATGAGAAAATCGCAGGCATCAAAAAGTTGCAACTACCAATGGAAGAGAAGCCAAAGAGACGGTTTGTCGGCAGGAAAACCGTGCGAGGCGCCGACGGGTCGGTGGTGCCGGTGGTCAAGAGACACGTTGGCCGGGCGGTGAACCAGATTCCTCAGGATATCTTGGACGATAAGGAGCTTGCGGAGGCGATCAAGCTTCTCCCATCGAACTACAACTTTGAAATCCACAAATGTGTGTGGAACATCAGGAAACAGCTGGCGAAGAGGGTTGCTTTGCAGATGCCAGAGGGGCTTTTGATATATTCGCTTGTGATTTCGGATATCTTGGAGCAGTTCTGTGATGTGGAGACTGTGGTGATGGGAGATGTTTCTTATGGAGCATGCTGTATTGATGACTATACGGCCAGGGCGCTAGACTGTGATTTCATTATTCATTACGCCCACTCGTGTCTTGTGCCGATCGACGTTACAGCCATCAAGGTGCTCTACGTGTTTGTCACGATCAACATCGAAGAACAGCATCTCATCAATACCATCCAGAAAAACTTTGCCAGCGGGAGCCGCATTGCCTGTTTTGGCACGATCCAGTTCAATCCAACCATTCACAGCATCCGGGCGAAGCTCGAGGCCGCCGCTCAACCTATTTATATCATCCCACCGCAAACCATGCCACTTTCCAAAGGAGAGGTCCTCGGGTGTACGTCTGCCAAGCTTGACCACGAGCACATTGACGCCATGGTTTACATTGGAGACGGCCGCTTCCACTTGGAAAGTGCCATGATTCACAACCCAGACATTGTTGCTTTCAGATATGATCCATACCTGAGAAAGTTCACGCGAGAGAAGTACGATCAAGAGCAAATGGTGCAAGTACGACAAGACGCCATAGCGCATGCCAGGGGAAGTCGAAAGATTGGACTTATTTTGGGTGCTTTAGGACGTCAAGGTAATCCCCAGACTTTAGATCGGTTGGAGAAAGGCCTTGCGAAAATAGGCGTGGAAACGGTGAAGATCATTCTCAGTGAAATCTTCCCGGCGAAATTAGCCATGTTTGATGACATTGACGCTTTTGTGCAAGTGGCGTGTCCCAGACTCTCGATAGACTGGGGTTACGCTTTCGAGAAACCTTTACTTACGCCATACGAGGCTATGGTTATGATTGGCGCCGACAGCTGGCAGGACGGTTACTATCCCATGGACTATTACCGTAAAGACGGATACGGCCGTGGTTCAGTGCCATTGAGAGACACTTGAACAATATGGGAAGGCAGAAAGTCTCAGATTAAGCAGAATAACCAAAACCAACCGTTATGAGTGTTTGGGAAGAGATGCAGAAAATGCGCTTCTGAGGCTTCGATTTCACCTCTCGAAATGCGCTGTCTGTCTCTATTCTGCGTTCAACCTGCTCTGTCCTGTCCTGCGGTGCGCTGCAATGCATGATTGCACTAGTGCACATGCTTGGCTCGAGACTACTACTGTACACACGGTAACCCAATGCGCACGCCGCTCACTGCAACAAAATAAGCCAACCCCGAGGCCACATGAAGAATATTTTTACCTGTGGATCTCTCTCGATGCACCAGCCCCATGGGCTCCCCCCATGCCATGCGATGCCATGCGGTACTCCTTCAGTACCCAAAAAAAAAATTCCCCCTTAGCATATATTTATTTTGGATATTTCCTGCAGCGGTTAGCTCAATGCCGACACCAATCCAATTCAATCCATTCCATACACTTTGAGTTTTACCTCTTAGCCTCGTCGAGTTCCATTTCTGGAAAAGTTCGGCGTTTGCCACGGGGTTTCCTTCTTGCTTCGCTGCATGCCAACTATAACATGGCTTTTTAACTCTATTGCCCCCCTTCACTCTTGTGAAACTACATTCTCCACCCCGAGAAGTGTAGCAACCTCCATGGCCAGCCATGTGAACAAACCATCGCCCAAAAACCGCTCCACAATGGCTCGGAAACACCTATAGAATTGCGTGAAACTCACCATCACAGCCTCAATAACCTCGGTTACGATCGTTGGCAGGTTAAGTCTCATGAGGCTGTTCTGTACATCGAGAAGCGCACTCGGGAGCACTTCTTGCATGATGTCGTTGGTTGTGGCTATTTTTTCTTCGTTGAAAAGCTTGTTTTCCTGGATGGCTTCGTACATGTCAGTGTCGAAGATTTCGTCATCCAAGGGACATATCATGTTGATGATATTAAAGAAATCAAATAGTTGGCATTCCTGCAAAAGCTTATCCAAATGAAATCTCGTAACCTCTTTCGTAAATGTGCCAATTTTCCCATGAAGCTCGAGTACCTTATCGTTAAGGTAGGTGAGTGGCATGATCTTGGAAAGTACCAAATCAAGAAAGTTCTCTTTGAAAATGAGCACCTCTTCTTTGTTGAGTGTTTTACCCACGCCGCTCAAATGAGATTCAAAAATAGAGATCGGCTTATCCACGATTAGGTCAAGAAATTTCTCGTGCTCCTCTTTGGGTAACGAAAGGATCGTCTCCAGCGTCATGCTATCGACAAGAGGCAACAATTCCCCATAAAAATTGAGTATCCATTCCGGCGGCTGCAAATCTGCCGACAAGTCCATTTGGGCGGAATTTGACGAAGCAATTGAGGCTAATTTGTTGCTGACGGTGGTGACTATTCTCGACCGAGCCGAGTCAAGAAGCGATTTCAAGCTATCCACGAGCGTTTTGGCAAATTCAAGCTTTTCGAACATCATAAGATATAGTTCCAAGTTGGTATAGATTTTATGCATAACCTGGATCTTCGTTTCCTGGGACATGAGCTGCTCTATGGTTCCCTTTACGGGCCTGCCCAAGGCACCGAGTATCCGGCCCATCATGTCCGCTTTAGTGTTCCTAAAATCCTCGGAATCGTCCTGAAATAATCCCTCGAGGATCTCTGTTTCATTGACAACAACGGAATGCACGTACGCTAGCATATCTGCAACAAACCTGACAGGATCATGAGATGTATAATAGACTGGGCGAGGCTCCTTAGACACATGGCCTGCGGATCCCTTTCTGTTAGTCTGGGCGGCAAACTCCTCCAAAACAACAGCTGTTCTTGATTCAACATACGTATCAATTACAGCAGTGTACCTTACAGAGTTCTTTTTTAGATACTCCATGCAATGATGCAATGTCTCAGTTCTGGACTTATCGTTCATCAGGTATAAGTTTGTCAACGAACGGTTGCAAAATGTCAAAATCTTGCCCACTGCACGTTCAATAAGTTCGGTACTTTTAGCCATCACCGATTTACCCAACAGCGGATCGTCCAAGGCTAGAAGGATCAGACACTTGTCGTTTATTTCCTCGGCGCGTGCTAGAGCTGTGAAGAATTCGGCATTGATGTCGCCGGACGTAAGCAAAAGCTGTTCGTATTCATTGAGTGTGAATGTTCTTTTGAAATTAGCCAAAAGCTCTTTTTTGATTCTGTAGCCTGCCTGTTTGGTAGTGAGTTCATGAATATCTTTAGAAATATGAGAAGCACTTTTCTGGTCAGCGTCAAGACGTTGGTTTATATCGGCCACAAGTGTATCTAGATTATCAACACGGCCTCCTAGTACCTCCAACAGACGAACCACTTTACCGTAGTCTGCCAATGCCACTGAATGGCTTTTGATCAAGTCAGCTTCCACTTCTCCTCTAACGTTCTTCCGTGCCACAGACCCCATGACGCCTGGATCAGCCATAACAGAGATATCCGTGTTCTTTGATTCCAACAATCCAAACAATTCCTTGATTTCCGTATCTGACAAGGCTGGATTGAGTGCTCTGGCCAACCGTTTAGAGAGTGCTGAGACTCTATCTGAAGCCTGTGTCGTTTCTGGAGTTGATTCGCCTTGATCCCCCACATCCAATGCTTTAAGCGAGAGACTGGCGTATTTTTCAGCGAGATGGGCTTCTGCAGCCTCGGATTCACCCTCTACATGCTGTTCCTTCAGCTTCAAGAAAGACTTGAGGTTTGAGAAGTTCGACATGAGCCCCAAGTTTTCAATGTGTGGTTTGAGGGGAAGCAGAAGGGACGGCTGGGGCAGCGGGAGGTGCTCGTCATTGGCAAATGACTCGAAACTGACGAAATCCATGGTTTATTTGGAGAATGCAAAATGGGTCCGTTATGGTTTCGGTGTAGTATATGTTGATGTGGTGCACGGGTGTACACCAAGGTCCATGAATGTGTTGGTGATGCAAGGAAGGTTAGATTGATGTAAGCATGACCCGGGATTCCAGGGAGACATACGCAAGGCTTAACGAGCACATTAAACAATCAAATTACGTCTTCGGTTGTAGTTGGCGGGAGGAAGAGAACGGGGAGTCCAGAATTCTTACACGTGCATGATCACGTGACTCCAGAGCCACCTTTCCCCCCCCCCCCCATTGTTTCTTACAACTACCACTCAAGGAAGCCACGAATAATTGGTCCAAGGTCGGATTTCCGATATCCACACGGTCCAACAACCCAACAACTCAAGTCCAAGCGGAATATCCAAATCATAGTTGCCCTAAACAGTAGCTATATCCCAGTCTCAGCAAAGGCGCATACACAATCTACAAGAAACACCATCACAGGCGAATAAACCACAAAAAGCAGCTTACATAGATAATAGACCAATATCAAATGGTCTGGTCGGCAACAACTTTGACTCCGAAGCGACGTGGGGCGTCTGCCTGAAACAACCAAACACAAGGGCAAGATTGTCCCCAGATAATATCTCACGAGGCTTTCCACTACCAACAAAGACGAGATTTAAGGTTTGAAGATGCGAAGGACAATCCTCATTTACCTCTGCAACAGTAGGAGGTCACAAAAACGGGCGGGGAGCAACATTGAAAGCAGAGAGGAATAATCGGGACCAAAAATGGACGACTAGATGAGATCGGTTGATATCGGCGCTTCGGAGATGAAACAAATCTAATGGAGCCATGAGCAACCATAGAGCCAGAAGTCCAGAAGCGGCAAAGAACCCAGATTTTGACGAATTTCATCAATCAAGCATTCTCGTTGTGCTTATGCTTTTCTGCCTCCCCATATATTTTTTTTCTTCATTGCTCAGGTACAGCGGCTAAACACCCACATTTCTCTCGAGTTTCTCGGGCACCGTCTGGGCAAGTGAAGAGTTTCCGTCGAGCGCTTGTCTGGTTGCTTCTGCCGAATGGATTTCTGGGGCATGAAATCAGCCACTCGTTGCCATGAAAGACACCCCCATGCGCTTGGCCTGGAAAGTCTACGAGAGGACAAAAAAGAAAAGCAGTGAAATTAAGGTTTTATCACTTAACTTCCTCACGGACTTGTTATTCAACATTTTCTTTGGTGATGTGCTTTCCTTTTTTTCCGCTTCCTTTCTTTTTAGGCTCGTTGCTGGTGGCTGCAAATGAGAACAAGGAAATGCCCATACAATGGGCCCCGAAAAGAACAAAAAGGAAGCAAAGCATCACCCCTCCAGATGAAAGGAGACTATGCATCATCCAGTATCTGCGGCCAGATCACCTGCCTTGGTCACATCTTGGGAAATGCCAGGGAGACGAGAGCCTGCTTTTATGGAACACTGTTCGTGTATACGGGGCAATCTGCGGGCTCCTGAAATGTGGCTGGTGAGCGGCTACAGGCGGTGCCGGGTAAAACGAAAAAACGAGGAATAGGGGCGGAGGGGAAGAGCTCGTAAAAGGTGGTACGCCAGATTGCTTAGTGATAATTTGATGTCCCTGATTATCATCAACCTTCTGTTTAAAATTAAGATTCTATTGAAACTGTTCGTTTGCGTGGTTTTGACAGCTTAAGTGTCGATCCCTTTGTGCTTAGAGCAAAGGTGCCTCACCCTTTCCTGCATGATGCACCACTCCACGAGATAGCCTACCGTGCAAGTGAAGCCCACAAATGCAGTGCCTAAAAAGGCTCACGCCGAGCTTGCGGTTGCAAAAAAAAAAAAAAAAAATAAAAAGCCCCCAAAATCTGGAAACTTGCCTTTCAGGGTTGATCCCACCCCACAAGGCAGTGATAGTCCTCGAAATTCATTAACACTTATTTAACACGGTATTGAAAAGCGTACTAGATAATACTTAAACGTTGTCGCATGTTCTCGTCACTAGGCACTGCTCAGTGCCTCTGGGGTTCAACCTTTGGAGTCTGGAGGGGTTCGTAGAAGAAGCTATTCATGCTCCTCACTACACAGCCCCTGGCGTAGTCTTTGTAGGCACTTGGACGCATTGACAATGTCAACCATATCGGCATAAGACATCCTCAGTTCATCGTCTCTCTTTGCCGCAGGCCGGTCAGGCAGCTGGCTAGCCAGCTGTTCCACAGAACTGACAGAAGTCAGCGTCAGCGAGGCAGACAGAAATGAAGGTTGGTTCTCGTTCAGCAGCCGGGAGAAGGTCAGCGATAGGCTGCCCAGTCTTTCAGGCACTTTGGCCTGGCTGGCCCCGGTGTAGTATGATGTGCTGTCTGTGGAGAATTGGGGGCCCGACTCCAGAGTAGGGGAAATGGGACACAGCTCTGAGCCAGCAGAGCTAGTGTCGATATCGATGGAAAAGTCCAGGGCGTCGCCGCAAACGTCGAAACGAAGCTCGCCAAAGCCTGGGTCTTCTGGCCGGAGGCAGAGATCAGGGAAGTCTGGGCCAAAGATTGGAACTAATTGGTACCTGATGTAGTAGCAGAAGCTTCTGGCAAGGCGCTTACACAAGCTGTGGGGCACCCAGGTGCCTTGGATCTTCAAGAACCCACCACGGACTCGCTTAATGTATGGGTGCAAGGCCTGAGGCGTAGACTCAAGAAGCTTGACTATATCAGCTTTGGCATTAGGTTTAACGTGGACGACACCGTTCTTGTTCCGATGAAGAGCATGTTCATGGAGAGCAGCTCTCCATAAGCCTGTGAGGTGGGTGTAGCCTGTTTCGTAGTCCCAGATAACCCATTGAGTTGCCAAGGGGTATTCATACACAAGCAAATGGGAACGATTGGAGCCCAAGGCAGAAGCACTATATTTCTTGGTGACAATGGAAGGGTAGATTTGGTCAGACAACTCAGAGGTCAACTCGGGAGGGGATACTTGCAAAGCCTCAGGAAGAGGAGCAACAGGGAACTTCTCGTGGGAATCCGGGAATAGACGTTTGCCGTGTTGCTTATAAGAGTCCTTGAAGCGGGAAGTATCCGAACGGTCCTGGAAGCGAAGCACCAGGGTCAGAGGCTCTTTCTTCTGTTTCTTGCGGGGTCTGTTACTATCGTCATCAACAAACCTATAGTCCAGGGTATTCAAGCTTGCGGCTCTAGGGGCCGATCTAGGAGGTCCATTCAAGGAGTACTGAACAAGCAGAGGCCCGTGGGAAAGGTATGTAGGCATTGGAGGAGGGTACGGCTCGTAATGGTGGTATGGCTCAGGCAATTGAGGAGCAGCGTAGGTCACTGGCACAGCAGCAGCACCTACACCAGCCATTGGGGCTAGCAGGCCCATCAGTGGTAAAGGCAGATGTGGAGCCGCTCTATAGTAAGACATTGACACTGGAGGGGGAGGCCCTGATCTGGCTGGGGGCGGCACATTGAGCGAGTCCGTAAGATGTGAAATAGGCGGAAGGGTATTAAACATGGCCAATTGGTTCAATGGCAGCACTGGCTGGTACAAATTGTAGTTGGCAGGCTTGCAGTCTTTAAAGGTGAGGGAAGGTGCTCAGGTAGTTCGTCAGCAAGCAATGGAGACGAATAGCTTCACAAGCAAAGGCCGATTGCTCAGGCACTGAAACGTAAAAAAAAAAAAAACTCTTCTCTAGTTAAGTCCAGGGAAAAGAATCAAGGTTGCTCTGGGGTTCTAGATATAGCGAGCAAGGGGAAGCAGGAAGGGTTTTTAGGCGGCAGTGGCAGGTGAAGAGGCAGCAGCAAAGATAGACGGCTGCGAAAAAGGTGAAAAACTTGGAAACCTGGGGATGAAAAATGTCCTGGAGAACGGTAGCACTGGGAAGTGAAATATGGTGATTTGGCAAGTTTTAGATTGAAAACTTGTTGATTTGCAGTAGATCAATTGAGCTGGGGTTCGGGATTGGATGGGTTGTTCGTTTGGGGGCCCGCTTGCGTTTGGGTTGCGGTTTGTCTGGAAACAGAACGAGCACAAACTCAAGGGTTAAGTATGGGGGAAAGAAGAAAGGCCCAAAAAAAGAAAAAGTATATGGTACTAAAAGGGGATTCTCTCTTTTTTTTAACAAGAATAAGGGCAGGTCGATCAAGGGATCGGAAGAAGGATCTGCTTTATCTGCTGTTTTAGACCAGGAAACAGAAGCTGGGTCAAAGGCAGGGGAAACAAGGGAGAATATATAGGCGAGTACGAGGTATGAGCAAGGCAGAGACACACATATAGGGCCTGGGGAACTTTTTTTTTTTTTTTTTTTTTTTTTTTTTTTGGCTGTACTTGACTTTGGGGGGAGGGACGTGGGCCCATGCAGCATGTACGTCACACGCGCAAGAGAATACAAGGCACGAGAGTGGAACAATTGAGTGGAGGGAGACATAAAAGACGTAGAATGGGAGACTTGAGGGGGCGTAGACATACTTGCTTTCTGTTTTGTGCAAGAGAAGAGTAAAGTATGTGGTTAGGAGGGAGTGGAATAGGGTTAGGGATGGGTGCGGCAACCTTAACATCTGGTGGTGTGCTGCGGTGCGGTGCGAAATGCGAATGCGAAATGCTGCGGTGGCTGCAGAGACTGCGGCAGTGTGCACCGGCAGATTAGCTGCTGCCGCTTTCTTCTGCACCGCACTGCTATTTTATTTTATTATCATACATGCAATCACCAACACAAACAATGGGCGAACAAGAACAATCCAATGCACGTTTGATATGTATGACCTGCATATAGGCCTCCCATAGTAGAAGAGAAACGGGAGCTCTCCCTGCGCCCACTACATGAACCCGCAGCAGGTACCAGCGAAAAAAACATGCAAACGCCGATGCACGGCCTGCAGGCTCCCCAACTAATCCAGATGCATGGGCGGTATCGGCGAACATGTCCCGATATGTCAGGCTGTTCCGCTTTGTTCAGCTCTTTAGCCAGAGATATGTTGCCATGCCAACCAGATGCCGTGGCCTCCATGAACATCCTACTTCTCTGTAAAAACTAAAATTCTTCAAAGGAAGATCTCCCCCCAGGATCTTCAAAACACCTCGGCGTCGTCTGATCAGCACCATACACCTTAAGCGAGGTTTCCATCGAAAAGCATATCTCTTCTTGTCTCAAGCACTCCCACCTCAATCTAACCATAAACCCATCCAACTCACCTCTCATTGGCCTAGCCCCTCCTCGGTTGCCTGGACGACCGAAGCACTTCGAGACCCTCCTTGTATTTTCATGTTTCCCCCACCAAAGACACAATCATAAGAACTCAACAAAAAGAGCAGTGGGCGGCTTAACTAAAGCAAAACAGAGAGGTTTCTTCTTTTTTTTTTTTTTTTTTTCTGGTTTACTAGTGTGCGGCGGTTGGAATGGAGAAAAAAAAAAAAGAAGAGAGAGGTGGCTCGGTGCGGCTCACTGAAACAGCTTTTGCAGCCAGTCGTCACGACAACCGCCAAGGGCCCAAAAAACAAAAAAGAAGTGGAAAAAACCAAAATAATATGGTTACAAATCATAGGAGAATCGGTGGAAGGGGGGAGACTCTTGTAGGAATATATGGAAATGGCGGATTTGTTTTGGGGCGGTGCAATTTGGACCAGTATATATAAAGAGCGAAGGTTCGACGGTGAAACAGAAAATAGGCTTGGGCAGCACGTTGTGAGATTTCAGAAACTCATTTACGGAATACAACTCCGTGGTGGAGAAGACATCGTAAGGTGGTGGTGGCATTGGGAAAGGCAAGGTCGGCAAGGCAAGGCAAAGTGAGGAGGTGAATCCCCCATTTACCGTTCAGGCTTGGGCCAAAGAAGAGGATGAAAAATTCATGTTCATGTTCAGGTTGACGTTCAAAATTGGAGTGGGTTGTGGTTCAAAAAGGAAACGAGTTACCAAAAAAGTAAAAAGAAAAGAAAATGGAACCCATTCTTCGCTTCAAGCATTGGAAGGTGTTGAAGCGATGAAGCCTCTCGCTGGTGAAGCCTCAAAAGGTACACTTCACAAAAAAGCAAACATAAGCGGGCCTCCATCTTCCTTCGTTTACGACCAGAGAGGCTTGTAAATGTTCGTAGCGTCGTTCACTTACTGGATGTCGTAGAAAAACCAACAAGAAATCCGTAAGTGTAAGCGCCTGGTGGTGGGCCCTGGTACCGATTGTAAGACGCTTGGACGGCCATGCTCTTCATTGCCTCGATTGGCTCGTCTGGTCAGTGGCCCTTGGTCGCTTGGTCCTAAGGGGCAGGGCGCCAGCCAAACAGACAAGAGGAAAAAAAAGAGAAGAAGGGATGAATAGACACTTCTGGTCATTGCTGATAATTCCGATCCACATGGCTTTCCATTTCTTGCTGCTTCTTTTATTCCATACATGTCTCTCGCCAAACGCATGTAGAAGAACATTGGTTCATTGAATTTGGATGATTAGTTCCTTTTTCTGTGGTTGTTGATTTTCAGGGCACGGCAAAATACAACCACTTCACCGCCTTTACGACAATCCCACTAGAAATCTCTAATTAAGCTTTCCACGTAAATGTACCATCTCTTTAAAGGCGTTCTTGACGGCGGCGCTTCCAACCTGCCAGTCCTTCAAGTTCCAACAACCCGAAGAATGGAACGTAAAAAAAAAAAAAAAACCAATCTTTCCAGCCTCCCTTGTCCTATTGTCTCTCCATTCATTGTCTTCTTTGTCTTCTCACATAAAGAGATCCCAATTGTCGGCCTTTTTGGACCGAGCCGTTGCCAACCTCCCGAAAACCCACCATATCAAAATATACCGACTCCCCCAACGGTCGGCTTTGTGTAAACTGCTCATGCTCATGCTCGTGCTCCTTCTGTTTCTAAAATACCGCCTACATTGCCTGTTCTGGGAACGCCTCACTTCGTTTCATGTGTATGTCTCAGAAAAAAAAAAAAAAAAAAAATTCCACCTCATCACCCCACGCTGTTTCACCTTCTTCCTTTTTTTTTTAACATTTTCTCGTCCCCTCAGAAGCCCCACCAGAAAATTCACAACATCCTCTTCAGGCAGAATCAGCAGTACCAGCGCTTCCACGCTTTTGGGCTCGGAACCCGCTCGTAACCGTAACCACCCACTTCCACCTCCTCCACCTCCTCCTACATCACCTGCTAACAAACAGCCTTCCGCCCTGCCTCCACAAAAAGGCTATTTTTTGTTCTTTCTTCTCCACTGCCTTCCAAGCCTTCTTGCTTACTTGCTTTTTTTTATTTTCTGTTTCCCCCGACCAGGACCGTCATATCTGGCCTCGAGATGGCCAAGAGTATGGCTTATGCGCTTGTTGCCAATCGGCGGCCCCTCCACCCTCCAAGACCAGCCACTAAAGAAACAGAAAAAAAAAAAAAAAAGAACGCCATAGCTGCTTCCAATGTACTTTGTCAGAAGCATATCCTTCCTCTCATACGTGAAATCCATCTTGTGTCTCCTTTTTGCTGCTCGTTTTCCACTCACCGCCGCTTGTGGCTCAGTTCGGCACGGCTACCTATTTTAGAAGGTGCCTCCAGGTCATGCACCCTGGCTTCTATTTTTTAGGCACACTCTTAACCTTGCGCCGCTGCTGTCAAAAGGTTGCAAATCGGCCTCTTTTTTTTTTCCTTTTGCACCTGCTCGTCTCGCCTTGTTAGACTAAACCTTATCCTGCCATTTTACCTTTTTATTTTTGCCTTTTAGGCTTACCTCCTCTCTCATTCTCGATGCATCTTCTGCTTTACCTTGGCTGCGCTCGGGCACATACCTCTATTTACTTGTGTGATTAAGCTCTAAGGCGTGTCGATCCTTTTTCCCTCTTTCAGGGGCTCTCCTCCGCCAGTCCTTTCTTTTCTGGAAATGTATCCTATTTCTGGTCTCGATATCCTCTGCCTAGCGTTATGTCCAAAATTCTGTACCTTCGCTACCAACAACGACAAATCCCACGCTTTGTGTGGCCTCTAAACAAAGCAGCTCGTCGATCGCTGCTTCCGATTGTTCTTCCCACAACATTATCTAAATCATCCTCAGAACAACCGATTTCTGCCCTCATCCGCCTCTTGTCCCCATGTTGGCCTTTCAATGCCTTCTTCAGTGTGCCACAAGTCGGCTTTTCGGCTTCTATTATTTGGTCCTCTCTGTTTTACACTTTGGCCAAGCAGATGTTGCCTTCCCAGACAATGTTTTTGTGTCTTAGGAAGATCTACACTCGCTCCTACTGTACCCAGCCTCCCTTTGTTGGTCCCACTTATTGGTCCAGGACGCTTTCAGTTGCTTCAAAGGCACATTCGGCGTTTTGCAATCTTTCGCTTTCTTTCTTTTCCTTGTCAACTACGAAGCTGTGGTTGTGGCGTGCTGGCTGCCCCGGACTTATCTTTTGTTTTCCTCTCTGTACGTTTTCTGCGTTTCCCGCCAATGTCTGTCACAATCGTCTATCGCAAATACAAGCTGCTTTTCCAAAAAAGATCTACAGCGTCACCTTAGTCGTACACGAGGTAGGGGTCACTGGTGGCTTTGTGCAAGCTTCGTGCTTTTGGAGGGGCTTGCAAACCATAGGCTCCTTGAAAGCAATTCTCCATTTACCACGGCCCGACGTGTTTGAGTTTAAACTCCGGCTATGAGCTTTTCATCGCTCCAATTCCGGTCTTAAAACTTTAAATCTTCATTCCAGAACAGTATTAGACTTTCTAGTGTTCTTTGGGTACAAGACCATGCCGGTAGTCGCTAACTTTCCGCTTGTTGGCGGTCGCTTGTCACAAGCATTTACCACTCCGTAAATCATTCACAACAAACATCTTCTACAAACGGGTGACATCATTCATGGCTGTGTTGTGCCATCTCCGTGTTTTGTCTAGAAGCATTTCTGTTTTGGTCATCTGTTGCTTTTGAAAGCATCTCTTTGTTGTCTATTTCTAGTACTTCAACTTGTCTCCCACGGCATCTAAGAACTCGGTCGTAGTCACGTATGATTCCCTGTCGGTTCTTCCACATGCTAAAGCCAAGTCCTTGGTCATAATGCCATCCTCCTGAACAACGCCCACCGTAGCATTCTCCAATTTTTGGGCAAATTCAACAACCTCCGGGGTGTTATCCAATGTACCTCTTTGGGCAAGACCTCTGGTCCAGGCGAAAATAGAGGCAATAGAGTTCGTAGAAGTCTCTTTACCTTGTTGGTGTTGTCTAAAGTGTCTGGTAACAGTACCGTGGGCGGCTTCACTTTCATATGACTTTCCATCTGGAGTCATTAAAGCCGAAGTCATGAGTCCCAAACTACCGAAACCCTGAGCGACAATATCCGATTGCACGTCACCATCATAGTTTTTCAATGCCATAACGAATCCTCCCTTTGACTTGATCATCTGTGCAACCATGTCATCGATTAATCTGTGTTCGTACCATACGCCCTTGGCCTCGAACTCCTTGGCGTAATCAGCATCATAAATTTCCTGGAAAATGTCCTTAAAACGACCGTCATACTTCTTCAAGATAGTGTTCTTGGTAGATAAGTATAAAGGCAATCCCTGGGACAAGGCCATCTTGAAAGAAGAGTGGGCAAATCCTCTGATGGACTCGTCGGTGTTGTACATGGCCAAACCGACACCTCTGTCCTTATAGTCATAGACGGTCTTTGTGATTTTTTCACCGCCGTTCAGAGGAGTGAAAACAAGGTCCAACTTACCTGGTTCCTCGATCACCAAGTCGGTAGCCTTATATTGGTCACCATGGGCATGTCTTCCAATCACAATTGGCTTCTCCCAACCAGGCACAAGACGAGGAATTCTTGGAATGATAATCGACTCTCTAAAGACAGTACCACCCAAAATATTTCTAATAGTACCGTTTGGAGACAACCACATTTTTTTCAACTTGAATTCCGCAACACGAGCTTCGTCTGGGGTAATGGTAGCACATTTAATACCCACGCCGTGTTCCTTAATAGCATTGGCAGCATCAACAGTGATCTGGTCATCGGTCTTATCTCTTGCCTCGATACCCAAGTCATAGTATTTCAAGTCAACGTCCAAGTATGGGTTGATCAACTTATCTTTGATTCTGGCCCAGATGATTCTGGTCATTTCATCACCATCCAATTCCACCACAGGGTTCTTCACCTTAATCTTGTTCAACGCCATTGCTGACGACGAAAACTGACGCACGCTTCTGAAGCCTCTCAACATGTTTCGTGTAGTGTAGCTTTTTCACCAAAGTGAGTTGTATTAGTCAAACGTCGATTACTTATAAGAGTGAGAAATTTCCGGCCCGGTACCCACCCGCGGCGCCCCGGAATCGGTCTCGATAACGATGTGCGGATTAGTCACTGGGGGAAGTCAACCAAGGAGTCAGGAAATGACAGGTCTGGGGAATTTGGGTTTGCCGGCTCGGACTTTTTGAAAATAACCGTTGTTTTATATGATTCTCGGTGTTTGGACTGAAAACTGGTGGTTTTCCACGTGAGGCCTTTCTGAAACCCTTCCCTCAGGCACTTTTTTGCAGCCAATGCAAGACGGCCAGGTATAAAAGGAGGGCCTTTTCCTCGGCCAATTCCCACTATAAATTTTATATTCTTATTCTTCTGATCCTCTGCATTTTGCTGTTTAATTCTTAATCCATGATTCCCTCCATAAAAGGCCAATGCTTTGTCTGCAGCAACAAGGCAGCGTGTGATCTAGTGTTCACTGCTCGGTACCGCCTATGCGGTTCGTGTCAGAAAGAAGGTTTGTGGCACCCTGAGATAAGTTTTGAAAGATAATCTAACTTTTACAGTTCATGATCGATGTGTTCAATGTGATACGAGCCCTCGTGCGAGAAAGGGTCTTGTCCCAAAAGATGCCCTGGGAAATACTGATACCTCTGTGCCTTACGAGATGTCGCTTTCGGTGGCGCTCGAGGCGGTGAACAATTTACTTGCTGAGAGAAATTGTCCGTTCAAAGCTTTAAGTGATACCCAGTCCCCAGTTGAGAAGCTGTTGCATCCAAAATCCATGAGTATGTCGAGAGGCGAAAGCTTGTTGGCGGAACTCATGTACTTACGTGTGGAGTCACAATCCTTACGTCAAAAAAATCGGAAATTGAAACGCCGTCTTTTCAATTCCCTTCTTCCTTGCCCTAAAAAGACTGGACAGAAGATGACACCGCTTCGCCCATTGAGCGACGTGCCGTCTAAGGTGCACCTGCCACCAACTCCACCAGCTCCCATTGATCTAAGCCTTCCACCGCTTCGTTTAAAGCAAAGTGTTGGACCCAGCGGTGGCAATGTCTTACCTTCAGTGACTACAATGCTTGGGAATGTTCCCCTGGCGTGTGTTACGAAGAAAAAGCCTGGCTGCAAAAACTCGAAATCGCCTCGTTCTTCGCGCCTCTACCGCTTACCGTTTCCAGAACACGAATGATCGGTGATGACCTGCATGGAATTAGGCCCACGCAACACATTCACCAGAGAAATGTGAGCGCACAAGAATTTGTTGTTACCACTCTTCTTTCTATCAACTTACCAGAATAAAGTTGCTTCGCTAAGTATATTCTTTGCTTGTTTGCTTCGTAGACTTCCAAACATCAACTATTAGTGACTTTCATCTGCTGAATTGCCCAGACTTATCCAAGCCCGTGTGACAAAACTATACACACTGTAATAACTGTAACATGAGTGACGAACCATTCAGTGCGGAGTACTTCCAGCACCTACTATCATCGCTCACTCTCAACTCCAGGGCTCTCATCACAGAACTCACTGCATTGGCTGAACGCCATATCGACAAGGCTACCATCATTGTTTCATTAATCGAGGAAAGGATACAGAAGATTCTACCAAAGTACAAGCTATACAGCTTCTACCTCATGGACTCCATTATAAAGAACGTTGGCAATCCATATAACTTGCTTTTTGCCAGAAACCTTCACAAAATCTTCACTGAGAGTTACCTTGTGGTCACTGATACCCTAACCAGACAAAACCTTATTAATTTGTTCAAGACATGGCTTACGGGTAGAACCAACACTGGCGCAGAATTGTTTCCACATGATGTGCTTATGAAGGTGGAGCAATTCATCATCAAGGCCACTTCTTTGAACACTGGCGGTGAAGAGAATGTAAGGATCACGAGAGACACGCTCTTGAGAGAAGCCAACTACTTGCTTCAATATGTAATTGCTATGGATGAAGACATTGAACGTTTTGAAGACCATGAAAAAGCATACATTGATGATGCCAAGTCGAAGCAGATTCACCAGTTCCATTGCACTAGGAACAAACTTATTTTAAGCATTAACAGCATCAGTGAGACAGTCATGGTTAGTCCTAAGCCTGAGCTCGACAAAATTAAGGAGCCTTTTGCCGGCGACTTGCAACAGATAAGACGTACACTTGATGATCAGAGCTTCCAACAGCTGGCGTTGTTCAGAAGCGTGATGGAACAAAAGCAGGGTGTTTTGGATAAAGAAAGTCTCAAGAGGATAGAAATCAATCTTATACCAAAGCAATTCGATCCGCTTAAAGTGATGTCGGGCGACGAGGATATCGCCTTTGAAGCATTTGTCAAAGGCTGGGGATTGCCTATAATTAATAAGGAGGACGCGATGGTGATAGAGGAGAAGCAGATACAACCAAAGACAGAAGAGGTTCCAAAGGATGACACGTCGCTAGCTGCTCAACTTGGATTGAACGTCACGTCGTTCAACTTTTCAGATTCGTTTTGGGCAGCCCAAAGAACGAGATTACGCATATATCACCATCACACTCGTTGAATGAAAACATTGACGATGAAGATGATGATGAGCTTGGCTACGACCCGGAAAAGACAGTTACCGAGCAAGAGCATGAACTCATTAGTGGAGGATTCCTGGAGCCCGAGCCCAAGCCCTTCAACGGGAAGTCCAGCTTGAAGAGGCCAGGCATTACAGACGAAAAGGTCGTCAAACGGGTTAGGTTTGACGTTTAATAATGTATAGACAAGGCTAATAAAAGAAAGACTACAGCGATTCAATAAAGAATAGATTTCGATTCTAATACATACAAGCGGCAGCGTCTAATGTCCAACCGATGTACACAAAGTAATGACGGAAATGAAGGTTGCTTAAAGGTTACCGGCTCTCTTCAAGTGGACGTATGAAGTGATGAATGGGAAGGAAAAGAAGAAACCGAAGGTGCCCCACCACTTCAAAGCAAATGGAATCTTGGTGTTCTTGACCTTGAATGGCAAGTTGGAGTAAAGACCGGTAGCTGGCTCGCCGAAAACCTTGTTCATGGCTCTGGCAGAGGTCTGGAAGTTTCTGGTGGCTCTGTTAGCTCTCAATCCCAATCTGGCGATCATCATTGTATATGGGTTTTAGTGGGTTCTTGGTATAGGTTATGTTAGTTTTTTCTGACATGAAGCCATTCGCTGCTCACAGAATGAGGTGCACCCGTACACCCTGTTCCATCCTCCCACCCATTTTCTCATAGTTAAGCAAAGCTACCTTTTTTGTCGCACCACTTTTGAAAAAAACACCTTTTCTCAGTATTACCGGCTTCCAATTGGCTGGCTACAACGCACCCGCATTGCTCACAGTCTTTTTTTTGTTGTACCACTTTCACTAGGGCCTGTAGATAAGCGCCTATTGGCTCTCAGTTTCAACATCCATCCATCTTTAAATCAATACAACTTACCCACCAATAAACCAATGTCTGCCATCGCCCCAATCACTGGTACTTTGAGAAGAAAGATCATTTCCGACATCACCATCGGCTTCGGCTGTGGTTTCGTCATGGCTGGTCTTTACTGGCAATATGAGCACAAGCCTCTTGTCCAGAAGAGAGAGGCCTTCTACGCCAAGTTGAAGGCTGAGAAGGAAGCTGAGGACTCTGTCTAAGTCTGAGATAACAGTTAGAATGCTTTAGCTAATTGGTTCCGTGCTAAAGCCACATTCCAAGTTCTTCTATTCTTTTGCATCAATAAACGGTTTATTCATTTTGAATCTCTGTAGGCTTGTTATGTCTATTCTGTGGCCACTTCCATGAGCTTGTGGTTACTGACAATCCCGCTTGTCAATACGAAAAGCGTCTTGTTTTGTCTGGCAAGTTTCGTTTGCAAGTACCTGAGTACTGTTACCTCTCCCCGCGTAATACCGCCAATGAACACTGCAATAACGTATTCTGGCTTGGAATTCTTCGACGCTTCGATTTTCCGGTTGTCCAGCTCATCACATATATTATCGTCGATCGTCTGTCCTCTAAACATAGCATCCAAATTAAGCTTTTCCCAGTTAGGCCTGCGATGCACGTTATTGACTGGCTTGTACTTTAAGAAGTCACGGAAGTAGAGTGATTCTATAAGACGTGCTGTCAAGGGAACAGTCGCTGAGGGGAAGACAAACGATGGGTTAGGGTAGTCGGAAATCGTTTCAATGATAGGTTCATCACCCTCTTCCTCTAGCGGATGGAGGTTCCAGAACTTACTTATAAGCGTATAGGTCGATTTGTAGACATCCTGACCTCCAGTAATTCCCAATGAATTGACATCTTCATATGTTTTGTCGGTTGAGCCAGTCTTGTCGTCTTTACCACCAGAATCAGACAATGTAGTGGTTGTTGTAGTCTCGATTTCAGACTTTCCAAAAGTGAAGCCACTGAAAAAGTCTGTACTTTTGTTGACGGCTTTGAGAAGTTTCAAGTCACGCATCTTTCTGAAAGCTAACACTGTCTGTAAACCAAAGTAAGAATGAATCTGCTCTTCAATTGTTGTGAAATCTTTAGGTTTGATACCATCATTGATCAAGGAAACCAAAGCAGCGCAGCTTAATGCAACGGAGGAAGTACAACCCTGATTCAACAATTCGTGGAACTTTGCAATTTGACGTTTGTAGTCTAGATTAAAGATTTCATTCTGAAGCTCTAGCCACCACTCTCGTATGTCATGTTTATAATCTCCTTCCCTATTATTTTTGATCTTTTCCAAAATAGCTTCACTCAATGCTGTGTGCTTTCTGACTAGCTCCTGTTTTGCCGTCAAGTTTCCTAAATTCTTAACAAGCTGCTTAATTTCTTGCAACTCAGTAATATTATCCTTGTTGCCGAGCTCCAGTTGGATATAACGCGCGAGCTTATTAAGCTTCATGCCAATGGATGCGAAATTAAGGTCTTTGATATTGTCAAATAGTTCATCATTGAGCTTATCACCAGTCTTCAAGACGTTGTTTAATTCGTCCAGCGTGCCAAACAAGTCGTCCAAGAGTCCCAGGTAGTTCATGTGATCAAGCAAAAGCGGGAAGTAGTCCAAGTTTCTTTCCAAAACCACCAAGTCAGTGTTTCCTCGAAGTTTAGTGGTGTAGAAATCTCTTTCATTAGGACTGAACCCTGAGGCAAGATATTCTGTTAATTTGTCATTCATAAGGATGTTTGAGAGGGCAGCGGAATGGTCACCCTTGGCGAAGAGATTCTTGAACTTCATAGTATCGCTAGCTTTCGTAGAATCAACAATTTGAACAAGAGCATCCGATAAAAGCGATAATTGAGGAATTGGGTTTTCAAAGTACAGCTGAAGACCACCGGCCTCCATATTTAGCGAAAGAACAAAGTCCTCAATGCAAAGGGGGAATGTGTGCCAGTTCAATAAACGAACGTAGGAGTTGATTCTGATTGCACTCTGTTCCAAGTTGACATTGGTAGCATTTTTGAAAAGGTCATCTGGAGGCGATCCCAAGATCTTGGATATTTCATAATAAAAAGCTCTCCCGAGATCCTTGACGATCAAGCTCACCTTGACCTTCTGGCGACTAAGGTGAGGCCAGATCTGTCTGAAAAGGCTTAAACACTCATTGGTATCTTCAAGTACCACAATCAACCCACCATATCCTGCCAAGTATTGCAGTACATCTTCTGAAGAAGCCAAAGTCTCGAGCCATACTATTCTATCGAACTTTCCCTTTGCTTTGAGCTCCAGAACAGATGTGAGGTAGTTCAAGCATTGCGAAAGCTTTTGCGTCAAAACAAACAAGTTATCTGAGGTATTGATCTTTCTTAGAACATTAAAAAGATTTTCTGTGGTTTTTTTATTAAACGACGGGCCCAATTCAAGCGACTGGTTCGTCATTAAGGTGGTTGGTATTTGGTAAGTGCTAAGGAAGAGGTGCAGGAAAATCGTATAGTGCGTTTCCCCAGGTGGTTGCAAAATACAAGAAGGGAAGCATAAATATCGTTTAGTGGGGCTATATGAATGTCTAAAGATGAGCTTCTTTTTCGAGGCCGTTGAAATGAACTAAACCTTCCTGGATGATGGTGGCAACATGCTGGCCGGCTTCGTTATACATTTCAGCTTCTAAAAGCACTCTGTTGTTTGTCAAACGGACAGCCTTGAAACCAAAGGCCACCCATTGCGTACAGTCGAATTCACTGTCGTGGAAATAAATGATATGGTCGAGGGAAACAGAAAAGTAGTGGCCTGTTTTGTTCAAGTTGACGGTGGAAATACGCAACACTCTCGCAAGACGAGTCAAGAAGAGGGAGTCTGATAACACACCGAGCCCGACGAACTGGAAAGCAGGGTCCTTGATTTTGAGCGACCCGTCGCCCAAACGAACAAAGAACGACATCTTTCTCTCTGTGACTGGCACACGGTCCTCGTACTTTGTGTCTTCTAACGACACAAACTGGTGGGGGATCTTATGGTAGATGTATCTATTAGCAGACCTCTTATCCACTGGCATATCTTCCTGGCGTTCTTCTTGCAACCAGCGGGGGAAAGGGGTCTGGAAAGAAAACGGTTTAAGCTTCATAGGCTCAGCGTCTTCATCCTCAGGGTCGTATTCTTCACCCTTTGCAGCCGCTTCCTTCTTCAACTTCTCCTGTCTTTCCTCGTAGTCGTAGTACTCCCGTTCAGCCTCTTTGAACGAGTTCTTCTTTGTCAATGAAACATTAGCAATGTACCTTATTTGTTTATCCTGCCATGCCTTGACGCTTCTATTGCAGAAAGTCTTACCGTTAGAAACCTCCTCCACGGTCCATTTCACCTTCTGCTGGTCACTAACACTCTTGACGAAGTGGGAGTGAAGCGAGTGTGGCGTAAACCCTTCTGGCGCCGTTCTAATAGCCGCAAGAAGCGCCTGGCCTGCCAAGTTACCTCCATAAACACCCTTCGACCTCTTTTGTGGTTTGGTAAGCGTATGGTTCAGAATAAATACATGAGTGTCTCCATCTGGTCTGCCTTCCTTGATACCCAAGGCCTCTTCAAAGTCAGACATCTTCTCAGAGTATATCTCAGACAACGGGATCGGTTTGGTACTCATCAATCAAAAAAAGAGCAATAGCTGGTAACTTTTCACCTCTTACTGCCCTAGTCTTGTCCTTATAAGCTTTCTTAGTATGGGGAAGTTCGCGAAAAAGCTCGGTCCCAAATGCGCATGCTGAGCCGGCCCCAGCACTTGTTACGGGGAAAAAAAAGGTCCGCGGTTCCCTCCCAGCGGGGACATTCAGCCCCAAGAAGAAGAAAGCTTGCTGTAACGGTTCCTTCTTTGTGAAGAACTCAAACACTAATTGTTAGTGGCTGATCTTTATAAAAGGTGGTGAATTGTTTGTCATTGTGGTGGGGAAGAATTAGTGTTCGCTTAGGTAGAGATGAAGGGAAGAGAGGGAGAGAGTGTAATGGGTGCAAAATAATATGTGTGGTTTTGTGGAGATCTCGTATTCGGCGTGGGAGAAGGTGGCAGCGTTAGGAGACTACGGAGACGGTAGGTCCGAGGGAGTCGATGGAAAATTCGGAATATTGGGCAGGCATGGGCCGAGGAAGGAAGGGTTAAGAAATTCGGAAAAATAGAGAGATAGAAAATAAAAGGTGATAATAGATGGAGGGTTTTTAGATGGAAAGTCCGAATGGGTGGTGGAGGGAAGGTGGATCAAGGTGAGGTTGTGGTGCCCCTAGTTAAAGACGTGGAGTGGTGTTGAGATATGTAGAGGTAGGCTTCTTAGATGACTAAGATACTAGTAGACTAATAATTTGAACTTTCCTTTTTTTTTTTTTTCTTCTTTTTTTTTTTTTGTTTTTCTTTATTCAAAAGTTACCGGTGGTACTTCACCGTTTTGTGTACTTGTGGTGCCTGCGTTTTGCAGCCATTCTGTGATCTCGCATTTAAAATACATAAACAATCCAAACAATAATTACACCAGTCTATAATATTTCTTAGTCAAAGCATATGATGTTAACTAAATCGATTTACATATCTCATGAAAAATAAATAAAATGAAGGCCGTTTCTACGCCCTTAGAGCTTGTACGTGGCGCCCTTGGACTTGTCAGCCAACACGAGTGGCACATATGTGAGTGCCTCTTGCGTAACCGTTGCAATGTGTTTTCTGTTACGAGCATAGATTCTAACAGAGCACAACACTCTGTCGTTTGACAACCGCTCAAAGTTGTAGTCCATGAACATATAGTCCGTAGGATCAAAGTCGTTATCGTGGAAGTAAACTGTGTGGTCCAACGACACTCTGAAGAAATCCAAGGCTCCCTTGGACATCAATGGGATACCAAGCGCTCTCACCATGGTGACCAAGAAATACGAATCAGAGCCAAACGCAAGGTCAATGTGTCTTTGTTTGTCAGGGTTTTTTGCCAAGTTTAATCTGTCATTGACTTTGAAAAATCCACCATAACGACGGTATGGAATCTCAAGCGAGAGCTCATCTTCCTTAGGGTTATTTCTTAATACTTCTGGAGGAAGCACCGTAAGCAAGTTACCATTGGTGTGCTCGAACGAGGGAAGTTCGTCAAGACGGTCGACATACTTGTCAAACCATGGATGTGGACTGCTGGTGAATTCCAATGGAATCTTGGTTCTTGGGTGGTACTTCTTGTCTTCGTCAAGCTGAGCAAACTCTCTCTTTCTCTTGTCAATGGAGTTGTTGCGCACAAAAGACACAATCATAATGTAACAAAGCTGGCCAGTGTGCTGCTGGAAGACTCTGACCAAACGGGAACAGTAGTTTCTTCCTTGAGAAGTATTTTCAACCTCATACCTCATCTTGGACTCATTGGAGCCTGCCTTGAGGAAGTATGAATGCAATGAGTGAGGTGAGAAGTCTGGGTCATCGACTGAGTCGTAAGCAGCCAGCAACGTCTGGGCTGCAAATTCACCACCATAGACACCTCTAGCACCTTCTCTGAAGAACTCCAAAGGGTAGTTACCTTCAAACTCAGTGTCCAGCTTCTTTGTCACGGAGAACTTCTCCTCTAGGCGAGAGACATTAGGGTTCTCGTAAAGCTCTTGGATACTCATAAATAGAATGGGTGGATGTGAACGGTTTTTGGAAGATAAGCTATTGCAAAAGGCAAAAAAGAAAAAACGTGAAAAATTTAAGCTTTCGTAAATAGCAGACCCTTACCGTTCTTATACTTTTTCGATGCGATGTGAAACCGAGGTTATGGCATTTAACGCATGCGTTTGGAACCCCAGTGGTGCACGGGTGTCATTGGAGAACGTTATTCAAAGTGTGGAGAGGCTTACTTACAAGACAAGAAGATTTGCTGGAAGCGGAGCACTCTAAAAAATTGCGCGCTACTTAGTTAAACACTGCTGGTTCTTCAGCCCTGCCATTGTCGCCCTAGCGGAATCCAGGCACCATTAGGAAATGCTAGTTTGGGCGATCTTTGTCCTTATATTCTGTGCTTGTTTGGAACTCCTGGTCTCATGTACGTTAAGCCTTCTTGGATAACCGTGGCTACACAGTTACCTTCCTTATTGTAGAAGTAGCCGCGGACCAAGGCCCTGTTGTTTCGTAAAACCTTAAATTGGTACGTCAACGTCAACCAGTCTTTAACGATGTTGAATGCATTGAAATCGTCACCGTGGAAGTAGAGATGGTGGTCGAGCGACATGGCGTTGTAGTGGAAAATATGCAAGGCATTCAACGTAACGTTCATGATGTTTCTGGCGTCCTTGTCTTCATCAAAACTTTCATACGGATTGTCCACAGTGGGGTTCCAATGAAGATGTAAAACACGAGCCAACGTAGTCAATAACGCAGAGTCTGAAATATCTGCCAACCCTACGTAGTTATACCGAGGGTCGTTCATTTGGTCCTTCTTGGGTTGTTGGAGCCCGCTCCACACAGTAATCCACCTCTCGGCGGCTCTTAAGTTATCTTCTTCTGGCGTGAGGTTGTAGTCAATGAATTCTGGAGAGAAAGCATTACGAACAAAGTCGGTATGGGTGATTTTCCGGAGTTGGCTAGGATCAGGGTACTTCTTGGTCAACGGTGGAGGTGGATGTTGGATATTCAAGTCACCCGAGGTCACCCTCGATCCCTTCTTCTTCAATGAGCTCAATGCCGTGTAAATAATGACGTCCTTCTGGATCACCTTGATTTCTCTCATACAGAAGGTTTTACCATCGTGTAACCTCGTCACTTTGTAAGTGTACGGAATCTTATGGGAGCCAGCCTTGATAAAGTGGGAATGAAACGAGTGTGGAACGAACCCTGGTGCAGATTCCATGGCCACCAAAAGCGTTTGGGCACAAGTGTGGCCTCCATAAACACCTCTAGCTCCAGCTATAGGGAGTCTTAATGGATGGGCTCCCACCCAGGTATTGTGGTCAACCTTCACCACGCGGAAAGCCTCTTCAAAGTCGCCTGGATCATTTTTCAAGTCAGCTGGAGGAGCAAGAGACATGGTTTCGTAAACAGTATCTCTAATGAAAGAGTATGTAAAGTGCAAGCTCGGCTATTTATTTGAGGATTAGGCCGACCAAGCTCCGGTGAGAGGAGCTCACCCCGCACTGTTTTTGAAAAAAAGATCTTTCAGAGCGTTACGCAGGTCGAGTTATTCACGTGCGAGCATCCAGCATGTGAGGACTTGAGAAGAGACACCGAAACGCCATAACAAGACTTATGTGAAGTAAGGCTCGGCAGGTTTTTCTGGTTGAGGCCGCGTTGTGGGTTAGACACCTCATTGGGAATCCAATGAATGGTGGGGCCGAGGAATGCTGTCTTCTGAAAAGAAGGGATGGTTCCCCTCAATTGAACTTATCGTAGAACTTCTTGGAGATTTGTTCTTGTTCTTTGGTTGGTAAGCGGTTGACTCGTTGGAGAGGACGCGCAGCTGATCTTGAGGGCACCACATCTGAGAGTGCAATGTCAGGCTCTTCATTCTGGACTTTTGGAATGCTTTCGCCAATTGAAGAAATTAAACCGCTGATCTTCAGGTAACGAGGAGGTGTGATATTTCTGTGTGCTTTCAGTTCAAACTTGCGTTTCTTGAACGCGAAGCCATCATCTTCGTCATCGACCTGACCGGCTATCAATGGCTTGAGACCAACCAATTGTCTCTGCTTGTCTGTGAGCGGCAAGTCCACGCACTGGTCTTGTGGCCATACAAGACGTACCAAGCTGATGACGATTGCAATGATAAATATCCATTGGAGGTGATGAACATGAGGCCAGAAGGTCGGTATTAAACCCTTCTCGTTTTCAACATAACGTGCCCACGCTGCATGCTTTCGAAGCACTTGAGAATACTGATGGTTGAGCTGATAGAGCTTGTAGAAGTACTCTGTGAAGAGTATGAAAAGATGGAAGCCAACTAAGCGAAACACATTAGTATACAAGTTCTTGAAGATTCTCTCCTTGTTGACTTGTCTGCTCAAAGCTTCCTTCATCACAGGACTCATCCATTCTCCAGTAGGAGTGGACTCGTCCACCAATTCTTCATCATCATCAAGTTCATCATCATTCCTTCCTTGTGTTGGTTGCAGGGACGCATAATTATATTCTTTGTAGTCAGATCAGATTTTGGTGGTATAAAGTCATGAGGTAAAAGACTTCGGTTATGATATAATGGTTTATAAAAAACTTGAGGTTTTGGTTTGCTTTCTGATTCCAGATTTAGGAAAAGATGATCTTTACCCATGCTGCTGAATGGCATTCTTGCCTGGGATGCTTGTAAGGATGCTTCTGATAGTGGAAGAAGATTATCCATATCATTAAACGATGCATACTGGGAGGATCGGCTTATTGGAGCGTTTGATGCTTGTGGTTGCAGTTCGGCTTGTTTGTTGTACTGCCTGTCTTCATTAATTTCGTTCAACACCAGATTCACATTGGCGTTCGGAAGACGTCTGAGTGGAGTGGAGAGGGTGTCATTATTAACGCCATCGAGCATAGATCCAGTTCCTGAATAGAACTTTTCAGACTCGGGAGATCCAAACATGACTTGTAGTCTGAGATGTATGTCTGCTTGGGAGCAAAATATATGGTGTGTACTATTTGCAGGATCCATCACCAACTAGTAGAAGGGATCCAACGATAGCATCTACAACGATGATTAGAGATCTTCTGAATGATGAATTTAATATTCAGTTAATATATAAGTATCTTTCTATTAATATTGTGTTTGTTTAATCCGGTTTGGGTGATATCTCTGCCAGCAGAGATGAGTGGTATGCAGTACTGGCTGCAAAAGTGTCAAAGAATAAATAGGATACCCTTGATGAACTTAAAGTAGAAAATCATCTTGGAAGGTATTAAAGCCGCTTATATCTTGCAAGTCTTGGAGTGGGACGATTGTTGGTCTTCCATGTGCACATTGGGTGAAGAGACGGCATTTGCTTAGCTCACTTAACAAGTGGACCATCTCACCATGAGAGAGAATCTCTCCAAACTTGATGGCTTGTTTGCAAGACTTTGTTATGATCGAATCACGAATTCCTCTTGGTATCTGTTGAATGGCTAAGAACCAGTCCTGCGACAAGGCTGGTTCTGTGTGTTTCTGTTGAAGATCTTCAGCCCATCCCAATAAGAATGCTTTCAAGGATAAGACGTTGCTTGCTTTAGGTATAAGGATTGCAGGAAGATGGGTAACGTAAACATGGGCAGTATCGCTTTCAAAATCTATTCCAAATGTTTGGAGATGGTCCTTTTTTTCGACAAGAGTACTCAACTCCCGAGAATCGACTTCAAACAGAGCTATCTCATCACAACGAATTCGCAAGTCTATGAATGGGTCGTGGAGATTATCTAAGAAATCTCGAAGAAGATGTTCATATTGGATCCGCTCGTCACAGGCATGTTGGTCGGCAATGTATAAAGAATTTTTGTCCCTGAGTAGGATAAAGCGATCAACCACCTGGCTGATTATTTGGCAATTGTCAACGAACATATCCTGTGTAACTTGAGAAAGTTGGGGAGATTCTGGAGTGGACTCAGGAGTTGCAACTATTGGAGTAGAAGGAGACCCCTGAGGAGTCGTATTAGAACGTCTAGTTCGTTTCTTGGGTGTTTCGCCGAGCTCATCTACTTCCTTAAAAAGGCTTTGCAAGCTTTGGAAGACTTGTTTGTAAACTAGCCTAGAGTCCTTTTGGCCAGGTAATTGTCCATCCTCCTGGTGCTGCTTGACAAGGATAATAAACGAAGGGCATCCTTTTGTGGACCTCCCAAAGTAGCCTTTCACAGAGGTGTACTTAGCTCTTGAAATATAGTCTGAGATGCTTCTTCTTTCAGAGCCTGATAAATGAACCGGCGTATTATTGAGAAACACGAACTGAAGCCGACTGGTTTGGACAGATTCTTGGGAGACGAACAAAGTGAGAATTGCTTCCCCGTCTTTATCTTCATAGCGTTCAAAATTTCTTTGGCCAAAAAGTGAAGAGTAAGCTTCAGTAATAGTTGCACAATCGCTCGTATCGATGATCTTCCTAAAGCCGGTTTCCAGATCACCGTCGTTCACGTACATCGAAAGACATACATCAGGTTTAGTAGCAACAGTCTCAAACAACTTAACACGAATAGAATCGAGCATAGGTTTCTGATTCTCCATCGCAAGCTCCCAGCGAACTGGAGCAGGACCAAACAACCGAGCTACCATAACCACAGTTCCCTGAGCACCATAAGTAGGAGCAAAGAAGTCATCAAGTACCTGAACGCTCAGTTCCTTTTGCTTTCTAAAGCTCTTAGTATTCCAATCAGACTCGTTTATCGTCTTCGATCGTAGGACAACGTTAGAGCTGCTGTTAACCAACGCATTGAGTGCTTCTCCACGAAACCCAATACTCTCCTTACCAAACTTCGAAGTGTGGTGAGGAATCCCAGCCTTATCAAGGTTCTCCTTCACCATCCCAGTCCCATCGTCTTCCACACAAACACTCAAAGTGCCGAGGTGGAGTTTGACTCTGATGTGATGAGCCTCTGCGTCAATGGCATTTGATACCAATTCCCGAATTGCCGACTCGGTCGAATCTATTAGCATGCCTCCTCGAAGCCTAGAAACCGTCTCCAGGTCTAAACATCTGATCATGTTCTGTTCATTGGTAGTCAGGCCTTAGGGCTCTGTGGTACACTAAGGCTCACAAAAAGTAGTGCATGAGTCTTGCTCGGAGTCGGCACGGCTGTAGAGTCATTGACAGGATGTGGTTGGGGAACGCCAAAAGTCAAACCTTAAACATGAAAAACAAGCCTATTTGCATTTCAACCAATTCCTTCCTGAAACGTCGCTAAACCTGATTTATACTTTCTTTTTCACCTTTTCTACTCTTTCCGTAATGCCTTCTTCTCGGACTCGGAGCTCGCACTACTACTGATTCAATGCCATCGAGGCCTGCACAACTTATGCAGAGGACTATTACTTCATCGTCTTTCTTTCAACATCAAATGAAACCAGCAAGCCCGCGAGAGGACCATCTTCTGAAGAATTCAGACGTGTCGCCCGTTGAGTCGCTTGTGGCTGGCTCAATTTCGGGTGCCGTGGCCAGGTATGTACGGAGAACTCCGACCCGTCAAACGCCATACTAACATTTAGAGCTGTCACTGCTCCATTGGATACCATCAAGATCAGACTACAGCTACTGCTTAGTCGTGATAAGCACTCTAGCTTGGCACTGACAGTTAAGAAACTACTTAGGAACGAAGGTGTGACGGCGTTGTGGAAAGGTAATGTTCCTGCTGAGATCCTCTACGTCTTATATGGAGCTTCCCAATTCACGTCATATTCTCTCCTTAACACGGGTCTTCGTGATTTACAAGACTCGTTCAATGTCTCAATGAGCCCGCTGCTTCATACATTTACCGTGGGCTGTGGCGCTGGCTTGAGCAGCACTGTCTTGACATACCCGTTCGACTTGCTTCGAACAAAACTAGCAGCTAATGAGGGAGAAAAGTTCTTGTCAATGACTTCCGTTGCTAGAGATATATACCGTGAGAGGGGCTTTATTGGATACTTTGCGGGTATACGGCCATCGCTTCTCTCCATTGTTGCATCGTCTGGGTTGTTCTTCTGGTCCTATTCGCTAGCAAGAAGAACCACAGACAAGATATACGAGCAGTTTGGCTACCGCATATGGGGAGTCGAAGCTGTGTGTGGTTTTGCCGCAGGTACCACTGCTAAAGCTATAACGTTCCCCTTAGACACATTGAGAAAACGAATGCAAATCAGTCAGCAGAGGAGTGGCTTGAGAGTTTTCATCAACAATTTCAAAGCTCATGGCTTCTTCGGTTTCTACAGAGGCTTCTTCGTGTCGCTCATGAAAACAGCACCCACCAGTGCCATATCCGTTTTCGTATATGAATATTCCATCAGCGCCACAAGGAAAGCCAGCGTCCTCATTTAAAGGTCACAGACTTTCCCTACTAATTTGCCTTGATTTTCAAATTATACCCTTGCATATTGTTTAAGACCCAGTTTAATTTTTGAAAAGATAATCTCCGTCATCTTCGTCATCATTATCCTCATCCTCGTCATCGTCATCATCTCCGTCGTCCTCGTCGGTACGATTGTATAATAGTACATCGTGATCGTTTATATCTTCAATAGACCTCGTAAACAGACTAGGCAGAATGTATTCTTTATCCGCCTCGGATAAGCCTGAATCGAGACCATCTTGGGAAACGTTGCTGCTGTTGTCTCCCTTTCTAACGTATAGCGACAGTGAGTTCATCAAAACGTTATTGAACCTGTTGGATTGGCTGTTTTCTAAGCTGCGTCGTATCGACAGAGATTGTAGATTCTCGCTTCGATTCTGTTGATCTTCTCCAGAAGGCGACAGCGTATTTTTCAGTTTAGTTGATCTGCTCCTTCGGAGCGAGGTATCAGAGGTGCTTTGGTTCTCTGGAGCTTCAGTTGTTTTGTTTTGTTCGTGTTCGTGTTCGGGTGTTTCCGATTGTTGGTTGTCGATTGTAAGCTGTTTACGAATGTAGTCGGGCAACACCTCCCCCACCAAGGACGACCTTCGGGCTGCCATCACGGTCTGAGAACTTGCTGTCCTTTGCTGAACTTCATTTAGTTCTGAGTTCTGAAGTCTCGCCTTGTACTTCCTGAGTGTCTGTTTGATCGACCCCTTCCGTGGTCTTTCATAAGGAACTGGCGTATAGTCATGATTTTCGAGGTTGGTCACTCTTGAGTTCACTCTAAAGTTACTGACAGCAGCAATGGCAGGCGTGCTGGGTGTGCCCCTATTAGACGGTTCACCCTGAGTTAGGTTCTTTATCTCATATGAAAGTCTCCTTTGCGTTCTTTCGTCTGCTTGTATAGCAGGAGGTCTCTGTTCTTTGGAAGTAGCTTCAGTTTCCCCATCGTTATCCGCTACTTCCTGGCCAACCTGTTGGGCCACTTTATATTCCATAAGGTTGAGATCACGGATGAGCTTCTCCACTTCCTCGTGCAATGGAGATTTGGCATTCTGGTTTTGCTTAAGTAGATGTACTAGTTCCTTGTCCTGCCCTAGACGCGTCCTCTCGACGACATCTTTGAAGATTCTCTCTGAAGACGATATCATTTGAAGAAAAGGAGGTCGTATCTTCCCTTCTATCTTTTACATTGTGCAGTGCGGTATTATCATGGGTTGGGGTAGTTGGAGTGCACGGCTCCTCGAAAGTGGGAAAATATTATTATATTACATCTTTGGATTTGCTATACTTAGTCATGGGCAAAGGGTATTAAAAGATGGGGTAACTCGTAATTTCAATGTGAATAGAGCCCCTTGACTTCCTCGAGAATCGAAGGGTACCATCTTGCAGCCACGTCCTGATGCGACTTAATACGGTTGCGAAAAACGGCATGTCCTACAGCATGCTGGGAGAGGTCTGGGGTAAACTGGAACCCCACATCGACTCCCCATCCTTCTATCGCCTTATCTCTATCATCTCGAAGCTGAAGAACGTCTTTGGGAATATTAGATACGGCCAGCTTTCTCGAGTCAAGATCGATCGTCTGGAAGAATGGCACTGATATACGGGTTCCCAGTCCTGCTTCTGGGTTCAAGACACGGTGAATGGTGGCTTTACAGACCCCGTTGGTGATAGCCTCGAGTGTTTGTCCAGCATTCACAACAAGACTGTGTGGTATATTATCAACTGTAATCCATTTGCCCTGGAAATTCTGCACTTGCAAAGAACTACGGTGGTGTTCTGTTGCTTGATAGATGTACGTGAGGAGATCTGAGTCACGGTGTGGTCCTACTCCTTGTCCTGTTTCAGGTAAATCATCCAAAGCTTGGGATTTGGCTCCCTGGAGCTGTGCTGAGTCTGGGTACGCAATGAGTTTCATCTTGCATTGTTGGTTTTCTTTAAAGTACCCGTCTAAAGCATCTGGAGGAATGCCAATGGCCTCACATGCTAGCCTTCGGAACGTGTTACTTAGACGAGTCATCTTCTCGATGTAGCTGGTGATGACTGCCCTGAAGCCTGGGATATGTTCTTCGTCGGGCCATAAATTAGGGCCTTCAATGTTCTTGTAAATGGGGTCACCTTCCTTTGGAGGAGGCAACTCGGTGGCTAGATCAATCTGCTCACGCCAGTCGGTGTGGGAAGCAGTGATCTCGTTTGCAAGTCTGGTGTAGCCCAAGAAATGTGGAGAATTGATCATCTCACACTTTTGCTTCACGGCATCTGGAAGTTCGAAAAACTTAATCAGCTGCTCCTTGATATCCAAGAAGTCTTGTCTGGAAGGACCGTACTTTTCATAGTTCACTAGGAGTAGGAAACCTACATTGATAAGCGAGTTGCGAAGCTCTGCGAGAAACTGTGTCTTCGTTTCTGGATCAAAGGCTTTCTCCAAATCTAACACCTGGATCAGCTGGAAGGACATTGCAATTTAAGTGAAAAAGAGTTATAATACTGAAAGAGTCCTTCTCGATGAGCCACAACTCGAGGCTATATGCTGCACGTGCGATGGGCTGATTATGTGGGGAACATCAATCGCTGCGGCTATATGGTCTTACGATTAGTGCCTGCCTTGGCTGCAAAACTTATGGGTGGAAGCACTTTTAAGGCTATATTATTAAAAAGGGTCGAGATAAATGATATTTAGTCTCTTTTTTTTGCGTTTGTGGGTCGTTCTGGTATAAGCAATGTAGTGCTTATTCCTTCGATTCATCAGTAGGCTCCGGGCCGTTATCATCCTTCACTTCGGTAGCTTTCTCGTCACCATCATCTTTAGCATCAGGGTTTTCGTCGATGGTTAAACCTTCCTCAGGTACCTCGAGGCTGTCTTTCTTCGATGTCTCGTCATTGAGTTCCTTGGTTTGGTTTGCAGCCTCGTCTTTAGGCTTCGTCTCGACTTCTTCTTCGGTTTCTGTCTTGGTCAGAGTCTCGGCTGCTTCATTGGGTTCATCTTTAGATTCCTCCTTGAGTTCCTCTTTAGGTTCCTCTTTAGGTTCCTCTTTAGGTTCCTCTTTAGGTTCCTCTTTAGGTTCCTCTTTAGGTTCCTCTTTAGGTTCCTCTTTAGGTTCCTCTTTAGGTTCCTCTTTAGGCTCCTCTTTAGGCTCCTCCTTATGTTCCTCTATAGATTTTTCCTTGGGTTCTTCCTTAGACTCTTCCTTAGGTTCCTCCTTTGCTTCCTCCTTCGTTTCATCCTTAGCTTCTTCTTTAGCATCTTCCTTAGCTTCTTCCTTAGCTTCCTCCTTAGCTTCTTCCTTAGCTTCTTCCTTAGCTTCTTCCTTAGCTTCTTCCTTAGCTTCTTCCTTAGCTTCTTCCTTAGCTTCTTCCTTAGCTTCTTCCTTAGCTTCTTCCTTAGCTTCTTCCTTAGCTTCCTCAACAGGCAGAGTTGGCTCATCTAATGACCCGCTCGCTAGATTTTCATCCACAATGATCTCACTCTGCTCCTCGGGTTCATTAGATACGTTCGCTGATTCCTTCACAGGCTCCTGCTCTTCTTTGGCTTTTTCAATTTCAGCTTTCTTTTCGTCATCGGGTAAAGTTGCAGGCTGCTTGCTACCGCCCGAAGTATCTGGGCCATTGCTTTCCAAAGACTTTCTTGCGGTCTCAGCTCTCTCTCCCTCAATGTTGTTCCTCATGATTTCCTCCATCTTCGCATCTTCGATAGTAGGTAATGCATTAACATTTTCCCAGATGACTTGGCCAGAACTTCCATAACCGGGAAGTTCCCCGAGTTTCACCCTGAAATAATCGACGTCCTTAAGCAAAGAATGTTTTTCGTTGAGATCTTTGAATTGAGGAAGCTCTGTGCAAAAGCAGTTCAATAATAATCTCTTATAATTGTCGAAAATTTGCAGCAAAATGTTTGAGTAAGTACCTTCGTCTGTATACTTTAAAAGGACTTTGTGGACGGTGTTAATTTCCTTCGCAATGGATTCCATATATGGATGGCATTGCTGACCAGAGGTGAGTGGTTCCGACCAGTCAATCTGAACAACTGATTTACAGTGGGTCACTGTACGCTCCTTCATCAATGACACGATCTTGTTGCAGAGCTCGCCTTCGTGATCCTTATAATATGACGCGATTCTGGAAAATGTAAGTTCCTCGCCACTTTGTTGAGCTTGGTCAAAATCATCTTTCTTGCTCTTGAAGATATGCTGGATGGAATTGAGGAAATCATGGGCAAACTGTATCGTAGGAATACAAAGGGCAAGATGTCTAGTAGACATATGCTTAAGACCTGCTGTTCTTGTAGCGCCTTGGTTTAAAACAGCCTGAGATATCCTTGAGTTCATGAGGTTGAAGAAGTTCAAAATGTTAAACTTTATTGTTTGAGCACGAGATACAAAGACGGATGAAAGTATAATGTAGTCTCGTATGTTCGACACCGCGTCAAGCATAAGTCGAGGGAGCATGTACTCTTTCTCGCCAATTTGAAGCTTGGCCTTGCGCGGTTGCTCTTTGGTTGTCGCTGATTCATCTTTTTCTTCTTGTTCGTAGAATACCAAAAGATTCGATCCAAGCTTTCCGCTTGTGCCTTCTTTTCCATCAGTTTCGTGGTATTTGCAACAGCCAAGCAATTCGTCTAGCTTGTCCTGACCGGCGCCAACAATGGATAAATCGGTACATTCTCTCCAAGTTTCCTTGTCGCACGCACTTCCAATACGCTTGATGGAGTTGTGATGAAAGCGGTTGACATAGTAACCAATATGATTCTTCACCCAATCATTGAATGAACTGCCAGGGCCCGTCGCATTGTAGCCTGGATTAATAAACTCGCATTCCAGTAGATATGCAGACGAAATCGAGAAGAGCTTCAAATACTGGGCAACAGAAGAGTCGCAAATCTGTTCCAGTCTGACGTTGGATATCTTTACCAAACGAATTTGGGTCAATTCTATCGCCCTATTAATGGCATTTGTTATGTCTAATGACATGACATCAATAGCGTCGTTTGCTGATAACGAACTAAGTGACAAATCGAGTAATAGCTTTTGATGAATTGTGAGTCTTCTCAAACATTCTGATAAGTTTGCATAAATCTTCTTCATCATCGCAATGTACTCGTCGTGTGAGAAGCCCTTGATGTTGTCTGACAACGAATTGCTTGCCATTGCGCTTGACTCGGATCCACGGCTTGCCTCCGGAGGCATAGATGAATCTCTAGATGATGGGTTTGACAGTGATTCCATTTGCAAAGAATCCAGTCTGCTAGCCAGCGGTAAGTTGGAGCTGATGATAGCCTTCACCTCGGTAATTATCTTATTTTGATAAACTCCAAATGCCTCAACTAAGTGGCTTGACTTGTGCAAGTTCCTTATGAAAAGAGTGAGTTGTTCCTTAACACTTGGCGGGACATTTGCGTATGAAGTATTCAGAGCGGAACCAAAAGTCCTGCGAGGGTCAGTCGCCACATAAATACGATTCATAGTATCCTTGACAGGTACCAGTTCATAGTGTGACCTAAGATCTTCAAGCAATAGGCTCACGAACGAGTCAATATAGCCCTTACTGCAAGCCTGTTTTAACTGATGCAATTTGTTTTTGATGGGGAAAAGGGCTGGCACTCCGGTAAGGTCGACTAAAGAATATTCAAAGCGTGGATAAAACTTGAACGTATCAGGGTCTGGGTAATCTTCGCGAGTTGTGCCATTTATCAAATGCTCGATGATTAAAATGCTGTTAAGGCAGTCACTATGTTCTCCCTTCGTGAAGAGGTCTTCGGCTTTATGGAAAAAGTTGACGACTTCCTTTAGTTGAAGGACTGATGATTCAAGATGACATACGTTTTGACGCTCGTCGAGCAAGTCTAGGATCTTTAAGCCTCTCTTGGCTTGTTCTTCCTCGATTGTGCCGAGCTTGGTTTGGATTGAATGAAACTGTTCAATACAGGTTCCAGATTGGGCCTTGATCCCCTGAATTTCCCCCAACGTGCTAAAGAATGAATCAGATGTTCGTGAGATCTCTTGGATAAGCTCAACTTCAACTCTATCTAGGTACTGTGAAAGCTTGTCTTGTACCTCTGTGTTGTGTACTATATGCGTACTATCATGGGATTCGGGATCGGGAAGGATTTGGGAATCTTCCATGACTTGGCGGAAAGTTCTTGGGTCATCAAGATGGAAGTCTGGATTTTCAAACACCGTAGGGATTTCAAGCTGGTCATCATCTTCGGCATGTTCGAGGCGATCTAGGGATTGAACAGGCGAAGAGGCCGAAAGCTTAGTTAAAACATCCTCAGTCAAGTTTCTATTCGTTTTCTCGAAGTTCTTGTATTCTGCAGCCATGTCCTTGACAAGCTCTTGGTTCAACCTTTTTGAAGAGACCTTATATTTGAGCGATTGAAGCTGGATCTGTGGAATATCCTTGGAAGTAGGTTTGGTCAAATTGTAAACCGTATTGGTGCCACCATTGACTGAAATATATGTCTTGAGCGGCTTATTTTGTCGGATCCGAGCAACGTCGGACGCCAGGGTAAGTTCAAAGATCGAATTAGGCCCCAAAGGCAGAAACGTATCCTGGCTACCCTCTTCCTCGCCATAGCCCATCTTCAATATGTTAAATGCCAGTATTATGCTATCTTCGCCAGCAGAACCACGAAGGTTGGAGTACACTGATTCGGTGACCGGTTTCCGGGCCAGCTCATGGGAATACTCGCTCGCCACATCCTCGTTGATATTGACCGTAGTGTCCATAGAGACACGTGCCGACGGCGTAGCGTTGTCTCCGTTTGAGGACATGGTGTGGGGCCAATTAGGTGTTGAAGGTACGGTGGTTGGTTGTTGGTACTTGGACAGTTGATATGTCGGTACAGGAAGACTATGTATGGTGCGCCCAAGAGGCCAGCTGATTTTAGAGATAAGATGGTCGAATGGATGAATAAAGGGAAGAATAGGTATGAGGAAACAAATTGTGGGTACTGAAGGTATTTTTTAGCATTTATTGTGAGTTGGGGTTGTTTACGATTTGTGTATGGATTTTGCAACCACTTACCGAAATGGAGGAATAGGAAGTGCTGCGAAAAACACGGTACTTCGAAGAAATGTGAACCCACAATGGGCTATGAGCTTTATATATATATGTATATAAAAAAAAACAACTATATCCAAAAGGAAGTTATTCAAATGCCAGGAAAGTTATATTTATCTTCCTTTTCATTAAAAATCGATTTAAAACCACTTTTAATGGGCCTCTACAGTGTACTGCCGAACCGGGTACTGTTACACTTGACATGCACTGAATTTCCAATGCCAAGAAACAACACCAAAACTCCAATGAACCACCTCACCCAAACTACTTCAAAATTTGCTCATAATAAGAAGAAAGAAAAAAAAAAATTAATTGACTCATGGAATGTGGGGGTACCATCCTAAAACGAACGGGAAATTTTCAAACCGTATCACGTGCCCAATTTTGGTGTGGATATTTAGTGCACTTACTTAGCTAATGTGCTCGTTACTAATCACTCCATCTCTCTTTCCATATAATCCACTACAATGTCTGAGCCAGCCAAGCAAGAGTCTAAGCCAAAGCCATGCTGTGTGTGTTTGGACGAAAAGAAGACTCGTGATGAATGTCTTTTGTTCAACGGCCAGGATTCCGGCAAATGTGATGACATTATCCAAAAATACAAGACATGTATGAAGGGCTACGGTTTCGAAACCAACTAGACAGTTTCCGGAAGCCATCCTTTATTCCTGTAAATAATATAAAAGCCTAATGTACATAGTTGGGGCAAGAGCCGTTAAATAGATAAACTCGGAACTTTAGAGTCATGCTCAGCTTGTAGATCCGTAGTGGTCTGCTTGATTCTCCTCGTCTGGATGTGATCTTTTCGGCAAGAGACCGTTGCCTTCTTCTATATCGTGGTGAGTGGCGTCATGGGAGCGTCTTCTGTGGCTTCTGGCGTTGGTTCTGTAAATGACCTGATTTTGAATGAAGTTGTCAATCAACACCAACTGCAAACAGTTCATAAAGATGGGCACAAGGAACATCACAACGAATATCTCGAACTCATTCGGGTATTCATCGAGCCATGCTAAGAGGATCTTGCTCGTTATCCATAAGAGCTCTGTCTCAAAGCACTCCACCAAGCCATACAAGATGAACTTGGTCGCCATCAACGCACCGAAATAAATACCAAGCTGCTTAATATAAGCACGCTTACTTGGATTGTGAGGATCTGGTCCATATTGGCCTGATTCTATCTGGGTGAAGCCAAGATGGGTTTTGGCGAACCAGTTGAAACAGCGGAACACGAGGTAAAGAATGTACACGCCAATAGTACAGTCAAACACAATACTCAAGAAGTACCAATCGCATGGATCGCCGGTTTCATCTCCAGTTGCACTGAGCCATTCCTCGGGCAGTGTCTTAATGATAGATAGTAGAACATTGAATACATGTACTCCAAACGCTCCAATCACCTGCTTAGAAACGTCAAACATCCAGACTGGCCATGTTCTCCTCACAGGGTATTCGTAAAACCTCTTGACTAAAAGCGACAGTAGACATAAAAGACCCAACAATGCCTGGGTAATAAGGGAAAACGTGCCCACCAATTCACACTTGCCCTCGGAGTCATTATCCTGACGAGACCGAGTTACTGTGGATTCTATGAAAAGCGTGCTTGCTAAGAACCCAGCGAGTGACGCTGCATCAGGAAGCACAGCCATATGTAAGTGAAGGTAGATGTGGGAATATGCGATCTATAAGATAAGTAATGAAGGCTGTATATGTCTTTGTACTAGAATGACTTAGTCCTGGAGCAAGCTAGTGATGCTAGCTGCATGAAATGCGCGGTGTACGGGTGTATTACCGTTAGCGTATGCGTGGGACATGTCCTGACATCTGTCAATGGCTGCAAACATGCGCCCAACAAAATTTTACATGGAGTCATGTTGTATATTCGTAAGCGATAAAATGAGCATCATTTGGAGTTGTTGATGCATGGGATACCGATCTATCCTTTTATGATGGTTCCTCCTCTAATTGCTGTTTTTGTTCCAGCCTCCAAGGAAGCTGGCCACTGACAGGCCCTTCCCTCTTCTTTGATTATTGGCCTCTTCAGAGTCTGGCGATGATACCTTAAGTCCATTCTCATCAGCTACCTTGTACAAGGAAGAGTAGCTATCAGGGCTTCTTGCGCCCTCGGATGGGGGTACGGCATCATCAATCTCAGAGTCTGAATCACTCTCCGACTCAAGCACAAATCCACTTCTTGGAGGCTGTCTCACGATAGGTGGTGATGCTTTACCCAGGAACGCATTCTCTGATGTAGTATGTGGCGGTAATGGCGATGCTTTTCTTTGAAGAGGCGGCAGTGTTGCGCCTCCCTTCAAGCTTCTGTCGGCAGCATCTGGCTCTAGTTGTTTCGAAGGGTTGTTCGGCGTCGGATTGAAAAACATGTCCGACAATGCACTTGGCTCTTCAGATTTCGACTCGGTCTTCGAGAGCCCTCCAGCACCGGTGAAAAACTGATCTGAGAGCGAACTGGATGAATGAGGCTGTTTCAGCAATCCAGTCGACGAATATCTTGGATTTATCAGGGATACGTGCTTCTCCAGAGGCTCGCTAGACATCTGAATGTGTTCAGGGTAGTTAGCTTCATCCGTTGGCTTATCTGTTGATGTCATACCACCACCGAACACCAGCTGAGCAAGTGACAGACTAGAGTTGCGAGCATTGATAGAAAGGCCTGGCCCTTCGTCATCACTGTCAGAATCAGAGCTATCATTAAGCGAGAAAGGATTAGGTGTAGGCTTGTGAGGGGCGCCAGCGGCCGAGTCGTCAAGCGATGAGATCGGTATTTTCTCTGTGTTTGAAGATTCAGTGGTATCATGAGCACAATTAATGACGTCAAGGGGAGCTTGGTCGAAGTTACGGATATCTTCATTCTCGATGATATCGTAATCAAAGTTGGAGCCCAAAGCAATATCCTCAGGTACATCAACAACATCAGGTGTTTTGCGTCCTTCGCCATATATAGCATGGTTAGGGTCAACCTGATAGACAGTATTGTAATCGTAATGGTAATCATATCCTCTATTGCTGAAGTTTCCAACGTTGTGAGACAAGCTCGACGTATATGGGTTCTCATCATCGCTATCTTCGTCGTCAGAGCCGTAATTCAACAGAATGGATGGAAGTAACTCAATAGTGGAATAGCGCCTCAAGCTTTGCTTAGAATCTGATGTAGCACTTCTCGACATGTCGCTGCTTCTATCTGTATCTCTCTTGTAGAGACCTGGATGATGACTAGCGCCTGAAGATGAGGGAACCTTCAAGAAAAAGCCTCCCTCTTCGTCGTCATCGTCATCGTCATCGTCGTCATTGTCTTCAGAGTCTAGGGAATGCATGTCTGTATCCTCTGGTTCGTAAATATAGCTGTCGCTACTGGCATAGCCATAACCCTGACCGTAGTCGTCGTCATCATAGCCACCGTAGTATTCGTTGACTGATTCGGCAGACGGGTCATTAATGGCAATACACTGGCGCACCTCGCTATTAAAATGAACATGACGGTCAGGTTTTTCAGGCTTAGTATTCGAGTCTGTGCGTGCAGCGTGGGCAAAGGATGATCGTAACGGAGATTCTTGGTCGTAATAATGAGCGCTGTCACTTTGCTTTGAATTAATTTTCTCTAACTGTGAAGCCAATTGATCATGGTTCAATTGAGATTTGTCGGAGGCAGCGTCAGAGTGGTCGGATGCATGAGAAGCGGTTGCTTCGAGCTCAGGCAAGTCCATTGCCGAGTTGTTTCTTGAGCTATTCTGCGAGAAGTTCTTATACTGAGAATTCAACTTAGCCGAGATGGCGTTATAGTCAAAGTATTCTGGCGGTCTATCAGAGAAGCCAGCCTTGGCAGCAGCATCACGTCTGGCTTGGTGTTCCGCCTCTTCACGACGGTTCTGTTCCTGTTCAGCTCTTGCAGAGGCAATTTCAAGCTTTCTCATGTTCAGGTGGCTGATCATCATGTCTTCGACAGTACGTTTTTTCAAGATGGGCTTTGGGCCGGGGCTTCTTCTGGCAATCGCCACATCACCGGCCACAGCGTTGGTGGCTGTTGTAGATGCTGGACGGCTTTCATCGTTGCCGTTATGGTCATGATCGTCATCGTCGAGAATAGGGCCATAAAGCCATGTAACATCACTCTCTTTCGACCAGTTCACCGCTTCAGGGCTAATGGTTTTAAGATTGCAACGTTTCTGGGCCCACGTTCTCCAACTGGCATTTTCCAAACGTGCAGCGTTAGCCACACTTTTCCTTCGGGAGATGACATATCGCCATGACTTGCAGATATCAGAGACATCCCACTGATGGGATAAGTAGTCCACATGCCGTGAGGGCTCTACCGTCACATCTGTGTCGTCATGAGGAATGAGCTCCGGGCTTGTTAGAAATGGCGGCGTAGGTGTGGTGGCAGGCGCTGACAGAGGTGACGTCGGGGATGTGGGAGCTGCAGTGTATTCTTTGGCCTTGGCAGTGTCCACCGCAAGGTCTTCCTTCTTTTGGTTTTTGTTCTCCAAGTTCTTCTCCTGCTCACTCGGGTCAATGAATTCGTCCAAGAGACCCAACGACCTCGTCCTCTTTAGCTTGAAGGTGGTATTCTGGAAGTGGTCGTCGTCCTCAGCGTCCACATGTTGCGAGGTGGTGGCACCTCCAGTGAACACCTCTCCCTGATTGGACATTATTCTATTATGGTGAAAAGCAGAAACGCTGGAAATGACTTAACTTGGGGAAATGCTTGAGTTTATTGGATGACAAGCGGGTGATGGTGTGTGGTAACAGTGGATGAATGCAAGCGTGGACTATAAGTTGCGGGTAGACCTTTTGTAAAGACACAAGGAGCAAGTGGGAAATGGGGGAAAAAAGGGATGAGCTCGAGATGCTGGTATGCAAGGAAAGCCTTCACGAGCTATTATATGGGAATAAACAGCTGCGAGAGTGAGAAGGGGATGGTATTGGTTGATTAGAGGCACCTGGGGGTGAAAAACATGAGCGAGAGAGTTTGTGCCTCCCTGGGTATAGGTTTGTCTGGGTGCACAAAGACCCGTGCACCACAGCCTTACCAAAAATTGTATAGGTAAGCATACCAAAAAAAAAAAAAAAAAAAAAAAAAAATAACACAATACCAATGGCCATGCCGTGAGTGAGATCGAAGATTACATAGATTATTCTATTTTCATGGGTGAATAATTCTGAGGACTGGGAGACCAGCCAAGAGAACCAGCAGCAGTCGGAAAAATTAGGGCCTGACTCTGACTTTCCGCGCACTCTCTCGTAGAACACCGGGACGGACCGAAAAAGAGGGTTTTTCCATGTCGTTTGAGTAGTAGCATCGAAAAGTGTCACAAGAGTCATGCCTCCCAAAAGCAAGTATGTTCCATGTTTGACACCCCTTTTTTGTCCTGCTTTGGCGTGGCGAGACCAGCACGCAGATTGTGGGGAAACAATAATATCTGGGGCAGACCGTTTTTGCCTGGTTCCAGCACCTGCCTGCCTCTTTTTTTCCCCAGGCCCTGCAGGACTGCCTACCTCTTTTGAGTTCTCGTCAGCTATTTAGGTGGGCCCACCTTGCACTTAATTCTTGGATTCCCAGGAGGGGCGAGCGCAAAAGGGGTGGGGGAGCCAGATAGCAGGGGATGTGCGAAGTGTGTCACTGATAAGGAACGAGGCAGCCAAGTTTTCTAGGCTCAATGGGTATATAACGAACCGTTGCTGTCATGTGGTTTTTTTTTTTTTTTTTAGTTGTCTTTTTTGGCAGCCACTGAGTCTCCGCAGCCAGCCTTGGTTAGCCACCGGAACATCTGCCTTCTAGCGAGAGCAAGCGGTGCGCGGCGTCGGTACACTTTTCTGTCTTACCTGACGGAATGGGTGCAAAATTATGAGGAGGGGGGTGTGAGGGAAAGAAAAAGGGCAGGCAACTCCAGTGGATCTCTAATTGATTTGAAGAAAAAAAGTCATTAGGTTTCGGTTTTGGGCGTTTCGCCTTTTTCGTTCTCCTCTTTGACCTTCTTATACTTTGCCACAATCTCATCGTGATGACGCTTGCGCTCGTTATGCGCAAGCTGCTTACGGTGACGACGACTGTTCTCGTGCACTTTCCATCTCTCTTCCCCTACAGCCACAAGGGGCCTACCCTCCAGGTCTTTGCAGACGGGGCACTCGTAATGTTTCCAATTGGCGCTGCTTTCTTTGAGTTTGTTGCTTTTGAAAGATTCAAAAAATGCTGATGTCGGGAGAAGCGCCTGGAGATGCTCCGGAGCTTCTGCTTCCGAAACACCTGTGGGCCCACATTCTAGAAACTGCTGTGCTATCTTGACACCCCGATCACCCACATTGCTGTTCCAGACTGCCAAATCAGTGGCATCAAGTAAGTACATTTTGCCTCCGTACATGTAATTGAACCGGGCTTCCTTATGGAGTTCCACTCCGAGCATTTTTGTGATCCATTTCACCTGGTACCGGGAATACTGACGGGTGCGGATCTTCATTCTTTCAACACCCTCTGCAAAAAGCTTCTTGTCACTTTGACCACTTTCAAGCCATGGCAAGAACTCCTTGAAACCAATAACCTGTAGAATGCTTCGCGTGCAATCTGGCTTAGGGTCTTGTTGCTCATAAAAGTCGTAAAGCTCTCGTATCTCCTCAAGCGCACCGTCTTCTATCATTTTATCCACCCTTACGTCGAGCCTGTTCAGTAATACCTCCTTGTCACAATGTAGCCATAATAGAAGTGTATTGTAATTGAGACAAGAGTCTTCAAACTCATCAAGTTTTTGCTCCTTGTATACGTCACTCGCCTTCTCGCCAGTCGTCAAGTAAATCTCCAATGCCCTCAGGATCTTTCTTTGATCTTGTGGATGAAACTTCCCTGCCACTACTGGATCAACTTCTTGGAGCTTCTTGAAGCTTTCCTCGACTGGCCCATCAAGTAAAACCTTATCTTCCTCTGTGAGCTCACGAAGCTTGGTCGTAGTGTCTTTCTCTCCAGCTGTCTTGTTCTTAAACAAAAGCAGCTGCAAGTAGTAGAAGGTTCCACCAATGATAATAGGTGTTTTTCCCCTGGAATGGATATCTTGGATAGCTGCGTTAGCTTCCGAGCTGAATCTATGGATGAAATACTCCTCTCCCCAGTTAACATGGTCCATTACATGGTGCGGTATTCCTTCACGTTCTTCTATAGGATGCTTGTTGGTGATTAAAGGAGCTCTCTTGTACACTTGCATGGAATCGGCATTGATGATTTCGCCATTTATCTTCTTCGCTAGCTCTATACTTAACTATATGGTTAGAAACGTCCAATGTATCATTCTTTCCTTCGCACATACCTGTGATTTCCCCACACCTGTGGTACCGACAATCGTTATGACATTCTTCTTTGGTTTACTCATGACACAATTCCTTAAATATCGTAGATAGCTGAGTATCATAAGCTCATTTGGGGGTTGGTGATGAGCATCGAAACTCCATCGCACTGTTGAAATGTTGATGCGAACACAGATTGGCCTGCATCAAGGTAGATGCATATCGTCAGATGGATCTCTGAAAGTTGCCCTCTGGCTCTGCGGAGCTGCTAGATGTGGTCGATCGTTTTGCATGGCACTTTCAATGTCACGAAGCTTTTCCTGGTTTTGTATGTTAAGCAGGAGTTCTCGGGCTTCTTCTCTTCTTCTGTACAAGTACTGGTCGATTTCGTGTAAGACACTGTTTCCCTTATCTAAGAAATCAGAATAGAATTTGGACGCCTGATTTAAGTTGGAGACAAGGTCAAGGTATTCGACGTATGCTTCCTCGAACTGTTGAAGTGCTTGATGTCTCCTTTCTTGCGAGGCATCCTGGGCAGTTTGACGGAATTCAAGAAGCTGTAGGTTCTTGTCGTGAATCTTCTTCTCGAGATCCATCTGTTTCTGCTTAAGCTGATCCACAAACTGAAGGTCACTGTTAAATGTTTTGACATGCGTCTCGTAGATTGGCTCGAACTTTCTTGGATCGATCTTCCCGTCTTTGTCCCAGAAATTGTCCAGATTCTTCTTGTATTGTCCCATGATTACAGGAAACACACTGTGGTCCCTTGATTTAACACCAATGGATGATATTAAGCGTTGCTTGCTTTGCTCTATCTTCTCACCATTCGCAAGTAATTCTCGAAGTTCACCAATTACCTGACCAACCTTGGAATTAACATGGGCGTGCGAAGAACGAGGGATCGTGTTCAAAAGCTGCTGTTTACCCCCACAATATACTATCAATATGTCTTTGATGGAGCGATACAGGTCCATAATTAAAGCATCACTCTCCAGACCCTGGTCAAGGTACGTTCCCATTTTAATGACTCTGGCGCTAAGTTCAGCAGCAGCTTTCTCCGAAGGTTCACGATTCCACCTGTCAGAACCCTGCTTTTCTTTCATCAAACGATCCTCGTACCTTTCCATTGATAATCTCTCGTTACACGCTTCAACGAGATCCTGGCATTGTTTAGCTAGCTTTCCTATTTCTAGCATGGAACTGTCAATAAGCTTTGTGCCTCCCATAGAAGTGATTTCTTGGGAATGGTGTAGTAGAGAGTCTGGAACATTTTCAGGCTTCTGGATGGAGTCAATTGAAGCAGGTAGATCTCTTTCAGCAAGGAATTTACTGAACATTCTTGTCAAAGCCTTGAGCGGCTCATGAAAGTGGTCAACCACAAATGCATCTTGACGTTCCCTGAACGCCTGAGCAATTTGGATGATTGAGAATGGCACAAGATGTTTGAAGGCCTCTTGACCGCTAGGCTTCTCGAAGAACTCCTTCGACGCTTCAACATCGACCATCGAGACTCCTGTTATAGCTGGAAGTGTTTTGACATCAGGCACAGGCTTGAGGTACACCAAGTCATTATCTTTCTCTGCACTTTTAAGGGTACTTTTCACCATTTCTGTTAATCCTTGGAGATCCTCAACAACGGGTTCTGTCACGTATCGTTGGTATTTTCCTCCTTCATCGCATAACTTCGAAGCTACCTTCAAATATGCCACTTGATCACCGTACTTGAATGAATCGAGTGCAACCACAGACATTCTGTAATGAGCAGCTGCGTCAAAGTGAAAACTCTTTACCTTAAAGTGATTAATCCAATCTAGCGTAATTGCATCAGATTCAGCACCGTAGTCAGCCGCTTTCTTGTATAGTTCAGATACCTTCTTCGATAAACGAGCAATGAGATGGTCTTTAACTGTCTTCCCCATAGCTGCTTTCAGCCAAACAAGCTCTTGCGCTTGTGCTATGAGCATGGACCTGAGACATTGAAGAGTGTCTTCATCAAAATCGGGGATTCCAGCCAATGCTTGCGGGTTCAGCTTTAGAAGAGCATCAAAGTAACCAGCAGCGGTCTTTAACGACGTACATGCCAGCTTGAGGCCTTCGTCCGTATAGGCATTTTCATGCAAAGCCTTATATGAATATAAGCAGCCCATTTCATAGACCAATTGAAGCTGCTCTTGCTTCCAGGATGTGAAGGAGCAATGCTTGGGCTGGTAGCGAAGAGTGCCATACCATTCGAACTCTACACAGTTGTCCATGAATTTGTTATTGGCATCGGAAAGGAAATGGTAGTAGTTATACAAGATATTTTCAAAATGGGTCATGTCGGGATTGGTCTCTCGTGATAGCACCGCTAGATCGTTCTGTAGATGCTCTGCGTTCCTGAGATCTTCTTCAAACGACGTCACCGGCTGAAAATAGTCCCTCCTGATAAGCTCAGCGAGAATATCGTGAAGCGGCTTAGCATCGCATATTCGGAACGGAATCTGCACCAAGTTGTTGAACATCCTGATGTTATGCTTTTGGGGAGAAAGACGTCAAAGGTTTGATTGTTATCTGGGGTATTGGCGTCGATTTCGCGCACTGACATCAATGGGCTGTGGGTGCAGACTGGTTGCGAAAAGTAGGTTATAGCTAGTTTATGCGGGTTTCAGAGGCAGCCAATTCAACCAGTTCAACTAGTTCATGGAGATTGTATGATCTTTCTCCGATGGCTTCTAGTTCCAAAGAGGCTATTTTTGTGAAGAGAGCTTCGTTGTTGGTTTCTTCGGTGAGTTCTTGGGCGAGGGAGAATATCTTGTTGTACTTCTCGCTCAATGACTGGTCATACTGTTTGGAACTCTCTTTGATTTGTTCATCCATGTTGTTGGCTGCCTCATGAAGCGAATCAAGCAATTTGAGTGCTTCCTCGGTCGCTTCCTTGGACTTGGGTAGGACGTACTGGCCAATAGGTAACTCTTCTGGTGTGCCCTGCGTAAGCTCTTCAGCTATACGCTCTTGCACCATGTCATTAATATCGTCACTAAGTGAATTGATTGCGTCGGCCTTGAACTGTTCATCAACAAGTTGTTTGTAGTCAGACTTGATGAGACTCTGGAATTCCTGAGCAATGGATTTTTCGATCTCCAGAAATTCTTCTGGAACAGCTTTAAGTTGGCGTGGGTTGGGAACAGTTAGTCCACGGATAGCTACCAGCGTTTTGTAGGGTGTCAATTGCTCTTTCAGTTCCACTGGAGGACCGGCAAGCGGGGCATCCTCTTCGTCCAGAGGTACCTCATTAGCCAATGCACTGATATCTGCCAATGGAGGAAGCTTTAATGCAATTTCGTTCTTTGGAGCTGGAACCGTAGAGAACATAGACTTGATAAACTCTTGAAGCTTCCGAACAGATGATTTTTGAATAGGTTGTGATTCAGAGGTTCGTCTTGAAACCGGCGCCGCCAGCTTATCTTTGGAACGTAGAATCTCTTGAGTAGCATTCGAGATACGCTCGTTGATTTGTTGAGTCTCGCTTTCGGTTGTGCCTGGTGCCGGTAGATCAAGCTTTCTTCTTTTGATATCTTGATCGGCAGCATCAGAGAAAAGCTTTGCAGCATCAGAGATCTCCTGTCTCGACCTTTTGTTGTCCTTTTTCGTGGTATCCACAACTTTCTTCTTTTGCTTTTCTTCTTTAGGTTCAACGCCCTTGAACTTGACTCTCTCTTGAAAGCTCAAACGCTCTCTATCATTAACAGAGTCTTCTTCAGCTGTATCATATAAACCAGGAGGCGGAGCATGTTCATGTGGAATATCAGTGTTATAATCAAACTCGTTTCTCTTCTTCTTGTTCTTCAGCTCAAGACTCATTCTCACACCAGCAGCTTTAAGATCTCTACGTTTTTCAAGTAAAGTAATTCGGCGGTTCTCTTGAAGCATACGTTCACGCTCCTTTCTTTTAGCCTTTTTACCCACCGTATTCGCCAATCTTGCCTTGGCCTCACTCAACATCTCTTGTTCGTCTTCATCCATATCCTCCATATCTGGCCGTGAAGGTAAACTCTCAAAAGCGTTACCCAAAGCAGGTAGAGTCTCAATCCCCGGGCCTGACAATTTAAGATCTTCGTTATCATCTTCTTCTTCCTCGGCTCCTCCTCCCATCGCTCTATCCAAGAGATACTGATATCTCTCCACACATTGAGTTGGAGTACGGCCCATTACAGGGGAGATACTTCTCCACTGATTAGGCATGAGCTTGGCTAAGCTTAACAATTTTTCATCTTCTTCAAGGCTCCATTCGTCTCTTTTAATACTAGGGTTAAGGTACTCATTCCATCGAGCCTTGGCTTGTCTGGCTGTTTTCTTCGGTAGTAACGAGGCCACTCGAGCCCATTGTGTGAGGCCGTATTTTGAGACGGCAGCTCGAAGAATCTGGTCCTCGACGTTCGTCCACTGCCCTCCTTTAACGTAGATTGGAGGGGCCATTACTGTGATGTATGGTTATCTTGGGAAGATATATAGTGCGAAATATATGTACTATGAGAAGAGGTGGTAATGTACTGTGCGCATATATGGCTGGAAAGGAAGAAAGATGAAAAATGGACTGAACGGTGCCGTAGAGTAGAGGAAACGTTAAAAGACGGAATTATTAGAAGAATTAAGCAAAAATGGAGTTGTAGGGATATCCAAAAAAATAATAGACGACCTCGGTGAGGGTCGAACTCACGATCTTAAGATTAACAGTCTTACGCCTTAACCAACTTGGCCACGAAGTCGCTATGGAAGAGGACTTAAAGTAGAAAAAATATATACGTCTGAATGGAAAAACTCCTTAAATGTTAAATGTTAATGTCATCAATAAAGTATTGAAAGTGTTTGTATCAGTACTGCAGTTTTCAAAATGCCGAAACGCCCCGGAATCACGAGTTAGGGTAATTTTCTCCTCTCTCGAGGCTCTTGAAGATACAAGGCACCTTTCGGACAACTAACTCACTGTAACATACCCTACTGAAGCCTTTTAGAAAACCATATTTCTTCTTTTGCACTCCCTGTTGTTCATCTCTTTCCTTCCATTTTGCACCCAAAGTGCTGATCTGCCTCACTTCGCAGGTGCAGTCACCTATCAAGAACATACCAGTTTAGCTCCAACCCAAACATATAAAGCATGGAAAATTTGGGCTTGGCGCTCCAGCTAGCCCTCATAGCCCAGAGAGACTTTGCCATCCAGACTAACGAGTACTTGGTTTGCGTCGATACACTCAGGCAGATTGCTGCTGAACGATTTGGTATAGATAGCATTGTGGAGGTTGATCTACAAGACTTAGATGTTGATTTCGAAAGAATCACGGAAAGCATGGTAAAAGAAGACGGGGTTCTTCATAACATTATAATATGGAAGAACTTGGAGAATTTGCAGCTAGATCTAGGGAAGAAACGCAACCTTCTACGAGTACTTGATCAGCTATCTAGATACGGCAAGGTCTCGTCCAGAGGTCTTGACGAAGAACCACTACAGTTTGGTGGCCAGATGGTTCAGAAACCTCCACTCTGTGTTGTCATTCCTGTCATCCAGAACGGGGAGCATATGCCTCGGATCAATCCTCAAATAAAGAGCAGGTTCTTCTTTTCCCAGCTATACTTGCCCACTGAAAACGATACGATCAAGTTGTTTACGAGCCAGCAGTTAATTCTAGAGATGAGAGAGCTCATGAAAACCGTATATGTGAAAGCTACGGTTCAAGAGTATGTATTTTCGTTGTTCGTGTTCACTAGGTCCCATAGGTTGTGCTCCTTGGCACCATTAACAAGCCGACCTCCGTTGTCAGGTAGAGAGGATGTGCTCCTTTTGGCAAGGGCACTTGTTGCTGTACAGCACTTTGGTCACGACGAAGCGTTATACATGACTCCAGAGCACGTTAAGGTGGCTTACCGTAAGGTAGCCCAATGGCTAGTAGACTGGGAAACGAACCCTATTTTTAATGGGACAGCCGAAGAGGATAGTTATAGAAAGAAGATGGAGGTATCGATGCTTACAGGCGACTGGTTCGGGAGTGAGTGGAGATATGTGGATAACTATTTGACCAAAAACGCATCTACAAAGGATGAAAACTCGACCACAGGATTCACCAATCCTCTAATTGAGGACGTTTTAATGTCTGTTCAGCCTCCAATCTGATTGCAATGACATTTGCGTTGTGGAGGTACTAATGGAGGAGGAGCACTTGCGTTTGCATTGATGGGTAAGAAGTCGATCTGAGCCTGAGTTTTTACTCCAGGGATCACAAGGGCTATCCTCTGCCCTAACAGGACTATTAAGTATCACGTTCTGAGGGAATGTTGCTACATCTAAGACCATGGCAGCTACAACCATGGACACTGAACAGAGAATAATAGAAGAAAATCATGTCTTCACATGTCAAAATACCGACTAAATCTATCTCACAGAAGGATAAGTTCCATCAAAACTTGTCTACATCGCTCACAATGGCAAGATCTAAATTTGTCTTGGTTCATGTGTGAGACTTCCAGGTACGGCCCGAGAAATCGCCAGTACCGCGATAACCGGACAAGTATCCTCGCCGAGCCCTTTCAGCCACAACACCGATCAACAAAGGCACTTATGTATAGAAACTAAAAAGCATTGGCAAAAAATGCCTCGAATTTCTCAATTTTCTTCACTTCAAATCTCAATATTCTTTCCAAACGGTGGAACTAGAAGGAGGGGGAGAACACACCCGTGCCTCCTGATTACATAATCCAACGAGGCCACCTAGGAAACAAAACCACGAAATCAAAAACCGCCTTCTACCTCTTGCTACCGTCCACTTTTAGGCCAATTCACACACAACCCTACTTTTTTCGATTGTTTACAATTTCCGTGTGGCTTACGGTTGAACCTGAAAGAAAATGTCGGACATTCCTATCGATTTCACTCAATTGGCTCAGTTGACCCAATTGGGTATTCAACAGCAGTCGCTTGATTTCAAGTCCACCACTCTTGAGTCTGATCGCTACATCTGTGTTCGTGAAAGCACTCAACAAGGTAACACTGTTGCCATCATTGATGCTCAGAACAACTTTGAGTTGACCAGAAAGAACATGACCGCCGACAATGCAATTATGCACCCTACTGAAAATGTGATTGCTTTGAGAGCCAATGGCACTGCTTTGCAGGTGTTCAACTTGGGATCGAAACAAAGATTGAAGTCTCACACGCTAGAGCAGCCAGTTGTTCTTTGGAAATGGTTGACCAATGAGGTTTTGGGTCTTGTTACCGCCTCTACCATTTACACGTGGAACATCTTTGATGGTACCAACGATGGACCTGTTAAGCTTACTGACAGACACCACACCCTCAACAGCTGCCAGATCATAAACTTTGTGGCCGAGCCCGACCTAAATTGGTTTGCTGTTACCGGTATCGCTCAGGAAGACGGCAGAATTGCTGGTCACATTCAGTTGTTCTCCAAGTCTAGAGGCGTTTCGCAAGCCATTGAGGGTCATGTCTCTCGTTTTGCTCAAATCACTCTCTCTGGAGCTGCTCACCCTACCAAGGTCTTCTGTATCGGTAACAAGACCGCCTCTGGCCAGGGTAACTTGCACATCATTGAAATTGACCATGTTGAAGGCAACCCATCTTTCCCCAAGAAGACTGCGGAAGTCTTTTTCCCTCCAGATGCTACCAATGACTTCCCAATCTCCTTGCAGACCTCCAACAAGTACGGTATCATCTACATTTTGACCAAGTACGGTTTCATCCATTTGTATGATATTGAGACTGGAACTCAGTTATATGTCAACAGAATTACTGCTGAGCCTGTCTTCACCGCCGCTCCCTACAACGACGGTACAGGTCTTGTTACCATCAACAAGTCCGGTCAGGTTTTGGCCATTGAAGTTTCGAGAGACAAGATCATTCCCTACATCTTAAACAACTTGTCTGACGTCTCTTTGGCCTTGTCCCTCTCTTCTCGTGGTGGTTTCCCTGGTGCCGAAAACTTGTTCCAACAACAGTTCCAGAGCTACTTGAGCCAAGGTGACTACACCAACGCCGCCAAGGTTGCTGCCTCCTCCGAACAGTTAAGAACTCAAGACACTATCAACAGATTGAAGAACATTACTCCTCAGCCAGGTCAGATCTCTCCTATCTTGCAATACTTCTCCACTTTGTTGGACAGAGGTACCCTTAACAAGTACGAATCCATTGAGCTTGCTAAGCCAGTCTTGCAACAGGACCGTAAGCCATTGTTCGAGAAGTGGTTGAAGGAAGACAAATTGAACTCCAGTGAAGAATTGGGTGACATTGTCAAGTCCTACGATACCGCTTTGGCTTTGGCCGTTTACGTTCGTGCTAACGTTAACATCAAGGTTGTTTCCTCTTTGGCCGAGTTGGGTCAGTTCGAGAAGATTCTTCCTTACTGTCAAAAGGTCGGCTACAACCCTGACTACACCAACTTGATCCAGAACTTGGTGCGTGTCAGCCCAGACAAGGCCAGCGAGTTTGCTGTTTCTTTATTGGCTAACGGAGATGCCAACTTGAACATCGAGAACATCGCCGACTTGTTCTTCTCCCAGAATTATATTCAGCAGGGTACAGCATTCTTGTTGGATGCTCTTAAAAGTGACACTCCTTCCGAAGGTCACTTGCAAACTAAGGTCTTGGAGACAAACTTGTTACATGCTCCTCAGGTTGCTGATGCCATCTTGGGCAACCAAATGTTCAGTCATTACGACAAGCCAAGCATTGGTAAGTTGTGTGAGAAGTCTGGTTTGTTCCAGAGAGCTTTGGAGCACTACGACGATTTGAAGGATATTAAGAGAGTCATCATCCACACCAACGTTTTGCCAGCTGACTGGTTGGTCTCATACTTTGGTCAATTGAATGTCCAGCAATCTATGGCTTGTTTGAATGAGTTGATGACCAACAACTTGCAACAGAACTTGCAGATTGTGATCCAGGTTGCTACCAAGTATTCTGACCTTCTTGGTCCACTCAACTTGATCAAGCTTTTCGAGACTTACAAGTCTAACGAGGGTAAGTACTACTACTTGAGCTCCATTGTCAACTTGACTCAAGACCCAGATGTGGTTTACAAGTACATTGAAGCTGCCAGCAAGTTGAACCAAACCAAGGAGATTGAGAGAGTTGTCAGAGACAACAACGTCTACAACGGTGAGAAGGTTAAAAACTTCTTGAAGGAAGCCAACTTGGAAGACCAATTGCCTTTGATTATTGTTTGCGACAGATTCAACTTCGTCCACGACTTGATCTTGTACTTGTACAAGAACAAGTACTTCAAGTTTATTGAAGTCTACGTTCAGCAAGTGAACTCAGCAAACACTCCCCAGGTTGTCGCTGGTTTGTTAGATGTCGACTGTGATGAGAACATCATTAAGAATTTGTTGATGTCCGTCTTGGGCAGAGTTCCTCTCAAGGAATTGGTTGAGGAAGTCGAGAAGAGAAACAGATTGAAGATTTTGTTGCCATTTTTGGAAAAGACTTTGGAGGGTGGTTCATCTGACCAGGAAGTTTACAACACCTTGGCCAAGATTTACATTGACTCCAACAACAGCCCTGAAAAGTTCTTGCAAGAGAATCAGCAGTATGATACCTTGTCTGTCGGTAGATACTGTGAGAAGCGTGACCCATACTTGGCATACATCGCCTACTCCAAGGGTGGAAATGATGACGAGTTGATCAACATCACCAATGAGAACAAGATGTACAAGTATCAGGCCAGATACTTGTTGGCCAAGTCCGACTTTGATTTGTGGGCCAAGGTCTTGAACCCTGACAACGAGTACAGAAGACAATTGATCGACCAGGTCGTCTCGACTGGTATTCCTGAGTTGAGCGACCCAGAGGCAATCTCTGTCACTGTGAAGGCTTTCATGGAGAATGACTTGCCACAGGAGTTGATTGAACTTTTGGAGAAAATTATCTTAGAGCCTTCTCCATTCAATGACAACACTTCCTTGCAAGGTTTGTTGCTCTTGACTGCTATTAAGGCTGACTCCACTCGTGTCGCTAACTACATTGAGAAGCTTGACAAGTTTGATCCAAACGAGATTGCTCCTTTGTGTATCGACAATGACTTGTTTGAGGAGGCATTCGAAATCTACGATAAATTCGAGCAAAGAACCGATGCCATGAAGGTCTTGGTCGAGGACATCATGTCCCTTGACAGAGGTGAGCAGTACGCTGAGAAGCACGACACCTCTGATTTGTGGTACCAATTGGGTACTGCTCAATTGAATGGTTTGAGAATCCCTGAAGCCATCGATTCTTACATCAAGTCTAAGAACCCACAGAACTTCCAGCAAGTTATTGAAATTGCCGAGCGTGCTGGTAAGGAAGATGAATTGGTTCCATTCTTGGACATGGCCAGAGAAACTTTGAGAGAGCCTGCTATTGATAATGCTTTGATCAACTGTTACGCTAACGCTGACAGATTGACTGATATTGAGAAGTTTGTCGCTGGTCCTAACGTGGCCGTCTTGGAGGAAATTGGTGACAAGTTGTTTGAAGCTAAGAACTACAAGGCTGCCAAGATTTTGTATTCTAACATCTCGAAGTACTCTAAGTTGGCTACCACTTTGGTTTACTTGGAGGACTACCAGTCTGCTGTCGACTGTGCTAGAAAGGCTTCAAACACTCAGGTCTGGAAGCAGGTTAACAGTGCATGTATTGAGAACAAGGAATTCAGATTGGCCCAGATTTGTGGTTTGAACTTGATCATTGATGCTGAGGAATTGCCTGAGTTGGTTAAGACTTACGAGTTCAATGGTTACTTCGATGAAGTCATTGCCCTTTTCGAGAGTGGTTTAGGTTTGGAAAGAGCCCACATGGGTATGTTCACTGAGCTTGCCATTCTTTACACCAAGTACAAGCCTGAAAAGGTCATGGAGCACTTGAAGTTGTTCTGGTCTCGTATCAACATTCCAAAGGTGTTGACTGCTTGTGAGTCTGCTCATCTTTACCCTGAGTTGATCTTCTTGTACTGCCATTACGAGGAATGGGACAATGCTGCCTTGACTATGATGGACAAGTCCGAAGTTGCTTTCGACCATTCATCTTTGAAGGAGATTATTGTCAAGGTTTCCAACTTGGAGATCTACTACAAGGCCATCAACTTCTACTTGAAGGAGAACCCAACTCTTTTGGTTGACTTGATGTCTGTCTTGATTCCAAAGCTTGATCTTCCAAGAGTGGTCAGAATGTTCGTTAAATCTGACAACCTTCCATTGATCAAGCCATTCTTGATCTCTGTCCTCGACAAGAACAACTCGATTGTCAACGGTGCTTATCACGATCTTTTGATCGAGGAAGAGGACTACAAGTCCTTGCGCTCTGCCATTGAGTCTGAATCCAGCAACAGATTCAACTCTTTGGACTTGGCCGAAAGATTGGAGAACCACGACCTTATCTTCTTCCGTCAAATTTCTGCTACCTTGTACACCAAGAACAAGAAGTTTACTAAGTCCATCCAGATTTTGAAGAACGATAAATTGTGGGCTGACCTTATCAAGACTGTTGCTATTTCCAAGTCTACCAAGCTTGCACACGAGCTCTTGGACTACTTCGTGGAGACTGGTAACCACGAAGGCTTTGTTGCTCTCTTGTACAGTGCTTACTCGTTGATTGAATATGATTACGTGGTTGAGTTGGCCTGGTTGCACAACTTGGGCAACTTCATTAAGCCATACGAGATTTCCGTGACGTACGAGAACCAAAAGAAGTTGAAGGAGGTTTACGAAGATTTGGAGAAGAGAAGAGCGGCTGAACGCAATGATGACGAGCCTGCCGCTGGGCAGCCATTGATGATCACTAGCGGTGCTGGTTTGGGAGTGAACAACACCGGCTTGGGATACCAGCCAACTGGCGCTGGTTTTGGCAATGCCTTTTAATAATCGCAAAAGCGAGACCTAAAGCGGTTGTTTGACTTTGTAGGGTTAGTCAAGCATCGGCCAAGGGTTTCTTACAGATTGCAAATAGAGACGAAAAAGTTTGATTTTTGAATGCAGATGTAGATGATAATGCTAGATGAGGCTCTCGTGGCGAAGGTAAGTTAAAGCCTGAGAAAATGCAGATCGAAGAGATTCGATAGTGGCGTTTGATAGCAAGGCTGAAATGTGCAATGCAGCCCGGTTCGGAAGTGTAGAAGATACCGAGTCTATAGATTTGCTGCCCAAGAGAAGCTCTATAGAGTACTTGCGATCAGACAATGCGAGCACAACCCGACGACATTGCATATCGGTATCAGACGAGACGAAGACCTTGCTGTTAGAGGGGTCTAAGCCGAAATCGCCGTATGTGAGCTGTGAAATTGAGTTGATGGTATCATGGCGGTACTGGGTTGCAACCAAGGCAGCGCGGATGCACTCACAGAACTTCTGGAGACCGTGGGCCTCGTCCTGGTGGGTCAAGTGATGCTTGTATGAATCGAGGGAGATGTATGCTGGAGTGGTATAACGAAATACCAGCCAGTTGTGGCGTTGATCCTTGGATAACACACGCCTTAGGATCACATAGTGAGATGGTAGGAACGCATTGGATGAATGGGAAAGAATATCAAATCGCAAGCCCAACAATGCATCTTCAGAAGTGTCATATAAAGCGTCATTGATCGGGAAAGCGGTGATACCACCGAACCTATGAATGCTTTCTATCAACGCATACGAACCTTGGCGGGTCCGATCTTGAATTGACGTAAGAGAGTCTGACTGTGGGGGAGCTGCCGTCTCCTTTTGATTGGAGGCAGTTTCAAAATAAGTTCTTATGGAATCGTCAAAGTAGGAGTCAAGGATCAACGGGGGATCGTCTGAGGGAGCAACAGTGTGCCGTGGGCGGTGGTGTTTCTGGAGATGGTGTTTGTTTGAAGCTTCATAGTTTGCAACCTGACGGAACAACGAATCATGGGACGACTGAAGAGGTCCAATGTCAGCTCTCAAGCCAGCAATTTCTGCCCTGAGAGCATCGATTTCTGCCTGGACATCCATAAGAAAACCGAGAAACAAGTGTTATTTTGTTGATGTAAACAAAGCCTCAGTGCGGTTATCTTTTGGCGCACACACCCTTTGCCCGATACAGCGAGAGAACTTCTCGAGAGGGAAATGGCAACAGACGCAGGACCGCAACCGCCATTTGGCTGCGAAAAGAAATAGAAACCCCCTCCTGAAAAAAGCGTTGGAGGAGAGATCCACATTCAACAGATAAAGAAAAAACCCAAAGTTAAAAAGCTAAAGGTGAAACTTACATGAAATCGCAACCCAAAAGTGAAACGCACAGAAGAAACCAGCAGAGTGTTGTTTACTCAACTTGTCTGACTATGTGTTCCAGCAGCTCGTCGGCCTAAACGGTTGCGCAAGCACCGCGGGTTAAGGGTCTCTCGGGTCCCAGCAACCGGAACAAAACGAGCGAAGCGAGAGGGATATACGATGATTTGGGGACCTCCTTTGGAAGAGGGATGATTTGAAAGGGGCTTGAAGGGCGGGAATCAGCAAGTGGTGACTTTTTTTCCGTTGAACCTGGCACTGAGGATGCCGATTGTCTCGGGACATTCGTCACTCTACAGTTTCTCACTTACAGCGCCTAATGGACGTTTCACCGTGGAGGCACAGGGTGTTAAAGGCAAAAACAAAAGTGTGAAGGTCCCATTTGCTAGGCGACCAGAAACGGTTTCAAAGTAGCTGGTTCGGCTTGTGACAGTAGCAGGTATTTTTTCTTGATCCAAACACTGGAATGGAGCATAGCCTTGAACTGAGCACAGACGGCTGAGCATCCAAGGAAAATCCGTCTTCTGGAAATTCCTCGAGCATGGAAATCGCCTGTCCCGTGGGGGACGTACCTACGGACAATCCGGGATTCCTTCATTGATGTAATGGAAAACCCTGCTGCCTGTGTCCCAGACTGCTTGGCTGCCTCCCGCCTGGCATGGCTGCGAAACCTATTAATGGGATACAAACGACGACCATTGTGTGCGGACGGGTCATGAACTTTCCCGCCCAACGGTAACAAGATATAAAAAGAACAAACAAAGTGGGAGCTGAGCAGCTGCTGAAACCTGAGAGGTATCCTTTTCATGTCTCAGGAGTTACAGGGTGGCCCATGGCTTCTTTGCTTTCTTTTTTGTAATCGCACATTTGTGGCTGCAGCACCCTCTTTCCTTCACATTTTTCCCTTTTTTCAGTGGGTATCTTTTCCTCATCCTTTCTTGTTTTTTTTTGACCTGTGTTATTTTTTGCCTTCTCTGCAAAGTCCCTGTGCCAGTGGCTTTTGCCGCAAAAACCCAGCCATTGTTGCTTTTCAATCTCTTTTCCTCTTCTAGCGATTCAAGCCTTCCCTGACAATGCTGCCATGCCGCCCCGATCCTGGCGAAGCTTTTTTTCTTTATTGCCCCAAAACATACACACCTTGTCTGTTGTCCTCTTTTAACCTTCCCATCGAAATCCTCCCGCCCGATGGGCCATACCACTTTTACCCCTAAACCCATTCTTCTGACCTTTTTCTTTCCTTTTTTTTGCCCTTTTTCCTTCCCCTGGTTTTACCCTTTTCGCTGCCATCTTACCCGCTGCGCAGCCCGTTCGCCTCACTTTCTCTATCTACCACTCGCTGTGTGTTCTGTCTATGTGTCTCTCTTCTTCTCACTCCCTGGAGGGGGCCCAAAAAACAAAAAATGTCCTGCTCGGTAGCTTTAACCGCACTGCGCCCTGCAACAGGGTTTGTGTTGCGACTTTTTTTTTTTTTTTTTTCCACCCACGGTGCGCTCGCCTGCCGATATAAATTCAATCAGGGCCGCTTCTTTCCCCTGGCGCCATATTCCAGGTGCTACGACCGCCCTGACCATCGTTTTTATTAATTTTGACCCATATCCTTCCTCCCCCTAATCTTGTCCTTGTTTTGTTTCCTTTTGTTCCTTCGGCTCCGTTTCTTGTTTTCATGCTTCGTTCGCTTCTTCCCTTGACACTATTGTCCCTCGCGGCAGGTCTTGATCTCAATGTCTGCTCGTCTCGAAACATCGGCGGCACTTTAAAGACTTCTGATCAGTATATGTCTAATGGCTTGTGTCATGACTACTGTCTGAAAGACGGTTACGCCGTGGCCATAACTCAGAATTACGACTGCTGGTGCACTAACGATGTCCCCGCAGACACTGATTCCAAGTCCAACTGTGACACCGGATGCCCTGGCTATTCCGAGCAGGAAAACTGTGGTGGTGACGGCTACTTTGGTTATATCTTTATAAGAAGCCCTTCAAATACTGTTGAGCCGTCTTCTCTGACTACAGAGGCCTGGTCTACCCAGGAGGCTCCGGAATCCACCCTGGAAGAGGAAACTTCCGAGGAACAAACTTCCACAACTCCTACTTCAACTTCCACATCGTCATCACCTTCCCCAACCTCCACATCATCCACTTCTACATCATCATCATCATCATCATCATCGTCATCATCATCATCATCGTCTTCGAGATCCTCATCTTCTCCAAGAACTTCATCCTCACCATCACCTACGACATCGTCAAGGTCTTCAAGCTCCAGCTCAAGTCTGAGCTCGTCCAGCTCTTCTAAATCGCTGAGCTCAAGCTCTTCTGAACCTCCTGAAGTCGTTACCTCTTTACAAGCAACAACGGTATATTCGGTTACAACTGCTGATGGCTCTGCATCCCAGGTGATCTCAACCAGATACGTAACTGAACTTGCTTCAACATCGACTCCCACGAGCGACCCGAGTGCATCAGGTGACGGCGATGACGATAACGACGACGAACAAAAGTCTTTCTTTGACTCGACTGGCAAAGTAGCCGGCACTTTTACCGCAGTTGGTGTGGTTGTCGTTGGTGCTTTGGGCACTTTGCTCTACTGCTGTTGTTTTGGCGCAGGTCGCCGTAATGACGATTACTCAGACGAAGAAAACCAGTATTCATCTGACGAACTTTCTGTTAATAATGAAAAGCCTGTCGCTGCAGGCGGTAACTTCCACTCAAAGTCGTCACTGAGAAGTTCTAATTTAAAGAGAGACAATTCTAGCAAGTCGATACTTTCTATATTTAATCCCGGCACTGGCGGCATGGGAGGCTCCGCCGTTGGTAGGAGCATGTCTAAGAAGAAACTTAATCCTAATAAGGAGTCTGCCCCAGATTCTGGCGGCCCGATAATGTTCCCTATTCTGGAATTCGATAATCGTTTGGACCCACTGACGATGTTCCAGAATTCAAATGCATCGAAATTCTCCTTCGCCGATGAGAATGATTACTCCAGGCGTATATTGCATGTCGCTAACCCCGAATAGATCCATGGCTCTTTCGGCAGCAGCCCTGTTAATTGTACAATAATTGCATCCTAATAAAAAAAAAAATGAAAACTATAATTTGATTCATGAACTTTCTGAATAAAAATTAAATCGTATACATCGTAAACTAGGCCTGTTACACTTTACAAACCGTAGGGCGCCTTACTAGCCGACCCCATGCTTCTTCTACTACCTCACATCTCAAGAGTCCTCGGGACTTTGCTCATATTTTATAATGAGGTTGTCTCTCGTATGCATTAGGACTTGATTCTCTCGCCTTCTTGACCTTCCCATTACCTTTACTCTGAGCATGATCATGCTCATGATTGTGGTTATGGTCATGATTGTGATTGCACGGACGGCCTCTCTCGTCGCCACTTTCGTCAGAGGAAGAGTCACTCGAGCCGCTATCACTATCACTCGAACACTCTCCAAATTCACGCTGAGGGTGGAAAATGCAACAGATCTTTGACTTCTTCTTATTCATATGTTCGTTATCAACCACATCGTCAGTCCATCTAACCTGTGACCTCGACTTCTTCTTTTGCTTCTCCTTCTCGCTTCTTGGTCGAAGATGTAAAACTGGCGTCGGAGTTGTTTCTTCTGTTTGTGTTTGCAGGTTAGGCCCTGCTTGTGACTGTCTCTCTGGCATAGTGGTGTGGTATTTTTGCTCTGTTAAAGATTGACCGAGATAATATATTAGTGATCTTTGGAATCTGGTCATGTGACGTATGTTCGGAATTTACCACTCAGGTATTCTCCAAGAATATACGTATTTTCACGATTCAAATAATTTTCAGCATTAGAGACACTTTAATGTCGAAAATTTCAAAATCTTTATTACCGTTAGACGATTTTTCAACTCAGGAAACGGGATAGTAGTGCTAGCAAACTGAAAAGGGCTAACATTACCTGCAGAACGCTGCCACTCCTTTGCTGCTGTTTCCCCGATCTCCCCATTCAGCAAAGATGGCTGAAAACTTAGCATCTGGGGTAATAAATGTCGCTTCAAGGAGTCAGTCTCCTGATTTAGAAAAGGCTTTACCTAAGATATACTATTTTATTCATTTCTTTTTATTTTTTTTTTTTTTTTTTTTCAGTTTCTATTGTTTTGCTCGAAGATCTCTTTACACTTTGAATATTGATAATTCGCAGCTAATTGGCAAAACGGGCGGAATGTCATGTAACCTGACTAGGAATAGAGTTTAGAAAAATATTGTGACACGGGTAACATATTTGGAAAGTATACGCTAAGAGGTCTATGGCTAAGCAACCCGCCTCGAGTACCACTTGTGGGGAAAGAAAAAAAAAAAAAAGAGTAGAGAGATTCCGACTTCCAAGGAAATGAACTGATATTAGAAGCAAACAAAAATGAAAAAAGAAAGCTCCGATACGGGGAATCGAACCCCGATCTGCTCGGTGAGAGCGAACTGTGCTAGCCATTACACCATATCGGATTGTTATTAATGTTTTGGTACCGCGGTGGTGATGAGCAAAACGATACACTATTGAGTATCGCACGACCAGTATAAAAACCCATACACCAGGATTATAATGGGTGGAATTTTTCAGCCTCCAGCAAACAAGCCTTAACCATTATCACCATGTGGCTAATAAATCTTTGCCAATACAAAGACACTTGATTATTTTCAAAAAAAAGAAAATTGGAATTACGTCTAAGTTGACTTCATCAAAAAGAAAAAGGCATTGGCATTGGTCCAACTCATCGGGACTAAATCTTGCTCGAGGCGCACCTGCCCATAGTGACCTCGGCATCTTGTGAGTCCAAAACCCGCCTACTCATGTCTTATCTATCTAACACAAAACAGTAAAAGACCCTTGATAAGTCCGAAACATGACCATCTCAAAAAGTCGACTACAATGCCCTCGGCTTCTTTTCCTTCACCTTCTAGAACTACGATATGAGGTAACCAGCGTTTATTTATGGTGTTGCATAGACTAAGCAAAAAAAATAAAGAGGGCCCAAGAAAAATCGGTAAAACTCACCGATCATCGTATATGTGACTCAAATGTGATGGAGGAACCCCGGACTCACGCAAAACTTCTACGTGATCCCTGAACCAATTATGGCACGACTATCTGAGCCACATTTTGGCACACGACTATTGTTCCGTTACGTGGGCACAATCTTTATATACTGTACCATATATGTTGGAAGCGTTACGTCAACCAAGAATCATTCTATCAGCCAAGCAAAATTTAAACTCGATCGAGCTTGACCTATTGAATGTAACGTCATTTCATTCTTGTTCTTCCTTCCCCACCCCGTGTTGTTACACTAAAACGGCGGGGCACAGCAGAATTTGGCATAGGACCGTTTTACGGAGACTACCACATGGGTTTCTTGCAAGCAACTTCTATCCAGACCAATTGTTCAATATCAGGAGGGTTAAATGACCCTTTCATGTTTTTCCGGCGTCCTTGAGATGCTTTGTATGTGGGACCAATCTGGCAGAAGAGAACTGCATCCCACGTAAGACAAAGGGTTTATTTGTTACTTTATATGACATATTATGGCATTTTGGAAGCTTGCTACTGCCTTCTTTAGTCAATGGCATGGGGTTAGATCTTGTGAAAAGGACAAAAAAGCAGTGTAACTCGCTCAAATTTTCCCTTAGAGCGATTTCAGAACTGGAAGTGTGATGGTGAGGGCCCAATGGATGGTATGAATGAGTGAAAAATTGCCTACCTGCATTTTGACCAAAATACACTATATATATAGTTCAAATTTTATTTCATGCAGAAATCCTCTCGGTGGCCAAGCTGGCTAAGGCGCGAGACTGTAATGTGATTGTAATCTTGAGATCGGGTGTTCGACTCACCCCCGGGAGATTTCCTCTAGCCTTTATGGCCAAGTTGGTAAGGCACCTCACTAGTAATGAGGAGATCGTCAGTTCGAATCTGGCTGAAGGCATCATTTTTTTGATATTTGATATTCTGATATCTTAAATCTGAACCTCGGGCCCCATGGGGAGATGGTTCTATTTCTTTTTAAGTCTGCATGCCTCTATCAGAATCTAAGCCAATCAGAGTATTCCAATGCACGTCTACGCCAAGTGGAAGCGAAAATGCGTCGCGGAGATGAACCCAAGTGACTTCGGCACCTATACCGAGAAAGGAATTAGTGGCCTGTGTACAGTACCACAAGGAATTTTCGCACAATTCTTTTTTTTTCTTACCTTACATACTAAGCACAGGCTCACTCGTGGGGACTTTGTCCTATTTCTTTTTTTTTTTCTTGACTGCCAGGGAGCTCACTTTCTTATAAAAAACGCCACCACATGCAGGACATTTACTTGGCGTGAAACTTCTTGGCAATTCAAATAATCAAATGACCTTTCTGCCACAGCCTAGTCCTATACAAATATATCTCTCCTGCCTTTCGCAAACTCGTCATATCTTGAAAGGTTTTTTTTCTTCACCCTTATACTTTACCAACCCACTTTACCCCATCCCATTCATTGTATATTATTTTCAAGCAAACCCTTCTATTCGTGATATAAGATACGGCTTGCTGCGAATAATAAAAAAAATAAATTAACCACAAAAAACAAATCAAGGGATAGATAACCACTCCATTTTTTTTTTTGGATAACTATTTCATAAGAAATGTCGCTGAATTACAACCTTCACCCAGTGACATACTTGAACGCTACCGCTGAAAAGGTCATGGACTCAGAGGTCGACTTTGACCTTGACGCCGTTTCAGATGCTGTTTCTACCAATTCCCCAACCACTCAGTCATCAAACGGCTCTCCACAAACTTCCTTCACATCCCAGTCTTCCGCCAACTCCCCTGTGCTGCAAGCTTCTTCTTTCGGCAAGGAGTTCACGAATGCCCACTTTGGTGCTCGTGCCACTGGTTTTGCTGGTACTGCTTTTGAACCAGCTGTGAAGCAGGAGTCCCTGAACTCTCAGCAACCTCAACCTCACTCCCACGCCCACCCTCACGCTCATCCTCACAACCATGCTCACCCACACTCACACAACCATGGCGATGTTAACTGCTCCGCCGGTGCTTCCGGTGAGAAGAAGAAGCCGAAGAAGACTTACAGAAAGGTTAGGGATGCTGACATGAAGGGTCCATTCAACTGTCAGTGGAGTGGATGTTCTCTCATCTTTGAGACTCCAGAGCAGTTGTACGACCACTTGTGTAATGAGCACGTTGGCCGCAAGTCCTCCAACAACTTGTCTTTGACTTGTGACTGGGACAACTGTGGTGTTACCACTGTCAAGAGAGACCACATTACCTCTCACTTGCGTGTCCATGTTCCTTTGAAGCCTTACCGCTGTGACTTGTGTACCAAGAGTTTCAAGAGACCTCAGGACTTGAAGAAGCACTCTAGAACTCACGAGGACGAACACCAGCGTAAGTTGAAGAAGTCTCAGAAGATGAACGAGAAGGAAGGCGAGAAGCAGTACCCTGTTCCAGTGTTGCCTCCACATCACGGTCCATTTGATGTTGGTTCCGCTTACTACCCTACTTTGGGTAACGAAATGACGCAACGTCAAGAAGTGTTCGACCTCAGTACTAGCCTCCACCCACAGCACAGCAACCAGCCTCCTTCTGACACCAAGAAGAGAACTTTGGACCACAACATGCACATGATGAACGGTATCCTCAGTGACTTCAACTTCTACGGTAGCCAGGACTCTAACAAGAGAACTAAGGTCGAGCCTCAGTACAACATGGAGGTCTACAACCGTTTGAACCACGTGGACGGCTTCATGAACAACCAGCCAAACTCCAACCACTCCTCGACCAGCAGCCAGGGATCCGTGCTCCACTCGCACAACATGATTCCTAACCCTAACTCCCACTACTCCTACGGTGCTAACCCACAGACGAACTACTACGAGGCTGAGAAGTTCTTCAACAACTTGTCTTCCTCTATTGAAATGCAGTACCAGAGTATGATGGGTCCAAACGGCAGTACTCAGGCTGCTGCTCCAAACCAGCAATACCCACAGCAGGCTCCTCAGCAGCAATTGTACCCAATGTTGCCTCAGTACCAGAACAAGCCTTACGACAACAACAGTCACTTCGTGAACAACCACAACTCTGGTTACACTCCAAAGTTCCCACAGGTCAACAGACAGCTCAGCGGTGGTCAGTACGGTGCCAACCCATACGGCTCTGTGGAGTACGAGTCTATTAGCAACACTCAGAAGTCTGCTAAGAAGCTCGATGATGACTCGTCTAAGGACAGTACTGAGGACGATGAAGCTGACATTTTGGCTAACTTCAACAAGTTGTCCATCAACGACAAGAACTCTGCTGAGTTCGATCTTGAAACTGTTAAGAGACACCGTGACATGATCAACTTCGTCTGCAAGCAGTTGGCTGCCATGGGCCAGAAGATGAAGGAGCAGGAGCACAAGCAGCAGGCCAAGGACGTTCGTATCAAGGACAACAAACAAAGCTTGTACCCAACGATCACTGCATTTTAAAGTTTTATGACTTTGATGAACTATTACATTCAATTCTCTTTAGATTGTTACGATCGTTAAAATTTTTGGGTTCAGGTTTCCTTTTCTTTTATATATATACAAATGTGATTACGTTTAGGAAACAATGCTGTAGATTATTCGAAGGTTTTAAGTAGCACACCAGATCCAAGTACTCTGTTGCCCTGATAAACCACGACGTTTTGACCTGGTGCCATAGCTCGTTGCTTCTCTTTGGTTTCTATTAGAATCTTGTTATCCTCAATAGCGAGCAGATCAATTTCGATTGGAGTTTGTAACGATCTGTACTGAAGAGTTAGCTTCTCAAGTCTTTCATGCTCTATATCATTAAGCCATGCCCATTCGCCAACTTTTAGTTTTTTCAGGAACAATCTTTCGTTAGACCCGCCTTTGACGATAACGATTTCGTTTGTGGCAACCCTTTTTTCACTGACAAACCAGACGCCACTATACTTTGGATCGCCTTGAGGCATAGAAATACCCAGTCTCTGACCGACAGTGGCATGCCATATACCTTGATGTTGACCCCAAACCTTACCGTCCTCGGTAATAATATTACCTGGTTTAGGAGGAATGAATTCGTCAAGAAAATGACGGAACTTGGTATGGTCTGGAGAAACAAAGCAAAGACCTTGGGAGTCTGGCTTCGAAGCAGTATGAAGTTCTAGTTCAGCAGCCATCTTCCGAACTTGCACTTTGGTGAAATGGCCTAAAGGTAGTAGCATTCGAGGGAGAACGCCACTCGAAATACTGGCCAAGTAATATGATTGATCTTTATTACCATCGTATGCTCTGATAAGATTGAATTTTTCATTCTCACAGCGTTCAACCCTAGCATAATGTCCTGTGGCAAGCCACCATCTCTTCTCTTTTGCAGCATACTTTGCAGCCAAATGGTCTATCATCTTGCCAAACTTGATGAACTTATTGCAACCTAAATCAGGATTTGGCGTGAGACCTTTTTCATACATCTCCATCATTGGTGAAAAGACATCTGCCCAATACTCTTTTTCGAAGTTGACCCTTTCACACGGTATATTCAACTGGTCGCATACCTTCTGAACAGTAGACCATTCTCCCTCAGTACACTTCGCCAGCTGAGACCAGTTTGCCATGTAGATACCCTTAACATTTGGGTATTTAGCAGAGAGCAAAGCGGCTGTAACTGAAGAATCAACTCCTGAACTCATAGCCACGAATATGTCATCATTATGATCTGGCTGTGACTGACGGTATGCGAAAGGTTCTGGGATTTCTGGATGAGGATTAAGCTTCTGTGTGATTACATTGGAATATGACCTGGAAAATGGTCGTAGGAGACTTCTTTTGGCCAAGAACCGAAGCATATGGGTCGTAGTTGGTGAAGTTGAAGTTGCAAGGTCAAGAATCGATGCCTCTCAATATGCACTTCTAAGCGATCGAAGCGACGCATAACAGATAGATATGGAGCGAGAACACTAAGAAAATCGATGCATCCTACAATATTCCAATTCGCTATAGTTTTATGATACTTCCTATAATTGTACAAAATGACTATAAAAGTCAAGGGGTTTGCCGTGATAGGTCTATACTATCCGGACAAATCACATTATTGAGATGAAAATACTGGATCATGCGGACCAGAACTGGTAAGCCTTTGGCTTTGCCACGCTTATAGGCAAAGCTTCCTGCTCCACTTGCTTCTCTTTATCCACATCCATCTTTGCCTCTTCTCCTTTATCTAAGTTGATTTTGTTAAAGTTCTTGTTGATTTCGTTAATGTTGATCGGCGTCAATAACTCATTCAACAAAGGCTCTAACTCGGGGTTATTGTTTTCCTTCTTGAACTTGCTAACTTTCTCGAAGTTTAACCATCTCTCGATAAGTGCTTGTTTTCTTTGCAAGTTCAACAAGTTTTCGGTCTTGATGAGGTCAGCCTCCAAGTGGTTGATTAACTTCAATTTAGCGTCAAACTTTTCCAACGTAAGCTCAATAACTTGGTTTACGAGGTTTGTTTGATCAAGCACCGTTTGCTCCAAGTTCTTCTTAGCGTTACCCTCCAACATTTGTTTGCCATCTTTCGTCTCTATCAACTTTTTCACGACATCCTGAATGATCGTTTCCTTATCCAAACCAGCTGGTTCCTTCTGCTCTTCGTTCTCGGGCTTGATTAGCTTGTTCAAGTACCTTTCTTCAATAGGAAGCTGCAAGAATTTGATCAAACATTCATCACGAGACTTCGAACCGACATGCTCACTGATCTTATCCCATTGACCATTGTTGTTAAGGAAAAGAGTCTGGTTATTTATCTCAGAGGTGGCATACATTTCGACACCCTCCAAAAGAAGAAGGACTTCCTGTTCCGTCCATTCCTTTTGCTTGAAGCTCTGCTCCAATTTGATAAAGTCGGACGAAGTAAAGTTCGATGGGAACAAACCTTGGTCGTAAACATCCTTGCTGATGACCAGCGGACCCAAGCTTCCACTTGTCAGAGCCTTGCTCTTGAGATTGTGGTATCTCACTTTGCTGACATCATTGGATGTCTCATTGCAAAAGTACAGCACCGAGTTTGGCGCTTTTTGATTTGTAGACTCGTCAAAGATATTTCTAGTAACTTCCAAATTAAGTGGAATGGATCCATCATCCTTTTCCTCCAACTTGACAGAATTTTCGGTGGTGGACTTTTGATCACTGGTGTCGGAGGTTGTAGCTGCTGAAGACTCAGCTTTCTTGACCTTGGAGCTTTCTGGAATAAATGGAACTAAGCCTTGGGGAGTATCCAAAGTGACTTGAAAGTGCCCCGTGTACTGTGGACCGACTAGAGTAGGCTTGGTTCTTGGGTCTATCTGGTAGTTGATTAATCCCCATTTTTCCAAGAAACGATGTATGCGGATTATACTGGCAACATCACCTGCCAAGTTACGACGCACGGCCGTGACTGTTAAATATTCAATTGGGTTTATCCTGTAGGAGTTGATCATGAAGTCTCTCAGATTCTTGTACACTTCTGGAGTCTTATAAGTGGATGGGTTTTCTTCATTTTTGGAGGGGAAAAAGTCAGGGAACAGTTTCTTCTCAATCAGATGAACGGTGTTCATGTCGAACCATTTGGAGAATGATGGAATAACAACGTGTCTTGACTGTTCAATGAGATAATTCTTCGCAGTCTCTTGGAAAGCTGCTCTAACCTTTTCAAGATCAACGGGTTCTGGCTCAGCAGGCTTCTCGGCCTCGGAAGTCTCAGCGGGCTGCTCGTTGTTGGCCTCCTCAGTCCCCGTCATTGGAGTGTCCTCCAAAGGAGTCTCTGGTTTAGAGTCACTGGGCTCTGCAGACATGATATTTCACGATTGATGTATTGGTGAAAAGGTGTAGCGACTTGTTTAGCTTCTTGATTTTTTGTGCCTGCACGACTTTGCTTGGACACGACAACCCACCTTGTTGGAGATCAGAAGCTAGATGATACTTATTAGTTAAAAATATGCCGATTAGCCATATACTGAAGATCTTATAATGTTTTTGTTTTCTTGAGGTACTAGAATGGGTAGAGTTCGATTTTCATGAACATGTGTTAGCCATGTCTAGCGTGCGGTTGCGCATACACCAACAAGGAACTCACCAATACCTAAGCAATTCAAGGAGAGTGAAGCAAGTTAGATATAAGATCGTAGGTGTTTTTAAGGGGTGCTACTTGTTAATCGGTATTCATCTTTTACTTCACTATAACACATGTGTGGCTTCCAGAAGGTGAACTCTACTACTTTTCTGTATACGCCCTAGTTCTTGGAGTCATAATCAAAAAGAAGCAAGCCTGATAGAGATTAGTGAATGATCTGAAATAGTTTGAGGACAACATTTTGGCGAAATTAACCAATAGCTTATCTGGTTTACCTCTATATTTATATAGATAAGTGGACGGCTGCAAAATATGTCGCGACGAAATGGGAAAGATGTGCGACACGAGCAACGCGTAGTTTGTTTACAGATCGTTTATCTTGATATCTATCACTGCTCAGAACAGATTTGTTAAATCACAGTCGGACAACACTAATAAGATGGTTGTCGCAGTGAGCAGGAAAAGGAACAGGAACGAGAGGCCCCAGTATGGGGAACTCCACTCGTCGGACGTGTCCGATTACGATGAGGTGGAGGAGTCTGATTACGAGTCTGAGGACGATCAGCCTCGTAAGAAACATACCAAGAGTACCGTTCAACGCCCACAACAAGTATTGGAAAGTGAAGAAAACTCTTTGTTCAAAGCGTTGTCGAGCCCGGTTGTGGCCGTATCAGAATTGGCACTCGAGTGGGTTGAATCATACATGGCGGAGGAAGACACCGAAGGCGTGAACTCATTCATGAACATGTTCAATCTTCTTTTAAAAGCTGTGGGATGCAACGTTCCAGTTCAAGCTCATGATATTATCAGCCCCGACTCGGCAGTTGCAACTGTGAACGAGCTTAGTATTCACTTCGAAAAGCAGAAATACCATGAGAATCCATTTGCCTCAAACAACAAGGATGTGAAACATTTCCAGAAGAACGTTTTGGAATTTTTCAGTGAAGTTATCTTTTATGCCCACGAAAAAGGCTGCTTATATCAAGAGCTCATAGACGAGGGCCAGACTGTTCTCTCATCAGACTTCATGACGTCTTTAATACTGTGGTTCAGTGCCCTCAGTGCTAGTAATTTGAGACCCTTTCGTCATGTGGCGACTGTTGTGACACTAAATATAGTCACTCAACTATGCCACCAGGCCGCTTCTCTTGAGGTGTCTCTTGAAAGGCAGGAAAGACAGTTGAACAATGCAAAGAATAGCAGCAATAAGTCTAAACTGAAGCGCCTGAAAATTGAGGTAATCCAGAATAACATTGACAGAACAAACATCAAGATAGGTACTATTAATGAGTATTTGGATGAGGTTACAAGATCTGTGTTTGTTCATCGTTATAGAGATCTCGACAGCACAATCAGAGTCGAATGTTTACACGCGTTGGGCGACTGGATGGTTTCCAACCCTGCTTACTTTCTTCTGTCGGCGTACTTGCGCTATTTCGGCTGGCTTTTATCAGACCCAACAGATGCCGTCAGGGACGAGGTTGTGAGGTCTCTCCATCGCCTATACAAATTTCTGAAAGGGTCTATTGAGAATATGGCCTTCAGCTTCAGAAAATTCACGAAGCGTTTCCAACAGCAACTCATCAATATGATTTGGAAAGAAAACTTGGCAAGTATCAAGATTAATCTTTTTGCAATTTACTCCGAGCTTTTGAAAATCGGTTTCCTTCTGGATTCAGATAAAAGTCGAATTTGTTCGTACGTTTTTTATCTTGCAGAATCAGAACTTCATCATAAACAAGTCGGCACCAAACTTAAAGCTGAATGCAGCCGATTTATTACCATAGCATGTATTCAGGCCACTGAATCTACCGTTGACAAACATTCCAAGTATTTCCAGAAGTCATCGGGACCCATCAACACCAATAACATAGCTGGTGTTTATAAGCTCAAGTACCTCGCTGCATTTTTCCAAGAGTCAATAGATGAGTATTCGACGAAGCGCCCTCATTTATTCATTGACGAACCGAGTGTGAGCTCATGGAAGATGCTTAAAGGTGTTTTTACGGATTTGCAAATCATGCCCGAATGGGCTGGTGAGTGGGAGTTGATTGTGAAATACTTATTCTTCGATACATCAGCATTAATTGTCGAAGGTGCATCAGATAAGGAGACAGCCTCTATAAGAGATAGCCTAGAACTATCTCTGAAGGACCAGCAATTTTTTGTTTCATTTTTGTCGGGCAGCGTCGATTCTTCGTTAAACGGCAAATCTCGCAAGGGGTTGGACACATCCGAAGATTCACCCGTCAACATGGTACCCAAATTAGCCTGTCATTTAGCAGATCTTGAGGATTTACTGAGTAAGGTAACCTCGATGTATCCTGTTTTTCTCAGAATCTGGAATGACTTGCTAGGCTTCAAATCCGAATCAATCCAGGCCGTGTATGAGCACTCCAATAGCATCGATACCTACAACCTGTTGCATGGTAGAGTGCTTCAATACTTTTTGGAATGCCAGGAAATGTCATATGATCTTGTTGAGCTTTACAAAGAGTACTTTTCTCTTCTACTAACATCGTCAGACGAACGCGGACAAAATTCCAGCAATGGGGATACCAATCAACTTATCAATCCTAACGTTTATCTTAAGATTGAAGATACTATTTTAGCTCTCCTGACAGAAATAATGGAGGATTTAAGTTCAAAAGGATCATCGCATGATGTTTTTGAAGCAACTCTGGAACAAGATGATCCTTTTGTCTGTGATCAAAAAGATCTTTGCAACACCTTGATTGAGATATCGAACCCTGTTAAGAAACTCAACATAATAGGAGATATAATCAGCATTATCAGATCGGTTGGAGAGCCTCTACTTGACTATCCCGGCAGTTTACTTGAACTGCTTTCAGTTAAACTACTTTCGAAGTTTAGTTTCCAAACCCTCGTGAAGCTCTGGCCTCGTAACTTGTCCAAGGTAATTAAGGATGTAAGTGAAGCCTGGAGTTCGATACTAGATTTCGGTCTCATTTGCCTCTGCTGGAAGCTAGAAGATCTTATGTATTCATTGAATGATGGCACAGCGGAGACTATCAATGTTGATATCTTCATGGATGATATGTGTGGTATCTTCGTTAATGTTGTTGACTGCTTCAGCTCGTTAAACGAGGTAGTATTCGATCCTGAGGAATTGCCAGGTCTAAGCGAAGACACTAAGTCCTTGAAGATTGAACTCGCTGAATTTCTTCACATGTTCGGGACTAAAATAGCCGATTTCGCCACGTCGCTTAAAGCGTTCTATGATCGGACGAAACCAATTCACCGCTTTAGAGACTTCGATGCTATGTTTTGCACTTCGGAAAAACTCGGGCCATTCGTTAACGGCGAGCTTCCAAAGAATTTGGAAGATGCGTTGATGAATGTCTTCTTAATAAGAGAAGCAAAGCTTGGCTACCTTTTGGGTGAAGACTTAGAGAGGCTTGATAACGAGAATGTCAACTTGGAAGAATTTTCAGAGGAGCACGATGAAGTTCAAGAAGACACTTCACCGCAGGAGGTCGTCACCAGATTTGACACTAGTGACGAGGAAGATAATGAAGAGGACGAAGTTAGGGTCGCTAGGGAAACCGCTGAAAGAGAAGCCAGACTGAACGCAAGATCGTCCATGCTCAAGTTTAAACTGGACCGAAAAATTTGGACGCAAGAAAAATTGCTATCTGTCTATTCGATGAAGCTTCTAGGACTTATCAAGGCAAATTCGTTATCGTCTCATTCTACGGAACGTTTCAAGCTTAATGGCCAGAAGCTTGGGCAAACTTTCGGCACTATCGTTTCCATGATGAGCAGCCCTGACCAGGTCAATAGAGAAAGCGGCTCATTTGAAGCTACTGAAGAGCAATCTGCGGTTGTTTCATAATGTCATTAAATATGATAAATAATTTTTCACTAAGTTCTTCCTCTCGAGTTGTACTCTGAATCAATATTTTGATCGGTAGGCGCGGTTGTCATGAACGTTGGCACGCCAGGTTGCTGAGTTTGTCTCGAATCCTGTTGTGTCAATGACGAGCCTCTTTGCCTTCCGTTCTGTTTTGTGTTTGGTATACTCATGGATCTCGGCGTATACTGTTCTTCTCCACTCAACATCAGGTGGTCCGAAATGCTATGCATGTCATCTGGATCATTTCGATTCATGGGTAGAGTAACATAATTTGACTGGATATCTCCAGACCTTGGCAACTTCTTAATATTAATCTGAGAACTGGCTGTGACAACCTCAGGTTGGCCATTAATTGTCCTTGAAGAAGGTCTATAAGCACTAGGAGGCGGCCTGCTTGGTGAAGTCGAGGTTCCCAGCCGGTATCTCAACTGAGACTGAAACTTGGCTTTGATAGAAGGTGCCTGCTCCAAGGCTGGACTGCGGCTTCGAGTTTTGACGGACCGCATATTGAGCCCGCTGAGATCAAGCTTTAAATTGTCTTTGTTCATACCTTCTCCTCGACGAGGTGAACATTTGAACTTATTGCTCTTTCTGAATTCCACAAGAGCGCGTCTAATATTGTACGCAGAGTCTTGACGGAAGATCTTGATGAGGCCTGTTTGATCACAGGTGACTATGATATGACCTATGTCAAGGCCTGTAGTCTCCGCGTACTCGATTTCTTTCTTTCGAGGACCAAGGATTCCGTAGTCATCGAGTTGAGGAGCCCTCTTTACCAAATCGTAGATAATATCATCCGAAAATGCGAGAAGCCTTCTAGTATTGTCCGGTGCAAACAAAGCACTATTGACTTTTGTGTGATGAGCATGAAAGCAAGCGTACGAGTTATTTTCGTTTGGAATATAATGTTCACCGCTGCTGTCTTCTAAGAAACGTTGCAAGCTTAGTTTCTTCCAAATCTTATTGTCATGAAGTAGTTTCGTAAGTTTCTTATGGGTATGGTTTACTTGCTGCTTGCCCTCGTTATAAAGTTCTTTGAGAGCAATCCTGAGCTTATTGTTAATGATGGAATTGTTGTTTTCCCACACATAAACCCAGTGGTCTTCCGATCCACAAACGATGAAACGATTATCATCACTCAACGATGCCACAATAGATGAACTGGTATTCGTCGCTCCTTTGAAACGTGTAAGTAGCCTGGTGCGATGCATGTCAATCAATCTTGCTTTTGAGTCATTCGTTGTGATAAGTAAGTTCCACCTAGCGAATTGGGTAGCTGGAATGTCTGTAGCTGCTTCATTCTCGAACACTTTTATGCCTGTGATCTTGTTCCCATGTTTTGATGCAAAAGGGCTCGCCATGGATCTCTCTTTGAGCTCAACTCTGCGGGTAACATTAAGGCCTTGTGTCTCGAGGCCAAATAGAGAGCCATTGAATCCACCGACGATACAGTTGTTACCAATAGGAGTGAATGCCAATGCGGTGATCAAGACATCATTGCCCAAATTCTTGCTGTATGCGACAGAATTGTCCAAGATGGACCACAAGCGAACATAATTATCTAGCGAGCCACTCAAGAAGAAACGATCATCATTGGGATGAAACTTCACCGCAGTGACAAAATCTTCATGCTTAAAAGTTTCCAAGCATTCAGAACGTTCAACATTCCAAAGCTTGACAGTGCGGTCCATAGAGCCAGATATGAGGAAATTGTTCTTGCTCCAGTCTAATGTTAAAATGGATTTCGTGTGGCCTGCAAACACAACCTCTGGTTCTTGTTGGAAGACGGGTGCGTATTGAAAGACCTTCAGTTTTGAGGAAGGCAGTTTCCGTCCAGCCTCACGGCTCTTATATTGAAGCCTGCTCAATGGTGACGAAATGACATGCCAAATGTAGATCTTGCTGTCTCTGCCGGCGGCGGCCAAGTACTTACCATCTCTGCTGAATTCCATGACTAAGATCTCATTGCTACGCATGGACGCACTATCATCACCAGCAGAGGAATTGGTTGTACTCTCTGAGAACTCAGCACTACTCAGGTCTGAATCAGAAGCCAATGCTTCAGTAACATCCTTCTTCTCACCGCACCGAAGCTCCTGAGCAAGGAACAAGTTATTAAGCATCCGCGGACTTTTGTTGCTCCGCTTATTGATCTTTAAGCGCTTGGGGAACATCAAAGATTCACACGTTAGTCCGGCCCAAGGAACATTCGTCTCTGGAGACTCATCTTCAGCCGTTGGGAACGCTTGTTCGCCGCTTCTATCAAAATCGTCATCGTGGTAGTCGTCAAGGGTATAGTCGGAAAGGATGTCATTCAGATCGTGCAGATTGAGGTCTTCAACCAGCTGGTCAGCGTGATTGAAAATGGAAGTATAGTCATCGTCAAGGAACACACCGCCATCTTCACCGTCGGAACGAAGCAGGGGAGCTTTTGGAATTGCTCTGGAACTTCGAGGCAGCGAGAACTTAGTATCTGAAGAGAAGCTGGTACCCGTAGAAGCCGGGGAAGGCGGGCCCAGAGACTTCTTCTTGCGGAAGAGCTTAGACAAGATGCGCTTCTTGCCTCCCGACTCGTTTTTCGACATTGGGCGAGTGGGTGCTGAGGAAGAAAAAGAACAAGATAGCACTCAGGTGGAGTGGAACTTGAAATGGGAATAAAGCCTATTTCAGGAAAAACCCGTCTGCGTGCGCAGGCAGGCCCTTTTTCTCGCCCCTCCTAGATGCCAATTCTACGCCAGACGCCAGACGCCAGCCGCCAGGCGCCATACCGGAGTTTCCAGGGCCATCATTTTTCCTCCACCTTGGCGCCGATCGAGCAGGGCGGCTTTGCGAAACTAGACTGACCCATCGACCCAGAATCTACAGTACCATTACCACAGGGAATCCAGGCAGCGTCCCGCCAGGAAATCCAAAGCAGCAGTTTCATCTGGGTCTGTTGCTGGTGACAACGTCTCTCTACCTTCTATTCTTTCTCTACACTTGGCAACTTTCCCTGATGGGGCTTGACATGTTCGCCCAGACAGCTCTAGACAATGGAATAAAGGTTCCCCTTTCTTTGAAGGAATTGGCGTCAAACAATAAAAGGGCTCAGCGAGCGAGAACAGAACCCTCTCTCAGTGAACGTTAAAGTTTGCAGCCAAGGGGCTTCGGTGCGGATTGCCGCCGCGTCCTCACTCACCACACCGTAACGCTTGCCATTTTTCCTTTTCTCTTGCCGTATGTCATGGCGCACTGCTCGCTGTCTTAGCAACTGTTGTCGCTTATTCTGCTGCAGGCACTGACCCTGGGAAATTGCTGCAACTGTGGTGGAGGAAGAAGTTGCTGGTGGAGACGGAGAGAAAAAAAAATAATTGGTGGAGTAATGTGGGGGAAAAGAAGCTTTTGTTATTTTCTTTTTCGCCTTCCGTTTGAATTCTGGGTTTCTTATGGTTTCGCTGACGCTGGGTATCCGATCCATCCGGTGGGGCGTGTTATTTGGTAGACTGGTTACCTTTTTTTTTTTTAGAAGCGGTTTTTCCGGTGGATTTGCGCTGGCGCTAGAAAGCCAAGAGAGACGAGAAAAATTATTCTTCTGGTGAGATCTGTGTTGCAAACCATAAATTGCAACACCACAAAAATGATGTGGATACTGCGTTGTATCCGTTTTCTTTTTGGGACCATCAAAGTTTACTTTGAGGGTAGGTTTGAAGCGCTTCTGTAGTCGATGTCCCTCGTGGTGTTGCTGGGTTCTAGTCTGCTTTCATGCATCTTTACCTTCTTTGTGTCAAATGGCTGCGAAACTCAAGCCTCATACGGTTTCTTCGGAACGGGAGAAATCCGGAAGGACCAAGGAAGATTCACAAAATTGGTGCCCTGTCGATATTAGGAGTCGCCTGGGTTCAACAAATCCGATTATCTGCTTGCACGGTGACGAAACAGATAAGCAGCCGAGGTCTGTTCGAGCCGCAAGTGATACATTGTGTGATCCGACCGAGGCAGAAGACGATCTGTCTGCTCATTCAGATAAGTGATGGTACGATAATAATGGGCTCGAAGGGTTTGTGATCGACACTAGCGAATATAAAGCCGTTGAAAGGGGTGCATTTCTACAAGAAGAGGCACAAAAGTCCCTCGCAATTGCCAGAGGCATTCCAAGGCTAAATTAATTCAGTTGACTACGATATTTGACAATTAAATTAGGGGCTTCAGGGTTGGTGTATACGCAAACCAATTTCCATGATCTGGCTGGCTTACCCCAGGAAACGCTCTTATCGAGTTATTCTCTCCAACGCAACCACAGGACGTCTACGTTTACTTCCAACAGCTACTTTGCGTTCATTCAAGATTGGTTCCATTTACTAAGCTATAATAGTACTCACATGATGAATTAGTGAACTGTCTGAATTAAAAAAAACTCGTCACAGTCAATCTGTCACGTCTTATGGCTACATTCCCTTTTTTCCTGTTGTTTGTATTACATCGCCTGTCACACCCTGCCCGGCAATAGCCGGCAAATGCACTATGCTAACTGCATGCTTTAGGTCTTCTTCTTTTTAGACCACTCCAAACGCAAAATCAAGGAGTAGTAACCCTTGCCGTTCAACTCGTCCAATGCTCTCTGTGCAAGCAGCTCGGTGGCGAATGTCACGTAAGCAAAACCCTTGGATTCGCCGGTTTCTCTGTTTCTGATAAGCGAGCATCTCTGCAATGGACCGTACTTTCCAAGCAACTCTTCTCTCAACATCTGGTCGTCCACCATCGTGTTCAACTGGGAGATTCTCAATGTACAAGAGTCGTCTCTAGACTCTCTGCTTGGAGCATCGGCTCTCTTATGCACTGGAACGTATTTAGAAGATTCGGTAGGCTCTGGAGTAGCACCTCCACCACCTGGGGCGGCAGTCTCTGCTCCAAGCGTGTCCTTGAAAGGACACTTGGATGTGAAATGGTCACCACCACATGTTCTACATGTGAGTCTCTGCGAGCTGACCAAGTTGGCTTTCTGTTCCATCTTCTCCTCCTCTTCCTTCTTCTCAAGCTCTTTCCAAGAGGCACCGAGCTTCAACTCGATCTTTTCACCCAACTGCGTCGTTCTCGTGTCTGGGCCTGGAGGAGTGTGCTTCTCTTTACCAAACTTGGCCCAGCTTCGGCGGATGGCTATGGATGGGTGTACTCTTTCCTTGACTTTGACTTCCTTGATCTTCTGTGTAATTTTCACCTTCTGGCCCTTGGCGTTGAGTCTATAGCTCACCACCGTCTTGGTACCATCTGGGTTCGAGGTAATCTCTGGGACTGGGATATCGTCCTCAGCATCTGCCCACGACTGAAACATATTTATGTGTTGTTTAGGTGAATTATCGATGCCTTGTAGAGTACGTTTGGAATACAGCGAAAAATTTTAGTGCAGTCTGCACGACCGCGCTTCTTAGTACTTACTCTATGATGTCGCATTTTGCATCCACTCTACTAGACCAATTACCAGGATGGAGATGGCACTGTCTTCCCCAAAATTATATTGAAATATCTTTAATTACTAAGATCCAGACAAATTATTTCAGCGATTTCCTTCCTCCGATAGACTTCTTCATGTTTACCCCAGTTCCCTCTGCTGTCAGTGAACGGTACTTCCTTCTCTTGAAGAAACAGCGCGAAGATATCCAGTTGTCTCTCACTGAGTAGTTCATCTTCAAGGGATTGCAATATATGTGCTTTCTTGAACTCCAATTCAAAAGGCGTCCTTCTAAACTTTCCAGCTAAGGGCACTGCTTCCACGTAGTCGTCCTCAGATGCAAAAGCTTCGTTCACGAACAGAATATAGTCTGGGTACTCATCCACAAGGTCTGCAATGTCATAAATGCCATCAATGAAAAAGAGGGAGTCAAGCTTGATGGTGGGCGGATTTATGTCAAGGCTCTGCCCTAGTAAGGTCTGGTACATGAGCAATTGCAATATGAGTGTAGCTCCGACAGAATGTCCCACAAGCAGGGCATTGTGGATACCATGCTCCTTCTCTAAGAATGATATAGCATGTACGACGTCAACAAGGTGACTTGGATGTTTGACTTCCGGCGAGAGTCTGTAGTTCAAGCCAATATAGTTGGTATTGTCGGTTGGAAGTTGGTTAATTAGTTCTTTAAAGTCGTCATATGTGTTATTAGGATCTCTCCAAGCCCCACCATGTATAAATATGAGGGTGTGTTTATTATTTTTATCAAAATGAAAGAATTTGATTGTTTGCAAAGGATCCTCACCGTAATTGATCACCGATGCTACAGTCATGATAATGTATGTATGTTGTCTATTGCGTATCTATAATTTACCGAGCCCGTATATGTACAGGTTCACCGTTATCAACCAAACCAACAAAATTCAAACAATTCCAGGAATGACCATGTAATTATCGCAAATGAAGTCATTTCTTAGTAACAAGTGATTGGCACGAGAGCCACCAAATAAGTAATACAACAGGAGAAGTAAAAATTGGAAGCAGGCGAACTAAATCGCGCTGAATGAATAATCAAAGAATGTCTAGGGATCGCCTTTCCAAAAAGCCATTGAAAGGTCGATTATCTTAAGTAGCTTTTTCGTTGTCATTGCGCTTTGTCAAATAGAAGTAAATCCACATAGATAGTTTTCGGGAAAAAGATCATGGGAGGAGAATATTTCAAGAAGAATAAAAACAAACATTAAGCATCAAGGCGCTTAGTAACGGGTTGGAGAACGGTCACGGGTGTAAGAGTCTCTCTCAAATCCACCATCACCACGGTCCCCACGGTTGTAGCCGCCTCTACCGCCTCTGAAGCCACCATCACGGTTGTAGCCACCCTCGCGGTTGAATCCACCTCTGTCACCTCTGAATCCACCACCACGGCCGCCTCTGCCGCCTCTGAAGTCACCTCTGAATCCGCCACCACGGCCGCCTCTGCCACCACGGAAGTCGCCTCTAAAGCCACCACGGCCACCACGGAAGTCACCTCTGAATCCACCTCTACCTCTTCTGCGTGGAACGTAAGGGCTGGTGTCGTGCTCAGCACGCAAAGTAGCACCCTCGTAGTCAGCATCGTTCAAGTTCTCAATGGCGGAAGCAAGCGCCTCACCCTCTTCGAACTCAAGGGCAGCAATGGTCTCACCAGTGTCGTAGTCACGGAAAACCTTAACGAAAGATGGCTCCATACCCTTGTCACGGACAAAGTCCTTAAAGTCTTGCCAAGCAGTGTTCTCTGGGACATTGGTAATCTTAACACGGTTTCTGTTGCGGGTCTCCTCCTTACGGCCGTGGGCCAATTCGATCTGAAGGGTCTGGCCATCCAAATCAGAACCAGACAAAGACTCAACAGCCTTAGAGGCATCCTCTGGGCTTTCGTAGGTAACAAAAGCGTAACCTCTCATAATTTGAACCTCAACAAGTGGTCCGATGTCAGCAAAGTGGCTTTCGATAGCCTCCTGAGGAGTTTCGAAGCCAATAGGTCTAACGAAAAGCTTGCTAACTGGAGCATCCTCAGCTGGAGGAGCATCCTGAACTGGAATCTGGTCTTGTTCGGTATCGGACATTATTAAGAAAAAATGAGATATAAGATGAGCAGTTTTGTAGTTGATATTTTTTTCTCCTGTGGTACGCGTGGTTTGGTTCACCCACTACCTTTCATTAGGGAAGATGGTAATCACAATTGGCCATTACAAGAGATATGTTGGTAAGGTTCTGATGAAAAGTTTTGAGAGACTTTGTCTCGGTAGGAAGTATCTACAATCAGTTCATCATTGAATTTTGACCAGTGTAGGCAGAGTTATCGTTATCTCGCTCATTTGCGGCTTTGAGGCCATATAACCGAAATTAACTGTATAGCAGTGTAAAAGCAATAGAATGAAATGTTTTTTATGGCTTTAGATCCCTTTTGGGCCGTTTCGCTGCTGTGATTTAGCATGGCCCTGACTCACATTTTCTAACAACATCCGATATGGTGTAATGGCTAGCACAGTTCGCTCTCACCGAGCAGATCGGGGTTCGATTCCCCGTATCGGAGCTTTCTTTTTGCTTTTTGGCAACTTTATCAGGTAAGAGCATAACTTTTGTGGCCGGGGCCTCGTAACGATAGCAACGGTATTCTACAAGCGTCATTAATATATATGTAGGCATTAAAGGGTGTTGGTAAACACCACCATTAAATAGGGTCTATTCCGAGCTCATCAAGATTGTCGTGATAGTTGTCCATTTTCGTGTCCTCCTCCTCCGTGTCCGTTAGGAATATAGTGTCTAGAATATGGTCTTTTTCGATAGCAAGTTTCTCTTTACCATAGTCCGAGCAAAACTTAACTGATGCAAGCATGGCACACACAAGATTATCATTGTTGAAACTTGGCATAGTCCCTGCCTTCAACTGAAGCTCCGTGGGTACTTGCAACTTGGATTTATCAATCTCCGTCTCACTTGCACCGGAAGGTAAGAAGAGTGCATCGTCAGTGACAAGTGCTTTCAAAAGACCACGAATATTCACCTTGTAGACTGTTGTATCGGAGACAGACACTGCCAATACTAGCTCATCCATGAAGCTCCTGATATTGATCGCTTTGGAATTGGAAGGCGAGAACACTTTCCAGTGTGATATACCGTTTGGAATAAGTGCATTGGTGCCAGAACAAAGCTTGTACGGTTTCAGTGGATCCCAGGGGACGATTTCGATGTTGAGCGAGACAAACGAAGACACATGGCTCATTTTGAACACTTCTTGAGGCTCGCCGTTAACTATGATGGTGTCTTTCAAGACAACGACCAAGTTCGGTCTATAGAGATCGTTACCACATCCGCATCTGACCAAATGGGCACGAGCGAACCCTAGCCAGATTTCACGGCCAGGAGGAATGATTTTTTGTAATTCCTCAGAGTTTTGCTTCTGAGCCTGCAAGACGTGACGAACATTAGCCATCTGCGTGCCCCCTCTAAATGGTCCAATTGACGACGACACCTTGAGATTTTCATTCTGCTCATAGAGGAACCCACATTTACCAGTTTCCAAGTCACATTTGAGAACTTGCATGCTCGCCCAGCGATAGACGAATAAAATTGTCTTGTCGTATCCGTTCACTTCACGGTCAGCATCACTAATCATGGGTGTCCAATTCTTTTGCTTTGATTGACGAGGCATATTTTTAATTCGTAGTTCGACCGCCTTGGCGTATGTCGTATTATGAGTGGGAGTGTTGACAAGGTCGTCCACGTTATTCTTGCCCTTTTGGAATTGCCACGGATAACTGATCCACATGGAACGATACGTGGTAGGCTTTTTAAGAAGCATTCTGTCTTCGTCATCATCAGCGAAGGCATATTTCTGATGGTGTAAGTTAAAAATCATCATTGGCTCCTCATAATTGTTTTTGTTCTTGACAAGAATTAGTCTGGGGTCTTCTGGCCCAAGGTACCGCAACGCACGGTCCTTATACTTGTGAAAGAATGGCACAGGAATGATTTGAGGGTAATGGGCTACCCTAAATGCCTGTTCGTCAACGTAAAACTCAGCACCTTGTTCATTGGTAGGTATAACAAGACTCACGTCTCTGACTTCTTGCCAGTTTTCATCGTATAACTGGGCATATGCAAAGGAGAATTTGGGGTCACGTCTATTTCCATCAGGAGAGTATGCCAACCGAGAAATCATAATGTGGTAGCCATATTGGTCCAAGTAAAGTGAAGAACCCGCAAGTCTGAACCAGTGGCGATGACAGACCTGATGCTTGAGTTGTAAACGGATCTGTAAATCAAAATAAGGAGCCATCTCAGACAAGTACTCATCATCTCCACGATCAATTCCTCTAATGACTCGAGCCACAATGTCACATAAAGGCGTATGTAAGTTTGTAGCTTCACTCACCTCTGTGGAAACGTTATTTCTGAGCAACCCACATTGATGCAAGTCCATGCCAATGTCCTGAGCCGTGTCGTAAACCTGGAACGGATGGGGGTGGAAAACTTCCTTTTTCACAGGAATGCTCTCTGGTCTATGTTTCTCGATATGTTCATAGTTATAGTTTGGATTCTCTCGAAGTGGTGGAGTATCGTTGATAAAGTCGGGAATTGCCGAAACGTCTATAGGAAACGAGCTGCCAAACACCAATCTAGTCTTGACAGGTCGAAGCTTGTGGGTGACATTTGTCCATGGCAATTTAGGATTCAAGGTTAAATGGCACACGAGCAAAACCACGAAAAATACTGCTAGCCCATACCGGGTCAAATGCCGGGCCATGGCGATGAGGTGAAGGAAATTTGTCTCAAAGCAAGTGTTGTTTGTTAAAAGAGCTTCACGAAGGAAGGTAGGAAAAAAAAGTTGAATGTCAAGTTCACGCGGTCAACGAGGCTTTCAGGCTCCTTCTAGTTCTGGCTGGGGGAGTATTCCTTCACATTCGAGCTGGGGCTCCCTTTGTTCTTCTAAGCCAGTAGAGTGTACAGAAATTCAGGAACGATCTGTATAAGCTGCGTGTGCGTGCACTACTGGGGGAAGCAAAAGGTTCTTTGGCTTCATACGTTAGTATAGATATGTGTATATGCATTTGGGATCAGTTTTTCTTTCCGTCGTCGTCCTTCTCCTCTGTTTTGTCTTCGTTCAAATCCATCTTGTTGAGCATTTGTTTGGCTGTCATAAGTTTCACATCTTCGTCTGCCTTCTTGGCTCTTTTTCCTGCTCCAAGCTTCTGCGAAAATGGCCGCACAACTGCTGATGCAAGCAGAGCTGGCGTCAAGCCGTCATCGAGGTCGAGATCTTCGTCGTCGACTTCGTTGTTTTCCTCCTCGTCGAGATCTTCGTCGTCGTCGTAGTCGTCGCCATCCGCGTCTTCGTCATCGTCGTCATCGTCTGGCTCTTCTCCATCGACGTAGTCCTCATCCTCGTCTTCATCGTAGTCGTCAGTATAGTCGTCGTCGTAGTCATCATCAGTAAAATCGTCCTCTTCTTCGTCGTCCTTTGAACCCTTTTTGCTGTCTTTCTCCTTGCTCTCACCTGTGTTGAACATCATGAAACTCTTAAGTGGAGACGTGAAGGATGCAGACATGGGTCTCTCTTTCAAAGGCAGCAGCGACTGCGTTTTACTTCTCTCAATATCTAATGATCTGACAGAGTAAAGCTCAGGCAGCCCTGGTGGAGGTGCTGACCCAAGCTTTGGCAGGTTAGGACCTGATTTCATCGATGAAGGCTCGGCTTCGTCATCTTCTAAGTCACTGAAATCGCTAAGGTTGGCCATTGGCTCTCTCCAATAATTAAGATCAGTGAACTTTTCGTCAGGTTTGACGACTTCATTAAAGCTCGAGATGCTTCGAGGCGATCCCGGGGAGTTGGGTTGGTCACCTCCGTCTTTAGAATGGATGTACTGATTAAACTGGTCTTCGTTCCAGTATGGACTCACCTCACTGATAAGCTTCAATGGTGGGAAGAACTGGTCAACAAGCTCTCCAATTCTCAAGTATGATGATCGATAACCAGCGAGCTCAAGCAACTCCATATGTACCTCACCGTAAGGGTTGATAGTGAAGATACGATGCGAAGGAATACGTACACTTCTGTAACTGATAGCGTCCGTAATTCTGTTACCAAAACCAGCATAAAATGGTGTTCTTTCATCAGCTTCATCAACACTCTGAGACGCTCCAGTCTTGGAGAAGTACAAACTGCTGATATCTCTCAAGCAAGCCATTTTGAACACTTCAGGTTTCTTCAAAATGATCTCTCGCCTTAATGCAGCCATAGTCCTATCAGGACTAAGAATTACTGGACCAGGTGGAAGCTTAACTCCGTCTTGGTTGATACTCTCCAAGTATTGACGAGTTGTGTCGGCTTGACCGACGGATCTTGCAGTCAAGTAAACAATATTGTAGCCATTATGAGCAATATCTTGGAAAAGCTTTGCAACACCAGGATGCGTCCAGTCTCTACCAATCATATTAAGAACATGGCCAAGGGCATCAGATTTGGTGATTGTTCCGTCAATGTCGGAAATAACGATAGGCGTAGTGGACTTCCAGAGATATAAATCTGAAACCACTTGAGAGTTACCTTGATTGAGTTTAAATCTAAGCTTGTTACGGCCGTAGTTCAACTTCATCATGCGTAATTGTTCGGATGTCAAACGTAACGTCTTAAAGTATGTCTGATCCTTGTACTTGTGGTCAATCAAGGAGCTTGGAGTGTGAGAAAGCTGGTTAGAGCTAACATCATCACTCAGGATAGAAAGATTGTCTGTGCTTAAGATGTCACCTTCACTTGGGTCATCACCTTCTTTATTGATGATTCTGATCTTACCATCTTCATCCTTGCATACCACTCCTTGTAAGAGGCTGAACTCACTGGTGTCTGCCTCGTCACTAATTGGGTATTCCTTACCATTAAGCAAGTTATTCATTTCACGTAAGAACACTTTCTGAACAAGCTCGTCAGATTCATCAATGTTCTTCTGGGAGTTTGGCTTGTAGCCATCCATATCAAGAACCATGTCACCATTGATGTCAATTTTAGAAGGGATATTAAGTTTCTGGGTGATTTTCTTTGCCTTTTCAAAAGCAATACGCAGAATCAGACTTGGAGTGTCGCTTCTTGAAGGACCGCCCTTTGGTGGCGGCGTACTCTTGTCTAAGCTGATTTTCAGCTCTATGTCAGTTGAAACATTAAGATCCAATGCTTCTGGCTCACTCTTGTTCAAGTCAAACAGCGAAGCACTAGGAGAGCCTGGTGGTGACGATCTAGGCGAGCCATAAGGTGACAGTTCTGCTGAAATCACAGGAGATGTAACTACCAGCAGTGACAAGTCCTCTGAGTCCGTTGCAAACACGAAGAATGCCTCACCACCTTCACCGAGTTTCATTGGCAAGTCTGTCTTTATATCATTAACATAAAGATCAATTTTCTTCTGCAGCGGTTTGATGATCTGGAACTTGCCAAACCTAACATGCCATGGTGAACAGTGAAACAGGCCATCTGGCTGCTCAATGACAATGATGTCAATGGCACCCGAGAGAGTGGCTGGATTCAAAGAATTCCACTGGTTGTAGACGTAGTCTCCGACTTTGCCCACGTATTGCATTGGGGTGGATATATGTGAATGACGCTTGAAGGTTTGTCTCGTTTGGAGGTAATGAAGGGCAAGCGCACTATCAGTAGGGTCCTGTATTTGGAGCACTGGGGGACCCTATGAAAACGCTTGAATGGTGCAACGAGGAAGCAAGGGTAGGTAGAAATGGTTTTTGAGTAATAAAAGGCTATTTAAAGGATTTAGTTTACCAATTCAGGTCTTTAGGGTTGTTGTTATATCGAACGAAAGCTGAACATTCCTCGACACCTGGTGAAACGTTATATTGGTAATTGCCCAAAGCAGTAACCTTGACTAAGCCAGCATGATCCGAAAAAGAAACCTAAATGAGGCCGACGTGTCTGCCAATGGGCTACTAGTAGTATATAATAATTTTGTTATGTAGATAATATTCTTCGCCGTACACTACACTGAGCCCTTTGGACGGTCTGTGATCCTCGGCTCGGGCTTTTCGCAACCAGACGCACTGTGTGTTATACTTGATGGTTGCAACAGCTACCATATGGTGAATCCAAGAAGACTGTTTAACGTGAAAGACAATATTCAAGATCCATTTCTATGTCACTGGAGTTTGAAGTTTTCGAAAATACACAAAAATCTTGGGAGCAACGCGGAAGGGTTCATTGGTCAGTTGCTTGCTATAGTTGCGAACGTCTGGACCATGTAGGGCCATTGGAGAGGAAGAAGTGGAGAAACAGCTCTGGAGAGTATAAGCAAATGACAGTGTGTGACTGGAGTCGTAGCCAATGGCAGTGGAAGATTCCAACCATAAGGTTTAAATTGGAACCGTAGGATCGACCGGAAAGTGTGGCTCCATCTCCACCTGACTTCGCCTAGAGCCCCGGCGTTGTATACCTAGTAACTTGTGCTCTAGTAGGCATGATCCAATTGGTTTAAGGCTTTCAATGCCATTTCCAGACCATTTCAGGCCATCTATGTACATCGATAGGCAACATCTACCAGTGAATATGCACCATCGGCCATTTGCAGCCATTACTCACAGTCACCAACTCAGCATCACCCACTGCTTTTTTCCATTTAAGTGGTCTGGCATTCTCCACTCAACCTGACCATCATTGCTGTATCTTCCCCAAGTCCCCCACAAATGTTAAACCAAAAAAAAAAAACAAAAAAGACATTAATCGCTCATTTACACGCCAAGGCAATTGCCTTATATACTATCATACGGCGTTTCGCCAGTGGCTTGACCGCTATTGTCTCGAGGCAAGGTGCACCACTCTGCCAACCATAACTGGGGAACTTTGCAGCCATACAAGGCCAGTAACCGCTTACATCTAACAACTACAAAACCAGTACCGATCTTCAACGGCTTTATCAAGCTACTGAAGAGACGAAAAAAATAATAGTCACCAAGCAGTCTTGGCTTGACCCCACGACAGTGAGCCATCATTTACGAGGCCTTGCCTTAGTGCGAAACCTAACACAAAATAAAACTAGCTTTACACGACAGGCATGTCAGATCTTTGATATGGAACTACCCAACAATATCAAAAGAAGAAGGTAGTATATAAAGTCTACTGGATTCCGTGACTTTTTATCCCGATTATTCCCTTTTATTACCCTCTTCGTGCCGTTCGTTCGTTGCTGCACGGACTGCGTCGATAAGATCTGTGCAAGAAAAGCTTCTTCTTATATCTTTTTTTTTTCTGTCCTCTGATTTTATACCGAGTCTTTTTCAACCACTTTCTTATCCCCCAACCATGTCTCTAGAAAAAGCACACTCTACTGATTTGGCGGCTAACGTGATGGCGGGCGACAAAGAGAGGGATACGGATTCCACGTCGTCCATGGCCCAGAAGGGTGAGTTGAAGAGAACCTTTTCTGTGTGGTCTGTGCTTGGTATTGGCTTTGGCTTGACCAACTCTTGGTTTGGTATTTCCGCTTCGCTTATCACTGGTATCCAGTCTGGTGGTCCATTGTTGATTGTTTATGGTATCATCATCATTGCTTGTATTTCTTATTGCATTGGCATTACGCTTTCTGAGTTGTCTTCAGCTATTCCTTCTGCCGGTGGACAGTACGTGTGGACTCGTGTTTTATCCCCTAAGAAGTACTCCAGTTTCCTTGCTTACCTTTGTGGCTCCTTAGCATGGGCAGGTTCCCTTTTCACTAGTGCATCTATGGCTCTTTCTGTTGCCCAAACCGTGATGGCCTTCTGGAAGCACATGCATCCAGACCATAACACAAAGTCTTGGGAGGTTTTCGTCGTATACCAGTTGGTCAACCTCATTTTGATCTTGTTTAACTGTTACGGTAAGTACTTGCCTTACATTGCTAACGGTGCCTTGTATACTTCTTTGTTTTCCTACTGTGCTATCACCATCACTGTGCTCGTGTGCGCCAGGGGTAACTACGCTAAGCCCAGCTTTGTGTTCACTGACTTCGAGAACAACACTGGCTGGACTACCTCTGGTATTGCTTTCATTGTGGGTTTGGTTAACCCTAACTGGAGTTTCTCCTGTCTTGATTCGGCTTCTCACTTGGCTGAAGAAGTCCATGGCGCAGACAGAGTTATTCCAATCGCTATTTTGGGTACAGTGACTATCGGTTTCCTCACCTCATTCACTTACTCTATCGCTATGTTCTTCTCTATCACTGACTTGAACGCGATTATCAACTCTGGAAGTGGCTTGCCCATTTTGGATATTTATTACCAGGCTTTGAACCATAGAGCAGGTTCTCTTTGTCTTGGTATTCTCATCTTCTTCACAGCTTGTGGCTGTACCATTTCGTGTCATACATGGCAGGCAAGACTCTGCTGGTCTTTCAGCAGAGACAACGGCTTGCCATTCTCCAAGTACTTGTCCATCATTGACCCAAACTTGGGAGTACCATTGAACGCTCACTTGTTTTCTTCCTTCTGGGTCGCTATATTGGGCTGCTTGTACTTGGCCTCCTCCACTGCTTTCAATTCTATGGTTGTGGGCTGTATCACGTTCCTTCTTTTGAGTTACTTGGTGCCCACTATTTGTTTGCTTTACAGAGGCCGTAACAACATTAAACACGGTCCTTTCTGGCTTGGAAAGGTTGGTCTTTTCGCCAACGTCATGACTATCGCTTGGGCCATTTTCGCTTTGGTCTTTTATTCGTTCCCTACTTTCATGCCTGTCACCGCTGGTACCATGAACTACGTCTCTGTCGTATACGGTGTATACTTGATCTTCACATTGGGCTACTGGTTTTTCCCAATCAAGAAGTACTCTTGCAGAGAGCTGTTTGCCGGTGGGCTTGGTAATAACGAAGAGGAGGAGTTTCCCGATGTGTGTCTCACGGAGTTATAGAGATGCTAGACTTTGCATTTTAACATTACATTCAATTCTTCAACAGGATATAGAATCTGGCAAAAATAACATATACCACTAGAAATAAAGAATAAGAGAAAACCTTAACAGTATGTATGAGCCCTCTGACACCTCTCTTTCAGATCTCTCGATCCAGACAGGTTCTTAATGGATTCAGTCAATCTTTCCACCAGCTATCGCATTCACTTACAACAGATCCTGGCCGAGCACTGAGAGGACACAAGACAAAAACTGCCCCGTTATCCAAGGCGCCCTTCCAGCTGTAGAGATGCACTGTCTAATGTGGTGGATTACTTTTGGACAAAGTTAATGAAGAAAGAAAAAAGGCAGGAAAATCTCAGCTTATATAGGGCCTCAGATCGATGCGTTCACGCCGGGTAACTTTTCGCATAATGCGAAATTCAGAAAACAGATCTATAAACATCAATCTTGTCTGCAATATATTCCAAGAATACTACCTCAATTTAAGGTTCCTTCCTTGACCAATTCATGTCGCTCTTTGGATCTAATAATTCTACGGCTGGGAAGCCAGCCGGTGGTCTAGGATTCTCCTTTGGGGGTCAGCAAAACACACAACAGAATCAACAGAACCAACAGAACCAACAACCTCAGCAGCAACAACCACAATTTGGCCAGCAGCAACAGCAACAGCCAGCAGCTAACTCAACAGCGCTGACGATGCAAAGCTCCGGTTTCGAGAAATCTTCGAATTTGTCCACCAGCGCGTCTTCAATTAACCCTGATGGCTCATCTGGAAAGGTGTTGAAAGACTTGTTGGAATCCGCTAGTAACTTGCCAAAGTTAGACAATGTTAATGTTGGTTCTATCCACTTGCCTTTAAATGAATTGCAAACTCGTACACAGCTGTTGAGAAGAAAGGAAAGAGACTTGGGTGGCTTCACGAAGGCTCATTACTTGCTCTCTGGCAGTGGTATCAATGCTGGCGATATAGAAATGGAATTGAAAAACATTCGTGGTCCTCCAGCCACTTTGGAACAGCGCAAAAAAGAACAGCAGGAACAACCACATCAGCAACGCCAGTCGCAATTTCAACAACTCCACGACCAGCAACACCAAAAGTCTGCTCTCCTGGCCCAGCAAGTTCACCAGCTCTCTCAAGAACAGCAGAGGCATGAACTCACACATGATCAACAGAGCCTTGATCTTGCTTCTCGTGAAGGCTTAGCTGGAGAAAGACAGTTGAGCCGCCTAGATGGAGCTCGTATGCCTGTTTCTTCTGGCCAAGCTGGAAAAAACATAGAAAGCTTTTTAAGCGCTAAAAAGGATGAAAATATCTTAAATGCTATCGAGCTGTCGCTTCTCGCCGCTTCTCGCGACTTTGATAACTTCATCACCAAGAATATATCCATTGATTGGAAGGTTCGCAAAGATCACCTAAAGAAGTCCCTTGGTATTCCTGTCAGAACTAAGATTAGCCAAGAAGAACTTTCTAAGTCTTTTACATGGAACCAGACTCAACCTGGCAATTATCGTATTCTTACGCCGTTGAAGAATAAGTCTGCATCATCGAGTGTCAGGCAACTTACGAGGGAGAAGTTCGAAAGTCATGCTAAAATTGTCTATCTGTTGAACGAAGCTCGCTTGAAGCAACAACCTTTCCCTGTCGCTCTAAGCTTCGAGGAGTTGAACAAGGCCAACCTGGACCTCAAGTCTAAGCAGTTGGCAGAAGCTTGGAGAATTATTGCATCATTGGCCAATGAGAAGTTTGTTAAGCTCGACCAAGAGCAGGCATTCTTTTCGGAATATCAAAGCAAGACCAATGAAAGTCAATTGAAAAAGCGAATTGTCTTGAATTCTAAATCTTGCTTAGAAAAGCAGTTCTTCGACTACATGGATGAAAGCTACACCAAGGATGATGAGAAGTTGCCAGACCATCGCGTCCCTAGTAACATTAATAAGGTCTCGCATTTCATTACTAAGATCATCGCTAAAAACAGCGATGCCAAATTTCTTGAGAGAACTCTACAGGTCAATGGAGTACCTATTTGGGCTCTCGTTTACTACCTCATGCGCAGTGGTTTGTATTCCGAGGCTGTTCAGCTCGCTGACTCGAAGAGAGAGCTTTTCGATAAGTTCGACAAAAACTTCCCAATCTACATTTCCAGCTATGTCAAGAATGAGTGCTGTGGTTTGCCAAGTGACCTTCAAGAGAGACTAGCGTCTGACTTCAATCAAACTTTCCAATTCCTTGACGAGAAGTCTCCTAATTTCGACCCATACAAATACGCCGTCTATAAGGTGATTGGCAAATGTGATTTAGCAAAGAAGAGTCTTCCTGCTGCTGTCAACCTCAGCATTGAGGACTGGTTGTGGTTCCACTTATCTCTCATAAATGAGTTCAACTATGATGCATCATCAAGCTTGATCTACGAGAACTACAGGCTTGAAAATTTACAGAAGAAAGTGTTGTCACTTGGACCAACAAAGTTCAATGCTTCGTCAAACAACCCGCTGTACCTCAAGACTTTAATTCTGCTCGGTTTGTACGAGCTTGCTGTAAAATTTGCCTATGAAACGATAAACGAATGTGATGCCGTTCACCTTGCCATCGGCTTATGCTACTACGGATTGCTTAGAGTATCTGGCTTATCGAACGACGATCTTTTGGCTATCAATTCTTCTGATCAGCATGAGATAAATTTCAGCAGACTCCTCGGTTCATACACTAGAACATTCAAGATCAGTGATCCAAAGGTTACAGTTCAATACTTGATCCTTATATGTATGGCAAAGGGAGGAAAATGTCCTGAGGAGACCGCCAAATGTCACGAAGCCTTACGTGAGCTCATCCTTATTTCTCGCGAATTTACCTTGTTATTGGGAGAGCTTAATGATGTTACAGGAGAAAAGCTGTCTGGTATTCTCGAGAAACAGCGTTCATTAATTAACTTGTCAGACTTGGCCAAGTTCCAGCGCACAATTATTGATGTTAGTGCTTCAAGATGCGAAGAGGAAGGAAGAGTGTTTGATGCTCTTTTACTCTACCAATTGAGTCAAGACTACGACGTTGTTGTCCGCCTTATCAACGAATTTGTTGGTGAAACGCTCTCAATGTCTGAGCTTGATAAACCTTTATTATCACAGAACACTTACAGAACGCCTTCAGGCAATGAGAAGCCAGAGCAGAGCATTGAAAACAACTTCATCCTTCTCAGCAAGCATGTGATGGGAACATTCAACAATAACAGCTCTATTTTGGGCAGAATTTCACCAGCTGCAAAGAAGGTGAACGACGCTTTGTTGGAAGTTGTTGATATTCGTGAGAGTTTTGCAGCCAAGAACTGGGAAGACAGTTTGACCGCTCTTCAAAAGTTGCCTTTCCTTGCTTCCCTCACCAGTGATGATTTCGTCGCGGTCAGGAACTCTGCTGAATCATTGACCGACTACGATGTTTCCCTCCTTCGTGTTGTCCCATCGTTGCTCGTCATGGTAATGACTAGCGTTGCCCAACTCACTCGTCGCATCAAGGACAAGCAATTCGGTTCCGTGGGAAATGAAAAAGACGTCTTGGCAAACCTTAGAAAGATCGCCAAAAATTGCATGGTTTACGCTGGCCTCATTCAGTACAGAATGCCCCGCGAGACTTACAGCTTGCTTGTAAACCTTGAGCTGCAGTTGTAAGTATCCACTACACATATACATAATACAGCGCGCACCACATTCAGCTTGTAGTATTTCATATCCTAGTGTACAACGATGCCACCTAAAAAGCTGCTGGCAAAGCAAAAGGCTCCCTCCTATGTCTTTCCACAAAGGCTTTTTGAACAGTCCAAGTCGCTCAAAAAACAATTCTACGTTCCACAACCTGAGACGATCATTCCTGGGCAGATTGTCACCATTGAACATTTCTTCAGTGAAGACTTCTGTGACCAATTGATCAGTTCCTTTGAGTCTGATCTTAAGCTAGAGACTACTCCGCTCATAAAGAGTAAAGATTATGCTGCAAGGTATAATGACAGAATATCGTTGACAGACAACGAAGCAGCCAGTGCATTATGGGACTATCTTAAACAGATCCTACTACAGAAGGTGGACTATGAAGATGAAGAGCTCGAACAAATCAATGAAATCTTTTCAGACGCCAAAAGCTTGAATCCACAGCTTCGAGTTTACCGATACACGAAGGGCCACCATTTTGGTAAGCATTATGATGATTCAGTGAAATGTCCATTGGCACACGATCCTACCAAAACAGGGCACACGAAATGGACGCTACTTATTTATTTAACTGGTGGAGACGAATTTGTCGGAGGAGGCACGATCTTCTACCCTGATTCCAATAGTAAAAGCGAGATCAATGTGCATCCCACTAAAGGGTTAGCGCTTCTCCATAAACACGGTGATGATTGCTTACAGCATGAGGCAGAGATAGTCAAGGAAGGAGTGAAATGGGTTTTAAGAAGTGATGTAACGTATTAGATCAGGATCGGCTACGACAAATTAACGACTTACAAATAAAGAATTCTGGTAATATTATATTAATTTTATCCATTGTATCTCTGTATAAATTTCCATGGTATGATTACAAGTGGGCCTCCAGACGAAGCATGCTCTTGTAACGGTCCAAAACGGCTTCATTAGCACAAGAGCCTCCGCAAACAACAACAATAACGATATCGTCCTTGGTCAAGTTACCCACGCTCTCTTTAAGATACTTGAGCTGGTTGTAGACAACAGAAACGGCAGCTCCGCAAGCTGGTTCAACCATCTTTCCGAAGTCTCTTTGGTATGCAATGCAACCCTTAACGGCCTCAAGGTCGTCAATGGCAGTGATATGGTTCTTGTTAGTGGACTGGTCATTGAACAAGTCCAAGGTTGGTCCAGAAACGTATGAACAGGCCAAAGAAGTAGCGAGTGATCTGACACAGTTCAAAGTAACGACAGAGCCTGCCTTTACGGCAGAAGAAAGAGTTGGCGCCTGCGCCGTCTCCACCAAGACACAATCAGCCTTGCTTCCGTTTCTCATGAGGCCTTGCTTGATACCGTTGAAGAGGCCACCGCCACCAACAGAACAAACCACACCTCTAACTTTCTTTGCATCCTCACGGCTCAATTGGTTTTGGAACATCTCGTCCACAAGCAAAGAGTGGCCTTTCCAAATCAATGGGTTGTCGAATGGATGGCAGTAAATGCAAGAGAAATCATTTTCAGCCTCAGCCATGAGGCTTCTAGCAAACTTATCAGCATCACTGATACTGTTTCCATGCAAGAGAACGGTAGCACCGTACAGACGAAGCTTTTCCACAACTTGCTTCATAGCAATTGTGGGCACCACCACGGTACATTTTACGTTGTAAAACTTTGCCGAGTAAGCAGCAGCAAGACCAGCATTACCACCACTGGATGCAAAAACATGAATAGGCTTTTGGCTGTCGGCCTTCTTAGCCTTACGAATGGACTGGTGGATCAAGTGACCAATGCCTCTCAACTTGAAACTTCCAGAAGGCTGCTCAATTTCATTCTTAAAGAACACTCTGCAAGGAAGCTTACCAGAAGTGGAAAGCAAGTCTGTCACTTCAACGAGGGAAGTCTGAACTGCTGGGGCTGCAGAGGTGTTGTCGTGAACTTGCAACATGATCAGAATGGATTGAATGAATATAAAAAACTATAAACTAAACAGCAAAACTTGTCCTTTTAATACTCTACGCACGAAAAACAAGGCAGCTGGTAAGAGTCAAACACTGTGGAACCATGCACCATGGCACTTAGCGGTGGGACCGGAGTTGCCCTATAGTAAGTTGCGGAAATGCATTTCCGCATTGAGACATGGCTGCGAAAACATGGAGATGGATTTCCAAACGGTAACCGGTGAGGCATACACTGTGAGTGTGAGCGCCCCACACTACGGAAATGCATTTCCGGCCCAAATATTGTGATCACCTTTTCCTTCACTTTGGCGCCTCAGCATGCCAATACTTTGACTTCATCTGCTTGTGCATGTTCAAACTTTCCTTCCTTCCTATAATAGTGTTAGCAGTTCTCCAGATTTTATTTACCTAAACGGCTCTGTCACGTCCCAGCTTAACCGTTTGGTCTCTTCAGTAAACACTCCATCTCGAGCCTGTCTGTCCCCTCGCTTATGCAGTCTGTCGAGATGTTTCCTCTGCCTACACCTGGACCCTATACGATCTGAGAAGTACTGTCTGGAAAATATACCATATCGTGATGGCATCCCCATACTTATTTCCAATCCACCGCCTGGGTTCTCGATATTGGCTATAGCTAGAGGGTTCCAGTTGGCGATTCTTGGCGCTTATCGTACTCTTCAAAACCCTTCGCTTTTAAATCAGAAGTACTACCGCCAGACATTGATCGCCATCCAGGCCTCATTCGTTATCCAAGGTCTCATATGGTCCCCAATTCTTGCTCTTCGAGTTTTAGTTAAAATTGCAGCTGTGTTGACCAAATCAAGAAGCCTTGACCATGTGGTGGCAAGTTTGAAGTCTTTCCAGTTCAATGTGCTCAACATCTCCATGGTCTTGATCTCAGGTTCTAGATTTTCAGCAGGCAATTGGACCAACTATTCTTGCAAAGTCTAAAGTTTATCGATGAAGTTCGCCTTACAAAGTATCCAGAGACTGACCGTGTTTATCATGAGAATCTTGTTTCTCTCAATACTGAGGAGAAGATCACTGATAACCGCCCTACTCTAGAGACTATCAAGAAAAAATGGGCCTCCTCTCAGGAATTTTCAGCCTTCATGCGTAGACACATAACCCGGACTCTTATGGGTGTTGGTGCCTACTTTGTGAGTAAAGTGCCTGTGTTTGGTTCCATCATTCTTGGTCTTGTGTCATTCCTGAACTTAGATAGTAAGATAGGCACGGTCAATGCGGCTGTCATATTTGGTGTCCTTCAACTAGTGCCCAAGAGGTGGGCCGTCCTCTTCCTTACAACGTATTGGGGCTCTCGAAGCATGGTCCAAGACCTTTTGGCTCCATACTTCTCTCGTGTGAGATTCACCAAGTCAGAGAAGGACCAATGGATAAGGTCAAGAGAGGGTATCCTTTTTGGCTTCGGGTTATGCCATTTCCTTCTCATCCGCAGATTGCCTTGGGTCGGTCTACTACTTTATGGCTTCGCTGAATCCTCTGTTGCATATCTCGTCACGAAGATCACTGACCCACCTCCAAAGCAGGTGAGCCAGCTCGTGAAATGGAATTCTTCTCAACTAGTCTGGAATAGAGAAAAAGAGCTAGATCTCTTGTCTGGCCTGTTTGCAGACAACGACGAAGGGTTCCAACCAGTTCCTGGTTCATATATATTTCATCATTAATATATCATAGCATTAAAGACCTACCTTAAGATCAAATATACGGTTACCGGAGTAAATGCAGTAAGCAAGATCAGCCTGCAATGCTGACGATAACCCTTCCAATTGGTCACTCGAACTTGCGTACACAAATTGGCCTAGCTCGTCACATTTGTTGGTCAAACTCAAAATTGGTAGTAACGTCAAATCGCAACGGCGCCAGCTGTGGCCCGATTCCGATATTGCGTATGTCACAAACTGCTCGTCTACCGCCTGGTCCAACCTGACCTTGAAAGTTTCCGTCACTATATCAGTGGACTCTGTCATTGTGACCTCTTTGGGAATCCTTGAGGCATTCTGTTGTCTTTCCGTCGGTAGACTCTTGAAGGAAGTTAGATAAATAAACTTATCTGAATGTGAGGAAAATAACCCAAGATCCATGTGTGTAATAACAATTTGGCGAATGTGCGTGGAAAGCTGTGACCTGATGAATGACTGTTCTTTCTTAATAGCAGACAATGCTTCATCAAGAACTTTGCTGTTCTCCCTGCTTGATATAAGAGCTTCAACACTATTCATCATGGCGATATTAAAAGTTAGAAGCTTTTGTAGCTGTTGCACGGATTTGTCTTGTTGAAAACATGCTATGATTGTATCTTTTAAAGTCTTTCGTTTCTTGATGTTTAAGGTGACTTTTTCAGGAACACCAAAATGATGTAGCTTCCATTCAAAGACAGAGCTAACGAAGTCTTTTAGGGCTTCTTCACCAGCAGTGGATGTTTGGAAGTCCACTGTTGGGAACTTCTGGGCATCTTGGATTAACAGTCCGTGTATTTGGGAAAGCGATGTCCCGTGGACAGCCGATGTGACTAAGCTTTGATCAAGCTCCAGAGAATGGATGAGACCAACTCTAATCTCAGCTTTTGAACGAATTTCATGATGTATAACATTCTTAGGAGCAACGCTGTAGGCAACAACAAAACAACCATTTGGGGTTAAGTTCGAGCCGTGGACAATAAAATTGCCTTCGATCTTGTCGTTAAGAAAAGTTTTAAAGACATTAGAGTGGGCTTTATTTTGCTCCCTGATGCATGCCTGTTGGAACTGATTTAGGCCCCTGTTCACGAATGTAGTCCAAGCCTGTGATGATGCAAGAAGGGAACACTGGCCGTCGTTGCTGACGTCAACAGATAAAAGGTGGCCTGTCTCGTACGAAAGGAAAACAGTGTAGCCGGAGTTTTTGATTCCAAAAGACAAGCCCAGTATGGTTGAAATGTGTGGAAGTTTAATTTGGGACTTCCTGCTGCCGTATGATAAATGTAACTCTCTTGTATCAGTTATTATTAGTATTTCTGGGGAGAGAAATTTCAAATGTGAAACAAGGAACCTGGAGGACTGTTTGGCGGAAGATGGTTCACCCTTCACCTTAAAGTCCTGGTCTAATGAAATTGTAATAACCGAGTTGTCAGACCTGAGTAACGCAAGTTTAGAAGAATCCGTTGAAACACTTTGTTTAACAACTGTGCCACCAGCATCAATTCTGCTTATCTCTGGTAAACCTGAAGCTAAATGGTGTATGGAGATATGGCCGTTCATATGGGCTAACAGAATGTAACTGACTCCATCTGCACCCTTGGCAAACGCAAAACTCGTTATCTTCAATTCAAGGCTCTCTGAATTGCTTATAATAATGTCACCCTCAGCAGTTAACCGATGTTGAGGTATGCTCAAATGGTCTAGTAGGCATGTAAAGCTTCTAAATAAGACACTATAGTGTTCAGCGTCTTGAGACAAACGTTTCAACACAAGCACTTCCCCAGTATTTAGTAGAACACCAAGATAACAATCCTTTGTGCCGTCAACCATTGGTGACCACGCGTGAGCAGTGATACAGGGTTCTGCTATCCTTCCGAAAGCAAATCTATCTTCACCGTCTTCGATGAGAAGTCTGGAGAATATTTGGAGGCCTAGTGACTCCAATTCCGAGATATTGAATACACTTTTCACGTCATAAAGGCCATTAGGGTCAATAACATTTTTGTTGGAGGAAGATGGAGCTCCCGTGTTTAGCCAGTTATGGAGCAATGGGAGTTTTGGATCTAGGACTGTGATATGATCAGAGTTGTTGATAGCTACTTGCAGGTTTTCTGAGCATTGAACTGGCTCCAAAAGCCCTGTCTCGGCAATAGCTCTCCCGATGACAATTGGTTTAGCCAGGGACATGTGGAGGGAAAAAAAATAATAACCTAACGATGGAATTCGTTAGAAGATGTTATGGTGATAAAAAAGTAAACAATAGTGAAGGGTGCGAGGTTCGAACTCGCGCGGACAACCGTCCAAAAGATCTTAAGTCTTCCGCCTTAGACCACTCGGCCAACCCTCCTATTATCACCTAATGTAGGTTTTGGGTTAATATTTCATTGCTTTTAATAAAATGTCAAATTATGAGTGTTTCTAGCCTGAATTTTTGTAGATTTAGATTTAAGTATTATCACTGCTATCGCCGTTTTGTGATTTAGAGCCCCGTTCTTGAGTTATAGCCATTTTAAGTTTTCTCTCGCTATAAACTGTCAGTAAAAGAAAGCATTAAGACGGCAAGCAGAGACAAAATTGCCAATTATTGACTTGTTGACTGTTTGACAATTTAAACAGATACATCCGGTAACTTTATTGGGTAGATATTTAGTGAAATCATCAACTGCCTATTCTGCTTCCTGTGCAATTACCTGAATACCAAGTACAGTTCTGTAGTCCACAAGGAAATCATGTCTCACATAAGGAACGCCTGACTTCAATGTTAGCTTCAGATGTGGCCTGGATTTTTATTCAAATTCTTGGATATCTGTTTCCTTATTCTACAGCTCGCCATTCAAAAAATTAACTTTCACAACATAATATACATAAATAAATGGGACATCTCTATCAAGAATTAGAAATACTATTGTACACTAGTATTGTCAGTACCTTCACGCTTTGGTCTTCCACGCTTCTTCTTGCTCACCTTATCGTTTTCAACCACAGTGGGCAGCAGCGTCTTCTCAGCTATTGGTCCACGACCACTTCCACTCACACGCACACCACGAATGGTGAGTCCAGTCTTTTCAATTGGGAACTTTCTTGGACGACCTCTCTTGTCTTTCTTCTCCAAGAGCTGTTGCACGGCCACATCGTTGAGAGATTTGAGGGAGGTGCCCTTCACAATGCCAACGTGCTTCTCTGAATCACCAATCTTCTCCAGCGTCGTCTTCGTACTGCTTTTGAGTAACTTATTAAGACGCTTGAAATTCTCGTGAGAAGAGTCAATAAATTCGTTGGTCGAAGGATCCAAGATATACTTCTTTGGTCTGCCTCTTTTCTTCTTTGAACCATCATCGTCGGTAGCAGGAACAAACTTGGTCACAATTGTGATCTTATGTTTATCCAGACCGTCAGTGCCATCGGAATCCTGCGGCAGGCCAGCATCCTCGCCTACCTTCACATCTGGACCCATTGGATTTTGAAGCTGCTGCGCTTGTTGTAGGGAAGTTCTTCTGTCCTGCTGCTTCTGCATCTGATGGTTCTGATTTTGAGCATGTTGCTGATGTATATGTTGCTGGTGTTGCTGTTGTTGATGATGTTGCTGTTGTTGCTGCTGCTGCTGTTGTTGTTGTTGGAATTGGTTGAACTCCTGCTGAGGGTCCATCTGCTGGCCTAGAGCTTGCATCTGATGGAACTGGCCATACTCAAAAGGTGGATGTGCTTGCAAAACCTGCTGCCTGCCTTGCTTGCTGAGCACCTGAGGGTTTGCATAGTGTGGGATTTGCGTATTATGGTTCTGATGTTGGGGATGTTGGTGTTGTTGATGAGGATGCTGTGTGAAATCAGCCTGAGTGAGCATGGGACTCTGGTCCTTCAGTCTTCTTCTCAGCTGCTGGGCATGAACCTGTCCCTGGTATCTCTGAGACGAAACCTTCTGTTGAGCATGCTGATGGTTCATACGCATCTGCTCTTGGGGATGTCCCTGGTGGTGCGCTTGTTGTTGTTGTTGTTGATGTTGTTGATGGTGACCCCTCTGGTCATGCGGCACCTGGTCCTGGGCATTCCCAAGCACCTGGCCCTGGTTATTCCTCAAGCCTTGCTGAGGCGGAAGTGTGAGTGGTGATGGGGCCATAGTATTGCCCATCATGCGGTTCGATAAGGTAGTGAGCGGAGGTGATGGCGTGCCCATTGAGTAGTTCTGGGGAGTAGGAGAACCGTTTCTCGAGCCGTAGACCAAGGGGATCCGCCTGTTTTTATCCTGGTTCTCGAAAGAGTTATCCATATTATTCAAAGGCTTCCCGCCGTTGTAGTTGTATGGAATACTCATGATGAATGTAGGACACTAGCGATACAACCAGATATGCTGAACGTGGACAATTTCCGGTAATTTGGCGATAATGGGGTGATAGGACGAGTCTTGAGCACGAGTTACAGTCTTGACGGTGATTTCATAAACTGAAACAGTGATTAGAAGAAATGGTTGCAAGAAATGTACAAAATAAATAAAAAAAAAAAAAAAAAAAAAAAAAAAAAAAAAAGAGCGCACGAGAGTAGGTAAAAAAAAAAAAAAAATACTGCGAAGCGGAGCTTCTGCGCAGAACGCAGTGATGCCTCTCCACAGATAACATGGCATGTAATACTACTACAACGAAAGCCTCGTTGGTATCAAAATAGAGGTCGGAAAAGGTCCTTCTGTGCAATTTTGTGCTTTTCTTACGATGCTGGTTTCTCTATATCATGGCATCTTCCTATAATCGTATCATTGTTACATCCCTATATCAAATTCCTATTGTTCCCATTGGATGCGGCCCGCTAGGGAGCGGAATCACAAGTGGGTGATTACAAGCTGTTTTGTAGGAATTTGGCTAAGCAAAGATTCCTGGAAATCTTCCACAAATTCTCTAGAGTCAACCAACTTCTCGTCGAAGGCGACCTTGAAGTTCACATTAGCGGTTGTAGGACCCTCTGCATCGTAGGCAACAGGTGCTGGCGAGGCATCGAATCCTAGAAGTTCATCAAAAGCGTCTGGCTGAGCTGCTGGGGCGTTAGAGCCCAATGGAACCAGAGAAGTGAATCTGTATTGAACGTCTGAAACGTCGAATCTCTTCTTGGTCACAGGAGCGATGAGCAAGTCGTCAAAGACATCGTCCACGCCGATAGAAGATGGAGATGGGCCCTTGGCGTATTCTGGGAATCTAAATCCATAAGTCTGTGTGATGGCAGTATGCAATGCTTTCTCAAAAGCGTGTTGGAACTTGAACTCGGAGACGTTTTCACCCAATTCTGATGTGAATTCTATGTTGAGAATGTTGGAAGGCTTTTGAATCTTTGGCTCCTTGGCCTCTTCCTGTTTCTTAGCCTCTTCCTTTGGAGGTGCGATCTTGATGTTGGACAAGTCCAAATGCTCTTTGTTCTTGATGTAGGAAGCCACTCTCTCGACAGCGTTCTTATCAATTTCACCCAAGTATGCAAGCACATCTCCTTTTAAAAGTCTGCCCTTAGGACCCGAGGCTGGGATTTTGGAAAAAGCATCTTCATTAGAGATTCCCTTGGAGTGAAGCAACAATTCCACAGCGGGCGTAAGCTTCTGTTGAGGGTTAGCCTTTGCAAAGACGTCACCCGAACTTGGTTCCTCACTAGATTTAGCAGGCTTCTCCTGCGATTTAGGCTGGGATTCCTTCTTTGGCTCAGGCTTGGATTCTGCTGGTGGAGCTTGCTCCTTAGGCTCTTCCTTCTTTGGCGCAGGAGTTTCAGCTGCCAAGTCAGGTTTTTCCAAAGACGATAAGTCATCGCCTGGTTCAGCCATCAATGCGATAGGTTTACCCACAGCAATACCATTGGCACCATCTTTCTCCAAGATCTCCCACATAATTCCGTCATCCTGGGCTTCAACATCAATGGTGGCCTTGTCGGTCTCAACCTCTAGTAAAACATCACCAGCAGCAAACTCCTGGCCGTTTTCGACTTTCCAGCTAACAATTCCTCCCTCTTCCATTGTGGGCGACATGGCTGGCATCTTAAACACCTGAGCATCGAGCAATGCTGACCTGATGTGGAAGTTTCGGGAGGCAGCAGCCATGTTGGCCCTAGCAAGTCTAGCCATACATGCTGTACGTGTAGCTGTTAATCTCAACATGGAGGTAGAAGCGAAGCGACTTAGACTTTATGTTCAAGAAGGAATTAGTTGAGTTTCAAAAAAGTAGATTATGATGAAGTTGTGCATATTTCGGACTCTAACCGCCGAGCGGGCGCGACATCTCCGAATCTTTGGGTGCAAAATCTGTCAAACCGGACTCCGATCATATATGAGTGAGGTTGTGAGAGGGATGCAAAATAGGATATATGGAGTCTTTTGTCCAGAAAATAGTGGTCTTTTTAATCCGAAGCTTTCTTGTAGTGGAATCATGGAATTGGTCTTCGGTAACTCAACAACTAACATTGCTCTTACACAACACTCCGGGAGCTGGCTGGCCTTAGTGAAAGCCAGGAATTGCTCGCTCTAGTCAACTCAATGGACGTATTAATGGAATAATACCACCTAACTTCCTTGTTTCTGTACTTCCAAAATAACTCTGCTTCACCGAATCTTCCTTAAATATCTCTCGTTATAGTACTGTGGTCTCTTCTATAGCTCTATCTTCCAGAGTAATTTATTGGTGCTGGCTCTTCAGGTTAAAGCGTGCTCTATTGCTAGAGCTAGTCCAGGGTCTCCATACCCACCAGTGAAAGCTTAGTTATAACTGTGAAGGGCAGCATTCCCTTAACTTACAGTGACATTTCAGACCTTCTCCTGAAACTAGCGAAGGCCAAGAAATAAATGGTACTATTTAGCTACACCGTAGAACAATGTTCATTATGGGAATCTTACGATCCACAGTGACAGGCCAGGTAAGAGCAAACACAGAGAATTAGCACAATTTCCCAACTCTGAACCCAATTCCGTATCCATATACCTCTTGAATCCACAATTTTCGCTGTTTCCTGTGAATTTGGTTAATTTGTGTATTCTTCACAATTTTAACCGCCCATTCTACTACCCCAGTGGTATTCTCAGGGTCCGGCTCCCAGCTGCAATTTGCATGTAAATAGGCGAACACCGGAAAAAGTACAGACAATGGAGGTCCATTAAAAAATTGAAAAACAAAAAAAAAGTGGCCCCTCAATAAACCAAAACTACTCAGTCCTATCTCACCTTGGACAAAAAGTCAAAAAAATCTCTTATCTTATAATTTCCAGCTGTGGTTGCTGCGCTTCAGCCGTTTTGTGTTTACCGTCCCCTTGTGGTTTCGAGGCCTCTTTTGACATTTTCGCACCCGGCCTTTTCCTGGGCGCAGCTGAGAATTTCTATAGACAAGCAACCACCACTGTCTGGTTTTTGACCTCCACCTTTTTTATAAGCGACTTATCAACTCCTTTCTTTATCAGGCTAACGTGTTCTCCATAACAAGACTTTTGTCGATAGAGAAAACATACATCCACAGAGTTTTAGCATTCGTTCTGTCTCTGTCGTGACCACCATTACTCCACATCTGGTAACGTTCGAGTTGTTGAGTTTTTCTAAGGAATCAACCATACCGCTTCTTGGGCGCTAGCATCTTACAAATACAGACTAGCTGGAAAATGGCACCCATATCAAGACTACAAGGGGTCTTGGCAGTGCTACGCAAGTACATGCGTTTCATTGGCCCGGGTCTCATGGTCTCTGTCGCCTATATGGATCCTGGTAATTACTCCACCGCTGTGGCTGCTGGTTCAGCTTTCCAATACAAACTTCTATTTTCGATCTTCCTTTCGAACTGTCTAGCGGCGTTCCTTCAAACCTTGGCCGCTAAACTAGGCGCCGTTACAGGTTTGGACTTGGCTGCTAACTGTAAGGAAAACCTACCTCACAGGCTCAACATCTTCATTTATATCTTGGCTGAGATTGCCATCATTGCTACCGATTTGGCTGAAGTGGTTGGAACTGCTATCGCCCTTAACATTTTGTTCAACATTCCCTTAACCCTTGGTGTCATCATTACCATGGTGGACGTGTTGATCGTCCTCATGGCATACAGACCCAACGGTCCCCTTCTATTCATCCGCATTTTTGAGTCATTTGTTTCTGTTCTTGTTGGTGCTACTGTGGTTTGTTTCGCCATCGAGTTGTTCCAAGTCTCCAAGGAGCCCACTTTTTCACTTGTCGAAGTTCTCAAAGGTTTCTTACCAAATGAAAAGGTGATTGATACGAGTGAGAGAGAAGGAGGCAATGGTCTTTTCCTCAGTTTGGCTATCATGGGTGCTACTGTGATGCCCCACTCGTTGTATCTTGGTTCGGGTCTTGTCCAGGCCAGACTCAAGGACTTCGATATCAAACATGGATACTACACTCCACCAAAACCGATCGAGAGTGAGTCTACTGCTGACCCCGAAGAAGAGAGAGTCCACTTAACTGGGGACGAATACGCGGATGCTGTGGGCGCCAAGGAACCCGAGGAATACTATAGACCTTCCGTACATGCTATCAAGGACACAATGTCCTATACGATCGCAGAGTTGGTTATTTCTCTTTTCACGGTGGCTTTATTTGTCAACGCTACTATTCTTATCGTTGCTGGTGCGACTGTTGGATCCAAGAACAAACATCGGACTCGTGATGACGATGATCACCATGACCACGATGAGTCTGATTCAGATGACGAAGGTGGCGATAATGCTGACTTGTTCACTATCTACCATTTACTTTCCAATCATCTTTCACAGACAGCAGGTTTCGTTTTTGTCCTCGCGCTTCTTTGCTCAGGTCAATCAGCAGGAGTTGTCTGTACCCTTGCTGGTCAGATGGTCTCTGAAGGATTTTTGCTGTGGAGTTTCCCACCAGTTATTCGTCGTCTCGTTACAAGAGCATTGGCCATCTTCCCATGTATCTTGGTTGTGTCGATTGCCGGAAGGGAGGGTTTGTCAAAGACTTTGAACGCGTCCCAGGTTGTTTTATCGATATTGCTTCCCGTTGTCACAGCACCGCTTATATACTTCACTTACTCTAAAAAGATCATGAGTGTGCCAATTTTGGTGAGAGACGGTGACGAGGACGTGGATACTATATTCGAAGAAGAGCTTGCAATCGGAGGACTTTCTGATAGCGGCACACAGAATACAATTCTACCACTGCGCAATCGTTATGCTGTCGGTGAACCGGCTATCAGACTCCAAGATCTTAGGAAGGCTCATCCTTGTGTTGGATGGGAAGACGAAACGGACGATGAGAGTCATGAACGTCAAAACTTGTTCCTGGAACAAAACAGGTCCGCTGCTAACTTTACTCCTGCTTCGAATGGATACGACAGGGATTCCCAAAGCCCGCCTCCATATCCAGCTACTCCTGCTCCCATTGACGCTTCGTCGGATGATCTTGTCCGCATAAAGGGCTACAGTGACATGAGTAATGGTCCATGGATGAATTTCTTTGCGATTACATCTTGGGGGTTCGTTACTGTGCTTAACATGGTTCTTATAGGCAGTTGGGTCCTTGGTTACGACGTTCCGCTTTAAGCATTTCCCATTAGAATATGATGACTCTGGGTTATCATGCATATCATTTGGTATATACTAGGCAATCTATAGACGAGAATTATGGCAAAAAGCTTCGATTCATTACTTATGAAAGACTCCGTAAGCCAAGTCACAACACAGAATCATTCCAGTAGTGACGACTTGCATCTTATAATGCGTAGTCTTAAATCCATTTTGTCTCTCGATCTTATGGACTCGCTCACTACCAGAGCGCTGCAGAGAAGAAACTGTCCATGAAAAGTGCGACCAGAATTCATAGATCTTTATCATTCGAAACTCTGCCATGGAGAAATTCATAGAAAGCCTGGCTGAGCTCTTCGAAGCTTTCCCGTCCGCAACCGTGACGATAACATACTCCAATAAAAATAAAAAGAAGAGCCTGGACAATGAAGCGCCAGCCAACAGTGTGAAGTTCAAGTGCACTGAGCCCAAACTGGGGAAAACCATCCAATATTCAACCAGAAAGGCCAAGGAATTGTCAAGACTTTTGACGTATTTTGGTCCTCGTGGCGTGAGTAAGAAGAGAAAAGCAGACAGTGAAGCTGAAGATGCTCAGACGTCGAAGAAGATCAAGTCTGAGGTTACTGGTGTGGCGAGCGTCATGAGTAACTCGAAATTCGAGGAACCACAAATAGAACCTGAAACTCAGCCCGTTGAGCTGACACCTGCTCCAGAGGAGACTAAGGAGAAGACGCCACAACCTCTGTCCAAGAGTAAGAAAAAGAAGAAGGGTAAGAAGAAGTAAAGAAGGTGAATCAAATAGCATTAAATGTATGAAACAGGGCAATTCGTATTAAGTTTTTCAAGTCATTGAAAAAATCCCATGAAGCGTGAGACTAAATTGCCATTCTTCTTTCGTGGAGAGGCATTTGGGTCGGTCAAGTTCCCCAAGCCGTTTATAACCAAGGGATCTTGAACTTTATTACCTTGCTGCTGAGACCGAGCAGTATAAGAGCTACTCCGAGAGTGAGCGCCAAGAGTCGATACTTCCGATTCTTGCTGGGTTGGGGCAGCGAGTTGTTTGGCTCCGAAGAATCCGGCGCTGAGGAGGGAATTAATGGGCGTTGTATCTCCTGAACCGGCGTGGTTACTTCTGTAGGAGGTGGAGTGGTGGGGCTGGATAGGCCTCGGTTGAGAGCTGGATTGACCAGACGTTTGGATATCAATGGGGGCGTTACGATGCCTCGGCGGAGAGCCTGATAGAGGCTGTCGGCCCTCTTCTTCATGCGATTGACCGCAACTTCTTGCAGAGTGATAGTTCTCCAGAGTAAAACCCTCTGTCGTTTCACCATCATCTCCTTGGATAGCGTCGTTTCCTAGATCTTCGTAGCCATCACTTGGGATTGATAACGCAGCATACGAAGACTGCGACGTGGGGACTTCAGCAAGGTGACCATTATTGCTGTCGTTGGTATAGTTCTGGTGTAACAGGTACCTAATCACCTCACCATCTGATGTATCTTCGACAGAAGCAATCTCGGATGGCTCCGAGGACGCTGACCGTGGTGCAACAACCTTCTCTTCGTGCAAATCATCGATTTCCAAGTAATTATTGGCATTGCCCTGAATATCGTGCTCAATCTTATACTTTGGACTGGTGATCCATTGGGACCCATTCACAACAAACTTAAACACCAAGCGTTGAGGTTCATCTACACGGACTTCACCAACGAAATCACCACCATCTTCTTTCTTGAGTACACCCTTCTTGAGCGACCAATCATCAAAATTTCCCGTAACTACCACACTGTCTGTGCCACTTGCCGCGGGCCTTTAGTGTTAGTGAAATATTCAAGCAATTGCAACCCTGAAAAGTGGATCATGTCTTATCAACCATGCGGCTGTACGTACCAGACAAATCTATGAGTATAAGGCATGTTAAATAAACAAGCAACAACCAATAGAGTTTTAAGTATACAAGGTTAAGGAAGAGACGAAAGAAAAAAGAAGGGGGATCAAGTTGAGACAAGCACTATTGCCTTATAAATAAATTCATGCGTAAAAAGAAAGGGAATCCACCCACCCGCCTTAGATCGCTCAACCCTGTACGCATACAGCTCGCGCAGCACCGATATTATGATCGCATTTTGGGGCTTGCGTCTCCCGGGTAACAAAACTGTGGACCCTTCAGGGGAGAAGGAATAGTGGAGGGGTCTTGATCGTAGAGAACTAGGATCAATGTTGGGTTGTTTTTAATTGGCAGAATTCCTCTTAATTAGCAGTATTTTTGGTGCTCTTTGAGTGCTCGGAGTTTTATGCCTCGGCCGATCCGCTCCTGAAAAATTGGGCCTCTCCCTGTTTTTGTGCGTTTTAGGGAGGTCTCGCTTCACTGGGAATCGCGATGCAGCCTAGACATAATATTGTGTGTCCTGCTGATGTACCGAAATTTCACACCTTGGAACCGTCAATTAGGTCCATTTTTTCTCTTGCATGCCTTCAGGTGGACTTGTTTCGTATTTCTTGTTTTCGGCCTCGGACCAATTGGTGGTAAGAACCGTACCGTTTGACTCCACATACGACTTCATCATGGCTCTTCTCGTATCATCATCCACATCCTTGTATAATTTTGCAAAGAAATCTTCCTCTTCTTCGTCTTCTTGGACTTTAAAATTGGACCAGTTAACGGCTTTCCTGGATGAGGAAGGATATGCCAACCCTGTGCCACTTTCCTTTGGCTCTACAGGCTTGATCTCTCCATTTCCTTCCAACAGTGCCCATTTCCCTTTGATCTTCTTTGCTAAAGTAAGCTCCAACTTTGTGCCGTAGATTTTGTATGTGGATTGCTCGATGTCTATTTCACCGTACAACGGTTCCAAGTTGTAGTTGTATTCGGAGTTTTCTCCACTAGGGAAGGAAATGGCAACAGATCGAGAATTGAAAGCAATGTTCAAAGTCTCTTCTTTGACATTCTTAGCGTAAATGGTCACGGTCACATTCTCGTTTGATTGGTACCAGTCATCTCTGATCTTTGCTTTGATAGGCGCCTGCTTATTGATGACATCAGCGCTAGTCAGCTTCACCTCGGTAGACTCTGAGGGTGAAGGTTCAGCCTTCTCTGATAAATTGAGTTTCTTCAAATCTCTTTCCGCTTTGGCGATCCAAATGTCCAACGCAGGTTCTGTAAACAGATACTCTTTCGCCTTCTTGAAATTCGAAAGTGCTTCAGCATATTGCTTCTCGCCGTAGCTTATTAGACCCAATCTGTAAAAGCAAAGCCCCTTATCATCTCTCTTACCTCTTCTATCGGCTATCTTAATTGCTTCATTGATATCTGCTCTGGCGGTCGAATGTTCACTGAGCTTCAAATAGGCAGCGGCACGCTTGATGTACGCAAGAAAGGCATCAGGATTTTCTTTCAATGCGGCAGTGTAATGGTCCACTGCTTCAGAGAACTTCTTGCTATTGACGGCTTCGTCGCCGTGTTTAATGTGTAGTTCAACTGCCATTGGTTTGTTGGATGATTTGTAGCGTTTACTGCTGTAGACACAAATTTCGCACCCACCTACATGGTTTCTGTTGTATGGAAATCACTAACTATATACCGAAATGATGCACACTTTACCATACTCTGTGCCAGAATCTCTTTAATTTACCATCATTTGGTTGATCTGGTTTCCGCTCCACATTTGGTAACAAGAACCAGAAGCCTAACATGGCACTGTATGTTGCAATGAAAATAGGTAAAACGACGTAGGCACCTTGTGTCTCTGCGATAAGACCGGTAACGAATGGAAGAACAGCTCCTCCACTAGAACCAAAGGCCGTCATAATAGTCAAGCTGACAACTTGAATCTTTCTAGGCACAATGAACGACACTGCAGTGATCATTAGTGGGTATGTGGGGCCAATAAAGACTCCCGCAAGGCCAACAAATACACCCACAGCGACGCTGTTTGGCACCACCCAGGATAAAACAACCATACCTATGGCCATGAGCGCTAGAATAATGATACTCTTTCTAAGCCCGAGAGTCTTATGCAACGGACGCGTCAAAAGAAGCCTTCCGATGGTCAAACCCGCCCAGAAACCAGACAGAACGTAACCAAAGCTGGTATTGGCACCACGGTAGTCCAAAAGGTAGGTAACAATCCAACCTCCAAGCGACACTTCTGCACCTTGGTAGCAGAAAACGAAAAGGGCAATGAACCAAGTTGGAACATTCTTCAAAGCGAGAACCATATCACTTGGACCCTTGGAGGAAGAACGCAGTACGTCTTCACCATTTTGCCATGCCTGAGAATCTTCAAGTTCAATTCCTTCTTCTTCAGCGGCCGATCTGTTAATCAATCTCTCAGTCTCTTCATCGTGATCCCATGGTTTTAAGTCTTCTTCTGCACCCTTGAACGCCAAATTAGCGTTTAAAGAGTTCACCAACATCAACGCAAGCAAAATAAGATAGACATAATTCCATTTGATGCCATTATTGACCATACTCGTAGCAGCAAGAGGAGATATGGTAGCACCCGCACCGTAACAAGCATGGAACAAGGCCAAGTATTTGGACTGCTTGTCTAACTTTGACAAGAACACATTCGACTGTGCCAACACTGTCGCCAAACCAACTCCACCCAAGAAAAAGCCAAAGCAAATGAGTGGAAATGGTCCTCCACTAGCAATGCATGAGTAAGCTGCAACTGACAGAAAGATTCCATAGGTAATGGACCATCTCTTACCAAACCAGGGGATGATCTTATGGGAGAAACAAGCAACAAGGATGAAACCAACAGCATTGGACATCCAAATAAGCGACACAACAGCATAGCTGATATCGTAATGAGATTCCATTGATGGTAAAAGGGCACCCGGAGCAGCATCAGAGAAGCCTCCACAAGCTGACCAAAGACTAACTGCAATGACTCTCCAGAGGTTTCTCTCGGGATTGCGTAAAGTCATTGCCTCCTTGTTTGCATTGGTAGGTGGAGCATGGGTATTAGGCCTTCCCGAGGTATTAACATTGCCGATACTAGTAACGTTTATATTAGACTCTCGTGTGACTATATGGGGTCTATCTGACTGTCTATCATTAGCGAAATCCAACGGAGTACTCAGGATTTCTCCGAGAGGTTCTTCACGCCGAACATGGGCCTCTTCTTGCTTTGTTATCGACATAACACGAAGGTGAAGGGAAAAAGTTGTCGCTTATTCATCAACTTATGCATAACTCCCCAGAAAACTCAAGCATGTCTCTCTGTGCCGTTCATGTCTGTACGTGGGGAATTATCTTTTTTTGGCCTTGCTGAATTTTTCGCGGGATCCAAATGTCTCCACCGCTAAAGCTTCATCATTGTTCCGAAAACATCAATAGGAACCGCTAAGTGTTACCTGCAGCCTTGACAAGGTCCAAAAACTTAGATTTCGAAAGTTCATTCAACATTTCTTCTTGCTTGCCTGAAGAAACCTTGGTCTTACCCATTTCCTCCTTCGTCTTGACCTGGGTTGCCAAGACAGCATTGAACAACTTCACCACGCCTCGCTGGGCAACCTTCTTAAGCTTCTTCTCCTTCTCAATAATCTCACGTACCTTCTCTGGCTCACTGGCAGCGGGAAGAAGGTTACGGACACGAACCTTGTCTTGGATCTGTCTCTTTTCGGCAAGCAATTCACGCTTTGCCTTCTTTTCTAATTTGTCAGATTCCAACTTTTTAAGAGTGGATTTGTTTCTGGCCAAAATAGGGTCTTTTCTGTCGTAAGCCTTCAACTTGGAGCCAATGATGGCGTTGAAAGCACTGGCAAACTGGTCGCCACCATCGTTACTTGTTTTCTTCTTTTTTCTCAAAGGAAATTCGTCATCGGATTCCTCGTCGTCTCCCGATCCATCTTCGCTTTCGTCGGAAGAAACATCGGCTACTTCAAAGTCATCTTCAAGGCCTGAATCAGCATCGGAGGCATCCTCTTCATCTGAGGATTCTTCAGACTCTTCTTGCTTTGATTCAACTACCTCTTCTTTTTCAGCAGGTGTGATTTGCTTCGACTCTTGCTTTTTCTGCTTAGAGTCCCGCTTTTGGGCTTTATCAGATTTCCCCATGATGCTAGCGATGAGATGAGTATGCGGTAGGTTCTGAGATGAGTCTCTTCTTAGGTATGCACGCGTGCAGGAAATTTGCAACCATTCCAATAGGACCAAGCAGACAGAAAGGATTTCAGACTTTGAAAAGTTAAAGGGAAATAAGAGGTAGTTTTAAAGACACTGAAATTTTTGATTGAAAATAGAATAAGGAAAACAATTTCGAAAGTGGTCCTTCTATTGTCTCCATGGCACATAGATACTGGAGCAGACCATCAAAGCATCAACAGCAAGTTAGGGGTAGCAGAAACAGCCAACGTAGCGGATCCGTATTCTATCTTTGCCAAGAACCCTTTTGTGGCGTTTATTGTAGTTGCTTGAACTTCAGAGCCCACAACGTGCCAATCGGTTTTATCAGTGCACCCGTGCACCATATCAATACTACTACTGGTGTTTGTTTATGTTTCGGATCTGATACACGCATGAGACTGACCTAAACCATGAGCCAAAACGGAGAGATGAAAGTGTCTAGCCCTTCCAAACTAGGCCATAAAAGGTCATTGGGTGTGGCTGACTTTTCACCACTGAAGAAAACTCTTCTTATAGAACGTTATTCGGTACCCGACTCTCTCCCAAGACTGAATAGTGAAATGGGATATCTTCTACGGCAACATCCCCTCCAGCAGGAGATTGAACAGAAACACCAAGAATTGCTACTATACAAAAAGCAAATAATGTCCAGAAAGACCGAAATCTTCAATCTGGAACTCAAAAACCGTAAATTGGAAGATGAAGTCCGTGACGTATCCAAGCATCTTCGAGAGGTTGAGGAAAACGTCAAGCAGTTGGACGATGCCGAAAGTGAAAGCATTAAGCAGATCGACTCGAAGTTTGAGCTCAAGAAGAAGGACTTACTTTTGAGTCACGATAAGAGATTAATGGATCTAAAAGAGACCTTATCTCAGGAAATCGACAAAACTATAGAAGACGTCGCAAAGAGAGATCAGGAAGCCAGGCGAGTCTTACAGGAGGCCATCAGCCTGCTTGATGAGAAGATCACTTTATCACAGAAAGAAAAAACGAGAAGACTCATCCTGCTTAAAGAGGATCATGGAAGAGCCGTACATGAACTCACGAATGAGCTAGAGAATGAAGCTGCCCAAGCACAGCAAGATTCGGTTGACTTGAATAGGGCTGCCGTGGCATATGAAATGAAGATTGAACTGGTTCTTCTTCAAATTAAACGAGAATTAACGTCTAAACAGGCAAGACTCGAAGATGAAATGAAGAATTTGAGAGAAAGTGTTTCGAACAACGAAGCTGACAAAATGAAGGTCCAAGATAGAATCAATTCCACTCTTGCTGAAATGACGAAGCAAGAAAATCTTCTCACGGGCCACATGGAGAATATTGATGCCTACAAGGAGGAGATCGCTGCTATCAGCGAGTTGATTCCTCCCCTAGAACATAAACGAAGGCTTCTCCACGCCAAACTTCATGACCTTAAAGGCAACATTCGTGTCTTCTGCAGAATCAGGCCTGATACTACGGGCCCGATTGCTAATATCGAGGCACCCTCACCTGAAGAGTTCTCTGACAATGGTAAGCAGGACCTTATCGTTGCTCAATCGGAAACGACTTCCCTGTGGAGTTACTGTAACGGAGTACGCAATGATCAAAATAACTTTCAATTTGACAAGATATTCAATACAGAAACTACGAATGCTGAGATATTTGAGGAATGGTGCCAGTTAGTACAATGTGCTTTGGATGGGTCCAACGTATGTGTCTTTGCCTATGGTCAAACGGGATCGGGTAAAACATACACAATGTCCAACGGCAAAGATGGAATGATTCCATTATCTATTAAAAAATCTTTGACGATATTGATGAGCTACTGACGCATGGTTGGGATCATTCCATAGAGGCGAGCTTCATTGAGATATATAATGAAACTATTGTGGATTTATTTGGTGACTCGGGCCGATCTTTGAAGCATGAAATTAAACATGATGACCTGTCGAGTACAACAACAGTGACGAATCTTAAGACGAATAAGATGACTGGAGTTCGTGAAGCTCTTGAAATGTTGCAGAGGGCAAACAAACGAAGGGCAACCGCTGCGACTGACGCTAACGATAGGTCATCAAGATCCCATTCAGTTCTTTCCATTAAGATAAGAGGCTGCAACGAGCATACTAACGAGACAAAGTCAGGTACGTTACATCTAGTCGACTTGGCGGGATCTGAGAGAATTGGCAATTCCCATGCAACAGGTGCACGCTTGAAGGAAACTCAAGCTATTAATAAATCACTCTCCTGTCTTGGCGATGTTATCTATAGCATTGCGAGAAAAAATAGCGGTGGGCAAATCGGTCATGTCCCTTACCGTAACTCAAAGCTCACGTATCTCCTCAAGAACAGTTTACAAGGGGATTCGAAAACTCTCATGTTCGTCAACATTCTGCCGCTACTGAAGAACTACGGTGAGACAGTAAACTCGCTCAGGTTTGCTACTAAGGTTAATAGGACCAAGGTTCAATAGTAATATTATCTTCTAGACAATTAAGTCAGTTCGTTACCTGTTAATAGGTTAGTCTCAGGCATATATGTAGAAGCCTTCCGCAAAAGAGGAGACGACTTGATCTCATCCCACTGTTCCTTATGATTTTCAATAGCCCACTGGGCCACTTCTTGCTGTGCTTTGGGTTCGAGGCAGTAGTTATGCATTGCCAAAAGCAAATCAGGCGATAACTCGAGGTTGTACTCATCAATTTCACTCACTAGCTTAAAAGCATCTTCGACTAATCCATGGTAAACATGGGCAATGACATACTGCTTGAAAATACCATAATCAGGGAAAACACCGAACTGGGAAAGGTTGTTCCAGAATTTCCTAACGTATACCATGTCACTATAGGTGTAAGTTTTTATCATGATACGAGCAGTTTCCTCGTTGACACCACCTTCGATCTTTGCGTTTGAAGAAATTGCCAAAAATAAGTCTCTAGCCTTGCCAACATTTTGTAGATTGGAATAAGCGTCAAGAAGACAATTTTGTAAATCAATATCCGTATCTGGAAGATTTATATCCATTTTGAGATACTCATGGATTTCAATCACTCCTTCTTCATAAAGACGGTCCCCAAATGTTTTAAATAAATACATGTACATCTCTCGAGATGGTGGAAGATGATGGTGCGAGCCGTGTAGCTCATTGAGAGACTTAACTCTCTGAAAAATGACAAGTGCAGCATGAAGCCTGTCTTTCTCGCAAAAGAACTTCATGGTAGGTAAGTAGGTTTCGAAGGGGACTGCAAAGTACTTGTGAAGCTCACCGTAAAGTACCCAATTTGTTTCAAACGTTTCTTCGGTAGAAAATGTAACTGTGAAATGATGTAACTGATCAAAAAGCTCTTTATGGGCATATGCCCAAGTTGGTGTAACCAAGAGTCTTTTTGGTGATTCAGTATTCATTTTCGGTAATTCACGTTTAAGAAGCTCAATCGCATCCCCGACACACTCCTCAGCGACCATTTTCTTAGACAAGACAGCGAGAGCTTCAGCGTTGCATTGGGACGTCATATGCTGTTTTATCTTGCGAAATATGGGGAAAACTTTAATGATGCTTGTGTCATCATCGCAGATAGAATGGATCAACCTGTTTAGGGAAAGCTGTGTGCGTGGAGAGGAATCGTGTTCCCAATTCACAGCTTCACTTCGAAGAGATTCTTCAAAGATTTGAAGAGCGGCCTCACTATCAGATGCATCTAGAGCATTTTCGAGCCTATACTGATAAACATTCAAAGTGGGCAAGTGTCCATAAGTGGACTTGAACCAGGTGCTTAGTTCGCCCAAAAGGGGACTGACAGGAGAAACAACACCTGAAACCATTAGTGCTTCCACGACTTTATCTTGCGTGTTATTGAGTTCTTCTGTGGATATTTGTTTAACGTAATCTTGAATGAGATGATGGAGTTCGTCTTCAGACAAGCTGAAATTATTATGCAAATAGTTTAATATCTTTGCTTGTATCTTAAGGTTTTCTGAATATCTGACGTTGTCCTTGATGACAAACTCGGTGAGCTTCTCGTGTAGTACTGGAAACAAGGCATACTTGCTGACTTCAAGCAAGAGCAATTCGCACAACGATTCATCGAATAGGTCCAGCTCCACAAGGACTTGTTTAATTTCTTCAAAAGATTTATCGTTAATTTTGGTGAGGAGAAGCTCTACTCCCTTCGCTTTGTCTTTGTACTGAACGACTGTATTTAGATCGACAAAGAACTTGAGTAGCTGGACCGAAGATCCCGCTGCTAGGTTATCTGGTAAAGCATTCACCATTTTGAATGTGAGTTCCTGAATTCGATAGACATTCTTATTCAAATCCTCGTACTCGTGGACGTTAGGGTTCAGTTTCTCGAACAACAGCTCGACATAAGCCCGGTACTCTTTCACCAAGTCGTCGTTCACGATCTCTGATTTTTCCCTTAATGCAACAGAAAGAAAAGCTTCAAAATACAGAAGGTCGAGACAACCTTTCATACGAAAATGATTAAACACGGTTCCAGTAAAGTCTCGTGGGAGCTTTTTCGAGTTGTGTACCACAACAGCGAGAGCGTTTTCAAAGTCGTTAAACTTTAAGGAAGCACCTATGTCAATCACTAATGCATAGATATCAGATGGATTGTCTGAACTTGACTTGGTAAGTTCTTGGGAAAGGGTTGCCATATATTGAGGCATGGTGAAATCCTCCTGCGCCAAAAGCACTGAGGATGTGCTTCTGAAAAGATGTAGGAGATCATCTAAGGGAAGAACGTTCTCAAGATTCCTTCCTGACTGGTCGTAGAGGTATGCAAAGACAGTATCTATCGTATATAGACTGTCTTTGTTGGATGCAAAATCGGGTACTTCGTTGATGAGTTCAATGAGTTTTGTCCTGAGAATACGAGATCTTTCCTTCGATGGGATCTCTGTGGTCTTGAGGTAATGCTTAAGGTCGCCAATGTGGCTATGCTGGATCTTGTTTGAGATATCCTCGTCTTCTATGATGATTTGTGCCTTGGAGTTATCTTGTCTATGTGCTTTAGGCTGCTTTGCCTTGGTGAACCAGGCACCTATATTCTTATGTCTGATTTGTTGGGTTCGTAAGGTGCCGTTAAGCAGAACACCTATCGGAAGACGGCGATAGCCCCTTATTAGGACAGGTAGACGGAGCATGGGTATGTCTTGGGTTTCCGCAGAGTTCACTTACAGAAGATGTGCATGAAAAGTTGGAGTAGTATTTCTTCAGCGCGCAGTCTATTTTGCAACCATGACAGATACTTTCTATACACAAATTATATATCCGTTCTCTTGCTGATATAGGTCTTTTTTTTTTTTCTCTTTCTGTCCTTAAGCAGCGTCCTCTTCGTAATCAGGGAGGTGCAGCTGTAATCTTTTAATTGCCCAGTTCTTTCCGATAAACTTGACTTCTGGGTCGCTCATGCCCTCTGTCCTAGTGTACTCAGTCCAATACGCTGGGTCTTTGAAGCGTGGATCCTCAGGTCTAAACACCCCAAGGCCCTCTCTAATGGCGAGAACTTTCTCTCTGAGTTCAGCTGCAAGGTCGGATCGGAGCCCCTGGGCTTTCTTTCCAGACATCAACTCCTCAGTGAGATCAGTAGGCTTTTTTGGATCAATGTATTTTTTGCACAAGTCTCTCCATTTCTCCCTGTAGTACTCGATACGATCATCAGGAATCATGTCACCGATAGTGACATGGATCTCAGCACCTAAGTTGCTAGGGAGGTAGCGCTTGATACCTTCACCAGCAGCATCTTCAGGCGCAACTTTTTCGAACCCGTATGCGAACATAGGAACAACAACAGGAGCACGAGTACTCTCAAGAATCAACCTGGAAACACCCCACTTAAAGTATCTCATCGAGTTACCGTGAGGTTCTTGAAGCTGCAAAACAAAACCTTCAGGGAAGACATGGAACCATGAAGTCTTGGTACGAATGAAAGGAGACTTTGACATAAGAATGTTCGTCGACTCTGGAGAAGGCTTCACCGACTTTACAAGCTCCTTTGTCTCCAGAGACACGTCGAGTTTGGAAAACTCTTGGATCAAGGTAGGCTTGTCTTGTTCTCTGGCCCATGGACTAAACTCCAAATCCAAGGTATCATCGGGAGACAAGATCCTGATCGCAGCATCCAAAGAGCCCTGGAACGGACCCTCACCAAACCTCTTGGTTCCCATGATCTTTCCGAGGTTGAAAAACCAAGAGAAGACCTTATTGGAGAAGCAGATATTATGGGCACCGAAGCCCCATCTGATAGTATCAACGTCTGTATGGAACCTGAAGGGCAAAACGGCGTAAAAGGATGGATCGTCAACAACTGACATATGGTTCATCACCGTAAGAAGAGACCGTTTCTCCTCCCGAGCCTTGGCCAAGGCAAAATCAAGTTTCTCAACGCAGTGAAGGTGAGGTTTGTAGAACAAGTTGAGAAGTAGCTTGGCTTTCATGGTGATAAGCAAGCACGTCGCATGGGACGCATAGTTCCAGAGCGGTGAAGTTCGAGGGTATTCGGATAGGAAATCATCACCTCTCTTCAACACATCCTGGAAAGACATTGCCGGCTCAGAAACTCACTAGAGTCATTTTTTTTTTCTCTCTCTCTTTGGTTTCGCGGCTACTTAGATACATATTAGCTACATCATTTCGCACGAAAAACGTGGAGAACCTACGTCATGACAGCTCGTGCCAGATAATAATCGAAAATTCGTTGCGTTCAGCCCCTGATCACATATCAGGTAAAAGTAGTTATAGTTCTCTATACCCATCATAGATGAGACGCAAGCCTGGCCTATTCGTTGAACATATCGTGGTACGCAAAGCGGGTATTCTTGAAGGAGCCTTTCTTTGCTCTCTTCACGTAAGTGAGGAAACGGCGAGAATGGGATTCAGATGGACAGTATGGGCCAAGCCCATGGTACATTCCTGATGTCCAATCTTCCAGTAGTCTGCTGAGCGTATCCAGCCTAAAGTCAACGAAATCAAATGGAGTAATCTCTATACCACTGAAGTCTTCAAGTGCTCGAAGACACGGATCTCGCTTGAACTCATCGAAGTTGGTTTCATCGCCAACGAGGCTATCCTTGAGGGCAATCTTAATGGTCATGATGTCTGTGAGTGGAAGAAGACTTGGAAACATATTTGCAGGGTCTTCGTTCATGAGGCTCGTGTAGACGAAGCTATCTGGGTTGAAGATTCGGCGATAGAAGTTGTGAGTGGTTTCCTTTTCAAGATGTTCCCTAGACGCCAACTGGCGAATGTATATCTCTGATCCAGCCATTATATTGTGAAAGAAGGCCTTGTGGTAAGGTATTTCAACCGCGATAGTGGTTTTGTACCCTCTTTTTGCAACCATTTTGTCAGTTATATTCCACTCCAAGAAGTTCAAACAAAATGCCATTTGATCTCGATTATGGTAAGCCAAAGAGTCCCGATGATGTTTTGATATATGATCCTTTCCTTTATAAGTATACCCTATCTGTTTCAAAGAAGCGAGCTGCGTATGATGCCTTCAGGGCGTTCGTGGGTTATGACTTAGGGAATGTCAGAGATACTACAATGATCTATTTCATTTTAAAGCATGATATTATTCTTACTCGGCATGAGATGATGAAAGTCTTGGGACTTCAGCCATCTGGAAAAGTTGACTCGACTATTTTTGACAAGCTCGAATCAACGATCTTTCACGTCGCTCGAACCCTCCGAGCCAAAGTCCCAGTCCGCAGTCTACTAGAGATGCCGCTCACTGATATTAGCCGTATATGCTACATGATTGCTGGCAAATTTGAATCATTGTTCTTTGCTCCAGTAAATGGAGACGACTTTGACTTTTGGTGGACAGACCGCTTCAATAGTGTATGGCCTGTTATCTCCGAGCTTAACCGGCTATACAATGAACTAGGATGAGTAATTAGTGCTAATATATATAAGAGAATGATTAACAAGGCTTTAGCATTGGTATAAATGTCAGTTGGCTTACTGTCCTACCAAAAGTTCCAGCTCGCACGTCAAATATTGGCTTTTATTCACGAAGGGGAGATGGGAACCAATCTTGATTACGCATAACAATTCAAAGATTCGAAAACTTTGTGAAGCAGCTCGAATATACCATATTATGAAAAAATTGTACGACTTAACGGTCCTTTTTCCCAGGCACCTGGACCATTTTGCACCCTTGCGAGTACTAGCACAGTAGTAACAGGCATGGCTGATGGCCTTTCACCACACTTATCACATATTGGGATTTTATTGAAACCTACTAGCTTTCCTTGAAAATAACATTTAAACCATCATTTTTATTTATTTGAAATATGACCATATTCGTTTTATTGCACTGGCTTTGGTTAACTACCCCATCCCAATCTCTGAGCCTGCTGCAGTACGGGCATCGCATCGCATCGCACCAAAAAAATATGAGATTATCCTCCATCTTCTTGTCCCAACAACCATGGCTAGAATAAAGAGAAAGGGGAAGTCCGGTAATGCCAAAAACTTCATTACCAGAGCAAGAGCTTTGAAGAAGCTTCAGGTTTCTTTGGCTGATTTCCGTCGTCTTTGTATCTTCAAGGGTATCTACCCAAGAGAACCTAAGAACAAGAAAAAGGCTAACAGAGGCTCTACAGCACCTACCACTTTTTACTATGGTAAGGATATTCAATATTTGATGCATGAGCCAGTTTTGGCCAAGTTTAGAGAGCACAAGACTTTCTCCAAGAAGTTGCTGAGAGCTTTGGTCAGAAACGAAATTGGTGATGCTGAAAAATTGGAAGAACTGAGACCTAAGTACACCCTCAACCACTTGGTTAAGGAGAGGTATCCTTCCTTCGTTGATGCATTGAGAGATCTTGATGATCCTTTGAACATGTTGTTTTTGTTCGCCAACATGCCTTCTACCAAGGGTGTGAGCCACAGAGTGGTGAAGGACGCCCAGACATTGACAAACCAGTGGCTCGCCTACTGCGCTAAGGAAAGACTTATCAAGAAGGTTTTCGTGTCTATCAAGGGTGTTTACTACCAAGCTGTTGTCAAGGGACAGGAAATTAGATGGTTGGTTCCATTTAAGTTCCCTTCCAACATTCCATCAGACATTGATTTCAGAATCATGGTCACCTTCTTGGAGTTCTACTCCACTTTGTTGCACTTTATCTTATTCAAGTTGTATAACGATGCTGGTTTGGTTTATCCTCCACCTATCAACATGGAACAAATGAAGGGTATTGGCGGTTTGTCTTCATATGTCTTGCAGTCTAAAGATCTGAGTGTAAAGTCTTTGCTTCCATCCAAGCAAGAGACTCAGGTTGAGGCTGAGTCGGATGAGGAAGCCCCAGGTACCACTTTGTCTACTGAAGAGATTGAAAAGGCCAAGAAGGCAGACGAAGAGGATGAGCAGCAGGAAGAAGAGGTAGAGGATGTTGAAGCCATTGAGCTAGATCAATTTGCATCCACCAACAAAGACACTGGTGACGTCTTGGCCCAGCCATCCAAATTCTCGCATCCTTCATCTACTTTGTTCTCCAAGTTCTTGTTTTTCGTTGGCCGTGAAGTCCCAATGGATATCTTGGAACTCTGTATTTTGTCGGCCGGAGGTAACTTAATTTCCGAAGTTGCCTTGGACGAAATGAAGATCAATCAGCCTGAAGCTTATAAGAGCTTGGACATGAGCAATATCACGCATCAAATCGTCGACAGACCAAAGATCACTAGCAAAGTTGCTGGACGTACTTACATCCAGCCTCAATGGGTCTTCGACTCCATCAACAAGGCCGAGCTTTTGCCAGTAAACCAGTATGGTCCAGGTGAGACTCTTCCACCTCATTTATCGCCATGGGGTGATTCTGGTGCTTACAACCCAGAAGCCGCTGTTGAGGAAGGTCCTGAGGACGCTGAATCTGATGAAGAGATCGAGATTGATGGTGATGATCTACCCGATGAAGATGAGGAAGACGCTGAGGAGGATGAAGATCAAAAAGAATTGGAATTGGAGGCTGCTGGCGTCAAGTACTCCGACAGATCTGACGAGAAGGGTGCAAAGGGTAAGAAGAGAAAGGCTACCCAGACTGCTGAAGAGGAAGAGAAGGAATTGAAGAAGATCATGATGACTAACAAGCAAAAGAAGTTGTACAACAAGATGCAACACGGTATTGACAAGAAGGACAACAGAACTGAACAGTTGACCAAGAAGAGAAAGCAGCTCGAGAAGACGAAAAAACAATTGGAAAAATTGAACAAGAAATAGAGTCTTCTGAAATAAATTAAGCATGTATACTAAATAGAACGAGGCTCGTTATTGCTACCTTTAGTGCGCGCAGCTAGTAATATATTCCACTTCTCATATCTACTACAGTTACATCTTAGATGCTTACAAGGTGCATTAGAAGACAATTGACAACGTCCAGCCGTCTACTCAAGGGTAAAATCTACCCCAAGATCGAGGACTGCGAGGACCTAGACAAACTTATCAACTCGGCGTCATGGAATGTAAGCGATGCCATTCCAAACCCAGATAATATTGAAGAAGACATCACGCCCGAGCTCGTGCTGAAACTTTTAAAGCAGTCTGGTCTTCCTCACAATATTTCCGAAGACTTGTATAAGCAGCTTGAACATGCCTTGAGGACCCAGGTTGGCTTCATCGACGAGCTTTACGACCCGGGCATGAGCCATGGAGAACGCAGAGCCAACAACAGTAGGATGTTTAGACTTTTGGCATCCGATCATCAACCGCCAGAACCGCTCAATTTGAAGGCATTGCTTAAGCAGGTAGAGCAAGTGAAGAAGCAAGTTGACCCCGAGAAGGGCGAAACTGGGTTCGACCATGAGAAGTTCCGTAATACGATAAAGTTTGGCGGAAAGTAACTTAGATGGACATGTCTTGATTTACTGGTTTCTATTAACACGAGCATCCATGTACATCCTATCGGGAACTTCCAATTCGAATAGGTTGTGTAGAAGCTCTTTGATCTTCACCAAGTCTTTAGTGCCTTGGTTGACCAAATCGACACTTGCGCCCTTTTGGTAATTAATGAAAGCTTTGATCTGGAAAGTGTTGGACTCATCCAATAGTTTGAGTTTTAGTTTCAGGTCTTCTGCTGCACCGGAGGGATCGTCATCTCTAACGAGAATCTTAAATATTTCAATTACGATGTCACCATGAAAGAAGCGTATACCCTTTTGCCAGTACTGATTGACCACGTCGTATCCCAATTCCTCGAGAAATTGAAGAAATGAGTCTTTCACTTCCGAGTTGGTTTCACCCACTTGCGTCTTCGGTTCTTTTTCTTCTTCTTTTTTTATAGCATCACCCTCGTTGGTTTCCTTACTATCGGGTATGTCAGCAAAGTCTGGAATATCAGTGATCTCAGTGACCTCCGCCCCTTCGCCATTCGTTTTTGGCAAGCCTTCGGGTTCTATTTCCATGAGGTCTTCATCTCCCTTGTCTTTCTCAGTGGAGTCCTCCTTGGCTGGACCGTCAATTTGCATGATATCATCGTCCTTTGCTTCTTCTTTTTCTGCCTCTTTCGTATCGTCCTTTTTCTCTTCTTTTGCCTCGTCCTTAGCTTCCACCTTGGCTTCTACCTTAGCTTCTTCACTTGTCTCTACCTTTGGCAGGGTCGACGATATGAGAACATTCTTACCGGTATGATGATGAACAAGTGTACTTTCATAGAAATTATGCGCCAGTACAGGGTTCTTGCCTGCGTTCGGAATATCAGATATCTGCAATGTCCAATGTTTAACCTTCTTACCAGAGAAAAGCCTTTCCACACGAATGTCTGACTTACCCGCTATAATTGGCTGTGATAGGTTCAATTCCAGAGCAGCTTCATCATTCCAAGTTGTCGAACATTTCATGTAATATTGTTCTATCTGATTCACCTTGCCTGGTTCGAATTTTGGCTTGAATACATTATGAGGCTTCGTTAGAAGGGTGTATGTTGCAATGTCTTGTGGATGTAGCACTCCTGTTAATGCTTGTAGTGTGGAGACTGTTTGAATATAGTTGCTTTGAGATATACTCGAGCATAGAAGCAATTGGTGAACCATGCTGTTGGACTTTGAAGTTGTGGTTGAACGATAATCAATGTCGCGCTAACTTATGGAAACTGATGAAGTGTTTCCTTCTTGGAAAAGTGACTTTGCAAAGCTAGAATATGGTGAAAAGTATAGGACTGTTATTATTGAGTCTTGATTATCATATCATTGAAGTTTTATTTTGTTTATAAAGAGATTTGTAATTTATTGTTGCAAACTTCTATTATGCGTATATTTGAGATACCCGCACTGAAGATGTGAATCAGTAGACAAAGGTAGAAATACGGGAAATTACCATAAGCCAAAAAAGAAAAACAAGATAGAAAGAAGACTAACAAAGTAGCAGGAGAAATGAAACATTAACAACCGCAATTTGATAGAATCCAGACGTGACACCTAAGTAATGATAGGAGGGACCCAGCAGCCATCATAGGACCATGCTACATAGAAAGTGCCTACCTTCTGCAATTACAATCCACGATTGACCTTGAATTCATGTTCACTAATATACACTGATAATGCTATTCGATTAGATATCTTTCTTGGCCTCTGGCTTCTCAGAGATTTCTTCGGAGGTGTCCTCGGAGAAGGCAACAACGATGTAGGCGATAAGTACAGCGTTAGCAGCAGCAGCCGCAGAGCCTCCACTTACAATGGAGTTTGCATTAAAGACATATTGGACCGTGAAGAAAGTCACAAGTGGCAAAAAGACCATGGCAGCCGTGAAATAGAGGAGTTTCCTCACAACTGAGCTGAATGTTAGTAAGGGATCGATAATACCCATTCATTACAGGAGAAGATGAGCCTGATCATTCAATCATTAAAAAGTCACATACGCTGGGACGTCGGCAGCCATTACCAATTAATGCAAGTTGTTGTAACGTCAATATGGTACTGAGGGCTACTAAGTAGTATGAGATCCCAGTATACACTCCAAAGGTAGAACCAACCATATCGTGCCATTCGTACACTAGGAAAGTAGTTAGAAATACACAAATACAGTCATAGATAAGAAAGGATCCGCTTCCTATCCCACCCTTCACAAATCCATAAACTGTCTATTCAAAACATTTTATTGTGCCTTCTGCAAACTTGTCCACGTGACTTCATACGCAGTTGGCAATTTAGGTGATCAACAGGTTTCTACAATACCCTCAAGAACTAGTGTCAATTAACCATGAAGCTCATCACTGGTGTTGCTGTTTATGCCAGCGCTGTAATGGCATATGTAAACACTGCACCCATGTTCAGCAGCAAAGCTCTTTTGGACAACCGTTATCTCACCGACGCTCATGATGTGTCCTCGCAATTGGAGAACCTTACAAAGGATTGGTGCTCCCAGGAGCAAAAACTTCCTATGATCATCTACAGAGTAAAGAATCTTGCTAAGGGATCTAATGATTTGGCAGAGGCGTTTACAAATGTGAGATACGAATCTCCAAGCCAATTGGACCTTACATTGCACTCTCTGTGCCAGGTACACTATTCCACCAACAATCCTAGCGAGTTGAACGCTGGTGAGGTCTACGTTGTCGACTTAGACGACGACTCAAACTATAAGGTCAATGATCTTCTTTCTGAAGATGCTTTTGTGACCGTCCAAGGCAAGCCTAATGGAGGAAAAGCACGTTCATTCATGGCTGGTATCAAGGAGTATGTTGACGACTTTCAACAAGGCTGGGCCAAGAGACAAGACGAACAGGACGAAGCCGATGCGGAGGCTTTCGAAGAGATTGAGTCGGCTTTCAGAGCAGCCGAATCTTTGATCGCTCACGAGGAAGGTGACTCGTTCGTGACTGCTTTAGCAGAGGACAAGGAGACATCTTCTGGATCTGAGGAACAGAAGCAAAAGACTGACGGCAGATCCAATCTTTTCACAAAATATCAATTCTTCACACCAGGCATTTGGCTGTGCTTAATAATTTCTTTATTCTTGGTTTACGTCTTGCTCACTGCCGTTGGCTGGATCTCCTCGATCCAGATTACCTACAAGTCCTTCGAAAAGCAAGTTGACTACGAGAAGAAGACAGAATAATCGCAGTATTATTTAGATATAAAGAATTACCACACGTACGGAACTATTTTGTAAGGAACCTGTCTCTCGTATTCCTCCCATGCCTTGCCATACTTAGCTCTGCATTTGGCTTCGTCTCTAGTTTGCCTGTGAACCAACAAGACACCAAAATAGATGACATAGAAGTAGGTCAAAATGGTTTGACTTCCGGTAGGTAGACACCAAGACCAGCCGATGAACCAATCACCGAGGTAGTTGATATGCTGCGAGAGCTTCCACCATCCATCAACAAGCAACTTCGAACCAGTTGGGGTGGGGATGCTCTTCATATGGTCAAGCTTGCCTTGTTTGAAGTCTGATTTCTGTTGGTTTGAAGAATGGAATATGTAGTAACCGAAGAAGCTTAGAGCCAAGATAGAAGCTGCCTGAATCCAAGTGAGATCAACAGCGTTACCTTCCAAAGAAAGATAACGACATTGTAAAGAGTATGACCATGGAAGCCAGGCCAAGTCACCGAATGCAAGCATGAATCCGAATCCATCGGTAGCGATATCCATCATGGTCAAGCAGCCTTCCTCGTTGAGGACACCATCGAAGATATAGAAAGCTTGCAAGAAGTTGATCAATACCAATGAGTTGGAAATCTTGTCAAACTTGTGATATTGGTTGTGAATGCAAGATAAGTTAATCAAGAAAAGCAACAACATGCCTGGTCTCAACTCACAAAAGAGCTTGATATCCCACGCACCAATTCTTGGGTTCAATTCACGTCCAATGAACCAATCGTAAATAGGATTACCTGAGTTACCGTTGATAGAAAGGATCCTTTCCTTTGTCTTGAGGCCATTTTCTTTGCGCAATGGGACAAAAGACATGAAATACACGAAGAAGGCCACGATGAACGAGTAAATGATGGTGACGAAGATCAACTTTGCTTGGTTGTCGTACAAGAATTGCAACTCAGGAAGGTAGTAGTCTCCAGATGCAAAGAGTCTTGCGAGAAGCAACACAATCAAGGTCCCACTCATAAAGATACCGTTGATACGGTATTGCAACTTGGTACCATCACGAAGGGTAACACCGTCCATGTCTTTACCAGGAGAATAGACGTCGAGGACAGCCAAGATAAAGAACCAGGCCAAGTAGGCAGTCCACACCGTACCATCAAAGCACAATTCCCTCCATTCGTCCCAGGACTGGGGAATCTGTTCGGCAACCTTGTTGAGATCAAGCAGGATCCCTTTAACCGAGTAGTGTTCATTGCACACGGCATAGAAGAATACCAAGAGTAATGGCAAGAACGTTGGGATTGCTAAAGCACCAGGAATTCCAAAGAACTCCTTATGCTTAGTGACAGGGTTCAATTCCGACATTCGTGGTTGCAAATCTGAGAAACCGTTTACCCTCGCCTATGCTTTTATAAGACAGACTGTTTACGAGCTGTGCGATGCGACACTAAAGTAAACGAGAGCGAACGACAGAGAACGAGAGAGGGAACGACAAGGGTGCGAAATTCACCCAGGGAGCACCAGAGCAACCCAAACACGTTAAAATAAAGAAAAAAAGAGAGCCAGTTTTGTGTCAATTAAACCAAAACCAACCAAACGTCTTTTTCAACGCTAACCGACAAACGGACGTTTTTGTGTGAATAGCAACTGCGAAAGTAACCTAACATGGCGAGATGCCTCACAATGCCCATGAAGGGAGCCAGGTGCAGATTCGTCCCAGGCCCATTGAGACGTGGGCTGTTCTCACGCGGTTAGCCAAACCCAGGGGGACAGAAAAAAAGAGGGAATTTTTTTTTTACTCTTTGGGAAACACATTGGAATGTTAGACCAAATGAGTGAAGGATCCTCCAAAAAAGGAGCGAGCCATTGAGGAGAAACAGGAAAGAACAAACTTGTCGAATAGAGAATCAGTTACGGAAATTAAGGAAAAAGAAGGAGCCGCACATGTTCCTCAAGAAACCTTACCTTCATTTTTGCTGTTTTAGTTGTTTTTGTTTCACCTTCTTGCCTTTTGTCCGTCTAAGGGCTGGCTCTTGTCCATATAATTTTTTTTTTTACTTCCGGCGAGCCTCGTCCAGGAGAAAATCATATCCCTTCCGAATACAGCCAAATTACGTGCATGGCGCGGCATTGACAGCAACGTTTCTTCGCGAGCATAAGGGTATCGAAGATAAGATTCCCGATGGAAAATATTTGTTTTTAGAATCTTAAAGTTTAGTAGCGTTTGGGAATTTTCCTCGGAGACCTCCAGAAGGTAAGTATTTAGGCTTTATTTGGCATGTCTGCGCCGCTTTTCGTCTTTTTGATTGTCTAACTTCCACCCTGGCAGCACCTCACCTTCTATCTCCCTGGCTGGTTCTGGAACACATAGCGCTCGGGCGTAAAGGGTAGAGCCGTGGCGCCTGCGTACACACATATAGGCGGCTCAACATAAAGGGCTGTTCTCTGAGAAAAGTCTCTCATTCTTTGCAATTTTTTTTTTTTCTGTTAAAGGTCTGGCTCCACGTCCGCCCTTGTGCACTCCAGCGTCTGAATCGGCTTCTACAGGGTATTTTTTTTTCCTCCCACACAAGGCGGCCTTTGGTTTGTGTCTTTATTCACCCGGAATCCTTTTTGCTATTTCTTTTTCCATTTTTTTTTTTTTAACCCTTCCCTTTCCCAACCATTTTATTTTGGCTACTCTTTCCTTAGCAGCCTTATCTTCTATTATTATATTACCCATCCTGCTATATTATTAGGTGCTACATTGATTTCATTTCACTTCTGGTCTCCCTATTGCATCCACAGAGAACCATCCTCGGCTCACTAGCCTTTTGATTCCATACTTCACTCACACAACATTTACATGTTAGCATCCATGCCAGGATCTTCGCCAATGAGGCCCCAAGAACCCATCAAGCGCAGACGGGGTAGACCCCCTAAGAACAACAAACTGCCCGAGGCCTTCCCTACCCTCACCTTACAATTTCAGACTTCTCCTGAATCGGGCTCTCCTACTGCGGAGTCGAATTCAAACATGATGGTGAAGATGGGTGAACCTGATACTTTCACTCCATTGATGAAGGTGTCCCCATCCAATCCTTCGTCGAGAAAGCGCAGACGCAAGAGTAATTACCATTCTGATATCGACGACTCTCCCAGCAAAAGATCAGTGTTAAGCCAGAACACAGACTTGGGTTCAGAAGAGCCTCTTTTGACACCAATGTCATTGTCTTCTGTCAACGGAGGCCCAAGTCTGTATGTGAATGCTAAAACCTTGGAAAATTTGTCATTTATCACGAAAGGCGACTCGAAACATGAATCTGCTTCGACGTATTCGCTAGCTACTCCTCCCAAACACAATGCTTTTGATAGAAACGGTTCTTCGCTGGCGAAACTTACCGAAAGTACTATCGAATCGTCGTCGAACACTGGCACCGAGAACGAGAAGGTCAAACTCGCACCTACCATTGAGAGTCTGGCGGACAGCATGAGTTATGTTGATGATGATTCCTTCCTGTTCCAACTTGTTGTTGACGAACGTGGAAAAGCTGTCTTGTCCAATAAAGGTTTGTCCAAGTCAAACCCGAAGGTCTTCCATAGAGATACCAATGACCACCTTTCGGAATTTCCCCATGAGATGACTCGTCCTTCTATTTTGACTCATTCGAACACTGCCATAGGCATTGAAACGTTTCATCGTATAACGAAAGACGGCTCATCTAATGACAAACCCAAGAGAAAATTATCGGAGCCCACGAAACCTGTGCTTCCATCGTATGCGTCACTTGTGTCATCATCAGACAATGATGCTCTGCCTGAAAAGCTCATCGTGCCACAAACTCCACAAAGTAATACTCTTGCTTTCAGTGAAACACCGATTTTCATGCAAACAGATACTAGCGCTCCCCAAGGGGATTTGGCGTTTAACTTGACTCCACAGTTCAATGCTATGATGTACCTGATGATGAGTATTAACTCACCACAGCAGAAGAGAAACTTTTCTCAGCAACAGCCATTTTTGAATCCTCAGATTGACTTGAACCAATACAACAGACTCAATGGCGGTCAGGCACATGCAATTGATACCCGTGAATTGCTTGGAGCTCAAGACTCAACCCCAAACAGCGCATCTTCTGATGAAGGTGATGCTCGAGCAGCCCTTCGCAAAGCATTCAATAGAGGAAAGTAGTTTACTAGCACTTTTAAATTTTAGTTCGTAAATCTTCAAAATTGACATACCATAGTATAACAGCATAGAATCCAATAAGTGTCGGATCGTATCAATTTAGGTTGGTAATATCGTTAGAACTATCTGGCTCTGTCTCTTTATTCAACGTCTTGATTTGGGTGAAGTAAGACGATCCCACACCTTGTACAACAGAGCATATGAGAAGTTCAGTAAAGAATAATTACAGTCCAAAATGAAAAATTTCTAGAGATCCACTGGGTGTGTATTAGCCATTGGTCTCTACGAATAATTTCAATTTTTTTTTTTTTTTTTGAACAGATCATTTGAACCCATCTACAAACTTCAAGTTATGAAGTACCACCAAGTAGACAAGGCATTATACAGGGCACATCAACACTAACTGGGAGGTGTACCGTTCCTCAGCTGAGATGTACAGATGTCTAAGAGGAAGCATTCTGACATTTGAACTTTTGCACGACTTCACGTGACAGATGGTCCAAAAGCCCTGAATGAGGGTTACCCGCCCCGAAAAATTCTGTGAGCACCCTCACTACATAAAATTTTTTTCACATCCATTTCCCTTCTCTTCACCCTAATACAACACATCAATAATGTCTCACAGAAAGTACGAAGAGCCAAGACACGGTTCCTTGGGTTTCCTCCCAAGAAAGAGAGCTGCCAACTCTAGAGGTAAGGTTAAGTCTTTCCCTAAGGACGTCAAGTCCAAGCCAGTCGCTTTGACTGCTTTCTTGGGTTACAAGGCTGGTATGACCACCATCGTCAGAGACTTGGACAGACCAGGTTCTAAGATGCACAAGCGTGAGATCGTTGAGGCTGCCACCGTTGTTGACACCCCACCAATGGTTGTTGTCGGTGTTGTCGGTTACGTCGAGACCCCAAGAGGTTTGAGATCTTTGACCACCGTTTGGGCCGAGCACCTTTCCGAGGAGGTCAAGAGAAGATTCTACAAGAACTGGTACAAGTCTAAGAAGAAGGCTTTCACCAAGTACTCTGCTAAGTACGCTAAGAACGGTGAGGAGATCCAGAAGGAGTTGGCTAGAATCAACAAGTACGCCACTGTCGTCAGAGTTCTTGTCCACACTCAGATCAAGAAGACCCCATTGGCTCAGAAGAAGGCTCACCTTGCCGAGATCCAGATCAACGGTGGTTCCACCGAGGACAAGGTCAACTGGGCTAAGGAGCACTTCGAGAAGGAGGTCTCTGTCGACTCTGTTTTCGAGCAGAACGAGATGATCGACGTCGTTGCCGTCACCAAGGGTCACGGTTTCGAGGGTGTTACCCACAGATGGGGTACCAAGAAGTTGCCAAGAAAGACCCACAGAGGTTTGAGAAAGGTTGCTTGTATTGGTGCTTGGCACCCAGCTAACGTTAACTGGACTGTTCCAAGAGCTGGTCAGAACGGTTACCACCACAGAACCTCTATCAACCACAAGGTTTACAGAGTTGGTAACGGTTCCGACGAGAAGTCCGGTGCCACTGAGTTCGACAGAACCGCCAAGACCATCAACCCATTGGGTGGTTTCGTTAGATACGGTAACGTTAACAACGACTTCGTCATGGTCAAGGGTTCTATCCCAGGTGTTAAGAAGAGAGTTGTCACTTTGAGAAAGTCCTTGTACGTTGACACCTCCAGAAGAGCTCTTGAGAAGGTCAACCTTAAGTGGATCGACACTGCCTCTAAGTTCGGTAAGGGTAGATTCCAGACCCCAGCCGAGAAGAGAGCCTTCATGGGTACCTTGAAGAAGGACTTGGAGAACTAAGTGTTTTATCTAACTTAATATCCTTATCTTCCTGTAGCGTAAGTTTTAATGCATACAATATAGGTTTACTTCTTAAATGTCATGTAGTTTAGGGTTCATATAATTAGCTAGAAGGGGAAATGAAAACATAGCACTTATCTTTGATAAGCGAAGATCAATTCTACACGGGTCAAATATTTCAGTTACGATTTTCATATCTGTAAAAAATGGTATCAACGACTCCACCATCTGTTCAAATTGCAGACACACCTTAATCTACTTGAATCAGAGGTAGCTGTAGCCCCGGACATTTTCTATATGAATGTCCCAACTTATTACAAGTGGAACACCTGCCTGGTTTTCTCTTTTTTGGACCTGTTTGATGTTCTTCATTAGGACCTATGCTGACGACACTCATAGAACGCTTAGCAGCAGAAAATTTAGGATGAAGAACTGGCCAGCTTGTTTGGACAGAGATACCCTTCGGCGGTGCTACTTCCTGATCTTGATGATCATTTAAACGGGCAGGTGGCCGAGAAATCGTTGTCCATGGAGCACCTTTGAGTCGCTTTTTCTTTGCAATAACATTCCAAATATCTCTAGGGTCAATTACATGCTCTGGATACCGCCTTCGCAAGTCGACCCACATTTTCCGAGCATCAGCGGCGGCGTCCACTAACTGACGCTTCCTGTCAATCGTTTCTGCGTCAGATCGGCGAGCCAAAGCACGAAATTCCACATCAAAGGTGAGTGGATGATTGTGGTTTGAATCAATGGGATTCAATCTCCAAGTTCCATCTTTACGGCATGTCCCAGAAAGCCGAAATGGACAATTCATCCTCTTTGTAAAGCTGATTCGTTTTCTTTCGGAATCAGAAGGACCTGGGCTTGGAGAACCGCCATATTCACATCTAAGATAAACATACTGGTCTTTCTTCGAATGAGTAACAGCAAGACAAAAACAGTTGGTAGACGAATGACCACAAGCAAAATCGACAAGGTCCTTCTTACTATTGAAAATCATTTCGGGAAGGTCACAAAACTCCCTTTTCGTTCTTTCATCAGGATCCATAGGACGCGTTGTCACTTCCAGATCAAAGAACCTGCCTACTTTGGGGTCAGGCGGATGATCATAACGTTCCTTCAGACCTAGAACTGTGAGCCCAGTTCCGAGTTCATCCTCTGGCTCAGCCACGTCATTTGGTTGTTCGCTAGCCATTGCATTGCATGTAAAAAGTAACAGTTTATTTTGATATCGTGATTAATCCACGATGTTAGACCACGCACATTTATCAACAGGCGAGGGTCCGATGCGCGCCATAATGTAAATAAGCCATCGAGGTAATACAGATCCACCACCAACACATATTCCGTGATGTCCCTGGTCGTCCTGAATTCAGGGTCTCTTTACAGCACATATATATCTACGGTCGACCATCTACCGTGCGATATCATCAGGTCACTATGGCTCGTGCAGTGGTGTAATATTGCTGTTGAGAAAGAAGAAGCACATCTTCACGAGCTTTTCCTAAAGCATGGAAACGATACACAGAAGGTTGCTGCCGAGGAATATGCACAGCTGAGGAGAAAGATCGAGATTTTATCGAGGGAATCAGCTGAAGAGGTGAATGCGTTGTATGACCAACTTCGAACACATGAGAGTATGCTTAAAGATGAGATCATACAGCTACAACGAGTCGCCGAAGCTCCGGCCACGAAAGACGAATCCAGTACACAATCACTACGAAAACAACTTGAGGAACATTACAAAAGCAATCCTTTACCCTCACAGACAGAAGCAATGCGTAAGAGTCTAGATCAAAAGAAGAAGCCAGACACAAATGGCATAAAGCTAATATTGAAACTTTCCAAGCACGATGAGCCACGAGTAATACGAAAAAGAGGAAGACCTCGTAAGGATGAGAGTGATCTACTTCGAAGGATTCCCACTAATACATCTGATCTAAAGCTATCGCCAAAGCCAACACCTACGAAGATACATATTAAGCCACCCACGCCCACGATGAAAAGTTTTGTTCCTGAAACCCTTCCAGAACCAGAACCCGTGGTTGAACAAGAGGAGACATTTTGCTTTTGTAAACAGCCCTCGCTGGGTGATATGATCGCTTGCGATAACGACAAGTGCCCCAACGGTGAATGGTTTCATTATAAATGTGTCGGTCTATTGAATAGAGTAGAGGCGCTCAAATATGCCACTCAAAAGTGGTATTGTTCCGAAGGTTGCCGCCAAGCTGGACAAGCGGCACTCGAAAGGAAAAAGAAGAACAAAAAGAGACGGAAGAACTGGTAATCTACCTGGTGTACATTACATATAAGTTCCATTATGCCATCTATATATATAATTAAATTGCCAACAACTCCAACATACCACTCATTTCCTTAGCGTCCTTGCATTTTCTCACCTCCAATCTTATACGCTGTGATAAAGTGTTGAATGCCTCTTCAAGAGCAACACTTTTACTGAGCAAATGACCATAGCTTTCAAGGATAACAGCGAGGTAGTCACAGATAATGTTGAAATACCTGACGTCCTCGATGTTCTTGGTACACCATTGTACAATTGGCATCAATGAGATCTCGTCTCTGCCATACAATGCTACTCTGATCTTACCTCTCTTCTTTAACTCATGCAAAACGGTCACCACCTGGTCCTTTGGGTAAATGCCGCTAACGGCAACATCAAGTGCTTCAGCCCATCTGAAAGCACGGAGATTCTTTTCATAAGCTGTGACCTTCTTTGGACCTGTTCCTGTAGTGGAAACTACCTGGGCGTCTTGCTCTCCAGTGTAGTCATTACCCTTGATGGCTCTCGAGTATGAAAGACTATGTTGTTGTTTTTGTTGCGTTTTCTTTGGCTCGGTTTTCCTCGTTCTGATGGAAAGAAGACCAGAAGTCAAACCAGTAGCGAAATGCTTGTAATTTGGTGACACAGCCGTGCACAAGACACCACCACTGCCGAACTTCCAACCGAACTTGACGTCCCAGTTTGGCGAGCTGTAGTCAAAGATCTTGACGTGACCATCAAGCGATCCAACGAGCAAGCCTCTGTTACCAGCGTCATGCAAAGAAGTGGCTGTTTTGGTGAAATTCGTGAATTCCCTAATCTGGGAGCCTCTAGCCAAGTCCCATACCTTCACCTGAGGGCCACCAGCACTGACTAAAGTAGTTGGTGAAAGGGCCAAAACATCCTCAACGGGGTTGCCTTGGTCAAACTTGGCAACTGGATCAGGTTGTCTTGTGTCGAAGAGTCTCACCACACCATCGTAACAACCTGTGGAAATCAAGTTTGGATTGCCTGGAACAAATGCACAGCTTCTGATGTAATCATCATGATGGGAATCATCGAACTCAACAATGGGGCCACTCGTGCTCTGTGAAATATCATATACTCTCATTACTCTGTCGTCTGAACCTGTGACAAGCTGGTTGCCAATAGTTGGGTGGAATCTAGCCACATGCGAAGGATGAGAAGAAGGTGATAGACTGACAAGGAGATTACGAGGCTGGTATGCGTCAAAGATGGAAACGAGACCCAGGGCATCGGCTGCGACCAAGAGCTTACCATCGTATCTGTACTCACCTGAATATACGGTATCCTTGAACCTTGAAAACGTCTTTGTAACTTGCCTCGTTTTAGAAGAAAAGACTTGAATTCTTGTGGAAGAAGTCACGGCAAAATCATGCGGTGAAACGGGATTGAAATGAATGTGGGTAATGGGATGGTTTTCCTTGATGAGTTGTGGGTTCATGAAACCACGCCAGTATTTCTGTTCTGGAGTCGTCTTTGCAGGCAACACGGGTGCACGTGCCTGCTGCACTCTTTGTCTGGACGATGACATGACAAGAGTAGCTAGGTAATGGGGAGCTTGAGTATTGTCAACTGCTACTGATGAAGGTCTTCTCGATGCCAGGCTCAATTTTCCAGGCATCGAGCGCACGTGATTAAATACACGTGATCTCATATCAAAGAAGTCGCTAGCACCAACAGAGCTGCTTACAAGGAAAAACAAGCCAGGCCATTCCAATATGACCGAATTTCAAGTGTTTTCAGTAAAAACTAGTGAAATGAAAAATTGTAGGAACGAGGACTCTCAGAACTTTGACTAACATAGGTAAAACCAGACTCCTTTACACCAAAGAAAGTTAAAAACGGATATGAAAGAACTTTTTTTTTTTTTTCAAAAAAAAGCTAATGAAAGATCAGCTAATAAAACTTTATCAGATAAAGCAGCTTTTGATCATCAAATGAATATGCATTTCATCCAAATGCGCGAATGGAAAGACGCCGTTTGCAAAGGCATGTAAGGTCGGAATCGTGATCCGAAAATGCACCTTTTTCGCAGCCTTTGTTCCCTGGTGGCTCCCAGTAGATGTGACCAGAAGCCCCTATTAGCTGATCAAGGGGGGCCAGAACGCAAGGGGAAGTTCGGTAAAAGGCAGGTTTTGGAAGTATATGCTTTTAGATTGGCCTGGTTTAGTAGGTTTAGCGAAAATGGGTAAATATATGATATTCTTTGCTGGAAATGGGCTTCTCGGTGCTTGTGCCTTTTTGGGAGCAAATGTTCCGGCTCGGTTGACGGGTCTAGTACACAGTCTCTTGACACAGTCAGGCACAGGAGCCCTGCCCAGCGGCTTCCTTAATTGGGGTGGCACATCTCGAAGTCATTTTTCACTTCCCACATATATATATAGCAGCCGGCTTGCTCTTCCCTGGGACTTGCTCAATATCCATTTCTTTTCTTGCACACCATGGGAACTTTGCAATTTATTGCTGACGAAGTTGGACTCAAGACCTTGGTCAATGGAGGCCTCGATGTCTACCTCATTATCTTTATGAGAATGGTGAGGTTATTGAGTTTTGGTGCCACTTCTTTGATTTTGGTTATTTTCCTTAAAGAGCTCGGTATCGATGAAGCTACCATCGGTTACTTCATGACCTTGGCTTTCTTTGGCGACTTGATCAAGTCTTTCTTGTTCTCCTTGATCGCTGATGGCTTGGGCCGTAAGTTCACCTTATCCTTGAGTTCCGCCCTCATGGCATTCACTTGTTTCGGTATCGCCTACTTTGACAACTTCTACGTTTTGGCTGCCGTTGCCGCTTTGGGTATCTTGACTCCAGGTGGCGGCGAGGTTGGCCCATTTAGATCCATTGAGCAGAGTGCCATCGCCTCTTTGGTGCCCCATGACGAAAGGTCCGACATTTACGCTTGGTACACTTTCTTGGGTACTTTTTCCTCTGCTTTGGGTTCTTTCGTCTGTGGCTCTTTTGTTGATTTGTTGCAAGACCAATGGCACTTCACTGCCGTGGAGGCCTACAAGGGTGCTTTCGTCGCTTTTGGTATCTTATCCGTCATCTGTCTCATTTCTTGTTTCTTCTTGACTCCTAGAATGGAAGTTACCCATAAGCCAAAGGCTCCAGTTGAACAGGCTGCTGGCGAAGCTGCTGCTTCTTCTGCAGAGACTCAGGATGGTCCTGTTGAGTCGAACGAGTCTCTGGAATTGATTCCAAAGAGCAAGCCAAAGTGGAGACTTTTCCCAGAATTGAGCAAGGATATCTTGTCTATTGTGCTCAAGTTGTCTTTCCTTTTCGGTCTCGATGCATTCGCTTCTTCTTTGGTTCAAGGTTCCTGGCTCACCTACTATATCAAGCATAAGTTCGACGTGAGCTCTACTACGCTTGGTACCATTTTCTTCGTGACCTTCTTTATTGCTGGATTTGCATCTCTTTTGAGTACCTCTTTCACCAAGAGATTGGGTCCAGTCGTCACCATGGTGGTTACCCACTTGCCAGCCTCGGCTATGTTGATTCTTCTCCCACTTCCAACTTCCTTGTCACTTACCTTGACCATCATGTTGATACGTGCTTCTACCCAATCCATGGACGTTGCACCTAAACATGTCTTCTTGGCCACTTTGGTTCCTGCTGACTATAGAACTGCTGTGTTTGGATGGACTAACATTGTCAAGACCATGGCCCAGATGTTTGGCCCATCCATTGCTGGTTACTTGACTGGTGAAGGCGTCCAGTGGATTACTTTCATCATGGCTGGTTCATTGAAGGTCCTCTACGATGTGGGCATTTTGGCCACCTTTTTGTCTTACAACAGACACAAGGCCCACTAAAGGGTCTGCTAAAAATAATGCTGGTTGCAAAAAAATGTATGTGCGCACAGATGGAACTATCGCACCGATTGCGCCCTAGTTTCAGCCGTCTGTCACATGTCCTCGGCCAGTTCTAGATAATATATAATATAGACTTATTCGTACATTTAAACTTCCCATAATCCGCCTTATTCCTATAAAGCAACGCAAAAACTCGTCTCACTATGCTACGGCGTTACGCGGGCTACTTGTTCTTACCCATCTTTGCCTTTGTCGTGAACCATACCCCAAGTTTCGTGTGGGTCCTCATCGACTTCGTGCTAGATGTGTGGTTGTTCTGGGTCCGAAAATTATACCACTGGCATACTCGTAAGGATAACCTTAACGAGGCACTTAAGCAGCTCAAGTCTGTTGAGAACTATAATGAGTGGAAGGCTATCGTTACTGAGGTGGATAGGCTTACCAACATGGATATATGGAGACAAAACTTCATCTCCAAGCATTATGATTACATGCTCGTGAACGAGCGGATGAGTTTGCTTCGTGAAGCTAGACTCAACGAGGATGCTTCTCTTTTGATGTCTTTATTGCGTTCCGGGCTTCTCCGCAACTTTGGAGGTATTGCTCAGAAGCGTCTCTACACTAAGGCTTACTTGGGGACGAAGTTTAAGATTCAAGAATACATCATCGAGGTGCTTGACTGCCTCAACTATTTGAATGACTCCATTCACGCCGAGAGGGCTAGCAATGACTATATCATGAACAGCAAGCAGCTCAAACTTGACTTCTTCCATGACGCTAGGCAGTCGTTTGGATGTACAGCACTTATCTTGCAAGGTGGATCTCTCTTTGGCTTATGCCATATTGGAGTGGTACGTGCGTTGTACTTCAAGGGTTTGCTTCCTAGAGTTATTGGCGGAAGTGCAGTGGGTGCTGCTGTTGCGGCTTTGGTGTGTTCTCTTACTGATGTTGAACTCATTCCTATCTTAGTGTCTATTACCGACGTTATGGGCAATGTTGATACCCTCAATCATGACGTCGATGAAAGATATGGCAACGTTATCGAGAATGTCGTCCGCAAAGGTTACTCCCAAGATATTCTTGTCTTCTTGAAGTTTGTGAGAGACACTATTGGCGACTTGACCTTTGAAGAAGCATATTTGAAGACTGAGAAGATTCTTAATATCGTTGTTCACCCAACTCATCAGTCTATCCCTTCGTTACTCAACTACATCACGGCCCCTAATGTTATTATCTGGACCGCTATTTATGCATCGATTGGAACCGGTGTCCTTTCAGACAGCGTCCAATTATACGTCAAGGACCTCAGGAACGAAATTGTTCCCATGGCTCCTGAATTAGACATTTCCTTCTTGAAGCCTCAGGATGTCAGCTACCAACAGCACTACTTTGGCCATAAGAAGAAGAGCCCTGAGCAAAGCTTGTTTTCTGCCCCAACGGAGAACTCGCCATATACTAGACTTACCGAGCTTTTTAATGTCAACCACTTCATTACAAGTTTGGTGAGGCCCTACCTAGCTCCACTTATCAGCAATGACCTCAAGCATCACAATGCGTACGGAAAATTAAGATTCAGTGATGATGCTCTTAATATTTTCTGGAATGATGAAACAAAGAAGCTCGAGAAGCCAAAATCCTCCGCTTCCCACATAGATGTGCTTACAAAAGACTCTTCCTACAACTTTAGAAAACACTTGAAAAATGTTATTGGTCTTGAGATTCAACATAGACTTGATGTTTTGAACAAATTAGGTCTTTTACCCGAGATCGTGAAGCGCCTTTGCATCGACGAAAAGCCTTCAACTGCCAAGTTCTCGACAAATTCTAGAGAGATCACAATTGTCCCGGAATTGAGATACTTACTTCGTGACATTGGCAGGGTCTTTGATGTGCACAAGACTATGGAGAATATTCCATATTGGATTCTTGTAGGAGAGAGGTCAGTCTGGCCATTGTATCCTCTCCTTTGGACAAGATGTTCGATTGAGTTTGCATTGGATGATTTGTATAGTCTTCACCGGAAGCGGAAGAAGTAGGTTATTAGCGGAAAAAGAGTTTAACACTGCCTTCTTTAGTAACATTGTAGATGAATTCGTTCTCAGCCACAGCTGTAGGGGATGGTACAGCACCCTTGGAAATCGTTAAACAACCTGTGATGTCTTCAGCTCTGCCAGTTGCTAACGGCAGAAGGTTCACGTTAATGGAAGATTTGTGTAGTAATTTGACGAAGAAATCCGTAACCTTAGGAACAACTTCCGTAGTCAAGACGCTATCAAAGTCTATGAGGGAAGGCTCAGCGTTGATGATAACAAAAACAGAATTGCTGATAGTTTGTAAAGACAGAATGAAGTAAATCAAGCTGTTGGAGTCGAAATCTGTAGCTGCTAGAAGGAGTTCAGGGTTTTCGAGAATGATAAGGGTCAGTTCGTGACTTATGTTTTCAATAGCAGTCCTCAAGTCACCGAAAAACTTTTGCACTGCTTCTTTGCTTTTGGAAGTATCTTTGATATGCTTTGTGAAGAGGTCTGTAAGACAGTCGTGGAAAGTGAAATTTTTGTCGGTGTCCAAACTCAAGCCATTTCTCTTGCAATTCTTTACCACAACGCTTTTGGTATTTGTGAAGGAGATATAAACAACATGCGATCTATTTGGAATCTTTTTGTTGATGTCTCTGTTGGTCGTGGTTGCAGTTCCGATGATGGCATTCTCGATGAGCGAACTAACAAGCCACGCTGGACTCGTACCTTGCACATGTGCAATAGTGCCCAATTGACAAGGCTTGAGCTTGAGATAAGAATCCGGGAGGATCGAATGGTCAGCAAAAAGTGCTAGATCTTGCTCAGGAACAGAAGTCATGGTTGGTTTCCATACACTGGTGCAGGCAGAAGCTGAAGATGAGGGATGCGCATTGTAACTTCACAAGAGGCCCACAATCACCAACCCACCTAACAAAACGTAGAATGTTGTAAAATAAAATGTTCATAAAAATGGATTACTTCTTAAAATTCAACGAAACGGAATAAGGACTTCAAGACATGCCTTGTGAAAAGTAGAAAATGGCAATTCTTTGGAAATCGTCTGTGTCGTGCTCTTTGGGTCCCTCAGGTTTTTCATTACTACTGAATGCTCAGTATGAAGGCCAGGGAACTATAAGCGAATGGGGGGGTCCACTCTGCCAAACAGAGGTTTCTACAAATAAGGTAATATTTATAGGACAATTCCATTACTGGATCATGCACCGACTCTTTTAGGCTTTTTGTAAGGAATGGCTCTGGCAACTCGGATAAATGAATGAGGGGGACAGCATGGAGGGTTATCATGGAAAACTCACACGAAATGCCGTGCGGAAGTCCTTCCAGACGGGATGACTAAGGCCAGTCTAGTAAGTAATTGGAATATTATTACTGTAAAAAAAGATTAAAAGCAAACAAGGGTTAATAAGAAGACGAAAACTACCACAAACTGTTATTTTCTAGATAGGGAACTGGAAATATTGATAACACTGGGACCGTCTTCTACTTGCATACTGGTTATCATGAGAGCTGCAGCGGCGCACGGCTCTTGACGTACATTAGATAGCCAAATTTTTTTCACAAAAGGGCATCTCAGGGAATTTAAATAATGCATAAGTATCACTAGGTTTTATTTTCTCGATTAGAGTTTGAGAGACCGTCTTTTCGATCAGATATTATCCAAGGCTATTGTTCGATATGTCAACGCTTGCCGAAAAACCTCTTGCAGATGAGACCAAGCTAGATAATGGCAGTATCGAGAGCCAACCAGTTGTGCAAGTTTATGAACATGACGATAAGGAAAGAAGACTAGAGGAAGGTGGGAACTTTCTTGACCGGATCGGGCTCAAGTTTAATGCCGAGATTAGAGGTGTGGAAAGGGTCCCTGAAGATAAGCGAGTCGATAGAAACTGGACTTCGCCTTTGACAATGTTCCTTTCGCCCAACATGTCTATTGCAGCTTTGAGTACTGGCATGTTGGGACCAACCTTCTATGATCTTGATTTCAGAACATGTATTCTAGTGATTGTCTTTTGGTCCATTATTGGGGCCATGCCAGTGGGTTTCTTCGCTACTTTTGGAGCAAAGTTCGGTCTTAGACAACAGATCCTTTCGAGGTATTTTGCCGGGAATGTCATGGGTCGTATCTTTGCCTTGTTTAATGTCATTTCGTGCTGCGGTTGGAATGCTGTCAACATTCTTCCCTCGGTGCAGATGCTAGCATCAATAGGCCCACTCCCACCATGGGCAGGGTGCTTGATTCTCGTGGTAATCACATGTTTCGTTGCACTTCTCGGTTACAAGGCGATTCACTTGTATGAACGGTATTCGTGGATCCCAAATCTAGCGATCTATTTAGTGATAATCGCTAGGTTGTCAATGCTGAAGAATTTCACTTGGGGCACTATGGTAGGCGGTAAACAACAAGCAGGAAACGTTCTTAGTTTTATTGGCGTTGTCTTTGGATTTACTGCTGGTTGGTCACCCTCTTCAGCTGACTACTTTGTGTATATGCCTGCTGATACTCCATCATGGAAGATTTTCACTTGCATGGTGGTTGGACTTAGCACTCCATGTATCTTTACCTTGATCCTTGGAGCAGCATGCGCTATGGGTACATTGACAGATCCGACTTGGAAAGCGGCGTTTGATGATAACTCCGTGGGCGGGTTGGTTAACATGATCTTGAATGTCAATAACCTTCACGGATTTGGCAAGTTCTGTATGGTATTGTTAGGGTTATCGTCTATTGCCAACAACTTACCGGGGTCGTACTCATTGGCATTAGCAGTACAGGCGATATGGCTGCCGTTGGCCAGATTCCCTAGGTTAGGCTGGTGCTTGATAGGGAACTTTGTATCGCTCGGGCTAGCGATCCCAGCGTATTACGTGTTTTCAGAAACCATGAGCAACTTTCTAAGCATCATCGGCTACAATGTGGCTATCTACCTCGGTATCTCACTTGCGGAGCACTTCATCTATAGAAGAGGCTTTCAAGGCTATGATATCACAAACTACAATGACCGGGGTAGTATTCCTGTGGGATACGCTGGGATCAGCGGGTTCCTTTTCGGGGTTGCTTCCACGGTATTGCTGATGAACCAAACATGGTATCAATCAGTGATCGCTCGCAAGTTTGGCTCTGGCGGCGGCGACATTCTGTTTGAGCTAAACATTGTTTTTTCGTTTGTGGGTTACAACCTTGTGCGACCATTGGAAAAAAAGTACTTTGGCCGATAAAGCCTCAGGTAGGTGGTAATTGAGCAAGCAGAGAGAGAAAAAAAGAAGGCTGTCATCCTGGCGGCGTCGAGGGTTGGAATGGACCACCCTTTCGAGAACAAAGGCAAGGGGAGACCAAGTACAAGATAAATACACGGAGAGGACAGAAAAAAAAAAACGGGTAGAACGGCTGGAACGGGTAAATAATACTCTAAAAGTCAACACGGCGTCTCTAAGGTTATTTTTATTCTTGGTCCATGAATGGAATCTCTGTTTTGGGCCAGAGGCGGCACGGTTGGTAACTAACCGCAAGACAAAAAAAAAAAAAAAAAAAAAATACGACCCAGCCTGCACCTCCTGATGTGGCACAATTTGACTCAGCCTAGCACCGGTGCGGACGAAGCCTTATCACAGCCCCATTGACAGTGCCAACGTGGGAAGGCCCATTTAATTAGCTGGGGCACAAGGGGAAGTCAAAACAAGTTCATGAGACGAGGAAAAGTATCCACACTCCCCGTCCCTTTATTGCCCTGAACAATCGTCTGAATTGAATCTGCCGCTGTACAGGCATTTACGAAGCTAGCCAAGGTTACTTGCAGGGTGATGCCATACTTTTTTTTTTTATTCCGGTCTTTATTCAATTATTTACCCTTTGTTCGCCTGGGCGTGCGTGGGCGATGTGATAGACCTGGCCAGGGCTTAAGCGCCTTTGCCCATAAACGGTGCTTTTATAAGCACGCTATTTTGCCTCAAGTGATATATCTCTTTTTCGTTTTTTCTCTGTTTGATTGGTACTTCCTTGAATTCTTTGCTTTATTATAGACAATGTTGCCCTCTCGTCTTCGGCACTATCTTCGACACGAGACCGTGCTTCTTGTGGTGGCTGCGCTTTCCTTAGTGCTTCTACTATTGCAGTTGGCCGAGTACGATGACCTGAGCATCACTGATGCCTTTCGTAAGGCCTCCTTTTCCTTAGGCCCAGACAAACTCATCAACGGTGTGGGTAGTGGAGCTTACATTGAACAGGAGGTGCTGCCTCTCCATAGATCCATTCTTCTACCGGCGGGATGGAAGTTCGATAAGTCGTCACTCCGAAGACATCTACAAAACTCTGCTAGTAGGAACTGGCGGATCGTGCAGCCAAAGAAACCTCTACAACGCAGCCCGAATAAGTCCAGATCGAGATTCGTGCCCCATGAGCCTTTCACCTTGTTTCACTCGGCTGAAAACTTGCCCAAGGACCAGTGTGAACATCGCCTTAACGATACCATTGATAACTTGGAAGTGAACTCTCGTGAAACCCTTCCAGGTAACTTCACCCATATTCTTCAAGTGTTGGTGGAGGAGCATGATGAATATAAAGATCCTTACTACCAGGAAATATCCCCACTTTTCATGAAAAGCACCAGGATCGCTCTTGATAAAGAGCTCGTTAGTGCCTTCTGGTACCGTTTATCGGGATCTTCCGTGTGGCTCAAGGATCACAATGTGCATTTACTCGTCTCAAGATTCCTTTACTCGGAGCATAAGAAAAGGAATGATCCTAAAGCCAGTTTTGTCTTGGTACAAGTTTTTGATAAAGATTGGAAAGAGCTCAGAGACGTACAGCTTGTTTTCCCAACTAACAACCTTGACCATCCTGATGCTCCAGGTTTTGATGCGGACGGTCAACGTTTCCATTCATACCGTTTCCCTCGTCTCATGCCTATCCCATTCTTCAACGACTACGGAACCTCAGGAACAAAGTACTTGGGCCCAGAGGATCCTCGTGTAGTGATGATAAAAAATCCAAAGGGTTATGAAGAGCCACTTATCGTGTTCAATGCTGAACATCATAAAATGGTCAAGGACAAAAATGGAAAAGAGGAGGATAACAAATTCCGCTCCATGTTCATTTCAAGACTTTTCCAATTGCAGAAAGGCAAAGGCGGAGTCGAGACAAATGTTCGACCTCTCACAGATAGCATGTACTTCACTAGGACTGATGAGATGGGTATCAAGGGCTCTAAGCGGGCAAGAAAGGCAAAGAATTGGACTCCAATGATAAGTGATATTGATAGGGAAAAGAATGGAGGTTATGACACATCTGTTCTTTTTACCACGCAACTCAAAAACTTGGCCGTTATCAAGTGTGATTTATTTGATAAACCGGGAGAATGTGAAGAGGTTTACAAAAGAGATGGCGATCTCGGTGAGATGCGTGGAGGAACCCCACTCTTGAGTGTGAATTCTGTCTTCAGAGAAAATGGCGTTGCCATCGATCAGATGCTTCCGCCAGGAAGGGAGATATTTGTTGGCTTTGCAAGAGCCCACTTGTCGAATTGCGGGTGTGGTTCATCATTCTACAGACCCAATCTTATGGTTTTAACAAAAGACGAAGTCACAACGACAGTCGACGATGAAAAGGTGACCAAGTTCTTTTACAAGATATCGCATATTTCAGGATTCTTATCCTTGCATGTCCCTATTGACCCATGGCACATTGATAAGCCATATGCCAAGTGCCAGGGAGTTAACGCGTTGATTCCGAATGGAGTCTCCGATTGGCAAATGGAGCCACTTGATATTGTCAATGGCCAATGGGCGGTCAAAGATAAAATGTCAATTGCATTTTCTGTGTCAGATTTCAGTGTTGACCGGGTTGAGGTGAAGGGTATTCTTCAAGCACTTCTTACCGTTGCTGATAAGTCCCTCTTCTTATCGCCTCCAGGTATTAACCAGGATGAGTTAGAGGCTTTCTTACCGCGTCTCAACCTGGAGGGCAATCTCGACGAAGCAGTACCTGGCTACTCAAATACGAATGTCGAATGCGCTGTCCAAAGTGGAAAGGGCTTCTGTAAGAAGTTTGGACAGTCGGAGCTGGTTATTGAAGATGAACACAGACATGAAGACACCTCCATTTACAAGGCCATCTATGATAGCAAAGTGAAAGAGTACGACGAAGCATTCAAAGATGCCGAGAATGAAAAAGGCCCATTTTATTGAAAATCGTGGGAAATCTATACTTTATACAACATTTTAGTCTAGTATCCTTCGCATGTATACTCCGGTCGCAATCTTGTGCTTGCCGATGGGGGCCCTCGGTACCTTTATTCCGCGGACTCTGATACAGTCTTTACCCCGCGAAAAAGGGTCTATTTAAATAGGAGCCATATATTTATTCAACCGTTAATTAGAGATGATTCCTGAAACTTCTACAGCATACCAATACAAGACTAAAGTAGCTCCAGCATCTTTCCCAAGAGTCTACAGAGGCATTAAAGAAGGCGTTCGCAGAGATATCCTTAAAGTATGCTACAGAAAGTACACAACCAAGCTCACTAATGATGATAACCTCCCGTCGTTCAACCTTGTGTTTCTCCACGGCACTGGTATGAATAAAGGCATGTGGCACTCTCTTATTGATCAATTATATAACCAAGGGAAAGCTAGTGGAGTATTTATTAATACCTGCTTGGCAATCGATGCCGTGAACCACGGAGAGTCTGCCGAGGCTAATAAGGAGTACTTGGGAGACGGGTTTGACTGGAGAGACGGATCTTACGATGTACTCAAGGTTGCTGAAGTGGAACGTGATACCTTATTGGATTCCTCCTCGAAGAATATTATTATTGGCCATTCCATGGGCGGTATGATGTCTCTATATGTGTCATATTTGCAGCCACAATTGTTCGACTCATGCGTGGTTATTAATCCAGTTTCTTACCGTCATGAGGGCGTTACAATAATTAGAGATACTTTGGCTCCAATGGGGTACATGGAGACCCAGTTTGATGTTCCCGCTGATAAGAGCTGGGAAGAGGTTGTGCATGCTTTCATGAGAGGGCAGTCATTCTTTAAGAGATTTGATGAGACTGTGTTGAAGAATATGATTGACGATGAAGTTCCTAATGATTTATACGGCAAAAAGGTTGATAAGATCGCCTTGAGAACTTCCAAAGAAGCTGCCTTGGCCACCTATCTCGGGTCTAACGAGGCATTGCCACCTATGGGAGCAGTTCTTCCATATATTAGAATTCCGGTAATCAGGTTTCTCTCTGAAAAGGATTCTGCTTCTGAGGAAGATAGGGAGCAGTTGGCTACGGATGTGAAGACTTTGGAGACAGTCGACTTCCCAGGCAAGAGACACATTTTGAACGGTGAAGACCCTGAGTTGACTGTCAAACATCTACTCGAAGTATTCCAAAAGCGGTCTCGTGCGCCACCCACAAAATTTCCATTTATTAGTATTCAACCCAAATTATGATTTCCAAAAGGATATATAGACAATCGATATAAGGTCACGTGCAAGATTTACGAATGTGGACTTGATGGTGAGGCTCGCTTAACAAAAAAAAAAAAAAAAGTTGCGTTTCAATCTCATCTCAAGCATCGCAACGTCAAACTCTCTCAGTTTACCTCGAGTAAAACAACACAATGACAAGAAGAGAAACTATAATTGCTTACGTGGCAGAATTCCTTAACTCTGACAAGGATTTGGTAAAGGTTGCTAAAGCCTTGAACAACTACGTGAAGAAGGAAAAGCTTCAATTACCATCTGTGGCTGGTGACCTTGCCTCGTTGCTTTCACTGAGTGACTTGGACGACATTGAAATGAAGGATGGTGATTCCTCAAGTGATTCTGAATCCAGCTCTAGCTCGAGCAGCTCGGACTCTGATGGTGAAGCTGATAGTGAGTCGAGCTCCAGCTCTGAATCCGAGTCCGACGACGAGTCGGACGACGAGGATGCTAAATCAGTAACTGAATCGATTTCAGACACTGAACTCAAGCTTAGCGAGAAGAAGGACTTGGAAAAGAAAAAGAAGAAATCAAGTTCTAGCAGCTCCGAGTCCGATTCCGACTCTAGCTCCTCCTCCAGCTCTTCTTCCGGCTCTTCTTCCAGCTCCTCATCCAGCTCATCAAGCAGCTCTGATTCGAGTGACTCTGAATCTGAGGATGAAAAGAAGGTAGTAAAGAAGACGGCTGCTCCTGCTAGCCCAGAGTCTGATTCCGACTCAAGCTCGTCGAGCTCTTCTAGCTCTTCATCTTCATCGAGCTCCTCCTCCGACTCGAGCTCTAGTGATTCGGACTCAGATTCATCCTCCAGTTCCAGCTCCAGCTCCAGTTCTAGCTCTAGCTCCAGTTCTAGCTCTGGCTCATCCAGCTCCTCCAGCTCCTCCGACTCGTCGTCTGACTCCGACTCTAGCTCCAGTTCGGATTCCGATTCCGATTCTGACTCAAAAGATTCGAAGAAATCTGGTACATCATCTAGCTTCCCAAAGAAGCGCTCTAGCAACTTTGACGACAACGTGAGCAAAAAGGCTAAGAATCTTATTGCTGCAACTCCAGAGCCAGAGCTTCAGGAAGGTCAAAGAAAGCACTTCTCTAGAATCGACAGGTCCAAGATTGCTTTTGAGGACACAACCTTGCAAGACAACACCTATAAAGGTGCTGCTGGTACTTGGGGTGAAATGGCCAACGACAGATTGATGCAGGTTAGGGGCAAAGACTTCACCAAGAACAAGAACAAGATGAAGAAAGGTTCTTATAGAGGTGGCTCTATCACCATGGCATCTGGCTCTTACAAGTTCACTGATTAGGCAGTTTTGCGTCCAGGCCTCATTGCATCACAAACTCAGCATAGTATATAGATAAGACAGTCTCGATATACGATTCTGGCTTGATATAATTCGTTTTTTTATACTCAAATTTTCTTTTGAGTATATATTTATTAATTTAAGGTGTTCTTATAATTGCCGTAACATCATCACGTAGTATCTGTATAGTAGTAAAGGTGCGCATACATATTACAAATCGAACCTTGAACTTAAGTTGCCTCCCTCACCCAGTGCTCTTTTGCTATCGCTATGTCTAGGGTCAACTACGCCGATCTTGAGAGGGGTAACTTCTCAGACGATTCGTATGATTCGTACGATGAAGAGATTAGCTCCAAGAAGAACGCGGACGATGACTATGAGTATGGTGGGCAGGCAAGGAAGAGAAAGCCAGGGGCATCAAAGCAACGAACATCCAAGAAGGCTGGTAATGACATGCCAGCTGCTGCTAACAAAAGAGTTAAGGTTCAGGAAGCTGTGGAGACCATCAACGATCAGCTTAGTGATGATGACTTTCCCAGTGAGCAGTTGGTAGAGGTGACCCCAGAGATTCCTTCGGACTATGTTCCAGATGCCGTGTCAAAGGTATTTGGCAGGCAAGACTTCTCCTACCTCAAGCTTAAACCAGACCACTTTTCACGTCCGATTTGGATTACCCCCACGGATGGAAGAATCATCCTTGAGTCTTTCTCGCCTTTGGCAGAACAAGCACTGGACTTCCTCATCACAGTTGCCGAGCCACGCTCTAGACCTTCCCATATTCATGAATACTCTATCACATCTTACTCCTTATATGCTGCTGTGTCTGTGGGTCTTGAACCAGATGATATTATTTCCGTCTTGACTAGATTGTCAAAAACACCGGTCCCAGACTCATTCTTGAACTTTATTCGCCAGGCAACAATAAAGTTTGGTAAGGTGAAGCTCGTTTTGAAGCATAACAGATACTTTGTTGAGAGTACTCAAGCTGATATCTTACAGATGCTTCTAACTGACCCCGTCATTGGTCCACTCCGTATCACTCCAGAAAGCGAGAAGTCCGCAGCTGATGCTGATTCATCCAATAAGACTCAGGATGCACAGGACGCAAATAAAAATAGTAGTGGAGAGGGTGGTGATAAGAAGGTTGAAGATATATTCGATTCAGTTGTGGGAAAGAAGTCAGAGGATGACGACGACGACTTGGATGCGGTTCACTCATTTGAGATCGCGAGTGATTCTGTGGAAATCGTTAAGAAACGTCTTTACGAGATCGAGTATCCCGTTTTGGAAGAGTACGATTTCAGAAACGATAAAAGAAATGCCAACTTGGATATTGATTTGAAGCCTTCTACCCAAATCAGACCTTATCAAGAAAAGTCTCTTTCTAAGATGTTCGGTAACGGTCGTGCTAGGTCGGGTATTATTGTGCTACCATGTGGTGCCGGTAAGACGCTTGTTGGCATTACTGCTGCATGTACGATCAAGAAATCTGTTATCGTTCTTTGCACTTCGTCTGTGTCTGTGATGCAATGGAGACAGCAGTTCTTGCAATGGTGTACGATTCAACCCGAGAATATCGCAGTCTTCACTTCCGAGAATAAGGAGATGTTCAGCAGTGATGCTGGTTTGGTGGTATCAACGTACTCAATGGTGGCAAACACCAGGAATCGTTCCCACGATTCTCAAAAGGTTATGGACTTCTTGACTGGAAGGGAATGGGGTTTCGTTATTCTTGACGAAGTGCACGTCGTGCCAGCAGCGATGTTCAGAAGAGTTGTGAGTACAATCGCCGCCCATGCAAAGCTTGGTCTAACAGCCACCTTGGTTCGTGAAGACGAGAAAATTTATGATTTGAATTTCTTGATCGGACCCAAGTTGTATGAGGCCAATTGGATGGAACTTGCTCAAAAGGGACATATTGCTAACGTTCAGTGTGCCGAAGTTTGGTGTCCGATGACAGCTGAATTCTACCAGGAATATCTTCGTGAGTCCTCGCGTAAGAGGATGCTTTTGTACATTATGAACCCCACCAAGTTCCAAGCATGTCAATTCTTGATTCATTACCACGAAAAGCGAGGCGACAAGATCATCGTCTTCAGTGATAATGTTTATGCATTACAAGAATATGCTCTCAAACTAGGAAAACCATTCATTTATGGTTCAACTCCTCAGCAAGAGCGTATGACGATTCTTCAAAACTTTCAGCATAACGATCAAGTCAACACCATCTTCCTCTCGAAAGTGGGTGACACTTCTATTGATCTACCAGAAGCTACGTGTTTGATTCAAATTTCATCGCATTATGGATCCAGAAGACAAGAAGCTCAAAGACTAGGGCGTATTTTGAGAGCAAAGAGACGTAATGACGAAGGTTTCAATGCTTTCTTTTACTCGTTGGTCTCTAAAGACACACAAGAAATGTATTATTCTACAAAGCGTCAGGCGTTCCTTGTTGATCAAGGTTATGCTTTCAAGGTTATTACACATTTATCAGGAATGGAACAACTTCCTGATTTAGCATATGCCTCTGCCAGAGAGAGGCGAGAGCTCTTACAACAAGTCTTGCTTAAGAATGAGGATGCAGCAGGCGTTGAAGTTGGTGATGACGAGGACACAAACTTTATGCCAAAGAGCGGTCGTCCAAAAGCCGAAGCAAGTAGCGCTTCTAGAAGCGCTGGATCTCTCGCTGGATTGGCGGGAGGAGAGGACATGGCGTACATTGAGTACAGCAAAAACAAGAACAAGGAATTAAGGGAACATCATCCTCTCATTCAGAAGATGTACTACAAAAAGAAGAAGTGAGAAGTTTCATTACAGTTCTATTATTTAGTCATAGGAAGAGCTGACAAAGTTTCCAAAGTCATCATCATCAGAAGCGGGTGTGTTTTCTCGCAGCTCTTTTTCACTGATAGTTAAGTCATTCAAGATTTTGTGCTGTAGTTTCGAAAGATGTTTATCGTAAAGATACTTCTCTTGGTAGGCCTTGAAGCGTCTCCGGTAAATGCCGATACTTTCTGAGAAAGACATGGCATTGAAGGAATCTTCGAACTTCATTCCCAAAGCCACTTGGAGCACTGACTGTTTCTCAGAGGCTTTCTTTTGTGGGAAAGGGTGGTATCCAGATCCCGGTAGCTGTAACACTATCCTGTAGTACTTAGGAGATTCCGGCGTCATTTTGACAGCGTCACCGCCATCGTTAGCTATTGAGCATTCTATCCCTAGCTCACGAAAAGGATTATACCATGATTCTGCCCACACATGTTCTTTTCCCAATTCGTTGAATTCGTCCAGAAGCCCACCCGTCAGTTCCTGATTGTAAAAATCTAGCTTTAGGCGTAAGACCTGGTATGGCTCTTTCTCAACACGGGAGTCGTCTTCGGCCACCTCTTCCTCTTCTATTAGTCTTAAGCTACCACGCCAAACGACATTTGATCCCTTGGTTTCCCATCGGGAGAGTGAAACGTCGCCTGGCGGTATCTTGAACACCAGCACATTGTGCGTGTCGAATAACTGATTAGTCACGATTGACATTTAGGGGTCTCTGAATATGTGAAATGGATAAGTCGCCGACTAACAGAGTCTATATGGGTTATACGGCGCAGTTATGTACCCGAAAATGTTTCGTCTTATTTGTAATGGCTTCAGTGTAAGCAATTGCTTAACCCGCTATGCGGTATCTAGTCCAAGAACAACTTTCCTGCAGTGAAAGGGACCCACCTACCGAAGCGAATAAAAGTCCGGCGAGTTATATAGCCGAGCATAAGAATAAGAAACCGGGAGCCACAGTTGGCATTCTTTAAAAGAAGGTATTTTAGAGTAAAAGTTTATTCGTTGACTAAGTACGTAAATGGTTGTTCGTGTTTTTGGGGCATTTCTGAATACAAAGCTACTTTGACCCTAACCATTTAAATGAATTGCAATATGAAGAATTTTTTAATCGACATGTTTCTCTAAGGTAAGCCAGTACCTAAGAACGATCTATTGCCTTTGCCAATTCTTGGTGGAATGCTTAGCCATTATGGGTACACCTATTAACCCTCCCAGGGAAATTTTCCAGGGCGTGTTTCGCACGACCAAATCTTTTCATTATCCTCACCTACATCGATCAGTGCTACTGTAACGGAACCACCAAATAATGTTCAAAAGCCTGGTTGTGAAGAGCATACAGCTCGGCAGATTCATGCCTGTGGGCTCTGTTCCCAGAATGCTTTCGTCTCTGCTGCGTAACATGAGCGTTTTCGATGAGCTCAAGAACCTGGAATCGGCAACGAAGAAGAACGCAAGCACGATTTTCGATATCGATGAGTTGATCGCCAACTCTCCTGGTTTGCAAACCAACCACGAGCTTGGGCTGAACTATGATAGCTATGCTTTTGGAAACACAGAAAAGCACCCTAGGGACGTTGCAAAAGAACTCAGTTTAACTGGTACTCAAGCAGGTAGAACTGTTGAGGTAAAGCAGGGAAACGTCTCCCAATCCTTGAAGGTTCTTTTCAGATTGCTTCGTGACGAGCTGATTATTAGCATGAAATTCCGTCAAAAGAGACATCTCAGACCAGCTCTTCTCCATGACAGGAAACATAGACTATGGTGGAGAAAGAACTTTGCAGCTAGATTCTCAGAGTTGTTGGGCCAGGTCCGTGATGCCAAAAGAAGAGGCTACTAATACCTTCTACTCCATGTAAATATTAACGCATTCAAGATAAAATGAGACCGTGTGTAGTAATTCGATATTCATAAGTACTTACGCTACTTCAGTGAGTCAATAATGGGATTTATTAGTATATGCTAATTTTTCTTATGGCCATTGCCATTGTTGTAGTTATTATTCTTCTTCGCCGCCTTCTTATCCTTGAAGTCCTTCTTGTTGTTCTGCTTGTGAGTTCTTGGCTCTAAATGAACCACCACGTTTCCAACAGTAAGCTCCTTAGCTTCCAAAGCCTTTTGCTGGAACTCCTTCTCCTTGAAGTCACATAAAGCGACTCTCTGATTCTTCTTGAAAAATTTCATCTCACCAAAAGTCTTAGTCAATGCACTTCTCAACTGCTCTTCGTCAACGTCGGCATCTCTGATATAAATTGGATACCATTCCTCCTTCTTGGACTTCGAGCTTTGCTGCTGTTGAGGCTGCTGCTGGTTGGATGCAGCGCCCTGGGCTGGAGAAGCTGGTTTCTTCACAGTTGGAGATGGAGCTGGAACGTTCTTGGCAGCTCCTGGCGAAGAAACAGTGGCAGTCTTCGATGTAGGAACCTTGGGCTGCATAGCAGCTAAATTGGCCCACGTAGGTTTTGGAGCTGGGGCAGCAGGCTGAGCTGGAGCAGAAGTTGGAGTAGCATCCTTCTTTGGCGCAGCGGACTCAGCACCAGCATCCTTAGTCTCTTCGGTTCCAGCGGCAGGCTTTTTGGAAGCCTTCTCCTCCTTTGGTGTCACCTTTGGTACCGTCTCATTAACAACCTCTTCTTCCTTCTTTTCGGCAGTAGCCAAAGGAGCGTCGTCCTTGGTAGCCTTCGAAACTTCGGCGTCTGCTTCACTTGCGCTTTCAACTTCTGGCTTTTCGGCTTCGACAGGTGCCTTGCCGTTTGGGGTTTCTGGCTGCTGTACGACAACCAGTGGTTGTTCGAAGCTTTCAGAAAGATCGACGAACTTCAACATGTCGTTAGCAACGTCAAACAAATTGGTACCAGCAGGCTTCAACACAAAGGTTTGGACAAACTGCCAAAGACTGGAGGATCCACGCTTCCAGGAACCGCAGACAACGATCAAGATGCTGTTCTCAACAGAGGACTGGAAGTCGGCCCTTTCGATAACAATCTTGTTCTTCTCAGAGTTGTTGCTTTGCTCCAAAAAGTGCTTCTGGATAGACTCGGTTCCGTTGGCGAGATGAACAGTCTTGGGGACTGGAGCTTCGGACTCACTTGACTCGCTTGGAAATGCATCGTGCAAGAGAGATGCATTCTTGTCGTAGAAACCGTAAAGCTTTTGCAACTCCGAAGTGTAGGTTCCGTAGTAGTTCTTGACAAACAACCAGCCAATCTCTTCGATGGAAACAGAGTCTGTCTTATTATCTGGGACGGTCATTCTATAGTCAATCTATGGGTTAATGCAAATGCGGGAAGGGGTAACCAATTATTCAAGAAGTAATATAATATAAAAAGATATGATACCTTAAGGCGGGATTAGGCTTGCTTATGTTCACAGGCAAAGATGACGATTAACTTGTCTCAAAGCTTGGTGGTAACGGGTGTTGGTGGATTCGATGAATGGAAAATCGAAAAAAAAAAAAATGGATCAGTGCGGCACACAGGCGACGATCAAGCCAAAGGCCACCATCTGGTTCTTTTCAAGAAAGTATAACATTCTGAAAATTTATTCGTAAATCAATATTCCAGTTGATTTCTTACATTTTTAATTTAGTTTTTCTTATTTTTTTTGCCGCAACGAGTTCTTCTGGAAGAATTACACGGACCTGTTTATCGTCGTTGAAGCTGAAAAAGAAAGAAAAATGTACAAGCAGTATAACGAACAACAGAGGCGTTCAAAGATTGATTTCAATTTCTTCATGGCTTACCATGGGCATTTCAAACGGTAAGAAGCTGCTTGCTCCTTCGATAGATGTTATTATAGCCCCTTCTCTGTCAAGGTTTATCATGATATCCACTGTCATTTGGTATGCAATCTTGATATTTCCCAAGCTTTATTCTCTTTCCTGTTTTCTTTTTTTTTTTAAAAAAAAAAAATTCTTCCTATGATTATCGTTTTTTATTCCTTCTTCTATGTAGTAAGAATAGCTTGATATTTCTAGACCGGAGAAGTTTCTCTCACTTATCTACCTACTTATTGAGAAAATCAGGGTTTGCTGATAAAGCATATTGCTTGCTTATGGGACTTCTAAATTTAATGATATGAACGCTAGATCCGTGTGCGTCTTAGTTGGATTCCTTCAACAACTCCTCCAAGATTTTGTTCTCTAATTCTGCTCTGTTACTCACTCCATCGAAACTCTTCACTCCCATTCTTCTCAAAACATCAATGGAAGTGGCTCTCTGGAATCCCATATTTTCGAATTGGCTGACAATGCCCTCATCAATTCCATAGAGGGCAGCATCGCTAACCTCGGTTTTTCCAACCGCACTCTCGTCAGCAGCGTAAAGCTTGGTCCAATAAGCTGCAGTGTCTTCGAATCCTTTCTTGTTGGTGATATAATGCTTGGCAACTTCAGCATCCTGTGGATCATTGGGCTCTGGGGACTGGAGCAATGATTGCAATGAAATCAAGGAAGATTTCAAAGTCAAGATTGGGGTCCAGGCATCCTTCAAAATATCCAAGCAAATGGCACCCGTAACGGATGAAATATTGGGGTGATAGATCTTAGTGTTGAACTTCATCACAGGTGGCTTGAAAGGGTACTCATTTGGAATGACGATGTCAACTTTGAACACGCCCTTCTCATATGGTGTACCCGGTGGACCCTGGAAAAGTCCAATAAGATGAGTCAAGTCACTTTCGTTGACGAGTTCAAGATTCACTCCACTTTGGGTATCTTGACGACATTCTTCAAGTTCCTTGGCGATTCTCTTTACTCTTGACATCTTTTGAAGTCGGTGAGCTGATTGCCTTTGACTTTCGCATACTACTGTTGAGGCCTCCGATACACTGTCGTGCGCACATCAACCAGGCTGTCAGTTGCTTCGCTCTAGACAAGGCACTAGTTATCGTTAATGCATCTATTAGAAATAGCTAATATACAAAATAAAAGTGGGGTCGTCAGATTATTGGCTGACACCCTTGAATGCTCGTAACAACGTATCTAAAACCACCCGAACTTCTTGCGGTGCGGTTTTGATGAATGGCAATGATGCGAGGTTTTGTTTTCCATTGCACAAAATCTCTTTGGCAACAGCCGTAAGACCCCATGGCCTAGGTCTCACAACAGCTCTTTCGAGGATTACCCTCAAAACGATCTCTTGAACCTCGTTTTGAATAACGTCAGAATTCCAATTGGCCTCGTTGAATAAATGAACAAGAAGCTGGACGGACCACACAGTGTGGCTATTTGGATATCTGAGCTGATTCACAACGGCGCACATAAGATGATAACGGAACTCTGTAGAACCGATGTTCAAGAGGTCCACGACTAGACTAGCGTGCGACGATTGCGGACTGAAAGCTGATCCATTCTTTTGGGAACGTTCCTCAATGGCAGATGTCGTAACGTGCAACACCAAGGCGTTGATGAGCTTAACATTGTAATGAACCACTTCGAAGCCGTAATCCGCAGAGTCCTTTGGATGGTTCAATTTGGTGCCAGCGTGAATCGAACGCATTAAGCCTGGCGCCGGGATTCTCAAGTAATTATCCACTGGCTTCTTCAAGCCAACCTTCACAAGATCGTCCATCGGGTTGTAGAACACTGATGGATCTAAATCACTTCCATTAGTCTCGTTAAGGTTAAGATCGGTGCTATGTGGATCTTCAGCGACCAAACCATTTGGTGTCGCAGATAATAGCACGTTGCGAAGTTGAATATAGTTTGAAGGGATAGCGCTTATCAACTGGTAGTGACATTCCACGACAAATTCGGGGTAATCATGACTTAATGCGACGAATATGCGGCTGATGGCTCTGTATATCACGCTAATAACATCCGTCTGGCTCGACTCGTCCCTCGAATAGACATTCTGGAATTTCAAAAGCGCTGTCAAAAGTCGAGCTGCCGCAGCATAGCCAGCCTTGTTAGGAAGTTCAATGAGCTTGGGGAGGAACATGCGGTGAGAAATCAAAGGAATCCAAGCAAAAGCGAAACCCGGATAAACCGTGGGTTGAAGACTGTTAAACACGTCGCTCAATACAGGGAAGAATCTTTCATCAAGATGAGCAGTAGCGTTGACATCATGAATGGATGCGTCAGCGTAAGTGCACATCATGGTCGAAAAGATTCTGAAGTATGCTCTTTCATTCCAGTTTGTGTTAGCAAGTTCATGCTCTTCAATTAATACCAACGAGATAACTCCAATAACGGTCTTCAACCATTCGGTCGCGTTACTGGCATCTGAAGGAGTGAACCTCAATACAACCCTCACAATTAAAATTGCAAGGCAATCAACAGCCAAGTAAACCTCGCGCTGTGTACGGCTCCTGATTTCGTGTTCCGCAGCAAAAGCACCTGTTGCAATCTCAGTTGCAGCTTTGAAGAAAACTTCCACCTTTGACGGTTCCGTCAAAAATCCAGCATGGAAGAGCGCATCAAGGAAGTTCTTCTGTAAGGGAATGGCCTCATCACCATGGCCAAGTAGCTTCGTCCACTCTGCAAATAAGTAGCCACTTTGCACATACATGCTTGGTGGTTTACTTGCGATGCTTGGAAGAGCAGGAATAGCGGACTTGCTGAGGAAATCGAATAATTCATCACGAGCAGCGATAGCCTGTGAACTTTCATTTGTAGTCTCGTCAGCTTTATACTGTGAGAGAGCTGCAAGCGTGACGGCGAAGTCAGACCTCAAAGCAATTGGACGAGGTTCTTCGGCACTGAAAACCTTCAACAAAAGAGTTGCTGCGAACTTGACAAGGACGGGACTTTGTGACTCCTGGATCAACTTTCCAATAGGACCATCGAGCTTCGTAGGGTTTACCAACTGCACCTTCATCAACGAGAAGATCACAGGCATATTGAACTTCCTCTGATCCACAGAGTGAACCATCCACCAAGTTACATCTTTGGCAGTCGATGGGGAGTACTCGCACAAACGATCCAACACAACAACGAAGATTTCACTACTCATTGGGTTCTCGTGGGTTTGTGTGAACAAACAATTAACAGCGTATTGAGCGACCTTAAGTAGTAAGTCTGGGTGTTTCAATGCATTGCTCTGACAAAGGCTCAAAGCCTGTGAAACAGTTTGCAATATTGGATGATCGGCAGGGAGCTCACTAAGATTGTTCTCCTTCACAGACCCTAACATTTGGATAGTCTTCTCGCACATCTGGGTGATCATAGCACACAACTGGTCGACAGTGGCCATGTCATCGTTTTGCATGACAGCAGAGGCCTGCTGAGGAGTGACTTGAGATGGAACACTGCCCCTACCAGAGGATCCATCATGCGCTGGAACTTGAGAAAGATTATTCGCATTAAGAGGAATGGGTTGAGCACCAGGAGTCTGAGCCGCCTGTTGATGTACCTGGGGCTGTGGAACTGAAAGCTGTGGTGTCTGCCTCTGGGCACTTTGTTGTTCCGGCCTATTGATGGTGTTTGATCCGAACGAATAGTAAATGTTCAATTGAGAATCACGCAAACCATCCTGTTGTAAACCCAATGGCGGTGGTAACTGAAGAGCATAATCAGAAGCGTTTTCACTGCGGAAATGCTCTCCGGGAGGGATCACTTCTCTAGCATGGACCTGGGACCGCATCCGTTCCTCAATGAGCTCACCAATGTTGCTGGCTGCCAACTTTTCGACTATTTCAACACATAAGTCAACATTACTTTGAATGGCAACACTAAGTTCGTTCAATGGAAGTTCGTTAGGGTTAACTTGGTTACTCAACAACTGGAGCATGGTAGCCTCAATGGTTTCGATCAATATTTTGCGTCCTGTGCAGACGACCATACTGTGGGTGAGTTGTTGAGCGAGGATAAGATATGCCTTTCTGAACTTGGCGACATCACCTTCCGTAGCGAAGTCTTTCTTTACTAAAGCCTCTGTCGTTGTCAACACAGCCTCAGATACTCTGCTCAAAATTGGAACAGCACATTCACGTACAGCACGAGCCAACGAAGCTTGCAACGCCCTCCTGAGATTTGGATTTTGTGTGAAAACAGTGTTTCCGGTCAAGTTGCTGAAAGAAGCATCCAATTGATTCGAACCAGGAGGCTGAATTCCCTCTTCCTCAGGCTGTCTAGGTTGTTGGCTGACGTGTGGAGGAAGCTGCTGCTGTTGTTGCTGCTGTTGCTGCTGTTGCTGATGCTGTAACATTGCAGCCTGTTGCTGCATTTGATGCTGCAAATGTAAGTCCTGCTCCGGAACATCACTGGAGGCCCGGCCGAACCCGCCAGGTAAGCCATTGGGTTCTTGACGTATACCGAAGAGAGCAGCCAAGGCTTCTGGCTTCGGATTGTGCAGTCTGACAAGAGTAGATGGCTCTATCGACTTCACATTTAAGCCTAACGAATTCAAAAGCACCTCGATCTCAAACTTCAAATTCAACTTCAAATCCGCACATTCATACAACTCCACTAACACACTGGAAATACCCAAAACCCATGGATTTGGTGCCTTGAACACCTTGGAATAGCTCGCTTGATCCAAAACCTTGCAAACGAATGGAATAATAAGATGAAGTGTGTTAAAGTCGAACGCCTCCAAAAGAAGATACTTCAAGGCAATCTGATCTCTTTTGAGGGGCCTGTCATGGGCGAGAGTAATCTTTCCAAGCCAAGCACCTAGGTTCTTGGTTTGCGACCGCTCCATTGTAGTATCCTTGGACTTCCCCAAAAGTCGCTGAACCTCCAACAAGGTGGTATTGAGAACAATTTCATAAAGAAGAACATTGTGCAAGGAAAAGACCAATGATGCATATAAGCCATGGTTGTTTGGCTCTGTCTTAGCTCTCTCACTGACAAGGTATTTTGCAAACCACGAAAAGTACTTCTCCTGAAGAAGTTCTTTGATGTCAGGGATCTTGGAGTCAACATTGTCAGCGGTCATGTTGTTCACTGAGAATAAGAGCTTGTCCGAGACGCCCTCGTCCGGTTCCTCCTGAGTGACGAAACCCACATTTTTACTTAATTGAGCAATCGAGTTGTAAACCACTTTAGGCTCGTCTCTAACAGGCGTAGTAGTGTCTCCTCTACCACCTTGAGGGGCATTGGTATCTGGACAAGGAATTCCAACGGAGGCATCTTTGACGATTTGGTACATTTTTGCGTGGGCTGACAACGACTGGCATTTGAGTAAATGCTTGCAATACATTGGATACTCGTGTAGCCTGGACTTGAAATTGTACAAGGATTGGACTGCAAATTTGAACAAATGTGAATCCTGAGGCTGATTACAAGATTCCCAAATGAAATTGAGCGCAACAGTCAAGGTTGTGCCTTGAATTAAATCCTTCTGCAAGAGTGCTCCAAAAAGAAGGGATGTTGATGCCAAGGCCGTAAGCGGGTACTCTGAGAAGAAGCGGTATTCATCAATCAATGAATGGATCATGCATGCGAAAATGTCCTGATCGTGAGGGTTGTCGCTGGTCTTCATCCGGGATAGCATGTCGACGATTTCCTTGATCTCCACGTCTTTATTATACATCTTCGAGTAGTAGGCCTTCATTTCCTGTTCAACCTGAGTGGGGAAAATATTCGCGTACTGTTCTTCGTTAGCTAAAATCGCTTGGTCATGTCCTGTTCCAAAGTTAATAAGCCTTGGGTAGGTAGTAAGAAGTGACAACTGAAGATTCTTAAGATGGTCAGCATCAACAAATCCCTGAGACGACTTTACAATATCAAGCAAACGGTAAACAACCGAGACCTTCAAAGCCCTGCAGTTATCAAGGGGACGAGAATCCGCGGGTAACTGTTGTTGCTGTTGCTGCTGATCTTGTTGACCCTTTTCGAAATCTTGAGCGGTTCTAGCCTCCAAAAGCTCAAGTAATGCTGGATAAAAGGTAGTTCGCAAATTAGCGTCCTTTGAGTCCTTAGTGAGAACAGCTTCGAAATCATAGCCAAAATTGGTTGCCTCGATGAGGAAATTAAGGAAGAGGGCGTAATCCGTGGTACGAGCTTTCTGCAAAAGGTCTTCAATTAACCCCGAAGAAGTTGATGCCATGATTACTTTACTGAGCGCTTCTGGTTTTCTTCTGCTCGTGTAGTACTCGATGAGTTTTGCAATAGCAAGATTAACATCAAGTTCTTTAAACTTCCGCAAAACATCGCGAAGATGGCCAAGGTTAGCATCTTGAAGGGGCTTGTCCATGATAATAGCAAAAACCCTATCAATTCTATCAAGGACATAAAGCGATTTGTCTGGTATTGCCAATGCTCCAGCAATAACATGATGAGGCTGACTAGTGCAGTGGACCTCAAACATTTGTGCTAGCCAAAAGTCAAACTTCTTGTCACCCTCCGACTGCATTTGATTCTGTTGGGGTGTTTGAGAAGTAATCTTCGCCATGACCTGTACTTCGAGCTTGGCAATGTTCACAAACTTTAAGAGCTCTTGGTCTTGTTGTTCATTCTCATAGCATAGAGTGAGGTTCGAGGAATTGAGAATATCGAAAGCTCCGCGCTGTGTTGGCATCGATTGCAAGATGAAAAGAAGGGTTTTGTCGAACCACCAGTCATGTGTCAAGAAAATGTCTGCAAGGCCCTGTTTGAAATCAAGCGCCGAGAGAAATTGAGTAACACTCGCTAGCGAGGGCTGGCTGTTTCGTTTAGATGCATCAAAAAGATAGTCTTGGATGTGTGCAAAGATGTTGAACCAATTGAGGCTCAAAGAAGAATCAACATTTTTTAAACAAGCCTGCAATTGCGCACCCTTTGCATTAGCTTCAGGTAAATTATTGACAAACGTAAGAGCAGTGACACCGCCGTTGGTAGATGATATGCCCTGCGAGCCAGGAATTAAAACTTCGGCTAATAAAAGTGCAACGCTCTCATCAACTTCTCCGGCCTTGAGGTTCAAAAGTGATGGCAAGAGCTTCCTTGGTATCAAGTTCTCGGGTCCAATCTCTATCAAAAGATCTTTAAATGACATATCCAAAACTGAAGTTAAAAATGTGCGTACAGCAGTCAAGCTATCACCGTAAGCGTTAAAGTAGCCAAGTGATAAGACTTTGTAAAGGAAAGGAAAATTTCTCTGCTCTAAGATAAATTTAAGGAGTAAATTAATCCAAGATCTGTCGTCTGCTGAACTTCTGGAGTTTACAAGGTCTGAAACTGCAGCAAACTTTTCTGAGACGTACTTTTTGACTTGCTCTTTCTTATCTGGAAGAGCTTTTTCAGTGACTATGAGAAATTCGAGTAAAGGGTCGGTTTTAAACCTTGAAATGAACTCAAACGCTTCGAAATGTGGTGAAGTAACAGACTTAAGTTCAGCGATAAAAACCTCGTAATTCTCAGTGGAAGTGGAAAAGTTTTTAAGGATGCAATCTAAGATATTTTCAGCAGGCTTTTTAGTGGGGCCAAGTGCACTGCAAAAAACGAGGTAGAAAACTTTTCTGTAGAAGAAGGCGACAGTCCTGTTACACGCAGCAGTTTTCTCTGATCTATTCTCGTGCTTGAGAATATATTTAATCTGGTTGTAATTAGATTGCCAGTTTTCCGAATCAGCAGTGGTGATTAGAATACTAATTTGCAAAAGAATAACTTCCCGAACTTCGTAGTTGTTAACTTGCTCAAGATCTCTTCTCTCAATGTGAAGGGCAGTGGAAGACGAAGGTGAGTATTGGCCTGTGGCCCGTGTATATGCTTGCGAAGTCACTGTTCTCTAAGATTGTCTCGGCTAAGGACAGTGTAGCTGAGCTTTATGAAAAGTACACTGAAGCTGCCAAGACAAGGTTTGATAATTTCCAGAATGTGAGGCTTACTCGCAAATGAATACAGCTGGTTTGGGACTGCTAGTAGGCGATTGAATATCGGGAACTAGGTATGTTTCACTTTTTGATGAAAGTGGGGAGAATTCAGTATGCCTTTTAATGTATGTGATCAGTACTCACTACAAAATTTTGGCGAGTGAAGTTCGCATAGGGTTACCCGGCCAAAGGTATGTTGCCTAGTTAACACATAATGGGACATTATTAGCGTCAACGAAGTAAATTGAACGTTCAAAGCAAATTGATATTAAACTTTTATCCAGTAATAAGGCTTTTGTGATTTATTTATTTTGGTATATGTACATTTCGTTTTTTAGAGGTCTATATTTTCCAGAACCAGTAGTGAAGGCAAATCGCAAGTATACGCGAAATCTGAAAATGTGTCTTACGTAGGTAAATTAGAGTTGAATTTGGCATTGACTGTTGCAATACAACAAACGAAACAAAAAAAAAAAAAAGAAACAAAACCAAACAAAACAACATCGATAATCACCAGCATTTTTTTTTCTAAAGTAGTAACTACAATATTATCATTCCTTGAAACCGATTTCTTATTCTTTAATATATATACCCATTACCAATCCATAGCCTGACTTATTTCATTCCTGAGTGTCTCATCCTCTAATTTTTCAAATGCCTTCTTCAAGTAAAACTTAAGCATTTGATTCTCCAGAACAAGCTCATCCAACGAGCTGTCTCCTGCTATTTTACCAGCAGAACCAGAAGACTTTCCATTCACTGGGCCCTTCAGTAATTCGGAGAAAGATTTATTCGGTTCTGACGAGCACGAGCTAAAGTCCGAGTAGACAGATTCGGAATCTCCTTTAGAAGAACCCGAGAATAACGACAGTGCTGATGTTGTAGTGTTATTTGACCTGTCGAAAGATAAGTCAGCCGTGGACCTCGAACTAACAGACTCCAGCAGAGAAGCTGATAACGGTGTGAGTTCATGTGCTGTGCTGATTGAGAAGCTCTTGAGCTTCTCCATAACTGAGATATTTCTCTTGTGGGTCTTCTTGGGCTTTGGCTTGAGACTGTAAGGAGTAGAACGCATTGGCTTGTTGAGGGAAGAAAAGTGTTCATGGTCCCAAGACAACAACAAGTCACCAAAGAAGGATGGTAAGCTGTTGATAACGTTACCCCATTTGGAGCCATTTAAAAGATGTTGGTAAACAACTTCCTCATCTCCGTGATCAAAACTCATCAAAATCGGTCTGTTCTTGAGAAGCAAACCGACCGATATCTTGAATGATCCAACTTTCCACCCCTCAATGAGACAGAAGTCGACGACTTTGTTGTTGATCGACAAGTCGGGAGCATGAATCAAGGAGAAAGAGAGCCACCATTGATAAAGAAAAACTCTGCAATCACAGAAACTCGTCAAATGATTGGCCAACTCTTCATCGAGAGCTCTGAGAATATCAATGAATTCAGTGAACCATTTTTCCAATCCTGAAGACATGGACGATGCTATGAAGATTTGTCTTAATTCTGGCTCGGAATCCATCACCTTGCACAAGGTATGGAAGGTGAGTTCTTCATCTCTCAACTGACTGTAAAGTGTCCCGACTAAGAAGAGCAAGCCTTGACAGTAGCCTAGCTCGAGATCATAGTTGGCATACACATTGAGCACCGTTTGTAAGGATTTGATAGTGTCGCTTCTCTCAAAGAACGCAATATTGGGGAATGTTCTACCCAAGTCTTTGTTAATTTGCTTTGCAATGTCAGCATTGTATGAGTGCTGGAAGTTATTGTAAAGCATCGAAGACAGATCAGGAATATAACTGTGGTTCTCTTGGTTAACTGTAACGAGCTTCTGCCAGATCAACGGGCGAAGCTGGAAAGGGATTCCCTTTTGCAAGAACACCATGAGGGTATAGTTGGGTAACAAAAGCATGGTTTTGTAAGGATTCAGCAAGAACGCAAGCCAGTACGTCTTTTCAGTTTCTGAGCCCCATCCACGGCGATGAGTCTGAATAAACTTAGCACAACAGCTGGAATTCATCTCTGATAAGGCATTACCGCAGACATCACAGCAGGTAAGATCATCAAGCCAGTACAGATGGTTCTCGAAAATGGCATCAATGGATTCTTCCGTAATAGTCTCAGTGACGGCAGGACCATCGGTGAATTTGTTGAGCTCAGCTTGGAGATCCAAATGGTCCAACAAGAGCTGCTTGGATGGAGATACTAGCGAGAGAGACTCCTCGAACTCCAAGAGGGATTCTGAAATCATTCTTAAAGAATGACGAGAAATACCAACAATTGAAACTAACAAGCAAGTAAGATTCTTAAAGAATCAAGTAGTAAGAAGGAATGACTGGGGTAAGTAATTGAAGGGTTTCTAAGATATGGGGGGCACCTTTGCACAAGGCAGAAGTTTCTTCCTTATAAGGCAAAGAAGGCTGGAGGGTGTTGCCTAAAAGGGCAGGAGACGAATAAGGCACATGCAGGCCGCGTGTTCCCTTGCCTATGGTCTATTGATGAATTACCTTCATTTGACGAACCATTTTGACTAGACAAAGCCGACCATTCAATTCTCTTCAACACACTCTACGCATTGAACTGATTCATATTCTTCATACTCTGTTCATAAGGTTCTTTGGTGGCCCTTTGGTGGCCCTTTGGACAGTGCCTGTGGAAGCGCGCTTGTACAAGTGGATGCAAACATTGCACGTCAGCGTGCATCGTCAAGAAGCGTACCTAGTCAAAACACTAAACCTACGAGGTACTTTTGTTTCAGCTTGGCTTTTGCAGCTGAATCTGTAAGGGGGTAGAATACGATAGGGCAGGTTCAGGGATTGGTCGAGCTGCTTAAACACTAGAAAGCTTATTACAGAGTTAGCCACTTTTGAGTGTTCGCAGCCATTGCAGCCGCTCACATATGGAAGCATAAGGCTGGCCTAAGGCTTGTGTCCAAGAAGCCGAGCAGAAAGCCCCAGACATGGAGCATAACCATGTAGTGTCTGTTCGCCTTTTACCTCAAAGATCTCTCATTCTATGTCGATTTAAGTTAAGAGAACGAGAACTATCTAGCTGAAGAGTACTTTTTCAGTAGAGCTACAAGTCCTCTCACATTCTCGCCAACAGTTGGTTACATGTCGATTATGAGCCATTAGATATTTTTAGCTCAAAATATTCTTTCTTTTGTTGTCTCCTTCAAACTGGCTCCAAGAATAAAACACGATTTTTCAAATCGCCAAAATGCTTTCTTCTTTGTTCCTAACATCCATGTATGCCTGTCTCCACACAATCGCACTGCAGAAGAAATCTTACTCATTCACCTCATCACCATGGTTTATTTCTTCAAAGCAGCTATCAAGTCTGATCTAGACGAATTCGCTCTAGATGACGGCTCGGAATGCGTCATCTACATGGGTAGAGATAAGGTGGAGAACGATACCCTTTTGAAGAAGTCGCATCCAAAGAATATATGGTTTCACGTCGACAAGCATAGCTCTGCTCACTTGTACATACAGCTTAGTGCTGAGGAGCAGAACCAGAAGTTTGAAGATCTCAAGCTCAGTCAAGATCTACTAGAACAGGTCGGCCAGCTCACGAAAGCTAACTCCATCAAGGCCAACAAGCTCAACAACATATCCATCATATATACCCCAGTTGATAACCTTAGATCGGATGGCTCAATGGATATCGGTACTGTCACATTCATTAACCCTCAGAAGGTGAAGCGTGTTCATATTTCCAAGAAAGAGAACGCCATTGTGAATAAACTCAACAAGACAAAGACAGAGATGTCCACTGAAGCATTTGCCCAGCAGCAAGATGAAATGCTCAAAGAGTGGACAAGAAACAAGAAAGAGCTTCAAAGGAAACAAGAGCAAAATGAGAGAGAGGTTTCCAAGCAATACGAAGAGCAGAAAGCTTTTAATAAAGACCCATACGCAAGTATGTTCTCAGAGGAGAACCTACGTGCCAGCAGCAACGAATTCCGTAACGAGAATTGGGTTGAAGACGAGTTTTGGTAAAGTTCAGACTGTTCAATTATGTTGAGTTTTGGTAGCCGGGATAAACTAGGAACCTTTCTAATATCTACAGAGACAAGTTTATCATCACAGTTTATGTAGTATTTATGCGTAACTTATGCTCTAATCGAGTTTGATTGGGAACTTGCCAGCTTCTCTCTGGTCATTCCACTTTTCGACCCAGTCGACTGGGCACAAGGAGGTGAAAGTCTTGAAGAAGATCTGACATGGCTCGAACTCCTCGCCTTTCACGTTAACACACTTGTGGTAGTCAACGTAGTTCTGAGCACAGTGCTTTGTCTGGTTGGTGAAAGGGAATCTTGGGTCGAACTGGGGAGTTTCGAACTTGAAGTTTTCTAAATCCAAAGCCATTATTGATAGAAATGAATGGGAGGTTGATGTAGTGAGACTCAAAGTCGTTGATGAAACTTACGATTTTTTGACTATGGTGCGAAATGCCCTCAGGCTATTGGCTGGCATACCACTGTGTGCAGGCAATACTGAGCAGCTCACCTCGCTAGCCATTTTTTGTCACCGTTATCAGCCCACCAGACGCGATATGAACATGTTAATTAAGTTCAATTCCATTGCTAAGCAAGCAAAACTATTGGGTATTCCATTCAGGAAGTTTGCTGGCTGTAACGTTTACCGCTTTTCTCACTAGTAGGATGCTCAAACAAGGAATGTCGTACACCTTGTGGCCCTGGATCTCTTTTCTAGCTGCCTTCTCTTGATCTCCCATTTCAATCTCGTCTCCAAAAAATGCTTGAATGTTAGCTATACTATGTTTCGATGCATAGCTGGGGTTTATAAGTGATGGCAGCAGTGAAAGCCGGTTTAACTGCTGCAAATCCTTAGGACCCTTCTGCTTTATCTGCTCCACAATTGCAACAAGCTTTTTGACCTCATTACCCTTCGAAGTGAGAAGTGCTAGTTTATCATTATTCAAACTTTCAATTGCTTGCTGTATGGATCTCTCCACCGGCGTGTTTCTGGATATAGGGAAGACACTAGTGTCCATCTTAGGACTCACATTCAAAACGGAGGACACTTCCACATATAGTTCACGAGACTCAGTGACAAATACTTCTTGTTCTTCATTGGAGATTTCAGCCAATCGTTCCTCTCCTGATGGCATCTTGGGGGTCTAAAGAAGGCTGCTGATACTTGAGATATGCGTCTGTCGCATCTCACTTTTTCCGATGTACAAGTAGGAGACACTCAATGCGATGGAGGTACGTCATTCCAGCCCACAAGATGAAGTTGGCCTTATAAAGACCTAAAATGACATATTTTGTAGCTCTAAGTATTTTGATATTCTAGGAAGATGGATTGTTGCGCGAAGACCTTGAGCTGCCAGGAGGCCTCCTGTGCCTCTGTGAGGAGTTTCCTTCGCCAGTGGTATTGTCAAAGTATGAATCTTGTTCTTGAGATCGTTCTGATGAAGGCGTTGTAATTAGCAGGCTCGAATGGCCCCCTAGCATTCCTTGTTCACCAAATCGGTTGTTTAACGCCTCGCGACGAATGCGCTCATTTTGCATCCATTCCCTACTTTTACGATCCATCAGCGTGCCCAGCTTCCACGAACCGTGGCTGCCACGGCTAGTATCCAGACTAGAATTATGTATGCTCATTGTGTCCGACGAACCGTATCTGTTGGTGGTGGAACAGGCGTAGAACCGGTCGTAACGCACAGCTTGCAACATATCCGAATGATATTGGAGCAATGTGCTTACTTTTGGATTCTTCCCCAAGGCAGCGGGTGCATGGTAAAAACCCTTCTTCTTTCTCATTGGCGGCGAAAAAGGTATCCCTTCCGGTATTCTACCAGGTGGCGGTGGAGACTCCACTGGAGTCGGAGGTGCACTTCTGAGGGGAACAGCATATCCATTTGGATCAATCATGTACAAGTTATTAGCGTTATCGGCAAAAATGGTCCCCGGGGGTGAAGCCTGGTTGGCTAGTGGCTGCATTGCATGAGATGGCTGTGAGTCTGTGTCTTGAGAAGCGTCATGTTGGGAGCCCGGGATGCTCCTCTGTGATTGGGAGAGTTGCTTATCAGCGTTTGGATCCGTTGCACTATTCGGGAACATGTACAGCTCTGTCCCAATAGTGAGAGCCTCTAGCTCGTTGAGATTGCCTGTCTCTTCTGCGCTTGACATGTGGCTCTGTCGTACACTTATCCGTCCAAAGGTTATATGGACAAAGAAAACCAATCGGTGCTTGATACCAGCAAATGAAATTGTATTTAAGCGACACTATAAATTCCTACTTTGGTGAACCCCGTGGACTTTACTATTCAAGTGCGACGATTTCGTGAGCACCATACTTTCCTTCTCTTTTACCTTGATGTATACGGAAAGTGACGCGATTATAATATTAGTAGAAACCTGTCGCTTTCCTTCTTCACGCAACAACGACATTGTCTTAACACTTTGTCCTTCTCTACTCTGAGGCGGTCCTTTGCATCGGCAACTTTGAAACCGACTCCTGTGAGAAATTGCGTTGATGCATCCCTCAGCCGAAATTAATGCACGTCGTAGTCAATATTGGGCGCTGAGCATTTGTGTTGCACCCATTCGCTCTGAACACCAATATTTCCGCAGGAAGATTTTATCAGATAACGCGCAGTAACACCAGCCTGGTTTTACTCAGTCATCGAAGGACAAATCAGTGGAACAAACATCAATTAACAAACAACAGTGATCCCTCCATTCACCTCTATAGCCTAGAATATATCACCCCACCCACCTTTTGTGTTTGTTACACATAATTCCCTCAGCGAACCCCGTTTCATTGGGTCAAAACCACAGCCCGCCTCGCCTGTCTCCTGGGGGAGGCTGCATGGGTGGGTGCAGGTCAAGCTCGCAAAGCGGCAGTTGACACTTTTTTACGTCCTTGACACATTCGCCTTTTGGGCGCCCACTTGATGTACAGAAAGATTGTAGAGCACAAAAAAAAAAAAAAAAAAAGAAAAAAAAAAAAGAGCATAGGAACAGGAGGAAAGGAAATTAGTAGAATTCAAACCAATGCAATAGAGATATTAAACTAGATCTACTAAGGTTATCGCAGAAACAAAATTTCCGCTTTAGCACGGTCCCACCGATGCTGCTGCGTCATATCTTGACCCTCCATTGGTTATCATCTTACCCTGCACCGCATGAAGTCCACCTGATTTTGGTTACTGGCTCAATATGCAATGCAGCACGGACTGAATTCTCGTAAATCGAAGTTTTATCTCTGGCTTCATCTGTTTTGTGCCGTTTTCTTTCAATTTTGACATTTCCGGGTCGGCCCCCTCCCTCTACCATTTAAGCCGTCCCAAGTCCTCCCTGAATAGCTCTTGAAATTTTTCCTTTCCTCCTTTCTTTAATTCCTTCTTAGTATGACTAACGTCTTTAACGTTCAAGTCTTCTTTGTGGTCTTCAGAGAATCCTTGGAAGCAGTGCTTGTGGTTTCGGTTCTCTTAGCCTTCTTGAAGCAAGGTTTGGGAGGACCCGACCAGGATCAGGCCATTTACAAGAAACTTAGATTACAAGTTTGGGCAGGTTCCATTCTAGGCGTTTTCATCTGTTTATGTATCGGTTGTGCTTTTATCGCTGTCTTCTACACTCTTGGCCATGATATTTGGGGTAAGTCAGAAGAGATATGGGAGGGTACTTTCTGTATGATAGCCACAATCTTGATCACAATTATGGGTATTGCCATGTTGAGAATCAACAAAATGAAAGAGAAGTGGAGAACTAAGATTGCCCAGGCTTTGGTCAAAGAACCTGCTGTCTCTAAGGACAGGTTCAAGATCGGAAGGTTGACAACTAAATACTGTATGTTTGTTTTGCCCTTCATTACATGCTTGAGAGAAGGTTTGGAAGCAGTTGTGTTCGTTGGTGGTGTTGGTTTGTCTGACCACACTGGCGCTGCTGCTTTCCCACTTCCAGTGATCTGTGGTTTAATTGCAGGTATTGCTGTTGGCGTGATGCTTTACTACTTTGGTTCCTCAGCTTCTTTGCAAGTTTGCTTGATTATGTCAACTTGTATCTTGTACTTGATTTCTGCCGGCCTTTTTTCAAGGGGTGTATGGTACTTTGAAGCTCAAGTTTACAATGTCAAGACTGGTGGTGATGCATCTGAAAGTGGCTCTGGTCCAGGCTCTTACGATATTTCAAAGTCTGTCTGGCATGTCAACTGTTGCAACCCTGAACTCGACAATGGTTGGGATGTGTTCAACGCTTTATTGGGATGGCAAAACTCGGCCACTTATGGTTCAGTGATCTCTTACAACATTTACTGGCTTTTCTTGATTACTGTATTAGGCTTAATGTTGTTTGAGGAGAAGCGTGGTCACTTGCCCTTCTGCAAGAACCTCACACTTAGACAGCTTAATCCTATGTACCATATCAAGGGAAAGAAGAAGAACGAATTGACAAAGAAGGAACAAGAGGAGTTGTTCGACAAAGTCAGAAGACACAACTTTGGTGTGTCTGAAGCAGATAAGGAGTCATCTTCTGATGCTCTGAAGAGTGGTAAGGACGAGAAGAGTCCTCATGTTGCCGAGGAAAGAACGGTGGAAAAAACCGCCAGCAACTAAATTACAGGTATTGGGAATGGAATTCTCTACCATCTGGTAATCACATTGGTCACACACACAAACACACACACAAAGGCTGATGGATTACCTTTCGGCAAGACGATTTCCATTCAGGGAATACCATTCTAATTTTTTTTATCAAACTTTGTGCCAACTTTTATTATTTTGGGAGGAAAAGGGTCACTTTACAGTCGGGTCGTTAATATATTGATTAAATTATAATTTTTGTAAGATGAGGAATCATACGAAGCATGCAAATTCCTTCTGACTGTTACGAACAGCTTCATTGAGTGCCATTTCAACATCTTTATCAGTGTAGTCAAGATCAGTAAAGATACCCTCGCATTCTTTGATCTCTTTCACGGCTACACGCCCCAAGTTGAGCGAGTAATCATCAAGTCTTAGACTGTCACTTGCTTCGAAGACGTCAATGAAGTAATCGAGATCAAGCCTGAGGTTACCCAAGATTCTAACAATGATATGCTGTTTTTGTTTCACTTCACGGATGGAGGTCGTGAATTGTTTGAGGAAATGGTTTTGGAGTTCATGAATCATATTGTTGAATGTTTGATCAGCAGTAATTGGCTTTACAACATACACCAATTTCACGAAATGCATCAAGCATTCGTAAACGAAAGGATCAACTTGAAATTCCCCGAAGCTGGTCTTGTGGCTTAACTTCTCAAAGTGATCAGACACCTTGTTTTCGATCCATGCCTTTTCGTTTTCACTGATTTCGTCCAACACCGTGATTTTGACCTTATCAAGGTCTGCGTAGAGCTTCAAATTCTGTTTATGCAAGTCCTTTTCAAAGAGCTGGTCAAACTTTTTGATCAACGAAGGGAACATATAATCTCCGAGCACTTGGAAATTATTCATTGTCATAATTTTGTAAATGTCCTTGTCAATATCGTGCTTACCAGCATCATGAGAAGCATGATATTCGGCTTTGGTAGCAGTAAACTTCTTCATGACGGAGTCCATCAAAACGTTGATACTCCGGATAAATTGAATTTCGAGACTGACCAATGTACGTTTGCTTGGATAAGCTGCAACCACTTTCACTTCAGAATCAGGTACTTGACTTCTGTCGAACACAAATGCGGACAATCTGCGGAGGACATATGTTTCATAGTATTGCAAGATCTGCATCTGTTTTGTATAGACTGTAGACTTGAGATTACCCTCAATTTTATATTTCTCCCAAGCTTCAAGGTCGTAGAATTGGGAGCAGTCATTAACCCAAGTAGCACAGATTGCCTCCAAGATACGCTGTTCGATTAACGTTGACGAGTCTTTCAACAGCTTAATGTGTTTGTTTGTGTCCAGGTTCTTAGAAGCATTACCGATCTGTGCAATGTAAGTTGACACTTTAGTGAGAAGACGGCAAATGCGGGTGTTGATATCACTCAAGTGAAAGATAGTCGAGAGCGAGTTAGTGTGGTGTGGAAGGAAGTTTGGGAAGTTTGCTGGGGTAACCCTCATCTGATCAAGATTTTCCTCACATTCAAAAATACTGACAACTTGTGCCACCATATTGCTGCACAACTCAAAAAACGCCGTTCTTAAAACACCACTGTTGTCAACGTCAAAACCATTCTTTGGATCCGCATAATGCACGTAGTTCTTGACGAACTTCAGAACAACGTTAGAGAAAAACTCCTCAAGATAAGTGATATAGTTCAGAAGAACAAGCCAGGTTTCGTTGATGATAGAAAGGTCCAAGTTATCGGGACTTCCGAAAATCTCAACAATGGCATTCTCCTTTAACTCATCAATACTAATTGTCTTGGCTGATGAGGAAGTTCCAAAGTACTCTTCAACACTGTCAAACTTCTCTTCAATGTACCTGACATTGGATCCGCCCTCTCGTTGGTTGCTCAAACTGGTGATATAGTCTAAAAGCTTTTTTTGCATCATGGAAAACTTTGTTTCAAATTTGTCATCCTGATAACTCAAATCCTTCTTAAGTTTTGTAAGTTGGTCATTGAGGAAATCAAGGATCGGGTTAGTTTTTGTGGAATCTTTATCAAGACGATGTAACTTGTCAACAAGATCAATGAACTTTATGTCCAGAGCGGACTTATTTGTCTTGCCTCTCACAGCCACTTCATGATCCATAGAAAGGAGGTCCCTAAAGGCCTTCTTGCGGAACTCTTCAGCAATATTTTCAATTTCACGGAATACTCGATGAAGGACGGTATAGTACAAGGCGTATTCCTGCTCAACCTTTTTCACTTCTTCCTCGTCATTTGTATTCTGAGCGCGTTTCAAGGCATTTTCATGTCTATGCTCGATGTACTCCTTCTCTTTTAAGAAGTTGTTGTAGTCATCAATGAACAGGTCATGTTCGTGCACAGAAAGATAATCAACAAGCTTCTTTGGAAGATCAAAGAAAAATTTATTCTTTTGAATGAATTCAATAAGTTTGGACACCTTAGCCTCTTTAGCATTGTGCTCCATGATGGGACGAATCATGAGCGAGGAAGATAAATTCAAATTGTTAATGGATTCTTCCAACTGGGACGATATGCTTTCCCCAGCTTGTAGCTTCTTGTTCCATCTAGAATTAGGATTGAAAACTCTTGACTTTTCGCTTTCCTTCTGGGCCCGGGTTTTGGAGTTCTTGAACGAGAGAAGCGCTTCGTCAATGTACTTCTTGCAATCAACAAAGCTTGCGTAATTTTCATTAAGCACAGATTTAAGCTGTGACGTTTGGCTTCTTATGCTTCTATCCAACATGTTGAGTGAGCCAACAAGACTTTCCATTGGAGTTTCTTTATGGACAACAGACAAGTATGCTTGGGAGTTGAACTTCTGAGACGACACGACAAACTTAGATAACTCCTTGTCATTCTCTGAGCCAATGATTCCCTTTCGTAGCAAGAGATCGACCAAGTCATGGCCTGTTAATGGGTCTTTTAAATCATCACTTGCAAATTGATACGCCGAGGCATTGACACTGTCTGCATCTTTCAAGAAGTGAGCTAGAACAGCACACTGTTCGTCGGGGGACAATTGGTCCAAATTTTCGGGTGGAAGTAGATCGTCCTGATTTTTGAAATCCACCAATGACCTTGGTTCGAGCACGGATGTACCATAAAACGCCAGAAGCGTTTGGTCATTGTCGTTGTAGTTCAACATGGTAGTATGGCCTACCTTCATGAGTATCTACAACTACGCACCAGTGTACCTGTTGAGGTCGTGCGAAGCACATGAACATTTGGGGTATTACCTAGTCTTTTAACAGTATGGTAAGTATAACACCAAGGGCAGAGCGGTAATGAAAAATGAAGAGAAGTTGAGTTATGGTGCAAACCTTCTAATGATTTCTTTCTGGCTCTGCTGGGCTAGATATAGGAACATACAGGTAACAGAGAAGACATGGCGGGGAGCTAGAAAACTAAGAGGGCCACTCACTATTTGACCTAAAGATTCCACTTCACAGAATGTCCATTTCAAAGCAATACCTAGTAGTTATGGTTTCTTTGTGTGGTGTTGTGGAGTGGCGGTGGGTCCAGACTGCATATCTTCTACAGCTGAGGTAAAGCATTAGTGAGACGTGAGAAAAAGTTTTCGGGTAACCCCTTCTTATCAAGCATACACCACTAGTCGATTTTGCAGCCATTTCATACGGATAAATCAGGAAAAAATTATTATACGTATTTGTGATGGAACAACAACAAGATATCGGAGGTGCCCAGGCTCTTCTTTCTCTTGGCACAAAAGATGCAAAACATGAAGAACACGATCAGCAAGATGCTACTCATACTGAGAACCATGCCAATCTGCATCATGATGAAGCTGAAGACGACAAGTCTATGGCCGTGCAAGGCGAACAATTAGGTCCTGGTGAAGAGCATCACCGGAGTGACCATGAAAGTTTCGAGGACAAGGCTAACCAGCAACTAAACGACGCAGTGGAAGCTGCAGTGATGAGATATGTGGGAGGCACTCTCGATAACTCCGAATCACACGAACACGATAGGCATAATGGGGACGCCGCTGATGGTTCAAATGAACTGCAAGGGCCAAATACATCGGGCCATGGTCATGGTGAGGGCTCCAAGAGACGCTTAAACCATGAAGAGATCATGTCTCATATAGGCGACTACCAATGGGATAGTTTTCTTGAGGAAAATGTGGCAGCTGACTTTGAAGGCCCTTCGCCTAAGAGGTCTCGGAGAAGAAGAAGTTTTGTCAATGGTGGAGATATCGATCCTGACTTGCCGGACCTAGAAGGAGAGCCATCTGAACACGATCAGCTCGTTCATGCCGCCATCTTGGGAGCTGGTGAACTCGCTAAGCAACTTTCGCTTCCACCAACTTCAAACCTACATCACCAGCATCAGCAACAACATCAGCATTCCCATAGGGCGGATGGAGAATCCGCTGCCATTAACCAGTTAGCTCATGCAGCCTCAGCATTGTCCGCCAAAGGTAGACCCAGAACATCCATCAAGCAAAAGCGTCCCCTCAGGAGACCTTCAGCTCTTCATTCCATCCATAATCAGGCAAGCACCCGTGACAAGTATGACCACATGTCACTAGAATCATTGGTTGATCAATGTGCCAACGAATCTCTACTGTGGTATCATTCACAGACCAGTATCCCAATGTCTGGGCCTCGTGCCTTTGCACCGACGGAAATAAGTGTTATGGAATCTTTTGTGGATGGTTATTGTCGCCTCAATAATTTGTCACGTCTTGACATCTGTCGCCGTGTGTGGGCATCTGAAAGAACAAAGGATAACTTCTGGGAATGCATAACAAAAGTTCTTCCTTACAGATCTCGTGCTTCTATTTACAAGCATGTACGCCGTCAGTATCATGTTTTCGACATACGTGCTAAGTGGACTGCTGAGGAAGATGAATTACTTAAGAAATTGTCACAAACATCCGAGGCCAATTGGAAGAAGATTGGAGAAACGATGAACCGAATGCCCGAAGACTGTCGTGATAGGTGGAGAAACTATATTAAATGTGGCGAAAACCGTGCCCTGAACAAGTGGTCTGAGGAGGAAGAGCGCACTCTTAAGAATATAGTGGTTGAGATGATCACTAATGATTCGAATGGAGACAAGCCCATGTCTATTAATTGGACATTGGTCAGTGAAAAGATGAATGGAGTGCGTTCTAGAATTCAATGCAGATATAAATGGAACAAACTCTTGAGAAGAGAGTCCCTCACACGCATTGAATTGATGGATAACGATACTAAGATATGGCTCATCAACAGGTTGCTTGAGTCTAATTTCCCAAATATCGAGAGTATTGATTGGGATTATATCTTACATCTTTACCACGAGTTCAACAAAGATGCCAAGAATAAGGACTTCTTGTGGACCACAACAGATTTCAAAGTCAGCTTTGACAAGATGAAGTTTACGGTGAAAGATCACAAGAATCTATCATTACACACGATTCTCTCAAAGATCCTCCTGGCACTTTACGCAGAGACCGGTTCCGACGATATGGTTCGAAATCCTCAGTTGGCAAAACAGAGCAAATCCCACGATGTTGAAGAACAAGCCGAATCAATTGCAAATGCTGCCGTGGCTGCTGTATCTACAGGGGTAAATGAGGAAGAAGCTCAGCAGCAAGAGTACAGCTTGTGGAGGTAAAGCGTCCATCGCGATTTGCATCTCTGCATCGTTGCATTTTCCATCACGTGAAATCAAAACAAAAGACAATCGAGATACTCAGAATTCCCCCGTACTACTTTTGAAGAAACTGGCCATGTCCGATAAAATGCTGATTAGTGATGACCAAGCCGACATGCACCAACGTATGCTCGAGCTAGAGCAAGAGCTCATTGTGTTTCAGCAGTCAAGTAAGGAGCTAGAGGAGGCACTTGAAGATGAGCTCACAGAACTAGAAAATAAAAACAGAATGTTGGTTTCTCAGGTAACTGCAAAGGACAAAAGGCTTCAAGAACTTACGTCTCAGTTGACAGATGCTAATGCTGAAGTTTTAAGGCTATCTGAAACTCTGAAAACAGAGAAGGCTAAGTTGGAAGATGAGATCCTTCTTCTAAAGCAAAAGCTCGTGGCAATGGAGATTCTGAACGACGATATGGACATGAATGATCGAATCCTTGAGAACAATTTGCAGCTCACAAAACAGTTCAACAATGAATTATTGGAAAAGCTAGCGTTGGTTGAGAATGATCTCGAGAATGAGAAACAGATCAATGCACAACAAAGGCTACGAATTTCAAACCTCGAGGCGGCAGAGGTATCGAGGCCAGCCCCTAGAGTCCGCCATCTGCAACAATTCAAATCCAGAAACAAGCGACAGAGCGTTGCTAGAAGCATAATGTCTGTTGCAGATACCACTGCGGACGGTACAATACTTGATATCAATGAGTTTTTGGCGACTGCTCCACCTGAAACTATACATCCCGATAGCAATATACCCAGGTCTGGATCCAGGGGTAAGATTCATGAGCAATATCTTCGATCGGAAGAGATAGTACAGAAAGTGGGGAGAATGAGCCACTATCTTGGGCTCAAAGCTAATTCTACGATACAAATATCTCCTCACGAAGCACAGACCCCGCCCAATGAAGTGGCCCCTCACGGACAGCTCACACACTCTCCTTCCATAGCTAATCTTTCAAGATTCAAGGAAGAGCCAGAAAACGCTAGCACAATAGCTGAGTCTCACTATGCTCCCTCGAAGGCAGCCTCGGGTGAGATTCTCAAGACTGACGAATCACGAAAACCAAAACACAAGAAAAACAGGATGAAAACAGTGATGAAATTCTTCGCATGAACACTGCTCTCCTCCTATTCTTGTCATTTTTTTTTTTTTTTTTTTTAGGATTTATAGACTTAATCCATTCCTTGCACCTATATCTTTCGGGCCGGCTTGTCGCTTTCCTGCACTTGTAGCTACTGCGACTTGTTGACCGTCCAGTCTCCATTACGTACCATACTATCTACCAGCTCTTTGCAACCACCAATGGCTACCGATATTGAAAAAGTTATTGCAAACTTCGACAAAGAAGAGGCCACTGAGTATGCAAGTGAGTTGTATCTTCTTTTGAAGAATTACGCTGAAGCAGAAGATGATCTCAATTATCAAGACATCTGGTCTCAATTGACGCGGTTAATTCACGCATACTGCAACTTAAAGGACAACGAAGGAGATACAAAGAATAAGGCCAAGGCAATCGAGGATAATGAGAAATTTCGGCTGATGGGATCGCTCAATTTGTTCAAGTTGATCTCGAGGAATCTCATCATCGTTCTTGGAAAGCTCACCAACAAGATCTATGATACCGCCAATGACTTATTCCCTTACCTTACTTTGACAGACAATGGCCATCTCTCCTTTTCAGGAAAGGCAGCTTCAGTGGTTTTAATTGACCTTTTTGAGAACTACCCACATCATTTGACATCGCTTCTTAGCTTTGGTGCCACGGTCGCCTATAAGTTGATTAAGAAGAATTCTTCGATCGATAGCAATATCATATACCTTCTTGCCTCAATCCTTAAGAATGCTCTGAAGGCAGACGTTGATGATAAGTTCCAGGCTAAGTTGGTGAAGATTTTCCTGAAGAATATCTTGCTGAGTGCATTGAAAAATAATGCTGCTGACCTGGAAGCCAATAACTCGTCCGTCTTACAAGTGGAGTACTACATTCTAGGCCTCAAAAATCTTCTTATTATGCTGTCAGCATCCCATTATGAGCAGCTACTCGAGTTCTCCGCGTCTTCCACATCTGGATCCAAGCTTAAACCGGAGGCTATCATGACTCAGCAACATCAATTCCAGATAGGGCTCTTGAACAACCATAAGAAGGTGATTCAGTTCGGCTTTTCTTCTCAATTCCCTCAGGTTAGGCATGCTACTGTTGCACTTCTATCTCATTTGCTTCATAATTTTGTTGACACTGGTAAATTCAACGCGATAGAATATCTCATCGAAGCGTATCCATTCCCGTCACTGAGTACCTGGAATAACCAAGCACATCATAGAATTGAAAATGAAGTGGAGTTAGGGTTTCCCTCGAGGAAAGATCACAATATCATCCTGACGCACAACAGTGAAGCGTTGATCGACTCTAAAATCAACCTCAAAAACCTTCAGTATGGCTACGTCGAGTCCATGGTCATGTATATGCAACTACAACAATTTCAAGACTGGAGTTTCTATGCCTCCTCAATCACCGCAATTTTCGACTTGATTTTGTCCAAATTCAGTGGTTTGAACCATGCGCCTCATGTGCCCACTTCGGAATGGAATGTGGTTTTGGCCCAATGGACTATTGTTGTTGAGTTCTTGATAAAGGAAAGCGGCGCCTCCATCCATGAGGTAGTCGCACAGTATATCGTGAATCGTTTCTCCGCATCTGCGGATTCAGAGGACTTCTCCCGATCTGCTTCGCCTGATCCTAGGTCATCTAAGCCTAGACGCCAGGAAGCAAGCTTGTTCCGTTTCAAGTCGACCAAAAAAACGAAAGCAAAGAGCATGGACAACTCTCATATCACGCCCTACACTAATCCTTACCAGGCCTCTCTTTTGCTACTGGTTGTGAACTTACTTGTTCCTTATGCAATTAATTTTACATCAATTGACAATCTGCAACCTGAGGATAGCAAGGTTGATGGTGAAGCGGCTGAAGAAGGCGACGAAACTACGAATAAGGTTCTTGATGGAGAGACAGCGCTTCCTGCTAGAGGTAATGACTATATCAGCAACCTTCTTCTTTCATTGCTCGTTAACGACTCGGAACAGATCAGAAACCATGCAACATCGTCTTTGCTTCTTTACGCGAACGTGAACAAATCCCAAAGCAACAGCTTGATACTTCAGTTGTTTCAGTCGGTGACGCTGGAATTGAATTCCGACTTACGAAGTGAAAGCTCTTCAGAAAAAAATGTTTCAGGATTTCAGGCAGTCAGGCTTTTTAGCAATTCTTTGGCATTGCTGTCTCTCATAAAACAAGCGGATTCAACCCTTCTCCAAAACTCAACAATTGCAAAGATTCTCAGTTTCTGCACCCAAAATTTGAAGCATAGCAGTAATGCAAATAAGAAGTTTCTCACCAATGCAGCTTGCTGGATAATTATGTCCAGCTTGGTCACCTTCAATGAGACATCGGAATTTGTCAAGTTGAATTCGTCTCAATTCTTGGTATTTTGGAAAAACCTTTTGACTTCCCAATTCATCAGTGCTGATATCGGCAACATGTCTGACAATGCCCAACTTAGCGAGGTGATGAATAACCTTACACTTAGATCGCTAAGCCTCATTTGCTTGCATAACTACATCGACTCAGCTCAGTCTAGCAATGAATTGTCACGGCAACTTCAGTTTCTTCTAGTCAAGTCTTACAACTACCTCACATATTTGGAGTCTACATTTGAAAGCATTGGCTTGTTGACTTCATTTAATGCCCAGTCGTTCAATGAAAGTGAGTTCAATCCAAATTTAGTGGGTAACCTTATCTTTTCGAACTTCAACACTGCCACTTCTCTTCCCGCCCAGAATAGGCTTACAAGCCTCATACTCCATAACAAGAAGGTTGTTCTTCTGGGATTCATTAAACTTGCGCCAACCCTCAAACGTGACGTTAATTCAAGTCTTGTTGTGTTTCTTACGCGTGTGTTTGCAGACGCAAAATGTTTCTCGAGGTTACCAGTTACTGATGCATTGAAAGAGAAAGCGAAACTGAGTAAAAGCAAGTCAAGTACTACCAAAGTAGCCCATGAGAATGCTTCCTTGGTAAAACTTGAAGAAGAATATAATTACGATTTTGGATTGACAAGCAAATTCAGATACGTGGAGCTGAACGTGATATCCGAACCAGAAACTGTTGCTGCCAACGCTGAGCCTTCTGGTGAGGGTGATCTCCGGGGATGGGCCTCTTCGTTTGAAGAACGGGTTAACGACGGGTCGTATTTTGCTTTTGATAATGACCCAGCTGTGTTCTTGTTGAAGGGATCTTCAGAGACGCCAACGCGGTCAAGAGGTATTATCACGTCTATCGTTGACAAATCGATTGAATTGTTTCAATACGTGTTTCCAAATTTGACATTTAAAATCCAGTTTTCGCTTCTCGAACAACTTAGGGCATCATTAACTCAAAAGAACTCTGATCCATTGAGGCACACTGCCATTCAGATAAACGACTCTGTTGCTTTAAATGGTCTACTCAAATACTATACGGCCATAGGGGGCTTTATGGATGGTCAGATTCTCAATGCCGTGCTTGATACCGTGGAAAAGATCAATCTGGACAATATCGAGGTCAACCTCCTAAATGCTGAAACAGTTGGCATGGTTTCGAAAATGCTTTCGAAGGACGATGTTGATGGTACTGTGGCGCGTTATATTAACGACATAGTGAAACAATCGGAGCCATCAGCAAGAGGAAAGCTACTCATTTATCTTGCATCCATCTTTAAATTTACTCATAGTGGGTTCTCTAACATTTTAGATGTTGTCTTGCAACTAATGAAAGACCCTAACCCTATCATGGCATACTACTCGTCGAAGGCTTCAGCTATCTTGCTTGAGAATGCTCTAGGTAACGAGCATTTGGTGAAGGAGTTGATCCACCAAGTGTACCTTAACACGCTTAATGATGACTTTGGCCTTAATCTTGACAATGGCTTTCTCGCTAATCTTCGGGCTTCCTACAAGTTTCATGCTGTTTATTCGAGAATCGTTTCCTATAGCGTAACATCACTCGGGCCCGCGCTCAAAAGCTGCGATAAGGAACTCAAGGTTGAAATCAGAAACTTGCTTATCCTCTTTGCCAACGGTGTTGGCAGCTATGACTCTGATGAATATGTCAATGTGGTAAGAGATGTTCTAGTGACGTTTCAGGAGATACTTATCTTCGACTTATCATTTGTTCCTGAGTTTTCCAAATGGTTCCACCTGGAAGCTGTCGATGTCATCAAAGGAAATGCAAAGATTGGAGTCGGGGTTTTGGGACCTACTTCGCCATGTCATGAATCTATATTTCCTGTTTCAACCTGTTTCGGTCTCTACGAATTGGCATTCGCTAGTCTATTAGAAATGACAAAGGTTGGTATTCTGACTTTACAGAAGGAGAATGTTAATCTAGCATGGATTGCAATGGAAATTCACCCATGTGACTCTCTTAAACAGCTTATTAAGTACTGGGTTGATTCAAATCCAGAAATGGTATGGTTTGCACAAGTCAATGCACTCTTCAAACTGTCTACTCGAAAGCTCACGGGTCCATTTGTGGAGCATAATTATCAAGTGAAATTGCTTCCATTGACTCAACGACAGAAAAAGAAGAACACCGGAGGTATCGATCTTAAGGATGACGAGGTGAGAAATATTGTTAACGAGGACCAGGATACGGAAGATAAGAATGAACCCATTACTTGGGAGTTCCGTCTGTTCTTGTACGACCTTATTATCCAGATACTCTCTGCTGCGGAAAAGAAACCTGTGCTCATGTCATCTCTCACCAACAAGATACAAGAAGTTGTTCGGATGTCGTTCTTGGGTACGACATCTCCAATCCCGGCTATCAACTTGAAAGGTGTGGCTTTGTTGGACAATGCCCTTAGTCTCTTCGGTCATCTCGAAGACCCCCTTTATCCTGGAATTTCTATATTGGAGCAGCAACAAGCCCAGATTATCAGTGCCTTGGTTCCGTGTTATGGCCCACAAAGTAACGCCGAATTGATCGTGAACGCCATCAGCGTCTCTTCGAAATTTATAAACTTGCCGAGGATCAAATTTTATTCAAAGCAGAGAATTTTGAAGACATTGGTTTGCTTGTTGGAGGAAGTTTCATCGAATAAGTTCTTGAAGTTTACTTATTTGGAAGCCATGTCTGAATTTAGCAGAAAGGCGATTCAATTATCAATTTTGGATTGTTGGGCTCTGGTGAGAATTGATATCCAACAACATGCAGAAGATGGAAGTGACGAGTTTGGCGCAATCTTATCGAAGTACTCTGAGTTGTTGATCTCACTCTGGATACTAGCCTTGAATGATTTGTCGTCACTCAGATACACACAGCCTACCAGCCGTGAGGTAGGGTTGTATTCGGACTGTTGGCTTGATTTTGTTGAAGTTTTGACAATTGAGCTTGAAGAAGACAGCACAAGGGTTACCAAGCTTCTTCAAGATGACTCGAAGGATTTCTTTTTTGTCTTATTCTGTCAATGCGCAGAATCCTTGATTAAGAACCAGAATACGACTAGAGTGCTTCTGTCAGTCAAGCGCCTTGTCAGCATACCAGAGCTCGTGGAGCACTTGTTGGCGGACGACATATTTGGTGAAGTCATAGACTTGCTTGATCGTTTGATTTTAGTCGAGGAGGAGACCGAGTCAAAAATAGAAGTTATTGATATTGTCCTGACGTTAGCGAAGGTTCATCTGGGAAAAGTTAAGAACGAGGAAAATAATGAGAAGTTACTTGAGCTCTTACGAGTTGCAATGTTGCCATTGTTCAGCATTTTTGTCTTCCTTAGAGAAGACTTCAATCATGAAGATGTTACTCAACAGGTTGCTTTGAAGAGATGCAGCTCCGCATCAAACCTATTGATTCTCAAGAAGCTGTTGTCCGCAGCAATTGGAATATTAAAGTGTTTCCAAGGGGAAGTCAAGTCAAACATCTGCTCTTGCTTATTCTACTTATTTGCAAAGTTCTATGAGCACGATGATGATAATCTCATAGGGGTCATCTTGCCATATTTGAAGCTCGTCGTGAACGAGCTCGGAGATGATAAAACAGAAACTGTTCAGTCTTTCTTCCAGATTTTGAAGAGACAAGGATTCTTTAGCGCTACGAGAAACAAGAATAATCACGTCATAACTGTCGTTCTCTTGCTTACAAACAGTGACATTAAACTTGATGCGGATGAATCAAAGATTCTAGCAAATGCTATCTTGCGTTTGATCGAAGACTCGGAGTATGCGTCTGCCGGAATCCAATCTATCAAGTCGCTCTTGAGACAGTCAGATTCACCTTTGCAGTCGCTTATCGTGAAACAGATTGTGCAAACGCTTCTCTTACAATTGGCAGGTGATGGCAAGGATGTTAAAATTGACTTACGCCTAGCATTTGAAATTATTATCGTGTTTTCTCAGTCGGAAGGGGTAAAGAACGATACGAGCAAAATCGTTCCGTTGTATGCGGCACTCATTCCGTTACTAGTGAAACACGATGTTGCAGGCACGATTGATGGAGATTATCTACACGGGAAAACGGTCTTGCTTTTAACTAAGAACCCCGAAGCATTTAAGACGGTCGTGAATGAATACCTCGATGAGTCACAGAAAGCAACCGCAGAGAAATTGGTGAAGAAGACCAGAGGACACACTCAAGTCGACAGTACAAATGACTCGACCATCGAATTGAAGACCTTTGGTTAAACGGAAGACGGAGTGATCCGATCGCGCATAGATCTCCCAGGGTGTGCGCTGATCTCCGGTGCACGGAGGTGAATTTCGAACGGCCTTGATGCCAAGGCCTGGCGCCTGGAAAAAAGTAGCCGACTACTAAACCGATCGTTATATAAGTTAGTCTTTAGGTCTCGTCTTGAGGTCACAAGTACATGATGTTACATAATTTGGGCAAGCTAACTTTCAGCTTCCTTTGCCTCTTGCCTTTGGCGCTTCAGGCCCATGCGAAGACCCATGAGTATAATTTCGATGCTTCTCTTATTAAGCATAACCCAGACGGTGTCTTCGAAAGAGAGGTTATCGGTATCAACGGGCAATGGCCTCTTCCTATCATAAGGGTAGCCAAGCATGACAGGGTTGTGATCCATCTTACAAATTCCATGACCGATCGCAATACGTCGTTGCATTTCCACGGTTTGTTCATGAACAATACTAATGCTATGGACGGCCCTGAAAACCTCACTCAGTGTCCTATCCCTCCAGGTCACACTTTCACTTACGATTTCACTGTCGACGCTCAAGCCGGTACTTACTGGTACCATTCTCATTCTGGCTCTCAGTACAGTGATGGTCTCCGAGCAATGTTTATTATCGAGGAGGAATCTCCAGATCTCTATCCTTTCAAGTTTGATGAAGAAGTTCCACTCACTATTTGTGACTGGTACCACTCTGAGAGCAGTGATATCATGAAGCAGTTTTTGTCGAGATATAACCCTACCGGTGCTGAACCTATCCCTCAGAACTCTCTCTTCAATGATACTAAGAACGTCACCTGGAATGTCGAGCCTGATACTACCTACTTCTTGAGAATCGTGAATATGGGTATGTTTGTCAGTCAGTATTTGTACATTGAGGACCATACCTTCACTATTGTTGAGGTTGATGGTGTCTACGTTGAGCCAGTTGAAACCCTGTCGCTTTATATCACTGTCGCTCAGAGGTATGGTGTTTTGGTGAAGACCAAGAAGGATGTCTCCAATAAAGCCTTCCGTTTTGTCAATGTTCTCGACGAGCCAATGCTTGATTTGATTCCAGATGATCTTCAAATGATCTCCACAAACTATGTGCAATATGGTCATGGTGACGTTGAGAAACCTGACCCCTTGGAGAACGGTAAGGGCAAATTTGACGAGCTCGAGGCAACTCTTGATCCTTACGATGATTTCAAGTTAATTCCTGTGAGAAGAGACCCTCTCTACGCTGAGCACGACTTGCAGATCGTTCTCAACTTCGAAATGGACAATCTTGGAGATGGTGTCAACTATGCTTTTTTTAACGGAATCACCTACACTGCACCAAAGGTTCCCACTCTCTTTTCCGTGCTTTCTGCCGGTGAGCACGCTAATAATGCTGCGATTTACGGGTCTAACACGAATACCTACGTCTTACAGCCTGGTGAGATCGTTGAAATTGTCTTGAACAACATGGATGCGGGTAAGCATCCTTTCCATCTCCATGGTCACGTCTTCCAGACTGTTTTCCGTTCCGAGGGTACTGATGACGACGACAATCCCGAGGTTTACGACCCTTCCAATCCTGACCATGATAAGCATCCTGAATTCCCAATGCTCAGAGACACTGTCATGGTGCATCCTAATGGTTTTGTGAAGCTTAGATTCAAGGCTGATAACCCAGGTGTTTGGTTTTTCCATTGCCATGTTGATTGGCACTTGGAACAGGGTTTAGCAATTGTGTTGGTTGAAGATCCGCAGCTGATCCAGGAGAACCAGCAGGATATCCCCAAATCACACCTTGAAGCTTGTAGTAAGTTGGATATCCCTGTGAAGGGTAATGCTGCTGGTAATTATGGTGACACTGAGGCTTCGTGGCTTGATCTCTCAGGCGAAAATGTTCAGATGAAGCCTTTGCCTCCAGGATTCACCCCTAAGGGATACGTTGCTATTGTGGTCTGTGCATTGGCTGCTCTTTTTGGTATTTACACCATCTATGTCTACGGCATGGAGGATGTTAACACGGAGGATGCTGAGCACATGGTGCAAAAGTTGTATCAAATTCTTGGAGAGAATGATCAGGCAGAGCCTGAAGAACGTGAGAGACTCACTGAGCCATCAGCAAGCGCCAACGAGTAATGAAAATAGCATTTCAGTAATAAATTAGTACAATTTCAGCCATACTAACCCTTTTCGGAGCCCGCAGTAATGTTTCTGCACTTCGCACTACGGAGTCTTATCAACTACTACTCCTGGTCTCCACGTCAAGCACAAAACACACTACGATGTCTGCGCTATTTGAATGGGCATTTGGAAAGAAGCTCACTCCCCAGGAACGTCTTCGAAAGAACCAGAGGGCTCTTGAGAAGACCCAAAGAGAGTTGTCCAGAGAAGTCAATAAACTACAATCTCAGGAAAAGACCTTGATGCTGGAAATCAAGAAGCTGGCCAAACAAGGCCAAATAGCGAGTGCCAAAATTCAAGCAAAGGACCTTGTAAGGACCAAGAATTATATTGTCAAGTTTAACCTGATGAAAGCTCAGTTGCAGGCTATCCTGTTAAGAATTCAGTCGGTTAGGAGCAACCAGCAAATGGGAAGTTCTATGAGGGACGCCACAAGGCTATTACTGGGAATGAATAGATCGATGAATTTGCCTCAGCTTTCTAGGATTGCTCAGGAGTTTGCTAAAGAGAATGACCTTATGGATCAGAAACAGGAATTCATGGATGATGCTATAGACGATGCAATGGCAGACGACGAAGAATTGGGAGAGGACGAGCAGGTTGATGAGATTCTTACCAAGGTATTAGATGAAATTGGAGTTGATATCAACACTTCCTTGAAAGATACACCCAACACTATCAATGTTGAGAGCCCCGGCAAAGTGGATTCTAGAGTTGCAGAGGCTATTGGCGGTCACGGTGGTGCTGGAGCACTGGAGGAAGATGATTTACAAGCCAGATTGGATAGTCTCAAGAAATAAGGTCAACTTTAGTCAGATAGTGTTCAATAAATATAATTTGTCTATGTACAATCAGATGTAGTTCTTTTCAATCAAAAAGTCTGCAATGGCCTTGGCAGATTCCTCGATAGTCTGACCGTCGTAGTTCTTTAAGTGAATTTCTGGCTTCTCTGGGGCTTCGTATGGGGCAGAGATACCGGTGAATTCCTTGATGATACCCTCTCTGGCTTTCTTGTACAAGCCCTTAGGGTCTCTCTTCTCGGCAACTTCAACAGGAACGTCGACATATACCTCAACAAAAGGCAATTTCGATTGTTCATGCAATTCTCTAGCAATTTGTCTATCGTTCTTGTAAGGACTAATGAAGGAAGTCAAGGTGACGCAACAAGAGTCAGTGAACAATTTTGCAACCTCACTAATTCTTCTGATGTTTTCATTTCTGTCAGCCTCGGAGAATCCCAAATCCTTGTTCAAACCGAATCTAATGTTGTCACCATCCAATCTGTAAGAGTTCAATCCACGCTGCAAAAGAGTCTGTTCCAAAGCGCAGGCAATAGTAGACTTACCACTGGCTGAGAGGCCAGTCAACCAGACAGTAACACCCTTCTGCTTTCTAAATTCGGCACGCTCCTCGTTGGTCAAGTTCTCGTGCCAAGTGATGTTAGTAGCCATTTTAAAAAGATTGAAAAGTAAACGCTGAAAAGATAATCGGTGCCTAAGACAAGTTCATATACTTGCAAGCCTAGGCTGGAAAAAAAATGCAACAATCACACGTGACGAAACTTGCATAATCGATTCACTTACACATTTTGCTTCCTAGCGCATAAGCCGCATTATGGAGACTCTATTGGATAGTTCAAAGAGACGAATAAACTGTCAACGGGAGTGAACTGAACTTTCATTTTATGAAAATCAGCGGAAGTCTAGGATGGAAGGTTATCTTGAGAAGATTTTTTTTTCTTTTTATCAAGTGGTCAATTTTCCTCTAATTCTGTGTCTTGGCTGCGAAAACCACACATTAAGAGAAATTAGGAACCAAAGGGGAATAAATGCAAAACAGGCTAATCATCAATTTTATTAAACTAACTCATTTACACATTTTTCACACTTGACGCTTTTGGAACACAAAAACCAATGCCTATTCTTTATCTATGTAATTACCTAGATCATATCGATACTAGCGGTTAGAGTTGACTCCATCATATCTCGCTTGTGATTGCTAACTACGAGTACATAGAGTTGCCACTGAATCAAAAGCTCTAATTGATGAGAGATAGACAAACAAAAAGACTTCTGATGCTAGAATACGAAGAGAAAGACAGCTACGTTCAGTGTAGATAATACAGGCTGTTGAGCAAGGCAATATATTACTACTGCACTACCAACTTGACGATCTCGTTTCTTCGACGGGCTTCAAGGCTCCGTCTGCGTAGTTTTAATCAAACTTACCAACAATAGAAAGAAAGGATCAATAGCGAGATACTTGCTTTGCAAAGTTTCTCGAGGTTTGTGTATTTTGAGACTCTACTTGGTTGCAAATTACGAGTGAACAGTATATTGCGCGGAAGTCAAGCCATCTATATCTATTGCAGCATGGTGTACGGGCGTCCATATATCGGAGTCACCAGGCATCACAATCTTTCAACTATCGTTTCTTATCAATGTCGCTTCATACAACAGAATTGGATGGCATCTTGCCTCTCGTTAACAGGGGAAAGGTTAGAGATATCTATGAGATCAATGCTACAACTCTCCTTTTTGTCGCTACCGACAGAATCTCCGCTTACGATGTCATAATGGAAAATGGCATCACTAACAAGGGAAAGATCTTGACTAAGTTGTCCGAGTTCTGGTTTTTCTTCTTATTCAACCAAGTTCACAATCATTTGGTTTTGGAGCCACATACTGACGAAGAGGAGATTTTCAAGCATTTGCCTCCTCAATTGTCCGAGCCAAAGTACAAGGACCAATTGGCAGGTAGATCTTTGCTTGTGAAGAAGATGCAATTGATTCCATTGGAGGTCATTGTCAGAGGTTACGTCACAGGATCTGCTTGGAAAGAATACAAGAAGTCTAAGACTATCCACGGTATTCCTATCGAGGAAGACTTGCAAGAGTCCCAGGAGCTTCCTACTCCTCTCTTCACCCCATCCACCAAAGCTGAACAAGGTGAGCACGATGAGAACATCACTCCCGAGCAAGCTGAAAAGATTGTTGGCAAGGAGTTGTGTGACAAGCTAGCAACTATTGCCATTGACCTTTACACGAAAGCTAAGGAGTATGCTAAGACTAAGGGTATCATCATCGCCGATACCAAGTTCGAATTCGGTTTGGACGAGGGTGGTAATGTCGTTCTTGTTGATGAAGTGTTGACTCCAGACTCATCCAGATTCTGGAATGCTTCGCAGTACGAAGTTGGCAAGTCCCAGGAATCTTACGACAAACAGTTCTTGAGAGACTGGTTGACTTCCAACAACTTGAACGGTAAGGATGGTGTTGTCATGGATGACAGCATTGTTCAGAAGACAAAAGAGAAGTATGTGGAGGCCTACGAAGTTTTGACTGGTAACACCTGGAAAGAATAGATTAAATGAAACTTTTGTTATAGTCCCGTTCTCATAAAGAGATGCAATATTATGCTTAATGCCGGTAATTTTGTCGTAAGTATTGTTCCTCGAATTCTGGGACATGCCTTTTTTGAAGAGTTAGCCTCTCAAACTCATCTGTAACACGCTTCTTATAGTTCAGTGGTGCTTGCTGAGGTCTGGAGGGAGAAATCTTCGCATGCATGTCAGAGTCCCATTCCACATTCTTAGTTTTTAATGGAGAGCGCTTTGGGGAACCTGGAGGAGGGGTTCCATGATAATATTGATGCTGTTGATGCTGTGGATGGAGATGAGCCAGAGGGTATTCCTCAAGAAGTTCGCGAGGTCCCCTAGGTTTGGCTTTGCGCTCAAATGAAGAGGACGAAGAGTCACTCTTTTTTCTTTGGAGCTGTTGTGGCTGCTCGGGATCCAGACTTTTTCTTCTTTGTAATATCTCTGATAGCCGTTGCTGTACTTCATGTTCAACAACATGCTTGAACTCACGCTGGTAGTTGAGTCTCATTTCTTTCGCTTCCAAGTCCATGGCTTTCTTGCGAGACTCGAACTCCAACGTTAGCTCCTCCTCAAAGTGACGCTTCTGCAAGTCGCATTTCTTCTGCAATTTAGAGTAGTCGTCTTGAAGCTCGTTCTTACGAACCTGTGCAAGCCTTTCGAAGCTTCTGAATTTCGCCTCGAGCTCCTCTTTATCCTTGTTGACCTTCTCTTCCATTGCCTTTACAGAAGCCTCAGTCTTCTTGAGTTCCTCGTGTTTGATAAGAAGCTGTTTCTGAAACTCATTTAATGTAGTACTTGCAGTCTTCAACTCCATTTCTTTCCTGAACATCTTCACAGACAAAGTCTCTAACAAGTCATAGCATGTTGGCCGCATTTCTGGGTCGACAGTTATACAATCGTTAATTATCTTGCGAAGCTGTTGAGAGTATTGGGCGGACAACTCTGGGATTACACCTTTTTTGATTTTGGCCTGCAATTGAAGATGTGTTGACGCCCTAAATGGTGGATGCAAGTTGCAAAGTTCGTAAAGGACACAGCCTAGAGACCAGATATCGCAAACGGGTGAATATGGATTATCCATCAAAACTTCTGGCGACATATAGTAGGGAGTTCCCACGTAGGTCTTTGCAAAATCGTTCTGGGAAGTAAGCATTTTGGCGAGGCCAAAGTCTCCAAGCTTGATAGTTTTGCCTGAATTAAGCATAAGTATATTATCAGGTTTGATGTCCCTGTGAATGATGACAGTCTCTGAATCAACATGCGGTTCAGATGTCTGTTCGGATCCACGAAATAGATCAACCTTCTTCGCCTCAATCCCATAATGACAACGATGTAGCGCAAGAAGGGTCAGTGTCATCACTTCCCATACGAAACCTTCAGGAACAGTGTCTCCGTTCTTCTTAAAAGTAGATATCACCTTGCCCAAGTCTCCTCCATCACAGTACTCCTGGTAGATATGAATGACCTTTTCCTCAGGCAAATGGTCATGAAGATAATATTTGACAACATTGGGATGGTTTAGCTCACGGAGGATGCGTAGTTCTGAAATGATATTATTTCTCTCTTGTATGCTCATAGACGTATACTCAATCTCCTTTCGAACAAGCACCTCTCCAGTCTCCTTCAGCCGTACTTTACGCACGGTACCGAAGGAGCCCTTCCCGATAACCTCTAGGGGAGTATATTTCTCAGCAATTGTGGCCATGGCAGACCGTAGCGTTCAATGCAATGTAGACTTGGGTCTGTTGAAGTTGTAAGTTTATTGTTTGCATGGATGCTAAATCGGGAAGTCACATATGGCTTAGTGTACAGGGAACAGTGAGGCTAGCCAGGCAGAGAGAAAAAAAAATAAGAATAGTAGATGTGCTGCGAAAAGACGTTACTACGGGTATGCTAATGCCATTGACCGAAAAAAAATAATGTCAAGAAGGAAACAATAATGGCATGTAAAGTCAACCACTAACCGATGCACAAAGACTATGAAAAAAAAAGTATGGTGGTTATTGCTCGTCAAAAGTCTAATTTCCCGCCTGAAGGTTGCCCTGTTCTGGCCCCAATATCAACATGCTTGACGAAGCCTTCGATGCGGGCCATGCCACTAATAGTTCGTCATTTGGGGAACAAAACGAATGCATCGACTATTGCAGAAGCAAGATGATGCAAATAGGAAATTTTGCCAAGGCGAGGTGAGATCGTGCCTGGAGTCAGCAATGCATGTAATTTATCTGTATACGAGATGATATAGAGATTTTCAATACCCTGGCGGCACCGGCATCGGGGCGTTCACAAAATGCAATATAACAACGGACGATTAGTGAACAGATTGAGCTTTTGCCAAGCTTGTGTAACCTCAACGGTTGCTTCAATGGCTCATCCCATTCTCTGATAGGCTTGAAGAGGAATGTGTAATCATTCATGTTGCGCTAGCGGCCTTAGCCTCTTTGGAAGATGAATTTCGGTTGAAGCAGCCGATGAGGTATAAGTAGATGAGATGGCTCCTTGAAAGCTTCAGTTTTTTTTTCTTTCTTTTGATCATCAATCAACTCAATGAGATTCTCTTCTATTCTTTCCATCGCTGCTGCTGTGTCTGCTGCCCCAACTGGCTTCTTGTGGCAGGAATCCACCAATGTGTCCACCATCAAGGTCCAAACCACCTGGACTGACACTTGGAAGACTTCTTTCGACATCCACGACTCGTGCAGCCCTGTGGAAGCTAACCAATTGAGACAGGCTTTCGAGGAGACCGAGCGTTTGGCCCACCACGCCAAGCTCCACACTCTCCGTAACGGTAACTCTTCCGAGTTCTACAGAAAGTACTTCGGTAACGCTCCAATTGGTGAGGTTGTTGGTAACTTTGAGGGTGTCATCTCTGCCAACACCACTGGAATCTTGTTCCGTTGTGACGATCCAGATGAGAACTGTCACCAAGATGGTTGGGCTGGTTACTGGAGAGGCGAGGACCACAGTGACGAAACCAACATCTGTCCATTGTCTTTCGAGAGCAGATTGTGGTTGTCCCAGTTGTGTTCTCACAACTTCACTGTTGCCGGTTCTAAGAACTCTGAAATCTTTGCTGCTGACATTCTCCACAGATTGTGGCACACTGAGAAGTTGGGCCAGAACGTCATTGGTCACTATGCTGACTCTTACGAGGACTGCTTGGAATTGGCTAAGACTAACGAGTCCGAGGCTGTCCGTAACTCTGCTACCTTGAGATTGTACGCTTTGGATGTCTACGCTTACGACCTCTCTGTTCCAGGTGAGGGTTGCACCTACCCAGATGAGGACGCTACCGAGTCTGACCTGGGAAGTGCCTCTGCTACCACCGTTGTTGCTGCTTGCCACACCCACTCTGATGGAGAAATCCACTGCGAGTAATTATACCTTTCACTTTAAATTCTTGCGTTAACATTTATTTCTTCGCCTAGGTGTTTCCACCATCAATAAAATTACACAATAAAAATTTGTAGCAAAATAAAGCTTTACAAGGAAAATTGGTCTTGCAAAAACTTGTTGATGCAAGTCTAGTGCATAGTGTATAATCGCTTTTGCGTTAAGGTAAACCGCTTATTGTACCTGATGAGTACAGTTGCCGCATAAACGAAGCAAACCATCGGGTATTACCAAGTTTGCTTGGATAACTTCCACTGTGAATCTGCCTTCTAATGTCTCTATTGTAGCCTTTCTGATTTTTTGTCACACGCTGCTTTACAGTAGGACCAGATAACAATGACAAATCATTTTTAATGACAAGAATGGCAATCTTCAATTTGGCCACTCAACTGTTTAAGAAGACCGGATTAAAAAATCGAAAAGTACTTCGACATCATATTATCAAAATCTATTAGCTTATATGGAAACACTCAAGTTCTACGAACATTACCTCCAACTCCAACAGCAAACCAATCAAGTGAGGCACTTGATGATTTCAGCATGCTCCGGGTATCGGCCCAAAAGATCGGTCTGTTCAAAGAGATGGAATTCTTTAAAGTCAAACCCAGGAGACACCATGCAACTCACCAATGCCCATCCGGTCTCGACCGATGAGCCGAAGATCACACCTCTGGGAACTTCAAACTGTACCACTTCACCAGCAGAAGGGTCTTTGCCAAGCTTAACCTTTTTGTACTCACCATTCGGATAAATACAATGCACTGTCAAAGGTTGTCCATCGTGGAAATACCATACTTCCTCGGAGTGAAGACGATGGAATCTCGATGGGTTCTTGTCTTCAAGCAAGAAGTGGATGTTGGTATATAACGGCACCTCAAGACCTGTCTCAGACTTGGTAAGGATCCTAGACCTACCAGTCTCGCTGTAGTAGCCACCTTCCGGGTGCGGTTGAAGATCGAGAGCCTTAATCCACTTATCACCCATGGTATCTGGTCGCAGTAGATATGAGATGATGCGAAATTGAATGGCGACGGAAGCCGCATAACTAACACACCGTGAAAGCACATGACTAGGACAGTAATTGTAAGACCCTAGGAGGCTTAACAGTTGGACTTATTGTTTGTCAGTGTAACTATGATGACAAAATTGTTAATGGAAGTAGGATACACAATAACAATGTTTTATAGTTGAAAGGGAACCCAAAGCTGAACAACAAATCGGCAACAGATATCAATATTCGACAGAGCAGATAACATGGAATCTGCCATATCATCCTCAGATCTCTAGGCTGAAGTAGTAGCACTTTGCTCCAATAACTATGGACGATACCGTCATGCTTAAGCCTGGAAAAAAGATCAAATGACTTTCGTCATCATAGTTGGTACCTAAAGATTGACGCTGATCCTCAACTATGCCATCGAATGAACCCAATGTCAGTCTTAATTAGCCATAAAGTCAATCCAGCTTAACTTTGCAGCCGACCCGCGGTAACTAACTAAGTACTAAGTAAAGTCTCAGTAGGTAAACCACAGACACCCGTCCACCTCAACTGCCGCACTATGGTTGGTCGAGAAAAAAACCTCCACCGGTTTATTCAAACAAAAGCATAGATCGAATCTACACCCCACTGTACGGATAATGTTTAGTGCTGTTGCTCGGAGAGCAGTGACTCAATCCGCTCAATGTGCGGCCCGTCGCTCCTTGACCACGTCAATTCGTTCTTTCCAGGATCTCAACACGAGACCAGGGTCCCCAGTCACTTCGCAACCAGTTAAAGCAAACGCCAACCCACAGGCAACGCTGCCTCTGGTAAAGGAGGAGGTCAAGCGTATTAATGAAAACCCTGAAGACCCTACCAAGAAGAAGAAGAAGTTCTCATTCACAGGATTCTTGTTCAAGACCCTCTTGTTTACGTCTGTGGTTTATGGTGCTACTTTGTACGTTGCGACTAAGAACGACAAGGTGATGGACTTTGTTATTGATCAGAACTTGCCTTACTCGGAAGAGTTGATCGAATTAATCGAGACTGGCTCTATTGAAGAATTGCAGAAGTCCTTGGGTCGCCTTCCACAGAACATCAAGCTTCCATCAAAGGACCAAATCGACCAGCTCACATCTAAGATCGAGAAGGGCGGTGAAACTTTGATCAAGGAGACCAAGAGCAAATTCTCCAAGTCAAACAAGACTGGATACACAACCCCTGAGGAACAATTGCAGAAGCCGGTGGAAATTGAGTCCGCTGGTGACGTGATAGAAAAGTTGCCTATGATTAAGTTGAAGGACGGTCTTTCTGACTTTGCCGATGACACTGTTACAGGCACCATCAAGTCTTTCAACGACTTGATTGCATTGGTGGATGCTTCCAACTTGGGTCCTCAGAAAGATGGCCTCATCAAGAACATTAACGAAAATGTCCACGCTTTGACTTCTAAGCTTGTGAAGTTGAGCACCTCTTTAGAAGAAGAACTTCAAAAGAAGTTGAAGACCACCCAAACTGAATTGCTTTCCGACTACACTCAAAAGGAGTTGGAATTGACGCAGAACTTGTTAGACCAATTCAACCATGAAAAGAGTAATTTGGAGAAGAAGTACAAGGCTAGAGTGACTGAAGAGGTTGAAGCCGCTAAAGCCGCTATTACCCAGGCTGCTGTCAATGCTACTACCATGGTCAGAGTTGAGCAAACAAAGAGATTCCAGCACATGGTCAAGCAAAAGATTGACGAGGAGAGAGATGGCAGATTAAGAAACTTGGATGCATTGAACCAAAGATTGGAAGAACTCGAGAAGTATGCACAAGCTTTAGAGGAGCAAGCAGTTGCCGCTAACAACAGAGGCGTTATCCAGCTGTCTTTGACCAAGTTGAAGTCTTTGATTTTTGCTACTGAGGCAAACACCCCAGCCAAATTCTTGACTCCATACGTTAACAAGATTGATGAAGTCACATCTAAGAGCCAAGATGAAGTGTTCAGCCTAGCTTTGAAGGAATTGCAGCCTTTGCTTGCCCAGGAATCTAACCAGTCCATCTTGTCCGTTCCACAATTGTTGACAGCTTGGGAGGAGCTTACGCCTGAGTTGAGATCGGCTTCTTTGTTGCCTCCTAACGCTGGTTTGTTGGGACATGTCGCTTCGGTCATCTTCTCAAAGTTCTTGTTGCCCGTGAAAGGTAACAAACCAGATGGCAAAGATATCGAATCCGTCATTGCCAGAGTAAACCTGAGCTTGGTTAGAGGACAGTTGGATGTAGCTGTTGAAGAGGTTGCCAACTTAAAGGGTTGGAGTAGAAAATTGGCTGACGACTGGGTTAAGGAGGCCAGAGTTAGATTGGAGGCCGAATTCTTGATTGGCTTGATAGATGCCGAGTCAAAGATTGTGTAATAAAAATTACGAACGTTAACAGAAATTGCAAGAACTGCATCTGTAGTATGGATGTATGTAGTAATGTGGTACTCAACGTTGAGAGCGTTTTGCATGGTGTGCACCCAACCTATATAGTTAGAAAAAAAGAGCTTGCAATAAACGTCAACGCTGCATGTCTTCGTCAGGTAATAGTGGAGCCGTTTACGGTGGCGATGAAATCAACGCCATCGTTTTGGATGCTGGAAGTCATACCACGAGGATTGGCTATGCTGGAGATGATTTCCCCAAGGTCATCATTCCTTCTAGCTATGCAAAGACAGATGATAACAAGAAGATCTTTGGCCACGGTATGGAGTTCCCACGTTCGAACCAAGAGATCGTTCCAATCATGAGAGACTCTCTCATTCAGGACTGGGATGCTGCCATCGAACAATACCATCATTACTTTGATAAGTTGTTGAAGGTTGACTACCAGGAACAGCCAATCTTGATTACTGAGCCAGTGTGGACAGACAAAACGTACAGACAGAAGCTAGTCGAGACATTTTATGAGCTGTTCAACTTTCCAGCATTGTATTTGGCAAGAACGCCTACTTGTGTCTCTTTCCAACAAGGCAGATCCAGTTGTTTGGTGGTGGACGTTGGCCATGAAAGCGCCAGTGTCACTCCGGTAGTGGACGGAATCTGTCTTCTTCGAAACTCCATGAAGACAAACTACAGCGGGCAATTCTTGAATGATCATATAAAAAACTTTCTTCACAAGAACTTTCCAGATGTGAATTTGGAGTTAAAGTATAAGATAAAGGAGAAGACTCCAACAGTCTACCCACACAGAGCAGACTTTGTGTCCAAGACCATACTTGAAAATATCACCAAATCATATGATGAGTACCAGGAGCAGAAGATATACTCGGAATTCAAGGAACTCATGCTTGAGGTGCCCGAGAAGAAAATGAATACAAGTAACGCACAAAATGCTGAAGCTATCAAGGAGCAATACGGTGATGATTCTGAGAAGAGACTATTTGAGCTTCCATCTGGTCAGTCAGTGGAAGTCGGTATTGACCGTTTCCGCCTCGCAGACACCTTGTTTGATCCAGCCAGTTACCCATTCGAGGATAAGGAAGTTGACGAGAAATACGCTGCCAACAATGGAGAACTAGATATCAGCAGCCCTTACGATGATTACCGTCCTTTGAAGAGAGCAAGAAAAACCGGATCGGGTCCATCAACGCCAACCCCAGCTCCAGAGAATGGAAGTACAGAAAAGACTGCTAGAGGTTTGAGCCATCTTATCACTCATGCCATTTCCTCCATTGACATTGACTTGAGAACCTCCATTGCTCATAATATTATTGTTACAGGAGGAACTTCTTTGGTTCCAAAATTAACAGAAAGGCTCTACAATGAATTGTCAAACTCCAACCCTGGTCTCAAGATCCGTTTACACGCAATTGGTAACGCTAACGAAAGAACAAACCAGGCATGGATTGGTGGAAGTGTTCTCGCATCGCTTGGAACTTTCCATCAAATGTGGGTAAGCAAAGCTGAATATGACGAAGCTGGTGTCGACAGGATCCTCACCCAAAGGTTTAGATAAAAATGTATAATAAGATATTTAAGGAGATCTGAATATTCTGTAAACTAGAAGGCCCTCGGTTAACGCATGTAATCAATTGTGCAGGCCGCTTGGATTGAGGCTCTCAAGATCGGACATTAAACAAGTGGCTCCTTCTTCAACCATGATTACACCGACTTTCGTGTACCCTCCTCAGCCCTCTACTGCTAGGGCCACCAGTTCTTTCCTTTCTTATGATCCACAAAACAACAGAATTGCTTATGCATCGGGCAGATCCATTATCGTGCGCTCCTTAGACAGTGACAAGTTACCAATCCAATTCACCAAACATATTTTCCCTACAACTGTCGCCACATTTAGTCCTTCTGGTAATTATGTTGCTTCTGGCGATGAGTCCGGAAATGTCAAAATCTGGGATACTTCAGTTTATGGGAAAGAGGACGGCCTGTTTGAACAACCAACGGTGAAGGCCGAGTACCAAATTCTTAGTGGTCCAATTAGGTCAATCGCCTGGGATGCTGATAATCAAAGAGTCATTGCTGTTGGCCAAGGTAAAGATAGATTCGGTCACTGCTTCACCTGGGATACTGGTAACTCAGTTGGAGAGATCCAGGGACATTCCGAAACCATCACTGCGGTTGATATTAGACAAGAGAGACCTTATAGAGTCTGTACAGCTGGTGTTGATATGTCCTTGGTGTTGTATACTGGCCCACCTTACAAGTTTGACAGAAGTATTCGTTCTCTTCACACTAACACTGTCAGGGACGTTAAGTATAGTCCCGACGGTCAGTGGCTTGTAAGTGGTGGCTCTGACAGAGCAATTGCCCTTTTTGACGGCAAAACAGGCGACAGCTTGCTGAAGCCTAGGTTCGGTCATGATGGTAGTGTCTTTGCTATCTCTTGGTTCCCCAATTCGTCAGCTTTCGTGACAGCGTCTTCTGATAACACCCTCAAAGCTTGGGACCCAAAGCTGTGTGAGACTAAGCACACGTACACTGTGGAGTCTCCCCCATCAGTCTCTAATCAACAGGTGGGTCTTATCCTTACCAAGGAGTACGCTGTTTCGCTCTCGTTGAACGGTAATTTAAACTTCTTCAAACACACCGATTCAACTCCCCTGAAGATATGGTATGGTCATCAAAAGACCTTGACGGCTGTGGCTTCAGATGATAAGTATGTCTACACTGGTGACTCAGACGGTTTGCTTATCAGGTGGGAAAAAGATGGCGATCAATTGAACCAGTATCCGGAGATCCTTGGGTCCAGGGAGGACCAGCATACAAACTTCGTTAGAAGCGTAATCAGTTCCAATGGCAATGTTTTGACCGCTGCTTGGGACGACAAGCTCAAACTTTGGAAGCTGGATGGTACTCTTGTCAAATCCGTCGAATTAGAGGCGCAACCAAAGCATGCTGCTACGTTTGGTGAAGTTGTTTGTTGTTCACGAAGAAAATATTCTGGTCTATGATGCCGCTAGTCTTGAGAAGCTAACCAGCCAACCATTGAAGTTTAAGGCTACATATGTTAGCCCTCTTTCCGAGACGAATGTCCTTGTTGCTAACAAGAGTGGCAACAGAATTGAAGAACTTCGTTTGGATTCTGGTCTCGAGACTGTTCGTTCTTACGAGGCATTGAGATCTTCCCCAACATTGATTAAGGTCTCCCCTGATGGAAAGTACGCCGCTGTGGCTGACACAACCGGCAAGTACACATTGTACAACACTAGCGATGGCTCAGTCGTGACTACTAGATGGGCGTTCCACAACAGTCGAGTTGAGGATGCCGAATGGACAGAAGACTCTCAGTTCTTACTCAGTGGAGGATTGGACAGTGGTATTTTTATCTACTCGGTAGCAAGACCAATGAAGGTCTTGAAGTTCCCATTGGCACACCAAAACGGTGTGACTGGCCTTAGTTGGTTGTCCTACGACAAGAAGGAGGGCTCGTTTGTGTCTACTGGTAGTGACGGTGTCGTGAAGACTTGGTCCGTCGATTTCAGCGCCTATGCTTAAACGGAGTAGAAGCTTAGCATTGCTAAAAAAATATTTAGATTTTTAACTTTAGTATGGCAAGGAAGATACCTTACCGCAAACAAATACTATACCCACAGATGTTTTTACGAACTGCTGCAGTGTAGCCTCATACCACCATATCCAAGGCCCGCCCAAAAAAGGCAGCCGCCCAGACTTTCCCCTGCCTGACACGGCTAGAAGACACAATAAAGCATACATAAATTTACTTTTTTTTTCTATTAGTTCTTAAACCTTCTTAAACACAACCAATTGGTTATACTTTGGGTTCACAGCTAAACTCAAATGCTAAAACCAACTTCACATCTTTGGGCAGCCCTTCAAGCAAGTAACCAAAAACGGAGTGGCATGGTGCGCAAAAGGCCCACAAAAAGTGCCTAATGTTCGAGGGTCTCCCAGCATCAGATGGGACATGCAGGCTAAATAGGTCGGACCCCAACCTCCACAACCGAGATTGAAAAGACTCCTGATCGGCTGAAACAGAGAAAAGACACGAATTTTTTCCCCGACCAACTTTTTCCTTTGAAAAGTTTGATTTTTTTTCCAGCTCGTTTTACTTTTAAATGTCTCAAGCACTTATCAAAGGAGCTTTGGATATCGACCCCTGGTTGGAACCTTACTCGGCTTCGCTTATCAGTCGTCAGTTACAATACCGCCAATGGCTTGAAACATTGGAAAAGTCTGAGGGCTCTTTGTTGGAGTTTGCCTCTTCGTATGAAAAATACGGTATCCATGCTGATCCATCCACCAAGGAGATCACAATCATTGAGTACATCCCTGATGTACAGCTGGTCTCTCTTGTGGGGGAGTTCAACGGCTGGGACGTGGACTCTCACCGCTTGGAGAAGACCAATGACTTTGGTTTGTGGAAACTTACGCTTAAACCGGTGAACGGAGAGTATGCCATTCCTCATGATTCCAAGTACAAAATCTCTATGGTGACTGGTTCTGGTGAGCGCATTTATAGATTGGACCCATGGGGCACTAGGGCCACCTTCAACAAGAACACCACTTTGTATGAGGGCAGATTCTGGAATCCGGAACAGAATTATGAGTTCAAACATGCCAGACCTCATTTGAATGAAGTTGAAGGCTTGAAGATCTACGAAGCCCACGTTGGTATCTCGTCTCCTGAGCCCAAGATCGCCAGCTACAAAGAGTTCACCCAGAACACCTTGCCTGTTATTCATAAACTAGGATATAATACTATCCAGTTGATGGCCATTATGGAGCATGCTTACTATGCCAGTTTCGGTTATCAGGTGACGAACTTCTTCTCGATCTCTTCTAGGTACGGTACGCCTGAAGAGCTTAAGGAGCTCATCGACGAGGCCCACAGGTTGGGAATCAGAGTGCTTCTTGATGTGGTTCATTCCCATAGTTCGAAGAATGTTGAAGATGGTTTGAACAACTTCAACGGGACAGACCATTACTTATTCCATGGTGGAGCCAAGGGTAATCACGACTTGTGGGATTCCAGATTGTTCAACTACTCCAACTATGAAACCTTGCGTTTCTTGTTGTCCAATTTGAAGTTTTATGTCGATGTTTACAAGTTCGATGGATTCAGATTTGATGGTGTCACTTCCATGTTGTACAAGCATCACGGATTGAGTTACGGCTTCAGCGGTGATTACAATGAATACTTTAATTCTGACTTGGTCGACAATGATGCTATCGCTTACCTTATGCTTGGCCACCGCTTACTTGAAGAGATCACCGAGGCTGATAAGAATGCTGTTTTCACAACCGTGGCTGAAGACGTCAGCGGTATGCCCACCTTGTGCTTACCTATCTCTCAAGGTGGTATCGGCTTTGACTATAGATTGTCTATGGCTATCCCAGATATGTGGATCAAGATCTTAAAACATTTGAGGGATGAGGAATGGGACCTTGGCAATATTGTCTTCACCTTGACTAATAGAAGACACGGAGAGAAGTGTATTGCTTACTGTGAATCTCATGATCAGGCCTTGGTTGGTGACAAGACAATTGCTTTCTGGCTCATGGACAAGGAGATGTACACAAATATGTCTACACTTTCCCCTATGACAGAGACAGTCAGCAGAGGCCTCGCTTTGCATAAGATGATTCGTCTTGTAACATTCGGCTTGGGTGGAGAAGGCTACTTGACATTTGAGGGTAATGAGTTTGGTCACCCAGAATGGTTAGATTTCCCTCGTGAAGGTAATGATGACTCTTACCATTACGCTAGACGCCAGTTCAATTTGATTCATGATGAATTATTAAGATACAAATTCTTGTTCCGCTTTGATTCCGCCATGCTTGAACTTGATACAAAGTATGGAGTTTTGTTGAAGCCACAAGCGTATGTATCGTTGAAGCATGAGATCGATAAAGTCTTGGTCTTTGAGAGGAATGGTCTTTTGTTCATTCTTAATTTCCATCCTACTCAATCTTTCCCTGACTACAAAGTCGGTGTAGAGAATGCTGGAGAATATCAGATTGTTCTTGATTCAGATGCTGAAGAACTCGGGGGCTTTGGAAGGATAAATGACGTTGATGATAAGGGCAACAAGATCAGTTTCCCAACCCTGCCAGAGCAATGGAACAACAGATCAAACGCGTTGTTTATCTACATTCCATCGAGAACTGCATTGGTCTTGCAGTTGAAGGACAAGATCAAAAATTAGTTACATTATTTAGGCAGAAGGAGGAACGAAGTCCAGATGAGTGTGACTGAATTGGACCATCTGTCTAGTAAAACGTTTAAGCTCTTCCATAACAACTTCGTCGTTCTTATCGATGTTACGTGAAGCCGCTCTCAATGCATGAATTGTAACAGGCCAAATGCTAGAATTACAGTAGCTTTGAAGGATTCCAACAAGATCCTTTGCCAACTTCACACGGTATTGGGACGGATATTTTGCCAACTGTTCCTCAATGAGAAAGTCGTCCATTATTCTTAACTTAGAAGCCAACTTGACGTAATGACTGATCTTGGCCAACTTGTAGTTCAAACCAACAATAGCGGTTGCCTCGTCTTTGAATAAGATATGAGGAAAGACCCTGGTTCTGGATGCTGGACGACAAACGCTTGGTTTCAAGGACACAGGAAGGTTGCGGTCAATATCATCCAATCTTTGGTTCAACTCCATCCATTGGTGGAATTCCTTGTTGTTAGTGAAGTCTTCCTGCGATATGACATCATAAGAATTAGAGAATTCGTTGATACTGCTCAAAGTTATGATCACCTTGTACTGCCACCAGAACGTGCTTTGGCCAGTAAGCAAAGAGCTAGAAAGGAAGGCTTCAACATCCTTCACTGATTTTGCTGGCTCATCCAGGTGGGAACTTGCATCGTTGAAAGACTCAAAATAAATAGGGTCCATTGCTTTCCATGTCTTCTCCAAGGAATACATATTTGGAAGCTCAAGCTTCAATGATAAAATTAGGTCACAAACAAACATTGCCCAAAAGCATGTATGATAAAAGGGGGAGTTCCCAATTAAGCTTTCTGATCTGTTTCTTCTGGACATGATGGATATGAAAATACTGGCAGCACCCTTCACATAAGTGCTGTCAATTGCAACGAAGAAAAGCTCATAGATGCACAATAAGATTGTCGATAATAAACAACGAGCAAGTATACCGTTTCTTTCGTCTTCAGCATCTGGACGGCTGAGGTGGTGTCTGATGGTGCCGACTGTTTTTTGATAGTATTTGAGAGGATACGATGGGTCGATCGCATCTGGGTTGATTCTCAGGAGAATTAATGAGCTTAGACAGAAAATGGCATTGAGAATCATTTTGGTATCCTCATATAAGGCCAATTCGGCAACAAGCTTCTGGAAACACTCGTGTGGTAAGAATGAGTCTATGCTTTTGGAAATCACATGGACAAATAAATCAAAGAGCTTCACTTCAAGTTCGCTTTCAAGAGTATTCTCGTATGCTGAAGCAAGTGAAGCTCTGGGTGATGGAATCTTCAAGGCTTCTTGGAAGTCATCATACAAGGAGTCTAATGTATGCTCGCTTAAGGTCTTCTCTTGCTTCTTCCTCGCAAATTGCATCTCCAATGCCTCATGACTAATTTTGTTGATTTTAGGTTTCGAGTTCTTCTTAACGCGTCTGGGTTTGAAAGTAGTCCTCAATTCCTTAGCACCCATCGGTGGCAGCAACTCAACCGGCGATGCCGTTGGTCTGGCAAACCCAGACAGCAGCAGAATTAACGGTTGTAATTGAGCATTGCCATGTATTCTAGACATGAGAGGAGCACGTCCATAACGTCCATCATCTTGTCCGGCCACATGGTGTTGTTGTGGTTGACCAGGGTAGTATAATGGTTGTGACTGCATCGGTGGATAGAAGTTGCCTGGGTACGGCTGGGGTGGTCTCTGATGAACATTGTAGATCATTTGGGCACCTAAACGAGGATCCTGGGCCGTCGGCAGCGGCTGCGGGAGAATATGGGACGAGTTCAGGTACTCGCCGTGCCTTTTATCGGAATTGATAGGGTTGACAACAATCGAAGGGATCTGTTGCGGTGCACCGTGATGATATGGAAAAGGCTGATCCAGCGATGGATGATGAGCATGATGAGGAGTGTGGGCACTTGAATTAAAATGAGACATGTTTTGTAACAGCTAACTCTTGGAGTGAAGAAGGGTCTGTTGGAAGAAAAAAAAATAACAGTGAGCTGGATAAAAACAAGAGTAGCGAGTAAACAAAGTCCAACGCAAGACGAAAAATCTAAAGTGATAAGTTTAACCGCGCAGGTGCGAGCTGCAACCCGGGTAAACACCCAAAGTGCGGTGGAAAACCGTTAGAATGCCCCCCAAAAAACATCCGCGGGGTTCGTGGAGGATCCGTATTTGTAAACTGCCAGGTTGTTACATTCCAACAGTTGAGGTATGCCACTGTGGGTGGCTCGGTCTTCGTAAACGCATAGGCTCGGGCGACGCAATGGAAATCCGGGGTCTCGCCAAAAAGTGGTACGTTCGTATACAAACCCAGTTTCTACGTTCCTGAAGAGGCTGTGATGATAAAGAAGAAGTCAATTTTTTCTTGATGAAATTTCGCAAAAGTCCCTCGTTTGCTCTATGTCTCTTGTTTCATACGATATACCCGTAAGTGCATGGTCCAAAGCCGCAGAAAGGCATGGCCAAACTACAGGCATAAGCGAGCCCTCCACCCAACTACCAGTTATATAGCTTGTACATGGCAGATAAGGAATTGACAGTATTCGTGGTGGACTTACACCCCGAAGCTAGACCATCACATGATTATTTGTTTGATGTATTGGCTGGCAAGCTTCTTAAAGGCTTGAAGACGGACTATGTTTCAGTGGTGGCATACCACTCTTCCAACACCGAACATAAACTAGCAGACAAAGGCGTGTTTCCAGGTATTGAAGTGCTAATTGACTTTAAGGTACCATCATATGACCTGTTGTCTTTGTTGAAGAAGAAGTTGGTTGTAAATGATGACTGGGACACGTCTCAGAGTGACAGTTTTCAAAGTCTCATCTTCTCCTTGAGTCTTCTTGAGGACACCAAGAAGAAAGCATTCACCAGAAACATCGTGGTACTCACAGGAAACAGATCTCCTTTGGAATCTCTTACAGAAGAGAAGGCTGATTCTATCCCAAGACTCCTTCAAAACCTCAATGTAAATTTGGTGGTGGTTGTTTCAGATCTTCAGAATGGCTCAGATGGCCAAGCCAAATGGACCTTGCTACAACCTGCTTTCACCAAATATGTGCTTATGTCGTCAGACGAAGCAAGATTTGTTACACAGAATGTGCCTCCTGCCAAAAAGACGAGACCGCTACCGATATACAAAGGTGAGCTCCGTTTCAGCTCAAATTTCAGCTCTGTGCTAGAAGACACTTCTTATAATGCAGAGGCAGACGACAACGCCTTGGCCTGGCCTGTTGAAGTATACCCTGCTGCTAAAAAAGAGTCTGCATCAACATCAATGCATGACTATCTTGTGGATAATGGGAAACTCGTACGGCTAGAGAGGAAGACGTCCCACTATGTCTGGTCCAAAAATGAGGAGTATCAAAGACCCGAGTATCCTGATGAGGAGGATGTTGACCAGAAAAAGTTCGACAAAGTCGAGGTGGAGTCTAAGGATTTTACCTCAGGGTTCAAGTTCTCAAACTATGACTTGATTGCCTTAGATGAAGACTTGATGGACTCGGCTAAGTTAAAAATCTTCTCTTCATTTGATATCCTCAGCTTTATCAAAGCAGATAGCATACCACAAGCATACCTAACGAGCGAAACATTCTTTGTTGTGCCCGAGAAGATGGCCTCTCTCCGGACATCCCTTAATCATTCTGCATTCGTGAAGGCTCTTTATGATCTTGAGGTTGCAGCTCTCACTAGGTTTGTGAGAAAGCAAGCGAAGGAAGTTGAACTTGGTGCTTTGCTACCCATCAAAGTAAAGGATGGCGACACCTTCTCCTACAACTTTCTTCTTGTACGTTTGCCTTTCAAGGAGGATGAGAAGATCGGGAATTTTCCAGTATTAAGCGAGGGTCGACAGGAAGTTAAGTCTGAACAGTCAACATTGATGGAACAGTTCATCGACTCACGTACTTTAAAGCCTGACCTGAAAGCCACCGGTGTGTTTGCGAACACAAGAGTCACTATGAGACAATCAGACTCTGCAAAGCTTCCCTTGCCTGGAGCAGATGGGAATGACAAGCTACTCGTATCCGCCCCAAGTCAAGTGCGGTTCTTGCGCTACATCAAAACCATTTTGATCAAATCATTGGAAGCTGATGATTTGAATGAGTTCTTCATGCAGAAAGACTTCGTAAACAATGTGATACGAGACGGTTCAGGATTTACGAATTTCTTCAACTTGAATAATTGCTTGAACCAAGATGCCACTAATACAGATGCTTGGCTTCAGAAACTTTCAAGCTCTTCGAAGTCGCTTTCAAAACGTTTGGTTGATGAACTGGACATTTCATTTGTGCGCAAGGCAGATATCAAGAAGAAGAAAGGTGCTAGAGCGGGTGATGCTTTCAGTACGAAGGGTAACTACGGTGCTGATGAAGGTGATTATGATGAGGTCCCAGATTTCGGGTTTTAGTCTATTTACAATTTGAAAAGCTGATTACGCAAATCATACTCTCTGTCTTTCGCTGTTCTCTTCCTGTTTGAGGATGTGGCCGTTCCATCGTCGCCTAGTCTATCCACAAGTCTGCTGTATACGCCTGTCTCTTGAACTCGGCTTCTTTCCTCGTTCATTATCTCCCGCATTTCAGAAGCCTCAATTTCGAGGATCGCTTCTTTGTCAAAGAGACCCTTGAACCGTCCATCTCTTGCTTGTCTCCAAGAGTCTACCCAAAAGTTTGCCATGCCCACTTCGTCGTAACCGCCATCTGGCCTGAGCTTGCCTCTTTTCAGCGCAATGTTATAGAGCAACTCGTGGATATCATTAGTGGGATGGTCGATGTAAGTTTTGTATAATTTGCCGTTGGGTTTCTGCAAGTTGAGCACAAATAAAAGGTAGTCTGCCAAAATTATAGGATCAACGAATGAGTTGTGAACGCACCCCACAAGAGCCAAGGAAAGCATAGTTTCACTATCCTTCACTGTAGGTAAAAATACACCTGGGGTATCGTAGACAAGAATATCAGGGTCCTGACTTAAGCGAATAACCTCACTTGTGGATCTTGTAACACCCGGTTGCCCTCCAGTCCTAGCCACCTTCTTCTTTTAGTAGAAACACCCTTTGGAAGCTGTGACTCGTAACCTGTGGACCGTAGGGTATTTACCAAGGTTGACTTACCCACATTAGGCATTCCAATAATCATTGTACGCAATCCAAGAGGAGGAGGAGGGTACATATTGTCATACTTTTCTTTTAGAAGCTTGAGAATGGATTTTGCATCTCTGTTACTTCTTGCATCGATGAAGAGAAACTTTTCGTTTCCGTGCCATTTCTTCTGAAGATTTGGTTTAAGGACAGAAAGATCTTTCTTAGAATACAACACGATCTTTTCTTTCTTCGCTAGCACTTTATCAAAAAGCACATTTGTAGTGGAGATGGGGGCTCTGGAGTCTCTTACTTCTAGCACAAGATCTACTTGTGGAGCCAAGTAGCTGAATCGTGTGAGGGCTTTCTGATGATGACCTTTAAAGTTGGAAAGCGGTAGCCTATAATCAGGAAAAAATCTCCTGGGAACAAAGGACATGGTTGTTTCTAGAGTATATGATACTGGTTTGTATGGGGATGTATATCGCGATGATGGCCTACTAGTTTACAGGAAACTGAAAATCTCACCAACACTAGAATGCCGTTAATCACGTTCACGGGATTGCCCTGCTCAGGAAAAACCAAATGGGCCAAAGAGCTTATAAGTGAGCTTGAAAAGAGAGTCCAGGCTGCTCAAGAATCTAAAGGGCCAGGACACAACTACAAAGTGGTTTACCATTCAGATGAGACTCTTGGCTTAAGCCACGATTCATATAGAGAGTCTGTCACTGAGAAGAGTTCCCGTGGTGCTCAGATGTCGGCCGTAAAGAGAGATTTGTCAAGAACATCTTTTGTGATTCTTGATTCTCTTTCCTACATCAAGGGATTCAGATACCAGCTCTTCTGTGAGGCAAAGGGTGTTGTTACTCCACATTGTGTAATCCATGTGGTGAGTTCTTTGGAGAAATGTATGGAAAGAAATGAGCAAAATGGAAGCCAGTGGGATCCAGAGCTTATCAAACAGCTCCAAATGAGATATGAAGAGCCTAAGGAAGATGCTAGATGGGACTCGCCATTGTTCACCTTGGTATCTGACTTTGATGATGAGAAGCTCCCTGTTGATGAGATCTGGGATGCACTTGTGCTCAAGAGGGCTCCTCCTCCTAATGCTGCAACCCTTGTCAAACCCACATCCAACAATGACTATTTGCAACAGTTAGACAAGGTCACTCAAGAAGTCATAACTAAGATACTTCAGCATCAGCAGCTTCTTGGTGGTGGCCAAGTTCGTGTATCAGATGGGTTGACAATTGACTTGCCTGTGAATACGGTCAGTACACCACAGCTCCAAAGAATAAGAAGGACCTTCATCTCGCTAAATAAGATGCGCCATATCGACTCAGACAGAATCTCAACAGTATTTGTGGACTACGTCAATGCTAGCTTCAACAATGAAGACTAGTCATATAATGAACTCATGCAATATTATTATACGTTAATAGACCCAATGCAAAATAGTGAAAGCTTAACGCTTCCTCTCGTTTGTCCATTTAAAGTGGACATTACCATCATCATCAAACATCTTCTTCTTTCCACCTTTCTTCATCAACTCCTTGGTCGTTTCTAGTTTGTCTTCGACTTGCTTAAGTTGTTGTTCCCTCTCCATTCTCTCCTTTAAAAGCTTATAGTCCGCAAGCTTCTGTTTATCTATCGTTTCCTTATCATCAAAGTCCAAATCGTCAACGATCTTTTGACTCGACTCCAACTGGTTCATACGAAGTCTATTTTCTTTCCTCTCGAGCATGCTTTCGTCAGTGTTGAAAAAATCGGCAGCCTTGAACAGACCAACATCGTCTTCATTGTCAACGAAAACAGTATGCTTACCCTCAGCCTTAAACCCAAGCTTATTCTTAAGCTTGTCGATCTTTTGGGTTTCATTTAACCTCATCGTTCTAACGTAATTCAGATCTTGCGACTTGTAAAGTTTAACCTGTTGGTTTGAAAGCGCTTCATTGCCTCTATCCGTGATAAGAATACCATCTTCATCGGTTTTCTTCTTGGTCATCGCATGGTAGTATTCATCTGGGTTATACTGGGCAGCCTTCTGCCTGAGAGCCCTTAAAGCAGCCTGCTTCTTATGGTAATCAGCTGCTCTCAAACGGTAATCCTTCTTCTTCTCCAAGAGACCATATTTGGCTCTGTCCAGAGTCTGGGAACGCTCTCTATGTTGCTTCTTTTGGACGTTGTGTACTAATTTGGCCATGGTAAGCAACTGTAGATGTTATCCTCCTCTCTATTTTCCAACCTCATCGCACAGTAGTATCTCGTAGATCCATGCAGGGAACTCGATAAGACAGTAGTTAAGGTCCCCTACCATGTGGACCAACACCCTCTATATAACAAAATACATTCTACAAGACTTCATATTCATATTTCGGTATTTTGAATTTCTATATCGGACACATATCGATTCAAAGTTTGGCATTTGATGCACCAAGCCGACTAATCGGGGTGCCACTCCTTGAGAGTAAAATTGCACCCAGCAACAGCAAAGAGCAAAGCACATATTGCACTTCAAGATTCCCATCTAGTTATTGAGCTTCTAAAAGCCTAAAGATAAATTAAATCTTCCTTTTTTGTCGTAAAAAGGTGCTTGAAACATTTATTTGAAAAGTGATCACGTGATTTCTCTACTACTTCAGCGAATTTTCAGTAGTGTGAGCCAACACGACAGAACCATGATTAGGCTTCCGACGTTAGCGAAACGAATCTCACGTGTGGTTCCAGCTCCTCTTTTCGCTAGACCACAAGGAGTTATTCGACTCTACTCTGAAAAAGTTTCCACACAAGAGTCCGCTGAACCCCAGAAGGAGGAACCCGAGCATACTATAGACGTCCCTTGGTATCTTAGAGATGATGTGGCTTCCCCTTTACATGAAGAGAAGAAAATAGAACTCCCGTCCATTTCTGATAGTGCTCCAGTCGAAGTTTCCAAATTTTGCCACCTTTTGGCCGAGGAATATGGTATGTCAGATATCGATCTCTTTGATATGACCGAACTTGACGATTCTCATGAATTCAAAGCCAATAACAAAGACATTGACTACATAATAATCTGCACCGGAAAATCCGAGAAGCACAACTTCAAAGCAGCTGGCGAGTTTCGCCATTATCTCAAACACGAATATAACTACAGTCCAGTTATGGAGGGTATGGTCAACGGAGCGATGTCCCCAATCATGCGTAGGAGGCTTCTTAGAAGAGCTTCCAGAGGGCCTCCAGCTACTTTCAACGACTATGGAAAGGCTGCAAATTCATGGATAATGTGTCACCATGACCATATCGATGTACACATTATGACGAAAGAACGCAGGGAAGATCTAAATCTCGAATCTCTTTGGTGCAAGCCCGAGGACGCCGAGAAGTATGCTCCTAAAGAGCAAATGCCAACATTTTCAGACCACATTTTCAGTGGCATAAGACGGTTCCATACGTCTGCAAGGACGTTATATGCGAATCTGATGTCATTGGAGAGTAATCTTACTGAATTACAGAACCTCAGCATGGATGCCTCTGACCAAGATATAAAAGCTCGTATCGATGCCTTTGAAGCAGACATTTCCAACCCTACATTCAAGGATCATAACTTAAGATACGAACTATACAGATCTGTTCACCTCACACGACCTGACCTCGTATCCTTCGCTCAAGCAGAAGAAGCCCTCTTGGCCAAGTACGCATCATTAGAGTTGGCATTTGACAAGACAGTTGACTATTCGGACGAGAAATCGAATGACGTCGTCAAATACATCAAACTCATCATAGACTCCCCAGAATGGTCGTCGCCAAACTTCGAGCATAACCAAATCGATAAACGATTTAACCAACTTTCTTCATTCCTCCGCGTGATCTACTGCTTTTCCCAAGAACGATTCAACATGACAGCAAATCCAGAACTAGTACCCCTTCTTTGGCGTCTTTCATTGCACGAAGATCTGGAGCCGATTACACCATTAACGGTGGACCGCATAATTCAGGACGGCGAGGAGATCAACCGAAAAGCTCCAGCACCTTCACTTCATTTTGCATCCAACAAATTGAGAGATGTCCTATTTCTTCTATCTCGTCATGAGTCGCTCGATGGTTCTAACTCTGAGCTCACCGGCATGTTCCAAGAACTTATCTTGTTCACTTATGGTAATGCCTGGAAGTGGGACAAGTTCTGGAACCAATGGGCCACGATCTGCCTATCAAGAATACCACCCACAAAGGAAGAGACTCTTCGGTCCTGGTTAAGACTTACAGTCTTTCTCAGTCTCACCAACAACAGAGCTCAAATCTTGCATTACTTTTCTCAACACTGGGACGTTGGGTCTGAAGCTGGTGGAACAATGATGAAGGCATTACGTGACTGTGACGGTAAATTTCCTTCCGCCAATGAAGAAACTGCTTTCAAGAACGCTGTGATCTCCATGTTGGATAGACTCGGGGACGGAAAATTTGAGAAAGTGCGGGACTTCATTGATGAGCTTTGAGCCCTACCTTTTGTATATAGAGTTTTGCAGCCAAAACGCGAACACTACATGTAACTAGACATCTCCACAAAATGTGTATCGCGTCGCGCTTCAAGTCTTCTTTCTCCATCATGTCAGTTGAAAAAGAACTTCTACAACATAAACTACAGATTAAGCAATGGGAGAAGGCATTTGCTAAGACGAATGGACGTGTGCCTGCAAAATCGGATGTCAAGGCCAATCCGGAAATATATAAAGCATACAAGACATATAACTACTTGAAATCTAAACAAAAGGGAAAACAACAGGATGGCAGCAATGGCCAGTCAAAAGCATCAAAGTCAGGAAGCAAAGGCAAGACTAGCTCATTAGAACCTTTAGATTTCATCCCCCTTCCTGTTGAAGCTGACGACGACTCGAATGAACCTCATGAGACCAATCCACCCTTGAATGCGGAACTAGGCCCCACACCACAAGCCAATGGAAAAGTGCTTTCATTATTCGATATCTTAAGTCCTCCTGAGTCTTCTCCTTTGGCTACATCTAAGGTGGTTCCCAAGTCCATGAATTCATCGCCATTGAAGGATACCACTGTCTTCAAAACGCCGACAAAATCAGTGAAAAGAATAGACTATGCTGATCTCACGCCGGCTAGGAACAGTCTGGCCAAGAAATCACTTACGTCTGCTCTTCAGCTGGTATCTACACCACTGAAGAAAGAGTCAGCTGGCCCTGACGAAAAGCATACAAGCATCGAAACACCTTTCTATCTAGGGAAGATTAACAGCAAGTTTCAGTTTAACCCTGAAGCAGTGCTGCCGTTGAAGGGCTCACCATCATCACCATATAATGTCTCGGTTCCGACCATTAATGATCCAGTCACGCCGTCAAAGCCAACAATAGAACAGCCTCGTTTCCTGACATCTCCTTCTCCTTTCAAAACAGAAAGAATGTCCTCATTCGGGAACAATAAGAAACTTACTGATGTCTTTAATGAAGCTATTAGCTTTCAGATCGATGAACAGCTTAAACTTGAAGTGGAGCTGGAGCTTATGTTAGAAATGGAACGGGATATTAATGAAGAAGAAGAGAATGCTGAGGAACAGCTTCCAATGCGTACAAGCAAGAAGCGCCTCACTCAAAAGAGAACCACCAGGCGTTGGAAGATCAAGCCTCGTTCTGAGGACGAGAGGGCCGAACTGTTTGACGGAAAGAATGTGCATGAGGAGATAAAGAAGATTGAGGACAGGGAACAGCAAGAGTTGATTGAGTATATGAAAGGTCCATCAGAAATGGCCGATTCTACTGATTCAGACGACGAGGAAGAAACTGAGTACGTCAGACCAGCACCGCAAGCATCTGAGCCTTCGAAGAAGCGGACAAAGCTCAAACCTATCAGTAACAATTTCCAGCGTTTGAAGATCAATGATCCTCGTTCCAAGAAATTTAAGCAGAGAATGAAGAGACGTTAGTTCTCTATTAAGCTATCTAGGAAAGATGGTTATACATATCACGAAGGCATAGCAACGAGTAATTCATCATGATCAAGACCGTCACCAAACTGCACTTTTGAATGACGGGGTATTGTAGATCCATCCTGTTCTGCCGTAGGTTTATCGTTACCTACGTAGACCGGTCTGGCCCACTTTTTATCGTCGTTTTCGTAATCCCAAGTATTTTTAGCCATGGAAAGCTCTTGATCAATTTTTTCCTGTTGAATCTCTTCCTGTAGATCCTTGATCTCGTCGTCATGCTCGGTAGTGTCAGCTTCAACATGTCTTTCCACCATCTTGACCTTTCCGTCCCTAATGACCATTTCCATGACCTTCTTTGTTCTACCGGTTCTCTCTTTCTTTTGCTCCTCGTACTTCCGTTGTTGTCTCTGCAGTTTTTTAAGTTGGAGAGCTCTTTCCACTGGTGATAGCCACATGCTTCCACTGGATTGCAGTGGCATTTCGAAATCAGCAGCGTTATCAATGATTCTTGTCCTTTCTGCTCCAGTCGCTTGGAAATCAAGGAGAGTATTAAGTCTCTCTTGTGCCTTTAGAAGATCTGGGTTAATGTCTTTCGTCTTCTCGTAATGCTCAAGTTCACTAATTTGCTGTTCGAGCTCTTTCTTCTTTTGTTCATCAAGCTCTTTCATTTCATTGAGCTTTCTCCTCTCCTCATCTGCCTTCTTCAAAGCAGCCTCTTGAGCCTTCCAAAGATTCTCGCCGGTTCCAACCGAAACTTTGATACCCTTCTTGGGTTTCATATGGGAGGGCTGTTGCTGTACTGCTTTATCAGTAGGCCTTTCCTTCTTTACGTCGAGAAGACCCTTTTCTGATTTTAGGATGTTGATAATCTCATGCTTTTCCTTATCGGATAGAAGTTCCCGCCCGCAAAAGGAGCAAGGTTGCAAGCCTTCCTTGGAGCAAATGATCTTGCCGCAATTAAGGCAATTTGGAGCCACCTCGAAGAGTGGATGTCTAGTTGCCATGCAATTGCAAACACGGCGAGTATTCTTCAGTGATTGGTCGAGCTCGGTGGCTGCTTTCTCCACCTCGAGGTCATTGAGGGCAGCCTCTATATCTCTGAGGTTGTCAAGGTTCTTCTTCTTCGTCTTTTTGGCATTCGAAGCGCTAAGCTTATTGGAAGGCTTTGTATCTGCAAGTTCTGAAGTAGTCACAGAAGATTTATTGTTCTTGAGCCTTGAATCTGAGCTTTTCTTCGGTTCAGATGACGAAGATGAGGCCCATGCATTCTTGCCTTTAACTGCGCTATTAGCAGTAGCTTTAGCCCTGGCCTTTTCTTCTCTTATCTGAGCAAGCCTTTCTTCATCCTCACGCTTGGTATCTTCTTCCTTTTTCAACTGCTTGAAGTTATGGATCAAACTGAATGTGTCATCGCTAGGCCCAAGAAGGTCTAGGAAGTGGCTCTCTAGCTCATGTTCAGACGGTAGCGAAAGGGCATATGTGACCATCTCCTTACACAGGTCCTTATCTATCGGTAGGATATTTGCTATAGCATTTATAGCGTACTGGTATAGCTTTTCGTATGCCATTGTCGATGTGGAGTAGTCTATGATGTAGGTGACTGAAATGCGTCAGTTGCGAAAAATCGTCTTGCCTTCGGCGGCTTATCTACTAGGGCCTCACATGAAATAAAGTATACACAATGATTTCCAAACGTTTTATAATTTAATTATTTAGGGCATACCTGGTTGCTTAGGCTTTTAATGTAATTTTAACCACTTTCAACCTCCATGTGTGAATACAGTTTGGGTGCAAATTTGCCCTACAATGCTCTGCGCCAGTTACCATTGTGACTACCCAGGCCAGCTACATCCACCACCGTCCAGTCAACCTTCACAACAGTTCAAATAGTGCCAGAACCAGATACCTGGGCAACCCCCAAAATGACTCCAAATCCCTTTTTTCCCACCGGAATACCAAGAACATGAGCCTTATTTGCTAGCATTGACGAGGCATGTTCGCGGCCCTCTGGGGGCCAAAAAGGGAATAATTATTGGTGGCCCAGGGCAAGATGGAGGATGCCGACAAACCACAACAACACACAAAACAACGAGTTTTCCATCTAAAGTCGTCGAAATTGGACTCCAAAGATACCTATGTTGAAGTTACCTTCCCTCTTATATTTACCCATCCCTCTTTTTGTACCAATTGGTGGTGGTTTCCCTAGTCCTGACTTGACGCCCCCGCCCTGGCAGACTCCCCATGGAATAATTATTCAGTCTGCGGGCGCCTGGCTGCAAACCGACCCCTGTTACTCTAGGCGACCATATGGAAAGAAAGATATAAAGTTTAAGCAAATGAAGCAATTCCACCCGTGGCTTCTTCGTTCTCCTTTAAAAGGGCAAGCGACTTTCCTCAAATATTGAGGTTTTTTTTTTTTTTTTTTCTTTGAACACTTCGTGAAAGCTACCTTGTGGTGATTCCCTCGAGAAACCCTGCGCTTCCAGCCTCCCTGCGCGATCTGCATCCTCGCCCTGGGTGAAACAACCGACAGCTCCAACTCGCAGATTCTGAAACACTGGAGGCAGAAAAAGGGAAGTTTGATTGATAAAAATTACAACCGCTTCGTACCACATTCTTCTCCAACATGCCTATGGTGATTGATAATACAAACTTTCAAACTGTGTCCCCTAAATGGGCCGATGATGCAATCGGGGCTTCGATCTCGCCTGCGCGCAAATGGCTGCAAAAAAACAGGCCAAAAAGAAACTCGGGCCCAAATCCACATAAAAGACGGGTTAAGCACTCCTGTCTTTCTCAAAACATGTCACAACCATCTGTTTCTTCTAATTGTGTTTCGCCTCTTGCCAACCCTACCATGCCTCCAGACGAGTTCAACATTCGTTATCTGATGCTTCTGAGCAACTTCATTGTCATTCACCGTCTTGGTTTGGGCTCTTTTGGCCAGGCGCTTTTGGCAAAGTATAAGAAAAACTCTTCTACCTTACTTGACCGTGATGACTCGAAACTTGGTACGATGATGGAGACCGTCTGTCACTCGGCGTCGATGCCCGACATCCAGCCCCGTAACAACGGCTTGGTAGCGATCAAGATGATGAAGAATCACCTTAAGAAGCATTCAGATTACCTCAAGATCCCTGAGGTCAGGTTCATCTATAACATTGGATGCCACATCAACTTGTTGCAAATGCATCATGTCTTCATCGACAGCTTGAGCGGCAAGCTTTGCATCGTCATGGAGGCCATGAACCAAAACTTATACCAACTCATTCAAAAGCACACCAGCAAGACAATGCCTGCTGACGTTGTCAAGTCAATGCTTGCCCAGATTTTGAATGGCATTCGCCATATTCACGCTCAAGGCTACTTCCATCGTGATGTCAAACCGGAAAATATCTTGGTGACTCCGACCGTGCAATACTACGGTGGCGTGGACAATGTTCCACCAGAGAGGGCGAACGACTTCTACATGGTCAAATTGTGTGACTACGGCCTCGCTAGGCACTTCACCAATACTAAGGATCTCACGTCTTACGTCTCGACCAGATGGTACCGTGCGCCAGAGATCTTGTTAAGGCTGCGATGCTACACTCAGCCGATAGATATCTGGGCCTTCGCTTGTGTTGCCGCCGAAATAGTCAATTCTCGGCCGTTATTTCCCGGTGCCAACGAGTCGGAGCAAATCTGGCATATTCTTAAGTGCCTCGGCCATCCTACGCAGCTTGATGCCGGGGGACCTTCCTTCGGCGGTTACTGGGAAGAAGGAGAAAAGCTTGCAGAGAACCTTGGCCTTTACATGCCTCCTACAAGTGGACTGAGCATGCAAAAGATCTTGCGTCGGTCCGGATATGACGAGTTAAGTGATGCACTTCGCCCATGTTTCTTATGGAATCCAGATGCGAGGCCCACGGTGTTTGAGCTCAGCCAACACCGTTTCTTCGAAGGCACGATCTTGGAAGAAGATCCACTTCACTTCGTCCTGAGTTCTACTCTTACCACCTGTGCCAGTCCCGATACTTTATATTCGGATACGATGGCCAGCAAGTCCTCGGATGTACTTCGCAGTCTTTTGAAGCAGAAGGATACAGGGTACGACGTTGTCAGCTTGAGAACGCCCTTCTTACTGGAACAAGACTTGTACAACGAGCACTTAAACTCCATTTTCGGGCTGCGGAATAATGTACCTTTTGAACATCCTCGGCTCGACGATGGCTGGGTCTTAGAAGGGGAAGCCGATGATGAAGACAAGGCTACCAGTGGCTTAGAGATGTCCCTGGTGGCCCCATTCGAAGAAGTTAGTTTCGACAATGATGCTTCTATTGCCCATAAGATCTCGTGTTGATGGCTCTGAAGTAGCCGCAGGCGGCTGCGAAAGTCGAGTGTCAACCGACAGCACACAAAGGTGAGTTTAATGATTGAAAGAAATAAAAAGTAATTGTTTTAACTGGAGACACAACAACAAAGCTGCTCGTAGATGGCCTCGTTTGTTTCTCCGAATTATCCAACTCTTGTCTTTGTTGGCGCCAATCAATAACTGCCCAAAACTTTAGGTGCCAAAAGTTCGGTCTATCATCTGACTACCCCACATCGTGACCTAAAAAGAAGTCGATGCCGAGAGGATCTTAGCACTAGTTAAGCCATGCAGGCGGTACCTTGTCTCCATATAAAGACCCAGATGGAACTGATTTAATAACAACAAGCGATAAAAAAGAAAAAAATACCTAAAAGTACCACACAGCTTTTCCAGCAACAAACATGTGCATCTTATTAACAACAACGTCGCATCCAGATTTCCCACTTCTACTTCTTTCAAACCGTGATGAGTACTTTGCACGTCCCACACAGCTAGCCAGTGTTCGCCAGACTTCAAAAGATATTCAGATTGTGTCACCCTTGGATATGGCAAGACCTGAACACGGAACGTGGATCGGGGTCACTTCTGACGGCAGACTCGCTGTTTTGGTCAATTACAGAGAAGATACGGCAATTGCCGGTAAGGTGTCTAGAGGCATTCTCCCGTTGGAGTACCTTGTTTCCGATCTTCTGGACGACGACTGGTATGACGGGCTTGAAGAAAGGATGAACAAGAAGAGTGGTGTCACAGGTAAACCCACGAAGCTTAGCGAGATTGGCGGGTTTACCTTACTATACGGTGCATTAGAATTAGACAAACACTCGAAGCTCAGACCACTCAATCTTATGAGCAATCGTGGAGATAGAGGTAAGGTCCATACGCAAGAGGTTCTGCTTGATGATATGCATGATCACTTCCATCGCCAACTGACGTTCGGTCTCTCGAACTCTCTTTACTACATGCCCTGGCTGAAGGTGGAACTCGGCCGCAAGAAGCTCGCTGGGCTCGCAAAACGTGCTTCTGCCGAAGGATACAGCCAAGAAGAAGTCATAGAGTCGTGTTTTGAGATCTTAAGCTCGGACACCTACGATGCTGAAATACGTAAGAAGGGTACGTTTGACCAAAAGATGACTGAACTCCAAAACTCGATATTCATCCCACCACTCGCAACACCATATGAACTGGAACTGGTCGATAGTGGATTTGCCGTGGGCAAGTTCTACGGAACCAGAACGCAAACAGTGGTTGCCCTCTCTAAAGATGGCACTTTGCATTACTACGAGCGGGACTTGTACACTGGAGACACAGACAAAATGCATATTCGTGAACAGCATCTCCAGTTTGACATAGGCAACAAATAGCAATTTGCCAAGCTATGAAGAAAAAAAAAAAAAAATAAGCCTGCTAAAAACGCCCTGTTAGAGTCTAGTTTCCCTCCTGAAGGGGCTCACCCATTGTTTATGATATCCCAAACTCCTCTCTTTTAGATTTTTCAGCCTGCCTTCATTCTTTTCATGCTCTGCCTTCTCATAATGCGGAGGCGGCCCTTTCCCCATATCGCAAGGTGCTCGGGTGTTTCACTCCGCCATCTAAGCCCGGAGCCCAGGTCGCTTCTCACTATTATCTCCGCGGGCATCACTCATAGCTTGGTAATTCACGTCCAATTAAGTCAATATAACTCTTGGTCATGTCTTTAATTACTAGTACCACAGAGCCGTTCACCACTCTTTACCACAGAGAACCATTGCATGCGTCTGACAATCCTCCTTTGTTGGTTTTCATTCCGGGAAATCCGGGTCTCATCGATTACTATACCACGTACCTCGATTTAGTGGCCAAACAACATCGTCACTTTGAAATATTGGCTATCAGTCATGCTGGGTACCAGACGTCTGATGATTTTGAGAAGATCACAGAATCTGAGGTGTTTGATTTGGATTACCAGGTGAATCACAAGTGCAGAGTGATCAAGGACCATATCCTTGCCACTCGTGGGGAGAAAAAAGTGGAAGTCTCCTTCTTGTGTCATTCAATGGGTGCATACATCATGCAGCGTGTGGCAAAGAGACTAGTGTATGATGCAGACTTCAATCGTTTGGTTGATATCAAGTTTGTTGGCCTCATCTGCCCTACGCTTGTGGACATTGCCAAGTCCCTCCTGGGCCAATACTTCACCACGCTTTTCAATTGGCTTCCTTTGGTTCACGTTGCGGTATACTTTATCATTCTCTTGCAATGGGTGTTACCAAACCTGGTAGCTGAATCGATTATCAGAAAGAAGATAATTGCCAAGCCCGCTCTCAGCGATAAGGACCTGGTTGAATCATGGAACAATGCTGTCACCGCAACAATGAAGATCTATAAGTCAACTAAAATCGTTCGCCAGACTATCACTATGGCCAAAGAGGAACTCAACAAGATTCATCGCGATGACGAATTCAATGACTGGTTTTTCAATGAGTTACCTGCAACTGGGGCGCAAATCTGGAGCTTCTTTGCTCCTTTTGATTACTGGGTCCATGATAATTCCCGTGATTATATTTTGACTAGATATCATGATGCACTGAACCCACATGTTCGGTTCGTTATTGGCGACGCCGATACTGAAGAAAAGAAGGCCATTAACCACAGTTTCTGCATTGACCAAAGTGTTGAGTTCGCAGAAATCACTTGTGCGGCATTGTCAAAAAGCTAGGAGCGGGTATAAACCCAAAATTTAATATTCATCTAACATTTTATGTCGTTTTCTCTGTAAGTGAGCGACTCATAATCATCGCACTATACATTGTTGAGTGCGAACAATGATTCAGAGTCACTGCGATTACCTGCACCTCTCCTTCATCTCTGCCTTGACTCAGGGCGACTCAACGTATAATCACTCACTCATCAAGGCGGACCATTTATGCGGCTCGGGCTTTTGGCATACTAGAGCCAACAATTTTATTCAAAGGTTCTCAACAAATTCTTTCTAACTTATTATATAAAGTAAGAGCTTTTCCATCCTACAACAGGTTTTCAATAAGTTCAATATGGCTAAATCAGAAGACGCTCCTGGAAGAATGTCCAGTGATATTTCCAGTTCTATAGATGGAAGAGAGAAGGAATCAGAGATCGCCCGTGATGAGACTGACTTGGGTATCCCTGAGTGGACAGAAGAAGAAAAAGCTCGCCTTGACAAGATCTACAGAAAGTTAGACTTTAGAATTATTCCTGCTTTATGGTGTATGTATTTCCTTACTTCTTTCGGATCTAGTGTCTATGGTGTGACCTTGACGATGAACACAGCAGAGGGTCATTCTTTAGGTCAAAGGTTGGAACTCACTTCTCATGATACTTCAACGGCTTCTGCTTTGTACTATGTTGGTTACATTATCTTTGACGTTCCTATGAATTTAATCATGACTAAGGTGTCTCCACAGTCATGGTTGGCTAGAATCGTCATAACTGTCGGTGTTGTCTATACATGCTATCATGCTTTGGAAAATGCAGCTGGTCTTAAGGCAGTCCGTTTCATTTCAGGAATGGTTGGTGCTGGTACTTGGCCTGGTCTTAGTTACTATGTCTCCTTGTGGTATCCAAACCAGAGACAGACTCGTCGTATTGGGTACTACTATACTGCCGCCCAGCTTTCTGCCGCTGCTGCTGGTCTTGTGAGTGCTGGTTTTCAAAAGATGGATGGTGTGAGAGGTTATACCGGTTGGCAGTGGATGTACTTGGTCTACGGATGCATCACTATCACTGTCGGTATCTCTTTGCTTTGGTGGCTCCCAGATAGACCAACCTATCAGCCTTCTGAAAGCAATTCAAAGATCAAGCGTGCGTACCATAAGGTCTTCTATTCACCTCCTCCACTCAAGGGTGAAGACAAGGCAATGCACCTTAAGGATATTGAGCATCGTTACAAGTTGGTCAAATGGACTTGGAAGGATGTTGTCCAGGTGATGACAGATTTACGTGTTTGGTTCATTATTTTAATGTACTTCGGTGCCGTGGGAACTGGTTTCGGTTTGGCTGTGTTTGGATCCACTATCATCGCCGCACTCAACCCTGAACTCTCGTCGATTAATGTCTCCCTTTTATATGCGCCAATTTGGCTTTTTGATCTTGGAGGTATTTTGCTTATTACGCCATTTGCTGACAGGTTCAAGAACTACCGTGCATTCTTTTTCAGTGGAGCATGTATCATTGTCATGGTTGGCTTATTTGTTACAACTTTCGCTGATGGCTTCTGGAACAGATGGGCTGGTCTTTTAATTTCTGGCTTTGGTTTGGGTCCTACAATCCCTATCTGCATGTCGTGGTCTGCTGAAATGTTCGGTCCACGTTATGGCGATGTCGGTAATGCAGTCAGTGCAGCCATTGTGTCTGGCTTGGGTAATTTGGGTTCGGTCACTGCCACATATGCATTATACTCTGGTTGGCCCTCCGATAAAGACCGTCTCTACAGAAACTCTAACATGACTTTGGTGGGCATGTTGGGTATCAGTGTCGTTTCGGCACTTGTTTGCCATATCTTCAAGAACAAGATAAGACAGAAATAATCATAATGCTGACACATCTATGCAATGCTTCTCAAGCCAATAATTATGGAATAGACTTATGTTTAGAGAAACCTTATATATGAATCTTATAGATACTTAATGCGGCTTAACGGCTTTTCGCAGCCAGTCGGGTACCCGAAATGACCAGATCGCTTAGAACAATCTCTGCAAATAAAACCAACGAACAAACCAAAAAATCCAAAAACTTGTTAATAAATGGACCATCTTCGTTTACAAATCCCAAAAAGCTCCTCTAACCATGCGTCACCAGCTCGGTCCTTTCTTCCGCCTCTTCTCATGCATATCCAGTGTGTGAGTTTTTCGCGCATCTCATCTCGCCCATCCCCCTCTGTAGTTTATCAAATTACATAGTGGTCCCCTTCTTGGAAATCTCAAACACTACCCCTTTTTCTTCCAATGTCTGCCACCGATAAAAACACATTGCCGTTCACTGAACAGCATTACTTCTCCTCGTACGACCATTTTGGTATCCACGAGGAGATGCTTAAAGACACCTCCAGAACCTTGTCTTACAGATCTGCCATGTACAAAAACAAGCACTTGTTCAAGGACAAGATTGTGTTGGATGTCGGTTGCGGTACTGGTATCTTGTCTATGTTTGCTGCTAAGGCTGGTGCCAAGCATGTCTACTCTGTTGATATGTCTAACATCATTGAAAAGGCCCAAGAGATCATCTCATTGAATGGTTTCGAAGACAAGATCACCTTGTTGAAGGGTAAGTTGGAGGACATTGACTTGCCAGTGGACCATGTTGACATCATCGTGTCTGAGTGGATGGGCTACTTCCTTTTGTACGAGTCCATGTTGGACACTGTCTTGTACGCTAGAGACAAGTACTTGGTTGAGGGTGGCTTGATCTTGCCTGACAAGTGCTCCATGTACATTGCTGGTATTGAGGATGGTCAATATAAGGATGATAAGATCCATTACTGGGAAGATGTCTACGGTTTCGACTACTCTCCATTTATCAAGGTGGCCATGGCTGAGCCTTTGGTTGACACTGTGGAGAACAACTCTTTGATCACTACTCCACACAAGTTCTTTGAGTTTGATATCAACACCGTCACCAAGGAGCAATTATCCTTCCATAGACTGTTCTCTATCGATGCTATCGATAGCGACTTGTGCCATGCCTACATCGTTTGGTTCGACTGTGACTTCCCAGGTGATGAGAAGGTCACTTTGTACACTGGTCCAATGAAGGCCTACACTCACTGGAAGCAGACCGTCTTTTACATGGATCAAGTTCTTGATTTGCGTAAGGGTGACAAGATCAAGGGTCTGATTGCCTCGAGACCAAACGCTTCCAACCCTCGTGAGGTCGACATTGAGATCCAATGGAAGGTGGACACCGTCTCCTCCGACAAGTCTCGCGAGCAGCAGGGTAAGTACAACTACTTCATGCGTTAATGAGCATCGTCAAAAGTTTTGCATCGGGTTTAGAATCGTTGAGCTTTTTTGCATTTGCTTCCTTCATGTATTAATATAAGTTCCTCATTAGATCAAGCATATTTCGCAGCCATTCGGATCTCCATATTAGTGGGCCTCTCCACAGAACTCTTCGCGCATAGTGTATTTAGACTTGCTTTGTAAGACTTTCTTGCCACTACATGTTCACAAGAAGTGTTCTTCTTGCTATCAGAAACACCAAACACTTCAGTACGTCAACGTTTAAAAGAATGTCCAAATCAGATGAAGAATGGAGAGCTGTTCTTTCCCCAGAACAGTTCAGAGTATTGAGGCAGCTGGGCACTGAGAGGCCCTTCACAGGAAAGTACACCGATACTCCAGCAAGTGAAAAGGGTGTTTATGAGTGTGTCGGTTGTGGTCTGCCTCTTTACAAATCCAATACCAAATTTCACTCGAGTTGTGGCTGGCCCGCTTTCTTCGATGCCATTCCAGGTGCTTTGAAGACCATCGAAGATAAGTCCTTCGGAATGACCCGTATAGAGATGAGATGTTCCAACTGTGATGGCCACTTGGGTCATATCTTTAAAGGTGAAGGCTACAACACACCAACAGACGAGAGACATTGTGTGAATAGTGTTTGCTTGAAATTCAACCCTGAGTAAGCACAAGACAGGTTATCATACAAAACAGGTAAGAGTTAGGATAGGAGAAAGGTGTATATCAAATGGGAGCGGTTAGTATCATACTTTGTATTTCTGTAGGTTCTTTTTCGTAATATTGACCTTCAGGTTAGAGAGTGGGAATGATAATCTAGGCGATGAATGGGAACATGGCGGTTCTTCTCAACTTTTTGTAGTCGTCGCCGAAGGTCTTCAAGTATCTCTTGTGCTTCTGAACAGCCCAAATGTACATCTGGCCGGTTCCGACAATCATGAATACCCAAGCTGACCAGTTGCCGACCAAGATCGAGTAGAAGATCCAAGAAAGTGCTTCAAAGAAGTAGTTTGGACAAGCAACCAAGTCGAAACCGTATCCGTGAGGAATAACGTAAGCCTTGTCGTCATTCTTTCTGAGGTTGGACAAAGCAATGTGAGTCTTCAAGTTTGACAATTCAGCAAAGGCCCACAAACCAAAGATCAAGTAGTTGGTAGAGCTAGGCAAATTGTTGACGTGGAAAATAAACTTCTCAAGAGAGCTGGCGGAGGCCAAAGAAGCAGAGTTTCTGCCATAGACAAAGAAAGCCAAGTTGAAGCCAGACAAGAACCAGTAATGACTGGAGTTCTTGAACAAGTTAAAGAGAGGCATTGTAGCATTCGAGAACTTGTGGATAGCAATTGTCTCGACTTCTCTCTTTGCAAAGTGCAAGGTAACCATGATAAAAGCAAAAACTTGGGTCTGGGATTGAGAAACCTGCTTGAAGCCAGCAAAATAGGCGTAGAAGAGAAGGTGAAGCACAAGAGGACCCAAGTACTCCAAGAAGAACACGGTCTTCCACGCGATCTGAGGACCCAAATCCTTAGCATAAATATCAACAACCTTGGTCAACTCACTGCCGCCAAAGTAGTCCATCAAGGACTTGGAAGTGTCTAATGGCAAGTGCTTTCCATTGGCATCCTTGTAGGTAAGTCTGATTCTGTTGGGGTCCAACCTGTTCTCTTTGCTAATCTTCTTAACAATTGGAGCAATCAACAATGTATCGAGAGAGCTAGAGTAGCCCTTGATGGTCTTAGACCTAGAATTGACAGCAATAGAGGCCATTATTAGGGGTGTGGTTAGGACGTAAAGAATTGAGGGAACGCACCCTGCTATAATATAGGCGGGAACGGTCGTGCGAAGCCGGTGCAACCCTTATCTCCCGAATTGCCCTTACAATAAAAGACTACTATAATGTTAGAGGGTTATAAAGAATGATTGAGAGGCAGGCGAAGGCCAAAGCATCTACTTTCAAAGCTGGTAAATAAACTTTAACTGAGCTTTCCAATGCTGAAAAGCTATGGAGAGGGCTTCCCGAGGCTTTGCGCGATGTGCGCTCCGAGGTGGATCCTTCCAAATTTGGGTCTCCTAAACGAGATCTTCTGTCAATTGGATGTCTTCGATACGGTTGTGTAGTATTAGACAAATCAGGAAATAAAGTACATTGAAGGTTTTTCCATAGGTCTTAGTTTGTTTGTTTAAAAGGCATAAAAATAATCATTTTATATAGCTGTCTATTAGATGTTGAGCTTCTCATGGTACCTCACCGGAAACATCGGTTTCGCTAATTCTTCTCTATACATTTAAAAGTATGAATTCTTTCAATATGCCTTGTCAAAGCAATGTTTACTGTATGGGTTTTATTTTCCACACATTGTCTACTTTATCAGTTAAAGTTTATACTTAACCAGGGAATTGCCCAACATTCTCATAAATCATACCAATTGCTGGTATGCCATTGAAATGTCAATACCAGATTTTTTTTTGAAAATATTCCACATGAGTCCCTTCACAAAGAGTTCTTAATTTATCCCAAGGGTCAGCATACACTGGAATCCATCATTTACTGTTGATAACCTAACTCTAGCTCTGTCTTATAGACCTAGTCTACCATTTTGCACCCATATGCGCGTTAGATATGAGGCATGCGTCTAGAAAATTCCATGAGGGCAACCAACTCATTCTGGAGGCAAAAAAAAAAAGTGAGTCCCATATAAGTTTCCAATCTGCTCACGTGACCGCCCGCCGTCATTTCGCACTGCAGTCATTGACGTCCACTGATCCTTCACAGTTTTTTCTAACTACTTGCTTACTGTTAAAGAAAATCAAAAATGTCTGATTGGGATAATGTTACTGTGATTGGCCAGAAGGCTCGTGTTGGCGGTGGTGGCCCAAGGGAGAGAGTTGCTCGTACCCAGGCTGAGGTGAACGCCGCCAGAAGAAGTGGTGCCGCCATCAACACGGAAAAGAAGTACGGTTCTACCAACACAAAGTCCAATCCTGAAGGTCAGAGATTGACTAAGTTGGATAACACTGATGACGTCGTTAGCGTGAAGAAGGTCGAAGCCAGCGTCGGTAAGACCATTTCCCAGGTTAGACAAGAGAAGAAGCTAACCCAGAAAGATTTGGCCACCAAGATCAACGAGAAGCCTCAGGTTATCAATGACTACGAGGCTGGCAGAGCTGTTCCAAACCAGCAGGTCTTGGGTAAGATCGAAAGAGCTTTGGGTGTCAAGTTGAGAGGTAAGAACATTGGTGAGCCATTGTTCGGCCCTAAGAAGAAGTAAACCCTTTAGTTATCATAGACCACATAGTTTGCACTACACGACTCACGACAAATGAACTTTTTTTTGTTTCTCATTGCATTTATTGTAGTTTCTCCGTTATGCTTCACACTTAGCAACAGCCCTGCTGTTGTTGTCGTTGTGTTTGATGCCTTCCAAGCTCCACTCTCTTTCCAGGCTGTGGAGCTGCTCTATCGTTCGCTTCCTCAAGTGGCAATGCACGAGCGATCTGGTCAAATATTTCAAGAACGCCTTCGCCAGACTTGGCAGAACATTCCTTGTGGACCACCTTATTGGGGACCTCGCCAGCTGCAGCGGATTCTTGATTGAGCTGCTCTAGGTATTGGCTGACTTCTGTTTCGTCTACTTCTCTTTCATCCAGTAAATCAGCCTTGTTGCCGACTAATGCAAGAACGATGCCCTCAGGGGCTCTTTTCTTTAATTCTTTGATCCAATCTTGTGCTTTCGTAAAGGAGGCCTTGCTCGTGATATCGTACACACACAAAGCAGCGTTGGCGTTTCTGTAGTACATAGGAGCCAAGCTCTTGTAGCGTTCCTGACCAGCTGTATCCCAGATTTCAAACTTGACGGTAGTTTTTAATTCTGGCAATGTGATAGATTGGGTGAGAAAGGCAGCACCAATAGTAGACTCTCTCATGTCATCAAAGGTATTTTTAACAAAACGATGTACTATAGAGGATTTTCCCACGGCACTTTCACCGAGGAGAACCAACTTAAACTGGACAAACCGGTTGTCAGACATGTTGATACCTGTAGATGTGGTTTCGGCTTGCGGGCTCACTATCTATCCAGGTGTTTACTTGCATCTATGATATCGCATGGTACGCGCACGACCAGCTTAGGGAAATAGTAGATCGGTACAAGCTCCCGACTGACTGAGTGAACCCCCCCTGGATAGACGAAAAGTGGCGCATTCTATTCCAGAAACTAAATGAACCTTACACAATACAAAAGATAAATCAAAATATTCTAAACGTACTTATCCTAAAACACCCATTGTTTTCATTTCATTTCTAATATTTTTTAGCTATGCTTCTCTTTTTGTTTTGTTTCGTCATTTTTCGTACCCGACCCGGTTCCTGGCTTTCGCAGCCTCCGTGTGCACAGTCCTCTACCGTCAGCCCCCAAACACAAACCATATACTTTAGTCTCTGGTCATCAGTAGTATATCCAACATAAGACCACTCTTATCTGCCTGTACCCACACCAAACCTCAATATAAATAAAAATAAGGTATTCTGCTTCATATCTTTTTTTTTATCACAAAATCAGTTGGTCCCACTTCGTATATCGCCGTTTTGGTGGTACACACGGCTAGCATAGTCCTGCATTCCCTGCCGAGATCCTCTGCACACTTACGCGGCATGGGTCACTAGAGTTCCAGGGAACGGATTGTTCATGGGGCTTTATCCTTGTTCTGGCCGATGGCGGGTAGCGAGGATAAATAGACCTCAGTTCCTCTCCTCTTTCGTGTTTTTTTCCCTTCTTTCTTATCCTACTCAATTGATACCCTAATCCATAATAATGGCTTTAATGAACTTGGGCTTTAAAACTACCGTTGGCTTAGGTCTTCGTGCCGCACTTATCATCTTCTCCTTCTGTCTTTTCATCTGCTCGTGTGTGACATTGGGCAAATTGGACTTTTGGGAGGATAGGGCTGGTGTTTCCTTGGTGACCAGTCTTCTTGGTTTCATTTACTACATTCCAACCGTTTTGCCTTTCACGGTGCGCTACTTCTCTCCTGCAATTGTTCTTGCAGGAGACATTTGGATGGTAATCTGGTGGATTATCGCCCTTGGTGTGATGGGAGACCGTTTCGGTAGCGACTTGACTTGCAAATGGGTTACCGGCGACTACAAGACCGGCTGCCAAGCCGGTAAGGGCGCTCTTGCCTTTTCTGTTTTGGGATTCGTAACTTCCCTTGCAACTGTGGCCATCATTGGTTACTTCACTGTATACCAGAGCTACAAGGATGGCGGCAAACAGGGTCTCTTGCAGAAAGGATCCCTTGCCAATGGTGCTGTTTTCTTGGACGGGTCAGCAGCTCCCCTGACCGCCCCAGCAGATGTCGAGGATATTGAGGCAGGCGCTGGTGCTGCCTCTAGTGGTCAAGAGGAAGCAATTGACCAGAAGGATGTGGAATCGCAGCCAACTGAGCATTCGCCTGTTGCCAGCCGTCACTCTGAGGACTTGGCTACCGCTACCAAGTAATCTCGCAATTATTTTAATCTAATATGGCGTTGAGCCTTTCCATTGTTTGTATTTTTTCAATATTTCCTATCGCTTACTTCGTAATTGATTTCCGGCTCGACGGGTTATTTGTGTTTTGTTACGAACTCTTCGTAAATCCTTCTGGGGCGCGCATAAGACATGCGCTGCCAAATGTACATTTCGAATAAGTGGCTTGTGAATTAATCCAGGGGAAACTCGTCTGGAATAACGCCATGTTTACATCCGTGGCAACCCACAACAATGCTCATAATCAGCCTTAAGTTTCATTGTTGTTGAACTTTCCGTTCGGCTAGTCAATGGTTCCCCTCTAGTGTCCTTCTTCGCCTAAAGTGGTGGTAGGTCCGAACTTCGATAGTCATCAGTCTCCTGCCACCCCTCTTCTGTTCCTGCCAGTTTCAACTGACCCACTACATGGACATATCGACAATCGTTTCATTTATCTAACGCCGATGCTTGTCGGGCCGGAAATTCATTCTTTCCGTCCCTTAACATAACTATTTACAGGCTGAGGCATCAGATTTATTGGTCAATCTTGGCCAAAATCTCTCTGTCGCTGTACAACAAGTACTCCTCGTCACCAACCTTGACTGGAGAACCACCGAAGCCTGGCAACAAAACCTTGTCACCAGCCTGGACGGAAACAGGAATGATCTTACCGTTGACATCGGTAGCACCTGGGCCAGCAGCGATGACAGTACCCTGGTTCAACTTCTCCTGGTTCTTCTCAGGGATGTAGATACCACTGGTGGTCTGAGTGGCAGGCTTCAATCTCTGGACCAAAACTCTGTCGAACAATGGCTTCAAGTTGTTGACGGATTTCAAGAAAGACATTTTGCACGGAACGTTACTGATGAGATGCTGGAAGTGTTCTCCACAGATATATATGCTTTTTTTCATGGAAGAGCGCAGAATTTCTACACATCCGTACACCCACTACAGCTGTCAAATGGATTAAGGCCAATTTTTCGCAGCCATTCTTTTTTATGCTGTTTACCTAGAGCTTAATTGAGATAACGCTCTAATGGTTCTCCAAGAACGTTCTCTATAACTCTCACCAAGTCCTTTCTCACCTCTAATTCAACGTCTTCGTCGTCATCTTCTAACAATTCCGCAATGTATGGAATGAAGGTTGGTAAGAATGGCAACCACTGTTCGCCCAACTTCTGGAAGATCTCCTTCAATACTCTCACGGTCCAGACCTTGGTGTTCAGCGAGTTCTCGTGTTCGTTAGAAACGTAGCGAATCAAGCCATGAACAAGTTTTTCGTTGTATTCATCAGAAGAAACGTTGGTGACAAATGATGTGATGGCCTTCACGAGGTACTTGCCGATAGGCTTTTCGATGTTGCTCAACTGAGACAAGAGAGGGTTGATAATGGTCTCAAATCTCAGTTGGTGAGACCAGTAGTCGTCTTGGTCGTACTTGAAGGAAGAAACCAACGAATTCAAAATGATTCTTCTCAAATTGGTCTCCTTAAGGTCACCAGACACAAACCTATTCAAAATAGCCACGGTAGGGTCAATCATGTATGAGAAATAGGAGGTGATGATACTCTTCAATCTGTCCTGCAACTTGTTGAAGAATTTGAAGAATGCAGTAAGTCTAGTGATCTCGGTGTTGGAGGTACTAATAGAACCTTCGCCAGTTGCAGCCCATCTCACCAAATTGGCAAACAATGGACGGAAACTCTTGTCGTTGAGTTTCATGACATAGACGATAGCACACTGGTGGAAAGAGCTTTCAATGCTATGGATAGTGTTGTCATTGAATTTACTCTCACCGTACTCGTTTCTGAACTCAAAGGATTTGATCAACCACTTCATGAAGAGGGAAGAATTAGCTGTGGCAGTCTTCTTCTCAATCACATCAATCGAAGACTTCACACCGTTCAAGTACAAACCAAGCTCCTTTGCGTCGTTGATGGCATAGAAATCGTCTGTAAGCGCCAAGTTGAACAAACAATCCAAGACTTGGCCCTTGTCGACATGTTCAACGATCAAAGCCAAGACGTTAGAACGAATACCACTGTCAATCAAATCACTGGTCAAAGTAGCCTTGATGATTTGCTTCAAGTTGGTAACCACGAAAGCAGGCAATCTCTTGACAAGAACTGAGAACAACATAAGGATCGATCCCTGTAACAACATTCTACCCTCCTGCTCTTCATCATCAATCTCTTCATCGCTCTCTGGAGCATCCTTTGATTGTGAGACAGTTGACTCCCAGATTTTCAATGCTGGTGGCAATATCTTGGGGAAGAAACCAATACACTTCACTCCGAATACCTTCACAACGCTGGCAACTGCATTCAATGAGGAAACGATGATCTCGGTGTGTTCATTCAACAAACCATGCTCGGATGTGATGATCTTCAAGGTACCAATCAATGGCTTGGCAACATCTGAGGATGCGAGCTCTGGTGAAGAAGCAGCAAGCTTGGAAACAATAATCGAAAAGGTGTCCAAGTAAGCTTGTACGAGTTCAACGTTATCAAATGATTCCACTCCTTGGACCAAGATAGGCAACAAGTCTTCGAGGACAGTAGTCTCTATCGTCTCATCGAAAGAGTTATTGTTCATCTCATTCTCGAACTTAGTGCCAGCAAGAATTGCAAAGTTTTTGGCAATAGTAATTGAGAGCTGATCGTTGACGTTCTTCAACGATTCGGAAATCGAAGAAACATAGTAGCTCATTGGGAGCAAGTTAAGTAGAGACTTGAGCACATCGTATAACTCGTTAACAATCTTCGTGCTATGTTTTCCGGAATTGGTGAAAGAATCCAAGGATCCAAAAATAAAGGAAGTAACTTCTCTGAAAACTTCAAGAACAGAGGCCTTCTCATCTTCTGGGGTTTGGTCATCAAAAAGGACCAAAGAAACCTTCATTCTCAAGGAAACAAGGTTGGCACTGACTGACAATTCCTCGTCAGTACCGAGAACCTGATTAATGAAATGCAACAAGTTGGTCTTGAGGGCTACCAACTCCGCATCGGTGGCATTGGCAATTGTAGACCCGAAAATTGGCTTTCCAGATAAAAAGGCATACTGATCCGAGTCCAGGCTAACGTGCTCCTTAGGAATCTGGTCCCACAATCCGAGGAAACTATTAATGCTTTCTAAGCACACGTCGGCATCAAAAGTCTTCATCAAAGCAGTGATGAAATCCAACAGAGAGTTGCATTCATGGATTCTGTTCTTCTCCTTGTTGGCAGAATACTGCTGGCCGATCAAGAACAAGATGTTCTGCAAAGAATTTTCATGACCCAAGGTCTGAACCAAGTATACGAAGAGCTTAACTCTGCGGTGTCTTGGAATATGCTGGAATGCTGTGACAAAGCTCGTGAGCAAAAATTCAATCTCAGTAGACACAGAAGAAGAGGCGGCCGTGATGGCTGGTACAACCTTGGAAATGGTCTTCTGCAAAGCAGAGCTTGAGAATTCATCATCTTGTCTGACAGTGTGTGCTCCCATAAATGTAAAGATAGGCATCACCGAGTGTAAGATGATTTCTGGAGCCAAAGAAGCCAATTCAGCGATAACAAGAAGTAACCTGTTCTGAACTTGAGGAGACTGTGAGAGTCTGATGGAGTTGACGACCAAATCTGCTCTAATTGAGTTCGAATCAATGCGAGACCTACTTCTGCTCTGGGACTCCTTCATCCTGACGATGCAAAGCAACATACACGAAGCCAAGGTTTCCTGGGCGTACAACACAGGGAGTTTTCCATCGTTGCCCAAGTAGTCCAAGTCGGTCAAAATTTTGAACAAAACCTGCAACAAGTCTGGCCCAGCTAAGGTGCTGATAGTTTTTCTCAATTGCGTTTCGAGAACATCCAAGATGATAGAGAGCTTTCTCAAATGGGCAGCAGCCATGATATTGATGTCATCTCTTGCCATATTCTTCTGCGTAGAGGAAGAGGATCTTCTTCTTCTCTTTGCAACAGACTGTTCTGGAACCTCAGTAACAATGTTCACTGAGTTCAACAATGCCACCATGTCCTGATTGGAGAATTCAAATCCTTGCAATGACTCAAGAGGATCGAAGTACAACACAGAATCACTGTCCTTTACAAGAAGCTCGATGAACTCTTTGCTGATGCGCACCTTCAAGTCGGTAGATTTGAGGAATGGGAAGAGCTCCTTGATTCTGTCATTCACAATCAATTGCAATTTGTCATCGGAGTTCAAAGCTCTAACAAACCACTCAACCTCCTTGGCTTTCTTCTTTTCATTAGCTGTCTGGCCACCGACCATACCGGCAATAGGCTTTTGAATATCTTCAGCGAAGCTCAATCCCTCCGCAATAGCATCTTGTGCCCATGCATCACGTTTGTCAAAAAGAGCCTTAACATCCCCAACAAATGAGAACCTATCATCAAAGCCCTTGGTCTCCCTGTTGTGTGAGCTGATGATTCGCCAGACTCTATGCTTAAATGCAAGAGGCAATGGAGACGACCACTGGCCATATACAAAGCTCTTGAGAAGAAGCGAGCCAAATTTCTTTCCCGTTTTTGTGCTTTTAAAAAGGACATCAAACAAGAGATGCGATAAACGTGAAGCGTCAAACCTCACATCGTCAAGCGAGGCTTTTTCGTCAAACAACACGTTCAACATAACATTACCATCCGATGGGGAGATGAGAGACTTTCTCGCATCTTCGTTCGAGCCGTAAATATCAGACTCCATGAACAAGACACTTTTAGCTTTCTTACCCTTGGCCAGAATCTTGTCACTTTGATCACGGACCAATTGGAGAATCGAGATACAGATATCCCTGAAGGGCTTACTGACATCTCCCAAGCCAAGAAGAATAATTGGGGTAAGCAAGTAGACATTAACGTTCGCATCTGACTTGATAGCTTCTTGAAGGGCATTTTTAGTGCAGCCAAGAGCTAATAAGCGGTATGGTAATGGAATGGATGCTGTGAAGGCTAAACGCAAAAGGAATGAGACGAGTAATTCCTTGCTGGCAAAAAGATTATCCGTTGCAGCCTTGAGGAACGCAAGCTGCTTCTTTTGAGGGAATTCACTCAACTCCTTAAGCAAATCTTCTGCAATTCTGTTAAACTCTGCGTTAGAAGATGTGTTGAAATAACTCTTCGCCTTTGCAGTGAACTTGTCTGTAGGCTTGGCCTGAACTGGCTCGAAATCAGTCAAGGCATCCTCGTAGTCCCCTTCGTAGGAGGAATCATTGGCGTTGTCTCCCATGGTATGCATGAGTACAACTTCTAAGTCTTGGAGATTCTTGGAATGCTTCTTAAGTTCCGTCACAAGCTTCGTTTTGTTGGACTTGAGAAGCTGTTCAAAAACAATGATAGCACCAGATCTACCTTCTTTAGAAACACCATCATTTTGGGAAAGGTGACCGAGGAGTTTCTTAACAACAATGGGGAAAAACAATTCGTGATCAGAAACTTTGATGTACTGCAAAAGCTTGATAGCATGGTCTTCACCGTGGTTCAACTTATCAATGACGTAGAAAAAGATCAACTTTGAGATATGGTAGTTCTCTTCGATCAAGGTGAGTAGCAAAGCTTCCTCCTTAAGTATGTTCTCCTGAGATAAAGCTGAAAAGACATTGGATTCCTTCAGGACATCGTCCTCGTTATAATAGTTCCAGATCTGGCCCAAAACCACGAGCGTTTGTCTTTTGAGGTTGGCAAATGCAAAAGGATCCTTCAATATAGTCAGAGTCAAGGAATACACCAATTCATCACTCAATGGTACTACCGAACTCAAGACAGACACAATAGCGTAAGCAGTCAATTTGATATCCTCTTTGAGGGTAGTAGAGAACTTGAATTCTTGTTTTTGAGGAGCCAAGAGATCATTCAATGTCTCCAAAATGGTTGTCATGTAATCGTTGTTGATCTTGTTAGTATCACGACCGAATGAAGCCAACACTTGTGCAGTGTTAGATAAATAAAAAACAAGCTGTTCCTTGTAGGTAGTTCTATGTCTTAATTGTTCTCTGAGGTACTCAGAATACAATCTGAAAAATGCGGGATCATTATGGAAGCTCTTGAGTACAGAAGATGCCGGTAATGATTTTGACTGTTCCTTGTATCCTGACAACCACGTAAAAATAGGTGGCATGGATCCCTTAGGCACCACATTCATGATTCTTGTAAAGACAGGCTGGGAGTGGTATGACAAGGTTGACAAGAACAAGAGCTCAGTGTTATGGATGTTAACATGGTATCTTCTCACTAACCACTCCATTGCTTTGAGGGTAGGAGCGAGATTGTAATATGGACTTGCCAAGTTCATGAAAGCCTCCAAGCTTCTGTCAACCTGTTCAAGGATGTCCTTAGACTTGACATTTCTATCAAAGTCAATACTCGTCTCGGAGAAAAGTGTTGCAGAAAACTTTTCGAATCTCAGATCAAGTTCTATGAGCTCATCGAGACCTTCAGTTGCAATCAGGTAGATGTAGTCAAAGTCTTGAGCAGCAGCTGTCTTGGCATCGAAGAGCAACGATCTGGAGTGGATCTGTTGTCTTGACTTTCTATCAACAGCCAAAGATGCATTTTTCTCGCCAATAGTCTTTAACTGTTGCGATAACAAAGACATTGTTGCCGATGTAGGTTTACAGCCTTGGACCTGTAATTTTCATAATGCGATGAGAGATGAGAAGAGGAGGTGTATATGCAGACCATAGTTAAACATCTACCCCAGTTTTAGAAATTAAATGCTAAGCGAGAAAAACTAAGGGGATAGGAGATATGAAAACCGTTCATCGGGTTGTTCGTGTGATGATGCTGTTGCGGGGAGGGTGTTGGTGGCTGTTCTGAACCGCATATGCGAAGTTCAAAATGGGTGCAAAAATGAAGAGGACACTGCACTGAGACAAGAGACCAACTAACTCATATGCTTCTGGTTGACTTCGAAAGGAGTAGAGGTGGAGACAAAACTTGACTGTTATAGAAGAACCCAAAAAAGATGTACGAGGTTACTGCACTCCACTTCATCAGGTATGTTTCACCCTTTTTGAGACTCGCAGAGAGTTTCCCTTTTGTAACTCTGAAATGTGCCCGCGTAAGCGCGAGGAGGGTAAATTCCAGTCGGTGCCTCATCCGGCAGTGTTTTCTCAATGGCATGTCATCTGAAGTAGCCAAGTCATACCAGCTGCACCGAAACCCAGATCTCAGATAGTCATGTTCTGGAAGACCGTCAGCACCGCCCAGACACCCAAGCAAGTGTCCATTTACTTGACACAAACGTAAATCGACTGACTACAGACGCCTGACTACGGTTAGTAGAAAGTAACAGAGGTTGCCCTCGGCGAGAAAACTCTACAAGCCGCAGGGAGGTCTTTCCTACCGTTTTTCTTCGCCCAATGGGTAGTATGGACGCGAGGCAGGCTATCTGGGGCGTAAAAAAAAAAAAAAATATTGTTACGAGACAGATGAGGCAAGGTAAACAGAAGCGACGTGCCACCAGAGATAAACCAGCGACCCCCAAAAGATAACAGAGATATCAAAGAACAGATAATAACGGGGCGTACGTAGATAGGCCGAAAAAGAAAGAGTCACCGTTTTGTCTAAAATTTCTTCTTCGGGGCGCTTCGGTGCGGGCCCTCATCACTGTAAGCCATCTACTTTTCAGTCTTAGCCCGCACTAACGAGACGCACCAGAAGCTTACCCTACCCAGAAAAACGCCCATCTCAGGTTCAGCCAAGGCACCGAGGGCTCCCCAACAAAGGCCCATCCACGACGCCACTGGCGTCACAAAAGATCTCGGATGCCTTGTCGCTTGCAGGTTGCTGTACAAAAAAATAAATGGCTTATGTGGGGGTTTCCCGGGAAAGCCTCTGGTGGTATACCTCCACTCGAAACCCACTGCAACAGAAGAAACTTGAAATGAGTGGTGGCTTCGTGGTGGGGGAATGGCTGGCGCTGGCACTGGCGCTGGCACTGGCCACCAGGAAGGTAATGGCGGGCCTACGGTAGGGAAAAAAAAACTCGCACCAGGGCAAAAACTAGGGCAAACTTGCGCGAGCATTACACTGCGCCCGCGAGCGGTATTCGTCACGGTTGCGAAACGCCGTCCTGAATTGCCGTGAGTCCGGATGCGATAAGATACGAAAGAAAAAAAGACATCGTACTGCTGCTCTCCGGAGTATTACATGACTGTAATCTGTTTTAGCCGCCTGCTGGGGGGCGTAGAGAGCGTAACTGTAGAAGGTGGACTATCCTGCCCAGGCCCAGCTTGTCAAGCAAACGGGCTAGGCTGACAGGTTCTTGGGCCCCTCGCTAGTGCTGTCAAATTTTTCTTTGTTGGCGGGGCGAAAAGTCTTGGTACTGTCACCAAGAGAAGAGAAAAAAACGGTGCGAGCAAGTCTGCTGGCAACACAAAATAGGGAGGCCTACCGGGTCACAGAGACACCTCCCTAGCCGATGATTTGCCTGGCAACAAAGAGAAAACAAGGTTATTCACCTCCTGCGGTGTCCCCACTTGACCCAAAAGACAAAAAAAAAACGCCTGTTTGTTTCTCCTGGACTTGTAGGTAACTTGCCCCACTCACTTACATCATAGTCCTACACGGAACATGAACGCCGTGCATATCACATTTCTGTCCTGGGCCTCTTCCTTTTTTTTTTGCACTTTATTCCCCATACATGCGTCTCGGACCCTCTGAGATAAGCGTATTCCAGAGTTTCTGCTTTTTCGCCTATATATTGGCGCAGGCCCCACAATTTTCTTTTCCCCCAGTAAAGACATCATGAGTAAAGACTCCCATATGTTTGACTTGAAGGCCATGTCTTCGAGGCCGTCCATCTTGAGAAGTAATTCGGCCTATCTTGGTCCTTCCATCTCCAACTCCCGTATAGTCAATGTCGACGAAAAGGGCAATATTCTTTCAGAAAACAACTCCATTATAAGTCTCGAGGAGAATGAGTTGAAGAAAGGTTTGAGAAATAGACATGTTCAGTTGATCGCCTTGGGTGGTGCTATTGGTACCGGTCTTTTCGTGGGTTCCGGTCTTGTGCTCTACCAAGTCGGTCCTGCCTCTCTCTGGTTGTCCTATGTTGTTTTGTCCACCGTTGTGTGGTTTGTCATGAATATGTTAGCTGAAATGGCTGCTTTCCTACCCGTTCCAGGTGCCGGTTCCCAGCAGTTTATTAACGATTACACTGACCCATCTATTGGTTTTGCCCTTGGTTACAACTATTGGTATGGTTTCGCTATTTTGGTCGCCTCTGAAGTGGTTGCCGCAGCTCTTGTTATTCAGTATTGGACCACTGACGTTCATATTGCTGTTTGGATCTCGATCTTGTTAGCTGCAATGTTGATTTTGAACTTATTGCCCGTTCAGTTTTATGGTGAGGTGGAATTCGTCCTCGCAGCAGTTAAAATTCTCGCCATTACTGGTTTGATTATTTTGGGTATTGTTTTGTTCTTTGGCGGTGGTCCCAAGAATGATAGACTTGGTTTCCGTTATTGGAAAGATGGTAACGCCTTCCATGAACACATGACTGGTGGTGACACTGGTCGTTTCTTGGGTTTCTGGACTGCCGTCATCAAAGCTGGTTACTCTTTTATTATGAGTCCTGAGTTGATTGTGGCTTGTTCTGGTGAAGTGAACAACCCTCGTCGTATCTTGCCAAAGTGTGCTAACCAGTTTATTTACCGTTTGGCTTTCTTTTACATTTTGGGTTCTTTGGTCATCGGTATCATTGCGGATTCCAACAGTCCTCGTTTGGTTAGTAGTAGTGATGATGCTTCTGCCTCCCCATTCGTCCTTGGTATCCAGAATGCCGGTATTCCTGTTTTGAATCATATCATCAATGCCGTCGTCTTGGTTTCCGCAGCTTCCGCTGGTAACTCCTTCTTTTACGCTGGTTCCAGAACTTTGTACTCCCTCGCCTTGAGAGGTTTGGCTCCAAAGTGCTTCACCTTCATTAACAGATTTGGTATCCCAGTTTACTGTGTGTTGATCACCTGGGCTGTTGGATGCTTGTCTTACTTGAACGTTTCCAGTTCCTCGGCTCAAGTTTTCACTTGGTTCTCGAACATTACCACCATCTCGGGTTTCATCTCCTGGATCTTTGTTGCCTTTGCTTACTCTAGATGGAGAAGAGCAATTGTTGTTCAAGGTCTCGAGGACAGAGTGCCTTACAGAACAAGATTCCAACCATTTGGTGCTTACTACATCATGTTCCTTGTGGGTTTGATCACTCTCACAAACGGTTACGCCGTGTTTTTCGACTTCAAAATCGCCGATTTCCTTGCGGCATACATTACATTCCCAATTGTGCTTGGACTTTATGTGGTACACAGAACATATTCATACTTCTGGGTTGGCCGTAAGAGATGGCTCAATCCTTTGGAATCTTTCGACTTCAGCAAGTTAGAGCTCGTCGAGGAGGAACAGAGAAATACTCCCCAACCTCAACCCAAGAATGCTTGGGAAAGATTCCTCAATGTGATCTTCTGATCCATTCAATTCTACTCTATCTTATTATAGGTTATTATACGATGCATATGTCTTACTATTTTTATAGAAATGATGAAATTTAGAGATTGTAATTGTAGTCAAGTCTGCTAAGTGCGATCAAACCAAGATCTCAACCACCTTTCTCGTCTCGAGATCGTCCAAATGAATAGAGAAAGTCGATTTCATATCGACTGTAAGCATAATATCAGAAAAATAGGTTGCAAAAGCAAAAAAATGGACGAGTCCGGATTCGAACCGGAGACCTTTCGCATGCTAAGCGAACGCGCTACCAACTACGCCACACGCCCTGGGAAGAAGTGGTCCCTAGCAGGATCGAACTGCTGATCTTGGCGTTATTAGCACCACGCCTTAACCAACTGGGCCAAGGGACCTACTTGAAATGAAATGGTGCAGGTCACCATCCAAATGCGCACCACTAAAATCTCATTTCGCGCTTATTTTTAACCCTAGTTACATCTTTGGAATGCTAGAATTAATACTAGCCATTATAAACCTAAATCTGGCCCAAAAACCGATTTTGGGGCGAGCTATAAGCCAAAATGGTTTAGGGACCGGGAACATACTAATTCTACACCTGTTTAGTGATTTTAGAAGATTTGAAGCTAAAAAAAAAAATGAAGCTGTCCAGTAGGAGCCATTTCCTCCTTATACCTCATTCTGCATCTGTGTCCTTTTTTTATTTTTTTGTTAACTATCCAAAAGGAATAGAAGACGATACTGTCAGTCTGTTTACTTTGAGCAACTGCTACTGAATGCTAAATATTCTACATGGCTGGCGATCGATTGAATTCTTTACCTATCAATTGGCACCTCTCACTATCCCTACGTGATTTAGATCAGAATTCTTGCCCCAGCTGAAATCTCTCTGATTCACTTGGCTAGCTTCACCAACAACACTTTACCACTGTCCAATAATACCTCCCATTTCCTTCCCCAACTCTTCCTAACAGGCCTATAACAGTTGTCAAAGTCAACAATACCACAAAGGTCAATGACGTAGTTGGTATTGTGTTTTTAACTCCACAGTATATAAACATCCAAGGAAAGAATTTAGGCCAATTCGCAGTAACTGGGGAAAACCTCTAGGGTTGTGTGAAAAAAGGTTAAATACCCAAAACTAAAGCGTGCCACAAAAATATGATACCATGAAGAAACTCAACTTATTTATTAATATTATTAATGTGTAGTAGTCTTGGAATCTTTTCACCGAGTTTGAAGACTTTTCTTCCTTTTTTGGCCCCGTTTTCCAGCTTCTGTAGATTCGCTGGACGTTGTGAGACCACACTGGCACTAGACGGTATTGTGTGCGAAGCGCCTCGGAGATGTACACCAAAGCCGCATTCAACCCTGACGGTGCCATTCGCCTCCACGGCTCTCCCCAGGTATAAGATAACGCCAATTGTCCTATTTTTCAGTGCCAACAAAAAACTACTACTATAGAAAATATGTCTGACTTTACTGAATATAACGTGTCCTCTTTGGCCACATGGAACAACGCCTTGAACCTGGACTTGAACACCCAGTTGGGTGCCTCTGTCTTGAGGACCTATAATGCGGAGGAGGCATTGATTAACCGTGAAGTGTTCATCAGAAACTCCAACAAGGTTTTCAACACCAGCGTGAAGGTGCAAGGTGCACCAGTGACCAACCAGAAAGCCAGTGGCCGTTGTTGGCTCTTTGCCAGTGGTAACGTCTTGAGACTTCCATTCATTGAGAAGCACAACATCAAGGAGTTCCAGTTCTCCCAGCTGTACTGGTTCTTCTTTGATAAGCTTGAAAAGTGTAACTTCTTCTTGGAGAAGTTTGTCGAGTCAATTGATGCTTCTGAGGACTTGGATATCAACTCTCGTCTTATCCAGCACTTGTTGGATGATCCTACTTGTGACGGTGGTCAATTCGATATGTTCATTAACGTGGCTGAAAAGTACGGTATGATTCCTCATGAATTGTATCCTGACGCTTACTCTGCCACTGCTTCAAGAACCTTGAACTTCTTGCTTAAGACCAAGTTGAGAGAATTCGCCCAGCAGTTGAGTAAGGCTAAGAAGGACGCCCCAGACTCGATCCAGGAGTTGAAGGAGAAGCAGCAAAAGGAAATCTACAGACTTATGGTCATTTTCTTGGGTCAGCCACCACTTCCAGATTCTGAGTTGGTTTGGGATTACAAGGATAAGGATGACAACGTCAAGCAGTTGAAGTTCACTCCATTGCTGTTCTACAAAGATTTGGGTATTGACTTGAAGAACTACGTTTCCTTGTTGAATGACCCTCGTAATCCATATGACAAGATCATCAAGATTGACAAGTTGGGTAACGTTGTTGGCGGCAAAGAAGTGTCTTACTTGAACATCGACATCGACCAATTGGCCAAGTACGCTATTGAACGTATCAAGAGCAACCAGGGAATCTTCTTCGGTACTCACACTCCAATTTACATGGATAAGAAGAGAGGTATCATGGATGAGGAGCTCTATAACTACAAGCTCATTGACTTCCACGCCTCCCAAGACAAGGCTAGCAGAATTGAATACAAGCAGTCTCTCATGACACATGCAATGGTCTTGACTGCCGTGCACTTGGATGAGCAGGGAAACCCTGTCAGATGGAAGGTTGAGAACTCCTGGGGTAAAGATTCTGGTCAGGATGGTTACTATTGTATGGACCACAAGTACTTCAAGGAGTACGTCTACCAGATCGTTGTCGACAAGTCTGAATTGCTGGACAACCACCAGTCGATTGTGTCTGAGGCAGCTGACCCTGTGGTCTTACCACCATGGGACCCTATGGGAGCTTTGGCTAATTAGGTATTTAGGTTGCAAAAAAATATGCGCGATTGCACAGAGTAGCTGTTACCCGCACCCGTCCTACAATACATCTCAGAAAAAAATTACTTGTTAGTCTCATCTATATTCTTTTTCAAGTGAACACCATAAAACGTATGTTTCTACCTTGACACAAGGATGAAAAACAAACACAGACCTGATCTGAACAGGACTTCGGTCCTCATGCAGATAAACCGTTATTGCCTAATAAGCTGATGTCTTCAATTGCAAGTTCGTTTACTAACAATTTAGCTGATTCACCTTTCCGACATTGCATTCCCTTTCTTGAGGAATTTCATTCAAAACTGGTACATTTTATAAGGCATTTTCACTTGTTCTCTATATGTTTATCCCTGTTCTCTTGCCTTGTCTGTCGTTTGTCTCTTATGGCCTTGGACAGAGATTAAACTTCCTCACTCTCTTCGCCATGATATTCCTACTGATTACTCTTTTCTTTCAAAAAGTTGGTTTGTTTTTGAAAGGGGATCATCTTTGCGTTTCTCTTGGACAAGTTCGTTAGAAAGTCCTTGTTTTGTATGCTTTTCTGGTTTTTTAGACTTCTTACTACCCATTCACTTCTTATTTTCAGACTTCATGATTTTCGTTTCCAGCAGACACTTAAATCATCTTCTTCACTTTCTTTCTACGTTTCACTACGTTACAACTAGTGTACACGAAATATATTATTTTGGGTTACTATTGAAGACAGAATGATGCTTATTTCTTAGCGGTCAATCTTCTCAAGTAGAAGGCCAACTCCTCACCCTCCAAGATGTAACCATCACATCTACCGGACTGACCTGGTCTTGAAGAGATGCAAGCGTACAACTTACCAGCAGTGAACTGGTGGTCGACAGCAGACTCAACGTTAGAGGAAGCAGCTCTAGAAGCCAACTTTCTCTCGACCTTGTGAGATCTCTTGACCTCCTCCTCGGACTGCTTCTTACCCAAAGACTTACCGTAGTGAGTCTCGAACCACTGTCTGAATGGGGTGGCATCGATCTGGACAATAGCGGCCTTGGTCAAGGTGTTAGTTCTGACCAACTCGTTGTTAGATGGGTGGTAGACGACAGAGGCAATTCTGGTCTTTCTGGCAACACCCTCGGAAGCCCAAGAGAAGTTACCGGTCTCAACTCTCAAAGCTCTGAACTTCTGGTTACCACCTCTGGTTCTGACAGTGTGGATTCTCTTAGCACCAATCTTGGTGTTGGCTGGTTGTCTACCTAACTCGAACTTTCTCTTCTTTCTGAACTGAGCTCTTTTGGCACCAGTAGCAGCACGCTTGTGACGAGAGTCTCTAGAAATACCCATGGTGAACTAATTGTTAGTACGATGTCTTATTGTTGATGAGGACTCCGAAGATAGATTGACTGTGGATTTCACGGCTTATTGATCTTTTAAAACAATAAATGATGGATGGATAATTGATCTTGACGTTTGCAAGCACTTAGACTGATCTTCTTCGGGTTGATTGATGATGTTTCTTGTAATTTAACATACTTCTTGGTTACTGTCTAGTAGAAAAAAAGAAGATATTCAAGTAGCTCCTATAGAAAAAATTTTCGCTGGGAGCGGTGGTGCAGGCCTGAGAATTCTAAGGTGAGGAGGTAAAGGTCTACTGAAAATTTGGTCACGTGCACTAACTTAGTGCGAGCATCCTGATCTCGTTAACTAGGAAGAGCTCCCACACTGCGAGGTCTCACTCACAAAACCGTTGCGCACGTGAGTGCAAGATAATGAGGGCTGTAGCCCTAAAACCTACCAGTGTCGCTAAACCAACACTTGACAAGTCAACAGGAACAAACTATAGATGTTTCTATTTAAAACAAGAATAAAGAAGAAAAAAAAAAACTGCATCGAATCTACTGCCCAATTTTATTCGTAATATTGGAGCCAACAAACGGAACAATACACCATTCGTAGTGATCAACGGGCAGGCTAACCCTTACTAGCCCACTATGAGACAAACTTCCAGTTTCGCGGCAAGTATACAGCCGGTCTAAAAGCGAAGGGAGGTATCGAGATTGTGTCTCTTCATGTGGCTTAGCAAGAAATATCCCTTGTAATTACGTACATCAAGGCCGGAGTTGCCCATATTTGTTTAAGCATAACAGCAATACAGCCAATTACCTAATTTTATGTTGTTCTCTTGTCCGCATTCAGCTGTCTGAATCAGCTATAATGGCAAGGATATATGGTACACCCATTAAGGGCAATTGCGCAATGGATTGTATTACGTTAGAGGTAAAAGAACATGGTAGGCCGCTAAGGAATGTCTGGGCAGTCGTCACAACGTATAGAAGGATACATTATCTCAGACAACAAAGGGTCAATCGAAATGGCTGTGAGATCCAATTGACGCAAGATACGAGGCTATTGTTTGTGCACCACTCGCCAGCCACACAAACAGTACCCAAAGAAAGACCCAATTTCAATACCCCAAAGTAGATATAAGGCAGTAGAATAGTAAGTTTGTGGCGTGATAAATTAGCGGCCATGTGAATCAATAAAGAATGGCTGCAAACTATGGGGGCCTGCATGAAGCGTAGCGGGCAGTGAAAAGCTCATCACAATCTCATCGCTTGGCCCAACTTCACCAACGATTCTCATGGAGACAGTAACAGTGTACGATGAAATAGAGATCGAGGACTTTGTCTACGATCCAAATACCGGTCTCTTACAATACCCATGTCCATGCGGGGACAAGTTTGCCATTCTGTTGGATGACCTACGGGATGGTGAAGACATAGCAGTTTGTCCCAGCTGCTCGCTAATGGTGCGAGTGATATTTGAGGAGGAAGACTTGGACGAGTACGAGTAAGAAGGGAGTTAAAGGAGGAAAAGAGGAAAAAGCATATTTTGGGAAAGACCGAGGGCGGTCGATGTATATAATAAGGAAAAGGAATTGATATTTAGGTGAGTGGACAAAGTTCAATGTAGAAATCGAGCCCAACGGGGATCTTCCCTCGAGGCACTAGTAACGGCTGGTGCGCAGGGACAAGACAGAAAAAGAGACTGAGCACTCGCCCCAAGGGAGGGACTAGCCTTGTTTTCAGAGGGAATGCGACCAAACAGGCTCCCCAGGCCCTGCGGAGTTTTACTGACGATTGGCGCGAAACCGGGACACCCCATACTGTGGGAGCCGGCTCCCAGTGCGGCCCAGCCCAGCCCCAGCAACTTGAAGCGGGCCCTCCAGAGGACCCCTGATATGTATGGTCATCTTTGTTCTGCATCATACGAGGTAGCCAAACTCCGAATGGATGTATCAAGGGGCCCAAAAGTAGTGGAAAGGTGGAGGTAGTTTTCTTGGTTGTGGAGGTGGCTGCTAGGCTTCAACTAGGTTCGCCCTCAACGGCACGTTTTGGACCGAGCCTAACGGTATGAACCGATGCCGGCGCCAGTATGAGCCAGTGCGATCGCCCGCGCGAACAGACGTGAACTGGCGTGAGCAGTGAGCAGCAGCGTCAGCAGCATCAGCAGCATCAGTTCAGTACCAAGGCTAGCGTCAGCGTTTCGGCGCCAGCGCCAATGCTTCTAACTGAATTTAAGCCCTCGACAGGACCTTGAGCAAAGGATAAGCATTCCCCTCAGTTTAGTCGTTTTTTTTTTTTTTTTCTGTTCTTGTTAAACTGATTCTTTTTTTTTTCTCAGCGGTCATGCTATTGTCATTAAAAGACCAACGTTTGCGGTAGGCATAAGACCTAATATAGAGATAATCGTGGGGGGAAGTCGCAGGGGAGGTGGTGGAATCCCGATAAAGTTGGCCCTGGCCCTGGACCTGGCACTTTTTTTTTCTCCCTCGCTCCCCACCAAAAACAGCAGGAGCAGCACAACCAGTGCTGTGGTGCCGCATTGCTCACTGAAACCGCGCAGTGGCTTGTCAGTCCCTGGCAGCAGCTCCAGCAGCAGCAGCAGCAGCTCCAGCAACCGGGTGGTGGTGCTATAACCCCGGTTCTCTACCTCCTTCTTCATGCTCGCCGGTACCGGTCGGCTACCAGCCCGGTGATCTTGGCCTGACGATTGTCTTGCCGCCACAACGAACCCAGAAAAAAGACAAGAAAGCATAAAGCTTTTTTGTCCTGACTCTCAGAGCCTTACCATCGAGCCTATTGTGACCCGCTCGCGAACTCTGTGCGAGCCAGTGCTGCTTATTGTGTGGGTCCATTGTACCGCCAGGCTTGGGCCATGGCGGCGCGATCGGTGCAAAGACAAAACTGCCAACGCCGGTGCCAGACCAATCCCTCTAAGTAACCCAAAGCGAAAGGCAAACTCTGGATAAGCTTTTTACTAATATTTATTATGAATTCCGCTCCTACGTTGGCGTTCGCTTGTCAATCGCCGTTTCTCAATACTTTGCCTACTTTCTATTCTTTCCTTCAAAGGCGTTGAGGCCCTGGGAAAACACCAGGGCACGGCGAATGTAGCGCGCCTAACACTTCCAGCTGCCGTCTCGTTCTGGAGGGGGCCCTGTGTCCACTCGCACTGCGTGTCATAATGGCTGCACGTCCTCGGGTTTCTGTAGCTTTCCTCCTGGGCCTCAATCTTTGGTACCGTCCATCCTGCGTTTCGACGCCCCGCCTCACAAAGCAAAAAAAAAAAAAAAAAAAAAAAGGAAGTCGACATGACGAAAAATTGGAAAATAATAATAAGAATAATAATAATCATATCGCCTTTTCCTCCTCCCCCTCCTCTCCTGCCTTTGTTGTTTCTCGGACGCCCTGGATTTTGCCCAGGACGTGCTTCTCCAAGTAAAACCATTTGCTTTAAGCCATCGTCATTCTTTTGCGCTTTTTTTCCCTCATATCATGCTAGATATCGTTGGGGGATCTTTACCTCGTTTCGACTTGTTTTTTCTGCTTGCGTTTTTCCTTTTTTTGGCACGGTTAAACCGGTGCGTGTGCCCGTTATCTCCTGTGCAAAATGCTCCAGATCCTTTTTTTTTTTTTTACTCTTCTACTTTGGCCGTGGTGGGAAGCACTTTTTTTTTTTTTTTTCTGGTTACCTCTTTTTGCCGCCCTGCTAGAGCCTCATGCGCTTTGTTGTCCCTCTAGCAACATTAACCGAGTACCGATTACTGCAAATCGAAACCAACCTGACAGAATCTTTCCCTCTTAATGGGGCCACCCTCACCGGCCTAATCTGGTCCCTCTTGACAAGCCATTCTCTTTTGGGAGACACTCCCTCAGGGAATTAACCAAGAAGATGCCTCAAAACCGGTGTTGGGTCCATGACCCGTTTTTTTTTTTCTTCCCAAAACTTTTTGGCCCCAGTACATGGACAAGAGATTTAGAAGGAAGGAAAAAAAAAAATCAGAAAGAAAAAAAAAAAAAAAAAAAGGAAAAATTAACAGTAAACGTAATAGCAAAAAAAAAAAAAAAAAAACAAGCCAGAATGCATCGTTTTTTCACTCTAATTTTTTTAAGCGAACGGCCGGCCCTTGACTACCGACAACGAACGCCCGTTGCCGCCTAAAAATTCCCATATGCCCAATCAGCTTCCCAACCGCCTGGGATCCTCCACACATGACTCCACCGGGTCCTAATCTATTACACACATACATAAGTATAACTTGGGTAGCCTTGCTTTTTGCCCGCCTGCATGACTTTTTCTGTTTTTAGGTGCATTTGGCTTAAGTCTTTATTATCACTTTTCCAATTTTTTTTTTTTTTTTTTCCTTTCTTCCTTCTTTCTTCTGATATATATACATATTGTATTCCTGTTGCATACTTTTTTTCTGTTCTCGGTGGTGCACAATTTAAAAGCCCGTGAACCGAAGGTTTCCACGAATCTTACCACTTTTTTTATATATTTTTATTTTCCCCATTCAACCTTCCACTCGCAGACTGCTCGTTTTGCGTTAAGAACAACCGTTCTTTCCAACTTCCATCCAGGGATTCTTTCCTTATATTTCAACTTTCCCTGTTTGATCTCGGTAAAACTTCCCGTTCCGTGACGTCAAAGGGCGCTTTTCAGTACCTAACGCTGTTCCCTGACTCTACTTAACTAAGAGAGAGTCTCCTCCTGGAAGCGAATACCTATACTTTTTTTTCTTTTCAAGTTTACTTGCGTTTCCCTTTCAGCTGTCGTTTACCTTTGTCCACGATTTCGTGCTTCCTCCGTCAACTCCAATAGCAGATGAAATCCCTAATGGTTGAGAATATGAAAGGCTCTCCTCCTGACTTTGCCAGCGAAAAGGACTCTGTGTCCTATAAACTGGCTCATGCTCCTCCGTCTACCGTCCGCCGTGGTCCGTGGCTGCCTGACGAAGACCGTCGGCTTATGTCCATCATCGCCGTCCAAGGTCCTACGAACTGGGTGCGTATCCTGAGTCTGCTCGGCTCTAGGCTGCCTAAGCAGTGTCGTGAACGGTATCATCAGAATTTGAAGCCTTCGCTTAACCGTAACCCTATTACCGCAGAGGAAGGTATGCTTATCGAACAGCTCGTCGCCAAGCATGGTAAAAAGTGGGCGGAAATAGCCAGACATCTTACCGGTAGAAGCGACAACGCTATCAAGAACTGGTGGAATGGAGGGGCTAACCGCAGACGCAGAGTAAGCCATGTGTCCACTCTGTCTGGCGATCAACACACCCCAGCTCTGACTGTGCTGGGTGCTAATTCTGGCTATAATTCCGCCATGGGCTCCGGTCCCAACTCTGCGCCCGTTTCGGCACCGGTGTCGAACTCAGGCCTGTTTTCCCATCCATCCATGACCCAGTACGCCCACTTGCGTCCCCAGCTAGCCCAGTCTGTATCGCCTCAGCGTTCTCGCCATAATTCCCTAAGTTCTGGCGTGGCTCCAGACGGCCATGCTGTGTCCCAATATCCAAAAGTACCCCAGTTCTCACAAATTTCGTTCAACACCTCGATGTTTAGTGAGCTGGATAAACGCTCGCAGGCGGGTCTTAATGGGATTCCTCCCCCTCCTCAGGGTCATTTTCCACAGTTGTCGTCGGCTAAGGCACCCATTCGTCTGGCAAGCATCGACCACCCTACTCTCCCGCCATTATTGTCGAACTTCAACAAGCGTGTGGGAGAAGAGGACCGTCGCCATTCTTTGAATGCTACCTTGCCCCCTTCCACTCTGCCAGCACTGTATCTGCAGCAGGCTCCATACCTGGCCCACCCGCTCAATAATAATCTCACTAATCTGCCTACACAAGGTATTAACAGCAGCCATGGTGATAGCTCACATTACAGCCTGCCAGTGTCATACATTTCACGCCAGAATTCCTTGAGCCATGATTATAAACATTCCTTTGCATTACCGCTGGCTACTTCAAGCTCTCATCCACTGAGACGCTCGTCGGTGGCCCCAGACTTGTTCCCCAATCCGATGGCTGGCCACGGCTCTGGGGACATGTGGATGAAGCGCAATCAACTGCTGATTCTGCTTCACTCGCCGTCCATAATGCCCATCAACTCCAATCCTAACCGCCTCTCGGTTAGCAGTGCCCTGGGACTCCTGGATCACGGTAAGCCCCAGAACAACTACACCGGTCTGAGCAGCGCCGGCGCTCCTGCTCACTCGGCAGTATCAAGCGACGCTACTTCTACAGCCTCTACGAACATGGTGCCAGTGTCTGGATCGAACTCTGGCATCCCTTCGTACAAAAACCTCCTCCGCAGCATCAACAGTACACCCATCCCGGAGGATAAGGATCAGGATGCTGCCGAGACAGACCGCATCAAGGTACTGAATCTAATTGAGTGAGTTATGTAGTATAATTTCATTATTCCACGATACATGTGCGTGCCCATGGGCAATCAACCAACAATCCCAAAACCCAGATGTGGGGTTGGTTTTTTTTCTTGTTTGACTGTGGTGCGTTTTATCTGTAGTTATGCTAATTTATGCGTGGTGAGAAACGACCGCAAGCACGTCGGCTTTATGACAAAAGTTGCGAAAAACAGTAAAGAACGGAAAGAAGAGAGAGAAAAAAAAATGTTTGGTGCTCCCAGTCACGCCTGCTGGGCGGGAATCGACTCGTCTCTGCGTGCTTCTCCACCCCCATTTCTAGTCATACGCCCATAAAGATTCCTTAGCAAGCTCAAAACCATGTATCCCTCTTCTAGTTAAGCGCTACGGAAACTCATATGTTCATCTAGCCAAAGGCGAGCGCGGACGTTCGTGCCAACCGTCTAGTCCCGTCCTTGGCACGCCTTGTTGGCGCCTTGAGCTCTAGTCTTTTCATATGAAACTCCAACGATCAGTGGCTAAGCGCAAGTCAGAAATATGTCAATATCGCTTAATCTATTTGCACGTTACTCCGTTGGCGCGAGCCGGCACGCCCGGGCTACCGGTTTCAGATGATATTGCTAAAAAAAGGTCCCACGGGAGGATCTTTAGGGCTAACAGCGATTTGCTGTTGCCGGGGATTATCTGGAGAAATTGAAATCGAACTCCTCGTAAATTTTGTGTTCCTGAACTTATCTGGGGAGGGCACGTTGGGCACCGAGTTTGCAGCCATTCGCTCGCGGTGAGACTTGGTGAAGGTATGAAAGGTTGTCTAGCCAACGCAGGTATACTGTAAAATTCTTTGATTATATCCAGTGTAGTTCACTTGATTTATTAAAATGTTATGTTGAAAGTGGGCTAAATCTAACAGTTGCTGGTGAAGTGTGGGTAGAGAGACTCTGGTTCACCGATTTCTCTGTGTCATACTCTTTTTCTTGGTGGAGTCATTTCCGCTAGTGGTCCCCACGTCTTCGGCAAAAGTCAACTTTCCGTTCGTAAGCTTTGGCGAGATTTCTTGTGTCACCTACGGAGAGACCCCGAATGGGGCCCCGAATGTCTATGAATACAACGGAACAGAAGGGTCCCTTGAGATGAGTCCTTAGAAACAACATGTTTTTTCTTTTCTGGTTTTTTTTTTTTTTATGTTTCATTACTGTTCATTTATTTTTTTTTTTTTTATTATTTTTTTCTTTTGGTTGTTTCTTCGTCGTAATTGGTGTCTCGCTTATCATGTACTCTTCACCGACCCACTGTGTATCTCATCTATCCTGCCTGTGAGCATCAAGGAAGCAAGACACTGATCCCACACTTAGATGCTATGCTATATCTCCATTTGATACACAACCGAGTACTTGTGTTCAGCATCGATGATATCGAGAAACTTCGATCTTTAGGCATTGTTGGGGTTCTTGTAGGAACCCTACCTAAAGCTCCGCAACAGAACGTCTTTCTTGGTGTCCCTATACAACTAAGTGTCTACGAGGTACTATGGCTCATTGATAACGGCCACGCCATTCTTATAGAGAGTGCTTCATATCACGAGAAGCTAATGGAGGATTCGACGCCAGAAATGATAAACAAGGGCAATACTGTTCGCTTGGAGGGCCCTTCCAACTCGCGATATGTCATTACTCCCAATGAGCTGCCCAACGAAATTGGCTTAGACCCATCTCAGTTTCAGGTCTCAAGGGATGAGTTCTTGAACCGCCAACCTAAATCGGACGACAACTTCTTGGAGAAATATAGTGCCTTCAAGAAACTACGCAATATGGGCCATTACCTTATGCCTGGTCTCCGTTTCGGTGGCACGTTTGTGAGTTATCCAGGTGATCCGTTAAGATTTCATTCCCACTTGATCGTCAAGTGTGTGAAGCCTGATGAAGAAGTGAGCCTTATTGATATCGTAACGGGAGGTCGTTTGGCTACTGCAGTGAAGAAAGCTTGGGTTCTAATATCACCATCGGAGGGCTCAGAAGAGGACGGTGCTGGTAATGCCTTTTCTATAGAATGGGCAGGGTTCGGTTAATCATACTTTTCACACTATAACATCATACTTACCAAGAACTCCTCACCAGTTAGTAGGAAGTTCAGGGAGAGGTCCATTAGCAGTTCCGTTGATGCTGGCAATTTGAGAAATGAGCTCGTTAATTTGAGACCAATCCTCAGTACCATCCTCGAAGTCTTCGTGGTCAAAGACAATCTTTCCATGTTCAGCATCGACTCTGCGTTTATAAGTAAAGTCTTTTGTGGGGCCACTCACCTGAATTTTGTAGTTCGTGGTCAAGTTAGCATCGCCGTAGTTACCGTCCAGGCGCTGATGGAAAATAGAGGTACCGTTCTGTCCAACTGCACTTCCCATCACTCTCTTATCGTCAATATCCAAGGTGGTTGCGACTGAGTAAACAATCGAGATATTTAAGTCAGTGCCATTGGAGGAACTCTTTTCATTTGAAGAAAGCACTAGAGGGTAACTCAATGACACATTTGTCAGATGAATTCTATCTTCTTCGTCAAACTTGTTGACAAGAAGGAAGGACTTGGCGTTGTGACCGGTATGGACAACTTTCTGGTTAGCACCCAGGTTGAGGTACAGCTGAACATTGGAGATCTCTCCCTTATTGAACAGGCTGGCGATTGTGCTCACTTCTTCCCCATTTGCCAACGTGAGAGTGAGTTCACTGGTCAACTCTCCTTCTAAAATGCCATTAACGATTTGCAGCAAGAAAATCTTACGTCCAAAAGCAATCAGGTTAGCTCTGGTTCTGTTACCGATGTGAATAATCTCACCGGACCCCTTTACCACATCCTTGTTCTCGTAAGTCAATAAATTGACGCCAGTGATCCATCCATCACCGACGCCGGAGTGTTCATCATTAGCCTCATCAAGGCCGTTACTAATATCAAAAGATATCGTATGCTCTCCGTCTTCCCAAAGTAAAGGCAACAAGCCAGAGACATCAACATTAATACTTGGGAGGTCAAAAGCATTAATAGCCACAACCGGGGACCAGAGCGAAGGAGATATTCCTCCGGTGAATATGAAAGGCTGCTGGGTCTGCGACGCAATCTTCTCTCCATCGAAATACACATTCACAATACGCAATGGACCATGACCAAGTAACTCGCTTGGCGCAAAGATGGACTTGAACTTATCCAACACGTTGGTGTACCAGAATTCCTCGTCACCATTTCCGCTAGAAAATACATCCAATTGCAATCTAGTAGTGTTTCTTGATACCTGTGGCAATTTCAATTCAAGATGTTGCTCGCCAGACAATGTGACAATTGGTGGGGTCTTAGGATCCTTCTGCTCGATCAAGGGGTATACCTTGTCAGCAGGCTTTCTGATATCGAAGTATTGGTATCTTTCATCGTTTGAGGAAGCATCGACCTCTACTGGACCGAACTCTGCGCCATGCGTACTGTGGTCATTGTAGAAATCAGCGTACAATTCGACATGAGGCTCGCCGTTGATGTTATCGTTCACAACGTTATCCAATTGAAACAAAATACCGTTCTTCTCTTTGAACAAGGCAAGGTATTTGGAAACATCTTTGCTAAAGATGGAAAATACCAACAGTCCACCCGGTTCAATGGTACTGGTTCTCCAGATTTCAGCACCTCCGACATAGAGATGAGCCAACCTGTCGTACTGAACTCCTGTAACATTAGTGTGTAACGTCAAAACCACCCTGTTGAACTCAATTTCTGGAGGAGTATACTCAACGAACAGAGGGTCTCCCCACAGTGAAAACGTCTTGTTAGCCAAAAGCTCAGTATGCAAAGATTCACCGTATCTCTTGCTCGGCACAAAAGGATATGATACCTCAATGATCTCCTTTGGTGCCTCTTGAACGGAAAAGACACCAGCTGTGGAGCCAATTCCAACATTCCTACGTCCCGTCACAAGTCCAGGACCAAACTTCAATGGCAGAACCAACTTTTGGGTTTCATACAAGGCAAACACGGCAGTAACCGCTACCCAAGCGTAAATGGCAAAGATTCTATAATTCATTGACCGTTTCTTGGGCTCTTGCTCCTCCTTTTCGTTAAAAGTGGTTTCCTGAACCTCCTCAACGGGAATCCTGGAGGAGCCATATATAAGACGATTCCACACGGAATCATCACGAGCAAGATGTTTACTCATGTTTATTTTGATTCCAATTTCGCTAAAAATTCCAGTGGAACGCAATGCCGTTTAAACGCGTGGAAAACGGTGGCTTCTTATCAGCTTTATATAACGTTTACTGCAGGGAAAGAGTGGCGCTAAATGCGCAAGGTTGCGAGAATCGGGTTTTGGCATATGTCAAGCCCCAGACACCCTCCCATGTGCATTTGCGACATTCTAGTGGATTAAAGTTAACTTTATCTATACAATGACTCCTTCGAGCCTGCCTTCGCTTTGTTGCTGATCAGCGATATGCTCCAATGTACGATCGAAGTACAATTCGACAAGACGTAAAATCCTCACGTCTTTATCATCCTCCGAGGCCCGAGACGCATCTTGCTCCTTGAGGTTGGCCAAATTGTTACGTATCAAGTCGATAAGGCCATTGATGTACCGCGCATCAATTAGCCAGTTCCCGTAGACGTTGAAAATGACACAACGATTGAGAATCTCCACGAAAAGCCTCAACAGAAGCAATGCATCCATACTCGAGTCTGCTACTCTAAGGGCTTTCTGGAGACATTCAAGAACTCTCTTCCCATCCTGGTAAAGCAGTGGCTCATTCTCCTCTTCTGGCAGCTCTGTTTTTGGTCATCCTCCGTGTTTGCTTCTTCCTTCAGTTCGTCTTCCGCGTCTTTTACACTTTTGCAGATGCCAGCTCTGATTCGGTTGGAACAACTGTGGGTGAGGGTCCCTCAATCAATGAGTCGCACCACCACCACAAGTGAGCACAGCCGTAAATTGCACGGCACTGGTCCTGCTTCTTCAATAATTTGGAACCATAGAGGGTGATCTTAGTAATCAAAGACTCGTAGTTTTCCTTACTGAAATACCGCAGATTGGCTAAAGCATTCGAAATAGCTATGACCAGTCGGTAAGAGACTGATCCACCCATAGGATCCTGGGACTTGGTGCATTCTTCGCTGGTTTACTCACAGAGAGATTCTCTTCAAAGACAACGAAACTCTGTTGGAACAATTCATATGCCATTGTTTCTTGCTTCAATTGGTCTGCAATAGAAGCTGCGTTCAAATACAATTTCAAGATGTACTCTGCATAAAATGTCTGATGTTGCTGATAAAGCTCATCAATGACAACAGCTAAACTCTTGAAATTATTCGTAAGTGATTGTTCCGCCTGTTTAAGTGACCCCAGTGATTGGTTTTTCGATCTTGAACTCTTGTAAGCTGAGACTCTCAAAAGGTTTGTGATTTTTAGAATAAGCGTCGGGTATGTGTAAATGATATTGTCTGGGCATCTGCTCAAGTACTTCTTCCTCACGAAGAGAAGACTTGACAACGCTTTGGCTGGGTCATCATGGGAAATCAAATGCAAACATTTGCAGATTTTCTCTTGTCTTTCCAAAAAGTCGTCGCTTACGACTTTCTCTCCGCCTTCTAACTTTATCGATTTCTTTATGCCCAAGTCTTTCTGAGTGTCTACCTTGTAGTCCTGCTCTTCAATGAGAATCAAGAGGTATGCAAATATGTCGTCAATGTCATCATTGTTTTCTAAGGTTTGCTCATGGGGCAGGATGAGGAGCTTGTCCACGATCTCAAGTGAGAGTTGTCTCTTGAAAAATGGATCAGGAATCTGTTCGAAAAGCTGCCTAAAATACTCTAGCTTGAGCAAATCCTTTATGGAAGTGAGTTCATTGACCGGCGCAACGAGAAGTTCGTACCACAAACTAGACTCTGAGCGCTCTTTTGGACCGTCCTCAGCCCTGCTTTTCTTCAACGTCTTCATTGCATACTCAAAGATTTTGTTTAAGTTTTCGTAATTGTCAGGTTGCAAGTTGAGTGCAAGTTTGATAAGCGAGCGGAGGATGGAACAAATCTCTTCCGGAGGAAGCGACGGTTGTAACTGATCGAGATTATCATAGAACAGCCAGAAAGAGCCAAAAATCAGATCCGCTGGCACGCTAGGCTCATGTGTCGTTTTTTCGATCTCTTTATCATCTCCAAGTCCGTCAGTTCCATCTGTTGCTTCCTTTAAGTCAGCTTCGTATTTAAGATTAGTAACAAACCTGTCCACTAAATTTGATATCAACTCCGACTTCTGCAATGCTGGGTGTAATTTCAAGAAAACATTGTTGAGTAAGTCATCCATTGTCGCAAAATGAAAATTGTCAGGGAATATTTGAATCAAGACATCTATCAAGTAGCTTTGCGCAAGATGGTCCTTGCATTGAATTATTTGTTCGGTCACGATAGGATAGATCGTATCCTTATAGTAGTTTTCACCAAAATCCTTTTCATCAGTGGGGAAGTCGTCAATGGCTTGCGAGAGGCGCACCAAATTCGATCCAACGAGAACCTTCAACTCTTTTCTCTCTCTGTATCTTAACTCACGCTCACTGGAGTGGCCCTGATGCTGAAGACGAACCCAAAGCTTGTTCATTTCAATAAAATTTGTCATAAGGAAGTCGACGGTGTCCTCGAAATCCTCTTCCTTCTCGACCGGTAAGAGATCTTTTGAACGTTGGGATAAGTAGTTCCTCAAAAAGAGGCCCCTAATCGGATGCTGAACACCTTTACACATCTCTATCATATCTTTCATAATCTCCTTGGTGCTTTCACTATTAGTGGACATGTACGTTGTACCTATGACAATCATCATATACAATCTAGGCACAATGTTACCCAGATACTGAACCAATTCGTACAAATCCGCCAAGAATGGGGGATCATCTTTCTTCTTCATCTTCCGTTGATGGGATTGCTTTAAGTAGTTAGAAAGAAACTCTAGGGAATCGAACACTGCAATGTATAACTCGTAGTACTCCTTCGGCGAGAGTTGGGACGTTCTCAATTCATTGAGAAAGTTCAGGCAGTTCTTCAATGCTGGAAGAAGCTGGCCCTCGCTAAGATTATCCTTCATATGCTTTGAATGGAGTCGGATATTGCTCAAACATTGCTGGACGTTGGGGCTACTGCTGGCCATTTGTGGGTTGTCTGATAGTAGAGACGTACGTATAAAGTCCTACAGTAATGATCGCAGATAGTAAATCCGTGCACCCCACAACTCGCTCTTATCAGTATATTGGCAACCAAGCTAGCAAGCAAGGGAAATAATTGAAAATATGATAATTCTGTAGTGGATTTAATGTTTTGAAGGATTTTATTAGTATTGGTAACGGTTTTATTAAATTCATGATTGTTTGTGTATTTTAATTTAGTATCTCGGTTTGCAACTTAGTGCTCAGAGTTCATTGGGTGAGCAAAAAGGCAGTACTAATTGGTGAAATCTTGTAAATTAGTAACTTGAAGACAAGAGAGACTGAGTATTTTAAATCAAGGCAAAATACAAAGAATGAAAAAAATTAAATTAAATGAATCTTAATATCATTAAAAATATCGATGACATTCCTGGACTCAAGAAGCACGTTGAAGACGTTTACTCACTGAATCAATGTTAAACGGTCGGAGCCTGACACTCCAAGCCTACAAAAAGCAACTAATCGTTCTTGGAAAGCCAAATCTTATCCATCCAGGATAGCTTGGTTACATCTCATTAATCTTAAATATTTTATAACTATTATATCAATTTAGGTCGTAGAATTCGTAAGGAAAGGGTCTTCGTCAACCAGCATTAAACAGGTTAATTCTTAAAGCCACTCAAATCATGGATGACCATACCTGCCATAGCAGCTGACATCATTGTAGCAATGAGACCACTAAACAATGCAGACCAAATTTCTCTGGAAATGTCGGCAGATCTCCTACCTTTACTCAAAGTGTTCAAAACACCAAGAGTGATACCCATGGAACCAAAGTTAGCGAAACCACAAAGAGCGTAAGTGGCAATCAAGTTACCTCTGTCAGACAACTCGTTGTATGGTGCCTCGTTAACCAACATGTTGTAGGCCATGTACTCGTTTTGCATGAACTTGACGGAGATCAACTTGGAGATGGTAAAAATCTCATTACGAGGAACACCCAACAAGAAAGTGGCTGGATAGAAGAAGTAGCCACCAAGCAAGTCCAAGGTCAATTCGTTAATGTTCCAGAAGTTACCAAACCAGGTCAAGATACCGTTCAACAAGGCGACAAGGGCAATAATACACATACACTGAACCAACATAGTAGCGGCGGTGTAAAGACCCAAGGTAGCACCTTCAGAGAAAGATTGAAGCACGTTCTGTGGCCTCTTGTTAGGATCAGTTTCCTCTGGGAACTCGACTGTACCTTGAGAAACAGGAACCTCTGTCTCTGGGAATCTCAACTTGGAAACAGCAATGGAAGCAGGAATGGACATAATACACGAAGAGACCAAAGCTTGAGCATTCAAACCCAAACCAATGTAACCAACCAACACAGCACCAGAAATGGTCGAGAAACCCGAGGTCATGACTTGATGCAACTCAGCCTGAGTAAGGAGGGGCAACAAATCTTTAATCAAGATAGCTGACTCACCAATACCAATAAATGGAGAGGCAGATGCAGTGATGGCTTCAGCTCCAGAGATACGAAGCGTCCAGAAAAAGAACTTGGCGAACTTACCAATGAACCACTGAATGACACCGTAGTAGTAAAAGATGTGAACGAAAGCGACGAAGAAAGCGACGGCAGGCAAAACAGTGAAGAAGAACATACCAATCTGGGAAACTTCCTCGTTAGTCAAGAAAGCCACACCATCTTTAGCGAATCCTAACAACTCTCTTGCCAAAGTAGAAATAAAGTTAAAGATATCATAACCTGCTTTCGTACGCAAGACAAAAAGAGCAATGATAAATTGCATCAAGATACCACCAATCACGGCATTCCACAGAATCTTAGATCTGTTCTTCGACGTAGCGTACAAACCAGCAACTGCCACAACCAAACCACAGAAAGAGATGGCTCTGTCTTCTCTCTTAGAAAACTCGATTTCCTCAGGAATGAATGTACCGAGTAAGATAACGCCGACCAAGATAGTAGCACCGACCAACAATCTTCTAGGTTTGGTTGTAAGAATCTTAGTATAGACAATGTTGGTAAAGTAGTTCCATACCTTAGCAGCATAATGATAGGCAATATAAAGAATTCTGCAATGCCAGGAGATCAAACGCACCATGAGCATACCCCAAAGAACGGTTGGGATTAACCATTCACCTCTGTGCTCATCTTGGATAATGATGGAAAGCCACCAACCAGTAAAAAAACAACCAATCAAGATATGAAGTACAAGCTTCCAGTAAGGAAATCTTGTCTTGAATCTCTGCCACAGAGTGAGTGTGCTAGAAGAGGCATGGTCAGATTCCGACTGTTCACTGCGGTCTTCGAAGTTGACGTCGGCTTTCTTCTGTTCTTCGATCTCACCAGAAAGAGCAGACTTCTGGGCCTCTATGTTGGACATGTTTGTCTATATTTTATTGACGATAGATATAGAAAACAAAGGCACTAAGACCAAACGAGTTGGGGAGAAACAAGCGATGCAAAAATATTCCGATGTGCCAAGTTGGAGCAGAAAGAATGCTTATAAAGCCATGCCCAGATTAGAACCTCCGTTGCAGCAAAAAATTTCCTTGAGAAGACTCCAAAATGCACGTAAACGAAAAAAAAAAAAAGGCTCTTATCAATACGCACAAAGTTCTAAAGTTTCTTTTTTTCGCATGGCTGCAATTGTTCCTTGCCAGTAATGAAGAACAGAAATGTCAGTGGAGGCCGTATTCCGTTGGTTCCCCATCTTACGGACTCGGTCCGTTCCAACCAAAATCTGTAAAACAGCCGTGGCTTAGGGGTACTCCATCGCTAAGTTGCGGATTTCTCCACAAGAGGCATTTCGGTAATTCTGCTCTTCGCGAACCACTAGGAGCTCCTTCTATGGCATCTTAACGCATGGTGCCATACAGGACCGACACTTTTGCCCTAGTTTCTCAACGAACGCCTTGTCTTGTCTCCACTCTTGCAGCATAGGCGGCATCTGTACTGGTTAATGCCCCACCATCGAAATAGGAGGACCCTGACCCACAAAACCCACTTATACTTTCCGTTCTCAGCCTTTCCGTTCCGTTTGCTCAACATTTCCATCACAGGGGGCTTTGTCTTTGGTTTATAGCAACCATGATACCTTTGGCCAGACCTCCGTCTTCAATCCCGTCGGACCATCACAAAATGCGCCCAGGTGGAACGCACCTGATGTTGGTAAGGCAACATCACTGACGGTGCGCACCAAAGCCGAACGCCCAGATATCTTCCCGCGGAGCCCTATGAGGGCGTGGATCTAAGCGATTGATAGTCGACGCACCAGGCGTAATGCTTATCAAGTATTCAGCTGCTCTCACTTCCGTATTTGTCCTGATTCTCCACCACATATGAAGGATCTATCTCGTTACTTAGTCCCATCAACGTCTTCATAATCGCTTCGGTGGTTCCTATCATGGGCCTTATCACTACCACCGGAGATGTCCGTGCTATTGAAGATAACTGTTCTTGAAACCCTTCGGCGTTTCTGAGTTCTTCTGATAAGCCAGCAATCGTTTTCTTGGTAGTTTTAAAGTTTCTCCCCAATGACTTGTATGCGTTCTTTAAGCCTTCTTTCGTTGTCGTTGGCTGATTAGCATAGAGACTGACTATCTTGTTCGCAAGTTCAATGTCTTCCTCATCTAGCAGCTCATCATCTTCACTTGCATTACCATCCCCTGCGTTTGGATCAAGCACTAACACTGACGGCTCCAACCCATCCAGTTCCAGATCTTCATCCTCTAGCACTTCGTCCATCAGCATAACTGAATAAAGTTTGCGGTCCGAATGGGGATCTTCGTTCAAATGCACACTCTTTTTAAGCTTCTGTGACGCTTGCAACAAATTGTGCTTTTCATCTGTCTCCTTGTAAGTGTGGAACTCATTAGAATCTCTTCTTGCTTTCTTTGAAGATGAACTCACTTTACCGCTACGCCGAGCTTGATTTCCTTCACCACCCACATACTGCTCCAGACTTTCAAGTATGGCCTGCGTTCCAGACGCAAGCTTCACCCCGAGCTTCAACAATTCGTAAGTAGCTGTTTTGGTAAAAGATTTGGAGCTCTTTTGGAAACTTTTCATAAACTGACCGTTATTCTGGTAGTCCTTAAAAGGTACAGCCACAAGATTCTTAAAACCTTCACCAATATTTATCAACGACTTCACAGGCGTAAGGCCCGAGAGAAGGCCAGCCAATTGGTACTTCTGAATATATGGCACATAGATATCCCTGAGTGCTTGCCCTAACTTGGGGAACCCTAAGACACCATACACAACACTTTTGGCAAGAGACAAATCTGCAGAGTCAAGAATGAATATATTGGCCAATTCCGCATTTTGACCAGCCTTGAACCCCGAATAGTTCATAGATTTAGGCTTGTAGTCAAACTTCAAACGAATCGGGCTGATATCAAGCTTCTGAACAAAGATAGGCTCATCCACAGGCAAATTGAATCTGTTATCTTTGAACTTGAAGAAACGTCCCAAGAACATTAACGTATCCTGATCGATATAGAGACGAACCGGCAAGGTCTTGACGCTCATAATGACCTCCGTATATGGCAACTTTGGATCGGGCCTCACATTCATCATGGTAAACTGAAGCATGTATGTCCCAATCTCACGTTCACCCAAGTAGCTCATGTACGTGAGAAGCTTGTTCCACGAGGAAGATGCAACATTATCGAAGACAGTAATGGAATCTATCCTTACCTCCACCTTGTTAACCATTTCTGATTCTATGCCCTTTGGCGTTTCGTCTATCCTAGGATCCCGGTTAGTGTAATTGTGAACATAGACCTCCACATTCTTCACATCAATCGATACCTTATGAGCACGAGACCTCCTTAGTTTGAGTTCCTTATACTGCTGCTCAACGTCAACATTGAGACTTGGATACAAAGCTTCATCCTTTGCTGTTTCCATATTGATTGCTTGCATCTCGGTGTTCATACTAGCCACTAAGTTGCTGGTGCTCAGCTCTCCCGCCATTCCAAGATGAATAGATTGAAATAGAACCTCGTTTATTTCATCGTTGCCTCCAATGTCTTCTTCATCCAGTGAGACCTGCTCACTTTTGGCAAGATTCTTCGCAGAAGCTGAGATATCCTTTGATGGTCCACCTTCAGCAGAAGAAGATTTGCTTTCATGCTTTAACTTTTTTGATCTTAGCGCCTGCGCTTTCTTCTCTATGTTCTTTACCGCTTGACGTAGAGATTTTCTTGTCATTTTCCAGTCATAGCCATCAAAAACGTAGAGCTTCGCCTTAGAAACATTCACAGCGAGACTCATGGGTAAGATTTTGGCATCATTCTTCACATCATTATCGCGGAAGTGTTCATTGGTGAATGAAATGTCGAAACCACGCTGAGAATCTTCATCATTTCCAATATCTAAGCTGCCTAAAGACTTCCTCAAGCTAGCTTCGATATCATCTCCCGAGTGAACGTCTCTGGCGCTAGTATCGGGACGATTAGGCATGGGAGGAGGCGAATCCAGATCACCGGAGCTTCCATGTTGGTTCAGGAGCCCGAAGATCTCTTTCATCAATTCTTCTGGCCACCTGAAATCTTTATCAACAGCAAATCGGTACTTTTCATCATCCTTGAAGCTGACAGGTACTTTCAAATCGTTTAACAGCTGAATTAAAGTTTGAAACGAATCAGCGCATAACTCAATGGTATGCTCATCAGAATTGAGTTTGATATCAAGTAAAGAGAGGTCGCCACGTATACCGAGCTTGTCATTTCGAGACTTGATGGCCATGATATCGGTATTAACCGTGACACCCACATGCGTCGAGTTGATATAGCCGATCAGTAGGAAACCTCGGTGACCTAGATATTGCGCAGCTGTTATATCAAGCCCGAGCTTTGCAGAGCGATCATCGACTTTGAGATTCCTCCAATCATCAATGAGGAACAAGGAAAGGTTTCTGAAAGAACTTTTGACGTAAAACTGCTCTTTTGCGAAAGTGAAGTCAGAAACCCCTGTTTCAACAGCAACATGTATTTGACTCGAAAGACGACCAGGATGGAGACCCAACACAAATTCATGAAAAGAAAAACGTAAATCAGCCTTTTTCTGATTAGATGCCGATGGCGACGTCGCATGCACGAAATCTTCCGTCGTATGTCCTTGAGAAGCATTACGTTCAAACAATTGAATCCAATGAGTATAGTATTCAACGGCAAATTTCCTAACCGCAACGTCCGTAGTGGTGCCCTTCTCTGAAGTATCGTGGTTAAATATTATGGCAGGACCAGAATCGGGAAGTCGACTAAAGAAAGGTTCTTTGACTTTTGCTTGCTCGTGACGACGGAAAACGTCAACCTCTCTGATAAACCCATTGAGTAAGTAGCCCACTTTTAACAACTTCAACTCCTTTCCCAGAAATATCATATCACCAAAACGTGGGAAAATGTTGAATAAGGTAAAGTCTATACCAGAAATTTGAATGCTAAAAGATGCACTATGTTTGCTCTCACTTTCCCTAGAGATCGGTCTGTGCTGATGGCGACCAAACCTTCTTTGGCCAACGAACATCAGCTGGCCAAGTGAGTTTAATGCTTTATTTTCCTTGCTTGACGTTGCAAATTCTCTGAGGGAATGATCCAAGGCATTCACACGGTTAGTTCGAGCCTTCAATTGCGACACAAGATGCATGAACCCACTCTTGATATATCTGAGATCCTCTGCTGTAACAGAACCTGTGATGCCAGCAACGTGAAGATTCTTATTACAGAAGTACCTTTCCTTTCGCAAACTTGAGCCGGTCTGAGAGCTAAAGTATGTCGACAAGGTCTCTGAAACAGTCTTGAAGTTGATACTAGGAACGGTTAAAAGGTGCTTTCCTTGGCCATTGATGGTGCTCTCCACAGTAATTCGTTGAATGCTCAAATTATTAGCACTTGTGTTGAACGTAATGGGGAATATCTTGCAAGACAATGCTGTCGAACTGGAGAGGGAAAGTTCAATATTTATCGCAGATGTTTGTAAAACACATTGCGAATCAGCTCCAGAAGAGTTGTCTAGCGTAGGCTTGGGCCCACTTGACTGTTTGGCGCTCTTCATTTGCTTCATACCCGTTAGCAAGAAGTTCAAATTTTCCAATACCATCTGGATCGAATCCGAGAAATTCAAAAGATACAGAAGACTATTGTCATCAAGTTTAATGCTTGCTGATTTAGAAAGCAAAATTGTTATTTCGGGACTCTCGTCACGACTTTCAGGCTTGAAGTACTCAAACCTGATATCTGCACGGCTAGGTTGAGCACTAGGTGATGATGTGGAATCCACATCAGCAGAAATTGATGATGACCTTGAACTTGAATTATCGGCACAGAAATTCATTATGTCAGTCGAATTGCCTTCAACAATTTTTAAAACTTTGAAACTCTCAATTCCACCAAATATGAGAGACTCGTCTTTCTGCTTGATGTTGATGTTGTCGGTAGAAATCATTAATTCGTCATCTGAAGATGCAAAATCGCCATCGTCAGAGATGGCTGAAGTAAGGCTGAAAAGAACTTCCCAATATGCAATTTATTGAATGCTGGTTCATCCGGCTGAGGCGAACTTTGCGATTCATAATGATCTCCAGTTGTAAAAGTTTCAGAGAGGCTAGAGGAGGGTCGACTCAGACCATGAGTTTGCCCTCGAGTTGACACGAACTGCTTGCGAAGCTGATGTGCTTTAAGCCTGAAAAGTTTAGCCAAACTATTGATCACCAACGAGACTGTGGGTGTCAATGGGACAGCAGCCAGACGAACTGTGTCAACATTGATTTGTAGGTTTGATAAAGGAGAAAGACCCTCAAATTCAAAGTCCATACAGTCAATATAGACAAGGTGCACTGCTTGCGATGACTCATACGCCCCTTGTGGCTGCGCAAAAGAATGAGCGGTTGCACTCATATAGACAGAACTTGCCTCTTCATGCGTAAATACTGTGCTGCTCATGAGAGACTCGTCGGCCGAGTCTTCTTCGCTGCTTCTTTCATCTTGCTCCTCGCTCTCTGAATCACTCCTGCTCTCTGCTGGAGCACGGTCCTCACCATGACCAGGATCTAAATTAGGCCGAAGAGTAGATATTTTCACCCCATCAACTTTAACAGAATGTTGTCTGTTATTGGTCAGGAACGCAATCTTCTTAATCGATATTAAAAAGTCAACAGATTCCGAAATAACTTTTATAGAGACGTCTGATAAATTCACCTGAAGCCTCAGCAATGCAATTTCTAAAGCCCTTGACATGACCCCTCCGAGGGCACTTGGGCGTGTTTGAGAAGTATTCGACAGTCCAGACCCGCTGGAGTTCTGCTTGGAAGAGTCTGAATCTGAGTCTGATTCGGACTCCGGAATAGTACTGGAACTTTCCCTTAAATCACTTTCAAACATAACCGTATTAGCTAAATTAGCCGTGCTCTGCGCCAACAGCGCCAGCATATCTTTGAATTCCTTGTCGAGGTCATCCAATTTGGTGGCCAATACAAGATCAACCCCGGATATATTGAGATTAACGCCTCCAACCACTCCACCTTTAACTTCAACAGTTTTGAGCTCCCCAAACCTTAAAGTACATCCAGGGAGCTTGCCGACCTTCTCAGGGTCTAGTGAAACATCTTTGAGCTGGATGTTGCTGAGTGACACCTCCTCTAGGTTAGGAAGATCAATCTCAGAGAACAACAGGAGCTGCTGAAGGATATATAGGAGTAACCTCTTTTGTAAGTTCTGAGGCATCCACTGAGGAGACATGACGGAAAGACGTGGGTACACGTTTATGCTATATGGGAAATGGTAGTTAGGTTAGGTGGTCAGGCGGGTTGTGGTGCTCGAGTATGGTGGCTCACTTGGTGCGCGATTAGATAAGACAACCTACGTATGTACTGGGGCCTGCTGCTGGTAGTACTGCGATAATGGCGCAGGGATGGCTGCGAAAGAAGCCAAAGTGACAGGTTCAATTAGACGACGCTACTTAGGGTCCTCGATAACCAAAAGGTTGTGGAATCCAATTTGTTTGGATGGGAAAGAAGGATTCGGATTGAGGAGGGGCGGATCTTGCTTGCTTTGTGACTGTGGCTGATGGGGCGGGCAGCTCACTTAACTTTTGTCTCTTCAGAGGCCCAAGGAGTTCGTCTAGAGATGGCGCCTTCGAGAATTTTCTCTTCTGGGTAGCCTCGTTATCAGATGGGGGTACTTTTTCATTTAAAATTGACTCGAGGGTTCCTCTTAGGGGGGAGAGGGAGCCCAAAAGGCTCAAATGCGTACTCATACCGTCTCTTACAGCTTCCGCCTGGGAGTTATTCACAAGCTGCTGCAATAAATGCTGGGCCCAGAGTGACGCTTGCTCTTGCTCCTGGCTAGTGAACTTGTAGTTGGTATACTCTGAGCTATGCTGGATGAGCGCATAGAGTAGCTGCGCTTGGAAGTCATTGCCTAGTTCTGTCAAAAGCGGGTCGTAAATCTTTATTAATGCCTTGAAACTTGTTCTTTTCAGCACATCTCGATTCTTTGAGTCAGTGTATATAAGGCAATTGAAGACTAACTCATGTATTAGCTTGTTCTGGAAGACAGCGCGGTGAATACCATGCTTGAGCCTGTCAAGTGCTGCCTTGTAGTCCATTGACTCCTCCAGATCTCCTTGTGGTTTATCAATTTTCAGTTTTCTGAACCGCTTGTATATCTTTAGGTCTGCTGTCACCGTGGAAGGGGCAATATGATGTAGATCATCTCTCTCGGTCACAGTAGCTGGTTTCTCCACAATGTGGTTCCAGTAGTTAAGCAAAAGCCATTTTTTTGCCTCCGTAGCTATAGTCTTCAAATGGTCAAGCGAAGGAACCTCCTCGTGGGTCGCCATGTGACGAATCTCGACAAACGATGATGGAAGACCAATCTCTTTCGCTAGCTTCAGAAGAGGCATCGCCACAGAAGCTTGTTGGAACGGATCTAGAAGTCCATTCACTAACCTCGTCAATACAGAACAATATGCTTGCTGTAGCACTTCAGGACTCAAGTTTCCTTCCATTAGCTCCACTGCTACAAGCGATGCTGTTGCATTCACTGCGTGAGGCACTAGACCTCGACTCAGGTACACCTTCACCTTTTCGATTCCCAATTGCTTTTTGCTTATATCATCCTGGCCGTAAAACCACTGGCGTAGCCTTATTAGGTCTTGATTTGACCGGTATGGTGCTATGTTTCCAGGTACTGGAGCCATAGTAGGTAGTTGGAGTATGGCGATGGGCCTCTGGCTAGTGCAGGAAATATGCACTATGGGTGCAACAATAGTGGTTTTGCAACCATTAAAAGATCCCAGTAAACTGTGAACCTACTATGGTAGCTACTATGTATAAGAATGGAAATTTAAGTATTTGATAGGTTTTTCTCTGGCGGTGGGAAAAAGTTCTTTATTTTTTTCTTTTTGGAAGAAGAGCCATGAGGGTCGCTCAATACTATGAAAGACTGCCCAAAAGACTAAACCACGACACATAGGGCGTTCAAAGACCGAAATCTTAGTCTATCCATATAACCATCAGTTACGTGGAGCCTTCAGCGGGGTCCATCTTAGAGAGCTTACCAAAGTAGAAGGAGGCTGAACTGGGCCAACCAGTAAAGCACCAACACAACATTCCGCAAGTATCCAGTGAAAAAAATACTTCCCCTGGCTAAACACACAGTGACATCCTGATGGAGAAGGTCTGGTTCAACCCACACAGGACTAAGGAGATACGGTGGTCCCCAACTGGTACAACCCCACAAGGAACGTCTTTAATACCGAGACGCACTGCTTATCACTGGTTCCTTAGTTCGGGCATTTGGGAGGCTTTATCTGAAATTCCTTAAAAATAACTAAGACGCCGGTGTTAGAGCATCACGTGGAGTAGATTTTGAATAAACATTCAGTGACACCAAGCTGGTGAAAACCAGCCAGTTAAAGAATCAAGGAAGGATGTGGACATCAAAAAAGAGGGCCCTTCGCTTTGGTGGTCTCATTTTCCCTGTGTGCTCCATCAATGGCGTCAGGTCTCACCACACCAGGGTACCTACCCCACAGAAACTGCGCGCGTGTAACTCGCATATTCTATGCTTAACGCCTTTTGCACCCAATTAACATGAAACCATGAAGCATATATAGCCATGACCGTTTCCTCTCGGGGACTTCGAACCCAAAGGCAATGTCTTCCTCGATAAATTCAGTCAAGTACGAGACTTCTAGAGACAGTTCTCCAGTCAGTAATATTCAAATAGCAGGGGATGGAGATGAGTTCGTGATCTTGGGGAACAAAAGATACTACCGACACGAGCTCATGAGAGCTTTCGGCGGGAACCTAATGCCTGACAGATATGCCACTTATCCAAAACATCAGTTTGGAAATGCTGCTGCTTTGGGGCTTGCTTCTTTTGCATTGACAACCTTCGTATTGGGACTTTACCTCGCAGGTGCCCAGGGCATCACTAAACCCAACGTGGTGGTGGGGTTGTGCTTCTTCTATGGAGGTTTTGTTGAAGCTTTTGCTGGAATTTGGGAGCTTATAATTGGTAACTGTTTTGCAGGAACCGTCTTGGTCAGTTTTGGAATGGGCTTCTGGCTTAGTTTTGGAGCCATAAACGTCGAGGCCTTCGGTATAGCTGCAGCTTATGGCGACGACGTCGAACAACTCAATGCTGGCATTGGAATTTATTTAATTGGATGGGGAATTTACTGTTTCATGATGCTTTTGTGTACACTTAAGTCCACAGTGGTGTTCATGTCCTTGTTCTTGACGTTGGATATCGCTTTCTTCGTCTTGGCCGGTCACTATTTCACCGGAAGTGCAAGCTGCTTGAAAGCAGGTGGTATTCTTTGTGTTATACTGGCCTGTTGTGGCTGGTACTGTGCATTTGCTGGAGTGTCAAATAAACAGAACTCCTACTTTATCCCTAACGCAATCCCACTTCCATTGATTGGTAAAAAGTGAGAGATATTATATTTTCAGATTGTATTTTAGGATGAATGAATCAGTTTAAGTAACTCATTCTCTTCATAACTTAGCACTCTATGCGAGCTTGCTTGTAGATAGGGAAACTTTGCGTTAAGTAAGACGTCCGAGTCATCGCTGATAGGCTCATGAACACCAAACGCGCTATCCCAACTGATCATTACGACGCCCAATAGAACTCCTATCAAGCCTAACACGACTAGTAAGAGCTGCGGTATAGTCATTAAATTCTTCAGAAGGAGCTCGTCATATAAGACTCCGTTGAATAAATTCACCAAGTTGTACACCAAAAAGCACAATGGGTACAATATTGAAGTCAGGATATGTGATAAGCCCAAGTTAAAAGCAACTAGCTGCATTGCAACAATTGTGAGCGTAGCTAGGAGAAGTAAAGCGGACGTAACATAGGTAGCCAGAGATTTTGGTGTAGCTCGTTCTAAAAGCGTTGCAACCACAACGTCCACGATGGACTTGGCAAAAAGGAAAGTGTGTGCTGTTAAAGTGCCGCTGATAACACCAAAAAGTGTACCTTTAAGGAGGGTGAGTTCCCTAGCAGCTTTCTTACTGTTTCTGGAAAGTCGCTTACCTTTCTTGTGCAAAGAGAGCTGATGGATGCGTCTTGACAAGACATAATTGACTCGTATCAAAACCAAAATAACAACAAAAGTGAAAATCCACCATACTAAGAAAGTTGGGCGGCGAAATTTTTGTAAGACCAAGCGGAACCGCTCGTCAGTGTCTATATCGCCTAGCAGCTCACCATCAGCGCTGCCGTTATAAGCAATAATAAATGCTCCCACAGAAATAATAGCAGTACCAATAATAAGCTTACTGGTGAAGCTCTCTCCCGGCAAGAGCATACTGCTGAAAATAGAATTGAATATGAGCCCAATGCTCTGCAAAGGGGAAAGGATAATTAGGGGTAACGTCGTAAGCTGGACAATCGACCCAAACACATTGGCAAGGATAAACATCAGAAACCCTATAAGCCAAAGATGTCTTCTGTATAGATGAGTATGTCTGTTTGCTTCGTAGTCATGAGCATGATGTGAGACAGTGGATCCACGATTCTCTAGCGGTATACTACCATTTGTATGGCCATCGTCCAGTACGGTGTGGTCCAACTCGACATCTTCCCTATGGTCAAGTATAATAGGTATAACATGAGATTTCCTCTGGAGGGTAATGCCCAAGGATTGGATTGCTGACAGAACGACCGCAGCCGTACAGCCCCATACCACTGAAGTAGTTGTCATACAGAAGCTCTGTGAACTGGATACCTAGTTTGGGAGGTTTGCGGCTAATAATAGAATGTAATCAGCACTTTAGCTTCGACTGGTACTTATTATGGCCAAAAGTAGCTTTTTTAGGGTTCCAAACGAAGAAATACGTCGCACGCTATCTATTACGACTTCAGATATTGTGTACCTGTCAACCGCGTATGTACTATACCGAAAAGGTAAATATACTTAGGCCGAGTATCTTCCTTGTTAAACTACATGCCACTACGTAAAGCGATAGAGCAAATCATCGAGAAGGCCAATTCTGGAAATGTGGGAGTTATAGAAGATGGAATCAACCAGTTGGAACTGCTCCTCAAGTCTTTGACTCCTTCTATACAAAAGCTGCATACTTCCGGATCCATGGACTCCAGACTTCTAGCATTCATAACTCTTCAGGAGAATTTTCAGTATAACTTGTGCAGTGAGCTTATACCAGCTTACAGGACGCTTCAAGGAGCAGGCCAAATGGCAAACACATCGACACTTATCCAGATCAATACCGCAATGATGGGGCTCCTATTGATCCATCCCGAATCACGCAATGTCTTCAGCAAGAAAGCCAACATGCTGCTAATTTTAGGCTTTCTAGATCCAGATAATGGTTCTTACCAGTTGGATAGATGTGCTTCGTTCGTCAGTCTTCTCATACACATCTTATTGAGAAACCTCAGGAACATGCGTGTCTTTGAAGCCTGTGGAGGCTGCATGGCGATAATTAGGTTACTTCAACTCACGCCGGATAATAACGAGCCTAGTGAAGGCGATACAGCAATGCAGCAAACGCTACACTTCAAGGTTGTTGAGTTCCTTATCTTCTACATGACCGATGAATCTGAATGGAAAGACGGCAATGCTCCAGTACGTACTGTTTCCGAAAAGGCTGGGTTTATTAAGCCAGAGTTTCCAGCAATCGAGGATCTTATCGAGAACTTGAACGATCTTTCTACCTCAAAGTCTCATTCGTCTCATATCACAAGTAAAGAGCAATTTCACGCATAATTTATGGCATTTCGCCTGTTCAAGAGAAAAATTTGATTGACAGAATAAAATTTAATTTATTTTTTACTGACAAAGTCAATTGACTAGATGTGATATCTTAATCACTTTGCAACTGGGGTAGGGTACTCTAACTAGTGCGCGGTTAGAAAAGTTCCATATCAAGAAGTCAACATAACACCCTAGTCTCAGACAGATGTATACACATATGGAATTCCTTCAGAAGTGTTTCTTCAAGGCTACCAATTGGAATGAGGATAACATCTTTAACAACATAACAGCCACATCACAAGCGCTTCTTGACTTCCAGATACCTAATGGAGCTAAGCTAGAAGTACTGTCAAGGGCAACAGACCATCTGGCTCTGTCGTTAACGCTACTGAACTACCAAACAATAAATGGCTCTTTGGCCTACCTATATACATCTGTCCCGTTACGCAATGCTACAGGAACGAAAGACATCTCGCTTCAAGACGCGATAGCCGGATTTCGTATCATTGAACCATACTCCATAGGCTCGGAGAGAAACAAAGACCCAAGAAATGACAAGGCATCTTTACTATATGGCAGAATGTACTTTCCCGGGTCTGTTCTCGAGGCAATGATGATCAAAAAGATATCGGCACAGACTCAGCTTCTAGTGAAATGTATCAACAACCCGCATCTAAAACGAAATGGCACCATGATTATGTACCTCCAACGCAATGCTGCCAGGTTTTCTCAAGAGTACATCTACTCCACCAATGAGGCACTTTTTGGTTTCCGTTGTCTCTACAACTTTGGCAATAGTCGCCCTGCAACTCCTCCGTTGATACCAAAGTTCGATAACTCGGTTGTCTCTGTAGGGGCAGAATTCTGGTATGCTGCAATGTCAATGAGCCCAGGGCTCTCTACGGCTTTCAGATACTCTACCAGATCAACTTCCACAGGGAAACCACTCACAATGACGCTCTCGTGCAACCCAATCTTGGGTCATATCTCTTCGACATACAACGTCAAGACATCAGTTGCATCCACAGTGTGCTCAAAGTACGACTTTAATTGGTATTCATACGCCAGCAACCTTTCTATCGGCTTTGAGCTTTACAACTTTTCCAAGCCAAGCATCAAATCCAACCATCATAGACGTTCCGACCCCATAATTCACCACGAGAACCTCGCGCCTCCTTTGAACCTGAGCTCAAATCTCCATGAAGCTAATTCCTTCCAGGTCAGTCCTTATGATCGTTTTGAAGGACACCGAATGGTAAACCCCATGCCTGGACTGCCTTACGGTGATACAGCCTCCAATGGTATCAGTAGGCTTCGAAGTGAGCAAGAGATACAAAACCAGACAGTAATGACAGCTTTCCAGAGCCTCGTCAGTGAAAGTAACTTTTCCTCGGTCCTTAAAGCATCTACAAGTTTAAGCGACCGCATGCTAAAATTACTCTGGGTCGGTCGCTACAAAGAGTTCTTGGTGAGCACAGGTGTGAAGATCAGAGCCAGCCCAACAAAGAACATACCCGAAATTAGCAAATTTGGTATTTGCTTCTCCTATGCATCGTAAATACGCAGAAATATATATTTAGCAAAAAATATTGCATACTCGACGAGTTGTAGCACACTGTCTGGTCTCCCTCCTCTGGATGTCCTTGTCTGGCCCATACACCAGTACACCACCAGAAATGAAAAATCAAAAGTGAGAAAATTGAAAAGATCGAATTATCACCGAGGCCAGGAACTATGAAGAATCAACACTTTTACCAACTCTTCAAGGATTCTCGGCTTGCTCAGGTGGCAGCACCTATGAGCAAGGTCCTCAGAGGATCTAATGCTCCATCCCCCACTCACCAGATCCTTTTCGCTCCTAAGGGAAGCTCTTCACGTTCAGAGTATGGTATCAAGAAGCCCTTGCCAAAACAGGTGGGTGTCTCTCATTTCGTGATGAACGCCATGGATACTTCACGTAACATTCCAGATGTTGAAAAGTTCTCCAGTCCTCACTACAACAGATTGAAGTTTCAGGAATCAGGTATAGTGTTGAAGAAACCTGCCACTAAAGAGAACCCTCTTTTCGCATGGGACTCGTCCAAGAGTCTCAAGAAGTCACAGCGTGATAACGTGGTGGCCGAGTTTAATCTTGGTGGCAATGCTAGCACGCGTGATATCAAGCACGTACTCAAAGCCAACCCAACTCTCGCTAAGGAGTTCAAGCAGTGGTTGGTGAAAAGATCACCAGAATCCATTGTCTTCAAGATTCCTGCTAAAATGGAGGAGCTCTTGAAAGAATTTATCGCATCATCTCAAACCGTCAAGAAACATCCATCATCGTTGGTGGACTTGACGAGGAAGTTCGGAAGAGTCCTGAGCACGGCGCCTGCTAGAAGTGTCCAGGGTACTGGTGGTCTCTCTTACAACCAGAAAGGTCGCCTTAATAACACGCCGAATGGTATCAAGACCGGTGTCATTGCTCCTGGTCGTCTTGTTGCCGACAGAGAAGCTGCTATCAATGGCTTTGTCGCTTCCCTCAACGAAAGAACGGTCGCTTTGCAGAACAACTTTATTTCCAATGCTCCTGGTAAGCACCCAAGACAATTTGTCCTTCCATTCAAGATCAGTGAAGCTGAGCTTACGCCTACTGGCGGTATCAGAATGTATGCTGACGGTGTAAAGGTCGGATCATGGATCCAAAGAACTGAAGGTGGATCCTCATATGCCAACAGATCCAACTACGTCGCATCTAACCCATACTTTGGCTCTCTTTCTGAAAGAAACAGCAGAGATGCTACAGCTTTGGAAAACTTGTTGGGCTTGGTTTCCAAGAACAAGTCTTAATTGTCAAACCCCTGTATATATAATAAATGACTAGAAAGATGACTATTTACACTGTACTGTGAGATATTATCCAGCCAAAGGCGCTTGGCTACCTAAGCTGGGAGCCATGGTATTCAGTACACCTGAATTACCAGCAGATGAAGGCACAGTTGTGGGTGTCGTTCCACCACTATTGAAGGGCGGCACAGGCGCACCGGCAGATGGTGACTCGTCCTTGGGTTTCTTTGGTCTTGGGTTCTTAAACTCTCTCTTCCGTTTCTTTGGCTGTTCACGCTCAATGCTTTGTGGAGTGACACCCGTCATCTTCTTTTCCTCTTGGATCACACTTTGTCTCAAATCTTCGGCGACATCTTCATCAAGCTTAGCATCAACCTGATACCAGAGATGGAAAGAGCTGACACGGTTTCCGATCTTCAATATCTTTTCCATTTTCTCTTGCACAAGTCTCATGGGCCTCATACTATTCACAACAATCGGAACGAACTTTTCAGGAATACCATGTAGAGTGAAAGAATAAGTGGTGTAACGAACCGGAGGTTCGTCTGGCTTCTCCAATGGCTTTGCCTTCTTCCTCGTTGGCGGAGGCTTCTTATTTCTTCCACTTCTGGATGATCTTTGAGGAACTGGCTCTTCGGGTTCTGGCTTCGGTTCAACTGGTGCGGAGGCAGACTCATCAGTCTTTGATTCACTTCCCTCCTCTTGTTTCTTTGCTTTTTCTTCCTCTTCTTTCTTTTTCCTTTCCTCCTCCTCTTTTTCTCTCACTTGATCCTCATATTCCGCAAGCTTCTTTTCATACGCTTCCACATCTTCTATGTTATGGATCCAGATATTACTGACTAAAATGTCTCTAACACCGGACCCGTCTTCCAAAGTAACAGGATTGGCAGGTGGTTGAACTTCGCAAATGGAATCTCTGGGGATGACGTATCTGACGTTAGGGTTTTCGAGGAACTCAAACACCAATGTAGCGTTGTATAAATACTTTTCCTGAAAAGCAGTGAGCTTCATTGGGTTGTTAAACTTTGGTTTGGGTGGGCGAGGGGGAGCAAACGGCTTTGCTGAATAAGGTCTTGGAAAGTTAGGAGGAAGGGGAAGGCCCCTAACCAAGTAGAGTTCTGCGTGGTGAGGCTGTGGCCCCATTTGCTTTGCTCTCTCGATATATCTTTTAAAGAGGTTGATTTGGGCTTCGGAGGCAGTTCCCTTGGCGACCACCTTCATAAGGTCATTAAGTGATAGGTCAATTTTCGCAATTGCATTAAGGTTAGAGATCATGATTGCATTATCAACCGTGGTCATATCCACCGCACGAGGTGGTGGAGGACGAGGAAATGATCCAGGGGGGCCCCCAGGAGGGGCTCCAGGAGCAGGAGATGCAGCAGTGGGTTGAGTCCCACCTGCGGAAGGACCAGGAGTTGGACTTGATGATGTAGCAGGGGGACCTGGGGGCAGTTGAGCAGTAGTAGGTGCTGGGCTTGGCTTCGAAGAAGTTGCGTCTGTAGTGGATTCTTTCTCGTCTGCCTTGGGTGCTTCCTTTGCCCCTTCCTTCAGGGAACCGTCCTCTTCTTTAACGTCCTTTTGAGTATCGGCAGGTGCTTCCTTTGCTTCCTGTGGCTTTTCAGAAGACTTGTTATTCTCTGGGAGGCTGCAGCTTTAGGTGGCGATTGGCTCTTAGCATCTTCTTTCTTCGTTTCAGCAGCTTCAGAATTTGATGGAGTTGAGCTTGGAGTAGCCGCAGTATTTGTGACGCCTGGCGTAGAGTTGGGATTAGGGACAGCAGAAGGGGGCGTAGTACCTGGATCAGCTGCGGGTGGTGAGCCCAGCAGCGTTGGTTGCAGAGGTGCTGGGGCAGCATTAGGGGCAGCATTAGGGACTGGAGCAGGAGCAGGAGCAGGAGCTGGCGCAGGCGGTTCTTTTTTCATGAGTAGGTCAGATCCATCAGAGACCTGGGAGATTTCAGAAAACGCCTTGGATTTTTCTGAACGTGCATCTTTGGCGATGAAAATACGAATCTCCATTGAATGAGGTCCTAATGATAAAGTAGCCTCAGATAACTTGGACATAACATCTCTGGCATTGACATCACCACTTAATATCGGCGTCCTTGTTTTTGCCTCTAGCGAATTACTCGTAGCCTTAGCAAACCGCCGCCTCGTTTCCCTTTCTTTTGATGGTTGTGGACCTTTCTCCATCTCAGCTAGTTTCTTTGCATAAGCTGTTTGCTTGACCCAATATAGCTTAAACATAGGAGCATGGAAAACATATGTATTCCTTGAACGAATCAAAGAGTTGTATAATACAGCAGAGTCCTTCATTGTCAAAGGATTCTTAAGAACGTCTTCATAATGTCCGTGTGGTGGTTTGTTATAAGATATCGGTAGGCCTTCAACAGTTTCGAAAGGACGAACAATCTGTTTATCTAGAAGACGCTGTTCAGCTTCTATTTCCTCTCTTTTCGCCGTCGTGATACGACGTCTCATACGTGGAGGCATGTTGTGGGATTAGTTGAATGAAGTTGCATTTATCATTGTTGATCCATTAACTCTATATATCATAATTCTGCACGTGCCGCGTCGCACGTGGAAATTCACGTACTCAGACGCTTCTCTTGTAAACTGTTTTCTAGAGCATCTAGGCCTTGGCTGAAGAGCTTCAAGATCAGCTCTAACTCCCCACTGAGCTTAGATTTTGGGGTGCTATCGCTGAATAGGTCGTTGTTGATCGCAGGGATCTGTGGGAATCTTGATGGCTGCTTCGCGCTAAGTGGTGTAGTACTGGCAGATATGCTTGTAGTCCCAGTAGTGAGTGTTTGAGCTGGGGTAGCGCGTGGAACGAAATAGTTTCCACCTGAGTTGGAGGAGCTAATTGGAGCTGTTTTGGGACCCAGAATTGCAGTAAGCTTCTTCTGGACTGTAGACTGCTGTCTTTGTTGAAGTTCTTTCACATCCAAAGGTTCACCCAACTGGGTATCCTTTTCTGTCACTGGAGTCATTGATGCAACATTTCCAACGAGAGCAGGATTGATACCAAATTGATTTATGTTCTCTGAGTTGATATGGGCCATATTGGCATTATTCAAGATACCCTTTTTCTCTGCGTCTTCGCTAGTTAAAGCAGACATGAGATTCACCGAAGAGTTGGGAACGGGCATCTGAATTCTAAGAGAAGGCTTCTCACGTTTAGACTTGACTGGATTCGCAGGCCCTGGAGCATGCGTGGGTCCTGATATCGATGATGTAGAGCTTTGAGGAGCATTCCCACTGACTTCTTTGCTAGAAGAGCCTTGGGCCAGCTTTTCGCCATTCATTTTAAAATTGATGGGTTGTAACATCGGGTTTCCGCTAGCATGAAGAGCCCGCATAGATTTTGAAGGACTAAGCGTTGGACCGTGCTCCCCATGGGCACCTATAGGAGGAGCCACTGGTGAGGGCGTTTCATGTCTCTTGACTGAGTCATGATGTGTCTGTGAAAGAGGCAGCATTGGAGCATGTTGGAAGGCAGAACTTGGCCCATGAGTTGTTGAAATTGTCTTCTTACGTGGCCTGGTGGTCGAAGGAGAACTATTTCTTGGTTCGAGAGCAGCCGAAGCAGACTGTGAATGCACCAAAGCAGGTGGCTTATTCAACATTGGTAAAGCATCATGGGACATCTGCTTGTGACCTAAACGTGAACCGTTCTGCGAAGCATGATTAGAGGCAGCAGCCTCCTTGTTGACTGACGATATCATTGCTAAACTATCCATATCCGGAATTTCAATTGTTGGAGACTCAGTTCGATGAGATTCTTTAACAGATGATAGTGCCGGTAGACGTGGGTCTTCAAATATGTTATCTGAGGCCAGTTCAGCGTCATTATCATCTTCGAATAATGACCTTAAAGACTTGGGAACGTTGTTTGATGGTGATGCAGGTGGATGACGATTCAGTGAGCGATCTGTGGACGACTTACCAGATGGAGCTCTAGCACCAGTCGAGTGCTGCTTTTGGGCGATTGTGTTGTTGTTACTAGCCGAGCTGAATTTTGAATTTGGATGAAGGGTAGATGCATGGTGGGTAGGCTGCGACGTGAGTGTGTAATCATGATGCTGATCCTCGTCATCGTCCTTAAGATAAGGGAAATGCTGTTCCACTTCACTCATGTGTATGTCGTTATCCATGATATATTCTTTACTGCTCAAGGAGTCGAAATCCCACTTGACTTGGAGTTGGTTATCATTAGATGTCTCATCGCCATTCTCGGCATCAGCACCCAAATTGTAGAAGACTGAATCACGTCTTGAGTTCTTGTCACGCCATAGTAGATATCGAGACACAAGCTCTTTTAGTATGCTGGTCGGCATGCTTTTATACAGCTTGACAAGCTTGCATTTCGTTAATTCATCAGCAGACGGCCTTTCATCAGGGTTTTCATCAAGACATAGAGCAATACATTCCTTTAATGCTTGAGGATACTCTCTGCCTTCCAAACGAGGGGGTGTCAGCTTAGCGATCATCGTCATTGCCCAGTTCGAAGTTTTATCTGAATAAGGAGGGTTACCGGTTGCTATTTCATAAATTGTGATACCCAAAGACCAAATATCAGCCTTGACGTTATACTGGTCACCTTCACGGATGACTTCCGGCGCCATCCAGAAAGGGGTTCCTGCCATAGTAGTTCGCTTCAACGAGTTAGCTGACAACTGGGCGGCCACACCAAAGTCACACACCTGAACATTACCCTCATTTGTAATAAGAATATTAGCAGCTTTCAAATCACGATGAATCACGCCTAGTTTATGCACTGCCAGTAGAGCTAGTAGGGTTTCTCTGACAATAACTGCAATGTACTTCTCTTCAAACACGCCTGCTTTCAACAACGTACGCACGGATCCACCAGCACAGTAATCCATAATAATCCAAAGCTTTGTATCACTTAAAAAGGAGCCGTAGTAATGGGTCACATTGGGGGCATTCTTAAGGTCGGCGAGAAACTGGATCTCCTGCTGAACATCAACAACCTCATCATATTGAGTATCAAGTTCTAGAACTTTGATCGCCACAACCTTCTTGGTCTTCACATTATAACCCTTATAGACCACGCCAAACTTTCCCTGACCAATGACTTCGGTCCTCTTGTATGATTCTATTGAAGACATGGCTTAGAGCCTGATTGAGATGTGGATGAGTACTGAGGCCATACACCGTAAGTGACGATGACTGAAACGATGTCTTTATCAGGTAACGATTAAGGATCAGATAGACGAAAGGCAATGGCTGAAGTGTACCACACAAGGAGATGCACAGGTGTTGGATCAGACCTCTTTGTTGATGTGCGGTATCTTCACAATTGGTTTCTCATAGACAGGTTTCAGAAAGGCAGCAGACCTGTACAGAATTATCAACATCTACTAGCTATATGTGGCGAAATACTTCATGTTTGGGCTGAAAAAGCACTTAATCAGGTATCTTGGTTCACTTCAACCGAACAAACTCATAACCATCGTAATGCAATTAGGGGTACACCTGCCATGGGCCATACTCGCTTATGTGGACCGAACCTTTCTGATGTGCGACTTTTTCTAACTAGATCAGGCTAAGCCCAAGATCAGATCCTTACTAAAGGTATGGTCGTCTACGGAATTAGCTGGTTGGATGAAGTTTTGGGACTATAAAGAAGAGACTTGAATTTTATGAAATTTGTATCTGGAGGTATGATATGAAAATCCACAATGTTCTAGGCATATGGATGGACCGTAGAAAGCCCCACTGGTAGAAAATAGACGTTTTCCAGGCAAAGTGAAAAATCTGAAAAATTCAGCACTCGGTAGCAATACCGGGGTGTAGTAAAACTACAAAGCTGTAGCGGTAGATAGACGTTTAAAACAATTCTTTAACTCCAAACCACGGCAAAAAAAAGTTCTAGCGCTACCCCTTGACCAGGCTTTGGCACCGTTAACCGTTAACCATCGCGGCTTCTGCTAAGCATATACCATTGCTTCAACTAGCCAACTATGATCGCACTCCACCATGGAAATGCCCGGCAAGACCATGGACTGGTTAAAAAACTACTGGTCTAGTGTTTTGTTTGTTTACTTCGAGACAGAGACAGTTAATGAAGTATTGGATGCCAAAATGGAGGGGCCTCTGGAGGACCCTTTACGCAGATACAACCGGCATTACTCTATCTCGCATTTAATGGCTGCAAAGTTGACCAAGTACTGAAGTGGCATCACAATAAACAGACCGAAAGAAAACATAAAAGAGCTCATCATGTCATCGCTTCGGCTCTCCAACCACAGAGATATATACCTGAAAAATTATGCTAAGCCTATTGTCTGGCTTGGCTAACCGTTGGTTCTGACTCATTACTATACAAGACATTTCATTCGCGATAGGCCTTCGTTCAATACATACTACCTTCATTCACTACATACCGTTTACAGCAATGTCTAGATTTGCCACTATCAAAAGAGATACAAACGAAACGAAGATCCAGATAGCTCTTTCTTTAGACGGAGGCCACATAGCTGTCGAGAAGTCTATCTTTCCTGATAAGGTGACCGACGACCATGCTACGCAACAGAGTCTGTCACAAGTCATCCTGGTTCAGACTGGCATTGGCTTTTTGGACCATATGTTGCACGCTTTGGCCAAACACTCGGGCTGGTCTCTTATTGTGGAGTGTATTGGCGATTTGCATATCGACGACCATCATACTGCCGAAGACGTTGGTATAACGTTAGGTCTTACTTTCCATAAAGCCTTGGGCCAAGTCAAGGGCGTGAAGAGATTCGGCTCAGGATTTGCTCCTTTGGATGAAGCTTTGAGCCGAGCTGTGGTTGACTTGTCTAACAGACCATACGCCGTGGTGGAGTTGGGCTTGAAGCGTGAGAAGATTGGTGACTTATCATGCGAGATGATTCCCCACGTTCTTGAGAGTTTTGCTCAAGGTGCTGCTATTACAATCCACGTTGACTGTTTAAGAGGCTTCAACGATCACCACAGAGCAGAGAGTGCGTTTAAGGCATTGGCTGTTGCAATGAAGGAGGCTATCAGTAAGACGGGGTCCACGGACGTTCCTAGCACGAAAGGTGTTTTGTTCTGAGTTTGCTGAGGAGAGGTCATTTGGGACAGTTATTTATCAAACCAAAAATACATAGCAAGCTTCATTCGAAGCGTTTTAGAGGTTAATGCTGTTACTGTAGCGCTACGGGTGAACATGAGGACATTGATGAAATCGAAGCAAACAAACAGTGGATAAGATCTTGGGCAACTAAATTATTCTACTAATTAGTCAATTTTTCGTTAGACTGGATTTTTCACCTCTTAAAGTTAGGCACCATATCAGCTTGATGTATGCGATGAGATATCGCGCCTATATCAACTACCATGTTCAAGAGGTGTTTCCATACCACGAGTCCACAGCAAGCTGTGAGGGCTGTATTCAAGTCTCACAATCCCAAGAAGGGCATAAAGAAGTTCGATGATAACTTCACCACCCTGGCCAAGAAAGATGATAGAAAGGTATGGGAACGTATGGGCATCTCCAAAGACGAGTTCTTCGTCAGGAAGTACGGCAACATCACTCCAGAAGAACGCAAAAAGCTAGATGAGAAGGTGGCTAAACAAAGAAGGCTACGGGAGGAACGCCGTAAACATGAGCTTGGCGACAGTTATGTTGAAAAGTCGGAGAGAGGACCCATCACTCTCAATCCATTATCGGAATACGTCTATGGAACACATCCTGTGATCTCGGCCTTATCTGCTGGTAAGCGTGAGTCATTCAACAAGCTATACACATTTAATCCTCGTGAGCAGACGCCGAAGATATTGCAACTTGCCAAACAGTACGGCATCAAGGTGGTGGAGAAGAAGTCGAAGGCAGAGATGAACAGACTCAGTTCGAACGGAATCCACAACGGTGTCGTTTTAGAGACAAAACCACTTCATCTTCCAAGTCTTTTCGATGTGGAGGTATCTGAAGGCGAGTACACCATTACATGCATCAATGAGGAAACTGGTAAGAGAGAGAAGAGTACACACGAGTTGGCAAGAGGCACGGAAAGACCAGGTAAAGATACCTACCCTCTTGGGATCTATCTCGACGGAATTACAGACCCTATGAATTTTGGAAACATTGTTAGATCGGCATATTTCTTGGGTGTCGATTTTATTGTCGTTCCTAGCCACGACTCTGCAAGGATTGGTCCTGTTACTGCAAAGGCTTCAGCAGGAGCGCTCGATATGATGCCAATTTACCAATCAGACGAAGTCATGCCCTTTTTTGATCGTTTGAAGAAGAACGGATGGAATGTCGTTTCTACAAGTGCTAAACCTAGTGAAGCACAACTCGAGTCCATGAAAGACAACCATGCTGCGCATGTGGAAAACAAGTTTGTGGAGTCCAACGATCTACCAGTGTTGCTAAGCGAGTCGCCTATACTTTTAGTTCTTGGAAGCGAAGGAAGCGGTATCAAGAAGAACTTGGTCTTGCGCTCTGACTACTTGGTCGCTATGAACAAGGGAAGAGTGGACGACGAGAAGAATATTGTCGATTCATTAAACGTTGGAACAGCCGCTGCCATGATTATCAGCCGTTGTTTGGACTAATTGGAGTATATCTGCATGCCACCTATATTTATAGATGGTTCCCCATCGAACCAGATTGCTGCACAATGTGTTGACATGTCGCAGGGCATTTCGGCGTTTGCAAAACTGCGAATCGCCTTATCTCTAGATCATCGCAAAGCTTAACAGAATGTGGGTTCCATAGAACCCGCATCCCAAAATCTGTAAATAGTAAATCATTTAATAATAGATAGTCATTCCATCTTCTCCTTCAAGAAAATAAAACCTATCTGACTCCGATTCCAGGCCTACTCGTCTACGATTCCGGAGCGCGATATGCGGCTGACAGTCCTACCCTTTTAGGCAGAGATAAGCATGGCGACCCAAACATCAAATTGTCCTCAACAACACTTTTCTTCCAACAAGACGGAAAGACTTAGATTTGCTAGAAATAGTCCATGTCTGACGACGAGTATACAGAAAACTCCAGGCTTCTTCATAGCAGAAGAACGTCTCTTCTTGACCAACCAGTTGGTCTGTTTCGGGGACCCAACTCGTTACACAACTTTGCATCGTCTTTCACCAGGGCCCAGTCTTTTGCTGCTAATAAGATCGATGCAAACATTACAAAGAAAAGGTCTTTCTTTGCTGGACCAGATGATGACGCTTCAGATATTGGGGTTGAAGATGATGAGCTCTTTGATCCAGATCTTATGGCTCCCTCATCGAGAGGTGAACGTTTGAGTACGGTTCTTCACGAGTATAACTTTTTACGTGGACCTAACGCCCTTGGGGCATCAGGACCTTCTCCATACAACGAGGTGTTCTATCAAGATGATATTAGTAACATCCTTCACGCATCGAGATCTCGCCATGGATCTGTCTCTCATCCTAGCATGGTCCCCATATCTAAGCAAAGAAGTCACCCGGCTCTTTCTTTTTCGTCCCACAGACTGACAAAGTCGTGGGCTACTTCTGCATCGTACTTTGGCATTAAGAAGGTTGAGGATAAGGACGGTAACCTCGTCACTGTCATTGCAGGTCAATCCACCGCTCCTCAGACTGTTATGAACTCAGTGAATGTTCTTATCGGGGTAGGCTTGTTGGCATTACCTGTGGGTTTCTTGAAAGGCGGTTGGGTTTTAGCTTTACCTGCGTTGTTGCTTTGCTGTGCAGCTACGTGCTGGACTGCTTCCTTACTCTCAGAAGCTATGGATACCGACCAGACTTTGATGACTTACGCAGACCTTGGGTACGCTTCCTACGGTTCTACTGCAAAACTCTTGATCTCCTTCATTTTCTCATTGGACCTACTTGGAAGCGGCGTTTCGCTCATTTTACTCTTCAGTGACTCTTTATACTCCCTCTTGGGGAGTGAAACCGGTGGATGGTCCAAAACTGACTTCAAAATATTGGCATTGTTTGTACTCACACCATTTACTTTTATGCCATTGCCAATCTTATCAATCTTCCTGTTGTTTGGCATCATGTCAACGTTTTCCATCATTATTCTAGTTGGAGTATGCGGGTTCATAAAGAGCGCTTCGCCTGGGTCTTTACTTCAGATTATGCCAACTAACTTGTGGCCTGCCTCTGTTGCAGATATCTTCTTAGCGATTGGAATTATAATGGCCCCCTTTGGTGGTCATGCTATCTTTCCGAATTTGAAATCTGATATGAGACATCCTCAAAAGTTCAAGAAAACTTTGCTAACCACCTACAGCATTACATGTGTTGCCGACTGTTCAATGGCAGTGATAGGTTTCTTGATGTTTGGCAAACTATGCAACAATGAAGTGACAAGCAATCTTCTTGAAACTGCTGGTTACCCTAGTTGGATCTACCCTCTTATTAGCGGACTTATTTGTCTTATTCCATTGGCAAAAACTCCACTCAATGCCAAGCCTATCATCTCTACTCTTGATGGTGTCTTTAACCTTGACAATGTGACCGAAGGCGAGTCAGCATTCTGGGCTCTTTTGAGGACTGTCTTAAGGTTTTGCGTGAGAGTTGGTGTCAACGTCGCATTCGTTGGATTTGCAATCCTAGTTCCAGAATTTGACAGGATAGTTGGCATCTTGGGATCATCCATCTGCTTTCTTGTTTGCGTTATATTGCCATGCTCATTCTACTTGAAGTTATGCAAGAATAACATTCGTGCTACGGAGAGATTCTTCGTCCGTGGCGTCATAATCTTTTCATCAATTCTTGCAATTACGTGCACATATTTCACCATAGTTCATTGACCTATATAATACCCTAAACTCGAATCAACTTGAGTCATTCTGAATGAAGCTCAAAAGCAATCCGTGATCTTGATCAAGAGATTCTGTAAGATTTGATGATCAACCAAAAAGTCGTAGTTAAGTTTCACTAACAAACCTCTCTCGGAATCTTTCTGCAATTCCAGTTGCAATTCACTGGCAGCTTTGAAAATTAGTTCAAAAAGTGGCTTATACTTCAAGTTTTGGGAATTGAGGTTGTCTTTCATGGAAAACTTCAAGAAAAGTTTGCCTTCAGCATCGAACTTATTATTGGCAAAGCTCATAGCAAACGAAATTCTATCTTTTTGAGTTTTCTTGGGGGCGTTTGGATTACTGCTGTTGTGATAAAACACGAAGTGGAAAGAATTAAGATGCTGTAGCTTGATCTCAAATTGCAACTTGGGAAGTTTGTTCGGTAGTTTCGGTACGGACTTCTCAAGCAAGTAATTGCGGATCTTCTTTGTGGCACCGATAACCGGAGCAAACTCCTTAAGGTAACGAATCGAGCCGACAAGAGTATCATGAGATTCCGCAATTTGTTGGTTCAAGAACTTAGTCAAAACTTTGATAGCGTCCTCTTCATGATCGCCAGTCGTTAATTCAAGCAGCATCTGATCATTTGCTGGAAGCTTCAAGTGGAATTCCTCATAGACTGGATCAATCATGAATGCGAGCTGGTCAACGGATGTGGTAGTGACATAAATGTCTGTCTTTTTAAGCTGGTATAACATCTTGACCAACAGATCAACCTTCTCTAGCTGACTGAAGAGCTGATTCAATAAATTATGGGTACCATCAGTTTCAGAGCTTTCAATCAGCTTCCTTGAGAAGTCAATCAGTGTCAGAATTTCAAATTTCTCCTTTTCGGGGATTATCTTGACTTTAAGCTTCTCTAAAACACCTGCATCTGACAGTGAGATATTCTTGAGTGAGCCCCATATGGAAAGTCCCATCCTAGTAGAGACATCATCAGACGACAACATGACACGGAGAAATAATGACGTGGATGAAACAGCAACAGGTAAAAGGTTTCCGTGATTGAAAAGCACAAATACAGATTCATATCGTGATGGCGAACTTTCAAGAGTGAATGGTAGATCGAAATGATCTAGAGCAGAATCATCATTGAACTTAAGATAGTTAATCTTGCGTGCTTGTAACTCCTCAACAATGATATGATCAACAATCAAGTTGGAACCCGATTTAGAAAGATTTTTGAAGAACAGATAGGTTGGTTCGCCTTGATCCAGTGGTTTTAGAATTTGCATCCACTGAATCTTCCATTCACCCTTAATGGACTTAAGCCGAGCGACCCACCAGTAAGTTTTCAAGGTAACACCACTTATCATACTGATAAGGAAGGAGAAGGTTGGCCAATTGCGACATCTATAAAACTGGACCTTCTTGGGTGCACCTGCTTTTTCGGAGTCATCAACATTATCAGCTGTTAACGAATCATATAGCTTGCTGACTTCACCATCATTAAGTTTGATGATATCGTTAGCGATCCACTCAGTGGTTATCAACTGGTTGTTTAAAGACTCGCTGAGACTTTCAAGTCTGAGTTGGATCAAGTGGTTCACCACATTGGTTATAATTTCTCGTTCACTGATGAACTGGGACGTTTTGGAGGCATTAGGTGGACTATTGATCTTACTCTGAATCAGAGCTTGAATTGGGGACGGGTCCATGAAATAGAAGAATCCCGTGAGTGGATTTATAGCAAGTATAGTAGACTTCTTTGGGGTAAGTTGGATAAGAAGCTGATAAGGGTTAATCGATGAACACGCGTCTGGTGGTAACTGTGCCAGTAATTGCTCGAATATTTTTGCATGAGAATTTCTGAATGTTTGTTGATGATAAGGCTAAGAATCCAGTCAACACTCAAATCCTGGACATCGTCCTCATCATTTCCTGTAATGTTCTCGATGTTGTGATTAAGGTTGTACTTGCCGTTTTTGAACCATCTAAAGTTCAAGTTGTATTTCTTGTCAATGCCAATTTCAATGAACGACTTCCAATCTTTGGAGAAATAATTGTTTGACCAGTAGTTGATGATAATTAAGGAGGAAGAATACTTGAATTGTATGTTATTCTTCCATTTGCTTTGAACTGATAGGTCCCTTAGTTGACGAGAAATGAGGTAAAGCTTGAATGAAATGGAGTACTTGTGAAGGGAATCATAAAGTCCAGAAAGAGATTGAACAAGAAGAACCTGGTTCATTGCCGTCTCTAACTTGCCCCTTGACGATTCTGGGAGCCTCGTTATTATCCTGCTATCCTTATGCGTAATCAAGCCAGTATCCGGGTTGATACCGAATAGAAATGCGAAGTCGATGAAAAAGAATGGCGACTTATGATAATCCTGTTCATTGTCAATGATTTGGTCATTACCAACAGTTATAGAAACCTGGAATTCGTTTGGGATGGTAATGATGACCCTTCCATCCTTGATTTCGTAGTTGTTGTTGAACCGCAGAGGCATATCACTGATAAGAGCCATCCTTGCCGTTAAGGTCAAGTTAAGATCCCTCAAGACCTCTAAAACCTTCTCTGGCGAGACAGCTGGTTTTGGTATGAAGTTGTAAGATGGTAGTTGTGGACGTCCCTTGACCAAGAGTTCCAATGCAGTGAAGATATCTGAATCAGGGAGTTTAGCTCCACTGAAGTTATTAAGCTCATTAAGCCCATGGCCCAAGTTCTCAAAGTAGAACTCTTGGGTACGGAAGAAGTTCAAAAGGTCAATCAACTTGGAGACATCTCTTGAGTTTTGAGCCCATTTGACCAATGTATAGATTTTCAAGAAGTCTTTCCTGAGAGACACAATAACCTCCAAGAACTTTCTTTTTCGTTGAATGTCACTTTCTGATGTTTTCGTGTTGGCCAAATTTTCAATCAATCGACTCAACTGCTTGTATGCTTCTTGTGTGTAAAACCGCAATACATTGGAAAGCGGTATTATATTATTCGTGACATGAGGAAGCTCAGGCATGGACATTAGTTTGCCGTTTGATGTGCCATTCTGGGCATTCGGCGTCTGCTGGATCTCCATGGTTTTGAAGAATACCAATCAACTCGTCCAATCTTCCAGAATTAATAGTGTATGGACAACTAAGGCCAGGAATGCAAGCAGAGTGTACTCTGTTGATAAATTATACAATCGAGCCGTAAGATGGAATACGGGACGAGGCCTTGGGTGTTGATGGTGTTGCCAGAGCGGGTTTTCCTTCTCGGCTACTTACTTTCTGTCTTACTGTGCGACCAGTGGCCTGCATGGGCACACTTAATCTAGAAGGTGCTGGTGTAGCGAGTATGCTCTACACATGCATGAATTGCAGCCATGGAAACTGCAAGACATGCAATTGATATTGTATCCTTTGGAAAAAAGAAGTAATGCTTTTTTGATAAATACAGTTTGGTCTCTCTCTCTATGACCATCAAGGCCATTATATAAATACAACGTTTGGGTAGGGGTAGGGAACGTGGGGAGCTAGTGGATATGCTCGAGGAAATGGGAGGGTACTTGTTCTTTAATCCATTGGAACCTTTCATCATGGAGTACTTGGGTGGCAGTTAACCGCCTATCTTTACGGACAAGCAAGACGTCAACAACAGCAACAAGTTGATTCATGATAAACTTTGATGCTTCTGGGAAGGTATCATCTTTCATGGTCGCTGCGATTCGAAGCCATTCCCAATCTATCATGGCAATTCTATGAGCCGGGTTATGTCTCTTCCTCCGGCGTTTCAAGACAGATGGGGAGATTGCTGAGTTAGACATAAACTCGAGTGGAGGAACATCGAATGGGAGTCTGTCTTCCAAGATAGCATATATTAGCACTCCGAGGGACCACGAGTCGAGAAGTTTCCCGTCGTACTCAAGGCCCATGAGAAGCTCAGGGCTAACATAGTCTTGCGAACCACATTTTGTTGAAAGAAGTTGATTTGGCAGCGTGAGTTTCTTGGAAAGCCCAAAATCAGTTAATGTACAAAGTGGCTCAGCTTTATGCGAGATATTCAGATCTCCAAGTTCCTTGTCTGAAAAATTAAGAAGAACATTTTCAAGTTTAAGATCACGGTGTACGACATCGTGAGTGTGTAAGAAGGCGACACAAACTATGAGTTCAGCGACAATGCGACGCATAACTTCCCAAAAACCGACCTTCTTACTTGACTCGCGATGATGGTCGTAAAGCCAATGGAACAAATTACCTCCCTTGCAGTAATTGAGGATGAAATTCTGTTTGTTGTGGACTTTAATATTGTAAAAGTCATACATATCAGAGCCCATAGGGGCAGATAACGGGTTTCCTGATACTGCTTGATCAATCTCGTCCTGCGTGATTGACAAGTTTATGGAATAGTCTAAAAGGCCGACGATACACGGATGCTTAAGATGAGTCAAAATGCCAAGTTCTCTGCAGATATACAGACGGAAGTTAGAAACGTCCTCCTTTGAGCTCGTAGGAACTTCGACTATCTTCACAGCAACAATGTCGTCAAGGTTGGCAGTTGAATGAGCGCGGACAACCGTGCTGAACGTGCCTTTCCCCACCACTTCATCAAAAACATACAGTTTGTGGAGGCGAGGGGCATCTATAATTCGGCCAATGAGCTGACCATGATCGACTTCCAGCGGAGGCAGAGGAATCGCGGATGCCTCTTCATCAAGCAGTGAAGGGTTAGAGACATGACGATTGTTGATCGAGATAGGGTTTGGGGTCTCACCACGCTTGATAATTGAACCCGGTTGGAATTCTGAGACAGCTCTATGGGAAGGTCCAGATGATGAGCTGTGCACCTGAGACCGTTTAAGTAAAGTGATCTTGGACTGAGCGAACAGGCCAGAATTCAAAACAGGAGTCGGTAGTTGCGTGATGCTACCCATATCAAACGAATTCAGGGGTGAAATATCAATAGGAGCGGCCAATTGTGAAGCAGAATACACTGACGCTGGGCTCTTCAAAGACAGAGGTTTGTCCAGAGGCGAAGAGTCAGGCACATCGATCCTAAGATTCCTCCATCTGTAATCGTCCTTTGGCTGCTGCACCACGAACCCCAGCTCCTCTGCCAGCGAAGGCGACAGGTTTGACTGGCGTGAAAAGCACTGGGTATCAGATAGCTGGGGAGTGGTCACTGGGGAAGAGGACCGCAGGTCTGTTCGAGCTGACATCTATGGTAGCTAGTATATATGGCCCTCGGAATGTAATATAGCAGATAACAAACCCAAAACAAGGGAACTAAGCACGAACACAAGGCTATAGGAAAAAGCAAGCTCAAGACTAGGTAAAAACAGCCTAGTCAGCTTTGGACGTCCAAGGATGAATGTAGTGAGATCTAAAAAAATTGCAAATATGGTGAAGCAAAGAGTAGAGTGCGGTTTGTATGACTGGAGCCAACGGCGTGCATGTAACCAGGCAGTAGACTAACAGTAGGCAGTAGCGCACCAGCAGAAGAAAGTGAGGCTGCAAACAAGTGAGTAATGGCTCGTCAAAGGGATCACAAAATGAACGGAAAAGGGAAAATCTACCCGTAATTTCCTGGCCCATATCCAACCAGCACTCCTATCTGCCCCTCTACTTTTTAAATCCGGTGGCAAGCTGGACATCTTAGCCCTTTGTGCAGAATGTAGCTCTATCTGGGGAAGCCAGCACTGTACGCGGTCGGGATGTAGGACACAACAGAACACAAAACGTTGAATGGTTAGTCCAATGGCCAAGAAGGGAGGTTGCCACAGGGTTGAGTGAAATTAAGGTTCGGACAGAAAGAGAGTCTCTTGTTAAAAGTGGGTGCCAGAAGTTTCCAACCTCCGGCTCTTCTACCACCTCTTCCCTTGTGTCAATGTCGCTTCGCATGTTGATCCCACTTGCGGCTCACTGCCAGCCAAGTCTGGCAGGTGGCTTCCCTATTCAAGGTCTACCAAAAGTGCGCTTCACGCTGGCCCAAAGAGCCGCGTGAGGCTAAACACGATCCCATTTCAAATTAGACTATTTTACCTACAAAAAAAAACTTTCACAAAATTTGCACCAGCTCACTGGCTCGCCAACACTTGGCAATCACAAGAATCCTTCAAGCACACGATGTGCCTTCTCTAACCGTTCAAGCCCAACTTCGTAACGGTGCTCGTCAAGGATCATATCTGATGTAAGCCTACTCAACGAATCCACAATCTTCTCGATCATCTGCTTCTCCTTGATGGGGATGTTAAGTGTTTCAAACTCTTCGCCAATCACTGCACCATTTATGCTTTCGAGCAAATTGATGAGGGTGTTGTACGAAAAGGGCTTAAGGTGCATACCGCTGCTGCCACTGCGTACATTTTTCCGCGTTTTTCGCTTAGTGCTTTTCCGCTTAGGCATTTGGATATTGTCCTTGACTGACTTGGCTCGTACTGGATTGGGTACAACCACTGGGTCTTCGATATCGTAGTACTCGTCGTCTCCAGCTTGGTATCCTTGCAATCCATGGTCTGTGTAGACGCTGTCTCTGGCAGCAATGATATCTGGGTCGCTTCTGGCAAGAAGAGTACCTGCCTGGGGACGCTCTAGGTATGGCAGACCTGGCTCCTGTCTTTCATGTTCTTCTTCAGCACCTTGGAGTTCTTCAGGCTCGTTGAATTGAGCGGAAGGCTCAGCAAGCCCCTCGGCAGGTTGCTCGGCGGGTTGCTCGGCAGCTGCTTCACTACGACTGGCCTCCAATGGTGGTTCCAATCCTGATCCAGCTGCAGTGGCAGCAGCTCCAACTGCAAGCCCCGTAGCGAGTCCAGCTACTGCACCCTCTGTGCCTGTGATCGTGGTATCTTCCTCTTTTGGTTCTCCTGCTTCTGCTTGCTTAGAAACAACAGCAGCCCGAAGACTTGGGCCTCTGCTTGGGACAACGCTAGTACCCGCTTCGCTGTTTGTAGCAGTGTCTGGAGTGAAGCCTTGTTCTTTGGCAAACTCTCTCTCATAAGCCTTGCCATATTCTTCTTGACTACTCATTCCGTGAGAAGGATTCAAATATTGCGTGCTGGAGCTTTCCTCGTCTTCGTTCTTAGCCTTTGCTTCAGCTTCATTGAAGCTAAGAGTACGCTCACCGTCTTCCCTCGAGTACAAACTGAATTGATGCGAGGCGACTCTAGCCTTTTCCAAACTTTGAGGGCTAGGTCTCTTTGGCAATTGACGACTGGCCACAGTATGGGCAGGAACCAGTGGTAAGCCATCTGACCCTTCACCACTGTCAGCAGTCTCAAAACTGCCAGATGAGAAGGTCGAATGTCTGTTGGTGTTCACTGGAGCTGCGGTAGATGGCTCTGGGGCAGTGTAGTGAGATTCAGTTGGACTGGTTACGCCGTATGGTTCATCATAAAGTGGCTCGCTTCGCAAGCTGCTAGCATTCTCCATGAGCTTGTCTAAATCATCGCTAATGTTAATAGAAAACCTATGAGCATGCTGAGGAGATGAATCCTTGGAGCTGCGAGGTATAATCTCACTCATAGGTCTTCTTCTCAGTCTTGGAGGAACAACGTCCTCCACTTCGGTATTCAAAGTCATCAGAGGGGCCTCCACCGCAGGTGCCTGGCTTAATCTAGTGTTGAGTCTTCCAAGCTTAACCTGGTTCTCAGAGTATAAAGATTCTTCATCCGTGGTAGCAGCCTCCGAAGCTTTCCGTGGAGACCCTTCGTAGTAACGGATACTTCCTTGAGTCTTGACACTGGAAGATCTTTTGATTGGAACCGACACCGCCTCTCCAATCTCAGCTTGATGAAAAGAACCATGGGAGTGACGTGAGGATTGGCTGCTGAGCCGCTTGTCATGAGGAGGCACTGGAGGGATCCAGTCTCCAGAAGGTTTCTTCGACATGATTTATGTGTATGCACTTGAGAGATAGAAATATGTAGTTAATATGGCTTCTGCAAAAACAAATTGGGTCAGGACGGTTTCAAGCTTTGTTTTGATTCTGCCTATTTAGGTATTGTAATGAGGTGCCGCACTCTGATCTAACCCTTCTCTTCCATCTACGAAATTTGTCATGTGACCTCGATCCAACCACTGTTCATGAAGACGACTGCTGTGATATGGCGTCGTCAGGTCCATTCGGCTTTCTTCTCGCGGACTCCATTGAACTATGAGACACTTTCGAGGAGAGTTGTTGAGCTGAGGGAGCGAGGCAATGTTCTGCGAAGTGCTATCTTGGACTATATCACAGCTAACCGAAAGCTACAAAGCATCAATAAAGAATCACAATCAACATTGGGCAATAAAATAGATCATGTTCGGAAGTCAGCCAATTTTCTTGATTTGGAAGTAAATGTTCCAAGCTCAAGACTTGAGAATGATCTCTGGGACTTCCTCAGAGAACATTGGGAACAGTGCGTCAATGACGGTCAGATAGTGGCCTCTTTCATACTGGGTGATTCAAACGTGGACACTGCTAGGTCGTTTCAGCTTGTTAAAGCAAACTTTGGGTCATCGCAGCTGGCCAAACAGCTGATAAATCCTGTGGCTGTATTGCTACGAAGACTTCTTCTGAATAATGATTATCATAATTGCATTGGTCTCTTGGACGCTACATACAATTCCAAAGAGTATATTCAGAAGCAAAAGAGAACCATCCAAAGACGTTTAGGTGATTGCATTTTCTCGATTGGTGGCCTAGCAGCGTTTCAGCATTCGTTCATGTCGCAAATGTCGCTATACTATCTTCTACCTATAGACTGTTTAGCCGTATTGCTACCGGCGTATGGCTTGCTCAAAATACTTTGTGGCCAAAAAGAAGAAAGAATAAGTTGGCGTCCATATACTAGTATCATCCATCAATATCTGCATCGCCATGAACAGTCATGGATGAACAGAATCATTACGCATTTCGAGGAGCTGAACGAATTGAATGTAAAGAATTTCCATACCTCAGAAGTAAGACCTCCACCATCATTAGGAGTCTTTCAAGAAGATGGTTTTGATATGTTCCTACCCAGTACCTCCACACTCCCATCATTCAACCATAACTACAAGGATCAACATACAGAAACACTTACCAAGTACTTTCGAGACCAGATCCAAAAACGAAAGCTCAATTGGGAAATCCTCAAAGAAGAGAAAACACTCATTGATTTCTGGCTTTCCCACGGTGAACATTATCGCTGGGTAGAACCCGACCAAGATCCTGCCGAAATCTGCACTTTTCGCAGCCAGTCTTCAAACCACTAACGCGCGCCAAACATGGTAATGTCAACATTGCCAGTATTCTTCAAGAATGGCATATGTTCAAATATCAACGCCTGAAGACTTTGGTGTATTGTCATGTCTTGAGTTTGGCCAGGCTCTGGATACCTTACTCATAGCATCGCATAGCCGTGTTGCGTTACTATATTCTTGCCAGAGTCATGGAGTGTCTCCACTGTATAACCTTACAGCAGAGGTCAAAACACCTTCCCCAATAATGGCAGTTGCCCATTCAGATCACTCTTCATATGCTGGCTGCTTGGATGGGACACTTCGACAGTTTGACTATGAGAATACACGGATGACATCACCCTTGACGACCGCGACGATTGATCAACATCCATCAAGCCCTATAAATTACGTTCGGTCTGTGGATCCCAATCTAATTATTTATACAACAATCGATGGAAGCATAAAGTACTTTGACCCGAGAATGAGCCGGCTCGTGGATTCATATACATGTCCTGCCAAGCTTTTCGCCATGGATGCTTCACCACGTACTCTAACAGTGGGATTATCTGGAAGCCAGGTTCAGCTCTTTGACCTTCGCAACCGCAGTAATCCATGGCAATCGCGTGGTAGTGGACTTAGATATCAAATGTCATGCATCAGAAACTTCCCTTCTGGAGAAGGTTTTGCATTGTCAAGCATAGACGGCAGGGTCTCAATTGAGTATAACGACCTACTGGAAGAGGTTCAGCAAAAAAAGTTCGCCTTCAAGTGCCATAGAGTACCTGACCACGATGAAGGCGTTGATAAAGTTTATCCAGTGACTGGTCTACGGTTTCACAAGCAGTACAACACCCTCTTCACCGCTGGAGGCGATGGCCATGTCTGTGTGTGGAATTGGGAGAAGAGAAAGCGCATGAAACAATTTCCTAAGGTTCCAGGGACTGATGGTATCTCACAGCTCGATATTAATAACACTGGGTCGCTTATGGCTGTCGGCACCACAGACGATGGGTTCATGAGGCTACCGGATACGAATAGTTCTTTCGTTCCAAGACAAAGCCAGGTCTTCCTAAGGAGACTAGATGAGATAGACTGTAAACCTAAACCTAAATAACTTAATTTCCATAATAAACGACCGCAGTGGTTTCGATGTATTGATATGGGTGCGAAAAATCTCATCCCATCACCACAATGGACTTCGCTACCAAAACTGAAAAGTTCGTCGAATGGTTAGCTAATCAGGATGTGGAAATCTCAAATAAAGTGGAAGTTCAAGACCTAAGGAGTATCGGTCAAGGAAGAGCTTTAATTGCTACAGAAGATATCTCTCTCGACGAGGATCTCTTCAAGCTTCCTAAGAGCATCTTCCTCAATGCTACCAACAATTCTTTAATTGCCGACCGTCCTGACCTCTCTGATAAAGTTCTTGGCCTTTCTCAATGGGAAGCATTGATTTTTGTTCTTGTTTATGAATGGCAAGTCAAGGGCGCTGAAAGCAAGTGGAAGCCATACTTTGATGTGCTCCCAATCAACGACACTGAGAATTACAACTTCGACCAGCTTATTTTCTGGTCTGAAGAAGAAGTGGCTCTTTTAAAGCCATCTTTTATTACAAAGAGAATAGGAAAGAGCTCGGCTGAGGCCCTTTTGCAAAAAGTCAGAGAAATCATCCAGTCATTTGGTATCACGGAGCTTGAGGACGTATCTCAGCAGACTCTTCATAAGGCAGCAGCACTCATCATGTCGTATTCTTTTGATGTACAGCGTGAAGAGCCCCTGGATACCCATCAGGAGGAGGAAGAGAGTGACGACGTGGATGTCAATGGCTCTGCCTACATCAAAAGCATGTTGCCCTTGGCAGACACATTGAATGCAGACACCAAGGGCCACAATGCCAGTCTCATGAATCAGGAGCAGAATCTCATTATGAGATCAATCAAGGATATTAAAAAGGGCGAACAGGTCTTCAATACGTATTCTGACCACCCTAACTCTGAGATTTTAAGACGTTACGGATATGTTGAGCCTGAAGGCTCGTTAGCTGATTTCGCAGAAATCTCCCTTGAACAAATAAAAAATTACTTTTCGGAGAATACTTCTCTTTCTGCCTCCAATGTGGACGACATCATCAGCATATTATTAGAGGTCCAAGAGGAAGAAGACGAAGAGTTTGTGATTGATAGTTATGATTGTTACGTTTCGGGGGAAGCCATTTTTGAACTAATTTTTGTCGTTCAGCTTTTAACTGTGCTTGCAGGTATTAACAATGAACAGACATTTAATGATAGAGAGTTGGAGTCAAAGGGTAGGGCGATAAGAAGAGTTTTTAAGAAATGCTACCAGCTATTAGAATCTGGAAAGCTCACAGAAGATCTTCGGACTAACATTATCAAGATCATAAAGGCTCGCATGTCTGATTATAAATCAATTGAGAACGAAGATCTTGTCGCCCAAGCGGTGTTAACCAGGCCAGCAATGGCAAAGGTTGTCCTTCGATCTGAGTACGAAGCATTGCGCAAGTGTGCTGATGGTGATAAGCTTTTCTCGACAGAGGAAAGAGACTACAGTTTTATTCCAGATCAGAAGTTATTGAAGAATATCTTGAAGAAAGATCTCTTCCTTGATGACTCGGCAAAGAAGCAAAAGACGGACCAGTAAAGCATTTGTAAATTATTTTTTTAGCTTGAAGAGTAGAATAAAAGGATAGACGACTAGTGCATTATAGAAGAGTTTAGTTATACCCTTCTGTAGAGGTTTTCTTGACCTTCCTGAATATCGCATGCGGTCACTGGGCTGTATGAAAATATAAAGAGCAGCTTACCAAAATCAAGCCTTTTTATATTTCGTAATTAGAGGGTAGTTAGGTGTGCTCTGTGAAACATGGTTCGAGGAATATGGCGCATTAGCTCTCGATTCGATTCTTTTTTTGGTTCTAGAGGGCGTAAATCGCATTGTAAGCCAATTTGAAAACCGCCAGTAGTATTCTGGAGCCTTAAAAATTATTAATTATGTTTCATAGTAGGCATTTTTTAAGATTTTCCAATTTTAAATGTTGAGTTATGCTTTTCCATAACATCAACACATTAAGCGGTTTTAGCTCAGTTGGGAGAGCGTCAGACTGAAGATCTGGAGGTCCTGTGTTCGATCCACAGAAATCGCATATTTTTTTGTAAATCCACTCGATTCCATTGAATCAAAGCCATAAATTTTTGCCCCAGAAGGATCTGTGACTTCTCGGTTCTTTTGAGAGCGACTACGTTGTCGATAACTTCCAAATTCCCTAATATTCATGCTATGTACAGTTAATCGTTACGCTTAAGTTTCAACTTAGGATATAGTCTACCGGTGTGGTAATTGATGGAGCTTCTGGTTCCCTTACCCTTGCCTGCAAGCTCCATACATGTCTTCAATTCTAATTCCAAGGCGGCACAAGCTGCTGACCCTTCTCCATTTGCTGCCCAGCAGTTGAGTAAACCAGCCATCGCGACAGTGCAACCCAGACTCTTGTTTGTCACTGGATTCCTGATCTTTGCATGTGGCAAAGGTGGCAACTGGAAGCTCTGCGCCACCTTCTTGTAGGCCATATTATTCTTCGTTGGCTGCATCGTACGGGAGGGAACTTGATGTCTTGAAGTTGAAGAACGAAAAAATTTAGGCGCACCTTGTATCAACTAGTATATGCACTACTTGGAGTATTTGAGGTGCGCAGGGTTAAGGATGAGAATATTGTACTTCTGTGCCCTTCTGCGCACCAGACGATTATAGTCTCTACCACCAAAAGGTGGCTTCTGAGGAGCCTTTAGCCAGTAAAGTCTGGAAAAATTGAACGAAGCAATATGCTTATGAATGACAGCCTGGTAATCTAACGAAATTCGTAGTCTAGAGTCGACTGCCATTGGCATAAGCTTATCCGACACGACACGATGAATCTTTGCGTAGAGTTTCCCAAGGAATGCCTGTGACTCTTCTGGCAGCTTATACTTTATACGTGTCAAGACGTCGATATGCTCCTCGAGATTGATGAGAATGACTTTGAATAGATGTTTGTAAAGGTTGTTGCAATGCTTTCTGTTGGTAAGTAACATACCGTAAACAGGAACCAAGTCAAAGTATTTGTAACGATAACTTAACGTTGGGCCTGATAATGTCGTTGCGTGGTGGTCTTTCAGTGCAACAACGTACTCGTTCGTCCGTAGTTTAGGCGCATTCAAATTGACGACATCGGTACCCAGGGGAATCATTTTTCTGGCAATTTCCAAATAAAGGGAATCTTTTAATGTGAGCGCCTCTCTTTCTATACGATCCAAGAGTTCCACAGAGGGATGCTCAATCTTCTTGTAATTGTCGATATCGTCAAAGATCAATGGCTTGCCGATGTTCCGAAGTAAATCTTCCGGAGGAAGAGGCTTCAGGTCATACGGGCTGATGCTTTCTTTGAGTTGGTCTTCTTCGAAGAAGTTAACGTCGATCTTATGCACTGGAACCTTTGTATCGAAAGGGCGAACGTCTCTAACGAGCTCTTCGGGGATTTGCTTTCGAGCGTTCTCATCATCATCACTCTTCAAAGAATGCTTTCCTGTTCTTAGAGGAACCCCAAGTATAGAACGGTCAAATCCCACGACGTTATAGGGGTAGAGTCTTTTGAAGACCCTTTCTAGACCTTTTGGCACGTCATATTTTTCACCACGACGGCCCGCTTTGCACATGTCATCGAGATTGCGTCCAAGACGGAGCTTCGTCATAAGATCCTTTTCGTCAATACCAAACCTCTTCATGTACTTTGCATGTACAGCCTTATCCTCGTCTAATCTATTGAGTGTGCTGTAGATGCGTTCGATTTCCTCCCATGGAGTATCAAGCATGTCTACCTCGTCAGGTAGGCTCCTGATAAGCGCTTTTCTATCCAAGAAATGCTTTGAAGGAAAAGACCCAAATTGACCGCCAGAATCCAAATTCTCTTGGATCTGCACGTCATCCTTAGTCATGAAAGCGACTGTCTCATATGAGTCTTCTAGCTCGTCTATATTCTCCTTGACAGCAAGATCAAGAGCCAGCTCATCAATAGTTGAAGGTGGAGGTAAATTCTTCGTACTAATATTAAGGGCTGTGCCTTTCCTGGTCTCCTTATCGGTCAGTTCACCAACTTTCCCCTTCAGTAGGACAGAGCCGAGCTTTCGGAGCTGGTCCTTATTGCCCTTATTGTTATTGTTATTGTTGTTGTTATTGCCGTTGCCGTTATTGTTACTGTTGGAAAGGAACCTTGAAACCGAAAAGCTTCTCCTTGCTATTCTAGATCTGGTAATTCGACAAAGCATGGGCAGGAACTCGGGATAGCCCATTCGCTTGTGGATCACATATCTGTAGTGCTGGGGTATTGTGGTGTACGGATGTGCAGCTCATGTCGGGAGGGAGCGACACTTTTACGCGGGCTTCACCTAGAAATGCCATAATGGCTGCGAAAAAAAAGGAAAATAGAAACAAAAAAGAATGAGATCACTACTCCTCATACGCATGCTTGACCTAAACCCATTATTGATTAAAAAACCGTCTATAAAAGAAGAAGTGAAAAATATTTCGTAATATCCGTGAAACAATGCCCTGCATTGAGTGTTGTCATTATGCCCCTTGCTTGTAGATTTGAGAAATCATTCTAGATAACTCCTGCTCCTCGTTTCTTGCAGCCATTTCGATACGAGGATCGACATCGCGACAGAGCTTGTCATTGTAGCTGTGACTCTTCGACATGGGGATCCTAGGACTAAGCAGCTCCAAGGAGCTAGAGGAGTCTTGTCTGTAATGTGACATCACAGAATTGGTGGAAGCCACCGATGCAGCCAGGTTCTGACGAGTGTGGTGAGCATGTGGGTTGTGCAAAGACAAGTGTGAGGTAGTGGAGGATGAGCGGGAGATAGTTGGCGAAGGAGAAACCAGAGCCGACTTGGGGCTCGATTTGATGCTGGTGGAACCAGATGCATTGGCAGCGGCAGCGGCAGCCTGTTGCTTGGCCAAGTACTTTCTCATCTTCGACAGCTTGATCAAGTCCTCCTTGATTGGTTCCAAGAAAGAAGCCAATTGAGCGCACATCTCTTCGTTGGTGACACGCATGCCCCAGTTCAAGAGGTAAAGCAACTGGCGCTCCATGAGGTTCACGTCTTTGACGGAAAAGAGACCGTCAGTGTACTTAGCCCAGTGAACGTTCTTTGGAGAACAGTCATTGTGGAACTTGGAAGCCAAGATAAGACAACTCAAAAAGATACGGTGTCTGGTGCAAGGCAAGCCCTGAGCGTTCTTTGGAAGCTTGTGCTTCAATCTGTCCAAGTACACCAAGGTGGTCATCAAGGTACCAGTGTAGACATTGGTGTATCTGACCAACTTGTTGATGAAGGTCATGAGGGAAGGCAATGGCTTACCGCTATGGGCAGTCTTGCCATCTCTGTCGTCCAGACATGGGAGCACCTGTAAAGTGGTGACAACCAACTTGTGGATCATGTTCTGGGACACAGGCTGGTTGACAAAGATGTTCAATGCTTTCAAGTCAATTGAGGAAACCATTATGTAATATGAAGAGGTGTATTGGATAAAGAAGACTGGAAAGACGAATGATGAAAAAGGAAAATTGGAAATCTGGGAGTGGCACTGTCACATCTTTATATCTCCAGGCATTCCAAGCCGCCGCCGCTCATTATGGGGCCCCTACGGGTCTGTCTGTAACTTCGCGACGCACTAAAATGTTTTGGAGTGAACATTTCGTGTTTCACTCCTGTTCGGCACGAATTCGCGACACCTCTTTTTGGCGCAGATGAGGACCTAACTTCTTCTTTTTTTTTTTTTTTTGTCCTGCCTTTCCTGTCCCCTGCCCTGCCTTCTTCAATGGTCCTCCTTCGACACCAGAAAACTCGCCCAGCCCGCGATCTGGACCATACCTTCAGGAGGCTAAGGTCAATCCTAGGTAACGGTAACGGTAAGTTCCACACATCCACTCGTCAATACTCAATTCTTACACGGGCCCGTCCGACGTCGTCTTCGTTAATCACATCTCTCATATTTTTTTTTCTTTTTATTTTTATTTCTGTGCTTCTAATGCCCCCATCGTCTCCACAATTCTCGGCTCCTGCCACTCTCAAACCTGGCCCTCGCCGAGTCTCAAGGTACCGTAGAGGTCTGGTGCGCACTGTGCCTGCGGTCCAGGCCGAAGGCTCAGAAAATCTTCTTTTTCTTCTTTTCTTTTTTTATTTTTTTTTGCACCCATTCCTGGGTCTTGTAGAATGCTCTGAAGCCTCCCCCTGAATATCCATTATTCCTCAAATCATAGGGATCTTCCACTAAGTGTTCCTATTCTGGCTAGTCCTTTTACCGTTAATGGATTATTTTTACCTGGAAGGTCATCCAGTGGCAGGGTTAGCATTTCGAAACAATCTGCGCGGATTTGAAAAATATCGTCAATCAAACGTCTCACCAGTGCCATTGCCAGCCTGAAAGAGGCAGCCAGGTGAAATCGGTAAAAATAGATCCCTACTATCTGAGACAACTAGACTTGCTACCCCCCTTTTGCAATTTGCCAAGGTGTTTCAATTTGTGCTAGTCTTGATTTCCACAAAACTGGGGGGTTCCTACGATTTCCACTTGTGGCCTAGATTACTTACTCCATGTTCCTGGCTTGTGCGCCTGGCGCCTGAAAAAAAAAAAAAATACACGGTTTTCGAAGAATTCGTTTTTTTCATGCGAGCCAGACGCACCATAACTTTTAGCCGGTAGAGCCAAAATAGTGGCTCTGCGCCAACGACGCCAACGACGCCAACCATTTATGCTCAAAGGAGTAAATATCCGTCGCGTAGGCCTTTTTTGACAGCTTCTCTTTCCATTTCAATATGTGCACCCGCCGAGCTTCCTGTTTACTCTTGGCTGTGTGTCTCTAATTACTCGCGTCCTGACCGCGTTACTTCGCGTTGAGGACCAGGAAGAATGCCTGTAATTATTCTCTTTTTGGTTTTCAACATTGTGGAATTACATTTTTTTTCAACTTTAGAACGTTGATCGGCTAAAAAGGGTGTAGACATGGAAATGGTGTGGCTGTCGTCTCTACACGGTGGTTTTCACAAGCATTCACGATGCTAAGAACCGTCTACATCAGCCCACTAGTTTTCACGAGACGAACCCTTGCCATAGCATTGATTCCTGGTTCTCGTGATGACGTGGATCAAAGAGACATTCTTCGTGTCATACTAAAGTAACCTTAATGTAAGGGCTCCTGAGGTCGCAGCTCTAAAGAGGTTAACCTTAACCTACCCCTGGATTGGAGGTATGTTAAAGCAGACAAAAATTGGCTCCTTTAGTACACAGAAGACATACTGGAATGTCTACCACCCCTTGACGCTCTCAAAACTACACGAAACTACCTTTGGGATCGGCAATCACTTCGAGAAGTGGTGCCTGATTCTCATTAATTTGTTCTTAAGAAGTTCGTCTTGATGTTAGTTGAAAAGTTTTCAAATGTGAAAGGATACTATCAGAAATTTGGGTATACTGGGTCGATCATTAATTGAGTACTCTGACTGGTGCACAGCGTTTTGTCTTCATATAGATCCTTTTAAAGGTTTTAAAACATACATTATGAAAATGTCATATCATATTCGGCTATGGTAGTAGTCGTTGTTCTTTTTTTTTTCATCCTCCATCGCACTTAAATCCAACGATTGTTGTACCGGGTAAGTCTGTAATATGTGCAGGCGAGGAGGGCTACAGTCCTTCCCGGAGATCCAACCCGATTTGGAAGGCATCAACATAAACCGACTTTAGAAATAGATCCGAGCGGTTTCTTCACAATTGCGGCTTCGAGAACATATCTAGATATGCATCGACTTCGCCTGTTCCGTCAAACAATGGTGTAAGTGAACTTCCGTAGTTCGGTGACGACATTCCCCACTGATTGTCTGAAAAATTCATCTGATCGAACGTAGGTGCTTCATTCGCCTGGGAGTCATACTTCATAAAACCGATTTGTCTCCATAAGTTATCAATATCCACATCCTCGTCTGGGCGGAAGTCATCAATGTCAATTGCGTCGTTCGTGGCAAATGATTGCACCGGTTGCTGGGACTCAGCGGGGCCGTTCAGTGTATTGGCTGAGTTGAGAGTCAATGGATCAATATCGGGGACATTGAAAGTCTCTTCATCCCCACCCTTTTTCTCGGTATCTTCTTTGATGACATCTTTGAGCTTCCAGAGCGTCGTATCTGCAATCTCAAGAAGTTCTTCGATTCTTTGTGTCGTAAAATCGGTCATGAGCCTGTCTGAATTGCAATTGTTAAGAATGTAGTCACCCACTGCTTCAGACTGGAATACATCAATGATGAACGTATGGGCCTTGCAAACTCTCCAAGCATAATAATATCTGTGACTAAGCTTTGAAAGACAAGCCGTACCAAACTTGATGAACTTCTCAAGAATCTTCAAAAGCTTGCAAAGCTTAGCGTATCTCATCTTGTATTCAAACGACGTCAGGATATTCCTGTTGTGAAGAACAGGATCAGACTTCAAATAGGCCACAGCACAACTCATTCGTAAGAAAATGGAAATGTTTAGCTGGTTGGATTTGTGAAGGAATAATTCAATAGACGGGGTCAAAAAGAGATCTGGTAATGTGCTCTTTGAATCAAAAGTCTTTGACTTATCTTTTATAAGATCAAGAATCTCAGGGAGCATTTCTCCACACGCAATCGAAAGATACTTCTTCATGTAAAAGAAAGCCAAATTGTGATTGCCATTTCTCTCATAATTAAGGAAGAAATGGAAAAACAATGAAAGGAGGAGGTTCTTGAGATTCAAGTAGGTCTTGCACTTCATGCTCTTAGCAAATGAAAATTCGTTCTTGCCGAGTGGAGTCTTTGAGTAGTCCGTCAAGGATCCCAAGGCTTGTTGTATGCTTACCTCAAAGTCAGAAATCAAAGCTGTTGCATCACTCATTTTCAAACAATTCCTAATGGAGCAGATCTTGTTCAAGAAAGACTTGAGTTTGTCAAGGAAAGGACCCATGCCCGCTAAGGTATCACAAAGATCTCTTTCCAAGTTTGCGTCCAAGACGTTTGAATTTCCCGGTCTGTAGTATGGAAGACGGACATCATTAAAACCGTTATCAATTAGCATAGGAAATCCAAACTGGTACGCCTGGGTCAAGTCAGCAAGTTTGATAAAAAACCAAAGCTTTCTGGTGATATTGTTCATCTTAGCATCATTGCACACGTCGTCAAAGTTGCCTGGCTCTCTATTGAGCCCCATACAATAAGCAACCAGGACACACATAGAAGGTAGTACGTGGGACACACCGCCGTCATAGCCATCGCCATGTTCGGGCGCGAACTGATAGTAGACCCTCAAAAGGGCCATATATTGCAAGACAGTCATATTAGTTCTTTTGAATAAATCAAACTGGTCAATGCATACCTGTGATAAATTAATGACATCTAATGCAATTGGGTTTTGGAGAATGTATTTCAATTCAGCCAAGGGAGAGTCATCAGAAGCGTTCAACACTTTCTCATTCTCTGATTTGATGTTTGAAAATGCAGACAAATAGGCGAAACGGATTACAATCAACACAATTGCGATTGTAGCCAAATCGACTTGTTTTTCTAAGGCAATATGCTGAATGCGTTCATCGTCGTACACCTCTGCGCCGAGCATCCTTTTGACTTCCGTTCGGAACCATGTCTCATCAATGATGGGGATAAAAGGATAGACACAGGTAAAGAAACGGTTAATTAATATCCAAAGAGCCTTGCGAGTGGGAAGAAGTAATTTGATCTTTTCCACGAGGTGAGTCTTCTGATCAAGCTCACCTTCAAACATTGTGAGACCCAAAGAAAGGGCATGTTTGTTCATTTGGATTTTCAAGTTACTTGCGGGAGTACCATTGGCATCGTTAGCGAAAGGAGCCACGTCGCTGTCGCCTTCTCGGTCTAATGCCTTCTTCCGGAAATCGGCATCCACCAGTTCCCCAGGCCCGGTATAGGGCTTTGGGCGAGTGTAAGCCAGAGGTGTCTGCGCAGTTGGTCTCGTGGTCTTGATGTACTCAAACAAGAGATTGAGTACCTTATCCTTCTTCATAAATGCAAGCCAGGCAAACGGTCCAAAGTTTTGTCTTCTTAGCGCATCCTTAACGTGCATAGGACTGTAGTTTTCATAGAGATCTATGAGCTCGTTCGGATCATTCATGTTGTAGGGATTAATGCCGACTAAAAGCGGATTGGCAGTGTCCGTGCTAGTAGGAGGACCACGAGCAAGGTTGTTTCTAAAGGCAACAAAGTCTGGTGCACTTTCGTGTGGAAGCGGGAATACCGTTGGTGAATCCAGACTCAGTCCAGAATCAAGCTTATCTTCAAGCTGTCGTATCTTCAGTTTGAGTCGCTCCATATCGCTCATCAAGACCACATTCTCAGTTCCCAGTGACCGATCGCTCAGTTGGTCAGGACCCGTGCTCGGATTAAACAAAGCAGGCAGACTCTGTTCGTATCCAGCAGGTACCGAAGACATTCCAGGGCGCATCTGCTGTTGGGGCATTGCTTGAGGCGGATGCATGGACCGTAGAGGCAGCGGGTTGGACTGTTGGCTACGGCCAGAGTCAAAACTGCCTTCCATTGAACCGGCTGAGTTGGCAGTATCATAGCTTTGTGTATCGCTTCCTGACAGGGTCAGCTTGGAATATGTCGTTTCTCTGGAGCTTTCCTTGGACCCTGGATTAGTGTTTGGACCAGTCGCAAGGAAGGTCCTGAAAACACCCACAGAACCCTGTTGCAAATTGGGAGGACCTGCTGCTGATACAGATTCACCATAGGAGCAGTCATTAGGACGGTTATGCTGAACACATGTGGAACATGGGTACTTTCGATCGCATTTGACTTTTCTTTTACGGCATTGGTCGCATGAAAGCGTAATCCTAGACCGCTTTTTAGATATTCCGTTGTTGTGTGATTGATAAGCTTGGACCATATTGGATTCAAGAAAAGAATAGAATAAAAAAAAAGACTATCTGAAAGCGATACCGGGTGCCTATATGTCCATGTCCTTGAGAATGGAAGATGTATTATACTGTATAGTGTATAAGGTCAGTTAGCTATGTGGGGCTTCATCACCGTGCGCCCTTGCATCTGGACGCTTCGTGCCCAACCTTAATCGGACAATTAACATTCAAACAATGAATTCGACCGAGGTCAAGAAATACATGCTCTGATCATACGCCCATTACTGCATCGAGGTCGCCGTAGAGTTCAAAAAGTTTCAAAAGCTCCTCATTTCCAATCATGGACTGTTCATCAAAGGCCTGCTTCTCAAAATCTCTGTACATGTGCTTTTCCTGCAACACTCCATAAGTATTCACCGTGTTGCGGTTGGCATACATGGTTCGATTTGCCAACATTGCGTCAAAAGGTTCTTCTCCATTGTCTTCTTTTTCTGCCTCTACGGCAGCTGCGCCCGTTTTAGGCCTCGTTTTTTGTCTCCGAATCAGCTCGACTTTAGCTAGACGGAATTCTTCACACAACTTACATAAGCTTTGAAGCTCGACAATCGACAAAAATTGAAGCAAGTTTGTGCCATCGTGGAAATACTTCTTGTGGTTGACCATGCCTTCGAACAATTTGTCTGGATTTTCCATGCATTGTTTGAGAACAAAGTAAGCCATGACATAGATCTTGTACGAATTGATGTATGTCTTGCTAAGGGTCCAGAAATTGCCGACAAATAGTTCCGCTTCGATCATCGCTATTGTAAACAAGGAATCCGTCACTTCGCTCCGTGCCACTAGTTCCAGATCGTCATCTTCCGAGTTGTTGGCCAACGGGTTGGCCATCTTACTGAACTGCTGTACAACCAACGCTCTTTTGTAATTGATGAGTCGAATGAAGAATGACGTAACGAAATTGTGTGTCTTGATTAACGATCTCTCAATACCTGAAGTCAAGATAAAGTCATAATGTCGTCCGAAAAGCTCTTGTGAATTGTCAAGAGCATATGACATAATGTACACTAGCTGCACAACACTTCGGATGAAAATCTTGAAGAGCTCGATTCCTGCGGTAATCTCAGCACTAGCATCCTTGTCAAGTTTCTCTTCATAATGGATCACGACTAGATAGTAAAGACAAGAAAGACTCGCTCTCAAATGAAGGAAGGTCAAGAACCGACTCACTTTCAATAAGCACTCTTCTCTCTTCTTCTTGTCGCTTGCATCCAGTCCGTCGCCGTGTTGGGGTGCTGGACTACAGATGTAATCTCTGAAGAAGTCTTGCCCAAAAAGGGAGAGGAACATCCCTTCTAAGTAACTTGTTTCCCGTAAGACATCAATTACCTTCGGTTTGTCGTGTAGATTAGTAAGTTTGTTCAACACCCGACGGTACGAATTACAAATGTCTTGCGTTCTGTGAAAGAGCTCCTCACGTTCGCTTGAGTGCTTATCAAATTTCGGATTCTCGACATCGCTTATCTCGATACTAGGGATCTTAAGGGGTGTACCGCAAAGCATGGCTCCCATTGCATCAGCGTTGACAATGAAATACCAAAGCGATCTCCAAGTGTTGACAAAGTCTGCCTTTTTGGAGATACTGTGTATGCTGTCGTAGTTGACAGGATCTCTATTGAGCCCAATCGATAATGCATGGTTAACAATAGATCCGAAGAGTAGCTGGGAGTCAGCTCCACTTATTCCGAGACAATCGTTAGGAGCCACAGAACGGTAGAAATATAAAAGCGTCAAACTTTGCACGATTTTGAATGTCGATCTTGTTTGAATCTTTTCTTCTGATATGCATAGGTTGATGATACTCAAGTAATGGTCAGACTTAAACCGCGTAATATCTTTTATCAAATGCTTCTCTTCTTTGGTGAAGACAATATCAGTCTCATCAGTTGGGATTAATGACATGTAACCTAGTCTCACGATGAGCAAAAGTTGAGCAGTCAAATTCAAGTCTTGTTCGTCTCGAATAAAGAACAGCTTGTAGTAGCCGTCACCAAAATCAGGGAACCCGCCGCCGAATAAGGAACGAACCTCTGACATGAACGTATGTTCATGAAGAATAGGCACAAAACTAGCAACAAATTTGAAGTAGCGACTCACAGCATTGTAAAGTGATCGCTTGTTGGGGAGAACACTGATGACTTGACCCTGAACAAACTCGTAATAATTCAGTTTTGCCCCCGACAAACTTTGGATGGAGACGATCCCGGGGAGTTCAGAATATGGATTAGGAAAAGGCAAAGAATTGTTGGTCTCGTCAGCCTTAATTTTAGTAGTAAGAAGAGCGCCTCCACTAAGTAAATCGGTTTCATCTTCAGAGTTTCGTTCTTCAAGTGTATAATTTCTATCAAACGGTTGGTCTGATTGCTCTGAACGCGACGTTTCATCCATGCTTGTTGCACCGCTGATGGCCGAGGCAGGTGAACTCTTGTCTCCAGAGACAGGTTTCTTACGCCTTATGAATTGAGCAAACTCGTCGCTCTTGAAAATTTCGATACTGAAACTTCTGATGAGCTTGATGAAAGGATCACTTTTGGTAAGACCAACATAGGAGAGTGGACCTTGTTGTTGCCAGAGCTCCCCTTCAACCAACAAAGAGTTTGTTGCCGCTGAGAAAGAATCCATAGTATCCTCCAATTCAATCTGAAGTATGTTAGAGCCAATCGAAATGGAGACGTACTCTGGAGATGAAGAGTCCTCCTCGGCAAAAGTCTCCTTCTTTGGTGACTTTTCTTGCTGTGATGTACTTGACGGCAAAGAAGTCTTTTCCTTGTGCGGTGACGTAGCCGATCTTTCAGTCATCGAAGTATTTGATCTCGATGTCATAGTGATAGACATTGCTTGGTTAGATTCTGCTGGTTTAGTTGAGCCGCTTGTAGTGGCAAGCATCGTTACTGGAGCTAAAGGAGGCGTAGCCGGAACCTTGCGTTTCTTCAGACTTACCAGTGGTGGGCCAGACATGCCTGAGATCGAAGGCGCCGAACTTCCCATAGAATCAGTTCGAGAAAGAGCGTGATTCTTCGGACTGCCGATTGGCACAGCTCCAGGAAAGCCCTGCGGTAGAGGTAAAGAGCCTCTTGAGCCGAGAGATCCATGAGAGCTTTGAGACTCATGGGATCGAGTAGGAGCAGGTGCTCTGATGATATCCGAATTATAACCTACCAGAGGTGGACCTTGTATCTGCAGAGAACCAGATACCGATTCCTGTGGAGGAAGAGATTGCTGGTAGGTTTGCTGAGCCTGAAACTGTTCCTGCTGCTGAACAGGTTGTGGTTGGGTTTGAAAAGGTTCAGGCTGAGGGCCCTCATTCAGGGGAACAGACAGCATAAAGCGAGGTTGTGGATCAGAAGGTGGAGGGTTACTAATCATTCGAGGCAGCAGGGTTGACGAAGGGTCGCTTCCCATGTAATGATGCTGCTGGTGATGAGAGGCCCATAACGGAGACTGTGGATGATGGTGAGGAGGAGGTAGCAGGGGCAGTTGATAGTTTACCTGCGGGCTCTTATGGTAAGTGTGGTTTTGGATATGATGATTATTCTGGCCTTGGATGGAATGATCGTGGTTGGAAGGTTGTGGTTGTGGTTGATACTGTGTTGGGGCCAGGCCACCCAGAGGCGTTAAAACAGGCCCAACAGGGAGGAAAGTGGTTGTATTTTGTTGAGTAACCGGCGGATCATCTTCATAACAACATAAGTGGGCAATAGATTTCTTCTTACAGGTGCCACAGACCGGTTTAACCCTGTCACAACGAGACTTTCGTTTGCGGCACACTGAGCACGATACTGGCACTCTAAAGCGCTTTGAGTATCTCGAGTCGCTCATCAGCTAAGGAAGGGAGCGAAACAAAACCTGGGAACTTAAAAAACGTATGCAATAAAAAGAAACAGGCTGGAAGTAGGAAAAAAGAAGGAATTCACTCGAAGCAATGCATTTGTAGTGGGCCTTTAGAGGGTGATGGAAAATCTGGGGTGGGGAGGGGACAGTGGAGGAAGACCCCGGTGGGACGCTGGCTGCAGTCCGTCGCTTCGAAGTAAGCGGTATTTTGCAACCCCATCGCACTCCATCGCCAAAGACATTTGGACAATCCCAAGAAAGAACCTCCTAAATAAAAAAAGCAATCTCTATCCATCTACTGCCTACTCGCTCAAAACACCTGGTCCTCTCTTCGTCTTTCATCCCTTCCCTTCACTTCCACCCAACCCAAGCTTCTGTTCGGCCCAACCTGACTCCGAGTATGCCCCACAAATGCAGAGGGCACAATCTGGGTCGCAGTGCGGGACAATGTAGGAATTGGGGGACGAGGCCTCGTAGTGAGCCACAAACATCAGGTAGGCTTTTTGTCTTCAAGAAGGTATTGCATGGTTTACTAAATTTGGCGGGGACTCTGATTTTCCACGGACATTCAGCCACTTCTCGCCTCGAGCTCCAAATACGTCATGGCCCATGCTGCTCCTTGTTGGCGCTTAAAGGGATAGGGCGCTTTCCTATTTTGCGCAAATTGTAGACACCGAGAGGAGCTTGCGTGAAGGAAGATACAGACACTGGCTTCCCTGGGACCCCTCGCGACAACCCTCTTTGATGGTAGGGGAGGGATGTGATTTGCCAGTTTATGGAGTCCGACTTTTGTAACTGGGTCGTTCGTATTATTATTTGTTTGTTGACTTGGCTAGCATGGTTTGTTCCTTGTTCTTCCCCACTGCATCGGCCTGGCACCCCTGGACCAGTTCTTGGTCGCTTGGGTTTATAGGAAGTCTGTCTTTGTTAGGGCTCCATGCGCTCAATGGCACAATGAATGGTGAAACCACTACAATGGCAACGCCGCTTCGCCAACCCATACGAGCTCGACCACTGACCGAGGTATGGATATCGTAGAGGCGGCTGAACGGCGGTAGTGTTGGAAGGGCTTAGAGAGACGGGTCTGGGCGAGAAATGGGTGCCTGTCTGCGTTGTTTGTAGTAGAGATTCGGGTAGATACGGGAGTCAGAAGAGGAAAAATGCATTCTAGGGCGCCACAACGGGTATGGTGTTTCAGAGGTATTATTGGGTATTCTTTGACGAAACAATGTCTGAGGGATTGTCAAGGGCATACTGGTGTGAGACAGGGACAAGACGATACTATGGTAGGTCAATGAATAAGGTGATTTGAAAATGCCAAAACCAAAAAAAAAAAAAAAAAAAAAAAACAAAGATGTCATAAATTTGGATTCTATCCTTTCTCTTAGTTGATTCTTTCTTAGCTTTACCATATTCGTCTCCCTCTGCCTCTATAATGTAGCTCAACGCTCTCTTCTCTTGCTCCAGTCTCTTGATGTGCGCGCTTCGCTACATCGTGTAAATAACGCGCACGCGTAACTTATCTCTTGATCACCAATGGACGACTATAGAGATGACGAAGAGTTGGACGATTTTATCGTTTCGGAAGGGGAAGGAAACGATAAGGGTGAGACTCAGAAACAGCCTGAGAGCCCCAAGTCTCCTGAACTAGATCGTATTGGTGACTTGACTTCTTCCTTGAAGGTACATGAATCTTATACTTCCAAAGTCCTAAGAGCTCATATTTCAGTCTTGGTATCTGCTTTAGGTGGCCCAGACCACTCTACAGATGATGGTCTATATAAATTGGGTCACGATGCTTTGGCTTGTTTGAAAGATATCAAACGTTGGCTCAGAAGCGTTGACGAGAAGAATGGGTCCTTCGATGTCGCCTTGGCTTGTTCCGATTGTGGCCTTGTTACAAATGATTTGACCGTTATCCTTTGCCAGTGGTTTAAGCCTTCCGGAAAGCTCAAGAAAACCAAATCTGTTGAGAAGATCATGTTATCTTCTCTAGAACTTTTGGTCTTGCTCACTTGGCCTATAGACGTGAACCGCAAGACTCTTTTGAAAGATTACACTGCCAGAACTAATACCAAACGCGCTCAGTTGGTTTACAAGCATCACATTCTCAATTATAAACTGGGTCTCACCCTCAAGGCTGTTATTAGTCTCGGTTTAACTGCTCTCACGACGCCTAAAGAAGACAGAGAACCTAGAGACGTCAACATTTTGCGTCTCATTCTATTCTTCATTCGGAATATACTTTACATCGAACCATTACCTCCATCAAAAGCCCCCAAGGGCTTCACTAATTCTGCTGAATTACCAAATGGTATGAGTGAGGATGACATCAGCACCGGCTCGGTACTTGCAGCATTCGAGAAGCACAAAGTTCTCCTTTTCCTTACATCTATCGCACATTCCGTTGAATCGGATCTCACAGATGAATCTTTTGGTCAAGTCGTCATGGAATGCTTATCTCTTATAACTAAGGGAGTTGGTCCAAGCGTCTTGTTTCATCAACCACAAAGACGCGGTAACCCATCTAACCCACTGCAGTCGGCCACAGAAGTTGCTCCTGCTTCAAGTGCTGCTGGACTTCACCTTGAAGACCTCTTGAATGAAGAAGATAGGCGAAAGAAAGTACAAAGAAACTCTATTTCTACCAGGCATGGTAGGTTCGGAACGCTTCTATCGATCAGAACTCCAGATGACTCCGGTTACTACACTGTTTCAGGCCAAGAGGCTTTATCAAGTACTCACACAACCTTGGATAAGCTTGACAAGACTAAGAAATGGCATAAAATGGCTACGTTCAAATATGATTCGAACGATTATCTCAAGAAACGTCCCGTTCACTTGAATCTATCCAGTCAGTTGATTTTAAAGCGTTTCGTGAATGAACTCTTGGTTAGTGGATGCTTCAATATCCTTCTTCGTTTTGTCGGCCAAACTTTGACGAGCGCATCGAATGAAAGTGCGCTTGGAAGAGCTGGTATTCTTGATGTCATCGACGGTCATGATTTAGCATCCTACTTCATGACCCTTGCGTGGTTTCTTCAGTACAAGCGTGAGCGTCATGCTTATTACATTGGGAATAACCAAACCCCGCTTGATGACGAAGATGGCCTTGATTATGGGTCGGTTGGTGAAGCACTCAATGAAGTCAATTTCATCTTGTTGATTTCGTATTTTCGATCTGCTTTTGATGGTAAGGACCATGATTCCCTTCACGTGGCTATGATTTGTTTCCGGGAAATGCTTCTTATTTCTCATACCATCTTTACAAAAGCTCGAAGTGAAAAGGAAATTGAACTTGCTTCCGAGGATGATGTTAATGAAGACCGTGAATTGGCAGAGGGAATTATTAGAAAGCTCTTTTCTCAAAAGCAATTTCTTGATGTTGTCATTAATATCCCCAAGCAGGCATCGAAGCATTCTCCTGAATATTTGAAGGTTGTGGTATCCATTGTTCACATCTTGCTCAAGTGTTTCGAGAGTTTAGCTAATGAAGATGTCAAGTTATTTATCAAGACACGCCGAAAGATGAGCAAGCTAGGTCGGAATGGCGGCCTTAATCGGGATATGGACAAACAGCATTGGCATCTTATTGACAAGGACTCGGACGATGAGGATGATGAAGCAGAAATTAAGTACATCACTCAGGAGAGGAAGCTTGATTTTAAAAACACTGAAGTGAAATTCTTCCACGCTGATACTGTTTCAACGCACATCCAGTACTTATCAAAATTCGAAGATCTCTCTCGAGAGGAGATAAAGAAGGGTATATCCTATTTCCATCGATTGTTTGTTGTCAGGAAGGATTTCTCGTCGTTGTACAGACTTGACTTCATGAACATCATTTACCGTTTGAGGCTGTTTCTACCGAAAGGCTCGAGCATAAGGAAGCATGTCGAAGAATTCATCGTTTACTTCATGAAGAAGTTTAAGACTGCCTTCGAAAGATTTCCTGTTCCGGTTGAGATAATGTTTCCTCGCTTTGAAAACTTGGATCTTAAAAGTTATCTCAGTACGGGTGACCTTGACTTGTCCTCCAGCAAATCGTCATCGTCGACTGGGACTGCCAATCGGTCTAGTTATTTTGACGATGACGCCCCGCAGCCAAAGGAAGCTCCTCTTCTTGAATTTATTGACAACAATAAATCCCTTGATGAAAAGATTTCCATTCTTGTCTACCACATGATGAAGAAGAATAATGCTTCAAAAGTCTTTGACTTCGTTACTCGGGAATTGAACAGGCTTGCAAACCTCAAGAATCAGAACTTGCAAAATCTTATGCTCAAGCTCACGTTGGCCAACAGAAGACTCGTCATCAACGATTCTTACCTCAGACTACTTCTTGAGTCTATCGGCTTTGAACTTGCATTCGTTCAAAATGATGAAACTGTCCTCAAGCCAGAAATATCCGCGGCTCAGCTCCTCGAAGCTGAAGATCTGATTAAGAAATGGGTACGTTTCCACAAGGGCAACACCGGAGATCTTGAGCCATACCTTGACCAAACACGTAAGACGCTCTTCAGTGAAGAAGAATTACGTTTTGGTGCACAAGCATACTCCAACTTAAGGATCGGTGCACCGTACGATGAGCTGGTCGCTGCTAGTTTACAATTGGATGATGGACAAGTTAAAAAGCTTATTGGTTTAGCGAAAAGAAAAGAGTTTGACGAGGCCTACCAATTGAACCGTTATGCTGAAGATAATGACTATAACCCTGAGAACGGAAATTACGAAACAGATCAAGAGGCTGAACAGGATGAGGAGGAACCTACAAATTCTGTTAAACCAAGAAAAAGACGGACAAAGAAGTTAATGAGTTTGGATGACGAACTGGACGATGAATCTCCCAAGAGCCGTTCCAAAGCACGCCGCCGGCGTAGGGTTGCCCCTGATCTTGGTATTGACTCCGACAATGAGCCAACTATTAGTAAATCTGCTGAGATAGTGAACGACTCTGATGACGATTCTGATGACGAAAGAGTCCAGACCTTTTTCGATCGTGAAGAGAAACTTAGACAGCTTATTCAGGAAACTGGTGGTGTTCTTCAGAAGGAGCAGCTTGAAATATTCAAGCAGTCATGGGAAAAAATTGTCTCTGCTGGATCTGGCTCTCAAGTGAAAGAAGCTATTAAATCAGCTAACAAGCTATTTGTCGAGGAGGAAGATGATGAAGAACCTTCCATATCACAGGTTGATACCCCCTTACTTCTGCTAATGGAGATGCGAGCGAAGCAGTCGACAGCTACTCTACATCTAGAAAGAGATTATCGTTTGGGGAAGATGAAGACCAAGAAGAAGTATACGCGAGGGAGAACGCTAGAAGTACGAAAAGAAGAGCTTTGATTTCTGATGAGGATAGTGATTAAATTGCACGATGAAAGCGATTTTGCCTGTTTACGCCACCTCGCAGTGTGATCCACTGTCGTCGGAATTTAAGCCTGTGTGGATAGTCATGATCGAGCTGATGATCATTACAGCAAAACCAAAAACTGTACATGCGATGCTGGGGAACACTTTTTTAGATAGAACTTGATCTTTTCCTTTTTATCGGCGTTCCTAAAGTCAAGCCTATCGTATGATAATTTTAAATAGCATAATGGAGGAATGATATATGCCATGAGTGATGCAGATGTGGCTCCTATAAGTTCCAATATCATACCCAAATTGCATGTAAATAATGCCACTGACATAGAGCTGAATACAAGAACTGTCGTGATGATAAAATGCTGCCTATCGGATAACTCGAGATGTGCTGTACTTCCGTTGGATTCCGGGTCACTTTTGCTGGCTAACACGATGTCCTTGAGGACATCCCTTACGACAAAAAGTTCTAAAGGAAATGTAGTCAACATATTCAAGCCAAAGCAAAATCTAGCTATGTTGATCCAAGTGTCATCACTTTTAAAGTTATTAAGAACATTTCCCTTAGTATTGTCACCAAAATTTAATAAACCTGATAAACCCATAAGAAGACAGAAACACATAGAAATCCCACATGCCCAGTGAGTTAACTTAGCAAACTTTCCAACCGTTGCATCCTTGAGCGAATTGTAAATGAAGATCGTGTTATGGTGGCAGACAAGTGCAAATGAAATGACCGAAATACCCTGAAAGATATTCACGCTGAAAAACCATTCCCCCTTTGACAACGAAGATTTGAGAGAGGAGTCTGCCATCGGTCCACGAACAACGGTAACGACCACAATGATCAACATTCCCAACAAGGCGAAACCAGATGCTTTTGCAAGCTTCGAAATATCTCTGTTAAGTGACAAAGGGTATGAAATGCAAGCCGTAAAAATAGTAATGATAACGTTACGGCCGAACATCCAGCCGATGATAGAAGTATCAGGATCTGTCCATGAATTAGGAAGCGCAGATTTGAGGACATGAGGGATGGTATCACCAATAATGACACAGAAAGCCATACAGCCACCATAGGCGAACGAACTGATCGAGAAAAGCAAAAGTATCTTGCCCCACTTGCCGTAGCAGAAGTATACCGTGTCCTGGTATGAACGTGTTTGAGATAGCTGTGCATTCACGACAATCAACCTGAGAGTCCAATCGATAAGAACAGTCAAAAATATCATCACAAGGACACCGCCTAGCACGCCACTATTCTTAAACGCAAACGGTTGTCCAATGATACCCGCACCCAAGATAGAATTGGCCATGTTCATGAACGCCATTTTCATATTGGAAGTCCCGCTTCCTTCTTGATCTATCGATGCTGCTTCTAAGTCCTGCTCTTGCTGTATACTATTTTCGAAATCGAGCGATTCTATGTCAGCAAGATCTTGTAGTGGGATATCTTGGTGTATGTCGTCATCACCACCAAAGTGTTCTTGGGGTTTATGTGCTTCCTGAGGCAACAGCACATACTTATTCGGTTGCAGCATGATTAATTTTCTCTAAAACCAAATATAATACGCCGTAGTCAGCCCTCCAAGAAGTTCCTTTTTAAAGGTTTACGTAGCTTCGTAGTATTTTTCTCGACAAAACTGTATCTAACCGATTTGGAAATTAAGCTGATTGTCAATCAGTTGCAGAATCGACGCGAATTATATGAATATTTCTCAGGCAGGGTCTGTTAGAGAAAAATATAAACTCCCTATAAAAATCATAAAAATTGGAAAGTTGAATAATTTCATATCATTTCCAACCGTCCGACTATTCTCCATCATAATACATTCCTTTTTGTAGGAGAAGAAGAAATTTGCTTTCATTACCTTGCTTGTGCATGTTTAACCCCAGACTGATACCCATCGGGTGTGCACAGATTTGAGAAGGTCTTCACTAGAGGCTACTACAAGCTTTATTACAGAATATGGCCGGATCACAAGATAGAAGGAAGCCTTTTAAGGGCAAAAAGTTCCATAAGGATCTTAGAGATTATAAGAATCAAGAAATCAAAAGATCTCTTGTTCATAGAGCCCGTTTAAGAAAGCAGTACTTCAAGCTCCTTGAAGAAGAGGGAGAAGCTGCCCCAAGACCTGAAGATTCCGAGAACAGAGATGGCCTGAGTGACGGCAGCGAGGAGGAAAACTCCGATTCTGATGAAGGATCCGATACTCCAAGAGAAAACTCATCTTCAGTGAAACACAAGGCTCCATTACCACCCCAAAAGGCACCTCCAAAAGTTGAACCAAAGAAAAAACCAATGAACTTCACAGAAAGAGCTAAGGTTGCCAAAGAAAGAAAAGAACATCAAAGAGAGGAGAAACTAAGGCGAGTCCAAGAAAGGATACGTAACATTGAACAAAAACAAAAGGAAAGAGAGAGGAGGAAAGAAAGCCTATCGAGAAGAACCAAATCTGGTCAACCTGTTATGGGACCAAAGATCAACAATTTATTGGATAAGATTAAGAACAATCAATAGAGTCATCTGCTATTTGCATGTTAATATATACACATTATAGTTATCTAAAGGGAGAAGCTTCTTCTGATGTTACTGAATAACATGAAGATATCGTAGAAGAATAATGCGCTTCTTCTTCTTTCGTAGGCAAGCCAACTTGTAAGACGGTGATACATCCAGTTTAATGAGTATGTCTTGTAGGTATTATTGTCTTTTTCCTTGCTCTCATCGTACACCACTCTGGCACAATAGTTGGCCAAAATCAAAAAGGTTCTCTCAGGACCCAAAGGATTGTCCAAATTTTCATCCAAATTTCTTGTCAAGTCATTCGTCTTCAAAATCAAGAGCACCATACGGGGCATATTACTCAAAATATCCATCAAGTCTTCAAGGACGCCCTCTTCAGAATGCAATTGATGTTGCATGTTCTTGACCTCCTCCGAGTCTCTTGATTTGGAGATATCGTAGTTTAAAGCGGTATCAGGGTCCCTTCCAGTAATTGCTGCTGCAAAGATTTGAAACTTTCTATGACCTTTCACATACGCTACTTTCTCGGCGTAGTGCTTCATTTCAGGAATATTATTGTCCAAGATTGCCAACCACAAATGGGCATAATCCCGTTTTAATTGAAGGGGAATATAGCGGTAAAGGCCATGGTCGTATAAAACGATTTCGAAATTACGGCCACTTCCACTTTCGGATTTGGGAACCTTTCTAATGGCCAAGTTACCACCATGTGGATCGCAATGCAAACCCGCATCTGGAAGGAAAATCATGTTGTTGAAGATGTGGGAAAGACAAGATGACACTTCGGCAGTATTAATGTTGTGTTTTTTGATGTATGCCAAATCATCAAGTCTAGCACCTGCGACGAACTCCATGATGAGGATTCTTTTATCAGCGGATACGACTTTTGGAATCCGTAAGGCCGTCTCTTTTTTGTATTTTTCAAAGTACTTCGCTGTTGTCTCAGCGTTCCGAGCTTCATTGACGAAATCCAACTCCACGTAAATCGAACTCTGCATTTCGTCACCAAGCCAGGTCATAGGATATTCCGGGAATACCTTATACATAAGGTCAAACACCGTCTGAGTCATGTAAATGTCTAGAGGCACGAACTCAGCAAGTGATGGATGCTGCACTTTCACGGCAACTTTTTCTCCAGTATCTTTCAACGTAGCAATGTGAACCTGGGCCAAAGAAGCAACACCAACAGGCTCTGGATTAAACTCACTGAATATACTGTCGAGGGATGTTCCTTTATCAGTAAGAAACATCTGTTCTATTTCCTCGATCGAAGAACGAGGACATCTATCTTGGAGTGGAATCATGGTATCGGTCCACTCCTTGGGAAGCAAGTATGTCAACGCAGACACATGCTGTCCTAATTTAATAAAAACACCACCATTCTTTTCCAAAGCTTTCAAGGTTATCTTAGCAGCTTTGAGGTGAGCTTCAGACAATGCCTTGCTGCGTTCGTGTGGATCATCAAAGTCCTTCCCGAGGACGTTAAAATAGATGTTGAAACACTTTGCAGTAGCCACCGTCACCACACTGATACGCTTAGACGTATAGTACATGTGCTTTACTGAATCACGCACAGTGTCATTGGTGGCGTATAAGGTAGCTCCAGCAAGACCGGCAGCAGCGGCAACCTTGATAGCTGTGAATGAGCGTTTCTTCGGATTTGCTGTGGAGGTGTAGCGTCGACTTATTGAACGTGCTGGGGCAAACGAGTGTCTACAAGAGACACGACCGTGACCCAAAAATGCATTATGTCGAAACATCAATGGGAAAGTGAATAGTTGTCTATGCTGTAATAGATCTAAACTGAAGGGTCCTCAATGTGTAAGGACCTTTTTCAACTCAGATCATGTGACAGAGAAGGCAATGAAGCCCGGAGCAATGGCTGCGAAAAACCCGTTGTAAGTGGGGTTTATCAGATCTACGATTTATCTCCATGAATAGAACTAAAATTACTGTACACCAAAATAAAAAAAAGGGAAGTATAAAACAAGATTGGACGTTTAAAAGAGGGGACAGGCGTATTGCCTAAGCTCATTGGAACATGCCCTCGATGTTGGGGTTGTTTAGATCACCAGGGCCAAACTGCACCATGAGCGTCTCATCTGGGAAAAGATCAAAATTGAAGTTAGGCAATGTATCCCAGTCCATTGCTCCTGACATTGGGCTCGGTTGTGGCATTTGGAAAGGCGGAATGGACATAGGAGGAGCCGGCATCATAGGCGGGAATCCATTAGGCTTTGGCAGTGGCCTCTTGAGAGGAGGAGGAGGAGGTGCTTCCACTGGCGGGTTAACATCTCCACAAGGACTTCTTCTGATATTACTTTCGTGGAAGCTAGGCGTCTTAGTGTTGCCTCGAAGAGATTCGTGATCGAATGGACACATCCTCTTGCGAGGTTCTGTCGAAGGTGAGTTGTGTTCATCTTTGACGCGGCTGAATTGCGACGAAGTATCAGTGACAGAGCCATTCCTGGAAAAGGATGTTCTTGGAGAAGCGGAGAACGGTTCAAAAGCTTCAAATCCACCTCCCTGATGCAGCACGGGACACTTGTTTGGCATACCCTTGCTGGCCCTCCTGGCATCGCCTGCAGCTGCAACCTTTGCTGGGCTGGGTAAGACAGGACATGTATCCATAAGCTTACCTGATTTGAAAACATCGGCATGGATTCTCGCATAAGCAGCTGGATTCATTCTATGAGAGTTCCGAACGAATGTCATGTAGAATTTCCACATCTTGGAGACCCGGCTAAAGCTATCTCTGTTCAACAGATTCTCAAGAAGCATGAGCACAGAGTCCGTGGATGTGATGAGCTGCTCTTTCTGTTGCACAGGTATGGTAAAGGGCCTCATGTTGTCCGATGGGGCCGTATACACAAGAGATGATGGAGCGGGTGTTTCATTAGAGTCTGCACCATCCCCACTCTCATCTCTCTTGAAACGAATGAGGAGACCCACAATCAAGTGTGATACCCTAGACAATATCTCTGCCACAGCACCTAGAATATACTGAGAGCCGGTGTTCTTTGAAAACTGTTTCACGCTTTCTTGTAAAAAATTGATCAAATCTAAGCCCTTCGTGAAAAGAAGTGGCAAGATCTGACAGACTGATTCGTAGTCCAAGTCTTCCTCACATTGTAAGAACACGATGAAGGAGATATAAAAGTCCAAGTATTGAAACATACTTCTGACCTCAAAGTACCGGGACATTCTCAACTTTGTAAGGGAAAAGTCCTCGATCCATGCTGCAATTTCTTTCGTCAAACGTTGCAAGTCGGCAACAGTTACATTAGATCCCGACAGACGACAAGTACTTTTGCGAAGCGTTAGGAATATCTTTGAGCTCAAGTAATAGACATGTAGAGATGCCAATAGTTCTGCAATCAGGTCATCTCCTGGGTCTGACTTCTGCTTGGAAACAAATTTAAGATGATCCTGATTCTCAGTAGCCTCATGAATATTCTCGAAATAACTTTCGATCATTTTATCGAGCTTGTCGGAATGACGATGCATTGGAACTGTGTTGAAAGTAACATGATTGATAATCCTCATAAAGTCGACCCACATATGACTAAGGTGTAGCCTAAGTTCCTTTTGTCTACTCACAGACATGTTGGCACCGTTGAAACGAATATGGGATGGATCAGCCCAAAGACGGAGCCTGCTGTCATCCTTATCGAGCATATCAAGCATTTTTGTAAGGATAGAAGTGAAGCACAGGCGAATATCGCTTGTATTGCCAGGCTTTATGTAAAGGGCAATGCACCTGTTGAGAAAGCCCATGAATACAGCAAGGCAAGGCAACAGGCTACTGAGTTCGTAATTCTGTTGCAGCGATGAAAATGATTCCAAAAACTCACGAATAGAATCGTGGACGTTTGTTCTCTTATACCCCAAGCCTTGATGCACAGCTTCCAAGGGAAAAACCTCATGAAAGGCTTTCAGAGTCTCATCTGCTTTACCAGTTCTCAGTCGCAAGACGTCTAAGGCTTCTTCAACCATGAGACCGAGCATGCTCAAATATATTCCCTTTAACCTGGCAAAAGATATGACCTCTGCTTCACTGACTTTAGCATCAAGGGAGGAAAGATCTAGTTCAACCTGGTTTCCAACTCTGCGGAAGAGGCTGAGAATATCATCGTGGTAAAAACGGAACAAATTCCTCGATTCAAGCTCGTACAGCAGGATCAGCGAAGGAGTATTTGAAATGTTCAAGTAGAAGTTAATCAAGAAGACAAGCTGATCATATTGCATTTGCTCCAGACCACGGCCGTAGCTGATGATCTCTGTCCAAAGCTTTTGGAGCAGAGAAATGACGGAACTGGTATCGTTCTGGTTAATCTGGGAGTAATCTGTTGGCTCATTCTTTATCCGCATACTATGAGATCGGCTCATAGGCGTTCCGACTCGGTTGGAAGACTCCTCAACCATCAAATTAAACTCACAAGCGACAACAGGGCATTGGTGGTGTCCACAGGATGGCCCATGTTCATGAGAACCTCCTGTAACAGGACAACCGTTATCTCCATAAACAGTAGGCTCAGATCTGGGATACTTACTTAGCAAGCTAGTCTTATACATGTGATAAGACTTTTGTAGGTTGGTGATCTTGTACCAAAGCCCCGTTAGCTGAGGGTCAAGCTTGATGATGTTAAGCCACGAATAGAGCTTTGCAACGAACGTCTCCGAGCATTTACTCTTCTTCAGGTACCTGAATCCCTTGAGGGAATAAAAGTTATCGTCCAAGACTTCTGGCGTCAGGGTCTGTGTGTCAGTGGTGTCAAGCTTACGCAAGATCGATATCGCCGAGGCGGCTGCATCCTCCAGTAGAACGTAGCTTGTGGTCTCAGAAGACGGCAGGTGGACTGAGCCGTTTGATACAGAAGCCTTATCTAGATCAGTTCGGCTTGAATTTGATATTTGTGCTCGAAGAGCCTCGATTTCGTTTCTTTGAGCAGCGATGGTCTTCTCCATCGCCGCCTTGAGCTCCACATACTCAGCACTCGTCCTCACGTCATCCTTCAAACCCTGAGTCCCCGCTGCCTTCTTCACCTCGTCATCAACCCAGTTCGGCTCCACATACACACAGAGATGCCCAACGTTGTTCTTGACACATCCAGTACACGGTCTCTTCCTGTCGCAGCGAACCTTACGTTTTTTGCAACTGAGGCACGAGATCGGGGCCCTTTTGCGCAGCCGTTTCTCCATTCCAAGCAAAATGAATAGGTTCAGTCACCAGGATGTGGTTGGAAAGTTATGAAAAAAAAACGTCAATCTTCAACGCTTACAAATGCCCGCCCGTCGGAAGTAATAGGTACTTTAGCCTATTCAGAAAGTGCGATAAGTGCGAGAGAAAGCAGAGCGGTAGATCCGAAGTGGCCTGGCTTTCGTGCCGGAGTGGGCTGCACAGGCCCTGACAAAACACTAATAGCGAATGCTCGAGTGAGCGAGTCGGCTTCCTGCACTAGCACTAGAAATACAGCACATCTATGGGCCAGCATAGGTTATATGATGTAGTGGAAGGTCACGAGGTATATGTAGGGGGATAAAGGAAGAAGGGTGGAAACAATGCAGGGGTTCTTATGGTGTTTGGAAACTCGCTGGCTTGTCTTGTCTTGGGTTGGTTGTCTAGTCTTCTTTCGCAGCCAAACTTGCAGAGACAGGGCATCAGATCCTTCAAGTGGTCTGGGAAAGAGCCTATTGGCTGGAAAGAGGTGGTGGGGAGTTGGGGTTGGTTGAACGTGATGAATGGACATTCTTTGATAGGTTTGCCGATCTTTATGGGTTTTTGGTTTGGTCGGATGTGTGACTTTTTCCGTTAAGCACTTCCGGTGGTTGGTGAGGTCGCTCCGTGAAATATTCCGTTTCTTGGTACAAACCTTACATGGCACACAAAACACGGATATGCTACGAGGAATGGAAGAAAGAGGCTGTGGGTGTTTTTATCAAGTTGGATTTTGATTTTGGAAAACTTGACTGGTGGTTTCTGGTTGGGCCTAGCTTTCTTCTCTATGAGTGCACGTGACTCAACTGCCAGTAGAAGCCTCATCCTTACACTCTCTTGTTACATCCACCGCCATGTCCACTGGTGTTCCCATCAAGCTTCTAAATGAGGCACAAGGCCACGTTGTGTCCCTAGAATTAACTAATGGAGATACGTATAGAGGCAAGTTGCAGGAGTCCGAGGACAACATGAACTTGTCGCTTGATGATGTTACCATCACGAAAGGCAAAACCGGTGAAACTTCCTTCAAGGGAAATGTATTCGTCAGGGGCTCGATGATACGATTTGTCAGTGTCCCAGATATCCTACAATATGCTCCAATGTTTTTCATGAAGCCTAGCGAAAAGCCCAAGCCTCCAGTTAGAGGACCACCGCCAAAAAGGACCAAACATTAGACCTCTGGCTTACAGCTGTATATTATTTATCCTTGTATATTACCAACATGCAAATGTCTCGATTGACCTTTATAATTTCCAATATTCATTAATCATTCCTCCATTGTCTCGTCGGCTGCTTCTCTCACGCATTGCTTAAGATGTAGCATAGCTGCAGAAACAATCTCTGGGTCGTCATCATCCTCTTCCAAAAGCACATCACCATCTCTGTCGTAGATAGAGCTCAACCAGTGAGACGTCACATCTACTAATTTAGACTGGTCCACCTCCAGGTAAGCAATTCCTGGGGTTTGCTTATCGGTGCCGAGCTTGATACTCCCTGAGGGCACCAAGCGCTCTCGCACTTCTTCGAGCGCTTGTTGATAAGCCTGTTGTTGTTCCAATAACTCGCAAATCTCCTCTTTGTCCTCGTGAAATGCTTTCTGAGCACTCATTGAACTATCAACTGATGAGTAGGAAGAGTTATTTGTAGTGAGCTCAGTATTGATGTTGTTGGAGTACCCAAAGAGTTTCTGTAGAAAAGCCCGTTTCTGGAGCACTTGAACCCTTCGTTTTCCTGAAATTGTATGGTTTGATGAGTACATCTTCTCGTAATCATCTGATTGCTGCATCGCGTGTGCCCAGAGAGCCTTCTTCTCTTCTCTTTCATATTGATCTAGATTAGGGACGCCAGAGCACATCTCTAGTTGTTTAAAATGAGCGCTGACAACTTCTAACTCCGACCGAGAGAGCTCTGGAATCAGAGCTATGGCCTCATTAGAAGAGCTTGGTTCATTCCATTCGTCAGTACCTCTATCTATGCTCACCTCTTCTTCCGCTCCAAAATCATAACTATCATCATCGAACCATAGTTCGTCATCCTGCTTTGAATACTCAAATACTCTGTTGCAGCTCACACTTTCAGCTGATTCCCATGCCTTGATCTGAGACAGCCTTACTGGAGGTAACGCTGGCTTGAGAGGTTCCGCGGGAGAACTGGGCAGCAGCAGGGACTGCGGAGCCATTGCATTCTTCTCCTTCAAAGACTTCTGCTTCTTCGTGAAGACCAGGTAATCAAAATGAGACATATCAGCTGGTTTATGGAGAACGAATGGCTGTGGTGGAGCATATGACTTCCTCAGTTGCTGGAGGTTTAAGAGTTTCTTAGACGCTTTTGCTCCTTCAGGCTTAAGACTGGGTCTAAGAGACTTGGCCTTTTTCTTGTGATGATCATTCTTCTTTTCAACGAAAGGCTGTTCTTGTTTGATACGTCGTATGTTATTGCTGGGAGTAGAGATTGTCGATGTAGATGATGATACCGTCCGCAGGGTCAAGTTGGACATATTGTGGGATGAAAAATCGGCAAAAGAGTGGGATGACACTCGTAGCCTAGGCAAAGTCGCCGAGGGCTTTCTCTCCGTCATTTTTGGTACCAGCCAAATTAAAAGTACGTGAGAATAAAGTTGGTTTGAAACGTTCCCTTGATGTATTTGTGTTATTGATATGTTAGGAATGCAGGAGCAATATTTACCAGTCCTGTGGACCTGATGATATGGACAATAAAATGAGACAAAATGAAATTATTCATACCTGATCAAATAAAATACTATTGTTGACTTACTCTCTGTCGATTTTTACTCTTTCGAATTTTGTGTGGCTTTGACAGTACCTCGAAGAACGTACTGGATCCAACACGACGTTTCTTCATACTTAATGGGTTTTACCTCAGTAAATCGACAATTAGAAGCTTAACTTTCCTCTTTACGACGAGAAACACTTAAAAATGATGTTGGTCTATCGATGTCGATTCTGTGCTTCTTTTCTTCATTCGAGGGTCAAATGATGGCTGGTAAGTCTCCTGTATCGATGCCCTAAGTAAAATGCTCCAAACGTTCGGAGACTATTCTTATGATCTTAAGTTTAAAATGAAATCTATTAGAAATTAAATTCATGAATTGCAAAAGTTTGTTGTTGGTATGGCTTGTCGATACCTACTAGTGTTAGGCGAGCCTCAAACTTCCACACAGAACTCCTAAGTTCTCTTTCTCTACCCTTCTATCGATCAAATAACTATTAATTGCTGACCCAACAGTCATAATTCTCCCCTCCTCCTTCACATTTTCCTTCTCTTGTACTGTAATGGCCGATGCCAATTCGTTTTCGCAGCCATTACCACCTATACCTACAACGTGCAACAATCAACATAAGCGATACCAAAACTCACAAAGCTCGTGATAAGTACATGCTGAGTAGTTAAATGACAGAGAATTGGAAGGAACCCATTCTTTTGGCACGATTTTAGATGTCCTCTTTCATTATGTATCCACTCACGTGATTAGGGTTAGTGCCCTAGATATCACCTCAGACTGCATGGGACAGAATTTGTGCTGGGCACATCGCAAAAAATTCTCCCGCGATCACTACTGAAAATTCCTTCTCACTGTAAGTTAACTATACCAACAAGAACCAAAGATGGCTACTGAGTTGACTGTGCAATCTGAGAGAGCTTTCCAGAAGGTATGTTATTACCATGAATATCCTAGCACATTGAAATACGTTTGGCAATGAAATTCCCAACCTAGAGTCCCGAAAATCCACCCGTTAAAGATTCAACCAAGAGATGAAAGGGGACGAGATAGTGACAGAGAATACCCCCCAATATCCATGCAATAGATCCTTAATGTCAAACTACTTTCACTAAGTGCCTCCAATTTAAAGCAATTTACTAACTTTTAGCAACCACACATCTTCACCAACCCAAAGACCAAGGGTAACAAGAAGGCTAAGAGATGGGTGAAGGAAGTCGGTTTGGGCTTCAAGACCCCTAAGTCTGCCATCGAGGGTTCTTACATTGACAAGAAGTGTCCATTCGTCGGTGACATCTCCATCAGAGGTAAGATTTTGACCGGAACTGTTGTTTCCACCAAAATGCACAGAACTATCATCATCAGAAGAGACTACCTCCACTTTGTTCCAAAATACAACAGATACGAGAAGAGACACAAGAACGTCGCTGCTCACGTTTCCCCAGCTTTCCGTATCCAGGAGGGTGACGTTGTTGTCGTTGGTCAGTGCAGACCTCTTTCTAAGACTGTTAGATTCAACGTCTTGAAGGTTGCTGTCTCCAAGGCCAAGTCTAAGCAGTTCACCAAGTTCTAAGCCTGTTTGCATATTAAATAAATCAGGTGTTAGGCTTTTGTACCTTAATGTTAAAATAAGATAAAAAAAAAAAACATGTTGTAGGCTATATCTATTTACGCATTGGAAGGCTTTTCTTTCCGCTTCACCACTAGCTCCTTCTCACCCCAAGCATTCAAGAATGCTTCTAGTTCTCCGTTTTTGTGCATTTCCTGGAAATCATCAGCTCCGCCTCGACTCTGTGGGTTCGAGGCGCCAACTAGAACGTTAGGGACTGTCCTGCGGCCTGTTATCTCTGCCAAGTACTCTTGGAGTTCTTTACCATGCTTTGCCTTGTCAAGCTCAACTATTATAGGTGGTGGCACGATATCATAGGAATCCAGTAATAACAGTTTCAATGCTTTGGAAAATGGACAGTATGTTTTTGAAAAGACTGTCATGGGCGCCAATGCACGTATCTGCCTGTAGTCCTTTGCTGGGTCGTATTCTTCATTGGAGGGGCTATCTTCCTGGACGGTTTGCTCCACCTCGCCATTGTTCTCTGCTTCTTCTTTACCCTTTGATTTGGATATTTCTGCGTTTATGGCCGCGTCGACCTTGTCGTTATTTGCTGATTCCAAGAGAGTGTTTCCAGCGGTCTTCTCCACCACCAGTACCTTCTTTGCTCTCGAGTCTTTTGTGAAGAAAAGCACAGAAAGTAGCGTGACAGCACCGATTGCAAGAGCTAGCACCCTTATTTTCCGATTTGAAACCATGGCAGTCCTCAGGTTCAAATTGTAGTAGGAAAAGCAAGTTTTGATATTAGACTACCCCAGAGCGCGAAATTGGTAGATGCCCAGAGAGGCAGAGTCAGTTGCATAGGACAGGTGGCACAGAAGTAACTCTGGGAAGAAGATCCAAGAAAGAGAAATCTACGTTCCAAAAAGTTTTGCTTTGAAGATTAGATTGTTTTAGTACACTTTGACATTTCAAACCAAGACGCGTATATAGTATCAGAGCTGAAAAACCATATACGCAGCCAGATGCAACGACTCCAGCCCAACCAGTGCGCTTATATGAGGCTGCAGACATACCTGAATAGACTGTGGTATGCATTGGAAAGGTTCCCAGCATAGAAAAGGCTTTGCTGTTTCATGTTGAAAAAGTTGGGGTTTCTGATATATAGCATCGTTCCTTCCCATGCGGCTTCTTGCCAGGTTTTCTTCCGCAAACCAGATCCTCGTTCTTCGAGGCTACAACACTGCTCTGTCCTTGTCGTCCATTGGTCAGTCTACGGTACGTCTCCAGTGGTAAATAGTAAACCATGCTCCATTTCCAAAAACGTTGGCCTCTTTCAACCACATAAAAACAAGCCCTGTAGCGGGGGTAGTAATCCGAAGTTAAGGAGCATGCACGATTCATTGGTCTCACTCGAGATGCCCAAAGACTGTCGGCAACATTCAACTAGTTTGCCGAGCGCCGCGGCAACACGCCCATCTGACGCTACCTGAAAGGTTAAAGAAAAAGAAAAAAAAAGCCCCCGAAATGAATCCTGACATGCATTTGCAAGGTGGGGTCATCAAAACCGTGTTTTTCTTCGTGGAGGTGCCCCTCCTAGACATTTACGTTTTTGAAGTGTTATTCCTCGCTTACTGTTCGGGCCTTCACTTAGATCTGTCAAAAACTCTTGGCGCACTTTTGACAGGACCCCGTCGTGGAAGACAATACAGCTGTGATGGAGCCAAAATTTTAAAAAAGATGCTGAAAATTTCTTGACCGATTGCCCTCTGCTTTTTACGTTGGGGTACCTCTCGTAATCCATGGAATGTGTTATTTTTTTTACGTTTTCTCCAGCCCTAGTAGCCGATATGCGTAGCCTTACTTCAAAACGGTATATAGTCGACGGGAGCCTGCGTTCAAATGCCAAATCCTTCCTATTGCCTTAGCTGCATGAGTGGTTGCAACCTCCAGATGCAACAAAGACGGTTCTGAAGCTCGGTGTTGTAACGCCACTTATCCCGTTTCGCCTGCGTTTATGTGAAGAAGCTGGTTGTAAAAATTTTTTGATCAATTGCCCCTCGAGCCCCACTTACCCCTCTGTACCTCTTCTCTCTACTTTTATAAACCGGCCTTGTTTTCTTATTTATTCTCTAATTTTAATCCTTTTTATTTTTTTCTATTGTGTCTTTTAGTGTTGGGTATACCATGACAGAGAGAAAAAACTCCCTCACGATGCTGATGTCTCCAGAATTGGAGAAACAAGACGTCCTTGTTCCACCTCCTACAGATGATAAGATGATGGAGCCTCCAAGCTTCACCATGGAATCGATCAAGAACTACTGTGTTACCAGAGTCACAACATTGATCCCTACTAAAGAGTACGTCCGTGCTAACAAAAACCTCTTGAATCCAATCCCTGCTTTGAGAGAGATCAGCGGGAAACAGTGGCTATTTATCTTGTGTGCGTTCATGGGCTGGACTTGGGATGCTTTTGATTTCTTCACTATTTCATTGAATGTGGATGTCCTTTCTGAGGAGCTTCACAAATCGACAACCGATATCACTTGGGCTATCACTTTGGTGCTCATGTTGCGTACCGTGGGTGCATTTATATTTGGTTACTTTGGTGATCGCTATGGAACGAAATGGCCATTTATTGTTAACTTGCTTCTTATGGTGATAATTCAAATTGGGTGCTCTTTCATCCAGACTTTCAAGCAGTTCCTCGGAGTCAGAGCTCTTTTTGGTATTATCATGGGTGGTATCTATGGTAATGCAACAGCCACTGCCTTGGATGATTGTCCTGCCAGAGCCAGAGGTTTTATTTCTGGTTTCCTCCAGCAAGGTTATGCCTTTGGATATTTGTTAGCTGTGATCTTCACCAGAGCTTTGGCGGATACCCAAAAGCATAAATGGAGAGCAGTTTATTGGTTTGCCGCATGTGTCACTGTAATCATCGCTGGGTCGAGAGCTTTGTTACCTGAAACAAACGCTTTCCTCCAGAAGAAGGCTTTCCAAAAACTTCAGCTTCAAGCCGGTATCGTTCCAGAATCTTTTGGAAGCAAAGCTAAGAAGGCACTTAAAATTTACTGGCTCATGACAATTTACATGATTCTTCTCATGGCCGGATTCAATTTCATGTCTCATGGTTCCCAAGACTTGTTTCCTACCTTCTTGACCCAACAGTTGGGTTTTTCCAAGGACAGATCCACCGTCACCAATTGTGTTGCCAATCTCGGTGCCATTGTTGGTGGTTTGATCATCGGTCACTTCTCTAACTTTATGGGAAGAAGATTATCCATCATCATTTGCTGTATCGGTGGTGGTGCTTTAATCTACCCATGGGGCTTTGTGAGAAATGATGGAATCAACGCAGCAGTGTTCTTCTTACAATTTTTCGTTCAAGGCGCCTTTGGTGTAATTCCAGCGCATTTGAGTGAATTGGCACATCCAGAATTTAAAGCCTTCACCGTTGGTTTGGCTTACCAGCTTGGTAACTTGGCTTCATCTGCCTCTTCTACTATAGAGTCCAAATTGGGTTCGCAGTTCCCTATAACCAACGAAGACGGCAAGACCATCTATGACTACGGTAAAGTCATGTCGATCTTCATGGGCTGTGTGTTTGCCTACAACTTAATCATGTCTTTCGTCGGTCCTGAGAATATGAATATCAGTCAGGAGGTCAATGATAACGAAAATGATCAGCAATCCGGTCTCGGATCCATGGAGAAGGTTGTACAGGAAGAGATAGAGAACTCAAGTGGGGCAAAGTCTGATAAGGAGTTTAAATAGACTTTAGGATACATGGACGGTCCAAAGGGAGTGTTCTATCAACATTTCTTTTTTTTGATTTCCACATTTTTTAATAATTTATCTAAAGACGTTGCGTGTTACAAAACCGTTAAATCGTGAACCGCATTGTTATATAAATACTCAAGAGTAGGTAACCTGCCTACAACTTCTCAGCAGTGGTTGGTCTGCCAATGGTGGTGACATCATTGTAGATCAACGTGGTGACGAAGTTAGAGTACTTCTCACCCAAAGCCTCTGGCTTGAAGTAGTCCAAAGCTGGCTTGAACTTGTTGCCGGCTGGGGCAGACTTGGCCAACTTAGAGTACTCCTCATCCAAGAGCTTGGCAACGTATTCCTTGGTGATCTTCTGACCCTGGTCGTTGAGAGCACCGTGGGTAACCCATTGCCAAAGCTGGGTTCTGGAAACCTCGGCGGTAGCAGCGTCCTCCATCAAGTAGTTGATTGGGACACAACCGACGTTACGCAACCAAGCTTCAATGTAAGACAAACCAATGATGCAGTTAGTTCTGATACCTTGCTCGGTAATCTTAGCGTCTGGAACGTATGGGCTCAACAAGTCTCTGGCGGTGACAGGCTTGTATGGAACCTTTGGTGGGACGTTGATCTGGTTTGGACCCTTCATGTGCTCGTTGAAGACCTTCAACACGACAGGAACCAAAGCTGGGTGGGCAACCCAACAAGAGTCACAGCCAGCAGTGACCTCTCTCAACTTGTCCTTGGTAACGTTCTCCAAAGCAGCTCTGTTTCTGGCCTCGTCATCCTTGATAGGAATCTGAGCAGCCATACCACCCAAAGCGTGGACCTGTCTCTTGTGACAAGTGTGGACCAACAACTTAACGTAGGAGGCCATGAATGGAGAGGCCATGGTGACCTGAGATCTGTCTGGCAAGATGAACTCCTTGTGCTTTCTCAAAGACTTGATGAAAGAGAAGATGTAGTCCCATCTACCACAGTTCAAACCACCAATGTGCTGTCTCAATTGGTAAATGATCTCGTCCATCTGGAAAGCAGCTGGCAAGGTCTCAATCAAGACGGAACCTCTGATGGTACCTCTTGGAAGACCAATGTAGTCCTGGGAGTGGTTGAAAATGTCATTCCACAACTTAGCCTCCAAGTGGTGCTCCATCTTTGGCAAGTAGAAGTATGGACCGAAGCCACGCTCCAAGGTCTCTCTGGCGTTGTTGTAGAAGTAGAGAGCAAAGTCAAAGATACCACCAGAAACTGGCTCACCGTCAACCAAGACGTGCTTCTCATCCAAGTGCCAGCCTCTTGGTCTGACAATCAAGGTTGGAATGTGTCTCTTTGGGTCCAAGTTCAACTTGTAAGACTTACCGTTAGCCTCGTAAGTGACGTTTCTGCGGACACCGTCGTACAAGTTAACCTGACCGTCAACCAAGTTTCTCCAGGCTGGGGTCAAGGAGTCCTCAAAGTCAGCCATGTAAGTAGCAACGTTGGAGTTCAAAGCGTTGATAACCATCTTTCTGTCGGTTGGACCAGTGATTTCAACTCTTCTGTCCTGCAAGCCCTGGGCCAATGGAGGACCAGTCCAGGTTGGGTCCTCCCTGATGTGAGCAGTCTCAGGCAAGAAGTCTGGCAAGACACCATCGTCTCTCAACTGCTGCTGCTTCTCTCTGTTAGCCAACAAACGCTTTCTCTCACCGTTGAAAGCACGGTGCAAAGTAGCAACGAGACCCAAGGCCTCCTGGTTGAAAATGTGTTTAGCCTCCTGTGGAACAGGGGCCAAGATCTGAACGCCTTGCAATTTCAGAGATGTGGTTGGGAAAGGAGAAGACATAATTGAAACTCAATTAAAGAAAATTGCTGATGAATTCTTTTTGGGAATTTTTCTAAAGCCCCTTGAACGGTCGGCGGATGGGGTGCTCTTTATATATGCGCTCACAATGAAATATGGGTACCCCAGATTCCCGTTCCAGCGGATGTAACCCTGACTAGCAATCAGAGTCAGGGCTGCCCCAGCGCCTGTGACAAGACCCACCCACCTGCGTTAACTATGGTGGTGTCCGGGTTTCCGCACCACTTTCTCACCCGCCAGAGGTTCAGAGGTCCCGATAACCATGAACAATCTTATGTACCATCCCTTATATGGCGTGCCACTTTTGAATATCCGGGGCGCGCTCCCGGGCGAAGGGATATCTCTTGGCTATGTTCTGACGAATCCCGGCCATTTTTCCCGAGGAATATTCCTCGTGTGAAGCGGTTTCGGTTTCGGACTGCATCCTTGTAACAGTTTGGAAGAATCGGACGAGCCGGTTTATGGCTTCAGCATGATGGAAGTTATCTGGGAGAAGTGGTGGTACATGATAGTGGTTATGACGTAGGATTACTTGTTATCTATACAAACTCTCACTACGGGGAATTCGGCATTAAGGCACCAGCGTTTACTGCTTGGCCCACTTGATGCCCTCCTTGGCTGGCGTGATAACACCGTGCTGGGAAGGAACATAGTTCACTCTGTGGTAGGAGTTGATGTTCTTTCTCAAGACAAATTGGAAACAGGCAGCACCTCCCTGTCTGGCAGTGATGGTAGACGACGACAAGAAGTACTCCCAGATTCTGAACCACTTGATACCGTACTTGTTGATCACGTTGTCCTTGTTACCCATCCAGTTTCTGTACCATCTCCACAAAGTAGCAGAGTAAGACACACCAATGTTCTCAACAGACACAATCTCAAAGCCAGCGCTCTCCAAAGCACCAACAACGAAAGCAACAGGAGTAGAGGCATCGGCACCTGGGAAAATGTACTTGTTCATGAACAATCCCCAGACCAAGTCCTCGTATTGCCAGGACTTTCTCAAACCAGCGTACTGCAAGAAGAAAAGACCGTCATCTTCCAAAGAGTCGTAGACCTGAGCCAAGAAGGTACCAAATCTTCTGATACCAACGTGCTCGGCCATCTCAAGACAGGTGATCTTGTCGTACTTACCACTTGGCTTCTCGGACTTTGGAGCATCTCTGTAATCGCAGCACACAATTCTCGACTGATCAGATGGCACACCATAGTCAGACAAGAGCTGGTTACCCCACTTGGTCTGGTTTCTTCCCAAAGTGATACCGGTGATCTTAGAGCCAAATTGGGAGGAGCCGAAAGTGGCCCAAGTACCCCAACCGCAACCCAAGTCCAAGACGTGGTCGTCCTTGTCCAATTGAATCTTAGAAGCAACCACGTTCAACTTGTTGTCTTGCAATTCCTCCAAGGTTTCCTCGGAGGTGATGTCAGAGATGGTTCCCGAGGTGTAGATCATACGTGGACCCAAGAACCAGGTGTAGAAATCGTCACCTCTGTCGTAGTGGTCTCTGACCTGCTCCTCATCCTGAGACTGCGAGTGCATAATCACTTCTGGGATCATTCCCAACAAGAAGAAGCGGAAAAGAGACAAAGTGAAACGGAAGTTGGCCCAGTCGTGTCTGTATTCCATGATATCCAAAGCGTCACCCTTGAAGGAAACCTTACCCTCGAAGTACAACTCGTGGAAAGTCTCCATTGGGATCTTAGTACCCTTGCCACCGTTGGAGTCGATGTACTTGGCCTTCAATTCAGGAGTGTGGAACTCCAAGTAAGTAGAGATTGGCTTACCTGGGTACTTGACCTTCTCGTTAAGACGAGGGCTGAAGGTGGACATGAGGGTCCAGTAGGCCATCAAGATAGGAATTGCCAACAAGATGAAGAAGAAAATCCAAGTCTTGAAACCAAGACCCAATCTTCTCACAACAAGCCATGGAATACCAGCCAAAAGGGCAATCATGGCAGCGTTACTGAAGCTTCTGCTGCCTGGGCCGTCTGCTGGCAATGGGGCATTGTGAATAGCAGGGGAGCTCGTGGTACGAACACCGCTAGCGTCAGAAGCTGGAGGCTGAGGAGGAGCCTCTGGCGTCTTGATAAACTCAACACCAGCCAACATTCTTATTTTTGGTTTTTTTATGTCAATTGGTTAGAAAGAGTCGAGTATGAGTATGAAAGGCACACGCTTCGTATGTCGACTTGTTCACCGCGAGGGACGAAAAAAAAAAAAAAAAAAAAAAAAAATAGTCCACCTGGGCGGTGCGTGTTAGACGCCTGGTTAAGTCTCTGCCAACCGCCCGTCGGCTATATGGACTCCGCTATAATTAGGGCAAACGAAAAGCCTTTTATTTATTCATTACCAGAAGAAGTACGGCTTAACAGGTTTCGCTGGGCGTGTTCAGTTGGACCTATTGGTAATGGTCTAGGGTCCCTGGATCTGTATAATAGCTTTATGAGGCAGCGTTATAGAGGACTGATTGGTAGATACCTAGGGCACCGAGGCAGTGAGAGATTGAATAAGGTTTGAACACGATATGATTTTGCTGCTTTATGAAGAAAGCTTCGATAGAGTCTCGAAGGGATATAATTCAGATATACTCTAATTGTAGGTATATTGAATAGGGGAGGTCCGTGGAGGGAATTCACCATATGGCTGGAGAGGCTGTAGTTCGCGCATGCAAATGTCTTACTGGTAATGTAACGGTAATGGTAGTAAGAGTACTTTGAAGTTTATGCCAATGGATTATTAGGCATATGTGGATAACTTGTTACTGCCTCCCTGGTAATTGTGTGTCTGCCTAAGTTTGGGGTCTATTTCTCGTAGGTAGAGTATATGGTATATGCTACCCTTCAGAGCTTTGTAACGCACTCCTTTTGCAGCCATTCCAATCTGCCCAAGTGCACAGTTTCTGTCCTACCCTTTGAAACCATTCTGATTGCAAAAGGTTCTCTATAAATCTATGCTTTTCGATTTCCTCCCTATCTTGTTTCATCTTCTTCATTTGAAACCTTGTATGGCCCCATCCATATGCTTCAAACACTAATGTGGACCGCGCCTGAACACGATCTCTGCACAGGCCTTTCACATAATACATCTCGGTACCAAGAGGCCATCGATCCACAGTTAATCAACCATGGGCTCCACGAAAAACCTGGAGGTCGTCCTTCTAGACTCAGATTCTGACCTGGAACTACAGCACGTCTCAAAGAAACAGAAACATGACCCTCTGCCGTCTCACGCTGAACACCAGGATGTTGTGATTCCACCATTCCGCAAGCCTTTCCAAGATTCCGACTCGGAATCTCCAAATCCTGAATCTGCTCCTGCTCCTGCTGATAGCAGCCTTGTTCATAAAGAATCTTCATCGCCTGCTTCAGATTCATCCGAATATTCAGGTCTGAGCGTTGGTTCTCTGGATTTAGATGAGTTCAGCGTTGGAGATATGGCTCCATCAAATGGAGATGCCAAAAATGGCACTAACGGCTCATCTTCCCCTACTACTGACCAGATTGCTATGAAAAGAACTATCTACGAAACACGCAAGTTTTTGAAAAGCAAAGGTATCATGGCATTTCTCGAGGAATACCTCCCGCCAACAGCTCTGAGCGATGAAATATACAAATTAATCCTAAAATTGGGCTTCCATCCACGAAACTTGCCTCCTTTTGAAAAAGGTGAAAACCTCCTTCAGCTCATAAAACTACTTCATTTGGCGATGAAGCGTGTTCGTCAGTTGCGGTCACGCCTAGATAATTTCTATAGAGTCGAGGACGCCTTGGACAAGATCAAATCTGCTCAGAAGATTCTAGTTATCACTGGTGCTGGTATTTCTACAAGTTTAGGAATCCCTGACTTTAGATCATCCAAGGGTTTCTATTCAAGAATCTCCCACATGGGCTTAACTGATCCACAAGAAGTGTTTGACTTGGATATTTTCCATACCGATCCTTCAATTTTTTATTCCATTGCACACATGATCTTGCCCCCTGATAATATTTACGCCCCGTTGCACAAGTTCATAAGATTGTTGCAAGACAAAGGAAAGCTTTTGCGTAATTACACGCAGAATATTGATAACTTGGAAGCTAACGCAGGCATCCGTCATGATAAGATGATCCAATGTCATGGATCTTTTGCATTTGCAACCTGTGTCACTTGTGGCTACCAGGTTCCAGGCGAAACGCTTTATCCTACGATGCGTAATAAAGAAATTGCATACTGCCCTCATTGTGCCAAAGCTAGACAGAGACTAATGAACAAGGACGACTCATATGTTGAAGAGAGTTACGGTGTGATGAAACCCAATATCACATTTTTTGGTGAACCCCTTCCTCGAGCATTCCATGACAGCATAAATCAAGACCTCAGGGACTGTGACCTTATCATCAGCATAGGAACTTCTCTCAAAGTGGCCCCGGTGGCAGACATTGTTGATAAAGTACCAGCTGATGTTCCACAGATTCTCATCAACAGAGATCCTATTCACCACTGCAATTTCGACATCAGCTTCTTGGGCTATTGTGATGATGTTGCAGCTTATCTCTGTAACCGTTTGGGTGCCGAGTGGGCCCTTGACCATCCTCAATATGAGGAGCTATTGTGCCCTACGAGGGACAACTTACAACTCGAAACAACAAAGGAGCGTGGAGTCTACAACGTCAAGAACCTTCAGCGCGAGTCCCGTATGGCCCAGGAACCACCAACAGCCCCTGAAGAGCCAGACTTAGTCGTCCTAGAGCCCACTATATAATAATACTCATGTCTCCCGCCTTGTATGTTTGTTACTCACTATCTACAGATTTTGCACCCAAGTTCGCGCATCATCGCCTGAACCACCCATCTCTTCAAGAAGCGAGCATCGCATAGACCCCACCCCCGCATTACTATGTTACCCTTCCAGAGACTCGTTATACGGAGTCAGCATGTTGCTAAGCTTCGGCTATGTTCCTATAGATTGCAACCTGTGAAATACAATAGCAGCTGGAGTAAGAGGGAAACGAATGACTTTCAATCCACAGCTGAAAATCTGTCTGATAATCAAGATTTAGGGATCTACGATGATCTCATAAAGAAAGCTGAAGACAGTAGCCTTGACAGCTACGACAGTTATAAGGATATATTCAAAGACGTTACGATAGAGTCTGATGAGACGCCACCTGAGCTCGATGAGATCTTCAAGGGCTTGAACCTGGAAAGTGCTTCAGAGAAACAAACATTGTTAGAAGGCGATGATGCTTTAAGATATAGAGATATGGACCTTGACCGTACTGATGAGAATGCCATGGGGGCACGGAGTACCATAGATCCAGGGGTATTCAAGAAGGAACGAGCACTTTTCGACGATGTCTTTGACAAGTACCTACAGAAATTACCTAAAGATGGTGAGAAACGGTCGACCTCGCCTCACCTCTGGATGATCAAGGAAGCGATGAACAACAAGGCAACAGAAATAAACCAGCATGTCTCCAGGGCCATGAGACCTTCTCTGGGCAGTCGCTTGTCGCAAGACACGATAGACAAGATGTTCTTACAATTTGAGGGAGCATTATCCCCTACATTTGAGTATTTACTGACGTTTGACCTGAGAGGGGAATATCTAGAATTCCTTGGACAGCTTTTCACCCGCTTCAATGAAGCCGGCAACCAACTGCAAGGTTTCTTCTTGACCATGGGAAAGGGGGAGACCATGCTCAACTTCACGAAAAGATATACCGAATTGAGTGAACAAGTCAAGCGTCATAGTGAGGAAACACCGGCCGTGCCGCTACTCAATGCATACACTTTACCCTTATTGTTCAACCATATCATAAGACAGTTCAGCACAAGGTTTTACGACGGTCAACTTGCCCTAACTGCATTCAACTTACTCAAAACGGATCTTGGGCTTTACTCAGTTGTCTGCAACCAAGACACATATAATGAGGTTCTCAAACTACACTGGGTCTATTATGGCAAGCAGAGCTTATACGAGATTGAGTTAACGTTTGCGGAAATGAGAAACAATGGTTTCTTGGGTAATCTTACTACTTTCAGAATTCTTCGAGAAATTATTGGCAGGTATCATGCTATGAAGGTGGGTAAGAACGATTCCATGGTGTTCTGGCTGAGAGAGGATGACAAGAAAGTCAAAAACTTGAGAAATAACCTCAGAACCCTAGCTAAACAACTAAAGAGGTAAGAAGCATTTGCATATAGATTTTAAGACAATTATTTGTCTGCTTCCGTAACAGGTTCCGGGTCTGGGGTAACTATCTCCGGAGGTACGGGTGTAAACATGTAAGGCAAGTGTGTACCAGGACTAATACGCACCAGTTACTTCTTACTAAATATACATCAACATACTTCCAACACAACATGGCTGACTTAGGTGGATACCAAGACAACTACTCTGGGAACCGAGACCAGAACCCCAATACCAACGCTGGCTCAATGTCACCAGGTTCGTCACAGTATAAAGTACCAAACATCAATATCCACAAAGAGGCTGGCTCTCCAGTAAATGCCAGTGAGTTGCTTAGCAGGTCCTCTGATATCAAAAAACAGTTATCACAGTCCTTCCAGGGTGGTGCATCTAGTGGTGGTGTTCAGAAGCCACTGTCAAGAAGAAATTCGGCTATCCATATCAAGAATGAGGACGAAGACGAGGAGGACCAGGGAAACGAGAGGAAACGTCGTGACAACATCAATGAAAAGATACAAGAATTGCTAGCACTTGTACCACCAGTTTACTTCCTGGATATGGCTACAAGAGAGGAGGAGGATGGTGCTGCCAAGAGCACTGGCACCAAAGACGGTAAGCCCAACAAGGGCCAGATTTTGACAAAGTCTGTGGAGTATATTCAATACCTACAGAATTTGATTGACGATAATAATCGCAAGGAAGTTGAATTGCAACTCAAACTCAAGACACTCAGGATGCAGCAACAGGGAAGAAACAACGTTCCAATTTCAGCAGATCCTACAAGTGCTGAAAAAGCTTTAGGAGAAATTGGTGTGGGTCCACATTCTAGAAAGTACTTTGAAGAAGTCCTACTCCAGTCTTCTGGCAATAAAGGAAGTTAATTTATTCATGCTGTTCGGCATTCGGCAAATCTATTTGATGTACATGGACGTACATAAAGGTATCTATGTTTTCTTGTGGCGGCCCAAACGTTCCCTTTCATCGGCATATTCCTCGAGCATATAAGCAGGCAAAAAATCTGGCCCGATTTTAAGGAATTCGTTTGGTGAAGTTGTATCAACCCCTCCAATGGAAGTATAACCCTTATCATAAAGCAGACAATACTCCAAGTCGCATCCGATAATAAAGTCCCAAACATCAACGTAATGCCAGTGCAATATAGGATGGATGCGGAGGAAGCTGGGCCAATCATGATCAGTAACCTGCTCGTACTCCAACTGGGAGCCATATGGGTCAGCATACCTGATACCAACAACGATGGTTTTTATCTTTGGCTTCTCGCTCAAATAAAGCTTAAAGCCTTCTTTTAAGGATGATTTGATGGTGAAGGGTTTAGACTGTAGTACTCTGTCGAGTCGTCTATAAATTTCAGAACCTGGGGAAATGGCTCCTCGGAATTAATGTATACGGAATCAAGTCTATAATTTTTAGGTAGTAAGTTGAGTGTTGGGTTAGTGTTACTCTCGGACAGGAAACGCTTGTGGATAGCTGCTAAAAGCAATATGAGCATGACCAAGCAGTCTTTACCTCCATTGTATGATATGGCGATCTCTTCGATACTAAATGTTAGTATGTAATCGGGACGAAATATTTAAACAAGAAACATACTTGTGTTGTTCGATAGATGCTTCGAGAACCTCTAAGGACTTCTTGACTTTCTCTTTCACAACCTGACGGCGCTGGGGTCGGTAGGTGTAACCTTTCGCTCGTGGGGAGATCACTCCATGGGGCAAAGTGTCGTTGAGAAAATCATGGACTAAGTTATATGCTTCTTCGCATCTAACCAAAAAGCTGCATTGCTCTCTGTAATCCTTTTGAGTCATGAGAGGTCAAAGCGAGGGTGGTCTTTAGCTGCTGAAAAGTGGTGCCGATCCTGGGGTCCGTACTCTGAGGTCACAGGTGCAGGAATCACCCTGGCTAGGGCCCACACGAGGCCTTTCAAGACGCCTGAAGAAGTAATATTCATTAAAATGATTGAAAAATCACTTGATAAACTTTTCCGTTGACAGGGTTAACAGCAGTATATTTTGCAGTTTTCGTGGGTTGTCTCGTTCTCTTATCTTTGAGACTTCTTACCACTCTCAGACTTGAAGAGAAACTGTAGAAAGAACTCTTTCGAATCTTCGTCCCAGAACCACCAGTATGTCTTCGACATTTGTTCTGTTCCTGTTGGCTTTTCGATTTGTTGCAGTGCCGGAAGAGTTATGGCGATGTTGTCATAAGGTTCCGCTGAGATCACAAGATACTGCCACTTCGACGGCTCCGTGTCTTCGTCGTCCTCGTAATCCGTCTTATTCTTCTTCAAATAAGATCTTGATATGTTTTGGTTCTTCTCGGAAAGCTCATAGCTTGACATTAGTCTGAAGAACGGTTCTTTGACTGTTATGCGTGGTAATTGCACCTGAACTAGAATACCCATCTGTAGAGAATCCTGGTCTCTAATCTTCGTCGTTTTGAAGACAGGTTGTCCTATGCTATGCCATGATCTCTTCTTGATATTATTGATGGATGGTACGTTGGGGTCTTCCTTGTTCTGGCGGTTTTGTTTCTCATCGAGGATCCTTCGTTTCTCGAGGTTGAGGGAATGTTTTCGGCCACTGAGATGGGATATATATGACGCTTCATTTGTGTGGGTCGTAAGGCAAAGGCGACATTCTAGTACTCCAAGATGGTTCCGAAACACATATGGGTCGTTATCTAGATCGAGTACTTGGGAGGTCAAGAGCTCTTTGATACGTCTCTTGGTTTGTACATTTGCTTCTGATGCGTCTGCGACACCTCCAGCACCTTTCTTGGAATTCACACGCTCTGAGTAGTCCATGTCTGGTTGTGGTTGAACTGCGAGATGAGGCTGTTGTAGATGTGATGAACCTGCGCACTGCAGTAAGATAGATAGATAGCATGACGTAAGTAGTATATATCAAGACAAGACAAAACAATTACCATGAAAATGGAGGAGTTTGGGAGATATCTATTAAATTTATTTGAAAAAGATCCACCGATATAGTATCAGTTATTTTTGTCATGAGTGGTACCCTTGCAGCATGGAAGGCAATGGCCAGTTGCATAACTTCTTAGCTATCTGGAAGGTCATCTGAATTGCTTTGAACTTATTGATAATCACCATAACTCTCTTGGCTGGTATCTTTCTTTTTTCACTTTTTGTAGATTATTCTTTTACGTTACTCTGAGTGCTGGTTCAGTAAATTACCTACAGTTTCAACTTTTTCGCAGCCACAACCCATTACTTGCAAATACTATAAAACCAGTTTAAAAAATCAATTCTCTCAGAAAACACGCCCAAAGTTACCATATAACAATATAAATCAACTAGTAAGTTCTGAACCCTTCAAATCTCCCATTTACGCATTAAATGTTTTCCAGCCACATGAGACTCTTCATCGTGGTCCATCCGCGTCTCAGTTGCACTGCGTCCCACAGTGAGATACCGAGAGCCACAGTAGATCACATAAAACACCGGATATTTTAAAAACCTCATTAACAAGTAAGAAACATCATTGCCTTAGTTCTCTTCTATTTTCTATATTTTCTAAAGTATCTGGTTGGTTCCTGATGCAGCCTGCCCTAATTGGCCTCAAACGCTTCTGTGTCTTGAGGCACGGGTGTAACACGTCTACCCATGCCGTGCAAATTGTCCCAAATTGGAAAGCTCAAAGCACCTAATCTCAACTTGTTTAAGGTAATTGGTTTCAGTTCAACACCAAATCATCATCATGGAATCACCACAGCACGTCGGTGATAACACTGCTAACTCCATAAGCAATCAGTTGAGCGGTACTCATTTACAGAAGCCAAAACTTCCATCACCCTCCGTGTCGGCCTCATGGACATCCAAAGTGTATTCCTCGGTGTATTCGGGACAAAAATTCATAGAAATTGTCTTGAGATTCAACAAAGTTTCCTCTGATGACGACTCCATCCATATTTTACGTCGTGTTCGAGACTCTTACATCAATGTTTCCCAGTTACTCAGCGTGTTGGTTAACTTGGGCCAATTCAGCGAGGACCAGGTCGACAGCTTTCTCGAAAACGACATCTTCACCAACCCCCAGTACTTTCAAGGCGGAAATGATGAAGATAGAGTTTTATACAATGACCTCAGGTCCCATGAAGTGTCTCAGGTACGCGGGATCTGGATTCCATACGATAAAGCTGTGCTGGTTGCTCTCAACAACGGCATTTACGACATAGTCAAAAAGCTTCTTCTCGTGGATGTTCATGATTATGAAAAGCTACCCAAGAAAGCTGAATCTCCTGGCGCTGTTAAACGCGATGCCGACGAGGAAATGACCGACGCTTTGGATGGCTCTCCAACGAAAAGACGGAAGACTCAACCCACCCAGCACTCTTTGGTGGAAGCAGCCGCCGAATCGAACACCAACCATCCATACTGTCTACCTCCCTCGACATTTAAAGAGAAAGACGTTGACCTTGTGCTGGAAGTCAAGCTCAAGTTCAGTGAAATCTTCAAGAACGATGGGGAGGTTTCAGCAGAGCTCTCTTCAAGTGATATTAAAACAATGTTCCAAAGCGTATTCGAGAAGTGCTCTGCTCGGTCACAGCTGCCCATGTCAATTTTAGATGTTCCATTGGATTCTCAAGGCAAGACAGCCTTGCACTATGCTGCTACGCTAGCGTCCAATTTGGTGGAGATTTTCATAGAACTCGGGATAAGCTCTCCTATTCGTGGTGATAATAATGGTGAATCGCCATTGATTTCCGCTATTCTGGTGACCAATGCTATGGAGAAAGGAAACTTCGTGAGCATGCTCGACAACTGGTTATGGCCAGATTTGTGGTTGTTTGATAACAAACGCAACTCATTCCTTCATCATATTATCGTCCTGGCGACGAAGAATCACAGCGCTTCAAAGTATTACCTCATCAAGATAATAACGTGGATGATACAAAATGCAAACAAGGAGAAGAATCTTCATAATCTCTGCACGAAGATTATTAACGCTCAAGACTCAGAGTCTGGTAATACTGCGCTTCATTTGGCAGGTGAACATGAGCTCAGATGGTTTATTTTTGTTCTCCTCGAATTGAGAGCTGATAGTCAACAAGCAAATAATGTTGGTGTTAAACCGGCCGACTTTGAAGCTGTCAAAGAAGTCATTCAATTGAGGGAGAGCTACTTAGCTCACAGAGATTCAGTAGGTGCTACCAAGACATTGCTTGAAAACCTCGATGTCAGTTCAGAAGAAGACGAGTACTTCTTACAATTAGTTCATACTGGAGTGGAATTTTGGGAAAAGACTAACGAATATCCTGATGCCGGTAACATGGAGCATGAACAAGGCAACATATTATCAGGACAAAAGAACGGTACTTCCGAACACGAAAGGTCACCCAAGACCTTATCGCATTCCGAACGCATCTTCAAATCCATCCAGGATTTAATGTCTGACACGAACGAAGAGTACCTGAAGATCATAAACTCAAAGAAGAAGGAGATCAACAATCTCAACAAGGAGCTCCGCGGAGCAACGATAATAACAGCGAATAACAGGTTTGTTGCTAAAAAGGTTTTGGAGAAAGTGTCTCTTGTGGACACGATGAAGTTGCAGATGGCCAATATCGCCGAGAAATTGCAAGTTCTTAAGAAGAAACTTCCTGATGGTGAAAAAGACGAGGAGGTATTCACCAACGACCTTGCGAACTCCGAACTAGTCAAGTTTGACGCCGATGAACCATTCATCATTAGACCGATTTACGACAAATTAGCCAACAACGAGGACGTCGAGTCCACCGATGACATAATAGAGAACCTACCGCCTGCAGAGGTGTTACAGGCACGTCTCCTGGCCTACAAGGAGGTCAATGGAGATCTTGAGAAAGAGCTAGAGAACTTGCTCAACTACAGCACGCTAACAGCAAAGTTCAAGAAAGTTGTGAGTTATTGTACTGGCGTGGACATTAACGAAGTTGACGAACTCCTTGACGGCTTGCTTGAAGCCGTCGAGGGACAACAGTGAAACCGTAAAAAGACTGTATTATGAAATATATCTAATGCACATAAAAAAGAGTACTTGATCCCCGCGTATATGGACCCATACAACTATCTCATCATTTTTCATCCTATTTTTTTTAAACCAAGCCTTCATAAGCGTTGAGCGAATTCAACAACGATGGGTCATTCTTAACAAGGCGCTTAAAGTCATTGAAATCCAAGTAGTCGACGTTGGGATCCTTGTCTGACATGGTAAAGAGCTTCTCGGCCCGCAACTCCGGGGTCTTTTCGTCTTCCGGCAACGTAACCATTGGACCCACCATTTTATAAATGGCTGAAGTAATTGCAAGAACTTCCTTATAGTATACTTTTCCATCCCTGTTAAGGTCGTAGAGCTTGAAACTGAACTCGAGTTTTTGGTTCACGTCACCACGAGACGTGAGGGACAATGCCACGATGAATTCCTTAAAATCAATGAATTTTGAGTTATCCGTGTCAAATAGACGGAACAAGTAATGACAGTAATCGGTTGGGTCGCCAAAGGGGAAGAACTGCTTAAACACTTTAGCAAACTCCTCCTCTGAGAGTTGGCCACTAGGGCAATCGCGTAGAAAGCCTTTATACCATTGTTGCAACTCACGCTTGTCAAAAAGCGTCCGTTCTCGGAGCAGTTTGAGGTCGTCTTTTGATAGTTTGGAGACCGCTTTACCCATGGCTCAGAGTAGAGAGTGGTCCTTGCTTGGATATTGAGTAAGAGTAAACGGTGCTATGGTGGTGCAGACAGCAGGGCACATTTCGCACACCCACTCTACACATGGAGCGCTCGCCTACTCCACATCGCCTTTCCTTATCTTCTTTACCGGCCACCAAAGAGATGTTCAGAAGATCCCTTCGTCAGTTTTCAGGTACTACAAAGACTCTCCTCGAGTATAAGAGGAAGGAGAACCCTTCATATAACGAGTTAGCTGCTCGTATCGATCCTATCGTGCGCACTGGCGAGTCACTCGAAGTCAAGAGAGCCCGTTTGGTCTACCAATCTAGAAAGAGAGGTATTTTGGAGAGTGACTTGTTGTTGTCGAGATTTGCCAAAAAGCACTTGCACAAGTTCAACTATGAGGAGCTTGACGAGTACGACAAGTTGTTGGACGAACCTGATTGGGATATCTACTACTGGGCCACTAAGAACTATGACGTGACTCCTTTACCAGATAAGTGGAAGGACCTGAAGATTCTCGGCATGTTGCAAGCCGATGCTGAAAACCCCGAGAAGGAGATCATGAGGATGCCAGACTTACATTAGGCTATCAAGAGTAGCGCAGTACATGTATATACCAAAGAAAACTAAATGCTACAGAATTATTTATTTTTCAAAAGTTGAAATAAACACCACCACTTCTTCTACCGTATTTTTGTTTCCTATACCTCTCATTCATCTATGGTACATTTCCATCGACTGGCGCTTGCGGTCTTTACTGCATGAGTACTAGTTACCGCTCCCACATTAACAGAACTACACCACCATGTCTATTAAACCAGACTCTGTACCAGCCTCAATTAAAAAGGATATCAATGTTACTCCATTCATAGCAAGAGCTCTGGAGCTACAAGCTGTTCATCCTGTTGTTAGCTACTACTGTAAGGTCTACGTGCTTGAGCATATCCTTTCCAATAAGCTCCACACTACCGATAAGGAGGTTGAAACATTTACCATCTCGTTACTTGAAGATACAGAGAAGATCAAAACTTCCACTGAAGATGAAGACCTTCACAAGATCCTCACCAACAGGCAATTGTCCTTAAATGTCCTGTTTGCCTTCGTGTTCAAGTTGTTCCTCAGCTCACTCGAGGATATCTCAAATTACGACGGCACCAACAAGATCCAACTTGCAAGCAAGTTGAGAGCTTCAATCAATTTCATGACATCACTTAAGGTTTTTACTGGCGACGGCGATGACGGCCTTGATTTTGGCGAAACTACTGGGAGCAAGTGTACAAGTAAGGAAGAGTTCACAACGTTTATCAAAGAGAAGACTAAAGTCTTGAAGTTTCAGCTAAGTAAGTTGATCAAAGATGAAATACCCTTGAAGGGCGAGGATGAAGACGAGGAGCTTGCAAAGTTGCAAGATGAAGAGTTAGAGAAAGCGGGAGAATCTCTCCCTCACGAGAGCCCCTCTGCCTCCGATAAACCACTGACTGAGCCACATGATCATGAAGCAGAGACTCCTGATTTCCCATCAGCTCAACCTCCGGCTTTGCCTAGTCCCCCACGCAACGATGAACCTGATAACCCTCTTAATCTTCCCGGTGCCCCAAAGTATGATCCGGAAAGCGAACCAAATGCCGATGATGAAGAAGTGAAATTGCCTGGTGCTCCAAAATTCTTGCCTGATGATGACTTATCCCACATTAACAAGGATTCTTCAATCAAGGTCTTCCCTCCAGGTGGTAAAGAAGAGAAGGAAGAAGAAAAAACACCAGCAAAACCTTCCGCTTCACGTTCTGGTTCCGCTAATCCAATCTCGCACCATAAACCTATTACTAAAGAGAATCTCAAATCAATCTTGGATACTGGCGAACAGATCACTCAAGTTCAGAAGCATGCGAAGTTTGCTATCTCGGCTCTTAATTATGAAGATATCGAGACCGCCGAGAAAGAGTTGTTGAAAGGCCTTGAAGTCTTACGCTTAGTGAAGGAAAACTCCTAATTGTTGATTTATTATAGACGGGCGACTCTTCGCTTTTGTATTTTTGTATCGCTCAAGTTTTCCCATCCACGATTTTTTGCAACCATTTCTCATTCACAGAATTGTAGCCATTTTACTTCATCAAGCATGTGGCCGAATTATCTTAATAATCCTAGCACTGGAAATCATAGAAGCCACTCTCTGTCCTTACTTCATCAAGCGGATGAATTTGTGGAGATCGATCTAGTTGATTCGACTGCCACGGGATCTAGAAAGCCAGGACGCACTGAATCTATATGGTCGGCCTGGTACAAGAGAGGCCAATCACTCGGGGCTCTCATAAGCCCAACGAGGCAAAATGATACATCCGATACGTTGAATCTGAATTTGGATAGTGATACTGACTACTCCAGAAGCCCTTACTTCATTCCATCGAAGGTTGAGAGTGTGAGCCCAATGGAAGAAACAAGGAGCAAAAAAGAGTCCCTCAATGATCCAAGCAAGTCCAAACTGTCATCACTCATATGGGCCCATTCAGGGGGTTACCAGATTAACTGGTCGCCCTCGATCACACCGCCTGTTCCAGCTGTTTTCCCACAAACTAGCAAATTGCAAACAGACGAAAGCTCAGCTAGTGGCTCTTGCTTTACACCCAATGATACCGCTCTGCCCGGGTTGGAAACGCCATGGCACATCAATGGTTCATCAACCAGCTATGGAAAAGTAATGGTCCCACCAAAGGTTCATCTCAGAGAGCACGCTACTTCAGTCGGAGATGACGAGAATAAGACAAGTAGGGTTATCGATGGACAGCTTGCCACCAGTTATCTTAAGCATTTGTTTCTCGAGAAGAAGCTACTCCAAGACAAAAAGCATAGACCATTTGTTGACAAAGCTAACGGAGGCTTCCCACTTTCAATGTTGATCGAGTTGCCTACATTGAGATCACTTTTTAAAGAGAACACCGAAGCTCTTGAAGCCTTTATCGGCACCTTTTGTCACGAGTTCTTGGAAGTTGTCTATGAAGAGCAGTCGTGCGTCAGACTGAAAGACTGGCCGGATTGGGTGATGGAGATAAATTGAAACAACTGAGTAGGCTTAATTATCATTCGGAACCATATCTATCTAGTAGACTGCGTTTGCGCTTCTCTCCCGCCTCTTTCTTCTTTTTATCTTCCTCCTTCTTTTTCATCATCATTAGTGTCGGGCTCGCTTCGACACTGAACCCTAGCTCGACTGGTACTGTAGTATCCACGGCCTCTGCACTGGGATTACTTAGATCTGCAAGTTGTTTTTGGTAGAGTTCTCTCAGTTTCTGCAGTTCATACTGCTTGTTTTGTTCCCAGGCGAATTGTTGCATCTGATTTAAGTCTCGTTCATCCTTACTTATCTGTCTCACAAAGTCCGAATCATCGTTTGCAATTCCACGGGTAGAGTCTTTCCCAATTCTGATCTTTCCACCCTCGTTGGCATTAATCGCCAATATATAAGCTGGAGTGTACTTGCGTTCCCTGATAGATCGTTCCACTGGGTCTTCAACGAAGCCTTTAGTGAATTCTTTCCTATCAATACCAAGCTCTTGTAATTCTAGCTCATAGTCAGTATCGTCACTATCATCTGGGGCATTTGTCTGGGGTTTCTTGGACTTCTTGATGGAGTCCCATTTGGAGAAGATCTCATCCCACTCGGCCGCATCGTAACCGTGCCAGCGGTCCCTCTTAGCAGCAAAATCACCTTCATCCTCCTTGAGCTTAACGCCATCTACCACTTTGAAAGTATCATTGATACCTGTGCCAGCCAGAGGACCTCCCTGCTCTATGGATGAGTCTGTGGGGTCCCTTCGTTGATGCCTGAACGCATCGTTGCTAGTGTCCTGCAATTCACGATAATACCATGGAACATTCAGAATAAACTTGGGAATGTACAGGTTATCGTTTCCAGTCATTGGTTGTGTTGATAGGTATGAGAAGGTAACATCTAGAGACTGGCGATGATACTGCGCACTCGCCATATAACTACTAGGAGGTAGCTATCTACAGAAGTCAATGCACAATGTTTGTTTTCTATAATACAGATGCTATAAGCTTTACAGGCCACTCAAAATCCGGTCCACTCTTCGTCGTCGGAGTCATTAGACGTCTCCTTCTCTACTACGCTCCATTCTTGCAACCTCTCATCAGCGAGAAGCTCTTTACACTTCTCTCTTAAAGGCTTGAATTTAGCCTCTTTGGCGGTACTCTCGAAAGGAACCAACATTTTCTTGATTGGAGTTTTAGCAAGAATAGCCTTCTTCTTCTCAGCCACGTCATCATCGGCTGCTTCTTTGGAGTCCTTCTTGTCCTCAGCCTCCTCTTCTTTCTCTTCCTCATCTTCCTCATCATCTTCCTCATCATCTTCCTCGGCTTCTTCATTATAGTCTCTGAAGTCTTTAAATATAACATACTCAATCTCATCGAGGAAGAGATCGACGATATGGTAAGAAAGAGCCTTTGGCATTTTAGGATCATCGCTCAAAGGAAGAGCGTGCAAGACAGATAAGAAGTTATCTAGTTGCTCTTCTTGCCATTCAGATGCCTCTAAACGGAAAAGCTGGTGTCTAATCACTCTTCTAATCAACATCAAGTACTTATCGATTCTCCACTTATCGATAGTTGGCCATTCCTTAGAAATGACTAGCCAAAATGCCTCATGAAAGTCCTTTAAATTCTCTTCTGGAATCACCTCGCTGTAAAGTTTTCCAATGTTACCAGCTAATCCCTGCTGGGGAATTGGCTTGTCACAGTACCACATGGAGAAGTAGAGACCTTTCCAGAGCTTCTCGAACTCAACTAGGTCAAGGCCCTTTGACTCCTTATGTTTGAGAAAATTTTTGAGAGCCTGAAAAGCTGCCAGTCTGACAGCAGCATCATTATGAGCCAACTTTCTTACGAAAGTGTTGGTGTTGCTCAGCATTGGTTGTATGTGCTTGTTGAAGAGATAGAGGGCATCTCCATCGCATCTTGGTGGAAAAGTGCGTTACAGCCAAACGCTACACGTGACTACACATACTATTCTTGTGCTTACATCAACGAGCTAAAGAGGGACTTAGAAGCAGCTGAAATAGTCCATAAGATCATTAAAACTTAAATGATTCCATAACCTGCCCACTTCCTCTCTTCTTCACTCAGTTCCGTATGTTATATCCGAAATTTATTGTTACAAAATCAGAAAACGCCGAGACGTCTCATGTGCTAAAGAAGTAAACATTGATATTCATCAAGCACATCAGAAGCTGGATTAGACAATCAAGTATCTGATAGGAATGTGCAATAACTTGACGGCGTATCCAACGACGCCCATCATGACGAAACCAACACCAACAGCTCTGACGATCTTAAGGTATTCTGCAAAGTTAGTAATCGAGTTGATTATGAAATAGGCTCTTGATTTGACTAGGCAAAGGGTCATCATGATTGTGCCACTTATCGTTGTTGGCCAGTCATCTATATCAGTCAACCTGTACTAAAGACAGATTGTTGAAATTTCACATACCCTTCTGGGTTGGCTTTTGGCACTTTCTGACGAAAGCAGAACCATCCTTGAAAAATTCAACAGGGACTTCCGCAAGCTTTTCGATTCCTTCAGCCATTATGTATGATACGTAGTATACCTAGGTTGGGGGATTTGAGTAAAAGACGCTCAGTGTTCTTTGGTGACGCGGGCGAGTTGGACGGCGCACTACCAAGTACGATAAATAATTCAGTCTGGGACGTCGCACTTAGTCCGTCTACAAGTTGCAAATGTTACCAGCGCTCAATGTCTGAGCAATGCAATGACTTCTATTTAAATTGGCAATTTTTTTAAATGAGGCCCAAAAAGTTTTCGTCATCTCCGTCTTCGTCATTCTGTTCTGTAGCATTGAGTTCCAAGTACCGGCTTTTTTGGTTCAGTACGTATTTCTTTAATGACGTCTCCATCTCTGCGTCTAGCGCCCATTTCCGGATCACAACCTCAATCACTTCAAGTTCGCCAGCGGTAGCCTTCAATTCAATGAGGGCTACGAGAGCATCCTCATAGTGTGTTCGAAGTCTTTCTGGGGCTTTCTTCCACACAGTGTTGAAACTACCAGCAGGTAAGTCCTTTTCATGAAGACATTGGGCAACAAGTTTGAGGTATTCGTAAAGTTTCGTTTCTTCTTTGCTGGCTTTGATAACAGAAAGGTATGCCACAAATGCTCTCATTGAATAGTTTGCTCCGGCTTCACGGTAGCACTTCCACAATTCTTCAATGAGTCTGGATCTTTGGTTCTTCAAGTCGGTCATAAAAGTCAAGAAGCCTTCGTAGTCGAAATCCGGCGACTTTTTGGCGAGTTCTAATACGAATTTGCCTTGTTCGTCTTTTTCAACTCTTGCATCGGTCTTGCAAATGAAGTATTCAAGAGACTTGTTTTCAGAAACACGAGTGGTGAATTCGGCCCAGTCAAAAAGTTGACCCCAAAATTCATCTGACTCTTTGCTCAAGTCAATGCCATAGTTTTCCTGGAAAGCGTTCATGTAAAGCATACTCTTCACAACTTGACCGTTGTAAACTAACGAGACGACGATACTCCGCAAGGTATCGATATCTGGGTAACATGGATCGTCAATGTCGAGCTTCTTGTGCAGCTGAATAATCTGTCCTTTCTCATCGATTCCCCATACTTCTTCAATGAATTTGTAAATCTGAGCAGTATCCTTGGAGCTTGCAATAGAGCCAATGATAGAGCCCAAGAGGGTTTTGTCGAAATTCAACATGCTGTTACCCAGCATGAGATGCTGTTTTTTAGCGTATTCGCTAAAGGTCCTGTGCCATTCCACTTCAGATGTATGGTATGGTTTGACAGGCTTCCTGAAGGCGGTATTAGTTTCCTTACTGGTAGCAGACCAATTTTTTGGAAGTCCATTACCGTAGACAAGAAACCTAAGTATCCACAAGTTATAGGTCATCTTCAGATAGACTTCGTCGTCGGGGTATCTTTGTTCAAGTCTTTCAAACCATTTGGAAGCTAAGTCCAATTTATTGTTGTTCAATTCAAGCAGAATTAAGTTTTCGTAATCTTTCATGGTCAAGTCGTAATCAGTTTCTCCTAAAGAACGTCTCTTTTCTCTCAGATAAATGTAATCTTCTTCAGAATCGGGGAACAATAAGCGAGAATAAATCTTTCTTACGCTATAAAGCACCTCCTTTGCTAGGTCCTGCTGTTCAGTGGGGGAGTACCGTTTCTCATAGGCCAGGTACTCATACTGGCCATGCAAGAGAATTCCCTGCCACTTAACAATGGCCTCTAGGATATATGGCACGAGCTTAAGAAAGTCGTCATTAGTAACGCGCTTAGCACCCTTGTCTTGTAACCACGTAAGCAAAAGCTTTAGTAGTACACTTCTCGAACCGAGATTTATGAGTCGCGTAACCTCCAGTTGAAGCATGAGAGAACGCAGTTTGGTTGGTCTATGGGCTGGCACAAAAGACGACTTGGATGAAAGCAGGTCAACATATCTGCTGGATGGTGTCTTTTGCAAAATGTCGGCTATACTTGGAATATGCTTGTGGGAGACGTTTTCCTGGTGTGACTGATCTGGGGAAGCCAGAGCGGCCTTAGCGACTCCATTCATGGAAAAAGACCGACTCGTAACATTATGGAGGTGTTCTAGGTTTCGAACACCACGCAAATGGCCACGAATCATGGGTTTGATGTTTTCTTCTTGGTTTGCAAAGTGCGATATATGAACGCTTGTTCTAGCGTGGTCCAACGGTTTTTTTTTTTCAGCATTCGCAGTACTAACTACAACTACATCAAACGACACGTGACCGAGTCGACGGCTTTGGTACCAGGATAAGTTTCTATTGAAGATCATAAATAGGAAGCCAATGTCATTTAAAGCTTTGGAGGCATACCGGCGGTGATACCACCGACAAGGTTGATGGAATTGTACTCGGCAATGTTGGCCAAGCCTTGCTCGTGAGTACCACCATTGACCATGTACTGGATAGAGTCCTTTGTACCCTTGATGGCCCACTGTGCGTTACCGTTGATCAGCAGGCCCAATTCAAGACAACGCTCAACACCAGTCTTCAAGTCAGGAACAACTTCAGAGACGAAGCCCAAGTCCAAGGCATCCTTGGCACCAAAGACATCACCAGTCAAGGCCAACTGATACATCTTAGACTTGTTGTTGACAAGGTTGGTCATTCTCTGCAAAGAACCCATGTCAGCGACAATACCGATCTTGATTTCTCTAATGGACATCTTGACACCCTCAACTGCCAATCTGATGGTACAGGCGGAGGCAATATCCAAAGCCAAACCGTAGGAGACACCGTTCAAAAGAGCAATGGTAGGAGTGCTCATTCTAGCTGGCTTGGTGATAGCATCCTGGAAGTCAATAATGTGCTTGTACATGAACTTCTTCTTGTTCTCGAAGCTCCAGTCCTCCTTTCCATTCATCAAGGACATGGCAGCCTTCAAGTTCAAACCACTGGAGAAAGCCTTCTCAACCTTTGAAGAAATCAAAATGATGTTGGTGCTTGGATCGGAGTCCAACCAGTCGAGAATGGCATGGTAGGCTCTCCAGTCTTCTTCAGTGAAGGCATTGAGTGTCTTGGGGTTGTTGTACTGGACGTGAATGAAACCAGGTTCAACCTCGCTGACCACCCACTTGGTGTATTCTTCGAAAATGCTGCTGTCGAAAGCCATCTTTGGTTAGGAAAAAGAAGATAAGGAGGATGAAGTGTTGATATATATCAGTTGTATCTCCGTGCTACCCCACAGCATTTTGGCCCGAGGGAGTTTTTCCGCACATGAATTTATGCGCACTTGTGTAACCTTCCAATTAAACGACATAACGTCCCGAGGGAGTTGAAGAATCGTCTTTTGAGGCCGATTCCAAGCCTTCGATGATTTTTTGACGAAGCAATTTGTTGGCATCTCTTACTGCGTTCTCTGTTAATCCTTCAACAAGCAAGTATAGCTTGGGCGGCGCGGGAACTTCTTTTCCACCGGCCTTGATTGTAGTGGGCACCTTGCTTCCAGGAGGATAAAACTGACCCTTGTTCGTGATGGATGTAGAAGTATGCTCTGTCACTTCAGATAAATTATCGGCATTGACAACATGCCATCTGGCAGATTGTGGAAGGTCGTTGATAACAACTCTAGAATGGAACTTGCACCTATCAGGACCAGTAGACTCGCTCGCTCTTCCCTCAACGACATCAAACTCAGGCAAGTCAACCCCATTGACGGACTTTGCGTTATCCAGTAATGCTGGTCTTTCAGTGGCAACGGAAATAGGACTATCGCGGGACTTATCTTGATCTGCATTGTCCATGGCATAGATACTTCTTTCCATCTTCATATTGGTGTCTCGTTTCTCATCAAGCTTGCTAAGTCCTTTGCCGCCAAAACCAAAGTGGAATTTTTCTTTCCCATCCTTGACTTTCAGGAGGAATTTATCTGAAATTTCGATGAGTCTTGCGTCGATCTCTTCTTCAGGATACTTGCTTAGCCTCAATGCTTTCACCAAATCAGCTATGGGACGTTCTTGAGACGATGTTACAAAGGTGTAAGCGTCTCCTTCTTGACCTGCTCTCCCTGTTCTACCAACACGGTGTACGTAATCTTCCATATGACTGGGAGGGTCGAAATTAATGACCAAATCAAGACCTTTGACATCCAATCCTCTTGCAGCCACCGATGTTGCAATCAAAGTATCAACTCCACTATCTTTTTCCGAAAACTCCTTGATGGCATATTTCCTATCAATCTGCTCTTTGCCACCATGAATTGTTGAGCTTTGTAGACCTTTGGCTAATAATTTCACAAGAAGCTGATCTGCTGAGTCTTGTTTTTCGACGAACACAAGCTTTTTCACCAGAGAATAACTTTTTAGAAGTTCTTGCAACCTGGTGAACTTATTTTCGAATATATCAGCTGCAGTGGCATTATCATCGCTTTCGAATAATTCGACATGCTGCTTGATTTCTGATGCAACCACACTGATTCCACCGACGACAATCTCAATCGGATTGTGAAGCGTATCTCTAGCCAACGATTCCATCTTCCTAGCGAAAGTGGCAGAAAACAACACGCATTGCTTGTCTGGCCGAACCTGGGAGAAGATCTTTTTTATTTGGGGTTCAAAGCCAAAATCGAACATTCTATCCGCTTCATCAAGCACGACGAATGTGACTCGTCTTAGATTGCAAACACGACCATTGTTCGTGGCTAGCAAATCAATCAAACGACCAGGAGTAGAAACAACGATCTGTACGCCTTTTTTGAGCTCTGCAATCTGTGGTTCAATGGAAGACCCACCATAACAACAAGCTGCTGTTAACCCTAGCTTCTTGGTAAATATGGTAAGCTGACGATAGATTTGCTGAGCAAGCTCTCTAGTCGGCGACATGAGAATGGCAATAGGACCGTCTCCTTCCTGCAAGGGCGGTTGATCTTGGACATGTCGAAGGAGTGGTAGCACAAATGCGAGGGTCTTTCCTGAGCCTGTCTTCGCTATAGCTAGCATATCCCTACCAGAAAGTATGACAGGTAAAGCTTGACATTGCACTCCGGTGGGAGCTTTGAACTGTAGTTTGTTCTCTATAACTGTGTTTATCACAGAGGAAAAGCCTAACTGGGACCACTTCCAAACTGGACGAGGACAGTTCTTTCCCTTAACTTTGATGCCATCCATGTTCGTTCTAATTTCCAGAACCTCATCTTCACTGAGCAGACTCACTTCCAGCGTTTCCACATAGAAGTCTTTCTTGAATTCCATGTAGTCAATCTGACTATGGTCCACAGTTGCCAATTCTTTACCAGTTTGCATTGCCTTCAACTGAAGAGCACGTAAAGGATCCTCGTCGTCATCTTCTTCACCCAGACTGTCTTCCAGAGCAACTGCTTCATTTGTACCATTCGCTGGTTCACTTGCATCTTCGGCAAGATTTTCTAAGAAAGCATCAAGCGCATCCTCTTCCGTATTAGCCTTCTTTTCCTCGTTGGAAGTAGGTTTCGATAGAGTGGGTGCTTTGAACTTCTTGACATGCGTATCATCCTCTGCCTCATCATCACTGAACACCCTCCTTTTTTTTAATGGAGAAGACTTGTGGATTGTATTAAGAACCCTAAAAGGTTTAGGTTTATTCTTTACAGGCTCTTCAACCGCCACTTCACCTTTCTCTCGTTTACGTTTCCATTCTTGTAGTTTGTTCTGGCGGTTCGTCTGTTCCTCAGTATTACTAGACTCTTGCGATTGTAGTTTCTTCTTCTTCCATTCCTCGAGCTTTCGAAGTCTTTCCTGACGACGTTGCTCTTCTGGACTAGGTGAAATTGTCTCCAGCACATCTTTTACCTCATTGTTGTTTGATGCTTCTGAGCTGGATACACCTGGAGATTGGGACTTTCTCTCCTTCCATTTCGCCAACTGTGCCTGGCGCTGCCTTAGTTTTTCATCTTTGGATACTGCTTCCGACATGAGTTAGTTAATGTTATTGATAAAATGGTATAAAATATCGAACCTTTTATAATACACTGTTGTGATGCTTGAGTGTGGAGTTTTGTTACTATGCGCGATGTGATGTGCTTTGCGATGCAAGAGTACTGTCACTATGTACGTACGTTCTATAAGCGAGGTTTATAATATAAACGCATTTTTATTATCTCAATCACAAGTTTGTCGTTACAGTCACGGTTTGTGAATTGAGCAAAAGGGTTGGTGGCAAGTTATCCAACCATATGGCAAGACTGTTAGTGTAATCTAAAGAGGCATCATCGTCTAAATGAGTACCTATGATCGGGGCAGGGAGCGTAGAGAATATCACTGCAGTGCTCCCATCTCCCGAGATTTTTCTCATGAGCTCGTTGAGGATTATATGTTGCCCCTTTGCTGGTAAATCATTGAAAGTGAGGTTCTTCAACTCATCCTGAAGTTGCCTCAGGGTCAATTTTCGTTCTGATTTTTGTCCTTCGCTACCCGTCTCTTCGAGTAGATCGAGACTCTCATCAGCTAGTTCGTCATCGGCTTCCGAAAGGAACTTTGGCGATTTTATGTGTTCGTTGATATCGTTATGGGCAATCACAGATGGCACCCTCTTCATAGCTGGCCTTGTGTTGCCAGCGGAGAAATTGAGGAAGCTTTCGTTGCGAGAAATAGGAGTCCTTGTACCATGGCCAGGTTGCCTGGATTCCTTTGTAGGGTCTTTCGAGCCTTCCTCGTCCTCAACAAAACGAATCAGCGGCTTGTTGTTATCCTCATCGTCACCTTCGTCATCAGCAGGCACCAGCGGTTCTTCCTCTTCTTCTTCATCTCTAACCTTCGATTGGGGAATCTTCACTGACAGGAAATTAGGCCTAAGATTAGACATAGATGACCTCACGGATAGCTGGTCAGATGAAACTGCACCCGCTGATGTTTTGTACTTGGCCAAAAGTGCATGCCTAGCTTTGTTGATGTTATCCTTCTGTGGTAGTCTCTGTTGACTGGCCGCAGTTGTTGTCGTCGGAATATCTTTGACAGACAACTGTTCGGTCGGGGAAGCTTCCAACGTTTGGGGTTCTGGAGTATGTATTTCTGGAGTACGCTGCTGGCTGGTGTTATTACCCGAAGAGCTATGCATACTTTCCTCCAAATCACTGTCACTGCTATCTTCAGACTCATATGAAAAGAAGCTATCGCCTCCCTGTGCCTTCATGTTGAAGGAAAGGGATAGTCCTTGACCATGCAAATTCGACAAAGTATACCGTCTATTGTTCTTAAGGCTTGGACCGGTAACAGGCGAGTTATTATTGTTCGTAAGATTGAACAGCACTGGATCATATTTCCTTTCATCACTGATATGAATTGACTTCAGCTTCTTGTCATTCAGTTTTCTTTGCAACTTCTGCTTTTGAATCTGTCTTAAAGACTCCCTGGCATCACGGAGGTTTTTCCACCATTGGTCACCGTGAAGGATGTGGTTTATGTGATTGAATTCAGATTGGGTAGCAGGCGTGACGCTGTAGCCCTTCACCAAAAAGTTGTATGTCTGGAGGAATCCATCCTCGAAGCATTTCACAACAGTCTCCGCATCAATTCTCAATGAACTAAGTAGATCTTTAAGTCTTGATAATTCCTCCTCAACTTCATTGGCGCTTTCAACAAACACTATAATACGCAAGGTATATCCGTTTAAATCCCATTCGTCAACAGTGGAAAGAATAGATCCAAGCTGGAGGATCAAAGTGTATGTATCGAAATTCGTAGACATCACCGATTTGCCATCATCCATCAAACAAATAGATGACATCTGTATCGGGTAAAGATCGATGTATTTCTTTTCGTCGCCTTGCTTACTTCTCTTGAACCATTTCCGGCCTTTCAACGTCGGTAACTCTAATCGAGAGAAGTTGCCCGCAACAGCAACGGTAGCCTGCATTATAATCAAGTCTTCGACTATCTGAACCCATTGGTTTACCGAAACTTTCCTTTCCTTTCTACATTCATCTGTGGGCAAATGAAGCTGGGATAACGATCTTTCCTCCTGTTTCAACGGTAATTCGACACCGTGCTTCTGTGAATCGTAGAAACCAAGAACTGTAATGTTTGGACGCATACCGCCCAAACCCGATCCGAGAAAGACATTTCTGACACCCCATGGAAGGGAAGGACCAATTGCAATCTGTACAAAAGCTTTGATTTTTGCCATATCTCTGAGCTTAGTCCATGCATTTTTTTGCTTACGTATCTCCTTAAAGGAAGACACATTGAACTCGGAATTCACTTCATCATTGTTGGCTCCAGAATCATCGCTCATCATAACAACATGTCCTAGGATATACAAACCACCTTTCTTCAAGTGATTACAGAACGTGATCAAATTCCAAGAAGTCCTTGGATTGTCACATAGAAGCAATATCTGTGGCCTCCAGTACTTAACACTCATGTTTAGCTTTAAACGAAGCAAATACTTTCTTACCTGGTGGTAGATCAAAAGCTGAGAAATATCACCAAAATTCAGTGGTGGGGTGGTATAATGGATAATCATGATGAGGAATATCAAAAACACAATAACGGATGTCGCCGATACGCCATCAACCAAGTACATGGCGAGCACAGACACCAAACCTCCTGCGAAAGCAGTTTTGGAACTAAAGTATTTGAAGGAAGGTCTGAAGTTTGGAGCAGACCCAACCCTCAAGAGGAAACATGCAAGATTAGTTACCAAAAACGTCATGAGGAATGCCATTGTGATGAAGGTGGCGATTTGGTTAATGTCAGCAAAAAGAAACATCTGAGCAATAGACCATGTAAGCATGATCGCATATACCTGAGCTCTCTTCTTCTCTTTTGGCAGCTTACGAGCTGTGGAGAAGCATGATAAGCCGGGAATGATTTTGTCAACAGCAATGGCGTTGAGTACTGTAGACGCACCAACAACGCCCATGATGACGGAGAATAAGGAGGTCGAAACCTCACCTATTATGATGATTAAACCATTCATGTTAACAGTCTGCATGATCTTGATGTCTCTGTGGAATAATTCCCTAGGCACAGAAGCTCCCAATGATACAATGACCAAGAAATAGAGAACAAAACTGATGCCCAATGCATACAACGTTCCACGGGGAATCGAGCGAGAAGGGTTCTTAAGCTCACCAGACATCGATGCACCTGCAAAGATACCAGCAGTAGCAGGAAAGAAAATGCCAAAAAGATTCTTGAATGTCTCAGGTTCACCAGGCGGGAGCAAAGATCCAGCTGCTCCGCTTGTAAAATGAGGCCACAAGTTCTCCTGAATGGTCTTCCAAGAGACGCCAGAATACCATAAACCCTCATCAGGCGGTGACAAGGGGAATCCTGGTTTCACGACCAATGCTGATATTGGGATCAGAAGTGTACTCGTGGTGAGAAGGACAAAGAGCCAAAATGCCGTTTTTGACACCAATGAAGCACCAACAAGCGCAACACTAGTACACATCAAAAGCAAAATGGAGGAGTATAGCAACTGCCACCAGTAGGAGACCGGAAGTAACGGGTAAACGTCACCTTCGAGCTTGCCAAAGTTGACCAAAAGAGGTTCGATAAAACCCACCACGTTCAATGACGAATTCAAAATCTGACCAATAAAGAAGATAATACCAATAGCACCACCAAATTCAGGGCCTAGAGAACGGGAGATCATATAATAAGCACCCCCGCCTCTAACGGTACCGTTCGTTGAGATAGCACTGACAGACAAAACAGTCAAGATATCAATGACAAAGGACATCACTAGAAGTAAAATAGTGCCCAAAATACCCATCTGGCCAATGATAAAGCCAAATCTCAAGAACATCAAGATGGAAAGCACATTGAGCGTGGTGGGGAGAAACACTCCCTCAAAAGTGCCTAACTTGGCCTTCTTCACATTTCTAGTGTCATTATTAGTGGTTTCCACAGTAGCAGCAGGAATTCCAGGTAGCAGACTCGTGTTTTGATGCAGTAGGAGGGGCGAAGACTCGGACATTCAATGGAAGCACCGTGGTCTGTTGAGAATCATCAATTCAGATAGCCCAATGCGCGATGTATGGAGTATGCACCCGATAAGCAACCGAATCAGGAAGTATACCATCATTCACAAGTCAAAGATGTATTTTTGGGAAATGACGGTAATGATATAGGCAATGATAATTCTGGCCAAGTACCGTAAAGTAGGAAGTACCGGTTTCTTGTGGATATACGCTCTGGAGATTGCTCTGCCCACTTGGTATACCACTACAAATGCACTTAGGCGGGAAGCAGGACGCACCCGGACCAGAACCTGGAGGTTCAGAACGATCGAGGCTAGTGTACTCATGGGCATGGTTGTAGAGGTGGTTTACAAGGGGAACCTTAAATTTTTAGTGGTAAGTGCATCAGGAGCTTGTGATACGGTCGTTCAGTATTATTGAAGTATCGTGAGAGCGAAGTGGTGCCATGCAAGGCTGAATGCGCCACTGATCCATCAGCTGGTACAAGATTAGATAGCATCCAGGGAAGCTTTGTTGGGGTACTGAACTTCCTCTGATTATTGGATTTTCTAGTTTTTGTTGGTCTCTTTTGTATACGACTTACTTTCATGTTAAGCGCATGAATCAAGCCTCAAGCTGGATCACCATACGCATTGACCCAACGCTCGTAAACTCGAATATCACCCAACGCCTCACTCTTCACGGCCTAATCTGATCTATTTTATTTCTTTATCTCCATGATCGGGCTTTGCCTCCTTCTGTCAGACCACATATATATATTATCCACATCTCCATGAAATATCTACTGGTGGTGTCGTGCGTATAGGATACAGAAGAGAAGGGAAAAAAAGAGCTCTTGAAAAAAAGAAAAAACCTTAAACTACACCTGAATAGTCTCTGTCATATCGATAACAGTGCCCAGGTGATCTACACATCCATATTATAAGATCCCTATGTTTAGGCTTATCGCCACTAATACCCAGGCGAATTTAAGGCCTGCCCTTCTTAGGAAGGTCAGAGGCAACACTTCTGGTCTCAAATTTGCCCCTACTGTTACAACCGAACCTAGCTCTGAGTTCAAGAACCACTATGCCATTCAAATATCCCGAAGCAACAGCACCAAGAACAGCGTGGCTCTGGAAAGTTCGTTGAAGATTGAAAATAACCTTAAGTTTGATCAAGCTTTAAAGGACTCTGCGCCAACAACTACGCCAGTGGAAAACGAAGTGAATGCTGGTCCCGATGAGAAGACTCAAGATTTGCTTCAACAGTTCGCTAATGCTCTAGAGAACACTAGCGATTGCAGACGTGTGTCCCAGCAGTGCTCGAAGGCTTTACAGACTTTGCAAAGACTCTATACCAATGATGCTGTGAAAGCTCACCTTAGCACCGACCTCTTGTCCAGCTACGCCCACTTCCTTAATCACTATACCAGGGCAACTAGAGTTCACCGTCTTTCCTCGAAGCTGGACCGTGATACCGATCATTACGAGAATAAGTCTTTGAACAATGACATTATGTTGAAAGCCGCCGTCATGGATATTCTCGATGGTATCTTGACGGGCAAAATCAAGTCTCCTTTGAACTTGTACGGTCTTAGAGACTACTTCAAGGCATTGCATCAGTGTGAAAACTACAATGAACTTGTAGAGCTCTGGGAATACGGTGTGAATGAACAAGATGATGCCAGCTCTCTATATTTGGATCAAAATGTCTTGGCTATTGTCTTGCCTGTTGCTTACAACATCAAGAGATTCTCGTATGAAGACATTTCAAAGATCTATGATTACAACACAAAGGGCAAAAACATCTCGCCCTCTCTACTCACCTCCATGGGTAAGATTGCAATCCTTGCAGGAGATAATCCACGTGGTTTGGATATGATGGAACAGCTCATGAAATTATACGAAACTGAGGCTGTGCCAAAGTATGTTTCATTCTTATCATTGAGAGACTTGCATTTGAACTTCATCGGACATTGTCTGGACACCAAGATTGCAAAGCACTTCTTTGACAAGGCTGTCGAGTTTGCATTGCCTTACAAAGTGGTACTCAAGGCTCCTCATGCTGCTAGTATGTTGAAGAACTTCCACGAAGCCAAAGAGCCTTTCAAGAGCATCACTCACTATTGGTTGACCACTGTGGAACATTACAATCAGGACATTAGCACGCTTTTCCTTCGTTCAAGATACACCATTTTAAACAACCAGCTTGCTGAGATTTTCTTCAACACATATCCAAATTATAGTGAGGAGGGACTCGCAGAGCTTGAACACCTTATTTCGGAATATTCAAAGATCAGACCAGTTGATGAAACCCTTATAAACGCTTTCGTTACTCGCTTCACGTGGAAGAACAAGGAGGCTTTCCAGAAATTAATGGACACATACTTCACTTACAAGGTTGAGCGCAGTCCTGTTGCCAACAGAGTTTGTTTGAAGAAGATGGGAGAGATTGAAGCTTTCAGTAACGAGGAAATCTTGGAGCAGTGGAACAAATCGTTGAAGTTCTTGGACAAGGAGCGTTACAAGTACATTCCAATTGCCGACTGGGCTTCCTTGCGTGACTCTACCATCACTAGTCCTTACGCTGACGCACGTACCTCGTTCTACTTGAAGGTATTAGACACATACAAGAACTATCATCAAGATGACAGAGCTTGTGTGCGTTTTGCCAGATGGTGGGTACCAAGACCACAAGTCAATGTTGTCGCTGAGTTGTCTTTGAATGACCAGTTTACTCCTGACAGCGACATAGACATTAAGGTACCTAAGTTCAGATTCTTAAAGGAAAACGTGGATTATAAACTGATTTCCAAGCCTATCTTCTTATCCGCAAAAGGAAGAGACTACTCGGGTAAGAAGAGGCAATAATAAAATTATGTAAATAGATAAATGTTCTGACGACTTCCCCCCTCTGTACCGGCTTAGTAGTGATTTGACTCGATCCGCACTCCAGTTTCCACTTAACTCACCACAAGCCACCAATGGGTTCGTGTTTCTCCAAGCACTCAGAAGATGATCTCAAGGCATCTGCTAGACCTTCTCGGCCTATGAACCAGCGGGGTGCCGCTAACAAGGTTTCTAACAAAAGCCACACTTCCCTGTCTAAGGCAGGCCAAAGACTAGGTGGTCCAGTGAATGGAGAACAAGAAGCACAATCAGAACTGGGCCAAAGCGGGAGAGAGGCAGCAGCTAGAGCAGCAGAGCTTCGGTACAACCAGAAGCAGGATAATCTTGCTTCTAGCAAGACCAAATTGAAGGCTATGGAGAAGATATCGAAGAAGGATAAGGGATTGGCATAAGAAGAGCATTTTTTAGAGCAATGAAGCGTGCCATTTGAATCCATTTACATTCATTTCATCCCTTCTAAATGCCACGAACATTTCACAAATGGCTGCTTCAAGACTACCCTGGCTGGTGTGTTCTCCGGCTGGCTGTGTCTGTTTCATGTAACGTTTACAAGAGTGACACTCACCACAAAAGTGCAATTGAACAAATAAATACTTTTAGAAAGACTTTAATAATTGCTTCATATTTCATATTTTACAGATTCATAATGTTTTTTGGCTTGTAGACTAGTCTATCTCTTGTAGGCGTAGGGTGTGTACTGCATATCCTAGCCAACTTTCATGTCTCGAACTAAATACAACATTATCAAGTTGGTACATCAACAAACATCATGGACTCGGCAGCCAAAATCCCCCTCTCCCATACATTATGGTCTCCTCATGATACAGTGAAAGATGCCGCTGACCTTTTGGGTGTCACTCTCCCCGATGATGCAGCAAAGAACTTGGCAATGGATGTCGAATACAGAATACATGAGATCCTAGAAACAGCCATCAAGTTCATGCGTCACTCCAAACGGAAGCTTCTTGTTACTGGCGATATAAACAACGCTCTTAAGGTGCTCAATATTGAACCTTTGTTTGGCTACGACCAATCTCAACCATTGGTGTTCAAGGAAGCTTTATCTGGAGCTGGTGGTCAAACGTTGTACTATATCGATGACAACGAGATTGAATTTGAAAAATTGATTAATCAGGAGCTTCCAAAAGTCCCTCGTCAAACTACTTTCACCGCTCATTGGTTGGGTATTGAAGGTGTGCAGCCAATGATTCCTCAGAACCCATTGGCTTCAGAGATCAAGAACTTACCTTCAGTGGTGAGAGGTGCTACCTCTTCTGTATACGGTAACGACTTGCTACTGTCGTCCGCTCCAGGCTCTAGCTCTACGGAAGAATCTAAGGATGGAAACGGTAGACAGAAATCGAAGAAGGGCGATAAGGATGTTGAGGTTAAACCATTGGTTAAGCACGTACTCCTGAAAGAACTCAAGCTTTACTTTGACAAGATTGTCGAAGTCCTCATATCTACAGACCCAGAGAAGGAAACTTTTAAAGATGCCGCATTGAACTCTTTGAGAACAGATCCTGGTTTGCATCAACTTGTACCATACTTCATCCAATTCGTGGCAGAACAAGTCACTAATCAGTTGAGGAACATTGAGCTTTTAATCACATTACTTGAGGTTATCTCAGCTCTCTGTGACAACAAAACCATCTTCTTGGATCCATACGTTCACGCTTTGATGCCATGTATTCTTACGCTCTTGCTTGCAAAAAGAATTGGCCCAGTCGTTCCTGAAAATGCAGATGACGATGCAGTCATTGATATTATTAAGGGCCAGTTTGCCGTTAGAGAGTTTGCTTCTCTCCTTCTACAGCATATCATTGATTCATTTGGATCGTCCTATACTACGCTCAAACCAAGAGTGACAAGAACTCTTCTTCGGGCATTGCTTGATTCTTCCAAGCCTTTGGGTACACACTATGGTGCTCTTTTGGGTATAGAAAAGTTGGGCTCTGAGGTTATCAAGCTTGTCTTGGTTGGCAACGTGAAGATGTGGTCCAAGCAAGTTGTTGAAGATAGCTCCAAACGCAGTGTTGAAACCAACATTCTAAAACAAAAGGTTCTTGATGTTCTTGAAAAATTAAAGATTGAAGATAAGTTCACCGAAAATGACTCGGATAAGATGGACGTCGACCAAGAAGTCAGCACGGAAATAAAAGAGAAGTTAAAGGATAGAATTGGCGAGCCGTTGGCTGATGATCTTCTCCAAAAACCAGATGCAAAGGCCATTTGTCGTGGAATCTTTATTGGTGAAGCAAATGTATAAATAGAGACTAATGTATTAATTGATTATGGATTACCTTCTTTTTGGCCTAACGTAGGTTTTCAAGGTACGGTTTGAAGTCGATGCAAGTAGTTTTTCAAAATCAGAATCAGAATCAGAATCCGTATTGTTGCCATCATTGGCAGCATCATCAGCAGAGTCTACATCCGTAGCGTCGCCAGTGCGAGAGAATTCAGCAGATGAGGTCTTCAAAAGACGGCTTGATCTCTCAACATTTATGTCTGCTGGTTTTGTGATTGGCATAGAGACTTCCGAAGATGACGCTGCTTTTCGGGGCAATACAGCCCTCTTAGGAGCTTTCTTACGCGTCTTTGTTGGACGGCAAGGAGACCCTTGAAGGCTAGACTGGGTGAATGGATTTTTGAAAGCTGAAATCTGTTCTGAATTCTCAGTCACAACCAGTTTATTAGCTTCTGGTTGAATTGGGGAAGATGCTATGATTGAGGATGGACCTTGTCCATTAGGATTAGGATTATGCAGAAAAATGTTAGGTGACTTCTCGGAAGAGTTGTTGACAGGCGAACTCAATATCTTGATATCTGCATTAAAAGGAGCTGCCAAAAGCGACAACTTCTGTTGAACAACGGAGCCCTTCTTTGTTGAGTCAGGAATTATGAAGTCGTGCAGTTTCGATGCTGGATCATGTGGAGTTTCTAGGATGACGTCGGCTACCCTGTTTGCAGTGGGTGTTGCTTGAATGAGTGCAATATCTTTAGGCTCATTGAACGACTTTGAGCTGTCCTTCAGCAACTTCATCTTTCTTGCATCACCAAAAATGAAGGAAGTTGGCTTGGCTTCAATTTGCTCCTCTGACTTGGTGAGAGACATGTCGACTTGTCTACGTTTCAAGTTTTTCGAGCCCAAGTTCGACTTCGACCTCTTGAGCAGGAATGCTGGTTCATCTCCACCTTCACTGATTGAGGTCTTTGCTCTTCGAAGAAATGGCTTTTGCTCCTTGGAAAGGAGTGTCTTGTTGAATCTCGAGGGTTTTGCATTGTTTGGCAGTGTAGACTCTTCCACCATAGAGCTCGTCAGATGCAACATAGGACTGCTAGCTTCAGTATCAGCTTCTGATTTCTTTCTGGTTGATTTCAATCTTGGGACCTTGAAATTAGGACGCAGTTCCTTGACCTTTTCGATGACGAACTTCACAATGCCTGGATAGCTGCTGTTGAAAAATGGCACGAAAACGTAGGCGAGAAATCCATACATGCTCTCATCCTTCTTATTCTTGAGCTTCCCTGTGATCACATCCCAAATACTCATTTGATCAACCAAAGCGACAAGTGAAGTGTAGAGAGTGAATTGAGTAACAGGAAGGCGTTTATCGGTATCAAGTGATTTGGTCTCTTGTATACCTACACCCAAGAAAGTGGGTATGATCTTCTTCGTTTTCGATTTCTTCCGGACAAGCGACCTTTTGTTCAGTTTTTTATTCAACTTTTCTTGTTGTTTGCTGTTTGTCTTAAGGAAGCTGTCTTCGTCGACCTTCCATGCTAAAAGAAGTTGCATAATCACCAAAATCTGAAGCTGTGCCTCTCTTCGTTTAAGATCAAAAACTACCTTATCTCTCGTTTCATCCGCAACAATTGCAGAATAATATTTCTGAAGAAGGAATTCTTGGTTTTCAGATTCATACTGGTTTATCTTCAATGGCTCAGCTCCAGGTTTTCCAATTAAAGTATCCACGCCATACCTCAATCTATGCCTTTCATTGAGTTCTTCAGGATTGAGGTAAACTGAAAGCAAACTCTCCTCCAACGACTTCTTGTCCTCGCAACACATGTTCTGTAGTCGCGTAAGCGTCGTTTTGGGGAAGTATGTTAACGGAGTGGATAATGAATATAGAATGCTATAGTACCTGGACTGCAAGAATTGGATGGGATTTGTCTCGCTTTGTGGTGATATCTCCATAACGACGGCATTGCGATTACTGGTGGGTGATATGTAAGCTGCTGGAGGTTTCATGGAGAAGCTATCTAGAGCTTTGCTGGAATCTTGTGGACTGTTTGGTTGGGTCGTCCAGCCTTCAATACAGCTGGTTTCGGATAGAGATGCAAATTCTTCAACTGAAGTGGAATTGACTAACTTCGTGGAGTCAGCTCGGGCAAAGACGAATAGCTCGAATGTATGAGGGAAAGGTAAACATTTGAATAGGATTCCGGTTCGGTAGGTTTTGAGTTGATCTATTACTTGTACAAAATATGCATTGGATGATTCGGGAGCTATAGTACTCAAACGTTTACTGAAGAACACTCTCCGATGTAGAAAGTCATCTTGAAGCAACGTATGGATGCTAGGGTTAACCACCAGTCGTAGTATGGAGATTGTGAAAGGAGGATCCCCCGATGGCAGCTTCAAGGTGATTTCATGATGCTGAAGGTTAGTTGGGTTTTCTTGAAGTTCAGCATCATCCATGAGCGTCTAATGAAGGAAATATGAATCTGTGGAGTTCGTGATAATGCTTTCATCAATACGCTTCTGGTTGCAACGCGTGAAATTGTGCAGTACTGTATATACGCGCAACAAGGCTGCAGGCGCGATGAATATAATGGCTGCGAAAAGTCTCAAATGTCTAACCACTCATCCTCAATGATATCAGTGATCGTCGGACGCTCATCGATGTCTCTCACTAAGATTTTCCTTATCAAGGCTAAGGACCTGTCGCTCACAACATATGGCACTCTCAAGTCTCCTTCCATTATCTCGTCCACATTGTAAAATGGGTTCTCCTTGTATATCATGGTGTAGAGCAAAATGCCTAGCGCCCATATGTCCTGAGGCTTACCTTCGTACTTTTCACCTCTCAATACCTCAGGAGAGGCATAATCAATGGTACCGACAAAGACATCAAAAGGTCCCAGCTTCACGTATCCAGCACTTCCAAAATCGATCAATTTGATAATCCCACGCTCATCGACAATGACGTTTTCGTCTTTGATATCTCTATGAACTATGCCCTTTTTATGCAAATGGTAGATGGCATTGACGATTTGCGTGAAGATATATTGGCATTCGATTTCAGTCATGTCTTTCTTCACCTCAATGTAGTCAAACAAGTCGATGGCAGGGGGATCTCCAAAGATTGGCGTCTCCAAGTAGTAGTAATTGGGATCCTCGTAGTAATCTATGATCCGCATAATGTTAGGGTGCGGTTCATGATTAAGGGTAGCCATAACTTGGATTTCAGAAGGGATAGTACCTAATTGGCGATCTCTCACCCACGTATCAACCAAGATCCTTTGCTTGTCAATGCATTTGATGATTATTCTGTAGTAAGGATCTTGCTTGTGCTCAGCAAGGACAACTTTGCCATAGGCACCTTCCCCAAGCTTCTTGAGTACTTTGAACTCTTCAAACTTCTTCGTCCGTCTCTTAGCCCCAACAGATGTGGGCCACTCTTTGGAACGCTTCATCTTTTGCTTCAATTCTTCATTTTCAAGCTGGAGTAGTTCCTCTTCGGTAAACCGGGTATAATGTGGATCGTAGGAGGTATTAGAATAACTTGTAGGTTCAGATTCAGATCCTTTGCTATTCAGTTGAGAATCACTAGTTTCCGATCCTTGACTTCCGCCAGCTGATACTGATCTATTGGAGGAAGAGGGCTTAGATCCATCGGGCACCTTTAATGAGTTTGTATCAGAATCACGACTCAAGTACGTGACAGGAATAGAGAATGTGTTGGCTTTCTTCGGTCTCCTTGTACTGCTAGCACGGCTGATATGCGGGCTAGTATGACCAAGCTCCATAAGATCATCTTCATTCTCTGGAAACAAACGAAGCTGAGAGGGCAAATCGTTCCCCAGAACATCTGAATTACTTCTCTGTCTTGGACTTGTGCTCAAAGACCTCGAGGAAGCACTTCTGGTTAGTTTGTCGAGTTCATTCGCAATATTCTTGGAATGTCTAGAGTAGGTCACCCAAAGAACGAAGATGTCGCTCAGTATGACTCGAAGCTGAACGTCAATGCAAAGCTTCTTACCATCCCTGTGGAGACCAGAAATTCCCTTGGACTTGAAGAACAACTCCTCCATGGGCGTCTCTTGCGCTTGTCTGTGTTTAAGAACAGCATCATACTTTCTGAAAAAATGTTCGGGCAAAACCAAGCCGGGAACAACGTTGATTGTTTCACTCTGGTCACCCATACCCGTGCTGAAAATCTCTGTGAAGTCGGGTATGATTTCGTTGATGCTGTGATGAAGTATTTCCTCTGAAGACTTTCCGAAAAGGTTATTAGCGATGGCATTATTGCTCGAAAGGATCTCAAAGTCAGAAAAGTTGACAACAAACATACCAGCAATATAAGGCATGGAATGGAATTTGAGCTTGATCTCGTACTTGTCATCATTGATCTCGAGTGGATAAGATGTCACAGCGCATGGTATATTATCCTCACGTACCTGAAGGGTGAAGTACCGTAACTTGTTAATCTTGTCACTGTCGCGGCAATCACAGGCATCAGTATCCTTCTTGTGGCTTGAAGCCAGCGCTGCAAGCTCGTGGTCAAGTGAATTCGAAAACTGCTCAAGCGTCTTCAGCAGATCCTTCCAGTGAGGATTAAGAAGTTTTCCAGCAATTTCTTGTACTGATGTAATACCATACTGTGCTGAAGGGTAGTTATCGATATCACACAGCACGACGATATCAAAAGCGTCACAAGGAATCTGTTCAAACATGCAAATAATCAAATTACCTCTTTTCTTCGCCCACATGGATGTCCAAGCGAAGGCGTGGTCGGCCTGTCTTGAAATGGCAATGATCTCTCCTGCAAATATGATACACAGATCATTAGCTTTGTTCTTGTCTAATGAAGCAGACATGGACTTGGTCAATCTTTCTGTGACAAAATGTCTGAATTGAGGAGCGATAAGATCCATCAATGTAAGATTCTTAATCATATTCTTCAGCACACCAAACATCAAACAGGCCAAGTCATTTGCAGCTTTCAAGTTCCATGGAGTGATGTCTTCGACGGTAAAGACGGATTGGGGTGACGAGTGCTTACCCAGCGAGAGCACATGGAACGGACGATTTCCTGGAGTTGGGTTTTGCGGCAGATTAAGGGAATTAAGTAAATTAAGCGATGCAGTAGAAGTGCTAACCATGGGGGTATTAATCGAAGCCGCAGAAGGTGGAGCGGTTGAGTCTAGAAGCGAGGAAGTCAGTGATGCGGACTCAACAAATGGAGTAGCCAAAGCTAAAAGAAGCTTGGTCTTTAAAATATTTTGCTTTGCCTGGTGTTCATGTTCACCAGATGATAATGACAAATCGTGTAGGGTAGATGCTATTTCTGTGCTATTGTCGAGTTCCGAAGTATCATTCTCAAGGAGTTGGATGATATCTTTCAAATCATCACTCAACATAGTATCGCTAGGAGATGAGATCTCCCGAAGTAGTTTAGCCTCTTCAGTTTTCCACGAAGAAAGACCAGAATCGGGTGTCTTAAACTCGTTTCGAATCAGGCTCAGCGAAGGGAAGCGAGAAGCCGGCAAACTATCTGCTCTGACCATCTGAGGTCTAAAGAGTACAGATAAAGCAGCGGAGGATGCATTTGAACGGATTTTGTAGCGATCAGGATTAAGGTTTATACTATCACCACTAGTATTGCGAGAAGCATCATGATACATCACCAGGCGAGCGGAAACACGGCGAGGCCCGTTCTCTGATATTGGCTGTGGCTGCGGAAGGTTCCAGGAAGGAGCTATGTCAGCAGGGGTGCTTTCATCATCACTGTTATTTGGCGACTCGTACTTCATAGACTTGAACCAGTCGGGCCTCTCATTCAAGATCTCCAACGATCTCTTCAACACATTGAGTCGTAATGCCAACGAGTTAGGGGACAAGTGGGCATAAGAGTATGAATGCGAGTTTTCAATGGGAAACTGTAAGACACTGTTGATGTTGGAGAAGTCTGTCTGGTTGGATGCTGTTCTGGATAGCAGCAGGACATTGAGCCGGGCAGATGACGTATTGATGGGATGCGGTTTATTGCCGGTGCTTTTTGGAGTATCATAGTCTTCATCAAAGTGGAACAGCGGCTGCCGTCTGCTAGCTTGAGGCTGCATCATATCTGACAAATATAGCTAGGGAAGACCTCTTGATGAGATCTATGAAGACAGGGCAGGTGGGAAGAAAAGGGCAGATAAGTGTGGGAATAATAAATAAATGAACAGAAGGAGAGTTTCTTCTCTATGCGCTGTAGGTGTATAAGACCGTGAGGAAGTGTCTATTTGATGAAGGGATGGTGTATTGGTGCACCTCTATTATGTAGTTCGACGAGCGTGTGAAATGAATGTGTATCTTTCTCCCCACCACTGTTAGAAATATAAGATCTTAAGTAGGCATCCCCCTGCAGGAAGGCCCACATTGATGAAGGAGCCAAGAACGGCATTATCGCCAGAATAAGTATGGATGGAGACTAGAGAAGGGTGCATCATGCATGATAAAGAGGGATTTTAGTTTTTTACATTATCAGTGTGTTCTATAGTTCTGATGTTTGAGTGTTTATTTGAGTGATGCTCAACCGCTCAAAGAAATGGCACGGCTCTGCGGAGGAGTGTACGACTGACGCACTAGTGTATGGCTTTATCTAGAGCGCATGTCACACACGGTTTCTGGTACTGTCTTTTCCGAAAGAGATTTGATGTAGTTAGTCACATGAGAAGTTCATGGAAGAAAATGGCTGTGCCTTTGGATTGTCTTGGTTCAAAACGTAGTAAGGTTTCGTAGTTGTCTCCCAAAATCAACTCACAGCCTCCTTCAGACGCACCTTAGAGTCGAAATTCTTGGACTTGCTCGTCCAAGTCGCTCAACTCCGAATTCATGATTTGAGAAAAAGACCCAGCATTGGGTGTGTCTCCAAGGCCATAAAGTATCGCTGGTATTTGGCGAGATCCACCAATTACGGGCGTATTGGCGTAACTCAGGAGCGGTGTATCAGAGGCCAGCTTCTGATACGTAGGAGGGCTCAAGGCTCTCACATCCTCATACATTGGCGGAACTTCGTCATCCCATGCAATGCCAAGTCCTGATCTTTCGGTAACGTTCATCTTAAATTGCATCCGTAAAACTCTAGCAGCGCCAGTGGGTACACCAACCTGGGTTTCCTTGATGTTGGTACTAGAATTGATCGATGTTGAGGAGTCTATTGGCATAAGACTGTCGCCTTGGGCTTTTTGTCTTGAAACATGAATTAACTCTTCTGCCACAACGACTTCCACGACAAGCACATGGTTCACGAACACTCCTAATGCAGGGTCGTCTATATCGCATGAGATGTTCGCTCCATTCCTTAGCCCTTCCTGGGTCTCGTCCTGTTTGGGATCCGTGGAAGAGGCTTGCATAACATGTCTCTGTAAGCCTGTAGAACAATCCATAGCTGAAATTTCTGCCACCAACTCAATACGGCCTTCACCCAGGAAATCTGATTTCCAGCCTGACTTGATCTCACCATGCGAGACGACTCGAAGCTCTTCGAGATAGAGATCTTCATGTGGTTGAGATTGTTCTGTGCGTGATCTGTTACTTGTCAGCGGGCGAAGATCATCAACCGTAGTTCTGTTGGTATTAGTGAAGGGGTGGCTCGGTAAGGGGAATATACGATCGGAATTCGCAAAATGGTCACGACGACTGGAGCCACTGCTTGGTGTCAGATTACCGTTAGCCGTTTGGTTGCTTGCTGGCAGAGGGCTAGCTCTCTCTGCCTCGGTTGATGCTCTAAGATGTGAGAAGTCCAGGTCAAAATTGAGTGCCTCGTCAATAGGTCTATTTGGAACGCCTTCGTCGAGTACGGGCTGTTCATCAACATCTTGGTTACCAGGAGTTGCGGCTTCTGCAATAGCAGCAGCATCGGCGGCAGTCAAGACTTGGCTGGTAGGTGCATCAAGACGCATAGATGTTTGGACTGTCAGATGGTGAAGACCGGATGACTTGTTTTCGTGTGCACCGTTTTTCATTCTGTTTAGTTGAGCACGCTTCTGCAGCTCTTTTGTAAGGTGGAGTTTCAATTTGTGCTTGTCACACACTGAAGCTCGTACTTTAGTGCATTCTTCTAACTTCCAGGTTAACTTCCTCATTCTCCACCGACGATCTTGCTTAGAGCTAACGACATTGTTCAATCGTAGCTCAATTGGAAATGTTGACTTGGGATAGATAACATTAGGCAAGACAGCACTGGCAGTGACGTCTGTAGGAGGAAACACTCTAAGCGAATTCCGGTCATGGCCCCTAAGGATCGATCTCAGCACACAGAGAGGAAGTGTGGCAACAACTTCTTTTGATCCAGCAACAGCCACTGCTATAATGTCGTACTTGATAAACGATTGGGACAGGGAAGTGCCTAGTTTTGTAGATGCAGCAAGCAGACCAGGGAGAAGATGTGAAAAGGGATAGGCATGGGTCCCTACACAAAACGTAGCAGGTTCAATCAACACATCCCACTGAGCCAAGGTGTTTCTTTTCGTAGCACATGACTTACAAGACGAAACTGAGCCCGATGGGATCTGGAATGGTTTGGTGTACCGAATTGTCTGAACAAGCAGAAGAGTCACTGACGTGAGCTCAACGTCAGAGTCTGGACCTATGCTTCCCATGGAAGATACAGGCGTCAAGTCAGGCGTTCTTCGTGGACTGTCGTCATGCTTAGATTTTATGTTGGAAAGAACATCAAGGTTCAACACTCCCGAGATGATGGATCCTGTAGACTCGTGTGGCTGGCCATACAAGATAACCGGAGGAGACTCCAACGCTATGGAAAGCTTGACACGAGGTTTTTTAAGGTTAGAAGCCAGCACTCTAGGCGAAAGCTGTGGCCTAGCCTTCTCTGAATTGTGATTGAGCACCCTAGATAGGAGAGTCATTGTCAGCAATAACCGAGAAGCAGCAGATAAAAACGGGAGGAACCAGTAAGCACTGAATGCAAAGGAGTCAAAGTAAGGTCGATTTGTCGACTCTTGAATATATATGCGTGGCGATTAAAGACTTTGTCGGTGTTTCCAGTTATATAGTTAGTATTGAGGATTATGACCTGAGGACTGTCTAGGGTCGGTCGGCCGCCTGCCCCACCCGCGAAGACCCCAGCGATTCCAGTATAGAGTATAGATACGAGATGGGAGGGGCGGTAAGTACGGCAATTTTCCCGAAATGAATGGTTTTTTGGTGGTTTAGTATTTCCAGTTTATTAAGCTTTCCAATGGTCACTTTCTTTTTCCTTTTTTTCCTTCGTTTGTTTCGATTGCTGGGCATTTCATTGACCGTTGTGGATGTCTCAGTTTAGCATTCGCGAAGAGCGTGCTTCAGCCACAGCTAGCGCTAAGCAATGCTGAGTTAGCACATTCCATGGAATAGCTTATTTTAATGAAAGTATGTGAATTGGCTTTGGATTTGGGTTTTTGAAGGCACTTTATATTACAACGCGTAAAAAGATTGGCACAACGGTTTGTTGATGGTGGTGGGGATTTGCAGGCACCGGTTCACCGTGAAGAAGGCAGTGTGGAGGGTTGAAAGGGGAACTTTCCTTTGAGGTATCTCTTTCTTTGGTTTTCTTTGTACCTGAAATTGCGTTAAACCTATACTTTTTTTTGGCCTCTTTACATCTTTCTTGCAAACTGACGTTGCCTGAAAATTGCAGCCGTTCTACTGTCCTGCAGTATTCAACCGCTATCATAGTGAGAACTACAAACTCTTCATAGCTACCATGACAAAACAACACTTGGTGCTAGATAACGGGTCTTACGATATAAAAGCGGGTTTCAGCACTCAAGATAAACCCCTTGTGGTACACAATGCTTTGGCAAAGGCCCGTGATGGTGTGATCTACGTCGGCAACGACTACCTTTCCCATACAAACCTATATTCTGGCATCAACTTCAGACGACCCCACGATCTGGGCCACTTGACGTCGTGGGAAGTCGAAAAGACTCTTTGGGATTATACGTTTGACCAGTTATCTCCTGAAAAAGAATTGGATCTTCTGAACATACATCTAATGCTCACAGAAACACCATTCCAACTCCCGCAACTATCCATGAACACAGACCTTATAGTCTTTGAAGAATACGGCTTTGGCGACTACTACCGATGCATCCCTCCATCGCTTGTCCCTTGGGAAAGCACATCTGAGCCAGCAGACTTCACGTTGGTCGTAGACTGCGGGTTCAGCTCGACATGGGTCGTCCCAGTGCTATACCAAACCCCATACTGGAAAGGAATGCGTAAGCTTCCCATCGGTGGACGTCATCTCAATGGTTTGCTTCGAGAAACAACTTCTTTCAGACATTATGATATCCTGGATGAGCCTATTCTTCTAAATACCCTCAAAGAAAAGACGATGTTTGTCGCTGACAACTTCGAAACAGCCCTCAGGAAAAAGCTAGATTACAAGTGTGAATTTGTTCTCCCAGATTTCAAAACGACTTTTACTGGTTACGTTAAGTCGGACGATCAAAAGCTATCTCCGGATGCTCAAACATTGAAGTTGTATGACGAACGATTCACGATCCCAGAAGCATACTTCCATCCTGAGGTTATGTTGGATAATAATACCGTTTCAAGTTCACCAATGATCCAAAATGCTAACTTCAAGAGTCTTACTGACTTGGTTGTCGACTCTATTGGTTCGTGTCCAGAAGCTGCCAGGCCATTACTCCTGGCAAACATCAATATCGTGGGAGGAAGCAGTTACATACCAAACCTACCTGAACGTCTCATAGCAGAGTTGAAAAAAGAACTTCCTGTCAACTGGGAAGTGAAGAGCATTACCCAAAAGCAGAAACTAAACGAAGTGGCTTGGTACGGCGGTACGTCGCTTGTCAACGAAGATTTACTAAAAGAAATTTCCATCTCGAGGCAAGAGTACTTCGAGCACGGAGCTAACTGGTGTCAAAAACAATTCGGTTTCAAGAACTTCTAATAGAAATGTACTAATATTTGTATCTATAATGCAATTTAAAAATGATCTACTTCACTTGGATGAGGTTGTTGTAGGTCAAGTACCTACTGAAAAGAAGCCATCCATACCTAAACCATACCATCTGTGAAAAGTGGCCGTAAGCCATTGCGGCATATGACACGCTTAGCATGTTCAAGTCTGAGTAGAATCTAATCGTTGGAGGTCCTTCGCGTGGGATTTGGTTGAAGAAGCTCACGTTGACGTTCAACTTGAGAATATTACTCAAGAAGTGTTTTGAGATCAAGTCCACCAACAACTCCACGTTAGTGAGAAGGGTAAATGAATACTTCTCCCAGAAATTCAAACTCTTAAGAACGAAAAGCCTGTTCTCTGGTGATTTTCTCTTAAGGTAGTTCTCGTAGAAGCTCCGGACGCCATGATAAAGCGAAATGTGATTAGGATGATTCGACACGCCTTGCTCGTCAAAAGTAATGAGTACAGATCTAGGCTCTTTAACGATCTTGCTCAAACTAGTTCCAATGTCTGCCGCGTCCCACAGAACGTTCATGCCATCTGCGTACCCATCCAATACAATAACGTCTGACTCCTTAACTCCAAGTATCCTAGCAGATTGTCTGAGCTCTTCAGACCTTATCACACCCATTGAAGGGTCCACTGCGTCTCCCTTTGAAAAACACACCAAATGTACACGGTTATTGTGCTTCTTCTTGGAAATCTCCAACAAAGAGGGTGCAAAGAACATCACCTCGTCGTCAGGATGGCCAATAATATAGTAAACATCGCTATCAGCAATAGGCAAGGGACTTGGTGAGGTGATTGAGTTGTATGGATATGTCGACTGGAGGAACTTATTGGTCTGTATCTCCTTGTTGGTCAACTTAAGCGAAACCTGGGGAATGGCAGTGGAGAGAAGCACCCATAGTAGAAACGAGAACCCAACAAACTTGAAAACAAACTTGGGTAGATTTATCATGTGGTTGGATTTTCTTCAATGTGCCACTGGAAAGTAAGCTGGAGGGAGGGTGCTGCTTGATGACTGGGGATAAACTTGTTGGACCCGTAGTGCAGATTATACGTTATGCTGGCTTCTGGTTTTTTTGGCCCTACCGTGAATACTGGTCCACACAAGCGCATACTACACAGTTGGAAACGCCAATTCTACTCATTGAAAGTTGTTTCTTGTCTAATGTTCTGTTTATAATTCTGTCGTTTCTCGTCAGCGGTAGCTGTGTCTTTTTGAATATGTACTCGTGGAGCTTGGAAAAGTGTTGGGTGCAAAATAGTTACTGCTGCCGCACTTACTTCTTTCTCATGAAAGTGTACCCAGTGTTCCATGCATAATCCACGGTGGTCTTCTCTCTGTCCCAGCCGAGTTCCATTTCGAAATCTTGAAGGATGCTCTCCTCAAACTTTTCAATGCTACCTTCACCATGAGCTTCAGCGTAGTTGTGAACTGCGCCAAAGGTACTAACGTACTTGACAAAGGCAATAAGTGGAACCTGAACTTTCTTGATTTGGAGATCCTCTTCGTCAAAGTCATTGCCGATACCAAAGTTACGTTTCTTGATCTTGATATCCTCAAACAAGTCCTTTGGAATGCTTTGGTCAACTTCAACCAAAGTGTCTCTAAGAATGTTTCTGCCTGGCTGTTCCCAGTACTGGCCAAACCAATTGGGGTCTTCGTAAGCGTACTTCTTATAGATTTTGTTGGCAGTTTCAAAGATCTCCTCTTTACTCTTGGATTCATCGCTTGGGCCTTGGAAGCCAATGAACACTGGGTCAATGTAGTACCAGTAAGCCAACACTCCCTTTGGTTTCAAGTATTTGGCGGCCGACTTAAAGAAACTATCGAAATCCTTAAACCAGTGAATGCATTGAGCAGCCGTGATCAAGTCGTACAGTGCTTCTTCCACCTTCAAGTCCTCCACTGCACTGACTCCAAACTCGATCCTGGATGAGTCGGTGATCCCCATCTGCTTGAGGCGCTCTTCCTTCTTGTCATTGGCTGTTTTAATCATGGTAGGTGATAAGTCAGTACCATAAACATACTTGGAGATGTTAAGCAAAGGGTAGGTTGCAACGGCTGTACCACACCCCAAGTCGATAGTCTTATCAATGTCCTTACTGCCGACATACTTGGCAAGAATGTCATAAAACGACGAAGGGTAGTGTGGGCGAAACGAGTCGTAGTTAAGAGAGCGGAATCCTGCTTTTGCAAATGTTGTCATTTTTTGTTACTGATGTTTGGTCAATGGGGGAATTAATGCTTTACTTATATATGTAGCCGAAGACGATCGAGCGGCTGTCGCATGGTACGCTGGTGCCCCCACGCAGTTCGGTGATACACTCGCTTTCTCCGAGTTACCAGCCGAACGAGACAGCACCTCCTTCTTCGCCAATACGGTCACTCATTTGGTCATCATCTCGGTATTCATCGGCATTCTCATTGAGAAATGGCACTAAGCCAAGAGACCCGTCGGCTCCGAAATCGGTCGCCATGAGTTGGTTACTGTAGTTCATGGTGAATGGGTCAAAGTGTAGGAGCTCTTCCAAGGTTTCTTCGTTAGAAGAGCCATTAGAGTCACTATTGGAGTTGCCGACCTCAAAGGTGGTAAACTCTGTAGGTAAGTCAATTTCAGGCAGTTCGGGCGCTTCTGTCTTGATGAACTGAGGCACTTGTCTGGCTTTCGCAGTGAGGTTTGGTTGGTCGTGACCATTGAGGTAGGCAGCATCTCTTACAACGGCTTGCTTACTGATTGGTCTTTCCAGCATAACCCTTTTCCTGAGAGAATTGGAGTTTTTCAATGAGGGTGATATTCCAAGGATACTCATGATTGAAAGCTCTAGGAGTCGAGTTGAGTTTGGAGTAAGACCGCCAGGGATGTGCATTTCTGTCTCTTGATTGAACTCCGATAGCGTCTCCAAGAGAAGGCCCTTCAGGCTTTGGTGAAGAGGACCGCCCTTGATAAAATCGAGTGATCCTTTGGCCACAAGAAGAGCAAAACGAGCTCTTTCTCGGGGCAAGTTGATTGGTAGAGGCATCAAGTAGCACGATTGGGATGCCATGGTCTTCATCACCTCTAGAATCTGAATAGACGACTGTTGGATCATTGTCATGCTCGAAATGACGCTAGCAACGTCCCTTTGCTTCAGGGCAAGTCTTTCTTTAATTGACAAACCGACGTTATGATGGTACCCATACTTTGAAATAATCGGCAAGTATATCAACACCTTGGCATGATAATAAAGAAAGATCATCACTAGCTGATGTTTGCTGTAGATGCTCCAATTAGTGCCTTCCATTCCGCCATTAAGTTTATTATTAGACTGGTCTCTAAGTGAGAAGCCATTAACATCGATCTCGAACTTGAGCTCTGCTGGCAAGTCTCTTCTCCAGCACTCAAGAATCCTGTCCTTTTCCAATGCACGTTCAGTAACATTGATATCTCCTGATCTGGTAAAGATGGAATCCATGATATTTCCCAACACTTTGCAATATTGCATAAGACTCAAAGCCAGCTTTGATACCCTGCCGAAGATAGTCAACTTGGTATTGTTAACGATCAAAATGTTCTGGTTGTCTCTCTCGTCTTCGCTTTTTCCGCTAAATGGCATGGCACACTCAATTTCATAATCCTTCAAAAGACGAGGAATACCCAAGTTCAACGAGGAATAAGCATCAAGGCAATAGATGCACCAGAACAAAATACGTCGCTCACCTTGCATGAAATTTTGGAGATTCACATTGTTGATATCCTTTCCATTAAGACCAAGGACAGCGGCAGGACATCTATGCAATCTGAGCTGTTGTGCCATAGAAATAACACGGCCCCGAAGTTCGTAACAAGTTGTAACATCCCCAATGGCGAGACAGTATTGGAGGGCCAAAGCAAGGATTTGAAGAGATTGTAATGAGCAGTATTTTGTGATCAAACAGTTTGGCTTGATGAATTGGTGAATCAATTTGTCGTAGCGATTGAGTAATGCTGCTTTCTGACGAAGTTCCTGCTTGTCGTTCGAATTCATAAGCTCGACTTTTTGTGATAAAATTCCGAAAGATATTACAAGCACCATCAAAGCACCGACTTTTTCTGTCAGCTCATAAGAGTACTCATATGTTGGTTCACTGGAATTATGGTCGATCAATTCATCCAACTTCAAGAAATTCTTGAGGAACACACCTTTGTTAACCAATGGAGTAATGTTACCCCAGTCCTTGAAATATAACGTGAGAAGATGATCAAGTTCAGTCCTGGTAGGAAGATGTAAGAGCTTAAGGTACCTCATGGCCTCGTAATGACTCAAATTGGTTACATCTGTCCTGTCCATTATTAGAGACATTAACTCTTCTTCTTCAGTATAGTCAGGCTGGAAAACCGCTCGGGGATCAAGTGTTTCCTTAAGAGAAGCCAAAGCATTGGCGGTAATTATAGCTGGCTTCGAGCCGTAGCCGTATACTTGACATATCTTTGCCAAAAGTGTGGGAATAAATAAGGTCTCTTCGGTGCTTCTAGGGATAGAAGCAGCCAAAAGGTGAGTTAGAAGTTTCTGTTTGCTTTCATCCTCCAATTGTTGCTGTTCCGGGTTTGCCATCTTCTGCATTTGCTCAATGGCTGTAGCAGCCGCAAACGCGCCAGGAGCTGGGCTGACTTCCTTGTTTGGGAAAGCACTGAACGACTTATCGAATGGTCTGTGGCTATGGTTCATAAACAGAGGGTCCTCGAGACTTAGCAAGCTGTGAGTGTCGTCGTCGTCTCCACTAAGCACCGATTGAGGTACTGAAACGTTGCCTGACTCTCCATAGACAGATCCGGCTAACGAGACAGGTCTTTCGTGGAGAGCATTATTGCCTGAGCAACAAGCACAACCGTCTCCATGAGTATGTGTATGAAGCACAGAATGTGGGTTCAGGAAGTTTGGAATACTCGAAGTGTCGTTCTGGCGGGACGTATCCAGATCAGAATCCGATCTGCTATTGGGCAAATCAGGGAGGGAAGTGTTTGTCGCTAGTTGTTCGTCACGAAGATCAAGAAGGCCCTGGAGCTTGGTATTTTCAGCTTCAAGCTGACGAATCCTCTCCTCCAAAGTCTCCGTATAACCCTTAGGAAACGCTCTTCTGGAGAGTTTATCGGATACAACACACTTGATGCCAACCGCAGCACACGCCGAACAAGCCGGTCTCTTTCCATCACATTTTGATTTTTTGGCTCGACACCGATCACACGCCTGGGCGATTCTCGTCATCGACGATCCAGGGGCAGTGATGGTCTTCAGCGGATCAAGCTGGCTCTTCCCTTTGCTCTTGGTCTTTTTTGCATCCGAGCCCTTCTGGGGATCTAGAGCGTCCGGAGACATTCAGTCTTGTGTGGGGTAATTAAACGTGAAAAATATAAGTATAACAGGCAGCCAAATCAACCGACTAAAAAGGACTTCTTTAAAAAGAAAAAGATTATATTTTTTATCACGTCGACCCACTTAAATGTTCCAATCGCTTGAACTTTGGAGATATAGATGGTGGAGTGCGCACAAGACACTTCACATATAGTCTGGAGGTGAAGTTTCGCTGCACATGCGATAAATGAGTCAAGCGGTATAGTACAAGGAAAAAAAAAAAAGAGGCTGTTATCGCGCAAATGAGAGCACCTCGGTTGCAAATCTGACCATACGGCTGGGCCAGGAAGAAATGGGAGGTGGAATGGAGAAGAGGGTTTTTGGTGGCCAGGCAATTAACTCAACTTGTCAAATGGTCTTTTCGAGGGGAATTGATGAAAATGAAAATTCGTTTCCCACTTTTGTGTGTCTTTGTGTATCGTCTCCACGCTCTCGGACCAAGGGAAAACCTCTATACTTCCACTTTCACGCTTCGCAGATTAGGAGCCTAATACCGTGGAGTACCCGGTTTGGCGGATATGCGTAAGCGTTCGGTTGGAAAAATGAAGGAGAAAAGAAAACGGTCGACAAAGGGCTCCTACCGTGTTGGTCTTTTTGTATTTTTTTCTGATTTTGTGCAAATTCTAGGTCCCTGCCTCTTACGGTATTCGGACTTCGCTTACATTAACTTTTCACCTAATTTGTGCAGACTCTGATGCGCAGTAGTAGATAAGTCAGTTACACCTTCCAGGTTCCTTTGATCTGGGTCTATATTATGGCTTCGAAACGTGTTGTTAGTAAAGTGGCCGATGAGGCTGTCAAGAGAAGAAAGTCTTCGAGAATAGGAGCCAAGCTTCGTATGCTTCTGACTGTGGAGGTGAAGATCGAGGACGAGTCGCTCTGTGGGGCGCCAGAGCACCCTGTGAAAGAAGAGATCATAAAGCAGGAAGTCAAAGAAGAGCCTGTGGAAAATTTTCTGGAAATCAAACAAGAAGGGTTTGAAACTCATGCAGATGAAGTTTCGCCTATAAATGGGACGTGTTTCTCCACAGTAAGGCCGTCAGACTTGGCCCAGGGCCAACCTCCCAACTGGCAGGCCATCTATAACGAAGTTGTGGCCATGAGAGGCCGTATAATCACTCCAGTGGACTCTATGGGCTGTGAGAAAATGCCCGATACGCTTTCACCGCAGCTTCTGGAGAAACAGCCCCAGCTCTACCGGTTTCAGCTACTCATCTCGCTCATGCTCTCTTCACAGACCAAAGACGAGATCAACTACGAAGCGTCGCAGAATATGAAGAAGCACTTCATTTCCAAAGGCTTTTCCAATGGCGTTTGTATTGAAGCCATTCGTGCCTCGAGCGAGTCTGAACTCGACGAGCTTATCAAGCGTGTAGGCTTCCACCGCCGGAAAGCCATGTACATGAAGAAAGCGTGTGATATGCTTCACGAAAAGCATAACGGTGATATTCCCAAATGCATCGAGGACGTTGTTGAACTTCCCGGGGTAGGCCCCAAAATGGGCCATTTACTACTACAATTTGGCTGGGGCATCAACAGTGGCATTGGCGTAGATGTACACATCCATCGCCTCGCACAGAAATGGGGTTGGGTGCGAAAGTCAGATAAGCCAGAAGCCACAAGATTGGAGCTAGAGCTGTGGTTACCAAGAAGACTTTGGGCTCAAGTCAACCCTTTGCTTGTTGGATTTGGCCAAACGGTGTGCAATTCCCAGATCTCCAACTGTGATGTGTGCACTTTGGCATCCAAAGGTTTATGTAAGGGCGTGAACAGAAAGCTACTCAAGGGACCTATAAGTGAGGACAGATTGAACAAACTACGCAGGCAGCGTGCTGATTTGCTGCCTTTGGTTGAGGACCAAAAAGCTGGAATTGTTAATTTTTGATATCGGTCTTTTGCACCCTCGGCGTTACTGCCTCTGCTGCTGCTGCTGCTGCTGCTGCAACTGGCTCGCGCTAACATCTGTGCCCCATGGTACCACTATATGGCCCAAGCTCCGACCTTATAAACCTTGACAACACCACCCGTTTATTCACCCCATGATTGGGTATACCAAGCTTAAGCTACCGCTGAGCTCTATAGCTCTCAGGTCTTCTAGATGTCTGCTCCATTCCACATCCAGGTGCCACCTCCAACCGATACCGCCTATATACCCACACACTTCAGTTGAGCCTCCAGATGACTTCGATGCTCTTGCATATCGAAACTGGATCAAATTTAGAGATCCAAAGCCTGAATCGTTCTCGGTGATGTCTTTCAACCTTCTATCGCAGCATTATGTGTGGAAGCAAGTGTTTGAGTATTTGGATCCACGATACCTTGACTGGCCTCATTACCGGTTCCCTCTAATCAATACGGTCATTGAGCAACTACCGTGTGACATCTTGTGCTTTCAAGAGCTAGAATGTCTGGTTTATGAAAACCAATGGCGGGATCTGTTTCCTTTGGACGACTACCAACTGATCTACTTGAGGAAACCGCAACCTGGTTATTGGGGCACGAGGCCTCCTGAGTTCATGGATGGTGTTGGTATATTTATCAACAAGAAAAGGTTTAATCTTTTGGAATTTCGTGAACTCAACTTTGGCAATTACGTTTCAAGCCATGCGGATAGATTTGATCTCACCGAGGACGTTGCATCCAGACTCATACCGCGTAATACAGTGGCTCTTCTTGCCCTTCTATACGACAAGCTTACTAGAAAGCATATATTCGTTACCAATACTCATTTATATTGGCTGCCAGCATTTAATGATGTGAAATTGATGCAGACAAAGCTCTTGCTCAATTCATTGTCCAGGTTCATAAGTGACTCTGGGCTTGAAAATCCACCCATTGTTATGTGTGGAGACTTCAATTCCACTCCAACGTCGTCCGTTTATAAATTCTTGTCAAGAGGAAGGGTAAACCTTGAGCACGCTCAGGAGTTTCTTGGCCACAATTACGGTACGAAGGTGGATGGCGAGCAGATCAAGGGCAACTTGTTACATAATCCGTTCTCCCTTGTGCCAGCTTACGGACCCCTTCTAGATAATTCGTTGTCAGAGACTCTTGACTTTACAAGCTACACTAGAAGTCTCACTGCTGTGTTGGATCACATATGGTTTTCTAAAGACCAACTTGAGGCATCTAAGGTCTTAGGCAAGGTTGAAGAAAGTTACAGTGTCAATTCATTGGGATTCCCCGATCGTCAATTTCCCTCGGACCATATTCCTCTCATCTCAGAGATAAGCTTTGTCTGATACATGTTTCACGAAGCCAGATTTCGCAGCCAGGCAAAGCCGCAGACTGAGCACACGACCATTAACGATACCAAAGCATACCACAATAAAACCGTTATAGACACAATTAGCAATAATAGAAATACAAATAACACCCCTAATATCTCTCTACAGCTCTCTGGTTGCCCTTGTCTCTCTTCATTGGTTGTACTTTAGTAGTCGTGCCGCACCCATCAAGTAACGTGACCTGCAACGAAAACTGCCCTTTCTAGATGTTCAACCGACCATATAGCCATCAACCTTCGCCAACACAAGTGGAACAAAGCATTCGTCAGTGGTTCTTAAACGAACATTAAATTAGATCACTTACAAAACTGGTAAACCATTTTTAGCTTGTTTTGCTGTGCCTAACTTCCGCTAGTCTGCTACCCAACGTTTTTTCTTATTCAACGAAGAGTCGACGCCGTTTCACCAAACACAGCCGAATCAAGCATACCCCAGGCACCCTCGTGTTTTACAGACACTTCCAGACAAAAGGCATAACTTTGCTACTGGTTCCATAGTAAACCCGAGGTTTTAAGCGTGCTCTGAGGAACTGGTTCATTCGTGCTGAAAGCTTAAGCTACTAGGCGATGAACATAAATCAGAAGTTTCAGCTGAATCTGCAACCGGGTATACCATCACAGCAAATTTTGCTTCAGCAATTACAGCAGGGGCAGCCACAGAACCAGCAGCAAAACGCAGGTTCTGGGCCCCAGTATCCCGCTGTTCAAGATGGTATGTATGCGGATTCACAATTTTACCAAAGAAATGGTAATTCGTTCAACCAGGGTCCCGGCCCTGGTTTTTTCCCACCCCTGCAATTCCAGCAGCTGGGTCAATCTCAAGGTGACCAAGGCATGAACCAATACCAGCCTGGCCTTCAACAACCACCGAACTTGAATCCACAGAAGTTTATGAATCAACAGGTTAATATGTTGCAACAGCCACTACAGCTGCAGCTGCAACTCCAACAGCCACCACAATCGCAACAGTCTCAGTCACAACAGTCACAACCACTGAATGTACAATTGGCTGCCAGTGGCTTTCAGCCAGCTGCTGCTAAAGTCAGTGCGGTTAATGTCGATGACCCTAACACCGTGTATTGGCAACATCAGACTCTGTTGTGTCAGTTGTCTCGGAGTGAAGATATTCCTCATTTTTACGCCAAGCTGTATGCTCAAAACCTGAGAAAGAACAAGAATCCATATAACGATGTGAAGACGGTCTCGTTGATCGAGGCTACAAAGACTATTGTCAATGCCTTGAAGGAACAGGAGAAGCAACAGTTGGCTGCGCAAACTCCCAACACTCCAGCTGCGTTGATGAGAAATAAGAAGATGGATTTGGAGGAAGATGAAGAGCAGAGATTGATGGCCAAATCCCATGGAAAGCAGTTGTGGTGTCATTTGGATTTGTCTGGCCAGGGTTTGTTGAACCTCTCTCCAAAATTGTTCAGATATGACTTTTTGGAGAGTCTCTACTTGAACTACAACAAGCTCACCACCATTCCTAAGCAAATCAAAGAATTGCGCGGTTTGAGAGTATTGGACTTATCTCACAATAGGATCACCGAAGTTCCCTCTGAATTGGGTCTTTGCTACAACTTGCGTTACCTTTATCTTTTTGACAACAACATTAAGACATTACCGATCGAATTCAGGAACTTGATAGAGTTGTTGTTTTTGGGAATTGAAGGTAACCCCATTGATTTGAAGATCGCTAACTTGGTTGCTGAGAGTGGACCTAAGGCATTGATTAATTATTTCAGAGACATGGAGCCAACTTATTCCGAGCCAACTCCAAGATCGTGGCTTTTGTTGAAGGAAGATGGTGAAATAATTGACCCTGTCACCAATCCAAATGCATACTCGGACGATCATACCAATGTGGATGCTTCTAGTACTTTCACATTGATGTCGTACAACACATTGTGCCAGCATTACGCTACGACAAAGTTGTATCAGTACACGCCTTCGTGGGCTTTGGACTGGGAACACAGAAAGAATGCATTGAAGGAGGAGATTCTTGCTCTTGCTACGGATGTCATCTGTTTGCAAGAGGTCGAAACTCGTACTTTCCACGAATTCTGGGTTCCTCTCATGCAAAATGTTGGTTACAAGGGATTCTTCTTCAGCAAGACAAGATCTAAGACCATGGGTGAACTTGAATCCAAGAAGGTGGACGGTTGTGCTACTTTCTACCGCGCCTCCAAGTTCCAGTTTGTTCAGAAGCAGCACTTTGAATATAATACTGTCTGCATGGGTTCTGATAAGTACAAGAAGACGAAGGACTTGTTCAACAGATTCATGAACAAAGACCATATCGCTTTGATTGTTCAGCTACAGCACATTGAAACTGGCGAGAAGATCATCTTTGTGAACACTCACTTGCATTGGGATCCAGCGTTTAATGATGTCAAGGCATTGCAGGTCGGTATTCTTTTGGAAGAGTTGCTGGGTGTGATCAAGAAGTTCAACCATACGTCCAGCCAAGAGGAGGTAAAGAGCACGTCTGTGGTTATCTGTGGTGATTTCAACTCGACAAAGAGCAGTGCAGTTTATCAGTTGTTCTCCACTGGCTCTGTGTCCAAGCACGAAGATTTGGAGGGTAAGGACTACGGAAGATTTACTGATGAGGGCTTCCATCACTCGTTCAAGTTGAAGTCCGCCTATGATCATATTGCATCAGACTTCCCATTCACCAATTACACACCAACCTTCACGAACGTGATCGATTACGTTTGGTACACCACGCCTACATTACAAGTGCAGGGCTTGCTTGGCAAGCCTGACGAAGAGTATTTGAGTCATCACATTGGATTCCCCAACGCGCATTTCGCCTCTGACCACATTCCTCTTGTGACCAAATTCAAGGTGCGTAAGAAGGGTGCTTCGTCTGGAGTGAAGAAGCCTGACTTTAAGCCTGACTTCAAAGGTGGGTCTTCTAGGAAGACGTGAGGAGGAAGCCAGATGAGATGATGATGATGTTAGATGAAGATGAAGATGCAGGGTTCCTAGCCCTGAGTGTATTTTAGTATAAACTGAGATTATCAACCTGTAAGTATTGGATTGTAGTGACTCACGCATCGGAGCACACAATAGTGGGGGCGTGGGGGCGCACCATTATAAGCTGTTTAGCGAAAGTCGTTCCGGCCATTGAGCCGCATCGAGTATAAATCATACATTTATAGACACGGTCATTCCCTCCAAATGACCTTCATTCGCTAACCATGTCCCTTTTATACCCTTCGCCCAACGACCGCAGAGATGCTCATGACCATTTGGAAGTGAGAGATGAGTTCAAGGAAGAAATATCCAGATCTCTCAAAGACGAGAAGTTGAAAAATCGGTACAAGTGGTCTTTCGAGACTGTTCAAGGCTTCTTCGCTCAATCCGATGAGAAAACTGATGACGTGGAATTCAATTACGCTTTCAACAATATCGGAAGACTCAAAAGCTGGGACCAGCTCATAGCTGACTTGAAAGAGTTGAACAGGAATGCTAAGCCTAACGAGGTGTTCAAATTGGTGGTCTCTGCCAGGCATGGTGAAGGCTTCCACAATGTGGTCGTTGATAAGCACGGGGCCTTAGCGTGGGAGGAGAAATGGAGCCACCTCAATAGCGATGGGGAGTATGAGTACGGCCCTGATGCCATGCTCTCTGAGAAGGGCATTAACCAGGCTAAGCAGAACCACGATGTGTGGCAGAAGGAGATTGAAGAGCACGGTGCCCCATTGCCTGATAAGTTCTTTGTCTCTCCAATGCGAAGATCTATGTGGACATTGATATACACTTGGGAAGGACTTCGAAACAAGGACCAGCGTGCACTCATTGTGGAAAACTTGAGAGAGCGCTACGGTAACCACACTTGCAACAAGAGGAGCTCGAAGCAAGTGATTGAAGAAAGATTTGGGGAATATGGCATTGAATTTGAGGATGGTTTTACTGAAGAAGACGAGCTTCATGAGGAAGTTCAAGAGACACACTTCCATCATTGCCTCAGGACTAATGATTTCTGCCAGGAGCTTTTTGAACAGGATTGGGATGCAAAATCTGGCTCGGTTGACAAAGAGAAAGCTTTGGCGAACTCGTTTATTTCTACTACTTCTCATGCTGGTACCATCAGTGAGCTTTTGACCGTTTTTCAACATAGACCGTTTGCTATTTCTACCGGAGGAATGATTCCTGTGGTTGTTAAAGCAACTAGAAGAGAGTAAAGTTTATAGATACATCTCATGCTTCACCGCTACAGTGAATTAAAGTAGTTTATAATGAACCAAACCTAAGAACCGTATCCAAACATAACGATCTCACTGATCCGACGAACTAAAGTTGAAATAAAAAACGCTTGGAGCGATAGGTCTACAATCTTTTCTCGTCATTAGAAGACGAGTCAGAAGCTGTAGCTTGACGTACGCGAGGCTCCACCTCGACCTTAACGTCCTCCTTAGGATCAGAGAAGCTCTCTCCAGATTCCTCGTACTCTTGGCTGATGGTACCATTACCCAAGTTAGCAAGGTCGTATCCGTTGGCTTTCAAGTACTCGACGAACTTTCTGTCTTCATCGTTAATGGCCTCCTGACCAACAGATGGACAGAAGAACAAAGTCAAGATAGCAGAAAAGATACACAATCCAGAAGAGATGTAGAAGGCAGTTCTGACACCCTCATCGGAGTCAGCACCACCGTTGTTCTTCAAGATGACTGGGAAAACGTAGGTACCAACGAAAGCACCAATCTTACCAAGAGCGGCAGCAATACCATAGTACTGACCTCTCACAGGGGTAGAGGATGTCTTGGAAGCCAAACAGCCAACATTGTTACCAGGACCAAACTCACCAAGAGCAGAGAAGATACCGTACACGACGACGAAGCCACCAATTTGGTGTTTCAAGGTATGATAGCCTGCCGTCATACCAAAGCCAACAATGGCTTGAGCAATAAGACCACCTGCCATAGTGAGTCTTGGGCCAAAGTAGTCAGTGGCGAAACCACCAAGGAAAGTACCTGGAAGGTAGAAAAGATTGAAGACAACGTTCCAGCCGAAGGTCTTGTACAAATCACCATCTGGGATAATGATCTTCAAGATGTATGAAGAGTAAAGACCAAAAGAATATGCCGAAAAGTCGTAGATAAACCAAACAATAGACACAACAGTCAATCTGAACCAGTAAAACTTGATAACAAGCCACCATGGGAACAGCTTAGCAGTCTTCATGTTAGTCTTCTCGTAAGACTCAGAGTTCTTCATCTTTCTTCTCATGAAGTAAAGGGCGAAAGGAGGGAACACACCAAGACCCAAGGTCAATCTCCAGACAGGTTCAAGGTGGCTATCAGAGAAGATCCACAACAAAACCATTGGCACGAAGGCAGCAACTACGTAACCAAAGTCAATACAAGAGTTTGTGAACCAAACAAAGTATCTGTTTCTGTGACCAGCAGGTAATTGGTTAGCAAATTCTGAAGCAATCACCGAAGAAGTTGGATACTCAGCACCAATACCAATACCCAAGAAGAAACGGAAAACAGTCAATGCAGTAAACAAACCCTCAGGAGTCTTACCCCAAGTAGCCACAGCACAAAGAAGGGTAAAGAGGACAAGGATAATGTTAGCAGCCAACATACCACCTTTTCTAGCAAGATGGTCAGAGATGTAACCAAAAGATAACTGTCCCACGACAGTACCTGCGAAAGCAATGGCTGCAACATTGGAAATAGCGTTGGAGTTAGTGTAAGCTTCACCATAGATGAGAGACAAACAAGTGGTGACGGCAGAAATAGAGTTATTCACATAACCATCAGAAAAAAGACCAGCACCAGAGATGAAAGCAGGCCACAAGTTCTTGAACTGAACTTTTCTAACAGCCTCTCGACTTTCATCATCTTGGTCTTGTTCAGCCAAGGCAATGTTTCTCTCACGCTGAGCCTTGGTCAAAGCCAACTCGTCTGGGATTCTTTCATACCAGCCACAGAAGGCTTCTCTGAATGAATGAGGAATGTCTCTAGAAGACATTATATGATCTTGTTATATTAGCGATTTTTGTGCCAAGAAAGCAAGCTGGCCGTTGCCAAGTTCTTTTTTTGTTTTTTTGACAGGAAGGGTCTGGTAGGACAAAGGGGAAAACTGCTTGGCAGAAGCGTGCGTAGAATTTGACAGGTGAAAGCCTGGTTGCAAAATAAAGGGAAGTGTCCTATGGAGTGAACAAGAGATCAGAATTGAATTAATGGGGAAATGGCAAGGTCTTTATATGCGGTGAAAGACGCCTCCGGCAGATGGATTTTATTCGTGTGCCTAAGTTTCTACAGCAGTAGATGCGAGCACGTAACCAAAGCGCCGTACGGGAAGCCAGAAAAAAAAAAAAAAGTATGCTGAAGAATAACTATCAGAGCTGCACGGTTGCCGCACCCGCAGATGGACGAAACGTGACAATAATTAGCTAATAGACCCGGTTCCCGCGATAGCCAGGATCATTTTTCCCCATCGATCCAAGCTTTTTTTTTTTCTTATCTCTAATTGGATGTAACGGCTCCTAAGTGAGGGGACAGGGGAAATGCCTTGGTATTTTTTTTATTTTGCATGGTCTTTGTTCGTATGCTTTCTCCCACTACTTCTTCGCTTTGCTCTCTTCTTTAGTTCCCAGCAACGTGGGCCACATGGGGCCCGCTAGGGTGAGCCCTCATAGTGGGTGAGCACCTTGGGCGGATACCCTGTCGCACGGCGCCAGTTTGAAGTGGTCACCACATGGAGCTAACTATGGGAAAACGTGGGGTCCACTGTAATATAATTGACAGTTTCCCTAAGCAGGCGTTGCAGGCGGCATTGCAATTGTCATTAGGGGGAGAAGACGTTTTTTGTGCACTGAATAAAGCACATTTAGCGGATGGCGTTTTCGGGAACCCTGGGCGGGGCGTAACCACCTTCTCACCTCAATGCTCTAATACTATTAGTCGAAAGCTTAACCTACATTCTTATCCTCTCCTCTTCTTGGATTTTGTGTGCCTTCACCAGTACCTGGATCAGCCGGCCATACGGCAAGCTTTTCGGCATAGGGCTACTTGAGCATGCGCCACATGGGTTCGGCCCTTTTTTTTTTTTTTTTTTGGCATTTTATTTTTCACTTTTAACCGTCACAAGATGCTAACCCAGCGCAATCTGCGTGGTCGCTTCGGTGCGTTTGCTATGAAAGGGCTCAAGCGCAGCATTCTGCTTAACCGAGACAGTTGGCTTTTCTTGGTATACTCCAACTTGGCTGTCAAGATTTTTGGCACCCTGGCCCACTCAAATGTCTCAGCCAGGTTGTGTATCTCAGAAGTTTTCCTCGGGATCTCGGGTAAAATTGGGTCGTCGCGGCTTCTCTTGAAAGAGTGTTTCGGCGTTTCGAGTCACCGGATGCTTCGCACACTGGAGGTGGAATATTCTCTGGATTTCTGTAGGTTACTTTCCCTTGTTTTCTGACGTTACATCCGCGGAGAAAGCTCCAGCACTCTTGGCTACGCGAACTTACGTCAATGCAACCAACCCCCTAGCAATCGCCGTTTGCGCTAACAAGGTTTAAATAAACCTTTCACGTTTTGTGTAGTTCTTAGCGGCCAGGCTTAATTGACCTTCACGTTTGTGGTTCAACGTCAAGCATTCACATTCGGTAATCCTACGCAGCCGTCTGCGTGTTTGGACTTTCTGCAGGTGGCACATCTATTATCGCTCCTCTTTACAATTACGGTTACGTTTTCCTACTTCTTGTATGGTTACTAGACAAATGCCACTTGCAATAGATCTGTTTAAATTTTACCGAAGCCTTACGGGGAGAAGGGTTTTGTTCTTTCTTTATATGCAATTTACGTGAACTATTTATTGTTTGACGTTAGGAATCTTAAATTCACCCTTTTTTCTCTGCTATCAGTCCTTATCTGTTCACCTCCATTCGACGGCGTACTTCAAAGTCTCTCCCGCCTTGAATGGCACAACTTCTAATTTATCATTTCCAATAACCTGGGGCACAGCGTTATCGCGACGAACAAGGACTGCCTTATCAGCATTGACCAAGTCCTTGTCTTCAATTTCATAGAAGGCTCTTCCGTTTTCGGAAACAAACTTACGCAAGTTGTCGAGCTTTCCAGCGGCATCAAAGACTTCAGCGACGTAAGCGATAGCGTTACTTTGGGTGTAAACACCGGCACAGACACCGGTATGCTTTGCTTTGCTCTCGATAGGGTGTGGGGCCGAGTCTGAGCCAAAGAAAAAGTATTTATCGCCTGAAGTGGCGGCTTCAACTAAAGCTCTCATGTCAGCTGGCAACTTAGCCACTGGCTTACAGAAATTGATTGGATTGCCCGCCCAGGCATCAATGGTCAATGAAAGGTGGTGAGCAGTAATGGTAGCTGCCACTCTAGAGTTGGGGTTCTCCTGGTGGATTTGACGAATGGTGTCAATGGCACTCTTCGTGGTGCAGTGCTCCAAGATGATCTTTAAGTTGGGGAAATCCTTCGACAACTTGAGCAAAGCAGGCATGAACTGAGGCTCTGCGTTCAACACATGAATGTCCTCATCATCGGAAGGTGGCTTCTCTCCATGCAAATTGAGAACCAAGTTGTTCTCTTCCAAGGCCTTGAAGATAGGATAAAAACTGGAGAAGTCGTTAGGATCAACACCAGCAGAAGAGTTGGTGGTAACACCAGCTGGGTAACACTTCACACCGTGAATAGCGCCAATCTTTGCAGCCTCATGAATGAGATCTGGGGTTAAGTCCTTGCACAAGTAGAAACTCATCAAGAAGGTCGTCTTAGGAGAGAGCTTTTGAAGACTGTTCTTGTATTCAACCACACGATCTATCGTGGTAACTGGAGGCACCAAGTTGGGCATCACATATGCGATGGATACACCTCCATCTCTCACAGTTGGAGTGATGAGGTCCATCATTCTGCCGTCACGAAGGTGAACGTGCATATCAGCGGTAATTCCTAATTCAATCTCAGTCATTCTTTATAAATAGTATGGTTTTTAAGGAGCGTATGAGTTGCAAACCTATAGTGGGGAAAATGATTGGTAGATCTGAAAAAAAAAAAAAAAAAAAAAAAAGTACGAAGATTTCGATAAGCTACACGTGATCTTCCGCCTGACTTACCCCGGATTTTCGTTTTATCATTCAAGGTCAGTATACTCTGAAAATATTGGTATCATGGCTAAATTTGCACGTCGAACGAATATCGAAGTTCTGAGGACCTCAAGATCCGACTCTTCAAGTCGTCCAGTCAACCTGGTCAACGTATCATGCACCACACCTTCCAGCTCTTCATGACCATTTGCAAGCCAAACGATGAGAAGGGAGTATTCCTCGGTTGTTTTTATCATGGCGATGCCTACTATATGTACTGCTTGTTAGTGGGTGTTTTCTTTCTGTTGTTAACGTCACATACCGTTTGCCTCAAATGGCTGCGAAAACCCATTCAGAAGAATCAAACTGGCTAACCTCCCATAGCAAGCGAACTCCTTAGAGGGCTTAACTCTCATAAAAATCGACAGATCCAGAAAGTTTGTTCTTGTGTCTGGGGTCATTTCAGCTCTCAAAATGTGGAGCTTCTTGTATGAGACCTGCTTTGATCTTACTGTCTCGAGCACTGCTTCAAACGTTTCCCTATCATTGATAACACTTCCGAACCTCTCCCGATCGTCGTCTGGTCCACGTTGAATCCACATATTCCACTGACTAGGGAACAGGTCGTAGGGTGACCGTCTCTTGAAGCGCCTTTCGTACCTTAGGTGGTTCATAACGAGGTAGTCATGATAATTATTCATCACCATCTTTGTCGCCAGGCAGCTGATGAGGGCCTGGGGTGTTCTTGAAAGCCATGAGTTATTAGTGTCGTCATTTAACTTGTCGGTTTTGTCATTTCCCACCGCCTCGTTGGCTGTAAAGAATGCTTTTATATGATCACGAATCTTGAAGCGAGTATAATAGTAAGGTTCTTTATCGTCACAGAAGCTCTCGTCGGAACTTGTGACCTCTTTATCGGTCTCGTAATTTATATTAGGAACACTTAACTCTTCTATGTCCATGATTTATGATTTCAGTGATGTAGTAGGAATGGTTGCAAAAACGTAGACCGTGCGACACAAGCCATCCATACACTCACTTCCTCATCTCAGGGTACCTACTTGAACATAGAGCCACCAAAACAACATGAGTTCCATTTTTATTCCCCATCTACGAACAGGGTGGCATGTTGACCAAGCTATTCTCTCTGAAGATGAAAGACTCGTCATCATACGGTTTGGTAAAGACTATGATCGCCTGTGTATGATCATGGATGAGACGCTTTATGGTATTGCCGAGAAGGTCAAGAACTTTGCTGCTATATATGTGTGTGATATTGAGCAAGTGCCTGACTTTAACGAGATGTATGAGCTTTACGATCCTTGTACGGTTATGTTCTTCTACCGAAACAAGCACATGATGTGTGACTTTGGCACTGGCAACAACAACAAGCTCAATTTCCTCATAGACAACAAGCAAGATATGATTGATATCATTGAGACGATATATAGAGGAGCTATCAAGGGTAAGGGTCTTGTTGTCAGCCCTAAGGACTACAGTTCGGCGAGAATGAGGTAAACCTACAGGGTTGATAATATTTGGTCGGAAGAACTTTTTCAATCTTAAGACTACTTAAAAATTACTCCTGAACTTCGTTCTGAGCAAAGAAGAAGTTAACAGCCAACAATTGAGAGCTGCCACCGTGCTTCTTGAAATAGTCTCTGACTCCAGAGCCAGGCACATTAGTTCCCCAAGTTGGTCTGTCAGGAGGAGTGACCAAATTAGCCTTGGGGTCTTGCTTGTATAATAAGAAAACATACCTGTGCTTTCCAGTCTTCTCTGGAGGAGCAGGGCCAACGTAGCTCAAAAGTTCGTTGCCCTTGCTAATGTCCAAAACCGTAGACAAGGACTCCTCAGAATCAGCATTGTTAGTGTTCAATGGCAAGTCGGTGACAAGCCAATGGGCGTATTCAGACCACTTCTGATCGCCTCTAGTTGGTGCATCGGGGTCGGTCAAAACCAAAGTGAACTTGTCGTCACTGTTAACCTGCAACTCCTTCTCCTGGTTTGGAGAGTTCAAGGTGAACTGGATAGATGGAATCTTCTGAGTGTCAGCAACCTTCAATGTGTTGCCCAAAGTGACATGGTGTTCTTTGGAATACTCAATGGTTAACAAACCTTGCGTGTCGAACTTGTCGACGACATCGGGAATGATGGAATGCTTGTTGTAAGCTTCATCCAAGGACTGGGAAATAGTCATCAAATTCATTTTGGGTAGACGGAATCTAGGAATAACAAAGGATGGCCTGGCTTGTCTGGCTAGAGCACCCCTATATATAGAGAACATTACTCAATTGCTAAAAGGAGAGGAGTTAACATATAACCACATGACGTAAAAAGGGAGCGTGAGCAGCCTATATAAACTTAGAGTGCATTTAACCCCATGGAGCCGCTCAATGTTGCCTTCATTTTTTCATTGAGCGCCTCCCGACAAGATCCGATCTCCTTGCATACAAATAATATTGAGCAATAGGGAAGGGCCATGGTTGCCTCGACCCAAGTCTTGAACCTTGATTGTGTATATGTAGCAATTTACTGAATGGGGGAAAAGGGGGGGAAAGGGGTTACCATGGGGAGACACATTGGGGCTTTTAAAAGGCCAAGGAGGTGCACATTTGAATTTTTCATGAGATATTTCGTGGTTCTTCTTTTCTCGGGCATCCACCTTAATTTGTCTCTTTTTGGTGTGGCAGTGGGGAAATCGCAAAAGACCAATTCAACAACAGTGGCACAAAAAATCCAGTTTTGCACTTAAACAGAAAATAAAAGCTTCTTTTGATTCCTACAATCTTAAAGAATCACGAAAACGAAGAGTTTAAACTAGAAACGTCGATATCATCTTACAATTGCCATTGTCAATTTGGTTGCTAACGTAGGCCGCATTTTTGCTTGGTACATTTCTACTCTGTCCACAGTTTCATGGGTGTTCGCACTATTGCATTGATTAAAATACACTGGGCTATTCGTACAGGGTCTGCTATTGCAGCCATTTTAACATCCGGCCGCTGGGGCATCTGAACAATCGTTTATCATCAAAAAAAAGGTACAACTACCAGGAATAACCTTTCTCTAGTAATTACTCTCATAAGGCTGGTAGTTTTCGAAATTGTAACTCGAGCTCTCTTCATTATCTTCCTGCTTCACACCTTCATCTCTAGGTCCACCAATGTCTTCCAAAGCTGGAACGGGTTGTGGAACATCGCCCTTGTTGCCTTCAGCAGGACGAGGCGGAAGCTGTCCGCCTGGCAGCGTGTTCAGCGGGATGTGCTGAACACCAGGAAGAGGCAGTCCTTGGCTACCAGGCAGGTGTGGGCCTTGCCCAAGAGGGGCAGCCACCTGAGGAGGCATTGGAGGGTTACCAGGACCACGAATCTGCGATACATGCATCGGAGGCTGTTGGAGATGGTGGATCAGTGGCTGCGAAGGTGTAGCGACATAACTTCCCGTGCGTGACAGACTGGGGAAACTCTTCTTTGGCTTCTCTTCTTCTCTAGGTACAACATCAATAAGGAAATCAAACATATCACTCTTCGTCAAAGCGGCAGCGATGTCAGATTTCTGAAGAGTTCTTCTCTTGTTCTCTTCAGCGTGGATCCATGCACGCATGGTTAATTCAGTGATAAACACATCACAGCCTTTCGCAAACAAGATAGGCGCCTCAGCACTAATCATCTTCACTTCTTCGTCTGTTTTCATAACCTTCTTGATTCTAGCCAAGGGTAGCTGATGGTTCTTGAAGTCGTGGTCGTCATTCTCAATCGAGTCAATCGTCTCTTGCCAATATTGCATCAACAAATCTCTATTTTTACCAGTCAAACCCTGGCCAACGTTTCCAAATACTCCACCAGGTTGTGGTTGTGCCTGCTGCTGAGCAACTGCTGCGTCTGCTGCCGCCTGTGCTGCTAAGAGCTCTTCTTCGTCTACTATAGGATGTTGCGTCAGTTGAGGTGGAGCTCTTTCCAGCGTTGGAATCGACAGCTCGTCAAACAGCTGTCCGTCAACTTCATTATGACCTTGTTCCTGATTCAAGTGCGATATTTCTTGATCGTCCAAGTAGGCGTTGTTATACTCCATTATCGGGAGCTATAGGGTTTCAAGTAAAAGTATTATGTGGGGGTATCAACAACAGTAAAGGGGTGATAGTTTAAAGAAAGATGTCTTGGATGTTCTAAATTAGGAATAATTGTTCAGTCACGATAATTATGAGATTCTGCTTTTAAAAAGTCTTAGACGACAAGCACGTAAATCTGTTGACAGTAACTTTTCATTTCCGAACTGCACTTTGGATGGTGTTTTTTTCTTTCGTGCGAAAGAACGGACAAGTCTTTCTGCAGGAACGAGAATCGGCTTTCTAGCGCCGAAATGGGTTAATGCCATTAAACGGTAACGTTTCAGTAAAAAAGACAAAACCAGGTGCCGTTGAAGAACTTCTACCTATTTATGTGAAATGCTGTTTAATTGACAAAAAAATATGCGCAAGCCCGGAATCGAACCGGGGGCCCAACGATGGCAACGTTGGATTTTACCACTAAACCACTTGCGCCCGAATTACTATTTTGGTTTTACGCAGGATTATGTCAAACTAGCGAAAGTGCTATTTTTCGCGCTAGTTTACTCTATTCTAGTGCATTATCCGTTTTAAGTTTCGAATATGCTTCTTTATTGATCTATATACCTCTCAGACGCGCCAGGAGCTGAGAAGTTTGAGATGTAGGTAGTTGGCACTGGCACCAACCATTCCAAGAGAGAAAAAGCGGAATCTCCAGAACGTACCTATGACGCCAGCATAAAAGAGACCGTATACAACCATCGTGACACTTTTAGGCAACTTCCGGGCCACTGCAGTTTCAAGAACGTAGCCTGAAATGAAAATGGCGAAATACAAAGCTGGCACATAATGATGCAAGTAAGTGACTCTTCCCATGAGAATGAATGGAAGATAATGCAAGACATAGCCAGTGATGGGGAAGATGAATTGGCCAATGAATTTGTTCCACTCTTCGCTATTCACACTCAAATCAACCGATTGTCTTTGCCAGAAATAAAGAGTGCCTAGAGCAAGCAAGATACTCAAACCGACAGATAAAGTGCTGAAATATGTGACGAAAGGATTGCCCATGAGGAAGTACTTGGCATCCTCAGTCCACCAACCACTCATTCTTAATCCAGTCCTTAAAATCGGCCATTCCCACCATTTAGATGCCAATTGGTCGTAATGATCGCCATCAGGAATCAAGGCGTTGTTGGACGCCATCATACCATAATTCAACAAGATGAACTCTTTCCAAAACTTCGGTTTGGGCGCAACATACTTCGTCTTGGGCGCTTCGAATTCATTGTTGACGTGATCTTCAAAGTTCCACCAGGCACTCTTGTCGTTCTTCAAATAAACATTCTTACATGTCACTTCACCTTGCTGGAAACCCCATGCTGGATACGAATATCCTGTTGTGGCCAAGTAACATCCAAGCACTTTGTGACGAAGCCTAAAGTTGGTAGAAATTGGATGAACCTCCAGTAAGTCTTCATTTTGGAATTCAGGTGCAGGGGAGATATCTTGACTTTGAATTTCAATTACCCAATCATCCTTCGAATCATTGACGTCGATATTTCCATAGCAGGAAGTTTCGTAATGGCCTTTCAGAACAGGAGCAGCTATGGAATGAGAATGTAAGAAGCAACCACGGTCCTTGTGCAATAATCTTATCGTGTCACCATCTTTGACGAGTGTCTTGTAGTCAAGGATGACATCAGGATTGTCCTCGTCATGATCTATAGTTGCAAACCTTCCCTTCTTCGCGTTCTCCAAATCAAATTCAATCAAGAACTCGTTGTTCGTATCCTTAAAGCCGTAGGTTGTAATTTGCTGCTGGCGAGAGCCCTCTGGGTATAGATGGGGGTGGGAATGAAGCAAATTAGGCAGAAGGCCTTGGGAACGAAGAGTGACCAAAGAACCATATGCAACAGAACGAGGTCCATTCTTTAACGTGTTGCCTTCTAACTGGGCCTGAAGTAGCGTAGAGATTGAGCCGTCACCCGGGCCGGATTTGCTCAACACCATGAAATGAACCTTGAAAGCTATGATGTAGATGAGAGCTGGAATGATAATAAGGGTAGCAATCCTCACACACCAATGTTTCAAGTAGCTTAGCCAAGAGGTTCTTTTTTGAGCTCTAAATTGGGGTTCTAGGACTTCATAGAGACGAACAAGCAAGTCGTAGATGGTGTAAAATCCAACTAACGTTGTGACGAAAAGCCCAACCCACTTGACCGAACAAACGCATCCAATAGAGACACCAGTAAATGCCAACCAAAGACCTCCTGGCAATGTTGAAAGCTTATTCTCATGATTGAGCTGGTGAGTCTTGGAGAGGCCAAAGAAAGTAGTCACAGTGAAGAATAGAAGCATCGAGTCCAAGAGGATGAATTTCGATAACGTGAGGGACAACATCTCGAAGACCACCAGCAAAGAAATGTACCAAACCGTATAATGGGAGAAGCCCAAGCTCAATGCCGTGAAGTATGCAAAAGGAGTACAGAGGATTCCAAACACGCAGTTGAAGTATCTCATAGCGATTATATTGAACTCCTCAGGGAACTTGTTGCCGCTCTTAAACTCAAACGAGCCATCATAGCCCGCTAACCATCCAGAAAGACCAACAAGGAGTTTACCCAAAGGTGGATGCACATCGAAGTAGAATTCGTTCTTCAAGTAATGGGAGCCGAATTTTCCAAAATGGGCTTCGTCCCAAATAACCTTTTTCACGTCCCCTATACCGTAAAGTCTCAAGTATGCCGAAACCGCTGTAAGAAGCAATGGATTGATTATGTAGACAAAGGTTGACAGTAACGTCCACTTGTTCTTTTCATTTGATCCGTCAATTGAAAGTGAAGATGTCTGTTTGATGATTGAATCGAGATCCTCACTACTAGCTATCGTGCTTGAAGTCGGAATCTGTGTCCGCTGCCTTAGAGAGCCGACATCATGGTAGTCGGTCCCCGAGGCAAACGTGTCCCTTGGACTGGAAGACATGGGGGTTATAAGGGTATGGAAGGTTAGTATGTTTGGTGATTATCATCCCAAGCGCGCAACTGGACACATAAGACACGGTGGGACCGGCTGCGAAAAACCATAAACAGTAATACCAGTATAAATAGAAGTAGAGAATATAAAATCGAGGGAGAGTCTGGGAAGGTCAAAAGAGGAAGAAACAGATCAACAAGAACCAACAAGAAAAAATAAAAGAGTGCTTCATGCGATTATAGATTCTCTATACATCATGCACGGGAACTGGCCTATGGCTTCCATGTTCCCTCAAGGGTGGTGATAGCAGGGCCACCCACAGTCACCTTATCCTCGTTCGTAACTGTGACTTTGCCTTCACGTTTGAGGTTTGTACCTTGAATGATGTTAATAGTACCCTTGAGCTCGCCGCTAGCAGCCAAAAATGCACCAGCAGCACCCGATCCAGAACCACACACAGGGTCCTCGTCGCAGCCAACAGCAGGGCAGAAGGTTCTCAATTCGTAGGTATTCTCAGCCTTGTGTGGACCCAATGCTTGCACTCCAGTAATCCCCCATGCCTCTGAAAGTTGCTTTAAACCAGCCTGGTTTGGCTTAAGCAGAAGAACAGTCTCCGCACTGTCAAGCCTAAGAGTGAGCCAGTGTGGACCCACATCGAAGAGGATTGCTTCTGGAGAAGTGCTCTTGATCTCGTCTTGGAAAAGATGCTTGGTAACAGCGGTGATATCGCCAGGGGTACGCAATTGCTTAGCGTATGGGAGCTGGAACTTGATGCGGCCATCTTCAACGGTAAGTTCAACCAAACCAGCAGCACACTCTTGGTAGATTTTGCCATCTTTAGGTTCAATTAAACCGGCTTCAAGAAGTGCATGGCAAGTGCCAATGGTAGGATGACCAGCAAAAGGCAATTCATGCTCGAGGGCAAAAATACGAAGCTTATAATCGGCATCCTTATTTGTAGGCTTGAGAACAAAAGTAGCCTCAGATAAGTTGGTCCAGCTTGACATCTGAGCCATCTGTTCACTGGACAAGTCGTCTGCCTCAAAAAAGACAGCAACAGGATTACCTTTGTATCTCTTAGTAGTGAAAACGTCGACTTGCTTAAAAGGAGGCATGTTAATTGAGCTGGTACAAGTGGTTCCGTATGGTGAAGTTGTGGGGCATAGGTGAGTCAGGTTTCGCACCCACCAGTGCCATACACTGATGGTGATGGAAGCACAGCGAAGAAGCGAGTGGAGCGGATCTACCGGCAGAAAAATCCAAGTAAGGGTCCATTTGAAGCCAGGGATCACAATCCCAGCAAGCTAACAAACGGTCGTATCTTCTCCGAAGTGTACACGGAGAATTCGGGCCCTGCGGTTCTACCCATTTCGCTGACAATTTCATGTTGCAGCCATTTACCATACAGATGTAACACAGAGGACCCACCAAGGACACTAACGTTGGCGTCCGAAACATCCGAGTGGCAAAACCTTAGTGTTCCACAAGTAGCAATATTGTGGTATTATTAATGGTTCATTTCTAAGCCAGTCACACTCCAAGTAGGTGGAGTATCTAGGCTTTGACAATAAGACAAAAACCTATCTTCGTACCGGCGCGCCGGTTTGGGTTCCTCTTCCCCCAACACTGAGCATGTACGGCTTCTGGCATAAACACAAAAGGACACGGCACCGGCCCGATTAAAGGTGCGGCAGCCCGAATAGGTTATAATGAACTGCGGCAGATGCACTTACGCAAACAGTATAGAGGTTGAAAGCTTTTTTTTTCTCTGGTCTGTTTGGCTCGGTCTGAAACGGCAATAAGCCCGCGCAAACTTTTCTAGTGTTTCTTCCGAAGCGAAAACCGTTCAATTGTTAAGCACAATGCACAATAAGTAATACGAAAAAACCACATACTTCATATATAAAAGAGGGCAGATCCATCTCGGTTCGTTTTGATTGTCTTCTGCCAGTCCCAGATACTTTATTTACACTTTTCAAGAGCCCAGCAAGCCTTGGCTTTTTAACCTGTCACGCAGCGGGTTGTTTGTATAAAGTGCTTATCATAGATGCACCTGCCTTCTTGGAAAAAAATAAGACCACAGTTTGTGTCCATCAACTAGTTCTTCTTCTAATCATACTATGTCCCAACCTGAACATTATCTATCCGAGCCCAAGGAGTCTGCTGAGTCGCTTTCGGCCATTTCCTCCGCTCCTTCTCGTGATATGGAGGTTAATGAGTTCCGTGGGGAGGCCGATGAGAATGCTGACTTGGAGCGTTCTCCCACAATGCTACAGAGAGTGCAAACACAGTTGTCTTTCTTTAACGACCGTCTCAAGGAGCCTCGTAAAAGCCTTGCTATTAGGTACTTAATGGTGTATGCGATTATGGGGTTCCTCATTCTCGGTATCTTCTCCATCTACTGGGCTACAGGTTTTGAGAGGAATGAGAGGTACCACCGTCTCCGAATGTTGGTGGTCATCGAGGATGAAAATGTTGTGGGTGGCACTCAGCCTGTTATTGGTAACACCTTGAGACAGATTTTGGAACTGCCTCAGGCTGAAAACCTCGGCGGTTGGTTGATTCAGGATAACGCCGAGTTCAATGAAACTGCCAGCAGTCACGACAACACCATCTGGGAAGAAGTCATGCGTCAAGTTCACCATGAAGAATACTGGGCTGGTATCTATGTCCGTTCTGGTGCTTCGAATGACTTCAAGAATGCCATTATTAACGGTGATACTAGTTATAATGTCAGCAGAGAGACCGTTAGAGTGTACTATGAAACTGGTCGTGATATGATGTCCATGAACTCATACGTTACACCCAACGTTTTGAGAATCTCCCAACAGATGGCCTCCAATAGCAGTAACGTTGTTACCTCGTTGATGGATGGTGAGGATACCTCAAATATCTTCTCGAATCCAAACTCTTTGTATGTTGCATCTACGCCAATCCAGTTCCTGATGGAGGACGGTCGTCCATGGAATGACCCAGTGTTGTTTGCTCCATCTCAGGTGGGTCTCATTTATGTCATCATTCTTACCTTTTTCGCATTCAACTTTTTCAATGACATCCACCTGACTGTTGCACGTTTGGGAATTAAACCTATCCACCTTGTGCTTTATAGAGCTTTGTCATCTATCATGAGTTTCTTTATCATCAGTTTGATTTATTCCCTTGTCACATTGGCATTCCAGGTTGATTTCACCAAAACTTTTGGTCATTCCGGTTTCCTTGTATACTGGATGACAAACTTCTTGACAATGTGGGCCGTCGGTGCTATGAACGAAGTGATGGCTATGTGGTGTATCATGTTCTATCCACCACTTCTTGGTTTCTGGATGTTGTTCTGGGTTATCATCAATATCTCTCCAACATTCACACCAATGGCCATCTTGCCTAAATTCTACAGATACGGTTATGGTTTACCTATCCATGCCTCCTACGAAATCACAAAGGTTATTTTCTTCGACACCTACAAGGGTGCCATGGGTAGAAACTATGGTATTTTGGTTGCATGGGATGCTATTGCTACCGTTTTGTTGGTCTTGACTTTCAAGGTTTTCGGAAAGACAATGGGTGCAAAAGCCAGAGCTGAGAGAGAGAAGATCAAGGCCGAGGTGAGAGAGGAGGATAAGCAAAACGAACCCATAAGCAACATTCCTAACGAAAGACAGAACTGAAACAGTAAACAATTTTTTCATCGATTCCTCAAGAATCGTTTTTAGAGACTTAATTTGCATATAATATTTATAAATAATTGACCCACACTTAAGACCTGATCGCAAAAGGCCGCGACAGTAGTAACAAAAAACACTAGTGCGTGCGACATCTATTTTCGTTTGAATACAGTATGTTTACCTGAGAAAATAGTGGATCGATTTTTTGCAACATTCACTTGCTAACCACTCCAAGCTAGTTTTTTACTTTCCAAACATGTCTCATCCTCATAAAGAGGATATCCGTGGACAGCTTTCGGATATCCAGAAGAAATTATTTGGAAGTTCCAAGGACAAATCATCTACTCCACTCCAACTGCCCGATGCGACCCAGCGTGCTAGACAACCTCCAGGGCTGCTGGGAAGCAGTTCTTCCGTGCCCAAGTTAAGACAGAAGCCTTCCAACTCTCTGTTGGGAAGATTGAGCAATTCTACAAGGCAGAACACTCTTGTTCCACAACCACCGCCAGCTTTGGGCCCGGAATCGAAGGGTCATGACATGAACTTTGTTGTGGGGTTGAGTGAAAACTTGCTTACGGAATGTCGTCGATTAACTGCTGAGAACAATAAGTATAAGACAAAGTTGAAGTCTGCTGCCGAGGAGCTCGACAAGTACAAGAATCAAGTTGTTTCTTTGACGAATTCTCGTTCGTTTGCAGCTAGCAACGAGGAACAGTTGAAGGACAAGAATTGGGAGCTTGAGGCAAAGAACACTGCATTGAACGAGGAGGTTGATCAACTACGCATCACTAATGACAAGCTTGTCAAATCCACTAACGAATCTACTTTACGAATTGCATCTATCCAGAAGGAGAACGACGAGCTTCGACTCCAGCATAATACCCTCGATACTGATTTCCACAAGTCCAAGGATTCCTATGAAAAGGAGATCAACGAACTCAACATCCGGATCGACTCCCTTAATGACGAAAATGACTCGCTTCACGCAAAGTTATCTGAAAGATCTGCCACGGCATCCACTGAAGCTGGCTCCGAGCCCGATAAGCCAACTGCATCTTTCCATGACGTGACTGCGCTGGATGAACAAGAGCCAATTGACTTGGACAGTATTCTTACTGCATCAGAATCTCTTCCTAGAGAAGTGAACATAGACTCTTCCAATACTGAACTACGGTTAGAGACGCTAAAGGCAAACCTTGATCATTCTCATCGGATGGTGGCTAAGTTAAGAAGTGCTCTTCTCAAGACAAGATTCGAGAACCAAAGCCATCTGACGAGGGATACTCCACGCAGCGGCAAGAAGACCAAACAGAAAGACTTTTTCCCTCCACCTTCCAACAGATCCTCCACCTACTACTCCCCTGCTAAGCGTAATTCGAAGTTTGTGGTATTAGATGACAACGAAGATGAAGGTTGGCCTCAGGACGAGAAATGGGAAGATTTTATTGACGAGTCGGGATCTACAACTCCTTCGAAACCAGTACGCCAACCATCTAAGTGGGATGATGAAAGCCCAAAGAAACAGACGGCCGAGCCAGTTCCGCCTCTTGACGATTCTGAGTCATCCGACTCCGACACAGAGACAGTTGCCCACGTTAAGCGAGGACTTCGCCTGGAGTTATCTACCGCAGCTGAAGTGACGGACCTTCAAGTTCAAGAATACGCGAAAGAGCACCATTTGGTTTTGTTATCTCAGGATGACTATTCGAAGTTGCAGTACAACGATGTCAATGATATATCTGAGGATAGGCTCAAGGGCGTTACCGAATTGAGAGGGTTAGTGTGTTTAAGCAAGCTGGAATATGACGATCTTCTCGACGAAAACGAAATGAAATCCAAGCTCCAACAAAGAGGATTTGTGACCATTCCGACAGAGGAGTATCTGAATGTTTCCGAGAATGCCGCCCGTTACCAGAAGCCAGAAATTGACTATCTCACGGCTGAGATCGAAAAGCAAGGTTTCCTGACGGTCGAGACGGAGTATCTTGAGATTCTTAAGAAGAACGAAGAAATTATTGTCAATCCTTCGGAGGCCTACTTGCGTTCTAAATGTAAAGCTAACCAGTTACATCCACTCACCAACGACGAGTTCAAGCAACTTAAGAAGATCGAAGCAGATTTCCAGAGACCAGACAAAGAATACCTCACCGAAAAGGCTAATGATCTCGGCTTAATTCTCACATCATCGGCATTCTATGATGATCTCGTTTCTCGTGCGGAGGAGCCTTCCGAGAAACAAATCATTGAACATGGATCTAGAAGAAATCTCCATGTATTGGACAATGATGCTTTTATGGCTCTCCAGAACCCTCTGTTGCAGAATTGGTTAACGAAGGCTGAACTGTTTGATCACAGAACCTTACCTAAGGAGGAATACGATAGTCTTCACCGGTTGGCAAACGATCCTAGCCTCGAAGAGTTGAATGCTCACGCAAGACGTCACGACCACGCCGTTCTTTCCAAGTCTGAAGTCGAAAGGCTCAAAGAACTCTCTACTGCACCACCATTGTCTCACCTTGAAGAAGTCGCCGCTGGTCTTGGTTTCAGCGTTCTTCTAAAGGATGAGTTGGCAGAAATGAAGAACAAACTCGAATCACCTTCCATTGATTTCATCAAGGAAAAAGCTACAGGTCACAAGGTGGTCGAAAACGAGAAGTTCAAAGCACTTCTTCAAAAGGCTCACGAGCCTTCTTTAGCTCAACTTCAGAACCATGCGGAGAAGCATGATCTTGTTACCTTAGACAGGGATGAATACGCTGAACTTTACAAGACCTTCCACGAGCCTTCAATGGACTTCATCAAGAGAAAAGCAGGCGAAAGGGGTCATCTGTTAGTAAAGTCTAGCGAGCTAGAGAAACTATTGAGCCTTGAAGAGTCGCCTAGCCATTCCTTCCTAACCTCTAAGGCGGAAAGTAGTGGCCATACATTAATCAAGTCCACTGACTACGAAGATCTCAAACTGTTGGCCGAGGACCCTCCAACCGATCGTATCCAGACTTTGTTACTAGGACGTGGCTTGTCAACCATTGACTCCGAGATGCTTGCCTCCTTAAGACGGCAGGTTGATAACCCTTCTATGGATGAGTTAATCTCCAGGGCAAGGTATTTGGATGCGACCGTTCTCACGAATAACGCATTTGAAGAACTTAAGGACGCTGCAGAACATCCTTCTATTGAAAAGTTCGGAGAACACGCCGAAGGTCACGGCTATGCGATCTTGCCTCAAGAAGAATTGAAGGGCTTAAAATCTCTGGCGGAGCATCCTCCAATGGATGTAATCGAGAGGGAAGCTGGTGACCATGAGATGCTGGTAATAAAGTTGGCTGATTTTGAAAAGTTGAAGCAAGATTCTGAGAACCCCGACTTACTGCTTATAGAACAGCACGCGAAACAACTTGGTTACTCCGTGCTTGCTGCAAATGAACTTAAGGATTTGCAGAGGCGTTCTTTAGAACCAAATGTTGATGAATTGAGGGGCCATGCTACAAACTTGGATCATGAGTTGCTTCCTATCACCGAGGCCAAGGAATTGAGAAGGTCTATTGAAACACCCTCATTGGAATATCTCAAGTCACACCTGAAGAAGTCAAAACATGTCCTTATTTCGGCCGCAGACCACGAAGCATTGCTCGAATCTTCACAGAATCCTTCAATCGATAAAATATCGGAAAGAGCTAGTGCGCTAGACCATGTCGTTCTTAAACTGTCTGAAATGGATAGATTGACTCGTGACGCCACAGAGCCATCAATCGATCTCATTCGCAGACATGCAGCTGAACAGTCGTTTGAAATTGTACCAAAGAATGAATTAGCGGACTTGAAACGCAAGCTTGAGGAACCTGATTTGGCATACCTTAAAGAACATAGCACCCGATTGAAACAGAAGATGTTGCCTGTCGAGGACTACGAATTCCTTGATATGTCTGCAAAGAAGCCATCGCTTGAAATTATGAACAAACAGGCCGCCATTTTGGAATTAGAGTTGATACCAAGAAAGGAGTATGCAACTTTGAAGAAGACTTCAGCAGAACCAGGTCATGATTTCCTTTCATCTCATGCACAGAATCTTGGCCTTTTACTTGTTAGCGAGAGAGAGCATAAAGAGCTCTTGAGGAAGACGTCGCAGCCCAGTCTCGATGAACTTGAGTCGTTAGTATCTCAGCAAGGCTTTTCATTGGTGGCGACGGCTGATTTGGAGGCCTCGAAAGAGCAATTGAATAATCCAACTATTTCGTACTTAAGGGAGAAGTGCAATGATGCCGGTTATGAGGTGGTCGAGCAACAGGAGTTCAACAATCCACCATTAAGCCATCTCGAACTGAAGGCAGCCCAGCGAGACATGCTTCTTGTTTCAAAGCAGGAAATGAAAGATTTGAAGATTCTTGCGCATGAGCCATCGCTCGAACATCTTTCAACGCACGCAGATAGACAGAATCGCGTCGTTGTGTCGAAGGCTGACTATGACAAGCTTGTTGACGAAGCGGAAAATCCAACATCAGATAGCTTGATATCTAAGGCCCTGATACTCAGCTTGGCTGCTATACCAGTGGCAGAATACAAGTCCTTGAAGAAGACGTCTGAGAGCCCCGACGTCGCATGGGTTAGATCTGCTGCAAAGAAGAATGGTTATGAAGTTGTAAAATCTGACGAACTTTCTACGTTGAAGTCCCTTGCCAATTCGCCGGATGTGAAGCACTTGAGCTTAATGGCCGCCAAGCATGAGAGGATATTGGTTCCTGAACGCGAACTCAAGGACCTTAGGAGACGTGCTGATGAGCCTTCCTTGGACGAAATTAAAGCCAACGCGGACAGACTTGATGGAAAATATATTAGTCGGTCCGACTTTGACCGCCTTCAGGGCTTGGCTGAAACCCCTGATTTGGAGCATATCAAGAAGCATGCCTCCCTCCAAGACCATGTCATTCTTTCGAGGAAAGAGCACGATGAATTTACTTCCCCCAGTGTGGCACAACTCGAAGCTTTAGCGAAGCAGCATGGTTCCAAGCTAGTAACCTTTGCTGAGTTTGAAAGAATGAAAGAGTTAGCAGATGAACCATCAGTTCAGCACCTTTCGGAAATGGCCGGTAAACTTGATCATCGCGTGGTTCCAAGCAGTGTCTATGACAACCTCGAAAGTAAAGCGCTTAACCCTGATCTTGACCATATTAAAGGATGTGCAGCGAACCTTGAATATGCGGTTATAAAGAAGCCGGATTATAAGCGTTTACTTGAGTTGGCAAGTAAGCCCGATGAAGAGCATGTTAAGAAACAGGCAGACCGCTTGCAAATGGAGCTTATATCGAAGGAGTCTCTCACTTCCCTTGTACAGCAAGTCGAATCCCCTGACGTTGAGGTCCTCAAGGATAAGATTTCAAGACATGGCTTGGTTGCCGTTCCTACCCTGGAGTTTGAAAAGCATCTTGAAGATAAGGAGAAGCTCCGCAGTATGAAGCTAGTGACGCACGAGGAACATGAAAAACTTCTTTCTATTTCTGAGAAACCATCCATAACTTTCTTGGAGGAGAAGTCTAATCATCATAACATGACACTCTTCGACAGGGATGAGCTTAGTCGTTTGAAGGCTGTTGAGGAGGAACCTTCTGTTGAATTTTTGGAGAAGCATGCGGAGAATTACGGCTTCAAGCTCGTGGACGATAAAGAGTATTACCACCTCAAGGAAACATTCAACTCTCCGTCACTTGACTTTCTCAAGACAAATGCTGATACTCACGGACACCATGTTGTGCCAAGGGAACACTTTGATCATATGCAAAAGCTGTTAGACAAGCCATCTAACCAGTACCTTACCGAAAAGTTGAATGGCTTGGGTATGTCGATGGTGTCAACTGAAGAATTTGAAGGGTTGCGTTCGAAATTGGAAGACCCAGGAACCGAATATCTTTTCCAAAAGGCCGAACAAAAATCTTTCAAGTTATTATCTGTGGACGAGTATAAGAGGTTGATAAACGCTCTAGAAACCCCGTCGCTTGAATTCCTTGAACTGAAATGCCATGAACAGGGCCGCCTGCTCATTGAAGTTGATAAACTCGAAAGTTTGAAGAAAGAGATCTCCAACCCGTCACTTGAGCATTTGTCTGAAAAAGCTCGTGTTTATCAACATGTACTCGTACCCGAGGATGACTTGTTATCTATGAAGGAGAAACTCAAGAACCCACTGCCGGAGGAACTTTCAGCATTTGCTGCCATTAGCGGCCAAGTTTTAGTCATGAAGGATGAATACGAGGGACTCAAGGAGTACAAAGCAAGCGATTTAGAGACTTTGGCTAAGACAAGAGGCTTCAGTCTCATGGAAGAGGCCCAGCATAAGAAACTTCTTGAAGACAATAAGAATCCGAGAACAGAGGCATTGAGAAGTCATGCAACAGCTAGAGGAATGGTCCTTCTTGCTTCAGATGAGCATGATCTTTTACTCGATCAGCTTAATTCGCCTAATCTTGACTACATTGAGAGCAAAGCCAGCTCTCTTAATCATCGTGTTGTGCCAGAGGAGTCATTTAAGGAGCTTTCAGAACTGTTGGATGCTAAGCTTCAGAAAGCTGGATTGGTCAGCTTGACAGAAAAGGAACACGCTTCCTTGATCAACCCATCATTAGAACATGTCAAGTCCTTGCTGAGTCTTGAGGGACATGTGGTTGTGCCTAGTGCCGAGTATGATTCGCTTAATCGTTCGCTCGATGCAATGATTGAAGAAGCTGGTCTCGTGGGAGTCCCACAAGCAGAGTACAGAGAATTAGTTGAGACTAGCAAAAATCCGTCGCTCGAGAGAATCACTGAGACTGCCTCCCAGTTAGACCATCATGTTATTCCAGCATCCGAGTATAAAGAACTTTCCAAGGAGTTGGCCGAGCGTGCATCTGAAGCAGGGATGATGTTGGTAGAAAGAGAAGAATACCAAGCAATGAAGGAGCAAGTGCAATCACCTTCATCCGACTTTTTAGGAAGGGCTGCTCTTTCTTTGGGTATGGTGACAATGACAAAAGAGAAATTTGAGGCTGTCAATTCTAGGGCAAACCAGCCTTTAGCCGAGAGAGCAAAAGAAGATAATTTCACACTTCTCTCTCAACAGGACTTTGATGAATTGCTGAAGTATAAGGAGGACTACACCAGTCTTTCCACGACGCATAAAGAGCTTCAGGAGAAGTACGACAGACCATCTCTTGATCACTTAAACCACTGCGCCTCAGCTAATGAGCTTGTGTTACTAGAGAAGTCCGAATACGAAACGTTGAAGTCACTGCACGAAACTCCAATTGCCGACAAGGCTGCAGCACTTGCCATGGTTGCTGTACTGACCAGTGAGTTTACTAAGCTCAAGAATGATGCCGAGGAGCCATTAGAAGATCGTGCTTCAAGAAAAGGCTTGAGTCTAATTAAACCTAGTGAATTGAATCAATTACGCGAGAGAAGTGAAAAGCCTTCTTTTGATAAGGCAAGAGCTGCAGTCGAGTCTAATGGTATGACGGTCCTTTCGCAGAAGGAATTTGACAACTTGAATGAGACGCCTAACATTGAACGCCTCGCACAGGATGCTGGAATGGTATTGATGGCGAAGGAGCAGCACGAAGAGATGGTAAAGCAAATTGAGCAGCCATCTGAAGAATACATTTCGACAAAAGCTCATGCATTAGGTCTTCAATGCATCAATGAAACCGAATTTGAAAGCTTGAAAAAGGAAGCCTCGCTCTCAGTGCTGGATAAAGCGGCATTAGCAGGCTTATCGGTCTTAGGGGCCGAAGAACTCATTTCATTACAGAAGAGACCGGTTATTCTGAATGTGGACGACCTCCGTGAAATCGCCAAAGAATATGATAGCAATGTCTTGTCCAATAGCTCTTTTGAGGACTTGCAGAGTAAGGCCAATCGTACCATTGAGGAACAAATTGAAGGAACAGATAAAATGGTTCTCGGATCTCAAGAGTATAATGCCTTGCTTCTACAAGCAACGAAGCCTTCTTTCGATCAATTGAAGACCAACGCCCAAAAGAAAGGACTCGCCATACTTCCAAATGATGAGTTCGAAGAGTTGGTAAAGCTGAACGAAGAAACTCTCGAGGAGAAGGCTGGCAAGGAAAAGCTTGTTTTGATCACCGAAGAGCGTTTGAACAATTTAGAAAAAGCCTTGGAAAACCCAGAAAAGGAAACTCTTATTTCGAAATGCGAAGCCTTAGGTCTTTCGGCGATTCTGACATCTGTTTTACGCGATCTAGAGGGTAAGGCAGCGATCGGTTTGGATGAGAAAGCTAGACAGGAAGGTAAGATTGTCTTACTGGAAAGTGAATTTGACTCTTTGAAGACGTCAGCTGAACGCGTTCCTTCGAAGAATGAGGCAGTCGATCTTTTGACGCAAGATGGCTATAAGGTTTTGTCGGTTGAGGAACTAGACGGTATCACTTCGAGAGCTGCTAGTGCCCAAGAGCAGGAGGTTCCAGGTACCGAAGAGATGATAAAGATATTGGAGGGTAAAGGATATTCTGTCGGTAAGACAGAAGACGAGTTTAGGGATGCTAATGATTCGTTCGCTTTGGATGCTTCAGAGCTCAACCGCAGTGCCCAAAACTTGGATAAGGTCGTCATTGATAGAGGCGACTATGATCGGATGATTGAAGATTCTAACAAGTTGAAGGATAGAAATTTCCTCGCCCAGGCTGGTGCTGCTCTTGGCTTGTCAATGTTAGGCTCTGGCGAGCTTTTGAAACTTAAACAGTCGGTGGCAGAGAAAGATTCTAAAATCCACGAGTTGTCTAAACAAGTGGATACTGAATGGTCGAAGGACGATTTATTGAGAGAACTGAATAACCATGGTATGACTTTATTATCACAGGAAGATTACAAGGCCTTGAAGGATAGGGTGGCTAGTCTCGAGGCGAATCAATCGAACGTTTTGACTGAGGAAGAGATATCCAAGAGAGCTGGAGACTTGGGTCTTTCTGTTGTATCTACCGCCGAATTGCATAAGATGAAGCGGTTGCTGATGGTAGAGACCGACGCAAGCCAGCTAAGACTGGCGGCTAAGAAGTTTGGCTTGGTATGCGTACCACAATCTGCGGTTGTATCAGAGTCGTCTGCTAAAGATTTGGACAATGAACAACTCACTGTTCTTCCTACGTCGCTGTACAACGTTCTTCTCGATAATAATGTCGAAGCGATGCCGCAGGAGAAGTTTAGGTCTTACGCTGAAAAGATGGGCTTCAAGCATGAATCCTTGTTGCATGCTCTGCCTAACGAAGACATTGAAGAGGTGATTCAATCATCACCTTCAACAAGGCGTGGTATGAGCAACCTCCCTCAATCAAGATCCGTGGGCTCCAATTTGACGATCCACTCGAAGGCCAGCATGCTTGATTCGATCACTGGTATGTCCGTGGCAAGTAACATCTCGCTTACTGACAAGTCCATGATCCCCGTTATTACCCAAGTTCTTATTGGAGAATACTTGTTCAAGTACTATAGGAAGCTTGGACCGCTTAGTTCAATTTCGTCTACTAGGCATGAGAGATACTTCTGGGTGCATCCATATTCCTTGACACTTTACTGGTCGACGTCGAATCCAGTGTTGAAGAATCCAAATGCAACCAAGAGCAAAGCCATTGCAATCTTGGGCGTGGAAAGTGTCGAAGATAATAATCCAATTCCTGTTGGACTTTACCATAAGAGTATTATTGTTCACTCGCAAACGAAATCTGTGAAGTTTACTTGTTCGAACAGGAGAAGACACAACATTTGGTATAACTCGCTCCGTTATTTGGTGCACAGGAATATCAACGAATTGGATTTTGGTGGCCGCCATACGCAAAGAAACGAAGCACCGGAGGCCGACCAAAGCGAGGACGAAGATGATGGGCTTGGAGAGATGACATTCGATGCATCTAACAGACAAGCGTTGCCTAGATCGTCAACAATTCTGCGGAGCTCTTCATTTGGCAGATTCATGAGTTTGAAGAGATAAAAACATAAAATAAATAGAGAATTTACGTGATAACGAAAACAATTGTAGTTGTAGAATTGACATACATAAGGCATTAGATCGAAAGAAGGAAGTGAAGGAGAGGATATACCGGTGTGCACTAGGAACACGCTTATTTAGCAGCCAAAAGCTGGGTGAACTCCTGAATATCAATCTCACCGTCGTTGTTGGTGTCGGCCTCTCTGATCATCTGGTCAACATCGGCGTCAGACAACTTCTCGCCGATAGAAGTCAAAACGTGTCTCAATTCGGCGGCACTGATCTTACCGTCACCGTTTCTGTCAAAGACCTTGAAAGCTTCGGCAATCTCGGCCTCGGAGTCGGTATCCTTCATTTTTCTGGCCATCATGGTCAAAAACTCTGGGAAATCAATGGAGCCGTCACTGTTGATATCAACTTCATTAATCATATCCGTCAATTCGCTCTCAGAAGGGTTCTGGCCGAGCGATCTCATGACGGTACCCAATTCCTTGGTGGTGATTTTTCCATCGCTGTCCTTATCGAAAAGGGAGAAGGCCTCCTTGAATTCAGCAATCTGTTCTTCGGACAATTTTTCGGCCTACTTGTTAGTAACGGGAAGCGGGAAGCGGCGGCAGCACGTGCCACATATAATACGACCGGACAGCAGCCACCACCAACACTAATCAACATACCATTGTATTTTTCTAATAAAATGTGGAGGTAATTGGAGGTTAACAGGAAAAGTTTGCTCTTGACACACACTGAGAAAATGAGTAGTCGAGGGTATCGTGACAGACTGCAGGCAGGAACACTTGGGAAATATATAGGTGATGAAGCAAAAAAAGCCTGGGCTGCTATAAGAGAATGCGAAATTCTAGATGGGTGAAGGGTGCCTTGCGTGAGAGAAGAAAAAGAAGAAGCAGACAAGCCAACCCAGTATATATATACCAATAAATGTAACAAACACCTCCATCCCGTGCAACGTCATTGCCAAGGTCGGCCCGAGCCCAGCAGCCTATTTTTAGCCCCCTTCCCTGCTCCACCGTGTCTCAAACACGCTAGCCGACACAGGCCCTGCTCGATCCGCACCAGCGTCACGAACAAGGCAAGAAAACCGAAGGGTAGTAGTATGCGATTTTTCTCGCTGCGCTTCCCAGTCATGACTCGGTGGGGACGGTTATTTGCGCACAAGGCTGAGTTCGATCCGAAGACGCTGGAGAAGGAAGCGAGGAGACAGACTGGGAAGACGGGAGGTCAGGGGAAAGAGGAAAGAAGAAAGAGGAAAAAGGGAAGATAAACGTTGGAAGTCTAAAGGTGTTGTATTTATAGGATTTGATATTTTTTGGGGTGAAAAAGAAGGTTGGATATGGTTTGGGTTATGGTTTGGGCAGTGCTGGCGGTAATGTACTGGGGGCAGCTGACAGCTGGTGCAGCGTAGAGCGTGGAGCGTGGAGCGTGGAGCCCGCCGGAACTATGTTTTTCAGTCCACTGGCATGGCAGTAGCGAGCCCTGGTAGACAAAGAGCCCAGGGCACAGGAGTAGGAAAAGCAGGGGTTGGAAATTAGATTGGAGCATTGTGGAGATGGAGATGAGGTATTACTAGTTGGGTGGGTCTGGGAATATGGACTCGTCTGGCGTGGCTTCTACACTGGGGCTCTGGCTTCGCTCATCGCCCTTGTTTTGCAGCCGTGAGCCTCGCGCACGTCTATGCCAGTTAGTCCTGTTATCTATACACTCTAACGGCTCTACTTCAACTTGCCTTAACCTGCTCCAACTTTCTATAACCCTTTGTGCATTTCGGTGGCGGAGCACTTTTCGGATTTATTTCCATGGACGAAACGTATGAGTCGTTTCTACGGCTGTTGGACGACTCGCAGTTGCTCGGCCATATCCATGGTTTGAGCCAGGGCAGTGATCATCGAACCTGGTCCTTTCACGAGACTTCCACTCCTGCCCCGGCAAAGAAACAGATATCGCTACGATCTACAGAATCTGATCCTTTTGACGATGATCTAGATAATGTCTTGTTGACGCTTAAGCGTGAAGAACTGGGTGTGGCTCCTGGAGAGGGCACCGATGAGGATGACGATAACGAGGATGAGAACGAATGGGTGCCTGGGAATCAGCTCATGGCTAGGGAAGATGATGTTCCGGATGTTGTTGATGTGGAAGCTAATAACGAAGTTCAAGACGACCCTGACGCCCAGGAGGCCGAGGAGTCCATGTTTGCAGATGTCGGTCCTCTCCACGAGTTTGGCGATTTCGGCACCTACTTCCACAATAAGCATCTTAAACAGCAGAAGGCTGACGAGGCTTATATAGAATGGGAGAAGAAACGAAGGGTCGCCGCAGGTGAACTGTTAGAAGGTGAGAACATATTTGCTGGCTGCGTGGTCTTCGTCAACGGCAATACTGTGCCCTCGTTAGGCGTGATCCACAAATTGGTGATTCTCCATGGCGGCGTGTTCCTTAACTATCTTTCCAGTAAAGGCGCTGCCACCCATATCGTGTGTGACAGGCTCACACCGAGAAAGCGTGTTCAGTTTCGTAACTACAAGGTGGTGAAAGCGCAATGGGTGGCCGACTGTGTTAAGGAGAAGAAGCTACTTGATTGGCGTGACTACAGACTTATCGACGACGTCGACTATGACCAAAAGCGTCTTGGGTTTGCTGTGGCTGAAAAAGACGAAGACTCCCCACTGGATGGGGCAGTTACTGGTGACGAGGAGCAAGAAGATGTTTTGTTTGATGAGCCTCATCAACATTCTCCCGAAATCACTGAAAGTTTGCCTGTAGAGCAACATGTTGATCTCAATTTGGCGCAAGAGCGGTCACACACAACGGCCATGGATGCTAAGAACCCAGATTTCCTTAAACACTTTTTTGCTAACTCAAGGTTACATCACCTTAGTTCTTGGAAAGCTGATCTCCGGGCCAGGTTCTTGAGAATGGTAGCCAAGGACATTCTACGAGATGATCCCCTGGCTGCAATGCAAAAAAAACCAAAGGTAAGTGAGCCGCCGGAAGACACTATAATTCTCCATATTGATTTTGACTGCTTCTTTGCACAGGCATCGGCGTTAAGTCATCCAGAGCTCGACTTATACAAAGACCCCATTGCTGTTTCTCACGGTGGTAAATCATCAGACGTTGCGAGCTGCAATTATGTTGCACGTAAACTAGGAGTGTCTAACGGGATGTGGCTAGGAAGAGCCGAAGAGCGCTGTCCTAATTTGAAAGTCATTGATTACGATTTTAACACTTATGAGAATCACTCAAACAGCTTTTACAATTATTTACTTTCCAAAAAGACCTTCGATTCCATATTTCCTGTCCTGATTGATGAGGTATTGGTTGAGGCAACTTCACATTGCAGGGGTCATGATGTGAGTTTCATAGAAGCATTCTGTGAAGAGATCCGAGCGGATATTTTTAACCTTACCAAGTGTACTGCTTCCATTGGTGCTTCCAAGAATGTACTTCTAGCGAAGCTTGCTATAAAGAAAGCTAAGCCTGACGGTTTCTTCCATTTGAACGAAAATATTGAGCAATATCTTGAAGCCTGTAAAGTCACTGACCTTCCAAATGTTGGATGGAGCATTAGTGAAAAATTGGCAAACGAGCTTCGATTGGATGTGAACCCGAAAGAGCTCTTGATCAAGAACGTTAAGGAAATTTCCCAACAACGCCTTATTGTAACTTTGGGCGAGAAAATCGGAACAAGAGTTTATGAGATGTGCCGAGGTATCGATCACACTTCTATTACCCTTGATTTGAGCAGCAGTGAAGCATTGCTCGGGAGAAAGACGGTCTCGGTAGATGTCAATTTTGGTATCCGATTTGATACATTCGATCAAGCTGAATTCTTCTTAATGCAATTGGCGAAAGAGCTTCATAGCAGATTAATAGCCTTAGGTGTCTGTGGCTCGGTGTTGACACTCAGACTCGCCCGCCGAGCTCCACATGCACCAAAGAATCCACCAAAGTTTTTAGGTATGGGCGTGTGTGATCTTTTCAGCAGATCTTCTCGAATGGGCGTACCGACTAATGATTGGGGTATACTTGGGTCTGAAATGAAAGCGCTTTTCAGAATAATGAACATCCCAGTGGAAGAACTTCGTGGAATTGCTATCAGTGTCGGTAAGTTAGAGGATATCGAGGCGGTCAAGAAGCAGCGACAGCAGCGGCTCGAATTTAATAAACCAAAACCAAAAAAGACGAGCAAACCGCCTTTACAGAATTCCCAACTAAACGAGTTTGCTGATACAATCACTAATAGCGACTCGATCGACTGGAGCGTCTTCAATATGCTTCCCGATGAAATCAAGCGGGAATTAAAGAAAGAACTATTACGCAGAGGGATACCAGTATCTGGAAAGGAGGTAAGTCCCATCAAGAAAAGCTCCACGGAAAGCCCTTCAGGTAAGGTCTATTTGCAACAAGTCTTTCCGACACAAGCGAATGGTCCATTTAAAGTGACTAGAGTCATAGAGTCTCCCAAAAAGAAGCGAAAACTCGGCATTTCACCAAAGAAATCTGTTTCCCCTGTTAAGGCACCCCCATCCCCTACTCCCTACAATGAAACTATTTCATACGATGAGGAAGTCTTAGGTGAAATACCGACTCTAATAAGAGAAGAGTTCTTCAAGGACTTAGCGTGGCAAAGGAAAAATAAGAAACTCAATCCAATCTCGATGCGAGCGAAATTAGAACAAAAGAAAGAAACTTTAAAAGCAATAGGAGATAGCGAGATAACCAAAGAATGGATAAGGGCACAACCAAAAGCCATTACTATAGAAGGTCTAAGTGGGCAAGATTTTGATCAGGATGAAATTATTGATCAGGTTAAAGAATGGGTCAAGCTGTCATTAGAACATCAAGGACCACATCCAGACGATGTCAACATGTTTAACCAGTTCATGATAAGCCTTGCGGCACAGGGAAACATCAGCTATTGTACCATGATCCTAAAGAGAATACAGGATGAAATTGATGTACAAAGCACCATCTTGGCGTTATGCAAAGATGAAGGGTCTCGATATTATGTCATCCATTCGGGATTGGAAGATTGGCGAAAACAACTTAAAGAACAACTTAAGGAACCTTTGATGAAGTTCCTATCACTGAAAAACATTGAGCTACGAATCTAGCTCCAACTTAATGAGATACGTCTAATGATATTTATAGAATTTAAGAACACTCTGGAAACTTGGAAGCGAGTTTCCTACTCCAGTTTGCGTCCCATCTTTTCTTGCTCTCAGCTAACGCACCCGCCTTGAGTTTCAACAATTGTTTTTCATCCAGCAATACCTCTGTGAGTAAACGATAGAGTTCTTCTCCCTTTGACTTGGTCGTCTCTTCCTTAGGGTTGATTGTAAGCCCGTTCAAATTATTCACCACAAGTTCACCAATGGCAGGGAACGAGAGGGATATGACGGGGACGCCAACACCAAAGAAATCAACAATCTTCATGGGTAGATCAATACCACTCAGGGAAGTATGCAATGAAATACCCAAGTCTGCTAGAGACAAGATTGTAGGATAGTCTTCAGCTGAAAGCCATGCATTTCTTATAATAACACGATCCAGAAATTTGAGATCGGTGACTCTGGCTAGGAATTGATCTTTGAGAGGTCCTTTTCCTGTCACAATCAAAAAGACGGGGGTCTCATGACTAGCTTTTGACTCATCATAGAATTTAAGCGCATCTAGTAAGATACCAAAGTCTTCATCTGGGGTAAACGAAGTTGAGCTCACAAGTAACTTATACAGACTTATGTCAGGAACACCCTTAAAAATCGGATGTTCAACTAAGACCTCCTCTTTCACGTATCCCGATTCCTCGAGGGGTTTGAACTGCGATCCAGGACGATCATGCAATGTTGTTATTGATGATGGAGAGTATCCAAACTCTTCAATTAGATAATTCTTCATGGCGTGAGTCACTGTAATGTTGAGCCAAGCGAACTTACCCAAATACTTTTCGTAAGCCTTGAGGAATTTCACCAAAGGATGATTCAAGTTTTGGTACTTGAGGTTCAAAATGCTATAGTTGAGATTGTGCCAGTCAATCACCAATTTGGAGTCCCTGCTGAAGAGCTTCATGAAGACAACCAACACGAGTAGGAGCGGGATAGAGGGAGGGTTCTGGATGAGATAAAAGTCGGACCCTCTCACATCAAGAAGAAGTTGGAACAACTGGTAGAATTGCAAAAGTATCTTCTGAGCAGCGAACATCAAGTATGGCAAACCTGCTTTGTTCTTGATAGCTGCAATTGGACGTATATCAATATTGATATCCTCAATGACTGAAGTGGGTGGTTCACTCTCCAAATACCCACAAAGATTGACGTAATAGTCGAGTTTCGAAAACAGAAGCGCATGGTAGCACATTCTAGGAGAATGGCCCAAATCACCAAGCACTAGTATGCTTACTGTCTTCCTGTTACCTCGAGGACGCCTATACATGATGAACGGAAGGAGGAAGTACACCACAATTGGAACAGATAAGTAGGCACCCACGAGCCACCAGAACCAGGGACCACTGCCCTGTAGAACATGACCAAAGCCACGGTACTCTATGAAGCTTCCCATGTTTTATGGCTGGAATGGTATTATAGTTCTGTTCAGTGCGATGCGACATACATCAATATGGGGTTCCCAGATGCCACCGCCAGTATGAACACCAGTAAGTAAATGTGGGTACCACGGAAAAGGTGCAAGTTAGTGAACGTAGATTGGTAAAAATGGTAAAAGAAAAAAGAATAATACTTGTAGCTTCAAGAATGCAAAAAGAAAAGCTCCGAGACGGGGAATTGAACCCCGGTCTACCACGCGACAAGCGGTAATTCTAGCCACTAAACTATCTCGGATTTTTTAAAGTTTCAGTGCAGTTGCATTAATATGAGATTTACTGGAAGAGATGATCATGTGATTGTGATCACATGACAAATTCCAAATATATGAGATGCTCATCTGGGGTAACTAAGCATACCACCAGATGTTCAAGAAACGAACGGTGAAATCCTCAAATGCTGCTGTTAAGCGGCAAATTGAAGACCCTGAGGTTGAGACTTCGGGAGAATCAAGTGTGCTTTCAGATACCTCGAAAAGCGCAAGATAACCACCTCAGCATCTTCCAAACCATCTAGAAACGTCGATCACAATAACCAAGATCTACCGAGAGATTCCGTAAAAGATGACAATACCCACGATGATGATGAACTACCGAAGAAGAAAAGATATCAGGGCCCAAGGCTGCGCCTGAGAACATAAAAGTCATCACTCTCACAGACTTCCAACCTGACGTCTGTAAAGATTTCCAGCAAACAGGATTCTGTGGTTATGGAGACACTTGCAAGTTTTACATATTCGTGACGAGCTGAAACAGAAGAAGCCTATTGTCAAAGAGTGGGAAACAGTGACTTCCAAGCCCGATGCAAGTGACAAGAAGGGGAAAGAAAACGTCCCTTTCAAGTGTCCCATTTGCAAAAACGATTACAGCAACCCAGTGAAAACTTCATGTGAGCATATCTTTTGTCAAAAGTGCTACATGTCTCGTTTCAAACAGAACAAGACCAGATGCTTCATTTGTAAGCAAGAAACCAGTGGTGCAGTGCAACCGCTTCTGAAACGAGAGAAGGAAAGCTTGCTAGGGGAAACGGAATAAAGGATAAAAATGTATATATTATAATAGCATATTACTAGGTAACTCTGTGCTACTGAAGAGTGGAAACTGGGGAAGTGCATAAGCATGCGCGAGGTTCTATACAAATGGCTGACAGCTCTTTGACACCCTTCTATCTACAGCAACTACCACAAAGTACTCTTCATATCAAACTCAAACGCAATGGCACAAATTCAACAACAGCTTGAAAATATCCCAGGATATGACATGGCTATGGACAAGTACAATGAGGTGGCCGGCGAGAAATTCAACACCATCAATCCTTATCAAGATGAGAACGATAAGAAGCGGAAACTCGATCCGCAAATCCACCTGAAGAAAGAGCAAAAAGCATGGAAAAAAATCCAAAAGCAAGCTTGGGTAGATGATAAGTGTTTCCTTGGTCTGTGTGGAGTAGGCATGGATTGTGGTATAGGGCTAGCTCCAGTGGCCTGTTTCTTCCTTCCAGCCATTGGCCCACTAGTGATGTACGTCGTTCATGCTCGAGTGATAAGCATTGCCGAAAAGGAGTTCTTCATCCCGAATCAATTGGAGGCTAAGCTTCATTCCCAGATCCTATTCGACTTGCTTATATCTCTTCCACCAGTCATTGGTGGGTTCTTTACCTGGCTCAATGGATGTCTGACAAGAAACGCTGGAATGATATATAAACATTTGGAGAAAATTGGAAAAGAAAGGCAACAGAATGAACGTCCTCAATACATTGGAACTACCGATCAGCCGCAAGAACCCTTATATCAGAGCCATGCACGCTCACAGAACTACAACCCTCCACCACCCAAAAAGAAGCTTTTCAAGAAACAGGAAGAAGATCCTATAGAAGTTTCTGCACAACAACAATCTGGCGTTCTTTGATATATCTAGCCATGTTCTTCGTGAGCTAATGGCTGCGAAAATGCATATGATGCTTTTGAGTCAGTTGGAATGGAATGCATGCATAGGTAGCCAATTCGCGGGATCGCTTACGTCCTACTGCTCTGGATATTTTCACTTCTTTTTATCGAGAAGCACACACATTGTTCCTCTGAAAGGTTCTTCAATACTTATATAAATTCCAATGTTTGAACGCCCCGAGGGAATTGAAAACTGCAGAATCTGGGTCGATGGCTGCTTTGACTTTGCTCATCATGGTATGTGAATTCTTGGGCTGCTTAATACATCTTTAACTAACAAATTTAGGCCACGCAGGCGCCATGCTTCAGGCACGCCAGCTAGGAAAGGAGCTCTACGTTGGAGTTCATTCTGATGAAGACATTCTTCACAATAAAGGCCCGGTGGTTATGACTTTGGACGAAAGACTTACTGCTGTCGAGGCATGTAAGTGGTCTACAAAAGCTATTCCTCATGCGCCCTACGTGACGGACCCTGATTTTATGGAGAAGTACGGCTGCAAGTATGTTGTACATGGTGATGATATTACTACTGACGCTAATGGCGAGGACTGTTACAAGGGCGTGAAGGACTTGGGACTCTTTGTGGTGGTGAAGAGAACTCCAAATATCTCCACGACTGATTTGGTTGGTCGTATGTTGTTGATGAGCAAGGCTCACCATTTCAAGCCAATTACTTCGCTTCTGACCGCTTTGGAGCACCCTCTCTTTTCCAATGACGACTCGTTGAAGAGATTCGGAATGTATGCCTCTGACGCTACAGGAAATAAGAAGGGCTCGGCTGTCTTCGTTAACGTCGAGAATGAGGACGGTATCAAGACCGTCGTTGAACCCTCGGACGAAGTCAAGACAAGACTTGAGAATGGGTACGTGTACGTCGACGGTGCGTTCGACCTCTTCCACCCAGGCCACATTGAAGCATTACGTCTTGTAAGAGAACAGGCTCAGGGCAAGGCTGTGGTTGTTGGTATCTACGATGACAAGACAATCAACTCTCACAAGGGTATGAACTACCCAGTCATGAACCTTTTCGAGAGATCGCTCTGCGTCTTGCAATGCCGCTACGTTGACGCCTTGGTGATTGGCGCTCCATGGAAGGCTACGAAGACATTCTTGGGTAAGCTTCCAGGCAAAGCTGAAGCTGTTTTCCATGGTCCCGCTCCATTTGAAGAAGGTGCATACAATGATGTTGCCCCACTAGTCAAGGAGCTCGGGCCACACAAGTTCGATAACATTAACACAGCTTTCATTGTCAACCGTGTGTTGAACAACAAGAAGGCTTACGAGGAGAGACAGCGTAGAAAGGGATGGAAGGCTGAAGTCGAGAGAAAGTTGCGTGCTGATGAGCTAGAAGGTAAATAAGCGACGATGCTACTTGAATTCTACACAGTTCTTCTATTGAGTCGTTCATTGTCGTTATATTCATGAGTCATGGCTAATAGCGAGAGAATGATCAGGCTTCAGTGACCAATTTGTTGCACTTTTCGTTCAACTCCTTGAGAGTCTGCTCGTTCATGGCATGATTCGAGCTGCGTCTTCTGGACTTTCCAAAGAACATTTGATTATCAAATTCCTCCTCATCGTCCAATTCGTCGCCGGGCTGGCCCCAATTGTGTTTACCGAATCCTCCTTTGGCAACCTTGGATGGGTTCATGTCAATGTGGCCTCCAGAGCGGCTGAAAAATCTAGGGCCGGCGTTTTTGTTTGCGTTCCACTTGTGAGTTCTTGTCATTCCGGGAAAGCGATATTAGAATGTTTATATCTGCGTATGTATCAATCTTGAAAAATGGTAATTGAGGTGAAGAGAAAAAAAAAGAAAGCTATCTTATAGGGGAAGCGGGCCCCTTATATATTGATGGTGGCCGTCAATGGACCATAGAGGGGCGTCCATTTATGTATCGTGACCCATTATGTGGGGAGGCCATGACTGCGCAGGCCATGACAAGAGAACAAAAAAAACCCCCAATGGGGAAATGGGCACATACCACACAAAGGCCCCGGATTTCTTGTTACCCCAATTCCATTACATTCTGGCCATTGACCATTGATTCCAATTGATTTGTTGAGTTTACTTCCCCTTCTGTTGACTAGGCATCTTCAACTGTATGGTTGCAAAAAAACCTCTCGCCCAGAATCGCCTCGCGCATAGAATCTTCTGGCGCAGTCACTGGCGTGATTCAGTGGTCAAGAGTTTAAGAGTCATGCAACTTTTGTCATGTATTTGGATTTAGATGGGCTGGGCTTGGCTGGCTGCCTAAATGGTGTTCTGTAGGTATGAGATCGTTGGCAGAAGTGGTGTCAAGAAATTGGACCAACTGAAATGGCCTTGCCAGGTTGACTATGGGGACTTCTGAGTAAAGAATCGACAAACAGTAATGATAGTGACAGACTGAAAAAAAAAAAAGAACTTCTTATGTCTTTATAGTTCTTCTTCAGCTCCTAGTAAGCAATTTAATTTTTGTTATACTAGGATCTCTTCATCATTTTATGAATTATTGACTAGGCTTCTGTCTTAATCTGTCAATTCTTCGGTAACCCAAAAAAAGATATGGATTTCGCAGCCACAATGCTGAAACCCGTCAATACATCAAACACAGAATGGACCACCAAAATTCAGTTTTACAAGCTTTTATTATTATTTATAGCCAGTTTTATTCCATAGGAATACTTCAACGTCTGGTCTCGTTTTAGACGCCTTTCATGCTTTGTTTTTCAGATTACCTTGTATTAGTGGTCCCCAGTGCTCTAGTAGGCGCGAGCCAGTGTTGCCAGGCCATCATGGACTCCATAGTGAAGCTAGTCCATGACTTATCCACTTCAACCCATTTCTTGATATTACCAGATTCATTGTAGTACCCTTCTTTAACGTCTATCTATTAACACATCGTGCTTCTTCCCGTCCTTAACTCTTCCTTTCCTTTTCTCCGCGTTACCTTCCCGCCAGGCTTATCGCACTACATAAGACTTTATCAGCTCTGCTCTGCACTGCACAAGCACTAACCTACTACTCTTGATGCCATCGAGAAATGACATGGATACAGCATATGAAGATCCGTCTCCTCGCCAAGAAGAGCTCCTCACTCTAGAGTCCATTTATGGTGAGCAAATTAGGATCCGTCATGATAGTTACTGTGGCGAGATGAGTATTCCAATAGAGCCAGACGAAGCCTTACTGGTGTATTTGCAAGATCCAGACGCAGACAGAGTGATCCAGACGAAAACCATCCAACATCTACCGCCTTTGAAGCTCCTTTTTACACTTCCTGAGTCTTATCCTTACGAGGGCCCGCCTCAACTCCAGATCGAATGCAAAGTGATTAGTAAAGAGAGACTCAGTGAGATGAGGCAAGAGATCGAGAAAGAGTGGGCTTCAACCAAAGACCAGGTTCTTTTTACTGTTATAGACATTCTACAAGACAGTATTAACTCAAATATCAATCAGTTAATTGGCTCTTCTATCCAGTGTGGCCTGGAGGCGCCATTCTACGAGGAGCTAGTGGAGTACGATAACGAGTGTAACGAAAGAAAGTTCAACAATACCACTTTTACTTGTGAAATTTGCCAGGCAGATATTAAGGGAGACTCTTGTCTGCAATTTCACCAGTGTGGTCATACATTTTGCAACACTTGCCTTAGGGACTTCTTCGTTTCGCTAATCAGGGATGGCGATGTTGAAAAAGTGCACTGTCCAGACTTTAATTGCTCCAAGCAGTTCCTAGAAACAAGGGAAAAGTACTTGAGACTAGATACACTTACTGACGCTTCTTTTGATTTCAATCAGTTCCGCCTGAAGCTTATGACTCCATTTATCAAGCTTGCCCTCGTGCACAAGATTCTCGGGCATGATAGTGAAGGCAATGAACTATATGAACGCTTTATATCTCTCTTCAGAGACCACCAGCATGCACTTATTGCCAAAATGTTTCCTACACGTTTGGTCTCTTGTCCTCGAAGTAAGTGCCCTGCCATGATATTTCGTGAGGACATGACAAGCCGGCTTGTCATCTGCCGTGAATGCGGATACGCCTTCTGCAACATTTGCCGGAAATCTTATCACAGTGATAGCATAGACTGTGCAAAGACTAATGATACAAAACAATACCAAGGCGTTCCCATTGAAGCCCTCGAACTTTGGTTGGAGTCGGTTCCTAAATCCAAGGAGAGAAATGATCTTCGCTATAGGTATGGTTTCGATCTCATGACGAAGGTCTCACAAGAATACAAGATGGATAAACTTTTCAACGAGCTTCTAGCGGACGAAAGCCAAGGGTTCAGAAAATGCCCTACCTGTGACTTGATTATCCAGAGATCGGATGGCTGCAACAAAATGCGGTGCTCCTCATGTTACACCTTTTTCTGCAATGTTTGTGGTATTTACCTAGATCATGATCACCCGTATGACCATTTCAAAGAACCTAGCAGTGCCTGCTATGGTAAATTATTTGACGGCATGCCTGGCATGGAAGGCATCTATGATTAGACTCCGTTGATAGTCCTGCCAGGGAAGGCGCGAAGCGCCACTTAGAAGATTAGGTGCGACTATTCCGTCTTCTCTACCATGAAACTTAGAGTCGCTTGTGTCCAATTAAATGCAAGGTTAGGCAAGGTAGATTCGAACGTTGCCAAGGTCAAGCATCTCTTGTCCACAGTTAAGAAAGAGATCGATCTTATATTACTTCCCGAATTTGCAGTTACAGGTTATAACTTTCCAAGCAGAGATGATATCGAGCCTTACCTCTCAAAAGCAGGAGCTGGTCCCTCTGCTTCTCTAGCCAGGGAACTATCCGACAAGTACAAGTGTTTCACAGTCATTGGGTATCCAGAGAAGCACGAGGAGAAGATATACAATTCTGCGATGGTCATTGACGACGCAGGGACGTTGATCCATAACTATAGGAAGACGCATTTGTATGAAACAGATGAAAAATTTGGATGTTCTGAAAACCCGGATTCCCTGTTCCCTTCTGTTAGACTTAAACTCGGCAAGAATGGCCAGAAGAAGGAGGTTTTGACGAACTTGGGTATATGCATGGATTTGAATCCCTATAAGTTTGAGGCGCCGTTTTACGAATACGAGTTTGCCACATCTTGCCTTGACAATGAATCGTCTCTTGTGCTTGTTCCAACAGCTTGGCTCTCCGAAAAATCACCTTCCATCAATGATTCCTTGAGCAAACAAGAGAAACTTAATCAGGGTCAAGTTTTCGAGAAGCAGTTCGAAGATCAGCCAGACTACCCTATTGAAAATGCTGATAAGCCAAGCGAACTGACAGTGAACTATTGGATCTTAAGGTTCTTCCCATTTCTTTCTCACGTCAGAAGTTACTTTCCCAAGAAGTCATCAAAGACGACGGTGGTGGTATGCAATAGAGTGGGCATTGAAGGCGACACTTTGTATACGGGATCGTCGTCGATCTTCCAATTCGACCCTCTGCAGCCAGCCTCTGATCATATTGATAGCAAAAATGCCAGTGTGAACGTTTTGGGTAGCCTTGGCCAAGCCACGGAGGGTGTGTTATATCGAGAAATCGAGTTATAGAAAATATCACATAAAAGTCATTTTACAATCTGTTTTATGGGTGATACTACAATATTAATACTTCTAGTAAAGTCTTTTGGGAAAGCAGAGGATGTAAACCGAGAGAATGCCTCGTCAAATAGAATTAATTCTTTCATAAGTTCAGGATTCTGCTTCTAAATTATGGTTTTTTGGGTCTATTTCGAGCTCTTTTGCTCTGTATCCCTTATTTTCCACTTTTTGAAATAAAAAGTCATCAAATAATGTGCTTATTAAATTTTTGCGACTTTTCTGAGCATTTGAAAGTAGCGCATATATTAACTTTTGTGCACTCTCACTAATGTTTAAGCCCTGCTGGCCAAATGGTTAAGGCATCCGCCTCCTAAGCGGGAGACTCCGGGTTCGAGTCCCGGGTAGGGTTTAATTTTTTTGAAAGTCTCAATCGTGGTATGATAAATCGTCTTTATTTCTCTTTTTTTTTTTTTTTTTTTTTTTTTTTTTTTTCTACAGCTACTGAATATAATTGCCATGCCAATGCTGTATTTTTGTGACTTGTACTACAAAATTTGCTCAGAATCCGAAACTGAATGCGCTCATATCAGGTTCTTGGAACGCAGCTGAGTCATTGGCGACCTTGGACTCACTAGTTGGTCCGGTGAACTCCAGGAACAAGTCCTTGCTCTTTTGCTCCTCAGAGGCCTTCTGTGACTGGTGTAAAGTGCTCAAGAACTTCCAGTTTCTCACTAAAAGTAATCCCAAGTAGTCACACCCCATCCTGGAGTAGATAGTACAAACCTTGATGACAAAATTAAACTCCTCCTCAGCTGTTACTGCTTTAGACCCTCGCAAATAATTCAGCTTAGATGCTCTCAACTTATGGAACAAAACAGCAAGTAGAGGATCGTCTCTAAGGAAACTGTGACTTTGAGCTTCAAGTTTCATCTTTCCAAAATCCTTTTGAAACTCCTCTGAAAAACTATCCTTATTTTCCTTAACGACTGAAGTAGGTGACTTGATCAATGCTTGAATTGAAATCTCCTTTAGCTTGAGCTGCCAGAACACCCAACTTGTCATCCACCTATCTCCCTTTAACAAAGCACGTGGAAGGATAAAGTTCTCAATTATATGCTTTGTGACATCTGAAGCATGGTTAACTTTGGAAACTGCAAGAGCTAGTTCCACTTCGTCAAGCTTGTTACATAAAGTCACACAACAGTCCTTCACGAGACCTGCGAGGAGGAAGAAATAGGCGGCATCCATGAACCTATGCCTTCCGAGTAGAACAAACGCATTTTTCAGAGCAGCACTTTTCCAACGTTGTTCGGTGAAATCGTTGTTCATGAATTTGAGAACCTTTTCTTTTTCTGGGTGAGAAATTGTTCTCCACAATCCAACAAGCACTTGCTTCTTCTTAATTGCCAAATACAAGACAGACACACGACCTGATGGGTCTCTGGTATCACCAAATTCGTTTCTTGCGACATTTTCGACGATAGAAGTTAATCTATTTGTGTCGACCCAATAAACTAATCCCGTCTGCTTGATATTCTCCCATGTCATTCTGTGTTGGTACTGGCCATCGATGTCAGTATAGAGCATCTCTTTTTGATCACTATGAAGCGCCCAACTGATGTCCCGCATAGTGAGTCCTGACTGCTTCAGAGAGGATTGGAAAAGCTTAAATCCGAGGAAGAACTTCAATCCATTTTCATCCATTGAATGCTTGTAGTGAGATAGTTCGTACACAATATTGACAACAGTTGTAAGTGTAACTTGCTGATGTCTGGTGAGTAAGGGTAGAGAAACCTTTGTGAGTTTTTCTACCAAAAGATCCAGCACAACATTATTGAATACACCAAACATCTCAACATTTCCATCATAAACATTGTCAATTTGTGACAAACGGCGCTTTATTTTTGGTTTCTTTTCTGGGATAACGGCTTCTAAGAAATTGAAATCAAGATTCCAAGTCACCGGCTCGTCATCTCTCAAAACTTGAAGAAGCTTCACTAAAATCTCTTCCACTAGTTTAACCTCGTTGTTAAAGAGGGCCTGGATCAAAAATTGCGGGTGATAGAGGGGCAACGGGCCGTTGAGGATCATTACCAAATCGGAAATCAAATAGCTTGACGGTTTGGCATTGTACCCAATCATTAGTTGCCTGATGGTTTGGTTGATTGATTTCCTAGAATGGGAGTTACCGTTTTCTGTAAGATCCACCCATTTGTCATCAATGAAGAACTGGTTACCACAGGCTATAGCTAGGTAGCCATCATCAATCCAAATCAGATCAGCTATCTCATGTGAAGTAAACTCAGAAATGTCTATTTTCTTTAAGACGGCAAAGGTTGGGATTCTGTTGGTGTAGTCGTATCTCAACTGGGTATAAAGTAGCACAAACCTCGTAAAGCCAACAGATAGAATCGCGTTACTCGATTCATGATGTGCGCCCGTAAAAGTCCAGTCCAAGTCCCTAACTTTTCCAAATTCTTCCGGGTATAGCTCTTTGTATTCGAGTAATCCTGATTGAGTATCCCATATGGATAATTCGAGACCAGTCTCGTCGACGAGTGCCAACTTATTAATAAGCGAGGCACCGTGTATTTGACTTGCATTGCGGATCCTGGTATGGATTCGAATATTTTGTGTCCAGTTGAAGGTTTTTGAATCCTCGTCAAAAGTAGGAGATAAAGACCTAAAGACTCCTCTATCATCTATAGCAGAAATGTCCTTCTCGAGATAGGTATCGACCGCGGATACCCTAAAAACGCCCTCGTATGTTCCTGGAAGTACCTCAGCACTCACTTGCTCAATCGATATATCCTTGTTGGCGATCTTAATGATCCATGCTTTGATTAAATCGTAATTGAAAATGGCAATTATGCCATATACTCCATCACGAATTTCATGTAATGATATTGCAAATGGAGCATGCCGTATCCTGTCGTTGTTAATATCAAAGATATCTTGACGTTTCAAAAGTACAGCATCCTTGTCATCCATCGTGACACCGTTGCAGTCCCAAAGACTGGCATAGCCGCCTTTCTCTATAACAAACGCAAGGTGATGCCTGAAGGGGCCATCTGAAGTTTCAATGTCATTGATAAGGATTGCATCGAATATACCTTGTTCTGCTTCAGCGCCATCGTCTCTAGTGACATTAAGGCGGAACCTCTTGGTAATAGACATGAACTTCTGGTTTTCCGGCTCGAGTAATAGTGGTTCCCAAATATAATTGTGTTCTGGGAAATTCAGCACAGATAACATAATATTGCCTTCATAGGACGAGGTTGAAGTCACTAGCTTTTGGATCGATTTTGCGTGGCCCTGGTATTTACTCTTGAGGGCAGCAGGTGAACCAGAATTCTGAAGAAGCTTTTTGATACTGATTTCATTGTACCTGATAGTGTTTTTGATCCTGTCATGGACAAGAAACTGGAAGATGCCTTTGCCGTGAATTACATGACTTCCTATAATTGGGTTCGATGCAACTTGGAATTCCTCCAGGGAGGCGTCCTGCTCTTCAGCTGCATGGAGGGCTTCACCCACGGAGTAATTGGGAATGCAATGCTTGTTGCATTCTGTTGTGATGATATCTTGAAGAAAGATAGAATTAGGTGGGTTTTCATTGACCTTGGATATAGCAGAGATCACAAGTTCTCCTTCACTGCCCAAGATGAGAAGTAGGTCAGAAGATATAAGTTCGGCTTTATTGAAAGCGTCCGAGACTTCGGTCGTTGTTTGAAGCTCGGAAAGTGAAGGAATGAGGGTCGATTGCAATGCAGCATTATCTATAATTAACGAACTCACATATTTCGACAGCAAATGATCTGCTAAATTAATCAGTGCCCACTTTTTGATATGCGAATGACCGCTAAAATCGAAAGTGGCCCAAACATGTAGCATGTGGTCACTAGTAGTAATGTATAGCACATCATTAGCATCATCATTTCTAATGTAGCTCCGCAAATTCTTGATGTGGGCCATGTTGTGTATATCTTCGTCTACTTCGCCGGTCAGCGAGCGCCATTTGATATCTGTGAGCCATACATCGGGATCATGGTTCAAATATTCTAGGTCGAAAAGTGTGTTGGAGTCACCATAATTTATACGAAGCCATACCTTAGCAAAGCTGTTGAACGAAGAAGAATTATAGGTGACAATTTTGTCAGCCGCTGCTGTAATGTCTAGATGCTCAATTGGGCTAGCTTGGCTCAGATGCCACCTTCGGGCATACTTGATCTCACCAAACTCGTCATAGATATGATACAAAGACAAGTAGTCTTTTGAACCCACTGCAAGCTCATTCTCATCAGTCGCCCATCGAAGACATAGCACTTCAGAGCTGTCGTTATCAATACGAAGAACCTCTGACCACTTGGGCACTGACATGTACTCATTAACAGGCTTGAGGACAATGATATCGCTTCCTGAAGAAGCACATATAAGGCCGTCTTTTGGATTTATATCAATTGAGACTGGATCCTTCTCAAGATATATAGTTTGTATGCTCTTGTTACCATCGGTCCTTGTCAGTAGTATAACATTGTTTCCGGACCCGTATGCAATTATATGGTGGTTGCGCCAATGAGCCTGGCTTAGACACTCAGTTGACCTATTAGGGTCACCAGGAATAAACTGGATGGTCATTGATGTGCTCAAGTGTCTATTATAGGAAGTGTAGGTAGCCTAAGAGAAACGTACACTGGTCTGATTCTTGCAGCTATGACCCGATCTAGGTGCACACCATAGTCAAAAGTTGGACCTGGCTGCGAAAAAAATCACTTAGATGCTACTACAATGCTTTTTCTCAGATATTCAAAATTTGTTTAATATATACTATATCGTAATCTTCATTAATTTGTGCAAATCGCAATGAGGAGGAAGTCTGCCTAGAAGCAAGTAAATGGATCTATAATAGACAGGGTCTCAATTAAGCCTCCTTGGCGTCCTTGGCCTCTTCATTATCTCTGACAGTGGTGATTTCCTCGTCATCCATCATGTCGTCAATGTCATCATCTTCAGCATTAGTGTGCTCAGTGATCTTAAAGAAGATCATTGGTGCTGCAATGAGCATCGAAACAACGACCAAGGCCCAAGAACTGGCAAACATGTGCATGAATGGGGTCTTTTGGGCATCCAATCTCCAGACAATGGCGTTGAAAGCACTTTGCAACGACTTGTAGAAGGAAGCGTACAAAGCCACTTTCTTTGGGTTGTTGGAGAAGGTACCCAAGACCCAGAAAATGTAAGACTGGAAGATAGCGTCGAAACCACCATAGCACATGTACAAGAACATAGGACCAATGTAGTTGCTGTCGTGGAAGTCAATAAGAGGATCGTCGTCAACATTCTCTCTGGTGACACCCAATTGGAACTTCAATCCTCCGCCCCAAGTAGCCATGCCGAAGAGGAAAATAACAATCCAGCCGAGTTTAGCACGCATGGGTCTCTTGAATCTCTTCCAGTCCAACAAGAAACCGATAACAATGGCACCAACCATCTGAGTAAGCCAGTAAAGCAAACCGTTCAAGGATCTGGTTCTCACATTAAAACGAGCAGCGTTGAAGTTGTTAAATTGGTAGGTGTAGAACCAGTTAGAAGCACAGAACATTGGGAACATAAAGTAAATCTTGCCTTCGGTTTTCAACACCTTCCACATACCCTTAATCTCGTGGGTAATCTTAGGGTACTTCTTAGCAATAACCTTAGTACCATCAGATTTGTAGACCTTGTCCATTGGAAGCATAAAGCCGGCCAAAACAACACCACCAGCCATCAAAATCATAAAAGCCACGTACGTACCAGCGTTGACGTGGGAATCACCAGTAGTCATGTTTTGAGCCAAAGGAATAATGGAGCCAATGACGGCACCGCAGTTGAAAATCACCCAGTAAACCATAATGGCAGTAGCTTTCTTGTGCTCAAGGGCATAAGACATGACAATGGAACCTTGAGCAGCCCAAGTTAAGGCAGCACAGACACCCAAGTAAGCACCAGCGAATACAGGGAAACCTTTATTTCCAGTCTGGTGGAAAACCAAAAGCGAAGCGGTATACATAAAGTAGCCGGTACCACCGAACATAAGACAAGCCTTAACACCAATGTAGTTACAAATAACACCACTGAAGGCACCAATAGTAGCAAAACACGAATACAAAGCGACGTTAGCGTTATCAGCGACCTTTGGGTCGGAAATACCAGAATTACCAATACCAGTGATGGCATTGAAACAACCTGGGGTCAAGAAGATAACGAAAGACATAACAATAATCTGGACAAAGGAGTTTGAGTATGGAGGGATTCCAGGAATGATTCTCTTGTGGTACCACAAGCCCGATTTTTCCAACTCTTTCAAGTCATGATGAACCAAGTCAATGTGCTTGTCCAGCAGACTCTCGTGCTGCTCTTCATGCTCGACCTCAACCTTGAGATCGGAAGAAGGAGAGATCTGAGACTCTGTAGGCGACAGCTCGACGTTGATTATATCGGCGGATTTCGTAGATGAGGGAGCCATAAGAAGAAGTTGATATTCTACAGAAAGAAAAAAGGAGCTTTACGTTTGGGAGTACCGGGGTATTTATAAAATTGATAATGGGCTCCCCAAAAAAAAAAAAAAGATAAAGACATACGGCCCCAGTATCTAAAGTGCTGCACGCGGGCGTTGCATTGGCGCCTCCATGTTACATTTTGTAAATCACTTTTGCCTTTTCGCAGCCAGTAAGCAACATAGACGAAGAAAAATACCACTGGATCAAGAAAATAAACCCATTCCACCAGGGCAAAAACTGTATTGTAAATCCAAATACACAATCTTACCATAATTAATTTTTATTTTTCTTCCCTTCCCCAGTCTCCAGCCGTGTGCCATGGGGCAACACAAGACATGGAGTGACGAGCATCAGTGCACGTCAAGGCAGTAATTGAAGTGGATGCCTCGGCAAAAGGAAACCAGCGTCACGGGTGAGGTCCCTCTACTTTGATTTTTATCAAAATCTACCTACACAGTCTAAAAGGTCTAGCAATCGTCGCCTGACGTACTACCCAAACGAAAGATCTGGTGCAAGATTCCACGTAAAGGACCATCTCTGGTGTAGCGTTTGTACTATTTCGCAGCCCTGTCTCGACGCACCCCGCAGGCATGGAGCGTTTTACCTGGGGCAGACGCCTGGAGAAAATGTAACATTGGAGGTTGCAGTCTGGGGAAACCTCACGATAATATATATGGCCCCAGGATAGCCGTTGTAATGTTGCAATGCTTGGAGTGTCTTGTCTCCGGGTCTCCAGGTCTCTGCAGGGTTCTACGGCGCTGTGTGGAGAGTTTTGCATTGTTGCGTGTGGGGTACCATTGTGTCTCATGGTGGGACAGGCGTGATGATGCATATAGAGTGTCCTGCTACCGTTGTTACTATTTTCCGTGTTTTTTGCAACCATGGATGGGTGGTTCAATCTGGCTTTGAGGATCTTCGAGTGGTAAGGAGCTGTCTAACCCACTATCTCCTGAAGTATCTCGTGTTACGCATGGCGGATACAACTTTGGGGATATAAACCCGCACTGATAAGAATATAGAGAAAAAAAAATGGGCGCCGCAGAATTACGGTAGGCTTTGGAAAATGTAACATCAATGCTTGTCCATGTTACTTCAAAACAGCCAAGGCTGGGGCGTTTTTTTTTTTTTGCCTTTTGTTTTTTTTCTATTTGCTGCCTAGCCCATCGCCATAAAAAAAAATCAAGAAAAATTAATAACCTGTTTCAGCATCATTTTATGTATTCTACGAAGCGTTCTAATTGTCCTGGTACTCTTTGCCAATAGCAACGATACTCTCCACCAAATCGTCCACCACTTTATCAGTGAGAATGGGTGAATTGAATACCACACGGAAAAACTCTCCCTTGGTATCGTTAGATGTATCAGGCGAAAAGTCCACAAGGTATTTACCTCTCTTGTGTAGCTCGCGTGATACGTACCTTGTAACGTCCGTAAGGCTGGTTTTATCGTATCCTGTTGGACGATAGTAGAAGCATACCTGCAAACACTGGGGCACTGCAACCACCAATTCAAATCCAGGCACGGAGGAGATTTTCTCTTTGAAGTAATCAACAATGGCAAAAGCATGGTCAACACGTTCACGCAACCCATCTTCTCCGTAATACAACCATGTCAAATAAAACTTGAACGAATCAGCTCTTCTGCCGCATCCCATGGTACCGTCAGCCAAGTCGTGGTTTTCTTCGTCATTGTCTCTTCCATGGAACAAATATGGCGCACTGAGAGAGTTAGCCGTCTGGAAATGACGCACATCTTGCACAAGTAAGAAGGAGCAGGTGGTAGGTGTGCCTAGCATCTTGTGAGGATTGACGGTAACCGAATCGGCAAACTTTACTCCCTTCAACTTACGCTTGTGCTCCTCGGAGAAGACGACATTTCCGCCCCATGACCCATCCACATGAAGCCATAAGTTATGTTTTTTGGCAATGGGACCAATTGCCTCTAAATCGTCAAACGACCCGAACACGGTGGTACCTGCAGTTGCATTGATGAAAAATGGCGTATATCCATCCTGGATCGCTTTCTCGATGGCCTGATCAAGTGCCTCGGGCTTCATCGTGCCATCTTTATTTATGTCAACCTTGAAAACGCTCTTCTGACCCATACCAAGTAAGATAGCAGCCTTTTCCACGGAGTAATGACAGTGCTTCGATGAGAAGACGGCAAACTTGCGTCCAGCATTACCTTCGAGCTTAGTTTCGGGGAACTTGAGTGACCTGGCCATGTGCATGGCGGTGATGTTGGACCAGGAGCCTCCAGAGAACGTAAGACCACCAGCTGTGGCGCTCTCTTCCCAAAAGAACCTAGCATACTTCTTTCCCATATAGTTCTCCAACACAGATAATACTGGGGAGACGGTATACACATGAGAATTGGTGTTCAACACCGACAAGATGATGTCACTGATAACTCCGATTGGGTTAGTGGAAGCATACAACTTATCCAAGAACCCAGGGTTCCAAGTATTCACAGAGTACTTGAGGACATTGTCAATCTGTTCAAAAAGCTCGTCTTGCGAGTGTTTCAATCCCTTCTTGAAAATGGCATCGTTGCCAGTGAAGACTTTCTTCAACGCTTGCGGCTCGTGATAAGTACCTAGCGATTCCTGCTTGTACTCTGAAGAGTTTGGGTCTGCTTGTGCCACGTACAGCACAATTTTCGGGTGGATGATAGAAAGGAGCTCGTCCAACTCTTTCACTCTATTCGACTCGAGATTGGATTCAATGGCCATGACTGTGGAGAATTGTGGTTGCAAAAACGAGAGGTAATGAGGATTAATTTTCAGTGCGAGGCGAGAAACCTAAAAACCAATCTATGGTAGGAGTCCATGAGCGATTTACAACTTGCAACCGCGAATGAAAATGCCCTCACAATGCAATATAGCGAAACTGGTTCGCAATACATGTGCAATCTTTACAGTCATGTGCAATGTCGTAAGAAATGTGGCTTTACTATGGGCATTTTCCCTTCTCTTTGCGATAAGGTAGTACCTCGGTTCGTCCGGGAGATTTTGTGTGGTACTGTGAAATGCACATTATATATATATATATATACCTTCCTTGGGTTACCTGCCTAGACGACAGCACCCATGCCTATTTACACTGGTTCGGTAACTTTTTTTTTGTCTTTTAGTTCTCCTCTTTGGACTCCCTCAGTCTGGCAAGATTCTTGTTAAGTCTTTCTAGCTTTCTCATCTCTTCGTGTGGATCAAAGTCACCGCTGGAGAGCTTCTCGTATGTATCGTCGTACTTGCCGGTCGACAATGGTGCATTGCCTCTCATACGCTTCCTCATGTCGAAGAAACCGTTCTTACACTCGATGAATGCTCTGAAGTTGGCAGCACAAAGCTCAGGTAGGTCTTTCCGAAGATCAGGGTCTGAAAGGCATTCTTTTGGTGAATGCCTTTGGATAAGCACACAGGGCGACCTCTGAAGACAGATAGCTAGCGCTTTTTTCTGATCTTTGCAACTATAGGTTAGAATATGCTGTAAATGATATGATATTTGTCAAACGTACCTAGCACCCATGGTTTACTTGAAACACAGTTGTCTGGAGTTATCACACCATACTAGCTCTAATGATGGCACTACTCTGCTGAAACACCCGTACACCATGACAACCACCATATAACCTTCAGGCATCAGTATCACCGGTTCTGACGATATATATATATTTCTATTGTCGTATGGTCTTCAGAAAGGTGTCATTTTGTCTATTCGTGGGTTTTATACCGATGATTTTGACGAGAGATGCAATGCAGCTCGATGTTGCAGCCATTCTATTGGGCTCAAGAAACTTGAAAACGACTACTAATAGAGAATGAGAATTCTCTGTTTCGAAGAATTCAAGGCGTGATTTATTTAATTTCCTATTTTCATCATTTTAGGGGAACAATATTGACTAATTGGGTGGGGGTTCAAGGTCTCTAAGTATATGTCTATACACTCCGCGAAGAGCTCAAGTATCAACTACTACAACAACCAACCAACCAAGTGGGGCAGTCTATCATGATCCCTCAAGATGCTTTGTACCTATATAACCTCACGCTAAAACAGCCTTCACTGCCGTACAAATCCATAGTCGGCCAGTTCTCCGGGTCTAAGAAACAACAGGAACTTGTGCTAGTATCCACCACCGTTATAGAAGTATACCAACCAAAGCCTGACACTGGAAAGCTACATAAGCTCTCGCTGCAACCTACTTTTGGAATTGTTCAGAATGCTGATAAGCTAAGACTTATAGGTACTCAACAAGATGTCCTTGTGCTTACAGCAGATTCAGGTAACATCATTGTCGCGTACTATAATGAAGAAACCAGCAAGTTTGAGCCTCGAATTCAAGAACCACATTCAAAAAACGGTCTTCGACGTATTACACCTGGTGAATATCTCGCAGTTAATCCTCAGAACAGTGCTCTTATGATAGGTGCGTTGGAAAGAACGAAATTCATGTACAAAGTGGAAATGGGTAATGACAGCGGCAAAATCAAGCTTTCTTCGCCCTTAGAATGCCAGAGCTCGGGAATTCTTACGCTAGACCTATGTGCACTTGATACCAGCTATGAAAACCCTCTCTGGGCTGCAATTGAAGTGGATTACAACGACTATGAAACAAAAACTTACAACCCTGGCGAAAGCCCATTGCAACTAAGATACTACGAATTTGACCAAGGACTTAATCATATTGTACAAAGAAAGAGCAAATCACTCCTTCCATCGCATGCGACCAGTCTTGTCGCTTTACCTGGTCATATTGGAGGAGTTTTGGTTTTATGTGAGTCCTATTGCATATACGAAAAAGGTCCTGGCCATGACCGAGTATACCTTCCTTTGCCTATTAGGAAGGGTTCAAGCACCACTAAAATTATTTGCCATTATTTGCATGTCCTTAAGAAAAGAGACTTTTTCATTCTTTTACAAAGTTCCTTGGGAGATCTCTTCAAGGTAACATTTGACTTCAACAAAGAAACCGAAGAAATAAACCAAATAACTTCCACCTACTTTGATTCTATCCCGGTTTGTAACAGTATAAGCATTTTAAAGTCGGGATTTTTGTTTTCAAACGTTGCCAATGACAGCAAGCTCTTCTACCAGTTTGAGAAATTGGGCTCAGAGAATGAGTCTACTATGACTTCCATTACGGAAGTACCTAAAATTCAAGATTCTTATCAGTTTGCGCCGCAAGGGCTAGAAAACTTGGCTTTGGTCGATATCCTAGAGTCACTTGGGCCGGTGACAGGGTCTGAAGTAATGCAAACGCAAACTAAAGGTCATAGTGATGCAGCAACTCTGTTAGCTACACTCTCATCACACTCGTACTTAAAGTCCTTGACTTACGGAATACCCGTGTCTGAACTTGTTTCGTCTCCCTTGCCTATTACGCCAACGCTGATTCTTACAACAAAACAACTAAGCACCTCAAAAAGTGATGACTATTTGGTACTTTCCTCGACTCTTAATTCGCAAACCTTGGTCTTATCTATCGGAGAAGTGGTCGAGGAAGTTAGCGAGTCTGGCTTTGTCACAGACCAGAACACAATTACAGTTCAGCAGGTTGGAAAACAATCAATTGTTCAAATTCACACGAATGGAATTCGTCACATTAGACATATACTTGATGAGAGTGGCGAAATAATAGACAAAAAGACCACAGATTGGTTACCGCCAGCAGGAATCAACATTGTCCATGCAAGTGCCAACGAGGCTCAGGTTCTTGTTGGCCTTTCGAACCGTGAACTTTGCTACTTTGAGATTGACCCATCAGATGATCAGCTTGGGGAGTACCAAGAGCGGCACGAAATTGGGTCGGACCTCATCACGGCCGTCGCCATACTGACAGGCTCATCAACTATGAAGAGTGACTTTGCAGTCATAGGCTGTGCCGATGAAACGATACAAGTGATATCTCTTCATCCTAATAGCGTCTTTGAAATGCTCACTTTACAGGCGCTTTCGTCCAAGTGTACGTCGTTACTCATGCTCCCATTAGACAACAATAGCGCCCATATCCATATTGGTATGGAGAGCGGTGTTTACGCTCGAGTACAAATGGATACTATGACTGGTAAATTGAGAGATACTCGTCTGAAGTACATGGGTACTAAACCGGTCACCTTGAGCAAATTGAATTTGCCTACATTGGACTTGCCAGGAATCATGGCTATTAGTTCTCGTCCGTGGATCGGATACCAGAATGTCGAAGGCCAATTTAAGCTCATGCCGCTAATTGGGAGCGTTGTCACCAGTGGACTGTCTTTCTACTCTGAGGACATAGGTACAGAGAGTGTTGTCGGTATTTCTGGAAACAACTTAATCATCTTCACCATTGGTAGCGAAGAGACCGGATTTAACGTAAACGACGAATTTTCAATGAGCCTGGTAAAGCTTCGTTTCCAGCCAAGAAAGCACCTCAAAGACACGAAGACTAATAACATAATAGTTCTTGAATCGGAAGCAGATACTATTTCTCCTTACACGGCTCTGGAGGAAGAAGTCGATGAAGACTATTATCAAGCATTTGGGTTCCAAAGATCTGTTGGATCATGGGCATCGTGTATCCAAGTAGTCAACTACGACAATGAGGAAATTAGTCAAACCATTCCCTTTGACAATAATGAGTGTTTTACCGCTATGTGCCTCGCATCCTTTAATGATGAAGAGTACATCATGGCTGCCTCTTCATCCTCAACTACAAAGAATAAGCCTTCGCATACGCTTCATGTTTTCAAACTCAAGCGAGGAAAAGACAAATCTCTACAGTTGAATTTTGTTCATAAAACAGAAGTTGACGGGCCAATATCTGCAATGGCAAACTTTCAGGAAAGACTTCTTGTCGGAATTGGCAATACGCTCAGACTTTACGACTTGGGTCAAAAACAAATGCTCAGGAAATCTTTTACTGGGATAGACTTCCTTCGCAGACCAACACAGATGAGATATCTCGGAGGAGACTTGGTAGTCGTTAGTGATTCGAGCGAGTCAATCTCTTACTTTAAGTTTGATGCTTCAGCGAACCAATTCATCCTGCTTTGCAATGATATGATGAGAAGACAAGTAACAGCTTTTGAGATGCTTGACTTTAGGACAGTTGTCGGAGGTGACAAATTTGGAAACATTTTTGTTAGCCGTCTTCCGGACGAACTTCTGAATCAACTTAGCAACAATGCCTTGCTTCAGTTCGATGAAGACTTGCTTGACGCCCCCAGTACCAGGCTCGAGAAAATCTGTGAATTTTATATCGCCGACGTACCCACTTCCTTTTCAAAAGGAACATTCGTGGTTGGCGGAACAGAGGGAATAGTCTACACTGGGCTTCAAGGCTCGGTCGGTTTGCTTATACCGGTAGCTACCAAGCTGGAAGCGGAGCTCTTGAGTAGCTTGGAAGTCGAGCTAAGATCGTATTTCTCGCCTGAATTTGATGATTTCGATAAAACGAAACAGGGCTTTAATTTATTGGGGAAGGATCAATGGAAGTTTAGATCTTACTTCAATCCCTCCAAGAATACGATTGACGGCGACTTTGCCGAGCGTTTCTATGAGGTTCCACTCGCCCAGCGAATTAGGATCGCTGAGAAATTAGGACGGACACCAAGGGAGATAGAGAAGAAACTCTATGATATTAGAAATAGATCTGCTTTTTAATGAAAGGATTCATATATTTCGTCAAAATGTACAACAAAGTATTAATGATATCGTTAACACAAAAGCTAGAGAGGCATGTAAATATGAACGTAAAAGACATGCTCCACAATCGATTGTGATTATGAACTAAGAATAGGTGAATAATGCAAGTTAAGTTAAAAGAAATGAAATGGGCCATGCGCCCAAAATATGTCTTACTTGGGCGGGGTGACAGTTTTGCCAGGCAGACCATTTACCTTCGAGTCGGAGATCTCTTTAGCGTCATTGACATTTGTTGGCCTCCGCAGGTGGGTTGGGCTAGCTTGATCGTTACTCTCGTCGCTATTCTTTCTTCCAGGTGTTTGGCCATTCGGGGTACTAAACTGCACAAAATTCCAAAAAGCTGGAGACGACTGAGTCACATTGTTACCGTTGTTAGGAAGCCCAAGCTTCATGCCAGAAGCTCGCGATCCTCTTTCAGGAGTAAATGCTTCTAATGGTGTAATCTTCTTTGGAGAAGTGTAACCAATCCCAAGCTCTGAAGTATTAGAAGTAGTTGGTGCAGTTGAGCTCTGTTGAATCTCGCTTATGTTACCCTGCGATGTGCTGTTCGCTACATCATTTCCGTTAGCGTGCTCGGTTGCACGAGATGCTTGCTCATTACCTCTGAAAGCAAAGTTCGAGTTCCCTTGATGGCTAGCACCTGGAGTAGGAGGAGGTAAGTTGAACACATGATTGCTGCCGACTTTGGGGAGTTTTGGAGTATTTGAATCAGCTCTGGGATTGTGCTTTAAGGGTGAAGCGAGAGTCTTGTTATCGCCACCTAGTGTGGGCATGAATTGTTGTTGATGTTGTTGTTGTTGGTGATGATGCTGTAATTGTGGTTGGTTGGGCATTTGGGGGTTACCAGAAAAACCTGGTGGACCATTAAACTGCTGCATCGAGTATCCGTTCATTGATTGGCCACCGTAATTCATCTGAGGTTGCATCTGGTTTGGCGGGAGGCCAGTATAAGGCATTGGTTGATTAATCTTTTGATACATGTGGTCGCCGTTTGGAGTGCCACGGTAGTCCATCATCTGCCTATTTTCGTTACTGAATCCTTGGGATTCCGGGAGACTCTGGTGAGTAGCGAGATGAATTTGCAAAGTTCGAGAAACTGACGAACCACGGCGGGATTTCAGCAACGTGCCGTTCTGGATTTTCTTCATGAAGTCTTCCTTGTAAGACTCGCTGATCTGCCACTTCATACCCTTACCTGGTTCATTTGGTCGCCTAGGCACTTTCTCAAAAGCTTTGTTAAGCGATAAATTATGTCTGATAGAGTTCTGCCATCCAGCCTTAGAATACTTGTAGTATGCGTAATGGGAAGAAATCCAATTGTAGATTTCAGACAAAGACATGACACCGTCGGGATTGGAAAGAATTGCTTGTGTAATCATGGTAGCGTACGAGTATGGAGGCTTGATGTCCTTGGCGTCTTCCTTGGACAAGTCCTGGTCCAAATTATTCTGTAAGGAAACTGCAGAAACTGCAGACGGAGAGTTTGTCAAATTAGCTTTGTCAAACATCTGGAACCCTGTCACTCCTAAAAACAGTCTCATGGAATTCAGAGGTTGATGCATGGTCGTGTTTCTCGGGAGATTGTTGGAGACGTTGGGCATTTTGTTACTGTTCAGTTTGTAACGAGACAAGCATACACTCAACATCTTTTGCAGTATGCTTGGAGGAGCGTCAGGCAAAATAAACATCATTTGTGTTCCACCAATGTCCAATATAGCACCTGAATGCAAAGGAGTAGCATGTTCGGCGCCTACAGGTACCTTGTTGCCATCGATCCTAGCACCATTTCTACCAAGAACCTTCAACTCCCAGCACTTCAAGTCCATGTTATACTTGATGGCAGCATGCTGTCGAGAAACGACCTTGGCAGGACCCAAATCAATGTTGACATTTTGTTGACTTGGAGGTGGGTTAGCCTGATTGTTTTCTGTGTTTCTTCCGATCGAAATAGATAACGATCTAACGTAATACGTCCAGTCACGGCCAGCGATCTTGGCGTAGGCCTGGACTTCGGTGGCCAAGTTCTTGTCGTTAGCGTAGTCAGTAGCTACGTTTGTTCTTTCCTCGGGGATTTGCAACGTCGAGATGACCGCATTGACAAGGTCTGCTGGATCGTCAAACGTCGGAAGATCGTCTTCACGAGGACGTTTATGCTGTTCTGCCATGGTTATATGATGGTGAGGTGCAGACTGGTTGTTATGGGAAAAAGCGTCAACAGCAACTGCTCAGCGGAACAAAGGAAAGGTAGCGTTCGTTTCAATAAACTCCCAAGAGCTTCGTCTCAGCTATCTGAATTGGAACGTCTCGAAAGCTCAGGCTTTGTCTAGGGGCGAGTAGCTCCGTGGCCTGGGTAGTGTCTGGATTGTTTATAATACGTGAGATTCAAGTGTCGACGCTGGTCACTTGAAGGATGCAAAACGTTGGTAAAACCGACCAGTGATGGGGATGTTTGACAGGTCAAGGCTGAAGCAACACTTGGAATCGCGTTGTTTTGATTCTGAAAGCTTTGGTTAGACCAATGAATCGTGCTTTTTTTTTTCCGAATGGTGAGGGAGGAAAGGGAAAAAAAAAAAAAAAAAAAAAGCCATGAATACAAACAGAAGGAGTGCACACACGCCGAAATGTTAGAGCACCGCTCACTTCATAAGGAGAAGGCCAGAGCGTTTACAGTGAGTTAAACTTTTTTTCTTTTTTGCGTTGTCTGTGACCGCACAGAGAGGGTTTCTTTAGAGAAAAGGCAATGAACAAGAAGTGTTCGTGTAAAGTTTAAATTATAACCGATTTATTTTTTTTTGGTGGTACAAGCCGTTTCGGCATTCGGGGTTCAAGGGTCCAGTTGCCGGGGACATGATGCTTTGCCCGTTTGGAAGCAGCCTTCTTGTTGAACCCCCACACTAAATACCTCATGGCGTTTGCTTCTTGCTCCTGGAGAGAGTGCAGGATGTTTATTTACTCCTAATGAGACACCTGAGCACCAGGAAAATGGCTGCGAAAAAAAAAAAAAAAAAAAAAGAACGACTCCCCTACACGTGACGCGTTTGGCGTCTAGGGCACCCTCTATACCACTGGCTTCTCGTAGTCTATGGGGATCACGAAAGACTCGATCTCGGTATCGAAGCCACGGGCATCTGTCGTTTCACGTTTTATGATATCCACTTCGGTATCTTCTTCTTCTAATCTTTTTTTGATCACCTCTGTCTCGTCTATAATGTCAAACTCGTCTTCCTTCTCTTCATACTCGTCGTTTTCTTCAATCTCCACAAAATCCGGTGCTAAAGCGCTCCATTTCGATGGAAACTGCACCAGCCAGAGGTATATCGCCCCCGTATCGAGCCCTGTCGAGCCAATCATGCATTTGTTGTAGTTCCACTTGACATCGATGAGCTCTTCGTGGCTTCCCTCGAGAATCTTCACTAAAGAACCCATCTGGGTCTCCCAGAGATACAAATCTTGTGAACTTTGGCCAAACGTCGACGCAACAAGAAATTCTGAGTTATGATTAAATGCCACAGTGTTCCACTGTAATCTGTTGACGACATCCTGGTACTTGTGCTCAATCTCAAACTCCCAAGTTGAAGGGTCCTGGTTATTAATCATATCTGGGAGCGTAAATTGTCTAATCACACGATCTGAGGAGTTCACCGCCAACTTTCTGCCATTACGTGAAATCTCAAGCGTCTTGATATTGCTGTTTGTAACTTTCGTCAGGTGAACTGTCTTTAGGTCCTCGGCGTTCATGATATTTAACCAGCCTTTACTTGTACCGGTGAAAACAAAGTCACCCTGGGGACTGAACCGCGTTACGAGAGTCATGTGTTTGGTTTCTCTCTTCTTTGGCTCGCTATCGTCTTTTTCAGTCTCCTGTTGCTGGAGAGGTTCTGTTTTAAGCTTTGTCACCACAGGCTCATCCTTTAGCTCCACATGTACTGGGTCATCCTCAAATAATGATGCTGTGAAAATGAAAGGGTTCCTTGGATGTAGCGAAGACAGCCATACGGGCGAGTCGAACCTGACTTTTCGAAGCATAGCTGGGTTCTTATCAACACCCACCTTGTTTGCATACTTCAAGTCCCAAAGAATGCAACACCAATCTTGGGAGGACAGAAGAAGGTAGCGGCCACACTGAGACCAATTAAGCGATGTTATCTGTCTGACATGGCCGTCTTTTCGTAGAACTGCAACGATGGTGTACGAAACCATATCATAGATTATGATTCTTCCATCGCTGATACCCGCCGCTAAGTAGTCCCCCTTGACGTTAAACTGGATCACCACTGCGTGTCCATGATGAAGAGTTTGCACTAACGTCTCTGGATACTCCTTAGCCACGGCAAAGGGATCTTGTAGGGATAAGTTCATAGTGGCCTTCAGTAGTTAATGTTAACTCTTGAAAATGTTGATGCGCGCTATTGACCAGGGCCAGTAGTTGGAAGACGAGGTTGATAGAGAGTGTTCATGATGATGAATATTGGGCTAATCTTTGAAAGAAGTTGTATTTTAAATATATCTGTTAAGGCTTTGTCATTAATAAAAATGTGTAAATTGGTTTGGATATGCTGTGGAGGATACTTGAGTAGGCAATAGGTGAATGTTTAAGCCAAGAACTTGACCAAGAGAGGGCTTCCAGAGTTATCTTGATGGAATCATAAGTTCTACCTTTTTATAAAGAAATAAGCATGTTCCTTCCATCCACCTTAATTTTTTTTTTTTTTTGCAATCCAGAAATACAATATAACATAATCTTCTTTTGGCTGCAAATTCAACTGAGTACGGACTCTTTACAACTTGTGTGAGCATAACCAGCAAAAGTGCAAAACATGTAAAGCGTTCTTAAAATTAGGAATCTTGTTAAAACTCATCAAAAGTGAAATTGAACTATTCCTTACTTAAATATTAATCCCACTACTGCTTTTTGATCTATAATTAGCAGTCAATTGACGTTTCTAGCCCATATTGATGCTCAAGTTACCTAGCTTGTATAGTGAGAAGCGTACGCGGCTCATCATCATTCTCCACAGAAAGTGTCCCATCGCCTTCTTTTACAACCTCCCAATACTTCCACTCGTTCAAGTGTATACCGTGTACCCAATGATCACTAGATAATGCAATTCACCTCATCAACAGCCGGCGTGTTTTTAAGGTTTCTATTATTGGTAACATACGCAAATTGCCAGATCCACATGTATGTGGATGCTGGAACCAAGCAATGTTTCTACCGAGATTTGTCTGTTGATTCAGTACTTCTTGGGTCATATAGGATTGAGGTGTTAGATGAACAGGGCGTGTATGTCACGCCAAGGGATAAAGATAACACTGGGGTGATTGTTGATGTGGAGGAGAATTTTGACTCCAACAATCGTGTGATCCATCAAAGAGGCTCTTTCTCAGGAAAGTTCTCCTTCAGTCCGCTTGAGGAAGGGTCTCATCGTATATGCTTGACTCCCAAGCTGTTCTATAAAAGAAAATGGAAGGGGGAAGATCCAGTGGCTCTTCAAGAATCCAAGTTCAAGCAGGCAAGGGTGACTCTTGAATTCGACATTGGCGACGCTTCGAATATCCTAGCGAAGGATTCCACAGAGATAGAGGAATTGACCTCCAGAGTAGCGCTGTTGATCGAGAAGGTCACATACATCAAGCGTGAGCAGGGCTTTATCAGAGCGAAAGAAGCCACTTTCCGTGATTTGCTGGAACGGGCTTGTGAGAAAGTAGTGTCATGGCTGGTGCTTCAGCTTGGGATCATGGCGATTACGTTCCTTTATCAGCTATGGACCTTGCTTCGGTTCTACATGAAGAGGAAGACTCATATCGACTAAGCTACGCATAAGTCAACGGCGAATAAGCCGTCCTCAACTGGAAGAAAAAGGTTTCGATAGGCGTTTTGAATAGGTTTCTTAATAAAAGTACTTTTGATTTTGTTAAAAGGTCATTGGAGCACAGCTTGCAACTATGCGTCTCGCCATACTGAGACAACCACCTATCTTATATCTACACACATTCGCACTAGACTTCAAAACCACTATAGATCTGGAATGGCAGAGCTTCTCGAGCCTCTAGCAATTGACGAGAATGGCAGCAATTCGAGAAATAGCATACCCTCAAGAAACTCCCACCTGTCCACTCCCTCTGTTGCTCTGACAGACGGCCAGAGTCTACTATCCCCATTAAGAAGAAAGAGGTTTGATGATCGTTCCCAGTCAAGAACCAGCATTCAACTACGAGCCCATACGGCGTCTCCAAATACTCAAAGACCTCATGTTCTAAGAGCTACTTCCTCAGAAGGAGTACAGTCCTTTGTTAAATGGGTTGAGACGAAACATATACTGAAAGTCATAAACTCTGAAGATTTCATCAACCGATTCGGGGCGCCCCAGCTTATCCAACTATCTCAACATCATATAGCCGTTGGAACAGAACGGGGACTTGTGGTTGCTTTCAATTACAAGCAAGAACCAGATTTTGTGCTCGTCCCTCGGAAGAGTGATACGGTATCCACTGATGAACAACCGATTTCCCAAGTATGTTGCATTTCTTTCTCATCAGATGCATTCTTTGCAGCTGCTGGCTATCTGGATGGCTCAGTGGCTGTCTGGAACCTCGGTGACGGACCACCCACGTCTAGATTCGATGTTTTATACGCTGACGGAGTGATTCAGCCTATCACCTTGGAACAGCGATTTAGACGCAACATGCAAGGACACCTTAAGGATGTGCCAGTCATAAAGGTCAACTTTGTTGGAGACCAAGACCAGCAGCTTGTTTCTTCAGACCTATCTGGCCTAGTCTTTTTCCATAGAGGTTTCAAGAGGTTTCTACGGAAATACTACACTTCTCAGAAATTGCTCGGCAAGAACGATACAAATAGTGCTGATACTGCCGGCAAATTTACCATACATGATAGTCAGGTTCTTCCTTTTGGCACGTCTGAGCAAATTACTGATACATTAGGCCTATTGGCCGTCATTAACAAGAACATTTTGGTTATCGTCTCCGTGCGGTCACTAGACAATCCAGATGTTCCGTATCCAGTGAGCCAATATAAATGCTCCAGACCAAAATCAGTCGCTGGCGACGATGCTCAAGGTTGCTTGTCTTGGTATCCTTGTATCCAAGTGGACGGAAAAATACATAATGCCAAACTTGCTTACGCGTGGGATAACATAGTCCTGATTCTTGAACTAGATAACAAGGCAATTCCGTCTGACATCATGTCAAAAATATCCGAATTGAAAGAAAAAAATAAGGGCATACCCCAATTCAAATTCCACAAGAAAGGAAGGTTGAGTGTTCCGAAGGGTGACAAAGTGGTAACTTTAAACTGGCTCAATTCGGAAATTCTAACAGCGGTCACACGTCGTTCAGATACAACAGAAACCAAACTTTTTTTCTTTTACTTCAACAGCACCCAGGAATCATCCACTTTTTCCCAAGTAGGTGTTGACAGTCTCGATTCACAGCAGGTATCATATCAAACGATCCATCATCAAGATGGACCGACTGTACCACATCCAGTGACTTACGGTGGAAGTCTAAAGATTCTTCGCCATCGTTTGGTCATGTTAGTCAACTCCCATTCTGCATCACAGAGGACCATACTTTCAGGAAGGTGTCTCAAATGGGCAGACAGGCTCATGGACTTCCTTGCCCAAAGCGAATTCGAGTCTGCTCTAAGCATGGCTTTCGAGTACTATGTTTCTGAAGACTATGGCCAGCTTGTTCTTCATGGACTTCCCCATAATAGAAACGAGCGTCACGCTGTTGTCAGCCCTATTTTGAAACGTGTAATGGTGGAGTCTGTGGAACCGCTTTTCAGTTCTCAAGATAACACCTCCCGAAGTCAATCCAATTTGGAGCTCTTCTTTCGACTTGTATCCATTTTGTCAAAAAACGGTTTGGTAAATGACGACTTGCTTCACATATTAGATGAGATATATGATCGCTTTGAAGACAGAAAGCTATTCTTCGATATGTTGGAAGAGTACATCATTTCCCTGGAAATCAAGAACTTGTCACCTATATTGTTTAAGGGCCTTATTGAAAACTATGCTGCTAGCGATAAGAGAGAACTTCTTGCTGAGATTATATGCTTACTCGACATGTCTACTCTCAATATCGACTTGGCTTTGAACCTCTGCAAAGCATTTCATTTGAGAGAATGTCGCATCTACATCTGGAACGAGATGCTTAAAGATTACACAACGCCGTTGGTGACCTTGATTAACGAAATTGAGTCGAATAACAGCGAGCACGATGACCTTTTAATTGTGTTCACTTACATGTCTTATATTCTCACCGGCCGCCTGTACCCTAGTGATAAGATCCTTGATTCAAGTGTCGAAGTGTACGCCAGGAACTCGATATGTGAAATACTTTTTAGCATAGGGCCATACACTTGGCCAAAAGATTCAGAGAAAGTTCTCTTGGGATCTAGCTCTGACAAGATCTTTCCTTATCTTACCTTCTTCCTTGAGTTTGACACATTTGAAACGTTGGTAACCATCAACGAGTTTTTTGAAAACCCATCCCTCAATGACGAGATTGAGGGTCCACTCACAAGGCAGTACATTATCGAGGCTCTTTTGGATATTTTTGGGGCAAACGAAGCTTTACAAAAGGGCGAAAGTCAGACCCATCTTGCCATCTTTATAGCAAGGAACTACCCGAAGTACTTTCAATTTATAAGACTTTCGGAGTCAGTCTTACAAGAGACGGTCGATGTGCTTTGCAAAAATAAAGATCCTGATCTACACGAAGATTGCGAGCTTGCACTAGAGAGCTTGCTTTCTGTTTATGAGGTTGAGAGTGACGCTCACCTACTCGAACAAATGCGTGCCGCCGGGTTTTACGACGTGCTCTTCAAGATAAGTAAATCTCGAGGGGAGTTTACGCAAGCAATGGAAATGTGGCTAGCAAAGCATCAGGAGAGTTCGTCAGAGACGAGTAAGAATGTCACAGTTTTGGCGGACATGCTAAAAAGCACTTTTCAATCCGAAAACCAAAATACAACCGAAAGAATCCGGCTAACTCAATTTATTGAAGAGCATTACGAAGATCTCATTTCGCTGAATTCTGATGACATGGTTGTTCTATCGAATACATTCCATCCAGAACTAAACTTGATAGTTCTCAAATGCGAAGACAAATCACTAGCTTTAAGATATCTTGTGTCGTTTTTTGAAAGAACTGTGAACCTGAACCTAGATTCTGTTTCATTGCCTTTATTAGTGAGATACTTCGAGCTCTTGAGTGAAGACAAGGAGTTGCCGATGAAGAATTTGGTGGTAAAATACTTATCCAGTTTAGAGAACCACAAGCCAGAAAAGGATGCCATAAAAACAGTTTTAAAGGATGCCAAAGCTTTTGAACTGTTGGCAGTCATTTTAAGTAACGATGGGGAGCACGACGCCGCTGTTGATGAGCTTTGGAACGCCATTGAGGCCTTGCAAACGACCGATGGAGACTTGAAAGAAGAAGACTACGAAACCATAAGTTCTTATTTGGCAAGGACAATCAGGATAGGCGAAGAGGCGAGGAAAGAGAGTTTATGGACATCGCTTGTCGAAAAGTTTGTGGTCATGAGTGAAAGGACTGAAGATGAACGGTTGCATGATATTTTAAATGAAAGTATCTACAAGTGCTTCAGAGCAATTGAAGACAGAGAGGCAGGAAAGGACGGTAAGTCAACCTTCACCAATGTTTTTAACCGAGTACTTGAGGTTGCAAAGGTGGCCAATTTAAGGGAGACCCTTCAAGATATTCTTACATCCTACTTTTTTGAATCAGAGATCCATACAATAACTGTGGGCAAGATCAACCAACGAATTTCAAAGTACATGGATACCATAAAAGAAGAGGAGCTACTCGGATGGCTCGTCAATAACAAGCAATGCACTAGCTGTGGCAAGGTTATGTGGGGTGGAGAGATGCTGGAGCGACACACATGGGCATGGGAAGAGAGACAGAAGAGCAAAGTGTTCCTTTCCGAAGGCTCCTTCGACAAGGAGAAGTTCAGCGATTGTGATCTCTACTTGTTCAAGTGTTCCCACGGGTATCACAAGAAATGCTTGGAACACATTGGGGGCAATAAGCGCTGTGTTATTTGCTGCCCCGAATAAAGGCGCTACAATACTTTGAGACAAGTTTTAAACGTCCCGCCTCGACCAAGTAGCAACATGAAAAGCGAAATAAGCTGGGCGGCACAAATTCTAGGGAGACAGGGATTGTTCACCCTTCCCCCCTGAAAGGGCAATTGAACAATGGGGCCATGGAAACGAGAAAGATCGGCCGCCCAATATCAATTCTTACAGAAAATCTTGCCCCAGAGACGCCCCTGATACAAGGTAGAGATTGCTCTGGGGCGAAGTTTCCAGACCGTCCTATATGGCAGAAGGGCATGCGAGTTATTTATTCGCAGTAACAGAACAAGGGGCAGGAGGCTTCGCGAGATGGCACATAGAAGGAAAAATACCCAGTGAGATCAGGCCCTACCTCAAACAGGCAAATAGCAAAACAGTGAGACGTTCTGGGTCGCAATGCCAAACGGGCGAAGACAACAATTTACAGCCTATTTTGCGGTGACGTACCTGAAATGTGATGGGTTTCGTCTTGTCACAACTACTTTTTCTTTTTTATTTCTATTACTTGTTTCGCCTATCCTTTGAAGGGCCTGTACTATTTCGTATACTGCCACACAGAACCGCAATTTTTCGAGGACAGCGCCTATTTTGGAAAGAAGAACCCATTTGCGGAGGACATTTTTAGAAGCTCAATTTACTCGCAAAAGTGCCCACTTGACAGGAGACTCCTTGAGCAGACAATTTTTTTTTCTTTCCCACTTACCAACACTTTCTCCCCGTTTCCCACTATTAATAGTTTGGAATAGGTGGATTTTTTATTAGGTGGTGAAATCGGATTCTATATTTGGTCCCCTGAAACTTATTGTTCTACCACAGTGGCAGTTCCTGATCTCAGGCTCCCACATTTCATTCGCTCAACTACTCCCCTGAAACCATGCAAAATAACTACGACGACGACCTCTTTGAGGACGAGAAGGGCTCTAACACCAGCCCTTACCCCCAGCAGCTGTACCGCTCCCATTCCAGAGTTGCATCCAGCTCCAGAACATTTTCCAGCGGAGGGGATGAGGATGATGATTTCTATGAAAAACTTGGTGGAAGCTTATACGGAGAGTCCAACGCCTCTACGGTGAAGCAGCCTGGTGTTCGCTTCAGTGAGAAGGTGGTTGGCCGGAATTCTTATGCTGGCCACACACATAACGCCAGAAGTTCAGTTGCATCCCCCTTAATGGCCCTAGGGAGTCTTACAGAATGTCACAGTACCCGCTGTTCGAATACAACGGACCAGAGTACCCACAGAATGCCTACAATCGCTACAGTGTCATGAACGTGGATGAAATGGCGAGCATGCCTAACAGGCTCAGCATGGGTTATCAGCAAATGGGTATGCCAATTCTGCCAGATGACTATAACTTGAACTTGCTTGAAGAGGCTGCAGATGATATGGATCCTTTTGGTGACGATGATTCCTTGTTTTCAGAGGCTGACCCTGATGAATTACGTAGGGGCATGACTCTTAAGAGAACTCCTACACAAGCTAGACCCCACGACGGCGAAGAAGACGACGACTTCACTCCTCGTCTTAACTACACCAAGACCGTTAAGCGTGCTCGTTTAGTGGATGGTAACTTCGTCATTGATGCCCCGGTGCCCAAGCTGTTGCTTAACACGTACACTCGCTCAGCCTTTGGCGAAAGTAATGAAACTTCCTTCGTTAGATACTCGGGTGTCACTTGTGGACCTTCCAACTTCGGAGAGTACAAGTATAATCTTCGTCAGACGTTGTACTCTCCACCAAGAGAAACTGAAATCATGGTTTGCATTACAATGTATAACGAGGATGAAATCTTGCTCGCACGTACCTTGAAGGGTGTGTTCGAGAACATCAAGAACTTGACCAAGAGAAAAGATCCAAACTGGGGTGACGGTTCTTGGAAGAAGGTTGTTATCGTGATTGTCAATGATGGTCGTTTGCAGCTTCATCAAAGAACCCAGAAACTTCTTACAGCACTTGGTGTCTTCCAGGAGGGATATGCCAAGTCTAAGGTTAACGAAAGTCATGTTAAAGCTCATCTTTACGAATACACATCGACTGTGGGTATCGAGAGAGTTACAAATGACAGGGTTTACTTATCACAGAATCTGACCCCAGTGCAGCTTGTTTTCTGTTTGAAGGAGAAGAACGCAAAGAAGATTAACTCCCATCGTTGGTGTTTCCAGTCCTTTGCTCCATTGTTGAACCCTAAGGTGGTGATGCTTCTTGATTGTGGTACCACACCATCGAAGGATGCATTCTACCATTTGTGGACCGCCTTCAAGGATCCAAACGTTGCAGGTGCTTGTGGTGAAATGAGAGTCGCCTTGGGTCAGAATAAGAGACTTTTGCTGAACCCATTGGTTGCTGCTCAGAATTTCGAGTATAAGATTTCTAACGTTCTAGACAAACCTATGGAATCCGTTTTCGGATTTATTTCTGTGCTTCCGGGTGCTTTCTCCGCCTACAGATGGGAAGCGTTGCTTAATGTTGACGGACAGGGGCCCCTCGAGAAGTATTTCAAGGGTGAATTCTTGCATCAGAATAAGGAGTTGGACGAAGATGACGACGAATTCGAATTGATGGAAAAGAATTTCCAAGAGTCCGGTATTTTCACATCTAATATGTACTTGGCTGAAGACAGAATCTTATGTTTCGAGCTCGTGGCCAAGAGAAACCACAACTATGTCTTGCGTTACGTGAGCAGTGCAAAGGCTGAGACAGATGTACCTGAAAAGATGGATGATTTCGTCTTGCAACGTCGTCGTTGGCTTAATGGTTCCTTGTTCGCTGCCGTTTATTCGATTGTCCATTGGACACAGATCTGGAAATCCAACCACGGTCTTTTCAGAAAGCTTTGGCTTCAACTTGAGTTCTACTACCATATGGTTACCGTCTTGGTTTCTTGGTTTTCGTTGGCTTGTTTCTTTTTGGTGTTCCGTATCTTGACCAAAAACTTGGGTTCCCCTGAAGTCGGGTTCTCATTTGGTTCAACACTTTCGACGATTTTCTTGTGGATATATGTTGCTTGTCTTGTGTGTACATTCGTTTTGGCGTTTGGTAACACTCCTAGAGGTACAAAGAAGTTCTATACGGTGATTGCTGTTGTCTTCGCCGTTTTAATGGCGTACTTGACGTTTGCAGCTGTCTACTTGGCTATCAATACAGTGAAGTTGGTTATAAAGAATTCTGATGGAGATTTCCATGCGGGCATGTTGTTCACAAACCAGAAGTTTAGAGATCTCGTGGTGTCTGTGCTTAGTACCTATCTTCTTTACGCCATTGGTGCAGTGATTCACGGAGAGCCATCGTTTATGATCACATCGTTCTTGCAGTATCTTTTGATTTCACCCACGTACATCAATGTGTTGAACGTCTACTCGTTCTGTAACATTCACGATGTTTCCTGGGGTAACAGAGATTCTCCACAGGCCAAGGACTTGGGTACTGCTAAGATTACGGAGGACAAAAACGGTGAATTGATCATGACAGTTGTGCCTGCGTCAGATCAGGGACTCGAGGAAAGCTACATGAACACGATTGATGACTTGAAGGTTCCACCACCAGAGATTCCCGTTATGATGTCCAAGAAGCTGAAGGAAGATTCATACTATGCATTGTTGCGTACGATCACCGTGTTGGTGTGGATGTTGACAAATGCTATTTTGGTTGCAATTGTGCTTGCTGCTGTTGGACCAAAGGACGACACATGGAGTGATTACAGAAACTCTACGATTTTCTTGACGGTGATTTTGTGGATTGTGTGTGCGTTGGCCGGGTTTAGACTTACGGGAAGTGTGCTCTACCTTTTGATGAAGGCCATGAGGCCATTAAAATGGTGGGCACGCAAGAGGAAATCGGTGTAAAGATCGAAGAATAATGACAAAAACAAAAATATTAAGAACAGGTAACGGTAAATGTTACGGAAAAATGGCACGTCGGAAGGGCCGGCATTAGTACATATGGAAAGAAGCAGCTTAGGCATGAGGTGGTTGTAGGGATAACCAGGCAATTGGCATAAAACGGTCTTGACAAAGAAAAGGCGACATTAAGCGGGTATAGAGAGGTCGGCAGGAAAGCGACAGTTGTGCCGACGGAGTACGCCCGAGCCTTGTACATGGCGCGAAGCCGAGGAACCCAACCTATGCAAAGAGTAGTGGCTGATTCAAAGACAGCATGGCCAATGATAACGATGGAAAATGGACAGTTGAGAGATTTTTTTTTTTCCGGCGCCGCTGGATGGTCGCGAAAAACCGCACAATGCAAGAGAGTTGAAGTTTTGCCGCAAAAAGCGAAAACCCAAAGTGGAGTTTGATGAAACTGGGATGCTTGAGAAAAGAATGTAAAAAGGCAGGACCCACCAGAATAACGGAACCAAAGTTCCTATGGGAAGTAGACGAAAGAGGAGTAAGAGCACAGAGCCAGAGGAGCGCAAAAAGCCCCCGGAACCGAGTCGACGTTTGCACGTCAAGACGTGCAGCGGCAAGTTTCAATAGGTTAGTAGAGATTGGTGGAAAAAGGATTACGAGTAGCCCCAAAAAAAAAAAAAAAAGCTGTTAGTTGGCCCCGGGCAGGACCGACAGCAGTCAAAAAGGCAACAGACAAAAGGCGACAGGCTACAGGCGAGAGGCGAGAGGGCGTCGAGGCAACAAGGGCAGAAAAGGCGGGCGGCGCGATTACCAGTTAAAAAAAAAAAAAAAAAAAAAAAAAAAAAAAAAAAGAAGAATGCCTCCCACCGCTACCGGTTTCGCACTGGAGAAGGTGAGCGGTTACAGATAAGTGCAGAAGACAAGGTTGGGCGAGATGGGGTAGGGCAGAAGCCCGGGGCTCGCCAGAAGGAGAGTCTTAACTGGAGGTTTACCTGGAAGGACGTTAGCGGTTCTCGAGTAGTCTCCTTATCTTGCCTTTTCTTTTCCAGTTAATTACCCTGGTCTGCATCGGTAATGGCTTTTGTGGTTTAGCGGTTTGTGCTCGGACACTTCGGACGCTGTGCCGCGCAACGGGCCCAGGAACAGAGGCAGAGGCAGATTGGGGGGAGGGAGGTGCGACCAGTAGTGTGTCCCAGTGGCCAATGAACGTTGGCAGGCTGGTGGGGCAGGTGAGGGAATTTCCAGAGCCAAGACTGTCGGAGTAGACCAGACGACGTTTGGGTTTTGGATTTGGAGCGGAGTATCGAGGAAATGGCAAAAATAGTGGTCTAGGGCACAAACAAAAAAAAAAAAAGACAGAGCCAAGACGGGGGGTAACAGAAAGAGGAATAGGAGGAATAGGGGTGGGAAATTTTCTACAACCTTGATGGGGGTAGTATTCGTAAAAGTAGGTCGTAATGTAAAAGTTAGTCTATGAGATAGGCTATGGGTAGTAGTGAAAGGTGAGAGAGAGAAAAATGGGAGGGTGGAAAAGTCTGGCTATTTGCAACCTGGGTTAGCAGCGCGGGAGAGATCTGTGGAGAGCAGCAGTTTGAACGGCATGCCGTCTGCGACCATGACGACAGCGTGCTGGAGGTATTTTTTTTTTTTTTTTTTTTGTTACATTAGTGGTTGGCTTTTTGGATGAAGGCTCTGGCGGCAAATGAAAGAAGCACAGCGGCGGTCGTTACATAGGGCCGAGGTGAGCTGTGGGTCGGTAAGCTTCTGGGCCGTGCGACATTAAAAGTTAGGTGAGGTATAAAAAAAAAAGAGCAGAGAAAAGCGAGAGGTAATGGTGTAAAAGGCTTTGGGTTCTGGGTTAGCGCTAGGGCTTGGAGGGGTCTGGCTGAGAAGCGATGGGGCTGAAAAAAGTGAAAAAAAAGTGAAAAATTGAGAGCCAGCGTAGGAAAAGGTAAGTGTTTTAGAAGAAATAAAAGTAGTTTCAGGCCTACCTAGGACTTGCTACCTGGAATGCTGGGTGGACTCATTTTTGCAGCCACCGCCAGCATCCAGCATGTCCAGCATCCAGGTAGGTTGAGCCAGCGGCGACAAACGAGGGAAAGGCTAATTGCCCTGGCTTGGTGCGAATTGCGCCCGATGGGGCAAGGCTGTTTTGGGAAACCACAACACAGAATGAGAAGCAGATAATAAAGGTGAGAAAGGAAATGAAAACACAGCAAGAAATATGGACGTAGAGAGGATTCGTGGATTGAGGTCAAAAACGACCAGGTCAAAAGGGTCTGTATTTATCGACCCACGCTCGAGTCTACCCTTCAATGTACAAAAAACTTAAACAAAGTGTCAATGGACGGCTGCTCGTACCTTGAGCTTGAGACAACAGTAATTGACGCATTGTGGTGCTGCCACAGTGCGCTTGACGTCAGCGGCACCAGCAGCAGCGACAGCGACAAATTGGCCTTAGCCAGCCCAGCGCTCGCTCGCTCGCTCGCTCGGTGCAAAATTGGGGCACCATTAAAAATTTTTCACATTTTCCACTTTACCCAATGGGTATAAGCCAGCCTAAAGGGGCAAGCAAATCACAGGCAATCTACGTAGCAGTTAGCCCCAATGAAGAATGTAAGCCAGGTTTGAGAGAGAGCCAGAGAACGTAGTGTGTGTCAGGTCGCTGTCAGTGTTTAAACCGACAGGTAAGAAAAAAAAACAAAGTGAGGCAGGTCAAGCAGAGTCGCAGGGAGGAAAGTGGAGGGGCAGGGAATTGTGACCCGGAAGCCAAGTAGAGTAACAAAAAAAAAAGCACACAGGGAAGGCAGTAGGCTCGTAAGAAAGGGAAATGTAATTAATTGAGCCGGGTGCCGGGTGCCGGTGCCCTGACCAAGGAAAGGTACTTTGCATGGGCAAAAAAGCCCAAAAGCTTATCATGTCATGGGATTGGTTTTTTTTTCCCAGGCTTGCCGGCGGTTCCCGTGGAAACGAAGTCAAGGGAAGTGCTGGGAGTGGACGATGGCAGGACGACATGGCGACATTTCTTCCTGTACAACGGTCCCGGAAAGGTGCGTCAGGCTGCAGAAGCGCCTCACCTGCCAATTACCCATTTCTTTCTTTTTTTTCCGACATGCCTGCCTAAAACGTCTGGTTTGTTTATCACAAAATTCCCTCATTTCACATCTTTCTTCGGCGTTCAAGCAGGCAGGAAACTAAGCAACAAAATAGTTCCTGAAAGAAAAAGGAAAAAAACAAATTTTATCGCCTGTAGCTTCCGTCGTCGCCGACGCTGTCTGCCGGCGGGGCTGCCTATCTGCCTGATAGGTTTTTTGGTTTTTTTTATTTTTCCTCCCTCTGACTCGTGGGCCATATAAATGGCTTACCCATCCGCTCCCAATTCGAGTTTTCCCTTTTTTTCTTTTCTTTTAGACTTTTCGTGTTTCTCTTTTCCAACTCTTCGCTCGCATTCGTGTCGTAGTTCAAGAACGAAATGAGTGCTACCGAACCAACTAACGAGAAGATTGGCAAGCCCGTCGAAGATGACGACGAGGACGAGGATATCGACCAGTTGATCATTGACTTGCAGTCTAACCACAACCTTGGTGACGACGACGAGTCTGACGACGAGGCCGATGCTGGCTCTTTCAAGGCTGTCCCAGATGAGCTTTTGCAGACCCAGCCAGAGGTTGGTTTGTCTGACGATGATGTCAACAGGAGAAGAAAGAAGTATGGTTTGAACCAGATGGCTGAGGAACAAGAGAACATGGTTCTCAAGTTCGTTATGTTCTTTGTTGGTCCAATTCAGTTCGTTATGGAGGCTGCTGCTATTTTGGCCGCTGGTCTTGAGGACTGGGTCGATTTCGGTGTTATCTGTGGTTTGTTGTTGTTGAACGCTTCCGTCGGTTTCATTCAGGAATACCAGGCTGGTTCTATTGTCGATGAATTGAAGAAGACTTTGGCTAACACTGCCAATGTTGTCAGAAACGGTCAGCTCGTTGAGGTTCAGGCTAACGAGATTGTTCCAGGTGACATTTTGCAATTGGAGGATGGTACCGTCATCCCAGCCGATGGTAGAATTGTTTCCGAAAACGCTTTGTTGCAGGTTGACCAGTCCGCTATCACCGGTGAGTCTTTGGCTGTTGACAAGAAGCACGGTGACTCTACCTACTCTTCTTCCACTGTCAAGACCGGTGAGGCTTTCATGATTGTTACTGCTACTGGTGACTCTACCTTCGTCGGTAGAGCCGCTGCTTTGGTTAACAAGGCCTCTGGTGGCTCTGGTCACTTCACTGAGGTCTTGAACGGTATTGGTACTATTTTGTTGGTTTTGGTCATTGTTACTTTGTTGGTTGTCTGGGTCGCTTGTTTCTACAGAACCGTTGCTATTGTTCCAATCCTTAGATACACCTTGGCCATCACCATTGTCGGTGTTCCAGTCGGTTTGCCAGCTGTCGTCACCACCACCATGGCTGTCGGTGCTGCTTACTTGGCTAAGAAGCAGGCTATTGTCCAGAAGTTGTCCGCTATTGAGTCCCTTGCTGGTGTCGAGATCTTGTGTTCTGACAAGACCGGTACTTTGACCAAGAACAAGTTGTCTTTGCACGACCCATACACCGTTGAGGGTGTCGAGGCTGACGACTTGATGTTGACTGCTTGTTTGGCTGCTTCTAGAAAGAAGAAGGGTTTGGATGCTATTGACAAGGCTTTCTTGAAATCTTTGATTAACTACCCAAGAGCTAAGGCTGCTTTGACTAAGTACAAGGTTTTGGAGTTCCAGCCTTTCGACCCTGTTTCTAAGAAGGTTACTGCTATCGTCGAATCCCCAGAGGGTGAGAGAATTGTCTGTGTTAAGGGTGCTCCATTGTTCGTCTTGAAGACTGTCGAGGATGACCACCCAATCCCTGAGGATGTTCACGAGAACTACCAGAACACTGTCGCTGAGTTTGCTTCTAGAGGTTTCAGATCTTTGGGTGTCGCCAGAAAGAGAGGTGAAGGCCACTGGGAAATCTTGGGTATTATGCCATGTATGGACCCTCCAAGAGATGACACTGCTCAGACCGTTAACGAAGCTAGAAGATTGGGTTTGTCTGTTAAGATGTTGACTGGTGATGCCGTTGGTATTGCTAAGGAGACCTGTAGACAATTGGGTCTTGGTACTAACATCTACGATGCTGAGAAGTTGGGTCTTTCCGGTGGTGGTGACATGGCCGGTTCCGAGATTGCTGATTTCGTCCAGAACGCTGATGGTTTCGCTGAAGTTTTCCCTCAACACAAGTACAACGCTGTCGAGATCTTGCAAGCTAGAGGTTTCTTGGTTGCCATGACTGGTGACGGTGTTAACGATGCCCCATCTTTGAAGAAGGCTGACACTGGTATTGCCGTCGAGGGTGCCACTGATGCCGCTAGATCCGCCGCTGATATTGTTTTCCTTGCTCCTGGTTTGTCTGCTATCATTGACGCTTTGAAGACCTCCAGACAGATTTTCCACAGAATGTACGCCTACGTGGTGTACCGTATCGCTTTGTCTTTGCACTTGGAAATCTTCTTGGGTCTCTGGATTGCCATCTTGAACAGATCTCTTAACATTGACTTGGTTGTTTTCATTGCCATTTTCGCTGACGTTGCTACCTTGGCTATTGCTTACGACAATGCTCCATACGACCCAGCTCCAGTTAAGTGGAACCTTCCAAGATTGTGGGGTATGTCTATCATCTTGGGTATCATCTTGGCTGTCGGTACTTGGATTACCTTGACCACTATGTTCATGTCCAGAGGTGGTATTGTCCAGAACTTCGGTTCCATTGACGGTATCTTGTTCTTGCAGATTTCCTTGACTGAGAACTGGTTGATTTTCATCACCAGAGCTCAGGGTCCATTCTGGTCTTCTATCCCATCCTGGCAATTGGCCGGCGCTGTGTTGATTGTCGACATTGTCGCCACTTGTTTCACCTTGTTCGGTTGGTGGTCCCAGAACTGGACTGACATCGTTACCGTTGTCAGAACCTGGATCTGGTCTTTCGGTGTCTTCTGTGTCATGGGTGGTGCCTACTACTTGATGTCTGAGTCTGAGAGCTTCGATGACTTGTGTAACGGCAGAAAGAAGTCTCACCAGCCAGACAGAAGATCCCTCGAAGACTTCATGGTCTCCATGGCCAGAGTCTCCACTCAGCACGAGAAGTCTTCTTAAGCTACTTAAGAAGGATTCTACAAACTATCATTCCCCCCATTTTTTTATTTGATTCCCCGATTATTCCCGTCGTCATTTTGAGATTAATTTCGTATTATAGTATAAGTAATAGATAATGATTAAAACTGGCCAGTGTAGAGCAAAATTAAGGGTACTTTTTCCAATGGAGAGCGAAATGCACAGACGACAGTAGAAAAAAAAAATGAACGATGGAAAATGCGATGCCCATCTGCCCAATGCGAATTTGTTATTGAAAAAGGCAATACAAAAACAAGGCGGACACACAGAGCAAACATGATTACATGGGCCGATGGGGAAAAAAAAAACATTAGGTTGCATCAAAATGAGGCTAAAAGTAGCAGCATTACACTGCCGGAAAAACAAAACCGGAAATAGCATTTAAACTAATGTCGTCCAAAACACTGGGTGCAGCTTGTTTGTTGTATTTTCGAAAGTAGAAGGTTAAGAGCACAAAGTGAAAAATTAAAGAAAAGGTGCTCTCCAGATAGCCACTGTGAAATGTCGCTTTTGATAAGAGCAGACACAGACAATTGGGCGGAGAGTAAAAGCGTAGGGAATTGTGGAGGAGCAAAAGTCTGGAGAAGGAAAAGAAAGAAAATGTCCAACAAGGGTGGAGACATGTAATTAAGCCGTAGCAACGTTGGACAATTAGTGGGCTTTGCAGCCAGCGCTGACAATGTGGATATTCTGGGCTTGGGCCACACCACCATTTGCAGCCACGATAAGGAGGCTAAGGATGGATAGTCAATTGGTAATTTCACTTAGACTAGGCTGAAACGAGTGGAAAGGTCATGGCAAGGTTTATGGTGTAAGTCTGGACAGGGTAGCCCCACCAGCACTTAACCTTATGTGCTGCTAAATAGGGCAGCGCAGCGCAGGCCCCGTAAAGAGTGTAGAATGTTACTGTGGCCGTGGAATTGGCAAGGGCAGTGTCGTCGTTTAAATTCCCCAGATAAGGTTCAGTGTTGGTAGTTTGATCTGGCGCCAGATAAGCCCTGGCGGTGGGCAGTGGGGGATACCAGCTGCACATTTAAAGGGACGAAGGTTCACCAGTATTGTTAATAGTTGGCTTTGGTCGCTAAGGAGTGCAATACCGGCATAGTTTGGAGGTAATTGGGAAAGCTAATTTTGTACTATTGCCCCTGATGTCGGTGTCTCTCGTAACTTTGGTATATTGGACATGCAACGGTGAAACGAAGCTTTTATCCGAGTTTGCTAGTCTGGTGTGGTGGAGATGTTTAAACGACATGGCACGAAAGATGACCCTGGGGGAAGTCTGGTTGCTTGGGAATGAGGAGACTACTACATCTGTTCAGTTTCTTATCTTGAGGGACTGGCCATGTCCATGGAGCATCCCTTACTATCTGGTGTTATAATTGGTTCCCCTTGTTTCGTTTTGCGTCCAAGAAATTAGTCTGTTCGACACCCTGCAACAGGGAGAAGCGGGAAGCTGTGGCAAGAGGTATTTCCAGAGAAGTATGTCTATACGGTTGGCGCTGATCGAGGTAACTATCCATGGGTAGATTGAAAGTTGACCCATAGATACCATTTCTAGTCCCAATTTTCAGCTACATCACTCGACGACATCACTTTTTTATCTACCCAACGATAACTGGATTGTCGTATCTAACAGAGACTTAGCCTACCGGTACGACTCTTCGGGATGTTTCCACATGCCAGTGCCCATTCCCATAACAACCCATTCCATTTCGTCCCACTCCAAGAACCCATCCCTACTTCCACCCACGTCTAAAGCCACTTCGTTTAAACCCACTCCCGAGTTCTAGAAAGTACCTATCTATCCTTCTCCTCCAGGTCGTCTGACGATTAGGGCCTCTGGCGATTCGCAGCCAATCGATCTGCGTCACCAACCTTTCACACTGCCTCCACCCCAAGCCCACATTACCCATTTTTTTCCTCTTCGACATTCTCCTATCAAAATCCCTACTTTCCATTCTCTTCTTAAATTGACTTCTTCCTTCTTATATCTTCTTCTACCTGGCTCTGTCGCACGGTACGTGTGCCTTTTCCTCCTCGCACTGTACACCTACGTCTCAGATCGAGGCGAAAAAATTCCTCACTCAAATCTCTTCCTCAGGCCCAGTCTGATCGCTTATACAACTCCACCATAGACGGGTTAAGCAGGTTTTTCCTATCCAAACCACTGCCAAAGGGACTCCTGAAGATTAAATTCGCTTTGACGTTGACGTCTGGTTATTTTATTAATTCTTGCCATTCCCCGTTTCCCCCCTTGCCCCATTTCATCATTTAGCGGTCTTTAACGGATAGTACTGGTGGATCAAGAACACCGTTTCAGCGCTAGCTCCTCCACATTTTCACTACCTCATCATTTTCATCATTTTGCATTTCATTGTACACTAGCTGCCGCCATCCGCATCCCAGGTAGCATTATTTTGCATCGTTGTATATTAGAATCTTTGTACATTAGTGAAACCCACATTTAACCACCACTCCAATTCATCCATACCCATGTCTGCAAACTTACAATCACGGTCTGCATCTGTTTCGAACAGTTCTGGCTCAAACAAGTCTAGCGGCTTGCGCTCCGCTTCCATTGGAGGCTCAAACTTTTTTAATAAAGACGGCCTGTCTTTCTTCAGCTTGGATCATTCGGGTTCGGCAGACGATCTGTTGCCTGAAATCAAAGAGAAATCCTTTTCTCAAGAGAACCACGTTCCTTCCGAGTTGGACATTGTTGGTGCCCTTGGCACTTTGAACTTGGATGAGGAATTTGACGATGGTAATGGTCCTCAGAGCCCTAACTCATCTGCATCTTCTTCTAAGCAAGAAGCACCAAAGTCTTCCACTCCATTTGCTCAACCTCAGATTTTGCAGAATGTCATGGCACCTCCAAACAACCCACAAGGTTCTTTGACTCCACAGCCTGCGCCAGTTTCTGGCTTTGGTTCGGCTTCTGCTGTGCCCGCATCTTTGAACACGACCCCTTCAAATTCTTGGAGTAACACTTATGTGCCTCTTTCAGCTCCTCCTTTTGCTTTCCCTATGGAAGACAAATCTGCTGATTTGGCTATGCGTGTAACTCCTCTTGAGCTTCCAGACGGTAAGCCCGAGGATTTGAGTGGCCAAGGAATGGTTCGTCCTTCTTCCAGAGAAGGCCCAGCTTCCCAACACGGTGCCATGATGTCTGTATCTCCACAGCCATTGCACCCTCTTGGTGGGGTCTTGGACTCTCGTTTTGCATTTGGCAATTTCTTTTCGATGTCTGGCATGAACTTTGCTCCAGAACAAGGTAATCATCTTGGCTCAGGTGATAAGGATCCTCAAGCTTTTGGCGATGGAAATCCCATCAAAGATAAGAGAGATCAAGCACCATTTGACGTTCCAAATTCTGATCCATCGGCTCTTCCTCATATGGGCATGCCAACGATGTGGAACCAACATCCTCAGTATGTGAATCCACAGTTCATATCTGGTAGAGGCCAGAACATGGATGCAAGGATGATGCCTGGACCAATGGGCCAGTTTGAAGGAGTTCAACCAAACTTCATGAACGTTGGAGGCCAAAACCGCTACAAGGACCATGGTTTCTCGAATTACTCGAACACTTCTCCTGGCCCTAATATGTCTTCCGGCAACAACCAGCAAAGAAATCACCATGGTAACGGCCCATCAGGTAACTACTCCAACCGTCGCAACTACAATATGAATTCTGGTGTGAACGTTCATCGGAAAATGCATAACTCCAACAGAAGAAAGGGCGATGACGCATCGAAGTATGCCAACGCCAAGTTGGAGGATTTTACAGGCGACATCTACTCCTTGTGTAAGGACCAGCATGGATGTCGCTTTTTGCAGAGACAGTTGGACTTGGGAAAAGAGTCTTCTCAAAAGAGTGGATCGGTAAGTTCTGCCGTAACTAATGATGTTGCGGCCACTGTAATTTTTAACGAAATCTACTTGAAAGTTGTCGAGTTGATGACTGACCCATTTGGAAACTACTTGATCCAGAAGCTTTCCGAGAACGTGTCTCCAGATCAAAGACTCATCTTGGTGAAGAACGCCGCTCCGGAGTTCGTCCGAATTGCGTTGGATCCTCACGGAACTAGAGCCTTGCAAAAGCTTGTCGAATGCATCTCAACTCCGGAGGAGATTCAACATGTCATTGAAAGCTTGGCACCTCATATTGTGACATTGTCTAGAGACTTGAATGGTAACCATGTCGTGCAAAAGTGCTTGCAGAAGTTGAGTCCAGAAAATAACCTGTTTATCTTTGATACCACATCTGCCCACTGCACTGAGATCGCAACTCATAGACATGGATGCTGCGTGTTGCAGAGATGCTTAGACCATGGCAATGATGACCAGCGCAAGCAGTTGTCCTTGAAAGTGGCTGAAAATGCGACTCGGTTGGCGTCCGATCCATTTGGAAACTATGTCGTGCAATATGTGCTTTCAAGAGGTGACGCTGAGTCTATTGAGCTCATTTTGGACCACATCAGATCGAACATCATCGCCTTATCTTTGCATAAATTTGGTTCGAACGTGATTGAAAAATCTTTGCGTATCGATGCTTTGACCGATAGAGTGATGGAGGTTTTGTTGAACAAGAGTGACAAGTTCCCTCTGTTGTTGAACGATCCGTACGGTAATTATGTCCTTCAGACAAGTTTGGATGTGGCAAGCAGCACTGATTTGGCCAAATTGGCGATCTCTTTGCAACCTCTTTTGCCGGGTATCAAGAATACCCCACACGGCAGACGCATCATGACGAAGATTCAGAATATCCTCTAAGTGGCTGTTCCATCAGCAGGGAGTCACCCAACGTTGCACTTCTTTAGTACCACCAAAACGCATACATTATATCCCGAAAACAATACATGGACTTATGTAACAAAGTAGACTTGAACCCTGTACCCCCGGGAAACTGAGAAACTTGGACCGAGCATTGTCTATTTGATGTAAGAACTGCACCTAGTAGATACTGGAGACAGACGCTTCGTACTACTACTTACGGGTACTTACAAGAAGAGGCTTCAAAAGATTTCTTCCCAGTCTTTTGCTGAGATTGATCCGTGAAGGTACTTACATTAACTGGATGAAGTCGGAAACAGGAGTATCGAAACCTAAGATCAAGAAGAGAAAGTACTCGAGAAAAGGATGCAACGAATGCAAAAGACGAAAAATCAAATGCGACGAAGCTGCCCCAGCTTGCAATAATTGCACAAGATTGAACAAAACATGTATCTATGAATATAAAGGCAAGCTCGATGAGAACAACGAGCCTCCTGAGCCGAACTTGAACTTGAAGTTTTATAATCCAAATACGCCCAAGCTGACTAAGAAGGAAACGAAGATCAAAAAGGAGACGCCTAAGAAACCAGCTCCTGCTTTGAAGGAAGAACCTGAAGATAATGGCACCACGTTTTCTAAGGTCGAAGACAGTCCGATGTTACCACTGCTTCCAACAATTCCTCCAGAGGCACCTTCGAGCATGGTATCCAGCGTCGAGACAAACTACGAGATGCAAACGGTGTTCAACGAGGCCAGTTTGCTTGTGAATGATATTCACCATATGCTCGAGGACAATTATGATGTGCGCCATCAGCACGACCGCAGGGCTTTCCCTAGAACTCAACCAAGCCCATCCCTATCGTCTGAAGATAGAACACAGTTCAGCATAGAGGATTTTGTCGACTTGAATGACCAGGTAGACGGCAGCCCACACCTACCTTGGAATAAAGCAGCAGAGATTTGGGAGATTCTGAACTCTCAGCTTATCGAGGAGTGTGTCACAGCAAACAATTTGGGTGAACCACATTCTGGCTATTTAAGGACATTGACTTCCACAGAGCTTTCATACCACATGTATCCTCTTGCTTCACTGATTGAGACCAACGAGGTTGTAAAGCTTCTTCTCATGTATCTGAGCGAGTGCCCACATCTACTATTTTCGCTTTTGGCAATTTCAGCAACATTTCAATTCAACCAGACTGGTAAATCAAGCCATGATATAGCCAGGCAAAAGTATATCGGAGTATGTTTACGCAAATTGAGCGACGACTTCGCAGAGAAACCAGCTTCGAAACTGTCACAATCCTTTCACGTCGAGAAGCTTTTAATGACTGTTTTGGTTCTCACAACATATTTCAGCGCCACGACGTCTCTGTTAAACGATACGGTTCTTAATTCATGGAAGGTTCATCTTAGAGGCGCTCGCGATCTATTGATAAATTACAGCAGAATCACAAAATCATCAGAAAGCGTGTCTCTTGGTCTTGCGCTTGCAAAATCATGGTTCTTTGCATTAGAATCTGTGGCCGCCGTCTTCTCATCAGTAGGTGGTGCTACAGCCAAAACATTTGATGCTCCATCACTAGACAATGATGATCTATTTGGATCATTCCCAAACCTTCCCTTAGACACCAACACTGTATTTGTTGAGAGTGGATTCTTTGAGTATCACGAAAACAGAAACTACCACGAATCGCTCACAAGACTAGCTATGGTAGTCACCAGTCCCACCCTGTCAGACTTTAATATTTTCTGGGGCTACACAGCTACATGTGTCAAGGCGATCATCTGTTACACAAGAGTGAAAAATGCCATGGAGATAAAGAACCTAGAGCGTGCACCCATCCGATGGATCACCCAAATCGTTTCTCTACTAGGACAAACTGGCAGAGAAGAGGTAGTGCCTGGTGTGCTGCCTCGAAACTATTTAATTCCAAAGACTTGCAAAGGACATCCCAACTATGAGCCTCAAACACAGAGGTACAACTTTCCACCTGCTTGTTATGCAGTGGATAGCGACGAGAACGGAGAAAAGACATACTACTCGTGGTTCGACGCGTCTAACCAGTTCCACGTTGACTTCTTGCATCTACTGCTTCTAGTTCTGTCGGAGTTCTACTCCCTCCCACGTACCCACTACCACGTTCAAGAAATGGTACAAAGGATATTCACAGGAGCGTTTTTCATCAAAGAGAAACTGGCGCCGGTGTATGAAAGAGACAAACCAGACATCATTGTGGAAAGCGACAAATACTACGTTTCGCTGTCCACGTTTGACAATAGGTGTATTATGGTCCAGTCTGCGTTTAGACTCTGTGCAAGCGTTGTTGTGGAAGAGGACCATTTTGAGAAAATCGAATTGTTCTTCATGGGCCTTGTCAAGCTAGGCAACGGTTCATCACTCAATGCCTTGGATCAGGTTACAAGAATCAAAGAAATCAGGCGAGAGCGAAGACAGGAGAACCCCGAATTGATCGACGAAGAGGTAATTGAGTTCGAAGAAGGCAAAGCCTCGATACCGTTTGCCTAGAAATCACTTACCCCAAATTTGCGCAAATTACTGCCCCAGTCTAAGCATTATACGACAGCGAACTCCGGATCTACCACTAAACAGTTCGGCGTCCTATACGAGTAAACCGCGTTTTATTCAGTTGTTCCCGCAGAATGCTGCATTCCTGTCGTACAGAAGTAACAATTCCATTGGACCTGCAGAGTGGGCCACTTCCCAAACTAATGCGCGGCACAGTTACTAGAATAAATAACCAGTGATCGGCTCGCTGATTTGCTTTCCCAGCGTTCATTTTAACTACTTCTATTCAATTGGAATCATGACGAAAAAGACAGCTAAGGAAAAGGATTCACAGGTTGTTCCTCATGGTTACCTCGCTCCCGAGGACATTGAGTGGGACTTTGGTGGTCCCATTGGTGCTTTTGGAATGATGACAGGTTTCCCGCTTTTGATGATCTATATGTGGATCAGTGCTGAATTTTATGGAGGCAAGCCCGCTTGGCCAACTGAGGGCGAAAGCTGGGAAGACTTTGGTAAAGTGCTTTTGAACTTGTTCTTGAACCATGGTGTGCCATCTTTCAAGTCTTGGGCTCTTTTCACCACCTTCTTTGTCGTGCAGGCCATCTTCTACTTGACCTTGCCAGGTGTTTGGACCAAGGGTCAGCCATTGGCCCACTTGAAGAACAAGCAATTGCCTTACTACTGTAATGCCGTGTACGCCTTCTACGTCACCAACGTTGTCGTGTTGGGCTTGCACTTTGCTGGCTACAAGTTGTACTACATCATCGACCACTTTGGTGAGATCATGGTGACTGCAATTGGTTACGGTCTTTCATTTTCCGTTTTGTTGTATGTCTACTGTCTCAATTACTCGAAGGATTACCACAGAATGACCGGTAACCACATCTACGATTGCTTCATGGGTGCTCCATTGAACCCAAGAATCGGCAAGTACTTGGACTTGAAGATGTTCTTCGAGGTCAGAATCCCATGGTTCACCTTGTACTTCCTTTCCCTCGCTACTGCCTTGAAGCAGCTCGACTCTTATGGCTATGTCTCTACCCAGGTCATCTTTGTCGTCTATGCTCACTGGCTCTACGCCAACGCCTGCTCCAAGGGTGAGGAATTGATTGTTCCAACTTGGGACATGGCTTACGAGAAGTTTGGCTTCATGTTGATTTTCTGGAACATCGCCGGTGTCCCATACACTTACTGCCACTGTACTTTGTACCTCGCTTACCACCACCCATCCGAGTACAACTGGTCCGTTGAGTACAACGTTGCCTTGTTCACTATCTTGACCATTGCATACTACTTCTTCGATACCGGTAACAGACAAAAGAACAGTTTCAGAAGAATCATGGCTGGCAACACCTCTCTCAGAAAGACTTTCCCATACTTGCCTTTCTCTGATCTCGAGAACCCTAGCTACATCAAGTGTGCCAATGGCTCTCTCTTGTTGACTGACGGTTGGTACAAGTACGCCCGTAAGGCTCATTACACCGCTGACTACACTATGGCTCTTACCTGGGGCGGTATTTGTGGTTTCGCTTCTCCATTCCCATGGTTCTTCCCAGTATTCTTCTTCATTGTGTTGATTCACAGGGCTCTCAGAGACCAAAGAAAGTGCGCTAGAAAGTATGGTGAAGACTGGGACAGATACCTTGAGGCTTGTCCATATATGTTTATCCCATATGTTATTTAAATAGTGTTTCCTAGTGGGACTACCAAAAAAAAGTTCTGATGTTCATGATATTGATTTATGAAAAGTAATTGTAGGTCATGTATCGTACACATAAGGTTGGACTAGTCTAGTTCTGCAATGGCAACCAATCTCTCGTCTATCTCGTCTGGGGTCAAAACACGGAACTTGTCCTGGGTAGCGACACCAATCTCGATATCATTCTTTCTGAAATCCGTACCCAACACGGAACTCAAGGCAGTAATTGCAAACTCAACGGTAGCCTTCCAGTCTCCTTTAACGTGGTCAATCTTCTTGAACTTCTTTTCCAAGTACGTCGTGGCCTCCTGCTGCTTAGGGCCCGTAGACACAGCCTTGACTCCCGTATAGTATCCAGCAGGGTCACACTTGAAAATTTGTGGGCCTCTTGCTTCATCCTCAAAATCAACCTGACAGAATGTCAAGGCGACACCAAGAGGTCTCATGTAAGCTCTCTGTGTGTATAATTGAGACATGTTAGCCATTCTCTTAGCAATACTCTGGACAGGCATCTCGTATCCATATTTGTATCTGAATTCAGCAGCCTCAGCCCTGGCTCTCAAAGCCAAGTTTCTGGCGTCGGCGATCGACCCGGTGGCCAACATACCAATGGATGGAGTGATCTGGAACAAGTATGAGACCGTGGAAGCATCTAAAAGCTTATCAGAAACCTTTTTCTGTGATATCAACACGGCAGAGTCCTCGCCCACGACACCAATGGATGTGATACTTGCTGAATTGATGGCTTTGAAAGCATACTCAACCTGGTATAATCTTCCTTGCGGAGAGAAAATGGTAATGTGTCTATCGAAACCGGCGTCTGAAGTTAGTAAATCAATTTTTCATTTCTATGCATTGGACAAAATGCTGCTGCAATGTGGCACATACCTGACATGGCTGGGATCTTTAGATTTAGATTGGTTGTATGTAAGTTGTAGTGGCAAGGTGAGAGCGATATGTCGTTTGGCGTTGGTAGGTTCAAAAGGTGGATGTCGCAAAAATGTCGTCACATATTCACCTAGAATAACCACCACCACTAAACCAATGAAGGCGACTTGGAAAGGAGAAAAAAGGAAAGGGATCGTTTGACTATCGTAAGGTGACTGTCCATTGCTAAAAGTTTTTGAAGCATGTTTTGATATCCATTTTATTCGTTCTCTTGAAGTTTCTCTTCACTATTACCACTGGCTGCGAAAAGTACCAGTTACTTGTAATTACTACGCTTTTTCAGAAAATATCAGTAAATAAAAATATATCCATCGTTCTTTCGATAGATCGCTTAAGTGTTAACATAAACTCAAAGAAACCTATCTAGAGAGAACCTTAGATTGAATTGGGCTTGACGCTTTGGAATCCAACCAGCCGCTATTGTACATCCGTGCACCAGAAGTATCAAAGAAGTAATCGTTCAAGCTAACTTTCTTTTCATGCAACCACCTAATGTCGAACTCTGAAACGTTTTCGACTGATGTCAAGACTCAGGAGCATGCTCCTCTATATTTTCCTCAGCGACAGCTGGGGTTACGAAACGTCTCATACCATTATAATGCAGAAACTTCTCGATATCATTATGGCCCTCATCATCCAATGAAGCCATTTAGGTTGATGCTTACAGACCATTTGGTTATTCTGTATAAGCTACATGAAAGGATGGATTTATATGAACCTAGAAAAGCTACGCGAGACGAGCTTCTACAGTTCCATTCAGAAGATTATGTGGATTTCTTGCAGACCATAACACCTGAACTCACAGCCAAACTTGGAGAGGAAAAGCTAGCGAAATTTAATATTGGTGACGATTGTCCAATTTTTGATGGTATGTACGACTACCTGGGCATGTACGCTGGTGCTTCTCTTGATGCTCTGAGGAAGCTCATCAGTGGAATGAGTGATATAGCCATTAACTGGTCGGGTGGTCTACATCACGCTAAGAAGTTTGAACCCAGTGGATTCTGTTACATCAACGATATTGTTCTTGCTATTCTCAATTTACTTCGAGTTCATCCGCGTGTCATGTATATCGATATTGATCTCCACCACGGTGATGGTGTTCAAGAAGCTTTCAACACTACAGACAGAGTTATGACTGTCTCTTTCCATAAGTTTAACGGAGAGTTTTTCCCAGGTACAGGGTCTATAGACGAGACAGGTATTGGCAAGGGAAAGAACTATTCCGTCAACGTTCCTTTAAAAGATGGTATAGACGACCATTCCTACATTCATTTATTTAAGCTGATCATGGAGCCTCTTATCACAAAGTTCCAACCTACTGTTATCGTGCAACAGTGTGGTGCCGATTCGCTAGGCTACGATAGATTGGGATGCTTCAATCTTAATATTAGGGCACACGGACAATGCGTTAAGTTCATCAAGTCGTTCGGTATCCCCATGCTTGTCGTGGGAGGAGGTGGCTATACACCAAGAAACGTTTCGCGTCTTTGGTGCTACGAAACTTCCGTGTTGAATGATGTACAGCTCGACTCAAAGATTCCGCTGAAGATTCCAACATACGATTGGTTCGGACCCGATTTTTCACTTCATCCACAACTTGATGGCCGGCTAGATAATAAGAACTCAAAGAAGTATCTTGAATGTGTTAAAACCGACATTTTGGAGCAGCTTCGATTCCTCAACTATGCTCCTTCCGTTCAGATGCAAGAGATACCACCGGATATTGGTGGTCTCACAGAGGAAGAGGAAGACATCATACGAGAACTCAATGAAGAGAGGGATGATGAAGAGACAAGGAATACGCGCGATATGAAGGATGAGGCTCGGGCAGGGGAGTTATTGATGAGCTAATGGCTCTCAGCCTTTGGGGCTTGAGTAGTACGCGCTCTGCTCCAACTTATGACCTTAATGAAAGATGCTACATTTTCGGAGTTATTTTCTGGCAATAAAGTAAACTGTATTATATCTACCGGGCTATAGTGCCCATTCAATATAGAGAATTAATATTAAAGCTTATCCGATGTTGTACCTTATCAAGAAACTGCAAAAACTCAGACAGACCTGCACACGCGTTTTTAGTATATCACTACTAACATACTGGCTGCAAGTAGATGCTCCATGAACAAAACTGACTACAAGAAAAGCTCATAGGGAATGGACGTCCTGCGACTAGATATAGTGCTAGACAAACCAACCAACCGAAAGGTGGTCAACCTGCGATTTCGGCTCCTCCAAACTATTGGCCAGGGTCAGTTTGGCAAAGTGCTACTAGCGGAAGATCTCAGTTCAAATGGCCATGAGTTCGTGGCTATCAAGACTATTAATCGAGTGGACCGAGCCAAATTGATCACCAAGACGTATCTAAGTCACACAACCAAAATCAAACGCGAGATACAGATTATGAAGGAGTGTGATCATCCCAATGTGGTTAAGTTATACCAAGTGATTGACGATCTCAAGTACGACAAAATCTTGCTCGTGCTTGAGTACTGTAAGTTTGGAGAAATCGACTGGAAGAAGTATAACCACTTCCATGAGAAGTATCTTAAGGAGGGGAGCAAGGGCATCACGCTTAACAAGATCGTGAGAGACGTGGTGAATGGTCTTGAATATTTGCATAGCTATAAGCGCATCATCCACAGGGACCTCAAACCGTCTAATCTTCTAATAAGCCTGGATAGGACAATCAAGATTTCAGATTTTGGGGTTAGTTTGATTTTAGAGAACAACACTAATGATGATAAGGAACTAGGGAAAACGATGGGTACACCAGCCTTCTACGCTCCTGAGTTATGTCAGTTTGTCAACAAAAGGCTACTGATGCTTAATGAAGATGATATGGCAAGGTCAAAAGTTGATGCACGGATTGATATTTGGTCCCTAGGCGTGGTAATCTACTGTCTTTTCTTTCACCAACTACCGTTTGAGGGCCATAATGAGTTTGGGTTATTCAAGACTATCGTTAACGGACAACTCAAGTTTCCCAAGACTAGAGAAAGCTCCCACGTTAGAATAGATGACTTGAAGGAACTTGAATTGCTCAAAGACCTAATCAGACAGTTACTTTCGAAAGATCCAAACTCGCGTCCTACACTTGCAGAAATCAAGCATCATAAATTCACAACTTTTGAATTGACAAAGAAAGAAGCAGATGAGTTCTACGCATTTAATAAGAATATCATAACCGAACAGGACCCACAGGCTGCAGAAGCATGGGAGGCAGAAAACCGCTTTTCGAACAAGATCAAGCGCTTCTTCGGAGCAGGAAAGCCAGAACAAGAGATGTCCCTCCCACCTTCAAGTCGCCCAATACTGGTAGAGCACCAGCAGCTGCCAGTTAAGAATATCAATATTCTAGATCTCGAAAAAGTTGATGATTTACTAGACTCGTATTTGGACGATTCAAGTTCAATGGGTTCACTCTCCGATGAAGAAGGCGCATCATCCTTGATAGACACAACCAATATCCTTTCCTCGATTAGTGTTGATAAAGGTACTTCGTCTCTCTCGCCAGCATTGCAAAAGTCAGGATCGTCGCATCTGAATATTCTGAGACTTTCACGAAGCTCCATACCACCTCCATTGAAACTCCTGTCATCCACCTTTTCAATTCACAAGGGAGGTTCTTCTTCGTCTTTCCCACAACCACCAGCGTCGCCGTTCAGTTCTGGACAGAAAACGCCTAACACAGCGGGGAGTAATACAGTCACGATCGGAGAAGGGTCACCGTCATCAATCAAGTCCATATTCAGTCCTAGCCGACGGTTTTTTGCCAAAATCAAACCAACGATCAACTCACTCTATTCGCCTACACACGCGGACGCCGGCGGAACATCATCTTTTTCAGATTTGGCACCGCCTCCGTCGTTTGGCCGTTCGGATAGGAGAGGATCTACAACAGAGCTGATCAGCAGTACTCCTAGCATTGGCGGAGGCGTGGGTTCAAGAAAGAATTCGTTTAGCTCTACGAGATCTGGCGCTCTTACTAAGCTTTCAAGCTCCAGTTCGCTGTTGAATTTGCATGGATACCTAACGGATGAAAGCACAACATCATTCGGCGGGAAATGGCGAAAGGCTGTTGCCAAGGAGCTAGGTAGCGACGAGGAGGAGCATGACAAGCACGATGCACATTCTTCATACGAGGAAGAGAGTGACGAGGTGGGGGACGAAACACTTACGGTGCTGCCGAGGAAGGCAGGTACAATGGACCAATACCTTGACAGATTAGAAAACTAAGCAGGCTTAGTATAGAGCATACGACAAGACAAGGCAAGACCAATACCGATCCGGTCATATATGCAACGAGGCCCGGGGCCTTTCCATGTGAGCATCAGCATAAGCACACGCCCTAGGGTGGATGCCGGGGACGGCTGGCGGTGACCAGTGGCTGCAAAATAAAAAGTATGGAAGCGAACGCGACTGGGTCGTAACCAACGCAGGAGCCAAACAAGCAAACCACAGAACAATATCTGCAGCGAACATTGGAGGGGATATGAGATGGTTATGTTTGCAAATTGCCCAAACCAGCGCGAACAAGGCAAGGCTAAAAAGCATGAATAAAGACAGTGGTAGTCAACCGGTCTCGTGGAGGCCCCCCACAAACGAATCACTACCAGCGCTGGAGCTTTTTAGTCAGGAACTAAACTACATTGGTGGTTGCCAGGGCAAGACCAAGTAGCGGCGTCGCCCTAGTAGGACGAAGCGCCGAGGTACATGTTTGCAGCCAGGGTGCGTAAACAAAACACAGCGCGAGCAACCCTAGACATTCCCGTGCGGTAGGAATAGGCGCTTGGGCAGCGAAAACGGCAGTGAATGCGATCTGGGGAGGAGGAAACACCAAAACAAAGAGCAATGGGGGAATGAAGGAAACAGCCATTGAGAAGAAATAATATTATATTATTATGGATGAGAGGAGATAGAAAAGGCTGGTGATAATGGAAAGGGGGACAAGGGTGAAAAAACTGTTTGAAAAAATCAAGGGGAAACCAAGCATCTGACTAGGGGCATCTCGGGAGCTTAAAGACTGTTTCTACCCTGTTTAACCTTTCCTGGCAGCACTTAATGGCCCTGAAGGAGGAACCCTCAATGCTCAGCACCTGCCACAAAAAAAAAAAAAAAAAAAAAAAAAAAAAAAAAAAAAGCCCTGCCGTACTGTTTACCTTTCCCTCACCGCGCCCATTACCGCCATTTCTGGGGCAGCTGCCGACAATGAAAAAGCACCAGTTCTTGCTACGGCCCTTTTTAAAGTTGCGCTATCCTTGGCTTGCTTTATATTTAATATAAACGTGAGATCAGCCCCACGGATTCTTGGATTCTTGGTCCTTTTTTCTTTACTTTCTTCGTTGTGTTTTAGTCCTCCTTTGTCCCTCTGTCACCTTTCCTTCCCTTTCCCAGAGGTAACCTGCACTGCATTAACCTGCCTCCTTCCTTCTCAAACCAGCCTTGCTGCGCTGCCCTTTCTCATCCAGAGACCACCACACTCCTTTCGAAATCCCACCGTATTATGAAGAATGGTCCCGTGTCTAGCCCAATACTCGACAACGAACACGACTTCCACGGACCCGATAATACCACTTCTCCTTTAGGCGCTCGCTCCCGCAGGCCTTTTGCAAAATTGACCAATATCATGAGTACCTTGGAGTCTGGCAAGAACAAGCTACAGCACGGCACCAAGGCGCTTTCAAGGTCCATGTCACAGATCTCTCGTTTCTCCGATTTGAGCGTGTTTGATACACCCAACTCCCGTATGCGAGATCTTGTGGATGGAGAAGGTGAATCTACCGATGAAGATACCGGTAATGATACTACTTTGAATGATGACGACTTCCTTTGTTCCCCACTGTATAAGAACCGAGGCGAAAGAAAAGTACCCCAGCAGGAACCTCCGCAGGATTTCCATATCAGAAGAACCCAATCGTGCCTTCAGGACCCTGAGCTTGCCGATAGGTTCGATGGCAGTGAATTGCTTCCCCTGACTCGTCTTCAGACGTTTAAGGTTTCCCAGGACTTGTTGCCTAGAATTGATGAACATGAAATGCATAAGATCGTCTCGGGTCAGTATGACTCCGAGTTCGACGACTACATTGTCATTGACTGCCGCTTCCCTTATGAGTTTGACGGGGGCCACATTGTCAATGCCATCAACATATCTTCCAAGAATGATTTGGAGATGCGCTTTATCAACCACCGTCTGCTGGAAAGCCGGAAACGTCTTTTGATCTTCCATTGCGAGTACTCCATCTTTCGTGGTCCTACCATGGCTGGCCATTTACGTAAGGCCGACCGCATCTTCAACTCTGACAACTACCCAAGGCTACTCTACCCTGACATTGTTGTGCTCGAAGGAGGCTACAAGAAATTCTTCGACTCACACAAGGAGTGGTGTGTGCCTCAGGCCTACGTTGAGATGAAAGATATCAAGCATAAGAGAGCCTGTGAGGTTGAAATGAGTAAAGTCATTCAGGCCTCCAAGCTCACCAGAGCACGCTCATTCAACCAATTCCAACTGCATTCTTCTAGTCATTCACGTTCCTCGTCGTTCACTGCACTCCTTACTTCGACTGAGCAGAATCTCACTTCCCCTGGCCTTCCCACGTCGCTTAGCACTAGCCAAGTGCCCAGACGTAAAGCAGCATCGAAAGTCCACAAGAGACAAGACCGGAGGGAACTCAGGCTTCACCTTTCCCAGCCTCAAATCAACTGGCCTTCTCATCTGTCAGAGTCTCCAACGACTTCTGACTTCCCTTACGGTTCTTCGTCATGCTTCGACGATGATGCTTTCGCTCCTCCTTCGGCTCTATTCAGGGAACACAGTAAGAATCTGTCAATTCTGCTGGGCTCGATCCACTCTTCAGCGCTGCTGGTCTGTTCTGAAAACTACTCCTCCGCATTTACATCAACCGAGTCTTTGGCGTCGTGTTCTTCACCTTCCGCCGATTCTCCCGAATTCTTCGATAGTACCACATCAAACGAGCCCCAACCTCCCAATCTTTCGCTTAGCAATGCTACTCACATGTTTGCTTCCCCTCTGAACTCGCCATATCTGTTCCCAGTCACTGGCTCTAATTCAGGTAAACCAAAGAGGCCTTCATTACAAAGACCGGTGTATCGTACTCCAAGACCATACGTTAATATGTCTTCGCCCACGACGAGCTCACCGCTCACGACTACTACACCAGGTTCAGTTTTTGACTCTTGGCCACCGATTTCCCATTCTGATGCAATCAATGATACACCGCTTTCATTTTCCTTGAAACAAAGCACGCCCGAAAACAGCGTATTCAACAAGTTGTCATCACGGGTCCAACCTGAATCAGAGATCAACGAGGAAGATGAAGAGTTTGCCTGATACATGGACTATTTTAACTTGCATAACCAATTCTCACATGGGACACCCATTCCTTGGAAAATTTACTACATTTTAGCATTTGAAACGTAACTAATAAATTTGAAAAATATTTCTCATCGTAAAAAAATAAATAGACCTTAAACCACTTACAACTTAGGGTCGTCAGTAACCAACTTAATAGCGGCGTTGTTAATGGCAATGGTCTTTCTCTCAACGACGTGGGTCTGGAAGATAACAGTGTCACCATCCTTCCAAGCGAAGACTCTCAAGGTCTCACCTGGGAAGACGACACCAGTGAATCTACCCTTGATCTCATCGAAGAGACCAAACTCGTCCAACAAGACCTTGGCGGTCAAACCGTAAGTACACATACCGTGCAAGATTGGGTTCTCAAACTTGGCACCCTCAGCGAAAGCTGGGTCGATGTGCAATGGGTTTCTGTCACCGGTCAATCTGTAAAGAGCGGCCTGGTCATCGGAGGTGTGGATATCCTTGGTGAAGATTGGCTCAGTCTTTGGAGCGGCGAACTGAGTAGTAGCGAAAGTTCTTCTCTCGTTGTACTGCTTGGTGTCACCCTCACACTTTCTGATGAAAAGAGTGGCCTCGTTAGAGAAGAGCTCCTCACCAGTGGACTCGTCAACAGACTTGGAACCGTGGACGACAATGGTGTTGGTACCCTTCTGGGTAACCTCCAATGGGTAGTAGGAAGTCTTGACAGAAGCCTCAAGTGGGATTGGGAACTTGTTAATCTTGATGTAGTGCTCACCGTGCAACAAGAGCATTGGGTTGAAGTTTCTCAACAATCTGGAGAAGGTCACCTGCGACTTAACAGTGTTGAAAGTTGGCAAGTGGCAGAAGGTTGGGATAACCTGGAAGTCAGAGTCGTTCTCGTAAACGTACTTCAACTCCTTTCTGTGGGCACCGACACCAAGGTTGTACAAGATGACGTCTCTGTCGTTCCAGCTGAAGATTGGGTCTGGCATCTTGGCTGGGTCCTCATCATCGTCATCGTCACCCTCTTCACCTTCGTCTTCCTCCTCATCATCTTCATCGTCATCGTCATCGCCGACAGCAGACAAGATGGCCATAGAAGACTCAGTGGTAGAAGCTGGGTTCTCGGTACCAGAGGAGAAGTCAGTGATCTCACCAATGTGGTCTCTGATGAACTCAGCGGTGGTGACAGCGTCCTTGCTGACAGCACCCTTGGCTCTCTGCCATCTGGTCTTACCGATCCAACCACCGCCACCTTCGAACAATTCACCGGTGACTGGAACCTGCTCAGAAGCCAAGAAGATCAACAATGGAGCGACCAACTTTGGTGGGTACAAGTTCTTGTCAGACTCCTGGAAGATAGTCAAGGTCATAGCGGTCTCGGCGTGAGGAGCAACAACGTTAGCCTTAATGTTGTTCTTAGCACCCTCAATGGCAATAGTTCTGGTGAAACCAATGATGGCAGCCTTGGCAGTGGCGTAGTTAGCCTGACCGAAGTTACCGTAGATACCGGAGGTAGAAGTAATGTTGACAACTCTACCGTACTTCTTGTCAACGAAGTGTGGCCAAGCCAATCTGGTCAACTCGAAGGTACCGTTCAAGTGAACCTTCTGGACGAGCTGCCAGTCCTCCCAAGACAACTTGGCGAAAGATTTGTCTCTCAAGATACCGGCGTTGTTGACCAAGATGTCAATGGTACCGTACTTGCCGACAACATTGTCAATGATCTCCTTAGCCTGGTTAGCGACATCGTGAGTGTCACCGTGGGCCTCACCACCAGCAGCCTTGATCTCCTCAACGACCTTAGATGGGTCCTTGAAATCGTTAACGACAACCTTAGCACCCTTCTTGGCGAAAGCCAAAGCGTAGTCTCTACCCAAACCGGCACCAGCACCAGTAATCAAGACAACTCTGCCCTTCAAGGAAACCTCTGGAACACCAGAGTTGTCGTTTGGAGGAAGCTCCTTAGCCTGCTGGGCAAGGACACCGTAGTTGTTGATCATGAATGGGTGAGAAACCTGCAAGTCCTCGGATCTTCCAGAGTCGTCGAAAGAGGTGATCTCCTCGAACTTCTTAGCAACAGACTCAGGGGTGAAGGAGTCATCTGGCTTGAACAAAGCACCACCAGATCTCTCCCAACGGATCTGACCGAAGAAACCGGCAGCAACCTCAAAGATTTGACCGGAAATGTCCTCGTTGTCTTGAGAGGTCAAGTACAAGACCAATGGGGCAATCTTCTCTGGGCCCAATTGCTCCAAGATAGGTGGAGGCAAGACGGACTCAGTCATTCTGGATCTGGCCAAAGGAGCAATGGTGTTAGCCTTAATGTTGTACTTCTCACCCTCCTTAGCCAAGGTCTCGGCGAAACCAACCAAACCCATCTTAGCGGCGGAGTAGTTGGCCTGACCGAAGTTACCGTACAAACCAGCTGGGGAAGCAGTGTTGATAATTCTTCCGTAGCCCTGCTTGCGGAAGTATTCCCATGCGGCCTTGGTAACCTTAAAGGCACCGTTAACGTGAACGTCAATCACCAATTGGAAGTCCTGAGGAGACATCTTCTTGAATTGAGCATCACGCAAGATACCGGCGTTGTTAATGATAACGTGCACGGTACCAAAGTTCTTGACAGCGGTTTCAATGATCTTCTCACCTTCAAGAACGTTGTTGTAGTCAGCAACGGCAACACCACCAGCCTGCTTGATCTCCTCGACAACGAGATCAGCGGCTCTGGAGTCACCACCCTGACCGGAAAGGGAACCACCCAAGTCGTTCACGACAACCTTGGCTCCTCTTTTGGCGTACTCCAAACAGTAGTACTTACCCAAGCCACCACCGGCACCGGTGACGACCACGACTTTGTCTTTGAAAGAAATGGACATAATTGATAAAGAAACAGAAGCTGAAAGGGTGTTTCTTGTTACAGCGGAAAGGAGAAAAAAGCGGTTTAGCTGGGGGTGGAAAACTGGCTCTATATATTGTGGATTTTTTGCGGGGTGAGCGCCTGTGAAGTTTCCCCGGAAATACCGAGGTATGCAGGCCGCCAGTCTGCCCCCAGGCAATTAGCACTTGCAGCCATTGAGGTACATGGCACTGACGAGAAGGGGTCTACTTTAGCCACCAAACTATTTATTTTGCTGGGTCTTCAAGTCCCCTGGCGTACGATTCAAACGAGTGATCCCTACCCCGTTGGTAACCACGGGAGGTACGGGTGTGTGTGTTACCCATGGCTCAAGGGGAGTGTGGTTGGCAATCATGTTCCCGAGGACCGAGCACGCCATAAAGACCTCGGTTGGTAGCGGCATCTGTACACCACTGGCCCAGGGCCTCCACTGGAAAGGAAGGCTGGCAGTGCCAATGCAGAGGCCAATTAGATGTACGAGAGGTTAATTTTTCATGCTTTTCTGACCGTTCACTTGCAAACGAGAGTTTTTTTTTTCGACGACCTTCTTTCGTAGTATTGGGTACTTCCGCTCGCACTGGCCCACTCTCTGGCAACCGTTACCGCCGCGGTCTTATCCACACCTATTAACACCGGTCTGGGAGAATGGGGTACGGGAAATAGACGGGATTGTGAATGAAGGCTACGAAGAATGTAGAAAAAAATCACGGAAAGTAAAGCAATTGCAATTGCTGACATTGACATGGCAATGTCAATGGCAGTGTCAATAGGGGAATGCCTGGCTCCTGCCACTTTCACCAGTTTGCAACCACTGCCCACTGCTCACTGCTCACTGCTCTCCAACCATCCCATCAGTTTTGTGACCACAGAATAAGGTTTGGCAAATGAAAATCGCCAGATGGCATGACACCCTGATCGTCTGAGGACTAACCTAGTTTTTGCTATATATTTCTTCATTTTCTGGCGAACCTTCATTACCTTTTCTACTGCTTGCCATGTGACAGTGAAGACGCAAATGTCAGCTTCACTGGGAAGTAACCACCACGCATTTGCCCAAAAACCCTAGGGCTTTGTAAGGCTTCCCCAACTTTCCTTTTACCAACCAATTCTAAATTGGACTGGGGCATTCATTAGAGTCTCCAAAATGTACCTATCGCTTGATGCCCCATTCGTTCTTGGCAGCTTGTCTGGACTCAGGTCCAAGTGAAAAATAGCGCTTTCGTCACCGCCTGCCTTGTGGCCTGCCTGGGTTTCGTTTCTGCAGGCGCAACCTGTGAAGTGGTGTACTTTTCCTTTCTTGCATTTTGGCAGATGCTGTGAAACATTATCTTTTTTGCAGCCATTGAATAGTGTATCTTCAATCGCTATAGTATGGGGTCTACGAGCTTTTTCGTTGCCCTTTACACCAATCCAACCTGGTGATTTGCCCTAACCAAGCAATATTATTATCGGGAAAGCTCTGAAACCTGTACACCGCACCGATTTTCGTCCAATCCCCCGGCCTGATGTCTTTCCCGTTTCGTGACCTTGTAAAGTTCTGAAATTGGCTCTACCTACTACCCTTTCACCATTCAATCGACCTTTTCCTCTTGCTAGGCCATGCCTGAAGAACGCCCTTCGGGCGAATCGCCTCCTTCCCGTCGGAACTCCTCCACTCCATCTCCATCTCCTCCAAGAAATGCGTTTCCTTCCATGGAGTACAAACCTTTCACTCGAACTCAGCTCTGGCTCTATGACCTCTTGCTCTGGGTTTGGACTGTTATTTTCGACTGTTTTTTCCGAGAAATCAGACCTCGAGGCGCTTTTCGTCTCCCCAAGTCGGGGCCTGTCATTTTTGTGGCGGCTCCCCATGCTAACCAGTTCGTGGACCCTATCGTGTTGATGCAACAGGTGAAGCGTGAAGCTGGAAGACGTATTTCATTTCTTATTGCCATGAAATCGTATCTTCACAATATCATTGGCACATTCTCCAAGGCCCAGCTTGCTGTGCCAGTTGCTAGGGCTCAGGACATGTTGCTTCCTGCTACTGGTAAGATCTATATGGACTTTGAAGCCGACCCATTGAGAGTCAAGGGCAAGGGCACGAAATTCACCGAGGAATGCATGCCCAGGGGCCTCATTGCTCTTCCAGAATCGCTTGGGGCGACTGAAATTTCGGAGATCGTCTCTGACACCGAGATTGTTCTTCGTAAGGAGTTCAAGTCTTCTGAAAAAGTCAAGCAGCTTTTGAAGCAGGGTACCCGCTTTAAGGTCGCTGATAAGATTGACCAAGGCCATGTTTATAAGTTTGTCTTCCGCCACTTGAGTGACGGTAACTGTTTGGGGATTTTCCCCGAGGGTGGATCCCACGACAGAACCGACATGCTTCCATTGAAGGCCGGTGTGGCTATCATGGCCTTGGGTGCCATGAGTAACGATGCTAATTGTGATGTGAAGATTGTGCCATGTGGAATGAATTACTTCAACGCCCACAAGTTCAGATCAAGAGCGGTGGTTGAATTTGGTCACCCAATTGAGATCCCTAAGGATTTGGTCAAGAAGTATAACAATCCTCTGACAAGCCGTGAGGCCGTCAAGGAGCTTTTGGATATTGTTACCAACGGTTTACGTGCTGTCACTGTGAACTGTGAAGACTATGAGACCTTGATGGTTATCCAGGCTGCCAGGAGATTGTATGCTGGTAATTTTGCTCAGTACTTACCTTTACCGTTGATCGTGGAGATGAACAGGCGATTGGTGGTTGGCTATGAGACATACAAGGACAAGCCCGAGATCCAGCAGTCTAAGGAGAAGGTCTTGGAGTACAACAAGCTCCTTAAGCATTTGTATTTGCCTGACCATCATGTTGAAGACTGTGATGAGTCTCATAAGATCCGCTTACTTCCAATCTTCTTCTTCCGCATCATCAAGCTCATATTGCTTGCCACTCTTGCATTCCCGGGTATTGTGTTATTCTCGCCCGTTTTTATCATTTCCAAGTTCTTTTCCTTGCGGAAGGCCAAATCTGCTTTGGCTAACTCGACTGTGAAGGTCAAGGCTAACGATGTCGTTGCCACTTGGAAGATTCTCATTAGTTTGATCATTGCTCCATTGCTTTACAGTTTCTACGCTTCTATCGGAACTTGGTATTGCAGAACCCATCATTACTTGACTACCATCGGGTCTTTCACCTTGTGGTTCTCGTTGTATATGTTGGGTGTTTTGGTTACTTACTCCGCCTTGGTCACTGGTGAACAAGGTATGGATTTGTTTAAGTCTATCAGACCGTTGTACCTCTCCATCTTCTCTGGCGACACGATCAGTGAGCTCAAACAGAAAAGAATGGAATTGGCTGAACAAATCACCGAGGTTGTCAACAGGTTTGGGCCTGAACTCTTCCCTAATGACTTTAACTTGCTCGAGTTGAAGGATCATTTGAACGTTACTGATGATATTCAGTATGTGGACTCTGATGAGGAGGAAGACATGAAGACGCAGGAGTTGCGTAACAGAAGAATCGCCCAGAGGAAAGCTAAGAAGAGAAAGCTCAGAGCTAAGAAGAAGGAGGACTCTGAGACTGGCCTGACATTGGCGACTACGCCCAGCGATAGTGACTTGTCTCTCAATCACTCGCTGTCGATGTCGGATGGTGTTTCGATGTTGAATTCAGACATGTCGTACACTAACATTCCTATGTTCTCAGACTATTCATTGCATGCCAATGCAAAGAACTCAGATGTCGACATTAAGGCCCTCAACTCGACTGTGTCTATGGCTGACGATTTCAACTATAAACCAGCATCGACCCCTAATTCGGAGGCTGCCCTTTCTCGGGATAATTCTCATATGGAACTCAACTTTGCCACTTCAAAGATCCCAGCATCCAGCCTTTCTGCTCACTACGCCATCAGCTCACCACAGAAGAGACATTTATTAGGTGAAAAGATCAGGTCCCGTATCAGAGAAGGAAGAGACAAAAGTCCTAGTCTTTAGGAATCGTATAAAAGTCATTAATAAGCATTCAATTCGTGATTATCTATTCAATTCACATTCGCTTGGCGCTCGTAGAATTCAGCTACCTGCGAAGAAGTTGTAGCGTCTTCAACTCCCTTGTCATCTCTCACACGAAGGAAACGAGGGAAACGCAAAGAAATACCTTTTCCATACTCTGAATGAGCCGCCTTATAGATCGGACTCAAAGAGAGATCTGCCGTCAATACTTCAAACACGGTCGTAGGCTCGAACCAGACATCAGGTACAGCATTTGAATTGTTTGTATCGTAAGTGTAGAATGGCTTGGGTGCAGAGATTTCGGTAGCCTTAAGCTTGGAACTCAAAGAGGCCAAATCCTCTTCAGAAAACCCTGTTCCGATTTTACAAGTGGTTTCGTATTCTCCTGTGTCATCATTGTAGGAAGCCAAGAGGAAGCCACCATATCCACCTGTTCTTTTACCTCTGCCAATATAAGCACCGACCACAACAAGATCCAATGAATCGCCGACTCCACTTAAGTAATCTTTCTTAAGCTTCAACCAGTTTCTAGAACGTTTGGAAGGTTCATAGTAAGACTCGTTTCCATGAAGCATCTTCACCATCAAACCTTCGCAAGAGTCTTTGACAGATTGATCTAGGAATGCTTGTAGTTCATTAAGATCAGAAGAGTTTTTGTAAGTAGCAAACTGGAATTTGCCTTCAATTGTTTGAAAGTTGTCAAACAAGGTTTGCCTCCTTTCACTCAAGGATTTGGTTATAAGTGAAGCACCATTATGGTAAAGCAAATCGAATGCAAAAAGACAAATGTGGACTTTGATATCACCCTCGCTCACATCCTTTCTTTTTCTGGTAGAAAGAACTTGGAAAGGAAGAATCTTATTGGCCTCTCTGTCCCACGCAACCACCTCGCAATCCAAGATAAGCGATTTCGGCGTGTCAGTAGACATATCGTCGTCGGTCCTTTTGAGAAAGTCCTTGGTGATACCCACCAAATCAGGGTATCTCTCTGACATATCTTCGGAATTACGGGAGTAGATTCTCAACGTGCCATCATTCAAAAGATGTACTTGAGCTCTCTCACCGTCATACTTATATTCGCAAGTAAACTCCTCCCCTTGGAATCTGTCCAAGATCTCACCAATAGATTTCGTTGGCTTTGCCAACATGGGTTTCAATGGAATACCAGGGGTCAAGCTGCAATGGTCAAGTAGATTCATAACACCATGCTCAAAACTCTGCCTGATGATTATCTCATAGTTGGGGATAAGCGAAAAGGCCTCTCTTATTATATCTTCTGCTTTAACTAATGTATCTGGAGAAACGCGTTTGTCCTTGTGCTGATAATTAAGTAGAGCTTGAGCCAAAGCAACAAGCACGGTCTTTTCAGCAAGACCAATTCGTAATTTTCCCTCGAGTGATCTAATGAGAAACTTGGCCTCGTTGCTTTTCAAATCACAAGCTGTCAACATTTTGTTGATGATGCCAATTTTTCTTGACTGGGAGTCCTTACCAGTAGACTTGGCAATTTTGGTAAGGTTCTCAAAGACGGAATCCACATCCAAAGCAGCTGGTTTGAACATTGTAGGCTGACCAGAACGAGACTTCTGTGCAACAAGGCCAAGATCACCTACCTCATGGTAGTCTTTCTTGATCTTTGCTGGTGCTCTTCCGTAACATTCACTGATAGCCTTGATCAAAAGGGTCTCCCCCAACCCCAATTCAAGATCTGGTTCGTAATCGGGTCCCAAGCGGTTGATGAAAAGGTAGACGATCTTGACAAGCTTCTCAGGCAGACCATACTGCTCCAAGGTCTCAAGGAAAAAGCCAGAGACAAGAGCTGTGATCTTCAAACGTGAAGACTCCTGTTCAATCTTTTCAAGGGTAGATGTAATGGCAGAATACGGGAACTTGCCTCCCTTTTCAAGATTCTTATGCATATGAGTTTTCTCCGACAACTTGACAAGCTTGGTAGCATCCTCAACGTCTCCGTTCTCAGATGGAGACTCGCTATCACGAAGGGCTTCCTTATCAGTGTCAGTATCGACAGCTTCTTCCTTGATATCCTTAACAGACTTTGGCTCAGCAGCTGGAGTCTCCGACTTGGGTGCTTCTGTCTTGGAGATCTTCCTTGCCTCTTCAGTTCCTGTTTTCTGCAACTTTTTGACCTCCTCTTCATCACCCAGTCTCTTTCTCTTATGTGTACTAGGGGGAGCCTGGTTCTTCTTCTCGCCGAAGAAGCGCATAATTGACTGTTGCTCCATGATGGGTCTAGCAATAAATTGGCTTCTGAAGATGCAACTGCTTGGTCTCAAGAGGGATGTTCGTCGTATGAATGAAGTCAAGCGAAGTACCATGGAGCGTATTTTCAAGAGCGCGTCTCGCGAGTGTAGGCAAGGCAAAGAGCAAAGCACTCACACTGTACCACTTAACGTAGCCTGGCAAATTTGGCGTATATATATATGGTTTTGAAGCTATTTAAGGATTTCAATCGTCTTAATATCGTCCCACCGATTCTTTCTTATTATTTGGGATTATTTGTATTTTTACTTTGCACTTTCCGTATTTACTGTCTTTCATGAAATAGGTTCAGAATTTCGCAGCCATTACTTTAACTTAGAATTGAAGTAACATGTAAATATCTAGAGCAAAATGGTAAAATTGTTAGTACCAAAGTATAGTGGCGTGATAACGGACATTTTCAAATGGACTATATTTTATTCAAACAAAAGCCCTTGGAAGCTAGAGTGTGCAACGGTAGCCCACATCCACTATATTGACGTTTGTAGTCGCATAGCTGATGAATGGACAACCAAGAAGAAGAAGAAAAGAAAAAAGAAAGAAAAGATCAGCTACCAAGTTCAAGTAGCTTAGTAAAATCGTTTACCATAAAACTTATTCAAATGGCAGTCGTTGTGACGTCCGTGGCAGTTGATCTCCTGCTACTTGGTTAGCTGCAAAGTCGTGCACCACCCACAGTATCAAATAACATGCTCAATCTTTCAACTTCTAGTACCAAACCCAAGTATGCCGCTTTTTCGTGAGGAGAACTTCCTTATAATCCATACGGGGTCAAGACATACTCTTTTCTCCTTTGGATTACAAGACACCTTATCGCCACCCCAATATAAGATCCCCTCAGTTGTGTTCTTCGACAAAACAGCCAATGTCTACCATGCCTCGAAAACTGGAAATTGCGAAGAGATCTGGCCAGTGCGTGGTTCTAGAGTCGTCGACGTTAAGGCATATCAAGCTCTTTTGAAATTTATACTACAGACAATTATTTCCAGATATCCTATTCTAACGATCAACCAGGTCCCATTGTTGTTGATAGTACCATCCATATCCTACTCACGTTCGGCTATTGAACAAATTACAAGATACGTGTTTGAGACATTAGAATTCACTGCCTTCAATGTCTTGGACTTGTCAATCGCTTCCACTTTCGGACTTGCTACCATGTCATCTGCATTGGTTGTCAATGTCGGCCACGAAAGCTCCCAGGTTATGCCGGTCATTGGTGGTACCACCATCAAGCATGCTGGTAAGCGCGTAAACTTCGGTGGAAAATATATTACAGATGAATTGAGAAAGTTATTGCCTCAGTTCTCTGAGGCTCAGATCACAGCTTTGAAGATTTCTGATATCTACGAAGTCTTAACTGACCAAACAGAATCTTTCTACTCCATCGCTGACCTCAAGGAAGAAAAACCAAACCAGGGTGAAAACTTTGATGTTGCTAAGTTAGTGACGGAAGAGAACCAGAACGGTGTAGGTGTGTCTGATGAGAAAGCCGATGGCGAGGAAGAGAGTGAGGAGGAGAAGAAACCAAATAATGAATTGGAGAAAAATTGGTTCAAGGATCCAATCTCTGGAAACAAGGTCTATGTTGGAAAGGAACGTTTCCAAGGAACCGACAAGCTCGTGGAAGCTATCTGCGATGGTATTTACGAGTCGTTACAAGCTATTCCAGACTTGGACAAAAGACAGGAATGTTACGACAACATTATCCTTACTGGTTCGACATTCCACATCAAGGGCTTGAAGGAGGCTGTCATTATTAAACTCTGCGAGCGTTACTTGGTGAGACCACAGTCGTCAAAGAAGGGACCAAAGGGCGGCGAGAACGGCGTTAACTCTGCCATTGCTGCCTATCAACAGACAGACGAAGCCACTGAAGAGACCAAGAGTGCTGGTCCTCTCCAGAACCCTTCGCTGGTAAGGTTAGCTAAACACCCCGAATACTTCCCTGAGTGGAAAAGACCAAAAGAGCACGGTGGCTCTTGGCTAGATGTTTACTTCTTGGGCGGTGAGATCTACTGTAAGCAGGTCTTCGGCGCCAACTCTAATCACGGCGGTGACTCCTTCATTGACACAGACATCTACGAGGAGAAGGGCCCTCAGGCCATCTGGGATGTCGTTCTTAGCTAGAGAGGCTTCGCTACATTCAACCATTCTTTCCATACCTGTACCATTAAATAAAAGTTCCTACTTAAGTTTCATCAACATTAGACAAGAAAGTTCTCTTGTTAGCTCTGGTACCCAACATAGATTGCTTACTGAACATAGTGTCCAGGCGACCTAAGCCAGGGCCATCATTCTCCAACGCTTGAAGCTGCTGGTCAAATCTGCTCTTGAGTTTAATCTCGTGGACTAAGGGCAAATCCAGACCATTCGAATCAGAGTTTCTTTGAGCAGCTTTATTCAAAGACGGCAATGGCTTCTGCCGATCCTTGGAAGAAAGCTCTAGAGAAGCTGATGAATGCCTTCTGGGATCTTTGTACTTCTCACGTTCGGGCAGGCCTAAACGGAAGCGGCTCTTTCTGGTAACTCCCAGTCCGTCGGCAGTGTGGAGACGACTTAATGGAGGTTGAGGAACGTGAGACAATTTTGAGTCAGCACTGTCCCTTCTAGGAGGAGGGACAAATGGACGTACATTAGTCAATTTTTGGGGAGATGGATCACGAACAAGGAGAGGCTCTGATTCAGTTCTCATTTTTGTTTTAGGGTCGTATTCCGACTCTGCCTCAGACAGCAAGATGGATTCTGTATCAGCAGCATCGTCCAAGCTGCTTGATCTTCTGCCTCGTCTTTCATAATGATAATTAACTGGCAGATTAGATGATGCTGATATACCTCCCAGACCGAACAAGCCTGCGAAGGTGTTTTTGATATCCCCTAGACTGGAAACGTTAAGCATACCCAGGTACCAGAAGGCACCGGCAGCTAGAACGGCCCAAAAAATACCGATAAATAACAAGTGGGTTACCAATCTAGCATAACGAGTTAAGAGGTCCCATTTCTGCTGGATAATAACTGCCGTTAGCACCCCCAAAATATAGGGTAACACAAAATCACCAGCAGACTGGGGTAGAATGCGGCTATTCAACTGTTTAACCTTATCCATCCAGGAAGATTCCAGAGCTTTCGGGAGATCTGAGTATGATCTCTTGAAAGAGATTCGTGGAGAAGGAGGCCGTTCAGGAGTGAGTCTGGTTGGGATGTCAGCACTTGATGCCGAGGGTCGCTTTGTTTTCATATTAGCCTTTTTCGTAACAGGGTCTTCGTGAACTTGGAAACCACAAACCATCAAATCGTTCAAGGCCGAGTCCACTTCACCCTTCCGGCGAGTCAACTCAACAGAATCGGTAGAGGCAATAGAGGGGGCATCATAGGATTTCTTTCGGTAGATGTTGTTAGGACCTCGAACATACACCGCCTTTTTCTTCACGGTAGTGGCCATAGGCGCATAAGAAACTGGATAGTTGTTAGGATAACGATGGAAGTACTAAGTAGCGAGAGCCGGGGTATAAATGCTAAAGCGGCAAATGAAGGGGAACGGAAATTTAGGCTTAGGCTAATTTGGCAGATAGGCTAAATGCTGCACAATTGGGAGAGTGCCTGAGAATGCGACCTAAGTAGGGAGGAGAATGTAGACGAAAAGGAAGAGGCAGTGAGCAGCCAGGGATATTGTCGAATCAGAGACCAATCTGAGAGGCCAATAACAGCATAAAAGGGTCACGCAATGGATAACCCTATAGATAACCAGCGAATACGAGGGGGAAAAAGCAGGCACATGTGAAGCGGTGTGTTTGCGATGTTTGTGCTACTGCCAAATCGAGATTGTATTAGATGCGCCAGCATGCGGCTTGCAGCCAGCGATAATAGACAGACAATATGAGGCGCTGAAGACGTCAATGGGTCAATAAATGAGGTTGACGATGGGGGAGACGTTTGTTTGACGGAATGGCCTCAGGGGGTGATTGACGGTGGAAAGAACAAGTTAAGAAAAAAGTCCGTTGTTTAGAACGGTTACTGGTTGTTGGAAGGGCTCGCATAGTATAAGGTATTTTTCGTGAGACCCTTGACACCCAGTGGGGCGTTAGAGTTAGGGGTTAAAGTATAAGTTTATGCTTGTTTGAGAAATGTGGCACCAGAAAGGGCACGTTGGGGGTTTTAGTGGGTTGAAATTGAAGAGAGGGGTGGGTGTTTTTTTTTTGTTGGATGTATCTGAGCCACGGAGGCTGCACTGGTTGGAATGTGTTAAGCCTTGTTATCTGGAAGGGCCGGGATACTTCATTTAGATAGGTAGGCGAAAAGAAGGGGCGGTCAATATCGGGATGGACATGCTAAGTCGATCGGAGAAGCTTGTATTCTTTTGGAGACTTGCGGTGGTGGAGACGGTGCTTGGATTGATGAACCAGACAATGGTTGTAGTTAGACGAGTCCCCAGACGACGAAGCCCTCGACGTAGCCTGATGGGATTTTTGGTGTTGACGGGTCGATTGAGACAAAGTGTTCGAAGTGTTCTACGTTTTCATTTATTGTTACTCTCTGTTCTTGGCTCTTGAAGGCTATTGGGGCGACAATATAAACACTAAAGCCAAGGCTTCAAGACTAGACAAATACAAGCTGAAATGCTGGACGCCGAGACTTTCTAGAAAGTCAAAGCATGGAAGGCGATTTTCGAATACGAGACAATACAGATTTACCGTTTCCAGCCCCAGGTAGCTTTGATTAGCAGAACTCAGGCGATCGTCTGTCGATTTTACGAAACAAGGTTTCTCAAAGAAGGCTCTAGAAGGACGAATGAGGCGACATAGACTATCTTGCAAAGCATGTTGACATAGTAGCTTTCTTGCTTGTAAGAGTGACCTTCGATAGTTCCAAAGGGCCTAACGACAATGTCCCAAACGAAGTCTGTAAACGCATTGGCAGATAGAAGAAGTTCTACATTTCAATCCAGAAGAACAAATCTCTGAATGCCAATTACAGAGTACCAATTACGTCCTAACACCCTCCACCACCTACCACCTACTGTGTCACAAAACCACCTTCACTGCCACTTCCTCACTATATGAGATCTACCTAGCACTACCAAACCCTACACCAAAGAACCCTAACACCCAAACTGGACCCTTTTCACTCCTCCAGGGCACCCTAACGGCGCTGCCCCACCTATATCCATAACACGTCCTCTTCTACTCCCACTTTCGCAGCCATCGCAGCTTTTACATATGTTCACCTGTGGCTTGACAGGAACATACATCCACACTGTTCCTACCCAACCCCCTTTCTTTATCCAAGCCTTCCCCTCCCCTTAACCTTTCCCTATAAATACCTCCCTTTCCTCCCTCTCTTTTTCTTCTATCGCCACCTCTTGGCCTCCCGCTCACCAGCCACCACTTGTAAACAGCAACACAAGGTTCACTCACAGTGAGAGTCATGCAGCGCTACGTAATTGGCTGGGACCATGGAAGAAGCAAAACTGCGTCATGGAACACCTGAAGGCAGCCGCCCCGGCTCTGTGTGCACAACCATACTAATAGTACCTTCCCAATTAGTGCGCACCACTTCCCAGCTGGTAGAGAGCACTGGCGGTGGGAAAGGTGGTAAACAGGGAAATAGTTGGTAAAAAAATAGGTGGATTGGTAAAATTGGAATTCGCTGATTATGGTCATGTAGGTGGATGCATGGGTTTTTGTGTATTCAAGCGCCAATGGCACGCCAAAGTAAGTCGCCTGCTGCTGTTTGCTCTTTTCTCACTTGCTCCTCATTCTCATTCTCACTCTCACTCAAAGGGCCAAAAAAACCACCGTCTTTTACCACAAACTCTTTTTCGTTAACCATGTCCGCCTACCAATCCAATGGCAGACCTTTGTCCCAACAGGCCATCTACCAGCAGAAATTGAGACTGGGTGTGTTTAACTCCCCAGGTACCCCTTCTGTGGGTGTCAGCTCGTCTGCTTCCGACTCCGCTGCCCTTTTGGCTGCTTCCGCTGACTTGTCTGTGAAGCCTTCTTACGAACGTCACAAGGCTGCTCCAGACGCTCACTCTGCTGCTTTGGCTGCTAGAAAGGATTCCATCTCTTCCTGGTCCAGAAACAGCACTGACCCGGATGCTGATGCTGCTGCTGCTAACGCTAGGTACACTGAGCCTTCTCCAACCTCAGGCACCAGGTCTGACTTGGGTCTTCCTTCCGCTTACAACAAGGGTAACGTGTACAAGCGTGCTTCCAGCAACTCTACCTACTCGTTGAACTCCAGAACTACCCCAGAAAAGTTGACCTCCAGACACGGTTTGGCTTCTACTCCTAGATCCCCTTCCGGTTCCCTTAACATCGGCAAGATTTCCCAATTGGCCGACAAGAACTCTTCCAAGACCTTGAACTCACGTTTCAACCCTGACCAGGACTTCCGTCACGGTATTAGATCTCCTCCAGCTGAATTCTTGTCTCAAGGCGAGGAGAATGCTGCTGCCAACTCTGCTCAGGCTGCTTTGACTATGAAGCACGGTGCTGGCTATACTAACTCTGTCTCTTCTCAGAAGAGAACTAAGGGTTTCGAAGCCGTTGACGTTGTGGATGCTACCTTGTTGGCCGCTGCCAGCAAGAAGGCTTCCGAGAGATTGAACTCTCTTCAGGCCATTGGCCAGACTGACTTGAGATCTCAGGCTCAGCTTTACTCTAAGGCCTTGGTTGCTGCTCACAAGAACAGTGAGGAGAGAATTAAGAACAACAAGGCTGGTTTGATCGATCTTGGTGGTGGCTTGCAGCTTCCATACAGTGAGATTGACAAGATGGCTGCTTTGATTGTCGGACCAGTCTTGCTGGACATTGACAAGAAGGCTTCTGCTCAAAGAGATCACGATGTCGCTGCTGCCGAGAAGCGTTTGGAGGCCCGTAATGCCCACAAGAACTTCAAGCTCGAGCAAGCTGCCAGAAAGCAGAGAGAGAAGGAGTTGCAACAACAAGAACACCAAGACAGAATCTCCTCTAACGAGAAGAGAAAGCGTGAAGAGGATGATTTGTACACCGAGCACCAGAAGAAGAGACACGAAGAAGTTGAAGTTAAGACGCAAGAATTGAAGGACTTGGAGGAGAAGTACGCTTCCGAGAAGGAAGAGTTGTTGCAAGAGAAGCAGCAAAACGAAGACGAAATCGAGGAAGAGGAGACTGGCCTTCAGAATGAGCGTAAAGAAGAATTAGAACAGATGCAAGCCGAAAGAGACGAAGAAATTCAACCACTCCTCGATGAGTTGGAAGAAGAAAACGGTAAGTTAAAGGAATTGACCGATGAAAAGGATGAATTGACTACCGAAGTCGAGGCTGCCGAGAAGGAGAAGGAGGAATACGAAAGCAAGATCGCCGAGATCGAGGCCAAGTTGGAGGAGATCGAGAAGGATAACGAGCACTACACCACTGAAGTGGAGGATGCCACCGCTAAGCGTGAGGCCGCCGATAAAGAGGTCGAGGAGCTCGAAGGTACCCACGAATCTGACTTGAAGCACCACAAGGAAGCCCATGATGACTTAGACAAGCGCATTGGTGACCTCGAGAAGGAGCAAGAACAGAACACCATCAGCAGAGACGAGCACAAGAGAGAGATCTTGAAGCAGATTGACGAGCAGATCAAGGATGAGCACGATATCAACAATCACTTGCCAGAGCACTTGCGTGAGGAAGTGAACGAGGACAAGTTCCGCGATGTAGGCTCCCTCTTTGACTACGACAAGGCCGAGGAGAAGCCCGCTGAAAGCGCTGCAAAGAAAGCCAGTGAAAAGACAACCGAGGCCAAAGAGAATGTCAATGCTGCTGCTGGTAGTGCTGCAAAGAAAGCCAGTGAAAAAACCACTGAAGCCAAAGAAAACGCTAATGCTGCTGCTGAGTCTGTGAAGAAGGAAGCTACTAGCGCTGCCCAAGGTGCTCCTAAAGCTGCCAAGAAGGATGAACCTACCAAGAAGGAAGACAACCACTTGACCAAGACCCCAACTGCTGCTTCCACTGCTAGCAACAAGCGTAAGGGTCTCCGTTCCAGATTCTCCAGTTTCGCTCTGTCTCTCAGAGGAGACTCTAAGCAGGAGGTTCCAACCAACAAGACCTTCGAAGAGAAGAAGACCGCCAAGCCAGCTGCTGAGAAGAATGAGAGATCTTCTGACGTGAGCAATTACGAAGACGACCTCTCCATCAAGGATGGCCACAAGAAGGGTGGTGTCTTCAAGGAGGAGATCTGATTCAACGTCACAAGAAAGGCAAGCTTGCCGAACTAATATTCTATTCTTCATCCCCATTTTTTTAACTAATTTTTTTAACCATCCACAGCAGGTAATGGCGAAACCCTTGAGCATGCCGCCCTGCCACAAGTATGTTGTTTTATAAATTTATTGTATCATTATCGTGAGAGCCTGTAGTCTATATAATTTAACTATGTGCGGCCATCAACACTGAGCGACAAAACCTTTCTCTCAATACACCAACCGCCAGCCATGTCAAGCCAAAGCGAAAGCAGCCCATCAAAGCTTCAAGAGTCTCTTCGAAAGTTGAATTTCAAAGTAGCAGATGCTTCTCCAGAATATATACAAAGAAGAAAGAAGCAGATGGTTCTTTTCATGACTGCAGCAGCTGCCACCATCTTCACATCTAGATTCGCCTACAAGTCTACAATTACAAGACAATATGTTCCATCTTTATTCCAGGGCAACCACCTGCCTCCACTTAGTTACAATTTCACCATGGACGCTGCAGTTGCTGTGGGAACTGGCACTATGCTTTGTGCATCAGTCTCGTCTATGCTAATCTTCGGTACATGCTGGGTGCTGGACATTTCTTCCTTCAAGGAATTCGGCTGGAGAATGAAGTCGGCTATGGGAGGTGTTTCTAGTCAGTTGAAGTTAGCTGACATGCCTATGGATGACGAATCGGCTTCGATCCAGGATGGGTTGAACGATATCTTGGATGGTAAGTTTGAGGCTGACTTCGAGGATGACACTGTTAAGAACTAGAGTGGCGAAGGAAATAGATGTCATTGGGATGGCTGTCTTGAGATTTTAACGAGATTACTGTCAGCTGTGTTTAGAGGTCATTGAAGGAATGGCAATGCCGCTGTCTGAGGCTCAACGGACTGAACAGACTGGCTGCCATCTGCAACTTGTAAATAAGGAAAACGATTGATGAAGAGAGGCAATAGATATACTCCTTGGATGATTTGATGGTGAATTGGACCAATACGTTTCATGTCGAATTACTCAAGGTCGATAACGAAACGCGTAGGAAGAGAACAAAGTGACCAAAGCAAGAAATTACAAGCCTAGGGGTAGTAGGAGTCAACAGAGCTTCATACTTGAGTTTACTTAGCGCTTTTCAACTTTCAGGACATATCTACGGAAACTATACTTGAGATCTCTATGTTTCCAGCGCTTACTGGCTAACCCTAGGCAAGCTGCCCTTCACCGGCAAATTTCAAACCTTATACCCTATTACCAACTCACTCACCTCTTCATAAAAGATTTCATCCATTTAAAGATAGAAAAAGAAAAAAAATATTAAATTCCCTGACACCACAGTTATGTGTCTCGTCTGCTTGGGCCGCGTAAACAGAAGGCTGGTTCTGCAGACATGCAAGTAATTTAACCTCAATCAGGAAAATCAAAAACCAGATCTTCAACTGTCAAACGTTACTACACCGAAAAAATGGCTCGTAAAACGATCGCTACCTCCAGAGCCACGATTGGTTCCAGCACAGAACGTTACGGGAACCTACCTGGAGATCCAGTGGGAAGCTCTGCGCCCAAAAGAAGAAGATACAGACCTGGCACGCTAGCGTTAAGGGAGATTCGTCAATACCAGAAAAACACAGATTTGCTTATACGAAAGCTTCCGTTTGCCAGACTTGTTAAAGAAATTGCAGACCATTACATTGGCTCGAACTACGGTATAAGGTGGCAGTCCAATGCTGTGTTGGCCCTACAAGAGGCATGCGAGGCCTTCCTAGTGCACTTATTGGAGGATACCAACTTGTGTGCTATTCATGCTAAGCGTGTGACAATTATGCAAAAGGATATACAACTAGCTCGAAGGATACGAGGCCAGCTATAATACAGGGGGGTTCTACAGCTCAGGTTCTATCTATCCATATTCCATTTCCAATGATATAAAATAATCCAAATGTTGCAATAACCCTTCACAACGAGTAATAAAAAAATGATAAAACAAACAAAAAAAAAGATAAAGGTATACGAAGAATACCCGTATGGCGTCAATGTAGCAGTAGTCCCTTTCATGCCTCGACATTCATCTGGCTTTCCCCAGACATAGACGTGCTGCGTTTGCGGCCACGCGTATGAGGATTGGGGTTGCCATAGACGATGGTAGTCGCTCCATTGCTGTCCACTTTGAAATGCGTCTTCAGGTGCTGTGCCAAATTGTCTGACCGAGAAAACTTCTTCTCACAGTACTTGCAATGGAATGGGCGAATGTTGGAGTGAACGGATCTGATGTGACGTTTCAAGTGCTCCAGGCGCTTGAACTGTTTATCACACTCGGGACATGGGAAAGGTTTAGGCTCATCTTCTGACGTATCAGCGCCGGCGCCACGACTGGAAGTTGCACTTTGTAGCTTAGGACCCAGAGAAAGGTTTGTGTTTGGTGACTCGTGGTCATGTAGCCTTGGGTTAGGCTGTTCAAGGTTAGGCTGCTGATCTTCCGCAGGTCTGGGGAAATTGAACTGACTGCTAGGGTCCAGCTTTGCCACGTTTGGCAGAGAAATGCTTTGAACGATGTCCTGGCCGAGACCTGGAACCTGCTCGAGGCCTTGGGTAAACAGGGCCAACTCCTGAGGACTTATCATCGGCATGGAGTTGTTGGACTCGCTGGCAAGGCCAGAAAGATCACGAGGGACATCTGAAGCAGATGCACCAGCGAGAGAATCCGAGGCCAACTCATTGGCAAAGATGTCTGGGATCGCATTGTTGAACGACTTCTGTCTTCTCTTCTTATGAACCGAGTTGGCGCTTCCAACAAACGAATGAGACCTCGAAGAGTTGGCGTCGACACGACTGGGGAGCACTTGAATCAGGTTGTTGCGTCTCCAGCCAGGCCTTGAAGATTTGGCAGATTGTTGAGCCGCATGCTCGCCTGCGTTATCAGTCTCAGAAATGACGTTGGCGGTGTTATTAAGCCAATAGGTAATGGCGCTAACACATTCATCGTTCATGATAAACGTCGAATTCGAGTTCTGTTCTGGAGACTGAACGACTGATGAGCCGTTGGTATCGAGATTGTTGAAAAACGTGGCCTTATTGTCACCACTGTCGTTCTCAAGATTTCCATTCATGCCTTTGAAAATCGTGCCTAGCGAAGGTGACAGCATCAGCAGTGGTAGCACATAACGAGCTGGAGCTGGCATGGAGCCTGTAGAGGCCACAGTGCCAAAAAGTTCACGAGGGTTCACTGTACGTTCTTCCTTGGCCACGCGGGTAAACTGGTCCAGCAGTTCCACCCTAGTGTTTGAAGAAGTCGAAGAACGATGGGAATGGTCGGAAGTTGCAGACGCTGGGTCTGAGATCGAGCCCAGCTCGCTGTTATACGAAACCGTGGAGTTTGCAGAGTATGCGGGCATGTTCTGTTGTTGTAAGGACATCCTGTTGAGCTGTTCAACCGCCAGCGAAAACCGGCGACGGTGGGAGTAATGGGAGTTTGGGTCAGTTCTGAATGGCGAAGCATATTGCATTTCAGGCAGATTCAAGTTCGACTGCAAGTTTCTGTAGTTGAAATTGGACAGCGCCACCGGCAGCGAGGGCACCTCGTCACGAAACACCGGGTTCTGGCTATTCAAAAAAATCTCGTCATTGAGATCCAAGCCATCGTAGTCGATGGTGGTCAATGACGCTGGAGGAGGAATCCATTCATTGGAGGGGATTTGGGGCAGGTTATTCTGTTGGAAAGTTGGTTCCACCACAGCCGAATCAATGCCAAAGGACGAGTACGACATGGCTGGCGGGACGTTGAGTCTAAGGTGAAAATAAGGGAGATTCGAACGGGGAAGTTAAAAGTATCGACCGAGAATCCTGGAGGGAAAAAAGTAAGACCTTATTTCCAAAGGCTCGGGTTTGAAGGTGTGGTTATCTCCAAGTGTGGATGACGCTTTAGGATTCCAAAAAAAAACGAGACAAAAAAAAAAAAAAAAGAGAGGCAGGCAGTTACTGATAACGCCAGCCGCAGTTGGGAATTGATAATGGGGTGGGAAAAGGGTGTGAAGCGTTGGAGTAGGGAATACGCTTCTGGGAATGACAAATGGGTATGATTTGAAAAGTGGGAAGAAAAACGAGAATGGCAAGAAAAATCAAGGTATATGAGGTAAGTGATAAATCTACATTGGTGCCAATTTTTGAAGTATTGGCTCGCATGTCTGGGCCTAGGGCCGCATACAGTCTCTCGTAAGATTACTGATAATAGCCCGGGTGCCGGCTCGGAGACGGGTGGACCCCATTGAGGAAACGCGACATTTCGCTCCCGCCGCATGGCCATGCAGCTGGAGCATATGGAGGTCTAAGCGCCCACAGATGAGTAATGAGGAGCAGGCACTGTTTCAGGCCATAGCAGGGTTTGGTATTACCTTAATTACTTTTATGGCCATGTTTTACTGGTTTGTTGGTGGCAATTGTGGAAATTGAGCTTCATTTGTCTATGGCCACCATGTGGGGTGATGTATGTGCATGAGGTATTTTGGAGACTGAGTGTAAAAGAAAATGTCGCGGCACTGCATATAATTGCTGTGTGTGACGCATGCTGTGCATCACAATACTCGCTGTAGTTCTGGAAAGTATACTCGGACTTCAGTATGATAGGCTTCTTTCAAAGTCTAACTTTCTCGAGGATGCAAACCATAAACCTCAAAACCGGTTCCAGTTTGTCTTTTTCAGAGGCGTGGGTTCTGTGGCATAGGGCTCGACTTGTGCCACCGCTCCGCCTTCGAGTTGACAAATTCATGTGCGGCGGGCTTTTTTAGGTCTGTATTTCCTACTGTTCATGTCTCTCTTTCTCGTGGGCCATTTGGAGCCAATGTCCTTCTGAAACCAAGAACCAATAGTATTCTCGAGCAAATTGGCCCGCCCCAAGCTTTTCGTTTTGTGGTAAAGGTTAGGTTACAGTTTGGGCTCTTGTGGTCATGTCGTTAATTGGTCTTGTCTTTATCGGTGTTCCGATTACCAATATTACTCAAGAAGCAGCTTCTATACGTAGTGGATGTTGGGTTTACCGCCACGAGGCGAATTAATAGGAGACTAGAGAGCGGAGAATTGGCAGTTGAGAGGGTCTTGGGGAAAGTGTGGTTAAGCGAAGGGGCTAAAAGAAATGGCTGTTGGTCCCACTTGGCTTGAATAACTACCTCCTGGTTTCGTGGGGTTTTAACGGATTTTTCTTGATGAAGGTGCCACAGTCCATAACTCAATTTCCGAAGAACATCTCTTTGCATGACAGCTGCTGCTAATCGGTAGTTTGGATTCAAAATCGGCTACTAATCTGACCGTGCGCTTTTGCATCAAGCGATAAGCTACTTTGGCACAACTAAAATAGAAAACCACCACCACAGCGGTTGTACGTTTTTCTTCTTTACCGACACAGAGTCATTTAGCTTCTACTGGCTGCAAGTTGCACCCATGCGAGGGTCTTTTCACTTTGTGAAACATGCTGTAAATTCTTGTGACTTGATAGAACTACACAAGGCTGATTAGTTGCATCGATGACAAGTTTTGGGTTCAATTTGCGTAATAATCGGATAAAAGCTGGCTCTCTTTTGCGTAACATGAACACGGGAATGTTGAGCCGGTGGTGAAGAGCCTCTGTGATACTTCTTGATTCGGCGAAGCTCGAGACACTTAGCAGCCGAGCATGATCATATGAAACGGGCTCACGGGATGGTAAAACCGCCCTATCCCACAACTTTGCCACCGCCCAACGTTCTTCGTGCTGCATTACATTTGTCACATTTGAAAGATTAGACTATTTGTACACTGCCCTAGGAGGTCAAACACACCCAGGCTATAACTGCTCAAACTGAGGCTGTATAAGCGCATAGGTTGGTTGACGTAGGTGTATGCACTTACAACCCCCCCCTCTCTGCCTCACTTATCCAATATAATAAAAAGTCCGAGTGACTCTCGCTTGCACTCAAAGGGTCTGCATCTGCCGAAATCCATCAATTTCTTTACCCATCTAATGACCTTGAACCAAGACCAAGTAGAATAAAGTAAGTGGAGTGCGATTGAGTGATGCGGAATCCAGATGCATAATGGTTATGCACGTATGTGCATACAGCTTGCGACATTTATCGCACACACACTTTCTGATAACAAATCTACTAAAGGCAAAGTCTCGGGAACCGTACGAGGAAAGTGGTAGAAGCGGGACCCTGGAATGTGTTCATGGTAAGGGGAAGGCTAGGCGGTGTCAATATCTCGAAAAACTCCAAGCCTCTCCCTCAGCCCAAGGCTCCACACCCCGTGGTCCAGGGCGCTCATTTGTTATCGGTGTGCATTTCAGGTCCTGCAGAAAGACCCCAGTATGCGTCCAAGACATTGGAGCATCAGCTGGGTTTCCAAGTTAGCAGTCGCTCATTTTTCTTTTGTAGTCTGCGACAGTCATATATATGATTCATTGATCAATGGATCATGGTATGTCACATGAAAGTGGACATTATTGCTCCTCAAACTCCGAACCCGCCTCATCTCTTGGTACCAGACCAAAAAGAGCCACTACCCCATATTGTCTCCCTCCAGGGTGAATTATATAGTTTAATCATGCTCCTAGGGGCTTGCCCTAAAGGCGTCCTCTCCCCTCGACCAGGCTTTTCAACCAGCCTGGACTTGAGAAGCTTGCTACCTCTATTGTCCATGATGACCTTCATGTATGAATTTTCATATCTCACGTAAATGCACTCTAATTGATTCATCTCTCACAGTTTAAGTATTAATTACCGAGCCTCCCGTGCGGTGCTTACCACTGCTTCATCACTGTTCTCGTTATCATTCTGCTCTGATATGCTTCCGTAGTGTGTCTCGCTATCGCTCGTCTTGACAGCATCCTGCTGCGTCTCATCTGATGGAGCTCCTACAGCCTCCTCATCTTCAGCTGGTTTGTCCTCAGCGTGAACCCACTTCTTCATGAAATTAACCAAAACCTGGGCAGTAAGCACCTGCTCGGCCTGGTAAAGCACCAATGGCACGAGCAAAACACCCAACTTTGGGTTGTGAGCACCATACTGTGAAGAAACCAAGGACACACCCAAAGCAGCCGTCTTGGCAGGGCCACAAAGCATCACAGAAACTGTGTCACGACGGTTATAATAAAATGGGCGGAAAAGCTTATATCCCCAAGTATATGTCCTGGTGTCTTGTTCAGTGGGCTCGTGATCATAGATCCTAACGAGGAAATATGGTCGCAGGTAAAAGAACACCAAGACGGTAAAGAAAAGGTAAATTCCAATGTTAAAGAACACCAAAAAGATAATTGATGCATGAGAAACAGACTCAAAGGCATTCTGTGCAAAGGCAGTGGAGAAGGATTGGAACATAATCAAAAGCAACATGAAGGATCCAACCTTATTAAGATAAAAGGTTGTAAGGGTCCATTTCACTTGCTTCGGCCAGATGTTCTGAAGAACTTGTCCCACAAATAATGGGACAAATACAGAAAGACCAATTTGCTTCATCACGCTTCCGTAAAGATCCAGTACTGTCTGTCTTTCCTCCTGGTGAGTAGGGTTACCAAAGTCCCAAGTACCAGTCAAGTACATCTGGACCAAAGCTGGGGTAATGAAAGCACCCAATACGTTTCCAATAAACACTTCACAGGTGGTCAACACATGGTTACCATCTGCAGCTTTTGTCATAACGACGTTAGACGAGACAGTCGTTGGACAGGCGTGTGTGACGATCATACCCACAAGCAACCAGTCGTCAATGGCATTATCGCCAGATGCCTTAATTCCTGATGCAATGCCGTAAATAATGGCCGAAGTGATAAGGAAAGACGATGAAAGAACGGTAAAGTGAGCTCTCCAGTGCAAGATATTGGAGAACAAGTCCTTGGTGGTCATGGAAAGACCCGAAACCAAGAAGATGACGGCAACAGCACCATAGCCAATGGAGTACTGGGCTTTAATGGTACCACCTTGCTTAGCAAATTCCGGGAAAAAGTATGCTAGCAACACGAACACACCCAAAAGCACAAAGAACCACTGGTCTAGTAGGAACTTGAGCACCTTCTTGGTCCACTTGTAAAACTTTGTCGCTTTGAACTCTTCGTACAGCATCTCTATAAGCTTCTAAAAGACGAAGATGGTTTTCAAACAAAGCAATAAATGATACTTTTTCACTGTGGTGTATGTCTACTAGAATTAGAGCTTGTGTAGAGTCAGGTTTGAACTATCTAACGTCACGTGCGTGTTTCCTGCGATCCGCCGGATCGATGAGAAGGTTCCGAGTCTTGAGCCAGGACGTCATGTTACCGGCGCTGTGTCCCAATTTGGCAATCAAGGCGGTATTAACGGAACCTGCAAAAAAACTAACATATAACGTAACAGAAGCTTCCCAGTGACCGTTCAACCGAGGAAGCAAAAAATCCTTCTTCTCCTTCTTTAATTACCTTATCCAACTGTGGATACGCAAGAACAACCGCTGACTTTGCGAAATCGCTTGCATGCATTGCGCAAAGCGAAGGGTCTAATAACCAGTTGTAGCCAATGGCTGCCTCGAAATGGTTTCATGGAGGTTGTGGAGTTGAAAGGCTCATTTTTCATTATTTTTCACCTTCAGCCTTGTGCTTGTTTCTTTGTATTTGACTTTGGTATGCAGAAGGCTTTTTTCGTGCCCCACATTAAACACCCAATTGGATGGATAGAGTTAACTTCGTCTACGGTGCCACTGCGATCAGAGTACAAAGTCAAAACCCGAAAGCAGACCACTGCTGGCCATATAAGGAACCTTTATGATTTCCTGCAATTTCGAAAAGTCGTCATGGCTTTTTTAATTTGTGGTGGTAGTAGTGGCTTTCTTCAGGGGGCCAGTAAGCAAGAGTAGATGCGAAAAATGCATTTTGCAACCATTTCGCAAACCCTACATCAAACAGTAAAATTGGACTTCAACTTGACCACCCTCATCCAGCTTTCATGCTGGAGACGAGAGCGGCAACGTCAAGAATACACAAAGACGACCCTGCGGCGTTGGAGTGTTCGCTGCACTTTGGAGAACCATAATCTTACCGCAATAGGAAGGATGTAAACAAGCTTGTTCAATGCCAGTGATGTGCCAGGACAAGCATCAACAAATTACACTTCCTAGTTCACCTTTTCACTCTTCGATACTACCCGCTTCGTGATGTCGGCAGATACGGCATTTGTGAACCGTTTCTGGGGCCAGCAAGAGGCTGGCTTCCAGGTGATCCAGACTCGTCTAGCGCACTCCTTGACGACTCTCCAAGAGCTTCTTACTTTCTACAAAGAACGAGTGGCCATTGAAAAAGAATACAATAAGCGTTTGGACAAGCTAGTGGGGTCTTATACGCTAGGGTCCGGCGAGACTGGTTCCATCAAGGTTGCTTTAGAGAAACTACAGATCGAAAGCTCCAATATGGTTAAACAGAACCAAAAGTTCATCAAGAGCGTTGCTTTCCATAACCACGAGAAACTCAATTCCTTCTACAACAATTATAAGAGCAATGTTGCCAAAGTTGAAGGCCATATGCAAAAAGTGTTGGCCAAGAAGCGAGACTTCTTTGCTCATCTTGATGCTACCAAGGATAGGTACCGAGCCGAGTGCCATCTGATCAAAACATTACAACTACAGTGCCAGACCACATGGGGAAAGGAATTAGAAAAGAATACTAGTAAACTTGCCAAGGCTGAAAAGAATGCCAGTGTTCTTAAAGATCAATATTTGAAGAGTATCCATAAATGTGCTGAGATCCACGAGATATGGGTCCGTGACTGGCGTGCTGCTTTGCTGAACATCTACCAGTTAGAAATCGAAAGGATTCAGATTTGCAAACTCAACTGTTTCAATTTCTGCAACCATATTGCTTCTCTTTGTGTGGACTGGGATCAGCTGGCTGATGTTGCCAGGACCTCTTTTGCTAGCATTCTAGCCCCCAAAGATATCCACGATTTTGCTGAGGTATATGGTACTGGAAATAAGATTTCGAAAGCTCCTCAATTTATTGACTTTGCCGAAGGATATGACGAGGATTCAGAATCCATGGAGTATGATCTTGCTGATTTCAAGGACCCAGACTTCTCCCAGATCCTCACCAGAACATTTTCCACACAATCCGCTCCATCAAGCAAACAGAACAGTCCAACAAAGGCAACTCCAAAGAGGAGAACTGGAGAAGCTGGCTCTCCAAGCCGAGGTGCCAACGGGGGAATGCCTACGCTACTAGTACCTGAGAATAAGAGTCTACCACCAATAAGAGAGCCCAATGGAGACACACAAGGAGAGCTCCGGAAACAATTATCACAAACAAGTGCATACACTTCGGGTCCGGAAGACAAGCATGACGATGTGTTTGACTCAGGTAAGAAGTTCAGTGCTTCCAATGGGCTGGACTATTCGAACCCTACGAACTATACCTCTCAGACAGCAAGAAGTTGGGCATCTCCTCGGAAGAAAGAAAGACTGGAAGTTCAAGAAAGGATCAACAGAAGGCTGCAAGACTGGACCAACACGTTCGCTGCACCTTCTCCACAGCCTCAGAAACCTAATGTTCCGATCACAAAGGACTTCTCCATGGACTTTATTGCTAAAGCTCTCGAGGACCTCAATACTGGTGGCAATGGTGACGTGAATCAGTTCAGACGTTCTGTGAGGAGCCAGGCCAACCCAGCTGCCGAGAAGACAAACTACATGAACCACCGTCCCCAGTCAGACTTTGTGGATGATTCTCGAGAGCAAGCCACAAGATACGATTCTATTTCCTTTAAGACTCCCCAAAAACCAAGACCTAAATCTATGGTTGACAGCGTGATGGGCGAAGACGACCTGATGAGAACTGTTGTTGAAAAGACCCCAGTGAAGCCTCAATCCCAACAGTCTAAGCGGTTTTCGCTGCAATCGCCAACGAAATCATTCATGGACTTGCACTCAATGATAGACAAAGTGACCCCTGTTTCTCGCCACGAGTATGTTGCCAAGGCAAAAGCTCTTTATACCTATAATGCCAGAGAAGAGGGTGAACTTTCCTTCAGGAAGGGCTGGAACATGTATGTGCTACACAAGCAAGAGGATAACTGGTATGTCTGCGAGTTGGCAAACAACTGTGGCAGCGACATCGGAAATGTCGGTTTAGTTCCATATAATTACGTTAAGGAGGGAGATCATTTGTTTTAATATAGTTTTCAATGCATGTATTTATGAAGAGCTCGTAGTATGGTGATAGTGGTGCGAAAACGGTGTCCTAGCAAACTACTCAAGTACAACCATCGACCATGAGTTTCCCAGCCATTGGCCCCAGCAAAGTCGTTGAGCCCTATTCCATTGAAAACCTCCCTCCTCTTGTTATTGGAGGTGCTGTTCTTAACTTCATTTATACCAAGGATCCAACGCAACTTCCGATCCAAGATATACTTGATATTGCCTTCTCCAAGGGTCTCAATGCCATAGATACCTCTCCATACTACGGAAGGTCTGAAGAGTTGATTGGCCAGGCACTTAAGAAGCTAGAGAGCAAGTGGTCCCGTGGTAGTTACTACATTTGTACAAAAGCTGGTCGCATTGCTGATGATGAGTTTGACTACTCAAGAGAGCATGTGAGAGCATCAGTAAAGAGATCATTGGAACTCTTGAATACAGACTACCTTGATCTTGTGTACATGCATGATGTTGAGTTTGTGGAGACTCCAAAGGTGTTTGAAGCTTTGAAGGAGTTGCGTGCTTTGAAAGACGAAGGGTTGATCAGGTCGTTCGGTTTCTCTGGCTACCCAATCAAGTTCTTGTATGAGATCGCTTACAAGGCAGCTCATGAATATACTGATACCATTGGATCAGTGGACTGTATCCTTAGCTATTCCCATGGATGTCTTCAGAACACTGCTCTTTTTGAGTTGTATGACGATTTCTTCAAGAACTGTGGCATCAAGAAGCTCTTGAACGGTTCGATCTTGAGTATGTCGCTTCTCCGTTCAGGAAAGACACATGAATTCCACCCAGCACCTCTGGCATTGAGGCAAAGAAGTGACGAGGTGGCCCAGTTTTTCAAAGATACACATAATATTGAGCTTGCAGAGTTAGCCACCAGGTTTGCGCTCAAACGCTGGCTCTTTGAGACGAAACCACAGGATGTCGTTCCTTATGAATGGAACCCAAAGACCTCGGTTGTTCTTGGAGTTTCAACCGTCGAAGAGCTCAATTCAGCTTTGGAGAGTTACCACTCTGTTAAAGACCAGGCGAGCGAAGAGGACGAGAAGTTGTTCAAAGAAGCCATAGATAAATTCGGTGACCACTTCAACGAGACTTGGCCATCTGGATTACACTAGAATAAAATTTACATATTTATATGATTGAACTTTACGGATAATTGGTATAAACCCTTGCTACTAGTACCCCCAAGCACCGCGAAGGCAGTGTACATATGGCAACATAGTGAAGCCAGATCTACACTTCAGTTACTCTTTCTTTCCAACCAAAAACAATGGTATACAGAAAGAGAAAGCTTGAATCCGAGCAGGAACCCAGCAATGCTTTAGTTGTTGAGTTAGATAAGAAAAAGCAGGTCACTGTGCGCCAATACAACGGCGTGTCGTTGGTTGATATTCGTGAGTTCTATCTTGACAAAGATACCGGCGAGAAGAAGCCAGGAAAGAAGGGTATTTCGTTGACAGAGGACTCCTACTGGAAGTTGGTTGAAGCCCAAGCTGAGATTCAAAGTGCATTGGTGCAATTGAAAGAGGGTGGAACCAAGGCACAGAAGACTGAGCCTACAACCAAGATTGCTGTTGAGAAGACCGAGGGTGCAGCTGGAAACGAAAGCTCTGACTCGAAGAGTTCTGCTTCTTCGACAAAGAAAACTGTCAAGTCGGCTGAGATCGTCGAGGACGATGGATCTGATTCAGAAGCAGAGTAAGCCTATCAGGAGAAGAAGAATGGGGAATGTTCAATAGAAAGTCCAAAGAAAAAGAATGAACCGTCTTTCTTGTCGAACCAAACATGAATTGTCAATTTTGAAAGAAGCATTGCACTCCTGGTGAAGTTAGGTATGCTGCCTGGGGCAGACGAACCTTTCCTTATCACACCCAGCCTATATTTAGTATCGGTTGTGAACCGCCAATGATATTATCCATTCAAAATGCAGAGAAAAATAATAAATACACGAAACGAAAAAAAAAAATCTTTTCAAGTGTTTGATGCCCTTCCCATATTTCGTGTTGGTTGCGGTAAACTGAAAATTTCCACTGGGTGCAAAAAAAGCGGAATTCCCATGGAAATCGCCCACAGATGACTTATATACCAGTTGGATCCGTATAAAAACAACTTTAAAGCCACAAAAGAGGCACATCCTCGAGTAAACTTCACTAGCGACCAACCTTGGCTTACAGTACCTGCCAGATAACCGAACACGCTGGATTTACCTTTCCACAGAGCCTAATCGCACTCCTAAAGCCAAGAACATATACACGCTGTACAGCGATGAAAATAAAGCTCAAGGACCCCAAAAAACGTAGCAAATAGACTTCCCACTATCAAACCCACCCATTTTCAAGATTTTCCATATCTGCACCAAATCTGCCTTTTTCCTTTCAGCCTCATCGTTATGTTCCACCTTGTCGCTTAACAGTACAAGGAAGGATAAGCCGCGCAGATCACGTGCAGGAGAAGCCGCTCTGCAAACCTGATTCTCCTATAGCTTGCTACGAGATATGGAAGAATCCATCTAAGCCTACCGGTTTGCGATTTGTATCTATTGAAGCTTTTTCTGCACTCAAAGGCAACACCTCCAGGAACCAGGATATATCCCAGGACCTCGAGCTCCAAGACTTAAACATGGCGAAAAAGAAATCCTCCAAGCAAAGAAAACTCCGTCTGAAGCAACAGGCAAAGGATAAGTCACGCGAGGGAACCCAAGAATCACATCCCAACTCGAGGCCAGTGTCGCCTTCGGGGGCCCACAGTCACTTGAATACCCTTGTGGATCATAATTCACTTAATGCTATGCACATCAACTCGTCCTCGGCGAGGGAACGTCGCCAGAGCGAGTATGACCCAAGCACCAGAAGAAGCAGCTTTGCTCCATTAACAGACCGCAACTTACAGACCCTTCTCGAGCAGAACAACGCCCAGAACTCGTCTCATAGGTTTGGACTGGTGGCGCTTGATATGGATAGATTTGCTCGGGACCAACACCCCGGTGGCCATGATCAACAAGACCACTATAGTGACCACAGCCATGGCTCTGGCGCTCTGCTTGAGTTCGGTGAGCTGAACCCTCCTTCAGAACATTCTAGCGACTCTACTTCGTTGGATGATGTCTGCTACCTTGACTACTATGATGATGAAGACGGTGGCACAGGCAAGTCTCATAAATGGCCTGACTTAGAGGTATTGGAGGAATACATCCAGGAAGAGCTTGATGAATTACAAGAAGAAGAATCTGATATCAACGAGGTTAACTTCAGGTACCCTGTCGCTAGACGTGTTTCACATTCGCAAAACGAGCGAGACGCCTCTCCCGACGATGAAGAGGATGCTCCTCTCTTGAACCAAGTTCAGATCAACGAGGTGGATAACTGGGATCAAAAGTCTGCTCAGCTTAAGTTCAGGCCAAAACCACTTCAGCCATGGGAAGCCTCTCAGCTGAAGATCCATACTATCCTCAATAATGGCACGAAGGCCAAAGCAGACGCCTTATGCCGCTTCACATACTTCAGAGAGGACTTGGATAAAACGCTCCATTCTCCTACTCTTGCTGGCCTCATTGCTGATAGCGAAAAGATTGATACTACTGACGAACACTATATCAAGAATGCCCTCAAGGAGCTTTTTGATCCACATCACCTGTCTTTTCACCATAGACTGCCTCGCGCAGCAACTCCAAGCGCTGAACCTCATCCCGATGGTTCCAACGGAAGAGAAGCGCACCATAGCAGACATGGATCTGTCCCTCCTGCTGTTAGTCGTACTTCAGCTGCTGCTCATAACCTCAAAGGCAGCACTCCACAGGCTGGCGCTTCTCATGCCTCTCTCGCCAACGCAGGTGTCCATCCCGGAACTACCTCTGTGAACTCACTATCTACATCTCCTTCAACTCGCCCAGATCCCTTTTGGCTTGACATTTTGGACCCCCTGGAAGAAGAAATGAAGGTCATTTCAAAAACCTTCGGTTTGCACCCATTGACAACCGAGGATATCTTCATGGACGAAGCTAGAGAGAAGGTTGAAATGTTCAATCTGTACTACTTCCTTTGCTTTACTTCATTTGACATTGTCTACGAACGCAGAAAGCAGAAAGCAAAGGAACACGAAAAGAAAATCAGCAAGCTCATGGAATACAACAATCAAACAAGCAAGTTTAGCATTGATTGGCTCAAAAGTTTGTTGTTCAAAAAAGACGATGGTATGATGCGTTCCAATGCTAAAAGATCGGGATCTTCATCAAACAAATCAAAAGCCAAAAGAATCAGAAACGGCGAATTATGTCCCTTGAATATGTACATGATTGTGTTCAAGCATGGTGTTTTGACATTCCATTTTAGTGCTACACCTCATCCCATCAACGTCCGTCGCCGTGCTCGTATGCTCAAGGATCATTTGACGGTATCTCCTGATTGGATATGTTACGCATTAATTGATGATATCACCGACTCGTTCGCCCCTATGATTGATAGTATCGAGTCTGAAGTCTACCTCATTGAAGATGAAATTATGAGGATGCATTCGGGTGATAGAGAGTCGAGTGATGATAGCGACGAGTCTGATGAAGAATCGATCGCTGATTTCCACGAGCAAAGACCAAGGCACTCTGGAGGTGACGATGTCTTCATTCGTCGTCACAGGTCCAAGTCGATCGTCGAAAATCCGGAGCCTTCTAAGCTCGATTTCTTGCGCTTGAGAAAGCGTAATTCTAGACCAGACTACATTTCTGTGGGGTCGAAGCGCAGTGGTCGTTCGAGAACTAGTACCACTACTAGCACAGACCTGTCCAGAATCGTTGCCTGGAAACGTAAAGGTGATATGTTGAGAAGAATCGGCGAATGCCGTAAGAGAGTTATGTCTGTGATGCGTCTTCTAAGCACTAAAGCTGATGTGATCAAAGGTTACAGTAAGCGTTTTAGTGAGAGCGATGTCGTCAAAGGTGCAGAAGACAATCCATTCATCACTACTAGATCTTCTTCCAAGCAAGAAATCTTGATGTACTTGGGAGACATTCAGGATCATATCGTTACTATGGTCCAATCGCTCAACCACTACGAGAAGCTTTTGGCCCGGTCTCATTCCAATTATTTGGCGCAGATCAATATCGATATGACTAAGGTTAACAATGACACAAACGACGTGTTAGGAAAAATTACGGTTATCGGTACAATTGTGTTGCCAGTGAACGTTGTGACAGGTTTATGGGGTATGAACTGTATCGTCCCAGGACAAGATGCACCGGGGCTTACATGGTTTTGGGGCATTTTGTTCGGCATCTTCCTTTTCAGCATTTCGTCCTATCTTTATGCTAAGAAGGTGTACAACCTCTAATCTTGAAGGTACAATAAGGCCAATAAGCTCTAGATGTTAAAAATTGGGTGCAAAATTGAATGGTGCGCAGATGAGTGACAGCCAGAGAAGCAATCAGCTTGATCTGGCCGGATCCTGCGTAGTGCGCAAATTCCTGATACCCATAATCCAGCAAAGGTTTATAGCAATTGATTCTTTTGATCTTCAAAAACTTTCTTCCAGACTCTAACAAACCCACGTTTTTCCACCATGAGTCTTCAAATGTCCCTCGTCTTTGGCCTTCTCGTCTTCGAGATGAGCTACCTCTTGCTTTTGTTGGTGCCATTGCCTTTTGCCGTCAGACAGAAGCTCGTCAATGGATCAGTGAGATTGAACCAAAGCAAGAACTTCAAGAGCGGATGGGCGTTTACAACAGTCATGTTGGGTCTTCAATTCATCGACTGTGTCCAGAAACTCAACAAATACCACACTTCCGATGGATTCCCACAGTCCAGGGAGGTTGGTACTGCCAGGTACGACCAATTGGCATCCAAGTTCTACAGCCAGCGTAATCTTTACATTACTGGAGCTGTTTTGTACTTGGAAGTTTCCATTTTCACTGTTGTCACTATCTTGAAGAAGTTGGTGGCAAAGGAGGAGCTGTACAGAGCAGCCACCAGTGTTGAGACCGGCAAGGGCGATAGCCAGACCAGCGACCAACAGGAGGAGGCTGCTGAGCTTCGTAAGTTGATCAAGGAGAAGGAGAATGATATCGCCACGTTTAGAAAGCAATTGGAGGGTGTGCAGAGGCAATACGATAGCCTCAACCCCGCCGAGGTGAGATCCAAGTCTGATTAAACCTGGAAGGGTCACAGCAAGCCATTGAAGTATATAAGTACAAAAAAAGTGTTTACTATGTGGATGTAGAACTAGCGGGTACCTATCACATCTGGCGCCGCATTGGGTGCAAAACGCTTTTGGCAACTGCCCTCAATGCCTTCAAAGATCTCATAGACTCGTTGGAAGCAACCGTACCCGATCATAATGTCCCAAAGAACTATAAATGTCTTAAAACATGCAACTTGGTACTCTAGCCACCTTCATGGAGGCTTTTCGTTCCACGGCCGCCGACCATGGAAGCAAGCATATTACACGGTACTTCCTAATCGGGCCCTACCCATACACAAATAACATTCATAGAACACTTTCCACTGTTCTCGAACCCTCTTCTCCTTACTGGCTTAGTACCCACCAGGCTTAGGCCTCCTAGACGGGCGACGGTTCTCCTGTTTCACATCTTCGGGCATCCCAAGCGACCACACCTTGTCTCAGTCGAGCCTCAGGCACTTCCAGTCTGCCCAGCTTTTCACCCTACATACTTTAAACGCAACCACATTCGTAACCATCCTTCTTGTCAACCCCCCTCCTTCTTCCAAACCTAAGTCTCGCGTAGTGCACCAGCCACCGGCTTACGTCTTGACAGCTGAGCACTGATCACTGCATCGACTCTCGCGTGCGCAATGCATCCACCTGTGCATCGACTGCCAGTGATCAGTGGATGCAGAATGTACGGGGCAAACAAAGGCAACCAGGCATGGGTAGTATGGTAGTGTTATAGGAGATGGTGAAAGTGCATTGGTAGTGGGAAGGTGGAGGCTGGTGGGTTTTTAAGGTAAGTAGTATGGGTATTGTTCGTGAAGATGCTACTTCTCGCTTGGGCGCGCAGGCGTGTGCGCCATGTAAGCTGTGGTAATTTTTTTGAGCCCAAGCGATGCACGGTCCATCAACGGTCTCGCAGATGCGTATTTTGCAACCATTCTACTTCCTCACTACAACTGGGTACTGGTACAGAATATTTTAGATCTAATAAAAATAGCATGACAACAATTACTACTCAGGCTTTCTCGACTCGCTATAGTACACATTAGGGTTCGCGGCTGGCGAAACTACCTCACTTTTTGGCTTCACCCTTCAAATCGGCTTTCTTATCGTCGACTGGAGAGCCCTGCTGGCCCAGAGGCTGCTGCAGTTGCTGCGCTTGCAGTTGGTGAGCCTGTTGGTGGACCTGTTGAGCCTGGTAAGGCGCCTGTTGATGCTGACCAGGCATTTGGTTGTAGCCGTATGACGAGTACATTGGAGCAGAGTAAGAGGAGTAACCCGAGGAGCCAGCGCCGCCAGAACCAGAGCCTTGACCGTAGGAGTAGTACTGGTTAAAATATGGCTGCGAGTATGGGTACATCAGCTGCTGACCGACCTGTTGGCCCTGCTGTTGAGGAGCAGCCGACGACGACTCACCTAAGCTGGAAGCGGCAGCGGCACCACCACCAGAGCCAGAGCTAGCGCCACCTGCTGGAGGGTACTGAGATGGGTACTGAGAGTAGTAACCGACATTAGGGTTGGACGAACCACCAGCAGCGGCGGCGCCACCACCAGAAGTGGAGGTCGATGGGTAAGTGCTGTTGGAGTTGGCGACGAGAGGGGTGTTCTTCGCGTTTGAAGTAGCACCAGAGTTGGAGTTACCCAGGGCAGCTGGGGTAACGCCGGTCTGGATGACTCTCTTGATGTCTCTGACAAACAAAGGATACAACAAGTCAACAATGCCCTCGCGTTGGGCCATAGCCAAAGCACGTTCGAAAGGAATCCACACACCCTTCAAGTGCATGGAACCAATCTTAACAACGTGTCTAACCTTCTCCAGCTTCAAGATACCGTCACGACGACCACGCGTCATCTGGGCGACATTCAAAAGCTTGGTACCGTTGATCATGTTGTTGTCAGCTCTACGCACCACCGACACATTGTTGGCGTCAACCTGGTAACACAAGGTCTTCTCGTCTTCCCACATGGTGGTGGTTACACGAGGACGAATGCCTGGAGGCTGGTATTGACCAACTGCAGAGTTGGCATTACCGCCCAATGAGTCAGACGACACAGAGCCCTTGGTGGACGCTGGTGCACCGGTAGTGGCAGCAGAGACGGAACCTGGCTGTGGCTGTCCCGACTGAACGGAAGGCGCCGTGGATGAGGTGGAACCAGAAGGTGCCTGCTGAGCAGACTGGTTGGCAGGAGCACCGTAAACCTGGCCCTGTGGAGCATGCTGTTGACCTTGCTGATAAACAGGGTACTGGTTGTAAGGCGCCGAGCTGCTAGAGTAACCAGGGTAGTGCGACGAGTAGTCAGACCCCTGAGTACCCTGCTGGTGCTGCTGGGACTGCTGCTGTTGTTGTTGGTACTGTTGGTACTGCTGCTGCTGAGGTTGAGGCTGCTGCATCTGTTGCATAGGAAGCTGGCCTGGGTTGTAGTACAGCCCGTAAGGGTGCTGCTGGTACTGAGAAAGTAACTGCAGTTGGGACATTGGTTGTCCTTGAGACTGGCCAGCAGGCTGCTGGGTCTGGTTCAGACCTTGGGTCTGTCCTCCGGTTCCGTTCATGTGTTGTTGTTGCTGGTATGGGTATGGCTCCAGCTGATAATAAGATTTAGGATACTGGAACTGCTGTGTTGACATGCTCTGGGGAGAAGGGGAGCAGTGTTGCAATGCCTTGTAATCCAGGAAGAAAGGATGGATGAGTTTAGCTCTTTGTTTTGATTGTCGAGATCCTCAGCGGAGCGGCGATGAGGACTTTTGAATCAGGGAGGGCTGAAGGCGAATAGACCGGTGTGTGAAAGGGATTAGTTGTGGTGACACCGGTTTGGAATAAGGAAGAAAAAAAGGTGAAGGAGAAAGTTTTGACTTGGGTTGTTGAAAACAATATAATGTAAGGAACAAAAATTCGAGCGTTAGTCGGTGCACATCGGATGCAGAGGCCTAATCTGAGCATGAGCAGCGTACGGCATCCAATGATGCAAAGCGACGGTTATGTGCAGCTGCGCAGACCCGCGCTCGAGTGCATGTGCATGACGGGTGTCGCCTATTGGCCAACCGCAGGGTCACGGCACGTCCACAATGCGGCCTGCACACATCCGTGCAGGCAGTCTACAAGGAGGCCGGCCACTGAGCAATAGCATGGTCACGTTGAGATGGTGAAATGATGGGAAAAAGAAGGTAAAACTCACAAAACTTAGGGTTTGATGGATTTCCTGACACCCGATATTGTACTTAGCCGTTTACGTTCTTCTCCTAATTTTCTAGCCCCTCTTTTGGTTGTGCGTGTTTCAACGAGCCATGCGGTGCAATGCACTGTCGCGCCTCCTGCAAAATAGTGGATGGCAATTGCAGAAATGATTGCCTAGCGCCAGCGAAGCACCTTCTGTGGCAAGTCTAAAACCGAAGCATCCATCGAAGCCGTACATGTTTGAGGCAGGTTTCCAACTACAGATCTCGTTAACATGCCACCACCTTTTCTCTCTGCTGGCCCTATTTCTCCACCCTTTCGTGTAAATCGACATGTACAATAGCGTGTATTGCCAGTGCACGAGTGGGTGTAGCGTCGGCGTGCACACGGGATGCATGGTGTCATGCGTGAGCCCAAGCTATTAACAAGCAGTGTAAGCAAAGAGCAGGCAACAATGCCAGCAGGCCTAGCACTTCGAGAAAAAGCAGATCCCAGTGTCAAAGTATGAAGGTTCTACATTCCCAAGACATTGGTCGGTCTTCCTTGCTTCGAGAAACTATATTGCTCTAGTGCACAGGCGAGGTCGTTGGCGCATCTTAGTGCAGGTAGGGTGCCTCCTTCTTCTATTTCTTCTTTTTTCCTCCCTCCCCTAAGCAATTCAACGGAATAGGAGAAGAAGAAGAAACCTACGCTTGTCCAGATCAGCACCGCCAGATCCCCTATTCCAAATCCACATATCACACACAAAACACCTCTCACCTACACACACATTCAACAGCGAGAGCCACTGTCCCCCAGAATTCGTTTGTTTCTCTCTTTTCGACGTGCCGTGCTGGCGTCTTTGGAGCCTTGCGGCACGCACCCCATGCACGGTTCCGAAAAGCCCATGCTATCGTCTGATTCATCGCTACCACAACAAGGCGTCTTTACTTAAATGTTCAGGTGGAGACAAAGAGTTTTTGCTGGCCTGGAGTTATCTTGCCCCCTCCAAGAATTGCCTGAGGTTTTTTTTTTTTTTGCTTTTCATGTTTTTTTTGGAATTCCAGCCTGGTTTATTGTGGCAGGGGAAACTATTCTTGGACATGGCCTTGTTGCTCATTGTCCATGGATTTGCTAGCAATTGTATATGTAGATTTTTATTGCGTATTGTGTGGATTAGTTTTATCTCTGATTGTGGTCCATTGTCGCTGGCAAATCGAGCCACTTCTTCCATCTGGGATGTTATCGACGAGGGTTATCGGCACTTTTCCACGGATCGTGGTGTTTGTTGTTTTTTACCTACCAGCCATACGGCACTCTACCGTGAAAATGCCGTTCGCTAAAACTCAATTTTCTGCGCCTCCTCGCCACTCACTCTCTGGATTGCTGTCTTTCCCTTTCATTTCCCCAACCCCACCACCTCTTCTTATCTCTTAGTGTTTTGTAACCATCAAGGGCCCTTGACGTGGCGCTAGCTAAGCATGTCAAAAGCTGTCTTGAACCCAGTGCGTCGCCTTGCACCTCGCATGCGATCGCAGAGCGCCTGACAGTCGCATCGCGTTCTCTTCCATGCACTGCCTCTAGTGTCTCTGATAACACAGGCTTTGCACGATTTGACAGCTTCCATGCACTGCCGAAGGGCAGCTCTACTCGAGGTAATTGGGACAAGCGCTCGACAGTAGCGTCTGATGGTCTGGAGTTGATGTGGAAGAGGGGAGTTTGGGTTGGTGTGGCTGGTAAAAAAGCCATGGCTGTGAAGTATGTATTTTTCACGTAGATTTGGCTATTCTACGCTGTGGTTGCAAACTACATACATCTCTATGGATATCTTGTATCTTTCTATTTTTTATGAACGTCGCCACGGTAAAGCTCCTTGATGATTTTACCGTCTTTGATCGTAGTATTTACAATTCCTTGCACGAGGTCAGGAAACACTCGTCCATAGAATACAATTGGCATCTTACTGCAATCTCTAGGGAAGTAGAGCACGTTTCCCGCATAGGCATGGCCACCAACATGCGAGATGAGCCCTGTTCTAACATGATGTAGCTTTTCCTTCTCAAGCACCTTTTCAAACTCTTGCTCCAACAACGGTGCAAGAAGCCCACATCGTATATCTCTCTGTGTATGTCCACAAATGAGCACCAAATCTTCTTCTATAGGCTTTTCGGTGAATAAGCTCGAATGATCCTTTCTACCCTTTGACTTCTGCACTGCAGGCGCAAATGGATTGAAGACTTCCACAACTTCCTCTTCTTTTGGTAATAAATAGTGTTCGACAAACTGTTGCGCATGCTTCAACTCAAACTCCACAACCTTGTTGTCTGGATATAAATAAACCTTCTCCTTCCCATTAGGTTTGTCGTTGATGCCCTCCACGAGTGCATTGGTGACACTAACTGGATGATTGGGACTGAGCAATCGTTTGAGCAGCGTCATCTCACTAGCCACCGACCCAGCGGTGAACTCCACTTTCGCAGGCATCTTGTTGAAATCCTTAAACCCATGCAGAAAGACAAGAAGATGCTTCCAAGGATCTGACCCCGTGCTATTGAGGTTATGCTCAAAGTTGATCTTCTTATCTGGAGGGAACTCAGGAATCCCGCAATGGGTACATCCCGTGTCATACACTGGTGGTGGGCATGACTCGACAAATCGGCTGGCGTACCGTCTTGCTATTCTAAGCATATGTTTGATATATATCCAAAGTAGCCACTGGGGAGATGATCATCTGTACTTTATAAGTACCGCATTAACGTACTGTAGTATGATCGGCGTCTTTGCCATCTTTAGCGCTCTTGACGTTCCTGCAGTACGTCTTCGCTACTGTACGGGCCGAGTGCCGAATGCACCTTCCTACTCGAGAAACGTCTCTTTGAGCCTCCACCCCTTTTGTGTTGCATCCCAGGTTGCAGCCTCTCGAAGTAACGATCTAACCGAGATCATCTCTTTCTCATCTTTGAGGTTCACTGTTTTAGGGAGCGCTTTGAGTATAGTGTCAGATTTGCTGAATCCCTCGGGCTGTTTCTGCAAAAACTGTATCAAATGCTCAAGTAATTTCTGCTTATCGTCCTCTGTAAGCTTCTTGCGTTTTCCTGTTGATTTGACAGCGCCTTCATTATTAGCCTTCTTTTGCCTCAATTGATTCAAAATAGATGTTGAAGAGATTGCACTGGAGGCACCAGGAGCCGGCGACTGAGAGGGTGACTTTGTTCCGCCACGGCTACTGCCGTCTCCGTTTTTACTCTTTGGCCCGAACCTGCCGGCAACACCAAACTTTCCTGTCCACGTTGGGGTACCCACTGTATTTGATCTAGCCAGAATTCTAGATCTTTTAAGTGCTTCAGCAGCGTCTTTCGCAACCCTTGCAGCCTCTTTTTCAACAATGCTAACCTCTTGCTGATTAGAGTTTATGATTTCGTCATGCTGCAAGGTACTATGAACCACCTCAGCATTGGCAAAAATACCCTCCATTAAACGACTTTCATCCTTAGATTTGTCGTCTTCTTTTTCTTCATCACCAACATAGTTGTCCAACTTAGAGACACCCATTATACTGGCAACTTGGTATAGATCGTCATCGTTCTTGTGTTCCAGCTTATTCAACTGCGTAGATTTTCTAGTTTTGTTACCTCTGAAAGTCTTTTCACTTCCACTGAACATGTCACCGGTTTCAGTTCCCTTTTCTTGTGGGTCGCCTAGACTAAACAAGTCGTGAAGATCATTCATCTTGAAGAACCTTCTTTGCTTAGGGTCTTTAAGAATCTTATTCGTCAAGAACGTTTTAAAGATTTGTCTGTGGTAGATCTTTTCTTCGATTGTTCCTGCCGTCATCAACCTATAGATCGTGATATCCTTCGTCTGACCTAAACGCCATGCTCTTTCTCGGGCTTGGATATCGGTGGAAGGGTTCCAGTCAGGATCGTAAATGATCACTCGATCAGCACCGGTGAGATTGACACCCAATCCACCAACTTTAGTTGTAAGCAAAAAGCAGTCAAAGTATTTGTTATTGTTGAATGAATCAACAAGGGTTTGTCTTTTGCCTATTGGAGTCGATCCGTCCATACGAAGGTAATGAAAGTAATCCTCTTCCACAATTTGATCATTCTGAACGTCAACTCTTCGCATGTTTGCCACGAATTTCTCCAAAATATCAAGCATTTGCTTTGTTTGACAGAAGACGAGAGTGCGATGGCCCTCCTTTTGCCAAAGTTGTAGGAGATTCTTTAACACTTGCATCTTTCCTGACTTCGTGGGGTTTCCGTAGTTATGACCCTTCTTTCGAAGCAACATCTCTCTATCTATGAGATCAGGATGGTTGCAAATCTTTCTCAACATATCGACACCCATGAGAACGTTTCTCTTGCCTTTGAGAATGGCATTAACGTCTTCACTACCTAAGAATTTCTCATAAAGATTCTGTTGGTATTGCGTGAGTTTCACAAATAGAACCATCTCATTCTTCTTTGGAAGGTCTTGGGCGACATCGACCTTTAATCGCCTAAGAAGATACGGCGAAATGAGATCACGAAGGATCACAGCACATTTGTAACCTGTCTGAACCTGGACATTCGAAGCATTTGCATAGCCACCCATGTTAATCGGAATGGCAAACTGCTGCTCAAAGACAGGTAATGTCCCTAGACGTCCAGGGAAAACAAAGTCAAACAATGACCAAAGTTCGGTCAAGTTATTCTGTATCGGGGTTCCCGACAAAATGATTCTGTTGTATGTCTTGACCCGTTTGCATGCAAGGGAGATTTCAGAATTTGGGTTACGAATCTTATGGCCTTCATCCAAGACGACGTACCCCCATTCCTTTGGAAGGATATGCTTTGAGTAAATTCGAAGTCCCACATATGTCGTAACCAAAACATGGCCCTTCTCCATCACTCTATCAACAATGGCTTTTGCATTGGCTTGGTTATTGGCTGACTTCATGCTTATCTGTGCATCAAAATCTGCGTCTGCGTCTTCTAGATGAGCTTCCAACTGCTGTTCCGTTTTGATTGAGCTCTTGCTCATTCCAGACCCAATACTATGGAGAATAACGCAGCGAAATGGTGGCCACCAGCGATGAAACTCATTCACCCACTGGTTCATGACAGTAGCAGGGACAACAAGCAATATAGGTTTATCAAGACGACCAGAGTATTGAAGTCCAGCCAAGAATGCAATCACCTGGATTGTCTTACCTAGACCCATCTCATCTCCAATGATTCCACCAGTCTTCTGAGAGTATAATTCCCAAAGCCATTGGACGCATGTCTTCTGGTAGTCAAACAACGAAGGATAGATATCACCTGGAAGCTTGAAATTGTCGTTAAGTACAGCATCAGGGATAGTAGGATGCGGTAAGCGCCATTCGGGAAGGTCTGAATCAACTTCATTCGAAGACTTCTCCTTCCGTAGTTGAGATCTTCGTTGAGTCCATTCTTGAAGACGCAGTTGATACACCAACTCATCACCATCGTCCACATTTCGCAGACTAAGAGACATCTCGACGGCTCCCGCATCTGTATCAGCATCTATAAGTTCTTCCACAATATCTTCATTAAGGTCTGCAAAGTCGTCGCCTGCGTTATCATCTGATTCACCATTATCCTCGTACTCAGACTCCAGATCAAGCGCCTTTCTTGTCCGTTTCTTCACGGGAATCTCGTCTTCATCTTCGCTTTTTATACTAAGACTTCTCTTTGGCACTTCTGTTGCACTTACAGCTTGCTCAGCATCACTGAATCCTGGAGCTCGTAAGTGCTGATGGGATCTAGAGTCTTGTTCTTCGGCTGCAAATGCCGTGGTATTTCCAAACGCAGTGATCTTACCCGTTCGTATAAGGAAATCACGCTCAGATTCTCCTGCCAATCTTTCATTTGACCCTGCCAAAGGCTCATCCTGAAGCAGTTCTCGATTGTCTCGAAGCCTTCCCTTTATATCATCCACATCTTGCTGTCTTGGAACAAGCTCATTTTCATTGAGCCATTGAATTTCATCTTTCAACAGTTTCCTTTGTGAAAGCTTGGTACGTGGATTATCCAAACGTTTCTGAAGAAGATTTATTCTCTTGACCGTCTTGTCCAAGTCTGAGGTTGCTTTTTGCAATCGCTTCTCGTCTAGCTCTGTTTCTTTATTGATCAAGGCCTGGTTTGCCTTCTTGGTAATGGACGTTTCCAAATCATCTTGATCAACGAGTTTCACGTCCAAATTCTCGTCCAAGCTATCCATGTCCCTTGCCTTGTGGTAGTCCAGAGACCCCGGATGATGAGCCCAAGAGGCGTATCTCTAGTGTGATATTCATGTGACTACAGTCATGTGCTGCGATGACAAAGGAACCGACTCCAGCAACACCAACGTGAATTAACTGTAAATAGGGTTTTAGAGTTTTTTAGGGTTTATTGGAATCAGTCAGGTACGGCAGCTACGCTTGTGTATTCTGTCACCCCAGACAGAGCCTTCTAAACGAGGCCAAGCTCCTAACATAGTGGAGCACAGCGCCAAAAGATATGGCCTGATTAGATTCATGTAAGACATTAAAAGTGTGGAATCTTGGGAATCTTATTGCGAATGTGAAAGATCGGTACTGGCTGTTTTGGGGTTCCTGGAAGAAGTATTTGAATATCTTACAAGATGTGTTTCTCCTTTTCGCAGCCATACCAAGAACATGACTATACGAAGTAGCACCATCAGACCAGCTGATATATAGGTATGACGAGTTCCAAATACTAGCAGAGCTGCTAACTTGAAGCATTAGACTTACCGGTTTCGACTACCCTTCACTTATCACAGGAACGTAAAGGAATCTTAAGTTGAGAATACCCATATTGGGAAGAATAAACTATTGCAAAGGCCAATTCCGTTTGAAAGTTTGACTTCCTCGAAAAGCACTCCACAAAATAGGCAAATTTCATATGGAACCGGCTGATATGCGGGACCCGCCCAATACTACAACGCAAATCATCATAAACAATAATAAGTTAGAGGCTATAAAAGCACATTAAATATTTCGAGGAGCATCTAGTCCTGCTTGGCCTGCAAGTCAGGTAACTGAAGAGCCTTGACGGTGATGTAAGAGTTCTGGTCATTGGCGATACCCGCGTAGGCATTGTACCATGCAACGAACGCCGTAATGACACCGAAAACACCGCCAGCCTTCTTGACAGCAGTAGAACCATTAAATTCAGCGATTGCTAGCAACAAGAAAGTAATACTCAAGAAGAAAAACAACAAGAAGAATGCCAAGGTGGATTTCAACGTGAGCACACACAAGAAGAACGTAAAGATAAACCAGCCAACCATAAATATGCCTAGAGCATAGTTAAGTGACGTTTCATCGTCTTCAAAAGCGGCAGTAATGCCAAAAGAGTCAATTTGGATGGCAGCCCAGGAGCACCAGAAGGCAGCGTACGAGGACAAAGCCACACCACCAAAGGTGTTGCCAACAGCAATTTCAAACATACCAGCAAGGAACTGGGCAGCACCACCGTAAAAGAAAGCCAAACCGACAACAATGTTAGGAATAGAAACACCATGGGCCTCACAGTTAATAAGAGACAAAACGAAGGTAGTCAAGGCGAAACCACACAAGCCCAAAGGAGCAGGGTTAGCCAAGTCATGTTTAGGAGGAGGACTCAAACCTGGATTAAGGGTACCGCCAAATGCAGAGACCAAGTCGGACTTGGTGTATTTTTCGTTGCCAAAGTGGATGTACTCATCATCATGTAAAATCCTGGTAACATTAGGATGGGATGTTTGGGCGGCACCGGAGTTGGCGTTATTGTTCTGTTCCACCACAAGAGTGTGGTCGCGAGGTTGCTGGGATTCCAAGTCAGACATTGAAGAAAACGACTTTGTTTGAGAAATTATGTAGACCACCGGTTGTTGGGGACCACTCATTTATATAACAGTAGGGCGTGTGGGGCAGAGCTGGCGGGTGCAAAAATAAGAACCAAAAAAAATGCTAGGACTTGCAGCCAAAGGGAAAAACGCAAGATGGGTGGGGTTTCCGAGGGTAGGTGGGATGAGTTCCGGGGGCAGGAAGGGAAGGTTTTGGGAAAGTGCAAAATAGTGAATAGATCAATAGCGATTGGGAAAAAAAAGGAGGGAAACTCCAACACTTTAAATACACATCACGTCCACACCACGAAATAGAAAACGGGTGCGTCATCAGCACATCGTACGATGACTTGTGGTTACATTTTAACCAGGTTGCAAAGAAATTGGTGGTGGTGAGATGATGAGCACTAAGTCGTGTGTAGACCTTGAAGAAGCCATTGACGCCGCGAAGAAAAGTTAGAGTTCCGAGGGCGCTGAGCGGTGGGAACGCCGGAATAAATGCCCATTGCCTTGCGGGTTGCGACTGCCACCGAAAAAAAAAACCTAAGAAATCCCACGCACCCACCCCCGGAACTCGAAACTCCGAAGCGCCAGGCCCAAGGCTTCTTTCCTTAATTTTTCACCTCTTCGGTGCTAGTGTTGTGGGGAATCTCCAGTGTCCCGGCACGAGGACCCTCCCGAGATAATACAAGAAAAAAAAAAAAGCTTTCCTGGGGTTACCACCACAAAAGATTAAATTCTCATCATGGGGGTCGCCTTACCCTCCAATTCCGTACTTGGCCAGAAAAAGCTCGGTGTATTCCGTTTCTCGGTGTCGCTGCCACTGGTTGCACCCTTGTTTTTTTAGCCAAGATGAACTTGTCATTTTTGTAACGTCGTTACGACAAGTCCTGAATGGCTGTAGTATTTCCTATCTTCGGTCATAGCTCTTCCTTTGGGTGTTTGGGCCCTTGGGGTTTCCCCAATCTTGAGGCTTTGGCACCTTTTTTTCTCATCCCCTTCACCACCATCTCACTTTCAGGCCCCACCAGGATTTCACCGCACCATAGTGTGGGGCTTGTCTACACATCTTGAACAATCAATAGACTTCACTATAGATTGCGGGGCCCCACAAAAAAAAGGCCCCACTAGCATTGTACCCATCTCCTTACATGGGTCTTGTCTTGCGGGTTAATGGCCTGTCTCTAAGTCTGCTTAGATCTCTTCTTCACCACTTTTGCAATCGCCCTGAGCACCGCGTACTGCTTAAAGTGTCTCTGGATACCAATCTCGCACAACCACAAGGGACACCAGAAACGCAAGAAATGCAAAAAGTATGCTCTGTACCCACGATAAATGTTAAAACCAACGTCTCTCTTTTTCGTGATTTGGCCTGCAACTTGGTTGGCATACTTTTCGGCACTGATACTGGTTTTCGGGTTTCTACTCATATCGGCTGAAGCCATGATACTTTCATAGATGCCTGGCACGTCGTACTTGGGGCTGAATAAAGTGGGGGTCGACAATGGGTCACAAATTGCAGTATTGACACCACCTGTGATGACACTATGCACTTTCACTCCAAATGGCTTCAATTCAGCTCTCAAGCCTAAAGCGTACTGGTCAATGGCTGACTTGGTAGCACAGTAGGCAGACACCCATGAAAGAGGAACTCTAGCAGCAACTGAACTGGTGAAAACAATAGTTCCCTTGGCATTGATAACCATATCACTAAAGTACTTCGTCACGTACATGTGACCCAACACATTCACGTCGAAAAGGAGACGCAACTTATCGTCATCATACTCAATAGCTGGTCCACCAAGGTTACTAATGCCCGCATTGTTATAAAGAATGTCCAAGCGACCACCAGTGATTTCCCTGACTTTTTCTGCAGCTGCCTCCACATCCTTGGGCTTAGTGATGTCCAAAGCCAAGGGAACGAGTCCAATCTCCTTCTGCAATGGCTTCATACCCCAAAGGTCCCTTTCAGGACTGACACCAATAATCGAGTATCCACGCTTGTGAAGCGCGAGAGCCATTTGGTAGCCAATGCCCGAGGAGGCACCTGTAATTAAAGCGTACTTTGTCATTGAAGAAATATACAGATGGTTTAGAAAGGTTGCCAGAAGCTAAGTGATATATCTATGTAAAGTTGGGTACCGGGCATGTGACTGAGCTGAGGGGACTAACTAAGGTTGCACAAAGCGCGAGACGTAATGTTGGGAGCGAGAAAGGTAAACCCTTTTTTCCACTGCACATGAAGCCAATTTGACGCCAAAACCGTTTCTTCAGGCTATGTTATCTCCGCTCAGATAGGAGATGATAAACTGTGATTTATTTAGAGAATGCGTACCTTGCTGAGGCAAAGGTACTCCTCAAAGGTGAAGTTACCCGGCTGGATATGGCAATTGCGCTACTGATTTTTCACTTTCCGACATGGATGCGCCTGACAGGCTTTCCAGATTTTGTGCCCTTGGAAGCTTAAAAGTGGCACGAGACAACATAAACAGTTGAGTTTTGAAGAATAAAGTAACCGCTTGGGTGGCATACATGAATGGAAATAGACTAGTATTCCAATTAAGGTTTGCTAGTTTTTAAATTCCTCGTTACCCGTCACCTACGCTTTTAAGCTTCATGCATGTATATGAAGCTTGTCAAAACATACATCAGCCGGCTACGTCATCAAAACATGTCAAGCAATAAACAAAAATAAAGTGGATGGACTTATTTCGGCTCCATTTGCTTTGTTCAGTTGCTCCACAAGTCATTTACCATTCGTTGCTGGAGATCTTAATATATGCACAGAAGCAGGGCCTTGCGCGAGTCATAACTTCCCAGTTAGGCTTGTTTGTAAACATTCTGAACCCTCACATTTCTCACCGCCATAAACATCACCCTCCCTCCATCAATTCTTTCTTTCCCCAGACTTCTTGAATCGTTGATCCATGACTTTTTTAAGGAGCCCTCGCCATAATAGGGCCGTGGACATGGCTGACATCTCCCAGTCGTTGGAGAATGTCTCTTTCCAGTCAAACATGATGGATGTTGATGCTTCCTATAGAACTCCTGTTAAGGAACCTTACAATAAGGAAAACATCACTCCCATCAACTCGCCTACCAAGCTGGTGCTTCATACTTCTCCATTGGGGAAGTCTCAGCCATTGACGCCTCAGGCTCATAATATAAAGCTTCAGAACGACATCAATAGGCTTCAGCCTCAGAACTCCTTCTTGGGACCTGATTTCCATTCAAAGGCCAATGCAGCAAAGACTAAGAGACTTACATCTGTCGCTCAGCTTTATTTCTTGGATTATTACTGTGACATGTTCGATTATGTGATTTCTAGACACGAGAGATCGAAGTTGGTCCAGGCCCGTTTGCAGAGTGACCAGAACTATGCTGCCAACCCAAAGAGAGCTCAACTTGAGTGGAAGAGCTATGTTGGCAGAGAGAGGGCGCTTCTACGTAAACGTAGAATCAAGCCAAAGCATAAGGATTTCGAAATGATCACCCAGGTCGGTCAAGGTGGTTACGGTCAGGTGTTTTGGCAAGAAAGAAGGATACCAGAGAGGTTTGCGCCTTGAAGATTTTGAATAAGAAGCTTTTGCTCAAGCTTGATGAGACCAGACACGTCTTGACTGAAAGAGATATCTTGACCAACACTAGGTCTGATTGGTTGGTGAAGTTGTTGTACGCCTTCCAGGACGCTGAAAAGGTCTTTTTGGCTATGGAATTCGTCCCTGGTGGAGACTTTAGAACCTTGCTCAACAACACTGGCTACCTCATTCCTCCACATGCCAGATTTTACATCGCTGAAATGTTCGCCTCGGTCAACTCCTTGCATGATCTTGGTTTCACCCATCGTGACTTAAAGCCAGAGAACTTCTTAATAGACTCAAAGGGTCATATCAAGTTGACTGATTTTGGTTTGGCTGCTGGTACTGTCTCAAATGACCGTATTGAATCTATGAGAGTGAAGTTGGCAAACTTACAGGATTTGGACCACTACGAGGTGCCTTCCAAACTCATGTACGAACGTCAAAAGATCTTCAAGCAGTCACAAGGTCATCACAACCTTGCTAATTCTATTGTCGGATCCCCCGATTATATGGCTCTTGAAGTTTTGGAGGGAAAGAACTACGATTTCACAATCGATTATTGGTCATTGGGATGCATGCTCTTCGAAGCACTTTGCGGTTACCCACCATTCAGTGGTAGTAAGCAAGATGAAACATACTATAACTTGAAGCATTGGAAGAGCGCATTGAGAAGACCTCAGACAAGAGATGGCCGTTTCGTGTTCTCTGATAGAACTTGGGCATTGATCACTAAATTGATCGCTTCTCCATCTAGCCGTATGCGCAACTTCAAGCAAGTTCAAGCACAGCCATACTTCAATGACATTCGTGATTGGGAACACTTGAGAACCAAGACGCCTCCCTTCACGCCACAGCTTGATAATGAAGAGGATGCTGGTTACTTTGACGACTTCGAGGATGAAGAGAGCATGGCAAAGTACAAGGACGTCTTTGCCCGTCAGGAACAGAACGAGTCGCTTCTAGATGGCTCCAAGGCTCCTGGTAGGAAGATCGCCAACAACTTCATCGGGTTCACTTTCAAGCACAAGCTGAACCCCAACAATCGTTTCCAAAACGGAGAGATCAACTTGCTTGCTGGCCCACAAGGTGGATTTGGTGGTAACCGTTTGGATCCCTTGGCTACATTATACTAGAAAGCTTTTTTTCTTTTCTCACGATTTTTATTTTTGGTGTGTTCTCTTGAGTTTATATTATCATTTCATGACCGGTTAATTTTGTTTATGTAGAGTCATTAGTTTGCCCAAATGAAGTCCTGGTTGACCTTCTCTTCAACAATAGGGCGTTGGATAGTGCTGTGAATCTTTTGACACTCGTCAGCTCCAAGTTCTATTACACTGAGAAGCTGTTCTTCTGAGAACGAGCCGTCACTTTCAACAAGTAACATTTTTTGAGCTTGTTTTTCTCGTATTTCAAAGCACACAACATGATGACTGTTGCTGTTTTGAAGCTGCTTCAACGATGGGTTTTCAATAATTTTACCATCGCTATCGATAGCAACAGAAATGGATGCAAAGGAGTTATAAAGAGCGACATTAGCATCGACCAAGGCAAAGTAGCTTGCATTTAGAGCAGCACTAAGCTCATTAGACGTGAAGGCACCGCCGGAAGCAGCAGTATCGCCAGATACCACAATAGAGCCTTCTCTATCGACGTCGGTTGTGAGAAACTGAACAACTATCTGTATAAGTTGACGAGGATAACGATAACGGATTATAGTCAGCTGTAGCACAGACCTAAGAAGGTCTTCAAGAACTTTTTCTCTGGTGGAGCTGACGCCTCGACTTGGGCGTACAACAATCTCCAAACTAGCCTGTGTGGGCAACTCCTGCCTTGGTTTTGCTTCAATGGGACCAGCTACCGAAACAAGCACAGTGGTATTACCGACAGTAAGCCTAGCTGAGCCATCCACCTCTGTTAGTTCCGATGTCTGTACCTTTATATCACTCATTGCTGGTACTCGTCCGTTTGAAGGACTTGTATGAGAACCAAGTAGTAGGAGCGCTACAGTCGATGAGATCACGTGCGCGAGATACCGTTGAAGATGCTTGAAGCTGAGACAACACTGACAGTTATTATGGCTGATGAACCTAATTATGAGGAGGATTTGTTAGCAGATCTTCAGAGCGGGTCTGATGAAGAGATTGATCAAGACGAGCAGGTTGAAAACTCCTCAGATCTTACCCAGGCAACTGCTCATACAGATAACTGGCAGGACCTACTACGAGCCTCCCACCTTCACAATGTGGGCTCTAAACTCGAGCAAATAGATGTCACCAACATTCAGGATCCTTCAAAATTGACTTCAGTACAAAGTGTCATCCCTCAAATCCGTGAACAGTTGAAAACTCATTCTGATGAACAAGAGACAGACTACATGGAGTTGCTAGCATCAGTAAATGATGAGAACCAAACAGAAGAATTCAAATTTCTTATGCAAATCAGTGAAATACCGACCTTGATTCATGATGAAATCTCCCTCATTCATCGATACGTGAAGACTCATTACAAACTAGTGTTTGCAGAATTAGAGTCGCTTGTGCCTAACCCAGTTGATTATTGCCGTGTGGTCCTACTAGTGGGACAAGAGTTGGCGGGCATTCGTGATAAGGAAAGTAAGTTACAAGAAGTTGTTTCCAGCTCCAAGGTCTTAGCTATCTCAATGGCTGCGCTCGAGAACTTTGCTCGGCTGCTCTATTTGAACGAGTCAGATATGGCTCACATAAGAAAAGCTTGCGAGATTTGTATTGAGCTCAATGGCTTCATCAAGGAACTCTCTGATTTCGTGTCTCAAAAACTCTCGAAGTTTGCTCCTAATGTCAATAATTTAATTGGTCCAGTCGTGACCTCTCAACTTTTAATTAGTGTCGGCTCCCTACGGCAACTTGCCCTCACCCCAGCGTGCAATTTACCTTCTTTTGGTGTCAAAGATCTTCTGTCACAGCTTAATACGCGATCGAATTTTGTTAGAGCCACTGGATACTTGTACTATAGTGAGCTTGTGATGGGCTTGCCTCCAGAGATAATTAAACAGGCGCTTAGAATCATTAGCGCTAAAATAATACTTGCAGCACGAATTGATTTGTCGGGGTCTAAACCAGACGGGAGTTTGGGCTCCTCATATCTTGAAGAGGTCAAGACTAAGATAGATAAGCTTCTTACACCCCCTGACAGAACTGCGCCTAAAGCATTGCCCGTTCCCAAGGAACAGAAGTCCAAGAAACGTGGTGGCCGTAGGTTCAGAAAAATGAAGGAGAGAACTCAAATGTCTGAAATCAGAAAAGCTCAGAACAAAATGGAGTTTGGTAGAGAGGAAACGGCAGTTGTCGATGCTTTCGGTGAAGAAGTCGGTCTTGGGCTTAGCAAACAAATCGATGGTGTCCGTGCCAACAGAAATACTGACGCACGTATGTCCAAAGCTATGGTTAGCAGGCTTAACCAGCAAAAAGATAGAGGAAATGACCTTGATACTCTAGTTTTCGCGAGGGACGATGGTGAAGAAAACAAGGATGGCCAAAGAAAACCCAAAACTAGCTCCTGGTTTTCTGGCATAAAGAGGAATAGATTTGCCGATCTAGATCTGGATGATGAAGATTCAAAAAGGCAAAAGACTGGCAACTAGCGCTGTACGGTAATGGCTGCGAAATGTGAAACCAAGTCTTTACAACTCCACCAATGTCTTAGATAGTGCACAATCTTTCACTCAACCTTCTACGTCAAACAAGAACTGGTCTTAAAAACAAAATCTACTCTATAATAGAATTTGAGTCAGCTACAACTTCATCAGGCTATTCAATTATCGTGGTGTACGGATGTGACTCGTCTTACATACTAAAAAATTTTCCATAAAGCCCTTAGTGAATGCTCCCTAGGAAACATCTCTTCGGAAATTTAATCCATAGGCCCCTACTCTATAGGCAATTCTGGATACCTAGACCATTGAATTTTGCAAAAATGGCTGAAGAAGATAAGTTGAACGCTTCCTCAGCTCAGGCTCAGGCCCCAGGCGCAGACGAAGCCACAAAAGAAAAGACTCCAAAGCAGTTGGAGAATGAGAGAAAGAAGGCCGAGAAGATGGCCAAGTTCTTAGCCAAGAAGAAGAAGCAGGAGGAAGATGCTAAGAACAAGAAACCTTCCGAAAAGAAGCCTAAGAAGGAGAAAAAGGTCGCTGAACCTGTTCCTGAATGGAAGGACGAGACGAAACCTGGTGAAAAGAAGATCTTGGCCTCTTTGGACGATGCTGCTTTCAAGGCTTACAACCCAAAGAACGTTGAGAGCTCTTGGTACTCATGGTGGGAAAAGCAGGGCTACTTCGAACCTGAACTTGATGAAGGTAAGATCAAGAAGGAAGGTCAGTTCACCATTCCAGCCCCACCTCCAAATGTTACTGGTGCTTTGCACATTGGACATGCTTTGACTATTGCCATTCAAGATACATTGATTAGATACAACAGAATGAAGGGAAAGACCACTTTGTTCTTGCCCGGTTTCGATCACGCTGGTATCTCCACTCAATCGGTGGTTGAGAAGCAGGTTTGGAAGAATGAAAAGAAGACCAGACATGACTATGGCCGTGAGAAGTTCGTTGAGAAGGTTTGGGAATGGAAGGAAGAGTACCATGCCAGAATCAAGGACCAGGTCAAGAGATTGGGTGCTTCGTATGACTGGTCTAGAGAGGCTTTCACTTTGAACCCAGACTTGTCAGCTGCCGTTGTCGAGGCTTTCGTGAGATTGCACGAGGATGGTACTATCTACCGTGCCTCCAGATTGGTCAATTGGTCCACCAAGTTGAACACGGCCATTTCCAACTTGGAGGTTGAGAACAAGAACATCAATGGTAGAACCTTGTTGTCTGTGCCAAACTACGATGAGAAGATCGAGTTCGGTGTCTTGACCTCTTACTCATACCCTGTGGTTGACTCTGATGAGAAGATCACCGTTGCCACAACCAGACCGGAAACCTTGTTTGGTGATACCGGTGTGGCAGTCCACCCTGAGGACCCTCGTTACAAGCATTTGCATGGTAAATTTGTTCAGCATCCTTTCTTGGACCGTAAGATTCCTATCGTCACTGATTCCGAAGCTGTGGACATGACCTTCGGTACTGGTGCTGTGAAGATTACCCCTGCTCACGACCAGAACGATTACAGCACTGGTAAGAGACAGAACCTTGAGTTCATCAACATCTTGACTGATGATGGTTACTTGAATGAAAACTGTGGTGAATGGAAGGGCATGAAGAGATTCGATGCTAGAGCTAAGGTCATTGAGGCATTGAAGAACAAGGGTTTGTACGTCGATCAGAAGGACAACGAGATGACCATCCCAACTTGTTCCAGATCTGGTGATGTTATTGAGCCATTGTTGAAGCCTCAATGGTGGGTTAAGCAAGATGATATGGCCAAGGAAGCCATCAAGGCAGTGAAGAACGGAGACATTACCATCACCCCACAATCTTCCGAGAAGGAGTACTTCCAATGGTTGGAGAACATTCAAGATTGGTGTATCTCCAGACAGTTGTGGTGGGGTCACAGATGCCCTGTGTACTTCATTAACATTGAAGGCCAAGAGGGTGACCGTTTGGACAACCACTACTGGGTTGCTGGTAGATCTTACGAAGAGGCTTTGGAAAAGGCTGGAAAGAGATTCCCCGACTCCAAGTTCACCTTGGAGCAGGATGAAGATGTCTTGGACACTTGGTTCTCTTCCGGTTTGTGGCCAATCTCCACTTTGGGATGGCCAAATCAGACTGATGATCTCAAACTCTTCGCTCCTATGTCCATGTTGGAGACGGGTTGGGATATTTTGTTCTTCTGGGTCTCCCGTATGATCTTGTTGGGCTTGAAGTTGACTGGCAAGGTTCCATTCAAGGAGGTTTTCTGCCACTCTTTGGTCAGAGACGCTCAGGGTAGAAAGATGTCTAAATCTTTGGGTAATGTCGTCGATCCATTGGATGTTATCAGTGGTATCTCCTTGGACGAATTGTACGAGAAGTTGAAGATTGGTAACTTGGATGCTAAAGAGATCGAGAAGGCCTCTGCCGGTCAAAAGCAATCTTATCCAAATGGTATTCCAGAGTGTGGTACCGATGCCTTGAGATTCGCTTTGTGTGCCTACACTACTGGTGGTAGAGATATCAACTTGGATATCTTGAGAGTCGAAGGTTACAGAAAGTTCTGTAACAAGATGTACCAGGCAACGAAGTTCGTCTTGGGTAGATTGGGTGACGACTACAAGCCTCCTTCAACTCAAGCCAAGACCGGCAACGAGTCTTTGGTCGAGAAATGGATTTTGCATAAATTGACTACTGCTACCAAGAGTTTCACTGAGCACATTGAGAAGCGTGAGTTCTCTGAAACCACCAGTGCGGTCTACAACTTCTGGTACGACTTGTGTGATGTTTACATTGAGAACTCCAAGCATTTGATTCAAGACGGTACCGAAGAGCAGAAGAAGTCAGCTCAGGACACTTTGTACACTTGTATCGACCAGGGTTTGAAGATGATCCACCCATTCATGCCTTTCATTACTGAGGAGATGTGGCAGAGATTGCCACGTAGAGCTGAGGACTCTACTCCATCGATCACCATTGCCAAGTTCCCAGAGTATGAGGCTTCTTTCGATGACAAGGAAGCTCACGATGCTTACGAATTGGTTTTGGCCATCACCAAGGGTGCTAGATCCTTGCTTTCTCAATACAACATCTTGAAGAATGGTCAAGTCTACGTTGAAACTTCAGACGAGAACGTGAGAAAGATTGCTAAGGACCAGGACCACTCTATCGTCTCCTTGATCAAGGGTGTCGAGAAGATTGAAGTTTTGGATGCTAACCAGCCTGTGCCAAGTGGATGTGCTTTGAACGGTGTCAATGCCACTACCAACGTGCACGTTTTGGTGAAGGGCCAAATCGACTTGGACGCTGAAATTGCCAAGGTGAACAAGAAGTTGAGTAACGTCAAGGAGTTGGACTCCAAGTTGAAGGACTCGATCAAGAAGTTTACCGACAAGACGAAACAGGAGGCCAAGGACGCTGCCTTCAAGAGACAAGAGAACTTCAAGGCTGAGATTGAGGGTTACGAGCAGACCATCTCTATCTTGGAGAAGTTGAAGCTTTAGAAGACGTACATAGATAAATCTAATGGGAAGAAATGAAGTAAATTCACGAGATGTTAAATTGGCTAAGCCAGCGGTTAGTGTAAACGAAGAAAGCGACAATTCCACTTTGATTGACGAATGTTATGATCGCCTGATGGCCGTTGCATTACGAGAAACGCATGGACGGTTTCACTCCACCTCAAAAAATTACAAAGAAAAACGTCAATGGAAGGATGCCACAGTGCACGAAATCGGCACCGAATCGTCAGTTGCAGTGGGGCTGTGGGAAACGCTATAGGGGCTCAGCAAACAGAGGTGAATATGATAATTGATTGACGCAGGCGGTTAGGAGGCATGGCAAGAGAAGGAATGCTGCGAACAAATGACAATGTCAATATGTGAGCAATTGACGCTGTGCAGCACGATTGGCACCGTGGTGAAAGTCAGCAAAGACCATCTAAAAGGAATCAATCGGATGGCTGAAAGAAAGGCTGTGACTTGAGCCATGTTGATGAAAATCGCTGGCTTTGTTGAACTTATAAACGAATGAATGGAGATTTATGAGACACCGGTTTTCTCTTGCTTTGACATTATCCATGATATAATACCGCACATAGAGCTGCAGCGCAGTGCACAATAGCCCGAGCCCAAGGGGTCACAAAAGCATCCTGAATGGTAAATCCTGGCCGTACTGGACCCGTACATTGACGTAATACCAGCCTGGTTTGTCGAAAGAACGGGCTCGTGTGGGGCACGACAGACGAATATAAATACCGGGGCAATCCCCTCCCTTTTCCCTTCTCTCCCCAGTACTTGTACTACTACTACAACTTTTTACTAAAACAACAACAAAAACAATGAGCGGTTTCAACGATCTTTTGAAGAAGGGTGAGGAGGCCATTGGCAGCAAGGACGGTAAGGGTCCTGACCTCAAGAACCTCCAGAAGGATGCCCAGCAGGCTTACGACACCTTCAACAAGACTGAGGGTTCTACCACTGACAAGGCCAAGGCTGCCTACTCTGAGTACTCCAGCAAGTCTGGTAAGGCTTCTGAGGAGGAGACTTCTGAGAAGAAGGAGTAAACTTGTATAGTATGTTAATGTATACAACTTTTACGGAATTTGTAAGTGCTGCGCACATGGGGGCAAGAGATTGATGGATATTTGGTTGGGTTTTCGGTTTTTCGGGATCTCAAACACCTCAATGGACTCAATTGCTGTTGTAGTTTTTAATTGTTTTAATTTGCTTCTTTTTTTGATGGTTCTTGATTTTTATTCATGTTTTCCATGTTTGTCGTAGTTTGAGAATATCTGTGGCTTCCTCACTGTACTGAAAATTCGCGTCGCGTTTTCTACATAAATTGTATTTTCTTATCAAGTTTTGCAAACCATGGATCACCTAGCAAAAGATTTCCTGGCCCTTGACTCCGCCCTAAGTTTACACTTTTCGTCAAGCATCACAACTCCCAAACTATTTCAAATATGCCAGAAAGCTTCATCTTTAGCGGGTAGGAGATTCACCAACGCGACGCTTGAGCTCATCCTAGGCGTGGATGATCTGCTCTTTAAGATCATTAGCTTCAAGGGCTCATACGATTATGGTATTACGGTAAACGTGTCGTTAGCCAGCTACGGCTCGCTACTATCGCAGAGGAGGATAGACTTTGAGAGGAAGTTGGCACAGTTGGAAGAGGTGGACCCTGTCAACCTAAAGGATGTTGCGGTGGTGCAATCGCCAGTCAAGTTATCAGGATACCGTTCGCCCAGTACTTCTCCAACAAAGATAACCAAGTTCAAGCAAATTGACGGTTTAAAGAATGACCGCTCAAAGTTTTCTTTTAAAGAAAAGATTGGTGCTGTTGAGAGTTCAAAGGCGAACGGGTTGTCCTTGCTCGAACGTATCAAACAAAAAGAACGTATGAACTCGAAACTTGATCCTGTTCAACAAAAAAGGACGATTATGACCAATACATCACTACAAAAATGCAACCTGTCTACGATATCGTTTACGAACTTTCGTCGTCTTCGTTCGGTAACGGCACTCGGGCGCCACAAAGCTTTACCCTTCAGAAAGTAATATCCATAATTAAAGACTCATCAGAATATGCCATATCTGAGAGTGAAATTCAAGACATAATTCAAGGCATCGAAAAGAAATTGGGTGCAGAAAGGCTACAACTTATAGAAAGAAGCCATAATAAGGTCATCAAGGTGTTTGGTCTTGATAGAGATGATGATCTACGGCTACTCGGAAAACGCATGTAATAAAAACGATAATTCTAACTATTTAAATATGAGTCTTCTTCTATAAAACGAGCTAGTGTTCTAAAATTCTCTGTCGCAAATGTCAGCAGCAGCAGAGTTCATGAAAAAGTGTTTCAACACAATTTCAACAAACCAAGTACCACCCAAGTCCAAAAGAATGCAGCCGGTCAACTTTGTTTTGAAGACAACATCCATAGGAACAAATTGCATGGCTTCGTTCAACTCAGGCATGAATTCGGTAGAGCCAGCCAAAGTCAAACCAGCAACACCCAAGAGACCGTACCACATACCCTTGTTATCCTTGATACTGTCCTTGAAGGGCAAACCAATGTAGTTGACAGCGAAAGTGGAAACCTGCTGGGCCAATTGAAGCAAGAACATACCTGTGTTCAACAAGGATGGCTCGAAGGTCTTTTCCAAATCAACCTTAGGTTCTCTTGGCTCCAAGGCGTAAATCTCTTGGGTGATGTAAATCAAGGTAGCAATGTGAATAGCGAATTGACCCAAAATAGAACCCATGATGTAGATGTTGAAAATACCGTCTTGAGGTCTCTCCTTACTCAACTTCTGGAGAGGCTTTCCACGGGAAATACTCAAGAAACAGACGGACAACAAAATACCAGAGATGGTGGATTGGGCATCACCGAACTTCATTCCAGACAAAAACAAAACGGACAAGGAGTATGCAGAAATCAAACAGTTCAAGGCCAAAATCTTGTACATTTGAATGGTAGAGACCAAAGCACAACGACCCTGGCGAATGATGTTGGTGACAGTAGAAACACTAGCCAACTTAGACGTAAATGGAGCAGCAACAGAAGCATCACCCAATTTCAAAGTAGGAACTTCATCGTCCTCTGGTTCCAAACCGCTCATAGAAGTAAGAAGGTTGTCAGCCATTTTGCTGGCAGCAACCTTTCCAGTCTCATCCTTAACAAATTCGATTGGTTGAGCATTGGATTGGTTGGCAAGAGCGACCTTCTGTCTAATCTCAGGAGTGATCTCAACACCTCTTTTTTCTAAAGTGGTGAGGTAGTGAGGGTTAAGAGAACCCGGTGGGTACAAGTGGGCAATGAGGGCAGGCACAGGTGGTGGTGGTCTGTTCCAGTTGGCCATGAGCTGAGCCTGCTTCTCGTAGATAGTCTTAGTAGCAGCAATCTTTCTGTTCTCTGCAATCTTTTTCATACCTTCTTCAGTACCGTTAAGCAAAGCGACACCAATATGAGCCTGCTTCAAAGCACCGACATCGTTAGTACCGTCACCACACATCAAGGTGCTGTAACCGGCATCTTTCAAAGTAGTCAAAATAAATTCTTTTTGAGCAGGAGAAACTCTCGCATATACCCAAGTACGCTTCAAGATATCCAAGATTTGAGGATGTTCAGTAAGGTGAGTCAAGGCATGGCCAGTAAGACAGATGTCATGCTTTCTAAACAATTCGAGATCAATAGCATCACCGCTCTTGAATGGGATGACCTTGGTTTCTTCAACATTTCTCCAAACTAACACTTCACCCTCAGAGACTTCGTGGTGCTCTTCTGGGAAATCTAAGATCAAAACTTCCTTCTCGACAATAGCCACCTCCTTAGCGACGTGACAAGCAGTCAAGGGGTTATCACCAGTGATCATAACAGAGCGATGGGAAGACTCATTCAACATGTGGATCGTTTCAATAGCATCAGGCTTCAATGGACAGTGGAAAACAATAAAACCAGCGAAATTCAACTTAGACTCAACATCGGTTCTCTTAACCTTAACAACGTTGACGCTAGTGTCCAACTCCTTGTAACCTAATGCCAAAACACGGGAACCAGCTCTAGTGAAAGACTTAAAGATATCTTCGTACTTCTCAGGAGCGTCAACCAACATGTGGCGGATAGTTTCAGGGGCACCCTTGACAGCGACGAAATTCTTACCTGGCAAAGTGTTGATAGAGGTGATAGCAGAAGATCTCTTCAAAGCAGAAGAAAACTGGAAACGGCGCAAAATCTTGATCTTCTCAGACTTACCCTTGGCGGTAGCTCTTTCGACAGAATCCTTCAATCCAACAGTCCAATTGGCAGCCTTCAAGGTAGCCTGCTCCATAGGGTCACCGACAACGTCACCATCATCTAACTTAACAAGAGCATGGGCGGATCCCAAAACCCAAGAGGTAGTCTGTGGAGCATCTTCACAAGTACGAAGCTTGTGAGTCTCATCTTTATCAAAACCAGCTAAACCTTCGAACACCAAGTCCTCAGCAGTCAAAGTACCAGTCTTATCGAAACAACAAACGTCAATTCTGCCTGCCAATGGGATACGGAAAGGTTCAGTACAGTAGATGAAATGCTTCTGCAAACTAGACAACGAAGTGTTAACAGCCATTGTCAATTCCATAGGCAACTCGGGTGGAACAACAGAGGTGATCACAATGATACAGTCCAAAATCAACTTCGACTGGATTCTTCCCATCTTACTTCCTTCAACCCAAACATACCAAGAAGCGGCGATGGCGAACACCAACAAAAACAAAATGAACATGAAAGCTTCCTTATTACCGACAGAGACTCTCTCACTTGAGAAAATCATCATTCTAACCAACGAACCCTGAGAAGTTTCGAAACCAGTCTTGCAAACATAAGCCAAAGCACCGGCATCAGGGGCCTCAGGAATGATGGATTTTTCTGGCTTTGTAACTTGCAAAGCCATAGTACCACCATGCAACAAACTGTTCTTGTCCAAACCTTCTGGCTGGAAGAACTCATCGCTTGGTCTCAATTTGATAGATTCCTTCAACAATGGGGTAGATTCACCAGACAACATGGCCTCGTTAACAATAGCAGAGCCATCAAGCAACAACAAGTCACATGGAATGGCACTGTCCTCGTTGGTTCTGGTGATCGATACAATATCACCTGGCAATAATTCGTCGGTCTGCAATTCAACCCACTCGGAGTTTCTGTAGGCGTAGATAGCATAAGGCTTGATTCCCATACTCTGGAACTCGTTCATGGTAGTTCTTCTTTGGAACACAGTGGTCATCTCGAAGGAGACCAACATGAACAAAGAGAACAAGGAGTAATACCACTGTTCATCCATCAACCACAATGCAACACTGAACAACTGGAAAACGAAGAATGGGGCAACAGCATGCTCCTTGAACAATTCCAAGAAGGTGGGCACAGGAATGTCAAACTTATTTTTACCAAAGTTACGCTTCAGCTTTTCCAAGTCACCTTGCAAACCCTTAGAGGTCTGGAAGTACTCAAGCTTTGGCAACTCATCAACCTTAAACTCAGGAGGAGAAAACTTACCTGTCTTCTCGTGGAACAAGTGGCGTCTTTTTTGATACAAAAAAGACACCTGTTTCTCACCGTCAGCGAACTGCTCCCTCTTGATGGGGCACATTTCACCAATACCAGCATTCACTATGGGGGTGATCTTGATGTGGCTTGCTTCCTCAATGGTCTTGACAGGAACATAGTTGAATCTAGCCTCAACATCAATGTTCCAGTGAGGCATAAGCCAGAACAAAGCATTCAAAGAGCAGATGGTGATCAAGTAGACGAAAGTCCACTCTGATCCACCAATGTACTCGTCATAGTGGTTGAGGTAAATCTGTGCAAAGATAGGATAGATAATAGCAAAGGGCCAAACGTAGGGCCTAGCAATGATCAGCTTTGGCACTAGAAGCTGTGCATCTTGGATAGTCGGGTTAAGAACGACGTCCGACATGATTAGCACTGACGTTTCACGTATCAAAGACTGAAGAGGATGGAAATTTCCAGCTGGGCGTGGATGTACACGGCGCCATCCAAATAGACCCGTACATCCCTAATTGAACTACGAGGTGGTCTCAGTATAGTGCTCGTACAGTCTCAGATAAGGTCTAAGTTGGACTTTCCATGGAAAATTACACAAAAGGCCATTTTAGTTTACAGGTATAAGCGTAGCTTAGGTCATGTCTATATTTTGTGGGCGTTTCTGGTTACTCTAAAGTGAGAATTCGCCATCACGCTTCTCGTGGACCGGATAATCCTCCGTAACAATTGCATCTATAAGCTCATGTGGAGTCACATCGAAAGCTGGATTCCACACTTGGATTCCGGGAGTGGCAATTCCAACTACGTTCTTCTCTCCAACAGTGCCATCTTTCTTCACAAGAGGGCCCTCCAAAGTCGTGAGCTCATGCGAAGGACGTTCTTCAATTACAATATCGTCACCTGTAGCAGTTTTATGGTCGACAGTAGTGTTTGGAGCTGCAACGATGAACTTTATTTTCTCGTCCTCTTGCGTAGAAATCAGGTTGAAGTAGTTGGCAATAGCAGCTAATTGGTATGTTCCAATTTTGTTCGCAGAATCACCATTCTTCACCACACGGTCGGCACCAACAATGATGAACTTCACTGGAGCAGACGATGATTTGATGCTTCTCTTCTTTGACAAGGAAGAAATGAGTGAGGTAACCATGTTATCACAAATTAAAGTAAATGGGATCTTCTCATAGTCGAGCTCATAAGTGGTCAATCTTGCACCCTGGTTGTATGGTCTAGTCTCTAATGGGTAGACTTGATCAAACCAAAAGTCATTTCCAGAGCTCTTACCTAACTGAGCATGAACTGATCTTATGATACCCAAAGCTGTTCCATGGCCAGAAGTAGCCAAAGAACCCGTGTTACAGACAGTAAGAATGGAGAAGGGGCCCTTAAAGTTCTGCTTCTTCAATGTCTCAGCAATGTACTTCACACCGTTATCACCAATTTTATAGTTGTTATCCAAGTCGCCCTCGTGTAGAGCGACTGAGTACTTCTTGACGACATCAAAAGCCGCCTCGTTGACAGTGTCAGTTTCTTTGAAACCGCTCCTGAGCAACTCCTTGAGCTCATTCAAAGCATTCGAAAGGTTGACGGCAGTAGGCCTTGAAGTCACCAAGTAGTCGATTCTTTCCACCAACTCAGCAATAGTACGACTCTTGTTGGCCTCAAGATTCCTCAAGATATCGACAGTGACAGCAAATGCTCCAACAATGGCAATTGCTGGTGCTCCTCTGACCTGCATTAGTTTGATGGCACTGAACGCATCATCTATAGATTCGATGTCAATATAGTGAGTTGAATAAGGGAGTAGAAGTTGATCCAAGATCTTTAAGGTATTCTGTTCTTTATCGAAGCGAATTGCTTCAAGCGTCTGTTGGCTCATCTTGTGCTATGCTATGTATTTCCCACGTGTAGGAGGAGGAAGATGTGGTGAGTTATCGATATTGGGTGCGAAAAGTATCCACACCTTTTACCCTCACTAAGTTAATATGCTGTTGGGAGACTTAGAATATAAGTCTCCTAATGCCATCAACCTCAAACTCCTGAGTTAAACTATTCCATCTGCAACCGAGAAGGCGTCTGCCTGTGATTGGGCAACGTCCTCCTTTCTCAATATCAATAGTGTCAGTGGATCCTTTGGCTGCAACTTCCTCCTTCTCTGGTTTCTCAGTCTTCTTATCATTCTCTTCGTCATCATCATCCTCGTCATCGTCTTCGTCGCTCTCTTCTTCATCGCTCGCTTCAACCCGCTTTTTCTTAACGTGCTTATGTGATTCTGTGAGGTAGTTGTAAATGCAAGTATAACAGAAGACATACCCTGTCTCAATGATGGCTGGGTTCAGAATTTCCTGCTTGCACAAGGGACAAGTGCTGCCCGATTTATAAATCTTTTTTGGCTTGGACTTGAAATGCTTGAAGTTGTTCAACGATGCGGGGGTAGGAATGCTGCCTTCAAGAGCGTTTCCTTGAGATTTTGCAACCTTCTGAGCGAAATCTGAGTTGTTCCACCACTCGAGGAATTTCAAGGTGAAGATTGCCAAGGGAAAGAAGGTACCTAATACAAACCTGACGGCCTTCCACGAAGGACTGGTGATGTATTTTGTGAGATTAATGAGTTTCTCCAAAGTCGATGGAGGAGCCACTCTGTTGGGGAGATGATCTTTTGGCACATCCAAAGTAGGTTCGTTCTTTTGGTAATCGTATTGACTCAATCTGGAGAAGTTTATCTTGAACAAAAATGTGAGCAACGATGCAGACTTGGAGTTTCCACTCAAGTATAGAAGTGTTGTAATCAAGTTACCTGCTCTCCACACACTCTGGATATAAGGGTATATTTCAACGAACTTTCGTTTAATCCAGATCTTACGTCTTTCTGACTCATCCGAAGCTTCTTTTTCGTTCAATTGTCCTGTGATATACTTCGAATAGAGCACCTCGTAGGTGTAGTTGCACTTTTCAGATAAGTATGAGACTCCAGTTATCTCGAAGATAGAAACCCACATCTGGTAGGTCGATAGCTTGCGTCTCTCCTCGATCATTGATGGAGCTAACTGGGTCAACCTGCCGCTATTATATTTGACATCAGACAAGGGCGTCTGACTAACTCTCTTCAAGCCATAAAAGTTTTCTGTGAACGAACCCTGCCAGTATTTGAAAAAGTACCATTCAATAAAAGTCCTCAAAGCCAAGTTGAGCTCATCAAAGTTATTGGTGACTTTAAGAAGATATCCAGGGTACCGCTGGGCGTAATGTACCAAGATGTAACGCAATGATGGCGATAGAAGCGACTCGAGCTGATTTGCCGAAATAAGCTCAAATAACGTCGGCGTCTCAGAGTCAAGCTGAGATGCATCAAGCGAAGAGTAATACTCCATTCTGATTATAAAATTAGTTCGCTGGTTGCTGGTTAGCTTAGAAGGAAAATGTATATGTTTCCCCACAGATCTTGCCGAGGTTGTATGTCGTGCGCACTTGAGGAACCCTCATGACATGATTCGCCTAGTCAACTCCATACTCATTTAACGAGACACCTCTTCAGTATGACCCACATTGAATCTCTTAAAGATATAGTAGTAAAACATGATATTAAACACAGAACTCTTGCGGTCTATGGTTTGGATGATTTGGTGAAACAGGCTGACCACTACACTGTACCCAGTGAGATAAGGGAGGAGGATGTGGGACCAATGCCTGACATCTTATTCGAGGATAATGATCCTAGCTTTTGTTCTGTCTTTTCAGATCAAATTAATCATTCGATGCAAACCCAAGCTACACAAGAGCCATCTTTCAATGCTAAGTTGTTATCGGAAGGCGCTATTCTAAGTAGTGAGTTCGAACAAGAATTGCCCGAGGCTATTCTTACAAGCGATCAGATACGAGAATAAAAATCTTCCATTATTGGCTATAAAAGTGAAATCAACAACGTTGCATCCATTACGACTAATTCGGATGACTAAAGCAAGCTGCTAGCAGGGCGAGGCCGGCTCAAGCGAGGATCATACCTGAACCCATACTTGACATATACTTCCCACAGACTCACGTCAAAGACACGGAAGTCACCAGCTTCTGGAATACCGGCTTCTTTTCCAGCAAATGACTCATTGTTTATGAGCTTGAACCAGTATTGAAGCTGTTTCGTGTGCGTGGATGGCGAAATGTCCCCTGGGGCCATGCCATACGGCCTCCAACCAAGTCTGTGCAAGAGAGATTCAGCCACAACGTTTTCCAATGGTAAGTATCCATAATAATAACCATAGAAGAGGACCATGGTCATTTCGTTGACGATTGGCGTGCTTTCCGGCGTCCTTTGGATCTCAAGAGATTCAATCTCCAGGGCGTATTTCTCAAAGTAATTGAGTGCTCTTATACGGCCCCATTGATTTTGAAGCTTGCTCAAGAATAAAGGTGCCTTGATACTCTGCACCTCTGCGGATGGATATAGACCTGCAAACTGGTAAGGCTTGTCAAACGGGCTCGAAGTTAATGGCTCATACTGAGTTTGTTTCTTCAAAAGTTTGGAAGAATTGTCAGCGTGATTGCTAGCAGCGAAGCTGGCCACCAAGTCTTGAATACCGCTTGGTGCTCGTAATAGATTCACATCTCCAAAAGTGTCCAATTCAACAGGCAGTAAGCCTGCGTTCTTCAATACTTCAAGGTAAGCACTATACTCATCGTTCTTTGTTAGGAGCGATAACAACTCAGCAGATGCGTTACTCTCATCATGACCGGGAGCACTCGTTGGCTTGCTTTGAGTTGCTTCAACTTTAGGTTTCAGATTTCCAGAAACAGCTTCAACTTCGGTCTTCTCGGGGCTGGCTTGCTTTGAAGAACTAGGGCTCTCGGACGATTTAGAAGCGCCAGCTGCAGCTAATGACCATTTCAAAGCACCAACCGGTTTAGAAGGGGTCGAAGCGGGTTTGAGGGTAGTGATAAACGCTGGACTGGAAGATTCATTATTCTCGTTCTTGCCCGCTTGGGAAATATGCTTGGATTTGGGTGTTGACAGGGATTTTTCTGCTTTCGAAGTATCCAGCGATTGTTGAGATGTCAATGGTGTGCTTTCAGGAGCGGGAGATGCCGACGAAGTTGATTTTCGCTTTACACTGCTTAGTATTGACAGGTCTGCGTTCCCTATCGTTTCACTCTCGTTGCTGTCATGGCCGTTCGATAGGCTCAAGTCGAACGACTCTTCAACTGTACCGTTGACATTAATGTTGTTCTCGTGGTTCTCTCTGGCTTCCTTATAGAGTTCATCGTAAACTGTCTCATCATCCATGAAATCTGGCTCCTGGTTCGATTCCACATAAAAGTTCAAGTCATCTTGAATAGCTAAGATCAGTTCGGCCGCTATCTTTCCGGAAGTGAGGAACCCTAGAAGACCTTCGATCTTTTCAAGATGAAATTCGTTCTTTGACTTGAAGCCTTCAAGTTCCAGCTTTCTTTCTTCGATGGCCAGCAGATTGTTCTTCCTGACCTTTTTTTGTGAGAGCTTCTCATATTCCTCATCTAGCTTCTCATTCTGATCATTAAGCTCCTCCTCAACTTCTCTGAGGAACTTTGCCGCCTCCCTTCCCTCTGGAGTTAGCTCCTGTTCTGCATTGTCTAGGGCGGCAAGCATGATGGACTGGTTGGAATAGGATTTCATTTTGGAGTTCTTCTCGACTTCCTTATAGCACTCCATTGCTTCTTCTACAAGACGACGATGATCTTGTAGCTTTTGAGGAGCAATCGTTGCTTCTAGAGAGTCGTTACCTTGCCATGTCTTGATTTGATCTCGAAACTTTTGAAGCTTCTTTATTTCCTTCTTCAAGTCCGCTTCTAGCTTTTCTCGTTGGGAGTCGTTATTGGATGACTCATGTCGCTGGAAGTAATAGTTGAAGAGATCTAGTCCTTCATGGATCTTTTTGAAGACTGTTTCAACCTCCCTGGTATGTGTTAGTACTCTGAGACGACTGCCATACACTTTGCAACAATTGGTTTCACTCCAAGATGCTCAAGGGTCGAAAATTAATGGGAACATACTTTTGTAGCTTTCTACTTGACATTTTTGAAAGCGATAAATAGCCGGTTGAACGAGGTCCTCAAGTTTGCTTCTTTAAACCTATGTCCTGTGTTGCAAAGATTTTTTCTCTATTCGAAGGCATTAAAGGCCCTTAGTGAGACAAACGATTAGGAAAGCACGTGACCGGCGATGAAAGCTGATAAAAGGGAAGGTATAATCAGTCGAAAGATCATCAAAATCTCCAAAAACATTCTAACACTTATGGTGCTTCTACAAATATACTTTTGGTTGAAGTCACCCAAAGCTCATGTGGTTTCTGCTTGGCTTTAATGTCAGAAGTCGCTAATATTTTGTGGGGAATATGTACGTAATCTTTCCTGCACCGTCATTGGTGTGCCAGAATGGTTGTGTTGGAATACATGCTCTATATGCAGGCATGATGATATCCTGTTGCCCAGATTCCTATAGTTGCTATGATGATGACCCTCTTACTTGCTTGCCATCCAATGTCTTCACTATATAAGGATGGCATCTCCCATCCTTCTTTCCTTAACTAGTTATCTCAATACACTACGAACCACTCTTTACTATAAACCCAGCTATGTCCGTTACATAGTCTTTCTTACCTACAGTCGTGCACCCTTCATCTAACATCTTTATAAAGATGGTAGTTAGCTTCGGCGCCATCAAGAGTTGATCAACTTTGAAGGGTCTTCAGACTACCATGACGTCTTCTGTGTACAATCGTCGTAAGGAAGCAAGAGTCCTCAGACTATTGAACCATTCTACCGAAGAACGAAGAAGATCAAGACTATCATAACTAATGAACCCAATTGACCATACTCGGATAAGAATAGATTGGGAAAGCAATGGTCTACTAACATGCTCGTTGACCAACAGTTGGACCCTCAGCAAACAGTGGCTGAGAACTTGAACACTGAACAACATATCAAACATAAGCTATTGACTATTGACTATACGGTTTGTCTACTACAGAGAAGAGTTCAGGCTTACGAAATTCAGGTGTTCATCAGTGACGGACTGGAAACTTATGACTACAGCAGAACAACTAAATAATACGTTCCAAACAGACTAGCGTGCTTAGCTGGGAATAAACAACAATGGGCCCTGACATCAAGAACAACATATGAATCTACGAGACTACAAATCTTTTTTAAAGTCAGGAAGTCTCAAACAAAGCACGCTAGACGTAAGGCTCAAGGCAAACTCCATGCATACATAACAGAGATTAGACAGAGAGGAACCACAATAACTCAGTGGTACCCACAAACACAAGAGCAAACGGGATAAGTTCCCTGATAATAGGGAAGGCATCTATCTTGGAAAACACAATAGAACAACAGTCTTTGTGTAAGGAATCTTTCACTTCCCGGGAGCTCTTGTGAGGCGAGAACTTTTATAACTGTCATCTCTGCATTGCAGGTGGAAGAGCCCTATACCATTCAGCGGTTGGAGTCCTTCGACTATGCATCATCGACTATGCATCATTAACCCTAAACCTAAAGGTCAAGAAGGAGAGACGTTGACAAAGCAACGCCCTTCTAAGAAGTCGAGGACATGGACACAAATTTGACGAACAATCTAATTGTGATAGAAAATTAAAGAAGCAAAACTCATTTTTCTACACATTTGCACAAACTCAGCCTACACATCGATTGGTTATTACTGAGTCAATGCAACTACTCCAGCCATCATTACAGAAGGTAGAGTATAGATGTTTCCAATGTCTTTATCGGTGTCTAGCACTTCCACATACAAGGACTACTATGACATTTACCGGGAAAGTCCAAGGCCAAAGGGTACCAAGAGTTTAAATACATCCTAAGAAATCTGCTTTACATCTATCTTAATTACAAAGCAGTTGGCCGATTTCCGAATAGTCTACAATAATAATGCAGACTCGAGGTCCATACCATCTACGCTGTACTACAAGACTGGTATCATTTCCAAGATGACAAATCTCCAATTTCCCCGTCTTTCCGCATTTCTTCCAGCCTAAGAGATAATACTCCCAGTCTTATGCAACTCAAAGTGCCATGCTTATTAACTTTTACCTGTGTAACCTGTGCATTGTTCTGGACGACTATCGCCAGTAAAGCTCACTAACATGGACACTGTTATTAGAAAGACTTGGAGAAGCAAGATACACTTGCTGGGATACGAGGAACGCACATGGCCCAACGCGTCCAAGAATGAGATCATCAAATCGTTAATTGGGCCACAGATGCTACATTCTCCTCAGGAAACTCAACAATCAATGAACAGAGCTATGTTACTGAGTCACCGTTGCAATTCTACCACAATACTGGCATTTCGAAGCGTCATGAGTGTGAAGCTGTTTTTTTTCACCTCACAACCCCAACTGGGTTCATGGCTAAACTTAGGGCCGGAATATTTGATCATATATCGACGCATCGTCTCGTATGAATGAACAAGAGTATACTTATGCCAAGCAACGAGACTAAACAGCTCTGAAGCGCCATCCAGTTCTGGAGCAAGAACATCATTGAAATAACATCATTGAAATGTGAGCTAGAAGTTGAGGTTTCCACAAGCAGCTTGGACAGAAACCCCACTTGATGCCAAAGGGGGATCGCTGCATTTTCGACATCCATGAGACACGAGCTCACTGAAGGTTAAAGCGACAAGGGTAAAGAAATTACATTATCATTGACCGGCAAATGTACCACGATACAGGTAGATAATGACTGGCACTTCGTTATTCTCATTAGAAACCAGGAATGTATGGTAAGGTGACCTTACTTTGGTACCTCAGACCATAATTGGCGCTCCATTATGTCTCATTATTGACAAACCAACCCTCGCTCTAACTCGCCAACATCATAAGAAAAGCGAAGAAAGAAAATCCGCTTAAGCTCGTGTTTCCTATCCAGAAAGAGCGTACTCTAATAAGCGCCGCTGGACTATATGGCTACCAGGTCAGGTACTCCTCAATCATTCTCGCTCGATAGAAGAGAGTCTACAATAGAGACCCACTATCGTTAAAAGGTAAGCCATTTATTCGTTATCTTAATAATTGACTTGCGAAAGATTTGAAAGCAAAATATGACCAAAGGAGAACAGGTCTCTCCGTCGATCGTCCCTTTAGATAATAGGTGGATTATTATTGACACTTAAAGCCCGTCAGTAATAAGTATATGAAGCTAAGCAAAGCACATTATACCAGGTTCCACCACTAACCACATCTTGGAGATGTGTTAGAATGCTACTAACAGCGAAACAGCGAACGCAGAAACTGCGTCAAGTGGAGTCAACATTTTGACTCTTTACAGTCCAGTTCCAGTTGACAGAATCACCAACGCCTACGCACAATTCTAGGAAGACGTTCTTAGAGTCCTAAGCAAGCCATCCCACTGACTTCGTCCAGAATTTTTTTGACCTCCTTACCCCGGAAAGTTAAGGAGGATGTTTCTCTGGCGGCTGGTATTAAATCTTCCTCTGACAGGGTGGAATGGATACCAGGGAAGTCACAATGCAAAAAGACATTGAAGTAGTGAGAGTGGGGACCTCCATGAATCTTGGCCGGTTTAGGAGAGTACAAGCCTAGAGGGCAGGCTCGAGAGACGAAGTCAACACAGCTCCGAGTACTGTCCCGGCTAGCAGGACAGCGTATGCATCGTCGGTGAGTTCAGAACGGTTTTAGACAAGAAGACTACTATTCAAAGCGCATGGTGCCAAATTGGCGAAAGGGGGAATTCATGTGTTGTTCTCACTTTCAGATCTATATGAGGGAGATACCTCCCCGAAGGTCGCCAATTTACCATTGATTTCCATGCAGCTATTTAAGTCAACCCTAATAAGAGGAACCAAAACAACATAACAAGAATATCACTACTAATCAGAACCAAAGAAGGATTGCACACTTGAAGTGATGATCATAGGAAAGGAAAGCATGTTAAGAACGGGTTTAAGTTCACCAAAAGACTTCAAACACATCCGCAATATCTAATAGGTTGAACTGGAGAGTTAGGGAGTCACCAAAGTTCCCCCAGTTATACTTCGAGCATGAAACCTAACGGATAGCAGGACAAGCACACTCGCCATAGAAAGAAAAAGGGGATAGTGAGAGCAGGCACAACAGTCAATCAGGTTCTCAACCAAGGAACTCAACAGCCAGCAATACAGTTCGAAACAGCTAAATTAAACGTTGGTCCTTAACAACTAACATGGATGCTTAAACAAAACGATGTCGAACTTTGAACTGATAAAGTTAGCTGGACCTGATTTCACTAATCCCAAAGGAACTAAACCACGAAACCTTGAACAGAGACTTCCCCTAATGACACACTAAATGGACTACGCATGCAACCTTGGGCTGATCAAATAGGCTTTACTCCCATAAGAAGGAGACCTGTCTTAAAGAGTGGATTACTAGTGAACAAGGCCAGTCGCGTTGAAGACACAACATAGAAATGTACTCAGAGATTATTTGTTAAAGGCGGCTATGACGGAACATGAGCAAGTTGCGAGACAAGAAGTCAGGAAGAAAACAGCAGGTTACCTGGGACAATTGCAAATATAGAAGGACGGGTCCTACGGAAGATTTCATCAAAGAACTATCTGAAGAAGCCAGATACTTGTTAACCTAGCTACATCTCTTGCGCAACAAAGATAAAGGGAATTCACCCTACCGCCGAGCTACAATAAATCCGCGACAACCTTGGACAAAGCAGAGAAGATAAAATAAATACTCTGCTGTGGTACTACAACGAGAGATAACAACCAGTTTGTCATGAGGTGTCTCTACCCAGATGTAATGTCTTGAGCACCATGAGCGTCCCGACCATACGGTTGCAACACTCACAAACATGTCTAGGTTCTCGTTGATGTGCCTGTGGGATATAGAGTAACAAACTCTATCCCAGTGGAAAAGCGAAAGTAAGAGGACAACCGGTCCCAAGAGGACAGACGGTTCCAAGAGGAAAGAAGTCAATTTTCGAACGAACGATCAATATGTGACTTAAATAATCGTCGAAGAATCAAAGGAATCAGAACTGTCATTCATCATCAGACAGTTACGCCCTTCACGAAGCTTTGGGCTCAAAATTCAGTGTCATGGACAATCATTTAAGTGGTCCTTCGAATGTCCCAAATCCTTAACAACAACTATACGAACATTTACAGACTACTTTTGATAAGGACGCTCCACTGATACAGGCCATATCTACCCGAACTCAAATGAATCTTAGGCCACAGGCTAAGAACGGGTGTTGGAATACATGCTCTATATGCAGGCATGATGATATCCTGTTGCCCAGATTCCTATAGTTGCTATGATGATGACCCTCTTACTTGCTTGCCATCCAATGTCTTCACTATATAAGGATGGCATCTCCCATCCTTCTTTCCTTAACTAGTTATCTCAATACACTACGAACCACTCTTTACTATAAACCCAGCTATGTCCGTTACATAGTCTTTCTTACCTACAGTCGTGCACCCTTCATCTAACAGGTTGCAAGTGGTACACGGGAAAATGTTAATGTATGAAAGGTGGATGGAAGGGAAGTCAAGGATGAATTAAAGGAAAATGTAAGAACCAGAGAGGATAGAGGACTGTAGTAACTCAAAAATTCACATACTTATAAATATTAATTTTGTTATACATGATCTTAATGGATTAGCTAGCTGGCTATCTAAAACATGAAGCTTACAACTCGTCGTGCTCGAAGTCGTCGTCAGAGTCGTCACCAAACTGAGCATCTTCTTCGTCAGCTGGGTTCTCGTAGAGCTTGGCAGAGATCTTCTGGGTGATCTCAACCAACTTCTGCTTGGCCTCCTCAAACTCTTCGGATGTAGCAGTCTCGTAGTTCTCGTCAAGAAACTCGGAAGCCTCGCTGACAGCGTCAGACAAAGCCTCCTTGTCATTGTCATCCAACTTGGAGACGTACTCGTCGTTGTCGGCGAGCTTCTGCTTCATGTTGTGGACCAAGTTCTCAAGGGAGTTTCTAGATTCAATCTTGGCCTTGATTTCCTGATCCTGGGCGGCGTACTTCTCAGCCTCCTCAACCATTCTGTCAATTTCTTCCTTGGACAATCTACCCTTCTCGTTGGTGATGGTGATAGACTTCTTCTTACCGGTACCCTTGTCGACAGCGTCAACCTTCAAGATACCATTGGCGTCCAAAGCGAAAGTGACCTCAATTTGAGGAACACCTCTTGGTGCTGGTGGAATACCAGTCAACTCAAACTTACCCAACAAGTTGTTGTCCTTGACCATAGCTCTCTCACCTTCGTAGACAGAGATCATGACGGTTGGCTGGTTGTCAGCAGCGGTAGAGAAGATCTGGGACTTCTTGGTTGGGATAGCGGTGTTTCTGTTGATCAAAGTGGTCATGACACCACCAGTGGTCTCAATACCCAAGGTCAATGGGTTGACATCCAACAAAACAATGTCATCGACACCCTCTTCACCAGAAAGAACACCAGCCTGGACGGCAGCACCGTAAGCAACAGCCTCATCAGGGTTAATACTCTTAGAAGCCTTCTTACCGTCGAAGAATTTCTCAATCAATTCCTGGATCTTGGGGATTCTGGTAGAACCACCAACAAGAACAATGTCATCGACATCAGACTTCTTGACACCAGCATCCTTCAAAACGCTCTCCACTGGCTTCAAGGTCTTCTTGAAAGAGGCAATGTTCAACTCCTCGAACTTAGCTCTAGAGATGGTCTCGGAGAAGTCGATACCATCAACGAAGGAGTCGATTTCGATTCTAGCACTCATCTGAGCAGATAAGGTTCTCTTAGCCTTCTCGGCCTCTCTCTTCAACTTGGAGATGGCCTTCTGGTTAGTGGCAATGCTGACATCGTGCTTCTTCTCAAACAACTTGGTCAAGTGCTTGACAACCTGGAAGTCGAAATCTTCACCACCCAAGTGAGTGTCACCAGCAGTAGCCAAAACCTCGAAAACACCGCCCTCAATAGACAACAAGGAGACATCGAAAGTACCTCCACCCAAGTCGTAGACAATGATTTGCTTCTCGCCATCAGTCTTGTCCAAACCGTAAGCAATAGCAGCGGCGGTTGGCTCGTTGACAATTCTCAAAACGTTCAAACCAGCGATAGTACCAGCATTCTTGGTAGCCTGTCTCTGGGCGTCGTTAAAGTAAGCTGGGACAGTGACAACGGCGTGAGTAACCTTCTTGCCCAAGTACTCCTCGGCAATAGACTTCATCTTGGTCAAAATCATACCGGAGATCTCCTCTGGAGAAAAGGACTTTTGCTCGCCGCCGTAGGAAACCTCGACAACTGGCATGTCACCCTTCTTACCAATCTTGAAAGGCAAGTGCTTGATTTCCTTCTGAACAACCTTATCCTTGTACTTCAAACCAATAAGTCTCTTGATGTCAAAGATGGTGTTCTTCACGTTGGATGGAGCCTGGTTCTTAGCCGCGTCACCAATCAATCTTTCTTCTTCAGTGAAGGCAACGTAAGAAGGAGTAATTCTGTTACCTTGGTCGTTGGCCAAGATCTCAACCTTACCGTTCTTCATCACACCAACACACGAGTAAGTGGTACCCAAATCAATACCAATGACAGTTCCGTAACTCTCTTCCTTGTCGTCGTCAGCCGCCAAAGCGACACCAGAGTTGGAGGTGAAAAATGGCATCACCACCAACAACATGGCGTAAAAGAGCGTAAGCCCCGAAAGCCAGAATTTGCTGCTATGATTCTTAAACATATCGAGCAGCAGTGACAAGTGACTATATGTGGTTGGTCAAAAAGCCGGGGGAATATGAACAAGTTTTATATTAACGGCGGGTCGCGACGTGGAAAGTGAAAGAAGCTCGACGTGTATAGAACCGCCGTACCGCGTGCACTCCCAGACCTATGGTTGACGTGGCACCAGTTGGAGTGCCCTACTAACAGTAAGAGGAAGAGGACAGCTTGTACAAAATATGGTGAGGTGGCGGTGGCAAAAATCATAAAGTATAACAATCATAAAGGAAAGTTTACCTTCGTTTGCTTCTACGTGGCACCCTTCCTTTATGGTATTGTGTCACTTTTGGTGACATGGACTCTGGGCTTTCCTGGCCATTTGCAACCGCGCTAAACGCAATACTGACAGACATTCAGAGGAGGGGAGGAGTGTGACGGTTAATGCCAAAGCGGAAAGAGCTTCATGTTACTGTTTCGTGTTTGGGGAGGGCAAGTGGTGTGTTGTTTGGGCATTTTGGTCTGTTTGCATAACTTTCTTAGGAGGCTGCCTTTTCGCTTAAACGTGATTTGTCGAGGCTTTGTTGGAAGTAAGAAATGTCTTGGACAGTTTGCAGCCAAAGTGGGGTTCGCCAGTGGACGAAAAAAAAAAAAAAAATGGCTGCAAAATGCGTCGACGTTTTGCGAGTGAAAAAATGCCACACACAGACAACACACGACTATGCTGGCTACGATTGCCTTACTAGAGTGAGTGTGTAGGTTTTGTCGGCTCACTGGGTGCACCTTGTAGCGGAGCTTTTGTGTTTTTTTTTTTTTTTGTTTGTATGTTTTCTTGTATGGTGCTGCCACCTCATGCATTTGCTAAGAAGTTAGTCTAATGTGATGTCTAGGCGGAGAAAAGGGCTAGACGGGGAGAAGGTTTTCAGTGCTTTTAAGTGCCGTTGCGGTACAATTCTTCAATTCTTTTGTATCATTCCTCCATTTCTGAGTGAGCTGGATGATAATAGTGTACATTGTTCCTCGGCCCAACACACATGGCATACCATATGAGGGCATGAGCTAGAGTAATACAATAGAAGGTTCAAAGAACAGTCTTTTCTCATTTCATGTAGAGATGGCTTCTCTTAGTATATGAGGACTTGCTGAGTTTTCAATGGCTACTCTGTTGGTTGAATGTCCTCAATCATGAATCCAGATAGTAGTCAGTCAAGCCCAGCTTTTGAATCCTCATGTTTGAAGTTGATATTGCAGATGAAAGCCTTCTGCTTTTATCACCTTCAATGAGAACCACCACATCATAGGCGCCTACTGTTTGGTTCACGTGGTACCAGGCACCACACATCCACAGTTAAGCCAGCTCTACCCAACTCTGCCCTACTAATACGGATACACTTCGTAGGTCACTCTCCCTTCGTGTTCTTACATCAATCTTCCATGAAGTCTGCCCGCCTCTTACTAACCAACCCAAACTACTACGACTGGAAGTACCAGAATTACCCTTTTAGGAGGGGCTTGAACAGGGTTCAATCTGTTCTGGTGCCTGGTCCCTTCCGTCACCCCTTTCTTCATAAACCAATCCCTTTCCGAATACTTGCTTGCCCAGAATCACTTCACGGAATGTCTCCCTTGGTTTTTCCTCCCTTGACCTTATAAAGCCATCATTCTCTAACCCAACACTCCAAGGCTTTACACTTAGACACCTGCATACCACCCGATATCCCACTTCACGTCAACGGCCATATCCCCCATCTTCCTCCTACAGTAAGACCCGTGCCTCCTACGTTGTGCGACCTCCCTCTATCGTTGTGAAACTGAGTCCGGCAATTTAACATCTAGTGTACCCCTTGCTTTGGAAGATCTATATTTGGGACAGGCTTCTTTTTAAGAAAACAAGCTTATCATCTCTCTATTTAGCAGGTCAAAGATATAAATTAACTTTGCTGCACACAGGCACCCTTGCTTGAGACTCAGATTATTACTGTCCCCCACCTCCTTTTGACTTGCCCATCTTCCCCCACTGATTAAAACCCATACGCAATGGCTCCATTTGAAACAGAGGAGTTGGAGCAGTTGCAGAAGGAAATCATTGCTAAGAATCCAACCGATGTCTTGCAGTTTTGTGCCAATTACTTCAATTCGAAGTTAGCTTTACAGAGAAACCACTTATGGCAAGTTGAGGCCAAGGCAAAAGCTGCTGGAATTGATGTTTTTCCTCAACTCGAGGGCGGTGCCATCGACTCCAATGGACAAGGAACCATTCCTTGTGCCCGTCAGCCTTCTTTTAAGTCGCCATTTGGTGACAATGACCCTCATTCCGATCACACCAATCGTAGTGATGACCCACACGGACATGAAAAGGAAGACAGTGCCGGTCTTTTCAAAGGTTTTGGCGCAGGCAAGAAGCCTCAAAATGCTCCAGCATCTGAACTCGATCCTAACGATCCTTCCACTCCCCTGGATGCTGCTCCTAAACCTGCCAACAAGCTTCCTTTAGCGTTTAACGCCAACAGAAGAACCTCCGTCTCAGCTGAGGCTATGAATCCAGACAAGTTCAAGTCTGACTCATGGAAGCCACCAGTCAATGACCTTACTGAGGAACAGAGACTGGAATTGGCTAAGACATTATCCCTGAACTTTTTGTTCCAGCAATTGGATAAGAAGGCAAAGGCAACTGTGGTTGCAGCTTTGCAAAAGAAGCAGTATGGTCAAGGTACCGAAATTATTACACAAGGTGATGTTGGTGACTTTTTCTACATAATCGAGTCTGGTACTGTCGATTTCTATGTTAACGGCGCCAGAGTCAACACTTCCAGCGACGGCTCTTCCTTCGGTGAGCTCGCTCTCATGTACAATTCTCCTAGAGCTGCTACAGCTACCGCCGCTTCAGATGTGACATGTTGGGCTTTGGACAGAGCAACCTTCCGTCGTATCTTGTTGGAGGGTACATTCAACAGAAGAATCATGTACGAAGACTTCTTGAAGGACGTTACCGTCTTGTCAGGCTTGACGCATCAAGAAAGATCAAAGCTTGCTGATGCCTTGAGTACAGAGATGTTCCACGCTGGTGACAACATTGTCACTGAAGGAGAGACTGGAGACAAGTTCTACCTTATCGAGAGTGGAACTTGTGAAATCTCCAAGCAAAGCGAAGGTGTCATTGGCACTATTGGCAAGGGCAATTATTTTGGTGAGGTTGCCTTGTTGAATGACTTACCCAGACAAGCCACTGTCAAGGCTTTGGACAATGTCATCGTTGCTACCTTGGACAAGTCCGGCTTCACCCGTTTGCTAGGACCAGCCCTCGACCTCTTGAGAGAGCATGATCCAACCGCCGCTTCCTCCCACTAGGTCATCCATGTATTAAAATTTTGATGCTATCTTAGTATATACCAGTAATTTGATTACACGAGACACGCAATGGTCCAGGTCGGCAGGCTATCGTACAGTGTAACCGCGAACAGATAAATCGTGCCATTCAAGCACTTGTTCATTTGGAAGAAACACTCCTCCTACTCAAGAGACACATCCTTTAAATACATCCAATGTTTCCTTTCAAGTCTCTTCTTCCTCCAACCACGCCAAATGGCGGTTTGCTTCCCCACTGGCTCTTGTTTATCTCGGTTGTATCGGTATTCAACTCTGCCCAGAACTACTTGATCAAGGACTTGAGTCTTACGAGAAAGGTCTACTCTGCTGCCCCAGCAAATGAAGTTACCCACTTAAGTGCCAGAACCTTCGGTACCTGGACCCTTTTGACGTCTATCGTCAGACTTTACGGCGCCTATAACATTGTTGGTAACAAGCAGATGTACGATCTCTGTATCTGGACATTTGTGGTTGCTGGTGGCCACTTTTATTCCGAATGGCTTTGCTTCAAGAACTGTAAGCTTGACAAGGGATTGGCTGGTCCATTGATCGTTGCCTCTACAAGTTTGATCTGGATGTTCACTCAGAAGGACTTCTATGTCAACTTTTAAAACAAAAAGGTTCAAAAGCATCAAAAGGGCTGAAGTATATCAATTTACACTTCTCCTCATAGAAATACATTTAGAGGTTTCATTCAAGAACTTCCAATAGGCATGGAAATGGTTGCCAAAGGTAGTAAATGGAAAATGCGCAACGGTGGTATCCAGTCCCCGGGCAGGTAAGAGTCATTCCGAGTCACAAATAAAGAATAGAAAAAGCACGGCCTCCACCTTTTGTACGGCAACTTGATTCTCGGGTTTTCTGGTCCTTTTAGAAGTCAAAAAATAGCTCTCGAAGCTTTGATTATTTATTCGTTCATATACATCGCATTCTTTGATCTCGAGTGCAATTTTTCACCTCCTCATCGCTTGATTGCTCGAAGATATCCATTTGATTCATCATGACTATTGAGCTTGAAGAACCTCCATTGACTCAGGATAACTTGCAGGTCTATAAGGATCTTTTTGGTGGTACCGTTGGTGGTATTGCCCAGGTGCTCGTGGGTCAGCCATTTGACACTGTCAAGGTGAGATTACAGTCTGCGCCAGAAGGCACCTATAGCGGCGCTGTAGATGTCATCAAGAAGCTTGTTGCTAATGAAGGTCCAAAAGGTTTTTACAAGGGAACTTTGACACCTCTCGTTGGTGTCGGTGCATGTGTGTCCGTTCAGTTCTCAGTTAACGAGTTCATGAAGAGATACTACGACAATAAGTTGCAAGGCCAACCTTTGTCCCTTTTGCAGTTCTTCAACTGTGGTGCTACTGCTGGTTTTGCTAACGGTTTCTTGGCCGGTCCAATTGAGCACATCCGTATCAGATTACAGACACAGACTGGAAACAATAAGCAGTTCTCTGGTCCAATTGACTGCTTGAAGAAGCTTACACAGCTGAGCGGAGTTCAGGGTGTATTTAAGGGTTTGGCTCCAACATTGGCAAGAGAATCTATCGGTTTAGGTATCTACTTTGCAACTTACGAGGCATTGATTGCTAGAGAGTTGGGCAACAAGATCTATCCTACAAGAGGTGACATCCCAGCCTGGAAGCTCTGCATGCTTGGTGGTTTGTCCGGTTATGCTTTGTGGGGATCTATCTATCCAGTGGATGTCTTGAAGTCTAAGTTGCAGACTGATTCTTTGTCAAAGCCAGCCTACTCTGGATCCATCAGCGTTGCTAAAGACATTTTCAAGAAGGCAGGCATTAAGGGTTTCTACAAGGGTTTCGTTCCAACCATTTTGAGAGCTGCCCCAGCTAATGGTGCTACTTTCGCCGCCTTCGAGGTTACCATGAGATTCATCAGTTAATCTTTCATGCCAGTCATTCATGTAATATAAATACATCTATATAGTCGAGAAATGCTCAACGCATTCTGTACATCAACGTTCCCTATGTGGTAGCACATCACGCTTCCGGAGCTGTAGATCGCTTGTATCGTATTCACTGAACTCACTTTCTGGAGGGCTGATGCCTTCTGCAGAAATGTGGTCCGTATAGTCTTGCGGATCAACCACTTTGATGAACTCCATGAAGTCCATGGAGTACTCACCGTTCAATTCATACCAATCTGAGCCCAATAGTTCAGCTCTTTCGAGACCGATATCAACATCTAGGTCGTCAATCTGACCTTCTTCAGATCCCCAGTGGTTGCGCAAGTTATTCCTCATTCTCAGGTTAAAAGTCTTATCGATGCGTAGATGTAGACCAGGGATCATATCAATAATGTATAGCAAAACCAAACTCATGATGAACGAATAGAGTGAAGTGACAACGCAACCTAAAACTTGATATCCCAACTGAACCCAGTTCCCGACAACCCAACCACCTGAAGCTTCAAACGCTTCGTCAGCAAATATACCCACTAGAAGAGTACCCGTAACGCCACAGACACCATGCACTGCAAAAATGTCGAGGGCATCATCTATGCGAAGAAAATACTTGATTCTCGTTGAAAGGTTTCCAACAAGCCCTCCAATCATACCGAAGACAATTGATTTCCAGAATGATGAGTGCGATGAAATATAACCACCAGCTGGTGTGAAAACCACGAGACCACAGATCGCTCCCGATGTAAAGGAGACCATGGATATCTTCCTCGCAGTCACTGGAGTTGTGCCTTCGGGTGACAATCCTAGCCCATTGCTATCCAAGTCTTCAAGTTCAATCCCTTCCAGTTCTTCCTCGTCTAACGGTATTGCCGAGGTGTAAAAATCAATAAGCGTCCATACTATGCCAGCAGAGCAGGCGCTGAGCCAGGTATTAACAACGATGTAGAACGACGTCGGTGATAATTTGAAATCACATCCAGCAATAAACCCACACCATCCCACCAACATAAAGCACATACCAATTACCATGTTACTGTTATTGGAACTTCTATAGTCTGCCACCAACTTTGGATTTCGAGGCCCCAAGATATATGAATATGCTAATGCAGTGAAACCGCTGACGACGTGGATACATGTTCCTCCAGCAAAGTCCATAACCGGAGTTTTATCGAATTGAGTAGAAAGCCAGCCTTCTTCATTCCAGTACCAGTAAGATATAGGATTATAAATTATTACTGACCAGCAGAATATGAAAACAAGCATGGGCACAATCCTACCTCTTTCAGCAGCACATCCTGGAAATGTAATCACAGCACATATCACTTTAAGAAGTCCATTGAAAAGAAAATGCATGATGGAAAGAATGTCTCCTCGAGGCGTGCTGTAAACCCGCTGGAGCGGGTCCCGAAGTTGTCTTAACACAGCAAACCCAAAATTGCCGATAAACCTATTCGAAGACGGTGAATAACAAAGCGAATATCCCCATAAAAACCAATCTAGAAACACTCCAGCCAGAATCAATACCGGTATCAGTAGTATCGTGAAAGATGATCTTCTTTGGATAAGGCCCGAGTAGAATATCGACATGCCTAGCACCAAACACAGTAAAAGGTAGGTACAGAAGAACATGAACAAGCTGTCGATTGCCATCGAGACATCCAACGGGGTGTCTGACGCCTCGGACAGCATTATCGGGATGGGTCTAATGGAGAATCTGTCAAGATAACGTTATCTACACAGGGCTGACATTTTTTTTTCTCGTTTTTTTTTGGCGGGCCTATTTTGTGATATTTCACCCGCACTGCCAATTTGCAACCATTTCAGTGCGTTGAGGATTCTGCCTTGTAGCAATATTTCTCAAAACAGTCTTGGCAGTAGTCCGGTAAATGCTTTCTTTTTCTCTTCATGAATGCACAATAAAGACAGCTTCTGTACTGTGAGTCTTCAGCATTCACAGCGAGGTCATAGCCATTACTGAACAAGCCTTGTGCCTCTTCTGGAGAGTAGGTAGTTCTGAATGTGGAGGTGTTCGAGGGAAAGCTGATGTCATGGTTGGCTTGGTAAACTATGAGCGGAGGTATGAATCCACTGTGAAGCTTGAAGCCTTGCAGAACATCTCCTAAATGCTTTGGGAAGTCCTCCATTTCACAACCAAAGAATACTGGCCTTTCGTGTGACGAACTTGAGAAATAGCTCTCGACATTTTTGGGTATCTCTGGAAACACCTTTCTTATAACTCCATCCGGATCCTGGAATAGTGGGATACGAAGCTGGGATTCATTGGCATGGTATCGATTAGCTGAAGCACGCAAGGATGATCCGTTGGGTCGATTATAAACCTCAGATCCCATGTCAAACGCTAAAATAGCATCCACTTGCCTTCCTGGAACAAGGAAAGGACTGAAGGGGATATTCTGACCATCTTCACCACCATCTGCCAATAACAAGGATGTTGTATTCTCGACTGATCTTCCAAAAAGCTCCTTGTTATGATATCCTAGAAATGGATTAGGCGAGTAAATTGCGTATTCTGAAAACGCATTCTGGTTTAAATCGGGTTTCTTGGAAAACCCAAAGATTTCAAGAACTTGCTGCAAATAGGGAACCAGTTCATCGGTCAATTGGGGTAATAACTTGTAAACATACCGAAACATGGTGTTGAAAAGACCTGACGAGGTTGCAGTAAGAAATGCAAGTGTATCATATCCCGATGTACAAACTGACATGTTTCCAATTGTTTTATCTTGTTCCATGGGCACACCATTCAAAAGTTTTGTACCCAAATACTTGACGTTCATAAAAGCATTCAAGAAACTGTCCCATGATCCAAACTCAAATGGAGTCATTTCAATAATGTGTGAATCAATGCTGTTTTTCAGGCACCCAGGAACCAACTCCACGGAAGTGATAATTGGAAATGGTTGAGAGTAGTTCTGGAAGGAAAGAAGTTTGGCTGCCGATGATATCGTAAATCCTGGAGATCTAAACCTTTTGGGGATAACCCTTCTCGCAAGAGTCCGTGCCCAGTAATCAATTAATGAAATCCGATAGCCACTTTCTTTCTTTGAATGCGCTTCCAATGATATGTCCTTGTAGAAGTTAAGAACACTCTTAACATTGAAAGCGTTCCCTCCATCTCCAACAGAAAACATGCTCTTGACGAAATTAGGCAACATCATTTCTACCATTGAACCAAGTAGCCCTACCTTATTGGTCTCGGCCGAGATAGTCTCAGCCGGCTCGTTATCCAAGCCGTGTCGTAAGCCATTCAATTCCATATTGGGTATCCCCTCGAGGATGGGACTTTGAAGATCCATAAATAATTCGTCCATGGCATGGCTCATCAGCTGTCCGTCATTGAGAAGATTATTCATGACTATCCACAGCCCTCCAGATATACCCGCAATGTATGAAGTGCACTGTAGCACGCCGCCCATCTGTGACTCAGCTCCTGGGGTTTCTTCGTCGTAAGCACTTAGTACTCCGGCGCCGACAAGCATGGATCTTAGGCCCCCTCCCGAAATCGCTAATGCAATCGTGGGTGAGCTTGTCAATCCATATGTATCGTTTAGAGACCGGGAGAATTTCTTGAAATGCGGGATCATATTCATTTGGCGATGTCGAATATAATCTTCTTCCAATGGCGATATCTTCTATTAGGTCAGTTCATGAGTTTCTTTCATGGTATAGTTGGTTTGTCATACCCAGTCAGCCTTTCGAATGAGCTCGCTACTCGGACAACGCGTCAAGAACGGCGAGTAGGTTCCAGGACCAGGAGGTTCGTCAGGAAGAAGCTCAACATATGGCAGGCTTAAATCAAGAGGAAATAGAGATAAGGTAAGAACGATTTGGATCCAAAAGTATAGACCAACGAGATTCATTGATAAGTAGTATAGTGCGCACAAACGGTAATCTACTACGTTTTGGAACATATAGACATCTATAATATTAACATATAGAAATAAATTAATACTAATTCTCAAACAAGTGTAAAGTAGTGTAGTAGAAAAGAAGAGACTTCAGCTAGCTTAGAATTCTTCGTCAGAGGAGACGTAAGCGTCACCCAACTCCTTCTTCTTCTTCATTCTCTCCTTCTTCTTCTTTCTCAACTCAGCAGAAGACAACTTCTTCTTCTTCTTACCACCGGCAATCTTGTTACCCATAGCATCGAACTTGTCCTCCTCATCGTCGTCCTTGTTCTCGAGTCTTGGACCAGAACCCTGACCCTGGACCCAGTTGTGACCAGATGGAGTCATCTTACCGTCCAAGACGGCCCAGACTTCCTCAGTCAAGTCCTTGGTGAACTCAGCGGAGTGAGTAATGATGACAACACCACCCTCGAAAGCCTTGATAGCCTTGGACAAAGCACCCAAAGAGTCACGGTCCAAATAGTTAGTTGGCTCATCCAAGACAATCAAGTGAGGTCTCTGCCAAGTACAAGCAGCCAAGACCAACTTAACCTTCTGACCACCGGACAAACCTCTAATTCTAGAGTGGGACACCAATTCAGCGTCCAAACCCAACATGGTACAGTGGTCCTCGATCTCCTTTCTGGTCAATGGTCTGAACTGACCGGAAGCCAAAGCCTCCTTCATATCAACCTCAGCGACCAACTTGGAGTGAGTCTCGATCAACTCACCTCTTGGCAACCAGGTGTTGTCAACAGACATCATTGGAACCCATCTCTCGTTCTTCATGCCAATGTTCTCACCAAGGTTCCAAGAAACCTCGTACTCGTAAGTGTTCTTGAACTTTCTTCTAGAGTGGACACCAGCAACTCTTCTTGGGGTACCCTCGACCTTGAAGATCTTGTTCATAGCGTTCTCATCAGCTTCGTTGATCTGTCTGTTGGCTCTGTCCATGGTCTCTCTGTCCTCACCGGTCTGGAATCTCCACTGAATGTACTCAGATGGGGTCTTGTCCAAGTGGTTATCGATATGGGCGAAAGCGTGCTGCTTAATGTAGGCAATACGAGCGTTCTCGTGGACGTAGACGTCACCAGTAGTTGGCAACAATTCACCAGTCAAGACGTTAATCAAGGTGGACTTACCGGCACCGTTAGGACCAATGACGGCAATTCTAGAAGACAAAGAACACTGGAAGTTAATGTCAGTGATCTGTGGCTTAGAGGTACCTGGGTACTGGAAGGACATGTTGTTGACCTTGACAATAGCCTTCTGCTTGGTCTTGACACCCTCCAAGAAACCTGGCTCTGGGAAAGTGAACTGGATGTCGGAAGCTCCCAACTCGTAGTAAGACTGAGCAGATGGGCACTTCTTGACGAACTCAGACAAGTTACCCTTGTACTTTCTCAACTTGAAACCTTCGTAGTGAATAATGTACTCAACAACGTTGTCCAAGAAACCGGAGTCGTGAGAGACAATGATAGAGGTGATACCACATGTCTTCAAGTAGTTGACCAACCAGGCAACGTTAACGGTATCCAAATGGTTAGTTGGCTCATCCAACAACAAGATATCAGCGTTCTTCAACACAGCTCTGGCCAAAGCCAACTTCATCTTCCAACCACCGGAAAGGGAGGAGATTGGCATTCTGATCATCTCGTCGGAGAAACCGAACTCAGTCAACTTAGCCTCGACAGCGTCCTTGGTCAAACCAACCTCACCGTCAGCAATAACGAACTCGACGACAGAGGTCTCAGCGTGGGTACCATCAATGTCGTGCTCGACGTAGACGGTCTTACACTCCTCCTGGGATGGGAAACCCTCGACCTGACCGTTAGCGATGGCTCTCATCAAGGTAGACTTACCAGCACCGTTAGGACCACAAAGACCGTATCTTCTGTTTCTCTTCAATCTAAACTGAGTCTTGTTCAACAAGATCTTAGCACCGTAAGCCAAAGAGAACTCACAGTTACACAAGTCCTCACCATCGTCCTCCTCATCCTCGAAAGATGGAGGAGCTGGGATGTTGTCAACAGCTCTCTTTCTGAACTCCTCGATGACCTCCTTAGACTCCTTCTCGTGCAAGAAGATGGTGGTGAATGGCAAGAGGTTCTGCAACCAAGAGTCTGGCTGAATGTCTCTCTCGTCAATCAAGTCACCGGCGATAGCGGCAATGTAGTTCAAGGCGACGTCGAATCTAGAAGACAACTTCTGGTCCTTGACCAAACCCTTGAAGACGTCCAAGGTGACTGGGATGTCACCAGCGGTGGAGACCTCTGGGATGGAGTCGTCAGCACCAACGTTACCGACTCTTCTCAAGGTGTTCAAAGCTCTCTGGGTAACACCACGGGCCTCAGGGTCAGCAATGGTGTTGTAGTTAGCCTTAAGAGATGGCAACAACTTGTTCATGAAAGGAGCAACAACCTGAGGGTCGTCGACCAACTTACACATGTTGTCAACAATGACAGCAGCCTTACGCTTGATGGCGGTGTCACGCTCAGCCAAACCTCTGGACAACAATGGGGCCATGATGGACAAAGTAGCCATGGTGACCTCAGAGACGAAAGTGGTAGCACCCAAGACGTGGACGGTCTCTGGGACCTCAGTTGGCTTGGCGATACACTCGATCAACTTAGGAATAAACTTCTCGATATCCTTGTTGTCAATGGTCTCAGTGGACTTGGTCATAGTGGCGGTAGCAGCCTCCTTGACCTCCTTCTTGGTGTCCCACATAGCCTCAGACAAGACTGGAATCAACTCAGGCATTCTCAAGGCGATCTGGGCCTTAGCAGTGTCAACCAACTGGGTGATAGAAGCCAAGATGGCGGTCTTCTCGTTCCACTTGTTGGTGGTGGACAAGTTGTCCAACAAAGCTGGCAAGAGGGCCTTGATGGCAGTTGGGGTGATAGCCTTAGCGAGGGACAACAAAGCGGCGGCAGCGACGGCGGCAACCTCCTTGTTCTTGTCACCGGTTCTGACAGCAACGTCAGAAGCCAAGGAGACAACGTATGGCTCAACAGAAGGGTTCATGCCGTTTGGAGAAGCAATGTGCTCGAAAGCCTTCAAAGCGGCAATGACGACACCAACATCCTTCTTGTTGTTGATCTGGGTCTTCAAGTCCTTGAAGAATTCCTCAGGCACATCGTGCTCAATGATGGATCCATTCAAGAATGAAGAAACGTTAGCAGCGGCCTCATCCTTGTTGTCGGCAACTTGCAATTTGCTCAACAACTCGGAAAGGACCTCAGTCGAATATTTAGATTCACTGGCAGCAGACATTCTTTCCAATGCTTGAAGAAGAGAAAAAAAGAAGAAGAGGTAACCTGAAGAATTTTTTTTTTTTTATATGTCGCACTGGCACTGGCTAGTGAGGCCAAAAGAAAGCAAAAAAATACATAAAAACGAGAAAGGTAGGAAAATTTTTCAGTGAGCAGGGCACCTATGTGCAGGTGACGCATCGTTTCTTTTGCCAGTGGACCACCTGTTTCTTTTGTGTAATATGACCGGTTGAATTTCGGGAAAGGCCAGTATATTCATTTGGCAGTGTAGATGAAACAGAGTATCTAAATTTCATGCTACCAAACCATCAGGGGGCAGGAAATAAGGTGTAAATTGTTGCAAATGAGGTACGGGTGCGATTACCAGAGTCTCATATGAGGCTATCTCATCACGTCGCAGCAGTTACCCGGTCACAACGTGTCTCATACACCCAATGAACCACTGGTTAACGCTAAGCGACACTGGGCCCCAATTTGTTGAGACACACTGGCGGATTTCCTACTTACATAAACCCCTGGTGGCAAAACTCCTCATCTACTGCGCGGTCATGCTGTAAGAGGAGAAGGTCGTTTTGTTTCTTTTTTTGCTATGGGCGTTTCTTTGGGAGCTGCCTGATAACGTTTTTCGCACCCTGGTGCGAATCAACCGTGGGTAGAGATGGTGATAGAAGTACCGGCATGACGTACCTTTCTTTGGTGGGTACTCATGTAGTATTATCATGCATTAGCTTTGTTGGCCTTGATTGTTGTATTTTTTTTTTTTTTCTGTGTTTCTTGTTTTCCTTGGTGTTGCCTTGTCTTGTTGTTCTGGATTGTTATTTCCCAGGCTGAATATTCTCGCATGAGGCATGTGCCTCTCGACTAACTCTTATGGTCGCTTCCTCTAGCATGAACAAGTAAGGCTATTTCTATAAGGCGTTGACACTGTGTTTTGCGGCAATATGTCTGCTTTAGTACGAGTTACCTTGTGAGTACTCAGGTTTGATACGTCTGGATTTGCAGCCATTGGAGGCCACTCAGTGCCTTGGTATCGTTGTAAGACTTCTGGGTCAAATTCATTGGATGAAGAGCGATAATTAAAGGTACTCGTTGATAGTCATCTTCTATATCTTCTACATGTACACCCCTGAGTGTTCTTCTGGTGGAGCTTTGGGAGTATGTGAGTGCTCAGTGGGCTGAAACCAATATACTGGTGCCACCAATTACTTTCAGGCCTTTACAATCAACCTGTGGTAACTTGGTGCCCTATTTAATATGATGTGAACATTTGCGCAACATCTCTAGCTTCAGTAGGGAAATAATCAGTTTTTTGCACTTTTCTCTACGGGCGCGGGAGTTCTGCTGCTCATATTCCTCATGCAATATAATAGAGCACTTCTCTAGAGGTTTGTTATACGAAAATGGCTATTTTTAACCATTAACTCAATTTGTGTATTATAGTATACCAAAATTCAGGGTATTTCAGAAAAGGTTGTATAGTGTAGTGGCATCACTTGAGATTCTGATTCTCACAACCTGGGTTCGATCCCCAGTGCGACCTTATTTTTTTGAACATGCTTCTTGTCAATGAAAACGAGAATTAAATTACCCATTTTACTCTCTTCTTTTTCTTTTCTTGTATTATCGCTTGCATCGTTGAATCGTGAATTACTATAAGTTTTGCATGTTTTGTGTTTCGAGCGTTTTTAATGTCTCCTAACTTGAGGAGACTGCTCGGCTATGTAATGATGGTAGATGGTCGTTTTTCCCTCTGGCTTTCTTTCGATCACCGTTCCAGCCACATCTCTACTCTTATGACTGCCTTATGTGCTGCCTCTTGGGACACCGCCTGGGTTTTGAGCATTTTCTGATATTTCAAGAAGTTTCAGCAAATCTCGATCGTTAGAAGGCTCTTCAGGGGAAGCAATTTGATCTCCTCCACGAGCAGCTTGCACGCCCCCGCCACTAATCTTACCGGTGTCCTTATTGTTGCTTGGTTTACCATCAACAACTAGTCCTTCGTCATTGCCAACAAGATGCTCTTCATTCACCATGCCACCTTTTGGAGCTTCAACAACCATATTCTTCTCCTTACTTGCCAATGCTGCTTTTTCGTCAGCAAGATCCTCCATCTTCGAAGAATCGACGAGTTGACCAACATCACCATTATTTTCTTTCTGAATTTCAAGCGGATCGACCAACTCGTATGACGGGTCTGGCTTTGCCTTAAGTTCTTGAGAAATCATGAAAATGCAAAGTCCAAACAAGAAAAGCATCACTATGTAGCCTGTCAACTTTCTAGAATTCGTCAAGAAGAACTGCTGGGGCATCTTCTCGTAGGCCGACGTTCGTTTGGAGTGCGGTTTCATGTAATACGGTCTGGGAAGACCGTTGTTCTTGTATGAGCCTTGCATTCTTTTTGGCTTGTTAGAATGGGTTAATTAAAATGCAGATCAAGCACCAAACAAATAAACCTGATGTGATTATGTGGAGTAAAGAAAGCCAGATATGAAAACACAACTGGGTCCGTCAGCTTCAGAATTAAGGCGCGACAGTGAAAGAGAGATTTAGTCCAGGTAAGCACAAACATCGTCTGCAGGAGACACTGGGTCTACGGAACTGGAGCATACTATAACGAATATGAAAAAAAAAAATACCAGCCAGGATTTTCCAAATGGAAGTATGCCAGGAACCGATCTACTCTTCTACTTGTTTACCTTTCGAGGGGGATCCTCCAGAAGGCTGATCCCAAGCCAGGCACGCCACCTCGTGCCGTTATCTATTGAGGCTGGTAATTTTTTTTTTTCTCTCTCCTGGCTATTGCGCCTGGAAATTATGATGTCCTTTGTCCTCTGGCTTTGTCCCTCGAAGCACAATATCGAGTAGCTCAGTTTTTTTATAGGGTCTTCAGGATCGCGTTCCTGAATCAGCTTCGCCTCTGTTTTGTGCGGTGGCTTCCCAAGCCTCTGCTCCCGGAAAATCATATTATATTTATAGTTTAAGTTGGAATGGGTTCTTTTGGTTACCGTGATGGTGGAATTTGGTTGGTATGTTTAAATTTGTTTTTTTCTGTTTTTTGATGGCTAGATTTGTAGTATTTTTGCAGTCTCTGAGGCTCTCGCTGCGACTAAGTTCTTAATATTTGTGCGTATTGGTACCACTTCTGTAAAATCATAGATTCTACAAACCCTGAAACTACTCTACATTCAATGTTAAAATTCCACTTGTTTTCTTTATTTATCTCGGCATTCGTCCTTGCTACTCCCCCTGCATGTTTTCTAAGCTGCATCAACGAATTGGCCCACTACTGTCCTAATGGCCATACTGACCTTCTGTGCTTGTGCCAATTGAAGGACTCCCTTGTTGGCTGTCTCGTGGATATCTGCCCACTTGGGAACCTCGATAGCGGAAGAGATCATTTTGTAGGTACTTGCTTGGAGCATGGCCGGCTGCACGAACCAACCCGCCATGCTATGCCAGTTGATCCAGTCCAGCAAGACGACCATGGCTCTGATACTCTTCCAGCAGACTTCAATGATCACCCAAGAGCGGCGCTACAGAAGCCAAAGCAACGAGGCAGCCTCATGAAACAAGGCACGCCACACGGTTCGAGGAAGGATGGCTCTGTCATCAGCAAACGCCAGCAGCTCGAGCAATACCGAGGCCATGACCATAGAAAGACCAAGAGATCAAACGAGCAACAATACAATGGCTTGCTCTTGAGGAAGTAGTTTCTTGAAGCCTGAAGAAAGCCTCACCCGTCGTTCCCTATGGAACCTGTCCTCGTTGTACATGGTGCCGCTTATAATTGCATCTAAGACTCATCCAGAATCACCCAAAATACCATGTTGCCGTTTATCAATCATCACCTTAGTAATTCTATCCCTTGGTATGCTAACCAAGCCAACCTCTCTTCTCTTGATGCTAGTAGGATCAATCTTATCATGGGAGTTTTCGTACAGATTTGTTAGCAACAAGTTGCCAAATGGATCAACGACCGTGAGGACTCCATCAATGACTCTGTCATCGACCATTTTGACCCTCATGGCCGTTCCTATGTACTTATCGACCGGGGCATCCATGAAGAATAGCTATGAAGATGGTTCTGGTGCGCATGAAAATCTACACTGGAGTATTTCACTACGAGTGCCGTCACGACTGGATGCCCAATCAATAACCATTGATATTCTGACCAGAATATTTAGAGTATTTCAAGTTGAAATTTTCATGATTTGGGATTCTATGGATCCTTGGGGTCTCTTTCCACTAGTTCTTCCTACAATGTCCTTCCCAGGCAGCCCTTGCCATTTACCTAGTCCAATCTGCTTTTTAACAAAAAGCCTACGTTGACATTAATACGATTCATTTCTGCAATGTTAGCCTTACTTTAAGCATTTTGTTCAATCCACATAACCAAAACCGTTGTGCCCGATGTCGTTACCCGCACATTGGAAAAATGTGTATAAATACTCTGCAAAGTCGCATTCTGTAGCTTTCTCTTTAACATCATATCGCCTGTCCGTCCTCCGTAAAAGGTCGAAGTGATATATAACCACTTCGATTGGAGCTTGTAGACGGCATAAGCGTAGAGAGATAAGCACGTTGCTGGGCGCCTGACGCTGACTACTAAATGGAGCGTTGGGAATCAGTTGTGGCTACAGTCCTCCTACAGAGACTTTTTTTTTTCTCTTCTCTGTGATCCTGTAAACACTACTTTACTTCTTCATGGATGTCCATCGTGAACTACGGGTTATACATGATGAGTATAAGCTGTACTTTGCTGAATGTAGTCTCCATTTACAAAGCAATTTAGCTCTCCCGGGAGACGATGACATGTTCGCCAGAGCTCTACGAAGAAAGACGCTGGTATCGCATATTAGAATCAAAACCGGCGAAGAAAATACCCATTGCATCACTGTATGTGTGGCTGGCTGGCATGAGGTAGGCCAAACAGAGTATCATCCAACATTTGAAGCTCTTTTAAACAAATTATCTCCAAGTTTCCGCAACCGGTTTGCGTCAGAACTTACTGAAAAACTCAAAGGTTTAAGTTGATTTAGCTATGTACAATAATGATCTAAGACGATTTGTTCTTTGGAGCACTCTCCAAGTCACCGACATCGAGTCGGTTGTTTCTGATGTAGTAATGCTTCTTTCTCGATGGGTATTTGTTAGGCAGCGAGACGAGCTCAATATTCTTAATGTTTGGGTTGTACAAGGGAACTCTCATCTCCACACCGATCTTGTTCATCTTGTTTCTGAGGTGAAGATTGGTACCAAGGTTGTAGTTACCTCTTTTGATACCAATGAGTTGTCCAAGTACTGTAGTTCTGTCGTTGTATGTCACTTTGACCACATCTCCAGCTCTCAAGCCTCCTGGAGAGACCAACTCAGTACGCTTCCCCGTAGGATCATGCTTCTTGAGCAACTCTTTATGCAAAAATTTGAGAATACTTTCTCCGTTTCTCTTCTTGGGAAGTGGTTCATAGACAGCTGAAGGGGTTAGTATTCGAAAAGGTTGTATCTTCAAAGTTAAGTACGCTTAACATACCTTCTTTAACTGGCTTGTATGCCCTTTGAGTAGCGTAGGACCGCTTAGCACAAGAGAGTGCCAAACTTTTCACTCCTTGAAGTCCAGAACTAAGCATTTGGTGGTTGGAGAAAAGCTGCCATGGCCATGAATTTTTCCATTAACTATGTTTCACAATGTGCAGGAAAAGTGAAAGACTGGCCCATGGTCCCTTCGACTTTGGCTAGCAATAAGTCTAAAATAAGAGTAATAAGAATACAAATAAATCTTATAGTCTTATCATTCCAATGCAATATCTAATATACAAATCTACGTCCAGATCAAAATCTGGAACGTCTCTTTCTTCCTGTGAACTTGGAATCATGTGCAACAGTGCGTCCTCTTCTCCTCATAAGCTCCTTCTTCCTGTTAATGTACTCCTTATTGGACTCTAGCTTCTTCTTCATCTTACTGCTAAGCTTCTTGTTCTTGTTATCGGCTTCCATCTGTGCTCCAGCGAGGTTCAAGTTTCTTTCAGACTGGCCAGCAGAAAGCACAAGGTAATACTTTTTGTTTCTCTTGGATTGTGGGTCATCTATGACCAAACCACCAGCAAAACCAGCTACCTTAGCAGCTTCTAAAATGTTCTGTGTTTGGGTATCGTTCATTGGGTAGAACTGGGCAACAAACTTGCCGCCTCTTACCATGGATGCGAATAATGTGTTGAAAAACCTCAAGAGTCTCTTTTTTGGATCATTACCAGCAGTGTCAGCATTGCATAGCCACTGAATAACTGAAATAGAGATAACGGCATCAAAAGTTCCTGCTCTAAATGGAATGCCATTACCCAAGTCAGCCAAAAAGAGATCTCCCTCCACATCTCTATCTAGCGCAGAGGCCAACATGCTAGGGGCTATATCCATACCAATCCAGTTGTAGCCTTCTTCTGTAAGAATTTCTCCTGAAAGACCGGAACCACATCCCAAATCGAGAATAAAGTGAGGATGATCAGGCTCAAGGTTAAGGAGCTCAAGAGCCCTAAGGGTCATCTTAGCCTGGATATGCTGCACACGAGTAGACGAGGTATATTTAAAAGATTCTGTATCATTATAGAACACCTCTGGTGGGGCGATTTCCTCTGGTCTGGACATACCGAAGGAAGAGGTTGGTGAGATGAGGGTGTATGCAAGGTGCTCTTCTTTTCTTACGATTAGGCTGAAAGAATGCACGTGACTACATTGCCAATTTTTTGCAACCATTTTGCCTACATCAACAAATACGTCATCAGATCATGGGCATTAAAATATCAAATAAAGGGTACAGATCATAGCGGGTCCGGAGGTGAAGCCAATCCAGCAGATTGCATTTCCGAGCACTTTCTTGTCTCTCAAAAACTTGGTTCTGCTGATCATCACCAACGGTATCTGGCTCATTTGGAATAACCACAAGTATCCTCTCAAGCGACCAAAGATGGCATACATGACTAGCTCATGGATGAAACTTGAAATAATAAAAGTGACAAAGTTTGCTTGCATCTTGTTGAGCCTTAAGGCACTGATCGATGAGTGATAAACATGTCTAAGCAAGAAACGGTGAACAGGTTTGTTCCAGAGTCTTGCATACTCGAACCAATCAACACAAGACCACCATGGACCGTAGAAGTCACGGTCAGCATAGTAACTGAGCTCACCAATTGCATTCAAGATGGCATCCCAAATCAAGTAAAACACAAGTAGGTATTCCATCATGAATGGTGGGATCATGTCAACTAGAACTAACAAATAAGCTATCTGACGATTAACCAAGCTCATTTCAGCCTTCCTCAATGCGATCGATCTGACCACTAATGGATAGATGGAATATTCGGCGACGAAAAGCATGATTGAAATAATTCCAAAGATGGCAATCAACTTCTCAAGTAAGAACGATTTCCGAATTTCGTTGGTACGTGGGAATACAAGCTCGTAAACAACAGTTGGAAACATAGTGAAGGTGAAGAAGTTCTTAAATGTGATATTCTGTGGGAACTTAATCAGATCTTCGTGTTGCAAATTCTCCAAACTTCTCTTAAGGGTAGTAGGGTCGACCTCGTCCTCCTTACAGATGGCAACAGACTGATGAAGAAGCTCAAAGCGACAGAAAGCGATGCTTTCAGCAAGGACTTTTCTCATCTGTTCTTCCTCAAACTGCTTTGGGAGTCTCACTGCTTTCAGATGCAATTTGTCCAAGTAGGCCTCTGAAAATTGCAACTCAAGCAAGATACGCCAAAGGTAGCCATTATAAAATCCGTAGGAATGGATCTTCATTAATAACACAAACATATGAAGCACAAGGAAAACTCTGCCGATCCATTGGAAGTCAAATACCAAAAGGTAAGTGATCCAGAAACCAAAGAACACAAGTTCATAAATAGACTGAATAATCCAACCGGTCTTTACCCAAGAAATACGGCCGTTTAAACAAAAGTTTTGCACCATATAGGCAAAATAAGTCGTCGAGTACATGAGTGCATCGGTGAAAGCAATCTTAGGAAGACCTCCGACAAAGATACGGAACACTGGCGCTTTATAAATGAAAAGGCCATCTTCAAAAATAGCATGAAGAGCGTCTTTCAAAATGAAGAAGCCAATTGCAAGCCAAAATAAAATGAAAAAGCCATGGAACTGAGAGTTCTTCACCGACGGAGAATCTAGGATAGTGTACCGCACAGGGTCGGCACTCAAGTCAGCAAAACTAGATTTGAAAACAGTTCCCTTCCGCTTATTCCTTTCCAACCGGTCATGGTATACGGTATTGAGTTTCAGGAAGATGCCTTCGATCAGCTTGTCATCCAACTCTATATCTTTCTCATGCACCATTTTTGGGGTTGTCTGAGTCCTTCTGCGTAAGCGGCTTGAAACATGATCCTCTTCACCTCTCTTCTCTTCTGGCGTCGTAGATGGTTCACTGCTGGTTGGCAGACTCGTCAAGCGGGAGTCGTAGAAGTCTGCCGATAACGGTTCTCTGGAAGCAGTCGCCTTGTTGGCGATCCTCTCCAAGTTATCCTCGGTTTCCGAACGTTCCACCATTATATCTCACTTAAAAAGAGCCAACTGACGATCTTAATGTGTTATCGTCTTTGTTGCTGACACTGAAATGGAACGGCAAGCCATAATATAGGAACCGAAGTAGTGCAAGCATTCTGCAGGCATGTGGAAGCAAAAGTTCGCATAGACGCAGCAACAGTTGCAGCCAATTGTCAAAGCACAGAGGGTAGAATTTACGGAAACAGAAACGGTAACCTATCCGATAAAATAAGGTTGCGGACTTATTCGTATGGGAACAGCCAATAGAGCCATTTCATACCTACTTCCGTTTTGTAACTTCTTCAAACATCGTAAGACAAGCATCGGTGGGTCGTCTTTGTGTGCGCATAAAGAGACGTCATACGGTTTTCTGGGTGGGAGCACCGGAGGCCTCGGGATACAGAGAATACATGATGCAAAGCGAAGCGTACAATAATCGGTTGTCCCGGAAAAATCAAATATTAGGTTCGAAACTCATTTGGATCGTGGCTGAGAATTAAAGCCCATACTGGTTGTCGCTTGGTTGTCGCTTGGTTGTCGCTTGGCTTGACCCCACACCGCAACCTTGGCTGTTGGTCAGTGCATTTGCAGCCATGAGAAATAAGCGACTGACTGCGACGGTTAGTTAACCAAGAAAGGCAGGGCAGGTGACCAGATTTTCCGGCTAAATGACGCTTTGGTTGGATGCATTGGGACAACGTCATTGGGACTGGTTTGTGACACACTTTGACGTACCCTTTGACATGGTAGGGTCTTGAGACTATAGATGTTAAAGGGTGGATGTTACTGCTAGGTGGAACAAGGTTAAGTATATCCGAAAAAAACCTATTTTTTTCCAAGCAAGCTATCGGCATACTTAATACTAAGCAATACAAACTACCCAAGGTGTCTTGTTAAGCTTTCTTTTCTTGGCCACAGCAACCCCTGCTGTGGACCCTTATATACTATTTACAGTTTTAACGATAGACTCTTTCGAATGGTCTGGTGTCATTGAAGCAAGACTTCCACACAGTGTCAACCACTTCCTGAGCTGTAGCTTCGTCCTTGCAGTGTGGGTTGGCTGCCACAGAGATCACGGCTCTTCTTCTTATGCAATCCTGGAACTTGCCGCCAAAGCCGCCGAAACCAGTCTTGCGGATCTCTCTCATCATTCGGCATTCTCCACTGAGCATCGATGCACGAATCTCTGTACAAGCGTGATGCTTCAAGTTGGTAAGATCAACCTTGAATTTCAAATGGTCATAAGCGTGTACAAGCTCATGGGTCAAAATATCTTCAAGCTGCCATTTATCTTGGATCCAGTTTGAGCACAACAAAATACCGTACTTGGGGTGGAAACCACCACCTTTCAAATCATCACATTTATCACAGATGATGTTATTCTTAGTCAAGTTTCCACCGAGCTTGTTCACATGCTCCATCATGAATCTAACACTTGGCGAATAATCAATCATCCAGTCTCTGAACTCGTCACATTGTCCGCAGTTCTTTTCCACGAGCTTGTGTCTATAGTCATGTTCAAACTGGGCTCTTTCGCTTTCAGAGATACCCAAGTTCAACCTGTACAGCAAGGAGCGTCTCCACCACTCGAAACCAGAGAGTTTTTCAGGCGGGGACGTCTCTAACGTCGACTTTTCAGGGACCATGGTGAAGAAGAACTGGTGGAAGCGTCGGAACTTATGCAGGAGATGCTGAATTTTGGCAGAGGCCCTAGCCACCCTAGTTAATGGTAACCAGTAGAATGTGGACTAAAAAAGGAAATAGGAAGCAATGGAGGATATACAAGTAGCTTGATTATCCGTTTCAAAAAGAAGCTTTTTTAGTTTCTCCTAAAAGTGGCAAATCCATGATCTCTACGTTTACATGGTTTTCTAATAGCGGGCCTATATAGTACAAGGGAAGCTTGCGAAGAGATATATCTGCCGGACAGTCGAAAAGCATCTCCACCTCCATCTTTAACTACCTCCATGGTTTCAAATATCTGGGTGGCTACGGCCGATAATGATCAGGCTCTTGTAAAGAAATACATCGAGTCTGGCGAATTTTCTGCAAATTCCAAGGACCCCAACGGGTACACCCCCATCCACGCTGCTGCTTCATACGGTCACATCGAGCTTCTTCGCTACCTTCTTGAACAAGGAGGAGATATAAATATCCAGGACGAGGAAGGCGATACGCCTTTGCATCATGTCGAAGACCTTACTGTCGCTACGACGATTGTGGAAGAGTTCAAGGCTGACTTCAAGATCAAGAATGCCGAGGGCCAGACACCAGCACAGTTCATAGAAGAGGAAGACGAGTTCCCAGAACTAGCAAAATATTTGCGTTCTTTAACTCATGACGAGCCATCCTCCTCTCTTCTAGACAACCTCCCTGCTCCAGGCGAAGCAAATGGCCATCAAATCCGTTACACTATGGAAGAGGACCAAGGCAATGGCGAAATAGACGAAGAAAGAAGAAAGAAGTTGGAAGAAATTGTTAACAGTGAAAACCCTGAAGAAGCTTTGAGAGAGTTGGTTACTTCAGCTGTCAGAGACGGATTGGCTCAATATAAGGAGAACGAGGAACCTGGCACAAAGAGGCGGAGGGAATAATGAGAGCATATGGACATGATAGTCTTACACTAACATCTGCAAATTGATAATAGACAGAGAACTGGCTAGAACTGAACTGTTTCAGGTGTGGCTGGTTCAGAGAGTGGAAGATGTTGGATAAGCTAACTCTTCTCTTTATCAAGAAACATCTCAGCGTATTAGAGCAGTCTTCGCTGATACATTTTTGAATAATTATTACGAATTGGTCTTTATAAGGTAAGAATACTGTAGAAGCCATCAAGGTGGAGCCGTATGGCGCCTGGAATTTTGTACAGGACCACGTCGCTACAATGGACGAATTTATCAAAATTGCCTACTCAATCCAAAAGACTAAAGCCATGATCAACGCAATTTTGGATTACCTCAAATCCGGAAACGTCAATCCTGACGGAACGGTCAGGTATGTGCTACTAGTTATCCAAAAAACTTAGATCGATTACTAACATGAAGGAAATTGTACTCCGCTTACACTTTGGATGAGTTGACTTCCATGGGCTTGCTTGGAAGAGTGAAGATCTCAGACTGGAGAATGGAAATCTTCACTTTGACTTTCACTCTTTTGTTTGTCATCTTCTTTAAAGGTGGTGATTGGTACAACTACAGCAAGGTGTCTGCTTTTCTTACTGGTGTGAAGGACGTCTTTGAAGACAACTTTGCCCAGTTCGGTATTGGAAATGGCAAATTGTATGTCAAGGATAGTGCTGAATCTTACTCCTCCTACGCTTCTGGCCGTGAAAACATTGAAAAGGTTAACATTTCTTTCAAGTTGGCCCCAAGACAGAACATCTTCTTGTGGATCATGGAGAGTGGATTCAGTTTCTTCACTGACTCTGTTCAAGCTCCAAAGGATAAAGTGGAGATTGTGGTTACCCCATCTGGTGACTACGAGAACTTCATCAGTGCTATTGTGTCTAAATTGGGTATGAGTGACTTCAGAAAGTTCAACTACTTTTTGGCTTTGACCAAGACAAGTGACTCAGAGAAGTTGCCTGAATCTTTTGTTTTCATGAGTGAAGCTAACGAATTCCACGAGAAGACTTTCACTGACAAGTTCGCTTCCACATTGAACTTGGGCTTGGCTTCAGTCGTGAGATTCCTTGCTTTCACTGACCAGCCAAACGAAAAGCCAGAGATTGTCCGTCATTTGGCTCCTCAGCGTAGGGTTATTTTGTCCTTGAACTTGCCTACTGGCAAGCAGGAGTTGAAGGAGGTTTCTGACCTTCTTGCTGGTATCTTTGACGTCATTGACCAATTGTCTGAGAAGAAGATCACTTTCAGACCAGAGGCAGTGAAGAAGGTTGTCAAGAACAGAGAGCTTGAGATCCAAAAGCTTCTCAAGATCGAAGAGGAGCTCAAGAAGGAGGCTGAGGCTGAAGAGAAAGCTAAGGTCAAGAGACAAGAGAGAGAAAAGTTCAGAAACTTGTCCAGAGATGAACAGTTGAAGGCAGAGAAGAAGGCCCAGGACAAGAAACAGAGAAAGGCTCAAAAGAAGATGAAGGTCAGAGGTTGATCTGCTACGCTTGGATTTCCAATTTTGCCCTTGTAAATCGTAATATCATGTTCTATCTATAAATGTACCTATATCTTACCTGTAAGTCGCCAGCCCCTGCCCACAGGGGTCTTGAATACCTCGGCCACGCCTGCCCCCAAAGCATCAGCCAAGATCCACATGAGATCATAGCCGTAGAAGGGCTTGCGAAAGTTGGCCTTATTTTTACCCTCCCATTTTTCGAATAGCTGTTCTTCAAGAAGCTCTTTGAATTTTGTCTTACTAAGAGTCTTGACAAGCCAAGAACGCCCCGAGTTTATCATTTTGAGGAATGTTCCACACCTTGGGTATGCCAAGGAGTACTGATGGACGTTTATCTCATTATGGTGATTTGAAGTCAAGGTCACGACGCCCGTGTTTACAAGGGCCGAGAGATGTTCAGCTGAAATATCTGTGGTACAGATGGAAAGCGCTTCAGGATGCTTGCTGACGAACTTGCCAAACTCCCTTAATGCGATAGCAGTATCCTCATCTGCGGTCTCAGCCATCTCTTCTATAAGTGCAAGGTAGTGTTGTATCTTAACAACCACTTCCATATTCTCATATCCATACGTCACCTTAGATTTCTGGCCTCCTTTACCTGTCCTCAGGATGACAGGCAGCGCATTAGTAATAATGAACTTCTTGACTAGACCATCACGGATACACATCTCGAGACTTCTATCCACAAAAGTGTTACCTTGGTCGTAAAACATGGAGTAAAGTTGATTTAGCGTAAGCATCCCGCCGTTCGGTAGCTGTTGGTGGCGATATTTGACGATCTCAGCTTTTGTCTCCATGGATAGACCTCGCAAGGAAAATAGTAGATCGTTCGCTGAGCTACTTTGGGCAGACTGCTCACTGTAGTATCGATTATGAAAGCAAGTCCTCTCAGCCCACTGGTTATCCACAACAGTATTTATAGCATCGACAACACTGGTATAATCTTGGATCTGGAAAGCGAGATGTACGTTTTGAGAAACCACCTCCAAGGGTTCCTCCACACTTTCCTCCTCTTTTTGCTTTTTCACCTCATTCTTTGGTTTCGGCTTGCTTTTGAGAGGCGATAGTGGACTTTTCTTAGACAGGGAGCCTGGTTTTTTGATTCTAGACAGATTCGCCGCTGTGAATCTTAGGCTTGACATAAAAAGGAAGAACTAGATAATGCGTGCGAATTTTTGCACCCATCCACTCTCTCTAGTACATACATGCTGCCTCTTCACTATTCCCAATACTAGTGTTCTATTTCTATGTACAGACTTAATAAAGCACAAGCTTTCTCTTGATGGGCTTGCCATCAGCGACCTTGATGTCACAAGTATAACGGCCAGGTTTGCTCACCTCGGATAATATGGCGCCTTCAGAATCTTCGATGCCAAGGCCATCTTCCAAGAATTCAACTTTGGTAGCTTCACTCAAGAAGGTACTGAGCGCGGCAAGAGTAGCTGGCTTAGGGATATCATCGAATGAGTAAAGTAACGATTCAGGCAATGAATCTGGGGTAGCTTTAGCAGCTGCTTGCGGCAGACCTCTTCTCAGTTTTGAACCACTCTTCATGTTGGAAAATAAGGACGATAATTCGTCTAATGATAATGCAGGCGTGGCGTCGACCTTTCCGCTCTTTGGTGCTGGCGCCTTCTTAGTTTTAGCTGGTGCTGGAGTCGTCACCTTAGGAGGTGTGAACACGGGTATACGAGGGCCGTGCTCTTTGGTGATGTAGCATGCCTTGTTGTCCACATGGAGAACGTTTCTCATGAATGCTGGGGCCACTTCTATGATCTGACCCTTGACACCATGTGGAGGGTAGTCCTGTAGTAACTGAACAGGCAACTTCTTGGAGTTGGCCTTAGTTAAGCTTCTAGTGAATTGTTTGGCTATGCAAACCTGACGTGTAGGGAGGGACATGGTCACTAGGCTTTCTACCTTAAGGTTGAGAGTTGAAAATTTTGGACTAACTGGATTTGTGTGGTGTACGGGTGGACCTCAAGCTGGACCAGGAATGGGCTTGATCAAGACATCACTACGTAGTAGAGAGCCAGTTATGGTGTTATGGAATAAATTTGTACCCGTCAATATATTGCTAAGGTGAATTCAGATTTCTTGTGTTTCGTATTCTGTTTGTCTACAAGCGTGTGTCCTTCTTAAGTGATATCAGTTGCAACCTGAACCAGCGAACGGACTGTTTTTATAGAATAAAACCCATCAGAGGGTTTCACTTGATGAGTCAAAATTTGTTCAATTTGTTCTTTTTATGGAGGAAGCCGTGTGTGTTTAAAGTTCATTGAAGGTGGCCCTGCTGCCTCGCTGCGTACCCCATATAATAATGGTACAGGAAACTGATGCTCATCGCTCCAAGCACCTACGCTTTCTTGCTAATGGAAGACAAACACTGCTTTATATGTCTAGAAAAGGAGTATAAATATACTTGTCCCGCGTGTGGTACGAAAACATGCTCAGCAGAATGTGTCAAGCGCCACAAGCTTCGATCAGAGTGTACTGGTCAAGTTGATCCTACCAAGTTTGTGGCTAGGAAGGACATTTCCAGCGATCCGTCCTTAGTGAATCGAGATTATAACTATCTACTCAACTTCGAGAGGAAGATCGGCCTTGGGGTGAGTGATGTGAAGCAAAATGCTAAAATGATGTTCAGAAGGCAGCTTGGTAATCCAAATAAGAGACAGAGACTAGGTAAGGAGGATACAGATCCAAGGCTTGTAAGGGTTAACAAGAGATACAATTCACCTCATTACGCTCTTAAAAGGGATAACGTTATGGTTGTTCACCTTCCGTCCGGGATGTCCCGCTCTATACAAAACAAGTCGGGATACGACAAGAAGGCTGGCACCTACACCTGGACAGTGGAATGGGTCCCAGTTGGAACAGATGGCAAGCCTCTCAAGAGTTTCACCTCTTTTAGAGTAAAAGAAGAAACTGTTCTTAGAGACGCTGTTCCTCATTTAGCATTTGCTTCGAGCATGGGAGTTGAGCCTGGGACAATAGAGGCCGATAAACTCCATTTTAGTCTCGAGAACATCATTAGCACCAAATCACGCTCTGTGATTCCTTTAAACGCCGAGGAAAGTATCGCTACTGTTTTAGCAAACAAGGTGGTATTGGAATTCCCGAAGATTTACATCTCCACCTCTGCAAACACCTTGGAGGAGTACGCTGAGAACGAAAAACTAGCATATGGCATTGAGAGTGATCTGGATAGCAGTTCCGATCTGAGCTCCGATTCAAGTTCCGATCTGAGTTCAAGCAGTGACTCGGATTCGTCAGACTCTGACAGTGATTCTGACGATGCCCCAGAGGAGACCTCATCTAAAGTCCCCAACCTCGAGGATGCACCTCTTCCAACCACGGAAACGAAACCTCCTATAGAAATAGTTCCACCGAAGACAGAGGAATATCAGGAAGAAGAAGGATTTTCAGCATAAACTTGCATAGCATAATATACATGGTCATTTATGGGTATCATCTAACAGTAGGCGGTAGAGAGTGCGCACTAGTGGAAAGCTAAAACGATGAGGTTCACCAACTAGTACCTACCACGCTCCATTCCATGAACGTATTCAAAAAGGCTCTGGACAGCGATAGAAACTTCCAATCATCGCTTTACATTGGTAATCTAGATCCTCAGGTTGACGAGCCTCTACTATACGAGCTCTTCATCCAGCTAGGCCCAGTCAAGCTGCTCTATCTACCGAAAGATAGGATTCTGCGAAAACACCAAGGGTTCGGTTTCATAGAGTTCAGAACTCCTGAAGATGCTGGCTATGCTCTTGAGATTCTTCGAGGTATCAGACTATATGGGCGTATCTTGAAAATGAAGAAAACAGACCCTAAGCATGGTACGTCATCTACCTCTAGTGCAGGCGCTGGAGATGAGGTGGGCTTAAGCATAGGCGCTAGACTCTTCGTCAAAAACTTGAACCAAATGGTGGATGATAAGTATTTGAAGGAAACCTTTGGGAAGTTTGGAAACCTTATAGAGAACCCACTGATAGTTAGAGATGAGGAAGGAAACTCAAAGGGCCATGGGTTTGTGGAGTATGACAGTTTCGAGGCCAGTGATGAAGCAATTGAGAGGATGAATGGTGCCATACTTATGAATAATAGGGTCACCGTGGAGTACGCTTACAAGGAGGGCAAATCGAGGCATGGCGACAGCGTCGAGAGGCTACTCGCTGAGAAAGCTAAAACGAACGTTAAGAAACCAGTGCCCACGAAAACCAAGAAGCCAAGAAGGGGTCAACAGTAGTATGTGGTTAAGAAGGTTCAAAGATCTAGAAGTTTATTGACTACTGGCAACTGGTAAAGTGGCGGTCTAGAGTACTGAAGACGCTTCCAACAACATGAACCTGGCCGAAGTAGTCATCAAGTCATGTTACAATCCATACTTAAGCAATCAGCATATAGAAACCAGGGCTCGAAGAATGAGTGAAAAAATAATAAATTGGGGGTGCAAGCGGAAAACCTGTCAAACTGTCAAACTCGCATTCGCCTATGTACGGCTTTCAATCCTATAGACGGCAGAACAAATGCGGCAATTGTACAGTTGCTCAGTTACTATTTTAACTAATTTTAATATAGAGAGGTAGATTTTTTGTATATATCCGATTTGGGTATCTTGTGGCGGCAATGTTTCTCGCCAAATCCGTCGTTCATGCATTTTGTGGCGTCAATCGGTCTCGGAGTTATTTGGGACTGTGGTTCTGATTACTAACCAGCCCCTTGCAGGGTTGGACTATAAAATCAACCCTTTCGTCCAATTTAGTTGTAATATACCCTAATTGCCATCTAATCAATCATGTCAATCCCAAAGACCCATTACGTTTCTATTGCAGAGGAAACCTCAGACTCTCCAGATGTTATCCAGTACAAGGAGGTCGAGGCCCCACAAATCTCTGGACCTCATGACATCATTATCAAGAACCAGTACGCTGGTGTGAACTTTATTGAGGTCTACTTCAGAAAAGGTATCTACCCTGCTGAACTTCCTATCATCTTTGGTAGAGAGGCATCTGGTACAGTTGCTGCAGTTGGATCAAGCGTCAAAGACTTCAAGGAGGGAGACAAGGTGTTCTACTTGGCTCCAAAGACTTTCGCCCAATACACCAAGGTTGTTCATGACGAGAGCTATCACTTCATTCACAAGTTGCCAAGTGATACCTCTGTGGACAAGTTGAAGTTGTTTGGTTCCATTCTTGTCCAAGGCTTGACTGCAATTACATTTGCCAATGAGGCTCATCCAATCAAGAAAGGTGACTTTATTGCTGTGTGGGCTGCCGCTGGCGGTACTGGTCAAGCCTTTGTTCAGTATGCTACTTCCTTGGGTGGCCGTGTGATCGGTATTGCCTCAACTGACGAGAAATTGGATCTTGTCAAGAAGTTGGGTGCTGAATTCACTGTTAACTCGCTGAAGGGTGATGTGGCCAAGGAAATTAAGGAGATCACTAATGGTAAAGGTGCTGATGCTGTCTTTGACGGTGTTGGAAAGGACGTCTTGGATACCAATCTTGACCTCCTTGCACGTAAAGGAACCTTCGTTTCCTTCGGCCACTCTTCTGGCTTCATTCCACCATTGGATATCGCTAAGTTGAGTCCAAAGAATCTTAGATTCCTTTCTCCAGTGATCTTCAACTATGTTCAAACCAAAGAGGAATGGAACCATTATATCGAGATCTTGATCGACCAAGTTAACTCTGACCGTCTCAAGTTCACTCTTGAGACTTACCCATTGAAGGACTACGCCAAGGCCACCACTGCTTTGGAGGCCAGGAAGACCACCGGTAAGTTGGTGTTGGAAATTCCCCAGTAAGTATGTTCATTAAATTTTATATGACGACTAATTACAAGCGTGGTCTTGAATGTTCGTATTTGGTGAGGTCCTCTGGAGTCACCACACCGTAGACCAAGCTGCCCTCTCCATTAGTAATAATAGCAAAGTAGTTTCCGGCATTGAAAAACTCAGCAAGTGTCTCCAAAGGAGTCAACGGAGTAAGCACATGATAATGTTTGCCCTTGCCAGCCTTTGGTTTCACGATCTTAGAATTGAGTGGTGTGGCTGTTCTTTTGGAGAAGTTCTTCTCATACTTTTCTCTGGCCTTTTGACTAAACCAAAGCATGTAGTTCTTTGTTATAGGCTCAACACTGTCAAGCTTATTTTTCTCCAAGTGTTCGACGTTCAAGACACCTAGAAGAGTCTTGTGGTCTTCATCAATCACTGGCAAGTATGTGAACTCATTTTCAAACGTGACTTCCAAAGCCCTGTTAATGGAAGTTGATGGGTTTATAGAGATGGCTGGACGGATATCTAAGTCTTCCACTGTGGCCCACGGTAGTCTATCTTTGGGAAATGGACTGAAGAAGACATGGTTTGATGTAGTAAAGAGGTGCAGGAGATTTGGGATGGGTGCTTATTTCGTGTGAGCCTGTAGTACTACTGCGAAAAAGTTACTTCCGCTGCCTGAGCATAGTGTATAAATTAACGATATTTAATTAAGCGGCCTCGGCCGTCGAATGCAGTCCACTTTGTTGTCTCCTAGAATCTCCGTCATTGACTTCTCCTTCTTCTCTAGCCACTCTTCTCCAGACGTCCTCGTCGTTACCCAGGGCTAGTACACCGATTCTCATGGTTGCAAGGAGATTGACTGCAGCAGTCAGGTGCCCGTAAACACCGCCATAAAATGCTTTAGTGGCATCTTTTCCATGGGAAGCTTTGAGCAATGCAATTCCTCCAGGATGCTGGTCCATGAACGGAGTGATGTCATGAATAATGTTTTGTATCACAATATAGATACGATGCTTATCATCTGCTGTACCGCAAAGTCTTTTAAACTCTTTGGTGGTGATCATTGGTAATTTGGAAATAGGTGTGCCCCAATTCAATTGACTTCTTCGTCTATTGAGAACAGCTTGTTGCTGCTGGATCTGAAGCTGAACCACGAGGTTTGCAGGGGTCCTTGATACATCTTCAACTAAGCGTAGATGATGAAGCACTGCAATAAACCACTTTGTAGGATCATAAGCCCACAAGGCAGAGCTATCTCTATAATCGTGAGGGAACTCATGGTGATAGTTTTGCAGATTTTGACCAAACGAGATCATTGCAAAAACAGGGTTCATGCAATTGACCAGCGAGTTTTTATCATTGAATGGCTGGGTGGGGAAAGTAAATGGCAACCTCCTGGCATGGCCAAATGACTCAGTACTGAGAAGCAGCTGTTGGCAAGCGCACATTCTCAACAAACCAGGGTATATTAAGCCATTGATCCAGGTATCTTTACATAAATAAACGGATACAATGATAGGTAAAATGATTGTTGAGAAAATGAAGAACGACCAATACTTCTTCTCTTGCCATATGATGTATTGCCTGGTGAAATTTTCATAGTGGGTACGAGATCTTTCTCCAGTGTACTCGAGCTCGTTGGGAGCCAATTCGTCGGTACTAAATTCGTTCTCCACGAAGTCTCTGAAGAATGCATCCGATCTTGGTCTCTTCAAAAGCCAACCCCAATGAGCCCATAGGAAACCTCTTTTGATGGAGTACGGATCCTTATCGGGGTCGTCAGTGTATTGATGATGAGCTCTATGAAGTCCTGCCCACCATCTTATAGGTCCTAGACCCATGCTTGCTCCGAAAACTGCAAAGTAGACTTGTACGAACCCGTATCTGGGGCGAAACAGGGTATGGGCATAGCACTTATGGTAGCCCGCAGTGAAGGCTAGTATGGTGAAAATGTGGTAGAATATGCAAAAGTATAGTGTTGCTGTGTTTTCCGGTAGAATGCTGAGTTTTTGGTGTAGCAAATACGTGAAAGCAGATAATGGCAAGATGACTGAGGTGACAACCATAGGATAACTAATCCGCAAGAAGAAGTTGTTCTTCCGCTTTCTCATGTCATTGATACGTGCATGTCGTTGTGAATCGCCATTTCCAGATGGCTTTATTCTCCTTTTCTGGACTTTGACGCCATGAATGTTGGGCGAAGAAGACATCCCCAGGCAAAGACGATGTAACCGGTTCCGCAGATGGATGTGAAATGGTGCGAATTTGACTGGATCGCGTTGATACCCTGCCCTGGTGAACTTACAATTCAAATGTCTCTTTAGATGGAGAGAGAAAATTAGTAGGTTCAACTAGTCAACTTATTAGATCGAAGGGGTTGCTGAAACTTTTTTTTTTTCAAGTGAGTTTACGTTAGGTTTGCTCTCATTGTAAGCCAACACGAATTTGAAACTTTAAGGTTTTTATGCGAATTGCAGCCATTTCGCATTAAAGCGGGACATTTGCAAAAATAATTATAATGCAAACGAGTAAACATATTGATGAAAAGTACAAGAAATGACATAAAGAAGCAGATCATGGCAAGAAAAGTAATGACACAGAATAAAGAAACATAGAGAAAGCGAGGTTTCTGGATTATGACTCTCATTTGACATCTGATAACGTGTGGAATGGTATTCCAAACACTTCACTACACCACTATTTACCCGTGTCTTCTGGAGATAACAAGTAGCATTGAATATTTTAGCTTTTTTAAAAATACTTTTATATCTAACACTCATTGACCACTGACACCTGATAGTGATTTCCAGCCTCTAGTGTAGCAACACCGGATGTACAGGTGTAACTCTCACCTTAACATTTTGTCAATTGTTTTCAACCAAACAGTATCCACCTATCAGTTATGGCATCCCCTCAAGGCTACGCACAACGGCCTCAAAATGCCGTGTCGGAGGCTCCATCAAAGGTTTACCAGCCTGCTACTGCCGCCCCGGCTGTTTCCTACACACCCACGGAAATCAACATTCCTTCCAACTTATACGACAAGGTACCAAACTTGAACCTCTACAAGAAGCTTCAGGATGCTGAGAAACAATTAGACTTGCTCATAGCTCAGAAAGGATTAGACTTCCAATCCGTGCAAGCATCTTCAATGCAGCCAAATAGCTTGAAGAGAGAGTCTGGTATCTTACGTGTTTTCATTTACAACACATGTGAGAACCAGCCATGGCAGAAGAACCAATCTAGCGTGAATGATGGCCCAAATAATGATTCATCCTGGACTTTACGTGTGGAGGGCCGTTTCATCACCGATAACAAGGATAAGTCTGAGACAGAGGACATGAAATTCAGCTCTTTCCTCTCTGGTATCTCTATTGAGATTGTTCCAAATAACGACTATCAATCCTTGCAGGGGAGTCAGTCAAATGTGATTGAATGGCGTAATGAAGCAGACAATAACCATGGCGCTAACCTGCAACTAAAAAACGGCTCTCCGCTGTGGCTGTTTGACGGCATCGATGTGAAGCGTCAGGGTGTATTCCCCATCAAGGTTAAGGTCGCTATCTTAGCGAAGGACTATACTTTCAAGCTCCTGGTGTCAGAAGAAATGGCTCAATTTACTGGTAAGCGCGAGGCCTCTCAGCAGGAGTTGATTTACCTGGTTTGGCAGTACGTTTTGTTCAAGAAGTTGTTCAAGAAAGCTGAAAGCTACCCTAATGTTCCAGCTGTCTCTGCTTCTTCGCTTTCATCGCAATCGCTTGGATCACAAGGTGACGAGGAAACTGATTTATCTGTTGTCCAGTGTGACGAGGTGTTGAAGGGATTGTTGAAGGTGGATGCTTTCAAATTCAAGGATCTTTACCAATTGATTCAGCCTCACTTGCGTCCTCGCCAGCCTATTGTTGTCGAGTACGAGGTGGACACGACAAGGTCTACCACATTAGGTGATGTTGTTATCGATATCCCAGTTGAATTAGCTTTGTCAATGAGCAAGATCGAGAAAGAGATCATCGATGAAAATAAGAAGGCTTTTGAAAGCATGTCAAAATCAGATGAGCTCGTGCAATACCTCAACCAGCGTATTTCTCTTGGAATTGTCGCTCTACAGAGTGCTAATAACAGGGAACAATTCTACAGAGACTTGAGCGAGGACCCAGTTGTCTTCATCAAGAAATGGTTGGAGAGCCAAGCTGAAACCTTAAAGGCATTGAAGAGCGAGGAAGGTTTCAACGAGGAAGAAGTAAGAAAGGCCGAGTACTTCAAGGAACATGAGCAAGAGTTAAGACAAAAGATTGATCTCATGTTAGGTGCTCAGAAGATTTGAGGTTTATGAACGGAAGCTGTACCATTAGTCTTATTAGAAACTGTATATTATTAAAAAGTATTTTCTTTCAAACGTCTACTCCAGATACTCTTCGTCATCATCATCCGCTGGTTCACCTTCATCGTATGAATCGTCATCGTCGTCATGCATGTGTTCGTCATAGCCTTCTTCGAAAGCATTCATGTAAGAACTTGATTTAGAAACATTATAGTCGACCTTCTTTCTGGCCGATCTTGAACCCGCAGCACCAGCTGTCTGTTCCATGTTTTCGAAGCTTTCCATAAGCGGAGCAATCAAAGAAAGATACTGGTGCATGTAAAGTATCGGCTTGTAGGCAACACTATTCTGAGATATCCGTGAAAAATCGTCTGGGACATTAGATGCCAAACCCAATTTCTGAGCTAGATGCTTGTTAAAAGCGATTAGCTCGCTGGCATTAGCCGCAACCTCATACCAATGCTTCGAATTGTCATATTTAGGAGGCATTTGCACTTCATTGCCATCCTTGTCAAATTCGACACCAAACACTCTTAAAGAATCTAGGAGCACCGAATGAACATCTTCAACGTAGAGCTTAAATCTAGATGGAATACTAAGTTTTATGCCAGTAGGATCTTTCGCTACCGCCTTCATTCTGTCGACACTAGAGATGCCGCCTCCTGAGGGCTCAGCCATTCTCACCAAGTAGAACCGTCCAATCCTGAAACCACAGTCTCCGACAATAAATTCATTAAGTCTGAGAGCCATTGGATGGACAACAGGATCAGAGGTTGGATCAATGTAACGTTGCGTGGAGTCAGGGTCGGGGGTGCCTTGTGGAGACGCGTTGGTTTTACCCTTTTTAGCGAGTTTCGACTCGAGATCCTTCTTGAGTTCAGTCGTTTGAGAGAAACCCTTGAGTATCGGCCTCGAAGCGTAAATAGTGTCTTTCTCACCAGCAATTTCTTGCTTATTCACAACCTGTGCAAGATGTGTTTTGAGGACATTGGATGCGGAAAGACTCCAAAGAACCAAGCAGCGAATCATAATTAATCTATCAACGGGGTTTGAGATACCCGCAAGTCCCTCCTCTTCGAAGCTTCGTTCATGCATTGGATTGAGTTTTTCCAGTGGAGCCAGATATTCATAGTTATCCTCCTCAGAAACTGGAGGTTTTGAAGGATCAACCCTGTCAGCCTCATCCGTAGGCAAGGAAGTGACAACACGTGTGAGCGAGTCATCTCTCCATTCTTCAGGTAAACCAAATGATATGTAATTCGATCGGAGGTCCTGAACGCCACTTTTGTAGTTGCCAGGTGTGATCACCTTCTTTCTATTGAGCACAAGTGTGAGTAACTTGCAAAATAAGTCGTCCATGGTTCGGGACACGCCGGTCAGGCCACCGCCTTCGCCAGTGTTAGCTAGACCCAATCCTTCTTCTATATCCTGTGGACCAATGTGGCCAACGTAAAGGATCTCAGGGAATTTGGCCAAGAAAGCCATGATGAAAATAACGTCTGACAGATACGGGTTTCGCTTGACATTAAAGCCAAGACCCACGGGTTCACTTGCGACAGTAGAATTCTCTTTCACCTCAAAAAGGTTATCATCATAAAGATCATAGTGGAGGGCAACTAGCGGGCCTGGGTATGTTCTGGTTATTCTATTCTTCTCCCTAACGATGGAAGTCCTCGTAATTTTATTTCTGAACTTTAGCGTAACCCGTTTAGTCTTTGGTGCTGGTTCTGACTTTACCTTTGATTTCCCATTGCTTTGGGTTTTAGTGTTTGTCTCAACAGGTTTGCTCAGATCATCGGTCTTGCTCAAGTCAGCATCCTTGGTCGACTCGTCTTTTTCATCTTTGCTATCTGAAACAACGCTGGTAATATCCAGATGTAAAGCTTCCGACTTGATCGGTTCAGAAAGTACTTCCACGTCCGAATCAACAGGTGGAGGGCTTTCGACTTTTGGTGTCTCGTTCACAGTCAGTTCATGCTTTTCTGGGACATTGGAATCAGTTAACGCGTCCGCTGGCTTTTCAGAGTCATTGGCTTGGATTCCCACGGACGTGCTATTGTTCAAAGTAGCAAAGTTAAGGACGGATTGTTTTCTTTTCTTCGTCGCTGTCGACTCGGTGAGTTTGCCCAGGCGCTTTCTGTCGTCTGGGTCACCACCCCTAGAGCCGGGACCTTCCAAAGGCATATTATCCAACCGAAACTTGAGTAGCTTTGAAGTCTCAAGATTCTTCAGTGCTATTTCAACCGAAGAAGCAGTGTTGTTGGCACCTAGATGTTTCCTTGGTCTACCAAGACGTTTCGCTTTTTCGTTAGGGTTATATGCAATTTGGTATAGAGCACCACGCTCAGGCCCATGAGGCTGAGGGTCGATGTCTTCAGCATTTGCAAGTTTAAGGAGCGAACCAGCTTGGTCTGTCGAAATGGGTGATGTCTCATGCAAATTGTCTAGATCCACCATTTTCAAGGCGTCCAAAGTGGCTCTGTCGTAGTCCTCATGGCGGTCGATGAACTCTTCGAACTCAAACACGTTCTTGATATTCTGCTCTGCAGCGTCCTTCGCCAGCGAAGGTTCATTGTTCGTAGACAGCGTAAGAGCAGCCACTTTACTATCTACACTTTCTGGCTGTCGGAGTACATCACCGACGTCTGGATGTTGGACCATGGTAGTATAAGTGAAGAGGGTGTGTATGTGTGCAGTCAAGAGAGCCCTGGTCGGAACGGGAGTTTTCCAACCTCCGAATGCACCCAATAAAAACACTGCCCCCAAGCAAGGCTTTTAAATTTTTTGATTTACCTTTGAAAGTCGGAGAAGTCGGTCGGTATGAATTGAAAAATTCAGCCGGTTCCTGAATGTGACCTATACATTACTAAGCCGCAACTGCCATATACCGTTTTGCAAGATGAAACAAGGTGTAGTTGGAGAACCCCAAGGAGGTCACACAGAGTCCCTGAAACCCCATACTTAGTGTTTTTAAATAAACTTTTCCAATCCCGTTGCATCCTCTTGGATAGTCCGTATCTGTACAATTATGTACCACAAAGCTAACAAGCTTCGCCAGATAGTGCTCTGCGCATACTGAAGAAAACTACAGTACCTAAAGAAATGTATAATGCTTTACACTACCCAAACTCGCCGCGAACGGCTGGTCCAGGTAACCATATGAAAGCATCAACTACTCTGACCAATCAACCAGAGGAAGTGGTAGCCCCACGGCAAAAGTAGGCAGGGAACATGACTTCACCGGTAGATGCCCAAAAAAGGTAGTCTCAGTGAAATTTTTTTTTTGCAAGCCGCTGTATAAGCCGCTCTCTTGCATCGCATGTAGCCAGGAACCTTCCAAAGCTGTAACCCAAGAAAAAAGTGACACCTGTCAATGTTTTTATAAAACCAATTTTTCCAATTAAACCTTCTCGTTGGCCCTTTCTTACTCCATTCAAGCTCTCTATGACAATGCACATTTGTGTCAAACTGCGCGTGGGATCCACGGTGGCTCGGCGTTCATGTGTCAAAGATGCGCAGCTAACAAATGCCGGATAGCTCGGTGACGGCAGGTATCTGGCCCGAGAAGCCGTTAGGGCAGCCATTGAAAAAACCAAGCAGCCGATGAACTTCAACGGGTTTCAAGAGGAAGAAAGAGGTCGAAGGGGTTCATAAAGACTTGTAATTCAAAGAGAAATCAGGCACATTGACTAGGTAGAAGAGTTCTCTTAGTCATCGGTTGGTGCGTCAGACAGTTCTGGGCGTTAGCACGGCTTGTATTTTCTGAGGTTTTCCTCATTTTTCCGTCGGCATACACCAGCCTCTGTAACCGGGCATCATCACCGCTGGGAATATAAAGAACCCCTCGAATCCGGTGTCTTGTAAGACACTGCACAACTTTTTCTTTTGCCCCCCTTTGATCATCCTTATTTGGACTTTGCCAACATCCAGACTTTCTTCACATCGCCCGCTTATCCGCCATGCCTGAAACTAGACTTTCAGAGAACGGAAATGACAATGCCTTTCCTGAGCACACAAGACCCCCGCATGTTACCACCGAGCAGCCGGAATCGCTGCAATTACAGCCGAACAATGTTTCTGACTCAGTTTCTTCTTCTACAAGACAGTCTTTTGACGAGCATGATCCCATGAAGCTGGGACTCGAGAAGAATAACAGCAGCTCTTCCGAAAACGCTCCACAAGCTTTCACCGGCGCTGACATGGAGGCATACCGCAGACCATCCACTGAAACTCACTCGTTCGCTGACGAGGAGTTATCTAGAGAAATGAGCAGACGCTTGACCAACGCTGATGAGCTCCAGAAATTAGCCCTAGAGTCTGATGAGCCCATGCCTACCATGGGAGCAGGAAAGGACTACCCACCAATGCTTCCTAAGAGAGATCCATACGCTGTGGCTTATGACGGGCCAGACGATCCATTATTTCCGCAGAACTGGGGTTTCTGGAAGAAGGTGTTTTGCTGCGCTAACGTCGGCTTGTGTGCTTTGTCGGTATCCCTTGGCTCTGCTATGTTCGCTGCTGGCTCCGCACAGATCATGGAGCTTTTCGAGGTTGGTTCTACTGTTGCCACGCTAGGAACGTCGCTTTTCGTCTTCGGCTTCGCCTCTGGCCCCGTTATCTGGGGACCCATGTCTGAATTGTACGGAAGAAAGATTGTTCTTTTACCTTCAAGTTTCGGTTACGTCTGTTTCTGTATGATGGTTGGTGCTGCTAAAGATATTCAAATGGTGATGATCTGTCGTTTCTTCGCTGGCTTTATCGGCGCCGCCCCATTAGTCGTTGCTCCTGCTGTACTTGCTGACATCTTTACAGCTAAGACTAGAGGTCAAGCAATGTCTGTTTTCGCAATGGTCTTGTTTGGTGGTCCTATGTTGGCCCCAATCATTGGTGGCTTCATCGCCAAGAACCCTGACATGGGCTGGAGATGGACCTCGTACATTGCCGGTTTGATCGGTGCTGTATCATTCATTTGCCTTACTCTCTTTTTGGATGAGAGTCATTCTGCCATTATTCTTATTAAGAAAGCTGAAATCTTGAGAAGAAGAACCGGTAACTGGGGTATTCACGCTCCACATGAAGAAACAAGCTTGTCTATTAAGGAAATTGTGGAGAAGAACATTTCTAGGCCCTTGGTGATGTTGTTCACTGAACCAATTTTGTTTTTGATCACCCTTTACAACGCTTTCATCTATGGTTTACTTTACTTGTTTTTGACAGCAGTGCCTTTGATCTTCCAGGGTAGATACCGTTGGGCCCAAGGTGTCGCTGAGTTGCCCTACATTGCGATGTTCATTGGTACCTTCATCGGCGGTCTTATCACTATTTATATGGAGAGAGGTTACGGAAAAGCAATGGATAAAAACAACGGTGTACCTGTTCCAGAGGCAAGATTGCCTCCAATGATGGTTGGTGCATTTTTCTTTGCCATTGGTTTATTCTGGTTAGGATGGACTGGTGACTTCCCTGAAGATGTCCACTGGATTGTTCCTACCATCGGTACAGCCCCTATTGGTATTGGTCTTCTTATGATCTTCTTGCCATGTATGAACTACATCATCGATTGTTACCTCCTTTATGCTGCTTCTGCTTTGGCCGGTAACACTTTCTTGAGATCTGCATTCGGTGCCGCCTTCCCACTTTTCGCCAGACAAATGTTCGTCAATATGCATATCAAGTGGGCAGGCACCTTATTAGGCTGTGTGGCCGTTGTCATGATTCCTGTGCCTTTCTTGTTCTACCGTTTTGGTAGAACTATCAGAGCCAAGTCTAAGTACGCCTTTGTGCTTTAGGCTCCACGCTGTTTCAATAATCCAAAGAGGAAATCGCATACCCCAAAACCCATAAGCATTTTATATAACCTTCATCTAGGTCATACAATAATTTATTAATTCCAGTATTCGACTTCTGTAGACAAGCTCGACTCAGAGCGAGATTCTTTTGCAACCGCGACACGTGACAAACGCGGTACTTTAAATGTGTTGATGGCTCACACGTTCTTTAACGACACAGCAAAGATGGACTACGATAATTACGGTGACGGTGGTTTCAGCGCCGATGCTCAGTATTCTGACTATAATAACTCTCAGCGTCAACAAGTTAGGAATTCTCTAAGTCCTGTTACTATTAAGGAGATCAATGACGCTACCCAGCCTATCCCAGATGGTGAGTTCGTGATCAATAACGTGTCTTTGAACATGGTTTCTTTCGTTGGCGTCATTAGAAGGGTTGAGAACAGTGGAAGTGCCATTAATATTACCGTGGAAGATGGAACTGGGTCTTTGGAGGTGAGGAGGTGGATTGATGAGAAGATCGCCACTGCTGCAGAAGAAGCAGAGAAGTTCATGGGTTTGGAAAACAAGTACGTCTACATCACAGGCGCCTTGAAGGAGTTTAACCTGAAAAAGAGTATCCAACATGCCACTATTCGTGAGATCACAGACCATAACGAGATTGCTTACCACATGCTATACGCGATTTCAAATCACTTGGAGGCTCAAGGTATCCTAGGCAAGAGTGGCTTGCCAAAGAAGGAGGAAAATGGCCTCTTTGTACAAGATCACGAGAATGGTACGAACGGTACGAACGGTACATCAGATGTTACTAGGAAGATCGAAACAGTGATTCAGGATAACACTGGTTCCATGCAAGAAGGTGTTCCAATATCATGGATCAGTGAGAAATTAGGCGTTTCCATTGATGTGGTGAGAGAAAAATGCCAACACTTGTCTGAGCAGGGAAAGATCTATCAGGGTTACGATGAGGGTTCGTTTTTGAGTGTATAAATAATATAGGTAATGACATGTTTCTAAATATCTATGTTTGCTTTAAGTCCCCGAAATACACTTGTTGAAGATCTGAATCACTCACCGATTCACTGATTCCAGAAAAGACTCTACCGGTACTTTTCTCTGACGTTAAACCGAGTGATAACGCGTACGATTCGGCAGTTTTGAGTTCATCGTCTGCTAATGGTGCATCCTTTGAATCTTCTTGTTCCTCCATAGTGGTGTCTAACTTCCGTCTCTTTGTTTTCTTCTTCTTCGCTTCCTTAGCGTTGGCTTTCAAGTATTCGAGTCTATTCCTTGTTCCAAGTGCGACGATGTTCTCCTCAACAGAATTCTCGATACCAAACATCCACACAGTAGTGACTTTCGTTTGTCCAATCCGATGAATTCTTGAGATCGCCTGTAACTCGACGGGAGTGTTGACTAGCGGCTCGCACAAGAAGATATGAGCCGCATTTATGAGCGTCAATCCACTGGCTTGAGCTTGTGCATTTAATAGGAAACATGTTTTAATGTCATCTTTCCTCTTGAATTCTTCAACAGGATCCTCCTTCTTGTTCTTGTACTGAGCCACATGAGATCCCTTAGCAGATACGTACGTAATACCCGCCATATCCAAAGCAAAAGCCAAGATAACCAAAAGATCTTGCCATTGACTGAAAATCACAATCTGTGCTTCAGGATCCTCGCTTCTTAAATAAAGCGCCTGCTTAACTATCAAATCAACTTTTGATCCATAGGAATTTTGAAGCTTGATCTGAGAAATTCTCCTCAATGTCTCATCATCAAGCTGTCTGTAAACCTGGTGGACAGCAGCCGATTCAGCGCCATCTTTGTGACTTGCGGCATCATGTGTACCGTTCTCAACCGACTTTGCTTTAAGGTCTGAACTGTAGTGTGTGAAATGGTGAACGGTGTCTCTGGTCGTATATGTTTTGCAAATAGGACAAGATGAACGAGATTTGAGCCATTCTTCCAAACAAGCCTTGCAAAATTTATGACCACATGGTGTAAGCGAGCCCACAACGATCTGTGATTGACAGATGACACAGTCGTTGGATTCGTTGTCTCCGTCCTCTTCCTTTATGGCGAGCTCCTCCTTGGGTATCAAAGTCGAAAGGTAACGGAAACGTGAAACAGCCCTTGTAAGTTTCCTTTGCGCTGCAGTGAAAAGCATTAAATGGGATGCCACTTCTGAGTTCACTTTGGAAGGCTCAAGATTATCTTGCTCAGTGCAGTAAGTCTTACCTTGCACACTGTCTGAGATTTGCTGCAACTGCTTGAAGTATTCGACTCTAGCATTGAAAACGGCATTGTAACTGGAACTCATCTCTTTCTGTAAGAGTTCCTGGCAGTTCTTCTCGTTCTCAAATATGCTTCTCAATGCTTCTGCTACCTCATGGAATGTTTCGCCTTGCACGCTTCTGGCTTCGCCCATCTCATGTTCCAAAAGCCTAACGTCTTGCAATAACTCTTCAAGAGACAAGTCAGACTTGGGCTTACAATCCGTCCGACTCTTTTGAAGTACACGAAGAAATGCTTTGTCAGTAACACGCCTTGCTTCCTCCTTCAAATCTCTCTCTTGCTTCTTCTTCACCTCCGTTGAGCGTGTCTTCTTCTCGAGTATGGTGTTTGACCGGTCCATCAAAAGTTGGGAAATGACCACCATGAGACAAGCAGCTCGATCTTGATCTTCCAAAGACTTCTCATACTCTTCACCATCCGGACTCTTTTCGTCAGATAATAGCGGGTTACATAAAAGCTGCACCAATTGATCGACAAATTCTGTGATAACTTCCGCTTGTTTATTGAGCTCGTTTACCACGTTACCGATTTGAGTCATAATCTGTTTCACCTTGGTGGTACCAACAAGCTCTTGCCATTCATCAATATCTATCCGTGGAATTCCCTTCATGAGTTTTCTGGATGTTTTTGGAAACGTAGTTTCACCATCATTTATCATTTTCAGTTTGTCGACAGTAGGCTTGTTTGAGATACGCTTTAATGTGACTTCATGGACGTCTTTTATAGAATGCTTCAAGATATCCTTTCTGCTTTGTTCTGCAAGCTCGTAGAATTTCAGCTCAAGATGTTTATGGCGCTCTACCTTTTGCTCCTGTAGAGACAAGTCTTCTGGAGTTTTAAATCCGTCCAAATAATTAGGTATTTGATAGCCTTTATCACCGTTCAGTCCACTGTGAAGCCTGAGATGATTAATTTCATCAGACTTTAAAAGCTTGACACCAATAGTGTTACTCTCTAACGTGCTTAATGAGTCAAACTCACATTTCTTCTCCGAAATCTTCTTCTGGTATTCCTCATCGTAAAGTTGAAAATGCGCTGATGCCAACAAAAAGTAGCATTTATGCTGAAGCATCTTCAAGGAACGAAGCCTGACTCTATCAGCAGTAGTCGACTCTTTGAGTTTTTGAAACTTGGAAATAGCCTCGTGAACTTCTGCATCGTTTGCTACTGCCGGCTCCTCCTTCTTAATAACGGTTTTATCATCTTCAATCTCAACATCGTCATCTTCATCATCTGAAACCGTCGCAAGCTGTTTCGTCGATAGGACGTCATATCTCTTGAGGAAAGTCTTGTGACCATTGAGTTCCGTGATATCTGAATGTAATCTAGTCTCAATCTGATAGATGAGCTTCAGAGCTTCGTGGAGTCCACTATCCAACAGCTCCACGACTTTCTCTGGTAATAAGACATACTCAAGAAGTTGAGCTATATCAAGAAGTCTGCTTATAACAGCTCTTTCTCCTTCATTGATTTCTGCAAGCACGCTACTCATCATGTCATCGAGTACGCTGCCGAGGGTCTTCATCTCAGGTAAACCTTGTAATAAAAACTTGCTTTTCTTCCCTTTGAAGATGGGAAGATTGCCTATTTGCAAGTTACCACAAAGTTGCCTCAATTTTACCAACCACGACCTGAGATGAACGCAGTCAGATTGTGACAACTCGGTACGGCTGGGAACTTGGTTCTTGTCAAGATAAATTCCGATGGAAGCAAGACAGGACTCGTACATCTGAGTATACTTGTCTTGTTCAACTTTGGTCAAAGGAATAGTAAGGAGAATTCTTCTTTGTGGAGGTAATTTGATGTCTTCATCCACCATAGCTTTAGTATGACGAAGAGCTAAGCCCAGCCACACTTTGACAAAATCAACGTTACTCTCTGGAAATTGTGTGACCCTCTTCCAACAATATTTGGAGATTTCATAGTTGAATGGAGGAAACCTCAAGAACTGAAGAACTGCCACCAGTCGTGCTGGTGTGCCTGACACACCCCAAGAATGGAAACGAGGTATCAAGGAGGCGGTACTAAAAGCGTTGGAAGCAACTGAAGATACCATCTGGACTTCATCCATGATCACCCTCCACCATTGGCTCAGCATCAATGGTGATTCGTAGTACTCAGTATGGGGAATCTTGCTCATATCTTGCTTTCGGACCTTGGCAGCCATCTCCTCCATCACTGCACGCTCGTATCTCTTTTGACTCACTAAAGCATCTGATTGCACCTTCTCTCTGTCAGCAAAAGCAAACTCTGCTTTATAGCTTTCGGCGCTCAAAGGGTCGGTAGTTGAGGACAGGGCTTCTTCTTCCTTCACCTCTGACGAGGATCTCTTCTTGCCCCCTCGTGTGATCATATGTCTTGAAGTGTAATTAGCATAGTCAGCTTCGCTCGACATATTCGCATAGTTTAACAAAACAATGTCAAAACGTCTAAGATATTCACCAATGTAACGCGGTAGATTTGCAAGTTCCGGGTATTTGCCCAAGCCTCTATAAATCGTCACCAGTAGGCCCGGACTGAAACGTGAAATCTCGTTGTACCATTGATGAATGATCGTCTGAGGAGCAGTAATAAGCGTGGTTTTGGCTTTAATAACAGTCCTTATGTCACCTTCTTTTTGAAGCTGAAGCCTTATTTCCTGACCCACTTCTTGACGTGGGCGAGGATTTAGAAGTACAAGGTCTATCACCTCAATCGTCTTACCTAAGCCCATCTCCTCTGATAAAAGTCCACGGGCTGGAATAGGCTCCTTGTTTACGTCCTCGTAACTCTTTAACAAGAACTCAACCATAGCGTCTCTTGTGAGAACATTTCCAGTGAGCTCATTAACCCAACAAATATCGTTCTTTAATAAAACACGATTCCATCCGTAACAGAGCTTATTAATTACCGGATATATTCCTTGGTCTAGCTTTTCGTGGTCAACGTCAGGATAGCTTTGAAGAGCCACTACAAGCTCATCAGATAATAGTGGAACGTACTTTGAACTTCTTGTTTCCTCATCGTATACCATACTTTCTTTCTCTAAAAGCCATTTCACTGTTTTCCTTTGAAATGGAAGAAGGTCGGTGAACAACTGGGGATGTGACATTTTGCTTGTAACCAGTGGCATGCGGCTGGTATTATCTGTGATGACTTTATAGAAAAGATGAGCATCTGTTGGCATGGATTCGTAGCTCTGGTAAAATGGGTCTGTATCTGTTGGATAAGCGATCATATTAGGGCGAAGTATAGAGACGAGCTGAGAAGATACATCTGAGGAGAAGTACCTATGGAACAGAGGCTCTAGCTCCACAGTATATGCCAAAAGGATATTTAAACTGTTTGTGACAGTATCTAGCTCAATGGATAGTTGCAAGCGAGAAAGTCTGAAATGTGAACGGCACTTCTTTAATCTATTATTGATGAACCTTAGCTCATTAAAGACCACTGTTCTCTCGCTCTCGTTCACAATGTTGAAAGAAACAAGCGTACCCTTTCGTAGCACACTTTTCTGTTTGCTCTGATACAGGAGCAATGAAGGATCAGGCGTACCCGCTTTGATATCAAATGCCTCCGTGGTAAATGTGAACATCCCCAGCTCCTGGCTGATGATGCCCCTCCCAAGGTGCTTGGAAAGTGTCTCTTGAGAAAGTGTCACTGGCGACGCTTCTCTCATCCTAACCTGACGTTGGATCACTGGCATCCATGGTATTTCCAGGTTGGGTTCATTCTTTGGTTTCTTCTGTCTCTGTTGAACCTCGGCTTCGGAAGCTGCATAGTTGAGGATAAGTCCTAGGTCGAACTCCAAGATCTCCGAGGCAACATCGGTGACTTCGGGCTCCAGCATCCTTTGCAATTATAAAAAAGGGGAGATGGATAAGAAAATGAGAGCAGTCACCGGATGCCTTTGGCAAAAGTCGTTTTGATGGGATGGATTACTGATATGGCTTGCACGTGACTCGCCATTCGGATCTCATAGTCTTTCTTCATTTACGAAGTAAATTTCAGTGCGCGGAAATCCGTCTACATTTGTAATAATATTTTGTAAGATATAATAAAGCCGTATATGAAATCGTAAATAAAATAAAAAGGAAAGGAAGAAGCTCCAAAGCTTTAAAACTAAGCGTCTCTGGCCAGGACTCCGACTCTTTGTGCTTTATAATGTCTGTGTGTGAATAACCCTCTATAATGACCGCCCATAGTACCGTATGTACTAATAATTAACGTTATCCTTTATGTGATTGTTTCATGATGAAGTTTTTTTTTGTCTTTTGCATTTATCTTTAATTTCGTGAATAGACTGTCCTGCCAGCGAGGCATCGAAATATGTTGTCTTAGTAAAGTGGCTTGTTCTTTCTTCTTTCCAAGATCGACGCACCATGCAAGTTCAAGTCGAACATATTCTTTTCAGCATCGTGAGTGTCTTCATGGATACGAGACTTGAAACTGTAGTCTGCATCTTCTTCTTCCTCGACCATGTCTGGGAGGTTGTTGCGACCAGGGTTGTGGAGAGCGTTCTCTTCACCAGCACGGTGAACGGCAGCTGAAATGTCGAAAGCATCACGCATAGCATTTGCAGCTGGCGAATACAACTCTTGTCTGTACATGCTCAGGTTCAATCTGCCGATTTGAGAAGAATACTTTGGCTGCTTGGGTTTGGATGGAGACTCGAACGCTCTGCCGGCCTCCCTCAACCATGGGTCTTGGAGAAGCTCGTCGATCGTATAACGTTGAGTAGGGTCCACTGTTAAGAGACGAGAAACACAGTATTTTGCGCCAGCGCTGATTTCGTCCCACCAAGGAGCTAAGAAAGTGTATTCGCCTCTTGCAACTTTTTCCGTGAGGGTTTCGATCCTCTCGTCGTAGAAGGGAGGGAAACCACACAAAACAGTGTAAAGAACGCACCCAAGGGCCCACATATCAACTTCCTTGGAATAGCGTTCGTCACGCACAATTTCTGGGGCAGTATAACCAACTGTACCGCACGGCGTCTTAGTGTTGTGACCCCAGATTTGCTTAGAGAGACCAAAGTCAGCGAGTTTCACAGTTCCGATGGTACCACCACCGACACCTGGAGTGAACTCACCTTCGTCCTTCTTCGTCTTTGGATCATCCGAGCGTCTCAACTTGGCGATCGGATTGTACGAAGGCTTAAACTCTGTTGGGACGAAAAGCAAGTTCTCCGGTTTAATATCTCTGTGAACAATGCCAACCTCCTCATGCAAATGACGCACAGCTAAAGCGGTCTGGTAAATGACGTGACGAGCTAAGTTCTCAGAAAGGTATGTGTAGTTGACGATGGCGGTGAAGATCTCACCACCGCCCACAAGCTCTTGAACAATGTAATAGTAAGGCTCACTCTCAATAAACTCGATGAAGTTAACGATGTTTGGGTGCTTGAGCTGTCTCATTATTATGACCTCCTTAAGCACGGCCTGCTTTTGAGCGTTATCCATCTGGTACTTACGAAGAACCTTGATAGCAACATGACGACCAGACTCACGGTGACGAGCCTTGAAAACCACAGAGAAAGCACCGTCTCCAAGCTTCTCCATCATTTCGTACAGGTGGAGGTTTGGGTACTTCAGTTGCTTCTTTCTTTGTCTGCGTTCTTCTTCAACGATCTTTGATGCATATTCGTAGTTGTCGATATTCTGAGCGTAGGCTTCGTTATTGAAGTCTTGGTTCTGGAAGTCGTTTTGCTGTTTTTCATGACGGTCGATGACCTGCTTCTTGTGCTGATGGTCCAGCAGAGGGGTGCATTCAGTTGGAGCATGCTTCTTGCATCTTTCGACATCATCCTGGGAAGAACCAGAAGTGCCATCGGAAAAGTCCAAGTCGGATGGGAGTGTAGAATGGCCAGCGAAAGTAGACTCCGAAGCATCTATCATGTCAGCTTCAGCATCAGCCAAGGCGCCTTGGTCCTTGACTTGCGTATGGGACATATCGGTCTTTTGGGTAGGGTTGTTAGGATTTGCTGATTTTCCGTGTCTAATGAATGCCTTCAAGTTATCAAACATTTTGGTTAAAGACAGAAAACAAGTTGGCCTCAAGTTTGGGTTGAGGCGAATGTTTTATAGATATGAGCGCGGGAGCAAGTAACAATCTTGCGTCCAGGGCGTCAAAAAAAAAAAAAAGTAAAAAAACTGTGAGGCAGTAAGGCTTGGGGCTATTGTGACGAGCGAAAGTGGGAAAACTTTGATGACACTGGTATAAGAATTTGACAAGTAAGTGAATCCAAAACTTTGGCGATAAATCAAAAAAGACCAAAAGAAGTTACCCATGCGAGCAACCTCTCTTTTGTATGCTGGCAGCAGCCCATTTTTTTTTTTTTTTTTTTTTTCTTCGGCCTCCAGGTGGGGTCTGTACTCAAGAAATCGTGCTTTAGTCCTCCTGCTGTAGTCTAGGCAGCCCTCTATAAGCTGCCATCAAGCAATGAACGTCAGTGGTCCTGCAGCGGTTGGCAAGAAAGACCACGACATGAGCCACTAGTATGCTGCTGCTTGTTTTTTTGCTTAATTTGCCGGTGAGGCGAGTGTAGGCGGAGGCAGTGGCCACATGTGGGTTTTTGCTCCAACGAAGCATGGTCCAGCCATGGCAGAACCCTTTAAAGTATAGGGGCCTCTCTCCCATGGAGTCTATTCCAGTGCTGCAATATTGCTGCGTCACTTTATCGCGCATATACTTATTGCTTAACCCTCTTGTACCCCCAGGAACCAAGTGCTCGCCTTAGCCTGCCGAGGAAGGCCTACCGAGTATTGCTTAGCTTTATTTTGGTAAAGTATAAGGTTCCAGATCTCCATTGGGCCAGGCTTGCTGTGGCTAATGTTAACACTGCAACAGAATTTCTCGCCCATTACGTAGCTTGCTCGCGGCGCTCCGTCGCTCCCGTGGCTCGTGCAGCAGTATAATCTCGCTAACGTTGCTACCTTGTTAACAGCGGCTATATGTCATTCTTTGCGCCTCCATAGCCACAACCTAGACCTGGCGGAACTCCGTTGTCATATTTAGTATCAATCCCGAATAAAACAGGGTCCAGGGCAGCTAATCTGGGGTACTTGCCCATTACGTATGGTAATGACATCAATAATCGCCTATTAGGCTGCAAAAAAAAACGATTACACGCATTCACGAAATCCCCATATCATACGGTACATTGCATTCTTCGTTAAAGTGCACCTAACTGAGACAGACACCTTCGTTTGCGTAAGCCTACCCATCCCTGAAGCCACGACACCTTGGAGGGCCACCGGAACTCCGCTACCATTCGCCCCTACTAGCCTCAATGGTTGCTGCGGACCAGTTTATTTTTTTTTTTTTTCCCTTGCTTGTTTTTTTTTGCTTATGTTCTTTTGTGGAACCTGTAAAACATGCGTCTGCCCATCACGTCATATAAACCAATCGTCACTGCTCTCGACATGTCTCAGCTCATAACGTGCCTCATAGTTTAAAATACCATGCCATTCAGATGATGCTCTCCTTCATACGTCACTGTTGATTCCTAACCCTTCTATTATTTTCCTCCAAGCAAACTTTCCAAGGCTTTTTCGCAACCATCCCTTTATTACCCAGCAAAAGCAACGGTCGCTCAGGCCCGCCCACGGACCGTTGTGGTTGCGATTTTACTTCTGTTACCATCTAGCTCCTAACCTTTTTGCTAGTGGTAGCTTGTCCGCGCGGAAGTCCACCGCCGCAAGGGTCTAACGCAGGGTGAGTTTCGAGAAAGACGAACAAAGCGCTTGCATATGTGGAATCCCGGATCGAAGTGAGACATTTTGGGGAAAGCATTCAGTGCAGCAGGGGTGAAACAGATGTCTTACATTGACGGAGTCCCGTAAAAACCTACTCTCTACCGGAATCCCTTGGAAGCTATATGTATGCACCCACGTATGGGCTCACTTTCGTGCACACAGATTAAAGCCTAATTTTTTTCTGCCCATCTCTGATCAGCGCTACTTCGCGCCTTGTGGCAAATTATCTGAGACACAAAAACCCTTGCTCTGGCTGCGCAATCATGTGGACAAGATTCACGTGTGGCCTGCACGTGCGTCCATAACGGCTACGTCCAGTTCAGCCGAGCCTTTTGGCTTTCTTGTGGTAAATACTACTACTATAAACATGTCTGCTAATATTCCTGCCATTGTGTTCACCGACTGGGACGGTACCGTTACTCTCCAGGACTCTAACGACTACTTGACTGAGAACCTCGGTTTTGGTCGTCCAAAGAGATTGGAGGTCAATGACGATATTTTGTATGGCAAGAAGACTTTCAAGGACGGTTTCTCCGAGATGTTGGCCTCAATTCCTACTCCGTTCCCAGAATGTATTGACTTCTTGTTGAAGAACATCAAGCTTGACCCTGGTTTCAAGGAATTCTTCCAGTGGGCCGACTCCAGAGGTATTCCTGTTGTCGTTGTAAGCAGCGGTATGACTCCAATTATCCATGCTTTGCTCGAGAGATTGGTTGGTTCTGAGGCTGTTGACAAGATCTTGATCATGTCCAACGATGTCAAGATTGACGAGGCTACTGATAAGTGGAACATTGTCTACAAGCACCCTGAGAGTGGCTTTGGCCACGATAAGAGTCTCTCGATCAAGGAGTACTTGAACGATAAGGGATTCAATGAGTCCAACATGCCTCCTTTGTTCTACTGTGGTGATGGCGTGAGTGACTTGTCCGCTGCCAAAGAGACAAACTTGTTGTTTGCCAAACATGGTAAGGACTTGATCAAGTACTGCAGAAGAGAAGACATTCCATACACTGAGTTCAACGACTTTGCTGAGATCACTGCCAAGATCAAGGCATGTGTTGACGACGGTAAGGACTATAAGGACTTTATCGAGAATTAAGTGCTTGAAGGCTGGAACTTTTTATTAGATCACTTAGAATAAACTTATATACAACGTCTCTCGCTACCAACAGTGCTAGAAGCATTGCTAGATTGAAAATCGTATATACAAGAATTTATAAAAAAAAAGTGACAAAACGGAATTAATCGTAGATATAAATTGACATGATAAAAGTATTACGCATTAACAGAATTTTGTAACGTGTTGTGGTCCGGGTTGATGAACACATCTGTGATGGCGAAGAAGACTGTCCAGTCGGTAAAAAGCCCTAGCACAATGAGATACCTTGCAGACATAGACTAGTTTCAAAAATTGTTTCAAGTCTTCCTTCGACTCAGATAATTCGTAGTCATCTTCGGGTAGCGAACAGGTGTGCTTGTCTCCCCTAGTTCTAGCATTGTACTCTTTGAGGTGGTGGTTGCAGATGTGTCTGCGAAGCGCTATACGGCGATTGAAACCAATAACGGAAAATGTACATGTTTCGTCAGGACAAAAGTTTTCCCTGACGAGCTTTTTGTCATCAATGTGTTTAGCTAGCTCGATGAAGCCATTGAAAGTCTTCCCACAGCATCCACAAGAAATGGGTCTGTTACTTGAGTCTGCCTTGCCGACCCTATCGTAGAGGGACTGAAGGCGACTCTGTGTTGAGCCTTGCGTCGTCTTACCCAGTGGTGCAGTATTGGGCAAAGCGGTATCGCCAGGGTCCACTTGGTTAGAAAGCAAAGGTGGATCACTGTTGGACAGGGAGAACGAGCCGTATGATCCTTCTGATACCTTAGTCTTTTCTGACTCTTCCAGAGTTTGACTCATTCTCTTACTCATCTTGTCTTCGATGTTGTCGGCATTTGGTATTGTAATGGGTTGTGCGATGTCACCAAAATAATTGGAGTATAGGTTGGTACCAGATGTGCTGGTCAGTCGGTTGGGTAGATACATATCCCAATGCTTCAACGACTCAAAAGTTGCATCGCTCGTTGGAGATGCAAAACTCAGGTTCAAATGAGTCGGTGAGTCTGATAATGAAGCAGGTATCACTGTCTCTTGAATGCCTGGGTCTTCCGGTGCCAGTAACAAAGAATTCTGACCAAAAGATGCATCACTAAAACGTTTACCTTGTGGGAAATTTTCTGTTCTCAGCAAAGCACCGTCATCGAAGAAGGATGCATCACCAAGTTGAAATCGGCCTTCGAAATCAAAGACACCTAACTCATCTTCGCCATCCAAGGATTTTCTCTCCTTGTAAAGATTCTCCTCATTCGTTGGTGGAATTGAGCCGGTGGCTGAAGGATTCAATAATCTACCTGAATCAAACTGGAAACGTAGATCAGTGTCCTCTTTGTAAGAGGTCCAGGATTTGTCCAAGGTGGGTGGCATGTATTCATCCTTTCCAGGCCAATGGGTGTCGTTGTTGGATACTTTGCAGAACATTGCTACGTTATCTGCTGTTGACGTTTTCATAACTTAAATTCTTACTTCTACCTCGAGCTCTGAATACAGTTATCGAGAAGGCGCCAAATTGAAAGGGGAAGTGTGAAGGAAAATAGTTTGGTAGTTTGGGAAGGCCAGGTCGGTGTGGGTTCTTATATATGTTCGGCCACATAATGGAGGAGCTGGGCCTTGGTTAGAGAGACTAAGATCGACTGAAACGATGCATGCCATGCATCCGTTAACGCTTCTTCCAGCAAGGCGATGTAACAAGGTACATGATGATCGACTTTGCGTACGAAAAGTTTAATTGAAAAGCATTCAATAACGTGCGCTAGCAATAATCAACCATTGATTGTAATGGGCCTTGACTATACGTAATCTGACAAGCATGGCAACAAAAAACGCCCGGGTATTATGTAGCAAACTGAAGTGCATGGTATGTAGATCGGTTTGTTCGGTGAGAACCTACATCACGGCTGTGTGCTGGCCATCTACAAATAAACTTTCCATTGGGATTGCTTTTCCAGACAATTCCACGGCTGTAGATCTTGAGTATATGGGAATAGCAATGTCGTCCAATTTCGTTTCATCGTACTCCTATTGAGTACGCACCTCACCCGGCGAGGGGGCCCCTGCATCGTTTCTGCATACACGTTGGCCTATGCGGGATCTTGCATTTAATGCAAGCCTCGAGGACACTTCGAAGTAATACGTAAGAGCAACTTCACCCTTGAATTCCTCAATATTGGCGCTCATCAATTGATTAGCGATTGAAATATAAGCCCTCGAGCGGATTTCTACCAGTTTTAAAGAGATAGCTTCTCTGTTCGATGTGTGCCAAGTTAGCGCAAGTTCCCGACCCAAATCTCACTTGAGGATCTTGAAAGACCTGCAGCTTGGAACCATCTAGAAACCGCTCAAGACACTTTGGTTTACAACTTACCAGTGCATGGAAAATATCCTAATGAATAAAATAATTACCTTGAACGACGATTTGGATACCTTGCTCGAAAAGAATTCCGTTTGCTTCTTTGTTCCAGAACTCTGTCTGAGGGGTACCAGCTAATGGTTTTGGCACTATCGAGTTCGGCAGAGAGTAAAAGAGAGAGAGATATTTAACTCCAACAATTCATGATGAGCCATTATAGTACTGGTGGTGTACTGCTTAAAGATGCCCGTCTCCTTTTTTTTTTTTTTTTTTTTTTTTTTTTTTTGACCCCACAGTGATATGATAAACTTAAGCCTAAGCGAATACATGGAATGTTGAAGTTTGTTTTGTTATGGACTTTTTTTTTTTTCCTTCTTTATAGCGGCATCGACTTAAAACCCTTGTTCTGGATGTTGAAGAAATCTGAAGTTAAATGACCGGAGCGGCCAGTGCATGATGATCTTCTTGGGCGCTGTTGAATCCCTAGAAGCTTTCCAAAGCCTGTTTTTCGTATTACTTGCTTACGGAGGAGCGTCCCAACAATCAAGAAAATTGACTCTGGCTTTTTTTTTTTTCGAGTGAAGTGACGTGACACCAGCATGAGTTGTTCTATCAATCAATTTTTCAGGGATATGTCGTCATAGGCTATCTCCTATGTTGGATGGAAATTTATCTGAAATTTTACAAGCAAGCGTTTGTCAAGCCACCTGTGCAGTTTCCACTTGTTTCCAATTTCTAAATGCTCCATTACCGCCACTTCTAGGACAACTCCAGATAATGGACCTTTTTTTTTTTTTTGCTTTTTGGTTGTTCGAATTACTTTGCGTTTTCCACGAGGGTAACACGCTGTTCGGTAATCCGTCTTGCTGAAACCACACCCCACGGTTTTAGCCTTGCATGGGATTGACGGTTGGGGTGGATCCATTGAAAATGCATCCTTGAACCCTCACCATCTCATTATCAATGTGCTCTTGTAGCACTGTATATTTCGAATAGGCCAAGCGCTAAGTTTATCGGAAGTTGACACCGGGAAATATCGAATGTTGACCTTTAATAGGAAATTGTGATCTCGAGGTTCGCCGATCGCGCCGCCTCAGTGGGTTAAAAAGTGGTAAGGTGCCGGACTTTATGCTCGTCTGGGCGTTTTGACAGATCCTTTTTTTCTTGTCCTTCTATTTCTGCCAGGTTGCTAAAATACTACTCATGAGCGCTACTTGTGATAACTCGACAAGGATGGGCAGTTTGAAAGAAGTCGCCAGAAAATATGCTAGTTTCATTGGCCCAGGCATTATGATCTCAGTGGCATACATGGATCCTGGTAATTATTCAACTGGTGTGTCTGCTGGCGCCAATAATAGATTTTCATTACTTTTCTTCGTGTTCATTTCCAACTTCATGGCGATTTTTTTACAATCCTTATGCATCAAATTAGGCACTGTTACGGGGTTCGATTTGGCTCGTTGCTGCCGTGAATACTTGCCCAAGAAGTTGAATTATGTGATGTGGTTCTTGGCTGAATGTGCGATTATCGCTACAGATGTCGCTGAAGTGATTGGTTCCGCAATTGCTCTTAACATCTTGCTACGGATTCCATTACCGGCTGGAGTCGTCATTACAATTGTTGACGTGCTAGTGGTTCTTGCCGCATATCGATCTGACCTGCCGCTGGCTACATTCATTAGGTTCTTTGAATATGCTGTCGCACTTTTAGTGATTGGTGTGGTTTCTTGTTTTGCTGCTTTGCTAGCCTATCTACCCGAAGGTTCGGCGCCAGTGGGCCTTGTCTTCCGAGGGTTCGTTCCTTCGAAGGAAATGACGGAAAATGGTGGTTTGGGTATTGCTACTTCTATCATTGGTGCAACTGTGATGATTCATTCCCTTTTTTTGGGTTCAGGCATTGTTCAACCACGTCTCAGGGAGTATGACTCCTTACACGGAAATTTACAAGGTCTGGATTCCAATTTGGAAAAGCTGGAGGATATCCGGGAAAAAACCTCGGAAATCATGGATAAGGAATACAAGCCTCTGTTCGCCGCAGTCAAGTATTGCTACAAATACTCAATCATAGAGCTTGTGGTTACGCTTATGACATTCGCCGTGTTCGTGAATGCGGCAATTGTGATTGTTGCAGGCGGCTCTCTTTACGATACTCCCCAGGCCTCAAACGCAGACTTGTACGTGATACATGATTTGTTGCTGAAAATTTTAGCTCCCGTGGCTGGAACGATATTCATGTTAGCCTTATTATTCTCTGGTCAAAGTGCTGGTATTGTTTGCACCATTGCTGGGCAGATGGTTAGCGAAGGCCATTTGAATTGGACATGCAAACCTTGGGTTCGAAGATTGATAACGAGAGGCATTGCAATTGTGCCGTGCCTTATTATATCTCTTTGCATTGGAAGACAAGCTTTAAGTGCCGCCTTAAATGTGTCACAAATTGTTATATCGCTTCTTCTTCCGCCACTTATGATGCCCCTTATCTACTTCACTTGTAACAAAAAAATCATGCGAGTTGAAAAAGAAGGAGATTTGGGTGCCCAAGAACAAGAAAACACAGAAGAGCATGAGCTTGAAAAGGAGGGTAATACTTCTGAAGATGGGAAAGAGTATCATCAGATGGAGAACTCTTGGACTACAACTGTTTTACTTGTGCTTGTTTGGCTATTCGTTTCCGGGTTGAATATCTATTCAATTGTCCAAATGGCGCAAACAGGTATTTATCTGGCCTAGGTGTTTTTTTTTTTTTTTTTTTTTTTGTTGAATTCAATTAAATGGAAAGCTCTATACATGTATATATCTGAAAGAGAAAAACCATCTATTACTCAGATCTTCCTCGTTTGACAAAGTCGTGTGAACCCTAATGGTCCCCCCGAAATGCCACTGGAGTAGGATCCGCCATCATAAAGATAGTATTGTAGCTGTCATCGTCCCATGGGTGGAATCCGCTTGAGGGCTGCTGTAAGCTCGGCTTGCAGAAGTGGCTCAAGCGCAGAGGCATCCCGACTCCGGAGCTCTTAAAATATTAAAAAAGAATTATCAAATATTATCCAGATTTAGGTTAATCAATTTACATTTTAACGATTTTTATGTCGCCCGCATAATAACGCTCGGAAAACACAATTCCTGCCAAAAACCACAAAAAAATAGCCATTGACAATAAATCAGACCGGCAAAGTATCAAATGCAAAAAAACAGAATTATGAAATTTTTTCGGAAAAAAAAGTTATATATTGAAACTTTTCCGGATCCTTAGTTTACCTGGTCGACTCGACTACGCGGTAAATGTACTCATCCGATAAGCCGTCATGGCACCTGCGCGGCAAAACCTACGTATTTCTCATACAGATTTTCATGCACACCCTGGCGAAATACATGCCCAGCTGATTTATATGGCTTATCGAACAGGTCATTTACTAGTATTGAGAATTTTTGCGTTGCCAAGTTCAAGATCCACTACAAATCACTTTTTGTCAATTTTTCTTCTTGATTTTATTTACATTCTTTTTTCTCGTTCTTCGCTTTTTTCCAATATTCCCCCTTGGCCATTCTCAACGACCTTGCTTAAATGAAACACCCGTGCCCCTGCTACGTGAAATGCCCCAAAAGTCTTGTATTACCCTCCCTCAATCCTCACTGGAACACCAGCCACAGGTATCCATCAAGACATTATATCCAAGCTGCGTGGCCAATTGCCGACTACTTACTTAAATCTTGATTCATCACCAGCAACGCCGTGAACCAATTCCGCTTGCTGCCTTGCCAATAAGAGATCTTTAAATGCCGTCGTCGAGCATTCTCAAGAAACTCCATTTAACTAGACTGACCCCCCAACCTCAAGGCCAAGGTAACGCCAATCCTGGATCAGCAGAGATCACCGTCGACTCGTTGGACAACATCAACTCTATGAGTTACTACAATCAACCTGCTCATCCTATTCAACCCGACCCGTCACACGCCAACGAGGCCTCACAAGGTTTTCCATCGCTAGTACCCCAGCAGGTGCAATCGCAGTTTCTGCCACAACAGCAGCAACCACAGGTGAATATTCCATTGTACCAATCGCAGTATCCTCAGCAGATGTCTGAGCCACAGCAACAGGTCGGGCAGCAACAGCAGCAGCAACAGCCTCAACAACAACAGCAATTCGCTCTGCAACAGGAGGCCGACAACAATGCCATCAACTTATCTCTTTTGCCAAGCAGATCGACTGTATCAAAGGGTAAGTATGCTTTGACTGACTTTGCTATAATGAGGACTTTGGGAACAGGCTCCTTTGGCCGTGTTCATCTTGTCAGATCGGTGCACAATGGAAGATACTACGCTATCAAGGTCTTGAAGAAGCATCAAGTTGTTAAGATGAAACAAGTGGAGCACACCAACGATGAGAGAAGAATGTTGAAGTTGGTCGAACATCCATTCTTGATCAGGATGTGGGGAACATTCCAAGATGCAAAGCATTTATTCATGGTTATGGACTATATTGAAGGTGGTGAATTGTTCTCGCTTTTGAGGAAGTCTCAGCGCTTTCCAAACCCAGTTGCAAAGTTTTATGCCGCAGAGGTTGTTTTAGCGTTGGAGTACTTACATTCTCATGACATCATCTATCGTGACTTGAAACCTGAAAACATTCTTTTGGACAGGAACGGACATATTAAGATTACCGACTTTGGTTTCGCAAAAGAGGTCTCGACAGTTACTTGGACATTGTGTGGAACTCCAGACTATATTGCGCCTGAAGTCATCACAACTAAACCATACAACAAGTCTGTCGATTGGTGGTCATTGGGTGTTTTAATCTTTGAAATGTTAGCTGGCTACACTCCCTTCTACGATTCCACCCCCATGAAGACATATGAAAAGATTCTTTCCGGAAAAATTCATTTTCCAAGTTTCTTTAATCATGATGTCGTGGATTTGCTTTCCAGACTCATCACGGCCGACTTATCCTATAGACTAGGGAACTTGTTGAATGGTCCTGCTGATATTAGAAACCACCCATGGTTCTCTGAAGTTGTTTGGGAAAAGTTGTTAGCAAAAGATATTGAAACACCTTACGAGCCACCAATTACAGCAGGAACAGGAGACTCTTCGCTCTTTGATCATTACCCCGAAGAACAGTTGGACTATGGTTGTGTTGGAGAAGACAACTATAAAGAATTATTCACAGATTTCTAAGTGATAATCTATCACGTCTCCTTCGCCTTTCTTGAATACAAAAGACAAAAAAAGAAAAAAAAAGACTTTAAAAGAAAGAAAAGGAACAGCTGTCTAGCTGAAGCAGTTCTTCATGATTCATTTCTTCACTTTACCTTTCGATACATCTATTGATCAACTTCCGAAAATATAACGTTTATTAGCCAGTTATCTTCTGATTCTTTATCTATATTACATAATGAAGTAAGCTGTGACCGAGACTTGCCTGCGTCAGTGATCTCATGCTCTGAAAACTTTTTTACATTCCAAGCACACATAAAACAAGATCATAGAAGTGTCCTTTCTTCTTTGCTGTGACTGGAAAAACACACACTCATGGTTCCCACAAAACGGACATGTTTTATTTGATCTTGGCAAGGTAGGATCCGAGCCGATATCTTGCACCACACCAGCTGTTTCACCAATGTTGGTGATAAGCTCATGACGGTAGACTTTTGGGTTCTCCGCCAACTCTGTGTAGTCACAATTTCGGCAGGAGTAAAGGAGTCTAGCATTATCCTTATCCTCTCTGGGGTACAACATATTGTTGCACTCGGCACAGAAGCGGAAGGAAGCCATTATCGTACCTTGATAATACCTACAGGTGTTGATGCATTTACAACCATTGAGTACTTGAAAATTGTGTAACGCACTACCATATTTCAGACCGTCCATCAAGATAGCTATAACATAAAGAATTTGGATAAAGAACGTTTACGGCCCTAAAATTGATGGCTTCTTTACTCACAAGCCATCAAATGATGTTTAAAAAAATAGCCCTTGCTATGAGTAGTACCAACTTAGTAGAACTTGAGTGTAGCGATGCAAGACGTTGCAGGTAGCAAGAGAAGAGACTAGATTTCAAAATTCAAAGAACATTGAAGTTCAGACTACCTCTCACTCTTTACTAAATGTCAAATTTTTTAATCTTTTCGACGTTGCTGGGGTGAAGAGTCGTGAAATGTCCTAGATCAAGAGACGCACCCGTGCATCCCTAACATTGAGAAAAGTAGTAGAAAAAATTTTCGAACTCTCTGTGAACTTACAAGTCAAATCATGTTACGCCAATCCCTCAGACCAGCATCTAGACTTCTTTCCAGAAGCTGTATTCGTACATCGGTGCGTTTCAACTCTGCTGCCGCTGAAAAGGCTGCTGTCGACCCAAAGATCTCCGCCATTGTCGACCAAATCTCCACATTGACCTTGTTGGAAACTTCGTCTTTGGTCTCTGAGCTCAAAGAAAGATTGAATATCTCCGACATTGCTCTTCCCGCTGCTGGTGCTGCCCCAGCTGCCCCAGCTGCTCCTGTCGAGGAGGAGGTGAAGGAGGTCGTTGAAGAGAAGACCATCTTCGCTATCAAGTTGCAAGAGTTCGACGCCAAGTCCAAACCAAAGATCATTAAGGAAGTCAAGGGCTTGTTGGGCTTGTCCTTGGTTGAGTCTAAGAAGTTCGTCGAAGCCGCTCCAAAGGTTTTGAAGGACAATGTTGCCAAGGAAGATGCTGAAAAGATTAAGGCCAGCTTGGAAGCTTTGGGTGCTAAGGTCGTCTTGGAGTAGACATTGCAAAGACACAAAACTAGCACTTAATTAAACATTCACCTGTACATATACGTCACATCGGAATTTATTGTTGTAGATTATGTATCTTTTGGTATCCCTCGATTAGCCATGTTTTCGCATGAGTGCACCTAGTGTGGTTAATAACTTTACCCCATGTACAAGGTTCCTCTTGAATTCGACCATACAAAGACGTTTAAGAGACGAGCTGACATAAAGCCTTGGCTCTCCAAACATCTTGCAAGGCAAAATTTGAAAGTCGTTATCGAACGGTCTGACAATGTCAAGATAGTGTTCAGATGTAGGGATGGGTCAGCCCACTGCCCCTTCAGGATCAGAGGGAACCACTCGCTACGAACAAAAACATGGTCATTGCTGGTAGTGAACGACTTGCATAACCATCCTGTTGAACATGGCTTTTTATTATCCAAGAAAGAACTCGAGGATCAACAGGCTACAGATATGTTTGTCACGCTTACCAACCGACCTCACCCAGCATCTCAGAACACGTCGCCACAGTATGTCGATAAGATCGTGAAGAAGATGAGTAATGAAGTTGCTAAGGTTGTCTCGGTGAACATATGGCAAAACCATAATCTTAACCATGAGCAGAAGGAGTCGGCGGTAGCCAGATTTGTGGCTGGGATGGTCGACGAGTACTTGGGAGAAGCCCCAAAAAATAATGGGGCTCCAATGATGCCATTGTCACCCTTGCTAAATGAACCTGATATGGGCACTCAACTTCCCGCTCTTGCGGTGTCTACCCGCCTGACAGGACCTTTACCTCCGTTTAATTCACTTCAGAACCAATTACCTCCCCTGCCTGGAGCCCAATTTGATGCTGCAAAAACTCTTAATCCTACACAATTATTGAAAGCAGCAACTCATGATCTACGAGAGTTCAAAGTCGATAACATTGGGGCACCATCTGCTCTGCTATCACTGATAGCACTAGGACAGAATGCTCCTTCACCAGGAGACAAGATTGATGGTGGTCTTTTGGGGAACTTTAATCTGATTAACTATCCAGGTTGGTAGTCTAAGGATTTATTTCCACATCATCTAATAATTCGATATTGAGCTGGATCTCACTATTAAACACTGGCCATCCTTGTACGTACCGAGGACGCATCGTGCAAAAGATGGAGGAGAGATGAAGAGAAAAGGTGTCCCAAGTAATCAAGCTGATTTACAATTGGGTTAAGGATGGCGGGTTTAGACCATAACGCTCCACATATGGAGTTATGTATGAAAACTGTTAATGACCCTTGCTAACTGGTTAGCGAGGCTCTCGCTAAGACATTGTGTCTCAAGGAATACCCGTTTTGTCCCTTAGTTTTAGTAAATTTTACGCATATGAGATATAAAAGAACGAACAGTCTGTATACTTTTCTTGACCTGCCCCGTAGTTAGACCTACCAAGAACTAGTCGACTTTGTAAGAACAAATGGTATCCTAAAGTCAAATGATACACCCCCTTTATCGAAGTTTATACTTAACTAACTTATCAAATAAACACAACATTTATAACCTACCATCCGAAGTGGCTCATTTTCGCAAGACGAGCACTCTGCACTATGTAAGGAAGCCCGATTTGGCGACATCACCAAAGTGTACAGGAGACCTCAATATACGTACTTGATATACCTTCCCAACTCATTACCACCTACCCTTTACAATTCATGATTCTAGAAGACGGTTTCCTGCTCTCAGCACTTGAAGACTCTGTGCTTATTATTCCTTCAATTGCAGTTGGAAACATTCCGCAATTGACTGCTGACCTTTTGCTTCATACATTTGACTTTCAGAAAGTGGCGACTCTCGGGGACGAGTATCTTTTGCCATTCGTGTCGCCTGTTGATCATTCTGTAAACAAGAAGCAACCATCTGGTCTTTCCTTTGGTATTGAAGTCTATTATAGCATAGAGCACCACATCACATTGATCCAACAGAGGTCCCCCATCATCCTGGGTTTCAACGACAAACATGTCAATGAGGTCATCGTTCCATTCATTGAAGCATCCAATCCACAGCATGTGATTGTGATGGACTCGTCGAACAGTGCATTGGTTGAAGGTGTGCCACAGGGAGAGGTCCGAGTACACACTAATGAAGATCTTTTGAGTGAATCATTCCTGTCACTCCTGATTGATAAAGATTCCGCAAGGCCACTCGCCGAGGCAGAAGTACACTTTTCTGATCACACGAAAGCTCTTGAGAAGAGTATCAAAGCATTGGCAAACCTTGTGGTGTTGGAAACGTTCGTTTATGAAGGTGACAACTTCTTTGATGCAAAGGCGCTAGCATCCAAGGTGATCCAGATGTTGAACCTTCCTGCAACAGTATTTGAGACTCCCGCCAGTTGGTTAGGTGTTTATGGAGATAAGCCCGTTCCCCTGGCAATGGAGGAAGGCCTCTACGGTTGATATGACGTCAGACTGATTGTATTCTCTAGTTATTAAGTGCATACTCAATTGCTGCGGTGTATCCATAAGCTCCTAATCCAGCAATTACAGCCACAGAAACGTCCAGGAGGTACAGATGATGCCTGAAGGCTTCTCTGCGATGTACGTTGGTTATATGAACTTCAATAAAAGGCACAGCGATGCCTAACAAAGCATCCCTGATAGCAACGGAAGTATGTGTGTAAGCCCCAGCGTTTATGATAACGAAGTCAACGCCTTCCTTGGCTGCTTCGTGAATGCGATCGACGATATGACCTTCAGTGTTACTTTGGAAAGCGAGCACCTCAGCGCCTCTTTGGCTTGCCTGCTCCTTAGCGGCATTCTCGATGTCGGCCAATGTAGTAGTGCCGTACTTCTCTGGCTCCCTAGAGCCGAGTAAGTTCAAGTTGGGCCCGTTCACAAGTAAGATCTTCTTGGCCATTCTGGAAGTGGTAATACTGGGGTAAAATTTCACTTTGTGCGAAAACGTCTAGCATGAGTCAGCACCACAAAGCACATAAACGTATCTATATGCCACTCAATTGACTAAAAGTAATGTTCAAAGAACAACGCATAGTAACATTTCGTTATGGAGGGGCTAAATAGGACAGATCTAGAATGTGCTCTTTTTCCTTTTGACGTGATGCCCCTGGTAGGAATGCACTCCTAATTGGTACTACCTGAATACTTCGCACTAAGCTTCTGGGTTTCTTTCACACCACAATGACAGCCACAACGCCCCCACAAAATGAAAAGCCTATCTCGAGGCACCCACCTTTCAAACAAGTAGAGCAAACTAGACCGGACTACGATAGCACGAAGTCCTGGAATGTTACCAAAACAGTGCTGCCCGAATGGAAACAGGGCCTGGGCGCCACATCTAGCGAATGGAAGAATTTCAAGAAGATTGCCATTGATCCCAATAGCGAGACGAGATCTCCCGTTGACAACTACAAGTTATTTATTTCAGCAATCACGCCTCGGCCTATTGGCTTCGTCTCGACAGAGAGCAAGCAAGGGAAGCGCAATCTTGCACCATTCTCGTACTTTAATGTGATGAATAGCGATCCGCCTATCTTTGTGTTAGGCTTTAGTGGCGGCAAAGATAAGCCAAAAGACTCGCTTAGAAACATCCTTGAGACCGAGGAACTCACCATTAACATTATCAGTGAGTGGTTTATCGAGGCAGCCAACTACTGTGCGGTGAACTCGCCATATGGAGTGAACGAATGGGAATTGAGCGGCTTGACTCCGTTGGAATCTAGCGCGGTGAAACCGCCCCAGGTTGCCGAAAGCGCTTTCAGCGTAGAAGCGAAATTGGTCGATACCCACGAGTGGAAGCTGAAGAGAGACCCTAGTAAAGCCTCTGGGGTTATGTGTATCGTGGAGGGAGTCAGGATCCATGTGAGGGAAGACTTGATCAACGAGGAACGTAACACGGTCGATACAGCCAAATTGAAGCCGGTGGCCAGATTGGGCGGCATCACTTATGGCCGAGTCAACGACGTGTTTGAGCTTCCACGTCCCGACTACGAGAAAGACGTAGAGAAGTAGGGGTAATATATACTTACCGAGGGCTGATGCTGATAGCGTGCGCGGTGTAGTATCTCGGCAGCACTAAGTGCCGAGAACATGGGGTAGTTGGCAGGCATATGGGGGAATCACCACAATAGAGCTCCAAGGGCATGAGATAGGGCCATGCCAGTGTAAACTCCGGGGAACCATATAAGCCAAAGCCATTAATCTAAAGAAACGAGAAAACAAAAAGAAAGAAAAAAAAAAAGGAAAGTCCTATCTTATCGTCTTCACGCGTCTGGTATGCCAATTTCCAGCTTCCTGTCAAGCGGAAGCACAACGGCCTAAAAACCGCACAGGGCCACCCAACACTCTAAGTTTTACATGTGCCCTTGCATTTGTCAAACCTCCTATGCATTTTGACTATTCGCAAGACGCTTTGTTTTGCAGCCATTTGCTCCGCGCGTAAGAAACTTGAACTAAGTCCGCAGCCAGTAAACTCCGTTTGGGTTTGAACAAGATTAATAGGAAAACTGTCTTTAGTGAAGTTTTTTGATTGAGGTGGATCTCTGAAAACTTCTTCATTAAACGTATTTGCCTGTCTTGGGATAAACCTGTGCGGGGACGGGCCCCCAAAGGCCCATGCTATCGAGATTTGGTGTTGCAGCGGAACTCGAACCGGTCCCTCAAGGTGTATGGTGCACTCTCAACGCCTTGCTCACGACCCCTCATCAGAACCGAGGTTGAGTTTATGTATAAAACTGTAGGAACTTTTCAGGCTTTTTTCAGTGCATAGGTTTATTTTGAAATACAAGTGTATCTAGACAACAGAACCTCTTCGTTTACTTCAAATCATGGCCATGATTCCTTTGTTATCGGTCGCGCCGCAAGCCGTGATGGACCAGATCAAGAGCAGTCTTCCTATGGACTCTGATCGGTTCAAGGATGCTGTTCCACTTCCAGACTCCAAAGAACCCGGCTACTCGGCTGTTTACAGAAACAAGGGTGCTGTTAACGGCTTGATCAACTTGCCTCATCCTGCCCTTACCACCTTGTATGAGACGTACGAGACCTCGGCGTCTGTCTACGCTAACCGAAACGCCATTGGCGTTAGAAGAAAGCTTGAAGACGGCCTGTTTGGACCTTATGAATGGGAGACGTACAGCCAGATCTCTGAAAGAAAGAGAAACTTTGGCTCGGGTCTTCTTTTCTCCTTGAAGAATAACCCTTACAAGACCCTGTCACCAGCTCACCAGAAGATTGATAAGCATGAGGAGATTGCCTCCAAAACTGAAATGTCCTTCATTCTTACTCAGTTTTCTCATAATAGAAAGGAATGGCTTATTTCCGATTTGGCTTGTATTAATTACTCCATCACTAACACGTGCTTGTATGATACTTTGGGCCCGGAGACATCCCACTACATCTTGTCATTGACTGAATCCCCTGTCGTGGTTTGCTCTAGCGACAAACTCGAGCGCTTGATTAACCTCAAGAGAGACCATCCTAATGATTTGAGCAATTTGATTTCCCTTATTTCAATGGACCCTCTTGAACCTACTGAGGCTCGCGAGCTCAAGAGAAAGGCAATCGGCCAGAACATTGAGTTAAGTGAATTAGCCGACATTGAACAGATTGGTAAAGCTCACAAGAAGGCTGATATCCCTCCTTCTCCGCTGACTGTCTATACCATCTCCTTTACCTCTGGCACTACTTCCAATCCAAAAGGTGTGGTTCTCACTAACAGAAACGCTGTCTCTGCATTGACTTTCTGTTTGTCAAGTGCAAAGACCAGAAACACCAACCCAAGAGGCTACAGCTTCTTGCCACTTGCTCACATTTTTGAGAGAATGACTAACCAAGCTGCTCTTATGTTAGGTGCGGAGACTGGTATGCCTCAGTCGCCATCTCCCTTGACTCTTCTCGATGATGTGTTGCAATTGAAGCCTAACGCCTTAAATTTGGTACCTCGTGTGCTTACTAAATTGGAGGCTGCACTCAAGGCCCAAACCATTAGAAATGAAGACAAACCAATGTTGCAGCGTTTGTTCACAAATGCAATTAACACTAAGATGGAGAAGCAGGCAATCGAAGATGGAGCGGCTGGTACCCACATCTTGTATGATCGTTTGATCGGGATACTTCGTAAGAAGATTGGGTTTCAAAACGTGAATAACATCGCAACTGGTTCAGCTCCTATCTCCCCCGAGACCGTTAAGTTCTTGAAGGCTGCTTTGAATACTGGTGTTTCCCAAGGTTATGGTCTCACTGAGTCATTTGCTGGTGTCAGTAGTTCCTTGCAGTTTGAAGCAAAGCCTGGCTCTTGTGGTGCTATCTGTATTACTACAGAAATGAGATTGAAAGATCTTCCAGAGATGAACTACACTGCTGATGATAGCATTGGTCCCAGAGGTGAATTGTTGTTGAGAGGCCCTCAGATCTTCTCTTGCTACTACAAAAACCCCGAGGAAACGAAGAAGGCTCTTGATGAAAATGGCTGGTTCCATACAGGCGATGTTGCCAGAGTAGACCCTACAAATGGTCGTATTTATATCATTGACAGAGTGAAGAATTTCTTTAAGTTGGCTCAGGGTGAATACATTACTCCAGAAAAGATTGAGAACACTTATCTTTCCTGCTACCCATTGACGACACTGTTCTATGCACATGGAGACTCATTAAAGACATATTTAGTGGGTATTGTCGGAGTTGACCCAGTTTCAATCAAGCCTTGGTTGGGTTCGAGGTTTGGCTACAAGGAAGCAGACCTTGAAGACATTTCGAAATTGGTGAAAATCTTGAATCAAAGAGACGTCAAGACTAAGTTTTTAATCGAAGCCAATGGGTCAGTTTCTGAGTTATTGCATGGCTTGGAAAAGTTGCACAATGTCGAATTGGGTATTGATCCGTTGAAGGTTGAGGATGGCGTCGTGACCCCTACTTTCAAGATCAAGAGAGCCAACTGCGCCAGTTTCTTTAAGGAGAGACTCGAGAAGCTTTACGAAGAAGGATCTTTGATTAAAAATGAAAAATTATAAGATGCGACTTATGTCGTAAGGCTATTTGAGAAGCTCTATTTAGATATATTTATATGGATTGAGAATACCATTAGGATCATAATGGTTCTTCACATCCTTGATCATCTTGATCTCGATGTCATTCTTGGAGTACCCAATGTAGTTCTTTTTCTGGAAACCAAGACCATGCTCAGCAGAAATGGAGCCCTTATTTTCCTTAATCCACTCGTAAACGAATGGTTCCAACTGTTGTTCAATGTCCTTTCTGTATTCACGCACGCAGACGTTCAAATGAAGGTTACCATCACCCAAATGTCCGTATCCGATGGCTTCAACCACAGGCTTGGATTCATCGTTAAAGTCCACCAAGTCAGCGGCAGCCAATCTCTCAGAAGCGTCGTCAACCAAGGCATACAAGTTGGCCAAAGGAATGGAAACATCGTACTTGTAGACACCACCAGCATGGGCAGAGGCCTCTGGAATAGACTCTCTCCACGTCCATAAGTTACGAAGCTGGGTCTCATCTTGGGCGATGATACCATCGTCGACGAGACCATCCTCCATAGCATTTCCCAAGAAGGTTTCAAGTTTTTCCATGTCATGGTCTCTGTTTGAGCCACTGGTTTCAATCAAGACATAGAAGGGGTACTCGCCCGACTCGATTGGGTGGTCGGCCTTTAAGTAACGAGCAGTCAAAAGCTGAGACTTGGAATCCATGAATTCGAAAGCAGAAAGAATCTCAGAAAGCTCCTTACGGGCACCAACAAAGACTTTCTGAACGGCTTCATATGAAGAGACAGCCAAGAAGGCAACATTGGTAGCGGTGGGTCTAGAAGGACACAAGATCGAAACACCAGTGATGATTCCCAAAGTACCTTCAGAACCAATAAATAATTGCTTCAAGTCGTAACCTGTGTTATCCTTTCTCAAAGCATCCATGGAGTTGTAAATAGTTCCATCAGGCAAGACAGCTTCTAAACCGAGGACAGAGCCATGCAAAGAACCGTATCTCAACAATCTGAGACCGCCAGCGTTTGTTGCAACCACACCACCGACATGACAAGAACCCTTAGCACCCAAATCGAGAGGGAAGATGTATCCGTTTTCGGCCAAAAAATTGTCAGCGTTCTCCAAGATCAAACCAGCATCGCATTTCAAGATACCACTGACATCATCGAAGGATCTCACTTTGCTCATGTTAGCGAGGGAAATGATGATCTCATCAAACACAGGGTTTGAGCCACCCACCAAACCGGTGTTACCTCCCTGAGGAACAACAGCAAGCTTCTGCTCGTTACAGTATTTCAAGATTTCGGAAACCTGCTCTGTCGTTTTGGGCTTCAAGACCAATTTGGATTGGCCCTTGTACTTTCTCATCCAGTCCTCATTGAAGAAGTCAAGATCCTCTGTACCAGTGACAACGTAGTTATCATTTTCCAAAACCAGACGGAAAAAGCTGACATCCTTTTCCTCCAAATTTTTATAACGTGGATCTCTCTGGACCTTATCTTTGTACGTCTCAGCGGTGAAGGGCACAGTCTTGGATGCTGCGTAGAAACGAGTGCTAATGACGGAAGCGACAGGCCGAAGCAGAGCACATCTCAGCAATGAGGCACGTCTGGCAAGCACCAAACTTCTCCTGAACATTTTTTGATAAGTCAGATAGACCTTGGAGAGATATGAAAATTTACAGGGCTCTTTGTATGTTAAATACAGTATCGGGTAAACTATATCCTGTATGAATATACCGCTTCAGCGGCTTAACGGTACGCTTCGACCCATACAGTGTGGTTAATGAGATGAAGCATAGATGAACGAAAAGAGTATGTCAAAGAAAAGAAAACGAAGATAAATTGCACTTTCAACTAACGTTAAGCAATTGACCAAAAATATTGCATTGCCAGTAAAATCGGTGCTCAATCTGTTCATGAACAGAATGTCGCTTACTTTTGCGCATTCTGACTACTTAGAGCGCTTGGCCTCGCTTAAGTAAATGCTTGAGCAGCTAAATCCACGAAACCTTTCTACGATTTGTTTCACGATTCACAATCGAAATAATCTTTTAAAGAAAAGTTCCCTTTGCAATTGATTATGGTGATTATTACTTTCTTTTTGGGGCCTTCCCTCTCAATAGAGTCTCTGTTAGTCACATACTCTATCAGTTTAACATATTTTCCAACTGGCTAGGTCTAATTTGAGCCTTTTATATCCTCTTCCGCCTTTCTTAAGCTGTCAAAGCTGGTGTTTGTGATATGGCGAAACCGCAGAGGTCCAAGAGGAGATCCTCCGTACCATCTTGTTACAATGATTAACTTATTGATGATATTATGTTGAACAAGGTGCTCCAAAAGCTTGGACCCTGCTCCTTTCTCCCCATTGTCATTGAAACCCTGTTGTACGTTTTTGTATTGTTGGTCGTCGATACCCTTCTTTACCTTGGCTGGACTTTTCAGGTCTTCTTTCAAGTCCCCGGTTCTCCAGGCAATTATGTGTGGATGGCTTGCGCTTTTTGTAAGCTTTCGATGTTGCTGTAGGAATTGCTGGAGAATGCTGGGTATTTCATCTGGATGGCTCAAAGGGACATGGCGTGCCTGAAATTTTGACTTTCTGTCTATAACAATTCTAGATTCGTACCAATCAGTGATTGTACCAAGTCTCCTTAAACTTGTTCTAAAATATTGACCAGTGGCTCTCATTGCCGTTGGTTCTCTAGCAAACCTGGCGTCATGGCTCTTTTTTATATATCGTCTGGTGATCTTAGTGATCTGATGAGGTTCGCACGCCTATGCACAAAAGTTGTGTGAAAATCTCACGATACAATAATTGTCCCATACATAGAGAATGATCTATTTGAAGTCACTCTTGAATGTCATCGACAACTCCGGCGCTCAGGTCGTCGAGTGTATCAAGGTCCTTCGTCATGGTCCTAGAAATTTCGGCAAGGTGGGTGACCTAATCACTGTCGTGGTGAAGGAAGCCAGACCTCTTTCATCTGCCATCACCGGCCAGAGTTCCAACAACAGAGTCAAGAGAAGAGATATCTGCCGAGCAGTTATTGTCAGGACGAAAGCACCTTTCAGAAGACCAGACGGCTCCGTGGTTCGTTTTGATGACAACGCTTGTGTGTTGGTGAACCAGAACGGTGAACCTTTAGGGTCCAGAATCTCCTCTGTTGTCGCCAAAGAGTTGAAGGACTTGCAATATAATAAGATAGCGACGCTAGCACCAAAGACATTCTGAGCCAGGTGGTTCCGTTCATGTAAATATTTAATGTCATAAAGGATAAGAGTATGTCACAGTGTAGAGAAGTTAGATATGAAATAATTAGGAACAAAGAAAGGAAGGAATGAATGAAAAAAAAAATAAAAAAAATGAAAAAGAGAAAGGAGAGAAGAACTTCCGAGTTTGTTTCAGAAATCATAGCCAACTATTCAGTTGTGGACCTTGGTACCATCAAGAGACGAAAACTCTACGACTTTACCTAGTTCAGGCTACTGATGGAGTCAGAGCAGTCCACAAGAGCGTGTGTTTCATCAGAGGCTACCCACAAAAAATACCAAACTAAATAAAGTCAGGAAATTTCCCTTGACTAAAAAAACCAATTTTTTTATCCCTCTTTACATCAGTAACTGAATATTCACGTCTCCCTAATGGCCCTCTTCGTCTCATCGAGACCCAGAAACTATCGCGCTTTGGGGACAGGCCAGCGTACATTTGTGCACGCCTTTTTTTGGAATAAATTTTTCTAGATTCACCGAGTGATACCCACGACCTTGACATACTAGAATAGTCTCGATAGCATGGCTGAAGTTGTAAATGGCGTCAACCAACTCTCGGTTGACGAAAAGGTAAAGCCCCAGCCTCAGGTTAACAAGAAGGACAAGAAGAAGGATAAGCAGCCTCCTAAGTCCTTGGTTTTGGACCCTCCACCAGAGTTTTTGGATTACAGATTGAAAATTTTCGATGAGATCAAGGCCAAGAAAGATGCTGAATTTGCTGCTCGTGAAAGAGTGCCAATCAAGATTACATTGAAGGACGGTACCGAGAAGGAAGGTACCGCTTTTGAGACCAGTCCGTTCACTATCGCTAACGGTATTGGTAAGTCTTTCCTTGAAAGACAGATCATTTCCAAGGTCAACGGTGAGCTCTGGGATTTGGAAAGACCTTTTGAGGGAGATGCCCAGCTTGAGTTCTTGGATTTCGAACATCCTGAGGGTAAGATGGTCTTCTGGCATTCGTCTGCCCACGTCTTGGGTGAAGCTTGTGAGAACCACTACGGCTGTCATTTGTCTTACGGTCCACCAACTGAAGATGGTTTCTTCTACGACATGTCTATCAACAGCGGTGAAGGCGTTGTTTCCCAAGAAGACTTTGGTAACATCGAAAAGGTTTCTACCAAGGTTATCAAGGAAAAGCAGAAGTTCGTCAGACTAGAAATGACCAAGGAGGAATTGTTGAAGATGTTCGCCTACAACAAGTACAAGGTGAAGTTTATCAGCGACAAGGTGCCAGATGGAACCTCCACTACCGTCTACAGATGTGGTCCTTTGATCGATTTGTGTAGAGGTCCTCATATTTTGCATACTGGTAAGATCAAGGCTTTCAAGGTTTTGAAAAACTCTTCTTCTTACTTTTTGGGTGACGCTGCCAACGACTCTTTGCAGAGAGTTTACGGTATCTCTTTCCCAGACAAGAAGTTGATGGATGAGCACTTGAAATTCTTGAAGGAAGCCAGCGAGAGAGACCACAGAAAGATTGGTAAAGAACAGGAATTGTTTTACTTCAATGAAGTCTCTCCCGGTTCTGCTTTCTGGTTACCTCACGGTACTAGAATCTACAACACCCTTGTCGACATGTTGAGAAACGAATACAGACAGAGAGGTTACGAGGAAGTCATCACTCCAAACATGTACAACACCAAATTGTGGGAGATCTCTGGTCACTGGGGTAACTACAAAGAGAACATGTTCTCATTCGACGTTGAGAAGGAAACCTTCGGTTTGAAGCCAATGAACTGTCCTGGTCACTGTGTTATCTTTAAGAGCCGAGAGAGATCTTACAGAGAATTGCCATGGCGTGTTGCTGACTTCGGTGTCATCCACAGAAATGAATTCTCTGGTGCTCTTTCTGGTTTGACCAGAGTCCGTCGTTTCCAACAGGATGACGCTCATATCTTCTGTCAGCAAGACCAGATTGAGCAAGAAATTGCTGGTGTTTTCGACTTCTTGCAGAAGATTTACGGTATTTTCGGTTTTGAGTTCAAGATGGAGTTGTCCACTAGACCAGAAAAATATGTTGGTGAATTGGAGACTTGGAACGCTGCCGAGAAGAACTTGGAGAATGCATTGAACAAGTTCATGGGTGAGGGCAACTGGGAATTGAACCCTGCTGATGGTGCTTTCTACGGTCCTAAGATCGATATCAAGATCAGTGACGCATTGAGAAGATGGTTCCAGTGTGCCACTATTCAGTTGGATTTCCAGATGCCTCAACGTTTCGATTTGGAGTACAAGGCTGACTCCAACGACAAGGAGAAGACCACTGCTAGACCAGTCATGATTCACAGAGCTATTTTGGGATCTGTGGAGAGAATGACTGCCATTTTGACTGAGCATTTCAAGGGTAGATGGCCATTCTGGTTGTCTCCAAGACAAGTTTTGGTTGTGCCAGTTGGTGTCAAGTACTTCGACTATGCCGAATCTTTGAAGGAGAAGTTGGTGAAGCAGCATGGTTTCTACGCAGATGTCGACCTCTCTGGTAACACCTTGCAGAAGAAGGTTAGAAGCGGACAGTTGTTGAAGTACAACTTCATCTTCATTGTTGGTGAACAAGAGCAGGCTGAGGAGAGTGTTAACGTTAGAAACAGAGACATTCAAGAAGAGCAGGGTAAGAACGCTACGGTGAAGTTCGACGAGGTTGTCAAGCAATTGCTCAGATTGAAGGAGGAGCACAGAGCTGACAACAAATTGGTTTGATTTGCAGCTTGGTAGATAAAATAAACAAATTAACGAATCCGTTTAATAACTGTGGGAAAAAAATTATTCTATTTTTTTTTTATTTTTTAAGTTTAGCGAGGGCTCTGAAATGAGGCCCTATAGCTTTAAAGCAATGGCATGTTACCTGGCGTGTATGCAGAAATGGCAAGGTTCCACTACTAGATCGATCAGTTCTGGACACCAACGACACCATACCCTATAAGATCTATCATAATGGATAACTCAAACAACAATAATGAACAAACCGACAATGTGCAACAGACAATTAACCGCTTAGACTACTCCAACCCTTTGGTTGCCCACGAATTGCCCAAGGCGATCAAGTTCTGGGAAGCTGACCATGTTCTACAACCGAAGGAACGTCAAGAGATGGCTAAACTTCTCAATCAGCTCAATGGTGTTTCAGTTAGTGTTGCTATAGCCATGGGAATTGGCCTGACTATGATTCCGACTATTCAAGATCGGCTGATAAGAAGAAGAGCTGGCAAGATCAGCAACTTACCGCACCATATGCCAATGAGGCCACCCTTGATCAAGTCTCCGTTCTTTTCAATTGCTTTAGGAGTGTTCACGTTCCAAGCGTCCATGTACTTCAACTTGTACATGCAATTCAAACTAACGAGCAATCGTTTTGCCAAACGTGTAGAGACGGAAGGTGGTAATGAGAGCCATACGAGAATGCTTCACGCCTTGCAAGCTATTCCCCCTTACCAGGCCTTCTTCTGGGGACAGTACTACGACTTGACCAGCAGAGATCCTTCCTTCATCATGAAAGATCCACGTACATTGACGGAGGAAGACATCCATAAGCCCTACTACCACCCAAGCCGTCCAATTACAGCACCTGGGACACCTAGTCAGCCTGAGCAAAAGGATACCTCGGAATGGCAGCATATAAGGGACATCAACTTCCCAAATGCCGCCACTACGCAAGATAAAGATCAGTCTACCCTGGATGAAGGTTCGTTCCCAGGCCTTACTGATACACCAAAGAGTGAAAGTTCCAAGCCTAAGAGCAGATGGGATGAAATAAGAGAGGGCAAGTGAGTGAAGAAGTTAGCTTAGTCTACTACTCATTTCAATGCATATTAAAAACAAAGCACCAAAGCTATAAAATCAAAGTAGAACGCAATTGGCCAAGAAGTCTCAGAATCGGACCATCAACCAAACAAGTAGCAATGCTCGATTGCTTTTTTTTTTTATTTTTTGTGCTCTATCTATACTATCAGGCTTTTGACAGGGTGAGCGGCTGCGCGGTGCGTCCGATAAGTTTTCGCAATGATATAGCAATCAACGCATAAGTTCATGTTCGTACTGGAAGAGCATTGAGTGATGAGTTTCCCCCGAGCTCTGATCGCCATTCTTCGTCCAACAGTTCGACTCCATTTTATTCGTTTCAATTCAAAGAAGACTGACCCTAGACCTCGATGGTTCTTCTGCTCTGATGCACCATTGACAAAACCAGCATGGTTTGAATATAAACAAGAGAAAGAACCTACCAAATTTCTTCCCTTCTCGGAGGTCGACGAAAAGAACTTGGAGAAAGCGTACCTGAGAAATGAAAAGACGGTTGAGGTGAAAGAGGATCGTCTATTCGAGGTAGACTTGAAGACGATGGTCCTTTCACCAGTGTACTGGGAAGGGCCTACGTATGAGGTCAGACGAGGTATATGGTTTGACCACGATGGAACACCACTTCTGTCACACTTGGCTAAGAGCATTGAGGATTCGTATTGTCTACGTCGCCCGTATGAGCACGTAAAGCCTGATGACAGTGTCGCTCCTACTCAGAAACAATCCAAAGATATCATCGCGAGATTTAACAAGGAGATCAAAGAGCTCCATAAAGATATCGAGAAAGAGACCATCGACTTTTCTGAAGAAAGGGATATCGTTGACTTGGGAGATGGAAATGCTGTGATCTACTTTGATGGCAATCAAGCTGCAATGTTTCCTTCGGAAATCAACCCCGTCCAGTTGGGTATTCTCAGAAAATTGGGCCCTAAATCGGGCACTTTGTTGGGAGTGACTCCAATCCAGAGAGGCTACTCCGAGGATCTCAATGCCACTATTATGGATAGTATAAAGAATGCTCCTGTCCCTTCTTTGACTGATATTTTCCTGTCAGAATTGTCCAGTTTGTTTTCTCCGCAGAAGCAGCACGAGAAAGTGTTAACGAACAACGCCAAGGAAGCTGACAAAGATGAAATGCTTCAAACGGTCATGGAATCGGATTTTCAAGAGCTCAAGGTCAACAAATCTAATGATCGAGACGTTGACCATCTTGTTCTTTGCGTTCATGGAATCGGCCAGATCTTAGGATACAAGTACGAGTCGGTCAACTTCACCCACAGTATCAATGTCATGAGATCAACTATGAGAGAAGTTTTTCAGAACGATGAAAAATACAAGAAACTTGCATATGGAGACTCGTATGATTCCAAGAACGAGGAGCATTCATCGAATAATAGGATTCAGACTCTTCCTATTACGTGGAGGCACAAGGTTAACTTTCATCCAAGGAAAAGAATCGACGATCTTGGGAATACCGGTGATGAGCGTCTTCCTAGCTTGTCTGACATTAATGTGGATGGTGTTAGGCCTTTGAGGAACATCGTTGGCGACGTGATCTTGGATGTTTTGTTATACTACGAGCCCAAATTTATGAATCAGATTTTGAAGATTGTTTCTGAAGAGCTTAACAGAGTTTACAAGTTGTACATGGAGAGACATCCCGAATTCGACGGAAAGGTTCATATTTTGGGTCACTCTTTGGGTTCAGCTATTGCTTTTGACATATTGGCAATGCAGACAGATGACAATCACGACCTCAAGCTCGATTTTGATGTTGAAAACCTTTTCTGTATCGGATCCCCCGTTGGAGCTTTCAAATTGCTTCAGAGACGCAACATAAAGTCTAGATCAAACGTATCCGAGGGGTACGATCCGCTGAAACCTGATCTTAAGTTTGTGTCACCCAAATGTCAAAATTTGTATAATATTTTCCATCCCTGTGATCCTGTAGGATATCGGATGGAACCCCTTATAAAGCCATCTTTCTCAAAAATGAAACCTGAGGAGGTCCCTTTCGCCTTGAAGGGATTCAACACTCAAGTTAAGAGTTTGACGAGTTTCGGAGATGAAGTCCAGCAAAAAATCTTTTCAAACTGGTTTGGATCGAAGAAAGATGGTAAGAACATTAAAATGGTTGAGACTAAAGCATCCGAGGAGAATGCTTTGGGTGATATCATCACAACCTTGGCCAGCCCACTATCAAGCGGCCAAAGTGAGGACCCCTCTGAAGAAGTCAAGGATTCTTATCTTTCAGACGCGGACATTAATGTCTTGACTGAGTTAAACCGGTCAGGCAGAGTGGACTATTCGTTACCAACAGGTGTCTTCAGTATTGCCCTAATATCGGCCATCAGTGCCCACGTTTCATACTTTGAAGACCAGGATACAGCTGGATTTGTCATGAAGGAGATTCTTTGCTCATCGCAAGATTCAGTTGAATCTAAGAAAGTTAAAGTTTATAAATAGAGTCATGTCTATAGTATTATCTATTCCATTAAAAGATCATCAATACTCTGCTCTGCATCATGTTTGATCAATTCAAGCATACCCTCAGGCAAGATAGGTTCTTGATCTGAGTTAACAACATACCTAAAGGGCATCTCCGTTGACTCATACTGACTGAACTTGATCTCAGGGTAATCAATGAACTTGATGTTCTCAAACTTCTTTTGCTTTTCAATAATAAGCTGTGTAACCCTGATAGCAGTATCAGTAGTCATTTGCAAAGCACCTAGTCTCCGGCCGCTGAAGCCATACTTCTCTCTTAGTATACCTGTTCTGTCGATCCTGGGATGAGAGCCCAAGATACCGCCAAACACGAAGTACTCGAACGTTGACTTGTCCTCCGGAACCAAATCTGTTTCGGCTGCTGGGTCAAGCAAACAAACTTTGGAGCTATCCATGCCACCATCGATGGTAACACATTCCTGGGTTGTCCATTGCAATCCCAAGTCTAAGAGACGTTGGGGTATGTCCTTCTCTGTAGTGTTCTCAGGCAAGGATGTCAATACGAGATTCTCAGGGCCAACTTCACGAAGAATTTGGGAGTACTCAAGAATGACCCATTCTGAGAAGCCTTCCTCCATATGCTCGATGACATACTTCATGGTTGATGTTCTTGTAGTATGGTACTCTGAATAGTTCGCGATGAGCGATGGGGCATATGTAACACTACTAGATAAGATAAGGCAACGCTATTAATTATGAACTTAACTATTTTTTTCCTTCCTGAAACACTATCTTATGTGATTACTTACCGCAACAAGAGCCAGAGGTCTTTGTGAAGGCCAATTGGGATGTCTTGTCGACGTCAAATGTGCAATCGTCTGTGCCTTTCTCGCCTGCCTTGACTTCCTTGGTAGTCCTGGCATAGGATGGCTTTACGTCGAGACAAGGGTTTTCAGTGAAAAAGTGTCTTGGGCGCAACATAAGATCAAAAATCTCGGTTGGCATAACCGGGAAATCTTCTGGCGCAGGGAAATGAGTGATACCAAAAGTGTGGAAGAAGAGGATATCGGTGTTCTCGACGTTATCCTTCCCATCACCAATCCATTCTCTCATACCTCTAGATCCGTCTCCAGACCATTGGGCAACATGATCGCCTGATGGATAAAGACGTCCGTAACCGAAACCCTCATCCTTGTATGGAATAACCTGTGTAGCCCAAGCTGCCCATGGTGCTCTCTTTTTCACCAAAGAGCCATCCTTAGCCAAAAGTGGAGGCGTGAATGTCGAAACCAACTTGTAAGACGAAGGCTTGCCAGAATATTTGTTGATCTTCGATGGGTTGAAAATGTCCCATGTTCTGGCGGTAGATGGTTGAGTGAGTGAGTCGCCAACAGTCTTGAAGGTGGATTTATCGGCACAGAAGGCGTTACCATAAGCATTTTCTGGTGAGCCAGTTGCACCAGGGCCAGAAACAGAGTCAGAGGTAGCAGCCGAGTTGTTATCACCATCAATACGAGGATCCAATCTTAAGGAAAACAAGTGCTGGTGATTATGGGCATTGACTTGAGGGTAAACAACAGTTCCCCATGGTCCTGGACTTTCATCTTCGCCACAAACAAAAGTGTTGAGAATACCAGTCAACCTGATCTCAAGTTTGATCGTTCCGTCTTGTCTAAGAATCCAGTACAAGCAGTATTCGTAGTTAGCAGCAGTAAAGATCTGAGAGATAATCAAACGCTTACCTCTGGTGACGACAGTAGTCTGGAAGTCATCTCTGAAGTCAGAGTGTTTGAATAAGATTCCATCGTCCTCCTCGTGAATGCAAACAGCGTTCTTGATAGTCAAAGGCTCACCCTCTTTGTCAGTAAAATGAGCATCCAAATAATGGATAACACCCTTACAATCACAACCAAGGGAAAGAGGGTTTGTACAGTTACCAGCACCGTACTCGCCAATATCCAAGGCATGCTTTCTTTGGTGAGGGAAATCCGGGCAGCCGTAAGGAACAATCATTTCAGACAAGGAAATTCTGTGGAAGAGTGGTCTTAAATTACCACGGTCGTTGTAGTTCATGTCAGAAAGAACAATACCTTCTCTGTAGTTGAAACCAATGTGGAAGTTGAAGTTGGACCAGTTCATGACATTGCCTTCCATAGCAAAGGACACGCCCTCAGGCTGGGTAATATTAATTGGCTTAGCATCATCTCTGAAACCCGATGGGTTCTCTTTAGTACCAAACTTTTCAGAAATGTGCTTTGGGTGGAAAGAAGAATGCTTATGCTTAGAAACCTTTCTTCTTCTTCCAGGAATGTCAATATAAACCACCTTTCCCTCGCTCATATCGACAATTGGACAGAAATCCAAGGGATGGGAGTAGTGAGAGTCATCTTCATCAGATCTCCAGTACATTAATGCCTGTTGAAGTCTCTTAGCAGAACCCCATCTCTCGTCGTAACCGATAGTCCATGCATCACAATACACGTTTTTCATATCCTCCTTTGGAATACCCAGAATCACACATTGCTCGATAACACGAGGATCGTTTCTCACAATATCCTCGGTGTTCTGAAGATCTTGTGGAGTCAAAATTGGCTGAACACCAGAAGTAGCCTTGGACTCCACCACCTCCAAAGAGGGTAAATCAACGACACCTTCATGAACCCCAATATGGTCATTCTCGGTAACAACAAAGTACACCAATCTTGGAGGCTTTGGTCCACCTTTCTCTTTCCAATCATAGTAAGCCCTTTTAATTGGCTCCCTGAGAGTAACCGTATTGAAGACCAATGACTTACCTTTGTAATGGCTGCGAACTACCTGCGAGGCAGCCTTGATCTCCTGTGTGGTAAGTGGATCCAATGGATGTGGAGGGGCCACTGGGGGTTGAACGCTAGCGGTAGCGTGCAAAGAAAGTTGCTGTAATCTCTCCATGGTGAGTTTTCGAGTAGTTTTGCAATATTAATTACAGGCATCCCCACATATTTATGCTATAATGGGGAGGGTGGGAATGCCGCATTTGGTATCCTGTTCCGATAAGGCTGCGCACTAAATGTTCTTATCAGGCAACGGAATCCTTGATAAAGGCCCACCGGCCTGGAAAAAGTAGCGAATAAAAGATAAAGGTTTTCTAACATCTGGCGCTCGGAAGGCTATTTCTTACTAAAGGTATGGTCTTGTTATCAAAAGAGTTAATCAACAAATGTGACTTAGATAAGCGAGTTGATTGTAATCATTTTTGTCTATACCATGCATGCTATATATAATGTATATCGTAAAACCATAGTAGGTACCTGCCACCTATGAAGACAACTTGGTGCGTAACGTGTAATAAACAACAGCACATTTGCAGAAAGGAAATAATACAATGACCCAAAGCAAGATGATCCACATAGAATCGTCGATGACCCTTTCATACAAGCGTAATTGCTCGTGAAGAAGACTGTTGAGAGCGCTTCCCTCCGCATCTCCACGAGTGAAAGCACCTTCAAGTAAGAAATCGGCCATGAAACCTGTGAGGAAATTAAACTGCTTGGGTACGCCGTTAACCACCATGTTGTTCAAGCTTTGGTGATGTTGGATAAGCATGGTAGCTTTGTATAAGTACACCATCAAGACATCCAGCGCGAGAGCCCAGAAAACTGCTGCGGCTGCTAACAAACTGGTGCCGTAAAACCAGCAGAAGTTCGTCCATACGTGCACTCCATTGGAAATCAGTTGTGTGGGGTGATTTAAATACTGAATTAATGTGGAGGTGGTTTTTGCCAAGGAGAAGGTGAGGATAGCCCAGTAAACGTGGTCTGTGGCAAGCACAAAACCATTGTACTCGCATATCGTATACGAAAACGAAAGGATCCAATTACTGGGCCAAACTGCGACGTATGCGAGGAGGGTGAGTCCAAAGCCTCCGAGAAAGCTCATATTGAACCGCTTTTTAATCGTGCGATGCATGGTGGGCTTGTGGGAGTCCTTCTCACCCATTTCAGTCCTTTTGCTTTCAATGAGTTCGTCTAACTTGACAATACCTCGTTCTGTGAAAGGGCCAGCCATATAGTACGTAGTAAGGCCTATGACGACAAGTGCCATGGTCAATACACTGCTCCGCACCGCAGAGGTTATGATTTTGGATTCCACTTCTTCGATTGGTGTTAGGATGAAATCGATTTTCGGGATGGGTATTAGATAGCCATGAGGTAAAAATGCACAAGTTATGAAGTAGGCGGCTGAAGCGGCGATGACTGAATGGAAAATGTGTTTAACCTCAGCATGTTTGAGATGGAGGCTATTATAAGCATGTAAAGTAACTAGGCACGGTGCCCCGGCAGCAAGGAGTAGCAAGCCGTGAATTCCTCCCAAGTCTAAATACATGGTCGAAATATGAAAGATGGAAAAGCTGACTTTTGGTTAAACAAAAAAAACTGAGCGGCGTCGTTACTTATATACGACGCTCGCGGTTAAAGGTTACGGGCCTTGCAGTTGTAAAGTGAGCAAGCGTTTGCAAACGAGGCACTCGGCGAAATATAACGTTCACAAAAGTCAAATGGGCGGGATCACTAAACCAAAAAAACAAATACAAAAAGGTACGAGGGGAGAGAGCGAAATTCCCCGTATTTAAGCCGCTGCTTTCTACTCGGCTCTTTGTTCGCCGTCGAGAGAATTAACCCCCATTATTACTAATGAGGGCTGCAAGTGTACTTGCTTTATTTCTCGCTTCATGCGCGAGATCCAACTTCCGGTGCTTCCGCTGAGCTTCTACGTGGAACGCACCCCGGGCCTGGGTGGTTCTGTGCAGCCAGGGATTTCAGGAGGGAGCAATTGAAGAAAAGTGCCTTCTGTTTCATGATGGTACCTTGTTTCACCAGGGTGCCTAGAAGGGTCAAAATGGTTAAAGTTATCGGGGAACTCGGGCGCCCAGGAGCTCTTTCCTGCTCTGTAAGCAAGAGTGTCTGGTGGAAAAATGGGTACTGTATGCATATAATTTAGATGGCATCTTGGCTTTGTGTGGGCAGCCGCATTAGTAGTCAAATCACCGTCATTTTGCACCGATTTGAGACAGAAAAAAAAAAAAAAAAAGGGTTTATGGGTGGAAAAATAGCGCGCCGGCTCTTCGCTGTACCGACACTTAACCAGACCCGATGACCAAAGTGGCCCGATGACTCCCTACAAATCAAGAAAAACAATAGAGCAACGATGTTTATATTATTATGAACAATAATTCGAGCGTATGTGTACCGCAAAAGAAGCTGGTTAGCTTACAACTTGTCGTAGTACTCCTCGTAACCTGGAACCTCAGGCTTAAGACCAGACTTAGTTCTCTTCGTCTGGACGATAGCACCAGGCTTAGAAGATGGGTCGGTTGGGTCACCGTTCAAGACAGCCCAGTGATCGAAGATCAACTGTGGGAAGGCCTGACCACCGGTAGCCTGTCTCAAGTCAGTGGAGAAACCGAAGGACTCGTTAACTGGCAAGTAAGCCTTGATGGTGAACAATGGAGTACCTGGTCTTTGCTCCTCAGAGACAACCTGACCTCTCTTCTTGTTCAAAACAGAGTAGATACCACCAATGGCGTTCTCAGGACACTGGATCTCAACCAAGAAGACTGGCTCCTGGATGGCTGGCTCAGCCAACAACATGGAAGCGTAAGTAGCTCTTCTCATGGTTGGGATGATCTGACCACCACCTCTGTGGATAGCATCAGCGTGCAAGGTAACATCCAAGATGTTAACTCTGACGGATCTAACGTTCTCACCGAAGATAGGACCCTCCTTAGTAGCCCACTGGAAGGCAGCAACAACGGAGTCCTTGATTTCGTTCAAGTACTGGACGGCCTTAGTCTGGTCAACAACCAAGTTAGGACCGTTACCGTCAGGACCGAAACACCAAATCTTTCTGGCATCAGCGACATCCCAACCGTGGTTGTCAGCCAAGATTCTAGCTCTGGCCTTGAAGTCATCTCTTGGGTTGATGACACCGTTCTCAATGTCCAAAGAGGTCTCCTCGTCAATTGGCTGAGCCTTGACGTAGATTCTGTTATGCTTGTTTGGAGACTTAGACAAAGCAACCATGGAGGACTCGGCCTGGACAGTCTCTCTGTAAGAAACGACTGGGTCGTTGATCTTCAATGGAATACCAGCGTGATCGTTCTGCAAATCGTTCAAGCAAATTTCCAAGTGCAACTCACCGGTAGCGGCAACAATGTGCTCACCGGACTCGTTAATGGAAGTCATAACACATGGGTCAGACTTGGACAATCTCTTCAAACCTTCGACCAACTTAGGCAAGTCGTTAGCGTTCTTGACCTCAACGGCAACCTGGACAACAGGGGAGACAGAGAACTTCATGACCTTCATGTTGTGAGCGGTCTCAGAGGTGGTAAGAGTACCAGACTTCAACAAGAACTGGTCAATACCAACCAAACCAACAATGTTACCAGCTGGACAGTCATCGATCTGCTCGACCTTACCACCCATCATCAAAACGGTTCTCTGGATAGCCTTGATGAACAAGTCATCCTTCTTACCGACCTCGTAGTTTGGACCCTGGATTCTGATCTTCTGACCAGACTTGACGGTACCAGCGAAAACACGGCCGAAAGCGTAGAATCTACCCTTATCGGAGGTTGGCACCATCTTGGAGATGTAGACCATCAAGGAACCGTTAGGGTCACAGTTTCTGATAGCCTGGCAGTGCTCATCGTCAGATGGACCCTCGTACAAGGTCTCAGCTCTGTAAGCCTGGGCAGTGACTGGAGATGGCAAGTTGATGACAATCATCTCCAACATAGCGTCAGCAGCTGGCAAGAACTTCTTCATGACACACTTCAACAAAGCCTTACCCTCCAAGTCCTTCTCGTCACCCTTCAAGTTGATCTCCAACTTCTCCAACAAGGTTGGGATCTCGTCCTTCTTGAAGTTCATGATAGAAGAGAACAATCTAAAGATTGGGTCCAAGACGAACATGTTGAAGGCTCTCTCCAACTGCTTTCCGTCAGCGTCCTTGTCCTTGTTGGTCCACTTCTTGGTCTTTGGGTTGAAGAAAGAGTCACCCCACAATCTCTCCATCATCTTCAGTCTGTCGACACCGAACTTCTTGGAGTATCTGTTAGCGAACTGTCTAACAGTGAAAGCCCAACCGTGCAAACCGGAACCGAAAGCAACGGTACCCTTCTCTGGGGCAACCTGGACATCACCAAGGGTCTTGTCAGAGTAAGTAGAGATGATGACGTTAACAGACTCAACAGTTCTGGAGAAAGACTGGTAAAGGTCCTCCTTGGTGGTCTGCAACTCCAACAAAGCTCTGTCAACCTTGTTAATGATGACAACAGGGGTAATTCTTTCAGACAAAGCCTGTCTCAACACAGTCTCAGTCTGGACACAGACACCCTCAACACAGTCAACGACGACCAAAGCACCGTCAGTGACTCTCAAAGCAGCGGTAACCTCAGAAGAGAAGTCAACGTGACCTGGGGAGTCGATCAAGTTAATCAAGAAAGAGTTACCCTCAGTCTTCTGCTTGATCTCCTTACAGTCCTCGTCAGAGAGGGAAGCGTACAAAGAGATAGCGGTAGACTTAATGGTAATACCTCTCTCCTGCTCATCCTTTCTGGTGTCCATGAATCTGGCGTCACCAGCCTTGGCGGCAGAAATAATACCAGCCCTCTGGACCAAAGCGTCACTCAAAGTGGATTTACCGTGATCGACGTGGGCAATGACGGAAATGTTACGCACATTGGTAACCTTGTCCATCAAGCCACGGATTTGGTCAATAGTGAAAGCAACTGGTTTGTTAGTAAAAGTCACCCAATTGATGGTAAATGATGCTTGGTGATGTAGGTAAAGATAAGTGTCCAGATAGCACAGTCTCCGCTGGCCTTCCAACCACCACAGTACCACAATATCATCACCAAAATCATTATTCCATCACAATTAACCAATTCTCCTGTTAAACATACCCATATTGAACTTGTTGTTAGTGTAAACTTGATAACCAGAAAGGAAGAAGAAGGGAAAACTTCTTTTTTCAATCCAGAGGGTGTTCGCACGAGGCCCATCTGAGAGAAAAAATTTTTCTCTCAGTAAAGCTCAAGCCATGCGCGTAAACGTCAGTCTCGAAAAAAGTTACCCGGCAGCTTGACTACAGCGCCTAGGGATCAGGAGGCTCATTGCCAGAGTATGCGCATTGAAGGGTTCCCATAGGTTAAGAGCACAAGCGTGGGGTACCTTACACTAGCAAAAATGAGAGGTGAAATTGAAGGTTGGAAGGAGCTACCATTCACTTAACCAGGAATTGTTCGAACAAGTAATGTAAGAAAACAAAAAAAAATAAGTCACCCTACTACAATTGACATTGTGGTCCATTGTAAGTCTGGAGATTCTCTTGAGGGGAGAAGCGCCACCCAGTTTTTTGGGGTACGCCAATTTCAGATGAGGAGACTTCTGGCAGTGGCAAATGGTGTGGGTTAACTATGGGCAAGTACAATTGCTGTCTAGACATGGATAGAGTAATCTTTTTTTTTTTTTTTTTTTTTTTTTTTATCTTTGCATTACGCTTTTCGCAGCCATTGTGGAATGTTAGTGATCAAAAATGTACAAAGGTGGTGGGGTCAATTGGGGTGTAAAGGAGGAGCTTTATCGTAATTGTAATCTTGGTGGTTGTAATTTACTATAGTGTTTTTGTTTGTGAAGGGTATGGCAGTGGGGTGCTTGGCAATGGCTGGATGGTGTATGCTCTTGACTACTGGAACTCCGAGAAGTGGGCGGCCCTACTATGTAATTGAAGGTGGAGGGCAACGCCATGAAGCAGATGGGATTTTGTTTTACCAGCGATGATTGCTCAAATGAGGACCGGTTATTGGTAAGAGATGTAGACTCCTGTTTACCTAGTAGTTGGAGCTCGGTGTGTTTCTTGATAGAAGTGCCTCTACTTTCTAGGTACCTCTAATCGAAGAGAGAGAACGAGAGACGAGAGGAATATATTAGCAACATATACTATTGGCAGTCGGTTATAGCATATGCTGCCTTTAACGTTTCAGAAAAGTTGTGCCATTTTTTCCGGTTTTTTTTTTTTTATTCTCTAATCTTTTCTTTTAGTGAAAATAAGCGGCAGTTAGTTTTAGTAGGGCTGAATTTTTCAGACTATTTCACAATTAACAAAAGTTATCGCGCATTGACATAATTTTGCAATTTAACGTATTATCAATAAAAAATCAATTTAACATTGTCAATTAAAATCTTGTAAGCAGAACAAGTAGAATATCACGAAAAAGTTTCTTGTTGATAGATATCACCGTATAAACCTTTCAGAATGGTGATTTATTCATCGAAACTCATCCCTCCCTACATATAGTGCACGACAGAGTCAAAGAAGCGACTTCAATAGTCGTCTTTATCTTCAAAGCTAGCCATGCCTGACATTACAGTCCTCATTTCGGGCTCTGGTTCTAATTTACAAGCTCTTATAGACGCTCAAGCTAATGGAGTCTTGAAAGGAACAATCACCCAGGTCATTTCTTCCAGTGAAACCGCCTATGGGTTGGAAAGAGCTCAAAAAGCCGGCATCGCTCACAAGACACACACATTGAAGAGCTACTACAAGGGTACTACCAAGGAGGAGAAGGAAGAGAGACAGAAGAGACGTGAGAAGTTTAATAAGGATTTGGCTAGCCTTCTAATCCATGGCAACACGGAGAATCAACCTGATCCTTCTTACAAGAAGCCTGATCTAATTGTATGCGCTGGTTGGATGCTTATTTTGTCTCCATCCGTGTTGCATCCTCTTGAAGAGGCCAAGATTTCCATCATTAACTTGCACCCTGCTTTGCCTGGTGCTTTTGATGGTACCCACGCCATTGACAGGGCTTGGAAGGCAGGTCAGGATGGAGAGATTACGGTAGGTGGTGTAATGATACATAAGGTTATCGCAGAGGTGGACCGTGGTGAACCAATCTTGGTCAAGCAGCTTGAGTTAAAGAAGGAAGAGACGTTGGAACAGTATGAGGACAGGGTCCATGCCACCGAGCACATAGCCATCGTCGAGGGCACCAATATTGCCATTGAGGGATTGTAAAAGAAGTTCATAAGAGATATTACATGTAGCAAGTCGAATAGATATGTCAATGTCTAGCAGTTTAGAGAGTGTACTAATATAACTTACAAGTTCTTGATGACCTCCTCAGTGAAATGCTGAGTAGTAGCAGAACCCTTCAAGTCACCGGTTCTGTTCTCTGGGCCAGAAGCGATGGTCTTCAAGACAGCCTTCTCAATCTTGTCAGCATCCTCGAACAAAGACATGTGTCTCAACATCATACAAGAGGACAACAACAATGCAGTTGGGTTAGCCAAGCCCTTGCCAGCAATATCAGGGGCAGAACCGTGGACAGCCTCGAAGATAGAGACCTTGTTACCCATGTTACCGGATGGGGTCAAACCCAAACCACCGATCAAACCGGAAGCCAAGTCGGACATAATGTCACCGTACAAGTTAGGCATGACCATGACAACGTTCTTGTAGTCAGCAGGGTCCTGAGCCAACTTCAAGGAGGTGTTGTCCAACAATTCGTAGTCCAAAGAGATGTCTGGGTACTCCTTGCCAACTTCCTTAGCGGTCTCGACGAACAAACCGTCAGACAACTTCATGATGGAAGCCTTGTGGACAACCAAAACGTGAGGCTTGTTGATGCTCTTGGCGTACTCAAAAGCGTATCTGATGACCTTCTCAGAAGCTGGCTTGGTGATCAACTTGATGGACTGAACAACACCTGGAACAATGGTGTGCTCAATACCAGAGTACTCACCCTCAGTGTTTTCTCTGATCAAAACAGTGTCAACGTTCTCGTATGGGGTGTCGTAACCAACAATAGACTTACATGGTCTGACGTTAGCGAACAAGTTGAAGGTTCTTCTCAAGGTCAAGTTCATGGAAGTGTGGCCCTTTCCGACAGGAGTAGCCAATGGACCCTTCAAAGCGACCAAGTTTCTGTTGACAGAGTCAACAGCAGCCTGTGGCAAAGTGGTCTTACCGTCAATCAAAAGAGGAGTGACATCAACTGGCTCCCACTCGATTGGAATCTTAGCAGCAGCGTAGATGTCCTTAACGGCCTGGGAGATCTCAACACCGATACCATCACCCTCAATCAAGGTGACAGTGTACTTACCGTTGTCCTTTTTCTGACCAGTGAACTGGCCGGCAATGTATGATCTCGCAAACCTTGGGGCTGGGGCTGCGGTGAGCTTGGCTAATTGTCTAAACATGGCTATGAAGAAGAAGTCGTGGACCTTGAGATTTCGAGCACTAAAGTGTTTCTGTCTTTTTGCATGTACACCGAAAAATTTCGCATCCAATCAAATCGACTCCTGAGTTTCGGACCCGAGACAGCGGTTTGAGCTTCCAAAGACGCGGAAGAACCCTAATAAAGAGGGGGTTGTTTGGCCGGAAGCTTTTTATGCTTATTTTCAACCATCTAGATTTTATAGACCCAACAAACCTTGATATTCTACGTGCCCTGAAGACCAAGTGCTTCGGGATGAGTCGGGGTTGTGTATAAAGAAATATGTACGCGGAAAAATTTTGTTACGGAAAAACGACCTCGGAGTTGGTGATTTATTATACCAGCCTTGGACATGTCTTGATGAGTCGAAATTCAGAATTGACATTACAGCGCTCTGAAAACACCTTATTGAATGATATATCTCAATTACTTATGTAGTCAGCTTTTCATTGATTCTCTTTGACTAGAGTACACTTGCCTGCCCGTTTCTTATCAGTGTACCCACGGTTAAGTAAGACAGTGCAGCCCTCTCACAGTTCAACCATGTGCTCAATGACTTCACCAACTGATCTCTGCTTGCTTCTATCTCTTTTGAAGTGCTTTATACTTTCATCGTAGACTGCTTGGATAACCTTAGCTGCTTTGTAAATCCATATTTCGGACTTCTCGCGTCAAACCAGATCCACAGAGATCGACTTTCCTACATCATACAAGTATAATATCCCGCCATACCTTTTTATGTACTATTGCTCAGCTTCAGCTCTCTTAGAGCGCCTCTCGTCTGTTTCTGAGCTTCCGATTTTACCTGTAAGCAAAGTCCTTTGCAATGCTAGACACTAGAGCCTGGCCCGTGCAGTTCACAATTCAATGACAGCACGAATACAGTCACCCTTGTGCATGTCGTCGAAGGCAGTGTTGATCTTGTCCAACTTGTGTCTGTGAGTGATAAAGTCATCGACCTTCAACTTACCTTCCAAGTAGTCGTCAACGATGCCTGGCAATTGAGTTCTGCCCTTGACACCACCGAATGCAGCACCCTTCCAGACTCTACCGGTAACCAATTGGAATGGTCTGGTGGCAATCTCTTTACCGGCAGCGGCAACACCAATAATGACAGAGGTACCCCAACCCTTGTGGCAGGCTTCCAAAGCATCTCTCATGACATTGACGTTACCAGTACAGTCGAATGTGTAGTCGCAGCCACCGTCAGTCATCTCAATGAGCTTTTGAACAATGGTAGTGCCTTCTGGCAACTTGGCAGAGTTGACAAAGTCGGTAGCACCGAATTTTTCAGCCCACTCGGCCTTCTTGTCGTTGATATCAACCACAATAATTTTGTTAGCCTTTCTCTCCTTGGCACCCTGGACCACGGACAAACCGACACATCCACCACCGAAAACAGCGACGTTGTCGCCTTCCTGGACATCAGCAGTGATGGTGGCAGCACCGTAACCGGTAGTGATACCACATCCCAAGAGACAGGTCTTGTCGAAGCCAGCGGTCTTGTTGACAGCGACGATAGAAACGTCAGCGACAACAGTGTACTGGGCAAAAGTAGAGCATCCCATAAAGTGCAAAAGATCCTTACCCTTACAGTGGAATCTCAGGGTTCCGTCTGGCATAACACCCTTACCTTGAGTTTCTCTCACAGAGCCACACAAGTTGGTCTTACCGCTCTTGCAGAACTTACACTTTCTACACTCGGCAGTGTACAAAGCGACAACGTGGTCACCGACCTTGACGTTCTCAACACCCTCACCAACAGATTCAACCACACCAGCACCCTCATGTCCCAAAATAACTGGGAAAGCACCCTCCGGATCAACACCAGAAAGAGTGTAGGCGTCAGTGTGACAAACACCAGTGTTGTACACCTTGAATCTGACTTCATGGGCCTTTGGTGGGTCAACGGTGATTTCCTCAATGGAAAGAGGCTTGCCAGCTTCCCAGGCAACAGCGGCTTGACAGGTAATTGGCTATGTTGTTAGTACAATAAATCAGTAATAAGAGTTTCGCAGCCAAAATGGCTTATGCCGCTATTTTCCATTTGGGCCCAGATTCGTGTCTTTGCGTTCAGAAAAGGGATCTGATGGCCACCAGGGTGAGTGCTCACGAATTAGGCAATCAGGGCAACAATGCTTGCAGGGGAAAAGGTATGCATTTTAGCATCGGTTTTTCTTTACAAGACATACTTTTCCAACGGTGGATTCAGACATGCTTAGATACGACTGATGTGAAGATGGATCGATCGGGTTTTCTTCAGATGGTTTCCGCTGCTTATATATACCGACCTGCTCGATGGAAGCAGCAACCGAAACGGGATGCCCATTCCGTTTGCCAGGGCACGCCCCTCCACCCCCCTCAGTTAGTGTGGGCTCGATAAGTGAGAGACGACTCAGAGATAGTGGGACTTTTTAACTACTTTGGGACAAGATTTGACAAATGATTTTTTTTTTCTGTATTTTTGTTTTGGACCAACTGTAAGTCGGTTTACCTGAGTGCTGATTCGCTTCTTACAAGACAGCACCGAAACCGAAGGTGATCTTGATGGAACGGATGTAGTATTCCTCGAAGTTACCTCTAACTCGGTCTTCTTCACCAACAGGGATTCCAGTCCACTTGACGACCATCGTGGTTTCTCCAGCACCTTGCTTCAACAGAATGTCGAGCTGTGCGTAGTGGCCCAGCTTCCATTCTTCGAGTCTCCAGAGTTGGGTGATGTGCTCATTGGGAACGAGTTTGGTGAATTTACCCGAGATCGAGCCGCCAAATAACTTGAACTCAGAACCTTCCTTAGGTGGGAAAGCATCCAAGATAGGTGCCGATCTAGTCCAAGCTCCGATTCTCTCTCTGTCTAAAAGGGTAATGTAGAGCTGCTCAGCAGTGGTGTTGAAGGTAGGCTCGAGATGTAGCGTCGAGGTGTTGTAACGAGGGACACCATCGGCGATAGGCTTTGGAGTACTTGAAGATGGCGTGCTGCTGGCAGACTTAGCTGGTGCAGCCTTCTCAGCTGACTTGGAAGAACCCTGGCTTTGGTTTTCTCTAGTGTAGGATGAAGTGACCTTGTCACTTTCAAGCTGAATGTCTTTACTGTTGGTGGAGATCAAGTCAGGACCAAACTTCAGCAATTTCTGTCTAAGCTGAGGCAAGAGCTCCTTCTTGGCCAAAAGCCTCATCTTCTCCAGATCAGCATCTTCGTTGTAGATACTGACATCGAATTGTATCTCGTCTTCTTCGGTATCGTAAGCCAACTCTGGAACAGTAATTGAACCCTTGAAAGTCTTCTCAGGATCAACCACGGAAACACCAACAATATTCATAATGATTCTCAAGTCGAAAAGTGAAATCACTTTGCCCTTTCTCTGACAGACTTCGACATCGCCTTCCAACGATGAGACAGAGTCCACAGTGACGTAGGTTCCATCGTCGCTCGACGCCTTAGTACCAACGAGGTGTTCGTTGAAGTACTGCTTAGACCAGTCAATGCAGTTCTTATCGACCCAGTGCCAGTTGTTAGGATTATTCACGACCATTCTTGTGCAATGTTGAATGAAAGTTTCACTACTCGAGAGTACTTATCTTATGTGGTGCGCACTTTTCTAGAACAATCCAACGTTGCGAACTACCTAGTGGACTGGTTCACCTACAACATCACTTAAGTCATGAATCTCTTAGTCTGTATCCTCTTTCGTTATGCGTCAACCTCCATGGCGTCCAGACGACCCAACTCTACCACACTCTCCTCCACGTCCACAATGTCGCGTATGCTCTGTCTAAGTACAGCCGTAGTGCCGCGTGGGAACTTGTAAGATTGCGTCTTAGCGCCTCTAACGTTAGGCGTCAAGTAGTTTCTGTATAATTGTGCGTCCTTGCCTGTTTCCATGACACAGACGTCCACATTGGAACCGGAACCCAAGTCGTTCCAGATACCAGCCTCAATGGCGTCAGCACACAACTTCACAGCCTCTTCTCTTGACAAATCTGGTTTCCAATGTGTTTCCAAAACAGCCATGGCGGCCAAAGAACCAGATCCCAATGAGAGATACTCACCCACGTCAGTGGAACCATGTGCTTGGACAGACATCAAATGAGAGCCTGTAGGGTCGGAGCCAGCGACAATCAAATAGGCACCCAAGTGGCCCTGGTATTTAAACAAATGCTGTTTCAACAAGGTCAATGCCGTAATCACACGAGGCTGGCGGGACTGCCACATGGCGTGCAACTCCAAGTTCAGCGCAATCAACTGGGTCACCATTTCTGTGTCGGCAGCGGTACCAGCACCAGCACACCAAATCCTTGGAGCCAATCTGTGCAACTTTTCACAGTTCTTGTCGGCGACTATGCTGCCGGTAGTAGCTCTGGTATCAGCTGCAATCACCACACCGCCCTTGAACTTGGCACCAACAATCGTTGTACCGGTGGAGGTGGCCTTGGGAGCGGCATAGCCGTTTGCAGAGAGAAACTGGTTCCTCTGGTAGTTGTCAAAGCTTAAACCAGGCATCTTTCAGTGGGTGTGACTGTGATGCAATTGATTCGAGTTGAGGTTTGCCTTCAGCTTTCGCATTCATGGCTATTTCCACTTTCAAGATCCTAGCATGGTGCACGGGTTTAAGGGCGCACTCAACTCAACCCACACTGGTTAATGTTTTTTCTTCGCTTCCACGTTAACTATGGTTATTTTTGTGCGCACTGCAGCGCTGTCTTATTTACACCAAACTGAGTGCCAGGGCGCACTGACCAAATCAGGCTTCAACTTACCACAAGAACTTGGCACCACTTCACCGATTTTAAAAGTAACCAATTCAAGGTTCTTGGGCAGTTTTTCTTTACCTTGTCATTCATTCGAGTTTAGCTCTTTATAAATGGCAGACGCATTCAATTTCGCTGCTCCAGCAAGGACAAGAGTATTGGTGGTGCCTTTGAATGAAGCTGATCCTAATTTCCACCGGTACTATGAAAAGTTCCGAAACGCCAGTGACATTCGGCTACTAGACGTGGCACCTATACCTGAATCACGCAACTTCAATCCCCAGACATTCCCACAGGGCAGAGTGCTCTATGACTTTTGCACGAGTCCTTCAGATGAAGACGTGCTGTTTCTTCACGAGTTTGAACCTTTCAGAGTGACATTCGTTGTGCTTGGATTGGGCAGCTATGACGACTACGACGAGAAGGCTGCTGATAAGTTTCATCATGACCATTCAAATGCAATGGTTCACAATTGTGTTTACTTCAATTCCCCCTCTGATAAGATTGAGGAGCTGAAACATGCATCTGGCCTGAACACCTTCTTTGTGCCTGCTCTAGAGGATCAAAGCATCACCACTTTGGAAACAACCATGTGCTATATCACCGAAAACTATATCAAGGCACTTGCTCTGTATGTGTCTTCCATCGAAAATATAACGCATCAGTCACCTATGTCGTTAAGAGACGGCACTGCATTGCACAAGACCATTAGTTATGCTCAGAAGAAGGTAACTTCCGGTTCGTCATTCAAAGTATCTTTCTCGAAGAACCAATCGCTGCCTTCTACTCCTGATCTGAAAGTGAAAGCGTCTCAAAGACAAACAGGGCGACAAGCAAAGCTTACAGGTAATTACTTGTTACTTGCAGGTCAGGCAAATGAAGCCTTGCAGTACTTTACCGATGCTGCTATTAATCTCAAAAAAGCAGATGACAACCTTTGGTTGGGTAGTGCCCTCGAGGGTCTTGCCGTTTCATCGTTAATGCTCTCCTACCTCGGCATTCCTCACCAAGCCCTGAATCCAATGTTAGCATCGGTATTACACATACCTAAGAGTAAGCTCAATTCTATCAGCCTAGCGCAAAAGCGTTTGTCCACTGACTCGATGGCAAGCAAGCAATCCAACGGCATTCAGTCTCCGAGAAATTCAACAAGTAGCTCCAGGGGTACCAGCATCGCTTCAAACATTACATCAGGCCATATAGAATTGAGCGGTTCTTCGATCACTGAGTTTTTGCGAATCTTATGCAATAAGACGGCGTTGTTTTATAACCTCAGTGACGCAGATTTCGAGAACTGCGTACCCGACTTGGTCTACATCGAATTTCTCCTAAGAAGCATCAAACTATTCATCGTCATTTACACTGCGGGTGCTGACACTGAGGCCAGCATTCTCAACTGCATCATAAAATCCACACCGGTTGAAAGCAATGGTCCGAAAGACCCAGTTTTACGCACTGAAATTCTTTCACTTATTGACCAGGTCTTCAGCATGCAACTTATAGACTTGGAGTTTGTGAAACAATGCAGAGTTTACTACACTTTAGCATCGATATATGCCGACTTGGGGCTCCGTCGTAAACGTGCATTCATTCTTCGGATTTTATTAGTCGCTCTTTTACCCAAAATTAACCACAAGGGCGTCCTACCGGATTTTGCCTCCACTGCTACACTTTCAGAGATTTTTGAATACCTTTTCGAGATGTACAATATAGGCAGACAAACAGAAGCAAAAGACATTGACGCTATGGGCCATTATTCGGATTGGATAACGCTTCAGCTACAGCTTTTGAAGGTTTGCCTCAGAATAGCTGAATCTCTCAAGAACTATGAAGCTCTTGCGAAAATCTGTGTTCTTGTTTTGTCTAGATACACCCATTGCCTACCAAACGAGGATCAGATAAAATTGAAACGTAAGATGGAGTGGCTTGCCCTTTTATCTAAAGAGAGCCATAACTCAATCCTGATTCCTCATCCCGATCCTTTTCTTGTTAGGAATGCCAAGTTTGTCTTGAATCTGCTGAGTGATGAGCTTATACCATTTCAACCCCCACCTGCTACCACTACGACGGGGATGAATGACCCTCTTATTTTTAATCCGTTCAGCAAAACACCAAAGGATGTACCATCGAAGGAGAAACTCATTTGTGTCAACGATATCCACCAGATCGTCATTCTTTTACAGAATCCCTTTGCATTCGACCTTAGCATCTCAGACATTTCGATAGTGGGTGACAAGAAGGCCATTGAGACAGTGAAACCTCTGATGCGAGTCGCTGGTGTTTCCGGGTTTAATAAGCAAGACCTCAATAAGCTTAATGGGGGCTTGCTGTTCCATCCTGGTCGTATCATGGACTCCGACCAGCATGCTCTGGAGTCAACTAGCAACGTTGTTGTGCCACCATTTTCCCTTTGCCATATTGCTGTTGCATTTAGAATTCGAGAGCCAGGAACTTTTACTATATCAAACTTTGATATCACTTTCGGGACTGCAGAACCCCAGCGATTCAGCATCATTGATCTGGAGAAGTCGAAAGCTTTTCAAAGATTAGAGGCATATCTGTCAATGAAGGCAAGTGAAAAGAATGCTGACAGTGTACTCGATAAATGTGCTGCAAATCTCAGAGATAAAGATATCACTGGCCGGGCCACAAGTAAGAAGCTCTCATTGACCGCAATTCCATCTCAAGCATCGCTCTCACTTGTGGCAAATCTGATACTGAATGGTTGGCTCATGCTTTTAGAAGGTGAGAAAAAGGACTTTTCCATTAAATTGAGGAACACTTCAAAATTGCCTATCAATTATCTTTCATTCTCATTCTGGGATTCTACTAATGACTCGGTTAATTCCAGACTAAACCATGCCAACTCAAGCAATCAACTTCTGGCAGAGGAAGTTCACGAGCTCGAATGGCAACTCCTTGAGAACAAGCCCTTCACCGTGGTAAACAAGGAAGAGATCTCATCCCATTATAGAATTATCCAACCGCAAACGGATGTTGAATTCAAATATCAGATCAATGGAAAGAGAGGAATGTTAGAGCTGAAATTGATTCTCGAATACTGCAACAGAGCGTCGGATGAAACACGTAAGAATTACGTCAAATCAATCAGTGTCCCACTCAGCGTCACGGTACAGCCATCCTTGGAGATCATTGGATGTGATGTGATCCCATTTTTCTCAACCTCGTTACAAGGGTTCCAATTGGACGACTGTCCAGAGAAGGAGAGTTTCATAGAGAAGAACATCAGTGACTTATTGAAATTCATTTCCAAAGCGAAGGAAGCTGAGGACGATGACATTTCACAATATTGTCTTCTCGTTCTTGATGTTAGAAACTTATGGAAAGAGAAACTAGCACTCAAAATCTCAAACGAAGTTCAACCGGGAATTTCTTTCGTTGTGAATGAAAAGATAGACTCCACCAAGACCAGTCGTTTGTTGATACCTATCCGCAGAATCTGCGTTGAGGATGTTGATGTCAGCCGCCCAATTCCTTCTTTGCGGAAGAAACAATTTGTCAAGAACTATGCAATTACTGCCGAAGAAGATGAACAAAACCGCAAGAACTTCTGGATAAGGTCATTCATTCTTAAATGTCTCAGCGGGTCGTGGCGGACAGTCACGAAGAACAACCCGAGATCTGGAGCCATTGACTTGCGGTCCATACGTTTAGACACCAGGATGTCCAACGCCCTAGTCTACGACAGTATCCTGATACAGCATAGTATTTGGAGCGCTGAAAGCTCGTCAGAAGTGGTTGACAAGAGGGAGAACGAGTATAGATTGGAAAAAGAGAACTTCTACGCTCTCAAGACCAAGATTGTGAATCATACCAAGACAGAGTTATCGGGCGTCTTACGCCACGTTCCATTCCCAACCTCCGAGTCGAATAGGCCAGATATATCGATAGATCAGAGAATCCTTTTCAACGGAGTGCTCCAAAAGACTATTGGGCCCAAGCAGATACCTCCTGGGGGATTTGTTGAGCTTGAGTTGGGTTTCATGGTTCTTGAGAAAGGCCGGTATGAATGGGGTTGCGTGTTTGATGACTTCAATAACTCAGGAAAGAAAACAGTCAGCAGAGAGCCGGTCTATATCACAGTGGTCTAAGGCTTTAGCAGTCTGTATTGGTAAACTATATACATTGAATGAGATAAATGGGATATTCATGGGGAAGCTCTATTACTTTCCGGATAACTTGATTGGTAAGGGCTTTGCTCCTTCAGCTTCTAGCTGTTCGATATATTTCTGTCTGCGGATATCATTGTATCTCTTTTCTTGAAAGTATTTATACCAAGAAGCAACACAGCTGTCTTCGAAGACTGCTCTTTCGGTTCCACACTTGGTTTCGACCTCATCCTTCTTCTTTGGATCTAAGGAGTTATCGATATTATTCTTCACAAGGCAGTCAAAGAACTTGTCTCTTGCATCCCAGCAAATCTTTCTTTTCGTCTTGTTGGGTGGATCAACCACCTTTTCTTCTTTGCTAAAAAGACCCATGATGATCTAAGGTACACTAAGATATGGCATTAGAAAATACCCATTACCACTCTGGTGTACGGACCTTTCTCCAGATCCACCAATTTCCAGATCTATTGATGTATTTCCACTGTAAGACCTATATTTCCTTCGATTTGTCAGACCTCTCCTAATTAGGGCTACTTTCCAATCCTTTTCCACCAATCATATATCATATTCTTCTAACGCCAAGCTGTGTTGGGAACAGAGTAGCCTTCCTAGACCATGGAAAGGTCATAAAAGCTAGATCAACTTAGGTTACCCATGTTCCTCCAGCACGTCGTTTGGTCCTAAAGTCGTTGATATGTAACATCTTTTATCCATCCATGACCGAATTTTCCAAAGAGAACTCGTTTCCAACTCGTTTCCTTTGGTAGTCCACGCTCTGGTCCTAATTTCGCAGCCATTATTATGTCTCTCATCGAGAGTCGTTTAGGCCTGGACCTCCACTAATAGAAAATTCACCCGAGGAAAGTACATCTTAACTAACTAAGAGCAAGATGAAATGATAAGAAAATTCAAGTATTCCCTCCGATGTTCTGATTCCGTGTTTTGTTGAATTCCCTGCATAACAGCCTACGGCGTCAAAAGCGCCGTGAACCCCACTATTGCAAATTTTAGTGCTTCAGTCACTGCTTTTCTTTCTTTTCCCATGACACTTCCATCTTCGGGGCCAGACCTCTTTGATATTCAAGAGGATGTTAGAGATGAAGACCATCCTGTGTTCCATGTCAAATACAGGCTGAACTCTTCTGGTACACTCGAATCTTTTGATAATACTGTACCAGAGAGACTTCCAGTGATCAAGGTTTTGGGAACTGGAGGAACCATTGCCAGTAAAGGCTCTACTGCTTTTCAAACTGCTGGTTACCATGTCGACTTGACCATCGAGCATCTTATTGCCAGTATTCCTGACCTTACACATACTTGTGAATTGCATTTCGAGCAAGTGTTTAACCTTGACTCCAAGGAGATCACCACAAGTGACCTTTTGAAACTCAAGGCTAGAACACAAGTTGCTTTGGACAACCACGATGGTGTGGTTATCACTCACGGTACTGATTCCTGCGAGGAAACATCGTTCTTTTTGGATGCAACTTTAGACTTTCAAGATAAGCCTGTGGTTATTTGCGGCTCTATGAGACCATCTACCTCCGTTTCCGCTGATGGCCCATCCAACTTGTACCAGGCTTGTGTAGTTGCTGCCAATAAGCAAAGTCGTGGTCGTGGTGTCCTAGTGACCCTCAATGATAAAATTGGGTCTGGTTATTACATCACCAAGAGCGATGCCAATTCCTTAGACTCTTTCAAGTCCTTGGGTCACGGATACTTGGGAAACTTTGTGAACAACGAAGTCCATTACTACTACCCTAGCTCCATTCCAACCGGCAGAATCTCTTTTAAAACTTCGGTTTTTGGGGATACTATGCCTGAGGTTATCGTGTTATACGCTCATCAGAGCTTCAACAACGAGTTAATCACGCTAGCAGTCGAGAGAATGAAGGTTGCCGGTATTGTAATGGCTACCATGGGAGCTGGATCTCTTCCTGATAAGACCAACGAGATATTGGGTGACTTGTCGCTGACATACGGTATCCCCGTTATCTACTCGAAGAGATCCATGGATGGTATGGTTCCTCGTGGATCAATGCCAAAGGAGAACAACACTTACTTGATTGCAGGTGGTTATCTTAACCCACAAAAGAGTAGAATCCTTCTCCAGCTTTGTCTCAATGGTGGAATGGATATCAAGAGAATTCGTAAAGTCTTCGCCGGTGTGTATGGCGGATAATATAGAGAGCATAATACAAATGATAGATACTTTCATCAATAATAAGTAGATTTTCTGATGCTAAACAACAAAAACTCCAACAACCAACAATTGGGAAACGATAGGCATAACAATTATTTGTAAGCAGCGTCAACACCTTCCTTGTATTCAGCCAAGATCTTTCTTCTCTGCAACTTCTGGGCAGAAGTAACGAAACCATTCTGAGGAGTCCATTCATCATCAACAAGGACAACGTTTTGAATCAACTCAATGCCCTTCAAACCTTGCGACTTACCAGTAGCCACCAAGGACTTGTGAACAGAGCTAATGGTCTTCTTGTCATGACATAAAGTAGCGAGCTCCTTAGACTGCAATTCCGAATCACTGTAGACTTTATCGTCCTTAAGGTGAGTCTTAAGGGCAGCTTCATTTGGAATGACAATAGCAATTGGCTTGACCTTGTTCTGGTCAGCGTAGACACAGATGTTCAAAACAACAGCGTTAGATCTGTAAATGGACTCCAACTTTTCCAAGGCAATGTACTCACCGTTGGCGGTCTTAACCAAGTTCTTTCTACGGTCAATGATCTTCAAAGCACCGTTAGAGTCCCACTCACCAATATCACCTGTCTTGAACCAGCCATCTTCAGTGAATGCCTCCTTGGTTTCCTTAGGATTCTTGTAGTACTCGGAACAGATTGGAGCACCCTTCAACAAAACCTCACCCTGGTTGTCCTTTGCAAAGTAACCAGCTTCTGGGACATCGATCAACTTGGCTGTAACAGAACCAACAATGGTACCAGCAGAGCCGTACTCGAAGCGGTTGTGCTCAAGAATACTGGAGTTGGCACAAGTCTCGGTCAAACCGTAACCAACCAACATTGGGGCAATCAAAGTGGAAATAAATACTTGAGTGTCCCTCGAGACTGGGGAACCACCATTCAAGACGTGGTGCAAGTGGCCACCAGTGGCAGCTCTAACCTTCTTGAAAACGATATCAAAGATAGAACCACCTGGGATCTTGTTGTTAGTGAAGACAGTCTTGGCCTTGTAAGAAGCCCAGAAAATCTTTTGGGTGACGGTTGGCAAAGCCTTGACCTTGGCCAAGATACCCTTTCTGACCGTTTCCCAGACAGCAGCGACAGCCACCATAATGGTAGGTTTGAACTCTTGCAAGTCAGAGTTACAGTTCTTCACAGAAGTGTCAGTCAAAGTCTTGACGTTGGCGTAACCAAGACAGCCACCCCACCAGAAGGTAAGAACTTCGAACACCAACTCGAAAATATGGGCCAATGGCAAAAATGCGATAACACGATCATTGTTACTGACCAAATCTCTACCGGCACAAGTAGATGGACCACTGACACCAGCGACAATGTTGGCGTGGGTCAAAAGGACACCCTTTGGATCACCGGTGGAACCGGATGTGAACATGATACAAGAAACATCTTCTGGCTTAGCAGTGTACTGGAACTTCTCGGAAGGCTTTTCCTTACCAGCCTCAATAACTTCATCATAGGAGACAAACTTAATGTCCGGACGGATTTCCTGAATCTTCTCCTTGGCTTCCTTAGCCTCACGGTAGAATTTGCCGCCGGCGCGCTTGTCCTCTGGGTCAATCTTCTCCGCGTGGATAATAGTCTTGACGTTTTCAGCCTTCTTTAAAGGATTGATCAAGGCGCTCAAAAGATTGTTGTCGGTAAAGATAGCGTTGGACTCAGTGAGCACCAAAGAGTGGGTCAAACCCTGCTCACCCAAAGTGTCGTAGGCAGTGACAATTGGAATGTTCTGGGTCTGGGTGGCCAAATAAGTCTTCATCCACTTGTGGGAGGTGGAGGCGAAAATGTGCAACTTGTTCTCCTGGTTAGGTTTGATGCCAATGTTCACCAAACCACGACCATACTGCTTAACCAAGTCAAGCACTTCTGGGTAAGTCTGGTAACGGTAAGAGGACATTTCAAAATACTCCCAATCCTTATCAACCTTGGTTTCTTCACCATCGACAATCTTCGTCACTTTTTTCGTCTCCACGTGCACCTCCTTCAAGTCTCTCCAGCCCATGGCCTTACGGTCGCCATGTCTCTTGACACACTCCTCAAAAAACTCTGGAAGCGTTGTTGCCTTGGAGTCAATGGGTCTTTCAATAGCTCCGTCTCTTTGAGCAGCTCTTCTTCTTGGGGCACCTTCGCCCTTTCTGGCTTCGCCTACTTCGACAGTAACCAAGGCCATGATATCGGTCAATTTGTTGTGGTGGGTGGTTTCTTGTGGTTTTTTTCCGTCGGATGAGGGGGCGACAATTGGGTTACTGGCTGCTTATATAAGTTGCGGGCGGAGACTGAAAGATAATCGGGTGTGCATAAAACTCACATTTGGCCCTCCCCGATGACAGCCTCATGACCGTAAAGAGGAAAGATGTGGAACCAAGAACAGCCCGATCGTGCACCTGCCTCTCCCTGGTTGGCTGCACCACCCAAATCAGACTGTTTCATCTACACCTACATCTTCCGGCAAACATCTCCTAACCCTTCTTTTGCCTAGAGACGTTCCACTTTGTGCCTCTTAAGATGTTTTGGTCTGGGCCGAGTTGCTCTACGTTGCAACCCAACCTATTCCTCTTGCTGGGAAGTGCGCAAGTTTCACAGGTACCCTGAATTAAAGATTGTGCGCTTTTGGGTACGAAGAAAAATAATTCGCTTTCTTTTTTTTTTTTTTTTTTTTGCTGTAAATTTTTCTCTGCCCTAAGTGCCCAGGATTTACTATTTCCCCTTCCACCTTGGATGACTGGCGGGCGGCTCCCCACAAGCTTCTGTTTCCATATTTATTTTATTTTATTCTCTTAAGGGCGAGACCCTACATGGGAAATTGTTGACACTTGGCTTTTAATTGTGGGATGCTTTTTTTCCATGTTGGCATTCTCTTAAGGTGACTGTCTTCTTTGTCTGTTTTTTTTGCACCCACACTAAGTCTCGGCTAAGTAATGTCCCGGTAGGGCCTTGGGGCCTTTTTCGCCGAGGAACTATACATTTAGGCGGGTGCCGCGGCTGGGATGCTTCAGGATTCCCCCAAAAAATTCATCCCTTGATCCAGCCGTCCTTAACCTGCCCTCCCCTCCTTCTTCTTTACCTCGGGTGCTTCTCTCTTTTGTGGGTTTCTTTCCACATTTTCTCTACTCTGTGGCCTTGCGATTTTAACTATTGTAATGGGACAAACCGCGACTCGTCTCATTGTGGAAACCCAAAGGGTTTGTTGGGTCGCACATGACGCTGGGGCTTCTTTTAGCCGCCTGCTGGCTGCCGCTCTCGAACCAGTACATTGGAAAGCCCTGGAAAAGGGTTTTCGGCGGGAATCTCTCTTGGCAAATTATATTAAACTATTATACTTTCTTTATCTGATTATTTTGATCTTCTGTTTCGGCCTTCTCTAAACCAATCTCTCCTCGAATCTTAATTCGTTGACAAGTGGCAATCCTCTCAACAATCTCAACAAGTTCTCAATGGCTAATCTCTGCTTGTTCAATCCGTTGATTGGCTCAAATCCTGGCTTAGCCAATGGTGCCTTCAACCAGTAACTCAACAAGGTCAACACAGCGTAGAAGTTGTCGTACTCCTTCTCGCCAACCTTCTTGTAGCTGACTCTCTGCAAGAACTCGGTCATGACAACCAAGTCAATGATCAATGGGGTGGCCAACAAGGAGTCCTCACACACATTGTGGATAGAAATCTTGTTGTGACCTCCCAACATCAATTCGGAGTAGTACTCGTCCATGGCAACCTTGGAGTCTCCCACGGCTGGCATGTACTTGATAACAATACAGTGGTCCACGTCCTTACCCTTCTTGTCGTTGTACAAGATATCGTTAGAGTGGATCATGTCGTCAATGACAGAAGCCTTGGAAATCTCCTTGGAACGGAACTGCTTTGGAGCAGACAAGTTGTAACCGTCATTGTTACCCAAGTGGTTGTAAGAGGCAACAGACAATGGCTTGATACCAGCATCCACGAGGAATTGAGCCAAGACAGACTTCAACTTGGTCTGACCAGACTTGAAGTCATCACCACCAATGAAGGACTTGTGCTTCTCGGCCAATTCAATAGCACCTGGAACAAAGGTGTTTTGTGGAGAACCATTGATGTAGGCAACCTGGTCCAAGATACATGCAACAGCAAACACAGTAGATGGAGAAACCTCACTGTGAGACTCCTTGATAGACTTGATCAAGTTGTCGGCAGTGTCGTTGACACCTGGGATGATCTCAGAGTATCTCTCGGTGTTGGCAGTCCACAAGACAATAACCTTGTCCAACTTGTTCTCCTCCTTGAACTCCTTGATGTCCTTTCTAATTCTCTCGACATCAGCCCACTTGTTCTCGGTGGTGACTTCGCCCTTGCTGTCAACGTTGAAGATGTTGTCGGCTCTGTCCTTCTGGTTAAGAGCAATGAAGTCTGGGTAGTAGACAGATGGCAATGGAACAATCGACTTGGTGTAACCAGCCACCTGTTTCTGCAAGTCAACGTCCAAGACCTTGGCTCTCTTACTGGCCTGGTCCAATGGCATCTTGGAGATATCCCAACCGCCAACAACCAAGTCGTTAGGGTGAACCATTGGCAAGATGGAGTTGAATGGAGCGTACACATCGTTACCCTCCTTGTCAACACCGAGCTTCACGGTAGAAGCCTGGGTGACGGAACCAAAGTAGTTTGGCTCGACACGGCCTTCCTTGTTCTCGAAGGAAATGTTGTGCTTGTTGGCCAAGATAGCGTTCACCAAGGTGGTACCATTGTTACCGCCCAAACCAACCAACAATAAACCAGTCTTTGGGGTTTCCAAGTCAACCTTGAACTCGTAGTCGGTGGCAGTTGGAGTAACAGAAAGAGAGCCAGCCTCCTTCTTCTCGACAATGGCAGACTCGTAAGTGAACTTGGTGTAAAGAGAACCGTCTCTGGTCTCAGCTTTAGTGTTGAAGTTAACAGACATTGAAGAATAGATATAGGATTGATAAAGAACCTAAAGAGAAAAAAGAGGAAAAGAAAATCCAACGAGGAGGGGGGAATCCACCCTTTATATATTGTTTTTGGGAGGGAAAGGGGCCTACCAGAAGGAAGGGATCCCACGGCCCCCAAGGGCTTAGCTGCAAAACATGGCCCCGGGTAACTGAGCGAGGACTGCACAATGAGAAATATTCGCCGAAATTTCGGCGGATTCTCCCCACCTATGCAGGAGTTCACATGCTTTCTACCGGCCAAATACCATTTTGGGTGTTTGTTGAACAACACAGCGGCAAGACTAGCAATTTCATTGGTTACAAAAGTACCTTTGGGCTTGCGGTTCGTCCTGCGTTTTTTCTTATTGGTCAGATGCAGCCTAACCCATGATAGGGGGCGGGAATGTAAATTGCCCCTAAATCAATGGCTTCTGATTTAGACATTAGATTAAATTGTCAATTCCAGCCAACCTCAGCCCTTTCTTATTTAAACATGCCATTGACTTGGTATTTGGGATCGTGAAATTCATAGCACGTGCTCCCACAGTGTGTTCGCGGGTGGAGACGGATGGACACTTTCCCAATAGATAGGCGCAAAAATAATGTGCCACAGGCAAGAAACGCCAATTCCATGAGAGAAATTTTAATAGATCCGAGTCAAGAATCGTATGACTCGTGGGCTGTAGTTTTAATTGACGTCATGGACGTATAAGGGCGGTACGGATGTTTGACATGACCAAGCCAAACCTTGACGACCAAACCTTGTTCACCAAAGCTTGAGGTCGGTCCACCGGCAGCACAAACAAACACCAGATATAAGCTTCCAGCCAGACCATTTTGGTTTGATCTGGATCACTTGAAACTGTTTATTTGTTATGAAAGCTTATCCATTCATGCCGTTGACCGCCTTCTCTACGGCTTGTAGATCGATCTAGTTTGGTGGCTCAAGCGTGTCTTAGCTGGCGGTGTGGCTTCAGGCTACCATTTGCACCCAATTGCAGCCATACAAACTCATACTCCACAATGCAAAACATAAGCTTGCCTTTTACAAGTCCAAAGCACAGGACAAATCCAAAGCACAAGCACCAAAAATGAAACACCAATTTGAATCAAGGGGTTGAAAGGGCTCGCGTCTTGTACCTGCTTTGGTGGTAAAACAAGAGGGTGCCTGTGAAGGTGCGAAGTGGTATCTTTCGCGATCAGTCACGACCATACAAATGAGCTACCCCAGAAGGTTCTGCCGAAGGGACGTTATTGTGGGAAATCGTTTCTTTGGTTGTGCAGTTTGTATTGTGGAGTTTGTGGATCTGAAGAAAGGGGTACTTTTTCCAGATGTTTGACGTTCCTCCAAAGGAGTTGGTAATAGGCGGTAGCGCACAGTTACTGACATATCGCGAGCGAGCTATAGGAGGAGTTTGCAGCCATTCCAAGACAAAACATGGCGATCATTTACATTGGAAGGAGGACAATGATCTGGTCCAGACACTTATGAACCCAAGGTGGTTACTAGCATGACATTGATATCATTCCCAAATAGTGTTTAATGGCTTTGGCGGCTTTGGCTAAGCCATGTTCAGGCAGCTAGGTGCATTCGGAGTCCCCTTGGAGTCTCCACTAGGCCCAAAATGACATCACATTCCATTGGGACCCTTTCCATGACCGCTCCCCACATCGTTGCTACCCACAAACCGGAAGGCTTTGTCTGTTCGGTTTTGTAACACCAGGTAATGAGCCTCTACGACTACTTCTGAGGCGCTCGTAAAAAACCTCAACCGACAAGTCCCTCTCTGCATGGCGCTGGTGCACCCCAGATGGCACCACCAACTACAGTAGTAGCCATCCATTTTCAAGTAGCAAATGTGACAAATTGCGGGCTTAGATTTCGCTTCGGTAACATTTTCATTCGAATGCGTCGATTTAAAAACGTTGCTCGACTTTTTCGGGGAAGATGTTTCCCAGTTGGCGTTGGCAGCCAGCACTTCTACCTTCTTTCGCGGAAAGAAGTACCGTTGAGGTTTTAGACAAAACGCAACATAGAGAAGAATAGGCTTTTTGTGCCGAGCTGCAAACCATAGTATTGTGGTTTTTTTCAAGCCAAGAGGCATGTTACAACAACCCGCCTTACAATGATGAAACAACGACGGCGTTTTACTCTGACACTGAAGGTTCTTTCCTGAAACTTGCAGTAACTTTCCGGCTCGGTTTAATCAGCGCATATTTTTCGCTACTGTAAAGAGCATCGCAGTGTTGACAAAATACTACCTAACGCAAAACACTGTCGGTTAGGAGATGCAAAAGTCCATGCAGCCAAGTAGCTATATCCAGAGAGTGCAAAATAGAAGGTACCTTTACAGCGAATGGGAGTTTTTCGCGGCCTGTGTGGCTACCGCGAAAAGTCAACATCTGACGCGGCTTCTGCACTAGAGGTTAGAAAACACGGCTCTGGCGTTGGCTTGTGTACACTCCGTGCACTGGTTTTGCTGCAAAAATGCTGGGTGATATATCCAATTAAGCACCAACGACCTGATTTGTTTCTGTGTCTGATCCTAAAGTGTGGTTACCGTATCCGTTTTAAACTACATGCTTCTCCTTTGCAGGTCTGTGCGCCAACAATAGTATGCACTATACGCCCTCATCTTCCATAGGTTGCAGCCCACCTCGGACCCCTTCGCTTTCCATCATCGCGTTCACCTCCTCCTCCTCCTTCGAGTTTAAATACCCCCAGATATCTTGCTCCAGTCGAGCTTTTTTTTTTTTTCTTCTTCTTCTTCTGTAGGTTATTCAGTCACTCTTTCACCCACCCTCCTTCATTCCTTTGATACCCTTTAGTTCCCTAGTGGTTCTATTATACTCAACCCCAGTCACTCCTTTGACACTTGATACCCCCAACTAGTCACTCCTTTACCTCCAACTAAAGACTGAAAAAAATGCTTTCCCAGACATTCCTTTTACTCCTTGTATCTCTCCTTGGAAAGGTTCTTGCCTTCTCCGCCTCCTCCAACAAGAACGTTGCCGTCTACTGGGGTCAGAACTCCTACGGTAACCAGGACAGATTGAGCGCCTACTGTGACAACGACGACACCGACATTGTCCTTGTCTCTTTCGTCACTGGCTTCCCTGAATTGTCCTTGAACTTTGCCAACCAATGTGGTGGCTCCTTCAGCAACGGTGTTCTCCACTGCCCTCAGATCGGTGAGGACATCAAGACCTGTCAGTCCAAGGGTAAGAAGATCTTGCTTTCCTTGGGTGGTGCCTCTGGTAGCTACGGTTTCCACGGCCCTAACGCTGACTCCGACGCTGAAAAATTCGCTGAGACCTTGTGGAACAAGTTCGGTGCTGGTTCTGACGACGAGAGACCTTTCAACGATGCTATCGTTGATGGTTTCGACTTTGACTTGGAGAACAACAACCCTACCGGTACTGTTGCTTTGTCCAACGCCTTGAGAAAGCAATTCTCCAAGGACTCTTCCAGACAATACTACTTGGCTGCCGCTCCTCAGTGTGTCTACCCAGATGCTTCCTCCGGTGACATCTTGGCTGAGACTCAAATCGATTTCGCTTTCATTCAATTCTACAACAACTACTGTGGTCTCGGTGACAACTTCAACTGGGACACTTGGCAGAAGTTTGCTGAGGAGGACTCTCCTAACAAAGATATCAAGTTGTATGTTGGTTTGCCAGGTGCCCCAAGCTCTGCTGGCTCTGGTTACGCTGACCTCGACAAGGTGAAGAAGAACGTTGGCCTGGACATCTTGAACAACAAGAACTTTGGTGGTTTCATGTTGTGGGATGCTTCTTCTGGTGCTAGCAACAAGAACAGCGAGGGTGTCTCTTTCACTCAGCAGCTCAAGAACTACCTTTTGGGTAATGTTGAGGAAGAATCTCCATCTGCTCCAGCTTCTACCTCCTCCAAGCCTGCTCAGACCTCTGCTACTTCCACCACCAAGGCCGCTGCTGAGACTCCAGCTGAAGAGACTCCAGTTGAAGAGGCCAAGCCAACTCCATCCAAGGGTGTTAACGCTGGCGCTCAACCTAATGTTCCAGGTGATGGTTCTAAGACTACTGTCGCTGCTGAGGCCACTACCACTCAGGCCCCTCAGGATGACTTGGTGACCGTTACCGTGCAAAATCCTTCTTCTACTTTCACTACTGTGCGTGTTTCCTGCTCTAGTGATACTCTTGTTAATACCGTCGACGGTAAGGTTGTCACTGAGGTTGTCACTGTTACCAGAGTTGTGTCTACCGCTTACCTTACCAAGACTGTCAAGGCCGAGCCAACCGCTTAAAGCTGGTGAGCCGCCATAATCTTTATAGGATTTGCCATGAATGTATGTATAATTAAAATTGATTTTTGACTATTCCTTGTTCCAATCCTTGTAGTAGCAGTCGTGCTTTAGGATTCATGTAGATTGTTGGCGGTTCATCTAACGTGTCCACAGCCTGATTGTTTTGGTCAGCCTCTTCCACTTTTGTCGATGAAACTTTAAAATGCACAAGCGGCACACTGCTTATGTCGAATTGACGCTGCGCTTGTTTTGTTAACGCAAACGGCAGTAGTAGGAAGAAGAAGGTTCTCATTCGGTCTAATGCTGTCTTTGCATGGTACTCATAGATGCCCGCAAGTTCTCGTATTGTTGACGCCTGAATTCGTCTTTTGTAGTTTTTGCACTGGACGAACACTTGTATTTGATTTTCCAAATCAATTTGCTTGGGTACTTTACCGCCTGTGGCCTCATTATACTGCTTGGAGGCAGAGAGGACGGTCTTTTGAGGGTATTTCTTTGATTTCTTCTCGTCTGTAAGTCGATTCCAATAGAAACCCAAATTCCATTTTCCAAATATATCAATCCCGTTATCCATGGCACCGCCCACTCTCGTCATCTCATAACAGTGTAGCCTGTGTTCCAAGTACTCTTTAGCATATAGCTCATATAGAGTTCCTCGAAAAGTGGTGCTTGTCACGTCCTTTTGGTTGAGTCTTCCATATTCGAGATATTCTCTGGAAGTCTGAATGTCTTGAAGGGTCGATTTGAATCTTCGAAGAATGTGTCGGCTTCTAAGCGTACATGACATTCAAGCTGGAAGGTGATATCAGATACACTACTAGTTAATTCAAGCCAAATGCGAAATATCACCGAAGCACACCAAGCCTGGGAACAAAAGGACTTATCAATATGAGGTTTACATCAATACTATTATACCCAATTTTGGCATATTCTGCCTTTGCTGAAGCTACCGAAAAGACTGTTGATGTCTTCAGCAAGTCTGTCAATTCTGCATCCACAGTAAGCTTAGGTCAGATAAAGTACGACACGGCTACCAATAATACTGAGTATGTTGCCATAAGCGACTTGCCCAGCCATGAGAGCATTTGCTTAGGAACGAGGCATATACCAAATAGAGAATGCTTCACGTTCCTTCAAACCAAGGAATCCAGCCCCAAGGGAAGGTTTGTCTTGTTCTTGAACAAGGATAGAGAGATAGAAGACATTGCCTTCCATGCTGGTGATGAAGAATGGAGCACTGAGTTGGTAGACGTTTTGCTGGCTCCATCTCCAAACTTGAAGCCGTTTGTCAGACAAAAGCAAAAACAGAAAGCTGAGCCCGTGAAGCAAAAAGTGATTAGAAAGAAGACCGTGGAGATCGACGGCAAGCAGACTGAAATCGAAGAGGAAGTTGAAGAAGAGGTTCAAGAAGATGCTAAACTGTGGTTGCAGAAGAACTGGATGTGGGTGGTGATCCCATTGGCTCTATTCATGGTTATGGCACCTGAAGAAGAAAAGAAGGAGGAATAGTCGTTGACGACAAGCTAGCATAATAATAAAGGTCTCTATAAGTTGAAGGCTGTGGGCTTAATACCCATCAATTTGTAAATGCCCTGAAGGGATCTGGCTCGTTTTAAAACGGTGGTTGCGATGTGGAGAGGGTTCTTCGTAGAATTCCATATTTCGTCCATGAAAGATTATTTTAGATCGCCAAATTATCTGGAGAATTGCTGTTGGCTAGATTATAGGGACTTATACTTTGTTTCGGGGAAGCTTTTATAGGGATTACTGACAGTATCGAGGTCAGTTCACGAATCGATCTTGAAGAGGTAGAAACTACGAATCCTTGACCTTAAATACAATAGAATACTTTTTTAATTCTATTTTAGCGTGTTTAAATCATTTTCAAGGTAAACATGAATTATTTTTTCTTTTTGAAAGTTTTTGGTATTGTTGAGTTCTCCCTTCGAATGACAGTTTTATACCGAAATTATTAAAGTAGGCCAAACCTACAATAATTTAAGAAACTTAAAATAAAAACGAAAAAGAAGAGAGACGGATCTAAAGAAGACAGGATGAAAGAAGTCGGAGTACAATTGGGCCTAGCTAAGTTATTTATCCTTTTGACGGACCCAACTCTATAATCAAAGGATAACCAACGCCAATGGGATCATTTCCACAAACCCTACAATAAAATCAAAATGAAATAACTAATCACCACCCAGCATGAATCGATGACCCAGACTTCTTCAGTAAGCTTTCAAGAAATTAGTGCAACCTATTAGCCACCACGGAGTTCGGTCCATTCCATAAGCAGACCAAATTACAGGCCAATAAACAAAAAACAATCCAAATAAAAAAAAGGAAAAAGAACAAAAAATTAAATAAAACTACTCATAGAAACCCCTTGGACCGGAAAGCCCCAAAATAAATCCCACATCCCAAATCCAAACTCTCTGTCTGTTCCACCTTGCCAGCCTCCACAGTCTAAGCTTCCCAGTTCCAGAGCCGAGCATGAATCTCGGAGTGCCTCACAGACCGGTCACTGCGAAATCTGTAGAGCCAATTGAGACTGCCCAATTGTGCACCTTCAATGCGCACTGGCCCATGTAAAATCTGTAAATGACTACACAAAAAGGGAGAAAGTCAATGAAGGAAAGAAGTTTGAGAAAACACGTTTTCAGAAGCTTCATCTCTGCTTATTTAAGCCATCGGTCATACACTTCTTTCTCTGGCGGTGTTGGTTTCTCTAATTTCCGTGCTGGGTCGTCCCGTCTCTCACCGAGCGCACTTAGCTGCAGGCAGCCTATCAGAAACAGATTATTGCTCCATTAGTAAAGGCAGCTCAAAAACCAATAGAGAATTTCCATAAAACATACCTACATACAAAAAACTTAGAGGTCAAGCGTTAGAAAAAAAAAAAAAAAGATCAAGCGTACTGACATCCCGAACAGCCTGCTCTTCCCCTCGAACCCCAATAGACGCTTCATTTCCCTTATAAATATTAGCATCATGTTGAGATCGCTTTATTCGGTTTCTTCGAGAAGACTTTTATCGAGCTCAGCCAGGCGCTTGGCTGAAGTCAACGTTACTGTTGATGGTAGAACAGTCCAGATAGAAGCTGGCTCCAGTATCATCCAGGCTGCCGACAAGGCTGGCGTTACTATTCCTCGTTACTGTTACCATGACAAATTGGCCATCGCAGGTAACTGCCGAATGTGCCTTGTTGATGTCGAGAGAATGCCTAAATTGATTGCCTCTTGTGCTGTGCCAGTGCAAGAAGGTATGGTTGTCCACACTGACAGTGACAGAATCCAGAAAGCCAGAGAAGGTGTCACCGAGATGTTGTTGGAGAACCATCCCTTGGACTGTCCAGTGTGTGACCAAGGTGGTGAGTGTGATTTGCAAGAACAGTCCAACAGATACGGTGCTGACAGAGGTAGATTTAAGGAAGTTACCGGTAAGAGAGCCGTTGAAAACAAGGCCATCGGTCCATTGGTCAAGACTTCCATGAACAGATGTATTCACTGTACCAGATGTGTGAGATTCATGAACGATGTTGCTGGTGCCACTGAGTTGGGTTCCACCGGTAGAGGTAATGACTTGCAGATTGGTACTTACATCGAAAGAAACATCAACTCCGAGATGTCTGGTAACATCATTGACTTGTGTCCCGTTGGTGCTTTGACCTCCAAGCCATACGCTTTCAGAGCTAGACCCTGGGAGTTGAAGAGAACTGAGACCATCGATGTTATGGATGCCCTTGGTTCTAACGTCAGAGTTGACGCTAGAGGTATTGAAGTTATGAGAGTTATGCCACGTTTGAACGATGAGATTAACGAAGAGTGGATCTCCGACAAGTCCAGATTCGCCTGCGATGGTTTGAAGACACAGAGATTGACCAATCCTTTGATCAAGGATGGTGACAGCTTCAAGCCAGCAACTTGGGATGAGGCTCTTTCCACCATTGCTGCCGCTTACAACAAGCTTAAGCCAAATGGTGACGAGTTGAAGGCCATTGCTGGTACCTTTGCTGACGCTGAGGCCATGGTCGCTTTGAAGGACTTGGTTAACAAGTTGGGCTCTGAAAACACTGTCACTGATGTTAAGCAGGCCACTGATGCTCACGGTGTTGACATTAGATCTAACTACGTTTTCAACAGCACTGTTGATGGTATCGAGGATGCTGACCAAATCTTGCTTGTTGGTACCAACCCAAGATTCGAGGCCGCTGTGTTGAACGCCAGAATTAGAAAGGTGTGGTTGAGACAAGACTTGGAGATCTCTGTCGTCGGACAGGACTTCGATGCCACCTTCAACTACGACAAGTTGGGTGCTTCTGCCAACGACTTGAAGAAGGCCTTGTCTGGTGACTACGGTAAGAGATTGGCCGAGGCTAAGAACCCATTGATCATTGTTGGTTCTGGTGTTGCCGAATCTGAAGACGCTAAGGCCGTCTACAACACCGTCGCTGAATTCGCATCGAAGACCAAGAACTTCAACACCGAAGAATGGAATGGTGTCAACCTTTTGCATCGTGAAGCCTCTCGTGCTGCCGCTTTGGACCTTGGTTTCCAGAAGTTGACTCCTGAGTCTGCTAAGGCCAAGTTTGTCTACTTGCTTGGTGCTGATGAGATCAAGGGCTCCGACATTCCAAAGGATGCTTTCGTCATTTACCAGGGTCACCATGGTGACATTGGTGCCTCTTTTGCTGATGTCATCTTGCCAGGTGCTGCTTACACTGAGAAGTCTGCCACTTACGTCAACACGGAAGGTAGAGCTCAAGTCACTAGAGCTGCCACCAACTCTCCAGGCTCCTCCCGTGAGGACTGGAAGATCATCAGAGCTCTTTCCGAATACGTTGGTGCTCCTTTGCCATATGATGATTTGTACGCTGTCAGAGAAAGATTGGGTGAAATTGCTCCACACTTTGTCAGACATGAAGTCATCGAGCCAGTTTCTCAGGACATCGCTCAAGCTGGTCTTAAAGACATCATTGGAAGACTTGGTAGCTTCAAGGCTGCCGGTGTTCCATTGAAGAACCCAATCAGCAACTTCTACTTCACTGATGTGATCTCCAGATCCTCGCCTACTATGGCCAAGTGTGTTACTGCATTCGGTGCTAAGATCGATAAGATCAAGGACCCAAAGCCATTGGTTGACATCTAATGAATTTCGTTACCTGCGACTGTACCATAAAACCCTATTGCATGTGTGGATGTTAGAAAGTTCACCAGATATTATTACTCGAGATGAAGGATCTTGTGTGGCATTTAGTTAGTGCGGAATTGAACGATGGATGGCAACTGCTGGAAAAGCCTATCCAGAGTGAGCGAAATAGTACTTTTACTTTTTTTGTGTCACTTAACAAACAACCGAATTCATTGAGTTCGATCCTTCTTCATAAGAGCATTTATAATAAAACCATGAGTATTGTATACTAGTAACCTCGTAAATCTTTGACTAAGTATTAGCTTCCATGGCGCTATACAGGAAGTTTGACCGTTTCCCCATACTTGAGTAAAAGTATACGACTTTTCTTAATGAAATGGAATCACACATGCATCAAGAGGACCAGTTCTCGTCTAAATGGCGAGTTGCTAAAGCTTGCGCTCGCTGTCATCGATTGAAGAGTAAATGTGTCTACGAGGACCCAACTTTCAAGACCTGTAAGAGATGTTTCAATTTGGGTCTCAAATGTTCAGTTGATGAAGACCCAACAGCAGTGAATGCCAGGAAAAGGAAACATACCAGAACGCATCAGCAGGTTGCTTCGAGGATCACAAAGTTGCTTGATGGTATCGATAAGGAGTTGGAATTCTTCGAAGAGAAACAACCCCAGGAGAACAGTGAGTTCCATTCGCTGCTTTCCCTCCTCTCAGCAAAGCTCAACCAAGCAGGGGCCAGACTAGCTGACAGCTTCAGCTTGAATGGCAAGGCCAGTATCCAAGTCGGGCTTCCGAATATTCATCCCAACACAAATGTCACACATGAGCTCATCTACACCCATAAGGTGCTCTCTGAACAAGAGGCAAGAAGACGTCTCAGCTACTTCCTCAACGAAATGCTTCCCTTTTTCCCCATCGTGGCTCTACTGAGAAGCTTGCATGACTTCGATACACTTATGAAGACGGATTCTACTCTTCTCCTAACGTGCATCTTCATAACCACTGTGAATGATAACGCACTTTCCGATGAAAGTCCGTCAAAGGAGTCAAATAGGCGGCTTCATGAAACTCTTAGCCACTACGTCACCACAGAGATTTCAAAGCATATCTTTGAGCGTTCTACAGCGTTCACCTACCACTTGGCAATTTCTTGCCTTCTATTATCGCTTTGGTCCATACCATCGGACCGTAAGGGCCAATTCAGGAGCCAGGTTGACCTTGTAAATGCCCATGGAGTGTCTCTTTGTGCTGACGTTGGTAACGTTTCAACATACCAAATCAAAGCTCTCGCAGATGATAATTCATTGGAGAGGAATAACTTGAGAACATTTTTGGCTGTTTACAGTTGTTGTGGATCATTGAGTTTTTCTTTACCAAGATTCCGCATTGTATCATGGTGTCTAAGACATGATATCGCCATAAAGCAATTACTTACGCGATACGAGCAATCAATACCAACCCCAGAGGATGTATTTGTGTGTTGCTTCACGCGATTAGTAAGAAAAGGGCAGGAAATTTTCGACTATTTCATTTCTCATGGTGTCACTGTCAGTTTCCTAAGTACTGAATCGGGTGCTAAGGTAAGGACTCGTTCAGATGATACGACATTTGCTAGCGTCACCAACAGTTTGGAACGCTTTAAAGTTGAGTTGACAATGATCCTAGCAGAAAGCGGGTTAATTGACCCACAGACTTTGGCACCAAGACCGGAAGCAGAGATACGAAAGTATTGTCTAATTATTGTCTATCATCAATTAATGATGATGAACCATGACACGCTTCTAAGCTGGCAAATTTTCCACATGAAGCCAGAGGCTGACAATCTGCAAATAATTCCGCTCATAAAACATCATGTCAACCGATTCAAAGAAGCTTGCGACGCAATCTTGAGTTACTACATCAAGATGAACCAGATTTCATCTAAAAATTACCCTACATGGTTGCAGTACAGGTGTGTTCATGCGCTTATTTCATTGGTGAGATTACTTATTCTTATCAAGACAAAAGCGAAGGGATTCGAGTTGGACGGTTTTGATGAAATCAAGCAAAAGCTTGACTATTATATCCACAATGTGAGATCTATTCTTGACAATAATGTTAAGGCATACGACTCCGTTGTTTCGGGCCGCGTGAAACTAATTGTTGACAGAATTGTAAAGTGGAAGAAGGTGGTTGAAAGTCTGAAGAGCTCCATGAAACTCGACTATATTAATATCACTCAAACCATGAAGGGTCAAGAGATGGAGAAGCTCAAAGACCCCACAAGTGCTCCAAGCAATGGTCGCAAGAGAATCAAAGTTGAAGTTCAGGAGGATGTTGAAAAGGGTACCGAGAATACTCCAGATAGCGGTACAAGCTTTGATCCTGAAGAATTTTTGCCTCAGTTCCCAGACCTTACAATGGCATCCAACACAGAGATTTTCAAGGATTTCGACCGTGACTTTTTGAGGTTCATGAATCCAACAGAGTTCCAGTTGGGTTTCGATGAATCTACTCTATTCTTGAATGGAGACGTCCAGAATGCGTATGGGTTTTAAAACTCGAAATCATCCACGTTATCCTGCTGGTCCTGAGCGGCGGAGCTACTTTTCTGTTCCGCATCGTCATTGGCTTCATGATCTGCCAAATCGTAACCCGCCTTTCGTTCGCCAGTATCTTTTGACGTGGACACATCCCTTTCCTTCAAAACTTTGTATAATGAACCATGACTTTGCTCTTCGTTTGTAGGCTTGTTGTCGGTCTTGTATCTGCTGAACTCAGTAATATCCACTTTCTCAGCTTCATCAGCTTCATCAACATGGTCATCATTAATATCCAGCTCCTGGTTTTCTTGATCGCTCGTTTCCTCCTCGTCTTCTTCATCATCTTCGTCTTCGTCTTCGTACTCGGACTCCATGTCAGCTTCAAAGGCTCCCCAAGTATGACCCTCGTTAATTTTCAAACCTTGAGAGTCGCTAGTACGATAACCACCATTATCATAAATTACATCAACACCAGGTATAATACAGTTCTTAAAGGCTGGCGGTTTCCCTACCAGGTTCATTAGAGTGACCCAAGGCGGTATCACATCCGTATCATTCAGCGAAAGTCCGACCGCTTCCCTCAATCTTTTTGAAACGACGCCTGGTCGCATATGTGTAACGCTTTCCCGATACTGGTCAGACTTTTCACGGCCCTCCCAGTATAGTTCACCAAATTTTAAATGTCTTGGTTTTGTTTGAAATTTAAAAAATGCATCATGAAGCTTCTGATAATCAATATCAAGCTTGCCCATCTTTGGTTGGACCCTTTCACGTTGTTGTTTCTTCAAAGTATCAGGGTCATAGTTTCTCATCTCAGCGATACCAGTATCTTGGATGTATTTTGGAAGTCGGAAAGGAGGCACTTCGAATCCCTTTTTGCCAGAGAGATAATCTTTCTTTTGCAGCCAATGCGATGGAACACCAACAGCATTGAACGACGTCTTGAAAGCCACGCAAAGATATGGATCTGGAGCATCAGCATCATACCACGCCACAGCATTGGGTTTATCTGTCGATGCCTTGAGCTCTGCGATGGATACTTTGTTTCTTAGGCGCTGTTGCCTTCTCGAGAGAGGCTTCTCGAATTCTTCATCCAGACTATCATCAGAAGAGGAGTCCGAATAGTATTCTGTGTTGGATTTCGTAACTTGAAGAGATTGTTTTGGGGCAGACGGCTCCTCAAATCTTCGAAAAACATGCTGAAAGTCACTAGCCAAGTCTTCATCAAGAGGCAAGACATCAGACTTGGTATTTCCATTGACAGCGTCAGGTTTATCATTAGGTTTAGCATCGACCGAATCTATCTTTTCACTAGCCTCAGGCACGATAGAGGTCTCTTTAGTCTGTTCATTGTCAGCTTCAGGCTTCGCTAGCAGTGGTGAACCGTTGGCATCGTCGTCATGTTTCTTCGTAACGGCTTCAGGATGTGCTGTTGCATTTTCTGTAGAGCTCTGAAGCTTTCGTAGCTTGGCTTTCTCGCGTCGAAGTTGGTTCTTAGACCGTTTGGGTGCCATGTAGTAGTTGTCTCAAGAGATGAGATGCTGGTGCGCATATATAGTTGAGGTTAAGCTACAACCCACGATAATGCAATGCCATTATTCTACCCTATTTATAATGTAGATTAGAGAAAGTTAGCTTCCAGCAGAGACTGAATCAATTAGTTTTTCTTTTCTTCACCAGCAATATTCATCGGAATCGACGAAATAAAGGCGCTATGGGCCCTAATCTGTGTTGACGAAGCCCATTTGAGCCAAGTGAATCTACATTCAGCAAAAAGTTCAAATAGAATAGCTTGTAGCATTAGCCTCTGAAAGCTTTAATCTCTCGACATACCTCTTTCACTCGAATGTCTTTCTCCTATGCAAATCGCCGTTGAAGGATGTTATTTCTTTGGCTCCTCAGGTGAAGTGGCACAGCGTCTTTTCATACGCTCGATACGTTCACTGATATCGTCCAACTGCTGGTACACATCTTTATCGTTCTTCTCCATCAAATCCAATATCTGCTGTATGTTTCCATCTAGTTCATTGGCGATCTCTAGTAACGAGGTGTTGTGGGTCTCAGCGTCATCCACCTTGGGTGGCATTTCGGCCGATGCATCAGTGAATTCTCCATTTGTCAAAGCTGGAGTACTCAAGCCAGGCACTTTGGTTTCGGTTGGTTCACTCATACCTGGAGTAGAAGTATAGGGTAGGTCTGATATCTACAGGAAATACCAAATCAACATATGTGCGTAGTACTGTGGAGAACAGACACCGTACCAACGTCTACATCCGATTCTATAATACCCAATGAAACCTTTTCAGCTACTACATATATTTTCGTTAGCGTCAAGCGTGCTAAGCTTGCATCTTCATTCGCATACGCTATTTGAGATTCGTCAATTTGAATCGTTCATACCACAAAGTATGGTTCGTGATCTCAAGAACAGTGTTCTGAAAAGTCAATGGACCAATGATCCCAATAACACATTCGAGAGTTACTTTATTGATCGTGGTAATAGGACGGATGAATACTTATGCTCGATACCCAGCGGCTTAATCGATTCGATCGAGGAGAAAGAGCTTACGTCCTCGCTGGAGCAGGTGGATGCGGTAAACGACGCCAGGTTACTTGCCACGGCAATTGACATAATCGAAAAGTCTTTTCCTACAGACGAGTGTGTCTTCGCATATGATCTTCGTGGTCTTTATTGGACCTATGCCTACTGCTTTGCTGATAAGGTGATCCAGTACCATGAAGCAGTACCACCCGCCGAGAGACGGAAGCGTCATTTGGCAGCCAACCCAAACCAGGTTTATCTCTTGGGACGCTTCACCGATGCGACATCAAATAGCATCAAAATTGGGAACCAAGCCACACAAAAGCATAAAGAGAAATACGTCACCCAGGGTAAGAGTACCTTCACGCTCGGTGACGATATAGCATCCCCTTTCCATCACCGCTCAACACATCAGGTTGTACAGCAGCAGATGCAACCTGGCTCCTATTGCGAAGAGATTAATGGACAACGGTCGGTGGAGATAATCTATAAATGTGACCCGGATGCCCATGGCTTTTCCCAACCCCAAATCATTGACGTCCCAGAACTTACGACATGTCTGTATAAAATGGTTATCCATGTACCCGACCTTTGTTCACTAGAGCAATTTGCTCCTCTTAGAAGCATACGGGATTCACTGGTTGAACTAGCTTGTCAACTAGTGGACGAAGAGAGAGCTGGTGAGGAAGAGGAACCACCACGTCCTTTTGAGTCTTACACTTCAAATGTCCGGCTCAGGGATCACGATAACTTCCCAGTTAGAGGAGATAACAAAATTTCAGTGGATGAGCATTCATTGATGTCCTTAGGGTATGGGTTTTATCTCGCAAAGAGCAAGGTGGGATACACATCCACTAGTTCCTTCTATAACAACAGGAATATTGTGATTCACAATGGGTTTGCAGACCTGTTGGAAGACTTGGGCAACCAAATTGGCCGTACACTCTACAATGCTGTTGGAAGAACACTTCTTGCGCCATATTTCGAGGAGAACGATCAAAAACGTCTCAGCTGGTCAGATTCTTTCACGATTTGGCTAGAGGTATACGATTTTTTTGGGAACTTCAAAGCGTTGATTAGAACTGTCAGAGACGGGTCGAATACCAAAAAGAGTCTTCTGTTACAAGTGATCGATCCTGTTACTATGATTGACATTGACGGCGATTCACCAGAGGACTTGGCCTTTGATCTGCCTGAATATGAGGCACCACATAATCTCTGGAATTACCAGTATTTCAGTAGAGGTGAGGTGGGTCAAAGGAAACAAAAGGCCATCAACAACCCTGGCGTCAAGACGGTCACGGAAAAAGAGGTTGTCACAGTTACAGTTCCTTCGCAGGACGAAGAACAGGCAGCTACCGAAGGTGCTGAGCATCTTGTCGAGCTCTCAGATGAACAAGATCCAATGCCCTTATACATTAACGAGGAAAACATCAAGGAGATTATAGGTAATCCCGAGGATGGCGCAGTTGACATTGTGGTCGACGTTGACGGAGCAGAAGAAACGTACCGTGTCGATCTTCAATAGAGAGCCTAAGAGAAAGTCAAGAATATAGAATATGGCGTATATGATTCTCGTCTAGTATGATCCCACCGAAGTGCTAAGTAGGTGCGCACGAAATCTGGCATCTAACAAAAAATCAATAGAAAAAGTAATCGAATAAAAAAAAAAAAAAGACTTACTGTTAGTCTCCATTGCTGCATCAATTTACCTACAAACCCGGGCCTAGTGAAAAGCTAGATAGTTTTGAACCAGTTCAGCCGTTCTTTGTTTGAAGTAGTTGTTTGACAAGCTTTGCCCATATTCCGAGGTGGCCATGTTACTCCGTCTCTCGCACATCAGACCCATTGCACTCCATCATATCCAGACGGGGAGTGGGATCCAACAGAGCAGAAATATCAGCTTCCTCAAGAAGTTGCTTCTGTTGGACGACTCCAGTAGTAGCGATCTTGATAAACATGAGGTGGTGAAGTGGGATGAGTCCCCCTACGCTGATATCAGAACCAGAGCAGCATACATCCGAGCCATGGCGAAATGCCCGGTGACCCATAAACCAGTCGACTATGTGTGTCCAATATCAGGTATCCCAACACATCATGACCGTAAAGCCTGGGAGGACGATAAGGAGTATCACGAGCAAAAGAAATATGACCGTTTGAAAAAGGTCAACTTATACGAGCATGATTTAAGGTCAGGAAGAAAGTTTGATGAGTTCATATTCCCGGGAAACCAGGAGCGTGACTTCACTGTCAGTTTAGAAAACTGGGACACTTTCTTCTATACCAGAGATTTCAATCCCATGAATACCGAGTATAACTTGGCTGCGGCTACCAAGGTGTTGACTTATCCAATCACCATAGCTGCCATTTTGCACAGATTTTCTCCATACGCCTTGACTCCGAAGGGACCAGTTACCTTGGAAGGTTTGCGTTCCTTGGCTGCATTGAGGTATTCTTTGTACTCGCTGCCTATCAAAAAGAATAAGGAAATCACCTTCAAGGACAGACCAATGAGGATTTTCCTTGTGGGTGCTAAGATGGAAGCCATGTTGCCCGGATACGTTTGGAAGCAATTCGGCTACCTTTTCCCAGAAACGAAGTTTGAGATCCACTTCATTGGTCCCCAGTCATATTTTGACGTTGAGGCAAAGGCATTCATGCCCTCTAACAGACCTCACGGCAGACCAATGGTAAGAAAACACGATGAGCAAATCACGCTCATACATCACACAAAATATTTCCACGAAGTCTATGATCAAGGTGATCTTTTCCCGTTCGACCCATACTTGGATGTCTTCTTCCTCTTCCACCCAGGATTTAAGACCGCCGATGAGATTCATTGGGATAAGGCCTTGAAGGGTCTTTTGGATTCCAAGTGTGCTGTGCATGTTACTGGATACCACGACGTGGATATTGAAAGAGAAATTGATTGGTTGAAGCACCACAAACTTCATGACGAGATGGACATTCTTATGAACAAAACGGATAATATCTTTGGTTCTACTAAGATTGACTTGGTCGACATTAACCCAACAGAGTCGTTCCAGGCAAACAATAAACTCATGGCCTTCAGAGGTAAGAGATACCATGCCATCAGGACATAGCATCTTTCTAACGCCATGGGACACTATACCTTGTAAATAGCGGTAGTAGTTCCCTATGTATATACGCATAAGCCAGTAATAGAGATGTATGGGTGTCATATTGCGCACTATGCGTGTCACTATATCTCCACATATGGACTCACTTAATTAACGAGAACAGATAGACAGAAACCTCATGTTCGATGCATTTCTACTAAAGCTTCCGGTGAAGCCAATCAATAAACCGGACCATGTCCCTCCCCCACCCGAGGTCTGGGAAATAAGGGTTCTTCTAAGCACCACAATCTGCGAAATCAAGGAGCTGATCTGGATGCATAGCGAGGGCCACAATTTATCGCCTCCATTCCTTCGAATCAAAATGTTCGGTGGACCAGTTGGTGATTCTTCATCTTTGGACTCTTTACTCGGTCTCAGTGAACCTCCCGCTTACGATAACTCGATTGATGCGTTATCCGTTATCATCGACTACACTTTATTCGGCTCTCCAGCCATTCCACACAGGGACCCGATACCACTGTATTTTGATGTGGTGGTGAATTCTACCAATGAAGGCTCTAGAAGAACAGTGACATACCGTGAATCGCTTTGTTCTACTGTTAGAAGCATAAAGGACCAGATTGCAGAGAAATACTCCCTCGAGGCCTCTGCGTTTGGCTTGAAAGTCACAGATGGTGCTATTCTAGATGATGAATCGACACTCAGAGACGTCATGGGACTTGACGTTCCACTTCCACGTAATCAAAGGTTAGTGCTTCAATTGGCAGAGCGTGGTACATCACTTCTAAAGATCTTCCAGAGGACCACAGGCAGGCATTTTTCGTCCATCAATATAACAAGTGCCACTACGGTACAAGAAGTTAAAGCGGTGGCATCCAAGTACGCCGGTGTTCCTATTCATCTTATCAGACTTACTTTCAGAGCACATATTATAGCAGAGCCTGCTATCCCGGAGGATACGAGGACAATTCTCGATATATTACAGTGCGGAGGCACTCCTACTGAAGCTTTTGAAGTGGACTTTGATGTTAAGGATCAAGCTACAACGTTAATCAACGGTGAAGAATGGGCTCCAACGGGGAATACTTTTGTTGAGGTGGAGGACCTGAATGGATCAGTGCGTTTGGTAAACCAAGCGGCTCTTTCTTCAAGCACGTACGAGGTTAATTTTCAAGGTACTACCGTACAGCTTGATACATCAGACTGCATTATCAATGACGAAGAAGGCTACGTTCTTATAAGTCCTATGGGGTACTCAAGGATGAAGAACACATGGGGAGACAGGATACAGAAGGCTCAAAGAAGGACAAGAGGTGCTTCGAATAACACAAGAGTTGAGCCTACCCCGGGAAGGGTTTTACAATCGAACCCGGTGCTCCAACCACAAGTCATGCAGCCACCACAACCTACTGATGCAGCCGCCCCTGTCCATCGAGCTCACGAAGCCGACCCAACTCAGCTTGCAGAAGAAATTGCTGAAAGAGATCAACGTCGTAACATCGCTGGTCAAAGGCAAACTGTGTTTACTAGGCTAGTCGAAGCGGCGATGGCCAACCGCCAGAATCTTCGAAGGATCGCCCTCAATGTCTTCTTAATGGCAATTATCAGTTTCGATTTACTATTCCTCCTAACAATACCGAAGTTTGCAGTGTCGGTCGTGGTGCTTACGTTTCTCTACTCTATTTTCATCAGAGGAAGGGATATTAGTGACTGGCTCAACCATTGGATCCTCGGAGAAGGAGCGCCAAACACTATTCCTTTCAGAATGGTACGCTTTATCTCGGCGACGACAAGAGGGGGTTACGACATGTACCATTTTAACTTTGATCGGATGTACAACTTCATCTCCACTCTGGTCATGCTGTTAAGACCATCAAGAGAGGTTCATCTTGAAAGGATGGCCCGGCGGACTGACACGGTGATGTTCTATACTGTCTCCGCCTTACAAGAGATCTGCGGAATTGTCTTGTTGTTCGTTGCAACAATCATACCCACGGTGGAGACTGCTTTCACGGAACGGGATCTTACAGAAAGAGCGGAGACTCGGGAACGCCTTATCCAGAAAATCAAACAATACGTCGAAGAAGCCGAACACAGAGAAGATTTCGAAAGTGTAAAAAGCTACATTGAAAGTTCCGAAGGACCGCTAGAAGATGTTTATGCTTCGGAAGATTGCGAAAGGCTCGTCAAAGCCTATTTCACAGTTATCAGAACGTGTACCGCTTCCCCGGAAGACGTGGGTTTGCTTAACACATTAGCGGGGGAATCTGCTGCAGCGAGAGTCGCCACACCAAGAGAACAAGATTATGAGGCGGGTGAAGCGGAAGAAGATTTTCAAGAGGAGGCATCACAGATTCTGGTTGAGGGGATCGACCCCAACAGTGGAGCAGATTGGGAAGATTTGAGATCCAGAGAGGGTCGATTAGCCGCCGATGCTTTGAGCACTGGAGCTGAGGTGCATCAGAGATAGGGTTATATGGCGTGAGGAACCAGAATGCGAGTCAAACAAACAAAAAACAAAACCTAGAACACGCTCACAACCGAGGTACGTTAGGTTCAGGCGAACTTGAATGACATGATGAAACAATGGGATCGATGGAATGAGAGCGTTTTCCAAGAATGATTGTGAAGTCCAGTGAAATTCTACATGGCTCACAACAGACAAGAGTGTCAAAGTGGAGCGCGTTTGACTTGGGCCCGCCTTTTTCAACTTGGCACAGATAAGACCATTCATCCAAGAAACGGAACCAAGCAATCTCGTCAGACACGGTCCCGGGACTAAAGTCGGCGTTGCGGTCCAAGTCGCCGCCTAGCGAGAAGAGGGGGTGAAAAGCCGCCCACGCAAAATAGGGGGGCTGAAGCGGCTCCTCAGTGAGCGCTCAATGCTTTGCACGCAAATTGCTCAAAGCCTATAGGTCTGAAGCAGTGTCTAAAAAAGCACGAGCGTCGTGACTCGCTTAGGGACCAAACAAACAAACACACACACCAAAGCCTGGCGCGACCAAGTAACGAGAAAAATGTCAAGCGTGCAGGTGATGCTTGTGTTGACAGAGGTGAGATTCGCGTCTAGACGAGAACAAAGGCTAAATTTTAGAAGAAGCTTGTTGACATGGGCCCGCACTTGGCAAGTGCACGGTCGGCACTGGCGGCATCGAAAGCACAATTTTCGCGTTTTAGCCGCCAGAAGCCCAGTCTAGTGGGGCAGAACACCGCAGGTCCATTGTATGTTTTGGGCTTGGGAGGAGCCTCTTTGCTGCGTGCCGTGGAGGGCGGATGCTGAAACAAAACAAAAGAGAAAGTTGCGTGATTTCGAATATATAAAGAGGCCATTCTCCCCAAGAGTTGGACTTTTTTTTTTCTTTTCTTCATCACAACTTACTTGATCCTTCCAACTACTAGTCTTTCGTTATAATGCAGTTCTCCGCCGTTACCATTGTTGCCGCCTCCGTCGCCGCCGTCTCTGCCGCTTCCGTCGTCACTGAGACTGACCTCCAATCTACCTTGGTCACCATCACTGACTGTGGTCCAGAGGTCACTGACTGCCCAGCCAAGTCCTCCCTTGCTCCTCACAACCACACCGCCACTGCTAACGTCTCCTCTTACGAGGGTGCCGCTAACAAGCAGTACGCTGCTGGTGCCGTTGCTTTGGCTGCCGGTGCTTTGTTGGCTTTGTAAGTTAACTAAGCAATACTATTTGTTTATGTTGAATAAATAATATCAGGACTTAGATGAAAAATTATACTTGTAGATTTTTTTGCAACCATTGCGAGTTTTTTCGCGCTGCTTACCAAAACTGACTAATTCTCCAACTACTATGCAACTTGACGATGAGAAGAAGGCATTCCACTTTGCTGTGTATGATGCTGTTCTTCAAATCCCTGCTGGAAACGTGACATCTTATGGCCATATCGCTTATTTGATAGGTCGGCCGCAGAATTCTCGTCAGGTTGGCTCTTCTCTTAAACATCTTTCACACTTGAGAGACGTGTTGAACAGAGAAGGTGCCTCTTTGGGAGAAGTGCCTTGGTGGAGAGTGATCAACAGCGCCGGGATGATTTCATTAAGAGAGAATGGTGAGTTCGAGCAGGCCTCGTTACTCAGACAAGAAGGCGTGTCGGTGCTGGAGAGGCATAGGGTGGATTTGGACGAATACGGGTGGTTTCCAGACGATATTGAATAAACAAATCTATAATAATAATAATTAATTGGTAGTTTGAGAAGGGGGCTTCTTTTTTGGTTTGCGTGGCTTTCGAGCCTTGCCGTTCTTTTGGTTGTCGTTACGTGATTTAGACGTGGGCCCTTTCATTTCTTGTTGAACTCTCCTAGACTCTTCCTCCCACCATTTGGCAAACTCTTGTTCCTGTTGGATCTCTTGAAGCGACTTCCGTTGACTCTCCATGTACTTCTGGTTCTCGATCTTTAATGATTCTTCCAACATGATTGCCGTCAATGACCCAGGACTATTCTGAGGCACTTCTTCTGAACTTCCAAGCACAGGCATGTTGCCCAAATTATTATCATGGGACGCCAGCGAAGAAGCAACAGGCTTCCAAGGGTTCTTGAGGACTGGTGCAGAGGAAGGCTCGACATCTGGTTTCTTTTCAATAGGTGCCTCGACTCCAAGTTTCTTTCTTTGATTCTGCGATGGCTTATTAGCGGCAAACTTGATCTTACTTTTGGATTTCCCGGTTTGGAGTGACAGATCACCTAAAGCTGGACCTAGTGGTGACTTGGCAATAGAGCTTGTGGAAGAATTGCGTGAGCCCCAGTTAAGGGCTGCCGGCTTGGGAGCACTCGAAGGCGGCGGACTTGCGCTTTCTGATCTCGAGCTATCAAAAATTTGGTTCCTGCTTATCTCAGAGTCACTCGTTTCCGACTGAGAGGTTGGAGCAGGTGGTGGTATCGGAGCTGGCTTCGACTTTCGCCTTCTTCTGGAGGAAACGACTTCAAAGTCGCTCTCTTCTACCGGAATATCGTCTGCTATTGCCGAATCACTAGCTTTCCGAGTTACCTTGTTGAGATTCAAAGATTGCATCTCTCTATGTAATTCGGCTCCGCTTTCTCTTCTAGAAAGTCTTCGAGATGAAGAGCGACGTTTCTTTTCTTCAACACCGCCCAACTGTTCTGGTGATTGATCGAAGATGGGCTTGAATGCCAGATCGTCGGTCAAGAAGATGTCATTCAAGCCAACCCCAAATTCAGAAATCGCATTCATGTCAATTGAAGGACCGTTGGAGGATTTGAGTAAATTGATATTGACCTCTCCCTTATCACCAATAACAAAGTCAGTTTGTTTCATCAACTGTAAAAATCTCATCTCTTTTTCCACCTCAACCAATATCTCACAGTCTAGGTCTTTAAACGAAGGCAGAAATACCAATGTGTCAAGATTATTAAAAATACACCAGCAACAGCACTTGAAAAGCTTAGATGCCGATAGGTAATAGGCATGAGCAGCAAGAATTAAGGCGTTATCGATGTTAATGAGATCTTTGATAGCAAGCTCGCACAAGTGTTTCAATTGAATTAAAAGTAATTCGTCCGCAATCTGAATCATGTCAAGCATAAGATTGATAAAATCGTCACTTTCGTTGTTTTTCGCAACAGACAGATATGCATTATCGAAGACATTTAAGTCATTACAGCCATGTATATGACGTAAAACAATCTCAAACTGAGCCTTGTCAATGCCTTCCAAGTTGATGTGCCTGACCTCTTCTTCGGGAGACTGCTCCAGCTCATCGTCCGATACGTCCCATCTTTCTGAGAGGAAAGTTTCGAAGAAGGCTGATCTAGCAGCCAAAATAGATGGATCACAGCGGACATCACCATCCCGAAGACAAATGAGAAGGTCTCCACTGTTTCTCTCAATGCAGCCTTCAAACTGGCTAGTGAATTGCTCCTCTTTAGTATGGAAAGCATCCATCTGGAAGACTGCCATCAAGCGGGTAAAATCGTCTTTTGTCTTTTTCACCAGCAGTGGACACTTGGGCCCAGAAGGATATGCTTCCCAAAAAGCCAATACACGATTGGTATAAACAAAGTGAAGAAAAATAAGCACAGCACGAGTATCAACATCGGTTTCAAATGTCAATGATCCTTTACTGGGATCGTAGTTGCCTTTGATTCCCTCTGATATGAAGTACTCACCTTCGTTCTCCTGATTCAAGATCCTGTCAAAAAACTTCAGACGACATGCCAAGATACTAGTGTGAAATCCAAAGGTAATGTTAGCTTCAGACCTGAACTCGATAAATGCGTCATGAAATTTGGTAATAGAGTTCCCGAGCTTCAATAATGTGTCAAGCGAACTTTCAGACTCGAGCACGCCTCTAAGCCTTAAGTCCTCGTCGTCGTCAAAAGTCTGGTGCAATTCATTGAATAAAAGCTTCTTTTTCCGCAGATAAGTATGGTGTTGAATAAGTCTTTGATAAAGTCTATCGCTGAACTTCATTCTAGAGATATCGTCATCATCATCATACTCGCGGTCGCCTTGAAGGAACAGAAGATGATCCGCTCTCTTTTGTCGAGGTCGAGCAGGTGTGAGGAAGTCAGAGACATAGCAGTTTACGTCATGATCCTTGTCAAGTAACTGATCCTGCTTGCGGTAAGAGTCAGCTTCACTTAAAAGACTCAAGTATGCCATGTCTTTTGTAAAATCATTCTTCTGAAGTTTTAATGGGAGCATATCAGTCTCATCACGCATAAATCCAAACGATATGAAGAGCTCGTCACAAGCAACTTGTACAACTCTGTTTATTCCCTCAAGCTTCTTAAACTTATTCTTCGATGTCATCGCCAAAGATGGGGTTTTTGAGGTGATCGACGAACGACGCTGTGTCTGACCAGCCAGGGTGGATTTCATGAAAGCTGAGCCATCTCGGGTACAAAGCACAATAGAGCCATCGTATGAGTTGTCGATGTCAACAGCACGCAAATTAGAATCATAAGCCCTCCATAAATATGAATATTTAACATTCCTTGCAGATTTCATGTCAAAGTTTCCAGGAAGGGAAAATGCCATGACATCACCACTTTCGAGAAGTACGAATATGTTCTCTGGAGACTTCATAGCAACCTTACGGATCACTGGGGCAACAGTTAACCTCGATGGTTTGTAAGAATCGAAGCTGTCGGAACCAGATCTCGTCGGTAACTTTGAAAGTTTGCATCTATGGTTCTGATAAAAAACGAAGATGTCATTGGTGCCTGTCACAACGCAGGTACAAGTCTCACTAGCTGTGATAAACTTGATTTCATCCTTAAAGGTAACTGCCTTCGGATGTTCAACAACTGAGCCCTTAAAGATGGAGCCATTGACGTTGAGACTGAGGTGGCAAGAACCTTGGTCAATTCCCATCTGCCCAACATTAAAACCCCACATGTATATGGTATCAGTCGTATAGGCCACCGAGTGTACCTTACTTGCAGCAATACCACAGATTCGGCCAGGATTCTTTCGAAATACACCTGTTGCAATCAAAGTGGGAACATTCTCAAACTCCCTGGCGACATTATTCTTGTATGATACATTTTCTGTCGAGGCAAAGCCCAACTGATTATATTCGTTCAGCCCCCACGCATAAAGTTCGTTGGATGTGGTCAAGGCCAAGTTGTGGCCTGTAGAAACAGCTATCTGGGTGACTGAAATATTCTCTTTCTCAAATTTATTCACGGCTGTGAACGAGAATAAGTTTCTTGAGGTCCCGTTTCCTAATCTGCCTTTGGAAGCTAGGCCGCAGGTGAACAACCTACCATCTGTCGTCAAAGCAACAGAATGATACTTTGAAGTTCTAAGTTCACTAAAACGAGGTTTTCGAAGAAACAGTTGCAAGTCATTATGTTCAGCCTGGAACGCATGGTGTGCAAGCTTCACAGGAACCGTTCTGTCGGTTGAATCACCAACACCAAGGGAATGATTAGCATTAGAACCCATAACGTATAAGTCAGACGCTCCTCTTTGACGGTCCCACATTATATGGTCGAGCTGCCACGACCTTCTCATCATCTGGGTACTTGCGTTCTCAATCTCTTGGCCAGGATACCTAAACTCGAGGTGAAAGTCATTATTTTCATTAACGTAGGTTGGGATCCACACAAAGTCTTTCACGTCATTTCTTAACAAAAACACTGGAGGAGTCCCGCTCCGGTCCTTCTTCTTCAAAAGCTCGTGTAGCGTAGAAACGTTTCCCACAGACGCCTTCTCCAAGTACTCTAGAAGCACCACAAAGCAGCGAAACCGTTTATGGTAAAAGATATAGTGTAGCACGTTCCATCCATTCTCACAGTCAGTAGCCAAGAGAATCTGTTTTGCCTCCGGAATCCGTAACACCTGGCTCATCAAGTCAGGTAAGTCACAGAGGACAGTGATATGGAGCACCGTCCTTCCAAAAACATCTCTGTTGAGGATGTTTTCTCTGATTCTCTTGGTACTGATGTCGTTTGGACGATCTTTGCTTTTCATATTTTGAGTCACAGCATTGGCTGGCAGTTGTTTTTAATGGCAAATCTATCGGAGGCGGGTAGATAAGATCTAGTTAGAGTATGAGAGATGGCGAGCATTTTTCTCTTAATTATATGCGTGGGCTACCGCTATCTAACGCGCGAGCCGAATAATTACGGCTTCTACGGCGGAAGCTTTATAAATACAAATATATTAATTAGGTTTTATACAAAGTCAGGCGAAGTAAAGTAGATAATGAGTCATATTTTACTCCTCATTTTTCATCTCGATGTCTTCGCTGCCGGCGATCGCATCAAACCCCATATTATCCGCATCTTCAAAGGTATCATTACCACTCTCTGAGTCATGATCTGATAACACGAAGGCTTGTGAAAGGAGCTTTTTCTTCACGGAAGCGATCTTTCCTGTAGGAGGAAGACGAGGACGAATGTTTCTCTGTTTCTGTGGCAATTCCTCGTCCTCAATAAGATATAACTTGGTGGGTGGGGGAAGATCTGTGCTCTCGCCTTTTCTCTTTTGCTGTTTGACAATGAAAGTCTCGGTCTTTTGAACCAAAGAGTTGTAAAAAGGCTGTAAGACGCCGATCTGGTTTGGCACATCCGCTTGTGTCAACTTTGGTTGGTTCCATTCCTTCAAATCCTCGTACTTAGTACTCTTGTTGACTGGATCAGCACTGGAGAGCGAGTTTTGCAAACGAGAATGTAACAAGTAGGTTGGAATCGAAGAGCTAAGCATATTGAACTCTTTGTCGAGGCCAAGCTCTTTAAGACCGAGGAAATCATCGCCAATCTCACTAGCAAAATCACCTGTCATGAACTGTTCACTGTTGTTCTCGAAATTTTGTTCGCTGAGTGTCTGCAAACTTGGTCTAAGAAGCTCTTTGACAAAGCCTGAAAGCTTTTGCCTCAAGTCCTTGAGCTTTGCCTCCTGTTTAACGGCCTTCTCAACAACAAAAGTATACAAGTCATCTGGTCTCTCCACACCGTTTTCGAGCAAACTGAGAAGAACGATTGCTTTATCGGATAAACGATTGCTTGAAGACGACTCACAATGTAGCTTGAGAGACTTTGCCAAGTTCAGCATGTATCTTTCGGCCACTTGTGTTAAGGTATTAATAGCAAGCGGCTCGGTTGTTTCAAAGCCCGTGTGCATTGCAACCTTCGCAATACCTTTTCGTAAAGCAGCGTACTGAGTTTCATGGCTGAAAATGTCATGGTTTGGAAGTTTCGAAACAGGGTCCACATCAACCTCCTTAATGTACTCAACCTCTGGCTGACGCATTTGCGTACGATGCATGTACTGCTGCGTTTGCATCTGGCGAATCAAAGAAATCTTGAAACAGATCTTCCTAATTTCTTGGATCTCTGTGATGTTTCCCGTATAAAGCTTGTTAAGGCCTGAATCTGTGGGAAGAGTGAGACCAGATTTGAGCTTATCAGCATCGCCTTCCTTAAGAAGTTTCTCTACCATCTCATTTTCCAATCTCTCTTGATCCTCATCATCAATACCTGGGTACTTCATTCCTGGTATTCCTCCAGCGATATCATACTCAAGAAGATATGGTTCATCATTATCAAGGAGCTTGCTTGACTTCGATACTACCTCCTTATTGTCTAAGAACTGGTTAAAGTTCTTCATTTTGCTAGATTCTCGAAGAATAGCTTCTGCATCCATCTTAAGCTTGAAGTCATTGTCAAAAAGAGCAGCACGAGAAGCACAATAATTAGCTCTAGACTTTGCGGTTAGCGTTCTCCAAGACTGTAGCTCTGGGTCTTGTTCATCTTCGTTCTCGTTCTCTCTAATGTCTGTATCAGCTTCCTCTGCCGCCTCTTCTTCCTCTTCGTCAACTGGATTCTCCTCCGCAGCAGTATTCCCATTCTCCACTGGAGTGGGTTGTGATGGCGGAGCAGGCGTTTCCAGTTTTGAAGGCGCTTCGGACAGCTGAGCATCACTGACTCCGTCAACCTCTTCAGACTTTATGACTTCTTCACGCTTCCTCTTTCTTCCCTTTTTGGAAGCCTTTTTTCCTCCTTTGAGCGCTGGGGTGGAAGCTTTTGCCTCTGAGTCGATGTCTTCTTCCTTCTCCACTTCAGATCTGCTCCTTATTACAATATCTGGGATGCTGGGGACAAGTTTCTGTGTCCTTTTTTGCATAGCAATGGCATGTGCTCTCAAGTAATGTTTGGGATCTGCGTTATAAGTTAAGCAATTATTCCATATGAGCATCAAGTCATCGACAAATTCTTGCTTAGAGTTGTAGGTAAGATTCTTGAGTTTCTTCATGACGGTGTTCAAATCCATAGGCTTCTTGATGATTAAACCGTAATTGGGAGCCTCCCTTTTGGAGACCTTGTTAAGGAAGGGCGTAGAATGTTCAGTATAACCACGTAAGTCTTGAAGTACCTTTTCACAGGCTTCGTAAAGTTCCTCCTGGCCAATACGGTCGTCGTTGGCCCACTTACCTCTATTCTTCCGCACATCCATGAACAATTTCTTAAGATCATGATCAGTTAGACTAACATCGTCACGTCGGTCTTGTATAATGCCCAAAAGATGTTGTAACGAGTGAGATGCTGAACCTAAGTTAATAGGTATCTGGTTTGTAGGATCATCACCGCCAGGTTTCTGTGACTCGATTTGCATATCTGACTTTTCAAGCTTCCTGCGCTTTATGAGTGTCTCTTTGTCGTACTCGAAATTATGATACACTTTGTTGAACTCCTTCACTAATGACTCTTGATCTTCAAGACTCTGAGCAGCATTGTTTGAGGAATATTCGTTGCCTTCAGCAGGGGTTGTTTCTAGTTCCGTTGTGGTGGTATCTGCTTGAGGCGCGGCCTTGACAGTGAATTCAGTAGAGGGTATTTCAACCTTGACGTAACCACCATCTAATTGTAGTTCCCCGTTTTGGTTTTTATCGTCACCATTCAGTTGATCTTTATCCTTCAGTTTTTCATCTGATTCGTCCTCTTCATCGTCGTCATAGTCATCTTCCTCCTCTCTAACAGGCTTCTTTGCAGAAGAGTCCTCTTCCTGCTCCATCTTTTCCAGATCAGGTTGTATACTATCGAGGCTCTCAATCAAGTCGTAGGTGTTACCGGACTCGCCTGATTGACTTTTCAACGAGTGGTCGGTGCCCTTGAGGTTATCTTCATAGAAGTAGTCAATGGCCTTCTCCCATAAGATATATCGCATATGAAATGCCAAATTCGTCATGGGCCTAACACCATCCTCAATCGGGTCATCACCTTCGGAGCCTTCTCGTTCAGGATACGTGATATCTAGACGACAGTTTCCTTCGAGAAACTGATTCCATAGGTTGAAGTTGTCTTGTTTGAGAATATTTGACACAATGGTATATTGGTAATCGCTTAGATGCCTTTTGAAGAACCCTTTATCCAAAAGTTCTTTGGAAAGATGGAAAAGACCATACGAATTGCTTTGCAGGAAGCTTTTTAGCAGTTCCATGGCTTGATGCGTTCGAGGAACTGTCTTTATGTGGACAATGGTTAATTATTATACAAATGAAGGAAAAAATGACAGCTTTCAACTAGGCTGTACTCGGATAATGAAAAGCCAGTTTCTATTCCTTGTCTCTTGAAGTATTAAAGATCACGTATGGATGCAAAATGGATACAGAGTTCAACCTTTCACTTGTTGACCATGGACCGGAGCGCGCCTGCAGGAGAGGTTGTCTTTAAATCAAAGGTGCTATCGATGATCTTCGTAAAAGGAAGAAATTTAAGAAAAAGAGATATTCTACACTTTCTGAAGTTTGTGTTTCCGGTAGTGGTTATGCAATTATACGTAGTTCTATGTATCACCGCTCGTCGTCAAAAATTCCCCGAGTGGCTCACCTAGACAGCGTACTTCTTGGTCCACTCTCTAGCAGTGGCCTCGTACTTAGGTCTGTCAGACTTGTAAACGTGAGCGATTTCAGGGACCAAGGGGTCGTCAGGGTTAGCATCAGTCAACAAGGAGCAGATGGACAAAAGCACCTTGGAAATAGTGAGAGCTGGAGACCACTGGTCCTTCAAGATATCTAGACAGATGGAACCAGTACCGTTGATGTTAGGATGGTAGATCTTTGTGGTGAAGTTGATCTTTGGTGGCTTGAATGGGTAGTCGGTAGGGAAGTGAATCGAAAGGAAAAACACACCTCCAGCATATGGAGAGTCTGGAGGACCCATGATCGATGCTTGCCAGTGGTACAAGTCATCGCCGACTGGGCCAGCGGAGCATGAAGATGGTGGGTCTCTATAAAGTTAGTACATAAGCTGATAAAATAAAATATGACTAAGACATTTTTAGTCTTGTGACAGATCAAGCCTCCACATCTTGAGAGTCCGGGGAAACAAAGTGAAAAAAAAAAATGAAATCAATAAAGAAACAGATAAGAAAATCGAATCATCAAAAGCCTAATCATGGCATTTCCCGATGATGTTGGTATGATCTGGTGGCGATATGGATCTGGATATATGACAACAAAAGTGGCACTTGTTTCATTGGACGGCCGGCGGAAAGCGGAATTCTTCGAAAGCTGAAAGCTCGATCTTTAAAGTACATACCTTCCCAAGTCAAGTAACTCTTTGTTGATACGCTTCAAAGACATGATTAACTATTGATAAAAGGTGAAGTTTTTATGGGTTTGTAGAAGATAGAAAAAAGGTATTGCAGCAGCGAGGAGGAAAAAAACTGATTGCGGTACAACGCTTCGGTGGCCAGCAGCCGCATGCAGGAAACGACAGTGGTTTCCATAGTGTTCCATGTCACATGACAGATTCTATCGTCATACACGGCTGTAGAGAATGTACTGACACTGTTGGGAAGCTTTTCAACTTCAAAATTATATATACATCTTTTTTTGGAAACTTTTTCACCACATGTTCATATTTTTCACCCTGCTGAACCAGTACTCCTGTGGCTGTCAACAGAAACATGAGCCTCGCACGCAGGTCCCTTTGTCGGTGCAGGCGTCCCTCGTCGTCTGGAATGGTACCGCCCGAGTCTGCGAAGCACATCGGATGCCTTAATATGGGCTCGCTTAGTGTGACGGTTGACGTTATGTTGCTTCAATGAGGAAGCCGGTTTGATCCGAAATGTAGGAAAAAGAAATAATCAAATGTTTCTTAGTGGACTCTTCCATTTACCGCATTGTTTTCCCCGTCTGCTCCATAAACAACAACGCCATTTCTTCTAAACATACACAAACTACTCTTTTCTTGCCGAAGGCATTTTGCCCTTCTTTTCTTATATGACACAATCCTAGTAGGGCATTTTTCAAGTCTTATATAGCATACCCCACATCCACAATTCAAATACGAAGAGCTGTTCCTGCATACCGGCAGGGCATTATCACCCATAGGAAAGGCGTCTCCGATGGTGAAGAAGTTTTAAAGAAACAGACCGTTGCGGGCTTTTCAGCGAGATGTTCTCAAAGTTTGACTCTAAACGGGGTAATGCTTTGGATATGAAGGGCGGCCCTGGCCTTGGAACGCCCGCAGAATCGAATAACGGCTCCGCCTCTGAACCGAGAAGTCCTCTTGAGTCAGGGACAGATGGCCCTGAGACCGGGCCGCTGACGGGAAGCAAAACAGCCGGAACACGAAGCAAATCGAAATTTGGTTGTCTTACTTGTAAAGTAAGAAAGAAGAAATGTGAAGGTACCAAGCCGGTTTGTCGAGACTGTCAGCGGTTTAATAAGGAATGTGTTTGGATAGATTACGATACAATGAAGGTGGAAGAAATACGACGTCTCCGGCTTAAAGTGAAGGAACAAGAAAGTTGCAATAAAGTTCGTATCAGGAGGCCGGCTTCTAAGCGTTCGCTGTCGTCTGTAACAAAACCAGCCCATGGCAAAGGTCCTAGCAAGGAGTCATCCCTGCCACCGGCCCATGCCCAGCTAGACCCCGAACACTTTAAACCAGAAATCGATGCACACAACAAGCTATCTGATTTTAATACATCTACCGCATCCTTGGACTATGTTCGTGCTCTCCGGGAAGCTTATCCCGTGAACAGTTTGCCGGGCATGAATTTTAGCACGGATAACGAACTCAAAAATTTAGGTGATATCCACCACAACGCAGTCGTTAAGAATAAACACTCGTTTAACATGAGGACCCCTTCGGCCGCTCACTCCCCAAGGGCTTTATCTCCTACGCTCATGGAGCTTGAGGCTCTCGATGACCAAGGCACCTCTTCCAGCCCATCGGGTCTTCTCAACTTCCTCAAGGAAGTTTCGGCATTCTCTGGTGGTTTGAGTAACGGCCAGTCTCCACATCAGGACGCCCATGTTCCAACAGACGAATCTAAGGATGAGTCTATGGTCAAGTTCTCACCAAATTTTAGCATACCGGGTTTTTTGGATCAAGTGAATCATATGCCCGCCACCTCCTCCTCCAGCACACAGCTTAACCAGCTTGCCTCAGCATTTAACGCCGTTTTCATTCCTCCTCCACAAGCTCCTCCGCCACTTCTACCCGAGCTTGATGCTTCTGGCCATTACTTGTATGATTATTATGTGAACACACTTTCACCGAAAGTCTCGATCGCGCCAGTCAGTCAGAACGAGTCTAATTCATATCAAAAAGTATTCTTGCCCTTGGCTCAGAGAGATAAAGGTGTTTTATGTGGCATCCTTGCATGGGCCGGTTTTCATTTAGGTGGACAATGGACTGCGGAAGCGTCCATGTATGCTGAATCGGCAGTGAAGATCCTTACTCAAGATATTGACTTTAGCGGTACTCTTCCAGCTTTCCATGAGGACCGTCGTTCCATCCTTAACAAGTTGGCTGTCATCTTGATCTTATGCGGTGCAGAGATCTGTCGAGGAGATGTGAAGTATTGGTCTGTGTATCTCAACTGGGGATGGAAACTTCTTAAAGACAATGGCGGTATCACGAAATTCGATAATAATAAGGAGGAACATTGGCTCATCACTAATTTTGCCTATCACGATGTTTTAGCCAGTTCCGTGAACGAACGTGGTACGTACTTCCCGCTTGAAACATACCAGAAGATCTTCAAAGACCCACAAGGAGTATCGAGGGGCAACTTGAACCCATTACTTGGAGTCTCTAAGATCCTTTACCGATACATTGCTGAGATTAGTTCATTATCTTTGGATTGTAAGAAGGAACTCAACGCATACTATAAACGCCAGTCGCCAAAGGTCACTCCTATTTCCTATGAGAACGGTGTCTCTACTTCACCTGATATGAACAAGCCGTTCGATGAAACTGCGCTGGAAGTAAGTGAGCACGGCAAGGTTGGTTCCATACTATATTCAATCACTGCGCGAGCGAAGAAGATCGAGTATAAGATTGACACGGCCAAGCCTGACCCTGATGACTTGGAGAATTTGAATGACCATGACTTGGAAATGCAGCTCATGTGTTTTGAAGCATATCAACTCAGTTGCAAGTTGTTCCTTCGGCAATCTATCATGAAGTTGAACCCATCCGCGATAGAGTCTCAGATACTCATGAACGATCTAATGAAATGCATAAACCTCCTCGTGGAAACGCCGATGCAGGCTACATTAGTGTTTCCATTATTCATTGCTGGAATTCATTCTGTTGCCGATTTCGATAGAGAGCATATGAGAGACATTCTCAACCAAATGATGGAGACATATGGCCCATGGAACGTGCAAAGAATCAAGTACGTCATGGAGCAGGTTTGGGACCTCAATCCCGGTGGTGATAAGGTGGTTGATTGGCTTGCTATCCTTAAAGAGTTGGGATGGGAGATCAATTTTGCCTAGAAACGCTAAAGAATGCCTTTTCGCAGTAATGGGTGTATGGTACCCAGCAGGTCGATTTTGCACCCATTTCCGCACCCTACTTTTTACTTTCCATATACTTTTTAACTACCCTTTAATATTCTTTAATTTATCATTAAGTAACAATGTCAACTTCTGCTACTTCTCACCTTTCCACCGTTCAAACTAATGCCATTACTCATTCTGCCGCCGCCAATCCAGAGGAGGTCCAGTCCGTAGTACCTCAGAATGAGGAGGATACTACTGACGGCAACTACAAGGCATTAGATCATTTATTAACATACAAATGGGCCAATTCAACTTATCAATGGTTCGCCGATTGCAAGTACACCGGCACTGTTGTGGGAACACTCGCTCCTGTTCAAAAGGCCGTCATGATCAAGCCTATTCAACATGTTGCAAACTGGACTGACTCCTTTTGCGATAGAAAGTTGTCTACAGTTGATTATTTTGTCGATTTATCGTCGGCACAGATTGACGACATGACTCGCCTGGTCAAGGGTACCCTTGGTATGATTCACCTTGTCACTATCAAGGGCGTTGTGGAACCTACAGTGAAGCAGGTGAATGCCGTGGGTTCCCAAGCACATTCACTTTTGCATAACGAAAATGGTAAAGCCATCGTGCCTTCCGTGGCTGACCCATTGGTCTCTCCTGTCAATGTCATGTTAGAAAAAGTGATGGAAAAGAAGTCGCTCAAGCCTGATGCCGTGGGGGAACAGTCAAGCGAACTTAAGAGGAGTTACAAGATCATAAAGCATATTATTCATGGTGAAAGAGAGGTGAAGTCCCTGGAGATTAATGACGAGCCAGAGGGTAACACTAGTTTGGAAGTACATGCCGAGTAAAGCTGAAGGTCTGTCTGTATTCAGATGAACCTACGGTACAGTGTTCTGTTCTTTCGGTGAGTATTGCAATTACTTCTATACAGATGTTGATATTGTTTACAAAAATAGATGATGTCTTAGAAAGGTCGTAGATTTCGGAGATGTGCATGGCTTGGTCCTGAAATGAAGAGATAATGCAGACAGTGTGTTTAGTCCTTGGACTTCTTCTTTTTCTTCTTCTTAGAAAAATCTTCATCGTCGTCAGCCTTACGCTTCTTCTCTTTCTTCTCCTTCTTTTCCTTCTTTTCCTTTTTCTCCTTCTTCTCCTTCTTTTCCTTCTTGTCCTTCTTCTCCTTCTTCTCAGCCTTGACTGGCTCCTCGTCGTCAGAAGCGTTAGCTTCCTCAACTTCCATCTCGTCAACCAAGTCAGAGGTCAAAGCCAAAGCCTCCTTGATGGCATCGGCGTTCTTCATTGGGGCAGCACCAGTGTCGTAGAAGTTCAATCTCTCCTCAACCTGTCTCTTCAAGATCTGACCAAATGCCGTGGATGGCTCGTCAGAGTAGTTGTCAATTCTAGAAGCGATAGAACACTTGTTAGCCAAGTATCTGGAGATTCTACCCTTGTTCTTGGCAGAAGCCTTACCAATGAAGGAAGAGTGGTAAATCAAACCGTACTTAGGGGTGTTACCCTTGGTCTTTAAAGCTCTGAAAAGGGCCTTCTCAGCACCCAAGATCTGAACAGTAGAAGCCGCCTGCTTGGAAAGGTTGGTCAAAGAACCGGCGTGAGAGATCAATCTAGCACCGACAACTTCACCAATCAAGGTAGACAAGTTAGGAGCAACAGTGTGCATCTTAGAAGTCAAGTATTCAAACAATCTAGCTCTGTACTCAGAAATGGAAACAACTCTCTCAGCAAAAGTGGAGACGTTGAGCATATCTAGTTCAGAAATGTCCTGACCCATGGAGATTCTAGCATTATCGATAATTCTCTGAGCAATACCAGAGTCATCGTTGACCAAAGCAGCCACCTCGTGAAGCGACTCATCGGTCAAAGAAGCCTTATCCTTCATAAACAATGCAAGCTTGGCGTAAGTGTAGTTGTCTGGAACAATCTTAGCCAATTCAGGGAAGTGCCAGCCATACCATTCCTTCACTCTCATGGAGAAGGTGTTGATATCCTTGTCCAACTGGTCCAAAAGAGCAATAGCTTGAATAATGTGGTTATCGTTCTTCTGAACAGAGAACTTCACCTTAGCTCTGGAGAAAGCATGGCCCAAACCCAACTGAGCTCTTTCGATGTCACCATCCTGCAATTCCTTCAAGATTTTGTAGCCGTGGACACGGATACCTCTCAAGAAGTCCTGGGCAATTTCGTTGGAGACACAGTCAATGTATGGGAAGGATTCCTTGATAGAAGGACCCAAGTTCTTATCAGACACACCCAAAGTGATCTTGCTCTTCTTAGAAGGCTTTGGCAAGTTCAACTCCAACACGGATTTCAAGTAGTCAGAGACCAAACCCTCAGAGATGTCGTTAGCATTCTCCAAAGCCTGGGCAGCACCCTTGAATGGGGCGAAGGAAACAAGTTCAACCATCTTGGAAAATTTGCCCAAGTCGTTCGATGCCTCTTGCACCTCTTTCTGTCTGTTGGCAATGTCATCCTGCTGGATCAAAACCTTGAAGATAGCATAACCCGCAGCTTCTTCGAAAAGAAGAAAGTCGATGCCAGCCATTTTTAGGTGTTTCTAAATTTCAGCGGGAACGAGTGCTAAAGGGATATTCGATTTTGGTTACCGATGGGATAATCTCACTGAGAAAAAATCTTACCTAGGGCATCCCACAACGGTGCAGGAGAGTCGATGGGGTCCTACACGACCGCCTTGATACCCTTTTAACCAGACGTCAAAGATTACTAGCAAAAAGAAGGAAAATAAGGAAAGTGGATGAAAATTAGACTCAACGTATCTGTTTCATAACTTGAAAGACATGACTTCTGTAATTTTAATCTACGAATAATAACAAGAATACTACCTCTAAGGGCATCGCTGATGCAATACTTAGCATTTTATGGAAGGCTCTGAATATAATAAGATAAGTAGAGCTGTAGAGTGTGAAAAGTATTTAATGCCGTGAATGTTTGGGCTTTTTATTTGTTTCTAATGGAAGTACGGTTTTTCGTAGCAGGGTCTTCTTTTACAGTACTTAGTAGTTTTCGCAACAATACCACACAGTAGACAATGCATTGCCAAAACTGTCAAACTATGAACCAGATAAAAATTTTGGTTTTTTATATCACATTTTATTCCTCATTAACTTACCAATATTCAAATCCAAGATGAAGAGAAAAAAGTCTAGAATGTATTCAAGAGAAAGATCTAGCCGGTAGTATACTCTCTATTCATCTTGAAAAGCTAATAATGCTACTTTTTAATGCCCGCCTAACATCGCAACTAGAAACCATCAAAGGCCTCCATCTTACTTACACTACTAGGGCTTAAATTTCAATTTCTACCTATCACTTCTCTCTTCTTATAGTCTGTGGTTGCAAATTAGGGCATGATAGGAGGGCTTAATAAAGCATACAGAACTATTCGCACAATAGATATCTCCCAGACTACCACTATGATCTCTAGGTTGGGGATAAGAGCTGGCCAGCTCGGCTTAAAGCCGAGGCCAACGGCCCAATTTGTCTTTAGGAGGACGGTCAAAACACCTACCATCGATTGGAAACCCATGAAGTCGTCCGTGACGAACTTAGCAAGAGCTGAAAACCAGGAGAAGCTGAAGGGTTTCCGTAGATTCATCTTGGGACTCATGATCGCCATGCCTGTGATTACCCTTTGGTTAGGATGCTGGCAAGTGAAGCGTCTTAAATGGAAAGTCGACCTCATTGCACGTTGTGAACACTTATTGGCGGAGCCTCCATTGGAGAAACTACCCCAGCAGTTGGACCCTGCCGTGATACCCGAATACGAGTACCGTCGCTTCAAGGTGAAGGGACACTTTGACTATAACCAGGAACTTTTCTTAGGACCTCGTATCAGAAACGGTGAGGTAGGTTACCTCCTTGTCACTCCTTTCGTACGCTCTGACGGTGGTAAGCCTATCCTTATTGATCGTGGATGGATCGCAAAGGAGAAGGTCATCCCTGAAACACGTAATAAGGGTTATTTGTCCCACTTGGCTCTTCCTCAAGGTGAAATCGAGATTGAGGCCATGTTCAGAACAATGCCTAAGAAGTCTAAGATGCAATATGAACACGAGCCGGGCACTAGATTATTCCACATTCGTGATGTCAAGGCTATGGCTATTGAGACTGACAGTTTGCCAATCTACGCTCAGATGATGTACTCATTGAAAGACAAACAGGAATGGGAAGGCCCTAATGAAACCCCAGAGAAGAAAAGCTCGTGGAAGAGTCTTTTTACGAAAGATAAACAAGGCAAAAAGGCCGAACACTTACCTGAATCAGACACTGACACTACTCTTCAATACCAGGAGTTTGAATTCGTTAACCAAGGTGTGCCAATTGCAGCCGTTCCTAAAGTCAACTTCACTAACAACCATATGCAATATTTGATTACTTGGTTTGGTATCTCCATTGCTAGTACAGCTCTTCTTTTCTGGACTTTCTACAAGAAGAGAGGAACCAGCAGTGCTGAGAAGGTTATTGATGCAAAGAGAAAGGAGATGAAGAAACATTTCTAATCCGTGCAATATGTATATAGTTCTAACCGTAAATACTAACAAAGCCAAAAAGCAAAACGATTAATGCAATATCAGCTAAAAAGATACCAAGACCTTCTGAGTAGACAAGAATGGACTCCACTAATGGCTGGTATTGCGTGATGGAAGGTAGCACGAGTGATCCAAAGTTCATTGCTTTTGAAATAAAGTGTTTTTTAGAATTGGCGCCCAAAACGCCTTTACTGGCTAGAAGTGCAAAGTAGGCAGAAATAAAGACAATCTCTGAAGCCATGAAGTAGCTAAAGAAAGACTTTCCTTCCACGCTAATGCTGAGCCCACGAATGTACAAGTGTGGTGATGATTGGAACTGTGTACTTGTCACATAGTGGTAGACAAAGTTAGCAATGTGAACAAAGTAACGAACGATTAAAAGGTGAACCTTAAGTCTCTTTTCCTGGTAGGCCTGGTATTGCTGCACCTGTGCCTGATAAGAGGAGACCTCATCAGTTTGGCCCTGTTCACCTTGAGCACCAACACCTTCAGACATCATTTGCATGATCTGGGAAATGAAAGGATTCTGGCCTTCAGCGGCATCACTACCGTCACCAGCTTGAGCATTGGGTCCAGCTGCACCACCAAAGATCTTCTTGAACACCTCTTCCATGTCGGGTGTGCCTTCTGCTGTATTGGCAGGAGTGTTAGATTGAAGAAGCGATGTGATGTCAGGAACCTCTGGGTCATCATGTAAAGGAGTTCCAGTACTTCTGGCTGATGGTTGCGCAGTAGCCTGAGCTTCCTCTCCCTCAAGAACAGACTTAGCGTTAGTCTTGACGGACGAGCCCTGAGAAAGAATCTCATTGAGCCTGTTAGAGGCATTGCCCTTGGCCATTTTAGCCTGTCTTCTCTCACGTAAGAGTCTTCTTTTCTCTTCTGCAGATACGTCACTCATGGTTGATATAGCTAAGAGTGTAGTGATCGTCAGTGCGTTGATGTCTGGGTAGCACTAAGTGCGCATACCGGAAAACTGGTTTAAATACTAGTAAACGGAAAGAATAGCAAGTCATTTGACAATGAAGGATTATATGAGCTATCAGGAGCAGCTCCGAAGACACATGATCATCAATCTGATGGAAAGCAAGGATTATTTACTTATTATTGCCAGCCAACAGCAAAAGTCTGTACAGCAGGTGAAGTATGAATTGATGCAGAGGCTTATACGGGGTGAATGATATATCAGTTTCAGCGGAACGGCGGTCTTTGCTTTGGGATGGGTTTCCTTCTAGACGGTTTGGCCGCCGTGTTGGTGGGCGTCTTCTCGCCTTGTCGCCTAGATGTGCCGACTATGTTGGCTGACGGTGTCTTATCAAAAAGACCTCTCATGTAACGAGAAGGCTGATTAAGATTAGGTCCTGTTCCGACTTGCAGCAGCGGTTGTGGAATCTTAGACGATGCAGTGGTTTTATTGGCCGGAGTATCAACGAACGACTCCGAAGTGGTGGTATCATCCTGGGCGACCGTCACTCTCTTCTTCGTCGGCGTTGGGTATAAGCCCTTACGAAGGCTCGACCGCTGAAGTCTTGCTTTAGAATATGGTGTACGAGCCAGCTCGCTTCCACTAGCAATGGTTGATCTTTGCGGTCTCGTCTGAGCTAGTTCACGCTGGAGTCTGACGTTCTCCTGTTTGGCTTCATTAACACGCTGCTGTAAATCACGAACCTTTTGCTCGTTGTCACGCGAGACAAGAATACTTTCGAATTGCTCATAGGTTGGGCATCCTGGGAAACTGTTGCAGAACATCGTTAGAAACAAGCCATAAAGAAAGCCTGCGAACGGCTCGTTGAAACCGGAATTGACAGCCTCGTGAATCTTCGAAAGCTCTGTCATGTTGTTCTTGAGTTGACCAATTGAGTCGGCCAAGTTCTCTAGCCTTTCTATATTTCTATCTGACTCCAATGGAGGACTGCTCTCTGTGATGGGGTAATGGACATTAGGTGACGGTGGGAGTATTAGGTGAAGACCAGAAGATCTATGTGACTTTCGATTCGATTCCCGCCGGCGATGGCTTGGAGTATTGGGTCTGGACGACATGTCTTGTGGTGGGATCTCGAAAGTTTAGATTCCCAAAATTATAGTTGCAACACAAGCACCGAAAATACAAGGCTTTTGTTTATAATGCTTTGCGAAGCGATTTACTATGGGAGTCACGTGCAAACCAAACAAAAGATTTGGCGAGCGAAATAGAGCGCGTTCTACCATTTCTCACTGTCTCTATATCTTCACGTCATATAGTCTATTTGGATGTATTTATTTGTCATCTTCACCGACAATCTGTTGCCATGTCTTTCCTTCTTTCTTCAACAAGGCTGTCAACTCATCTCTAATTTTAGCTGGCAATCCTGGTCCTTTGTAGGCAAAAGCAGTGTACAATTCGATGAAAGAGGCACCTGCCTTACCGAACTCGAGGGCATCCTTACCAGAGGAGATACCACCGCAACCGACCAATACCAAATTACTGTCCTTGGTGTATTTTCTCAAGGTTTTCAATGCTTGTAAAGACAATGGCTTCAATGGCTTGCCAGATAATCCACCAGTCTGATTCACCAACTTCATATCTGTGGTCAAGAGCTTGTTTGGTCTCTGAATTGTAGTGTTTGAGATGATGATACCATCGACTTTTGAGTCCTTGGCAGAGTTGGCAATTGACTCAATCTCAGGTTCAGTTAAGTCTGGAGCGACCTTAACAAGCACAGGAGGCGTCTTACCACACAAATTCTTGCCCTGGGTGTTTCTCTCGCTCACAACAGCCTTCAAAAGGTCAGTAAGCTTCAGCTCGCTTTGAAGATCCCTAAGACCTGGAGTATTAGGCGAAGAAACATTGACAATCAACACATCAGCGTAAGAGGCGAATCTACGGACACCGGTCACGTAATCTTGCACCTCGTCACCATTCTTGTTCTTACCGAGGTTGACACCCAAAAGCTTACCGGGTCTCTTAGCATTGTTGACGTGCCCAGTAAAGGAGTCAAATCTCTGTCTCAAGGTATTCAAAACGCTCAAGTGGCCCAGGGAGTTGAAACCGTATCTGTTAATGACGGCGTCGTCCCGAGGCAAGCGGAAAAAACGTGGTTGAGGGTTTCCTGGTTGAGCTTCAGGCGTAATGGACCCAATTTCAACGTAGGAAAAACCAGTATCGAAAAGAGCATCGATAGCCTGGCCTTCCTTATCCAAACCAGCAGCAAGACCAATAGGAGACTTCAAGCGAGTGCCAAAAACATCCACTCCCAATATGCTATCGTACTCCTTCTCCTTCAGAGCCGACTCTTCCCTCAATTTTGGAGAGAGACCAAGGCTCATAAGTTTAATGCCCAATTTGTGACCGTTTTCAGCGTCGGTGAAAGTTCTGATCAATGGACAAAAGACGTATTCATGGATTCCAGCTCTAGCGTCGAACAAGTAATAGGCAGCGACAGAAGCACCAATTGCACCCACAGTCACGGCCACAGGGGTTGGAATAATGCTGGCCTTGAGAGGAGAACGGCCGTTTCTAGCAGCACCTCGGGTAAACGAACGAGTGAAGATTCTTTTCATAATGTCGCCTGACAAAGGTTGGGTGGATGGTTCAAGAAATTCCTGTACTTGTATTTCTCAGAGCGGTGCCAGTCCCACGGTAGTACCACAGAAATCAGGTGACAGTCAGAAAGTCGACTAGAGAAAGAATTTAAGAAAGAAAAGCCAAGTTGGATTATTGGTTTACTCCAACTAGCTTTTCAATTTTGTGAATACATTGTTTGTGTAGTTTGCTGTGTAGTTGGTCTGACTGCTCCAGTATGGCCTGGAAAGCTCTGGTGCGAAGAACACTATGGGGTCCAATGAGACTGACCATTTGGGATATAACAGATAAGGGCATCTCAAAGAATCATGAGAGATTTGGATATCCTTTATTAATTAAGGAAGGTCTATTTCTTCTTTCATTTTTTTCTTTTATTTTTATTTATCTATTTTTCAGATATGAACCTCCACTTCTTCAACGGCCTCTTTGGCTCCTACTGGCATAGATACTGTGCGCATCTCATCGCAAATTTCCAGTCCATCTCTCATCCACCTTCAACTCATCATGGCTCCAACTCGAGACAGTGGAAAGTCTTCCAAATACGAGAGAGACAAGGGAAAGTTCCCTAAGAAGTTGTCGAAGGCGAAGAGCCGGAGAAACTTCCAGGGCATGAAGAAAGTTGATGATCAGTACAAGGAGTTCGTTAATGCTGCAGCTGCAACAGATATGTTGCTTCAAGAAGAGGCAGGTTTCTTGGAGGCCGATGGACCTATGGAGAAGACCATGAAGTTTAAACAAGACGATATTGCTGAAGCTGTTGATGTGAGTACGGCCAATAAGAAGTTTGACCTTAAGCTTCCAGAGTTTGGCCCATATACCCTAGACTACTCCAGAAACGGTCGTAAGCTCTTGATCGGAGGCAAAAAGGGACATGTTGCAGCTATGGATTGGCGTCTTGGTAAGCTTGACTGTGAGCTTTTCCTTAACGAGACGGTCAACGCTGTGAAGTATTTCCACAACGACCAATACTTCGCAGTGGCCCAAAAGAAGTATACTTTCATTTATGACAGAACTGGTTTGGAGCTTCACCGGTTGAAGCAGCATCTAGAGCATACTGTTTTGGACTTTTTGCCATACCACTTTTTGCTTGTTGGCGCTGGTCATACCGGTGTCTTGAAGTATCACGACGTTACTACAGGTACTATGGTCAAAGAACTTAAAACAAGACTAGGCCCTACGCAAGCCATGAAACAAAACCCATGGAATGCGGTCATGCATTTGGGTCACTCCAATGGTGTTGTATCTCTTTGGACGCCGTCTGCAAACGAGCCTGTTGCAAAGTTGCAATCTTCCAGAGGACCAGTCAGAGACTTGGCTATTGATAGAGAAGGAAAGTATATGGCTGTCGCAGGCGCTGATAAAGTGGTCAAGCTCTGGGACTTGAGAAATTTCAAGGAGCTAGATATCTATCGTACTCCTACCCCAGCTTCATCATTGGACTTCTCGGATTCCGGCTTACTCTCTGTCGGTTGGGGACCTCACATTTCCGTCTGGAAAGATATGCATAAAACACATCAAGATGAGCCATACATGACCCATCTCTTGCCTGGTTCAAAGGTTGAAGCAGCCAAGTTTGTTCCTTTTGAAGATTTGCTCGGTATTGGCCACAAGAAGGGTATTTCTTCCTTGATCATCCCAGGCGCTGGTGAGGCCAACTTCGATGCCATGGAGATTAACCCTTACGAATCTGCTAAGCAGAGACAAGAGGGTGAAGTCAAGGCTTTGATGAACAAGTTGTCTCCAGACACTATTGCATTGGATCCAGACTTTATTGGTTTGGTTGACGAGAAAGCACGTAACGTCAGACTAAACAAGAGTGATTTGGAGAAAGCTGAGGCTGACGAAGCTAGGGAAAAGGAAAGTAGTGACTTTGGCATCAGACCAGATCTTCCGAAGGAGAAGTCCAAGTTGAAGAAGTATTTGGAAAAGAACAAGAGCAATGTCATGGACGCAAGAAAGATGAGAGCTGAAAGGAACTTGGCTCTTGAGGAAGAAAGAAGAGAAAAATTAAGGTTGAAAGAAATGGGCGTTCCTGACAAGAAAGACGAACTTGGACCCGCTCTCGGTAGATTTGCATAAACTTTTTACTTTTGGACTACTTGATTCAGGAGTTGCATTTTTGTACAATAAACGAATATAATCGTACTAATCCCAATTACCTATGTATCTCATAATCTAAACCAAACACTTGATGAATATAGTTGACCCTAAAATCACGTTTCCGACTTCTCCTAATGGCTTGTTCTCGCTGTGATTGAGTAGTTCGAATAGTCAACAGAAATCATATCACTCAATAAGGATCTACCGTTATTGTTGAGTGAGTGATGGATTCTCTCACAGGACTCAAACTCGGACTTGACAAAATCTAACACAGCTGTGAACTTGCCAAAAGACAAGTCATTATGCTTCTCTATCTTTTTCTGTATATCATGCTCCCTCAAAGTTTTCACGAACTCCAAGGTCTTCTCCACGTTAAGCGAGCTCAAGGCGGTATCATCACAAACCGAGTCGGTATCATCGTCATGGCTCGCCTGGTTCGTGAGAACAATAAGCCACAGGTTGGCTATCTGTTCGTATGCAGTGGACTTGGTGTATTGGAACTCGTTATTGGAGAAGTTGGGTAGATCGTGAATCATGCTGGTAATGACATCTAGCATGTCACATGCGTTGGCCAAACCGGCATCCATGGGAGGAAGCAATGTAAGGATGAAGTCAGAAAGACAGTTCAAAAACTCTGTAAGATGTACCTTGACTCTAATGTATGAATAATCGCTCTCAATGTCGCACTTGTATGGCAAGTGGTCGATAATGCTCTGAAATTTCTCCTTCATCAACTTAACAGAATCTTCCAAGGTTGCTTTAGGAGAAAGTTTTGAAATGGTAGTGGTGGTCTCAGGGTGATGGTTGACTATCTGCTGAAGCAACGCTTGTAGGGACTCCTTATCCAAAGTTTCAATGAGTCTGTTCACCGGAAGCGCCAGGCCATATATCTTTGGTGTTTTCGACCTCTTCAACTTTGGCCCCAGTGCTGGCACAGGACTGTTAGTTTGATGCATTTGAGATGTTGGAATATGGTATGGTTTCGAAACAGACAGCCTATGGACCGGTATCTGTGGGTCCTCCAACAACCTTCTCTTTCTTTTTGGAAACTTGCGGAAGTTGTTGTTGAGTTGATGCATCTGTTCTTCTGACATGGTGGAGTTTCGCCACGCCAAGTTTGTAGGTGCTGACATGGCAAGCAAGGGTTGTTGATGAGATATTGAGATGTAGAAGGTTGAAGTTGTGCCTCCCGCAAGATTCCTTTTTTTTTTATGAAAGCCTCACTGTGCAGCAATATGCCGTACCAACCAGTAACCAGTAGCGATTGACATAGGGAAAGGAGAACTGGCCTATAGCAAGTCGAAGTGTTTTTTTTTTTTTTTCTTTTTTTCTTAGAATAAAATATTTGTATTATTTACATCAGTAATAGTCGTTACTTTCGAACTCAGAATCCGACAAGTTGCTGAGGTTGTCGCTGTCGTATGCCATATCGTAGTCGGCCTCGTTGAAGCCTACATACCGGTTTCTCTTTAATTCAACTTCGTCATCAGATTCTTTATCCTCTTCATCGGTAATGTGGTCGTTTTCAGTACCCTCATGTTCATCTTCGTTGTCCTCTTTTTCTTCTAATTCAATCTTGAGCTCGTGAATGATATCAAAACACTCTGCTAATAGCGCATTGAGAGTACCTTGACCTTCAGGCACTTGCCCATTCACGATAAACTTACCGTCGTCTCTGAGGTTATCCAACGAAGCCAATTTAAACTGGAAGGGGTATAACTCACGGAGATTATTCAAACCATCCACACGCTTAATCTCTAAAAGACATCTTCTCACTGTCAGCAACTGGTTATGTATAGGCTGAAGAGATTCGGACACCGGTTCCGAGCTCTCTAAAAGCTTGTAGATTAATGAATAGCACCTTCTCAAAAGGTAAAGAACCAAGAGCTGAGCACGCTTGAGCTTCTTGGGCGTGGGACCACTAACAGAAGTCTCTATGCGTTTGTTGAAGTCGAGTCTCTGCTCGTCTATTCTCTTCAATGCCTTCTGGTAAGTGTATAAGTCTGTTTCACGCATAGTCCATCTGCGAGTGATGAGTAAGTTCTCTAACGTTTGCCTCAACGTGAGTAACTCGTCATAAACGCTCTTGATCTCCTTGGCGACTTTCTCGATATCTTCATGTTCAGGCTTGTCGAGGGTTAAGCCTTCGAAAAGGTTAGAAATCTCAGTGGCATCTTGCTGAATACTCAAGTCTTTGATCAAGTTATGGCAATCGTCCAATAATGCATTAAGGACAATTTGCGTGGTGTGTAGTTCAGACTCGGAAGCAACTTTACTTTGAAACTTACCATTTTCGTCTCTCTCATCTTCAATTTCCTTCAAACTGCCCTCGAGTTCCTCGATCTTATCATTCACTTTTCCAGAATCGTCCTGCTGGTGTGTTAAATAATTGAGCAAGACTTTCCTGATCTGGATGAGTTTGCCGTACGCTGGTTCTAAGTCGTCGGGTATTCTTCTAAACGAATCCTCGAGCTCCAGGTATAATTGTTGACACTTGTTCAACTTGTTTCTGAGTAACAAGCTTTCTTCACGCTTGTGGTCTATCATATCGTCAGAGTCGGAGCTGCTGTCGTCGGCATCCTCACTTGTATCAATGATGTCTTTAATCTCGTCTAATCTAGCCTTAATCGGCTTCAAGTCATCAAAACTGTAAATCTGGCATTCCTTCAAATGTGTAAGAAGCTTCGACACGGTACTAAGCGAGGAGTATGTGGCGGGGGCGAACTTAATGAGACCACAAGTGACGAAAGAAAGCGATAATAACTGCCAGATATCATCAATAAGGGAATCGGAAGGATTTGGAAGATTAAGGCTCATACCTTTAAGCTCTTCGTCCTTGCGGACAATGGTGAGCTCGTGGACCTGCTTTAAGAACTCATCGTATATCACATACACTTGTTTGGAACTGATATATCTTGTTCTGTTATTCTTGAGGTCAGACAAGCTCTTATATAACTTTGTCAAGGAGTCAAAGAGCGGCTTCTCGTATGTGGGGACGGTTTTTGTCATGGGGCTGATGATGTAATGGAAGAGACGTTCCCAATGACTGTTAATGTAGTGTAGATGACTGGTGCAGACAAATTCGTGGAGTATTTTTGACAATCGGCTTCTCACGGGTGCAGGCGGGTTGGAGATCCGTACATCAAGCGTGGGTTAGTAGAGTGTTTAGGCGCTCGTATGATGCATCTGAAATACGGTACAAGTTTCTCTACAAGTCATTTTCAAACTTTTTATAGTTACAATTATCCGTAAAAAACATTTCGTCACATATAGCACATTCAAGGATTTGCCACCGCTAGAATCTTGCGCGAGTAGTCAGTCTCATCCGCTAGCGAGCCATCCGAGAGTCTTCTTCTGCCTACAATGGCAGGGTTGAGTCTAGGATCAGCTAAACCGTTGGTGGTCATTTTCGAGGTTCTTTTATCAGCAAACTCATCCGAGAATGGGTTTGCCATTGGCATATCAAAGGCCGAGTTATATTTCTTGGATTTCGCGGTACCGTTGCCTCTGGAGAGAGCTCCAGAGCCGGAACCTTTTTCGAAGAACTCTTCTTCGTCGCTTTCATCATTCTTTCTCTTGTGACGAATAAAGAAGAAAATAGCGAGACCGATGCAAATCAAACCAACCACACCACCTACGACACCTCCAGCAATGGCGCCCACGTTCGTAGACGAAGCTCTCTGTGTATTGTCTGGAGGGGAAGATGCACTTGGTGAAGATGATGATGTACTTGAGGGGTCAGAGCTGTGCGTAACCGTTCTGGTTGGAGCGCTGCTCGTTTCGGCGTCCGTGGAGCTGGAAGACATGCTGGAAGTTGTGTGAGAAGTCGACGTAGTCGAGCTCAGGCTCAAGTCGGGATTAAACGCAACTGCGGACAGTGGAGTCGTGGAGGCGATCAGTGACGTGGTAGGAGCCAATAAGCTGCTCAGCGACAGCGACAGGGACTGAAACAAGAACAGCGACAGGGACAGCGAACCAGCACTTGAACCCGTGTCTTCACCCAAGCCTTTAAACACGGAGTAAGCATTAGGGCCTCCGCAGTTGACGCTTCCGTAACCGTTACACGGAGTGCTACACTGGGAGAAATAAACCTGGTTGGCGGTGGGTTTGGACGTTAGGCAGTAGCACTGGCCACCGTTTTTGATAGCCACGTAAGGGTATGATGTACCGCATCTCTGGCTACACAAGTCAGAGGTTTCCCAGCGGCCATTTTCCATAAAGTGGTTTGTCTCGACTTCACTGAAGCATCCAATACCAGTATCGGCAGAATGCACGGCCGAAGCGAGGAATAAGAGGAGCACAAAGATCATGGTGCTCTAGCGAAAGATGGGTTTGAGTTAGGGAACGTGAATAAATGTTAGCTTCACCCTTTTTATGAGATCTGACTATAACAAGACGCGAAGGGGGAGTGGGATCTCCAGATCAAGAAGGGAAAGGAATAGCGAATGTAAAGGGTGGAAATAAGGGAAGGGGATGGGGGTTGTTTGTTGGGAATAAAAAGAAAGTGTTGATGGGGGTGAAGTGAAATGAAGGAACGGGAAAAAAAAAATGGGTATTGGTCTGGAAAGGTAATTAAAAGAAGAGCACAGGAAGAGAGAAAAAAAAAAAAAAAAATAGGCCCAATATTGGCTCTTTGCGCGCCTGCCGCCCATAAAATTGGAAGCACTCTGGCCCAGAGCCGTAGGCACGAAAGCAGGCAAAAAAAAAAAAAAAAAAAAAAAAAGTTCCAGACGAGGAAAAGTATCTGAAAAAAGCTGACAAGACAATGCCTTCCACTACCACGTACATACGCATACAACGCAAGCTGGGCACTGGGCACTGGGCACTGGGGCGGCACTTCCCCCCTGTCTTTAAAACCTTGGTGTTTCCAAAAGAAGGAAATGCCAGTGGCAGTACTAGTGGCTACAGAAGCAGAAGCAGAGCAAACATCAAATCAAAGCCCATTTCAGGTCGACCCTTGCTAACGCAGAAATCGAAAGCCTGGCTGCTTCGGATGTTTGGCGTTTACTTTCTTTTCCTTTCTTGACGCCAGTACTATTTTTTCCTCTTTCTATCTGTGCCCCAGCGTGTCTCAACACGACTATTCGCTGCGCACTGTGTTATTGGAAGGAGACTATGGCGTTCCCCCAGCTCATTTTTGGCCCTACCGCGCCTCGGTTTGGTTAGTCTAGAATGGCTACTGTCCACTGGGGCCGCGCTGGGGTGATCTTTCCGTAGTCTAGCGTACCGTTGGCGCGACCCGACCCGACCGTTTATAGCTTGAGGCGGTGCTGTTTTTGCAGCCACTAACGATTCCAGAGGATGTGGTATGTGGTGAGATTTAACTACGAAGAAGTAAGGCATGATCTATTGTCTATTTCTGTTTCTGTTTCGGTAGTTAGAGGCCATTCTCGCTCCATACTGGTGGATGCAAGATTCAGCTGGCTTCACTGCCTCACCATACTCCAGACATCCACTTCATGTATAAGATATATAACACCGCCGCACCAACCACCACTGCCAACTCTTTTCTTCCACGTGTAGGTTTCTTTTCAATACATTTGGCAGTGACAGGAACCGGCAATCCGGCCTTCTCGTTCTCGTTCCCTTTCTTAATCGGGGGGCCTGTCCACCGCGGTTTCCCCATACACATGGCCAGTCAAGAAAAGAGATGTGAGTAAACAATTCGCGACCATCCTGAAACCAAGGCCTTTTTCTACTTCGTTTCGCGCCGCTTGTGCATATAGACCTGGTGCCGTACGTCTCTTTTTTTAGTATGGCCTTTCTTCTTTTGCACCCATTACACTGGGCCGTAAACGTTACCAAGCGAAATGCTCTTCACCACCGTGTAGTCGTCTAATCCGTAAAGCGAACCTTCTCTACCAAAACCAGATTCCTTGACTCCGCCAAATGGTAAAGCTGCATCGGTGAAAATACCACTGTTCACACTAACCATACCGGCCTCAAGCTCCTCTGACACTTGCCACACCCGGTTGAGGCTTTCCAGAAACACATACGCTGCGAGGCCAAATGGGGTATCATTGCACTCCGCCAAAGCCTCCTGTTGTGTTTCAAATTTGGCAATAGCTGCAAGAGGGCCAAACGTTTCTTCGTTGAAACACTTCATCTTCTTGTTCACGTTTCCAATCACATAAGGAGCGTAAAAGTGCTTGCCAAGATCGGTAAGACGACCGCCTTCCACAATCACCTCTGCTCCATTCTCAACAGCCTCCTTGACGTGCTCTTCCACTTTATCAATGGCTTTGGTGTTGATCAAACAGCCGTGAGTGACGCCCTTATCGAATCCATTACCAATGTTAAACTGCTTAACCTTCTCAGCAAACTTCTTGCAAAAGTCATCGTAAATACCTGATTGGACGTAGATACGGTTGGCACAGACACAAGTCTGGCCCAAGGAGCGAAATTTAGAAGCAAGCGCTTGGTCAACGGCTTGGTCTAATTTAGCATCGTCAAACACGAGAATAGGTGCATTCCCGCCAAGCTCCATAGACAATTTCTTGAGCGTGGACGACAGCTGCTTCATCAAGAGTTTTCCGACAGGAGTGGAGCCAGTGAAGGAGACTTTTTTGATTAATGGCGACTCGCAAAACTTCAATCCACATACTGGCGTGGACTCAATAGAGCTCAACACCACATTGAAAACACCCTTGGGGAAACCAGCCTGTTCCGCCAAATATGCCATAGCCAAAGCAGTCAATGGAGTCTGAGAATCTGGTTTCATGATACAAGTACATCCAACAGCCAAAGCAGGAGCAGCTTTTCTGGCACCCATAGCAGCAGGGAAGTTGAATGGGCACAAGAGACCAACCACACCGACAGGTTGCTTGTAAGTGATAACCTTATTGTTGTTGTTGGCTGGCTGAATGGTGTGACCGTAGTTACGCTTTGCTTCTTCGGCAAACCATTCAAAGTACGAGGCAGCGTACTTGACTTCTCCAAGGGCATCATTGAGGCATTTACCATTTTCCCAAGTGATAAGGGTTGCCAAATCGTCGAGATTCTCGAGCATAAGATTGTACCAATTGCGCAACCAGCGAGATCTATCCACAGCGTTTGTCTTCTTGTAGCTGTCGAAAGCATCCTTGGTAAGCTGGATAGCTTCGTCTATCTCCTCCGGAGTTTGATCAGGAAGAGTAGCGATCAACGTCTCGGTAGCGGGATCGACCACATCAAAAGTCTTGGATGACTTCAGCTCGATCCATTCACCGTTGATGAACGGCTTGGTTCTAAGGAGTTCGGGGTTGTTGAGCTTTGGAGCCATATTACTTTAACTTTAATGGTGAATGGATGAATTTTCACTATCGCCCTTATATATGGCTCTTAGCGCACTATCTGATGAAGTGCAGTCAATCTTAGCGGTCTCAATATCAGAGCCTGCCTAACATTGCGCGAAGAAGATATAGTCACCTAAAGGCAAGACTACATGCCCACTTTCCAGGGTACAAACCCACCTTGGTTTACGAACTGTCAAAGGCAATACCACGGTGATACCACGGCTCTTCTTCACTCCGTCTACCCTCTCCACCGGGCCGGGTCTGACGCCACCCAAACCTTAACCACCATACATTTCCCGTCTTGACCCTCTTTCCCCCATGGTTGCCTTACTCCCATATCATCCCATAATCAAATTATTAATCAGCCGTTGCCACCGACCCGAATTACCTACCCTGACTTATCCTGAACCTGTACCCATATTCTAACCATCCATTGTCCGTACATGCATCAAGCCATCAGCGTTCTTTTTCGCAGCCATTGACTGAGGCATTACTAAACTCTAATCAGCCTCCTGACCTAGCCCCCTCCTCCTCCACTTCCATCCTTAATTTCTCTATACGAGTCCGTTGCTTACGAAAAAGAAAACACCAAATTACTATCCTTCCCTTATCCACTCATCCATCCTTGGGGTACCCCGCCATGAGCTATCTCGTTTTCGCTTTTTTTTGCTGGCTTGAGTCATCCAGGGGCCACCCACCTGTTATAGTAACCACGCAGCTAAACGAACCCATCACATGACGACTTCCCACTAAGAATGACTAGTATACTTTTTTTGCGGCTTCTGGCGGGACCTTTTCGGGGCTTGCCCTAGTCCCGAAAGGACCGTGGGGGGGAGGCAACAGACATGTACCACAAAAACTTAGACACCTAAGCGGGTTCCGCTCTCGCCGCCCGGGCGCCGCTACTTGACATGTAAATGTACACACTTTGTGGTGCAAAAGTGTGTCAAAGTCTGGATTACCAAGAAAAACACAAGCAAGCAAGAAGAACAGAAGAACAAAAAATTTTACTCCTAGTTCTATTTTTGAACGGGCTATGTTGAAGAATTTGTTTTTATTTCTCCCTTTTGCTTTAGCTCCTTTTACATTTGCCTCTAGTTCTCGAAATGTCCTTCTTTTTTTTTTGCTGCTGCTGCTGCTGGTCGGCATATCCGACTAAGGCCCGTGCGGAACCCGCCGGGAAAATCAGTTACAAAGAAACGGCCCCTCGGAGCTCATCCGCACCCTTGTACAGCCGCTCGTATCTTTACTTGTTTTTTGGTGGCTGCGTGCCAGGGCTTAAGAATGGGTTTCTGCTTAGAAGGGCTCGTCGTATATAAAGCAGCTGCGATCTGCCTGGCATTCTGCTGGTCCCACCAATTTTGTGAATTTACGAGTCACTTGGTTTTACTTATTTATTATCGTGTTTCCTCCTTTATTCTTGACTCAAGCCTTTTTTACAACATTAGTCTAGGTTTCGTTCATGTCTATGATCACAGTAACGTCGCCTTCCATGTTCTCCAAGCTCAACCCGCTTAACGCTCTCCACAGGCGTTCCAATAACAAAGAACAAGAACAGCCTCCTAAACGACAGAGAGCTGGCTCGTTCATGAGGATATGGCGTCGCTCTTCGAGCACGTCCCTGGTTCCTCAAACCAAAGTCGTGAACCGTTCCCAGCTTACTAGACATAACATCACAGCCGCGCAAGCCTTGTCTGCTGGCCCACCTTCACCAAGAAGACGTCGCCTGGATGGTTCTACTAAGCTGGCGGTACGCTCTAATGACCTACTTTCTTCTGATTTCATTCTCCCGCTAGAAATGAAACTGTCGAGAAGAAGCTAGTTCCTCATCTTAACTCCGCGAGTCTTTCGGAAGCGGCTCATACCAAGCAGCCGTCCTGTGACTGATATTTCGCTGGTGCTGCAAGTCGCCTAAAATTCAAAAAAAAAAAAAGGATTACGTCTCTGCGCTCACTAAGCTAGCGATGGCAAACCGTTTTGCCGTTTCTTGGCTCGCTTTGCGTTAGTTGGGGTGCTCCTCCAATTACTGCTTCGTCATTACTAACTCATCATCTATCATCTGCATTGCATTCGCTGGTCTCAGCATTAGGGTACATAAATCATTATTAACATAGGGTTCACGGTCATAAAACTTGCTTTGTAACTCCCCTCTTCTTTCCGGCTCTTCCAGTGCACTTTCAGCCGACTCCAAATGAACCTCGGTACCAAGGACTAAACCGGGACACACATCTTCCGTAGCACCATCTCAGACCCTGTCAAACTAGAATTAGCTCGGTCTAGGTCTCTTGGCATGGCCAAAATGGATATTGTAAAGCGCTCTCGATCCGCACCTTGAACCTGTCAAGCCGGAAAGTTCGGTTTAAAAGGCTAAGAAAACCGAAACATTAGAACATAACTATCCACGGATGTCTTAATCAAACCGGAGGTAAGGCACAACGGCAAACAGGACACTGTAGCTTGTACACCATCCAGTCCTCCAAACACTTAACATGGAAAATATGACGGCACGGTGTGACCATGATTTCCTTCATCATATTGTCCACGTTCTTTTTGGAAGCAGCTGAATGTTCTCCCGACACCACCGGCACTTGGAGAGTCGACATACAGATTGCACAATCGATGTCACAAATTGCAAGGTCCTTGTCGGCACTTTGTGGTCTCATATTCGCCAAAATATCCAGTGAGAAGCCGCTTTCCGAATCCTTGATATTGATAATAGGATGGTAGTTGTATTGCTCTGGTAACCAGTTTTCTTTCACCCAGAACCTAGCTCCTAAGCAGTCTTGCAAGTAAAGGAAAAATAGCTGAGTGAAGACCCAGCTGAACACGACAACAGCCATAACTGGATCATGATGGTGGCGAACTGCATTATTCTTGTCGAGACACATATAGAATATTGGAATGAAGCGTACAAGGGAAGTACCAATTGCATACTCCCACAGAAACACGCGTGTCCTGTTCTTCAATGTACTCCTGAAGAATTGAGGGATCCAATAAGAATTGAATCCTAGGAGAATAACGTACTCAGCTGTTCTCCGATAGGTAATCCTCCAAGTAGAAATACCTGATATCAACATCATGGCAATGCATGTCAATGCAAATCCAACAAAGAAAATCATATTTGGGTAACGAGCCTCGTCAGAAAGCTGCTGGATCGTATTCGTTTGCGCTGCAGTAGCAGCAGTTGTTGCTGGAGCAACGGCTTCATTGGTATTACCATTGTCTTCAGGCGTACCTTGCTGGTTTGCTTCTTCTTCAGTTCTATGACTCTGTCCCTCTACCAGCGAGCCTCGTAAAATCTCCCACCAGTTTGTTCCTCTCTCATTCTCTTGTGCTGTAAAAACACTCACCAACAATCTCATCTGGTTGAGACATAGAAGGGAAGCTATTACCGAAACACATGTCAAGATGAGGTAAAGCTCACTTTGTTGCAATGACCTTAATAAAAAGTAAACGAGCGTCACCAGCATCCAGAAGCCAAGCATGGAGACAGTGACAGAAGAAACATTAGACAACTGGCCCGGACTCCTACAGCGTTTCATTTGTCTCAATAGAAGATTGAGCTCGATTGCAGTGAGAAGCAATACCCCGATCGCCATCTGGCGAACTCTAGCCTTTGAAATCTCCATCCGAATGCCTCCAAAAGTTTCAGACTTCTTATTCTCAAGAAGTATTCCACAATCAGGTGAATAAACCACAGCATGAGTAATCTCAAGCTGGGGTAGTCTTTTAGGAATTGGAGCTCCTTGAGGCAGAATCAACTCGTCATCGATCGCACGAAGCTGTTCACGAGTGTATTCGGTTTTGTCCAACTGAAAATACGTAATGTACTCACATTGGTCTTGCGATCTTTCAATGGCGTTGTTCATGTCATCGATAGAGACTTCCTGTTCGATGTCAGTCACGTTGACAATCTGGCTCATGAGAGTCTTTGATACGTTGAAATTCTTCTCATTCATCGTAAAATGAGGAAGAGCATGACCTCCCTGGAACTTGGCTGACTTAGTAGACGCCACCAACGCACCCGTTGATTGAAAGTAGACGCCCAACATCTTGAACTCGTCGTCGTGTGTTTCCGGGTAGTCTTTCAAGTTCATACCCATGGTGACGATGATAGCATCTTCGATCCTCGAAGCAGGATTGTTCTTGACAAAGTCTGCAAGCTCAGGGTTTAAGTAGTTGTAACCTAGCGAATGTAGTTCGAGTTCCATTTTGCCTTCGTTGAAAGTGGTGATGTTGCCGGCCTTTCTACGGCTTCCCTCTATCTCTTGAGGAGGGGAGTTCGTCTCAGGATCCAGCTCGTACCTTTGCTTCTCCTCCTCGTACTTCTCTTGTTTGTATAACAGATAGTAATCCTTCAAATATCTCGGTAGCCTTAAGCGCAAAGGCTTCAAAGCCACCAGCGGCTTGACAACATCAAAGTCTCCGAAAAGCTGCCCTGAGATGTTGAGTGGATATGCATGGTCACCACTGGAAAGAACAGGTTCGTTTCCCCAGTGCTCGTTCACCCTTTTGCTAACTTCGTTGGGCAATATGCTATCTTGTTCCCTTTCCTTCCATGGATTAGACTTGGAGTAGTCCCGAAAGGGCCATAACAGGACGTTCTTCTTCTCGACATTGTCCTGATATGAAAGTTTGAGGCCTGTCAAGTTCCCATACCCTAGCCAATATTGTGAGTCGAACACCTGCCTTCGACTTTGAATGAGGCTTGATTTGAACTTCTGGAGGACCTCTCTATCTTCCGAGGCCAATGGTTGTTCTGACCCCGGAGGTAAGGTGAAGAAAATCACCATTATGATGACAAATATGATGGTTTGCCTATCAACCATTGTAGCTGGGGTACACGATCAATGTAGATTATGTAGATTATTGGGGCGCCTTCAAGTGTGCCACTGATAGTGAAGTCACGTGCAGTATTTCGTTTATGGGATAGTATTTATAGGTAGGTTAGTCTGATAGGCAATAAGAGCATTAAATCAGATATCTATGGAATTAAATATTTTACTTGGTGAATGTCAAGGTCGTTTAGATATGATTTGAATGGTTGTTGGCACTTTGAGGTCTGTGTCAGCTTACGTTTGAGGCGCAGGATAGCTAAAGGGGTTCAATAAACACAAGTCGTTTTTTTTTTATCAATTTTATTTTGTTCTTTATCATAATATATTCTAGTATGGCGTTTTGGGTTTTTTGGTGTGGAGGTAACCCTTGGAAGGCGAGTGAACACCAGGTTGACGAATGGTGGCTGGGCTGTAAGTGGCTGCGAAAAGTACTCACCACCAGATCTAGATCCATGACTACTACATCACTACAAGTTCGGTTGATACTGATTAATGTATTGCTGTCCTAAAGACTCAATGCATAACGAAATAAAAGGATATAACGGGAAAGAAATTTTTTTTTGTTGTCTGATAATTTTTTGAGCCCAGTGGGGATCGTATGGTCCTCTCGCCTGTAAGCGCCATTCACCATCCAATTATGATACATTCTCAAACAAAAATGGAGTTGAGTTAGGTTTCATTACAATGCAACCGCAAGCACAGCAAGCATCAAGCCTGCCACGCTAGGAAGCAACTTCTCACTTCCAGAGCGAGCCTGAACCTGCTGCTCTCTCTTGTCAAACAAACTAGACAAGAATCCTCCACTCAGGGAAGGGGAAGACGATGATTCAGCAGCGACACCAGCAGGAGAGCCGGCCTCAGCGGCAGAGCTTGGCTCCGACGAGGAAGCAGCTTCAGAAGAGGTTGGGGAGTTCGAGGTTGGGGCAGCAGACGAGTTAGCAGCAGATGAGCTGGCAACAGATGAGCTAGGAGCAGCGGAGCCAGCAGCAGATGAGCTAGAAGCAGAGCTGGAGGATGCGGCAGATGAGCTTGGAGCAGAGCCAGAATTGGTGTTCGTAGCACTGTTGGTGTTGGTGGCACTGCCAGAGCTAGATCTAGAGCTAGAGCTGGAAGCGGTAGACTTGGTGGTCTCACCTTCCATCTGTGCCCAGAAATCGTCATCCTGGTCCTCACATTCCTCAGTAGTGACACTGATGTGGGTCTTGGTGCCGACATGCTCCTCAGTAGTCTTGTAGGTGGAGACAACAACCTCGTCGGTTGCGCCAGTGATCACCTTGCCGGCGCTGGTAGTCGTGTAAGGACGTCTGGTAGTGAAAGTAGAGACAACAGTCTTCTCCTCACCACCGCCAGAACCACCGGAACCGCCAGAACCACCGTTGGAGCCGCCATTGGAGCCGCCGCCGTGTCCAGGTGGCACACCGCCGTTCTCCTCACATTCATCGTCCTCGTCTTCACTGTCCCAGAAGTCGTAATCATCGTCACCGCAATCAACATTGTCACAGTTAACGTTGTCACAAGTACCGTAGCCACCGTTGCCAGAGCCGCAAGAGCCGCCAGATCCACCAGATCCACCATTTCCGCCGCTTGGCTTGTCACCCCAGCCGGAACCTCCGTTACCAGAACCTCCGTTTCCAGAGCCACCGTTACCAGAACCACCGTTACCAGAGCCACCGTTTCCAGAACCGCCGTTACCACCGCCACCAATGATGTCAGTAGTAGTCCATTCTTCTTCTTCGTCACAGATCCAGACAGCAGCGCCAGAGGTGCTTGTGAATTGGCCAGATCTAGTGATAGTGGTCTCAATACCGAGAACATCAGTAGCAGTCAGCAACTCAAGAGAGGTGTGAGTCTTGGTAGTCGAACCAGGCAAAGTAGTCCAAGTAGTTGTTGTTTTACCTCCCTCAGTGACAACAGTAAGCTTAGTAGTGATAGGAACAGAACCAGTCGACAGAGAAGGACTTCCAGTGGATCTGGTTGTTGGGTTAGGAGGAGGAGTTGACAAACCTGGGATTGGGTCAATGTCACTTTCGCAATCCTCCTCGTCGCCTTCGATCCAAGTGGTAGTGGTACCGCCAGATTTGGTAGTAACAACAACGCTGCCATTGTCATCAGTGACAGAAGTGATAACGCTTCCAGAACCAGAAGGATTGGCGTTTGCACTGCTTCCGGAGTCAGTGGCAGTTCTAGTGGGGATTGTGATGTCGTCATCATCATCAGTAATGATTGGGTCGACAGTAGCGCAATCATCCTCAGTGATGGCAGAGGCAATGGCAGCAGGGTCATTGCTGTCGACAGCAGAGCTAGCTGTGTCAGTACCACTGCTGCTTCCATTGCCGAAGATGTCATCGAACCATCCACCATCAGACGAGGTTGTTGAGGCAGATGCAGAGGCAGAGTTGCTGCCTGAGTTGCTACCAGAGTTAGATGCAACTGAGTTGGATGATGCGGTAAGGGAAGCAGAGTCAGCATTGGAGTTGCCTGTGATACGACTCACTGTGGTTGCTGGTGGTGGAAGGTCAGTTGTAACCGTTTCACAGTCGTCCTCATCACCATCATCCTCGTCAGCAGCAGCAGATGCCTCGCCAGCAAAGAGACGAGCACCTCCCGATGATGCTTGGGAGCTTTGAGAGCTGCTAGCAGCGGATGGGGATGCCTGAGCATTGGCAGAAGATTCATCATCATCACCACCAAACAAGCCATCTAAGAATCCCTTCTGTGTAGTAGTAGCAGATTTGGAGGATCCAGGGCTCTGCTGTTGAGCGTTTTGGGAAGCTGGAGCAGGAGTCTGAGAAGAACTCGATTGAGCTGCAGCAGCAACTGGAGCTGCGCTAGAAGCTGCTGGACTCGAAGCTGCTGGGTTACCAGCAGAGGCAGCAGGGCTAGCAGCCAGGTTGGCAGCCTGGTTACCAGCTTGGTTAGCAGGTGAGGCAGCTGAAGAAGAAGAAGAAGAAGCTGGGGCAGCAGGAGCTGGGTTAGAGCCACTGTCAGCCTTGTCGTCCTTGTCGTCACCACCACCACCGGTAAGCCAGTCAAAAAGACCTCTTTTGGCGAATTCCTCAGCCTGGACAGCAGGCTTCTGGCCAACAGCATCTCTTTTGATGTTTGCTCTGTCCTCCTCATTTTGCACCTGAGCAAAAGCAGAGGCGCAAAGTACTAAAGTCAATGTTTGAGTGGACAATCTCATGTCTTATCCATTAACGAGTGGAAGGATATAATCGGAAGACCCTAGGAGCGAACTGAATTAAATTAGAAAAATAAAAAAGGGTGTCAAATTCCAAAAGATGGGCTTGAAGAAACGAAAGAGAAACAAAAAGTTCGGAAAACCCGCAAGGGCTTTGGGGCTCGAGGATTTATAAACTCCACATACAATTTCTGCTAGTTTGGAATAGTTGGAGTTCGTTCCTGTGTTACCGCATTGGGTAAAGATTCTTCGCAGCCAATATACCCAAGAAGGAACATTTTATGTGCCGCTTCCTGCATACGCCTTTGTGGGCTCGTTAGTCTGGGGCTCACTGTGCATGCTTGACTAGATCGAGCAATTCTCTCTCTGTGGAATTTTACAAATATGGTAGCTATTTTGTTAGTCTATTCTGGAAGGCGCAAAACACCAGGTTTAGATTTACAGTACATTAAGAAATAAAAGTGGGATTCTAGAGCTCGTGGCCGCCAGAGTGTTCCCCTTTCCTATGGGGGGTAGAGGAGGTTTACAGTGAGCATTCTACTAACACCCTCGCATCAATTCAATTGCAAAACATCAAGTCGGAATGGCTTATTGGGATCGTACCGACTAGTACCCCATGGCTTAAAGGAGAGAGCCTCCTTCTTCAATCAAGAATTTTACATCTCGTGTAGGTTTAATGTGCCTGTTTGTGTCCCAACCTATTTTTAAGCTTTCTACTCGAAATGGCTGCGAAAAAGCCATTTCCCGTTTGGGTAATACACCGTCAAGCACCAAATGTGAGTTTACAATGCGGACCCTGGTAAGCCGATTTACCTGTTATGGCTAACAAAGTAAAGCCTGCTGAGCTGTAAGATTTCGTCTAGCTTTGTGTGAGCCTCGACCCTTTCTTAACCACTTCTGGAGCTTTCGTTACTTCTTACATCCTCTTACCCCCTCACTTCTATGCGTATGCTACTTCCTAATTTATTCGAATTGGTAACCATTTTATTGGTGGAATCACTGCATCAAGCTAAATTCCAAATAGAAATATTGAAATAAGTTTACTTAAAAAGAACAAGAAAATTAGGAAGACTAGTCTTCGTTTTTGTGGGAATCATGGGAAATGTAGTGGTTCAGGACCCGTGGGGGGAACTGATTTGCAATTGGTGTGGTTTTCTCTGTCCTCTTACGCTTTGGCGTAAGCGTAGTTCAAGAACATGTCCTCTCCCATCTCTGGGTTGCTGGCCAAAGCTCTCTTCACAGAACGCTTAAGCTTTCTGTGCAATGCTCTCTTGATAGCTCTCTGCTTGATCATCTTAGGGTCACAGCAGCAAGCCTTTGCGTTACCGCTGAAGACACTGCCAGAGCCACCAGAGCCAGAACCTGAAGTACCAGAGCCGGCACCGCTAGAGCCAGAGCCAGATCCAGAGCTTCCAGAGCTTCCAGAGCCACCGAAAATGTCATCAAAGATAGAGTCAAAGAATCCGCCAGAGCTTGATCCGCCGGAACCAGAACCAGAGGAAACGTCAGAACCAGAACCAGAGGAGCCAGAAGATCCAGAAGAACCAGAAGATCCAGAACCACCAAAGAGGTTGTCGAGCCATGAGCCACCAGATCCAGAAGATCCAGAGTTGGAACCAGAAGATCCAGAGCCAATGGCACCACCGAAGAGACCACCGAAGATGGTCTTGACAATCTCACCAAGAAGACCCTTGGAGTTACCGAGACTCTTGAAGAGCTCTCCTCCAACGTCAACCAACACAGCTAACAAGCGACTGATGAATGGCTTGTCCAGGTTACCAGAGCCAAAGAGAGTGCCGAGAATTCTGCCAACGGTACCGTTGCTGAACAAACTGACAATGAAGTTGAAACCCCAACGGAAAATTCTCTGAATGAGGCCACTGTTCTTGATAGCGTTAAACAAGTTACCCCATGGAATAGCCTTGAAAACGTTGGTAAGCAAGTTCAAAGCACCTTGGACAAAGCTACTGTTGCCAAGGATAGAACGAATAATTTTCAGAACAATACCAGAGTCGAAGATCAGTTCCACAATAGAGCCGATAGCATCAACAAGAGCTCTCTTCTCCATGCCGTATTCCTCCAACATATCTGGATGGAATTCTCTCTTCTCGAACTCATCTGGAAGCTCCTCATACAATCTCTTGATGAATGGCTGAGATCTTTCCAAGGCTCTCTTACGGCCCTCATCACCGTCCTTCTCAACCTCAGACAAGATGCTCTTAGCGTCATTGGAAAGGTCAACGTTCAAGTCTTCGTCGTGAAGAACAGCCTCAAAGAACTGCTGCAATTTACCGCTGCCTCTCAACGACTTGAAGACGGTAACATCCTCGACGGAACCATCCTGAATGGCCTGGGCGACACCGTCCTGGACAGCATCCTTCAAACGAGGAGAGTTGGAGAACTGGTTAACAAACTCATTGAGCAAGTTAGAGTTTTTGAGCTGGACCAACAACTGGTCAATGAAGTCATCGTCATCACGCTTTTGAACTTCATTAATGTTACCGGCTGCGCTTCTCTCATTGAGATCACGCATGGTCTTAGCGACATATTCAAAGTCAATAATGGAAGCACCACTTTCGCTTCTCTTCATGATGTTGATGGCAGAGCCGGATGCTGGTGCTGCTGACACGAGCGAGGCGGTCAAGGAGGTCGCCAAAGTGAAAATCGAAGCAAACCTCATAGTATGTGTTTCAAACGAGGGAACAGCTAACCGAATGTATTAAGATAGTTTTCTCGGATTCAAAGGATAGAAAACGAAGGTGGGAATATCTTCAGTCGAAGAAGAAGAAAAAAGTAGTACAGGCTTCGAATGTACGTGGCTGTTAAAGGAGAACAAATTCGTGGAACTGGGGAACCTTTTAAGGGAAGCTAGCATTTGCACCCAACTAGACGCACCAGGTTGAGAATTACTAGATTCGGATAAGTGCATTTTAGACCACTGCCTGAAAAAGTATGTTCTTCTACATGCGTGTGTGCAGGTGCATGATTGAAGCAGAATAACTTTTGCCCTTTTCGTCCGTGGGCTCATATACCATAAGGGGAAAAACTTGGAAGATGGGGAATGGTAATTTTAAGTGTATTATTTGCTAAACTAAGTATATTCGAGTCTGCTTGATATATTTAGAAATTACCCTTCCGCGTCATACTGTACTGTAGAATTTAGCCCACGGTGATGGGGCAACCTTAGCAGCGGAGCCATGAAAAGCCCTGATATTGAGAGGTCCGGCCGTGGCTCTCCCTAGGCTCATCCAAGGCTTTAAGGGTAGCTGTTTAGATATATTTGGGCTTTTGTTTTTGTTGTAGGACGTAATTTGGATTTTATTTACGATGTTTAAGATTTGGTTTGAATCTGTAACCGAGTCTGCATTTGTGTGAGAAAAATGAAAACCTAGAAGGTTTAACAATCGAGCATGAGTACTAGAAGAAGAAAAAATGAATAAGAAGACAAAAATGAATTACTCCTCAAAGAGAATGAAAGCGTAAGAATAACTAAACGAATACTTTCTTAAGGCAACTCAATTGGATTGTGTGTTCACTTATAACAATTCATTTGAAGCCGTCTAAACTGTTTGGTACTGCACTTGCCGTACTTGACAGTGGATGCCTCTAGCATTGGAGTGAATTGAGGGCTCACCACATCCATCAGATCCAAATGAGACCATCTCTAGTACGCCTCGTGAGGCCTCGTCGTCCTGAAAGGAAGACACCACCCCTTTTACCTCCTTTGAAGCTCTACCGGTCCATTTTGAGAGCTCACAGAACTAAATTACCTGCCGAGCTCCGATTCTTGGGCGATGAATACGTCAAGGCAGAGTTCAAGGCCCACAAGAGCACCGATAACGCTCTTCATATCGTTGGGTTCTTGACCCAATGGCAAGACTACTTGAGAAGTATTGACGGTGGAACTTGGCAGGAGGGTAAAATGACTCAACTGGACTTGGACAAAATGTCACCGGAGCAAGTGTCCCAACTCTACGAGTTGATGCAAGAGACCAAGAGAATTGGCCAGCAGTGATTTAATGCATACATATTTATATATATAGATTATCGAATATAACCATACGATTCCATGGAAGATGAAGTGAAACCGAGAGATATTCGTAGCGTGGGGTATATCTAAGTAACTTCCAGTTTACAAACCCTTGCCGTAATTGCCAGAGGCGAAAAAGTCCATGATGATCTTGACAATGTTCTCCAAAGCCTCCAACCACTGGATCATCTGCTCCTTAACCTTCTCCTGGTTGGAACCCAACTTCTCAAAGAAGTCCTTTCTGTATGGGCAAGCCTTCATGGCCAATTTGAAGACAGGCTTGACCAACATGCCGTGGTACTGAGACAAAGTCTTAGTGTAAGCATCAGTGAAGGTGACTGTCAACTCCTTGCTTGGGTTGTCAACAGTCTCTCTCATGGCCTGGGCGGTGAACTGCAAGCCTCTAGACAACCACAAAAGACCCTGGGTGGCCTTTTTACTCTTACCAGGGGCCTCAGACAAGACCAAGTCTTGCAAAGTGGAAGCACCAGCAGGATCCAGTAAGAGCTTGGCTCTAATTTTCTCAATGTTACCGTTCATGTCGTTCTTGACAACAGTGAACGCGGAAGATCCCAACAAGTCAAAGAGCTTAACCAAAGACTCAGAGGCTTCCAAGAAAGCAGCAGTGTCGACCTTGTCGTCAGTGACTGGCACTTCGGCGAAGGAACGCTTCATCTCATCAAAAAATGTAGACATGGTGGATAATATGTGTTTAGTGAAGGTGGTGGAAAATGTATTATACTACAATTGTCGATAAGGTCGCGCAAAGTTTGTTTCCAACGCCTCAATAGTGAGGCTGAGGCACGAACCAGATCGCCCAAATAGAAAGATGTATGGATTTCTTTGGTTCGAGAAGTAAATCTAGTATTAAGTATACGTAAGAGGCTTTCGAAAAAGGTGTTGACAATGGTACTTTATCAGAACCAGACGAGAACGGATAGCTGAGTACTATAACCCTTACGCATGGCGTCTAAGCAGGCAAAGGGCCTGGAAGACTAGTGCTACACGTTCCTGTTTAATTAAATAATCGTTGGTATTTGCCCGTAGTCTGTCGTATCACGTAATTCTATAAAGCTGAAGGTTTTGGCTGGTTTGAGCTTAATTACCACTCTAGTTCGTCAGCCCATCTAACGGCTTTGGTGTCTCTGTGCACTTGCACTTGGCTTTGCGGTCTCAAAGCTCTGTAATCATCAAACTCCTGTTTCAGGTAGAAGCCTGAGCTTGATTCGTCACCCACCAGAAGGCTGCCTTCGAGGTTACCTTGGGAAAACCTCTTACTGTGGTGCGCTTTGATAATGGCCAACTTCTTCTTTGCTTGTGGCCCCACCTCATTAGTCGGTATCTGAACGATTTCGTTGACGTTGTCAGGCATGAGAAACCCTTCGCAATTAGAAGCATTAAGCTCGGTACCGAATTGTGTTGCGTCGTTCACAAGACCTGTCAGTGACTCAACCATATATATCTGAACTGGCAGTCGCTGCAGTTTCTTGAAACATGGCCTCCGCGGCGTCAGATTCTTTGGAACACATATACGCTGAGGTGAACGTACTAGGTTTCTCGTGTTGGATTCGGTAACGTTGTTCAATGGCTGAAGAGAAGGTATCGATGATAGACTCTTTCTTGGCCTGTCAGATAGCCTAGGCTTCTTGCTATGACGACTTGGCGTGCTGTTCTCCTTATTTTCATCGTTGGACCTCTTTGAGCTCCGTTTGTTCGGTAAACTTTCCATTGGTCTGTCTTGTAGGAAAGAGTCTAGTTTCATGTCCAACGTGTCAGCGACTGGCTGCTTCTTCAAACGAGCACGGAACACACGGGTTCGAAGCTGATGATCTAGTTCAAAGTCGCCGTTCTCGTCCTCAAGCTCATTGAGGAGTTTCTCGATCTTATCGTTCTTGAGAGCCCTCTCGGGCTCATCTATCCGTTCATGAGATCGGAGATGATGGGTCACTTGGAAGAGCTCGTTGGGCAGGATTCGGAGGTCAGGAAAGCTGTTCATATTAAGGGAGGCCGCCGACTTTATGGGAGAGCCGTTATGTGAAATTTTCGAAGGCTTTTTGATGGGTGAAGCATTGAGGGAAATATCATTGAAATCGTTAACTTGGAGGTCTTCTTCGTCGAGGATGTTCGATAGATCGAACGAATGGTCGGTATCACAATTCATGAAAACAGCATAAAATGGTGTTTTCCAGAAGAAAAGAAGTGTGTTACCTTGAGGCCAAAACAAGAACTTTGGAATTAGACTCGAATGAGGTTTGTTAGTACTGTTGATGTCTTCTTGTTTCTGTGTTTACACAATTGCTCAATGCGGAAATTATTCGCACCCACTGTTTGATAGTGATTCTAGGCTAGAAACGGGTGCGGTGAAAAAGAGTGCAAAAAAAAAGACGAACAACCAGAATAAGAAATAGACGAGAAAGAGAGTAAACAACAAAAAGCTTAATTTGTTTACTGGAAGAGGGAGTAAAGCCAATTGAGAAAAAAGACTATTCCCTTTATGACTTGGCTACCTAGAGGCAGCGACAAAGTGGGATAAGGCAGACAGAAGTAGCTCTGAGCCACCGTAATACAGCTCTGAATTCCTCCTTCACTACTGTTTTTGTCTGAGGGTGGATACCAAAGGAAGCGAATATATCATTGGATCAGCCTCCAAAAGAAAAGGCAGTTTATAACCATTTTTCTCTCCTTCGTCATCTTTCAGTAAAGACACTATCAAGTCATTTTTGTAGACGGAAGGAGTACATGAATGCTCTGTATTGGCAAAGTGAAGTGAATGTACTTTTTACGTTCCATGAGCCTTAAGTATTCTACGGGATGTACGCTGCCTAGACCGTAAGCCATTCAGCAGATCTACCCCTATTTTTTCTTCACTCCCTGAGCTTCCACAAGCTGTACATTCTCCGTCCTCAACTCCTATGTAACTAGAAGCAAAACTCCCATAGACTATTACTTATCCATAAAGAGCCCAAATAACACTTCTCTTCTTCCCTGGTATTGTAACTCTTTCGCAGCCATTGCACACCGCGCCTTGACAGCTTTCTTGACAGATGCATCTCTGAACCCACAGACAAGTACAACCAAAGCTTTCTGCCAAATCCATGACCAAAATGTAACTGGCAAATCATTCTTCCGTTCAAACAAGTCTATGATTGGCCCAAGGGCCATAGCCCCAACATTACATCGCCCTTAGGTGACCATTCACATGACCGCGGGGCGTTCATTCATTGCGCACGTTAAGATACCGGCGAAGCTTCACTGCGCAGCCGTACCTGAACGAAGAAAGCGAATTGTTCTCAGGTTCCATCTTCTTTTTCTAATACAACAATGTCAGCCAACGATTTTTACAGCTCAGGCCAAAAGGGCGAGAGATCCGATAACAATTACCAAAGCAGCAATCAGGGTGGTCCCCAGCAGGGTGGCCAAGGTCAGCCCCAGGGCCAGGGCGAGGAAGGTGGAGACCGTTCTCTCCTTACCTCTGCCATTGGTGGTGCCATGGGTGGTCGTTCAAGCGGTGGTGGAATCGAGAACATGATTGGTAACAAGATTGGCCAAATGATGTCTGGTGGAGGCAACCAGCAGCAGCACAGCTCTGGCGGTGGTCTTGGTGGTTTGTTCGGCGGAGGTAACAACAATAACCATAACCAGAACTATAACCAGAACCAAGGCGGTGGTGGTGGTCTTGGCGGCCTTGCCAGTATGCTTGGTGGCGGTGGTAACAACCACAACAACCATCAAGGTGGTAATTACGGCCGTAACGATAACTACGGTGGTAACAACAACTACGGTGGAAATAACGGCGGCAGATACGACAATCAAGGTTCCAACCAGGGAGGTGGCTCTGGCGGTCTTCTTGGTAGCGTGATGGGTGCTATCGGTGGTGGAGGCAACAAGAACTCCTATGGTGGCTCCCATGGCGGCTCCCACCAAGGCGGCGGTGGTAGATATAACGATAACGACAGCTCTTGGGGCTACAACAGTCAGGGTGGCAACCATGGCGGTAACCAAGGTGGCTACGGTGGAAACCAAGGTGGTAACTACGGTGGCAACCAAGGCGGTTATGGAGGTAACCAGGGTGGAAGATGGTGATTATGATTCAGCTGTTTAGGCTTCAAATGTACGTTTTTTGATTTAACTACATCAGTAGGTTGAGCAACATATTTTCAAGTTTTATTAGAGCATCTTAAATTGTGAAGTGAATAGTACAGTAGTCGTAAGGAGCGAAAGGAGTGGGTTATCTAGTTGGCTGAGGCCGAACACACGTTGGTGTATAAGACAACATACTCAATAACGGCGGAAGAACCATCTTCCAAGGTAGTTGTGGTGGAAGATGTGCCGGTAGAGAAGTAGTCACCAGATGGGATTGCTGATGGAGCATCGGTGATAGCTGGTGGGGCAGACGACAAGAACTCAGACTCACTTGGAGCGGCAACAACAGCAGCAGCAGACAGTGCGCTGGACTCAAAGAAGTCAGAAGGTAAGGCATCAACCAGGGAAGTGGTTGGAACACCAACAGAAGCCACGAAGGAGCCAGACTGCTGTGGAGGTTCAGCGGAGCTGGTGATAGTTGCAGACTCATCAGCATCGGTGGCAGGCACATAAGTGGCAGTGCCAGTAAGCTGTGTGGTGGTGAGCGAGCCAGCGTCATTAGTCCAGATGTACTCAGTCACTGGGATTCTGGCAATGACATCGTAGGTGGTGGTGCTGAAGACGGTTTCGTCAGCCTTGACCGAAGCAAGCAATGCAAGAAGTGAAAAGCTTGAAAGGAGTGTAGTTCTAAGCATTGAAGTCGGTGGGCAAAAGGAAAGTATAAAGTTAGATTAGCAGTTTTAGTCCAGACATGAAACACCGGTGGTTTTATACTAACGACTGCTGAAGGCGGAACAAGTCCGATTGGGAAATAGTGCAGCAGTCATTAGATTCAAATTCACGCAGGTGCATTTACTAACGCTAAGTGCATTGCTTTTGGATAAAACGAGGAAGTATAAGTCCCAAAATGGGCAGAGCTGGTTAGGGTCCGCCTATTCTTGATAGGGTCCATTGATCGAGGCGCTGGCTTAGTCGCCTTCTGGTCAAAGTGCTGGCTGTGGTGCGTGCGGCGCGATACAGGTTCTCGCGTAAACGAGTGTAGTAGAAAAGATATCCTTCGGTGCGCATCAACGGATTTGCAATGCTTTAACTAAAGGATATCTCAGAAGATACTCAATTGTACCGAATAATGTTTTTAAAATATCTGGAAATCAGAATTGAGTAGGATGAGCCGAGGGAGATTTTTTTTTTTTTTGTGTATCGCAAAAATTGATTTTTTCTTATGTCGCCCTTTGTGACATCACCATTATGACAATACCCATTCTGAACTCGCACCGCCAGCCACCCAGCAAAAATGGTCTTTTCTTCGCATGTCTAAGTGTATGCGGCTACCACATTACGAGAATGTTGCTTAACCGAATATGGGACCAATATGGATGTAGTGGCTGGCGTGGACGCGTTGTTTTAGCTTTCACTTTCGGGTTCAAGCGAGGTACGTTTTCTAATATCTTTAACGCCTTCCTCGAGCCTTGGAAATTCTTCAACTAATTTGTCACCCAAAACTTGACAAAGCTTTTCAAACCCAAGCATCTTTCCTTTAAGTCTGGCGTTGGTTTTCGCTGTGACCTCAACAAACTCTCTGGTATAGATGTCTGGATTACGCCCGTCTTCGATATAAGTAATGACATCAACCGGAATAGGGAACTGCTGAGTGAATGGACTATTCGTCAAGCCCGAAAGCTGACTGATGATTTGGTTGGTTCTGTGTGTCAAGGCAGCATGGGATTGCTGGGTTCCTTGATTATCATGAACAAGGACACCAAGCTCGATCGTGGACTCTATAAGCGCCAGAAGCTGAGCTGCGGTGGATTGAAGAGGCTCATTCTCATCATTCTGGGTAATCTCTGAAGTAGTCATGATGGAAGAAGGCTGTTCGAGAAAGGTTCATTTCATTGACGAGTTTCTTCCGCACTTTGAGCGGGTGATCTTCACGTGAGAGCATTTCCGGTGAATGTACTCTATACAAAAAAGCTAGTGAATGCTCAACCTGATGGGGCCCTGCTAGACTTTCTTCACCGAAGGTACCTTGTTTTTATATCTACCCAGACTACCGGAATTCCAACCTATACCACGTCTAATTCACTTCTCCACCAGGTTCCTCGCTCTGAAAAAATCTATAACCCACAAAGCATGGACCAGTCCCACATTGTCACCATACGGTACAACCTGGACAAATGGCATGAGGCCCAACTGAATAGAGGATCCGACTGGTCTTCTGCAAACAGTTCGCCTTCCAAAATCATCACATTGAACTACCGCAAAGATCGACTGGGCACTTCCACACCAGCGCTTTCTCCAGTGCCGTGGCTAATGAAAAAGCGTGAGGAGCCCCGGGTTCGCAAGCCGAAATATGATGAAAACGAACCTTTCCTTACAAGGCCAGTGGCCGAATCCCTAGATAGACTACGAGCCTACGAAACCTTCATCAACCCTGAAGACCCATTGCATGCTGACAAAGCCTGGTACCACGACTTCACTAACGTCGCGCAGCGCCTTAAGCTCCTACGAGACACATATAAGGTGCTCCAGGCGGTGAGGAAAAAAAGAGCAATGGGGGAGAGGGTCGACTTTCGCACTGCGCACGAGCTCAAGTCTCGTACGGGTAGTCCAGTGCCACTGGACGAAGATCGCCATCATACGGGTCAAAGCGACGACGAAGATAAACCACAAGCACCACCAGCTCCAGCGCCAGCACGCCGAGGCAGACCGAGGAAAAGAGGTGGTGCTGCTCGTGGACGTAAACCAGGCCCTAGGCTGCGAAATGCCATTCCTGCGCCAGCGCCAGTACCTACACCAACCAGAAGTCGCACCAGTAGACGGCGGGAGGCAGAGCTTAGTGAAAAGAGTAAGAATACCACTGATTCTCGTGCTTCAACGCCGGGGCCTAGCGAAGGGGTTAGTCATGATGAAACCAGCCAGCTTACACAGGTGGGGGCTGCTTCGCTGAGCCAGCCTATGCCTGGCAATGAGATTATTGTTCCTGAGCTCATGCCGGATATGAATGCTATTTCGCAGCCACAAAGAGATGGTACCAAGGCGGCGGCTCAGGAGCAGCCACAACAAGAGATCCAAGGACAATTCAACCAGGACTTGGACCAGCAGTTATTTCAAGGATTGAATCAGGAATTGGGGAAAGAGTTGGTTCCAGGCCAGCAGGATATTGGGCAGGCTGCCTTCTTGGACCAGAGTCAAGCTGCCGGGCCTGGCCAATGGAATCAGGCGGTTCCTGTGGAAAACTGGCAGGCCCAACTGGTACCTACAGGCCCCAACCAACTAGAAGAATACTTTGCACATGGCTACCCAGACACAAGTTCACTTTCTGAACTGACGGTATCGATCATTGAAAACCTCAAACGAAAGAATCCATCTGGTCTGGTGCTCGCTTCGCTCTACAGTAGACCAGGAGGACTCAATTTCCTGCCCCAATGGGCGACCCAGCAGAATGCCTTTGCGCGTCAGAATCCCTCACAAACTCCAGAAATACCTGAGCATCCTCAATGGCCAGAAGGACCCCGGGACCTGAGTTGATACCTGCTGGCATTTTTTACTACCTACAGGTTTACCTATCAAGTTTATCTCCAGATAACCACCACTACAATAAGGCCTGGTCAGGCACTTCATAGCCTCGGGCCCTGTCTTGGCTCGCTGGGAAGTCATTAGTGGTGCCCCAAACTCGAGGCGAAATCTCACCTCTGCATAAAAAAAACCTCAAGAACAATGATCGTAAGCTTGGCTTCGCACCAGGCTATTTGGGTTTCGTGAGCCTACCTTGGCTGCAATGAATGATAGAACCTGGTCGGCACGATGTCGGCCGAAATAGCAAAGAATCCCAGCTAATTTCACGGTGTAGCTTGGCAATGTGCTGTGTCTCGGTTAAGGTTGCGCACTGAAGCCATACTTTTTTTTTTTTTTTAGGGTAGCCCGGGCTCTCAAAACCGTACATGTCTTAGTATTGTCATTGCCGCTTAGAATCTTCTTTTTCTGCAGGTCACTCGCTATCTGTCTTGCTTCATTGTGAAGCGATCTTTTTTCCTTTTCAACAGATCTACTTCATCACTGAAACTCAGCCTTATATTTTTTTACCCGTCCATTGGCACCTCTCATATTCCAGACTCAGTCATCCCTTAATACTTACAAGCCGCCCTCCTGATTGATGACTCTGGACACCGAAGCAAAGCACTCCAGACCACAGCTTCCCCATATGAAGACCACCCCTGACTTGGTCGGGGGTCGGTACAACCCTGGTATTCCTAACCATACCAATGAGGAGAGGAAGCGACGCTTCAGTCTGTCTATGGAGTTACAATCTGGGCCTGAGGCTCTTTTGGCTGAGGTGCAAAATAGAAGCAACGACGACTACAAGGCTATCTCATTCCCGCCACATAAGTTGGACAAGGCCTACCAGCTGCGTATTTCTTTCGATACCATCGATATACGCTATCATGAGGAGGAGGACCCTTTGCTGGACTTTTCTGATGACGATTTACTCAGTATGAAGATGCGTCGTATGTCTGAGGAGTATGACAATAACCGAGGCAGACGCAGGGAGTCTGACTTGAAGATTCCCAGTTCTGTTTCTCCTGCCAGGTCTCCAAGTGCCTCGCCCACGAGAATGATGTCGCCACACAGAAGTATGGCTTCCATGTTTAGAGGCTACTTAAAGTACCCTACAACCCCAATCATCACGCATAGAGGTACAGCTTTCACTCGTATTCATCATCTTTTTGAGGATTTATACTTGGGAAAGCTTGCTCATCATGGTTTGGGTCCGGTGTTGCCACGCCGTGTAATCTTAGTCTACATTTCTGGACGCAAACATACCTGGGTTGCTCTTGACTGGATTCTTCGCAACTTCATTGAACATGGTGACTCTATCATCATTGCGTCGGCAATTAATCACAAATTAGCTCCTCCTTCTGATGGGCGAACCAAATTTCCTTCTCCAAGTGCCTATGCTCCTAAGACAGCTAAAGTTAGACAAAGACAGCGGAGCAGGCCCGAGTTTGTCAAGGTCATTGCCAGAAGTGTGATGCATTACGCACTCAATGTCATCAATAAGGACATTATTGCCAAAGTCTCTGTTGAAATCATCGACAGTAACACAAAGGATGCGTTGAAGGATATGTACAAACTTTATGAACCCAATGTGGTTTGTGTTGGATCTAAGGTCAATACCAAGAATAGCGCACCGCTTAAGTCGTGGCAGTCGTCTCGTTTGAGTGACAGATTGGTGAAGAACTTTCCTTTGCCTGTGATAGTCGTTCCGGCTCTGAACATGAGCGAGTTTGAAAAGAAATTGCAATCTCAATTGGAGAAAGAGGCTACTGGAAAGGCTACCAGCTCACTGCCAATCGATGATCTACCACCAGCTGGGTCTGGCAAGTCAAAGATGAATATCATCAAACCAAAGAAAAAGGCCACCAAGGATGATGATGACGACGATGATCTTGATTCTCTCCTCTCCTCGGACGACGATGACAGTTCGGTCGCAAGCTTCAGTGCTAATTCCGTTGCATCTTCAGCATCTTATTCGAGTTTTAAGGAAATTGCCGACGTCTACAGAGATTACCGCTTTAAATTGCATGACAAGCTTGACTCTTTGAAACAGCATACCATAGACGACAATTACTTTACAAACTTCGCCAAAGCGATTTCTGATGACTCTCTTCGTTTATGTGACGAATTGAGAGGCATAGATCCGGACTTCAAAGGCCAAGGTGCAAAATTGGCGAGTGCTATTACCGGATCTAATTCTTTTGGTAAAGTTCCTTACAAAACGAAGTCCTTGCTTGAACCAGAGCGTACAGAGATTAATAATGGACCATCTACAGGAAAGTCATACAGTGAGTTGAAGAAAACTCTCACTAGAAATGCTCAGACTAATAACGACTCAGGAAGGAATGGTCTGGTGCCTGCTAGTACAGGTACTTCTCCACCACCACAGCAAATCCTGTTTGGAAACAATCAGAATGTTCCTAGCATCACTATTGATGATAGTTCCAAACCAAGCAAGTCGCCAACGCCGTCTCAAGCACCAAAGGCCAGCGCCCTCAAGTTCTCCGACTTGGACACCCCTAATAGAAATAAGGAGAAGACAAATGGGTTGAAAAAGTTCTTTTCCAATGACGAACGTTCCTCTCACCACAGTCTGATCAAGCCTACGAAATCGAACCCAGAAACACGTATCGAGAATGACGATAAAAAGAAGAAAAAGAAGAAGAAGTTTTGGATTTTTTAATTTCGCTTCTCGAGCTGGGCTGAGCGTCTACGCCTCGCGCTTGGAGGTTTCTTGGGTACAACATCGATTTTCCTGTATAGACATACGGGTGCTTTCTAGGAAACGATCAGAGTGCAATTAGTTTAGAGTATTACATATCTGCATTATAGAATAGGATGAAATGAACATTCTTTCCATATTATCATTTATTCTACTACACCTCACAGCATATTGCATAGCAAGTCCAGAGTTCCATGTTGGTCGACTGTTGGCAGAGTTCAATCTCGACTCTCCCCTAGATGTGAATAACTTCGGATTTGCAGATGACGACAACAATCAAGGTTCGGAAGGGTTGCAGGAGTTTACGCCAATCAGCAACACTATAAAGCAAACAGAACTTCAGCAGTACTCGTTTAATGTCAATACAAGTACGGGTTTGGGTGAATACTATGAGTTCTTGATCTTTATCACAGGTAACATCTGTGATCAACCGGACGATATGACAGCCAGCGCCAACCAGAGTTTGACACTATATTACTCCTTTAATGCATCCATGTTTGAAAACTATGAGATGGGTACTATGGTTCATTTTGAGAATGGATACTTTCAAGCCTTGGCTGATGTGCCTGTTTCTAGTGGTGAAGACTCTATCTTATACATTGCGGTGAGAGCGCCTGAAAGTACGAATGTGACGGCAAGATGGTCCTACGAAATCGGAGTGTCGCAGAACGATTTGGTTTATCAGTGGGATAACCGGTCATTTGCCCAGGTAGTGGATACGGATGCTGAACTGGCTCTCATTGTCACCGGTAACTTGTCGTCTAAATCTGACGGGCAATTCTCAGACTTCAATACTTCCTTATCCAGATTCCAGCTTTTCATTTACTCTTATGAGGATATTGATCATTTCAAGAACTTGAACAGCTCCTGGTGTGCAGTGAGAAATGGGCCGGCCCTTCTCAGCACCAGCAACTTTAACACGTCTTATACTACACGTGGTGGTGCCCTCCGTCAACAGTTTTTAGTTGGAGGGCTAAATGCAAGTACCAAATATGTGGGTTTCTTGGTTTCGGACTTTGCGGGATCAAAATTGGGTGGTGCGGTATATTCCAAGTTTGAATTCGAGACCATGAGCCCGACGTCATGTAATTTGATTTATGACCTTGAGTTCTGTGATGAAGTGGCTTATTCAGTACCAGCGCTGTCTCTAGATCACCTTTCAGACAAAAGTTCATTAGCTGGAATCTATGATGATCATGCCAGGAATCTTTATACCAATTTTTCCAAGGCCCTACAGCAAATCGCGTGCAATACTACGATGGACGCAATTTATTCTCCAATTCGAAAATGTTCCGACTGCGCTCTGCTGTACAAAAACTGGCTTTGTTCGGTCTCTATTCCACGTTGCTCAACGAGAAACATAACTGGCTACATTGAGCGTGAGGTTAACGACTCCAGGAACGACTTTGTAAACGAAGAGATTGTGCCACCACAAAACTACTTTGAAGTTCTTCCATGTGTTAATGTCTGCCAGGCTATTGTCCGTGATTGTCCATCAAAGTTTGGTTTCCATTGCCCACGTAAAAATGATTCCATCAGGTTGTCATACTTCTGGGACATTGGTGGAGAGTATGCTTCCTGTAACTTTGTGGGTAAATTAAAGCCTGTCAAGAGTGGTGCATCAACGCTCCAGATTATCAACTGGGTCGTCCTAGGAATAGTGGTTGCATTAGAGTTTTTGTTATGATAGTTATGTATTAAAAGGAATAGAATGACATAAAAAAAGTTCTTTTTACGTTAATCGTCACATCTCATGAGGCACTTGAAAAGTACGTGCTACTCTACAATCAAGATAGCCGCCTTCAAGGCATTCTAGCACCGACCCTCATGAACCAGAAGCATGAGAAACACATTTTTCAACTTATTTCATTCAAAATTTTGTTTTGTAGGCTGAGAACTCTACGAAATATTTTTGTAAGATAAATGAAAACACTAGATGGTCAAAAGTTTGAAGTTTTTTAGGGAGTGCGAAAATGCTTGATATATTCTACTCAAAATCTATTAAGTCGTACTATCGTTCGCGATAGTACATCTGTCAATTTTAACAATACAGAGAAGATTAGCATTGTCCTTGCATAAAGATGACACGCTATACAAAGAGATTTACCATTTTTTTTCGAAATTTTTTTGAAGATGTCACCTTCGAAAACATTTTTATCTAAAGAATATATTTTAACGATATGAAGCCCTGAAATGGCGCTTAAACCTTTTCTTAGGACGTCTTGTACGTTGTACCAGTTCGACTCTCGCGCGCGCCCTCACTGAATGGTCCACGTCAATTATCAGAGCTCCATGCTCCCTTTTATGTATATATTTTAAAGGAGTAGAAAGACAAAATGCTCAGTTCTTTCCAATAATAGATGTAAGCCAAAAATAGGGGAGTTTTAATGGAAAATGGTAGGTTTGGCGTAAAATACGTGCTGAAGTCACGTGATCATTTTTCAAAATGGACTACGCGTGTTAGACCTGACATCGAGATCTTTCAAGCACTTCAGCTACATCAATGAGTAACGTCAAAGACAGAGAGAACTTGCCTTGGTATGTATCAAACGAAGAAGTAACGCTGTATTTACAATGCTAACAATTCAGGGTCGAGAAGTACCGTCCTTCCAATCTAGACGATGTCTATGGTCAGGAAGAAATCGTGAAGACCGTAAGGAAGTTCGTTCACGAGGGAAGATTACCACATCTTCTATTCTATGGACCTCCTGGTACGGGTAAAACGTCCATGATTACTGCATTGGCCAAAGAAATTTATGGTCCAAACTACAAGAACATGGTCTTGGAATTAAATGCCTCCGATGACAGAGGTATCGATGTTGTAAGAAACCAAATCAAGGAATTCGCCTCCACCATGCAAATTTTCAGCCGTGGATTCAAGCTTATTATATTGGATGAGGCCGATGCCATGACTTCAGCTGCCCAGAATTCCTTGAGAAGAATCATTGAAAGGTATACCAAGAACACCCGTTTCTGTATATTAGCCAACTATTCCCATAAGTTGAACCCGGCTTTGATCTCGAGATGTACGAGGTTCCGTTTCCAGCCTCTTTCCGAGGATGCTGTAAGGGATCAAGTCAAAAGCGTCATTGCCAAGGAAGGCCTTTCTATCTCAGAAAAGGCTGAGAAGGCTCTCCTTAAGTTATCCAAGGGAGACATGAGAAGAGCTCTCAATGTGCTACAAGCCTGCAAAGCAGCTCTAGATAACCCAGATGACCAGATCGACGAAAAGATGATTTACGAGTGTGTTGGAGCCCCGGACCCAGCTGATATTGAAACCATTCTAGATTCTATCCTCCAAGAAGACTGGACCACTGGATACTTGACGTTCGACAAATTCAAAAAGACCAAGGGATTGGCGTTAATAGACCTTGTCCAAGCCTTTGTGGAGATTTTACAGGGCTACGAACTTAAGCCACAAACACGAATCGCAATCTTGAAGAACCTTGCAGACGTTGAGTACGGCGTCTCGAGAGGAGGCAATGAAAAAATCCAAACCAGTGCTGTGATTGGTGTCATTAAAGCAGCCATGGAGAACGAAGCATAAGAGCCACGGAGGAGAAAATAGCACAGCCCGCTCATCTACTCGGAAAGCCTAACAGCCCTCTTCCCCAAGCCGCACTCCATCCAGGAAGCGCTGTCAAAGGTACGTTTACAGTGCGAGCCTCAGTAGGCAATGCGCGCACCAGCATTTAGTGTGTGTACCTCGTATTCACTTTTTGAGGAGCAGGTTTCACGCATGTTGGAGAACTTCACATAGCTAACTACTTATTAAGACTGAAACAATATTGCCCCTTTTTTTTCCCACCCTCGTATTTTGCACGAACTTCTTCCTTACAACACAGTGATCGAGACCAATGACTGCAAAAGTTAGAGCTATCGGCTTAGATTCCGAGATAGCTAACAATGTGGAGTCACAATTTGACGATAACAAAGTGGTGTTTCTGTCATGGGTCCAAAAACGTTCTTTCAAGACCCACCAATGGAATAAACGCTGGATGGTCCTTCGAAATTGCCAGCTAAGCTACTATAAGAAAAGCTCCGAACATAAGCCAAGCAAGGTGCTCAACAAGTCCGAATTGTTGGCTTTCAGTGACGTTCAAGATCCCCACAAGGAGCACGAGAATCATTTTGCAATCTATACTAGTAGCCGTGTGTACCACTTTCGAGTGGAAAGCAAAGAGCTACAAGACAGCTGGATGAAGGCGTTGGAAAGCGTTGTGAAACAGTATGAGGACGATTCGAACGAGGAGGAAGAGCACGAGACGGTCGCTAGTCATTTATCTCATCTACTGATGGACAGAAGAGAGGAAGAATATGTCGTTGAACAAGGCGAGCTTCGAAAACTTCGAAAGCGTTATAGCCAGTGGAGAAAGCTATATGTTGTTGTGACGAACAAGGCCATTTACTTCTGCAAACTGAAGGAGCAGAAAGACAAAGCATACAAAATAATTAGCATGGACAAAGTCATGGACGTTATTGAAGTTGACGCCACGAGGGGAAAGAGTTGGTGTCTCATGGTGATAACCCCTATGAAACGAATATACTTGGGCGCTCTGAGCGAACAGGATATGACGAAATGGCTCTCCGCGATCAAAGCTGTCGTATTGCTGAAGAGACGAGTTTGAGACGCAGGAGCATCTTTTGTTTAGGTGTTTCGTCTTTGTTTATAGACATCAGAATGCATTTTTCATGTATCATAAGCAACGCGACTCAATATATAAAGTCCTTAACAACTCTTCTTTCTTTAACCACACACTCGATGGACATTACGTCGCTGGTGGATACACTAGCAGACCTCTTTCCATACAAGGCGAGAAGTGAGCTTCTCGAACGAGCAGCAAGCTGCGACAGAATTGAGCTCGTCATTGAGGACTTGATTCAAGAACAAGCATGTACAAATGACAATGGACCCTCAGGACTTTTACAACTACAGCAAGTATTTCCTGATGCTAGCCGAGAGAGGTTAGAGCGGTTACTAAAGGAAAATGACAGTGACGTGGAAAAGACAGTGGAAGCAATGATGACCCAGGATGCTTCAATAGAGGAGTTGAAGATGGTAACTAGTCTTCTGGAGGATGTCATTGAGCCTTATTTACAGAAACATTCTTGCCGGATGCTGGCATTGGCAGATTTGTTGTGCAATCATAGGCGAAAGAAAAAGGTGAAGGGTTCCCGTATCCAAGATTCCCGCAATGCCTCTTCACGATTCGTCATTAAAGAACTGGGATATGTCTTCAATGGTGATAGCCCTGAGACAGAGGAACTACGACGCGAGGTTGAAAACAACCCGCCGCTACAACAAGTTAACTTTGCTTTCCTACTCAAATGTCTTGTCTTTTTTGAAGGTGAGGTTGATAGAGTGCTTCGAGTAGCGTACTTGTTTGTCGACCATGGAGTTACTGATCTCACGTTCAACGAGAGCTTAGGGCTTCATGTGGCATTCGAACTGGACTATAAGGCATCAGATGTGCTACGAGAAGCAAAAGCGTGTCCCCCCAAAACATGGAAGTTTACGCCGGCCGTAACCATGTCACCTAATCAAGTCCAACGTCCCGTTGGCAAGCCCCAGACACCTGTCCTTCCCGTATCTTCCTCTAAGGTCGACCTACACGGCTTACATGTCGGCGAAGCTGTACAGGCAGCGGAGCTGAGAGTGTTCCAGTGGTGGAATGAAGAGGTTGATGCAAGGCAATCACACGGAATATTGTCAAAGTTCGGATCCAAAGCTCTGTTTGTTGATCCTCTCGACGTTATTGTTGGTCGAGGACTACACTCTGCTGGTGGCCCCAAACTTGGCAAGGCTGTCAAGAAGATGCTTGACAGTAATCGATTCATTTATAGAGAGGAAGTTGGGCGCGTTGTGGTTACTGGTAGACATCATTAATAGATTCTAGAGCATCACTGAATGTAAGACCCGTATCTGACTCGAGAGCATGAGTTAGAAGCGCTCAAGCCTTTAAAAGCCTCTTTTGATTTATGACCTCACAAGACACCTTGGCGGTTGGACGCCACCAAGTTGCCGAGTCAAAACTACATCATTAATTCACGAGTGAGGTTCTTTATTTAGTCGTCTCTCCACTCAACGAATACTTCGTCTGTCCTGAATCTTTGAGTGCAGACCGTATTCTTAAGTTCATTTACCTGGCCCATTCTGTAACCAAGCAAACCGGCATGTGCTATCATTATACCGTTATCAATGCAAAATCTTTCGTCAGTGGCGTGAACAGAACCATTCTTTCTGTCCTTTACCATTAATGCCATCATCTCTTGTAAACGTTCATTTGAGCCAACTCCTCCAACAATCAACACTTGATTGCTTTGAACATGAGCCATGGCCCTCTCTGTAATTTCAACCAACATGGCGAATAATGTTTCTTGAAGAGAAAAGCACAAATCCTCGGGGGTGATTGGTTCGCCCGATTCCGAATCTGTAAGCTTTTTACCAGTACCCTTGAACAAGTCCTTGGCAATCTCATCGATATGAGCCAAAATGCCTGACATTGATAGGTCCATGCCCTTCACTGTGTATGGCAAAGGAACTAAGTGGCGTCCTTTCTTGGCCATCTGCTCAATGTTGTATCCGGGGGCAGGTTCGTTTGGAATCCTAAGAGTACGAGCAAAACGGTCCAAGCAATTACCAATAGCTATATCTAGCGTTTCTCCAAAAATACGATATCTTTGTTTGGAGTAGGCAATTACTTGAGTATTACCTCCAGAAACGTAAAGTACAACGGGGTTTTGTGCACCGGTAATTTCACGTCCCATCTCGATATGGCCAACACAGTGATTGACGCCAACAAGAGGTTTGTTCCAAAGCTGTGATAGGGTTCTTGCAGCAATCACGACACTCTGTAAAGGTGCTCCCATTCCAGGGCCCTGGGTGAAGCATATACAATCTAAGTCATCACCACAGGTTCCAGCGTCTGCTAATGCCCTTTTGATGATACGGACGGCCCAATTACGATGATGTCTGGCAGTATCCCTCGGTAAGAAACCTTCGCCAGGAGGGGTGATATATGTGTCTCTCACGTTGGAAAGAACTTCAGCTCGGTTGGTTTCTGATAGCTGTCCCGTGCCATGCTTGATGACACCCACACCGAGCTTGTTTGCGGAGCCTTCAAGGCCCAAGGCTAGGTAGTAATCTCGTCCAGGCCTAACAAATTTGTCTAGATCAACAACCATGGTGTTAAGGTGAAGTGAGTTTTGATAATGCTAGTCGATGGATATACCGAAAGATATGCAGGCGATATAGATACATTACTACTATAGGGAACAATTCTTTCTCTTCTTGAAAGAATTGATGTTTATGAAGTCCAAGAGGTGTTTTAAATCGTTTCAAGATTTTTTTTTATGAAATATAACTATCTTGTTTTTATTCGAAACTGGTATCCAGCTCAATGTAAGCATATTTCCTGTGCAAAGCAACAGTGGCTGCAAAATTCACGAAGTATTTAAACATGATCTTTATTCACCAAAAGACTTCTAACAAGATTTTAGGTACTAGTGACTGTCGTTCAGGGTTTGAGAGCACATTCTTTAATCTCCTTTAGTATTTCAGTCATTATCCGTGTCGTCGCTTGAGCAATGGGATATTGCCTCTGTGAGCCTACCCAAGCGAGACACAGAAACGTTAAGAATCTTCCAAAAAGAGGAACTAAACAACAGAAGGGATTTTCTGTCTAATATAGAAGTCAATTTAAATTACCCTCGCTTATTGAATTAACCATTTCTTATTTTCTTAGTTAGGGTACTATCAACTACCTAGAGCACTGGAGCGCACGCTAAGTGGTGTACACAGAAACATAAACAACACTTTCCTTTCAAAACACCATCCCCAAACCCCAACATATAAAACATGGCTCGTTTAGGAGACATACTAACCTCGATAGAGGGACTGTGTGATACCATGGATAAACTCGATTTTGGTCCACCTGGTATATTTACTAATGCTATTATCAATAAACCAGATGTGACTTCACTAATACGCGACCCATCTGAAGCTGAGCTGAGTCTTTACAATATAGGCAAGGGCTCGGGATTGGGAAGTCTGACACTACGGTGCAAGGATGACAAAGGTTCAGCAGACCAGCTAATTGACCTTCAACCACAGAGAATTGATGGAAAAAGAGTATTCGAAGAAGAGAGTGATGGATCAGCAGTTGTGAAAGTACCACGCTTGGTCAACGTTCCAGACAACGATAGATTAGAGAACATCGAGGCATTATCCTCGCCGACGAAGAAGCGGATAATGAGCCAATATAATTTGATCCCTTCAAACGTTTTGGAGTCGGAAGATTTTGAATTAGCATTCACCACTGCTAGCGACGTGATACTGAAGTACCCGAACATTGTGAACGATACTGATATAAAAGACACGCTCAAAGGCATTCGAGAAGAATACGATCAGCTTCTTGGAGAAACTGAAACATTAGAGAAAGCAGTGCAGAGGCAGAAAGATGAGCTAGGCGCCCAGGGAGGCAGCATCTATGAGCTCGAGTCTCCAGGTAGAGATATCGATGAACTTATCAGAATCGAAGAGGAATCCATCCAGAAGCTTGAAAAAGAACTCGAAGCTGCCAAAGCCTAGACCAACTTCTTAATCACACTACATTTCACGAATCTACACGAATAAAATATCGAACCAACTATATTACAGATGTAATTAGATAGCAGACAAAATGTCAGAGTCACCGACGTCCAAAATGGCCATGGTACCGACTCTGAACAACTTACCGCAAACAGTACCCAACTCGTTGTTGCCACCAGCGAAGTAGTAGACCTGGGTCTTGGACAACATAGCGTAGTACTCCAACTCAGACTTTCTCAAGACTGGGGTGTTACCAGCGATGATGATCAACTTGGCCTTGCCGGATCTCAAAGCCTTGACAGTGGACTTGTAGCCCAAGGTGTACTTACCGGACTTCATGACCAAACCCAACTTGGCGTTGACGTTGTCTGTGTTCTTACTCTTTGGGGCCTGTTCATGTTAGTAAATAGTTGGAACGATAGGTCCAGAAACGGGAAGGTGCAAATAACGCCAGCGCTATTTCACCTCCGTCTAGTCTGATGAAATGAAGATACTGACCATCTCTGTGTATTTTAGTGTTTCACTCCGGTCTAATGTAGATGAAGAAGAAGAGTATCAGTGAAAACCGCTATGAAAATTTGTGCGCAGAGGGTGGTGCAGGCGAGGGAGAGGTCTGTTCGCACTGGAACTTCGCAGTCACTATGGTCACGTGTACCCAATGGGTCCCACCAGTCTCCATTAAACAATCTACTTTTAGTAGACCAGTGACCATAATAGGATGTTTGATAGATCATAAAGTGATAAGTATAAGTCACCTTCTATATTGGAGGTATACTGCTGTATCACCACTAATCTGACACTTTTCTGTATGGCACTCTTCCATGCTTGTTAGCATATAGCAATAGACCCTTTTATCGTCCTAGCTTTGTATTAAATAATTGAATCCGTAAGTAAGCATACGCTAGCACTTCTTCATCTTCTATTTATTTACTTATGTTTATTGATTTGGCTGTGATTCAAAGAACTCACACGTGACCTTTTTGCAACTTTCCAGATACCTCCAGGATTGAGGTCAAAGTGTCCTGCACGAAAGCCCGCGAGCTCCACCAAGTAAAATTTTTCGTTCTCTGTATTCTAATTCTCTTTTCCACCTAACCCATAGACTTGGTATGTACCAACACTGAACGTTTGCTATAGACCCGTGCTTCAAGTTTATTAAGAGCATCCCAATTTTAATCACACTGAGTGCAAAGTGCTGTCAAATTCAGACTCCTTTGACGTCCATAGCAAAACATCACAACCCCCAACCACAAGCTTTTTTACTAACAGGTTAGAAAAATGAAGATCGAAATCGACTCCTTCTCGGGTGCTAAGATTTACCCAGGTAGAGGTACCTTGTTTGTCAGAGGTGACTCCAAGATTTTCAGATTCCAATCCTCTAAGTCTGCCTCTTTGTTCCACCAGAGAAAGAACCCAAGAAGAGTTGCTTGGACCGTCTTGTACAGAAGACACCACAAGAAGGGTATCTCTGAGGAGACCTCCAAGAAGAGAACCAGAAGAACTGTCAAGCACCAGAGACCAATCGTCGGTGCTTCTTTGGAGCAGATTAAGGAGAAGAGAAACCAGAAGCCAGCTGAGAGAAAGGCCACCAGAGAGGAGAGATTGAAGAAGGCTAAGGAAGCCGCCAAGCTCAGAAAGGCCGAGAGAAAGGAGCAGAACGCTAAGTCTGCTGCTCAGGGTGCTCAGGGCAAGGTCTCCAAGGCCCAGCAGAAGGGTGCTTTCCAGAAGGTCCACGCCACCTCCCGTTAAGTGTAACTCTGTAACTTAAATGCTAATACATACGGTTTCATAAAGACCAAGTGTGATGTAGAATTATAACTTATAACTTATATTGTCCGCTGACGAAATGACCAATCTTTGCTTCGTCAGACTGGCTGCTCAATACAACTTCTTTTTCCCCATTGCTATTGACGAATCCGAAATAAAATGACTCTGTACTATGACAGTATGCTAATGTTGTCCTTCCCTCGTGTTGTATAACAGCTATTACCCCAACATAGACTATGGGATTGTGGTTATTATCCCGAGCTGATAATGTTACTGTCTTGCTCTGGTTAATAGTATTGCTAACCATAATGGCCGGGAAGTCAGGCCAGTCATCATCTTTAGCACTTCGTAGAAGAATGTCAGCAATATGTCCTGCCAACCTCATTCTGATGATATCGTCTCCATTCCCACTGCACAAGCAAGTAATACGAGTCCCTTCTGTCTCAGCTATAGCCAGACCACTTCCATAAATCCCAGCACAGCTGACTCTGCCAGGAAACTTCAAAAAAGTTCCACCTGAAGATGTAGATAGGGTAAGCTCATTGTCAAAATTTATTACCCCAACTGTGTCTTGCACTGGTTGTTGTGGAGGTTCTGGGAAGTCCTTATACTTCAGGTAGAGCCGTTTTGCAGCCGGCAGAGCCAATTCGGAAGATTCATCTGTTCCATGACTTTTCTTAACATGGTAGTATTGTAGTGAAGCTGGCTTCAGAAGACCAAGGCTTTTCAGGTCGTTGAATTCCTCATCAAGCTTGTTCTTGATATGGATGCATTCAGTTGTAGGGCTGGTCTTATCATCAATACCGAGAAGCGAAAGCACGTCAGTACCGGCTTCTGTCGACAGTGCTATGGTACAATCGCAAGAAGCATTGCCATATCTGTCTAGTGCTGAGCCGTAGCCTGTGTTGGTGAGATGTGATTGTTCAATGATACCACTGCTTTCAAGAAGAGACCCTGTGCGAAGTGCAGAGCGGATGAGCCGCTTGTATTCGTCTCTGGAATTAAAAGAATGGTGCCCAGCACCCACATGGATCACCAAAAAGGCCATCAGGAAGCCTTGTAGCTTTATCACGTCAATTGGGTAGAAAGAAAATGCAAAAAAAAGAAGTGGTCCCTAGCAGGATCGAACTGCTGATCTTGGCGTTATTAGCACCACGCCTTAACCAACTGGGCCAAGGGACCTTTTCTATAATGTTGAAAAATACACGAAAATATGATGCAGCAACTGGTAAAACGCTAAAAATCAGCAAAACCAATAATTTACTGATACTTGAAACAGTGTCACTGAAACGTTTCCAAAGCCAAAATTGCCAAAAACCCCCGGAAATGCCCATTTTAACCCATTTTCCGACCAAACCCTGTATGTTTCAAACGGCAACAACACAAATCCACCCTCTGGACCCGTCAAAACAATCAAAAAAACCTTCCAACGGCTTACGGAATTCAGTTTCGAACAACCAGCTATAGCGCAAACTCAGCCTGTTATGTATGCACCGGCTACTAAAATGACTCGGAGCGGCTTCCAAGAGTTTCATCCTCGGCGTACGGCTGCCCTATAAAGCTGGGGAGGCTGTGACCATGAAAGCACTGTCAGGACCCTTAGCAGTAAAACCGGCGTACAAAAGCAGAAAAAGAAAAAGCCTGGGTTATATGGACTACGCATCTCAGCAATCCATGTAACTAAAAAACGTCCGTGCTGCCACATCTGAGCCCACGTCAAAAAAAATGCGGGATGCATTGGTGAACAATAGAGATAGGGTTAGTCAGATGGCTGCTACGCACGTTGGGGACCCTTCTATCAAAACGTGGAGTCTCCAGGTAATCCGAAAAAGTTAAAACTCGGTTAATCTTTCGAGCAACATAGCCTGGTTACTTCTGAGTCGTTTACCCACGTTTGTGCTATGTTTGACATGTTGCCAAGCACAAAAAAGAGATAGCCTATTCAAGGGCAGGGCCACTTCCTGCAGAACTACTAAAGTGAAGTAATCCTTGCCGCTGTTTAAATATGGGCTGGTACCCATCACTACACACATTATTTAATATCCTTTTTTAACTTTGCATTTATAGAAAACCCCATAGAATGAAGTTTCGGAATCCAAGACTATGTCAGGGCGTCATCAACGACATCAGAGCCCGGTTAGCGGTATACCCATCGGATATCAAAGACGCATACAATTACAGAGTGATACCGTCAGTGGTGTTTATCTTTTTCACTAATCTTCTACCGGCTATTGCATTTGCTCAGGATATGTTCGATAGAACTGACAATGCATATGGTGTGAACGAGGTGCTCATGAGTTCAGCTCTCGCGGGAGTGGTGTTTGGTCTTCTCTCGGGCCAGCCACTTTGTATTGTGGGTGTTACCGGGCCTATTGCTATCTTCAGTTATACTGTTTATGATATCATCAAAGATAGAGGCACTCCTTTCTTCCCCTTCATGTGCTGGATCTATCTATGGTCCATGTTGATGCATTTTATTATTGCTATCCTTAACTGGGTGACTTTCATGAAAATTATCTCCAATTTCTCATGTGAGGTCTTTGGGTTCTTTATCTGTGTCATTTATTGTGAGAAAGCAATCGCCATATTGGCCAACCAGTTTGATGAGATGGGTGCAGCTTCCGGCTTTTGTTCCGTCATGGTCGCATTACTTATGGTGATCTTTGGTATAGGATCCACTGTTTTCGGCTCAGATCTCCATTACTTTAAGCCACCAATTAGAAAGCTTTTTGTGGACTATGGTGTTCCATTGGCTGTCATTTTCTTTACGGGTTTCGTTCATTTTGGTGGCTGGATGGACAGTGTTGAGCTTGCTACATTGCCAACCACTGGAGCTTTCCAACCTACCAGTAACAGCGACGCACTTGGTAGAGGACATGGCTGGTTTATTCACTTCTGGCCTAATGAGAACATCTCTGTGGGTGACATGTTCTTGGCTATCCCATTTGCCCTTTTGCTTACGTTTTTGTTCTATTTTGACCACAACGTCTCATCTTTGATGTGCCAGCTGAAAGAATTTCCTTTGAAGAAACCCGCATCTTTCCATTGGGACTTCATGCTCTTGGGTTTAATAACAGGCATTTCTGGCATTATCGGTATTCCAGCTCCAAATGGTTTGATTCCACAAGCACCTCTTCATACAGCGTCGCTTGTCGTCCAGGACTACAAAACGGGAGCTCCAGTTTCCGTTGTTGAACAACGTTTCACTAATACAGCACAAGGCGCATTTACGTTTGTAATGATGACCGGGCCACTTTTGGTTGTCTTGAACCTCATTCCTCAAGCTATCCTAGCCGGACTTTTCTTCATTATGGGTATTACCGGATTGCATGGAAATATTATCCTCAACAGAATCAGATTCGTCTTTCTTGACGAAGACTATATTCTTAATAACCCGCTCTGTCCTGAGTATTTCAAAGAGATGCACGCTATCCCCAAGGAAAAGCGTAAGTATTTCTATATTTATTTGGCCTTGCAAATCATCGCAAGTGCAGCAGAGATTGCCATTACTTTAACAAAAGGTGCCATTGGGTTCCCAGCAGTCTTAGTGTTCTTTGCTTTGTGCGCTAAGTACGTTTGGCCCTACATCATTCCACAGGAAGACTTAGATTATCTTGACGGTGCTGTGGCAGAAGACTTTATCATCAAGAGTCTTGATGTTCATCCAAGCAGTTCCGATGAAAAGCCCAACGACTTTTCTGATTCGACAGCAGCGTAAATTTAATATAGAAACTAAATAGAGAGATTTGATTGTTGCGATTTATGTCGAGAATAGTATAGAGATGATAATAGACACGTAAAGTTCGTCGAAAAAACAAAAAAAAAAAAAAAAAAAAGGCCTCGATTGAAGTTGGTCAACAATGAGCAAACGACAAACGAAAGCCGAAGTATGTCAGATGCTAGGGAATGAGAATCTCATCTTCTTCATCGTCATCTTCTTTCTCTCACTCACTTCAATAATTTTTTTTTTTTATTTTTTTTTTTATTTTTGTTTTGAATCCTTCTTAAGTAAAAATTTTTTTTTGTTTTTTTGTTTGGAAAAGATTTTATCATAGCGGTAAAAGTTGCACAAGAACCAAGGCCTCTTGCTAGACAAGAGCGTGAACAAAAAGCACTTGGGGAATTAAACGGTGATTTTTTTTTTTTTGGCAACCCAACCTTCAAGCGTAAGGCTCGCCTTTTGATTGCATAACCAGGATTGCAATCTTGGAGAAGGGATATTTGCCGGAATGGCAAAGTTCGCCCTCTATGCCTAAGGGCATTTTAATTGCCCTCATTATGTACATGCTGAACAATGTGATGGAAGGTGAAATAAATATGCAAAATGAAGCAGTGATTTCAAGGATGTGATGGTCAAGATGGAAAAGTAATCAGATTCTTGCCTGATCATAACTGGACGTTGTCAGGCAACAACCATTGCTCAAAGTTATTCTTGACTCTCAACTGAACTTCAGTAGCAGTAGCATTGTTGCTGTCCTTACCATTCAAGTATCCAAGCTCAACATTGTTACATCTCTGGACAGCTGCCAAAATAGTCTGGTCCAATAATTCAGCACGCTGTGCCTCGTCAGAGACTTCAAACGCGTTCAGAATGCCATTAGTGATGATCTTGACTCTCTTAAAGCTGAGAATCACATCCAAATCGATCCAACCTTCAGTGCCCATGTTCTTTCTCAAGAAAATGTCCCTGAGCAAGTTCTCTAGCGAGAAGTAGTAATCGACTTGTTGCGTCAAGGCTTGCAGAGGCTCCTGTTTGGGGCTGATTGGTGGAGGGATCTGGACGGGGACTGGAGCACCATATGGCATACCTGGAATCATACCATGTGGCATAGGGTGGTGAGGAATCTGAGGCACAAATGGCATACCCATTGGGCCGCGGTAACCGTTAGGGTAGGCATTTTGAATGTTGCCAGAACTGTTGTTTCTTCTGTATTGACCGGCATTAGAAGGTCTGTATTGCCTTTGACCGTTGAAGTTGTTGTATGCCTGGTTGTTGCCGTAAGGAGGGTAGTAGCCATTCTGTTGTTGACGGTTCTGCTGAGAGGGCTTGCCATTCTGAGCTGGCTGAGCCTGAGGGGTGAACTTTCTGTTGAGCTTTTGGCCCTGCTGAGCTGGACTTTGCCCAGAGGCAGAGCTGGCACTATACCTCTTTCTATCTTGGTTGTAGCCCTGGGCGTTACCTTCTGGGTCTTCAGCAGAAGGTTCTTTTAGAGATTCATTTTGAGCATTAATCTCGTCTTCCTCTCTCTTAACCTTGTCATCTCTTTTGACGGAGTCATCTTGAGCAGAACCCTCATTGGCACCAACGGTCTTCTTGCGGTTGGCCTTGTTCTTTCTCTTGGATTTCTGTTGGCCACCGGCTCCAGAGTTTTGGTTTCTGGGAGAAGGCAAAACGACCTTGGCATTAATAGGAACCCACTTGTTAGGCTTGATGAACTTGGCAGCAGCCTTGTTGGTAGGCTGGGCCAAGGGCAGAAGAACAGGAGCCTTGTCAGGAGTGGGCCACTTGTGTTCGTCGACAGCAGTAGAGTCGTTGGAAGCAGAAGCACCCCAAACAGATTTCGTGGGCACGGGAGCTGGAGCCAAGGACTTTTTCTCCTTCTTTGGAGTGGCCGTGGAAGAAGTGGCGCCAGGAGCACTGGCGCCAGCCGAAGAGGCAGGTTGTTCCTCCTGAGTGGTTTCAGCAGTCTTTTCAGAGTCTGCAGCGGCTACCTCGGAGACAGATGTTGAGGTAGATGACGAGGACGGCCTTGAAGTTTCTGGGGCCTGTTCAGGTTTTGGACTGGAGCCATTTGCAGCAACGTTAGCGTATGACATCTTGAACCTAAATTCCTACCTGAGGGTGAAGTAAACGGAAGAAAGGGCGGGAAGATTGATGATTAAGAAAAAGCTGTTGGCGTGTGTGTGGTTGTTTGGAATCAAGAACTTATGCCAATAGATAGTAACTTCCTAATTCTTTTTTTTTTTTTTTTTTTTTTTTCTCTCTCTCTTTTCAAGTGAGCCTATGAGACCTGTGAAAAAAAAAAAAGTACTGGCACCTGAGTGAAAAATAAGAGTGAAAAAGCAGTGACAGGCGTTCTGATTGTCAGCCGTAGAAATTAGCTTTATGATAAGGATCGGAATATAATGGTAATAATGACCACGGAGATGCTAACGACCAATTATTGGGAAATACTAGGCGTTTTAGTGGAAGATCACAGACAAACCAACTATGGGAGATTCAGTGGGATGGTATAAACGACGACAGAGAGAAGGAAAAAAAAAAATTATGGGTTTTTCGCACGAACGCCAGACCAAGACAAGGCAGGAAAAATTGGGGGCCTGAGAAAGAGACGAAAAAAAAAAAAGTGTGTGAGTGCCATGTCGCGGTGGGGCCCAGTGAACTCCAGTGACTGCGAGACACCAAGGGAAGTAGATATTCTGTTGTTTTCAGTAGATGGATATTAAAGAGGGATTGGTGAGTCCTGATTGGTGGAAAGAAGATGGGGAATCTGAAAATAAAGATCTCTATTAATTTTTGTTCGACTTTCCTTGGTCACTTTGCAGTGGTCTGTGTCGCTGCTGGAGAGGGTATTTTTCTTCGCAGCCAAGTTTTACAAGAAAGCCATATATTCAGTGTTTTGGCGCGGCAAATGGCAAAAAACTGTAAAATACCGCTGGGAATTACCGACACACACACTGAGACAAAGAGCAAGAAGCTTCCTTGAACGGTCTTGAAATTTGGTCGTACCGGTTTTGTACTTTTGCAATGTAGCCAGCACACAAAAGAAGCCATAGGGAGAAACTAAAAAAAGAAAACAAAACGTAACAAAAACCAGAAAAGGGGGTTCCTATGTAGACCATTCCATTGATCGGTGATTGACAGTCAAGAGAGAAGCTTTTTCTCTCTGTAGGGCCCGCTTAGGACTTAAATAATACCCACATCCTTTTGTCCCTATTCCTCGGCTAAAATCCTAGGACACCCTCACCAGCCTTGCCATATTCGGGGTCCCACATTATGTGCACGTAAAATTACTCCACAAAAACCGTCCAGATCTACCGCCGAATAGTGGAAAGCTTCTCTTTTTTTATTTCCTTTCCTTTTTTTTTTCGGCCCCAAATATTTCTTATATCTGGCTCGTTATAGTTTAACCTTCGATAGATCCTAGAAAGTGGGCCTGCTATTGGATATACATTTTTTTTGGAGAGCCTTTTACACCATACACGTTATTTCAAGCATCAGTTGTGCTCCCCCTCAAAAACAAATCTCCAAGTGACTTTAAACTGGTACGCTTGCGTTCAGAATGACCATATTATCGAATCCACTCTACAGACCAGTGCTTGAGGCCTTAAGGTCGTCACGTAATGGTATAGTTTACGGCGGTAAACTAAGGTTCTCCCATGCCTTGGTGATTAACTTGCTCTACCGCTCAGGGCCCTTGGCTCCTCGTCTCAAGCAGGTCTTGAACGCTACAAAGCAACATACCATCGTTTTGGCCTCCTTTGCCTTCATATATAAGACGCTTGTCAGCTTCTTGAAGCAAGACAAGCTCATGGGTGACAATATCGGTCTCATCAAGTTTATTGCTGGTGCACTTGGTGGTTGGGTTGTCTACTCGCAACACTTTGGCGTGTTCAACCCTGGTATCACCCATCAAATTACTTTATACTGTTACTCCAGAGTAACATTGGCTTTGGGTAAGATCCTTGTTGATATCCTCTTGAACTGCCGTCAACCAAAGTTGAGAATCAGAGGTGAAGATGTCTTGTGGAGAGACTTGACAGAGACTCAAACCAAGAGATTCAAGGCCAAGATTTACAACAAGTCCTGGAAGTACTTTGCTGTGCTTGTGTGGGCTCTTGTCATGTTCATCTACGACTTCCACCCACAATACTTGCAATCTTCCTTGAGACACTCCATGGCGTACATTTATGACACTGACATGGACACTTGGTCTAACTGGAGTGAATTCTTCGGCATTTTCACGTAGTTACTATGCCCTTGCCGAGGCTACAAATCAACTACACCATGTATTTATGAATAAACATACAGAAGATATGGGATGCGTAAGGGCCCCACAACTGGAGCCCCGGGCTTCGACACTCCAGCAACCACTGTTCTAACCTTCAATGATCGATACGTGTTTCCCAAATATCCGCCTAGATGACCATACATAACGGTGTGCTACGTCATTCGTTGAGCAAAATGAAAAAAAGCAGAGTTGCATCTGGCGGAGCTTTCGCATCCACTATCCACTATGGAGCTATCGGCGCTAGGTCCAAAGAAGTAAAGGATAGAATAGGGATAAGAAATAGACAAGGAAAATGCCATTCCTTTCGCTTCTGTATGGTCATTTTGTATATTCTTCATTCTTCAACAAATTTAAATGTTGTCCCTTATATATTCCAGAAATCATCGACACGTTTTCGTTTCTTGGACCTTCTTTCACCTTCCTTTGCAGCCAGGTGGACGCCTTTATCAAGACGCGAAAATTGGTATTGGGTACACGTGATCAGTTTGGCACACGGTGTCAAAATGGGTGTGCAGCGAAATATATTTGTAAGGCAAATCTGTCAAGTTCTTCAATACTTCTTCTTTTGGATTTTACATCACAAACTTCATTTTTAGAAGGTCAAAGAATCGTATTCCAATAGTACCCATACATATATAATCATGAAGTTCTGGAAGTTCTCCACTACGGCTGTTGCCGCCCTCCTTGCCTCCGTCTCAGTGGTTTCTGCTGGTGGTCCAGCCGACGGAGAGGCTGCTGCTGATCCAAACTCTGCCGTTGTCAAGTTGACCGAGAAGGAGTTCAAGGGTTTCCTCGAAGAGAACCCATTGGTCTTAACCGAGTTCTTCGCTCCATGGTGTGGTTACTGTAAGATCTTGGGTCCGGAATTTTCCAAGGCCGCTGACATCTTGAACGAATCATACCCAAACATCAAGTTGGCTCAGGTTGACTGTACCGAGCAGGAGGAATTGTGCCACAAGCATGAGATCAGAGGTTACCCAACCATGAAGGTCATGAGAGGCCCATTCCAGCAGCCAGACGACTACGACGGTCCTCGTGACGCTGATGGTATTGTCAACTACATGGTCAAGCAGTCTCTTCCTCCAGTCCGTTTGGTTGAGGACGCTGATGACTTCGTCGCCTCTGCCAAGTCTGAGAACCAGCCATTCATGGTCCAGGTTTTTCCATCTAACTTGCACAAGAAGTTCCAGTCTCACAACGAAACCTTCGGTGATTTGGCCAACGAGAAGAGAAAGTCCATGTCTTTCTTCTCTATCGAGAATGACGCTGAGATTACTAAGCTTGATAAGGCTGTCAGCGCCAAGTTGTCTGGCTTGAAGGAGCCAGCTTACTTGGTTATCCACCCAGACCAGTTGGATGACGTCAGAGTGTTCTCCGGTTCCGTGGACCACGACTCCTTGGCTGACTTCTCCGACAACGCCAAGGTTCCATACTTCGGTGACATCAACAGAGACACATACTTGACCTACATGTCATCATCCTTGCCATTGGGTTACTACTTCTACTCTCACATTGACCAGAGAGCCGAGGTTGACAAGTTCTTCAATGAGTTGGGTAAGAAGTACGTTGGCAAGATCAACTTTGTTGGCTTGGATGCTTCCCAGTACGGCCGTCACGCCGAGATCTTGAACATGAACCCAGAAATTGTTCCATTGTTCGCCATCCAGGACAACACCAACAGCAGAAAGTATGGTATCGACCAGACCGAGCACCCTAATGGTCCATCTACCGATGACATCGAGAAGTTTGTCGAGGAGTTCTTGGCTGGTAACGTGAAGCCAATCATCAAGTCTGAGCCTTTGCCAACCGAGGAGGAGGTCGCTAGCCAGGCTGTTGTCAAGTTGGTTTCCCACAACTACGACGACATTCTCAAGGACACTTCTAAGGATGTCTTTGTTAAGTACTACGCTCCATGGTGTGGTCACTGTAAGAAGTTGGCTCCAATCTGGGAAGAGTTGGCTGAGATCTACGGCTCCAAGAACGAGGATTCTCAAGTCGTCATTGCCCATGTTGACCACACTTTGAACGACGTTGACACTCCTATTCCAATTGAGGGTTACCCAACTCTTATTTTCTACCCAGCTAACGGAAAGGTTGACTCTAAGACTGGTATCAGAGAGCACCACCTTTTCACAGACTCTAGAGACTTGGAGAGCTTGATGGCTTACATCAAGAAGAAGGGTTTGGGTGTCGACGGTGAGAAGTTGAAGGCTGAAAAACAAATTGTCGAGGAGGAAGATGAAGAGGAAGTTGAGGGCGCTGAGGAGAAGCCTGAGCACGACGAATTGTAAGATATAGTGCTTTTTTTGATGTCATCTAAATACAACGCCAATAGTTTATGAAGTCTTAGGACCCCAGATTTTAACCAATTTATCGTCACCGACCGAGCTCCATAACATGCCATAATCCTTACCTTGGCCGGTCGGTTTGTAGAACCTATTCCAGTCAACCGAGTTACATAAGCCATGATGTCCACGAATTCTTGTGATCAACTGGCCAGTCTCTAGTTTCCAGATGTAGATGTTTCCGTCGTCGCTACCACTAAGTATCAATTCCTCCTTGTTCTCAGCAACATTGAGATATCCAAAGCATGATCTAACCATATAGGTAGCCTGGCTCTGGCCCACGAACTTTTGCTTCAAGAAAGGTTTCTGGAAATCTTCCAACGGAGAGATATCCCACAATTGTAACTCCTCCGGCGCTATACTTAGAAGCATATACCTGGAGTCAGCAGAGACAGTACACGAGGTCAACCTGCCATTAAGGCTTAACAGAGCAATCCTCGAAGTAGTAGCAGCCGGATCAAAGAGGTCGGGTATCCTGTAAAAGAAGACCTGCTTATCATTGTTAGCTGTAATGAGAACCTTGCCGTTTGCTGTTGTGGCAAAATCGTTGATGCGATTAAATTGTTGCAGAGAAGCAGCGCTACTCTTGCTCTCATCGCTAGCAGAGTTTCCAGCGGTATCGTTTCCTGCCCCCGTGGATGCGGAAACATCAGGATCGGAACGAATGTAGCTTCCAGCCACCCCTGACAAATTCTGAGTTGATGGCAGAGGGGCATCCTCATCAAGAATAGTCAGCCATTCGTCAGCGTCACTGTAAAAGTCGAGAACTTCGGTACCTTCAATCGTGAACACCTTGAGAACTTTATCGGGCGATCCAACTATGAAATGTGGGGTGGCGCTCTTCTTATACGGCAAGAACTCACAAGGCCATGTACGCATGCTCTCTCCAAGTGTAAAGCAGCAAAGAAGTGATGTGAGTTTCGTGTCATCCATTGACCTTGTAATACGCTTGCTTTGAGTGATGTTCTCAACATGCCAAACCCTAATAACTGTATCGAGACAGCAGGTAACAATGTATCTCTCATGTGGTTCCCAGCAAAAGTATATAATGCCTTTCTTCTTGTCGAGCGCAGGCTTGTGGGCCCCGGCCACAAATACACTCTCTTGGTCTTCAGAAGTAGCGTCCAATTCAGCTATCTGAGAAAAGCCATTTTGCACATCATAGATATTGCAAGTGCCGTCTAATGAGCCAGTGGCTAAAAAGCGGCCCAGCGGAGAAAATTTCGTAAACCATACCTCGTCAGTGTGATCCGTCAACGTGTGAAGCAAATGGATAGGAAGATCGTCCCTACTTACATCATTTAGCGGCGATGGCAACACCATTGACATTGGCAAATTATCCGTGAAGTAATGTTCTGTGCGAGGAGGCAAGTAATAGAGTGATCTCAGCAAATTGTATAATGTGGCACTCCGGATCAAACCATCAAGACAGTTTGAGGGGATATCATGGTAGCTCCACGGGACCGAAGAGAGTGCTTTATCATTAGATCCAGACGACAAGATGGTATGAAGTATATGAGAAAGCACATTTCTCAAGCGATTAACAAAAGCTGCTGATTCAAGCGGAAGACGGTCTTGAGCAGGATTGAGCTCAGTCAAAGAAACCTTTGGAGTAAGGAGCTGCAGCTCTAGATTAGCAGGGTCGGGAGTTTGCATCACCAACGTGAGAAGAAGTGAGGCTTCCAGCTCCCTAGACAAAGCAGATATGAGTTTTGACGACGTTTCGGCAGTGACGGTAGGCCAGTCAACAGCGTTATATGCATTTGTAAGATCAGTTTGCAAGAACTTTATAAGGCCTTCGGCATCAACATTTTGCAACTGGCCAAAAGACTTGAGTATGATCTTCTCTAAGAATGCAAACCTGTGTACCAAGTATATGGAGAGAGCTTTCTGAGTAGCAGTCAATTGGATACGAGAGTTTGCAAAATCAAACTCATCATTGCAACTTTCAAACACTCGAAGTGCCAGATCATAATCACCATCGCCAATATGGTCGTCCAACGTTGACAGAATGCTCAGTGAACGCGGGTAAGCGTAGTCGCCAGCAACAGACTTGCCCCACGAGTCATTCGGTGAGCCTTGAGAATTGGAAGAAGCATTTGCCGCCAGAATGCGTTTGGCTAGCAAGTCAGCAACAGGAGCATGGCCCAAGTCTTCCAAAGTCTTGCGGATTAGCTGAAGCTGGAAGTCGTGAGACATGCTTAGGTACGTGGGTCGACAGACTTGATGTGTGGAGGATGAAATATGGGGAGGGTGAGGTTGCACCCGTACATCATCAAGACCCCGAGAAGCTACATACCACTACAGAATGCCACAGATACCACATAGGGGCCAATATGGGAAATATGTGAAGGTTGGGGTAGACCAAGGGAAATCCGGTTCCTGTTGTCTTGACTTAAGCAAAAAAAGGGGCTTCCAGGTGAATGCCACAGGAGGAACAAAAATAGACATCAGGTACTGAAAAGGCGCCAGGCAAAAAGACACACAAAATATAGAACAGAATGCAGAAACAGACAAAAAGGAAAAGGAAAAGCCAAAAAAAGCAAATAAAAAAAAACGTTATGGTTCTAGAAGCATTCTGTTGGCAACAATGGCAGAGATAAAGAAGAAAACGATGACGAATGAAAAGACAGTATTCGTTAAAGAAACGCCCGTGAGAGGGGAGAATCCACTGTTTTTGTGTAAGCTTCTGGGAAGTACGGGGACCTGAGAAAGTTTAGTTGCAACGGCGTTTTCTACGTTTTTTTATCTGAACTATCAGTGCGGGACAGGCAGAAAAGAGGGAAAAAAAGAGGTGGCAGGCTATGTGAGCGTCAATGGACCGATTTCAATGGGTGCAAATCGACCGTAAACAGCACTCGTATGCATTAATTCTTATGCTCGACTGGAACTGGCGATGACAAGTATTCATTAAATGATGGAAGGGTCCTCATTTGCTTTTTTAAGGTATCGAGGTGGGTGTGTAAGTTACGAGGCCCGTGGCTTGGCTCAGTTTCGTCACGCCAGATAAACGGGCTCCCCTAACCAGAACGGGCAGGCCTGGGGCATTAATTGGGGACATGAGGGCATTTACCAGGAAAAGTTAGACAGCCGCGCGGCGAGAGAGCCGCTCGGGCGAGAGCTCGGCGCCAGGACATTTCGGCGTCGCAGGGTAAACAGTGGAAAGACGGTGGCAAATAGAAATAGGAAAGAGGTTGGTGGTTATTTTAGAAAGAAAACCAGCAACCAGGGCCCTTGAATGGCTTCGTAACAAACCATGCATTTTGCATCAACTGTGGCATGTACATTTGTATTGTTTTTCGGCTTCGGGACAGTTTACATGGCACAGACTCCGAAGTGGTGGGTGGCACAGGGTACCGTCCTGAAAGCTTACTGATGAGTGGTCGAGAGAGCGAGAGGGAAGGCTGGGCCCAGGCGCCGCACTTGAGGGTTTGAGATTTTTTTTTTTTTTTGTTTTTTGGCAGAAAACGGTACGGGGGTGCCGGGAAGGTTGCATTCGAGAAAAAGCGCAAGTTGGAATGGGCCCTGGCCACGCGAAGTTTATAGGAGACGTCATGAGATCGAAAACTGGCTCCGAAAGTGGCTCCGCTGGTGTCAACGGTATAGGTATTGTTTTGCCACGAGCGTTGCTTCGCTGGATTGTTGATGGGTGGGCCCGGACCGACTCTGGATCGCTCGCGAGATCCAGTTTGGCGCGCAGCGGCAGGAGACTCTCGGGTAGGTGGTCATGGCTGCGAAATCTCCATGTACGTTAGCACTGGTGTGAAAACGACAAAAAACAACGGTCTGGGGACCAACACATGGGAATGAGGAGAACCTGAGTTGCTTGTTTTTTTCTCGAATTGCCTCGTGCTAAGGGAAATGGGAATGGCAGGTTGGTAATGGTTAGTAAGCCAAATGGGTAGACGTGGGGAAACGGTGGAGGCTGAGATAGCTTAATGAAGACAGAGCCGCTCTGCGGTGCGCTTAGGTAAGCGCCCTAGGCACGAGAAACACGAACAAAGGAGTAACGAGGGTATTGTACGCCGGGGCCGAGCCCGGAGACTGAAAAAAAAAATAACGCTCTACAAGAGAAATCACAGCAGCAACACATTTCTGTTTACAATGATCTAAGGGATGTGGTCAGGGGATCGGGGGTGTTCCAGGGGGGTCAGTGTACGTTCTGGTCAGGGATCGTGGAAAACATATACCTCACAGGCTAGTATGCGTAGTGGTGCCGCGCAGATGCAAATTGAGTGAGGCTGGTACAAAAACAGGACGCAGATGTACTAATAGGCAGCAGCAAAAAAAAAAGGTGCACAGCCAAATACACACAGGTGAACAATTGCAATTGTCAGGTCAATTAGACACCAGAAAGCCATGGCAGCCAAACCTTAGATGTCCCGGCAACACCACACCTCCACTTTGCCTAAAAAAAAATACCCTTTCCTGCTCAACGGGCCCTATTGTCTGTTTTCGCTAGAATTAGTCACACTCAGCCGCAGGCCCTAATGGGATGCAAAAGAAACAAGCAGTGGCCCTGGAATAAGCCTTGCCGCGTGGAGTCAGTCCTTCTGTTCTTTACCACATTCACCTACCCCCCGAAAAGACCAGACGTGTGTCTCAGCGTGCGGCACTTGCCACTGGTCTGCTTAGCGTATTGATATATATATAGACGTCTTCCCACCCGCGAGACCCGCGTAGCCTCCTACACAATATTCAATTGATATTAGCTATTTTTTTGCAACTCGGTTTTCGTGATTGCAAAAAACTTCAGGTCTTCCACTGCACCCTCCTTTTTATTTCAATCGGTTTGTTCCACTAGGGTCCTGCGCTGTCTTCTGTCTTGGGGCCCTCACAAGAAAGGCTAGCGCGCTGATTCTATAAAACCTCCACATTGTTCCTCACTCCATCTTCCAACTACACATACGCCAGGCCACCAGGCTCTTTTCCCGCCATGCCTCAACGGAGACTGAGATACTCTTCTGTTTGCACATTTTGCAAGCGAAGAAAGACAAAGTGTGACAAGGGGAATCCTTGCAGCACGTGTGTCAAGTACAATAATCCTCATTGCGAGTATGCCAAAGACACAAGTGCCGCTGCCCCTGTTCCCGTGAGACGTTCTTCGGATGAACAGACTTACGCTGAAACCATAATGAATGGATTTTTCAACAACACAAGACCCAACATGCACAAAAGCCGATCCGCCTCCATGAACCACCACAATAACCATCATCTCCATGCTCATTCTTCAGATGACTCGCTATATTATTCAGATCATAAGAACGGCTCAGCTTCCACTCCTTCAGATGTCCATTCAGAATTGGAAATGCTAAAACGTAAGATATCCATGCTCGAGAACTCCGTCAAGCTTTCAAAGTCCAACGACACATCTCAGATCTGGAGCGGTGGCCCTGATGATCTCTCGTATTTGGTCGGGTACCATCCATACGATTCAGAAACTGAAGAATTCTCCTTCCATAATCGCTACATTCCATTTTTCAATCACTGTGTGGGTTCGCCTCGTCACTATGGTCCTCTTAGTTGGATCGCCTTGATCAAAATCGATAATGCTATAAACAGTATGTTGGCGTATCAGCACAGGAATGTGCAGATGAAGAGACAGTTTTTGAAGGAGCAGGAGCAAGCTGAGATGCAACCATCCGACAAGCTCTTCAAGGATAAGATTTTCCAAAGCGATGCGTTTAACGACTTGTCGATCAATGACTCATACCGTTCTACGCCAGAAGAAAGGCAAAGTATCAGACAAAAGATTAATGACAGAGCCAAAGCTGTTGGTCTTACCTACTATAATGGTGGTCTAGATTCGCTGTTGCAATTGCTAGATAAGATAGAGCTAATATTACCCACAAGAAAGGTTATATGGCTTTTGATCGACCGTTTCTTTGATAGAGTCGTTTTGTTCTTTCCATTTGTCGATGAATTCGACTTCCTTGACCACATGGAACGTATCTTGGGGCCCAGAAGTTACGAGCATGAAAGAATCGAGAAGCTTAATGTGGATAAAAAGACAGATTTCCCTCAGCTTGGAATGCTCCTAATATTCCTCCGCTTCGCTTATTTGACCTTATTCTCAAACATTCAGGCAGAAAACGATGCAAAGTTTAGCTCACTTGACCCCTCTCAGGAAATCCAAACTGAAAAGTTTCTTATGCATAATCCTATTGATATCGACATTCTCGAGGTCGCAGAGGCTTGCTTGAACCAATTCAGTTTCTTGAGGTATTGCACGCTACCTATCATGCAATTAGCATTGTACATTAAGCTTTACTATATGTTCTCGCCAGAGAATGGCGAAGTACCTGAAGACTCTCATTCGCAGTCCTTCACAGCTTTGTTGATCAACATGGCCATCAGTTTGGGCATGCATCGTGATCCAGACAATTTTGACCAACCAGTGAGAGATGACAGGACGAATAACCTTTGCCGTAAGATATGGAACTATCTTTTGGTCTTTGACTTGAACGGTGCTATCGCCAATGGTACTCCAATTTGCATTTCAAAGGGTCTGTTCGACACTAAAGCTCCATATCATAAGCCAGGTAATGAGAATCTCAGGAATCCTGAATCTGAGCAAGCTGTGATTGAAGCTTTTTCTCGTGTTGAATTAGCCTATGAACCTTTGATCACTACGATTCAGTTGATCGTCTCTGTTCAGCCTATTTCCATGCCGCAGCTCACGAACCGACTCAATGACATGGAAGTTGATTTCGTCAAAGATTTGACCAACTTCAACTTGACCCTAAATCTGGAGGCCTCATTGGCAGAAAGAAGAACAAACGTCCTTAGGACTAAGGTTTACTTCCAAGCCAATTTTTTCTTCCTTGGGGTAAACTTCCACTTTTTCAACTATTATGAAAGCAAGAATAACTTTGACTTGGCTTACTTCTACTTGAAGAAAGTGATTGTTGTTGCAATCTATAATATGATGCCTTTCTACGAGGATTACGTTGAAAAGAGTACTCAGTACTTCGAAGGTACAACCGATCTTGCCGTTACTCCTGGCTTCCAGTCTCTTGTGCACAAGTGTATGATTGTCATCCTGTCCATTATGGCAAGAGCAAGGTTCTCTGTTTTATTTTTCGAGAGTCTTCCAACCCATAATAGCAGCTTGTTGACAGATACTGACTATAAGACACGTTACGATCTTATTCAACAAACATACAACTTAGCATTTAGATGCCTAAGGGTCATTACCGACACATTGACAAAATTGAGTAGCAGGTACTACTACAGTTGGAGATGTGTAAAGGCTCAAAGTGCATTGCGTCAGACATTCAATGGTACTGATTTTTACATGAATTGGTGCAAGGGCAAAGAGTGCTATACGAAGTTCTCTAATGAAATGCTAGAGGATCTCAATGGCATTTTGCAAAGCTCGCTTGATCGCGTAAGAAGCCCTCAAGCTAGAGCTCCTAATCCTACTGCTGAACCGCTGGATGTTCCTGCCATGAGCGGTTCGACCGTAGATTCTGACTATAGTGCCCAGACCGCCCCAGATGCTGTGCCATCTTCAAATGGCTTTGCAACCAGGATGCCTTCAAGTGGGCCTGAAATCAATTCAAATGTTCCACATCAGTCGCAAGAGATCGACAATTTATGGATGCAGATGATATCTGACAAGCCACAAAGACACAAGGGAAACTTGTATGGACGCACCCCACCATCTATGGACATAGATTTCGGGTTGGGCACTTTTGACCATCTCATTTTTGACAACTGGGAACAGGCGGGCGATCCAATTGAACCAAACGGTGAGACCGTACCTGAGAGCATCAATTTCCTCGACTCTCAAAACCTCGAAGAGATCATCAGGCTGGGTCCATGATATCTCCCAACCAATACAAAAAAAAAAAATGAAGAAAAGAGAAAAAAAGAAAAAAAAAAAGAATTGTTTTCCTATTAATCCTATTTATTTTTTTGCGTTTGACTTTACTGCTTAATTTGCTTAATGACTCCGCTACGACATATGAGATATGTATTATATTCATTTCCGTGCTTCTAAAAACTTGTACATAGTTATCAATCATGTTTTGGATTCCCAGACGTAGATTTTAGATGCTAGTTTCAGAATTAGGGTGTTCTTCCCATCGCGATCATACAAGACGGATACCACAGAGCTTTCCGTGAGAATCAGACTTATAGTTCGAGGATCTAGCTGGTTTGCAAAAGTTAGCGTTAAGCTGCCATTGAACGGTCCATCTGAATCGTTTATTGGTACCTCGTACATGCTGGTTACTCTAACATAGTCATTGACTTCTGAGCTTGGTGCTTTGTTCATGTGTAGAAGGCTGAAGTATTCATAATAGTCATGGGGCTCTTCGACATTCTTCGTTGTGAGTGGCGATAAGTCAGCCTGAGGGTCAATTGGGCCCGAAGCTAGGTTGTGGATTTGCCTGAATTGACCCAAAGAGGGTATCGCCTTGTTCGAGGAAACTCTTAATGATGCGTTTGGGAAAATCAGTTCTATAAGGATGCGTAAGTCTTTGTCATACTTGGGTGTTTCGTTTGCGCTTTTTGAATAATTGGCGAATGCTGAATAGAACGTGCTAGTATCTTTGGATGGTTTGTTTGGTCTCTGCTGCTTGAACTTCAAGTACCGCGTGATGTAGTTATTCTGGAAAAGGTCGTGTTCATTCAAGACCAACTTGATTATATTTGAATCTGAAGAGTCTATGCTGAGAACAGATTCGCCTTTCGTTAATTCGATCCAGTACTGGGCGTCCTTTACCTCCTCTAACAAGCCATCTAATCCATTGAAGTCTGATGCAGAGTAGTAGAAGCAGTTCGATAAAAGACTGTGTATATCAAAGGAGTCCGAGCTAGTAATGACACTAAGCTTATCTATAGGCTTGTTTCCTGTTAGCGTATAGTCGCTAGCTGTGGCTTCGTGGAACAGTAGCATGCAATTGGAGTTGATAGCTTCTGGCAAGATGCAAGTCTGGAGTGCGATGAGGATATAGGCAGATGATGTAACTCGAACAGTGTGAGCTCGATGAATGTAAAAAGCTGAATTTTTATGATGATTTCAAAGTAATGCAAAGGAGGATTTAACTCTGGACCTGGGAAATTATTGGGGAATTTTATTTTCATTTTGCCTACGAAAGTGGATTTCTAAAGATAGTATTATTTGATCGATATGCACCATTTCGCAGCCATACTCTAAAAGTACGCTGGTTCTGTCTTTTACAAATTACCAATTGGTAATATTCTTTTCCGCTTCTCCAAAGACCGAGTCGCCTCCATTCTCAACAGAAACCACATGGTCGGCCCAATCGTGGAAAACATCCACTTTACCAGATGCATCATCGAAATATTCAGGAAGCTGCTCATGCAAGAACTCACGACAGTACTTATCAATGATTTCGAAATCAAGGAGGAATGCATCGTGACCTTCAGGCGAATCTAACCTTTTCAAGGTGTTCTTGGGGATATGTGCTCCTAAAAGCTGCTGTTCGCCATACGTGAAGAGGCCGTCCGACTGGATACCAATGATCAAGTGGGGCAGCAGCAAACTCTCAAGATATTGTGGCAAGGGGTCGCTTTCAGATTCGTCGCTCTCGACCTTACCTCTTGTGATGTCGTGGGTGTCAAGCTTTCTGCTGATGGAGATGTAACAATTCGCATCGAAACGTTTCACGAACTTGTCACCTTGGTATCTCAAGTACGATTGGGCGGTGAAATACGTCTGAAGCTTATCTGAGGCCAAAGATGCACTAGATGAGCTTCTTGATCTTCTGGAGCCTTCGTTGTGGATTAGCCAGTTCTCCTCTTCTTTGTTCTTTGGCAATCTGATATCGTCCTTTTGTGGTTCTCTAGCTTGTTGAGAAGGTAACTTTCTTCCGAAACGAGTCTCGAAAGAGTTTCTCGATCTATAAGTTAGCAAAGCAGCCATTCTAGCTGCGCTCAAACCTCCATCAGGACGCGAACCGTTCGGGTTCTCATAGTAGTAGCCATCATCATAGAAAGGATCACTGAAAATACACTGTCTTTGCGTCTCGTTCCATGAAATGCACCAGGCACTGGCTCTCGCAGCGGTAGCTAAAGCAATTACCGTTTTAACGTATCCTGTATTATTGTAGGTCGATGAATACTCCATGGCAGCCATGCCACCCATGGATCCACCGATCACACATGCAATTTTCTCCACTCCCAAGGAATCCAAAATAAGCTTCTGGATTCCAAGATCGTCCTTAACAGTGATTAAAGGAAAAAGCGGACCATATGGTTTTCCTGTTGATTTTTCTATGGTCACTGGCGAACAAGAACCATAAGGTGACCCAAGGAAGTTGACACAGATGATAAAGAACCTTGAGGGGTCAAACGTAAGGTTGGTACCAAGAAGCGGCCCCCACCAATCTTGAACATCAGAGGATCCCGTGAGAGCGTGGTTGATAAGTAGGACATTATCTCTTTCTTTATTAAGCCTACCCCAGGTTTTGTATGCCACGGGGAAGTTATGGAGCGTTTCACCACATTCTAGTTCGTATTGAGGGATTTCGACAATAGTTTGACCAGGGACCATGGCAGCGTAGGCATTAGTTCGCCTTTGTTCTTCCGTAACATCTTTAAACGTTGAGTTTTTCATATTGGAAAGTCAGTTTCTTGATCTATGGTGGGGTATCGGAGACAAGACAATTGAAATGTTATAAATGAATTCAAAAAAGTAAGCTGATTGAAGGAAATGTTTTTGTAAGAGAATCTTGGCCTCTTAAGCTGAAATTTTTGTCTCTAAATGAAGTACCTATTGACATGAACTCAGGCAAGATATTCCTCTATTACTCACCTTGTATTATTTCACGTGATCTCATATTGACAGATAGTGCCAGGGACACCCAAGTTGCACTTACCAACATCTATAAACATCGCGAATATTCATATTATTGAATTCATCTACTTCGTGAAATATTATACATTGGGTATCGATCGCAAAGTGTTAGCAATCCGAAGGCATTGTACGTTCTGGTTGTTCGTTTGGCATCCACACTTTTAGTCCCCAGATTTCGCAGCCTCCCCATTGTCAGAGGATTTGGTACTGAAGATGAAGTTCTTCGTCTTGTCTGCCTTATCCATCAAGTTTGTTCCAACTGTCTCCAATCTATCTTTGACAGTATCATCTTCTGTGAATTCGTCATCACTTTCATCGCTAATGTCACTGTCATCGTCATCTTCATCGGTGGTATCCTCGTCATTGACACTGAGGTAATCCTCCTCTTCTGCAATATTAGGTGTCTGTGCTCCAGATCTGTCGTCTCTCCTCTCTTCAGTATTGTATCTGACAGTAAGCATCAAAGACTTGGAATATGCAAGTTCGGAATAAATTGCGTCGATAGCAGAAAGTACACCCGTTTCATGCTCCATTGAGTGGGCAACAGCCTTGGCTTTCTCCAAGTACTTGGATTCTCTCGTAATCAGCTTAAGCGCCTTGGTAAGCGACTTCAGGTTCAAGTTTTTAAGGGCAAGACCGACTCCTAGATCTTCCACTCTAGAAGCATAGAAGAATTGGTCTCCGAAAAACGGCTTGATGATCGTTGGTGTTCCACTTCTAAGAGTGGCACCAGTAGTACCAGAGCCACCATGGTGAACAGCAGCATCGACCTTAGGGAAAAGCCAGTCATGGGGAACAGGGCCACAGTCATAAATCAGAGGTGGAAGCTCAACTTCAATTTCGCCCTTATCTTTGCTCAATCTGTCCGACCAACCCTTATTCAAAATGCATCTGACACCCAGGTTCTCAACCGCCTCGATGACAGCCTTTGTTAAACTCTTAGCATCATTAACGACAATAGAACCAAACCCGATGTACACAATCTTTTGCTTATTCTTGTTGGCGCCCTCGATGAAGTCAACCAATTCTTGTGGTGGCTCATAAGAGGAGTCACCTTCATCCAAGAACCAGTAACCAGTCACTTTCACCCATTCTGGGAAATCAACAGAAGGTGGGAACATCGATGGCGAAATATTATAAAGGAAAGGAACTTTGTATTGCTGCATTTTAGCCAAACTTGTTTTTGCAAGACCCAATTTCTCAACTCTCCACTTGTTGACTTGACTCGAGATACCCTTCCAAAACACATTTTCGAACATGACATGAGTCAAAAGATTGTAAGAGCCACCACGCTTTGAATCAGGGACGATAAAGGCGTGTGGATATGCTCTAGTACGAGTCCATGGCATAGTGAAAGCTCTCATATACGCAATACCAAGGGCTTCAGCGATATGAAGACCGCCCATAGCAGAAGGACTCTCAATAAGAAGATCAGCACCTTGACAGGCTTCCCAACTTGTATCAAGCAAATCCGTAATCCAGTTACGGAACTTAGAGCTCGCTTCTTTAATAAATCCGACGGACATGGAACCGTGAGTGACCATCAAAGACATAAGTTCGGCAGGGTTGCCCGCAATTTCCTTGAACTTGAGATTATGCTTCTCGATCCATTCTTTAAACTCGGAGTGCGTTGCAATAGTAACAGTATGGCCTTCCTTCAAGAGACCCTTACCTAGCGCAATGTAAGGTTGAACATCACCTCTAGATCCAATAGTCAACAACGTGATATTGTAAGACTTGGCTGGCTTCACCTCGGTGTAATAAAACAAGGAATCTTCAAATATGAGTGGAAACTCAATTCCAGAGGCAGTGCTTATTCTGTCTTCCAAATGTCTTAATCTTGCAATTCTTACCTTTGCCTTAGCCAAGGCAATGTCAGTATCACGCAGCTGCGCTCCCGTTGCCTTATCCAAAGGTTCTTTTTGCAGCGGATCTCTATACTGTCCAGCATGGCCCCATTCATGAGCCTTTGGCGCCCAGGACTCGTCAGCATGTAAAATCTCAAGTTGGTTCAATACCATATGCAAACAGTCGTCTCTGCTTTTCACTGAACCAAACTCTAAAACCAATGATTCCATCCCCAGAATGGTGATAACAAGTCCAGAATACTTAAAGTTTGATCCACTTTCACTTGAACAGGTTTCCACATCTTTCAAAGGTAAGATCATCTTGGTTGATATTCCGGGAATTAAACTTCTGAAACAAAGTTTATCGTTACCAAGATAAAGTTTACCATAAACTGGGATGGAACGCTTCAAGTGACAATAGTATGTAGCAACTAATTTGCTCTCTGAATTGAGGGAGAAATGTTTCTTGAACCTCTTCTCGCTCACTTCTCTTTCATCAGCGCTCTTCACATAAAACTTTTCGTTATCTTCTAGTTTGATGTAATGGTCAGGATTAGCCGACCATACCCCACCCATGCTGGAAACAGTCTTGAGCTTCTTTTTGAAAGCCTTAAATTTGCTCTTCTTTTGTTTCTCCTCCTTTGTGCCTCTTCCAGAAGACGCATCTTCAGTAGTCACATCTGATATACTCTCTTCAAAGTCTTTATAAGAATCGGTAAAAGACAAGTCTCCAACACTATGCGAATATGATCTCTTATGCGTTTCATTCATGGCAATGAGACGCTTCTCGACATCAGCAAAACGCCGCTTCGTTGTTATCATATTCATGTTGAGGTTCTTCAAAGTGCTGATAGAGAACGGCTTAGGAAACTGTAATATAACACCATCTTCCTGTAACGGGCTCATCATCGCTCCGTTTTTGTTTGCATTCTCCCAAGCAGAGTTAATTGATGTGGGCACTTTCAAACTTGAACTGCTGCTGTCATTTTCGCTTTTCGAGAACACTTGTTTATTAATACCCAAGAGCCTTGCCATACTTCTGATACGTTCATTTCCATCTGTGGATGAAAGTTCCTCATCTGAAGCAAAACTGGAATGTGACTGTTCGTTAAATTTGCTCTGGATTATATGTTCATTCACTCGAGCCACTTTATCCACAAGAGAAGCACCTGAGGCGAACTCTGGCTGAATTGTAGTCATGACAGAACAAATCTCTTCATCCGAAGTTTCATCCTGAAACACTTTCTTGGCCCTCCGTTTCATTCTTTGGTTAAGGGTGGCATGAAGATGTTGCCTTTGAGCCTGGCGCTCTTCATACAAACGGCTAAAGAGATCCACGAAGTCCTTACCCATATGGAAGAGCACAAAATGGATCGTCTCGTATGGCGATGGTTTGGATCCGGTTACCTTTGACTTGAGTTTCGAAGATTGGTGGTCGTGGGGCGAAAGGTACTTGATGGAGAATGATACGGGAGTCTCATTATCATCATTGTCATCACCATTAGATGGTAGGGAATCGGCGAGCACAAAGTTCTTCTGATACTCCATGATCTGATCAAAGGGAATTTTATGCAAAACCTCTCTACGAGAATTGCAATTATGCAACTGGAAGATCGCCTTCGTGATGCTGTTGTACCAATGACGAGCAGAAAACAAACTGCCAGTTTGGAAGCGATATGTCTTATTGGTGCAAACGACCTTGAACCAAACGCCCGTCAGCATTTCTTCAGACGCTTCTTCTAAATCCGCCTCGTTAATACTGGATGTTTCGGAATCAGGTTGAGAAGGCAGCATGCTGGCGCTTGAAAGGTAGAATGAATCTCTTGAGCTTGGAACACGAAGTCTAGGTGACGACACGCCTTCGGCACTTCCAGGCGGAGGACTTGTGGGGTTCACTGGTTCTTTTGAAAGCTCGCAGTATAAGGCATTTCGGAGGTCAACAACCTTTTCAGGGAAGTACATGTCTGTTGGCGATGTGTAAAGACTCAATGTTTCAGGCCTAAGGACAGCCCAAAAACGATGTGTGTTTGATAGAAGGCTATCGCCCGCTTTCATACCCAACGTACCTTCGTAAAGTGCCAAGTCAGGGTTCTCTTGCTGATGAGGATTGTGCTCTGTCGTTCCAGGAAGTAGCGAATAGAAACAAAAATTATCTCTGGTTAAGAATACCTGACCTTGCAAGAGGACATCCTTGATAAGCCAAGTATCGAAATTAGCATGGAACACATCTGAATTATCCAATTGAAATGCCTCCTTCATTCTCAAGCCAAGAAGCCATGTCAATCTTTGACGAGCAGCTTTCTCGGTCTCGGTCTCTGTGGTAGTCTTTTCCTTAAACTTGATCAAGACAACTTCCTTGAGCGGTGTAATATCAAGACGTTCCATGACCGAACTATGCCATGGTTTCCAATGTGTCTCGGACGGAATCTCGATAGAGCTGTCTAAGAGTTCTGTGCCAAGGGTATTATCAACTGGAATCTCTGGTTCAACAGTCGGTTCAAATCCGCCATCCGTTCGAGTTGGAGGTGATCCGAGGGAAAGAACATGATCAAGAACAAGTGGGTTAGACAGCGGTTGGGCTCCACTAACCATATCCAAGTCTTCATTATCCAGGATGTTAGGAGCCTCGGTCTCCAACTTAGTAGGCTCAGTAGTACTAGACGCTTTGGTTGTACTCGAAGCTGCGATGCTTGAAGTCTTTGTGGGTATATCTTTTGATGGCGATTGGGATTTCCTCGAAGATACCGATTTAGCCGAGGAGTGGGATTTTGTCAGTTTGAGCTTCTCGTCTTGGAGCATATACTTAGAGTCTCTCTCATCAACTTCGTCTTCCTCTTCATCCTCTGATTCGTCTTCTGATTCACTGCTACTGAACATTGAGTATCCAATTAGACGACCGCCTTTATGATCGAGCCAGCTCGGGTTGGAGATGTCGCCAAGTAGGTTCTTCAAGTTCTTCAATGACCCCACGCCAGCATAGACATTGGCCATCGTCAAAGTGTTAAGAAACGAGTTAGATGCGTGATCTTCACCTAGTGGACGTGCCACATCAAAAGTATCATCGTCTTCTTGGTCAATTGCCTTCTTTGGATCGGTCCTGCCGTCCTCTGCATCAATGTAATCTTCAGGATTAGCCAGTTCATCGCTCTGGCCAGGACTATTTTCGTGAGAGCCACCATGAATGTAGCAAAGTGAAGACTGGAGAGGCGGGATCACGGCTCCTGAGATCTTGCGGTAGAAGGGGAGGGAGTTTTGCAAATATTCATGTTTCTCTTCAATGCCGAGTTTTGCAAGCATCTTGCGCTCACGGCGAGCGGAAGAGTCCTTCGGCATGAGGAAAATTGGGGTGCTTCTGGTTTTTGGAAATGGACTATCAGGAAGGATAGAAAGAAGAAGTAATAAGGTTCAAATAGGACCGAAGGCGCTGTGATATTTACTATACGGCATGTATCTAAGGAAGAAATACAATCGAGTGCTTGTGGTTAGGAGCGCACGCATAAAGAATTTGTCTTATACTATGGATGCGTGAGCCCACAGCATGTGAGAATCCTAAGCATTTGGCCGGAGTTTTCTACCGCGAGGCCAGGGCGCCAAAAAGGCCGATCAAAGGGTAGAACCCTTCAATTGATTCAAAAAAAGAAGGGCAAAGGGGCAAACCATTGGTAAGGAAAATTGACCACAAAGAATGCGCTGCTGGCTCATTATTTTTTTTTTTTTCTTTTCCTTTTTTGTGGGGCACTATTGTGGTTCGCCTCACTAATTTGCTCGAAATGGAAAGAAACCCCCGCTGACGTATCTTGCCTAACGTTGTTGCGATAGCAACGATTCGGCTAAAAAACCAGCTCCAGCGAACCTGGAATTGGAACCTTGCGAAGTGCAATTACCCCTTTTTAAAGGTTGCCATCATCTCCACTTACGAGCTGGGCAAAATTGAGTTTTCTTGGAATGCTGCGCCATTGCTGTGCGTTTTTTCCCCATTGCTGGTTATACATTCTTGTACTTCTTTTGTTTTTTTTCGCAACCATTTGCAAGGTCAGCCTAGGCTTCTTCGGCGAACAAGTCGCTTTTGAGTAACTTGTTCAAACGACTCTCTTCATTGTCGTATAATTCATCGAAATTGCCATCCTCAACAATATCTCCCCGCGTATTAAGCACTATAATTCTTTCGCTGTTCTTGATTGTAGAAAGACGATGCGCAATCAGTATCACCGTTATCTTCTGCTCTTCTGCAAGACGGTCCAAGTTCTTCATCACAATCTCTTCCGACCGTGAGTCTAGCGCTGAAGTCGCCTCATCAAGAATAAGAATATTAGGTCTCTTGATTAAGGTACGAGCAAGGGAGAGCCTTTGTCGTTGGCCACCACTAAGCTGTGCACTGCCACTAGAAGTCGGACCAATCACGGTATCAAGGCCCTGGGGGAACCCTTGGATGAAGCTATGCGCATTGCTGAGCCTGGTTGCGTACTCTATGTCCTCGGGCGAAGCATTCCGCTTGCCAAACAGTATGTTATCTCTTATTGTCCCGCTGAACAACAATGGGTCCTGTTGCACGTAGCCGATATTACTGCGGTAAAAGTTGAGATTCAAATCACGAATATCATGGCCGTTAACAAGACAATTTCCCGAATCTGGGTCGTAAAACCTGAGAAGAAGCTGCGAAATGGTAGATTTCCCTGATCCACTTGGTCCAACGAAACATACATGTTCACCTTTCCTGATCTTGATAGACAAGTCCCTGAAGACAGACGCGTTAGGTCTCGAAGGGTAGCTGAACCTTATATTGCGCAATTCCACATCCCCGTGTAAGCTTTCAACCTTTCTGCCTTTGCTTATTGGGATGCGGGGCTTCAGGTCGACCATTTCAAAGATACGCTCTGCCGCTCCAATACCCTTCATCAACTCGGTGTAAAAATTACCAAGGCCAAAAACTGAAGATCCAGTATACACTGCGTACATCATGAAACTGGAAAGGTCTCCAATGGTAATATCCCCTGAAGCAATAAGTCTTGTTCCAACAATTAAAAGCCCTATTAGCGTTATGTTGCCGACAAAGCCGTTCATCGAGTAGTATACACCGCTCAACTTTCCTTCAGTCATGGACTTGTTGAATATATGCTTCACCTCAGAATTGAAGTCGTGAGTGACATTCTTCTGTTGAGCAAAGCTCTGGATGGTCTTGAGGCCATTGAACTTCTCCTCTGCCACTTTGGTCATTCCACCTAAGTATCCCTGAATTGACCGAGAGAGGTCCTTCACTCGGCGTCCAAAGTAGGTAGACAGTAGTATAAGCGGAGGAAACATCAAACTCATGCAAAGGGATAACTTCCATGAGACCCAACACATCATCGAGAGTCCCACAATTCCACTGATTAAAGAACGCGCTCCATCACTGACATTCCCACTCAATGACTTACTAATTATTTGTGTGTCACTCGATAAACGAGAAATAAGATCACCTGTGTTCATGCCTTTGCCTGTGGGACCCACATCAAAAAAGTAAGAGTCCTGGGAAAGTGTCTTGGCAAATAGTCGAGACCTTAGACGTGCAACCAACTTCTCTCCCACAGATCTAAGCAAATAGATTCTTCCAAAGTTGAATAAACCTCCACAGACCAATATCACACTAAGACCGGAATAGAACTCAACCTCGGAGAACCCCAAGATCGTTTTTTGCTCGCTAGACTTATCGACTTCAGCCTCCTTCTCATTTTCATCATCCTTGGTGGTATCTATAATCTTACCGATGAAAAATGGCAAAGACATGGAAACTGTGGACGTTCCCACTAGACATAGAAGTGCCCCCGCTAGTAGACCGTACTCAGGTTTGGCTAGACGGAACAAACGCCTAAGATCTTTGAATAATGACTTGCGTGATTTACCTGAGGAAGATTTCTCAGAGTTTCCAGACGTGTCCTGCTCTTCCTGAGTAGAATACGATCTCGTATGGTTCTGCCATGGAATGGACTTAAACTGGGCAGTAGGACTCAACAAACGCGCCAGAAATGCAATTGAACATCTCGTGGATGGTAGTTGGTGGTTTATGCGACATAGTGATGTTCGTATGCCTCTAGAAAGAAACATCTAAAAAGGGTATGGTCGGATTGTGTTTCTGTTGAGTTTTGCAATTACTAAAGGCGTAGGTAGAGTAGTGAGGCAGATGTCAAAAACGGCTTCTACACAGGCCAGATCGTATCGTAAGCGAGTTCATTAAATGCCATGCACTTGGTTGACATGGAAATGTCTTTTTTTTTTGAATGACTAATAAAATTTTGAAATGCACTAATTGCTTTGGGTTATGCAATTATGAAGGGATAGTGAAGTGTGCTTTTCTTGGTTTGGGAACATGGCATACCTCATAGTGTAGTTATCATGTGCAATGAGCCTCTAACAATGAGTACCACACTCGCATATGTTCAATCCCAGGATATTGGTCCAGATTTATCTATTTGGTAGGGTGGACTCTATCTCGTGTTCTTTTCTCAAACCATCAATGACACGCCCTCACGTTTGGCAATTTGAATAAGCAGAGCGAGAATTGGAGTGTAGAGGTTGCAATTTTCCACCTTCACGGTAAGTGGCACTCCCAGCTCATGCACATTTTCAAGAAGCGAAGGTTGGAATTTAACCAAACCACGGTTATTTGAGACGTTTAAAAGGCGAATGTTTGGTAATTCATCCACTAATTTGACTTCCCCCTGCGTGCCGAATTCTTCTAGCACATTGTTCTCGAGATCGAGTACTTCTAGCGTCTTTGGGAGAAGCTTGATAGCAGTAGCAGAGAAACTAGAAATTAAGTTTCTTCTTAATGAAAGGACCCGTAGTTGTGGTGGCCATTTAAAGTAGCCTTCTAAAAGAGAAAGATTCTCTAGTGGATGCAGCAGGCGAATGAGATCGTCTTCAAGTACAAGTTCTTGTGCCAGTTTGAACTCCTCAAACACTCTACCCCACTTTTGTGGAAAATAGTCACCCAAGTCAGTCAGGGAGATCTTGATCGTTTTCCAATTGGCATCCCTTAGGTTGGTGAGCTTAACGAAAGTATTAAGTATCAGCGACACCAACAGTGTAGGAGATTCTGTGGTAATAAGATTCCCTCTAAGTTCAAAGTCAAGCGTTTCCACCGATAGAAGGTATTTAGTGACAACATCTGAATCTAAAAGTTCCCATACTTCTTGGAGGTGATTCTGGAATCTCGTGTAGTCACGAGGGTTTCTGGAGAAGAAGAGATGGAGATGGCTAGGAACAATCCCATACTTAACGTGCTCCTTGATAGTCTCATAGACGTCTACCGACGAGACAAATTCAAACGGTTCATTCTGCGGTGTTTCTGTGTTTGGGAATGAGATGATGACCTTGTCTGAACAGCAAGTGATCCATAGAAGTTTGATGACCTTGTGTGCTGTAGGATCCTTGGACTTGTTGAGATTTTGAATAAGCAGGCGACTGTCTGAGAGAGACAAGTTCTGGAATACCCTAAGTATAAGCTCCTGGGGCAAGTCTAAAAAGTTCATGACAGGTGAAGAAGAACGATTAGATTGGAAAAGACGTGGTGGGCGGTGCAGGAGAAGGGCTCTGATAAAGAGAAGCGCATGCGAAAAGAAAAAAAAAAAAAAAAAAAAAAAAAAGCGTCAACTCCAACGAGCACCAATGGATCAGATCACAAAACCGAACGAAGGAAAGTATGCATTAAGAGATCCCAACGGGGTGGGCATTTAAAAAAAAAATGAAACCTCCCTAATCCGTCTAATCCGTATTACCCCCTTTCTTTTTCGTCCGCATTCCCGAAACACCGTTCCTCGGCTCCACGATAAGCTCACAGCTAAGCGAAGCCGCACCTCGGTCAACTCAGCTTTGCAGCCATTGACCATGGCCTAGGCAATCCAAATCGCCCCCCTTTTTTCCATTGATTGCTTTGTTTCGTAGTATCCTTGCCCGATCACATTCCCACTATGGATTCACTTTTTTTGTTCTCTTTCAAGTTTCATGTTAAACTGTCTGTTCTTCTCATTGATCGAGTTACTTTCAGCAGTACCTGTTCTTCTCCTTTTAAGTCTCCGTTCACTAGCCTCTTCAAGACCTCGTACAAGTGCATCCACGTCCTCCTTACCTTCTCCTTCCTTCAGCTTAGCGTACTTCTCCTTATCCACCTCCATGTTCGCTACCTCCCTTTCATACGTCGAATGGGCAAGTTCCTCGAGATTCTTGTACCCACCAGAAGCCTGTTTCCCCTTGTTGGCCTTCTTTTCAGTCCATTCTTTCCATTCTTGAAGCGTATACTCGGAATCATTCTTCTTCTTCTCGGTCTTCTCAGTATCCTCAATCTCTTCCCTCTGATGGGCGCGATCCCGCTGTTTCTTGAGATCCTCAGCTACCGCCTTAGCATTGGCTCGAATAGCAGCCTCCTTCTTCTCTCGAAACAGAGCCACCCTATCTTTCAATTCAGTACTGACATCCATCTCGGTGAAAGACGATGAGTGCGAGTTACTCAATTCCGTTCTGTCTGATGGAAGAGTTACAAGACGGTGCCTGCAGTACAGATGGTTGACTTCCACAGAGCGCTAAGAAATTTACCACATACCGTTTCTCTCTCGTAAATCACACAATGCATTGTTTTCAAATAAGGTTAGGCGACTTTTGGTGCCTTTCGGCGGTTATCCCATATAAGATACGGGTCCGAGACGTGGCTGCAAAAACCGCCCCGCATACTGGGTCCGAACCCGTTCCGAATGGTGCGAGCTCGGATAGATTCTTTGTCCTGCCGAAAGGGTGCCTCCCACGGTGCCACATATAAAGAGCGTCATCTGACCCTTCCATGTTCATTCATTAACCAAAGAAAAAAGCAAGAAGATGGGCAAAGAACAAGATCTCTTAGATCACATCCAGGGACTCGACAGCGAGCGTTATGACTCGTTGAAGGGCAATCCAGAAAAAGTCATTGAGGCCATTGAGGAGTACCTGAACACTAAAGGCGTGGGTTTCATGACCATTGGGCTCCATAAGGGTCAATTGATCATTGACGAGATGAGAAAGGCTTCTCCTGCTATTATGATCGAGTTGGGCTGTTATGTCGGCTACTCGGCTATTCTTTTTGGCAATGAGCTTAGGAAGCTTAATGCTGGTACGGCCAAATCAGCACTTAACCCAAAGTACTATTCATTCGAGGCTAACGAGGATTTTGCAAAGATTGCACAAACTTTGATCGATTTAGCAGGTCTTGGTGATTTTGTGGAGATTATTCTTGGCGAGGCTGGAACCACTCTTCCTGAATTCGAACAACGTCTCAATAGGGAGAATAAGACTTATACCCCTGTGGATTTCGTCTTCATTGACCACTGGAAGGACCTTTACGTGCCTGACTTGCGTGTCTTGGAATCACTCGGTTTGGTTTACCCTGGAACGGTCATTTGTGCCGATAACATCTACCGCCCAGGTGCTCCCGACTATGTGGTTTACGTCCAAGCAACTCCTCAGGACAGACAAAAACATAACGATAACAATCCTAACCCTAGCGGTGCCAATTACCCTGGCAGATGGAACCTTATCTATGACCTGAAAACAGTTCCTGTGACCGATCCAGACAGTGGATCCAAGGATGCCGTGGAGATCACCTACTGCGTTGAGTATCTTTCCGGATAATTTTTATATAGCTTTCTAATGATCAATGAATTGATGTTTTTTTCTGTTGAATTTTGCAATTTGCAACCATTACTATTGTTGGTAGACCCGTACACCATAGACACCTTATAGCCTTTAGTGGATCTGACTAAACTCATAGTGCAACCTTCATGAGTGACTTGACGCCTCTCTTCAACCAGTGTGTTGATATCGTCTCCAAAGAGCTTAGCTCGTCTATAGAGCATGCTCCATTGAAGAAGAAGACGCCACCATATTATGTCGAGGACACTTTCATCAAGGAATGTCTCCAATTGTACGTGAACCTAGTCAACCTAGGATCGTTCATTTCGAAAATAAGGCCCTTTTATTTACAAGTCAATGATGAATTCACAAGAATTGAAAAGAGCAGTTCGTCTCATTTGGGTCTCGAGGAGAAGAATAAAATAGACGAGGAGTTCAAGATCAAGATCCAACAAACATTTGAGAAGATGAAGTTTCTCCAGTCATACCAACGCAAACAAACAGAATTGGCTGAATCCAAGAAACTGAAACAAGGCTTTATGTCTTCATTTTTTGGCACCAGTGATATGGATCCAGAGACTTTGTATGATATCACGGTTGCTTCTCATAGAACACAAGTGTTGCGCTTCTTGAACGAAACAGCCACGAATGTGAACCGCAACTTTGAGCTGATGCAGAGGAAAAGATACGATAGGGAGAAGCAATTGAGTCTTTTGCATTTCCAGAACATTGATGATGAAGATTTGAACGAGTCTGCTGACCCTTTCAAGTCTACCTACCAGTTTGATGTGGTTGCGGATGAGGACGAGAAGGTTGAACGAGAATTATCTCAACTTAGTCAAGAACAGATTCAGGAACTTAAAGAAGAGAACAAGGAGCTTCTAACGAGGAAAACTAACCAGTTCAAGCAAGTTGAAAAGCTTCATCACTCGATAGTTGACATTGTCAAACTACTGTCCGAGTTGTCTACTCACTTAGAGACGCAGGCCGAACAGATAGACAACTTGCTAGACAACCAGGACCAAGTGGATATTGATCTACGCTTGGGAAACAAGACACTTACAAAAGCTACCAGCAGAAACAAACGAGGCTCGAATTTGATCGTTACAACATGCATCGTTTTGGGTGTCATCATTCTCGTTCTCGATTACATTGTGTGGTGATTTGATCTGATCTTGTCGTTCTATAATCTATGTACTTGTGACAATACCAGCTCCAACAGTCGCTCCTTCACGACGAATCACGACTCTTCCCAAAGCTTTGTTGTCCTCGAACTTAGCCAAGGGCAATGGGCGATCCCCTATTATTTCAATCTCAACCTCCGCAATCTGATTAGATACAAGATGCATCTTCTTCTTCTTGACACCATTAATCTTCTTCACCTTGCTGATTCTCGCAGCCACTGAAGCATTGCTTCTGAACATGACAAACGGCGTACCAACCAAAAGAGGTTTCGTAATGTTGAACATGTTCACGGTGGCTGTACATTGCCTGACTGCCTTCAATGGAGAGTTTAGGCTCACCACAAGGTCACCTATGCTGATATCCTCGACAGTCTTGTTCTTGAACTGGGATGTCTTGAATCTCAACAGAGCAATTTGGCCAGCAATGGCAACATCAACAGCCTCATTATTAATAAAAACATTCTGCACCTGTAAATATTCTTCTGCTGGCTGTAGACATACAGTTTGACCAGGTTGGATGATGCCCAGAGAAATCTTGCCCTTGACCTTGAATTCAGAGTTCGTGACATCAGCAATGTCATTAATCGCTAGCGTGAAATCGCTCAGTTCAAGGCTAGTGACAGAATTAGCTTCCACCGAAGAGGTATGAATCTTGGAAAGTGCTTCAAGTAACGTAGGGCCTTGGTACCAAGAAAGTTCCTTGATAGATCCATCATTCTTCACAACATTGTACCCTGTCAATCCTGAAAGTGGTATGAAGGAGATGTTTTCCTCTTTAAAACCTACTTCTGGCTTGGTAAGATACTCTTGCAACAGCTCTTGGATCTCCTTAAATCTGTTCTCGTCCCAATTCTCCTTGTCCATCTTGTTCACAACCACGATAAGTTCATCAATGCCCAAATTCTTTGCAAGAAGAGTGTGTTCCTTGGTTTGACCATTCATCATGAACCCTGTCTCAAACTCACCAGTTATACTATCGACAACGAGCAAAGCCGCATCCGCTTGGGAGACACCACTGATCATCTGAGGAACAAAGTCCTTATGGCCAGGCGCATCAATGGCAGTGTATCTAGTCTCAGGTGTTTCGAAGTTAGTGGCACAAATGTCAATTGTCACACCTCTAGATCTTTCCTCCAGAGTTTGATCCATAATCCATGCGAGAGCAAAAGAACCTTTATTGGACTTCTCAGCTTCACGCACAAGCTTCACCATAGTCTTGGACTCGACGGCACCCACATCGTAAAGTATACGTCCCACCAAGGTCGATTTACCAGCATCAACGTGACCAATAATGACGAACGATTTATTAGGTTTGGTAAAGTTTGGGTTTCCTGCGAGTTCCTTAGCCAAGTCAACGGACTTGAAAGGTTTCGTTGGAGCAGGGATCTTTTTTTCCTTATTATTATTATCTTGAGTTTTCTTTTCCTTTTCACCAATATTGAGCTTACTCATATCGGTTTCAAATGCTTGTTTTTGAGCCGTGAGGACAACGTCATCAGGGCTGGGCAGGCTAAAGTTAGACTTTGCTTTAGCTGTAAGAACGCTGTTAGTATATGCATAAAAAAGCTCAGGATTGTGTCGCCTTCTTTTACGACACGGTTCCAAAGATGCTTGACATTCACCACCAAATAGAAATACCGAAACTTCTTGCGCCGGGGTATAAAGAAGATCAATCTCTCCCACTTGCAAAGTGAAATCGAACGATGGTTTCAGTTCCTTGACATCAACTTCCATGGTATCTGGTGATGAACGTTCAACCGATGAGCTAAGTGATCCTTTGGCCTCGTTCTTTGCTCTTGCTCTTTCCTTCAACGCTAGTCCTGCTAGGTTTGTCTTTCTTACCAACTTGGGTTTGGAGCTCTCTGGCAGAGGCGTGCTGGCAGCCAGAAGTTTCAGTATTCCAGACTTATCTGCTCTTCTAGATTGAGCTAAGGCAGCTAATTTGGATAAACCAGCGCCATTCCCGCCTGTTCGTGATAGGCGGTTACCTTCCACTAGGTTAGGTGCCCCACTGGTATCCAGCACATCTCCAGCCCCAGAACGGGTCTCTTTCCTCTTTTTCGCTAGCAACGCAAGCTTCGACATCTTTGGCTCTTCTGAATCGTATTAGCAAATCTTGAACTTAGTCAAATACCATTGTACTCTGGAACGTGCAAAATCGGAATAAAAAATGCCAGTCTGCTGAGCACAGACGGTGAAAAAAATAAAGAAAATAACATACCTTTTTTCTTAGGAAATCTTGATTTCAAGTCTTCCAAAGTGGGTTCTAGTTCAAAGTAATTGTAGTGGATTGCCTCCTTGATACTCAACTCGTCGATGGTATCATTGTAGGAAGCTAGGGCTTTCTTGACTTGGGGAAGAAGTTCATAGAGTTGATCGTACTCCTCATTTGTAAGAGCATCCTCAATGAAGCCTTCTTCTTCAGATAGGTAATCAGCTTCGTCAGTATCCATGATGTGGTATAAAGAAGGGATAACTACTGAGTCAGAGTAAGGTGGAAAAGATATAGAGGCGACAGGATTATATGCACAATGTGGATAAGTTGCGAGAAGCAAATAAAAAAAATATTGACACCCACGAGGTTCGAACTCGTGCCTCCGAAGAGACCAGGAATGTATGGTAAGGTGACCTTACCCTGGCGCCTTAGACCACTCGGCCAGAGTGCCAATAGATACAGTACTTTACTACGGCTAATATATGAACCACATTTTGATGAAACGTCGATTTTTGGATATTTTGAATCCGGAATCATATGCGTCCTATGCGGAACGTTTGTTTTCCGGTCCGCAAATTACGTAATTCGACCGGAAAACCCATTATTTGACTAGATCAATGTTACACGGTCAATGTGCATTATCCGCCGGTCTAGTATAGTGGTTAGTACAGTTCGTTGTGGCCGAACAAACCCAGGTTCGATTCCTGGGGCCGGCAATTTTTTTGATATTTTTGACAACCTCAACCCCCAAATTTTGTTTTACACCACCCTCCATCCCCTAAACCACCCCTAGTGCACCCAATCAGTCTCCATACTCTTCCACATTCTACCCATTCCTGGCTGCGAACCTCTCTAAAGCACACCTCACCAATTGACGTGCGCGCACCGACAATACCATGGCTCCAAGCCATTATCAGTGAGATAGGCATAGTGGAAGCAAGTTTGTCAAGCACCAATTGTGAACATGGCCTCAGAATATGTATGTATTACGAAAGACGTTATTCCATTGTACGACAATTACTAACCTCAGACTCCATTGGTGATTGAAAGCTCCTCTCTCTCCGACTCTCGGAAGCTAGTCAGGGAAAAGATCATACCATGGGAGGGATTGGCTCGTGCTGGCATTATCAGTAATGACCAGGCGGATCTCATTAAGATTTTAGAGACTCAGAATGCTGACTCCAAGAGGGAGACGGTGTTGAATTCTGTTGATTTATATTCCAAGACCATTTTGAACTTGTTGAATAAGTTGGAGATTAATTCTAGAGACGATGTGTTGAAGAGCGTTTTGGTCTTGTTGAGCGACTTGTTTACCGATCCTCAGGCTAAGGTGTTCTTGGATACGCTTTTGGGTTTGTCTAAGGTTGACGAGTCCTTGCCATTTAATCCATTTGTGAAGCACTTGGACAATAACGATCTGCTCATAAAGACCTTGAGTTTCTATAACTTGGTTATCTTGTTGGGTAAAGCCGCCAAGGATGGCGTTCAGGTCGATAAGGAAGTGTTGATTAAGCTCTTTGACTTGGTCTGTTCCAAGCAATACATTGGCAATGCTGCTGACCAGAACCTGCAATCCATTGGAGTCCAGTTGTTGCAGGACTTGATCATCAACAAGGGCTACCGTGCTATTTTCCAGGAGCACAACTTGGTGTCTAACTTCAAGAGTATAAACTCTTTAATAGAGTTGCTGGCCAAGAAACCCAACAGCATCAACTTTCAGCTCTTGTACTATGTGTTTTTGACTGTGTGGATCCTCAGTTTCTCCAGCTCCATTAACAAGACCATTGTTCATAACTTCCCCCAGCTTATCGGCAGTCTTTTGACCGTGTCCAAAGAGTCCATCAAGCTTAAGGTGGTGAGAGTGGCTATTTCTACATTGAAGAACTTTGTGGCTGTCACGGTGAGCAACCTGGAACGGTACAGTGTGGTTAAATTGGTTCTTTTCCACGACGGATTGAACGTTGTCAAGACTATTCAAACAAGAAAGTTTGCTTCCAACGGCAGTGACGATGAGTTGTCTGGCGACTTGGCTTACTTGAATGATACCTTGTCTGAGGTTGTGTCTAACAAATTGTCCTCGTTAGATGAGTACTTGGTTGAGTTGGAAAACCCTGAGTTGTTGAGCTGGTCCTCGCCTACGCACAAGTCGACCGATTTTTGGCAAGAAAACTCCCACAAGTTCAAGGACAACAACTTCAAGCTTGTCAAGAGAATGTTGGATATCTTGTCTGGTGACGAAACACAAAACAGCAGCAACGTTTCCAAGGTTATCATGTTGAACGATATCCAGTTCTTGATCAAGAACTTGGGGTCCGATGTCATTAACTTCCTTAATACTGAAAAGGGCGGTAAGTACAAGCTCTTGATCATGACCTTATTGGAGAATAACGGTGGTGACAATGAATTGAAATACGAGGCCTTGAGAACTATCCAACATTTGGTGGGCCACGCATAAGAGAGAAATAAACGAAATCTTTAAATACTATCACTCGAAAAAATTTCATCAATACACTTTTTTTTTAGGTAGAATTTCTTAGTAGTCTTCCTTCACGTCAGGTTTGTCTTGATGTTTGTGGATACGCGCTACTCATCTAATGCAGTTGATCCGCACCAACATAGTACGTTAAATTCAATGGGATGCCACCCAAACAAGCCCCTAAAGACTTCCAGTTCAGAGAAGAGCGAGAAAGGACATTCACAAATGGTGTTCAGATCCCTACTACGAGAATTGTGAAGAAATGGGAACACGACGTGCCCTCCATAGCCTCATTGGTCGACAACGGCTTCTACTACACTCCCACACGAAAGAACCAGGATCAGGTTACATGCTTCTGGTGTGGCAAGAAAGAAAACAACATCGTTGGCGTTCGAGCTTTGGGAAGCCATCATCTACGGACGAGTCCCAAGTGTGCCTATGGGCTAATACAGTCGAACATGGAGTACTATGTTTCTGCTCGTGATAAAGAAGGGTTTTGGCACCTGCTAGCCGAGGAAGGAAGGGCTCCCAAATCAGTCACGGATCCACATTCTAAAGAATCAATCAATTTACGTGCTTCTACATTCAAGGATCTTTGGAAACTAGATACTCAGAAGAAGTGTACGGCGACATCAAGAGACTTAGCTAAAGCTGGCCTTTACTATAGTCCTTTGGATAAAGACAACGACCGTGTTATTTGCATGTACTGTGACTGTCCTCTAGATCATTGGGATCCTGAAGATGACCCGTTGCAAGAACATAAAGCTAATTCATACGCATACTGCCATTTCTTGGAGAGTTTGCCTGATGCAGAGAACAAAAAGAATGGCGTGCAAAAACCTGCTCGTGAAAAGAGTATACCGTTGCCAGATGATTCACTTGATGATATTGACGACTCCATGGTTTCGGCACTAAGTACGAGAGGTAACTCTCCCGAACCAACGAAGCAGCATTCGATAGATAAATCGAAGGATTCGTCCTACAGCTCTCCCCTTAATCAATCACTTAATAGAGGGCCTTCGCCTTCGTCGTCTCCTGAGCCCGAACTCCATAAAGAATCTGAATTTGATGCTTACGATTTTTCCATTGAAGATATTGAGGACCCTGACCATGGTTCCATCTTTGACAACGGCACTAATAAGGTATATTCGAGAAAGAATAGATCTCGGAAGCCTCCTCCGCCACCTCCAGCTTCCCTTCGGGAGAAACGCAAATCGTCGTTAATGTTACAGGTTGACAAATCCCATGAATCAGACGAATCAACCAACCGCTCTGTCATGCTGGCCCACACTACAGACCAACACAACAAAAGCCTGTTAACCTCTCAAAGCCCACAATCTGCTCATGGCAAAGCTCAAAATATTGACCAAATCACCATCGAGGATGACGACGGCGATGATGATGGTATGCCTGATAACACTCAGGGCACGCTGGATCCTTTGGACGACCTGGGCTCTAATTTCTCTATATCTGATGACGACGATCTGTCATATCTGGAGAATGGGTCTGAAGTAAAGACTCCAGCACGGAAAGAGGTACGCAAACAAGATAAGGATGATCAACTTGAATCGAACAAGCAACTGAAGAAGCGACATCTGGACTCCTCAGATCAAAGCATGGATTCTGACCGCTTCCAACAAATTCTAGCGTCTCCTGGTAAGAAGAAGAAAGTCAAACTCAACCTGGGCAAGAGCAACTACCAACCAAAAGATGATATACTCGATCTATCCGGTCACAACCTTGGTGACTTCAACGAATCCAACATTTCATACTTGGAAGCACAGCATCAACCTTCTCGAAGAAAGTCAAGCTCTGAAGGTGACGAAGAAAAACCAAAACCAAAACCAAAGCCTGTTCTTTCTACAGAACTTTCGACCAAAGTCAAAAAGTCTGCTTTTGACGACGATGATGATGATTTTGACTTTTTCGTACAGCGGACCAAAAAGACAAAAGCGAAGGAAGATAAAAAGGAAAGTGAAAGCCAGGTAGAGCAGCCCAATGGTCAAGATAAGCAGGTTGAAAATAATGATTTGGTGGATATCTCCGCATCGACAGACGTTGAATTGCATAATAAAACTAGGGCGGTTGATGAAAAATTAGACGTCGAACTGGCAGAGAAAAGGGTGGTGAGTACTACCGAAGGCAGTGATGGCATCCCTCAGCTGGATGTCCAGAATGTCGAAGCTGAAGATGATCTAGATGAAATGGAAATCGAAACTGCTGATGATAAGGAAGGACTGAAAGAAAAGCTGGCGGAGGAAGTCGAGGCAAAGAGTGTTGATGGTTCTCCTGCCATGGTTGACCATGACACTGATAAAAAGGAATTGTCAGTAGATGCTGAGCCTGCTGATATTTCTTCCGCTGCTCCGCAACCAGCTGTTGTGGTTGGGGAGAAAGAAGGCGGTACTAAAGACGAAGGTGAAGTGGAACTTTCCAATAATAGTCTAGCCGACACTAAGGAAGATGCATCTGAAGATTTCGTTGACACCCAAGCAGAATTCGGAGATGCTGATGAGCCTACAAGGGAACCGTCAAAGCCTGATGAGACACTGATTGCATCTGAAGGTAATGATGATGATGAAAATGATACTGACAAGGGAAGCGACTTTACGCTCTCGCCATCATCGTATGGCGAATATGTTAAGGATATGCGGAGTATGGAAGATGAGTTTGTGGACGCCTCTGCGATACAAGAAAGTAAGGGAGGTAATCTTTTGATCGATCAAAGTTCCAAATCCAATTTACTTGAAAATGTTGATGAAGAGCCAATCTTACTGGAAGAAGATAATGACATGGTTATGTTTGATGAGCGGGACGTGAAGAAAGAGTCTGTCAAAATAAATGAGGCATTGGCTCAAGAGGCTGAAGAAGAAAATAGGCTAGTTCTTTCAAGGCCATTGGACAACAAACTCGAGGCGAAACGTTCTTTGGAAAGTGACGTGAGCGAGCCGACTGCTTCTACAGCCTTGGTTCGGGTAGCAGATGCGCAAGAGGATGTTGAAATGGAAGAGAGCGATGCTGAGAGCTCCCACAAGCCTGATGATTCAGAAGAGAAGCCAAATGAAAGTGAGTTTGCCGAAAGCTCTGGAACTGACAACATGGTCGTTGATGAAGCGCCTACAGAAGTGCCTGTTGAGGAGAAGGAAAATAAAGAACCCCAAACAAGCTCCCCAGCAAAAGAAGAAATTCAACCTTCATTTGATCAAGCAGTTGAAGCGACACCTCAAACTAATAACCAGATCCAGCGAATCCCACCGCTCAACATCTCAGAAGAAACCAATCTTCAGCCCATTTCTAGTCCCGGCTACAACGAATCACCACACAATCGCACATTTATAGAGGACTCGCTGATGCCAGAGGCAGAAGAGAAGCTGTTTGAAGATGAACCTATGGAGGTGGCCAAGGTCGACCAAACACCAGAAATTCCCGAGAAGCCCTTACCGCCGCTTGAAGGGCTCTCTGGCTCCTTCATTGAATCCAGTACACCCCAGAAGGAAACAAAGCCACGAGAAGATGCCGTATACAAGTACCATAATCGGATCGATGCTACGAAATTGGGTAATATTGTCGAGGAACTCAAGACCTTAAAAGACACGATGGAGTACCTTGCCGAAGTGTCATCTGCAAGCTGCGAGCTCCACAACGATACCGAGGGTATTTTAACCGATTTCATTGCTGCAATGCCTGAAGAAGAAGAGATGATGACAATCAAAGAATGGATGCAACATAATGCTGCGACCTGTGGCAGGACAGTGAAAGCCATTGCCGACCGTATGATCGAAGCCTACGAAGCTGAATTCGATAGTCTTATCGAACACGTCAATGGTTTGAACACCACTGACTAACGGCTTAAAAAAGAAAAAATTATTTCTGCCACAAAAAGAAGTACATAGCTTTACACCACCCTTCGGCGCTCGGCACCAGAAAGATAGCGTATGCGCGGAACAAAAATCTGGTTCACGGGCCTTGCATAGCGTCGTTAACGACCCTGTCAAGTGCAGGCCATGTATCAGCAGTGATCAATTGGTCAGATAAATACATAATCCATTAGTCTAGGAAGTCGACTATACCTGGCCCTCCAAGCACATCTATTCCCAAGGCAAACACGCCTCATTGCTCTCACGGACCGGGAAACTTGCATTTTTTACGTTCCCGTTTCCGATACTTTTGTGGTCGGTGGTGATAAGAATCTCCCCCCCAAAAAAAAAAGTACCACAGTCTAATCAGCCACCGTCTTTTCGGTGCCAATCAGAGCATTTGCCAGCATCAACTAAAAAGCATATTATCTATTCAGAGCAAACATGTCGTTCTGGCCGTTTTCCAGTTCGTTTAATAGCAATAGTCATTTGCAGAAACTCCTTGATTCTACAGCTGACGTGAGCAAGATCAATATTGATGACTTATTTGAGGATCGAACTATCCAGCTGGAATTTATGGATGAATTGAAGGGTCTCCTGACGAAATATGGAAGAAGACAAACTTCCATTTGCCTCTGGTGCAGCAGGCTGAAGCTAATACCAAAAGTTCCAATACCATCAACGACGACTCTTCGGTGGCTTCGTCATCAAACGAGACAACAAGCAATAATGTTCTATCTAAAACTGCTAGAGAAGCGAAATTGATGGAATTGGTGCTTCAACCGCATATATTGATGGTCTCCTCGACTACATTGAGCAGTCTGTGGAGTTCTTCTATGACCTAGCAATCAAGGAGGAAGAAAAGCTAGAAGACCTTGTGAATAAAAGTGACAGCGGGAGTCTCCATTCAGATAATCCTTCGGACGAAGTAAGAGAACTGAGAATGGAAGATGCCAGGGAGGAACAAGAAGAGGACGAAAGCAAAGGTGAACAGGCAGATGAGCGCCTACGTCGCTGCATTCAGGGCGCCACAGATGTCCTCTCATTGGAATTCTGGGTCATTTCTAATAGAATCATAGAGACCCCGGTACTCATGGATAAGTTGTGGCTGGTGATCCTGATGCCACATCTTCGGGAAAGTTCTCCTGCTGTGGGCTATCTTGTGCTGGTTTTGGATCACTTTTTGGATTCCAATTCAACAGAGTTTCTTAACTATATTAGAAGACGTGACAACTTAGTTGATACGTTTTTGGCCAAGATAGAGATCCCCATCTTGATGGATTTCTTCATAAAGATTATCCAAACAGATAGAGCAGACTCTCCTACTGGTATCATTGAGGTTCTCTCTCAACAGCAATTGATATCCAAGCTTATTGACATTCTCAAACCAATTTCTTCCCAATTTGAGGAGGACCATGTTTGCATTCCAAGCTATGAGCTTCTTTTCAGACAAACAGCCGCTGCTGAGCTCATAAAAGCACTTATATCCATATCATCAAATTCCACATTGGCGGTGGATCTAGAATCTAACATTGGGCCCAATCAATTGACTCGTGAATTGGCTTCGCCCAAGATCATCAACCAGATGGTGCATGACATAATTTTGTACCGTATTCCCGGTAAAACTGCGTCTGATTTACCACGTACAAATAAAAGTGGAATCAGCAACTGTGTCACCATCTTAATCGAACTTATTAGAAAAAATAATTCTGACTACGACTTGAATTGTGGAACATACAGTGCCCTTCTTCAGAATAATACCGCAGAGCCTACAGGTGAGGTGAGCGTATACGTGATGTATCAATGGCTTAAAGACTTTAATCAGAATCCTCCTGGAATAAGAGATCCTGTATTCCTTGGTGACATGTTACAAATTTTTCCGAGAACATGAATGCTATTTCGGAGCTCATTGACCTCGATGCAAGCGTTCCCGCTGCTGCTGAAAAAGGTTCAGAAGCTCTTGGTGTGACCAAATTCAAGCTCTTTGAGCTCATAGCGGAGCTTCTTCATTGTTCCAATATGATTCTTTTGAACTCAAGAAAGATTGCAGAAATCGTTCGTATCCGTGACAAGATCCGAGTTTTGCAAGAATCAAGGCTCAAAGATGCTTTGGCTGGCTCTATTCTAGACGAAGAGTCTTCATCTGTCGATGATGAACATATCGGTGATGTAACAAGCGGTATAGATGACGTTTCATTGCATGACATGTCTCCTGAAACTACCAAGAAGACCGAGAGATCCAACACCAATGAGTTGTCGGTGAAGAATTTCACCAAGCTTAAAATGGAACAACTCAATGCTTCTGAGTATGTTGAATCTGACGATGAGGAACCTGCTGTTTCGCAAGAGAATCCATTTGTTTGCATAGAAAGAGATGAAATGTTCAGAGAGAATCCATGCATTGGTGATGCCTTCAAAATCAAGCTTGTTGACCTGAATCTTCTTCCCAAGATGCTTAGAAAGTTTGTTGATTACCCCTGGCATAACTTTTTCCACAATGTGGTATTCGATTTGATACAACAAATCTTCAACGGAAAGTTGAATTCGTACAACTCGTTTTTGATTGTCGAGTTGTTCAAGCATGACGAGTGTAACATCACTCACCTTATCGTCGATACTTTCAAGAGTAAAGCAGAACCCAGACCTGGCTACACGGGCCATCTTATCCTAATCAGTGAGGAAGTCGTCAAGTTCTCATCATTGTATAAACCAGGTTTGATATCACCTGTCATAGTTGACGCAGTCAATGGTAAGGATTGGGAGTGGTTTGTGGAGAATGTCTTACTTAAAACTCGTGAACTTTACAATGCAATTCTAGGTGCTGACCCTGAGTACGATGATGTTGATAATATGGAAGGGGGAACCCGTAGAGTCCATGATGATGATTCGTACGGATTTGATTCTTCTACGGTTGGCTACATGGACCTCGAACCATATGACGAGGAACAGAAAAACTTCATCATTCTAGGCGACAGCAGCAACCATGACGAGTTTGTGAGTCTGAAGCCACAACACCCTGATGACGATGAGGATGCAGAAGCTAACCACAAAACTGACCTTGCGGACGTGAGAATACAGAGTATGTCCCCAAAATCTCTGGTAGAAAATCATGAGGACTTAGTGAACGATCTAAACGGGTCTAAATTTCCTGGACATCGGGACGAGCTTCAAGAAGACAACTTCTTCGACGACCTTTCTGGATCTAGCTCGTCGGATGAAGATGATGATGACCATAATGAGTTACGTCGCGTGCCAAAACATAGCGAATCGTGAGTGTATTACAATAAAATTTTAGTGAATAGAAATAAAATTAAATTATCTGTCTGTGTTACTTTTTTGGTTTGCTGTAAATCACCTTACCGTTGGGCAACTCGATCTTTTCTCCCTTTGGCTTCTTCTTTTTCTTGGGTTTGCTCGCCTCTGACTGGCCCTGACGCTTCTCCTTCTCAGCATTAGAGTTGGTGTGAACAACAGTAGTGTCAATATAACGACCCGAAAGCTTACCAATCGATACGTTCCAAAGCTTTGCTGGAAGCTTAAAAAACAAAGTATCTTTGAAACCAGGGCTAACGTTGATGTCGTGTTCGTCCAATGGAACAAGGACCCTATTACCCTTCTCGGTCTCGATTATGCTGACGTCGCCAGTATTAGAAACATGGAACTGGACGCCATTTGGAGCTTCCACCTTTCTATCAGAACCATCCAATGGAGGTACACCAGAGTTGTTCCAAGCCTGAGATCTGATCTGGTCCTTCAAGTTAACAATTCTCTTAAAGTCTTGTCTTCTGCTGATAGTAAGCGCAACATAGTGGAATACACCAACAATAACGAAAAGAACCACCAACGTAAACACAAACCCAGGGCGGAACCTCAGGTAATAGTAGCCCGTGCCCTTCCACTTAGGGAACCCCTTATCGTAGAAATAGTCATATCTTCTCCTCAAGCTATGGTCTCTCAAGATATTACCCACAAGCGACAACCTCTGGAATCTTTCCTCGGCCTTCTTCTTAAGCTTCTTGGATTTCCCGCTAAACTTATCTGGATGCATTTTCCTTGACAATTTCCTATAAGCCTTGTTGATTTCGTCCAACGAAGACTTGGGTCCATTGGGTAGTTTAAGCCATGAGTAGAAGTCTGTAGCCTCACCGAGATCCTTCTTGATCTTATCGTTCAAGCTGAAGATCTCATAATCCTCTGGCGACCAGTTTGCTGCCACAAACAAGGCGCAAAAGGTGAAAATAAATAAGCTAACCGCTCTCATGCTAAGCCAAAGAGGGTTCTTTTGATGTTTCCAAGAGGGTTTATATTTTAAGTAACCTACCGCGCAGTGGAAAATTAACGGTCTTGCTCGACTCGTGTTTTTGTAGTGCATGAGGGTAAGTACAGCCCAGAATCATCAGTCTACGCTTTTCCAAGACCACCATTTTTCTTCTCCTGGCAAGATGGCTCTTTACCCGTTATATGGAAAACAGAAACTTATTTTTTACTATAATGTTGTCTCGACAACGCTATGGTTCTGCTGCTTGTGCCGCTTCCTTATCTTGCTTCCACTCGTTGGAAGGAAGTTCTTGCCAGCTGGAATAGCTGATTTCTTTCATGTGGTCAGTGTGTTCCCACTTATTGGTTGGGTTTTGGTTACTGCTCTAGTCAAGACTCAACATTCATGGAACGATCTTTGGGGGCTTTTCGATGCTCTTAGGATGGTCTGGATGTGCTACGGTGTGATCTTCCCTCATCCCAAGATTGCCAAGCATACTTCATATTCTTTTTTGATTCTGTCGTGGTGTATTCAAAACTTGATTGATTCGTTTTACCATGGCTTCAAGACAAAGACGAGAACTTCGCCGTTATGGTTGTTCTGGCTCCATCACCACCACTTCTACTTGACATTCTTTGTGAGTTGTGTCAGCGAGATGATCTTGATCTTCTTGAGTCTTGGATTTGTCAAGAGTGAATTGCACGAATGGGTGCTTAAGGCTTGCATTTTGGCGTACGTTCCTGTTGGATACTTCCTTTTTGGGTACCTTCGGAACAGACAAGCTACCAAATACGATGCGTTCATGGAGAAGAGGAACCGTGGACGTGTTCAGAACCAGGAACTTCCTCGTGTTCAACAGCCATCTTCTGCCGTTGATCAGAGCTCGAGGTGAGCTCTGGGGACCAGGTTATTCATAGAAACAGAAATATAAAATGCATTGAACAACATCGAGCTCGGCTTATATATGAATCAGTAAACTACTTTAAGAAGTATTGGTTGTTTTTTATATTATTTATTTAATTTTTTTGGGATTTTTTTTGTTTTTCTATTTTTTTTTTTTTTTATTCTTTTTCAAACTTTAGGCAACAGTATATCAAATTAATGATAGATCGAAATAAGCAGCAGCGCAATAGAAAGTCCTGACAGTTCATGGGATGTCTTTCATTTAAAGACCAATCAATCCCAAACCGTCGGTGGTGATCTTACCAACATCCTTCAAGATGTCAGAAACAAGGTCACCCACATCGTTAAGAACAGCAGAAACGTCTCTGGCCTGCAAAGCAACCTGCTCCTGCTCCTCTCTCTTCTTCAAGTCCAAAGGCTTAAGAATTGGGTCAAGGATCTGGGTCACGTTAAGACCAGCATCAGCCAAAATGACAGTCACATCCTTGACGACAGTACCAAGAAGGTCAGTGACATCAGTCAAGAGGGTCTCAACGACATCTCTCTTTGCCAACTCAGTAGTAGCAACTGGAGTGGCAGAGACAGCGGTGGAGGCAGCGAGACCGGTAATGATAACTTTGGAGAAGTGCATTGTAAGATTGAGTGATTGATAGAGATTGAAGTTTGTTGATATTGAAATCCAAGGGACGAAACCACCTCTTTATATATTCGCCAGGGAAGTATGGAGCCCTTTCCAAATGGTTGTGGCTCTCATGGTAAATTTTGATAAAACCGTGATTCTACCGGTTACTGGTTGGACCGTGGCTGCAAAATCGGTATACTAGTATCTCAGCCGCAGTGAAAAGCGCAAAAACGGTTGATAGTGTCGAAGCATGAGAGATAAGCCTGCGTCTATGTTATTGGACGAAGACTAAAGCTGTCATTAATACGTCACTTGCTGTTTGTGATACTAACTAATGCCTCATAACCTATCGTCCGCAGCTACTCCAGGTTAAGGTTTTTGACGTCTGTCAAGTCATGTAAGGGAGATCATTAAGTGGAACCATAATGAAATTGGGCAAACTTTTGATTCATTAGTGGCTTTCACCCTCGTCTAATTCTTCAACAAAAGGCCTTATCTTTAAAGATAATGAAAGACAATGGTGTTGTTGGAATTTGAGATAATCACACTATCGCCAAATGCGCTTGTCGACTCAGCCTTGGAGAATGCTCGGAACAACCGGTCTAGAGAGATATTATTGCCCAGATATCGATGTAGCGATTATCAGTAAGCCACAATTATTCGAAAACAAACATATCATATGCTTGGGGGTAGGTATGGATGGAAATCACAAAATGCGCTGCCGATTGCCGGTGCACGTTGGTCAATTAGATACGACAGAGGCTTACACTGAAAGTATGGATGTTTGGAGGAAGATAGATGGCTTGCGGTCTTGGCACTCTTCCAAAAGGCTTGAGGAAGTTGAAGTTGCATGGTCTTGTGACTCGGACAAGTATCATGGAAACCGTGTAGATAAGAGCTGTTTACGTTCTCGAAGTAATGCAAACACAATGGCTAGTAACCCTTACATTCTTCCATTTTCGTCGGCGTACATGGTATTGAAAACGGTTTGTGTGGACGGTTTGGTAGTCAAGTTGAGTTAGGATGCAGTTATCAAACGGTAAGCCGATGTGCTTTCCAACAAGACAATTGCGTTATTGCAAATCAAACCAATAATGTTGAAGAAGAAGACTTGAATGATTTTTATCAAGCGGTGGAATCCCGGTTGAGCCAATGAATTGGGATCCTACGCTATCGTCTTCTTATCGAGATATACCAATTCAATCATAACCATTCAATCGTTATCTGTCAAAAAACAAAAAGATGTATTTTTCATTCCAAACGATATCTTCTAAATATCAGAAGACTCCACCTTTTTAGAAAATACCTCAATAGTTGACGCTTCATGGCCTTTCTTCAATTAGAGAGGGTCCTGGAAGAAGGGCGCACCCTGTAAGCGCATACATGCATTGAGTACTAACCCACCTAGTAACTTTTCAACAATCACCCTTTTTCTCCTTCAAAAGCTTCAATTCACTTTATCATGACCTACGTTGAACAGCTTTTAGATCAGTACCTGGAAAAGTTCCATAAGCTGATCACTTGCCCTCTCACCAATGAGCTCTGTAAGGGTACACTTCCAGACTACAAGCTCTTCACTTACCTAGTGCAAGACCTCAAGTTTTTCCAATACAGCTTGAACCTTTTCGGTAATGCCTTGGTTCATTGCAGTAACCCAGAATCTGCCATTGTCTTGGGTAAACAGATTGGGTTTATCTCTAACTCAGAGAACACATACTTCTTCAAGTGCTTGGACCAATTGAGAAACGAATCCAAGGAAGAGATTGAAGAACACGCCAAATCAATGTTGAACGACCCGCCACCAACCCTTCCAGCAGTTAAGAAGTACCTTGACATTCTCGAGTACTTGACGTTCAAACTGACACTGTATGCTGAGATCATCACCTTTATGTTTGTCATGGAGAAGGTGTACCAAGGCTGGGCCGAGTACCATTTGGAGAATACTCCAGAGACGAAAAGCCTTGCCTACAAGCACGACGAATGGGTTGTGTTACATAGTGGACCAGAGTTTGGAGCCTGGTGCGATTTCCTTGCCAAAGAAGTGAACAGAGTTGGCATCGACCAAGAAAGCAAAGCCAAATGCAGTGAATTTTTTGAAAAGACCTTGGATTTGGAAATTGAATTCTTCGATGCCTGTTTCGATTACCATGATTAGAGACCTTAATGAAAGGGTACTAGTATGTGTGGTGCACGGGTGTAGACATGTAGAGCGGGAAGGTAAAACTGAAAAATTTGTACTACCCAGGCAACCAGGCACCGAGACCAATGATCACCAAATACTTTACCAAAGTGTCTGTACGGTTTAACCCGTTCTCTGAGGCTGCCAGGCCCGTCAGACTCTTTATGGGACGTATTCCCACCGCTCTGAAGAGTGGGTGCAGCATCGACTACAAGATCCTTACCGGTAACGAAGAGCCCTTGGTGAAAGTGACGTTCAAGGACAAGGCTGAGATGGAGATCAACCCTTCTGAAAAGAGATTTGAAGATTTGAAGGCCTTTTTCGACGGTCACCTGAGAAAGTTGGCACTTAAGGATGCCATCCTGGAGTAAAAAGTAACCCCTCTGCTCCACCGCTTAGATCTACCACTAGGGAACGAACTCCGTTTCCCCAGTATGAGTCACGACACTTCTGTAAATACCATAATGCAAATAAACTATCCGTTTCCCCCCAAGTGTAGTTGCCGCTCGGTCAAGTGGAGAGAACCTTGCGTGTAGGTATATAAGAGGCAGTAGTCGCAAGAGTCAAGCAAACCTTCACCCTACCTACCACCATGTATAAACAGTTTCTTGAAAGATTCGGGCTCAGCGTGCCCATCATGCAAGCGCCAATGGCCGGCGTTTCCACGGTTGCAATGGCAGCAGAGGTTGCCAAAGCTGGAGGGTTAGGATCCTTACCAATGGCGTCTGTTGATTTGACGAAAAGCACGGAGCCGGTGTTCCAGCAAATCGGAGAGTTCAGGGGCCTTGCTGGCGACAAGGCGCCCGTAAACGTTAACTTTTTCGCCCACGACTTCACAAAGCAAGTGCCGCCGGGTCCAGCCGAACAGCGTAACTGGTACCAGGTTATGGCTCGTGCTTCCGGTGTAGCCGAAACAAAGCTTCACGAAGTGGTGCCGCAGTTCCAACGCATAAACATCTCGTTTAAAGAGTTTGAACATAAGCAGCACGAGCAAGTGGAACCGTTTTTCAAGCGGCTTGGCGAGAGTAACGTTCAAATCGTGCTGTTCCATTTTGGACTCCCTAGTGCAGAAACCATTGATGTGATCCACCGCCATAAGCTAGCAGTATTTGCCTGTGTAACCAGCGTTAGTGAAGCCCAGGTGGCTTTAGACGCTGGTGCAGACGTTTTGGTGGCCCAGGGCTACGAAGCTGGCGGCCACAGAGGCAACTTTTTACTGGAAGAACCCACCGACGAAAAACTTCCCACAAAAGAACTTTTCACCCAACTTGCAGCCAAATTCGGGTCCTCGCGGGTGGTTCCTGCTGGAGGGATCGTCGATGCCGCTGGCGCCAGAGAATACCTCGACTTGGGGGCTGCAGCAGTGAGCATGGGCACATTGTTTGTGACAAGCCAGGAGTCCAGTGCTCCACCGTATATTGGGGACCTTTTAAGGAACAAGGAAGATAATTTACCTGGCACGGTTATGACCCTGTTGGTTTCTGGAAAACATGCCAGAACCGTGGAAACACCGTTTATTAACGCCTTGGTGTCGTCCCTGGTGGACCAGATGCCTCTGTACGGGTACCTGTACTATGCCTACAAGACGGCTGCGAAAAGTTTCCCTCCAGGATGCGGCTTCTATTTGGCAGGTGCCAATTACCACAAGGTCACGCCCGGAGCTAAGGCCGGTGCTACGGTGGTGCAATTATGGGACGAGATTCAGAACAATAAAGAAGCTTAACGGTGGCGACGGCTTATTGGAATGCTCTTATTGTGGCATGGTGAAACCGGATGAACGCGGGTAGCCCTAAGTACTCATACAGAAATGTGACGAGCCTGGGCGCACTCACCTGATAGTCTGTGCGGCCCATATACGCATCTGAGTAATCTCAGCTCACTTATTGGTCATGGGCCCACAGGACCGTTGGGCTTATGTTACCCCGGCTCAGGCCAGTAGATCATTCTTTTGGGTTATACGAGAACCATATATAAACTCTGGTTCGCTGCCCGCTGGTGGTAGAGTTAATTTGGATATGCGCACAGCTCGTTTGACAAGTTTTTTGCAACCAATACGCAACATGACCATCGCTCCCCAGATCTACAAGCCCCAGGCCTTGACTACTGCTCAGAAGGATCTTATTAAGGCTTCGGTGCCTATTCTTGAGTCTAGTGGGTTGGACCTCACCAAGGCTTTTTATGACTCGATGCTTAATGGTAATCCTGAGGTGCGTCCATTCTTTAACGATACCAACCAGATTACCTATAGACAGCCTAAGGTGTTGGCGTTTGCATTGCTTAACTATGCTAAGAATATCGACGACTTGACTCCGTTGACTGATTTCGTTCAGCAGATTGTCGTGAAGCACGTTGGTTTACAGGTGAGAGCTGAACACTACCCTGTGGTTGGCAGCCACTTGATCGCTACCATGGGTAAGCTTTTGGGTGAAAAAATCGCTACGCCAGAGTTTGTTGAAGCCTGGTCTACTGCTTACGGTAACTTGGCTCAGCTTTTGATTGACGCTGAGTTTGCCGAGTACCAGAAACAGCCTTGGGATGGGTTTAAGGATTTCGTGGTGACCAGAATTGAATCTGAAACTGACGATGTCAAGTCTGTCTACTTTAAGCCAGCTGATGGTACCAAGGTTGCCATGCCATTGCGTGGTCAGTACCTTGGCTTCCGTTTCTTGATTCCAGGAAGTGATGTGGAGAAGTCTAGAGAGTACTCCATTTCCGAGTACCCTGAGTCTGGCGAGTACCGTATTTCTGTCAAGAAGTTAGACCAAGGTGTTATTTCTGGTTACATTCACGATACTTTGAAGGTTGGTGACACCATCAAAGTGGCTCCACCTGCTGGTAGGTTCATTTACCAGGAAACCGATAAAGATGTCGTGCTCTTTGCCGGTGGTATTGGTATCACCCCACTCGTTTCTATTGCCGAAAAAGCCCTTCAGGATGGTAAGAAGGTGACGCTTCTCTTCTCCAACCAACGTGCTGAGTCTATTCCTTTCGAGAAGTGGTTCCAGGAGAAGAAGGACGCCAATGCCAAGTTTGAGTTCATCAGACTCAACGATGACGAAGGCAAGAGGCTTTCCCAGGCCCACTTCGATGCATTGGACTTGGCCAACTCGGAAGTCTACATGCTTGGTCCTCTTGGCTACATGGACTTCGTGAAGGGAGAGTTGACCAAACGTGGCAAGACCGATATCCACTCTGAATTCTTCGGTCCTACCGCTGTTTAATCTATTTCCCCAAATCCTCCAAAGTTGCTCCCTACTATTATAGCTGCTTTTTGCTGTAAATAGATTGTTATGAATGCATGAATTATGAATGGCTGCGAAAAAGCACAAAGCGCCCAAAAACTTCGTATCTCTAAGGGGAAAGGTCCAATTCCGCGCAGCCTAAGAAGTCAGACCACACTTCCCCAAAAAAACCCCAAAACCCCAAAACCTTCCAGATCATCCTTGACATCTTCCACTGCTTCTATTTTTGATTCCTTTTTCCTGCGTCGATTCAATTCCCTATTTTGTATTCTCTCCTCCAGAAATTCCTTCCTGTCTTTGACTCCTGTAGCTCGCCTGGCCCCGGGCTCGTTTCACACTGTCCCAGTCGCACTGTTTGACTCTCCACAAGGTGATATATATACTTCAGCTACTCCCATAGTTATTCACCCGGGCTTTCGATTTTTTGTGTTTGAAGCTCCCGCCTAACGAAAATGCATCCACATTCTTTTTACATTTTGCCTGATAGAACAAGACTTCTTGACGAGTATAGGAACAAGAAGGTAAGTGAGCTTCCTGCTCCATCGTTACTCATTGACAGAAGTAAGTTCACCAACAATTCTGTTCGTATGTTGGAAGGTGCTAGGGCATTGGGCGTTGATTTCAGAGTTCATATCAAGACTCATAAGGCTGCCGAGGGCGTGAGGATCCAATTGACTGGCGACGGCCTGTACTCGTCCGATAAGATAGTGGTATCTACGCTTCCAGAGGCGTGGGTGATATTGCCGTTGATTGACGATGGTACCGTGAAAGATGTGTTGCTTGGGATTCCTATTGCGAAGCTGATTTTGCCCGAAGTGGCGCTGTTTAAGAAATTGGCGCCTCTGTTTAAACTTATGGCGGACAGTGAGAGCCAGATAGACGCTCTTGAAGAGTACGCCAGTCAGTATGGTACCAATTGGGAAGTCTTTGTCAAGGTTGATATGGGTACGCACAGAGCTGGGCTTGAGGAGAGTTCTTCGAGGCTTTCCTCGTTGATTAAGAGAATTGTGCTGTCTGAATCGGTCTCTTTGCATGGCTTCTACTGCCATGCGGGACACTCTTATGATGCAAGATCTGGTGCTGATGCTCGGAGCTTGTTGGTTGAGGAGATAAAAAACGCTAATCTTGTGGCAAAATATGCACTTACCTTAGACTCCAGTTTAGATTTGCACCTTTCTGTGGGTGCCACACCCACCGCCCACGTTTCTCAGCAGGTGAAGAGTATACAAGAGATCGAAGAGGCTCTTGGAGAGAAGATTCACGGGACGTTGGAATTACATGCGGGGAACTATTCTTGTTGCGATCTTCAGCAAGTGGCTACTGGCCTTGTTGCTTTGGAAGATGTATCTATCTTCGTGCTTGCAGAGGTGATTTCAGAGTACCCGGGTAGAGGAAAGAAGGCGCCCGGAGAACAGTTGATTAATGCCGGAGGCATCGCCTTTTCCAAAGATAAAGGCCCTATTCCAGGATACGGGAAGATCGTCGAGCCTAAGGAACATACTGGATGGGAAGTTGCCAGAGTGAGCCAGGAACATGGAGTTTTGCAGCCAGTGTCAGACAATGTGGAGTTCATCCCATACGGCACAAAAGTGGTGGTAGTGCCGCAGCACGCTTGCATGGCTGCATCTAATCACGCTTGGTACTATGTGATCGAAAACGGTATCGTCGTCGATATCTGGGTTCCTGCAAAGCTATGGTAAACCATCGCTTGCAGCAGTTGACGCCCCGTATATTATTATCTGACCCGATCTCCCCGGGGAAAAAGTGCGCTAACGCATGACTTTCAGGTGATACAAAAGTGAGACCCGAGGATTTTCGCGCTAATGTGCGCGACATCTTCCGGGGTAACGGGTCACACAATGGTCGAGGTTAGCGAAGGAAGCTGGCCCAGGTGGTCATGATTAAATTCAAGAGACGCTTCAAAAGATCTTCTTTAGATGAACGATCAGCTTTATACGGGCTTTTTCAGCTCATCAGGGTCCCGGTTGCAACTAAAACATGTCACATGCTGCAACTGCCTGGTGCTGGAGGATGTACGGATGTGTGGCAAAAGTCTGGGGTGAGCCAATCAAGGGATGAGAATTTCATATTTGTCAATCCTGTACATTGTTCGCACCCGGACTAGCGCCGGGTTTAGTATGGCCCTCCCACAAAAAAAAAAAACGAGAGCCTGTTCGAACCGCTACATCTTCTTCTTCTACGTCCACAAGTATAGATACCATGTTGAAGACTTTCTTCAGACCAGTTGCACGTTTGACCCCATCGAGGGCTTTGGCTACTGCTACGCAGCCTAAGATCAAGAAGTTCCAAATCTACAGGTGGAACCCTGACACTCCAGAAGTTGAGCCAAAGATGCAAAACTACGAGATCGACTTGAACGCCTGTGGTCCTATGGTTTTGGATGCTCTTTTGAAGATCAAGAACGAGCAGGATGCTACCTTGACATTCAGAAGATCTTGCAGAGAGGGTATCTGTGGTTCTTGTGCCATGAACATTGGCGGACAAAACACATTGGCATGCTTGTGCAGAATAGATACAAACACGTCAAAGGACTTGAAGATCTATCCTTTGCCACACATGTACATTGTCCGTGACTTGGTGCCAGACTTGACCCATTTCTACAAACAGTACAAATCCATCCAGCCATACTTGCAAAGAGACACGCCTCCAGCTGATGGCAGAGAGAACTTACAGAGTATCGAAGACAGAGCCAAGTTGGACGGTCTTTACGAGTGCATTTTGTGTGCTTGTTGCTCTACGTCGTGTCCATCTTACTGGTGGAACCAGCAGCAGTACTTGGGCCCAGCCGTTTTGATGCAGGCTTACAGATGGTTGATTGACTCGAGAGACGAGGCCAGCAAGTTAAGAAAGGAAATGTTGCAAAACTCCATGTCCTTGTACAGATGTCACACCATTATGAACTGTGCCAGAACGTGTCCAAAGGGTTTGAACCCAGGCCGTGCCATTGCCGAAATCAAGAAACAGATGGCCTTCGATTAGGTCTAAATAGCATTATTTATCACTACGCATGAAGGAGTTGTAGCGAGACCAAAGTGCCCCTGCCCCTTGCGACCCGGACCATTGATGAGGGTGACTCAAAAAAAAAAAAAAAGAAGAACGACTTTCGGGGCCGAAGCAGGCCTTCATAATACACACATATAGTTAAGGAACAAATATACCAGATTTTGATGTAGAAATGAGTGAATGAGGAGCTTCAGATGAGTTATATAGGTACTTGAAGCGATAAGGATGTGGAGATGGTGGGGCAGAATGAGAGGTCATCGATCTAGAGACAAGCAAAGTAAGGTTACTCAAAGGCGCTCATGAAGGAAGGCCTTGTAAGAGGCTATCTAAGCCCGTCTGTCTTCTAGATAGTCAGAGATGTTTAGGAGGTTGAAGCTTGGATCTAGCAGAAGCCACATCCCAGGTTAAGGATACAAAGTCAATATACGAGAGGAATGGCACCAGATATGCAAGAGAAAGAAGTTACTTATTAAGTATACCGTTGAAACCAAATCAGGGGTGACGCAAGGAAATGTATTCCCGGGTAGCGTTCCCTTCTTCATATGAAGACCACATGGTGCCCATCCATCGATCACCAATGATCCCGAACATGGATCACCGACCATGGACCCCCCGGCATGGATCCCACCATCATTGATTTTTGTCGTAGAGGCCCCCAGAGGCCCCTTACTGATCTACTCTACCCTTACTTTCCACTTTCTCTGTCTAGTGCAGACTTGTCTAGAACCATAGAAATACCTCTAGTCCTCCAGAACATCCATAACCACCAACCATACCTCCCTGCCATCAACACCACAGCCAAACACAAAACCCAATCTCTTCTGCCCCAGCCAATTCCGCATTCCTTTCCATCCCCATCCCCATCCCTTCCCCTATTTCCCATCATTCCTTTTCTTATTTTTTCTTGTTACCCCAGATTCTGCCACATTAAGCTTCATCTGATGAAAGCCTACAATCGATGCACGCAGGGCATCTGCGCTGCCATTTTTTCTCCCTCCCGTCACGTCAAAAAAGGTATAATGTGGGGCACCCTTACTCCCCTGGCCCCCGAGAAAAACATCAAATATCCAAACTCCCAAATTTCCAAAATTTCCAACTCCCAAAACCCAAAACCGCAAGCCATTCCCTTCTCATAACCCTTCCAAGTGTAAACACAGAGTCAGTAGCAACTGCAATTGCGCAGGCCGAGCTCGGTTTGAGCACAATATTTAGACTTTCTGCTTGTTCCCTCTGCGGTGCCAAATTGGCTCGGGACAGCCCACTCCGACCCGAGCGAATTTCCAGGGCAAACAGCAAAGAAAGGTTTACCCAAAAACGAACCAGCCAAACAAATAAACGGGGAGTGGCCCCACAAACGCATATCTGCAATTCCCTAATGACGCCCCGAGGTATTTTTTTTGCAAGGCTTCTGTAGAATATACCTCTGTGGGGAGGAAAATGGCTCGGATAAGACCTGGGTTGGCCTGGCGCTAGAAGGAGTGCGCTTTTTTCGGGGGAGGCTACCCCAGACAGGGCTAAGCTTCTGAAGGGCCCCTGCACATCCTCAATGTACGCTTTGTGTCTTCTCCCTACTGTCAACTACAAAGAGCAATTGCCATGCAAATAGGGCTATGTGGGGGCGACGGAAGATGCCTTAATGGTGACCAGAATCGGCGGGTGAGGTAAGCTTTTCCGAGAGATTTAAGCTGGGCGCTTGGAGGTGCTTCAGGGTATATAGTGTAGAGCATTTGGTCGCTTTTGGGTGCAAATTATCATCAAGAATCTACCAATTGATATGTCTAGACCAAAGGTGCTTTTAGTTTTGTACGAGGGCGGTGAACACGCCAAACAGGAACCTAAGTTGTTGGGTTGCCTTGAAAACGAGTTGGGAATCAGACAACTCGTGGAGTCCAAGGGCTACGAGTTGGTTACCACCTCCAACAAGGACCCAATTGGCTCTTCTGAGGTTGACGCCCACTTGCCTGAGACTGAGGTTATCATCACCACTCCTTTCTTCCCTGCCTACATCACCAGAGAGAGAATTGAGAAGGCTCCACGCTTGAAGCTCTGTGTCACTGCTGGTGTGGGTTCTGACCATATCGACTTGAACGCTGCTAACGAGCACAACATCACCGTTGCTGAAGTTACCGGCTCCAACGTTGTTTCTGTCGCTGAACATGTCATTCTGACCATCTTGAACTTGGTTCGTAACATCATTCCTTCCCACGAACAAGCTGTTCAAGGCGGTTGGGACATTGCTGGTTGCGCCAAGAACGAGTTTGACTTGGAGAACAAGGTTGTTGCTACCGTTGGTGCTGGTAGAATTGGCTACCGTGTGTTGGAGAGAATGATTGCATTCAACCCATCCAAGCTCTTGTACTTTGACTACCAGCAGCTTCCTTCCGAGGCTACCGACAAGTTGAACAAGGCTTCTGAGATCTTCAATGGCAGAGGTGACATTGTTGAGCACTTCACTGACTTGAATGAAATGTTGGCCAAGGCTGATGTTGTCACCATTAACTGTCCATTGCACGAGAAGACCAAGGGCTTGTTCGACAAGTCTACCATTAGCCACATGAAGGATGGTGCCTGGTTGGTTAACACTGCCAGAGGTGCCATTTGTGTGGCTGAGGATGTAGCTGAGGCTGTCTCTTGCGGTAAGCTTAGAGGCTACGGCGGTGACGTCTGGTACCCACAGCCAGCCCCTGAGGACCACCCATGGAGATCTTTCAGAAACAAGTGGGGTGGTGGTAACGCCATGACTCCACATATCAGTGGTACTTCTTTGGATGCCCAGGCCAGATACAGCGCCGGTACGCACGCCATCTTGAAGAGTTACTTCGACAAGACCTTCGACTACAGAAAGGAGGATCTTATTGTTATCGATGGCGACTACGCCACGAAGGCCTACGGCCAGCGTAAGTAGATTTAATGAAGTCTATATGTTTCTTGTCATTTCTTCCATCAGTATAATGTCAAAATATCTTTCGAAGGGTGAAAGACTGCCGGATTGCCATAGCATTTCTGTTGGAATCTCACTAGTAGTGGAACTTGTAGGCAGTGTCGAGCTATAATCATTGGCCAAAGCCGTGATAGCCGGATCATCCATGCACTGTTCCATGATGACGTTACACTGCCGGAGTCCATTCACTTCAGTCTCACCCGCTTTCATCAACCTGTCTCTTAAGACAAACTCTGTTGGGAGCGAACTGTCGGTGACTTTCTTGGTGATTAAACTGAATCTTCTTGCCGATTCATACTTGTCTTTCATAAGCTCGTAAACATTGAGGACCACCTGGTTGGAGAACCTTAATAATTTCCTGTGCTTTTGGATTTCTGTAAAGAAATCCTGGTATTCTGCGCTTGTTTCAAGAAGCACTCTGTGGTTATGCTGGCTCTCCAATGCCCTCTGAACGTGGCTGTAACGTACCATGGCCGATACTATGAATAAACTGCACTGGGCGAGGCACTGGATCAATGGTCCGCAAATAAATACATCAGTTGAGCCACTGACAATGGTCATAGTCTGGTTAACGAGATCTGGAAGTAATGGAAACAAGAAAGTTGTAAGCTTATGAACAACCTTGTATCTCCACTGGCTAGCTGTATAAAACTCCTTCTTCCGTGTGTAATAGTAAATCAAATGAGAATAGATACCAACAATGAAATAATGCTGGCTGAGCATCAACTTGAGTTTCGAGAATCTGAAGAATGACTCTTTAGTTGTCAACGAGGGCGTTGATTTACCGCCATGCAAGTGATTCAATAGGCTGTCATAGGCCGTCTCAAGTTTCTGAATAACCTTCTCTAGTACGCTTATCTTGATATTCCCGGAAACTTTTCCTGTCAAGTTTATACCTTCTGTAAGCACCCCACGGTAACCTTCGAGCCAATGGATATTTTCAATCGCCATTTTCTCACTCTCTGGATCAAACCCAGTCAAAAATTCAGGTTTGAAAGCTGGTAATTCGGCATCAAAAGTGTCAGGACCAATTGCCATATAGTTACCTGAAAAAAGGGACTGATCGATTTCAAGGAAAACGAGAGTGTACCAAAGTTTCTTCTGAAGCAAATCTCTCTTCTCGTCAAAATCAGGCCTATCACGGCGCCATTCACGATTTATCCATAAGCTATAAGCAATCTGGTTCAGGAGCGATGATAGCGTGGTCGACTTGATATCGTAACGTGTGTGCTCTGGGGCGATGGTGGAGTAGACACGGAGAGCAGTCACTAACTGGAACGCTTCTAGGCATACGTCACCCGTCATGTTGTAAACACTGAGGCATTGGTTAGCCAAGTCGATGAAATCAGCTCCAATGCGCTGGCGACTGAGATATTCGAGCTCTTCTTTGCTATTGTGAAAACAGTATGAGGGAGTCTGGTTGGACCCGCCTGTTAATGTAATATAAGCCGTACGGAGCGCCACCAATAGAAGACCATACACGGCAGGATCAGTTTCACCATTTCCCAATATCATAGCACGCTGGTCATCTCCCAGTTTGGCACCAATAAGCTTTCCAACCGCCAACCTGAAATCTTGCTCATCGAGAATAGGCATATATGGATAAGCGATCTTGAAGAACCTGTCAAGAAGCATATTGATAGCTCTGACGCTTGGTAAAGTATCGTAAAGTTTCATTCGTAACGTTTCATGCTCTCCCTTCACTGTAGGTTTGTGAAATAGGCCGATTTCCTTATCTAAGGGATTCAAGTAAAAGTGTGGAGCTTCATCATGGAAAGGAGGTCTGTCCCTACAAGCGTAGAAACTCTTGAATATGCAAAGCAAGATCTCGTCAATGGAAACCATTACGACCCATTTAAATGGGCCCATGTACCTCCAGCTCTGATCATTGCGGTGGTCAATTCTGCTGATGGCGTCATGGAACCCCATCGTTTCATTCAGGAGGCTTTCTTCCATATTAGCCGCTGGCTTCATGCCATTACTAGCTAGCTGCTTTTCTAGCACAGCTATCCGATGTCTAAGTGCATCAGCAACATCGCCAGAACTGGAATCTGCCTTGACCACGGCGTCACAGTGGGGGTTCCCCATTTTGACACAAGCCGTACATGGGGACTTTTTGTCACATTTAATTTTCCGTTTCCTGCAAAATGAGCAAACAACTTTGTATCTACCTCGGGTCATTATGGAGCTTCTTGATTGGAAAACGATGGGTTATCAATAGTCATCCTATATATGAGAGAGATTGGGAACTTCCCGTGTTTTTTCCGCTCCCCCGTTAAATTTCAGCCTCACGTAAATGCAGGCTTTCCTATAAGAAATACCTCGTATTGTTAAACAACGGCCTAGCCTCTAAAGAATATTCTCTAGCATAGGCATGTCTAAAAGCTCATCAATGGCAGTGAAGTCAAGACTCTCAAACATGCGGTTATCGAAAAGGTCTGCCGGTGTACTCAAGTGGTTTGGCAAAGGCAGAGGCTTATGTCTTTGTCTGAGGGTGGTGAATTCCACTCTGTCGATACCCTCGCGGATAATCTGGTTGCAGCCTTCCAAGAACAGACTAGAGGTACGTATGTAAGCCTTGTCTTCTGCCGAGCCATCCACATCCTCTAACATTTCATGGAGCTTCCGATGCCCGTAGTCGAGCTTTTTGCAGAGCGCATTTCTGTCCTTCAACAGACTGTAAAAGTTGCCAAGAATCACCATGAGGTCATCGAGCGTGGCTATGTACTTTTCCAATGCCTCGAAGAGATTACTATAACGTGGATCAGCTCTCATTCTACCACCATGGTTATTGTTGCATTTCATAGACGCATACTGGCTCTTGTACTTGATCAACAAGCTCACAAGAAGAAATGGAATGTTGTTGGTGCAATCCACAAACCGCGATATGGAGAACAAATCGGTTGATCCGGCAAACGGGTTTTTGACGTGTCCGAGAAGCATTGGCAATAACGGTATAACGTTCTGCATCGTGGAGGTGATGAGCTTAGTTTCTGCACTGGTTGCAAGCCCGTACTCTTTCCTCTTCAAATGATTATAGTATATGTGCGTGTAGACGCTAAAGATGAAAAACTGCACCTTCAGAAGGACAGTAAGGAGACTATTTCTGTGGAAGGAGTCAACTTCACTGAGCGGATCGTGGCGTAGAGCAATTCTGATCTGCTCGTGGATCCTTCCAAGAAAGTCTTCGATTTCCTCCACTTTTTCTGTTAGCGTTCGTATTGGCACACTTCCTGTAAGATTACCCGTCATTGCAAGCCCCTCTGTGAGCAACTTTCTCATTGTATTATTAATTTCAAAGCTTCTTAGCGTCACTTTTTCGATCTCATAGTCTCTTACATTGGAAGCTTCCGGTTGGAACGTCGGAAGGGTGACGTCGTAGGTGTCTGGGTTAATGTTCACGCAGTTGCCAGTAAAAGCAGCATCCGACACATCCAAGAATAGAAATGTGTACCACATCTTTCGACAGAGCAGATTCCATCTTGGGCTTGTATCATCTTGCGGGGCGAAGCTGTGGGGCTCACGATTCAATCTGCGGCAGCATGCCATCAGATTCAACAAGGCGCTCAATGTCCGATTGGCATTATCGCTATTCCAGCTTTCAGGATTGACATCATTGTATAAGCAAAGAAGGCCCACAAGCTGCACGACGTCAAAAATGCTCTCGTCAATAAGGTTATACTGACCCAAACACTTTTGAGCCAACTTTGCGAACTCATCTGAGATCTCGTATTGGGATAAATAATGCATGGAGTGTGGGGGCACGGAAGAGGAGACATTAATTCTTCCGTTGCAGTCATAAATAGTCAAGTACGCAAAACGAAGCACCATAAGTAGAACTCCTAGGTTTGCAAAGTCCAACTCATCGCTTGCAGAAAGCTGCGTTGGTTGTTCTGAGGAAGTTTCTGGACCAATCAACTTCCTCATCACCGTCTTGATATAAATTTCATCAAGCACTGGTAAGTATGGGTACACCACTGTGAAAAACCGGTCAATGAGCATCCACACTACCTTAGAAATAGGCAAGATGCCCTGGATTTGTTGCCTCAAATGAGCCAGTGTCTCCAACGGTGTACTACATAGCAACCCTGGAGCAAAAGTCTGTACACTTGAATTCGGCGCCGTCTTCACCTGCGATAGGTTTGGGTTCTGTTTGAATGCCGACCTCACCATGCCATATAGGACAGGGTCCAAACTCACCAACAAGATCCACCGGAACGGCCCCCATTGCTTGAGCTGACGGGAATAACGAGGCTCAGGAACCTTAACTGGCACATTAAAAGTGATTTTGCTATCTGGATTTGCATTAAGCTCCGGTACACTCTGGAGCACCTGGCTCCGTCTTTTTGCAGCATTCCGTTTCACCGTCTCCTCGAGAGCTATGAGCCTCTCTTTCAAAACCGTCATTTCATCCTGGCTTCGAGGAGCATGCAGCGGTTTAACCACCTTCAGCTCTTCGGGCTGACTCACCGTCAGGTTTTTGGCAAACTCACTGTAATCGCATTCAGCCTTAAACTTAACACACGCTGAGCATGGCATCTTCATATCACATTTGATCTTTCTTTTTCTGCAGAACAGGCAGACCATACGTAAACGTCCACGGGGCATTATCAACGGGAATTCTTTATTTTACACGGTTCAACGACTTTCAAAAAATGAAGAACTGATTTATGGGATGATATACTAAAGTATTTATAATTCTCCGTTTCTCCGTGCACTCCGCCGTCGCTTTCCGCCGCCGCCGCGTTAGCCTTGTCACCGTGCGCACTATAGCGCATACCTAAAGCCCTTATTCTCAAAGTCAGTGAGGCCCTTAAAACCATTAAGAATGGCCTCCTGTTTCATTTCCTCCGTTTGTTCTCCTTGTTCTTTATCTCTTCTATAGTTTCTGCTTCTCAAAAGGAACCAGTAACAAATTCCCAAAGCGATCATGCCTGAGTAACATGTCATTAGACCGATCATAGCTGACTTGTACTTGGGTGCCTCTCTGGCGTAGAAGATATTTGCACCCACAATGTTACCTGTGGCGTACATGGTGAACCAACAACCGTTGGTGACAACTTTTTTGGTTGTACCACCAATGTTGGCGTTGATGAAAATCCAACAGAGAATGATGGGTCCTCCGATGATATATTGTAGCCAAGTGCATCCCACCGAGGCCCATCTATTATCTTCAATTAAGTGGATCGCGATCAAGCCCGCAAAACCAGGAAGACAAAGTAGCACAAAAAGAAGACATCTGATATTTTCAATCTTCAATGCGGCTATACCGGCTGCAAAAACAACGATAAACTCAAAGGCTCCGGTTGGCATTTGCAATGCAGTTGCAGCAAGACCGTCGAACCCGAATCCCTTGATTAATGCAGATTGGAAGTTGGAAACACCTCCATTGATAATACCAACAGCCAAAGCAACAAGCACGACAAAGTAGACACCAGGATCAGAAAGTGCTTCTCTGGCCTGGGGCCACTTGAATTGCTTATCCTTAACACCTTGGTTATTTTTAGAGATGTGCTTGATAAGAATGGTCCTCTCTCGTTCAGTCAAGAACTTAGCTGAAGCAGGACTGTCTGGTGTGAGCCAAAGGAAGAATACCGACCAGACCAAGTTTAAAAGACCAATGACCAAAAAGATCAATTTCCATGAAGCGATGGCCGCCAGGTTGGCATGGCCCAATCCAAACCCAAGAAGGCCTCCAATGATTGTAGCAATACCGTTGAAACTCAAAAAGGTGCACATTCTGAATGGCTGGTCTTGACGGGAGTAGAACATACCACAAATCATCATACAAGATGGCGAAATACCTGCCTCAAACATACCCAAGATGAACCTCACCACAAGTATACCAGCATAGTTCTTCGTGCCCATATGGGCTACCAATATGATGGCCCAGACAAATAGCATACCGCCAGTGTACTTGGCAATGGGCACCTTTTGAATGATATAGTTAGAGGGCATGGCCCAAAACAAGTAGCCGAAATTGAAAATGGCAGCAACCCACGAATACCTCTGACCATGTAAACCCAAATCTTCCTTAAGGGAGTAGGCCGAGGCGTAATTTAGACTTAGCTTATCAAGAAACTGTAATGCATATGTGACACAAAGAATAGGAACGATTCTGATATCAACTTTGAATTTGATCCGCTTGATTTCGGCCTCCACTTCTTCTTCAGTAATATCATTACCTTGTTCATAAAGGTCTAAACCGATGATGTTACCATTTTCGTTCACTGTTTCGCCGATAATGGACGAGATTCTGGAAGTCGAGGTTCTGACACCCGATTCCTTCTCTGCATATTCCTTTGACATATCCGCTGAATTTTCTTATTGATTCATAACCCACAAGGGGGATTTATATATACATATATTACAAAAAGCAAAAAGCCGCCGTGCTATGCAAAAATTGTTGACAGGGCTGTCTCTGCAAATCACAACCCACCTTACAGCATGCATAATCAATAAATTAAGCACGTGATGTGTTATCAACTTATTAGTTGCCTGATCGGGCAACCCGACTGTTTTACCGCTCTGTCACGGAATTGAAACTCTGATAGGGAAGGCTGCGATCTGGTTCACCACTCTGCTCTGCGGTATTGTGAGTGGAGAAACTTGAGGGGTTGGTCCATTATTTTCTTGCTGACTTCCTTTAAACTCCTCTTTTCTGTCGAGTTCCGTCTTCTTCGCCTATTGTTGCCAGTTGATAACATCATTGTAATCCTGGGTTCCGCGATTAAGCCCAAAGTTTATCTTTATAGATGCGCGTGAGTATCAATGGAATCATGACATCCTTCAGGCTGCACAATGGTGTAACATCTATCTCTCGAATTACCTAAAGTAGAATTTCGAAGTGGGCTTCTTTCTATCGGACCTTCTGCTTGCGCTGGCAGTGATCGCTTGTTGCTCCTCTTCAACATTTGCATCACCGGTGGAATCCGGTTTTATCAGTTGATGATGTGCCCTATGAGGGAAATACACCACGTTGATCGGAGGAAGATAATAAACATTCAGAATTGGGAAGTATCTGTATCTCGTCGGCTTACCTTCTGCGTCAACGAACGATTTCGGATCGAGCAATTCCTTAAGATTAGTCGCCAGCCCCGCCCCAGTTGGTACTGGAGTTTGCCTGTTTGCTTTGCTTCTCGTGCGCTGCATCTCCTCCCCTAAGGAGCGATCTTCTGTTTCGCCTGAAACTGACGAGTCCTTAGGTTCTGCTTTTATGGCCTGACTGTCTTCCTCTTTCTCTGGTGAACCATCACCGAAGCTCTGAGAGTGATGAGTAGAATTCACATCATAATCCTGTCCTCTTGTCTCTTCACTAACCACATCCTGTTCTGAGAATTCAAAACTGGATTTCGACACAGCTGGTCTGGGCCTGATCAAGACATCTCCTCTCTTGTGATAAAATGAAGGGTTACGGCCTCTCACGATAATAGGCGAGCTTTTGAGCTCCTTGACTATAACTTCTCCTTGGTCGAGTTCAGCTATTAGCCTCACCGAAAAATTGTTAAAAGTTTGGAAGCTCACATTAACGCTGTTTGCCGTTGCACTTTTGAACTGTGCTCTACGAATGGTGAAGTAATTGTCTCCGCCGCTTTCGCTGACCAGTATTTTGTGAGAAGTACCAATGCGTTTTGGAAGGACAACGTCTGAATAACCTTTACTCTTATCCTTTATAGCGTCGTTCTGTGTGTTGAGAATCACGGGAATGCTTTCTTCGCCATTAGCAAAAGCCAAAACATCGAGACGAAACCCGTTGATAACTCCCTTGCCAGGAATGGCCAAAAGATTGGATTCACTTGACCGCAGAAAATTAACATTGACATGAATAAAGTTCCTTCTGTAGCATGAAACAACTTCTGCGTTATACTTCTTGTCAGTTTGAGGTACTTCCTTCGTTGCCGAAATGTGGTTGAAGTTATCCTGGTCATTTGTGTAGAATCGTCCTGCGATGAAGCCCCTGAAAGTGATTTGTACGGGTTGATTCGAGTGATCAAGAATAGGAACTTGTGGACTGTCATTAGCTTGATCAAGGTCTAGGAGTTTTAATAGCTTTCCTGGATTGTAATCAACCTGAATTGTAGCAGGAGTGGCTTGTTTATCCAACGGGACAGAATCTGCATCTGCATCCAGCATTTTCGGGACAGAATCTGCATCCGCGTCCATTATTTTTGAGGTTTTTGGTTTTTTCTTTTGCTTTTTTATGGATTTATCGCCAACTTGGGGAGATGACTCCAATTCTGAATCATCTCGCTTGGGAACCTTGTTCCCTCTCATACCAAAAGAAGCATTATTGGCATTCATAGGTGCCTGGAGTACTTCTGGTGTGGCAGTTTTAGATACACCAAATAACAGATGGTCATCTGCGTCATTGCTTGAGACTGGCATAGGCATAGACATGCCTGGGTTACCGTGTGGAGGCTGTGGGCTGATGTTGCCGTAATAGTTCATGCCATCAAACTGCCCAATAACAGTCAGCGCAGACCAGGCTGGTTGGAATGGCATTACATGCTGAGGAAGGTATGGTTTCTGCATCAGATGGTATCGACTTGGGGGCTGTATACCAGCAGCTTCGGCCGGGACGAATTCCTGGTAATGCAGTGTATGTGTCAAAAAGTCTTCTGGGGGACCAGGATGAGGCAGAAAGCGCATGTTGGGTCCTTGGTTAGTGTAGTTAGCCATGTGGTTAGGCGTTGGACCAGTGGCCATGTTCATAGTGTACATGCTATCGGGATCAAACAGCAGCTGCAGATGGTCATGGTCTGAATTAACCATTTGCATATTCATTCCAGCCAGATATGAAGGCATTTTGGGCTGGTCATTCTGGAAAAGCGCAGCGTGGAAGCCATCGTCTTCCTGCTTGACCAACGCATCCAGGGTAATCGTAGAAAGTGGGTGTAATAGGTCGGGGAGAAATAGCGACGCTAGATCGTCCATCTTTTCCTTTTGCTCGTCCATGGCCTAGAAGATCCGCCTGCGTTTATATAGGAATGGAACGATGGAATTGAAAGAGTGTACAGATCACTAGAGGTCCAGACTATGGATGATATGATGATGCTCAAGGTGATGGTCAGTTGTCTGTGTACAGGAGACGATGTTAGTGGACCCTGCCATCTGGGGTTACCCCAAACAGGTGATCCAAATATTATTACCAAAGATGCTACTATTAAATGAATAAAATGTTGTGGTGGTTTAGGGTGTCCTTCCTTGCGTAGACCCTTGCGTTTCAAGCAAAGTGTAATACCGACCAACCTGTGTATTGCATCCAAAACACCTGAGGTAATTGCTTGGAAGAGTAGACGAAACAGCCTGAAACTCCTAATAGACGGGTAACGAAGGTCAGACGATTGCTGAAACGGGCTGTTTACAGACCACCATGTTAGGTGGGAAGCCCATGTTTCGCGTATGCATAGTGTCTGGAGACTCAAAGTTCCCCTATTATTTCAAAAAGCTGTGAATACGTTGAAGGGACGTTGGAAAAATTGTAGAATGAAAATTTCATCTTCTCGATATTTTGTAAGTATATTATAGACTAAACCTGAAACGAGTATTTTGCAATATTCGCGTAGATCTGCCTTAATGCGAAGGTAATTGAATTTCAGATGTAGACCTGGACCAAAAGTTGTGAATAGAGAAAGCAGTGTCAAAAATCAGAAACATTAAATTTTACTTAAGAAAGTTGTTTGGGTAAAAAAGGGGCCTTTATTTACCCATCAATATGCATTTTCGACTATTTTCCTGCCAGGTGACGCTTCTTTGACACCCCACTGGCAGGTGCTACAATTAGCAGTTCCCTCGCTTACAGACGCAAGCTTTAATGCGACCATGCGAGCTGTGCATGGCAATGCAAGGTTTATTGTTAAATGCTATTTCACTAGGAGTGATTTGCAGCCAATATCAGATTGCTTAAGAAATGACCTCCAATATGAGGAATAGATTTGGTCGCGGAATTTGTATTTCCTGATATGGATAGGTATCGATTCCGCTCCGGCGCAGTAACTTTTTCACCTTCATTACTACATCTTTTCTTAAAAAATGGTGAAACAGGAGCCATTCGGCGTTGAACAGTTCATGGACAAGTATGAGACGTCCATCAAGTACAATATGGGTGAGACATGTGTTGATTCGCTTAAAATGAATGAAATCATTCCCGAGTCTGAGCAAGCAGACGTTGCTAAGACTTTGCTCGATACCAAATTGGTATACGGCCATATCAGAGGCTCGCCTGAGTTGAAAAGCCAGATTTCTGCTCTATATGATGATAGTATCACTCCAGAGAACGTGGTGGTGACCAATGGTGCCATTGGAGCCAACTTCTTGCTCTTCTATAGCTTGGTGGAGAAGGGAGATCACGTTTTGGTGGTTGAACCAAGCTACCAGCAGCTTAGTTCTGTTCCAAAGATGTTTGGCGGTAATGTGGATACCTTCAAGATTCTTCTTGAGGATAGTTACTTGCCAAACTTGGCCTCATTGGAAGAGTCTATCAAGACAAACAAGACCAGGCTTCTTGTAATTAACAACCCAAACAATCCAACGGGTTTTGTTTGGGACAATGAAATTATGGAGAAGATTGTTGGAATTTGCCAATCATATAATGTCACACTTATGTGTGACGAGGTGTACAGACCCCTTTACCATGAAGCCAATGGTACCAAATCAGTGGTGTCATTTGGATACGAGAATACCATATCCACAGGTTCCATGTCCAAGGCATTTTCTTTGGCCGGTCTTAGATTGGGCTGGATCGTCACTAAAGATGCAGCGTTGATCGAATCAATCTACGAAAAAAGAGACTACAATACAATCTCTGTACTGATGGTAGATGATTTGTTAGCAACAATTGCCTTAAAACACAAGGATAACATTCTCGAGCGGGGACATGCAATTTGCAAGAATAACCTTGATGTGCTTGAAGAAGCTATTACAAAGCTGAATGGCTTATTACAATGGCAGCGTCCCCGTGGGGGAAGCACCTGTTTTGTGAAAATAAACGCCGAAGTGAATACCTTGGCAATGGCAGAGGAATTAGCTACCAAGCACGGTGTCTTACTTGTACCCGGGGAATTGTTTAACCAATCCGGCAGTGTAAGAATTGGGTTTGGGAACGGTGAACGTGATATTAAGGAAGGAATCAAGGTCTTGATCCTGTGGCTCGCCGACCGATCCGGGAGATAGGGTTCCCCAGGACCAATCAGGCGATGATTGTAACAAGAATGAGGGGAAAGCCACGCCGTTGTGGATTAAGCCCTGATATTCCTCCGAAAGTAAGACCCCGGTTAGCGAATATTTACGACACCACGCATTGACATCGCATCTATTTATAGACTTACGCTGCACGAAGTGCAGAATTACTAAGTGCGTTCTACCTACTGAGCGACAAACACGGTTACGTAACGGACAACACAGAAGACAAAATTGATAGTAGGCCGTACGGCAAAAGCTCCGTCGGCCGGCGTGGCACCAAAACACAAAAAACTACTCCATTGTTTTAGGTAGGCCTCGAACGGACCGTACTTTTATCCACCGTTTATCAATTGTCACTACTGACCAATTGCAGTACTGTAGCCCCCACCAACCCACTCAATGGCCTAGCCTCCACGAACACCAACCAAAAGAATGGTCCATGAACTACTCACAACACACCTTCTCCACCCTGCATTACAAATCCACAGTAAATAAAAAAACCATACCGACTCCGTTCTTAAAATAGGTATCATGGGGAGTGTTTACTAGTATACCGTGCATGAACATAAACTTCACGCTGGATGGCCGCTCTGCGTGTACCTGGTGCCTCTCCTACTGGTTACCTGAACAGCTGCAGGTGTGCTTCTTTATTTTAGGCACCATCCATTGTATGTATATATAGATATATAGTTGTTTTGTGTCTTGTCTTGTTTTTCTTAGGTCGGTTCCTTGGACGTCACTCGCGCAGACTTAAATAACCTTGGTTCCCCTGCCTATTTTTCAGTTTCTTTTCTTTTCTTTTATTTTTTTCTTTTTTTAGTTGACTTCAATTTCACTGATTTCCCCTTCCATAGGCAATTAGGTCCAGGACCCTTTGAAAAGTGTATTATTAAAATTATTCATTTTAAGTCTTTTTTATTTTTTTTTTTTTTACCACTTTTTTCACTCCATCGGCGCCTGCTTGCTTTATCCATCATTCGATCTTGTACTTAGTCCTACGCACTTTCCACAGCCTCACCGGATCCATCGCTACTACTGATAAAAAAAGTCATCTACTTCGCACACCATGTCCCATAATGGAAGAGAGGTCAATAAGGTGTATGGCCAGGACTTCATCATCGACCAACGGTTTAAGATCGTTAAGGAGATTGGTCACGGCGCCTATGGTATAGTGTGCTCGGCCAAGTTCGGCTCACCCCAGGGCGACGGCAATTACGTTGCCATCAAGAAGGTCACCAACATCTTTTCCAAGAAAATCCTTTGCAAGCGTTCTCTTCGTGAGATTAAGCTTTTGCAGTTCTTCCGTGGTCATAAGAACATCACTTGCTTGTATGACTTGGACATTGTCCCCCACCCTGCCACTGGCGACTTCAACGAGATCTATCTTTACGAGGAGTTGATGGAATGTGACATGCACCAGATCATCCGCCTGGGCCAGCCGTTGACCGACTCTCATTACCAGCTGTTCATCTACCAAGTGCTCTGTGGCCTTAAATACATCCACAGTGCTGATGTGTTGCACAGAGACTTGAAACCAGGTAACTTGTTGGTCAATGCTGATTGTGAGCTTAAGATCTGTGATTTCGGGCTTGCAAGAGGTTTCTCAGAGGATATTGAACAGAACTCACAGTTCATGACTGAATACGTGGCCACACGCTGGTACCGTGCGCCAGAGATCATGCTCTCCTTCTCCAACTACACCAAGGCTATCGATATCTGGTCGGTGGGTTGTATTCTTGGAGAGCTTTTGGGCGGCAAGCCGCTTTTCAGAGGAAAGGACTACGTCGACCAGTTGAATCAAATCTTGATGATCTTGGGTACTCCCAAGGAGGCCACCCTTACGAAGATTGGCTCTGTCAGAGCTCAAAACTACGTTCGTTCCTTGCCCATAATGAGAAGGGTGCCATTCACTGAACTATTTCCTAATGCTAATCCATTGGCTCTTGATTTGTTGGAGAAGATGCTTACGCTAGATCCTCACCAGAGAATCACTGTCGACGAGGCATTGAAGCATCCGTACATGTCGGTTTGGCATGACCCCAACGACGAGCCAGAGTGCAAGGTCAAGTTTGACTTTAAGACATTCGAAACCGTGGATGATCTTGATTCAATGAAACAACTTATCATCGACGAGGTCCGCAACTTCAGAGAGTTTGTTAGGAAGCCTATTCATGAACAGCATCAGATACAACTTCAGATGCAACAACAACAATTGCTAAAAGAACAGCAACAAAACAATAACCAACATTCTGAAGGGATCGAAGACACTGTTGAAGCAGTGAACGCTCAAATGGAACTGTTCCCTGATATGTTTAACACGGACTACTCAATGAACAGCGCAGGGGTTCTCACCTACCCTGATCAATTACATAACGACGACAATGGAATGCAGTTTTACGACGCAGTTCCTAAGCCACAAGAACTTGATCACTTTGCACATGTGGATGAGAAGAACGACAATCCAGAGTTATTTCAACTTGAAGAAGAACTAGGGTTTGGCTTGGATCGTTCAACCACATTCAACACCTAATCATGCCCTCTCCTGCTGAGTACTGGAAATGGCTGTATGAAAGCCAGTGCTATAGCGCCTACATCTTGCATTATCGTGAATAAAAATACATTAGAGCATTACCGTACATCCTTATTCAAGTAGATAACTGAAAATATCTCCGTTTCTTCCAAAGATGTAAAAACGATCTGGACACGCCAGATAGCTCTGGATCTTACCATCTCTCAAGAAGTAGGAAAAGTCAACCTCAAGAGAAGGGATTTGGATCGAAGGGAGCTCTTCGTCGTTCACAATCTTGTGGATGATGCTGGTATACTTTTTGCGGCCATCTTTGGCAACGTTGCTGCCAGAGAAGTGTCTTTTCAAACGGATCTCAAAAAGCCAGCGATATAACAGCACCACTATTTTCTGTCTTTCGTCATCATCTTCTATAGAATGTGTCAGACGTTGTGGACTAGGACTTAAAATTTTGCTGATACCGATGTTGCCAAGTGGTGATTTGGTGAAGCCATTCTCATCATTGTAAGATAACGAACGAGCTCTTGAATGTTGAGCCTTTGTCACTGCAATAGTTGGAGGCAAATTGTTGGAGAGCGGCTTCACCCTACTTGAAACTGGTTGTAATGCTTGTTGATGAGTGGTGGGCTCTGCATTTTCCTTTTCTTTCGAGTCTTTCTTCTTCCTAGTAGTGAGATGTCCTTTCTTGACTCTAGATACGGCCTTACTGTCGAAGTCCCATATAATAACCTTACCGTCAGCGCCGCATGACATTAATTTGTATGCGCTTGAAGGTGAGTTATCTTGGATATGTGACTTACTAAGTTCGTCTTTCTGAACGAAACTCACCTTTTCGACAGTGTTAGTGTGTCCTTTGAGTCGGCTAACGATTGTAATGTCTTTTATCATTGGAGGGAAGAAGCAGCTTGAAGCAGTACCAGCCTCATTTGTATCTTCACGGCCGAAATCCAAACTTGTAGAAGTTGTGGCGCTCTCAGTGGTAGATAAGAATAAGGATGGCGCATGTTGCGGGAAGGAGTTACCACTGTTTACCGTGCCACTGCGGGACCTGCCACGCTGGTGACCGGACTTTTTGTTGATTAATCCGTTTATGTTGTAATACGTCATTTTGAAGACTTCTATGAGATCACCTTTTCCACCTATGGTGAAAAAGCGATGGTCTGGTGAAAACTCAATATGACGGATGCCATCTTGGAAATAGCTTGCCACAATATCAGAAACTATCAGATGATTATAGAAATTTTGTGGATCACCGTAATTTTTGTTGTGTGTGTTAAGAAGATCAATCAACCTGACGAGACCATCATCTGAAGCTATTGCAACAATAAAAGGATTCTTCATGAGATTTTGGGGAGGCGTGGACAGGTATGGAATTGTGCTTGCAATCGAAGTTATAGGTTTATGACTTAACTTAAAGTGGCCGACAATGTAGCCAGGAGATTCTGGTACTTCTGTGCTGTCCTCAAGTTTGTTCAAAGGACTCAAATCAAACTTCTTAAACAACGTAATTGAACTATCATGTCCCACCTCTCGTTTTGCGTAGGGGATGTCGGATTCGCTGCCAAGTAAGTCTATGAGAACCACTTCACCATTGGCATAACCAGCAATGACGAGCAATTCATACTTGGTATGTGTAATCGCTGAAAGAGATGTTACCGACACATTTGTCCATGAAGCGTCCGCGCTCCCATCACGAGAAGGCTTCAAGCCTAAGTTGTCAAAAAATCTATAAGTGAGGTGAGCGAGGTTAATTGCTAATATGGCTCCCGAATTGAGACCCAAAATGACAATTGGATCAAGAGTCTCCATGCATACCAAGGTAAGAAGGCTTGTGACCATCAAGTTTGGCTGTAGTTGCAAGCGTAGCAACGGTACCTCAATCACCTTCTTATATGGCTTGCATGTTGTAGTTAATATTGTGGGAGGCGGTGGCTGTTGTTGCGGTTGAGATCCAGGCGTGGCCGTAGTGGTAGAAGATGGCGCTGGAGAGTCTCTCTCCTCTGTTAACGGAAAAATTGCAGAAGTTGAGTTTGACTCTTTGGTACCTGTGAGTTTGTGATCTTTGTCAATGCCAAAGACATTTATGACATTGACGTTGGTAGATACAAGAAGCTTTTTGGTGTTGGTAGATTTTACCTGCGAATAGTAGGTTTTGGAATCAAAATCCAAGAGTTTTGCAAACACCTTCAGGTTGGAATTTTTCAGATTTCTTTTCGTTGCATGATTCAGACCGCCAAGTTGTGGATGAGTTATGAAATGAGGTGAAGACTCGGGAATGGCGTTCAAGAGCGAAACAAACGGAGACTCAGGACCCTCTTCCACTGGGGAAGCGCCCATTCGTAAAAACCTATTCAAACTCGAGGTCATATTTCGAAACGGATTGCGGTTTTCTGTTTGGTCGTTAGCCCTTTCGTTAGCTAGCACTATCATTGAAGTCAAGCAACCTGGATTCATGTGAACCAACCGATAAGGGTCCGGTGTTAATGGATTGACGTTGGCTCCAATATGAAGCCCACCGTCTTGTTTAATACTGCTATGGTGTCCATCGACAATCTTAGAAAAAATGCTGGTAACATGGTATGGCAACGAGACGTATGTGGACGACTCAACGTTTTTATGTACATCATGTTGGAAAGGCGGCCTTGCCACATGTAAATATGAAGAGCTTAACTTGGCTTTCACAGCCGCTGGAAACGCAGCTGAACTTGTTAAGGGCCAATTGAGTTCTGCCAATCGCTCCAGTACTTGTTCAGGCACTTCGCCCGCCGTTGAAAAGTGGGTGTTGTCGTCAAGCAGCAGCAACCCTGGGCATACTGATTCAAGAAAGAACAGCGCCGGCGGGAGCTGCAGCTCAGGGATATTCATCAGTGTCATTCAAAAAAGGATGTGGAGATATGGAGAATATCAGCGGCTTAGATAGTAGTAGTAGTAGTGGATGAGACAGTGGCAGACAGGCAAACTTGGGGCCTAGCAATGAACGAGGAGGCAAGGGGCTTAGCCATAAATTATCAGACAGTTTAGCACCGATGCAAACAGGGTCTGAATTAGAAAGGATAGTGTGTTTCAGCTATACGGCGTTGGCTTTGGATGTAACCTGGGCTCAATAGGAGACGGTTTACTGTGGGTACTGGATACAGGACAAGCCAGAGCCGTAGGAGAGACATGGTACTAGTAATGGCAACATGCAGAGGAAAATTGGTAATATGGCAAGCGAAAGACAAAGGTATACCAAAACGGAAACCAAAACGACTCATTCGGTTTTTAGTTTATTGTTGGCAGGTAGAGATACGAAGTAAGGTGTAGCCGTGGAAAATAACGCACGTGAACAAAGTCACGCGCAAAATATGTCAGCCCAAGCGCTTTTCAGTACAGGATGTAGTCTCGGACCTAGTCCGCTGGGCGGGTCGTCTTGGGTTGAGAACGGCAAATACCGAGAGGATCTTGAACCAAACGCATAAAATAGTTAGAAAGTATCAATTGCACCTAACATTGAGTTTTCCGCTTTCGGAACTGCCTCAGAGTTGTGGGGAATAGTGTAAGGTTTCATATCCTGCACACAACTCGCGCAGTCGAGGTGCCATTGAGCTGCCCCAGAGATGACTGAGGAGGGACCACTACTTTTTTCCTAACCACTGTTTCCATGTTTCCCACAAAGACCTCGTCTTGCTCTCGTTGAAGAGAAGAACTGTAAGTGTTTATGACTGACGGTATGCAGGAGGCTTGAGTCCACATTTGATATTCTGAGTTCTTCGTTACTGGCATTGGCGATGGTACCAGCATAAATCCATGAAACGTTACAGACAAAGAGATTTATGGATGTGAAGGTCACAAAGAACCTGAACATATCATAGAATGAATCTCGTTTAAAGATAACGTCTGTCGTCTGGATTGGCCGTCAGCTGGGCTTGTACGAAGGGCTGCCATCGCCAGAGAAGAGTCCTGTCGAATATTGCCAATTTGACCATATAGCTATGCGAAGGAGGAAACTGTTCTTTGAATGACTTCTTTTCGCTAGTGGTTTGGGGGTAGAGCATTCGAGGGTCTTATCTCTATCTATGGTGGCCAGGAATAGAGGCCCATTGATAGGGAGAGACATTGTCGCAACACACGTGACTCAACACGTGCAAGAATGTTTTATGTACCTCGCTCGTTACCAGCGCGCGCGACATTGTCGGTCGGCAACTCTGGCTTGCTCGGTGGCAAGACAAAATTTTTTTCCTCGCTCCCTGAATTTCCCCCCTTAATCTGATACTTTATCACCCTACCTACCCACACAAATAGGGGTATTTTTGCATTTCGGCTCACGTCCTAGGGTATTTTGCTACACCAAGTTCCATTGGTAGGGTTATTTTGGAGCTTTATCCCGCATTTGTGCCTGTCTCGAGCCCGGTTTTCCAGGTGTTGTCATCATCCCCCTTCCCTTTTATGGGAGAACGACATTTTTTACCCACAAGTGGAAACCCGTACACCCATAGTTAAGAGTCGTGTTAGCTCTTTCACACTTGTCAAGGACAGATAACCGCCACCAGGGCATTCAATCAATCTCCTAAAGCCCTCCAGAGGCTTCCAACCAACCTACCCTGACCCTTAGAGGTCCTTCTGCCCGCCATCATGGCTGTTTTACCACCCAAAGCCGCAGCCGCTTCCAAGAGCGGTTCCGGTGCCAGGTTTAGACAGCGGAAGATCTCCGTCAAGGTCCCTCTACCTATCTATAACCAGAAGGATCTTGTTGGAGGAGATGCCGAGCTAGAACCATCCCAACTACATCACCTCAATGCGGGTACATCACAACAACCCCGTGACATGCATAGTATCGAGACTGGTGTTGATAAGAATGAAGAAGACGAAGTTCATCTTCAGCAAGTCATCAATGCTGCTCAACGTGTCTTGTTAGGGTCCATTAAAGAAGAAAAAGATAAGAAAGATAGCTCAGTGTACATCCCCACACCTGATGCCTCGAAACTCTGGAAAGAAGCGTCTAAGTTCTACAATGACAATTCATTTGTCGAGCCTGAGTCTTACATTAAGTTCAGTGCTACTGTTGAAGATACACTTGGTGTGGAATACAACATGGATGAAGAGGATGAAGAGTTCTTCAAGAATACCCTCGTAAAGGATTATCCTAAGCCAGGTAAAAAGACTGAGAAGAAGAAGGACCCCAATTCTGATGATACAAGACCTTGCTCTGAACTTGAGTTTGAAATTGTCTTGGATAAGTTTGAAAAGACCATTGAGGAGAAACAACCGTTCCTCTCAATGGACCCCTCGAACCTTCTTCCATACTCCGAACTTTCTGCATACATCCTAGAGGAGTTTAATTCAACTGGCAACAAGGACTATCCATATCTGCAACCTGGCTCAAACTTGAACTATATGTCAACTTCCACCCTCAAAGAAAACCTTTCTAAAGAGCTTAACTATGATCCCTTCATCACTTTGTTCGACAAGAATCCCCGCGATACTTCTAACACACTGAAGACGAGACCAATTCCTGCTTTAATGCAACTCTTTGGTCAGGCTATTTATGATCACTGGAGTAAAAGGAAAATGGAGCGCAAAGGAAAACAAATCAGCCCTCAATTGAAATTTGAAGATCCCAATGCTAATGAGAAGGATAATGATAATGATCCATATATCTGTTTCCGTCGTCGTGAGTTTCGTCAGGCACGTAAAACGAGACGAGCTGATAATTTGGGTGCGGAAAGAATCAGACTCCTTCAAAAGTCTTTGCGTAAAGCGAGAGATTTGGTTCTCAACGTTTGCAAGCGTGAACTTCTTAAGCTTGATCTCTGGAATTCTGAGTATGAAGTGTTCAAGACCCGTTGCGATACCAAGAGTGTGAAAAGAGCTGCTGGTGTCAGGGGTGATGATCACTTATTCTACCCCCACAAGAGGCGGAAGCTCCCCAAGATCGAGACAGAGGAGGAGGAATCGGAGACTCCAGCTACCAAGGTTCGGAAAGAAAGAAAAAAGGCTGCAGAAATGGAACCCTCTACTTCCTTGGCCACCAAGGACAAACAGGCCAATGGCCAAGTTCAACCCGAAGCGTCTACCAACCAACCATATGTCAAGTTGCCACCTTCGAAGATCCCAGATTTGGACTTGGTTACTGTCAATTTGGTGCTCAAGGAAAAGAACGAGACCATCAAGCGTGCTGTGCTTGAGAAGTTACGCAAGAGAAAGGAGCATGATAGAGGCTATGTTAACATTACCTACGATCCTTACCAGCCCTTCTTCAATCTTACTACGAATGACTTGAATTCACATCTTGAGTTGAGTCACATTCCGTACTCTTCCATCGCTGCTAGCAATTACCATCAAGTGAACACAACGAATGTTATCAGCGATTCGTTGAAAAGATTATTGGAAGATGCCAAGAAGCCTTTGCCTGGAATGAAAACTTTCAGGGGAAGCAATGGCGAGCTCGTTCCTTCAAAGCCGTTCCCGCATTTGCAGAGTTTGCTTGATGATCACATCAATTCGAAGAATAACTCTGAGGGTTATGTGGCACATCTACTCAACAGCATCCAGAACAATGATTTCAGTTCCTACTCTGAGGGATTCGGAAAGAAGGATGTGGAAGAAGAAGAGGATGCCAAATGTTCTGGCCCCATTTTCAGAATGCGCAGACGTCAAGGCCGTGCTAATCAGCAATTTATAGACAGAAGAGGCCTCATGAGAAGACCGGATGCTGAGATTGATAGCTGGCTTAACCAGTCCGAGCTGTCTAATGAGTCTAGTGACGAAGATGTGATGGATGTCGACGGCGGCGCATCGCCAGAAACAGAGGCTTCTCCCGTCTTGAATGCTTACGATTGCAAGTCTGACGCGGTTAAACGTTTGGACTCCCGCTGGCAGTTTGACAATGACTACACCGAGAGCGATAAGGGGATCAGAAGTCCTTTCAGCTTGGATCCATCGAGACTCAATTGCATTAGCGACGAGACTCAATCGATCAGGTTTGGATCGATGTTGCTTTCAAAGTCTTACGATTTGTTAAGAGAAAGTGCCCACCAGAGACAAGTTATGATTCAACAAGCACGGATCAGAGCATTGCAGCAACATCAACTCAATAATAGAAATCAACTGCAAGGTCTGCATCAGCTGTCTCCCGAGGCACAAGCTCAAGACTCCAACAAGGCTGGTGCTGGTCAAGGCGCTAGTAACGTCTACAGGAAAAATGGACTTGGAGGCACCATGGGAACTGCAGTTGCAAAGACTCCACAACAGCTTCACGCACTCCAACAGTTCCGGAAACAACAAAATCAACAGCAGCTTAGCCAAGCATACCTTGCCCAAAAGAGAAACACCGGGGGCAGTATGTCACCTGGACCATATAATGGCGGCAGCAGCAGCAGCGGCAGCAGCGCTACAACACTGTACAATAATAACGCAAAGTACCCAGCGGCAACCATGCAAGGTGGACGCCGCTGAGCTTGATAGACTTGCGTTGAAGTGTGAAAGTCTCTTGATGAGAAATTCACCGGTCGGAGATAAACCCCGATTTCATGTAAAATAGCTTGACGATACTCAATGTCATGATTAATGAAACCATTACATGTAGCTTTAGCGCCAGGAGATTACAAATAGATCTTATTAAGGTTGAGTTGCTAATGCACGATGCACCACATCTCATCTAAGAATGTCTATTACTCCGAGAACAAAGCAACTGTGGCTTACTAAGGGACACACACAAGGGCTCACAACCACAGCTATATATATACCCCATACATTTAACTACAGATCCAATTTCATCACATCTATTTAGTTCTAAAACACTCAATTGATTCAAAATGTCCAAGAATACCATTGTTTTCGGTGCCCACGGCAAAGTAGGCCAAAGATTGATCGGCGTGCTTGCCAAAAACAAGGCCAGTGCTACTGCCGTAGTCAGAAACGATTCCCAAGCTCAGACCATCTCCAAGATTGCTGGAGGTTCTGACTCTATCAAGACTACAAACTTGGATTTGGCCCAGACTTCTGTCAAGGAATTGGTTTCCAAGTTGCAGGGACACGATTCTGTTGTCTTGGCTGTTGGTTCAGCTGGAAAGGACCTCTTGAAGGTTGACTTGGATGGAGTTGTGAAGACTTTCGAAGCTGCTGTGGAGGCTAAGATCCGTCGTCTCATTTTGGTGAGTGCTCTTTTCGCCGAGAGCCACGAGTTCTTCGAGAAGTCCAGTCTTCGTGATTACTATATTGCCAAGCACTACGCTGACAGAATCTTGATCAACGAGTTTGGCTCCAAGTTGGACTACACCATTCTCAAGCCATCGCTTTTGGGTGATGGAGACGGAACGGGTAAGGTTCAATTCCTCCAGCCTGGTCAGGAAGGTAAGGTCATTGACCGCCAGGACGTTGCTCAGTCCATCTACAAGATCTTGGACTTGAAGAGCACTTTTGGCAAGAGCTACAACTACACTGCTGGTGACCAGTCAATTGACAGTGACCTGACCTGGAACTGACTTTCGGAAAAGTTGTAGACTTTTTTCTGAGTTTATGATCAATTATGAATATATTTTTTAAAAAAGTCTATAATGCCAATCTAAATATGCAACTTCTAAAACAAGCCCTCAATCTCTCCATCGTCGTTCACCTCGACGTTCATGTAGCCAGCATGCGTAGGCAAACCTGGGATGGTCATGATCTCGGCAGCCAATGCGTACAAGTAACCGGCACCAGCACTACATCTCACCTCTCTAATAGGCACAGTGAATCCAGTTGGAACACCCTTCAAAGCTGGATCGTGAGAAAGGGAGTACTGGGTCTTGGCAATGCAAATAGGCAACTTGTCGAAGCCCTGCTTGGTGTAGGTTTCAATCTGCTTCTTGGCCAATGGAGACAATTCAATTGCCTCAGCACCGTACATCTTCGAGGCGATAGCCAACAACTTATCTTCGACAGAGGAGTTGACATCGTACAAGAAAGTTTGTTCATCGGTTTCTTTCTTGGTAGCAGCGTTGGCAACAGCTTCAGCCAACTTCAAGGCTCCAGAACCACCTTCAGCCCAGTGAGCAGAAGCAACAGCGTAGTCAGCACCAGCAGCCAAAGCCTGCTCTTGAATAAGACGAAGCTCGTTCTTGCTGTCGGTTTCAAACTCGTTAATAGCAACAACAACTGGGACATTGTACTGCTTAATGTTAGAGATCTGCTTGGCCAAGTTAGCACAACCCTTCTCCAAGAACTCCAAGTTTTCAGTGGTGTACTCGCTTGGCAATTCCTGACCAGGCTTGACGTCAGAAGCACCACCGTGCAACTTCAAAGCTCTGGAAGTGGCAACAAGAACAACAGTGTCTGGAGAGACACCAGCAGCACGGCACTTAATGTTGAAGAAACGCTCACCACCCATGGTAAAGTCGAAGCCAGCTTCAGTAATAACGAAACCCTTCTTACCGTTGTTGATAGGGTTAGCTGGGGAAGTCAATTTCAAGGCCAACTTATCAGCAATGACAGAAGAAGCACCGATGGAAATGTTGGCGAATGGACCAGCGTGAACGAAAACAGGAGTACCTTCAAGAGTCTGCATCATGTTTGGCTTAACAGCGTCCTTCAAAAGAGCAGTGATGGCACCAGCACAACCAATATCCTCAGCAGTAATAGCGACACCAGTTTCCTTCTGAGTACCAACGACAATCTTACCCACACGCTCTCTCAAGTCCTTGAGGGAAGTAGACAAGGCCAAGATAGCCATGATTTCAGATGCGACAGTGATATCGAAACCAGAGGTACGAGGTGGGTACTTGGCAGCCTCGTTCTTACCCTGACCAAGAGTGATTTCACGAACAAATCTGTCGTTACAGTCAACCACACGCTTGATAGTAATGGATTCTGGATCAATATCGAGCTTAGCAAATCTTGTAATTTCTTCATCAGTCAAGTCATCTGGGTTGGTCTTGTTGATACCCAATTTCTCCAAACGAGCCAACATCTGCTTGGTGAACAGACGCTTACCCTTCTTAGCAGGCACCAAACGTTTGTAGAAACCCTTAACAGTCTTAGAAGTAGATTCGTGGAACATACGAGTGTCAACAGCAGCACACAACAAGTTCTGAGCAGCAGAAATTGCATGGATATCACCAGTCAAGTGCATGTTAAACTCATCCATAGGAATAACCTGAGCGTAACCACCACCGGCAGCACCACCCTTAACACCAAAAGTAGGACCCATAGATGGCTGACGAACGTTGGCAATGGAGTTGAAACCCAAGTGAGCACCAAGAGCCTGGGTCAAACCAATAGTAGTGGTAGACTTACCTTCACCCAATGGAGTTGGAGTGATACCAGCAACAAGAACAAAGTGACCACGAGAAGAAGCGTCGCCTTCGAGCTGTTCATCCAAACGCTCAGCAACCTTCTTAGGGTCAACCTTAGCCTTGTAGTGTCCATATGGCTCGAGTTCAGCCTCCAAAAGACCCAATTCCTGGGCAACCTTGGTGATCTTCTTTGGCTTCTGAGCACGAGAAATAGCAATGTCCAGAGGCACAGGACGCTTGATTTCAAGAGGCAAAGGCTTGAACTTGTGGTCATGAGCACGCTTAGCCTGAGCAACGGCAGCATCGTAGACGTTCGAGCACAACATGGCAACAGTCATAGGACCAACTCCACCAGGAACAGGGGTAATGTAAGAAGCCTTCTTGGAAACCTCAGCATAGTCAACATCACCAACAAGCTTCTTACCGTTCTTGGCGGTTTCATCTTCCTTATAGTTGATACCAACATCGATCACAATAGCACCGTCCTTGACCCAGTCAGCCTTAACGTACTCAGGAATACCAACAGCAGCAACCACAACGTCAGCACCACGCACAACAGATGGCAAGTCGTAGGTGTAACGGTGACAAACAGTAACAGTACAGTCCTCGTTTCTCAACATGGCTGCAACTGGAGTACCCACAATATCAGAACGACCAATAACCACAGCAGACTTACCACGCAATTGGATACCAGTTGTCTTGATCAATTCCATGATACCGTTTGGAGTACATGGTCTGAACTTTGGCTGACCTCCACGCTTGGAAAGTTCACCAACATTGAATCTATCAAACCCATCCACATCCTTCTCAGTAGCCACAGCATTAGTGACCAAAGTCTCGTTGATATGCTTAGGCAAAGGAAGCTGGATCAAAATACCATTAACCTTAGGGTCCTTGTTCAAACGGTCAACCTCTTCAAGCAATTCTTCCTCAGTAAGGTCTTCGTTGAATTGCACAAGCTTCAGCTGGATGTTGGAGGTGGTTGCAGCCTTAAGCTTCGAACGAACGTAAGCAGAAGAGTCTGGCCTGCTACCAACCTGAATAATGGTAAGCTGAGGCTTGAAATTAAGCAGCTCAAAGGAAATGTCATCATTGGTCAATGGAAGATTAAGCGATGGGACGTGTTCACGGTTGTACTCAATGACCTTCTGAGCAACCTGGTGTTTGATGGATTTGGCCAACTTTGTACCAGAGACAACAACAGCATCGAAGCTTCTGGTAGAGCAATGGAGGTGCTTTCGAGCAGTAGCACTCCGCTGCCACGTTCTGGAGAATCTAGCTAACATGCTTTGATCTGTTGCGAAATATTCAGCCTTGTGTGATGAACGTAGTGATAAGGCTAGGAAAAGGGGAAAAATAGCACTGCTTAGCGAACTGAAATAGTACCCTTAAGAGCTTTTAAAGTTCAGTAATTTCCAAACAAGAGAAAATATTCAGAGACGATCTGCCCTTGGTATATGTTACATTTGGAAAATTAAGCAAGAGGCATCTCGCTACGTGCGTGGTGTGCAGTACCCACGTTAGCAAGGCTGGCCGGAAAAATTTTCTTCCATGAGTCATTTCGGTGTCGGAACAGATAGTCCGCAGGGCATATGCCCTAAGGGACCATAGCCTTCTTTTCCAAACCAGACTGCCCAAAAATCCATTACAAAACCAGTAGCAAAACCTGTTCAAGTCAAAGATATCACAGGTGACAGATGGTATGCCATCTTACATGTACATTAAAGACGTTTTGACTCTGTCCCAGACATGCTGCAGACAGAACCGCTTATTTCTTGACTCGGCCCTCTGACTCGGTTTGTTCCTCCTGTAGAGAACGCACCCTTTCGTATCTTTCAATGCATGTCTCTCTGGTTAATTCACATGGCCAAGGCATCAATGGCCCGTATTATCGACATTTACCGACAAGACTGTCTTCGGACTTGCGGACTCTTCTCGTACCAGCTCGAGTTGCTTGAGTACACCAACTTTGGGTGGCTGCGAATTATCTGCCAGAGCATCCTCCTGGGGCGCCTCAATCACTTCAACAGAGTCAGATTCTGGGGTACCTTCGGACGACCTTATCTCTATTATATCTTCTGGAGCCTTATCAACATCTGCACGCTCATCGATGTTCTGCATTGAACCATCTTCCTCTTTTGCAACCATTTTTCCCAGCGCTTCTGCATCCTTTTCACTGGTAGATGCCTCCAAGGTTTCCATAACATCTGGAGTGCCTCGTAACAGCTGAAGCATGCTTCGGGCTCTAACCATCACATCATCTTCAGTTTTTGAGGAATCGCCTCCTGCCGTAGACCCACGAGTAGCATCCTGATTTGACAAGTCTTTCATTCTAGACTCCTGACCAAGATCCAGATCTGGTTTCTTCTCATCAGGCTTCGAATTGTAAAGCTCAGAACGTAACCTTGCTTGTCTTTGTCTTGCTCTACCCTTATCATTTGCCGCTCCAGACTTAAGCTGGCGCAAAAGCTCATCGACGGCAGCTGCACCCTCAGAATCTTGGTTAACTTCGCCATCCACGTCCTCTTCATCATCTTCATCGTCGTCTTCATTCTGATCCTCGGCATCTTCAGTGTCTGCTTTGGCATTGGCGTCTGCAGCTTTAGGAGTCTTCTTGTCACCGGCGAGCTTAGAAAGCCTGTTCTTCTCTCTCCGTTGAATGGCCTGCTTCTTCATTTCATAAGCTTTCTCTTCCTCCTCTCTTTGGACATTCTCGGCGTGTACTTGCTTGAACTGATTGACAAATGCTGCAAACTTAGAGAAGAATGTGTTTCTGCTATTGCTATCTTCCGGCTTCTCGTCAAAGTAAACCATTAATGCATTGTGGTCTTCAACAGTCTTCCTGAGCTGTTCAATTAACTGAGTTGCGTTCTCTTTAGCAACAATGAGAGGACGTTTGATCACTCTAAGCACCTTATCCTCAGAATGGAAAATACTTGGGTCACTCAAATTACCCTTCTCCAAGGATACCAAGACATTCTTAATATTCCGTTCGTACTCTTCACAATCCTTCTCGATCAGCTCGACATTAATGTTATGCATCTGATTAAGAACATTCAATTCATCAACAAACGAACCCCATTCTGAAAACTTGTTCCTGATAATTCTTTCAACATAATGAAGGAAAGTCATGGTGTTAGAGTTATCCTTAAGGAACTTCAACCGTTGTAAGGTATCAAGCTTGAAGCCCAGAGCCTGCTTGGCATCATCATTCATATAATTGACAACCTCAAGGATCAAACCTAATACGTGCTTCAAATTTTCACTTTCCCTGATTGCTCTGACAGTGTTATCAATCATGGTAAGCTTCGACTTCAAATCTTCGAAATCCTTCTTGTGAGTTTGAGTAACAAGAAGTGCTCTCGAACGGGACTTCCAGTAGTGTCTCATGTTATAAATCTCTAGGAACACTTTGTCAGCTCTTTCAAGGTCATCACTAGGTTTGGCAGGCTTGGATTCTGGGTTGTTGAGCTCATGGGAATATGGGACAAAGTTCCTAAACTTTGATTCTGAAAAGTCGTTAAATATCTCCGAAGTAAAGAACTCAAGAACACTGACATTATCAATTATGTCCTTGTCACAGTGTAAGATTTTGAGGGTAAGGTCTGGGGCAGAAACACTGTTATACATATGCAAATAGATGCCAAACTGGTGAGCTATGTCTCTTGGAATAAGCGTTTCTTTTTTAGCTGGCTTCTTAGCTGCGCTTGCATTCACAGCCTTCTTCTTTGGTGCCTCTTTCACCTTGAAATGAGTCTGGACCTCGTCGTAAGCATCTTGGGTCTCTAATTGCTCCAGAATCTCTTTATTCTTGATATCAGCCCAGATTGTAGACTTTGTGTCGTTAACATTATTAACATGCACAGTCTTGAGCTTGACCCCAGGCTTCTTCTTCATTACAGTAGCATCAACAGCTTCCTGGGCAGCTTTAACAGCCGGTGTCTGATTCTGATCACCAGTTTGATTAGGAGAAAGAAAATCTGGAGCCAAAGGAGGAGGCGGTGGAGGTGGAGGTCCTCCTTCCCCATCAGTATCGCTTGGAGAAGTAATAAAGCCTGGTAATGGTGGAGGAGGAGGGGGACCAGACTGTCCGTTAGAGTCCTGTGGCGCAATAAAGCCAGGCAACGGAGGAGGCGGAGGTGGAGGAGGACCAGAAGCTCCACTCTGAGCTAACATAGGTGGTAATGGTGGAGGAGGTGGAGGAGGAGGCCCAGCAGGAGCACCAGCTTTGGGAAGAAAATCTGGAAGGCTTGGTGGAGGTGGAGGGGGAGGAGGTGGAGGAGCCGGAGGGCCAGATACTGACGACGTCCCTGCTCCCCCAATGGCATTATTTGTTGATAGCTTACCGAGATCAGGGAACTCTTTTGTGAGCTTCGTTTCCTTGCCGGGGTTTTGCAGCAACACAGAGCCATCACGAAATAGTTCGCTTCTTGTAGAATCAGAACCGGCCGAACCAAGTATCAAATTGTCCTCGCTCTTCAGATCGCTAAGATGCTCAGCGAGATTATTGGTCAACTTAGACTTCTTAATATTCGTATTCCTCGACTTCTGCCTGGACAACTTGTACTCAAGCTCATCTAGAACAACCCCACGAGCAGCTCCCGAAGTGCCGGTATTTGAAGAAAGAGATGCAAAAGACGTCAAACGTTTCAGGCCTTGATCACCGTCAGATGACTTTCTTAATCTTTGCAAGTCGGCTTCAAGTCGCTTAATGGTATTCAGCATGACGCCAATCTGCTTCTCATAAGAGATGATGGTATCTCTCAGTCTTTCGAGTTCCTTCCTTAGCTGGGACGTCTGGTAGCTATCACTTTGCGAAGCTGAAAGCTCTTGAGGAACAGTCTTACTCTCCTTCAACTCGATAATTTCTCTTTTAAGGGATTCCATCTCCATCACGGCACGACGGGCAGTGTCATCAGTCTCTAAACGGTCAATTAACTTTTCGAGAGATACATTCAAAAGTGTGTCCGACTTGGTTGGTCCAAAAGTTTCGTCGAGTAGATGACCAGTAATGACATCAAGAAGACCAAAAAGACGTTTGGATTCTGGGCTAGACTTGGAGTTCTTGATCCATCTAATTCTCTCCAAGAGTGAACTCATATGCTGAGAGTCACTGTCAGATTGGATGAAGACGCCTGATTCGTCATCAAACTTGGTACGAAGGTCACTAAGATTTGAGTTAACCGATTCAGCATCATCTTCGGATTCGATTCTGAACAGTTTTTCCATCAAAAAGTGAGAGTAATCACCTTCGGCAAGGTGATTATAATGGGCCATATGCCTTGAAATTTTGTCATCATTGATTTCCCTGATCTTGTCGAGGATCTTATCGAGTCTGCTATCAGAGAACTCCTTGCGGAGGACTATTCTATCTTTCGGCCTCTCACAACACTCGAGTAGCTGATTAATAAAGATAATAGTCACAAGAACATATTCCTTGAAAATATCTTCATGAATGGAGCGATTATGTTGCTCAGTCTGAAGATGCTGGTCTAAAGTAGACTCCAATGCATTCATCCAAGGCTGGAAACGAACGAACATAAGATACTTGTCCTGAAGCTTTCGAAATTCATCCATAAGATGGGGGAAGAAATTATAGTCTTCAAAGTGAGTTAAATAAATAAGGAGCTCAGTAGCCAAAATTCTCGTTTCTATACTAGGAGAAAGTAACGAAAAAGGAAGACTTTTGACAACTTGTAAGTGCTCCTGAATGATCAAGTTGCTCGATAGAGGCACCTTCTGTACCTTATCATTAGAAGGGTCGGTAGCCATGACAGTTTTGAGACATCTGCAGATCACTTTCTCCTTTTCGAACTCGTCGTTTGATTTAATGCTTTTTTGGTTGATTTGTTTGAGAAGGTTAGCCAAAGCAGATTCACCTTGCTGCTCACGAAATTCTTTGACCCATTTATTGAGGGAAACGAGTCGTTTATCCAACTTCTTGTAATCCTTGGTCTGAAGAGAATTGCGAAGAATCTGGCGGATAAACCATACGGGAGAACCTTTCTTAGCATTAGATGCAGCTGTGGGAGAAATAACTCCAGAAATAGATGGATGCAATGTGCGATTCAGCGAATCAGATGTACGTTCACGAAGAGCCCATGATCCGGATCTGCTTGGAGCTTTCAGTTCAGGCGGGACAGGTTTTGGAGGTGGCTTCATCTCTAGACGCTCAACAGAAACAGTGGCCTCTTGAAGAAGTTGAGGGAGATCGAAAGAGTTGTTAGTCTCTCCCTCACTAAGAAGAAGTTCCCATTTCCGTTTAAGAGGAGTGGTTTTGAACGATTCTTCAGGAAACACTCTTATGGAAAGTAATCTTTGGAATAGGTGCTCAACAACTGCTGGCTCTGGCATTTGGTCAATGTTGGAGGTGACAACGCGGAAAGAATGCAAAGAATTAGATATTATGGCCTTGGAGCTAAGTATATTGGAGCTTGAGTAAGACCTTTCTTTAGGTTTCGAATACAAGGGTGCTGGAGGACCCAATTTCGAGATGCTATTTGTTGGAGCTTCAAAGGTGGAGCTGCTTATGCTGTGGGAACGGGGAATATGCGATTCTGGATAACTTGTTGATCTAGGCTTAGGATCAAGGGAACTAAAGCTGGCAGAACTATCATTAGCAGAGCTCATGATGTTGCCAGAAAGCGCCAAGTCTGCCGATGGGAAGTGACCTCGTGCTGGAGACAGAGAGGCTCGTGGGCTCTGAGCACTCAGTACGGGGCTTTGAGAGACCCATTCGTTGATGACATTGGTTTGAACAGGTGGCAATGCAGGCGCTTTTAGCTTGACCCTTGGTTCGTCAGAGCCAATAGAAGGCCGTTGGGGCAGATCAGAAACCGTGAATGAATCCTTCCTCGGTAGGTACCTGACCTGGGTTGGTTCAGTGGAATGAGCCACAGCATTATATGAAAAAGCCTGGAAGTCCTCATCAGGAGAAGATTCTTGGACGTTGGCCACCTTTGGTGGCGATGCAGAGCCCGAAGGGCTGTCTTGGTTGAACTGAGCAGCCAAGTTGAGTCGGGAGGCTGTCTTGCCTAGCTTTCGAATGGATTTGGTGAACACACTCATTTTGCCTGGCCGTGTTGATGCCGGCAGCGATAGCGAGCTCAGATCGTGCTCTGTGCCATCGTTCATTGTGTAGAATCGGGTTCCCTACGGCCCAGCGTGGTGAGGATGTTTCAGATTATCGTCTGGATCAATATGGGGCCAGGAACCAGGAATACGCACCATATAGTGAGCAAACACGCCAGAGAGGGCAGAAGGTCACTTCAACAGGTATAACAGAATGGGATGAAACGGTAATGAATCAATTGATGAAACTGAGTAGAAAAAGAATAGTAGTTCCTTTCTTTACTGTAAAGGAATGTTTGTTCAATGGCTGGTATGAACAGCCGTTCTAGGGATCATCGATGGCTGCGAAAAAAGGGCTAGAGCTACTGAGCATGTGATAAGAGAAGGCCCCGATAAGAAAAAACTCAAAGTATTTAGTGTTTTGGAGTATTTCAAGTATAAAGGAGACGTTCCTCGGGTTGATTGCTGGAAGGGAGTTTCTTGGTGATGTAGTCAACGCTTTGTGTTATCTACGGTGTGGTTATCAGTGCGGGACAATGGACAGAGGCATTGGGTGCAAAAAAGATCAAGGAGGGCAGAAGGTGAGGTCGGATGGAGCCAAAGAGGGTTTGGACAAATGAAGGGGTAAGTTAAGGCAAAAAGGAGTTTGTTAGTTGGTTATTGGGCTAGAACTAAGTTTAGTAGGTATTGAGGAATGGTGGAGTTATGGTGACTACTGAAGCATGCAATGCTTAGAGAGGTGCTTTTCAGCTATGCTACTGAAGGTAGTAGTACAACCAGGCCATGAAGAGCGTTCCCTAACATGAGCCACACCGACAGCAAGCCGTGTATAATGCCTACCATACTCCAGGAGACACAAGGTTAGCTAATTGGTACACTGGTTCCAAAAACAGTGGGTAAGTCAAGTTCCTTGAATCACCCAATTGACGCCTGTTTTCATTCGAATCGCCCTTATCAAGTTGTATCCACCGTTGTTTACCTTATCATTGTAAGTTCCATTCCCTGACTGTTTCTGCCCTAAAACAAGTTTCTCGCACCACTCAGTCCCCCAGTCCACCCACCATTTCTACATGTAACATCACTCCACCAACTGACCAGATAAGCGATCCAGTAGTATCTTCTTTTAGATTTCTACTTTCTTTACTATCTTTCCTTTCCATAAAAGAACAATTCCCTCACTATGCCCTCTACACTTACTGCTCATTTCCTTCCAGAAGTCTCTGGTGGATGGAAAATTGCCTCGCGCCGCGGGTTGCAAATACAAATATGCCTCTACCGAGACCACACCTAGATCCAATACAACCCCCCATCAATTTCCATACCCTGAATTCCAATAAACCCCAAATGACGTTCCCCGCTTTTCTTCACCCTCCCTCTTCACTATAAATACCCCTGGTTTTTTCCAACTTCTTTTCCTCCCATTTTTCACCCACCTCTTCGTTTGCTTCTTGCTGGAAGAACGGTCACCGCGCTGGCGCGGTTTATTTGTTTTCTCGCCCCAGAGTTTCGCCCCACGGCGCGCTCTACCGCCAGAATCGAAGGCCTTTCTACTGCCAGCCCGCGCCAGAACTGTTTTCCTCCCAGCAACTGGTTCTCTTTCGCTCTCCCGCACTGAAGCCTTTGTTTACCTTTCCAGGGACTGATCTACTACTACAACATCATGAAGGCTAGAGATAGAAAACCGGCTGTCAAACAACAGCTGATATCGAGCTTTTTTGCTAACGTTCCGGCTAAAAAACCATTGACTACTCCTGAAAAAGTGGTGGCTGGAAGGTCCAACTCTAGGCTCTCTGCTATTACCAGTACCAAGGGAGCGTTTGATGAGTTTGGCTCGTCAGATACGTCGTTTGGGTCGCCAGAAATGACAAACTTCAGCAACCCGCTACTTTCGAAATTGTCTCGGTCAGACTCGACTACTGGTCTGCCTGAACGGCCCAGATCGAAGTTTGCCCTGCCTAAAGAGGACTTGTTTGTTGTGGCTGATTCTGATGATGAAGATAAGGAAAATAATACTCCACGGTCAACCAGCCCGGTAAAGCAAATTCCATTAAAAAGAGCAGGCTCCTCCAACTTGTCTGAAATATTCAATGGCGCAAGAAAGCCCACCAAAAGGCCTGCTTCCCAGGTTCAAGAACCGACCTTCCCACCCAGAGAACCTCAAAGTGGAGAGATCAGACTAAGTGACGAACAAAGAGCAATTCTTGAACACGTCATTATCAGGGGAGAAAACGTCTTCTTTACTGGTTCTGCCGGTACTGGTAAGTCGGTTGTCCTACGCTACTTGGTCCAAGCATTGTATAGAAAGCATGGCATGTTTAGCGTGGGTGTCACAGCATCTACAGGGCTAGCAGCATGTAATATTGGTGGCCAGACTTTACATAAATATTTATGCATTGGTTTGGGAACAGGGGATCCACAAGAGTTGGCTAAGAAAATCCTGAGGAAACCAGAATCTCAACGGGCATGGAAGAACACGAGAGTGCTCATTATAGATGAGATCCTGATGATTGATGCCAAGCTATTTTCGAAAATAGACCAGATTGCAAAAATTATAAGAAAATCAAGGGAACCTTTTGGCGGAATGCAATTGGTTTGCACCGGTGATTTCTTCCAGCTTCCACCAGTATCAAAAGATAACCTGAGCAAATACTGTTTCAAGAGTCTCGCATGGAAGAGGGGAATTCAGCGTACAATCACACTCACACAAGTCTTCCGTCAGAAGGGTGATACTCAATTGATTGATATGCTTAATGCGTTGCGTCATGGTGATTTGGCTCCCGAAATGGTGGCCTTATTCCACCTGCTTCTGAGAAAGGTCCATTATACAGATGGCATTGAACCCACAGAATTGTTCCCCACGAGACAAGAAGTGAAGCGGGCCAATGAATGGAGGTTGCATCGACTTCCAGGAAAACTACAAAGATTCCACGCTATAGATAACGTGAAGGATGGCTATTTGACGAAATTATACGATAATCTAATGTGTGAACAGAGCCTCGATCTAAAAACCGGCTCTCAGGTTATGTTTTTGAAGAACCACGACAGTGTTGTTAATGGATCGATTGGCACAGTCTTGGGTTTTATGCCAGATAGTCTCTGGCTGACTGTGGGCATTACCTTTGGCTTTCGTGAGGCGATAAACCCTTGTCCCGAGTACTGCGACGCTGTTCGACTTATTTGTGACTTAATTGGAAGAAGCGACTATACAGATGAACAAAGGGCGATATATGAGAGTCTACCTTTATTCTGGAGGTCAAAGATGGAGAAGATCGTGGTCAAAGCTTTCCAAGTGCCCCCGGAGGCAGAGGCTTTGCCAATTGTGATGTTCAAAACTCCCGATGGATTTAAAGTGACGAAGGTTGACCGTGAGGATTTCACGGTGGATCAAGTTCCAGTCAAAGGGCCAGATGGCAAGACAGAGCTCATGAAGAGGACACAGCTCCCCTTACTCTTGGCATGGGCCATGTCTATCCATAAAGCACAGGGCCAGTCCATCGACAGACTCAGAGTTGATCTAAGGAAAACATTCGAAAAAGGTCAAGTGTATGTGGCGCTTTCTCGTGCTACTAGTAAAGATCGCTTGGAAATCTTGAACTTTGACCATCGACGCATCTCTGTCTCCGATGAAGTTGTTAAATTTTACAATTCTTTGACTTCTCATCAATAAACCCAAAAGAAGAAATCAAACAAACTTCTCCACCCATTATGTTCCATAGGGGAAACCATGCAACCAGATCAGAGTCAAACGCGAGATGGTCTAAGAAGCACAAAAACTGGGACCAGTTTTGCAACCAGCATAGTTATACGAAAGAATGCATCCACCAGAAGGCTTCCTTATGCCTTCCTCATGCCTTCTAATTGCATAAAAAAAAACATCAATTCTTACTTTCCTTCTTCGTCTTTCGGCGGGTCTGCTATCCCGGCCGAGTCTGTGTCCTTCACATAGCTATATCTCTACATTACGGCGCCATACCTCACCGCGGAAAATTACGATAAGAGTGGTATATTTACCTGCTTTATCCACTGATGCATTGAGGAAAGCTAAATTTGCTATCCATGTCTTCAAGGAGGAATTGCTCTGTTTCGTATGTGGCATAATTGTGTTTCATTGTTTTGCATATTACTAACCATTTAGCTGCCTCAACTGTCGAGCCAAAAAGGTATGAGTATCTCTAGTGTACTGGAAAATCGCCTATACTAACTGATAGCGTAAATGCGATGGACAAGAAGTGTGTAAGCACTGTCGAAAATATAATCTTAAGTGTGAAAGGCCAGATGATGATAATAGAAGTATAAGGTTGACAACAACAGAGACCCAAAAACTCCGAGGCTTGGTGTCGCTGCTTCAAGGCACCTTGTCCAGGGTTCATAATGTGGCTTTTCAACAGAATCAGTTATCCAATGCTACCGTGCTCGAGGAGATACGGCGACTCTTACAGCCATCGGTAAAGAGGGAGGGTGAGAATGTTGATGTGCCTGCTAAAAGGAAACTTCCAGTGTCGATTGGTGCTACTAGTGGAGGTAGTTACTCGATCTTTGGTCCTACATCGGCATTTTACAATTTGGTGGATATGTCAAACAACTCTGATTCGGCTGATCCTTTTGATAATATGCTCATGAACTCGTCTTCGTTGATAACATGTCTTGAAAACTTCTTTAAATATCAGTATCCCGATATTGCTACATTCATTCACAGAGAGAGTTTTCTTAATGACTTTTTACATCCACTGAACTTCAAGGGATACTGTTCAGAGGAGCTTATCTATGCCATCGCTGCATTGGGCGCAAAATGTTCAGATGACGATAATTTACGAAGCCTGGCTGGTTCATACTTCGAAACATCGAAATCTAAGATCTTCTCAAAGAAAATCTGTGTCCCTCATGTTAACACATTACAAGCTTTATTGTGTCTCTCGCTATATGAGCTCGGTGATGGTAATGCCTCTGCTAGTTGGATGTTGTCTGGGATGGCATTTAGAATGGGTTACGACTTGGGTTTTCAGTTGAATCCTCAGGAGTGGGCCATTGAACAAGGCGCTGATGAAGCCCATCCTGCTATCATTAACAATATGGATGTGATGGTTCGTTCTCGTGTCTATTGGGGCTGTTTTGTGTTTGATCATTTTGTAAGTCTTCTTATGGGCCGTCCGGTAACGGTTAGGAAATCTGAAGCCACCATCCCATCGAGTGAACATCTCCCCAATTCTACTGATATCGATAACTTCATTTTTCAGCCCACAAATGATCCCCATAGTGTGGCCAACATAGATGCATCACAATCTTTGGTATCCTTATGTTCCTTGAGTGAATGCATTGGCCTGATTCTTTCGGAAGTGTTCTCTAAGGATTCTGCTGGTGACGATATGTCTTACCTTACGAGGCGAAAGATTCAGGATTTCAATCTGTATTTGGAAGAGTGGAGAAGCAAGATTCCTACAGAAATGAGATGGAACAGAGCCACGTTGAAGAAGCAGAACTACAACCCTACACTGCTGAACTTCCGTCTCTACTACTACATTTTGGTCCTTTGTTTGAACAGACCATTCATGAATACCAAAATTGAAGACAATCTGTCGCATTCCTTGTGCAACAATGCCGTTTCTGAGTTGGCTATCTGTCTTGACAAATTCAACATGTCTGGGCTCCCGCCTTCAATTCTTGTTGTCTACCTGTCTATTCTTGGAATCAGTGTGGCGTTGTTGAAAATTCATTCCAATCGTGACGCACTTGTGGCAGACCATGACATTGAGAACTTGAAAGTATACTACACAACCATCTCCAGATCGTGCCAAAACTGGAAACTAGCAACACGGTCGCTTCTCTACTTGAAGAAAAAAATCGCCGAACTAGGACTCAACGATCTTAACAAAATTTTCGAATCTGCCGCTGAAGCTTACCAAGAGAGCCATTCCCAAGCAGACTGGGATCACCTCTTCGACGGCATGGACGCCAATATGGACTGGGCTTTATCTGACAATGTCTTTTCCAACTTCTTCGACTTCCTCAACACCGACGACGTCACCCGAGTCAACAACTAAATGTACAATACACCAAACCAGAAAACTCCCGCAACTTGGAGTTTTTCGCAACCAAAATGTCTAACCTGTAGCTTTTTTTCGTCTCTGCCTAAGGTAGTGCGAAATTATTCGATATCTCTCGTTCACCATAGTTTGCCATCATCAACCCCGAGGACTTCCAACCCCCAATGTCATCTAATACTTCTTCGTCAAACTCGGGTGATTTGGGATACAATGGCTTCCCTGTTTCGCTCAGCTACTTTGTGGCTGTGCCTGAAGTTCAGCTAATTGAAGATCCCAATATCGCAGTGCTCTTCAAGTCACTTTCCAAGAAGAATAGCGTGACAAGAGAGAAGAACCTTAGTGACTTGGTGAAATCTTTCAATGATCCAAACTGTACTATTACTGACGCTGTGATCATGTGCTGGATCCAGCTGTACCCAAAGCTAGCATTGGATAACTCGAAGCCAGTCAGACTTCTTGCTCATCAAGTACAGGGCACGCTATTGAGGAGAGTAGGTGGGAAAGAGTTTGGCAAGTACTTGAAAAGTACTATTCCTTTGTGGCTTCTGAGTATTTTCGATACTGACTCGCCAGTGGCTAACGGATCGTATAAAGAGCTTCTTGAAAGCTTCCAAAACGATAAGGAAAGGGTCGATAAGAAACTTTGGCATGTCTTCAGCGAACAGATTATCAATTACATTCACACAATTGTATGCTTGGAGTCGCATGAAAGTTTATCTGACCTTAGGTACGTCAAGAAGGAAGATTCGATTGCTAAGTATGAAAGGGCAGTTGTGGGTGCACTTTCCATGCTTCGGAAACTCATTGATATTACCAATAATGACGACTCTTTTGCATTAACAGACAACTCTAAGCAGCAGGCCAACGAGGTTTTGCAGCTGGATGAGCTTTGGGATCCATTGGCTTCTTGCTCTGATCCAGAGACTATTAATGTCGGTCTCTTTAAAGCATATCTCGGACTTTTAAAGACCCTTTTTGATCTTCAGGAAAACAAAACTCCTTTTCCTTTTACAGCGCAGATCGAAGATCTCAAGGGTCTTTATAAGCTTGTGAGCAAAAAGCTAATCAAGAATGTTAAGCTCAAGGAGAGCGAGAAAGTACAACCTCTCATTTACTCCAATGTTATCATACAGTTTTGGGATACGTTGAATGTGTTGACCTCATTCACTCAAATGGATGCAGAGGCAAAGAAGTCACTCAAAATCAAGAAGAATTTCTGGGAGTTGGCTGGCTCAAAAGCCCACTCGCGCCTTATGGATTATATTAAGTTAGGCCATTGCAACTCTGATCCATTGTACTATAATGTACTTAAAGCATTCTTTAGAAATGCATCATCTGTGGAAATTAAGTCAGACTCTGACGACCTTTTCTTGGACTTGAACTCAAGCAAACATATCAAGAGCATTATGAAATCCTTGCTCCTTCAATACCCAAAACTTCCAACATTTGCATTTAAGAAGACAGCTGTCGATTGTATCTTTGTTGTTCTTCAACTATCTTCATCCAAACATGTCAGTGACTTAAAGAAGGAAGCATTCTTGACAATTTTAGATGGCCTTTCTTTGAAAAGAATACGGAAAGCCGATGTTCCAACCAGAGATCAAGCTCTTGAAATACTTGGTCAATCTTGTAAGGACTTGGATTATGATGCTGTGAGCAATGATCTTTGTGAATCCATCAGCAGTTCTGACAAGATCACTTTACTTGGTTTCCAGTTCAAGAACGAGTTTCAGCTGGTCGCCTCATCCTATGTGTCTTTACTTGACAAGGATGAGTCGAATAAATTGGCTGATAAGGTGCTTTTATCCATGCTGGACATGTTTGAACTTCCTGATCTCACTCGTGCCTTCGAGGTTTTCATCAGTTGCCTTCACAAAGGGTTCAGCAGAGAAACAAAAGAATGGATTCCATTGCTTCCATCGTACTGTACTCCTGGCTTTACAGACCTTCCATTCGAGGTTCTCCGTATTGTTCTTGATGCTAACGTCGATTGGGTCAACTATGAAGAACTCATCAATGATGTTTTTACGAAGGTATCAACAGATGTTCAAGACGCCCTTCCAAAACTTCTAGGTATTCTTAACGAAGCAGAGACTGTATCTGAAGCCGACTTACCAGAGGTGAAAGCATACTTGAAGACCTTGTCGGTGAAAAAGACCACTTCTTCCTCGGATAGTGAGGTCGTTTACAATTATATCAACGATCCGGAAATCCTCCGCAATCTTCTCACTTCTTCGACCGTACACGAGGACCCTGAGCGTTTCATAACGGCAGTATCCCTGTCGGGTACAAAGTTGGCGAACCTTGATAATGACTCCCGGGCTGGTCTCGCTCACGTAATCCTTGGGAGCTTGAAGACTTCGAGTGTTGCAACCATATCTTCTTTCTTGTCACTTGTCGAAGACGAAAACTTTGTGTCTACGACCTTGTTTTCTAACATTGACAAGTCAGACACTTCGACTGAGAAAGTTATAGAGTTGTTGTCTCAACATCCTAGATATTTCCCCTTGGAAGAGATTTCTCAAAAGATTCATCAAGCGGTGAGTTTAGTTGACATCAATAGCGTTGCGATTTCTAACCCCATATCTCAGAATGTTCACTTGGGGAGCCAACCAACTCAGCCACAGCTTGATAGCTCCATTGTCGGCATAACGCGTTTATTGAGGTCAGTCTTGGTCGCTAATAAGGAACCGTCGATTGAATTGATCGCTATTGCAGTGTTGGCCACTGAATACCTCCATGACTTCTTATTTTTAGCCCAAACAGAGAAAGCGCTGGCAGACGCATTGGAGGAGAAATCCCAGTTAGACGAGTTACTCAATCGCCATGTTTTTGCAACGCTGGAGAGTGTCACAAAATTTTTCAATGGACTGGACGAGGCTACCTCGATCGAAGGGAGGATATTCGGAGCCGTGTCATCAAAGGGACCATGGAATGTCAAGGATCTCTATTTTGCTCGTTACACTACTCGTGTATTTTCCTCTGAATTTGAAAAGATCTCTTTGGCAGATTTCGAAGCTCTTGATGTCAAGGTTACCAAGCTTGCCAACCAGCCTCTCATCTTGGCTATATACTTGTCATCCGTTTCAAAGTTCTTAGGTGCTTCGAAGAAACTCGACAGGTTAAGAAGCTTCGTTTTTGCCGAGATCTTGGGTGTTAAGTCTTCTCCTGATATTTTGGAACTGGGAAAGTTGTGGTTGACATTGGCTATCAACTTCTTCAATGTGGACTTCGAAGAGTACCCAGAATACGAAATTTTGCCTCCTCACAAAATGGGAATGCTTATTAACCATATTTCCAGCTGGTTAGACTCCGATATTGCTTATGAGGATGACTTCTTGGTCATTAGAAGTCTCTTGGCATTATTTTTCTCCAACTTGCTTAGCCGTTGTCCAGAAACTGCTCCAGATAAGTCATGGGAAGTTGCGTTCGATTTGTGCCTTAATAATCTAAGCACTGCACAACTCGAGACGAACAATATCGAGTTAAGATATCTTACAGTGAAATTGAGTTCATCGTTGCTTAAAAACACAGAAGTACATGGACAGTGGAAGGAAACAAGGACATCTCTCCTTGAAGAACTTTGCGATCTCATGCTGAACGACGAGATTGAAAAGCTGAATCAAAAGCTCGACAATCAAGCTGTCGAATTGACCAACGAGGCTTTGAGAAGAGCCATGGGCGGCTCCGATATTCCAAATCGCATAATTTCTGATACCTCAGACAAACTCTACAAAGCGCTTCACTCCTCAAAGTTTGTCGATATTCAGAGGATTGCAACTGTTCTTTTGCAGAAGCAAATTCTTTCAACTCGTGATGACTTTGTCGTTGAGTATCAGCTCAACAGAACCAATTTAAACGGTTCTGAAGAAAACTTGGCTCAGGCTAAATTACCTGATCAGCTTTTAGAAGCAGTTATGAAATTCGATGAAGATCTTGAGCTTTCGGTCGATCATAGAAGAGAACATGTTACCATGTCCTATTTGTGGAGTTGGTTGTTAATTTTTGCTTATTTCAAGGACTCTACTTATGGAATAAGAACTGATTATATCAACCAGCTCAAAGAGCATAATAGCATTGAGCATTTATTGAATGTCATTTTCGACCACGTTGATCTCTCAGACTCAAAGTTCTTAAAGACTTTGGCCGACGGCAACGTTGACAAACTTAACCGTGTTGATCCAGAAAACTGTTTGATAGCTGGCTATTCAACAAGTCAGGGATGCGTGGGCGAAGATTTGATTTACGAAATGAAGTTTTTGCTTGTCCATCTTTATCTTATGTGCCTTCAGTACATGGGATCCTTCAGCCAGCAATGGTTTAGCGAGCTCAGAGATTTACAGTTGAAGAAGCAAGTTGAAAAGTTCTCTGTCAAATTCATTTCGCCCATTCTCACATCTAAAATGTTGAACGAGGTTGACGAATCCAAATCCAAGCTTACAGACAAAGACGAAAATCTTACCATCAAGGTGAACAGGGTTACGAACGAGATTAGAACTATTTACATTATTGACGAGCAAAAGATGGAAATGATAGTCAAAATTCCAGAGACGTTTCCACTCTCCAGCGTTCTAGTCCTGGGACCCTTGCGCTTAGGTGTTAAGGAGAACCAATGGAAAGCATGGTTGCTAGCTTCCCAGAGAGTCGTTTCATTAACGAATGGCTCAATCACAGACTGTATCGAGCTTTTCAACAGGAATGTCAACTTGCACTTTTCTGGATTCGAAGAGTGCGCTATCTGTTATTCGATTTTGCATCAAGACCACTCTTTGCCCTCCAAAACGTGTCCAACTTGTCTGAACAAGTTTCATGCTGCTTGCCTCTACAAGTGGTTTAAGAGTTCTGGAAGCAGTACCTGTCCATTGTGTCGTACTGCCTTCAACTTCCGTGCAGCTAGAGCTTGATCGTGACCAAGGATTATCTTCTTTGGCCACGAATATTTGCATTTCCAGGCCGGGCTGGAGCTCGCTGTGGAATAGCCGTCGGAGCATTCCCAGTTTGTTGACGCGCCCAGGGTGCACCAGTTAATGCTATGTTAGCTTGAGTAGTCTTCTGGCCAGAATAGCCGTTAATAAAACCAGGCAAAGTATCTTCCTTTTCTTTCTCTTGTTCGCTTGCAATATCTCTGATGGGTAATTGTTGTTTCGTTTCAGCATCGACCCAAGGGAAGAGCCCCGAGCCAAACCAGAAGTGCTGTACCACGGGAAACTTGCCAAGGACTTCAACTTCATACATCTTAAGCAACCCCGATAAAACCTTAGACCACAAAGTCACCGTCTTGTGAATGTCATAAATAATAGGTGAATGTTCATTAAAAGGTCCCAGTTTGATCTTAAAGATGAACGCTATAGCGTTCACGTAGAAATTAGTCTCCTTGTAGTCTTCAATACTGAGGGATGAAAGAATTTGCAGTACTGGTGGAACATACTGGCGGCTGTCACCATCAATGTTAAACTGAGCAGCACCGAGTATATAAATAAAGTGAAAGTGGTCATCTAGACCCAGACTCCATGAGAGCCCGCCGGCTCGAGACTGTAAACCAAAATTAACCGGCGAACCAAGTCATAGTACTTGGCAAATACCACGAGAATCTCTGTTGCATCAACCTTGGTGATATCGAATATCTTGAGCTCTATGAGGCCACCGATAAAGGCAACGAAGGATAGTTCATGGCCTGATCCATAGTCAAGTCTAATTGGGGAACCAAATGAATTGAGCAAGTAATACAGAAGTTCCTGTTGAAGACCGTCATCAGATGCAAGCTTTTCAAGCAATGGTCCAGCAATTGCTTCAGCCTTGTCCTGCCACTCTCTCCGGGCCATATTACCAAACCTCCTAGGCCCTTCCAATGGAGGTGTCTCGTCTATCAATCTATTGAGCGACAGAAGAATATCGAGAACAGCAATAGTAGCCTCTGAAAACAGCTCAAATTGATCTTCTTTGAGAACATTACTGGAAACCTTCTCTCTCGTGACCAAAGAAACGTCAAATACGTTCTTTGGCAAGGCTGTTCCCTTTGCTTTCTGCACAATGAGGTTAATGACATTATGTAGCCTTTCGTATGCAATAGAGCTCTTGAAATGCTGCAAATCAGCAGTATCGAAGATACATTTGACTGGGGAGGAGAATTTGGGTGCCATTGTCAAATAGTGGTTGGATAGATTCTGTGGTTAATGCGTTATGCTGTGTAGTATCCATGTACAGTGTGTACAGGATTAACCACTATCAGTTGGGATCACCCACTTCTGCTTTTGAACAGGAGATGTTTTACTCCTTTTAGGATGTAGGTGGTTCTTCAGAAGGTTGCTTTTTAACCTTGACGGGTGAAGTATCTGGCGAAAGAGCCATGCGGGTCTTCTTGGAGGGACTCAGTTCGGGTGAACTTAAACGCGACTCTACCAGGGCTTTTGCAGCCATAGAAGACTCGGTCAACAAAGGTCTATGGGAAAGAACGTTCTTCATACTCATGTAGTTTTCAGATTTTTTGATTTCTAGAGGTGAATCGTTTTCATCATCCTCTGGAACAAAGAGCGAGCCATTCTCCTCGAACGGGTTCTTTCTTTGTTGAAAAAATGCAGTAACAGTGCCTTGGTTGGGTAAAAGTTCGTATTTGTCTTTGAGTGTCTTTCTCCTTCTTCTTGGTTCTTTCTTGATAGGTGACAGGTTTCTTTCTGGTTTCGAGGGACTGGTTTCGATCTCTTCGTCGCTATCAAGATTGATGACTTCAACAGATTCTTTCGATTTCTTGGTGGGCGACATTCCAGGCCAAAGGGCATCAAGGGTTGTCTTTTGTGGAGATGTTTTCTTTTTGCTTGGTGATTTTCTTCGTTGATCAAGTAATTGTTTCCTTTCAAGATCTTTCACGAGCTTAGGGTCTACTAAGCGAATGGAGTTCATTGGTACGGTCACCGCTGTTAGCTTTTCGTCATCTTCTTCGTCATTCCTTTGAACCAGAGCATCCGGATCCTGGCTGTCTTCTTCATTATTTTCGTCGTCATCATAATCACCAAAATCATTATTATTGGATCGTCCTTCCTTCTTGACCAAGTATACTTTGTCGTGAAGCTTTGTTCTCTGGAACTTGAGAACACCTAATTGAACCCCATCGACAATTTTGCTTCTTGCAAGGAAGATTTCTCCATTTGCCTTTGGAGAAATTAGGAGTTTCAAAGCAAAGGATTTGAGGTTGAACTTTCTTTCCCTCGGTAGCGCATACTGTTCCTTTTCTAAGGATTTACCCCTACCTTTTCCAACAAAGAGGAATCTTCCTTTCTCGACCACCAGTTCGCCAATGTCACCAGGGTCACAGACGTAATTGTATCTCTTCACGCTCTGCGAGTCGTCCTCGGGAGTTAGTCCTGGCATATCGTCGATGATAGCCTTGAGCTCACCAAAACTCGTAGAATATGGCGTGAACTTGAACACCTTAGGGTTCACCAAGGGAAAGAAATAAAGCAAAGCATAGTAATCGTCCACTTTAACCTCGGCTTTCATAGTTGTCAGACGCCCAAAAATCTCCCTATGCTGTTCTCGTAGGAAAGAGTCCAAATACTTATTAAATGCTCTTAGACTATCAGCTCGATCTAGTTCCGGTTTGAGAGTCTTCCAAGGCTGTAGCAGCACAGCTCTTGCCTTTTCCTGGTCAATGAAAGTCTCTGCAAACATAGCAGAGAAGTCGGGAAGAGATCCAAAATCTTGAGTTGTTTTCCTCGGCAGACTTGAAAGCAAATTCGTTCCACAAAGAGCAATTTCCTTTGCACGAGTGATGCCAATGCCCTCAGCACCAGTGGAGTAGTCACCTCCTCGAAGAATAGCGAGCAAAACCATTCTGTTCTTGTCCAAGCCTGTCATTTCTGTCACTTTATCCATGTGCACTGGAGTGACATAATAGTCTGTATTGCTCAAGACAGGCTTGTTTTCACTGTTTATGTATTTCACACGGTTAAACAAACGTAGCATTTTCGTTGCTCCAAACACCAAAGTGTCTGAATCATCAGATACCACATAGTCCACCACCCCAAGCTTCTGAAGCCATGCACATTCAGCCTCTGCTTCTCCTGGAGCCTGAACGATATCCATACAATTTCTTTGTAGGATCCTTTTAAGTCTCTCCACTAGCCCCAGCCCCTCCACGTAATTCGAAGGGTGCACTCTATGGAACTGTTCTAGCACCTCGTCATAGTTCAAGGACCCTGCAATCTCAGGTATATTACCGTGTCTTAACTTGCTGGGCTTGAATTTTCCATCAAACACGATCACAAACGAAACATTATGCTGTACCAAGTACCATAACTTTGCCATGAAATTCCTTATCGTTCTTTCCTGGATCACTTGGTCCTCAGGGTTCGCGTCTGGAAGCTGAGAGTAAAACATGAACATATAGGCGTCGATGGCGACCCTGGGCGGTCTACCATAGTGCTCAATGAAGTGAGCAAGAAATACCGGGAATGGCGTTCTCGAGTCGCATGCTGGGCTTACCACTGGCCATAGATCAGCTATACCCATTGCATGTCTCTAGAGATGGAGTAGTAACTGTACGTGAAAAGATGCGAATACAGGGCGTAGTAGTGGAGAAGGCGATTTAGAGGGAACACAAAACGGTGAATACGGATTTGACTCGGGGTCCACGTAGAGGCGATTTTGGAGATTTCGGAGGTTGTATTTTTATTTGAAAATATTGAAAATTGACTTTTTTGAAGTGAAATGTATTTGTGAGGTATTGTGGATATTGCTCTAGGATTGCAAAATATGCTGTTACTTGGCTCGCTTTCTACAGAAACTGCGAATGTGCTTAATCGTATGGACACAAGTTAAAAGGTTGTTCTCCGACAATGGTTGAATGAATGAGAAAGCAATTTTTAATCGATAGATAGTAAAACCAAAGTACAAAACAAATAAGGAAAATTAAAAAGGTTAAAGTATAGAAGTAAGAGGGCAGTGAACCTACGTGGTAGATGTAGAGGTTCAGGAGCAGAATGGCAGAGACAATGTAGAATGAGTATTAAAACTTTAAAGAAACAGAGATTGAACATTGACTGATTTTGATTCATCGACACTATAAAGGCATAACTATTAGAAAGACGTTCTTTCTTACTGGATAGGCTTGACTAAGTATAAGGTGACTACGCCAACGAGGCCCGCCAAGCCTTACATCCATCAGTGGATAAACAATCCGATCTTTTCCTCTTCGAATGAAAAGACTTTAAAAGGACACAAAGTCATTTATTTACCACTTGTTCTTATATGCCTTTTGATCTGCCTCGGCCATCGTTCCATAAGTGGCCATACGACTTTGGCTGCGAAACGAGACATCAGTGGCTGCAAACATCACATATCCTCAACATAAGGTAGAAACCACCACTTCTCTTCCAATTTTCTTCTATATCAGAGCTTTTCATAATCTGAGTAGCATTCAGAGAATAAAGTCTCCCCAAAATCCACCACAAGATCACCAGCCCATCGATATCTGTACCATTACCTATGTTGCAGAGACGTAAGACAAGCCTCTCGAGATATCCACAAAACGGCCGATGGAAATGTAACCAAGTTTCCCGGCCGTTTTCCCCACCAACCCCGACCACCTGACATCGCTTTACTCTTTGTATATTATGGAAACCATCAGGTCCGAGATTGGACCACTTCTACACTGGGGTCTCCTCTCGTGCAGGCATATTCCACTTAAAACATAGGTGCTTCAGCAGAAGAAGGAATTCCATCATCCACACGCCAACCACACACACATAAGCTGCACAAATAAATGATAGCACCAGATTCCCTAGGGCAACTCGTCTGTGGAGGGTTCCAAGGAACAACAGTGACGCCGCAGGCGTACCAACTTATTGTCAAATACAAAGTGTCAGCCATGATACTTCTGCGAAAGAATGCCCATCTGGTGGAGCAGATGTCGAAATTAACCCGGGACTTGCAATACATCGCTTATAAACATGCTGGTTACAAATACCCCTTGCTCTTTGCAGTGGATATGGAGGGCGGTATGTTGAACTCGTTGTTTGACTCACAAAACTTGGTTCAGTACCCTGGTGCCATGGCTTTAGCGGCTTCGGGTGATCCCCAGCTAGCGTACGAAGTATCCAAGGCGTTAGCAGAGGAGCTTCGGTATATTGGCTTTTCTATCATCTTGGGTCCAGTGCTTGATGTGATCACGAAACTCTCGCATCAGCTTGTCCTGGTTCGGTCCTTTGGAACTACTATAGATGAAGTGACCAAGTACGGCAAGGCTGTGGCCAAGGGCCTCAAAGATGGTGGTCTTATTACAGTGGGTAAGCATTTTCCAGGTATAGGTAACGCATCGGTTGACTCGTTGCTTGAGGTTCCTATGATGGCTGATTCATTAGAACAAATCAGACGCTTCAACTCTGTGCCTTTCGTTGAGCTCATCAATGAAGGTTTAGTGGATGGTATCTCTGCTGCTGGCTGTGGAGTTCCTACCATCTCTCCAGATGAAACGCATGCTTGTCTTCTGCCGGTGCTCATAAATCAGTTTCTTCGACAAGAGATCGGGTTTGATGGCTTCGTTATCAGTGAATGCTTAGAGATGGATGCCTTATATCATTCTATTGGTTTAGGCCAAGGCGTTATGTTGGCTGTCTGTGCTGGGTGCGACCTAGTAATGGTCTGTCACGATTTCGAACTCCAGATCGAGGCGATTGAGTCGCTTTCGATTGCCGTCAATAACGGCACTTTGGAGGAACACATGTATACGCCGTCGTTAGCTCGAATCGAAAAGCTTCAGAAAATGCTACCGACGTGGGATCAGATCTTCCCCGATGATAACCCGCTAGATCCTACCCTTTTTAGGCTAGCTCACCCGGAAACGTGGAAGCAACACAAAGCATTATCTGAATATGCATACAGACGTTCTATTACCCTTGTTAGAGACTATGAGAGTGTCATTCCATTGACGCAATTCCTTAAGCCCAAGGAACAGAATAATATCTTGATTCTTACTCCCTTGTTGAACCCGATTTACCCGCAACTGGAAGACCCTTCGAAGAAAAACCTATATCCTGGAGAATCCGTGTTTCTGAAATTCGGCGAACACCTTTCTGAATTTTCAGATTCCGAAAACTTCAATGTGCTCCATACAACGTATACTGCAAACGGACTCACAGCTCTTCATGAATCCTTAATTGAACATTCCCAGGCAGTGATTGTTTTCACTTCTGAAGCTTCAAGAAACATGTACCAAATTGGTATAGTCAAGTATGTTTCCATACTATGCGGTGCTTCACCTCTGTCACTTTCCCAACAGTCCGGTCAAGCACATTTGTCAAAACCATTGGTCATTGTGGCCACACTGTCGCCATATGATTTCTACTACAACAAAAGTATTGGATCTGCTTATTTATGCTGTTACGATTACACAGAAAATGTTCTCAAAGAACTCGTTGGTGTCTTGATGGGCACCTATCCGGCTCAAGGATGTGTACCTGGAGAGAAGAAGTTTGTGGCCGACAGAAGCAGAAAGAGAAGAATTGCTCTGAGTCCTGGAAAGCTGCCTGAAAAGCCTCGCAGATCTGTACCACCTAAACGAAAATGGCTTGTCGATGACTTTGACTGTCACAGAGATTGGCGTGGCCTCCTAAAACTATTCAAAGGAAACCAGCCAAACTTCAGCGAGTCGACTTTCAGACTACTTGTGTCATTCCTACATTCAACTTCTGCAACCCAGCGTCATTTTGTTATAAGAAACTCGAGTCTTAATATCCTTTATGGAGTTGTGATAACGTGGGTGCAAGACATTGGCTCAAAAGATTTCCCAGATGAGGATAAGACAGGAAGTATAGTTTACTTGTTGGTTGACAAGAGTAAGCGTTTACAACTGATTGGAAAGAACTTGCATCTCAGGGCAATGCGCTACTTACTTAAAGAACAGCATTGTACAACGGTGACTTTAGGTTGCCTGTTTCCAATGCCAGTGTTCTTTGAAGAAGGATTCGAAGACAGGAATCTGTCATTCCTCCATAATGTTGGCTGGGATGTTACCGAACAAACGAAACTGTGGCCCAACCATATTATGGTCCTCAATGAACTCTCATCATGGTCTGTACCACAGAAGATCTTCCGTGAGTTGATGATTGTTGGTGTTCGGTTCGATATTTGTCTGCAGATGGATAAGCTTGAGGCTTTGGTTCTGCGGGCTACAGAATATGACGCTCAAGAGAAGGCCCTGCCGGTGTCTACATCTACTACCAATACTCCGGATCTGAATCCAACCGTTACAGATGTGAAGACGCATAACAGATGGCTACGAGAACTCTACCGTGAAGCAATGCATTGCAATGACAATAATTCGGCGTTTGAGGCAAAGATCATCATAGCTCTTGAACCCAGCAATCAGAATGTCATTGGTGGTATTATACTTTTCACGAACAAGAGTAATCTTGCCAAATACTATCCGTTCGTGGAAGAGGCGTGTCTCGGAACAGGAACTTACAGGAAAGAGGCATTGGTGGGAGGAATTGTTGGACCGGTAATTGATCCGAGCTACTCCAACCTTACTGAGATTTTCAAGTTTGGTCTCATATGTTCGGCGGTGACGTATCTCAAGTCCAATTACTGCGATATCAACTCTGCTAACAGCATGAACTCATGTATGATGGTTGAAGTGATGGACGGGAAATCATTCAACGGGATCAAAGCAATTGGATTCGAACCATGGAGACAGTACCACCTGTATTATGATAGACAGAGGGAAGAGCTTATCAATCTTAAGGAAACGAACTAAATCCTGATCCAAGGAGCCCCGCCATAGCCCCTCGCCAACGGTCCCGGATAAACACGATTGCTGAGGGGCAGATTGTTAAGCCGACGCCAAATATCTTGTGTCAGGAAGAAATATGCTGAAAAGAGGTATAGCCGTTGGCAGCCGGTGCGCTCGGATCAGTGGAAGTACCTAGAGGGTCCCATGGAAAAAGCACCCGAGGAGAGACGCGAGGCACAATTTTTCAACTCCAGGAAATATTAAAAAAAAAAAGAAAGAAAAAAGGGACGAAAGAAAAGAAAGAAACAAAAGTGGCCTGACTACCATTCCTCCAAAAGATCCGAGCCGGAAGATTATGGATGGACCTAGAGGGGTCCTAAATGGCAAGCTTTACTGACTCTGAGCAACGGTTAGCCAGTGTTGGCTGTTAAGGAATAATGTCGCGTGTACATAGAAGGCACAAAGCACATATGTGAACAATCAGTTGCCAATTGATCTCTGGGCTGATGTTTTTTCTTTCATAATGAACGGGGTATGCTTGCGCACAAGTGACGTTTGAATACATTAACGAGAAAAGCCCAAAACTGGCCAAAGGGAGGAGTAGTCCCCTAGCCCTTTGCTCCCAACACACTAGCGGCGCTGGTGAATGTAGCTTGTTTGGGTGTGTTGAGCCTGTGAGACCTTCGCCCTGGGTTAAATTAAGCGCCCGGGCATACATGGGTGAGCACATCTTGCTACCCCAAAGTAGGCACAAACGGTATGTTCCGAGACATGGCAACAAAAGAGATACAAACACCCCACTGGAAGGTAACCTAACTTTTCCCGGGCCCACTACAACCAATCAGGTAAATACAATCCACCCTTACTATACTTCTGACTGGGAACAAACCAAAGGCTGGCCAGGTAAAAGAAATAGGACCCCGGAGCAAGGCGGAACCCACAGAAGAGAAGCACCCACTACATACAGGATTTCTCCATTCTCCCGGGCAACCCATCTAGGCTCCTGTCTGTTCCGTGACCAACCGAAGAGAAAGTCGCGCCACCCGGATTTTTCCTACCGCCAAAAACGCTGGTCCTCGCAAGTTACCCCATACTTTCCATAGCGCGCATGCCTGTGCCCCATACATTATTTCCCTTGTCCCGGCCGTAGGGCGTCTGCCTGCAGTACGGCTTACCCCAGCATGTGGATCCGCAGTCCCGGGGCCCTTGTAGGGCAGGGCGTTTCTTTACCTTTTGTGACAAGCTGCAAAATTGTGCAACGCCAGCAGTTGGGGTCCCTGCTGGATTCTAGGAATATATAAAGAGTGACATTTCCCCCACATTTTCAGGTTTTTTTTTTTTCTCTCTTTGACTTTAATCAACTCTATCAATCATGGTTCCACCTACCGCTGTTGAATCTTCTTTGAACTTTACTGATCACCCAACGATCCAGACTACTGAGGACCCATTGGTCCAGCAGTTGTCTCTTAAAGACGATGTCACCATTAGACACAACGCTCCTCCACCAACTTTGTACGAGGATGGTCTTTTGGAGAAGGGTACTACCATTTCTTCCACCGGTGCCTTGATGGCTTACTCTGGTAAGAAGACTGGTAGATCTCCAAAGGATAAGAGAATTGTCGACGAGGAGACCTCTTCCCAGAACATTTGGTGGGGTCCTGTCAACAAGCAGGTTGACGAGTTGACCTGGAAGATTTCCAGATCCAGAGCTTTGGACTACTTGAGAACCAGAGAGAAGTTGTTCGTTGTTGACGCTTACGCTGGTTGGGACCCTCGTTACAGAATCAAGGTTAGAATTATCTGTGCCAGAGCTTACCACGCTTTGTTCATGACCAACATGTTGATCAGACCAACTGACGAGGAGCTCGAGAACTTTGGTGAGCCAGACTTCACCATCTACAATGCTGGTCAGTTCCCAGCTAACACTTACACCAAGGGTATGACCTCTTCTACCTCTGTTGAGATCAACTTCAAGGATATGGAGATGGTTATCTTGGGTACTGAGTACGCTGGTGAGATGAAGAAGGGTATCTTCACTGTCATGTTCTACTTGATGCCTATCAAGCACAAGGTTTTGACTTTGCACTCTTCTGCTAACCAGGGTAACGAAAAGGGTGATGTCACCTTGTTCTTTGGTTTGTCCGGTACCGGTAAGACCACCTTGTCTGCTGATCCAAACAGAAAGTTGATTGGTGACGATGAGCACTGTTGGTCTGACAACGGTGTGTTCAACATTGAAGGTGGTTGTTACGCCAAGTGTTTGGACTTGTCCCAGGAGAAGGAGCCAGAGATTTTCAACTCTATCAAGTTTGGTTCCATCTTGGAGAATGTTGTCTACAACCCAGAGACCAAGATTGTTGACTACAACGACTCTTCCATCACGGAAAACACTAGATGTGCATACCCAATTGACTTTATCCCATCGGCCAAGATTCCATGTTTGGCTGACACACACCCAACCAACATCATCTTGTTGACCTGTGACGCCTCTGGTGTTTTGCCACCAGTGTCTAAGTTGACCAACTCCCAGGTGATGTACCACTTTATTTCTGGTTACACCTCCAAGATGGCTGGTACTGAGGAGGGTGTCACTGAGCCACAGGCTACCTTCTCTGCTTGTTTCGGTCAACCATTCTTGGTGTTGCACCCAATGAAGTACGCTCAGCAATTGTCTGACAAGATTTCTCAGCACAATGCCAACGCTTGGTTGCTTAATACCGGTTGGGCTGGTGCTTCTGCCGCTAGAGGTGGTAAGAGATGTCCATTGAAGTACACTAGAGCCATTTTGGACTCCATCCACAACGGTGCTTTGAGCCAGGTTGAGTACGAGGAGTTCCCAGTGTTCAACTTGAACGTTCCAAAGAGCTGTCCAGGTGTTCCAGCTGAGCTTCTTAATCCTATCAACGCTTGGTCCGAGGGTGAGGCTTCCTTCAAGAAGGAGATCAACTCCTTGGCTGGTAAGTTCGTTGACAACTTCAAGAAGTACGCTGACCAGGCCACCTCTGAGGTGCAGGCTGCTGGCCCAACTGTCTAAAGCTTTCGCATATAGTGCATTACACAACATTTTAAGGTAACAAAAACATCATGTAGATAATACTTCACATGGGTGTGGGGGCACCCACCACTAACTGCGGGCCATGTGATACACCACAAAAACTTAAACACACACACACACACATACATAGGCACAAATAATTTGAATGTTAACGCTTTGATCAGTCCCTAGCCCACGGAAGCACCAACTTCACAATCCAAGACCGTTGGAAACCTGTTTGGCGCAGACGCATCGGTTCCGTGCCAAATAACGGTTTTTCGCAGCCATTCACAGCAAAAGCGCAAGCTGTACAATGTCCAGAGAACAAATGGATCTTTCGCTCAACTGCATTGGAGAAGCTTACGTTAACTACTACGCCTTCTGTGTTATTTTCTTATCCTTTTATTTTTTTCTCGTCCCTGAAAGTGTCATAGTGCGTTGGTTGCAAGGCATTGTGTAGAGACGGATCCGTGACTGGTGAACCAAAATCTCATGGCCACAAAGAAACCTCTAACAATGGAGGGGGTTGGAACCGCTTTCCTAGCAACGCTAAACTCCGCACAACCAGACGAAATGTTTGACGGTAAACCACCGGAGATTACATTCTAGGTAACGGATTTAACAGTCTATTTCCAAAGCCTCTTAAATAAAACAACCATTCAAAGGGTCCCACCCCTCCTTCTAAGAGCATCTGTCAAAAAAAGTTCTCGTAAGGCGTGCACACCGAGAGCCACTCCCATCTTTTTTTGTGGTGCTATTTTTTTTTTTTTTTCGCAGCCATTCACATGCGGTAGAATACCAACTGGAGTTAGGATTTAATCATACTATTCTGGTTCTTTTCACACTTGGCTGAGGGAACGTAGGACCGTTTGCCTCGCAAAATAGAAATAGCCTATTTTGCGGGGGCCTTGGAAACTCCGAACACTCGAAGCGCCGTTGCTCTCCCTCGACTCCCCCAGCGCCCGCAACCACACATAACCTGGGGAACCCTCCTAAAAAGTACAACAAAATGAATTGAAAGTAACACAAACAGCTCCCAAAGGAAAGGTTAAAGAGTTAAACTTCACATCTCTCTTCCCGCTCTTCCCGTTTTGTCTAACCTTCTTTCTGGTTTACCCTTTGTGCTCTCTGAAACTTTCGCCAGTCTCTTCTTGCTTTTCCCCTCGCTGCGCTGCAGGCTTCTTACCTCCAATAATGGCCCCTTTCGCACATCGCTAATCTCCACACACATATAAAGCTCACAGCGTTCGCTGCGCTTGACTTTTTCTGATTGTTTTAACCCCATACAAATTCTTTTTTTTCGAAATGCTGGTTATCGCTGATCTAACCAATAAAGCTCCTGAACTCCCCTGGTGGGCGGTTGCCGTTCTTGCGCTTGTAGCTTACAGGTTATTCAATGTGATTACTTACTATATTGCTTACAAGCGTTCTGGTGCCTCTTTGGCTCCGGCTGTTTCCGATGGTTGGTATGGCTTTAAGCTCATGAAGCTTATCGTGGAGAAACAGCGTAATGGTGAAATGCCTGACTACTTGTACGGGCGTTTCCTCGAGACGGGCCACGATACTGTCCACTTCACCATGGCTGGTACACCCGTGGTGTCCACTAGAGACCCAGAGAACATCAAGGCTCTTTTGGGTACGCAGTTTAACGATTTCATCTTGGGTCTTCGTCACAGACAGTTTCAGATTTTGCTCGGTGACGGTATCTTTACTTTGGACGGTTTGGGATGGAAACACTCCAGAGCCATGTTGCGTCCTCAGTTTGCTAGAGAACAAGTGGGCCATGTGAGAGCCTTGGAACCTCATGTCCAGTCTCTTGCTAAGCTTATTCGTGAAGCCAACGGCCAGGAATTTGACATTCAGCCTTTGTTCTTTAAGTTGACCATTGATTCCGGTACTGAGTTTTTGTTTGGTGAGTCTTGTGAGTCCTTGCGTGAGGATGAGCCTGGTGTGGCCGACAGTGGCCCTGCTGTTAAGCGTGAGTTTGCTAAGGCTTTTAACATTTCCCAATCGTACTTGTTTATGAGAGCTGGTTTCCAAAAACTTTATTGGATTGTTAACAACCCTCGCTTCTGGAGAAACAACAAGATTGTTCATGAATTCGCTGACTACTACGTTCACAAGGCTTTGAACTCTAGCCCAGAGGAGGTTGAAAAGTTCTCCAACTCGGGTTACGTTTTCTTGTATGAATTGGCCAAACAAACTAGAGACCCTAAGGTTTTGAGAGACCAGTGTTTGAACATTTTGTTGGCTGCTCGTGATACCACCGCCGGTTTGTTATCTTTCATGTTCTTTGAGCTCGCCAGAAACCCTCAAGTCTTTGCTAGATTGCGTGAAGAAATTGTTCAGAACTTTGGTGAGGGCGATGACGTTGACTTGTCTGGTATCACATTCGAGTCCTTGAAGAAGCTTGAATACTTGAAATGGGTCATCAACGAAACTCTCAGATTATACCCTTCTGTGCCTCAGAACTTCCGTGTTGCTACCAAGGATACTTCTCTCCCAAGAGGTGGTGGCCCAGATGGAAACCAGCCCGTCTTTGTCAGAAAGGGCCAGACAGTCACTTATACCATTTTCGCTACCCACAGATTGGAGTCTGTCTACGGTAAGGATGCCTTGAGCTGGAGACCAGAGAGATGGGGTGAAGTGAACATGAAGAAGGTTGGATGGGGATTCCTTCCTTTCAACGGTGGACCAAGAATTTGCTTGGGCCAACAATTTGCATTGACCGAAGCATCTTATGTCACAGTTAGACTCTTGCAAATGTTCAAGAACATCAGATCATTTGACGACTGCGACATTCCAAAGAAGGCTTCCCACTTGACCATGTCCTTGCACGAAGGTGCCCACATCAGCTTAGCTTAGGCTCCACTTTTGGCAAATATTTATTATGATCATGTACGAATATGTGAAGGATTGTAGAATAAAACAATAAATGTACAGAATTGAAAAGAATATACTGGAAATATAGAGGTTGTAGTGGCTACAAGTTGGTCTGTTTGGCTTGCAACTCAACCTGTCCTGCACGCGCTCTGTTTGGTAGTAGCTAACAAAAATTTAAACTGTTCATCTACAAACATATCGAGTAAAGATTGCCCCCAATTTCCCACCAGCCACCCACTGTTAACACTAAAAATGGCTTCTTCATCAGCATCTTTCCTTTGGGATGTTGGCATCTTCTCGGATTGTTACAATGCCATTAAGTTCCTGGACGCTGTCCCGGAAGAGATCGATGCTTTGATGGGAACCGACTTAAGACACTTACTTGACGTTCCTTCTCGATCTGACAAGGCAAGACAAGACTTGGCCAAAGGTGAAAAGGAAAATATCACGTTTGCTGATGGACTGAAATACAAACTCAACAAACCTTTCATAGAAAGTGCATATCTCCTCGCCAGTGAACTTGATTTGGACGAGTTGGCAACTGCTGAATTACTACTGCTGGCCTCCGAGGCAAGCTTTTCTAAAGGCTCTAGCCTTGAAGATGCTGGTATCTTGGCTTTTTTCCGCAGATATGACTACATCCTTAACATCGTGGGCTATATGGTTACCAAGAAGAGAATCCGGTTGATATACCCAACACAAGATCCAGCTAAGGAACTCTTTCAACAGTGTCTTAAAAGTTTCAAGAAAATTTACAGTTTGATCCAGATTCAGAATGACCAGATAGATAGACAGAAAGCTACTGCTGATATTAACAATTTGGCTTTCGTTAAGAAGGTGTATTTTGTCAAACAACAACTTTTCCAGATCCATGATCTTTTGAGTCAGATCTTGTACTTCCTCATTGACACATTCCCCGAGACTGTTCTGAATTTTGATACTTACAACACGCTCGTCAAGCACATTAATGAAAACATCACAAACGATTCCGACATTTTACTTTTGCATTACCTCCCGTCCCTTTTGCGAATCGTGACTGGCTTGGAAGACTTGTCAGATGCCGAAGTTCTGAAGATTCATCAACAGTTTGTTTCGTCACTTTCAGCTGACTACCCCAAGGTTAAGGATAATGATAACATCGACTTGTCCAAGTCGTCTTTGAGACCGTACGATCTTTGCACCAAAATATTCTTCTTCATTGCATTCATTCCATGGTGCAAAGGCTCCGATGAAAGGACTCGTAAGTTTGATTTTAAGAAAGACATTCTTCAATACATCGAGTGGCTCATCAGTTATGGTACTACCGAACAGATCTTGTGCTACGCAGCCGAAACTGCTGTACCAGAAACAACCAGTTTCTTGGAGCAAAGTGAACTTTATGATTTCAGAGCTCTCCTACAGAGAAGCTTCCCGCTGTTGTTGCCTGCCAAATTCGTTTACGCAGGTAATGACGAACTTCTTAATGCTGCCAAATCTAATCCCCAACTATCCAATGTTCCAAAACTTTGTGACTTCTCCAGCTTCAAGATCTCCAGACCAATTGCTGACGACATAATCGCTCCCTCGTTTCATTCTTTCTTTAGCAACTTTGTTAACCACGCCGCTATTGTATTGACACTGCTTCGTGATAATGAAGAGGATTACCTTCTTTCATCAAACAAAAAGGAACTAGACGACTCATCTAGAAATGCCACTAGTTTCAATGATACTTATGAGAGTCTCTCTTCGAAGTCTTTAGAAAAGAGCACATACGACGAGTCAGATTCTAATCACGACCTCAATGACATTGCAAGTCGTGCCGATTTGGAAAGGTTTTACATGGCATGTGTCTACACTTACAGCAATAGATCAGACCTCTGTGAGGCTTTTTGGGCTGCCGACGAATCGAACGTCGCTGGTTTCGTTGATTGGGGCATTTCCAAGAACACCCTGCCCCTTATAACTGCTACTTTCTGTTTCCTTCTTGGAAGTTTGACTTCAGGTGGAACTATGGCTAGCTTGAAAGTGTGGGACATCTTGGTCAACGCAAACACTTTCCGCAAGAATGATTACTCATACATCTCGATAGATTCTATCATAGGATCCTTGACGTACTACCTAGATGCTCTTACGGAGAACCTCGAGCTGGAGTTAATAACAAGGTCGAAGATGGAGCAACAGAAACTGGAATACCTTTTCTCCAGCAATCATCATAAGCGCGTTACTGACGATGATACCGAAATCCCCATCATGCTTTCTGAGGACTCGGTAGTTTTCATTGCAGGATTCTTCATGCTAATTGCTCAAATTTTGAAGAATGCGGGCGACGAGGATCAAGTATCTCGAACTGTCAGACAATCGGCCTTCAATCGTTTCCATCCAATAATAGTATCATTCCTCAAGTTCGACAATTTGATTACCAGTGCCAAGGAGTCTCTTAACAAGAAGAAGACATCTGTTCCGGTTGTCTTCAGCGATGAGAACAGAACCATTATTCTTAATCTTGTGATGAATTGCTTGAAAGAGTTCGCCACTACTAGTGATATGAGCATTAGAACACAAATATGGGATACCGTTGATCGCTGGATTTGTCATTCGCTTCATGATGGCGAGAATACAAAGCCGACCGATAGTCAGAGATACACTGCACGGGGATCCCTGCTGAACACAGTCTCCAATAGCACGAAGACAGAGCTTCAAAAGCTCAAGAGCTATTTCAGGGGTTCTCCAATGAAACAAGGCTTTCAAATGGCACTTACGAAGACATCTGAAGTCTCGAACTTTGTACAGCTTATAGCACAGCTACTCGGGCCTGTGTCAAATGAGAAGTATGGTTTCAATTCCATGGAGCTTTTATACCCTTCTAACCTCGGATCGGGGTATAGGTTCAAGAACCAAATTGGTGTGTGGCCTTACATGGAATTCATTCTAAACGAAGTTTTCGTACATACCCCAGATCTCGAGGATGAGGATTTGAGGGTGAGCTTGCAACTGATTATCCTCAAAGTAGTGAAAACGTCATTAACGGAGGTGGATTGGCTCTTCCTTGTGGAGACTGCTCCGCAAATTTTCCTTGAAACGCCCACCACCGAAGACGTTTTTGCATCATCTAGGCTTCTTTCAGGAGAGACCACTGCGATCACCTTCGAGACTTTTGTCAGAGTTCATCATTCTTTGTCAGTCTTAAACTTCTTGTTTGAGGACAAGCCTTCAGCGGTGTTGTTCAACATCGTGAATACGGGGTTGGACCTAGTTAGCGGCAACCCTGTTTTACAGCATTTGATTAGCGAGGCTTTAAGCGTTGTTGACAACACATTAAGACTACAGCATATCTATATCGAGAAGCTCTTGCCACTTCTTAAGAATGCTGACATCTTTTCTCAGGCTGATAGCAAGAAGCCGTTAGGATATGGTACCAGTTTGAGTCTTGCTCTTACTACTCAAAAGCTCACGCACGACAATGTGTATTATCCTACTGGACTTGGAACTCATGGTGTCAGTGACTACTTCGAATTAATTTTGTTCAATTTGTCTAGTGTGGTCCACCTTGCGCTTTATATTGGGTCCGATGATAGGTCTATCTCCCAACCAGCCATCTCAATCTTGCGCAAGCTTTCAGAGTCTAAGGTTTTCAGCACCAAGAGTGCTCTCTCTAAGGATCTCTCGTTGAGAAACACTCGTCTCTTGAGTATCTTTGAGAATGTGGATGAGTCTCTCAAGATCAGATATGCATTCGTCCAGCAAATGGAAGCTATCACTGACTCATTGCAAGTAAAGTATGATATCTTGGAATTCTTGCTTGCCAACTTGCCATCAAACGGTGAAGTGACTGTTGCTCACTTTTTGCTTGGCTACGAGACTCGTAATGGTAGCCTTACTTTGGAGGAAGACCTGGACAGTATATCCTTACTTGATACCTTGATTCAGTTGCTCATGTCAACGATCGATTTGATCTTCGACATTGACTATAGTAAGGGCTACGTCACACGTATTGGTCTAGGACCTTCCAAGTTGGCATCGTTGACGATGCAAATCTTGGTTAAGTTGAGCAAGAGTCCCGTGCTTTCGTCTATCACCTTGCTGTATATCAGAAAGTACGATTTGTCTTCGAAATTGCTTGAGGTTCAACCAAAGATTGATGACTTGACTATTTGGAATAATGAAAGATTCCAAGCTAACGTTCAAGATGGTGCAAAGAACAACTTCATTGAAGATGAAGGCAGTCTTGAAGCGTTCTTCGAGTTCATGAAATACAGAAACCTGATTCTCCAATACTTGTCGATTGAAATCCATGAGATCAGGTCAGCTACCAAGAAGGAGCACTATATCCAAATGCTTCTCAACGATACCGAATTCTTCAACGGAACACCAAAGATTCTCAACTTCTTGGATGTGCTCAACTATCAGTTCTCCAATTTCGAGCCTCACAAGTTACTAGAATTCGAGAATAAGTATAATCTTCCAGCGTTGGTCCATGAGTTGAGCCAAGAGAGAGAAAAGAAGGAGAACGGAACAAGACTATTGAGAAAGTTTGCCGGATTGCGTTGCCAGAATGCCAACCAAAGACTCCGCACTGAAGATGAAAAGGCTGCCTTTTCTATCGATATGATGGTTGAAGTGACCAGAGTTGATGAGCTTTTCCAGAAGATCTTTGTGGTGGAGGAGCTCAAGAAACGTCACTTGCAGTGCTTGCAGTCGTGGGTTCAGATCATTCAAGTTCTCAGCAGTGATGGAGTGGCTGATCGTGCTGATTTCATCTTGAAGGTGTTCCAATACATCCTTCCTAAGATCAATAATGACTACTATGAGAGAGATATCATGTTTGCGGAAGAGTTGATTCTGTTGTGTATGCTCTTGTTTGACATGTATGAAGAGGACTCGATAGTCAAGGCCAAACCAGAAGACGGCAAGGAACAGCATTTACAGAAACTCCTTCCACTCTTTAAAACATGCGTGAATGGAGTACTATGCAGCAACTCGACGCCAGCCTTACGTTCGGACTTGTACATTTTGCTCAATAAGTTTACCCAGAGAACGCCGCAGTCAGGTGCCTTGCTTCACCAAATCCTTACGGCCCTTCGGTCGGTGGACAGAAGGTTCATCAATGTTATCTGCAACGATTCAATCTATTCAGAAGGAGCCCCTCGAATCACATCGATAATATTGATGGAAACGCTTGTGAATCTTTCCAGTTTGGAGAAGTCGACTTCTATTCTTAACGCGATAGTGGAGAACAACTCATTGTCACTTCTCGCCCGACTGCTCAAACGTACTGGGGAGCTCTTCGAGGCTTGCGAGGGAAATGCGGAGTCAGGAATCAGAATAGATACGCTACTTTACGAGCTTACGGCTTTCAAAGCAACGCTTTATCTTTTGATAAGAATCGGGCAGTCACGAGAGGGAGCATCGCAGCTTTTCCAGAATGAAATTTTCCCGATCATACGTCATCTCAAGTTCTTAAACATTGATTCAGACTTGGGATTGGAACTCCAGATCGACACAGGACCAAATGTACTGGGCACCACATCCTCGGGATACGCCGCTGCAAAAGAGGAAAGTGCTACTGCACTGATCACATTAAGTTTGGATGTTCCGGCATCACTCGCAGATTCAGCAGATTCAGCAGGCGGCAGCGAAAAGGTGCGGACGATCTCGTACTATGAGTTACTCGTGCCAGCGTTCCAATTGGTTGTCACTGTGCTTTCGGCGATGGGCCCGTCGTTCCAGCCTGGAATCATGCAAGCTCGAGAACTCATGCAACACTTTAGGGTTCTAGTAGTGGGAGTGATGAAACGAGACCAGCTTATGGAGCAAGGGTCATTGGCGCAATATGAAGAGAAGCAGAGGCTTGCGCTGGAAGGGCTTCGGCAGTTGGCGAGGTTGTTTGTGCTCGTAAACGCCCTTATAGAGGACGGAAAGCTTAACAACGGTCTCGGGTAGAGCGAGAAAGGAGACTGGCGAGCGCACACGCTCTTGGCAACGAAGCGATGCCAGAGAACCGAAAGGCTTCACCAAAGTTCCGGGAAGCAGATATACAAGGCCGGCGGTGGGGCATGGGAAGAGAGAACAAGACAGAGAGGGGGACCCTTATGACCGTAAACCTTGGCGCAAGCGAAGACTTTGTGGTTCTTGGCTCGCCTCGTCACCTTCCCAAGAAAGAGCAAATACGTGTAATACATTCGGATGTCCAGCGATTGAATGTTTTTCCTTCCGAGACACTCACACAAAAAAAAGGCTTCAGCCTACTCAGGCCACGGAAATGGATGATCTCACTGTATGAAAGTTGCATTTTCAGAGACACATGAGGTGTGAGCAGACAGTAGCAAAAAAAGTACAGTGCAGCGCCAAGCCCGAAAAAAATGCCTGCCAGCAAAACAAGCCTACAAACAAAAAACAACCTGCCCCCTCCAAACAATTTATCATTGGCCACATTAGGTATAGTGCACCTGCAGCGAGAGGTTGCTCTTTGTCTTTTTTCAGTTAATGCTCTCTCATTCTTTTGTTTTCTCACAACGAGGGGGGTCCCTCTTGTTTAGCCTCACTGTGCAAGCACGGCAACTCATCAGTGCCCCACCACCAAATAGGTAAAACTCATCAGCCACCATTCAATCTCTGAACGATTATTGGCTGGTTTGCCAGTGGCGGGCTATGTACTTTCTGCACACAAGGTTACGTCGTCGATGACTGGGACAGAAAAAAAAAACAGGAAAAATGCCTCCCCATGATTATACCGGACCTCGATGCCGTTACCCACCACTGCACTATGATGTAACCAGTGTTAAAGTGTCTCTGGCGCCATACGAACAGGCAGCAGCGCAGAAGCAGTACTGAATACGCCGCTCATCTTCCCAGACCTGTTCATAGTCAGATAATTCCTAAAGGTATGTTTCCGTTCCAGAACCTGGCCTTTATATAAGAGATGGTTTTTTCCCTGATGGAATTTCGGTGTCCAGGAATTTTACAATACCCCCAAGGTAGAGACCAAAAAGAAACACTTTTTCCCTCCCCCGAAACAAACCAAAAAAAAAGCTTACATTTAACTTTCACCGTCTACTTGTAAGTCCGCTTCCTCCCCATCCCTGTTTCTTTTTTTGTTCCCGCATTTTCACTTTTACTTTCACTTGGTGCGTCCAGAACACTAAGTTCCTTTTTTGCTTCTCTGCCTTTTTTTCGCACATCGCCCATTTCGCATCTCGCAGAAAACAAGAAATCCTCCGTCCGGCCTATATATCTATCTGCCTTTATTCCTTGTTTTTGAATCCCTGTCGCCTTTTTTTCTCAACATCATGTCTAAGGTTGACTCTGAGAAAGACCTTTCCGGCAATTCTGCCGACACTCATATGTTCAAAATAAATGAGAACTTTAATGAGGACTTTAACGATAACAGCTCCACCCAGGAGTCTGGCAGCAATCGCTCCGGTGAAAAATCCGATGAAAAGAAGCTCAATCACACCAAGAGATCTTTGGAACAGAGACACATTAACCTTATTGCCATTGGTGGTTCCATTGGTACCGGTTTATTTATTACCATTGGTTCCTCTGGTTTGATTGAGGCTGGTCCCTTGGGTCTTCTTTTAGCCTACTGTTTCTGGACTTTTGTCATTTTGTGTTTGACCGTTTCCGTTGGTGAAATGGTTTGTTACTTGCCTATCGACTCTCCATTTTTGCAAATGGCTGGTCGTGTGGTTGACCCTGCTTACGAGTGTGCTGCCTCTGTTAACTTTTGGTTGATGCAGAGTTTGTACATTCCTTTCGAAATCACCGCCGTTAACGGTATGATTCATTTTTGGAGAGACGATTACAGTCCTGCCATTACTCTTGTTATCCAGATTATCATTTACTGCGCCATTAACGTTTTCGCCGTTAAGCTTTATGGTGAAGCCGAGTTTTGGTTATCTTTGGGTAAATTGATTTTGTGTGTGGGTCTCTTGTTCTTCACTCTTATCACTATGTGTGGTGGTAACCCTCAAAATGATGCTTTTGGTTTCAGAAACTGGCACGCTGAAGGTGGCCCAATCAATGAGTACATGCGCACAGGTTCTCTTGGTCGTTTCCAGGGTTTCTTGCAAGGTTTGTTCTCTGCTAACTTCGTCGTTGTCTCTTCCGAGTACCTCAGTATGACCGCAGGTGAAGCTAAGAACCCAAGAAAGAACATGGCCTCTGCTTTCAAGACCGTCTTGTACCGTTTGGTTATTTTCTTCATTGGTGGTGCTCTTTCCGTCACCATTTTGCTTGCTTACAACGATCCAACCTACTTGGGAATTGTAAAAGGTGAGAATGGTGAGGATGCTAACGCTGCTTCCTCTCCTTACGTTGTTGCTATGCAAAACTTGCAAATTGAGGTTCTTCCTCACATTGTCAACGGTGTTGTTTTGTCTTCCGCCTTCTCTGCCGGTAACTCTTACACCTATTGTTCCTCAAGAGCCCTTTACGGTCTTGCCGAGAAGGGTTACGTTCCAAAGTTCTTCAAATACTGTACAAGGAATGGTGTCCCAATTTTCTGTGTTGCCGTGTCTGCTTGTTTCTCCCTCTTGTCTTTGATGCAGTTGGGTGAAGATGGTGAGAAGGCCTTGAACTACATGGTGAGTTTGTGTACTGGTGCTCAATTGCTTAACTATGCTTTCATGAGTGTCACCTACTTGCATTTCTACAGAGCTGTTAAAGTTCAAGGTATTGACAGAAACAACTTCACCTACAGATCGTGGTACCAGCCATACACTGCTATGTTTGCTTGCTTCTTCTTGTGGATCGTTGTTGGTATCAAGGGTTACGAAGCATTTGTTCCTGGCCACTGGTCTGTTGACCACTTCTTGTTCAGTTACGTCATGATTTTTGTCTCCTTGGCTGTATTCATTCTTTACAAGGTCATCAAGAGACCTAAGTACATCAGACCAGAAGATGCTGATCTTCAAACCGGTCTTGAGGCTATTGAAGAGCATGAGTATGAATTCTACGCTGCCTTGGAAGCCAACAACGAGAAGCCAGGTCTCAGAAAGAGAATTATGGACTGGATCTTCTAAGTGTATCAGTCAAGAACTGATCAAGTGCATTAAACAATTACGAATAGCATTCAAATCATCGGAGAGACGAACTTTGTTCGTGGTCGGAGTCATATATAATTCAGCACTATACCATCTAAATTGTATTTAGATCATTGTTACATATTTAGAAATGAAATTTGTTAAAGAATCCTTTATTTCGTATCATGTTTCTATAAGTGACGGACGCTCTAACTGTTCTTTGCTATCCTTTTTATAAAATTTTTATGCTAATAATGTCGACAATCAGTCTATGCACATATTGGAGCTAATAGACTCAAGTTGTCCGAAAAGCCATCTGCTTTGGAAGCTGCTAAGACCTGTTGTTTTGGCTCTCAAGCGCATATTTCTATCATCTGTAATGAGAATGCAATACCGGAATACCTTGGCCATTCTTTCGTCGAGCATCACAGGAGGATTAACTCTAAGAGTGGCATTGATACCCTTCTTCAACTTTCTGTTAATCTCGTCATGTTCTGTGACAACGTTAAGAACAGTCAGGTCAACATTGTTCAACCAGGAAGGGTTATTCTCAAACTCTGTAACTTCGTTTATGTCGCTAGCGATATTACCATCGAACCTTAAAGGTACCACCTCCTTATTTGCGTACAACTCCCTGATAATAATAACCGATCTAGTCGCCGCATCCGCAATAGTAGCCTCTGTTGATTTTCTTAACGACCGTAACTCTTGAAAGACAATAAGCGGAATCAGTACTTTGAAAGCTCCACTGTGGGCACATTTGAAGATCCTGCCACAATGCTTGAGCCAAATATTCGTATCAAAAGTAATGTAAGTCAATGAAGTATCCATTCTGTCACCAAGATCACCGTCAACCGAGTTCTTCTTGATGGATGGGACCAAATCGCCATCGATGACGCCGTTGTAAAAGTCTTGAGAGATACCTCTCTGCTGCAGCATCAAAGCCTGTTGATGCTGCAGGAGATGATACATATGATGATTGTCTAAGTGACCAGCTTGTCCGACAGAATCCAAATCAATACCGTTATCGTTAGACTCGGTGTCGGCGTAGCCTTCCAATGCATCTTGGCTAGCTATCGGTTCATTGAAATCGATAGGATCGCTGCCATTGAGCCAAACTGACCCTGCAGCTATCTGAAACCAGCTTTCATCAATAACTTCAGCTGGAAATGGTTCTTCAGTGAATCTTTGGCCAAGATTCGTGTCAGAAATTGGGGTGACAAAACTGCCCAGTGTCAAGCGAGAGTCCTCGTAAATGACCTCATTAATGAACTGATACATGTCACCAGAACCCTTGTATGAGGGGAAAGAGAGTAACGTATCGTTCTTGGCTGCTTCGTACGTCTGCAGATCGAATTTGAAGCCATCCTTATCTCTCATAAAGCCAAAGTCATAATTATCGGCAAGTAAACGGGCAAGTAAGACGATACGCACAAGTCTTTCTTCGTTGTCCTTCTCTCCTTTATCTCTAGGCTTCGCGCCGGGTTGTTGTAAGTTGTTGAGGTTTACCATCGGCGTCGTTCCACAAATGGGGAGGTCAAACATCTCATGACTCAGGATACCAGCAGCTTCGAAGTCTTCATAGTCATGTTTAACACAAATGAAATCAAACCAAAGAGTGCCCCAGCATTTCCAGACTTCGGATAAGCTTTCATTCTCATTGAAGTATTGAACATAGTTTGGATGGTTGATGATATAATCGCGACACTTATCGTTAAGGTGAGTATTACCTCTAACAATCACGGTGATGCTATTCATGTAATTGATGAATGATTCCCAGGGGAAGAACTTTTGGAAAAGCCACAAAAACATGTTTCTTGACTCCGGGAAGCGTTTGATAGCCTCTCCAAGCGCTATCAAGAAATACAACCACACAATAACATGACATGCAGATGCTTGCTTGGGGCCGACCAAGTAGTATTTGAGGATTCTAAAGTTAAGCTCCAAAACAGACTTATCGAGATAAGCTAAGCAGTAGAACCAATCCATGACTGAGAGGTCAGAACCTGTGACAGAAGAGCTATCCACGCCATTGCTGATGGAACCGAACTGTGAGTTTTCTTCCATACTTGCCTGGTCCTGAGAGCCTGTAGATTTCGTCTTCCTCTTCCTCTCCTTCTTATCTTTCCTTTCCCGAAGAGCCTCAGGAAGCAAAAATAACTTTGCGAACGGATTTCTTGCGTCACCAAACCCGATGAGATGATTAATATTAGCGATAGCAAAAAGAGGACCCTTGTTGAACCAAAAGTTGACCTTTTCTATCGTATCCATTGAGTTGGACTGCTGGTCTTGTTCATGCTGTTGCTTCAAGTATTGTGTGAAGGGATCTGCACTCTGCTTCTCGGTCTGGTTTGGGTAAATGAACTGGCGCAAGAAGAAATTGTATCCATGGGAATCGGATCCGAACGACATGGCATAACGTGAAACTAGATCGATGCCATGATTAAATCTGTTCTCTTGGAACATGTCACCCTGACCAGGAGACAAACGAGAGTTCGGATTATTCGTGTTGATGCATAACAAGACCTTGTGAATCTTGATGAAGTCAATGATAGGCAACTCAAGCAAAGAGAGTATGTTTCTTTGCGTGCAAATATTCTCAACCACGAGTTCGAGATACTGTGCTGTTGGGACAAACGGGTCACGACAATTGACAGCCTTACTTATGTTGACAAGGGCTTCCAAGTTGTCTTGCTGGACCGTGCTCATGTGGTAGTACATTTTTCCATGGCCGTAAAGGGTTTTCAACGCATTCCAGTACCAGTATTCTGAGCTCGACTTCCAGTCGATGAAGCGAGATGAGTATAAAGCGATAGCCATTCTTGACAAATCACCGAGTTTCTCACACCACCAGCCTTCCATCTCCCAAGATGGATCTGTGAGGCTAGAGACTATGCTAAAACAGTGAGCGATGAAACATGAGAACACTTCATGCTCTTGGAAAATGCTCATGATGTTCTTGAGAAGTTCTAAAAACCCAACGATACCGTACACCCACATACGGCGAGGGATCTTATATAGATCAATGATATTCTTGCCTGTTCTGTGATGAGTGGATATGGCGGTAGGCTTCAACGCAGTTGTGAGGAAATCATAATAGTTGTTCAACAACGTTATGTTATGATGATAAATGGTCCACAAATTATTAGAAAGCTCCGTCGTATTAGTCGGGATCGCAGCCTGGAAGTTTGGTGCGGAGCCATGGATCGCCTGATGCTGAGGAACATACATCGATGTCGTGTAAGGAGAGTAGAAATTGCTTGACTGGTTAATCTTATGAGTAAGATCAACGATAGACTTCTGAACAACTTCTTCGAAACTGACAATGTTCTTGTATGTCTCCTTCAACTTTGTTGCAAGCTGCTGCTCCTCATCCGACATGACCCGTTGTTGAGGGGTATTCAGAGCATCCGACTGAACCGAAGGCTGCTGTTGTAGTGGCATAGAGGAGCTCTGTGATTGATTCGTGGAAGATGCGGTATCCTTGTTCTGGGACGTATTAGCAGGAGTCATCAGATCGACCATGGGGCTTGAGCCGGACAGATCCGAATTATTTTGAGCTGTAGACTGGGTCACGTTGGGGCTAGAAGGTACGTCGTAGTTTGAAGGAGTAGGCGTCTTTATCATCTGAGGCCCATGAGGCTGCAGTTGTTGAGTTTGGAGTTGAGGTTGCAGACTAGGAAACTGTACGGATTTTCGATACTTTCCGCGTTGGGCAGAGGGAACGAAACGGCCAGACGGGGAACCCAGGTTGTTTGTACCTAGCTGGTTGGCACCAGGAACGTTGCTTTGCATGGAAAGTTGCATTTGCAAGGGGTTCGGAGTCCGTTTGCTGGAAGGATTATTCATGTATGCCGACATGCTGTTTTGGCGTTTCTGCTGCGCTGAGTTTATCGGGTTCCCGTAGACGTTTAGAAAAGCCGGGTGGTTTTGTAGATTAGCATCAAGGGGAGCAGAGTCCTGAGGAGGAGATACCGCCTTGGGATCATGTGGGTACCCAGATCCGACGGGAGTATTCATGGAGTAATATGCTAAGTATAAAAAAAGAAAAAATGGAAAACGGAAGGGGAACGGCAAGCTTACGGAAGATGCCTGGTCGGGATGGAGTGGCTAAGGATAGTGTCTAAAGTTGTGATGAAGTGAAGGATGCAATCTAGCCCAGGATGCTATCCTGTTGGAGGAATTGTGGATGTTGATGGTGAATTAGTACTGTTTATAGAAGCAGCCAATACTGGGGAATGGGAAGGGCAAGGGCTACTTGGATGCCTTTATATTGGAAAGGGATAAGGTAGCAAGGCAGAAGTCTAATAGTAGAAAACTCTCCAGTAGTATGGGTGTTCCTGGGAGAAAAATGACTAACGTGTACTCAGTGAGGGCGTTTAGGAAATATAGATCAAGGAGTGAAACATGCTCGCTGGATTTTTGGAGAGCAGGCGGTTTATCATGGGCGTGGCACGACCTGTGACAGATAGGAGGGCAAGCAGAGATAAACCGACACCTGGCAGAAATTTATAGAAAGTGTTACAGAGAGGAAAATACAGTAACTGTAAATATGGCTTTTGTTGGTTTTACCAATTTCCACCATTCATTGGTTATATGTGGAACACTAAGCGTCTGTGAGCCCTGAAGAGTGGGTGCAAAAAAAAAAAAAAGCGAACAAGGTACACGCCACCGCAATCGAGCCAGGCGACAGGGACAGGGGGAAAGGTGATGATATGGAGAAGAAGGGGAATGTTCCGGGACGGGTTTTTGGATATGAAATGGTGAACTTACGACATTTCTGGGTATTTGTATACTTTGTAATTTTTATATTTTTGTGGTGGTGTATTTTTAACATGGGTGTGTTGTTTCTGTGATTGGACTGATTGCCGTAAACAGGTTCGCATAATTAATGCGTTTTTGGCAGGTGATGATTTAAGACACTGTGGAAGGCCCAAAAGATGGATGTTCCAGGGAAGTAGTAAAAAAAAAAGGAAAAAAAGGAAAAAAGACAAAGAAAAATGGAAGTAACAAAAATCAAAGAAAATGATCACTTACAATGCAAAAGCAACACTCATCAACCTAACCATCTCCCCTTGTGCTCTTTTTTCGATTACGAGGCGTCCTGTTTAAGTCTTTGTGCCTTGCTCGCTGGATTGCGCTAGCATCATGGTGGACCCTAGATAGACTTTCGTCACCATTCGTACTTTCGAAGCATTGCTATGGCCATTTAAGAAATATGAGGCAACAACGTGCGTTTTTGGCTAGATTAGGGTACGATTTTGGGGAATATTATTCTATGGTTTTTGCTGTTTGCGGCGATATGTGGCCGCCTAGCAAGCGTATGTGAGCCGATAAACGGACAGACGTACTGATCTCACCAGATACCCGACGCAGGCTGGATATGGCCTGGGTGAGTCCCAAAACGGGACCGGCCAGGGGCCACATGGAGCACCTTATATGTAGCGTCATTTCATTTGGGTATATGGTTCTACAGATGGGATGCATAGGGTTTGGGCTACTTGGTGATGAGATGGAAGGTGGAGGTGGCAGGTGGCAGGTGGCAGGTGGCAGGTATGGAGGTGGCTCGAGGAAAGGACTGGACGTGTCGGGAAAGGAAGTTGGAACGCTTGGATGGCGACATCTAGACTTTGGATCAAGTTCCAAGGTTTGTCTTGATGTAACTTTGAGTATGCTTTGATGGCGTTGGTCTTGGGTACTAGACATTTGTGTAATGCCGAGTCGGCATCAACCAAAATGTGATTTCTTTCTGTTGTCACTTTTTCATCCTTTGTTCTTTTCACTTATTTCCTAACACGTCTTCTTCATCTTCTTCCTCTTGCCTCTCCTTCTCCTGGCTCTCTGTTCACCCATGTCATCTTTCTACAGGGTAACTTTCCAGATCGTTGTATTTTGTATAAAGAGCTAAACAGACCAGCTCGGGTATCACTCGAACATGCAACAAATATGTACAAGCACAAGCAAAGCCCACACTGGAATGGAAAGTGTAATAGGGGGCTGTCCGATTATTTCAACTTCTTCTTTGGTCTCAACTGGTTAGTGTGACCGCACTTTCTCTTTCTGCAGTTGGTGGCTCTTGGTGGCAATCTGGCGTAACACTTACGGCAGATGGACTTCTCGCAGTTGTACTTGGAAGCCAAGGCTTTCAACGATGGTTCAATCATGGCGTACTTGTAAGTATGAAAGAGGGAAAGGGAAAGGAACTGAAAGTTTTTTGTCGATAGCGTAGGAAAAAAATTTCGCGGCTGGTGCAAAGGTGTGAGCTGCCTTTGGCCAAAGTGCGTGCCGGCTTTCCCCCATAGTTAAGCTTTGGTTCATGACATCACGTGTGTGCTCCAAGCGCGAGGGCTCGAGCCCCAATTATATGCCTCCACCTGGCGCCATCACCTAGTTGGAAAGTAGTATGGAAGGTTTTGGGATGATGTGAAACGTATTTTGCTTGGATGGCAATTAAGGGTTGGTTTTTTAGTTGAGTAAAGGAAGAACAGAAACATGGGTATAGAGTAGTGGACGGGTGTGGATGCTGGGTTCTTCTGTTTCTGTAGGTGCTCATTATGAACATCCAAGGCTGGCTCAGCTTATAGAGAATACCAAGTATCATCTATGGTAGACCACTACTTAAGGTGTGAAATGATATATGCTCATTGCCTATTCCGCAGCCACTTCATTAATGGAACGATGTCATATTAACATTGACCAACCACTCAGAACTTAACAGTGGAGCATAGTAGAGCTTGAGAATATCGTTTGCCATGTAGATAGTGTAGCTGAGAATGGATGGCTCAGTATGGAGAGTTCCATTCACTCAATACGAAACGACCGCCCCAGATACTTAGAATTACTTGGCGACGAAAATAGATTACAGTAAGAAGCAAAAAATAGCATAATCTAATAAGTATGATACTGGTAGTCCTTCCAGTAAATGCTTCACCACCTTGACTATGTACCACTGATGCTGGTGCTAGTAACTACTGTGGTGTACGGGTGTCTACATCTCAAGTTGATAGCCAGCAACATACTCAATAGTATTGTAAGCTAGTTTCACGCAAAACAAGCCATCTACTGCGACATTTGTGTTCGTCATGAGCGATCCACAAGATGACAGCAAGAAAGAGGAAGCTCTCTCACAAGATGTGGAGATGATTGATGCTGAGACAGCCAATCCCACGCTACAGTCTGAGACAGTTCCAGGTCCAGATGCACCAAACACAGAAGTCCATGAAGCCCCACAAGAGAACATAGAAGCAGTGCAAGAGGTGTATTCTGAGCAAGTTGACACAGCTGTATCGTCTGAACAACCACAAGAGCAGCAACCCATTTCAGTATCGTCTGAGACAAACACACAACAGCCTTCGCAACCAGAACTTCAAGTCGAGGAGATAACTGATGAGCCTGAAGTCATTGCAGATGAGCCAGAAGTGGTTGAAACTCCAGCAATTACTGTTAGCTCAACCGAAAATGTTCAGGAGAATGAACCCCAAGCCATAGAGCCCCAGGTGGAGGAGCCTCCAGCAGAAGAAGCCAAGCCAGAGGAGCCTCAGGTCCAGGAACCTCGTATTGAGGATGCTCCAGCAGAAGATGCTCCAGTTGAAGAAGCTCCAATTGATGAACCTCAGACTGATCAGCCTCAAGAAGAACAGCCAGACCTCCAAAAGCCAACGGAAACGCTTGAACCTGACGCTCCCGAGAACATGGACGAAGACCAAGATCCTAACACTTCGGTCACTTTGAATCCACCAAGTTCAGCTCAGAACTTTGCCACCCCACTGAAGTCTCTTCCTGCCCTCAAGGACATTGAACCTATCACTACTCCGAAAGCATTCAATGTTGCTAAAGATGATGAGGGCGTTCGCAGTTCGCCAGTGGCTGAACAAAGATCAGCTAATCTTGCCGAGTTGGCCGAGCAAGATGATGTGCTTGACCACACAGCCAACGATACTTTTGCATCTGCCGTCATGGACACCAACGCCAATGATGACCCTATTCCCGAAACCGGAAACAAGTCGGATACCGATCTAGAACCCGTTGCATCTTTCCTTGGATTGGATACTTCCACGCTCTCTAAGTTGCCGTCATTAATAATATCGAAGCTTGTGAGTAAGACCCAGCAATTCCATGGTCTTCAGTCAGAACTTTCCTTCTTTAAGCTTAATCAGGAGCAATTCAGTCAAGTACAACAAAAGAAGTTGGACACATTCCAGAAGAAGATTGAGAAATTGACGGAAACGAATTCGAACATCACTTTGGAGAACGAGGTGCAATACGACGAATTGGTCACACTTAAGGAAACTCTTGAAACTGTTCGTGATGAGAACAGCAGCCTCAAACAAAAAGCATCTCAATCGGAGTCTCAAGTGAAAGAGTGGGAGAATAAGTACAACGAACTTACTACGTCTGGCGAAGCTAGCAATCTCAATCTTAACGAAGCGCTCGACAAGGCTATTAAATCTAATCTTGAGCTGGGCCAGAAGTTGAGTGAGCTTAATAAGGAGCTAAGCGAAGCTGTTAATGAGAAGTTCAACTTCAAGCTTGAGTTAAACAAAGCTAACAACGAACTTGTTTACACGAAGAATCAGAAAGAGTGGTACGAGAAGGAACTTAAATCTCTTCAGGATAGGTACACTAATCTTCTCAAAAAGCACGATGCCGATAGCTTGAAGGACTCGAACCAAATCAGCTCCCTTGCATCAAAGAACGAGACTTTGGCCTCCATCAAAGACTCGCTCCAGTCACAAATCAAAGAGCTTGATTCTAAGCTTGAGGAACAAACTAATAGAGCTTCTGATCTAGAGACGAAACTCGAGGTGCAAAGATCTAAATTTGTAAAGGACAGTTCCCAGAAAGATGATTTGATCGAGCTTATCAATGTTCAGTTGAATGAGAAGACTTCCAGAATCCAGACCTTAGAATCATATGCTGAAGAGCTCAAGAGTTCAACATCCGAATCGATCTCCAATTTGCAGAGAGAGCTTTACGAAAAGGACGATAAGATTGCTCAGACGGAAGAGAAACTCAGGAGAACCGAAGATGCCCTTGATTCCGAACTACACAAGGAGACGGAACTCCCCAAGTTGGGTGCTTCAGCTGAATTGATTATGCAGAATAAGCCCCAAGGTATTTCCTTATCGTCGCTCTACACCGAGTTTAATCATATGAAGAAAGAACTTGTTCTCGAGAAGTCACAGAAAGAAAAGCTTGCTGCTCAGTTACAACACTTCGTTGCAGAGTTAGAGTCCAAGAAGCCTGCTATTGCCTCTTACAGAAACCAAATTCAATTCTACGAGCAATCTCTTAAGGACATGTTAGGAAAGCTCGAGGCTTTGAGACTTGACAAGCTTGACTCTGACAAAGAGACTAATAGATTGAGAACCAGGTTGAGCAATAATGAGTCTGAATTACATTCCTTGAAGCAATTGTCTAAGGATCTTGGAAGGCAGTTGTGCTACTATCTTATTCACTCCAAGGTCAGAGATGGCAACGAGAACCCCTTGACGTCAGAGGAGAGGAAAACAATCGATTTGATTTTGACTAAGAGTGGAAACAAGGACTCGAGCGGCGAGTCAGACACTGATCAGTTGATAACGGAGAGACTTGTTGGCTTTGCATCTATCATCGAAATGCAACAAAAGAATCAAGAGTTACTTGTTGCTGTAAGACTGCTTGGTAAACAACTCGAAGCCAAGGAGCAAGAGTCTGAGGGTCTCGAATCTGCTGCTGTGGAAGAGGCTAGGGAGGCCATTTTGACATTGCAGGGCGAACTTGATAGCGTGAACGTCAGACTTGAAGCTGTCACGAAAGAGAGAGACTTGATCAAGACATTAGGTGATGGAACTTCTCAGAACGGATCGGAGAACAGCAAGGTTGAGGTGAAGCTTCTCAGTGAGGCCAATCAGGAACTCAAGAATAAACTTAAGGAACACGAGGAAGCCCTTAAGACCATCCAATCACAATCAGGTGAGAAGATCAAGTCACTTATGGAGAAGTTGACGCTGTCGAATACCGCCTACGAAGAGGTTCAGACGAAGCTTAGTTCCGCAAAGCATAACGCCGATCTTGCTGAAAACAGATACGAAAGTGCCAAGAAGCTTTTGGACAATTCAAGAAGGGAAGTCGAGAACGGAAGCAGGGAGGTTGCCTTCTGGAAAGAGCAAGCCTCTAAGCAAGAAGACCTTTTAGTCAGAAAGTCTAATGAGCTTCGTGATCTTGAACGGAAACTTGCTGAATCGAGCTCGTCATTTGAAAGCTTGAAGTCAGAGAAGGAAGTCTGGAATGCAATTCAGAAGTCATTGAAGGATGAGGTGAGCCAGCTCAAACGTGACAAGGATCAACTCAATGGTTTTGTTTCCAACTTGCAATCACTTTTCAAGGAGAGAGAACAGTCGAGCTTGGAGTTGTCCAACAGATTATCGCAGAGTATTGAGAACTACCAAGCCTTGCAACAAAAGCTCAGTCAGAAGGAGGAGAAGATTGAAATTCTTTCATCCCAATCAGAGATGGCATTGAAGGCTCAGAACGCTAAATTAGAGCAAGTCAATGAAATTAGTGAGAGATTGGTTGATGCCAAGCAGAAAATCTCCGAGAAAGAAGCTCTCATTAAAAGCTTGCGCGATCAGATCACTAATGCATCTAAGTCTCGTCCAGCACGTCCTGTTGAAGCCAGCACAAATGGAGAAAATGGTGCTGATAATTCCGAGTATGACGATATCAAGTTCGAGTTGAAACAAGCAGAGGCACAAGTGACAGAATTCAGCAATATTGCGAAGGCTGCTGAGGATGCTCTTGTCAAGGCCACTGAATCATTCGACAGCTACAAATCTACTGCTGATGAAAAGCTTGAGGCTGCAGAGAATGAGAAGAAGGCATTGTTGTCGGAGGTTGAATCGCAAAAGAAGGAGATTGACGAGCTTCAGAAGCAGCTGTACAACACCCAGAATGAGCACCTCAACGCTGTTCAAGAGTTAAAGACTAAGTTACATGAGTATTCATTGAAGGCATCCTCATACGACGACTTGAGACAGGAATACGAACAAAAGTTTGCTGCATTGACTGAAGACTTGAAGTCACAATCTCAGATGAATGACGCGTTGGAGAAGAAGTTCCAGAGCAAGTTCGGCGAAGTCGAGACTTTGAACACAGAGCTCGTTACACAGAAGGAGCTCAATCAGACACTCCTTCTGAAGGTTGAGGATCTTACTACCAAGTTAGAGAAGGCCAGCAATGAGTTAGCATCGAAGGAATCTGCTGTTTCTGAAGAGCAGAGCAAGACTGTTGAAGAGCTCGATGCTACCAAGGCCAAGTTGAGTGACTTGCAGTACCAATTCAACCTTACGTTGAACCAACTTGAATTGAACAAATCTGGTGCAAGTCAAGGCGATGAATCAGGCGACGATTTGAAGGAAGTTGTCAACTACTTGCGCCGCGAGAAGGATGTTGCTGAGTCAAAGGCATCACAGTTGACGGAAGAGAAGCAAAGACTCGAAGTTCAAGTCGACTCTATCAATGCTGAGTTGGGTGCCGTGCGCTCTCAATTGAACAGACTTCTGAACACCAAGGTACAATTGGATGATGCCACAAAGGAGCACACACGTCTTCTTGAACAGCTCGAGCAATTGAACATCTTGAGAGAGAGCAACGTTACTTTGAGAAACGAAAATAAGAAGGCTCTTGAGAATGTTGAAAGTTTGCGTAAGGAGGTCGACAACCTTAAATCTTCAGCTCCTGTTGCTGCTCCAGACGCTACTGCCAATGCTGGTGCAACCGACTCATCTGTGTTGGAGCAAGATATTCGTTTGTTGAAGGAGGAGAATGAAAGATTGAAGAACCAATTGGAGAATAACGAAGAAGTGAAGAATCTTTTGGCTAAGTTTGACCTTCTCAAGAACGAGTTTAGATCCAAGCTTATCGCTCACAGGGACAAGAACAGAGAATTGGAGAAGGAGCTTAACGAGTTGAAGTCCACGCACGAGTCCACTACTAAGCAGCTCTCTGAACTCCAGGGCCAACAAGGTAACAACGAGAATTACACTGCGTTGAAGGATCAATTGAACAAGGCTGAGGCCGCCAAGAATGAAGCAGATAAGAAGTTCGAAACTGAAGTCAGTAAACTCAAGGAGCAACACGAGAATGACAAGAGCAAGTTGAGGGCCCAGTTACAATCCCAATTTGATTCTAAGCTTGCTAGCGAGATTTCCAAGGCTAAAGCTCAGCCATCTACTGAGGGCGCCTCGGTCTCTGAGGATGCCATTAAGCAAAGAATCGAACAAGAGCTGCGAGCCAAGACAGATGCTGCTACGAAGGAACTCACCGCTAAATTTGAGAAGGAGTTGGAGACCAAGGTTCAGCAGCGCGTGCAAGAAAGGTTACGTACCGAAGGTGGCAACGCTTCAGACAAGGGAAGAGAGGATCTCACGAAATTCTATGAGAACAGAATCAAACAGCTTAATGACAGCATTGGACAGCGTCTTGAAGAAGAGAAGAAGAAGGCTGAATCTGCAGCTGAGACGAAGTACCAGTTCAAGATCCGTGTGTTGACCAGAAAGCTCGAGAAGCTCGAAGGTAATGAAGGTACAGGTGGTGATGAGGCCACAACTTCTAAAGCACCAAAGCAAGCTCCAGGCAGCGGAAGAAGTACGCCGTCCTTTTCTGGACCACATGGCGAAAACACTTTAAGTGTGATTCAACCCAATGCTGGTGGTAACAGGAATGGTGGTCAACAGGGTCTGAATGTGACATTCCCACATCAGCAACAACAGCAACAGCAGCAGCAGCAGCAGCAGCAGTACGGTCAACAAAAAGGAAACTTCCACCAGGGATCAAACCAAGGAGGTAATACCTTCAACCGCAAGCGTACTTTCCCGCCAAACACTGGCCACTCGTATAAGAGGCCCAGAGATGATAATAAAGAGTAACGAGACTCTGGGCATTTCGCAGCCATGCGATAAGCCTGCATGAGTTACCATGATAAGCTGGAATCTTTACAATCATGGAGCATCGATTTGAGAGAAACAAAAGGTATATGGTTCTTAATTGGGTCTTTCCGGCCTTAAGCTGCCTTTTAACATTATAAATAATTCATCTATAGAAAAATAGTCTATAAAAAATTCGGATAAACTCAGCCTTCGATGCATCGCGAGGTGCGTCAGGTGAGGCTGCTAGTAGAGTATTTTAGCAGCCATTCTGCCCTTTTCATCACCAAACCATACCAACCATTCCTAAAATATAGAAATCACTATGGAGACTCCAGAAGAAGACTGGGAGAGTTTTGAGTCTCTTCGCAAAGCGAAAACAGTGCATCCTATCCAACTTCAACTGATGCTTTCCGATACAAAGCTAGATAGAGTGTTCATGAGAAGAACCAAACTGATACCGCAAAGAGCACACTTGCTGAGCAGTGACAAAGTCGATTCGAGCGACTCACTCGACGTTCATTTCAATCTTGGTGCCGAGGAACTTTCAATCGGCAGCTCAGACTCTGAAGAAGAGTTTCTTCTTATAGACTCCAAGTGGGAAGATGAAAAACCTCAGTCGATCTTTGAAACTTGGGAGAAGTATGTTATTGCCATGCTTGGAGGGTTAGCAGGGTTTTGGTCGTCAATTTCTAGTCCTATATTTGTTCCTGTTCTTTCAGAGATACAGGATGCATTTCACGTTTCTGAGTCTTTGGTGAACATCACCATTGTTGTGTATTCCATTTTCCAAGGAGTGGGACCACTTGTGTTTTCAAACTTGGCAGACTCGGTAGGCAGAAGGCCCATTGTGTTGGCATGTCTTTTGTCTTACATTATAGCGAACTGCCTATTAGCAGTCAATAAGACATTTGCTGGCTTGACAGCGCTAAGATGTGTTCAGGCATTTTGCATTTCCTCCACAATCTCTTTAGGAAGTGGAATCGCCAGCGATATTACCACCAGAGCAGAGAGAGCATCTTTCATTGGACTCACGACTGGTCTTGCACTTCTAGGACAAGCTTTTGGTGCATTTGTAGGAGGAATGATATCTTCAGCCTTTGGATGGAGAGCCATCTTTTGGTTCCTTGCAATGTCGTCTGGATGTACCCTTATTATCATTTTCATGCTTCTCCCTGAAACAGCTGCATCGATAGTAGGCACTCAAGCGAGCGGTCAGCCTACCAAGTTTAGAGGTATTATGGTCGCTCCAGTTATGCGGTTGAAATATTTGGCCAGGAGATTGGATCCAGTGGTATTATATAACAAGAGGGATCCATATGATGATCTTCCTGCCAAACCAAAATTCAACATTCTCAAACCATTGGAAGTGCTCAAGCAGAAGGAAGCCATTTTGGTTTTGATCCCGGCTTCCCTCTGTTATTCGCTTTGGCTCATGATGCTAACGACGCTTTCTCATGCACTTACCAAACAATATGGTTTCTCATTGGATCGTGTTGCCCTTTCTTATATTCCCTGTGGAATAGGAGGACTTCTCGGATCACTCTCAGTGGGAAAACTTCTTGACTATTCGTACCACAAGTACATGATGAACAGTCGCAAGGAAGGCATAACATTCAGTGTTCTAAAATCAAGACTCATTGTTTCCATATTACCATCTGTGTTATGTGTATTGGCAACATTACTCTTTGCTTGGACACTTCACCAAAATGGGCCAGTTTCGCTTGCAATCATTGCATCTTGCGTAATTGCCTATGGAGCAATGTGCTGGTTGACAATATCCAGTACAGTGATTGTGGATTTGAGACCAACGGAAGCATCAGGATCCTGTGCTGTTGTCAACTTAACAAGATGTTGGTGTGCAGCTGTCTTTGTAAGTATTTTGAGTTACATGGAGAATATGGGTATTGGATGGTGCTATACCTTGATGGCAGCGATATGTGGTATTTCAAGTTTATGTGTGGTATACTTGTATAACCATGACGACGAGTAGGGCAGGTTACGGAACTTTATAGATAATCTTAAGCAAAAACACGAACATGCCAGTCATGAACCTTGTTACCCTCATGTTTGACTTCAATCGTCGACTCCTCCTTCTCAGGAAGCAGAATAATGGCGCCATCAACACAGAAACGTCTATTTTCCTGTGGAATGAGGTTTTGACCCTTGATAACGACTTTTTTCCCTTCGGGAACCTCTTGGTACGTAACCTTTGGGTTCTCAATATGCTTGCCATTATCGTAGGCCTCTAACATGATATCAAACAAGTACTTTCCAGAAAGTTCTTCTTCATGCTCATACCCAATTGAAAGAGCATAAAGTGACAGATCATGTACGTTACCTTTAGGCAGAATTCTGAAGCCAGGTTCAAAATTCTGGACTGGCGTGATGACCAAGTATGAAAACGGCCCGTCGGTCTTTCTGGAACCTACCAGGACACTCCCTTCGTACTTCTGAGGTCTATGGAGGTTATTCTGAGCGGCAATTCTGAATCTCTCGTTTCCGTGCTTCCGAAGCTCTTCTGTATCACTGTCTGCAACCAAAGATGCATGGAAAGCCCATGAAAAGACCACAAGAAAGTAGAATTGGGCCGGCGCAGGCGAAATTTCCTCACCACGGAAGAGGTTCTTTGTACCTTCAGGCAACCTGGCCAGGTAAATATTCAACGGCTCCAGAGCCGTATCTTTAGAAGTGAAAAGTTTCTGAAGGGCAGTATGAAGATCATTCAAGCCAAGCGAAAGCGCCAACGCATTACCGGAACCCGTTGGAACTACCACCAAGTCAATGTTACCCTTGTTAGGGTTACCTGCCAATCCATTGACAAATTCGCTTATCGAAGTGTCTCCTCCAAGAATAGCCACAGTGACCTTCTCATCCAGCTTCAACGAACCAGCAAACTCGGTAATGGAGTCTGCAGAGGTCGTTGGGATATACTTATGCTTCAATTGGAGCACTTCATCAAACACTGGTCTTAAAATCTTCGAGTATATGCCATTGGCCTGGCCCTTTCCAGCCTTCACTGAGTCCAAGACGTATAAAGGAGACTTTACGATGGCCAAGTCTTCCTTAGAAACCGGGACAAAGGCTGGTTCTGGATTTTCAGCTTTCTCAATCTTCACACTCCATTCGCCTTCGTTGTTCTCGGCAGATACAGCCAATTGACTGCTGGTTTCGTAGAAAAGAGGTGCCATTATAGTGTGGAGAGTAGACTGTGTAGCAGCCACAATTTGGTGATAAGGAAGATACACTACAGATACTGCGCACTTACATTAGAGGTCCTGAACGATACTAATATGATATGATGTATATGTACAATCGCGTTAGTCGTGATGGCGGGTTGAGGGTTACCTTTGGCCGCCGTAGTTGTTTCTGTTGTAGCTGCCGCCAAAACTGTTGTAGTTGCTGAAACCCTGGTTGCCTTGGTTACCCTGGTTGGCTGGGTATCCTTGGTTACCGTAGCCTTGGTTTTGGAAGCCTTGGTTTTGGTACCCTTGATTTTGGTATCCCTGGTTCCGGTAGCCTTGGTTGTAACCTTGGTTCTGGTTGTAGCCTTGATTCTGGTTGTAGCCTTGGTTACCATAATTGTTGTAACCTTGATTATAGTTGTTTCCCTGGTATCCTTGGTTATAGTTGTTGTATCCCTGGTTAGCGTACCCTTGGTTGTAGTTATTATAGCCCTGGTTGTTGTAATTGTTGTTGTAGTTGTTGTTGTAATTCTGTCCTCTGTTGTTGTAGTTACCTCTGCCTCGGTTGCCTCGGTTACTGTAATTACCTCTGCCTCCACGGCCGCTGCCTCTACCTCCACGGCCTGAATCAGGCTGAGAGCCAATGTGTGAAAGTGCACGGTAGCCACCAACCCTCATACCGTAAGCCATGTATGGCTCCTTGCCTTGAGGACCGGTATTCACATAGTCAGAGACATTCTGGAACCTTGGTCCGTTCCTCTGTCTACCAGTAATAGCAAACTTGTCGTCGTCCGTGAGCACCTTGACGTGAGGAATGTAACCGTTAAGCAACATGGACTTGCCAGGTGTTGACTTAGGGAAGTCGTACCATGACATCAAATATGCTGAGTTCAGAATATGTGGGAGATCACCTTCATTGAGCGGGAACTTCAATTCTCCATCAGCAGAGAATGACAGAACTGGCTTGACAACGCCGGCGAGACCAGTTCTTTGTGCAGCGAATGGTATCGTTTTGTCCTCATCGAAACCTTGAAGGAACTTTTGGTAGTTCTTGTTGGCGCTAGAAATATAGAGCTGAGCCTTCTTGTTGGTGTTTCTCGCCTTCTCCGCATCTGTAAGTAAGTCGTACTTTCCACGAACAGCAGTGAGAAGTCTATGTTCATCGATGAATGGTAACAATGCAATACCTTGCCAACTCATCTTTGCTCCGTTCATATCGATCTTGAAATTCTCAGGGTAGAAATCGATAATCTCACTATCGGGACTCGACATGAGTTCTCTGAACACCTTAGGCAAGGCATGGCCAGAAGCAGCCGGCAAAACAGACATAAGCTGTTCGTAGGGGGTGAATGGCTCGCCTTCAATGAACTTAATTCCTTGACTGCCAAAGATCTCTCCCAAGTCGGTAAAGTCAGCAGCAAATGGAGCATAATGATATGGGTAGTACCATTGCCATGAAGGACAGCCTTGGTAATAGTATAGAAGTACCCATGAGACACCTTCAATGTAAGAGAAGACAAGATCTCTTCTTTGCTGTTCAATCTCTTCCTTGGTTGACAAGCTGAACTTGATCTTGTAGTATCTCTCTCTGTAACCAGGTTCCCACTCTTTAACTTGGTCCACATCAGGGTCATCCTCTGACTCAGTAGTCTCCAACTCACTAGCACTTCTTTTCTTTGGATCTTCTGCTTGACTTGCATCACTCTGCTCGGATGGTTCTTCTGCTGGAGCCTCTCCATTCTTTTGGGCTAGGAGCTTTTTAAGAGCAGCGGCAGCATCAGCATTAGCCATGTTAGCCTTGGTGATAACATCTCTGTTTTGAACAATGTCTTTGTTTGTAAGCTGAGCGTAACCGTCAACAAGCTTACCTGATGTGTCCATGAGTGGCATGTTCATGTCAGCTGTCACAGGGGCCTTTTCTTTACCCTTGGACACTGTTGAAAGATATTGGGCACGCAAACTCTTCTCTTCACTTTGTGCCACCTTTCTTCTCTTATCATTGTTCTGGTATCTTTTTTCGTTTTCATGTCTGCGTCTCAAGATATCGTCCTCTTTATGAGAAAGAGCCCCAAGAAGCTGCTCGACGGCGTCAAGGTTGAGCTTACCGTCACAGGTCAAATAATCAGTTATTCTAGGGGCAATCAGTTTCCAACAGCCGACCAAGATATCAATACCGTTATCACGAACACTCAATGAAGGCAAATGCGGCAAGAAATCATTACCGACGAAGAAACACATGAAGACCCAGTCATCAATAGCTCTCTCAACATCCCACTGCATGCCCATTCTCACCTTAAGCTCGACTTCCAAGTATTCACGAAGCACATTAACGTGAAGCCATAGGAAAGGTTTCTTCGCGTCCTTGGCATCTAATGCTTTCTTTTCCTCGGCTGTCATATTTATCTGGTCGGAATATTTCATGTTTCTTTGGCCTCCGCCCTGGGCAAAGACATCCTCTCTCAAAACTCTGAAATGAGGCTCGTGGGTAGCCAAACCCAAAAAAATAAGATCAGCATCAAGACCGTAAATACAATGTTTAGTGTTTGGATCGTGCAGAGGGTCCAGGCGCTGCGATCTGATAAAGCTCATAAGCTTATGCTCACCTTCACCAGGAACCGTAGCGTCACTGATGATCACCTGCAAATCTTTCCAGCCTGGATCAGAAGCAAGTTTATAAGCGACCCAGTATCTCAAAGCAGCAGCCAAGCCATCCATAAATGGAGTACCAGGAGTAATTGCGTTGGAATCCCATTTCTTCTTACCCTTGATAGAGTCTTCAATGATTTCACCACGGGCTTCAGCATCAGCAATCTGTCTTTCGCGTTCTTCATCATGAATCTTGGCCTCCTGAGCAGCTCTGAATCTTCTGGCTCTCTGCTGGTTCATCTTGGCTCTTGGTGCAACTCCATCAACCGCGATGACAAGTACCTTCCTCGGCCTAGCCATCATCAAAACACGATCTGTATACTTAAAAACGTCCAAAAACATCTCATCTTCTGTTTCAGGAGCCGGTTTATGCTCTGGATGGGAACACGGGTGAACAATACCGTTCATATCCAAATACAAGTTATCTAGTTCTCCATTGGGGTTAGGGTCCAGGTACTGAGGCTCAGTGCCATATTGAGCGTCACCCTCGTCCTCCACCACTGGAGAGATAATCTTAGGGTACTTCCTCGAAAGCCACCTGAAGAGAGCTGGAACACCCATATTAAGTTATGATATTAAGGATGTAGTAGGGTTGGTGATGGAGAAGTTTGCAATACTGGGGACCGAAAAAAGGGCCTAATATATGCAGACCAGTATGGAGTAGGCGAAGAGGAGCTACCAAGAAGACTTCCAGGGAGAGAAAAATAAGAAGAGAAAGTGATAGTATTAGGAAGATGGTTTTCTGGTGGTAAAAAATTGCGTAAATAAATTGCTGTCTTGGGGACGTAGGTAGGTGCAACGCTGATACCTTATCCTGTGCTTCTCTATAGGGAAAACATACACTGGTTTCACAGGAAAGACGTCTATAAATTACCCCAGGAGCATCAAAAGTGTCCATCATTGCCTGACTTTTTTCACTGGTCCAATTTCCCTCCTTCCTGCTTTGTTTGTTTTCCAAGACTTAATGGCTGCAAATGTTGCGTGAGGTGTTTGAAGCACCAAGTATCCAAACAAATTCGCTTGCCAGAGGCTTAGAGCTCTACAATCATTCATTTGTTATCTCATTATTCTTCATTTGATAATTTACCCAAAATAATACACGCTTAATTGTCAACCTTCTTAAGCATCTGAGAATCCTTGCCGTCCTTGGCAACATCCTCAACAAACTCTTGAGAAGAGTTCTTTTCTTCGTAAGACATAACACCGTGGTCATAGTGAATTCTGTTAAGCTCAGAGTGGTCTGGACACAACTCTGGACCCTTTCTGCCCACCAAGTACCATGGCAAGTTGAAAATCTCCTCCATACTCTCCAAAGAACGACCAGCAACCTCTGGAACAAAGAACCAGGCCCAGAAGAGAGAAATCACCAAAACACCAACGAAGAAGTAGAAGGCTCCGTATGGCTGCATGGAAATCATCATCTTTGGCAAGGCCTTAGAGTTACCGTACTGGTTAGCGAAATGCAAAACCATGACAGTAGACTGAGCGAAGGAACGAATGTTCAATGGGAAAATCTCAGAACCCAAAAGGTATTGAATGGAGTTGAAACCCATAGTCCAACCACATCCGGAAAGGAAAAGCGCAGACAAAGCACCCTTGGAAGCTCTAGCTTGAGAACCAGTCATGAGGTAGTCCTCGTCAGCAGCCTCAGGAACGACAGTAAGGAAAATGGCAAAGTAAAGCAAACAAATCATTTGAAGAGTGATACCCATGTACAAGGCGGTCTTTCTGCCCAAGAAATCGATAATAAAGAAAGCACACAAGTAGGCAGAGCAGAACTTGACCAAACCCAAAATGGCAGTCATCTTCATCTTTTCAACACCGGTAACACCAATAACAGCAAACAATTCAGGAGCATAGATAGTAACAGCGTTAGCACCAGACCATTGACCCAACAACTGGGCAGCAGCCACAACAAGGAAAAATCTGTATCTGTTAGACTTCTTGGTAACAAATTCCTTGACGACACTGAAGAAAGAGTTTTCAGCAACGGCAGCCTTTTCAACAGCAATTTGTTCGTTAATGTCACTGATTTCACCAACAATGTATGGGTGGTCAGGAGGAAGACGTCTCAACTTCGACAAAGATTTGATAGCTTTCTCAGGCTTACCAACCTTCAATAACCATCTTGGGGATTCCCAGGTAAAAGTGAAAGACATGATCATAATCAAACCAGCAAAGACAATCTTCAAACTGGTTGGAACAACCCATTGCATTCTCATGGTCTCGTCCATGTGCAAAGCAGTACCGTAATGGGTAAAGTAAGCCAACATAATACCCAAGTACACGGCACCAGCGAAAATACAACCACAAAGACCTCTAATCTGCTTTGGAGCAACTTCAGCCAAGTAGGTTGGGCCAATCGTCGTAGTCTGACCAATAGCCAAACCTTCAATAAATCTACCAGCGTAAAGCTGACCAACGTCATAAGAAGTAATCTGAATAATAACACCAACAATCCAAATAACACAAACCTCTCTTAAGGCATTCACACGGCCCAATTTGTCGACAGTGTACATGGCGATCATGGCACCAGCGACAGAACCAAGCTGGACCATCGAGGTGATGTTGGACTTCAAGTCAGCCAACTCGTTCGCAGATTTCGTCTCATCAGCCAAACCAAACTGTTTCTTGAAAGATGGCTGAGCAACACTACCAGAAATGGAACCTTCATCAAGACCACGAGCAGCACCCAATACACCAAACACAAACACTGAAAGGTAGAGGGTCCAGTTGTAGATCTCCTTAGGAGAGTCAGTGTCTTCAATTCTCCATCTGAATTTTTTCTTTTCTGGAACCGAATGTTCCGAAGTGACAATTTGGTTCTTTTCAATGTCCAGCACTGAAGAGCCAGAGTACTTGTTCTGTAAAGCAGTCATAGGTGATTACAAAAAAAAAGAAGAAGTGAAAGATCCGGCCTGGGGTCTTTGCTATTATATAGCCCAGGACGGAATTAGGCCATTCAGCCTATTTGCAGCGATACGAGATGATACCTTACACTTTTTTTTTATTACTATGGGGCGTCTACAGTGGGTGCAAAAAATTGCACATAGTGTATGCGACAATGAAGTCCGGGAGCGGTGGGGTACCAATGGTGCAGCAACAACGTAAGGGAACAAGTTCCCCACATTGACAAATAGAACAGCCCGCATCAAATACCCAATGTGGGCCTGCAGAGGAGGCTCCTGGTTTCTGGTTTACCTGCTGGGTACAGTTTTGTACTAGCGAACAACGATTCACCATAAGGCAACATTACTTGTATGTTGCTTTTTGTGATACATGCTGTTTCAATGGATAATCACGGTGGCCCGGTTATTGTATGGGTAAAGAGAGGAAAGGAAAATGGATGACCAAAGAGTAAACGCGTCGTGCTTAAGTGGATACAGTGGTGTGAGGTTGAGGAAGAGCCTGTGCTTGTGGAGGCAGGCAGCGTGGAGGAGGGGCAACCAAAAAAAAGGAAAAAAAGGAAAGTCGTGATAGACTTTTGGGTGTGTCCAGGATAGGAAGGGCTGATGGTTTACCGGGAAATTTTTACTCCACTATCCGCCCCTCTTGGGGCCCCCCTCATGAGGGACAAGAAGATTAGCTTTCCCCAAAAAAAAGGAAGATGGTCCGAGCTCGGGCGGTTGGAAAGCCCCTGAGAAAACGTTTTCCTATCAGTTGCAGATCAGCAACGAACGTAGAAAAAGGTGTTTCTGGGTGTTGATATATGAATAAGATTACGCTTTTTTCGCTTCTTGCAATTGGGAAAGTACCTATTGGCTGTGAAATGGATCTGGACAACGCCAAATTTCCGCTTTTCTCGCAGATTTCGAAACGAACAAGCATTGGTTAGCTCGTAGTGACTCCGGGGGAGGCTGACAAAATGGCAACAAGTCCCGGATAGTACAAGGTGCTTTTGGAAAAGCGACGAAAAGTCAATGGGCTGCCGCACGTACAATTGCAGCAACCTGTGGCTTGCCTGCCGGCCACGCATACTTGCCCCACTATGTCTCAATAACATAATGTGGTTGACCGCGGATTATGGGTTCTACTATTGGTCAGCTGGTTTGTATGGATGTCCAGATGCCGTGGTACCCCGTAAAGCACAAGAAAAAAAACCACTGAAAAAGCGTACAATCAAGTTTTTGTGTGGTAGCTTAAAGGCTGAAAGTGGGCCCGCGCGGGGTGCATTTTTTTGACAGACTGCGTGGGGGCACCAACCGAGAAGGCTCCTTCTAAACCCCCAAAGGGATAAAAAGAAAGAAAGAAAACATGTTATATCCTACTATTTCTTAAATCCACCATTATCTATTGCTTGCACTACTTAGATCCTCTTTGCCAGGCTTGCTGGGTCTTCTTGCTTGCTGGTTATGTTCCCATGGTTTAGATGCCTGCCTACTCAGAAGCTCATTCCTCTGGCTTCTTCTAAATCCACCACTTACTTTCAAGCGCCGCTGCATCGCCTGTTTTTTTTTTTCGCAACCGCATCCCTGGCTTTCTAAGACCGCTGCCGCCTCTATTAAAGCGCCGGGCATGTAAAAAAAGCACCCTCTTCCAGCTTCCTGTTCGGGTCGGCTTGAGGCTCACTCTCTCCTCGGTACCCACCTCCTCTGTTAACTCCCTGAAATCACCAAATCCGAGCGGGGGCCCTTATCTGATTAAACCCTAGCCCAATTTTTTTTCTTTTCTTTTCTACCTTGGTCCCGGAGGTTTCAGCCCTGCGGGGTTTCCATCCCAGTGTATGGTAACACGCCTTGTTAAACTTTAAACAAAGAAGTAATAGAACCGCAGCCACTTCGGCAAACTTCACATACTCCCATCGCCGCGGGGGCCCATGGAGGGACTCTATTGCATGAACAATGCAAAGTTACATTTGGGGTCCCGGAAGACTCATCGAAAAAAAAAAAAAAAAATTATGGTGGCATGTCTGCTTTGGAGCATGGTGGGGCGTCGGGAACGGCACCACTTCAGCCGAACTGCTTCTCATCCTGTCGGAACGCCTTCTTCTACGAAGTACCAGCAGACATGCAAAATGGGGTGGTGTGTTTCTCGCTAAACCTTGGGAAGAACGTTTGAAGGCGGCGATTGTGCACTTTCTTACCGTTTTTTTCTAAACGTTTGGAAGTTTTTCAACTGGTAGATCTGGTGAACGGCTGGGAGCTTTTGACAGAGCCAAGCTCTCATGGGGCTTCTGGTGTGCCTGCCAAGCTGGGCTTGTCGCTGTCATGACACACTGTCAGGCATTAATTTTTTCCCCAGTAAAAATTCTTGGTGGGGGATCGCTTTGCTTGGCAGATATTTTTGGCACTGCGGTGGTGATGTTTGAACGACTTGCCAACTCCAAACGAAGCGTCAGTACTATGACGACGGGGGGAAATTTTTCGATTTGCAGGATTTATCGGATTCCGTTTATGTCGTCCCGGGTTACCAATTCTGTTCTGGAGCTTCGTTTCATTGTTGGTGTTCAATTCCGTGGTATTTTCTTTTATGTATGTATTTTATGCCTTTTATTTTTATGGCATTCCTCGACCTTTCTTTGTTTCTAAATTACTTTCTACTTCTTCTAAACGCCTCATCCTTATCGTACTGTTGCTATTGCTCAGATTGCCCTGCAATCCCGGGACTTCGTAACGGGGTTGGCCCGGAACGGTCCGACATCTACAGTTGTTGGGAACCACTTCCCCCTTGGTATCAAGGGTTGCCCCACAGACTCTAATTACTTTCAAGCAACACAAGGCATTTTCCTTTCTCTACTTGATGAACTTTTCTTGTCTAGACTGAACTGTTTGGCGTGTGCTTTCTTGGGAACCCCCGGGGACTTCTGCGTCCCGGATTTGTATTCTACTTGGCAATCACCCCCCATTGGATATTGTGAAATTTATTGACTAATCTTGGAATCGTACCAGAAGTATCCCGATCTAGTGTATCTCCTCTTCTTTCTTGGGGTCTTTCAAGGATTCCTCGTCATCTTCTCTCCTGCCCAGGCTGGCATTTTCCACATTATGTTCTGACCCAGCTTTATCATCATACACCATCATGCCATTATCAAAATGCATCCTGCTGGTTTCTGAAAAATCAGGACAAAGCTTTGGTCCGTTTCTTCCAATCTGGTGCCATGGTAGGTTGAAGATATCGTCAATACTCTCCAAAGAGCGTCCTGCGACCTCTGGAACGAAGAACCATACCCAGAATAACGAAATCACCAAAACTCCTGAGAAGAAATAAAATGCACCGTATGGTTTCATTGCAATCATCATCTCTGGAAGTGCTTTGGAGTTACCGTATTGATTGGCAAAATGTAAAACCATTACCAAAGAGTTAGCGACAGAACGAATTCTCAAGGGAAAGATTTCAGATCCCATAAGGTACTGAAGGGCATTGAAACCAATAACCCAACCAGTACCCGAAAGGAAAATAGCTGCCACGGCACCTTGAGAAGCTCTTTTCTTTGACCCTTCAAGAGAATCTTCAATGTCTGGCACAATGTTTAAGAATATGGCATAGTATAATTCACAAATGAATTGAAGAGTGATTCCCACATACATGGAAGTCTTTCTTCCCAAGGCATCAATAATAAAAAATGCACCCAAATAAGCTGAAATAAATTTCACCACACCAGCAATGGCAGTCATTTTCAAAGTCTCGACTCCATGAACGCCGATCACTCCAAACAATTCAGGCGCATAAACAGTAACAGCATTAGAGCCAGACCATTGTCCAAGCAACTGAGCGGGAATTGCGATGACCAACAATCTGTATCTATTTGCCTTGACACGAACGAATTCCTTTACAATGAGAAGAGCGCTGTTGCCCTCTTGTGCTTCCTTTTCCATCAATAATTGTTCATTGATATCATTGATTTCACCAATAATGAGTGGATGGTCTTTAGGTAGCGCTCTGAGCTTACAAAGAGCCTCATAAGCCTTTTCATGTCTTCCAACCTTCATGAGCCATCTGGGAGATTCAATGCAAAACAAGAAAGTAAGGATCAACAACCCACCAGCAAAGATGATTTTTAGGGAGGTGGGAATGATCCATTGTTTCTGGGACGAGCCAGAAATGTGTAACGCAGTACCGTAGTTAGCAAAACACAGTAGCATAACACCGAGGTACACTGCTCCGGCAAAGATGCATCCACAAAGACCTCTGATCTGTTTGGGAGCAACTTCTGCCAAGTAGGTGGGCCCAATGGTGGTGGTCTGGCCCACAGCGAGACCTTCGATGATTCTTCCAGCGTATAATTGGCCAACATTGGATGAAGTGATTTGGATAATTACGCCAATAGCCCAGAGAACACAGACTTGTCTGAGAGCATTTACTCTACCCAAACGGTCAACTGTAACCACGGCAAGAAGGGCACCACCCACACAGCCTAACTGTACCATAGATGCAATGTTGGATTTTAAATCGGCAATTTCACCTTCACTCTTGGTGGGGTCATTAAAGCCGAATCTTTCTCTAAACGAAGGCAAGCTTATATTAGACCCAATATTACCTTCGTCAAGACCACGAGCAGCACCCAAAATGCCAAAAACCATCACCGATAAATATAATGCTTTGTTGTAAATTTCTTTAGGAGAATCATGGTCTTCCACTCTCCATCTGAACTTCCTTTTAGGTTTCTGTTGGTGCTTGGCAGACTCCATATCTGCCAGTAAGTGCTTAGAAGTATCTGGATCTGTAGTAAGCATAACTCAAAAGTACGGATCAAAGAGAAAGAAAAAAAAAAGTAAAATAAAAAATCTAGAGATTCCACAACGTTTATATTTAATTTAATAAACGGTGCTACCGGGCCTTTTCCACTACAAAAAAATCGCCTTGCCTTGCCTTGCCACTGACCCCACTTCCCCATCACTCTTCTAATTAATAATATGAGCACCTCTCCCAAAAAAAAAAAAAAGTACAGGCAGCATGACGTCTCGGAACAGTCTACCGGCGATGGACTTTTCGAACACAAAACCACGTTTTATACGTGGATGTGGGATACATTGCTGCAAGAAGATACATACGGTGTGCCGCTAAGCCTCTCGGCCCGGGTGACGAAGACAACAAGTTATGCGCGTTTGACAGGTTGACGTCTGTCAAAAAATGCGTGCCAAGCCAGCGACTACTTGGTTCCTGGAAGTCGCCAGTGGTGGACCCTTTGATGGAGAGCTACTAAAGGGTGGTACATTTCAAGAGCAACTGGAAATCGTGTTCCTTTTTTTTTTTGTTGACGCAAGGAGGTAATTTTCTAGGATGCACTTTTAGACTGTCGCTTCATGCAGAGTGGTTCTTATTAGCCATGCCTTCGAATGTCGGACATGGAAACCCAGAACCCGAACGAAATCCGGCAAAGCCTTGCTGAGCCGACACAGTATATGCTTTGCCGTAGGTAAGGCTCCCCACGGTTCTACGCCGGGCATTGCGGGGCACATACACTATGACTGAGCTTACTAACCTCTATGAGCTCCCTCTGGGAAGGGTACGAAGGGGGTTCAGGGTGCTGCTAGGGAAACAGCAATGCCACATTATCGTATCCCCTGCTCCTTATCGTAAGAGCATTGCCTTCTTTTTTATCAAAAAATACCGCAAACTGTTAGGGACCATGTCTTGAGCTTTGTGGTCTTTGTGAAAAGCAACGCGACTGTTCTGCCCCACTCCCTTAGGCTCCTTTAGGACCAACTAAGACACAACAATACGAAAATAGACTTTGCCGTACTTTTGAAAAAACACTACTTTCCATGTATTTCACGTTTTCCTTGACCTACAATACCTTAACCTCTGAACTGATGTCTGAGTAGGGCTTGAGAAAACCGTTGGTGCCCCGCCCCCACTTAAGCAAGCAGCGCGGAAGCGAAATGGAAGCGAAAAGCTGTCGCTGTCATGTTTGCACGATAAGCGATAACGGTATTGCTGCGCCAACTCATTGGTAGATGTGTTTTATCAAGACACAGCCTTATTTGTTTGCGCTTTAAGGATGTTATGAGATCTGGTAATTGGTAAGTTTTGTCTAAAAATAAAGTAGAAAATAGAAAAAAAAATATCGACAACTGCAGGACTCGAACCTGCGCGGGCAAAGCCCAAAAGATTTCTAATCTTTCTCCTTAACCACTCGGACAAGTTGCCTCTTTTGACTAGGTTAAAATTTGGGTCAAATTGGAACTTTGTTTTGGTAAAATCAAGGATATTGGGGATTTTTGGTATTTTATTTGGTTTATTAGTTTCTCAGGTTTATGAATTCAAATCTCAAATATAAAAATTACGATTTTTGAGCGAGATATGGCCCTTTTTCTGATTCCAAAACCATGTTTCGTGATGAAAAGATACATTTCTCCCAATATTTTCCTCTTTTTTGGTCAATTCCGAATTGCTTTGTTTTGAAAGGATTAGATTCTTCAAAACGTACTGCTTTATCACTACCCTCTGGTGGCTTTTAGGGAAGATACTAAACAGACAGAGACAGTCGAGTGATGCGATTAACTAGTCAATAATACCCATGAAAGGTCAAATTGTTGACATTCAAGCCATAAATATTAGTCTTTTATCTCGAGTATCTCCGCTGTATTATAATTAGCCGAAAAGGCTCTTCTTCTTATACATCGAAGTCTTGTCATACATAGGCCTTTATGATAATGAAATCAGCCATTAAAGCGTACCACTTACCTCTACAAAATGCATGGAATTTCAAATCCCAAAAGATCCTGTTATGGTTCGTAAGCCCTCAATCAACTACATGGTTATCTAACCCTGTCTTTTGTATTCAACCCTCAAAATGTAAACACAACCTTTCCTACCTCACCGCGTTCAAACCTCTCGTAATACTCCTTTGCCTCGTCTATCGATGGCTTTGCATCAATAAAATCTCCAAAATCCTCCTTTACCTTCTCAAATACATCCAATGATTCTCCAAACAATGACCAGGCATTGCATCTTCCAAAACTAACTGTCACACACTTTGCGTACGCTTCCAAACCGTTGAATGGAAGTGGTTCATGGCCCATACCAACCGAGCTGATGAAGCCACCTCTTCTGACACAGTCAAAAGCTGATTTCATGGACAGCTGGGCACCAACAATCTCCAAGATCGCATCAAAACCTAAACCACCAGTGTTCGTTTTGATGATTTCCTGTAACTTATCTGTCTCGGTCTTGAAGTTTACCGTATCGTGTGCGCCAAGTCTCTTAGCATGTTCCAACCGTTCCGGAATACCATCCACGACAACAACGTACTTGAACCCAAAATGTTTCAAGATTCGTACTGAACAAAGACCCACTGGGCCAGCACCAATCTGGAGAATGGTGATATCCTTTGTCTTAAAATTTGAAAGATGGTCCATAACCTTCTTCACTCCAAAGTAGCCTGTAACAAAGATATCAGCCATAAGCACGTAGATCGAGTCGTCGACTCCAGCATTGGCCTGTGGTTTCTTATGCAAAGTCGACTTTGCGTACGGAACGAGCACATACTCGGCTTGACCGCCATCCAAACCAATCTTACCAAAAGTGTTGGTCTTATCGCATGTACCTGAGTAACCGTTCTGACAGTACCAGCATTCTCCACACTGGATCGTGAAGCACGAAATCACGTCATCACCCACAGCAAAGAACAGGTCGTCAATTGCGTCGCCCTTCTCCACAACAGTGGCAATAAACTCGTGGCCCATAGTAACACCATCCTTCAGTGGGATATGGCCTCGATAATAGTGGAGATCAGATCCACAAAGAGCAGAATATTTCACTTTCACGACAGCATCTGTGGGGGAGGTAATATGAGGAATTGGCTTATCAATGGTCTCGACAAGGTATGGCTGTTTGAAAACGGCCGCTTTCATGGTGGGAGGATGAATGTGGGGATTGGAAAATGAGGCGATCGGTCGAATATATATCATTATCCACGCTTATCCCCGGCACAGTAGCGGGTATAGACAGGCCCAGTGCATTTGGCGCACAGTGAGATGCTGCCTTCCTAATCAGGCAATGGTATAGGATTTCCCCAGGATTTCATGGAATCAGCCCTTTACATTATCATCTCTGTACCGTTGTGCCAGACGATTTTGCCAACGCCGGTGATAATTGTGATCATACCGTTGAACCTGGAGAAAAGCTGCATCATGTAGTAAATGAGAACATTGAATGAGATCATCTGCCCTGCAAACCCGTAGACGAGGTACAAGAGCACCACTAAAATGGTCAACACCGGTGAGGGCAATCTGTCGAATATAGGAAAATGAAGTGCAATAACATCACTGAACCGGAAGATCAATGAGTTTCTATCAATGACACACGTTTTGGATGCGTCTTCTGCCTTGGTGCACTGTATTCTAACAGTACTGGAAACCATGTCGCGTAATATCATGGTCCACAAATTCCAATCAAAGACGTTCCCATCATTGATCGGTAGGGTATCTAGCCAGTTGGACGTGCCGTTACGCGGCTGCAAAAGGGCCTGAGTATCCCTAAACACGTACGTTTCAATATCCACAAAGAAGTTAGGTGAAAAAGTCACCATCGAACTGTAAATCAAAACAGCCTGAAGGATATCTCTGAGCCATTGGAACACAGCAATACCGTAGACAAAGAGCCTGCTTAGTCTCACGGCGGCTGCTGAGATCGCTAGGAACAACCGCATGCTTGATCTGACCAAATCAGCGGGTCTATGACGCTGCCATAGAAGCGAATAGTTGACGTTCGGAAGCGGAAAGAACCCAAAAAGCCAGTAAAGCTTCACTATACGCTCGTTCCTCTGCTGTTGGAACATTCTAACGAAATCAGCTGTGGTTCGAAGGTTATGCATCCGGGCCATCCTTCTAAGCTCAGCACGCTGGGACCGCGTAAACACATCCATGAGATCGATATCTAGGTCCCTAAAGATATCAAAAGCTTCTATATCCTCATCAGAATCAGACTCCATGGTGAAGGTTCAGTGTACCTGAAAGTGTGGAACCGTTGAGGTTGAAACAAGAGCATGAGACACTGCAAATCGGGTCACGTGCGGTCACTGCCAATTGCTAGGAGTCATTGCAAGTTCTTCAGAAGAAGCTGTGGGGAAGAGAGTGGGAGGTATGAGGTACTGAAAGGTCTCTGAATCTCCTTTCGGTGAAATCTGTTTGTTTCTGTGGAGTGGGCTTCTTTGGTGGTGTCTGGTTGGACCGCGTAGTTCCGAGACGTCCCGAAATACTATACTAAAGAAGAGAATGTCTACTTACTTATAAAAACAGTTATAAAACACTTCGTACCTTTTATTTCACTCTATTAATTCCAATTGCCACGGTTGATGTATTTTGTTCGAGATTCGACCGTTTGGGATGCTATACCTTCTGTGCGTAATGGCTGCAAAACTAACCACTACACTTGGTTCACCACATGTCCAGCTCCAGCCCATTGCAAAACATCTTTGGACCATTCAGGGACAAACTCATGCTGACTTAGATGCTCACCTGCCCACAACTGAACCAACTGTTTGCTTAAATTGTACTGCTCCTCGATTGTAGGAGTCAGAAGCTTGATCTGAGGACGCAACTCTGGAGAAACATGGAAGTCTGCGGTGCTAACCAATTTCGTTTGGTTCGGCAAATACTCTCCAAGCATGTAGATACATGGTGTTTTGCCATCTGGTGAATATTCGTAGATAGACGGACTCAAGAAAGGAGTCTCGTATTGGTCAAAACTGATAAACCCATCACTTTCATTGACACTATCATAAATGGCATTAACAAACTGGTGAAGCATATAAAGTGTTTGCTCCAGGTTTTTGTAATGTGGCCATGGGGAGAGTATTGCTCCAGAGCAGCCCTGACCAACGCTTTCTTCTTCCTTGCATTTCTTGACAGGTTGAAAGTCTGGAGCAATTGGAATATACTCCCTGTAATCAATAGTCTTGATTCTTCTCAAGGAATACAGACCATCACTAGAGTTGCTTCTTCTCGATTGAGGTCTTACTGAAGACGTGATTGAACCTTCTGACTTGGGCCTTCTGGATAAAGTTCCTCGTCTTCCAAGAAGTGAGCCACTGGGCCGTTTACCTGCTCTGTTTGAAGCGGGAACAAAGTTTCCAGCATAGTAGACCCAGTTCCGGGCATGAAGAAAGAGCCATAGAGTTTTGGCGTGAATCCCTCCAGCCAAACCAAGCACCCAGATAATCCTATCGTATAACCGATACAAGTGTGGATCGTCAAGTGGATGGTTCGCTGCTGCTAAGATATACAGCCTGGCTGCCTCAAAGCATTCAGTGGGACTATAGCGTTTGGCTGTTATTTCCTGGCCTGATTCAAGAGCTATCAGTACCCTGACTCCATTGTTTGCAGCCAATTGTCTCCGAAGATGGCCACAGCACAGAAAAACTTGTGATTTTCTCAAGGACAGTGAATAATCCATCATGGAAGCTCTCTGTGACAATAGAGGGTTCTTGTAGCCATACTCTTTACTCAGTAAAGAAAGGGTTTCCAATTGGATTAACGTCAGACAACTCGTTTCTCCACTTTCTATCTCAGAAGCCCAGAATGAAGCTTCGTCTATATCTAAGCCAGCATCTGGATGGACAAGCCGTGTATAGATTCGTTCAAGAGTTCCAGGGTTTGCTTGGATACCTCGTTCAATACAGTTTGCCATGATGATAGCCATGGTAGTTACATCTCTAGGAGTAACACCAATTATTCCACTAGGAAGCGAATGATGGCGAACCAGGTCGACCGCTGCAAAATAACGAGGGATCCACAGAAACGCCGTCAGGTAATCGCCCGTAATGAAATTAATTACCGCCGCCGCTGCCCTGGCAGAAGCAATTTGAACAACCCCCGACAACTCCTGATTCTCTCCCAGAAACCCAGGCCCTGCAAGCAGAATCAACTTCTCCATGGCAGATCTGCTTCTCTTGAACTGGTTGATGATGGCATTCTGCAGAACATACCAAGGCCCAAACTCGTCAATAGCTGGAAAGATCTTACTAGGGCAAGCCACAAGATCCGCTACCCTTTTGCTATTGTCGTAGTCTCTTTTCACCGCCGCTGAAAAGCAGTCAAGCGGAGTAAACCCGCCAGCCTCCTCATACTTCAACACCTGTTCGTACATCGATAGGTAAGGTGGCGGGCTAAAGAAGACTCCTTCCAAGCGGGGCACATATTCAATAGCTTCTTCTTGGAGAATTCCGTTCTCCACCTGGGCAGCGAACTCGGCCAGTCTCCCGCCATTCTCTTCTAGACATCTGTACAAGGCGTACAAGTATAGTTTACGGTCAGAAGGCAGCTCAGCAGAGTCGGCCAATTGGACCATAAAATGAACAGCGCCCTTTGGTCTGCCCAATCTGGCAAGAGACGATGCCAAGGCAACGTTGGCCATGGGGGAGAGGGATTCAGGAGAACTGTTCAAGAAGAGCACGAGAACACGGTAGTGGTTATCTTTATAGAAGTGGTGTAAGATATCCGTGGAGTTTGAGAAGTCGAAGGTCTCATTTAGAGGTTCTTCGAACCTTACAGGTCGAACTGGAAATGTGTAGACCATGAAAGCTTAATCGTGGAGAAAGAAGAAATGGTTGCAAAAAGAGGCATAGTGCGAAGCGATCAAGAGGCTTAACTGTGGTACAGACCGGGCGACCCACGGCGTAGAAGGTCCAGAACGGGTGCCTTTACGATGAAAGTAATAGGAAGAGGAAATAAAAAGCTCTAGTTTAGGGAGTGACCAAGTGGATATGGTCTAGTGGTGCCTCAGGTGAGGCAGTCGGTGAGACATGGGCCGAGTTTGAAGACGCGTTGCGGGCCGAACCGGAAACGGACCCAGCATACCAATATAAGGTTATAGTTCACCGAAGGTTCTTTGGGGCCCGGAGGCTTTACAGAATGGTGTCATGGAGCCAAGTGGTTTGGTGATCAGCAGAGTAAGGTTTCGCAGCCATGCGATTTGCTGCAGCCGAGGATCTAGGATCTGAGAAGGATCAGGGCAGGTTTCGGGACCGAAGGGACCGTAGGGAGACAGTCAAAGGCGGGATATTGGTGGAAGAAATGGAAAAATGATACGGATGAAATGGTGATAGAAAGAAAAGAGAAGAATATAGGAAAAGAAGGAAATGGCTTCCTGGCCCGGGCTGCTGGTACCCAGCAGCGTAAGCGAGCCAACATGTCCACCCACCATTTAACTAATACGGAAAAAACGTATCCAGAACAGCAATGTAATCTACGTTTGCAGCAATCACTCATAAAAAGAAAAGAGACAAAACCCACCAAAAAATATTCATCTTAAGCAACACCACATCCAGCGCAGGGACCTCTAAAGGTGAAACCGTGTTTTTTCCCTCACTACGCTAGCCACATTTGCTCGCCTCGCGACGCGGTACGGGCACTTTTATCCCAGGCTTTTTTGGCCGCAAACCAGTGGGAAGTGGCTGGGGCGAGTGATGTAGGTAATGTAATGAAACGAGCGAACGAAGCCTGTAAAAAGGAAAGTGTCGGTGGGAAAAAGAGGGTGGAGGAAGTAGAAAGGGAAGTCAGGAAGATGAAATTAGTGAAGAAAAAGTCTGAAAGACGTTAGTAGAAGAAAAAGTCAAGAAGACGAAGTCCAGTTAGTGGAAGTGAAAAAGTCAAGAAGACTTCGTCTTCTTTCCTTTTCCTTTTTCCTTTTTTTTTTGGGGCCCGCAGCTGCCGCTGCTGCCGCCTGCCGCCCTGCCCACCTCGCTCACTGGGCCACCCTTTTGGGAATAATTACCTTTGCGCGTCCCTCCCCCCTGCTACCAATTTCTGGTGCGCCCCATTTATAGTTTTTTGCTAGTACATATATATATATCTATACGGCACTGCGACTTTCTTTTACTACTGCCATTTTCCATGTTAAATAAGAAAACGTTGACGTTGAAGATGAACAAGTCGCTTTGCGACGACTCCGCTCCCTTGACTCCGGTCGACCAGACACTAAGGACTCCCGTGGACCCGCCAAACCACCAGTCCTACTTCCCCAACGGCTCCTTCTATACCCATCCTAGCCATGCTGAATCTGATGATATCCTTACTGACGTGGACGAGCCGCCTTCCACGGGCCGCCTGTTGAAAAACTACTCCCTTACGTTTACCCCGGTGTTTGACCAGCTCGTGCTAAGTATCTACCTGGAAATCTTGCTGCTCCCGACAACGACGCCCTTTCTGGGCTCTGTGCCTCCGCTGGGCCTTGTATCCCGTGTGGCCAACGAAACCATGCTTAGTCTTCTAAAAAACGCGTCAGACTCTCCTGTTTATGATACCCAATGTGTGCTTAGCCCAGATTTCCTCAAGAACCACTCATACCAGCCTATCATCTTGCAACTCATTCGTAAACGGTTCATTGACTTGTGTTCGGCCCAGAAACTGTCCTCCTCCCAGCCTGTCAATCTCCCGGCTTGTACATCGGTCCAGGTTCCTGCTCCAACTGGCTCCTCTTGGAATAACCCTAATCCCTCCAACGGTGCCAATAGCATATATACCGCTCCTGGCATGCGCCAGCTGTCTATCCTGAACTTGCTGTTGAACGAGCAGAATGTGGCTTCTTACCAGCAGCAACCTACCCTGGTGGCTCAGGCTGCTGCCCTCTCAAGGCTGCGCTCGTCATCCTTGAACTTGAGAAAGCATTCCCTTACTAGAAATAATTCTTACAATGGTTCGAACTGGTTGCATGTTGGAAACTTGCTGAATATCCGCCCAAACGCCAACTTGGGCATGCATTCGGACCAGGCCAATTCCACAGACTCTCTCCAGCTGATGCACGATTTTGTGCCTAGAGCATTCATTCAGCGTAATCCGCTGTCTCTGCATCAAAATCAAAACGCTGGGCTAGGTCCTGCTCCTGGTGGGTTCAACGCCATGATGCTAGATTACCAGACGCCGCCTAGCTCTTCAAAAAGCTCCTTTTCTCTGGGAAGTACGCCAAACAATTCGTACTCAAATAGCTACGGCAACAACTTGCAACCCACTCCAGGCTCTGCAGGTTCTGGCTCCGAGATGGACGAAACTGACCTGGAACCACTGCGTTCTCGCTCTTCCAGTCGTGGCAACGGCCTCAACGGTTCGTTCCCTCGTCCTCTCACCATCAACACGGACTCGTGCAATTTCCTTCAAAACATGAACATGCATATCCCCGGTGGATATTCTGGTCCTGGCCAGAATTTCTTTGGAAATGGCGAGGCTCTCAACTCGCCATTCCTCTCGGCCACTACGCCATCTGAAGAGCATGGCTACTTTGTGGGCCACCCTCTGTCCAACGGAATCGGAAGCACACTGCCTAGCACTGGCGGCTTACGCGGTGGGCCATTGATTCCAGAGAGTCCCGTTAAGGAGCCTGCCATGGCTAATGGCAACAACAAAATCAATTTGCCAGGACAGTTCAGTCTTAGTGAAAAGAAGCGCGATTCCTTGAAGATGAAGAGAGGTATTCACTGATTGTGAATCTTGTACATTTACTCCGAAAAAATCAAAAAAGAAGAACGTTATAGATGTTTGTATTACATGTAAGATTAGACGCCAATTTAATTGTAAGTTTTGTAGTGATAAGAATAGGTAGGTCTTATACGTTGGATTTGGTGAAAAGTAAGACGCGTCCATGAGTTTTTAAGTTGGCTGCGAAATCTACAAAACGAAGAGAAATATGAATAGAACATTAAAAATACAAATTTTGTGATTTTGTAAAGTAAACAAAAGAATCACAACTATGGCGTTTTTGAGCTTGCTTGGATGGTAGAATTCTTAGACTTCTCCTTGTTTAGACTCTTTTTGGACAATATATGTCGATGCGACTATGAATGGTACGTACTTGCTATGAGCTGTCGAAGAAGACAAATATCCAGGCAAAAAGATAAAAAAAAGAAGAACAATATGTTAAGTTCAGTAGAATCTAAGTCAAAACCAATCTTAAGTTTTATCATTACCCACACCTTAGTGATCCTTCTTACACATCTGGAGCCCACTAGCAGCATATTATGCAACTACAAGATAATGGCTGCGAAAGGGTCCATCTAAGACACACCAGCCACAACCACCAAACCTCCATCACCAACCCAAAGCAAAAAACTCTCTTTTTAGTGGCCCTCTTGACGAAACAACTTAAGAATTCAGTCCATATAAGAACTTGGTTATCGTCCAGATCATAGTACCTCTTAGTACCTCCATAGTACCAACCGCCTCTCGAGAGACCACTTGAACATCCATAACCATGGATATCCCAACCAAGACCAAATTAACCCCCAGACACTTTCCACAACCATATCTAGGCCTCTATTAAAAGCTATTGTTCTCTTCTCCCACGTTGTACTGCCAACTACATCTACCGCACTGCACCCCACAGAGCCATTCATCGCACAGATTATTAAGCTTACCAGAGCAAGACATTGAAAAGCTACGCCCATCTCCCACGTTAATCTCCAAGTCTTGCCATTCCAAAGCAGTATCCAAAGTGTCAGAAGATAACACACGATCTTTGCGTCCATGCGGCATGGGAAGAACCTTGAAATTCAGAGTGCCAAAGCAGGTGCTAAGGCGTCCCCAGGCGCTCGTCACGTCTGATAGAGCAGCAACGCTACCGTTGTTGTTTGATATTCGGAAGGAGACGAACCTTTATGAGCCAGAGACGCCGCCGCCCGGGGTGTTTAGGGTGTTGGAGAAGTTTGGCAGACCTTCAACTTCCCTACTACACATCCCTCGAAACCTACAACCTGACCCATTTACCTACTTTTGCACAGAAAATCTGGCTGACGAGTCATATGTCACGGAACCTCGACTACTGGTTACAAAGCTCTTGACAGATGCCTGGTGTGAGCTTCAATTGTTCTACGATGTGTACGCTGGGCTGCACCGGAAGCAATTGACAGGCCGTTTGGCAGAGGGTATATCATACCACGATAAGCTAGAAAGCGAAGAGCATGAAGTTGCCGATATGTCAGCTACAGTGGAAAAGTTGGGTGAAGTGGCAGCTTCCCATACCAAGGAAGACGCGTTATACTTGGGCAGAAACGAACTGCTGGCGGCCTGGTGCAAGAACATGGCAGAACACGCTATTAAGCGAGGCATATCCTTGGCCCATACACGGCATTCCCGAGAGCTAATGGTCCACGGGTACATTGACTTGGAGACAGGTAAGTTGATCGAAAAGACAGAGGATCTACATAAGGGCGTGTTGGTGAATGGAATAGCCGACATTGTTCAGTTTGAGCCTAAAGACAAAGCAACGGATCTCCCAGAAGTGGCGTCTGATACGACAGAGGCACCTGAGCTTCGATCGATTACGTTAGCTTCACCAGTGTTGGACTTGAAGCGTGAAATTCCAGAAGCAAAGAGGGAACTACAACGAGACATTGACCAGAAGATGCTTCAAATTATAGACGTTAAAACGAGAGGAGTGAAGAGTCTTCCAAAACCCGTTCTGCAACTCAAAGCAGCAAAAATTCAATGCATGTACTATACTAGGTTCATTCATAACTTGGCGAAAGACGTGGATTTTGCATACGCTAGTTACCAAGAGAACGCCAAACGTCGAAACATCGACGCTGACTCTGATATTGGAGAAGCTCACGCGGCAATTCTACTTCTAGAGAATTTTGAAGCTCTTGCATTAGACTTTATCCGATTAGCCAAAGGTGAGACAATTGGCTTTGAAAGCCACGATGCCGTCATGAAAGAGAAGTATAGGGAAGTCGATGCAGAGAAGGTCAATTACAGTTTCTCCCGATTCATCCCTGAAGAAGAGTTCAAAGACCTTTTAGCGAAAGTTTACGGAGACAAGCTTGCAAGTTCATCGGTGGATATCTCAGCACTTTTCAAGCCATGGCGGTATCCCCTAACGCCACGATACTTCATGGCACGAGCAGCTCAAATCTTAAATACCCTTGAACGGTACAGATCAGCTACAGTGGGTGTGGACTACCACCACGCCAAGTCGTCGACGTTCATCGGGTCTAAAGTGTACCCGTACAGCGTGAAGGAGCACAACAAGGCCATGCGAGATGCAGCCAACTTCTGGACCGGGAAAAGACTACCCAGGGAAGCGGATCTCAAGTTCAAGTGCCAAAACTGCGAGTTCAAGAGTCGGTGTCCGGCGGTGAACAAACCATCAAAAGAATCGATTGGCGCATTGATATACCATGATCTACTAGATTAAGAGATGTCCAACGCTATCAAAGGTGATACCACACTGGATCTATGGCATCACCTCTGCAAGCATCCTGGCTAATTAAAACCTCGATATCTGGGATTCGTTTACCACGTATACCTAGAAACGTCATACAAATGGAGATAAAGTCCCAATTATCGAAGAAAAAGAGAGATGAGGTTTGGAAAAAAAAAAGGTGAAAAGTGGGTGAGCCCGCGCTGGACCGAGCCGCAGAAAAAAAAAAAAAAAGCTGGAAAAAATGGTAGCATTCTTTCCTGGCGGGTGGATCCAGAACAGACGTGCAGCATACCGAGCGATCCGAGGGAAAGCAAAAAAACAGCACAGCACAGCGCAGGACAGGCAGGACAGGAACGAAAAGTACCTAAGGAATGAAAGAACCGTGAAGCGGAAAGAATGGGTAATTGAGCAAATCAGGGGTAGCCAGATCCGGTTGGAGGGTTCGAAAAAATAAAACCCCTAAAAATATACAGCTACCCGGTGGAACCCGATTGGTATAAGGAAGGTTCAGTGAGGGCTGGGGCTGGGCTTGGGGCTGGAGTGCATCTTTGTGGCAGTGGTTTCCTAAATATCCCATGTCGATTGCAACAGCTCTCGAGGTGACGGAAAAGCGGATACCGTGCATGCCGAGCAGGTTGAGGCAGCGGGTGAAAATGACATATGATTGGACGAAGGGAATTGATTGAAAGGCTAAAATTTCTATGGGAAAGCCAAAAGTTTACAAGTTTGCAGCCCTTGGCAGAGTGGGTTCCTGGAAAGCTCGTGCCATTCAAGAAAGCAGCCTCGCGGGTGCAAGAAACAGAGAAATTGCAGCAAAACCCGAGTTTCGGTGAGAAAAGTGCGACGCAAGGAGAGAGCCGGAAAGTGGTGGAAAATAACACCTTGTCACGAACACGAACGCCAGGGCAATTGCCGAAAATGCCAGTTGCCAGGTGCCTTTCGACAGTGACCAGAACCCCAGACAAAAGCCAAGCAGTGAGGCAGCACGAGACAGGACAATCTTTCCAGTGGGCCCAGTAAACCCAATGGATTACTTCCTACGATCACAAAACATCATTGCCTTGCTGCTTATCCCTGGCCCTATCATTTGCATCTTTTGCAGCCAATTTAGGGCTCGCCCGAAAGTCGCAAAGCTTATGGGGCCTGTGATTTTGTGCGGGTGAAGTTATCGACAAACCGACCCACCTGGCACTCTTGGTACGCTTTTTGTGTACCTGCACGGCACCCGCGAACCACAAACGAAGCGTGGGGCCCGTTTCTCATTCGCCAACTCCGAAATCTGGGGTCGACTAACCTGGGGGGGTCCCCACTGGGACGAAGTAACTAAACGGGTGGGGGAGCGTGACAGATAAGGTTTTTGCGGGTGGGACAACAAAAATGTGAATTGTTCTTTTTTTTTTTTCCTTTTCCTTGTTTGGTTCCCTTGGTTTACTTGCAATCACAACCTCACCCTGGTGTGGGTCTGTCCGAGGATATTCTCTAGGGAACGTTGCAAGAGGCATTTTCATTGGTTGCAAGAAAGCGTCCCATTCGAAGCGGCCGCGCTTGTGTGCAGTACTCAAGCGGGTTTACGTAACCTGGGTGCGTTTTTCATACTTGCCGCTGCTTCATCCACACCTCAGATATATAAGACCTCACTTTGTCCCTGGACATTCTTCCGGTTCTTCTTTTTTTTTTTTTTTTTCTTTCCTGGTTATCTTTACATTAACTTATTATTTATCATGTCTCTCCGTTCCTTCCAACGTACCGCTTTGAAGAGAGCTTTGCAAACCAGAACCTACGCTTCTGAGCCAGTATGTGTCTTTTGCTACTGAACAGCAACATATCACCCACTTCCTGATACTAACCCCCTTTTAGACCTTGAAGGCTCGTTTCGCTGAGCTTTTGCCTGAGAAGGTTGAAGAAGTCAAGCAATTGAAGAAAGAGCACGGCAAAACCGTATGTATAAGAAAAAAAATTTGTCCCTCGGTTGTCCAGTGGTGATGATGCCGCACGAGAGAATACTCTCCCTTGCGGATGTAAACCACCGACAACATTGAAAATTTTCACATCAAAACTAACACACAGGTCATTGGTGAAGTCCTTTTGGAACAGGCATACGGTGGTATGCGTGGTATCAAGGGTCTTGTCTGGGAAGGTTCTGTCTTGGACCCAATTGAGGGTATCCGTTTCAGAGGTAGAACTATCCCAGACATCCAGAAGGAGTTGCCAAAGGGTCCAGGCGGTAACGAGCCTTTGCCTGAGGCTTTGTTCTGGTTGTTGTTGACCGGTGAGGTTCCAACCGACGCCCAGACCAAGGCTCTCTCTGAGGAGTTGGCTGCTAGATCTGCTTTGCCAAAGCACGTTGAGGAGTTGATCGACAGATCTCCATCCCACTTGCACCCAATGGCCCAGTTCTCCATTGCCGTGACTGCTTTGGAGTCTGAGTCTCAGTTCGCCAAGGCTTACGCTAAGGGTGTTCCAAAGTCTGAGTACTGGAAGTACACCTACGAGGACTCCATTGAGTTGTTGGCTAAGTTGCCAAACATTGCCGCCAGAATCTACAGAAACGTTTTCCACGACGGTAAGTTGGCTGGTGAGGTCTCCAAGGACTTGGACTACGGTGCCAACTTGGCCAACTTGCTTGGCTTTGGCGGCAACAGCGAGTTCGTTGAGTTGATGAGATTGTACTTGACCATCCACTCTGACCACGAGGGTGGTAACGTCTCTGCTCACACCACCCACTTGGTTGGTTCCGCTTTGTCCTCTCCATTCTTGTCTCTCTCTGCTGGTTTGAGCGGTTTGGCTGGTCCTTTGCACGGTAGAGCCAACCAGGAGGTCTTGGAATGGTTGTTCAAGTTGAAGGATGACTTGAAGGGCGACATCTCCAAGGAGTCTATCGAGAAGTACTTGTGGGACACCCTTAACTCTGGTAGAGTTGTTCCAGGTTACGGTCACGCTGTCTTGAGAAAGACTGACCCTCGTTACACTGCCCAGAGAGAGTTTGCCTTGAAGCACATGCCAGACTACGACTTGTTCAAGTTGGTGTCTAACATCTATGAGGTTGCTCCAGGTGTCTTGACCAAGCACGGTAAGACCAAGAACCCATGGCCAAATGTGGACTCCCACTCTGGTGTCTTGTTGCAGTACTACGGTTTGACTGAGGAGTCCTTCTACACTGTCTTGTTCGGTGTCTCTAGAGCCTTCGGTGTCTTGCCTCAATTGATCATTGACCGTGGTCTTGGTGCTCCAATTGAGAGACCAAAGTCCTTCTCCACTGAAAAGTACATTGAGTTGGCCAAGAACATTGGCAAGAACTAAACGCGCTGATGTGATGTTTCCTTGAAAATAGTTTCTTCAGCACTTGACGAACTTACATGATCTCTTGTCTTTTTATCACATCATGTCTTATTTATTAGTACATTTTCGATGTCATGTGTCTAACGTTTAAAAGATATATACTAAAGTTTTGCATTTTGTAGATTTTGCTAGTTCTGGCACGTGTGCTGAGTCACGAGACCAGATTTTTTTCAGATCTTGGGCTTCCTCTAAAGCTCATACTACCAAGTCAAAGAACCCCATGCTTCGACAAAGGCTGACTATGCTACGGTCCCAAAGGACTTTTAGTAGTACTAGTAGCCATTTCAGCTCATATTCAAAGTCCCTCTTACTACCCAAGACCGACTTTCTGCCTAGAATTCCCAAGGGACAAGATAGAGATGAACTTTTAAAACATTGTGGGAAGCAGCTCTACATTAGACAAGCTGAAAGGTCAGATACTCCCTCAGAGTTTACTCTACACGATGGACCTCCATACGCTAATGGTGATTTGCATTTGGGCCATGCTCTCAACAAGATTCTCAAGGACATAATCAACAGATTTGAATTGATCCATCGAGGCAAGAAGATCAACTACAAACCTGGATGGGACTGCCATGGTCTACCGATTGAAATGAAGGCTGTCAGTGGATTGACCGATCTCACTCCCGTGGAAATCAGAAAACTTTGCAGAGATTTAGCAGACAGCATGATAGACAAGCAGAGAGACCAGTTCCAGGACTTTGCAATCATGGCCAACTTTGATGATCCTTATGTAACCATGACACACGAATACGAGACGTCGCAGCTTAAGATCTTCCTTCGCTTGTTCGAAAATGGCCTTTTATCTAGACAACTTAAACCAGTTTGGTGGGGCTGCGAGACCCAGACAGCGTTAGCTGAGGCCGAATTGGAGTATAACCCAGAACATAAGTCTGTTGCAGTTTATGTGAAATACCCTATGGTGAAGTCAGACCTTTTTGCCGGCTACGATAAGGTGAGTCTTTTGATTTGGACTTCGACTCCATGGACGCTTCCTGCCAATAAAGCTATCTGCGTTCACAAGGATATTGAATATACCTTGATCAAGCATAAGGAGTCAGGCGAGGGAATTGTTGTTGCTAAGGACTTGGCTTCGTCAGTGTTGGCACTTAACGAGAACTACGAACTTGACGAACTGGTCTCTGTACGTGGTTCTGATTTGGAAGGTTTAAGATATACAACTCCTTCAAACCAGAACGACGAGCTGTATCCTATTGTTCATGGTGATCATGTTTCTTCTGGTGCCGGTACTGGTTTAGTTCACACAGCTCCAGCTCATGGTATGGAGGATTACCTCATTGGTAAGAAACATGCTCTCAAAATTGCTTCTGCTGTTGATGAAAAGGGTCTCTATATTGCCCTGAACATCCCTCAAGGGTACCAAGATCTTGCTGGTAAATATGCCAACGGCAAAAGCTCGATCTTCAAAGTTATTGAACGTCTCATTACTCATGAAATGATCTACAATGTCAACAAGCTGTATAAGCATTCTTATCCATACGATTGGAGATCGAAAACTCCTGTTGTTCAAAGGGCAACCCCTCAATGGTTCGTCAATGTTGAGAAGATCAAGGAAGCCGCATCAAACCTGTTGGATAATGTCGACTTTGTACCTGCTCTGGGCGTGAACAGACTCAAGGCATTCATTCAAAATAGAAACGAATGGTGCATTTCCAGACAAAGAGCTTGGGGTGCCCCATTACCAATCGTTTACCACAAAGACACCAAGGAACCTATTGAAGATGTCAACGTTCTTCGCCATACAGTGAACAAAATAACTGAATTCGGAACAGATGCGTGGTTTGAGGAAGAGTCAGATATTTCTCGCTGGTTACCATCTAATCTTGATGGTGCTCAGTACTTCAAGGGCAGAGATACCATGGATGTGTGGTTCGATTCGGGTACCTCTTGGTCTACGCTTTCTTCTGATTTGGAGGCATCTTGTGTGTCTGACAAACCCTTGGCTGATATTTACTTGGAAGGCAGTGATCAGCATAGAGGATGGTTCCAACTGTCTTTGCTTAATAAGGTCATTGCGTCGACGAGCGACGGTAAGAGTTTCAAGCCCGTGGCTCCGTACAAGAAGATTATCACCCACGGGTTTCTTCTAGACAAGAAGAACAAGAAGATGTCGAAATCTTTGGGTAATGTCATCTCCCCACAGCAAGTTATAGATGGTGGTGGAAAGCCACTTGTTCCAGCATTGGGTGTTGATGGTCTTCGTCTTTGGGTTGCTTCATCGACATACACTTCAGACGTTAATGTTAGTGTTGAAGTGTTCCAAAGGCTTTTGGAAAGTGTGAAGAAAAGTAGAGTTACATTCAAGTTTTTGCTTGGAAACCTTCACGACTTCACAGCGTCAGACCGCATTGAACTTGCCAACTTAAACAGCATAGATAAGTGGGTACTTTCTCGTTTGCATCATGTCCAAGAGAAGGTTCTTGGCCACTACAACACTCACAACTTTGCTGGAGTTGTGAGAGAGCTCAACTCGCATATCAGTGAACTCAGTGCATACTACTTTGATATCTCCAAGGATTGTCTTTACACCGATCACCAGAACTCCCACAGAAGGAGAAGTATTCAGACAGTTTTGGAGCAGATTTTGAAGCTGTACATTGGTCTTTGGAGTCCGATCCAACCGTTGATTGCCCAGGAGGCATGGCAGTTGTACTCCAAGCAGATGGACATTTCCGAAACATCACCTTTCATGGTGCCCTGGAGTTTCTTTGAAGTTCCCGAAGCTGCTCGTAATGCTGAAATCGAAAATGAAATCTCCGAATTGTGGAAAATCAGAGACGCCTTGTACAAAGAATTGGAGCAATTAAGAAAGGACGGCCATTACAAGAATAAACTAGAGGTGGAGATCTTCTTACAGCCCCAGGGAGAACAGGCAGCGTTACTTTTAAACAAACACCTGAAACTTCTAGACGACTACTTCCTTATTTCCAGAGCCACCGTGGGTGCCCCTACAACGTCAACTGAAGGACCTACCAGAAAACTCACAATTGGTGATTTCTGCAACGGCACTGTCCATGTCCAAGTACAACGTTCATCCTCCAGCAAATGCCCTCGTTGCTGGAAGTACATTGCCGAATCCGAAGAAACACTTTGCCAAAAGTGTTCAGACGTTGTTGGATAAATCTGGCGAACCCGAAATAGGGCGACTTTTTCATCTTGCCTGGGCCTGGCGCCGCGCCGTTTTCGCAGCCATTCTTTCACGATGGAGGTTTCGCAAAAAGCGGTTTTGCTAACATCGCAAAGTCAAAACAACGTGCCCGACAGGGAAATGTGTGCGGAGAAAACCCGTACACCAGCTTACCTCAGTAGTTCACACCACCGCCAACCATGGACTAACTTTGCCTAAATTGTCCAGAAATAGCATGTAAATAGAAGAGACAAATACAGAGCACAAATTGGTCGTTTTGGCTATTTTTCATCACTTTCCAATCCCTTTCCGTTCCAATACTGAAGCTCTTGCTGGAGCTGAGTGCTGGCGCCGTCCTGCACTTTCCAACCTCGCACCAGAGAAAAAAAACCAACACCAAAAAAGTAAAAACTTTCTCCCGCTCCAGTCACACATACAAAAAGGTTCACTGATTGTACGAGCCACGCTTCGAATTTCGGCGTAAGATTGAAAACTCGCTCGAAAAGTGGGGCCGAATTTCCCTTGTACTTGTTTTTCCGTCCGTTTCCCGCCCCCTGGTGCCCTAAACACGTGTACCTTCTGAGTTGGTTTTTTGTCCTTGGCCCATCTACAGAGAACCCACCTTCCCTCCGCGCCAGAACGTCTCCCATCGTTTTGCTGTGGACTCCGAATTTGCACCCAACCTGAGGAACTGGAATTGAATAAATAAGGGAGAATGAGTGTGTTGCAGCGGAAAATACGTAATTTTTTGGACCTGAAGCGGGATCTTGAGCTGCAATATAAGCTTGTTATCAAGTCTCAACCTGATGCCTCAAGCTCGGGCCTACAGGACTTGTATGAGTTTGACCAGCTATGCTACCTGTACCATGCGTTGAAGTCGTATTATGACATTTCACGAAGTACGTGGGACCTGGATTATAGGAACCTTTTGGACGATTTGGCTAATATCGTGCTGAGGATGGAGGAGAAGATTCCTGTGACCGAGATCTTGACTAATGCTCCTCAATTGAAGGTTGTCAGACGTCAATTGCGTGAAAATGCTAAAGAGGGTGGAAAGGTTGCTTTTAGTATGGTGCAGCTGAACGCCGATATGGAGAGTTTCCAGGGTTTGATTGTCTCGCTTGATATAAACTCCATCACGGTCGATAGTGCATCTCTGCGGCAGCTGCCTCTGCTTCTGAAGACGCCAACAGAGTCGGAGCCTCAGAAAGCGGTAGTCGAGAAACCCCAGGAGGCTCAGAAGGTCTCCCCACCAAAACAGCCTGCTACTCAACATCAACAAGCAACTCCGAAGGCTCCTGCTACTACACAAGATCTTCCAGCACCAACACAAGAAAAACCCCTTCCGACTGCTCAAACACCAACAAAGGCAATTCCAAAAGGTCCTAAAGGTGCTTTTCCTACATCGCCAGCGTTTCTGCCGCCCAAGGGACCAAAGGGACTCTCTGCATCTCAAACACCAACGGGACCAAAAGCACTTAAGACTTCACAACAACCACACAGCTCACCAGGTGCCAATTTTCAACGTTCTAATTTCACTCCTTCTAAGCCTTCACCATTGATTGGTCAAAAGAGGTCTCTGCAATCAAGCGACACGCCTCAGAAGCGCCAGAAGCAACCATTCTTTACTCATTTGAACGATTGGACCCCGGAGCATGTGCAATGCATTTTTAAATGTGCCATAATGAGCCCGCATCGTGTTTCTGAAGCTATCAAGCAAGGCTTCAAGGAAACTTTTGGTGTCGATATCACTCTCGAGGCAGCTCACTCTCTACAACTGCATTACGGTATTCTTCCAGAAACCATGAACGACTACAAATACTACATCCAGGCGTTCCGTGCTGTGGCCTCGAATATCTACGACAACAGACATAAATATGTCACCGAGCCATGGGCAGAGTTGAAGAGAATGTTTTCAAGAAGGACTAACCTTACACTTTCTGACGATGATGTGAAGGGACGCTACGAGCTCTTCATCCTTCACAGACAAACCTACGGCAATCAAGGCGAGCCTCCATCTAATTACGAATCAGAATGGAATGCATTTCATCGTGTTTACCGTTTCAGGACGTCACAAAAGAAAAGCACAACACAGTCGTTCTTTTCTAGTGCAAATGCTGCACCCGCCAAAGAACAACCTTCTCCTGCCACTCAACCAGCTAGCTATAGGCCAAATCTGTTCACATGGACACCACAAGCAATTGGAGAGCTTGTGAAAGCACAAGCAGAGACCGATTTGAAAAGTCCAGGGCGTATACTTCTCGTCCAGCGCCTTCTCAGACAGGCTGGTTACGATACCCTGCTTGAAGAAATAATCACCAAGCTGGGAGAAAAGGAAGTCATGAGCGCCATCAACGAACAACAAAGAATAATCGTAAGACGGCAGTTCCAAGAGAAGTATTTGAATGGTAATAACGGTCCCAACTCCCAGAATAGAAGTGACCCAAGAACTCCGGCGTCGGCTCCAGCTTCAGCGGCTACCAACCAACTGCCAAACAAAGGCCAGCCTCATACTTATCAAAGAGCTCCTCAACTGTCCCCAGCTGCTGGTTCCACTTCAAGCGTTCCACAGAAGGTGGATTCTACACCTCTGAAACCCAAAGAAGCTGCCAAAGATACACCTCAGTCCCCTGGTCAAGCCAATGCTTCCGTGCAAACCAGTTCTGCTACACAGAATGCTAATTCACCATCTCCTTCGAAGGAAACAGAGGCTCTTCCTCAGGGAGTCAAGAAGGTAGTCCCAAAGGCCGGACAACAATCCAGTCATTTCGATAACCTCATTGAAAAAGTCTCTAGTGGAACTCGTCCTAATTGGCATTATGAGAATCGTTTCAAGGATCTCCCATTCACAGCCTTCTGGGATTTCGAGAAGAACAGAACGATTGCCGTAACGGTGGACCATATTAGTCTGATTTCTAAAGAAACTCAGAATCCGACAGAACGTGTCGCAAGAGCTAATCTCATCAAATTAATCATGCTTCGCTTTTTAAGACTCCATCATATCCTGGTATCTGAGGATTTCCTTGAAGCAAGGCTTATCAAAATGATGGAGAAGGATGTGTTCGATAGCACGGCCTGTCGCTTGATCAATGATCAAATCATGAAAAAGTAATAAGTTTACGTCAATGCATTACAATAATCTACGACCCAACATAATCATTATGTTGTAGTTTCGCTTTATTTTCTCCTAGAGAGTAATCTTCAATCTCATTTACCTAAATTATCTATTTCTTTCCACTCATCAATTGAGTCAACAACTGAGAGCTGGAAGACTGGTTTGCAGGGGCAGGTGGTTGCTGAGCATTGTCTGGTGTAGCCTTGCCAAATAAGCCCGGTGGTGGAGGAGTAGCTGTCTTGCTCCTTTCACTCATTCTCAACTGGTTGAGCTGAGCGGAAAGCTGCGAGGGTGTTTGCTGTTGCTTTCCTTGTTGTACCGCCTGCTGCTGGAGTTGTTGCAACAAGAGCAATTGCTGCTGTTGCTGTAAAGCAGGGTCGGACATCTGTGGCTGTCCCAGTGGTTGTGCTTGCAACTGTGGTTGGGTGTTCTGTCCCTGGGGTTGCTGCTGCTGGAGGTGTTGATCCAATTGCTGCAAACGAGATGAGTTTAAATTAGGTGTTTGAGCCAACTGAGCAGCTTGCGCCTGCTGCTGCAATTGTGCTTGTTGATGCAAAAACTGTTGTTGTTGACTAATTGGATGGTTCTGATAAGCCAAGTGATACTTCTTGATGGGTCTCAAAAGGAATTGCTCAATAATAAGACGAGAAAAGACCTTCTCCTCTTCTGGAGTACATGAGTTGTTTCCGTAAGACTCGTTATAGTGGAACAAAGGCAAAAGATCTTCCTTCAGAGTCAAGTCATCGAAATGAACCTTCAACTGCTGTCTGGTTGCTGCAAGATGCTTCAATCTCTCAGCTGTATCTTCAGCAAACAGAACAGCCGAATTATCGTCAATGTCGACATCATCTGGCAACAACTGACCGTCCTTGTTGGACTTACCCTTGGATTTCTGCTTAACATCTTTCTTTTGCTTTTGCTCCTTGAAAATCTCGCCCAATGATGGAAATGCTGCTGTATTGGTCATTGGAGCGTTATTATTGACCAGAGGTGATGCCTGCGCGGATTCCAGAGCTTTCGCCCAATGTGCTGTGGCAGGAAGAGTAGCACCTGCTGAAGGAAGACCAGTGGATGGAACGACGCCTGTAGAGGAGGCAACTGCATGGGCAATATTAGGAGTGGTGGATTGGAATGCTGCGGGATGATTACTGGAAGACTGCAGAGCCTGTTGGTGGTCCTCAGATTCCAGTTGAGTATCTTCATCAACCAGATGGTGCTGGCCACCACGAGATCCGCTCATGCCCATCTTGATACCCTGTTGGGTCAGCAAATCCTTTCTAGTGTACAGATCAGCTTCCTCACCTGGTTCATGCAAAAACATACAATTAGGATTGGCACATGGATGGCCTCTGAGGTAGGACAGACAGTACTTGGTAGTACCATGAGCTGCTCTAAGGACTCTACCATCACACAAGGAGCCATCAAGCTCAGCTATGCATCTTGAGGCATCTTCTTTCTTAGCAAATGTGACGTAAACGACGATGCTCTGATTACCGGAGGTGACAGGGACGTTACTGCCGCCGCCCGGAGTCTTTTTGTTGATGACAATTTTCGTAATCTTGCCATACTGACCAAAGTACTTGTCAGAGCGTAAAACTGAATGCAAATCTTCTGGGGCACATGGAGGACTCAAGCCAGTAACGTAAACAAGGTTCTTTTGAACCACACGAAGCCCAGCCAAGTGCTTTTTGGACGCTATTTCCAGCTCCTTCTTCTCCTTCTCCTTCTGCTTCTTTTCACGCTCACGCTTCTCTCTCTTGAGCTGTTGCATCTTATATTCCTCAGCTGTCAATGTCTTATACTCGACGCTTTCGTCATCATATAGTCTACGACAACCGGGACATCTTCCGTTAAGCTCAGGGTTTTGACGAATATTGTTATAACAGAATTGGCAGATTTGATAGCCACAGGGGCACGGTCTGAAGTTTTTATCTGAAATGTCCATTTCTTCCACGCATAATGGGCTAATCGTTAGTAACATGAAAAGGAATAAAAGAATAAATCAAGAATAACATACCAGTACTCTACCTCCTCATCGGAGATGAACGAGTCTTCAACGGCCACCATGGTGTTTGGGATAGATCAACGCTGTTTAATGATACACTTTAGCTGGTTCAAGATATCTTTTGTGTGAGACACATACCGAGTCACGTGACAAACTTCCTAATGGCGAATAACTCCCCACTTACACCTTCCCTTAGGAAACAAAACCGCTAAGCTTGTTTTATGAAACGTGATTTATCAATCTATTCCCTTAATTATTCTCTCTTAAGCCATTTGGTGGTTTTGGCGGAGGGGCCTGGGGAGCTGAGGTTGCATGGTGTACGGGTGTAGTTGGTGATACTCTTGCACCCATTTCCATTAGTTTGGCCACCAACTCCGAGACTTAGACAAGCTACCCACAAATCATCCAATGGCATTTATTGTAGAGCTCTGGCAGTCTGTGTTCACTCCAGGCACGACACCTGCGCTTATGAAAGCTCTCCATGCGACATTCATCTTGCTTTTCATATCACTTTTCTGGTTGATCTATGTCACTGGATCTATCCATTACATCAACTTACTGGTCATTGCATTGTTATTATACGGATCTGTTCTTTGGTTCGTCAAGGAGTTGGAACAAGCTAAGCTTAAAACCAACGAGGAGCTTCTTCAAGAAGGTGAAGAGAAGAAGGAAGGTGAGACCGAGTCCACCAAGGCAGAAGGTCTGGGAGTTTCTTCAGAGAAAGCGGCTCCAGTTAGAAAGCGGAAAGTGTAAATAGTTTAACCTGGTCATATCTTTAGTTATTCCAGTTTTTGTTTGGACAGTCTGAGCATGTATAGTCTGCAACACCGAGCGTCACCAACCACAAGCTTGTAGAACAGCCCAGTAGAACCACAAGAAATTAATAAACAGCGATAGAAGAAGACGCTAAGAAGACTTATTGAACTGTGGATCCCAAGGTGGACCGGTCATCACGTGCTTCCATTTCATCTATATCACCATCTTCTTCCCCAGTCTCACTTATCGTCATGAGCTTCAGGTACGGTTTACAGACGTACCTTGCCAATCCCGAGCAGGAAGGAGTAATTTTTCATGATGAAAGAGTCGTGATCATCAGAGATCTCTTCCCCAAAGCATTGAGGCATTACTTGGTGCTTCCTCGAGCCAAACCGTTGACTTATAAGCATCCAGTAGATGGACTAGCAGATTCAGCCGTTTACCATGAAATGGACGAGTACGTTGAAAAGGCAAAAGATATGATCGTAGAAGACTTGACTAAGCAAGGGTACATTGAAGAAAACGCTGCTGCACAGGAAACGTTCAGAAACACATTCATTAAAGCTGGTGTTCATTCCATACCGTCTATGGCCAATTTACATGTCCATGTAATTACACAAGACTTTCATCTGGATAGAATGAAGCATAAAAAACACTACAATTCGTTTACCACACCATTTTTCAAGGAGTTTGACGACCTCAGACCTTCTACTCCAGACAACTACCTCAGCCCAGCAAGCGATGCAGACTCCCACAGTGACGGCCTGCTAGAAGGACTCATAATGAGCAAACCTTCTAAAGACAAGAAGGCACGGCCTTCCAGGAACCTAGATTACCAGCATTTGGAGGCACTTATTAAGTCTACCCCACTCAAATGTGTATATTGCGGGAAGAATTTCGGGAATCAGTTCAAGCCTTTGAAGCAGCATTTGGCGGAAGAATTCTCACGCAAGTTCGGCAAACAAGCCTCGTTGAATTCTTCCGAACCCAAAAAACAGGCTACCCTGTAAGAAGAAGTTCATGAAAATTAGCATTCCTAGCATAAAAGGGGATGTAAAAGAAAAAAGGTCCCATTAACAACCCTTCGTGGAAATAAACTTCGGAACTCAGAGCCAATAGAATTCTGCATCACCTTAAATTCCTCATTTTTCTGGAGCCTACATGAGACGTGAAATGTTGTGCAGTTGTTTGACAGCGGCTCAGCTGTGAATTTGTCCGGACTGAAACTCTCAGCCCTCCCTCCCAGCCAGCATAAACAGGACCCTTGCTCCAAGGCGGAGCAAGTTGCCCATGGGGAGACGCCGAAGAGGTTAATTTGCGACTACGGATTAAAGTATACGTTTACGTGGGTTCTGTATTTTTGAGAGACTGCCGCCTCGCGTTACGAAGAATCATGCAATCACAAAGTACGCCCTACCGCCTACAAGTTTTTTTTTACTATACGGCAAACGCGATTGTGATAGGTCTTCTCGGACTACCTCGGTTCGACAGAAGGAAAATTTTTCATCGTGTTTTTAGGTAAGTTTCTGCCGCAGCTGGGTCGGATTATCATGGGGGTCTGCGATGGTTAGAGGTTGCAGCATGAATGAGATTTTGCAGCCTTGCCATACAGGTGGGAAGCATGAAGATGATTGGTTTCCATGGAAGTGGAGAACCAACTGATAGGCCAAAAGAAAGCCAAAACAAACCCCACTCGGATGATTCACATTCCCTTCGTGGGGGCATTTCTTCGTGCTGGCTTACGTCAACCGGAAAAAAAGGCCCATCAAAATTTTTCATGGCGGTATGCACCTTGGGCTAAAAGTTCTTCCGCCTCCACATCTCCACTCCACGACTCCACCCATTCACTATGCCGCAAAAATAGCCTACGATGCATCGTGTTTGCCCTTAGACTGCGTGTTTTACGATTCGCCCCGGTTGTCCCCCAACATAAGTTGCATTACGTGTGGGGTTTTTCCGAAACGGCAAGCGCCTTATAAAAGGAGCTTGTGCTGCTTGACGGAGTTCTTTTTTGCTGTTTTTTTGTTTGTAAGTATCGATCATGAGTGTCTTTGAAGACAAGGAAATCAAAGAAGTTTCTTCCGAGGAAGTCGAGGTCAGAGATGATGCCATTAAGAAGTTCGATGCTGCTGACTTGGGCGAGAACTTTGACTTTGACAAGGAGTTCCAGGAGTTGGAACTTATGGCTAAGGAGTCTACCCAGAAAAAGTCCTTGGTTGACAGATTATTGTCCTGGGAAGTGAAGCTCAACTTTAAGAACAAGAACCATATGGTTTACCTTCTTGGTGCTTTTGCTGCTGCTGCAGGTCTCTTGTCTGGTGTTGACCAGTCTATTATTTCCGGTGCTACTATCGGTATGCGTAAGGACTTGAACCTTACCGACCACGAACAATCGCTTATTTCATCCCTCATGCCTTTAGGTGCGATGGCTGGTTCCATTATCATGACGCCTTTGAATGAGATCTTTGGAAGAAAGCTTTCGTTGATCATTTCTTGTGTTTGGTACACTATTGGTGCCGCTTTATGTGCTGCTGCTCAGGACCACCACCTCATGTACGCCGGTAGATTCATTTTGGGTGTCGGTGTCGGTATTGAAGGTGGTTGTGTGGGTATTTACATTTCTGAGTCTGTTCCTGCCAATGTCAGAGGTAGCATTGTTTCCATGTACCAGTTTAATATTGCTTTGGGTGAAGTGCTAGGATATGCTATTGCTGCTATGTTTTATTCTGTCCATGGCGGCTGGAGATTCATGGTTGGTTCGTCTTTGGTGTTTTCTACTCTTTTGTTCATTGGTTTGTTCTTCTTGCCTGAATCGCCTCGTTGGTTGGTGCACAAAAACAGAACTGGCATGGCTTACGAAGTCTGGACCCGTTTGAGAGATGTCAGCGACGACAAGAACAAGCTTGAGTTCTTGGAAATGAGACAGGCTGCCCGCCAGGAACACGAGAGAAAGGCCAACACTTCGAGATTCAAGACTTGTTACGATTTGTTTGTTATTCCTAGAAACAGAAGAGCCTTGATCTACGCTGTGATGATGGTTACTTTGGGTCAATTGACTGGTATTAACGCTATCATGTACTACATGTCTACTTTGATGCAAGGTATTGGTTTCGACGAAAAGAACTCTGTGTTCATGTCTCTTGTTGGTGGTGGTGCTTTGCTTATCGGTACTATTCCTGCCATTTTGTGGATGGACCGTTTCGGAAGAAGAGTCTGGGGTTACAATATCATTGGTTTCTTCATTGGTTTGGTGCTCGTTGGTGTTGGTTACCGTTTCGACTTCAACACTCAGCAAGCTGCTGCCGAGGGTGTTTACTTGACTGGTATCATCATGTACAACTTGTTCTTCGGTGCTTACTCCACCTTGACCTGGGTTGTTCCATCTGAGTCTTTCGCTTTGGACACCAGATCTTTGGGTATGACCATCTGTTCCACTTTCCTTTACTTGTGGTCTTTCACCGTCACTTATAACTTCACCAGAATGACTGAAGCTATGACATACACTGGTTTGACTCTTGGTTTCTATGGTGGTATTGCATTCCTTGGTTTGATCTACCAGGTCTTGTTCATGGCCGAGACTAAGGACAAGACTTTGGAGGAGATCGACGACTTGTTCAACATGACTCCATTCGAGCTCGCCAAGCAAAACTTGATTAACCTCAAGAACGGAAAACCATAATGAAGGGGGGAAATATAAATAGGATAATATTAAAATAGATGTAATTTTGCAACCATTGATTTCGTAGTTGGTGCACGGGTGCGGCGCACCTCTTCGCTAGGTAACGATGCCTTATCCATCTCTTCTCATTAGGGAAACCATGATCCACCGAATACTAGGAAACATTTTTCTCCTGTCCATAGAAGATGTGGATGGATCTGTGGATCTTCAGAAGGAGTACGGAATCACTCACGTAGTTTCCGTGTTGGAAGGTTCCGTTCCACAGGTTCTCAAAGAGAAGTACCAGCATCTCCAAATAGAGGTCCAGGATTTGGAAACCTCCAATTTGCTCGAGCATTTCAACACAACGAACGAGTTTATTGACCTGGCTTTAGTCCAAAGTACGGAAGAAGGCGACCAAAAGAAACACCATGGCGCCGTTCTCGTACATTGTGCTCAGGGCGTCTCCAGATCAGTAGCAGTGGTGATGGCATACTTGATGTACAAGTATAAGTTAAAAATTCCACAAGCATTACACGCCGTTAAAAGGCGATCCGAGTCTGCTCAGCCTAACGAAGGCTTCATGAAGCAGCTTGAGTTGTTCCAAGAAATGGCATACAGCGTCGATAAGCTGTCTAGCGCATACAGACAGTTTCTTGTTGAGCTGAGCTTACAAGACGATCCTAGTGGACAATCTCTTGCATCATCTGAGATATTCAGCAGCAATGACAGTAAAGAAAGAGCACCCGGCTCGTACCATCTCAGGTGTAAGCGATGCAGAAAAGTGCTTGCAAACCAGGGCGACATTGAGACTCATGAGATGCCAGGCACCGAATCCAGACAATCACAGTTTATTAAGACCGCTCCAAATTCTCGGAGAATTGTTGCAGTGGCAGACGCATCCAAGACTTGTTCCCATTACTTCCTAGATGAGCCAGTGGACTGGATGCGTGCCGAATTGGAGAAACAGGATATCGAGGGGAAGTTCTCTTGCCCTAAATGTAGCCACAAAGTTGGTGGTTACAGTTGGAAGGGTTCTAGATGCTCCTGCGGCAAATGGATGGTTCCTGCTTTGCACTTGCAAACAGCTAAAGTTGATGAGATGAAGACAGTATAGAAAAAAAGCCCCTAATCATCCTCAATGACCATATCCACATCTGACGCCTCACAATTCGGAAGAGGTGCTGAAGTTTCACTGGTATCTTCTGTCAGGATCGTCACTGGCCCAGATCTACCCAAACCAGCAGAGATAACCTGAGTATCAGTCATAGAGTCGTGGGACACTGGCCCAGCATCGCGAAGGTCGCTTTGACCAACAATATTAGCTTCATCTTCAGAAAGGTCCGACGATGCCTGGAAACTGCCCGAGGCATCAGCATCCTCAATATCAGCATCTAGATCCTGTTCAGCACTAGCATCAGGCATACCCGAAGGTGCATCCTGATAAATAGAAGTAGACACATTAGCATTCAGATTTTCGGCTTGTGCCACATTGCAATCTTCATCCTCCATTTCTTGAGCTTCGTAGTCCAACTGAGCCATGGTCTTATTGATACCTATAGGCGCTAGCGTATAGTACCCAGTTGCACGTATCAGACGTAGTTTATCCAACTTCATAGCCATCGATGGAGTAAGAACAGAAGAAGCGTTCTGTCCCGATATCCTTCCTCCTTGCCCTCCCATCATGTATTCCTCATGGAAAGCACTGGGTCCTGGAGCATTAGGCAAGTACGAAGCCAACGGCGGTGCCAGGGGAATATCCTTCCTGGAATGTATCAGGTGGCCTCCATTTCGTCTTGAATGACTTAGATTTCCCTGGCGACTATCTGTATCGAGATGAACAGGCCTGGCACGGTTTACACCTTCCCATTCATTGTATGTATCGATGGTGAACGTCGGCAGACCAAACATGGGTGGGGTGGAAAGTTATGGATATTTAGGGTTTTGGGATATGTGGTAAACGAGGGTGGTGAATTTGGCAGTACTGGGAAGCTTTCCAATGGAAATGTGGTAATTGTTGATGGTATGGTTGTAGTTACTTGATCTGGTGTATGGAAGACTTCGCGAGTGATGTAGTAGAGAGGTACCACCATGGAAAGTACAAGACTGGGAAGGAAGGAAGAAGGAAAGGGGAGAAAAAGAGAAAGAAGAAAAGCAAATATAACAGACCAATTGACGTTATCATTGGGTTTTCCTTACTTTGTTTGTGTTCTACGGTTGTTTAGTGGTGGCTGCGAAAAGTCCATACTATGACTCCTACTACCTTTTCCGTATCTCCATGCATTATCTATAAATACCCAATTATTCGTCATCGTCTAAGATGAACTCATCCAAAATCTCCTCCTTGCTCGCTCTGGCGGGCCATGCAAATTTGTCGCCTGCTCCTAGTAACGTCACGGTGCAGCCGTAGCAAACGTCCAACTCTTTTCCTTGCAATTCGTTTGTTCCAATCACTTCATCATACTCTTGTGCCAAATCTCTCTCCAAATCGGTTTCTAAGGGAGCTGCGGCCTTCACGGTGATGGACTGAAGCCACAGCTTTGGCTTGGTGTGGATATCAGCCAGACACACACGACACTTTCCAGTGACTTCGTTCTTTGGCGCTCCCAACTTTTCAGCTGTTTTCACAACAGTTGAAGCGGTTGAAGCATACCCGTTAGCTCCAAGGTCCTCGAAGTATTTCGTTGAAAGTGCCTGCACTGTCATGTTCTTTACGAGTGTAGATGCAACTGTCTTTTGCACCAAAAACAGACTTAAGCCTTCGGTCAAGTCTAAAACTGCTTGCACTTCGGCGAAAAGAATGTCTCGAAGTGGGAACAAGATATGCAATTCTTGGTCACCATGAGGGAAAGACCGGTCAGCAATCGCTTGATGTATTTCAGCGCCTCTTCCTTTGACTGCCAATGAGAGCACTTCACTGGCAAGTCTGGTCATGCTGTGGCCCAAAATAACCGTTTGACAGCCTTTAGATACGGCGTTCTGAACTATTATGTCATGGTAAACGAGCTGTAGAAGATCAGCACGCAGCGAATTCGAAACACAGTTTTCTAGAAGCAGCTGGACGGTAACGTCTTTACTAAGCTTATGCAGCTGGTGAATAACGTGAAAGTCAGCGCCCACCTGAATCCTCTGTAGACTATTCTTGTCTAGAAGGAAAGTGTCAGGATCAATAACCACCACATCCACAGCAACAGGACTATACCGTTGAGCCAAAGCCAGCAACTTCAGCTCTGCTTCTTCCCTATCAGGACCCTTTTCCTCGAGAATATGCAAGAGAACCAAGTCAAACCCCTGTTTTCCACTGTGGGCCAAGTTCTGTTCCTGAAGAAGCGAGGCCACCATATCCAAAAGCACCAAAGAAGAAGCACCAAACGACACGGGAAGCAATACTTTCTGCACGCCGAGCCTATCAGCAACAGCACCATACTTGACTTTGTATCTCTCATGGAGCATCAGCTTCCTCTGCTTTCCACGCATAAACCATACGAAACAGCCCGAGCAGAAAAGATCTCTTCGCGAGACTAACACTGCTTTTTCTTCACCACATCTCTTACACGTCGAGTCATTTTCTGGCCCTAAGAATTGCACTGGCTGTGTAGACATGGGAACTGTGGGATTTGGAGGGTTAACTATGGAGATCTGAATATTCGATGGCATCGCGAAACACCCGTGCACCACACCAAATTTGAATTTTCCAGGACACCCGTGCACCATAATACCTCAGCACCAGTGGCTCTGGCTCCGCCACAGATCGGTTTAGTGACCATACATTGATTCCATCGAAGAACCGCAAAACACACAAAATCGAAAGAATGACATGGAATGGCGGTGTACTGCAGGTAAGGCCACCAACTACTACTATTTCCCAATTCTAAACCTCCCCAATTGGTCAATTAAACCTTCTGCTTCCCCTTCCCCCAACAATGAAAGACGTAAGCGTGCTTCTATTTCTATAGCGGTTGAAACTTGTTTACCCCTGCCGTCTGTGCAGTACGTTCTCGTTTCCCATACATTTCATATGTGGCTGCGGCAGACTCGATTCATTGAATTTGAGGAGGGCCACCTGTGACAGAAGAACCCGTACCGCACCCTCTCCAGTGGGATATATAAATAGCCGGTCAATTCCCTCAATTGATCCTCTTTTCTTCATATATTTCATCATGTCTGCTAACGATTTCTACTCCTCAGGCCAACAGGGCCAAAGATCCGACAACAACTACCAGTCTTCTGGCCAGGGCAACCAGCAACAACAAGGTGGTGAAGAAGGTGGTGAGAGAGGTCTCTTGGCTACCATTGGTGGTGCTGCTGTGGGTGGCTACGGTGGTGGAAAGATTTCTGGAAACCACTCTACTTTGGGTAAGATTGGTGGTGCCATTGCCGGAGCCATTGGTGCCAACAAGCTTGAAGATAAGTGGGAAGAGAGAAAGGACGAGAAGAAGTATGGCCAGCAGCTGGGCTACGGTGGTCAAGGTGGCCAGGGTGGATACGGCAGAAACGATAACTACGGTCCACCAGGCGGCGGTCACGGAGGCCCTGGCGGCAACTTTGGCAGCCGTAACGATAACTACGGTGGTGGCCGTAACGATAACTATGGCGGTGGCCGCAATGACAATTATGGCGGTGGCCGTAATGACAACTACGGTGGAGGCCGCAATGATAACTATGGCGGTGGCCAGGGTGGCTACGGCGGCGGTCGTAACGATAACTACGGTAACCAAGGCCAGGGCGGCTACGGAAACCAGGGTTACGGCGGCAACCAGGGCGGTGGCAGATGGTGAACATTGACCAATGATTTACTAACCATATAACAATCCAAAAACGAAATTTACGATTGTACGACTATACACTCATGTAGATCTATGTCACCCTTTGACGGTGAATGCACATGGGGAACGAAACCCATACTTCCGAAAATAGTGGCTGCAAAATTCCCGATTTATTCTGCGAGGTGTTATGTGCAGGTAAAACTGGAAAATAAACCCACAAAAACACCCAGACACCCCATCCAGTAGTGAATTCTGTATCAACCGTCCTTCTTCTTACCAGAAATCCGGGGAAATGTCAGACGAGAAGAAACCAGAGCCACAAAAGTCCGACAAGGTCGAAAAGGACAAATCCATGGTGGACTTCACCAAAGGTGAGGTTTCAGATTACAAGTTTTACCCTGACAACCCGGAAAATCACCGTCACAAGTACCGTTGGGCATCCAAAGAGCCTTCCAAGTACTACGATCCATGTGAAGAAAGTCGACAGGCGTCTATCAACTGTGTGTTGAGAAACCAGGAAGACAAGTCTGTTTGTCAGGACTTTTTTGACGCTTATAGGGAATGCCTGAAGGACTTTTTCAAAAAGCGTCGTCTGGACAGAATGGCAGGCAAGGCAGGCTGGGGAAAATGGTAAGTTCCTTTAAGCAAAGTCAGAACGGGCATGGCCTCCGCCGCACAGACACGAATCGGAAGCGCTTCGTTTCCATTTACCAAACATCATCGTAGGTGTGTGCATGAGGTAAGGGTCCTCAAGGCACTTCCAATGCATCAGGTTCAGGGCATACCTTCTTAATGGGCCCAAGTCTTCGTCGTCACTATCAGAATATGCTCCATTACCAGAGCTTGAATCTCTTCCTCCACCAACATCGCATGATCCAGCATACTTATAGTCGAGGTACAGTCTAGTATTTTGCATTTCCAAACGACCAGTTTTCCTGTTGACAGAACAAACAAAGACTGCTTCTTTGGCTTCAGCAGGGAGTGTTTCCTTGTTGAGCTTTTCATACTTGTTTAAAAGTCCAGCCTTGGCACTCTCATCCACATTCTCCAAAAAGCGATGGAACACTTGGTCCAAGGTTTCAGACACATCGACTCTTATAATAAATAGAACATAATTCAACTGAACATTGAAAAGACACGAGTCTTCGTAGGTGATGTGCTCACAGAGCTTTTCACATAACTTGGATTCCCATTCGAGTAAGAAGAAGGATTTTGGAAGATCGTACCTTGGTTCATGTTCAAATCTTTCAGTGATATCCCACATGGCTTTCTGGAACTTGTCACGGTACATCGGAATAGCATCTGTTACAAATTCGAATTCTCTCGAGACCTCATAGATCAGTTCCTTGAATTGGTGGGTAAACTCCAAAGTGAGCTCTTGCTCGTGTCTGGTGTACCTATCGAAGTCCCTTAACCGCTTCTCCACGAAATAGACATAATTCAAGAAGAATGTCTCGCTGAAGTTACTAAAGGGACGAATACGCAACCATTCAAGAAGCTGAAGCTTGACTTGCTCATTCCTGATTCTGGAGTGGTGAACAGACAGACTTATACTTGATTTATGAGACTTGAGCTTGGTCTGATTCAAGAAACGGAGATCATTCTTGTCGAAATCAACTATGTCACCATGGAAAGGAACCTTCAAAGATTTTTGGAAAGCACCAGAGTCGTTTGCCTTACGCGATCCATTATTTGATATAGCCAACATGAATGCATCATTCAAGAGAGATGCCTTAGACTGGATCACTTTGTTGGTGCAATTCAACATGTACTGAGACCTGATGCCTCCACAAAGGTATGAAATAAAGTTGGAAAGTAGATGGAAATCATCTGCATCTGATCCCTCATTGCTGATATTGAAGTACCCATGCATTGTCTTCTTATCATTATCAACATGCGAGAAGTTCATATCGAGCACATCACTTGTACGCTTCGAATGGCAGTCTATAATAGGACCTAACGAAAAGCTTGATCCGCTGCTCAAGAAGGAACAATTCAATCCGCTGAGAATCTTGTACTTTTCATCCCTTGTAAGCTGCCTTTCATCTATACGGTCACCAAAGACGTCACTCTGGAGAATCTGTGCTTTTGTTGGAACGTAATCATGAGTTCTACGTTTCTTCCTCATACTTGCATCTTCTGTTGCATGCTTACGCTTTGACGTAAAGCGCTTGGAAAACTTACTGCGCAAGCCGGAGTCTTGTGCATCCTGAGGATCAATGTCTTCTGAATTATGACGACGAGAATGCAGTTTGGAGTCATGACGATGGCGTTTCTGGTAATGCTGTAAAGGATCATTGGAATGCAGACGTTTGGTTAACGTAACTTGATCACGATCAGATGCTGGTTGTTCTGGCCAGAGTTTGCCAGCTCTTCTTTGGCTGAGGAATCTATCCATCTGAGAATCTAGGCTTGATTTACGAGCCAGGTGGCGTAAGGTACCCCAGCGCCGAAGAAATGGTTTCTTCTTACCAGAAATCTGAGTACCTGTGCTGAAAATGGGAGACTTGCCTGGGTAATGCGGAGAAGCCCGAATTTTGTTAATTGCATCTTCAAATTCATCATGGTATGTCTTGGCCACTTCCTCAGATGACCTTTGTGGAGATGTGGCTTCTCTGCGTTTCAATCTAATAGCATTTTGACGTCTCAAGGGCACGCCACCTGTGACACGGCTCGATTCAGGGGATATGATAAGGGTATTACGGTTTGTGGGGTTTTGGCGAGCCGAAGATAGAAGAAGACGCTGAGCCAGTTGCATGCTATCCAAAAGATTAGATCTTGTTTCCATTCGGGCTCTATCGATATGCTGCGGGCTGTTATCGTCATCATCATTACTATCATCCTCGCTTCCACTTTCATCAAAAGCATCATGAATATCTTCATCGATATCTTGATCTGAAGGCTCCTCGAACTCTGCATCGTCCTCAGAGCTCCAGCTAGATGTACTAGTATTATCATCGTCGTTATTTGAAGAACCTAGAAATAAATGGAAAGGAGGCACCGAAGTTTCCGAGCGTGTAGAAGGCTCAGTAATCCCCTCTCTAGAGCCCACATTGGACAGAGTAGCTCTTGGAGCGTTCTCGTCAAGATCAATATCCAAATCCATATCGGCTTCCAAGTCAGGAATCACCAAAAAGCGAACCGGGGAGGCGAGATTCCGTATTTCGGCTGGAAGCGCAGTGGTCCGAATGTGACTCTGATCCGGTTGTCTATAGTAGTCAGGCAGTAGCTGGACCGACAGACGGCTGCTTGATTCACGGGGTGGTGGTGGAGAGTGGTCAGGCGGAATGGACAGACTAACCAGGTTATGGCGGTTTTGCTCCTCAGTATACTGGTTCAATAAGTTGGCCAGCACCTCGTTCATACGAGTGAAAAAGTCACGAGACACCAAGTGCCGAAGATTGGAGTTGTTACGGATCCCTTCAAATAGCCCTGGAAGCGTAAGTCCTCTCTGAGGTGAGTTATTCTCTGGAGAGGTGGGAGGGGGCATATGTCACAGGAAAGTGAGACACCAGATAGCACTGACACCTAGGAAACAACAAAAGTTGGAGGGAAAGAAAAGAACAGCTGATGTGGGCTCGTTTTTTTTTTTCCCCGAAAGCTCTGGCTGTCACGAATGGGGGTGTGTGGCAATAGTTAGATGATTATGGTCAGGTTAGGGAATACCTCAATATTGCCAGGGCCCTATGCGAGATTACTGCACATTCATAGACAACCAGTGGGAGACCGGTTCGGGTAGGCAACAAGGGGGAGGGGCAGTAAGGAAGGGTAAGGAGGTTTTGGGTATTTAATTGGATGGTAAGGATTTGGAGTTTGGAGTTTTGGGGGTTTAGTTGGGTGGTTGGTGGAGAGTTGGGTGGTGGATAGACAGGTGGTTGGTTATACTGCGTTGCGATAAGGAATGACAGGGACAGATAAGATAAGAGGAGGGAGACGAAGAGGGGGAGAACGTGAAGGGGTTTATGGAATATCTAGGGGGATTTATTATCAGTTTACGAGGAAAGAGGTGGCTGGGACGATGTTGGGTGGTGGTTCAAGTGGGCTTATGTTAGGAATGGCTGCGAAATGAGAAGGGTATGTATGTGTGGGTACATGTTTCACTGGAGGGATGGAAGAAGAGGGGGTTTGGTGGAGGTTTTTGGATGGAGGGTTTTAGAAGGTGGTGTGGGCTCAGTGAGTGAATTTAAAGGAGGGGGATGTTCTTTATTGGTGGTGTTCAATATGGAATGTCTGTACCTACTGAGGGTGTGCCATGTATGGATAAACGGGAAAAGCTATGCAAAAACGAAAAAAAAGAGCTACATCAATGTTCTTAGATTTTATATAAGCCTTTGATGAAAAGGTTGAAGGAGAAGAGCGCTTAGCGTTGTGGTTTAGGCTGAGTACATACGCTGATGCTAGGAAGCATCAATATACTGAGCTTGAAGTTCACACGGAAGAATGAAACCATAGGAATTTCTTTCTATTCTTCATGGTTCTACTAAATAAGACTTTTCGTTGTTCTAGTACGACTTTTTCATTGCTGATCTTTCATTCTTTATCTTGTTTAGTCGAAAAACCACAGATTTGCAGCCACCATTTCGGAAAGACAAAAAACCCAAAGGTTAAGAAAAACAATTCAATCATTCTTGAACACTAAAAATCATTCGATAACCGTTTTCAACCTTTTCCTTCATATTCTCTTCTGTTTCTACCATCTACCCATCTGTATGAGACTAAGGCTTCCTCTCTCCAGCTCCACACACAAAAGTCATAAAAATAAAAGAAACTCATTTGGCTCCTGAAACCAGGAGAAAACCTTAATCCACTTATTCCCTTCTTATTTACATTAATTTGCTTGTCTTGGTTGGGGTCTTACTACTACTAACTGACCGACCTGCATATTCCAGAAACCAATCAAACACTTTTCATTTCTCACTACCCTCTTCTACCAAACACCATACCAGGTTAGATATGTCGACGTCGATTATTCGTACCATCAAGAATATCTATTCTTCGGGTCTTAAGAGAGCCGCTTGGCAAATCCACTCCCACAACGATACCAAGAGAGGTTGGCTTGTGGGCACCGATGACTTTGGCAACAAGTACTACGAGACCGATGTTCCAGAGGAAATCCATATGAGAACCAGATGGGTTGAATACAACGAATGGGAAGTCGATATTTCCAAGGTTGAGCCAGGTTGGCATTACTGGTTGGGTTACGGTACCAACACTCCACCAAACCGTTTGCCTGAGGACCAGGCTGCCTCGAGAGCGTACCCATTGGAAAAGCACCAACCCAACCTTACAAACACAAGAGGTGCATTTGTAACATACAACACGGCCAAGCCTAAATGCGAGAGCTGGGCTCCAGAGGTCAAGGAGAGAGTATGAGAAGATACACGATTAGGAATGAGGACATACTAATATATTGCATTAGAGATGGATTTGTAGATGGATTAAGGGGATGCTGGAGAGATGGGGTTGGCAGTGAAGAAGAAGTGGAGGGAAGAGAAAAGAAGTGGAGGGTCGAAGATGTGTATGGATGAACCATATGGATAACTTCACTGGGATATCTTCACTGAGGGCTACAGTTCAGTCTGACACTATCCCCAAACGACAGAGATCAGGGGCATCCATAAAAAGGCTACTTATATCATCATGAAGGTAAAAAGTAGCCACCAATTTGTCCTATTTGGACTGCTGAAGCCCTCGTCTAGACTTATAGTCCCTTCACTTCACCAGCAGTACCCCAACCCACATAGAACAACCATGCTCAGTCTAGCCAATCCTATTGTAAACCTCTACCATACGGATATTAATCCCTTTCTGCCTCTACTGCCCCTCCTTTCCCTCCCTGACCCTCGTCTAATTGTCCCTTACGCATAACGGTCGGTTTCGCAGCCATTACACATTTGCACCCATACCACGAAACCCACTACCGTCCACAGTAGGTCTAGAACAATGCAAAATAAAAACCCAAATTAAAAGCTAATATCTCGTGCCATTCTTGTTTTTTCCTTTACCTTAGCCAGGGCCCCAAATTCCGTATTCCGTTGACAAGACCTTTTTCCTGTAGCATAGGCTCCAATAGGGCATCTCGCTTTTTTTCACTGAATCCCTCCATCTCTCCATCTTCCCCATACTCTCCCTAAAATATCCCAATTAAACCATGAGTGGCTCAGGAAAACTCCCTGCAATCGCTTCAGACGCTGTTCTTAAACAGTCTGTGCCTGTGCCAGAGGACTTTGAGAAGGTTCAAGGTATGGACTTCTCCCAGGACTATGCCTACAACTCTAGAGCTACCGACTTGATCGCTTCCATGAGAACCATGGGTTTCCAGGCCCTGTCGGTGGCTTCTGCTTGTGAAATCATCAACGAAATGAATAGCTGGAGAGGTAAACATAAGGGCGAGTTGCCTGAACATGAACAGACTGGTGAGTTTGACGATGAGGACCGTCAGAAGGCTACAGTATTCATGGGTTTCACGTCCAACTTGATTTCCTCGGGTCTTAGAGATACTTTGCGTTACTTGGTGCAACACAAGAAGGTTTCGGCAATTGTGGCCTCGGCTGGTGGTATTGAAGAGGACTTGATCAAGTGCTTGGCTCCTACGTACTTGGGTGACTTTGCCTTGCCAGGTAAGACCTTGAGAGACCAGGGTCTTAACAGAATCGGTAACTTGTTGGTGCCTAACGATAACTACTGTAAGTTTGAAGAGTGGATTGTTCCTGTTTTGGACAAGATGTTGGAGGAGCAGGAGACCGAGATGGCTAAGTTGGGTAAGGAAGGCTTGAACGCTGATTCCGCTGCCATCTGGACTCCTTCCAAATTGATCGACCGTCTTGGTAAGGAAATCAACGACGAGCTGTCGGTGTTGTACTGGGCCCACAAGAATAAGATTCCTATCTTCTGTCCAGCCATCACTGACGGTTCTATTGGTGATATGTTGTTCTTCCACACTTTCAAGGCCAGCCCACAGCAATTGCGTTTGGATATTGTCGCTGATATCCGTAAAATCAACTCCATGTCCATGGAAGCCTCTCGTGCTGGTATGCTTATTCTTGGGGTGGTTTGGTCAAGCACCATATCTGTAATGCCTGTCTTATGAGAAACGGTGCCGACTGGGCAGTCTACATCAACACAGGCCAGGAATTCGACGGCTCTGACGCCGGCGCCAGACCTGATGAAGCTGTCAGTTGGGGTAAGATCAAGGCAGAGGCTAAGCTGGTGAAGGTTTATGCTGATGTCACTGTGGTGTGGCCATTGATTGTGGCTGCTACTTTTGCTGCCCAAAGACCATAAAGGACAAAGAGGAAGACGAAGAAAATGCTAGAACTTGTGTAAATAACGAAAGCGACGACGGACCCGGAAAAATACTCTCTTTTGGTGTTGTAGTTGCACTTTTGCAGCCATTGTGGCTCGCGGAATTTCAGCCAGCGTTATCTGTGGAGGTGCATAATCTCACTTTATCGGATTTTCCCCATACTTGCCACTCTTTCCAACCATGAACAACGAATTACTTGAAAAACTCCAAAAACTCCTTGCCGAGGGTAAGGACGAAGATGTGCTGTTGTTGCGCCGTGCTCTTCTCGAAAAACCACACTTGGTGGGGTCCTCCAATGACAAGTACTACGACAAGCACACTGACGACTATATTGACTTTACTTATGCCAATCCCACTGTTTGGCATGCTACTGACTTTTTTGGCAAAAGACTTGAAAAGGCTGGGTTTACTTACCTCCCAGAGAAGGAGCTGTGGAGCAACATTAAGCCTGGAAAGTACTATACGACCAGAAGTGGCTCTTCCTTGGTGGCCTTTGTAGTAGGCCCAGATTGGACCCCAGAGAAGGGCGTGGGCGCTATTGGTGCTCATATTGATGCTTTGGCTACAGCTGTCAAGCCAAACTCCACTAAGGATAAGGTTGACGGGTATGAGCTCTTGGGTGTGGCGCCATACTCTGGTGCTTTGAGCTCTGTGTGGTGGGACAGAGACTTGGGTGTGGGAGGCCGTGTTTTGGTCAAGGAGAAGGGTAAAGTGAAGTATGACTTGGTTGACTCTACGCCTCATCCTGTGGCTAGAATTCCTACTTTGGCTCCACACTTTGGTGCTCCAGCTCAGGGTCCTTTCAACAAGGAGACCCAGACAGTACCAATTGTGGGCTTTGGTGGAGATGTGGAGCCTACTGATGCAGAGAAGCGGGCTCCTCTTTACGGTAAGCATCCATTGAAGTTGTTGCGTTACATTTCTAAGCTTTCTGGCCATGCCGTGGAGGATATCGTGCAATGGGACTTGCAATTGTTTGATGTCCAGAAAGGTGTTCGTGGAGGTTTGGAAAACGAGTTTGTTTTTGCTCCTAGAGTCGACGATAGAGTGTGTTCGTACGCTGCTATTCTGGGTTTGATTGAGTCAGACGCTGAAGGTAAGTTGTCGAAGGACGCTTTCTCCATTGTTGGTCTTTTTGATAACGAGGAAGTCGGGTCTGGAACCAGACAAGGTGCTAGAGGTCATTTGTTCCTGAGCACTGTTGAACGTGTGGCGTCTTCGTCGTACTACAATCCAGGTGAAGCCGAGTCTACTGACCTGGTGAAGGTTACCTTTGCCAATTCGATCATTTTATCCGCTGACGTGACTCACTTGTTCAACCCTAACTTTGCCAACGTCTACCTCGAGCACCACAAGCCTTTGCCCAATAAGGGTATCTCCATTGCCTTGGACCCTAACGGTAACATGGCTACTGACTCTACTGGGTTAGCGCTTGTTGAAGAACTCGCCAGAAAGAACGGCGACGAGCTCCAGTACTTCCATATCAGAAACGACTCTCGTTCAGGTGGTACCATTGGTCCTTACCTCTCCATCCAAACCGGCGCCAGAACCATCGACTTGGGTATCCCCCAATTGTCAATGCACTCCATTAGAGCTACTATCGGAAGCAAGGACGTTGGCTTGGGCGTAAAGTTCTTTGCTGGTTTCTTCAAAAACTGGAGATCCACCTACGACACGTTTGAACAAAACTGAGCCTCAGGGCCCAGTTTCAGCGCAATCCAGTCGAAGCCACTGCTGATGCGCTATTTCGCAGCCAACAGGGAAAACATTGCAACTGCTGCAGAGCCGCTTTTCTTGGGAGGGCATTCACGGCAGCGTGAAGGAACGTAACCGAAAACAGAAAAAGTACCGAAATGGATAACTTCTCGACTGCTTTCCTTGATCCATCTTATCCATCGTATCTCGTCTTCTCACAGCCTTTCTTTACACTTTCCTCTTTTGGGCGGCTGGTTCTAGGGTCCCCAGGGCCTGCACAATATACCTCTCACCATACAAGGAGTATGGTATTTTCCTGACCAACTGTGTAAGTCAAACGAACAGATAATATGAGTATGTGCCCCCAAATTAGTCCAAAATAATGCTAGATTCGCTTTCTTCGGCCTCATATTGCCCTATAAGCTTTCCATTGATCCGCTGACCCGAGAATTCATACTAACACGCAGCACCTCCTAAAAAGATGTCGCTTGAAGAGTTCATCTCTGATGATTGTATGTATTTCGAAAAGAATGGCCTATAAGGCCATCGATTTCTTGAATTTGTCAATATCTTTTACTAACGTTAGCCTATGGTGGTTCTTGGGCAGATGACGAGATAGACATTGCTTCTATTTCGGTGCCTATTGAGAAGAACAAAGGTATGGGAGGTTCTGATGGTTCTGGAGGCATCTTCGGTGCTGGAGGTTATGGCCGGTCGAGGAACTACGGGACAGACCAGGGCCCTCCTTATATCGTGAAACTTCTCCACCTTCCCGTGTCTTGTGATGATGTTTTTGTCAAGGACTTGTTCACCTCGAGATTTATGCTGTTTGTGAAGTTCAAGATTGTTTACGACCCGGTTTCTAATCCTTTGGAAACTGGCGTTGTTAAAAAGAGTGCATTCGTTGAGCTTCACTCCTTCAGTGACCAGAACAGAGTGGTGAACTGGCAAGACTTGTACTATAAAGGTAACCGACGGGTCATTATCGAACATGCCGACTTTTCGGATTTCCAAAATTGCATGAAGTTCAATCAAGAACACGACAGAGATCTACGTCGTACTGAGCGTGAATTTCTCGCCAGTAAGACGAGAGGGAGCTTCGAAGGCCGCCGTTCCTCCCACAGCGGACATATTCCTGGGCTTGGTGTTTTAGGTGAACTTGAGGATCTACAGCATCATGGACGAGATAATCTGCGATTTGGCGGTTCTGGCCGTAGGAGCTCTTTCGGTGTTCCTGGCAACAATGGCCCACCCCATCCAAAACCACTATCTCGTTTCACTTCATCACACACAGCCACACCCCAAACTATAGATCCTTCTCACGAGACCCCAGCATTAGGGCCTCCAAAGCCTAAGTCCAATCCTTTTGGAAACGCCAAGCCTGTCGATATATTGGCCAGAGAGCATGAGCTTGATAAGAAAATCGTGAATATCGATCAGAATACTATCACAGCACTTAGCTCCGACTCCGATGATACTATCAAAGGAAAGAATGTCAAAAAGAAGTAAATGGCCAGCCCAGCGCTCGCTCTCCAAAAACAGATGATTCTACAAAAGCCGATGGGAATGCATTATCTCCTGCTCCAATTCCTTCCTCAGTGTATGGTCAGAAGAAAAGCTTAGCAGACATCCTCAGCGCCAAAAACGAATCTGAAGGTAGTGGTAGAAATACCCTGGCAAAAGGAAGAAAGTCAGCAAGCACGACACCAAAACCACAAGGTAAACCTGTCATACTTAAAAAGAAGCCATCAACTGTTTCTTCTCCTGCGCATCAAAGAGAGCTCGAAAGGCTAAGCAGTCCTGAAGCCTTGGCTTTAGAGACGACTAGTGCTCCCGAGATCTCAACAAAGGAAAAGATTAGCGACACGGAAGCAGACGAAGGTACAAAGCTGGAGCCAATTGAAGCACCATCACGCAAACCAAAGGCTAACGACGCTCTGAAAGAAAAGTCCGAGAAGCCAGTGGAGGAAAGCAAATCACAGGCGCCAGTGGAGCGTTCGAGAGAGAATCTGAGAAGAAGGAAATCGCTGAGAGGTAAGAGAGGTTCAGTCGGTGACGTTACAGAGAAGACGGAGAAAACTGAGGAAGCCGAAGAGAAGATCCACAAAGAACAGCATCATTTGGCTGAAAGAAACAAATCATTCTCATCTCAGCAACGTCCTGACTTCAAGAAGCACTTCATTGAAATGACGCTGGGCCTGGAAGAAAGACCACCACTGCGTGGCAGCGGCGGCAGAGGAAGAGGACGTGGTGGAAGAGGTGGCTTCGAGTCTGGAAGAAGGAACAGCCACAGGAAAAGATCTACTGACGGAAATTATGAGAGAAGGAACTCGTTAAAGGCTGATGAAACAGCCAAGGAAGATGGTAAGGTAGTTGAGGGGGAAGAAAAAGCCGCCGCTGGAGACGTCCCACAGAACTCATCCAAGTCGAAGGATGATAAGCCTGTTGATGGGCAAGAGGAGCCACCAGCTGATGAAAAGAATGGGCGTGCTAACTCAAGAGGTCGTGGTAGAGGAAGAGGCCGTGGAGGCCGTGGTTTTAGAGGGAACTCAAGAGGCAGAGGCAGAGGAGGTCCAGGTAGAAGGTCTGACGGAGGGGAGTCGAAGGATTCTTCTTCTCAAGATGTCAGCAAACCACCACCTGCTCCTGCTCCAGCCGATAGCCAGCCAGCGGCCAGTGCATGATGTGATGAAATATATTTTAATGTGAAATACGAATAAATAACCCAAGAATAATACCATGTAAAGAACACCGTAACGAATAACATTACTTTTTTTTCATTTTTTACTTTTTCGTTTTTTCTTCATTTCTCGTTGTGGACATTGTTTTAATATCCATTAGGTATTCAATATACCGCTATCTCTCAAAGAATTCTCCAAGATTGTCTCTTTAACTGCAGCAAATACAAGTTGGATGTTAGATGTGTCAGTAGCCTGCGTGACATGGGGGTAAATGTTAAGTCCGGAACGGTTCACCTGAGTGAATCTCCATAAGATATACTTGACGGCCTTGTTGATGTTGTCACCGCCATTATAGTCAGGAAAGTAGTTCTCCAAAGGTGAAAAGGGTAATTTCTTAGCGAAAACATCAATCTTGTTCAAGAAAAGCACAATGGATGTACGGGAGAACCAGCGAGAGTTGACCACTGAATCAAATAACGTCAAAGACTCTTCCAATCTGTTTTGGGAATCTTCCTCTAGAAGGGCCTGGTCATACTCAGAAAGTGCAACACAGAAGATTATTAGGGTAACGTTATCGAAGCAATGGATCCACTTCTTACGCTCCGAACGCTGGCCGCCCACATCGAACATATGCATATTGACACCGCTCATTTGGAAGCGGAAGTCGAAAATACCAGAAGTCTTCTTTCGCGTACGCAAGATATCTGACTGGTTAGGGACATAATCAGGAGCGGCAATTCTCTCCACATTGCTAAGCATATAGTCAGTAGAGTCAATAAGATAAAACTTGCCCTGTTCTCTCTCCATAAAGTCGTGAACCTCCTTGAAGTTATAAACTGTCTTGATTTTCGCTGCCACAGAGGGATTAAATTGTTCTTCAGATGAAACAGACACTTCATAGTCCAAAACCTCGTTAAGGTCGTCATAGCGTAAAATGTGTTTTCTTTCGCCCACAGGACCGGCAATGTTAGCAGCCAAGTCCTCCTCGCTGGTGCCCTTCTCGGCGATCAAGTCCGGCTGGAGGTCAATGATAGCATTGACAACGTTCTTCACGCAATCCAACACGTTCTTAAACACAAACGGTTTATACTCGTACAATTCCTCGTCGGAAAACCCATTCTTGTGCAAGATCTTCATTTGCTTAACAATGGTAGACTTACCACTCTCGCCAGACCCCAACAACAACACCTTCACCTCCTTATCTGTTGAAATGGGCGACGATATAATGCCATTGGTCGTTTGTGCGGACAGTTGTCGAGACTGAGCCGTCGAGTTGGGAGCCAGTCCCGGTTTTAGGCTCTGGCCGTTGGTAGTAAGATGCTGTGGCTGCTGCTGCTGCTGCACTTGTTGTTGTTGTTCCTGCTGCCGTTGAGCAGCAGCCTTCTCAGACAGAACGTTCCCTGAACTGTCTGCCAGTGTCTGGTTATTCGTCTGGTCCACTGCCTTTTGTTGCTTGCTTCGCTTGTCGCCGGCAGTAGGCGCCGTATTGGCCGGTGGAGGCGCCAGAGGATCCTTGGAAGAGCACAAGCCCATGATTAGACGGAATACAATTGAAGGAAGTCAATGGCTAGAAGGGCTGGAAAGAGCCTTGTAGACAAGAAAAGAAGCACGGGTTGGGAAGAAGGAGCCCTGGGTTAAGGTAAATTATCGGTGAGGCACGAAGCAGGCAGATAAACTGGAGTGAATGAGTGAGGGAGAAAAAAAGAGGGCAGTCTCTTTCTTGGGTTCGCGGTCAGGCATTGGAGGGGGAACTGGAAGTGGAGAGGATGAAGCAGAGGAGGGATGAGAAGGTGGGTGAAAGAGGAAGAGTGGTTTATGTTGTTGGGGTGGATTCTACGACCATTTCTATCCAATTTTTATCTTTTTAAGTGGAGTTTGTGATTTTTGGTGGGCCATTTGGAAGACTTGACTTTCACGCAGCGCCGCGGAATGGTTGCAAAATGGGATCCGAACGGCACGCCCGGGCATAAAGTGGGTATAAGGATCCGAAGAAAAAGAAGAAGTAGAGGAAAAGAAAGCTTAAAGTAAGGGAAGTATATTCTTGGGTTGGGAGGTGTCTGGGGAGGACTCTTGCTGGCCAAGATCTCGGAGTAAGCCACTGTGACAGGCACAAGCAGTCGCTCTTTGTTAGTGGATGCACATTGGGGGAGGGGGGTTGCAACTGTGGAAGCAAGACAGAGTATGTCATGAACAATGCATTCTCAGGGACTTGAAATTGGAATTGGTCTTACTTTATTACACTTTTCTTTAAATTACGTCTTTTTTCTATGACCCTAAGCCTCTGAAAGTCGGCCTGCTTTGTTTCGTATAAGCCCAGTTGTCCCGTGGATATTAATACATTATTGTGCTAGCGTTTCACCGCTGTAATGCTATACGCCAATTCTAGACCTGCTTCGCTTCTTCGTCTGCATCAACCTGCTCCTCTGGTTCTTGCGATTCCACCTGGTTCTCTTTGTCTTCACCTCCGGTGTCTTCGGCTGCTTCGGTAGACTGGCGTTCCGAGTGGCGAAGCATATCGTCCAAATCCATCACCGCTTTGGGCGTTCTTTTATCGCCTTCGGAATTCTTCACGTCCTCGAGAATCGCCGCTTCAGTTGATAACGGCGTTTGGAACCCAGAATGCTCATTCGCTAGGTTAGGTGCTCCTGGTTGAGTTGGTGGTAACGAAATGTCTCTGCCCTTTGCATTCTTCATCTCGGCAACTCTCTTACGTTCTTCTCTTCTTCTCTTTTGGTTTCAAACTCGTGCCACTCTCCTTCAAGCGTCTTCATGAACTCCAACGGTTCAGGTTGCGGGTCTTCAGTGAAGTAAGCGTGTTGGAGGGATTCCTCGGCAGTGAGTCTCTCAGCGGGTACCAAGGACAACATCTTCTTTGCAAGATCAAAACTCTGCTCAGACATCACCGGCTTGAATTCCTTCTCGAAGCTAGGCTTCTTGTTGATGCGAGGTTTCAACATCTCAAACCAAGGAAGGTTTTCAATGTCGGGCCAGGTATCAATAGACGGCGTACCCATAATGTCAAAGATCTTATAAAGCTGAGAAATTTCCTCAGTTCCTTGGAAGACTGCCATTTTCGTGTACAACTCGATAAGCAAACAGCCGACACCCCAGATATCCACTTCACGACCGTAGTCCACAGACCCAAGAAGAAGTTCTGGTGGTCTGTACCATATCGTTATCACTCGGTTGGTGTAGTCGGGGCTTTCACCATCCTTGAGCACTTTCATGGTTCTTGCAAGACCAAAGTCAGCAACCTTAACGACACCTTCTCTGTCGACTAAGATATTGGAACCCTTGATGTCTCTGTGAATGACTCGCCTCTTATGAAGATAGTTCATTCCCTCCATAAGTTGCTTGAAAATCGTTTTCCTATGACCTTCACTAAGTTTAAGGTCTGGGTGCGTAAGCAAACCTGTAAGATCATGGTCCAAATAATCAAAGATCATGAAAATTTGGTTATGTTCAACCATCATCTCCAACAAACCAACAATGTTAGGATGATCGAAACTTTGCAAAAGCTTGATCTCTCTCATTGCAGTAATTGGGAATCCTTCACGCTCACTCTCCAAACGTAATCTCTTCAATGCAACAAATTCCTCTGTAAGAGAGTTTTTAGCCTTGTAGACCTTACCATAAGTTCCCTCACCCACCTGTTGCACTCTCTTATATAGCTCATTCGACCTGTTAGCGAACAAAGAATACAACTGAGAAGGTTGAAGACGTTGCTGAGGCTTCTTATTCGTGTTAGCATTGGCGTTATTACGCTTCTTGGGCTGCTGTTTTTGTTTATCTTTAGGGCCTGGACCGGAACCTTGGCCAGAGCCGGGTCCCGAACGGCCACCGGGACCAGAGCCAGGACCGGAACGACCAGAGCCAGGACCAGAAGGTGGACCAGAACGGGGACCAGGCCCGGAACGAGGACCAGAGCCCGGGCCGGATCTAGGGCCAGGACCAGGACGAGCATTAGGGCCAGCATTTTGATGCCCACTCAGTCTTGGAGCCTTTGGAGCTCTATCAAGGTCTGGCTTGGCCTTCTCGGGACGTTCATTGTCGTAGTCACGAGCACTAAAATCCCTTCTCTTGTTTGGCCTATCATCAGGTCCTCTTCTAGAGTCTCTATCAGGAGGTCCTCGTTTCTGACCTCTGTTGTCCCTAAACGCTGAGGGCCCAGACGGCCTTTCGTTACGGTCATTTCTATCGTATCTGTCGTTCCTATCGTTTCTCTCCCTATCGTTGTAGTATCTATCATCCCCATCATTACGATCTTCTGGACCTCTCCTCCTATCAATCATATGAGGTCTGTAGTTATCTCTTTCTTTGAATCTTTTGGGATTTGGACCCTTGGAGTTATGGTCCTTCCATCCTGATTTCTGGTTCGAAGGTGGCGGTCCCTTGGGGCCCTTGGGTCCTTTAGGCCCAGTAGGTGGTCTGTATCTATCCGACATTGAACCAAATTTGTCAAAAGGGCAGAACAGGAAGTGGCCGCTTGGTTAAGAATGCACGTGGAACGCTAGGAATGGATCCAACTATATGTGTGTCTCAGATAGGTAACCTGAATATTCTGCGAGCCTTGCTTGTAGTTGAAGATGGATTTTCGATGTGAGTATTGAAGACTGACAAGATGGTATGCAGTACACTTCCTTAGACGAGGCAACACCAGTCCCTAAAGGCCAGGAAAAATGTTAAAGGAGACCAATAGAAGGGATGAAATTGGAGAGCCTGGTTTCAGACTTAGAATGAGCTCAAAAATTGTGCTGCTTCGAGGTTGTTGGTGGTGAAATTGGTGATAAGTCTGCGCAGTGCCAGACAAAGGAACATGCCCAACAACTCAAGAGACAAATCCCACCAGTTCAGTAAAGCAATTGCTTGGCATTCCCGGTTGCTTAATATCCCCTAAGCTCGAACTCTCCTTTAGTACCTGGTTCACTTCTTGCAAGTGCCGTTTGCCATACCTCAATAAGTAGAATACCACCAAATGGCCATCGAAATGCCTACTGTTTTGGAAATGCTATTGCCACCTTGATGGCCTGGATGTTCCCGTCAAAACCACATACTACAAGAAATGTGAAAACAGGACAAACTCTACGAAAATCAATGGTTCTGAAGGCTCCAAGGCACCAGGGACAAACAGCAGCCAAAGCAGTCAAAAAGGAGGGTAAAGAGGTCAACAAAGGACCTGAATTTTCCCTATAATAACGTCCCTCAAGTGTTCAAATTATGGAATCGGAAGGTTTCTTTGCCCCTTACAAGCTCTCATGAGTATCTGTAAGTACCTGGCATATTCCGACCGAAATTTTCATCCTTATAGTCCCCCTGACCTGTATTTTATGGATTATTGGATCATGACTCTTCTATAGTCTTGGATTGGCTTGTTACTCAAGCTCAGTGCTTTGCCCCTTTGGTAGTTGGAGGAGAAAATGATCAACCAGAACCGCGGCGTGAATAAGGAATGCGGTCACGTGACGTTGCCTCCAAAATTCCGAGTTACCTTCGCCTTTCAAAGTTTATACGAAGCTAAAGAAACTAGGTATTTAAAACGAATTTTCCCAACGTTCGTGCCCTCCTCCTCGCCACTGTCCCGCCCAAACCTTCATCTCTTGAGAGGTCATTCTGTGGCGGCGGCCTGGACTGGAAGGCTTTCCTGCAGTACACAAACATAGGCCAGGAACCATATCTGCATCAGGGAACCATCCTCAACAGGTTTAGACTACTCAATCCAGAATGGTATGGAGAAAGAATTTATATATAACGTTCATATACTGACTTCCAGGGATTATTTACGAAATCGCTCCATGTGGGTGCCGACCTTGTCTTTGTTTCGGCTGTGTTGGCTGGCATCAGAAGAAACACCGGTTTAACGTATGTTGGATTGAATTTTTGTTTTTAATTGATACTAACGCTAGTCCTGATCTTGAGAAGATCCCTAACGAGTCTGCTCGCTTTTATACGAAGAAATACCTAGGCGTGGGAGAGCTGGTGTTTGACTATTCCTCGGCCTACTTAGGCTCGTCCGAGTACTTTAAGCGCTCGTGATCACTATTTAACTGCTGTCGATATGTATTAAACAAGTGCAAATTTATTGGTTTCAACTATGTATGGAAAAACTCTTCTCTCCTTCTTCTTCTTCTTTACTCCACGGTGACAGACTTGGCCAAGTTTCTTGGGAAGTCAACATCGATGCCTCTGTTCACGGCCAACCAGTAACTCATCAACTGCAATGGGATAACATTCAACAATCCTTGCAAACAGTCAACGGTCAATGGAACATGCAATGTGGCGTATGCCTTCTCTTTGAACAAGTCGTCGCCTTCGTTACAAATAACGATAGGTCTGCCGGATCTGGCAGTAACCTGCTCAATGGCAGACGTGACCTTAGGGAAAAGAGAGTCCCTGGTGGCCAAGGCAATGATAGGCAAGTCACCATCAACCAATGCCAAAACACCGTGCTTCAACTCACCGGCAAGAACACCCTCAGAATGCATGTACGAGATTTCCTTAATCTTCAAGGCACCTTCCAAGGCAGTAGCGAATTGGAAGCCTCTGCCCAACAACAACAAGGATTTCTGCTCGTTCAAGTATTCGTTACACAAGCTCTTGATCTTCTCTTCTAGCTGCAAGACAGTCTTGATTTGTTCAGGGATGTTCTTCAAGCCCTGGATAATCTCAATGTGACGTTCTCTCTTGGAGACAAAGTCGCTAGAGAGGGAAAGGGCAATCATAACCATGGCAATGTACTGAGAAGTGTAGGCTTTGGTGGAAGCAACACCGATTTCAGGACCAGCGTTGATGTGGACACCGCAATGGGTTTGTCTGGACATGGAAGAACCGACAGAGTTGACGACACCGACAGTCAAAGCACCTCTCTCCAAACAGTATTGCAAGGCCAACATAGAGTCGGCGGTCTCACCAGACTGGGAAACAAACAAGCATGTGTCGTCTCTGAAAACTGGGGATCTTCTGTCCAAGAAGTCGGAAGCCAATTCAACAGAAACTGGGATATCGGTCAATTCTTCAAAGATAGATCTGGTAGCCAAACAGGAGTGGTAAGAAGTACCACAGGCAATCATGATGATTCTTCTGCATCTTCTGATAGTAGGCAACCAAGACTTAAGACCACCCAAGTTGACAGAATTGTTGGAGAAGTCAAGTCTACCTCTCATGGTGTTAAAGGCAGAGTCTGGCTGCTCAAAGATCTCCTTTTGCATAAAGTGCTTGTATGGGCCCTTCATGATTTCGTTCAATTCCATCTCCAAGGTCTGGATAGGACGGAAGGTGGACTCGCCAGCGATGGACTTCTTAGCACGGTGGATGTGCAACTCACCATCGTAAATGTGGGCAATGTCGTCATCTTCCAAGAACAAAACCTTCTTGGTGTGTTCAATGACGGAGGCTGGGTCAGAAGACAAGAAGAATTCAACTGGAGATGGAACACCATCCTCGTTGAAGAAAGCTCTGGACTGGGAAGTTCTCAAGTTGGACTCACCGTTAACGTTAGGACCAACAAACTTCTCCTGGTTCTCAGGGAACTCAATGTCGACAAAGTCAACCTTCAACTTTCTCTCGGTCTTGACACCAACCAACAATGGAGAACCGTTTCTGGTACCACAAACCTCACCAGGGAAGTGGACAGACTTGACCAACAAACCGTAAGAACCTTCCAACTCGTACAAAACCTGCTTGGTCAACTCGTTAAAGTCAATGTACTGACCAGCCTTGGCGTTGGAGTCGTAAATGTGCTTGAACAACTTGGCAATACACTCAGTATCGGTCTCAGACTCAAACTCGTAGCCCTTACTAACCAACAAGGTCTTCAACTCACGGTAGTTGGTAATGATACCGTTATGAACAACCACAAACTCGCCACTTGGGTCAGAACGGTGTGGGTGACAGTTCAGGTACTCTGGCTGACCGTGAGTAGCCCATCTAGTATGAGCAATTCCCACGTGGTTATCGAAAACCGTGTCCTTGCCGACCTTCTTGTTTTCAATCTCTTCTCTCAAGATCTTCACCTTACCTGGAGTCTTGACAATGATGCTGCTGGTCTTGTCATCAGCATCCACAGCCAAACCAGTGGAGTCGTAGCCTCTGTACTCCAATCTGGAGAGACCTTCGAGAAGGTTCTCCATGATTTCGCCTCTGGTCTTATCCACCAAAAAGTTCACGTAGCCAAAGATTCCGCTGGAGGGTTAGTATATGAATAAGGGTAATTGATTCGTGTCTACATACCACATGTCGATGGAAAGTGGAATTAACGGGGGGATTTAAGGGGGATGGGAAAAAGTGATGGGTTGTAAGGATTTGGGGGGAGTCACGCCTAAATGAGTGGGTTTTGTAGGAGGAACAAAAATACGAAGGAATTGGCAAGAAGAATAGGCGTTGGAGTATTTTTGTTTGGCAATCCAAAAAAAGACGTAAATTGCACCTGTCTTATCCGGATGTCGCACTTCCAAAAACCCTCACTTTGCCGAAGGTGAAGTGGGAAAAGAGAGACAAAAATTACATCAAAATGCTCAGCAAAAACTGAGCATTCCAAATATCTACTTTTCAACTTCCAATTCCCAAAACAACCCTGAATGACTCGACCCTTGCTGAGGTAGCGACGACATTGTCGCGCTTCCAGGCGCATGCCTAATGGACGCCTCGCACCTCTCAAATCAGGACCTCTTCGTCCAGACCCGCGTAACAATAATTAACTATCCCAAAAGGGAATAAGTAAAACACACGGGTGGAAGAACCTGGCGGTATATGCAGGTCGGAACCGTCTGTCACCCATTGACAAATAAAAAGCAAAAGCAGAAAAAGCAGATAACGTACGTTGATAAGGAAAGGTAAGGAAAGCAAGAGTTGAAGAAGAGAAGCCTTTTGGCTTCTTTTGGGTTTTGGGTTCTTCAAAATACCAATAAAAAACAACAAGGTCACTTCCAGACCTCATTGCTTCTAGATTCCACAAACCTCAGCGAAGATTTACCAAAATGCCACAAAAAAAAAAGCGGCTTATTTGTGAGGCTGCAACAAGGGTAGAAAAGCAAAAAAAGACCAAACCGCCAAAACACGAAAAAGTATAAAAAAAGAAAAAACAAGGGGAATCTGTCAAAGTTTAAAACGTCACAAAAGCCAACCCCCCGTGGAATTAAAGTTTGCTTTGTTTGGGGAGAGTTTGGGGAGAGTTTGGGAATGAATGGGTAGATGTCTGGGGCTGTGCCAGGCCTCTAGAGGTAAGTACGAAGTGGAGGGTCGTAGAGAAAGTGGAGGACGTAGATGAAGGGGAAGGAGGAAAGAAGTGTTGTAGGGGAAGATCAAGTAGGGTAGTTTTTGAAGTGTGGAGGCAGGAGGGATACTGAGGAAGCAATTCGTGAGGTCCTATGAGTTTGGTGCCATAAACGATACTGGCTCCTAGACATGATATCTCTTCTTCCAGTTTTCTCAGTGAGGAACTATTTAAATAGCTGTAAATGCCAAAGAAGCCTGTTAGCAAAAACGCTTGGTTTCTAGGACTTTTCCAATAAAGAAGGGTACTCATTCTGTGAAACCAATGGGAACAAGAAATGGTTGCAAATGCGAGCGCAGAGTATGAGATCAAGGTAGTTGATAAGATGAAGGTATTCTGAAATAGCGAAACCAGCTTCCCTTCCTTCGTCTTTCAAATATATCTTACCTTTGAACTTGGGTAGGGGGTGTATTTGAAGATTGTGGAAATGGTTGGTTACTGGGAAGATGAGTACTGAGGTGGGTGTTGATGGTCTGGAGAGGTGGAGCGAGAGGGAAGTACATTGTAGGTTGAAGGGAGGTTAATTTATTTTGGAGCGTGGGGCAATTGGGGTTCTGGGGATTGCTTAGTTCATTAGAAAGTGCTTTAGTTGTCTTTTTGGTGCTTTACGTGGATGTATGTTGACCATTGACTGGGAGTCTACTTGAGGTGAAGCGAGGGCTCTGGAGAGATACGAAATGGCAGTTCTGGGAGTGACAATCTAAGAATTGAAATGACGTATATTCCCTTTTGACATTGGTATCTTCAATTTCTGCTTTTCCTTGTCGAAAATATAAAAAGTAAGTTTCTTACCTGAAGAGATGGGTACCCACGTCCTGGCAACCGGTTATGGTGGCTGCGCACTGGCGTTTGAGAACAGAAAGGGTCCACCAAAACACGGAAGCACCGAGTATTTTGAAAAACCAAGTGACTATTCCTACTCAATTGAATGTGCTCAAAAACGCTATGTCCTTGGTTTTTCTTTATCTTCTCCCCTTCCCCAAATAAGTGCACCTTCGCTTTCTGTACTGGTACGGCGTTTTTCGCAGCCACCGAGGAAGACCCACCTCCATAAGAACCACCATACTAGCACCACCAAATACCTCCAAACCCTATAAGAAACCCCCTCTTTCCTCTATCAACCCAATTCTCTTCTTTTACTCTTCTTTTCATTACTTTGGAACTTTCCACGTGACCGATGCTGGACCACCTATCGCGAGCCTGATGGAATTTCCACTCCACATATTCGTATCCACTGACTATTCTGTGTAACCATGATGCTACGAGTTTTGAGGCCCCAAATACGTCCAAACTGGTTTAATTTCACCCGCTTGAACTCGTCCAAAATCGCTGCTGAGCTTAAAAAGCCTCCTTTCTCCGTTCCAGTGCCGCCTAAGAAACTGGCCAAGAAGAAGAAGAACCAGAAGGCTGGTCTCAACTCCCTACGATGGCTGGATAAACAAGTCCACGATAACCAATCTAAGCTTCTTACGTTGTTGGCTCAGACCCAGCGGAAAGAGGTGGACCAGGAGTCGCTTGCTGAGTACCTTAAACCGGTTACTTCCTTGACTATAGGTGAATCCATTGATTTAGATAAGGTGCGGAGCACCTTCAAAAAGAAGAAGGTTCCGCATTCGGTGGTGATTCGTGACGAGGTTTTGCTTTGTAAGGTGAATTCCAAAGATATAATGGTGTTGGCAAACGGTACTTTAGTTGGGTGGGACATTGCAGAGGACCTGATGAATGAGTATGTTCCACAAATCTGGAACGCAGTGAGTGAACGGTATGAGAATGAAAGTGAAGAAATGGACTACATTTCTTTAGAACCTGCTTCGCAGGAAGCTGACGAACAAGGGCCTTCGTTTGTACAAGAGGATGTGTTTGTTTCTCAAGGCACTGATCCAGAACAACGGTTACTTGAAAAAGCTGCGTTTGCCATTGGTCTTTCCCGGTCCACAAGGTTATCTATTCTTGAAGAATCGCTTGAAAAGCATATCCAGTTGACCAGGGAGAATAGTGAGGCGCTTTCGAAGGGTCTTAAACTCAAAACGAAGGAATCTGAGATCCTTAAACTCACAGGGCGTCTTTTTTAATTCGTGGCAAGCTTAATCTTTATTCGGAACTCATTGAAACGCCCGATTTATACTGGTCAGAGCCCAATTTGGAGAAAATCTATGAGTCTATCAGTCGGAGACTTGACATCCAGCTGCGGATCCTGATTATGAACCGTAAGCTTGATTATATCACCGAAGAGCAACGAGCGCTTCTCAGCGTTTTGAACGAAAAGAAAGGTACCCGGCTTGAATGGACCATTATCATTCTAATCATGGTGGAGGTGGGTTTTGAGACGTTCCATTTTGTGGAAAAGTACTGGTGGCAGATATAAACTGCTGTCCTATAAGAGTGGATGCATGTAAATAGATTAAAATGAAGCAAACCGGAAGGGTTATTTGCGGGGCATAAAAACAAGAAATCACTATTACTGTCCATTCCAGTGCCTGGTCTCTACAGGATCTTGTGTAAATGCCCCGTGGCAAAAGTTCCTCTGTCACCTGCTAAAACAAAGCCAAGTCCAAGAAAAATCTCCATCTTTCATAAGCTCTTTTTTTCTTGTACCAGCGGTTCTTCCTATGTTATTTACGAATAAATACATATAAATACATATCATGTATTTTACATATTATACGTAAAAATATATATAAATGTATATATATTCTTTCCATATTTTCCACTCCGTTCCACTACGTGCCACTACGTGTCACGTAGTGTCACTTCGTTACCTTATCGGTTCCTGTTTGGGTTGCCCTGCACTGCCTTTTCCCACGGCAGACCGTTATCTCTAGATACAATATCGCTAACCAATAAAGAGGGGCGAAGGAACGTTATCGCAGGCGGTAGACAGCGCTGCGTGCAGGACCAGCGTCCAGGCGAGGCGATCCCGGGTGGCTCCGGAATAGATAGGCCGCACCGAACGAAATGGGTGCAAAAAGGAGAGAAACAGAGATAGACGGAGGTGAAGAAGAGTAGATAACGGGAGGGAAAGTTGCTGGAGAGCAATATATAAGGGGAAGTAGTCGCTGTGCGGTTTTTGCCCCTGGAAAATTTCGCTTTTTGGGATCTTACGTTGATGGTTTAGCCTTGCGCAAGGCATTACTGGTTTTTCCGGGCCCCAGTGCGACAAACCTGGTTTTGTGCAAAGGGGGTGGAAGTTTCTGTACTTTTTTTGGTGTAGGTGGTGACCTGGGACTCGTAGAGCCCACCAATTCTTTAACCCATCATTTCTCTTCAAATAATCTCTCTTTACTGACGGTTGCTGGAATAGAGATACTGGACGGTGAGCCTGCATCCTGCATACAACCCACTGATAAAGGCAATCTCCATCGAATAATCAGCAGCCTGCTCTGCACCTAAATGTCAAGACGCCTAAGAAGAAGCCCTTTGGATGCTTTTCAAAAGCGTGTGCTCGTGACAACTTTGCCTAGTTTCCTGCAGTTGGACCCGAAAACTGAAGCGGCTGTATAGTGAGTTAACAGAAAAAAAAAAAAAAAATCAATGCAGATGGGTCTGAGTCTTTTACGGTGATTTCGCCTCACGGGCCCACTCATTTATAATCTTCCCTGCCGCCTCTGCCTGCTCTTGTATTTGTATTTTTTTTTACTTTTATTTTCAAATTTAATTTATATTTTTTATTTTGCATCATGATCTCCAAAAGAGCCCTCTTCACAGAGAATGAGGACTACAACCAAGCACAGGTGCTACTTCTTTCTGTTGGCTCGTCCATCATCTGGGTCATGGTGCCCGGTTTGGCATTTCTATATTCTGGTTTATCCAGAAGAAAGTCGGCATTGTCGGCCATTTGGGTCGTGATTATGTCTTCGTTTGTGGGCTGCTTTGCATGGTACTTCTGGGGCTACTCTTTGGCCTTTTCTACTTCCAACAATAACTTTATTGGCGACTTGAGGGCGTTTGGCCTTAAAAACGTCGTGGGCAGAGCCTCGCTTGAAGAAGCATACCCAGAAATAGCATGGGCGCTTTTCCAGTTACAGTTTTTATTGGTCACTTTGGCCATTTTGGCTGGCGCCTGTATTGCTGAGCGTGGTCGGTTTTTACCCACCATTGTTTTCTTCTTTTTATGGTCTACCATCGTCTACTCGCCTGTGGTCTACTGGATCTGGGGCGGCGGCTGGGCCCTGACGTGGAACGGTGGTGCTTTGGATTACGCTGGCGGTGGTCCTGTGGAGATTCTTTCTGGTGTTTCTGCGTTTGTGTACTCTGCATTCTTGGGAAGAAGAAACCAGGACCTTATGATCAACTATAGACCGCATAACATTTCTACAATCTTTTTGGGTACGTCTTTGTTGTACTTTGGCTGGTTGTTCTTTAATGGTTTCTCAGCTGGAAATGTGTCTTTGAAAGTACCATATGCCATGCTTAACACCCACTTGTGTGGAGCCTTTGGCGCCATTTCCTGGTGCCTTTTGGATTACCGTCTTGAAAAGAAATGGTCCATGGTTGCTGCTTGTTCGGGCTGCATTTCTGGCCTTGTCGCTGCTACGCCTTCTTCTGGATGTATCCCATTATGGGCTTCAGTCATTTTGGGCATCACTGCTGGTGTGGTGTGTAACTTTTCCACCCAGCTTAAATACCTCTGCCGTGTTGACGATTCCCTTGATGTCATGGCAGAGCACGGTATCGCAGGCATGGTTGGGTTAATCTTCAACGGTCTCTTTGGCTCCAAAACCGTCATTGGCTACGATAACGTCACCGACCATTTGGGCGGCTGGCTCGACCACAACTGGAAACAATTGTACATTCAAATTGTGTACATTTTGGCCACCACAGCTTACTCTGGCGGTGTCACTGCCGTTTTGTGTTTTGCCATTGACAACATCCCAGGTCTCCATTTAAGAGCAGACTATGCTGCTGAAGAACAAGGTATTGACGAAGACCAGATCGGTGAATTCGCCTATGACTACGTCGAAGTCAGAAGAGACTTCTTAGACTGGGGCCTGCCTTCCACGCCGAAAGAACACATTTCCCAGCCTATCCAGGAAGTGGTTGGAGTGGAGCCTGAGCAGATATACCAAAACGTGGATCCTGAAACGCTGAGCGGGGTGATTTCCAGCCACGAAGAAAGCCAAATAAACGAGAAGGAGGATCTTCCGAGACCGAAAGAGGACTAATAAAAAGGACAAAATTAGAGGTAATACACAGATATGATGATTGGAGAATGTAGGTCTGGGGTAAAATGCATGCGATCCGCACCGGTACCGGGGAAGGTGGGGCGATGAATTTTTCAGATGAAGTCACGTGATGCAGTGAAAAATCAACAACAACCCCGGCTTTTTCCTCAGCAGCGAAGGCTGCTGGATTCAAAGACAAGCAGGCCTTTACTGGAAAGTCTGGGGACGACAAATCTGCTTTTGTGATTGAAAACGGATCACGTGAGGCATCTCTCCAGGGCGAGCTGTGAGAGGTCCCGCTGCTCCGGTGACGGCGCCCTGTGTCTATCTGCAGTCCGTGGGTACTGAAAATTGCGAAGAAAATTTGACTCATAATCAGCAGTATAAGACTCATAGTTCCCCAGGAAAAAAAAAAACACTACCACCACTTTCTTCACTTTAGGTACTTTTCCCCCCCTTTTGCCTATTTATTCAAAAAAAAATGCTCGCGCCAGCTCGTCTTACCGGACGTCTCAGCCGTGCCACCTCCATGGCCAAGGCGGCTCCAGCATTAAACATCACTTATACCCACAAGAGATGCTTAACGCATACGAAACACTCCAAGGCCACCATGACACAGAGATCGGAAAACAGGAGACCCACGCCGGCTCCTTCGTTCGACCAGGAGCCCCAGGATCCTAAAAACCCACAAAAGTTGACAAAGAAATCAACCATGGACGACTCCTTCATTGGCTTGACTGGAGGTGAAATCTTCCATGAAATGATGTTGAGACACAACGTCGACACGGTGTTTGGATACGCTGGAGGCGCCATTTTGCCTGTTTTCGACGCCATCTACAACTCAGACAAGTTTAAGTTTGTTTTGCCCAGACACGAGCAGGGTGCTGGTCACATGGCTGAGGGCTACGCCAGGGTGACTGCCAAACCTGGTGTTGTCTTGGTCACCTCGGGTCCTGGTGCTACAAACGTGGTTACCGCCATGCAAGATGCTCTTATGGACGGTGTGCCTTTGGTTGTTTTCACTGGTCAGGTGCCTACCACGTCTATTGGTACGGATTCTTTCCAGGAAGCTGATGTTATTGGTATTTCCAGACCATGTACGAAATGGAACGTTATGGTGAAGAACGTTGCCGAATTGCCTAAGAGAATCAATGAGGCTTTTGAAATTGCCACTACTGGCCGTCCTGGTCCTGTTTTGGTGGATCTTCCAAAGGATGTCACTGCCTCTATTCTTAGAGAGGCCATCCCAATCAACACTACTTTGCCTCTGAATGCTCTTACTCAAATCACCAGACGTTTCACTACCAAGTTCACTACTGAAGCTATTGAGCGTGCTGCTGATTTGTTGAATAAGGCCAAGAAACCTATTCTTTACGTTGGTGCTGGTATTTTGAACCACGAAAAGGGTCCTCAATTGTTGAAGGAACTTTCCGATAAGGCCACTATCCCTGTCACCACCACCATTCAAGGTTTGGGTGCTTTCGACCAGAGAGACGAAAAATCGCTTGATTTCTTGGGTATGCACGGTTCTGCCGCTGCCAACACTGCCATGCAAAATGCCGATTTGATTATCGCCTTGGGTGCTCGTTTCGATGACAGAGTCACCGGTGTGGTGTCCAAGTTTGCTCCTGCTGCCAGACAAGCTGCTCAGGAAGGCAGAGGTGGTATTATCCACTTTGAAATCAGTCCTAAGAACATTAACAAGGTTGTGGAAGCTACCGAGGCCATTGAAGGTGACGTTACACGTAACCTTGCCTCGTTCTTGCCCTTGGTTGAAGAGGTCGTCGAGAGAAAGGAATGGATGGGCCAGGTGCTCAAGTGGAAGGAGCAGTATCCATATTCATACATGAAGGAGACTCCAGGTTCTTTGATCAAGCCACAAACCTTGATCAGAGAGATCAGCGACCAGACCCAGAACTACGATAAAGATGTCATTGTCACCACCGGTGTGGGCCAGCATCAAATGTGGGCCGCCCAGCACTTCCTCTGGACGAAACCAAGAACCTTTATCACGTCTGGTGGTTTGGGTACTATGGGATTCGGTCTTCCCTCGGCCATTGGTGCCCAGATCGGTAACCCAGACGCCATTGTGATTGACATTGATGGTGATGCATCGTTCAACATGACTCTTATGGAGCTTTCCTCGGCTGTTCAGGCTGGCGCTCCAGTGAAGATTTGTGTGTTGAACAACGAAGAACAGGGCATGGTGACGCAATGGCAGTCGCTTTTCTACGAGCACAGGTACTCCCACACGCATCAGCTGAATCCAGATTTCATGAAGTTGGCTGAGTCCATGGGCGTGACTGGTATTCGTCTTGAGAAGCAAGAAGACATGGCCTCCAAGGTTAAAGACTTCTTGGACTGCAAGGGTCCAGTTTTGTTGGAAGCCGTTGTCGAGAGAAAGGTGCCTGTGTTGCCAATGGTTCCTGGCGGTAAGGCTTTGCACGAGTTTATCGTTTACGATGAAGAAGTTGAAAGACAAGAGAAGGAGTTGAGAAACGAGAGAACCGGTGGTAAGTACTAGGTTCAACCAAAAAAAGAAAAAAGATCAACAAAAAAAACGTTGAAATTTAGTGGTTCGGCGGTCATGATCCACCCGCCACGCTTGTTATAGTAACGGATTAACAATGGTTATTGAAGTGTTGTAGATAAAGCAGAAGAAGTGGTGGAGGTGGAATTTTCGCAGCCAGGAGAAGCGGCTTATTCTTCACATGAGAAGCGGAGAAACCCCCATCAAAAGTACCGTGTGGTGATCCTTTTCGGTCCAAAAGGTACCACCATAAACTTTGGATTCCCAGGACTTCAACCGTGCAATCGCCATAATTTTCCACCCACTGCTCGTCCCTCTATACTTGTTTTAAGTGTCCCGGCGGTTAGCCCCAGCCCTGTTCCGATCAGCCGAGGGGTAGAATCTGGGGCACCGCGCACTCATATATATACCACTAGGTGCCGCTTCCACTGTTCCGAGAAGACGTCCACTGGGTGCAAAATACACATCTAAGAAACCCCCTGTTTTTTCCCGTGGTATATGGTGGATGTCAAGGACGAAACGAGTCAGAAGCTCATTCTGACCAAGACGGGGCTCCTTCGAGTGTCCCAGGCGTGTGACCGATGCCGAATGAAGAAGATCAAGTGTGATGGTGCTACTCCATGTAACAAGTGCTCTGCCATTGGGTTCGAGTGTACCACGTCAGATAAGCTTTCACGACGGGCGTTTCCAAAGGGGTATACGGTGAATTTGGAGAATCGGGTCAAGGAGCTCGAGGACGAGGTGAACAGCTTGAGGGTGAAGTTGGGCCAGGACCCGGTGGATGGGCTGGCGTCACAGACGGCGTCGCCAGTGCAACTGAAGGTCCAGCCCCAGCAGAAGGAGGCTCTGGTGAAGGAGGAATCGGATAAACATGCTTACTCGGTGACAACGCTCAAACAGAATAACAACACTATCCATATCAATAACCCAATCGACCAGATCTTCAACTTGGGCAAGAAGGGGATCATTATTGGTAACGATAACTTGAACTTTGAATCGCAATTCAACCACTTGCTTATCAACTTGGGCTTGCCGTTTCTCAAAATCACAAACTCCCACAACTACCTTCTTAACGACCCAGACTCATACTTGTACCATCCGTCATACTCCAACTATAACGATTTCCACAATAAGGACTTGGATTTGAACTATAACCCGCTTACGCTGGCCCACGATGCGGCGCTCAACTCCCAGCTACCTAAAGATGTGTATGACCTTTTCATTAAGCTCATCAACAACTTCAAAAAGATCTTCAACTCGAAGAAAGAGTTGGACCACCAGATCATCCAGTTCTTCTTGAACTATAACACTTTTATTCCCATTTTCAACTATAAAAAGTTTATGGAGACCTACGACGCTTTCCATACCATGTACCCATTCATGTTCACATACGACGATGCTACCATCAACGGGTTTAACCTTCTGACGTACGATTATCATGTTGTCAACGAATACTTGATTCTTGTTATTCAGATTTACGCCATGATTTATATGAATAATCCGTCGTTGAACCTTAATCTTTTGCTTAACCATTCCCATCCAAACTACTCGTACCGGTTCCGTAAGGATTCGGAAAGCCTGTCGATTATTCGTTCCTTGTACGACTTTCTTCCGTACCTTAATGTGTATTGCGTGTCTGTGGAGCAATTGCAGGTTTACTTGTTGTTCTTTTATTATTCGCTTTTAACGAATAACAAGGAGAAGTCGCTTGTGCTTTCGTGTCTCATCAACTCGTTCATTGGTATCCTTGGGATTAATTTGAACTCGAGAAACTTGTTCTTTAACGATTTGAGTTTGAATTTGCACGAAAGAAGAACCAGAGTCAAGATTTTCTGGGGCTTCAAGGTCTTGCTTAAATGCTTCAATTTGAAGTTTGGATTTAAACCTTCCATCAACACCACTGTCATTAATCCAGTGACCATTGAAAGATACTTTAAGTTGACCCCAGAAAAGCTCAGTACTTTGCTTGAACCTCAGCCCGGAGAGGAGGTTGATCCACTCTTCGAAACCTTGCTTAAGCCCAGTGTGGAGTTCTTGAACTTGATGAATATCATCATTCCATCCTCGTTTTCGCCAAACTATTACCAGTACTTGAAGCAAGACAAACAAGTGAATGACAATCCTAACCAGAAAAAGAGCCATCCAAACAACTTGGACTGGATTTTAAATGACGACGATGGTGACGGTAATGACGGTAACTTGAACTACAACTTCACCCAGTTCTTGACCATCGACAAAAACCTCTCTAATTGGAGGTACGCTCTTGAAGAGAAAAGACTCGATCTCATGCCTCTTCATCTCCAAATGGGGTTGCCTGTTCTTTCCAGTATTGGCGAAGATACACTCTATCATAGAGTGACGTTTGATGGTGATAACTCAAAGAAGCTTGGCTTATCTGAAGAGGGAGTGGTGAACTACTTGAACGCTGGTATTCCAGATATAAAGACCGCTCTGCAGCTTATCAAGATGCAGTTGAACTTCCATTACCTCTTGATTAGGTCGCTGAACTATTTGAACTTTGTCATTGACCGTGAACTTACCCAAGGATACTATGTCAAGATTGCCAATATCTCCAGGGAAGTACTTGCCTACTTTATTCTCATTTTCGAGCACATTGGTGAATCTGCTGAACAGACTGATTCTGGATTTGGCGCAGGCGCAAACGAATCGTCAGTTTACAACTCGTTCTTCAGTGATCCTAAAAGAATGGCAGCGGGAGTTATGTCTCCAAGTCTTGGACTTGATGTTGATGAGGATGGATTTGTCATTAATGACTTCTCGGTTAAAAGAAGAAAGCTGTCTTTGGCACTGGGAATGGCTGGAAGAATTAAGAGAAAGGAAATTCAAGCGTCTCCATATAACTCCATGCTCAACGGTCTTTCACTTACGATTATCAACTTCAAGAAGTCAATTGTACTCCAAATGCTTTACCTTCTCATTTGCACACTCAAGATTGCAAAGAAGGGAGGTGTTATGAGTGCCGATACGATCCGTGTGTTGAACCGAAGCATCAGTCTTTTCATTAAGATCTTCATCAACTACCAGCCCAACGCCAACAAGTACATGAAAACGAAGAAAGTCAAGGAAGACGATTTGTTCAAGCGTATCATCAACGACGAGCTTCGTGACGAAATCTTGAAAGATAAGCGTCTGGCAGAGGATTCGGATGATGACGATTTTGGTGAACACGATATCGACTGGGACGACGAAGATATGGATGAAGATCTCAAGTACCTCAAGGTTCTCAAGTATGTCAAGTACAAGACAAACTTATTATTTGAAAAGTCACAACAGCAAAGAAGAAGAAAACAGGAATTGGAAAAAGACCAACGAACCCTGCAACCACCACCACCGCCACAACCCCAGCAACAAATGCATCTGCTCTCGCAGCCTATGGAACAACAGCATTCTAACCTTCAACCAGGCTCTACTCCAGTGCATGATCCAACCAAGTCTTCCGTGCAGCTTCCTCCAATCATGCCATTAAGCATGGGAATGTACCAAAACGCCCAGGGAGGGTCTTTACAATACTCTGGACCCCTCTCCCCAACCATTTATGGCAGACAAAGCAGCATTTCCAAAGCCAACGGACTCAATAACAATCTTTACCTTGGCGAAGGTGCTCTCAAAGATAACGAAGTAAAAAACGAAGACGTTGCTAACGATTTGATGAACTTAAGGCACGGAAGGAGTTTTGGAGACCAAGGCGCAGGATCATCCTGATCACATATGTATTATACTTCTAGCATTTCAAAAATATCATTCAAAAAACTATTCTATTCTTTTTCTTCAAAAGTATCATTCAAAAAGCTATTCTATTCTTTTTTCATCATTCTATCATTCTATTTGTAATTACTCAGGACCATCAATGATACACTTGACGGCACCGCCAGCACGAACATGGTCGTAAGCTTTGATGGCGTCCTTAAACGAGAATCTGTCTGTGATCAAAGCTTCAAAATCAATGGTAGCGTTTTCCTTGCCGTTCTTATAGTTTTCATCCAAAATGGCCACAGACGTCTTATAGTCGCCAAAGCCGTACCTGAACGAACCGTGCAAGGAGATTTCCTTCGTAGCAAGCTCAGTAATTGGGAACTTCACGTACCCGCCAGCGTTACCCACCTGAACGTACCGGCCAGCCCGAGTCAACGAAAGCACACCTTGCTGAATACACACTTCAGCACCAGTACACTCCAAAACGACAGTAGGAGCGTGTCCCGAAGGGAAATCTTCACTAACAGCTTTCTCAGAAGTCTTGGAATTGATGGTATGTGTAGCAGCACCCATATCCTTAGCCATTTGCAACTTATTATCGAAAATATCCACCACGGTCACCGAAGCAGCACCAAACTTCTTCGCCACAGCAGCTGCAAGCAACCCAACAGGTCCAGCACCAAACACAAGCACATGGTCGCCAAACGAAACCTTAGCAAGGCGAGAAGCATGGACTCCCACACTCAACGGTTCCACAAGTGCACCCATCTCAAGCGACACATGTTCAGGCAACTTGACCAAAAAGTCCTCTGGCGACTTGAAGTACTTGCACAACGTTCCCGGCGGGTTCTGTTTATTTGGGTTAGACTCTGGCGTCGCCGCAAACACCATATGGGGACACAAGTTATACTTGCCAGCCTTATACTCTTTGCTCAACCGAGAAGGCACACCAGGTTCAATGGCCACCTTATCGCCCACCTTCAAGGAAGTAACGCCCGAGCCAACTTCTGCCACCACACCAGCAGACTCGTGGCCCAACACCATAGGCTTGGTCAACACAAAGTCTCCAATCTTGCCATGGGCATAGTAATGGATATCTGAGCCGCAGATACCGGTTTTCTTGACTTCGATAAGGACATCGTGGGGTTGGGTGAGTTTTGGAGCGTCAAACTCTTCGAAAGAGATATCGTCGATTTTGTTAAGCACGAGGGAAGGGTTTTTCATGGGAAGAAGAAGTGGTGGGAGGAGGTGGAAGGTGGAAGTTTAAAGTGAAAAATAGAGTGCGGTAGGTGATTGCGTGGGGTAATGGTGGGGTGATCTACGAAGAGGTAGGTAAAAGAACGGGGAGGAGTTTTAGAGGGTTTTTGGTGGTTTGGGGACGCTCAGGGTGGTCAGTTTAGGGGATGGGCTTTTTTTGGAGGTTTTTGGGCCGGTTTTGGGGGTTTTGGGTGGAGGTTTGGTGATGTAGAGTGGCTCCGAAAGTGGTTCCACCGCAACGAAGCTGGAAGTGCTGGGAATGACAAAGAAACGGTGGAAATTGGAAGATACGGTAAAGAGGGTTGGTTATGGCCGATGGGATTGAAAATTTAGGGAAAACCTGATTTTTAAGACACCTTTTGGTCTTTTCAGTGGTCCTTCTCTATACCCACTTTTCGCAGCCAATACGTCAAAATGGGTGCAAATCGAGAAACATACATGAAACCAACAACTACACTTTCTCTACAAATCCAGTACCAACCAAAATGCAACATGCATAAACCAAAGTAAATAAACGTAGAACTGTAAATAGGGTATAGGGTGGAAAAGAAGCCGATGGCCATTGGTTACAGATAACCTAGGGCTAAGCAGAGGCCAGGGGAGATCCAGAGTCCTTCGACTCACGATGTTGACCTTCGGCCAACATCGTTCGTTTACATCCTCACATACGACGACGACGAACCCTCTGAAACCCTCGACGTCCTCCTGGTAGCCTCCCCCGACGAAGTCACCCTCGAGACCAGCTCAGAGTCGATTTCATCATAACTCTCTGTAAAGTCAGATTCAGATAAATGCGCCAGCTGCCAGCCGTCCATATCCCAATCATCCGTCAAAATGCCCTCTGTTTCGCTATTTTCAGGCCCTGAAGGGTCAGACTCATTGTCGTCTGTCTCGTCTGTCTCTTCACTTCTCTGTCTTCTGGCGGCCTCCTCAGGATGTGCCCTTTCTTCAGGCCTTTCCCTGTCAAAATCAAACTCGCCATCGTTCAAATGAGCCGCCATCTGAATCTTATTCTTTTCTATATGTTCGTTGCAGAAATCGGCCCCTTTCTCAAACAACTCTGCAAACACCTCTAGGATCTTATCCTTGTTAGCCATAACAGCCACGGTGCCGCCAACCACAGCACCGAACGTGAGCGCCACCTTGGTTGAAAAAGCCAATGTCACAACCATGTTTTTCTTAGTAAAGCAAAGAAGAAGAGTAGGTGGTAGGTAGTTGGATAAGTGACAGAGATTATGCGCCTTCCCGATAAGTTACATGCCGTAAGGGGCAAGTATAAGGGTTTCCGGGGGTAGTTGGAGGAAGACTTTGAGAGAAAGGAGAGAGAAGGTGGGGGCTGATTGGGAATGAAGAGGATGAAATGTACCTGGTGGTGTCTTTTTTTGGGGGATTTTGGTGAGTTTTGGGAGATTTGATGGGGGTTGGTTGGTGGTGAGGCTCATAGTGAAGGATGGTCTGGGGGAACGTTGATTTGGAGGTGGAGGGGGTGGATCTTGGAGAAATAAGGTTAAAGGAAGTGAAAGGGGAGTATTGGGGTGTTTTGGAGGGATTTGGATTGCTGGGTGTGGAAGTGTTGGTGGGGTGGTACTGGATGAGGACCATGAGAAGGGAGGTTGTTCTTTGGGCGGGCCAGATGGGTAAAGAGGTGTATTGGGATAAAGAGAAGGTATAGAGGATGCTGTTTAATAGCTTTAGGGGCTTTGAAGGGAGTTGGGTTGGTGGTAAGGGATCGATTAGTGGTGAGATGAACGAGAGTGGGACTTAGGGTGGTAATTCCGGTAAGATGGCTAGAAGGACACAAGTAATGGAAACGATTTTTTCTTGGGGTTGATTTAAAGATACAAAGAGGCTTCAGGCACTGTCAGGAGCTTCTTAATGGGAGAATTGGATATGGCTGATGAGACATGCCAAAAGACTAAACTTCATGATTTGGAAACACCACACGACACAGAGCTTCTGAAAAGCAACGATTAGTTCTTTTGGAATTTTAAGGAAACGATGTGGACTATACTTGATCTTCTATCGACTTCTGTGGACTTTTTCATATTGCCTAGTGGCGAGCTTTTTCAACTTTCCATCACGAAAGAGGCTGTTTATGGAAACCAAAATACAACCATTCAAAAGCTCAAACTTTACTTTATCAAGAAAAGCTCTTCCTGCTTTCCAGGCTCCATTACCCATAAAAATAGAGAGAGATAAAAACTTTAAACGCTTTTTTTTTTTTTTTTTGTTAACTGTGTATTAAGAGGACGCCTTACGGCACGAAAACTATATCACTATAGAAAACACAACCCCTTAATCATCGGGTTTACAAGGACTTCCTCATTGCCGTCCGGCTCGAAACACCCCCGTCTGAACTTCAGCTTGAGTGTCTCTATAACTCTGTCCTTGCGTTGTAGCCTGCTCGTATGGTATTATATTCCCATCGGCAGAACCTTCTGCATCACGCCTCTAACTCCGTCAAATTTTGAGATATCACAAATCCAAAACTACAGTCATAACCGCAGAACTCAACTAAACATTTTTAAACCATCAAAACTTCCAATATTTGCCGTCCTGCCAAAACATGTCTCATGTAAGCACCCACTGACCTTCCCTTTCAAGATGGTTTCGTGGTCTAGTTGGTTATGGCATCTGCTTAACACGCAGAACGTCCCCAGTTCGATCCTGGGCGAAATCATTCTTTTTTTTTTTCGCCATTGTGCGCACCGTTTTTTCCGGTCTTCATGCCCATGTGATTTATGTCCTACAGAAAACGCAAAAAAATGATGTTGCCACCGCCACTGGAAAAACCCAGATCCTGCAAATTTATTATTAAACCACAACGTTGAAAAGGAACATTAACCTTTTCCAGATCTTTTATTATTTTATGGAGGCTTGTACTACCTGCAGGCATGGCCTTATCTTAGCTGGAAAGTCCCACGAGGGGAGTCCATATTAAGTAGATCTTGGTTCTACTTTGCATTGTTTCCCCAGTTTTCACAGTGTAGTACGGCATAGAAGACGCCTTATATGCAAACCTGGTGTCACTCCCTGCACTGATAGCGCACCTCGCCAGGACCCGTTTCCACACTTTTTTTGCACTTTCCCCGAGGAGTATATAAGTACCCCCCAGTTTCCCCCATTTTTTTTATTCTTCAACAACTTTTCAAAAGTCATGGTGTTTACTAAATTTTTCGATTCCTTCAAGGCCCAGCAGCAGGCAACAATTCCTCAGAAACAACCCGTCGTCGTTGACGATACTGCTGCTTTGCTTCAAACCAACCAAAGCCCTGAACCTCCAAAAAGAAGATGGAGTTATGTCACTTATTTGGATGCTGGCACTTTGCACAGCCAGGACGATAACTTGATGGTGGGGTTGTAAGCAGCGCTGGCGTTGCGTGGAGGTTCAATGGAACCTCTTGTTTAGCATTAGCATATTAAATACACATGAGCTGGGTCTCTAATACTTTGCAATCTTTGGGTGTAAGTTTGTAGGATGGCTCTGTGAAGTCAAGGAGGGTTTTGTTGGATGGTGCCAAGTCGTTGACGATTTCAAAGAGTGTTTCTTGTGCCAAACGACGTATTTGGGGTGTTTTAGCCTGGAGGTAGATCTGACAAACTCTCTGTCTGGCCTTGGACGTCACTTCGCTGGGCAAAACACTCAAATAGTGGAAGATTTGAAGCACCAAGGCAGTTCTCATCGCTGGAGCATTGAGCTGGAGGTTATAAGCACGGACGAAAAGGGCATTAGGGTTCCATTGGTCTGGGAAGGCTAAAGATGCATCGAAAAGCTTAACAAACAAGTTTAAAGTGGCAAGTAACGTTTTCTGGGTCCGCTGATCCAATTGTGGGAAAGGCTTGGCAAGCTTAAGTTGGCGAAGTAGGATGGAAATCATTTCCTGGCGGTCTGAGTCTAAAGCAGAGTCATACCAGATGAGTAACTGCCTGAAAGCCAGGTTTGCCAAGGCTTTAGAGACTTTTAACCCAGCCACAGAATGAACCACGCCTTCCCAGAACGCAGGGCGATGCTGCTCAGGTAGGTTTCCATAGAAAGTGAAGAGTTTATGGAAATACTCTTCATAAGTGATAGGTCTCACTGATTCGTACGTTTCTCCAGTCAAAAGACTAAATGCCATGGATCTGACGCTGTCCATGGATTCAGCAGCAAGACGGACCAATTTGTACTTGACAGAGTCGTCAATTGGGCCTTGGTGGTCTTGGAAGTGCCTGAGACACGCAAACCTGATTTGCAGTCCCACATCACCTTTATTAGTTAATGTATAGTCATCAAGAAGATCCAAGAAGGGAAATTCGGGTTTGTAGGTGAATGTGGTTCCGTTGGCGGTTAATCTTGGATTGTTTTCGATTAGAGCTGCTCGGGTTTCGGCGTCCACGGTCTTATCAGAAACTAAAAGCATCATTTGCTGTAGTTGGGGCTCATTGAGGTTCTTCCAGGGAAGCTGGCGGGCTATAAGAACGCTTCCAAGCTTGACTCGTTTACGAATATCCTCAAAGACTTCGCCTAGAATGGGTATGCTGCTGGAGATGTCTGTAGACGTCAATACAACCGGTTTAAAGTCACCTTTTAGGGAACTCTCATTGGTAATTACTGGAACCAACAAGGCCCAGAACGCTTCCTGAGCTTCTATATCTCCTTCGTCAGCAGCCAACCGTGAACTGTACCAGTACAAGTGACACACTTTATGGCCAAACTCTGAATGGTGAGAAAGCACCAGGTTCGTATCTAGACGAAGCAGAAATGGTTGAATGTCTAGTTTACGACTTCTTAAGAGCCCTCCTAGCGGCAACAAACAAAGCAAGTTTCCAGCTTGTAAGCTTTCGTAAAGAACCGCCTGGTACTCCAGTCCATCTTGAGAAACATCTAAACCAACCGTAAAACCATCCCCATTCAGTTCAGCTTCAATTAACTCAACCAACAAGCTCGAACACCTATAGTAGTACCCAAACGAAACCTCTTTAGACGATAGAACATCTACAAGCGTAGGAACCATAAGCAGTGCTGAGTACCCACACTTAACAAGATCTGTACCTGTGAGAGCCTTATCTGAATCCAAAAGAAGTGTTGTACGTTCCACCAAAAGCCTTCTTTGCTGTTCGCTGCTTTCCACGCTCAGTGCCAATAAAGGACCAAAACGGCCTATGAACTCTTGAAGAACAGGCAATGCACAACGACGAATAGTATAATCCTCGTCACAAAGAAGCACCCGAAGTATATCTGCCCAAGTATCATGCACCATTGATTTGTTAGTTAAAAGCACTTTAAAGTCATCTTGGGAGAGTGATCTGAATAATGCCCAGAGACAGAAACACGAGGCGTCTCTGATTTGAGAGCCCTGGATGACTGAGTGTTTGATATAGGATAAAAAAAGACTCTTATGGGTTAGTGAAAGAAGAATAGGAACAAATTCAGCATGAAGTACCCTGTTGAGACCCAAAAAGCCGTAGAAAAGAAGCGCTGTATGGTACTTTGTCACAGACAAGTTCGTCGAGTCAATAGTAAGATCTGGGTTATATGATGTTGGACGAGACTCCAATTCTGGAATACGAAGCTGTTTGGTAATAAACCATATGAGTTGCTGGGCGTAATTGACTGCTCTGAGTCGAAGAAAAGACACAATCTTACTGAGACACTTGGCCATGGTTTCTCTTAGGGTGATATCAAACCGACTGGATAACGGGTTGAGGATATCGTTAATAAGATTATTCACAATCCCAGACACTTTCTGGTAGTCTGCCAGGATTAGGTAGAATCTGGCTAGGCGTGAAAGAATCCCCATAATGTATAAGATATTAGTATTTGGAATCAGCGTATCCAAATGGAACTTGATCGCCAGCAAGTCCATAAGGACAATTTTTTCATAGATTTCCGGTGCCAAAGCAGCCACTGCCGTGCTGGACGAGTGTTTCAAGATCAACTTGAGTGCCATTAAGTGTCCTAGCTTCCTTCCATGGTCCCATTCAGGCCACAGTTCACAGCATGTAGAAAGGTACATTTTAAGCTGTTCAGCACCGTCAGATCTCGTTAAAAGACGTGAAAGTAAAACAGCACTTATCTTCTGGGTCATACTGGCACTTCCATACTTCTGTAGGTTCTCAATAGAAACATCATACAAGAACAGCAGAAGCCCCGAGCGTATATTTTCCAAAGGAAACGGCACCATAGTAAACGAAGCAAGCCAGAGAAGAAGCAAGTACGTTTCAAATTCCCCAATACCTTTATTCTGGATCCTCAGGATAAGTGTCTGGCCTAGACTGACGTCATTAGATAAGAACCCCACCACATGCTTATAACTTCGAACCACGCAAAGCTGGTAGAAGCAGCTGGATGTTAAGGAGGCCAACACCGAGCCTGGTTCGCTTTTAAAGTAAATACAGCTCAATACATCAACATGTTGTTGCAAGTACTCATCGAGACGTTTTGGCAGCAGCTCGAATTCCGTGACCAAGTCCTTGACTTTGGCGATACAAGGTCCACAAAGAAGCTCTATTTGGTCGAGAGGCAACCCCAGGTCGAGTCTTTCGTTGGTTGATCGTAGAAGTCCCAGGATCTCTTGGTTGATCTCTGTGTGTCTCAGTTCTTTTGAGATAGTTGTCATGGCAGGGACAAATGAGGGGAAGGCGAGGTAAATAGTGAGTTTAAAGGGCAGTACTGAGGCCCTGGAAGTATTGGAATCTCGATATAATGACGGAAAGGGTGGAAACAGGCGTGTTTTGGCTTGTAGTATGGTGAATACTATGGCTGCGAAGCCTTAACTATGGGGAAAGTGGGGTACCCGCAGATGGCGAACCAGACGTCACAGAGAGAAACCAACAACACCACTGTAATCAGGGAAAAAAACGGAACCAGAATCACTTTTAAAAACTTCAAATATGCCCCAAAATGGGGGATTTGGCGGAGGGTTAAATGACCTGGGGTAAGCTGGTGTACGGATGTTTCCACCACTTCCATACACAATTTTCCAAAATTTTCAATCCTCATAGTTAACAAACCAACTAACACTTCCACCCCCATCTACACAAACATGTCCAAAAGCTTGTTCTACCGTATAACCCAACTAAGGTCGACCATCGGCATGCCGCCAGTGACCAAGAAAAACATCAAGGCGCTCGGCTTAAGAAGAAGAAACCAAACAGTATACCAGAGAGTTTCAGCTGCCACTGCCCACAGACTCAGATTGGTGAAGGAGATGGTTTCCATTGATTTGCTAAAGGAACCAGAGGTGGAGGAGTCGAAGAAACTCGATAAGCCCAAGTGGGCCAAGGGATTTACCCAGGTCGGTAAGTTGTAAGAGATAGAGTGAGAGATGAGAAGAGGAGGATGTATCTGGTGAAAGACGAAGCCAGGCTAATTCAGAGCATAGAACGCCCGTGTGCGTCCAGTACTTGTAAATATACGGTTACGGTAAGGTTTTGTAGGGAGAGGGAGAGGAGGGAGGTGATGGGATGAGCAGAGGTGATGGAGTGCTGGGGGAAGAGATGAGGAGGAGATTGCTGGGGAGTTTTAAGGGGAGGGTGGAAAGAAAGGGGATGGTTTTGTATTGTTTTTGGCGGCGTTGTATGGAGAAACTGGAATGTTCTGTGGTTGTTGATGGAAGCATGGTATGGTGAATGAGGCTGGGAAGGATGTGTTCATTTGATCTTCAACAGGCACCCAGTGGGTTGGAAAGTACAAAGTACTCAGATTCTACTACTTTGGAGACGATTACGGGATTTTTTGAAAGGAAGAGGGTTTATTTGTTGTACTTTGCTTCCTGAAGAACCTCCATTGCCAGTGGTAAAGCTACAAGAACGCAACTGGAGAAGAAAGGGTCTTCTTTCCGTTCATTTCTTTCCCTCAATAGCTCTTGAAGGTTTCCTTATTTTTGAAATATGAGCCTTGGTATACTTACAGCTTCCAGGCCAAACATCAGTCTTTCAATATCACCACCAACTCAACCCATAGAACCATTCCATACAAACTTCCTCTTAACGTAACCCTCCCATATTTACCCAAAAGCCTCCAAATTAAGTATACAACAAATTAAGTACCTTTTCAATTCATACATCTCCATAAACTTACCCTTTCTACGTCTCTTACTCTTACCCTCCAGTTACCTACATCCAACCGTCCAACCCCCTCTTGCAACTACCTTTCTCCCTCCAAAAAACCCCAAATCACAACCAAACCAACCAAAGCCAAATCCATACTTCCTTTTAAACACCTCTTCGCTTCCACCCAAAGAAGCCATTTATCTAAACGATCAGCAAACTGTAAACTGTCTTTTTCGCAGCCACTCACCTTCCTAACCATCCATACTTTTCCACCCAAACGCCCCAAAACTCCCAGAAAAAACACTCCTATACAACCAGAACCTCCCAATTAACCACCCTACCAACTTCCACCCTCCTCCCACCTTCCTATCCTCCGTTTCGAATTCACAGCTGGTGATTGGATTCTTCAAACCTTCACGTCCTGCATACAACCCCTCGCTCAATCAAACCGTTTTTTTCCTATTCTCCGGCATCAGCCTCTCATTATAATCAACTATTCTTCTTTCGTGGTATCATCTATTCCTCCACTAACTACCCGATCCACCCGGATTACCCGATATATTCATTACCCCACTTCCCACGAACCCTTGCCCGGTCGTGAACTATAAATACCGGTCCATTTCCGCAAGAACTGGCCTTCGTTGGATTTTTCACCAACAACAACCCCCCCCTTCCTTCCTCCCTTAATTCCTTAATCAATATGTACATCAGGGCGTCCCAGAGAGGCAGGTTAACGCAATCCATCTTTACTTCCACGTTTGCCATTTGTTTCCTATTGGTGGGAGCCAACCAGATCGTTCCTTGTCCTGTTGATAGTGTTCATGGGAACGACTCTGTGGTCGACGAGAGGATGAAAAAGGCCCAGATGGCCAAGAAGGAGAAGGAGACGCAGAGCTGAGACATTTGAGGTTCGACGTTTGAGGTTCTACAAGATCATTTGTCGGCTACGCTTGCATTTTTACGTTGACGCCAGGTTTGGATAACCTGGCAGATTTCATGACAAATTTCATGACATGCACTTTTTTTTTCAGTACCGCCACGGTGCTCTGTATCATAACGTTCGGCGAAATGCCCAAAGGCTTGCCTTTATACATATAAATACTAGGATCCCATTGGATCCGTGATATCAGCCAATCACCACATCGCGTTTATGTAGCAAAATAAGGTGCTTTTTTTTCAACATCGTGCACGTGATGTTTAGGCACGTGCGTAATCACGTGTCAAATCACGTGAACCTCCCAAACCACCATAACCACCAAACCCATTCCAAACCCCTCCCTACTTTCTCTCGAAACCCTTTACCTCTTTATTTTACCCTATTTACACGCCCCCCGTCGTTTATACCCCCTCACCTACACCATTCCCAAATTCAATGTCTATACCGCATTGGGAAACAACATAAACACAAATAATTTGCTTGCCTAGTTGGTAAAACCCTTAACTAGATAAGCATCTGTCTCTGCTTCTCTCTTTCCCACACCATGAGTTCCCTTGCCTTGCCCTATACGTTCCCCAGGGCTCCCTCGGTGGACCCAGAAGCGCATAGCTTATCCAGAGATGCCCAAGTGAACAGAGATCTCGATATCAACGTGAGATATTCCGAAACCAAACCATCTGTGGCTCGTGAACCATACGTCAAGTGTTTCAGAAGCAACGAGAACAGCCCAGAGTCAATTGTGGTTCCACAGGATAACCCATTGGACGATATCCTTGGAGCTTCTCAACAAGCCATTGAAGCATATATCTTGGATATGCCATACACTAAGATGTTCACGCCAGCAGAGCCAAAGACACCTCCATTGAATAAAAAACGGTCTCGCAAGATTCTCGATGGAAAAAAAGAAAACAAGCAAGCAGAAGATGCTCGGGTTCCAAAAGCCAGAAAGACACCAGTCAAGGCTCGTCAGAGCTTAAAGAACAGTGTTTTAAGACAAGAACACGGGAAGAATAATGACCAAGACGAAGCTGACGTTTCAATCCAAGACCCCTTGGCGTGTCATGCAGAAAATATCATGAGAATGGCCATGGACTCGACCATGATGAGTTCATTCAATAACAGTTTCTCATCGACCTTTTCCAACCTTAATGAAGATTCAATTTTAGGCAAAAGAAACCTCGACAAGGAGAACAGTTTCGGGCCCTCGGGAAGGGCAGCGCCGGTTCTTGATAAGCTGAAGAGCACATTGGTGGAAATCAGTGCTCTGGACTTGGAACAGGCCGTCAGCGAGCCATACTTTAAGTAGTTTTAGTTAAAATGTTATTGAGATACCCGGAATCCCTGATATCCATTTCGTAGTACTTGTTGCGGTTGGCTTTTTCTGTTTCGGTGTAGATTTCTGGTTCCAGGATGCTGCTGGTCCGGATAGTCACTTGTTTCTTCTTCATGAGCTCTTTGGTTTGTTCAGATAAAGGAACGTTGTGCTCTGAAGCTTGGGAGACGTAGTATTGCACGAGCTCGTTATCCTCTTCTCCCTTCATTGCAGAAGATATAAGGTCTCCATAATGAGCAGAAGTTATGGTAAGACCTGAATTGGTGATATGCTGGTATAGCTTGTACCCTAGGTACTTTGCAGCTGGTGAACGTGATACCGTTCGTAGGATTATATCGTACAGGTCTTGGTTAAGCCATTCCGAAACCACATGTGGGTTGATATGGTGCATGGCTTGAAGAGCAACAACTGTGCCTGTAGCGTTCTGGTACTTCATGATATGGTGAAGCAAGCAGTTGATAAATATAGTCAACGTTGGTTTGTTATAGTTTTCCAGGAGAATGTGCTGGAGAGTGTCTCTCACGAAGAAATCTAGGATCTCTGCGTTCATAAGGATGTTTCCCTTTTTGGAGGTATGCAAATTGCCATTCAGCACTTTCTGGGGCTTGACGCCGGTTTCATCTTCTTCGAGGAGTTTGTTTTCGAGGTAATTTGTCTTGCGCCGTTCGGCTGCTTCCGTATTGGCATCCACAGCGTTGTATCTCATGAAACGGTACGACATGGCTTCACAGAGATCTCTATAAGACAAGTCAAACTCGGCTGAAAGCTTGCCGGTGAAGTTGTTTATCACTCGAAGGGTGTTTTCGATGCTGGCGTCCTTTCCTGAAGGCACGTCTTCGTCGTGGTAGCAATAAGAAACGATGATATCTAGACATAGCTCTTTGGTGAGTCCTTTCTCGCCCTTGAACGATTTATGGAGGTAATGCCATTCAATTAATGCTAAGGTGGAGTTGACGTCACCGTTTGATGCCAAGGTACGTAAGATTTCAGTGAGTGTCCTTTCACTAAGCGACGAAAGCACCTCATTCTGTTCATCCATCTTAGTGAACATCAACTCATCTAGAGAGACATTCTCCAAACCTTTCATAATGAGACGAGAATAAATAAGCTTGACGAGCCCGTAATGGTTTAACTGGAGGCCTAGGCCCAAGAACTCTGTCCAGACATCGTAGCCAAAGAAAGACGGATCCGAATCCAAGACTTTTTCAAGCCATTTAGCTAACAAATCCACATCCTGATGCAGACTCATCGCCAGCAAGACCTTCTTTGTTGGAAGCAACGCAAACACTTCGCCTATCGCCAGACTCTCCCTTAACCTTTCCACAGCCTCTTCAAATAAATCAATTCCTCGCGTATACTGGCCTGAATTAAGGTATACCGAAACGAAAGCACCAATGTATCGAGCTTCAAGCCCCCTCTCCAACCCCAGTCTCGTCATATACTTCTCATAAACCATCTTCAACTTCAAAAGCTCTGCAAAGTCTCGACAATTACCAAACACCTCTAGAAGAAGCACAGCAGCCATGTTCCGGTCCCTGGCCGTACTAAACACCTTCTGCTCGTGCATTTCCACATACAACGCAAGCGCCTTTCGAACCAACGACCGGTCTTTGCTTGTTCTTATAGCCTGTAGTGTAAGCAAGTACATCGCTGGAGTCACCAACCGCTCAGCACCCAAAGAACCCACGATATCTGCCACTTCAAGCACCAACCGAGGCCTTCCCGCCATCCCATGAAAGAACAACGCCTCTTCTACCAATCCAGACCTAATTTGAGCCTTTCCAGACCTCTTTTGTATACTTTTCAACTGTCCCTGGTACTCAGTACTAAACGCTCTGGCATCCTCCACCAGCACGTCTCCAGCAAACAGAAGCAAGTACGGAAGCGGCGGGACCTTCTCCACACCCCTAACTTCCCTAAACCGCTCGCCAATGGCCTTCAAGCACGCCCTGGCGTTGCCTCGAACCATATCCACCAAAGTAGTACTAGTACACTTGAACTAGCGCGCAGCATCACCACTTCTTCTTCTACTACTACTTCTTCTTCTATATCTTGGAATGCTCAGGAGAGGGCTTGCTACGGCTACGAAAGGCCAGTTTACGGTGTTTGACAGAGCCACCAAGCTCAGACAGAGAAGTCGGGCGGCTCTAAAGGTGGATGCTTCACGTAAAGCTGATTACCTTAGAGATGAGGTCTCACTTAGGACCATTGAACGGTTGGGGTTTATTCTTCGTGAGTTCCCCAGAGTGCTTGATTTTGGGTGTCATTCAGGCAATTTCATTAAGAGCTTGTGTACGCCGCTGGAGGTGCCGCCTGGCGGTGACCAGGCAGATGTGGAGATGACCAAACAGCTTAATGAGGATAAGGCTAAGATCAGGAATAAGATCGAGGAGTTGGTCATGGTGGACTCGTCGGCGAAGATGTTGTTTAGGGATGCAGACGAGGCGTTCAATAAGGAGTTTTCAGGGAAGATCCAGCGGGTGGTGGCGGACGAAGAGGCGTTTGAAGATGAGGTGTTCCAGCCGGAACTGTTTGACGCTGTGATTTCAAATCTCTCGCTTCACTGGATCAATGACTTGCCGCAGACGTTGAAGAATATCAATACGGTGCTTAAACCAGATGGAATGTTCATGGGAACGATTTTCGGTGGAGATACGTTGTATGAGCTTCGTACGTCGTTGCAGTTGGCTGAGCTTGAAAGAAGAGGCGGCATGTCGCCTAGGATGTCGCCGTTGGTGCACTTGAACGATGTTGGGTCGCTTCTTAACCGTGCTGGGTTTTCTATGTTGACTATAGATACGGAAGATATCGTTGTGGGTGGGTACCCAGACATTGTGGCGATGTGCCAGGATTTGCAGAACATGGGGGAGCAGAACAGTTTGATTTCGAGGGCTAATCACTTGCCTAAAGATGTTTTGCTTGCTGCTAACGAGATTTGTAAGAGTTTGCATGGCGAGGAAGGGCCAGACGGGAAGGTAACGTTGCCTGCAACGTTTAACGTGATTAATATGATTGGATGGAAGAAGAGCGACGCCCAGCCGCAGCCGTTGGCCAGGGGCACGGGCCAGGTGAACCTTAAGGATGTGTTGTGATGAAGTGGGCAGTGTAATGGACAATTGATTGGGTGTGCTGATAGGACTACGGTTGTCTTCGCTGGTGAGCATGCCAAGCGGGAGGAGTCGTCGGAGGGGAAGCTCCGTTGGATTTGTCAAAGGATATTAGTTGTTTCAGAGTTGGTTGTTTCTGGAAATCGAAGGTTGTCGTGTAACGATGGAAGCAGGCAAAGGAATGGATCTAATTGGAACTACAAGTTCACTTTGAATTCAAAGACACTGATTAAGTCATCTTTGGTTTAAAAAGAGACTTCAAAGGCCATACCTTTCGGAACCATCCAAAGATGCCATTACCGGTTATACCACCGTCACCACTTGTTTATAAACTTTACCGGTTCTGGTACTTTGCATGGGTCCTAAACCAGGGAATTTACGTGATTTGGATTCGTTTTGCTTTCAAATAAAGACTCTTCGGGCATTTCATGCGTTCATCATGGTATGGAGTTATCGGGACTAGATCAACTCGTATCTCCGGAGATAAAGAACTCCGGAGACTTCTACGTCGCCTGAATTGCAAAGTTCTACTGAAAATGACACTCTTCGTGATCCAAAAGCAAAAAATCCTTTACGGCCACTTCGAGTCATTTGGAGCCTTCATTTCTCTATATCCGATTTGAAGAAGCAATTTTTTTTTTGTTGAAAGCATCCTCCAAACTCCCCAAACTCCACCAGACTTCAAATTTTAACTCAAACCAACCAGTTAATAAAATTCAAAACCCAAACTTTTTTTCGATTTTTCACTTTTTTATTTTTCCCTTTTTCTTTTCCACCACATTTTCCAAATATTCCCCAACCTCCACCCTCGCTTTTGTCTCACCTTTTCAAATGCACTGCTTATCAATTGACCCACATCTCGTGAACTCCCCGCCATTTCTGCGCCACACCATTGAAATACCAAACAAACACCAAAATACGACCTCCCACGCCATCCAGAACCCCAGAAAACCCCCAAAACCAAAAAAAGACGGTCCAAATCGGCTTAAAATCGATAAAGTTCGAATACTATTTATCCTCGGTTCCTGCATATACCACCCACACCCACCTCACTTATCATGTGGAGAAATCTCCAGATCTATAACTACCCCAGGTTTCGCCATCCAAAGAACCAAAGAAGAAGAAAGGAATAACAGAACAAACTAAAGAAACCAAAGAAACCCTTACATCTCTTGACCATGTCCAAGTACAAAAACTCAACCACCGTCAAAGACGGTCTGGTCAAACAACAGGTGATTCTCACCAACTACACCTTGGATTCGTCATTAGTGCTTCTTCCAGGAATCATATATAATGTGAGTTTTTCCCGGTTCAAAGCGGCGGCGTTGCTTTCTCGGTTTAAGGAGAAAGTCGACTCGGTCCAGTTGGTCAAGAGTCTTTTGTCTGAATACGACTTTGACTCTGCCTCTTCCGAGTCGTCTGCTATCAGTGAAGATGCTGCTGATGGAATCCAGCATTTTTACAATATGGAGCAGCAGACGAAGTTGAAGGGCGTGCCGGAGGTGAATAACGTGCAGCCGTCGTCGGAGTTTGACTGGCTTGTGCTTGCAGTGTCGCCTAACTTGAGTAAGATCCCGAGCCCGAAGTCTTTGCCTGAACTGGCGGTGGATTCTGCTGAAATGGCTACTATTGTGCGTGTGGTGGGTATTGTGGACGATACGACGAACGTGAAACTTACGTTGCAGGCGCTTCAGCGTGCTACCAAGGTGCCGGGCTATAAGCCTAAGAAACCTACTGAGAGTTTGCTTAAGGTGCACTGGAACGATAAGCTTGACGACCCTGCTAGTCATTTGCAGACACTTAAATCGTCTACGTCGATTTTGTTTAATGCTATTGATCGGTTTGTGACAGAGTACCGCCAGGCCATGCAGAATGCCGGCAAGAACGATGAAAAGAAGAGCGATTTGCTTACATTGAATCCTTTGGCGAATGCTTTGTTTTTGCAACTTGCGGGTTCGAAAGATTTCTCTAAGGCTTATTTGAGCTTGCAGAAGATCGTGTCGAGCTTGACATCTTCTGAAAAGTCTAATCCTAGGAACTTGCTGCGTATTGTGGACTTGACAGCTGCTATTATTCCTTTCCCTAACCACGAGAAGCTCAAGATGCTCGGAACCACAGAGTTGAAGGATAGGGTTGTGGAGATCAATGTCATGATCAGCAAAATGACTGAAGTGTTTGGAAATCTCAAGGAGAACAACAAAATGGTCAACCACTGGTTCTACAACGAAGCTTCGAATATCCAGAGAGCTAATATGGTGGCCAACCAGCTCAAGTCTATTCGTGTCGTTTTGGAAGGTCTCACTCAGAAGGGTAAGGAGAACAATAACAGTAACTCCAACCAGAAGGCGCTTGTTCGTCGTAAGGGCGGTGCTGGGCCTATTTCTTCGTCTAGAGGCGGTCCTAACGATCCTGAGTCGGTTGGCGACGATGACGACGGTGATGATGACGATATCCGTGCTATTGCAAACTTCATCAAGAACAGACTACCGGAAATTGTCTCGTTGAGCGAAGACAGCAAGCGTTTGATCACCAAGGATTTTAAGAGAATCAAGTCGTCTCCTCCTGGCAACGCCGACTTCCATGTCATTAGAAACTACTTGGAGATTGTTATGGATATGCCTTGGGATAAGTTTGTTTCCAAGTTCAAGTCCAACAAGGATATCAATATCGCAGAAGCCAAGCGCCAGCTTGACGAGGACCACTACGGCTTGGACCACGTGAAGAAGAGACTTACTCAGTACCTTGTGGTGTTGAAGCTTTTAGGTATCAATGCCGATAAGGAATACGAAAGATTAGGCATCAAGGAAGCTCAGCGTGAGAAAGAATTGCAGGCTCAACGCGAGAATAGAAAATTCACTAGAGAGTCCAACAATGGCGAAGCTATCATTATTCCTAACAATGACGAGACCAGACGTGCCAAGGAACAAGCTGACAATAGAATCAAGAAGTCTAGAGACATGACAAGCGCCAACAAGGAGAGAGACGCAAAGAACCTTCTTGCTTCCAAGAACAACAGATCTCCTATCATCATGTTGGCCGGTCCTCCTGGTGTTGGTAAAACGTCGCTTGCTAAGCTGATTGCTGGAACGTTGGGTAGAAAGTTCCAGCGTGTTTCTTTGGGCGGTGTTAGAGACGAATCTGAGATTCGTGGCCACAGAAGAACGTATGTTGGTGCTATGCCAGGTACGATTGTCCAGGCGTTGCGTAAGGCGAGATCCATGAACCCGGTGATTCTTCTTGATGAGATTGATAAGGTCGTTGGCGGGGCCAGCGGAGGAGCCAAGTTCAGTGGAGACCCAGCGGCAGCATTGCTTGAGGTTTTGGATCCAGAGCAGAACAACCAGTTTATGGACCATTACTTGGGCTTCCCTATTGATTTGTCCCAGGTGATCTTTATTTGTACTGCCAACGAGCCATACAACTTGTCTAGACCATTACTTGACAGATTGGAGATGATTGATATTGGTGCTTACGATTACAGTGAAAAACTCGTTATTGGCCAGAGATACTTGTTGCCTAGACAAACCAAGCGGAATGGGTTCCCTGATGATAACTTGGTTAGCATTGACGATGAGGTGATGAAGAAGATTGTCCTTGATTACACGAGAGAAGCTGGTGTACGTAATCTTGAGAGAAAGTTGGGTACGGTTTGTCGGTTCAAGGCGGTGGAGTTTGCTGACAGTCTTAATGACAGTGCCGTTCAATATAACCCTCGTGTGGAAGAGTACGACTTGGCCAAGTACCTTGGGCTTCCAATGCCGAACTTGAATAACGAGATTGTGGAGGTTCCACTTCAACTGGCCAAGTATGGCGTGGTGAATGGATTATCATACAATACCGACGGGTCCGGATCCGTTCTTATCTTTGAAAGCATTGGTTTCCACAATGAAAAAGGCGGTACTTCATTGAACATGACAGGACGTCTTGGCGAAGTGTTGATGGAGAGTGCCAAGATCGGCATGACGTTCATCAAGAACACCATGCATAAAGGATTGTGGAACGTTGATAATGCAAAGAAGGTGCTTGAAAAGCTCAACAACCTTGAAATCCACATGCATGTGCCCAGCGGTGCTGTTCAAAAAGATGGTCCTTCCGCAGGTATCACCATGGCGCTCTCGTTCCTCTCGTTGTTGCTTGAAAAGCCCGTTCCGCTGAATATCGCCATGACCGGTGAAATCACTCTCAGAGGACTTGTTTTGCCCATTGGTGGACTCAAAGAGAAGATGCTTGGAGCGCACCTCACCGGCCAAATCCAAAAGATCATTGTGCCACGCGAAAACAGACGAGACGTGATTGAAGAGTTTGTTCAGAAGATCAATGAGCCGCAGAGAATGAACGAGCTCTTGAGAGATAACCAGGATGTGAACTTCAAGAACACCTCTCCCGAAGACTACTTCTACGACAAGTACGGCGTGCGTGTGGTTTACGCAAAAGAGTTCTGGGACGTGATCAAACACGTCTGGGGCGACGAGCTCTTGGTGAAGGTGGAACAAGCGCGTATGGACGAGTACCACTTGTAAACACACAAAAGGAAGAGAAAGTCAATGCATGAAATGGTTGCAAAAAAGACATCGCGAAGATGTCGCAACAACAAACAATGCAGGCCGAGCCACCAACGCCAAAACGTCCAAAACACGAAACAACTCTCCAAATTGGAGATCCGGTACGACCCACCTTTTAACTAACAAATAGCAGAACGATTGATTTTTAACTACGGTGGCCAGTTTACTGGTTTAAACCCGTGCACCAAATGGGCATGTTCTCCCTATTTTTAGCGACACGCAGCACGGGATCCTCTTTTTCTCGCCTCGCCCCTTCTCGCGCCCTTTGGCCCTCCTTGACTCTCTGGTGATTCCTCTACAAAAGCCACTTTCCAAGATCAACTTTTCTGGAACAAACAACATCCTAAGAAAAAAAAGAGACATCTTTGGAAGAGCCTCATTTCTGACACTTTTCTTGATTTCCTTTTGACGTTCGCTTGGCAGGAAATGTGGTCGCTTCTATTTTTCATCTTTTTCGTTCCAGTCTGGGCCAGAAGAACCCTTTCGGCTTCATCCCTTGTCACATGTATGGATAACTCCCAGATCAGTCCTTCTTACTTTAAGGTTTCTTTTGATGCTGATAACAGGGCGCTCAAGTACAACTTGGACTTGAATACGGACATCTCGGGTAGGGTTATGGCCCACGTTCAGGTGTTTGCGTATGGGTTTGTGATTATTGAAAAGGATATCGATATGTGTGATATTGGCTGGAAACAGTTTTGTCCAATGTACCCTGGAGCGATGCAGATCGAGTCTGTGGAGTATATTAACAAGAATGACGTGGATATGATTCCTGGAATCGCTTATACGGTGCCTGATATTGATGCCGTGGTGAAGGTGATTGTGAAGAACCAGGATACGGGCCAGGTCTTGTCGTGCTTGCAGAGTTCGTTTACCAACGGGAAAACGGTTTCTCAGGTGGGTATCAAATGGGCTACGGCGGTCATTGCAGGTTTGGGCTTGCTTATCGCTGCGGTGATGTCTACGTTTGGTAACTCGAATGCTGCTGCTCATATCGCTACGAACGCTGTTTCTTTGTTTATGTACTTTCAGTCGGTTGTGGTGGTTTCCATGCAACACGTCCAGAGAGTGCCTCCAATCGCTTCTTCGTGGGCTGAAAATTTGGCCTGGTCTATGGGCTTGATCCGGACTGAGTTTATGCAAAAAATCTTTAGGTGGTACGTTCAGGCCACGGGCGGCACTCCAACGGTCTATTTTAAGAATGTCGATAAGCAGATTTTGGTGCAAAGAGCCCAGGAGTACGCTTCTCAACGGTACCAGCGTGATCTCAGCATGAGAGACCTTGATTTCGCTTTGAACTCGAATAGAAACTTGCGTGTGCTTAGAGGTATCAAGAGAATCGGGTATAATAACCATATTGAGCCTACATCCATTGTGGTGACGGGATTCACGTTTTTCGTGCTTTGCGGGTTCCTCTTGGTGGCTGTTTTGTTCTTCTTGAGGTCTGGCGCTGTTTTGTTGATCAGAATGAACTCCATGAACCCAAATAGGTTCTCCCACTTGAGAAAGAACTTTAGCACTATTTTGAAAGGTTCCTTGTTGAGGTACTTGTGGATCGGGTTCCCTCAGTTGGTGATTTTGTCGCTTTGGGAATTCACCGTTCAGGATTCTCCTGCTGTGATTGTCATTGCTGTTCTTTTCCTCATCACAGCTATTGGAATCATTTCCTTCTCGCTTTATCAAACCTGGAGATACGGTAAACTCTCCATCCAAAGACACTCTAACCCTGCGGCTGTTTTGTACGGTGATAGCAAAATCCTTCACAAGTACGGCTTCTGCTATACCATGTTCCGTGCCCAGAAGTACTGGTTTGGTGTTGTTATCATTGGCCACACCCTTCTCAAGGGTATCTTTATTGGTTTGTGCCAAGGCTCAGGCAAGACTTCCACGCTTGTGCTTTTCATTGTCGACTTGGCTTTTACTATTTTCTTATTCATCCAGAAACCATTTTTGGACAAGAGTTCCAACATTGTCAGCTACTGTGTTGCCGTGGTGACCACAGTGAACTCGTTCCTTTTCGTTTTCTTTTCCGAGCTTTTCGGCCAGCCCGCCCAGGTTTCGTCCATCATGGGCTGGATCTTCTTTATCATGAACGCTGCCTTTTCGTTAATCTTGTTGATCATGATTCTTGTGTTGATGGGCTTCGCCTTGTTGTCGAGAAACCCAGACTCCAGATTCGCTCCAGCCAAGGACGACAGAACCTCCTTCTTGAGAAAGTCCTCGGTCAAGAGATCTTCCAGAAACTTGCGTGGTGAAGACAAGGCCAACAATGAATTGTTTGCTTTGGGTGCTGCTGCACAAGACCACTCTGACGACTGGGAGAATGAAATGCACAGATTGAACGAGGTTGAAACCAGCTCAATTTCCTCCCACGACCATTCTCGTGAAGATGAGAAGTATGCCTCGGTGAATGAACTCTCCAGACCTGCTGTTGAAACAGAAGAAGGCGAAGAGGAAGAGAAGAAGACCGCCGTGGGCAAATTCAAAGACAAGATCACGAGAAAGTTGTCGACGAAAAAAACCGATCGTAACTTACGATTAAGCGATACCATGAAGGAGGAAGATGCACACATCAACCTGGATTCGCTTACACACATTAACCAGCACGCTCGTGCAGACTCCCATGTTTCAGATGCTGGGTTCTCGCAATACTCGAGCAACCGCCCTACGGAAGGCAAGGATATTTTGTAACTTCGACCAGACGATTATTTTTCTTGAGCCACAATTGGCTTCTTTTTTTTTTGCTTGAAAAGCGTTGTATACTAGTTTGGGCCTTTGTTGGAAGCCCCCCAAAAGGATTGAATTTTTTGAAGATGACCAAGTGTAGACGAACGGTTGAGCTGCGAAAGGTAATGAGCAAACCTGGCCTCTTCCTGAAGTCTCTGTTTCTTCTTGTTGTTCCCGTTGAAGCTGAACCAGTTGCCGAGTTTGACCAATGGAGCTGTGGTGAGTTTATGGATATACTTTGCCAATTTCGACGATGCCACAGACATCCTATGGACTTCACGATCGGTGAATGAATAGTCTTCGTTGACTAAGACGTCTTGTGCCCACAGCGACGCTTCTTTTGGTCCAAATCGAGGGTCCATTGGTGAAGCTGTTTTGAGGTACGGAATGGACTGGGAAACGGAAAGTGGTGATGATTTCCAGTGGAAAGTGCCTTTGGAAGAGTCGTCAGCCACTACAGGTTTCACGGGAACAGCAGAGGAGCAGGGAATCGACGGCGGTTCAGCCCCAGAGTTGTAGTTCTTGATATACTCTTGTTTCTGAGTGGAAGTTAAGTTGCACTGGAAAAGCGCCCCTACAAAAGCGTAGGGCATGAAGAAGACGGTATCCACCGCCGCCAAGTGTTTCCTTCTGGCGACCTTAAAGCAGGATACGTTGGGGGAAGGTAATGTGTTGGTTGCTTCTGGTTTATCTGATTTGAGGCCAAGAAGGCGGCCCATTTTGGGTACGAATTTGGCGAAAATTGATCCTTTTTTTGGAGATTCTTCCATCCCCGGAACCAAGCAGAAGGTGCTGTTGATTTCGTGTGTTTCCAACGGAAAAGTATTGTCGAAATCCGCCTTTCCATTGGTGCATTGGGTGACTTTCATCAAGTGCTCCGTTCGGAACGGTTTCAACGACACTTTATACTCCCTGGCGATTTTAAGCCCTGTGAATGGGAACGGCCCGCTGCTGTCGCATACTGAAGCCGCCGAAACGAAGCAAAAGAGGGTGGTAAGGAAAAGTGGCGGAAGAAACATGTGCTTGTGCTTGTCTTTTTGCACCCATTTGTGTTGCTGAGGGAAAGAGAAAAGATTAAAAGCAGGGAGGTTTTGGGGGGTGATGAGAGGGCGTGGAGGGAGCTATTGGATGATTTTGGAGGGGAATTGATGGGGTTTGGTGGTTTTGGTGGTGGTGGTGAATTGGTTGATTTATGGTTTGTTGGAGGAGGTAAGTGAACTGGAAGTGTCATGATGGGATCTCGAGAAACGGTGATTTATACCAATTTCTGGTAATACTTACTGTTAAATTAAGTGCTTCTGAATGAACAGATGGTGTTGTTTGGTGGTTTTGGTTGTCCAGCTGTGTCTTGGTATAAGAAGGCCATTCAGTGAGTACCTGTTTGAGTTCGTCTGGCGATGAAGATGTTGATTTGTTTGCTACAAGGATAGTAAAGATTCTAGCAAAGAATACACTGGTTCCTTTTACTGTTTCTTTGGACTCCTGGAGGAAGAGATACTGGTGGTTTACTGGAATATACACTTATTCATCTTCTTGTTAGTCGACCACCAAAATCTCCATAAAAAGCGATTTCCAGCCTTCTGAAAATTAAACTAATATAAGATTCCAATGTCAATTAACTCAAAAAACTACTTATCTCTCAAGCCCAGGCCAAACTGGAAGTACTCATTGGAGTCCATTGATATCCTCTTCCTTCATTTCCTCAAACCGATATATCCCATCCATTTCCCACCACAATCCTTCCAAAACTCCCCAAAACTTGCCAATTCATATTTACCCGCCCCAAGTAAACCATCAAAGCTCTTTCCATCAAATTAAATACCATTCTACCGCCCAAACCCGTTCCACTCTGACCCTCACCAAACTGAAAAATCACCTTTTCCCACATACCTCCCCTTCCTCTCGCCCAAACTCCACCAAACTCACCAAACCCCTCCTTTGACCTCCTTTAAACACTTTAAACTCCTCTAATGACCCTCCCTCCCCCTCCTTCCACCACTTTGACCCTCCAAACCGGCTTTTTCGCAGCCAAACTACCTCTCCACCCAAACTCCACATATCTCCGCCCACACACCTCCAATTCAAATTCCAAGACCACCTCCGTACTCCCCAGCACTCCCTCATTCCATCCCCACCAATATCTCATAAATATCACCCCGTTTAAGGAATTTGGCGGAGGGTGTCAACTGCTGACCATGTCTGGTGTACGGGTCTTTCCACCACCATCGCATCACGTGACCGCATCAACAAATCTCCATACACTTCCCGATGAGATGCCCTTAAACCAAACTCGTATTCTTCTCCACCATGGATTCAGCAACTCAGCTGAATAAACCGCACCGCGGCGGTGACGGCAAGAAGAACACGGCTAAAAAGAAACTTCATCAAAACGGCCACAACGCCAAGGCGTTCGCCGTGGCAGCACCGAAAAAACTAGAAAAAATGGCCAGGCGAACCCACGACGTCAACGAAAAACGGTACCACGTGCCCATGGTCGACCGTACGCCTGACGACGACCCTCCACCGGTGATTATTGCCGTGGTGGGCCCGCCAGGAACGGGAAAAACTACACTTATAAAGTCATTGGTGAAGAAACTCACGAAACTGAGTTTAAGTGAAGTGAAGGGTCCAATTACTATGGTCAGTGGCAAACGCAGGAGGCTTACGTTTATGGAGGTGAACAACGATTTGAACCTGATGGTGGATGCGGCGAAGATTGCAGACTTGGTGTTGTTGCTTGTGGATGGGAACTTTGGGTTGGAGATGGAAACCATGGAGTTTCTTAATGTGGCTCAGCATCACGGAATGCCGAGGGTTTTGGGCGTGGCGACGCATTTGGACTTGTTTAAGAGTCAAAGCACGCTTAGAACGTCGAAAAAACGGTTGAAACATAGGTTCTGGACGGAAGTGTACCAGGGCGCTAAGCTTTTTTATCTTTCAGGTGTGATAAACGGAAGGTACCCGGATCGGGAGATATTGAACTTGTGTCGGTTTATTTCCGTGATGAAGTTCCGTCCGTTGAAGTGGCGTAACGAGCATCCGTACTTGCTAGCAGATAGAGTTACCGATTTGACACATCCTCAGCTGATTGCTGAAAACCCGAAAGTTGATAGAAAAGTGGCTATTTACGGCTACTTGCACGGCACGCCGTTGCCTTCGAAAGATGCACACATCCATATTGCCGGCGTGGGCGATTACCATGCTCATAGCGTGGAAAAGCTTCCCGATCCATGTCCTACGCCGTATTTCGAACAGAAACTAGATGAAATAGAGAGAGAAAGAGCTAAAGCGGCTGCAGATGCCGGTGAAGAAATGGCTCCTACAAGAAGAAGACGCAGAAAGAGACTTGAAGATAAACAAAAGATCATTTATGCGCCAATGTCTGACGTTGGAGGTGTTTTGGTTGATAAAGATGCTGTTTACATTGATGTCGGCGATAAACAGTCGTTTGTGGCTGGCGAAGAGACTGGCGAGGGCGAGAAGTTCGTTACTGGCTTGCAAGATGTTCAAAAAACGATGCACGAGCGGTTTGCCGAAGGCCCAGGATTGCAATTGTTTTCCAATTCGGCTCAGATTGAAAATGGCGATGAAAGCGAGCTGGAAGAGGAAAGAGGTCTTTTGGAAGACGATAACGAAGCCAATAAGGGCAGAAAAGCGATGAGAAAGCCTCGTTTATACGGCAAGTCCGTTGCTGAAGATACAGAGTTTGACGATATCGAAGAAGCTGATCTGGATATCGAAGAAGAAGAGCCCAGAATGGTGGAAGTGGATTTCGGTGAAGCCGCCAAGAACGATTTGGAGTTTGCCGAAGACTCTGAGTTATCTTCTGACGAAGAACAGAATGACTACGCTTCCATGGCCAGAAAGCTTAAAGGGTCAGTGCAGCGTCGCTGGAACATCAACCGTCTTTTGTATTTGGATAATATCGACCCTGCTGAAGCTGTCAAGCGCTGGAAACAGGAGGTTGTGAAGGAAGAAGACGAGGAGGAGTCGGATATTGAAGAAGACGAAGATTTCTTTAAAAAGAGAGACACAAAAACGCATTCTGAAGATTTGGATACGTTTGTCCCCAAGTACCCTTCGCTAGACGAGCTTCGGGCCAAGTTTGATGCTTCCAAGGTGGAAGACAGTGATGAGGAGTATGAGAACGGGTACCGTTCGTTGAAAAACCGTCTTTTGGTTGCTCCTAAGCTTAACGAAGAGGAGGGTGAAGAAAAAGAGGAAGGAGACGACGATGAAGAGGTTTATGGAGATTTTGAGGACCTCGAAGGTGAAGACGGTGAAGACGGTGAAGAGGAAGAAGAAGAAGGAGACGATTTTGCTGATTTCGAGGCTGAAGAAGAGAAAGATGAAGATCCAGAGGCCGAGGAAGAAGATGAAAACATGACGGTGGACCAAAAGAGAGAACTCAACGCCGCCAAAAAAGCTAAACTCAAGTTACAGTTCGAAGACGAAGAAGATAGAGAGTTTGGCGCTGACGATCCAGAAGGAGACACAGAAGCAGATACCTGGTACGAGTTCCAGAAGAACAAAATGGCCAAGCAGTTGGAGATCAACAAGGCTGAATACGAAGATATGGACCAGGAAACGAGAACGAAAATCGAAGGGTACCGTGCTGGTTCCTATGTTAAAATCGTGTTTGATAACCTTCCATGTGAGTTTATTGAAAACCTTGATCCTGAGTATCCGATCGTTTTGGGTGGTCTTTTGGCGACCGAGTCCCGTTTTGGCATCATGAACGTTCGTATCAGAAGACACAGATGGCACAAGAAGATTCTTAAATCTCAGGATCCATTGATTCTTTCCTTGGGCTGGAGACGGTTCCAGACGATCCCCATTTACACCACATCCGATTCTAGAACGAGAAACAGAATGTTAAAGTATACGCCAGAGCACGCATACTGTTTTGCATCGTTTTACGGTCCTTTGGTTGCTCCAAATACGACATTTGTTGGTTTTAATCTTGTGGATCAGTCTTCCACCACTGGTTCGTTCAGAGTGGCTGCAACTGGTGTGGTTGAAGATTTAAACTCATCGGTGGAGATTGTCAAGAAGCTTAAGCTTGTGGGACATCCATATAAGATTTTCAGAAACACAGCTTTTGTCAAGGATATGTTTTCGAACTCGTTGGAAGTGGCCAAATTCGAAGGTGCTGCTATACGAACGGTTTCTGGAATTCGAGGAGAAATCAAGAGAGCTCTTTCGAAGCCAGACGGGTACTTCCGTGCTACGTTTGAAGATAAAGTGTTGATGTCAGATACGATTTTCCTCAAAACGTGGTACCCTGTCAAAGTGAAGAAGTTCTACAACCCAGTGACTTCTTTACTTTCCACAAAACACAACGACTGGAAGGGAATGAGACTCACTGGACAAGTGAGAGCCGCCAACGAGATTGCCACGCCAATGGAGAAAGACAGCGCTTACAAGAAGATCGAGCGTCAAGAACGAAAGTTCAACCCTCTCAAGGTGCCCAAGCTGATCAAGAAGGATTTACCGTTCAAGAGTCAGATCCGTGAAGCCAGACCACAATCCAAGCAGACTTATATGGCGAAAAGAGCTGTGGTTGTGGATGGAGACGAGAAGAAGATGAGAGATCTTGTGAATAAGATCAACACTCTCAAGAGAGATAAAGATGCCAAGCGGAAGCTGAAGAAGAGCGAGAAGTTCCTGGAGAAGCTTAAAGAGATTGCCAAGAAGGAAGAAGGCAAGAAGGAGAAGGAGAGAGAGAGAAAGAAGGATTACTTTGCTAAACAGGGTAAGAAGAGACAGTTGGACCTGAGCGAAGGCAACTCTGCTGCTTTTGGAAGCAAGAGAAGGAGATAAAGTGGGGTTAGCATTTATAGCATAATGTATTATAGACGAAAAGGGGTGTAGAAGGTGGTTTGGAGAGTTTTGGAGAGTTTTGGTGGTTTTTGGTTCCTGGTTATGTTTCTCCAAATGGAGTACTTATGGTGAATGGAAGGTGCAATGAAAGTTAAGGAAATGGGCAGGTGGGTGTTTTTTGGGTTGATTTAAGTGGTAAAGAAGACAAAAATACTAAATTTTCACCGGATTTGGTTCTTTCAAGACAAATGGCTGGTACTGTTCTTTGGCAATTAAGAGATCCTTATATGGTACTTGAAGGTGTTTAAAGACCTCTCAATTTAAGGCAACCAAAAGTTCAAATACCCTATAATATGCTTTTTTTGACATCTAGGAGGCTATTTAAATTATGAATACCCAAAAACGAGCTTTATTTGTCCATTGACTGTGGCCATACACTTACTTGAATACTCCCAGTAGTAGCCTCTCCAAACCACCAGTAAATACACTCCATATCCTCCAATTCCGTTCCAAATCAATCTCATTTTATTTATTATGCCCTCTTCTTTCATTCTAAACCCTCTTAGTCTCCTTAGATACCTCCCTCTTCCACTTCCCCATCCACTTTGCCTTCTTCCATTTACAACCTATCAACACTTGTCAACCTCCACCCAACTCACCCAATTCCCGAGGAAATCCACCCAAACTCGACAAATCATATCTTAATTGGCCCCTCAGTCCACCCCAGTTCACCTCCTTCCCAAATCACCCTCGGATATCTTTCCATCTCTCACTTTTCTTAACCTCGTGTGATGCCCCCAACTACTTCCTTAACCTCCACCTAACTCCACCAAACGTGCTCCTTTTTTATCCCCAAAACCACCAAATGAAAGCCCCAGCCACCAGAAATCCACCCATGCAACTACCTTCCCTTCCCTGTCAATATCCACCTCTCTCCCTCCCTCCCTTTACTTTTCGCAGCCATTCCGTTGTGAGCCATACATAGGCATACCCTACTTGCTCCCCCACACCGCCCCCAATTCTCCCCCAATTCTCCCCCAAACGTCCCCCAACTTTCCAAAACCAACAATGACCTAATAATAAATACAATGGGATCATCCCTCCATTTCTTTTTATGCATCTTGTGCCCCCCATCTCCAACACTCCCTCCCGCTCACCTTGTTTCCCCAGATTCGCGACATCACCAACTCCATCACAACTCCATCACAACTCCATCACGAACATCGCCACCAACACACACCCACTTCTATTGTTTCTGCATGGCCTACACCAACAAGTACGTTTCGGACATCCCGCTTAAGCGTCCGCAGGAGACGTTTGTGGATGATCCCAAGCTGTTTGACGAGGTGCTGCTTGAAGAGTTGGAGTTTGACTTGGCCCACGGCGTCAAGGATATCAACGGGCTCCATGTTTTCCACGCAATTGTGGTTTTCCACGCGATGCTTGAGGATTTGATTTGGTTGCGGGAGCATCCAGAGGAGTTGAGGGTTTTTAGAGAGAGCCAGTTGAAGAAGTACGGATTGGTATTGGGAGAGTTGGAGGAGGGAGAGGAAGGGGATGGAGGGTTTCATGGGGACGATTTGGCAATGCCAGTCCAAGCGCCAGCACCAGCTGAGCGAATCGAGGCTGGTGCTGGAGCTTCCCAAGGGTTTGGAGACCCAAAAGACTCATCTGCGTCAGCAGATGAGGCTGGAGGGTCAAGAAGCCGTGAAGACCTGAAACTTGCTCAAACCGGCCCAGAAACCTCTCAAGGTGGCTCTCTGGATGGCTTTAGACCATCTCTGGAAGGTCAGGAAGGCCAGGATGAGTCGAATACCCCTCAAGACCACTTACAGACCAGTCAGGATGATCCAACGACAGTCCAGGACACTCCTTCGTCTTCTTCCCAGCGTGAAGAAAGCCTATCGCAACCTACACCTTCTAGAGACCATAGAGAGACGCAAAATAGACCTTCTGAACGAGTTTTCCAGGATTCGCCGAGATTTGGTGACCCCGGAGACTCCCAAAACCGGCCTGATCTGGCCTCTTCCGACTCGTTCCCTCCCAAATCGTTCATTTCTCGTCCAGGCATGAAAAGCCTTGATTCTGCGTTTTCTACGGTCGATTCAGTATCAACGCCAGATGAACCACAAAGCGGGCTTGGAACGCCAGACCCTTTAGACCCTGTGGAGTTCATTTCTACAGAACTGTTGGTGCAAACGACATCGCTTGAAAGAGTGCCTAATCCAATTACTACCCACTCTTCCAGTCGGCTTCGTAAAGAGGTGCTTTTCCACAGCAACCCAAAGACAAAAGCTCAGGCTGAACATCTAGTGAAATGCTTTGGTTTGGCCAGACCGCCGCCAATCTCTATAAAAGAGTTCCTTCTACGGATCAACAAGTACTCGCCGTCAGTTTCCGTTTCTGTGTATATCCACAGTGCCTACTTGTTGTTTAAACTTGGGGTTTTATTAGATGTGGTGGGTTTTACAGAACTTAACGTTTACAGGTTCATATTGGCGCTGATTCGGTCGCTGACGAAGAAGTGTGAAGATATTTACCAGAAACAAAAGAGCTTTGCTATGGTTGGTGGAATGGCATTGAGAGATTTGGGGAAGATCGAGGTGAGCTTCCTTTACTTGTGTAACTTTAAGTTGGTGGTGAGCGAGTTCATTTTAAATGATTTCTTGAAGAACAACTTTGTGGATTTACGGAGCTTTTGCAGGGAAAGAAAGGGGAATGACGAGTCAATGGACGTGGAAGAGGCAGCCCAGTGAGGGTAGGAAGGGGAGTTAGGTGGTTTGGACGTTTTAGGCGACTTCAGGGACTTTAGTGGTAGCTTGAAACCTGGATTTGGCTGGAAATGCATCTTTTGACTTGAAAGAAGCAGACAATCTCCACGGACACTTTTCGGACACTTTTCGGACACTTTACGGACCTCAACGGACCTTTACCGTCCCTTCAACGCTCCATTTCCAACGACAGGATATAAAAAGTAGAGGATGGAGAAGAGGAGGGGAAGATGGCAACGTTGTCGATGTTATTGACAAGAAAAAAGAGACATCCGGCGGTTCTTGGCTGGCCAAACTAGCAAGTTCCAGGTGTTCGCTAGCAATACAAGAAAACGAACAAAAAATCAAGAAAAAAAGAAGGGAAGCGAGGGTTCCTGGAAACCGCCAAGACAAAACAAAGACATTGGAGTCGCTTGGGGCAGCACGGCTAAAAAGAAAAAACAATAAGGTGGATTAAGCGAGACGGTTGGAGAGAAAAGATGGATTAGAGAGCAATTGGAAGGTTTCGAAGTTCCGTTGGCGGGAATAAGATGGAATTAAGAGAAGAGAGCGATCTTACGTTTAAAGAGATGCTTTAAGATACTAACATCATTCAAGAGATTTGATCCATCAGTTCTTCCGCCTCGGGCGTGTTATTGTTACATTATCCACGGATGTTCCATGTTTCCGTCTTTGTTCCCACTGATCTTCAAAGATCCATCGCTTCTTATCTCCATGAGAAAATGAGCTGATAACTGAAGATAAAAGAGGAATTACCTGAATCAGAGGATTTGCCTGATTTTGTGGAAGTCCTCCAAATTACGAAAGCAGAGGTTGCCCTGGATCTGTTCAAGACCGCCTCAGTTATATTCCAAATTGAATCTCGCCGACCCCCCACAGAGAGTTATTCCGTTTTTGTGTTACTTTGTTATGCTTTGCGTTTGGAAATATGCTAGTTTGCTTTTGTGTGATTTTCTTTGTGGGGTTTGCGTGAGACGTCACTCTGAAGAAATGGGAAGGTTGATTTGACTCGGTTTCGTTGGTTTCTGGATGGTTTCTGGATGGTTGATTACGGGCCCTGGACTGAATTCTTCAGTACGTTCAGCCCCGCCAAACTACGTAATTGCTCCGAACGAAACCCCTCCAAAAACCCCTCCAGAAGAACCCTTCTTGCTTAGAGAATGTTTGGAAGGTTAAACTATGCTGGTTCGTCGTCGTTGCCCGTTGGTTTACGTCTTTTATCATTTTGAGCCCGTTCCTTGGAATGTTTCGATTTCTGGAAAATCAAAAGAGCTTCTCTTTGCCCTTCTGGAGAGTCCGGGCAACATAAGAAACTCCGCCTGGCTTTTCTTTCGTTTGCTGACGTGCCGTTGGTTTCTTTTTCTTCTTTTGGGCTACTTTTGACGTGTTGTTGGTTGGTGAAGTTGTGGCACGGCCAGACTTTGACCGTTTCTTTTCATTCAGCCGCTCCAGACGAACAAATTGTCGAATTTGGCGTCGTGTTTGGCGGTGTTTGGCGGCGTTCGGCGGCGTTCAGAATGGGGATACACTTTACAACATTGGTATTTTGCAGCCAACCAGGGGCCATCAGTTTTCACCCAAAATGAACAAATCCAACACCAAATTGATCAGAAAGTTAAGCTCTACACGTCTAAACACTTTCCCTGACGAATACACCTCCAAAACGTCTTACTGCTGTCCGTCTGACTGTCCTTCGCCCGTCTCAAGGTGCTGCTTCGAACCAAACGCACCTTTACTTAAAAGACAGGTCCCAAATTGGTCTTTCCTTGACAACACATCCTTCCAATGATGGCTATTCCAATAAATTGCTTAAAGAAGAATCTCCACCGTATCTTTTACCGATTCTCCACTTCTTTCAATCTGTTTGCTTCGGAATGGCTGCAAATGAGTGACTACAGAACAGAAAAAAAGAAACTTGCAAAGTCCACGAAAAAATATGCCAAAAACGGCCAAAAACGTTTTTTTCGCCTCCTTATTTTCTAGAACAACCGGTATGAGTATACCCACGGCAAGACAGTCTCCACTTTTCCCCAACGGTCGTCAAGAACCTCGGACGTGGCTTTTTTTTTTTTCTGGTTTTCGTGTTTTCAATAAAGTCGTTTGGACCAGATTTTCCTGGTTCAGACTGCATACAGTGCAACGCAAAATAATAAATAAATCTCAGATCTGCATAAGTCTCTCGTCCGTCAATCCGACATCTCTCACTCTCTTAATCCAACCTCTCAGGATCTGTTTAAAAAACTTATCGTGACTGAGAGAGCATTGCCTCTACTTGTGTGCACGTCTACGGCCCGAATCGTGCATGAATTGCGCTTGTTAAGGCCCCTGCGTGACCTGCAGGGAATGCATGTTCCCACCTCCGGACCTTACACCCACCCGCCACTTCTACCCACAAGTAGTAAATCTCCCTTCCCTCATACACATTTTTTTAGGTACCTCCGGAAGGTGCAGCCCATATATGCACCAAACGGAAGTAATACCCGGTTATATGCAGGTCTACACTCCCATCAAATTCACTACGAATTTCTCCAACAAAAATAAAAAAGTTGCAAATCTCATTTTATCCCCTCCGCCTGACAACAGAACAATACTCATTGATTTCTCGTCAACCTCGGTACCTCAAATTCAGAAAAAAACGGTCTTTGTTCCCGAGGCCTCCTTCAACCTTAAGCTTTTGGCTTTTTAGTGGGGACAAAATTATTTGGGGGATTTTTTGATGGTTTTGTGGAATGAAAGAGGTCGTAAAACCCGTACATTTCGTCTTGTCTACGGACGAGGCGCAAAATAAAAACAAGTCATACATTAATTAATAAAAAAAAAACGTAGAAGTCAAGGAAACGGCTAATGTTGTAGAATTAGCGGCAATGGAAGGCAAGGGGTGAGAGGCTGGTAACACTTTATTTTTTGTTCAGTTAACTGTTTCAAACAATGGATGGGAACTACGTAGGGCCATGCACTCGTCGGGGTTAGCATGCACCGTCGGCATATAGGCGATCGGAGCGGAAGGCCGGAGTTGCTTTTTTTTCATTATTGAGGGTAGCTGGTAATCTATACTGGGTGGGGTCTCCGATAGTGCAGCTACGATTTTTTGATTTGTACTGAAGGAAAAGAAGAGGGGGTGGGTCCCGTTCTTGCATGCGTCAACCTGTATAGAGCATGCGCAATTCGGAGACCTGGCCCAGCCAGCAGTAGTTAAGGGAAGGAGGGTTTGGCGCTCACCCACTTCCATTGTGCAGGTATCGCCGGTTCGTGCATCGAGGGCTAATTTCCTAATAGAACGTCGCCCTTGATCTCACAAAAACTTGAACAAAAGCCCCCCTTCCGTCAGGTCCCCCACGGTGATCTTCCATCTTCTTTTGAAGCCCCGGCTTTGCCGGGGCTGTTCTGCCGGAAACACTAACGTGTTTCCCAAAACCACTTCCCTTCCCGGTAGGGTCGCTGACGCCCGGTAGGGGCATGAACATCGTCATACCTGCATACACATACGAGGGACCCACCCTTTCATAAAGTTTCCAAAAAAAATAATAATTTTTTGGGGGGGGCGACGAGTCCCCACACTATCTCCCAATTCGTGCATGAACTTCTTTAGTAGACACCATGTATATGTATGCAAGACGGGTGCAGATTGCGCCTGCCTGCAGTCCTACCCCCGCGACGTGCGCCCCGCCAAAAGAGAGCTCCAAAAAAAAAAAAAAAAAAAATTAATTTCTTCTCTCGCTTGTCAATCTCCGTTTCCCGCCTACACCGGCCATTACAAGATTTAATATATAAATACGGCAGGAAATTCCCTGTGATTTCGCCTCCCTCCCCCAGATTTCACTTTTCTACTTTCCAACCTTTCCCAACCCACCACCACCACCCAATCCCTTCCTAAACACTAATAAAACGCTAAAAAGCACCCCGGTTTTCAGTTCCAGCCAACCCACTTACACCCCCTTCCCTTTTTCCCCCATTCTTTTACCATGTCTTTCACATCTACAGCAACTGGCATTGCTCCAACAAGCCTAAACCTTAATATGTTTGACAGGACGGAAGAGAGAAGACAGAGACTGCCTGTGCTTACCGACGATGAAGATATCTTTTCCCTTGACATGGTTACCATGGATATGGAGTTTGACCAGGCCTACTCTATGTACAACCAGATGCAACAGAAGAATGCTCTTTCTGGAGTTGAACAGCTTCAAAAGGCCAAACAGCGTCAACAACATCAGCCACAACAACAGCAGCACCAGCACCAGCAGCAGTCACATGCTATTCAGAGTCAAAACCAGAATCAGGGTCAGAACCAGCAACAGCACTTCCAGCTGCCTTATGCTAACCAGACCAACGCCTTTTATCCTGAATCTTATGGTTCTTACGATAACAATGTCCCTGGCCTTCCGCTTCTTCTGCCGCCAAGCGAGCAGGGTGGACTTTTCAGTGGTCTGAAAACAGCCAATCCGATTTCCAACAAGGAAGACGATAGCCTTGACCATTTCTTTCTTAATACGGAGCTGAATGCGTTGGAGAAGTTTTTGGATAACTTGGCTTCTTCTTCTCTGGGTAACCCATTGGAGCTTTACAACCAGCAGGCCCAGAACCAGAACCAGAACCAACAACAACAACAACAACATCACCAACAACACCATCAACAGCATCACTCTCCAAAGATGCATGCGTCGATCTACGATAACATGCATACAATGGACCCGCTTAGGAAACCCGAGGCTCGTGAAATTCCAGATTTCGTCAAGAAGGAAATCACTGACGCTTTTAGACACCCTCCAGTGCAAAGCTTAAAGAGTTTTGGCCAAGGTAAAGAAGGTCAGCAAGCCAATACACAGCTCCCCACGCCGCTTGACTCAAGACAAGCTTCTGCCAGTGAAAAGCGTACGCTGGAGCAATCTGAGCTTGATCTGCCTCCATGGCTGCCATCAAGCAAAAAGAGAAGAAGATCAAGCACCAGACCGCTTCTTACCTTGGAACAGAAGCGTCTTAACCATTCCCATTCCGAACAAAAACGTCGTCTTTTGTGCAAGCAGGCTTACGAGAGATGTCTTCGTTTGATCACCAATGTGGATGATTACAAGAACGACTTGGTTTCTGCATCTGCCGTGACGCTGTCGAAGAAGAAGAGCAAGAGAAAGCAAATCAATAAGGACGGATTGCCCAACTTGCTGAAACACACGGCGTTGTTGAAGGTTTCTGGTGAGATTTTAAAGATTAAGGGCAAGAACGAAGAGTTGAAGAGACTTCTTGGGCAATACGCTTAAGAAGGTAAAAAAGGTAAAGGCAAAAGATTGATTCTTGTACAAAAGAGAATGGCCAAGTGTCGTTCGTTCCGATATTCACTTCTTGCTTGTTTATTATATATTTATTGATACCGTTTGGTAATGTACGAAGATACGAACCGGCACTAGGCCTCGCCAGAGGCCTAGGGACGTAGAACAGGTCTCTTAATCACCTTAAAACCGGCTCTTTCTCCACATTTGATGCCTCTTTAAGTCCCTCTTTGGTTCCTTGCTATGAGGTCAATGGAATAACAGAAATGCAGCAGAAAGGGCTAAAAAAATGCCTGAAAAGGAGCCATTGGCGGGTTCCTGATTTGGCAGGGAAAGGTTGGGGAAATGCTAGGAGGGTTTTTGGGTTTGAAGGTTATGAATTATGGAATGTTTTTCTGGTTATGAATATGGTGGTTTGTAGTTTTTGGTTTGAAGCGATGCAACGTTACATTTTCTGGTTTTTCGGATGTTTTAACCGGTGAAAAATTGTAGTGGGGTGGTTGTGGAGGAGGTTTGGTTGATTTTGGCAAGTTTTCAGAGGTTTTGAGTGGGTTTGGGGGATTTTTTTGACCGGAGTTGGTGCTTTTTGGTGATTTTTTGTGGGAATCAAGGAAAGTCATGGAAAGTGTGGGCGAAAGGAAAATGGTGGGTTGGATGAGTTAATTTTGACGGAGTTAATTAATTTTGATTACGTTTTGGGTGGTTTGGAGGTGGTTTGGAAGTGAATTTAATTGGTGGTAAGTGGTGCTTTTTCGGGTATTTTTAGTATGGGAGAATTTGGCGGTTATGAACGTCAAAAGGGTCAATGAAGATTCCGAAAGCGGTTAAAGAGGTTTAGAGAGGGTACGATTTGATTTAATACTGCTTTCTTTGCTAAGTCGTGTTGAAATATTGGAGTATTTGGACCCTTGGTGGTTCATGGTTCTGTAGTATGGAGACTTCTCTCTTTACCTGGTTAAGAGCCAAAAGTTGTTGAAGGCAACGCAAAGCAGCTCTTACATTAATTAGAAGGAATGCCTGTCCTTTTTTGGCCTATTTAGGCTCTTCTGGCGTGGATATGAAGTGAATGGTCTTCTTTTTAGACTACTAAAGCCTATTCTTTACTGTAAATCGGCCAAAAGAAACCTTTGAAAGCCTATTCTTCGAAATTTCATATATATCTCTTCATTTTTAGAGAGACTTTAGCGTTTTCAACCACCTTCCATTCATACTTCATTCATTTTATCACTTAATTGGACATCAAGCGAACTCTTTTCGTACTTTCTGAACCCACCCTCCACGGATTTCAGCCAAAAAGGTATCAATCAATTTCTTATTTTCAAATACATTCAACTAAGCCACTCAAAATTTCCAAAACACTATTCATTGATTGACTTTCTTTGACTGGATGAATCTCTATAGGTTGTAAACACCCGTACACCAGCTTACCCCAGGTCAATAAACCCTCCGTCAAAACCACCAAATTCCCTTATTTGAATTGTTTTATTGGTTCAGACTATGATTTACGTTCTAAGGAGTACTCTCGTGGTTTTTAAATTTCTTTAGCTGCTCTGGTTGTGGAGTTATATGGAATCTCAATTTTCCCATACTTAAGGCCTCCAAGGTACCTAAACCACACTAATTAAGCATTTTTTGATTGAATTTTGACCTCCTTGTAGCTCCTAGACCCTTCAATCACCTCCCTTTATTCATATTTAGTGCCCTCATTCAAATTCCAATCCCCAGCGCTTCTTTCCACTTTTTTTCATATCTTTCCCCGATCCATACACCTCCGCCAGACCTCCAATACCTCCAAAAACATCCCAATTATCCACCTAACCCTTTCTTCAACCCATCCTTACCTTCTTCACCACCTCTCCTTCTCCGTACCCACGTCTTTGGCTCACCTTTCCGAACCCCCACTTCAAAAACCTCCCAAATCCACCAATAAACATCCAAAACGCACCCAAAAACCACCAAACCAGCCACTTTCCAACCCCTAGAACTCAATAAACCACTCAAAACACCCCGTTTCCCACTCCTTCACCCCAAATCACCACGCCCCTTCTTATGCCTCGCTTATCGCGAACACCTCCAAAACAAGCGCGCATCAACTGTTTTTTCACCTCCCACACCAACTTCCACCACCAACCCACCGACGGAAATACAGCGCTCAGTATTGCCATTGTCAATGTCGCTGAACGCATCATCCGCTCGTCCGAGCCGCCCGGGCCGCCCGGGCAAACCCGGAAGACCTCCCGGTCGTCCGCCACTAGCACCTTCCGATCATCCGGCCTTGAAACTAAACATCCTCTCCCAAGACAAATCATCATCGCTAGCCAAACTCCACCCTGTGGAAATGCCCAACGACGCCATCGTGGCAAACCTCCAGACATCCTACCCGAAAGAGAAACGCTGGCGTGATTTCAGAAACGATCCAAACTACATCTACGTTCTACAATGGATTGCTCAGTGTAGAGGGTATGTCAAGTTGGCTCTGGAGCATTTTGATGTGGATTTATTTGAAATGGAGTTGTTTGCGTTGGTGCAGCCGCCGCCGATCGACGACTTGGCGTTGCTTTCAAACCGTCTTCGTTTGGCCTTGTTGCTGAAGATCCATGGGAAGAAGATTCCTCTGTTAGGGCTGTTTGAGCCATTGTTTAGGGTTTACTTTGGCAGTGAAACGCCGTTGAAGGGGCCAAACGAAGAAGAGGAAACTGAATTTGCCGCTGCTGATTGGCCCCTTTTCGATGACTTGTTTATTGACGAAAAGTTTCAAGTGCTTGCATTGCTTATACTGGAAGTATCCATGTACCAAGACTTCCGGGAGTTTATCGATAAGAATAAGCTTTCGGCGGCGGTGCTTCGACCGGAAAGCGTGTTTCGGGAAGCCAAGGGTGCTTCTGTGGAGGAGTATATTGTTGTTTTTGATGGAACGGCTTGTTATAAGCGAACTACCAAGACTGTGGAGCTCCAAGTGCCCAAGAAACGAAGCCTAGCGCCAGCAGACCCTGACGAGGCGTTGGGCGCTCGTCCATTTGACGTTTCTGTGGTCAATTACGAAGCTGTGTTCAGAAATATCTACCAACTTGATGCATTCATTACAGAGTTATCTGGAAAGAAGAACAAAAAGAACAAAACGTTGCTTGATGTGGTGAAAAAACCTGATTTCGTGGAGAATTTATTCACTTTTGAAACAAAGAAACGCCGGATTATTCATCACCGCCGGAAAGAAAGCGAAATGGCTCGTCTTCTAGCCACCAGAAAACGTTCTTCCAGACTTGAAGCCAAGGAGAAACAGCGGTACCATGAAGAACAAGAACGTAAGGCCCAGGAGCTTGAAGATCTTCAGTACGCCGTCATGAGACGCTCTTCCCATAGAACCAGAAACAGATTCACCGATCCGGTGCCTATGGATTACACTGGAGGCATCACCAGGGAAGAACGGTTAAAGAAACGGTTGGAAGGCACGCCTGATGTCTCTGAAGAGCCGCTGGGATCCACAGAACCAACAGAAGTCGAGCCAGAGGTCAAGAACGAGGCGGAACAGGATATTGGGAGTGGCAGCCCTCAGGAAACTGAAGATGTCATAGAAACTCCCCAGGAAACTCCCCAGGAAGCTGAAGATATCATGGAAATTGATGGGCCAGGGAAACCTCAGCCCAACAGCAACTTTCAGGAAGTCCAGCAAGTCCAGGAAACCCTGACGGGTTCCCTGGCTGGTTCCCTGGCCCCATTCACGCTTCCAGAAACCATGCCATCGCCAAAACTTGCCGAAGCTTCACGAGAAACGTCAGAAGGCCCCAACCGGCCCAACCCAACGCCTAAAGGTGAAGGCCAGAGCATTGTTTCGTCTTTCCCAGCCACTCCCACGCCAGCTGCTGCCCTGCTGGTTTCGGTTGCTAACGGGATAGATGACCTGGAGACGGTTCCAGAGTAAACCCAGTTGCTTCCCAGTGGCCAGGAACTCCACATCTCCAAGCCCGTAAAGGGCACCTGGCGTCTATTGTGGAGACGTGAGTTTCTCGTATAGTTGCCTTTCCTTGGACGTCTGCAAACTGCACGAGTAGGAGTTTCCTGATAAGCCGAGGCCTGTCAGTGCCTAGAGGGGTTTCTTTTGGCTGAACTAAGCATCATGATGTCAGAGAATGTACTGGTATGTGGGATGTCTTAAGAGAATGGAGGGGACGACCACGAGTGCCCACGAAGTGGGCACGAAGTGGGCACGAAGTGGGCACGAAGTGGGCACGAAAAAAAGACGAGGAAGTGGTTTTTTTGATTCTTCACCGAAAAGAGTAACCAGCCTGGTTTAATAAGCTTTCGATTGTTTCCTTCTATCCACAATAAGCTTTGTTCTTTCGGAAGATCGTTGTGACTCCGCATTACCTCTTCTTTTTTCGCAACCATTCGTGATGAGTTTCTCCACAATCCATAAAGAGTTCTCCCCCAGTCTACAGTTGCTGGCGGTTCTTTTTTTTTTTTTTTTTTTTTTTTGCTTTCTTTCCCTTTTGCTCCCTGCTGCTCCGCTCGTCAATGGCTGTTTTTTAACTAAATATTGGAAAATATTAATGCAGTGTTATAGGATCACAAGTTCAACTCTTCAAGGATCTGCGATGCCAATGTCTTATACGTCCAGGTATTACCAAGCGTCTTCTTGAACTGAACACCGTAGAGCCCAACAAGTGGAACCTTGACGATATTGATCTCAAACTTCAATGGCGTCTTTCTCAGAACCTTGGAGCCACCTTGGCCCTCCTCTTCTTCTTCCTCTGCCACCGTCATGGATGCACTTGGCGACCTTTGATGTTTGGCCCTTTGTTCAATGCGGGATGACACAAGCATATCGCTTCCTCCGCCAGGGGCAAGCCCGTTCAACGAGTCAACTGAATCATCGTCAGTGAATTGTTGCAACTGTGCACGGGTCTCTTCGTCAAGGTCGTCATAGTCAATGTCGGCAGATCCAATAAGCAGCTTGTTCAATCTGGCTGCAGCTGGCGTGTTTGGAGGCATCAACGTCTGGGAACCGTTCTTCTTTCTGTACGAGCCAAGAATCGATTGGCCGATGGAGAACTTTCTTCTGTGGCCTCCGCCAATAGAATTCGACTTTTGGTGACCCTTGTAGTTATTTCCTCCCGATGGTGGAGACAACATGTTGGTGTTCAAATGCAAGGATGGCTGTCTCGATGGTTGCCTGGACGTGTTCAGAGGCGTACGGGTCTGAGGAGTCTGGATCGTTGGCGTCTGGACATCCTGAGGCTCGGGCGTTCTCGTTCTAGGAGGAACTTGCTTCTGTACTGAATCGGACGATTGGCTGAAAGCGTCACCGTAAAGCTTGCGTTCTTCGTTATTATCGTCCAGTCTGTATTCGTCAATAATGGCGCTTGTTTCGTCTTCTGATTCAGTGTGCTTGGATGCTATTGAAGCCGAATGAACACAAAGGAACCCTCCCTTGACTTCCTGGAACTTGACGCCAAGCTTCGTCAATACATTGAGGATATTGTAACGAATCACTGGGAGCGGCTTCGTGGATGTTGTTTGAACACTGAAGAATCCCTTCAAGAACAACGTCTTTGGGTACTCAATCGAAGGCATGCTGTTGCGTCTGGCATGAGCAAACTGGTCCACAATCTGCTGCTCTGTCATATGAGGAAGATGTGGATACTCCTTATCGTCAAGAGTAACATCATCAAACATGGCATCGTTACGTTCGTGGTCTCTATCGATGCCTTCGTCGCTGTTCTGCGCAGCCATGTTATTAGGCAATGCTGGATGTTGTTGATCGGAACGAAGAGTACCATCTTTGCGGATATGTCCACCCACAGATTTAGCACGAGCAGTTGGATGGAACTTCTTGCCTTCAGTTGAAGTGCGTGGTTTTTCAGCCTTGATGGTGACTTCGTTGCCTTTGCCAGCATTGAGTTCCTGAGTGTTGAGGTTAGGCAATGGCGGTAAGTATTCAGCAGGAACAAAGCCACGGTTGGCAGAAGGTGTTCTCGAATGGCCTCTGTAGTTCGAAGCATTAGGATCCAAAGTCTGTCTTGGTGGATCACGTTCCTTGGACTCCTTGCCAACATTAAGACGAGATCCACTGGACTTCTCCTTGGCGGTAACCTTCATACTTACACCACGACGAACCAAAGGATCCGATTTCCCACTTCTCTGTGGCGACATATTGTTCGAATCTTGCGATACCCTGTCTGGAGCGAACGCAACAGGGTCCATGGCGCCGTCTTTATGTGGTGAAGAAGCACCGCTTCTTGAAGGCGAGCCATGTGGATGCTGTGATTTCTTGCCAGATAACTTGCGCAAAAGCGAATTGAGTCCCAGTTTCCCAGATTGGTGATCTGATTCACCTCCACTCATAGACTCACGAGGACTATGCTGCAGCATCATTTGCTGTTGAACCTTACCTTCATTAGGAAGCCCTGGAGACTGTGATTCCCTATTGAATGCACTTGGAACCATTGGAGTATGGGCCTGTTCTGGGAACTGTAATGTAGGCACCTGTTGAACAGGCTGTGCAGGTTTTGGAGGAGGTTGTGGCAGAGAACTGTGATGCTCTGAGGCGGAACGGCGTGGGATGTTGGCAGAAGGACCAAGCTGAGGTTGTGGAGGAACTGGTGACCCGCCTGGAGGAGAGAGCATCTGAGGAGTGTTATGCTGTTGCCTCTGTATGTTGATCTGCTGGTGGACCTGGTCGTGAGCCTTGGAGTCGCTTTCCTGAAGCTGACTCTGCAATTGGTTCCGTAACGCATCCTCCTTTGCCTTCTTACGTTTTCTCATCTCATCGACCAAGTAGTAAATCGATACTAGCGGATTGAAGCCACCAGTAGGATCAGGCAACATATGAGTGTTGGGGCCAGGCACGTATGGACGGCCCTGTTTAGCATGCTTGTACCAGATATCAGCGGCCATCTGGTACTCTGGGCTCGAAATTACACTGGTAAGCTCCTCCACAATTGCTTGGGAGGAGCCCAAATCAAGTGTAGAAATAGTCTTGATGACCTCTGGATCAAGCGGTAAAGTCAATGGAGCCCTTTTAGAGATGTAGCTGGGCACAGGGAAATCGTAGCCCTTGCTCATCCATGGATGCTGGATTACTTCATGCAAAGTTGCTCTTTTCGTTGGATCAACCACGAGCATACGGGAGAGAAGCGAGACACACTCTTTGGAAATGAAAGAGGGATACTCCACATGGCCTCGCTTGATCTTCTCATGCAACACAGAAACGACCGGGTCGTCGAACGGCACTTTTCCGCATACCAAAACATACAAAACAACACCAAAGGACCAAACATCAACTTCAGGCCCAGTATACGGTTTGGCGCTCAACAACTCGGGCGCAGCAAAGTACAACGACCCACAATAAGTCTTAAGAAGGCTCTTGGGCGAGTACAAGTTGGATAAGCCAAAATCGATGATTTTGATATCACCTTTCTGGTTGATCATGATATTCTCGATCTTTAAATCACGATGCACAACGTTATTCCTATGGCAGTAATCCAAAGCCAGAGCCACGCCTCTGGCAAATTTCCGGGCGTATTTTTCACTCAACGAGCCATGTGAAACAATATAGTCTAGTAACTGGCCGCCCTCGACATACTCAAAAAGCATATAATAGTGGTTTGTCATGGGCACCATCTCGTAAAGACGACAAATGTGAGGGTGGAATAGAAGACGACCCAAGGCACCTTCTCTGATGGTTCTTTTATCTCTAGCCACCTCTTTTTCAAACTCTTTTTGTCTCTGAGCGGCTTCTTCGGCCAGATTTGGTGGTGGGTCGTTTGAATGAGCACGCTGGTACAACTTAGCAGCTCTAGGAACAATCTTCACTGCACATTTTTCACCAGTAGCGTTATGCCTAGCCAATTTCACTTTACCCATTGAACCAGCGCCAATGGTCCTGATAAAGTCCCAATCACCAATAGATTTTCTATGGAACTGCTGCTGGTTTGGTTGTTGCTGGCCGGAGGTCTGTCCTGGCTGGCCAGACGGTTGTTTCAGACGAGAACTTTGATGATTCTGGCTGCTTTGATGTTGGTGATGATGCTGATGGTGTTGCTGTTGTTGTTGTTGTTGTTGCTGCTGCTGCTGCTGTTGCTGGCCCAGACTCAGTCCCTGCTTCTTATTCACAAGCGGCGGCGGCGAAAGCGTCGCTGGCGGCAAGAGATCCTTCTCGGGAGCTCTGGGAGCATGTGCTGGCGCCAGCAGCTCCGTTCCGTCCATGGGAAGATCCATTTCTTTCGATCCCCTAATCAGATTAGACACACTTCTAAGCATACGAGGCGTCGCTGGTTGCGACGAATGAGGACCCTGGTGGCCTTGTGGCGACGGATACGAACCTGGAGGAGGCTGATTGGACGAAGCAGCCTGTTTATGGGATCCCAGAGATGTTCGAGTGGCGTGGCCGTGGTACGAAGGCTGCCTGTGGCCGTCCATGTGGGGGAAGATTTCTTGGGAAGGGAAAGTTGTTTGGTGGGGGAGGGGTAGAACGTGTGGTGCACGGGTTTTTGTATGCTTTTTTCAATTAAAAATAAGGCCCACTTCCCAGCAAGAAAATAACGAGTCAATTGGCGACCTTTAACGTGGAGTGGTGTTGATGGAGGTTGTTGGCGGTGTAAGATAAGTGAGAATGAGAAAAAAAAGGATCCAGGGTTGCTCACGTGGACGCAGGCCCGTGCAGGTCTGGCGATTTGCAGCCGCCGGGGAGTTTAGGGAGAAAGGGGGGTGATTTAAGAGATTTGAGAGGTTGGGGGATGTTGGGGGACTTTGGGGGTGTTTGGGGGACATTGGGGGTGAAGTTTGGGGGAAATTGGGGGACGTTTGGGGGGAAAGTGGGGGCACTTTTGGTGGTGCGATGGTGAGACGGTAGTAGTTAAGAGAGGTGGAATGGAGGAAAGGGAGGAGTTTGAGGAAGGGAAAGTTTGTGGTACCGTTGGAATGAGGGAAGTTTGAGGAGTTTTTTTGTGTTTTTGGATTTGGATTTGGAGGTCTGGGTGTGGAGATAACTCGGGGTTTCTGGTGCTCACCAAGTGTCTCATGGCTGTGCTATAGAGGAAGAGAAGAGGATGTAGAGGAAGTGGTGGAAGGGCAAGGAAAAGTTTGTCATTGTGTTTTAGTTAATTTTTTGGTTATAATAAGTATTCTTTTTCTTTTTTTTTTTGGAAGTTGGCTGGGTTTGGTGGAGGTGGGTTTGGAGGAAAGGAGGGAAGATTGAAAGGTTCAGTAGCATGGTGATTTTATGGTTTGTGTTGGTGAAAAGAGAAAGATGCTGGTTTTAAGAGGGGTTTTCTGTTTTTAGCAATTGAAGGTCTATGGTTGAATTATTTATAGTGGATGGTGTTACTTGTATGGATTATTTATAGAACAGTGGAAGTATACTGAGTGTGAAAGACGAGTGTACGTCAGTTGCTTTAGAATAGATATCAAAGAAGATACTGAAGAGTAGAATAGGTTTATTAGGGTTGCTTTTGTATGACAGTTGTTGGTACATGGATGTACAGTAGGATATAGATGTGTATTGGGAACATGGACCAATATGTATAGTACTTGAAGGCTTCTTCTAGTAACAATTCAATCTTGGTATTTCCATTTGATAGATGTTATTCGGTAAATAGCAACGTTGATAGGTTATTTTTGGATACTACTCAACAGCCAGACGAAGTTACCAGACCATCAGCTCTCCATATGGATAGTATTTAAGAGGTATACTTCTCTGTATTTTCCACATGTGATATCCTATTCGGCTTCTAAGAATAAGTCTTAAGGGCTTCATTGGCATTATCTGGTAGTATTATTCACCTTATGAGTGCAATCGGTTGACACTAAGCAGTGGGTTATCCATTACAGTCTAAAACACTGAATCTGTTACTTACCATAGTACTTGAGTAATTGTGTCTACAAGTCTTTTCAATGGTTTAAATTCCCTCTTATAGCTTCAATTCAGTCAACTTCCAGAACTTATCCTTTTGATTATTGTTCTCTGGTTACCTTACTAGTACACTTCCTCTTCTTACCATCCATAGATCAATTGATACTACCAATAGATGACATAGAATGTGATAGATTGCATGATACCGTAATTCAGCATCCAAGCAACTCATTAAAGCTTCACTGGTGGCATTATGGGTTTCTGTAATCTTAATTACCAGATCTCATAAACATCTCCCTTAACTACCTCCCTTGAGTATCTTGCTTAAATCTTCCTCGTCTCGTCTTCTACACTTCTCACTCGTCAGAATATAAATTCACTACTTAGGTCGTCTAATGATCGTTGTGCTTCAAGTGCTGGTACTCCCAGATGTAACCGGAAATGAGGACAACAGCAGCCAAGTGGAGCAAAGGCTTGCCGGAAGCGTTGTCACCGTCAAAGTAGGCAGCCTTGTACTTGCCCCATGGGGTAGTTGGCTTCTTTGGAGCTGGAGCTGGGCCAGTTGGCAACTTCTTGTAGAACTTGACAACCTCGCCCATTCTCTTGGCATCGGCGGCGCCACCAATGTTCTAATTGTTAGTAAAGGGTTTGAACTTGTTTTGATGATTTCCGGGAAGAATATATGGATATTGGGTTGTTTTGAGTGGATTGTTTGTGGACTGTTTGTGGATCGTTTACTTTTGGCAAAATGGACGGTTTTCACCGCTGAAATCTCTCAATTGAAGGTGGAATCAATTCCTTAACGTTTAAATAATATTCTGAGTCAATTTGGTCGGAAATGAACGACTTCCAGGGGAATTGGGGTGGATGGACGTGGAGACATTTCAAGGACGGGTAACTCCACGAAAAATGGTCGGAAATTCATCGTTTTTTCGCGTGCACGAAGCTCTCGTTACATACCTTAGCAGAGGCAATCTTTGGAGGGATCAAGGTGGACAATTGTCTTCTGATGATGAACGACATGGTTGATGAAGAAAGAGTTTTCTGGTGGAACCGGTTTTCGCTTTTGGTGAGATTGTGCGCTCTCATTCGTCCGACGGTGTATGCAGGATATTTGCCCAAAACCCAAGGCCCCCCTACAATCAACCAATCCACAGAAAGTGAAGAAAGGAGAGAATATTTTATGAATTAAATACGATACAAGTGTTTCTAATTCAGCACGTTTGGTGTCTATGGCGGGAAATTGCGGAAAAGTTGAGTTTGTGGCGTGAAAAACACGACTTTTGTGGAAGTCACGTGACTTGGTACCAACGGAAAGTCATACTCCAGCAGCCTCCAAAAGGCTTCATGAAGCCGAAAATGCCCTTAGAAGCAATGATTCGTCAAAGCGTGAACCCTGGTTCTGTTCTGGTTTCTTTTGTGTGTTTTGTGGTGGATAACCATGGAAGTAGCACTCTCACAGTGACCAGCAAGCCAACCTCCAACAACCCCAACAAATCCGAAAGCAAACAGACGTAGAGCCATATAGACATCTTGTAATCCACCGAACGAACCATGAGCGAACCCCATTTAATTGAATTTCACTGTCTCTCTTTGCATCCTCAGCAACCATCTCATTGCTTTATCCAATCCACCCTTAAACCGCCCCAATCCACCTTAAACAGCAATCCACCTTTCAAGAATCTCCTCAAAACCCCCTTCCTTTCATCCATCCACTTCCCCCACTCTACAACTCCATCTGACCGTCCCTCGATTGACTATATGATCTAAAACTCGCTAATGTACAAAACTGTCGTTAGTATTCCATAAAAATCTCCTTAATCCACTCTTAACATACCGTTATTACCTCTGATAAACACATCGTTGAAGCTCCTGCCCTCTTTTTCACCCACAAGCTCTTTGGCACCGTCCAAGGCAACATTCATAAACCCATCTATGCTTTGCAAGTTGCCCAGGTACTGCACGCCGTTGTGAAGCTTAACAACAACAGACGAGCCAATAATGGAGCTTAGAAACTTCGAAGGGTCCGTTTTCTGTGACATGGCTGGATCTGGAAGTTGGATAGTTACTTGGTCGTCTAAGTACTGAAAATAATATGAGCCAGGTCGTGTGCGAACCAAGAGACTGGTACACTTAACCCCCCGCCATTCCACCCCCCACCCGTGGAAAGTATAAATAAAGTTGATTTTCCTCAATATACCAATGAATTCTATATAAATGCTTAGTATTGGGCCTCCAGGATCCCCCTGGCGGGAGATCCTGGTGTGCCACGTGACCCCAGATCCATTCTCTACCATTCCCGCGCCCCAACTAAACCATTTGTTTACGCATAAATCGTCTAACGAGCACAGGAAAAAAAAAACCACCTAACTCATACCCCTACCCTTTTTATCAAAAAAACTAACCATGGATAAACTCAAGGAGGTATGTCGTCCAGTTTAAATAGTCCAATTCCTCGCAGGCACGGTCAATGAGGATACGTGGCCAGATCAGCCCCTCCTTCCCCTTGGGGAGGAGGAGGCTCAGAAGCCAGAGGCCAAGAAGCCAGAACCCAACATCATACTAACCACAGAAACTTAACAACCTCAAGTTGGATGCCGAGAAGTGGCAGGAAAAGTCTGACGAATTGTCTGAAAAGATCAAGGAGTTGGAGCAGGAAAACTTGGACAAGGACCACCAGATCCAGGCCTTGACTAGAAAGAACCAGGTGTTGGAAGAACAGGTGGAGAAGTTGGAGACGGATCTTTCTGAAGTGAAGGAGTCAGCCAACGAGTCTCACTCTTTGAAGACGTCCAATGAGAACTACACCAAGAAGAACCAGGTGTTGGAAGAAGAGTTGGAGGAGGCCGATAAGAACTTGAAGGAGACCACTGCCAAGTTGAGAGAAACCGATATCAAGGCCGAGCAGTTGGAGAGAAAGGTGGCTTCGCTCGAGCAGGAGAAGGACGACTGGGAGAAGAAGTACGAGGAGTTGGACGAGAAGTACGCTGCTTCCAAGGCCGAGTTGGACGAGATCTCCCAGCAATTGGAGGCCATCTAAGGATGAATACCCCCGCCTTTTATATCGTTTATACGTGCCACTGGCGCCTAATACTGAGCCCTCGAGGCGTAGAGATGATGTTGTAGACGTGTAACACGCCATTCATTGGCCGGCCAGGCGGCTACGCCTGGCCCCATGTTCCACCCCAGAACCAAAACCTTCATCTAAGTAGACAACCACCCCTTTCCTATAAATACCAACCAATTCCCCCCATTCCATGTCTCCCCGTCGAGAATTCCACTCCCTTGCCCAAACCAGGATTTGCCTGAAAAATGCGCAGTATGTCTCACCACATCTAGAACCGTTATCACCACTCGTATAACACCTTGTTCCATCCTGAAACACACCTGAAACGCCAGTGAAACCCCTCCTTGCCTCCGCTTATTCAACGACTCAAAACCATCTCAAACCTTCTTTCAAAAGACGTAAACTCCCCCCACTTCATGCCCATTTGGAACGGCCTTCGTCGCCGTATATCCCTGCAACAGCTCTCGCTGTACCTTGTGGATGAAGACTACACGCTGAACCGCCGAGGAAGAGCGTCTCGGGAAGATTCCAGAGACCTGACGGCAGATATCGATAGCGATTCGCTTATGAGAATGGGACTCATGCACAGCAGTAGCACTGAGGGCCCTGAAGAGCCTAGAAGGATGTCTGTGATGGATAATGTGTTTGACCCAGATGAACCGGTTCCGCTGTATGAGCTGTCTCAGGAACACCACCATCGGAATAGACCTGATTTTCAAGTTGGCGTGGACTGTGAAGACAGACTACGGCACAGTGTGGACCTGACTCCACCAAACGAGTGTCTGACACCTCCACCGCCTCCTCCATTGGACCAGAACACGTACCTGTTTCTGGATCCGTCGAGTTTGGCGCTGGTGAATTCAAACAGTTCCAGCAGATCGACGCTTATACATCAGAATGGCAGTCTACGGCCTTTCTACGAGTCCAGACGGTCCAGAAACGGTAGGGAACTGAGAGAACAAAGCAGAGAGCCCCAGCCACGGAAACGGTCGCTTAAAAACTTGGGGCTTAAGTTTTTGAATGCTAGACAACACTTTTTGCTTGCGGTTTGCCGGGATGTATCGTTAATTCCGTGTATTATGGGACTCTGTGAGTCCTGGTGGATCGTGTTTATCAGGTCAGAGAAGTTTTCAAGTGACTCTGCTGGTATCACTACGGCTCGTGGCTCGGAGCACTTTCTTGAAGGCATTTGGTGTATTGTTGCTGGCTACTTGCTGTACTCGGTGCTTGACGGTTTAATGGTTCGTTGGATCGTCACTTACTCTACTACCGGTGCCATTGTACGGATGTTATCCATGTCAACAATTCTTGTGGCCATTGAACAGTATTTGGTCTCGGCTTTCTCGGCTGAAGGGTACCAGTATGGACTTCATACGTGGATATTGATATCATGTGCATTGACGTTGCTTTACATTGTTCAGAACTTTGTCACGTCGAATATCGATCTTAAAGGTAAACGACGTGCACGATTCTTTGATTTTTATAACATTGTTGTGTTTGCCGTGGTGCCTGTTGGACTAGCATCATTTATCACCATGATTGGACTATTACGGTCGTTATTGATTCTTCGGCTTGACATTGAGGAACAGAGGCGATGAAACGGGAATAACAGTGATTTTATAGCGACGTTCTGGGAATCTAGTTCCAGAACCTGGCAAGTAATGACGCCTTGGCTGGCGTTGAGTGATGATATGATGTTGACATGGTAAATAGGCAAATGATTACGATTAAGAAGAAGCATGTATAAACCATGGATGGTTTTGTAAAGGTTTTTTGAGTTATAAGTGGATTAATGAAAAATAGGGTTTTCATTGAAATGGAAGCCATTCAATACATACCTTCTTCTTATAGCCCACTTAGTACTCATAATACTCAGTAAACTCTCATAAACCACCACTTCAATCCACCAAAGACCCACTTAAATCGACCAAACCCCAAAGATTCCCTTTCCTTCACTTCTTCACTTTTTCATATCCTTCTTCCCTTTTTATACATCTCCTCTCCATTCCCAATCCTCCACACATTATATATTTTGCACCCATTACGCTACTTCTGCGAGTACATACAAATCCCACTTGTCTTCCACCTCCAACCAAAAATCCCAAACCTCAACCAAAAAACCCCAAAAACCCACCATCCTCCTCCAAATCACCTCCTCTTTCCATTCCCACCAAAATCTCCCCCAAAATCTCCTTCCCTCCATCTTCTTCCTCCTACTCCCCCCTCCATCTCCAAACCAGACCTGCATTCCATCTCCTCCCATACTCGCACTCTGAAAAACTTACACTACCAACCTCCACCTCCAACAAACCCTCCATCCATCCAGTCCCAAAATGGTGGTCCACGTTTTTGGTAAGGCTATCAAGCACAACCAGCTCGTCCATATTGGCCTTCAGGCAAAGATTTTCGGCGTGGGTCCACAGGTGGCACAGAAGATCTGTGCTAAGGTTGGACTTTATCCACAGATGAGAATGAACGAACTTGATGAAGCACAGATCATGTCGATTAATAAAGAGCTCTCAGAGATGCAGGTGGAGCACCAGTTGAAGCAGAAGATCAGAAACGATATTGCGTTGAAGCAGAAGACGGGCTCGTATGTTGGTCAGAGACATGCTGCTAGTCTTCCGGTGAGAGGCCAGGGCACGAGAAGTAACGGACGTACTGCCAGAAGACTTAACAAGTGGCGTACGGAATAGACGGAATACGGTCATTTTACTTTTGTACATAGGGAAGGTTTATTCAGATATGGTGATGTAGAGTAGGTAGGTCGGTTAACCGAACAACTTGATGGTGTTGTCTCCCACAAGAGGCTCTTCCTCTTCTTCTTCGTCGTCAGAAACGTCCTCTTTCATGCTGACTTTCTGGCCCAACAAAGATGCAAAGAACTCGTCGATCTGGTCGTCTTCCCATTTGAGCACAGACTGGCGAGTCTCGAAATTGGCAATTGGTTCTTGGACGTGGTACCGTAACTTTCTGCCCTTGGATGCTTTGTTATCGACGTTTTTCTTCACCTTGGCAGAAGCGGCTCCTCTCATGGCAAACTGTAAACCTGACGTTGGATCCGTAGACTGGATCTTTCTGTCGACCAAATCGTTTAATAAAACACGGTAGAAATCTTCGTCATCGAAAATCAGGTCCATTTCTTGAACGTTAAGCGACCTGCTCTGGGTAGCTTTAGGAACATCAGCATCTTCCTCGTCGTCTTCATCACCCAGCTCTTCATTCTCTTTCTTCAGAGCCTCATAAAATTCATAGCCCAATGGCTTCAACTGTTTTCTATTAAGCTTGGTTCTCTTGACAAGACGGTCCATATCGGCCAAATTGTTCATCACTTGCTGCTCTGCAGACTGGTTAAGTGCTTTAAACTTGCTGGCGTTCATGGCGCTGGAACCAGAAGAGTTCTGGATCTTAGCCAGCCATTTCGTAAGAACATTGCTTCTGTAGTCATTAAGAATAGTATCGTACTTGGACGAAGCTTCAAGGTACAGCTCCAAAGAACGTTTCTTGGGTTTATGCTCAACAGGCTCAACCACAACGTTCTCCTTGACATATAACCTGGACCGTAACTGTAAAATGGAATCTAGCAACGAGTAACACTTCTCCGATGCTTTTTCTAGTATATCTTCAGTAGAATCATTTCCAAGCTCTTCCTTTTCAAGGGTTTCGTGGTTACCAGGCAAAAGGTTAGAATCCGTCAAACCTTTCTGTACCTTCAACCTAACGTCTATTAGCGAGTCAAAGAGCTTATGCTGTTGTAAGATCGAGTAACCCTTGAGAGCCTCCTGAGTAGCTGCCTCAGAGAGTCTATTAACAATATGCTTTCTCTCTTTAGTCATCATCGCTCTGATCTTCTCTCTCTTGACATCTGCATCCTCCTCGTCTTCTGAGCCCTTCTCTTCGTCACTTCCCTCATCACTGCCCTCATCACTTGACTCTTCATCACTGTTAGCTCGAAGAGAAGCTCCAGAGTCACTATCATTCTCTTCTTCTTCCTGTTCCTCATCGTCTTCATCTGCCTCGTCCAGTCCACTGTCACTTGGCTCCTCCCCATCACTATCCTCGTAAAGATCCTTTCTAGACGCCAAAGCGCCCTTATACTTCTCTCCCTTGACCAAAGAACCGTTCTGGTCTCTGAGTTTCGACTTGCCTACCGAAACATAATGGCCCTTCTTGAGCTCCTCATCAGACTCATCTGAAGCCAGGAAGTCTTCCTCGTCTATACGAGCAAACGGATTCAGGTCTTCGTTTTCAATATCAAAGTCAGGAGGCTGGTCAGACTCTGCGAACTTCTCTGCAAGTGATTTTTTCGCCATGCTGTGGATGTTGGTGGTGGTAATTGGTGAAGATGGGATGCTTTTCTCATCTCGAAAAAAGTGTATATCTACGATGCGCATCGCATGCAAGGGCCATAATGGCTGCAAACAGAGAGAAGAGGAGGAAGAGGAAGAAGATGGTCATTAGTGGCTGCATTATTGGTCTATACCTGGGAGGCTTTGGGCATCTTTGAATCCTTGAAATCACAAAAATGTGATTTCAACCAAGAATGTGATGTCATGCCACTTCAGCTACTTCACCTCGCCAAAGGAGAAATGGCCGGTTTCGTTGGCGTGCTTGGATGCTCCGTTTTCTCCCACTAGCACCAGGTAACACTCCAAACAACGTACTCTGAACGTCGTGGTGTTGGTAGAATAATTTCTCAGCTGAAGAAGCTTGACGAGCTGCTTGCTGGCGTCCACGATCTCTTCTTCACTCAGAGTCCAGTGGCCAACATCTCCTTCTTTTTTGGTGCTGGAAACGCTATTCAATGCAATGCTATCGTAATGGATACCCGAGTAAACGAGACAAATGAACTTGGACGGTTTCTCGGCTTCATCTTGGAATACCATTACGTTGCCCAGCTCCACATCAAAACAGTTTATCCGAATCCCTAAAGAACTGGCAATGATCCCTAGTTCAATAGCACCGCCCCAGGAATCCTTCTTTTCAATCCACTCACAGTACTTGTCTATAGGTCTTCCAAGAACCATCTCATTATACGTAAACGGATCACTGGCAATTCTCGTCGACACAAGCTGTCGAAGGTTGATATCGTCCATAGAAAGCTGGTTCGTAAGTGAATAACTGATAGCTCTAAACATGCACGAGTTGTCATCCGGAACATTCCTAAGTATAGCATACTTATTAAGTTGCTTAATGAACACACTAGGAACGTCACTAGACTCTTTAGGTTTCGAAGAAGCAGCAACCACTGAAGACCCTTCCTCGGTAATCCCCGTTGAAGGACCCGTTTCCGCTAATATCTGCTGGTTGGCACGTATCCCAGCTTCCTTAATCAGCACATCTGAACCGGCATCTATAGACTGTGGGGGAAAGCCAACCTTGAATGAAGTGATGGAGATGTTTGCAAGTTTCGACGATGTTCGAGATATAAACAGCGCTAGTTCAGCAACCGAGATGGACTCGTCTTCTATGGAAATCACGTCTGTAGCAGTAGATGTCTTGACCTTGATTCTCATGGTAAGTAGTAGTTTACTTATCTATAAACGAGTCACTTATCGCGGAATGCAGTATATGGACAGATACAAAGAGATGGACTCCCACAAGCCTCCCAAGACAATCAAGGCAGAGGAGGCAACGCTTTTAGGGCTTATTTCCATTTACAGAAGAGCCATACTCTATTGTCTTCTGGTCTACACTGTCTCGCTGTGTTCCCGTTTGACTATCTAGTGTACATGAATATCCAGCAGACCGAGGTCCGAACGCCATGAATAGGCAGTAGTGGTAGAAATAGGACCAGCAGCGGCAGCTGCTGGTTACCAAAACTCACCAAAACTCACCACCACCACCACCTATATGCCTTTACTTCTCCAGCTCACTCCATCTAATCCTTCATCTCAAGGTCAGCCTGTTCCGATGGAATCCCCGTGATAAGTGCATCCAAATTGTCCTTCTTGGAATCCTTGATCGAATCAAGCTCCTGCTTGTTCTCGTGCTTATACTGTTCGGTCTGCTTGTACTTCTCCACAGAGTCCATGAACTTCTGGAGGTTGTACCCAGCACACGCCTCGCTTTCTAGCGGCGTGTACGGTCTCTGCCTGAGGTCTTTCAACCTTCTCTTATGCACTTTGCCCTTTCTGTGGTGGTCCAACGTGGGCTGGGACTCGAAGTATTTGGCACATTCCACACAGTAGTATTGGCCCAACCCAGGCTTGGTTTCGTCCAACGCCTGGTTCTTCAAAGCGTATACGGACTCCTTGGTGGCGAGATCCTTGTAGACGAGATCGAGATCTCTGGTTCTTCTTTTCGTTTTGTATCTTTTGACCGAGTACCTTCCCATGATGTGATCTGGTGAAAAGATTATTTAGTGCATCTGGAAATGTCTTATCTGAGATGAGCATGCCTGGTGCACGGGTGTGGCACATAGGCCTTCCAACTGGTACACTTAGAAGGAAGAAAAGGAGGGGGAGAGGTATAGGGGAGGATAAAGTTGATGATTTGGTCGCATTCAGAATGGCTGGTTTGAATGGAGGGCTTTTCAGAGCGTTTTGGGTGCCATTGGAGGGTCATTTATAGGGATGTGTAGAGACAAAAGACATGGACAGGGCATTCAATGTGAATAGCTATTTAGCTGGAATTTTACTAGCATCACTTTGATCTCAAAGTAAAAGAAGAAAACAACTACATTAATTAAACAATTGCCTTACTTTACTGCTCTCATGGTGTGGTGACTGTAATGGCTGTTCTTGTCAATGGCTGCGAAATCAGTAGGAGAAGCACAGTGTACATGTATTTTGTGCCACAGCCAGGTAAACAATTTAATTTGATTTTAGACTGCTTTATTGAACTCAAAAGGAACCAAAGAAACTCAATTTGAAGCCAAACTGTCAATAACCCAAAGAATACATCTCATTCGGTGCACCCTCCACTCGACCATCTACAACCCACCGCCAACTCACCAAAAACTCCTCTAATTTTCCCAGTGACCCATCAACCATACAAAACAGCTCTCATTGCATCGCTTTCCACTGCCTGCTTTGCCTTAATGTTTCCTTACCACCCTTTTTACTACACCTGTTGGTGGGTACCTAACAGTCACAGCACACCACGTGACCATCACTCTCCCTCACTGCCATAGTTAACTCTTGCCAGCCCTAGTGTGAGCAGCCGTCTTACCTGCACTCCGCGCGGTGCTGAGGCTCACTAAGTAAAAAAAAATTTATCACCATTTTTCCCTTCCCTTCTTCAACGACTAGTTCACAACAGGTATGTTTCCCGGTCCCAAACTGCCAGCAATAAATCGAGACGTCCTTTAAGTGGGAAAAGCCAGGGTTTATATAGTCCAAGATTCCTTCCCCTCATTTCCGTCAAATGTCCATTTTCCAACCGTCCATTCCACTTTTCAGTGCTCACTAAGCAGCCCAATACAAGTCAACTTTCCCAATACAAACACCCAAATTCGAAAGCCAAATATCTAAAAACACCAAATTCTTGGTATTTGCCACCCCCTGAAAAGCCTACCATTTTTTTAAATGGCTGACCTTCCTAGACATTTCTGATCAACACACGACCCACCTCGATTAATAAGCATCTCGCCTCACTGAAATCTGCGCAGACTTTCACCACTTCCACTTTTTTCAATTACTAACTCTTTCCAGACAAAATGGCTAGAAGACCAGCTAGATGCTACAGATACTGTAAGAACAAGCCTTACCCAAAGTCTAGATACAACAGAGCCGTCCCAGACGCCAAGATCAGAATCTACGACTTGGGTAGAAAGAAGGCTTCTGTCGATGACTTCCCATTGTGTGTCCACTTGGTTTCTAACGAAATCGAGCAGTTGTCTTCCGAGGCTTTGGAAGCTGCCCGTATTTGTGCCAACAAGTACATCACCAAGATCTCCGGTAGAGATTCTTTCCACTTGAGAGTGAGAGTCCACCCATTCCACGTCTTGAGAATCAACAAGATGTTGTCGTGTGCCGGTGCTGATAGATTGCAGCAGGGTATGAGAAACGCCTGGGGTAAGCCTCACGGTTTGGCCGCTAGAGTTACTATCGGTCAGGTGCTCATGTCCGCCAGAACCAAGGACTCCAACAAGGACGTTGTTATCGAGGGTTTGAGAAGAGCCAGATACAAGTTCCCAGGTCAGCAGAAGATCATCATCTCTAAGAAGTGGGGTTTCACTCCTCTTGACAGAGAAGAGTACATTGCCAAGAAGAGAAACGGTGAGGTCAAGGACGACGGTGCTTACGTCAAGTTCTTGTCTAAGAAGGGTAACTTGGAGGAGAACTTGACCCAGTTCCCTAACTACCAGTACCAGGTTTAAGTGTATATCTGTAATTGATTCTGCTACTTGATTTGCACATTGTAGACGTTGATTAGTAAGCTATGATGTATGCAGCTGAAGTATATAGTGGAAAGTTTTATCCAGATCAAGATCAAGATCCAGTTTCAATCTGATAGTTTCCTTTTGTGCTCCAATTCCTTCGAAATAAGCAGATACTGTTTCTCCAAAAGGCCATTTTTCGGAAATGTCTATCCCTCTTGCCTTTCTGGTGAAACAGTTTCGACCATGTTTAACATCATCCTGGCATAGCCAGCCCAATCGTTTGGTTCCTTGACAGTAATTTTAACAAATGCAATCAAAGGAATTGAGACCAGTATTGAAATGTGAATTATAAGACTCAGTGTGATCAAAAGGATGAGTACGACTCGAACGACGGTTTCCCATGGTGGCATTAAACAAGTAAGGCTTTCTAATGAAAGAGATAATAACATGTTAAGAAAGCGTTTCAAAGAAGGTACGATGCAGAGAGTCTTCTCCAACGAAGAAGTCGTCAACAAGTTGGGTATGGCATTGAGTGGGTTTTCCAAGGATGAATATAAGAAACTAATTTGTGAACGATTTGAGTGGACTCGGAGTGAAGGTTTCCGTCTTATATATTCCATCGGACTGATAGTCATTGATTCAAGATAGGAAAGAAAAAGACTGCAAAGTTGTAAAAGGTGATGGCTTACTCGAATGGAATATTCTATCAAGGCTTGATAGTTTTCATGTTTTAAGGGCTTTCTGGAGAAGATCAATACGGAGGTGAATAAGAGAAGCCCAGGAAGTTCTCCAAAGAGAAGGAAGTGTATACTAATTAAATGATATATTAAGATAAGTCGATGGTGGTTTACTAAAGAGATACAGTTCATCTCATGATGTTCTTTGGGGACTGTAGCTTTTCACGACACCATACTTACTGAACCTCTAAATGACTGACAGTAAGTAATTTGCAAAGAAAATGCTATATAATTAAGACCTCATTTATATGTGTCTTCAGATCAAGTTCTGTACTGGAAGACTGCTCATGGCGTGCCCACTGAAGGTCAACCAGACAAATAGAAAGCCAATAGAAAGTGAAGAAAAGAGCAGAAATTGAAAGCAGAGTGTCAGTGTATACAACTAACAAAAAATAAAAAAAAAACCAAAACCAAAACCAAATATCACTTTGTCAGTTCCCTTAGCTGTCCTGTCCATATTAATCAGATCCACAGGAGTCCACAGCAGACCACAGCAGACCACCTGGTTACTATCCCAGCCACGAACTCCCTAAACTAAACACCTTAAATCTAAACACGTTAAAAGCCAGACCCCCTCCAGCTCCCTCCACCCCAAACCTTAACTGCTGACTTCCCTCATCCACCTCACTGTCTGCTTCAGCCGTGCCATCCATCAACCCCCAGTCCCCAAGTCCCCCAACATTCAAATCCAACAAAAAAAAACCATACCACCCAAATCTGAAAACCCTTACTTCCATCCCAAATCAGCCTTCCCTCTTCCCTCCCTCCAACTCATCCCCACCCTGTTCTTCCAAGCCACGTTTGGTTGACAGGCTGGCTGCGAAAAAGTGTCTCTTCCAGTACCATCCCACGAGGCAGCCAAGGGACCGTTAAAACCGCCAAAAATGGCTAAGAATCTCCAGAAAAAGGCCAGCCTATACAGATTTACCCACAGATTCCAATAAAAACCTTGAAAACCCTCCAACATCACTCCGCGGCAAGCCACGAAGTGATGTTGGTGGTCGGTCCATCGCGGTGCGTAAAAAACCCACCCAGGCCACCGCGTCTGCTGCCATAAATACCGGCGTGATTCCCTCGCAAAAACCTTTTTCACCCATTCCTTTTCCAAACCATGTCCTTCACTCACAAAGAAAAACCTGACACTTTGGTGTTGTTCGATGTCGACGGCACGTTGACGCCCGCCAGATTGGTCATTTCCGACGAAATGAGAGACACCTTGAAGGCCTTGAGAAAGAAGGTGGTGATTGGTTTCGTTGGCGGCAGTGACTTGTCGAAACAGGTGGAGCAGCTTGGCGACACTGTGTTGCAGGACTTTGACTACTGTTTTTCGGAAAACGGGTTGACCGCTTATAAGTTGGGCAAGGAGCTTGCGTCCCAGTCGTTTATCAACTGGATTGGCAATGACAAGTATAACAAGCTTGTGAAGTTTATCTTGAGACACTTGGCTGATATTGATATCCCAGTGAGAAGAGGTACATTTATTGAGTTCAGAAACGGTATGATTAACGTTTCGCCTGTGGGAAGAAACGCTTCTACTGAAGAGAGAAACGAGTTTGAGAAGTTTGACGCTCAGCATAAGGTCAGAGAGACCCTTGTCAATGCGCTTAAAGAGAACTTTTCCGATTACGGCTTGACTTACTCTATTGGTGGCCAGATCTCGTTTGACGTGTTCCCTACCGGTTGGGATAAGACTTATGCTCTTCAGCACGTTGAAAGTGAGGGTTTCAAGGAGATCCACTTCTTTGGCGACAAGGCCTACGAGGGCGGTAACGACTGGGAGATCTACTCCGACCCAAGAACCATTGGCCACGCTGTCAAGGCTCCTTCCGACACCATCAGAATCTTGAAGGAGACTTTCGACTTGTAGATGCGATTACAATACGTTTAATATATACATGAACTGTGGGTTTTACTGCGGACGGTAGTAGATTGCTGACCCGTCGCTTCCACCGGTAATGACTTGTTCGACCTTCTTCTTGCCGATTTTCTCTCCGTCGAGAAGCTGGAGTCGACTGGTGGTGACATTGTTGATCTTCTTTGCCAACTTCTTCTTTGATGCAGATTCGCTTTCTGCAAAGTCGCTGGGCTCAATGAGTTTAGGCAAGGCCACAGGTTTAGAGCTCTTGACGCTCTTTCCGTTACCAAACTGGCCCTTATCGTTTTGGCCAAACACAAGAACATCCTTGTTAGGGCCTGAGTTGTCCAATACAACAAACACATGGTGGCCACCAGGAATGACATTCTTGATTCCAATGTTCTTGATAGCCTTGGCCTTTTCGTCGAATTCAGTAAGACCAACAAGCGACTTGAGCACAGCTGGAACAGAAGCGACGTGCATGTACTTCGAAAGACCCAACTGTCCGCTAAGACCAGCCCCAAAACTAAGCAAGAGCTCTTGGTCCTTGGAAGGATCCTCTTCGTTGGTGCTTTGCAATTGAATGAAGGAAGATTCGCTCGATGCAAAAACATTCTTGACGTGGAACTTGAAACCAGCTCCGTTCTTTGGCAAACTGTACTTCAGGATCTTTTCCAACTCAGCCAATGTATATGCTACTCTTGGAACTGGCTGGATATCATCAGTAGAAGTCAAGTCTTTGCCGCACTGGCCAAAAGTGTTGGCGCCCCAAGTCCAAATGTTTCCGTTCGCTTCACTGGCAATATTGAAGTTGTCACCTGTTGCAATTGACGAGAACGTACGTGGACGCACATACTTACCATCCTTGTTTGTGACAATTTCGTTATTCAAGTTGGCCAAATCATAGACTTCGTTAGAGACGTCAATTGGCGATTTCAAGTATGGAGAGTACTTGGGCAAACCAAACTGTCCTTTGTTCAATGGCTCACGAGCAGCAACAGCGCCATAAAGCTTACCCTTTGAACTAAGAATAAGCAAATGGTTAAGACCTGCTGTGATATCCTCAACTGTTTCACCCTTCATGGCGTCAAGTTTCAACTTTTCAGCCGAATAACTATAGCTTGAAGAGCCGAGCCAGCCTCTTTGTTTCTTAGGAAGCTGACTAAGCTTTGGACCATAGAAAATCTCCTTCTTGTTCTTACCCAAGTAGTAAAAGCTGTCTCCAGAATGCAACACACGAGATACCTTCAGCGGCATGTTCACGGCAATTGGTTCCTTGAACTTTGGACTGTAATGGTACACCTTGCCCAGATCGTCAATTGCAACCAAGTAGTCATGCTCAATCAACATATCCTGAAGAAGCATGCCATCGAAAAAGCTCAATCTCGTAGGAAGCTTATTTTTAGAGAAGCCACCAAAGACATAAAGACCAGTGTTTGACTTTGAATCAAGCAAGTTCTTTACAAACCCAGGCGACAGCGCAAGCTCGCCACTCAAACGGTCCACAAGATTAGCTACCTTCTTCTTATTCTCCTTAGGATCCTTCATATCTCTAACCTTAGAATCATCAATATCATAGTTAATCTTATTCAGGAACCAACCCTTCAAGTACTTATAGTTCATCACAAGCGAATAAACAGAAACAATGGAAACAAGCGCAAACACACCAGCACCAAGCCCCTTAAGTCTTTCGTTTCTTTCCCACGCCTTACGCTGTTTCTCCTGTTCCTTCTGCATCTCCTTCTGGATAATGAACAACTGTTCTTTCCATTCAGGCGAGTTCGGCTCAATCCCTTGAAGACGAGGATGTGTCAGAGGATCAAATTCCACAAACCCCTCAGCCACATTATCAAGTCTTTCCTTCCGATCGGCACTTTCGGTTTCATCCATCTCATCTATGCCATGGCCAAACTTGAACTCCTTTTTCTGTTTATTGAATTCTTCAATCGAACGGTACTTGTTGGAGTTGAACCTCACTTGGCAGAGAGGCCTTGGAAACCTAAGAGGTCTCGCAAACCGTACCCTAGATATCATTATACGGTACTGATCTGTAGTAGGTATATAGAGAGAAGCCAGGCATGATAATGGGTAAAATGAAGGGATATATGCAGGTCATGGAATATTGGTGATCACCAGTATTCCCCCAAAGCAAAGTCGTTTTGGAAAAACCAAACAAATAGGGGGAATACTACAATTGGTAGAAACCCCCTGAGACCCTTAAAATTTCTCTAACATGTGTATGCTGGGAGAGGTAGTGCTTGCTGGAGGAGGCTGATGGGGCACTTCCTGCAGTACATATCAACAACCTCACACCGTAATCAAGGACAACCACCAAGAACTACAAACACATCCACCTAAAACCGTCTATATCATCACATGAACTACGTTGGACTAAATATCGGAAAGAGGCTGCTCAGCTCCATCACCAAGTTCGATACCAAGAAGTTCGTTCAGTCGCTCCAGACGAAAGGCAAGTTTACCGAGGAGCAAGCCGAGGCAGCGGTGAATATCGTGAACAAGGCGGTAAACGATGGTATTTCGTCGATAGCGAAGAACTTGGTGACCAAGGAGACCTTGAATTCGATTGCGTACCAGCAAAAAGTTGATTTTGCCAAGTTGAAGGGTGAGCTACAGACCATGGATAAGTCTGAGTTCACTAACCTTAAGAAGGAACAAGAACAGTTGCGTACGAACTTGACGAATTTACAAAACAGACTTAAGGAGGAGATTACAAAGAACTCGGCTGGCGTCAGGCTTGATTTGAACTTGGAAAAGGGTAGAATCAGAGAAGAGAGTTCTCTCCACGAGCTGAAGATCGAGGATACATACACGAGGATTGACGAGGAGATTGCCAACATGCAAATGCAGATTAAGTCTGTGAAAACTCAGGTCATGCAGTGGTTGATCGGTGTCAGTTCCGGTACCGCTGCTTTGATGTTGGCGTTTGTGCGTTTCTTCGGTTAAGAAGAGGTGAGAATACAAGAAGGATGGATAACCGGTGCTTGGGGATCGGCTGCTGTTGATTGTTTTGGTTATTCAGGCCCAGGGAAGGCGAGGGAGGCTCGGTCGGTGTTTTTGAACTCCGAGAATCCATCTTTTCACAGCAAATTGGCTGCCAGTAGCCAACCACAACCTCCCTAAGCAGATCCAATGTCTCTTTACTGGAAATTTCCGAGGAATAGGTCCGTTGAAGGCGGATATTGCTCGTCTACACGAGCCCTGGGTTAGTTGTTGCGGTACCCCAAATATGCCCACGCAACAACCGTAAGAACCCACAATACCTGCTCCTAAAACTACCCTAAAAAAATGCCCCATAAAAATACCCTCTACTAAATACAAATAGTTTCTCCCTTGTTCAATACACCCTATCAGAGAGCTTCCATTATTTCGTTCATCGCGCACGTGACCTCCTGCCAAATATCCAGTGGGTAGCAGCCTTAAAACACGAAAGACCAACACATCAACAGCGAACCCATTCCTATCCCAATGAACGCTCTTTACAATCATGGTGTAAGACAAACCCACCATCTCACGCGAGACTTGGCTTCCTTGGAAAAAAACCTCCTGACGTCCCCAATGTCTCTCCAAGGGTCCATCATAACATCGCTCACGGCATTCAAGAAAACCATCAAAGAGTATAATGACATGATCCAGCAAAGTGGCGGTGGCGACGACAAACACCGTACGCGATTGGAGAAGTTCAACGGCGAATTGAACCAATTCCAGCTGAAATTCGACTCCTTACGCCAGCAAAGAGAGTCTATCTTACAAGAAAACAACCAGCAAGAGCTCATGGGCAGGCGGCATGTGGCAGGAGGATCTGAAAATCCCTACGATTCGGGATCTCAGGGGTACGGCTATGGCCAGAATCAGCAACAGCAGACCTCCAACATGTCTTACCTGGAAGGGTTATATAAAGAGAAACAGTCACTTTCCAGAGGAAGCCAGCAGCTTGACCAGATCTTGGAAATGGGCCAGAATGCGTTTGAAGATCTTGTGGAGCAGAACGAAACCTTGAAGAAATTAGGTTCTAAGTTTTCTCTGAGTTTGGTTACATTAGGTGTTTCGCAGGGCACTATCCGTACCATTGAAAAGAGAGCCAGACAAGACAAATGGCTCTTTTGGGGAGGGGTGATTATTTTCTTTGTGCTCTGTTACTTCTTGGTCCGGTGGTTCCACTGAGCATGATTCCTTGGGTGGGAAAGGTTACGAGATAGGTGATTTGTGGGGGACATCGCAAAATTCAGAAGGCTTGATCCGCTTCATGCGCAACTACACCGTCCACATGAAGTGTAACCGGCGCAGCAGAAACAGGGTTTAACGGGGAGGGGAGCGGGCGACTCCTTTTTTTGAATTTTCATCTTTTACCTTTCAGTGGGTTCCTGTTTTGGATGTGCAAAAGACCAAGAAATCAGGGCCATTGGTGGTTTCCCCTTGAATCAAAGCGTCTGGTAGGACAAAGCTGAAACATTACGGAGTCGGGAAGGTCTGACAAAACTAACAAGTCTACTTTTTGATCTTGTTCGGTAAAGGTGGCTGCAAAACCCACGCGGGGTGGGGTACAGAAACATCAAGACACAAACCCAGCCGCTGTCGGGAAGGGGGGCCGATGACGAAACTTTCGCCTATCAGGTGTAGGCCAAGACACAGATTTCTTGGATCAAGTGTTCAATTTCACTACTCAAAAGAGATAAGTGGTGGGGACCAGAGCAACAAGCCAGTGCCAATTGAACGGAACCAAGTATCTCGAAATACCTAAATTACGAGTATCTAAGCCCAGATAACCGTCGAGACATAGATCCTTAGCTAACGTTGGCAAAGCCTTGGATCCAACGAGGCGAAGGTGGCTCTGGTAGGCTAATATGGCTTTTGCGCAAGGAAATGTGTCAAACATGCGCAGAAACATCCAGTCATGTTACCTAAACAGGCAAAACACTAAGCGGGTGCGCAGGCCTCTCGGTCCCCGGACAATACATGAACACAGGGTGCAACTTGCGGGAAATTACATGGGTAATTAGCCTAAACAAGACAAAGCCCTGGGCTGCGTTCACGGGAAGCTGTCTTTGTGGAACCGACGGGTGGCAATGTATGGGAAAGCGATCGAGGTTTTACATATCACTTTTCCTAATGGGGCAGTTGGACGGCATACAAGTAATGGCTGCGAAATCTATCTTTTGCCTAAAGAGGCATTGGTATTATGCCTCTTGGCTTCATGGTTTCTTCCTTTTTGCACCCAGATTGACCTTTATGCCTCTTCCGGCTGTTGTCAGAGGTCCGCCTGCTGCACCTGGCTTCTGCCTTTGTCAAGCACTATATATCCAAAGTGTCCGCCCCCACCCTCGAGAGAGAAACTCCCTCGTCTAAAGCTTTTCAACGCCTTTCCTTTTTTACCCTTTTACCTTTCTTGTTTCGTTCTTCGTTTTATTTCAACTTTCGAGCCTTCTACAAGGTTATTCGTTTTTGCAGTTCTGCTTGTTGATTTTATACCATCCTTTACACTTTTGTGGATACCCCCCATTTATTGAATCATGAACTTGAAGTTACTTGTGGTGGCTGCAGTGGCAGCCGCTGCTCCAATTAAAGAGGTTAAACGTGCAGATGTTGTTACCATGACAACAACTGCCAACGTTGGCTGGGCTCAGCTACTCGGTGGAAGTGCAGAGACTGATACTCCTGCCCCCGCTCCAGAACCTACTCCAACAACCCAAGGCTTACTTGGCCAGCTCTTTGGAGGAAACCAGGAGACTACCAGCACGCCGCCTCCAGCTCCAACTACAACCTCGCAGGGTTTCTTTGCACAGCTTCTCGGAGGTCAAGAGACAACGTCTACCCCTCCTCCAGCTCCAACTACCACATCGCAAGGTCTCTTTGCTCAATTGTTTGGCAATACTAATACCGCTACTACCCAGGCTGCTCCTGCTCCAGCTGCTACTTCTGCTGCCCCAGCCCCAGCTGCTTCCTCATCGCCGTCGTCTGGAAGTAGTTCAGGTGGAGGGTTCTTGAGTTCCCTTCTCGGATTGTTTAACACTCCGTCGTCTTCTTCAGGATCGTCTTCGTCTTCGAGCTCGTCCTCGTCCTCGTCGTCTTCATCCTCGAATTCTTCGGGCGGTTGGTTCTCAAACTTGCTTGGTGGCTTGTTTGGTGGTTCCTCTTCTGGTTCTTCCGGCTCCACCGGCTCTTCTGCCTCTGCAGCTGCTCCAGCTTCCTCTGGTGCTGCTTATACCCAATCTCAGAGTTCTAATAACTTTGGCGGCGCTAGCAGCAGTGATGGTAGAGATAGTCCTGGCTTCACCGAACCAGTTACTGTTGATGGTACTGGTGACGGATCCGACTCTTCTCTGCCAAACTCCGATGCCACCATTGCTTCCAACTCCCAAGTCGCTAAGGTCGCTGCTTACGCTGAAAAGGGTGGTGGTATCACTTACTCCCCTTACACTAAGAACGGTCAATGTAAGACTGCCAGTGAAGTTGCTTCTGATATCAAAAAGTTGAGAGGCTACGGTCTCATCAGACTTTACTCTGTGGACTGTTCTGGTATCCAGAATGTCGCCAGCGCCTTGTCTTCCTCCCAGAAGCTTTACTTGGGTGTGTGGTCTATTGACAACTTGGACAATGACTTGAGCAGCATGGACCAGCAGGTGAAGAGCGGATCTCGTGGTTGGAACGCCGTCCACACCGTTGCTATCGGTAACGAGCTTGTCAATGCCGGTACCAAGACTGCTTCCCAAGTGGCCAACGCTGTTAAGGAAGCCAGACAATGGTTCAAGCAGAACGTTCCTTCCTACTCTGGCTACATTGTCACTGTGGACACATTGGTTGCCGTCATGAACGACTCCCTGATGTGTGACATCTCTGACTACCTTGCTGTGAACTGTCATCCATACTTCAGTGGCATTGAAGCTCTGACTTCTGGCTCCTGGTTGAAACAACAAGTGGCCCTGTTGAAGAGCCATTGCAACAACGGTAAGGATATCCTCGTTACCGAGAGTGGCTGGCCATCTTACGGTAACACAGTCGGACAAGCTGTTCCATCTATTCAGAATCAGTACGAAGCTGTGAAGGACTTGGGTAATGTGATGGGTTCTTCGGTGATCATGTTCACCATGTACAATGACTACTGGAAAGCGCCTGGCAGCTGGAACGTCGAGCAACACTGGGGCATTTATGGTGACCCCGAGTACTAAGCGACTAGCTTACCAGAAACTTTTCTTTTGAAAAATATGTAAATTTGAATGATGTACATTAATTGGTGTTGGTGTAGAATGGCTGCGAAAACCGTTGATTATGTAGCCCAAGGGAGGGGCCGACAGTATTTAAAGCAAGGCAAAAACACCGTTTTTGACTTCTTTCAAACACAAATAAGAAGTCGTAATTAATTAATTTTTTACAGAGTTATCATTAATGTATTAGGTAGAATGGGAACCCAGGTGGTCGTGTGCCACCCAAAAGGGTCTACGCACCCATCAACAAAACCCATAAACAAGATTTCCACTAGTTAACAGTATATACTCGGTCGGTCCGTCTCCAACGCCATGTCAGACCGTGAAATCAAAAAACTCGCCACAAGGCTTAACGGCTTTGTTGAGTCCATATACCTGTTAAAAAATAACGCTGGCGCCTCAATCGCCAACGACTTCCACAAGCTTCCTCCAAGAACTGGCTCTGACTACTACAAAGTAATCACCAGACCGATCTCCCTCCATATCATTGCCAGACAAGTAAAGAGATTGGCTTATAGAGATGCACAGGAGTTTGTTCGTGACTTGGTGCAAATAACGTGGAATGCTCGTCACTATAACGAACCAGGCTCTCCGATCTATGAAGACGCATTAATCTTAGATAACTATATTAAGGAAACGGTTATACCCAGACTTGCCAACGATAAGAATATCACTATGCTGACGGGGGTGCATTATCCTGACTTGGGTCCTTTGGACGATTATGACCACCTTCAGTTTGACGCTGACGGTGCTAGTGCTCTGCCTTACTTGAAGAATGAAGAGTATGAAGAGGATGACCACCCTTCTCCATACCAGGCTCACCATAAGGCTTCTTCACACCCTCCAAAGGCTGCTGAAGGCGGTGTTAGACGTGGACGTCCTCCTATTATCGATAAGCCATACGAGTCGAGAATCAAGAGTATACTTAAGAACTTCAAGAGAGTGCGTCACCCAGACGACGAGAACCTTATTCTTACGGCTCACTTTGAGAGATTACCTGATAAGGCTACGCCAGGGTACTACGAAATCATCATGAACCCTATTTCGCTTCACGAAATCAGAACGAAGGTGCGTTCTAGAAAGTACCTTGACGTTCAGCAGTTCTTGGATGATTTGAACCTTATGATTGGCAATGCCAAACTCTTTAACGCTTCTGACCCAGCTATGATGAACGATGTGCTCATGTTTGAGAAACAGGCATCTGAGATAATCGAGAAGGAAATGCAGAGACCTGAAAAGGACTTTATCGTGGCTACAAACTCTGGCTCTGATGGTCTCAAGGTTCCAATTGATTCTGTTACTGTCAATGAACATACCTATAAGGTTGGTGACTGGGTGCTTATCAAGAACCCTAATGACGCTAATAAGCCAACTTGTGGTCAGATTTTCCGTTTATGGTCTACGGATGGTGTGGAGTACACTAATGTTTGTTGGTACATTCGTGCTGAGCAAACGTGTCATCGTGTGGATAGACTTTTCTACATGAACGAGGTCTGTAAAACCGGTGAATACAGAGACCACTTGGCCGAGGATATCGTGGGTCCTTGTTACGTGATTTTCTTGACTCACTACCAAAAGGGAGACATTCCACCTAACTTGCTTCCACCAGGCTCTGAGTGGTTCATTTGTGAGTTCCGTTACAACGCCAACAACTACGTCTTCAACAGAATTAGAACGTGGAAGGCATGTCTACCTGACGAGATCAGACACATTGATCAGCCAATTGTAACTATAAACGAGCCAAGGAAACTCATCAAGTATGATTCTCCAATCAAGCACTTGCTTCCTGCTAATGCCTATGATGATATGCCAGCGGCCCCACCTCAGCAAGGTCCTAATCCAAATGGTCCTCCAATTGTGGGATCTGTGTACTTGAGACCACCATTCTACAATGATGAACTTGGCCAGTGCTCCACATCTCCAAACGTTGCTCCAGCTCCTGAGTATGACGAACCAATGTCTGGCCGTAAGGCATACATTTTCACGCCAGTTTCTCAACTCAAGTCGGTGACTGGATCTGGTATTTACTCTTCCTCAGGTACCCGTTCTGTTACCGTCAACTACATTCCAGGTCAGTTCGACGAGGCTGCTGCCAACCTTCACCAGTCTCCACCTATTGCTACTCCTTCTATGGACACTTATAGACAGCCATACACCCCTCAGCCGGCTACCCAACCACCTATGAGCACATACAAGCCTTACGTGCCAAAGTACAAGGCTGAATCTCCAGCTATCAGTTCACGTGCTACGCCGCCAGTCGGAAATGTGAACTCTCCAGCAGCTCAAGGTTACCACTCGTCCACATCTACATACTCTGTTGTTCTTCCAGGAGGAGTAGTATCCTACGTTGAGAAGCCAGCTGAAGAAGGAGAGGAGTCAGCTGATTTATCCGACGTAAGTCAAGCCATCATCAACTTGAACGGGCAAAAAGTGTGGTTCAGATCCCCACCAGCCCAAGTCAGCTCCAGGACTATCAATGATATCGGCCACAGTGTTGAATATTTGGCCTGGCAGGCAAAGAGACGTAAGACTGAAAGCTCTCAGTAAAGGCTGGGCGCCATATAGAAGTGTCGTGCAGATGCGACGATTTATCGCGAAGATGGAGATGAAGATAACTTACCAGAAAGAGATACTCCACATTCTCTATGATCAAACAGGCTAGTGAATTCCAGGAATGGCTACGAAAGCTGAAGAGAATCGTAGCGTTGGTTGGTGCTGGGCTTTCGGCATCGTCGGGTCTACCGGTTTTCCGTGGCTCGCAAGGACTCTGGAAAAACTTCAACATGATTGACTTGGCTACGCCAGATGCTTTCTACATTGACCCGGGTCTTGTTTGGCAATTCTATGCCTGGAGAAGACACATGGCACTTAAGGCACAGCCCAATGCTGGACACAAAGCTCTAGCGGCGCTCTCCCACGACACAAGTAAGGAGTTCCTCACAATCACTCAGAACGTTGATGGACTTCTGGCAAGAGCAGGACATCGTCAGCGACATCTATACGAGATCCACGGGTCTCTCTTTGAGCTACGGTGTACCAGCTTCACTTGTACCCATAGGGAGAAGAACTATGAAGATCCGCTCACAGAGGCACTCAATTGCGAGGAGGAAGACGAAATCATCGAGCCTTACCAAGCAGACGGTCTGCTGCCGCAGTTCAGTCCGACAAAAGAGCTTTCTCCGAAGGAACTACCGTTGTGTCCGGTTTGCGGTACGCTAATGCGTCCCGGTGTGGTTTGGTTTGGTGAGTCTCTCCCATTGCGTGCTCTAGATGGAATTGATAACTTTCTCGAGTCAGGTCCAGTCGACTTGATACTTGTTATAGGTACTAGCGGGACGGTGTACCCGGCAAATGGTTATGTGGAAAGAGTTCGCCAGCTTGGAGGAAAAGTTGCCATTTTCAATACGGATATCGAGGAAGAGGTTTTGGCAGGGGAGGTTGCGGATACCTGGGGATTTCAAGGAGACGCAGCCGAATTGTTACCCAAAATGCTACAGTGAAGAGAGGGACAATTATACCATGTTGAACATGAAAGGTGATTGGCGGACCCGCAAGAATGGGGGACATTTCGCAGCCACCTGGGGCGACGCGCAGGGTAATTGCAGCCACCGACATTAAGCCACAACGGAAAAAATGCCTTATCTCAAGATAAAGCAAGATCGGCAGGAAAGTGAAGTTGTTTTAAAAGGTGAAACGTCCACGTTGTCTCTACTGGTCTCGTGGGGCTTCCCCCATGGTATGGCTTCGCTTCGCCTGGGAAGCTTATCGCTCGGAATGGACCAAGCTGCCCGGGCTGCGACGTCAATTGGCGTACCTAAGAGTCCTTGCGTCAACCGAAATGCAGTAAGGCAAGCCCTGCTGCTGGCAGACGAATCTAGAATGTGAACGAAAATGGCGTGTGGTTTACACAGACATTCTCTAGGCGCCATTTGGGTTCGGGAGGCTTCGTTCTGACTGTATATCGGACGAGCCTTGCTGCCATTTGACTATCGAAGAAGATGTCGCAGAAATTTTAAACACTGGCATGAATGGGATGATCGTAGATCTCCTTTTCAATAGTTTACTCAATGCCATGAAATTTCATTTATGACAAGATTCAGGGGTGTTTCTATTTCTACAAATCACGCAACCACCAAAAAAAGAAAGAGATGCCATGGCATTAACTTATTCACAACAGACATCAAGTCTCGTGTCCAGCCTCGCCCAATGTACTCAGACCAGCTGAGTGGTAACCAGCAGCGGCAGCTTCTGCTGGCAAACAAACAAAAAAAATTCTATCATGGCAGATAGCCGTTGGCAAAAATAGCCAGTATAATAATAAAAGGAATAATAATAAAAGGAAGATACATTTGCATCGTAAGTCGTTGTCTCTTGTGGTTGTTCATCCAATGGGGGGTTATTCACGCAGCGCATGCCAAAAAAGCCTGAAAAAAAAAAACCGCTTGTGGCTGCAAAACGCGCCCGCCAGGCCTGGTAACCAGGATGGGACATATTTCCAGCCGGTGACAAAGCGAACTTTGCCCGAATGGAGTGGTGGCAGTTGGAGGGGAGGCCATTTGGAGGAATTTGGGGGGAATTTGGTCAATTGAGTTCCAAAGTGAGCTTGAAGGTTTCTTCAGAGAGCTGGGTGTCTCAGGCTGGAGGCTGAAAAAGTCACCTTGAACGCTGCCCTGAGGGTCTTTGGAAGATCTCTTTAAGGTACTGGAAAGGTCAATTTCGGCACTCATTTTTTCAAAAAGCGGGCTTGAATCCTCATTCTTCAAAAAGAACGTAATGAGTTTTGTAATGAGTTTAAAAATTCAAAAAGCTGGCTGTAGTACTTATTCTTCAAAACTCACTCCGTTCGCTTTGAATCTGAGAAAGTCATGAACGCTTACTCTTCAAATCTTTTCCAAACCTCGCTTTGCTCGTTTTGGAAGTCGCTTGAAGCTGAAAGTCATGAACGCTCACTCTTCAAATCTCCTTCAAACCTCCTCCAAACCTCGCTACGCTCGGTTTGAAGTTCGGTTGAAGTCGCTTTGAAGCCAAAACTTATACCTCAAAACTCAACCTTCAAAGCTCGCTTCGCTCACTTCGAAGTTCTCGTTTTGAGGTCTTTTTGTAGAACGGATTCCCAACATACGTCGCCGAAGAATTCCTCCGGTCTCTTCCTCGCCGCAGCAGTGTCTTATGCACTAGCGACAGCGCCAGAAGCAGTCGCTGGATTCTCCCCCGCGGCACATCCACAAGCACAGAAAGCTGCCTGCCCGCAATATCCACTGAAAGCCCCCATTGGAGCTCAGACGTGGCTGGCAGGACAGGCGCCAGTGCCAGACCAGGCACTTTCCGTAGCCTGGCTTCTGGAGAGCCCATTTTTATATCTGTAGGAGACTTTTGAATCAAGTTAGTTTTAACATGTTGTCGTTTAATGTCGTCTTGGCTGGGTCTTCTTACCTCTCTGTCTCTGTCTCTGGTGGAAATCTGACGCGGCGGCGCCCGCGGTGGCCCCATGAGAGGTGGCTGCGCGAGCGGCACGATCAGCGACAAGAGATAATTGTCATCCAGATCTCTGGAGGCCAAGAGTGGCAGCAGGAGTCTTAGTGGGGGCAGAGGCAGATCTGGCGTCAGGCCTGGCGCCAGCACTGGTCCTGGGCCTGGGGCCGGGGCGAGTACCAGCAGAGCCATTTTCGCTGTAACCTGGTGGTAGCTTTCGAGGTACCGCGAGTCAAACTCGTCGAGTGCCTCCTCAAGGTTAATGTTCATGGGAGTAGGGAAGGTAGGGAATGTGGAAGTATAAGGTGGTTGTATTTCTGGTTTGTTATGAATTGGTAGTACGCTTGGTCGCTTGGTGCCTGGTGTACTTGTGGCTGCAAGTGTTGGGTGGCTTCTGGCAGTGGCCCGTTAACAGAATCTAAAACGAATTGATCCTGGTCTAAAACAGATCGAAGTATAAACCAGGTCTGGGGCGGGAATTCACTGGGTCTATATAGGTTCCAGAATTTGAAAAATTCCATACCCTCCTGTTCCTCCAATAAAAAAAAAAAAAAAAAAAAAAAAAAGAATATGCAAAATGCAATAAAATGCAAAAAGCATATCGTGCACAGACTTTTTACTTCCACACACCACCGGCGCCACGGCAGGGGACACGAAATATTTCCACTTTTTCCCCCAGTCCCCAGTGCACAAGTGCTCTGGACGCAGATCGACCCAGGCGGCGGCGGCGGCGCGCCCTAACTAACAGAAGTAGCAGAAAAAAGAGGTCTTTGTCCCTCCACCCCCCAAAAAGGACAAGCAATAGGAAGGTATTTTGCGCGAGGGAGGAGAACCAGGCGTGTTAAAGAAAGACGAAAGAAAGAAAGAAAGAAAGTTTATTTCAATGGGAGAGGTCATGGAGGGAAATTGAGGTGTGGCCGTGGTGGCAGTGGAGGCAGTGGCCGTGGAGGCCGTGGTGGCCGTGGAAAAAATGCACTTTTGGCGTGGCTGCAATGGGTCAATAGGTAATGGGTGAGGTTTAGCACGGGCTGCGACTGCAACTGCTGCCAGTGGTGAATGGAGTGGCTGCAATTGAGTTCAAATGTCACACAACACAAACACAGACCGAAGGTCTGGAAAACAAAAGAAAAGAAAAGAAGAAAGGGGAAGGGAAGGGAAGGAGATCTGGTTTAGACTCCTCTTTCAGGCTAAACTACGTGGTGGAGGTGTACCATTCATCTGCGTCGCCTCGTCAACCAGCCAAGCCGGGTGGAGTCCCATTCATGTGCTGCCGGTGATGGGCGAGCCGCGACTGGAAAAAGAGGGAGGAAGAGGGAGGATGAGGAAGAGAAGGGAGAAGGGAGAAGGCAGAAGTAAGAGATTAATCTAAAGTGACTTAATCTAAAGTGTCTTTAATTTAAAGTGTACTTAATCTAAAGTGTACTTAATTTTAAGTATACTTCTTCTAGGGCTCCTCTGGCGAGGAACCCTAGGTTCCCCTATCTCAAGTTACCGCTGTGCGACCGGGCTCGGTCGAGCTCCGCGTCAGTATTTGCAACCGAGCCCCAGAGGCTTGAACGCAATGCAACTGATTAAGACATGAAGAATTGACACACGTAGCGGCTGCCGTAGAGACAAGCCGCAAGAAAACGGCCACGCCAACGAGGTTGACGCTGCCAACGCCGCCAACGCCCCCCAAACCTTCCCTATCGCCTATTCTCATATAATTGCCTTGTTTAGGTTCATCTCCATTGCGGCCCCATTGGCTCTTCATTGTCAAGTTTAAACCACTGGCATGCCGTAAATGCGACCTACTTTAGGGAAGACGACACAACGAGAAGGAAAAGAAAAGTGAGAAAAATGAGAAAAAAAACCATGGCATTCTTGCCGCATGAGCTTATCTCAGAGGGGACATTTTTCTAGAGACATTTAGTGGTCTGTCTGTGGTTTGGCGAGGGGTTGTGAGTTGCCTTTTTTTTCTATATGGACTCTTTCTGGACACTTATCCTAACCAGCCTCCAATTGTCTTGCGCAGCTCTTGCTGGCGACAGCCCCTTGATAAGCCTATTGTCGATGGAGGGATTTCGTCTATTTTTGTGAGCGGTTGCCTACTCCAGTGGTCGGATATCTCTTCCATTTGGTCCAGGTATCTATCATTACCAGTGGCTAGAATTGGTCCCGCGCCTCGGTTTTTTACCACTTTTGCGCCCATTTTCTCTGCCTCTGGTTTTCCACACCGAAGCTTTTGTGCCCTGCGACATGGACCTTTTGGGTTTTGACTTTTTTGTGTTACTACCCTAGGGATCATCTAGCTCCGCACGGAGAAACATGTCTCGTGGAGGGGGGCAAGTTTGAATTATACTTTGTAGGGTCTTCCAGAAGGTCGTCTTGGTTGGCGGCTACCAGCTACCAGCTGCCTGCTGCCGGTTGGCTGCCGCCTGCAACTGCGACTGGACCACACTTTTTGTGTTACCAGTCCAAGCGCCTAACTACCTACCCCTAACGAGTCGCTTAAGTCGAGCCCCTAAAGTCACTGGAGCCTTAGGAAAAAAATGTACCTCCAAAACCAGGCCTAATTAGGCCATTGGCCACGAGGGTAGCCCTGTACTGGCGACCCAATTGTTGTTTAACTCCTAACCACGGCAAATTTTGCATGCTGAGAAGGTTGCAACAATGAACAAAAAAAAATCTCTACAATCTAATTCTTGAGCTTGAAGTTTCCTATAAATGAGCCAATAAAGCAGCCACACCTGGTGGCTGTGTCCAGACTCGGGTTCACTAACGTTACAAAGGACAAGTCCGAGTAGGTAAATTACTGGTGGTTACGGCGGTTACGGCGGGCCGATCATCGTGATATGCTTCGTATTTATAATTATACAATTAGGGGCGCCTCCTAAAGGCTAACTTTTGGGCATGAAGGCTTCACGCCAGATCTAAATGAATATTAAACGCCATTCAAGTGGCCACCGACGTCTGTGGAAAGCGCCATCGCGCTTTGCCAGTCCAGTGGAGTGCGAATGAAATTTCACAATTTCATCCTCATCCTCATCTGTCTACACCATCAGGCGAACTCTCGTGTCGTTTCTCGACGCATCGTACGTCGGTGGAGGAGCGCTGGGCGTCTCTGGCGGCACGTACATGAATGCAGTGTTGTTGGTAACATTTGTCGTTTCTTCAGTCACCTGGGTGGCTCCATTCTCTGGCTTATACCCAGGAGACTGGAACACCTGGTCGAAGTTCTGGTTCATGGTCAGATTCATGTTCAGGTTCCCGTTCAAGTTCGGTTGCATGTTTAGTCTTCGCTGCTGGTCGTTCATTATGTGTTGTCTAAGAATCCTGATATGACGCCTGCGGTAGTAGATCCCACAGATGGCTAGGATAAGGGCAACGACAAAACACGCCACGGCAATGCCGATGTAAGCTCCAGTGGAAAGGCCGCCTCCGCCGCCGTAGAAATAAACCATGGAGAAGTTGAAGAAGGTGGAAAAAAAATACTGAAAAATCCTTGGGGGCAGCCGCTTCTCTTTATAGTCGTGGGGGGCGTTCCACTTTCAGCACTAGCGGTGCAGGAGACGAAGTGGTCCATCGCGTGGTGGCCAACCACGAAACGATGTCAGTGCATTGGCGAAATCTATAAAACGACTCCTTTGGGTCATTGAGGCGTTTCGTGACCTCTACAGGTGAAATTGGACCCGCCTGGTTCGTCATACTTATCCCACTGCCATGTCATTCGGTGCCGATGGCTAACGCCTCGTATGTGTACAGCCCTGCACTGACTATGCTCATTCAGCCGCGCCAGTCGAAGGAAAAACCACGCCTATTTTTTCCCTGCAAGAGTGACCGATCAGATAAGTAAACGACTGGAAACGGCACCTCTGTAAACGGAACCGGCACGGAAAATACTGTTTGATTTTATGGATTATGTGGGTGACGTATATTGAGCTGTGGGTGATGTTTTTGACTTGTCTGTCATTGAGTCGCCTATATTGGTGATTTGCTTGGCACCATTCAATGACCCCTATGTAGATGAGACTGGAGAGTGATAGATGGAACCTCCAAAGTCTCTGGAGAGTGAACTTGGTGATTCGTGACGCCAAAATGATGCAAACTATATGGTGTTTCTTTTCTTTGCTGTTCTTTTCTTTACCTCTTTCGGAACCAAATGTGCTCCAGTGGCTATGTTACACATATGCATACACTTGACATGAGTCTAACGCATATCCACAAGGAGTCTGCAACTTGACGTCAAGGTGAAACTCTAGTTTATACTGGCGAGTATGCTGGTGGAGGTTCTCTGACTACTCCGTCAGGCCCTCTGACTACTCCATCAGGCCCTCTGATTACTCCTCTAGAAGACGGTCTGGGTGGGGCCTGGCTGGGGTACTTGGGCCTCGAGATGGTGATACCATGTAAACCGTAATTGAGGTCGGAAAAGAGCCCTGGACGTTTACAACACATGATAATGGTGGCTAGAATGCCAATCCCGACAATCGATGCTCCGGCAATTATAAGGCCCAAGACTACCTTGGAGAGTTTCTGTGACGACAGAGACGGCGTGCTGGCGTACTCTCTGATATCTATTGGAATCAACGGCATGTTTGGTAGTTTAATGAAAGATTGGAATGAAGGTTTCCTTGGTCAAATCCCCATTCTCGTCTTTTCCACGGTTTATATACTTCTCCATGGCTCCCCACAAACATCAGCCTTGCAGGCCGTTGGACCCTGGTTCGGGCGAGGTCATAAATACACTTCTCTCTCGCCGATTCCTGTCCGCCGACACGAAATCCATCAATGACAAATTGTGGCTTTGGTGCTTGCCAGAAATGTTATGAGCATGGCTGAAGTAGCCGAAGAGCGTCCACAATGAGCTAAACCAGTGTGGTATGGTGACTCAAATGTTGGACAGATCCCATTACGGTGACTTTTACCCTAGAATGCACAATCCATACTTTTTTGGGCTAAATTCAACCTACAACCGTTTGTTCTCATCTTGGCAGGTACCAACCGTTATTGCCCTAAATGGCTGCAAACTGTCCTGGGTGTGTCCTGGTGGAAAAGAAATTCACATCACCCACTTCTGCCGATTACCTTCCCTGTTTCTTCCGCTAGCCGTTTAAAACGAATGTCACCCTGAAAACTGGATTCTCCTAAGCCTCGCTGACTATTAGTTACTTCTCCTCGTCAAATGACCTATACCATTGTGGGTCTGCCGAGTGTCACCAAAGTTCGCGAAACGTCAATGGCTTACTGGTGCTTTGGGTCTCGAGGCATGATAGCCTTGGGGAATGAAATATGAAGTGGATAGTGGTTTCGAATGATTTCCTTGGTTTCAACCTTGGTTTCAAGACTGTCAAGAGAAAGACGTTGGTTGACTTGCAGTTTGTGCTGTGCTTGTCTGTCTGCTCCATTGGCTGCAAACGGTCTCGAGACACTCAACATGCTTTGGACCAACGCAACACAAACCCTTGCAAACTCTAGTATATTCAGGGAAACGCCTCTTCTATCTCTCCTATTCAGCTTCCCTTTACTTCCCTCCTTCATGGTCCTTTACCGTCTGGCTGGGGCTCCATTTGGACTGAGGTCACGTGCAAATATCAAGACCGAACAACTTCTCTCGCTGCTTTATACACCAAAGTAGAAAATGGGTACGTCCACAATACCGCCTTCTTCCATGTCTACAGCAACTAACCGTGCAGCAGGTCTTCCTCCTGGGCTCCAGCCGTCAAGCAGTACGAATCAAAACAACTCGGTAAATAATGGCAACTCCTCCAATGGAGCTGCCGACATCGACAGCTTTGGCCTCAAGGGCATTGCTCCGCTTTTAAGAATGGATCAGACGGAGCAGAATCTGTTTGCATTTGGCCAAGATATTCAGCTCTTAGGCTTTGACTTGAACGACAAATCTAGCATCTTGAAAAACATGGCATCTCCCTGGCAAGAAACCAGCCGTACGGAAGTGGAACCTTACTTCCTGTTACCTAAATCAATCCAACAGTCCACCATCATACCGCCTCCTGAGCCTTGTGATACGAAAATCCTGTCGTTTGCCGACGAGACGCTTTTCTACATTTTCTACACGAAGCCTCGTGATACTTTACAAGAATACGCTGCTAGGGAACTAGTTGCTAGAAACTGGCGGTACCATAGAGACATTCAAGTCTGGCTTACAAAGGACTCGAATGTCGAGCCTGTGCTCATTAGCCCTGACGTTGAAAGGGGTGTCTACATATTCTTCGACCCCCACAACTGGGAAAAGATCAGAAAGGAATTTGTCCTACATTATTCCTCCGTGCAAGCTTAGACAGTTCTTTGACAGGATGTCTGAGTGTTCCATGCGCTTCCATGTATTATTAAGGTACCTTATTGGTCCTTTTGGTAAATAACTTTATCCACCTTGACCTCGTCGTTGATGTATGTGTAGATATAGAGTGTGCACCTGGACCCTTGGGTCTCTAAAAGACAGAAGGATGGAATTGGTTCGTTTAGTTTATCATCCTCTTGTTCTTCTTCAACTTGCTCCTCGGCCTTCTCTGTATCTTCTTTTTCGTCTTTTGAAGGTTGCTCTTCCTTCTCCTCCTTATCCAGTTCCTTCTCTTCAGTTTCCTCTTTGCCGTTTTCTAGACTATTTGCTTCACCTTCATCTTCGTCTCCTTCATCGTCCTCGATTTCGGGCCAGCCAAAGTGGAATGCACCCGTGGCACTCCCGGGGTTGATAAAGTACTTTCCATCCAACGTATATGCTTCCACTCTGTGAGTGCCTCCCCATATCAAAATGTCAACGTTTATTTCTCTTGCAAAAGCCAACAACGACAAAGGATCGTTTCTAGGCACAATTTGGTGGCCACTTGTGAATCCAATCCGGAAGTCATCCAGTGTGACAACCTTATACTGAGGAACCGACGCATAACTGCCCAGCACATGCTCTAGTTGCTGAGGAACAATGTTAGCATCATCAAACTCGCCTTGTACTATGTTGAATGAGGGAGATATGTTGTACAAGAACTGCAACGTTTCTTTAGACTGGGTGACATTGCCAAGGCAGACAACCTGGGAGATCTTAGGGTTGGAAGGGTATTTGGACGCATTGGGTGCTAGAAGCTTACGAAACTTCTGAGGTAATCCCACCAGTCGATCTGGAATAAAGAGATCTCCTATTGCTAATGTAAACATGGATATATAAGCTGTGGTGAATGCCAACTGATAGTAGTACTTGTAGATTTATCAGTGCGCGCATACTACAAGGCAAGGTTTGGGGACGATTCACAGTTTTGAGGCATGCCTCGATTAAAGTCAGTCAGATCTAAACAATATAAAGAAATAATTATTAGCGGTTTGCTGTAAGCTTCTCCAACACCTGGGGTAGGTACGGAAGATATCGTCGAAACGGTCTCTGTTGGTCATTTGGAAAATCTCTGGGTCCTTGGCCAAAGCGACGAAGAAAGTGGAGACACCAGACTCGAGAACCACAAGGGAGATACGGGTAATTTGTCCACTGATCAAGAAAGTGAAAGCAACCATTGGGGCGTAGTAGTCACCGTTACTGTTGTAGGCTGGCTCAGTCAATCTCAAGTAGAGGTAAGTGAACAAGGCGGCAACGTAACCGGTGAACATGGCCCAGAAGTTCAATGAGGTGTTGATGAAACAGTCGTTGATCAAAACGGTCATACCCTTGTTTCTGAGCAAGTCAACGGTCTCACGGGCAGACTTCAAGAAGCTCTTACCGTACAAACCGACGTAAACGTAGGCATAGTGGTTGAAGTAACGGAAAGCCCATTCGATAAAGCCAACAAAGAAGTTCAAGATAAGGTAACCGCAACCGGCGCAGTTGTCACCGCTAGCAAAAGCGTTACTCTTGAGAATCTCAATGAAAGCTCTGAGCAATTGAAGAAGAGCCACGGTAAGCGAACCGAAACAGATAGAACCGAAACAGTATGTCATGGCTCTCTTGAAAGCACCGAGAGCTGGCCACTTTGGCTCACCCTGGTCAGAGCCAGCCAAGTAGTACCAGGTACCGTAAATACCCACAATTGTGACGTGAATAACGTTCTTGATCACTTCAGAAATGTAGAAACCAGCAAAGAAGACGAAGACTAAAATACCAATCACCTTGGCTTGGGAACAGTCACCACCGTCAACCTCACATCCAGGGTTACCTTCAGTAGGGTTAAACTTGACATATGTAGAGACAATGACAACCGAGAACAAGGCACTGAAGGCACCACTGACAATGGTACCCAAGGCAGCCACCACCAAGGAAGACTTGTATCTCTTCATGACGTCAATGGAGATTTCCAAGACCGTAGCAGAGAATGGGATTCTGTGACGGGCACTCCAGTAGCACCAGGCTGCAAGGAGGGAAAACAACAAAAACACGATACCGGCAGACCAGTACTTTTCAACAAAGTAGAAGATGGCCGTACCGATACCGAGAACAACGTTCATGATGAGACCGAGGATGATAAACCATTTGGCCTGGGTACGGGCCAAGACGATCATCAACACCGAAAGCACCACAGAGATGACAATGGAAAAGGCAAACATAATAACAGTATTACTGTTGACAGTGAAGGTGTTTGCATTGTCGTAGATGGAACCACCACCTTGAAAGTCCCAGGTCTGCTTCAAGGCTCTGATGGTGATGACGGCCACCACAATGAAACCAATCACCGTAGCAAGAAAGAAGATCCCAAAGTACCAATCGTTAAACTTTGGCTTTGACACCTTGAATGCCTCGTCAAAGTTCTCTGACTCGTTAGGCTTCTCTGAAAAGGGCCCGTTGTTCTGGGCCTCCTGGTCCTGGTTCTGGCCGCCATAGCCGCCCTGGTTATACTGCTGGTTCTGGTCGTATCCCTGGTTGTAGCCTTGATTCTGCTGCTGTTGACCGCCGTAATGTTGATACTGCTGGTCCTGGCTATATTGCTGATTGTAGCCGCCGTAGTTATTGCTTGGATTGGCAAAAGGGCCACCGTCCTGCTGAGGAGGCGGGCCAGAAGGGGCATTGTATGACATCTTGTATCAATTGATGTTTAAGGGAAAGGAAGAAGAAGAAAAAGTAGTAACTATAAGTGAGGTTGTTCTTTTGTTTTTTTCACCTTGGCGGATCCTGAGTCCCTTGCTATGCCCATCATGCCCCCGGCATATGGCGCCCTTCTGTGCGCAGTGTTTGCATCACAGCATTCTCTGACAGAAGCTGAGCCATTCCCCTGGGCAGTGATCGGGTGGAAGCAAATCTATTATGTGTTGCTTAAAGGATGGTATGAATATGAATACAGTACTTTGTCTTTTTTCTTCACTTCTGGCCTTACACTACATGTCATTTATATCGTATGTGCTTTGCCGCACCCGTTTCGCAGCCATGCAACGAAGAGTTGACCGAAGCAAGGTAACAATACAAGACAGGCCAACCAGTACTATACAATTGTGCCAATCCACCAGTTTCTTCTTTTTATCCTTTTCTTTGTTTACTTTCTGTGGCCTCCCCATTTCTTCAAACCACGGGTGCCTCGAGCCAACCGTTTACTTCGTGTGAGGCTGAGCGATGGGTTATGACGTAGGTTACCAATTGCACATGGGACAGACGTACGAGGAAGCGCGAGGCACGAGGCTGGTAAGGTTGGCAAGACAAGAGGGTGGAGGAAGTGGTGGTGGGAAGTGGGAGATATGTGATAAATAAATATAAGGGTTTACTTCGTTTTTGGTATTTATGCCGTTTTTTATTTTTTATAGGTGATTTTCGATTATTTTGGTGTTTTCGAATGACATGTTTTTGTAACTTTTCCTGGCTTTTGTCATGCATTTCGCAACCAATACATAGTGCTGGATACTATGAGAAATACTTGCAAACTGTCCCAATAATCAGAATCAATAAATAGAAGAAGGTAATTTATAGAGTCACTTTATAAGGATAGACGGTTTGATACACTGGATTATTCTTGGGAGTGGGAGTCCATTCCACTGGAAAATGCCCACGGGTGTTCATTGGCTGGCAGGATAAGGAACCTTACCTCACCTCCTGCTTGGAACATATGCTTTATCTTGTCTGTATCACAATACCGGCTCAACTAGCAATTGCACTATTTGTACGTCTTCTTCGTGATTTTGTCATTCTTTGAGAAGACCAATTTAACAGTTGTTTTAAGCAGCTTTTCTTCACCAGAATACCGTGTTCTTGGTACTATCTGACTATTTTGTTAGACTAGATTGAGGAAGGCATCTTACATGGATTAGCGGCCGAGCGTCTCTAGAAAGCTAATTTATCTGGCCCAGCAACCTTCAGTCTAACACGCCAGAATACAAGAGGACAAGATCAATTAAGCTTTCTCTACATGACCATACTTAAGGGTTCTTTTGTGGAAGGGTTGGTTTCCTGCGGCGCAATTGTAAATGGCTGCAAATGTCTAAAGGTGCATGTTCTCGCGCCAACAATACAAGGTCCACTTAACCAGATATCCAAATATAACGACAGAACTAGTAAGGAGGTATATTTTGTCTTTATGAAATTCCCCATTTGTAGCTGATCGAGTTGCCTCTTCAGTCTGGCGGCTTGTGGACTCCAATTCCGTTGTGCGCTAACGGAATTTCCCTCTATCTCTTATCATACTTAAACGTCAAATCGCCTGTACTACCATGCCATGCTTCTCTCAATTGCTCTATTGTTACTAGTGGGACAGACATTGGCCTCGGCTATCCAGGACCCTATTAGATTTGGCATTCCAAAATCTTATGTCGACGAGATATATGGCGATTTGGTGGACACTCCAGGGTCTAGGCAACATAAGGCGTACCTTCTCCAGCTGAACAGTGTAAGCTCTTCGTCCTTTGAGGACACTTACTCCAAGAACCCATTCAGCCTGTACCAGGAATTGGAGAGACAACATAAGCTTCTGCTGAGGAAAGCAGCCCACAATGGCTACTTGAGGCTGCGCCTGAAGATCGACTATCCAGACGATGACGATACTCTGGACTTGACAGAATACAATATGTTTGGAGGAATTGTGACTTATGCTGGGTTTCCTACCTTCAATTGCTTCGATAAAGAACAGTTTGATAAACAGATTGACATTGCCGTCGTTGGAGCACCTTTCGATACTGGTGTGTCGTATAGACCAGGTGCTAGGTTTGGACCTGATGCTATTCGGCTGGGAGCAAGAAGACTCGGCCATGGTGGCGTTAATCCAGGAAGGGGAAACACAAGAGACTCGCCTTTGGCTGGCATTGACCCTTACAACACAGACTTAAGTATAGTGGACTGTGGTGATGTTCCGATGACCCCATTTGATAACAGAATAGCCTTGAATCAGCTTTACAGAGGACAAAGAGCAATTCATAACCACAAGGGAAAACACAATGCTCCAAGGATCATAACTATGGGCGGTGACCATACTATCACGCTCATGGCGTTGAGATCAGCGTATGAAAAGTATGGCAAATTAGCAGTGTTACATTTCGATAGTCATATCGATACTTGGGACCCTAAAAAGCTCGGTGGCGGAATCACAGATTATATGTCCCTCAACCATGGTACTTTCCTTCACTATGCCGCCGAACAGGGCTACTTAGCCAAAGATCATTGTTTCCATTTAGGTATTCGTGCACCATACATTGACAGTGAATACGACAAGAAGCACGACAAAAAATGTGGGTTTGATTTCTTTACAGCCAGGGATATTGACCATTTGGGTAAGAAAGGGATGGTTGAGAGAGTTAAGTCGGTTGTGGGCGATTTGCCGGTTTATATTTCGGTTGATATCGACGTGTTGGACCCATCATTTGCACCTGGAACGGGAACTATGGAAATTGGAGGATGGTCGACTCGGGAATTGCTATCCATATTGGATTCCTTGGACGGTTTGAATATTGTGGGAGCTGACGTTGTGGAGGTCAGTCCGCCATTTGACAATAATAGCGAGGTGACCAGTTTGGCTGCCACGGGAGTAATAGATTCAATTCTCGGGCTTATGATATACGACATGAAAAAGTAAAGGAAAGATTTATACGACCAGAATATAAGGAAAGTGACCTTCAATTGAAGTAAAACACGATTAAAATCTTAAAATGGCTCTAACTCGCTCAAATTTTGAGCTACCTCTCTCAGATTTCTCACGCATATACTTAATCTACATATCTACACTTTCAATTGACGAAATGTATGAAAATCAGTACCCTACCCAACCTACCGTATATGACCAGTGTCTGAAACATTTACTTAGATTCAATGGGCACGTGGTCTAGTGGTATGATTCTCGCTTAGGGTGCGGGCGGTCCTGGGTTCGATTCCCAGCTTGCCCCTTGAATTTTTGCTCTAGCCGATAACGGCGATCCCTTGTTTTTTGCAACACCAAGATAGCCTCTCAAACAACACTTTCTCCCCCGTCCGAACGCCCGTCTCCCTTCTCGGGCCCATATCGAATCCATCTAAGCAGCTGCAAGACCACTGTCCATCAATGCAGCACATACATAACATACTCACACATACATACGGGGCTCGGAGCTTTCGGTTGCACTCCGAGGTCGGCACCGACACCTTAAACAAGCCCAAACCAACCCACTCCCACCGCCACCGTCTCCCTGATCGCCGTCTCCCGTCCGTCCCCCTGGTCACTTCCTGCTTGTCGTTACTCTTCTGACGGTTGCGAGCAAGTTAGCGCTCGCGGCATTACTACCTAAACCAGCTGCTGCAAGAGTCTCGGATCGAGCCACAGCACGGCAGAAGTCTCTGTGAAACACGACTTTACGAAAAGTGTCTTACAAGAAATTACCAACACCACTTCAGAAAGTCTAAAATCCAACTTCAGAAAGTCCCAAATCTTGATTTCCCCAATACGGGTGGGCCCTGAAGTCTCCTCAGTTGGTTGCAAAAAAAACAAGGACTACTCGGCGCACCGGTAGCAAGCCATAAGACCTCACCTCCACGCAGGTTTTGACAGGATTACTCAGACTGCAGAGTGGGCAAAAATGTCCTAGAGCCGTTTTTCATGTCCTTTCGTACCTCCACTTTCTGTGAACCCTGCCACTTATATAAGAACCCAGGGGCGCTTGTCTTAATGGCGACTTTACAAATATATTGATTTTTTTTATAATATGTCGCAGCCTACTATAGAGCGTGAAGACGTACAAGATAGGCAGTTCCCAGAGGCTACTGATCCGGCGCTTACCGACTCCAATGAAGGTTCTTCTTCAGATATAGAGAAGAATAGTCCTGGAAGCAGTGACGAAGACGAGTTTGATATTCCTGATGGCGGGTACGGCTGGCTTGTGGTGTTGGCGGTGTTTCTTATTAACGCCAATACGTGGGGAGCCAACTCGGGGTTTTCCATTTACCTTTCTCACTACTTGGAGCACGAGACCTTTGCTGGTGGTGACAAATACGATTATGCGTTGATTGGAGGCATGTCGTTTGGCTTGGGCATTATTTTTGCTCCCGTGATTAATAAGATCCATGGGCTCATTGGCACTAAACCTTTGATTATCTTGGGCAGCTGCCTCCAGTTCGCTGCGCTTATGATGGCTTCTTTTGCTGTGAGTCTATGGCAGCTTTATTTGACCCAGGGTGTGCTTCAGGCTGTTGGTTTGTCTATGGTGGCACTTCCCGGGTTCGGCATTCTCCCTCAGTGGTTTAAGAAAAGACGTGATATCGCTAGTGCTATCGCTGCTGGAGGTTCAGGTGTGGGTGGTACAATGTATAACTTGGGCATGCAGAAGGTGTTGGAGACGAGAGACGTTTTTTGGGCCTTGCGTGCTCAGAGTATCATTATCTTTGGTCTTCTCTGGATCGCCATTTTCTTAATCCGTTCTAGAATGAAGCACAGCGTTACTGTCCGCTACTATGACACACAGTGCTTACAATCGACCGGGTTCTGGATTTTGGTGTTTTACTGCATTTTCTGTATGTTTGGTTACGTTATCGTCTTGTACGATATGGCCGCTGTGACCAGGACTTTAGGTTATAGCGCTTACGAAGGTTCTATTGCTGCTGCTATGGTCCAAGTTGGCTCCTTCTTTGGTCGTCCCCTTATGGGAGTAATTGCCCAAAAAATTGGACCAGTCACTGCATCATTTTTGGCCTATGTTCTTTGTGCCATCTTTACTTTCTCCATGTGGATTCCAGCCCGTAACTTACCCACCATGTATGCTTTTTGTATAATTATGGGTGGTATTATGGGCACAATTTTTGCAACAATGCCCCCTATCCTAAGCAAGTTATTTGGCTTGCGGAAGACCGCTACGGCCTTCTCTATGGCATGGGTCTTTTTGGGTGCGGCAGGTATCGTTTCCCCGGTTATTGGACTTGCGCTTAAAACCCTGAGCAACGGTCCAACTGCCTATGTGCCTTGTGCAATTTTTGCAGGTTGCGGATTTACCGCCTGTGCTGCTACATTATTAATCATGAGAGCCTATCTTTTAGCTAGAATCAAGTTAGCGGGACCCTTGGATATGGATCAGGGTCATATGCATATTACAGTTCCCTTCCAGGAACCTTTAAAACATCTTTTTGACTTCACCCTTGTTTAATAGAGTTGAAGTGGTATATATTCATAAAATAAATTATTTGGGCTACTTTAAATTAGTAATATATCTATAGTCTATACGGGTCTGAGATCACGTGAACCGAGTTCCGATGAGATTCCTGCATTAAGGACTCCATCTCTTCCCTCTAGTACCGAATCACCAACACAGACTATCATCCTAAAGTCTTTGCTAGAAGTCTTAACCAAGGCAGAACTCACTGGTCCTATTCACTTACGTCATGGACAACCTTCTGTCAGAGCTCTCGCCGAAATCGGCCAAGGTAGAGCCCCAAAGTTCGCCCCTACAATCACAGTCCCATTCACCACCAACTGAAACTTCCAACAAAGAACAAGGCAACCTCCCAGAGCTGATAACTCAGTCATTCAAGCTGGAACTTGAACGAACACCAGAGTTGTTTCAGCAAGCGATTCTTAGTCCTGAACAGGCACCTCCACAGCCTCAACCAATGGAGGTTGAAAACACTCAACCAACACCAAGAAATACGAGTGAAGATGGGAACAAAGATGTTGAAATAATTGAGGAGGCGCCAAAGGTGGACGAAACTCCAAAGATTCAAAGATTGGTCCTCTCAGCAGGATCGAATGGAAGCGAACACATTGCACAGTTCAAGAACGACTTGAGACTACGAAATGATGAGAATGTGACAGAACAATTGATAAGTGAGGATATTCCCGAGAAGGAATATGCTCTTGTCACTTTGTGCATTGAGTATGATGACGATTTTGTTGATAATTTCAAACAGTTAAATGAGCTCGTCAAGAAGGATATCATCAAGAATGCCAAGGAAGTGACTTACCACATTGACTTTGACAAGAACAAAAAATGGTCGGCAATTTCAAATGAAGAAAAGGATGCTTATACTCAATTCATCGATAATTTGGCAAAAGAGGCTGCAGCCAAAGTCACACACTGCTCGTTAATCCATAAATACGACCCTGATACCGTTTTTGTGACGGAGAAAGACCAGTTAGCTAAGCTAGGGCAGGAGATCCAGAGTGATGTGACGCAGTGGACTCATTTAAAGATATTTGACTACGGTTTGAACTCTTTGCGGTTCTTTCCTGGAGTGAGGTTTCCAGACAGCCTTGAATCTATGCATGTTGGAGGAGGCAATTCCCTAGAAACACTCGCAGGTTTCAAGATTCCTTCTAGCCTCAAAGCATTGGATGCATCTAAGAGTCTCCTTTCAACGATAGACTACATTTCATTGCCGCCAACAACAGAGCATCTCCTTCTTTCAGACAACAGAATCTACTTCTTGAACTATGCCGAGTTCCCAGCTCGTCTACAATCGTTAGATCTTTCCAACAACCGCATTGATCTGTTGAAGAACATCAATTTTCCTAAATTCCTTCGTTATTTGTCAGTTTCCAATAACCCAATAGAGTGTATTAAAGGCGTGCGGTTTCCGGAAAGCCTTGAATACTTAGACGTTTCTTGCATTCCAAATGAGTCCATGACGGGCATAAAATTCCCCGATCTGGCCATTTGGCTTAATCTCCAGCAATCTATGACGAATACTAGAGGTTTAAAAATTCCCTCCATGGTTAGAGAATTGAACATGGCTGGTAATGGGGTCAACAGCATTAATCCATTGAAGTTACCCAACTCCATAGAGAGCCTTTTCTTGACCAACAACAATATCAAGACACTTAACAAAGTTGCATTCCCAAGCTGTTTGAAAGAGCTCTACCTAGGGAACAACATGATCACAACGCTCAAGAACGTTCAGTTTCCACCTACATTAGAGGTTCTCGATCTTGAAATGGACCCTCATTTGGAAGAAAATGAAAAGTTCATCACCTCCATCAAAGACGTCACCTTTACAGCTAATCTCAAGGTGTTGAACCTTGGCTACCATCTGATTAAAACTATTGAGTCTATGGACTTCCCATATTCTTTGGAAGAGCTCAAGCTACAGTATAATGATTTAAGAGTATTCCGCAACGTTCGTTTCGGTCCTAATCTTAGACTCTTGGACCTCAGTGGTAACCAGGACCTTTATAACTTGGATGGGGTGGTGCTACCAAACTCCTTGAAGGAATTACGGATCCCATCGGTTTTATTGAACAATTTGCCATATGGCCTTGTGGATAGAGTCAACAAGGGCGAGGTGAAGCTTACAAAGTCAATGCCATATACGGTATGATGAGATGCGTTTTAAATATACAAGGGATAATGATGGGCCCAGAAGACAGCGAGCTGTAGCAGATTAAGAAGTAGAATGAAATAACCGGGAGCGTTTGATTTAGTCCTCCTCTTCCTCCTCGTCGGAAGAGTCCTTGTCCTCGGCAGCCTTTCTTTCCAAAAGAGCCTGCAACTCAGCGTCCTCAGAGGCACTGACGGCCTTAGGAGCCATGGTGATTTTACAGTTACCGCCGCTGGCCTCGATGGCCTCAGCGACCTTCTCGACAGCCTTCTCCAACAAAGCAACACCCTGGTTCTTGTCCAAGGCTTGGGTGGAGATTTCGTACAAAGGAGCGGCAATCAACTTGGCTCTAACTTGCATCTGTTCTGTGGAAACGGAGGTGGCGGCCTCCAAAGCAGCCTTGATGGCGTCGATACCCTCGTAAGAGAAACAAGAAACCTCAACGTCAGATCTAATCTTGATGGCAGAAGGGGTCAATCTGCGGCTAATGTACAACTTCAACTCTTCTAAGATTTCGGTGGATGGAGCTTCGATGCCGTCGAAGATGGATGGATCAGTGATGGACAACTTGAAAGCGTCGTATGCGTGACCGTATTTCCTCAGCAAAGGCCAGCCAACGGTCTGATAAAGCTGCTCCAAGGAAACACCGTACTTCTCGGCACAGTGTCTCAAGATAGAGTGGACAGCCTTGGACTTGTTGTATCTCTCGTCACACTTGACGATATCTTCAGCAGAGACTCTTCTCTTGGACAAATCAATGTAACCCTTCTCCTTGTCAACTCTCAACACGACAGCGACTTCGTTCTTACCCACACGAATCAACTTCTGGATAGAACGGATACGTCTTCTGGACAATTCAGACAAAAGAACCATACCCTCGATGTTGTCGTACTCCAAAAGCTTGACGTAGGCACCCATCTCGGCGATCTCCTGGACGTTCACCATCACCACCTCGTCCACCTCAGGGTACTTGTTCTCGTAAAATCGACAGTTTGTGCTCATGGTGCCGGTATTTGTGTAGCAGAGGTGTGATGAGTCTAAGTAGAGTAGATGTAAGCGTCTAAAATTTTCAAATGATGGACTTCGCACGACAGGTAGTAAGAGAAGGTCTCCACTGTGGAAAGAAAGGGGCGTGGAAGATATAGGAAAATGGGAATAAGGGGAGGAATATGACTGTTTTAAAGTACAAGAAAAGAGGTTTATTTGTTGAAAGTGTTTTGTGGTTGGGTGCTCTGATATGGTCATAGTATATGCTGTAGTCTCAGTATGAGACATCGCCAACCACGCCAGGTTTTCAAGAACCAAAAGAAGGATTGAAGGTAGTTCAAATTTGAAGTTTTCCTTGATAGCCTAAATTTGTAAATGACTTGTTTTAAGTTTCTTTGTTTACTCTCCTGACTTATAACAGTAGCTGGGCTTTTCGCAGCCAGTCCGTATACTATGTACTATGGATAGCTGCCAGGCATCTGACAGACATCACTCCAGACGTAGTAAACCTGTCAATAAAAGACCAGATAGAAAATAGGTCCCTTCCATTAACTTCAAAAAACACTCAGTACTCGATTTCTGTAATTTTGTCTTAACCCAATGGACAAACCTCTACCCAGCTGCCCTACTATGCGCTTCCTCTTTTTGCAACCATTTCGCATACTCTTCCTACCACTCTCTTTTCATGGCAGACTTCAAAAGATACCCAGAAAATAAGTTCCACCTTCCTCGCAGGTATAAGCTCATCAAAGAACTCGGCGCCGGCTCCTACGGTACCGTTTGTCTGGTCGTGGATACCAAGTTCAAGGACCGAAGCGTACACTTGGCAGTCAAGAAGGTGGGTAAGGTGTTTGACAACCCTATCTTGATGAAACGGGCTATCAGAGAGCTTAAACTTATGAGGTTTCTTCGTGGACATCGCAACGTATGAACCACCTTTCTTTTACTTGTCTTTCTAATCTAACTCCAGATTGTTTCTCTTGTAGATGTGAATCTAGTGTCTCAGGATAGCTACGCTGGGCTCTACTGTTTCCAGGAACTCATGGACTGGGACCTTACGCATGTTTTGTACTCGCCCATGCAATTTCTGGAGTTTCATATTCAAAGCTTCTTTTACCAGATTCTTCAGGGCATCAAGTATACTCACAGTGCTAACATTATTCATCGAGACTTGAAGCCAGGGAATATCTTGGTGAACCGCCATGGCACGTTGAAACTTGCAGACTTTGGCCTTGCAAGGGGAATCACTACGATTCCCGCTGCCGCCAGTCCCATTACCAATTACGTGGCTACCAGATGGTACAGGGCTCCAGAACTCTTAGCCAAAGTGACCAAGTATGGCAAAGAAGTGGATATGTGGGCAGCAGGAGTGATTCTAGGAGAGATGTACGGAAGAAGGCCCATGATGCCTGGAAAGGATAGTATGGGCCAGATTATACACATTTTAGATGTGCTTGGAGAGCCACCAGCAGCGTTAGTCAAGAAAAGAGGATGGAAGCTTCCCAGTACGATGGGAGTTTGGAAGATGCGAAACAACAAGCCCATTTCCCATCGCTGGAGCGAATTGTACCCTTTCGCCTCAACTTCTGGGCTCCAGCTTGTGGGAATGCTTCTTCAATGGGACCCTCTGGCCCGTTTGACAGTAGAAGAGGCGCTTGAGCACCATTTCTTGGGTCCAGTGAGGAACCAAAATGGAGAGGCCAGCGCACCCGGGATATTTGAGTTTAGTGCCGAGGAAGAACGTCTTGACCACCAGGATCTCTTTGGATTGTTGACGAAGGAAGTTAGGGAGTTTCAAAAGGAACGGAAACCCAAGATCGTGCTGGACGCCAAGTCGGTTGCAAAACACGTCAGTGGAAGAGTCTAGGAAAGCCAGGGCCAGCAACCTATGCACTTTAGTAGTACTTTACCTTGCCTGGAACCCTCAGTCTACCCCTTTAATAAGCTTCGGGTCAATTGACCTCCATTACGTATCCCTACGTGTTTTAGGCACTTTGGAGTGGCTGCGAAAAGAGGAAACGTCCAGTGACGTCAAGCATGTAGTAATAGCCGTTGGACGACGCCGTAACGATACGTTTTCTCGGCTACCAGAGCACCTCCAGCACCCCCAGCAATTAACCGAAACCTGCTGTTCGCCACCTCCAGTGAATACAAACCACCTGTCTACTTACCTACTCTCTGTAGTTCTGCCCCACCTGTCCCTCACCTGCCTGTCCCACCTGCCATTCCCTTACAAAACCCCAAAACCCCAAACCCCAAACCCAGCCCCAAATACCACCACGTCATTTCTGGGCGAAACTTAAAAGCATAAAAACAAACTCTACGCTTCCCTCCAGTGGTGGCTTTGTCTACTGGCCCACCGCCGTTGGAAGGTGAAGAGCCCGCGACAGCCTATTCCTTCCACCAGCCAACGCCAACAATGCCTGCCCACCATGCCCTCCATGCCCACCGTTCCGCTCCCAAAACGGTTTGCCCCTTCCTCTACCTAGCAACAGAACCATGAAAAAGCGAATCCACTTTATTCACTCCATCCACATCTTCATTTATCAGAGGCTACATAGCAGCTGGCAGGCTCCAGGCGTGGTGGGGTTCTGGACACTAAAGCTGGCGCGGCGCCCCAGGGCCCAGTTGCCAGTTGCCCCAGAAGTCCACCCGCACCTTCCACTTCCACTTCCACCAATCTACCTCCACCAGTCCATTTGCAACCGATAACTGTCGACTCTAAACCCCAAACTCCTAACCATTGCCAAACCAACCCCAATTCTAATCCAATCCAAAGTCACTCCCAATTCCACCCATGTGTCTTTCATTCGCCCTCCATTCAATTGCCTTCGTTTGTCTATTGTGAAACGACGTACGGCTATTGTATTGTATTACGTTTTTTTTGTCTTTTTTTTTCGTTGCTGGCCCGAGGAAGTTTGTCCCGAGTAGACTGCGAAAAATAATACCGCCAATTCCACTTCCCTTAGGCAGTTCTTCCTGCTTCTTCCTTTCTTCCAGGGTTTGTCGTTCCCCCCGCAATGTTCTCTGCAAACCCTGGCTTTTTTTTTCTCTTAGTGTATTTGTTCTTTATTTTTTGCCGCTGTACTGACAAGCCTCTGTGTTTTGTGTAGTGAAGATCGTCGGTCGCAAAACGGACCCCACAGTAATCGCAACGCATTTTCGTTCCTCGGGCCAGCTGCCACCGCAGGAAGGAACTATAAAGGTGGAGCAATTGCCAGGCCAATCTGGTTTTGGCGATTTTTTTTGACCTTAACTTTCTTTATTTCAATATGGGCAAACATCACGACGACTTGGACATTGTTAAGTTTATTGTTAACTTCGAGGACGGCTCCGAGAAGGAAGTCCCTGTGGCCTCTGTGGATGAGGTGTTGGTGCTGATTCCTGAGGGAACCACTTACCAGATGACCATTGTGTTTACTGTTTCCAACCGTACTTTGAAGAGCTTGAAGTACAAGCAGGTGGTCAGAAAGGGTGGTATTCCATTGAAGAGCAAGGAGCTCTACTTGGGTGACGAGTTTGAGCCAAGAGAGGAGCCTTACACTAAGCAGTTTGAGAAGGACACCACTCCTTCTGGTTTCCTCTACAGAGGCACCTTCCCTTCCACTTCTACCTACTTTGCTGGCGAGGAGGAGCTCTTCACTTCCGACTGGACTTTGGAGGTGACCAAGAAGGCCTAAGCGGGTTCTTGGAAAATCTATATATATATTAAAAATGACGTTATTTGTTTGCTGCCAAGATCAATTGGTGATACACGTAGACCTGGTGGCTGCGAAACAGTGGGTGAATAAAGTTAAGCAGCCGCACATTTGTCCAACGCCTTCGCCAAGGTATCATATTAGGTTTTAGTAAAGTTTGCTTTGGGCATAGTGGTTGATTGAAAGTGGTTTTGGTTCAGTAGCATGGGCATACTTGTTATCGCAGATTTCATAATATTCTTCAAAACCACTGTGCAATGCCAAGATGGTAACTGATAAGACAAAGAAAAAGTCGGGATAATATTACGAGTTACTCTGGGTCTTGGCAACTTCCTCGGTACGCCGTTGGCGTGGAAGGTTCCGATAGGAGACGTTTCACCACATTTGGCTATGGACAGAGCATGGGCATGGATTAGACCGTTTGGCAGATCACATTGTAGATAACGGAATGAGGTAGTGTTTTACCTTATTTAGAGGATAAGAGGTTTGGGATGGAGGTAGAGGTATGTTGGTGGTTGTAGTTGAAACGTAGTGGGTGGAATGGGCCATAGTGGAGTGCTTAATTACCATACTGAAGTGGAGTGGTACACTAAGACCCACTACTAGAGCTCCCTCTACGGTACCACTTCCACAGCCACCCCTTATCCTTACTCAGCAAATGACACACTTAATTATATCTCTTCTATTAAAGCTTACCCCCAACTCCAGTTGCAACGTAAAGCCCAGGGGATCCAAGTGGGGTGGGTTCAACCAGAAGTAGTGAGGTGCTGCGATTACCCCAGATTCCAGATTCCAGATTCCACTTGCCCCTCGTCCCTCCACCCAACCAACCCTCTGCCAAGCAACCGCCCAACCCCTATAATAAGTTGAAAGGCAAAACATCAAGATTAACCTGGCGATAACCAATTCACCTCTTTACCTTTACTCCATCACCTGGCCTACCTCTCCCTCCCTCTTCCTTTCGCAGCCACTGGGCCACTGGACTCGCCCCAGGGCTCGCCCCAGGGCAGCCAGGGCTGTCCGCGCACCATTGCCTCACTACCTCATTACCTCACTGCCTCGCCCCAGAAGTGTACCTCACCTCAACTCACCACTCCACCTTCCACCACTCCACCTCCTCCATTCCATCTCCACCCACCCCATCTTCTTCAAAACCACCAATTGACTCTTTGGACATATTTAACTATACAATCCCAGAAAGCCAATTACCCCTTACTTCATACTTCCATAACTTCATAGCCTACTCCCTCCCTCCCTCCCTACCTTCCCCAACCACCTTTTCCATGCTGAGACCAGCGACTCACGCGGGTGCGTGGTACACGAACGATGGCGGCAGACTCAGAACCCAAATCGCCAAATACTTTTCTGCCGCGGCCAAAATCACTTCCCCAGTGGCTGGCGCCAGAATCCTTGTGGGGCCTCACGCGGGCTACGCCTACCTGGGCCCTAGGCTTGCTGAAACGTTTGCTGCGTGGGATACTAGTAAAGTGCGCAGGGTGTTTGTCTTGGGGCCCTCGCACCATGTATACTTTCGCCAGAAGGCCATGGTCTCGCGGTACTCTAGCTATGATACTCCCTTGGGGCCTTTGCCTGTGGACACTGAGGTGTGCGCCAAGTTGTGCGCGGGAGGCCTGGCGGCGCCATTTGGGTATATGCTGCTGGAGGTGGACGACGATGAACATCTGTTTGAGATGCACGCACCGTTTATTGCTTATAGGGCGCAAGAGGATGGCGTAGACGTGAAGATAGTGCCTATTATGGTTAGTGGGCTCAGTCCTGCGTTGCGGGAGAAAATAGTAGAGGCGCTAGCGCCGTATATGGAGAAGGAAGAAAATACGTTTGTGGTGCTGTCTGACTTTTGTCACTGGGGCCGCCGGTTTGGCTATACAGAGTATGTTCCAGGGGAAGACTTGGACGAGTGCGATGAGTATAGCGATAAGCGGGCGCGGGCGCCTGGGGCGAATGCTATTTGGCAGAGCATTGAGTTTTTGGACCGCCTGGCGATGGCTGTGGCCCAGAAAGGGTCTGCTGATGCGTGGGACGAGTACATTGAGGCTACGGGGAATACCATTTGTGGCCAGAAACCGTTGGGTATAGTGTTGAGGTTGTTAGAAAAGACTGGCGGTGGTAGTAGCGGCAGCGGTGGTGGCTTCAAATGGTTAGGTTACTCCCAGAGCTCGCAGGTCTTGAAACTGAACGATTCCAGTGTTTCCTATGCGTCCGGGTACGTTGCCGTTTAGCAGGGGCTGGATTGCATTCAGGGGACTTGATTTCTGTTTATTTAATGGTCATGGCCATTCCGGTTCTTTGCTGATGCTTCTTCTGGATTTATGGATTCCGGCAATTGGTTGATTTATGGGTAATTGAAGCACTCAAGCAATCTGTTCTTTTAAATTGAGCTGGTGCTGTGGGTTCCGTTTAAGTTTCATAAAAAGACGTCAACCGATTCAATTACCAAGCTGAACCTTCAATGCTGATTCCGACAGAAACTTACAGCTTTCATCCCCATACCCCTTCTACATTACCACGATAGCTCGTTAGATGGCTATCTTATTCTTAGAAATGAAATACATCTATGATTTTCACTTGATAAGCCACACGTACCATCTGAACCTGGCCCTTCTTGAAATAAAAAGAAGCATTCTAAGTACCCTTAATAACACAAACTATTCTCTTTCCCATTGACTTCCCTGGTTCCTGGCAATGGCTGGAGAAGTTGTCTGTATTCCCGAACATAGAATACCCAGTTGACCGCGTACACTTCCCCAAATCCCCAACCAAAAACCATAAAACCGTTTTCTCGCTTACCAAATATCCATGTAGATCCACATTATTCTTACCCAATTATACTTTCTTCCCTTTAGTAAGCATACCAGCGGTTTCTCCACTCGGAACTTCGGAATGGCTGCGAAAAGCTACTTCCCATACCACAGCCACACCAACCACCCAAACACAACTAAAATTATACCAAAGTACCATCAATAGGTAGCGAAATGCCTCCAGAACTTTAATATGTAAATAAATAGTACCAACCATTAATTTTCCTGCTCCATCACTGACCCCCACCAAATCTGCCCCAACTCCTTATCTACAGATGGAGACGCGCGATCAGCTTCAACTTTTCACTACGCCTACTCCCACACTGATCCAGCAAGATAACCATCACGGTGCGTTTCCTTGATGAGTGATTCCAAGCTATTCGGGAAATGCAAGTCCCAGGAACTTCGAGTCGAGCTCGAGCAGGCGAAGAAGAAACTGAAGCCACAAGCAAAGGTGAAGGTGGTGCTTAAGAAAGCCATATCTAATATTATCCTCCACAACAACGAACTCGCTCATTTATTGGAAGATGTCACGGCGCTTATGACTATAGACGACTTTGAGATCCGGTCCTTGTGCTCCCAGTTTATTGTTCATTACGCTCCATTGGACCATAGTAAAGCATTGGGGGCTTTGAAGTTCTATGAGAGATTTGCTGACGACCTTAATGCTAACATACGTGCACTTGCGGTGAAGACGGTGGCTTCGGTTAACCTTAAGGAGTACATTCTGATTGCATTGCCTATGGCTAAGAGGTTGTTGCTTGATACAACGCCCCATGTTAGAACTTCTGCTGCTTTTGCTGTGGCCAGGTTGTACCAGCATGACGATGAAAGAACGACGAAAAATGGCCTTATAGACGACTTGAATGAGCTTTTATATGATGAGAACCAGGTCGTCGTGGCCAATGCGCTTGCAGCGTTGAATTCTATTACGGAATCTGATAAATCATTGAAACTTACCATTGATAAGAACCACTCGCTAGCGTTGGTCAATGGCCTCAGTTCAGCTAATGAATGGCGTACGGTTTATTTGCTTGATGCATTGATGTCGTTTGTTCCACAAGACTCCAAGGACGCCTTGTCTCTTATAGAGATTGTGCTTTCGTGCTTGGTGCATTCAAACTCGGCTGTTGTGCTCAACGCTGTTAAAGTTATTGTCTATCTCAGTAACTACGTCGAGGGCCCCGAGGTAGTGATCCCTGGATTGGCTAAAAGAATTGGCTCTTCGCTTGTGTCATTGCTTTCTAAACCTCCAGAGATCCAGTTCTTGGTGCTTAGAAACGTTATTCTTCTACTACTTGGTAAACGCTACCTTCTCGAAGTTGATGTGGAACAGTTTTTCTGGAAATTCGATGATCCCATCTACGTGAGAGATACAAAGCTAGAGATCATTTATCTATTAGCAGATGAATATAACGTGGAGGTCGTCTTTCGTGAATTGGAGGAGTATGCCACCGAGATCGATGCCAATATGGCAAGAAAAGCTATTAGAGCTTTCGGTAACTTGGCCATCAAAATTGACGCAACAGCTCAACAAAGTGTTGATACCCTTATCGATTTGTTGGCTGATGGTGTTCCCCACATTGTCCAAGAGTCAATCGTTGTGTTAAAGAATGTACTTCGAAAGTACCCAGGCAGATTTGACTATGCGATTGAACCTGCGGTAAGAAACTATGAGGTTGCAATTGAGCGTGACGCAAAAGCTTCGGTATGTTGGATTGTTGGCCAGTATGCCGAGAAGATTCCAAATGCTCAGAAGATCATCACCTACCTCGTTCTGTCCTTCAACGAAAGTCCCTTGGAAGTCCAGTACGTCATATTAACTGCCGTGGTTAAGTACTACGTGAAGTTTCCAGTACAAGGAGAAGCTCCTTTGCTTAAGGTATTGAAGAAGGCTACTGAGGTATCAGACAATCCTGATGTGAGAGACCGTGGATTCTTCTACTGGAGAATGATCACAAGTCCAGAGAACGCTGGAACAGAGGGCAACTTTCAGAAGAAAACCAAGGAAATCGTTATCGATACTGAACCCCTCATCAGTTCTGAAAACGAGAACATTGATCCAAATATTCTAGAAGAGCTTGAGCTTAATATTGGAAGTCTTGTTTCTGTATACCTTAAATCGGTTGAGCATGTCTTCAGATTGGCGAAAAGAAAGCTGCTTCCATACTCACTTGCGTTACAACCTCGCCGAAAGAATGAGACTCCTCGTCCATCGTCAAGACCATCGGTTCGTCAGAACCACCTGCAATCCAGCGTCCCACGCTCTAACAAGCCTTTGCCACCAGTGCAAAGGAAAGGAAGCGGAGGAAGCAGTTTGGCCAGCTCTCAGACACCAAGCAGAGTTAATTCTGTCAACGATAGCGAGAAAATGTCACTTGGAAAGCGGTTGGGTAGAAGGGCCACTCGTCTTGTTAAAAAGACGTAAGACATCAATCAACACTCTCCTTTTTGATAATGGGATCAAGCTTTTTCCTCGCCTTCCTTACATCGACAATCTCGACATCAGGGGAAAACTTAACGTGCTCAGCTGTACCCACAATGGTCTCGGTGTCTATTTTGGGCATGTTTGGTTCAGGCCCGTCTGATACCTCACTCTTGAGGGTCTCCAAGTCATGGCCTATGAGGGACCCTAAAATGATAACAGCTGCTGGCTTGGACATTACTAGCATATTCTCTTTACAGAATGCTCCAGTTACACATAGTGGACAGCCCCAATCACATTCACATCCACTAACACGCTGGTAGGTTGTTTGGATGATTTCGTCAATGAACTCGAATGTCTTGGCTGAGATACCGGTTCCCTGTGATCCGCCCTTAGAATCATGGAAAATGAGTCTAGCGGGACGTTTTCTTCTTGACTGTCTAGAAGCAAATTCCTTCTCTGGAGCTTTGCATTCAGTTGACAACTCAGCATCGCCAATGGACGAGGTCCAACGAGCGTTTGGATTGGTGGTTGCTCCACCAGTGATAAACAAGGGAAGGATATTCATGATTGCATGTTGAGCAGCATGTATACCACCAGCAGGATTCAAAGACTTTTCTTTGATAGCCTCGATTGCCGATTGAGGAATATCAATCCAGAGACCTTTTGATTGTAATTTTATAGGAGGATTTTTCACCTCAACAACGTCAAGAATCTCACCCTTTCTATCCACTTTGAAGTAGCCAAAGACGATAACTGTCGTCTGTATCTTTCCAAAGAACACTGGGATATCAGAAGACTCTTTCATTGATGGCGGATGAAGCTTCTTTACCATTTGTATTTCCATAGGATCAACATCAGAGAAGTCTCTTTGCTGAGTGTTCCAAGTTACTTTAACACGTTCCACTTTGGCATACTGGCCTTCAAAGTTGAACTCCTTAACCAAATAGGGGAAGCCTTGGTGAAGAAATATGCCTCCCTCATAAAGTGTGAAACTTGTTCTAACAGCCTCGACCTCTTCGATAACAACATTTCGATTATTGGTAACGTCTACCACTGCAAACATTATGTCATCAATTGCACGCAAGCTGACTTTTTCAGCGGGCCATGGAAGGTACCTGGGGTCAGTACGATAATAGTCCAAATTGTCCTTGTTGAGCTTGTCTTCACAAAGTTGCCTGAAAGTTGCATTCATCTTCTCTGAATTATGAGGTGAAAACCAACGCATATCATTATCAATGTGAATCGGCCATTCAAAGGCAGCACATTGCAAATGCATGGACATGACTACTCTATTCAGACTTCCATCCATGATTCCTTCCACGCATAAATCCTCGTAAGTTTCTTTATCAAGAACCTCATGAGGATTCTTGAGATAGAATCTATCAAGAGGATTTGATCCACAAACAAGAAGGGCCAAACTTCCTTTGGAAGACCGACTTCTCCCGGCACGGCCAAATTGTTGATGTAAGTTCAGCTTCAGTCCAGGGAAACCACAACTGATTACCACGTCCAAGTCTGATAAATCAATACCCAACTCCAAAGCATTTGTGGCAACAATTGCTCGAAGCTTACGGCTAAACATTTTTTGTTCAATTGCTCGTCTGTCTGTCTTAGAGTACCCGCCTCTATAAGACATGATATCGTGTACACTTATTGTATTCCACTGGGGAAACTCACTTGAAGTGATAAGTGTTCGGCATTCCTTAATCACTAGCTCACAAACTTCTCTTATAGGACAGAATAAGATGACTTTGATTGAAGGTAGCATGCATAATAAATGGACCAAGATCTTCGCCAGCTCCCCAACTACATGCTCCCTCGGTAAAAATGCAGATTTGATGGGAACTTTTGCAGAGGTAGCCAGGTTTAGTTTTGATTGGGGAATTTCACGTTGTCCTTTCTTGTTCATCATAACTGGCGGTTCCCAAAGCACTAGCTTTTTCTGAGAACTTGGACTGCCATCTTCATGGATATGGGCAATTTCTTCGTCATCAGGGATAGCACATATCGTTCTGAAATGCGATTCTGGCTCTTTGATAGTAGCTGAGCAAGAGATATACTTTGTATGGCTGTGTTGGTCTAACTGTGCTTTCAACCGATTTAGACGGGCCATAACGTATGAAACATGGACGCCAAATGTACCTTTGTACACATGGAGTTCATCAATAACCACGTACTTGAGGTTTTTTAAAAATTCAGTCCATCCACGTCTCTCATCTGGCGCTTCAATGGCATGATTCGGTAGTATCGCAGCATGAATCGCATCTGGGTTGGTAAATATGATATCTGCATAGTTCCTGATGAATGGTCTATCCTTTGAAGGAGTATCACCATCATAAGTATCCACAGTTATTATTCTATTCTTTTGAGGCAAGTGAGAAATGAGTTCTGTAAGATGTCTCTTCTGATCCTGAGCTAGGGCCTTTGTGGGGAAGATAAATAACGCTGTGGTGCTTCTCTTGTGGCTATTGGCTCCACTATCACAATCGTCTAGAATATCACTTAGAACAGGTAGCTGATATATGAGAGACTTACCTGAACTTGTAGATGTGCTGACGATGACATGTTTCTGTTCTTCAAGAACTGCTGTAAGGGCTAATGCTTGATGCAGGTAGAGCCCACCTTCTATAGCATCAATACCTTTATAGCTCCAAAGTGCATCAACCAATCCACCATGTAGTAGCTCAGGATCAAGCTGTTTATGTTGTGCAGCTCTTTCAGCAGTAAGTGTAGCAACTGTTGAGATCTGATCTCTAAAAAGAGGTTTCTCGTTCAATGTTTGAAGCATGGTTTCAACGTCAGGCTTTTCACTTGATACAGCTTCATTGTTCCTCACAGTCATTACCTCAACGGGATCACTTAAGTACGAAGGTTCTGGGATATTCTTCACGTTCCTCTCCACAAGCACTTTAAAAGGAACGCCCTCGTCCAACTCCTCCAGGGTAAACCCTTCCAAGAATTCCTCAATACAAGAAGAGAAGAACTCATTTCTTCCTGCTATTATAGCTCGTAGTTGTTCCTGGGAAAGCAGCTCCATGCTCAACTCTTTAGTACTAGTGAAAAACTTAGGCGGCAGTGGAGACTTTGCCGTCTTGGCCTTCTTCCACTTATCTTTACCTTTAATAACAGCACCTATGCCTCTTACCTTAACATCGCAAAACTCAAAAACAAGAAGTTGCTTCTCTGGCTTATCAGCATTCTGTCTACTGACAGCCTCGTACGCGTCATCTATAGATCTGGGCTGGTTCTGGTTGAGGCCGCCCTTTGTACGCTTGAAATCCACCTTTTCGGCTATTAGAAGCTGATTTTCATCGATATAGTCAAACGTTACTTCTCCATCTGGAAGAAGGTCCTTGATCATCTGGAGATCAATCCTAGAGATGTCATCATTGAGTTTCTGGATATGCTCGAAAGTAGGGATTGTCTGGCGGGAAAAAGACGCCAAAAACGTCAAGTGGGTATTGATAAGCTTGAATTTCTTATATAGCGACGTAAACGGATCTGGCCATGCCATCGAAGGCGTTTTCTGGAGCGTAGTTGCTAGTTCGGTTAGGCTTCTCTGATATGTGAGAAGTGCAGGACTATCAGTATTTTGCAGCCAAAACCAGGGTCCCATAAGTACAAGCCAAAACCATAAAAAGCTTTCATATATATACTTATTTACGCTTCACAGCATCCTCCATCTACATAGTTTCTTATGAAAGTAGATGGATCTTTACATACGGCATTAGAGCACTGGTACCTGCCATTATAGTCTCTAAGAGCAGCAGTACAGCAGTCATAGAAACCTCTGGTACAGTTATGGGACTCACCAATCCAGCAAGTATGGGGCAGACAAATCCCCGACTCAGCGTTCCCCAATTCCTTATTTTTACACTGTTTTTCAAAAATCAGCAAAGACTGGCCTTCTGCTTGGCCCTCTGCCTGGCCAGACTGGGCCTGTCCCAGTACACCAGTAGGAGCTGAACGGTCAATAAAAAACAACCTATTCCCAGAAAACAAATCGTAAACATAGTGTTTCTGTTCCTCGGGAATATAAATAACCGCCCTTTGGCCGTCAAATTCCGTATCCCCAACTGTATCGTTCACATACGAAAGTCCATAAGCGCCAGTGTTATAGACGGTATGGCCATGTGAAACGGCGGCTTTTTGGACATTGCTCAAGGCGCTAAACCCAATACTGGCAGGGAGATCAGCGAAAGTAAAGCCCCACGTAAGTGCAGCAGCAGCGAAGGTACCAAGTTTCATAGAAAAAGAACTAAAGTAGTAGAGAGAATATACCACACCTGGACCCCTAATATAGGCTTAGAGACACTATTCAGGAATGGAGCGTTGGACGTCCACCATTCGCCAAAAGTTGTATCCGCCAGGGTTTGTGAAAAGTGGCCATCGGTAAAACTGGCAACCATGCTGGGCGTCTAATTCATGTAGGCACCTTGCCCAAGATGGTGCTGCGATAGAAGCTTGACGGTATGTACTGTGGTGTCAAGGCGAGCAGAGCGTATTTGGAGCTGGGAAGGAGGAGGAAATCCAAAAGTGACTTTTCTTGGTGACCTTGACCAAGATAAGTATTTCCATGGAATTTCGTCTTTCCAGCCTTTTTTGGGGCCCTTTTAACTGCCACTCTGTGTGTGCCTGGGACCTGTTCAGGCTGTGTCTCCTGCACAATCGCTAGCAACCGTCCCCCAGCAAGAGTGATTGCAAAATCATCCCTACAAAAACTGGCATAGAGCCCATATTTTTTGCTATCTTTGATAAAAATCACAAAATGGGACTTTCGAAGTTAGTCGATAAAATGAGAAGCCACTCGGTGGCTTCCGTCAATGCTGCTGATCCTCCGGTGGATGCTGGCCAACCTCCTCTGAGGAAACAGATCTTTAGGGCCAGGTACAACTTTGGACCTAACTTTGGTGCTCTTTTCGTGGGAGAAAAGTGGATTTACCATTCGATTTTCCCTGATGGCGCTGAGACTGAACTTCAGGCCGCTGAGGGTAATATCAAGGCTTTGGGCGTGGATAAGGCCAGGGAGAAGTATGAGAACCACTGGAAGCACTATGTGAATGATGACGACTGGCAGTGGCTCCAGGATAACGGTGTGACTGCTATTAGGCTTCCAATTGGTTACTGGAACATCGACGGCGGTAAATATACCAAGGGAACCAAGTTCGAGAAGGTTGCTGGCGTTTACAAGAACTCGTGGGAGATCATCAAGAAGAACTACATCGAGCCTGCTGGGCGTTTTGATATTGGTGTTTTGATTGATATCCACGGTTTGCCATACGGCGCTAACGGTAACGACCATAGTGGTGAAACCAACAACGGTAAGGCTGAGTTCTGGAATAAGTCCTCGGCCCAGAACTTGGTTATCGATGCTCTCAAGTTCTTGGCTGGCGATATCGCCAACTACGAGAACGTTGCAGGTATTCAGATTGTCAACGAAGCGGAATTCTCGAACGGCGCCTCGAAACAGAAGAAGTACTACGCTGACGCCATCAATGCTATTCGTGCTGTGGATAAGTCTGTTCCTGTGGTCATTTCTGATGGCTGGTGGCCAGACCAGTGGGTGAAATGGGTCCAGGATAACCAGGATATCGGCACCACCATTGGTGTTGTCGTTGACCACCACGTTTACCGCTGTTTCGATGGTAACGACAAGAAGAAGGACCCTAACCAGATCACTGACGATTTGGAAGGCGATCTTCTTACTAACCTCACTGATGACGGTAACGGTGTTGATTTTATGGTCGGCGAATGGTCTTGTGTTTTGGACGGCGATTCCTACTCTAAGGCCGGCTTGGATCCAAACGACTACGGTAACCAGAAGAGAGCTGAGCTTTCCAGTCGTTTCGGTGGCAGAATTGCCGACCTTATTTTCAAGCGTGCTGGTGGTGGTTCCTACTTCTGGACTTACAAGTTTGAGTCAGGCAACGGTGGCGAATGGGATTTCCGTCAGCAATTGCACAACAGTTTTGCTCCTCCAAAGATTACTGTTCCTGATGACAACAAGTTCAATGAAGTTCTTGAAGGCAATTTCAAGGCACATTCCGACTACTGGAACCTGCAGAATCTGAACGAGAAGTACGAACACGACCGTTACAAGGAAGGTTTCACTGTTGCCTGGAGAGACAGCGTTGAGTTTGCTAAACAAGGCTCTCTTCTTGGACGCAGACAAGCAGTCAAGTGTGCCCGTTTGAAGGAGCACATTGACGCCAAGGGCAAATCGAAGTTCCTCTGGGAGTGGGAACAGGGCTACGATAAGGGGATTGAAGAGTTCAACAATTTGTAAGAAGTTAATTGATGGATGTGTTACGACTAACAAATGGCTGCGAAATTACAGTCACCGATAAGCGGCCCCGAGGCAGCGACACACAAAGGCTTTGAAATTGATAAGCCTGCATGTGCCTTCTAGACTAAAGTTGTTCATCCGTTGAAGGCAACCTGTCCAGCTGGGTTTAAATCTTCCCACTTTCTCTATTGCTCTCTAACAATCCCCCAAACGACCCTCTTTCTCTCCTGATAAGATGCTGGAGCTTCCAATTGAGTGGCTCGAGGTCTCAATTCGGAAACCTAATTACGTGGTGCACGGGTCTGGCCACAAGGTTGCGGTCATATAGCCAGCCCTCTGCCCCTAATTAACCAGCGAACAACCCCCACAATTGACCAATTTCTGGGGTTTCAATACTTTGAAATCTGTAATCACTCTAATTCCATCTTCAACGTACCCCCAATTTATTTCTACCCAATTTCCCGGGCCATTTCCATAAAAAACCCGTACATATACCCCTGTGACAGTATATATCACCCCCACCTCGCCACACTCAGTACTTACCCACCACTTCTCTTCTTCAATCCTTATCAAATATGAAGTTGACCACCACCCTCGTTGCTGTGGCAGCGGCACTTTTCGGTGCCACCGATGCCAAAAAGTTCTCCACCAAGCTTAATAAAATTCCCGTTGAGGAATCCTTGGATGCCTTTAGGTTCCATGAATACACCTCGGCTTTGGCCCTGAAGTACATTGATGCCTACGCTGCTGCTGGCTACGGTAACTCTGGCCAGAGCGGTCAGGATGTGGCTCAGATTCCACTTGTTTCTAACGGTGGCAAGCACGAGGCTCCTCTTACCAACTACTTGAATGCCCAGTACTTCACTGAAATCCAGCTTGGTACCCCAGGCCAGACCTTCAAGGTTATCTTGGATACTGGTTCTTCTAACTTGTGGGTTCCATCCAAGGACTGCAGCTCCTTGGCTTGTTTCTTGCACTCCAAGTACAACCACGACGAGTCTGCTTCTTACAAGGCTAACGGCTCTGAGTTCTCTATCCAGTATGGTTCTGGTGCTATGGAGGGTTACGTTTCCCAGGACACCTTGGCTATTGGTGACTTGGTGATTCCAAAGCAACAGTTTGCTGAGGCCACTTCCGAGCCTGGCTTGGCTTTCGCCTTTGGTAAGTTCGACGGTATCTTGGGTTTGGCTTACGACACTATCTCCGTCAACAAGATTGTTCCACCAGTCTACAACGCCATCAACCAGGGTCTCTTTGAGTCTCCTCAGTTTGGTTTCTACCTTGGTGACGCCAATGAGGACGAAAACGACGGAGGTGTGGCCACTTTCGGTGGTTACGATGACTCCCACTTCAAGGGCTCCCTTACCTGGTTGCCAGTTAGAAGAAAGGCTTACTGGGAGGTTTCCTTTGACGGTATCGGATTGGGCGATGAGTACGCCGAATTGACCTCCACTGGTGCTGCTATTGACACCGGTACTTCTTTGATCACTTTGCCATCTGCTTTGGCTGAGCTTATCAACGCCAAGATTGGTGCCACCAAGTCTTGGTCTGGCCAGTACCAGGTTGACTGTGAGAAGAGAGACGAGTTGCCAGACTTGACCTTGACTTTCGCTGGTTACAACTTCACCTTGTCTCCATACGACTACACCTTGGAAGTGTCTGGATCTTGTATCTCTGCCTTCACTCCAATGGACTTCCCTAAGCCTATTGGTGACTTGGCTATCATCGGTGACGCCTTCTTGAGAAGATACTACTCCGTTTACGACTTGAAAAAGAACGCTGTTGGTTTGGCCCCAGCCAAATAAGCAGCCCGCTAGTTAGAAGCTCTGGAAAGCTTAATACACGTCTTGGAATCTATTGTTCGAGCCCACTTGTGGCTTTGAGGTTTCTGTAGCAGGCTTGGACATGCTGCGAATATCGAGATAACGGCGTTGTGCGACTGTAACCAGCCATAGTCCAGCCATAACCCAGCCAATTCATCAAATACCTTGTATTACCTGCTTTCTACAATTGAACCAGTTCTGTTCCCTGTAACATATGGAATGCCCAGCACCAGTACTGTCCTCCCTATCTCTGTCATTGCTGTGGCTGCGAAAAACGCTGGCTGGCTCAGGTCCACCCATATCACCACACTCCCACCAAAAGAACCCCCAAAACTACCCATCTCCCTAAAAATAGCATAACCGTTCTTCTTACACTTTCCTCGTCAAAACCTCTCTACCTCCTTCCATTATTCTCCCCAATGCCTAGCCATTTTTGTGGAACTAGGCACCTCGCATTTCTCGCATAAAATGCTGGTGATGCCCGATCTGGAAACCGCCAGCCAGCTGGATCACGATGATCCCCAGATCATTGATCCACACAAAGATTTTCATAAAACTCCTTCTCCTTCCCTTTTCTTCATTCTCGTCTAATCTCACTTTCTCGTCTCCCGAATAAATATCATGAGTGTCGCCTCAGCTGAGTGGAAACCAGTCCTCGCTGCTAAATCTGAGGCTTCTGACCACACAGTGTCTGACGTTTTAACCAGTGAGCTTCTTAGAGAGAACCCATACTCCAGAAGACCCAAGAAGGATTCTTCCACTTCCCAATCGCCTCACGAAAGACTCGAGGTTCAAACTGACTCCTCCAGACTGTCTCTGATTCCAGCTTCTGACCACTACTATAAGACCCAGAGCATGGAGGGAGACCAGACTGTCCAGGCAAGACCTTCAATGAAGGATAAACAGCTTCCACAGAGCCCATCTCAGGGAAGCACGAATATGATAGACAGACGTACGCATCTTCAGCTTCACAGTGGGCCTCTTCATCAAGTGCCTGAGAGGTTCTCCCAGTATATAGCTGATGCGCCTAAGCCTACCAGGTCTCAGCACTCTTCCAGTCTTTATAGTGACAGAAGGGATATTTCAGACTCCATGGGCTCGCAAGCTACGATTTTTTCCACAAGACAGGATCTGTTGAACCATAGATCAAAGTCAAAGCTTAGAAATAGAGCTGGTTTACGCCGTAAACCTACCAAGGCAGGCCCAGACTATGGCCAGACGCCTTCTCAGGGTCTTTTCAGAAGAAAAGCTCTTCGGTCTAATGAAGGTTCCATGAGCTATAGACTTAAGCTTCGGTTGAGGAAAATGGTTGCAAAATTGAAGGCCATGAAGCACTGGCCAAGAAGAATACATGCATTTGTTACCAAGAAGAAGGCTACGCAAAGAGCTACGATGAATAGGTCTGGTTCAAGCAAACGCAAGAACTCCAACCCCGTTTCTCGTCCAGCAGTGATTTCTGCTCCTCTCAAGAACCCATACTTGGGCAGTGAACAAGGTGCTGCTAAGGTTGAAGGACTCACTGATGAACTTAAACACATGGCTGGCCATGAAGTTCACGAATCCACTGCAACCAGAGCTCCTGCTCCACCTGCTGCACCTGCTGTTCCAATGACGGCAATCTCATCTCAACCTTCATCGAAACCAAGCAAAGGTGCCGATGGTAAATGGTCGCATCTTTCTAAGTTCATTAACGAACAGCAGGAGCTCAGCAGTCCAGTTCTGAGCAAGCCTTACACTTCTAGTGCTGCATTTTCAGATCCTAATGCTCCTCAACCTCCTCCACACACTGTGTCTGCTTCTCTTGAGAACCAGCGGATCCAGGCTCTTTGGAGACGCTACTTGTCGAACGTTCTTGCCCAGAGAATCCAGTTACGTCAGGAAATCACCATGTTCCAAGCCCTTATGGCTGGCCAAAGCGTTCCTTCGATGTTGAAGGGCACTCCTGAAGTAGCTCTGTCTTATAACGCTAGCATTGTCAAGGGAGGAAGTGACAGAGGTACCAACTCCTCTCATCTTGGCGAACCAGTCTCCAGGGCTCAGTCAGCAGCTTCTGGAAAAGTACTTGCCCAGACCATTGCTGAATCAGAAAATGCTGATGACGACGATATGGTTTCTCTCGTCTCCGTGTCTGATTCCATCTTGTCTGATAACGACGTCGTCTCTTTGCCTGAAGAGGTCTCAGATTGGGAAGAAGACCCTACTGTCGAGAAGCTTCATCAAACACTCAATCGTCGTTCTGTCCTTGGTGAGATGTTGGACTACGAGTCGGATGACGCTTCTCTGGCGTCTGGTTCTTCAGTTTACCTGGGTCTGTGTGCTCAATCAGTAACAGAGTCTGCCATAGTCAAGCGTTATGGTACTCTTCGGCGCAAGAAGTCCACTGCTGCAAATACGCCTGGACCAGCTAGTCCTGTTCCAATGACGCCTCCACCAGCAACACCAAGCTCAAAGTATCTGGATAGTCCTATGGAACCGGCACTTCATATTCCACGTTCATCTGGAATTCATCGTAATCTTAACTTTGCCTCTTCGGCAAACTAAATAGCATTTCAATCTACATCATTTTTTATCTTGCACTCATGAAAGGTTAATTACAGCAATATATACAAGTAGAGGACCGATGCTGGCCCACATTTGAAGCTAGTCATCAATCATCTTATTTCTGTTCAGAAGACTCGTTGCCGTTGTTGCCCTCGTTGTTGTTCTCGTTGTTGCTCTTGTACAACTTCTCGAACACCTTCAAGGATTCGTTTTGCAACTCCTCGGTCTTGTTCTTCAACTCAGTTGGGTCAACCTCCTCACCAGACTGGGCCTTGACGGCGATCTCTCTCAAGGAAGCGATCTGCTCCTTAAGCTTGTCAGCGTCAACGGACTCGATCTTGTCCTTGAACTCGTTCAAAGAGTTCTCAGTGTCGTTACACAACTGGTCGGCTCTGTTGGCAGACTCGATAGACTCTCTCTTGGCCTTGTCGGACTCAGCGAACTTCTCAGCGTCCTGGACCATCTTCTCAATCTCAGAGTCGGACAAACCAGAAGAACCAGCAACAGTGATGGAAGCATCCTTGTTGGTGGCCTTGTCACGAGCAGAGACCTTGATGATACCATCAGTGTCAATGTCGAAGGTGACCTCAATCTGAGGAACACCCTTTGGAGCTGGTGGGATACCAGACAAGGTGAAGTTACCAATCAACTTGTTGTCTCTGGTCAACTCTCTCTCACCCTGGAACACTCTGATCTCGACGGAAGTCTGACCAGCAGAAGCGGTGGAGAAGATCTGAGACTTCTTGGCTGGGATGGTAGTGTTTCTAGAGATCAATCTAGCGAAAACGCCACCCATGGTCTCAATACCCAAAGACAATGGAGTGACATCCAAAAGAACGACGTCCTTGACCTCACCGGCCAAGATACCACCCTGGATAGCAGCACCCATGGCAACAGCCTCATCTGGGTTGACAGCCTTGGATGGGTCCTTACCGAAGATGGACTTGACGGTCTCCATGACCTTTGGCATTCTAGACATACCACCGACCAAGATGACCTCGGAGACGTCAGAAGTGGACAAACCAGCGTCCTTCAAGGCCTTCTTACATGGCTCAACGGTCTTCTTGACCAATGGCTCAACAAGGGACTCGAACTGAGATCTGGTGATCTTCTGGTTGATGTGCTTTGGACCAGAAGCGTCAGCAGTGATAAATGGCAAGTTGATCTCAGTAGAGATGGTGGAAGACAATTCAATCTTGGCCTTCTCAGCAGCCTCTCTGATTCTCTGGATGGCCATTCTGTCGGACTCCAAGTCAATACCGGACTCCTTCTTGAAGGTCTCGACAATGTTTCTAACAATGGCAATGTCAAAGTCCTCACCACCCAAGTGAGTGTCACCGTTGGTGGACTTGACCTCGAAAACACCAGCACCAATGTCCAAGATGGAGATATCGAAAGTACCACCACCCAAGTCGAAGACGGCAACAACCTCACCGTCCTTCTTCTCCAAACCGTAAGCCAAAGCGGCAGCGGTTGGCTCGTTGACAACTCTCATGACGTTCAAACCGACAATCTTACCGGCGTCCTTGGTAGCCTGTCTCTGGGCATCGTTAAAGTAAGCTGGACAGGTGACAACGGCGTTCTTGACGGTCTTGCCCAAGTAAGACTCAGCGGTCTCCTTCATCTTGTTCAAGACGAAACCACCGATCTGCTGAGGAGAGTACTGGGTACCACGGGCCTCGAGCCAGGCGTCACCGTTCTGGTGCTTGGTGATCTTGTATGGAACCTGCTTGATGTCTCTCTGAACCTCAGTGTCCTCAAATCTTCTACCAATCAATCTCTTGGTGGCGAAAAGAGTGTTCTCTGGGTTGACAACAGCCTGACGCTTGGCTGGAATACCAACCAAACGCTCACCCTCCTTGGTGAAAGCAACGATGGATGGAGTGGTTCTACCACCTTCAGAGTTCTCGATGATCTTTGGGATCTTACCTTCCATGACTGCAACGGCAGAGTTGGTGGTACCCAAGTCAATACCAATCACAGAGCCACCTGGGGCAGCATCAGACTGGTGGCGCACGAAACGCTTGAAAGCATTTTTGGCGGAGTTTCTTGCAGACAACATTGTTGTAGATGGTTGGTAAAGAAGTATGTGGATGGTCTATATATATGAGAGGTATTTGCTAAGGTGTATGAAAATTTTGTGAGGTTACCCGGCGCGCGCCATGGGAGCTGGAAGATTCCAGAAATTTACAGAGTCAGGCGAAACAGCCAGGGCGGTACATTTGAGACAACACAAGGAAAAGAAAGAAAAATAACTATATAAGCTTCACTTTTCCACATTCAGATTTGACTATATAGGGGTTTTTTCTGCTTTACTGATGAACCGGGTTTAGTGTTCCTGGACTGTCTGTTGCTGTTGCTGAGATTTGGGTGCAAAATATTCTGACCGCACTGCATCCTTGTGGCGAAGGCTTAAGGCATCCACTGGAACTGTGGGAAGGCAATCAGGGAATGTAAAGTGTAATATTAAGGGATCGTGGTTTGTAGTGTGGCCACTGATGGCTTGGAGATCCTTGGAGGAACTCATTTGCCGTTTCGTATGGATCTTTCCGTTATGTGTCATTCTCATTGACGTCTCGGAGTCTGACTGGGATGCCCGTTGTCGGCCCGATGAGGTAGCCGATACTACATGACCTATGATGGTTGCAAATACACCGTTTTGGCTTGAATATTTCAGATAATTCTGTTGCCGAGTTTACTGTAGTAAAATATGTCAATTGGTGTTGGTAGGTTGACGTTTATTGGTGCTTCGCCAGACCTGGTACTCCTCCCTCTACTTCTATTCCCAAACCTTCATCAATTCTAAACGAAAGTATAAACATAATACATACGGCCTACATTACAGAAAGTGGCGACTCAAACTCATCCCAGTCCCATAATACAATACAGTGCAAGACGTTATGCGTCCTGCTCGTTTGGCTCGTCACCGTTCGACAGTGAAAGGCCCCCGTCGTTTTGCGATTAAGTACAACCTCTTCATTCAAGTAAATCTCGTGGCAAATTACCATTCATGACCCATGTGAGGGATTTTTCTCCACGGAAATCTTCAATATACTGAATGATATCCAAGGCTGTCTTACCGTACTTGGCCATGCCTCGTTCAATGGCATCGCAAAGCTTTTTCCTTCTTTGAAATCTTTTCAGTTCCTTGGATCGAGAGTCACCTCTCCATTCGTGTTTACCGAATCTCTCGTCCATCTCTCGTAGTGGTGGTTGTCCACGGAACCCTCTAGTAAATTCATCATAAATATCTTTCACAGTCATTGGATTATGGAGGAAGTCGACAGAAATCTTTGGCTTCTTCCGACCTCCCATTTCATCCACGCTCACGACTTCGAGCCCTGGCATCAGCACCAAACTGTCCTTCGAGGTGTCAGCTTGTTGCTGTTGTTGTGATTGTTGTGCTTGCTGCTGTTGTTGCTGTTGTTGCTGCCTTTGCTGCATAGAGCTCAGGGCTCGTTGCTGTGAATGCTGTTGGTTTTGTTCTTGTTGTTGTTGGATAGATGCTTGTTGCATCTGTCTCTGTTGTTGTTGAGACTGCAGTTGATGGTTTTGTTGTTGCAGAGCTTTGATGTTATCTGAGCTGCCATTTACCTTAGCGTAGGCTGCACGTTTTCTTTTACCGCCCTTACCTTGTGCCAGCACAGCCGCCTGGGCCACCTGGTGGAGCTGAGGGTCCATGTTATTGTTAAGTGACACACCCAGCACATCGACAACGCCTGGTACTTGGACCACATTAGACAGTTGTAATGAAGGGATAGCGGCTGTTACATCGTGAACGGAATCGTGAACTGAATCGTGAACTGCGTCGTGAACTGAGTCGTGGACTGAATCATGGACAGATTCAGGTACCAGGTCATCAACCTGGTCATGGTTGTCATTGACATTAAAAGGATCACCCTCTTGTAGCGATTGCAACAGATTAACTATGGACGAAGAATCCTTATTTTGTAGTACATCAGATAATAGCAGGGTCAACTTTTCAATTTTCAGGTTCTGGAAGTCCATGACATGGCGGAAGTACGCTAGCTCCTGGCTTAGAGTGGCCACATCATTTTCTAATTTTGCCACATTGTCGTTAATCTTGCCAAAGTTCTCTTGTAGCGGCATAAGCAGGTTGATTGAGCCGTACAGTGGATTGTGGTGATGCGGAAGGTGCATGTGGTGGTTTTGCTGGGAGTGGTTAGCGTGATTATTATGAGAAACATGATTATTGTGGGAATGCCCGCCTTGGAGCTGTTCTGAATCATCCACCGGCGAGACATCTCCAACCCCAGACGATACCGACGGCTGAGACCTTAGGGCATGGTTGAGGGAGGAAGTGCCCAAGGAATTGGTGGCTAAGCTGGTTGAATTCATTGGGCCCAATTTGCTTGGATAACTATTATACAGAGCAAGCGAGTCGTTCGTATGGAATTACTTGACAACTGCTTATACCTTCGCCAGAACTGTAACAGGATGTGTAGTGAAGCTGGAGGGGGGATACTGGGTGGAGTTGAAGGGTGAGTATTTAACTTAGCTTTTTGATTTCAACCTAGATCGCGAAGGTACCTGGAGGATTGATTTGTTCATGCGCACGTGACGCTGGCTGCCCCTCGAGACTCGGGGGGGTTTATTTAAAAACAGAGGCTGTTGTTGGCTGAAAAAGTACTTTTACTTTTGCTTAGACTGGCGGTGCTTCTCGTTCACAGTGTTGGGTGTTGCTTTGCGTGGAGCCTTTTGCGGTGTTATTGCGTGCGTACTTGCGGTCTCAGGGTCTACAGTACCGTAGTCCGCAAGAGATGGATCACTGGGAGAGGTTATCAGGAATTGGGCGGCAGTTGCGGCCAAAATAGCTCTATAAAGCTTAGTATAGTTTAATGTACGTTGGAAGGGATTTTGGTGAGCAAGGAGAGCGATGCGCCCACAGAAGGGGTCTAGAGGATAATGGGCTGCTTGCATTGCACTTGCGCCAGAGGCATTGACTTTTTTTAGCCATGTTAAAAGAAACGGCTTGAAGCAATTATTATTTGGAGAGTTACTAGTAGAGGTAAGTCTTCGCTGCCGAGATCAACGGTTTGGTATTTCAAAGTTGAGCTTTCATGGCTTTTATTACTGGACTGTGCCCACAGCCGGTTTGCTTCCAATTAGGAAATTGTGCTAGCCTCAATTGCATTGATGAGTGTTTGGTACTGAAAATTTGTACCCATTGGGTTCAAGATTTGGTTATGTAGACAACTCTCATCCATGTATACCTGCAATTGAAATACCACGTTAGAGATCAAAATGTGGGTACCCTTCAACGTTCAATTGAAAATCTTCAATTACATGTAACTGGTTCGCCAGACATTGAGAGGGGAACTCCACAAAACAGAAATGATACAAAAATGCCGAACACACTTGGTTTTAAATAGCTTTTAGGTGACCGGCATTGCCCCAGAAAATCAGTATTAGTAGCCTCTGCCGATACGCTTCCACGGTGACGAGGAGCCTTTTTTTTTTCTAAGCCTGATTTTTCCCATGGAAAAGTGCTGATTTTACCGCCGGCTATTGCACCAGACGATAAGCAATGGCGCCAAACACCCAGCATCGAATTCTCGGCATCGCCTTTTCCTCGGGTTGCTACTTCAAACAAAGGGTAAACGATTGATGTACCAATTGACCTGATTAGAGTTAGCCCGATATTTTGTATTCGTGTTTTTCATATTTTAAGGTTTGGTCCCATCCAGTACTGGAAATGTAGATTCGAAACGTCACCCCATTTCGCAGCCTGAAGGCATTACTGAGTAGCAAACGTAAAAAGTGGCAGAAAAAATCTAAAAGTAGGTAAAAACAGATAATTAAGATTTAGATCGTACTTCTCAAGGCAAAAGAGCCAATCAAAGTTAAGGAATCATGGATTGGTCGTTCAAACTGTATCTTTTCACTAAGGGGGCCCCTCCATCTCATCTCTGCTCATCTCCACATTCCTGTGAGCACTGAAAATCTTCCCCCACACTACAACTAAAATATCACATAAATATCATCATTATCACTAATAATACACGGCGAACGCCGGCTGGCAGACATCACAGCGATGCTTTATTTTTTTTTCGTGGCATAGTTCAATTGCCAGCATATTAGCCGTGAATGCACATCCGATGCAACTGCTTTTGGAGATAGCATTTTCGCCTTTCCGTTCGCAGCAGACATCTGCACGGCGTTCGCCAAGTTGTTCAGAGAATACCCATCGCATCGTACATTCGGCGGAACATGGCCGCCGCCGCAACACCCGCCAACAGCCGAGATGTCCTTAGAAGATCCAGCCAAAGATCTTTTCGTAGAACCACTTGACATCCTTAGGGTTGCCCTGGGCCTCTCTGACAGCCTTGTCCTCGGCATCCTTGGCCTGGAACTGCTCCTCCTCGTAGTCAACAACATCTCTGTAGGTGTTCAAGTCAACCTCAGCTGGAGGAATCAATCTGGTCTTCTTCCAGAACTTCCAGCCGAACAACATGATGATGAACACAGGAAGGACAATGTAACCGGTGATGAAGGTCTCGTATGGGAAGTCGTTACCCAAGAAGACGGTAAAGTTCTTAGCAAGGATAAGGAAGCAACACACGCAGAATGCAAAGTAGGTGCCGAAAGGCTGGAATGGCGAACGGAAGGCCAAGTCTCTCTTTCTGTCGAGTCCCTGGGCGGTCAAGGCCTTCATGAAACGCATGTGGAGGAAAAGGATACAAGTCCAGGTGATCAAACCGGTAAGAGACACAACGTTGACAAAGTGGTTGAAAATCTCAGCGGCAGACGAGGAAGTGGTCATGAATCCCAACAAACAGAAAGCGAAGCAAAGCGCAATACCGTACAATGGGACACCCATCTTGTTGGTCTTGGAGAAGAAACGAGGAGCGTAACCAGCAACGGCAAGACCGTAGACGGTTCTGGAACAAATGTACATATCCGAGTTAGCAGCGGACATGACAAAGATCAAAATACAGGCGTTGATAACGTGATCCAAGCCCTTGATCTTAGCGTTGGTGATGGCAATAACGAATGGAGAAGCCGAGGCGGTACTACCACTGGCACCCAAAAGCTTAGGGTCGTTGGAGGAAACACACATTCCCAAAAGCAACACGGAACAAATGTAGAAAATGACAATACGGTAGAAAGTCAACTTGATAGCTTTTGGAATGGCCCTTCTTGGTCTAGCACACTCGGCAAAAGTGATACCAACCAACTCGGAACCAGTGTAAGCGAAAATGGTGGTGACAAGGACGGCAACGAAGGAAACGAAACGACCAGTTGGGCCTTCAATGTGCAAGTCTCTAGAAGAATCCTGGTACTCCTTAAAAGCACCAGGGTCTTGCCAGTATCTGAAACCCAATCTGTCGCCGGAAGGAGAACCACCCAAGGCGATACAAAGCATAAGGATAATAAGACCAAGACAAGTGACAACCTTAACACAAGAAAGCCAGAATTCAATTTCACCAAAGAAACGAACACCAAGAACATTGACAGCGGTAATAATAACCAAAAACACGGCAATCCACACACCAGGGTTGACTCTATCCGGACTGACCCAGAATTGCATCACCAATGCACCGGCCACCAACTGGTTAGGAGGAAGCAACAAGTACTTGAACAAGTAGACCCAGCCACAAGCAAAACCAAGAGACTCGTCAACGTATCTCCTACAGTAACCAGCAAAACCATCAGCCAAGGGGATGAAAGTTGCAACTTCACCCAAAGCACTCAAAACCATAAACACCACAAAACCAATCAAAGAGTAGGTGATGAAGATAGCACCGGGTCCACCAGTTCTCAAAGCACCACCGGTACCGATCAACAAACCAGTACCAAGAGCACCGCCAATGGCGATCATAGACAAGTGTCTAGCCTCCAAGGCCTTTTTCAATTTCTGGTCCTCGCCAGTCTGCTGCTTGAGCTGCGGGTTAGACATAACCACAGACAAGTTGTACTCAGCCGTGTGGCGCGAGATGACATCGTCGCTTTCGACCTGTTTCTCGTAATCTTTCATTTGAAGTAGAGTAGGAGGATCTGGTTGCAAAAACACAAAAAAGAGAAGCGTTGGTGATGAGCCGACCTTTTATGCTTCTTTATAGGATGCCCCGCTTATCAATGGGCAGCCAAGAAAAGAAAGAGACAGAGACGCAGCTCATCGTGTGCGGCATTGATAAGTTACAGGAGGCAAAAAAACACAACGTAAATGCTGCAAAAAAAAAAAAAAAAAGGATGCAAAATGAGCCCAGAAGGGCATCCAACAGCCGAGAAAGGCCGTTGAGTTCCGTGGATTATTTTTGCCTTGCCTGATATCGATTTCCCGGCAAATAGAAAATTTTTAACGTGGGAGCAGCCCCAATGTACTGGCTTTTCGGACCCTTGGGGGCTTGAGTGACCTGTGTTGTGCCAGACCAAAGGTAAAAAAAAAACGCCTTACCAGACAAAGACGAGGGAAAGGCAAAAGGGAAAATAAACACCGAAGCAGAAAAAAAAAAAAAAAAAAAAAAGCAAAGGTGAAACAACGGAAATACACGAGAATAGGGGAACTCCCCCCAAAACCCCAAAACGTCCTTTTCAGTTCATCCGTCAAAGAAATACGTCGTGGCAGTTTTGGCACTCTGGCACCAATTGTCTACATTTCTTGTTGCCTTGTCTTTTTTGCACCCAAAACGCTTGGCTGCGTGGAGAACACAGTACATGGCAAAGCGGGACTCGAGGCAAACGGTCCCCCTCATACAAAGACCCCACTGAACTCCACTACAGCTCCACTGGCAACTCCACTACTCAGTTTCGTCACCACTCCACAAATGGGAAATCCCGGGTCACTCCCCAAAAAAAACCAAGCCAACCAAGCCAGGATCTGTTTTTGTTGTACATGAAATGGCTCGTAATTTATGAGATCCGTCATGGAATCGATGGTTAGATCATCGCTGGCAAGTCCGAGAAATTGCCCCAGTGAAGTCCTCAGTGGAGCCTCAGCGGAACCTCAGCGGAGCCTGCCCAAGGCAGAAAAAAGCAGAAAAAAAAAAAAACAAAGCAAAGAGCAAAAAAACCATCCTCAAACGGCGGGCCATGTTCTGTGCCAGCCGCTCCATTCCACTTCTCCATGATTGGCCTGCAAAAAATGAAAAAATTACCAAAAAACATGGAGGGCCACAAAGTGCCTCTGCCTTCCTTAATCTCGCTTCCTCTGTCCCTCTGCCGTATATTCACTTTTGTGTTTTCACTCTCCTGCGCTATTGGGCGAGCATTCTGATAAGCAGCAAGGCGTTTTGCAAAAAAATGAGCCTGAGCGAGACAACCTTTTTTCATGAGAAAGCCAAAAAGGCTCCCAAAGAGGCCCCATGGGTAAAGGATAGCGACTACACGTGACGGGAACCGCCTTAACCTTTTTTTTTTTTTTTTTCCTCCAATGGCACCACCGCCCAAGAAAAAAAAAGACGAAAAAAAACAAAGAAGGACGTGGGGCAACTTTGTCCCGCCAGCCCCAAACCCCCACCTTGGTAGTAAATGGAATATAATTTTTTTTTTTCCTTTTCTTTTTCTTATTTTTCACTTTTGGGTAGAACGGCGCATTCTCCCCGGGAAGTGGGAGGCTGGGACGCTGTTTGTGGCCCCCCTCGAACGTTTTTGGTTTGTGGGGTGCATGCGATTTGCAAGGCAATTTCATCTATTCTTTGCTTTGTGCCTTGTTAAGTTTAATTGCCGTAGAACCTTCTTCCACTTCTCGCTACGTCACCTCTTGGGAGGGGCTTGCCTTTGCTAGTGGTAGAACGCCCTCTCGGCACCGTGTATGACGCTTGGAGTTTTCATATATCTTATCCAGTCCCGCCCTGTTCCTCGATTTTTCTGTCCGTATCGTCTTTGTGTCGCAAGCCTTATCTTTCGTGGGGTTGAGCCTATAGCAAGTGCGCTAGGTGATAAGGAGCGCACTAGCGCAGTTTTGAGTGCCGAGATTTTGCTGATAATGGGGCTCACCCGTTTGACAGTGGCCTTTCTTTTCTTAGGGACGAGTCATTGGGCTTCCAGGGTTATATGAAGCAACCTTTATCAGAAATCCTCGCCTGACCGGATTTACTTTGTGTTTTGTACTTTTTTCTTATCTCTCCCATCACCATTGTATGCTCATAATTTTTCACTCTTGTTTGTAAATAACCAGTACTTGCGCAGGACCCCACGGGTTTTTTCACTGAACAATCAGATCTATGCCTCGTAGATGATACGCCTCAAAAGGCCCCGTTTGTTCTTTTGGGTCGTCACATTCCCTCCGTCCTGGCGCTAAAATCATGCTGCACTGCATTTTATGGTTTTACCTACTAGTTCCACGCCCCTCACGCATATTGTTGATTTTCACCTTGCCCTCGCTTAGCGGCTTCTTAGATGAAGCTTTTTGTGTCCTACTTGCTGGAAACGTATATAAACTAAGGATTCCGTAGCTTAATTTCGAATCGCTAACATTATGATGAATAACGAAAAAAAAATCACTTCGAGGGTCTCCTACGATGAGGAGCTGGTTATCTCCATCAACAGGAACTACATCAGCCTGGGCGCTCAGGACTTTCACGATAAAATTGATGTGGATAAGTATGGTACAACACAGCGTAAGTTGAATTCTCGTCATGTTTCCCTTATGATTATTGGTCAGTCTATTGGTACTGGTCTTTACGTTGGTTTGAAAGGCCCGCTTATGACCTCGGGCTCTTTATCTTTATTTTTGGGTTTTTTAATTTGGGCTGTTACCATGATTTGGCCCCTTATGCTTGCTACTGGTGAAATGTGTTCCTACTTACCAATCAAGGGTACCTTCTTGCATTTTGCTTCGAGATGGCTCGATCCGGCTTTGGGTTTTGCAACCACATTGATTTATTTATATACCACTCTCATGTTCATTTGTGTTGAAGCTGTTGCATTTGCATCCGTTGCTGGCTATTGGACAGATGCTTCGCCTGCTATTTTCATTTCCGTTTGTTTGGCAACCATTTTATTTTTTAATGTTTTTGGTGTCAACTGGTATGGTGAAGTGGAATTTTTTTCTTCCATGCTTAAGGTCATTCTCATTATTGGTCTTATGTTTTTCGGTCTTATTACCATGTGTGGTGCTAACCCAAAGGGAGACGCATACGGTTTCAGAAACTGGCCTAAAGGTGGTCTTTTCAAGGAATATCTCGTCGAGGGTAACACTGGTAAATTTTTGGGTTTCTGGAACGTCTTGATTTACGCTGCTTTTGCTTGTGCCGGTCCAGATATGTTGGGTATGGTCTCAGGTGAAATTTCTAGACCAAGAAAGAATATTGCCATGGCCGCTAAGAGAACTTACATTCGTATCTTCTTGTTTTACGTTGGCGGTATTTTCTTCATGAACTCCATGTGCGCTTCTAACAACCCTGACCTTCTTGCTGCTGATGCCGCTGGCCATGACGGTGCTGCTGCATCTCCATGGGTCATTGGTATTAAGTCTGTTGGTGTTAGCGGTCTCGACTCTGTTGTCAATGCAGTCGTCATGACGTCTGCTTGGTCTTGTGGTAACGGTTTCACTTATGGTGCTGCCAGAAGTGCCTACTCTGCCTCGTTGGCCGGTTACTTGCCAAGATTCTTCTCTTACTGTTTGAAGAATGGTTGTCCAATTGTTGCTGTGCTCTTTTCCTTGTCTATTGGATGTCTCTCATACATGAGTGTTTCCAAGTCTTCCGCAGTTGTTTTGGACTGGTTTATTAACTTGGCCACCACTGGTCTTCTTTGTACCTACTGTGTCATGTGGGCATGCTACTTCAAGTTTAAGAAGATTGTTGCTGTTCAACAAACCGACCATGGTGATGAGAAGTACTACAAGATGAACAAGATCTTCTACCCTTGGTTGACCTACTGGGCTGCTTTGTTCACCGGCTTGGTGCTTTTCTTCAACGGTTTCTGGATTTTCTTCCCAGGTAAGTTTACCGTTGGTAACTTGTTCACCTCATACTTTGCACCAGTCTTCTTTGGTATCTTGGTGGTCTTCTACAAGTTCTGGAAGAAGACTAAGTGGAGATCAGCCGAAGAAGCCGATATTATCACCGGTAAAGCTGAAATTGACGATGAAGAGGATGCCGAGATTGAAGAGGAGATGCGCCATCCTAGAAAGGAGGGTTTCTTGTGGAAGTGCTGGTACAAGTTCTCCGACTTCTGTTTCAATTAATTTGCGCTATGGGGCCACTGGTGGCATTTAGCGGTAACGGCGTCACATCTGGTAGAAAAGGAATTATTTAAACAAAAGCTGTATTTTTATATTTAGCTTTGAAATATAAGTGTTTTAGAAATTAGGTCTTTCCATATTTGGCAAAAGCTTAGATAGTTATGCACGTTGTTCGTTCCACAGAAGCGAGATCGCGAGTATAGAGTACAACAATAGTGACGTGCATAACGAAAAATTGCCAAAGCAGCCCCTCAAATACCTCAAGCATTTTTATTTTATTAAACTTCCTCCTATTCACCCTCCAACAATGTCGTATGTTTGTGTCATCTGTAAGCGAAGTTTTAGTGTTTCTGGACCAATGTCACTGACATGCGCGGCCGTTGGTATGCATATGCTGAGATGACTTGGGCTTGAGAAAGTCCCACGGGCCAGGTTCTCAAACTTCACTTTTACTACTCCTTTTTCTCCAGCCCTTACGCTCTTTTGTCCATAAAACACCACCTTTTTACATGAAAAATGGCGCTATCAATACCGTCTGAAAAAGCAGAGGAACTCAGAATGTCCGATCTGCTTCCTTACTCAGCGCATGTCCCACGTGCAAATCTTTCCACGAAAGACTTTGTCTTTGAGATAACCCATGAAACTGACCTTACTACGGATACTGCTTCGGATTCGGAAAGTTGTAGTGAGGTGCTGGACCTTACGGGCCAGTCGTGTCTTCAAGAGATCAGCCCGTACTTTGACGTGAAGCGCACGGTATATGGCGGTAGAGGATGTTTTGCTTCTGGGTTTATACCGAAAGGTACGGAGATTCTTACAAGTGAACGCCCAGTGGGAAATTCTGTTGCTAAGGATTTCAAGAAAGAGGTTTGCTCGTGGTGTTTTGCTTACCATAACGGGAAAACTATGAAACATAGGTTGCAAAATAAAATCTACTTCTGTTCTGAGGCGTGTCTTTCGGAATTCCAGAATTATGATAACGATGGTATGCTTACGAAGACACTTATATCGTTTGATAACAACTTCACCAAAAACGAGTGTCTGGTTGACGAATGTGACGTTCCAGAAGATACCGAGGACCCTCAGGCTGTCATTGCCCTGATATGGGAAGAGGTGGAGCAGTGGGACCTAAAAATCTCTAAAATGAAACCTACAAAAAGAGCCCGTTTCATTCCAAAACTCACTAAAGACGATTACGCAGAAGCAAGATATGTCATTTCAACAGTCCACAGCATGTACCAAGGCGAGGACGGTCCCTTGGCCACCGAGCTAAGTCTCTTCGACACCTTGGAATCAAGTGAGCCACAAAAGGTTCAAAAATACCCTTATCTCACGATATCATACAGCAACATATTCAAGTTCCTTCGTCTTACATGTCCAGATGCTTTCCAAAAGTTTATCACCCCACAGAGCGTCCGTAACATTATAGGTCGAAATCTCACTAACGCATTTGGCATTTGGTCGCCAACTACATCAGAGGACGAAGAGCGGGAGTATCTCGGTTTTGGAGTCTACCCGTCAGCCTCTTTCTTCAACCATGCTTGTTGTTTCAATGTGAAGAAGCACAGAGATGGAAGCAAGTACACCTTTACAACCACAGAAGATGTCCCAGCAGGTAGCGAATTATGCATCAGTTATGGTATCTCTGGTGATGAGGATTTGGAAAGTAGAGAAGCCACTTTGGCAGAATGGTTCTTCCAGTGCGGTTGTGCCAAGTGTACTACAGAAAGAAAGTAAGCCCGTCCTTTTATAATTTATTATTTATGCATTCATGAAGTGAAGTCGTAGGGTTTGTAGAATGTCTTGAACTTTTCACAATCTGTGATTTCTTGTCCCTTGGTTTGTTTACATCTGTCCCAGTATGTTCTTTTGGGGCATTTAAGATGGAAAGACATGACCCTTCTTGGGAATTGCAAGTCTACCGGTTTTTCAGACAGAAGCTGCGCTGCGTAGACCTTAATCTGGTCTCCCATGGAAAGAACAAACCGGATAAAGTTGTTAGTTTCAAGGATTTCTTTCACCTCTTTTGGATCTGAGGTGAAACTGAGTTGCTGTCTATATGTAGCTTTTTCGTTGTTCTGTTTTGTGCGTTCCGCCAATGATCTTTCAAGTTGTTCTTGTGCACCTTCAAGGCGTACGGGGATGAGCTGTGTATGAATATGGACGTTTTCAGGACGACTGATCTGGAAGAATATGGTTGCAAATGACCTCTCATAGAAACCCTCAGCAACCGTCTTCTGGAACTTTGCCATTTCTTCTCTCTGTTCTGACTGGTCTTCAAGTGTTGGAGTATGGTCAAATGGAATTATAATAGCGTGTCCAGAAAAGTCCAATGGCCTTTGAGGTAGAGGCATAGGGCCCTTTGCTGTGGCAAGGTAACTGTGTTTCCCGATAGCGACGATCATATGGGATTCGATATTTGGGTTGGAAAGACAAAAGAAGCATTCCTGAGGAGCAACAACTTTAGGTCTTTTAGCTGCATCTTCCGTCTCTTCAGCTGGTCTCTTGAGTGGTTGCAACTTGGTTGGCTCAGCTGTTTTCTCTGTCACCACTGGAGCAGACGTATCTTGAGTAGTATAAGGGTTCTTGCCATCAACAAACGTATCGTCTTCATTTGCATCAATAGAAAAAGCGTAAAACCACTTATTTCCTGACCCTTCCTGGCCCAAAGATATCATTCGACATGCTCTGGAGGTTGACCACTGGAAAGCTGGATGTTCATAGAAACGACCCTTTTCTGTGCCCACAGCAAAGTGGTACCGAGGCTGAAGCTTCAATGAAACCTCATCAACCTCCTGCTCCCCAATAACCGATAACCCTTGGGTTCTGGCCACAGCGTATGGCCAATGGAAAGATACTAGTATATCAGCCTCACCCACAACATCCCCAGCATTCCGACTAAGAAACCCAATTTTGACTCCAGAGCCGAGCTTAAGAATCGGACAAGCTCCAGAAACACATACAAGGTTTTCAGCTTTATCTGTAAAGTTTGCCTCTTCAGCTGTCTTACCACAGTAGTATGTTGGTACTTGAGGAACAGTAGAAGCTGGGGTAAGATCGTGTACGCCTAGAAGCAAGACGGCTTCAAAAGGCCCATTCTTCGTATTCTGAGTATTGGCCTTTTTGATTATCTCATCGAGATTATCAGGATTGGGATGTAGCACCAAGATCTTTGTTTTGGTCATTTGGTTGCAACTTTACTGTGCGATGAGTCCTGCGATGAGATCTGGGGTCTATGTAGCAGATAGTGATGTACACGATAAGATGATGGGAGGTAAGAAGGAAGGTGAATAAAAGAATAGCGATATAGAGCTGCTTACCTTAAATTCCGTTTAGTTCGATTTTGAAATGTTTCCTGGATTCCTCTTTGAACTGGCTAACTGGCTGCAAAGGCAAGGTTTAGCCTACTCAAGCATCATGACGTATGGGATGTTTACATATGAACAAAAGGGAACAAGTCAGGCCGGTTAATGCCTTGAAAGAGTATCTACTTTAGTATTTAGTGAATGTAGAGGTTAAAAGTACCTCGGATGTCTCTACCATGGCCTGAAGTAAGGTGCTATTATAGACCAGAGGTATGAAAAATTGGTCAATATTCCATATAACAAAAAATGTCATAATACTATTCAAAAACACCAAATACTATATGGCATATTCCTTAGACACACCTTGTTAGCAGCTCCATATATCCCCTCGTCACTCACCTCCTTGGGCTCTGTTTGCAGCCAAATGCACTGGTAGACAACAGTCTAGGGCTATAGCCCTACCCTCGCAGCTTCCACGTGCCTCATACATTACTCGCACCCACCATATACACACGATGTAGGCTTCCCACAGGCCGGGCTGTCTGCAGTGCCGAAAATTTTCCTCTCACCTTCTCACGAAAAAACTTCAATCCAAGTAAGAATCCGTCTTAGATAGAATCTATAACAGTTAAAAATGGCTCACACGTATGTTGAAACAACGCCATCGCTCGCAAAACGAGTGAATTCACCGGGAATGATAGATCCATTTAAACCCCCATCTTCAGAATCCATCCATGTTTCGTTATCGTCCATCCTCCTGTCCTTGTAAAGAAAAGTCCACATCACCATGAAAAATCCACTCCAACGATACAGATTGCAAGAAACAAATATCACCACGATGTCCTCCGCTTGAAAAGATGCATTTTTCACCATGTTTTCCTCCGAAAGCATCCCATCCATCTCTTCGTTATTCCCGGGGATCCCAATTTTCAAAACTTAATACTAACATTCAGTCACGGTTACAGATCTGGTACTCGTTACATGTTCCAACGTGACTTTAGAAAGCACGGAACTATTGCCTTGTCTACCTACTTGAAGACTTACAAGGTTGGTGACATTGTTGACATCAAGGCCAACGGTTCTATCCAGAAGGGTATGCCACACAAGTACTACCACGGTAAGACTGGTATCGTTTTCAACGTCACCAAGTCTTCCGTCGGTGTCATCATCAACAAGGTTGTTGGTAACAGATACATTGAGAAGAAGGTCAACTTGAGAATTGAGCACGTTAAGCACTCTGCTTGTCGTACTGAGTTCTTGAACAGAGTCAAGACTAACGCTGCTTTGAAGAGAGAGGCCAAGGCCAAGGGTGAGCAGGTTGACTTGAAGAGAAAGCCAGCTCAGCCAAGACAGGCTAAGGTTGTCAAGATCGGTGAGAACGTTCCTCAGACATTGGCCCCAGTTCCTTACGAAACCTTCATCTAAGCTGTATAAACTAATCTTCAATCCAGGTAAATTCAGGAATCATTGTAGTTCAGTTTTCACTTGAAAACCAGCAAGTGTAACTTTGAAGAGTAAAAACATTCTAGGTGAAGAATATCCTTGGATCTTCACTAAAGGTTGTATTACACCGCTGTTTGCTTAATAGATAACAGAGAGTTCCCTTGGAAGATACCAAAAGAGACAAATCTAGTACTACTAAAAACTCAAAATCTACTTCGAATGACCTCCCAAGGGTCAGAAACTCTTGAGGCGTTTGTATTTGTAACAAGGTATGTTGCGCCAAACGCTGTCACCACCTAAACCCAGCCATCCGTACGGACGACGTTTCCAGAGGAATCCTGCTCCGAAGAGCAAGACTCAACTCCAGAGGGAATTGTAGGGAAGCACGCGAGACTTCATCATATGTTATAAAACTTGGAAGGTCATATGGCCTCTTTCCAAGGGGACGGGAATCGTCGTCCTTATATAGTGCGGGTCCGGGTAACACGCATCTCTTCGCTGCGCGTACGCTATAGCGAGGCCTTAGTACATTAAGCGTTATAGTGAGTGTAAAGATCCAAGGTATAATTCACATATATGGCTAAGAAGAGAGTATCCAAGGGGGCGGCACCAGCCTCCAAAAGAGCCAAAGCAGTGGAAAAGAAGTCTGAAGTGAAAGATGACTCGAAAAAGGTTGAACTTCTCCCTCCACCTATCATTGAGAGAATGGCATCGGATGTCATTGATGAGCATAAGTTTAACAACCTAGCAGCTTTGCTTCAACAGTTGGAACTTACAAAGAGTAAGCTTCTTAATGAGGAGGATTCAGAAACAGACAGCGTGGAAGCGGCCTTGAATGGGCTTTCTAAAGCGTTCCAGTTCCTCATCATGCACAGGATGATGGATCAAACCAAAGACGAGAAGAAGAATATTGTTGCTTCATGGATCAAAGATAAATATGAAAAGTTCAGAGCATACCTTTGCTGGCTTGTCAATACCAGACTTGCTGAAGAATCGAAGCTTCAGACTGAAGCTGTTACCATCTTTCTTGATCTCGTGAAAGAAGAGACTGAGGTGAGAAATGCCTTTGCTATTGATACATACCAGGAACTTGTCCATGCCTTGGTTTCAAGCAATGCTGGTACTGGTCTTCGCAACCCTGTCATCTATGCTTTTTTCGTTCACTACCTTGAATATGAGGACTTGCAAGTTAACTTCTTCCACGACGCATTGGCTGAGAAGCTTGAAGAATGGAGCGGTCTTGAGGGACCAACAAAAGATAGAATATTTTCCAACTTTTTTGCTTTCTTAAGTGATCAGCTCTTGGAAGAAGATGAAGAGGATTCTGGGAATTTCACATCCGCTGAACCAGTTTCTGACGACTACAAGGGTTTCAAAGAAAACTTTCAGAAGTGCTTTTTGGCTGCAGTGAGGATGCCAGATCTTTCAGCCGACCAATACAAATTGATGCTCAACTCCATGCCTCGTTGCATTCTTCCTTACTTGAGCTCACCTGCATCATTGATGGACTTCCTTACCGACTCCTTTGACCAAGAGGAGGATGAGATTGTCCCACTTCTTGTGATCAACTCCCTTTGGGAACTCATGAAGGAATACAATTTGGAGTACCCAGATTTCTTCACAAAACTTTACTCCTTGCTCACTCCAAGTCTTCTATACACCAGATACAGAGCTAGGTTCTTCAGACTGCTTGACTTGTTCCTCAGCTCGACGCATTTAAGTGCTAACTTGGTAGCATCTTTCATCAAGAAGCTTGCTCGTTTAGCCATCTCTGCATCTGCTCCAGGTGTGGTGATTGTCTTCCCATTCATTTACAATCTTTTGAAAAGACATCCCTCTTGTATGATATTGCTACAAAACCTGGAAGGCAAGCAAAACCCAGACTATAAAGATACGTTTGACGAGAAAGAAAAGAATCCACTAAAAACTGGAGCGCTCGGCTCCTCGCTCTGGGAGCTTGAGACCCTCCAAAGTCATTACCATCCTAACATCGCAACCTTGGCCAAGATCTTCAGTGAACCATTCAGGAAACCTAGCTACAACATGGAGGATTTCTTAGATTGGACATACAAATCCTTGTTAGACAGTGAAGAGAAGAGAAAATACAAGGGCTTGGCTGCTCTTGAATACGAAGAATGGGAAACCTTGTTCGGAAAGGAAAATGCTTTTGTCGAAGGTTGGGAACTTTAGAATACTTCTCAAATATCTTCAACATTACCGCTGTATTATTGCATCATTATTTGGGGCCATACTCCTGGATAATCATAGGGATATTTAACAATTCCTTTATAGACAATTGAGCCGTGACTCTATTTATTTCTCACAAAAGTAGCTTAGCTCCATTAAAAAGTAAGTGATCTAGTATGTCACTCTCATCACGACATTTCTTGCTAACCATATCCAAAATCAGCATATTTGGACTTAGAAGCCTCAAATATTTTTGGTGGTTTTTTGGCACTTTGTGAGTTGATAGGTCCTCTAATAGGTTGTTATTGCTCCTTATTCAGCTGAATAGTCATGAAAATGTCCAAAAAGCTTTCAAGAAGTCAGCTTGATCCTATGCATTGCTTTCTATACGTACGGGAGTGCTATGGCAAGGACCATCAGTGCTGAAACCTCTTAAGAGACCTTAGAATCGATATACAGCGGCTAATTGCTGGCCCAAGACAATATAAAACTACTAGAATGCACTAAAAACTGCTGGGTATCAAATACGTTTATTTTTGGCCAACTAGAGCTTTTTTTGACTGCTTTATCTGATTTATATACTCCCTGCTTAAACCTTTAAATTTTGTCAGCGATCAAACCTGGTCGAAAATACTCGTTTCTTCGAACAACACTTCCGAAATCCCAATTCAAGTATTTTTGTCCTCCCATAACGAGAACTATTCATTACCCCTTCGTACAAGTCTCAACGTTGACGCGGCAGTATACTTCGACGCGTTTTCTCGCGCCGCCAATAATTAGTCCAAATTCGGAAAACTAATTACGCGCTCAAGGAGTGCCCATCAACCATATTTTATATACATTTTTTTTTTTTTTTTTTTTTGTTTCTCAATTGTTTTTGCTTTTCCCTACTTTCCTTCGTTTGCACAACTCACCAATTACCCGTTTTCCTTCAACCACTTCGCTCTTTTCAAAAAACCAGTCATGGATGAAACGATCGACCAATCCATCGACGCCGTCTTCGGTGATCGTGTTAGAAGGTTTCAAGAGTTCTTAGACCAGAACCCAGAAAATGGTATTAATCGCAGATCGGCCATTAAAGACATGCTCATGAAGGGCAAGTTCAGATTGTCTGTCCTGCTTGACGAAGTTCGTGAGTTTGATGCTGAGTTCTGGAGAGGTCTTTTGGACTCTCCAGTGGACTACTTGCCAGCTTGTGAACGTGCTTTGAGAGACACGGTGTTGACGATTTACGACCCTAACGATAACAGGTACGACGAACTTGAAGACAACCAGCAGTTCTACGTTTCGTTCAAAGGTGCTTTTGGTGGAAACCATGTTACTCCTCGTACCATCTCGTCTGATTACCTTTCCAAGATGGTGTCTATTGAAGGTATTGTTACCAGAGCCTCTTTGGTCAGACCCAAGGTGATCAGATCTGTTCATTATTCTGAAAAGGGTGCTAGATTCTATGCAAAGACTTATAAGGATAGCACGACTTCTTTCGATGCTATTTCAACTCCTGCTGTGTATCCTTTGGAAGATCCAGAAGGAAATAAGTTGACGCCAGAGTATGGTTTTTCCACCTACAGAGATCATCAAAAGATTTCTGTTCAAGAGATGCCTGAATCTGCCCCTGCTGGTCAGTTGCCCAGATCTGTGGATATTGTTGTCGATGACGACTTGGTTGACACTACTAAACCTGGTGACAGAGTGCAAATTGTTGGTGTTTACAGAGCCTTGGGCGGTGCATCCAACAACTCTTCCTCTTTCAAGACTGTGATTTTAGCTAATGCCGTTTACCCGCTCCATGCTAGATCCACTGGTGTTGCAGCTCACGAGAAACTTACTGACCAAGATGTCAGAGATATCAACAAAATGGCAAAGGAGAAGAACATCTTTGATATCTTGTCCAACTCTCTTGCTCCTTCTATCTACGGCCTCGACTATATCAAGAAAGCTGTGTTGCTTATGATGTTTGGAGGTAGCGAGAAGAACTTGAGTAATGGTACACACTTGAGAGGAGACATCAACATTCTTATGGTGGGTGACCCATCGACAGCTAAATCGCAAATGTTGAGGTTTGTTCTTAACACAGCTTCATTGGCTATTGCCACAACTGGTAGAGGTTCTTCCGGTGTTGGTTTGACTGCTGCTGTTACGTCTGATAAAGAAACAGGTGAAAGACGTTTGGAAGCAGGTGCCATGGTCTTGGCTGATAGAGGTGTTGTCTGTATTGATGAGTTCGACAAAATGTCAGACACTGACCGTGTGGCTATCCACGAAGTTATGGAACAGCAAACCGTCACCATCGCTAAAGCTGGTATTCACACCACTCTTAATGCTAGATGTTCTGTTATTGCCGCTGCAAACCCTGTCTTTGGTCAATACGATGTCCACAAAGATCCACACAAGAACATTGCTTTGCCTGACTCCCTTTTGTCTCGTTTCGATTTGCTCTTCATTGTTACTGATGACGTGAACCAAGTGAAAGACAGAACTGTTTCCGAGCATGTCTTGAGAATGCACAGATTCATTTCCGCTGGTTTGGCTGAAGGTGAGCCAGTTAGAGAACGCAGTGTTGTCTCGTTGGCAGCAGGTGCCGAGCCTGTTGATGAAAACTTGGACCAGCCAATCTTTGAAAAGTTCAACTCCCTCCTACATGCTGGTGTTGCTAGAAGCGGTGCCAGTGGTCAAACCCCAACACTTCTTTCTATTCCTTTCTTGAAGAAGTACGTTCAGTACGCAAAGCAGAGAATTAAGCCAAGATTGACAGAGAGAGCCTCGCTGTACATTGTTTCCGTCTACAAGGACTTGAGAAACAGTGATACTGATGTCCACAGAAGAACCGCTCCTGTGACTGCCAGAACATTGGAAACTCTTATTCGTCTTTCTACTGCTCACGCAAAGTTGCGTTTGTCGAAGTCCATTGATATCAAGGATGCCAAGGTTGCGGAAGAATTACTTCGTTTCTCTCTTTTCAGAGAGTCCAACAAGAAGAAGCCTACCAAAAGAAGAAGAGCCGAACCAAGATACGATGAAATGGATGCAGACCTGGACGAGGATGAGATGGACAATGAGCAAGAATATGCCGAGAGTGCTGTTCAGAATGTGACCAGAGCTGCACCAGTATCTGAAGCCACGACCCCATCGTTATCGCCAGAACCTCCTATCAGGGAATATGACCCTCAACAGACAACCCCTGAACCATCGCCACCTCTTCCTGCTGGTGTTGAAGAAAACCTCAGAAACATGCATCTCTCAAGGGGCCAGGCGCCACCATTGTCAGAGACCTCGGCCAGTGCAGCTGGTCAAAATGTTGCTGAGACCGAACGTATTAGCAATGAGAGATATTCCAAATTCTTGGAAGTTATGGCCCACCTTATGGCTACGGACCTCTTTGATGGGTCCGAAGCTACCTGCCCTGTGGATACAGTCATTGAAGAGATCAATGTTGGTTTGCAACAGGAAGAAGTGTTCAGTGTTCGTGAAATCCACAATGCGTTGGCAAGAATGAACGACGAAAACAAGATCGCACTTCTGGAGGGCAAGGTATACAAGGTTTAAGGGTTAATGGTTTCTAATTTTTTCTATGTTGTTTCTATAGGGGTAAATAATGTCTTATTACAGTTCTTATCTAGTCTACTACTTATGCATCTCTCATCGCGCACCTTAACTAACTACAACAACCTACCCGATGAGCTCAGAAGAATTCGAGGTAAACGAGGAAGATGAGCTACTAATGCACAATTACCAGACGCTTCCGAAGAATTGCAAGAAGTACTGGCGTAAACGATACCAAATTTTCTCCAAGTTCGACGAAGGCATCTACCTTACCTCAGAACTATGGTACTCGGTTACACCAGAATCGGTTGCTAAGTATACAGCACATTTCGTCAAGAAGAACCTAAAAAAGTGCCGCTATGTTCTAGATGTTTGCTGTGGTGGAGGAGGTAACACCATTCAGTTTGCTAAGGTCTGCAAAAAGGCTGTTGGTGTGGATATCAACCGTGCTAACATTACCTGTTGCATCCAGAACGCGCTGGTCTATGGAGTGTCTGATACTACAGAATTCGTACAAGGCGACTGGCACTCGCTCAAAAACAAAAGTGACTGGATCCCTTTGAAGAAGAAGAAGTTTGATTTTGCATTTTGCTCTCCACCTTGGGGCGGGCCGAGCTATAACAACGAGAACTTCGATCTCGAAGCAATGGAACCTTTTGGGTTGAGAGAGATTTGCTTGAGTCTTCAAAAGATATCCGATAACTTTGGTCTTTTTCTACCAAGATCACTGGATACTAGCCAAATCAGTGATATAACTCACGAGATGTTTGGACGGAAGGGTAAAGCAAGGTTGGTGTATGTATATAGCGATGAGCATTTGGTAGGACTACTAGCATTTTTTGGAAAAGACTTCGAATAAACGAACAGCATGGGCAAGACACTGTAGGTTGGGTAGTTCCTCATAATTGACTTGTTCAATTCATTAAAAAAGTAAAAAAGAAAGCCCGATGCGGGGCTCGAACCCGCAACCTTTTGATTGACCTTATGAAGATTAAGAGTCAAATGCTCTACCGATTGAGCTAACCAGGCTTCTTGTATCACTAAAATTCTGGCTTTAATATATGCTTTCACTCAATCTGTCTAAAATTAAGCTAAAAATTATATAAAATCATAATTAGACTTTTTGTAAGACACTTTGGCTCTTGTGTGCGTTTCAGAGCCCTAGACCGCGATTTGAGCCTTCTAAAGGCATTCAAAATTGAAGTCTCGGATGAATTGAATAAATATGGTCATATAAACATCTATAAAGTCATTTTAGTGGTCAAATCTGAAATCTAACCGCTTATTTCCACTATCCTTAGTTTCTGTTATGTACTTCTGCTGCTCTTCAGTCGACATGACATTCCAAACGGTATCCCTCTGTTTATTCTTCCAAACGTAGTAAACCTTAGTTAGCAAGATTATTGGTATCAAACCAACCATAATGAAGGTAAGCTGCATGTTACCTCTCTTATAAAGCGGCAAATCATCTTCTCTGTAAATGTTAAATGCTGCAATTCTTCCGGCCTGAACCAACATATTGTAAAGAGCTGAACAAACAGACCTGGATTTGATCGAATTAGAGTTCCTGGAAACCCATGAGACGCATATGGCGTGTACGTATGGAGCTGATAGAACCATGGTCACTAAAAACCATGTCACCCAAGCATCAACCATGGTACCACTCCACCATCTCATCGCAGCCAAGAATGGGATGCTGAATATAGGTAGTGAAAGGCAGACAAGAGCTCTTTCGTTCACTCGTTCAGAAAACCAAGTGACAAAGAATAGGCCAACAATCTGAAGGATATGCAGTGGAATCGTCAATAAGTTGACGTCGAAGGTGCTAAAGCCGAGATTTCTCATAGCCAATACCATGTAAGGCAGGACCGTGTTTATAGGAATGAAGGCAAGCATTCCGATCGCATAAATAGGCCATAAGTTATAATCCCAAAAGGCGTCCATGATCATTTTGAAACTAAGTGCTTGTCTGTTGTGCATTCCACCTTTTGATGGATCGTCTCTGAGGATTCTGTTGACCACAATCTTTTCCTCCCTCTCTGTGAACCATCCTTTTGGATGCAACTTATTTCTTGTCTGTACAGCAGAAGGAACCATGAGATAAAAGGACCAGATTCCAATAAGTAAACTAATACCGCCTTCAATAATGAAGAGCCATTGCCATCCCGTCAATCCCCCAATGTCTCTCATTCTCAAAATAACAAAAGCCAACAACGATGTTGCAATTTTTGTGATTGCTGTGGCAGCCCAAAAGTATGACAAACGAAGAGGCAACTCGCCAGATTTGTAAAAGTAAGTGAGCCATAAGACCATATCTGCAATGAAACCTCCTTGGAAGGCTCCAATCAAAGCTCTGCAGATCAAGAAACCAGTCATATCGTTCATGGCTCCCTGGCACATTGAAACAATCGACCAAACACAGATTTGAATTGGTATAAAAATATCAGGTCCAAGTCTTTTTGAAATAATTTGGGAAGGAACTTCTGCTAATAGGAACGATACCAAAAACACTGTGTTTCCGACGTTATAATCATTAGTATCTAAATTCATATCGTCCAAAAGATTGTCTGCCACCGCTTCCTGTAAGTTACCTCTGTTGATTTGTAAGGATACAAACATGATACATGCACTGAAAATCACCCTGTAGTCTACTTTTCTCATCAACTTCTTGTCTTCCTCGGGAGTCCACTCGAAATGGGGATCGAAAGCTGCACGGCATTCATACTTACTTTCCTCGTACATCCGAGCATAATGTTCAGCTAGAAAAGGATCTTTAAATGGGTTTGGTCCTGTTGGGTCCTCTTGTGATTCCAAGTCGGAATCAGCAACCTCTTCACTTTTTGATTCCTTTAATTTCTCCAAACTGTCTCTGGAACTCTCCTTTGATGCTCTTTTTGATTGGACATCATTGGTTTCGATGATGTCCTTGGTATTCAGGTTTCTTTTAAATTTAAAAAGACCCATGACTATACAGAAATTATTATTCTACAATACGGATTCTAAGAGGTATTATATATCATTGGCACCGAAATGCATGGCAAGTCTTTTCAAGATGTTTTCTTACTTCAGCCCGTGAAACATAGGAAACGGTTGCAATATTTTTCGAAAATGTGAATGATATTGCGTCAGATTAGAACCACAGTTTTCGTCGGCCGTAGCTTGACGCACGTCGTTCTGTCGTACTTAACTCCAGAGAAACCCGCGATGGTGTATTAAGACCTCGACTACATCAAGTATTTTATGCTGCCCCAAATATACCAATTTAAACGTAAAATTACCTTCTTTTTTATCAAGGACCCTTATGGTTTCTTCTTAACGTTCGCTGTCGTATGCAGCCACAATTTGCAGCTTCCATTATTCTCTTCACACTGTGCCAAGACACTGTTAAGAAAATTTGAATGGATGGTAGAAGGCTCAAGTCTTGTCTTCTTAGTAGGGAACTAGCGGCTATGTCGAATTCTGAGGGCAATTCTGGAAATGGTGAAACGTATTTAGAAATAGCTCTTCTGACATTTACGATGGATATTTCTGCCAGATCTTTTCTTTGCCTTAATCTGGAGGTTTCATCACTTTTCCAGTCCCACAATAAATCTCTACCGTAGAAATCTCTTTATTATATTGGACTTCTACATCTATTTCTTTTTGTCTGCTTCCTTTTTTTTTTTTTTTCATAAATTTTTTGTTCGTAGGTTTATGGTTTCTCTTGGTTCCAGCTTGATTATCTCACTTTTGAAACTTTTCGCAGCCAAAATTGCAAACTACCAACATATCAATGCCAATAAAAAATACAAGCCTTGGTTTTTCTGTTTATAAGATTAGTGCTACCCATAAGAATTGACCCACAGTTTATTAATTAAGGTCTAAAAGTAGCCAAGATTATTGCTAATCAAGATATCTATGTCTTATGCTATTTCCCGTATACTTAGTCTAGTCCTGCAACTTCTTCAAAACATCCTCGAACTGCTGCTTCTCATGGTCATCAATGTAAAGGTCAATTGCCTTTGGATATAGTTCTTCAACTGGTTCATTTCTTCCAACGTCAACCATGAGGTTACTGAACCACTGGTTCTCACCTTTGCCAAACACCAAGGAAAGGGCCTCACCCTTTTGATTGGCTCTTGCCGTACGACCAACCCTATGCACATATTCACGGGAAGAAACGGGTAAATCGTAATTAATAACATCCGTGATAGACAACAAGTCCAAACCTCTGGCAATCAAATCTGTTGCCACCAAGATATTGATTTGTCCACTGCTGAAATCTCTGAAAACTCTATTTCTCACAGACGAAAGATTATTAGTAGAGTTCATGTAAGCAACATTCACCGTTGTAGAAGGGCACAATTTCTTGAATAAGGCTTCTAAGACCTTGGCCAAACGAAGAGTAGAGTCGTTCGATCTTGAGAAGATCAATACGTTTGTAAGCTTTTCGGACTGGATCATGAGCTTGGCAAGCAAGAGCGGCTTGAAAGCAGATTCGCTTGAAGCGAATAAAATCTTGCTTTCGGTCAATGTTGCAGGAACCGAGAACATCTCATTCACAAGTTGTTCCTTAGAGTTGACCACTAGTAAACGAGGCTTTCTAAATTTAAGCAGGGAGAGCTTACCGGCGTCTGTAGTCAAGGTGGCTGAGAACACAAGTTTTTGCGTTTGAAGTTCCCACGTATTACCTGCGTTTCTAGAGGGGTCTCTTTGTTTCTCAATGCTGGAAATTAAAATCTCGCTCCAGTTTTGGAAAGACTGATTAAGCAATCTATCAGCCTCATCAATGACTAAGAATCTCAATGCTTCAAAAGTGACGGAGTCGTTGAGAAGATGCTCCACAAGTCTACCCGGTGTAGAGACAATAATATCAGGGACGTTGCTTGTGATCTTGCGTCCTTCATCCTTTATCGACATGTCGTTGGATAAACTGACAACGTTAAGTTTTGTCCCCTTGCTTAACTCTATAAGTGTCAGGGTGACCTGTTGAATCAAAGGTCTGGTTGGGACGAGAATCACCGCTCGAACTCTAGGGACAATTCTCGTATGCAATGCTTCAATGATAGGTACACAATATGCCAAAGTTTTACCCGAACCAGTGGAGGCGTTGACCAAAACGTCACCTCTAAAGTCTGGGCTGAGTCTATTCCTCTTGATATCTTCTAGGAGTATCCTGAAGACAGAAACTTGTACGGAAAAAGCTTCCTTAAAGCCCATGGACTCAACATTGTTTTTTAGACTTGGAGAAATGCTAAAGTCACTAAATGGAGCTGTCTGTTCAGGAGATGCATATTCTGGCTTTGCTAACCAGTCAAGGGTTTTCAGATGTGCTTGAGTAGATCGAAGAATAACGTCACTCGGAAGTTCAGGTTGTGGAAGTGGAGCCAAGTCTCTCTTTTCTATTTCGTCCTCTTCAGCCTTCTCATCACCATCCATATCCACATCATCTGTCTGAGCAGATTTGAATTTCTGGAACACACTAGCATGCTTCTTAAGATAGTCTGGGTCTTGTGGATCAGTAGAAGTCTCTTCAGCCTCTTTGACAGGACTCTCCTTCTTGTCTATATCCATTGCTTCAGTCTTATCAATCGATTCAGTACCTTCAGACGCATCCGTAATTGATGGCTTTCTGGAGGAACCTTCACTTGCACTGGAACTATCACTGTCTTCATCACTATCACTATCCGAGTCACTGCTGCTGCTATCACTATCATCACTGTCTGAAGACTCCAGGCTCAGCGAAGAGCTAGATGTCTTATCATTAGTCTCTTCTTCTTCTTCATCATCATCCTTGATAGAAGTCTGGGAAAGCTTTCTCTTTCTTATAGGAATCAGAGGCTTTGGCCCTTCTTGCACCAATTGGTCAGGGTCAAAATGCCTTGCAAACATGAGTATAAGCTGTAAGAGATGCCTATCTGTAAACCGCGATGCCTTCTCGCAGGTTATAGAGCCTGGGGTCTGGAGAGCCTGAAAAAAAATGGCTGGGAGGTCACGTGCGAATTTTTTTTCGGCAGGATGCTCCATATATCGAGCTTCATAAAACCACAGATGCTATACACGGGTGCATCTTACGCTTGATCCAAAGACTATGAAAGCTGCCCGAGTATTGCTTAAAGGAAGATCTGCATGGAAAGGGCCCAGCGTGGTTCCTTTGCCTATTGCCAACGCCGTTAAAACTGGTGCTCCCATCAGAACCAACGCCAGATCTTGCACGATATTGCCCCAGTTTGTTGGGTTGAAATTCCAGGTCCACAACGGTAAAGAATACGTTGAATTTGAAGTGACCGATGAAATGGTTGGTAGCAAGCTCGGTGAGTTTTCCAGAACGAGGAAACCTTTCAGCTACAAGTTCTCGAAGAACTAAGTCAGAGCATACTTGTAAATATAGAAGACTAATGAAAAATTTTGTAATGCTTGTTAATATGTAGCTTTTAGCCAGACCCACGGTCTCTTGGTGAGTATGCATTCAACCTTTCTTGCCGAAGTTGTCCAGTTTTATCAATCATAGGCCAGTGGCCCCAGCCATTCATGCGGATAACGAGGCAAGTAGCATTGTCATCTCCTCCAATGTACTCTACGAACTTGACGACTTCCTCTGCACAGACTTGTGGAGCGGCAGCTTGATGCCCCCTCATGTTGAAATTCGTCATGATGATATCAGCGATCTCTTGGTCAGTAAGCTCATTTGTTATGCCGTCTGTGCAAAGCACCAAGAAGGACTCGTCCCCGCCAAGTCCACCAACGGTATGTTCTTTGATTTCCTGAGGTGAAAGCTTCTCCTGAATTGTCTTGTGGTCACCAAAGATAAGCTGAGACACTTCTGGTTCTGCAGTAACACCCATTTCTTTATAATTAAGGTCGCCAAATGATCTAGTATTAGCCAATGAAATGAAGCGTTCTTCGCCAAAAGAGTCTGTCATGAAGTAGTTGGCAGAGTACCTTCTTAACCGAGAAGACTCAGTAGGATTCAGCGGATGATGGGGAATCGTAAGAGGGTGAGCGTCACCGTTCTTATCGACCAAAATTGCCTTGGTATCGCCAACATGAGCCACAGTCAATTTGTTTATTGTTCCACGATTAAAGTAGTAACTTTCGTAGACTGGCTGGAACTCACCCTCCAGCTCGGCATGGAGCGTTTCTAAGTAGACAGACGTACACGTTGAGCCCAGCTTGTTATCCTTTTCATTAAAGAAATCGTAATCCGTTTGTAAGAACGAAAGCGGCAATCTAAGCGGGAGGTCATCCAGGACATCACCCAATTTCGCCAATTTCTTCACCTGAAGCGGGACGTTAGCCATCTTCTCAAAGTTCTGTTGTCGTTGTTTATACCATCTGCGCCAGTAGCCGCCAATGTTTTTGGCATACTTCTTCACTAGGCTCTGTCTAGTGGCATCTTCCTTGCTATCACACAACAAGGAAGACTCTTCAACCACAGAGCCCAAGTTATGCAGCAAATAAGTCAGGCACTGGTCACCGCCATGGCCATCGAAAATATTAAAGTTGAACGTGGTCCTGCCATTCAAATCCAACACACATGCACTGTACTTGTCTTCGTTGTATCTTCTATTCATGCGAGACGAGTAGTGGCCGAAATGAGACGGCGACTTCAAAAGCGGCACTTTCAACTTGCACTTGGCACTGGGCCTAAGGCCCTTGGACGAACGAATGGGTAATTGTGTCTTGTCGATGGTGGTAAACGTAACAGATGTGGAGAATCTTCTTAGCAGCAGCACCAGCAGCAGCACCAGCAGGCCACACCGAAGCCCAGGACCAGCCATCTATAAATAATGCAAGCGAGAGGGCAACAAGAAGGAAAACAAGTTTTGGAAAAAAGAGTACCGTTACCTGTCGTACTCAATGGCTCTGGGTCGGCACTCGGTTGGGTAGACTGCGTGTGTACGGCAAAATAGAAAAGGTGGAGCCGCGCAGGCCCCGGGGGTGAAGAGCCTCCAACGGTCTCTGCCTAACTACAGGGAACATTTATAGGGGAACTGTGGGCGAGAAAAAGTAAGCTTTCGCATATTTCATATATCGTTGTCGTGCAAAACGGACATTGATGCCCGTATCACTTGACATCTATTTAAATATATAGGGCACTTGTTTAAAGGGCAGCCTTGAGCAAGCCGTCCAACTTACCCTGGGACTTCAAGTCTTGCACGTCAGAGTTGCCACCCACGTGCTTACCGTTGATGTAGACGTTAGGCACGGTTCTCTGCTGGGAGATTTCGTACAAGTAGTCCTGGATTTCAGCGCCATCTGGGATGGTGTTAATCTCCAAGATGTAGGCCAGGTCGGTGAGGGCCGAGATGGTGCTCTTGGTTTTGGAGCAGTATGGGCAGTAGTCTTTGGAGAAGATCACCACGGGGTTCTCGCTGATCAACTGGTTGACTTTGGTCTTTGTAGCGTCGGAAACCATTCTGGAGGAAGAAGCAAAGAAGTAACGTCTGAAGGTGTTGAACATGAAGCAAGAAAAGGGTGTGGGTGCGTGTAATCGCACCCTTGCTTAATCCTCACACTCTGTGGAGTCTGGCACGACCCTGGGCCTCTGTCATTACAAAGCAACCCACATCTGGGTTTGGCGGGTCGGTTTTAACACCCATTCGGATTTATTATGGAGTGTTGCCTTTGCCCACTGTGGCGACAATTGACCGGTTTTTTTTTTTTTTTTCCCCCAAGTCTCCTGACTATAGCGTTATCTACTCTGTAGCGTCTTCTGACTTTTTATTTTTATATTTCTTCCTCTACCCTCCAGGACGCCTGCCCGGCCCCAATCGTCTATATACGGGCTCTGGCTCGCCCGGGTTCCTATTTGCTGCCAAACATGTCCAGTGGAATGATCTCAATTGAGTATCCATCGGGGTCTCTGATGAAAGCCAAGTTCTTCATCTTACCTTGGTTCCACTTGACAGACCAGTCGGCAGAATCACCAAACTCCTCTTCAATGGCTTTGCAGAAGGAAGCTGGATCCTTGCATGCAACGCAAATATGGCCGTAGCCCTGTTTAGCACCATTTTCAGTAGAGTTACCGTTGTGGTAGCCTTCAAAGTTAGGGTCAGACTCAGTGCCCCAGTTGTAAGTGAGCTCAAGAAGACCCTGCTGGAGAGCTTGCTTGGAAGGAGGAGCCTCACCTTCGATAATTGCACCCTCTTCCAGCGTAGAAGCATGGTCGTAGCCAAGGAAGTACAAAGTGAATTTCGCAGCCTCAAACTCTTTCTTGGTGAAAAGCTTCATACCAAGAGCCTTTCTGTAGAACTCAAGCGACTTGTTAGCATCCTTGACTCTGATCATCGAGTGGTTGAGCTTATAGGAAGCAGGATCAGTGGATCCATCCTTCTTATCCTTACCGTGCTCAATGAGCTCAATCCAGTATCCATCAGGGTCCAAAGCAAAAGCAATGTTCTTCTGTCTTCCATCAGTCAATTTCTTCTGGAACTTGACATCACCTTGCAACAATCTGTCCTGGGTTGCTTCAATGTTGTCCACTGAGAAACAGATATGACCAAACCCTCTGAACTTCTCGCCGTTACCATTGTTCACCGAGTAATCAGGGTCATCTTCAGCACCGTGGTTATGGGTCAATTCCAAAACACCCTCTCTAGCAGCCCAATTGGCACCAGAACCATCGTCAATGGCAAGCATATACAAGGTAAAGCTGTCAAAGGCAAACTTCTGGAGAAGCTTCATGCCAAAGTTGCGCTCGTAGAAAGGAACAGACACTTTAGGGTCCTTGATCCTGATACACGTGTGGTTCATCACAAAGGTGTCGTCGATCTTCACCATTTTTGCAGTTTCAGAGAAAGTAGTTGTCGAAGTGGTGAAACCTTTAGTTGCGGTAACACCGCTTGCTTTATAAGCAGCGAAGTGATAAGCAGGTGCACACCAGCGGCTTTTACTGTTCTGGAAAGCTGCTCGGCTAAAGAACGGCGCAGAATGGGTAAGTGACCGAAATTTCGACAACATGACGGGTAAGTAGAGCGGTTTCAATTGCGGAGCTCTGGTACGGTTAAGAATTGTTGCTGCTGCCGTTTGGCGGTTCCCCTGGCTCTCCATACAGAGTCACGTGAAACCCATCATGTGGAGCCATCCACAAGCAACTTATCCAGCCCAAAGGGCCATAATTGAATTAATTCAGATTCTTTTAGCCCATCCACTTGCTTAGAACTCTTCTGTAGGCCTTATTAGCGTATACCACATCCTCTGGCGTGGACTAGTATAGTCTCGCGAAGCGGTGAAAAACTATATGCCCTCGGCTCCTCCAGTATTCGTACCGGCTCCATCTTCTCCCACATAATCCATTATAAACATAGCGTAATGCTTTTAAGGAGACTGATACAGACAGCTCGTTACTTCTCGGTGGCTCCGGCAATCCGTTCTTCTTATGTGGCTGCTCCTCGTAAGACATTGACTGATCTCAGATCGCTATACGAGTCCAAGACACCCATCAGTGTGGTTACTGCTTGGGACTTTCTTACAGGCCAAATTGTGGACAAAAGCAAAGCCGATATGGCTTTAGTTGGTGATTCCTTGGCCATGGTGGCCCTTGGATACCCAGACACGAATGAGATTGAGCTTGAAGAGATGTTGTACCATATAAGAGCAGTGAACCGAGGCAACGAGTCGTCGTTTATTGTTGCAGATATGCCTTTTGGAACGTATGAGACGGCGCCAGCACAGGCAGTGGAAACAGCTATTCGGATCGTAAAGTACGGCAAGGCACAGGCCGTGAAGCTTGAAGGTGGACAAGAAATGGCTGCAACGGTTCGTGACATCGTCAAGGCTGGTGTTCCTGTTATGGGCCATATTGGTTTGACTCCACAGAAGCATCATACGCTCGGTGGATACAAATTACAAGGCAATAATGCTGAAAGTGCTCATAAGCTTATTGATGATGCGTTAGCTCTACAAGAAGCAGGCGCATTTTCCATGATCTTGGAATGTGTGCCTAGCAAATTAGCAGAGGTGGTTACACAGACGGTCAAGATCCCTACAATTGGCATTGGTGCCGGTCCATACGTATCTGGTCAGGTATTGGTTCTCGCAGATATGCTTCAAATGAATGATCCAGAGAAGTATAAGCTTGCCAAGTTTGTGAAGCTGTACATGAGTTTTTTTGACGATGCTAGCGAAGCTGTGTCAAATTATAAGAAGGATGTTGTTGAAGGAAATTTCCCAAATGCTGATCAGCACGGGTACAAGATCAAGTCTGATATCTTGCGGGAAGCTCGGAGGTATGCAGAAACGAAGAAGAACAATTGAGGGAAAAGAACGGTGACGTATAGAGTTTATTTAAGTGGTCTATTTAAGCCTTGAAGCGGGTTACTGCTGACTGGGAAGATGGACCAGAGCATGTACATATATGATAAATTATGACCACATCACGAGGGGACGGTGACGCTTGAAGAGGATAAGTAGGAATGCAAAAATAGAGGTTCCCTGATATTATATTCTTGAAAGAACATCAATTGGGGCACTTGGGAGCAAAAAACTAGGGGCAAGCTGGGAATCGAACCCAGGACCGCCCGCACCCTAAGCGAGAATCATACCACTAGACCACGTGCCCCATATGGAAAACATACTTTGACTTTGTGGTACATAGGTTTATGCTGAAGCATATATGCAGTACATCAAAACCGCCGTCAAAACGACATTTTTTTTTTTTTTTTTCAGATTTCAAAAAAATCATCAAGTCATACATTCCAGAGCCCATTTATAAACCGTTCGAGACCCCCCTCCTTCTCTAAAACACACTTTAAACCTGTAGAAACAGAATTTTGAACGGTTTCTGTGGAATTGAAGAATTGGTCTCACGCACATTCATCCATGAGATCAACAAGGACCCATCACCGAAGCCAAGGTCAAGAAACCTCCCCAACCTCGTAAATCAATACATCAACCCACCACCCTTACCTGTGGCTATGTTGCTGTGGTTCAAGCATTCTGACCACTTGTTGGATCAAGTAGTAGCGCCCAGTGAAACAAGGCAGCAGCAGCAGCTGCATCCACGCCCAAGGCTGAAAAAAGCCCCATCCCATACATTATCTGCGCTATGTATGCGCCAGTTATGGGAAATCCAATGATATTTTTTCTTCTTGCCTAATCTACTCGGCAAGGCTTACCCTGAAACAAAGGGTACAGGTGATTGAGAAGCACGATGAATCAGCCAAGCCATGACTTTGGACCCAAAAAAAAAATAGCAAAAAAAGAATGAAAAAATAAAAATCAAGATCCAATCAAACAACCTGGGAATGTACAGTTTCCTGTTTCCTGGGCGAATCTTGATAGGCAAGAAGAAGGGGGGCCACATATAATATTCCAACCCCCCGGGTCATGTCATTTTACTTGTTTCGGTGAAGCAGTTTCCACATTCAGGCCTAACTGGGAGGGCGTTAACCCCCCTGGAAAAAACCACCACCGAAGGACGATCAATGCACCAGTTTCAGCGGGCCGACCGTTTCAGGGCTTTTTCCGTTGGGGGTTCCATTATCACTTGTAGTCCCCCACGGTCGAATAGAGCTCGAAGCCACCTCTGAAAGCCTCCTTGGTAGCACCGTACAACGACAGATTGTATATCCCCGGGAAAGGTGACGAAGGTGATTTGACAATACTAAAATGGATGAACAAGGCTTTTTGTCATTATATGAGGCCTGACAAGAGGCAACAAGAAGTTGCGTTCCCATGCAAATATCACAAAGCAGTAATGGTTAGATTTCGGAACAGAGGTATGCCGAGCCGAAGGATCATTCCTGATCGACAGAGACAAGGGAAGAGAAAAGAAAGACGGGACAGCCCAGGCGGCGGTATCGGGCGGCAAGAACAAGTCCGACCCCGGATCCCAAAAAAAGAATAAGCCTAACAGGCTACCACAATAAGTTGTCTGGAGACAGGACGAAATCTGGGGTACAATAAGCCATGGCAAAAAGCCAGAAAGCAAAGCAAAGCAAGCAACAAGGGTAAAATGTAAAAAGTTGGGTTATCCTTGGACCTAGGGAGAACCCAATTTAGGGAGACCAGCAGTGTAGACGAAAGGGAAAGGGAAAGAAAGACAAGGTTTGGCAAATTAGCCAGTGCGCATGGTAGGCCCAAAAAAAAGAGGTAGAACCAGTCTGGGGAGCTTACTGGTTTATTTGTCATGGAGACAATTAGGCGCGAGCGGTTGCAAAAATGGACAGTAGCCGGTGCCCAGTGGCCTCGAAGGGCCACACAAAGGCCAGGAAAAGGTGGTTTTTGAAAGTCAGGTCACCTTGGCTCCCAGCTGGCTGGCAGCTGCCAATTTTGGGGCCACTTCGGGGCCACCAAGGCGGCCCCTTGTGGTAGTTTGTGCCCTGGCTTCGTTGTAGCCCTGTGTATGGAAGTGGGTGGGCCGATTGCCGTGTTTTAGTCATAGCGCTGCGCTGGGAGCTCGTATTTCGCAGGCCCTAGACAAAGGCGAAAAGATAAAAAAAAAAAAAGAAAAGACGAGGCAGAAGAAAGTGGCAAACTTAATGGCAAAGGGGAAATGGAAAAGTGGGAGATTCACTCACTCTGGGTGCTGGCGCCCCCAGAGTTTCGCCCCCAGAGTCGTCAGGGTATGCGGAAAATGCAAAACATGTACCCTTTTCCAGCTCTCCCTCGAGTCATGCTCCTTGGCGAAAAATGTTGCTCGCTGAGCAGTTACCCCGGATTTGGTTATAGGAAGGATCGGTCCAAACCATGAGGACCGAGCGTCGAGCAACCTCCCCAAACGGCCCCAACCGGCCACAACTGCCCCCGGAACCCCGAGAAAAAGCCCTAAACCTCTATACTCTGGCCGATTCACATCTCTATATTTGGTCCTCTCTTTACTTCTTCTTCGCCTCGTCCTTCCAACCCGTGGGGCTCGGAACCTGCACATTTTCCAAAAAAACAAGTCCGAGATGATTGGCCCTCGATTAAAAAAAAAATCGATGAATAAGGCAGGTGCACGGGTCTACTGCCCTCTTTCTTTCTTTCCCTAGACGCATCACTCTCCCAGTGTGTGTGTCTTTCGCACTTTCTGACGCCAAAGGTGTCCAGGACAGGACAGGACAAAAAAAAAAAAAAGAATAAAACCTGGGGATTTCGCTAAACATAGGTCTCACTGCCAGAAGTGAACAAGAAAAAAAAAAAAAAAAGAAGACCAAAAGTCCCTTTTCACCCTCATAGAGAAAACCCAGGGTTTGTTTTTAATTATAAAAGAGGAAGAGACTTTTTTTTTTCTGAAGAATACCGTTCCTCCAAAAGGCTAACTTCTTTTTTTTTTTTAAATCCTTTGTTTCACTACCAATTAGCTTACCTTTTTCCATCCAATCCAAGTTTCCAAGAACCATCCTTCCATATATTTATTAAAGGGCACCAGTTTCTCGAGTCCGATTAAAGAAAACCCCATTTCAACTGAGTCCCCAAATCGTCGAACCATCGAGCCTCCCTGTTTCGAAACATACACTGAAACAGCATAGAATACCATCTCATGATTGCAAACTCGCCTTCCAAGAGTCGTACTTCGTCGGTTTCCTCCTACAGCGGGCCCACCCAGCCTATTCCCAAAAAATCGCTTCAAATCAGAACTGATAAGCCTAGACCTCATGTCTGCGCCATCTGTACTCGTGGTTTCGCCCGCTTGGAACACTTAAAACGTCATGAGCGTTCCCATACAAACGAAAAGCCTTTCCAGTGTGCTGCCTGTGGCCGTTGCTTTGCAAGGCGTGATTTGGTGCTTCGCCATCAGCAGAAACTTCATTCTCAGGTGGGTAGAAGAAGCCTGCTTCCAAATGTCCCTACGTCGGCTCCTGGCGCCATGAATGGCCAAGCTGGCGCTGGCTCGGAATCCGCTACTTCCACTCCTTCTAATGAACACATCATTGTTTTGCAGAACAATACCGATGCTAAGGCTCCTTTACCCGATAGTCGGGCTCTGTCGCCTTCTGGCTTACACGTTCTGAACCTGGCCAACCTGTCGCCTGCTAGAAACATAGGAGCTTCTCCGTCGCCAGCAAACAACGTTTCCTTCAGATCGGCCCTGTTTGCCTATGGAAACTATGACAATGCCAATGGGGCTCTGAAACACAATATGCCGTCGCCCAACACCAACCTGAGTCTCAACACCCCGTTGGCTAATTTGGGCACTACTACTCAGTTACAGCTCAGAAGGGCATCTCATGCTGTGGATCCTGCTCAACCCAACATTACTCAACAGCCATCTCCCGTCACTGGCGATTCTCCCGACTTGAAGGACAAGAAGGCTAATATGAACTGGGGTGATGATATTGGAAAGATGAACTACAAACAGTTTAGCCACCTTCAGCATTTGGAACAGCAGCATCAACTGCAATACAGACACACGTCTTTTTCCGCAGTTTCAGGTGCTTCCTATACCAACTTGAAGGACGCCCTCGCGATTCAGAGTCACCAAATTCCGGATGTACCCCAACAAGTGGGATTCTCAACTCCTCAACACACCATTGCAGAGATGGATTCCAAGGGTCTCTCAACGGCTGAATATGGTAATTTCGCTGACTGGTACGGTGACAATAGCGATAAAGGTGATTTTATGGACCTCGCGGACGAGTTAAGTTTGCCACAACACTCTTACCCATCAAGACTGAATAGTGCTTCTTCCAACCAGCCTTCGGCAGGCCGTCAAGGCTTTCAATCGCGTTTGAACACTATCCCATCTGAGTCTCAGTTGGCGGGTAACAATGACATGCTTGATATGGCCTTCTACTCTAACCAGATCCATCAGTTCAACAGTCCAAGCCATCCTCACTACATCAAAGACAACACGCTCTTGAATCTTGGTGTTCCAACTAACTTAGAAGGCCTGCAAGATTTTCTTAGCTTGCCAACTAGTGATACTCCTCTTGATACTCAAGCTCAGAGCACTGCTAACGTCCCATCCCAAACTTTGGCTTCTCAGATGACGAACTCGCAAGATGCGAATAATTCGACTGCTGGTACTACCAAGCCAAAGCCTAGGACTTCGCGTCAACCTCTGATAAAGAAGCACAAATCTTCGTCGGTTTCTTTGGACAAGGAGTTCAAGAGGGCGAAGTTGGGATTCGTGAATGATACCGAGAACCTTGACTGGGTTAACGAGATCATGGCTGTTCCTGTTGCTAGCGAGTTTCCTAAGGCTTCTCATGATACTGGTTTTATGGGAATGCCTTACCTTAACGCTGATCGTCTGCCTGATGAAGTTCTTACGCTTTTCAAGCACAGACAAGATGACTTGGTGAAGCAAAGAAGTCTTGTGAATACAGCTGATGCGATTGATACTCCAGGTAGACGTCCAAGTCAGCCCCTTTCAAGACAGCCATCGAAAGTTCAGTTCACGATAGGCGATGGCCATCAGTCCAGCTGTGTTACCAAGGAGCTCAGGAATAGAATTGTCACCATCAGTAACATGTCTGATTCTCAGTTCCCACCTTTGGAGGACTTGAACACATACATGTCTCTCTATGAGAGCGAGTTCAACATCTACTTTCCTTTCATCCACATGCCATCATTGAGAAATCCAATGGTGGACAACTATGAGAACATCCCGTTGATCCTTTCGATGTGTGCTATTGGAGCACTTTATTCTTACCACGACTCGAACACTTTGCTTTTATTCAATTTGTCGAAATTTCATATTCACAATTTCTTCGAAAAGGAAGTTACAGCGGATAAGTTGAACCAAAGAAAAGTCCCATTGATGGCTCACCAGTCTCTTGTGCTACACATATTCATTTCCATGTTCCTCAACGAGCCTAACATGTTGGAAATTACGACGAAGCAAATGAACTCCATGGTTGGTTTGATCAGATCTACCAATTTCCACAGGCCACTTGACCAATTCTTGATTCCACCACCACCTATCAAGAATGAGACTGAGCTCGGTATCATTCAAAACAACTACGACTACTTTATTATGGCACAGACGAGAATTAGAACGATTCTTTGCTTTTACGAGCTTGAAGTCGTCCGCTCTTGTCTCTTGGGCTCTTCGATGCCAATGAGCGGTGCTGAAATTTTGAGTGGTACTCCATGTCGTGACGAGAAGCTCTACACTGCTGACAACTCTCGTGACTGGTACTATCAGTACAGAAAGGCAGACAATAAGGATCTTGTGAGCATCACGAACAACGAAGGCCTTAATGATTTGTTTGATAAGTTGAAGAATCAGTTCCCTCTTGATCTGTTGTTGCCATTCAACACATTGTTGGTCCTTTTGATGTACATTCACGAGACAATCTCGAAGGAGTGGAAAAAGTACGAAGGTATTACCAGCCTGTTTAAGTGGAGAACGGAAAGTAAGCCTATGCTTGAAAGGCTTATCAGCTCTTGGGAAGTCCTCTTCGCTAAGAATGGTGGCTTTTTCAAGATCAATAAGCACAATGCTCACATTCTCAATGCCCACAAAGATCTCCAAATGATACTTCCACTTCTTCAGCTCGCCAAGATGCGTTTGTGTGTCAACATCACTCCAGTAACAGAAAAAGTACTTCATAAAGACTGGAGCCAGATGTCCACACTTCTTAATGACTTTGAAAATGACCCCGAGGCATTGAAGACTGCGGCCTCGCATGCTACAGAAATTTTGAGGGTCTGGACCCATAACATTGAACTGCTTAATGACTCCAAGCAGGTTTCAGTGAGGACCCCAGTCTTCTTTGTGACTTGTATTTTTGCTGCTATTTTGGTGTTACAAAAAGCATTGCACGCGTTGGAGAACCAGAAAACTTTGAGCGTTCAAGACAGAGTTTTCTGGCTCGAAGCCGAAGCATTGCTCACTAACATCGAGAAGACCCTTTCACCTAACGAAGATTCCAACTCGTACTCTGAGTTCTTGCGCAAACTGTCGCAAGGAGTTTTCGACTTTGTCTTGAGCCCCTCCTTCAGAACCAACATTGAAAGTGTTATTGCTCATGCTAATATGAATGAGGAGACTCAGTTCGACAATGCTATCGGAAACTGCAAGCTTTCAGTCCAGGCGCTTGGGCTTGGTGTCCGTATCTTAGCTGATGCACCTCTTTGGCCATTGGCTATGGGGTTCGCAGAAGCGTTTAAAAATGTAGCTATTCACCTTAAGTGATAGCTGCTGTTTATTTATTTATTTATTTAATTTGACGAATAGATGCTAGAACCTTCAGTAAGTGTAGAATGGCTGCGAAAAGCAGACTGTGAACCATAGTTCCGATTACACATCATCAAACCAAAAACCGCTTCTTTAATAAAACGCCAAGTACCCCTAAAAGCCTTCTATATAACCCAAATGATAACTTCTCTTTCTATATCTCTTCTTAAGGAGAGCCTTCCGACTATTGGTAACCTTCCAGGCTTAACTATGCGCATCAAAAAAACCACTGAGATGAGCATCACTATACTTGCATTCGTTCTCCCCAACATCCCCAAGCAAAGCTTCCTACTTTTTAAAAATCAATATGACAGCTGAAAAAGGACAAGGTCGTCAGCTTTTCGAAAAGATCGGTAGCCCGAAAACCATCGTGGCTCCCATGGTGGACCACTCAGAGCTAGCGTGGAGAATCTTATCACGCAGATACGGCGCTGAGCTCTGTTACACGCCCATGTTCCATGCTAGGCTCTTTGCTACGGATGAAAAGTACAGAAACAAGATGTTCTGTGAGATGGACGGTGACGAAGAGAAGGATAGACCGTTGGTAGTGCAGTTCTGTGCCAATGATCCAGAGTACCTACTCCAAGCGGCACAGTTAGTGGAAACACGATGTGATGCTGTTGATCTCAACTTGGGATGTCCTCAAGGTATTGCTAGGAAGGGTAACTATGGTGCTTTTCTTATGGACGACTGGGACTTGGTGTACAAGTTGATCAACAAGCTTCATAAGAACCTTAAGTGTGCTGTGACAGCCAAGATTAGGGTCTACGACGACTGGGAGAAGAGTCTCGAATATGCTAAAATGGTGATTGCTGCAGGCGCTCAGTTCATCACAATTCATGGCCGTACAAGAGATATGAAGGGCCAGAAGACTGGCCTTGCTAACTGGGACATCTTGCGATACTTGAGAGATAACCTTCCAGAGGACCAGGTGTTTTTCGCCAACGGTAACATTCTTTACCCTATGGATCTAGAACGTTGTACAGATCAAGTGGATTGTGACGCTGTCATGTCTGCCGAGGGAAACTTGTACAATCCAGGTGTGTTTTGGACCAAGAATAACGATAAGGAGAAGCAGTTCCCTCGTGTTGACAAACTCTTGCGTGAGTATTTTGAAATTGTCAAGGAATGCCCTGGCGAAGCTTCCAGAGTGGCCATGAAGTCCCACTTTTTCAAACTCATGTATGAGTTTCTTAATGTGCACAGGGAATTAAGACCTATCATTGGAAAAACCAGTGTCAGTGCATCTTTTGATGAATGGGAAAAGATTGTGAAGCAGGTGGAGGATATCGTTGCAAAAATCTACGAAAAAGACGATATTGAAGAGCTAGACAAGATTGTTGACGGTCCTACTGAATCTTGGGGCGGTCACTACAAAAAGGTGCCTTACTGGAGGTGCCAGCCTTACTTCCGTACTGTGGACGGACAAAAACAGAATATGAGAGAACTTGAGGTTGCTGCTATAAACAAGAGAAAGAACGATTTCACTGAAGAAGATAGAAAGAAGGCTAAAGTGGTATCAGGTTAAGAAGTTGCAGCCACACTGGCGAGCCTGGCTGCGAATATGAAGATCCAACCAAAGCCACATCGTGCAAAGATACAGAAACAAACAGCATTTTTTAAAAACAGATGCCAGAACCAGTTTTGCCACTTCTGAAAGCTTATCCATGATATTCACATTTCCATTGCATGGTCCATGGGGCCTCCAGCCCTGGAGACTGAAAAACCTGCATGATTCGCAGGGTACTCCCTAGCTCTTCGACTGGCACCAACTATCTCCTTTTCATACAATGTCGGTTTCAGCTGTTAGAATCCCAGCCACTCGTACGGCCAAAAACGCTGTGATATTCTTACACGGCCTTGGTGATACAGGCGAGGGCTGGTCGTGGTTTCCTCAGGTGATTTCGCAGACTGGGTTACTCAAGTCCCAAGCAGAGACAAACTTTGTGTTTCCTAATGCTCCAAGTATTCCAATCACCGTCAATGGTGGAATGAGAATGCCAGGATGGTTCGATATCTACGAGTTTGGTAACCCCAAGGCTAGACAAGATGTTGAAGGTTTCTTCAAGACATGCGACTTCTTAAAGCAGTTGATCAAGGAGGAGCACGAGAAGCACAATATTCCACTTTCTAGAATCGTGATTGGTGGCTTTTCCCAAGGTGCTGCCATTTCTATGGCCACTCTTGGTCTTCTTGAAGAGAAGATTGGTGGTGCTGTGGGTCTTTCCGGTTTCTGCCCTGTGTCTGAAGCGCTCAAGGATAAGTTGCAGACTGCCAACTTAGACACTCCTGTTTTCCAGGGCCACGGTGACGCTGATCCAATTATCAACTACAATTTCGGCCAGGAGACCAGCACTTACTACAAGAATGCTGGCTTTAAGGACTGGTCCTTCAAGCTCTACCCTGGTGTAGCACACAGTGCGAATGACGAAGAGTTGGTAGACGTGATCAGGTTCCTTGCCCTGGTCTTAGATAAATAAGAACATAGACGATTGTTTTGGCTAGAATACAGCTTATATATCATGCATTCTCTTGGTTATTCACTTCTTGTCTTGGTAACTAAGGCACCGTGTACTGCATCCAAGTTCTTGTATACTTGGACCATATCGTCTCTCTAAATCTTACCCTACTAGCACTGTCAATTGGAATCCTCCTACACTCTTTACAATGGAAGCGCTTCGAGTGATCCCTGGCTTTGGGTCCAAATCTGTATCCAAACTGGATCTTTCCGCAAAAGACAAGCGCTATCTCTCGAATGTCGAAAAGGCACTCGCTACCTTTGATAGTCTCCAGGAATGGGCCGACTACATTGCCTTTCTTTCTCGGTTGCAGAAGGCTTTGCTGCTTGGAGACGAGTCAGTCGAGCTGCAATCGATAGAATGGATTCCATTGAGCGACCAGGTGTCGAAGAAGTTGGCTCTTTGCCTTTCTCCAAAGTTACCGAATGGAGTCCACCAGAAAGCATTGAGCATATACGAGTCGATCTTTACTGCTCTCACGAAAAATGCATTTGATGCTCATGTCAATGAGTGGCTTCCGGGGTTTGTGCCAGTTATTTCATATGCTTCCATGCAATTGAAGCCAAAGATACTTGAAATCTACAGACAACACATTATCCTGAAACTTAACCAGGATACGATCAAAACAGTTGTTAAGCCTCTTATGCTTTCGCTTCTTGCTGTGCTTGATGACGAAAACTCAGAAGTTTACAAGGATGCGTTTGCTCTCATGGACTCCTTCAAGTCTGCCATGAACGATAACTCTTTATTCTGGCAAACGCTCTTCGTATGCATCACCACCAGCCCCGAAAGAAGGTTGGGAGCTCTCAATTGGTGTGTGGCTCGTCTACCGTCATTTAAACTGTTCAAAGATAAAGATGGCCATAAGCTTTCGGCTGAGGCAAACGCATGCTTAAGACCGGAGCCAGGACTCTTGGTTCGTGCATTTGCCGCTGCAATCGATACAAAAACAAGCTTCAACCTGGCAAATGATATTATTGTTATTCGTGGTTTCTTTGATCTTTTGTTGTCACACTTGCCGCTCTCGTCAGATGTATTCCAGCACGACTTTACAGTGGCAGACAGGGAGCTCTTGATTATGGCATCTTGTAAAATCACATTGAAAAAAGATATGAGTCTAAACCGCCGTTTATGGAATTGGCTCATTGGACCCGAGACCAGTGAAGAAGGTGGAGACGGCGACGCTCACGTCACTTATTTCGCCGACCATGCATTGCCTATTCTTTCTGAGGGTGTTCTAAAGTTAGTGAACTCAAAAGACCACGGCGAGAAGATTCAGGGATTGAAAATTGCATTATCATTTATGTTGGATCGGTGGGAGATTAGTCAATTGGTTGCTCCAAGGTTCTTTACCCTGATATTACAGTCATGTTATCTTTCTTTTAAAACCAATGCTGAAGGGAGTGACGAAATCTTGGCAAATACCAAACTCTTTTTCGATGCAGTTGAAGCTAGAATAATCTGGGAATACATCATCTGTACATTGATCTTGAGCGAGTCAACCACAGATTTCGAAATGCTCCGCTTCCTTCTTAGAAACTTTGACTTTCACGACCAAGAAGTTGCAACTCATATCCCATTGGCCATGTTATGTTTACTCATGAGATGTGAATTATCGAAGCAGTCAGTCGAAGCACTTGAGCTTTTGCTGGGTCTCGCTCAACCTCGTTTATTTGCTCCTTTGAAAAATGTTGAACGGAAAGACAAAGAACTGTTCTTGGAAGAAGTTCAAGAATACTATGAAGGGCTCAACGTGAACGATGCGATTAAACCACCAATTGATGGCACTGAAATGTCATTCATGCTTCTTGATAATTTGAAAGACTGGTATGTCCAGAGTGTCGATCAGGATGACTTGAACGACAAGGTTTCATCAATTCTCTGCCACTTCCTTTTCACAATCCCAACGGAGAACTATGAAGTCTTCCATTTCCTGGATCGAGTCATTCTAGACACCGTGCTTAAAATCAAACCATACTCGTTTGGGTCTGATGAGATTTACAACCAAAAGACACTTAATCTTGTCCTCGGAGCAGTGAAGTTTACTCGTTATCTTGTGAAGGCCTCTAATACATATCAAAGAAACAAGATTCTTAAGATTATTCTTTCGAACTTGTGGTATGCATTAGTTAGCCCTTACCCTGCAAACAACGAGGTGGAAGCGGTGAAGATTATATTTGATCTTGAGTTAAGTTTTGAAAGTCATGAAATCGAAGCAGGGCTAGTAGAGATGCTTATTCACACGCCACAGGAATACAAAGCGATTGCATTCTATAAGTTATGGACCCATTCTTCAGATCTCAGCGCCGCCGAATCACTTCTCGCTGGTCCATTACATTTGATCTTGGATGACTTACTTGATACCGATCCAGCTAATGTTATGGCCGCCCAAAGACTAGTGCGTAACATTATCAGAGATGGTAGCGCAGTTCGTTTCTTGAAACTTCTTACGAACCCTCTCCTATCGTTCAGCATCTTGAAGAGCGAATCGGCTGAAGTCAACTATCACGACGACTTGAAGTTATTTGCTTACAATGTTCAAACCATACACAAAGTCATCCAAAGCAATGAAAAGTTACTAAAAGAGGCGTTCAACCATGAATTTGTTGTCTCTGAATCTACAGAGACCTTTGAACTCCTCAAGTCAAATGACTGGGAGGTATCAAACTACAAATCTTTCGTCTGTGCCGTTTTGCACAAATTCTTGAGCCTTAGATTATCTTCCGGAATCCTTCAAAATAAGAAAGCACTCAAGGATTATGCTAACGCTGTATCTTCTACATTGGAGCTATTTGCAGACCTCGTGATCGGTTCTGAAGCCGACTTCGAAGTTCATTTCCTCAAACTTGTACAATACTGTTTGTATTATGTCCAGCAAATTGATCCAATACCCTTCGAAATTGAACTTGTCGAAGCCGAGTACATTAACATCATTATGCACTTTTTGGACTTGACGAAATCCATGAACGTTGACTTGAGCTTGTTACATACTGCAGCAGATTCAAAGGACCCTATATTGGTGACATTCATCATCGAGGGTATTAAGAAGTGTCTGTCCTCCATCCTTCTTGAGAAATGGTTTGTTTTACTTACTCGCTCCCTCTATTCGTTTAACGAATCTGTCTTTAGCGTCATTATGACTTTGAATGATGGCATAATAACAAAGGTTAGAGGGTACCTTAATTGCGTCAAGGAGTTCGGCAAAGCTAACGATTTCACAAACCTCGAGTCGTCATTCTCGATTTTGCTTTCGGGTCTTGAAGACATGTTATCGATAAGTCATTCTTATCTTTTAACGTCAAGTCTTCGCTCCAACGCAAAAGCCGCCGCTGCAAACGGCGAGTCAGGATTCTTGGGTAACATGATTCTGGGAGTGTTTCTGATTGAGTCACCTAATTTGAGGACAGAAGAACAGAACAAGATTTACTCTATTTTAATCTCCATCCAAGATGCCTCCAAGATGGCATTCGAAATCTGGGATTGGGCTGAAAGGGCTTCATCATCTCTGGCAGCCAAGTTTGCTTCCACGAAGTCTGTTGTGTACTTGAGCAACAAGTTACGTTTCCGGTCCAGGAAACTCCTTGAAGCTTTGATGGATTTGGAGCGCCAAGAAGTGATCGAAACCATCATTGAAACATCAAGCGAAAAGCTGACCAAACTTAAACTTCTTCATGTTCTTGATAATGGAAGACCACAGATAACACTTCCTCATATCATTAATTCAATTGTTACCAGATGCTATCCCCTGATATTGGATGAGAACAAGAAGTCCTCGATGAATTCTCCTGTGACTTCGAAACAGCTTTCTGAGTTCTTGGTACCATACTTAGAGTCCGTTGACAGCGACACCATTGAAGAAGTTTGGGTTAAATTGGTCCTGTTCTTCAGAGATGTTTTGGCCCATGCATTTTACTTCAGAGATCTGCTCTCTGACTTTTTACGTGCACTTGTGGTGCTTGCTACAAAAGGTAATACCAGAAAATCCAGTGATCGGAAAGGACACGGTAAAGAAGTTGCTGATTTATTTGTTAGAATGATCAATGCGGCATGTACAATCGGTATGGCAGAAGATTCAGAGAAGCATAATGAGCACAGTGCTGAAGACCTTCTCAAAACCTTGACCCAATTAATTGAATCCGTTCAAGAGGTGATACAGGATTCCGATAAGACCACTTCAGTTGTTAATACCATTGTCAATGTCGTATTAGCTCCGCAGTTGAAGTTGAAACTGAAGAAGACTGAAGATGCACTTGCATTGATGACCTTGATTGGTAAAGTGCATGCTACGAAGGCATGGAAGACCACGGTCAATGATTTTTTCGTGGACAATAATTTCTTCAAGAGCAGGAACTATCAGCTTGATGGCTGGAAGAACCTCATTGGGGTTTGGGCTGCTAACGACAAGGATGCAGCCGTTGATCTCATAAGCCGCATTTCTCCACCAACCAAGAGCACTGCTGCTAATATCTTCGTTTGGAGTGAAAATTCTGAAGTAGAGGATAAAGTCTACATCTTGAAGAGGCTCTCATACTTGATTGTGGTTCTTCCAAGAGACCAGTTATCGAACGTATTGGAAGATTTATTCTCGAGATTGTTCGAGGTGATCAATGGATCGTGCCCTGCTCTTTTCAAGTGTGAAGCATTCCTATTATTAAGAGCAGTGACAGTCAAGTATGATCAGTTGCATTTACTTTCCACCTGGGAACCTATCACACAAGGACTTGTGGAGGTCTTCGCATCCATTTTATCCAAGAGTCAGAAGGACTTGGGTCAATTGGGAGAAGACGACGCTCAGCTCGTGTTAAGTGCTTGTAAGCTTCTCGATCAGCTATTACTTATTGGATTCGACGAGTTCACCTTGAAAGAATGGCTTTTCGTGGAAACGAACCCTGCAGCAGTGACCGACAGCACCAAGCAAGACTCAACGTCATTGATCGATTTACTTGCTAAGCTGACGGCCAACCTCTCTGTGAAGAGCTCAGCTGTGCAAGTGACCCATCCTACGCCTGGGTTGCCTAACAAACCAACTCTCTATGGCGTGCAAAAGATCGAGAGCATTGGAAGCCTCAGGAGGTTTTTCGATCTGTTCAGCTATATCAATTACGAACGTTCGTACAGCTTGGCACAACCAAACTTGGAAGAATGTTGTTCTGACATCCTTCAAGATTTGTCTACATTTAACTGAGAAAGTGCATAAATACTGGGGGACTGGAGAATCGCGTTTGTATGCCACTACTTCAGACCGCGCGTACTAGAATATATCATATACATCAACTACTCTTGTAACTAATGAACAGCTTCGACTCCACAAGGAGCAGCTTCCAGCGATCCAATAATCCAAACGAAGAATCCAATAAAAGCATACAACAATTGTCACCTTCAGAGTCAGATAACAGCGATATAGAGTTCGATGATACTCAGATCGAAACACCACAGGCGTTAAGAGAGTCGTCTAGAAGTATGCTATTACGAACAACAACCACAGAAGTGCCCCTTAATGACCATCAATCATCTTCACGGAAGAAGACCCCTACAAAGTTCAATGCAATTCACACTGATGATCGTGATCTAATAGCAAACGATAAACTTATCAGTGACGATAACCAGTTTACTCCACATGCAATGAACGGCAGTCCAGGTAGAATACCGAGACTTCAATGGAGTGGAGAAAAGGTGAATACTACACATGAGGAGGATTTTGCAAATAACGTGGATGGTAACTCTGATGAAGAGTTTGATTCTTCAGATAACGAAGAAGCTAGACCAGAGGAGGAACAAGAGCAGAAACCAAGCGAGGCAATGAAACCTAAGGATTTGATTGAAGATCTCGAAACTAGGACAGTGATGAGGAGGCTGACACTTGCTCGTTCTCCTAGGAAGAGCTCTCCATTGAGAAACGAGATCAATGCATCTTCTAGCAGCCCTGCTTCTGAAAAAAAGCTTCCAGAGAGCAAAAGATCGCCAGCAAAGGTTGAGCAAATGCTTAAACTAATCAACTCAAGTATAGATAGGCTACGGGATGCTGATCTGGATGAGGAAGAGGACGTTGAGTATGAGTCTGAACCATATGCACTGGACGAAGAGATTGAGTTTTCCGACGACGAGGAAGAGGCGTTGAATAAACTTGACACGCTATTGCCGAGTCGCAATGGGTCTATTGGCCACAGGTCCTCGCCAGCTATTAGCGAGAAAGAAGAACCTGATTTTAGAAAGTCTCACGAGTTCGAGCAGGATTTCCCAAGCAGTATGCGTCCTAGCCAGCCCAGCCGAAGCTTTTCCAGCTTACAAGAATCTAATATTTTTGACAAGAGCCCCAGCATCGATGCTATTAATGACGGCAGCCCCAAAAGGAATGGTAAGCTACCAAGTGCAAGTAAGAAGCGAAAGAGTGCAAAATCGCTCAGGCTGAAGCATGGGGCGGGACACAAGTCACAAGGGACCCCACTAGATTACCCCGATTGGCCTCAAGAGAAATGGAGTAAGCTTATACAACTTGTGGAACTGAGTATACCTAATAGCGCAATTGTTACCAGCAACATCGTTGTCCGCGAGCTTGGGTGCCAAAATAAGGCCGAGTTGGCCAAAAGAGTCGCCTTCCTTGAAAACTACTTAAACCGGTTTACTTGATGCATGTATTATTATTGTATAATTAAAAGACTTTCGAAAGAACACTGTCCAAGTTGTCACTGTTCTTCGCTTTCTTGAATTGAGGCTTTGCGTCGTGCCTCGTACTTGTAATGTCACGCTGGTCGAAGTCTCTCTTGAACAGGTTCTTGTCGCCTTCATCGCCACCAGCTTTCCTCTTTCTTTGATCACGTTTGGAACGTTCCACATTATTAACGAATGTCTTGTTGAGTTTCTGCTGTTGAGAAATCTCCATGGACAACTTGGCTTGTCTGATTTCATTCTCCTTAGCAATCTGTTGCGTCAAGTCGAACCATTTGAAGCCAGATAAGTATTTGATGTTTATTATATCGTCATGGTAGTATGAGGACTTCTTACCGCCCAAGATATTACCATTCATACTTTCAGCACAGAGCTTGGCCTCCTTCTTGTTGACAAACTCAACCCATCCTTCCGTGTACTTCTTCTTCTTGTTACCGCCGTATTTGACTCTCTTTTTGTATGATGCTTCGTCCTCAGGTTTCAAGAAGATTCTATCTAGTTTACCGTACCTGGACAACACAGATCTTAACTTGACAGGCTTCATGTATGGTGGTATACTTGAAAGGTAGCAGACACCCGTCTTCTTTATCTTCTTTTGCTCCTTTGCAAGTTGTTCTGGAGTGAGTTTCTTGAGCTTCTTAGATCTCTTCTTCTGTTCAGTGACCATAGCACTAGTTTCATCTTTCTTTCCTTTCTTTGGTATATCATCCTCTTCATCCAGATCACTGTCATCCAAATCATCTTCCTCATCTTCATCTTCAGATCCAAAGTTCTGCTTCACCTGTTTCCCTTTGGTCTGGAATACTTTCTCCTCCTCATCGTCAGATGCAAAGTCGTCCTCATCTTCCAGTCGCGTAGGTTTCACAAATTTGCTTGCAGGAGCATCACTGAAGTCCAGCTCGCTATCTGAATCAGCAGTCGGAAGGAAATCCTTAGTTGTCTTTCCTTTAGCCATATTGGTTGATCTGGTTCTTAGAGATGAGCATCGAGCCTATAGTAACTTATGCACTGAGTATGCAGTACACACACAGTAGATACCGACCAGAGCTACCCCAGAAGAGACAAAATAGTGAATAATTGGTGATTAATTGTATTTCTATTTCTCTTCAGCTATCAATGGCTGGAAAAGTTGTTTAAATTTTCTGGATTGTCGTCGTGGATCTATGAGTGTGCTCACTGAGTAGCCTACAGCATCAGTCCCAACAGTTTAATCTACAATTTCATATTAGATGACGTGAATTGAATTACTTATCAAAAGTGACTCAGTCGCTTATTTCTTAGTGGCGGAGTCAGCAGCGTCCTGGGCACCCTCGGTGGCACCAGAGACAACGTTGGAAACGTACTCAGCAGCCTCAGAAGCCTTCTCCTTGGCAGCCTCGTAGTACTCCTGGGCGGTTTCGCTGATGGAAGAGGATTGACCCTCAATCTCCTTCTGAGCGTCGTCCTTGCCCTGCTTGGCGTGGTCAGCAACAGACTGGCCGAAGGACTTTTCAGAGTCAGGAACGTTCTTACCAGCAAAGCTGTCGATGGTGTCAGTGACAGCTTCCTTACCCTGCTCGAGGTAAGACTTCTCAGAGTCAGGCTTGACAGTCTCAGAGACCTTGTCAGCGAATGGTTTTCTTCCGGCGTCAGACATTATTAATTAGTGATAAATGTGGATGAGAAGAAAGAATATAAGTGGAGGGACAAGCCCTCCTTATATAGGTAAGTGCCTACGCCACATGGCAAAAAACTGTGACCGGCGGCAAGGCATAGACTGGCGTAATAGAGCATGCAAGAAGAGCAAAAAGGGCAAAAAAAGAGGCCACGGGAAAGCAAAATCCAATACTTAGTGCCCTTACACTGTGGATGCAAAAAACCAGAAAAGGACGCACCTACTCGCATTGACGCATGCGTGGTACTTAAGCGGGGGCGCCTTTTGGAGAGCAACCATAGACACTAAAAAAGAACCAGCAAAGAGATCCAGCAACCTAGATAACAGAACAAAAAGAAAAGAGCAAAAAAAAAAAGAACGTCCTTCTCAGTAACAAGAGTGACCTTGCATCAGGGGGTACCTTTGAGATTAGAGGATTCCCTGGGGCAGCTTGTGGCTGGTGTCTCAGTCAAGTAGAGGGATTCTCGGTAGCAATCATGCTAACGCAGTACTGTATGGGTAGTGAGGAAAGGGTTGACTGGCGGCGTGTTCTACTTTCCTCTGGGACCCCGGTACCCAAATATAGGAAGTAGGGTGCCGAAATCCGTATGGTTTTTGGTGGAGTGGGGGCGACTATGTTACAGTGTGACGAAGGTAGTGGCTGTGTAGCCGCTTGACGGTTTTGAGTAGTACTGCGAATGGCTGCAAAAGGCGTGTTGGCAGCGTGTAGTTGCTGTTCTTTGCTTGTAGGTGACGCAACTGATAGAATTGGGTTATAGAACATGCAAGTGTTGTTTTCGTATTGATGTTTCCGTGGCCCCAGACTTGGGCTAGACGGGGTTTGCAGTGGGAATGTGAAATTAGCTCTCTATTATTGCTCCAAGCAGTGTTGTGCATTTCGCTAAAAAGTGAAACAAAGTGGCTTCTCTTGCTAACGGCGATGTTCCCGCTCGTCGAGAATGAATATTATGGAACATTGTTTTTGCCGAGATCTGCCGCCAATTCTTGATCTACGACAAAGTGTTCTTCGTCTTCTGGTACTACTAGTGTATTAGGCCATCTGCAGGAGACGTCTAGCCCAACCACTACACTTCCTTCCCTGTCCACCACAAAACCATGAAAATAGCAAAGAATCTCCCCCCTCCCATTTCCTTCGTTCATCTTGCTTCATGTATGCTCACCTATTTGAGAACCGCTGGTGCTGTGCTGTCTGATGGTCCAGTGTGTATCTAAGCGAGTTGATGCCCATCGCTATGTTCTGCAAGATGCGCATCGTGAAATACTAATAACCAATCCATCACCATGTCAAGGGGCGGCGCTGTCACCAAGGCGTTGGACCAGAAGGTCTATAATCTAATATTCAAGCTTCTTGATGACCAGAGTGCAGAGAATAAGAAGAACAGCGCTGGCGATGAGTCTAAATGGTTTCTTGATATCGCTTTGGCCAGAGACCTTAGAACCAACGATGTTCTTACGTACTTGGTGAAACAAGACTTGCTGTTGCAAAGAATGAAAAGGTCTATCCTTGAGGAGTCTATTGACGTTATCTTGAAAGAGCTCAGGAAGGATGAAGAAGTGGAGCTTGCTGAGGCGATCAGACTTAGAGATGAGTATGAGTTGCAAAATGCTGCTCAGGTGGATAGTGACTTCGACACTGACCCTAATAACCTCATGACGGTGAAAGATACCAATGAGCTCAATAAGTCGGTTATTTCGTTGTGGAATAAGGAAACAGAAAAGACGGAAAGCGATGCTGAGGAGAAGAAGAATAAGAAGAGAAGCCGAGACTCGGCGAAACCAGCTCCTAAACAAAAGAAGTCTAAGATTGACTCCACTCCTCCTACAACAACCCTTCTGTCGCTTGGTGGCCTTTCTGCCGTTACTACGCAGTTGATGGAGCTTGTTGGTCTACCCATCTTGCATCCAGAGATCTACCAATCTACTGGTGTGGACCATCCAAGAGGTATCCTTCTTTACGGTCCTCCAGGTTGTGGTAAGACAACTATTGCTAATGCGTTGGCTGGTGAGTTGAAGGTTCCATTCATTAATTTCTCTGCCCCATCTGTTGTGTCAGGTATGTCAGGAGAGTCTGAGAAGAAGCTTCGAGAGATCTTCGAGGATGCTCGTGCGGTTGCACCATGTTTGATCTTTATTGATGAAATCGATGCAATTACCCCAAAGAGAGATGGTGGAGCACAAAGAGAAATGGAGCGTCGTATTGTCGCTCAGCTTCTTACCTTGATGGACGAACTCACACTAGAAAATACAGACGGCAAGCCTGTTATTGTCATGGGAGCAACAAATAGACCAGACTCCCTTGATCTGGCTTTACGTAGAGCTGGTCGTTTTGATAGAGAGATTTGTCTTAATGTCCCCGATGAGGAACAGAGATGTGCTATTCTCAAGACAATGACATCTAAACTCAAGCTTGACGATTCACACTTTAACTTCAGGGAGTTAGCTAAGCTTACACCGGGTTTTGTTGGTGCCGACTTGAAGAGTTTGGTCACTGCAGCAGGTGTGGCTGCCATTAAGCGAATCTTCGAAAGCTTAAGTGAGATCGACGACGAACTGACAACAAAGAACGATGCTGTTGACATGGATGTTGATAGCAATAATGTTAACAAACTGGCTTTGGTTCCAAGCACTCTTGCCAATATGAATTTTGATAAAAAATCGGAGGACCAACAGCTTAGCACGATCCAGAAATTCTTGATGAAGCATCCTAATCCTCTTTCTGAAGAGCAATTGGCACCGCTCAGCATATCCTTTTCTGACTTCAAGGAGGCCTTGCCTAAGATTCAACCTACAGCTAAGCGTGAAGGTTTCGCTACCATTCCTGATGTTACTTGGAAGAATGTCGGTGCCCTCAACAATATCCGTATGGAGCTTCATATGTGCATTGTGCAACCAATTAAGAAGCCTGAGCTATACCAAAAAGTTGGTATCAGTGCACCAGCCGGTGTTTTAATGTGGGGTCCACCAGGTTGTGGTAAGACATTGTTAGCCAAGGCAGTTGCCAACGAATCAAGAGCTAACTTCATCTCCGTTAAGGGTCCAGAGTTGCTCAATAAGTACGTCGGCGAGTCAGAACGTGCGGTGAGACAAGTTTTTCAAAGAGCCCGTGCTTCTGTTCCTTGCATTATCTTCTTCGACGAGCTTGATGCTCTTGTGCCTAGAAGAAACTCTACATTGTCTGAATCGAGTGCTAGAGTCGTCAACACTCTTTTAACCGAACTTGATGGTCTTAACGATAGAAAAGGAATTTTCGTTGTTGGAGCCACCAACAGACCAGATATGATTGATCCTGCCATGTTGAGACCAGGCCGTCTCGATAAGACGCTTTACATTGAGTTGCCAACGGCTGAAGAGCGCCTTGATATTCTTAAAACGCTTGTTTCTGCCAACACTACGCCTTTGGGCTCTGACATTGATTTGGAAGCAATTGCAAACGATACGAGATGTCGTAACTTCTCTGGTGCTGATCTTTCCCTGTTGGTAAGAGAAGCTGGTGTGTTTGCACTTAAGAAGAAGTTCTTCCATGGACAAAAAATCCAAGAATTGGACGAATCTGGATACTACGAGGGAGGTGAAAGTGATGACAATATCGTTGTCACCAAAAGTGACTTCGATGGTGCTCTTCTGAGCATCAAGCCCAGTGTCACAGACAAAGACCGTGCCAGGTACGATAGATTGAGTCTGCGTATGGGCTGGGGCGTCATCCAAGAAGAAGAAAAGAAAGAAGAGGGTGAAGAGAAAAATTAGCATACATACATCGTCATATATAAGTGTAACATTATCTACTACAGAGTATCCGGTTTCTGACTGCGCACTATATCAAAAGTTTGCACCCATTAAGTAGTACACAGCTCCAACCATGCTCTCTTTCGCCAGACTATCCAGGCAATTGCCTAGTGCTATACAGCCTATAAGAAGCCTCAGTTCTTACGCTGTCAACGATGGTTCTCACCTTGGTGATGCTTTGGCTACTCAAGGAATAGATACAGTGCAATTGGCTTATGACAAGCATGAACCTCCAAAGAAACCAGAAGTCACCAAATCCCCATTAATATTCTTGCATGGTCTTTTCGGTTCAAAGACAAATACTAGGACTGTTGCCAAAACGCTTGCACAGCGTCTTTCTCGTGATGTGTACTGTCTTGATCTTAGGAACTTTGGGCAATCTCCACATACACCCAGATTAGACTACCCATCCTTGGCAGCTGATGTGGAAAGATTCATAGACGAAGCTGAATTGCCTAAGAAACCAATTCTAGTGGGCCACTCTATGGGAGCAAAGACAATCATGGCTGTGGCGTTGAGAAGACCTGACATTCCCGAGATGGTTGTATCTGTGGATAACGCACCAGTATTCATTCCTAGCACTTCGGGTGGAAAGTTCAGCAAATACGTGAAGCATCTTAGACAGGCTCTTGAAGTTCAGAAGTATACAAGCATTAAGGATGTGGATGCTGAGTTGGCCAAGGTCGAGCCATCTAAGGAGATTAGACAGTTTCTTTTGACCAACGTCGATAGAGGTCAGAAGGACGACGTCTGTAAGTCCAGGATTCCGCTTGAAACTATTGATAAGGCCATTGTTGGTGGCAATATCGCTCTGTGGCCATACGATCCTAATGTGGCACGTTGGAGCAAGGGCCCTGCTCTTTTTATCAGAGGAACAGAGTCAAAGTATGTTCCTGACGACGTTTTCCAAGACATTGGCCACTACTTCCCACATTTCGAAGTGAGAGACGTCAAAGCAGGTCACTGGTTGATCAGTGAAAACCCTAAAGAGTTCATGAACGTCTTGTGTGAATTTATTGAAAGAAATGAGGACGAATGATTTATAGACCCTAAATGCACAAAAAACTACTTATCGCTGATTTTAGCATCCTTGGCAACATCACTGTAGACATCAAAACGTCTCTGGAAGTGAACAGGGATTCCTTCTCTTGCTTTAGGCAATAAGTCTTTATCCAACTCAGCATACAAGATCTCTTCACCTTCTCCAGCTTCAGCCACGATGTGTCCAGAAGGATCCACAACCAAAGAGTGGCCATATGCCTGGTACCCGTCACCTCCAACGTCTCTTGCAGGGCTACACAAGACTGTGAACAACTCGTTATCAACGGCTCTGGCTCTTGCAAGTAAATGCCAATGCAAAGGTCCTGTTGTGGTGTTGAAAGCGCCTGGGTAGAACATGGCAAAAGCATTGTTAGGCTTCCTAGAAGCAGCCATAGCCAACTCTGGGAATCTGATATCGTAGCAGATACCCAATCCGACATTACCAAATTCACCAAGCTTAAACACAGTGCCCTTGTCACCACCAGTCAAAGTCTCACTTTCCTTGAAGGTGATTCCACCAGGGATGTCAATGTCAAATAAGTGAGTCTTGCGGTGCTTAGCGATGATGTTACCCTGTGGGTCAAATGTCAAGGAAGTGTTATACACCTTATTATCAGAGTCATCAAGCTCTGGGATGGATCCACCCACAATGTAGACACCATGCTGCTTTGCCAATTTCGAAAGAGCAGCAGTAGTCTCGCCATTGGGGATATTCTCAGCGTATTCTCTGAACTTATCCACAGCATATGGCGAATTGAAGCATTCAGGCAACATGACGAGATCAAGACCACCCGTAGCCTGAGCCACAGCTTTGTCAATGAAAGACGTCACTTTCTGCAAATTGGCCGCCTTCTGGGCGCCAGCTTTTATCTGGATAAGAGCAATCTGAAGGTTCTTGGAGAGTGGAGCTTTGATGGAAGACATGTTCTATAAGGGGAGAGTTGCGGACCGAACGGAATTGAGTATTGGTGATAATCTGGGGTTATCGCGACAAATGTTGGTCGAAGCCAAAGCCGAAGGCTTACAACTAAAAGCTACCAAAGGCGAGTTTTCCAATTGTTCATGAACTATTATTGAGTTTCGTTTCCTTAAATCAAGTAATCTCTTCCACCTGTCCACTGTAGAAAGTAGCCACGGCGTCTCACCCAAATATCCTCCCAAATGGAAAGTCTATGCGTACTGGGAGTGGCACTAGGATGGTCCTCAAAACGACAACAACCGTTATTGCTAAGGCTGGTTTCCAGGATGATTGTACTGGTAGCTTTAGTTCATCAGGTGGGAAAATAAGGTCAATAATGTATACGCCCACTATCCAAGGGTTTAGGCCTCCCCAGCCTACGTTCATGTCCACTTGGTCCCCAACCAGACCTAGTACTGATGGGTAGAAGAAGTACAAGAACACTTGTAAGTTTCTTAGGTATGAGTGGTGCCAGCAGAAACGTCCTAGGGCAATGTGCAACACCTGGCTTCCTAGCCCCTGGAGCCCTATTTCAGCTTTCGCTAGAACTGTGATGTTATAGGTCTTGGCTGTAGAGTTCAAGAGGTGCTGGAGTGCTATGATACTGATGCCCACCAAGACGGTATACTTTAGTCCTCTCCTGGATTCAAGCAGCCAGGCAAACGCCACGAAGCAGTAATGACAAATTGTTTTAAATAACGGTGTAGTGAACGGACTGCCGTAGCCTATATATGTCAAATCGTCATCATCTTGGTGTAATTGAAGTAAAAGGTAGACAAAAAGGGCCAACTTACCGGTACGTATTAGGCGAGCCTTCAACTTGGGCCACAGAATCAATGGCTCTGTTCTCGTATTATGGGGAGTTTCCGAGTTATTGACAACAAGGAGCATCTGCTTTTCGGTATTGTGGCAGTAGTTTTCGCTTAAGCATAGAGATGCAACCACCTGCACTGCGATAAGGAACAGAACAGGATAGATGTATAACATTTGGGATTTGAAAACAGTAAAGGTTTCTTATTTAGGTGGTTATTTTCTCCCGTTTGGACCTTTTTACTTTAAAACACTCGGGTATCCTCTTTTGGGGTATCGTAGACAAGCCGATACTCGGATATACTAGGAAACAGGTTGAGTACCTTTCTTGACCAACCCCAGTAGTCCTATTGAGCTATACAAGCTTAAATCAAAGTCGCTGTTGCTACATAGACATCATTGCTTACATTTGCCAAGAGCGTCAGTTATGTACTATATTATTCTATATGTTATACTTCTAGTTTGGGGGTATCTGCATCAGTGGAATTCACCAGTTTGTCGCTGTCGGTGAACCTGCTTTCTTTCTTTTGGTTTCCAAAGGATTGAAGTGCAAGGAAGGTAACAGACAAGATGACGCCTAACCCTGCAAGGCCCATGCCGATGTAAAATGCATTCCGGTAGCCTTCAACCGTAGTTTCGTATCCAGGCACCATGTTCTTGGTTGTATAGAGTTCCACTGTTGCAGCCATACCAAGCCCAATGGAAATGGAGTAGTTGACGAAGGTGCTTACCAAAGATCCCGCAAGACCTTGCTGGTGTCTAGGCAAAACACTTGACAAAATCATTGTGCCGGCAGGGAAACTCATATCCATACCGAAACTCTGAATCAAGATAGAGAAGAACTTTTGTCTCCAATAGATTTCTTTCTCTGGTCTGGTTCCCATGAGTACAATGCCAACAAAAAAGGATAACATAGCCACCACCATTACCACTGACAGTGAAGATTTCCGGAGAAGGAATACGGTAAGCGCAGCAGCACAGAGACCACTGAATGGAGCGGGTATAAATTGGACGGCACTTATAATGGGCTTCTCGTTATCAACAACTTCAGCCCAGCGGAAGCTGTAATACAACCAGATACCAAAACAAGACCAGCCACACGAGATGCAGCCTAGGACAAATCCAGTTTCTCCCCTGAGACAAGACATCGGAAGTAGCGGGTCGGCGGCATACTTTGAAGCCAAACAGAATGCACCCATGCAAAGGAAACCCACGATGAGAAGAACGTAGACATATGGCACATCCCAGCCAACATTTGGACCTTGATTCCATGCAAAATTTATAAGCACCAACCCTGAAACGCCAGTAATTGAGCCCCACCAGTCAAATTTTCCGTTTGATTTGCTTCCAATGTTTTTAGGAATGACAAAGTACAGCACAACGACCACACCGAGGCAAACCATGCCATTTACCCAAAAAGCCCAAGGCCACCAGACTATTTGAGCAAACAAGCCGGAAAATATAGCACCCATGACGAATCCAAAAGGTGCTACTCCTCCAAATAATGCCATGTATACCATCTTCTTCTTGCTCATAGGGAAATAATGGCCCAACAAAGCAACAGCATTAGGCATTGAAAAAGCCGGTCCCAAGCCCTGGAACGCCCTAGCTACATTAAAAAACACATCTGAATCAGTAAAACCAGCAAACCCAGAAATCAAAGACCAAACCCCAAAAGCCACAAACCCTGCATTAAACATAAGCTTGTACCCATATAAATCACCCAAACGACCTGCAATAAGAATAAAAGTACCCACTGTAAGCGAATAAGAAGCCGAAAACCACGACAACTTCCCAGGCAGGTCTTCAACACCAAAAGTGCTTCCTATCTCTCGTACCGGGTTAAGGGTCTGAGCCACTCCAGCCTGCGTGAGGATCTGACAGAGACATACCAAGAAAACGAACGTTATCTCATGTAGGAACCCGATTTCGTGGGGTGGAGGAACCGCCTGGATCTCTTCTGTCACTTCCCTTTCAGTCTCCATGAAGAAAAAATGGTCTTTTCACAACTCGGCATTGCTCCGGTTATGTACTCGTGCATTTCTAATCGGTAAGTAAAAATTAGTAAATTCTTGCGCAGGTATATATGCGCAGACTATAGTGTGCGGCTTTCTCTGGAGCAGCTTCTGGAACGCGTTAAAGGGTCCAGGGTCTGATCTAGTGGGGTTTTGTTACTCTTTTCCTCTTTGATCCGTGAAGATAGCTTTTTTTCGCTTCGAATACTTCTTCAGGGGGTGGGATTTTGGGCTTGGATGGAAAAGATAACTGGGTGCGCTTTCCTTTTGCGGTTGAGAAATCGGCAAGATATTCCTTCTTTTACCGATTGTTCAATGTAACATGAGAAATCGAAAAAAAAAAAAAAATTATCCCTTCAGTTGGACGTGTATATATTTTTCCGATGATAAAGCCGATCAGCAATGGATCATCGAGTAAATCTAAAGAATGTCGATGGTGGGGCATTAATTTTCATGCATGGGCTAATATTTAAGGGTGTCTGGGTATTTTGTCGTTTCCTTGAGCCACTTCAAGTGTGGGATATACACCTCCTCGCATCTCTTCTTGTTGATTTCTCTGTCGCCATTAATGTATTCCAAGTAGTTGCCCATGTACTCTTCTCTTTGGTCGAGAGGGATGTTGTCTTCTTTCTCCTTCTCGAGCCATATATCCTCGCATAGAGCCTCTGCATGAGAGTTGAGGAGTCGTAAATCCAAATCGTACCCAATATTCTCGTATGTGCCGTGGTACATGCGGATATGTTCGCCCAGCTCCTTATAAATAAGATCGTGGTTATTGTACATCCAGTCAGTGTAATGTTTAGGGTAGGAACAATGGCTGAAAATGAGTTTTGCTGATTCGGAATCAACCTTAGAATCTATAGGGTCATAATGGCCCAATGCCTTAGATTCGAATTTCTTTGTGTCGTCACTGTGATAGCCTACCCACATGAACTGCTTGAGTGTCTGGAACCAATTTTCTTTCATTACCGTTGCTGCAGCAATGAATGTTTCCTTGTCACCCTCGCCGGCTCCGCCCTGCGTGAGTAATGGATAGTAAAAGTATGGTCCATACACATTATAGTAAAGAGCCAAAAGCAAGGTACGAAGATGTGAAGTTTTGTTCACGACCATGACGCCTGCTTCCGAGGATGGGTTCGGAAGGGTGTTTTCAAAATCGTGGAAATTGGAGTCCTTAAAAGTGTAATCTTTGAGATCCTTTAAGCTTTCGCCCTTTTTCTCCGCTTCTGCACGGTCATATTCTGAATATCTAACCTTCGTTTCAGGCACTTCCAATCCTGCGATATCATAGAACTTTGGATTGGTTGTTCTTGACCAATGGTCAGGCCAGATAATGAGACCCGTTTCTTTGTATAAATCAGAATTCAAGAGGTACTCGACATTCTTGAGAGGGTAAAGATCGGAATCCAAATAAATAACGTTCTCAAACAGCGACGCCATGAGCGCCAACATTTTGTATTGATACCCACCAATGTTGAACTTGAGACTGAGGTACTCCACGAGACTCAGGTCTAGCATGTTACATCTAGCGTTGAATTTGGGCACAATCTCCTCACAAAACCTGGGGTCATTATCGCTCTGAGTAGGAATGAATATTTCAATCGGTAAAGTGGACCCTGTGGCTCTGATCTGCTTGATCACGAGGTACGACAACCAGGAGTACTTACCTCCACCGATCAACACGTAACCAGCCGAGCCTTTATAGTCTTTCCACTTATCGGACTTTGGCGTAAGCTCGCCAAACGTCGCCACGCCGACGTTATCAAGCAAATTCGCCATATGTTCGTCAACATACCCGCGATGTGATACCTTAAGCTTCTCAAACGTATCGTCACTGATGTTCAAGATCCCATCAAGGTATTCCTTCGAGTATAAGAAGTCCTTCACGTTACTTGCAGCATCGTGAACCTTCTCCTTGACGTAGTTATCCTTCAAGCGGTCCGCATGGATAGCGTACTTCTCCAATCCATCGAAAAAAGCCTTATAAGGCACCAAACCCTGGCTCTTCCCCTGGAACAAATCGTATGGATTGTATGGCAGGTACGTGAGTTGATGAGTGATGGCCACAACCACCACTGCCGCCAAAAAGACCTTCACAAGAGCCAGCTTACGGGTCAAGAGGAGTCTCATAGTGCTTGGCTAGTCTAAAAGTACACTTTCCAGACCTACCAGTCGCGACGCAGGTAGAAAGTCTACAGTGGAAAAAGCTAGTACACCATTTAGCGCGACCACAATGGATGCAAAAAAAGATAGATGTCCCACAAAACAGTGAGGACTGAATAATAGAAAAGGTCCCGCCTTGAACTTATTGTATAGGACAAAAAAAAGGCATGGGCAGCCCTTGACAAGCCTTTTTCGAAGTGTAGAAGTCCCGTTTAGGCGTTTTCGTTGCAGATGGAGTAGTCCACCGTTCTCTGGGCTTTTATGGTTTGGTCATGGAAATTGGCCCCAGGGCGGGAGGAGATTACCCACTTGCCTTTGTTAGACTAGGATGATGGTGGAGAAGAGCCCCTCATGGGGGTGCCCCTCGACCCAGAAAACGGCAGTTGAGATGCTTAACTGCTAAAGAGCCACTTCAAGGCGGGCCTGATGACCATCTTCAGGGCCAACTTTCGGGATCTTGAGTGTCTTCTCCACCGATTTCCTGCCTATACCGGCGACTCTGGGGTTTTTCACCCAGTGACACATTTTTCGGTGGTGCCGACTTCCCGACTATATAGGTTCCTGGTAATCTGGCACTAGCATTTCTGGTTAGATAAGTTTTTTTTTATCAAGTTTTACCATGTCACTCACTCTTGCTCCTGCCGACCTTAATATTATCAGGAAGAAGGACTTCCTTCTTCACCTCTTTGGCGAAGGCATCTCCCACTCAAAGGCGCCTTTGATGCACAACTACTTGTTCAAGAAGTTGGGTTGTGACGGTTATGTTTATGAATGTTTGGATTCGTATGGTTTGGACGCTTTCAAGGAGCTTATTGCTGCTAATAAAGATAGTAAGTCGTGGAGCGATCTCAAGTACATTGGTTCCGCAGTGACGATGCCTTATAAGGTCGCTATCATTCCACATTTGGACGAGATTGACGAAAACGCAAAGTCTGTGGGTGCTGTCAATACCATCTACGTTAGATTTAAAGACGGAAGAGCGGTTAATATTGGTACCAACACTGATACAGTCGGTATCAGAGACGCATTCGTGTTTAACGTGCCTGAGGTCGCTGCTACCGCCAAAGGCAAGCCAGGCTTGGTTTACGGTGGAGGAGGTGCGTGCCGTTCGGCTGTATACGCCTTGAAAGAGTACTTGGGCTGCTCTAAAATTTATTTGGTGAACAGATTCGCTTCTGAGGTCGAGAAGATCCAGGAAGAAATGGCTGCAAATGGGTTCACCGGTGAAATTGTTCACATTGCTACACCAGAACAAGCCAAGGAAGTCGCAAACCCTCACTTGATTGTATTGGCTGTTCCTGACTTTGCTCCAGTTACTGATGAAGAAAAGTTGGCCAGAGAGACCTTGGATGTATTCATTAACCAGGAGAACAAGGGTGCTGTGCTTGAAATGTGCTACCACCCAACCCAAATCACCCGTCTCTACCTGGCCTTCCATGAAGCCGGCTGGGACGTTGTGGGTGGTATTGAAGCTATGATCTACCAAGGCTTTGCCCAACAGGTCTTATGGACAGGCTATTCCTTAGATGAAATGCCCACCAAAGACGTAGTGGACTATGTGAGAGAGACCATCGAGGAACCTTGTCTCAGACACGACATGGTCGGCATTAAATTGTGATTTCAATGATGCTAACCACAGACCTATGACCATAATGACAGTGGCTGCGAAATTCCGAGACGTTTTGGTACCTTTACTCAACGATTACGCATGTTTACAAAAACAATAAACTAATGACTTCAATAATGACGCTTCTCTATCTTAACCCCGTTTCTACCATCTCTCCAGCTCGCATAATACCCCTTTCGTTGCTGGATACACCGATTACTAAGAGCGCACTACTCCGAGAGGTACTCTCCTACATAAACGTAAAGCAATTGCTGGGTAGATCAGAGGCTAATCTCATCCCATATAGAAGTTTGGCATTCTAGGACGACTGATTTACTCGTTTTAAAACAGGCTTTTCACTTACCCAGGTTATTGATTTTCCAAACCACCGTTGTTCGTCGGTTTCGCTGTTACAGCAGAATAATGATAACCGCACTCAAGATCAATAAATCCAACTGCCATAGATTCATGTCCACCTTCGCCAAGTTACCCAAGAGATCGTCCTTGACCAAGGCTCTCGCTCCTGACAATGCTATAAAGACGGAAGATATCGCTGCCGCTAACGAAAAGGACGTTATTAGACATCCTCGTATACTCCATGAGGGAGCCTTCTCTTGGTCTATCCCTGAAGAACGCAAGGAATACAAGTATATCACTACAAGCAAGCAAGCACTTCGTGACTTGGGATTGAGGGAGAATGAAGATGAGGACCCAGAGTTTCAAAAGATTGTCAGTGGTGAGTTCTACCATGATCTATCATTCAGAAAGACTGACTTCCCATTTCCTTACGCTCAAGCGTACGCTGGTTGGCAATTCGGACAGTTTGCTGGTCAGCTAGGTGATGGCAGAGTCCACAATTTGTTTGAGATTCCAAAATCTAAAGATAACGTGCTGCCATCGACAAAGTATAACAGAAAGGAGTATGAGGTGCAGTTGAAGGGCTCTGGTAAGACGCCGTACTCCAGATTTGCTGACGGAAAGGCAGTGATCCGTTCTTCTATCAGAGAGTACATCATCTCAGAACACTTGAATCAAATTGGCATTCCTACTACCAGAGCATTGTCTCTCACTTACCTTCCTGAGACATTGGCCCAGAGATATTCCGCTGAGAGATGTGCCATTGTCTCCAGATTTGCTGAATCCTGGATCAGATTAGGTACCTTTGACTTGTACAGATGGAGATTTGATATGGATGGAATCAGGAAGCTTTCTGACTATGTCGTTGATGAGCTTTTTACTGTCGAAGAAGGTGGTAAGAAGGTCGAATTCCCATTCTTCGAGCAGACTATTGAGTCAAATCCTACGTTTGAGAAGGACATCCAAAAGAGTCTCGGTAAGTTAACAAAGTACGATAAGTTGTACTTTGAGACGATCGTTCGTAATGCCATGACTGCTTCAATGTGGCAATGTTACGGATTCCTCAATGGTGTGTTGAACACTGACAATACATCTGTTCTTGGTCTCTCAATGGACTTTGGTCCATTCAGTATCATGGATAAGTATGACCCAGAGTACACACCGAACTCGGAAGACCATCTGGGCAGATACAGCTATGCTAACACGCCCACAGCCATTTGGTGGAATTTGACGCGTTTGGGAGAGAACTTGGCACAGCTTATTGGTGCTGGCACTGACCTTATTGACAATCCACAGTTCAAGGCTAACCAATTCCAAAATGGATGGGAAGACAAGATCGTGAAGAGAGCATCTAAGGTGATTGAGATTGGAGGAGAGATGTACATGTACGCTTTCACCAAAAAGTACGTCGAGACTTTCTTCAACAGACTCGGTTTGCTGCACAAACTCATAGACACTCTTGACCCAGAGGCACAGAATGCTGATTTGATTTCTCCTATGCTTGACATGCTCAAGAGCACTCAATGCGACTTCAACATATTCTTTGTTAAGTTGCAAGAGGCCAGGGTTGAGTCTGCTGATTTTGATCTCGATAAGTTTGCTGCCTCTGTATTATTGCAGGAGGTGAGCGAGTTTGATCACTACCCAAGAGACGAGTTAACTCAGCAAGTGAAGGAGTGGGTGCAGAAGTATCAAAGCTATGTTTCCAGAACAATGGAACACGACAGCTTTGACAGGTACGAGAGAAGCTCTCAGTATAATCCTCTTTTCCTTCCAAGAAACTGGATCCTTGCTGAAGTGATCGAACAAGCTGAAGAGACAAAATGTGCTGACGTGAGCCTATTGAAAAAGCTTGAGAAAATGGCCTTCTATCCATACGACCCAAGTAAATGGGGCGATGAATTGAAGGAGTACGAGGATAAGTGGAGGTTGCAAAGTGATGCTGGCGAAGCTGAGACGATGTTACAGTGCAGCTGTGCTAGTTAAATCGTAAAACAATTACCATTCAATGGTTTATAAAGCTAATGTATAATGTCACATATATCAATAATAGTACATTTTATTAACGAACTAAAAAAGTAGGCTTAAGATCTGTTGATAGACTTAAGGGCATCATCGTAACCCTTGTTGAAAGCCTCCTTGGCCTTGTCCTGAACCTTAGGGTCAGCAGAGGCAATCTTGGAGTCCAAGGAAGAGTCACCGGTGGAGAAACCAGCGCCACCAGCACCAGTGGAGCCAGAAGTACCAGAGGCACCGTGAGCACCAGAAGCACCGTGAGCACCAGAAGCGCCGTGGGAGCCGGAAGCACCGTGGGATCCAGAAGCACCCTGAGAAGAGGAGCCGTGAGATCCAGAGGCAGCGGAGCCAGCGGCAGCACCACCAGCGGCGCCAAGACCAGCACCACCGATAGAGCCACCAAGACCAGAGCCGGTAGCGTTAGCGTCAGTAGCACCGTGACCACGAGCACCAGTAGCACCGTACTTGTCAGCACCACCAGTAGCATCGTAACCAGACTGGGTAGCAGCACCCTCCTGGATGCCACCTGGGGCACCAGCAGTCTTGGCGGAACCAGCGGTGTCGTAGCCGTGAGAAGACTGGCCAGAACCGTAAGCGTCAGAACCGTGGGTTCTTGGGCCAGAGCCAGATGGCTGAGCAGAGGAGGACTCGCCAGAGCCCAGCTTGGAAGCACCGTAACCAGCAGCACCTGCGCCAGCAGCAGCAACACCAGCTCCACCGGAAGCAAGGCCGGCCTTGTCGCCAGAGCTGTAGGCGTTGGAAGCATCCTTACCAGAGGAAAGAGCATCCTTACCGTAGTCACCGTGACCGGTCAGACCAGATTGACCAGCCTGGCCAGCCTGCTGGTGGCCTTCGTAACCCTTACCAGCGGTAGAGCCAGTACCGGTCTCGTAAGAACCGCCCTGGGCACCAGAACCGCCAGAGGAGTAGGCACCAGATGGAGCGTTACCAGATGGGGCACCACCCTGAGCGCCAGAAGCACCGTAGGAGCCTGAACCGCCCTGAGAACCAGCGGCACCAGCACCGGCAGCACCAGCACCGGCAGCACCAGTCTCAGCACCAGAGCCAGTAGCACCAGAAGAGCCACCCTGGCCACCGAACTTGCTGCCAATACCGCCCTCGGTACCAGACAAGTTCTCTCTGCCCAAGTACTTGCCACCAGCCTTGTCAGCGTCGTTGGCGTACTCGACAGCGCTGTCCTTGTTAAGGTTGCCGACCTCACCAGAGATGTTGTCCTTACCGACAGCCTTACCAGCGGTCTGGTCAGCCTTTTCGAACTCCTTGTGTCCGCCAGAAATCTTAGATTGAATCTTGTCAGCCAATCCCATTGTGTAGTTGTAGTCTTGTTAATTAAAGATGTGGTTCTCCCACAATTGGGGGGACCAAGTGTGGGTACTTATAGTTGAGCCACCGCAACGATGTTTTTGCACCCAAAGTTGCGGTGCCTGCCCCTTGCTGCATCCTTACATGTCTTCCTAGGCCATGCTTCGCTCACTTGCTTTTTGCTCATTCCTGAACCTGACTAGCCAATGACCTCACTTGACATATCGAGGCCCGGGCCTGGCTGATCGACGGGCGGTTACTCTATTTGTCAATTGACTTTCACTTCAAACGTCACTGTCAATTGGTCACAGCCTTCGACTTTGTCTCCCTCCAGAATCGCGAGTTTGCAGCCAATGGCCAGGGGACACAACCAAGCAATACCTGACCATCCCTGAGGCTCCCAACGTCTGGGGTGCAAGAATGGGCGTCAGGCCTTTGTCGCTAACTGTGGTTGTGGATGTGTATTTTTTTGGTATTACCGGCTTCTAGCCGGTTCCGCCTTCGTTCTCTGTAGCAGGGGTAATCTGTTCAATTGAAAGGTGCCATAGGCGTTGCTTTATGCGGCGCTGCCGCACACTGATGAAGTTTGTCACTTTTTTCATGCACCAATTCAGTTCCCACTGTATTGTGTTGCTACTGGAGTACCTTATTACCAAACATGCCCTGCCGCCACGTTGCTTCACTTGCGCAAGCGGGCCAAAACTTGGAAGCCGCAGCCACAGTTCATGACCGATGGAGCATCTACGCTTCTTCTTTCCTCTGCTCGTGGTGCAAATCTCATATTGCCATATATACGTAGCACCGGATATCTCTCGTAGACGGCGTGCCTCGCCGTTCCTTTACCGTGGTTAGCAAAAATCCTTGGTTGAATGTGATTTATGCAGCTGCTATGGCTGCCTTGACTGCAATTACCCTGCGTTCATTATCTTACATGTTCTGTTTGTTTGTTAGCTCAGTCTAGGAGCTTCACGTAGTTCGATGGACAGATACCCACCTGTCCGTTTGACCGCCTGGCCTGCCACCATTTACCATCGATGTCGTCCACTTCCAAGATCTCGTCCTTCACGAATGAGATCTCGTTGATGTCTTCAGGGTTGGCATCGTAGCTGTACAAGGCCTGGGCCTTGTATCTAAACACACCTGCGGGCATACCAAAGGCATTGGCATCCAGTTGGTTGTAGACGGTGTTTCTGGTGGAGTTTCTTACCAGGCCAGGAACGTTAGGGTTGGAATTGTGAACATTGGAGTTGGAGAAGTTCTCCAAGCCGTTCAACTGCAGCGACAGCATGTAGGCCGACTTAGTGTTGGTGTTTTGGGAGTGTCTGTCGTCGTTGTTGTGGTAGTTGTTGGAAGCACTACGAGGAACAGCGAACTCTTCCTCCTTGTACTCACCAGCGGGAAGCGAACCGTGGAAACCGTTATTTCTCACGGAGAATGAATCAATGAACTGATTTGTAGGAGATTCTGGGTGGCCACCAAAGTACAAGATCCAAAGGATGTTGAGCATGGACAACAAAATACATCCCGCGGCACAACACAAGTTTCCGGAGGAGTTGGAGTTGTAGATCAAGTTGTTGGTGGAGTTTGTGGTATACAAGAAAGCCACCGACAAGAAGCCCACAAGAGTGAACTTGTATAATTCGATGGTGTTGTAGACGTAAAGCACGAAAATCATAATCACCAAAACAATCTGGTAGACGAGACCCCACCAAGTGAATCTGGGGAAAGAATGTTGGGCGGAAGCAGCACCGCCAGCAATAGCGACGATCCAAGCTATGACACCGAAACTGACGGTGGCGATGGCGAACGGATCACCAATAAAGTTGGAGATCTTGAAGCCCATGGAGAAAAATTAAGGGATGCGTAAGGGTGGGAGGAGGAAAAAAAAAATATAGATCGTGAAATATCAGCTGGATCTAACAGGTATCAAAAAATCAAAAGCTGCGAAGGGTCGGCGTGGATGAACTGGGGAAAACGATGGGAAGGGGCTTGCAGCGTGGAGTGGATAGCGTGGAAAAGAAGAAGAAGTAGCTGGATCGGTATCAGACAAAACAAGCGGGAGGAGCCAGGACCGACCGTGAGGAAAAAATGTATCGAAAATTCACAATAGTGTTCCAGTAAATACGGGATCATGGCGCGATCCGCCAGTGCAGGAGGGGCCCCTACTGTTCCAAGGTCTAGAAGGTGACCCGCGACCGCGAGTCCAAGAACCACATACCAGGAAGAGAAGAGATGAAGAAAAGTGGTATGGGTAGTTTTGGTAGTTTGTGGTTTGGGTGGTTTTGTTGGTGGGCTGATGAATACTTGAATTAATTAGAAAATAGTTATTTGTCAATGGCTACCTGGTTGGGCTGGCTGCAAATGGGGAATGGTTAAGCGACTTCGGTAGGCAAGGCTTAGACACGCAATGTGTGAGATCTGTGTTTAGCGTGCTTGTGGAGACCTGGCAGTCTGAGACAAGTAGACGAGAGAGGGAGAGTAGGAGGATTTTATTATTTGGTGGTTTGTCGTTTACGTGGATTTGACCTCGACGGTCTCGTCTCGGAAGAGTCGGGTGGTTTACCGCAGCGGAGGCTATTTTAAGATCGATCTGGTGGGTGCAACTGGGTTTCTCGTTGTTTATAGGGTTCTGGCAACGACGACAATGAGAATAACAATGACAACGTAGAGGCTAAAAAAGTAGCTGGAAAAAGGATAAGTATAGGCGTGACAGGCTTAGGGTGAATGGAATTTTACTGTTTTTGATTGCCTTGTGTCGTTTTGGCCAAGAACGGTGGATGGGGCAGTAGACGGGGTGGTAGATGGGCCAATCTGATTGGCGAGGGGCCCAGGGAACAAGGTTGAAAGGAAGAAAGACGTGTTATGGAGATGAATGGGTTGAAGGGTGTTGTAGAGGTTGTTAGGGCGTGGTTTGGGCAACAAATGGGGAGGCAGTTAGTGACTTTGAGTGTTAGTCACAGCCAATGACAACAAGGAAAACCCCTACGTTTTTCTTGAAGTTCAGAAATCAGTTTCTTTACACTGCTTAGACCGCCTTCTTTTCCATTTCTCTTTTCCATACATTTTATTCATTTTTTGTACATTTGGCGTCTTGGCTGTGTGGCACTACACAAGTTGCAGCCATTTCTGTCCATACAAGCCAAAAAAACCAGCACCATCACGAACACCAGACTTCCACCAGACACTCCCAAGCCCTACAAAAAAAGCAAACAAAGCAAGAAAAGCCTTAAAAAGAAAACCAGCAAATGTCAACAACCACCGTCAACCTCCAACCTTCTACCCACCAATCAACAACCCCCTTCTGGGTCCGCCTGACACCCCCACGGCTTCCGTATTCTTCCTATACTGGTCCCCCTACCGTTTTGTACTAGCACGTCGCGCAGGCATGACCCACTGCGAGCTGACCAAGCATACCTATTCCAGGGCCTGAGACACGAAAATGCTCGTTTTTGGGGGATATACCGTTTTCTTCCGACCACAGCCGTATGGTGGTTATCCACGAGTAGTCGTTTCTGGTTTTGGTTTCTGGCTTTGACTGGTGTAGCCCCCACTTGGCTAACTGGTATTTGCAGCCAACCATAAAATAGTCCATTTCGGTCGTAGAACATATGACGATGGCAAACGGCATAAGGGAACGTTAAAAGTCTTGTTTAACCTTTCTACCTCTCTGTAGACCTCTCTCTGTATGAGCATTTAAGCTTCGCTCTATTGGTTCTTGGGCGAGCCTGACCAAACGGTGCGTGCCCGTTGGCCCGCATAATCTGCTCCTCCCGAGTTTACCCATGGATATTGAACGATACACCGAGAACTGGGGCAGATTTTGGTCTTTTTTCGCTCAGACTTTAAGAGAAGGATCGATTTTAGTCCCTTAGTATGTTCCAGGTTTTTGTAGAGTGTTCCCGAAAATGTTCCCTTTTTTACCCCAGGAAACGGAGCTTCCGTAGCTTTGGTGGTTGCGCAGCCGCATACTTTGGCTTGGTAATGCAGGCTAGTCCGAACGCTTCCTGGCTGCAAATCCCTCGCCCTGTTTGCTAGGGCTATATAAAGCGGGCCACTACTGCCCATCTCTTGTGTTCTCCATCAACATCAAAAAACAATGCTTTCACTTTACAAACCAGTTATTCCCAGACTCGGATTGTCTGGCCTCGCAACCGTTGGTCTACGTTATAAGACCACCAAACCTTTGAGAATCAGAACTGAGCTTCTTGACAATGATGATAAGCGCAAGCACGACGACAATAAGTTCATTTCTCATCCCATGTTCCCTCATCCTGAATGGACCAATGAGGAGGTGGAACAGGTGGGCCCAGTCCACCGTACTCCACAAAACACGATGGATCGTGTTGCCCATCGTGCAATCACGCTGGTTCGTACGCTTTTTGACATTGCAACCGGCTACAAGCATCCCAAGACGCCTGAAGAAATAGAACATCGCTTTGAAGGTACCAGATGGGAGATGAATGAGAACAAATGGCTTACGAGAATTATCTTCTTGGAATCCGTGGCTGGTGTGCCAGGTATGACTGCTGCTTTCCTTCGTCACTTGCATTCGATCCGTTTACTTAAGAGAGATAAGGCGTGGATCGAGACTTTGTTGGATGAAGCCTACAACGAAAGAATGCATCTTCTTACATTTATCAAGATCGGTAAACCTTCGTGGTTCACTCGTTTCTTTATCTTCATGGGCCAGGGTGTCTTCTGCAACATGTTCTTCTTCATGTACTTGTTATACCCTCGCTACTGTCATCGTTTTGTTGGATACTTGGAAGAAGAAGCCGTCAGCACTTATACTCACCTCATTCACGACTTGAAGGCTGGAAAGTTGCCTAAACTTGACAATGTGGAGGTTCCAGACGTTGCTCAACAATATTGGACAGAACTCAATGAGAAGTCTACATTCTTGGATTTGGTTGAAAGAGTAAGAGCTGATGAGTCCAAGCATAGAGAGGTCAACCACACATTGGCTAATATCGATCAAAAGAACGACAGGAATCCATATGTTGTCAAGGTTGAAGGTACTGATAAGCCTCAGCCAAACAACGGTCTCAAGTCTAAGCACCCAGAAGGTTGGGATAAAAAAGACTTGATTCTCTAACGAATTTGAGTTTTATTATCGTGTAAATAGTTATTTATAATGACTGACAAGATTATGATACATTTAATGTGTAGCCCCAAGGAAAATAGTGACAAAGAGGCAGACAACCATGACAATGACGCCCCATACACTCAAAGCGAAACCTCCGTACTTGCAGAACTTCTCCAACTTGGTCAATTCGGTAGCACCGTTAAGTGGCTTGATGAGCATATAACCAAACAAACCTGGCAAGATGAAGGAAATGGAAGTCGAACCAGTCGAGCCAACAAATGCAAGCACATGGGCTAAAGATTTCACTGAAATAGCCACCAAGTATGCCAAGACAACAATACCAGTGGTGATGATGTAGAACTGTCTGGTGGTGAGTTTGACAATTATAGGGTCGTGACCGTCAGTGTCTTGGGCACCTTCCATTGGCGTAGTTGAGATGAAAGATTCCTCAACCATCGATTCGCCATCAGACTGAATAGGCGTATAGCCATCGCTGGTAACCTGACTGTTACGCAACTTATGTGACTGGACGCCATGCTTGATGAAGTAACGAATGTGGTTAATGGAACCACGGCAAGGGTGGCATTGTAGTGGGAACGATAAACTCACCATCACCACGATACACAACCGACCTATAAGCGAAGGAACAGAATCTTTGGGGTACATCGTGATAATATTAGCATCCACCTCGTTACCAAAAGTCAAGTAACCGATGATTCCAACCACCAAGTACGATACACAGGCCACAGTAATTGCATTACGAATGATCATGTTGGCTTGACGAGTTTGGGACCCCGATTTCTCAGTTGGCTCCAATTCGTTGATAATTGCAAACATGTTTTGATGACATGTGTAAGCAAACACGAAAATGGGGAAGGAAGAGAGTGTCTGGCCCCACAGCTTTGGACCAAGCACATCGATGTCTCTTGGAGGAAGTTCATCCACAATGTAATGTTCTATGACAAGACAGATCAAGTAAACAACAGAAAATAAAGCAACCACCGATGTATACTTGAGCGAATCAAGCTTCTTGAGATACGAAAGTGGAGCCACCATAAGTGCCATAAAAAGAGTAATCCATAGATTACGTTCCATGAACCACGAGTCTGGCTCCACTCGAAGCAGCTCCATGATCTTTGGCATCAAGTCACCAATAACAACCAAATACGACACTCCCACACCAAAACACTTGATCGCAATAGCACCATCGAACACAACAGAAAGCTGGGGGTAAGTCAACTGACACAAGCTGAAGTAAGAAACAGCATCACGTTGCTGTGTGTACTTTGCAACCTTATTCTGGAGATAAAGACCGAACGCAGAAGTCAATGAGGACCATGCAATAAGGAAAGAGCCAAAGACTATACCGTTAGCTCTAAGCCCAAAAGGCATAGCCAAGATACCAGCACCAATGATGGTATTGAGGAGGTTGATTGACCCCGATTTGATTGTCGCACGGCCCATGGTAGCGAAGGGGTGTTATATAATCAAAGGTATTCTGGGAGTCTGAAAGAGAGCCACTTTGTTCAATGTAACGTGGGTGGATGTACTCAAGTGTACTTGCTGGGTAGTAATTTTTGGGCGCGGCCTATCATGTAGATATTGATCATGACCCTAAAGAGGTAATGGTCCAAACTGAAACGCTGGGCGTCTATTGAAGAAAAGGCACAGATAGAGAGTAGAGAAAGAAGATGTACTGAAGATATCTTACATCTGTAACAAACAAACTTATCGATTGGGTAAATAATACATCGCCCGCGGCGAGATAGAGATCATGATTCTTGATATTGACATTACCCGCTGAAGACTATGGGTACCGTTATGTTTCCTTGGACAGCCGGCATTCTCTGGGCGCAACTGGCCACTTTTGTAACCTTATCGGCGCTTATAAGACGTACCAGCCCAACAACACGGCGATAAGAATCAAAATACCGGCAAATGGGAGAGAAACACCGCTGACAGCATCCTCAGTGGCAACACCGGTCTGAGATCCAGCAGCAGCGGAAGGAGCCTTCTCGTTGGAGTCCAATTTCTCAGACAAGTTGTTGATCTTCTGGTTAGAGGCTTCCAATTCCTTCTGCTGGACGTCATCAGCGCCAGCACCACCGACAGATGGGAAAGCCTCCTTTGTAGTGTCAGCACCAGCGTTGACGGCAGAGGAGTCATAAGTTCTATTGGCGGTGTCATTGGCGTTCTGGGAGATACCAGAGCTGGCGGCAGCACCAGCACCAGCACCGGCAGCACCAAAGCCAGCAGAGGAAGTAGCGTTGGCAAAAGTGGTGTCGTTAGCCTGGGACTCGTTGGTCTCATCATCGTCAATGACGAAGTTGACTCTCAACTTCTTTTGTAGCAACTGGTCGCGATACTTGCTCTCCAAGGCGCTCCACTGTTCGCTGACCTTAGATGGGTCAGACAACTCAGGGCATGGCAAGGAGACAATCAAGAACTTGTCCTTACATTTGTAGTCTTTTGGCAAAGGTTGAGTGAAACCCTGCAAGATGAGAGAGATCTTGATGGACTCGTTTGGGCCAATGATGCTGGCGTTTGGTCTAACACAGTACAACTTTGGAGCAGTGGTCTTGACCTTGAAGGCCAATGGCTGCGAGGAAGAGTTGGTCAAGTGCAAGAACTCTGTTGAGGGCTCGAGAAAGTTACCTGGGTGTTAGTAATGTGATGGGTGTGTGGCTGCGTTGACTAATTGGGAGTATTGGTGATGGAGATGGCTGCTTAGGATGGGATACACATAACAAAATCTATTTTGTCATTGTCTGGCCTTGATTTCGTCGACCAGCACTGGTCATTGGAATATCGTCGGGTAGGTGGAGATTGCGCTTCTTGAGTAACGCCGCTGGACTCGGCACCACCGGGACAAACAACACAGCCAATTGAATAATTCAATCAGCCAGTATGTTGAAACCAACGGTCAGTGACACGATTGAGCAGCAGGCATGGATAACAGGAAATCATCATGATGGATGTTGACACATAGACGAATTGTGGGCGGAGCGAAGGTGACAAAGCAGAACAACCACAGTCAAGCAAATCGGGGTAATTGGAGCGGCTGGAGCCGCCGTTTACCCAGATAGAAAACATACCTTTGTAAGTCAAGACATTTGGGGAGACCTCCATTTTGGCAGATTTCGATTGTTTTGAAGTAGTAGGAGGAAAAAATATACCAGAGGGAGAAAAAAAGGAGAGTGAGCGAAAATTCCTGATAGTAGCAAAACCAAGCAGGACACCTTGCAGTGCAGTGACAAGCAAGAAAGCAAAGGGCAAAGCACAAAGAAGAGCAGAACATGCCCCAAGAATAAACCGATGGTATACTCCAAATCTTCACCTCTTTCCTTCTAATACTACGTATTTTCCAGGAATCACTGGTGTCTAGTGACCACTGGCTGCGAAGCTGGCGCTGTGAAAGTGGACAAGCAAGCGTGAGAAACGGCTGTCACATGAAGCCTGAGCCACGATAGACGGCCACCCAAGGGAACCAGAGGCAGTGAAGAGAAGGTTGGAAATGGTGGATGAAAAAAAAATGGACGACTTTTAAAAGCATTAACAGAAAAGGTTAAAAAAATAAATACCGTAAAAGGTTAATTGTCGGATGGTATTCAGGTCACAGTCTTGCTGGAGGCTCTGGCTCTGGCTGCGGCCGCGGTAGACTCAGAGAACCAACTGTGGAGAAGGTAGGAAGAAAGGAAGTAGGTTGGAGAGAGTAGAAAGACCAGGAGGGGTGAAATTGAGTTGGTTAGATAAATTGACTTAACCTTAATTGTTTAATACCTTGTTTATGGTGGTTTCAGTGGATTCGCCAAATGTGGAGGCAGGGTCTCGCATTGGCAGGCTGCGAGTGAACCGCGCTAGAAGAATCGTCCAGGGCGTGTAACCAAAGTTGGAAAATGGAAAATGTATCCATCTATGGAAGGCTGGCTTAGCTGCGCTCAGTTGACGTGCTTGTTGGGCAAAAGGGACATTCTGTTTGGATTGGACTTGCCAGGTTGGAGGTCTAGGCGTGTAGGTGTCGTCTATGGTGATCTTCATCTGGACAGGTCTGAAGATCTCCAGGAGACAGAAGGTGTAGTGGTAGAGGGAGGAGGGAGGAGGATGAAGAGGATGGTGAGAATGAAATTGGTGGTTTGTAGTGGAGCGGGGAGTTAGGCTAGGGAAGGTTTGTGTTTCTTTTTCAGAAGTAGAAGGTGCTATTAATCACTTACTGGCGAAGTACTCCAAGCGTGGGGTAAATGTGCCGGTAAATAAGCAGGTGAAACAAGAACAGACAGTTTCGACGTGCCTGGCAGCTCGTTTAAAACGGGTAAAATACGGTGTAGATACTATTGTTATGCAATTGATTGTTCGTTCAACGGTCTACGAGAGCTTGAGCTAGCAGTGGTACGCCAATTGCTGGTGTGTATTATGGTAGTAAGTAAATACAACTAGTAGCCTCTATATGATTTGAGTACTTTTCGAACTATATGAACAAGCATCGTAAGCAGCTTAGTAGTCGTCTCCTCTCGACACAACTTCCTTCTTATGTGGGTGAAGCAAGATCGTGTGCTCAAACTGGGCGGTGTAACTGCCCAGAGTGTCAACCAATGGAGGGTAGTCCTCAACAATACCAGCACGAACCAATTGGTTGAGTGCTAGGAGGTACTTATCCTCTCCGGTTCTCTCCAAGTATCTACGGCACCATGGAAGGGTACCGAAGTTCTCCTTGATAGTGTCCACGAGCTGTCTAGCTCTCTCAGTAGGGGCTTTAACGTCAACATCCTGGTTCAAGCCATAGTGCGAGCACTCTCCCTGGCCAATGACGTAACCCTTACCGGTAGAACCGAAAGTCTCAATGGCGAAAGTCTCTCCCTCCTCCATCTTGGTCATGTCACCATTGGCAACAATTGGCACAGTTTTACCCGAGTGGATGGTGTAGTCACCAATGTTGTGACCGTTCAAGTTTCTAATACACTTGATTGGGTAAGTCTTACCGTTCACCTCCATCTCGTAACTCTCCATGACTTCCTCGACGGCAGCACCAATATCGTTAAGTCTGACATCAATACCGGCTTCCTTGACACCAGTGTTGGTAGCAGCCTTAACAGCCTCCAAGAGAGGATCGTACTTGTCGTCAAAGGTCATGGTAAATGCAGAGTCCACGATGTGACCATTCACATGGACACCAATATCAACCTTCATCACATCCTCGTACTTCAAGACAACCTTATCACCCAGGTTAGGGGTGTAATGGGCAGCAACATGGTTGAGAGACAAACCAGTAGGGAAACCAATACCCTGGCTCTTTGGGTGGTCATTGCCCACGTATTGTCTAACAGAGTTCTCAATTAAGTCAGCAATCTCAAGCATTGTCATTCCTGGCTTAACACCCTGCTGTGCCTTGGCACGAACTCTTCTATGGATCTCAGCACCCTTTCTGAAGTCTTGCCAGCGGTTATTTTGCTGTCTGTCCAAGTATCTCTTCTCCTCATCGGTGGTTCTGTAACTGTTCACCTCCAATGGGTACTCCATCCATTGACCCTCAGGGTAAACACCATCAGGGTAAGACGAGGCAATGTTTGTGAGCTTCTTCTTCTTCTTTTTGTTCTTCTTCTTCTTTTTGTCAGCTTCACCACCGGCGCCTTCCTCGGCGTTTTCTGGAGCAGGAGAGGATCCCTCATTGATGTTCAAGTCACCTACTTTATCAGCGACCAGCAGGTCTGCGTTCGGAGTTTGTTGAAGTTGTTCCGCTGACATTGTCTTGAAGTCGGTACTGACGGATCTCATAAGAGCCGTTTTATGAGGGTCATCAGGGTATTTGGTCACGTGCAACCACTACGTAATTTGGAGATGGCATTTTGCAACCATTCTTTAAAAAAGAAAGACTTGATTAATTAGCTATATCCTGTAAATTCAAACCGTTTAAAGCGAAAGGAAAATTCCATTTATGACAAGAACGGCCTCAGGCCGACTTGCAGAGTTGAGGGTAACGAGAGACAGCGGCACGCCGCTAATTAATGAGATTCCAGGTAGTGCCAGCCTATTCCTTGGAAGATTCGGGGTTCAGCTGAGAGCCAAACAAGCCGACTTTATCGAAATTGATCATCTTACCGTCGACACGAGTCTTTTGTTGCATAAGTCCAACAAAGTCGGGTGTTCGAAGTAAATTCCTGTTGGCCAGCTGGTGCACCTGTCCTGACTGGGCACCACCTGGAGAAGGAGTGAAAAAGTTAACATAATCACCCATATTGAAACCAGCAGGGGTGAGAGCCAAACCAGCGGAAGGTAGAGCGCTGCCGGGAACACCGGCGCCGCCCAGAAGTCCAAAAGATGGAGTCAATCTATTTTGAGGAGTTCTAGCGGTGGAATGGAGTGGTCTCTTTGGCGTAAGTGGTGGTGGAGGTGAGATGAACAGAGCACCTGTAGAAGTAGGCTTAGCCATAAGGAAATTGTGGTTGGCAGAGCCATTTGGTGCTGTCGAAGCTCTTGGGGTGTTGGAATAGGCAGGTTTTGCTGGCGAAGGGGAAGTTGCCAAATACATGAGAAGATCAGCACCTTCATCGTCATTATAAACGGAAGCACGTCTCGATTGTGTAGGGGTCTTAAGAAGAGCCGATTGCGACTGAGAAGAAAGCAGTTTCTTTGCCAAGGTAGGTGTCGTCTGCGGGTTCTGTTGCGACACAGTGTTTCCCTTCAGCGGGTTGGAAGTAAGCACTGGAGAAGGGTTCAAGGCCTTAGAAGGCGCGTCAGAAGGAGTAGCGGGCCCGCCGTTTATTTCCTTAAGCACCATATGAGGAGCAGGGTTTCTAATGGCGGCACCGCTGGTTGCTCTGCGTCTCTTAATGGGCGAGTCGTTTGGTTCGTCGTCGGTGACGGAGCTTGTGGAAGCTTTTCTAGGACCTCTAGTTGGCAGGCTGGCCAAGAACACCGAAGGTTTAGTCAGTGTGGGCAGTCTTCCATCGGGGGAAACCAAGCTTGGTGACAGCGTGACATTTGGCGAACGTCCATTTGCCATTTGGCGTTTCCACATGTAATAACTCTTCAAAGGGCTCAGTTTAGGCAATGACGTCTGAGAAACAGGGCTATCAGGAGGTTGGGCCTTGGAAACGGCACTGGACGACATCAGTTGCTTAGCGGTAACGGAAGCCTTGGAAAGTTTCTGCTTAAGCTCTTTGGCGATTTTCTCCAAGTCATCTTTCTTCAACTGTGGTTTCGAACGCAGAGGCGTACGTGAGTGGGTGTGTGTTTTCCCGGTGGACATGTCTTGAGCAGGGGATGAGGATGAGTTGGCGGCAGTGGACTGTTTGAGTGTGTTCATGTAGCCTTAGCGAAGAAAAGCAAGAAAAGGGAAAAAAAAAGAAGTGGCAGCAGCCAAACGCAGAATGGTGTTTTAATAAAGGACGGAGCCGGTGAAACTGGCTATGTTATATGACAGACCGTTAGGGATAGCGACCGCAAGCTAAGAAAGCAAATACCCGCTGGTGTTGGAAGCTGGTGGGAGGATACGGAAGAAAGTGGGAAAGTGGTGAAGCGGGAGGGCTAAATTGCACACCGAAAGGGATGGGTACGCGTGGAAGGGACGAATGAGGCGAGGAAAAAGTGCGAAAAGAGTACCGAAAAAAAAAAAAAAAGAGCTGGCGCCTAATTACTCGCAGCAACTGAGACAAATACCGAAGAAAGTTTAAACCTGGCAGGGAGGGAAGGTTTAGATTATGGATGTCAATGGAGCTAGTCTCTGTTTATGTTTTTTATGGTGGTTTGTAGGTTTTGGTTACGTTAAGGGCTGCCCCCAGCTGGGAGCTGGGGCCAGTAGAGGGGCTTTTTTTCGCAGCCGAATGTGTCGTCTTCTTTTTCCCCATAAGCCTTTCTCCTGCCTCCCCCAATGAGTCTCCTCGTTGTCTCCTTCGAGAGTCAATGGTTGCTAAACACGGTTTGACAATTACCCCCAGGTGGCTGAGAAGGAAGAAAAGATCGGAATCCCGCAGAATGTAGAGTTGCTTTTCCTGCTTTTGTTTCCCTTTCCCTTTAATGACAGGCGTCGCTGGGTGCCGAGAAAGGGTACATTACACGCGTGGAAGTAACCGGTCGCATCTGGGTTTTTTACCTATGCGGAAGGCAGTGAAAAAAGAACGCGCTTTGTGGCTGCGAACTGGCAATTCTCGCCAGCCAGACGTGGACATGGAGAGCATAATGGAGAAGGAAAGAAGAATATATATTGTATATGTAAAGAAGGAAAATGAAGAAGGTATGTTTTAAATTCTTTGTTGATACGTTGGCATTGGCGTCGACGTTGACTTTGACGTGGCGTGCCAGTCTTTGTCTATTCATCACGTCTCCTTTATTCCTCTCGGCGTCTCGCATGGGCCAATCTCCCGGGCTGCAAATGGCCAGACGTAGAGCATCCAAACCTATATTGGGAATTTCACAAAACACTAATCTGGAACACGGGATAGTCGACGAACAGATCGAGGGGGTTAGCTTGTGCATCTAGGCTTTTTTTTGCTTTCATGCCGATTAACTCAGGGGCTCGAGGCAAGTTCCATTTCCGGACTTTCTGCTTGCAGCCGTTGTTTTTTTGCAACCTTATCTTTCGCTTATGGCTGCTCTTTGTCGATGCAACATGCTGTCTTAGATGGTTCAATGGTAGCGCGCCATGCAATTGGGACGTTAACGAATGAGGCATGCCAATGCCCCAATTGGCACTGAATTAGGCTTTCTTTACGCTTGGTCCCACTGGACAAGTTGCCTCCCCACTGTCTCCATCTTTGACTCTTACTCTGGCTCTTCGGCGTTGTCCGCGTCACGTGACCTCTCTCGTACTACTACTGGCTCTACTTTATCACCACTACCCTTCCAGTCTTCCCACTTACTCCATCCCCAGTGATGATATTTTTGGTCATTGGCGTTTTCACGCTCTTCTTCCTTTTCAAGGTGGCCGAGGGCGCTTTGCCTCAGCTTTTCCTTGTCCCTCCTAACCATTGGCAGGATAAGATCACCAGAGTGATCGATAGCAAAAAGCCAATCTATTTGAAAGCTGGTATCAAACGCTCGAGTTCAGAAAACGTTTGGTCGGTGCAAGTGCAATTCCATCTTTCTATAATAACTTTGTGGAGAATAAGATCGTCATTTCTCCTACTGACATTGAAGGAAAGGATGCCTTTATGGAGGCTCTCACTAGAAGAGACCCAAAGGATCCACAAAGAAGCAGACTCTATGGCTTCTTTCATCCTTATGCTAATAACGGTGGTGGTGGCGAAAAGGTTTTATGGCAGGCTGTTCATGCTACGTTATTGCAGAACAAGCATAATATCGCTGTCATTTACACAACCAATGTGGAGGCCCTGCCAAAGGAAATCTTACAGAAGGTCGAGCAGAAGTTTGATATCAGGGGTATGGATTCCAAGCGAGTTGTGTTCATTTACTTGAGAAAGTTCAGTAAGTGGATCGATGCTGATTCGTGGAAACACTTCACCTTAATCGGTCAGCTCTTAGGATCTCTTCTTTTAGCAGCTGAAGCAATCTACGAATTGACGCCTGATGTGTGGATCGACACAATTGGCTTACCTGGAAGTTATATCCCCATCAGTGTTATCTTAAGGATCCCTATCATGGCATATGTGCATTATCCTATTATTCAACCAGACATGTTTAACAAGCTTAAGTTCCGGAAACTTTCGGACTTGGCTAAGATTGGACCAAGCTTAGGAGATGCTATAGCCGTTCTTAAGTTCTTCTACTGGACTGCCCTTTATTACTTCTACACATACTTAGGCTCTTGTGTTGATTTCACATTCACCAATGGTACGTGGACTTACAATCACATAAAAGCCATATGGAGTCTGAACATCTACTTGGGAAAGACAATTGAAATCTTGTACCCACCATGTGCTACCGAGAACCTCATCCAAGGTGTGTCATTTGAAACTCCAAGAGAGAATAAGCTTTTATACATTGCACAATTCAGACCAGAAAAGCGCCATCTGTTGATCCTTGAAGAATACAGTGAGTTTTTGAAAAAGACTCAACAAGAGAAGCTTCCTTTGGCAGACATCCCTACTGTTGTTTTCTTGGGTTCTTGCAGAACTCCTGAAGATTCGGGCACACTCCGTAAACTTCGTGCTCAGACCAAGGAACTTGAATTGACGGAGTTTGTCGAATTTATTGTTGACTGTTCATATGATGAGATGAGGGAGCAGCTTCAGAAGTGCAAGTTTGGTCTCAATGCCATGTGGAATGAACATTTCGGCATCGGCGTGGTCGAATATGCAATTTCTGGTGTTGTTCCTATAGTCCATGCTTCAGCTGGACCTCTCTTGGATATCTGCAACAGTGGAAGCCCAAGTTTACTGTGGGAAAATGATATCGGCTATTTCTTCAAGAGTCAGAGTGACCCAGACTACAAGGGTGAAAAATTGGACGGCGATCTTGTGTTTGACTTCAAAGGCGAGAAGGCACACTATCCTACCTTGGAAAACGTTTTGGTCAAAGTCTTTATCGAGAAGCCAGAACAAGCTCTGGATGAAGCATTGGCCATCAAGAGGAGAGTAGGAAGCAAAATCATGTTGGAGAAGTTCTCCAACGAGATGTTTGTCCAGAAATGGATGAACCAATTGGTTGTTGCCGAACGTCTCGAAGAAACCTACCGTATTGAAAAACGTGGTAAGGTAGAGGCCGTATATTAACCACCTTCTAATGATTTTACGACTAGCATTTGAAGCAATCTCTATATACTCACCGTGGTTTGCAGCCACTCAACAGGGTCTGGTCACCCAGCACACCATGGTCCAATGCATGAAATTAAAACAACCATAAAATACCTGTCACTTTAATTACTCTCAACTGAATTTTTAACAAAAAATATTTTTCGGTTCCAAGGGTCCAGCTTTCGTCCCAAGGTTAACGTACGCTAGTGGCCTGTCAAAGGTGGTCGTGCGCGAACTGACCATAGTGGATCGTGTTCAAAATTCCAAACATCTAGTTCACGAACCTCACAACCAACCAATTCCCTAGTTGCAAGGACAATGAAGTTGGAAGTGACAAAACAGTTCTCGACCCGCTCGGAAAGAGTGAAGGGTATCGATTTCCACCCGTCCGAACCATGGATCCTTACGACCTTGTACAATGGTAAGATTGAAATTTGGTCTTACGCAACCAACACGCTAATTAAGCTGATCCAGGTGACAGACTTGCCTGTCAGATCTGGTAAGTTTATTGCCAGAAAGAACTGGATTGTGGTTGGATCTGACGATTTCCATGTTCGTGTTTACAACTACAACACTGGAGAGAAGATCACCCAGTTTGAAGCACACCCAGATTACATCAGAAGTATAGCTGTCCATCAGTCCTTGCCATATGTTTTGACCTCTTCTGATGATTTGACCATCAAGTTGTGGAATTGGGAGAACAATTGGCGTTTGGAACAGACCTACGAGGGCCACCAGCACTATATCATGAGCGTCAACTTCAATCCAAAGGACCCTAATACTTTTGCATCTGCCTGTTTGGACAGAACTGTCAAGGTCTGGTCTTTAAGCTCGCCACAACCTAACTTCACTTTGGTTGCTCATGACGAGAAGGGTGTTAACTATGTTGACTACTACCCTCAAGCCGACAAGCCTTACCTCATCACAGCCTCTGACGACAAGACCGTCAAGGTCTGGGACTACCAAACCAAGTCTTGCGTTGCTGTCTTGGAAGGCCACTTGGCCAATGTTTCATTTGCCATTTTCCACCCAGAATTGCCTTTGATCGTGTCCGGTTCCGAGGATGGAACTGTTAGATTCTGGAACTCCAATACCTTCAAGTTGGAGAAGTCTGTGAACTACGGTTTGGAAAGAGTCTGGTGTGTGGGTATTTTACAAAAGTCTAACTTGATTGCCGTGGGTTGTGACTCTGGTTACATCGTAATTAAGATGGGTAACGAAGAGCCATTATTCTCGATGGATAACAATGGTAAATTGATCTATGCAAAGAACTCAGAGGTCTACTCGTCCGTTATTAAGCCAACCTCTACCGATGGCTTGAAAGACGGTGAGACGTTGCCAATTCAGCAAAAGGAATTGGGTACTGTCGAAATTTACCCACAAACTTTGGCACACTCGCCAAACGGTAGATATGCTGCTGTTTGCGGTGATGGTGAATACCTCGTTTACACTGCCTTGGCGTGGAGATCGAAGGCTTTCGGTAAGGCTTTGGACTTTGCTTGGAACACTCACGACATGTCCAATGCTACTTCTTTCGCTATTAGGGAAAGCAAACTTTCTATCAAGATTTTCAAGAACTTCCAGGAGCATGTGGCTGTCGACTTAGTCTATGAAGCTGACAAAATCATTGCAGGCGCTTTGTTGGGTGTCAAGTCAAGTGGCCTCTTGTGCTTCTACGACTGGGAGACTGGTGCTTTGGTCAGAAAGGTTAACCTTGCTCAAAATGACGTCCAGGACCTTGTTTGGTCTGATAATGGCGAAATGGTCGCCGTCTTAACCACAGTCGCTGCGTCCGAGACAGGCGCTGGAACCAATGCCGGCAAGAACGGTAACGAGACCTACTTCCTCAGCTTCGACCGTGCAGTCTACGAAGAATCCTTGACTGACGGCTCGTATCTTGCTTCTGAGGGTGCCGAGGCAGCCTTCGATGTTCTTTACACCTTGCCTTCTTCTGAGACCATCTTGTCGGGTAAGTTTATTGGTGATGTCTTTGTCTACACTACCGGAACTACCAACAGACTCAACTACTTCGTGGGTGGTGAAGTCATTAACTTGAGTCACTTTGACCGTAAATATTACGTGATCGGTTACAAGGCCGCTGATGGTAAACTCTACTTGATTGACAAGACCTTCAATGTCATTTCTTGGTACTTGAACGCTAAGATCTTGGAGTTGCAGACATTGGTAATGCGTGGTGACCTTGAGCAATACGCTAAGGGCTTTGTTGAGGAGGATGTTCCTGACGTTTCTACCATTGGTAAGGAGGACTTATCAGGTGAGTATGCCGAGTACTTGGAAGGCTTGTCAAAGACTGAACTTAATCAGCTTTCAAGGTTCTTTGAGAAGCTCGGATACTTGAAGTTGTCCTTCTCCTTGTCGCAAGACTTCGACTCGAAATTCCAGATCGCATTGTCCACTGGAGATTTGAACAAGGCATACGAATTGCTTGCAGAGAGCCAAGAGCAGAACCCTCTGACTGCCTCCGCTAACACAATCAAGTGGAAGAAGTTGGGTGACTTGGCCTTGGAGAAATGGCAAATCAAACTTGCGGAGGATTGCTACTGGTTAGCCAAGGATTATTCATCATTGTTACTCTTGCTTTCATCATCCAATAACCAAGAACAGTTAACGCGTCTAGCCGAGACCGTGGAAGGCTTGGGTAAGTACAACATCGCATTCCAATCTTGGTGGTTGACAGGAAATGTCGAGAGATGTCTTAACTTGTTGGTGAAGACAGAACGCTTCACCGAAGCAGCATTCTTCGGCCGTACTTATGGTATCAGCGAGAGCAAGCTACAGGAGATTGTCGCCTCTTGGAAGAAACAATTAGAATCTAAAGGCAGGGCCAGAATAAGTGAGCGTTTGATAACGAATCTTTCGAACCTCAGTGTCGGCGAGGCCCTGCTCAGGACGCCTTGATCGATCTTGAGGACAACAAGCATACTATAGATGACGACCTTCTTGATGATGAAGAAGAAATCTATACCCAAGAGGAGCCTGCTGACGGTCCTTCGGGTGTCGAGATCGAGGTATAGATCACACTGCATGAGAAAGGATACCTTCAGTTCCCTCTTCATAAAAATTCCGTAAAACTTTTGTACATTTAACGCTTCACATCAAAGACATTGTACTTATCAGCTAAATGATCCTGCTTATCTTTGCAAACAAAATAGAGCTCCAGGATGACCAGGAAATTTGATTTGGTAGATCCCTCTGGCTTCCATCTCTGTACATGCTTGAATACCCTCTTGAGCCTTTCTTCAAGAAGATCTATTTCTGGATCCGCTAGATCAATTCGAGCCAAGCGAATGACGAAATTCCCACCCTTTGCTAATGCCTCGCAACATAGTAGTAATGCGGCTTCGGCTGTATCTATTGATGCTTTCAACGGATCCGTGACGTTCCTTCTTAGCTCACTATTTGTGCTGGAACGTATGAAAGGCCTTGTGGTAGTATTATTAAAGAAACCCTTGTCTTGTAAGAATGCCGATGACAAGTCTGAGGTTATTAGGTCAGCTTGATAATCCTGAAGACTTAGAATTGATTCTAGTGTTTTGTCCTTCAAAGAAAGATCATCGAAGATATCTGATATTCTTGCCATTTCAGATTCAAAAGTTGGATCTTTAGCATCCTGTTCTGGCAAGAGGTCGTCTAGCAAACCATTCTGCACAACTAGTCTTTTGTAAGCATGCTCTTTAAGTAGACTTATGACGTTTCTATGCGCTAGCTTTGATAGGATATTTCCCTGTGTTGTGAAAGTTCCCGCAGGGTGATTCCCTATGATGATATCAAGCCCAACTAGGGTACACTTCTGGTATATCTTCTCAGGCTCGATTTCATGAATCCTCAGAAGTGCCTCTCGAGCATATATAAGCCAATTGCCCGGAGAGTATCCCAAGTCCACCATTTTCGTCACATTCTCATTAAACAAGTTGAACTTTGTATCTAGTTGATGTAGCTTACTCCGAGACAAGTGATTCAGACCATCGATCTTCTCCTGTCTCGTGAGTCGTGCTGAGGCATAGCCTCTATGTAGAAGGACTGAAAGCCTGGGGTATAAGATTCCTCTCCATCGTATATCTCTCGGTATCATTGATTAATGGAACCAGTCTTTGGAAGATGACATCTGGGGTAGATAGTACGCGTAAGCGCGCCACCATAACACGGTGGGATGGAGTGAGGTAGGCTGGAGATGGGCGTCCTTTGATGTAAATTACTGTTTGGAAGTATTGAAGATATTCTTAATAGGTTAGCCCTTTAACCGAACATTTTTATTGTTGCTTGTTTTATTTTACAATTGAATGAACTTTCTGATTCTACTGGTCTACTGATAAATGGTTGCAAAATGCGAATACTTGAGGGAAACTGTGAAGGGAATAGTATAAACTAGGAAGAAATAAAATATATAGATTCAACAAGGATAAGAAAAGTTGCTCTCGATGTGAACTAAATGACTTACTGCTAATAATCGTGAAAGGGATATCGTGCTAATCACTCCGCAAAAGCCTTTGGTGAAGCAGACTGTAGAGCTTCCACAGATAATGCACTGCAAGAGAAGACAAATGAGAATTTTTAAGAACAACTATATCTTTTGAAGAACCAATTCATTATGTATATGCTTCAAACCGACAAATAGAACATATTGAGTAAGAGCTAGTAATGTGCTGTCGTATGTGACAGAGGAAATGCTAGCCAGTAGTAGTTAAAACCGCCTCTTTTCAGAACAAACTTAAAGTTATCACTAAAACAATAAGTCACAAGCCGAAAAGACCCATAATAAACAAATCTTGTTCCAGACAACCGTTGATATGGTGGCTACGGTTTTGACCGGTGATGTGAGGGCTCGAGCCCTAACCATACAGCATCACTATCCTGCACATACCATCTCAGTACCATCCACCCTCTGAAAAAAATTCTTCTCACATACTTTCCAAACCTCATCCTCGTCGAATCAATCACATTTACCAAATACTTTTGGGAGACGAACATTAATCATGTCTAAGATTACCAGTGCCCACGTTCGTGAGAACGTCCAGAAGTTGTTGGAATTCTCCAACGAGACCAAGAAGAGAAACTTCTTGGAGACCGTTGAGTTGCAGGTCGGTTTGAAGAACTACGACCCTCAGAGAGACAAGCGTTTCTCTGGTACCTTGAAGTTGCCTCAGGTCCCAAGACCAAACATGACCATCTGTATCTTCGGTGACGCTTTCGATGTCGACAGAGCTAAGTCCGTTGGTGTTGATGCCATGTCTGTTGATGACTTGAAGAAGTTGAACAAGAACAAGAAGTTGATCAAGAAGTTGGCTAAGAAGTACAACGCTTTCATCGCTTCCGAAGTCTTGATCAAGCAGGTCCCAAGATTGTTGGGTCCTCAGTTGTCTAAGGCTGGTAAGTTCCCAACCCCAGTCTCCCACAACGATGACTTGTACTCTAGAGTTCAGGATGTCAAGTCCACCATCAAGTTCCAGTTGAAGAAGGTCTTGTGTCTTGCTGTTGCCGTCGGTAACGTCGAGATGGAGCAGGATGTCTTGGTCAACCAGATCATGATGGCCGCTAACTTCTTGGTCTCTTTGTTGAAGAAGAACTGGCAGAACGTTGGCTCCTTGGTGATTAAGTCCACCATGGGTCCATCTTTCAGAATCTACTAAGCGTGCTTGGTGTGCTTGTGCGTGTCATTAGCTAATCAATAGGTTTATTCTGACTTTGTGTCTGTAGACATTAGGCTTCTCTGTTTGTCTTAGAGTTGTAATTGCTCTTTGGCTTCTTTCTCTTTCTCAGCTTCAACGACCTTCTGCGCTCTGATGACTTCAGTGGCTACCTCATTATTATCGTCGTCGTCGTCATCATCGTCGTCATCATCGTCGTCATCGTCGTCGTCATCATCATCTTCATCGTCGTCGTCGTCATCGTCGTCATCATCGTCGTCATCGTCATCGTCATCATCATCATTATTGTTGTTATCATTAGTGGCGGCGTCGTTATTACTTTTCGAATCGTCGTCTTCATCTTCGATCTCGGGGTAGCCACCTAACTTCAAGACAACTTTGTTGACGATTTCATTCCAGTCCATCATACCACCCATACCAATGTCACCGTAAGAACCCATAACCTTCTCAACAGGCTTAAGAACTTCGATCCATGGCATTTCTTCTGATATTAGTCTCAATTGGCGCTTAGTAGTGATAGCATTGTAGGCATTGCTCACCATGGCAGGTGCCAAAAGGATTGGGTAGGCGGTATTCCAGGCACGGATGACGGATGTAAGTAGATTATCGCAAATACCAAGAGAGATCTTTGCTAATGTGTTGGCTGTCAAAGGACAAACGATCAAGATATCGGCCCAACGACGCAATTCGATGTGAAGCACAGGGTCAGCACGAGAATTCCAGGTAACCCATTCATCCAGGTCACGCCAGACACGTATTCTCTTGGAGTTTTCCAAGAGTTGCAATGTTTCATTACTGATGAAGTTCTCCGAAGATGCCGTGAGAATGAGCTGTATGGCGATCTTTTGTGGAGTGTAGATCTCGAAAAGCTTATTGATGATTAGTTTGATTTTAACAGTGGAGATGGCGCCGCAAACACCAAAAAGAACGTGGAGCTTGCCATCGTCTTGGGGTAGACGTGGGTCGATATTAGCTGTTTCCTCCTTCGAGCTGGGCAATTGACCGCCTATACTTGAAATTGGGTCTTTAAACTCAGCGCCAGCCGCTGGACTGGTAGCACCAGCACGAGCGGTAGCAGAGCCGTTTCCCGCGATGGTGCCAGCACCACCAGTAGTGCCCTGGGCACTTGGGTTCAGCCCCGACCGCAGTCTAGTCTTTGGTCGCAGCGACTCTTCTGATGAAAAGTGAGCATGAACAGAAGTACGGGAACCATCTGGGCCAGCAGATTCTTGTCTGGTTGTAGAAGAGCCACGAGGAGCAGGGGCCCAAAGACCCTCGTTAGCGCCGTTTTCATGTTCTCTGGATCTGAGACGTGGAGACTCCAAACTGGCTCTTTTCAAGCTTTCATCAGGTCTACCACGAATCTCCCTCACATCCACAGTAACACAAGGCTGGGGAAGCTTTTCAGAAGAACCCAGAGCGCCCACTTTAGCGTTCTTATCCGATTCACGCTCCTCCTGGTTCAAAGTAGCATTCTTCTGGGTAGGCGTGTTTCGACTCAGGTTGTTAAGAATCGGTGGAGGCAGCGGACACCGCAAGTTCGAAATGGCTTGCACGGCAGGAGGAATGTCGCCCGCTGGTTTATCAGATTCAGGGCTATGTGGCCGCAGAGACCGTTTAGGTGGTTGGGACATGGATTGATGAATGTGTGGTTGCAAGTGGATAGGTGAGACTTATTAGGTGGTGGTGGAGTCCCCCAAGTAAAATAACAAAAGCAAAAGATGAGTAAGCCCTGGAGTAGTGGCGGCGGGGTGCAGAAGCGGGAGGAACGGAAATTTGTTCGATGTGATTCTTTATATTTCTTTTCCCAGAAAATTGGAGAATTGTGTTCGTATACCAGTAACCAATGGTGAAACGGCAATGCTATAAAGAAAAAAATAATAAAAAAGGTGGAAGGTTGAAGTCACTTTGTGAGAGCGAGGACTGTGTGCTGGAACAGGGATCCTTGCCTTGGGTCAGTTAAACGTTGCTTTCTGCCGAACCGCTGGCTGCGACTTTTGGCTGCGAATTTGAGACACACTGGTGGGTTTTGTGGCTTCGGGGAGGTTGCTGGAGAAGATACAGAGTAGAGAAGAAGATAAAAGGGATGGGAATTTGTTTGGTTTATATACTTGTTGGCGGTTGGGAGCGTTGCCCGGGAAGTTCTTCTTTTGTTATGTTTGGTGGATGTGGGTATCTGTAGGCAGCTGAACATGTACCTATGTGTCTGAAAGATGGCTTTAGGTAGTTGGCGCTGTGGCTCTGGGGACATGATCCTACTACGTCATAAGGCTGGGATCGGCATTTGCCAGTGCAGAAGAAAAGAAGCTGGTTGCTACCAGTGGGGTGTCAGTTTGGAAAGTCCAAGGACTGGTCATGGTCAGGAGACGTTCCGGGGAGAGGTGGTTCCTGGCAGTAGAACCATGTAGAGCAATAAGGGACCCAAAAGTACTATAGATGTAAATGGAACCACTTCTACACCATGATTATCTATATCATCCTTTATAATCTATATTTATAAGTCTTGTCGTTATATCGTCACTCTCCTACACCCTCAGAGGAGTATCTCTCGGGTGCACAGAACCCGGTGCCAAAACCAGGAATGCCACCGTTGAATACCAAGTCACCAAACTGGGAAATATCCGCAGACTGGAGACCAGAATGAGGGTCGTAGTCGTTACGTAATGGGCGAATGAAGAAGTCCTCGAATCCTCCATTCATGCAATTGTCTTCCACCTTAACACGGCTTTTGGTAGCTGCTAACATCTCCAGCATCTCGTGTTCAGCACTTGGCACCGCTTCTCCATAAGGCAAGGGTCTTGGGGCTCCTCTTTGCTGATGTTGCCCTGTGAGGTAATCATAGCCAGCTATGAAGGCATCAATGAAACCGCTTATCTTGAGAAGCGTACCCATACACATACCGTTAGTGGCCAAGCCAAGTCCACGTATTTTCTCAATGGCTTGTTCCACTTCTTCGATAGGTATATCTAGTTTCATGATGCTTGAAAGCTGGCTATTGCTCATGAGACAGTAGCCAACCACAAGACCCATGGTTGCATGGAAAGTGTAAAAGACATCAGCATGAACTGTACCGTTAAGCATTTGTGCTGAAAAGCTGGCTTGGGCGATGTTTGCAATTGCAATGCACAGTCTTAAGCCCTGTACTAGAAGGCTTTGGATTTTTCTGTTTGAGCCGTGATGTGGCGCCTGTGCTACTCTGGAAAAGAATGGAAGGACCAACAGTAGACGGTCGTAGTGGTACCGCATCAGTAAATGGACTTTGAAATCTGAAATCATTGAAAGATCGAACAATCCTGGGTCAATCTTTGCCACGGTTCTGGAGAGTTTCTCCTCGAGAACCAAGGCTTTATCGATGTTGTCGTTCGACAACAAGTCTTCGTTCTTGTTGAACGCCTGGCGGTATTCCAAGACGTCATGCAAGTTCTTCGTTACATCTAGTATAGCCATCCAGGTTGCTGAAAACTCGGGAGCGTTCACGATGTCGTAGCAGTCTGGATAAGTTGCATTGACGTCTGCGAGTTTAACCGTCGATGAACGGCCCATCTGGCAACTGGAAGAAACCTCCATGACGAAAACAGTCCACCAAAGTCTTCTCAGTTCCTCGACCTTCAGTTTATCAGGAATCTGCATAACCAGAGATTCTCTGTGAAGACCAAGAGAAATAGAATGACGAGCAGCAAGTTGGATCAAAACGTAGGCGCTTTCTCTCCGCATGGTATTTTCCATGAAGATGGCTAGAAGTATCAACGTACGGATACCATCAAGCGTAGGAGTAAGCACAATATCAGAAAGGCACAAGCGTATCACATGAAGATACCTTTGCACAATGGAATAGTCAACCCTCGGTAAGCTATTTGGGTTGAAAAGACGACCAAGAAGCCAGACCATGTATATGCTGCAAATAGTATGATGTGAAAGGTAGCGGTCTCTGGTCTTTGTGCTGACTGCAGCCCAAAACCTTTCATGGGCCTCTCTGAAGACATTTTCAACAAAACATGGGTATCTGGGATGCACGTTGCCGAAGAAACAATCGACAAAGTAGTTTGCTTCTTGCATCGAAATATCGTCAAGACATGGGAAAGTGGAATGGTACAAAAATGAAAGATCGGCAGCGTTGATAGGTTCATTGCTGGAAGAAATAACCAATTCACCCTGGAAGGCGTGTTGGAGACTGGCACATGTAGACTGGTCAAGGTCAAACATTGTGCCCAAAGCCTTGACGGACGAGTCAAGGAATGCAGGCGATGCAAGAGGACCAACCATATGTCTGTTGCCACTATGGTCGGTTATGAAAAGGTCGTCTTGATGGTGACCTGGGCCCTCGGCGGTCTCCAGTTGTACCAGCTCAGCAGCCAAGTCGTCCAGGTCTTCCACTTTAATATCAAAGTCCAGATCTAGCGAGCTCAGACGGCTAGAAGGTAATTTACCCAGCGTTATCAACAAGGAAAGATCCCGAAGCTCATTATCATCTTTACCTCCATACCGAGAAGGCATGGAAATTCCATGGCGTTCACCCACATCGATCAAAGCATCAATATTATTCACGTCGATCTCGGGAAACAGGTGTTGAATAAGCGCCAAAAGACACTTATAATGAAGACCAATATTCTCTATAGGGCCCCTGATCTTCTTCTTACGCTTAATGGTGGTTTCACAGCTGGCACCAGCTCTTTCGCAGCCAGCGCAACGCAGGGAAGGCGAGTCTCTATGGCAGGCGATCTTTCTGATTTTGCATCTGTCACAGGAGAAGGAAGCCTTCTTACGCTTGTCGGGAGGCACAAGTCTCCTTTTGCGAGTTCGTATGCATGGGACGACGGTCTCGTCAGAAGTCATTATAGGAACAGGGAGAAGGGGAAAGTACAAGGTGAAAATCAAGGGAACATGCTCTTCTTATAAAAAAGGGTGCCCGCAGGTCAAACCTTCATACATGAATGCCACCTGTAGAAGTCATGCAGTGACAGATAAGAATACTCTGGGTGACTGTGCTGGGCGTCAGGCTGGGCAAAGAGAAGCAGAGCGTAACTGTCGCTAAAGAGGGGGGCCCAAGAAGCAGACAAACAACCAGAAGCCAAGTGGTAGAGGGGCAGCCCCACCGGGTGCCGATACGATGGAGGGGCCCCACCGAGGGGTCACACAACATCCAAACAAGCTCAATAGTCTATCCATAATTAAGCTCCCATCCTCTACTCGGACAAAAAACTTAGACTCCGGGTCCACCATAGACAGGAGCATATCGTTCGCTTTCATGCTCAGCCAGACGCATGCTGCAGACAAGCGCGATGGACAGGCACCTCTGTGCACAGCCCAAACACCGGGAGCCAATGAAAACCCACTGCGGCATTTGGCCAAGGCAAAAGCAGATCCCGAAAGGGCGCATGTCTATGCATGGCGTATCTAGAGCCACATTCAGCCATGCCTTCAAAAACAAGTTTCTTACTAAGACAAGGTGGGGCTGTCGCGGCTTGTTGGGTACGGTTCGCCGAGAAGCTCGGTCGCTCTCGCCGAGACACTTCCCGTAACCAGTAACAGTATCAGTGGGGCCCCACTGCTTCGATGCCTGATCCAGGGCAAATCTGTTTTCTTCTATTTTTGCCGTTTGGTGCCTTATTGTGTTTAAGGTTTTATCTCGATCGATCGGCTGCAAATCTTGGTCTTCTTCTGGTTTCGTTTGGCAACCAAATGGACGGTTCTCTTTTCTGAGTGTCAGCCATTTGCTACTGTTGCTTCCATTTACGTACATTTTTTTTACTCCTATTGCCCCAGGTCGAGTAACGCACGTCGTCGGCCCGCTGCCGAGCCGTTGTACCTATTTTTCACTAATTTTCACTTTTTTTTTTTGGTGGTTCGCAGCCCAACGGTGAAAAATTTAAGCTTACGACGACGTCACCTATCTTCTACCAATGACCACTCGTCAGCCAGATCCAAGAATTGACCTTCTTGCTCGGGCCTGGTTTCGGCCCTGAATCTCGGGTTTGTCCTACTACGCACAGCGGCTTCTTCGGCCTTTGATCCAGAAAGGTATTTATGGAAGACTAATGGGCTATGTGAATGTGTGTGTGTAATGTTTGATGTATAATGACTGCAAGCCCGTTTATTCTTCTGATGCGTCTCCGACAAAGTCCACGAGCTCCCGGGCTTTGGATGCATCGCCTTGATTCTGGGGCGCCTCAGTGATCGTTTGCTCTATCTCTTGGAGCGGTGGTCCCAAGTCACTCATGCTCATCTTGGCAGGCTTGCGGCTGCGGTGGCCTGATCCAGAGTTTGAACTAGACCCAAGGTCGGACTCGGGCACGCTGAGTGCTTGCTTGGGGTCGTCTTCTGGTTTTTCATTGATGCTGGCGTCGCTGGTGGCTCCTCCTCGCCCTGACCGCAGTCCTCCTCGGTGGTAGCTGCGGTTAGGTGGGTAATACTGTCCACCTAGGAAGGGCGGAGCCATGGGCTGGAACTGAGGCGTAGAACCGTAATAGTACTTTTGTTGGAACAGATTACGTTCGAAGGCGAGGTTTGTGAGGAACCCGGGCTTGTTCTTGCCTCCGCCGTAGGACCCTTTGTGGCCTGGGTAGAGTTGCTGGAGGACATAATTGTTGAAATTGGGGAATCGGTCAAAACGTACTGTCATGGGTCGATTTTCAAACTCCATGTTGTTGAAGTGCTTGATGAGCTTCTCCAGCGATTGCTTGTTCCCTGTTGTGACAATAGCAAATCCTCGACTGAGGCCTCGCTGACCGGTGGTTCCTCTATTATCAGTGCCGTGTGAAGGTGGAGCATGAGGGACTGACCCTCCAGGCCCGCTTTGAAGTTGCTGTGATAGAGTCGCTAGGTAATAGTAGGACCCCATGGTCGAGGTATCACTTTGTTCACGAGGTTGCTGCATTGGAATCTCCACTTTTAGGATATCAATGTCATTGTTGGGTTCTAATTCTTCGGCTTTGTTCACCAAAAAGTTCTTTAACGTTGGCCAGGTCGAATTGAATGGAATATTACCAACAAACAAACGACGTGGGTTGACCCTCATACGCTGACCGTTCTCGTCATCTACGCAAATCATGCCTTCTTCATCAACTTCATCTTCGTTTTCCTCAGCCACTTCTTCGTTTACAGGCGATTCTGTAACTGGAAAGTCGCTCAAACCGTTGTCTTGATCTTTGCCAAACTCGGATGACTGAACGGAATTCGTACGGCCTGGCAAGCTCGTCATGCTACTCTGCCTTGAAGGGTAGCTCCCACGACGGAAAGACGAGTTACTGCTGTTTTGACGGTTAAGCGAGATGGAACTGTTCCTTGACGAACGGTTTCGGCTAAAGTTGCTATTCAGCTTCGTCAGCGAGCGTCTTGACAGTGGATACGATGGGGCGTAGCCAGAGCCAGGGCCCATTCCCTGGCCATGTCCGTAGCCCATGTTCATGCCTGGCAAGTCAGAACCACTATAATAGCCGTAAGGATGGCCATATGGTCCGTTGGGCATCCCAGACACACTACCCACGCTGGGAACTCTGTGAAGACCAGGAGCCCCAGGATGCGGCTGGACTGGGATTCCTGGGTGGAGTTGACCCGTGCTAGGGGGACGAGAAAATAGCCCGTGACCATGAGGCATGTTGGGAGGCACCTGAGAGCCATAATACCCATAATCAACTGGATACATGGGAGGCATATAGAAGAAAGGGTTCATAGACCCCATTGGTGGAGGTGTTGGCGTCGCCGAAAGAGCTGGATCGGACGCTGGCACCGCCAAAGAAGGGTTTTCTAGCACAGAGCACGAGATGGTGCAACCCAGCAAGGATTCACCGTCGAGCGACTCGGCTACAGCATGAGCCAGATCTGAACTGGCAAGCTCGACAGAGGCATGTGTATCCTGAAAGTCGAGGATATGATAACGAAGATTGTCGGAAACATCTTTGGATGGCAAGCGGGAATGAATGAGTTTTTCAAGGTCGGTGTGGCTGGTGTCTGGAGGAAGATTGTCGAGGACAAGGACATTCGGCAAGGTGGGCATGACGTTAAGGGAGTGTGGGTCAGTGATGTGAGATTCCGAGCCAGAGCCGGTTTGCAGCTCAGCAAAAGATGGGTTTGGAGAAGGTGAATAACCGTCCATTTGCGGCGGATTGGGCAGAGGATTGTCAGTCTGCAAACGCCTGCTCATAAGGCCAGATGAAAAAGGGAAAGCGGCACACGAGAATTAAAATGGTAAACGTTTTGCTTCACCGTAAAGGTTGTTTAAATAAAACCCGGAAGGAAGAACGATGGTGGATAGACGGATGGAAGTTTTTCGTTGAAGCTCACCGAAGGTCGTGTAACAAGAAACTTTTATTGACCCCAAAGCCAAACAGGATCTGTGACTAGGCAAAGAATGCAGTTTATGTTTAAAAAAATGGCTAGCCGTAAGCAATATAGCGCAAGGCGGGCTGGGCTCTTTCCAAATTTGCTTTCCCAAGCTGTGTCTCAGAGTGTCCCAAAAGACGTTACTGCTCTTATTATCGTTGCGAATTATCGTTGCTGACGTAGGAAGATGTACAATTGACGTCAGCGCTGTCTTAGGTGAGACAGCAAACGAAAAGCACAAACCAGGCTTAACTTGCAAAGAAAAAAAAGGCCCGTCTTCAACCTATCCGATCTTTTTTTGCCCGCCACCTATAACAATTCCAACAACTTATCCTCTCTTGGCTATGTTCGTCTAAGTTCGTAAAAACGCACGCATTGTAGAAGTGCCCTGGTTTTTTCACCCTAGGTTCAGGAACAAAAAATTACCTGGTATAGAAACGCAAGGCAACGCAAGCTATGTCATGAAAACAGATAATATTTCCCACAGTGCGGCGGCACTTGTGGCTAAGGCAAAAAGACCCTTCCCCTTTAATTCTTTTTTTTCCTCTTTGAACTTATCCCGTTTCTTTCATTCCTCGAATCGCCGTTTCTTTCACCCTTTGTGTCTCCAGACGAGCTTACCCTCACTGTGCACTTCGACATTGTCTCCGGGTCATGAATGTTTGCGTGCTTATTCACTGGAAAAAGTAGCAAATGCGCCTGAAACCTTAATTTTTTTTTTTTTTAAATGATCTAACTGTTGCTGGAAAACTGATTGGTGAGCTGACAATTGGCTGGAAAACGGCCCATCTTCCGTGGAAATTCTTGGACTCTTGGTGGCCTTTTTAGGCTTGGGGAAGGGTTCCAGTGAATTTTGCACCCAAAGTGAAAACCTCTAAACAACCAGGCTCATGGGCTCATAGCCTTCTCCTTACCACAAAACCCAAGAAAATGGAAAATCGCCAACTGGCTGCCCGGTGCAAAAGCCTGACGCGTGTATGCTTAATTTCACGCTGGAATCTGGGTTTTTTTTCTGCCATCTTTGCTTTAAGCCTTCCTGGCTTGATTGCTGCTTTTCTGGATCTGGTGCACGGGTGTGAGCGACCCGCTTCTCTTCTTAAGCGAGACAAGTTTCACCTTCACTTTTTTTGAAACTGTACTATATGCAGGTCGTTTTATTCCCCCCAGCCAGGCTCGCCTTTTGTGTATCCCACTGAGAAAGAGCCTGACTCGGCTTCAAGCTCTACCACTCCGTCCCGCTCTGTTGGCCTCGATTTAGCCGCTGTCAATTCAGCCATGCTTCTCTTCACCATATTTGCCGTTCTTTTGCGTCTTCGATTTTCTGCACCTCTTCTTCTATGTACACTTTGATCGACCGAAGGATTTGTTCATTTTCAGAGTGTTATAGGGAGCAAATATCCCTGATCTTTCATAAAGTACTGTTTCGGTGGCTTGGGGAGTTTTTTTGTTAGAGTCTGGGATTCCCCTCTCTTCCTGGTACCGTTGTAACACCTCCCTATTTTTTTTATTACCGTCATTAACGTGGCTTCTGAGGCATTTGGGATTTGCAAGGATCAACAGGCTTTTTCACTGAACAATCCCCAGAAATGGTATTCGCTGCATCCGGTGGGCAAATCCATGTCTGTCCCGCTTTTTTGACGACGTCCTTGCAGCTCGGTGTTTACCCTAGACCATTTCTTTAAAGCGTTGGAAAAGCTGGACCATGCCAATGTAGTGAAATGGGAGCTGTATGGTCTCTTGAAGGACATGCATTCGCTTTATATTGAGCATAGACTGAAACACGAGTACGTGTGGCAGCTCGGGATTCCGGGTGCCGAGAATGTGCCATACCATCGACACTTACCTCTCCAGCAATAACACTGAGGACTAACTGACACACGAGAGCAAAGCTACCACAGTAGAAGTGATCCAAAGGCTTTGTTCTGTCGAGTAGGGAAAAATGCCCCTTAATTGGTCCCACCTTTCTTTACGACACCAGACGCAAGTACGCCGCCAAATGTTATTGGAAAGGTTAACATGAAAGCGATCCGGTCATTCTATTTTACCCATTAACCTCATCTGATGGTGTTGTAGATTGCTCTTGCCCGTTCAAAGTAGTGACTGGGAGCCTCCTGTCATTGTTTTCAATGTAGTCCCTGCTTTGTTAGTTTGTTTGACCACAGCGTTCAAAAAAAAATTTCTTTTGCTCTTGTGTCAGGGACCACATAGTAGGTGAAAGTGGTACCAAAAATTTTCTTAGGGGTTATTGAAGTCATCGAACCCTCTCATTGCTTTTGTAGTACCAAAACAGAAGCATTATTTGACATGAAGGGTCGAGAACGTCACTGGTCGTCACTTTTCCGACAGGTATGCGGGAAACAACGGACGAGGTGGGCGCAGACTTTGCTGTTTGGTGGTCAAGTTTACCCTTCCTAGGGCTTTGGAAGATTGGCTTTATATATGGAATGGAAATGGACGTACCAAGTCCACATCTGGCCCTAGCGTATTTGCGCAAACCCTTACTTGTCTTTAGCCCCATTCGAAGCAGACCCTTACAGAACAGGAGACGCAACAAAAGTCTCACAGAAGCATAGACAACGACTACTTTTTTTACTACCAAAAATTTCCAAGTTGGCTGGATGGGCAGAAAAGTCTTACTTTTCGATTTGGGCGATCCCAATCAAGTGGGGGAGTTTTGAACTCTCCAGCCAAATAACTACAGGCAAAGACAGCATGGCTTCACTGAAACAGATGGTCCAATGACGCCCACAAACAGATAAACAGTGTGATCAATTCCATAGTACCTTTCCCTCCTCCCAGATTTATCCAAAGATTGATTTAAATGATTCTGAAACGCCTTGGAAAACTCACCAACGAAAATCCCCAAGTGACAACAAACCCAAAGACTGACCAAAACCGTTCAAAACAGGCATTATTGACTTCCTTTGGATAGAGAAAGGAACTTATGACTCTTCATGATGGTCAGAGATACCGCTAGGCTTCTTTAGTTGGATTTATTGATCCCCCAACATCAACACTACAAAGAAGCCAACAAACAACTTCTCTCTTCGCCTCCCCACCACCTAGAGCGACCATACCTCTCACTATGTTCTAAAAGCTGTAAGCTCTTTCATCTTGCTTCCTTTAAAAAAAAAATTTTTTAATTCCTTTTTTCTTGATGTCCAACTTCGCCTGATGTCCATGGTCGTTTCATAGGAGTGGCGGAAGTTTACCAGGTATACGAACCCACGACAGCCACGCCACATCTCATAGCAATTAGCTTAGATGTCACAGCACCACAAGATATTGGATAGCATGGATCCAAACGTACTTTGAGATACCTTCTTCCTACTACTACCCAGGCGAGAGCGCTGAGACTTTACGGTTTCGGCTACAATTAAATTCTAGACCAGGCGCTAGCTAAACTCAATTCATCTTAAACTATCGCTTCAACACTTAATCAAAGTGTTTAACAAAAAGTGTCCATATGATAAGATTGTCCTTCGCCGAGTCTAGAGGCACTTGAAAAATGGACCGAGCGTCCCCAAGCAATTTTTTGGAAATTTTTTGGGGGACAAAGATTCGGACTAGTCCGAATATTTGCAATTGAATGACGCAGAGTTTGCAGTGGGCTTGTTGGATAATTTTTCTTTTTCTTGTAGAGCCACGAACTACGGGGGAAGAAAGCAGAAACATTACACGGAGGCCGCTTGAAATTAATAGGACATGCCATCAAAGACAAAGAAAAGCCACCCCAAGAGCGTTTAGCCTCACGCAAAGCCGTCTTCGATGGGAAAGCATAGCGTCTAACGCGACCAAGAAGAGGAAATCTGTTCGGCACGGTGAGGCCGAGAATAGCCCCGCTTTCCCTCATGGGATAAATGTCCCCATTGAGTTTAAAAAATATGGAACTAGTTGGGGTAAAAAGCATAAAAAGCTAAATGAGCACAGGAGCGTCCAGAACCTTATGCACAAAAGGTGGATGATCCTGAGTTTCAGGACATTTTACAGACGACCAAGCAGGAAAAGAAAGGTAGGATAAAAGCTAAAAAAGCTCAAACAGTAAAAAAAAGAAGTATGTGCACAGAATAAGAGAAAGGCTTCGATAGCGGTATCAGAAGTAATTGGCGCGTGAGGGCTTGTAGAACATAAGCGGCTGTTTCTCTTTTCTTTTCGTTGCTGCGAGAAGGATAAAATGGGCCAATGTAAGTGGTCAGCAAAAGATGATAAAAAAAGGAGTACAATTCCCGAAGAGATCTTATTGTAACGTAGATAAGTAGACCACCAGCAAAGTGAGAAAGGGTTAGAAGGAGAACCTCTTGCTTTAAAATATGCACCTGTACACACCGTCACAGAGACACTTGTGAAGGAGAGAATTATGCCACTTCTTGCTATGCAACCGCATGGACCCTGCATAGACAGTCTGGGTGGGTCTACATAACCTGATTGGCATTGTCAAGCTAAGAAACGGGTATACGGGGTGCAGAGGAGGTTTTAATGGAGGGAATGAATGACGAGGGTTAACGGAAAGAAGAGCGGGACAAAGAAAAAAGTGTGCCTTGACTTAGGGCGGTTAACGGCGATCACCTCGGTAAATCTCGGTTTCGCGCAGGCGCATAGCAGGAACCAAGGGCCAGGGCTTCAAACGCGACGCGACTCTACTAAAAAAAGGACAGTGAAAAAAGGTAACTCAAAAAAAAAAAAAAAAAAAAAAGTGTGAGAAATAATATTCGGGGAAGACGTAGAACTAAAGAAGTTAAAAAAAGGAGCGGAATAGTGCTGACACGCCATCTTGTCCTTGAAATTGACATACGCATTTCATGTAGGCGATTCAGAAAAAAACACAGAAAATTGATCCCGGATGGCGCCACGAACAGCAACAAGAGCCTTGAACAATGCCTCAGCCACACGCATTGAGCAATAAGACCAAGATCTCGTAGGGTTTTTCCTTTCCCCTTTCAGAGGTCAAGTCTGGTATTCAACAGTGCAGGTACGAGATGCACCGCCAAAGCTACTTTTGGGGGCCCCCATTATGGGAAAGATTGACCGAGACAAGCTAGCGAAGAAGGCCGTAGTACTGTTGGAAGCGTGCAGGTGGTGGGAAGTAGTAGCAAGACAAGTGGAAGAGCATTTATTTTGTTTTTTTTTTTAAAAAAAAAAAAAAAAGTGGTCGAGAATGTTCCGGTTGATACTCGATGTCAGGGGGATCATCTGCTGGTTGTGCTGATAGTGGTGGAAGGGTGGGGCAGAGAAGCAAAGGCAGGTGGGTGGATACCAAAAAGAATGGCCAGTAAAATGGAATGATAATTGGCCAGAATAGTACTGCTTGCTGCTGTGGTGTTGGTGATGATGTTTCAAAGTGAAGGGTGCAGATGACAGTTACGCACACACTGCTTATAAATTTTCCGGGCGGTGGGGAGGGAAAGGGCTACATTTCTCTTGGAAGAGGTGCAAAAATAGTTAGCAACCCCGAAAGGAAAAACTCGAGAGTTACAAGAAAAAGAGAGACGGTTGAGAGCCTCGGGGGAGATAAGCATTAAAACAGCCCAGTCAGCCAAGTGTTACCTTGCATGGGGGGGTACCCTCCACAACGCAACGCAATTGCAACTTGAAGAGGAGGCCAAGATGGTGGGGGAGTCCCATCGGGCTTTTTGATGGGGGACATGAAGAAAAAGGTAACACAAAGTGGAGGTGCCAAAAGGTTAAAAAAGGGAAAAGAGAAAGAAAGAGAGAGAAGTCGAAAAAAAAAAAAAAAAAAAAAAAAAAAGAAAAGGGAAAAGCAGGCAAGAGCTCCGGAACTGGCAATTGGCGGGTCTCAGGCAAAAATAGCGCTTCTGGGAACACAGGCAGCGGTAAAAGTGAAAAAAAAAAAAAAAAAAAAAATGTAACAGAAGAGATGATGCGGCGAATCTTCCTTAGTGAAGACCCCCCTCCCCCCAAGGAAATAGTAAGGGGATCCCGTTTAACGTCCCCGCCTTATTCGGGGAGTACATCACATGTTAATCGCATATAATGTCCCCGGGATGCAGAGGAGGGTTGGTCTGGGGCAGAGGGCGTCTGCAATGAGGTGAAAACGGCCCTCTTCAAGACAATGAGAATGCAGAGAGAAAAAGCTTAAAAATGGGGAATCCTTTTTTGAGAGGGAGACACTCGGACAGACAAATCCCCCTCTCCAGGTTACAAAAACAGTATAAGAATTTATTTTGTATTTTCTGCTTTGTAGACAAAGTTACACGCCAGCTCAACAAACGGAAAACGGTTGCGGTAGCCTTGGCGCGTGGCGCGACAGCGTACAGAGGGCAGCTGCAGCGTACATGATACAGCAAGCAGCTTTGAGTGCTGCTGTAGCACCTCGGATATGCAATGCACACTGTCGCGCATGTTTATTTTGTTCACCTTCCGGATCGGTAACGGTGACCATAGTGGAAAATGTTCATATAACTACCTCATGCTGGAACTAGCAGTAGGACCCTGCCTTGACTCACTAAAGAGGGTACACAATCATCAACTTAAAGATAAGCGGTACGATTCACAAAAAGGAAGCTTGAGGCCGCCCTGAGTCAAGTCCCACTGGAGATTGTCACTGAAGCTCGTAACAACCAAACCATCCTACCATTCCACCATCCATTAACTCATCCATTTCTGGATCCAGATAATATAAAATTAAAATTTTTTAACAGCTTTCAAACGGCTCCCATCAACCTTCGTGCATTCCCTTACTCGAAGCTTATCCGAGCTTATTTTCGCTACCGTGCTTTATCTGTACTTCAGCTGGGTCCCCACAACTACTCAACTTTCCCCAGGGCTTCTAGAAGTACACACACTTCTTTCTCGGACTGTTTTATATTTTTAATTGTTCCGGCCTTGCTGACGACGCTTTAGTGCACCAGTTCTTCCTGGCTTTGCTTTTTCCTTGCTTCCGGGTTTTGATTTACTTCAATTTCCTTTTGGCAAGTACCACATTCAACAAAAGCGCTTCTGCTTTACATTTTGCTACTTTCCATTTAGCTTTCCTTTGCATCCCCCGCAACTAAGCTGCGATCCTGGAATGATCATCGAGCTTTAACGTTTTTTTTCTTCACAATCTTCCAACTTCATTCTTCAATCATCGCATGCGAAGAAAACTGCTGCCTGCTCGGACGACGGTGAAGCGGTCCAGAACCAGATCTGGCTGTTTCACTTGTCGAGACCGCCACATGAAGTGCGACGAGCAGCTCCCGGTTTGCCAAAACTGTCTTACTTCGAAAAGAAAATGTATCCGAGGTGTCCGTCTTAATTTCACGCTGTACACCTTTTATGATCCCAAGGAGTCGATGCCTGATCCTGTTGAGCTGGGGCCTGAAGCTCAAGCCCCGGTAGACTTATACTCAGCTCCGAGATATTTCGCTTTCCTTGATCAATCAGTTGCTGTTTCCACCTACTACAAAGATGGTAAGGATGCCTACAGACCCTATTTGCATTTACATTCTCAGCATGATCTTATGGAAGCCTCCCGTCAAATGAACGTGGATTGCAACTCCTCGAAAGCGGTATCCACACTTGATCCCTCGTACATATCACCGATTCTCCATCCCAATCTTCCACCCATCCCAGAATCATCCCGACCAGAAGACCCTTATCACAATCAATATCACCAGCATCAACATGCACCGCTGTTGCTGCGACCGCCGGAACAATCCCAATCGTTTGTACCAAGTTACCTTCCTTCGCAAAACCTCCTTAATGTCAGTCAGCATCCCCCTGATGCTTTTTTCCTTTCCGAACTAAATCCTACTGAACCCAGAGAAAACGTTATATCAGAAAATTATGACATCACGAATTTGCTTGCAAATCCAGAACTCCAAGGCAAGCCTAGCGACTTTACCTTGGACTACCACTCGGCCCGTTCAAGTTTTCTGCACCACGAACAGAGACGTTCGTCTGTGGAGTTGTTAAATGAACTTCCAGCTGAATCTTCTGTTGATGCCCAGTTATTCACCGAGTTAATACACACCTATAGATACTATTGGTTGCTAGACATCTTCAACGAGATTCACTGGTGGAAGGTGTTGGTGCCCAACTACTGTGTGAGGTTGGCTCAGGCTGCAGAGGTGGAGGGTAAAACACCCCCAGGGTCGTCGTTCTTGCTCATAAACTGCTTACTTGTTTGCGCCGACACTGCCTCTCTCGAAGACATACTTCGTGTAACCGAAAACCAGTCCAATGAATGGGAGTTTTTCGAAACGAGAGAGGTTAACATGTCGACGTTCAGAGCCTTCGAGAGGGTTTTGCTTAGTGTTACCCTCGTAACGCTAGCGTTGTTTATCCAGCTCACCTTAAGGCAAACGTTGGTTCTTGACAAAAACTTCCAATTAATTTTAGCCAACCAGGGCAAACTCTTTCAAAAGCTTATGCTTCGGCTCACCCAAGTGCCAGCTGGCCGGATGAAAAAATTGAAGCAGTCACCCCTTACAGTCGAAAGCGTCAAGGCCATGACGATTTTACGTTTCATGATCAAGGTGAATATCCAGAGAAGAAACGCTGCCTTTTCTTACTCCCTTGTGCCGACAGACCCAGAATCCATTTCACAAACAGTCATAGACTACTCGCCAACCCAAGCAATTGACTGGAGCTATTTCTTCACCATCACGCCATATGAGACAGAACTACTCAATAATGGCTTCGCCAACTTTGATATGCCTCAGGTGGCTCCATACAGCCTCCGGAGCCAACCAGGTGGTTCTTCGGATGCTAAAAAGTTAAGAGATCTGTTTTGGGAAATTATTAAGGCCGACTATGTGTACGATAATGTTGAACTACGGGGGCTCTTCTCGACCAATGAACCAGCATTGCAAACACTCAGAGAAACAGATGTTAACACAGGCAACCAACCAAGAAGTTCGTTTGTTCGTTCGAACGAAAGGAGCTTAGCGATGAACTTTTTATCACAACATCTTAATAGGGTCCAACAGTTCTCGAGTAACGACTCGGTAGCAGGCTGTGCCAATCTATTTCGATTGATTGATGATTCGTCTATGGAAAAACCGATTAAAGCACAGTGGCATCGTCATTTCTCTTGGGTGTTTGAATAAAGGGTGCCACATTCTCGGCGTCGTTTCGGGGGGTCTAGAGGGGGAGGAAAAAATTGCATAACACTGAGGACACTTGTCGAAGAGCAGCAGCGCCTAGCCCCACGGAGTATATGAGGACATATAGTTTTTAGAATACAAAAAAATTTAGGGAATTGGAAAGGTAGGGAAAACAAAAAAAAATTGTAGAAAACAAGAGAAAATTTTGTAACTACATGCGGCAAGACCACGAGAAGGCATGGGGAGAGGAGACAGGGTTATAAGCAACTTTGCGCATAGGCTGGGTCGGTACGGCCATAGTTGCCTAGTTTACTAAAATTTGGGAAATATTTGAAGATCAGGCCACTTCTGCTATAGCATGTGTTGATTGTGCTTCTGGTGGGAGTTTGTGTGTCTCTGTGTGGTACTCCATCAAATAAATTACTTCATTGAGGGATTTGTGAAAGATCATCTCACTGGTCTCGGGACTCCTCGAGACAAACAATGCTATTCGGTCATACAAATTGACTAGTAGGCTTGGAATGGGCCAAGTGGATGGGTGTGCTTAGTTTCATCAATTCTTCTTTTTGCTTGCTCTTCTCTTTTTTGTTTGGGTCCAATCTCTGTGCCTTCCCCTTCCCAATTTTTTTTTTTTTTTTTTTTATATTTTTTTCCTTGGGAAATTGTTTTATTTGGCAAGCTTTGACTAGTAATGGAACCAGTTCCTCCAAGATTCGCCAAATCCTTCTGTTCACATAGCGTGGTTAAGGCAACGGTTACAATGAAATAGTTGATTGTTTCTCTTGGCTCCTAGATCTTTATCACCGAGCCAACGAGCATTGTCCTATGTAAGCACCCGGAGCCAATACAATAAATCGTCTGGATTACATTTGGAAATATGTCCGACTCTCAGGGTAAACAAGAAGAAAGAATTCTACTAAGTTTTAGCAACGTCCTCCACGAAAAAAAGGATTTGATAAAATAGGCTTTATACTATCAATGCGGTTCCCAAAATCGTCAAACCTAAAACCAGAGTCAGCCTTGACGACAGGGGCCTTTATGCGTCTACACCGCGTTACAGTACTGCTGCTACAGCAACAACTTGCATGGCCCGCCTAGCTCTCGGATTTTGTTATTGCTGCATCCAATAATCGTGCATTGAAACTGGTGGTCAGGAGAACCACTTGATAAGCACCGTTGAACAGTGTGGATGGTCCAAGATAAGCCATTGAGTGCATAGCATGGAAGCAGGAAGCAAGAGGAGAGGGTTTAGGAGCAGCGGAGGTACGGGAGGTAATTATTTAATCAGGAACGTCGACGTCATTGGGAATGGGTATGAAAGACAATTCCGAACGCGTTGTACACTTTGAGGTGGTAGTTGAATCGATATTGTTTGCAGATCTCAGGATAGTTCAAAGACAAAAAGAAAAAAGAAAAAAAAAATAAAGCAAAACAAAAAAAAAAAATGACGAATTGTCTACAAATTCTTAGTTTTTCCGGGCCACAGTGGGGTACGGCTTTGCGTACTTCCGAATCAGCGTGGGAGCGCTAAACACCCGTTTCAGGCCCGGTATGCCCAGAAACCAGACCATCGAACCATCCGCAAAGCAGGATATCTGGACGGAAAAACTGGCGTAGTTGTTAAGTACCAGTAACACTAGACTTCAAACAAATACCACCAAGATCTCGTCCAGTTGACGAAAACTGCATCCATGTACCAAGACCAAAGTAGAAATGAGGGGTGGAACCAGTACCCACCAAAGAAAAAACACCGTAATTGGCTTCAAAAACGGGATGACAGCTCTTAACGCTGGAACTGCTGCACACCTTCAAGCGGCGATCTCTTGGTTGCTGCGCGGCTACTCTTTTTTGTCTCGAGGACGGCATACTCAACACCATGATCGGTATTCTACCCGCTGCGCGACGTGACTTTTTGCATGTTAACACGGGGTGCATCGAGACAGAGGAACAGAGGATGCACGAAAACATGACACATATTGTACGGCACAGTGGGTCCCTTTTGGGAATGAACCGTGCGTTTAGTGTGTGCATTTTTTCTAACGGCGACGCAAGACATTGAATCACTAAGTCAATTGTAACATGGCTTGTTGCATTCCACCACCATCAACACACGCATGCTCCACATAAGAGCATAGGAGGGAAAAAAGAAAGAAAACCAGGCAAGTTCGCCAAAAACTGAGAGCCCGTTAAGCATATCGCTTGCCAGCATGGAAAGTAACACAGAAGGTGGATATACCGAAACAGATTTCCATAATTGCGTCTTTGTGCCGCTTACAGCCGAGTGAGTTTCACGTAAGCCGATTAAGGTAATTTACGGTGAGGCAAAGGTGGAGGCCTACTTCTCTTTCATCAGCCACTGGCCATGGCACTTATATCATCCTGATGTCATCATATTCGCGTTGTTGGGTTCCATGGATATATAAAAGAGACCAAAAGAGCATGCAAACTGGCCGTAGCGTGGCTGGCAGTCGGAACTCCGAACGCACTTGGTCTCGACGACGCGTGGCTGTCTCCACCGTAATGGTATTTTTTGTATTCCCAAATAAGCCATTCGTAATTCGACCGAACTGTGGCATTTCGTAGATGCACTAAAAATGCTAAAGCCAAACTCTCCATGCGTCATGGCACTTTAGTGTTCTTGTTCCTTTCGACGGCATGCATTTTCGGTCTTAAGGAACACAGAAGGACAGGCATAGCTTATTCGGAAAAGTGGGGGGAATCAAGAGACATATTTCCTGAAAGAGGTATCATAATAGAACAAGTGTGCGTTTGGAAAGTCTTTCAATTAGGTTTCCAGATGTTGCCTTTAAAGAAAAAGGGGAAACAAGATCCTTTCTTGGATTTTACGTAAACAATTAATCACCGATAAGCTGGGGGGGAATTGAATTTTTCCGGATTGTGCAAAGCAAGTTTTGGTTCAATTCTCAGAATGTTTACATGTTCGGTGGCATTTCGAGCAGAAGAATTGCGTGATATTACACTATAGAGCCGGAAACCGGAATTTAGCACTCCGGTAAATTTCTTACAATTCCTAGCCACTCCGGATTTTACAGTCAAAAAATTGACCTCGTTTGCTCCAAATATGTTTTCATAACTCCGGTAGTCAAGTGGAATTCTTAGGGGGTTATGATTCACCACTTACGGCTTTCTCTGACCCGAGGATATCGTTCATTACCTACTCGGGAACATCGGAAAGGTGCCACCAGAGCGTATCTGCCAGTCCCAGAAAACAAGACGAAGAAATCTGCTTCTGTGTCCCAAAAAGCTGTAGCCGAGGGCCACAGGGACGCTTATCATCGAAAATCGTACACAATCGGCAAGCAAACAGGACCCTCGGTGCTAGCTGCCGTCGCTAGTAGTACAAAAACGTAGAGCCTCTCTATTGTTCTCAGGTATTTTGTGCTCGATCGAATGTCGTTGTGCTTCGCCTACTTGAGCATAGTTACCTAAGAAGCCGCTAAGATATCACAATCCAAAAAAAGAGCAAAGAAGCACTGACCTTCATAAATGCAAATAGCCGTTATGAATGTTTCGTTTTTAGACGGAAATTCGAAATAAAGCCGATACAGTTTATCGAGATAACCGTTTGCGAGCCGCACGTTAAAAACTTTAAAAGCTTCGCTCGGTTAAGACCTTTCTCAATTGCTCTTGCCTTGTGATTCAAGTGGCTTAGGTTAAGTCGCCTGGAAAGGCGGTAATACTTGATACATTGGAAATGCGTTGTTGTGTTTTCTCAAGAAATTTCTTTACGTCGCCCATTCGCAAACTTTACCGAGGATAAGCATGGCGTGGAGGATTGCATTACCGGGAGGCTGGGAAAACTTTCCAGACCCGTTCCATCCAGAATCGGCGTAGCGCTAGAAGTTTCGTCTTGCCTGGTTAGATACTATTGCACGGGACAAGTACCTTTTCTTTTTATGAAACGATCCAGATTTCCTTCAGAGAAAAAAACAGGGTCTAGGTTATGAAGAAATCACATAGGCAGAGGCAGTATGGAATTAGCCATTGACATTGCCGATCTCCTCTTAACAAGGGTGTATTAAAGGCTCTGCTTACTCCGTGTGTGTCATATTAATTTGGATCTTTCTGAGCTATCGTTGGGAAGGTAACACTATTTGCGTCCACAACAAATAGGGCTAAGCTTGAACCTCAAATATGTCGGTTTCCTTCCAAGAGTGTGGGTAATGAGATGTTCTAGAGCCGTTCCAATAGTCTTATGGTGACATCCGGCCTCTACTACGAAAGCAAGGTTTCGTTGGTATCTGTTCCTCGGAGGCTACGTAATTATGAGCAAGCTACGAAAGGGAACACCGATACCCCTATCCCCTGGAATGGTACTTGAGATGTCCTTGAAAGAGATAGGTTTCAGAGACCAGTTTCAGCAGCAAGTGACTCGGAGGAATTGACAAAATTGCTTCGATGGTTGCCTGCCTTCAACTGACGAGTCAGAGAAACGTTTTGCTCGAGCAAAAACTTTTGTTCTGATTCGAGGTGCCAAAGAGGGATCCTTAGGCTGGGTGAGAGGAGATATGTGATTTGTTTGTTCTCCCTTTGCAATCGTAGATTATTTGTCGCTTAGTAGGGATGTTTCATCCGCTACGTTCACAGCTTGAAAGTGTATAAGTGCTTGTTCACGTAGCAGTTCACAAAGGTATCTGTTTTACAGGGCCCTTTGTTTGACCCCAATCAGCTGTAGATGTCTCTGGGTCTTTTTTACATTCATTGGGTAGTATTGTGGATGCCAAAAGGCCATCACTGGTAAGTGCTTCATCGTACGACGAACGTTTTATGGCTCCTAGGTCCCAAAAAGATACCTTAGTATCTGGATGTTAGAACAGCTTCGAAACTGAAATTAAAGAGTGAATTAATAGCATGGGCCAACATTCAGTCGGAAAGTATGTTTTGATTTTTGAAAGCCCACTTTTATTGGTGGTGTCGATGTGGAAGCAAAACGGGCTTGGAGGCCTTTGATATGGAAGATGGAGTTGAAGTGGTCATTCTATCATTCTTTCTCTTTCCTTGTTGGTAATTTTTTCTTAATTATATTCTGCTTGTAGGACTTTGCACTTGTTTCAAAAAAAAAAAAAACTACAATTCTATGTTTTCACTCCATGTCTTCTTCACATTAGCCATACAGATTTGTATTTCTACAGCAAATCACCGATTTCGCAGCCAAAGGGCACACTGAACGAGAAGCTGTAAAATACACAACATGGTCAATTCACTCAATTGCATACCAATTACAGAAAACAAACCAAACCAAATCCCCTAAAACCCTTCCCTATAGTCAATTCGTCCGTTTCACCTTATTATACTTCCTTCGCTTCTCCAAAGCCCTAAGCCAAAAGGGCCATCGCTTCGCACGTGCCGCATGCCACGTGTAGCTCACACACCACCACCACCACCACAGTAGCTGAGAAAATTTTTCTCCCACCTCCGAGTCCGAATCATCCCAATTCTAATTAATCATGTCCCAGGGTACTCTTTACGCTGATCAGAAGATCCGTGGTGCTGTTCCAAAAGCTATCATCAAGGCTTACAACTTGGATGTCAAGGTTGCTGAGCTCGATGCCACTTTTGAGAAACTCTTCCCTCTCAAGAAGGTCCCAGCTTTCGTTGGTCCAAAGGGCCTCAAGTTGACCGAGATCATTGCCGTGTCTCTTTACCGTATGTTCAATTCGTGAATTTTTTTTATGTGATGAGAAATTTTTTATTTATACAGTTATCCCTGTCTTAACATATCATGTCGAGGATTTACTACACTCTGAAATAATCATACAGTTCAATTGAATATGTACTAACATCTCCAGTCCTCAACATTGCTGACCCAGAGACCAAGTTGTTGGGTAAGAACGCTACTCAGTACGCTGAGATCTTGAGATGGTTGTCTTTGTCCAACTCCGAGATCCTCCCAACCACCGTCAACGCTTTCGGTCCAATCACCGGCAGACTTCCATACAACAAGAAGCAGGTTGACGAGGCCAACGCTTACCTCGAGAAGGTCAACTCTATCGTTGAGGCTAGATTGGCTGAGTACACTTACTTGGTTGGTGAGAGAATCACCTTGGCTGACTACTTCGTTGCCGCTCAGTACGTTAGAGGTTTCAACTACTTGTTCGGTACCCAGTGGAGAAAGCAGCACCCAGGTATCACCAGATGGTTCAAGACCATCACCGCTCAGCCATTCTTGAAGGATGTTCTTGGCGAGATCGAGCTCATTGACAAGCCAGTTGAGTACACTCCACCAAAGAAGGAGAAGAAGGCTGCTGCCCCAGCTGCTAAGAAGGAGAAGCCAGCTGCCGCTGCCGCTGAAGCTGCTCCAGCTCAGCAGGCTCCTAAGCCAAAGCACCCATTGGAAGCTTTGGGTAAGCCAACTTCCCCTCTTGACGAATGGAAGAGAACTTACTCTAACGAGGAGACCAGAGAGGTCGCTATTCCATTCTTCTGGGACAAGTTCTACAACGCAGAGGAGTGGTCCTTGTGGAAGGTTGACTACAAGTACAACGACGAGTTGACCTTGACTTTCATGTCCAACAACTTGGTTGGTGGTTTCTTCGCCAGATTGAGTGCTTCCACCAAGTACATCTTCGGTTCCATGGTTGTCTACGGTGAGAACAACGACAACGGTATCACTGGTGTCTTCTTGGTCAGAGGCCAGGAGCACGAGCCAGCCTTCGATGTTGCCCCAGATTGGGAGTCTTACTCTTTCACCAAGTTGGACGCTTCCAAGGAGGAGGACAAGGCCTTCGTTGAGAACATGTTGGCCTGGGACCACCCAGTTGACGTCAACGGTACCAAGAGAGAGATCGCTGACGGTAAGGTCTTCAAATAAGCGAACAATTAAGCTAGTCTTTAATTCAGAAACTTACTTTGTCATATAAATAAATGTAGTCCTTTGGAATGTATCGAATGTATATTACAGAATTTCAACACAGTTGATCCGACTAGGAGCGCGAGCAGGTATGCCGAAAAAACAAAAATAAAAATCCGACCCTTAGTGTCTCGTTTCGTTTCCTGACAAAAAAAGAAAAAGAAGCACCTCCAAGGCTAAACACAACTGGTATGCTGTTTTCGAGAAACCAGGTCATTCGTAACATACGAAGGAAACCCTTGGCGTTGGTCGGGGTCCTTCTGCTTGTCGCTGTGGTGTATTTTGTGCTCTTTAACACCTTGGGTTCGTCAGGTCTGAGATCAACGAAAAAGTACTCCTATAGCAAAAAGGGCAACACATGGCTTGGTCTGAAGAACAAGGATCTGACCATTTTGCATAATCTCCCAGACAATCACATTGCACATTACGACTTGAACAAGTTGGCAGCCACAGCTGATGTATTGGGCAACGAAGGAGAGGTGCTTGTCTTGACACCTATGGCAAGGTTTTTGCCTGAGTACTGGGCCAACTTGAATAAGCTCAGCTACGACCATAGCATGATTTCGCTTGGTTTCATTGTTCCTAGGAACTCTGACGGTGACGAAACGCTTAAGAAGTTGGAACAGGCTGTCAAGCAGGTTCAGGCCACCAAGAGCAGATTCAAGAAGATCACGATATTGAGACAAGACACTGATGCCTTGGACTCGCAGCTTGAAAAGGAGCGTCACGCTTTGAAGGTGCAGAAGGAACGTCGTTCCATGATGGCATTGGCCAGAAACTCATTGCTTTTCACTACCATTTCTCCCAAGACATCCTGGGTGCTTTGGTTGGACTCGGACATTGTGGAAACCCCATCTACGCTTCTTCACGACTTAATTGCTCACAAGAAGCCTGTTCTTTCTGCGAATGTGTACCAAAGATTCCTTGATGAGAATGGACAAGCTGCTATCAGACCCTACGATTTCAACAATTGGATTGAGTCTGAAGATGGATTGAAAATTGCCGAGGGCATGAACGACGATGAGATCATTGTGGAGGGCTACAGCGAACTAGCTACCTACAGACCATTGATGGCTCATCACTACGATGAAAAGGGCGCCCAGAACGCTGAAATGCCCTTGGACGGTGTTGGAGGAGGTGCCGTTTTGGTGAACGCAGATGTGCATAGGGACGGTGCCATGTTCCCTCCTTTCCCATTTTACCACTTGATCGAGACTGAAGGTTTTGCCAAGATGGCCAAGAGGTTGGGCTACGAAGTGTTCGGATTGCCTAACTATTTGGTGTACCACTACAACGAATAGATGGTGGTTATATACTTCATAACTAATTTATATCTCTGGTAAATGTATGTGATATATGCATCATCCGTGACGAACAGGTCCGACATGTCTTGTGAAAGGAAGCATGGCTTATCAAGTGCTACCCACTCCATCTTCCTGTTTTAGCCCGTCACAACAAGGCTTAAACTATGAAGTATAAAACAAAGGTTCTAACTTCCCCACCAAACCATTCGTTTGATGCCAGGCCCTGTGGGACTCCCCATGAGATACCTCTGGATTATTCCACCCATCACTCGCTTACATCAAACATACTAGCGATAACAACCCAACTCTTGAAGTTCCACCTTTCTTAGACCAGCAGTCAACCTGAACCCTCATTTACATCATTCGTTCCATTACCTAAAACACACCAGTTTGGTCCCTATCCATTTTTCGCAGCCATTACTCCAGCCGACCACTAGTACACCAAACAACACACCCACCACTAATTTCAAGTAGCAAGTAAACTCAGCCCATCTACAGAAGCCCTTAATACCCACCAAGTATAAATCAAAAATCTACCATTACTTGCTCTTAATATTCATCCAGTAATGGTGCCCATAGTGGGAGCCCACGCCCTGGATGGATTAGCGCGAGGAACAAAAAAAAAAAAAAAAAAAAAAAATTGAGATGAGGTCCTACCCTATTTTTTCTGGCTCATCTCAGCTTCTTCACTTCCAACCACTACCACTAAACCTTACCACAAACAATGCAGTTGTCTTGGAAGGATATCCCCACGGTCCCCACGGCCAACGATATGTTGGACATTGTTCTTAATAGAACGCAAAGAAAGACACCTACCGTGGTGAGACCAGGCTTCAAGATCTCTCGTATCAGGGCCTTTTACATGAGAAAGGTGAAGTTCACCGCTGAGGGCTTCTCTGAGAAGTTCACCGATATGTTGGCTGGCTTTCCCAACATTAACGATGTTCACCCATTCCACAGAGATTTGATGGACACTTTGTATGAGAAGAATCACTACAAGGTGTCGTTGGCTGCTGTGTCCAAGGCCAAGACCTTGATCGAACAGGTTTCCAGAGATTACAACCGTCTTTTGAAGTTTGGTCAGTCTTTGTACCAGTGTAAGCAGTTGAAGAGAGCTGCTTTGGGTAGAATGGCTACCATCACCAAGAAGTTGAAGGATCCTTTGATTTACTTGGAGCAGGTCAGACAGCACTTGGGCCGTTTGCCATCTATTGATCCAAACACCAGAACTCTTTTGATCTGTGGTTACCCTAATGTGGGTAAGTCTTCTTTCTTGAAGTGTATCACCAAGGCTGACGTTGATGTGCAGCCATACGCTTTCACAACCAAGTCTTTGTACGTGGGTCATTTTGACTATAAGTACTTGAGATTCCAGGCTATAGATACCCCAGGTATCTTGGACCGTCCTACTGAGGAAATGAACAACATTGAAATGCAATCCATTTACGCCATTGCTCATTTGAGATCTTGTGTCTTGTACTTTATGGATTTGTCCGAGCAGTGTGGTTTCTCTATTGAGGCCCAGACCAAGTTGTTCCACTCCATCAAGCCTTTGTTCGCCAACAAGTCTGTCATGGTTGTGATGAACAAGAGCGATATCATCAGACAAGAGGACTTGTCAGCTGAGCAGCAGGAGCTCTTGAAGACTATCGCTGATAGCCCTGGTGTGGATATCATGAACACTTCTTGTTACGCTGAGGAGAACGTTATGCAAGTCAGAAACCAGGCTTGTGAGAAGTTGTTGACTGCAAGAATTGAACAGAAGTTGAAGGGCTCTGCTCGTGTCAACAATGTCTTGAACAAGATCCATGTGGCTAGACCACAGTTGCGTGACGAGGAAGAGAGACCAGCTCATATTCCAGAAGGTGTACAGCATTTGGTTAAGTATGACAGTGACGATCCAAACAGAAGAACCTTGGCTAAGGATGTCGAGGCTGACAATGGTGGTGCCGGTGTGTACAACGTTAACCTCAAGGACTTCTACTTGTTGGACGATGATGAGTGGAAGGCTGACACCATGCCAGAAGTCTTGGACGGTAAGAACGTCTACGATTTCTTGGACCCAGATATCGCTGCTAAGTTGCAGGCTTTGGAAGAAGAGGAGGAAAGGCTAGACGCCGAGGGTTTCTACGACTCTGACTCCGACATTGAGGATGAAGAGACTGCGGATATCCGTGACAAGGCTGAATGGATCAGAAACAAACACAAGGTTATGGTCAAGGAGGCTCGTACGAAGAAGTCATTGAAGAACAAGTCGATGATGCCTAGAGAGCACATCAAGAAGACGTTTGGCCAGATGGAAGACCACATGTCTTCCTTGGGTCACGACACCAATGCATTGAAACAGAGAGTTAAGAACAAGAAGGCAGTTAGCGGAGTGGATATCTTGAGAGAGAACCAGGGACTCGCGAAGAGAAAGCAGGTGCAGAAGAAGAAGGCCCCAGTGAACCAGAACGACAGATTGAGTGCTGGTGTTGCCGATGGAGCGTTGCGTTCGCAGGCCGAGAGAGTTGCCAAGTTACAGAGAAGAGAGAGAAACCGCCAGGCCAGATTGGGAGAGGCCGACAGACACACCGTTGCATCCATGCCTAAGCATTTGTTCTCTGGTAAGAGAGGCTTCTCTGCGGACCGCCGTTAGAGAGACCAGGGGAAATCAACCTAAACCTTTGTACAATAGAAAGAAGTTAGTAACATTTATAATCGCATCATACTTATGTTGCCGGGTCAACCCGTAGAGTGACAGGGAGGTTCGGATAATTGGAAGGTATTGTGAGCGCGGGGCACATGCACCGATCTGCGCAACGAATATGCGATAACAAGATACCAGCGTTTTTGTGGAAAATAGGGTATGTATTGGCGAGACAGATAGCATAAAAGAATGAACAACACAATCCATAGTTTAGAAAAAGTCATACGATACTCACAGTATGTGTTGGACTACCTCCAACACAGCCCACACCCTTCAGTAGCCCCAAAGCTCCCAAAGCACTCAAAGCACCCCTAAAGGGGTGTCCAGCCGTACATTGACCAAACCCACCATACATTATCTCCCCCTTCTCGAACGATCCCGTCCACGCTTATCTAGATCCACCGCCAGTTCCCATGGATAACCGAATCTAGCTTTCCTTTCCTTTCCTTATCAGGCCTGGCCAGAACACCCATGCACCGTGGCGAGGCGCATCCACCACACCTTCTACAGACACTAAGTGTGTGGGAACGTTGTGCCTCACTTTTGTGTGTGCAGGCGGCCCGCACTCTGACACTTTCTTATCAGGGCTTTATCCTTGTTAAACCTTGTGATTCAGACCCACAGATTTTAGTTACTCATTGCAACCACATTGCTTTTACAGCGCCTTGTTTAGACAAAGTATATCTTATTTCATATTTTTTTACTGCCATTCCCTTCCACCTCAGTTTTATATATATTTTGGCGACCGTGGTACCGCCTGCTGCTCTGCTGCCCCTCCTCTGCAGCCTAAATTAGCCAGTTTCCTTATCTTCCTCGCCAGCTATGCCTGGCCCAGAGATACAATTTTTGACTGTCAACCATGACAAATATATCCCGTTTTCTGACGACCTGGGGAAAGGTTCCCACCGCCATAGCAAACCGTCACTGGCCTCGTCCAGCCAGCCTCGCTCGAAGCCGGGCCACCCGTTTGATCTTTGTTCAATTCTGGACCAATTGCCTCCCAACACTGGCCCACCAGGGACGGTTTCTGTGAACGGCAGCCTGGGCTCGGGTGCTAACTCAAATAAGAACTTGAGCCATGTTCCGTGTAAATTTTTTCGCCAGGGGAATTGTCAGGCGGGAAACTCGTGCCCATTTAGCCACAATTTGGATGGCTCGCTTGCGGCAGATAAGTTACCGTGCAAATACTTTCAGAAGGGTAATTGCAAATTCGGTTTGAAATGTGCCTTGGCTCATTTTTTGCCAGACGGAACAAGGGTGAATTCTAAATCGTTGCGGCGTCAGGAGAAGAAATACGGAGCAATAGCCTCTGAATTGGCTTCTGAACAGAACTCCAGCTCTGAATCTTCCTCGCCACACCACCAAAAGACAAGAGCTGTGTCCCAGGCTTCGACAGCCAGTGCTGGCACTGGTACACCTAGCAACGGACATGTCAGCAGCCACATTGGAGCGACTCCTTTAAGACAATATGGGCCTTCGCCAACAGACAGAATACCATCACGGCCTAAATTAGAATCAAGCCAGCTGAATACGGTTGAGCTTGGAAGTTTTGATAACGGAAGATCGTACCTTAGCGACCCTCTTGATATTAGAAAGAGTTCGTTTGGTGAACATGATAACTCTCATGCCAACGCTGCTTTCCGGAACTCTTTACTGCACTCGTCGTCACTGACGCTTCAGCTGGCTTACTATAACGCCAGAACAAAACCTATCACTTTGACCAGCCCCACAGCTAACTACCAGTCGTTGCATGACTGGCTGGTTCCAGGAAGCGCTACCACGACGAATCCGTTTACTACCAGCAACCAAAATGGATTTGGGTCTAGGTTGAGATCGTTTTCTTCAACCTCACCAACCAACTTGGTTTCGCTGCCCAACTCTATTGACTTTTCCTCCAACTTACTCGGCAGCCAGCGTACTGAACTGCCACAAGACCACTTTGATTTCCAGCACAGACTCGGACTGTTGAGCAGATCCAGTAATGCGTTTCTTACTTCACCTTCCCAGAATAACATCAGGCTTACCGATGAGGTAGCTATTCTGGATGGTTCTCACGGGGAAGATGCAATTGAAGATGACGAGAATGCTTTCTTTGAAGACTATGTCCCGGCATCGCTTGGGAACTTGATTTTGACACCACAGGAACTCCAGAGAAGAGATTCAAGATCTCAATCAGGAACATTATGGGTGAGACCGAATATTGAGCGGTCGCCCTCGGATATTAAAAAGAACTATGGCGTGGGAAACGACAACGATGTGTTTTTGATGGAGTAAGCCTTGCAGCTGACAACGATGAACTTGGGATAACGCCTTAAAAAAGTACGGATGGTAAAAAAAAACTAGAATTGGGAACTAAAGACTAGACATTGATTGAATCGATGATCTTTTATATTTTGATTTGTTTTAATTTTTCTATATACACAAATAGAACATATATCTACAAGAATGCTTTGGCAACGATTATTAATTGCTGGCAATGGCCTTAGGTGGTTCACGGTAAATGTCACCAGCCCTCTTTTGGAAGGCCATCATGCCACCCACGTCCTTGGGGTCAAACTCAGGCTGGACTCCTCTCATGTGGTCAGATTCAAAGAGAGAGCCCACCAAGAGCTGCTCTTTAGTGAATGGGTCAATCGTACTGACCAAGTAGTCTGTGACGACCCTCTCAGTCTTGTCAGTCTTACCGTTAGAATCCACGATCATCTCTTGCTTGGTCTTCACCTTAGTGACAAGCTGAAGAAGAGCAGTGACTTCGTCCTTATTAGGGATAGGAGCAACCGAAATAACCTTAGGGTTCTCTTCAATACTGAGAAGATTCCAGTTCACCTTCGTGTTGGCTGGGAACTTCAGGACCCTACGGGACAAAGCTTGGATGACATGAGTACCAGCCACGCCGTCAAGCTGTTCCTTGATGAAAGGTTCTCTATGCTGCTTCCGAAGGGAGCATGCCTTGGCAAAAATCTTATTAGTCTTGACGTATTCCTCCACGGTACGCTCCTTCCAGTCATTAAACTGCAATTTGAGGTTAGTGTCTTTTCTGAAACGATACACACTAAATGTGTTCATGGCAAATGCAGCGAATCTTCTAATCACAAGTCTGTGCCATGACGTGACAGGGCAGTCTCTCAATCTTGGTGGAACGTAAAACTCAGCAAAGCATCCGAGCTGCTTCAAGGGGATTTTGGTGATATCTACCTCATTAGCGTTAGCGTAGGTTCTTTTGGAGAGAGCAATCTTAGGAGCTCCTCTGGAAAGCAAGTAAGAAGCGGGTTGAGGTCTGACTCTCGCAATACTTCTGATGCCCAACATGGTGAAACCCGTGTTTGCAAGTTGGATCTTGGGGTCTGAAAATTTTAGTAGTAGCTACAGGATGCAGGGTAGGCAGAGGAGGAGGACAGAAAGGTGCCACTAATTAGACACAAAAGGGTCTGAAATGGATTGAAATAGTGTTCTATTGAACTTAAAAGGTCTAGGTATTATGTAAGGATTGTTTGATAAAAGTTTGGTGTGCTTGGTGTCAATTGTTAGTGAATGGTAATGGGTGCAAAATGGAGTGGAGCCTTGCTTTATCTGCCCTAAAATTGACTGAATATATAATATAGACAGTTAAAGAAAGTCAAAACAGTGATTCAAATCGACTAAAACTGTCTTTAAACACATTCTTTTAGTTTTACGAGCTTCTAGTGGGTGGTCTCTCTAGCACCATGGTCTTTTCGCAGCCATTCCAAGATGCCATAAACACCACTGATATAAACACAATTTAACATTGGCAGCTGTCTTATTACTATTGAAATATAATCTTTCAAAGCAAGCGCAATTTGTTAAAGTCTCAGTATTCATCTCATCGACTTGCAGAATCTGTTGGGACTAGTGCAGCCTACATGGTTAGCTAACCCACATCACAACCTTGAAGGGACCACTTTTCTTTTTTTTTTTTTTGTAAAACCCACCAAATGAAACATTTACCGTTCTAAAACACCAAAAAACCATTTACTACCATATTCTAATGGAAAGCCACACATCTAGTATCCTCTTCCTAGTAAGCGAATCAACGAACTCATATTGCTAAGAGTCGCATAACTGTGTAACCCAGTACATTGGCCGTATGCCACCACAACTTGATATAATAAATTCAGAAGGTTCACAGCTCTTCAGAAACCAACAAAAAACATACAGATTTCCTTAATTCCATTTTCATCAAAAGTATATAGATCTACCACATTTGAAGGGCTGACATCTTCACATCCGTGCACCGCCATACACCAGGCGATGAGAAGCTTCAGATCTTTCAATCTCATCTACAGATAAAGACTTACCCCATCGTACAAACATGCCTTCAGCGGTACAAAAGGGCCGTAAGCTAGCTCCCGAGAAAGAGCGGTTCATCCAATGTTGTGCCGATATCTCTTTGGAGCTTGTGGCATCTCTCAAGACTTCTAAAGACGTCAACCTTAACGGTCTCATCACAAGGTACGCAAAGAAGCACAAGTTGAAGCATCAGCCACGTCTTACAGACATCATTTCATCGATCCCCGACCAGCATAAGAAATACCTCATTCCTAAACTCAAGGCCAAGCCCGTCAGAACAGCATCTGGTATCGCTGTTGTAGCGGTTATGTGTAAGCCACACAGATGCCCTCATATCGCTTACACTGGTAACATTTGTGTTTACTGTCCTGGAGGTCCTGATTCGGATTTCGAATATTCCACTCAGTCTTATACTGGGTATGAACCTACATCCATGAGAGCTATCCGTGCTCGTTACGACCCTTACGAACAGGCCAGAGGTAGAATCGAGCAGCTCAGACTGTTGGGTCATTCCATCGACAAGGTGGAATATATCATTATGGGTGGTACTTTCATGTCTTTGCCTCAGGACTACAGGGAAGGATTTATTACCCAGTTGCATAATGCCTTATCAGGTTATAATGGTAAGAACTTGGACGAGGCCATCAAGTTCTCTCAACAGTCACAGACAAAGTGTGTGGGTATCACCATCGAAACAAGGCCTGATTACTGTACTGAAACGCATCTTAGTGATATGTTGAAGTATGGATGTACCAGATTGGAGGTGGGTGTTCAGTCAGTGTATGAGGATGTTGCCAGAGACACCAACAGAGGCCACACTGTGAAAGCTGTGTGCGAGACTTTTGCCGTTGCCAAGGACGCTGGTTACAAGGTTGTCAGTCATATGATGCCTGATTTGCCAAACGTCGGCATGGAGCGTGATCTTAACCAGTTTATTGAGTATTTCGAGAACCCTGCTTTCAGAACAGACGGTCTTAAGATCTACCCAACATTGGTCATCAGAGGAACTGGTCTTTACGAACTTTGGAAGAAGGGTCTCTACAAGTCATACAATGCTAATGCGCTTATTGACTTGGTTGCAAGAATCTTGGCCTTGGTTCCTCCTTGGACTCGTATTTACCGTGTCCAGCGTGATATCCCTATGCCATTAGTCTCCTCTGGTGTTGAGAATGGTAACTTGCGTGAGTTGGCATTGGCCAGAATGAAAGACTTTGGTACATCATGTCGTGACGTCCGTACCAGAGAAGTTGGTATCCAAGAAGTGCATCACAAGGTCCTGCCTGATCAGGTGGAACTTATAAGAAGAGACTACACCGCTAACGGTGGTTGGGAAACTTTCTTGTCTTATGAAGATCCTAAGCAGGATATTCTTATTGGTTTGTTACGTTTGAGAAAAGCAACAGAGAAGTACACATACAGAAAAGAGTTCACGCTGCAGCCAACTTCTATTGTTCGTGAGTTGCACGTTTATGGTTCAGTTGTGCCTTTGCATTCCAGAGATCCTAGAAAGTTCCAGCATCAAGGTTTCGGTACCTTATTGATGGAAGAGGCCGAGCGTATTGCTAGAGAAGAACATGGATCAGAAAAGATCAGTGTCATTTCTGGTGTTGGTGTCAGGAACTACTACGCCAAGTTGGGATACGAAGTTGATGGACCATACATGTCCAAGATGCTTTAAATAGTTAGCTTTAATTAATGGGAGACGGTACAATATACATTAAACTTGATATATACATATAATCACCTTTTCTCATAGTTTCACACCTTCTAATCTGACATCTGTAAAAAATAAAACAGTCCTTCCCATGAAGTTTTTATAATACAAACATGAATGCAATAGAGTAAAAATAATGCAAGAATGGAATACCCCAATCAATGGCGGAAGAAAAACCGGTTGCCCTGAGATTGAGGATCGATTTCGTGTGCCCAACCTGGAATGTCTTCTCCAGAGCCTCCCACAGGACGCTCCAAGACAACATTCTCAAGACCAAGGGCATCACTTAACCATGGATGGTTGACCATACCACCAGCATCTGCTCTCTTCTCTGGCTGTAAAGTCAACATTGGCGACAAGAAGTCCGAGATTTCGATTGCGTCACTAACAGGGAACTTGTACTTTTCAATAAGCACATCTTTAAGTCCCCAAGGCTTTAACTTTGAAATCCTGAGCAACTCACCCCTAGAACTAAAGAAGTCTCTGGCGTAGTAGCTCTCCTTGAGCATTGTGCGTGAGAAAGGACCAATCAACTCGATTATTTGAGCAATATGGTCGTCGTCTTTACTGTAAGACTTGCCGGACCTTGGATCAAACAAGTAGTCACCAGTGAGAAGCTCAAACATCAAGCAAGCGAAAGACCAAAGGTCAGCAGATGCTCCCCAATGGTACCCAAGCAAGACTTCTGGGGATCTATATTGTCTTGTTTGAATCTCATCGGTGAAGTGATGATGCACCCAGCAGGAATTACCCAAATCGGCTATTTTCACGGAAATCAACTCGTCTTCATTTATGATCAAGGATGAGTTATTGACAAACGACTCGTCCCCATTATCTCTGTTTGGACCCATAAAGGTACCTGAAGAGTTTGATATGTACATTGAAGAAAGCGAGTTGTTCAAGCTTTTTTCCATCTGTTCGGAAGTTTCCGCATCAGAGGTGTTGGTAAAGGAGCCATGACTTACCACCTTTTGAATTGGGGTGTTCTGGGAGGAGCTGGAAAGCGTATGGATGTTCGTGAATGACTTGTTGAATGACCGCAATGGAGAAGGTAAAGGCTGTGAACCCGTAATGAGTGTTTGACGACGGGACCTTCTTCCATTGCGACCAAGCAGCGGTGAAGCCATTTCCACTGATGGCCTGACTTTCTCAGCGAGCTGAGCATGCTTGATCTGAGGGGTGTTCTGGGTGGAAGTTGATGGAGTGGAATTGGACTGGGAGGCAGCTCCAGATTGTGATTTTGTGCGCAGTAACTTACGCTGAAGCTTTGCTTGATGCTCCTCCTGCTCCACCATACGGACAATCTGTTCGACATCGCCAATCTCGATTAAAACGTTCTCTGGTTTAATATCGGTATGGATAACACCGCATTTACGATGAAGAAAATCCAATGCAGACAATAACTGCTTTGCGATCTGCTTCACAAAAACAACGGGGATCCCCTTATGCTTGTAGCGACGGATGAGACCGAGAAGATTTTCTCCAAGAACTTCAAACACCATGCAAACGTGAACACCGTTGGGACCTTCATGTGAGAAGGTATCTAAAAGTTGAATGACATGCTCGTGGCCAGGGTGATGAGTATCGGAGGTGGTGACCTTATCTAAAAGCTTGATCTCATCAACGGCAGTGTCTGTGTACTGTTTGGCAGACCGTACAATCTTCATCGCCACATGGCACTGTTTATCGTTATCCCTAGCGAGCCACACGGTGGAGAAATGGCCCCATCCGAGTTTCCTCACCAAAGTGTACTTTTTGTTTTTATACGTCTCGCCAATGTGACAAGTATGATAGCCGCCAGGAACATAGTCCTTAAGATCCTCCTCGTTTTCCGGGTTCACCGCATTAAGCTCATCTTCACTATCACTGGCTTCATCCGCTTCATCGTGTTCCTCCATCTTTGTTTGAAGCTCATCCTTTGAAATCTTACTTTTCAACGACGTGCTCTCCTTGTCTGCGCTCTCCAGCTCCCTCCTGATCAAGTTGTTAAGCTGTTCCTCGCTCTGATCCTCAAACGTTGTTGTAATAGGCGTAAGCTCTGGTCTAAACAGTCTTACCAGCGGTAGCGACGTGCCAAGGTTGCCTGGTCCGTTGAACCCGGGTAAAAGATTAAAGGAAGACGAAATACTGCTGGACTCCCTAGGCTCCACGCATTCAGCAAGGCTGTCTAGCACCGAATCGTTGCTCTTGAGCGACGTGGTTTCATGGTTCTGGGTTCTTGTTTTGGCCTTTTTCTGTGCTGCCTGGCTCTCTGTGTCGGCCTTTTTGATTGCAATGGACAAGTTCGACTTGTGTTTTGGCATCGAGACCGCAGCGTGGAAGGCGAATTACTGATTATGGAATATTCACTTTAAGGGGGATGGGTTTTTTCAATTTTTCCGGTGGGTTTTCGCCAGTGCTGGGAAGGTGACCTTTTAAATAATATTAAAAAAAAAAAAAAAAGAATCAGTCCGGTACGGTACTATGAACAATAACAGAAGGTTTAGGTAGTCTATCGGGCAGGAACCGTGAGAAAATCACCAGAAAACCGAGCGGTATAGTGCTGGGGGAGGGAATGCAGTCACGTGCCCTGGCACGTCGTCTATGCTACAGAGGGGATAGACAAACCGATGACTGTGATAGATGGCTGAGTAAAAATAGCCAAAAAAAAAAGTAAGGTAAGGATACGGCTGGGGTAAATTCCAACGGTTCATATTGTATGTAAGGGGCTAAGTATGGGATGATTTTGGGTGGTCTACGCTTCACGTCCAAGAATGCCTTTACCTATAGATTATATAATTCTATTGCGGGACAGAAGAACGAATGGTATTAACATTAGTCGAGGTCCATCTCGTCGCCCTTCTCCTCCTTCTTGTCATCCTTCTTCTCACCTTCGGAGCCCTTAGAAGCCTCTCTCTGGGCAGCCATCTTCTCAGCCATAGCGGCCATCTGGTCAGCCTCCTGCTTCTGTCTAATTGCCTGCTTCTTCTCTTCCTCCTTAGCCATGTAACGGCCTCTAATGAGGTTTCCAAGAGCAGCCAACTCCTCGTACTTAGCAATGTACTTAGCCTTGGTCGAGTCGTAACCGTCATCGTACAACCAGTCCTCAGCCTTCATCAACTTCTCGGACAAGGTAGCCTTCTCGTCGTCAGAGGCGAAATCCTTGTACTGGTCATCCAACTTGCCACGCAATTCGTAGATGTATTCCTCCAAGGCGTTCTTTCTGTCCTCGGTGTCAGCAACCAATTTGTCGGCAACGATCAAGGCATTCTCCTTCTCGAACAATGCAGCTCTCTCGCCCTCGGTCAAAGCGGCGGACTGGACCTCAAGAACCAAGTCATCCTTCTTGACCTGCTTCTTGACCTCCTTGTATTCTGGCTCGGCGTCCTCATCGACTTCCTCGCCTTCCTTTGGCTCAACCAACTCCTTGACGAGCTTCTCCTCAACAGTGTGAGCAGACTCGATGGTGTAGAAACCAGATGGGTCGTTTCTCAACTTCAACTTGGTAGCAATAGAAGTCTCACCCTTGTTTGGCTGGACACCCTTGATGTGCCACTTGGCGATCAAGTCCTCAACACCAGCTGGCATTTCGTTCTTGTTGGTGTATCTAGCCTCGACATCGAAGTCACCCTTTCTGAACAAAGTGATGATCTTGGTAGATGGGAAAGTACCACCTCTTGGGAAGACCTCCAAGTGGTCGTCATCCTCCTCATCCTTGTCCCAGAAGTAAGAGACAGAGTATGGGTTGAAGTCCTCGAACTTGAATGGTCTGACTCTCAAGGTTGGAGAGTGCATGGCGCAAATGAAAGCGTTACCTCTGGCAATAGCCTCATCCTGGTTAAGGGTGGTAGACAAAGGCTTGCCGAAGATCTCAGACAACTTGTTCTTCAAGCTTGGAACTCTGGTACAGCCACCGATGATCTCAATGGAGTCGATGTCGTCAGTGGTGAGGCCAGCGTCCTTCAAAGCAATATCAACTGGGACGTTGATTCTCTCCAACAATGGCTTGATGAACTCCTCCAACTCATCTCTGGTCAAAGAAGAAGAGACGTCAACATCGTTCATGACAGACTCAATGTTGATTGGAGCCTGGGTGTTGGCAGACAAAACCTTCTTCAACTTCTCAGCAGCAGTAAGAACTCTGTAGTAAGCCTTAGGGTTCTCTCTGATGTCAATCTTGTACTTAGCCTTGAACTCATCAGCAAAGTGCTCAGTGATGGCCTTGTCGAAGTCTCTACCACCAAAGTGCTTGTCGTAGGCAGAACCCAAGACCTTCAACTCACCCTTCTTGACGGCAGCGATGGAAACCTGGTAAGAAGAGTGGCCAATGTCGACGAAAGCGACGTTTCTTGGCTTGTCCTCAGGCAACTCATTCTGCTTGAAAACACCGTACCCGACGGCGGCGGCGGTGACCTCGTTGACAATTCTGACAGGGTTCAAGCCGGCAATCTTACAAGCATCAGAAGCAGCACGTCTCTGCTTCTCGGTGAACCAAACTGGAACAGAAAGACAAATGTCCACAATGTTACCCTTGGTCTCCTTGACAGTAATGTCCTTGATCTTGTTCAAGAACATAGCAGACAATTGTGTGGAAGTGAACTCCTGAGGCTCGTTCAAGAATCTCACCTTGGCGTTGATCTGACCCTGCTCGTTCTCAGTCAAACCACAGGAGAAAAAGTCAGACTCCACCTTGAAGTCTGGGTCCTTGTAGTTCAAACCCAAGATTCTCTTCAAGTTGCCAACAGTGTTCTTCAAGTTGGAAGTCTGCTGGTTCTTACCGGTCTCACCGATGAATCTGTTCTTCTGACCGAAACCAACCAAAGAGGGAGTGGAACGGTTGGAAACCTCGTTCACAATGATATCAATACCTCTGTTTCTTGCACAGGCAATGACAGTGTTGTCATTACCGAAGTCGACACCAAATGGAGTAGCCATTTTGTAAATTCAGGTTGCTAGTTTCTTTGAATCTCGTGGTAGTATTCACGTAGTACTTAGGTCCAAATGCGCTGAGGCGACTTTTCATATAGTATGCGAAAAAGTGCTTCTGGCCGCGCACGACTCATCTAGAAGATTCGAGAAAAATCTATCACGTGGGGACTTTTTTTCGGGTCAATGAAAAGTGTAATCCGCTGAAACTGTTACTAGTATATGACTTTTATGTGCTTTGAACCTATTTGAGCAGTGTTTTTGGCGTTTTCAGGCCATTATTCTTGCTGCTGCCTCAGTTAGTCGATGATGCCAACGGTACGCAGTCCGGCAGATAACTTCCAATTGTGCATGGTAGCTTCGCAACTTTTTGGCCTGGACAAGTAGGGTCCCACGAAATGCCAATACTGCACTAGTGGAAGATCCACCATCCGGAACTTTGATTCGATCAAATACCTTATTCGTATTAAGACGGGCCATTTGGTACAGGATTTTTCAGTGGTTAGAAGGTACCAGAAAAGTTTATCCGGAAATGGCATTTCACGTTCCGAACCTCCTTCGCTCGGAAATGGCTGCAAATGACTGCGTTTCTATCTGAGATCCTAATGCGTGCTCTGCTCCAAGACAGTCAAGAGTGTCATCCATCCTCCTGACTGCACCAACTGTAAATATTCATCGTAGTTCTTGTCTTTGGCATAACGGTAGAGACATTTGAGTTCGTCATCACTGAGAATGCCCATTTTGCGCAAATACACCAAGAAATGGAAGTCAACAAGCTGACTGCCGTCACCATCACCCAGCTGGATTTGCCTTTGAACAGCTTTGAGGTCCTGAAGCTCACCCAAAAAGTCTCTATTCTCGACAACAAAGTCAAGCTTGAACATTGGCTTGGGTTCCAATGGGAAAGAATCCAGTAGAGTTACCAATAAGAACTCCACAGGGAAAGCTGGTTTAGCATTTTCCTTCACTTCCAAGCCGTACTCATTGATTTTTGAGTAAAAAACATCCGGAACATATCTTGATCCTTGTGTTTTGTTGATGCAAAGCATGTTTGGATGGGTAGAAGCGGATATGATGTCTGCCTTAATAAGTCCCTCAGCGCTCCGTGAAACTTGATATGAATGAGGTTCAATCTCACCATTGTGATTACCTGTAATGACGCATGTGACGAACTTGGAGGAGAAATCATTGGTTTCCGAGTATTTGCTGTAGTTCGGATGAGCGACCTGGTTCTTAGCTGCCATGAGCACTTCAAGGCATGATAAGAAGTATGATTCCTTATGACGCTTGCACAAAACGGTACCATCTCTGCGTCCTGAATCTGTCAAGTCTGTAAAAACCACACCTACCTTCTGTAAGCCCAAAGCCAGGGCCACTTCATCGACATCTTTTTCATTGTGCCAGTCAAGAAGAGTGATACCGTCAAACTCACCCAGTTGTGGGGGTTCATAAATAGCTTCCACCACAGCCTTAATGCCTAGAGGAACCTTCTCAAATGGCTCGTATCTACCATAGAGAACACCATACCGTTGAACACCAGATTGTCTCCACACATCAATAAACGTATTAAGAAGAGAGTGGTCTGAAAATTCCACATGATCAACCATACGGAATGGCTGCTGCTGAAGTGTGATTGGTGCTGGCTGGCATTTGGAACAGATTCCTCCAGGATATGGTGCATGGCCGCCTGGGCAATGCAAGTTGATGGCATAATTAAGATCTTGCAAAGGTGCAATATAAGACGAAGCTTTGCTCTTATTGTTCTGTTGCTCGTTCATCTCTTTCAAGTAGGCATGGAAGGATTTATGCTTGATGCCTTGCTCCTTCAAGTAGTTCTTATCCCATGGTGGTAAAGGCGAACAGTACTCACACATTCCCTTATCGCCATGGCTACAGAAACTGGATTTTGGCCTCTTAATAAGCCCTTCCAGTTTATCAAGCAAGTCGTCCACTGGATGCTGTTTAACTGACTCCTTTGGCGCTGGAGTAGTATCTCTAACAGCTACTGTCTGGTGGCGATCTATAGGAACCAGGCCAGTCTGAGCTGTTGGTGCTTCAGAAGTAGCTGACTCATATGAAACAAATAGCATATCACCATTCTTAAGCTTAAGCTCTCCCACTGACTGTTCAGCAAGTTCTGCAGCGCTCTTTCCCTTGTCATTTGGTTTGTCGCTTACGAAGATCAGTTTGGGGTCTTGAATGGAGAATTTAGCAACCACCTCGGTCAAAGGCTTGGAAAACGGGTCAGATGGCTCTGCCTTCACTCGAAGCATACCATCTTTGGTTCTGAATCGGATGATCATGGTATAATTGAGTATGGACTATGAGGGCAACTGGTGGTAAGTAGAATTGCCATACTACATCGATCTCAGAGTGTGCAGGCACTCCCCAGTCGGAGAGCCAGGAGACCCACTAGAATGTTCACTGTGAGCTTAAGGGTGGGTGGAAACTCAATAAAGAAAGTTTTAAAGATATTACTGCTTCTTGATTTGTTTTTGGATGCTCTTTTTTCATGGTGAAGATACTGGTGGGTGGCTCTGGTGGCCCTTTGTTGGATTTCGCAGCCACTTCTAAGAAGCACACCACGAGTGTTAAGGACGGATTGGAGGATATGACCTTTTGGAGAGCTTTGGCTCCTACTAACGGTTAAGGGATTTAGTGTCAAAAATGACTTTCTAAATGAATAGTCTTTTCTTTATAGCGATGGGTTAACCACTTAAGTGTGGCTCTGTGATACTCAAGGTGAGCCAGCCATGGTCTACCGTAGATAACCCAGTGGTGTAAGATATAAGAAGGGTTCAATTCTCTTAGCCTACATTGAGTAAATCCTAGTAGCTTGTAATAATAGAGTTAGAGCGTCTAAAGACCTTCAGAGGAAACTTGATAAGAACATTTCCCTAATCATTCCAAGACACTCTGTATTTAGACTTTCAGTGGTGCAACCAGAGCTACGTCATTAGCTAATGCTATTTATACTTGCTTAGTGCCTGGAAGCTTTTCTGATCTTTGAGTGTTTTGAAACCTTCATGAAATTCATTAAAGAGTAAAAGAAGAGTTAACAAAATGCAATAGTGGTGATTAGCATCTGTACATCGAGACAGTGTGCACTGGCTGGATACTAATACTGAGTACAGGGAATGGCCCATTCTACCCAAGCCTCCAGTTACCTAAGCCATTAAAACCACCTTTAAACCACCCTTAAACCACCACTAAACAGCCACTAAACAGCAAATACGAAATAAAAAACATTCCTGAATCACCATTCACTCTAAGTTCCCTATTTCTTATACTTCTACAGCACTCACCACCACTTCCTCAAACCTGCGAATGGCTGCAAAATGTCGCTCCATGGATCCCACAATCCACCCATAACCCTATTTCTCTTCTCATCCACCACCAACAGACCACACCAAAACCTCCTCTCCATGAATTGCCTCAAAGTTCCATTCCCCAGCACTTCCATCATCTTTCCACCACCTTTCCACCATCTTCCCACGCCCCACCAACACAGCCTCATTCCACCAGAAACCTAATTTAAACTTTACCACGCCTCGCCTACAATCCACCACTTCTCTCCACTCCAACACCCTCCCCCATAAATAAACCAACCTCTTCTCTCCCCTTATACATTTACCCTTTATATTTCACCCTTCATCCAGCACAGCCTCTGCGCATTTACCCACCTCGGCCCCCACCTCGGCTTCACCACACCCACCCAAGCCGTGTATCTGACATCCTCCCCGATCCACCAAACACACTACGTAATTGCCCATAGTCCCAACGCAGATCTGGGACTGTCTCCAGTATTGTTACCCTATTTGTTCAAGGGATGGGAAGCCAGATGCAACAATGCTCGCATGAGTGTTTTCCATAATTCTGCACCGGGGCCTGTCAAAGATGCGCCTGGGTTCTCGTTTTGTGATATGGCTTTCAGCAACCGTACGCCAAGGAGAAGCTGTCAAGAAGCTGTCAGCGCTGGGTGGTTAAAGTTCGTAGAAGCCGCTTAGTTAACTTAAGTATTCAGCCTTTTGAACCGCCTGTCCCGCCCGTTCCTGGATTTGTCCGTGCTTGGGTAAAACAGCAACCGTTCCTGCGCTTTGTAGCCGAGCCCTCCTTTGCCTTGCACACAGTGGAGGGCCCATTCAGTCCCAGGACCAAAAGACGTCACTGAGGCCGAGTGGACGATTTCTTAGATTAGCATACTACTTGTCCACCAGCATAACTTAGCATCCTGCTTTTTGAGCATCCACCATGGCAATTCGGGCTCCGCAGAATAAGAGGCTTTATGTTGCCGTTGCTTCAGCCATCGCTGTCCTTTTTCTATACTTTATTTTAGGCAGCACTTCCCTGGACAAAACAGTGGTGTACGTGGACAAGTCCACGGGCCAGGTGGTTTCTGATTTCAAGGCAAACAAGAACGTTCCGGTTGATCTCCCGTCGGAACCACAGCCAGAGGCTCACCAGGCTCCTCAGGCTCCAAACGCTCCTTCGATTAAAGACAACGACAAGGAGGAAAATGCTGCTTTGCAACAGATCGGGTCGCTGGGCCAGACTGGTAAACAACCAGGAGATTGTGTTATTCCTGGTAAACGTGCTAAGGCCACGTTTGTGTCTTTGGCCAGGAACGAGGAGTTGTACGACTTGATCAAGGCTATCAGAAACGTTGAAGATCGGTTCAACAGAAAGTTTCAGTATGATTGGGTTTTCCTTAATGACCAGCCTTTCACTCAGGAGTTTAAGGACTTGACGACTTCTATTGTCTCGGGCCAGGCCAAGTTTGGACTTATTCCTGAGGAGCACTGGTCATATCCAGATTGGATTGATCATGAAAAAGCCGCCAAGGCCCGTGCTGATATGAAGGCAGCAAAGATTATTTATGGTGATTCTGAGTCTTACAGACACATGTGTCGATTTGAAAGTGGATTCTTCTGGAGAAATCCATTGTTGGACGAGTATGACTGGTACTGGCGTGTGGAGCCAGGTATCCAGGTGCACTGTGATTTGAACTACGATTTGTTCAGATACATGGAAGACAACGATAAGGTTTACGGATTCACGATTTCCATTCATGAGTTTGAAAAGACAATTCCTACGTTATGGAAGCACACCAAGGACTTCATTGACTTGCACCCAGAGTACCTTGCCAAGGACAACTTCATGGACTTTATCAGTAACGACAAGGGCAAAACATACAACTTGTGTCACTTCTGGTCGAACTTTGAAGTGGCGTCGTTGAAGTTCTGGAGGTCGCAAGCGTACAGAGACTACTTTGATTATCTTGATAAGACGGGCGGGTTCTTTTACGAAAGATGGGGCGATGCGCCAATTCATTCGATCGCCGCAGCCCTCTTTTTGCCCAAGGATAAGATCCATTACTTCGAGGATGTCGGATACAACCATGGCGTTTATACGCAATGCCCATTGAATCCACAGTTCCGATTCGAGCACCGGTGCGATTGCAACCCACAAAAGGACTTTACATTTAGAGGGTACAGTTGTGGAAAGAAATACTACGAGGCGATGAATCTCGAGAAGCCCAAGGAATGGGTTGATTACCAGTGATAGAGGCTCAGGTGAGGCTTACACGAGGAATATATAGATAGCGGAAACCAAATAGAGGCGGCAGAGCCAGTGGGTGAGGAAGTAGCGCCGTGCTGCAGAGAGCGAGTCTGGTGCGCTGAGACACTTAAGCGAGTTGTAGGCTTCTGTGAGAGAAGGCCCCGTAGCCAACACGTGGTGAACAGGTGGTGAATAGAGAAGAAGTAGAGTGTTGAAGAGGAAGAAAAAGGGGGAAAAACGTGCCAAAACGTGCCAAAAACGTGCCATTAGATCTCCCCTTCTGCCATTGAGCATTGGGAATTTTCTTCATGCTCTCGTGTTGACGACGAGGACGCCGCAAAAAAAAAAAAAAAAAAAAAAAAATAGCCCGTTTGACCTCGCTGGCCGCCAAGTGAGCCAACGCTCACTGAAACTCGACGATCAAAAGCAACTTTGTGTTCTGAAAAACAAAACCCCAACGAACCTTAAACCATAGCAACTTTCTTAACGCGTCTTGCCTCCTTCCCCCGAAATCTCATAATAACCTCTAAACTACTGGCTATTTTTCTTAGTTATATATATATTTTTTTTTCTTCGCCCTGGCGGGGGGCCCAGACATTTTTCAGGCCATTTTTGGCGGTTTGGCGGTAAGTGCACGAGCCCAAAGTCGCGCAAGGAGACACGTATAGGTGCGAAAGGGCAGGTCAAGTTGTCTGGAGGTGAATATAGGTCCTTTTTTTCTCTCTTCCTTCTTTCACCTACTCTTCCTGCTGAACGCAACCATGGCTTCACCAAGATCCAACGCCCGTTTGGTCAGATTTGCCATTTTTGCGCTAGTGTTGATATTCTGTGGGTATGTGCTCACCAAGGGCTCCACTTTCGAGGCCTCGAGTGCTCCCCAGTCCAAGTCGGCTCCTGCTGAGACCATCCCCAAGGCTGCTGACCTTGTGAACCAGAAGGCTGGCAGTGCTGCCGCTGGTGGTGCTGGCGGTGCTGGCGGTGCTGCTGCTGGAGGTAACGTGGCTCCTGCTCAGCCTGCTGCTCCTGCTGCTCCAGCTCCAGGCGCTGGTGCCGCTAAGAACGATGCTTCCGACCCTAGAATCGCCAACAAGATCAAGGCTACGTTCGTCACGTTGGCCAGAAACTCTGACCAGAACTCCATTCTTCAGTCTATCAGACACGTCGAGGACCGTTTCAACAAGAACTACCACTACGACTGGGTCTTCTTGAACGACCAGGAGTTCTCCGAGGAGTTCAAGACGGCTATTTCTGCTGTGGTTTCTGGTCAGACCAAGTTTGGCCTTATTCCAAAGGAACACTGGTCTTACCCTGAATGGATTGACCGTGAGAAGGCTGCTTTGGCCAGAGAGGCCATGGTCCAGAAGAAGGTTATTTACGGTGGCTCCGAGTCTTACAGACACATGTGTAGATTCGAGTCTGGTTTCTTCTACAGACACGAGTTGATGCAAGAGTACGAGTACTACTGGCGTGTTGAGCCAGATGTGAAGATCTTCTGTGACATTGACTATGATATTTTCAAGTACATGAAGGACAACGACAAGTGGTACGGCTGGACCATTTCCTTGCCTGAGTACAAGGAAACCATCCCAACATTGTGGGAGACCACTAGAAAGTTTATGGAGAAGTACCCACAGTACGTTGCCAAGGACAACAACATGCCATGGATTTCTGACGATAACGGAAAGACATACAATGGTTGTCATTTCTGGTCCAACTTCGAGATTGCTAAGCTCGACTTGTGGCGTGGAGAGGCCTACAGCAAGTACTTCGAGTTCCTCGACCAAGCCGGTGGTTTCTTCTACGAAAGATGGGGTGACGCGCCTGTCCACTCCATCGGTGCCTCTCTTTTCGTTCCTAGAGAGAAGTTGCACTTCTTCAGTGATGTCGGTTACTGGCACGTTCCTTTCCACAACTGTCCTGTGGATGATGAGACCAGATTCGCCAAGAAGTGTGTTTGCAACCCTAAGGATGACTTCACTTGGAGAGGTTACTCGTGCACGCCCAAGTTCTTCACGCAACTTGGCTTGAAGAGACCTAAGGGATGGGAAAACTTCACTGGTTAGGACACTTTTAATATTGGGTGATAATTCAACATCGGATTAAGAATATACACGCATGGCGATTTTCGTCGAACATACATTGATCCATTGTAGGAGGCTTTTGTGGCCTCGGATTTATATTACGAAGCATGATCTACGTTAGATGAGGAAGTTCTAACCGTAAGCCCTGGTCCCACTCAGGAGGGTATTCTAGAAAGCCAACAATACTTCTGGCTCTTCCATCTTCCCATTGTTACAGCGGCCCTTCCCTCCGCTTGTTCTTCTTCCTAACCGCATATGATCTGTTCTTTTGCATCCATTACCTCATTCTCTCCACCGATCACTGAAGATCCAGCACATGGAAACGTACTGGCCTGGGGTATTTTCCAGAGCTTTATCCGTCATCTCTAAAAAAAGATACTCATTTCACGTCAGAATGCTTCCATCATTAGCTTCTGCGATAACATTCCCGCTGCCCCCACGAAAGTAACGGTTCTAAGCCTGCAATTAAAGAAGCTACAGATCTACATTTATATGTTGAATGGAACAATTTTGATCCGCCCAAGTCCTCCACTTTCAGGTTATTTCACATTGAAGTCTGAACCGAGTTTCCAGGACACCTTTAACATCACTTTTCAATTTTCTTTCCAACATTTTCAGTCCATTTCATGTGCTCAGCTAACGTAATTTCACTGCCGTTCCACATCTTCCTTGCAGAATGCAAGTGGTTGCGAAAAATCCAGCCGCAAATGTGTAGAAAGAATCAAAATCAACGCTTTCCCCCCACCTTCCACTACTTTCACATTCCCAGAACAATCCATATAATTTACCACCAAAACGGAAAACCCCGATACAATAGAACGGTCGCCCTTGGGTCGAAAAAACGAAGGTCCTTCCCACACTTTGTTCCTCCACATTTAGCCCATTCTCCATTCCCGATTGGGCGCGTTGGGAATGAGATTTCTCCATTCTCATCTGTTTCATTCCTACAGAGAAGCCATTCTGAAACACCTGGGCAGGCGTAAGGGGTCACTGGCTCGGTCTTTTTTTTTCCCTTCTTCCTTTTCCTACTATAACTATATATTTTTCTTTTTTTGGGTCTTTTGTTCGTTTTCTTTTACATCATTCTTTCATCTTTCAAACGGTCCCGTTTCCCCAAGCCTTTATAAATACCCACATTTCCTTCCTGCTTGTCTGTTCGTATACAAGCGTCCGTTCGCCAAATTTTTATCCAGTCTACTTCATCCATATGCCAGAGTTGACTCGTCACAGACCACCGTCGTTGAAGCTTGCTAACGACGAAGCCAAAAGCGACGTTATTCTTCGTATCGTCAGTCCAATCGCCACGCTGCAAATGAGTCTGGATATGAAGAACACCGTACGGATCAGTGAGTCCATTCGGAAAAGACAGTCGTCCATCATCGCTGCAAAGAACCATCCGCTTTATAATGGCGTGGACGAGCCGAAAACGGAATCTCCCGAAAATGGGTCTAGAAAAGAAACTCCTCCTACTGCTGAGCCAAAGGAACCTCCAGCGAATAAGGAAACAGAGGGCCAATCTGCTGGAAACACGCCCATCAACTCTGCCGCCGAGTCATCTGCATCTTCTACATCCACATCTACCCTGTTCCCTCATATCAAAACTGAGGAGGACCACATCACGTCCCCAAGATCTGCTCCTTGTGGAAGCACCCAGCTGAGCCCTGGCACGTCTTATACGACGCTGGATAGAGTAGCGTCGCAATTGAAGAAGAAGAGCTTGAAGAGAGATAAAATCCCTCGTCCACTTAAATTGTACAACAATCCTGCTGTTGGCAGTGGACCTTATACGGCTGCAAATGTGCACCCTGCAATGTATTCAGCTTATCAACAAGGTTTGAGATCTGCTCCGCTCAGACCATACTTTGCTGGTCCACCACGCGTCGTTCAGCGTTACAGACGGCCTCCGATTCAAATGGGTCCTTTGGGTCCCCCATTTCACGTTGTCCATACCCCGTACCATAGAGAGATTCCAGTTATGGCTGACAGAAGAGCGAGACCGGCTTCAAATATGCCAATGACTGCAACAGGGGCTGCTCCACAGGGACCATACCCAGGAGGATACCCAGCTCCTTATCAAGGTGCATATTCAGTACCACCACCTCCAAGGCAGTATCCACCAGCTTCGGAGGCTACATCGGCCCCTCCTCCTGGGCCACCAGTGGCTACACAGGGTCCTCCTACACAGAAAAAGAGCGAAGAAACCAGCAAAAGTCCATCATCATCGCCTCAGCAAGGCGACAAGAGGCCACGCCCTGTGCAAGATGTCTTCAATGATGATGCCAAGCGAGTAGCACCTCTACCGCTGCAGCCACCACTGGCACAAAGGGGTCGTTTCAGCATAGATGAGCTTAAGACTGCTACTGAAGAAGAAGTGGATGCAATGCGTCGTAAAAGAGACGAAAGCGATGAGATCTACGGCTCCATGTCGTTCATGGATAAGCTGACGTTTAGATTCAAGATCTTGAACAAACAACTCTCGCTGGACGAGAAGAAGGCACGTTTCTTAAAAATATGTGAAACCACATGGGATGAATTCATGAAACAGCCACAAAAATAATTAAATAACCATCATATATACTAATTAGCAACATAGTCTTTAAGAAAGTCTGGACTCTAAATCTCACTAACTCACCTCACCTTTTTTTTTTTTTGCAGCAAGTGATTCCTGGGGTAGTAGCGAGGCAAAACTGACAGTGAGGTCACGTGCACGAATGGCCTCTTTTTAGAAGGCGAAATATGGCCCTCGAAACTCACTTCTTCAGGTCGAAAGTCTGCCAAAGTATCCATTTTTTTGGCACATTTTTCTAAATAATGAGCTTAGTGCTTGGGATAATAAGTCGTCGAGCGCCCATGGCAGTGCCCTTGCTTAGGCAGGCGGCCAGCCTGAGGTGCTTGCGTGTTGCCGGTCCCATTGGCGCTAGATGCTTTCTGATGGGTCACAGAGCCCAGTTTAGTCAGTCGTTTTCCAGACTACAGAAGAATAATGAACCCAGAGATGATAAAGAAACCAGTGAGAAGAAAGAAGAAAGTAAGAGAACAGAGGAGCCAAGGGAACAAAAACTGAAAGAGCATGAAGATCCCGAGACGAGAAGAAACAAGGAGGAGGAGAAGAAGTTCAGAGAAGAGTTGCGCCAGAAGCAGGAATCTTCGAAGAAGCAAAAGGGCAGGGATGCGTCGATCTTCAGCAGAGAGGGTCTTACATTGATCCTTATCTGTGGTCTTTTCACTATTCCTTTGACGTTCTGGGCTACCCTCTCACAGACGGCGAACCGTGATGAACTCTCCTTCCAAGCTTTCAAGACTCGTTACCTAGAGAAGGGTCTTGTGACGAAACTTACGGTCATTAACCGTTTTGCTGTGGAGGCTGAATTAGTTCAAGGTGCTTTCTCTGATGAAACCATCCGTGGCCCTCAAGGCAACCCTGTCGTTGTCTTCACCATTGGTTCCGTGGAAGTGTTTGAAGAAGAGATGAATGCTGCACAAGATAAACTTGGAATTCCTATTGAACAGCGTCTTCCCGTATCCTATGTCGAGCGCGGTTCATGGCTCAACATGATCATGCCTGTCCTTCCTACTGTCCTTTTGATTGGTGGTCTTTGGTATATCAGCGTACGTAAGGCCCCTCAAGGCGGTGCCGGAGGTGCCGGTGGTATCTTTAAGATTGGAAAATCGAAGGCCAAGCTTTTCAACCAAGAGACTGATGTTAAGATTAAGTTTAAGGATGTTGCTGGTTGCGAAGAGTCCAAAGAAGAAATTATGGAATTTGTGAAGTTCCTTCAAGATCCCGTCAAATACGAAAAACTCGGAGCTAAGATCCCAAGAGGTGCAATTTTGTCCGGTCCACCAGGTACTGGTAAAACGCTTTTGGCCAAGGCTACCGCTGGTGAAGCTGGCGTTCCGTTCTTATCTGTTTCCGGTTCTGAATTCGTTGAGATGTTTGTTGGTGTCGGTGCATCCCGTGTTAGAGACTTGTTCAAGACAGCTCGTGAAATGGCTCCTTCTATCATCTTCGTTGATGAAATTGATGCAATTGGTAGAGAGAGAGGTAATGGCCGTGTTGCCGGTAACGATGAAAGAGAAAACACTTTGAACCAGTTGCTCGTTGAGATGGATGGTTTTGAGGCCTCTGATCATGTTGTCGTTCTCGCCGGTACCAATCGTGTTGATATTTTAGATAAGGCATTGTTGCGTCCAGGCCGTTTCGACAGACATGTTACGATTGATACTCCTGACATTGAAGGCAGAAAGGCTATCTTCAAGGTTCACTTGAACAAGCTTACGTTGAAATGTGTTGAAGATATCAGAGCCTCTCAAAGCGATGTGGATTTCAACAAGTATCAACAGTTGATTGACGAGGCAACTGACAACCTTGCTGGAAGATTGGCTGCTTTGACCCCTGGTTTCGCTGGTGCCGACATTGCTAACTGCTGTAATGAAGGTGCTTTGATTGCTGCCAGAGAGGATGACACCGCGGTTGATGTTCATCATTTTGAGCTGGCCATTGAGAGAGTGATTGCTGGTCTTGAGAAGAAGTCTAGAGTTTTGACACCTGAAGAGAAGAAGACTGTGGCTTATCACGAGGCCGGCCATGCCATTTGTGGATGGTTCTTGGAGTTCGCTGATCCATTAGTCAAGGTTTCTATCATTCCTAGAGGACAGGGTGCCTTGGGATATGCCCAGTACTTACCAAAGGATCAATACTTGGTTTCTGAAGAGCAGTTTAAGCATAGAATGATCATGGCTCTTGGTGGTAGAGTAAGTGAAGAATTGCATTTCGAGTCTGTCACCAGTGGAGCCTCCGATGACTTCAAGAAGATCACTCAAATGGCTCAACTGATGGTACTCCAGTTGGGAATGTCCGAGAAGATTGGAAGTATTTACTTCGACACTGGTAACGATCAAGGTGGCTTCAAGGTACACAACACTTACTCTGAGAAGACTGCCAAACTCATCGATGAGGAAGTAAAGCGCTTCATTGATGAAGCTTATGATGCTTGTAAACAACTTCTTACAGAAAAATTAGAGTTGGTCGATAAGGTTGCCGAGGAAGTCTTCAAGAAGGAAGTCTTGACCCGTGAGGACATGATTCGTTTGGTCGGTCCTCGTCCTTTCCCTGAGAGAAACGATGCTTTTGACAAGTACATCAAAGGAAATGATGTTTACAAGGGTAACCCTAAGTCCAAGTCAAATAAGGATGACCAAGCCCCTGAGAGCGGTGGTGAAGCTACTGCTTAATCCTTGAATATATCACATATTGTACATAGAACTACACAGTCCTTATAGACATTATCTAGTCGTTGAAGAACTCATCGATAGAATCATATCCATCCTTCTTCTCTACATTTTTCTCGTCAACCTCAGGCCCGTCTTCCAAAATCTTGAACGGAGGCGCCTCTGGGGCTTTTGGGTACATTGTGAAACTCGCCTGCGAGTCATTAGGTGCATCTTCCTCTTCCTCTTCTTCATCGTCTTGAACATTTTGTGCTGTAGTCTTCAAATCTAGGCGCTGCTCTTTCTCTGGACTGGATTTCGAAATGGTAGCATTAGCTTCACCAGATTTAAGGAAAGGAATTCCCGTCCTAGCAATTCGTTTGTAGTGAAGATCTTTTCCGTGTTCGCCCAACGAGAATGCCTTCGTAGCTTGAAATTCACACCCTAGAATCGGACATATTCTGCCGTACCCTATTCTTGAAGAGTTTTGTTCAGCAGAATCTATGTTTAACGGGAAATGTAGAGCAAGTTTCCTCGTACAGAGCTCGGTTATAACTCTTTTGACTTTAGACTCGTCTCCCTTGACGGGATAACCAATAAACGAGAGCTCGTTACAATGGTCGGACAACAAGTGATCTTCGTAAACTAGCTTTTCTTCAGTCATAAAGGGACAGTATTCAAAGGCACAATTGAACCAATGCGGCGTTCTTTGATGCCTTTTTGTGGGTGATATGGAAGTGCTTCTTTTTAATGGACTTGAAGGTAGCGAGCCAGCTTGAGATACTCGAAATGGTGAAGGATTTGTATCTGAAAAATCTGAATCTTCAGATTGGGATAGAGCCAATGAGCTGGGTTGTTCAGACAGTAGTCTGCTATAACTTCGTTTGGAAGGACTGGAAAATGCAAGATGTAGGTTATCGTCAGGAATAGCATCTTTGGTCAGAGGAGATCCTTCCCTATGACGACGAATATGGCCCTCGAACCTTTGCCTAAGCTTCTCTTGGTGAGCCTTCACGCGTCTTTGATCGTTGTAGGCCTTATCATAGGAATCATCCTCTGCCCATATATCACCATTGACTTTGACCCCACCAACGACAATTTCATTTGGAACCATGGATCGTAGATGGCCATTATCAATCGTGATCTTTCCTGTTTCCAAATCAATCTCATCTGACTCCAAATTATCATCTATGGCCGCGTACTTCTCGAGGATCTGCTCCCATTTCTCCTTGAACCTGCTGGTACTCGCTGACTTGAGTCTCGAGATTTCATCATCTATATCTTGAGCTGACGGTCTAACCCGAGCAAACAAAGTAGGAGACGTTTCTCCACCCAGGTCGTTTTCTAGAGAGATCAGCCTCTCGAATTGTGGCAGCATGCCTCGAATGAAAAACAGATGGAGATTCAAGATGCGTCTACAATTTGCAACTACCAACACGGTCACGTGCAAGATTTCAAGGCAAAGCACCACTTTAACAGGCCTAAAACCCGTCGTTTATGATAGATTTCGTATTTACAAGGTCGATACAACTTCATGTACCGTTAATTATTGTGGAGTGGGTCGTTCACAACTAACCTTCCCTGGGACCGCTTCCTCAGTGCACCGCGACACCAGATCTGGTCCCCATATGGTCACCCACATCAAATGTCCTTCCAAACTCACAATTCTCTCTCCTCTCGTTTGATATCAACTGTCTTGGTACGGTCGTTGTTCTTGTTCAGTTCCCAGCATTTCCTGAACGCTTCCATCTCCCCAAGGCACTTACGCCAATCGCCTTTATCGGCATGGCAAAGTTGTAAGGCCAAGTTTTCTTCGTAACAGCCAGTGTTCATGATTCTCTGATCCCACTCGTCTGGTTCATCGTCAATATTATTACTCATTATGAAGAGTCAATAGTACGTATGAAATAGATGGTGGTATGCGGAACAGAGGCTATAAGTAGTACCCAAACCCGTACCGCAATAGTAACACCATACCAACGCCATGAGCAAATATCCAAGCCATTAACAGATGAATGGAATTGAAATGGATTTCCGTTTCCTTTTGTGGTTAGGCTACTTATCTTTGTTACAGTGAAGAGGATCATTCACTTCTACGTTCAACAGGTCTGTCTAGATGCACATTAAAATATATTACAACATGGCGATTAGAAACCAAAACCGGCCTTAGAGTAAGCCATTGGCTTCATATCTGGATGAGGAACTGCCTCAAAAGTCTCCTTCTCTAGTGTCCATGGACAGTTAGTCTCATTAGTCTCCTTGTATCCTTCGCCAGAGTCCTTTGATTTATCGTAACTCTTGTTCTCTGCAAAGTGTACAACAGCACCCTTGTTTCCCGTGGCGTCACAGTAGTTTGGTGCACTGAAAACCGTGATGAGTCTTCCATTGTGTTCAATTTCAAACCCGCCCATTCTCACCTCGTGAGAACGCAAGATCTTACGGATCTTGTTGTTAACGCAGAACTTTTCTGTAATATCTGGGCCAAACTGAATACCCAATCCACGCTTCGAAGGAGACCTACCATTCTCCTGTTGTGGGTCGGTCCATAAGAGCTCCATAGCCAATCCTTCACGTGGTGGTTGAGAAGATCCGGAGCTTGGGAAACGATTAATGTTCTTGATATCTTCGAGAGTGACTTGGTCGTTGGAGAAAAGACCACCGTGCATAACCAAGTAGGACCTGTTAATCAAAGTGGCCAAAGGCAAAGCACCAAACGATTCGGCGAATGCCTCGAAAACCTTCTTTGAGTACTTGGCTTCACATTCATCGGTGAATCCATATGTCTTGTTCATGTCGTTTGTCTCATGGTTACCACGGTTCATAAAGAACGAGTGAGGGTATAAGATTTTAAGCACGTATAAGTACAAAGCAACTTCACAAGACCAAGAGCCTCTGTCGACAAAGTCACCGTTAAATAAGTAGACGTGTTCATCTGAAACAAAGCCGAATTTGTCGAAAAGGTTCAACACATCGTAGAATTGACCATGGGTGTCACCAACGACAGTAAGCTTTTTACCGTTCTCCAAAATGATCTCATCCTCGGGTAAGATCAGCTTATCGATCTGTGAATGTGGCAAACTGATTTCAACCATGGAGCTCTCGTTTCTAAGAAGCTCGTTGACCTTGGCGACGATAGCGAAAACATGCTTCTTAGGCAACTTGCCGCCCTTCTTGAAAAGGTCAATCATGTATTTCAAGTAGCTGTGGTCCAAACCATCGATATTAATAGAAACCTCCTTCTTATCTTTCAGCTTGACAGCCTTAATGTCTAACTGGGGTCCTTCCCACAGCTTCTCGACCAACATACCATCGAAATCGAGGCCGAAAAGGACCAGCAGTTTTTCGTCACCGGCAATGGCCTTCTCAAAAGCCTCCTTCTTCAAGTAGTTCACACATTGCTTGTGGTTTTCTAAGGTCAACTTGTCATTCGGAAGCTTTTGCAACACGATTTTGAAATTGTTCTGTGCTTCCTTATAGTTCAAAAGTGCCATAAGAGAAACACCCTTTCTATAGTAGGCCTTCATAAACAGGGGATCAGCTTTTGCGGCAGCGTCACAGTCAGCGATTGCAAGACCATAGTTCTCTAGTTTGATATGCACTTGTGCTCTGTTGGAGAAGAAGATAGGATTGGAATCATCAAGTTCGATAGCTTTGGTGTAGGCGTTTATAGCGTCGTCATATTTCTGTTCCTTAAGAAGTTTATTTCCTTCGTCCTTCCACTTGAGCGCTTCAGACATGTTATTTTTACCTCGAAGGTTGAAGAAGTTTAGGTTATGGATACTTTATCAGTTCTGGTGCTGGAGTTTTTCAGTTTTTACTATGCGCGCCTTCCATCCCAAATAGGGTATTCCTAATGCTTCTATGAATTTGGGAAACTACAGTGTAATACGTTCTGATGTTCTTTTTTTTTATATGTTCTTTTCTTATGATTTCATTCCTGCTTCGCCGTCTTATAAGCGAATACGCAACCCCGATGCTGGCAGTCCTATGCTAGTAATCTTAGTGATGCGACAAACCTCGCCCTTGTACTCTGGCTTGTATTTGGCGCTCACCAAAGCCTCTGTCACCACTGCATCGCCCTTATAGATTGGGGTGTATGATGCACAACAGATGTCAAACTCAGCATATGGATCAAAGTCAATCTCGACAGCGTCACTCGATATCGAGTCTGACCTGGCTCTTATCTTCTGTGCCTTCTCTGCCTTAGCACCTGAGTTAACAATTGATAAGAGCTCACCGGCAAAGTACGACGCGCTCGTGAAGTTCTTGTTCTTGAACGATTCCAGCATAGCCACTTGCAAAGCGTTCACCTTGTGTGCATTTTGGAGCTTGGCTCTCGTGAAGTAAGCTGCCAACTCCAAGTTTCTCTTGACATCGGATGGATCAAGCGAACGACGCTCCAACTCGATCGACAAACCCAAGACGTATTCCCTACACAAGGTCAAGACGTCTTCACACTTAGCTTCCTGTTCCTCGTCTTGTACACTGAGGACAGCAATGGTGTAGATAATTTCACGGAAAGCCTGGATAGCTTCTGGCAAATTGTTAGCTCTGAAGAACTTGAACGCTGTGCTCAACTTCTCCTCCAAACTATTATATCCGGGAATGTGTGGTCTGAACTTGTTAGGGTCGTCTTCATCGTTATCTTCTCTGATGTAGTCCTTCATGGCTGGCAATTCGTCCAAGCCTGGCAAGTACAACTTGTTGCTTGAATAGACCTCCATAAAGCGGCTTCTTAAAGGTGAGAAGTCAACAACACCAAGCTGCTTATTCAAGAGAGATGCAGCCTGCTCGAAAGCACCGGCGGCGACGTATCCAGCAGCGGTCTTGTTATTACGAAGCCAGTAAGCAATCTCGCCATCTGCTCCCTCCACCTTTGCGGCAGGAGGCTCATCGTCGCCGACAACGACATCATCACCAAAGCCATCGAGGTCTTCGTCTATGTCGAGGTCTTCATCTTCCATGTCCCATCCACCATCATCTTCGTCGGCATCTTCATCCAAGGCGACATCAGGCAAGTCTAGAGGGGTGCCGTTCTTGGTCTCCTTCTCCACGACGACACTGTCGCTGTCAATGTTCAAGTCTTCAACCTGACCGGTGAGCATAGCAGTCTCGAAGAAAGAAGCGTTGGTTTCCTTGATCGGCCAGTTACCAGCCACTTCAGGACCTGGGGTTGGCAATTGAGCCGGTCTATCTATCTTTGGCAAGGATACATCACTTTCAGAGATACCTGCAGCAGCCAAAATCTCGTCAGCTTTGTCAGACAATCCACTCGACTTCGCCAAAGTGTATGCCAATGGCAATTGACCAGCTTTGATGTAGGCGTCCACTCTAGTCTGGGCATCGTTATTATAAAGGGTGTTTTGAACCAACGAGGAAAGATTAGAACGAGCATTGGCAATAAGAGACATCTTTCCTAGCCTCTCTGAATCACCCTTATACAAGTAGAGGAATGACAATTTGTCAAAGAACTGCAACTGCTGATAGATTCTTTCAACAAGCTCAACGTTACCTTGATTTAAAGCTTCCTGGCCCAATCTTTCCCAGATAACATTGTTCTTGAGTTTGTTAGCTTCAACTTCAGCAACCTGCAAGTCACCGCATTCAACTGCTAAGTCGAATCTAGTCTCTGGATCTTGCACGAATTGCAAAGCAATTTCAGGGAATCCCTTCTGCTGCAAATAAGCAATGATGTTTTGACCGACCAAGTTGGAGTTCTTGATAATTCTCAAGACTTCGTTAAAGTTCCTGTTCACCAAAGATCTCTTGAATCTGTATTCAGTAGGGTCGATGGTGAGCTTTTCAACACGACCAGCACGGTTCAAACAATAGACATTGTTTTGCACGACTCTGGTGATGTAAAGGGTATTTTCTAAAGTCTTAATGATACCATTGTCACCGTTCAACAATGTGTACTTGATGTGGTTCAAAGTGGAGTACAACAAGACACCAGATTCGTCCCACGCAGCACTCTTGATACGAATAGTCTCATGCGTCGAGGTGATCAATTGTAAGTCCTTGTTTGCGATGGAGATGGTGTGCTTAGATAAGAGGGCCAAGTACTGGCCATCGTTGGACCAGGCAACGTACTTGACGTTGTTAACACTCAACTCGGCCAACTCTTTTCTTTGTTGAACATCGTAGTTGATGATGGAGTGCGACTTCACCAACAAGACACGTCCTGGGCCACCGTACAAGACATCGATGACAGAAGAATCTAACTGGATAGTCTTAGTGACATTATTGTTAGTATCCTTCACGTACAAGACCTTCGAAGACTTGACAAAAGCAACGAAACGGTTTCTGGAGATGAAGCAAGCGAAGTTACCTTCACCCAGACGAACATCGGCTGGTTCAATAGCACCAGTGACATGTTTCGGGAGAGAAATGAGGGCGTACATTCCATTGTCACCTTCGCCGTGTGTCACCAAAATCGAGTTGTCAGACTGGTTGTAGGTCAAAGTTCTCATAGCAGACCAGGTCTTACCAATCTTCTTAAGTGATAACATAGGCATAGAAGTCTCTTCTCTCTGGAAGTCATAGGCCTGGATTTGCTTCTCGGTGTTCACGAAGTACAACTTGTTCTGGAAAAGAGCATGGGCAGGTCTTTCTCTCTCAAGCTTGAAAACCATGACACCAGAGTCGTGACATGTAGCGAACAAGTTGATGTTTGGGTGACTAGCAACCAACCAGAAACGGTCGCTCTCTCTTCTGAACTGCTTGACGGGAGTTCTCTTATTCAAATCCCAAACACGAATAGTCTTGTCGTCCGATACAGAGAGGATCAAGTCTTGGTGTGGGTGAAAGACGGAACAGAGCACATTACCGGTATGGCCACGGCAAGTGTCAACTTCCCAGGCTTTGCTATCGCTCATTCTCCACAATTTAACCAATCTGTCGTCACCAGCGGAAACAATGAGAGGCAAAGTAGGATGGAAAGCAGCCCAATTGACACCCTTGTCATGGCCCTCAAGAACATACTTGACAATGGCATTCACATTGCCGAAGATATCCTGCTGAGGCAATTGTCTGCGTTGTAATTGATCTTCAAACGAACGCATCGACGAGGTAGGGGCGGAGTGTTTCTTACGGAGACCGGAGATATCCCACACACGGACGGTTTGATCCAAAGATGCAGAAACAATCAAATCGTCGGTAGGGTGGAATTGAGCCAGCATCACGTAATGGTTGTGGCCAGTCAAACAAGCAATTTCCTGACGGTTCTGCCAATTCCAAATACGGATAGTCTGATCATCAGAACAAGACAAAATCCAAGGCAAATCGTGGTGGAAACTGACGGTTCTAAGATAGTCCAAGTGTCCATTCAAGGTGAAGATACACTTTCTGGTGTTCAACGACCAGACCTTAATAGAGTAATCATCGGAACCAGAAACGAAAAGTGGCTGGGTAGGATGGAAATCAACAGATCTGACAGGGCCATCGTGGTCCTCAAAACGCTCAATTAAAGTACCCATTCTGTAGTCCCATAACTGGATCGTCAGCGAGTGCAATGCCACAAGGACCCAGGGTCTTTTCGGGTGGAAAGCGACGCCCTTAGCCCTTGAGGACTTGGACTCGAACTTCGTGAGCATCTTCATCTTGCCACGGGTGTTGTAAGATGAAAGATTGACCTAGAAGGGATTGGATGGTTTTGCTAAGTTTTGGTTTTTCATAATTCGATTCGGTGGTCAATTTGGCGCACACCCGTACACCACAAAAGCCCTTGACAACATGTACCTTGGTAGGACGTGAACTGACAGTTCGAGAGCACTACAGACTAGATGCAAGCGTTTGACTTGTTACAATATGAATTGAATGATCGTGTTATTTGATTTGAAATATCCCATTGCTGTTCAGCAATTATTACTAAAGAAAGAAAAAAAATATTTGTCCGTAACGTAGTATATGCAAGTATGCCGTTTATTTAAACACGGCGAGGTTGCTCGTCTCCACGTTTGAAGTCATAACCTGTGGAACTGAAGCACTTAGATAGCGAATGTGAAGACAGCTCCAATAATACCGGCAGCCAATGCGAGGATTCTCTCGGCAGTGTAAGATGGAGCACCAGAGCTTGGGCCTGAGCTGTTGTTGCTTCCAGAGCTGGTGCTGTCAGAACTAGAACCAGTGCCTTTAGAATTTTGCACGAAACCACCAGTATATTCAGCAGTCGAAGTAGTGGTTCCACGGTTACCAGCAGCGCCACCGTTACCAGCTCCAGTAGGAACGTCAACCTTACTATCCTTAGATCTGCTCAGTGTTCTGGTAATGACAGAAGAACCAGACGAGACTGTCTCAACCTTCTCCTCGTTATCAGGGTCAAAACCAGTAGCATCACCGGTACCCAACCAAGTCTTCTTCTTTGTCAAGAAAATGTTTTCTTCGTTGGCATCGGTGGAGTTATACAAGTACGCATGGTAGTCCTTGGTCTTGTTGCTAACGTTCTTCTTGACCCAGTCAGGCAAGTCATAAGTCTCAACGGAAACGTTCTTCACATAGGCATAGTAGTAACCAGTCTTCTTGATGTCCTCGGAATCCCAGTCGATCTCACCACCAGCCCATTCAATGGTACCCTTGGCGTTACCTTCACCTCCACCAGGCCACAAGGAGAATTGCACTCTAGAAGGAGTCTGTGGGTACATGTGTCTCTTGGTTGTTTCATTCCAAGTCTCAGCTCTGGTCAAAGTACGAACAACCTCACCGTCGATGGACCAGGAAAGTTCCTCTTCACTCCAGTCGAGCTCATAGTAATGCCAGTTCTCAAAAGTGTTCGAAATAGAATGCTTCTTCATGTTCGTGTAGTTCAACACACCCTGGTAATAGTAGTTAGACTCTGTGTTGTCCAAGTCGTAACCCAACCATTCGAAATCAATCTCATCTTGCACGTCCGAGAAAGTAATGAAAGCAGAAACAACACCCTTACCACGAGAAGACTTGATGGTAGCACCAACCTTACCGTACCAGAGGTACTTCGTACTGGAGACCACAGCACCAGTAGACTTCTTAGGCATCTGCAACAAAAGCGAATCATCGTGGTTGGCAACATGACCAGTGTAGACCCAGTCGGCCTCAGTGTAGTTACCCAAATATTCGTCTTGTTTTTCAACGTGATCAATGTTCTTGAAAGACTCCTCGAAGGATTCCATACGGGGCATAGGCATGCAAGCAGACATATTGAAGGAACGACGGATGTCACAGCCACCCAAACAGTACGAGCCTGTGCCACACATACCATACTGAGAACAACATGGAAGGTCTTCAGGACATGAATGGGATGCATTACAGTAGGTTGGGTTCCAGTCAGCAGCAGCGGTGAAGCTGGCGAAGAAAGCTATGAAAAAAACGTAATAAGCTTTCATGATGAGACAGGGTTCAATTCCAGATCCAGCTACTTAAGAAGATCAAAAAGTTTTTCGCAGGGTCTTTGAGATGGCTGAAAAAGTAGGAAAAAAAGGCTTGTAGTTCTAAGCTCACTAGAAGGGCTTGTTTCTAATATATATTCACGCTCTTTTTTTTTTTTTTCTGGTATGTGTATGAGGCTATCAGAACGACAATTTTGCCAAGCCACTTTCATACCATTTTTTTCTGCTTCGTTCCGTTATTAATTCCAGATCCGGCCTGTGTGAAAGTCGCGACTACCGAGACGTGTTGTCATTTAACCGCAACAGGAAACCAAATGTCCTCTGAGTGTCTAAATTTAAACCTGTCTGGCTGCGAATTCAAAGCGCGGTCTATTATAAGCATCGGCTCTCGGCTTCACATCAAATACTGTTAGTCCAAAATCATGGCAATTCTTTAGAAACACCAATTAAACTTTAATTTCGTGGGTTTATTTTTTCGTGTCTTGCCTTTTCGTTGTCAATTATTTGCTGGAAATGTGACTTTTCAACTCGTAGACTTCAGATCATCCTCTCACTTCTTGAAGAAATCGTACATATTCGGCTGATATGTGGATGGCTCATCGTAAATCAATCCCCCGGATGTCTGAGGCTTGTTTTGACCCTGAGCGGCTCCAAAACTATGCTGCTGAGGAATTGTACTCTCCTCATTCGTAAGACTGGGTCTTTTAGGAGGAAGCGCAGGAGCAGGACGTGAATAGGAAGACCTCAAACTAGCATCCGAACCGAGGCGTTGGGGTGGGGGTGGGCCACCAGTGCCAGCTGGTTGCAAAGGTGGCTGGCCAAAGCCACTCATCAGTGCCTGCTGTTCGTAAGAACCTTGGTTATATGGGCTATATTGAGCGAACGATTGGGGTGCTTGCGCTGGAGGTTGTTGATCTCTTCTATAAGACGAGAAGAATTGGTTCGACGAAGTGGAACCACCGGTAGAATTAGCGCCGAGATTCATCCTGCTTATCGATTCGGACAACGAGTTTGATTTGTCAGAGTCAATTGCTCTTTTTAGATTTTCTGCCATAGTCAATAATTTTGAATAATACTCCGCTCCTTTGTCCAATCCCACAGAATATTTTCTCCAATAATTTTCATAAAAATCATTGATACGTTGAGTTTGCTGTTTCACAACCTCATCACGGAAAGTCTTTGACGTCTGAACTTCCTTGACCTTCGGATTGGAGCTGAGCTTAGTCCATTTCTCTTTAAGGTCGTTAACCAACGACTTCTGCTCATTGATCAAATCATCTAATTGCTGGGAAAACACCTCAAACTTCTTAAGTTCTTCAGGAAAAATGATAGACTTTATTTCGTTTGGCAGTTTCACCTTGCTGTTGAGCATCAAGATCTCTGAGATGTCGTCATTGTGAATCTCTTCTTTCAACCTTTCCACAAGCTTATTCTTATTAGACTTGAGAACATTCAAGTTGTGCAAGATGTCTTCGAGGGTAGATATTTGGCCTTCATGGCTCATATCGTTCATCTGAGAATCATCCATGTCGAGTAAGCTAATCTCTTCGGTGGGCTCTTTCAGGGTTGCACTCTTAGGGACATCAAAGAGACTCTTGAACTCTTTTGAATTTGTACCTTTACTAAGAAGAGCATGAAGCAGACTCCTTTCAACATCTACCAAGGCAAACAACTTTGCGTCTGAGTTTGCTGCATCATATAATGCTCTCTTGAGCTTGATCAAGTCATCCTTGAAACGAGCAGAGCTCTCGGAAAACAGCTCCTTTAAAATTGCGTCGCTCTCGCCAACAGTCGTCAAAATCCTGTTTCTTATGTCGGAAATCTTAGCACGGTTATTAGAGTCCTGGGGATACTTCATAGATATCTCATCGACCTTACCAAGTACTGCCGGATCTATGGACTGTTCCGATGTAGAGCCCGAACTCAAAGATTCGTTGTTTTGAAGAATTTCTTTTATGTTTGCCAAAGCTTTAGGAAGCTTGAGATATTCCAACACAGATGAAAGTTCCTCATTAGACACATCAACTTCATCCAACTCATTTCTCAAGAATTGAGACTTCTCCTCGGAGTAGTAACTTAAAAGCTCATGGATATTCATTGGAACCACGTTTTTGAGGAAATTGTCGTAACTTTGTTCGTTGATTTTTGCAAAAAGCTCAATCTTGCTCATTGGAATTATCTTGGAGCTATCCATAGGCTTAGGTTCAGCCAAGGTTACCAAAGACGGAACAATCTCATGATACACTAAGTCATTGTCCTTGTTAAGTTCTTTAAGCTTGATTTCCAAAGCATCCTTGTGGTATTTGAGATTGTCCAAGAGGTCGTAAGCATCGTCACTTCCTGCTTTAGAGATCTTTTTCAAACTCGATGTGGGCACCTCATTGATCGATTCCAAAGATTTCGAAAGGTATGCGATAGCATCACCATACTTATGAGTTGTTTCCAACTGGAGCCCTTGGAAATAGTATGATAATGACTTGTAATACAAGGATTTGACTTGTAACACAGCGACCCAGAAAGGATCGAGCCTAGCAGTAACATGCGACTCTGGAAGTCCTTGTTTGTCTGGATTATACTCATCCAAAGGGTCGTTCTCAATGTCATCGAGCCCATCATCATCGTCTAAGCCAGCTTCAACAATTGCAAAAGTTGACTGATCTGCCGGAGACGATGAGTCAATGTTCAAAAGATGGCTGCAATTGCTAAAACAATTTTCGTATTGAGTAGCAGTGCTTTTGCATAGCTTAGAAATAAGTGAGTTCTTCTTCTGCTCCAAATCACCATCGATCACCTTCAAGGTAAAGATTTCCTGGCTCTGTGCCAAGCAAACACCCTTCAAGAACTTCACCGTAGCTGGATTAAGGTCATTTGATGGAGCATGTAAGAAGCTTTCGCCAACAAAGTCGAATATACCTGCGGCTTGTTGAAGATACTGGACGGCCTCCTTGAAAGCACTGTCATCAGCAGTCGACAGTTTCTGAGACTCGTTATATTTTATACTGGCAGCCTTCAGCATCAACGAGGCCAAATTAAAAAGAACACCAGCCTTCTCAAACGGTAAAGCATATTGCTTATGCTGGGCGGAAGGCAGGAAAGCGTCATACCATGTAAAGTTAAGTTTCTTATGTCTGTTGACGGTAGCAATTGGAATTCTCAAATCCAAGAGCTCCAATTGACTGAAGTACTTAAAATACAAGCCAATCCCGGTACTGTCAGCGTTCACGCCTCGAATATCTTGCCTTAGCTTATTGAAGCTGGCCAAGTCTTGCTGAAATTCAGATGTCTCACCATAAATGGATAGGAGGTAGTTGTTGATGGGTTTAACCCAATTCACATCATCTGTCTTTTTCGTAGGTACAAGAAGCAACGTCGCCTTCATTTTGCTATTCTTTCCTTGGATGAATAAGGAAGGTGTAGTGATTACCAGACAGGTGGTGGTCGTTATCGCTCCTATCCTGTATGGGCGAAGCAAGGACTGATATAGTGGTTATATTACCAGTTAGTCGAAGCGGCCTAAATTATGTGTAAAAGTCTGGAAATGGTATTTTTTGGATTCTAGGGATGTAATTACCAACTCCTTGGTATTTGTCTCTAATCAGCATTATTTTGGGGAAACACATGGGGTGTGGCGCAAGACGTTACATATGGCTGCGAAAATGTGTTCTACATGGTAATATCAAATCTCTAAACTTTATTGTATCTCTAATGAATGAACTGTCTAATTCTTCTCCTTCTCGATTTTCAGAAGGTAGCCACCTTCTTTACATAAGGAGTAGAACTCACTGTTCTTGTCACTGAGTAATTTGTCTGGGGTGTCAAACTCCTTAACTTCACCCTTGTCAAGCACAAGAATTCTGTCACTGTCCAAGATAGTATCCAATCTGTGAGCAATGGTGAAAATAGTCTTGTCGTTGAACTCTGATCTGATTGTTTCCTGGATAATCTTGTCAGTTTGAACATCAACAGCAGCAGTGGCCTCATCTAGAACCAAAACCTTGGACTTCTTCAAAAGAGCACGAGCAAGACACAATAACTGTTTTTGACCAGACGAAAGGTTTGAGCCTCCTTCAAGGACATTGGCTTTGAGTCCCACTTGTGGTTCTTCGTCCTTGGCATCCTTCTTTGTGTCCTTCTTGTCCTTGTCCTCTTTAACTTCTGACTTCATAGACTCAACGTGGGTCTTCAAGTGTGCCAAATCGAGCACCTTCCACAATTCCTCGTCGGTGTATTGGTCAAATGGGTCCAAATTCTGTCTAACAGTACCTTCGAAAGCATGGGCATCCTGAGGGATAATGTTAAGCTGGCCCCTCAAGTCATGAAGACCAATCTGGCTAGTGTCAATCAGATCAATATTGATGTTTCCTTCTGTGGCTTCGATGATTCTGAATAAAGCTAGCGTCAACGAACTCTTACCGGCACCTGTACGGCCAACAATACCAATCTTCTCAGATGGCTTGATTTCAAGGTTGATATTCTTCAAAACTGGAGGAAGACCAGGTCTGTAGCTAGTACTGTAGCCCTTGAATTCGACAGAGCCGTTATCAGGCCAAGTCTCTTGAGGTCTCTTTTCTTCAATAACTTCAGGAGCTTCCGATGGCAAATTACCGTATTCAATAAGTCTTTCGATGGAGACCAATCTGACCTCAACTTCCGACCACATTCTGATAATGGCGTTCAAAAACATGGTAGACGAGAAAACATATGTCATAAGAAAACCAATCATCGCAGGGGAAAAAGGCTTCTTGGAAACGAGTGACAAAAGAGTCAGCAAACTGGCAGCCAAGACAACAAGAGCAGCAATGGATTGAAGTCTCATCGACAACCATCTGTTAGTGTTTTGAGCGACAAAGTCCACCTTAATGACATTATCGACCTTTCTCTTGTTAGCGTGAATGAAACGTTCATTCTCATTGTAGGCACGCAAGGTTTCAGCACCGTTGATAGACTCTTGCAAGTGAGAGAACACAGGACTTCTCAAAGCTGAACGAAGTCTCTTGAGCTCTCTGGAGGCTGGAATGAACCAGTTTCTGTAACGAATGAAAATGATGACAAGAACAGGGATGACCAAAATCATGACTGGCAAGTTGTAGACAACAATACCAACTCTGATCAATGTCTCCATGATACTGTGGAAAAGAACAATGGAAATCCAAAGCATCTGGTTATCCAAAACGGAAATATCGTCCGAAAAACGGTTCAAAATCCTTCCAATAGGAGTGGTGTCAAAGAACGACATTGGAGCTCTCAAAACACTCTTGGCCATACGGTCATGGAAGTATTTCGAGCAATGGATTGCACTGAAAGTCCAGATAATGTAACTGTTCACAAAGTTTATGATACCTCCCAAAACACCGGTAGAGGCATAGAGGGTCAAATAAAGAGAAGGCTTGACATTGGATCCATGTTCAAAGTTCTTTTCGGACCAGATCTTCAAGACAACCCTTCCATAAATTTCAGTGACGGCAATGACAACAGACAAGATAGACCAAACAATAATAATAGGATATCTGCAAGCCTTGATGTACTGAATGTACACATCGAGCTTGATTTTACCTTTCTCTGTCTTCTCCTTGTTCTCGTCATCCTTTTGAGTCTTTCCGAAGTCTTCTTCGAACTGATACTTGTGATCAAAAGACACCACAGATGCTCTTCCAATAGTTTGCTGACTCAGAACCTTGACCAATGGTATATGGGCGTCATCACCCAAATCCTCGACCTCTCTAAGTGCGGTAGGTTGGAATGGTTTAGGCTCTTCGTCTTCGCTAGATTCAGTCGACAGCTCACGAGCAGTGTCTTCAGCGTCAGTCAGATGATCATTTTGATCAGCGAACTCTGCAATGAGCTTGGCAACATCACCTTGTTTCTCGACCAATGATTCATGAGTACCATGTTCAATGACTTCACCTTGCTTGAGGTAGTAAATATCTTGGGCAATCTTAAGGATCTTGACGGAGTTCGTTGCGAGAATGATAGTCTTGGAGGCTAACATACCATCAGAAGACAACACAGCATTGGTGATTCTCTTACCAACATGGGCGTCGACAGCAGACAACACATCATCCAACAAGTAGATATCAGCTCTAGAATAAACAGCTCTAGCCAAGGACAAACGAGCCTTTTGGCCACCAGAAAGAGAAATACCCTTCTCTCCCACAAGTGTCGAGTCACCATGAGGCAAGACCTCAAAGTCATGCTTCAATTGACATGCTTCGATGGTCTTGTCGTAGAAGTCACGATCAAAACGCTTGCCGAAAATAATGTTCTCTCTCACAGACGAGTTCAAGATCCAGGCATTCTGAGCACAGTAAGCAACAGTACCATTTACACTGACAGAACTGTTATCGGTGTGAAGCTTTGGAATCTCGCCAACGATCGACTTCAAAAGGGTCGTCTTACCGGAACCAACTCTACCGACAACGCATGTCAATTCACCCTTTCTTGCTTTGAAGTTAATGTTCTTCAAGGCGTAAGTAGGCTCACCATCGGTCTTGTCGGCAGCTTTTTGAGACCATACAAATGAGGCATTCGAAATGCGGACGCTCTCGTCACCCTTCTTCAATGGCTTGTTAGTGCGCTCAATAACGCCCTCTTCCATCTCATCCATGATAAAGTAATCTTGCAATCTGTTTAAAGACACCTTGGCCTCGGCAACCTGAGAGAAAATGCCTGGAATCATCTGAATTGGATCAGAAAGTTGATCAAACAAAGAAAGAGCTGGGAAAATAATAGCTGGAGTAAGTGGAGACTCGCTGAAGAAGCCGAAGAAACCGTACACAGCACATGAAATCAAGAAAGGAATACATTCCCAGACGAAGTCTGCACCGGCGTTCCAAATACCCATCTGCTTTGCGTTCTTCAATTCCTTCTTGTTTCTGACTTCGTCCAAACGCTTTAACATAGGTTTCTCCCAAGAATACAACTTGATAGACTTGATGGAGTTAAGAATTTCTGAGGTGAGTCTGGTTCTCTCATCCTTGCACTCCATCTGGATCTTGAACAAAGAGAAGATGGCCATACTAACCATAGACGAAAGTGGAACCATGATAAGAGCAACTGCAAGACCAGCCCATGTTGAGTTACCAAGAAGTTTCCACAAGGCACCTAAGCACAATGCCAAACGAATTGGGATAACAACAGCATCAGAGACAACTTCAAGACATCTAGCAATGACACCAACATCCACGGACACGTGGTTGACGATCTCACCGGTGTTCTTCTCTCTTCTGGCGTCTGGGGATAATTTAAGAGCTTTCTCGTAGGACATCGTGGTAAGGGAGGACTGAACACCAAAACTGATACGGAAGAACGACATGAACAACTGGTTAAAGGAAAAGTAACGCAAGACAGATGCACCATAGATAGAAAACGATAAGACAAAACCAATTATCAAAGGAGGAGTCTCTTTGCCAGCTTCCTTAGCTGTAACATAGTTCGTGAAGTACTTGATGAAAGCTTGAAGCAAGAATGGAACAGATGTGTTTGAGATAATTTCTCCCAATTGGAAACCAATACCTTGAAGAGAGGTGATCCAGTACATCTTACCAACAACTAAAAGCAAGCTAGGTTTGACTTTCTTGTCTTCTTCGGTTGGTTCCTTTGCGTTCCTGACTCTTCTGTCTCTCCACCAAGTAGCTCTTTTGATCTCCTTGGCCCAGGCTTTACGGAAAACTTCCGAAATAACATCACTTTGCAATTCAATTTCTGCGCTAGGAACTTCTTCAACCTCAATGTTGTTAGTGTGGTAGACATCTTTAAGCATAGGATTGACCCAGGTGAACAACAAAAGCTGGACTAAGTTTCTAACAGTAGAAGGTTCCCATCCGTTTAAGTCAAAGTACTCGATCAATTCTTTGGAAGGACTGTAGTATGAGTTTTCAAGGACAAACACAAAAATGGAGTTGGCCAACAAGAAAACTTCCCCAGTGATAACCAGAGACAAGACGTCTTTACCGGCGTGAGGCTGAACAAAGACCTTGTATGGAGACCACCAATCGTTGATGAGAATGATAAGCCATGAGATACTGGAAAAGAACCAGAAGAAGAGCAAGGAGCCGTGGCCCACAACTGATCTGGTGGATTCAAGGATATGAAGTGGGAGTACCAAAAGGAAAGCCACAGCTGCAGCAGCAAGAGCAGCCTGAGGAATCACCAGTTCAGATATACTGTCAACAGGGCTGTTGCCAGAGCTCAAAGATGCAAGGAGAAGAGTCACAAGGCCTTGAAGAACGGCCAGTAGCACTTTCCAGAAGTGTACGATACCCACACTTTTCACCGACCATGGGTTGCCAAATGAGTATTTAAGTTTGAAAGGACCATAGCTGTTTCTGAACAAAAGCAATATAAGCTGGTACAAGGTAACAATGGCAAAAGGAGCTTGGATAAGTAGGAGGCCCGAAGCTAGGAAACACGGGTTTGGGGCACTTTTATGTGGATTGAATAGAGGCCGATAGATGGCTTCGCCCAACGTACAGTTTAGGCGGCCTGTGGCCATTGGCGTCAACGGAGACGGAGACGGGGCCAATATCGGTAGTTGAGGCATAAACCTGGAATGAATAGATAATGTACAAAAAAAAAAAAGTACAAGTCAGAGATGAGGGTGAAGAAATATGGCGGTTATATAAGGTGGTAGCGAGAGTTACAGATAAGCTGCGCGGCTTGAAAAAAAAAAAAAAAAATACCTATATCTGAAAAATTATCTGTCACCGTCAAAAAAGGGTATAAACCCCGTAGGCTTTCCCACCCAATCGGGCCGAATCCGTACAAAACCTATCTTCTCCATGTACTGACTCACCGCAGTCTTGCATCCTCTGCGCCATACGACCCTCTGCCTTGCTTCCATTTTCTTTCCAAACCTTCGTCCAGTGCATATTAGGCGTGGGTCGCTTCCAGTGTGGCTCTATCCGCAGGGTACGTAGGCACAAGAGCCTATCGTACCCGGGTGGCAAAATACACGGTTTGGGAGAAGGTGGTTACTGTTTTGATCTTAAAGCGTAGGAATGAGTCATACTTGGCAGCACGGCTGTAGTTCTTTAAATGGATAGACAGAACGTGGGGAGTCTTTTTGTTTGCTGGTTATCTGGGTGGCAAAGCGAGGGGACCCACAGAGAGGATTGAGCCTCTTGGGCGTACGGCCTTGAGATAGTGGAACGGCTGCGAAAATCACTGGCACTGGTAGACACAGACACAAAGAGGTGTAAGCCAATCAGGGAAGGGGCCAATCAGAGCGGCAGAAAATGCAAAGTGGAAGGAGGCTGGTGGTACCTGGTGGTGGTAGAAGGTAGAAGGTAGGAGGTCGGTGGTGGTGGTTTGGCTGGGTACTTGGACTACTGTGGTTCAGGTGACCAGTAGGGTAGCCAGACGAGGGAGCTCAGAGGGTGATACTGGCGGTACTTTTCTATGTTTGTTGTTTTCTTCATATTTGTTTTCAACCTCCATTGACAACCGTTTTTTTCCTTTTTGGTGTTTCTTCATCAATTCCACCTTCTTTGGTTGGTTTGTCTCTGCCTTGGTATTTGCATCCATTGACAGCCTGGAAAACTCGAGCCGAGCCCGCGCTAAACCTTGACAGCTTATCCGACAAGCTGCAAATGCACCACCGCCAGCACCAAAACGGAAGTCAACATGAACCGATCCATATGTACATTTCGGATCGACTTGTTGAGCTTTTGCTTTGGTTTTTGGTTTTTGGCTTTTGCCTTTTTGACTTCTTACCTGTATTTCACCTCATACTCTCCCTACTATATTGGTCGCATCGCTTCCCGAGCTCATCTGCATGCCTGGTGCATACTTATCTTCCTCATGGGCCTGGAGATACAAGAGGTGTGTCGAATTTGCAGCAACTTAGATTCCTTGGTTGCCGTAGGGACGCTTCTAATATACGGCTTAGAAGGTCTTCAGTTTGGCTTTGAGGGAATTGCCCTGGATGAAGACGGCTGGAAATGGCTAGATCCATGGTTCTTGGATACTTGCATTGGTGCCAGTGCTAGCACCCATGTTCGAGCCCTTTCCCAACTTCTACGACACAGATACTTTGTGGCTACATATAGGAAGGCTACGCTTGGTACATTGGATACCCTCTTCAAATCATTGGGTGCAAAACCAACTCCAGTTTACAGGGTTCGGTTGTACGCTGTGCCGAGCGATGTTGATGGAGCACGGTTTGTGAAACTGTGGAGAAGCAGGTTGACGCTGGAAACACGTTTGGCCAAGATTTATAAGTCAAACTGGCTGGTTTTACGAGAAGTGGTTGACTTTTCGGCTGGTTCTTGGGAGAATGGCTCGGTGCTGGGTATCTCAGTCATGGTTCCCTTGATAGGACTGAAACCTGCTGGAAAGAAGCCTGAAACAGGCTCTTCGGAATCTTTTCATATCCAGAGATGGCTAGAAGGGTCGTCATATTTGGTTCCACTGCATTCGACTGTTCATTCTTTGGAAACAGTGGTGAAGCGAACGTACGATAGTATATCGCCACCAGATCTTTCAAAATACAAAGATAAGAACTTCCAGCCACCACTAGATATACCATCGGGAGAAGAGATAATAAAGGGCCTCGTTAATTGCTACTATACCAATCAATCCCCTATTAATGGAGTATCTTCTGTCTTATACCCTTTCCAGCTCAACTCGGTGTGCAAGATGTACGAAAAGGAACTGGTTCCAAAACGAGAAATCCTACCGAACTATACAAAAGTTACTTCTCCGTGTGGTTACAGCTACTATGTTGATATCTTCTTTTTGGACTTTCACAGACTACCAGATTCATTCCTTCTTCCGAAAGGCGGCATCCTAGCTGAAAATATGGGTCTCGGCAAGACATTGATCTGTCTTTCATTGGTATGTTTGACCAAGCATCAATTTTCTACCATACCAGAAGATGCTATTCTACATGATGACCAGAGTATGGAAGGCACTGTCAATGAAAAGCCCATAGAGCTTCCCGGTACGTTGAAGTCGCTCTGGGAAATCTGTAGGGAGACAATCTCTCAAAAGTCACTTCCCTGGAAATTTTATAAAGATGATCTCCCTTCATCGGTTGTTGAGAAGCTTTCTTACCGTCCTGGCTTTTTCAAGCTTCCGTTACATATTGCCGAGAATCATCTTGGGGTTCGTGCCCGTCACTCATTGATGCAAGATGGTCGCTTTCGTGTACTCTACCTTTGCAATACCACCTTGGTTATAGTACCCGAGAACCTTTTCCATCAGTGGCATGGTGAAATGACGAAGCATCTTGAACCAAATTACCTCAAGTCTCTCTTCATCTCAGATCGCTTCCAAGAACACCTTAAGACGGATAGTTCCGTTTACTCGAACTTACTTCCATCTTCACCACGCGAGTTGATCCAATATGATCTTGTTGTCATGACTATTTCGCTGTTCCAAAAGAGGATTCGGCCTGATGATAGTATCCTTAAAGCGATCCATTGGAAAAGACTCATTATAGATGAAGGGCACTCAATGGGCTCGAAATCCACTAGTCTCAGCTCCGACTGTAAATCATTACTGTGTGAAAGAATATGGGCAGTGACTGGTACGCCTACCTCTGGCTTGACGAATCTACATATGAATGAAGAAGAGCCTGTCACTTCAAGCCCCAGCAAGAAGAGGAAGTACACTGTTAAAAGCAGTTTTAGCGTAAAGGACGATCTTACTAGAGTTGGCAACCTTGTCTCGAGTTTCTTCAAAATTGAACCTTACTTCAGCCAGCCTCGGCTCTGGAGCTCTACAATTGTACGATACTTGACTTCAGAGAACTTCAACACCGAAACAAGCTTGAGGAATCTCTTGAATATATTGCTAGTGCGGCACAACTTGACTGAGGTCGAAAGGGATTTAAAACTACCACAACTACATCATGAAGCCGTCTTTATAAACCCATCTTACCAGAATAAGCTAGCTATAAACCTTTTTACCGCAGTTCTTGCAGTCAACGCCGTATCTTCTGAAAGGGAAGGCTCTGACTATATGTTCGATGCTTCCAATCATCAAGAACTCCGGAAATTGGTGAACAACCTTCAGCTCGCTACGTTTTACTGGACGGGTTTCAAACAACAAGACGTCGAAACCTTATTACGGATCGCAAAACATGGATTAAAGAAACAAAACAAGGATGGTGGTCCATATCATTCTACCTACGACAGACGATTACTTTACAATTCCATTAAAGCATCCTCAGAAGCATTAGAGAATCAAAGTTGGAGAACAGCAGCTGCTCTTCATGAGATGTTGTACTATGTTGAAGGCGTTCCAAATTCATTCGTCAAGCATTTTGGCATGGTGTTGGACCAATCGATGTCGCTTTTCGGGGCACCGCATCTATCAGCTCTCCAGAAGTTCTATTACAAGAACAGGTTTCTTAATATGAACGACACCGAAAAGTTGGAAATGAAATTACATGAAGCCTCAGGCCCATTTTGGGAAAGATACTGGATGGAAGCGGAACAAAAGGAGGGAAACTCACGAAAGCGACATCCTGGTAGTCCAGACAGTAAGGCTGTGGCCGGCACGAACTTGCTGGATTCCAAAGTCGACCCCGAGGTTGATCTTTTGAGAAGCAAGCAGAACATAGCCAGTGCCCGCTCTATCCGTTCGGCTTCTAGCATCCCAGAGAACAATTCGTACGAAAGGGTGTGCAATATCAAGAACGCTAACATTCGTGGAACGGCATCTTCCAAGCTCTCATACCTCGCAACAAAGCTCGTGGAGAATCAAAGAGCCGGTCTCAAGTCGATTGTTTTCTTCGAGTACGAGGACTCTGCTTACTACCTTTCCGAATTTCTAGACATTATTGGCGTGAAGTATATTTTATATGCTACTTTTATTGGTGCAAGTCAGAGGGCCAACAACATTATAGAGTTTGACCATCATGATTCCCAGGTCGACGGAGGAATAGCTCTCATCATGGATTTGAGATTGGCAGCACATGGATTGACTGTGATTTCTGCAACCCGAGTCTATTTTTTGTCGCCAGTATGGCACAGGTCTAGAGAAGCTCAAGCAATAAAGAGAGCACACAGAATCGGACAAACACAAGAGGTTTACGTCGAAACATTGGTTTTGCGAGGTACTCTCGAGGAGGAAATTTATAAGCGGCGAACCGGACATGAAGATGAAAGCTTTGATGGTCAACCTTCCAAGCATGAAGTGATTGATGACGCAGGTATGCAGCGATTTATCTTGAAGCATGAGTTTCTTCCAACTGATATTCACGAAGAGGAGCACTCATCATTCTCGATCCCGGCGCATGAAGACGTTGATAATCAGGATTTCAATGAGCACTTGGATGAAGAGTCTTCTCTTCAGTCACACACCATGACCAAACAGGACTATGGCGGTATACCCTATCATGACTGGACAATGCGGCTCTTTACTCAAGAAAACCTAGACAAGCTCAACAGCATGAAACAACAGAAACCAACCAAAGCAGAGTCAAATAGAGACTTGCTCAGTATAGGCAACACGCCCAAACGAGTTCAACAACAAAAGAAGGAGGGGATTGTCAAACGCAGGCGTGTGCAATTTAGATAGTGATAGATACTCAATTCTCCTCAAAATCAAAGCTCTCTCAATATCAAATTAGAATCTGCTGACGCCGTCATGAGAATTTTCTCTGAAGGATGAAAGTCCACATCCAAAACACCTTTGGCATGGTCGTCGAATTTGTGTACCATACGACGTGATGTTGAGCCCCATACCACACAAGTTGGCTCTTCTGATCCCAGCGATAGTAAGGTATCGTCAGAAGAAAAGGCAAGCTTCACAAGATTCTTCTGAGGTCCACCCACACTACCGTCATAACCATATTTTCCAACTCGACTGACTCCGTCAGTAATGATATTCTTCGTGCTAAGAAGTCTTACTTCACCATCCATAGATCTCGCTGCAAGCATATTCCCGTCGTGACTGAGAGCCAACGACGTGGTTGGTGCCTGGAAAGGCTGGGACTTCCATGCCAATTTCTTTGTTTTCACATCATAAGCACGAACGTAAGAGTCTATTCCACTCACGTAGATGGTATCTTTGGAAGCGTCACACGCTAGTAGAGGATACTCGGTAGTGAACTTGAAGATCTCGTTCTTTTCCCTCTCATCCCACACAATTGCATCGCCGTCATCTCCAACGGAAACACTTTGCTGGCCCAACTTAGCGCAATCGTTAACAACAGAAGAGTGGCTCTTGCCTACTCTCTTCTTGACTCCAGTTTCTGTGTCCCAGAAAGCGACGGTCGTATCTGATGAAACAGAAAACAACGAGGCCTCCAGTAGCCATCGTAGAGAAGTGACTGCTCCTTTATGTCCTTGAAGAATACCGTAATTGGGGATCTCTTCTTCGAGATCCACCGGTAGCTTCCATAGCAAGATGTCTCTGTCCATTCCTCCAGAAGCTATGTTTTCACCGTAAGGACTGAACTTGGCCGAGAGAACATTTCCCTGGTGACCCAGCAAAAGAACGGCATCGTCATAGAGAATATTACCTCCACGACCGTTGCGTGTTGGTTGAAGAGCCATGTTGTGGATTATGTATGGCCTGTGCGCATCTCATCAGTTATACATTACGGTGCATTATATCTAGGCGAGGTACTCGTAAGAGTCTCCCTCACAACGTGCTATGTACTCCTTCTCCAACAAGTATTCGATTGCTCTTTTGAGGTCGATGAGTTTTGCCTTGAAACGTGATTGGGCCTGGAGTAAAACCTCGTTGACCAACTCGTTGTGCTTCATGGTCTTTCTGGCCTTCATTATTCTCACGATACTAGCCGTAAGGTAGTTCTTTCTCGACTCGTCAATCTCCTTGTTCGTGTCTTCGTCTTCTTGTTTCTGTTCGCTCTTGATTGTGCTGACGAAGTTGACCTTCAACTTCTTTGACTTGTACTCGTTCACGATTGTGAAGGTGGTGTCAGGAGAGTTGAACTCCAGAGGCGAATTAGGGTTCTGCTCAAGCAACTTGAATTTAACAAGCGGCGTCAAGTGGGCCTCAAATACGTGTTTGGCAACACCAACGATTTCATGAAGTTGGGCGTAGGAATAGGTTGTGTTTTTGTTGAAAGCCAAGATGATCATGAGTTGCACGTTGGTAACGGTGAAAATGAATGGAGGTTTACCTTTTCTTGACAAGTTAGCTTTGATTTCACTCTTTCCGTGGTTCCAAAGCCACTGCAATTCTCTACCGTTATGCTTGCCAGTGTATTCCTCTTCCACGGCCTTGATCGTGTCCTGCAACTCGGGCGCAACATTGAGTTTATAATCCTCAATATGATGGAATGGCCACATGCTCTGGGCCAAAATTAATGGGGTAAAGTCGTTGACAACCGACCGATCTCCAAGGATTTGTCTGATGTTCATCTTCAAATCTTCCAGAGACTTCATATCTTGGAACATCTTGCTGATTTTAGACGTGAATTCCATCGAGTTACCCTCTTGTAATCTTTGTAACATACCTTCTTCTAGCTCGTCAGACTTTGTATTACCATTAATCAATCTCTTAGCAAGCAAACGGCGGTAGTTGTTTTCAAAGACATCTTTGTTGTCGATGTATTTCAACATGAGAGCTAAGTTGTCAGCCGTCATATTGGCGACATCAGCTTCCTTAGATGTGGCTTTCAAGAAGCTGTCGGCATACTTAGCCAACAATTCCGGAGTCTTGCTTGCGCTCTTTGGAGTAGGTGTAGCGATGACATTAATGTTGACAAAGTGTCGACAAGCAGAGTCTAACGCTTTGATGAAAAGGGGGTCCTTCTTAAATGCATTAAAGACAACATCGTTGAACTTCATGTAAACCAGAATCAACGTGTGTATGTATACCTTTGGAGAGATGAGACCTTGAGACGATCTCTTGGTCCTCTCTTCAGGCGCTGGTGCGCCAGTAGGTTCTGCGGAGGTTTTAAGCTCTTCTATAGCTTTAGCAGCCTCTACCTTGATGTGGCTCTCCAAACTATCTGCCAATGGCTGCAATGTGCTGGGTACCTTGGATAATAACTTGTACATCCTCAGGATATGGTCGATTTCATTTTGTTCGAGCAACTTGAGGAACTGGTCGTACATCTCATTGGCGTGATCTCTGATCAAAACCATGTGCAACACTTCAAGCAATTGCCTCTTGCTCCGTTCCTCTAAGTAGTTGTTGGATCTGGAAATCTCCTCAGACAATCTGCTCTCGCATTTCATCATGTAGTCGACAACGTTGTGCAGTGAGAGGAAGCTGTCACTCTCTTTCTTGTAGTAGACAGCGGTACGAGTCATGAAATCCATTTCGAAATGCTTCGTGTAGACCAACATATTCGTCTTCTTCAAATCGTTGGTGTCAATGCCCAAATCAACCATGGATCTGACGGCCACGGAAATGACATTTGTGTCGACGATCTCGTTGTTTCTCTGCCTCTCAATCAATTCAAGCACCTCGTTCATGATCCTGTCGGCGTTGTTATTAAACATATGGTACTTCCACTGGAGCAATGCCAATGTGTTGACGTCAAAGATGTCTCTTCTTCCGTCTGAGCGCTCCTTCTGGACCCAGTATCTGTTCATATAGTCAAAAACATTATTCATGTAGCCAGCACCAATGGTGAAACGCTTCCATTTCCTGACGTAAAACTCCAAGAACAGCTCGTGTGGCTCCTTCTGCAAGCTCTGGATGAAGTTGATTAGGTACTCTTGTAGTTTATTGTATATCTCTGCCCCCGTCAAGGAGTATGTGGTCTTATCCTTACCAGATTTGCTGAAAACAGACACATTCAGGTTACGAGACTTGTTGGCACAGTAGTTATACACGGCGGTGTAGCAGTTCATGTACATTCTGGATGTGACGCCCTGATCACCCTGGGCCCCAAGAATGAACTCGAGACCAGGTTCAATGAAATTCCACGTGGCATCCAAATCACCTGCTATTGGAAGGGTTTGGGGTGACGACATGTGTGGCGGTGATTGGGAATAGTATAGAGAAGAAAGATTTCTAATGGATCCCAGATAGCGCTGTTGCGATTGTGGTAGGACATGGGTGCAGGAGTTGACTGGTAGTACTACTGGAGGTGGCCGAAGTTGGAGACGACTAGCCTGCAGAAACACCTGATCCATGGGAATTTATATGATTTAATTTAATTTGTGGTTCTGAAGTGTTGGTATTGTTGTTTGTTGGAAGTTTGTGTGGCGCTTGGAATTGTTGCTCAGGAGGTGGGATCTACGGGTACTCGCTAACCCTTGAATTATATTACTATCTCTACTCTGTCCTTGAATCACTGACGGTCACCCTATCTACCACTCGTATAATAGATATCGTGAACGTAAGAACCCATAGACATAGCGCCAAAAACAAAAACGATGTTAACGCTTTTTGTCGCCTGCAAAGAGACGATACTGGTGGGTAAAAGATCCCCAAGCTCTTGAGAACATCAGAGTTCACGTCATGACAAACCCATTCCTGGTCGGCTAAGGAGTTGAAAGCCAATGAAAGGTTTGCCGAGGAGAATATAATGAAAAACAAGTCTAACATAATGAGCTTCATCTTCCCCAGCGGGTTTCTCAACCCCATTGGCTTACCAGAGTACTCGTCGTACGCAATATAGACAACATAAACCACTGCAAAGCAGTTCACCACAATGGCCATGATAGTACTGGCTTGTTGTGGAATTTCAAAGTCATCATACTTCTTTTGGAGTTTTCAAAGATGGTACATGCGAGGGCTAAAGCAGCCACGCAGAACATGAGGATAAGGATACGCAATAGAAGAGGTACCAATGGATTGGTGATGAAAATCCTCTTCAACGTGGGTAAAAGAACAGCACGCTTCTCGTCCAGCATCCAGTAGCCAGCTTGGGACCTGTGACGAACTTTTTCATCCGGCTTTTGCGGTTTCTTCTTGAACATCTTCGACCAGAACCCTGGCGAGCTATCTATGTCGGCGATAGAGTCATTAGACGAGGCGCCCATGAGAGCGAGCCGAAGTCTCTCGTCTCCGCCCCATGGCTCGTCAAAGTCGGCCCGCTCAGCGAGCGTCGAAACTTCATCCATTCTATCTGGCGGATACACCTCGGGCATCTTGACGGTCTTGATGAAATTGCTCCAGTTGCCGCCTATAGAGCGGACGAAAGGGTCGTTGGCAAACAGCTGGTACTGTTCTTCGTCGTCCCAGCGGGTCTGATGTTGCGCTCTTAACGACTGGGAGAAATCCGCCTGGCCCACGTTGACATTGGCATTATTCTGTTCCCTGTGGTGGGCCTGCGCTAGTCTATCCAACACATACGTTGGCACAAGAGCCGCCGTCTGGGAATAGAACAGAAGAGGCGTCTCGGCGACTGGATCTAGTGGGTAGAAGTTACCATTTTGGTCTGCTTTGGCATTGGAATGGCGCTCAGATTGCATTTCGAGTGCCTTCACTTGATAGTTCCTTCTTGCCGCGTGGTTTCTATGGTATTGCCGAGTCTAGGGGTACTCAAGAAAGGCCAGTTTTTTGTAAGTCTCTGGTATGGTGGATGGTTAGAGTGCAATTCGGCAAGTGAGGTTTGTAGCAAATCCCAGAGGTGACTGCAGACTGACGTTTTGCATCCAAACACAAGCAAGTCGAAGGATTCTATAGGAGACCGAAATATAGGGGCACGCCAGGATTAACCAATTTTTTTTAATTTTATTTCACAATCACTGGTCCCAAGATTATCTTCGTATCTTCAAAAATATCCTCCTTCTCCTTTGGCAGCCCCTGATGCCGATGTGGTATGTTTACTTACATTGCCGCATTGGGCAGGTATGATAAACGATGTGGGACTAGCGCCAATCGAAGAGACACAAAACCAGTAGCCAATCTTAGAGGAAGCGATGGAACCTAAATTTGATTTTTTCAAAACTAGGATTTTGAATTTGGTTTTGGTTTTGAGCCAGTGTTTGGTATCCTTTCTTTTTCACTTTTTTTTCAAGCTTCGCCTTGCCATGTTGCATTCTCATATTCGCTAAGACACTGTCACTGGCGTGCGTCTTCTCTGGCATGTGTCGTACTGAACCGAGGCATACCATAAAGCAAACCTCCAAACACAATGTAGCACAATACTTAGACTTCCGATTGCTAGTAGAATCTGCTTGTCAGTTAATGCAAGCCATCTTTTTTTCCCTTCTCGGATTGTCTTTGTACGCCCTCTGGTTCGTTGCTCTGGCGGTACTATTTTGCAACTTCCTGCATACTTCCCCACATCCACTTGCTGATAGTTCGATGGGCCTTTGCCCCTTCAGCAACCCTCTGATGCTTGTTACCAGGTGTGAGAGAACTGTATCGCATATTCTTTCAAATAATGGCAGTCGTTCGCTAGGCGCAATGGCGGCCTTGAATTCCTCAGCTTTTCGTCATGCCGCCGTCGGTCCTTGGAGAACAAGACCGTTGCCATGGGCTATGGTGGGGAACAGATTCAGGTACATGTCTACTGATCTGAAGCCTGAAGAGCATAGCGGATCAGAGATAAAGCAGCCAAAACCTATTTTTGATCCCGAGACGCTTTATATCGTTTCCATCCCAATCACAACCCACAGGTCTTACATATTTTGCAACCACAAACTGTCTTTCCTAGACAAGGGCCAGAAGGTGCCATTATATGTGAGAGCCGAGGCGAAAATCATAGCCTTGGCTCGCAAGGGTTGGGATAAGCTCCGAAGTTCCGAGATTACTATCAACAAGAAAGTTGTGGTGTTTGCCAATAAGCTCCTCGATACCATCCCATATGACGAGAGTTGCCTTCAATCTTTCCCTGCAAAGAAAGTCATGGTTAGAGAGATCAACGAGGAACACCTTCAAGAGGTACCCAAAACGTTAGTCACGGGAAAGATGAAGGAGAAGAAAGTTTCTGTGGATCAATTGAAACCCATCCCAGTGTATCACCCCAGGTTCCAAGAGGCACTGGCTATTCTCTCGCAGATGCATCATTTCAGAGATCAATTTGGTACTTATCATCGCAAGTGGGCCATTTGGTGTGGAATTGGTGTCCCAATCACCCTTCCCCTTGCGCTTATCCCAGTAATGCCGAATGTGCCGGGTTTCTATTTGGCATATAGGTTCTACTGCCACATCAAAGCACTCATGGGTGTCAACAACATGGGCTACTTGTTGGAGACCACTGGAGATCCAGATGCCGACCCAACGCCTGACGACACCACTCATTTGACATTCCAGGCCTGCTCTAAACTAGACGTTCCATACTTGGCAGATGCGACCTTTGCAAAAGTCAAAGCAGAGGATAATAATGAGAATGAACTGGTTCTTGTGACCCACGACACAATTGATAGAATCGTGGATCACAGCGGCCTTGAACAATTAAGAGACGACCTTCACAAGGCATTGAAGCAAGAGCTGGCCCGCTTAAAGAAGCAGTTGGCTGAGGAGAGTGTACAGTAAAGCTCCCCCAGCCAGTGTGAAGGTGTTCGCGCGTGATGTTGTTCACGTGTGAGGTTCAAAAAAAGCAGTCACAGGAGGGCTCCGCACAGTCTGCGACATGGATTTCTGGTGTGCTTTGCACGACGGTCACTTGTCGGCAGACTCATATATAGTGCGACTGGTCCTTCTCTCTTACTTTTTTTCCTCCAGCATTCATTCACTATGAGAGATAAGTGGAGAAAGAAGAGAGTTAGAAGACTTAAGAGAAAGAGACGGAAGGTTAGAGCTAGATCCAAGTAATTGGACAGCTTAGTCTGACGCTCTCATGGAACATTGGCTGAAAAGCTTTCACCCCATCGAGATGTCCGTACATAGCAATACATGCCTACGGTATGAATAAACCACAACAATGTAGTCTAGGAAGACGAACAACTAAGGAGGAAGTCTATTCAAACGGTGATGACAATAAGTGGTCTTGACGGAGGCTTGCTGAAGGGATGATCGAATCAAGAATATATTTCCAAGGTACACCTACGATGAGAATGGCCATGCCCGAGTGAGCAATGATAAATGCATAGCTTGACTTGAGGAGGCTCACTCGACGATTTTGACAAAAATTTGCCTTATGAATTGCTTGATTGGCAATTTTCATTCCCTTGGAAATGGGATATTCGTTGGTGGTACCGTCACCTCTTGTGGTGTACGGGTGTAGAAATGGTTGCAAAAACCCAGCCTGATCTGGTATGGTAAAACACAAAGACCGTTGAACCCAAACCAGACATGCCATTACCTCCATCTCCACAAAGTATACATCGAAAGTCGATCTCTAAGCTGAGGCGGTCACATCCCGACTCTCCAAGTTCTGCAATTTTCAATTTTCTGCCTGAAAGAAGTGGTTTTGACCATATAAAAGCGTACAATGAACAAGCAACTTCAGCTGCCTTTTCGTTTGCACCTTCACCACCTCTAAGGGTCAAAACAATTCCTCAATATGTTGGTCGCTCTTCTCGCCTGCCGCCTGGATTATCAATTACTTTGCCAGCCAACATTACAATCATCAGGTCAACAGGTAAGCTCAGTCATGTAGAGAGCCTAAGTCAATTTCCATTGGGCGGTTCAGGGAACACAGAAAATGCTGTTGAGAATCAGCCAGAAAGCACAGTTTCACCAGAATCTGAGCGATCAGATACTCCTAACTTTCAATGTCAGGCTGGTCCTCGAAGTCCTCCAGAACCAGCGCATTGCGTTGAACGACCTCAACTACCGACTGGTTTGTTCTTAGACCCGTTTACTGAGTACATGCTGGACCGTTTGGCTCGTTTCAGGCCACTGGATGGTCAAAGCAACCCAAACATGCCGCTTGATTTTGCTCATCCATATCAAGCCAATGATGATAGTCCTCAACAATCGCTGTGGACCAATTGGCTCACTAATAGGTGGCAGCCGGCTCCTTCTGCTCCGGTAGCAACAACAGCTTTATCTCCTTTGGTTGAAGGACCGCCTGCGGCAAGTGGAAGTTCTCTTTTCTTACCAAGAGATGCACCTCAATTGATTACTGAAGAGCCGGCGTCTGCGGCACTAGAAGCTACACCGCAAGCTGAATTATTGGAGGACAGTAAGACAGAAGACGGGCCGGAGAGTCTGTCAGGTCAGTGTATATGGTGTCTATGTTGATACAAGTAGCTGATGTAACAAAATATGTGTTTTGTGCTACACCTCACGTACGTAAGGTATTCTAAAACGTAAACTAAGTAGATAAAATGCACATGGTGCAATGAATGAAATAGAAGTTTTATGGGAAAGACATTTCTTACTCGGCAGCTTCGCCAAAACGTTCGCTGATCTTGGTGAACAACTCGTTGAAGTTCTTACGACCAGCATCCTCACCGTCAGCAGGCTCAAAGAACTTAGCGCTCGAGACGGCATGCTTCACATCACCAGTAGCCTCGGCTAACTTACCCCAAGCGGCACCGTTGGCAACAGCCTTCTGGGCCTCGTCGTGGTAGTTAACAAAAGCACGCATCATGTCGTAGGTCTTCCAGATAGGACAGAACTGGTCATAGGTGGAGTAACCGTTCTGTTGCAAGAAGTCCTCCTTAATCAAGTTAGAAACATCCAAAACAATCTTATCGGAGTCGGACAAAGCGGACTTACCGACCAATTGCACAACCTGCTCCAACTCTTCGGCGTTAGACAAGATCTCCTTGATCTTAGTTCTCAAAGCCTTGAAGCCAGGGAAGTTCTTTTCGTAGTATGGATCCAAAACGTTGGTGTACTTGGAGTAAGAGATACCAGTGTTAATGGATGGGAAATGCTTACGTTGAGCCAATTTCTTGTCCAAACCCCAGAAAACTTGAGTAATACCCAAAGTAGCAGTAGTCACAGGATCAGAGAAATCACCACCGGCTGGGGAAACAGCAGCAACAATGGAGACGGAACCGACTCTGTCTGGAGAACCCAAGGAGGTGGCCTTACCAGCACGCTCGTAGAAAGAAGCCAACTTAGCACCCAAGTAAGCAGGGAAACCTTGATCAGCAGGCATCTCACCCAAACGACCGGAAAGTTCTCTCAAAGCCTCGGCCCAACGAGAAGAGGAGTCAGCAATCATAGAAACATGTTTACCCTGATCACGGAAGTATTCAGCGATAGTAATACCAGTGTAAATAGAAGCTTCACGAGCAGCGACAGGCATGTTAGAGGTGTTAGCGACCAAAGTAGTACGCTTCATAATAGGCTCCTTCTTACCACTCATCTCAGTGTAAAGTTCTGGGAATTCCATCAAGACTTCAGCCATCTCGTTACCACGCTCACCACATCCAGTGTAAATGATAATATCAGAGTTGGAGAACTTGGACAAGGATTGAGAAATGACAGTCTTACCACAACCGAAAGCACCTGGAATACATGTAGTACCACCTTGGACACATGGGAACAAGGAGTCCAAGACTCTCTGACCGGTCAACAATGGGTAGTCAGCAGTCAATTTCTCAGCAACAGGTCTTGGGACTCTGACAGGCCATGTGTGCATCATGGAGTACTTGTGCTTCTTTCCTTCGAACTCAACTTCCAACACAGGGTCCTCAACAGTGTAGGAGCCAGCCTCAGCAATCGAGGTGATGGTACCTCTCGCTCTTGGAGGCAACAAGATCTTGTGGTCATCTAACAAGGAGTTCTCGAAAATGGAACCAAAAATGTCACCACCAGTGATGTGGTCGCCAACCTTCAAGGAGGCAGGGTTGAAGTCGTATTGCTTCACTCTGTCCAAGCATGGAACATCGATACCCCTTGGGATATAGATAGACTGGGACTTCTCTTTAATTTCTTTCAAAGGTCTTTGAATACCATCATAAATGTTCTCCATCAAACCAGGACCCAATTCCACAGACAAGGGCTTTCCAGTTCTCAAGACTGGGTCACCCACTGTAACACCTGCGGTCTCCTCGTAGACCTGGATGGTTGCCTTGTCACCATTAATTCTAATGACCTCACCAACCAAATTAGCATGACCAACCTTCACCAACTCGTACATAGCACTACCAAGCATGTTCTCGGCGATCACCACTGGACCAGAGATAGAGAAGATTTGACCATATTGCGATTCGGCGGCGTCATCAAGAGAAAGGCGCTTAATTTCCTTCCTTGCGTTTTCCAAACCACCGGCCTATTTGCGTTAGTAATGAATTGAAAGGTGAAAACGATCAATCGTTGTGTTGTTCACATACCATTGTGTGTTGTCGATGTCGTAGCTTACTCAAACCGGTGAATTGGCTTTATCGTTAATGAACGCTCTGTCGTGCGCGGCCTAATACTTGTGGGCACCAAATTGGACTGGTAATAGAAAGAGGTATAATTGACATTTCCAAGAGAAATTGATGAAGTAATAGATTTAATTTATTCCTTGGATTTCAATTAGTCATCGGATTATCTTACAATTTTATTATATTTCGTGGAACTATCCACATTGTCTTATCTTGCAAAGCGCAACCTAAAGATCCAAGGAGGTGAATTGATGGTGGTGAAGAGGCATTGAGTGGCAATTCGATTCTTTATCAATCTATAGACTTCTGTATATTTATAATAGTATCTCTGTGACTTTGCTATGGGTTCCTCGTGGCATTTAAAATGGTTGCAAAATGGCCATGCAGGTGTGGTTCAGATTGTTCGCTAATTGTTACACTTCAAAGCGATCAAGAATCCCAAAATTGGGTAGAATCTTTTGGGAGGATACTTCCTTAGCTGATCCTTTGATTCTTTATTAACTTTACAGATTTTTCGGATTTGTGGCGTCAAATTGAGTTTACCGAGAATCGCATTATTGCCATTTTGCAACCATATATAATTAAGTATAGCCAAATTATGAATTACAGCTACTCCACTAAGAAAATAATTCTTCACTATAAATTCGAAAACGTCGTAGAATCAAAACTTAAAGTGATGGCAGACCCAGAGAATGCAATTGATATCGAAAACGGAATAATATTAGACTTTTCGTTTATAATGCTAGCGTACTTACTATACTACCGTAGTGGTCCACCATACAGCTACCTAAAGCTTAGCGCCTAGTTTTCTGGCACGGTCCAAAGCAATATCACACATTGCATTGAATGCTTCACGTCTCTCAGCAGCAATATCGTTCCGCTGAATCCTTTCAGTCATATTCTGCATGATTGTCTCTCTAGAACGACCATTGACGAACACAACATAACGAAGGCCTGGGAAAGTAGCTTCATACTGAGCGTTGAGGTCTGCGAGCTTGTTAGCTTCTTCTTCACCCCCAGCTAAGGACTTCTGCTCCAGGTTAGAGTGTGATGATAGCTTGTCCTTTGAAGGACCAAGTCTAGGATGTGCTGAGATAATGGATGCAACGTCAGGTGAGACTGAAGACTTGGCTTCTTCTCTCTCCAAGAATGATAACAATTCACCTCTGGTGGATTCAATGAGGGTAGTATAAGAATTGAAGGGTTCTTTGATCACTTCCTTGATGATAAAGTCACAGAGCACGGGGCAAGGCTCAAAGAGATGTCCAAGGACATCCGAAACCTCATCTTTCTTCAACTCAGCAAGCGTTTCTGGATCAGGAAGAGACATTAGATCTCGATAATATTGGAAGAAAAGGTGGATCTCATTGAGTGGAAATCGGATCTGAAATATACGTCTGATAAGGCCCGGAGAAAACCGAGACCATTTGGGTGCAGGTGGGAGATAGATCGATTAACCTAATTCCACTACAAAGAAGTAAATTTCCGTTCGTAAGTTTATATTAAATATGCTAGTGTAATCTACATGCTTAGGTGAAGTGTTCCATTTCACGCAATCTGCTGGTCTCCTTCTTGGATGGGGCACCCTGTTGAGCGATCAATGGATGTCTCCAGTGTTTCACATAAGAGAAAATAACATCAGCCAACTGATCGGTCTTGTCGATACCCAAGTCAGCAAACGTCTTAGCGTTAGGGTCGATGACTTGGTTGATCAAGTGTCTTTGCACCTGGTCGGGGTTGGTCTGCTTCCAGTAGACGTATTGCTTCAACTGAGCAACAGCCCTGGCAACAGCCAATGGGATCTGGTAGTCAGCAAAGCTGTATGAGAAGGGACCGACCTGGGAGAAATCTTGAGTGATACCGTGCACCATCTCTCTGATTTCTCTGAAAGACAATTTTTCCAGACCGTACAATTCGAAGGTCTGGCCAACGGTGGAGTCATCGAAACCGATTCTCTCAAGACCATGGGCAACATCAATAACATGAACAGGGTAAATTTCCTTAGCGTTTTTGTTTGGAGTCCACATCTTCAACTTTGGACCCAAGTAGTTCAACAAGTTGTCTTCACGACCGTACATTGGAGCTGGTCTAACGATGGTAGAGTCAGGCAAGATGTCTCTAACAACTTGCTCAGCAATACCTTTAGTAGCGTAGTAAACGGAATCAGAGGCTGGGTTGGCGTTGTATGAAGAAACGTAGACGTATCTTGGGTTACCAGCGTCCTTCACAGCTTGCGTGATACGCAGGGTAAGCTCAATGTTGACGTCAGCCATGGAGAAGTTCTTGGTGTTGTAGTCAGCACCAATACAGTTGAAAACAATGTCGGAGTGCTGGACAGATTCGGCGATGGATTGCAAGTTTCTACCGTCAAATTCCACAAAGTTAACCACACCCAAGTCACCGGTAACTTTCAAAAATCTCTTCTTCATATCATCTCTATAAGGAACAACAGTGGTAGTGCCGTGTCTGGCCAATTTGGAAGTAAGGTAACGACCCAAGAAACCAGAAGCACCAAACACAGTAGCGGTGTAACCGGTTCTTGAGGAACGGCCACCAGGACCGCTGGCCACATGGACCTTTCCGTTACGGGAGATGTTGATATCAGATTCCAACACAGAAGTGTACAAGGAGCGAACAGGAGCTCTGAAGTTTGCACGTAACATGGTGTGTTGAAGGACTGTAATTCTTGAAAGGCCTTTTTGAAGATGATTTTTTGGTTGAGTGAAGCGGTTTGGCTGAAGCTTTCCTGCAGGATCGCGAATAAGCTTGTTCTGGTTGGCTGAAAGACTTGGGTGGTGAAGTACAGTGAAGAACATTAGACATGATTTTTTTTGTTAAAAAAGAGAAGCTAGAACAGTCGTGATGCATGAAGCGTGCTGGAAGCACATCGAGAACATGTATGAAAGGTAGTGGGAAGAAACCACGCGGGTTTGACCTTCCGTAGTTTTTCCCCTGGGAGTAAACAGTCGAGTGCGAAAACCTCTCCCAGATCTGGAATTTCGGAGCCAACTGGTAAGGCTTCCACCACTATCCCTCACGTTGCCAGTAGTATTACAATTCCCAATTGAAGGGTCATGAGACGTAGATTGCAAAGCACACTGCTTACAAGAAATAGTCCGGCGTCTTTCTTGTGACAGTGGGCTCGCCTGGCCGCACAGATGGGTCGTATTGCAAGAATTGTTTCTGATGGCTCTCGTCCATTTCCATGATAGCGGCCTGGTTACCACATCTATAACAGTAGTTTGGAGCCGAGAAGATGGTCACCACGGCTTCTTGATGCGACCACGAGTAACCGTCCATCACCAACTGATGCGCACGAGCAACGAGGTCTAAGTCGTTGGTATGATTGAACTGCTCAGAAATATCCTGGCCAAAAGTGAAACCAGCGCCTCTGGCCGAGATACCCCATCCACCACGGTCGTCTGGGTCAGACCACAACAAGTCACACATTGGACCGTCGTGGGGCACCTCTTGGATTCTATTCAATTCACGCACCTGGTCAATAGTCTCAACCATTGGCGAAAGACCTCCGTGAAGACAGAAGACCTTATTGTCCACAAGAGCGGTAATTGGGAAGTAGTCAAACAAATCAGTGAACAACTTCCACACGGTGGCTGAGCCATACTTACGCAAACACTCGTCGTAGAAACCGTAAACCTGAGTGATTTGTCTGGACTCGTGGTTGCCTCGCAAGATGGTGATTCTGTTTGGGTACCTCACCTTCATACACACCAAGTACGACACAGTCTCCACCGAGTAGTAACCTCTGTCAACGTAGTCACCCATGAATAAGTAGTTGGTATCAGGGCAAGGACCACCAATCTTGAACAATTCCATCAAATCGTGAAACTGGCCGTGCACATCTCCGCATATCGTGACGGGCACTTGCACTGGCTGGACATTCTCTTCGAATTGTAAAACATCAATCGCCATATCACACAATTTCTTGACATCTTGCTCGGAAAGGGGCTCGCACTGAGACAATTTCTCGATCCATTGGTCCAATTGATTAATCGACGAGGTGCTAACTTCCTTCTTACTTAGCTCCTTGCTTTCGTCCACCTTGGTGGGTTGCACTTGCTCATCCGAAGCGTCTTCCATGGGCACATCCGTATCCAAATCCATGGTACGGTATTTACTTATAAGTTCTAATTGTGTAAATCAGGAGGTTGGGAATTGGTTTAAAAAAGGGGGTTGTACTCTCCGTCAAAGCGGTTTATGGCTGATTTCAAAAAGGAACGGGGAGAGTTAGTTGGGACCTCTTTTTTTTTTTTCTTCTTGGTGGGTCGTGTAAAATTTGGCCTGCGGTGTGTTCTTCAGCTCAAATATGCCACTGATGCAGATAGAAGCGTATGCTGGAGGAAGAAATGAAAGGCGACAACTAAAGCGGGCACCAGGGTTGGGGGAAGTAAAGGTTGATTATATGAGTGTACTTTGGCAGTTGTGGGTTTTTTTCTACGTTTTTTGTTGCCAGCTTTGTCGTCCAGCCTGGGAGAGCGCACCTGGTGCACGGGTGTAAACACCCCGAAAATAGCCCTAGCTCGAAACCGGACGGACCAGAGATCTCCATGTGGTCGGGAAGGAAAGAGTGGTTTTGGAAAATAACCTGGCTAATTATAGATTTCCAGGATTAATATAAAAAGGACGGGATTTCCCTGGTTCTGGGGTTGCCATTTTTTTTTGGTCCTGCCGTCATGGAGTATCCTCATATCCACATAGAGGACCGATTGATCACCAGCCACGGTTACGTCACATAGCGGCAGACGAACATCCAAAGCTTAAACGGTGTAGAGGCAGCAGAAGAAAAAGAAAAGACTCATTGAGGAAAATCCATGAAAGGAAGATAATATTTGATGAAAATTGGCAAAGATCTGCCTTTTGTGTTCGTTTGGTACTGGAAAGTACACAAGTTTGCAGCCGTCTAAGTCGCACCGCAACCCTTACGGATACTTCAACAAGGAAGCCGTACCTGCAGCGCTACAGTGTGCTGTAATGGAATTCACAAGTACAATTTTTGTTTATATAGAATAAATACTAGCAGCTATATGGTCTGTCTGTGTCTCATCTAAAGTCTCTTGGCAGATGGCGCAAGCTTCTCAAAGAAGTTCTTAGCAACCTCCACACCAACGAAGGTGGCAGCGTTGGCTGGGAAAGATCTGGCCAAAGCTGGACCCACACCTGGGAAGAAGGCCTTGATACCACCCTTGCCGTAGATCTGCTTGGTGGCAGTAGCGATAGAAATGTTGACGTTGGAAGATTGCTGGGTAGACTTGATGGTGTCAATTGGGAAAACACCGAGCCACATGGCAACACCAGCAAAACCACCGGCAACAGAAATGGCACCCAACGACAAGTCCTTACCTGGAGTGGACAACTTCTCCTTCAAGATCTCGTAGGTAGCAAAGTAAAGAGCAGAACCTGGACCGTCTCTGGCCAAAGTAGCAGCGGAACCCTTGAAAATGGATCTGATACCACCGGTCTTGTACATCTCAGCAATGACAGAACCCATAGTGGTCTTCTTACCGTCAGCAACCTGCATCATAACCTTGACTCTCTCGAATGGAGCAGCGACCAAAGTAGTTGGAACAGCAGAGATGAAACCAGCAGTAGAGGTCTCACCAACAGTAAAGTCCTCGGCCTTCTTGCCAGTGTAAGAACCGACAATCTTCTTACCCATGTCGTAACCCCAGAAGGAAACAGCGAACATAGGAGTAACACCCAACAATGGAGGCAACACACCTCTGTAGAAACCAAGAGCACCGTCCTTGGCCAAGGTGCCCTTAAGACACTCGGCGGTGGACTGGTAAACACCAGTTTGCAAACGAACCTTGACCAAGTCGAATGGGTGGCCAGTTAAGACGGCACAAACACCACCAAAACCACCGGCACCGAAACTTTTCACGTTATCAACCAAAACACTGTCGACTTCCTCCATGTTGTATCTAATTTTATCAGCAATAAATATATAAGATTTGAAAAATTCGTGCTTTGCAAAAGCTGAATGGAATTGAAATTGAAGGAAAGGAACTTGTTAAAACAAGAAAAGGGAAAAACAACAAAAATGTATGGGAAAGAAAGGGGAAAGGAAAAAAAAGGAAAATTTCTTGTTGATAGCAGTCAAGTGATTTTTATATGTACCGAGATTTTTTCTGTCCCTGCGGATGAGAGTCCGGGGAAATCACTGCTCGAGAGATTTAATCCGCGGTCCCTCAGGCCGAGAAACCTCTCTACCAACCAGATTCGGTGCCTTTTGCTGTGTGCATTATTCTTGCAAATTGAATCGTTTCTTTACGGATGACATTCTCGGTTTTCCTGCTATTGTAGTCGTGGCTGCGCAAATATGCGTTTAGACAAACCATCGATTTACGAGGCCAACCACGGTCTGTTTCCTGTTATCTGTTCTTCGGACTTGCTGTTGATTTTTCACCTCTGCGCACCCAGAAGAATCCGCTGAAAAATTGTGGTTACCACTTTAGAGACGAATGCTGGTGTGGAAAAAATTCGGCAAATTTTTGGTTATTATCACACCATCAGGGATCCCGAATAATCACAAAATTAATTGCCCTGGTCATCGTCGGGTGTTGTTCTCTTTTGCACTCGGCTTATGTTTTGTGGGGTTGCGCACCGATGGTCCTCTCGATAAGACGAGCTCGTTTTTTCTTCTCACACCATCTCACCTAATTATAACATCTTGCTCAAGTCTTTCAAGTCCAAGTCTGCACGAAGATCCTTGGTAAAAGTTTGTAGTCTTGGCTCAAAATTGCTCTTGAAAAGGTCTTTGTACATCACTTTCATTAGGTCTGAAAGACGCACGTGAAGATGTTCCAAATCACCCTCAAACGCAACGCCTGCATCCGACTCTACCGACCTGCTCAAGTCGAGCAAGTTGACGTAGCTCACAACCGAGGAACCAAACTCTTCACTACTTTTTAGGAACGCAAATAAGATCTCCATGAACGCAAAAATCTGATCAATCAATGGCTCCCGACTCACCTTACCTCTGTACTCTTCGTTTATAAGCTTGCAATCATAAACGCTTTTGAGGTATTTCAGATGCATGGCTGTTAACTCGTCTATTGTGTGCTCCACAATATTCAGCCCTGCCAATGGTATCCTCTCAATGTCCGAAAACGCTGGGCTGGTTTGGTATGCAAACGCTGCAGCAAATGTTTTGTCAAGTATAGGAAGCTTCCTGTCCTTACGCGTAGTTTCGCTTGTGAACATTGGATCCACCGACAAGTTGCTTTTAAAAACCAGTTTTATGATATTCTGCTGGAAATTACTCTCGATCAAATCGTACGATAAAAATTTGAGGAGTGTAGTTAATAATCCAGAAAGACGAAAGCGTATTAAGTTGATCGTCCTGAGACACTTGGAAAACCAATTCTGACGGACATTAGAAAGGACTCTTTTTGTCAGTTGCCCACTTTTGGCGCTTAGCTTCAGGAGATAATCTTTTTGCAACCGGATATAGTCCACGTAGTTCTTGTTAAGAAGGAATTGAAAGTGCCTTAGACTCCACAAGAAATTGAACAATCGAAGGTAATGAGTAGATTGGTTATTGCTGTTCAAAAGTAACTCAAGAGGCGACTCTATAAGCTTGTACTCCAATGTGAACACATCCCATCCTATACTTCCGTGGCTCAAGTCCAAAATACGTGCATCAATTCTCAGCTGAAATCTGCTGGGCATTACTCGAATGGACGAAGCCCCAATTGCGCCCGAAAGCAATCCGGCCAATTTCCCAGATGTCAACGAAGTGGCCGGTTCATTGAACATAGTTAGCCCTCTTTCATTGATAGCCTCCACAAAGTCACTTGAACCAATCAACATTATGCTTTTAAGATTTCTAAGATGTTCAAAGTAATCATACTTGTGGTACACCACCAAGGTGAAGTAATTGATAAGTTCCCCATATTGAGTTTGGTGCAAAATCTTCAACAATGTCTGACTCAATGACACCAACCCTTGATTCTGGTGATAGACATAAGCAGAATAGTGCTTACTATATGCACTGAGCCATTCAAGTTCCTTGCAGAATTTGTCGAGGAAGATGATAGTTTTGCCGATCTGAAGAATTCTGATACAATCCTCCTCATTAATCCCCATAAACGACGGAACCCTATCACGATTGAATTGAATGATATCATTAATATGGTCAGCATCCTTATTAAAAGACACGAAGAACTCGTTGCTGACATCCACAAGTTCTCCTCTGAGTATCCAATGCTCCAAATATTGAAAGTATGGCTTCTTGAGCTCATCATAAACGTCCTTAGCCAGGTTCTTCACGGCCGTGTCACCGAAGCTGGTGAGTTTATAAGTCTCTTCAAGAAATTGAAATCCGTCAAGCTCTTCCATTTGCTGATGAAGGTGTGACAACATGCGAAGGACCACAATCAGGTCTTGTAGATCAAAGTAGACAGAAAGCAAGGATGAACGAGGTGTATGGAAGATCCTGGTTACCTCACTGGCATATGCCATAAGCTTTGAACCCAATACTTGCATAAACGCAGCTTTTATAGGCGAAGCGTTCTTACCTCTCAACCTTTCGACAGAACCATGTAGACGTCTATAAATTAATGCTGGCTCGCAAAGATCATTAAGCAATTGGAACAGGCCACGACCAAGAGACGACAGGATTCGGACTGCGTCATCAGTAAATGTGAATAGTTGTGTATCAAGCCCAACAAGGGTATTGGAAAGGAACGGTAGAATGCTCTCTTCGTCTAGATTTTCATCATAAGGCTGGCTGCTGGGACGGCCATTCAGGCTAAGGAATTGGCCATGGGATTGATTGAAAGGAGAGGACAGAGCAACTGGGCTCGATGCAGCATGGGAAAACTTTGGTGGACCTGAGCTCTTTGGATCAGGGACTAGATTTAGAAGGAACTGTAGATACGAAGCAACTTGTTCAGGGCTTTGTTGTTGCGGTAGGGAACTGACTATACTTTGGAAAGTGTTCCAACCATCCTCTGTTCCATGTCTCATGAAATGTGCTCGTAGCTCGTCGAGTACCAGGGATGAGTCCTTGATCTCCCCAGATATGTATGCTATTAGGGTGTTTGACAAACTCTTGTTGTACTGGGCGCCGAACTCCGAGGGAACCAACGAGTTCACCAACCGATTAAGGTAGAAATGGGCTGGCAGGTTATCGTTGACCATTTGTTTAGGTGATTCCTGGCTCTAGGTGTTGAGATGTATCAAGTAGTGTTGATGTTTTGAAAACGCGTAACCTACTGCAGATGCCTATATGGTGGTTTCTGAGATGTGCTGGTACTACAGATAGTCAGTGTTTGGGTTAATAAAATAAATTTGGCATATGGATAGGCATAATTGTTAAGTGTTCAACATCAATTAAAAAGTCTTAAAAGGGAACACCAGAGCTCACAGCGTTCGGAGTGATCTCAGGGTTGATGACATTAGGGTTCAAGTCATCATCACGCAAAGCCAACTGCTCATCGGTCCAGATATGTTCCAAGACGGGTTTATCGTGTTGACCGACACCGCAGAGACCGCCCTCGCGTTCCCAATTGGAGACTCTCTTCAAGTTCAATTCGTTGAACACAGAGTCAACGGCACCAACCAAATCATCAGCAATCTCCTTACCGTGGCCAGGAGTTGGGGTGATTCTCAATCTCTCCTCTCCGATAGGCACAGTAGGAAAATTGATAGCTTGCACGTAAATGTTGTGTTTGTTCAACAACAAGTCCGAGGCTTTCTTTGCATCCGCCGCATTACCGACCAAAATAGGAACGATATGGGAAGGATTTGGAATCACAGGGATACCAATGTTGCCAAAGTTATTCTTAACGTATCTTGTGTTCTTCTGCTGGGCAATTCTGTCCAGCAAAGTAGATCTCTGGTGTCTGATGGAAGCAGATGCACCAGCCATAACAGCAGGAGGCAACGAGGTGGTGAAAATGAAACCAGGAGCGAACGAACGCACCCAGTCAATCATACTTTGCTTACCAGTAACGTAACCACCCACAACACCGTAGGCTTTACCTAAGGTACCGGTGACCATGTCGATTCTGTTCATGACAGAATCAGGACGGATTTTGTTCAAACCGGCTTTCAAGTGTTCTTCAAAGTTCAAGTGTTCTGCAACACCAGCACCGTGAGGACCGTACATACCAACGGCATGAACTTCATCCAAGAAAGTCAAGGCGCCGTATTTTTCGGCCAAATCACAGATTTCTTCAATTGGAGCGATCGAACCGCACATGGAGTAGACGGATTCAAACGCAATTAACTTAGGGGTATTCTTTGGATACTTTGCCAAACGTTCTTCCAAGTCTTGCAAGCTGTTATGCTTGAAAACTTCTTTTCTGGCTCTCGAGTTACGTATACCTTGGATCATCGAAGCGTGGTTCAACTCATCCGAGAAAATAACCAAATCCTTCATTTTTTGACCCAAAAGTGAAAGAACTGCATCATTGGCAACATAACACGAGCTGAAGACCAATGCAGCCTCGTGCTTATGTAAAGCAGAAAGCTCAGACTCCAAGGCGATGGCATGTCGGTTATGGCCTGCAATGTTTCTCGTACCGCCCGCACCGGCACCGTACTTATCCAAAGTAGTTTTCATGGCCTGAATTGTCTTTTCATTGGTGCCCATACCTAAATAGTCGTTGGCACACCACACGGTGACCCGTTCGCCTTCGCTACCCAAGTGGGCCCTAGGAAACTCCTCAGCCAAACGGTTGATGTTGTTAAAGTAACGGTAGGACTTGTCGTTTCTCTTCTTGGAAATCTCTCCACCGAGAAACCCTTCATAGTCGAAAGCCTTCTCCTTGGATGACCTATCCACAATCTCCATGGTGTTGGAGACCAAGTCACTGCCGGAAAACGAGTAACCTGCTGGGATACGAGAAGCCGAGGCGGATCCAGCGGGAGCACTAGAAGCAGCAGCAGGCTTCGAAGAGTGGGAGTAGTCTCTGGCAGCGATGGCAGCACCCATAAAAGGGCATGCTCTAGCGTGCTTACTCAAAGTCAGAGCTTCACTCATCTGGCGAAGCGCCTGGGTGGATCTCGATTTCACGAAAGGACAAACTTTCATGGAAGCTTTGGTAAGGGACTCCATGATGAACAAAATATACACTTGGAACTGTTCAGGTTGTTCTTGTGGAGAAGTAGTATAGACGGTACCTTCTTTTTTTTTTTTACCTCGTGAAATCAGTCACATTGAGAAAAACTGTATAGTGGAGACGCAGAGGTCCGGCCGTTAGGAAGGGCTACGGGAGCAGCATTGGGCTTGGGAGAGAAGATAAAGAGAAAAAAAGGACACCGTTGTGATACTCAGAAGTAGCCGAATACGAATATGTAAATTGTTTTAGAGTCTTCCCATAAACTGTGTGTTTTGACGGGACCCTTCTTGCAGCCAGTTTAAGCGAATCATATGTAATCCAATGTAAAGGCGCTGGCTGCGAAACTTCTGTCACTATATCCGGGCAAAAAGGAAAAAAACAAAAAATAAATGTAACCAGAGAAACAACCGCCAGGCATGATTCCAACTGGACACAAACTGGAAAAAAAAAAAGTGAGACAAAAAGTACGAGGATTCGGTCTTCTATTTATACTTCTTTTCTTACTTTTGCCCGACTTTTTAAACGTCTTTTGGATCGTTTGGTGGGCCCACTCTTCTTTCTTCGCTTATACTCTGTCCATCGCTTCTCATATGACGATGCGCGCCTTTAAGCGGGGCAGTACTCCTCTCACAAAGCTTGCTGATGACAGTTAGGTATGGGTGCCTAAGAGTGGATGGGGGTCCATACGGGGTTTAGGAATTGTGGGTAGGGTGAAAAGAAGCAAAAAAAAAGAAGGGTGGACGACCCCGGTGAGGATCGAACTCACGATCTCGAGATTAACAGTCTCGCGCCTTAACCAGCTTGGCCACGGAGTCGTTCTGTGACCCAAACCAAAACCTGGTGTAAGAAGAGTATTGTTTTGAAGAAATGTACTGCAGGTAAGTATATGTACTGTATATAACATCTCGGACCTTATACCGCCAGTAAGTCCACCACTTCCGTTTCAGTACCCATATACCGTTTATTATGGGGACATTGATGGATTAGGATGCTAGGGGTCAACAGTTAGCCCAATAAAAGCAACAAGTTTGCATTTCAACAAAAACGCTTGAAGTCCTGACTTATTGTGATGTCTTGAATGAAAGGCCTCTAATGGTTGCAAATTGGCAGTTTCTGGTAGATTTAAGCTGTACTTTTCATGGTAATTCTATGAATTTTCCTAATGAAGTATTCGTCTTCTCATTCGTCCTGCCTTCGAATTTCATAGCTCTTTTGAAGCCCAAATATGTGCTGGAAGGCTTCACATTCATTGACTTATGAACGAGAAGACCTGGTACTTAACGATCCTCATACTTTCTCTTCTGCTTTACACAGTGGACAAGGATATGGCATCTGTAATATCTATGAGACTGCCCATAGAAGGCAATTAGTTGCTAAACCACGGAATGACGGCATGGGTGGACCCTCCCTACCTAGGTACCCATACACCACAACTTACATCCTACACTTGTTTTTCTTTAAAACCTTTCCCAATCAAGTAAACTATTCAAAGCTATTATATATTATACAACTGGAAGCATTTACTCGTCATCCTCCTCTTCATCGTCAGCGATGGAGTAGAACTGCAACTGGTACTGGTTTCTCTTGACAGAGACGAATCTGATCCAGTCTCTAAGCTGGTTCTTCTTCAAGTACTTCTTTGTCAAGTACTTCAAGTACTTACCAGAGAACTGAGCGGTGGAAACAACAACAACCTTGTTGCCCTCCTCAGTGATGGTGATGGCGTCACCCAAGTTACCGATGATACCGTCAACCTTAATACGCTCGTTCAAGAACTTAACGTAAGCCTCCTGGTCGAAGACAGCGTTCTCCACTGGAGCGGAGGTGTCAACGACGAACTTCTTTGGGGCGTGAGTGTTCTTGGTGGTCTAGAATCCTGTTAGCCTACCGTACGTGAATTATCAAAAATGGGTCAAAGACCCATTCAGATAAAGACAGCAAAGCCCCCAGGACGGGAATCTTTTTCTTTGTGTTTCCATAGCATCGGGATATGACGCTGTGGTGATAAAAGTTAGAAATTAAGTAAATGCCCTCTTAGCAAAAAAGAGCTTTGGCACTTTCAGTTCATGAAATTCTTTCACTTCCACATTTGAATAGGATTTCCCGTTCAAGGTTTATTTGACTGTTCGATATCTGTTCGAAACTTAGATGATACATACAATTGGAGCCATTGCTGATGAAGTAGTATGAAGAGTTTTCCTTCTCGGTGGTAATTTTTTTTTTCACTGGGTACATCGGGCGCTCACAGTGTGTCGCACTCAGAATGGCGCTTGGTGCAGGCTCCTTAGGGCTCCAGCCCTGAATGCGAATACCTACTAGTACTTAGATGTATTCATCTAGTGATTCGAACAACCAAAGAAGTGCCTCTAATATGGTAAAGTGTATGGATTATAGATGAAGAAGAAGTTTTATGTAAGTCATAGTTAGAGAAGAGAAAAAAATCTCAACTTTTACCAGTCTTTGTGACCTTTTTCGTTCTGTTCATAGCGTAGGAGCTTCAGAGTAGCATAAATAACTCAGAAGAGTACTCTCCGTTACAGCAGACCTTTAAATCACATTCAAACAACTCTTGTTCTTCTATTGTTCTACCTTTCTGGTGGTCCTTTGGGATGACTACCGTGGTGACTCAAGTGATTCAGTTCGCGGAAATAGTTAACGAGGATGATTCAAGATGACTCGCAGCGGTAGATAAGCCCTACAAAAAGTGGGGCCTATTATATGGCGCCTATTTGATACCCAACTTTTCACCATTGTACCAGCCCCACGAGCTACCCCTAATTTAGCCTCAGATACCAAAATCCCATCTTTTTATATTCTTTTTTTCTTGACTTGGCTCTTGAAGAATGTTTATTAGAAGATTTGCAACCAGTGCTATATTAAATGCTGCAACTAAAAGATTAGGAGTGAAGGCATCATTCAGTGAACCTTCAATAGTATCCACTGTTAATGCTATCAATTCAGCAATAAACTTTGAACCACACAGCAAATGGACAAAGGAACAAATTAAGGAAATCTACGAAACTCCACTCCTGGAATTAACTTTTCAAGCTCAGCTTCAACATAGAAGGTACCATGACCCATCTGAAGTGCAACTTTGCACTTTGCTTAATATTAAGACAGGTGGATGCACTGAAGATTGCAAATACTGCTCCCAATCTAGTCGTTACGACACGGGAACCAAAGCAGAAAAATTAGTTAAGCTAGAGGAAGTGCAAAAAGCTGCAATCAAAGCCAAAGAAAATGGAAGCACTAGATTTTGTATGGGCGCTGCTTGGAGAGACATGCAAGGAAGAAAATCTGGCCTTAGGAAGATTGCAGAGATGGTGAAATGGATCAATGATGAGTTACATATGGAGACTTGTGTTACGTTAGGAATGGTGAATGAAGACCAAGCGCAGGTTCTCAAGGATTCAGGTTTGACAGCTTACAACCATAATCTTGATACCTCCAGAGAACATTACCCGAACGTCATCACCACAAGAAGCTACGATGATCGTCTCCAAACCATTAAAAATGTGCAAAAAGTGGGCATAAAAGCATGCACTGGAGGCATTTTAGGTTTGGGCGAGACTCCGGACGACCATATAAGCTTCCTCCATACTTTAGCCACAATGGACAAACACCCGGAGTCCTTACCGATTAACCGATTAGTGCCCATCAAAGGAACCCCGATGGAGAAAGAAGTGTCGACCCTTCCGGCCGGTTCAGCCAGAAAACTAACTTTTGAGGCAATTCTTAGAACTATAGCCACCGCGCGTTTAGTTATGCCCGAATCCATCATTCGCCTTGCAGCTGGAAGGTATACCATGAAAGAACACGAACAGTTTCTTTGCTTCTCGGCTGGCTGCAACGCCATCTTCACAGGCGAGCGTATGCTCACAACCATGTGCAGCGGATGGGAAGAAGATATCGCCATGCTCAAGAAATGGGGCATGAAACCAATGAAGAGTTTCCGCAACCACGGCGCCGAGGCAGTTGAATCATTGCTACATAAGGCTGCAGAAGAAGAGCCGGCCGCACCGGGAACTAACCTTGTTAGGGCCTCATCAGTTTAGTCTGTCAAACCTTGCAGAACAAACGTTGCGGAAGAAAAAAAAGAGAGCCACATGTATGGATAGATAAGGCGCGCGAATAACCGAGCTGATATATAACAGGAGTGAAAAATCTTAGTTTCTTTAAACTTTAGTAAATTTTTTGGAAGCATTGTAACCATGTTTAGGTGGAGAGGTCTCTCGAGACTTGCCAGGCGGTTCAATTCCCAGAAGGCTTCGTCTGCGCCAAAGCCTGGTAGGGCTGGCTTGTATAGTGCATTTGCATTGGCGTCGACTTCCTTGGGTGTGGCTGGGTACTACTATGGCAGAAAGAAGGTTATTGATAACCCACCTGAGTTTTCGTTTCCTTGGTCTTCTACAACAAAGTTGGAGGATATAAATTCTCCAGATTATTGTACGACTGAGGAGTTTAACGATGCCATTGCTGAACTCGCCGGGGCTATTGGTAAGGAGAATGTCAGTGAGTCAAGAGCTGAACTTGAAGGTTTCACCGACAATGGGTTCAGTCCACGTCCACCAGAACCAGGCCAAGTTCCAAAGGCTATTGTTTATGCTCATTCCACCGAGGATGTCTCGAAGATCTTGACAATTGCCCATAAATATAGTGTGCCAGTGGTTCCATACTCTGGAGGTACTTCTCTTGAGGGCCACACTTTCTCCACCAGATGTGGTATTATTTTGAACACCAGTCGAATGAATAAGGTGCTTAAAATTAACTACGATGACTTGGACGCTGTGGTGCAAGCTGGTGTGAATTGGATGGAACTCGATAAGGAACTTGCGCATGCTAGAATGATGTTTGGCTGTGACTGTGGTCCTACTGGTTTGATTGGTGGAATGGTGAATACAAACGCTTCGGGAATTAACGCTTCTCGTTATGGTGCTATGAGAGATAATGTGATTTCTTTGACGGTGGTGCTTGCAGATGGAACTGTCATCAAAACGAGACAGAGACCACGGAAGACGTCGGCTGGTTACAATTTGACAGGACTTTTTGTTGGAAGTGAAGGTACGCTAGGTATTGTAACTGAAGCTGTTGTCAAGATTCAAGTCAAGCCACAAGTTGAGACCGTAGCCGTGGGTCAATTCCCTACTGTGGAAGCTGCATCGCAGACTGTCGCTGAATTGTTCAAAAGAGGTATTCGTCCTGAAGCCATTGAGCTTTTGGATGATGCCATGATGCAATGCACAAACTTTAGTGGTGCTGTTTCCAGAAAATGGCTTGAAGTGCCAACCATTTTCTTCAAGCTCGGTGGACTCAACCAAGCGGTGGTTGATGAAACGCTCAAGATCGTTAAGGAAGTGGCCCACGACAACGATTGTAAAGACTTTATTATTGCCAAAGACAAAGCTGAAGGAGACGAGTTATTTGAGGCCAGAAAGAATGCTTTGTTCTCGCTTTTAGACTACGGAAAATCTGAGATTCACGAGGATGTGAAGCTCTGGATCACCGATATTGCCGTCCCCATTTCCAGGTTACCCAAAGTGTGTGACGAGATTAGAGAACTCACGCAAAAGAGTGGCTTCCATTCCGTCATCCTTGGACACGTTGGAGACGGTAACTTGCATGCTGATCTTTTCTACTTGCCACACCAGGCTGAAGAGTGTCATAAGGTCATTGACGAGATGACCTTGATTGGACTCCGAAACGAAGGTACTGCTACTGGAGAGCACGGTATCGGCAACGGTAAAAGACCATTCCTTAAAATTGAACTTGGCGAGGAAGCCGTCAACACCATGCGTAAGTTGAAGCTTGCGCTAGACCCCAAAAGAATCCTTAATCCCGACAAGGTGTTCAAAATCGACCCTAAAGACGACGGAGAGTTTTAGACACGAAAATAGACATATATAATAGACTATTTATTTGCATGAGCCACAGTACCAGCGGTCCCCCATACCTACTTCTGGCACCATCTAATTCTTTAAACTTCTCTCCTCGACTAAGCCCCAGTCCAAAGCACCCTCTATCACCACCACCACTACCTCTTCGTCCCCTCCCACCACACTCTCTTCCCCCATCCTTCTCTACTCCAGATAGCGATGGTTCGTGCATATGATGCAGCTTTTTTTATCGCTATCAGCGCGGACAGAATGCACACCTTTTTCGCAGCCAGGGTTCTACTGCCCCCAAAAAACACCAACCCTTCGGCAAAGGTACGCCCCTATGAGCAAATAAAACGCCATAGCGAAAAAGCGCAATTCCTTCGGACACCTTCCAGCGGCAACTTCCACCCCTTTATATATCCCATTCGCCAAAAACCCGTCCCTCCCACCATCCCCAGAACCTGTACCTATCTCCGGTTATCTCGGGTGCCTTATCGTCCAGTCGTTCCCCACCAGAGACAGGTGCTTTTTCGCGCAGAGCACTTGGCTTGCTGTGGAAACACAGAATAGGGGAAATGTTGAACTGGGGGAGGGCTGGGGAAGGAAAGTATGATTAAAGTAGGAAATAGACTTTCATTGGGGGGTCTGAAAGGTGTAAAAAGGGTAGGGAAAAGGGTCTCACGTGATGCCAGGTACCCATATTCTCCTCCACATTGGCCAAAAAAATGGCAAAAAAAAAAAAAAAAAAAAAAAGCCTGCTCTACCTCTGAAAATTTAATCAACCCTCACTCACTCACTCTCACTCACTCCACATACTTTTCTCTTTCTGCTGACTCAAACCACCATCTTTCCCTGATAACCCATTTGTGCTTCCCGTTTCAGATCCGGATTATCACTGCCTTCCCTTTGCATTCGCCACATCCGTCTTCTGTCCCGTCACCCGCCATTCCTTATCTAGACGGGGAATCCCAGTATCCACATACACAAGTCTCCACACTGAACAAATGACGCTGTCGTATTCTGCAAACAGTATCCGGAACCAGCTAGGCGATTTATCATTGGACTCGCCGCCTGAAGAACGGTTATCGCCGGAGCACAAGTCTTTGTTGCTGAAATCGTTGGCCCAAGACGAACGAGGGGGTTCTACGGCAAGAGTAACCTCTCCACCACAAGGAGTCCAACTAGATGTACAAGATACGGGACTCACAGATGAGCATCCCGAGCCTGAGCTTCTTGCAACCTCAGTTGGTAAAGATATCGACGGGCGGCTCATTCCCAGTTCGTCTACCATTTCATTGCTTTCACTCAATACCAACGGCAACTTTGGCTCTGCCGCCACACAATATTCAGGCTTCCCACACATTCTTGATAGAAAGAACTCACATTCGGGTCTTGGGCTGCGAAACTCCTTGACCCGTTTGAACCATCAAAGGCTCCAACCGTACCATAAGTTGGCAAGCACACAAGAGAGTAGTTCTCCAGCTACACAAAGCATACCCATGGTCCGTAACGCAGGCGCCATGCTCCTGGCGCCAGACCTGCCCAATTTGGACCCCACATCTTTAGGAGGCCTGCCGTCACGGTTTTGGCTTGGTTCCCAGACACCACCCAAGTCGCTCTCGGGTTCATATAACAAGCGCAGTTGCACCCTCCAATTGACTCAGCTACACAACACTCAACAACTACACAATACTTCAGGGTCTATACGTCCTGGAACTAGTACTGGCTCTGGTCACACTGCCAGAGCATTCCGTGGTGACGACCTGCCCATACTAAACCCAGTGCAAACACCACTTGAAGATATGCCCATGACACCGTTATACCTAAACCTGGAGGCCGACCTGTACTTTGTCTACACGAAAGGGGGCAACCACAGTAACCAGAAAAGGGAACTCTTCCAGTACGACGAGGAAGAGTCCGAAGAGGAACAGGAAAGGGGTCCAGAAAATAGCTAAAAAAGACGACTTACCCATACAGGCTTCAAAGGAACCAATTAGTGTATCCAGGAGATCCCAAGGAATGGCAAAAAAAAAGCCTAGGCAAGTGGAGATCCATGGGATGGTATGCACGCCTAAAAAAGAAAGGCATCATTCGATGCTATTGACAACGGTATTGTCTCGCGCGGACCAGACCACACAAAGGGTGGTGTATGCTTGCATTTTCGGAGTTGGAGTTTGCTGAGGTGCTGTCATTCATTTTTGATGTTGTGGCCATTCGGCGGCCCCTGTTGATCCTAAGTGGGCTATTTATTTAGGCTTTTTTTTTTTTTTGTTGTTGTTTGCTCGTGTCTTACTTTTGGTGGTGTCGCAAAGTGTGTCCATCACGAGAGCCACCTTATGGCCTTATCGGCAGTGGCGTTATCAATTTTCTCAAGCGAGCATCGGCTGTGTACTACATTTTACCTGCGACACTCTTCCCACTCATACTACTAACTCACTAACCACATCAAATTCATCCCTGGAATATCCAGCAATGACTTACGAAGGTATGTTTTGCTCCCACTTGGAAACTTGTATTTCTGTTATCTTCATATGCTAACTGATTTTTCAGAAGACCACAACTTACGGCAACAGTCAGACGACTCTCGCCAGCATCAGACCTTGTCAAGCATCATTGAAAGCTTCATTTCTGATACTTCTGTCGACTCCGAAGGCCACCAGCATCTGGGAAGGGAGCTCTTCAACAGGGCGCTCCGTACCATCAACGCAGACGAAGGATCCGAGGTTCTTCAGGAGATCATCGCCTCCTTGGAACGAGTCGGTGACAAATTCCGCCCCGATGCTGGCGTATCCCAGGAGTTCCTAGACTCTCTAGAAAGAGTCGATATTTCGTCACTTCCTGAAAATGCAGATTGTCCTATCTGCACCAACCGTTTTGCTGATGCAAAGTACCCCTTAATTGTGAAACTCCCATGCCATGTAAAGGGCGCGTCCAAACGTGAACATATCTTTGATATGGATTGCATTGCTCCATGGCTCAAAATGCATTCGTCGTGTCCCTTGTGTCGTTTCGATGTCAGAGACGCTGATAGTGTGAGACGAGAGCGATTGGCTCGAGAATTAGCGAGAGCCAAGGAGGAGGATGACGAAGAAGAGGAGGACGACGGCGATTGGGATATGTACGGATAGCGGTTCGTCATTCCCATCGGTATCATTGCCAATTTGGCATTTCTGCATCGTCCCAGGGACGCACCCGTCCTAGGGACCCCTAATATAGGTTTTATGTAATTAAGGTTTTGGAATGGTTATTATCTTTGAAAAATTATATTGGTGGTGGGGCTATGTACATTAGAGGTGCTTTTGGAAGTCTTTGCTTTGCAACAACTCCTTCACCTTCTGTGCGATTGGATCTGAAGTGTCCTCGTAGGCTTGAGGGAGCTTTGCGTCAGAACCCATCAAGTTCTCCAAGGTGCTGGCAAAGTCGAGACCCTCGCGGGTGGTGATCTCAGCCAGACACTTGACATCTTCTAAAGAGTGCTTATTTATGTATGAAAGCCACAAGTCAAGCACTTCTGGGTTGGCATCGTAGGCAGTCAAGTGTTGGTTGTATGTGATTCTCAAGAAGTTCTGCTTCGTCTTGGCGTGAGCGAATGGCGACTTGATCACAGTATACAATCTGCGTTCCGTCTTCACCTTCTTCACACGGGAACATGGAATTCCCAAGTAGAATGCTGCTCTGGCGGCGAACTCTGACGCTCTGGTCAAGTTTTCCTCGTTGAAACCTCTGAATTTGAGTTTGGCGACCTGGTGGCCATGTGTGGGCGGAAGTCTCAAGGGCTTATATTGCAAAAGTTCGACATTAAGTGGGACATCTTCCATCAGTTTGATCTTTGGCTCGGCTGAGTACTGCTTGTCCAACAAGTTCTGTCTGAACTGTTCATCCTGGGCCTTTCTGATGGCCTCCTTCTCCTCGAACTCCTTTGGCAGAAGGAAACCTTTACCCTTGTTTAATGCACGAGGGAAAGACGAGAAGGCACGTCTAGAGACGTTGATCCCTAGGATTTGGCGGGTCAACATTATGGTTCAATAGAGCTTGATCAACAGCCTTCTCTGGAAAAAAAATCTCAGTCAAATTTGATCACGTGCGGGAACTACGTCTGAATTGAAGGTCCCTAGGATGTCACCCAAATGACGAATTGGCAAGTATTTTTAAAATGTAGAAGCATTATGAAACCATTTGGATTCAATTTGCTGTCTTTTTTATTAACCTTGTATACTTGAACTCGAAATGTAGCTACACATGGTAGAACGCTATACTCAAATACTGTCTAAATCATAATGAGCATTCCTTGATTTCTAAAAAAATTATTTAGAAAATCAAATCATTCCATTAGTGTCTCTTTCTTTTATCTTTCTTTTTAAACCCTCTCGTTACTTTGTCACTCTGTTGGTTTTGTGGAGAATTTTGCAACCATTAAGTAGTACTTTTCGTGCCGCGCAGATCATCACTGAAGCTCATCAACTACACTATGGGAAAATCGTCCAAGGACAAAAGAGATATCTACTATCGAGAGGCCAAAGAAAAGGGCTACAGAGCGAGATCTGCGTTCAAGCTTCTACAAATTGACGAGAAGTTTAATATCTTCGAAGGCGTAAACCGTGTGGTGGATCTATGTGCTGCTCCGGGTTCCTGGTCCCAAGTTCTTAGTCAAAAGCTTAATGAAAACAAGAAGGACGGTCAAGATGCTAAAATTGTGGCAGTTGACCTCCAACCTATGAGTGCTATTGAAGGCGTGACTTGTCTTCAGGCTGATATCACTCATCCAAAGACGTTACAAAGTATATTGGAGCTTTTCGGAGGTGAACCAGCTGACCTTGTCGTCAGTGACGGTGCTCCAGATGTTACTGGTCTACATGATCTTGATGAGTACATTCAGGCACAGCTTATATTGGCTGCGCTTCAGCTCACAACTTGTATTCTTAAAGAAGGGGGTACGTTCATTGCAAAGATCTTTAGAGGAAGAGATATAGATTTACTCTACAGTCAGCTAGGGTACTTGTTCGACAAAGTTGTGTGTGCCAAGCCACGTTCTTCTCGTGGAACATCTCTTGAAGCGTTTGTCGTGTGCATTGGTTACCGCCCAAGGCCTGGTTGGAACCCTCGTCTTGATCTCGATAAGTCCACAGAAGAGTTCTTTGAAAACGCAGGTATTGGTAAGAGCTACATCAAAGAAAACTTTGATACCGCTGATGAAGAAGAACGTTTCATCCCTGCTTTCGTTGCTTGTGGTGATTTGAATGCTGGAGATTCAGACGCCACATACGAGTTGAACTCCAGCATAGAAAAACAAAATCTTAGGCCAGTACAGATGCCTACGGCGCCACCTTACAAGAAGGCCTTGGAAATGAAGAGAAAAGGTGAGCTCGTAAGACGATAAGCAGATACAAATGCAATTAGCATTGAAAATTCTATTTAGATATCTTCCATAATTTAATTAGATGGTTCAACGGAAGAAGCTTCCTCTGCCTTGGTGGTAGCATCTGGCTTCAATGTTGGGAACAACAAGACCTCTCTGATAGTGTTAGAGTCAGTCAAGAACATGGCCAATCTGTCGATACCACATCCCCAACCAGCAGTAGGTGGCAAACCGTATTCCAAAGCGTTACAGAAGGTCTCGTCAACCATCTGGGCCTCGTCGTCACCCTGGTCCTTCTGTCTGGCCTGCTCCTCGAATCTAGCTCTCTGGTCGAATGGATCGTTCAACTCAGTGTAAGCATTACAGATCTCCTTGGTAGCAACGAAAACCTCGAATCTCTCACACAAACCTGGGATCTTTCTGTCCTTCTTGGCCAATGGAGACATCATTTGTGGGTGACCAAAGATGAAAGTTGGGTTGATGCAGGCGTCTTCAAGGTCACCGACCAACTTGTCCAACATTCTGGCATTGGTCAATGGTGGAGGACAGTCGAGCTTGTTGTCGATCAAGATCTGCTTCAAGAACTTGCCGGTCTCCTCAGTGTGCAATTGGTCTCCTGGTGGGAACTTAACGTTGTAGACCTTCTCCAACTCCTCAATCATGTTAACTCTCTTCCATGGTCTAGCGAAGTCCAAGGTCAAAGCCTTGCCCTCTGGACCCTCTGGGTGGTAGGTGAGCTTGTAGTCACCAGTGATCTCCTTAACCATCTCAGAGAACAACAATTCGGTCAAGTCCATCAAGTCGTAGACATCAGCGTAAGCCTGATAGAACTCACAAGTAGTGAACTCAGGGTTGTGGGTCATGTCAATACCTTCGTTTCTGAATTGACGGCCAATCTCGTAGACTCTGTCCATACCACCGACAACCAACTCCTTCAAGAACAATTCAGGAGCGATTCTCATGAACATATCAATACCCAAGTCGTTGTGGTGGGTAACGAATGGCTTGGCGGTAGCACCACCAGCAATGACGTTCATCATTGGGGTTTCAACCTCGGTAAAGTCTCTCTCGTCCAAGAATCTACGGATGTAGGTGATGATCTTGGATCTGACCTTGAAACGGTCTCTGACGTTGTCGTTCATGATCAAGTCCAAGTATCTCTTTCTGTATCTGGTTTCCTGGTCCTTGATACCGAAATGCTCGACAGGCAACATGTGCAAACATGGGGTCAAGAGTTCAATGTGCTGAGCAAAGATAGAAAGCTCACCCTCACCACCCTTGGCTGGGGAGGTTCTACCTGGGTAACCAACAACACCAATGATGTCACCTCTCTTCAAGTTGTCGTTGATCTTCTCGTAAGCCTCAAGAGACTCGTAGTCCTGGGCCTGGGCCATAACCTGGACCTGGATACCGTCACCCTTCAAGAAGTAAAATCTCAACTTGGAACCAGACTCTCTCTTGTTCATGATTCTACCAGTAAGGCTAACCTGGGTGTCCTTCTTGGTTTCACCTCTAGACAACGAGGAGTACTTCTCCACGAACTGAGGGATGGTGCTGTCTCTGTGGAACTTGTGAGGGTATGGGTTCAAAACAGAGGAGTCAGACTCGTAAGTGTTTCTGTAGTCATCAATTTGACGGGATCTCTGCTCGAAGTACTGGTTAGGGTTCAAGTCAGCCATGTTCTCCTTCTTCTTTGGCTGCTTGTCCTTGTTCTTCTCAGCCTTTTCAGCCTTTCTGGCCTCGATTTGTCTAGTCTTCTGTCTCTTCTTCAATTCGGTCTTGCTGACGTACTCTCCTGTAACATCGTCAAGGTAGGTCTTGGCGACCTGTTCGGTCACTTGGTCCACTGGGTCAGACATGGTATCGGTGTTGATAACGACTCATCGAAAATTTTTCGCTATTTGTTAGGCATGCACGCAGGTACTTTGGGGAAACGCCAAAGCCATGAGTCAGGCCGTCTACAATCTATGGGAAACGTAAGGGGAGGTTCTATATAAGATGATATAATCAAAACTAAAGCTTTTAGCTTACTTTTGTTTGGATTCGTTTTTATACTAGACTTTTTGGTTTGTGGTTTTGTAGCCTACTTCCCAGATTATGTTAATACTGCAAATTGCGAGTGACAGATTAAGCTTCCCTTGCATTGAGTATTGATGATTTTGACGAAAAAGCATAAAAGAAAGATGAAAATTCCAAGTCATGTTAAAGTTGACATTTAACATATTTTAGTAACAACTTTTCACAGGAAATTATTAGAGGAAACTCAGTGGATCACGTCAAATGGTCGAACGTACCCAGGTGGCTCTCAGTAGAGATGCACAAAACGATAACAAAAAGGGCAAAAAATTTCTTAACACATCCAATAGTGCCAAAATCAATTAAATACTTCTTTATATAAAATTCTAAGCTCCTAGCGCCTGGAAGTATGTGGCTTCTGGTTATCAGGTTTGCAACCATTTAAAACTACGGTGTACGGGTCTCCACAGGCGGTCCTACGCTACGTGAAAATTTCTCGCTATGGAGACCATCCTCGAGTAAGCATGGTTCAGAAACAACAAGGCAAGGTGTACGAGGCTCCTACGGCCACCACCATTAACATCGAGGGATCGGTGATCTTGTCTATTCTTAGACACACATCGGAAAACTTCCCTTCCTTGTTCTCGGGCTCTCTCATGGGCTTTGAAGACGATGAAGGTACCATCGATATCACCCACGCATACCCATTCCCTTACCCAGATCAATACGAAGGTGGATCCTTCCGTTCAAAGAGTGGATCAAAGTACCAGCAGGAAATCTTGGAGGCCTTGAAGTCTTTGGATGAGGGTGTTGAGTTCCAAGGCTGGTTCCAGTCTACTGTGTCTGGTAACTTCATCACCTCCTCCTTGGTTGATGCCGTTGCCCAGCAGCAGCTTAACAACAAGAACTCCTTCCTTTTGGTTCACAACATGGTTTCCGTTGGCAAGGGCGTGGACTTGAAGGCTTTGAGATTGTCTGAGAACTTCCTCTCCACATACTTGGACGGCAAGTGGAAGACCAAGGATTTGGAGAACCACAAATTGTCTTACCTCAATATCTTCGACGAGACTCCAATCCACATCCACAACCAGAACTTGGTGAACTTGTACTTGGCTTCTAGCAAGGAGACTACCTTGTCCAACGAGTTTGACACCTTGAACTTCTCCTCCAACTCAAACATCACCACGCAATTGTTGGAGAACTTGTACAGCCAGATTGACTCGTTCAACTTTGACCAGACCAACTTCAACTACTACCAGAGAATCTTACAGAAGGAGCACACTAAGATTCTTCAATGGAAGCAGAACAGAAAGAACGAGAACACCGAAAGAGCCAAGATTGGTGAGTCCGAGTTGAACCCAGACGAGTGGCAGAGTATTTTCAAGTTGCCTACTGGTCCTTCGAGATTCAACAACACTTTGTATTCTAGAGCCATCGACGAGTTGGCAGACGACATTTTGAAGAAGTGCGACCAAGAGTTGATCAAGAGTTTCGCTATTGAGAGAAAGTTGACTTCTAATTAATCATGCATGGGATGAACGCTGCCAACTAGGGCGGCAGTGTAGAGTTAAGCAGTTTAGCCTCGGGCCCCGTGGCAAACTCAGGTCATAGTTAATACTATAAATTTGATGAAAATCGCATCTGTTTCATAAGGCAAATCACAGCACCTATGTTGCTCAATCACGCACTTATGTACCACAGCGTAAGTGTTTCTCAAGTAGGACAATACCATACATACAGCACACACGAGTCAGAAATGTGCGCTACAGGATGGGACGAGTCCACCTTTAGTCCAAGATAAGGCGATTTTTTTGAACTGTAAAACTCGTAAACCCCCTCTATATCCATCAAATTCCCAACAGTGAACCTTAATCTTTCCCCCCTTGACGACATTGATAATCAGCGAATGACAAGATAGCTGTTCGGGATGACGGAACCTGTGTGCGTCTGCAGGTTCCAAGCCCGAGTAGTAGTTTTATCTGTCTAAGGTTACTAATCATATCTTTCCCAAAGACCTTCTTTTATTGATCAAGATGGGGAAGCCAAAAGTACGTATAGTTTTTTGTTTTATGAGTGGAGCGTCGTGTTCAGCGGCCCAAAGCAGAACATCACTAACAAACAGTATATTCTTTTAGTCAGACACGGTGAATCAGAAGGAAATTGTGATAAGTCGGTCAACAGACACACACCCAACCACAAGATATGTCTAACACAACAAGGACATAGCCAGGCCAAGAGAGCTGGTCTAGTGCTTCGAGAGTTCCTTGAACAGTTTGACGAAAAGGATGGAGCCAACGCGAGGAATGTGCTCTTCTACACTTCGCCATACTTACGAGCTCGCCAGACTTGCAAAGACATTATAGATGGGATCCAGGATCTAGAAGGCGTTCAGTACCATGTCAAAGAGGAAGCGAGGATGAGAGAGCAAGATTTCGGCAATTTCCAGAGCACTCCAGAAGAGATGGAAAAGATCTGGGCGCAAAGAGCACACTACGGTCACTTTTTCTTTAGAATTCCTCATGGCGAGAGCGCTGCCGATGTTTATGATCGTATTGCCAGTTTCAACGAGACACTTTTCAGGCAGTTCCACCAGGATAAGTTCCCTAATGTGTTGGTATTGGTGACGCACGGAATTTGGGCAAGAGTGTTCTTGATGAAGTGGTTCCGTTGGAGCTACGAAGATTTCGAGTCGTTAAGAAACATTCCTCATTGCCATTTCCTTATCATGAAGCAGCAAGCATCTGGACGGTACTCTCTTAAGACGCCGCTCCGAACATGGGATGATTTACGAGATCTGGATGTCGAAGAGGAAATCAGCAAGGAATTCGTCCAAGAGGTAAACTTCAATTCCATGAACAAGCTCGATAATCCAGACGATATGGACATTCACAGCATCATTCGGGCTCAAGTAGAGGCTATTGAAGAGAACCGCCAGAAAGACAAGCAGATCAGAGAAGACTACAAACATACCTTGGCGACCAAACTCTCACAGGAAGATCAGAGTACTCAAAACAGCACCGAAGATGTTCTGGCCTTGTGAGAACACACTTGAGCCGAACGATAACCACGGTCCATGGTTAAACCAGATGCATACTATGTTCAGTATTCAGTATGGCGAACCATTTGCCGTTTGCTAGTCGCATAAAGGTACTGTCGTCTAAGAGCATATCCTCAGTCCATGACGTCAGAAACGGATAAATTCAGCACCAAACTGGTGACACCGTTTTTCTGCAATTTTTCTCTCGTTTTTCCACGGACAACCTGAAGTCAGTTGCCTAGTTATGATCCAATGCTCTAGCCATTTCGCATTCACAGGCTCGGCCCAACGCTTCTCATACCCGCTTGACATCAGTACAGGACTGGTAGCACCCGGGGGTCCTCGGAGGGTACTGGCCCACGAAGGAGACCGTCTGGTGAGGTTTCCTCTGCATATATAACGAGCAAAGTCCACCGAAATTCTGGAGACCCCATATTCCATTAAAAGGAACTCAATTACATCAATTACACATCAAAATGTCTCGTCAATTCTTCGTCGGTGGTAACTTCAAGATGAACGGTACCAAGGAGTCCGTTAAGAACATCGTTTCTGGCTTGAACTCTGCTGACTTGCCTAGCAACGTCCAGGTTGTCATTGCCCCACCAGCTACTTACATCGCTGTTGCCGTTGCTGAGAACAAGCAGAAGACCGTTGCTGTCTCTGGTCAGAACGTCTTCAACAAGTCTTCTGGTGCTTACACTGGTGAGATTTCCCCAGATCAATTGAAGGACTTGGGTGCCACCTGGACCTTGACTGGTCACTCTGAGAGAAGAACCATCATCAAGGAGAGCGATGAGTTCATTGCTGAGAAGACCAAGTTCGCTTTGGAGCAGGGTCTTTCTGTTATCTTGTGCATTGGTGAGACCTTGGAGGAGAGAAAGGCTGGTGTCACTTTGGAGGTCTGTGCCAGACAATTGGACGCTGTCTCCAAGATTGTGTCTGACTGGTCTAACATTGTTGTCGCTTACGAGCCAGTCTGGGCCATTGGTACCGGTTTGGCTGCCACCCCAGACGATGCTCAGCAGACCCACAAGGACATCAGAGCTCACTTGGCCAAGACCATTGGTGAGGACGCTGCTAAGAAGATCAGAATCTTGTACGGTGGTTCTGTGAACGGTAAGAACGCTCCAGAGTTCAGAGACAAGGCCGACGTTGACGGTTTCTTGGTTGGCGGTGCCTCCTTGAAGCCAGAGTTCGTCGACATCATCAAGTCCAGAATGTAAGACGGACGTCACGGTATATAAAATGACTATACATTGTAAATGTTAATGCTATTGTTGTAGAGAAGCTCTTGGGCATTGTCAGCCGACCAGCCTCTGTGGCTGCAAACAGCTGATGTGATTCCTTCTGCATGTTCAGCGTACTCTCCATCTTTGTCCAGCAAGAAGAAGCGATCTATAGGCATGTCCGTCTCTAGTAGAATCTGCAGATCGTCAAGGATATCTAACACATTATATAACGTCGGAAGCTTCTGCTCAGCGGCATTGATGTAGTTTGAAAAGGAGAAAAGTAGCTTTGTAGGTTTCTTGCGGTACTCTTTCACCCACGACTGAGCCTGCTCAATCGAACCCGTATACGAGTGAAGAATTACCGCTGGAATACTATCATAAGCAGAAGATTTAGCCAACGAATCAAAAAATGCCCCATGTGCTTTAACGCAATGTAATGACACCGGAACATTGAGTTCATTCGCAAGCTTTAGCTGCTCGGTGTATATATGCAACTGATGGTCCATTGTGACCTTTGAATTCGAAAGCCTAACGTTCTCTGTAATCTCCTGGTTCCCATAAAACCCATTGGTAGGAACCCTGAATAACTTATCTAGCCCCAACTCGCCAATGCCATATTTCCTACCCTTCGCCTTACACACCTCGGCGCACTCTCTTATCCTACCCAAGAACTCATAGAAATCGAAAGGCTCTGGAAGAACATCCAAAAGTTCCAGAGAAGGCGCTGGCTGCAAAACACGATTATAATGTTCAGCCTTGGTGCCAGCGCTTACACGAAACAAATGGCTATACCACGGGTGCACACCATAATAAGGCACTACACTATCACTGCTCAACATGATGTCATGAACAGTGTCTAGATCAAAGTAACTCGTGGACATGAGACAATAAACGCCCAAGGGCAATTCCCGTGCCAACCTATCCGCCTCTTTTCTGGAATGCTCCATCAGAAGATGGCAGTGATTGTCCACGAACATTGGCAACTGGAGAGTAATGGGCTTTCTAGAAAGTTCAATACTTTCCGCGTCCTACTACTTTGACTGCGGCGGAAGGTACTGGTGCCTCACTGTGGAAGGACCAGGAACAGACTCTGGGCCACGAGGAAAGGGTGGGCCGAGGAAGTAGTGAAGCCAGAGGCTCGGGTTCGTCCCAGAGAAAATTATCGAAACAGTTTTGCTCTTCAAGTAATTGTCGGTCCACTGGAGGCCTGACCGTATAGGGAAATGTGTATACGCATGCAGGTCTGTAGGCTGATTCTGGCCCGCATGGGTTCATTGCTTGATAATGGGCAGTAGTGAAATATATATAACATAGGGCAATTGATCGCACCGGGGGTCCCTGGACTAGTTTATTTACAATTAGTGTTGAATTAATCATTTTCCCTAAGTTAGCTAATCTTTTCCATCAGCTGCAATGCCTGTCATCATTGGATCTCTGTATGTATAGCCATAGTCGATGCCTATCCAGACCACAAAGCATACTAACCTATCTAGCTTTTTGCCTCACACGGTGAAGTTTGAAGTGACCGCCAGCGAAACGGCCTCTGAAGCGACTACGTCTCTTGATCCTGCTATAGAGGCTCCGAAACCGTTTGCTGCTGGGAAGCAGCATTCCATTGCGAATTCAATCCTCCCATCCTTGAGCCAACCAGCCTTGACTAACCAGGCTCTGGCAGATACGCCTCCGCCATTCCTCAAACGAAATGAGCAAAGTGCTTCGGTACAACAATTTTTCAAGAACCGTGACGCTGCTGATACTTCTTCAGGCAAACATCATGAAAAGCCGGCTGCTCACTTGATCCAGCCAAAGTCTCGGTATGATGCGAAGATGATCCCAAGCCTGGTGGTGGAAGCAAAGAAGAAAGGTGACGATTTGGGTTTATCTAGCCTTAAGTTTAATACTTCCACAACGAGCTTGCCTCGCACGACTTCCTCAACCCTTTCAGCTACAAGGTCGGGTTCGACTTCTCAGCCGGACTTTGCTCCGGCGGGTGTTCCTCGGGGCAGAAACTCTTTCGGTAAGTTCGCTGGCTATTCGGTGAACCAGTCATCTACCAGCTCATTGGCTGTCACAGAGGAAGAGGATAATGCCCCGTCTGTCTTCAGACCCGCTTCTAAGGGTCCTGCTATTCAAGACGATGAAGAAGAGGAGGAGACGTTCACAGATGAACGTTTGGCTCCTTACGGCGGCTTTTCCAGGCCTGACTTGGAAGAAATCTTCTTAAACCAACAAAACGTTTTCGAAAATGCTCCTTGGCAGATCGTCCCATCTGACAGTGGTAACGGCTCCTTATACAAAGCTGTGGACTTGGCTCACAAAAAGGATGTCATTAAGCTGTGTAAGTGGGTTGGCACTTTATCGTCGCCAATGGATGCAATTCCTCAGCATATCTATCAGGACATTTGCAAGAAATTGAGTGACGACTACGACTGCGAGACTGTGCATGTCAACGACATAGTCTTCCAGGGACATTATAAGTCATTCTGCAAACAAATTTTATGGCCAACTTTGCATTATCAAATACCAGATGACCCTAAGTCTAAGGTATTTGAAGAACATTCCTTTAAGCATTACAAACGCTTGAATCAGCTTGTTGCTGATAAAATAGTCGAAACTTACAAGAAACTTAACCAAGGCCTTGACCCTGCTGATCCTGATAATATGATTTGGATTCATGACTATCACTTGCTTCTTGTCCCTGCAATGATTAGGGAGAAGCTCCCCGATGCTAAGATCGGTTTCTTCTTGCATGTTTCCTTCCCATCTTCTGAAGTTTTCAGGTGCTTGGCACAGAGAGAAGCTTTACTAAAGGGTGTATTAGGAGCTGATTGCGTTACATTCCAAACTGATGAGTACGTGAGACACTTCTTCCAAACCAGTAGTAGGCTTTTACTAGCTGATACCAACGAGCTTGGAATTATTCATAACGGTGTGTTCACCCGCGTGAATACTATTCCCGTTGGTATTGATGCGCCATCTTTGAAGGAGGATCTCATGAGCCCTGCAGTGGTCAAATGGGAAAAGCTCATACGTGAGCGTTGGAAGGATCTGCTCCTCATTGTTTCGAGAGATAAGCTTGATAAGTTAAGGGGTATCAAGCAAAAATTACTTGCTTATGAAGCTTTTCTTAAAAGCAACCCAGAATTCATCGAAAAGACCGTACTTGTCGAAGTTTTTATCGGTTCTTCTTCTAACAGTGATTACAAATCCGAAGTGATGCAAATCGTCTCACGCATAAACGCTTTGGCAGATAACATTTCCATTGCACAGCCAGTGGTTATTTTGGAGCAAGATATTGATTTTGAACAATACTTAGCATTGCAGCATGAAGCTGCCGTTTTCATTGTCGCCAGTTTCAGAGAGGGCCTCAATTTAACATGCCATGAGTTTGTTGAGGCTAGCACAGATAAGCAATCTCCTCTCATCTTGTCCGAATTTACTGGCTCCTCCCACCTTTTGGATTGCAAAGGAGAAGGCGCAATTCTTATCAACCCATGGGATATTAGAAATTTCAGCAAAGCCATCAAGTTAGCTTTGACCATGTCTGCAGAAGAGAAGAAGCGCAGATGGGAGAACTGTCACCAAGTTGTTCTTAAGCACAAACCGATTGACTGGATCAAAGATTGTTTAACTAGCATTGAGGAAGCATGGAAGACTGATCATCTCAAAACTCAGACAAACAAGAAGCCATTCGATCAAGATATTTTTGATAGGTTCTATGAATCCACTGATGGCCACAGGCTCTTTGTCATCAACATTGATACCTCTTATTCCCATGATGAGGTCGGACAAAAGTCTACCAAGGGTTTTGCAAATCTCGGGAGAATTGCAAACTTGTTAACTGGTTTAACGAGTGACCGCAGGAACTATGTTTTCATTATCAGCATTCTCAAAACCGAGGACCTTGAGCTGATATTCAAGAATGTTCCGAACTTGGGTTTAGTGGCTGAAAGTGGTGGCTTCATTAAGTTGGTTGGACAATCGAAGTGGATCTCCATCGTTGATAAAAAGGAAGTGAACAATTGGATTCCACAAGTCACTCTGTTGGTCAAGTCGAAAGCGGAAAGACTTCCGATGTCGACTGCTATTGTCGAAGAGTGCACTGTGAGATGGCTTGCTGATTCAGCGGTGAAGGAAGATCCAAAAAGAAGCATGGATGCCATGGGTGATTGCATTCAACATATTAATGATATTTACGAAGAGACAGAGGGTATTCATGCTACTTTGGTGGATAATTCTGTCGTTGTCCAACAGAAAGACATTTCTATGAGGGCTATGAACTTTATTGTTGCATGCTATACCACAACTGTGCCAGCGTCACAATTAGCTGAAAGGTTCCAAATCAGACGAGTAGCTTCTTTCCATGAGAACTTTAACACCATCGTCAGGTCGCCTTTACACGAGAAATTCGATTGGATTGATGACGATGACAGACCTAACAAGGCGCAGGCACTTTTCTATTCAGGTGGATTGACTTCCATTGATGAGGCCATCTATGAGTACACGAACAGCCTAGAGAAAGACGATGTGTTGCAATCTGCAATTTCTGTGGCGATCACTGGCGGACAAGTGAATGCAAGGTCTTCAGCACTTTACAGCGTTCTAGGCAGAAATGAATTATTGAGTATTATCACTTCGAGATGATATAGGTTTGGCTCCTGTTTATAATTGGTAAATAGTTCTTAAAATTGCTTGTCCTTGTAACTAGCTGCAGCCAAGCTGTTGAGCTCGTCAAAGGCAGTAAAGAATTCATGGTTTTGTTTGTCAGAAATCTTTTCTACTCTGTTCCAGTAGTAGTTTGCGAACTCGTCTTCAGTGACAGCATTTGTTCCACTAGGTCTGTTCACAACCCAAAGAGTTTCTTTCAGCTTCTTGTGAGTCTCTCTGTCATCTTCCATACGAGCTAAAATTTGCTTCTTCGTGAGAACAAATTCGTTGCCTTTCTTAGCTTGATCAGCACCCTTGGATGGTCTTATAGAGAAAATCTCATCTTCAGTAACTGTATCTTCACGAACTGGGCCATGCTTCAACAACCGAAGTCTTTCATACTGACTTTGCTTTCTCTTTCGGAGCAAGATATCCCAAGCCTTAATAGCAGGGTCCTGTTCTTCAACGTCAACATCGTCAAGCTTGACTTCAGGATATGGGATATTTTGATCGATATTCTCTTGTTCTTCAGGAGGAAGTAAAAGACCCACGGAACGGTACTGCTTTTCAAAGTCAGCATAGTTGATATTGAGTGATTCGGAAATGTTCTTCATGTTGTTGAAGATATTAAAAAGATTGGCGTTATTCGTAGACGGAAGGACCTTGAGTATGATCTTTGGCAATGCTGTTTTGAGGTTGTGAACATATGGGTAATTGTAATGTGAATTGGCCTGCTGGGAAATGTAAAATGATTCATGGATTAAAACATCAATAAACTGGAAGATAGTAGACTTGGTATTGAGGTCGACCTTTGGGTCGTCTAGGACATCCATGATAGCATAGAATAGATAGTCTTCGCTTTCGGAATTCTTCAATGCAAAATGGGCCGCACGAAGAAGCGATTGCATGTTGGGAGCAAGCACTCGAAGGATTTGCACGAATTGTGAACTTGTTTCAAAAGAATCCATGTTGTGTGTTGATGTCTTAGCTGCTATTTACTACTTTGAAGATGGCTATATTGAAAGTCTCAGATACACACCCGTACACCACAACTATTCAACCACCAGGTCTCCAACCACGAACCAGGCATTCAACATCTGGTAATTTTCTTTAGAGTTTCGTCATAATAAGTACTTTAGTACATTCAAAGACTACTTACATTAGCCTTCGGTTGTTTGCCTTACTTGGAACTCTATGGTTGCAAAATATGACCACTAAGCTTTAAGCTGTCCGTAGGTACCCAAGAACAAACCCCTGATAGATTTACGTCTCCTCGTGCCCTTTATACTATATGTAGCTTATATTAGAGCGGCCTTTGGAAAGACTATTACCATAGCTTGCACTACTTAGTCGTGTGGATAGGGTTCAAGACACCCGTGCACCTACTACCTCCATACAAAAATTTTTTTCCTTCGCAATCTCTTATGAGCCTATAACTCTTTCTGCTTATTCAAAAATGGGTAAATCTTCTAAAGGAAAGGGAGGTAAAAACAGAAGAAAGGGAAAGAACGACAATGGTGGTCAAAAGAGAGAATTGATCCACAAAGACGAAGGTCAAGAATATGCCCAGATTACCAAGATGTTGGGTAATGGTAGAATCGAAGTCAGTTGTTTCGATGGCGAAAAGAGAATGGGTCACATCAGAGGTAAATTGAGAAAGAAGGTCTGGATGGGCCAAGGTGACATTATCTTGGTGTCTTTGAGAGATTTCCAGGGCGACCAGTGTGATGTCATCCACAAGTATAACTCTGATGAGGCTAGAACTTTGAAGAACATCGGTGAGTTGCCAGAAACCGCTAAGATCAACGAGACCGACACTTTCGGTGCCGACGACGACGAGGAGGTTAACTTTGAGTTCGGTGATAATGATGATGAGTCCGAGGACGACGGTGACTTGGATATCGATGATATTTAAACAGAGTCCATTGCATTCGATTGTACCATAATATACAGATACTTTGATACACCATATGTTTCGTAGAACTAAGTGCTACATACTCGTGTTAAACCGTGAAAAAAATTGTATTCATAAACTACTGCACCCATGCAAAATTAAATATATTAAAAGTAGCAAAAATTAGTTGACCAAAGCAGAAGCGGTGGCAGACTCGTACTTCCAGTTTGGAGGCAAGACGGCGACGGTTCTGTAGTATCTGGCCAATCTGTGGATTCTAGATTCGATCAAAATCAATCTGAACTTAGAGTCCTTGTCCTTTCTGTTTCTCTCCAAGTGCTTTCTGACAGAGACAGCCTTCTTAATCAAGAAGTACAAGTCCTCTGGGATCTCAGGAGCCAAACCGTTAGACTTGAGGATTCTCAAGATCTTGTTACCGGTGACAACCTTAGCCTGGGAAACACCGTGAGCATCTCTCAAGATAACACCAATCTGAGAAGGAGTCAAACCCTTTCTGGCGTACTTGACAATCTGCTCAACAACCTCGTTAGAGGAGAGCTTGAACCAAGCTGGAGCGTTTCTAGAGTATGGAATGGCAGAAGAGCTGATACCCTTACCCTGAATATGTTAGTAAAATAATTTCCCACAAAAGGACCTACCCACAGAGGGTGGCCTTGAAGATCACAACTGGTAACAGCCAGGCGAGGTTCATATTGCTGTAGCTCAGTGAGCTAGTGTGGGTCAGGAAATCACTCCATCGACACCATCAGCAGAACCATCGAGCCCGAAACTGCTCCTTGGTCTACAAATAGTGGAATCGACCAGCAAAACGTACTAGTTTCGTAAAATGGCAGTGGCATCATGTAGCAAAAGCGGAACTCTCCTTCAAGGGGAAAGGACTTTTGACTAAGACCCAAGTACTGCCGAAACTGTACACCGAATCGACCCAAAATCACTATTCAACCAAACCATGTTGTTCACTAGAACACAATATTGTCACATACAGAAGAATGCATACGACCCATGGCTGATAATTCTTTTTGTTGATAGAAGTTGAGGTGAGGTTTGAAAAGTGGGAACTTCGCACCTTATAAGGGTTTGAAAAATTTTTCTCACGGGAGTGTGTGTAAGACTACAACTTTTTCACTGAGACTCAGAACCATCCCATCCGTGCAGAGATGTACGCAGGCGTGATGAGATATAGCCCAGATCTGGCTTTGGAACCCAAGGTTAACATCCCCAGCCTATCCATCTCATAGAAACCAAGTAGAAAGTATTTCTAGTATAGTCAGCTCAACAACTCCACGCCTTGGCCAACTGAAAGGTTCAAAAATATTATTAGCAATTAGACATGCATTCATGATCTATTTGAACGTATGCCAAAGTTGCTTCACCGCAACGGCAACTTTATACTCAATTATAGATTCTAAACCAATTTCTCCTCAAGTTCTTCGAAATCCTCCTCTTCTTCAATTTCAATAAGTCTGTAGTTAGTAAAACCTTTCCTCATCCTTTCATCAAATATACATACTTGTTCACACCAGCCTTCTCTCTGAAAAGCTCAACGGCACCAGCGTAAAGCATCTTGTTTTCCTGTCCTGAAGTTGGAGGCCTCCAGTAAAGCAAAACAAATGGACTCTTCACTCTGCCATCAGAAAGCTTCAAAGGATATGATAGAAGGACATAACGAGCACTGTTATCTGGAAGCTCTTCCACAAGCTCTTCGATGTTATCAATTGGGGTATCATTATCCTTGATTATATTATTTGACCCTTTGTCAATGGAGTCTAAATATGTTAGTAAGCTCTTAATGATCCGATTGTCTAAAACATACAAATGACAGCTTGCATGGTGTCCGCTCTGGCACTAGCAAAGCGGAACTTGCGAAGCTCAGCAAGCGTTTCGGAACTGAAGTTGTATAAAGAAGCCTGGCGTTAGTGAAGATCCCCATTTCGTAAATTGTCTAGACATACCATCGTGGCACTGGATATGTGTCGCTCTGCAAGGCTGATAAGTTGTAGTAGTACGACTGATATCGTGCGCGCCGAATGTGGGTGCTAATAAGTACACCAAAAGAGGTGAAATTGTAAACAAGGCTTTCGAGCGTTAGCTCGAAAAGGCTTCTTTTGCATTGTTTTGCGTAGTTTTGTTTTCAGCCATTTCTTTGACCCATTCCCAAGAGAAGTGTTATTCCTTTGCTGACACTATCAGTACTGTTCTTCTTCTTTGCCCACCATGCCCAAAGCGAGACTGCCAATCCCACTCATTGAGTTTTTAAGAAGTATGTATTTGAAAGGGGAAACATCCCGTTGTTCGGAATTGCAATTCGGTACTAACCTGCTCTAGATAGAATCTACTTGGGCGCTTACGATTACGCTCCTAATGATACTGTTGACTTGGTTTACTTTACGGTAGAGGATGCATTGCCATATAATGCTTTCCACTTGGACTTTGGTCCTCTTCACATCGGCAGCTTGTATAGGTTTGCTGTCAGTCTACATAACATCTTGAACGAAGAAGTCAACCAGGGGAAAGGTGTGGTCTTTTATAGTTCGACTTCTCCAAAGGAGAGAGCCAATGCTGCCTGTTTGTTGTGCTGCTATATGGTGTTGGTTCAACTGTGGGCACCACATCAAGTCCTCCAGCCAATCTGCCAAGTTGATTTCCCCTTCCTGCCATTCAGAGATGCTGGATACTCCAATGCTGATTTTGAAATAACCATTCAAGACGTTGTTTATGCCATGTGGAGAGCCAAGGAAAGAGGTATGATAGACTTGACTACTTTCAACTTGGAAGAGTACGAGCAGTACGAAAGAGTCGACCAAGGTGACTTCAATGTCATCTCCAAAGACTTTATAGCATTTGCATCTCCTCAACAGAAAAAGCCTGGTGTTTTGAATGAACCTTTTAAGAAAGTGCTTAGCTTTTTCATCAACAACGATGTTCAGTTAGCTGTGCGTCTCAATTCCCACTTGTACGATGCCAACGAGTTCACCAAACGCAATATCCAGCATATCGATATGATTTTCGAAGATGGCACTTGCCCTACTATGGAATATGTCCAAAAGTTTATTGGTGCTGCTGAATGCGTTATCAACAACGGTGGTAAAATCGCCGTCCATTGTAAAGCAGGTTTAGGGAGAACAGGATGTCTCATCGGAGCCCATTTGATTTATACCCACGGCTTCACAGCAAATGAATGTATTGCTTACATGAGAATGATCCGTCCAGGAATGGTCGTGGGTCCTCAGCAGCATTGGCTCTATTTACATCAACAAGAGTTCCGTGATTGGAGACATACCATGTGCCTTGACAACAGAGCAGATGCTTTCATTGGCGGTCTCTTCCCATTGGTATCATACAATAACTTCAAAGCTAGAGCAAAGGAAGAAGCAAAGCAGAAGAGATTACAGCAACAACAGCAACAGCTCAACTCTTCATACATGAGCCACTTCGACTCATCCTTCACCCACACACCAGTAAGAAGAAGAAAGATTAGTGAACATCTTGCAAGCAAAATCCAAGGTGCTGTTCCAATGGAGTCACCTGGCCAGCCTAGAAAATACGAAGAAGCAGACACCTCTTCTGTTCTCGACGTTATAAACAACTCCGATGAAGACAACCAAGCAATCTCTATGCAAGATGCTGATTGTCATTCAAGTGGCGTTGAACAAGAGATCAACAACGCCGATGGTGAGATCGTCCATAGCTCTCCTAAGAGAGACACCGGCGACCACAGAATCTTGCGTTCAATCTCCACAAATGCCCAGCAGCTGCCTATGCTGATGACCAAAACTACTACTACAACCACGACACGCACCATCAGCACAACGTTAACCTCCAACCCATCATCACCTAATGGATCAAAGATGCTCAAGTCTCGCTCGAGCACCAAGATTCACAGTGGGCTTCTTCCTGGTAAGAATGTCGGGACAAGGATGCACTCTGGTGGCATCAGAAAAGTTAGCGGCAAGAAATACTGAAGAGGATTAACCAACCTTCAGCCGCTCTTCGTTCGTTTTTGGTAGCATGACTTCTATTCATCTTTTGTATTATTTCACATTAAACTAATTATCTACTCCTGTTGTTCACCAAACTCTGATTCCTCAATACGGAACTCCTGGTCATCTGCGAACTTGAATGCAATTAAATCGTAGTCATTAAACACGAGATCTTCTAATTGCTTATCGTCCTCCACTGGGTACCACTGGTTCTCATGTGGAGCACTTCTGTCTTTAGGCAAGGCAAGCAGCAAGTCTTCAGCAGTAACCTCCACGCCTTCTTCTTCTGGAGGTGGAATACCTTCCTCGTCCACATCAAGGTTGTCGACTATACGTAGTCCCCCAGAAGAGTTAATGGCATTCTTCAAAGCAGTGATGAGTGTTTCTTGGTTAAGCGTCTTCTTGTCGAGAATCAATGGAATCGAATACGTCGAACGAGATCTCTTGAACTTGAGAATCGTAACCGGCGTACGTGCTTTAGGCGGCTTCTGTTAGTATTTAGGCTTGACACTAGGCATTGGGCTGACGTACCATGACTGGTTGTTACTGATAAAGTATGGTTACCGCGCAATGAGATGTAGATTGATGGAGTAGCACATTGTGGTAGAGAGATATCATAGTGGCACCTGGACTATAAAAATCGTTGAAAACTTGACAAAGGTATTGATTGTTAAAAACCACAAATTATACTTTTACTTTGATTTCGCCATGGTACCTCCCCCTACAAGTGTTAAGAGCATATGGCTATCTATCACTACGCGATGGGTATCGCTGCGAAAAGTATACTTGATCATAATAGTTAATGGTAACACGAATATCTGCCCGTAACCACGAGGAACTGATTAGGGCTCTCTATAGGGGCCTAATACGAGGGCTATACAAGACACAGAAGCTACCCATAATTGTCGATACTTCCATCGAGACTGACCCCAATCTACTACGAGAACTCCAGAAAGTCTCAGTGAACCCGAGTCTATATGGAGAGTTCCTTGCCAGTGAACTCAAGTACTATATCAAAGAAAAAGCTGCATCTCCAACACCCTCCTCTGTAGGGCTATATACTCGTCTCAGTAAGGGAGAGAGTCTATGTGAGATATTTCAAGCTATACAACAGAACCCTTCACAACCTCAGCATTGGCATCTGGCAATACAACAATTGATCCAGTTCAGAGATGATCTGTTTCGTCGCCAGAAATGGAAGGCATTTTACTACAAAAACCGGAAACAGATAGACGAAGAACGCAGGAAACCTCAACGTAATAAGAGACAAGGGCGTGAACCAGGTATGCCTACCCCAGAAAACACCAGACGGGCCTTTAAATCCTTAAAGTCCAATGAGCGGCTCAAGAGATACAAAAAAGCCATGAAGGAAAGCGAAGAAGATGCTAATTTTGTTGTCAGAAACTACCTCAAGAAACTCCAGCTTGAAGGTCGTATACCCAACCCATACAAACTACCATATGTATCCGACACTTTAACATTGCAATCGGTCAATCTTCCGGACCCCAAAGCACTAATTCCTGGCTCAACCAAAACTTTTGTCATGGAGCAGGCCTATGACAAAGAATACATAGACGCTATCATCAAGCCAGAGGTCGAGTACCTCATCAACACATCGTTCATGAAAGATATTGATGAGCAAATCAATGTCAAGGGCCCACAAAAGCTGGTGATTAATTTCACTAATGCCGGAGTTCTGGCGGCATATTACCTCGGGCCACATTCTACCAAGAGCAAAATGAAAGGCATTGCACTTACCATCAAACGTCTGACTAGGCTATCTAAGGTAAGACATGTTTGGAACATGAAGTCTACCGATAAAGTGGCTATAGCCCACGAAAAGAGGGTCGGCAATGGCTACGCTGTCCAGGGAAGCAAAGGCTATTCAGGCGAGGAGATCATGTTTACGCGAGAATACTACGAGGAGTTGATGAAAGCTGAGGCGGACTGGGAGGCATTAATGGATGATATCAGGAACCACGATAACATTGGCAAAATGCCGCCTTTACATGAAAGGAAAGAGCAATACAGGAAGGTCTGGCGCAAGTCGCTTGACATAGCATCTGAGTACATCGATAAGACTCTCAAGGAAATGTCGTCTGCTCATCAATTGCTGGACAGAATCTTTCGCCAACAGGCTGCACTTCAGAAGGCATTGGATGAAAAGTATGAGAAACGGGCTAAGAGGTACTCTCAGCTTCTAGATGTTCTAAAAGAACAAGACGTCTTTATGCATTCAGAGATCATCAACTTCAAAGACCCTGTACTGAGAGGATTTGATGTCAATTTGGAGGAGGATTCCTTCAAAAACGAAAAGAATAGAGGCGGTGTACCTGAAGTAGAACGGTTGAATATGGGCAAAAAGCTAGGTGACTATCTTGCAATGTTCAATTTCAGGTTCTACCAAATGGGCCGCAGGTTTCGTGAGCGCTTCAAATTTTAGAGAAGCAATCTACACTATAGCATTATATCATGACGTTTCATTGCATTCGTAAAGTCTCAGCGTAGTGGTTTCGTGAAAAGAGACATGTGTTATACCATATAGCCGCCTAGGCTGTGGCCATTGGTGATGTAGCCATCAATGCCCCTAGCTGCCGCTTCTCTGTCGGGCTCTTGTGGTATGTCTTTGCTGTTCATGCCTCCTTCGTGTTCGACAATGTCGAAATCTTCAATTAACTTGGCTAGGTCAGAAGTCTCCTTGTCGTTGCCATCAGCAACAGATAAGCCGCTCATCATCGCGATTACATCCGTGAGCGACTTGCCCTGTTCCTTGAGCTCTCTGTGCTTAGCAAGCACTTCTTCTAGACAAGTGATATTGTTCTCGTACCATGGCCTATCCACCGTTGCAAACGGTGGAATGACAGTAATGTCTTTGCGAGAAAATACAGCTTCTTGCGAGAGCTGATTACGGTAAAACATCAGCGCCTGGTAATGGTCCTTGCAACAATATTGAGACAAGTACGTATTAGGAAGTATCATCAGAGGTTTCCTGTTCCATATCTGATACCGAGTTGATGTCTCCACACAAGAGCCATTGCTCCCATGAGAGAGTCGGCGAACCTTATGTTGTGGGGACTTGTTGCACAATGGGTAGCCACATTGATGCTCAATGTTCCGTTCTTCCACAAGCTCATCATACGAAGACTGAGTAAGAAAACGACTGAGAAACTTGAGAAGCAGAATGTCTATCGTGTGGTCCAACACCAACTCGGCTATCTTGAGTTGTAGCGACGATGCCTCGCTTGGAGCGAGCATATCGCGATTAGCATAGGGCGCCAATAGGGCTAGAAAAGCGTCGACAGTTAGAATATCCGCGTTCATTCCGTATCGATCTGCTATGCATTTAGTCTTTTGGAAAGTCACTATTTTGCAGACGCTTGGTCCTTAAGGAAAAGAAAAACAGAAAACTAGAATGGTCCGTCGCAGAACCGGCTGCCTCGCCTTTATATACTGTGGCCTCTGCCTGTACACTGATGAGATGATTGAGGATCTGCTACTGTCTTTCCCCGGATCGTTCAGGCGCTCCCATGGCTGCGAAAAGGGAATCACATACATAGCAGTTGGATAAATGGGGATTTACTTGTGGAGATTTTGGAAGAGATACTAATGTAACTCGAAATGCCTTGTTTTGGAAGGAATGGTTTCTCCCCTGCATTGTTGTTGGACCTTCCCCACTGCCCAATTCTCTTGACGTCACTCACGTGATTCCAGAGCATCTTCTTATCGGTGTCTTGAACACCATCTCTTCCTCCCAATCCAGCCCATCATGGCCTCAGAAGAGGCAATTCCGCCTGACGATGCTCTTGTTCCAGAAACTGAAACTGAATCGACTCATCGTGGCTCTGCAAGTACCATCACGGGACGCAGAAGCTCCACGATGTCTGACCTTGCCCCAGCACGATCCAATTCACTACATCCATCCCGCTCAAGGTCTTCTACGGCTAGTGGATTTTTAAATTTCATCTATAACGGTTCCAAAACGGGACTTGTTCCTGAAAAACAGGAAAAGAATAGGTTTGTGTCATTATTCAGACTCTTGATCCTAGAGCTCAATCTACCGAAACCTGGCCATAGCAAACAGAAAGACTTGAGGCATGAAGAAGAGCAGAAACAAGCCTATGAACAGCTCACTAATATGGTCAAAGTTCCGTTATATTTAGAAAGGTTTATAATATTTGGGCTTTTAGTTTGTCTCAACTCCTTTCTTACACTTTTTACATTGGTTCCCCTAAAGATCATCATCATTTGCTACACTGCATTCGCCGATTTCGTCACTAATCTTTCTCAGACAGGCAAATCTGACTTTAGCATATTTACAAGAAAGCTTCATTTTATTAAGAGAGACCTCATTAATGTTTTTGTGATTATCTCCACTGTGGCTTTGCTTTCTTCTCCAAGGGTCGAGGTATCCCGTCTCTACCACGATGTCAGAGGCCAAGCTCACCTTAAGTTGTACGTTATCTTTGGTGTTCTAGAAGTGTTGGACAAATTGCTTTCTTCCATTGGACAGGAAATCTTTACAGTTCTTGTTGGCATCCCTGTCACCAACACAAGTTTCAGAAATATGAGCAAATTGACTTTGTTTATCGTCATTTCACTCATATACTCTGTCAGCCACTCATATGTCTTGATCTATCAGTCTGTGTCGCTTCATGTTGCTGCCAACTCGTACTCCAATGCACTCATGGCACTTCTTCTATCAAATCAGTTTGCTGAATTGAAAGGTGCCGTGTTTAAGAAGTTTGACAGAGAAGGCTTGTTTCAAGTTGCCATGTCCGACTTGACCGAAAGATTTCAGCTTTCCTTGATGTTGTTCATCATATCCGTCAGGAACTTAGCCCAGTTGAACATGACGCAATTGGGTCTTGTCGTTCCAGATAGTTGGAAATCATGGAATAAATGGTTTGGCGCCATCTTCGGCCCCTCCATGGTGGTTCTTGGCTCTGAAGTCTTTGTTGACTGGCTCAAACATTGCTTCATCATAAAATTCAACCGCATTAAACCTAGAGTTTACAAGAACTTCCTATATGTTTCCAGTACTGACTTCATGGAGGTTTTTACGCTAAACTCAAACACATCAACACTGAATGAGATGTCTGACTACATCATTCTTGCTAAGAGAATAGGGCTCCCGATTCTATCTCTTTCAATTTGCTTCTTGAGGATGACGTTACGTGACTTGAAACAGCTTTACGTGCCTTCTTTCAATCTTCTGAGCATTCTTGCTTGTGGCCTTTTAGCAGCTTTAACATTCATCACTTTGTTGGTGATCAGGCTTGTCCTTGGTCTCTGGATCTTGAAGTGGGCTAGAAGAATCAAGCACAATCATGAAGCATATCAAAACGAGTTGGCTGCTGCGGCACTCACAAGCTCTCTAATATCCGAAGAACTGGCCGTGTCTTCTGTTCAAGATAACTTTAGTCGAGAGTTCACTCCAGAAACAGACCCACTATCTATGAAGCCTTCACCTTTCGATAAGTTCCGGCCCAGCGTCGACCCCATAGACACATCTTATACGAGTCTGTATAAGTTACTGGAGTGGTCGCCTAATAGTCAATCAAATGTGCCTTCAACTACGTCGAGTGATTCGCAGAGCGAGATTGAGCAATCATTCATCCCAGGTGTTCCAAATACTGAGTCCTCGTCCATCAACCCTCGAACAAGAGGATTTCTTTACGATCATGGTGAACTGGTCCCACCTACCGGGGAGGAGAAGAGGAATGATTTGGTGAGAAATAGAGCAAAGTTCGATTCAAAGTTCTCAAGTCATTCTGGTGAGGACGCTCTAAAAAGCGTTCATAGATACGAGATGTCAAGCAAACGTATCTGGTAAAGTTTAAAGAATTCTCGTTATATACATTATCATAAAAATGACTGGGACTATTTACAGATTGATTTCCCTTAATTCCGGTTACCGTTCCATTATTTCTTTTTGAGTAATTGCTCCTTCATTTTAGAGCTGATGTAATTCACCGTCTGTGGTCTTGGTCTCTTCAAGTTAGCGGCGAAAGCTAAGGCTGCGGTAAGAAGAGCCAAAGCACCAGCCTGATGGCCAGCTGCTAATGGGATTGGGACCAAATAGATGAGTGTAGAAATACCCAAGGCGACTTGGAATGTGACCAAACCCATCATGGTATGCATGGCCTTCTTTGCATTTGCTGGCATAAGTGCCTTGCGTTTGTTAACGTACATGTGAGCACCCAAGACGGAGAAGAATGTTGTGGTTGCAAGGATACGGTGAATGAGCTGAACGGTGGTTGGATTCTCAAGAAGGTTTCTCCACCACAAATCAGAGTGGTCTTCCTTTCTCGCGTAAACAGAGTCCATGAGCTCTCTGTAAGAAGGCAAGTAATCCTCACCCATGTGGGGGAAGGTGTTATAGATGAGACCAGCGTCCAAACCAGCAACCATACCTCCAGACATGGCAGTAACGAACGTTAAACCTAACAATGCAAGAGACATTTTTCTCATTGGGTTTAATGCAGGGTTATTAAGCTTTGCAAGGTGTGTTGTGACAGTCTGGGCCTTTGTAGAAAGATTCTGGACCCACTTACTTTCATTGAGGATCTCGAATCCAGTCCAGAGAACACCCAAGTACATCAAAAATGCAGCGCCCAAATGCGTGGTCAATCTGTATTGAGAGACAGTTGGCTTCGATCTTCTCTCTGCAAGCTGCTCTTCGTCAAGACCACTTTGCACCATCCACCAACCAATGAAACCTTGCAAGCCCAACAAACCAGTAAGACCCACCACTCTGCGAGTAACATGCGGACTGAACTTCTTAGTCTTCCAGAAGTAAACGGCAGGCAAAACGAAGAACATTCCGATAGCTCTTCCCAAAAGGCGGTGACCCCATTCCATGCTGAAAATGAACTTAAACTCTTCCATAGTGATATGCGAGTTCAAGAGCTTAAACTCAGGGGAGTTCTTATACTTGTCGAACTCCTCTTCCCAAGCCTTCTCTCCAATAGGAGGAATGGAACCAGTGACAGGTTTCCATTCGGTGATGGAAAGACCCGACTCCGTAAGTCTAGTCAAACCACCTACAACAACGATACCAAAGATCAAACCAGAAGTAGCAATAAGCCAGTAACCAGTAACCTTACTGGACACCACAGGAGGCTGCTTCTTCGAAGAAAAAGCCGACTTCAAAGGCTCAGTGTTGATTTTGGGCACCGAGTTGGCTGCAAGGTCAGATGAGGCAGTCGAGTAACCTCTGAAGCCCAAGGAGCGCCATATGTTAAAAGAGCGTCTTTTAGGAGGCACGATGGAGAGACGCAGTCCCCTGGTGCTCTTAAGGATATTAAGCACGCTAGCATTTTTCGTAAAGAAAAAGCCCGAACGACAGAACATGGCCATGTTGGGGAACCAAAAGTAGACACTAGGCGAAGAGGAAGAGGAAAAGGCCTGCCTTGATATACGTCCACGTGACGCCAATGACAAGGCTGCGAATTGTAAGGTAAACGAGAGGCTGCGAGGAAAATCATGCCATACAAAAAGGACGAGGTGCATCCAAGCCAGAGGAATGCTCTTGGAGAGGCCGATACCGAAAGTGCCGAAACCAAGGGGTATTTAAATAAACTGGTTGGATTTGGTAGATTTGGGGATGTCTTTTATTTCGTTTGGCTTTTGGCTTTCTTTTGACTTGTAGAATTTCAGTTTCCACTACCCTCTGTCTTTTTCTGTGTCTGCTTGGTCTACCCAGAAAACGCACTGTTTCTGGCAGAATGGAGGCTCGCCTTTTTTTTGCAACCATTTCCACCACATGGACCCGCCGCCAGTTAACCAGACAATCGGCGTTTTCGCTGTACTTGTTTTAGTTTCTACAGTTGTAGGCGCCGTGGCCTTCTCTGTAAGGGCCACTGTGCTGTCGATTTACCGGAAAAGGGCGTCCTTTGATGAAGAGTCGGTTGCCTTCTCACGAACACAAGAGGAGCATGTTAGGATACTGCCAGGGCAATTCCACCAACAACAATCGCCAGTGACCGACGACTTTAAGAATTGGAATCCTTTGCGTCGCAAAATATCAGAGAGTCCTACTAATCCTTTCAACGAACATGAAAACGAAGTCACCTCTCCTTCTCCTCAGGCTGTCATGTCTGTCACAGACGATGTATCTACCGTCTATAGTTCTGAGCTGAGCTGCCCAGGAACGCCTCAGATTGACGTTATCGGCTTGCTGTCGGCCTCTTATATGAAGCGATTTGTCTACCTGGCACTGGATCTTCGTCTGTTGAAGGCGCTGGTTGAGCAACGAGCCGTACTGGTGCCAGTGCATAAGCAAGAAGATGGCACCTCTCGTTCCAAGGTAAGGCTCTCGCAGCTTTTGAAGTTTACGTATCAGATTCCTCGCCGCCATTACCAGGACGTGGGATCGTTGAATGTGGCTGTTGACGAGATCTTGAATGGTGTTGAGAGTGATCCATTCATGAAGACCATGAGCCTCTTCCACTTTGTCACTATCGGCTCAACCGAACAGACATACGATAATCCCTACTTCTTTACGAGGCCATTCCACAGGGTTATATCATGGTGTTCAGATCCTAGCGTACTAACAGAGGAACCAGAGCTGTTGCAAATGTGCATTGCAGATGTCTTAGTATGTTGGAGCTGGAACCAGTGGTGCTGTGCCAATGGCGCTAGAGCTCGAGGAAGCGAAATCATAAGAGTATTGGCTCAGGCGGCTAGTATGGCGCCAGACGAGACTTACCACTGCGTCGTCCAAGGAGAAGTGATGGCTGTCTTGTGTCTGATGTACACTGGATTAGCCCATTTTGCACCCAATGTTCAGAAACCCATCTTGTTCAAGATCGCTACGGTTATGAAAGCGTGTTCTTCGACAGCCCCATGTAATGCTCATCGGGACCTTGTCCCAATTCTTGCCCATGCTGTGTCTTCCACTCTGCGCCAAAGTAACCTTGTGGTGTTATACGAGTGTCTCAGCGTATTAGTGAGCCCACACCGGCAGTGTTGTTTGGAGTACAGAGACCTTGCGCCACCTACATCAGACTTGTTAGCATTATTAAGACATGGGCTTTGGACCAGGCAGTCTTCAGAGGTTCGTGAAAAGGCTAGGGTGTTGGCAGAGAAGCTAGGCGAGGAGTTTGAACAAATGGAAGAATGGTGTGATCAAGGTGACACCACTAGCGAGTCCCTAGATAACATTGTCGCTCCTGGAGCCTGGCTGATGTTTAAATAAAAAGTTGATATTTTGTTGAAGGACCACTGACACATTGGGTGCAAAATGTCGTAGAAGAAGGCCACAAGCATAGAAGAAGACCACAAGCATATAAGAAGACCACAAGCATAGAAGATAAAAGAAATACAAAGGAACCAGGCTTAGCATTAAGTGTGTAACAACGACTTTCTTCATCCTAGTAGTTTTCATTGGTGTTCCTTTGCACAGCGTGCCCGCCCTCTTGCACGTACCCAACTTAGCCCATGCATTGACAGGGTTCGCTCAGGGTCCAGGGCACAAATCGACGAAGCGTAGTATCCATAAAAAAAAATCAACCCATCCCATCCATATTTCATTAAACTTTTGTCGAAACTTCCATCACGGCTTACCCCTCCATTGACCTACACTCTGGAGGGGACACCCCACGTTTCAGTGGAACTTTGTCTAATTACATGGTCTCCAGATCTCTCCTTATCTAACAATGATTTACGCATCTTCGAGAAAAATCTGGTTATTTGCAGCCATAACCGTTCTCTCTTAACTTAGCCCAATTTACGCATCAGCGCTTGTAGTTCCCCCCGCCGGGTCTAACCCGGAACGCCTTGCCTGGTAACCGTTTTCTCATGGAAACATGGGCACAACTCGCACCTCGGCCATTTTTGTTGGTGTGCGGGTTGCACTCCATTCATGTGGTTTTGCAGCCATGTGAATTGAGAGTTGCCAAAAAAAAAAAAGTCTAAAAAAAAAAAAGGACTAAAGCAAAGAATAGCCACCGAAACGAGAAGCCTAAGAAGGTTAGAAACTCAGATTAGTATAAAGAAAAAAAACCCTCCTTTCTAAAGGTAAAACATGTCTCCTTTGGTCCGTGGGATTGTCGGTACCATGTATCTTCTATCTCATGGTTTTTGCTGCTGGTGACAACCGCTTCTCTTACACATGCACTCCTGGGACGATTATGCGGAGAAGTATATAAGAAGTCTTTTGCTTGTCAGCACGAAATGTGTAAAATCTCGCATCTTTTCGACCTACTAGTCCCACTTTTTTTTTTTTACATTCTTCACGTTTCCTGACTTGCTGATTTAAAGAAGCCTGTTTTTTTCTTTACTAGTCCCGTTCCTTCCATTATAACTTATTTGCAATGTCTGGGCTTGAAATCGCTTCTGCTGCCATTGTGGGCTCCCAATTGTTGGATGCTAAATTGCACGTTTCTGAGGATCTTCGTTTGGTGAAGAACGTTGTATCTAAAGCTGTGCCTTATTTCTACTCCGTTTACAGAGGCAAGGCCTCCTACTGGTACCTTTTCGAAAAGGCTGCCTTGAAGTACCCTGACAACTTGGCTGTCTCCTTCCCTCGCCCTAGAAAGGATGCTCCAACTCCACAGAAGGACGCTGAGGGCTACCCTATTTATGATGATCAATTCACCATGGAAAACTACACTTACCGTGAGTTGTACGCCATGGTCTTGAGATTGTCTTACATTTTGAAGAATGACTATGGTGTCACCTCCAAGGATACTATTGGTGTCGATTGCATGAACAAGCCTTTGTTCTTGTTGTTGTGGTTGGCCTTGTGGAACATTGGTGCTTTGCCTGCGTTCTTGAACTACAACACCAAGGATAAGCCTTTGGTTCACTGTATCAAGATTGCCGGTGTGTCTCAGGTTTTCATTGACCCTGATTGCGCTGACCCAATCAAGGAGACCGAGCCTTTGATTAACGAGGAATTGCCAAACGTTAAGTTACACTACATCAACGAGCCTGAATTGCTCAAGGTTTTGGGCGACAGATCAAGACCTAAGCACAGAGCCGCTGACAACACTAGAAGACCCACAGATAAGGACTCCTCTTGCTGTGCGTTGATTTACACTTCTGGTACTACCGGTTTGCCAAAGGCTGGTATCATGTCCTGGAGAAAGGCTTTCATGGCAACCGCTTTCTTCGGTTCTATCATGAAGATTGACAAAAAATCTACCGTCATGACCGCCATGCCGCTATATCATTCCACTGCCGCCATGTTGGGTGTTTGTCCTACTCTTTCAACTGGTGGTTGTGTGGTTGTGTGTCAGAAATTCTCCGCCTCCACTTTCTGGACTCAGGCTAGATTATCTGAAGCCACTCATATCCAATATGTTGGTGAAGTCTGTCGTTACTTGTTGAACTCCAAATCTCACCCAGACCAATCTAAGCACCAGGTCAAGATTGCTTACGGTAACGGTTTGAGAAGAGATATCTGGAGAGAGTTCAAGCGCAGATTCCACATTGAAGGTGTTGGTGAGTTCTACGCCTCCACTGAGTCTCCAATTGCTACTACAAACATCCAGTACGGTGACTTCGGTGTCGGTGCTTGTCGTAAATACGGTTCCCTCATCAGTACCGTTCTTGGTTTCACCCAGGTTTTGGTCAAGATGGACCCAGAGGATGAGAGTGAGATCTGGAGAGACCCTAAGACTGGTTTCTGTGCTAAGACTGATACCAACACTCCAGGTGAGTTGTTAATGAAGATTATGGATGCTAAGAATGTTGAGGGCTCTTTCCAGGGTTACTACGGTAACAATGAAGCCACCAATAAGAAGGTCATCAGAGATGTCTTCAGAAAGGGTGACGCTTGGTTCAGATCCGGTGACTTGTTGAAGATGGATGAGGACAACTTGTTGTACTTCGTCGATAGATTAGGTGACACTTTCAGATGGAGATCTGAGAACGTGTCCGCCACTGAGGTTGAGAACGAATTGATGGGATCAGGTGCTATCAAGCAGTCTGTTGTCGTCGGTGTTCGTGTTCCAAACTACGAGGGAAGAGCTGGTTTCGCCGTCATCGATCCTGCTGACGGACTCTCGGACGAGGAGGTCTTGGCCAAGATCCACGGTCATGTTGTCAAGTCCTTGCCTAAATACGCTGTTCCTCAGTTCATCAAGATCAAGGCCGACGGTATCGTTGCCTCTCACAACCACAAGGTGCCAAAGAACCAGTTTAAGAACCAGAAATTGCCAAAGGGTGAGAACGGTGACGATCTCATCTACTGGTTGAACGGTGACCGCTACGAAGAATTGACCGAGGATGCCTGGTCTCATATCATGAGCGGAAAGACCAAGTTGTAATTTATCACATATTTATGAGTAAATCAATACATCCAAACGTTATCAATAAGTCTTTTTTTTTTTAGACAATCGTATGTCATTCTCCTATTAAAGTATCTATTTTTCGGAAATGGCGACAACACCTGGCAAGGCCTTACCTTCCAACAACTCCAAGGAGGCACCACCACCGGTGGAAACGTGGGACAACTTGTCAGAGACGCCAAACTTCTTGGCGACAGTGGCAGTGTCACCACCACCAATGATGACGGTGTTACCAGCGCTGGCAGACTTGACAGCCTCGTCCAACATAGACTTGGTACCCTCGGCGAACTTCTCAAACTCGAAGACACCTGGTGGACCGTTCCAGACAATGGTCTTGGCCTTGCCAATGGCTTCAGCGAAGAGCTCTCTGGACTTTGGACCAGCGTCCAAGCCCATCCAGCCGTCTGGGATACCCTCCTCCTGGGTAGCAACGCCAGTCTTAGCGTCCTTGTCGAACTTGTCACCGGTGACAAAGTCGATTGGCAAGACAATTTCAACATTGTTCTTCTTGGCCTTAGCAACCAAGTTCTCGACGTTCTCGGCACCAGCCTCGTCGAAAAGAGAGTTACCAATTGGCATCTTGTCCAAGACCTTCTTGAAGGTGAAGGCCATACCACCACCAACGATCAAGATGTTGACCTTGTCCAACAAGTTGTCAATCAATTGAATCTTGTCGGAGACCTTAGCACCACCCAAGATAGCCAAGAATGGTCTGGTTGGGTTCTCCAAAGCCTTAGCAAAGTACTCCAATTCCTTGGCCATCAAGAAACCAGAAGCCTTCTGTGGCAAGTCAACACCAACCATGGAAGAGTGAGCTCTGTGGGCGGTACCGAAAGCGTCGTTGACGTAGACGTCAGCCAAGGCGGTCAAGCCCTTTCTGAACTTCTCAACATCCTCAGAAGAAGCCTTCTCCTTCTTACCGTCAACCTTCTTGGAGCCCTCCTCCTCAATGTGGAAACGCAAGTTCTCCAACAAGAAGATCTGGCCTTCGTTGCCGGCGTTGACAGCCTCCTCGACCTTTGGTCCGACGCTGTCGTCCAAGAAGGTCACCTTGTTTTCTGGCAAAAGAGATTGCAATTCCTTGGCAACTGGAGCCAAAGAGTACTTCTCAACACGCTCACCGTTTGGTCTACCCAAGTGAGAGGCCAACACAATGGCCTTTGGCTTCTGCTCCAACACGTACTTGATAGTTGGCAAAGCAGCAACGATTCTCTGGTTGTTGGTGATGGTGGTGCCATCCAATGGGACATTGAAGTCGACTCTGATGAACACACGCTTGTTAGCGAGGTCGAGATCTTTCACGGACAATTTCTTGGAGAGAGACATGATATAGCGGTACACTGTAAGGGAGAGAAAAGTCGAGCCTAACCACCAGGCTGGTGCGCCCTTATATATATTCGCACCTTCCTGTGTCTCGGAGTTCATCATTCGACCCTACTTTCCCCCCGGTCCATACCAATCCGTCACCTGAGGGCTCAGCACGAGACGTCAAGTGGGGTTACCACGGGAGTAATTTTGCCCAGGGGGCATTAACAGTAGGCTTGTTTTTGCAATTGATACTCAATTGGATCCTCAATTGCAATGTTCCCACAGACTACATTCCCAAATCCCATGCGCAGTGAAAAATCATAGCGGTAGGCTTTCCCCCGGGTGTGTCGGATCAAAGGAGAAAACCGTTTTGGCCCGGGTTCCCCAGGTTACATAAAAAGGCACCCTGGGTTTGGGGTCGTCTCGCGTTGGCATTGGTCGTTTGCTTGGTTGCATTGGTCGGTTCCCAGCCCTGTCTATATCTACGTCTACTGTGATATTATTACCCTTCTGGCCCTGGCTTGAATGCCCCTCATGCGAAAATATGCAATGCTCATAGACAACCACGGGTGCGACAGCCATAACCACCACGGGTCCACTTGGATGGAAAATGGCATTTTTTGAGTTTTTTTGTCTTTTATCGTTTGTAGCTTCGTTTTAGTTGGTTTATCTTGTTCACATTGACACCTTCTGTACCCTTCTCTCACGAACCTTCTGGAACCTTCTGTCTTCTCCTGCACTGGTAGTATATAGGGCTGAAGCAATCTCTACTAACTGATCAAGACAACCATGGAGAAGATTTTACAATGGTCGATTGCGTCGCAGAGCGGCGATAAGGAGGCAATGGAGAAGATCGGACAGCCCGATCCAGAGTTGCTTAGCCAGCTTTTCGGTGCTGGTGGTCCCGATGAGCCAACGCTTATGAAGCAGTCCATCGCAGTGGTGGAGAACCCAGAGGCAACGCTTGAAGCTAAGGAAACCGCCTTGGATAATTTTGAAATGTTGGTGGAGAACTTGGATAACGCCAACAATATCGAGAACCTCAAATTGTGGCCTAGTATCATCGCGTTACTTCTGAACTCCGAGCCAAGTCTCAGCGTGTTAGCAGCTTCCATCGTTGGCGTCGCTACTCAGAACAACCCTGATTCCCAGAAGGCTTTCTTGGAGAAGGAGGATGGTTTAGCCACACTTATAAAGCTCATCAATGATGAGTCAACCCAGAAAGAGCTTCTTCTTAAGTCATTCTTTGCGTTATCGTGCTTTGTCAGGAACTACGCAGATGCTACTGGTCAATTTGCTGAACTTGGCGGCTGGGAAGCTCTTCATTTGCTGTCTTCTCAAGCTGACCACAAGCTTCTATTGCGTAAGCTTTCTTTGATTTCGGCACTTTTGTCTACGGGCTTAGACGATACCAAGCTTGAGCATTTCAAGAAGATTAGTTTCGTCGATAACCTCATCTCCACTTTCGAGACCGAGAACGTGGCATGCATTGACAAGAGTCTTAATATCATTACTCAGCTTCACTCACTCAAGTATAGCTTTTCTGATGAGGAGATCTCTAGGTTGGCCAACCAACTTGACCGCATTGACCATTTGAAAGACAGACTTACAGAGGATGACTTCCACATTGCAAAGCAAGTAGCTTCTACATGAATTTAATCACGAACTATACTAACATTCAGCGCATTTATCACTGCGGAGTATCTTCGTCGTGAACCCTTATAGTCCCAATCATTAATACATTTCATTCCTGGTAACATTATGTGATCACCTGCGAAGGGTCCGTAGCTGTAAACACTCTTTTCATTGCAGCATTCGCTGATGGAGGAACGATGTTCTTGCCATTCACCGTGCCGAGAGTGTCACTCTTTAGAAACCTTTTATACATCGCAATCGGTGAAGTGTAGTACTCGTAGAGCTTTTCAGCTCTTGGTTGCGTCATGAGGTTGAACTTCTTGAGAAGCTCAATGAAGGTAGTCCGCCTATCTGATCCCAGTCGAACTGTGCCGATATTAGCAAGACTAGAGTTCCTTTGAAATTTGTCGTAAAGCGAAGATCCAATGGTGTATGTAAAAGAATGAAGCCAGTCGATCGCTTCTTGCGCTGTTCTCACAATAAATATGTTGAGCTTAAGATCTATACCTGCTTCTTGAATTTTTCTTTGGGCATCAGCGGCCGTGATGACAATCTCCTCTTGTTTTCTCTTTTTAGAGAGAGGCTCGTTCATCTTCAATAGCATCTGGTCCCTGTATGCTCGATCCTCGATTCCCTTTAGCTTTCTTAGGTATTCTTTGAGTCCAATGACCATAACCATGACATAGTAATCGATACTAGAGTCCTCGGTAGAAGCTCTTCGTATGGCACTTTCTCGGTCGAATCTCAAGGTTCCATTGAGAATTTTATCCACTAGGTCACTAGCCTCATAATAAAGTATAATAACCTTTTCAGAAATTTCCTTTGGCTCACAAGGCTCAAAGACGTCCGCTTCTGCATTGTATGTCGCTTTGACTTTGCGTTTCCAGTTGATAGTGGGAATGGCTGTAACTTTATGACGACGATTTATGCCCTCTAGAGTCTCCTCAAAGTACGAAGACTCAAGCTTCTCTTTTAGGGACTCAGCATATTCTATGATCATTTCTCCAAGAATCTCTTCTTTCTTTCTTGTCGCTCTATTAGCGTCTTTCCATTCTTTCTTTGAAAACTTAGACTCATTTGGTTTAGTAGTCTGGCTATTGCTTGGGAGTACCTTATGGCTCGGTTCCGTGAACACTTGACTTGTCTTTGGGGAGCTCGTTATAGGATCTGATAGTTCACTGCCAACAAAAAGAGCTGAAATGTTTGCCTTTTGTTGTGGTGAGGCCTTCTTTGGCTCTTCTTCACGTGGTTCATGCAGCGGCTCAGACTCATTGATAGTTGCTGTGGTTTTCTGCGTTGAGCCTGGCGATAGTAGGATCTTTTTTGGACGTTTCCGTGGCGCTGGCATGCTCAGTAGTTCTATACTATCCTCATCTGAACTACTAAGCCAGTTCTCAATATCTAAAATGCTTCCCGTCTTCTTAACCGAAGCCGGAGGGATAGCCTCTACCTCGTTGTCATGAGTATTTGGGGCACATGGAGAGCTCGGCGGTAGCTGTTGTCTCTGAGTAGCAGAGTTTGTGGTGCAGACTATGGGATCTGAATCATCAGTTAGTCTTTAGTTAGTATATCAGTTCGAAAGCAGCACAGTCGTCTATACATACAGAATTACACTATGGTCATTCTTAGTGTCATATTTGAAAGAGGTATCTTCACTGTTGATCTCAATCACCTCCATTGTAGTGGCTGTTTATACATGAGTGGTTATCGATATGATGATGTACGCGCTGAGACAAACATTGATCTCAAAACAGTGGGGTTGATGCGTATAGCATGAAGTTAGGAAAACCACCTTTAAAGGGCCAAAATTGGGCCTGGAGGTTTCCATAAATAATCAATATATTTTCCGTTATCTTCTACTTCTTTTTCTTTTTTTTATTTTTTATTGACTTTCTTCTACAGTGGTTTATGAGCTTAGTGAAACTTTCCACTTTGGGTGCGAAACTTGGATTCTAAAGCCCATATTGAGAATATCTGTGAAGTGATGTTTCTGAAAGGTGAACAGTAAAACCAGCAACATCCAGAAAATCTTAGAGAACACTATCACAAGAAAAAATGGAACTCAAAAATTCATCTGACTCATTTTTAGCCAAAGAAAACGTGTTCTGTAGTTGTTATATTTACCTTCTCTGGATACTGTTGATATGCACCAGTGCACCACGCCAAATCGAATATCTGGCACGACAGAAGGCCTTGTCTAAACATACAAATACAAGAAAACAGAAAACAGCACTGGACCAAAGATGGGGAATCGTCGCCGCGCTGTGAGTATGGCCTTCAATGGGTCAATGTCGGAGGACGATGAGAGAAAAACTCAGAAATCTCTCGCCGACGTCAAGACGCTCTATAAAGACATCCGCTACGATTGGTCTCAGTTGACCACAGGCGACACCACACCCATAGAATTGGCAATTGCATTTCTTGACGACACATCGGTTGGTTTAGCCCACAGGAAGGCAGACTTCGACGAACTATGTGAAACCACCAGCGATACTCTCCGGAGAGCGGTTGTGGAGAACCACGAGATTTTCAATAACTCGGTTGGTCTGTACCATATGCTCATGTCGATAGCAAAAGAGTCACAGGAGGACTCTGCTCAAATCAAAGAGCTCATAGAGACAAGTACTCGTGATATGAATGACAGAATGGGTGTACTTAAAGAGCTCGATAGCAGTTCAGAGAAGTACTCTGAGATGCTCGAAATTCTCGACGCTATTGAAAGTTTACACGCAATTCCTGATAAGGTCGACAAGCTTGCTGCAGATAAAGAGCTTCACAAAGTGTACGATACCATTGCAGAGGGTTACAAGGTTGCAGCAAAGTACAACTTATGGCAACTACCCGCGTTAGCCGGGATCCAAAGCTTTTTAGACAACCAATCTAACAGTCTTTACGACATGATCGTTGACGAATTGAGAAATGAGATTTATCTCAAGAACTCCACAATTTTCAATCAGGATAAGGGATCATGGATTGACAACCTTTCTTCGAACAACCCTCAAATTGCCTCCTTCAAGACATTGATTCAACAACTGAATAACTTGGAGCTGTATATTTACAATTCTGCTAACTTGGACATTGGCGAAATTGCTGGATGCTTTACCGAGCCTGCTTCGACTTTCATTGAACATCAACTTCCTAAAATCCACGCACATTACTCCAAGTTTCAAGCATCAAAAGCTGACTATTCATTGATTCTAGAATACGCTTCTAGCCCTTCTTCGGAGTCGTACTTCTACCTTTACATGTTGCTTACAACGGCATCCAAACTTAACAGATTGGACGCTGTGTTGGAGATCTTAGTCTCGTCTGTCCAGGTCGAACTCCACGATTTAATCAACCGAACTACACAAGAATGCAAGCAGAGAAACTTACCTCAGCTCGCAAGACTTGCTAAGGCTGTGAAGTTTGAGTTGGGTGCGGGCTCCGACAAAATTAGTGGGCAGACCTTCAATGATGCCGCCGTGCCAATCTTGCAAGACTTTTTCAGTACCATTGTCACGAAAGCCACGTTGGTGCTTCTGAAACACAGAGTCATTTGTGAGATAGTGAAACATATTGAAAGTAGCCACACTGTCAGTTCAACCGCGCGTGACTCAAATGTTGGTCCTCCAGCACCAAAATACGATTTCAAGACCATCTGGAATCTACTTAAGAAGGAAATCGAATCACTTATCGTCAGCTATATCTATGATGACAATGCTGAAGAGGGCAATAAGCATAAGCAAGATCCGAATTCATCCGCAAGTAAGTTGCATCAAATTTTGGCCAACAAACAGCTTTTCAAGTTTGATAATGTCTCCTTTGGTTCAACTAGCAAAACTACGGAAGACATGACGATGGTTCTCAATGAAATGTTCCCCGGTTTCAGCCCTAGTTCGAAGAAGGGATCTATTCAAGACTCAGAAGTTGAAATGTCCCCATACATAACAAACGAGCTGTTCAATACCTTAGCCGAAGACCTCGTTCCAAAGAACATTTTCAACATGAGAATTATCTTGGAATTCTTCCTCATTTTTATTTCAGCATCTCACGATATGCTTACCGATTTTGGAAAGGTCAAGGGCACGAGCATGGTAGCATACCAGTTCTTTTACGAATTTATGAGAAACTCATTTCACAGAAAGCTTCAAACTGATCTCAATATTAACTTTGAGAAATGCATGGCTGGTGAATTTGATCAGCATTTGGCAGCCGATGCCAAGATGAACAACAAGTTTAACCAAGAGACTATTACCTTGACCGACGATGACACTGAAAGCCAGGCTATTTCCAACTTCTCTCGCTCAAAGTCATCAATAAGCAAGGTCTACGTTAATGCCAGCAACTTCCGCCGCTTATTCAACCACACTTGTCACTCATTAAACACATCATTCACTTACAGAAGAGACATTAGCGACCTTACATTGAATTTACTAAAGAAATTTGCTGGTTCCTACAATGATTACTTCAAAGAGCTTTTATCATCAGGTGTCGGTCATGATATCACAGAGTTGGGGATTGGCATAGGTGAGAGGTCCAAGCACGTACTGCAAATCAACAAATGGCTCAAGACCCCTGCTCTTTTAGAAATGAGTGGCGGCATTCTTCAATATCATGACGATCTCGAGGGCTGCGCTCCGTTGATCGAGAAAGAAATTGATCTCATGCTTTTCAAGTCAAGTCACAACCCAAGCATATTTGATATCACAAAAGACGATTTGCTCGACGATGAATGGTTTGACCAGGTGTGCTACTTACTTCTTACTGCCTCATGGATACTACTGTGGTTACCTGCAATGAGAAAGGAGTCAAATTATACCATCTACGAAACCGGTAACCCAAAGGTCAAGATTTCTGAGGTTGATAAATTGAGGTACGATTGGTCGATTTTAGAAAATGGCCGCTCTACTTTTGCGATTGCAGAGAAAACGCAGAATGTATACTTGACGCTCAACCTGGCAAAGATTGGCGAGTTTGATGAAGTTATTCGAACATTCGAAAGCATCAGAGACCAAACTTTGGTGGCATTGAGATACGACCTTCGACTTAAGGCTTTGTACTATATTGGCAAGTCATACCACGAGAACTTTGTTCTCGGCACTGAACCTGCCGATTCTGACCAGTTTATCGGTCAGTATAACCGTGAAGTGTATTCTATCGGGACCAAGATATCCGAGATGCTTACACCGGCGGAGAACGATTGTGTCTTTGTTGGATTGCCCACGTTCTTGACGCGTGCATTCTTGCAAGGCAGTGAAATGATCCAGATGGCTAATAGGAACGGTATCAAGAAGATTCTTCTTAATATTATCACAATTCAACAGATGCTCCGAAGTGTGATGAAGGAAGTGGATCATGTTGACTTTAGCAGAGCATCCAGATACTTTGAGCTCTTTACCGCTACTGAGCATGTACTCCTCCAAAAGATTGCTGATAGCAAAGAGGCATACACTAAGGAAGAAGTTATCAACTTACTCCGTTTGATCTATAGTGAGAAGCTCCAATCTGACAATGTGAGCTCTTTCAATAAGAGCAAGTTCAGCGAACTTTCAAGAAAGATTGGAGACATATTTGCATAGCTACACAAGGTTTTATTTCATATCAATATATCCATGTAAATTATTAACCGAGAAGAAAAGATTAGTGGTGGCCGGCAAAGTTGTTTGCGCCGGGCAGAACATTAAGTTTGTTGCTCAACTTTTCAAAGAAGAAGCGGCCAAAAGTGTTTCCCAAAATGACAGAGAAGAAGTAGACAAGACTGAACGTCATGGCCACCAACATCAAGGCGTAGCCGAACATCTCAGGAATAAAGCATAGAATGATTCTGATCAAGTCTCTCATCAAGTAGGTGAAGAACGAGTGACTGGCAGGAGGTCTGTCCGTGCGTTCGAGAGAATCCAGAATCTTTCCAGAACCAGCTTCTTCATCGTCACAAGCACATTCGTCAATGATGGTAGTTTGACGGTGGTAGTTTGGGTTATTCCATACCTTCAGCTCCAAGTAGTTCTTGAGGAATTCGCAGCCTTTACCAACGAAAGCCACCACGAAGAAGAGAAGGAAAATACCAAAAGCCTCACCGCCGTTGTTGGCCACTAGGTCTTTGAACAAAACAGGGTATCCTTCGTATTTAGTGGTCAACCACATATTCATGCCCATCATGTCGTGGTCCATTCCACCGTGGTCCATGCTGCCATGGTCCATACTACCATGATCCATCGTGGAAGAACTCATGGCCATAGTGCCAGTAGCGCTGTGCATGTGCATGGACATAGAGCCCATTGACATTGATCCCATATCCATCTTTGCCAGGTTGTTTCAGGTGTCTAAAGAAAGTCAATGTACATGGGCCAGGGCCCTGTTTTATATATTGTTGCAGCCTGGCACTGAGCACATTTATTGAGCATTTTAGTGCGCCAAATTGGGAAGGCCTTCTTGCTCACACTGCATTGATACACGAGCATTTTTCGCAGCCTTTGACAGGGCCTATGGGAGGTTACGAGGAGGATATCTAGCTTTTTGCGCCTGAAGGGTACTTTGGCATATTTGATAAGAAACGGTCAAGGGGTAACACCACTGGGTGGTTGAAGGTTGATGATGTAATAGATAAGAGGAGAGTTGACATTGCAATTTGGTACTTCTAGTGAGTCTGAAGATCATCCCGATCACGGAAATGTGCACTGCTTGTGCTGGTATATTTGCTCATGGCCATGTAACCATATGCTGCTTCGTACCTTCTGGGGAGGTGTAGTAAGGGTGCGCTAGGGCCATTGCCGGTTACCGGCGATTCTTGGGCAACATATACGCGGCACGCACAAACGGAATACTGGTACGATAGGGAAAGCTAATTTGCTCCTTTTTATGTGCTCAACACTTTTTGGTTTTGTTGGCTGTTGGTCCATGGCACTGGGGGTTCAATGGGAAGCGTTTGGAAAATCCCGTTACGAGTCACGTGCCGCCAGACTCACTTTAGCAGATCAGCCTCTCACCTTAGTTGAACCACATGCTTGTGCCTCCAGATAACTTTGGCTTAATAGAGCCGGGTGTTTATCGATGCCTGAAACTCGAGGCTGACCACACACCGTTTTTGGCTACATTGCAGCTCAATTCGATCGTGTTACTTGACGCGGCCAAACCACCTCGAAATCTCAAGGCTTTCTTGGAAGAGAACGAGGTCAAGTTGTTTAAGCTTGGTGGTCTTAAGATATCCAATCATGGGAATTACACGAAAGATAATGAAAGGATTGATAAGGCTGGTGGATCGCAGCTGTCAGCAGGACAAGGCGAAATAGAAGTGATCCAATTGGATAGAGGAAATGGAAATGGAGGAAGTAAGGAAAACAACCTGTGGATGCTCATTGAACCTGGACTCATCGAAGGAGCTTTCGAAATAATTTTCAACAAGAATCGTCATAACGTATTGGTGGTGGACCTGTCGCTGACTCTCGTTGGAATTCTTCGACGCATCCAAAAGTGGAACTTCAACTCCATCGTCAACGAGTACCGCATTTACACTGGTAACTCCAGCAAAAACAATTATAACGCAGAAAACTTTTTGGAGCTACTAGAAATTGAGTTGGTTCCGTTTGAAGTGGACCAGTGGTTGAGGAATAAAAGAGAGAAAAGCCTGGAACAACCAGAGCCAAAGGCTCCCTCTGTGGCTTCTAGTGGATCCCATCGTCGTCTGAGATATTCTGTTGATGACGGAAACGTAACTAATGAAGACGAGGATGTGTCTGCAGATGATTATGAAGACGATATGGACGACGACCTCCTTCTGGCGTCGCCTCAAATTCCCGCTAATTTGCTCAAGCTTGTGGAACAACGGAAAAACGACGATCAGGGTTCCGTGTCTGCCTCTCCTGGAACACCACCTGAGCATCGTATCCCCCATTTACAACTTGACAAATCATTTCCTGGTAGTACCGGGAGCCGGAATAACAGTTTCAGCGGTGACAATATCAATCTAGCAGCGCACCGCCGAAAACTGTCAATGGATACTAGGCACTCTCGCCCCGGAAACTTGAGGTTCCGCAGACCTAGTTTCAATGATCAGTCAAAGTCTCCAGGACGCAGGTCGTCCTTCGAGAGCAGCCTTCGTCAGTATAGGCTAGAGAGGGAGAGATCCGGAGGACCGGAGGAGCTTGCTAGAACGAAAGAGCTCTACGGTTATCAGTATTACAAACCTCGTATTGTTGCACTGTCTTCATTTGTTGAACCAATAAAGCTTCATCTTCCTCCAGAGCACAAATTGCCAGACTGGTTCATACGAGGAAGAGACTTCTGGGAGAATCAGTACAGACAACTCAATCCATAGACGGTGGAAGTACAATTAGACAACAGCCTCGTTTGAAACAACCACATGTCGATATCATTCAACACAACTGCAGCACAGGCAAAAGCAGATGCATTCACATATTATATAGTTGAAAACACAGACCTCGCATAACTCTTTAAGTACTTTAGGGCGTTGATGTGCCTATATCTCTTCATACATGAGACACTTGACAGCTGAGATGCAATCCAACGCCCAAGTTCCCAAACTGGTGATCCGTCGCAGCAAAGACGGGAGTGGTTCTGTTTTGGGTATTCAGCTGAGATATAGGGGTAGAGTGACACTTAGACTGGGGTAGGATGAAAGGACAAAGCAACCTTCCCATTCATGGCTAGACCTCATAGCTAGACCTCAGTAAGCGCCGACTGAACAGACCTCAAGATTTACGAATGTGATACAATGAGTGATGTTTGGTGAGGATGGCTTTTGTTAACAAAAGCACGTATATTATTCGCTACCCAAGAATATTGTATCGTGGACAAACGATATAATAAAATAAAATAATAGAATTGAAAGGGATGATCGTAACAACGTAAGACATACTCCAAAGCACGAGTGTGATGGAGCAAACTTCACTCCAGGTAGTCTTCTTTGAGGAAATCAGCCATGTTGGCTTGGTCGTCCTCGCCGTTCTCCCCTGAATGGAAGTCTCCTTCATCGAATTCAGAATCAACTTGTAGTTTGGGGCAACGCTTGCTCCGGTCTGTGTTAAGAACATGCTCATCAAGCCAGTCATTTCCTGTGAAATGTTGGCCACAGGAATTACAATGACCACGGACTAAGAGCTTCTCCTTTAAATTAGGCGCTAAACGAGCCTTAGGATCATCGAATGTGAAATGAACGTTAAGCAAGTGCTTTTTGTAGTCGTAAGGTCTGTTGAACTTACCTGATTTGTGCGAGCAAGTACTTCTGGGAAAGACGCATTGGAAACGACCAATCTCATTATGGATTCTTGAATGTCTGGTAAAATCTCTGCTGATATGCTTATCGCAGATAGGGCAGATCACAACCCTGCTAGACTTCTTCTTCTTCTTCACTTCAGTCTTGACAACTGGAGTAATTGCACTCTGTGCGGATTGCGACCTTTCTAAAACAGGACGATTGACGAATAGACTGTGCGTAGTAGGGGTTGGGGAGTCATTCGTCTGTCCAAACTGCTCGCGATAGCTCATAGGCACCATATGAGTATGACTTTGATTAGTTGCTATACCACTGTGGAGATCTTGTTGGCTATGGTTGTGGGAAGCGTGTGCATACTCATGGGTATGCTGGTGCGGATGCTGGTGTTGATGCAGATGTTGGTGAGGATGATGGTTAGCAAGTGGCTGATGTTGTTGGACGTGAGTGTGAGGTAGGTGCTGAGAATGAGAATGGGTGTGAGTTGGATACTCATGATGATCGTACTGATGATTGGCAGCATGGTCAACATGAGCATGATGTTGAGTGTGGTGATGGCCCACGTTGTGCCCAAACGAGTTCTCAAGGTAATTGTTCTCAAAATTAGGAATGCTATGATTGTACTCTTCAAAAGACTCAGGTACAGGGACAAAACTGTCAAAGTTAACGTTTGCAAAATCGTCAAAATCAGTGCTGTTATCGTCACTTCTAGCAACACTGGAGCGTTCGACGTCCTTCGGAAGAGAAAGGTAGCCTGCGGGCATACCGCCATCCGAGACGTTGAAACTAGCGTCATGGTCAGCTAACTGACCGTCGTAAGAGCCAAAATAGCCCAAGTCACTGGTGTTAGGAGGGTTCATTAGAGGGGTGACATTCTCTTGTCCACTATCCCACTCAACACCGTTTTGATGGAAGAGAACATCGGGGTCGGAGATCTTCATGCTTTGATGAGGCAAATCAAGCCTAGATTCAGAGCCAACAGAACTGACAAGGTTCTGGTCTTTCATGCGAGCGACCACATTTGGGCCTTGTAAGTTATCTAGCGCAATGTGGAAGCCAGGGTTCTTCTTCTTGAGCGATGAAGTTCCGTTGCTCTTGGCAAAGTCGGGTTTCCGGTTGGAAGCTTCCGAGGATGGAGCCAAAATGGGAGGCAGGTCACTGATAACTCTTGAGTCTTCAGCTTCGTGGGTGATGGCGTTGGAAAGTCTTGATTTTGAGCGAGCCTTCTTGTCGGAGAAGGTTCTCTGTCTACTTCCGAAATGGCCACCACGTTTGGGGGTAGAACTCCCCGGCTGTGGCTTCCATTGATTGAAGCGAAGCTGCAGATTCTGTTGAGCGTACAGTGAACCAGCATCGGTATGCTCATGTTGAGAAGACAAGGTATAGTCACCAGCAACTAGATTGTCATTGTGAGGCACCACGAAAGTGAAATAATCGTCGCCGGAAGAAGGGGCGGCGGGGGCCGAAATTGGCCCCAGTTGAAAATGCAGCAAATTCAACGGGTTGTAGTGGAGGTGGTCGTTGTATTCCAGATCCATGGCAGGAAGCGGTTGAAGCTGAGTGTAGTAGGCCTGCTTAACTTGAGACATGAGAAAAGCCCGGCAGGTATATAAGGTTTGTAGCTCCGGATGTAGATAGTAGGTGAGAAACTTTCGCACTAACTAAGAATCAGAAGCTCTGGGTTGCAAGGGTGGGAAGCCAGGATGATAAATAGGTGGAGGCCGAGAATGGACACAAATGAGGGATGGGGCCCGTATTCCAAAAGCGTCAGCTGTAAGCGGTAAATAGGGATATGTATGTCTGTGGTGGGGCGAAGCCGAAAAAAGCGTGAGAAGTTCGGGGGGAAATTTGCAGGGTAACTTTTCCAGGCTAGTCCTCGGCGGCTATAGTAGACTGACCTGTACCGACCAAAAGAAGATGAGTTGCTTCCACAAAATTCGACCTGTCAGGAAAATGCTCGGTGATACTAAGCGCACCCTGGCGTCACGTGGCGGGAAACCCCGAAAGCAAACAAAGCCAAGAGAGTCAGAAAACAATCGAAGAAAAAAAGCTAAGCGAGTGGAATGTTGGAGAATGCAAGATTGGTGGACCGAAAAAAAAAGAGACATTTTTCAACCTTCACCAGACCATAACCACAACCTGTCTCTACCAGAATAAGCGGCTGGGTCAAGCGGATAAATTTACCGTCTTGGGCGGGGCGTTTTCAATTTACGGGCCGCATGCATGGAAACCCAGGCTGAGGTTAGCACCTGTTACAGAGCAGGGTAGAAGTAAGGGGACGAGCAAGAGCAAAGAGCCAGTAAGGGAGAGGTGATATTAGGCTAGGGTTGGGGAGGCAATGGAGGGGAGGATGTCTATAGAATTTTCTTTTGTTTTCGGAGAAATCTACCACCTTCTATCTTCCATTGGTGGATCTGTCCCTCAGCGTGATGGATCGGAAATTGTACTTGAACAGTGCGCAAGGGTTCAGTGCTGGCCAGGCCACAAAGGAAACAAAAAAAAAGAAAGCACCAAGGGTTAACCGCTGAGCAGCGCCACACAAGTGGGGACACGAGAAGTTGCAGTAAAACACGAGCTGTGATAGGTGTAACGTGTTAAGTCGATTTTTTTTTTTAATTTCTCAGACAAAAAATTTCAATCCATTTACAGGTCGATAAGCAAACTATCCTCGGCTTCTCTTGCGAGTTATATATATAATTTTTTTCTTGACAGGGCCGCGCGGTCTAATGTATAACCAGCATAGACGAGAACAAGTGGTGAACAACTGGAAGTATACAAAAACACAATTGGCTACACAATGGCAGAAAACAGTTGCAACAAGGTTTCAGAAATGCCCATTTGGATAACTCCACAAAAAAAGGGGATAGTCTTTTTAACGAATGAATTGCCCTTGGTACGTTGATTTAAATCTATGGAGCCGTTCCAACCCTTTTTTTTTTTCTTTCTATTTTTTTTTTCATGCTGGGTGTCACATTTACGGTAACGCCTCAATTCAACGCTCCAGTGCTTAAACAAAATTAACAAGTATACGGTTAACTCCATCCTGGCTCACAAAACTGGAAATGGCATGTTTTTCTCTTTTTGGTGGTCTGGAACCAGGCCCTAATGACCCTATTCTCTTTCACTGGTTTTCAGTTATGGGCATTGTTCCCCTCCGAGGCACCCTCCCTGCTTTTCCTGGAGGTGGGCCCACCTCGCACGTTATCAGTTCGCACTAAATCTCTCCCCCCCTCGAAAACCCAACCCTTAACACAGCTGAACTCTACCACACCCTATTTGTTTCATCATGTCGGCATTGATTTACGGCGCTACCGGCCTTTGCGGAAACGAGATTCTCAAGCTTTCTATTGCCCTGTCTAAGCTTACCAGCTTGACGACGGTGACTCGCCGTGAGTTTGATGTCACTTCAGACAAGCTCACTAAGATTGTGGAGAAGGACTCCTCAAAGTATCCAGAAATCACCTCCAACGCCAATGCCTCGGTTTTGTTCTCGGCATTGGCCACTACAAGAGCGGCAGCTGGCTCTGCTCAGAAGTTTGTGGAAATTGACCATGATATTAACTTGGAGGTTGCCAAAGCTGCAAAAGAAGCTGGCGTGAAGACCTTTGTGCTCATTTCTTCAGTAGGTGCCAGTGCTCTGTCTCCATTCTTGTACATGAAGACCAAGGGTCGCTTGGAAGATGATGTGATTGCTCTTAAGTTCCCAAACACCATCATCTTGCGTCCTGGTCCATTGTTGGGAGACCGTGGCAAGTCTAAGGGTTTCGTCAATGACTTGTCCGCTGGTACTTTCAAGTTCTTCCACAACACCTTTGTTGGTAACAACGTCTTCTACCCAATCTATGGCAACGAGGTGGCCAAGGCTGCTGTACACTTGGCTGAAGAGTCTCTCGACCAGTCGAGTGAAGAGCCCCAAGTGAGAATTGTAGGCGGCAAAGAGCTTCTCCAAGTCGCCAAGTCTGTCAAATAATCTTATGACTAGTTAATGTTGGTTTACAACGGGTTTATATGTCAATGCATTGTCTTTTCTCTTACTATGTATCGCTTAAAACTCGGACTTTTTGATGAGAGGACACCTCTGGCTCTCATTTGTTGTGAGAATATGGTTATTCAACCAGTCTCCTGATAAATATCTCTTACCGCATGGACAAGTGCCCCATTGTGAGAGCTTCTCACGAAGATTATGTTCTCTCTTGGTGGACTCATCGTCGTAGCGGAAATGCTTGTTAAGTAAATGCTTCTTAAAGTCGTACCTCCTGTTAAACAGGCCAGACTTATGCCGACAGTTGCCCTTAGGGAAGACACATTTGAACCTTTTTTCGCTTTGATGGGTCCACATGTGCCTTGTCATGTCTCTAGAAATGGTTTTACCACACACGGTACATTTGGTAGGATCAACGAAAGTGGTTTCTACCAATGGCACGGACATGTTACTATCAGAGTTGACCATAGTGGTCATATCCGGATAGGATTGCAGCCCGAGCATATTGGAGGACTCAACGAACGACGTGGATTCATGGGACGGTAACAAGCCAGCTTCTTCCGTCGCTAGGCGGACAGGTGATCGAGAAAATGAGCTGTCCAGCAGAGTTGGCGAAGGTCTAGAAGATAGTCGAGAATGTTGATGGATGGGCATTGGATGCCCCATGTGTCGTAGGCTGCCACCGGTGTTCTGACTAAGCATCTCATCGGAACTTGATCTCTTTTGAGGTCTTCCAAGAACAGCTTCTTCGGCGTCTACTATGCTGTTTCTCTCATAGCTGCTTCTTCCAAAACTGCTTCGATCACCATAACTACTACTATCACCAAAGCTTGACCTTTCACCGAAGCCAACAGGCATAGGCGGTATAAAATCAGGCGACTGTTGATAGTACTGAAATGGCTGCTGGTGTCCCTGATGATAAGCCGGCGCATATTGTCTGTTCCAATTCGCCGAGGTGGTATTCTCAGGCTGAATCATCTGGTGAGGATGTCCTGGGAATGCTGGAGCATTACCAACGTTAGCGGCTTCTGGGTAGTCTGCTTGCGTCTGTTGCAAATAAGGAAAGACAGGATCATCTAACCTCAAGGGCTCCGAAAAGCTTTCTCTTTTAGGTTGACGTTCTCCAGGCATCATCCGAGCAGGATGCACGTTAGGGTCTTGCAAGTCCTGGTTGTGAGGGAAGATTTGCGACGATGAAGCATAGGACAGGTTTCTGTCTCCGGGTGCTTTGAAGTAAGTCAAGACGTCTGGAGAAGTTAGGTTAGTGAAAGGAAAGAGAGCTGATTGAAGATGCGGTTGCAAATCACACGTTTTGGAAATCAACTCTTCTGGATTGTCAAAGTAAAGACATATTGTAAAGCTTTTTCAAAAGCAGGGACCCCCAAGCCCTTTTTATACATGCAAGGCGCCAACTATAGCGCATAGATCTCGGGGTCTGATTAGTGATTGGAAACAGTCTTTCGGCGTCACTTTTGCTATGCAAGCCCAACAGCCATCGTTGGAGCCGTGCAGGTCAGACTCATGCACCCTTGTATGAATTCATGTACAACGTATGCACAGTTCCTTGTTTTGTGCTTAGTGTGCGAGTTTCAGGGCGGGGCTCTCAATTAACAAAGCCGGCGGTGATATGCGTGACGTTGACAGCATCAGGCACACATAAATTTTACCAAGGGTCTGGGGGGAAAGGGAAGAAAAAAAAGAAGTACACTAAAAGAAGGAATACTAGTAGGGCGGTTAAATTATTGGAGCTCAGCCCGCTTCAGCCCGCTTGTGTATGCTAAGTCAGGCACTACATAGTGTATAGGTCATACAGATGGAAAAAAGCTTAATTGTCCATTGTCATTTCTGTCTCCCGTAAGCATAAATAAGATTTAAATAGAAATGGAGGTGGTGAAAAGAAAAGGTAGTAGAGAAAAAAAGTTCAAAATAAGAAAAAAAAATAAAAAAAGCTTCATCAGCCACTTCCAGTTTCATCTTTGAGGCGGGAGAGACTCGCTTAGGGGCAGAAGGGCGGTCGTTGAATGCGAGAGCAAAGATGCAGAAAGTAGTAAAGTTTCGTATCGCACTGGGCGTAAACAGTGCTAGATTTGTGAGGGCCCCGGAAAAACAGGTAGTGGAAAAAGAAATAGGTTGAAAAAAACCCTTGAGGTCACAAAACGCCTGCCCCGTACAAAAGTACAGTCAGATTAACCGAATCGGTAACGTGTGGTAATATTAGGGCGGCTCCCCACCAAGTGATGCTGCTACACGTCGCTTATCTAAGCTTATAAGGATACGACGAGAAATGCACTCACTGCTAATGTTGTGTGAAAGGGAAGAAAGAGTATGACTTGTGGGAGTATCTTTTGCCGTGTTTCGGTTCGGAAAAATTACGTATGCTTTAATGCCACGAATTATTAGTAGCTGGAAGCGCTTTTTTTTTTCTTCGTGAGTGTCATGGTGCATGCTTCTGAGCAAGCGGGCTGGCTTTCCACAACTTCCATGCATGATGCACAGAATTCGCCCAGGGACAGGATGCGTATACCGCACCAGGCGAGCGAGCAACGCCCTGTTCATTTACGGTAGCTTAAGCGAAGGTTATGGAAGGGATAACGTTTACGTCTTTTTGCAGCCACAGCGCCACTATTGGGGTTGGTCACATCCTGACCATTTTCCTAGTTTTGCATGCCCAAATCGACACATGTAGGAACACACCAGGCCCTGCACCCTTCCGCCCAGAACAACTCTATTTTTTTTTTTTTTTTTTTTTTTCGGTGTTTTCACAAGCCACTTATGGCAGCCTTTTTTCTAAGAAAGAAAGACGTGGCTACTTTGTGTAAGGATATCACTTCACAACCAAAAGTTGTCAGTTTTGATCATATCTGGACAATTTGGGTTGTATGAATATAGCTCTATGGCTATACATTAGTATGGGTTGATGGGGGCCCTAGAAAGGCACTAGGAAGTTTTCTTTGTTGGGCTTCTATTACGGCAAACTTTAAATACAGAACAAAGGGGGCCTTTTCACCCAATGAACGTCCTTTGGAGTAGCATTATCATGGGTTTTCAAGCTTTTCACCTAAGTTCAAGCCCCCTCCCTCCCTCAAGTGGGTCAGTATTACGATAAAAGACCGTACCAAGGTGGTACGAATACGGCGGATCAGTAGGGTAAAAAAAGAAATCGGAAAAAAAATTAAACTTTCTTAGACCTTAGCGAAACAATAGGTTATAAATGTGCCTGAGGCGAAAAGGTAAATTAAGATCAAGGGTCGCTTCGTACATGACAAAGAAAAAGCAAAATACCGCCTAAACCAATATCAAAATAGGAGAAAGAGCAAATTAACTTTATTTGATACGAGGCGAATGATTGCATGATCGACGACATGAAGTGTCATTTCAAGGGTTTTGACATCTAGATCGAGGTTTCTACAACTGCATCGAGAACTCGGAGGGTCCGCTAAGTGCCTTGAAAATTTTTGGGCACTCTCGTAGATGCACGGCTTAGTTTTTGGAAGTGGTCTGATTTTTTGGAGCCCATATGTGGCTCTGTTAAATTTTAAGATTATTAATCGAGGTTACACTCGTAATACTGTCCTTGTTAGGTGTACACTGTTATGGTACTTCTCGCGCGAAGTAGGTATTAGGGCTCAAACCTCTATCACGTGATACTATTTACTCGCAGTGGGTAGGGTTACCCGGCTTGTGACGATGCTCTGTGCGACTCGGTGAAAAAAAAAAAACTCTCGAACCCTTTAACAAACTCCATCAACCAGTAAAACTAAAATGGGTGCCTACAAATACTTGGAAGAATTGCAGAGAAAGAAGCAATCTGATGTCGCTAGATTCTTGTTGAGAGTCAGATGTTGGGAATACAGACAGAAGAACGTCATCCACAGAGCCAGCAGACCATCTAGACCAGACAAGGCTAGAAGATTGGGTTACAAGGCCAAGCAGGGTTTCGTCATCTTCCGTATCAGAGTCAGAAGAGGTGGCAGAAAGAGACCAGTGCCAAAGGGTGCTACTTACGGTAAGCCAACCAACCAGGGTGTTACTCAGCTCAAGTACCAGAAGTCTTTGAGAGTCACCGCTGAGGAGAGAGTTGGTAGAAGAGCTGCTAACTTGAGAGTCTTGAACTCTTACTGGGTTAACCAGGACTCCACCTACAAGTACTACGAGGTTATCTTGGTTGATCCATCTCACAACGCTATCAGAAGAGACCCAAGATACAACTGGATTGTCAACCCAGTCCACAAGCACAGAGAAGCTAGAGGTCTCACTGCCGCTGGTAAGAAGTCCAGAGGTATTGCCAAGGGTCACTTGTTCAACAACACCAAGGCCGGCCGTCGTCACACTTGGAAGAAGCACAACACTTTGTCCTTGTGGAGATACAGATCTTAAGCGCGTTAGCTTATGGTTTGTTGAATCACTTATTGGTGTGGCTCATTGGGTTATGAAAATATGAATTGCATCATGCGAATTTAATCTGGAAACTGTAGATAATAGGCCTGCTCCTATGTAGATACTACCTGAAGCGATGAGCTCAATTTAAACGTACTTCAAGAGTACCTTATTTAAGTGCTCAAATTTGACCGAATTTGACGTTATCAAATAAGCCATGTTTCTATGGGCGTCAACTCCTTAAAGCATTGTCCAGGCGATCATATACGTGCCTTTCATAGTGCTCTTCCGTTTCCCCGTCCTCATTCATATGAAGTAAAGGAGGTGCTTGCAGCCACTAGCAATTAACATGAAACCTGAAAAAAAGCTAGCAAAGCAACGTTTCTTTCTTATCCTAATCCCTCATTTTCTTCATTTTACCAACTCTCAGATTCACCATCATAACAATCTACATATCTGGCGATGGCACCCTGTAACCCGAGTCATAGTCTGACTCGTACCATAGATAATTAAGTATGGCGCGGGACAAACACCCGTGCCTCTAATAAGGGAACGAGGTGGAACCAATTGAAAAAATTGGTACCTGATCTCCTTCACAGTCTTTGGCTTTATTGAATTCAGTTTTGATTGGTATTTTCCCCTTGTCTACTTCATCCACTTCTTGAAAGGACACTTTACTTTGCACCCAGGACACTTCATCTCCTTGCAAAGCATCCCCCACTTCCAATCAATTATTGCGACAACCTACATAGCTCAGGTTGCACTGATAGATAAGTTCATACTCGCTTTTTATCACCCCAAAGACTAAAAACATGGCACACTCAAAGACTGCCATTTTGTCGGTTTACGACAAAACTGGATTGTTGGACTTGGCTAAGGGCTTGGCTGCCGCCAATGTCAGAATCTTAGCCTCTGGCGGTACCGCCAAGTTGGTTCGTGAGGCTGGTTTCCCTGTCGAAGACGTTTCTTCCATCACCCACGCCCCAGAGATGTTGGGCGGTAGAGTTAAGACTTTGCACCCTGCTGTTCACGGTGGTATCTTGGCCAGAAACCTCGAAAACGATGAGGCTGACTTGGCCGCCCAGGGCATTGAGAAGGTCGACTACGTTGTCTGCAACTTGTACCCATTTAAGGAGACTGTCTCCAAGGCTGCTGTCACTGTTGACGAGGCCGTTGAGGAGATTGACATTGGTGGTGTTACCTTGTTGAGAGCTGCTGCTAAGAACCACGCCAGAGTCACCATCTTGTCTGACCCTCACGACTACGCCGTCTTCTTGGAGGAATTGAAGTCTGGCGAGGTTTCTTCTGAGACTAGAAACAGATTGGCTCTTAAGGCCTTTGAGCACACTGCTGACTATGATGTTGCCATCTCTGACTTCTTCAGAAAGCAATACTCTGAGAACGTTTCTCAATTGCCATTGAGATACGGTGCCAACCCTCACCAGAAGCCAGCCCAGGCTTTCGTTCCTCAGGGCGACTTGCCATTCAAGGTTTTGGGTGGTTCTCCTGGCTACATCAACTTGTTGGATGCTTTGAACTCTTGGCCTTTGGTCAAGGAGTTGTCTGCCTCCTTGAACTTGCCAGCCGCTGCTTCTTTCAAGCACGTTTCTCCAGCTGGTGCCGCCGTTGGTTTGCCATTGACCGATGTTGAGAAGAAGATTTACTTCGTTGAGGACATTGAGAACTTGTCTCCATTGGCTAACGCTTACGCCAGAGCCAGAGGTGCCGACAGAATGTCTTCTTTCGGTGACTGGATTGCTTTGTCTAACATCGTTGATCTTCCAACCGCTCAGATCATCTCTAAGGAGGTTTCTGACGGTGTTATCGCTCCAGGTTTCTCTGACGAGGCTTTGGAGATCTTGAGAAAGAAGAAGAACGGTAAGTACTGTATTTTGCAGATTGATCCAAACTTCACCCCAGATGCCATTGAGTCTAGACAAGTCTATGGCATTACTTTGCAGCAGAAGAGAAACGATGCTATCATCAAGGGTTCTTCTTTCAAGGAAATCGTTTCCAAGAACAAGGAGTTGACTGAACAAGGTACCGTTGACTTGACTGTTGCCACCATCGCCTTGAAGTACACTCAGTCCAACTCTGTCTGTTACGCCAAGAACGGTATGGTGATCGGTTTGGGTGCTGGCCAGCAATCTAGAATTCACTGTACCAGATTGGCCGGTGACAAGGCTGACAACTGGTGGTTGAGACAACACCCAAGAGTCTTGGGCTTCAAGTGGGCCAAGGGTGTCAAGAGACCAGAAAAGTCTAACGCTATCGACTTGTACGTCTCCAACCAGATCCCTAAGACTGAGCCAGAGAAGAGCGAGTACGAATCCAAGTTCGCCGAGCTTCCAGCTCCTTTGACCGAGGAGGAGAGATCCGAATGGTTGGGCAAGTTGAACGACGTTGCCTTGTCTTCCGACGCTTTCTTCCCATTCCCAGACAATGTTTACAGAGCTGTCAGATCTGGTGTCAAGTACATTGCCGCCCCATCTGGATCAGTCATGGACAAGGCTGTTTTCTCTGCCGCTGACTCTTACGACATTGTTTATGTCGAGAACCCTATTCGTTTGTTCCACCACTAATTCCTTTAAGTAGCATCCATATATTAAGTTAAACGATTAAGAATTCCCCAGTAGAGAATGTATTTCGCAGCCAGTGTTTGTATACTAGGCAGGGCCCTCCACTAAGGCATAACAAATATGAACAAAACCAAAAATTACATCATAAATCAAATTGTGGCCAAGTTGTCTTATAGAAGTACATCTTATTTAACCATTAATTATATCATTTTAGCTTTTTTGGTGTTGCAATTACTAGCTTCCCTTATGGGTAGGGCTACCGTGTCGCTTACTTTTCTGCAGTCTTGGCTCACCTCGAACAACTACGTCAAAAAAGAGAAAAAAGTTAGCCACCGTTCAGCCAATCTCCAACATGGATTCAGAATACAGTTATGACGAAGGGTCTGAAACATGGCCATACTTCGTGTTGGCATTGTTAGTGTTCGCCTTGTTGCCCGTCACGGTCATCTATTTATGGGGAGCCACAGGATTGGGCTCTTCAACGAAGAAGCGTGTCAGAGGGTCTATTGAACACAACCATAAGTCCTTGAAGTTGGAACACGCCGACGCAATTGAGAAGTTCCACTCTCGCGTTAGGTCGGACAGAATCTTCAACAAGAAGCTTTTGTTTTTGGTTGTGGGCTGGGGTCTTGCGGCTTTCATTTGGGTGTCTTTTGCCAAAGAGGTTAGCTTGCAAGGTTTCTTTGACCCCCACACCATTTTGGACTTACCTTATAGTGCTACAGACAAGGAGATTAAGTCCAAGTATAAGAAGTTGTCCTTGATTTACCACCCGGATAAGCTTGTGAAATATACAGAGACTGTAAGAAAGGAAATGGAGGGCCAGTTTCTCCGCATGAACCAGGCTTACAGAGCTTTGACTGATGAAGTTACCATGGAAAACATCAAAAAGTATGGCCACCCTGACGGCCAGCAGCAAATTACTCACGGTATTGCTATTCCTAAGTTCTTGGTTGAAGGCAAGTACTCGCCAATCATGATTATCTTTTATTTCGTTTTGATTGGTGTCCTCATGCCCGTCATTGTTGGCTCGTGGTGGAATAACGTGAAGACCCATACTAAAGGCGGCTTGCATGTCGATACCGCTGCTCTTTTCGTCCGCAGGTTGGCCGACAAGAACCCAGGCAAGGTTTTCACCGCCTTTGACATTTTGGATTGGGTGCTTCAGTCCCATGAGATCAGCAAAAGCTATTCCAACTTGACCTTTGAACAGCTCAAGTCCGTTGTTGTGAACCATATGAACCGTGAGGCTCGTGTTTCTGGTGATCTTCTTTTGGAGGCAGAGAAATTGAACCTTCTCTCTCAGCTTCCTACTCTCATCAACGGGTTTATTGAAATTGCCACCGTTTTCAGAGCTCACGATGTCATCACTGCTGCTTATGATTTGCTCAAAGGACTTTACCAGGCTTCGTCGCCAGTTGGAAAGCACAGAGAATTGTTGCAGCTTCCATTTATTGACAAGCAAACCATTGAATCTCAGCCTATCAAAAAGCTTGGAAAATTACTCACTTTGCCTAAGGAAAAAGCTGGCAAGGTTCTTGGTATCTCTGACGCTGACAAGCTTGAAGTTGCCCTTGATGTGGCCGCCAACATTCCTTTCATCAGAGTCCTCGATGCCTCTTTCAGAGTGCCAGGTGAGGATATTGTTCCTCCAAACTCAACCACGCATGTGGTAGTCTACTTCTTAATCAAGTCTCAAAGACTAAAATCTGTGCCTGAAATCTCTGAGGAACGTTTCCTTGAGGTTGAGGACATTGAAGACTTGAAGAACCCATTGAGATCAAATGAAGCTCAGCCTGAGTTGCCTCACGCTTATGCTCCGTACTTCCCTAGCGATGTCGCTAACCAATGGGATGCCTACATTGTCGGCCAAAGGGACAACAAATTTGTCGAAGGTACTGCTGCTGCTCCTTTGGAAAGAGTTGACTTGAGCAACTTGGAACTAACACAAGAGCAATGGGTCGAAGGTAAGGAAGACACTGTCATTCTCAGTTCCTTCAAGATCCGTTTGCCTGTGCCAGCTCCTCCATCGAAGGGCACCTACCACTTCAGATTACTTTTGAAGAACAATGCATACTTCGGCAACGATGTCGATATTCCATTGGAAATGAATGTCCTGGATCCACCAATCAATGTCGAAGCTGTCAAGAAGGCCGCAAAGGCCTTTGGTGGTGCTGATGATGATGAGGATGACGACTCTGACAGTGACATCTCAGATCCCGAGGAGGATTCGTTAGCTGGTGCATTGGCTGCGCTTAGAGGTGAGGCTGTCAAGAAGGCTGATGGCGATGAAGAAGAGGAGGATGACAACGAAAGTGTTTTCACCGACATCAACACTGACACTGAAGATGAAGGTGAGAAGTAGAATGTATCATAGGAAGATATACAAAGTCTATTCAAAATTTATGGATATAACTATACCGTCAAGGTGAGTAGCACAGCATCTGGTTCGTTCAAACCCTGTTGCTTGTAGTAGTCTTTAACAACTTCAGGCGACTTCTTGAAGCCCTTCTTTTCATACCATTCAATAGCCGTGGTGTTCACAGCATGCACATGCAAAAAGATCTCGTGGATAAACTTCTCTTTCGCTTGTTCAATGATCCATTCGAGCAACTTTGACCCGATACCCAAGTTTCTGTATGCCTCAAGCACGGAGAGAGATTCCACGTAAATTGCGTTTGGGATACTCTTTGAAGGTAATTGAGATGTATTTGCCGACTCGAAGCTAGGGATATTATGCGAGGAGTTCATCAATTTGCCTCTTACTTGGCCCACCGGGAGTTCACTGTAGAACGCCAACTTCACAACCTGGTCGTTGTTAAAAGAGTCATTATACCAAGTTTCAGGATAAGATGTGGGGAGTGTGACTTGAAGGAGTTTTTTAAATGTGCCGATATTATTGACGGTCAAGTCGTCTAGCGTGATAATGCTTCTACCCATGATGAACTCTCTAGCCTAGTTTAATTTTCAACTTAGTGCGCTTACACTGTGCACAGTAGTAGGAGAGCCAGACGTTGATGACTTCTTTCAATAGGTACCGCTGAACCGTTTTATGTATTTTCATGAAGTTTTATAAAATACTATAATTCCATTGAACTACAATTTGGCTTGATTTCTGTCCCTTACATCAGTTGTGTATCCATATTTGTAGATGATGAAACGGCATCATGTAAGAGTCCATAAGCCAATTCCACTTTGATCTATCTGTTTCAGGTAACACCAACAATTTACAGCACAACTGTAAAAACTTTGATGAATCGAATCAATTTTCACGATACTTTCGATTTTTGGCAGAGACGATTATGTTGGACCATTTAGCCAAAAACCGCGAATGGTTGCGAATATCTATACGAGATGGTTGAGGCTACCAGAAAAAGCCATCCACAATATATACCTAAGAACATTTCAAACCTACCAAATTGGTCTACTTTCCGATTTGCTCCAGGAACAGACTTTTTGAATGTCAAGGATAATACGCCATGGTCATTGTTGGAGAAACACAAGGAAAATCATATGAACCTGTCATGTGACGGAATCCCCCGCCATTACTAGTATTTAAATTATGCGACCCACAACTGGCTATTTAGCATTTAGGGTCCTTTTGAAACCGGAGTTCATTTCACATCTGCAGCTCCAAGTTTTCTTTATCCACACCGCTATAAATCCTCCGAAGGTTAAATCAATTGCATATGATCGCCTTCATTATCATTGTCCTTCTTATCGCTTACTTTGCAAAGTCCATAATCTCCGACTTCATGTCAACGCCAGCCCAGGTCAACGCCGAGCCTCCAACCCAAACGGCCTACACTCCAAAGACTCTTGCCAAGTTCAACGGTAAGGATGACCCTAACGTTTACCTTGCTGTGAGAGGTAAGGTCTTTGACGTTACTAACGGTAAGGCCTTCTACGGACCTGGCGGCCCATACGAGAACTTTGCTGGAAGGGATGCTTCTAGGGGATTGGCTTACAACTCCTTCGACCCATCTGTTTTGACCCCAATTGACCAGCCTCTTGACACTTTGCAAGACTTGAGTGCTGAGGAGAAGGAGTCTTTGGACAACTGGGAGAGCCACTTCGAGGGCAAGTACAAACTTGTCGGTACTTTGGACAACGAGACGAAATGATTTCTGCTCTTCTTGTCTTTGGATAAGGGTTTCGCCTTGCACTCATGTCTTTTCTTGCTTTGCGTTGCGTTGTAGCGACAAGATGCGAGCAAAAGACGTTACTCGAGTGCTACAATTGAATCTACTGGCGACTCCTAAACCAAACTGTTACTATGCATAGCCTTTTAATATAGTTTTGTTACATTCTTCTTGTAGTCTTGATACTGGTATACTCTGGCTAAATGTACTGGTGCGAAATGTAGTAGCGGAAGCGCAGAGGGAAAAAATCCAAGTTGAAAATAAGAAGCGATAAACCCAGACAAGACCACCTTTAAGCAACACTAAATCCCCATACAACATGTCTTTTAGAGGCGGCAGAGGTAACCGGGGTGGTTTTGGCCAAAGCAACAATGCATTTTCCAACAATGGCAACGGGCCAAACAACAACGTTGAAGTTGAAATCTTTGGTTGGAATGGCGCCTCCCCCAGTGAATGTGTTGCCTTTATTTCAAGAAAATGCAAAGTGCCCGTAACGAATTATTCGGTTAACACTGGCACTGGCGGCCTTCGTGGATTTGTCAACTCTCAAGATGCCGACCAGCTTGTTAACTGGTCGGGTGTGAGATTCGCTGGTAGCATTTTAAAAATCACCAAGCTCAATAACCAAGGTGGCTTTGGCTCGTCGCCCCAGATGGGTGGCCAGGCTCAAGGAGGTGGTGATAACACTATTGAAACACTCACCATGTTTCTTAAACTGAGATATAACCCAGAGATCAAGTTGTTGAATTTGAGCTCGGTGCAACAGGACCCAACGCTATCCGCCAAAGGTTTCTTCGGAAGCATATCTACTACATCTAAGTTCTTTCCGGCCTTGATGAAAATTGCTGCTGATTTGAAGTTGGAGGTGACAAGCGCAGATCTTTCAAACAACAACTTGACCGACCTTTCAACTATTTCAACATTGGCTGTCACTTTCCCCAAGTTGCAGAATTTGGCTTTGCTGAATAACAGACTCTCCCGTGTTAAGATCTTTGATTCCTGGAAAAAGAAACTTAGCGCTTTAAGAGAACTCATTCTTGCTGGAAACCCTCTTCTCAATACCACAAACCCAAATGAGGTAAACACCATCAAGTCTGAGCTTCTCAAGGTCTTCCCACGTCTTGTTGTTCTAGACGGCGAGATCCTCAGAAACGAGGAAATCCTCCGGAAGAACCTTACTTTGCCTTTCGAGCGTCCACAGGCCATGTTTTTCCAGACGACGGACATTCAGGGTGTTTCAACAAACTTTATCACGAACTTCTACAAATTGTGGGATGGCGACCGTCAACAACTCATGGTTCTTTATCAAAATGAATCGCAGTTCTCTTTCCAGGTTGACTCTTCGCATCCTCGTGCTTTTGATCCCAAAGATACTCCTGACTTTGGCTACTATATTCCCCAGTCTAGAAACCTCACTCGAGTCTCGTCTGTCAAGGCTAAAATGGGCAGACTTGCTCATGGGCAGGAGCAAATCTTCAAGTTGTTTACACAGCTCCCTAAAACTCAGCACGATCTCCTCACCAAGCCTGATGATTTTAGCATGGAAGCGCACCCTCTACCTCAGCTAAACGCCATTTGTATCACTTTGCATGGAAGTTTCCAAGAGACCGCTCCACCTGATAACTTAGAGCTGGTTAACAACCTGGGCCATGGTAGAAACAGATACCAAGCTAAGAAATCAAAAATCCCGTTGGGAAGAAAGGGCTTCGACAGGACCTTGATTGTCATTTCTGGCCCAAACAATAGTATGATTGTGGCCAGCGACTTATTGTGTATTAGGGCAGAAGTTGACTCAAGTGCTTTCAGACCAGACCAGAACGCTGCTGCCCAGCCACAGCCATCGCCATCTCCAGTACCAGGCATCGGGGGAGCTGGTTCGCCTGCTCCAAACGCAAGCGTAACGCCTACTCCACCAGCTCCTGGCGTTCCTACAGCAGCAGACTTACCTGCTGAAATCAAGGCGAACTTCAACGCTGTCCAACAAGAACTTCTCGTCAAGGTCTTACTAGAAACAAAACTTAACATCCAATACGGAGTTATGCTCTGCCAACAGAGCAATTGGGACTACCAACAATGCATTACAAACTTCAAAACGTCGGCTTCGTCGCTTCCGCCAGACGCTTTCGCACGTTAAATAGACTAAATAAAATCAGTGTCTTCTCTGCGTATCACCACTATGTACCATGAAACCACATCGCGATCTTTCATAGATCAACATGCGCATTACTACTACCACGCTGAAATGGCCAAAAAGTACAACATAGCGATGGTCTGTGACTACTTCTACCCTCAGCCAGGAGGTGTGGAGTTCCACGTGTACCATTTATCCCAGAAACTTATAGACTTGGGCCATTCTGTTGTTATAGTAACTCATGACTACGGTTCACGAACTGGAGTCCGTATGTTAACCAACGGTCTACGAGTTTACTATTTGCCATTTTTGCAAGTCTACAGAAGTACCACGTTCCCTTCCGTTTTCCTGCTATTCCCAGTTCTACGAAACATCTTTATTAGAGAAGAGATTGACATTGTCCATGGCCATGGATCATTTTCCACGCTTGGCTGTGAAGCTATATTCCATGGCAGAACCATGGGCCTACGAACAGTCTTTACGGATCACTCATTGTTTGGCTTTGCTGACTTTCAGTCTGTTGTGGGTAACAAAGTCCTCAAGTTCACATTGAGTGATACAAGTCATGTTATCTGTGTGTCTCATACATGCAAAGAGAACACTTCACTTCGAGCATCTCTCGATCCTATGGACGTGTCCGTTATACCTAATGCGGTGATATCCGCTGACTTTGCACCAAGTACTTCATTGAAACGGGATAAATCTCGGATCACAATCGTGGTGATATCAAGACTCTTTCCTAATAAGGGTGCAGACCTTCTTACGGCAATTGTCCCTCGCATCTGTGAAGCCAAACCGAATGTCGACTTCCTCATTGCTGGCGATGGGCCCAAGTTCCTTGACTTGGAGCAGATGCGTGAAAAGTACTTTCTTCAGGAAAGAGTGTCGTTAATTGGTGCAGTGAAGCATGAACAAGTTCGAGACGTCATGGTTCAAGGCGATATTTACTTACACCCTTCTTTGACCGAAGCTTTTGGAACGGTTATTGTGGAAGCCGCCTCTTGTGGATTATACGTGGTAACAACCAAGGTTGGTGGTATTCCAGAAGTCCTCCCTCATCATATGACCAGTTTTGCTGACCCCGAAGAAGATTCGTTGGTCCTGGCGCTGTTGAAAGCAATTGACTTAGTACTGCTGGGAGCTATAGATACTTCACAGTTTCATAATGAAGTTGCGAAGATGTACAGTTGGGTTAACATCGCCAACAGAACCCAGAATGTTTACCAATCACTCGAATCTAAACCGTTGAACAAGCCATTGCTAGAGAGATTGAAGAAGTACTACTGCTGTGGAGTAATCGCAGGAAAACTCTACGTCATTTGCGTTATCGTCGACATTTTCATTCTAATAGTTTTGGAATTTTTCTACCCAGCAGATCACATCGATCGTGCAACAAAATGGCCCAAGAACCCTAAGGCTTCTCTCAAAGACTCAGCTGAAAAGAAACAACATATTAATGGTGCCTCAGACAATGAAATAGATTCTTTGAGGCCATAGAATTCATCTTGGTATTCAGCATTCTCATAGCATATGCTCGTCTGTTGCGAGCTTTATATAAATAAGTAGGAAGCTTTGCTTTTTGCGAAGGCATCGAAACAGCCTTTTGCAACCAAGATAGATCATCATCATGGGTTGCAGAAGTTAAATTCGTACCTGTTTTAATCATCGTTCTCAAGAAAGAGATCTCTTCAAGTAGTGCTGCTTCTTCTGTATACTTCTTTTCAGAAGCCAAATCTTCAAACACTTTGGTCTGTTGACCCGCCAAGCTAAGTGTTTCAAGAGCTAGGTATTCATGGGCCTGTTTCTCAAGAGAGCGGTTTTCCTCGACCAAGGCTCTATATCGTTGCTCGAGATTCTCATAATCCTCCTTTAATTTAGCAACAAGCTTCTTTGTCATCACTTTATCTTCAGCGTACTTAAGACTTGTTGAAGACAAGTTTTGCTCTAGCATACTAATGTTGAGTTCCAATTCACGGATCCTCCTATCACTTGAAGTATCGGAGGGCGAAGGTTGGTCATCTAGAGCAGGCCTCATACTTGGCTCGTTCAAATTGACTGATGCTCTTAGAATATCCTCTGAAGCCTCTGCCTCGAAAGATAAATCAGTGTCTTCTAGATTTACCTGAAGACTTTTGACGGCGCTTCGAGCCTTGATGAAGTCGTCATGAGAAGAACTAAATAGATCAGCAAGCAATGCCTGTAAGTGCTCTTGTTTGTCGTCCATCGCAGCTTCATGTACCTCTAGCACCTTTTTGCTGATACTCCACAACTTGTCCCCTATGAACAAAGTACGTTCCGGGTCAAAAGGCTTATACTTCATGAGTTCTTTTTTAGAATTTTCCTCGAGATTGCTCCGTAGCCTTGCTAAACTTGTCCTGCAAGATTTCATGAGTTGATAAATATCAGCTAGCTCTTTGGGTAGCTTACCTAGCGCTTCCTGTTCGAGGAATCTGATAAGACGAATTGCATTGCCCATTTCAGCGTCAGCTTGCATTAGAAAATGTGTAAAACAAGATCTGTACTTCATGTTGAGTGGTTCCTCGGGAATTAAAGAGCTGCTGATACAGCTAAGAACACACGATTCGTCGATACAGGCAATATCAGACTCCAAGAACTTGGATCTTATGAAAGCAACCTCTTTTTTTCCATTTTCCGCTCCAGACTTAAGCTGGAGTAGAGTGTCCTCAGAAAGCAAATTATGCATGAGTATCGATTCAAGAAATACAACAGTTCCCAGTGATTTTGACAATTCTAATATGATTTTAGATGCTTGGAAAGGTCCATCCTCGAGAACCTTAATAACCGCAAGTATTTCAGCTCTCAAGTCGTGTATGTCCGTTAAGACCTTGATTTGGGGTTTCAAGGAAGTCGGCACGACAGTGTCAATAATGCTAGCTCGAGAGCTTCTCGCGAACTCGAGCAAAGACCCCAAGTAGCCAGCTTCATCGCCGGTGTGAAGCCGAGATACCTCTATAATGCCCTCCTTATCCCCTGCTGTCAGTGCAACATGCTTATTAAGTTGTATCTTTAGTTTCGTGTTGTTTTCCGTCAATTCGGCAACCATTTTTTCATAGGACTTCAAGGAACCAGCAAGCCCAGTGATTTCATTCCTCAAATTTGTCTCTACCTCCTTGCTTTCCTGGATCAAGTCCAGGTCCAATTCACGTATCTCCTTGAGTTCCTCGATGGTGACGGTTAGCTCATTCACCTTTTCTTGCAAGGTCTCATTCTGCGAGCTGAGATGCTCAATCAAGTCATCCAGAGACAGTATGGATTCAAGACGGAGATGAAGATCTCTAATAGTTTCCTCAGATTTCTCAAGTGTTTCTATGGTAGCGCGATGAGTGGCCTTGAGATGCTGAAGCTCATCACTAACAACCGACAGGGCGTCTTCCTTTTCGGCAAGCATACGTTTCGTTTCAGCGTGGCTTGTACTTAGATGCTCAAAAGCATCATTGAGCTTCTTATTTTGCTTTAGAAGACTTGCAACTTCGTTGGAATCCAATTGAGAGGGCGCCAGCGCCAAAACCTCTTCTTCCAACTGTTTGTTTATGTTCAATTCTTCACACACCAAATCATACTCACGTTTGAGTTCGTCGTATTTGCTCCTAGTTTCCTCAAGTGCACGTTCAAGTGATGAATTGTGTTCGTGAATGTACTCAGTGTCAACGGCTGAATTCTCAATGACGGATTCGAGATGTTCAATTTTCAAATCTTTGGAGTTTAAGCTTTCTTCCAATTGAATGATGTTGTGCTTCTTTTCCTCAATGTCTTCTAGAGTCTTTCTTAGCTTCTGTTGCAACCGCTCAATGATGAGCTCCACATTCCCAGCTGGTTTGTTATTAGCCAGATTATCAGCCTGTACTAGCTGTGGCCTGACAAAGATACCATACTGACCTTCCTTTGAACAAGTAAAGTATCGAATGTCATTAACTGAGCCATCGTTCCTTCCCTGTGAGGAATCCAATTCAACACCAACCCAATCACCATCTGCAAATTGGGTTTTTCCATAGAACCGTACAACGCCCAACTGGTCTCTCACCTGACAATGCTGGCCGATCTGAAAGCCCGAGGACATCGAAGTATCTAAAGCGCCCAAAAGCAGACACTGGAGATCTGGATCAATAAGAGTAGGTAGGCGATACAGGTGCAACCACTCTGCGCACAAAATTCGCGTATCAAGATAAACACAAGTCTACTTCAGGCGTCAAATGTCTTCAGGAACGAGCGGGTCTGGTCAAAAGATAGGCATGAGTAACTTGAAAGCAGAATTGCTCAATGAGCAGAAGCAGGAGATCAGAGAGGCGTTCTCCCTTTTTGATATGAACAACGATGGGTTACTAGATTACCACGAGTTGAAGGTCGCTCTCAGAGCACTTGGTTTCGACTTACCCAAGAGAGAAGTGTTGGATATCATACGCGAGTACGATACTGAAGATAGAAATTTGATCTCGTACGAGAATTTCTTTCATGCTGGTATGTATTGTCGAGATATTGACCTTATTGTCGTGATACTAACAAATCAGTCGGTGAGCGCATTGTGAACAGAGACCCGATGGAAGAGATACGGAGGGCTTTCAAGCTCTTCGACGAAGATAACACGGGGAAGATCAGTTTCCGAAATTTGAAGAAAGTGGCCCGTGAGTTGGGCGAGAACTTGACGGATGAGGAACTTAGAGCGATGATCGACGAGTTTGATCTCGATGAGGATGGAGAAAGTACGTATAGTTGTATTCTGCTTTTGCAAGTCAACCCAGATATTTGTTTCATTTTTACTAACAGCCAGTCAACGAGCAGGAGTTCATCAGTATCTGCACCGAGTAGGCGAGCAACATCGATTGGCCCTGCAACCTACGTATGTATAAGTATAATAAAGAAAAGGACACGATTTGTATTTTACAGACACAAAAAATTGATAAATCAAAAGGAATAATTCAGTCATTTCAAACAGAGATAGGCTTTCCCCAAACCAGGCTCACGTGAGAAAGACGGTAGTTGTGTGCGAGAAAATCAATATCGTTTTTTTTTTTTTTTTCCAACCATAGATCCAACACTCAAGGCACCATGAGTAGGTTTGTGAAGAAGATGGCCAAGATGTCGCCCCAGATGAGGGATCATATGTTACGTGAAAGGAACAAATACATATTGCCTACCATGCCAACTTCAAGGTATATTCCTAGGGAGGATAGAAAAATTGCCATGGAAGATGTTGGCATCACCGTTGGCGATTTCGTTTACATTACGGAAGGTAAGTTCAAGGGTATCGTTTCGAAAGTCATAGCTCACTCTCCCGTCCTGGGAACTTTCAAAACAGGAGATGCCACAAGGCCAATGATCGTTCCTAAGGACTTTTGGTCTGAGTCCCAACAGTCCCACCTCATCGAATTTCCAGAAGAGATTCCAGAAGAGCACGTAAAGTTGGCTTCCAGAGATAGGGATGAGCAGGGAAACATCATTCATATTGTTGCAGATGAGGTCATCTGCAAGGACCGTTACTACGACCAGTGGCACAAGAGGTGGCTACCAAGAAGATTTGTCAAGCACCACGAAAATATAGAAATTCCATGGCCTATGCCCGAGAATGACCACACTGATAGCGGTCGGTCAACGAGAGAAGACGTGGCTCACTTGAAGACTTACGAGATGCAAACTATCGCTAAAAGCTTACTTCCTCCAGGAGTCATCCACGAACTCAGAAACAGATACTCGAAATACAAGAGAAATACTCTTACAGATATCGAAGCAAGAAGACTTAATGAACCAACTATGCCATTGACTACTGAGCAAAAAATCTATTTGGCTAAGAAGGCCAAGGAACCAAAGAAGAAGCTCGAGCCATTGGGCGAGGAAGTCAAGGACTACATTGGCAAGAGAATGGCCGACCATCTTTCTAAGATCGACAACCCATACCTCTTGGCCCACTTGGATGCCTTGTCTAAAGTTCAGATACCAGACTTCAAGAAGACCATGGAGAAGATTGAGGAGGACCAGCATTCAAAACCACAGTAAATCAGACGCACTTCACACATGTACATACAAAAGAAAACTTACGGATAAGAAAATTTGTGCAATGGTTGACGTAGCTTCATTCTATTACAGTTATAACTTCTCGTAATCCAAGTTACCTTCTAGCTTCTTCACATCGGCGACCTTTCTGACGGCCTTCATCAAATCGTTTTGAATGATGTAGTCCCTCTCGTCTCTGATTGCGAAGAAACCAGCTTCTGTGACAACGTTACGGATATCAGCACCGTTAAAGCCATCAGTCATCTTGACAGCAGCCTCGAAATCGAACTCACCTTGCTTAGCAACCTTGGAGGTGTGAATCTTGAAAATTTCCAATCTACCAGCCTCATTTGGCAAGCCAATTTCAATCTTTCTATCCAATCTACCAGCTCTCAACAAGGCGGGATCCAAAGTATCAGGTCTGTTTGTGGCCATGATGACCTTTGTCTGTCCCAATGTATCGAAACCGTCCATTTGGTTCAACAATTCCATTAATGTTCTTTGGATTTCACGATCAGCAGACGTACCCTCACTGAATCTTCTTCCACCAATAGCATCGATCTCATCCATAAATATAATGCAGGGTTCGTGCTCTTTGGCATAAGAGAACATTTCTCTGATCAATCTTGCGGACTCACCAATGTACTTGTCGACAATGGCAGATGCTGGGGAGAAAATGAAGTTGGCACCAATGGTAGCGGCGACAGCCTTGGCCAATAATGTCTTACCGGTACCGGGAGGGCCATACAAGAGGACACCTTTGGGAGGTTTGATACCCACACGAGTGAATAGTTCTGGATTCTTCAATGGCAACTCAATGACTTCACGCAATTCACGAATCTGTTCTGTAAGACCACCAATACCGTTGAAGGAAATCTCACCAGGCTCGAATGTGGTCATGTTGTAAACCAATGGATCGACTTCTCTGGGCAAAATACGCATAATGGTTAACGTCGTCATATCTAACGAAACACGGACACCATTCTTCAAGTTCTCCTTTTTGATGGTATTACGGCAACCCACAATATAGCGAGGACCACTTGAAGCCTTCACAATGAAAGTTTCGTCTGTCAACTGCTTCAACACCTCACCGACAATTTGACCCACAGATTGTAACGCCTTGATGTCATTCTCTGTCTTGTCATACGTCTTTTCCATATCTCGCATACTCAATCTCATCTCTTTAAGACGGGCATCCCATTTTCTGTGTTCAATCAACTTTTCTTTGAAGTTAGAAAGTGCCTTTTGTCTCTCCTGTTCTGCTGGAGTTGGCTGAGGAGCCTGCTGCTCTTCCTGAGCATTGCTGGAATCGCCATTGCTTCCTTGTGGCTGATCCTGGCCTTCTTCGCCTTGCAAGCCAGCCAAAAGGGGGTCTTGGTCTTCACTCATGGTTTGTTGTAACTGGCAAATTCAAATTATTCAGTTGCCACTCAAGCTCAAGTTGGTGTCGATAGTGTTCGAGTTGAGGGTACATAGTGTTTGTACAGAGCCGCGCATCACGTGCCCACATTTTGGAATCTACGGCGCATTTTTCTCAAGACATCAGTCTCATCTAGACAGAAGAACTTAGTCAGGCTCTGCTATATCGCGTTAGTTAGTGATTAAATCTTACTAATTATTAATATGGAGTTCCATGCGGTTATCCTATGTGGACCAGGAAAGGCATTGAACCCATTTTCCAAGGTCAGAGCCACCGGTACTGTCAAGGCACTCTTGCCTATTGCCAACAAGCCAATGATCGAGTATGTGCTTGATTGGTGTGCTAAAGCCTTCTTTCCGAAGATCACTATCGTTTGTGACGAGCTGTCAACTGAGGATATCGAGGCAGCGTTGAGTGTTTATAAGTCTAGGGTGGCACTGCAGCCTGATGGTGAGGATGACTCAAGGCAGTCCAACCAGTTTTTGGACCTGATTCAAGTTCTCGAGCTGGCCACAGCCAGTTCAGGAGATGTGTTGAGACTCTTGTCAAAGAACAATGTTGTTGATCCTTTGGAGCATTTCGTGCTTTTGCCATGCGATTTCATTACCAATTTACCTCCTCAAGTGCTTATAGAGGCTTACAGATCCAGACTGGAAACAGATATCGGTTTGCTTTGCTACTACAAGAACCAGTTGGATATCGAAGACAAGAAGAACAAAATTTTCCCAAAAAACTATACCATATTTGCCGATTTACCGTCCGGTCAGTCTCAGCTTTTAGATTACTATTCTGCTGAAGACGTTGATTTCCATAAGGCTTTGAAAATCAGAACACAGCTAGCATGGAATTATCCAAATTCGACTGTCAGCACAAAGTTGCTTAATAGTTCGATTTTCTTCGGCTCGGCGAAAGAAATCTTTGACTTATTTGAAAGATACCTGGAGAAATTCACGAAATTATATTTCTCCAACAGACCACTTATAAAGGTCATCCGTGATCTAGCCAGACTTTCGTGGCAGAGCACTTCCTGTAAAAATACTATTGGCTTCATGCTTGTTCCAACCCAGGCCCAGTTTACCAGATCAAACAACTTGCCAGTTCTCTTGGAGGCTAATAGATATTCATTAAAACTACAAGCGCAGGCTAATGCTGGAAGAAATACCGGCCCTAAGGATAAGTTGGCTGCTAATGTTGGAGCTGACGCCATGGTTGGAGAGAACAATGAACTCGGTGAGAAGACAAACGTCAAGAGAACAGTCGTTGGTAACAACTGTAAGATTGGAAAGCGTGTTAAATTGACTGGATCCATCATTCTAGATAACGCTATTATTGAAGATGATGTTGCTTTGGAGAATTGTATAGTTGGTCATGATGTGACGATTCGTTCCAAATCGAAATTGGTCAGTTGTTACGTTGAATCTACGCATGAGGTGGCCAAGGGTACTCAGGTCAAGGGCGATACGCTCTTGTGTTTGAGTTTGGAAGGTCTTGACGTTGAGGATGGAGAGTCTGCTATCGAATCATCTCTGGAGGAATCTTCATCTGGAAGCGATTATGACGATTTTGAGGAGGAGTATGAGTATGGGGACAACTCCGATGGGTTATTTGCATATTAGTTTTTACCATAGGTGGTTACTACATAGAAATTTTGTTGATATAATGGATAGCACACTGCTATCGCCATGCATGAATTGGTATAAAGGAAAGTTGTGTGGTGGTTATTTAAAGCCACGATGCTACTCGTTGTCACTTGAAGAATCCATTCTCCTCTTCTTCACAGCATCTTGAAGTGACTGCAATGCTCTTCTCTTCCTCGTCTCTATGTCTTCACCCAGGTCGCTTGTTTCGCTATCGTTATCAGAAGATTGACTAGCATCGTAGTTTGCCGTAACAGCTTGCTTCCGATAGTTCTTCCTCTCGTGTTTACGTGACTCCTTCGATCGTGGCCTTCTATAGTTCACCGATAAGGGGGCAAAAGTGGGCCTGAAATGCAATGACAGAGCGAGCTCTGATGGTAAGGAGAATTCATACTCCTGTGGAAGGTGAAAATCTTGATCTTGGACGGCCTCCTGAGGCACGGCCGGTTTATCTTTACTGCTAAACTTCTTGACGATCTCAGCACGCTTCGTGAGTGCCCAGTTCTCGATATCATCACCGTTGGTTATAACATCCAATAGATCATCTAGGCACTCTAAGTAGCCTTTATGCATCAGAAGTACGTTTGAGTTGTTTCCCAAACGGTAGAGCGAGGCCACCGACTTGGCAGCATTGGCAAACTCTGCCTTCAGTCGTTTGGAGTCCCCAGTGCTATTATATAGAGCAGCAACCGACTTGGCAGCATTCTTAAATTCCGAGGTCAACTCCTTGTTAAGTTCTATAAGCGACACCTGGTCCACATTCCTCGTGGAGGGCAAGTCGCTGGATAAATTCGATAAATCCATGTGTTGTTTGTCAATAATAAATAGTTGTGTGGTACTGTGGTGGAGATGGGTTATGGTGATGATGGGATTGTCGCAAGAAGGAAAGGGAAAACCTCAGTGTCGCACTCACCCAGACAGGAAGCTTATTTTGCAGCCACATGACAACTGTGCCACATGAGCGTCTGCGGTGAATGATTGAGAGTTGAGAGTTGAGGCGGGGAACGTAGAACAGCAACTTTTATAGTTAAAGTGGTAAATTTGCTAAATCAGGTTTGATTCGTTGTTATAGTTGGACACTTCCTCGTAATCTTCTGTCACTGTCCATGCTGTGGCTACAGTTGCCCCAGCCTCCAAATGGAAGCCATGATTTTTGTGAACACTTGAAGTTCCGTGATACACTCGTTCTAAAATGTTTGAAGCCCTCCACTGTTGTTTTCGCCGAAGTATATAAGGACTGAAGGCGACGACTTATTCGTGTCTCTGTCATGTGACCCAACCGCAAACAGTGAGGAGTAGATGCTTTCGTGTTTTTGAGTTACCATTCAACTAGAGTGCCACCAAGTCATAACATGGTCAAGTCGACGCTAATCTACCGTTACGATGGTATGTACTATTGATTTTATATAGAGCTTCTAAAAATGTACTAACAACCAGCACTTCCCCTTTGCGGATCGGTCGACGATAACCTTGATCCCAATTTAAATGAGCAGAAGAAGAAATGCAAGATCATTATCAGCAGAATCACGCCCAACTCTGAGCCTCAGGCAACAATTGAGAGCGGTAACTACAATATTCACTATTTAATTCAGAACAGCATCGTCTATGTCACTGTGTGTGACAAATCTTACCCAAGGAAACTTGCATTTCTGTACTTACACGAGATCAGCAATGAATTTGAGCATTCACACGGCCAGGAGGCTTTGAGCACAGCAGCTAGACCGTTTGGGTTCAGCTCTTTTGACAATTTCTTGAGCAAGACGAAGAAGATCTACCAGGATCAAAGAGCACAGTCTAATCTTGATCAACTTAATAACGACTTGGCTGATGTCAAGAAGGTCATGACGAAGAATATTGAGGATTTACTATACAGAGGTGACTCCTTAGATAAGATGAGCGACTTGTCTCTGTCATTGAGAAACGACTCCATCAAGTATAGAAAGAAGGCACAGAAGATCAACTTTGATGCCATGATCAGACAATATATTCCAGTGGTTGGAGTCAGTCTTATCTTTGTCTTCTTTATCTGGTACACATTACTCCGTCGATAGACTTCAACCGTGCATTACATTTATTTCTTCCTATAGCACAGTCCCTAGAGCTTCAACTTCAATAATATGACCACGTCAGAGATAAGTAGCAATTAATAAATACTTCTAACAAGATAGCCTGAACAAGACGAAAACTTTTCATGTTCATTTCATAATTCCTATGTATACACCATTCACTATGGCAACCTCTCTATGGTCCCATCTATATTACGCACATTACATGTCGCACTAGATAAGCTTACTACCATGACTGGTAATGAAGACTCGCCAAAGACCATGTCTAAAGAACCCACTCTACTGAGGCAGCCTTCAATTGCACTTCTTCCTCAAGCCTCACTGATAACAGGAACCCTGCTGGCCAATCCAACAACAGCTGTATCTCACACACAAGCAGAGATAACATGGAACATAGAAGACACCGAACGATCCACACTCGCTAGCCCTAGGCTAAGACCAATTCACCTGAGTGCAACGTCTATTGGAGATGGGGAGAGCTTTGGTAATCTGCAAAGCGAGGCCGAGGATGGCTTGGTGAGTGATGATGAGGAAACAGAAACGAATCACTTGACTGAGTTACTACAGAACCTAATGGCCCACGATATCGGGAAGGCAAGGAACTTTGGTGACTCGTCCTTGCAGCATTCTAACATTATGTTTGGAGAAGATGGAGAGGTTGATGAGGAATTCATTGAATCAAGGTTTATCCCAGACAAGCTGGACTCGTCTGAGGTATTCCACAAGAAGTTGAAGCATCTTTTCGTGTTGTCGTCCGCAGGCAAACCGATTTACTCTCTTAATGGCTCTGATGACGCCATTATGGGCTACATGGGTCTTATCACAACGATTGTCTCGACGTACCAAGAAAACATGAAGACCGAGTTCAACCACATAACTCAGGATGGCTTCAGGCTCGTGGTGATGAATAAAAGTCCGCTTATCCTTGTTTTGATCACTAGAGTCGTCTATGAATTGAACTTAGCATCTGATGATATTAAATCCACGTTAGAAAGGCAGCTCCAAGCAACATACATGTACCTTGTCTCGGTCCTATCAGCACCAGTCATAAAGAGGAGTTTCGAAAGAAGAATGAACTACGATCTCCGAAAGATCTTATCAAATCAGGATATTGCATTCTTAGATGCCATGAATATGAAACTGACATATGGATTCTCCGTCCAAAAGGACGGCCACTTCTATCTTGATAGCAGCTTTTACATCAGTCAATTGTTGGGCTGGGCGTTCCGATGTGTGAGAACAACTCATACAACTAGGTCAAAGGTCGGATCCATTTTGCTTTCTGCAAAAAAATTGACTGTCAAAGAATCTGGTTCTGATACAGCATCAATCATCAGCAAGGCTTCCATGACGGAGACTAAGCGGTACCTCGCAAATGACCTCCTTTTCGGATTTGTTTGTGTGAATGAAGAAGTTTTAACGTACATTCGGCCGTCCCAGCATAAACTTCTGAATGAGGATATCAATATGCTTCTATCCATCATTTCATTCCATTTCAAAACGGGAAATCAGCAATCAGACTTGTGGATCCCTCTTTGCATGCCCAACTTCAATAATTCTGGGTTCTTATATGTTTACGTGAGAAGGTTCGATCTAGTTGGTTACAACGAGCCATTGTCATTGATTCTCTTGGGTGCAAATAAGAACAGCTTCTTTGACTTGAGACAAGTTGGTCAGTACATCATCAACCGAATTTTCGAAAACAAGCATCTCAAAACTACATTGACTTCGGAACTCGTTCAAATGGGAGATGCAATGAAACTCATCAAAGGGTTGGAATGCCCTTTTATTAAGCATTTCATTTACAGGAGAAAGAATGGAAACCAGTATTTCATGGATGATATCAATTTTTTGACCCGAGGTGAGGACAAATACAACAATGTCGCTGCGTTTCTTCAGATACTTTATTTCTACACCACTTTGCACAACTGCAAGAGTACTACTATAAAACAAGGCGAAGAGGCGGCAAAGAAACTTACATACACGAGATGGCAAAGGAAAGATGGATGGATAACAGGGTTTCTATTAACAAGCAAAGACTATGATTTTTACTGTCTTTGTGGGGGCTCCATACAAGCGCAAGATATTATAGAGCAAAGCCTCAAAATCATCAAGTGGGTTGAGAAGTACAAGAAAAGGCTTTTCATTGGTGATGGCATTACATTTTAATACATTCCTAAAGCAGCAATTACTTCAATATAGCCTTCTCTGCTGCTTTGAAGACGTCCTGAAGCTTGTCGCAATACTGCTTGTGTAATTTTTCAAAGTCATTCCAAGCTTTGGTTTCGTCGTCTGACTTCTTTTGCTTCTTGGACAATCTTCTTTTGAGGTCACCTCTTATGGATGCCAATGTGTGAGCGTTCTTACTATGACCACCAGGACCATTGCGGTGTCTCTCGAAGGATTCCTTCAATTGCTTCACAGTTTCCTTTTTAGAATCAGTTGTAACTGGTGGTAAAGGAACTTTCAATTGCTGCTTATTTTGTGGATCAGAGATTGGCGTCATGTTAAGGCCAGAAGCCAAGATGGCGCTGACAATGTTTTTGGTATTAGAAGGATCGAACACTGTGATTTGGAAGTTACGACCTTTGACTGCCGTTTGAGCAGTAGCGGTGAAAGGAAGGTCTCCATCTGTGGTCTTGATAGTAAGATCGTCGAATATCAGAGGACTGGTTCTTCCAACCTTAGCTTCATTAGCGACCTTGCCAAATCTGTCGATAACAGCTTGCATTTTTGTTTTTAACTCGTCGAAGTTGACTTCTGGGGCACCTACAGCGGCCTCGTTCTCCTCCACTTCGACAGTCTTCTTGCTTAGTCTTTTTTTCAAGTTCAAAGGAGTGGCATGGAAGTTTCTTTGAGCTGGAACGATTGGAATTAGTCTCGCTCTGGCGAAATGACTAGGTCTTAGGATACTTCTAAACATGGGTAACGGAATGGGTCTGAGAATCGGTTGGAAATCGCAGCATCTCAAATTTCGCAGACTGAGCTACCAAAAATGTTTCAAGTACAGGTTGGCTGCGAAAAATCTCTAAATACCTAAGATTTACTGTATTGTTCATTCTATTTAATTATCCTCCTTTTTTGATTCTAATGATGCCTTGAGTTTTTCAATGGTAGCGATACATCCATTAGCTTCAGCACCAATCTCACCTCCTTCTTTGACAGCGTTCTGGAGGTTCTTCAACACACCCTCTGCAAATACATCATTCATGATCTTTTGTCTTGTCTGGATATCATTAGTAGACATCGATTCAGCCTCTCGTAGAGAGTAAACACCATCCTCTGTATTTTTGGAGACTGAGGCGGAAGTAGAAGACGGGAGTTCATCGACAAAGAATTTATAATGAGCGAATGCTTGTGGAGTTTGAGGAAGCAAGAGGTTTGGAGTCAGTGGATGAGGCAAGATGACATCTGACCAATCGGTCAAAAATGCAGACTTTTTCACCGCCTCGTCGCTCAAGGCAGCGTCAAGGAACTGGGCAAGAACTTTTATGTGCTGTGCTCTCGACTTTTTCCCTCCTCCAAGGGAGCCATTGGAGTTAACTGCAAGTGAGACAGCCTTACGGTCACCAGTTAAGGGCCATGACATGAGTGAAAAGTAACTTTTCATTATCTTCACAAAGTACCCTTTCACGAGTGGCTCAGGAGCCAAATCTACTAGCACGGCTAGTAATGACGTTGAAGATGCTCTAATATCTGGTTGAATATGCGTCATGGCAGAGTTCAAGAAGAGAACTATCGCTCTCATATGCAATTCTAATAACCCACTTTGTTTATTAGCACAAGCTCTGATCAATGATATGAGTGCCAGTCTAACTCCCTGGTTCAGGTCTGTGATGAGTGGAACAGTTGCGGTAATAATCTGCTTGTACAAGGAAGGATTAGACGGGAGATGGTTTTCGATGAATCCAAGCACTTCTTTCCTTGTTTGAGCACTATGATGCTTCGTTAACGAGATGTGATGGCTCAAGTCCACGGGGCCTGAGCTGGTAGTGGTCTTCTTGGTGACAGATTGGTTAGGCAACGAGATGGCCTTGGCGGTGAAAGATGTGTCGGTATAGTTATCCGGCTTTTTGGCGGTCTTACCGACCTTAAGCTTTGCCTTTTGGAAATCCTTCTTTTTCTCCTGTTTCTTTCTTTTCGATCCCATTGTAGTGTTGTAGTCTTCCCTGGTGGTTGATTTTCAGTATGCGATGCGGTGCGCGATGCCCAATATCGTCAAGATATCAAGCTGCGAATTGTGGAGAGCCAAACAACAGACACTACTTCCAGCCAGCCATGGATCTTGACAAAGTTTTGGTACTGCTTTCTCTACGAGAGAATCTAGTTCATGCTCATAGTGATGACGACGACGCCATGGATATAGACAGTGACGTTGAATGGACCAGAAGCGTACCGCAGACAGATAGACACGCCAGCGAGAAGGTTGATCTGGCAGAAGATCAGATCAGTATTGACATGGAAAAAGAGGAGGACGTTCAACCTGAGGAGTACAGTTCAGACACTGAGGATAACTCGGAACGACTGCTTGTGGTGAGTCTTTTCAGTCCCACAAGACTAGGTGCACGGTTCGCTATCAACAACCGTAACGAACGCATAGAACACGAAGAACTAGAACACATATCCAAGCTGCTGTCGCCAGCACCGTTTATCCAAGAAAATCACAAAAGCACGTTTAGCACAGCTCGAGGCTCTGATTTGTACTATAACCCACGGTACACTGTTCAGGAACCCGAGGACAACCAACCCAACCAGCGGCCTTTCGTCCCATTCCCCGTGCAAGTGCACCACCATCACTACTACAACGGTATGGGAGACGCCTTGGCAGGGACCGAACCTCGGGTACGGTACCGCAGCCATGGTCACGAAGTGGTTGGAGCCCAAGAACCGTTGCAAGTCCAAGAACTTCCACAACCTAAAGAGTCCATTGTGCGTAGCCAGCTCCCTTTGCCATGGGACGCCACTTCGTCACCCGCCGAGGAAAGAGCCTACATGTTATCGCTGTACCTCCAACTTGCCATCAACCTGGTGGTTCTGGCATACGCATTACATCTCGTGTGGTCTGTTGTTGCAGCCATACGCAAAGACGTCGCACATAAGCTTTCGCGGCATGCCAATAACCTCTTGGTAGAAATCGCCCTGTGTGAGCGCAGCTACCGAGAAAACCATTGCTCTCCGGATGAAATAGTTCCAGCGTTAGAGAAGATGTGTGCTTATTGGGAGCAGTGTATGCTTCAGGACCCTGATCGCGGTGGAAACGTGAGTCTGCTCGGAGCGCAGACTATCGGCATGGTGATCACCTCACTAGTGGAACCGTTGAGTCTCAAAACCCTCGCAGTGTTTGCCTGCGCCATCTTGTTGGTTTATGTGTACAATTTCGGTTTCGGTTACGTTCGAGCCCGAACTTACTATGGGTCGTAACCTCGAACCGAGGATGAATAGACGCGGCGCTAGGCGTTATTTGTCAGGGCCTAAAAAAGACACTGCAGGCGACCCAAAAAAAAAAAAAAAAAAAAAAAGTGACATTTTGCCGGCCGGAAAAATTCAATTTTCCCGCGCTTTCCCAGCAAGTGACATGGCACATACTTGCATCTGCCGCTCTCCGAATTTCCCGCTGCCCTTCCCGCCGCCATAACTAGGCTTTCCTCAATAACCTTAAACGTTCCACAGCCTTCCAAGCCCACTTTTTACCTAATTCTATACATGCCAATGCCAGCTTGATTGTTCCGAGGGACGTATGTACGAGACTATGTGAGACTGCGCCTAACTGCAGTGCTTTATTGGTGTGGCTGCGAGCCTACCGAAACCGCTCTATCTCAGGCCGGTATATCCTATATCCGTCACCAACTTTGACACTAGTGAAAAGTCTTGGGGTAGCACAAAAGCGTGGCGTTATGTGCTTAGTGAGATGCCAATTTAACCGCTCGGACCGTTACGCCAACCGAGGCTCGTTGACAGCCCCTCTTGGGATTCAATGGCCATCCCTTGTCTTTCGTTTACTTGTTCTGGGCCGACCTTTCTGCCTGGTTGTTATTTTTCGCTCCCCTTGTCTCTTGGCTCACCTCGCGGCTGCTAGGGTCGCAATGCCGATCGTGTACACACTCGGTAAAGTATAGCCGCTCCCTTCGCCAGAGATAAACTTGCTGCCATCTCATTGTGAAATCTTGCAGGAATGCTGTCCCGCGTGTTTCTGCCTTTTCTGCACTGCTCATGCTGCTGTGTTTCTTTTTACAAATCCGGCTGCACACCCTTATATATTGCGCTTTCCCTCCCACCGCTGAGGTGAAATTGTCTCTACTTTAATCACTCCTACTACTTATTAACCTAGCATAACATGGCCTTCTTCGGCACTTCTAAATCTGACGAAGAGGCATTGAGAGCCGCTGCTCAACAGGGCGGGCTCCAGCAAAGTGAGTCTAACCCTTCTTTACATCGTTCGGCCTCATCAGCCTATGAGACTGCTTCCGAATTCACCAACGATGATATACTGCAAGTCGACCCAGCAAGCATCGCTGATAACGAACACTTTGATCGCTACTCCGAAGCCATTGTGAATGATCATGGCCCTTCCCACAACCACGACGATAGACCTTCTACTGCTCAGGGCACGGCTGTGGATGATGACGAGGACAATATCAAGTCTTTCAGGGCTCCTAGCAACGATAACGTTGACTACCTGAATATGACGGAAAACGAACTTAATAGAATTGCTACCACTTCTGACACTCTTTCGAATTTGGAAAGAGAGGTTACAAGACAAGAGTCTCGCGATGGTCTTGTAGACCCAAAAGACTTGGACTGGGATAGCAGAGACGACAAGGCCAACCCTCAAAACTGGCCCTTGTGGAAGAAGTGGTTCATCACCTTGTCTGTCGCTGTGGACTGTCTTTGTGTCTCTTTGGGCTCTTCGCTTTACGTTGAAGCCGTCCCTGAGTTGCAAGTTAAAATGGGCATCAGTCAAACTCTCGGTATTGCCGGGTTGACTTTCTACTTGATCGGTTTGGCCTTGGGTCCTGTCTTTGCCTCGCCAATCTCTGAAGTCATTGGTCGTCGTTGGATCTACATTGTCTCCTTGCCACTCTCCATGCTTTTCACTATGGGTGTTGGTTTGGCTAAGAACATTAGAACTGTGCTTGTTTTGAGATTCTTCGCTGGTTACTTTGGCTCTCCACCAATGGCTATTGCTGGTGGTACTGTCTCCGACTTGTGGGGTAACTCTCCTCCTCAAATGTCCATTGCTATGGCTTTCTTTTGTGTTGCTGCCTTCTTGGGACCTGTTGTTGGTCCTATCCTCGGTGGTTTCGCTGCCGAGCACAAGAACTGGCAGTGGACTCAGTGGGTCTCCTTGATGTTCTCCGGTGCTGTTCTTCCTCTCCTTTGTCTCTGTCCTGAGACTTTCAAGCCTGCTATTTTGAAGAAGAGAGCAATCGCCAGAGGCATTAAGTTGGAGAAGCCAAAGCTTACCTGGCCATTGGTCAAGACTATGTTGACTGTCTTCCTCTTTAGACCAGCAGAGATGTTGGTCGTTGAGCCTATCGTTTGTTTGACATCATTCTACATTGCTTTCGTTTTCGCTGTGTTGTTTGGTTTCTTCGAAGCTTTCCCAATCATCTTCAGAGGTATTTACGGCATGGGTATTGGTGTTTCCGGCTTGCCATTTATTGGTGTCGGTGTCGGTTTGATTACTGGTGTGGCTTGCTACATTGCTTTGGACCACATCAAGTTTTTCCCAAAGAACCCTGATGGAACTAGAGGTAACTTTGACGAGGACGGTAACCCAATTTGGGATGCTCCAGAAAGTAGATTGCTTGTGGCAGAAGTTGGCTCCATTTTCTTGCCAGTTGCTTTGTTCTGGTTGGCTTGGACTGCTAGAGAGTCTATTCATTGGATTGTTCCTACATTGGCCGGTATTCCATTCGGTTTTGGTTTGATTTGGGTTTTCTTTGGTATTGTTCTCTACTACTCCATGGCTTACCCACCTCAGTATGTTGCTTCTGCTTTGGCCGCAAACAACTTGTTACGTTATATCTTGGCCTCCGTTTTCCCATTGTTTGTTTTCCAGATGTACGAAAGGTTACATGTGGATTGGGCTACATCTACCTTCGCTTTCATTGCCGTGGCTATGGTTCCAATTCCATTTGCCTTCCACAAGTTCGGACCTACCATTAGACAGAGATCTAAGTATGGTTACGCTGCTTACTTCAAGAGACTTGCAGCTGAGAAGAAGGCAAGAGAGGAGGAAAAGGCAGCCAAACAAGGCCAGGAAAAGTTCGTTCCTTCTAACGACATTTCTTCTGATAGTGAAGACAACCAGAAGGGCGGATCCCCATATGACCAGTCTTCAAGAACTGAGAATGACGCTGAGAAGCGTGTCGCCGAAGCTGTATGAGCTCCATGTCCACCTTTAATACCTTTTTGCATATTACACCAACTATATACTTCGTGTAACTTATAATTTATCGTTAATCTTTTATGCTGATATGTACTGTGCTATTTAATGACCCAAATCTCTAAAGGAGTCGGTCAAGATGCTTCTTAACTTAAACAAGTTAATGATTCGGAGCTTCTCATCCTTAAGATGTGCATTATCGCTTGCCTGCCCACATGGAATCTGTGCAGCAGGCGCATTGAAGGTCTTTTCCAAGAAGCGAATGGACGGAATGGATCCACCCTCCCTAATAAATAATGGATCCGGATAGGAAGGACCCCAGTTTTTCTTTATGTTTTGATAAAGGATTTTGAACACAAGATTGTTAGGATTTCCCAACCAAGGTTCAGCCTCGTGGAAAATATCGATCTTAAGGTCATTCTCAGTACCCAAAGCATCAAAGCACTTCTGCATGTAGGAGGTGAAGGCCTGCTTGATTGTGCGGAGATCCTGGTTGGGAACAACACGAATAGATACCGAGGCTTGTGCACTTTTCGATATCACAGTATTGTTTTTAGGACCTGATACGTCAAGCCTGTGAATCGTCAATGAAGGATTTCTCCACTTCGCAAGGAGTGTATCAAGGTCGGCATTTGAGATGTCGTGGGACCGAGACACGTCTTTGATCTTCTGGTAGAGCTTTAATTCGGTCTCGTCGATCGGCAACACATCGTCGTAGAAGCCGGGGATATTAATTTTGTTCAGGGTGGAGCACATGAGTTGGCCAAGAATTTGAATCAAGTCCATTGTTGGTTCTTTCGAAACCCCACCATCTACCCCCGAATGTCTGTCTGGCTTGTCTGATGTCACACAAAGTGAAGCATTCAAGACCCCACGTAAACCGTAATTGAGACATGGAACTTCATCTTCTAGCCAGTAAGAGTTTGAGAGAAGGATCCAATCAACCACGCCAATGGCATCCTTATTTTCATGCATTGCCTGTTGGAAACCAATTGAGCCACACTCTTCTTCGCCCTCAATAATGAAAACCACATCAATCGGAAGTTCTCCTTTCTTGTGAAGATCCAGCACGGCATAAAATGCCGCTAATGTAGGACCTTTGTTATCCGATACACCTCTAGCGTATAGGTTACCATCCTTTGCTACCAATTCAAAAGGATCGGTAGACCAGCACTCTTTATCGGCCGCTGCTTCGACGACATCATAATGTCCGTACCAAAGGAGAGTTTTGCGTTCCTTGTCAAGGCTTGCTTTTTCGTTTCTCGTGAACCTTCCCATAACAACTGGGTTGCAGTTGGGGACAGGCAAAAGTTTAGCCTCGGATGCCCCAAGCAACCGTAGAAGTTTATTCAAAAATTGTGCACATCTTCTTGAGTCTTCGAGGTAGGTGCTGGGATACTTTGAGATAGTCTTATATGTTATGATTTTTCTTAACGACTCAAGTAAATGCTCGTTAGAGGTGTCAACACCATTGGAAAACTTGAGAAGCCCGTTTCCTTCGTTCGAGTTGGCAGTACCTGGATCACCGACATCAGTGATATTCCAAAGGCAGAGCGAGCCGCCACCTCCGGATAGAAGATATGTAGAACCTCTAAAATCAAACGCTTGAACGGCAAAAACTGAACTTTCGTTAGCGTCATGAAGCTCTTCTTGCTGGATGGTGTTGAAACTCACAGCGCTTCTGACAGGGTGTGATTTTGACTCATCGTCACCATCAGGCGCATCACCATGGATATCACTTTTGAGTGGGAATTTGCAAAGGCCACCCATGTTTGTGGCCTTGTAGATGCAACCATTATGAATGCATAAAGATAAAACCTCATCTGTCCTGGCTTGGTTGGAGATGAATTTAAATGAGCGTGTAAGCTGGAAAGTGGTCAAGTCCCATGCGTTGATTGTGGAGTCGCCCAATCCAACGCAAATTGTGGAGTCGACGACATGCATGGACAAGATTGCTTCGTCATTCTCTAACTTGCTGAGTAAAGATAGCTTTATAGAGCCGTCCCTACTTGCAGTGATTCCCCAGACTTTGATTACACCATCTCCTCCGCAACTAGCTAAGAAGCCATCGTACTGGGATGAAGTGTAGAGGTCGCAGAATGCAGCGGCGTTCAGATCAGTCAAGAACTCCAAACAATAAACATAGCCGTTGTGGGCGAAACGGATCACGTCAGAATTTTGGATCTCTACGAGGCACGGTCCACCCTCGGAACTGGAACTATTCTTGAGCATTTGATGCGCTGATTGGATTTTGTTAATGGATCCGCCCGGTCCTTTAGAATCGAAAAACTTATCATACCTGAAATGTGGGAGGCGATCAATAGACTTAGCAATATTAGCATTTGCATCGGGCTCTAAAGGCAAACGGCACCACAGAATAGAAGCGTTCTGGGAACCAATGAATAATGCCGAAAGTTTCTCAGACCAGTAAATGGAGAAAATGTCACCAATATCCATCGACGAATAGACGATATGAGTGCATGAGATGTTATAGTTGGAGAGATCTGGATCGTCGAAAGGTGATAAGTCCCAAACCTTCACTAATGAGTCAGAGCCTGCGCTGAACAAGAACCTCTCATCTGGGCTAATTGTTAGGCAAAGAACTGACGTTGCAAAGTGGTTTCTTCCACAGTTTATGATATGCTTAAGACTATAGCTCTTCAAGTCAAAGACCAAGATGTTGGAATCTTGCGTTCCACAGAAGATCAACTCTTTTCCTGGAGCCGGCGTGACGCATAGAATGGAGTGAGTGTGCGTCCATTTATGGACCAAAGGAAGTGTTTCTGCCGGCAAGTCATCATTACTCAAGTTATTGGGAAGAGCAAAGCTGCAATCTTGAGGATTTGAGCAAGTTTCCTTGTGTTCCAGTCGACTCTGCCGCGGCAGTTGGTGCCTGATCGGTGTAGCGACCAGAGGTGTCGAGTTCGTGGTCGAATTTATGGGTAGAGGTGTCCTCATCGGGATGGGGACAAACTCACCCTCATGAATATTGCCGTTGTTAAAACAGCCCATAAGTTTGTCGATGTTCGGTTCTGTGGATGTAGTGTGGGTGAAATGCTTGCAAAAGAAGAGCAGCCACATTTCTAGAACATGTCACGTGCGCTTGTTTCGTAAGTGTAGCAAAAATCGGAAGATTGATAGGAAAAGGAGACTATTGAAATTATAGATTACTCCTACATTGATAGGAGTATTTAATTTTGAAGATTTGAATTAAACAGTTGTTTTTCTGGATTTATTTGGCTGATTCAAGTTCGAGAATATGGTGCGTACGTCAACATCGCAGTAAATACACAAAAGTTGCAGCCAGCTACAAAAGCTTGCAAATTTCGTGAATGTAATTTCTTTACGTATAAAACTAAAGATTTTGGAAAAATTTATCACTATTCAAACTTACACACATCAACATATCTTTCGCCATATATAGTGATGAATTGGAATGGATGGAACATCTACAGGTTAGATACCATAGGTGGTTTGTGAACCATGACAGCACTCTCCACTCTTAAAACGATAGGCTCTGCTGGTCCATGAACAGTTGTGCAACTAGCCTCCAACACTAAATAGTATTGTAACGACACTTCCAGTATAGCAAATGAAGATGGAAGCTCAGGAATTACAGCGTCAAACCAAGTGCTAGGCAACATACCAGTATACTTGACTAAGGGCTCCTTTCCTTCATGATTTTCAAAGTGGCTCTTTTCTAAAAGCAAACGTTCTGTTCCAGGACGATGCACCAAAACTGCCACTTCTTCATAAAAGCCTCTCTTTTGTCTCGTACTCCGTAATGTCTCGGCACTGCCCTCAGTAATCACTCTTGAAATCGATGTAAAGCTAAGTTTCTGACACAACTTGACCTTCAAATCTTGAATGGATAACAATATGTTATCTGGTTGATGGGTTATGCTCGTTAGACTTTCAAAATACGGGTGAATAATGGCAGGGGGCATGACTAACCCATAGCCAACGAATCGAGATAGATTTTCTCCAGCGATTAACGTTCTACTGACAATATTACCTTCACAGTTGCCAAAAGTATCCTTGTATTCGAAAGAAGCTCCCACAGTGATTCGTTGAATATGAGAAGCAATGGAAAAAGGCAGATGCCATTGGCCATGGACAACGCTTTTATTGTCGTAAAAAACGTGATGATAATCATTCTTTTTGGTAAACACTTTCAAGAGGTCTGGTCCATGCGAACATGACTGGGGATCGAACGTTAGGTGGGATGGAGTTCCAAGTATACGGTCAGGCCCTTCCAACTCCTCATTCAAAACGGGCACTAACTTATAGCTTATTTCAACCAGCTCACCTTCGGTGCCGACATAGGAAAACGAAGGCGGTAAGAAGTAAACCTCATGCCTTTGGAATGAATGTCTATAAATGGCAGGCACAAGGCTAGGCTTCTTACAGTTGGTATACGAATCTGGGAGCTTTATCTTTCCAGTTCGCCAATATTTCCCTGGGGAAAGAAGCTCCTCCTCTGAGATGACAGCAACATACTGAGAAATCAACTCTGTAGTGTTGTCTTCAGTGAAAGTTGTCTTGTCTATGTTGCACATACTTCTTCTGGGCAAGAGCAGCTGCTTGGAGACACCGATGGTCGTAGCTGTTCCCTTCAAGAAGAAACCCAAACTCCTGAGATAGAAATAGCCTTGTACGGTTAAATGGATAGTCACATCAATAAATTCACCGCAGCTATAGACTTTGTCCTTGTCGAACGTTAAAGTTAGTTGCACAGTCATCTTTAGTGTGAGGAGGAGGTGGACAAGAAGACTTGTATTTAAAACAAGACACCCCTCCAAGCACGTTTCAAACTAAGAAAGTCTAGTGAAGATAGTATAAATGGAAGCTACAACGATACTCAAAGGCTAAAGATACCATAATCAGTAGGAAACACGTAGTCTACCATGCTCATTGAGTCTACGAGTTGCCGTTATCTTTCAAGCCGGACAGCTCAGCCAACCTGAATAAGTTGTATGTTCCATCCCGCTCATTATAAATAAATACTGCCCGAAAACCATATCCAGACACCTACCACTTCACTGGACCACCTCTGCCATTTTGCAGCCATTAAATGAAACAACAATGTCTGCCAAGCGCCTAAAGGCGACTGATCTGCGTGTGCATATACTGCGCAGCGAAAAAAAAAAAAAAAACATTCTACAGCGAGTAAGAAACCGAATGCCGGTTCCGTTTGCGATGGGTTCAATATGAACCAATTTTTTTTTTTTTTTTTCCTTTGCTTTTTACCTTTTCGGATAGGCTTATCTCAGCACTTTAGACCCACGTGGGGTGCGATCCGGTTTATTACCAGCACGTTTTATCAGATCTAATTAAAAAAAACGAAGGACAAAAGAAAAAAAAAATTAAGCACCCTGACAGCAGCACCAAGCAAAATTTTTCTTTTGTGGTAACCAGTCACACGAGCTATTTCCTGCTTAGTGCCAAAGTTTTTCTTGGGTGTCTACATTTTCTTTTTTTCCCTTGCATCTCCCGATTGTTACTCGTGTGACATCTTGCCCATTTCCAAGACTTCCAAGACTTTCAAGAGCCTTCCAAGCCTTTTTCTGCTTGTTTGTGGAATAATCTCCCCTGGAAACCAAGAAAAATACTCAAAACAGTATACGGGCTTTAGATGAAGTTCTCCCACTCGCTTAAGTTTAATGCTGTGCCTGAGTGGCAGGATAACTACCTTAATTACACGGGTCTTAAGAAAGTTATCTATGTTGCTCAGCAGAACCAGTTGGAAAACGGTCAGCCTCAAGATGGATCTGTGACGGTGAATAATGCCACCATTACTGAGTTGGTTAGAATCGCCAGAAGAAACCAGGCCATCTTGGACCGTCGTGATGCTATGGCTCACGCAAACGAAGAAGAGTCGCTGGAAAAATTTACAGCATCAAAGTTCATCAATAAGTTTAAGCAAAGGAAAAATGCCGCAAACGCAAAGACCACACCTAGTCCAGAGCCTTCACTGAATGAATTGGAGAAGGGCGAGGTGACTGTGGAAAAGGACGATGTCAATGACATACAAGTGACTTATTCTTTTGACAACGATGAGTCCACCTACCGTGGGTCCATCGACTTGGATGCAATGACAGCTGCGGCAGAGACTATTTCTTCGGAGTCCTCAGACCCTCTCCCGGTTTTTGCCAAGCATTTGGTAGACGAGGTGACTAAAATAGATAAGTTCTTCAAGCCAAAGGAAGTTGAGGTTTACAAGCAATACGATAACCTTATCAAAGATTTGGAAGCCAACAAGCAGCATGTGGAGGACTACCTTTTCACTGATGCTTACGGCAAAGACAATTATGACGAAAACGAACACAGAAACCTCCATATCAAGTCTACTTTGGAGAGAACATTGAGCAATGCCTCTGTTTTTGATACTGTCAACCATTTGGACTATGAAGACCTCGAAAAGGGTGATTTCATGGATGAGGAGGAAGATGACGACGATGATGATGAAGATGATCATGATCGCCGCTCCAACTCGGCTTTGCTTGGTCGCCACGATTTCAACATCAGAAACCAGAAGCAAATCACTTTGAAGCAAAGATCGATCCACATGTTTATCACTTTGAGTGAGTTGAAATCGTTCATTGAGTTGAACAGAATCGGTTTCACCAAAATTTGCAAGAAGTTCGACAAAACATGCAATTATTCCGTGAAGGAGGATTTTGTTGCCAACTTCTTGCCTCACAACTCTAGAGCTTTCTTTCCAGAGACGTCTGAAATCTTGGACGACAGAATTGACCATGTGGTGCGTGTCTACGCTTTCCTTTCAGGCAAAGCTGTTAACCTGGCTTCTCCAGAAGATTTGGAACCAGTGAAGGATGAACTCAGAACGTACTTGAGAGACCACATTGTTTGGGAAAGAAACACCGTTTGGAAGGATTTACTTTCCATCGAGAAGAAACAGTTCAACTTGAATCTTGATGAGAGTGCCGCTAGAAACAACAAGATGGGAGATGAGGCCAACTCTCAGTCTTTGCTTCTGATGCGTTGGAGAAAGATTAACATGCCCTTCGGCTGGTCTGTCGGTAGGTTCGATTACTTTAAGGTGCCCGAGTTCATTTTCTCCACTCAGATAATCAAACTCGCTATTATTATTCCAGTATTCATTGTCTTGTTGACTGTGAAAACAATGAATGACAAAGAGGAAGCTCGTTGTTTAGCGGTCTTGGCTGCTTGTGCAATGTTGTGGGCCTCTGAAGCTTTACCCTTGTGGGTAACTTCGTTGTTGGTGCCTTTGCTTGTTGTTACTTGTAAAGTCTTGAAGAATGAGGAAGGAACAGCCATGGACGCTGCAGATGCTTCTAAGAAGATCTTGTCTGCTATGTGGTCCTCAACGCTTATGATTTTGCTTGGTGGATTTACTTTGGCTGCTGCTTTGTCCAAGTACAACATTGCAAAGATTGTCTCCTCGTACATGTTGGCATTGGCTGGAACGAAACCAAGAAACATTCTCCTTGCTATCATGAGTGTATCTTTGTTCTTGTCAATGTGGATCTCCAATGTCGCTGCTCCTGTTTTGGCTTACTCCTTGATCCAGCCTGTATTAAGAACACTTCCAACGACTTCTCCACTTTCCCAGGCGTTAGTGTTGGGTATTGCTTTGGCATCTAACCTTGGTGGTATGGCTTCTCCTATTGCTTCCCCTCAGAACGTTATTGCCATCGAGTACATGGACCCTAATCCTGGTTGGGGTAAATGGTTCGCCATTGCTCTCCCAGTGGCTATCTTGTCCATGGGTGGTATCTGGATGGAGTTGATTATGACATTTAAGATTTCGCAAAATAAGGTCAAGGCTTACAAACCCATTAAAGAGAGATTCACAGTCAAACAGTGGTATATTTCCATTGTGTGCATTGCTACTATTCTTCTTTGGTGTGTCTTGAGTGAGATTGAAGACACCTTCGGCTCGGCTGGTATCATTGCCGTCGTACCGATCGTTTTGTTTTTTGGCACAGGCCTTTTGAAGGTCGATGATGTTAATAATTTCCCATGGACAATCATTTTGTTGGCTATGGGAGGTTTAGCATTGGGTTCTGCAGTTACCAGTTCTGGCCTTTTAGCCACTGTTGCAAAAGCTCTACAGGAAAAAGTCGCTGACTTTGATGCATTTGTCGTATTGGCAATTTTTGGTATTTTGGTTTTGGTTGTCGCCACCTTCGTATCTCATACGGTGGCCACCATTATCATCGTGCCATTGGTGAAGGAGGTCGGAGACTCCATGTCTACGCCACATCCTTCGCTTTTAATTATGGGTACAGCATTAATGGCTTCTGCTGCTATGGGTTTGCCTACTTCAGGTTTCCCTAACGTTACTGCCATTAGTATGACTGACGAAGTTGGTCAAAGATACATTTCGGTGAACACATTCATTACAAGAGGTGTTCCAGCATCTCTTATAGCATACGTGATTACTATTTCCGTTGGTTATGGTATCATGACTTGCTTAGATTTCTAAACTGGTTACGAAGAAAAAGATAAAAATCACAGGTTATAAAAAATTGCATTATTCTAAGTCGATACGAAATTATTGAATTGAGCATAAATACAGTAGTTTGACATACGATATGGTATCGTGTGTTATCAGGGTATTGGAGAATTGAAATCGTGCTGAGTCGTTAACCCATAGAATCCTCTGGCGACTATCAACCGTACAAACTGCGTCTGACGTTTTCAAGTGTTCCTTGATCTTCTAGTTGTTGGAAAACTTTCGCAAGCGGTGGGGACCATGTCTCACTCACCAAAAGGTCCTGTAAACCATGCGCAAGTATGTGACTATCCTTGGCATCCTGGAAGTAGTCATTGAGGGGAATATTATCAAACACACCGTAATCGTAAAGATTGCCCAAAACTCTGCCAAACATATTAACAATCGGTAACTGGGTGGCGGTCAAAACAATCTGTGTAACAATACCACTATTCTGTACTGCCTTAAGAGTGGCCGCAAGCGTCAGCTCCACAATATCGCCTTCGAAAGCAGAATTAACAAGGTTGTTGAGGAAGGTAGCAAACGTGCCCAGATAATCAGTATCTTCACGCTTCAGGTAAGTTGTGGTGTTTGACTGTAATTCTGGAGCTTTACTCTCAAAGTTTCTGGCAGTCAGGAAAATCATGTCAAAGGTGAGATCTTGGCCAGCACCAATATTATTAAGAATCTCTGCAATGAAAGGATGTTCAGTCAAGACATCACCAAGGTTGCTAGTCAAGTTCTCTCTGTTCTGATCATCGAGAAGCAAATCGCCAGCAACGGACTCTATGATGCCAGATCCCATCACCACATCCAAAATGGTACTAATGTTCATGGAGATGTTCAACAGCGAGAGAGGAGAGTCACCTGTCATGACGCCAGCCAAAACCAGGTAGATTCCTCTTGACAAATTATCTATCTCCTGCTTAGAGCCGGCAATCTCATACAAGATGCCCTCTATCACTTGGGACTCTTTAACTTGTGTGAGCACATCAGTCAAGACATTCTCCAACACGGCACGCTTTTGGATGTTACCGTCATCATCGTGTTGTTGAAGAGCATCGACAAACTGAACAGCATAGTCATACAACTCAGCAAAAGCCGGGCTCATGAGGTCAGGAGCACCAGTATCTCTGGTGACAATCCGGGGTTCAGCATCAAAGTCAGCTAGTGGCTGTAACGCCAGAACAAATGATGAAGCCATCAAGGGCAAGGCTGTGACGAAGGCAAACAACCTCATTTTGTAGTTTCGATGAAAAAAGGGAAAAGTGGGTGGGTCAGATAGTTCAGGACGGGGATTATGAACCAGCGGCGATAACAAGCCTTCGGAAGAAAGAACGAAACTGAGGTGATCAAAAAACTGGGGGTTGGACCAAAAAGAAGTTGTAACGACTAATCTCGAGAAAAAGCTAAATGAGCAAAGCGCTGGTATATATCGTTGCACAGTAGGTCACTATTGAATTTGTCTCTTTTTACCCTATTTGGCCATCTGACAATTTTTTGATTCGGGGAGGAGATGTTTACATTGTGCGCACGGCTAGGCAGGACTGTCCAAGTAATCTGCATCAGTTTGTGGCCATTTCGCACGGTTCGCACTGGCTGCCCCCAGGATTTTAGGCTCGCTAATGAAGCAGGGCGCCTAAGCCTTGCATGCTTTCGAGAAAAGTTAGAGCTTAAACTCAACAGGTGGAAGTGAGCTTGGAAGGAGTCGGTATTCGATGTTTCATGAGACTTCGGACAAAGTCTCAACTTTCCATTGGAAGATCTCTATGGGCCGCCCATAGGGCACTTGAAAATTAAGAAAAGTCATGCATCTGAATTAAGGCCACCATTTCTAAAATAGGCAAGTCGTGAGCAGGTCGCCTGCAGGCAAGATCAAATATCACTTCCCTTTTGGGAAAGAATTATTCTTCCTTACAGTTTCACATTAACCAATGCAGTAATTTTTGCACCCATAGCACAACACTCGTACTTTTGTGATGGCCGCCGTAGCACAGTGGAATTTCCCGAAATGGTGGTACCCTTTTTGCTTGACTTGCTGAGCCCTTTCTTTATATAGGGTTCCCAGGCCCCACAGCCATAGAACTAGGAATCCACGAAACTTCTTCTTTTCATCACCCACCAACTTTTCCCTCCCAGGCATAATCATCCATTGATCACAGATGAAGTTTGCTTTCGTCTCGACCCTCCTTTGCATCTTTCTGGCTGTGACGCTAGCGTCCCCAATAGCGACTCCTGTGGGAGATGAGTTTGACTTGTCTTTCCTTGAAGAAACTATTGAGGCCAGGTTGGATCCCCACGAATACGAAGCTTTATCGCATTTCATCCAAAAGAGAGACAACGGTTTCGAAAACACATTCGAGTCTCTTTTAAACATAGTCAATGACTCTGGTATCATTTGGGCCGTCATGGATCAAATTGCTTACTACCCAAACCGTATTGAATTTATTGCCAACACCACCGCTGGCCTCATTGGCGGTACCGAGCTTTCGGACATTGGCGATTTATTGAGTGGCTTGAACTTGGATTTGCTTGATGTCAATGTTTCTGCCATTGTTAAGGCTGTTGGCGACTCTGGCGTTGTTCAGAGCTTGTTGGACGGTATCTTATTGGACGAGGACTACAGACCACATCTTGTGAACCTTGTCTCTAGAGTGTTGAGAAGTCTGAAGAACCTCTTCTTGTGGTTGGTTGAGGACGTCTTTGGTAATGACAAGAACAAGAGAGATGAGAGCAGTGGCCTTGAGACTTTTGTCAGCAACATGCTTTCCACCATCTTGTCTTCCACTCTTGTCGCCAATGTTGCCGAGGACTTCCTTACCGCCTTGAACAATACCCAGTTCCTCACTTACAACGTTAAGTACTTCCTTGCTAACGAGGGATACCAGAACATGACTGCTCAGCTTTTCATTGATGTCATGAACACCGGTGCTGTCAGCCTTAACGGAACCTCGCTCAATATCACTAGTCTCACTGAGAGCCTTTTGAGTAAGCCAGAGGTGATCAGCGGTGCTGTTGGTTTCTTGCTCTCTGGTAACCTTAACCTTGGTGGATTGGGTAAGTACACTGATGCTATCGGTGAAATCGTCAAGGGCGTTGAGAAGGAAGGCACTTTTGCTGAGTTGAACGAATATGTCTTCTCCGAGTCCCACACTGTCTCTAAGCCTTTACTTTACACTGGCCAAGTCGTTGTCCCAAGAACTGCTTCATTCACTCTTGGTGGTATTGGTGGCTTCAACAATGCCAGCAAAACTACCAGTGGCTCTTCAAAGACTTCAGGCTCAACCAGAGCAAGTTCTTCGCCAACTATTACCTCTGCTTCCAACACCGGAAACAGCAGTGATTTCACCTACAACACTTCTGATGATCTCAACGAGCTGGAGTCTGCCGCAGAGGTTGAGTCCATCCTTTCTTTGCTTAACGCCAGCCCAGCTAGCGAGACCAACAGCGCTAGCTCCTCCAGTAGATCTAGCGCTAGATCCTCTGGTTCTCTGGCTGGTTCTAGTGTCGTTTCCGAAGCCACCGATAGCTTGAGCAGATGGTTCGAGACATACAGTGCCGGTGGCGATGGAGATGTCACCACGACTCTGTCTAGATCTCGTGCTAGATCCCTGTCGAGCTCTAGATCGAGGTCTGTTGTTACCGTTACAGTTGACGAGAGCACGCAGACTAGCTCCAACGGTGGATTTGGCGGCCTTTTTGTCGGCCTCTTCCAGACTTCGTCTGCTGGTGACTTCCAGCGTAGAGAAGTGTCCCAGGATTCCGGCGCCTCTGTTAAGAGTGTGCCCATGTTCTTGGTTTACTTGCAGGTTTTGGTGTTTGGCGGTGTTCTCATGCTTTAAGGTTCTTGTGGATCAAGACCCTGTCTCTTGAAAAATTTCTTTCGTTACCCTTCGCTAATTTCGGTTTTATATGTTAATTATACCTTTATACTTTGCAAAGCAAAAAAAAAAAATAAATATAATAAGAAAAAGTATTGCTCCAATGGATCTTCATACCCCCTCCACAGTAGTACCTTTCATTGGCTGCGAAAATGCGTACCCTATTGCCTCTCGATGCAGCCTTATACTGAAGCTTATCAGCAGGCGCGGCAATACTAGAACCAATTCACTACCAGAGAACCAAGGCATGCCCCAACGTCATGCTGACAAGCACAATCTGCCGAAGTCGGGCGCTGATGTCTTGGACGAGGTTGAGAATCTGTCATTGAGGACACCCACGAGGGTGTCGACGTCGTACTCTGGCGTGTCCCCGGTTGGTTCTAATGACGACACCAGCTTTCATCCTATTCCTTTTCAGGGAAACATATTCAATGGTGAGGATGCAGAGGACGAGAATCTATCTCTGAGTATGCCCAATATGGGCAGTACGCGTCAATGGTTGACTCCTCGAATGGCAAGACGGAATTCAGAAACCACATTGACTCAGAAGCGTCCTTCAAGGAGTTACCTTCTGTCGCCCAAGAAATGGTTTGCAAGTGGGAAACGAAAGAAGAAGAAGAGCTTGGTGGTGGAAGGTCCATATAGCATTGAGTATTCGGTGTTCCGACCTATTAATTACTTGCCACAAATCAAGTCAGAGGCTGACCTCAATGAGCATTTGGTAAACATCTTGCGACAAGAGAACCCGAGGCAAGCAGCAGAGCAACCACCTGAAAACTTCATCAGTGCTAATGATTTTGAGGCATTGGTATCTGCAATGACCCATGATGTCGAACATGACTCGGAATTGAGGCCTGTAAGAATCAGCCAGGGCTCTCTGGGAAGTTACTTTGTGATTGGCAAGAGAGAAAAGGTCCTAGACAATGACTCAGGATATACCCTTGAGATTTATAAAAGAGGAATATTCAAGCCAAAGGACGAAGAACCATATGGCCCCTTATCGCCAAAATGGTCAAAATGGCTACATCGTACATTTTTTCCATGTTTCTTTGGTAGAGCTTGCCTCATCCCAAACTTAGGCTATGTGAGTGAAGCAGCAGCTTGTGTGCTTGATAGACAGCTTCTTTCGTTTGTTGTCCCGCACACAGACATCATTTATTTGAAATCCAGAGCATTTTATTACACATTCTGGGAAAGGGTACGCTCAAAGCCACCAAAGTTTAAAATTGGCTCCTTTCAGATGTTTCTCAATGGGTATATTGAAGCTCAGCAATTTTTCAGCTTACATCCCTTACCTACTGACATTGAAAAACTTCCCACAAGCAAGGTCATAGAGATTGAACTGCCCCAGGCAATCGAAGAGTTAGACCTACAATTTCGCTGGACGAAGGAAGTCATTCAGCAGTTCCAGGAGCAGCTTGAAAAATTGGTCATCCTTGATTATATTATGAGAAATACGGACCGCGGTGCTGACAATTGGATGATCAAGTTAGAATGGAGGGAACTTTCCTCAGAAGGAATAACGAGGAAAATTTACCCCTTTCTCAAAATCGGCGCCATAGATTCCGGTCTAGCATTTCCATGGAAGCATCCTGATGGCTGGCGGTCATTTCCCTTCGGTTGGTTATTCCTTCCTTATGCGATAATCGGTCAGCCTTTCTCAAACAAGACAAGACAGCACTACTTGCCACTTCTCACTTCTAGTTATTGGTGGGAACAAACAATTATCAAACTTAGAAATATCTTTGAACAAGATGCGGATTTCAAAGAAAGGATGTGGCTCAAGCAAGTTGCCGTGTTGAAGGGCCAGGCCTTCAACCTAGTAGAAGTGTTGAAGTCACCACAAGCAGGTCCTTTGGAGCTCACTCGAAGAGAGAGTCTTCTAATTTGGGATGATGAGATGCATGTACCTATTCAAGTCAACAACCGAGTCATGAGTAATGCTTTGGAAACCAGCATTTACGAAGTGACCTCTGTGTCCGCAGAACCACAATCGTCGAACAATGAGACTACACCACTTCTAGAACCTCCTAAGAAATCAAAATCAGACGCTGGAAGTTTGAAAAGTGCTTTTAGCGAGAGTGAGCCTATGCGTATGTCGGGTTTTGATTATAATATGACCTATGAAGGAGATGACCGATCAGACCGTGAGGCCCATGAGGAGACCAATACAAAAATTGTCGTCATTGAACGAATGGAGAAGGCTGACGCCAAACCCCCTGTTTTCACTTGGTGTTAGGCTTTGTGAGGCTTAGTCTGGAAATCTTGGAATGCTGTCGGGTAGTCGTCGCTATTCAAACCTTTATAGTCACCCTGATTTATCTGAACAACACCAATTTCCTCCTTGATTCTCAATTGAATCATCTTTAACAAACCGTACAATGTTGAAAGAACGGGTGTAGGCACACCATTTTTAGCAGCAGTTCTCAATGGATTACCCAAAATAACTTCCAACTCAAAAAGCTGCTTCTTTCTCGAGTCTACCAACATGGAAGGTGAATAGAAGAGTCCATCACCGATATGAATGAAATATTCACTTGTCAGACTAGGGAGATCAACACCCTCACTAGCGGCAATAGCTAGGACTTCGTTCATAGCCGGTCTAAATATGTTCTCGTTGGCACCGCCGATCTGGCATCTATTAACGTCTAAGCCAGCCACAGTACATGTGGTATTCAAGACCATATTATAGACCAACTTCTCCCATCTAGATCTTAATGCGCTATCTTCGATAATGACTTTATTGACATCTTCACTCTCGTTTTGGTATAACAGTGCAAATTCCTTGACTTTTTCTTTGGTTTTGTCGTCAGAAATGTTAGGATTATGGAACGGACCCAACTTCAATGTATCCTTGTGCAGATTGTTCACAACGCAATTGATATTGGTGGACCCAATCAACGAAATGCCAGAAAGTACTGGGTTGTTTGGATAAGCTTTAATTATTGGCTCTTCAATACCAATACCGTTCTGAATGAGTACGACAGTGTTCACGCCGTCCACCACAGCCGGTTTAATAATCTCATCGCATGGCAGAGGGCCGTCAGGAATATTTTTTGTAGTAACGACAATGTAATCGAATGGACCATTGTCAGCGACAGCATCTTCAACACTTCTGCTGATATGAGCAGGCTTCCAGTTCTGAAGATCTCCGTAAGTCACCGACTTGATCTCGAAACCCTCCGTGGAAGCCTTATCATAGGCAGAGCGCACGACCAAAGTAACATTAGCTTTCTTGTTTAACGTGAGGGCGAGCGCAGCAATAGTGCCTACTCCGCCAGAGCCAATAACAAGGACATTGGGTTTTGACATTTTGAAATGGAAGTGACTCTAGATAGCGTTCCTTCATCTTTAAGTGCGCCTTTAGTACCTTGACGAATTGAGATTGACTGCAGGAGGTGGGGAATAATACGCTATATTCCGTTTGATGTAGCGCGAGCTAAATAGGCATTAGCCGTTACTTGGATACTTGATGGAAGACACCATCACCGGTATAGCTATAGTAGTCTCTTGCTTGGATGATTCGAAGTTCGAAAAATCTCATTGAATCTGCATCGTTCATTTTGCCTTCTAAAATATCGCCCTCCTCGGGAATGGCGATTTTCTTGTATTTGCAAAATTCCTCAAGGCCCAACTTATGAGTGAGCTTAAGCACATCGGCCATGATTGTGAGTACCTGGTTCACAGCAAGACCGATGTTCTCAGGATTGTTGTAGAACTTGTCAAGAAGAAGTGCTGTGAAAAGATCGCCAACGCCTGTGAAGTAGGATTTGATTACCGGAATCTTATAGTATGTCATGTTGAGCGCATCTTTGGACGACACAGCACAGTAGATGGAATCAGGATCGTTCTTGTTGCTGAAGGAAAATTCACTTCCCAAACTAGTAATGACAATGTGCTTGATGTTACAAGTCTTATGAAGATGTTCTGTAGCTTCTCTGAGCTCTTTTTCGTTAGTGATCTTGAAGCCGCTAAGAAGCTCCAACTCAAACTGGTTTGGAGTAATAATGTCCACATAACCCATGCTGAGAAGTTTCCTGTAAGCTTCAACGCAAGCATCGTCCACATAGAGATGGCCTTGGTCACCCATGACAGGGTCACAGACATAGATCGATGATGAGTTGTTAGTCTTGAGCAGAACGACATTTCCGGACAAGATATCGATAAGTTCCGCTGAAGGAATATAGCCCGAGATTATCGCATCATACTGACACTTAACGTCCACAAGACCATGAAACAATGCAGACATGTCGCTGGCGGTAACGGCAGAGCCTCTAACGAACCCATATCCCGTATGGTTGGAGAAATTGACGGTATTGATGTTATCAACGTCCCAACCAAGGAACTGTAGGGGGAAAGTTGCAGCTCTACCACCCACGTAACCGTGGACAACGTGAGACTGAACAGAAAGGACGTTCTTCATGGAGGAGGGTTCTAGTTTATGAGTGTTCTAATGATTTTGATGGGTTAGGTGAAAAGACCTAACGTGATGGAGTCAGGATGTGACTCCACGCACGTGATGCGATGACTCTGAGTGGTAGCTACGAAAGTTGCACACGATCAAGAAAGAGACCCAAAAACCAGAAAAAAGGTGATATTTTCCAAGAAAGTAGAAGTTCAACCGGGATTGGTTCTAGCAATTTTTCAAATTCGGGACCGATGCATGGTATGACACCGATGAGCTAAGCGAAGAAAGTGACGGAATGCATGAAGAAACAGCCATAGAGAGGTCAATGCCCAGAAAAGCGGCAAGTCAAAGATGGAAAAGATAAATTGGATGCGGCCACTAAACAGACGGCTCTTTACAGATTTTTCAGATTTTTTTTTTCTTGTTCATGCACATTTGACAGTCGTTTGCAAGAAAGTTTCACAATTGGCTCAAAGCTGCGAACCACCAATCACCAGGGTTGTGAGTGAGAAGACCAAGAAAAAAACTTGAGGGAAAATAGACTACCAGAAATACCGAAAAAAATAATACCCACATTCCCATACAAACAGGGAAGAATAAGAGAGAGGTCAATGCTTAGACTAGACGATATTGTCAATTGGAAAGCCAACACTAAACAATGGTTCTGAGGGTACCCGTCTTGGCACTCCCAGAGGCAGAAGCAGACAAATACCAACCATCTGTTTGGGCACCCTATTGGCATTGTCGAGTTAGATTTAGCTGCAAGCAAGTAAGTATGGAACAAACGAGCCGCGTGGTTAGGAGAAACAGGAGAAAAGCGTACAATATGAAGAGAGAAAACTGGCGCGGGACATATCCATGCCTTTTGGGGGAGTGGTGAAAAAAAAAAAAAAAAAAAAATAAAAAGAAAGTCTCAGGCCTGGACGGATTCCAATGGTGGTTATTCGGTTTCACAATTCACGTTTCACAATTCACGTTTCATATACGCTGATTGCCCGTTCACAGCCTGCGATCGTCACGACGAACAAAAAAGAAAGAAAGCGAATACCGATCAAAAGGGGGTATCTAGAAAGGTAGTGGAATGACGTAGAGCCCTGGCGTGGAATGAGCGATAATGGCAAACCACGTTTAGGCCCGGCAGCGCGGGTGGGAGAAAAGTGTAAAGTGAAAAAAGCAGGCCAAAACGCAGGCAAGGCAGAGAAAATGAATGGGCGACCAGGATCCACAATACCAACCACAGGACAGGACTGGCTGCGTTATTTACCCCCCAAGCGAATTGTCTTCACCTGATGGTGACGATGCTCTGCTTCAGAATACTGAAGAGGGTACCGTGGATGGTATTGGAATATTTCTTTGGTCTGGTTTTCTCGTCTCAATGGGCCACCCCCTTTCCCCTTTGTCTTGTTTCCATATTTATCTGCTTACCTCAATCGCGGCTGCGATTAGCATCCTGAGCCTCTTTTCTGAAGTTTTCTCGAGCTCTCACACCGCAATCGATTTTTTTCCCCCTCCTACTGAAAAAAACCAAAAGAAAAAAAAAAAAAAAGCATAGGATTAACCGCCTGCTTGGCACGGCCCGATTTTTCATAATTCCCTCACCCCATACTCTCCCTTCAATTCCAATTCATCCACCGTTTCTCTCATATTATTATTATGCTTACCGTCTTGGTTCTCGTCATTCTCAATCTTTACAATTTCCCCTAATGATCACTTCCAATCGTGCCTTCGCCTCGTCTCTGCACCATACCATGTAAAGAGCCTCATGGTCTGGATTCAGTGCCTGCACCTCCGCCTCTATTTTAATTTCCTCAGTCGTCGTCGACCACTCTGCCCACCACACATGCAGTGCCCGATTCGGCCTTCTGAGGAGAGGCGAGACAGCTATATATACTTTGCCTCCCGCCCCACCCCCTCTGGTACAAAAGTCTTTTCTTGGTTAGGTACATCCTCTTTCAATTCCTTTAGCATCAGCTATCTTCTTTTTGTCTTCACTTGTTTGACTTCACCATATACCAATGACTGTCGCCGTGGACCCCAACTTCAAATCGTCTTTGCCCCCACGCAAAAGAGCCAGAACCCAGGAGGAAAAGGAACAACGTCGTGTGGAGAGGATCCTTAGAAACAGAAGGGCCGCCCACGCCTCCAGGGAAAAGAAGCGTAAGCACGTTGAGTACTTGGAATCCTATGTCTTGCTGTTGGAGTCCAACTTGGCCACCTTGTCTGACAACTATCTGGCAGTGTCCAACCTCCTTTCTCAAGACAAGATTGATTCCCTCAACTTGCCTACCCTTCAGGACTTGACGTCTTTGAAAAACCAAATCCATACTAACATGTCGCTGGTCGCTCCTATCTCCAAGTCTTCTAAAATGGGCTCCGTCCTGTTTGGTGACGAGGATATCGACGGTGACGATATGGATAACCACGGCGACTTTACTGTCGAGGATACTCCAGAAATCCAAGTCAAGAAGGAAGAATCAGAAGGTCTCGCCGAGCCAGCCGCTGAAGCTCCTAAGACTACCATCAAAGTCGAGGAGCCTCAGCTGAACCTCTTGTCGGCCTCTCCTTCCGGCTACTTCAACTACCTTCTGCCTGTCTCGATGGATTCCCCAATGAATTCCCCAATTGATTTACAATTGAAAATGAGCGAGTCTGTGGATCTCGCCGAGTCGTATTCCGGCTCCACCACCTCGGGCTCTGTCCCTAGTACCCCCGACATGTCCATGCAACATAACGATGTCCCAATGATGGATTCAGCTACTTCAGCTTTCGATATTATGGCGCAAAATCCAGCAGCGATTTTGTCTCCAAGGTTAATCGTGGCTTGAGTTACCTTGCAAAGCACTTGATTGTTCTCTGCTTGTCGCACCGTTTCCAGCTTTACTGCTGGCTCCTGCAACGTGTGAAGAAAGACGTATATTAATCTGCTTCTGATGGCCAGGCGGTCATCGGCGGTTGATTAATATGCGTGAGATATTTCTTAGCACAGTTGTAGTGCAGGGTCGATTTACAGCATAGAAGTAACAACCTAGCAGCATTTGTTAGCGCTCTCATTCTCACGCATAACCGTTTGGTCCGCAGCACCAGTCGATCCTGTTGTACATGGTTCATCATTGAACACCGGTAGTAAAATGGACGAGTTGGATCTTCTAGGCGACAAAGACATCTCCTTTGGTGTCAAGTTCGAGGCTGATCCTACGGCTCTTGATATTGATCAATTCTTATACTTGTAAGGATGTTTTTGATCAAGAATCGCTCATCCTACTGTCACACTGTATATTAAATTGGGCGGTTTAGGAAGGTAATAAATTAACACACTGGGAACATTAATTGGGGATTATTTACGATAAGAGATTTACAAACAGAAAAGAGAAATAAAAAGAAACAGAAAACAAAAAAACAAAAAAAAAGCAAAAAAAAGCTACAAAATACCGAAGTGAGATTTTATCAATATGTTATATGGCAGTTCCGACAGTTTACTTGAGAAAAAGAAAAAAAGAAAAAAAAATAATAAAACAAAAAAAAAACCCAAAAAAAAGCTCCTTTTGGGTCTTGTCTATTATTTGTTTTTTACTTTTTTCTTTCCATTTGTGAATAGTTGGTTTAATGCCTATACGAACCTGGGTTTGGTGTTGTGACGCTTCAACTATGAAGGCGCTCCTCTATCGAGTTGACGCGACTTCTACAGTGAAAGCTATATGATACTTGAGCCTTGTTATATTAGAATAGACGATCTCAATTTGATTACCACTGTAGATTTAACTCTCCCATCACCTGCTTACTGCCATCCAGTAGATGATCAAATTCCCTTGATGCTTTAACGCGCCCGTAGTAGATTTGGCAATCGCCATTGGCACAGTGGGAGACATATTGGACACTAGCAGTATTGGCAAAGTTGCGTTTGTTGCAAGCAATACATATGTTCTGGTAGTCCAATACCTGTACTTCTTTATCTTTGACAACGGAGACAATATCCGTTGTAAGCCCAATCTCGTGTTCAAGGCACCTTTGACATAGGTATTTGGAAGTTGAGTCCTTCATGCTTCCTTCACACGAATAGCATTGGTCCGATTGCACGAACTCACTGATGTTGATAATGTCTTTCTTCTTGATTGCAAGCTGCCTGGTAGATTTGGGCATTTCACGGTACCATTCTTGAATATTGACCCCCATCAAATTGAACACTCTTTCCAATGGGGGAATCAAGACTCTGGTGATGTAATACTCGAAATCCAACTCGAGAGGATTATCGGTGCTGTAGGACGAAACATATTCATCTGGAGTAACACATCTGTCCTTGATTCGTTCTTTTCTTGAATCCCTGATGACTAGGTAAGGTATCCGCTCACGGTATTGAGGTTCACTTCTGGGATCTTTTGAAGCTTTCTTCTGAGCCAAAATAGCACCCGGCGGCAAATACTTGTCGTTCTTATATGAGCCGTAACGAACCTCTTTAGCAAAGCAAAAGTCTTTCACATTGACCTTATTGAGAAAGATTTTCTGAAACTGCTCGACAGTGTACAGCTTTACTTTGGAGAGATTTTTGGTTTCAAAAAGGATTCTCAAGGTTTTTCCAACCATCTTCAGCTGGGCTGGTATACCATCTCTTCTAATCGTTTCGATACCTTTAGCTTCAAATTTTGGGATAAGTTGATCCTCAAACTCATAGCAGTGTCCCACATATCTCTTTTTGGCTAGCAAGACACAAGGATGGTACACTTTTTCAAATTTCAATTTAATAGGGTCAGGGAAGAAATCAGTGACCTCTTTTGCAAGTTCTTTGCCATACTTAAACGCGTCCTCCTTCGATCGACCAGGGAAGTAAACGAAAAGCGAATCAGTATCTCCATAGACAACTTTGGCATTAACAGGACTACTCTCGATGATTTCAATAGATTTTGTAAGGATCTCTCTTCCAGTTGAGACAATAGCATCAGCTATATCTGAGTTCGGCATTCTACCACTGAAACTGGCTGATGTATATCCGTAGGTCACATTAGCGATCAACTTCAAGGCCAATTGCTTCAGGTTATAAAGTTTTGCAAGTTCAACATCTTCCCTGAATGCCCCTGCGACAGCTTTAACATTGATTCGCATATTCAAGATTTCTTGCAACATCCTTGATAAGATTGACTTGCGAAATTTGCTCGAAACGAACATCATACCGTTGGGTGACACGTTGATACCTTCGTTTTTTGAGAGTATATCTATAATACCCTGCGGTAGCTTAAGATGGGGAAGATAACCAACCACATTCTTGTTCTGATGGAAGCCCTCAATAGGTCCCAACAAAGTTGAATAACAATAGTTGTAAGCGATCATAATCGAAGGATATAACGATTGAAAGTCTAGGACAACAAGAGGGGACTTGTAAAAGTTTGAATCAGGTTCCATGATGAGCGGAATGGAGTCCAATGCTCGCATATCGTGAACTTGATTCTTTGATGGAGAGTTGAGAAGCATATTTTCTTCCTTCGCTATACGAAGAAGAATAGACTCCACCTTAAACTGGGATCCACGATAAAAGTTAGAGTTAAAGTCGATACCGATCAATCTTGACTGTTCCACATTCCTCAATATCATCTCCTGAACATTCATGATCTTTAGGGTGAGGCCAAGACGATGTATATGATACTTGCAAAACATGAATGTCTTGTTGAAGTTGCCGCTTCTGAACCACTTACTAAGATCAAGGCTCACCACCTTGGGAAGGGTTTGATGAAGTAAATGAAAGCAGACATTCTCTAGAGAATACGATGTGAGACTGAGCTCCGAACGAAGCACTCTCCAAATATTGAGTAGATGACGGCCGTTAATTTTGAGAGCGGACGTATGAGTGTAGCCCCAACGGTCCCCAAATTTGCCGTTACTTTTGAAACTTGAACGGCTGAGTCTCGCTAAAAGATTTGTTTCATACTTCACTTGAAAGCGCTCAGCAAGATATCCCCAGCTTGATGCATTAATTTCGTAACCGGAAAGAATGTCGGGGTCAAAGGTATCGACATAGTCCAAAAAGGTCGTTATCATATCCTTTTCAGACGTGAAAACTCTCACCTTCGTCTTCAAAAATACTGAAACCCTAGCAAAGATCTCCTGGTAGAAATAATATTCTAATCCTTCTAGACACACGAAAATGGCCGTTGTATAAGGTGTTTCACGGTGCATAGCGTTTGCATCATCAAAATGGTAGATGATTGCACTGACTGGATCAGACTTAGGATCAGGTTCCATGTTATTATTCGTGTTGACATGCAATTCCATATGGAGATTTGTCATACTTAGGAAACCACTCGGGTTCCTGGCAACTTTATCAGCCCTGTATGAATACTTAAAATCGTAGGTTTGCGTTACAGCTGGCTCTATTTGTGACTTGAATCTTTCTTTCTTGTACTGAATGTTGGACTCAACCACGTCAACCCAGTCTTTCATAAACTTTTTTGTAGGGGGGTCTTTGCTGTATTGCCAATACTGAGGTCGACTTGCAGTGAAAGTCGGTCTTGCAGGGTCCAGTGGTTCCCAAGATCCGCTATCCTCGCTTTTGAACTGATACGGACCCAATGAATTATCGCCCAAAAGTGGAACAACAATTTTCTTGTTGGCAAAAACAAGCGGCTTCGAGTGGATGTCTTCCTTCTTGTAGTAAGAAGGGTCCGTATACTCGATATCCATTAGCCCAGAATGGCGCAATGTCTTCATGAAATTCGACTTCCTTAATGTAATTGGGACTTGGAGCTCATAGATGTTCTTAGGAGACCTGAGAAGACAATGCAGAGTTTGGGTAAAGGTTGAAGACAGGGAATTCGATTCACTCGATTCCATCTGGGAGAACGGACGCTTTCGTTGTAGCCATCGAGCACTTCTCTGGCTCTGGTCAAAGCCATTATTTTGTGGGGAATGGGACGAATCCAGCAGATGATCTGGATACGTCATCTGTAAGTCTAATTGACGAGGGCTCAGCGATGGAGATAAGCTATCATAGATTACATCGTTATCAGCTGCATCGTTCGCTGGCGTTTGAGATTGGTCATTATAATCAGTAGTTTTGTTGGCTGTCAATTCCTGTTCACTTGTAAACAACTTGTCGTAGGAGTCCCACTGAACCAAATCATCACGGTAATTGAGCAAGCGAACTTTCTGAAACCGGTCTTCTGCCTTGTCGTGGTCAACAGACTCAAAACAAGTAGGTATATTTTGGGGTAAGGAGGGCTTAATTTTCCTGTCATAATAATCATTAGGGTCGTTAAAATTCGTAGCAGCATTAAGTTTTGCAACATAATTCATTAATTCCCGAAAGCGTGGGGACGATTCCCACTCCTGAAAGCCTTTTTGTCCTATCGCTTTGAAAACCTGAGAATACAGCTTGTGGAGCAACTGGGATGTATCGTCCATGTTTCGAAGAGAACATTGATACTTAAGATCTTCGAAAGTGAATTTCAAGGAGGACAAGTAAATACTTTCAGCGGGCATTTTAGAGTTGAATTCGGATAGGTCATTATGGTTCGTTCTTTGCACGAGGTTCATGCGATTAAGGATTTGCCCTGAAGTAATGTCTATCTCAAGAAGCGACCGTCCGATTCTTGGGTATCGTGTGGGTAAAAGAACATTGTTCTTGGTAACAATACGTGAAAGATAATCTTTCAAAGGGTAAAGGTCGACATTGGAGTGGCCAACGATTGGCAGCCGGAAATGGCACTCCTCTACGTTAAGATAGCCACAGCCGTAAAGGTTGAAATCGGCAAGAAACTGAGAAGTGTAAGGAATATGGGCTTCGTAGAGGTTTGGCACGCCATAGGTTTTCTTGAGCTTGCCATCAAAGTTCCACACATCGACCTTGTTCGATGTAATAAGCTTTACTAGTCTTGTTTTGTAGAGGGGCAGGAGGAGCAGGACCTTTAAGACCTGCTTGTAACCGAGATGATATCCATAAACGGGGGAACCTCGACAGTACTCTACTGCAGCAACAAAGCGCAAGCTCTGGGTTGGGTCCTCATCGATGTCGCTATCGGACTCATCGTCTTCAACGCGCTTTCTCTGAAAAGAGTCGTGAATTTTCTTATCGAAATAGTCCTTGAGGGTATTCAAATAGGTTTTATCGAGCGGTCTATTGGTTGGACAGTCGATATACACGTATGGGTAGTAGTTATGGACGTGAACTAGGACATTGTAAGCGAGATCTCTTTCAGTTTCGACTTTCAAGGAGCCGTAGATTCTGATGAACGGGACCCGGGCTGCAAGACCGTAGAGCTGGTCCAAAGGTGTAGCTAAGTGCTGGTACGTATCGAGGTCACAAATCTGGATTTGCAAAGCATTGGCCATGTACTATATGGAAGTAGTAGAGTAAAGAAGCAAGAGAGGTATACATCTCGCGCAGAGTTCACGTGCCGCCACTGGTGGTTGCAAATACACCAAAAGCAAAGACCATTTAGAAGCACTTCTCCAGATGTGTGTTTTAAAAATATCTCACCTTTAAATACACGTTTCCCCTATATGTCAAAAGTGTTTCCTCTTTTGACAAAGACAACTAATTATAGTCCGCGCCGCAAGGACCGTTAATTGCAAGCACTTTGTCCGTGCGGCACCTTCGGCAGCGGGAGCGGGCCTGAGCGGTGTTAGGAGCGGTTTTTTCAGGCTTTTTTTAAACACCTATATGTATTTTTGGTTCCACCAGGCATAGGGAGCCCTGAGCGATTCCCAGCGCAGCATTACCTAAGCGCAGTAAGGTCAAAAAAGCCGAAAAGAAAAAATTGTGGTGAAAGGGGGGCCAAGCAAAGAAGATTGAGCCTTCCATGAGCGAGCAAATTTTACCATAGAATTCTCAAAAAACCACTACAAATTGACATCAGGGTGCAAAATAGACACTGGCAACCACTTCAAAAAACACACAAAACCATGGGAAAAAAATAATAAAACCTTTTTTTTTGTTCCGTCCCTTGTTGCTGCCACCCGTCGCCACCGTCGCCCAGAAATGGACCCTGGCTTAAAGAAGCCAAAAAAAAAAAAAAAAAAAAAAAAGAAAAAAGAGCACCGGCGTGGAGCTGCCCCGTGGCACGCCATTTTCCTGCTCCTCGTACTGCTTCTTCCACTGCTTCTGCTGTCCTTGTATTCTTCCCGCCAATAGTGTCCTTTTTTTTTCGACGCCCCACCACAGCCAGCAGTCCTTCCACCGAATTCTCTTCTTTTCTTATACTTCCCATCACTCACTTCTATCTTGCTTTACATGTCACTCAAAATGCCAAAAATGGGCCGCCCTAGATGTCCCACCGCTTAATGCCAATCTCTACGATTTTTTTTCTACTCTTTTGTGGGCTTCCTGGTGCGTCCCTCAGAAGCACTGCGATTGTCTCACCTCACACCACTTCAGCCCCAAGCCAGAGCCATAGAAGAGCGGCGCTAAAATGACGGCAGGGTAAAAGCTTTTTTTTCGGGGGTTCGCTGTCCCTACCATTAAGTCATAGGGCGCCATCACTGCTGGTGGTGCTGGTGCTGGTGCTGCCACGGTGCTTTCCAAACGCTCTCTGCTCTCACTTGTATACACCTCCCATGACATGGCTGTCTATGTTGGATATTTTTTATTCCCAACGTTCCAAATATTAATTACATTCTTTTTTATCCCCTATCTTTAAAATCACCCTCCCCTTTCTTTTGGTGCTTTTTTGCGGTTTCACCTCTTGCTCTACCGATTCCACCTCTTGTTGCTGTCTGTTTGCTCTGTCTGCCTGGCTTCCCGCCTGAAGACTGTACTTGCGCTGAAGGCTGCTTATACGCTGTGCGCTGTCGCGCCCTACAAAAGTCCCTCATATCGTTTGAACTCGGACACCATTGTCGGCGGTCTTTTCCCTCTGTTGGTGCCTTATTTCTTCCATCCTTACTAATTCGCCCCGGGGCTGGCAACACCTTTTTCCACCATCAAATAACCCGCTCCACCCCAAACCGTCACCTTTCCCCTTCTACGGTTCCGCCTTCATTCGACTTTTCACCTCCTTACTTTCCTTTTTACCCATTCTCACTTTCCTGCCCCGTTAGCTTTCCCTGCTGCCCCTGCTTTTTCTATCATCATGGCCGACGACAAAGACAAGGACGTCGATGACTCGGCCTCCAGGCTACTGAAGCTTTCAGTGTCGACCCCGAAGCCACCTTACGATGGTCAGTGCTCCCCGCCGGTTACCACCTCCCATGGGCCCTTGAGCAGCGACGTCCACGCTCGAATCCTCGCTTTCCAGCAAAAACGGGCTAGTCAATCCCTCAAGGAATCCCCAAAGGAAGGTCGCCTGCCTTCGACCTCCCACTCCCAAATGCATTTGCCTACCATGCCCGCAAAACCGTTGCCGCCTTTACCGCACGTCAAACCTCTGGCTGGGTCCGACAACCTGGTGCCTAAACTGTCCCTTGTACCTTCTCCATCCATCGAACTGCCTCCAGCAGAATCTTCTCCATTTGCCAAAGGCTCGATGCTGCCTTCCCTGAATAATTCTTTTGATTTGGGTAAGAAACCGTCTTTATCTCAAAGAAGAGGTATGAAACTCAACATGAAGAATTTGGGCGGCACTACAACCCAGAACCTACCCCAGGCGTACCACCACATCTCAATTCTACGGGTGAACTCGCAAGACGTCTTTCTGAACGTAAGAAGAGACCCGACTTCAAACTTAATCTTAATGAGCTGTCCTCCTCTGCCACCAGCTCAGAAGCTCCCAATTCCGACGTCAGCTCTGTCGAATCCAACCAAGCTGCTCCTCAAAAACTTCAAGGTCTTTTTGCCAATTATTCCAAATATGTCGATATCAAATCTGGCTCTTTGAATTTCGCCGGAAAGGCCTCCTTGCATTCCGATGGTATCGATTTTTCTTCGGGTCTGTCATTCCACATCTCACTCGATGAATTACAATTTCTTGAAGAGTTGGGCAGAGGTAATTACGGTATCGTCTCCAAAGTACTCCATAAACCTACTGGCGTGCTCATGGCCATGAAGGAAGTCAGACTTGAGTTAGAGGAAAACAAGTTCACCCAAATCCTCATGGAACTTGAAGTTCTCCACAAGTGTAATTCTCCATACATTGTTGATTTTTACGGCGCTTTCTTTGTTGAGGGTGCCGTTTACATGTGTATGGAATTCATGGACGGTGGATCGCTCGACAAGTGCTATGGTAACGGCGTTCAAGACGAAGCCTGCCTTGCTTATATCACCGAATGTGTCATCAGAGGCCTCAAAGAACTTAAGGACCAACACAATATCATTCATAGAGATGTTAAACCTACAAATATCTTGGTTAATTCTTTGGGTAAGGTGAAGCTCTGTGATTTCGGTGTTTCTGGTAACTTGGTTGCTTCTTTGGCCAAGACGAATATTGGCTGTCAATCATACATGGCACCTGAGCGTATCAAGACAATGAACCCTGATGACGCAACATACTCCGTCCAATCTGACATTTGGTCTTTAGGTCTCACAATCTTAGAGATTGCTGCCGGTAGATACCCTTACCCACCCGAAACATTCGATAATATCTTCTCGCAGTTGAGTGCGATCGTTGACGGTGAACCACCCAAGCTTGATAGTAACAGCTTCTCGAAAGAGGCCCAAATATTTGTCAAATCTTGCTTAAACAAGAACCCAGATCTTCGTCCTCCCTACGATGTGCTTCTTGAATCACCATGGCTAACAAAGCAAAGAGGTGTTGATCCTCACATGGATCGTGTTGTCCAAGAGAACTTGAAGGCTCGTAAGGAAGCTAAGGCTGAGAGTCAACCGAAGAAATCTGGTCAAGGTCTGTCAAGAGCTGGTGTTAATGTCGCCAATGCTGGCGCCGCTCTGGTGATGGGCAGAGAAAATGTTTCATCTTTGCTTAAAAACAAAGTCAACGCACCTGCGCTTCATAGAGGGGGCTTACCATCTCAAAGGTTTAGACGATAAACAGGTGGCACGCATGCATCTCACGCTGTATCATCTGCCGTTGAATTTGGTTATCCTCAATCATCAACAACTTCATCATCATCAACATCATTATCGTCATACTCGGTTCATTTCGCATTATCATAGTGTATTATAGATTATAATATTTACTCATGTAAAGGTTAAATTTGTACAGCAGTAACAGAATGTAGTGATCGACATTGAAGTGGTATCAGACAGCAGCTTAGTATTTTGCAGCCGCGGCCCAAGTAACTACCTCCAATTGGAAGCCACCGATGCACCAATATAAAAGACAGACAGGGAAGAGAAATACATGAGTTCCCTTATAGCTCCTTCAAAATTTCAACCCCTTAATTTTACCCATATATTTGGTAAATGTCCCTTAATAGAGGCCCCTTCCATAGTGGAGTCCGTTTCGCAGTTTGTTCCGAGCCTTAAGCTTGCACCCATACATTTAGACCCCAGTCTCTGCAGTATCGCACCAACCGAACCCAGGACACCGCTGTTCAAGAGATAATAACCAAGTGTCCAACGAGAGCAGTCCAGCGAAATGTTGCAGATCGATAAAAGCAACCTCTTGATAAAGAAAACGTTGACGGAAAGGTTATTTCCTGAGCCGGATGCCCAATTGAAGTCTTTGGACAGAATCATCAGTGACTTTGACTTTACCAACTACCATGTTTCCACGTTGGACGACAGACAGCTAATCTTGATTTCTGTGTATTTGCAATGTTGGAACGACTTGACAAAATACGGTGTTTCCGAGTACTTGAAGCTGAAGTACCAGAAGTACTCTGAGTTTTTGAGCACTGTGGATGATGTGGAGTCCGGCTACAACTTCAGTTTTGTCTTGGACACTGGAGCCTTGGCTTCCAAGTCAGACGACGTCAAGCAGGAATTGATTGAGGAGTTGGCTTTATTGAAGAGACATGCCATTGCTTCTGCATTTGAGAAGGCCTTCAGCCGTTACGACCAGCTTGCAGAGCAATTCAAGGACCAAGATACCTATGCCGAGGAAATCAGGGCTGAGTTGAAGAGCGAAGAAGTCCTTGTGATCAAGTACAGAGGTGAGGATGAATGTATTTACATTAAGCCTTCCTTCGACCGTGTGACTGTCATCTTCTCAACTATTTTCAAGGATGAGACCGATAAAATCTTTGGTAAGGTGTTCTTGCAAGAATTCGTTGATGCCCGTAAGAGATCTGTTCAGACCGCTCCACAAGTGATGTTTACTCAAAAAGAGCCTCCTTTGGATATTCAGAACGCTGTTACCAGACGTCACGATGACGACAACAAGGGCTATGTTACGTTTGTCTTGTTCCCAAGACACTTGACAAAGGGAGAACGCAGAGATAACTGTATATCATACATCCAGTTCTTCCGTAATTACTTCCACTACCATATCAAATGTGCCAAGGCATACATGCACACGAGAATGAGACATAGAGTCAGAGGGTTCTTGAAGGTGTTGAACAGAGCCAAGCCAGAGAATGTCGACGATGATGGAAAGGCTATCGACAACAGAAAGACAGCTAGCGGTCGTAAATTCGAAGCCGGGAGGGTTTAGAGAATGAGAACCGTGAATAGCTATGTATAAATTTTGTTACGCAAATTAGAAAAAGAGTTTTGAAAAATGTATTAAAATGCGTGTGTTGTCTTCTATATTTACAGGAATGTTGCAGGAGCCTTAATCCTTTGGCTTCTTAACACCATACTTGGAACGTGACGTCGATCTGTTGGCCACACCAGCCAAATCTAATGCACCTCTTACCAAACGGTATTTAACACCAGGAAGATCCTGGACTCTTCCGCCTCTCACAAGGACGACGTGATGCTCTTGAACATTGTGGCCTTCACCTGGAATTAAAGCAGAGATGACATTACCGGTCGAAAGTCTCACTCTGCAACATTTTCTCTGAGCCGAGTTAGGCTTCTTTGGCTTCAAAATCATAACTCTGACAACCACACCTTTCTTGAATGGGTTTCCTTGCAAATGAGGGGCCTTTGGAACGTTTGGCTTGACAGGGAAGCCTTGCTTACCACTTCTTATCTGGTTCAATGTAGCATACCTCTTTTGACATTGGTCAAAGACGGATGGTATAGATGGCTTTGCGGGTTGAATATTGGAGCGAATACTAGCAAAGTATGATGTCATAGACTGGGCACCTGGACGAGTCTTGGGAAGGGCTGTAAGCCTGCTGCTGAATAACGATCTAAGCATGGCTGGCGTTGGTTCAGATGCCTAATAGTGAGAATATACTTGTATTGAAAAATTGGATCCGTACTGCAGGCAGATCAACATTTTGCTCTATAAGGCCTGCTCCAAGTGGTACCAAAAGCTATCCATAGGACGAAAAAAGGAAATGAATTAGATGCAACTAGGTCTTCTATTATATATTTAAACTTCTTTCGTCCATAAAGTTTTCATAAACCAGGTATGCTAGATAGTGGGTACTTTCAAGATGGTCGTGTGTACACCGCCAATCACTGAGGGTGTATTCACCAGTAAGATTTCAGAGCATATAAGCACATCAACTACAATGTTTAGAACAGCCTTTGCTAGAAGCTTGAGACTCAATACCATACCCTTGAACACGCAGCGTGTTGCTGCCATTTCTAAACCTGTCATCCCACAATTTGTTCAGGCTTCCAGAACCTACGCTGGTTTCCCTGCCTTGACTAGGGACGTTGCCAGAGAAAGAATCATCGAGTTGTTGGAAGGTTACGACAAGGTGACTTCTAAAGACATTTCTGAGAAATCTAGCTTTGTTAACGACTTGGGTTTGGACTCTTTGGATGTTGTTGAAGTTGTCATGGAGGTCGAGCATGAGTTCAACATCCAGATTCCAGATCACGAAGCTGACTCTTTGAAGACTGTGGGCCAGACTGTCGACTACATTCTTTCCCAGCCTGATGCATGTTAAATTCTGATTCAACTGACTATAGATGAGCTCAAGTGTGCTCATTTACGTATATAAACAACCTATAGGGCAACCCGAATGCATAACACGAAGAAGATGGCTTTGTAGGACCTCTAATGGGAGCTCTTACAGATAAAATATTGAGCATTCCTTGCTGCTGTAGAGATCTAGTGTTCTTCCGAAAATATTACACGTGACCGCCGTAAGAGAAACAAGACTACAATCCTCGATATTTTTGGGCTGGACTTTTCAAGGATAACGGAAGTAAATGTCAACAATTGGTATGCTCTGATCCAATTAAATTTTATGGACAATTTGTATGGGTAGCTCAAGTAGCATAGTATTGCCTACCCAGGTAGAGTTATGTACAGTAGAGCCAGTGTGTACCCAGTGCATCCAATAACTGTGCGAGAAAAACTGTTGATGATAATCATCTATTAAACACCACCTACAACCATGATTTCCGTACGTATAGCCGATGCTCGCTTAAATTTTACAGCTTTATAACTAACCCATTTAGTACATCAGAGGTCCAGCATACAAGGTTTCCAAGATTCCTTTCAACTACACTGCCGCCAAGTCTTACGGTAAGGACTTGATCATCTGGGGTGGTGCTGCCGGTGCTGCTGTCGCTACCTTCACTGACAACTGGCCTTTGTTCCAGCAGACTTTCTACGCCAAGATCCCATACTTCGGTGAACACTGGATCAGCAACCCAGACCCAGAGGATGTTCCTATTTAAACTAGACCTATTGCACATAATCAAATTAAAATCCAACTGAACCTATGGAATGTAGTTAAGCGTTTGGCCGTCTTCAGAACGTTTGATGTACTCATTTGTAATCAATCCTTCCACTTTCTTCTTGATGTCAGTGATCAGCACATCTCCACGTGCTTTCAACTGCATCAAAACCTGTCCCATGAGCTCAGGATATAGCATTGTACCACTCCCTTTCAAAATCCTAACGATTGCTGCCTTGACTTCATCATCTCTGTTCTGTTGATCTGCCTTCTTGAGAGCTTGTTCGACAACATTGTCTTTCTCTCTTGCCATTACTGGGCGAATCTTGGAAGATTTGTCCCAGTAAGCGTAATTGAACTGATAGACGTCCTTCTCTTTCCGCAAAAGAGGGTATCTCTGGGAACTCAATGATGCGATGACTCTCCTTAGAAGTTTCTCCTCTAGTCCCAACTCACCCTGTAACTCGTCGAAAGAAATGCTTTCATGCTCGGAAAATACAAGGATAACAATTGCTTGGAGAAGGTTCACTTGTACGTCCTTGGAACCTTTATCAAAGCTTACCAGAAGCGTTAATTGATGCAAGAGATAGTTGCTCCAATCAAGGTTTTGATACTTGCCTTTAGAAGTGCTGGCACGAAATTGATCAGTGAAATTGCTCAACAATTTTTCAAGATAAGGAGGTACCTTAAGTTCAGTCGCAGGTTTGGGAATTTCTGGCCAATTAGACTTCTTCAAAACAAGAGGGAAGAACTCGATGTCATCGACCGTGGACCTAAAATTCAAGTCACATTTCTTAACGTCATCAATCATTGCTCTGAGGTTGGAGCCATCAAGACTTTCACCTACCTCAGAGAGTAGAGCGTCCACGGTCTTAAACTCTAATGGAAAGTTAAACGACTTACCCAAGAGTAATCTCTTCGAGAGATCCCTTTCGTAAGTGCTGATAAATCTGCTCTTATTTTGCACGAGCTTGAAAAATATCAGTAAATTGGTATGGAAAGAATTGAAATCAGAATCCTTCAGTTTGAAGAAAGCATCACAGTATTTGGAGAAAGTCTGTACGCAAAAGCTCTGATACTTTGGAAGAGATAGAACGTTAGACATCGCAGTTCTGACCTCAAAATCAAATTCATCCGCTGGATAGTAGCGAAGGTTTTGGCAAAGACCCATGTACCTGCCTCTCGCAGCCACTATTTCTGTTAAAGGGTTGGTTCCCAGCTTCGAGCTAGCATCCAAGAGTTCCTTTGTTTTGGTTGAGATATAGTTACCAAAATGGTAAAGAACCTGTTTCACATAATCCACCAGCAGGGAAACTTGTTCCGCATGAAGAAACTTTGTCAAAATCCCAATATCTTCAGCTTTGTTAGCTTCAAAAAGATATGGCATGCATGCAGCTAAAACTTCGGAGAGTTCTGGTATTATTATTCCGTCCAAGACTCTTCTTGCTAGAGAAGCGGCAATATCGTTGCGTTCAAGCAGCTTTAAAAACCTTATATCGTTCCTTAAATTATCAAAGACCACTGCAACGTAAGTCTTAGAGTCCTCCCACCAGTCCTCTCTGCAAGCCATGTAGTTAGAGACGAACAGCTGAAGAAGATCGATAGGGGCAGATTTCTGTTTATCAAAGTGGAGTTGTTGAAGGAATTCCACAAATTGGCCGAGTTCTTCGTAGGTCGGCGTCTCCTCGCCTGCCTTGGGGTATATAATTCTCAAATGCAACTTCGATACGATCTGGCTTATAACAGGGAACCTCATACCTTGATCATTATGGAAAAGTTCTGTAATAAGTCGAAGGCCGTGCTCACGAATGGTTTTCTTCTTTGGGTGTTGAAACAAGTAAACTCTGTCCAAGTAGACGAAAAGTTTCAGAAGATGTATTAGTTTCTCATCCCACGAGTTGTATTCTTCAATGAAAAATCTTGTATTAAATGGTTCTTGTAGTCTTTCGACAAGTTTCTCTTGATGCACTTCTTTAAATTCTATGTCTATCCTTCTGAATATGAAATCACTGAGCCGTGCTTGCTCGGAGTGCTTGTAGGTTGATAAGGCGACAACATCCCTGTTGACGCAAGTTATAGCCTGTCTAAAATCGCTCCCCAGAATCACTGCTTCAGCAACAGCTTCAAGGCTGGAACGTAATTCATCTAGTTTCTTCTGATGCCTCGCCATCTCGTGCTCTGAAGGTCTCTTAGATTTGTGCCTCGAGCCACCTGCCTTTAACACATTTCTTTGCAGAGCAGGCAAGCTGCCCGAGCCTAGATGATGAGGCAAGCCTTCGAAGTCACCGATTGCGTTGCTGTTGCCAAATGCTAACGCTTTCTCCATATGAGGGTGTTTCTTGGGATGTGGAATATGGAATATATGCGGGCGCGATAATGTAAGAAGTCGCAGAGAAGTCATAGTACACTAACAACAACCTGCTCCCCACGAGAAATGGCCAACCAGAGTGATTTACCACAGAAGATCGATAATAAGTATCTAACGCTGATATATAAGAAGAATGGATCGTTTGATAAACAGCGGAAGCGTTTGCTTGAGAACTTTAAGACGTCACAGACTCACTCCAATCTCCTTCTTAAGCTAAAGTTAATGGTGGAATCAAAAGTAAAAGCGGATCCGTCCATCTTAATGAAGAATAAAGGTAAGATGGCTGCTCTAATACAGGGAGAGATTATCAGTAACAACTCAGGATCAAATATTCTAGATATTGTTGATAAGGATATCCAGGAGAAGATCATTGACTCGCCTGAGTTCCACGATAGTCTAAAAGTGGAGCTTAAAGATATACGACGCAAAGCTTTAGGGATTAGTGACGAGGACTATGCTAAGCAGCTAGAGGAAGAGGCTAAAGCAGCGAAAGAAGAGGCTGAAAAGAAGCAACGCGAACAAGCAGAGAAAGAGATGGCTTACAAGAACAACTTTAAGGTTAAACAACTTGCAGCTCCACCAAGAGTCGCTAGACCACCTCGTTTCAACCTACCGACCCGTGAACGCGATAGTTACAGAGGCCGTGCTGCCTCTGGAAGGCACACCGATAGATACGAGAGAGGAAGTTCTGGTCCGGGATGGTCTCAGGATGACCGTAACTCTAAAGGAAGGCCTTCTTCTGGGCATATGATGTACTAATACCTACCAAACATTCTTATATCGTTTAATCCTATAATTCAAGCGAGCGGTTAGCCCGGCCATAACATAAATTATTCATCAGCGTCGAAAATTTCATTAGCAATTAGCATCAACTCCTCCACGACCTTAGTCTTGTAGCTTAGGTCTTGTGGAGACATCGAATTGTCATTAAGAAGAGCAGGGCCCCAAATAATTGCCAAAGATTTGGCTGTCATTCGATTGTTATGCTGATGAGCTCCCACCTTATTCAAATGGAAAATCAAAGATCTCAAAGTGAAGTAGGCGCCATCAGGCAAGTTGTAGACCAAATGATGCAACTTCTTAGCAATAAATGTTTCATCTGTGGATTTCACGGTCTCAATAAACGATTTGTAGCAGGCGGACGTCAAAAGCGGCTCGGGTAACGAGGCGAAGTAGATCTTCATAAGAGAAGCAGTGCAATAAATGTCAGCGTCCAAAACATTGCTTGGATCGATGTTATTACCAATCAACAAGTAATTGGCAAAATTGGAATCAATAGATTCTTTAAGCTGTTGGACGGTAGTTTTGTTACCACTGGTACGATAGATACCTTCGATATCAAGACCGTAGTTCTCGATGACATCTATGCATCTCTTCACAACAAGCGGAACGTTGTCAATACCCGCGTACTGAATCACGTCTTCTATTGATACACCAAACGTTGGCTGAGCATATTGGTTCACCTGACTCAACGACTTTGGACCCGTCAAGTCACTTGGATGCGAGCTTGGATCCAAGGAATTATAAGTGAATGTGCTTGCTGTACTTTCTGCTGGAGTAGCGGGTGGTTGGCCCTGGTAATCTGGAGCTAAGCCAGTCAGGGTCAGGCTGCTACTTCTCTGGTTCTGAGACTGCAGCGATTGGGTTGGAGCCAAGTTAGAGCCAGCTGCAACATTCTTGTTCGATGTGTTGTTAGAATTGTTGTTGTTAACATTATTGGTGCTGTTCGCGTTATTGAAGAACGGTTTGGCTGGCTTTGAATGCTTCGAAAAGGAAGGATGTGGAGTATATTCCACAGGTGTCAACAGCTTGTTAGTTGGGTTGCTGGAGTTCTTCGAGATATAGTTGTACAAGTCTAGCTCGTTATCGATGCTAGCAGCGAGAGCCTTCATGGAAGGTTTATCAGCTTGTAATGGACTGATCAAGACACCTGAGTTCATAACAAGGGTCTCACTCCATGTTGCAAATTTCTGCAATTGTACGTTCAAAGCAATATCCATTTCCAAGATCAAGTTCTTCAACTTCTTTGTGTTTGTTGGTCTGTAGATCATCAACATCTCGTCCTTCAACTTCTTGCAAGCCGACACCTTAGTCTTATAGTCCTGGTCAGCTAAGTCAACCTTTCTCTGCAATTCTTCCTCTTCCGGTTTACTCTTAAGGAAAGACTTCTTGTTGGGATCTGACATCTTCAAGCGCTCCAAGTCGTCACAGCAATGGTAATACTTCTGCTTGGCCTTTTCTGCCATCAGAATAGAGTCTGCACATTCCTTCTCCTTCCTTTTGGCTTCATCCTTAATATTCTTCCGCGTTCGACTAACAGTGTTCACCAAAGAGACAATCTCGTCGTGCATCGTATTCAAGGCTTTCACGTAGGAGGATCCCACCGAGTAAAGCCTCTCATCAAACTCGATGATTTGGTCCAACTTGGAAGAGAACAGATCGTTCTTATTCTTGGTATTCTTCAAAGAACCACGAACATTGCCCGCATACTTTCTGAGTTGAGTGTAATGATCATCTTCAATCTGAGCCTTTCTCTTAACATATTTGGCAATCTCGTCACCGGTGCCAACAGAGCGTTTAAGTCTGGCCAAAAGCACTTCGAGGGCACCGTCAGTGTTCATGAAAGTCTTGATGGCCTCCAGCTCCAAGAGCCTGGCTCCTTCTGACTGCTCATTGTTCTCTTGAGCGCTCATGGTTGCTTGAAAACGAGTGAGTTTTTGGTTGTAGTAAAAGTTGATCACTACTTGGCGCGGTTCGCGAGATTCGGTGCCATTGTATACGCATTCAGTGCCTGAGGTCACAGCAATACAGGTACATTTGGTGTGAAATGGGTGAAATTAAAAATAGATTATTGTGGTAATAGAGTTTGACCCGTGGGATTTACATTATCACGGTGCTATTTATGAAAATGCTCAAAGAATCTACTCATGAGGTTCATGTGAAGTGGTTGATATCTACGCATCTATGCGATTATGCAACCGAGACTAAAACTAGTAAACCTCAAGATCGCGTATAAAACCAGATCTTTTATCAATTGTAAGTATCACGGAGAAAGAAGCAACCAATGATTGGAATTTTTCTCGTGAATAATGCACTGGGAGCGCTGTGAAGCATACTCCCCCTAAATAAGTTGTTTAGAAAAGCGTACTGTAGCGCTTCTCCTGTTCCCCGAAAGCAGTGACTCCTTGTTCGACATTAGCCACAGAGAATTCGAGGTCATCCACAGTAATCATATCCCAGAACTTGTAGATCATCATGACAGCAAATAAGTTGCAAGCAGTCGCAAAGAACACACCGTCAACGTAATGTTTCGTACCCAGGCAAATCTGCTTGTTGAAAACGTACATGAGAACCTGACCAGCCACGAAGAAGAAGCAAAACAACAGAATGGCACCCAAGTGCCACCATGAGTCGAGAGCAAAGAACACAAGCACGAGCTGGGAAACGACATACACAGCCAAGATGACAGCGTTAATCACGTAGGAAACGACAAAAAGCGCCGTGGTTGACTGGTCGTCTAATGCAGAGCCCCAACCATTGAACGTGGCCATGGCAATAACAAAGTTAACCACAAACCATGCAACACTCAAGCCTCGCAAGATCCACATAGATCTAGTCAGGCCATCTTCCCAAAACTGGAAACAAACAAAGCCATTATAAAGCAACGAAATACACAAGGCACTAACAAGACCTAATTGAAGAGCCACAAACCATGGGTAACTGCCAGAGCCTGGAGGGGTGACTCCACAGTCCACCACAAGCGAACTGATGGTCAAAGCCAAGTATAAGTAGAAGAAATGAAGAAGTTCTGATCTTCCAATAGCTGTGTACTTGTTCCTGACATTAAAAATAATGATGAGTACCACAATAAGGGCACCAAAGTGGATAAAGGCGGCGCCCAAGTTGAAGATCATGGTATTGGCCAACTCCACAGGACGAGGGTAACACTCAGGTATTATACCCTTTTCAAAAACTGTCGATCCGTTAAGCGAACCCACTACAGAACATAGCGGGAGCATGGTGTTGTTGCAAAGAACATCAAAGCTTCCAAAGGTCATGGTTGAATGATCTTAGTTGATGTGGACGTGTAAGGAAGGAAAACGAGGGTATGTTTCGAGGCAAAAAGGGTATGAAGGTCGGACGGTTTATTGGGTTTTGAAGGGGATAGCGAACGAAGGATAAAAGTTTTGCTAGATAATGTTTTAACACTTGAAAGTAGAAATAATAGCAGCGCACGGTATCATAAAAAAAAAAAAAAAAGAGAGGTAAATCAAAACCTCGCGCCTATTTTTATCATGGCCGAAAATGGTCAAATTACGCTGTCTACTTGCGCGGGCGGTAATGTAAGGGTGCAAAATAATCATCCAGAGGGGTTCACAACAACCCATGGCTTTCAATAAATATTCATAGCTATGTATACGTAATTCCGTTATCTCGTTATCGTTAAATGCTCAGCGTAATGTGGTGGTATGGTGGTGGAGGCGCCTCCAACTCCTCGTGTTTGAACGTACCTTTCACGGAAGTGTCAGCAGCCTTCAGTTCGTTAAGACGCATTTGGAGTTTTTCGTTAATTCTCCCGATATCAATATGGTTGAGCAGCTTCTTCACCTTGAGCTCGTGTTTCTTTGTTTCCTTCTCTCTTTCTCTGATGCTAACTGGCGACGCCGAAAGTGGAGGGGCATTGGCCAAACTGAAGTTACCAATACCAACACCACCAATGAACGACGAGTTTGAACTCAATGGTGAGGCACAACCACTCAAGTTTGAAGATGCAAGATGACCATAGTTGGTAACCAAAGGTGGACGCTTGTAATGTTGTACGGGTTTTGGTTGCTCCACAAGCGATGACTCTTCTTCCACAAAAGTATCGGACGATGAGTCGCAATATTCGGTGTTGCTCTTCGCCATACTGGTTGGCCTAGCCATTTCCAGTGATTTATGCACTGGAGCAGGTGTTTCAGTCTCCTTGGTGCTCTTCTTCTTCTTCAACTTACTGCCCATCTTGATCGTTCTTCTCTTTGGCGAAGTCTTGTCATTGTTGTTGACAGACTTGAAAGTCTTGCCTTGAATGCTTGAGATCTCTTTAACGATGCTTTCAACATTGGAGAAGTCATTCTGAACGAAAAGTTCCACTGGCACACTGTTGTTGCTCGAGGAAGCAGATGCGGGAGTTGCGATATCCAACTTTGAGTACAAGGAGTTGACCAAGTTAGGATAAAGATGCTTGTTGAACTTCTCCAAGCTGTTTCTCTGAACGATCCTCTTAAATTTAGGAACGTTTAAATCAAGAGTTTCTCTTGAGCTGTAGAGAGTGGCTAACCGTCTCAAGTTATTCGATGAGATAGTCTGCGATTCGGAAAGATCCAAACTGTTAGCGTACTGCTGGGAGTTCAAGTGATCCTTCAAGTTGTTCATGACTTCGTTTGGTGTAAGTGCTGAAACGTATTTCAAACTGAGTCTATGAAGAAGCGTGGGAAGGGTTTCCCTGAACAAATCTCTAATCTGGGTTTCGATTTGTTTCTGTAAAAAGTTGGCCAAGACCTGAACGGTATCAAAAGTAGAACTGACTTTGATAGAGTCTAGTGGGTCATTACGGAACACCAAAGTGAGACCTTTACTCTTGGAAAACACAATGATTCCAATACCAGAGATCTTGATGTCACTCAACTTGAGGTCAAGTGGTAAATTGAAAGGCTCAACCGATAATAAAAAGTCTGGCGTGATGAAAGATTGGGAAGGAGACACTTCCTTCTCGTGGGAGTTGTCACCGTAGATCTTGAGCGGGTTTGCTTGTACTTTTGTGTGAAGCGTAAGATGGAAGTCCCCTGAATAGTTGATCTTGAAAATACCTCTAAACCTATCCTTGTCGAGCTCACCGATCTCCAATATTTCGAAATCGGGAGCCACTTTGCCAAAGTTTAGGTCTTTGATCTGAATATCTGAAGCCAAGATGTTAGGTCTTCTCCCGGAATTGAGGGCGTCCGTAAGCAACTCCGTAGTCCACGAACGCAAGGAATCCGTTTCTAGATTGTTCCAATTCACTTTGAACGACATGGCGGTGTTAATTTAACATATGGAAGCGAAGAATCGCCTTTTGAAGATAAAGGCCAAAGTCCGAAGACAAAAGGGATGTGTGTATTTGAGGAGTCCCGTAAACAACGATGAGCGGGATCTGTAAACGCCGAAATAATAAAAGTCTGGAGGCTTAACGACGAGATCTGGTAAAAGCGGATGAAACTTAAGGAGAAACAAGTTTCAAACTATGGGTAGATCTGGTTTAAAAAGTTGAAAAATATGGGGAAGTGAGGTACTAAGAAAAAAAATAATTACAATTCTCTGTTCAGCCATATGTTGCCTTTTTCCTCGCAGTGCACCCAGACCTCCCACCACAATAGAAATCGTGTGATTAAAATGTCCCGAGGCGGCTAAACCCGGGACAAAATCGCTGACAGGTGCAGTATATGTCTACCCACTCTCCTTTAGGCCCTCCATTCCCAGTTCGGAGGCAGATCTGTACCAAGGGCAGATATCGTGAATATAACAGGGATGATGCTGATTAGGTGAATGTGAGGCATTTTGTAGTATGGTAGTGATTTCTACTAATTCATGATTTTTGCATTTTATTGGTGGCCTTCCAAGTGGGTATCCTTGTATGTGTACGGGTGCACAGTGGGAGGTGGAGGGTCTGGCGCATCAGTGATATCCGAACTGCTCATCTAAGCGAACCGATGGTATACTAACCCATAATAACAAACACACATACGCTGAAGCAGCGATGCTGTCTTTTTATGAATTGTCTACGCTAGACGGCCGTCTGCAAGCCTTTGACTTTGCAAGTCTTGAAGGGAAGGTGGTTTTGATAGTTAACGTCGCGTCGTTATGTGGGTTCTCTCCCCAGTATGACGACTTGGAAATACTATATCAAAAGTATAAAAGTCGAGGATTGGAGATATTGGCGTTCCCATGTAACCAGTTTGGAGGGCAGGAACCCGATACTTCGAAGGACCTCGAGTCCTTTATAAGGGCCAAGTTCAAGTGTACCTTCCCCATAATGAAGAAGACGATCGTCAATGGCGATGATACTAATCCCGTGTACCAATATTTAAAACTGAGGAAAAGTGGCTCCTTGGGCTTCAAGGGCTTACGATGGAACTTTGAAAAGTTCTTGGTGGACCGGAAGGGGGAGGTGAGACATCGCTTTGTCTCGGCTGTTAGTCCTCTTCAGATAGAGTCGGTCATTGTTTCACTTCTTAACGACGAATGATTAACCATGTACATCTAATTAAAATATATATATATAGAGCGTCATTCGTGTGCTGTAGTAAAGCCTCAAGCCATTTATTTCTTGCGCTTCTTGTTGGCTGTGCTCTTCGTTTCCTCCTTTCTCTTGGTACCATTGCTGGCGGCACCACCTTTTGGAGTGGAAGATTTCGTGGCCGCTGCTTCATTAGGATGAATTTCCTTAAAGACACATGCAATCAACGTGCTGCATCTTCTTGAAATCTCGGCCGTGGATCTGGATTGCAAGAAGAAGTCAAACCGGAAGAGCGGGCTCATACGGATCACATCTCTTATTCTCTCATAAAGATCGGGTCTATCGAGACCAAATCTGTACATTTGGACGATCAAGAACCTGTCTTCCTCGTCTGTGAAAGTCCTCTTGTTTGTGGCTGCCGGTGGATACTTCAATACAAGCTCCTGAAGCGGATACTTATAGCTTGACACCTTCCGCCTGATGCTTTCCTTTTGCAACTTAACACGCGTAACCTTCTCTTCTCCGAGCTCGATTTGGTTGATGTATTTCTCGAAGCCCTCAATCTCCTTATAACTCAGCCAGAACTTCTTGGCGTATTCCCTAATCTCATCTATAGTTTTATCATCGAATTCTGCAGCGATCATTGAGATAGAGTTACGGCCGTACTTTGTGGACACGGCAATGAAATGAATGAAGTCTTTTCTGTTCCAATTGGTGAATCCTTGGGTCAAAAGGTCTTCCTTGAGAGCTTTTTCTTCCTCGTTCAATGGACGGGAATTTTCAATCTCCTCTTGTTCTAGTTTCTGTTCCAACTCTCTTTTCTCCAAATCCTTAGCTGTACCCTTTTTGAGTGGAGCTTTGTAACCAGTTTGTTTCTTATAGTAATTCTTCTCCAAATCGTGGAGCTCCATCAACTTCTGTGGGAAGAACTGGTGGTCATATATGTTCAACAGCTTTGGTGGCTTTGGACCTGTTCTAGGAGTTGACCTGCTGCCTGACTTCATCACATCCTTGTAATACATGTCGATGGAATAGTTCTCCTTACGCTCACGTTTGCCGGGATTAATCCAGGCGTGGCCAATATTAGTGATGGCTGTTGGTTCCTTCTTCTTGAAGTTTTCTCCATTCCATTCATAGACGGACTCGTCATTGGAAAAGTTCTGCAAAGCGTTCAAGTCCAACTTGGCGTACTTCTTGTTAAGCTCTTGAGTTTTCTTTTCAGAATCGGCAAGTAATGCTTCGATATCAACATCAGCAGTATTACTTGGATCACTAGAGTCCTTAGTCTTAAAGATTTCGGCTGCACCGTGCTGAATCATATCCAACAACTGGTCCTTTGACGCGGCTTTACCACTCTGTTGACCTGAAGCTCCACCACTATTACGGCCTTGCTGAATAACTAACTGATCCAATCTGAGCTTTTGTGCTGCTCTTTCAAGAACCTTCTCTTCGATAGCATTCTCGGTCACAAATCTGAACACCTTGACTTGCTTGGTTTGTCCAATTCTGTGAGCTCTGTCCATTGCTTGCAAATCTGCTTGTGGATTCCAGTCACTGTCGAACAAAACCACGATATCAGCAGTTGTCAAATTGATACCCAAACCACCAGCTCTAGTAGTCAATAAGAAGACAAACTTTGATGAATCGGGCTTGTTATATTCATCAATGGCATCCACACGGTCGGCGTGATCGGTTTGACCATCAATTCTGCAATACTGGAAGGAACGGAACATACAGTAGTCCTCGAGAATATCTAGCATTCTCGACATCTGTGAAAAATAAGAACTCTGGAGCCCTCTTTTTGAAACTTCTTCAAAAGCTTGTCCAAGATAATCATCTTTTGGGCATTAAAGACCAAATGTTCGTCTGTAGTGTAAGGAGGACCTGGTTCAGCACCTTCGAACAAATATGGATGGTTGCAACACTTTCTCAACTGCATAACAATGTTCAACAACCTTGTTTTGGACTCTTTCTTTCCGTTGGCACCATTAACGGCATCTATATCTTTCTCAAGTAGTTTCTGGTACCATTTCCTTTGCATATCGGTCATCTTGACGTACACATTAAGTTCTTGTTTAGGCAAAAGAGATTTTTCAACATCAGACTTGATACGACGTAACAAGAATGGTTTGAGGACCTTATGCAATTGAGCCACAACATTGTCATCTTGTTGTTGTGAAGCATCCTCGGTAGAACTGAACCATTGGTCGAACGCATCCGAATCTCCAAAAACGTCTGGTAAGATGAAGTTGAGCAAGGCCCATAATTCGTGCAAGTTGTTCTGCAATGGTGTACCTGTGATTAGGAGTCTATTCTTGGAATGGAAAAGACGAATGATCTGAGAAAGCAAGGACTCCTCGTTCTTGATTCTATGAGCCTCATCAATGACGATGTATTCCCAGGCGAACTTTCTGAAGGAGGCCTTCTCACGAATGACGATTTCGTAGGATGCAATGACCACATCAAACTCACACAGTAGTAAGCGATTCTGGATCAAGTCATGTCTTTCGTCCTTGTCACCCTGAAGGACGAACACGTTAACTTCTGGAGTCCATCTAGCGAATTCTCTGGCCCAGTTATCAAGAGTAGATTTAGGAGCTACCACCAAGTGAGGGCCGTTGATACCACGCATATAACGCAAGTAGCCCAAGAAGGAGATGGTTTGCAAGGTTTTACCCAATCCCATTTCGTCAGCCAAGATACCTGAAAGGTTGTTTTCGTAAAGAGAAACCAACCAATTCAAACCCTGGATTTGATAAGGACGAAGTTCACCATGTACGTAACTAGGACTTTCGGTAAATTCGGTGATGGTGGGAGTGTCCTGCTCGTCATCTAACAACTCAGCGTCCTCCTCCTTTTCGGTTTTTCTTCTTCTTTGAGCACCAGCGTTAGCCTTTGGCTGGGTTTCATTCATCTTGTGCAAAACTTGGGCGAACACGGGGTCCTTTCTCGCCTTTGAATCAATAAAGTGCTGAAACAAGTTGGTGAGTCCAAGTAAGTACTTGAATTTCTTAACCGTGTCGTCAACATCAATTTTTGGCTTTGTATCAGGAGCAAAGTACTTACTCCTGTTGGTTTCGACTGTTGGGATAAACCCATTCTGTGTGTTAGTAAGAATCAATTTCAACGTCGTCTGTGGACGCATCGACCTTGACACTAGGCTCCAACAGGTGAAGTATAGTAGATCAAAGAAAAGTCCCCGATGGCAACAGCGACAAGCACATGAAACATACAGTTGGAACAGGCGTTACCTCTTCACTCATAGCTAGGATATCCTTCTGTGGTGAGCAACGAGTTGTTGTTTGAGATTGGACATTTTCAAGGCGCGCTGCTCAAGTATTGAATCTAGATAATGAGACACGAGCCACCCGATCCACCAAGTATTAATTGAAAGTGGCAGTTTTGGAGGGAGAACATTCAAGTCTTTTTATGTGGATTTCGGGAATTGACGTACGCGTCTTATCATAGTGGATTCCATCTACAGATCAAAAGTTGAAGACATCATTGGTATTTTGCAGCCATTATGGTAAATGAGGTACACAATGTGAAATATAGCAACGCAACGAAGAAGTCACACCACAACCACTTGTTACAAACTTGGAAAAGAAAATGTTTAAAGAGAGGTTTTAGATAGTTCAAATGATGAAAAGTGGCAAAATTGTTGGTATCAGTAATTTTATGGTATTGTGGATTCAAGTGCTAGTGAACCACATCTGAAAAAGCCCAGCTTAGAGCTTCCCACCCATCCATCACTATCCGTATAGTCCACATATACTACAACAGTTGAATGAATTTTTGATTTACCAGTTGATTTACGGGAAATTCACTTACGCTACCCTACAATAAAGGAAGACAATGTATTATATGGAAATTTACTAGTGAACGGTTCATTGGCTTACTATGGAGACAGCTTCTATGAGATCAGAGGGAGTAGAAGTCAGTAAGAGCACATGAGAACCCCACTATCAACCACTAAGAAAAGATGACATTTTATAAATCTTCCCTAGATTTAGGTCCTCCACTTTCAACAGTATGCCCTTCAGAAAATGTACCCTTTTCGTATCCACAGTTACCCTCCATCTACCGTTACAATGCGGGACCGGATAGTAGCGAAATGCAACCTCCTCCACGTGACCCTGGTTGCATGGTACAGCCTCCTACTCAATAAAGCTGATCAAGGTTTCGGGCTCAAAAGCACCTTTTTCGTCAATTTTTTTTCATTAAATTATGTCTTCTTTTAAGGAAGTTGATCCTCCTACATACGAAGAAGCACAACTCCAATCCCAGGAGAATAATCATCCACAAGATGGTGCGCGGCTTCTACATGAGGCTCCACCACCTCTTCCTCGTCGAACGCCGACTAGAAGAAGGCCTCCACTACCTGAAAGAAGGCCAGTCGAGGAGGAGGCTGAAGATACATCAACTGAAGTGCAGAGTGATCAGAACTTCTGGAAGTTCCATATCCAATGCTTTGGCGATGACATGTACCTCAGCACGAACCCTACTATGAGACACTTGCAGTGTCGAAGTCTACCTGGGTACTTTATGAGTGTGGATAAGGAAGAAACCGGGTTTACTATCAACTTTGAAGAGTTCGAATCTGGGAACCTGATTATGAGGTTCAAGAAGCTAGAGGATGGTAGCTTCAAGTACAAGGTGAGAAGAACAAGGAAAATAGAGGGTGGAGAGATAGTCTTGCTGGACGAGACTAGCCCTGTATTTGAAGGAACCATCGATCCAAGACGAATTGATCCTCAGTACTACCCAATCCAACCACCTTTTCAAATGAAAAGCTTCGAAGTGCAAGCTATAGACGGAAGGCGATGGGACGTGGGCGCCATCCCTCGGGTGAAGATGAAATGGTCATTATCAAAACGATCCGAATACCCAAAGTACGTCGGCAAGCAGAATATTTATTTCCACCGCAACTTCAAGACAAAGAACCTTCACATGCAAGAAGAAGAGTTCCCTCCAGTGACAGCGTTGTTTCGTCCTTGTGAATCAAAGATCAGGAAACGAGCCATGCAATCGATAAATCGGCTTCTGAGGTTGGACGAAGAGAGCAAGATCAGTCCTCAAATGGCGCAGGTGGACCCTTTTGCTGAACAAAAGTCGTATTTTAAATGCGGCGACGGGCTCTATGAAGAGAATTTTCCCAAAGATGATGATCCAGATCACCATTTTAAACTCGGTTGGGTTACAGTTTTCGAGGATAAAGACCTTTTTAACAAAAGCGGCATGTTTGATTTGGTGGTTGGAGCTACTACAACCCTAGCCTACGATCAAGAAGTGCAAAAGCGATGGAAAAAACTATAGAAAGCGGTGCCATCAAGCTGGTTGTTTTGGTAACCAGAACGCTTCTCATTGGTTACTTTCCCCTTCCCCTTCCCACAAATAGACTAATACTAATATCAACAGCATCACCAAAAATAGCTACTAGGCGAGACTCTATTTTATGCCTGCGGCTTATCTCACACCAGAGAATAATATAGACGCGCGGCTTCATACATAGTTGCTAACTCTATGTATAGGGTACTATTGACAAGGGCAATGATTAACTTTATGAAAGGGACTTTCTATTCATAAACACAGATTTCCAACCAAATAACACCTCAATTGACCGCCAAAACATGTTTCTTCTGTGTCTGTTATCTGTCATATTGGATACCCATGCACGCCCTGCCCGCGAGTAGATTGCGGAGAATGTGAATGGATCAGATCTTGAACAACACCCACCATGTCGCTTGAGGAAGACCAATTCTTTCCTACGGGGCCCAACACAGGCAATGGGCACTGTGCTAATCCTAGACAGACATACCGTATTGCGTTGAACTTGAAGGCAGTCATCGATAGGGTTATCCCCACGATCTTCGATGAGAAGGAAATCGTGAGAACTCACTCGGCTGTGCTCAATTCGAAGGTGCTTCGTTTGATCTATCGCTGTGCTGGTGGAAAGGGAAATGGTGCAGCAGGAACTACATCATTCAAATATCGTGGTGCGCTTGTGTTTGCCTTGTTAAAGGTAACAGATTGGTATTGGCAGCAGGCTGAGTATAAGCTTTCTGACAACGAGTTGTACTCGCTAAGAGCTGTTGCTGCGCAGATATTGGCAGTAAGAATCATCGATTCTACTAAAGATGACGAGTATTTGTTCTTGGGTATGCTCTGCCATCGGTACCTGATGAACATTAGCGGAGAGGATAGCGATCCAGTTAGTGCTTTGGAATTGGCGGTTGATATGCACCTGACGATTGTTATTGGCTGTTCAGGTTATCAGAGATGTGTGAAATGGTTATGGAGAGGTTGGATCATGCAATCTTCCCATGATCCTCACTCCTATGTTCTTTACAAAGGTGTCGCTTCTCAGTCAATTAGGACTCACTTTGATCCAGATAGAATCAAGACCCCTGCGTACCAGAACAAGATCGAGATAGCTTTCAGTATCTTGTACTTGATATTCTTTACCATCATTTTGAACACTCATCAAGTGGTCACAACAGATGTGGATGTTTTCGAAGGCTTCTTCTATGCTTTCACTCTTGGTTCAATCTTTGATGAGATCACGAAGCTCTACCATGTGGGCTGGAACTATTTGGGCTTCTGGAACGCTTTCAATGATGTGATGTATAGCATCATTGTCATTGCAATAGGATTCCGGTTTGCATCATTGAGACAGACGGGCTTGTACAGAGAAAAGTACGACGAGATAAGTTTCCGTGTTTTATCTTGTGCTTCACCAATGATGTGGTCTCGTCTTCTTCTTTACTTGGACGCACAACAGTTTGTCGGTGCTATGATCGTTGTTATCAAGACTATGATGAAAGAGTCTATCCTTTTCTTTGTGTTGCTCTTTGTTGTCATTCTTGGTTTTCTCGAAGGATTTTTGGGACTCGATGCGTCTGACGGTAAGAGTGAGGCAACCAAGCATATCTTAACCTCTTTGGTCAATGCTGTGATTGGCGCTTCAGGCTTCAATGATGTTCAGAACCTTGTACCGCCATATGCACTGATCCTTTACTACATTTACTCATTTGTTCTTCAAGTCATTTTGATGAACATCCTTATCGCTTTATACTCCACAGCATATGCTGCCATCGTGGAAAACGCTACAGACGAATACTTTGCCTTGGTGGCGCAGAAAACATTACGATACATCCGTGCTCCAGACACCGACTTGTATGTGCCTCCCTTCAACTTGATTGAGTATCTTATTACTCCACTTTATTATGTGGTATCGAAGAGGACATACAAGCAGATCAACAGGGTGATCATGACAGTCATATATTCGCCAATGCTTTTGTACATCACTATTGACGAGCTCAGGAATGCTCGTAGAGTACAATACAACAGATTCAAAGGTCTTCCTGACGATGCCAACGAGATTGATACTGAATGGGACATTACTGACGGTTTCGATGTCGACTTACTCATTGTTGGCGACAATGGCATCGAAACTAGAGATGGTGAAGTAAATCAAGCAGTCAGAGAACAGAGAATTGCTGAAAATAAAGACCCTGAGTTTGCTGCAGATTTCCCTTCTTTAATGAAGGATATTGATGAGGTTATCCCTCCAGTCGAGAAAGCAAATGATAAGGGTATCAAATGGGAGCACTACGGCTTGCATGAAAAACTCGACCAGTTATCCACAGTGATAGCAAACTTGGTTGAAGAAAACAAAAGTCTAAGAGAGAAATTAGACGAAAAGACATAAAAAAGACGGTAGATCACAATGGGTGCGAACCTTCTGTTGATATGAGACAAGACCATCAGAGATGAAGCAATGGTACTGAAGTTTGAACACCACCAAACCCTCAAAATATTTCAAAACCTCGCTTACTACCAAAGCCCAGTTATTCTCCTCTGAATGTTAAACTTCCCTTCCATGGGTTGGCGCCCGTACACCAGTTTCTTGGTGCTCCGCATTTGTAGGAAAAAAAGTCGATAGACATCTAGTAGTGGCAGGCTTCGCGAGAAAAGCCTAACAAATCATTCACCCATAACTGCAAATATACTAAGAATCCGTCACCATGGCGAACGCCACAAGCTACAGAAATGGCGCCGACGTTGAATTCGATTATCTGCATGCGCCGAATGCCTCTAGCATAGTTCACGATGATCTTGCGCCTCCTAGTCTGACATCCAAGAAGAAGAGAAAGAAGAAGAAGAAGAAGGCCAAGTCTGCAAATGGGGAAACAGCACAAGACCAAGATCTCCATCCTCATGATGACCCAGCGTTTTCTGTTAACGATGCCCACATCAACGATCCTGACGCTGATTACCCCACATCAAGGGTAATTAAAGTGGGTCCTTCGGGAGACTTGATTGTCGAAAGCTTGGACGACGAATATCCCCAAGAATCGAAACAGCAACTTCCACAGATTTCCGATATTCAATCACGAGAACAGCTAGATTTCTCTATTTTCCATTTCCACAATGATGATGAACGTGCATTCTGGTTAAACTTGTCCGATGCCGATAAGAAGGATATACTACGTGTTGACAAAGAGCATCTTATGGAGAATCTACGAATCCTCAAGAGAAACCATCCCAATAAAGGCATGCCTTTCAACCAGTTTGGCGTCGGCGATCATCATAATCAAGGCGGCGACCAATGCGCCTGTGCCTACTGTGGCAGAAACAGCCGCTTCATAGAAGATGAATTGGCCATAGCGTATAACCAGCATCTAGATGTGATAGCCGACTACCTCGAGAATTGCGTGAATGCACGGGCTGAATTTCCTCGACTTATCCCGGAGCCTCGCTTCCATTCCGATGCTCCTTCACCTCCATTGCATCCTCCTCGTTCACCCCATCCAGAAAGCGTTAACCACAGTCATACATCACCAAACTTACATGCCAATAGTACACTTCCGAATCAGCTGGTGAAATCCGACGAAGAAACCTCTATTAAGGAGGAAGAGCCGCAACTTGGGGAACTCGAAACGGCGGCTACTAACGACTCCGACGAAAAGATCCTCATGAACCTCGAACCGCAAGAGATGCTCGACATTTTAGGTAAGGCCAGGAAGGTTCTGGAGCTCATAAATCCCAACACAATACAAGAAGTTGTCAAGTACGAACTTCTACTGAGGAATATCAAGCCGGAAGCTGCAATCGACGAGTCAGCCAAAAATCTAACCGAGATTTTCGCCAACATCAAGAAGGATGACGAAAACGGCCTTGCGAAAGCAGTGGAGTTTATCAAGTGCTGCAGTCGACTTTACAAAGAATCGAATGACCAATTCAACGATGTTCTGCAGTTTTTATCCAACTTCGCAGACTTAATCATGAAGAACGAAGGAAAGTCCTTTGTTGACATGCTTGAATCATTAACTGAATCGAGAAACGCCCGCATGAATATCGCAGAGGAACAGAAAATCGAGCAAATCACTGATGTAAACGAAGAGGATCAGCAGGTACTTCGATCGCCACTTAATGTCACTCAATCTCCAGATGGCGCTGGCTCGACACTTTTGCAGGCCGATGAAAGCCATGGGATTGCAAATGGCGAGACCAGCCGACAAGATGCCGAATATTTCGAAGAGTATGGCGAAGATTATCATCAAGCCCACGACCATGATCATGACCACGATTATGCATGCGATCACGATTGTTCTCATGGCCATGAATGCGATCATGATTGCGACCATGAAGAGTACGATAACGATGAACTCGATGATGACGAAGATAGTCAGCAGGGTTACGATGATGGGGAACTTGACGACGAAGAAGCGCAGCGTGGCCGTTCGGAAGAGATTCGGGGTTTCGTCATGATCCAAGCAGTTAACATGATCAGGGAGAGATTCATGGAGGCTTACGAGAGAAAACTATCAGAAGATAGAACTCAGATGTTTATCGCAGAGCTTGAAGCAGAGGAAAATGCAAAGAAGGAAAGAGAATTGAAGAAGCTAAAAGCTAAGGAGAAGCAGAAAGAGAAGAAGCGCTTGCAACAGCTTGAGAAAGAAGAGGAGAAGAAGCGCAAAGAGGCCGAGGAGCTAGCACGTAAGGCCGAGGAGGAGAAGAAGCAAGAAGCGATACGCGCAGAACAAATGAAGAAGAAGGAAGAAGCAAGGCTCAAAAAAGAAGAGGAAAAAAGGCGACGTATTGAAGCCTTACAGAAGAAGGAGGTTGAAGCCGCGGAAAGAAAGAGAAAGCAGGATGAGTTGAAACTCCAGAACGAGAAAAAGCAGAAGGAGAAGGAGCTCAGACAGCGTCAACTTGAAGAAAAGAAGCTGGAGGAGAAGAAGCTCCAAGAAAAGAAGCTCGAAGAAAAGAGGCTTGAAGAAGCCAAACTCCGAGAGAAGAGAAAGGAGGAAGAAAAGAAGGTCGATTCGAAGAAATCTGGAAAGAAGAATGTTGATACCGCTAGCAGAGGTACATCATCCGCTCCGAGAGCACCAGATGACCCGATTTCAAATCAAGCTCCTGCAATTCCCGCTCAGACTGAGTCGCCAATGGGTCACGACAATTTTAATGAGACCGAGGACTATCTCCATAAGCAACAACAAGAGCTTCTTGAGAAAGCCAACAGTTTGTCTCTCGACCTGGCCAATCCATTAATGCCTCTTGATGAATTGAACATCCATGCTCAAGCAACTTCTCCGATGAAGAATCATTTGTTGGATCAGCTTTACCGCGCCAAGCCCCAATCGATCTCCTCGACTTCTAACTCAACTCCTCAAATCAACCCTGCAGAACTCAATCAGTTTGGATTGCAAGAAGGTGTTCCACCATACATTTCACCTAGCAAAAATACCGACCTGTTTGATAACTTGAGGGGCGTGGATTGGAGGAATGGCGCAAGTGCTTTCCCACATCAAGGTCAAAGTCGTGTTGGTGGGGCCCATGTCGCTTCTAATTTCAGTCCATTTGATTCCAATGCCACTTTGGACCAGTTGCAACAACCTCCATCTGTCGACATGCTTCTGAGCTCAGCCCTTGGCAGTAATGTGAGACCAAGCATTCAACAAAGCAATAGTTACATGTGGTCGAACGGATCAGCTTCGAGAAGCAATTCTATTTGGAATTCGTCGAGTGAACCTCAACACGGGAACCCTAATATTTGGGGAACTAGCAAGTCACCACAAGCTTACGGCAATGGCATGATGCCTATGGGTGGCTCACGAATCTCGCTCTCCGATCAGGGTGCAAACTCAGAAGTTGACACAATTCAAAAGGCTGCTGCAGATGCATTCAACCTTATGCTGTCGAACAACCAGCTTATGCTCGGCCTGGCCTCTGCCATTAACATGTGCCAGATAGTGAAAGGTTTATTGGGAAACGCCTCAATGGGAATGGCGGAGTTTCTCAACTCTTTGAAGTCGCCAGGTAAGCATCAGTTTGATTTTATTTATGACGACTACGGAAGCGTTACGCACCTCAAGTTGATTCAGCATATTCCAAATGGAGCTATTCCACAGGCAACACATGGACCTGGTCATTTGGGCCATCAAGGTCTTGGTCAGCCAGTCAACCCGAATTTGCAATTCGGTTATGGCCATACTACACAGCAACAGAATGCATTCCAGAACCAACCATTCCACCAGCCGATGCCGAACGTGCCACAACACCCACAACCATTGAAAGCGATGAATGTTGGTCCTCCAGGAATACAGCAGGATGAAAACAGCCAAAAACCTAACGGCCTTCAGCTTCCCGGAACCATCCAGAACCTGTTGAATCCTAGTGGGTTTGGCCAGGGCAATATATGGTAAATGATATACGACCAAGGCAATACAAAAGAGAAGTCACCCACCAAAACATAAAAAAAAGGGAAAACCACTCCATCGTAATCTCGTACGCTTAAAGCCACAAAGAAGGTTCTCTACAGAAATTGCTTCCCCCACGGAGGTCTGCCCATATTGGGGATTCCGTCCTACAAGGAAAAGTCCGAACCGCAAATGGTTTAGACTTCCAACATCTCGACCGCGAAAAAAAAGTACTATTATCCCCTTCATACATAGCTGTCTCTCATGCACACCGGCTCTTTCAATTAACCCCCTCCCTTCCCCAATAATACCATATAATTTAATGAAAAAGCCATGGAAATGAAAAGCGAAAAATTGCCAATTGTTCCCCAGGCCTGGCCAGTCCAATCACCATCCTCTTTAGGCATTACGTCCGACCCTCTGTCCTGCTCCGTGACATCATTGTATGCGGATTCTTGAATACCCTCTCTGCACACAGCTCTTGCCAAAAAGTACCTTTGGGAGGTTGCAGAAGTGAGACATTAGCAACCTTGCCAATTTGCCCTATAAAAGGAACCCGCGTAGCCTTGACTGCGAAAAAGTTACACTTTGCCTCAACATATTCCACAAACCAAAATGGTTCAATCAATTACCAACAAGAATCTTGGTGACTTGCCTACAGAGGCACCTAAGGTCGCTTCCAACGTGCTTGACTTATTCTCGTTAAAGGGTAAGGTCGCTTCGGTGACGGGTTCCTCGGGAGGAATCGGCTGGGCCGTTGCTGAAGGTTTTGCTCAGGCTGGTGCGGATGTTGCCCTTTGGTACAATTCCCATAAGATTGACGATAAGGCTGAACATTTGGCCAAGACGTATGGCGTGAAGGTGAAGACCTACCAGTGTAACATTTCCGACCATGCTGACGTCGAGAAGGTGATTTACCAGATTGAGGAGGATTTCGGTGGTCTTGATATCTTTGTGGCCAATGCTGGTGTTGCCTGGACTGAAGGTGCTTGTATCGAGGTTGAAGGTGTGGATGCCTGGAAGAAGATGATCGACTTGGACTTGAACTCGGTTTACTACTGTGCCAAGCCAGTGGGTCGTATCTTCAAGAAGAGAGGCAAGGGCTCTTTTGTCATCACTGCATCCATGTCTGGTCACATTGTCAATGTGCCCCAGCTCCAGGCGCCTTACAATGCTGCTAAGGCTGCTCTTCTCATGCTTGCCAAATCGCTTGCAATTGAATGGGCTCCATTCGCTAGAGTTAACAGTGTTTCTCCAGGATACATTGCCACTGATATCACCGAGAACATTGACCCAGAGACGCAAAACACCTGGTTCAAGCTCATTCCTTTGGGCAGACAAGGTGAGCCTCACGAGTTGGTTGGCGCCTACTTGTATCTTGCCTCGAACGCTTCGACTTACACGACCGGCACGGACATTTTGGTGGACGGTGGCTACTGCGCCCCATAGACGATTTTTTTATACTAAATATGGAAAAGGAACAATAATTCATTTTGAAGATGTAGGATATATATGGACTAGATACTATGTGGGGTGCAAAATGTCCTGCAGCCAACTGGCTTAGACACCTAATCCTGCGATCTGTTGAGTGAGGTTGTTACCACACACCGAATCCGTCTACGGACCGAACAGATATCTACAAACCATGGATGACGATTTGACAGCATCCCATTGGGATGACGTTTTGCTGCCATCAACGAAGTTTGGTACTGCTTCTGCCATTCCTTCCCATTTAGGTAACCAATTCGCTGACTTGAACCTCGACGATCCTCATAGGGACAACGAGCCCGACGAAGAAGAAGAAGAGGAGGACCAGGATGAACAAGAAGATGAGAATGAAACTGGCGGGTATGGTGACCATCATGGCTATGGCTCGAGCTCTTACGGGGGCGTTGGGTCTAATCTCAATCAACAGAACCAGGCTGAGTTGGACCAGATTCATGAATTGAGGAAAGAAGAGCTTAAGGAACAAAAGTCGGCATTGATGTCAGAGCTTACTGAGGGCTCAGCATTTGAAGACCTAGAGTCTTCTGTGGCAAGCCCTTCAAAAGTATCATCTTCAGATCCGCTATTCGCTGATAGAGGCAAGGTGCTTACCGAAAGTAACGCCACTGAGCCATCGCCATCTGAGCAGCACCATTCACCAAAGAAAGCCCTGCAACTCAAAGGTTCTCAATTTAGAGCTCAAAGAACCAGAAGGTATACGCTGTCAACGGTGGTGAAGCAATTGAAGGAGGAAACAGGCGTGGTGGACCCTTTAACAGATTTGGCCTCTAAACCCGAAGTGGATGAAGCTGAACCATCTTCAGCCCCGCATGATAAGGCTAACGACTTAGTCAAAGAATCAAATGCACCATTGTACGATATCAAACAAGAGAATGCTGACGAAAGACAGTCTGAGATCTCTCAACCAATCTCTGATACCGCAAGCGATCATTCCAAACTAAAAAGAAGGCCATCCTCATCGGGTGCAGAAATTGCCGTTGGAAATCCAGTGAAAGTGGGTGATATTACGAACGCTCATATCGTATACTCAATTGAGACGAGAAACTTACAGCTTCTGCCTGCCGAAGAGCCCCAAGAAAATCGCTTCACTGTTACAAGAAGGTACAGAGACTTCTGCTGGGTTTATAAACAGCTCCAAATAAGTCACCCCGGCAAGATCATACCTCCTCCGCCATCAAAAAAGACATATATCGGACGTTTCAACGAAAACTTTATCGAAAACAGAAGGTTGTCTCTCGAGAAAATGCTTCAGAAAATAAGCAAGATCCAATCTTTGTCGACCGATCCTAGTTTTGTTATCTTTTTGACTTCAGAAGATTTTGCGCGTGACTCCAAGGAGAGAGAGAGAAGCGGCGGAGTGGTGCTTGATGACTCGGGTGAACCAGAGAGCGATGGCGCCTCGACGAATGCCGTTGTCACAGGATCTGGAACGGGTGGCTTCATGAGTTCGCTCTTCTCAATCCCCGCAAAGCTACCGGAACCTGATTCCTATTTTTCCAAGAAGAAGGCTTACATAGAAGACTTGGAACATAACCTTCGGACGTTTCACAGATCACTTGAGCTCATTGCTGGTCAACGACTTGAAATAGTGGGTGTGACAGAAGAGATTGCTACGATTATTGATGAATTGGCAGATCTCGAAATACTGAAGGCTACCTCACTTCTCCTCAAAGCTTTTGCGGAAATCCATATGAAGCTCAAGGATAATCTCGATAGAGTCAACTTACAAGATCAATTAACCCTTGGATTTACTATCGAAGAGTACTTGAGAATAATAGGCTCGGTCAAGTACATTTTCGAAACGAGAACGAAGACTTACAATCAATACCACACATTCCAGCAAGACCTCATCAAAAAAGAAGACTCGTTGAACAGGGCAAGTCACAAGGCAAAATCTGAAAAGTACAACATATTGAAATTCGAGGTGGACAATTTAAGGCAGAAGACGACTCAGTTTGAAAAGAGTTTTAATGCGATCAGCGAAACAATTAAAGAAGAGATGGACAATTTCGAGATGGAAAGGGTTGATGATTTCAGAAACAGTGTTGAGATATACATTGAGAGTTCAATCGAATCCCAAAAAGAAGCAATTGAACTCTGGGAGACTTTCTACGAAAGGCAACACTTAGACCAGATCTAATTGTTCCGTCCTTTTTTTTTTTTTTTTTTTTTTTTCGTCCTGTGAGTCTTCTGCGGACCCGATCTATGAATCATAAGCGCTGCATATACATCACATCGCACAAAAGATACGTAAATTTTCGAGGGGGATGATTCATGTCCTGCTTACATATATCTTGGGACAATGGCACTCTGACTCAAATAAAGTTTTTTCCTGATTTCTGCTCATCACTTCAATTCTACTACTGCTTCTTTTCAACATGAGCAATCAGGTCCATCTAAGCCCGACGAAGCTATCAATTCTATCCATACCGAGAGATAAGGTGTGGCTTTTCACAGCTCCCATATTAAGGTTACTCAAAGATGAAGCACAGAAGAGCAACTCACAAAGTGTCCAGGGAGACGACTCCGAGCAAGATGAAGATGATCTATCCGACGATGAGCTGAGTGACAACTCCAATAGCGGATCTGTTTCAGGTGACCAGTTAGCCAGACGTGAAAGCTTGAAGCGTCTGAAGTCAGACAATGGCGTTGATAACTCGAGCAAACCAGCTCAATCAACAGCTCCTCTGAGTGCGTCCGAGTTAGAATCATCTGACGATGATGATGAGGAGGAAGCCATATTTTTCCATGTTGCATTAACGCCTACTGAATGCACTGTCATATGCTCATCTGCTGTATTTCAAGATGCATTTGACGAGCCATTGAAGATTTGCAAGCAGTTAGATTATGCAGATGTTGTCGCTGTCGAAGAGCCATTCATCAATTTGCAAGTTGATAGCGATGGTGAATCCCATACCTCATCGAGGATTCTCGAATTAACGCGACCACTTTCAGAGAATGACATTCCTTTATTTTTCTTGTCTAGTCATTTCACTGATATCGTTTTGATTCCACATAAAGCCAAGGATGAGGTTGTGCGTATTCTTGGTAGCAAACAGTTTGAATTCTCCGACGTATCTAATAGCTATTTTGTCAATACTGTCAGTGGTGTTGAGTCGAAAATACGACATCTCGACATCAATAGCCTGGAGTTGGAAGAGAAGACATTGAAGCTTTTTGAAAATAATGGTATCAGCCCGAAAATAAACCGAAAGCAAAAGCTTCTACTAACGGGAGCGAGACCTGGGAGGGTTAAGGATGCTATCGAGAAGGCCGCCATGTGTATTGGTTCGGGGTCCCTACCCGATTATTTCGTGATAACCAGGACATCACTTAATGAACTTTCCCTCATATTACCAGGCTCCGCTCGCAAACGTGCAGCTATGGGTTACGATTTCAAATCTATAATTGGTTCGGCTCAAGATATCATTCTTCCAATCGCTATCGATTTGCGGAAACTTCCTCTAGACTTGACTGGTATCGTTGCCGGTCTAGCTAGTCGAATCTTGAGCTCTTGTGAAGCAAGCATTGAGATGAACTACTTGTCCATGGCTCGGTCTGGTGTTGTGATGATTCCTGAGGAGAACTTAGGTTCTGTGGCACAGGTTGTAAATAGTATCAACTATAGAGAATAATACAATTGGGATGGATTAATCTGCCATTTAGCTTGTATTTCTATAGACTTTAGTTCTTTCTACCCTTCTTCTTGGTCTTGCTAGTGCTCCAGCCTTCATCATCCACAGTTGGGACCTTGTCAGCACTAGAAGCAATGGCAGCTGACCAGGAGTCACCACTGCCGGCACCGACTTGCTTCTCTACGCCCTGTCTCTTCTTCATAAATTCCTGAGCAAATCTGCGACCATCCATAGTAGCTGAAGAGCTGTAGATAGTTTCAGAAATCAACTGGCTAGAATCAGGGTGCAAAGGCAAAGTAGTGAAAATCTCAAGCAAGTCATTCTTTGATACAGAAGGGTACAAGTTTGTCATGGCAGAACGAGCCCAAACCAAGAAGTCCTCTCTCACAGCATTACCATTAAACGATTGGGTATTGGTGCTGGTAGAAGAAGCAGCACGCAACATCTGAGGAGAAATTGACGTAGATCCACTAGCAGCGTTAGAATAAGAAACTGCAGGCGTGGCCTTCTTAGGTGGGGCTGGCTTCTTGCTAACGACTGTGGTCCAAGCCTTATCTTCCTTTGGTGTAGCTGCGGCCAAGGAGCTGGCAAGGGATGCCTTTGGTGGAGCAGATGCCTTAGCAGCAGCAAGCTTGGACTTTGCAGCCTCTGCTTCTTCCTTTTGAATTTCAGCTAAGGACTTCTTGCCCACTGTTGGTTGGGATGGGGCATTAGCCCAGTTAAATGTAGGCTTGTCGGCAGATGCTGCTGCTTCTTCTTTAGAGAGAGCAATAGCGTTTGCCAATGCAGTTTGTTGCTTCTTTTCAGCTCTAAGTTGTTGCTCTTCACGCAAACGGGCGGCCTCCAAAGCTTGAATTTCCTTCAAAGTCATAGCTGGCTTCGACTGTTCAGCAGAGGAGGCTGAAGCCTTGGCCCATGGAGCTAAAGCGGGTTGAGATTCTTGCTTTGGCTCAGATTTGGCTGGCGCAACGTTCTTTTGAGTAGGCAATTCAGGTTGTGGTTCTGATTCTTTTTCGATAACGTTATCAGAAGCTGGAGCAACATTTTCATCAACGGTTTGATCGTTTGATGGTTCATTTTGAGGTTCCTGAGCTTCAGGTTCAGGAATGAATGCACCAGGGATGTGGGATGTAGGGTCCTCATCCACTGGGTTACGCTCTTCGGGCTTCGACTGAGGAGTCTGGTCCTCCACTGACTGACGACGGTGGTCATCATCATTCAAAATACCTGTAACCATGGAACTATGAATATCATGGAGAACAGGGTCCTCGGAAGAGGGCTTGATGATATCGGAGCCTTCAGCTGAAGCAGATCCAGTCAAAGATGACGAAGGAACAAAAGGAGAGCTTACACGGGAAACTGATTGCATTCCAGATAACCAAGGTGACATTGGGCCCTGATTCGCCAAGCCGGGAAGATTTGTGTTCACAGCCCCAGGAGTCTGAGGGCTACCAGACATCAAACCACTACCGGAATCCAATCCCCATGCAGAGTTGTTTCTGGATAAGTTAGGCTGCTGTTGCTGCTGGATCTGCTGCTGAAGCAAAGAAGGCATATGCAATTGGCCAAAGCTACCAGACAAGTTCTGGCCCATCTGGCCCAAGTTTTGACCCAAATTCTGGCCTATGTTTTGACCTATGTTTTGACCTATGTTTTGACCCAAGTTCATACCCACTGGGTCAATACCAAATTGGTTGTTCGAGAACTGATTCTGTTGATTCATCAACAGATAGTCACGAGAACCCATAAAATCAAACAAATGATTAGAAGAACTCATTCTCATAGAGGCTGCACCGAGTGACAGGGAAGCACCATTTGGCATGAGCGATGAATATAAGTTGTTTCCACCAAAAGCAGATTGCTGGTTGGAACCTGGACCAGTACCCTGGGCAGAGTTGCCTGACGGATCGTTCAGCAATTGACTTGATTCATGAGGTTGCTGACTGTCCCTGGCTTGTTGACCACTTCCAGCCGATGGCAAAGGAACCTTGAAAGGCAGGATGTAGTTGTTCACAGCCTCACAGAATTGCTTCAAAGTGTAGAAGCTAGATTCCTCTGCACGGCGAATGCGTAACTCAAAGTCCAAGTAACCGTCAGTAAGCCACTCTTGCATGACATTACCAGGAAATGGACCTTGTTCATTGCCAGAGGGATCAAGATACGACCAAAAAATGTTCTCAGGAGGAATCAAGTTCAGATCAGCTGGACTAGCCCTATCCGGTGGAGCAAGGTTCGGAGGTGGAGCCGACTTCCTTCCTACATTCATCTGAGCCATTTGCTCTTCCAAAGACGGAATGGAGCTTTGAATGGACTGAGCAGCCAGAGACAGTTGCTGGCTTTGTTGCTGCGAAGCCTGGCTATCGATCTGTTGGCTAGACGAGTCGGTAGGTTGAATCAGCATGCCGCCTTGGGCCTGTCTTTGTAAGTTCAAATGGTAGATCTCTTGAGGACTGGAATGCTTGTAGTTTTCATGGGATTTGGAAGCTGGGGGCTGGTTAAGAACCTGGTCTCTAACTTCGTGCCATACATTGAAGACATCTTCAATGGGATATCTCTTGGAGCCCTTGTTCTGAGGGATGTTGAAAGACTGGGTGGAGGAGTTTGGAGTATCGGCATGAGACGAAGGGTCTGTGGGTAAGTTCTCCTTACGTAACCTGTTCTTGTTAGTATAGGTTTGGTTGGGAGGAGACAGAGATCCCGTGGTAGTTGTAAATCGAGCAACATACATGTTGGTATGCGAGTCAGTTTGCATTGCGATGTTAGATTTTTATGACCTCGAGGAATAGAATGTATAAACGGGGCGATTTATTGGGAAATACGTGACTTTTGCAAAGAAAAGATGGAGTATAGGTGGATTTGTGGGAGACAGAGTATGGAAAATTTTAATGCGGCACTTTTTTACTGTCGCGCTGATGTTTCGAAATTTCTCTGCTACATGAGAAGAGATTGTTCGAGGAAAGTGCTCTTGATTTGGCCTTACTTTTTTTATTTCTTGTTTTCATTTTCAGTATTCTACCTCTGTTGGTAAGCTTCGATTTGAATAACTTGCTTTCTTCTTTTGTCAACACAAAAGTGGCAAAGTCTGGACACCTTGGATCGATGTACGCTCGCTTTTGTCCCTATATAGCTTGCTCGTGCCTTTAAGACTACTGTGAGCCATGGTTGCCTTAAAGTTCCAAAATCATAATAACCACACATCATTCATCCCCAGTTCGTTTAGATAATAATATCGGGGTATCTTCATCCGTTCGCTCAAAGGCATAGGACACTAATCAGGCTCGTCTACGCGCCGTCTTTCTTCATTCGTAACTTTGTATATTCGTAGACATTCTGACCTTATTCTGAAACCGTATTCATCTAGATTCCAAGCTTCTTCTCCATCTCACAGTGGAAGTCTGGGACATTTCTTCCAGACTCAAAGCCGCCCTTGTAAATGTCTTCCCAGTCAACAGTGGACTCCCTGTTCATCAAAATATCTTTATGCAACGTGTCAGAGCCTCCAAGAACCTGTGGCTTGAAGTCAGTGGCCTCAACAAGATCCATCTCCATGGTTCTACGGATTGGTTCACCAGCACCAAACACACGTCTGTAGGTTTCCATTCTGATATCTTGTTGCGTCTTTTCCCAATTCTGGATTCTGGATTCTAAAGGATGGCGGTTGTTCAACTGAGAAGCGATATTCAATGGACCTTGTTGTGCTCTCAAGGTATCTTGTAATGCTGGCGTGTTTTCTGAGACTTCACCAAAAGTGGTCGTAGACACAGAAGAGGGGTTCGTCTTTTCCGGAACAATACGTAATGACTGTGGTTAGTATAAGAAATTCATGGTTTGTGTAAGGTCCAATTGACATACCATCTTGTTTGGTTCTTCAGGTGGCAATACTACTTCAAGGTAAGCGAGCGAGATATTGGTTGTCGATATTTGGGTAGGTGCAGGAATACACACGAAATGGAAGCCTTCCCTGTGTTGAATCAAGAAATTTACAGAGAGGAAAGGCAGAGAAATAAAAATGACTACTTGGGAATTTATTGAAACTTATGGCCAACGTTAGCTGCCTTTTTCTTTTTCTCCTCTTCTTCTCGGAGGGCATGGATTGATGCACCACATGACAGTGGTTTTCGCAGCCATTGCCTCACATTCTCTCGACAGGCTCATCCACAACATCAATGAGTCTAACGTTTTTATGCTCTTGATCTTTAAGGAATTCAGGAACAAATTTCCAATCTTCAGGTTGAAGAACACCGTTAAAGCAAAGGGTACCGAAAACAAGGGTGGCAAACCCGAAGAACTGTAAGAAGCTGAATGATTCCCAACCCAAGACCATAGCAAAAAGCCACACTAAAAGTGTTCTGCAGCTGTCAATAGTGGACCTTGCTGTAGCTGAGAGTTCCTGGGTAAGCGAGACCCCGCAAAAGTTGAACGATGAAATACAAATCATGATTGCAAAAGACGATAAAAGCACTTCACGCAGCGAGAATGTCTGGGATAAAGACTCGTGCAAATTGAATGGCGAGTCGTGGAATTGTTTCTTCAGCTGAAGCAGTCCAACGATGAAATTAAGCAAGATCAACGAGGTGGTCAAAATGACAACACCAAAGAAACCCTCAGTGTAAACCAAACGCAAAGGAGTGAAATGGTACTTAGCAAGAATCTTCTCCTCAACAACAAACTGAACCGCTTGAAGAGAGACAGCCAAAATAATTAAAGACATGCCGAAGATAACGAGGGCAGGTTCTTCGACGGCAGCTTTGGCGGAGCTTCCTCTACTTCCTGAGTACCCCACAATTCCAATACCCAAAGTAACAATGACCAAAGAGATCCACTCCAAAGGTCTTATTCTGCGCTTCAAAAATAGAACCGAAAGAACAGCAACGAAAAGCACAATAGCTCCTCTGGTCATTTGGAAAATGGAAACTGGGGTATAAATCAAGCCAACATTCATACAAGTCGTGGCCAACATATCGCACACTGACGGAATTGCAAGAATCAAACTGTGGCTTTTCAGCGCTGGACGGGAGTCTTCATTCAACGCTTGGTATTGAGATCTCTTAGCAAACGGAGACTTATAAAGAATATAATAAACAATGTAAATGCCAAGTTCACCAATGAACATCTGGAGAGTCTGAATGGCAGGTTGTTCAAAGTTCTTATGCTTTGTCACGTCTGGATCCAAGCAATTTTCCACGCATTGGTTGTCTTGATACTTGGTAAGAAGCGAGTTAAGGCATCCACATACTAAAGTGCCAACCACTATAGAGATAGTGTGGAAAGACATGCTGGTGGAGATAGAAAGATAGGCTTATCGATCGCAGTCAAAGTTGCATACGCAGCGGTTTCGAATGGTCGACTCCATGCCTAATCTGGTTAACGACAGCATTATGTGCAGTCATGAAACGACTATCAACCAAAGGTCACAGTTTTGTCCATTTAGACAAAATAAATAAACTTTAAATTTGATGAAATTGTTTCAGTAGGGTCACCGGGTGTGAGGACCAAGTTTGGGGGCTTTTGGATTTGTGTGGGGTGAGATACGTGAATAGGCCTTCTCAATTAGGCAAGTCCATAGTCAAATTCGTGCCGCACGATGGGCATCGTTTTCTCCAATGATGCTTCGACTTTGGGATATCCAATCTTCAACATACAAAATAAAAATCGGCAGGATGTAGCTCACTAGCTTCTTTGAAGTTTCCCAATTCGTATGATGGTCTTAATTTTTTTTTTAGTGCTCCGTAAGATTCATAAAGTCCATTTGAGGTCTTTTTCAATCTCCTTTTGGCCAGTATCGTCCATTTTGACAACCTTCGGTTGATTTAGCTGATCCAAAAGCATTTTAAAAGATTAAATCACCATTTAAAAAGCTATCTTAGCCCTTAAAACCTTCATAAAATTGTCTGGCCAGGTCGATAGTGCTGTTGGTTTAGCCAGTTTCAAGGGTTACCCGCACCGGCATCTCCTAAGAATCGCACCTACTGTAGAAAAATTTTTCCTAATTTTCACCTTCTGTACCTTATACAACAACTTAAACCCACATATAAAATGTCTTTCCCAACTAGAGGCGGCAGAGGCGGTGCCCGTGGTGGCGCCAGAGGCGGATCCAGAGGCGGTTTTGCTCCAAGAGGCGGTGCCAGAGGTGGCGCTAGAGGTGGTGCTAGAGGCGGTGCCAGAGGTGGTGCTCGTGGAGGTGCTAGAGGCGGCCGTGGTGGCGCCAGAGGTGGCCGTGGTGGTGCCAGAGGTGGTGCTAAGGGTGGTGCCAAGGTTGTCATCGAGCCTCACAGACACGCTGGTGTCTTCATTGCCAGAGGTAAGGAGGATTTGTTGGTCACCAAGAACATGGCCCCAGGTGAGTCTGTGTACGGCGAGAAGAGAATTGCCATTGACGAGCCAGCCAAGGAGGAGGGTGCTGCTCCAACCAAGATTGAGTACCGTGTTTGGAATCCTTTCAGATCCAAGTTGGCTGCCGGTATCATGGGTGGTATCGATGAGTTGGGTATTGCTCCAGGCAAGAAGGTCTTGTACTTGGGTGCTGCTTCCGGTACCTCCGTTTCCCACGTTTCCGATGTTGTTGGTCCAGATGGATTGGTCTTCGCCGTTGAGTTCTCCCACCGTCCAGGTAGAGAGTTGATCTCTATGGCCAAGAAGAGACCAAACGTCATCCCAATCATTGACGATGCTCGTCACCCACAGAAGTACCGTATGTTGATCGGTATGGTTGACGCTGTGTTTGCCGATGTGGCCCAGCCTGATCAGGCTCGTATTATTGCCTTGAACTCCCACTTGTTCTTGAAGGACCAAGGTACCGTTGTCATCTCCATCAAGGCCAACTGTATTGACTCCACTGTTGATGCTGAGACCGTCTTCGCCAGAGAGGTCCAGAAGTTGAGAGAGGAGAGAATCAAACCTTTGGAGCAGTTGACTTTGGAACCTTATGAAAGAGATCACTGTGTCGTCGTTGGACGTTACGTTAGAAGCGGTTTGAAGAAATAAACTGCGGGTTGAAAATTACCCAAAATAGGGAAGCATCGAGCGGGCATACCATGTATTTTAGGCAGATTTGCATTCATTGATATAATCAAACAAAAGACAGTTAAGAAAAGTTCAAGTAGAATGATAAGCGCTGATCTCCCATGCCTTCTAGGCAGGCAAAACAGAACGCAGCGCAGTAAACAAAATCCCGGCTGGAAATATAAGATGGCAAACATCAACCAGATCAAGGTCGCATTTTACTCCTTCTTTCTTCTTCCACCTTATTATTTTCCCCTGCTTCTCGTTTGCCTCCCATCATCGCCGGTGGACATCGAAGCGGTTTTAAGTGCAAATTCGGTCACGTGCACAACCCACCTGTAAGCGGTATCACCCTGCCAGGTACCCAGTTGGTCAGCGAACTGCTTACATCAAGCTCAGTACCACGCTTCTTTCCACAATCAAATTTTGCCCCTACCAAGCATTTCCTTTCAGGCTGAAGCCTTTGAATTCGAAAACTAAAATCTTGCATGAAACATATTCTACTCAACATTCCACTTCTACGACTAGATGAGTGAGCAAGAAACAAAACAGCCGACGACAAGGCGGCGTTCGAGCATAATAGAAGTTGAAAGTGACGAAGATATCGCCATAGAGCTGAGTTCCAGTGACCAACAGCGGCGGGACAGTATAATAGAAGTACTCAGCGATGCGGGCCTGGATAACTCCGATGATGAACTAGAAATAGTGGGAGAAGCCCAAGCGCCTCCCGTGGAAGATGATGATTTACAAATTACGGGCCAGACAAGAATGGTTCCCCCTACTATTCAATACCCAGGTGCTCCTATGGAAGCTGTCCCTGTGGAAGAAGAACCTTACAACAGTAGAGATTCATCACATACACCTCCAACCCCAGCGCCACCACGCCGACAAAGGCATCTCTTTGGGCGTGAGTTTATGCGCCGCCTCAGAAGAAGAGTCTCTGGCGAGACAGGCCATAGGTTTACCAGACCTCTTAGTTTCTTTGATCTCCCACAAGAACACCAGAGATCTTTTCTTGATATGATTCAATCCCAGGACGATGACGAGATTTCAAGCTCCATCTTTGCTCGTCTAGAGCGTGAAGATGAACTGGCTCTTGACCGAAAGATTGAGAAGGAGAAGATTTTCAACCGTGATGCCCTTCAGAAAAAGAAGAGAGAAGCCAAAGAGGAAGACAATCTTCATACGACAAATATCGATCCCAAAGACAACTTGCTATGTGAACTTTGCGGTATACAGTTGGGTGAGGGGATTCCAGATGACTTCAAACCCAACCCAAAGTACGACAAAGATCTCGAGAAATATGCCAAAGAGTTTCAGGTACAAGCGCCATGGTTTTGTATGACACAGTGTCTTGAAGCCGATCGTGCACTTTCAAAACGTGTCTTTGTGGCTAAATGTGGACATGTGTTCTGCGGTAGATGTATCAAGAATATCGGTAATCGACCACCTGGGCGCCGTCCAAAAAAGCAAACCACGCAGATATCGCTCGATAATCCTCTTATCAGCGCTCCGCGTAGATGTCCCGCCAGTGGCTGCTCTCATCAGTTCTCTCGTGGTAAACGGGCTTTCACTGAGCTTTTTCTTTAGTCATTTCCTTGGGACATCATTGGCATTTGGGGCTAGAAACATTTATTTGGGCATTGGGTTATCGGTTATGGTTTCAGGTGTGGTAATAGATACTCGTAATTTCGTATATGAAAATTATAAAGTTTAGCATAATAACGCAGCAGAAGTAAAAGTGACACAGTTAATCAACTCTAGCTTCAGACAAGGTCAACGGCTTGATGTTGTTGGAGAAGATGGAAGAGCCGTTCTTGAATCTGTTTATCTTCTTCAATTTCTCTCTTACTACCATCACTGGGACAGTAGATTTGGTGACCAAGTAGTTCGACAATGAACCTAACAAGACACCTTTGATAGCACTCAGTCCCTTAGAGCCGACCACAACCAACGTTGGTTGGAGGTTATCGATAAACTCCAAGATAAGGTGACGAGGTATTGGATGATGAATGATTTCAATGACGATGTGGATTTGTAGCTTTGTCAATTTCAACAAGTTCAACACTTGTTGCTTTGCACGGTTAAGCATATTGAGTCTGGCAGATTCTCTTTCATTTGGCGAGTTACCCTTCAAGTTATGGTTGGCATCGTTATCTTCAATAACACAGACAATGAATAAGACAGAGCCATCGACCAACACAGTACCTAAACACCACTCAAGTGCAAAGATGGATTCGGGACTAAAGTCCATACAAAGAAGGAACATCTTGGGCTTAACCTTTGGATTGATGAGCTGGAAAAAGTTACCACGGGTGATTGTCTGGATAACTCTTGAGTGAGAGATGTTCGAATCCACTTCGCCTTCTTTGATTGTCTCGTTCAATTGGGATGCAAATTCGGAGTCCAATTTATCCTCCACGGCAGATGTGTAGGGTGCCAAAAAGCCTTCAGTATCTTGGCTATCATTCTCCAGTCCTGGTTCCTTCTTCCCAGAGTTTGCACTGTGTTGCCCACGCAATTGCTCGTTCTCTTGGTCAATGATCTTTCGCCTGTAAGCCTGGTATGTTTCCAACTTCTGTCTTCTGGACTCGGCATCCTGATCAGAGTTGTAGAGGTCCAAGCCATCTTTACCAGTAAGAGCATGCTTGTTCTGGGTGAGCTTTTCAACCACATCGAGATCTACATCGTTGCCGATGTTGCGAGCGTTGGCCACCGCTCTCTCGGTAGCGGTCAACTCCTCAAGCTTCTTAATCGTCTGTCTGTCATTCAAGTTGGAGTGCTGCAAGATGGTAGAGATTTCCAGAATCTTTTCGTCTTGACATGCGTAGTTAGGCAAGATGTTGCCGGTTCCGTCGTACTGGAACTTCTCGTTATCGTCGTCATCACTGATATGTTCCTCTTCAGACATTTCGTTTTCCCAAAGAGCATTGGCGGTATCCTCATCATCACCCCGCTCGTTGGGGTCCCTTAACCGCTCCAGTGGGTCATGGTTGGTGATGGACCACTTGATATCTTTATTGTTGAACTCGTCATTCAGGGTAGACGAGGATCTGCTATTGCTATTGGAAGGGGAGTTGGAACGGCCCCTTGACATGGACTTCTGGATGATGGCCAACTTTTCGGCCTCTAATCTGGACTGACGACTGGCCATGGTCGGTATATTTGCTGCTTTGGAAGAGGTCTTTGACGGCGTAGAAAGAGGAAGTATATGTAGATTGTCGCAGACTCAATAGTGTTACTATGTGCCAAGCCCCGCTTACAGCACACATATATTAGGCGCACTGTAAGTGACTTTGTATGCAATTAGGTCATGACTATTGTGTGAAACGGTTCACGTTGGTGATAATAGAGGTGAAAGCAAGATTACAAGAGCGACAAAAAACTCATAATTATGTCTCTTTCTTATCATTGCTGAAGTAAATGAACTTGTATATTAGATTTGCCTGGTTCCTATCGGTAGATTGGCCACAGTGCTTATTGCGCGGTAATCAACGCATAATTAGGAACTCGTTTTGCAACCTTTGCTATGCTCTACTACTCCTCTCCATCTTCGTCTTCGTCACTTTCACCACCAAGATACTCCACCATGATATTGTCTCCCAGCTTTAATTCGTTGTATTCTTCAATGGTCTGTTGGCTGCATGGTAAAACAGCTTTAGGGAAAGGCTTGAACAACTCGAAATTGAAGTCGAACTGCTTGCAGAACTCCTCAATTGTCAACTCAGACTCTTCAACCTCACCCTCTTCAGGCTGCTGGAATAGCTGCGTTTCAACGAATAAGTATAAAGCTACCACTGGAACTGCTTTTGGGAATTTTTGAATCACACGGCGGCCATCTGGAATCTTTAACGATACTCTGACCAGCTCCTTGGGAGCTATGCTTTTAATTTGCTCTTCGAACCAGTTGCTTTTGATCAAGGTGTGAATGAATCTTGTTCTTATCTCTTCTAATTCTTTCTTCAGCTGCTCCTCTTCTTGCTTTCTTTGCTTTTCTTGTTTCTTCTCTCTATCTTGCGCAAGTGATTCCAAGTACGCTTCGTCTTGCTTCTCCTTAAGAAGTCGACTCAATTCCATTTCTTGTTTATCATAACGCTTTGAGACAAGCTGTGGATTGTAATGGGTGACGCTCTTTTTCAAGTTACGGATGACTTTATCCACAAGCTGCTGGTTTTCATCTTCACTATCGTACAAAAGATTAGATTTGTAAATAATCGACATGGATGACATCACCTGTGGATTTCTTGTAACATTTCCAAGAAGCATTACGTATGGAAGCCTTCTCACTCTGTAAGTTTGGGCCACCTCGAAGGCCTCAGGATTTTTGTTAATGTTCGCCACGTAGATCTCATGGTCCGGGCATTCCTCTAATAGCAGTTTCAAATGAGGGGATTGGAGGAGATTGCGGACAAATGCAATGGATGAATCGTCCACCAAGATGGTTGTAAGAAACTTGAAGTCCTTTTGACTCTCCTCGTGGCACTTGTTAAACTCAGCGGTCCTTATGTGGAGCTCTTCACGATTGATTCCTTCTGCATTGCTAACGACATCATAATCTTCATCATATTTGTCCCAGTTAAACAGGCTCGGAAGAGTCTTGTATAGTGGGGACGTGTTCCATCCTAACATGAACTTTAAGAAAGAAAAGAGCATAGAAAATGCCCGGGGTATGATTAAAAGTATGATCCATAGGATGGAAGGCTTGCGAGAAGAAGTATCCAGAGGAGAACTGCTTTCTCCAGCCTTTTCGTTGTTTGCAAATGCTTTTTTAGACATATGAATACCTAGATCGAACTGCCAGTGATTACTCACCTTTGGAGCCTTGGGTAGTTTTGGCAACAAATCGTCTAAAGCAAACTCATCATGAAGATTCCGATGCACAGCTGCCGACTCAAAGCGCTCGAATCCTGAGGCCAGCAGGTCCAGCGGTATAGGTTCCTCTATTGGACTAGGGTTTCTTTGCACGTTATCTAGACCATTCTCAAAGTATGAAAGAACAGCATTGTTCAAGTTGAAGCTATGGTTTTGAAGCAAGATAACGCTCTTATCAGCCTTGTCTTCGTCATCAAGCGATACGTTCGTGATTGCCACAAACTCGTCGAGCACACTTCGCTGTTCGTCAGATAAAGAGTCCATGATAGTAGGAGGTGGTGAGGTCGTATCTGGATATTGTATGTTCTACGTCACAAGACTGCATGTGAGGAGACCTCCAACCCAACGGAATATAGAAAGTATAGGCATTAGTATGACGAAAGCGCAAAAGGCAGAATCTGGAAATAAGGGTGAAATGGATCTTCTTTCAGGAACCTTAGATTCGAAAATTTGTGATTGTTTCGTTGTATTTGTCGTTAGACAGTGGCTGCGAAACCGGAGCTAGTGTAGAAAAGCTCCGGAAATAGACTAAAACCATGTCGAAGTGATCGACAACTTAATGATCTGGCGCCAAATTGTGATAAGTGGAATTCGGAAGATACGAAACTAGATCTGCTGAAGGATTCTTTGTTTTGTTGACTCTCACCTTGAAGTCTACCTCCATACTGTAATCTATAAGTGGAGAACAAGTGAGAATCTCAGTACAGTATTAAGGCGAGCTCCCCTTATCTAAGATCACCAGTATGTCTCTTCAGCAGAGACTGCCTTTCCCAAGCAAAGCATATTTCCTACAGCGTGCAATTTGCGAATCCTTGGCACATCATTCTAAATCTACCTTTTAGTCTAGTACGCACATTCCATACCCTCATGGCTCTGTCTGTGGCGCTGAACTTCCACAAAGTTAGTCTAATTGAATCACAGCCCACTTCCCCCGGTCGCCTCGTATTTCCTCCCTGATTTACTTTTTTTTTTTTTTTGTTGCCATGAAAATCTTATACTTACTTTCTTTTCTCTTTTACTTTTTTTTTTTTCAATCCTAAACTCTAAACTCCCGCCCGATTCTTATCTTTCTCAAGAGAATCGCAATTTTGCAACCAAACCGCGAAAGGGGCACCGTGCCCACTCTGGTGTACCACAAAGCAAGCAAACCACAAAAGTACTACAGATAATTGGACAAACAAGCAATTATACTTTACCCCATTTTCAGTCTCCGCTTTGAAGCAACACATTCTACGAGAAACAAACTTTTTAAAAGAAGAAATAAATATAAAGTTAAAACAACAAGGACATCCGTAGCCCGTGTCCAGTAAGCTTTCCAGGATTTTCCTTATTTTTCCGGTGGCAGCCAGGTGCAGCCAATTCTTTTTATTTTTTTTCTGTTTTTTTCGCAGCCAAGCGAACACGCTCCCAGAGAAGCATAACGGTTTAATACGGGTGGAACTTGTGAAAAAGTAGTCTTTCTGCACCAGCCCTAATAACCGACGTAGCGAAAAAAAAAAAAAAAAACCAGCAAAGAAAAGCAAACCCCACGAGCCCCGTCAACTACCAAAAATATCATCGTCTCACTCCATATTGTCCCATATTCATGGGCCCGCCTCACACGGTACGAGCGGCGGGCGCTGGTGCCGGCTTTTTTTTCGTTCGCACCCACTGGATTTTTCCACCCTCCACACCTCCAAAGACTCACCCAGGCTTGTTATCTACGACTTCTGAGTGGCCTAAGAACCCTTTCCCTGTACCCCAGATGCACTGGAGCACTGCCGCTGCCAGATTAGCAGCACACACGGGTCGCAATCACATGATAGTGTGCGGATCAATGGCTATGGCATGTCTAGGCATCCCCAGGGCTCCGTTGGTGCGACCTATACCGAGGAACGAAATTAGATACCAAACCAGTGCACTAGTAGCCCCAGACACCACACCATTCGAAACAAAACAAAAGGCAACCTTCTCACCAACAGAATGATATCAATGCAAATCAATAAAAACCGTTGGCTTTCTTCTGCCCCTCTTTTCAACTACATCCCCCGCCATACGGCTGTCTCGCTTGTGCTTTGTCCCGCTCATACGGTTAGCGCGACCGGAAAAACGACCATAACGTTTGCTTCACACAATGCTTTTTTCCCTGCCTGTCTGCCTGCGTGCTCCCCCCGAAAAGCCCCATGGCACCAGCTCACTGCCAGTGGGCGCGAGCATATGCCCAGCCGCCGTACAGCTAGCGCATCCTCGGGGCCACCAATGGTAATTTGCAGCCGATGTCTCAGGCAAAGTCCAATTAGGATTCATAGGAACACCACCAATTTCTAGACGGTCACGCAACGGGCAGAGCATAGAGGGACCACCGGCCAAATCTCTTTCTTTTCGATTGTCTTCGGAGGGTCTGATCCGGAACTGGGGGCCCACGCGATTTGCAGCACCGGTTTTTCCCTCTACCGGGCCTGACCGCCGTTTGCTTAATTTTTTTTTTTTCGGTCGCTCTCTGCCTGCCTGTTTGTTAGTGTGCTGCTGCTGCTGCTGCTTTGTGCTGCCCCACTACCCTCGACTTTTCACGTCACCATTGCTGTACATTTTTTTTTTCTTCTTCTTCTTTTCTTTCCTTCTAAATACTTCGTGTTACCCAAAAAGCAACCACTCTTTTTTTTGTTGTTGTCATTAACTCAAAGTAGGGCCAACTAGAATGTCTCGCTTCTTCAAGTCAACATTCTTCAAGACCGCCGCCGCCTCTGCCTCGGTGGTCGGCGCCGGCGTCGTCTACCTTGATTTCGTCAAGACCCCAAACCCTTCAAACTACAAGAACTCCTATGAGCCTCTTCGTAAGAAGCTCGATACTCCTCCCTCGAGAGATGAGCTCTTGAAGACCGTCAAGAAGACTGAAAAATTCGACGTGTTGATCGTTGGCGGTGGTGCTACCGGTACCGGTACCGCCGTGGACGCTGCCACCCGTGGTCTCAATGTTTGTCTCTTGGAAAGAGATGACTTTGCTTCTGGTACTTCCTCGAAGTCTACCAAGATGGCTCACGGTGGTGTCAGATACTTGGAAAAGGCTATCTTCCAGCTTTCCAAGGACCAGTTGGATTTGGTCATTGAGGCCTTGAACGAAAGAGGTAACATGCTTAGAACCGCTCCTCACTTGTGTTCCGTGCTCCCTATCATGATTCCCGTCTACAAGTGGTGGCAGGTTCCTTACTTCTTCGTTGGCTGCAAAATGTACGACTGGTTTGCCGGTCACCAGAACTTGAGATCTTCTACCGTGTTTTCCGCTGAAACTTTTGGTGCTATTGCTCCTATGATTGACACTGCTAACATTAAGGCTGCTTGTGTTTACCACGATGGTACTTTTAACGATGCTAGATTTAACGCTACTTTGGCTGTCACCGCTGTCGACCACGGTGCGACTATCTTGAACTACATGGATGTCAAGCAGTTGATCAAGGAAGATGGTAAGTTGGTTGGTGCCCTTGCTGTTGACAAGGAAACCGGTGAAGAATACAGAATCAAGGCTACCGCTACTGTTAACGCTACTGGTCCTTTTGCTGATAAACTCTTGGAAATGGATGCTGACCCTCAGGGCTTGCCTCCTCAGCAGGAGCAGGCCCCAAGAATGGTTGTTCCATCCTCTGGTGTCCACATTGTTTTGCCTGAATACTACGGTCCTTCCTCTATGGGTTTGTTGGATCCTTCCACTTCTGATGGCAGAGTCATGTTCTTCTTGCCATGGCAAGGTAAGGTTCTCGCTGGTACCACTGATACTCCATTGAAGAATGTTCCATACAACCCAGTTCCAACCGAAGAGGAAATTACTGACATTTTGGGTGAATTGCAAAAGTACATTGTGTTCCCTGTTGACAGAGAGGATGTTTTGTCTGCCTGGTCTGGTATCAGACCATTGGTTCGTGATCCTGCCAAGATTCCAAAGGGTAAGGAGAACGCTGGTACCCAGGGCTTGGTCCGTTCCCACTTGATCACTATCTCTGACTCTGGTTTGCTCACCATTTCTGGTGGTAAATGGACCACCTACAGAGAGATGGCCCAGGAAACCGTTGACACTTTGGTCAAGAAGTACGACTTTGGCGGTAAGAACTTGAAGCCTTGTCAGACTAACAACATCTTGCTTGCTGGTGGTGAGGACTATTCTAAGAACTACTCTGCCCGTTTGATCCACGAGTACAAGATTCCATTGAAGTTGGCTAAGCACTTGAGTCACAACTACGGTTCCAGAGCTGCCCTCATTTTGGAGTTGTACCAGCAGAACGACTACAACAAATTGCCAATTACTTTGGCTGCCACTCACGAATTCCTTCCTAACTCAGAAGAAAACACTGAAGGTACTATTTTGTCCTACCAGTCTTTCGACGAGCCATTCACTATTGCTGAGTTGAAGTACTCCTTGAAGTACGAGTACATCAGACACCCTCTTGACTTCTTGGCCAGAAGAACCAGATTGGCTTTCTTGAACGCCAGAGAAGCCTTGAGTGCCGTTGACGGTGTTGTTTCCATCATGAAGGCCGAATTCAACTGGGATGATGAGACCACGAAGAGATTATCCGACGAGACCAAGGAGTACATCAGCCTGATGGGTGTCTCCTCTCACAAGTTCAACGTGAAAGACTTCGTTGTCCAGTAATCAAGCTTAATGCCCCACGACCAAGGCAATAATGCCTATTTATTAGATTCAATAGATAAAGATACATTCTAATCCTATCGCAGGAAGTGGGTGCAAATCATGTCCTGTAGCTGGGCTATACATCTACTACATAAAAATGTTCAATAAGCCTCACGTGCACGCACGCCTGGCAAATGGTATGAATAGAGTTAGATACCTTTTCTTTATCGTATTCGCCGTTGCAGCATTGTGGTTATCCCGTTTTATCAAAATAGCTCAGTCCCTGAAAATGGTTGCCTCAGATCACCCTTATGCGAAAGAATTGAAGATTGCTTCTCTTGCTGTCAAGAGGGCCTCCGTGCTCACTAAAGGACTCAGTGACTCCATTGTTGAAACCTCCAAGAGTGGAACTCAGATCAAGAATGACAAGTCTCCTGTGACTATTGGTGACTACGCCTCCCAAGCTTTAATTAATCATGCCATTAAGCTCAATTTCCCTTCAGATAACATTGTGGGTGAGGAAGACTCGAAGTCATTGAAGGATGGGTCTGAGGAGGCCAATGCACTTAGCAAAAGAATCTTGGATATCTTGAACGAGGTACAGCAAAAAACTCAAGCATCTTCAGATGAACTCGGAGAGCTTAAAGACTTGACCGAAGTTTACGAAAGCATTGACTTGGGTAACTATGAAGGTGGTTCTAAGGGCCGTTTCTGGGCTCTTGATCCAATCGATGGTACCAAAGGGTTCTTGAGAGGTGACCAGTTTGCCGTATGCTTGGCTCTTGTTGAAGACGGTAAGGTTGTTCTTGGAGTCATCGGCTGTCCAAATTTGCCTGAGCACATTACGCTGAATGAGATCCAATCTGGCAACAAGGGTGGCTTGTTTTCTGCTGTCACTGGCGTGGGAGCCTTCTATACTCCGCTTTTTGAAACTGACGAATTTACTCCTTTGAAGGATCAACAGCAGATTAATATGACGAGTGAAACATCACCCGCCACCTTGAGGGTTGTGGAGGGTGTAGAGAAGGGCCATTCTTCCCACTCGACTCAGTCACAGATTAAACAGCAATTGGGATTCGATGCTGATACAGTCGCAAGACAAACTATCAACTTGGACTCGCAGGTGAAGTACTGTGTTTTGGCAAAGGGTCAGGCCGACATTTACTTGCGTTTGCCTATTAGTGAAACCTACAGAGAGAAGATCTGGGATCATGCCGCTGGAAATGTTTTGCTTTATGAGAGTGGTGGTCAAGTTGGTGACGTTACTGGTGAGCCACTTGATTTCGGTAAGGGCAGACAGTTAGAGTCGAAGGGTGTCATTGCTGCCAACAAGGCCGTATTCTCAAAAGTTATCGATGCAGTAAATAAGGTGTTGAACACTGATGCTTAAACTATGTACAAAATATATCACCAGTCCCATCATTCCGTCACTTCTACGACGTAGTAGTTTTGCTTGCCTGATCTGATGAGGAACAACTTTCCATCAATCAAATGGTTCTCTTTATCGAAAAGTACCACATCGTCTGGATCAACAAATTGATCCCTATTAACGCCAAAGTAAATTCCACCGCCTTTAATCAAGTTCTTGGTTTCACTCTTCGACTTATTGAAAATTTTCGAGAGCAAAGTGCTCATTCTTATGTCGTCCGGATTTGGGAAAGAGCTGAGTTGAACTTTTTGTAAAATACCCGAATTCTTGAACTTTGAAATCAACTTGTCAGCCGTTATGTCGTCATCAAATGGCTGATCAGGGGTGGGGAATAAAAAGCTAGTAATATAAGCCATCTCATCACCGACTCCGGGTCCGTGAATCATATCCACAACTTCTCTAGCAAGCACACGCTGTGCAATTCTGTTACCAGGATCTTCTTGATGCTTTTTCAAGACCACGGAATCGATAGCCTTGGTTGGCAACAAGGTGAGGGCACGCAAGAGCTTACTCACGAGATCATCAGGAGAGTTGATGAAATATTGGTATAACTGATATGGTGTAGTTAATTTGCTGCTGATAAAAACAGCATTTCCTGCCGATTTGCCGAATTTCTCACCAGAGGATGTGGTCAACAAGGGAACAGTCATACCATAAGCTGAAAGTTCAGCACCGTCTTTACCAGCACCACCGAAGTGACGTTGGAGTCTAGAGATCAAGTCAACACCAGCCGTGATGTTACCCCATTGGTCATTGCCTCCAAGTTGAATGTTGACGCCTTCGTTCTTGAACAAATGCCAGAAATCATAGGCTTGCAAGACTTGGTAGGCAAATTCGTTAAAGCCGAGACCCAGCTGTGATTGTAAACGCGACAGAATGGAGTCTCTCGAAAGCATCTGAGAGATTCTAATATGAGTTCCATAAGTTGACAAGAAATCGAGGAAAGTAATCGATTTCCACCATGATGCGTTATTGGCACTGGAGATGTCACCAACTTCAGATGGTTCTATGTGTCTTGACTGAGCATATTTGACACCATTCTTCAAGAAGTTTTGCATCTGCTCTTGAATCTTCTCCACGTTAGTAGTCCTTTCCTTCTTGTCTAGCATCATTCTCTCAGTCTGTCTACCACTTGGATCTCCAACAGCACCTGTAGCACCACCAACAAGGCCCACAGCATCATGGCCTCTCAAAACAAAATGAAGAAGAACCATTAGAGGGAGCAAGTTACCCAAATGCAATGACTCGGCGGTTGGATCAGCACCACAGTAAAGCTTCATTTTCCTGCCATTGGCTTCGGTAAGCTTGTACAAGTCATCATTAGTGAGTGATTCCACAAGGCCTCTATTAAGCAAATGGCCAACCAAAGAACCTTCAAGGTCAGTCTTGTAATACTCTTGTTTCGTAAGTTCAGCCACCGAAGGAACAATGGAAATGGTCTCTGGAGGAGGTTCCACCGTAGGAATATCTGACTGAAATCTTTTACCAGCCTGGAGCCAGATATTTGTAGAGGACCTAAGGGGAGTCCTTGCTATCCTTGGGCCTCTTCTGTGGAGTAATCTGATCATGAGTTAGAGGTGAAATGTTCGCGATCTCAGTAAGTAGTATACTCGTAGGATAAGCAGCAGAGCGGGCTTTATCTCGGCAAATATTGATTTGGAAAAAAGGTTAAATCTAAGAAAATTCGAACAGACACAGATGCAATTTTATGAAATAAGAAGGTTTTCAACCCCTAGAATAACTCTTTTTGTGCATAATCTGCTCAGTGTGTAGCTCCACTATTCGCCTACCACATCGCGCATCTCATCTCTTCTATTATCAGCTTCCTCTACAGCACCATGTCTCCTGGACCAGCACCTGAAGGTTCCGATGGTTCTGGATCCAAGAAAAGAAAGAGGAAGAGATCGAAGAAGTCAACAGCGGAGCCTTTAGCTCAGGAAGCAGACGTTAGTACAACAAGAGTCAACAAGAAGACGAAGTTTGATGAGGATGAGTCTGCTCCACAACCTACGATAGCTGAAGTAAGTCCACCAGATGCTCACGAAGCTGCAGAGGAGACTGATCTAAAGCCAAAGGAGGCTCCTCAAGAGAAGCAAACGCCTAAAACACCAAAAGAGACAGTGCACAAGAAAGAGCATGTGCAGCTGAATGGTGCTGTTACGCAACAGAAACAAACCCCAAAAACTGAGACAAAACAACTCTCCGAAAACAAAAAGCCTTCGAAGAAACCTAAAAGAGCTGTTTTTTACGACGACCAAAGTGACGATGAAGATGACGACGAGAGCTCTGCATTCCAGACTCGCAGGTCTGTTTCTAGAGCTGCCCTTAATGAAAAGGCAAATGCATTATTAGAGGTCAGAAAGACTCTTCCAATCTACCACCATAAAGATAAAATCACAGATTACGTGAAAAATAACCAAGTTGTTGTCGTAATTGGTGAGACAGGTTCTGGTAAGTCCACCCAAATACCTCAGTTCTTGATGCCCCTCAACAAGAAGCGTATCGCCGTCACGCAACCTCGTCGAGTGGCTGCAGCTTCCTTGGCCACAAGAGTCAGTGAAGAATATGGTTGTCCATTAGGTGAAGAAATTGGATATCAAGTTCGTTTTTCTAATGTCACATCGCCAAGAACGAAGGTGAACTATCTTACTGATGGTATGTTGATCAGAGAGCTCATGTTAGATGATAAACTTTCGAAATATAGTACAATCGTTATTGATGAAGCGCATGAAAGAACTGTGCTCACAGATCTTACATTGGGTTTTTTGAAGCAGTTGATTCAAAGTGGAAGAAGGAAAGATCTTAAAGTGATCGTCATGTCTGCCACATTGAACGCTCAACTTTTCAGTAAATTCTTTGACCATGCACCAGTGTTATATGCGGAGGGAAGAATGTACCCTGTTTCTAAGCACTATCTTAGTGGCTCATCGGAGGATATCGTCGATACTATGGTTAGAACAGTCGTCCAGATCAACATGTCCGAAGAGGAAGGTGATTTCCTATGTTTTCTACCTGGCCAGGAGGAAATCGATAATTGTGTGACTATTTTGAATACTATAGCACCTGAGCTACCTAAAGAAGCACCAATGATTAATGCCCTACCACTCTACGCAGCATTGTCTCCAGCTCAACAGATCAAAATATTCGAGAAATTGGGTCCAAGAAAAAGAAAAGTCATTTTGGCAACCAATATTGCTGAAACATCCATCACAGTCAGCGGTGTAAAGTATGTCATTGACTCCGGTTTAAGGAAAGTGAAGGTATGGAGACACCTGCTTGGTTTATCCACTTTGCTTACTACCCCCATCTCTCAAGCCTCAGCAAAGCAAAGAGCTGGTCGTGCCGGTAGAGAAAGTGCTGGAAAGGTTTTCAGGCTTTATTCTGAAAAGCTTTTCCATAACAAGTTACCGAAGCAACAAGAATCTGAAATTGTTCGCAATGATATCATACTTCCTATTTTAACGTTGAAGAAGATGGGAATTCAGGACCTCTTAAATTGGACTTGGCTTGAACACCCAGGTAAAGAGGCAATTTTAGGAGCTCTTCATACCTTGCATTTCTTGGGAGCACTTGATGAAGCTGGCAGGATCACCTCGCTTGGTTACAAGATGGCAGTCTTGCCATTGCCCCCGTCTCTTTCTGCGGTTCTTATAGCAGCATTCAACAATGGCGTTCTTCAGGAGGTTATTGATATTGTTTCTTGTCTTTCTGTTGAAAACTTAATTCTTAATGTTACTGGAAATGGCGATCTTCGAGACGAAATTAACTATAAAAGAAGGCAGTATTGCCCATTGGGCGCCAAGCTGGGTGATTTGATTGCCTTGAAGGAATACTTTAACTACTTCAAAGAGCTCAATGACTCTAAGAATACAGCCGAATTGAAGGCTTGGTGCAAAGAGTTGTTCTTCAGCTACAAAGGCTTCAAGAATGTCATGAGAGTCCGGAAGCAGATCACCGATTACATGTTTTCTACAGTCAACCAAGATGATTCCATTTCTCAAACAGAAAAAGACCTGCAACTTCGAAGACTTCGAAGCCAACTCTCCATTAATCAACCGGACAATGGAAGTGATGATGAAGACGACTTTGGACAACTTTCGAAGTCAATGGACACTGACTCTATCCTCAAGTCTTTTGTGAAGGGATTTGCTTTGAACACTGCAATTGGAATGCCAGACAGATCATTCAGAACTTGTTCCACAGGCCAACTTATCAGCATTCATCCTTCCTCAAACTTATTTGGCAAGACTAACATCGATGCTATCATGTACATTGAGTTTGTGTACACTGCCAAAGCTTACGGAAGAAATTGTTCTGTTATAGAACTTTCATGGCTCCAAGAAGTTGCTCCCCAACTTTTGGGAAGCACTAAAGTCAGCATCAACGAATAGTTTAGAACTTTCATATATAATCATAGATCTCATATACATTTTGCAGCCATTCCTGGTGTACGGGTCCAACTTATGCTCAAAAGTGGTAACCTTGAAACGTTTCACGCATACACTTCATGTCTAAGAATGAGCCTCTCCCATTGATAGTGCCTGATGATGAATATTATGAGGAGGAGCAGCAGACTTCTTACTTGAGTCACGCTCAGATAGGCTATCTCATTTTAATATCGGTATGGGTGCTTTTCTTGGTCTCTATCAATTCGTTTTTTGAGATCTGGAGATTCGTGGTTTCACCGTTAGGGAAATACCCTGAGACCAATGGGTTACATGAACAGCTTGTGAATTTCTTCCTAGCTGTTGACTACTATGTTATGAGCATGTGGTGTCTTTACGTCGTTTTGTGGTGGTGGGCTTTACTATCATGGATTGGTCTCAAATTGTTCAGACAGTCCAAAGGTCTCCAAACGTAAGACCACTCAGGCGCCATCTTCACCGCGTGCCTTGGTCCATTCTGCGCTTCCTGTCTGTCTTCCTTGCGGTGTGCTTGTCTTGTCTGTGTGACGCTGATCAGTCTTTTGAAGTGTCAAAAGCTCTCTATTATGTATGAGTATGAGATCCTCATAGAGCTTGTCATACTTATCATCCTCGTGGTTGGGCTCTATGTTGTTATGCCAAAAGATGAGCATAAGACGAGCATTAAGGTACTTGATATATTTCAGTATCGTTTCTTCGCTCGACACGACACTCAGTTTTGGAATGCGCTTCTCCTCGTTGACAACGTACTTGTTACTTAAATCAACGATGTAGTGGTTACCGATTCCAATGACATAGCTCATTTGCTTTCCCCAGTTATTGCAATAGAGGGAAGGTTCATCAAACACGTTCTCACAGGGGTCTAAGTGCACCCATCTTTGCTGTTTTTGACTGTAGTACTCGCACCAGACGTGATCTTCCATATTCCAGATATAACGAAGTTGAGCGTCCGGTCCAAGAACGGCTTGAAGTACCAATAAGAAGCAATTGACCCATTCTCCACATCTTCCTCGTCTAGTCTCCAAAAGCTTGACAGGGTTGTTTATTCTGGGAAAGTCAACATCAATGTTACAGACATTGCAATGGTACTTTTCGATGTGACCAATTTCATCAGGATTGATTGCCGGAGGTCCAGCCATCCCGGTCAGTTCGATATTGTCGCCATCCTTACCACATTGTGGGCACTGCGGTTTGTTAACCCACTTGAAGAAGTCGTTTTTAAAGAATGCAAGTGTCTCCTGGACGAGGAGGTCTTCGTATCCCCAGATTTCGTCCTTCTGAGACTTCTCCCTCTGTTCTAGTCTTTCGAAGATCTTTCCTAAATCCACGGCGTCCAATGCTTTTTCTGTACTGCCCTCATCCCTATAACGATCCATCAGATGAACCAACGAAGTGATGGTGTTCGCTAACTGTGCATCTCTTCGATCTCTCAATCTAATGGGGCGTTTGCCGTCGAGCTTCTCGGCGTCTTCGAGGACACATTTTGCATAGCATGAAAGCAATCGTTTCCCTAGATTATTCCAATCAGATTCGACGCCCATGATACAAAGTCACAAAAAAAAAAATATGGAATGTAGTTGACACTACTTTGAGATCCTCCACTGAGATCTCTACATCGTATTATACACCGATCAGGCAAAAAATATATATCGACAACTGCAGGACTCGAACCTGCGCGGGCAAAGCCCAAAAGATTTCTAATCTTTCTCCTTAACCACTCGGACAAGTTGCCTAACTACGCAGGAGATAAATTGCGGGTTCTTCTCATCTGCTAAAGCCATATTTTCGCATTTTTTGTCAAATTAGATTGACTAGCCATATTTTATCTAGTTTTCCAGATACAATTGCAAACCCAGAATTTGCAAATTCGGCCGGAAAATCTGACTTTTTTGGATTTTCCTATTGATTACACGTGATATCAATACCGGCTCATAAGGTTTTTGAGACCCACTTCTTATTCAACCAGGTATGGCCAAACAATCAGCGAAAAAGAAGAAGGCTCCAGCGCCAAAGAAGCCAGCAGCCAAGGCAGACAATGAAGTCTCCTCATACAAGCAGAATCCATATATCCATACGCCATTGTATGATCTTTTGCATGTTTTCGAGAGAGCACCAGACCAGTGGGCAGCGAGGTACATTCTCATCTTGAGTGCTATAATCTTAAGAGGAGCAGTGGGCCTTGGGCCTTGGTCTGGGAAGGGTGAGAAGCCAATCAATGGTGACTTTGAAGCTCAGAGACATTGGATGGAAATCACCACCCACTTGCCAATTAACCAGTGGTACTTCTACGACTTGCAGTACTGGGGTCTTGACTATCCTCCTATCACAGCTTACCATCTGTGGCTATGTGGAGTAATTGGCAATGTCATTGATAGCAGATGGTTTGAACTAGATGCATCTAGAGGTATCGAAACCTCCGCTATAAAGACTTTCATGAGGTATACCAGTTTGATAAGTGAATTGGTTGTGCTCTTCCCTGCCATTCTCCAATTGGTCTCTCTTCTTGGAGGTAAGAAGCTTAAGCTTGGAAGAATGCATCAAATTGTCGTCATTGCTATGATAATTTACCAACCTCCATTGATTTTGATTGACCACGGCCACTTTCAGTTTAACTCGGTAATGCTTGGTTTCTTCCTATACTCCGTTTCCGAGTTGATCAAGGATAACTTGTTGATGGCTTCCGTTTGGTTTGTGGCATCTATTTTGTTCAAGCAGATGTCTCTCTACTACAGTCCATACATCTTCTTCTACATCTTGTCAAAGTTGTTCACCCCAAAGCCAAAGCTTGCACAGACAATTGCATCGTTCGATTTTGCTAAGTTCATAGCCGTTGGCGCTACGGTTGTAGCTTCGATTGCGGCAGTTCTTATCCCCTTCTTCATTGCAGCTCAAGATGCAGCTGAAGTTGAGAAGATGGTGAGGCAGATTGTCCTCCGCATGTTTCCATTCGAACGTGGGCTTTTCGAAGATAAGGTTGCCAACTTCTGGTGCGTAACAAACGTTATTTTCAAGTACAGAGAGCATTTTACTCCTGAACAACTCAAAATTCTCTCTCTTGGGTTGACAATTGTCTCAATACTCCCACCATGTTTGATCACTTTCTGGAAAAATATCACTCGCAAAACCAATAATCCCTTGATGTTGATCTATGGGTTCAGCGCTACTGCTTGGGGCTTTTACCTCTTCTCATTTCAGGTTCACGAAAAGACCGTTTTGGTGCCATTGATCCCATCTACCTTCTTGTTACTTCTGACTGATCCTAATATTGTTGGAATCATTCAATGGATAAACAACATTGGTAGCTTCAGCTTATTTCCACTTTTGAAGAAGGATGGCTTAGTTTTGCAGTATGCCACGCTTACTCTTCTCATGAACTGGTTCGTGGGAGGTTTCAGTCTTCCAAGCAAAAGCTTATTGTGGCCAACACAGCTGCCATTGATCGTGAAGTTTGTTATCATCGGAACTTATGCTGCTACTCTCTTCTATCATGTTGTTGAGTATTTCTTCGAGCCTCCTGCCAGCCTTCCTGATTTGTGGGTTATTCTCAATTGTGTCATTTCATTTGGGAGTTTCTCGTTTTTCTACTTATGGTTGATCTATCATTTGGTGAAGCTCTAAGTTATCGACATACCGGCAAGATAGCACCTGGCTTTATCTGCTTGGTGGATGAGAAAAGACCCCACTCTCCCTCCCACAGCTGGCCGTTGCCTTGGTATAATGCTCTCCAAGGTTCATCGAAAGCCTCAAAATAATACCAGTCATATAGGCCCTCCAACTGGTCGCGGGCCTCACATAGCCATGAGGCTAAAAATGAGTTGAAACTTGCGGGGTCTGCAAGTGATTCACCGAAACGCCCTCCATTGAATGGCCAACCTACTTCAGAAATTACAACCTTGGTTGTATCAGGCAAAAGTGGCTTCACATACTGCGTCATGAATTCAAATATCCAATCGCATGCTTTTTCGACAGGGACATTCTCGTAGAACGGGTTTAGATTAACCCCAATGAAGTCGCAACTAGCGGCTATCTTTGGTGACAAGGCAACACTTAGCTCGCTCGTCCCTACTGGAATCTTTTTACCAGCTTGATGCACGAAGTCTTTCACCAGTTGAATATACTGAATATGCATTTCTTCCAGCACGTCATCTCGATACCTTACCTCGTTGCCGACGAAAATACTTTCGAAGTACCTCTCAGGATACTGCGCAACGAGATGCTTCACAGCCGATAGCTCTATCTCATTAGACGATGAATCATTGCTTATCCATATTCCCAAAGCGACCTTCAATGGAACTTGTGTCCTATTAATCGCATTAAGAATGAATTCCGCCTGATTGCATCTTGTGCTATACGTCCTGATTTTGCCAGTTATTTGGGAAAGAAGCATGATATCGGTATCAGCTTCTTCTTGCGAGAATGTGCATTCAGGCTCAAGAGTACCCAGAGGTGAATAAGATATTCCGTCAAACCATGGAGTCATACGCCAATTTGAGCCCAGCCCTTGTCCCCGTCCCAGGCTGTCCCTTATGATATTCGGTATAAAGTCGTACTTCTTTGTAAGGTCGCTCAACATCTTTTCACGATCCAAAGGTTGCATTGAATTAAAGAAATTGGTTGTTGAAAGATTAGAACCTGTGATTGCAAAAATAATTGCAGGTATCAAGCAGCAAAATGAGATGAGTGCTAGTACGAACAAAATGATATTCCCAAAATTCCAGTTCCTTTTCTGGGGCATCTCATCATCACCATCCTTACCACTAATCTCCTCCACTGAGATTTTACTATTTGGAGGATTGATAGAAATGGGGCTTGACAAGCCTTTTGCTTTGGTAAGGCAAAATTTAAAGTCATCGCTGAGAGGCGAAATAGCACTCAATGGCTTGAATATGACAGTACCAGAAGAAGGCTGTCTTTGAAGCTCGACTTTTTGCGGAGAGAACTCCGTCGCCAGTGGATAAGAAACAGAGGCTGGGCGGGACAGCGATGACATTTTGAGTGTCGCGTTGAAAGCAGGAGACAGAAGAGGAATATCGTCCTTCTGTAAAGCGTTCCCAGCCGTCAATTGATCCATTGCAAGTGCCTTCAACTCTGGATTGGACTCGATTGGGGACCCTGCATTATCATGAGAAAGGCTGTGAAAGTTATCGAAAGGGTTGGATAATCTCGAAACCGGCGCCGCAGGGGTTGCCGCCGGAATCGTCGCTCGTCGCTGACGAGAAAGCATCGGTGGCAGTGGCATCTGGGTTTGAAGGAATCAGTCGAGTTTGTACGTAAAAAGTGACAGGAAGAATGGTTGCAAAAAAAGAGCCTCATGAAGGGTAGTAATGTACAGGAAAGAACAATTGGCAAGGAGTGTAGGTTCTAGGCAAATCAGAGGGGCACAATCAAGCGAATAGAATGTTTTTCAGGGATATTATATAATGGGGATGAACAATCTCGTCACCAGCAGAGATCTGCTCTTCTAAATATGCACAATAGCGGAAATCGGTGATGGCGCAAGATTTCATGCCGACTAGGTAAATCGAACTGAAGCGTAGTGTAGATGAGAAATCCGTTATGAAAAAAGCTTGAGGCGCTAATAGAACCGTGGGTTTGAAATGTCTTAGCACTTGCAGAAACCAACCATAATGTTACCAAAGAATGCAGCAGTAGAACTCAAGCAACCTTCTCCAGTAGATGGGCAACAAGCATCACAGGCACCAAAGCAAATACAACAGTCCTGACAGAACTCAGTACATTCATTAGTGTCTCTATGGTATCCAGACCACGTCTCTGATACTGTTTGCATGGACGGACGACCATCCTCGCCAATAGGAGACTGGGGCTCAGGCTCAGCGTCTATGACCTTATCCAGGTAATCCTGGTATTGATCTCTGGATGCCTGAGGTTCGTCATTTTCCTGGAAAGTCAAGTGCTTCGAGTCCAGGTAAGAGTCTGTGGAATGGCTCGACATCAGCGAGTGGGATCTGGAATGGGGTGATTGAGGCAGCGGCACAAGCGAGATCAGAGGAGGGTGTTATGGGACGTTAGGGGAACGTTTGGGACGGAACCGCAGGAAGGGGAAGTTGTCAGGAAGTTAGGATGGAACAGCAAAGGAAGATGATGAGAAGAAAGACGAAGGGGCCGGAAACTACGTTGATTCAAGCAAAAATTTAGCCTCAGTGCGTGCATATATATTTGAGGGAACCATAACCATGGAAGGGTCAGAAGTGTACCTTCAAGCAATATAGGCGGGTCGCGATGAACTAAAAAAAAAAAAAAAAAAAAAAAAGCAAGAACGTCAGCGCCTCCTCGCCAAGTGGAGCTATATAACAAATACACCACAAAAACCATATATTGTAGACTGGGAAGGAAAAAGAAAGGCAAGCACACTAGCGGGGATGGATCTTTTACGCAAGAAAACACAGCTTCTACAGCTCTACTACCCCGACTACTCTGCTGATGTTCTCCGGGATATCTTGGCAAGTTGTAACGGTGACGTGGACCAGGCAAGGGTGTTGATCGAGGGGCCCAAGCATCAGAAGCTGACGGGCCAAATCCAACGAACCCTTCCAGTGAAGGCGAAACGAAAGTTGGAGGTAACGGCAACGCCACTGCCACTGTCTCTGGCGCTGGTGGTGGCGCCAGAGAACGCGAAGAAACGTCAAATCACTAACCGGCTGCCTCAAATCACCTTAAACACGCCAGAAGATGTAGAAGTCCACTTGGGCGGCTACGCGCTGCTCTATGTCAATTTTTTCCCCAAAGAACTTGCAAATGACCTATTAAACGAACTTACAGAGTCTAAACACAAATTCAAGTATCGCCAGTTTTATCTCTTTGGCAACCTCTGTCAACTGGATGTTCTGGTGGCTCCGTTTGCAGCCCGCGACAATGATTGCCCTACAGTGGTGTACAACGGTTTGCCTGTGCAAGGAGGAGACTCGCCAGGCCCCCATGAGTATACGCGCCATTTCGAACTGGCTGCAAAATACTTGGAGGAGAAGATGAACAAGAGCATAATACCACTGAATCCTCGGCTTCCGTATCAAAGAAATGATAAATGGTCGGCTGAGTTTTGTGTGGCCAACATGTATGAAAAATTGAGTAACCATTTGGATTGGCACTCTGATCGGCTCTCCTATATTGGGCCGCACAACTACATCGCCTCGGTACTGTTAGGTCTGACCCGAGTATTTAAACTTCGATCGACCCATAAGCCTTCGTCTCCTGTGTACCTGGTGCCCCTTCCTCATAATAGTTTATTTTTAATGAAACCAGGCTGTCAAGAGGAGTTTAAGCATACTTTGGGACCGATGGGGAAGCTGTTACTGTTGCATCCTCAGGTAGGCACTCTACGCTTCAGCCTCACTTTCCGCCACTACCCTGCCGACTTTATACGAAACTTGCCTCGCTGTCGATGCGATCTCCCCATGATGCTTCGACGGGCTTTTAAAAGTCCAGAAACCAAGGGTTTCTATTTTTGGCTGTGTGAGAATGTGTACCAGAACAAGGACTGCGGAACTTTCCATTGGGCAGACTTCAACAACCACAAAGATCATTTTGTGGCTAAGTCACAGGACTTGGCGTCCCGGTGGATCGCTCCAGAATAATTTATTAATGATAACGAATGCCTTACGTTTCAACGTAGAATTTGGTTGCAAAACCGAAAAAAAAAAATAACGACAACTGCAGGACTCGAACCTGCGCGGGCAAAGCCCAAAAGATTTCTAATCTTTCTCCTTAACCACTCGGACAAGTTGCCTTGTTACGATTACGAATAATATCAGCACTAACCGGTAATGTTGTTTCGTGATATGTACTTTATACAACATTTTTAAGACATCATCCTATTGCAAATGTTTCAAAGATACATCTGTAGAAGTTTCAGCCGTATAGACCCCCGGAAACTCGAGTTTGGCCATATTGAGCTCAATTGCTGTCTTAGGTCACTTTAAAGACCATATTTTGAAACTCTGCTTGTTAAAGTACCTCTAGATTAAGTTTCATGATAATTCTTGATTTGTGGTGTATTTTTTTGTCATTTGCAGCCAATGTGTGGGAATCCTAACATGGTGCGAAAGTGATAGTTACATATATACGGAAACTACAATCTCAAGTTCATGAAACCATTTGACTAGCGCAGAAAAAAGAACCTCACCATTAAAAAGCAAACTTTACCACATTAAAGCAATGACAGTGTACCATTGTCTGAGCTGCCAAACTCCAATCAAGTTGGATGACTCTCTTAACAAGCTATCCAAGGCACAGAGTGACCTTATCATTAAGAAAGCCACACAAGCTCCCAAAGTTCCTTTAGCTCCACCAACAAATTACATACCTCGTGAGAGACTTGACCTACTAGAGGAGGCATTGAAGGATAGTCCACATGATGCTGTCCATTACAAGAACGAGAGTAACCTAGTCAAGGAGAAACCACTGTCCTACGACTCGAAGCACTCATACGTGTATATCTCTGACAACGAGGAGTCGGAGCCAAATAATGAAACGGAGAGGAAGAACTCCGCTACTCCTGACCATGAGGACCAACTACCTGATTTCTCTCGTATCAAGTCCTTGGGTCTTGTGTTCGATATCTTATCTCAGAACCAAGACGTTAGTCATCCTATGAGCGCTGAGTGTGCCCAGCTTCTCATCAACAACTACAAGTTCAAGTTTGACCAAAGCCAGCGGGAGAAGGAATACTACATTTCTTTCTTGAAGAAGCTCAAGGAAAGAGAAGGTAATTACTCCACTTCTGCTGAGGCTGAAACCGACTCTAAGTTGGCCGAGGCTGCTAACGAGCTAGAGCTGCTACGTCTCCTCGAGCAGAATAAACTTCAAGAACTCGAAGACTTAGAAAAGACTCACGAAGACTTGCAAGATCAGCTTCGGGACCTAGACCAGCAACTTGAAACGCTCAATTCTGAGAGTCTCAACGATGTACTCCTGCTAAAGAATACTCTTACGATGGATTTATCACAAAAGCAGAGCCATCTCGACCATTCTAAAGCCTTGTACCAAAAACAACTAGATCACTTGGACTCCCTACGGACACTCAATATTTTCAATCGCTTGTTCCAGATACTGTTTGATGGCGAGGAGTCTTACGGAAGGATAAACGGGTTCAGACTCGGGCATAAAGTACCTTGGCCAGAGGTCAACGCTGCACTCGGCCAAATTGCACACTTATTCAAGTTCCTATCTACCAGACTAGCGTTTGATTTGGAAGGCTACAAACTAGTTGCAATGGGCTCAAAGTCTTACCTCGTCAAGACGTCTGCTAGACAGACTACCGAGGATGGACGTAGCAGGAGCTCCTCTGTTCTCCAGTTACACTCCACCAATGAGTTCACCCTTGGGAAGCTCTTCAACTTCAACAAGCTTGATGTTTCTATGATTGCACTACTTGACATTGCAAGCCAATTCGAAGCAAAGATCACCGAGCTTGACGAGGAGTTTGAACTACCTTACCCAATTGCCCCAAACCACGATAAAATTGGAGGCAAAAGCATACGCGTCACGCTGAACAACCGCTGGACGGAAGCGTGTAGATTCTTATTAACAGACCTAGCGTGGATGCTTACGTTCGCCAGTGCGAGAGACGACATACCTACATAGTTAATAGCGCGAGCGATTTTTGCAGCCATCCTTTTCCTACCAACCACTTCTTCTTTATCGTCATGTTAAACACGTGGCGTGTTCTGCCGTACAAATACGATTTATCTGATCTCTCTGGTATCTGTGACCATTTCTTAGGCAATGCCCTTCCCAGCACCCCAAGAAACTCGGGTTGGCAGATTTACCAACTGCCTTGTCGAGATCTTGAAACGCCTCCTGCCTCTACTCCACCAAACCGTTTATATCTTATGGCTGCACGGTCCCGGAAAGTTCCGCTGCTGCCTTACCATATCTCAAAGAACAACTCTCCTTACCGGTCGGCAGAATGTTCCCGTGCATTCTGCACTTCTGAGCCGTCGAGATCTCCCACCTTCAAAGAACTCAGTGACATCACCAAAGCCATCAAGCAGAAGTATTCAGGATCTTCCTCAGTATACAAAGCCTCTCCTGAACAAAACTTCGCCCCATTGGTCCCCCAAACCTTTCAACATGCGCATATACTGACGGAGGGCTCGCCACAGCAAAAAACACCAACGGTGACGCAGAAAATGACACCTACTTTGACACGTAAAAAGAAGCTGCCTAAACCGTTCATTCCACCGGAGCGAGTCTCTGAACGAAGGAGAAACGCCGGCTCTAAGCCACCGAATCAAACCACCTCTGGTTGGTCTTGCAACCGCGAGGAATCTGGCAATGCAGGTACCAAAAACAAGCATGAGGCTAGGGCGGCGCTTTCTCCTATCAAACCTAACACAGGTTTTCCCTCGGTAGTAGGAAAAGGCAGACTGAAAAAGATGTCGTTTCTCCGCCACTTGAAAACCTACAAAACCGCACCGGTTGTGGGTTCTGGCTCGGGTACCGAGGCGAAGCAGAGGCTTTCGCAGCCAGTTGCAAAAAGTAACCCAGGCCGCCGAAAGAGCACAAAAACTACCAGCACACGAGTAGGAAAACGAAACCCGCTGCGTAAGGCAAAGACAAGGCTCGACAGCGGTGATTCTTCACTGGAGGACGAAATTTGCAAGAAAGCCACCACCGCCAGTGGCTGTAGTACTGCCCACAAGGCACCAGCAGTCTCTCGGGACTACTACGGATGTTGGACTTGCAGAGTTCGACATCGTCCGTGTCCAGCTGACGGCCCGCCGTGCAAGACTTGCAGGCGGTTCGGCTACGAATGTGACATGTCATTGACACGCCCAGCATATATTAAAGATCCAAAGAAGAAGAGGAAACGAATGAGGTATCTTCAGGAAACGCGCCAGCGCTAATCCGTCAAAGTTTGACACCGGTGCGGGTTTTCTTACCTGTCTCATTCTCCTTCTTGTTCTGTGTACTTTTTTTTTTTTTTTTTATTTTTTTTATACTATTCTCCTGCACCTTCTGGCCCTAAACACAAGTTGCAGGGCGAGCCTTCGTTTCCACTCCGATTCTTCCCAATACTCCCTCGAACCCACGTCGTGCAATCCACTCAGTTTCTGCCATGAGATCGTACCTTTGGTCTACTCTTGTCACGCTTTTCTTGGTGACGTTTGCTGAGGCCTTCTACTTGCCGGGAGTGGCTCCAACCACTTACGCAGAAGGTGACAGAATTGAGTTGTTGGTCAATCATTTGACCCCGTCATTGACCCACCTCACCACCACCAACCACAGAGAGAAAACGAGGACTCAAATATATTCATATGACTATTACTATCCAAAGTTCCAGTTCTGTAAACCTGCTGGTGGCCCCAAGAAGCAGCTGGAGTCCCTCGGAGCCATCATCTTTGGTGACAGGATCTTCAATTCTCCATTCGACATCCTGATGTTGAAGAATGAGCACTGTAAGACGTTGTGCCCAACGAAATATAGTAAAACGGATGCTGCTTTTGTCAGCCGAAACATCAGAGCAGGCTACAATTACAATTGGATCATTGACGGTTTGCCTGCTGCTAAGATCGTGAAGGACATGAGAACAAGCACTGATTTCTACTCTTCTGGTTTCCCAATTGGTGAAGTTGATGACAGCAACAGAGCTTATCTTTTTAACCATTTCAACATCAACGTTGAGTACCATAAGAGAGCAGAGGGCCAATACAGAGTCGTTGGTATCACTGTTGCTTCTTCTTCCATGGACAGAAGCAAGCTCGACAAATCAAAGACCGCTGCCGAGGACTTGTGTAACCCTAAGTTGGCCCGTGTCATGTTGTCGAAAGACACTGAGAAGGAGGTTTTGTTCACTTACTCTGTCACTTTCCTGGAGTCCTCGACTGCTTGGGCTACAAGATGGGACAAGTACTTGCACATTTATGATCCAAAGATTCAATGGGTTTCCTTGATCAACTTTTCTTTGGTGGTCATTATTTTGGGTGTCATCATGGCCCATATCTTGGTCACTACCTTGAAGAACGATATTGTCAAGTACAACGAGGTGAATTTGGACGATGATGTTGCTTATGACAGTGGCTGGAAGTTGGTGTACGGTGATGTTTTCAGATCGCCTCCTAACAGAATGCTTTTGTCTGTTTTGGTTGGAAGTGGTGCCCAATTGTTCTGCATGACTTTGGTGACCATTTTCTTCGCTGTCTTTGGCTTGTTGTCTCCATCAAACCGTGGCTCCTTGTCCACTTTCATGTTTATCCTCTTCATCTTCTTCAGCATTGTCTCTTCATATGTGAGTGGCTATCTTTACCGCTTCTTCGGTGGTGAAAATTGGAAGGTTAACATGTTAATGACTCCAACCCTCGTACCTGGAGTCTTGTTTGGTGTCATTGTGTTCTTGAACTTTTTCTTGATCAATGCCGGATCATCTGGTGCCATCCCTGCCGGAACTATGCTTGCCATGGTTCTTATCTGGTTTGCCATATCTTTCCCATTATCCGTCGTTGGTTCGATTCTTCAGTCCAAGAAACCTATCCTTCTGGTTCCAGTGAGAACAAACCAAATTCCAAGACAAGTGCCTCAACAGCCATGGTACTTGAAGACAGTTCCAGGCATGATAATGTCTGGTCTTTTCCCGTTTGGATCCATTGCCGTTGAGTTTTATTTCATCTTCTCGAGTATCTGGTTCAACAGAATTTTCTACATGTTCGGCTTCTTGTTTTTCTGTTTTATTTTGATGATTTTGACAACCGGCCTTATTACATTGTTGTTTGTGTACTACACTTTGTGTAGCGAGAACTACAAGTGGCAATGGAAGGCCTTGCTCATAGGTGGAGGCTGTTCTGTCTATGTTTTCCTTCATTCCTTGATCCTTGTCAAGGGAGCTTTGAAAGACTTTACATCGATGGTGTTATATCTTGGGTACACCGCTGTGATCTCGATTCTCGTTTTCTTGGTTTGCGGCTCGGTGGGCTTTATCTGTGCTTTATTCTTTGTCAGAAGAATTTACTCCCAGATCAAGATAGATTAGGAATACTTGGCATACCAGTGTTCTATGAATGTACAAAAACCTAGCATAAAATAAATTGTTCTACTGCAACTTGAATGAAAGGAAGTAATGCATGACTATGTAAATCAGAACCATCCATCCAAATCTTCTCTTTGAATGAAGGTAGTGATGGTCTCCGAGACCTCGCGTCTCCAGGCATCGAAGTTACCAACCCTGGAGGTAAGAGAATCTCCTGCTGGGGGTCCTGAAACACTATTGAACTGTAGCTTATGGTGGTCGATCTTGCTGAGAATGAGGGTGATCGACGTCAGTCCCAAGCCGCTGACATTGACAGGCTCGTTAGCTGGCGACGATGGACTCAAGTTTGGATACTTATTAGGGCTGCTCAAAGTAGTTCTCGCGTTAGTAATCGCATTGAGGTTATTGTTCACGTTACTGACGAGTAAGTTATACGCAATGGAAAGGTCACTCATTATCTTGACTGACCTAGTGTAAAGCTCACTGTCAGTTGCATATCTCATCAATGGGTCCACGAGAAGCTTACAAGCTTTGATAAGTTTGAAGGACTGCCCATAGCTGAGGTTAAAGAATGGCCCAATAAGGTCACCAGCACTTGTGATAGACTTGTTGTTTGAATAGATTGTGGAAATATAGTTGTCGAAGTTAAGAAGTGACTGAGTAAGTTTCTTGAGTAGACGGCTTATCTTGAGTTGATGATCATAAAGCGCATCATGGAGACTGTCATCCGCATGATGAGGACTACCCGCCGGCGGGTGTGCTTCAAAAAACTTCATCACTTCTTGTAAATTATCATAAAGCTCGTATTTGTCTTTGATTAAAGACACAAAAAGGGACGCAAAGTTAGGGACCATAGAATTGGTGGGGTTATTTGGTGATGTTTTAACCGACCAAGACTCCCTATACCTTGGCTTCGGTGAAGAAGACAAGACAGAATCTGCCCTCAGCATAACTAGATCATTGATCACCATGGATGCTTGCACATTATAGTAGAATGGCAGTTGAGAAGCCTCTGATGGCATCAACATGGCAATATTCCGTATGAATAAATCATAGTTCGATGGGAGAATCAGCAGTGAGCCAAAACTTAAACTGTAGGTGTTGTCAATCATGTACAAGCACATGTAGAGTCTTGGCAAGTAAAGCTGAACATCATCTGGACTGAGGCGAGTGGAAGCTGGATCCCTAACAAGCGTGGCAAAGTTTTCGAGGAGCTTGAAATCGTTAAAAACTGAGGCTGTCATTGCAATGCCCAACGAATAAACGTCGCCGTTTATCAATATCGTATAGTTAATGAGAACCAACGTCGAGAAGAACACGATAAGGAGATCATCATTAACCATAATCCCATTGTGGTTGAAAGGATAGATGGACATGACGCTTCTGAGCAAGGCAATCAGGTTACTTAATGGAACATGCTGATAGTATAACAAGTTATTAAGGGCAGTTCTGAAAAGTTCAACAACCATAGATGTATGCGCAGATGGATCGTTAATCAACGTATGGACAATCTTCACTATGAGTGGCTGGGAGAAAGGAAGTACCGAAAAATTGGCGTGGTACTTGGTATAGTACATATTAATATTATGTTCCAAGGAATGGAACGGGAGTGCAACCGGATTATTCTCTGGTGGTCTTTGATGCCCATTATTGTTGAAGTGCAAGGGTTGTGGGGAATGCTGGAAATGAGATGGCTGAGGTGGGTGAGTGTTGTTGAGATCAAGCAGCCTATTCATCTTCCCATTTAATGACAGTAGCGACGAGACAGAATTCCGTGGTGAGAGGCTGGCAGAATATGCTCTGGACCGCGAGGAATAATAGTCATCATCGGAATCAGACATGGCCATATCGGAATTTCCAGTCGACTTGAGGGAAGAAAAGCGAGATCTCGACCCGGAAGTCAGAATTGAGCTGACTGAGTCAACGGAAGAGCGTCTCAGATTAGACGCCAGTCCGTTCCTCAGGTTTGATGCAGAGCCGTCCAGACCGTGGGAATTTGAATTTGGCATTTCATAAGGCACGGTCCACAAAGGCCCCCGAATTTTAGGGTCCTTCGTCTCCATACCAGGGCCACCATGTGGACTCAAAGGCACAGAAGTTCCAGAGGGAACCTTCAGTACGGGCACCGAAAGTTTAACTGGCTGTTTGGAAGGTTGTGGGCCGAGGAGTGGCGGTAGTATAATTGGGGACGAGGAAGATTTTCCGTTGGAGAAAGTCAGACGATGCAAAAGGGGTTTCGTAGGAACCAGCAGTGATGAGGAGACGGATGAAACGGAGCCTGACCTTTGGTCGGAATGTGCATTTGGAGGAGAACCTGTAGGGATACCTTGGGCATTGGACTCAGGCTTGGAGGTATCAACAGACTTCAGACGAGGTCTGCCTTGAAGCTTTAGAACTGATGTATGATGGGTGCTCGGATACCCAGCCGTCTGGTCGTCCATCTTATCAACTAAATCACGAATGTATCCCTTAGAAGGTCCACGCTTCAAAGGAATCCTCGAGAAGGTACATGTTTCGGCATTTTTCACACAGTTGGTACATATTTTTGTCACTTTTTGGAGGGTTTGCAGAAACTCAGCATCACAACGGATCTTCTTACGTCGACAGGCATCACAGGCCCTAGACACTTTTGATCGTTTGCGTGGGAGGCTGTCTTTGGAGGATCTTTCTTCGTCACTCATCGCCGGGTAGTGAGGGAGACAGAGGGGGGGAGGGAGAACTGGCTGGCGAATAAGAGCGCCGGAAAAAGTAAATATGGAGGTTAGAATTCGCTTGAAACTGGAGGTGTTAATCAAACAATGCTCTTGAAGTAGCGTAGTCCAGGCGTTGTCCTGATGATACACCCAGTAAGTTAAAAGTGAAAGTATGGGGTAGTATTCGGGAGAAGAAAAATGAGAGGAATTGGACGGATTTACATTTTCTCCGTAGGAGTGCACCGTGCAGGCTAGGGTTCGTAAATTATGGGGGAGGGTGGAGTGGTGTAACGCGGGGACTGCCAATTTTTCTGCAGTGCTCATGCCTCACGAGCCTCACGTGAGAGATCTATGGTTACTTTGACAGCTTATGGTTAGATGTAAAGGCGTGAGGAATTGACTTTACACCACTTTTGAAAAGCTTAAAACGTGGCTAGGTTATACAAAACCACATATTGTGATAGTGGTGATGTTTCAGCGCAGAAAATATCGCGAGAAGTAAATGACGAAAGCAAGAGAGTCGGTTTCGGTCACGTGACATGCCTGTTTCTCCGGGGAAACGGCCCCCGGGGGGCCACGCAAGGCAGAAAAACCTGTAGCAGGAAGCACCAACTCGGAAGCGGGAGTTTTTCCTGACTAGGACATTCGCCGCACCTCCACTGGCAAATAAATGTATGGACAGCCTCACTATAACTTTTCGCCTTGCCTAGTAATTTTCCAAAAAATCATGATGCCGTTCTCGGATTAACTGTTGCACCCCCTCTCTTTAGCCACCACCTATGTTCGCCCACTGGTTTAGCCCAAGGAATATTGCGCTTCACTATGGAACGTTACCAAAAAAGCGCACCCATTTTTTTTGTATGTATACAACATCGGAAAAATCAGCCGGGCCATGGTGCGGCCATACCCCATACTTTGCAATGCCCACGCCTTTTTTTTTTTTTCTCCCTGGTGGGGGAGCCTAGCGAGGGTTACATTTTTCCGGATTCATCGCTTCTCGGGAAGGCGTTGGTCACGCACTGAAACCACGCCGTGAGGCAAAACACAGTAGGATGATTTTGCGGCTTAAGTTTAAGCGTTGTGTTTTTTGTTTTTGGGGTCCTTGGTAGACGACAGAAATCGATCACGGAAGCTTGGAGCCAATAGGGGTCCGGACAAATGGGCGGTTACCTAAGGTGGACACTGGTTGAGAAGGGTATCCTTTTTTCTCCGGGACACAAGGCTCACTAACTATATTCCTTAACGCATACGTTGAGTGCAGAGGCTTGAATGCCGCCCCCCACCCTGCTGTAAAACAAGCTAAAAACAAAAATAGTGAAAAAAAAAAAAAAAAAAAAAAATGCAACACCGACATTGCTCTGGGTAACAATTGACGGCATTGGTGGAACAATTATCGGAGAAGTTGTGTTGCACCCGTAGCCGTCATATGTGGGCGGGTCAGTATGGGTAATATTTTTCACTACCGGAACAACCTGACCGGGATTGGTCCGGGTGGCTCTACCATTCTTGGTGCCGCTATTAATTTCTTCTGTACGGCTCGGGTGGTGAATAAGTTCTTGCCTTGGCGGAAAGGGCCACACCACACCTTGCCAAGTTACAATCGTTTCGATTTGTGGGGTCAATGGCTTCCTGTTTTCCATACTGCTCGCTTCTATATACGGAACACAATTCCGTAGCTGTCTAAGGAGTTTTGGATAATCTACTGTTGATGTCTGCTGCTTTTCAGTTTTAGCTCTATATACTTTTTTTCTTTTCGAGGTTCTAAGAAAGGGGCCCTGCAACATCCGTTAACTCAAGACTTCTACGGACGTAAAGTGCGCCCAATCTGGTATTCATACTCAGCGGCTACTTCTATGTATACATCTCGGAGTTTATGTCTTCGGGCGGGTTCCCCAAGTGAGGCCTTGTTTAGCGGAAATGACCTACATGAAGGGGATAAAATATTGGTTTGGGCAGTGTTTCTTGTTTTAAGTAACTTCCAGCGGTGAGTGTCTTCTGAATACATACTCTTCCCTACTATGTGGCACAGTTCACCAACATGGAAAGTATCCATTTATCCATTTGTCATTAAACATTCTAGACCTCCAAAATGATCACTTCATGCTCTGATCACTTCCTTAAAAGATGTAAGTGGCTTGTTCAGTGCAAATCTTTGCTGTTCATCTCACTGTCTATTGCTGCCTACCCGCTCCACATTCTATGGTGTGCGCGTACACTCTAGATACTAGTCATCTTCTGTTGATCTTCAAGCAACATACATGGCACACTGGCCACCATATTCTAACCTAGTCGTACCCATAGTAATAGTGATATGTCTTGCCTACTATAACTATGCGTCTTGCTACGTCGTGGCCTATAAAGAAATATACCATCACCATTCCAAAGCAGGCGCAGTGGTGATATGGGTATTTGAATGCCTACTACAGTTGTGCTTGTTCGGTACATGGCTAATAGTGCTTGCTCGAGGGCCAGGTACCTCTCCAAAGATTCCTGTTTTCGACATATACGATACCAAGGATCCAGATCTACTGCCTGTTCCAGATATCTTCTTGTGTGACGAGCAAGGCTATCCATACTGGTGTTCCTCTTGCAACTCCATCAAGCCCAAGCGTTCCTTTCATATCAAGGGACTTAATCGCTGTGTTCCTCGATTCGATCACAAATGCATCTGGATCGGCACCAGTATTGGAAGAGATAACATATTATTTTTCTTGCAGTTCCTAGTCGAGTTTGGTAGCCTTTTCATCATAGCCTTGATATCGGCTGCTGCTACAGCTCGGCCAGCATTCGATAGAGATTGGCAAAACATACCTCATTATGTCGTTATATTTGCATGTTCAGTTCTTTGGTTACCAATGATTCTTGGTCTTTTACTTCAACAATTTGCATTTGCATTTACTAATAGAACAACTATAGACGATATTAGCATGAAACAAGCAAAAAAGTACAACGAGTGGAGGAAGGGGGATGAAAGTAACTTACCCAAATGCCTTCGAAATAATTATCAAAGAGAGGAAACAGGCGTGCGCTATGTCAATCTCAAGACCAAATCCTCGCGTGTTGTGGTGCCGTTCTTCATTCAAGACGATCCATACTCTGAGGGTTTCACACGGAATGTAACCCGTCTAGTGTATGGTGAAAGTGACAAGGCGTTATTCTGGTCAGCGATGTTCCATATTTGCTTTCCCTTCGGACCTTTATTGGTTAAGAGAAGCGTCCTGGAGGTTGAGACATATGATACCGCATCAGAGCCCTTCAGCAGAAGATTCTTGGAACTCATCAATAAAAAGGTATCAAATGCCGATTGCAAAGACCCTATTTATCTCCAAAAGGACATAAGTCAAACGAACTAGCCTAAGCATAGAACAACAGTCCAATCACGAACTAGATCCATGAATCCAATATCTTCTCCTTCTGAGCGCCGTTTCCATACCTCAAAAAGAATCTGCTTGGATCTCCAATAGTTATGCTTTCTGAAAGTTCTATGGCTCCAAATACTTCGACAACGTTGTTGTAACTTCAGATTCGTGTGAATATCTATATCACATCCACATACTAATATAGGCCAAAACGAGGGTGAAAAGAAGAACGGCTCCTTGCGTTTTTGTAGTTCTTCAGATAATTTTATAAGCTTCTCCATGGAATCCATGCATGCATGTATGTGGGATTGGGTAGTTGTGAGAGAGCTTCCTGGAATCAACCTTTTGTAGTAGACTTTAAGTGCATGATAAACGCCCATCACATTATAGTAGAGACCCTCGTGGAACAGAGAGTAAAAGGTTTTAGTAGCCGTATTGGTGATTGGATCGTATTCGTTGTCATAAAGCTTCCAATAGCTCTCGACATTCCAGTTGAGAATTTTGTCTTCTGTGTCAGCACATACTCTCGGGTAATTTCTTGGGAAGAAACCTTGAGTTTGGAAAACTCTTTTGTGATTGGTAAGCTGCACAACTTCGTGTAACAATTGAAGCAATGATTTTGGCAACCCATAGGAAACATAGACAGAACGATCACCCAATTCCGGGCAGATTGGGCTGGAGCTCAGGTGCATCGTACTACGGCGCAACGGGAGGGATGGAAGCTCGGTGTGGGAAGCTTTCCTCTGACGATTGGACTTCTCGTTAAAATGCACAGTGAACGAAAGTGGGTTCTTATCGTCAGTTGTTCCCGCGGCAACCAGAATATTCTTTGGCCTTTCGTTCCCTTCAAGGTTATCGCTCTCTTCACTCGTCGAATCGTACAGTTCAACATCCGATAAGTTCTTCGATAAATCATAGTTCTCGTCCAAGTCTCGGTATCTCTGCTGACGATCTTTATCAGGAATCTCATAGTTGAAGATAGTCACCGCCTGAGTGGAATTGTAAAAGATCTGCAAGATTTCAAAAACACTTCGAAGATATTTGTCGAGTGTTGTAAGTTTTCGCTCAACTTTTCTCAAACGACTCTTGACAAGGAAATCGCCAATAGCAAAGATGAGCTCATAATTTTCATAAACACCAAAGAGATCATCGAGATTGATTTGGAGTAGTAAGGCTAGCAACAAGCATGTCTCGTAGTTATCAATCTCTGGGTACAGCGAATTATTGTCGTACTCATCCAAATGGTAGTTCAATATGTTTATGCCCAACTTTCTCATTTCAATGGCAGCCTTCAATTCATCATCCATGTAGTATGTTTTGACGTCGTTATTGACATTCTTTTTTTCGTACTCCAGAGATTTACGGAAAGCACTCGTTGCTAAGCACATGAACATTATACCCAACCTCAAGTTCTTAAGTAAAAGTGTTCTTGAGATTGTAGTGCTTTCTTTGCGAATATAGTGTGTTCTCCAGTTGTTTGACGACGGAAATTCTTCACAGACGAGCTCGAAAAAGATCTGCTTGATTAATGGTAGCACGTAAGTGTCCCATTGATTCCTTTCATATACAACTCTGGTAAAAGCCATAGATGAGGCATCAAGCTGTTGCGTAGTGGTAGTCAACAATGGAGTGATCTCAACACCCCCAGGTGCTGTAACCGATTGTCGGAAATAGCGCAACATGACATTCACACTTGGCCGCCAATCATCCGGATCTATATTGGGGAAAAAGTTGGGGTACAAGATATGAAACATACTTTGTTCCGAGAACTCATACTTTGTCCCTTTGATAGCCAAAGTTGTAAGTTTTGCCGAATCCAAAAGAGCGTAATGGACATAGGTATTATCCGTCTTGGAGAAAATCGATGTTTCCGGTTCTAATCTATCCGAGTCGATTCTCTCATTCTCCGTATTCTTGATGAGCTCATCTATCGATTCCGAACTACTGAGTTCGAGCGAGTCAGCACTCTTTGCAGCTTCCTCGATGTCCATCGGCTGAACTTCAGGTAAGGTCTCCTCGGGTTGTGCTTTCTTTGTTGGAGATACTTTGGGAGTTGGAATAGTTGAAGCAGCTTTTCCTGGAACTACAAATGCTCCAAATGGTCCGACGAAAAAGTCCGATCCATCTGCGGTCTTTTTTGAGACATCGTCTAACTGAGACACAACAGCGTTTAGCTTTGCGTATGTCTCATATTGCATCAGACTAGGGAAGTAAACCAAATCAACATTCCGTCGCAGCAGAAGTCGTTCCTTCTCTAAAGCAGAGCCTTTCCCCTCTTTCACCAGCACTAGTTGGTTCTCCTGATCAACCACCAACGGAGCCGCCCACGCCAAAACGATACTGTAGCCCTTGCACTCAAGCTTTGCTCGCTTACAGCGTAGACATACCGGCCTGGTACAATCACACTTGATTTTTCGTAGACGACATGTCCAGCATCCGTCAAAGTTTCTTGATCTTTTCTTCACGCCCCGCGATGATCTTGATAAAGCAGGTGCCGCTGGTGCCATCAACTGGCAGCTATGGTATTTTCAGAGTAGTGTAGCTGTTCGTCTGAAAAGCTTAGCAAATTTGCAAAAACTTTGGGTTGTGTTGCCACTCTGTAGGTTGTACTGGTTGTCTTTCTATTGGAAGTTGGAGGTCCGAGATTTGAGAAGACGTGAGGCTTGGGACTTAGCGCGGATAAATGTTTATCCTACCGAAACATTCCCTATTTGGAACACACATTACTCAGGTTACCCCAGTTATTTAGACTTTGACATTGCTTGTGCTAGGCAAGTTCTTCAGTTGGTTATTGAAAAATGGAGCTTTCAGACGAGTTTGACCCTTCAATTCCGGTTATTCTACCGCACGAGAATGTATACTTAATCCAGGTGGGCTACAAGCTATTTAGATTCAGTGGTGCTAGTTTACTGTCGGATGCTCCGTCCTACTTCACCAACTACTTCCTTAACTCCCAAAATGCTGAAAAGGTTCTTTACATCGACAGAAACCCACAGGTGTTCGAGAAAATCTTCTCCCACTTGCAAGGGTATCATATAGATGTAGAAGACGCCCATGAGTATGTTTACTTATGGCTGGACAGTTACTATTTCGGCCTACGCCGATTACAGAAGTTGTTGGATAGTGAATTCACGTTTGCTTGTATCGGAAATGAATCGTTCAAGATCCCCAAACAATTGTTCGATAGAACAAACAACTACCCCAACTACTTTCTGATCAATTTCGATAGTTTATTATCAGACAATCGAAAGATCATTCAAAGCAAGTCAATGCTCAGGCCTCCGCCACAGCGTCCGCCAATGGCTCCCTTGAGGTCTTCTAAGCTATTTGGGGACCTATTGGAAATTCTTAAAGGCAATGATAGCACTATCAAAGACGATGAGCATCGCCAAGCCTTGCTTAAAGAATGTCGCTACTACCGTTTCCTTGAGTTGGAACAAAGATTGCTTAAACATGAGCTAATATCCAATCCCTTCACCAAGGAGCAAGAGATTGTGTTGAATCTTTTTGATCTACAGCCTAAAGGTGTCGTTAGTCGCTCGACTGGTTACCACGATGAGCTTCCCTTGCGTTACACTCGCCCTTATATGATCAAAGAAAAAGAGAGAAGTCTTATAGTACAGGTGACATTAGAAGCTGGCTCTACGTGTAAGCTTGCCCTTAATCGGGACTCTCATCTTACACTGCTTGTTTGCACTGGAAAGATTGCCAATGCCTTCCACAATGTTTTCGGTTCGTTTGCTAAGGACCTTCTGCTTGAGCACCAACAAGAGGTGCATGGCCAAGGAAGTAATAAGTTCATAACGTTATGCGGCCTCTCCAATGCGGCCACCGTTTTGAATGGAAAAGAGCTCAAGGATGACTGGTTTCTTGACTGGTTCAAGCAACCAGAAGAACCACTGAATAAGAAAAGAAAAGCAGACAACGGAAGTCCCGATGAAGACGAATTGGTCGAGTTCCCATTGACAAAGTCGCTCTGGAGAGTACTAGTAAGAGGAGACAGGTGTAGATTCCATGCTGTTTCCCTTGTTGGTTATACCGGCCAGGCCGCCTTTAATAAGAGCATTAAGTTGCTTTGAAGAGATGTATCAATATAATTTAATCAATCTAATTTGGCAGCCAATTTCTACCGTATATACCGACTTTTTCACCAATTATCAAGTCTCGCAAGTACCCATACAAAACACATCCGTGCACCTCAACCGTAGATGTTCGCTCTCTTGGTAGCTGTCACTAAACCTATCCAGTCTATCCTATCGGCAGCAAACATTGTACTCCAGCTATCAAGATGTTGGCGACATACCTTGCTTCTACATCCATTCTCGTGATTGGGGGCTACTTGCTCTTCCAAGGTCAAGGTGAGTCGTTCAATGTTGGTGAGTTCCTAGAAACAACTTCTCCATACATGTGGGCAAACCTAGGCATTGCCGCTTGCATTGGTTTTTCTGTGATTGGTGCTGCTTGGGGTATCTTCATTACCGGTGTTTCTATCTTGGGAGCCGGTGTTAAGACTCCAAGAATTACGACAAAGAACTTGATCTCCATTATTTTCTGTGAGGTTGTCGCTATCTACGGTTTGATTATGGCTATCGTATTTTCTGCCAAGGTGTCCAGCGTACCAGAGACTTCGTTATACAGCCATGAGAATCTTTACACGGGCTATGCATTGTTTTGGGCTGGTATGACTGTCGGACTTTCCAACTTGTTGTGTGGTATTACGGTCGGTATTACAGGTTCCACTGCTGCTATTTCGGACGCAGCTGATTCCTCATTGTTTGTCAAGATCTTGGTTATTGAGATCTTTGGATCTGTCTTGGGTTTGTTTGGCCTTATTGTCGGCTTGATGATGGCAGGTAAAGCTCCAGAATTCAAATAATTTGGTTGTACGTGCGAAAGAGACAACCTACAATCCACATTTTATTTCATAGACCGCTGTCATCGTTACTTCAAAAATTTATTTTACATTTAATCTTCATCGTAGTTTCGCTTTCATTTCTATAACCTAGGCCTCCGCCTCGGCAGCTTCAGGCGCTTTCTTCAAGATAACAATGCCTTCCAAGGTGTGAGATAGACTGATCCATTCCTCATTATTCTCCAACTCGGCTCTTTCACCATAACTCAACAATACTGGTGTGGCCTGAGTGACCCATCCAGTAATGGTTTTTGGTTTACCTGCTTGACCGACAACATCAACTGCCTGACCGACTCTAACATTGACCTTGATTGGATTCAAATCTTCGTCAACAGTAACCAACATTCTTGGCTTGATGGCAGGAGTCAAGTAGTACAACATCTGGTGACTGGTCTCTGTAGTAGAGTCGCTCAAAATGAAAGACTTTGGATCTAGTAAAGCGACCGAGACTGTCAAAAGAGATGCCAACGAGACCTTATTAAGGATACTTCTCTCGGTATTAAATGGTGACAAAGTCAAAGTGCCTTTACCCAATGACAAAATACCTTGAGCAATTCTGACCATGAAAAGAGAATCTGGCGATTTCGAATAGTAGGAAGCTAATTGCCTCAACAACTGAGCTAATCTGGCGTTGTTAGTACCAGCACCGACTAGACCCATGGCGTAGATGGCATTTTGAGTGACTTCCAAGTCAGGATCGTGAGAATAACGAGAGAGAATGTCAAACACCTTCATTTGAGGATAAGAAGCGGACACAAGACCCATTGCTAATGGAACCGACCTGCGAATCAATGGGTTGCCGTAATGCATCAAATGTGAGAAATGACGCAAGACCATGTCTTGACCAATGTCCTCGCCCATGGCAATACATGCAAGGCCCAAAACAGCGAATCCTTGGTAAAGCTCGTCCTCGTCTTCATCCTCATCCTCTTCGGTTGTGTCATCTGCCTTCTCTTTGCCATCCTCCTGCTTCTCGGTCTTCACATCGCTTGCATCAGGCATTTCGACATCTTCCAGCGCTTCTTGACCATTAGACACATCTTGTGCGTCGGCAGCAGCAGCATCTGTTGGAAGTTCTTGCTTGCCTTCTCTCTTTAATTGATCTTCTTCACTTTCGCCAAGTTTCTTCTCTTCCTCCAAAGTATCCTTTGGACGCGCGAAGCACATCTGCAAAAGAGATTGGATTTGCAAAACATTACCTGTACCAGCATAGGCACAAACGTTGACCAAAACCTTCAATGTTTTGTTGATAGGGTGCTCGATGGCATCAATAATATCCAAAACATCCTCGGCCATTTCGGTCTTACCCATGTACAACAAGCCGAGACCCAAAGCCATGAATCTAATGAACTTGTTGTTCAATTGGGTGAAGTCTCTCTCCAAGAGAGTTTGCAAGATGGCAGACGTAATATCACCATGACAAGTACCCACAAAAACATGACCGAGAGCCAAGGACGCCAACGACGAAACTTCGCAAGACAAATCAGTATCGGAGACTAATGGCAATAACAAGTTAAGAACCTCTTCATTTGCTGATCCAGCGAAAGCAAGACCCAAACCATTAATGGCGTTGGTTTGCAATATTTTCTTAGGGTCAGTGACATATTCTTGTAACAAGGCCAAGGCAGCTTCTGCTTCATCATGGATATTAGCAGACACAACACCAGTTCCCAAAAGAGCACCTGCCTTTACCTCGTCCTCAGCAGAATATGTGTACCTGTCCAATGCTTGTAAACCCTCGTCAATGTTCCATTCATAAAGACAACCCAAAGAAGCTGTTGACGATACCATACCAGCACCCTTGGTTTTGTAGATCCATGACTGATTGTCTTGCTCGCTAGGCTGAATGAAGAGCTTGTCAGATCCATATCCCAAGTTCAAGAAAGCGTTGACAAAAGAGGCAGCCAAGTTCTGTTTAGCTGAATCAATTTGGCTAAATCCAAATCGGGTGTTCTCCAAATGGGACTTGTAAACATCCTCAGGAACTTTAGGATCTAAAAGGTTCAATTCCTTTACTAAGTATGAGAAAAATTCAGGAAGCTTCACGTTGGAGATAATTTCCTGGACCTCCTCGTTTTCACCAGGGAAGTTGAAACGATTGAATTGTTGAGCCAAGATAAAAGCCAACTGCTTGTGTACCAAAGCATCATCAGTCGACTCAAAGACTTGCTTGATCAAGTTTTCATCATCCAATTTGATGGCCAAGGTCAATGCCTGGGTTAACTGGTTGTGGGTCAAGTAGATAGAGAAGGCGGTATGCAAGAAAGCAGTGTCATCTGGTGGAGCCAAAAGTGGGACACAGCTTACCATGTAAAGGCAGACTCTTGCATAGGTGCTATCGTCCAAGTATTGTGGCAACTTTTCAATGCTCTCAATCTCCAATAACAAATCAACTGCGTCAGCTTCAGCATTATGTTTAAGGAAGAAAGGAACAATCTGCAAAGACAATTGGATAAGACGGTCGATGTATGCATCATCGTAACCCAACTTCTCTTGGTATGACTCGCCAATCTCCAAGGCCAAATGTCTCATGTACTCGTGACCCCAGTCGGCAATGGTATCATTAGATGCTAACAAACGATATTTCAATGAATCTCTATCAGAATCAGAATAGGTCATAGCCAAAACGGACAAAACGTCGGCGAGTTGGACCAAAAGCTCATTTGAGATCTTGCTGCCAGTGGAGTTCCACTTCTCATACAATTCAGTGATAAGTGTGTAGTGGGGCCTCAAGAACTTCAATGGCTTAGGCACAGCCGTCATAGATGTTGTTGATTCACGAATGAAGTTCTTCATTGTGGTAAGATACTCGGAGTAAAGGTTCTCCTTCTGGTTTGGCTCGTTAAGTCTTTCGACAAGCAATTCCAAATCATCCTTCAATTTTTGATCTTCTTCGGAAAGCTCCTCCTCCTTCACTGGAGGCTTCTGCTTTTTCTGCTCTGCCTCCGGTTTTGCTGCTTGATCAGTACTGGGGGCCATATCTTGAACTCTGATGTTAAATCCAGAAGTTTGTCGGTCTCAGAAAATGGCCGTGGCAAACGGTGGAGTCGTGGTCACGTGCACACCTACTATGGAAGATTCCAGGTTATGGGCGATTGTCATGAAGAAGAAAAGGCGTACAAAAAACAAGAAGAATAAAGTATTATTGAACTTACAGTCCTTCGATGTCTCCACTTCTCTTTAAATTATTTTCAGTTGGGTGGGTTGTTCAAGGCAAGCATTCTCAAGAGCATTCGCAGTTTGCAGCAATTAGCACACAATGGGTAAGACTCGTCCATCTTCAGCTAAATACAGTTCATTTTGGAGAAAATGTAATTCTTGGGAGTGTCCTTTACTCTGGAATGGAAATTCGTATCTTTAGATCTTTTTCCGAATTTCTCTAGACAATTTTGATTGTAGAGGTAGTGACACTTTGCTTCTCAGTCTTACTATGTTTACGATTCGCGCCCGTTTTGGCTAAGCTATCAAGAAATAAGTACTCCCACGAAATCAAACATATTCTCCTTATAGATATATCTCAAAGGCTTTGCCAATAATTTCCATCGCCAAATCTGTCTTATTAATACTTAAGTCCGCTATTGACAGCCTCCTCTAATACTGCCCTGTTGAAGCGCACTCTATCATCCATCCCATCCATCTCATCTTATCATGTCAGAAAGAAAGGCAATAAATAAGTGGTACCCACCAGACTACGATCCTTCAAAGGTTCCCAAGAAAGCTAAGACTAGAAGCGCTAGTGCCAGCAAAAGCAGATTAATGCTACCGTTTTCGATGAAATGTCTACAATGCAATGAATACATCGCAGCTCGAAGGAAGTTTAACGCCAGAAAAGAGGTCACCGGAGAGAAGTATATGGGATTCAAGCTCATAAAATTCCATATCAGATGCCCGAGATGCAGTAATAACATCATATTTAGAACTGACCCAGCCCTGGCAGGGTTCGTTCCTGTTGAAGGAGGGGTGAGAAACTACGAATCATTAGCAAAGGAACCAAAAATCAAGCCAATGGAAACTGAAGAGGAGATATTGACGCGGCTTGAAAAGGAGGAAGAAGAGAGCAAGAAATACAAAGAACAGCAAGAAAAGAGAAAGAAGAATCCTTTCTGGCAGAGCCGAGCAGACTCGAACGGTCAGGATGCCATGGCCAACCTTGAAGAAAGGCTCGTCAAACAGCAAGACGAACAACAGACACACGACCATCTCATGTATCTCCAAGCTAAAGCAAATCGCTTACAGGAATCTGGAGGTCAAGACAAACTAGCCCAAGAAGCACAAGCACGATTAGCAGAGGAAAAGAGTCTCAAAAGAGAACTTGAACCAGAAGACAATGACTATCAGCAAATGATTGACAAAAGCAAACTGGATAGCGTTGAAAAGAAAACGGCTACGGTCTCTGGTGTGATAAGAGTAAAGAGACCTCGAAGAATGGAGGTGAAACAAGATAGCGAAAAGGTGATTGCCAAACCTGAAGGCGACACGATAAGCCCTCCAAAGCTACCTACACCCCCTCCAATGGAAGCATCAAACAAAGAGTTACCTGGTCTAGCAGGGTATGGTTCGTCTGATTCTGAGTGAGCATGCACGATGGAGCATGCAATTTAACTCCTTACATCCAGATTACCGTTTTCGCACCCAATCTTTATCTAAAGCGGCGCGGCAAGAAGGATCGTATATATCATACAGACCAACCCTCGAGGGTCCTACTTAAAGATACCTATTGTTTTGAACGAACATTCCAGAAGCCTATCCATGATTGTGGTGACCCTGGCGATTGTCGCTGCTGCTGTCACGGCGTCTGTCTCATGCTCGGTGTACGCCTGTCTGGAAAGGGAGGCCCCCAAATTAGTACAGCCCAAGACAGTTTGCCATCTAAAAAAGGACAGCTCTAATATCGTTGTGACAGGATCTCGAGGCGACAAGCTATGCAGCTTTGAACAGCAGTCTTCATCTACCGTTGTACATAATATTTATCGTCAATGTGGTGTTCTTCGGCATGGTCACTCTTCACAAATCATAGCTAAGTTCTACAAGAACACCGTGGGCAAGGGCGGCTTTATTGAAGTATGGCCTAATAAGGCTATAGAGCCATCATCGTTTATGCGAAGCTTACTCAACAAATTCCAATCTGTCGAGGAGCTGACGGAATCAACCAAGATATTCATATCATCGAAACTTGCAGGTGGTGCTTACGACATAGCTGTTGGAGATGCACGTTTTCAGTGGTCAACAGAGGAGGAAATACTACGAACCGAAGGGCCGGAGACAGAGACTGCTATGACACTGGACTTTACGAATCCAGATGATGTGATATTAAACGTCTACAGAAATATCATCAAGGCCCACTTATCAGTATGCATTGGGATTTTCTTCATACTTCAGAAAAGAAGGTAATATCAATCACTCATATGTGAAGTGACTCAATGTCTGTACTTGGATCATATCCTCTGTTGGTTCGAATCTGCTTTGAATCTCCAATAACTCATCTATGAGCAGAGGAATACGCTTTGTCTCAATATCCTTGCGGCAAAGCAAAATTCCACGGACATATTCAACAGAACAATCAGTAAAGTTGGGTAAGATTTCATGCTCCCAGAACGCTGGAATCTCCTCAAATGGATGTTCGAACGTGGCCATGTCGCCTAAGAATTCGATAGCCGACAAACTCTTGACGAGTAACATGGCATCCTTTCTTGAGAAATGCTTGTCCAATTCCTCGAAAAAGACACCGACATCTCGAGAAACGGCTTCTGCAAACGATTTATAACGTCTGCTAGCCTGTGGATCAATCTTTTTGCCATCCCCGTGTAATATGTTGTTGTAACCGATGCGAAGGTATGCTTTAATAAATGTGTCTAGCATCACAGTCAATGTAATGAAGTGTAGATCGTAGGTACCCCATTGTTGAATAGGAGGCATACCCTCTTCGGTAATGGATGCAGTTATAAGCTGAGCAATGTTCTTGCCTTGCTCAGTCTCGAAGTCAGAATCTAGGTACCAGTCCTTTGTAAAGACCTTGCATAAGACTGGAATTGTATCGTTCACAATCATGTCGGCATGGGCACGTACAACCACAGCATTAAGATCAGTACTTGGTCCAATTGTGCTCATGATCGCTTGCTCTATACGATCAGTGTACTGAGAATGGACTTTGTTCATGTAGTTTGGCAAGAACTTGTCTTGTAAACGGTCAGAGTTGATCTCATATGTGTTACCCAAAGCCGTCAAATAATCTTCGAGACCAGGTTTGGAGATAGCCGTCTTTTCTTCGTTAGTCATATTTTCCAAGTCCAACTCTTCATCGTGAGCCTTGAACCTAAAGAGACGCTTCATCTTGCTCTCCTTCAACAAAAGTTTATCGTTACCATAAAGCGCCATAAAATTACCAACCTCTTGATCAACGAGCTTCATGTAGTTATCAATTCTGGCATTGTAGCACTGACACCAGTGTTCGATGACTTCAACCAAAACACGGCCATAGCCAGATTTTGCTGCAACATCGGCATGATCCTTCAACATTTGCAAGGATGTCTTGTAATCTGCCAAGACATAAATATCCTTTGTCTCTTCCCGAACAAATGGGTGATCGAACTGATCGAGGTCTTCAATCACCTGGTGATGAGGTACCACGTCCGGCTCCATAGTACGCAGAAGGAAGTAGGTCGACTCGTTCTTCATAAGTGTGTCGTTCCATTCATACATCTTAGTATCAATAACACGCATGTAGTCACCAAGAACGGAGGCCTTGAGATCTTCACCCAATATAGACTTGAGTTCCTTCTTCGATTTGTCACCTCCATGCAACGCAACCATCATATCGCTGTGGTAGGTATCATAATCAAGGATACGCATCAAGTCTTCTGCTGGTGGGTTTGTCGCAATCATATCCATTGTGAACTTATGCAAATGGTTATAGTACGATTTTTCAATGAAGTCACTGACTGCCCACGCTTCCGGAAACATGGGGCCGAACGTTTGAACAGTGAATTCCAATTCCTCTCGAAGCCATCCAAGACTATCATAAACATCCATCTTGTCATCAAAATGGTCCACACATCGACTGAATGTGTCTTTAATACTTTCTTCAAGCTTTGAGTAGAAAAACTTCATATAGTTTCTGGGTTTCACTCGATACTCAGAATAGTTTATGGTCTTCAAGCCTTCCTTACTTATAAGACCCAATTTTTCTTGTAAGGTGGCCTTCACGTCTTCCTTGTTTTCGTATTGTAAGATCTTTATCAATTTGAAGACTAAGTTTAAGTTGCCCTCTTTTGCAGCTTCAGTAGCACTAATACAAATTTCCTTAAGCAACTCATCGAATAGCCTAATTACTTTCCGTACTGGCAGAACAATTTTTGCACAATCAGCTGGACATCATCGGATAAGTGACCAGCCTCTGTCTCCATGTATTCGGCGAAATTTCTTACCTGGGTTACATTGAAGTGAATCCTGTAGATGTTCACAAGCTGGTACAGGGTATCTTCAGAAATGATGGACAACTCAGATTCAATCATGCTGCTAATATGGTCTAAGAATTTGCGGAAGTTGGCAATGTCAGTGTACAAGTTCTGGACTTGGATCATTGTCTGGTGAACATTTGTAATGTTTTTGAGGGTATCGTACTCGGCAACGTTCGTGATAGAATCATCGTAGATCGTATCAATCTTCTCAATGTTTCTTTTAACAAGGGAAAGTTTATCAACCGATTGCTGTAGTCTGGCTAAATTGGAGAATATAAAATCGATCTGGTCTTGAGTAGCTGTAGTTAGCTTCATGTCAATGGAATTCTTCTCTTTTGGAATTGACGCCGAAGCTCGTCAATTTTCTGTAAATCGTTCTCATCCCTTAGGAGATTGGAGACTCTAGATAATGCAGCTTCACTCATGATGACTGCTGCTTTCGATACCTATCTTGAACTTTCAGTTAGAAACATTGAGTACTGTTGTCTCCAAGCGGTAATAACAGCACGCGACTTTCTTCACGTGACAAAACTTACACTTTCCTGCCTGGTCTACTACTGCTTTCTACATGGTGTCTTAACGTGCATCTTGATTAATAAAGCTCTATATGAGTGCCTGATGCGTATGGTTGATCCACTTTTTTTCTTCACAATCCTCTCCCTAGAACTCGCCTCAAATCTATTGATTCCCGCCTCCACTTCTGGGGGCGGCGCTGCCTCTCTTGCCTTGCGGATGTTGGTATATCTCCTATTCCCATGATGGTTGTTGTAGTTGCCTTGATGACCTTGCATGCTAGCATTGCCCATATATGGACTTCCACTTCCCATCATCACATGTTCACCCACGGGACTCTGAGAGCCAACAAAGCCTCCAGGCATCATGAAACCTCCTGGCGGCATAAACTGAGGATCCGGTGGAGGATACATTAGTTGATGTGCTCCTGGTGGAACCCCACCTTGCATTTGGTACATCATTGCCATCTGCTGTTGTTGCTGCTGCTGCTGCTGGAATTGTGCAGCCATGTTTGGATGCTGTCCTTGCATTGGCGAAAGAGGGAACTTTGGATTTGGGGTTCCGGGGAATGCAGGGGGAGCCATCTGGGGACTGGCATTAGGCATTCCCATCATAGGCGATGCCATAAATGGCATAGCAGGAGGAACGAGCACTTGTGGCGACTTGCTTCCGGATTCCGACTGCTTCTTGATGTACTCCTCATAGTTCTCCTCTATGGTAGAATCCCAGGTTGGCGGCGTCTGGAAAGCCTTCTCTAAGACGACAGGGGTGGACTTGTCTTCTTGCTTCAGTTTTGCCGTGTTGAACAAATTGAACAGTTCCTTAAATTTGGCAATCTTTTCTTTTTGGCTCTTTTCAGTCGGCACCTTCTCTTGACTGCCGAAGAACTCAACGGCCGTAACCTTGTGATGCCTCTTGCCCGGAGCAGAACTAGAGGCGTTGCTATGGGGTCTTGAGTGATGTATCCGAGGAGATGGATTTTGAGGCGAGCCGAAGTGCGCCTTAGGTGGATTAGGCGATGCATTTGACAGCTTCTGAGCAGCAGCTGGAGAAAAGGAAGGGGTAAAGGCTGCGGCCTTAGGATTCAACTTGAAACGGTTTCCCTCCTTCCGAGGCTCTGCATTACTCTTTTTTGGAGAATCCTGGCGTTTGAGGATCTCGTCTTGCTTCATCTTATCCTTGGCCAAAATTGGCAAAAGATCGTTAGGCATTTTGTGAGGAACTTTGAAATTTGCACTAAATTCCCGTAAAGCATTGATTTCGCTTTGTGCATTCAAGCGGAACAGCTCATTTGTTGGGAGTGGTGGCTTGGGAGGTATTGAACTTGGCTTCGAAGACTGATCAACCTCATGAGGAGTTTGACTAGTAGGCTTTCCACTTTCACTTCTCTCATGAGATGCATGCTTACGAGCGCCAGAACTGGAGACAATCGCTGGATCGTCATGGTAGTGAGCTCCACGTTGTGTAGAAGCGTTAGCTTTAGATGAGATCTCTTGTGAAGAAGGGCTTGCGTTCATGCTGTTTCTTAAAGCAGCCATGAGTTCATTGCCTCTTGTGTCCGATTGTTCTTTTTGAACACCCGAGTACTTATCTTCTTCATCCAAGCCGCTATCATCCACAACCACACCTCTTTCTTCTAGAACATGCTTATCAGTAGTCGACTGTCCCTCAATTTCCCTAGCGAGCCTTTGTGCCCGTTGCAACCTTTCGTTATAGTCCTTTGTGTCCTTATTAATCTTGGTGGTGTACAAATGTTCATCGTATGAAGATTCGACACCAAATTTTTCTTCATTCACCTTAAACTGATCCCAAGCGCCACTTCCCCCAGTTGTTTCCTCCAATGACACAGCAAGAGAGTCATCATCAGGGGTCCAACGCTGCAACTCTCTTTCTCTAACCTGGTAAGTAGATGAAATATCCTTGTCAGTACGGAACTCTGCTCTTCTTGGTGGCTTGTAAATTTCTGGTTGTGGAGCTGCCTGAGGCTGGGGAGCGGGTGGTGACACAGGCTTTGCTTCAGCAGGTGGTTGGGCTTGAGCTGGAGGAGTTGGGGATTTCTCCTTAGCCTTTTTGGTCTGGGAATCAGATTTCTTGGGCACATCGGACGTTGAAGGTTTTTCAGTACTCTTTTCAGTGGCCTTTTCGGTGCTCTTTTCAAGGTCTTCTTCTTCTTTTGGAGCCAGAACAACTTCCGCCTTAGGAGCTGTGTTTACCTCGATATCAATCAAGTCCTTCGCTTGGATAACCAACTTCTCTGGCAAGGAATTGTCAGCATTTGACTTTTCGTCAAGCACGGCCTTGGAGATCAACACTGGCTTGTGCAACACGACAGAGAGAGCATTCGAGCCCACGGACTCAGCATCAGCAGCCTGCAATAAGCCCAGGTAACGTGCACCTGAAGATACAGTGGCAATTGTTATTTTACCCAAAGACTTGGCAAGAAGGTCCACTAATCTGTTGTTAGCAGCATTGTGGTCTGTTTGCAGGGAGGCAGTCTGTGGGTTCTCCTTGGAATTGCCATTGTAACGGGAATTGGAACGCCTGTGACCATTTTGGAATGATCCCGGACCAGGTGAGTTCGTGTTCGAGCCGGAACCACTGGATTTATGTTGGCGAGTGTTTTGACCCTTCATAGTATGGGAAAGTCAATCGCTAGGTTTGATGCAGAAGCGAAGAAAAGTTAAAAAAATAAAAAATTGACCAGGCTTCTAGACTAGGATTCAGCCTGTGAAGTGTCAAAAAGTAATAACCTAGGGACGACTAAGGCGTATAAGGATTTTGACGATTGGAGACCCTGAATGAGGCAACGGGATATAGCCAGAGGCGTCAATCACCAACCGAGCTCGAGGGAGGAAATCTGTCGATAAATAAAAAGACTCAATAACTTCCACAGCCAAGGCAATGAACACTAGGTGTTCGAATCCGAATGATAGCCTTTGAGCTTAATGATACTAGCCAAAGTCCGAGGATAGGGCGAAGTTTCAATTAATGTTACAAGACCGAGTGAGGCACCAAGTGTTTATCTCGCTCGTTTTTGGGTAACGCACGCACAAAGACTACGACTTTCCATATACTAAGGGTTAGACAAAAATAGAAGGAGAATTTAAAGAAGGTAATATTAAAAAGTGGTCATACACAATTCCCTCTGAGGTCCCATTTGGTCTCTCAATGAGAACAGGTTCATTAAATGTCTTTTGGTAAGATGTGCGTGCTTCGCAGTTCCTTGGGAGATTGACTGATGCGGCAGAATTTCCTGTGCCTCCTTGCACAGTAGCAGTAAAGACAGATTTCCAGGACGACTGCTGATGCAGATCGAAAAATGTATCTTTTTCCCTCGCGTGCCGGCTCGCGGTACTGCCTTAGTAGGGAGGATTAGCAGCAGAATCCATGAAGACCAATACCAATCTCAACATCGTCAATGACGTTGGCCCAGTAGAAAAGCACAAAGTCCTTTACGAACTCGATATCTTGTTCCGAATATGGGTCAAGCTCCATATCAACAATGTCTTGTATCGCGAGCTCTAAGGTTATTTTCCTTTGTAGAGGCGCTTCCATAAGGAGGCTGCTCCGACGCTCATTGTACCCATTGTCTTCCAAAGTTTCCGTGACGATTTCGTCGATAAGAACGAACCATTTCTTTGCGAGGCTGTGGAACTGACTGACAATTTGTGTCAAGTCGGTAAACTGTTGCTTGATGCTCTTTGCTTGTTGGTCTTCCTCCAATGTCTCTAGATATTGCTCTGTGGCACTGCGGTTTGTCGTACCAGCACTAGCAAACCAGGCAAAAGCCAGCCAGAGATATTCTCTCCACGACATTGGTGTGGTGGCGCTACGCCTCCACCATTGAGGCTCAAAAGGCGCCAAAGTATCTTCTGAGGCACCAAATCGTAATGCAGAGAGGAAAGATGTTGAAGTTCGAATAGACGACAGGTCGTCGTTATTAGAGCCTCCGTTAACCAGCGGGAGCTTCTTGTAGAGTTTGAGGAACTTGGTGTAATCGTTGAACGTGGCTTTCTCCGCTTTTCCAGCATCTTCTCCTGAAGCCAATTCACATAAATCGAAATCCGACGTGGGCATTAAGATGGCAATATCGTAGAGATTTTTCTGTAGTTTTAAGATCTCGTCACTTGTGGAACCAATGTAACCTGGCTCCTTGAGAGCTGGCGAGTCAGTGTCATGAAGACCCAATGTGTAGAGGGGCTTGGAGAACAGTTTGTCGACAAAATTACCAACCACATCTTGTGGAACGGCAGAAATGACTGTGATCAAATAGACTAAAGCACCAACAGTTCCATAGTCTCTGTTATTACCCTCATGCAACAAGTCTCCGCTCTGCGAAGAGTGATTGATAACGAGTATACGTTTGCGCAATAGAGCAGCCTTAAAGATAGGAAAGATAAGTGGACCAACAGCAGAAAGAATGGTAGGTAGCTTAAACAAGGGATGATGTGCAATTGGGTTTGCAGGCGTCTTTCTGACATCCAAGTGACCGCTACCAGTGAGTTTACTGAACAATTCCTCCAACAAGTCAATCTTTTCATCCTTCAAAAATGCCACCAATGTGTCATCAATAGCATCAAGATGCTCCCAGCCAATGTTGCCAGCATTATTAGGCTGCCACTGGTTCTTCAATGGTTCCATTAGGACACCTAACGAGTACATCTTCAATTTGCTTCTGTCGTTATCCGAGCCATGATTGAGATTTAGCTGCTTGAAGCGAGAAAGTCCATAATAAGTAGTGGATTCATGTTGCTGGCTAATATAGATCGTGTTCTCTTCATACAGATGAATACCTGATGGAAACGCCTTATACTCCAAACCTTCAAAGGAAATGTCATTGGTAGATTTGGACCAGGCCAATTCGTAACCTTGTCTTCTATCGAACTTGACAAGAAACAAAGCCACGGCTTTTGGCGTATTATACCCAGCTGACGCCGTTGCTGAAGAAGACATGGACATGTAGTGGTGAGATGGATCAGTGGTACTGAGCTCATTCTCCTTTCGCGGGGGTCCCTTATTAAAGCCTTCTCATAGTATAGGTAGGCGGAAGGAACAGCGAAAAGTATGAAAATCTTTGATCTACTGTCGATTTATGGAGAAATAGGAGTTCCTTGAGAAGGCTGGATTATTTAAGCAAACTACGGTTTCGCCTAGCCTGTCTCATATGGTGGTCACTTGCCCTCGTGGTTCCCAGAAAGCCTATAAGACCGTAGACTTGAAGATGGTTTTCAGGGTTTCTTGAAAGACTATCACGACCAATTGAGCATATGCTTTCTTTATCGTAAAAAAGTGTCATTTTTCACTGTGGTGGTAGACTGCCACTGAACTAAACTGTAATAGCGCGCTTACATAGTGAAGCGTACCTCTTCAGTTCCCTATCATATTGATCAATTCGAATACTTGGAGACTGTTAGCTAGCTATCATGAATCCAAAAGTTAGGCTGCTCTATAAGCAGCTTCTATACATGGGGAAAGACTACCCTGCCGAGTCAGGCGGGTACGGCAAGTTCACCAACAGCCTAAAGTCAGCTTTTCGAAAGACCCCAGCAAATACAGAGGAAGAGCTTGACAAAGCTCTAGAAAAGGGAGATTACATTATTAAAGGTATGTAACGAGGGAATATATTGGTGATTTGTTTATGCCATGTACTAACCAACAGAACTCGAGGCGCTCTATTTCCTACGGAGGTATAGGCATCTTAAACGCACATACTACAACGACTAAGGACAAAAAAGCAGAAACAAATCATTGTATATTACGGCTTGATTGGTATTGCAGGGTGTTTGCATGAATATTTATGCTAGTTACCTGGTGTGGCATGAATAATTGGTTTCTGGTCAGATCCACTGGCTCAGACGGGCCCAGGCTTGACAAAAAAGACATCAATGGGCATCTATGCTCTTATTCTTAAGATGAAGTTGACCACAACCGCAACTAATAGGAAAATGCATAGCATGGTAGGACCAAATCTATCATCGTATGGACCAGTTCCTCTCATTCTGATAGCCTTTGCTCTCCAGTGGTAGGTCACCAAAGCGTAAACCATGGTCAACATGGCAATGAAGGTGAACAAACCAGCAGAAACACGGCCAATCTGGTCACCAAAGTTCAACAAACCAACACCAAGAGAACCCAAGATAACGGTGAAATTGAGCCATGACAAGAACGTACGCTCATTGGCGAAGAACACCTTTGGCTCAACACGTGCAAGCAATGCAATTCTCTTGTTGGAAGATGACATTTAGAAGACAGAATTAGGATTCAGCGGAGGAAAGTCTGTGGTGGATGAACTCAGAATGATAAAGATGATCGATGGAGCAGTAATATTACGCTGCAGTATAATCCTGTATTACCCTCGCACGTGGGGTCCCATGACCATACCAAAAGGACATTCCCAAGGTGGGCATTATAAAGAGAAGAAGGAAAGAATGAAGAGAGTGAACAGGATTTCCAAAAAAAGAGGTTTTATGGATTGTTTCCCCTCCGTGGAACTAACAGCATCTTTAGGGCCAATCATGGATACGACTGGCTGCGAAAGAAGTGTCACATATTTTGTTCGCTACAGACACAACCGAATGGAAGGTTACAGTGCACAACGTAACGAGGTTACAGGCACAACTGGTTGCGAAAAATGGTACTAAATGGGAAGCATGATAACGTTTGGAGTCAGAGATCGGCTAAGCATCAGGTGCAGCTTCAGGAAATTTTGACGGAATTTTGTCTTAGCCGTATGATCTCGGGTGACTTCCCCTACAAGGCGGGATAGGAATATCGAAACATTTTCACGTTGCATAAATAAAAAACAGCTGAATCAGGGCCCGCCCCAAGTGACCCCACTTCGGAATCACCCGGGACGTCCCAAGCTATACGATAAATATAATTAAAAAATAATGGCGTGTGTGTTGTTTGTGATCAGGAGTATCCCGCATCTGCAGCCCTGCTGTAGGATGGGTTTCCTTTAGTTTCTAGTCAAGGGAAGAACCTTGACACCAAAGTAGGAGTTTTGGTGGTTGGCAACACCGCCGAAAGCATTGTAGAAGGCAATGAAAGCAGTGATGACACCGCAAACACCACCAGCACGTGTAACGCCAACCTTCAATGTAAAGTCACCAATTGTCAATAAGGCGAAGGTGATGGTCAACATGAAAAACAACGACAGGAAAGCAAGCGTAGACTTAAGGGTACACAAGAAAAGCATAAACGTAAAAAGAGTCCAACCCATAAGGAAGAAACCCACCGCCAGGTGCAATTGTTCAGTGCCTTCGTAAGCAGCGCCAATACCAAAAGCAGGCACTTGAATGGCAGCATAAGACAACCAGAAAGCACCGTAAGAAGTAAGGGCACACAAGGCAAAAGTGTTACCAACGAGACCTTCCCAGATACCAGCACAGAACTGGGCAAAGCCACCGTAGAAACAAGCCAAACCAACCACAACGTTTGGAACTTCAATACCCATGGCCTGGGCATTGTACATGGAAAGACAGAAGGTGGTTAAGGCAAACCCACAGAGCCCCAAGGGCGAGGGGTTTGCAAATTGATGTTTAGGATAAGGAGACAAGCCGGGATTTAATGTACCGCCAAAGGCTTCCATCAACTCGTGCCTATAGAAGCGGTTCTTGCCAATGGTGACGAATTCGTTTCCTTCACCAGAAGTATGGATCTTACCCACTGGAGTGGTGTCGACGGAGTTGGCCTCTTTATAGGAGTGCAGGCTTTGGGAAGACATGGTGATGATATTCAGTTAGCAGAATTAAAAAATAGTGTGGTGGTCAAACGTTTTTTTTTTTTTTTGGCTCAGACGACGACGACGATGGGGTGATGAGTGTTCGTGCTTGGCAGGAAACAGCGATGTTGCAGTGGTTGCAAAAAAAAAAAGCAAGAAGCAAGGCAGGACAGAAAAAAAGATCTAAGTCGAAAAATATACGCCTTATGCTGATGCCATCACCAGAAGAAAAAGGGGCGGATGGGGCCATTTAAATAGAAGCAGCACAAAGCTTGGGTCAAGCAGCAGGCTGCTGGGGCTGCTACTGCGCTGCTGCTGCAGCTACCTCCCGCGGTCTCTAAACCTTCCCACCCTGTTCCTTGCATCGCTCACTTTCCTCTGTGGGGAACCCTACCCATTTCCGCATAATTTCCCAACGCCTGCACTAGTAGGCCTGCACTGGTAGCCCCACCTCTTCATCTCAGCCACTAGCCTATAACTGAAATACATAAGGCTGAAACGGAGATACCATCTGAAGAAGGAGCAGAAGGAAGGGTACGGCGGGAGGTTGAAAAGCTTGGAAATGGTCATTTTTTTTTCTTCTCTTTTGATGCAGTGTAACATCATTCTAGGGCCAGTAGTAGCAGGAGCCGAAGCGGCATCGCGGTGGAAAATTCAAGACCACTCGGCGCCGGAGGCGACGACCAGAGCAAGAAAAAAAAAAAAGAAAACGCCTCCAGCGCCCAAACTTTTTTTTGTTTTTTTTTTCTCAGACAACGCCGCATACAGCCAACCACCACCGCACCGCACCGCACCACAAAAAAAGAGGATGAAAAGTGAATAAGGAAATTTCTTTCAGTTCCTCTTTTTCTTTCCTAGTTCGCCATAACCTTAATACGTCAAAAATAAAATGCCGCTACTTTCCGAGTTTTCTTTGGCTTGGCTATTCCCCGGATTTGGCGCTTTCTCTTGGTGCCGGGGTGCCGCCCCACTCACACCCTCTCTTGCTTGGTCTCTGGTTCTGGTTCTGTGCTTGCACCACTCTTGCCAGCACCACTTTTTTTTGGTTTGGTCGCATCGGCTCGGACTTTTTCGCAGCCACTCCGGCTCACCCCCACTTTATCTTGCGCTTCCTTTCTACCTTGTTCCTACACTTAGCACCCCACCTGGGGCAGCCTTTGCGGGCCTTTGGGGGCTTCCATGAGGGTCTTCACCCACTTCATTCACCCTCAGCACCACTTACTAAGCTTTCACCCTCTCACCCTCACCAAAAGATCCTCTGAGCCTCCCGTTCACCCTCTTCACCCTCACCAGGGATGTACGTGTATTCACCTGTTTTCTTTGTTTTAGCTATTGTTTAAACCACCCGCACGAACTCGACCTTCAAATTCTTATACCGCTTTTTGCTCTTGCCAAGCTGGCCCCGGCGGAACACCCTCTTGTACGCCCACGCAACCTTATGGAACCACCGCTCCTCTCCGTAGCTCATGAGAATGTAATTCACCCCCGCGTAAGTAACTACCCGCACGTACGCTGTGGCGGACATGTTGGTCAATTGCATTAACCGGCCTCCCCACGAATCCTCTTCAATCAAGAAAAGCAGGAGTGATAAGCAAAGTGCCGCAACAAGGTTGATCAAAAATGGCTTATTCTTGTAGACCAGTTCTCTGTATGGTGGTCCTGAACTGAGCACCATCGAGTTGAGAATGTACTGGAAATTCGTGAACAAAAAGAGCACCGTATTGTCTGAAGATTTGACATTTTCATCGTCGTTCGATGGTACCGGTTTAACGTACCATGGTTCGTGACGAACTGACCGCCAAATACCAAGTTGGAACACAAGGATCACCGCTATATGGCAGATAAGTGGGATCAACACTTTTGGACTCACCAAATTTGCCGTGGGTTTTCTAACCACAAGTCTTTCATATGGCTTGGCCCAAGACATGAAAATTGCCAATGGCAAAATCAAGAACAAGTCAATGTATAAAAATTGGAAATCTCCCAAGTTCGTGCCCATCTTATACATGATAGACACAGTGATGAACTGAATGGCAGAATACAACGACATGTACTTGAAGCAGGCAAAACTTGTCACCAACGAAGAACGACCTTCCTTAATAACATCCGGAACACATGAGATTTCAAACACTCTGGATGTGAATGGTGCTGCCACTGACGCCTCCGCTTCACTCAATGAAATACCAACATCAGCTGCCTTAAGAGCTCCACAGTCGTTTGCTCCGTCTCCACAAAATCCAACAGTATAATCAATCTTTTTTAGTTGTTCCACCAATTCGTGCTTTTCGTCAGGAGACATTCTGGCAAAAATATCACACTTCATTAAAATGCTCTCCTTCAACCGTTCGTTTTGCAATTCCACCAAAACATACCTGAAAATGTCACCCGTCAAAGCAAGCACATATTCATGGACGTCGTCCCTGATATCAGTGCTTATCCTCTGCAAAGTGACAGGGTCAAGCTTATGAGAAGAATCATGAATATCCTCCCACACAAGGCCAGTTGAACCAGTTGACTCGAACTCCTCGTCACTAGCTATCCTTGCAACATAAACTTGAGACACCGATGGGTCTATAAGCTCGCAATCTCTTCCAACACTGACAGCTGTCAAGACGTTATCTCCTGTGCACATGATTGTTCTGATGGAGGCTTCTTTCAATTCATTAAGCGTTTTCTTAGTCGTAGGCTTCAACTTGTTCTCAAAAATAATGAAACCAGCAAACTCAAGGTTATCTTCTGCATCTTCTCTTGAAAGCTTTTGGTAGTCTTCCTTCTTTCCTAAAGTCTTTTGGGCGCAAGCAATAACTCTCAAACCGCTATGAGTGTAGCCGTGGAGCAAGTCCTCAAAGTCAGCTGGTATGGTGGTTGGATCACAAATGTCTAACATAACTTCTGGGGCACCTTTTACGAAAACCAGATGAGTGTTGTTCTTTTCCACAATGACTGACATTCTTCTAAGAGCGGCAATGAACTCAAACTCTTTGAGAACCTTATAGCCAAAGGTTTCATGTCCATCAGTTTCATATACCAAAGGTACAGAACTGTCTCCAAACTCTTCAGTATATTGCCATTTGGTGAATTCGAACATTTTCATGTCAAGTGGATCTCCAAGAAGCTCGTTGTCAATAAGTCTGAGGGAATGGCAAGAAGCCATGCATCCAAGCAAAAAGTGACCACTCTGAACATCATATTGGGTTGATTGTTTGCCCTTCTCAACAAGACTTTCGACAGTATCAATGATCTCCTCAAAGATTATTTCTTTTCTGCCTTCAGCATTCTTCGTAGGATGAACACCCAAAACGTCTAAACCATCTTCTGTAAGAGTACCGGTCTTGTCAAAGCAGACGACATCTAGCTTACCACCTATATTCACCCTGGTAGGCGAAGTGCAGAAAATCGACTTGTTCTTAAGACGATTGATGGCAAAAGTGGTTCCAATGGTCAATGTAGCCGGAAGAGCAGGAGGAACGACAATAGTGATGATATCAAGCGCTCTCAAGATCATAATTCTCTTAGAAAGACCCAATTGGATAAAGTTGTAGGTCGAGTAAATGAAACCAATACAAGCAATCAAAGTCATGAAGCCAATGTACTTGAAGGCATCCTCGTAAAGCTTAAAACCAGTAGGTTTAGGGAAAAGCATAGACCTGACAAGGGATCCCTTTGTTGTGTTGAAACCAGTTCTTAGAGCCATGCCAAGCGCAGGCTCATCATTTGATGATTTAGTCTTGAGGAGCTTTGTACCGCTGTAAAGGTAAGATCTTGCCAAAACAGCATGCGTAAAGCTCTCTACCAAGTATTGAACAGTCTCTCCCGTCGCAACTGATTTGGTAACTGGGACACTTTCTCCTGTAAGCATTGATTCGTTGACCACACATTCACCATTTATAAGTAATGCGTCACAAGGCAAATAGGTCAATGACGGATCTACTTCAAAAACATCACCAGGTACCAATTCCTCTGAATCGATCTTGTTCCAGAAGCCATTTCTCCATACTCTAACCTCGCAAGAGAATGTACTGATCTGTTGAAGTCTCTTGATCGTTGCCTTAGTCTCAACCAAAGAGTTAATAATGGATACAAATGAGATAATGAAAATGCAACTTGCGTAGTAGTAATACTCGTCAGCACACCACAAGATAATTGAAAAGACCTGGAACACATAGAAAGGGTGAAGAACCTCATCAAGTAAAAGCTGGCCGATGGTCTTCTCTTTAATTTCTATGCTGTTCCCTCCGAAGATTTCAGTTCTTTGCTCATGAAGCTGTTGCGAGCAACCCTCACGGAGATTTTTTATGTTTAGCCAGTGGATGTCGTACCATGTAGAATTGGTCTTGAAAATGTCATCCACAGGATTGTAAAAGAATTTAATGTAACGATATTCAAATGAATGAACGTAAGGAATGACTGGATTGGCTTCTTTGTTTGCTTCTGGAATTTCGAAATCGTCCTCATCGGTAGTCTTTTGAGTGACTGTCAAGTAATGAGACAAACGTTCGTTTAGACGCATCTTGGATATATCCACTATGGTAAGCTCACCGAACTCATTTTCAATAACGCACCAATCTGCCTTTCCAAGAGGCCGCTGGTTTCCAAGAAGATTAATTCTATACCGAGGGAACCACCGGAGTAGAAGAAAACCAATTCCAAATGTTATAACACAGATGAAGTAATAAATCACTTGCTTCCACCAACAGTCACTGTAACCTGCAATACCAATCACAATATCCTCCTCTGCAAGGTAGTAACGCTGATACTTAGCTCTAGGATTAAACTCCTCGAAAAAAGCCTGAGTCTCAGCGTCCAGGTGATCAGAGATCAGATCAGCAATCGAGGTCGATCTTCCACTAGAGGCTGAACTTCTGCGACGGTATCTATCTTCAATAAAAGAGCCATAGCTACTATCATTGTCTGACTCACGATAGCTGCGCTGGTCTGGTGACCTCGGTCTTCTTTCACTGTCACCGAATGACGTGGATGCGCCTGCCTGGTCATAAAAATGAGTTGACAAAGCAGAACGACGAGATCTTGAAAACAGCGGTCTTTTAGAGCCCGGCTCGCTCTCCTCATCCTCAGGGTACTTATCCACTGAGTATTCCCAGTTGGTATTATAGTCAATTGGATCATCAGGATTCTCGAGAGTGGAACCACCAGGAGCAGACTCAATCTGATCAGGAGAAAAGAATCTAAACCTTGCCCCTTGAGTTTCTGCTGAGTCCGCCGTGAAGACAGAAGACACAGAACGCAAGTCAGTATCTGTTGACTGTCTCATTTGCTCACGCCCAGCAAGCAATGGCGACGTCTCTCTCAGGACATCAGGTTGCATGGACATCCGACGAGTTCCAAACCGATGAGGAAAATGCATCGACGAGATCGACGATGGAATGTTTTCACTGGTAGCTCCAGAGAACATTTCATGGGTATTCTCTTCTAGCATGGCTGACGATTCAGTAGACAGCACACTGCCCTGACGTGACCGCCGACGGGTAAGCGAGGGCCGCCTATGGCCAGAGCTAGCAAAGGAGTCTCTCACCATAGGTATCTAAAAGCTGCAATTTTATGTTTCTTTGAAGGTGATAGCAATCAGAAACTTTTCACTGATAAGCGAGAAGGCATAGGTATAGTACACAGTATTGAGCGGCTTGGTACTTGCAGTTCCAGAAAGGCACCATGATGGAGGACCCAAGAATGTAGAATGTAATAAACTCTTAATATGCTTAAAAATTGACCAGATGATGTCTTCCCATACTTTGAGGAAATTTGGTTGTTTACAATATGTTATGCTAAGTGATTAGTTTGCAGTGTCTTATGGAAAGAAGCATTTGGTTGCGAAAAAGACGCAGATCTGTGAATTCATTCCATAATTACGTCACATACGAAAACTTGTGAATGAAAACTACGAAAAAAAAAAAAAAAAAAACAAGTTAAATAAAGAAAATTTGCAAATTGACAAAGCAACAAGTTTAGGTCATCAATACTCGGCGCCTTTTATTATACATTTGTAGATAAAGAAATAGGCATATATTCATCTGCTGCTGTAGTGATGGAAGCAGTACACCGCCACTACTTCTGGTTTTTTTGAATAAGAACATGTCCACAAGAAACGCACTCCCTTTAGAACTCTCTTTCGAATGAATATCTTATATTTTTGTTGTTTCATAGCATTATTAGTGACTATACCTTTACTGGTCAACTTGCAAAGTCGGTTTGTCCTGCATACCCATACAACACCATAAGCCATAGCTACAATCAAACAAAGCTAGCTCTCTTACTACCCACCATGGCACTCAAGCTAAAATTGAAGGTCAAACCTTCCCAATCCCCAGATAGAGAAGAGCCTTTAAATGATGAACCCAAGCAGGCTAGCTCGAGCAGACAACATAAGTCAAGGAATGAGTCAAGTGATAGAGTCTCGAAACCCAAGCATAAGAGAGAGAAGCTCAAGAAACTAAAATTGAGTCTAGGAAGACTGGGGCTGCCTGATAGTGCAACACCTTCCGCTTCTGCGCCTCCTCCAGAACCAAAACCCACGCTTAAGAAGATTCCTAAAGTGAGAATCAAGCCTACAAGAATCCCTGGTGAAGGCTACGATTCAGAGGCACCCGATGTCGAAGATGACCCTCTTATAGAAGAGGGAATAGCAATCAGGTTCCTCAATGATTCAAATCTCGATTTTGTGCACAATGCCGTTGAAACTGGCGATCTTTCCAATGTAAGTATCAAATGGATCACCAGAGACAAGGCCGTCATCAAAGTCAGCCTGACGTTATACTCTGCAAGGCTAGTCGACTTGCCTACGCTAACAGAGATCTATAAAACTGTGGACAAAAAGAATATCTTCAAGACTATTGATATCAGTCAAATCCTTCTCGTGTTACATCCGATCACGCCGAAACAGCTAAATATGGACCAGGATTTCGAAGTTCCTGAACCCGAGACTTACACACACCCTATCTACGATCTTTCAACGAACAAAGAGATCCGGAGCACTAAGACAGTCTACCGTAATGGTTTAGCATATGCTTACGAAGATGCATTTCGAAGATTCAAGCCAAGGAAAGTCAATCATCGTATAATGCAAGATATAGAGCTGCGAGTCGACGAGCTTGTTAGAAGAGATGCTGAAGCTCAGGAAAGTCACTACGAATACGTTGATCCGAAAGCTCAAACAAGAGTCACAGGCTCTCACAGTCGCTCGGCCACACCCACCCATTCGGTGCCTTCCACTCCTTCGGCCCGTGTATTCTCGCCTAGAGAAGCAGATGAGTATGAAACTGAACAGCATGAACAACAAGCAGATGTTGACCTGGAGGCTGACATTGATAACGCACTTGAACAAGAGTTGGCAGAAGCTCTTGATTCTACATCTAATAATACTGCTGCAACTGTTCTTATGAAGTCTGAGTTTGATAACGAGGAAGAAGCAAGCGACGAAGAGGCTGTTGCAGGCCAAGTGGGCGGAGAAGAAGAGGATGAAGAAGACGAAGACGAGGAAGAGGAGGAAGACGAAGAAGAGGAAGAGGAAGAAGATGCTGGTGATGGTACACTGAAGGAAGACAAGAACAAGGTCAAGAAGCTTGAGGAGGAAATCGGCGAATTGGACAGAGCAGCAGAGAAACAGAAGAAGCTCTTATCCACCGCTAGCTACAAGATGATGCGTATGAAGTTCCAGTCAGCATACAATAACTTGAAGGCCCAGCTTGATCAAAAGAAGCGTGAGTTGGCCAAAATTAAGGAGCTACATCAGAAGGCCCAACCACAGGAGCCAGAGCGCCAAGTTCCTGCTGAAGAAGAAGAAGAGGATGATGATGACGAGGACGATGACGAAGAAGAAGGTGAAGGCGACGAGGATGAGACCAAGAGAAGCCATCCTCTGTCTGAAGACAAACAAGCACCGGAAGAAAAGCCACCTAGCGAGGCAGAGGCACCTCAAGAGGATGATGACCAGGATATGGATAACGAGGATTACGGAGACCTTCAGGATCTTTTTTAAGCTATCAAATATTGCCAATAGCATTCAAATTGCATTCAAACTACATGAAATGCTTCAGTTTTGGAACATTTAACCCATTACTCTTATCAGGCGTGAATGTACTCTCAACAATGGGCCCCAATCTGACTCTTTTGTGCTACTCTATGAAAACGAGGTGCGCAACCTGTGCATTTTTTTTTTTTTTAACAAGGAATTAATTGGACTACCGCACTAGCGTATTTTTCCATCTCATCTCAGAACCATTTCCCCCATACTGCCCACGCCAACACCAATAAATGTCCAGCAATTCCATCAAGCTTTTAGCCAGTGATGTTCACCGTGGTCTTGCGGAGCTCGTCGCCAGAAGATTGGGCCTCAAACTTTCTCCTAGTGAATTGAAGAGAGACTCAAGTGGTGAGGTCACTTTCAGTATCGGTGAGAGTGTCAGAGATGAGGACATCTTTATTGTTTGTCAGATTGGTTCTGGTGAGGTGAATGACCGAGTGTTGGAGCTTCTTATAATGATCAACGCCTGTAAAACGGCGAGTGCCAGAAGAATCACTGTCATCCTCCCTAACTTCCCTTACGCCAGACAAGATAGGAAGGACAAGTCGAGGGCTCCTATTACTGCCAAGCTTATGGCAGACATGTTGACCACTGCTGGTTGCAACCATGTTATTACCATGGATTTGCACGCATCTCAGATCCAGGGTTTCTTTGATGTTCCAGTGGACAACTTGTACGCTGAGCCTAGTGTGGTGAGGTACATCAAGGAGAAAGTCAACTACCCAGAAGCCATTATCATTTCTCCTGATGCTGGTGGAGCCAAGAGAGCCGCTGGTCTTGCTGACACTCTAGATTTGAATTTTGCTTTGATCCATAAGGAACGTGCCAGAGCCAACGAAGTGTCCAAGATGGTTCTCGTTGGTGATGTTACCGACAAGATCTGTATCATTGTTGATGATATGGCCGACACATGTGGTACTTTGGCAAAGGCTGCTGAAGTGCTTCTAGAGAACAATGCCAAGGAAGTCATCGCTATAGTCACCCATGGTATTCTCTCTGGAAATGCTATCAAGAACATCAACAACTCGAAGCTCAAGGCGATCGTTTGCACAAACACTGTCCCATTCGAAGAAAAGGTGTCTTTGTGCCCTAAGCTAGATACTATTGACGTGAGTGCTGTATTGGCTGAGGCTATTAGAAGACTCCACAACGGAGAGAGCATTTCATATTTGTTCAAGAATGCTCCATTATAGGACCGAGAGACGATGTTTATAATTATCAATCAACATGTTAGCATTTAAGAGCTTGAATTAATGACTTGTATGGTACCATGTCTATTCAGATGGCCCATGTGGTGAACAAATTACGGTGAATCCGATTGTGCCACCACTGTCAAGTCACTAACATTATGATCATTTATGGCTTTACCAGGCTTGTCATAAAGATAAATGAAACGAATTAATCGACACCCGAACAACTGCCTTTATGACAAAACTAGCTTCGGTATCACCCTGCCATACCCTTAGAATACAGGGAAAAGCACTCCTATGAATGTAAAATGGCTTCCCTGAAATAAAATTGAAAGTTTAAAAGAATGGAAATGAAAGTATTATCACGAAGCTCTTGTGTATCATATAAAGTAAAGCTTTCTTCCTTAGTCATAGCCCATTCTGGGTACACCGCGCAGACTCCAAAATCCGGGGAACGCGAGAGTAGTATTTTTTCAATAGAAACATACGTTCTCTTTATCAAACCATTATATCATGACTATCGGCTCAAGAGAGATTAAAGCTTGTCTTTTTGGTATGTAACAGGATTTCATGTCGAAATGCCATCCACTAACAACAGACATGGATGGAACCCTCATCAACACTGAGGACATCTATACTGAGGCAGCTACAGAGACGCTTGCTCTTTACGGGAAAGGCCCTTTAACTTGGGACATCAAGATCGATTTGCAAGGAAGACCAGGTCCTGATGCTGCTCAGAAAGTGGTTGAGTTCTTTGATTTGCAGGTCACTAAGGAAGAATTCATGAAGAAACTGTACGAGATCCAGGACACTAAATGGGAGCGCACGGCTTTCTTACCAGGGGCTTTAGAGTTGCTAGAGTATCTTAAGAAACATGATATTCCTATTGGTTTGGCCACAAGCTCAAACACTGGCAATTACGAAAAGAAGACAGCCCATCTTGGAGGCAGTTTTGCTCTCTTCGATGGCCACATTGTAACTGGTGATGACAAGAGAATCCCACCTGGCCAAGGTAAGCCACAGCCTGATATCTGGTATGCCTGTTTGAAAAGCATTAATGACGCCAGAGCAAAGAAGGGCCTTGAAGAGATTAAGATTGAGGAGTGTTTGATCTTTGAAGACGGAATCCCCGGTGTGATCTCAGGAAAGAACGCTAACGGTTATGTTATCTGGATTCCTCACCCATTGGCTTTGAAAGAGCTCAATGGCAAAGAAAAGGAAATCATTGGACAGGGAGGAGAAATTATTGAAAGTCTAGAGGAGTTCGACAAGGCCAAGTTTGGTCTTGATAGGTGATATATGCGACCCATCATATTTAGACAATAGAAAAGCTTCTTAAATAGCAAAGTACGTAAATTTTGTAGAAATGTCTATAAGGTCATGATTCTTAGGGACTGGTAACTTCCCTGAAAAGTGTGTAGTCTCTTTACCCGAGGTGCTTATCGTGGTCTCGAGACTATGTCAATCCGGCATGAATATAAGGTGCTCTTCTCCATCCCATACGACACTTCCTTCTGGACCTATGGTCGGCACTGATATATATCGAATACAAATAGACTTCACAGCAAGAGACGAGTCGACCACCGAAGAAGACCAACATTTTGTTCACAGTCCAACTTTCGATTACCGTTATTCTCCAATCTCTGTGGTGAGCATAGATCCTCCCACGATGCAAGCAGACGCTGTGCCCAACGAGCCACTAAGGGCCAAGCAGCTTGGGAAGGGTGTGATTAAGTTATATCGTGACTTTGATGATGACGATCAAGAACTTCTGCTGAAATCGCTTGTCTCCAGCACAAGCGATCAAACCATGCTTTCGATCATTGCCTTGCCCACATACTTCACGGCTACCGACCTTTTAGGGTATATTGGAGACCATCATATGGAGCATATTACACATATAAGGATTCTACGAAGTGAAAAGGCCAACAGGTTTTTGGTTCTTCTCAAATTTGATGATGTTCTACGGGCAGCTGAGTTTCAGTATCACTTCGATGGCAAGCCTTTCAACTCAATGGAGCCCGAAGCGTGTAACGTTGTATATGTGAAGTCAGTCGTCACAACAGGGTCATACGAAGTGCCAGCTAAAGACACGCTTATACCGTTTTTGCTTGAGGATCCATTCACCAGCCAGCCTGATGATACGATCACGCCTATTGAACTCCCTACATGCCCAGTGTGTCTTGAGAGACTTGATTTTGAAGTTTCAGGTCTCCTTACAATCCCATGTCAACATACGTTTCACAGCAACTGTCTTTCGAAATGGAGGGATGATACCTGCCCCATTTGTCGTTACACCAACAGTGTACTGAACCAAAACATCAAGAGGTCAGTCAGGAGACTACTGCAGATCAATTCTAGAATGCAGATGCAGCAGCATGACCCAGGTGAAGAAGGTACAAGTAGTACCAGCTCGGCGGACGTTTGCATGGACTGCCTGGTAACTACTAACTTATGGGTATGTTTAATCTGTGGAAACGTAGGCTGTGACAGGTATGCGCCTGACCAGCATTCTTTAAAGCATTTTGTGGAAACAGGCCACTGTTTTGCGATGGAGCTTCATACTTCGAGAATCTGGGATTACGCTGGAGACCGCTATGTTCATCGTCTAGTAACCACAGAAGAGGATGGTAAAATCGTCGAGTTACCAGAAAAGGATAACACACACCCGAAGCTGAATAAAGATGATGACAATGAAGAATATTCAGAATTGCTTCTTAGTCAGCTTATCAGTCAAAAGGAATACTACGAGTTATTGCTTCATGAGAAGAGTCAGAACGGAAATCAACGAGGGAGTCCAGTAGCCACCGACCAAGGCTCTTCCAAAGTGAAAGAATTGGAGTCAAAAGTCGATGAGCTTAGTGAGCAGCTCAAGAAGTTATCTGCCAACGTGATTCCGGCGCTCAACCTGAAGATTGATTTGAAGACCAAATCTCTTCGAATTGCAGCTTCTGAACTCAACGAGGCAAACATATTGAACGAGGGATTATCGGCCAAGGTAGACCATCTATCACAGGAAAACGCAAAGCTCAAAGAGAGTAATACTGATCTAAGTGATCAAGTAAAAGATCTCATGTTCTACTTGGAAGCGCAGGCAAAATTCAAGGACCAGCCTGAAGATGTCACGGAAGGCCAGGTGATCATGAAACCAAAGAGGAATAACAAAAAGAAGAAATAGAAAAAAGGTAATGGGTTGGGGAAGAAAGTACCTGGATGGGTAGGTTTGCATAGTGTATGGTTGCAAACTATGGGAGAGATGGGTAAATAAGGAACTAATAAAAGTTATTTTACACAGTACTCGGTACTAATTTAAACCCTAGTAGCTATAGACATTTATCAACTTTATATGATAGCGCCACTTCTGCAAATTATTGTTGATGAGTGGTGTCTCTGTCCATGGGTAGAGAGTAGTAGTAGGCATGAACTGCATACACCTAGGCCATCTTAGATAATGCGATGAGAAGACCCAACTTGAAATTTTCGTCTCTAGACTTTACCTTACAGCATGGATGAACCAACACATAAAAAGTCTACCTTGAGTAGTTCTGAAGTTGCGTTCCCTAGAGGTGGGGCCTCGGTCTTAACTCCTTTAGAAATGAAGACCATTTCTAACAAGGCCACAGAGGACGTTCTTTTTGAGCAGGCCAAAGGCTCAAAGAGATCTGCCTCTGATGCCATAGAAGCCCCCAAGAAGAAAAAGAAGAGCAAAAAGAAGAAGTCTCAGGATGATGAAAAAGACTCAGATGAAAAAGAAACTGAAATCGAACACTTTTCCCATAAAAACTTGATCCCAGGTGCTTCCATCTTGGGTCAAATTGTCAGAGTCGACAAGATGGACCTTACAGTCGCTATCGGTGACAACTTATTCGGCCAGGTCCCAATCACACAGATTAGTTCTGAGATCACTGAGATGATTGAAAAGTATGAAAATGCTATGGAAGATTCCAGTGACGATGAGAGTGACGATGAGAACCAGACCCAAGGTGTCAGTCTTAAGAACGAGTTACCTAAATTGAAGAACATCTTTTCCATTGGTCAGTGGGTACGTGCAGTTGTCATTCCAAATGAAGAAAACGCTAAACGTATTTCGCTTTCTATTGACCCGGCTACTGTGAACGCTTCTGTCGAGGAGGACGATTTGACTCCAGGTAATTTCCTCCAAGCATCTGTCAAGTCCGTTGAAGATCACGGTGTTGTCCTTACTACTGGTGTTGAAAACTTTGGTGGGTTCATTTCAAAGAAAGAATTGAAGAAAGCAGAGATAGGGTTATCTTCCTTGAAGCCTGGTCAGGTTGTCCTTGCATCGATTGTCAGTTTGTCATCCAGAACGATAACAATGAGACCTGGTTCCAACGAGCAGGTCAATAAAAAGACTGTGGTTTCAGTCATCAGTTCTATTGACGCTGTCCACCCTGGTACTGTTGTTAACGCTATCATCACTGAAATTAACGATGCTGGTGTCGGTGCCAGACTTTTTGGTATGGTCGATGCTTCCTTCTCCTTGCCACACACAGAAGAATACACTGTCGAGAAGCTAAAAAACCACTTCGCTATCGGTGGTACTGTTCGTGCCAGAGTGATTGGTACTGTTTTCTCTGAAGGCGCAAAGAAGTTTGTCTTGTCCAAATCTAGCCGAGTTTTGAGTTTACAGCCTACTCTTAACAAGGAGCCATTGGAGGCTTTCCCCATTGGATTCATTTTTGACGAAGGTATTGAGGTTGCTGGTGCAGACAAAGATTACATTTATGTCAATGCTGGTAGCTTCATTGGTCAAGTACACAAATCTAACGTTGACCCCGATTTAGATATCAAACAGCATTACAACGTTGGCTCCAAACATAAAGCTCGTGTGCTTGGGTTTAATGAGATTGACAACATTTTGATCTTGACTTTCAAGCCAAAGGCCATCGAATCTCAATTTGTTTCGACCGATGATATCCCTGTCGGTGAGTTTGTCTCTGCAGCTGAGGTCACGAACATTCTCCCTGATGCCAAGGGTATAGTGGTCAAGGTGTTTGGCGACTTTGAAGCATTCGTTCCCCCTACCCATATCTCAGACGCCAAGCTAATGTTCCCTGAGAGAAAGTTCAGAAATGGTGGTAAGGTCAAGGCAAGAATTTTAGCCACCGCTGGTAAGAAGCTTTATGCCACTCTTAGAAAGAGTCTTGTGAACATGGAGGAGGATACAATTGTCAAGAACCTTGATGATCTCCTGGTAGGCTTCAAGACCACAGGTGTCGTGGAGAAGTTCATTGGCTCGGGTGTATTGATATCTTTCTTTGGAAACTTAAAGGCTTATTTACCAAAGAATGAGATTTCCGAAACCTTCGTTGAGAATGCTAAGGATTACCTTAAAGAAGGCCAGGCAGTTAATGTTAGAATCCTTAACTTCAATAAGGAAGATGGCAAAATTACCGTCACGTTACGTCAATCGACCGAATTAACCAACAACCAGATGAGACATCTTGAAGACGTCGAAGTTGGCAGAACTATTGCTACCGCCTTTGTGGTTGAAAAGACCAAGGAAGCTGTGATCATTGAGTTGGAAGGCTCTAACTTGAGGGGTGTCATTGTCACTGAACATTTGTCTGATGGCAACTATGAAGAGAACAGGAAAGTTTACAAAGCTCTTGATGTGGGTCAGAAAACCGAGGTTTTGATTCTCGAAAAGGATTTCAGAGCCAGAACCGTCATCGCCACTTCAAAGCAGTCATTGCTCAATGCCGCCAAAGTTGGCCTCTTCCCTGCAAGTTATGAGGATATTCATACTGGAACTGTCATCCCCGGTTTTGTCAAGTCGGTCACTAACATGGGTATTTTTGTTAGTTTTGGTGGCCGTCTCACAGGTTTGGTCTTGGCCAAGAATGCATCAAGTGATCCAACAGTTGACCTTTCCGCTAAGTTCCATAAGAACCAATCAGTTGCATGTAACGTCATCAGGACAGACGATGTCAACAAGAGATTTTACCTTTCATTCAGTGGTGTTGATGAGACTGGGTTCAGCAAACTTAATCTTAAGAACCCCTTGACTCCACCAAGAAAACCGCATCTGATTATTCTGTTGGTTCCATGACTAAGGGTAAGGTTGCTTCAGTTGAACCAGGCTATGTTAATGTCCAACTCGCAGACAACTTATATGGTCGTCTTGAGGCTTCTCAAGTTTTCAACAAATGGAAGTCCATCAAGGACAAGAAGGCTCCTCTTCTGTCATACAAGGAGGGTCAAAACATTAAGGCCAAGATCATTGGTTACTACGACCAAGCAGCAAAGAGATACTCTCCTCTGTCTACTTTCACAACCTCTACGGTTGTTGAATTGTCTATTTTACCAGAAACCCTTGCTGAAGGCGGGCTTTACAAACCACCAACCTTTGACGACCTCAAGGTTAATAGCGAACATACTGTGTTTGTTGAATCTTACGAGCATGGCGTTGCTAACGTTTCTATGGCTCCGGGTGCCCAAGGACAGATACCGCTTTACTGCCTTTCTAACGATACCCTGCTTTATGAAGATTTCGAGTCTTCTTTCCCAGTTGGATGTGCCATTAGAGCTAAAATTTCTGGCTTAGATTACGAGCACCATAGAATCGAGTTTTCCGCCAGAGAGAAGGCTCCACAATCGATCGAAGATCTCAAGGAAGGTGAACGCTACCCAGCTAAAGTTTTCAAAATTGGTCCAAATTTCGTTTTAGTGGAGTTGGCCAAGGGCGTTGTCGGATACGCATACGTCACGGATGCTTTGAATGACTACGACGACAAGCTTGAGGAGATCTACAAGGTAAACTCTGCAGCCCTTGCAAAGGTTGAACAAGTGGATGTCAAGGAAGGCAAGGTCTATGTTAGCTTGAGAAACGAAGCGATTGCTAAGGATAAGCCTGTGAATTCCATTGATGAGATCAAGAGAGGTGACGTTGCCAAAGGTTTCATCAACTCCATTGGCCGTAACGGTCTCTATGTTTCTCTTGGCAGAACCATATTTGCATTGGTCAGAGTTACTGACATTTCTGACGCCTACTTGGCTGATTGGAAGAAGTTCTTCAAGCCTCATCAGTGTGTTTCGGGTAAGATCTCGCAGTGCAAGACCGAGGGCCGTATTCTCATGACTTTGAAGGAGAGTGAAGTGAATGGTGACTTATCTACTTTCAAGACATTCGAAGAGTTAGAAGTTGGTGAGAACTACGACGGTTCTGTCAGAAAGGTGGCAGACTTTGGTGTTTTCATCAAGTTGGATGGAACTTCTAATATTAGTGGTCTCTGTCACCGTTCGGAAATTGCCGATACACCAGTTGAAAACGTTGTTGCCCTTTTTGGTGAGGGTGACCGTGTCAAGGTGAAGATCCTCAAGATTGATAATGACAAGAAGCAGCTTTCCCTTGGTATGAAAGCTTCATACTTTACTACTGAGGCAGACGACGAAAGCATGTCTGCTGCTGAAGATGAAGAAGATGAGGTCATGGGTGACGCTTTTAATGAGGATGACGATGAAGACGAAGACGAAGACTCTTCTGAATCAGACAATGAAGAGACAGAGGCTGCTGCTCCTGCTGGTCTTTCTGGATTATCTTCCAATGGTTTCGACTGGACAGCCTCTATCTTGGACCAGGCTGAAGATGATGAAAGCTCTTCAGATGACGAAGAAGACTTCACTGAGACCCACAAGAGAAGAAAGAAGAAGGGCAAGAACCAGGTAAAGGACAGAACTGCTGAGATGAATGCCACTGCTCCTGAATCCGTTTCTGACTTTGAGAGAATGCTTGTTGGTAACCCAGATTCCTCCGTTCTTTGGATGAACTACATGTCCTTCCAGTTGCAACTTGGTGAAATCGAAAAGTCTCGTGAAATCGCTGAGCGTGCTCTCAAGACAATCAATTACCGTGAGGAGCAGGAGAAGATGAACATCTGGATTGCTATTCTTAACTTGGAGAACAGTTTCGGTAGCGACGAGTCGCTTGACGAAGCCTTCAAGCGCGCTACCCAGTACATAGATTCCTTGACTATGCATCAAAAACTTATCGGTATTTATGTGTTGTCAGAGAAGTTTGATAAGGCGGACGACCTTCACAAGGCCATTGTCAAGAAGTTCAGCAAAGACCCTAGTGTCTGGGTTCAATATGGCTCCTTCCTCATGGACAGAGAGGAGAGCGAGCGTGCCCACGAGACTTTGGCTCGTGCTTTGCAAGCATTGCCTAAGAAGGACCACATTGAGGTTGTTAGAAAGTTTGCCCAACTTGAATTCGCTAAGGGTGATGCAGAGCAAGGTAGATCCTTATTTGAAGGTTTGGTGACAGATGCTCCAAAGAGAATCGATTTGTGGAATGTCTACATTGATCAGGAGATCAAGAATGACAATAAGGACCATGCAGAGGATTTGTTCCGGAGAGTAACCCAGGTCAAGCTTTCTAGAAAACAGGCCAAGTTCTTCTTTGCCAAATGGCTCAAGTATGAAGAAGAGAAGGGCAACGAACAGTCGGTTGCCCTCGTCAAGGCCCTTGCTGTGGAGTACGTTCAAGCCCACTCCAAGGACGACGAGGAGTAAACCATTTTTAGATCATAATCTTTTTGTACATATACCAATTGCATATTTAGTTTCGTTATTCATGTTGTAACTCTGGGAAGGCTTCCGCGATAAGTTCCTCTATAAGACTGAAGATGAGCAGTTTGTTGAAATAATCATTCTGGAATAACTCGAACAAAACATTGGAACGCTGTTTGGTATTAGTGGAGCCGAAAACCTTGCCACAAGTTTCCTCCATGAACACCTCAAACATTGCTCTGGCTTCTCCTCGTGTTTTTTCTTGCTGTGCTTCACTTCTGAGAACCGGTGGGTCTTTAAATCTACCACCAGGATAGACTGTATCTCTCAACGACGTAAGCCCGTTAAGCCATATCATTTCATCGCCTAGTAGATGGCTGATCGAAGACCGAAGCTTCTTCTCGATAGCTGAGCCCAAGACTTGCTGTAAAATTATAAGAAGGGCTCGACCTCGTATCCAACTTTTCGATGAGCCTAACTCAAACACATCGATAAGCAATTCGGATATTGGCTTCACGAATGGTACTCTTCCTATTGCTTGCCTTTGGGAATCGTCAAATTGTTTCAACTCACTTTGCATCTCTCGTATACTATCAAGATACCCATTTTCGGGGCTGTCATTCTCCCTAGAGCTTTGAACCAGCTGGCTCTGAGGAGCGAGAGAGAATGATCCCAAAATATCTTCTAAAGGCTTTTTCAGCTTTCTTAAAGACCCAAACAGGAAGTTTTCTGAGGATAGGAAGGACCGTAAAATAGGATCAGAGCAAACTTCGGGGATGGTCAAAAGTTGCTGGAGATAATGCTCAAGCGCCCGTTTTCGTATCTCGAGCAACTGCTTTTTCTGAAAGTTGAGGACCGATTTCTTTGGAAACTTTATCGCAGATACCTTGGGTGACCTCTTTTTTAAATATTCATTGAGTTGATAAAACTGACTGAATCTCCTAGCAACAACCCAGCCCGCTGTAATCTCATTCGGATCATCATTTGAAAACTTTTGGACTTCAACAATATATAGAACGTATTCAGAACCATTCTTGCTTTCCGACATGTATGATGATATTTGAATTTTGGATTTTCCAAATAAACTGTTTTCATTTTCTTGAATAATCCAGTGCTGTCTTTGCAACTCTTTGGAGGCTATCTCTCTGTCCAAGCCCTGCTTCGACCGTTTGAGAATAGACATTTCTGACATATTGTTAGTAAGTTCCGCTTTCTTCAACAAGGGAAGCAAAATTTCGTTTTGCTGCCGAAGGTTGTAGATATCTTGATCAATGGTTGCAAGCTTTTCCGAGAGACTTAAATCACCTGGAGCAGCCCTCAATATTTCCGAACTACTAAGCTCCGGATCGGACAGAGCGAGATGATCAGAAGCTTCTGAATCGGAATCAGATTCATCATGAGGGATTGATCCAAACAAGCCGGAATGACTTGTACCAATTGATGAACCGCTTGCATGGCGATGCATATCACCAACCAAATTGACAGTTGATGAGCTCGACAGCGAAGCCATCAAATTCTTTAGAGTAGAAGTGCTTTGATTTCTCGATGCATCCAGCACTTCACCTCGTTGCTTCATATTCACTATCTGTTCTAGTGACTTCTCCACAGCCTCAAAGACAGTAGGGCTGATAGACTTTTCGGTGTCTCCTTCGTCGTATTGAGAATCGTCATGCTCTAATAGTGAGGTGTCGGCAGAGAAAAGATCGACCAGTTTATGCTGTGATGGCATGTTATTCCCGCTTTTAGAAAACGGCCCGTAGAAGTCAGCCGCCATTGCTTTGTATACATCCTTCTGCAACTCTATTAAGGCCTCTTTAGCCCGCTCAAAGTTGTCTTTATTCGACAGGTCGTCTATAGCACGTTGGATACATGCACTTATCCCATCCGAGAAATACTTGCTTCCTTGAACCAAATACTTCTGGTGTATATCACGAATAGCTTCGAATGTTGCAAATTCGAGTGTATCTGGCGAAAGCCCAGTATCATGGCTTAAAGGTGATCTAAGCGCATTTACAGACTGGTGGATCTCAAGTAAATATACGGCGTCATTCTGTTTGAGATAGGTTGCAAACTGGCTTCGAAGTTGAGAATCTCCGAGAATTGTGCTTAGAGACGGGGCATCACTTGAGATACGAAGCTTTTGCAGAACCCTATTCTTGGTATCCATTAAGAGTTCACGCTCCTCTCGATCCTGATCTGGACGCTTTTTCGATATCTCGGCCTCCAATTGACGACCTAGCTCCTCTAGTTCTAGGTCCGATCCTAGCTCAATAAACTGAAGACAATGATGGTACCTCGCTTTCGTAAAGTTTCCAGAAACTGCGGGGATAACCGTGTTGGATAGCGTTTCTAGCTTCGGATCAGCCGATTGACGAGTATGTTGTTCTAAAGCAGCTCTGAGTCGCTTCACTTGACTTCTGCGCTGAAGATTATCGCCTATAAATTTGACAATCATCATGTTCACGAAATCGCCTTCGGTAGCCATGTCAAGAACATTGGCAAATATTGATGATGCTAGCACTTCACGTAGAAATGTAGGTATGATATTGTTGCTCGACTCACCAGAGGATAGAACTAGAGGGAGAATCTTTGAGAACTTCTTCCTGAAGAAGTCCTTCTCCCTAGTATGATCCTTGTTGGCAGATATGGACACAGCATCATGAAGCTGATGGCCAGAAGAACTGACTGCTTTTAATTTACTCTTGAGAGTATAACTCTGAGCCTGGTAAGGCGAGTCACGAGCAAACGCCTTAAAATGCTGGTGCAACACTGGGAGCAATTTGATAACTAGTAGCTCGGGGATATCAAAGGCATGTAAGCGGTTTGTCAATGCTAGTATAATTTGCTTGAGTTCCTTCCTGAGGCTTTCCTGGAACGACTGATTCTGCGATAGATTCGAGTACCAGGATTCAATGAAAACAGATACAGTAAGATTGAGTATCTCTTCTAAGGTCTCGTTAACTGAGGAGTACTGGGATGCATCTTGTTCCCCTGATAAGATTCCCAGTTCAACCCTTCTTAGCTCGTCCAGCCAAACATCCTCTTGAAGGAAACGAAACTTAGATTTCTTTCTCCTTGAACACTGAATCTTACGGACCTTTCTAGGTCGTGCGTAAGAAATCAAACGGTAAACCGTATAGGTAGCTAGGAGTAGTGCTAGTATGAGCTCAAGTAGAACTCTCCATAGAGTGACAAATCGTAGAAGGGCGGCAAAAGCTCCAACCGCTGCGAGCCATAGCCAGCTAGCTTCCATTCCAGCGACTCTGAGGACAGCCATGGAGTTCAACTGGACTCCAGGGGACTGCTTAAACTTGGTGGTGGATATACGAGGTAGTGTTATCGTCTGGCGCGTACTGTAGTGTGAGCGTTATCGTGGTTAACGGGAGCGCACTGGCATGCAGCTAGGTGATGCAGATGAATATATTAGAATGGGTGATGTAAAAAAGTCTATATTTTCTTTTATTTTTTGGCCTTCTTGGCCTTGGAGGATTCTTTCGAATCATCAGATTCGTCTCTAGATCTCTTCTTGGACTTCTTCTCCAGACCATCCTTCAGCTTGGCCTTCTTGGTCTTCGACTCCAGCGATTTCTTCTCAGCCTTGGAGGATTTAGATGAGGTAGTATTCTCCTTATCTTTGTTTTTCTTCTTCTCTTTCTTCAGTTCCTTCAGCGACTTTTCATCTTTCGACTTGGCCTTCTTGTCTTTCTTATCCTTCTTATCCTTCTTATCCTTCTTTTCCTTCTTATCCAGCTTTTCACTCTTCTTCTCCTTGGACTTCTCCTTGGTTCGTTTCATCAACGAATCTGACTGTTCTATAGCCGACTTGCTGTCTAACTTCGTGCTCTTCTGGTGTGCATTGTCAGTTCTCCCAACGGTACCCGCGAGTCCTTCACCCTTCACGAACATCTTGTACAAGGGTGACATGGACCTTCGAAGATGGTTCTCTGCTTCAACCGTGTTTGTCTCAAAACTGACTCCGCTGGAGTTGCTGGTAACATCAAGTGTCTTTAGCTGACCGTCAAAAAGACGCTCCCACCATACATCTGCATCGTTACCATCTGATCCGAGTCCCTTCTTGTCCTTCTTGTGCTTCACCAATATTGGCTTTTTGATGCCACCATTCTTGAGTGCCTGGCCATCTTCCCACCCGTAGCTTTTGAGATATAGTCGGGCATCCATGGTATGTGTATTGGTAGAAGAGGCTGGTGGGTTTATGAACCTCATCTCATTTCGCACCTTATATTGATACACCTCCATCGCGCATCTCACTGTTGATACTTGCAACTACTACCAATATGGGGAACCCTCAGGAGCTACAAGATGCATTTACAGAATTCGACGAACAAGTGAGAATATCGGATCTTTGCTATAGTGACTACATTAATCTCGAGGAAAAGGCAAAAAGCTTGTCCTTGTATCCGCCATTGCCTCTCCTAGAAAGAAAGATGGTGGTAGCGGAGCTTACGTTGTCTGATATAGACAGCTGGAACGAATTGGCTCCTGCGGCTGGGTCACCAGAATCCATTAAGCTACTTGAACATTTGAAAACCCGTTATCCTACTCCTGATACATGGCTCAGTTACCTTGCATATGTCGAACCAAACGAACAAGACCTTCTACGAGCATTTGCCCAATGCCGCTCAAATTATAAGAAAGGCTGGCTTATCTTCCAAAAGGTTGTTGAATACTATACTAGGATCGATCCAAGCCCAGAGAAGCTTCGAAAAGTGTACGAGCAAATGCTCTCTACCCCACACGAGCAACTTGACCAGACATATCAAGACTATTCCACACTTGTTTCCAGCTATTGGAACGACACATACCTGACGATAATGAAAACGGCAAGTAAACTTAAGTCTAAGAGTGCAGAGTCATTGTCTTACTATATCGTCCTTGAACGTAACATCACGGAAGAACCACTCACTACCAAGCATTGGACTACCTATATTGAATCATGTGCCAAACATTTACAAAAAAATGAGCCATTTGCTGCAATTGAGGAGATATTCTTTCGGTCAGTCGTCGAGACTTCTATGTTCAGTAACGAAAAATGGATCCCTGTATGGGTTTCGTTCCTCGACATCGTGAAAAGATTTGAGCCAGCCCGTTTCCGCCACTTCGTGAAACTATTTATCAAATCCTATCCTGGAACAGTCGATGGCTACGTGGAGTATTCTAAACAGGTTGACTATGATAGTGTGGAGTTTCCATTTTTGCGAAAGGAGCTTCTTCGCTTCGTCAATTCGCAAGACCTCGCAAACCCTTCGTGGAAGACAGTCTCCAATGCTCTTCTTACAATCCATTTCAAGCAGCTCACTAAGATGCGGGACATTTCAGTGGTGCTGACTCTTGAGGACATTTCATCTGTCGCTTCAGCTGCATTTGCTCGCGAGGGCAGCGTTGATATCTTAAGTCTAGCGATCACCCTTTCTAGGAGATTTTCATCTGGTGAAGATGACTTCTTTGACCTTTTTATCGACCTAACTACTGCAACATTTGACAGATGGCCCAATTCTGCCGCAGTATGGGTTACGTGCTTCCAACTACTTGCTTTGTATGGCCCACCAAAGTATGGTAAACGCATGTTGAAGTTATTACCCGAGGATCTTGAGCAGCTTGATGATCCGATGAAAGCTATCAACTGTGCAATCATACATCAAGCTATGCACGGACAGCCAGAAGACATCGAATTACTTACAACACTACAAAAGAAATATGCAGACAAAGTCGTTACAACCTATGTCACCAAAGACCAGAAGAGGACGAGCCCCGAAGAAATCGATCGGGTGGAGCCAAAAAAGTCCAAGCTTCAAACCGAAAATGACGTCCCAGGAAGAAGTAGAGAAATGTTCCGTGTGAAAGTTGAGAATATCCCAGCTTCAGCATCGCTGCAATCAGTCTCAGACTTCTTCAATGGATACTGCGATCCAATCACCATAAATGTTCACAAATCTGTACAAGGAAATTTTGCTTTAGTGGAACTTAAGTCTGAAGAAGAGGTCCTAAAGGCTTTGGTGCGTGACCAGAAACTGATAGATGGTTCCACAGTAAGTGTGAAAAGAATTTTTGGTAATACTTTATGGGTTACTAATTATCCACCTCAATGGGGTCCTTCTGAATTAGAAGGGTATTTGTCAAGTCAGGATCTTCCATTTATCAATGTCAGATTCCCTTCGCAGAATGACAAAAGAGAGAAGCGGTTTTGTTATATTGATTTCCCTGATACGGCAACCACACAAGCTGCACAATCACGTCTCGATAAGCAAGTGATTGAAGGCCTCACTTTGAAAGCAGACATTTCGAATCCGTCTTTGAAGCAGAAACGAGGCGGTCCTGATATTACTCACCAAGTGTATGTTCGTAATATCAATTTCGAGACCACCAATGAGGAAACTTTAAGGCAGTTTTTTAGCGAGGTCGGTAAAGTGGAGGACGTGAAAGTCCCCTTGAACCAAGAGAATCGACTGAAAGGGCTTAAGAATAATGGTTATGCATTTGTCACTTTCGCTGATGCTAAGGCCGTTAAAAAGGCATTGGATGTTAGTGGCAATGTTTTGGATGGAAGAAACATCGAGGTTCTGAGAGGAAAATCCAAGCAGTCAATGAAGCTGGCTGCTCCCCAAGATTTCGCTAAAGACAAGACAATATCGCTATTCAATGTGAATTCGATAGCTACAAAGGCACATCTTGAGGAATTTTTGCATACCAAGGTAGGCCCTACCACAAAAGTTCACGTTAAACCAAGCAAAAAGGCTGCGCTTGTGGAATTCGAAAAGCAAGCTGATGCTGGTAAGGCCAGTTTAATTCTTGAAGGAAGCCTATTCGAAGAAGAAGTCCTTCATCTAGGTACCATAGAGGACTACTTTAAACAGGATGAAGAAAAGCGCCCGAGACAAAAACCAACAATGGCGCCTCCGATGCTTATGAGGAAGAAGAGAAGATAAATATACATAGTTGAATTCTTCATATGTGATTAAGTTGTAGCCTTACTTGATAACCGTTTATAACAAAGTTTGCAGCCAGTGCGGTTTCCCTATGGGGTACTATTTTTCAGTTACTCACAGTTCTGATTTTTTTCCTGTCTTTTTTTTTTTTTTTTTTTATAATATTTTTTCACCGCGACATAAAGATTTGAAAGATTCCAATACCTCACTAACCAAATATGAGTGCCACTATCAAGCTTGAAAAGACTGACAGAAGGGACACTCTTGTGGATATCGAGAAGAAGTACCAGAAGTACTGGGCTGATAACAAGTTCTTCGAGGTCGATGCTCCTACTATTGAGGAAGATCCAGAGGATGATGCTGATAAGTTGAGAGAGAAGTACCCAAAGTACTTCAGTACCATGGCTTACCCATACATGAACGGTGTTTTGCACGCTGGTCACAGTTTCACCTTGTCCAAGGTTGAGTTTGCCACTGGTTTTGAAAGAATGGCTGGTAAGAGAGCTCTCTTCCCATTGGGTTTCCACTGCACTGGTATGCCGATCAAGTCAGCTGCTGACAAGATCAAGAGAGAAGTTGAGCAGTTTGGTGAAGACTTCTCTGGTGCCCCTGCTGAAGACGAGGAGGAGGAGCCTGAGGTCAAGGAGGTTGTCAAAAACGAGGACCCCACAAAATTCAAGGCTAAGAAGTCTAAGGCTGTTGCCAAACAGGGTAGAGGTAAGTACCAGTTCGAGATTATGTTGCAATTGGGTCTTTCAAGAGATGAAGTTGCTGCTTTCGCTGACCCTCAGCATTGGCTCCATTTCTTCCCTGCTCTTGTAGAGAGAGATGTGAATAACTTTGGTGGTAGAGTCGATTGGAGAAGATCCTTTGTTACCACTCCAGCTAATGCCTACTACGATGCGTTTGTGCGCTGGCAAATCAACCGTTTGAAGGACTGCGGTAAGATTAAGTTCGGTGAGAGATACACCATTTATTCCGAGAAGGATGGTCAAGCCTGTTTGGATCACGACAGACTGAGTGGTGAAGGTGTCAACCCACAGGAATATGTTGGTATCAAGATTCCAGTTGACGAGTTCCAACCAGAGGCCCAGGAAATCTTCAAGGAGAACAACTTTGACCTCCAAAAGAACAAGGTCTTCTTGGTCGCTGCTACTTTGAGACCTGAGACTATGTACGGTCAGAGCTGTTGTTTCGTCTCTCCAAAGATTAACTATGGTGTTTTCAAGGCTGCCGAGGGCGAGTACTACATCACCACCGAGAGAGCTTTCAAGAACATGTCTTTCCAGAAGTTGACCCCAACTAGAGGTGACTACTCTGCCGCTTTGCATATCAACGGTTCTGCGCTTGTTGGTTCCAAGATCTCCCCTCCATTGGCTCAACTCAAAAACCTTCGTGTTCTCCCTATGGAGACCATCTTGCCTAACAAGGGTACCGGTGTTGTGACTTGTGTTCCTTCTGACTCCCCTGATGATTTCATCACCGTCAAGGATTTGTCTAACAAGGCTGACTACTACAAGATTGAAAAGGAGTGGGTTAACACTGAGATTGTTCCTATCTTGAAGACCGAGAAGTTCGGTGACAAGTCTGCTGAATTCCTTTGTAAGGAATTGAAGATTCAGTCTCCAAAGGACACTGTTCAGTTGGCTAAGGCCAAGGAGCAGGCTTACAAGGAAGGTTTCTACAGCGGTGTCATGGTTATCGGTAAGTACAACGGTGAGAAGGTTGAGAATGCTAAGCCAAAGGTCAAGGCTGATTTGATTGCCTCTGGTGAAGCTTTCGTGTACAATGAACCCGAGGGACAGGTTATTTCTAGATCTGGTGACGAATGTTGTGTCTCTTTGGAGGATCAATGGTACATTGATTACGGTGAGGAGACTTGGAAGAACCAGGCCTTGGAATGTCTTGAGAACATGGAGACCTTCTCTAAGGAAACCAGACACGGTTTCGAGGGTGTCTTGGATTGGTTGAAGAACTGGGCCCTTACCAGAACCTACGGTTTGGGTACCAAGTGTCCATGGGACGACTCTCAATTGATTGAGTCCTTGTCTGACTCCACTGTCTACATGGCCTACTACACCATTGCTAGATTCTTGCATTCTGACTACTATGGTGAGAAGCCAGGTAAGTTCACCATTAAGCCTGAGCAGATGACCGACGAAGTATTCGACTACATCTTCACTAGACGTGAGGACATTAAGAGTGACATTCCAAAGACTGAGTTGCAAGCTTTGAGAAGAGAGTTTGAATACTTCTACCCATTGGACACTAGAATCAGTGGTAAGGATTTGATTCCAAACCATTTGACTTTCTTCATCTACTGTCACACTGCACTTTTCCCAAAGAAGTTTTGGCCAAGAGGTGTCAGAGCTAACGGTCACTTGATGTTGAACAACGCCAAGATGTCCAAGTCTACTGGTAACTTCTTGACTTTGCTGCAGATTGTTGAGAAGTTCGGTGCCGATGCTTCTAGAATTGCTTTGGCCGATGCTGGTGACACTGTTGAAGATGCCAACTTTGACGAGGCTAACGCCAATGCTGCTATTTTGCGTTTGACCACCTTGAAGGAATGGTGTGAAGAGATCAAGGCCAACCCAGACTCTTTGCGTACTGGTCCTAAGGACTCTTTCTTCGACAAGGCTTTCGACAACGAGATGAACTTCTTGGTTGAGCAAGCCTACGAACAGTACCTGGCTACCAACTACAAGGCTGCCCTTAAATACGGTTTGTTCGACTTCCAGACCTCCAGAGATTACTACAGAGACTCTGTGTCTGGCGCAGGTATGCATAAGGATCTTGTTTTCAAGTACATCGAAAACCAGGCCTTGTTGCTTGCCCCTGTCGCCCCTCACTTTGCTGAGTTCTTGTACAAGGAGATTTTGGGCGAGGATGGATCTGTTCAGACCGCTGCTTTCCCAAGAGCTCAAGAGCCAGTTTCCCAGGGCTTGTTGGACTCTCTTGAGTACGTTAAGGAATTGGCCAGAGCTGTTCGTGAGGCCGAGTCTACAGTCTTGAAGTCCAAGAAGGGTAAGGCTGAAGTTGACGCTTCCAAGCCAGCTACCTTGACCTTGCTTGTGTCTACGTCTTTCCCAGACTGGCAGGAGGAGTACATTGACTTTGTCAGACAATTATTCGAGAGCAACTCTTTGAACGACAACAAGTTGATTAAAGAGAAGGTTGGTAAGGACATGAAGAGAGCCATGCCATTCATCCAGTTCTTGAAGCAGAGATTGGTGAAGGAAGACCCTAAGACCGTGTTCAACCGTGAGTTGACCTTCAACGAAGGTGAGTTGGTGAAGCAAGTGTTGGCTAACATTCAGAAGTCTACTACCACCATTAAGGTTGACAACTTGCAGGTGATTACATTCCCACACGGCGAGAAGAAGGGTACTGATATTACCACAGGAGAAGAGGTGGAGATCACTGCCACCGGTAAGGTTGTGGACGCCGCCTTGCCAGGCCAGCCAGGTATCGTTATTAAGAACATCGAGTAGATCCGATTTCGATACCAATGTATAAATAATAGAAACGTTTTGAGTATTTAGTTTCACCAGCCACATCTGGAATTCCACCTTTTTAAGGGCCCCCCTCAGAGCAGTTGCAGCCATTCGCGTTAAGTAAGGGCGCACCAGCAAGGCACCGTTGCGACAGCAATAGTAAGATAAGACATGGAAAAACAGGAAAAACAGGGAAAAAAAAAAAAAATCAGAAGCACAGCTGCAAAACGATTGTCTGAACAAGTAACAAAGTGAACAAAAGGCGATAGAAGAAACCAGCCAAAACAAGAACCAAAAAAGAAAAAAACATAAAAAAAAAGCCTTATTCACAATATTCCTGTGAATTCTTCATTATCCTCCTCCTCCTTTTCCCTTCCCCCAAACTTTACCCTGTCTCCATTTCCAGGGATCTCCTCTTTTTTTCAGGTGCTCCTCAGTAGACAGCAAAAAAAAATAAAAATAAATGAAAATGCCTTACTTCTGCGAAACAAACGACGCCCAAACCCGATACTTTATCCCCCCACCCGTGCACACCACTCACTCACTTTCACTCACTTTCACCTTCTCTCACTGCACATCATTTTTCTCAATCAGGTTCACTACAGGTTTGCAACAAACAAAAAAAAAATACAGATAATAAATAACCACCATCCATCATAAACCCTGTCCTGTTCCCCACCCAGCCCAAACCGTTACCTTGTCTGATCAACCTGACCGGACCCTACGCTTTATTTGATTTCATACCACGTCCCTGGCGTTTCGTTCGTCTTTTTTCCCATTTACCCTTCCAGCCTTTAGTCCCATGTCTGGCCCTCCAAGATACCCTCTTTTAGGGTCCAAGACCACTTACGATACAAAGCTTTCCGATCCGGGTGCCAAACTCTGTGATTCGTTGGCGGAACCTTGTCCGTTTTCCCTAAGTCTGGTACCGCTTGAGACACAGCTGCTGCGTAAACGTTACCGTGCTAACCCGAACCTGGAAACCAAGGAGGACGCTTACCCTGCTTACGCTGCCCAGGTACCTTGCTCAGCTGAGAGCGGTGACGATATGATTATTTCTGATACCGATACCGTTCCGGATGCTACACACCCGCCAAAGCGCCGCCTAACGCTGGTCCACCTGGCCGATGCTAGACAAGTTCCCGCTTCTGCTGACTCGGTGATGTCCATTTCCAGCGCCAACAGCGTGTCGGCACAGATGAACACCCTATCTACGAGTCAGTCTATTCGCAGTTCGTCTAACGCTTTCATTAAACCTACTGATAGTCACGTCCATCCGTGTACGCCTAACGCGATCGAATCCATGACTAATTCGCCTATTTCCGATATGGAAGATCAGAACCCCCAGCAGCTTGTGCTTCCTCTGCCTCTGGCGTCGCCCGTTCAAAGCGCTAACGAGAAGCGTTCGGTTCATGAGTTCTGGGAACGTTACATGATGAAGCCTCCTGCAACTCAGGGTGACTTGGCTGAGCTCATGGTTAACCTCTCTAACTTTTCCCTGGCTCCATGCAGAAACCACATTATCTTTCAGCTTTTGCAACAGGTTGACAGACTGCTGCTTCTGACCTTCTGCGGAGTCATTCAGGACTCCTTGAGACGTGACTTGCTCTCCAGCTTACCGTTGGAGATTGCCTTGTCCATCTTGTCTCACTTAGACTACAAGTCTGTCTTGGCTGTCTCTCAGGTTTGTCGTACATGGCATCGTTTGGTGAACAGTAATACTTTGTGGACCTCTATGCTCTACAGAGACAAATTATTGACCGACAGCACTCTTCTAGATAAAGAGCTCTCACATTCGGGTGCTCTTATAGCCGGCTGGTCAACCCCCAGCCCTTATCTCACTGAGATAAATTTGGCTCAAACATTGTACAAGAAAAGGTTCATTATCTTGCAGCGCTGGATGAACCCCTCATATGAACCAAAACGCATAAGCGTGGCTGGCCACGGTCCCAACATCGTCACTTGTCTACAACATGATGAAGATAAAGTGATTACTGGCATTGAGGGTAAACTGATCAATGTTTACGCCACCCGTACAGGTGAACTTCTACGTGTACTCAAGGGCCATGATGGTGGTGTTTGGGCACTTAAGTACTTCTCCAACACTTTGGTAAGTGGATCTACCGATCGTGACGTCCGTGTGTGGAATATTCGCACGGGTAGATGTACTCATATGTTCAGAGGCCATACGTCAACTGTTAGATGTCTAGATATTTTGCATCCAGTTCAAATCGGTGTCAACGATAATGGTGAGCCCATCATGTATCCTAAGGAGCCACTTCTTGTCACCGGTTCTAGAGACCACAATTTGCATGTCTGGAAGCTTCCCTTGGATAACGAAGAGGAGAACGCAGATGAAATCACAGAAACGAAAACTTATGACAGCAAAGACCCTGATAATCCATACTTGGTAGCTGTGTTGGTGGGACATACCCAGTCGGTGCGTTCTGTCTCAGGCTACGGAAACATCATTATTTCCGGCTCGTATGATACCACTGTGCGTGTATGGGACTTGAAAGAGGGTGGCAGATGCAAGCATGTTTTAGAAGGCCACAATGATAGGATCTACTCCACCTCTTTGAACTACAAAACACGTCGTTGCTACTCTGGATCTATGGATCTGTCTATCAACGTCTGGGATTTTGAAAAGGGCAAACTTCTTTTTTCATTGGAGGGTCACAACTCCCTTGTTGGCTTGCTTGAACTCTCTGAAGACTACCTAGTGTCAGCAGCTGCTGATTCGACCTTACGTGTTTGGAATCCTCACACCGGTGAGAACTATAGCAAGTTGAAGGGCCACAATAGTGCCATCACCTGCTTCCAACACGACAGTCTCAGAATTGTCAGTGGAAGTGAACGCATGCTCAAGTTATGGGATGTCAAAACTGGTAAGTTCGTTAGAGACTTACTCTCTGATATCACCAAGGGCATTTGGCAAGTGCGGTTTGACCCTGACAGATGTGTCGCTGCCGTTCAAAAGCAAGGTTCTGTTAACGAGGAGACTTACATTGAAATCCTTGACTTCAGTGCTCCACTCAACAAAATTGAGGCCTAAATGATATCATAGGGCCTCTACTTCATATACCCACTTCAAGTTTAATTCTAGTCTGAAGTATATACGTCAACATATAATACATATGGCACTGAGTGTCACAAAAAATAACTTACTCGGCGAAGTACGGTTTTCTTAATTTCCTGAATCTTTCCAACTCTTCCTGAAGATCAAAGCTTGCACGCCTTTTGGAAAACTTGGAGGAGCTATCGACATCCATGTCCAAAGATTCATCTTTATCTAAGCGGTATTCTCCGTTTGGACCAATATAGTCTTCCAGAGACGAGAGGGTGTTCACGAAGTAGTCAAAGTAAGCTTGGCCAGCCATATCACTTACTTGACAACACCACTCTTTGTGTCCAAAATACGGATCTTCATCCTCTTCCTCGTCATCAGCCACTTCATTCAAATACTCATTTGAAAACTTCAGAGTACCGTTCGGGATGGTGGCAGTATACTCGCATGGAGTGAGTACCTTAGGATGATCACTTTTCTGTTCTCCATCTTTGTTCGGGCTTGAGGATTTCTGCAAGAATATTCTTTGGTTGCAACTGTGACAAATCATGAGAAGAACCGTTTGGCCATTGAATTGCTGTGTGTAGACGTCCCAACCCATGGCTGCAACGCAGTAAAGCCAAGCAGGGCAGCTCTTTGAAAGAATAGTACCAATGTTTTCCTTATCATTGTTAAAGTACCGGCTCAACAACCACAAGTTCGATGCACGGCAAAAGTCGGCAAAATTACTGATCAGAGACGGTCTAGGACAAAGCAGTGATAAGAAACCAACATGTTCTTGGATTATCATGAGATTATCAAATAAACTTTTCAAGGTCTTTGTGAAGATCGTAATTAAGGTTTCATTCGTGGAGGCGAGGTACGGCGTTAGGTAGTAGACTGTGTTGATCGGAGTCAGAACTTTAGTCCATGGGCAGGACGCCTGATGACCCACGGCTTGGACCTGCTGAGCATACAGGGATTTGAGGTTCACGTTGACTGCCTGAATATCCTCGAGGTCAAAGTGAAACGGGGCGAACTCGGGCTGTTCCTCCTCAGCATTAAAGCGTAGGATAAGTTCGTTACCACACTTGGAGCACATCAAATGGTTCTTCACATTATTATTTCTTGCTATCGACTGACACGTCCAACCATTTACAGCACATAAAAGCTCGTTGAGCTGAACACCAGTGTTCTTGCCAGACGGTATGTGCCAGTTAAGTGCGTTAAAGGTTTTGAGTCTCTCTAGAAGCTGGTCTCGGTTGAACGGTTCAAAGCCTGAAAGCCTGGAGTTTATCGTTTCAATATTATCCTCGGCTGAATTCAACGAGAGTTTTGATTTATGGTACGCATAGTGATGTTTTGTCTTTACCAGGCGAAAGAACTGGATATCTGGATGCGTCTCATACTTGGTCGGCGTAACTGGAGCCGACTGGAGCTTCACTGTGAGGTCTGGCTGATGAGTAGACGGCGAGTCGAATATTTTCATATATTGTTTGAGCACACGAGGTGTGCCCTCGGCCACATCGGCAAGGTACATTGGAAACTGAAATACCCAGGATGTAGTAGAAGACAGGGCCGACTGTGGAGCTATAAGTCTGAAAAAGCGATGCTAAGCTCACGTGCCGGACTTGGCTGTGGCAGAGAGATTGACTGCGAAAGCCTCTTTGTTAAGGTTCGGTTAGAAGAAGTCAGTTTGGGAGCTTGACTCTGAATAGAGAATGGGGCTGAAAGTTCTTCGGTGTTATGCACGTATAGAAGTTTCTTTCAAAGTAAATGGGAGGAAGCCTCTTGATATGTACGATCATGCGACTGTTGAACCTAGGGCGCTGGGTGCAAATTGCAGTGCCTTACCACACCTTGCATTCTGATGTGGAGGCAGACGATGAAAATGTTCATCCCCAGAATAAAGTGAAGAGGATATAGTGATATTTTTTCTTTCAGGGGTATTGACAAGGAAATGACTAAATTGAAAAAAAAAAAAAAAAATTCAATTTGATGGTAAGTTTGGGAATAAGAACTCTAGGTCGACTGAACCTACAGCTTCTTTTGTACACTGACGATTTTTGGCCCTGAAATACTACCCTTTTGATACTACCTTTAAAGAACATTCATTTCTTTGTGCAACAAACATTCTAATACTTTCCTATTTCGAGGATAAATCAATGGACATGTCGTTATCTATAGTGCCAGACATTCCACTAGCGTGCACAGAGTGAGCACCTTATTCAACGAAAAAACCTGGGCTCTTACAGTCAAGAACTACACTTCGAAGGAATCATGCCGCCAAAACCTACCATCGAAGAAGTCGATGATGACGAAATCGACAACATGGACATGGACATTGCCCAGTTTGATCCAAGTCTCAGGACACCGATCGCACCTATGAATAAACCAACAGTCACTAGGTCTCAGGACTCTGAACCTCCACTTTTCCCACAACAGCCATTCCAGCCTCCTCCTAGCCAGAGGGGTGTGCAATCAGACGATATATTAGATCCTTCTAAGATCTCTAGCAAAGACAAGGAGGAGCTTAGCAAATTTCAGACGATATACCCATGCTACTTCGACAAGACCAGATCACACAAAGAAGGAAGAAGAGTTAGCTCAGAGTTGGCCGTTGCCAATCCTTTGGCCATTACTGTTTCTGATGCTTGCCGTCAGCTCAATCTTCCTGTTCTTCTTGAGTTGGACAAATCCCATCCACAGGACTTTGGTAACCCAGGTAGAGTGAGAGTTTTCATTAAAGACGCTGGTATCGTTAAGGATCCCCGTTTCAAGACCAAGAGAGGCCTCTTGAACAAAATTGCAGTGTTCCTTCAGGAGCACCCAACTACTTTGAAGAGTATAAGTAAAGGCAGTGGCATCCCCTTCCCCAAGGAATACGAGCAAGGCTTTGATCCTGAGGAGATTCCTAAAGTTAAGGGTTTCAAAATGAACTCTATCGTGCCAGTTCACTCGAACTACACATTGAAGCATCCAATGACTAAGACTATCTATGATCCTGAGCCAGAGACCACCAGCGAGGCACCTAAGCTACCCAAACAACCTAAAAAGAAGATCATGAGAGTGAGAGGTTAAGTAATAATGTACGTAATGCATCTAGTTTCTTCTATTGTAATTAGTTCTTTGGAGCATACTTGTTTCTGTATTCATCAATGTCGGCCAAGTTTTCAGCGGACAACTTATCCTTCAAGTGAGTGACAATATCCGACAAGGAGACGATTGAGAAAACAGGAATTCCATATCTGGCAGCAACCGCCTGGGTAGCAGACTTGTCAGAGTCAGGAGTAGTTTCTTGTCTGTCCAAGGCGATGATGCAGCCAGCAACAGTGCCCTTCTCAGCAGAGATGATCTCAAAGGCTTCGTTGATAGCAGTGCCAGCAGTCATGACATCATCGATAATCAAGATCTTCTTACCCTCCAAAGGACAGCCAACGATAGAGCCACCCTCACCGTGGTCCTTCTTCTCCTTTCTGTTGAAAGAGTAGCCAAGGTCAGAGTAGTTCTCTGGGTCAAGCTCAGCCAACTTGGCGACAGTGATAGCTGCCAATGGGATACCCTTGTAGGCTGGGCCGAAAAGAATGTCAAACTTCACCTTTGACTCAATGATAGCATGGGCATAAGCGGTGGCCAAAGTAGACAAGAGCTTACCGTTGTTGAACAAGCCCAAGTTGAAAAAGTAAGGGGACTGGCGGCCAGACTTAAGAGTGAAGGTACCAAACTTAAGTGCCTGGGACTCCAAGGCAAGGTCCAAGAAGGAGGTCTGGAAGGAATGCATTATTTACTACAACTGAAGGTTTTCTCTGAAGCAAAGGCCAGCTGTAGCTCACGATTGGATCAGAGAAGGAGAAGAGAAGAGAAGAAAGATATGAAAAAATTCACTAGTGCGCATATTGAGGACTCGCTCTGGGGAGTCATGGAGCCGATGAAGATGCACTATGGGAGGACATGGATTTCTCAAAAAAAAAAAAAAAAAAGGAGAATGCCATTCTATAAACCAGTAACTCTCCTATTTTTTCGCTTTCATCAGTACCTTGGAAGTTGTTGTCAATCTGGATAGACATATCTGGAGACCTCATCGAAGCCGCATCGCGAGGTTAATGTATAGTGATCAATCAACCACAGATAAACAGATAGATAGTGCTTCCAGCAATGGATGAAAAACGAGATTATAACAAGATCCTAGAATTTCTAGAAGATGAACACAGACACGATCTAGCTTTGCATCTTTTCCTGGCCCACTTGCTACATCGAGTGAATCCTAGTTTTCCCCAGAAGAAATGGAGCTCATGGCCTATGGGTCGATCTAAAGTGCCCGAGGTCCACGACGTTTATGAAGATTCGATTGAGGATCAGAAACGTGTTCAGTATGAAAAGATGAATCCAGAACCTGTTGATGAACAATTTGCAATGTCCTTTAAAAGGAGTCAGCTGAACATGATGGTTGCAAAGAAGAAGCTGAAAGACCTACCGAACGCTGTATTGGTCAACGCTATTAATGATATCGTGGAGCAAACCATCAAAAGGAAGCTCTCTCAACAAAAGCTATCCCTAGATCTAGACCACAAATTAAGTGCTAATAGGGCACTTTCTCTACGAATTGCTGACCGCGTCAGTCGAACGTTGTGGAGACTTCAGAAGAGAAATGCTTTCAAGACCAGTAAGATGCTGGCCAATAATTGGCAAGACGTGCAAATTGCTAATGTGCTTGGCAGGTCCAGGACTGATAAAGCACCCATAGAGAGTTACCGCCGAAGCTATGAAACAGCCCGTTCTCTTTTCATGGAACGCCATGAACAATACCAATACGACGATTCACCATATGGCAGTGAAGCTGAGACAGATTCTGATAATGACCCTAATTTTGTCATGACCGCTCCCGAGTTCGAAGTCGAACATCATCTTGAAGCCATAGATAAGGAAGCTACCATGCCATCTAAACAGAAGACTGATCCGCAAGCAGAACTCGCAAAGAGAAAAGTGGAGTTCCAGACCAAAGAAGCTATCTTTACTAGCTGCTGGGATGACGCTGCATCTACATCAGTCCTTTCCTTTGCACCCGATAACTCGGTCCCCTATAAAGTTCATTCTGGTCCGCTACTGGAAGAAAGGGAGGACATTCTTGCTACTAACGTGGTGAATAAAAAGGATTATCAAATTCATTTTACTAAATAACCACCCCACCCAAACATATAACTGCATTCATGAATAAACAACTCTGATCATGGCCGACAAAAGTCGATTAGGAAATACGACATGATAGAGATTTGATTTGACTGTGCCAAAGAGAATCTATGATCTCTTTTGGAAAGTAGAGGTGATTTCGGTGTCAAAGATGACGTCCCAAAATCTGCTGGTAACTCCGAAACCCATTTCATAGTTCTTGTAGTGGTGTTCCAAGTGGTATGTCTTCAAGTCCTGGAAGAACTTAGGCAAATTGGTGTGGTGCAACACGTAATGCGTCACATCGTACATGATGTATCCCAAGGTACCACCTGCGAAACCAGAGCAAGCCATGTAGAAGGGGAAGAGCTTGAAAACGAGGCGATAGAATGGATATGCCAAAATGACAAACATGGTTGGAGGCAAGACCAATCTGTATCTGTCCATAGGCAAGTAGTGGTGGACACCGTGCAAAAGGAAATGAAGGGTCAAGCAGTACTTGTTATCAGGCAAGTATTGATCCAAGTGGAACAAAAATCTATGCAAACAGTACTCAACAAATGTCCAGACGAACAAACCCATCACCCATAAACTCAAAGCTGTAATCTTGTTCTGGTTAACGAAACCAATGTAGAAAAGAACCAAGTTTGGAGGAAGCCAAACCAAAGGCACAACCCACCATGGGGTCAAGGAAAGAGGTTCCAAGAAGTTACCAAAAAGAGGGGCGGATCCCTTACCGAAATGTCTAGGACGGTGAACTTGATCCAAGTAGAACTCTTTTGAGAATGTGCTTCGAAGCATCTGCGGGATCAAAGGCTTCTTCAAGTCAAGGAACTTGTGCTTCTTAGCATCGTCATCGAAATCTGTTTGAACAGACAACAGCTCGAGAGCAGGCAACTCGTCATGGAACTCGTACAAGTCGATTTCAGCCTGAGCTTCCTCGGTAAATCTCACATCCACAGGAACCTTCTTCTTGTTGTTGACCAACTCACGTTCCTCCTCATCCGTGGCCATGTAGCCCACCAACATATCATCATCGAGCATTTCATAAGCACTTTCCGAATGTTCGTGAGAAATAGTATCGGCCATAATTTCAGTCACATCCTTTCCAGCATAAGGCAACACAATATCAGCGCCAGCTGGGTGCTCATCAAGGAAGCCGGTCACATTATAGACTTTTCTGTTGTAGAGAGTAACCCAGCAGTCCTTTTCACTGTTGTGCTTTGCGATTTCACTCGCAGCGAGCAAAGGGTATGTCCTGGCCATGTTTAAAGAAAGTATAAAAGGGTTGAAAAGATCACCAAAAACAAGTGTGTTGTAGGAAAAGACGGTGGTGTTTGGAGTTGAAATCTGAAAAGGGCCACTTTTATGCTCAGAGGCACAGCTTTGTATAAATGCTGCTATTTCGCTACTGTTTGCATCACGTGCCTTCATCGCACTGAACAGTAATTCCCTTTCCTGCAGACAAGGACTTATATAAAGTCATTACTAAAGGTGGTGAAAATATATTCTGAGCAGAGATGAAGAAAAGTAGTATATAGTTATAATATCAGGAATTGCAAAAGACCCAGATTATATACCCCGACTATAGAGGGGTAACTCATGAACAATACTATGCCACTTCAGGGGTTAATTAAGGTTTGAGGATATATTTCCCTGTCAAGGGAGTGCATATAATGGAGATATCCAACACCCCCTCTTAGACGAAAACCTCAATCTATAGTATCAGTTCTTCTTGAGTATTCCTTAGTCTTTTAAAATCAGTTTGCTTCAAGCCTTTAGTCATGAGGTCAGCAAAATTGTTCTTTGTATGAACTTTCAATACCTTCACATTTGCCTTCTTAACTTCATCATTAACAAAACTAAGACGAATCTTAAAATGCTTAGTACGATCAGAAGTAAAATGCTCTTGGTCACAAACATCCTTACAACCCTGGTTGTCCACATATGTGATAATCCACCGCTGTAGATTCCAAAGACGTAATTCAGTAAGTAGAAACTTTAACCAGTTAGCACTTCTAACACATTCACATAACGCATAATATTCCGCCTCTAATGAAGAAAGAGCAACTGAAGTTTGCTTCTTAGACTTCCAAATAACTGGAGATTCCTCAATGAAAAATATGTTACCTGACACAGACTTAAATGTCTCTTTGCAGTTAGCCCAATCTGCATCGCTATAACTTTTGATATCAACGTAACGTTTTGGCTTGCTGACTTTTCTGTAACGAATTGCAAAATCTGACGTTCCTTTGAGATACCGTAATATTCGCATGCATGCCTTATAATGCTTCATGGCTGGCTTACTTGAGAATCTCGCTAACGCAATTGTTATGAAGGAAATATCATACCTCACAGTCGTACAGGCAAATAGTAATTTCCCGATTATCTCTCGAAACTTAGTGGGATTGGGATAAAGTTCATCAGTCACTAAAGGACATAACAAGTCTGACCACTCTGAATAATAAGGTGTTTCACACGGTTGAGAAGACTGATCCAAATGCAAACTAATAAGCTTAGAAATGTAATCCTCCAAGGATAATGTAATCACTGAATCAGACTGACTAACATTCATTCCCAAGAACTTCTTCGCTGGACCAAGGTCCTTAATCTCATATGCCATAGACAAACCTTGCTTAACCTTTTCAATAAGTTTAATATCAGAACTCATTATCAACATATCATCCACATAAAGAGCCACTAAGAGCAAAACACCACTCTCATACAAATAATAAAGACAGGGTTCCCGGACACAAGGAACAAGTCCAATAGACCTTAATGTCTTGGACACTTCCAAATTCCAGACCAAGGGAGCTTGCTTAAGTCCATATAATGCGCGTTTAAGCCTTAAGACTTTGCCCTTATTCTGACTTGTCTGTAGACCTTCGGGTACAGTGAGATAAAGATCAAGACCTAGGGGACCATTGAGGAATGCCGTTTTAACATCAATCTGATGGACAGTCATACCAAGATTAGCTGCCAAAGCAATAGACAATTTAATAGTATCATACTTAGCAACTGGTGAATAAGTTTCTTGATAATCCTTACCTGGCACTTGTGAGAAGCCTTTCGCGACCAACCTAGCTTTATATCTACCACCGTCTTTAATGGTAAATATCCACTTATACTCAATCGGCTTACGACCTGAAGGTAAAGTCGTTTCCTCAAATGTTTCTTTCTCTCTCAATGAATCAAGTTCAGAATCTATAGCAGTTTTCCACTTATCAGCTTCATCGCATGAGATAGCTTCCTTATAGGTTTCTGGTTCAAAGCGAACTTTAGTAAACATAATTCTTGTAACATTGTTCCTCTCAAAAGCTTCAACAAACAGAGCGAGTGATTTGGAAACGTAATCATCTCCAGGAGTGACTGACAAGATCATAATATCTCCCCCTCTCAAAGAATGAACTCTGTTGTTTCTTTTGCCTGATAACTGACGATAGTTAAGTTTATGCTTCCCAGCAAGACGACTCAGCATACGAGGACTATGTTGACTTTCATCCTCAGTAGCCCGTCGGTTAATATTATCCTGTTCAGGAACTGCTCTAGGCAGCTCAACAGTCCCACTTCGTTCGCTTTGCGGGTGCAGTGCACCGTTATTCAAAACCGAATGTGACAACTCATCTTCCAGCCTGTCTCCGGAATCCTTATCACTCATGTTGGAAACATCCTCCTCACTTGTCTTATTTAAGGAGGTAAAACCACCATGCGGTTCAGTGGACTTTTCTTGCTGATTAGACACAACACTTTCATCAGTTTGGTCAACTGGAACATAATCTGGACTTAGCATTGAATCATCCTCTTCCTCAGGATCTCCGCAGAAATGGTTCGGATGACTCTCACTCATAATATGACTCTTCATAGAATCATGATCAACAGTCCAATGGACACCCAAGAATGGAAACTTCTTCAGTATAAATTTAACCTGATGAGTTTCAACAATTTGCTCAGTAAGTTTATCATTATCAAGGACTATAACTCTCGTGGCTTTGCGATTTAAAGCAGGGCCTAGCGAAATACACTTACCCCCACGAGGATCAACCTTCTTACCAGCATTCACCTTGTACTTTTTAAAGTAACCTAAACAACCGAAAGGAGATGCTTCCCATAGTTCAAAACGTTCATATTTTCTTGGGGATAAATATGACATAGGAATAATCCAATGATTCTGGGATTTCGGGCTGTTATTCAAGGTGAAAACAGCAGTCTTAAACGCTTCAGGCCAGAATGTTAACGGTAAACCACTCTGAAGTAAAAGAACTCTAGCTTTCGTCAGAATAGCGCGAATGGCTCGTTCAGCGAGACCATTTTGATGTGAACTATAAGGTGTGGTAAATTTCAAGGAGATGTTAAAATGATCGAAAATATCTTTGTGTCCTCTCGAATACATTTTAGAACGAAACTCTCCACCGTTGTCAACACGAACTTGCCTGAATTTCTCACCGGGGAATTCATCAACTAACCTCTTAAGTATAGCATAAAAATTGCCAAGTGTGTCTTCCTTACGAGTCATGGGCGAGCAATAATACATCCTCGTAAACTTATCGACAACCACTAAACAAAACTTCAGACCATCAAAACCAGCTGGTGATATAGGACCACAAATGTCCGCATGCAAGTACTCCAAAGGATGGGTAGCAATGGTTTCTGATTCACGATCTTTACGAAAGTTGACCATGGTACCCTGTTGACATGCATCACAGTGTTCTCTGATGTCCTTATCAATATTAGGAAGAAAAGAAAATTTCTTCTGAAGTTCGAGATATTGTTGATATGTAGGATGTCCAGCACGAATGTGATGTTCCATATCCTTTTCTGCATAAGTTGCTTTTGTCTCCCACCTCACGGACCTTAATGCATACACATTGACTAGATTAATTTTCATGTCATCATGCGCTGCCTTGATCTCCGAGTGAGAAAGCGTCACTCCGGGATTGTCATGAACCTTGCAATCCAAATCGATCATATAATGACCAGGACTGCGACCCTCACCAATTTTGACTCCATCACTATCGAACAAATCCAGTCTATATTTCGAAACAGATAATCCGAAATCATGATAAGCCGAAATAACATTAGCAGAGGCATCAGGTATGTAATAGACGTTCGCCATCGTGATTACTTTACCAGAAATAGTTCTCCCAGTAACCCGGCCATAACCAGGGGCTAAATAATGGTGTGTGCCATAGTCACCAAAGAACTTCGGACATTTAACATAACCACTCAAAAGGGTCAAATCACTCACAAAATGTATCGGACTTCCCGAATCCCAAATGAAACACATTTTCAGACCACTAGATTTAGACAGATGAGGACTAACTAGAAATGACTTAGCAGTTTCTTCTCCCTTAGGCTTTTCTTGTTGGCTCTTGTCCTTCTTTGCTTTAGCTCGCTTCTTATTTTTAATTTCTGCCCAATGAGCCTTCTTCTTTCTCTTATTCGCTTCAGTTCGCAACTCAGGATGCTTTAAGAAACAACGGTCTTCAGTATGACCTTGCTTACTACAGTGCGTGCATGTTCTCACAAGATTTACCAGCAGGTTAACAGTGGAAGGAATAAAGCTCGTAGCCGAATTCAAATCCTTTTTCAAAGCCGTAACTTTCTCCCTCTTGCTAGGATTTTGACCTTCATATGCAAGCACCAATTCATTAGTAGGGCAGGCAGATTCTCCACACAGTTTGAAAAGCTTTTCTCTGAAATCATAGTTATCCACATTCATGGACCGAAAGAGACTCTTTATGATTAACTCATCATCACTATCTGGATTACCCAAGGCCAAAAGGTAAAAGAGTTCTTTCCCAGAGAAGGAGTGTGCAACGCACATACGGTACACATCCATAAAATCAAGCTCATTATACGCTCCGAACAGCACGAAAACTTGTGCAACCTCATGAATTAAATCCTTAAATTGCCTTGGTGTATACTTCGTCATTGTCTCATGCAAATTACACAAAGTGTCAAGACTTTGACTTGATACTTTAATACCCAGCAATATTGATTGATCAATGCCAAACATTTTCACACGTTGAGCAATATGCTCAGCATAACCATTCACGGGTCTCCGTTCTGGAGGTTGGAGATCTGAAATACTTCCCCTAGCATCCTCTTTCTTATGAAAGTAAGTATTAATATATGTTGCGGTAGGATCACCATAAACCTCTCTTATCTGCTGAATAAAGATTTGATACCAGTAAACATATTGTGTATGGTCTTTCAAAATAAATGGGAGTTTAAAGATAACCTCATATGGGCTCGTTGTCCCTTCTTTATAAAGATGAACAGTAATTCCCTTTCCTGCAGACAAGGACTTATATAAAGTCATTACTAAAGGTGGTGAAAATATATTCTGAGCAGAGATGAAGAAAAGTAGTATATAGTTATAATATCAGGAATTGCAAAAGACCCAGATTATATACCCCGACTATAGAGGGGTAACTCATGAACAATACTATGCCACTTCAGGGGTTAATTAAGGTTTGAGGATATATTTCCCTGTCAAGGGAGTGCATATAATGGAGATATCCAACACGCACCACTTTTCTCTCCCCTTTCCTTTCCATTCCTTCCGGTGGCTCTAGACGCGACCCACGAAAACCATCCAATGGCAGTCGTCTAGATGGTGGGCATTCGGGACCATGGTTAGTAACCGAAAAACATGCAATGTGAAAATTTCAGATTCAGAGGTTAGGCGCCATTTTTTTCCGAGTTCGTGTATTCCTTCCCTAACTAATGCATATTTGTTGTTGCTATGTGGTTTCTCTCTTATTTTTTTTTTTTGTTTTTTTCTTGCTCACTTTATTTTCAGTGTCTCGTATATGGAATTTGCAACCATTGTACCTTACACCGTTATCTCATTGTATGGATCGTTGCGAAGATCTATCCGAACAGTGTCGAAAGCATTATCGTCAAGAGCCTCTTCTTCGCTTTCAAAATCAGTGTCTTTGTCTTCATCGTTAAAAAGGTCCATATCAGCCTCAGGCTCGTCGAGAGCATTGGATTCCTCTTCACTCATGCGTTGCTCCAAATGCAATGTATGGTCCACCAAGTTCAAGTAGGCATACATGAAGTTCGACAATAATACTTGCTCACGAAGCGAACGCTTTCTGTTCGCAAGTTTAAGATGTGAAAGCCTGTAGATGGCTCTTTCAACATGAACAGGGAATCTGTAGTCCAACATAACCAAAGTTGACTCTGATGGCGGTGGAAGCGGGAACCCAAAAGCAGAATCAGTATACTCCAACGGCTGGTTTGCTTTAGAGGTCCTCTTGATCAGCTTCTTGATCTTTTCTTGAACTTCGAGCGTCGTTTGTGGTTTCTCTTCTTCCTGCTCGCCCTCAGACGCCTCCTCGATTGTTTCTTCGACCTCCACTGTCTCAACAGCCGCCCTTTCCTTCTCTTCACTGTGCTTTTTGCCCTTCATCTTATTCATCAATTTTGATTTGCTTGAATGGTCCTCGGGTTCATCCTTTTGTTCAGGTCTTGCTTCATCACTACTATGCTCCTTACCTTCTCTCGAGGAAATGCTGCGGCTATCATCATCTTTGGAAGTCTTGAATATCGCTGAGCTTATTCTTTTGATGGTTTTCTGCTCCTTCTCTTCGATGGCAGGTGCCTCGTGTTTTTGATGGTACAGGTCCAGACTTTCAACTGAATTACTCCGCTTCTTCTTGAAGAACTTAGAAAGAACATTTTCCTTTGGCTCCTTGTGGTCCATCGCCACCTTGTGATCACGCTTATTAGACTGGATATCAGGAGACGAAACTGATCTAGACGGCTTCAGTGGGGTAGCCATGTCAGGTATATTCTGAGCACTAACGGATCGTCCTTTCGACCAAAGCCATCCTTTCTTGTTCTTCTTCTTGTCACCACCTGTGAGCGAACCAAAAGATTTCTTCTTCTTCAATTTCTTCATATCTTCCACTGCTGGCATCGTTGGCGACAACTCGGCCTTACTCAAATCGACATCATTCAGTTCCACGGACTTTGCTGAAGTGTCTGTGATATCATCGGATACGACGCTTGCTGATGAAACTTTTCTTAATCGCTGTTTTTCCTGCTCGGATGCTTTTTGCTCTGCAGAAGAGTCCTTCTTTATGGGTCCGCTGGTTGAAGGTTCCTTGACATTGTCAAAACGTTCTTGTTTCTGGACAACTTCGGGCTCCGTAGCAATGGGCTTGACTGCCTCAGGCTTGACAGTCTGAGAGGTAGGGGCAGCTTCTGGCTGAAAAGCATCAGGTTCTTTCTTGGGCGTCTTTTCTTCATCAACCCCCCTAGCTATCCGGGTATCATTGGCTTCCACATCCTGCTTGACTGGTGCCTCCTCTTCATCCACTCTATCAGCTTCTTTGACACTTCTTTTGATTTCGCTCTTGTCGGCGCTAATTGGACTGATGAAGGTATGTTTCGTCTGCTTCTCAGGGCTAGCTATAGGCGTGCTCGTGTTGACATCATCTTTGACTTGTTTGAGTAAATCACGTTCTAATCCTAGAGTATCTTCGTAACTCACATCAGCCGACGAATTATCAAAGCTAATTTCAGGCACTTCCTCTGGAGGAGTTGTAACGGAATCCTCACTTTGCACAGGTAATGCCTTGGGTTCTCTGGTCTTATCCTTCATCTTTTCAGGATGTGATAAACTTTCCTTAAACTCATTGATTTCGTTCCTCAACATATCTAAGTTCTCATTAAGCTGAGATGTCTTGTCAAGTTTGGCATCACGGTTAAGCCTTGGCGTAGGGCGAGAAGCGATGGGTTTGACATTATCTCCTTTGTCAAAATCAGGATGATGCTGCTTCCTTTGTTGTTGTAAATTCCCGTTCCGCATTGGTGGCCATTGATTATGAGAAGGCTGAGGAGAGTACGCTTGTGCTTGAGGATAGTGCTTCTTATGGTCATCATGATTCTGAAAGGCAGGATGAGAACCCTGCTGTGGTGAGGTATTGCGTCTTTCGACTGGCTGATGACCATAGTCGTAGCGCGTCTGAGTAGTAGACGAAGGCTTTCTTTGGCTCGGTCTAAAGGGTCCGGACGGAGAAGCACTAGCTGGATAACCCTGAGAGCCAACATTCGAATTAATGAGATTATGCTGGAGATTCTCGCGCAGTGGACGAGAAGAGAGACCACGGGACTTATGAGGCTGCTGTGGATGTTGTTGCATAAGATTCTGAGCGCTAAGACTGCGGTGACCATAGTTCATGCGATGATCCTGAGAGGGAGCAGCAGGTCCATAGGGGGTCTCCTTCACGGGCTGGCCCATAGTCGGTCCCAGTGCTCTCCTGCCAGGTAATGGTGGTGGTGGCACTGAATTGGGTGGCGCTGATGCTGGGAGCTTAGTATGGCTCAGCAGTCTTGAGGGGCCCTTGTAATTAAAAAGTACCTGCGAGCTTCTAGGATTAATACTCTGCATGCTCTGGCGACTCATTGAATTTTTAGGAAGCCTTTCTGGTTCAACAGGATATGACATGGGCATCGCTGAGGAATTGAGGTTGTGCCTAAGTTCAGCTAAATTACCAGCCTTTTTATTCTGCAACTGCGATCCCAAATGAGTGGGTGTGGACGTGTGTGGCTTTCTATAATTCATTCTCCTGCTCCGTTTCAATGCAAATTGGGACTCGTTAAGCGATGGGGATGTCCGTTGTTCTCCAGATGGAAACCTCTGGTGTTGTCTAGCTTGGGGCGAGCCATGCGGACTGTCCTGGTAACGGTGCTGGCCCGCTGGATGTTGTTGATACTTCGGAGATCTAGGAGTAGGAGACTGTCCGGGGAAAGATTTTGTTGGAGTCTTGTCCATGCCAAAATCCAATATCTCTGCCTGGTTGGCACCAGTGTGGACGTGAGGTGAACCCAATTCGTCGATTGCAGCTTTTTCCACATCGGTATAACCAAGGGAGTGAGTAGATAAGGAACGTGCTAGGGTGACAGCGTCGTCCGAGTCCATACCCGCTAGACGCGAAAGTGTCTCGAGCTCATTGCTGAGCTCTAAAAGTGACGGGTTGCTGTACCTATTGTTTTGGCTCTGCTGAGACAGAGTATCATTCTGAGAAGTGTCCTGACTATCGTCGATATGCGAGTCATCATTTGTAGAGAGAGATAATGATGAACGTTTTGAACGGTTCGATTTCGACCGCGTGAGCTTTCGCTCTAATAGATCGTCAATGGTGACCTTAACATGCTGTTTGAATTGTTGAGGGTTCACCTCTGGATGCATATTTGCCGGAACCCAAAGGACATTTTCATGGTTCACCGACAGAGTGTCAGAGTCGATGGAGTCCTCTGGAGTAACATAATGAGAAGTGGGTCCTGAAGAAGGAGCCTTGGAGGGGGACAAAGAAGTGTCATGCTCATCCAACGGAGGACTATGAGAGTCAGACGACTCGGGAGATGCAGATTTGGAAAGTGAAAGGGTATCTAGGGAAGCGGTGGAGTCGTCGTTTCTTTCCTTCTCGTTCATGAGAAGAAGCTCGGGGTCTTCCATTGGAAAGTCAGGATCGTGATCCATCATGTTACCCATGGAAAGCCTCTTCAAGGCCTTGACCATTTGCTTCTCCTGTTCGATTTCTAGCGCGGCAGACTCATAACTTTCAGGGGAGTTGATCCTCAGCGGAGTCGAGGATCTGGACGTTGTATCTGACATGGATCAACAACTCTGGTTAAGCGAAAGTGATGATATAGCTTTAGTGAGTGAATGGAGAAAGTCTTGGGAGCATCTAAACGGCCAAAGTTGGATGTTGATATAACGTGACGGTTGCTGTCCACTGTTGTGGTATGTGTGGAGCAGGTTAATAAACGAAAGTAATTGAGATCAAAGTTTGTGAAAATCCCAGATGTCAGGGGTGACGAAATGGGGGCTTTGTTGACCAGGTTAGGTACTGAAATGCAAAGATATGAAAGTGAAAACGATGGATCAGAGATCAAGCTCGAGTACCGTAATCAGTATGGATCCCTCTTTTTTTTTTTTTACCACTTAGACAGGTGAGTGAGTATGGAGAATGAGGAAAAGCTAGGCAAACTACATGCTGCCAAAACACCTCTCAAGTCGTGTATGAGTGCACACAAGCGCGACTTAATGCCATTAGGATTTCGCAACCATTCTGGCGAAAGGGGTTGGTCAAGAGAAGCGGTTGCAAGATTGCTTAATGTAAGATATGCCAGAGATTGTATTTGTTTTTTGTGGTACACAAAACTGTGATTCGAACGAAGTAACAAGCTTGTTTTTTGATGAAAAGATAGTTGAATCAGTGACAGCTATTTTTAAGTATTAGGGGTCAATGGGCAGATCTTCCAAGTCACCCGAAAGAAGGATATTCTGATGCAGATATTTTTATTTTAAGGAATCAACTGTATTTGATGATAGATAAATGCAGTTAAGAACAGCGATGCACTTTTTTTTTTTTTTTTCATGGCCAGTTGGATGCGTGGAACTAGCCACTTATATGAGCCGCAAGAAGGCAGTGAGCCCAAATACTAGCATGATGCAATACACGTAGAAGAACCTAGGATGTGTCTCCTTCACTTCGAAGGATGGGAATCCGCCCAAGTTGCAAGCACTGTGCATCACAATGGCACACCATAGGTTCTCGCCAGACGAAATGTAGATGCGATTTGCAAGGATACCGAACAAGGTAGTATACAATAACTGGAACAGAGCAGTAGCGACCACTGTAGAGATAGCAGTACCTTGTTTGAATAACTCATAACCATGATGAAGATGAGCGATTCCAAAAAGCAATGGCGTATAGACAGTCAATGCCCAGGAACTGTTCACCACGGGTTGTAATAGACATATGATCGAGGCTCTATAGACCAATTCCTCGGTCACAGGAGCAAAGACATGATCCCTGAATCCCCAGAGAGAAGCAAAGTTCTCCACCAAGTCGTCGCCCACTGCAGGCGACGTTATAAAGTAGCTCGCTAGCGGTCCACAGTAGAGAATAGACATCTTAGCGAAACACAAAAGTATATTGGCCATGTCTTGTGTTATGCTATAAGTGTTTGTGTATCCCGGAATAAGCCCCAATTGACGAATCGCTCGTGGGATGTCGTCATAGTAGTCTAGTCCATAGGTAACTAGCACAGGTAATGAGATCAATATGGCAAGGCACAAGAACGATACCCGACGTAGACGGTACTTCACCACGGCCACATCGTTTCTAGGAAGACCATCAAGGCTCTGAGGTTGGCCTATCTTGATACTACCAACATATGAGTAGGCAATGGCACTGCTCAAGACAATCAGTAGGAGCATCGATGTAGTATGGAAAGATGCGATGGAGGGACTGGCTGCGAACATCAGTAGTAGTGTTTCAGCGAAACCTGAAACACCCAGCCAGCGTGCAGTAAAGGGAAGAAGAGGGGGTTTATTTTATTAAAGGAGAATTTTTAAGGTGTTTTCTGAGTTTTTTTAAGGTTAAAGATATTTTTTATGGTTGTAGTTGGTCAAGGCTGGGATTGGATCTGTAGCATGGGCATTAGAGGCTGTTGGGAGCCAATAGTACTCAAAACTCAGGAAAATACTTTCGTTTCTTGAAAAGTACATTAATATCAGAATACTGGCGCTGTTTGGTTTAGGAAAAGAATACATATAAAGAAAAATTGGTATTTTATATTGTTGTGTGCTAGGGTATTCATACATTTCGCAGCCATTCACAGTTCCTCACTAATTCGGTTATTCTCTACTGGAGTTGCAAATTTCGCAGCCAAAGGAAGCCAGTTCCCAGTCAATACCTTACTGTTATATCAACAAGAAATTCAATAAGTCATGAATAAATTCCTTAATGAAGCTAAAGAAGAGAGCCTAGTTTTCCATAAGAAAATACAACGAAAAAAATGATGCTTTCGCCATATACTCATCTATCTGTGAGGCTGGCGGATCAGAGAAGACCCATACCGAGCAACAAAGCACACGACCTTTATGACAAGAAAGCAAATAGAAAAAAAAAGAAAAAAATCCAGCATATATAACGAGCATCAAGAAAATGAAAGTTTTTATTAAAAGTTCCCATTTTCAAACACTCTTGGTGTTCCCCACAAACCACCATTCCTGGTGTAATCTAACCGTATTGGCTTGCGTACCAATAGAACGCGGCATTATTTCTCTGAGTCATAAATCGCACTTTCTAACTCACATTATCAGCTCGCATGCATGCAGTCGGGTTTTGACGTTACTGCATTTCTCCAGATTCGTTTTTTCACGTTGGCCCGGGCTCTTCAAAAGTTTTTCACCTTCTTCTCATCGACCAAACAACACCGTTCGGCCACGATGAGATCGACTATAATATGTTCCTTCCGTTCCTTTTCCACCTCGGCAAGTCTAAATAGAGGCCAGAACTTGACAGAAAAGATAGTACAGAGATATGCGGTTGGGCTTCCCCAGGGCAAGAAGGTCTTCAGTGGTGACTATGTTTCCATCAAGCCTGCCCATTGCATGTCCCATGACAACTCGTGGCCTGTAGCCACTAAGTTTATGGGTCTCGGTGCAAAGCAGGTTAAGGATAACCGTCAGATTGTTTGCACGTTGGATCACGATGTTCAAAATAAGTCAGACAAGAACTTGGAAAAGTACACTAATATCGAGCGCTTTGCCAAGGAGCAAGGCATCGACTTCTACCCTGCTGGTCGTGGTATCGGTCACCAGATCATGATCGAGGAAGGTTACGCTTTTCCTTTGAACTTGTGTGTGGCCTCGGATTCTCATTCTAATACTTATGGTGGTGTGGGATCTTTGGGTACACCTATCGTGAGAACAGACGCTGCTTCTATCTGGGCCACTGGTATGACGTGGTGGCAAGTGCCTCCAGTTGCTAAGGTCGAGCTTGTTGGTGATTTGCCTAAGGGTGTCACTGGTAAGGACGTTATTGTCGCTCTTTGTGGATTATTCAACAACGATGAAGTTTTGAACCATGCTATCGAGTTCGTCGGTGACGGGTGCGCTAAGTTGCCAGTCGACTACAGATTAACTATTGCAAACATGACCACCGAGTGGGGTGCTCTTTCAGGTTTATTCCCTGTGGATGATGTTTTGGTTAACTTTTACAAGGACAGAATTAATAAGTTGCCTCAACCTCATCCTCGTGTCAACGATCAAACCATCACTGACTTGGAGCAAAACAAGGTTGCCTCAGATTCTGATGCCGTTTACGCTAAGCACTTGGTTGTGGACTTGGCTTCCCTCTCGCCATACATCTCCGGTCCAAACAGTGTCAAGGTTTCCAACTCTCTTCATGACTTGGCCAAACAGAACATTCCTATCAACAAGGCTTACTTGGTTTCTTGTACCAACTCTCGTTTGAGTGATATCAAGGCTGCTGCTGATGTCATCAGAGGTAAGAAGGTTGCCGATGGAGTCGAGTTCTACGTTGCCGCTGCTTCTTCTAATGTCCAGAAGGATGCTGAAGCTAGTGGTGCTTGGAGTGATATTATCGAGGCTGGCGCCAAGCCTCTTCCAGCTGGTTGTGGCCCATGTATTGGTCTTGGTACTGGTTTGTTGAAGGATGGTGAGGTCGGTATTTCTGCTACGAACAGAAATTTCAAGGGCCGTATGGGATCTAAGGATGCTTTGGCTTACTTGGCTTCTCCTGAAGTTGTTGCTGCATCTGCTGTGCTCGGCAGAATCGGTGGTCCAGAAGAATTGGACGGCAAGCCTGTTGAGTCTGCAAACAAGGTTCTCAAGTCATTAACTATCACTGAAGGCGAGGGTGCCGCTGCTGACGCAGGTGCCGCTGTTGAGGTCTTGGAGGGATTCCCTAAGGCCATCGAGGGTGAATTAATCTTGTGTGACGCCGACAATATCAACACTGACGGTATCTACCCAGGTAAGTACACCTACCAGGATGACATTAGCAAGGAAAAGATGGCTGAAGTGTGCATGGAAAACTACGATCCTGACTTCAAGAACAAGACCACATCTAGCGACATTATCATTTCCGGTTTCAACTTTGGTACTGGTTCCTCAAGAGAACAAGCAGCCACCGCCATCTTGGCCAGAGGAATGAAGATGGTTGTTGCCGGTTCTTTCGGTAACATTTTTTCCAGAAACTCCATCAACAACGCTTTGTTGACTCTTGAAATCCCAGCTTTAATTAAGAAGTTGAGAGAGAGATACGAAGGTGCCACTGAATTGACCATTCGTACTGGCTGGTTCTTGAAGTGGGACGTCACCAAGGCCTTCGTTACTGTGACCGACGCCAACGGCAATGTCGTTCTCGAACAAAAGGTCGGTGAACTTGGTACCAACTTACAGGACATTATTGTCAAGGGTGGTCTCGAAGGCTGGGTCAGAGCCGAACTTAATTCTTAGAGTAGACCTACCGTGCATTATTTATACAAAATCAAAATCAAAACTGTCAGAAAAGGTTGTAGAAAAGGAATTGTAGCAAAGGATAATAGAAAAAATAAATCAACATTCAAAACATTGAAAAAAGAAAGGGGCGAGCTGGGAATTGAACCCAGGGCCTCTCGCATGTTTGTATGTCAATCTGGTGAACCAGATCGTCGCCCAAAGCGAGAATCATACCACTAGACCACACGCCCGATCTGGAAGGTTGAGGCGCGGTGATCATAATAGAGCAGCATAGCCAAAGCTCAGAAATGGAGCTAGAAATTTCAAAAGTAGGTTGCTCAAATAACCAAAGTTCATTAATTATACCAATATTCTCAAATAGCTCTAAAACCCGCCAGAACTTGAGTTAATGGACTTCTAAGTGCCAGAGAAAGCACATTACTTAGCATTGATATCAACCGTAAAACCAGCTCTCGTTTGTCTAGACTCAGACTAGACTCTAAAGTTGCAATTAGGCCATTTAAGGTGTGTTGCCCATTGCTTCATAGTCTTTCCACCAGACGTTTGCAGCCATGAATTAAACAACACGATAATCGTATCACGACATTCAAAACACACCCAATTGATCAATTTAGCAGGTAAGTTGTCCATCTTCTAGAAAACTCATCAAATCCCAATCCCTTTCATTCCCATTTCATGAGTCCATCTCCATAAATTTTTACATGGAAAAGGACCCTCCCAATATACTCAAATAATAGTCTAAAATCATGCCACCAGACGCTTGATAACCCGCCCAACAGAACCAACCACCAACCACACCTCCTGCCAGCAAACACCGAAACTCGTAAACCACTTCAGTCCTAGTGAAATGCCAAAATTCACGAGCCCCATTGTTCTTGCATTAAGGGCGTGTGAGCAACATCGGGAACCCTGTCGGTTTGAGCCACGGACTTTTCACAATCATGTGGACTCAGCAGAGCAAGCGCAAGCCGTGCAATCACCACCTCTACAGACCACTTTCTATTTGCCCAAAAGGAGATAAGCTTTCGGATGGAGATACCGAAAGGGCGTGCCAAGTCGATTGAACAGAACAATCTACGAATATTATTCCTGTCCCTGCTGTTTTTGGTTTCGCTAGTCGGCACGGCTCATAGCACCGGTGATGCCGGTACTACCAGAACTTTTCAGAGGCCCATGACTCCTTTGTCTCCAGTCATGCTTCAGTACCGGTTCAGCCCGCCAGGCTAAGCCTAAGCCTTGACCAGCATCTCCAGCACCAACCAACCGCAACCAAAACAACCACCAGTAAGATTTGCCGGTGGGTGCAAAAAACACAAATACCACATTATCTCTTGTTATATGCCCCATGCTTAGTTCGCAGAGTGGCTTGTGGCGTGGGGTCTGTTCCCTTGCATGAAATCTGAGCAGCAGCCAGAAAAAAACGTAGAGCAGCGAAACGACCAGGAGACTGGCCCCATAGATTCCACGCGGTTACCAATTGGTGGAATTTCAGGAGGTACAAAGTCAAAGCTTCCCCTATTCAGTAAACTCTTATCGGTGAAAGAGTCACTGACTACTGGGCATTGGCCACTGGCATGGCCAGTGTTTAGGCGGTTGCTTGGTGAATTGCCCCCACCGCCCTGGCTCATTTTCTGTGGTTTTGTGTGCTTTTTTGGTTATTTTCGCAAACGGCGGGGTGCATTTCTTCCATCAGGTGGTTCGGAAAAGGGCCCTGGGAAGGAGTCGATCCGCGCTTTTGCAAAGAAGAATGTAGAGTTTTAAACTTCAGCGAACATTTTGTCATATTCCAGATCAGCTCTTTTCGGTCATCCTGGAATGCTGGGGGAGGCCCTTACTATTTGTCTTTTTATCGTTTGTAGCGTGTCTCAATTGTCTGTCATTCGGCTTTGTTAGCCTGCACTGGCTTTTTGCGGGTGCCGTCATTGGAAAGCTTCCATGCAGACACTGTTAAGAGCCGCCGGCGCCGCCGTTGGTGGGTGAGATTTGGAGGGGATGCGGAGGGAGTACAGAATTGAGTGGCTCTCCTGCCTAATCTAGAAGTGTTGCTGTAACTTATAAGTTTATTATGTGGTGTTTCAGGCCCGCTAAGTAATGCTAGGTCGCTAAAAGTCTCTTTTCTGTTCCAGCAAACCTAACATGCGGGGAAAATATCTATTGATGCAGCGGCTGCGTCACCGCTCTGTACGCCTCGTCACAACGCAAGACGACCAGAAGAAAGAGGGCAATGCCACTACTAAGAGATTCGTGATCACGTGGAGATGGATTGGTTTCGTTTCATAAGTTTTTAACTTTCTATTTCCATTACACGGGTTTTTATGTTCTAACAGCCGCCGTCAATATTGGCTTGACGGCTCCCGTATGCTGCTGCTAATGCTCTTCTAAGTTATGCTAAAGTAGTCCTTGTGTGGGGAAAAGGCAGTCCTGCTGCTTGTATCTGGTTTCTAGTTGATGCTATTGTGCATCGATAACTTAAACACCTTCTTGGCTAGTTCGTAATTTTGAACAACACGGTCGGAAAAGTCCAAAAGGGCATCGGCAAACGACAACACCATAAGAATCCCGTTCATGATGTAGTAGAGCCCCGTATCTAGTACCAGCCAGATTCTCTCAATAGCTGAAACAAAGAGGGCAACCACAAAGGCCCACACGCGCCCTGGTAAACTGGCCACATACGCTGGAGAGGTGCTGATGTAGCTAATGGTTGTGTTCATGGTGGTGGAATGGAAGAATCAGGTTTTTACTTAGTACATGCTAACAGGCGGCGATGCCCACCTATTTATACATGTTTTGATGATCTCCACAAAATGCTGCTGCTGCTGCTGCAACTGCTGCCTCTGCGCAAAAGTGCCCTCAATGACTTCCCCTCCCAAAGACACATCACATGTACTGTATGCCAGACGCACCACAGACGTTGTTTAGGTTGCAAAAAAATTGCCAACCGTCACTGGTGGGTGTGTATACTTCCGCGACCCACCCGGGCCCACATAGTGACCGCCTCACACCTCCACAGCATTGAACAAGAGGTGATGCTTGCTTTTCAATTCGTGGAAGTATCCACCCCATTCACCACTTGATGTGTTGCTGTGTATCAACACGTTGTTGATCACCTTCAGGAGTTTTATAACCATACGCAATGATTCCTCTTGACTTTCCGCTTCTTGCGTGCTTGCTTTACTCCGCAATTTCTTATTGATCACTTTGGTGAGAGCGGAAATCATCTCTTGCTGGTTTGTAATCGCATGCAACACATTCTCGTCGTTTGAAACGATTTGTAGAAGGTTTTGAACCGCCATGATTACAATACTTGTTTCAGCATCATTGAGGCCCTTGGCCAGTAACACTTCAAACATTTTCGTTTGATTCACCCCTCCTTCCTTATCCATCAACCGGTCATTATCAATGTTAATTATAGCATTGATGAGTTCGTAGCACAACTTTCGGACTTCGAGTCCCTCGTCCACCACGTACTTGTACGGTCCCATCGGAATTACCTTCTTAAACTCATCTTTTGCGTCCAATTCCTCGTAGATACTAGGAAGGATATTGTCATTAAGGAGGTCCGGAATTAAGAGCGACTTGTTGTGTATACCCGTCAAAAGTGTACTAACAATGGCTTGCTTTAATTCCAAGTTGGGTTTAGAAAGGTATCTCAAAATCTCCTCCACAAGCTGCACGTTCAAGACTTGGGATTCCGAGTCATTGATCAATTGTTTGGTGATAACAACAACGGTGTAGATAGCATGGTCAATCTGACTCTGCTCAATAGAGCCGCTTTCCAACACGTCAAATAGTTTATTTTGGTACTCGTCCAGTTTGGTAAATTCGCAAATCTTTGCTAGCACCTCACCTGCCAACTTCAACTCTGACACGTCTTTATGAGAAAGCGTCCCACCTTTAGCGCTGATAACATCGAACAAGCTATGCCAAATGTGCGACAACAAGTTTTGCTTGTCGTGTGTCATGTTGCCCTTCATCAATTGCTTGATGGCGACTAAAACTAAGCTACCTTTCAGCTCGGAGTTCAGACTTGAGGAGTGATAGTATTTCAAAAGCACTGGTAAATACGTCTCGACATCCCTTTTGATGCATAAGCCAACAGCTCTAGCAGCGGCGAGGCAGAGTACATCGTTATTGTTGGAAACCATAAGGGAAAAGAACTCTTCAAAGGTAACACGAGTCAAAGCGACAGCTTCGGCAATACAGCCCAAATAGTGGATATCGAACACGATCTTATCGAAGGAAGCAGATGAGTATGTCATTTCTGAGTAGGAGGCAAGCTCGGCTTCTGCTGACGAGATTCGGTCCTGAAGGTCACAATCAAGAGTAATGATCGCTAAGACCTTGGCACTCAAAAAGTTCCTCAAAACCAAGTTCTGTAGACCAATATCGTATAATTCTTGTCCGCCGAGGGATGACTTCTTAGTGACTTGGTTAATGAGGTATTCAAGGGACAGTAAATCGACGTCATCTTCGTCGATCCATTTGATGTTGATGACTTGATTGATGAGTTTCTTGAAGAACTCTCCATCAGCAGGAATATAGTTAAGAGCATGTCCAAGGATACAAATAGCCCTATTGATGAGGTTTGCGTCATTTGTTTCCAGCAAAAGGTGGAAGACATTTCGAGTCACGCTTTGTAAATCTTCGCTCTCTCCTTTGAAAAGAGTGTTGACGAAGATAGCATCCAACAAGACCAAGGAATTGACGTACAAACTCGAGTCACTGGAGGAGAGATAAGAATTAAGCTTTGACACAACAAGGTTGCACAAGTCAGGGTTTGCAAACAACTGTGGTCTTCTTTCGCAAATGGTGATAAGGTTTTCAATAGTGAAGTTCACAGTCACTTCGTAATTCATACTCTCCTTGTAGATCTCAATAGCATGAGCAAGGTTTTCTTGTGATACATCAAGGTGTACAATGAGCTCAGTGAGCGAATTCAAAGAATGCTGCCTCACATCACTTGAGTATTGTTTCACATTGATTTTATCTGCGATAGGGTTGAACAATGTGTTGTTAACGAGTTCTTGATACTCCTGATTTCCTGCCACTTTAGGATACAATTCGTTGCATACTTGCAAAATATCTGAGATAAAGCTGTAATACGTTTTGGTGTCCGTGAGGGAACTAACCAAATCGTCAAATATGAAGCGGAGGAGCTCAGAAGGTATATCATCTATCGAATAAGTCTTAAAAATGACTTTATAAAGCTTGATAAGATCGGGATTAGTTTTAAGGGTCAACTTGAACTCTTGGAACTTTTTGGATAACTCTTCCAAGAATGATGGCGATAAGAATACAGCAAGGACCTTGATCATTGACTCTATCAAAGCATTGGAGGTAGAGACTCTGGCAATATTCTTTGATGTCAAAAGGCAGTTGAACACATAGTCTTCGAGAAGGGGCGGCAATCGCGTTGTCATTTGGGAAGAAGGAGTTCCAGAGTTCCCGCTTTCCGTCATCATGCTGATATCAGAGTTGGGGCGCGATCTTACTGTTGCAGCAGAGTGGGTAGCCTTCAAGAGCAATATGGTAGTAAAAATAGCCTCATTAGAAACGGTGTCATTTTTGTCACCGATAGCAACGATAAGAGGCTCCACCAAGTTTTCTCCATATATGATACCAAGTATTCCTGGATAAGCCAGTATCATTTGCTTGACCAAAAAGACGGCTTGAAGTCTAAGCTTCGAGGCCAAACCGTCGTTATCCTCTGCGTTCTCGTATATTTCAATCGAATCTTCTTCTTCGGAGAAGTCGATCTCGGACTCATCATCCTCAATATCATCATCAGAATTATCATACCTCAATGGGTCGTATGCAATAAAAGCCCGCACAATTTCCACAACGGAGTGGGCGTATGAATGAAGGAAAGTATCGTAAGCAATGCAATTGATAAGACTTGACAATGTGATGAGGGCATCCTCACGAACCAGATTTTCCAGTACCAACACATCAACATCCAAGTCTTCCACATTGAGAGAAGTAGCAAGAGAGTCAAGTCTTAAGTTTGCAGTTACTTCGGAAAAAATGATCAGAGCTGACACTTCGGAGAAGACATCACGTTTGGCCTTATCAGCTTTAGCCAAGACCACCTGAAGCAAAGTAAACTCAGTATTCTTAGCGGCCACACTCTTGGAGCTTGCTGAGTATGTGGCATGTATATCATTAACAACTTTATCGAAGAACTGAAGTTGTCTGACAGTTTGCTCTTGAGTAACCAGGTGGACATGATCCAAGGCATAATCCACAGCCACAATGGCTCTTTTACTGATAATACCAGATTCTGAATAAGCAAAACGCACTAAAGATAAGATCATTCCAGAAAGCTCGCTTGCCGAAAGCGTTCCTCCCAATGCCTTGATCAAATCAATAATGATCTCAATACTGTCAATAGTAACAGGAGCATCAGGGGCAAAGAGACGAGGAAACAACGAGTCAATGACACTTCTTGCCAAATTCTTTCCAAATCTAGAAGTCGAATTGTTGAATATGGAACGCAATGCCAAGTTAGGCACAGAAGTAGAAAACTTGGAAGTGTTAGAGCTCTTCAACACCGCATCATACAACTTGTTCACCACAGATAAAACCTCCTGGTCATCAATATGACGAACTAAAGGAGCAAACGACTTGACAGCCTGATTCTGGACCTCAGTAGCACTATCATTGAGCAATGTAATAAGAAGTGGGATAAAACTGGATACATTTCTAGCCTGGACTTTTGGGTTATTCAAGTGCTTAACGAAATCCTCAAGGGCCATATACCGAAGATCGGGGTCCACATCACGTGCACTATCTTCCAATTGTCTGATATTAAAGGTTGACATTGAGAAGAGATAGTTGTGTTGGGGGTTATTTAGTGATATTCGTTTTAAGTTGCAACTGTTAGTGTATGTCCTGTCGTGCGATTGTTGCCTTGGTGTAAGGGTGTAACTAATGCACCAAGAGTGGAACATAGAGATCAGGAAGATGAAACATCTACGAAAATGAGAACTAGAAAAGAAATAGCATTATTAATAGTCTATCCTTGCATGAGTATTGTTATAGAGATGTTGAAGAACACTTGAGTTGGAAATAAGAGACCCTGTGGACTCATAATGGTAAAGTTGCCACAACGGATTGGCTGCGAAATGGTATGCTCAATGATATTAAATAAATGGGATCGTTTACCCTTGGAAGACAATGAACTTATTTAGATGCATCAGATGCCTTGCGGTGTTTGCTCAGCTTGCTTTTGCTCTTGGAGCTCTTTGACTTACTTTTCGAACTGCTTTTGCTCTTTTTAGGTGGCTCGGGGTCTGAGTCCTCGAAGTAGTCTTCAACGTCAACACGTTCAATGATAAGATTGTCTTCTGGTTGGTCGCCCTTCTCTTCGGACTTCTCGTCGTCAGACTCTGGGTTTGGGGCGTCCTTTCCCTCCAGACTTTCCTTCTGTGCTTCCTCGCTGTTATCCTCAGCCTTTTCTTCGTCCTTGTCTTCTTCCTTATTTTCCTTGGTCTCGGATTCCTGCGTTCCCTTTTGAGCTTCGGTGGATTCGCTTTCCTCCTCCTCAGTCAAGCCCAAAAACTCAACAGGTTCATCAGTAAGTGCATGTAGAAGTTTCTTCGTTCTTATGGCATGCTCACGAGTAACTTGTGGACCTTCCTTCTTATCCTCCTCTTCCTTCTTTTCAGAGTCCTCATTTTCGGCATCTGTTTTTCCATCACCATAAAGCTCAGCATTAACCTTATCTTCTATAGCTTTGCAAACCTCATTCCATTGGTTTGCAACCTCGGTCAACTGCTCCACGAGCCTGTCACGAGCACCACCTTGAATACCTTCAATATAAGAAATGAGGTTACCTTCATATTCATTGGGAATAGAGTCCAAGTTCTTCAAGATCCAGTTTTGTTTCTGCTTGCTGAACTTCCAGTTTTCCTTGTCTGTAGCGTATTGACGAAGGTATGCAAGTTGGTCCTTCTCTGGAGGTGGTTTTCTTTCAGATTTAGGCACCTTGGCTCTCTTTGGAGGTTTCTTTTCTTTAGAATTCTTCTTCTTGTTCTCCTCTTCTCTGTGTCTCTTCTTGTTGAGTTTCTTTGCGAGTTGCTTATCCACATTGGCACTTTCTAAATGAACAACACTAGAGAAGGACGTATTCTCACGGTTTTCATTGATCTTAAGACCAAGTCTTTTCCATGCTGGTTCTGTAGCCATCATCTATTGAACACTGATAATGGATCTCATCTCATTCCCTAACCACAGTTCTATAGATCAAGGATGCACGGGTGTCTTCCAGAACTACCAGTAAAACCGACGTAAATGCCAACCAAATGGCCATTTGAGTTTATCAAATCCATTAAATCATCTCTTATACCTCCCCAACACCCTTTTGGTCACTTTCTTATCTTTGTCGTGTGCCCTGGGGTTACCCTGCCTGGTCCTACTTGAACATTTTCAGCCATCGCGGAATTTTCCAACCTTAATACATTTTTCTTCTTTACGAATACCCGTAGAAGTTCAATTATACTCTAATTGCGGACGTTGGGTACTGCCAATTTATTGGCTGGATCCAGTGGCACTTCCTTCAATGTGGTGCTGCTTTGACGTTACGCTAGAATGAACCCTCACATGAGTTTGAGTCTGCTATAAAAAAGTATACTTATGGTGGATATAGAAATTGTGAACATTCCTTAAAGGGTGGAAATGTGCTCTACAAGACGCTTGTAGCCAATGACTGACTCCAAAAGGTCCTTGTTTTCGACGTGCTCGTCGTCACTGTGAGCAACATGGATCGTTCCTGGACCATACAAGAAGCGTCTCTTCAAGGGCAAAGTAAGGTTAGGTACGTCAGTGGTGTAAGCAAGAACAATTGACTCGAACCCTGGAACTTTAAAGTCGAGATACTGAGGTTGTGTGGCTCTGCCGGTCACTGGGGCAACGTGCTCAACATCGTCAACCACCGAATGGACCAATCTGATCACTTCGTCGAGATCACTAGCGACTCTGATAGCCACAGTGGCTTTAGCATGAGCTGGAACAACGTTTGCAGCGACCCCAGCCTCGATCTTGCCAACATTAACCGTAGATGGACCCAAAAGATCAGACACTGGGAGCTCCAAGTTCTGGATCTTGTGAAGAAGTGGGATCAAGATTTCCGTAGCAGAAATACCCAACTCAGGGTACCCAGAATGAGAAGCTTTACCGTTGACCTCGACATCAAAGATAAATATACCCTTGTGGCCCACGCCTAGCTTGTTTTCAGTTGGTTCACCAAAGATGGCGTACTCCCAATTGACACCAAGAGACTTACTGGCCGTCTCCATACCGATTCCAGTGTTCTCTTCGCCAACAACGAAAAGAAGCGAAGCGTCACCTTCCTTGATCTTTCCCTCATAGAGCAAATCCAAGAATGCAATTACCTGCGCTGCAAGAGGACCCTTATCGTCACAAGCACCTCTTCCACGGATCTTAGTACCATCCACAGAGTAGCCAATGTAAGGAGGCACAACGTCAGTATGAGAAGAGATAACCGTGGTGGTATTCCTTTGCGAACCAGGATAAGCGTAGACATTGTACCTATCTTTCTCCACATGTTGCAATTCCACAGTAAGGCCAGTTTTCTTCAAGTACTCCGATAAGAAAATAGCAACGTCATGTTCGTTACCGCTGATAGACTCGATTTCCATCAAGGAACGGTGCAACTTGAGAAGGGAGAACTTCTCCTCCACGACATAATCCTTCAAGTCTGAAAAGGCCTGTTCAGAGTCCCATTTTGAGGAATCTTTAAGATGGAGTATATCTTGAGGAGCACCTCCAAATGGTTGCCAGGCAACAACAAACAGTACAACAAGGAATAGATAAGAAAGAAGCATACTGGTGGTAGCGGAAATCTAGGGTCGCGGAATTAGACGTATAGTTGATATCCCAAAGGCTTGCATCTGGAAGCCACACTTTGGACAGGGTTCAGATAATGGCATTATGCCGAAAGTGGGTGGTTACCGATGGCCACTACTAGTCAGCCACACACGTTATGGCTGCCATTGTTACATTTGCTCCAGATCTCCATAACTCCATTAACATTATATACTTTTGAGAGACTCAGAGGAGTACCATCTCACAGATAAAGGCATTTCTTGGCCTTTTAAGCGTCCTTCTCGGAGATTCCTTCTTCCTGAGGAGCCTCAGCTTCCTGCTTCTCATTGGCATGCCTCTCGTTCTTTCTGTCCTCTCTGTCTTGCTGCTGCTTCTCAGCCCAACCCTTGAATCTCAGCACAATATCATCAGCAATCTCTTGGGAAGCAGCGTCCTTGTCGTCAGCATGGGCTACCTTGTTAAGCATGTCTTGGACATAACTAAAGGTATTGTTGATGTAACCATCCATGGTGTCGTTTTTGCCGTCAGGGTTCAAGATCCCTCTCACAGACTCTCTGAGTTTGTCGGTGTCTTCCTGGGAAGGCACGTCTTGTGGGGTGAGTTGTTTTCCTTCAGTGTTCAGTGGCATAGTGGCGAATTCGATAATAAGCTACAGAAGTAGATACGGTGGTGGTGTCTTTTATAAGAGGCAAAACCTGGGGTCATTTTTCATATGAAGGAACATCGCCTCGACTACCTATTCTGGTAATATGTTGATGGAAGAGGGCCTCCAGGGCTTCTAGAAGCATCTGTTGAGCTGCCGGTCACTCACTTTGTCTTTGCAAGGTCTCCTTCAGTTTTGCCCAACTGGCCTTCAGTCTTGCCTAACTGTCCTTCAGTCTTACCAGCATTGGCATTACCCTCAGTCTTACCAAGCTGACCTTCAGTTTTTCCAAGCTGGCCTTCAGTTTTACCGAGTTGGCCTTCAGTTTTACCGAGTTGACCTTCTGTCTTTCCAAGCTGTCCTTCTGTCTTTGCAGCCTGGCCTTCGGTCTTCCCAAGCTGGCCCTCAGTCTTTCCTTCTAACTTAGGATGCAGCAGCAGCTCTGGCTTGCCTAAGTTTGGCTTAGCGACGGTTTCTTGCACCTCTCCCTTTTTAGCTAAATACTTGGCTTTGTCCAAGTCTCCAAGCTCTCCCAATTCCTTGTTAGTCGACATTCTTCTATGCGTTGCCTAGTCCACTGTGGATGAGAGCAAGTGGGTCCCTATTTATATGAACTACTAGGGTACAATGGGTGAGGGAGTGCACTTACAGCCATACTAAAAGGTTAAAAGATCAGAGGGGGTTACCTCTACATTTGGAAATATTACTAGAAGGGATCCATTATGTCCAATTCCTTGCAATTGCCTTATTGGCGTATTTGACGTTGGTCTTGTTCGTCTGATATGCTGCAACATGCATCCTCAGCCTTGCGGTTTTGTGGTAGAGTCCTGCAGAAACATACTGCTTTTAGGCAACGACTGCAAACACCAACACTGGTAAACATCAATACTACCAAAATTCTTCGAAGAATGGCTAAAGCAGCTCCATCCGCGCGTGTCGTGGTTATGGATTGGGACGAAACAATCACTACAAAAGATACTACCGAATTGGTGGCTCAGACGGCTTATAGACATAAAACTGGGCTTACTGACTTCTCTCACTATTCGAAAATCTACCTGGACGCATATGAGGAGTACCTGGCTAAATGGCTGGAGAGGAAGACCATTGACGAGGAGATTGCGTATCAGAAGGGTATGAGGGACGTTGAGATGTCTCTGATTTCTGCAATTGAAAATGATGGTTTGTTTAAGGGTCTTACTAGATGTGACTTTGTTCAGTCTGCACTTGGCGTAGAAATTAAGGACGGTTTCACTGACTTCGTGTCCAAGGCTCAGAAGCTGCATGCGCTTTTGTATATTCTTAGTGTCAATTGGAGTCGTACTTTGATCGAAACTGCCTTGCTGCAAGCTGGGGTTTCTGGTATTAATGTTTTGGCCAATGAACCTGAGTTTTATCAATGTAAAGCAACTGGATATTTTTCTAAGGACACTGACATTCGAACGGGTTATGATAAGTTGGTGGAGTTGGAGAAAATTAGAAATGACCACCCAGATAGATCTGTCCTTTTCGTTGGTGACAGTTCTGGTGATGTTTTGCCTATTGTCAAGGCAGACACTGGTGTTATTATCGAAGGTGGAAGAGCCCGTAAGTATATTGATGCTTTGGGTCTTCCAGTTAGAGAAGTAGATGATTCCTTAGAAGAAGGTATCTATGAGGGCAACTGGAATGAGCTTCTACAGCACTGGTGAAGTGCATAATTTTGATTCTCTATAGTACATTAATAATAAAAAGTAAATGATAAGAACCAACCGTGGGTACAATGCAGTGGGACGCTGGACGTGGTCCATTAAAGTGGTGCCGCGAATTTGCGATGTGGTCGTCTGTGTCTGTGGTTAATCAGGCCAACCGCAAATACAGCAGATTTCATGAACACGGCTGAAGTAGAAATGAATAAGTGCAACGGTGTCCATGCTAACAAGGCGATAGACTTTTCTCTCAATTTTTTTTGTTTCCTTTTTTTTTTAATTTTCTTTTCTTTTTGTTTGGATTCTCTTAGAAACCCAGTTTCTTGTGCCCCTTGTGTGGCTTTATAGTCTTGGAAACCCATACAAAGACTCAAGATGGATGCTAGCAAGCAACGCAGAGAAAGCGCACTAAGACTAGGAACCAGAGCGACAACTCAGGAAACAGCAGACCACTTCGAAGGCGGATGCTAACACTTTGAGACCCGGGTATGCCGGTTACTTCGACCGCAACGAAAGAGTCCTAAGAGCTTTCATTTATACTCTGCTCAGAAGAAACTCACAGTATGCCGAGGAAGTGAAGACGTAAAATGATCATAAGACGTGAACAAAAAAACATGAACGGACATTGATAACCAGGTTTGACCATGGCGGGGAGATCGGCATTCGGTGTTCCGAGCTTACCTGTTCCACACACCCTGGTGTACTGGCATGTATTGCCCATAGACGTAGCCTGGAGGTCCCTGGACAGGGTAGCCGTTTGGAATCATCTGCGGATGGTTCACTGGACTTCTACCAGGTCCTGGAGGTTGCCCATTTGGTGGTGGTGTCATTATACCATTAGGAGGCTGGGCAAAGTGTGGAGGAGGGCCTTGGAACATCTGAGGCTGGGGCATGTGGTCCTGGGGCAGCCATGCACGCAGTTGAGGTGGTGGAAGGTGCGAGATAGACTCTGGCAGCTTTCCCAATGGTTTGAATGGAACTGGGTACATGCTGTATTCGTGAGGAGGTTGTGGTGCCGGCGGGTTGGGCGAGTGGGAGTATGCTGGAGCGGTAGCGGCTGGGGGAGGGCCTGGCGGGCTTCCCTGGGCAGATGGAGGGGGTCTGTGCTGAATTTGTGGTTCTGGTCCCAGGGCCCTGCGTGGTGTCTGAGCCTTGTCGTGGCCTTGAACGAAAGCAATACGTTCCAGAGGAAGTAAAGTAACGAGGTCACGGAGGAAGAAGTTAGGCACACCGACAGGCTGTCCCAAGGGAGGAACAGGTCCATTGTTCAGAGCAGCAGCCTGAAGCTTCTTCGAACGCTCATCGAAACGATTGGCGCTTTCCGTATCACCAATAGCACGGAAACACATGGCAGCACGAGAGCTTGCATCAGCAGCGTCACCGAGTTGGTCGTCACAGCGCTCATAGACGCAGCTAAGACCTTCCCAAGCAGCAGCGGTGCCAGGCAGGTTCTCGTTGAGTTGAAGTCGAAGAGCTTGAGAGTAGGCTGCAAGGGCATCTGGAAGCTGCTTAAGTTCGAGATACAACTTACCAACGGCAAGCCAAGTGATAGGCAGGCTGGATGCACGGCGAAGAGCCACTTGGTAGCAGTCGTAAGCTGCTCTAGGAGCATCCAAGACGGTATGAGCCTTACCTAAGAGATACCAGGGCAAGAAGTCGCCTTCATCATCTTCTTTACGTTCCTCCAGGTCCACCACGCGAGAGAGAAGGGCCACGGCCCGCTGAGCCTTTTCAGCAACCTCATCCAAGAGAAGAAGGTAGGCGTGGGTGATGAGAATTCTGGGCAGAGCACCAACAGCAGTTTCAGCTCTTTCACAGGCCTCAAGGGCTTCAGGAATCTTATTGGCACGCTCCTTGGCAGTAGCGAAAGCACACCAAAGGGCGATATGTTCATTCTGGCGAGCCAATGGAGGTGGAGGAAGCAGGAGGGTGGCCGTGAGCTCAGTTATAGAAAGATCAATGTTTCCATCGGCAGCAGCAATGGCAGCCAACTCGGCATGGGCGCTTCTGGCGGTCTCAATGTCGGCCTTGGAAAATTCAGCCAACAGAGGAGGCAAAAGCAGGAGGCAGTGGTTGAGCGCCGAGGCCGCCTGGGCCCTAGCGCCAGCTCTGATCAAAGTCTGTGCCAGAAGAAGCTGCAAGGCTGGGTCGGAAGGAGCTCTCTGGATAGCTTGCTGGACAGCCAGATGGGCCTGCTCGTTGAGACCCACTAAAAGGTAACATTCCGTGAGTTCTCTGAAAAACAAGGGCAGCGCCGTGACTTGAGGATACAGCTCAGCAACCGAATTGAGTCTCTGAATAAGCGCCTGTGAGCCAGCAGTATCGTTCGTGCTGATATCGTTCATCCGAAGCAGGTGGCTCCAGCCAACAAGAGCGTCTACAGAAGCTGGAGCATGCACAAGAGCAGACTCAAACGCCCTGATTGCAGCAGCTACAATGCCCATACTAGAAGCACAGTTGCCGATGGCTATCCAAGTGTCGGCAGCCTTTTCAGGGTATTCGTCGACCCGAGGGCGCTTGCTCATGGCTGGGGACGCGGCAGCGGATCGTTTACCCATTTGGAGTGGGCGATATTGTTGGTATGTGAGGAAGGAGGTGGAAATAAATCACTGAGTGGGAAATTCGACACTTAGTGGGAGTAGGAAGAAACTTGGGAAGGTGTAACTTTGTGGATGGGAAGGAGGGAGTGGGAATTCACGGTTTTTCTGTGTCGGTTTCTTTCTTTCTTCGCTTTTTTTTTTTGTCGGTTTCACTTAGCTTTTTCTGGGACTAAGTGTGTGGCCTGGAAAGGTCGATTCTTGTCGTTTGGACAAGGAATAGAAAGGATTAGGAGCGGGAAAAGGGGTTGAAATTCGACTTCAACGCTATTTGGGCGAACCTAGGTTCAAACGTAAAGAGTGCGTGGGAAATTGCCAGCGAAAGGGAGGGACAAACCGGCTTAAGTAACCTAGGTGGCAGGCAAGTGATTAGGCGCATGGTAATGGAGGGGGTGCAGCTTGCAGCAAGCTGCGTGTGCATCCACCCGCATGCAGAGCACAGAAAAACGCACACACCTTCACAAGTGTACATGCTGCATTAAAGGTTTAGCAAGCTGTGTACAGTCTATGAACCCCGAGAGGGTAATCACGATGACGCCGCACAAGGTGCAAAACAACACCGTTGATTATGATGGTACTGCACGCAAGGCGATAAGGTCATAGCGAACACATTGAACGCCTCGTCCCGTGCAGCTATACACCTCTTTAGCGTCGCAGCCTACCTGCGCCATCTGACGCACGGTGTGCGTGTACTCGGACTCTGTGGGACATGGCTCACCGCATGCGTCGACTCAGCATAGAAGCCTGCGTCAGTCTCACCTGCCCGAGGCAGAAAGTAGGTATTAACAAAAAAAAAAAAAATTCTAAGTAGAAGGAGAATCCGGCAAATCCAATATTGGCAACAGCACCATGAGCAGAGGTCAGAGAAACAAACCACCAGAAAAAAAAGAAAATAATAGAAAAATGGAAAATTGGCATATAGTTGAAAACCAGCAAGCTATTTCTGAAAAAAATGTTGGGGGCCCTTGGAACACTTTTGGACCTTGTACCTCCAAATCCTTTTCTTTTCTTTTTTTTTTTTGCTTTTCTAAGGGCAAGGTATTTTTGGACACTTTTTTTCTGTTTTGTCCCTCTTTTTCTTTCCCTGGGTCCAAATTTTTCATGCCCTTTGACGCCACATGTGGCAGAGAATGGCCACAAAAATAAGTGGACGAGAAAAGGAGTCAGAGAGAATGATACAATTACTTGAGGGAAAAAAAAAAAAAAAATTATGGATCCCTAGTGGACATGCGCGGTGATATAATGCTCCCAAGACACACGAGCGACGCATGTCGCTGCGGAAGAATATCAGTGAGGAACAAGAAGGCAAACCGGGTCTTTCTGCAGGATCGACCTTATTGTCGGTTTTCGGCGCACGTCGACGCCCCTCCTGCTGAGCATTGCGTGAACGTGGCCTCATTAGGAAACCGTTGACGGGTAGCACGGGTGTCCTGGTGTACCTTCATCCGGCCTAAGCCACAGAGAGAAGTATAAATGTAAATTGGATCGTCCCACTTTCTGGCTAAGCTGACGTCACCCGTGCCGGTTAAACACATCCAAGTTCTTTTTTTGAGATGTGGGTCACAGTTGCTAAGTCGCCCAGAGGCTAAAACAGTGTCGCACGCGCTGAGCAGACGGCCTGGAGGAATCCAAAATTTCTGCTGCTTTTAGCCGGGACGCCGCGCATGGAAAAGCACTCGTAAAACGGTGCGCCTTGGTGCCGGACTGCAGGGGGTCAGTGGACCAAAATTTCTTTCCCCCAACCTTCCCGGTCCTAAAGCCGAAATGGCAATTTGTGAAGCGGATTTTTCGAGGTATCACTAGGCCACACTTCTACTCAACCATGCGAACTTTCCAGACCTCTTCATTTGCCGTTCGCCATTCGGATTTCCACACTTCGGGATCCATACCTCCCTGCATACGGTCTGAAATCATGCACCTTCAAACGTTTGATCGGCTCATGCGGCGCATGTGCACTTCAATAGAACCTACCTAGCTGTGTTCTGCAACCCGGAAGCCCTCACAATGGTGTGCGGCGTCTGCGGCGCCTGGCGCAATGTTCTTACTCATCCACACCTTCAGCCCACTTTATTCCACCACTCTTGCCTGGACCAATGTCTCAGATTTCTATCCAACCAAATCAAATCAACCTTGCATAAACATAAACATTCCATCTTCAAGCATCTGCCTTCATTTCCAAAGCCTTGATGCTCAACGTGCTTGCTGCTCTCGGGACTCCGCGATACATAGCCGTTGGTGCTTCACCGAGCCAGTTTAACCTGTTTTGCATCGGTTGCGTCGGTCACAGGGCCCACAGAAAGCCCCAGGAGAATTAAGTTTGGGTTGGTTGACTGTCAGAAACTGAATGAGTTGGAGGGGAATCGAAACGTGGAAAGATAAAAGTATGAAAAAAACGAAGCGTAGATGGAAAATTCCATTCCATCTAAAAAAGCTTAATGTAGAAGGAAATTCCCAGAAACTTACGAACCTTATGGAATGCCGAGGACAAAAAAAAAAAAAAGCTCACACAGAACAAACACCAGTCCAAATTCTAAAAATGAATTCAAGCAGCGGCTAGTGGATTGCGGTAAGAACGGCGGCTGCTACCTCTGCTGCTGCCGCTTGTCACAAACAGGTTAATAAAATTAGAATACCACATTGCGATACATTCTGGACCTCTTTTTCCATCTGGCCAGATAGGGGTTGCCCTTAGACCAAAGCCAACATAAACAGCAATCCTTAGACCAACTGGTTCCAGTAAAAGTAAAACAGAAAGAAGGGATCTACGTTCTCTTATTTCTTTCCATCCCTTAGGGTCCTGCCACAAACCCTATAAGCCATCGGGGTCCTCGGGTATTCTGGCCTTGCTGAACCTCAAACCGCATATCTGCAAAACAGTTTGCATCAGCGTTCTCTGCCTCTGCCTCAGTCTCTGCCTCGATGTGGCAAATTGTATACTCTGTCCACTCGCCATGTCGTCATTTCCACTTATCCCTCGAAAAAGGAGTCTTCCAATTTCTCTTAACGGCCACACGGCGCCTAACAAACCTCCTCGGAAACAGTCGTCATTTACCACAAAACCGGGATGGTCCCGCTTGTGAGGCGGGAAAACAAAAAGCACGAAGAAAAAAAAAAGGACGAGAAAGCGGCGGCAGGCGCTGCCCAGGGCTGTCTAATCCATTAGCGCAACCGACCAACCGACTTTTTGGTCTTGGGTCCTGGGACCAGGCGCCACTTTTAACCTTCCGTGCGACAAGCAACGAAACAGCCGGTGCGCAGGGGCAGAGCAGGCGGTGGGGAGGTGGGAAGGCTAGAGACGAGAGGGAGGTTGGAAGCAATGAAGGGGAGAGAGAGGAAAGGAGAGGGAGGCATGGTTGATCAACAGGGGGAGAGGGGCGCCTTGGAAAAACCCTCGAAACAGAAACCCAGCCCTGGGAAACGTGAGCCTTTATATACCTTTTTTTTTCTTTTTTTGTAATTTGAGGCTGGTGTATATGTGGCCCAGGGGCGGGGGGAGGTGCGGTAGGCATGGTATGAAAGAGGTGGGTGGTGCATTGCTGTCACAGGCTTGCGCGGCGCATGAATGAAATGAACAACAAAAACGAAGTGAGTATTATAGAATTTATATATACCAATGAATGAGTAGATGCACTTGTGCATGGGGTCTTTTTCGCAGAAATACCAAAAAAAAAAAAAAAATGAGAGTTTTTATGGTTGCGGCGGCTAGTGCATGCGTATGCACTATGTGAAATGTAAATGCACATGCACATGTATATGCATACGCACATGACCTCACACCCCATGGCAGCAAGCTCCCCACTGGCCAACAAAATACCGAAAAAAAAAAAAAAGTAGAATTAAATAAAATACTGAAGAAAACCTACCACCATATTTTAACCTTCCCAGCCAGCCCCTATAGTCATTTACCGGATGGAGCTGCCTGGCAATCTCAATCTATAGAACCACCCACTTTACGCTACCTTTTGTGGCCTAGCGGGTCCCCTTTCTCTCTTTTGCCTCACTTTTAGGAGACCGTGGAACTTTTTTTCGTTTTTTCCATACCCTCAACTTTAACCTTCGTCTCACCTTGTGTACCCTTTTTTACCCACTCTTTTCTTTTTCCGTTTCCATTTCCACTAGCCCTAAAACTTAACCTTTGCTGCTTAACCAGAAAGTCAAGCGTTTTCCCCTAGACTGTGAAAAAAAAGCACACACCCCTCCCCTCTCCCATGTTTCGAAAGAACATCCCTGTAGAACATCCCTGAAGAACAAGAACAACACCCATTCGAAGGCATAACAATGGTCTCAAAAGTCATTCTTCCTCTCTTTTACTTGCAACTCTCCTCTCCACCCCCTGTAAGCCGAGAAACCGCCAACCGCCGTTTGGAACAAGCCATCAAGTGAACCCTGATTTTCCTGGCTTTCTCCTCGCTGGCTGCGACGCAAACGTTCTGACGTCAGGTGGGTTTTGAATAAACCCGGCATACCTTTCCTCAGAATTAGACCATCTACACTGAGTGTTTAGGTTTGTCCAAGACTCGATAAGCTTAAGCCAAACGGTAATTTCAAAAGACTAAAAAAAGGATGTAGTAAAAAAGAGCATGTAGAAAAAGCGTAAATTCAAATGTATGGACTGCCCAAACAGACTCATACGCCGCTTTTTGAGCCCTTCAGCCTTGATGGGGGGCAGGCTCTTCTGAAATTGGCTGTTTTAACTGCCGCATAACATGTCTCTAAACCAAACACTCGTGGCTAGGTAAATGTGCTTTTTTTTTGCCTCTTTCATACATTCATATGCTGCTTTACGGAATGCTCTTGGTTGGGCTTGAACACTTTTTTTGTTTTTTGCATGCTACAACAGTTTGACCCTGCCTCGCTGCCGACTTGCCTTTGTTTCTGATCGCCATACTTGGTGTATCATTTGTTTAACTTTAATTGTCTACTTGTCCTTTTCTGGTTTTCTGCTTGCTCGCCTTTGGCCTTTGTTCCTTTGTATGTCCCCCTTTGCCGTGCACTGGCTTTATTCCATTATCTCAAGAACCCTCTCCCACCTGCTTTTTGATCTCGAACCATTTTCGGGAAAAGACATAACTAATGCACAAGGGCACTTCGTGTTTAAGCGCTCTGGCGAAAAATCTGGGTCATCTGTTTTACTACCCGCCTGGCCTTTACCAGCAGAATGCTGCTTCTTTTCTTACCTTACTTTTTTTTTTTATGTTGCTCAGAAACTGCGTTGCTGCTTCTAGACAATTTATTTTTTTTTTTTTTTATTTTTTTACTCTCCCATTGTGAATGCTGTACGAGGGAAAAAAAGATGTGCGTCATGTGCCTCGCTAAACGTCGGATGATCTAGTGACGCACACTCTGTTGGCAGAACAATCCTCTTCACCGCAGGTGCTGACCTGCCCCGAGTGTGGCCGCTTGCATAGATCCTGCAGGCGTGTTTTATGGTTCCTACTTCCGCGCTCAAAGGTGGGCTTTGCGTGTAGGTGTGGACCCAGCCAGCACTGTCTCAAAATGCACAAGGTGCATGGCTTTCATGAGTTGTATGTAGGTGCAGGTGCGATATGTAATGTCCTGCCCTAGTTTTTCGAAGTCACGTTATTTTCCTCACGTGCAGACATCGCCATCTCGACCTACACACCCTTCTCCATCTTACATCAGACCTTCATATATACCGCCTTAAACCTACCCCATGCTTCGAAGTGTCCGTCTACTACGTTGTCTTAAACGTACTCCAACGCTTCTACCCCGCTCAGTACGGTTTTTCACATCTGCATCGCCCCTTCGCCTTCCTGAACCATCATATATAAGTCCCATCTCCCAGCTTACAGACCATTTGGTGCCCAAATGCACTTCATGTGGAATCACCCTTCAAACTAAAGCTCCTTCTGAAAAAGGCTTCTACAAAGAACCCACAGCTGCTCCCACAAAACATAATCCATTAGACAATGTCTTTGATTCTCATCTCACAAAATTGAGTGCTGAAGATAGAGACCTTCTTCTTAATGGAGCTGGTGACCTGACCCCGACCCTTAAATCTGAAGTTCGCCATCATAGAGAATCCAAAAGAAAGACCCATAAAGTCCAGTGTGTGCGTTGCCGCAATGCCAATTTCAAGGCTTCCTTTGATCTCAACCAGTTCCCCATAGAACCTGTCAGTGAGGTCATTGAAACGATCCCTCCAAGCTCGCCACTTGTGTACGTGGTAAGTGCTCTTGACTTTCCAATGTCTATCAATGAGGACGTGTTTAAGTATAGACTGCCTAAGCAGATCAAGTTTGTGGTGACCAAGACCGATCTCTTGTTCTCTAAGAAGGATATGGTGAATAAGTATGGAGAGCGTTTCTACCAGGACTACTTTGAAAGAACATACCGTGTGCCTCGAGAAAATGTCTATTGTGTCAGTGGCACTAGTGACTGGAATGGCTCGGCCTTATTGCATGATATTCAAGACGATCTGTATGTCATTGGCACTGTCAACAGCGGCAAGTCTACCCTTATCCAGTCTCTTCTCCATACCGCCCAGAAAGAGAAGAGTGAGCTTCCAAATGCACGCCGAGAACGTCAGATACAGAAATTAAATGATGAATTGATCGCTAAAGGTCGCAAGCCACCTAGTCGCATGTCCCTCATTCGTCTGAGTCTTAAGAACATTTCTGCTTTCAAGCAAGAAAATGGCCCAGGCGTCTCCTACATGCCTGGATTCACCCGTGGCAACATCCCATTCCAGCTTACTAAACTGAAGCTCATTTACGATGTTCCCGGCTTTTCGGATGCCCAGAACACCCGGCTTTACGATGTCATGGAACCCCAGCATATCAAGCAACTTCTTAAAGGAAAGAAGGTCCACAAAGTGGGCATGTACGACTCGCATTACGAGAGTGTGAAAGCGGGCCAAGTACTTACTGTAGGCGGCTTATTCTTTCTACAAGTGCCCGAGAATGCTATGTTGCAAGTGCGCAATTGTCTTAATCACAAGCCACATGTATTCAAGAACTTGGAGAAAGCTCTTGATGTCTTTAACGGGCAACGTACCGAGGCGTTAAAGGACGTGTTCCTTGTTGATCCTGCTAAAGCCGAACTCCAAAAGTATATTGTCCCATCTTTCCACGGAAAAAAAGACATTGTCTTCCAGTTCATGGGCCACATTGTCATAACTCCTACAGGGTCCAAGGCCGCGACCGAGCCGTTTATAATCTACCTTCCCAAGGGAGTAGAGGCTATCTTGCGCCAGCCAATTACGAACTATATCACCACCTCTCTTTCCGGGCGAGACGTGAACGGTAACCCGTTACGTAAAGAGAACTGGAAATCCAAGAGCACCAAGGAAGTAAAACGCTGGACCGGAAAAATTCCATTCTACACAGATCTTATTCCCGCCGAACAGGCCTCTTCGAAAAGCGATACCGAAGTAATGGAAGACTTTGTGCACCAGCACCAGGCGGTTCTCCAGCAGGAGATCGTTGCAGATCCAGAATACAGCATGTGGTTTCAAAAAAAGTAAACCCTAGCTTTACCTGGCAACTACTGCCCATCCCCCACCCCACAACCAAAATAAGCATTAAGCTCTGCCTTTTGTCAATCCAACACCCACATCCATCTTTTTCATCACCTAGAGTTTATTGGTGGTTGTCTGATTACCACGCTTATAGTGTCCCTTTTGCTCGATGCCGCACACAGTGCTTCACGCACGGAACCTTCATTATTACACGCTCTCGTCGCGACGAAGGAGGCATTGAAGCGCGCGTTTGAGTCAAAACAGTCTTTGTTTGGCGCTGAGGATATAACTGAAGATCAAAGCGATTAACAGCCCGTTTTCCTTTTAATTGCAAGGCTTGTTTATTCGCTTATTGACCAAAGGTGGGCCTCTTTTAAAAGCAGACTACTCCTTCTTCTTCCTTATACCCTTCCCGACTCAATTACATTCGCTACCAAACAATGATTCGCAGCCAGAGCATCTCGAGCTTTACAGACAAGAAGAAGCCCAACTTCTTTACTGCTCTTCGGACCAGGAAGCTGTCCAAGGACCTTAATGGCGTGTTGCGGGCGCGTCCTCTTAGTCAACTGTCGCTGCTGCTGAACTTGAATGTTAATACTGCTTCAAAGCGTCACTCGGTGCTTCTTCTGCCTACAGAAGACAAGGAAAACAACGTTCCTAGGTTGCGGAAGCACTCGAGTGCATCCAATTTGAAAGACTCCAGAAGAAACTCCATGATGGTGAGACTGAAGATCTCTGGCCCTGTTGAACGGGCGCCCTTGAGTCCTCCATCTGACATTGCTTCGTTCGAGACTGAAATGCTGGACAGATTGTCTCCTTATACCCCATCTGCGCCTGCTTTCCAGGCTCTTGACGATGTTGACGTTGCTCCAATTTACAACTACGACCTGTTCGACTGGGACGATGAGCCTTGTAGCCCTTCCAAGCTACATCGCACAACTAACATGAACAATATTAACGACTTCATCAAATCTATGGATACCCTGCTCTTGCCTATGTGCAACAGAGCCAGTCTCGAGTTCGAAGCCAATGAGATAGAGCTCTTACACAAGAAGCTCAAACTGGACCAGCTCGAGTTGAAGTTGGTGGAGAATGCCATCTTCTTGCAATTCTTCGAAGAAGAAGACCGCAAGGAGAACCAAATGGACGTGAGATTCTGGGACGATGTTGACATGACCGACGCACTCAAAAATGAACCTTATGGTGAAGAAGACGATCTTTATTTGTATATATAGGTAATTGACGATTAGGCATGATAATTGGAGAGTAGGTAGTTTGCAGATTTTGACTGCGAACAATAAATGGTTGCAAAATGCCTGTATTGTCCAAGGATGTGAAAAAAGATAAACAGTAGTGAAAATATGAATTATGGTTTTAGAAACTCTGTAATAATAAAATGTAAAGTGATTTGAAATAGAAGAATCTTCAGTACACTGGAAAGTAGAATGCTATGTTTTCTCTTACTTGACAGCTTTATCATGAAGCATAAATCTCACAAACACAACGAAACATGCTAGAAAAACATATAAAATTAAACTAAACCAAGTGAACAAGTCAGCAGCTAGAAAAGCGTTGTTTCCATCACTCATCTATATATAAACCATTAAAAACTTCTACGACCAGCCAATGTTGAACAACAGACGAGTCCTGGGTCGTTGTGGACCTGATTTGCACCCGTGCACCACGACAGAAAAACTCCAATATCGACAGCATCCAACGTTAGCACAGATCAAGCGATATAATGTCTGCCGACAACGACAGCCTGGAAATTAACAGCTTGCTCGAGACCTTGTCTTTGGCACAAGCTGGTCTGGAAGCAGAAGCTGAGAAAAAAAACCCAAGCCAGGATGAGAAGGCTTCTGAGGAACCCGCTCCAGTAGAGTCGCAGCCTGAAGAAAAGAAGGAGGAGCCTTCCAAGACGGAAGAGGTGAAGGAAGAACCTCCAAAGACCGAAGAGAAGAAGGAGGAGCCACCTAAGACTGAAGAGAAGACTGAGGTTTCTGAAGAGGCTGAACCAGAGAAGAAGGAAGAGACAAAGGAAGAAGAGACAAAGGAAGAGCCGGTGTCTGAGGAACCAGAGAAGTCCGAGAAGGAGCCTGAAGCGGCTGAAGAGAACGACTCTAACTTGATCAACTCGACATATGAAGTGAAAGTCAAGTTGGCAGACTTGCAAGCCGATCCAAACTCTCCATTGTTTTCGGTGAAGTCGTTTGAGGAATTGGGCTTGAGTGAAGAACTCTTGAAGGGTTTGTACGCTATGAAGTTCAACAAACCATCCAAGATTCAAGAGAAGGCCTTGCCTCTTTTATTGAAGGACCCACCAACGAATATGATTGGTCAATCCCAGTCTGGTACCGGTAAAACCGCTGCTTTCTCCTTGACCATGTTGACCAGAGTGGATGAAAAACTTAAGGATGTCCAGGCCATTTGTTTGTCACCAGCCAGAGAGTTGGCCAGACAAACCCTTGATGTCATCCAGACGATGGGTAAGTACACAAACGTCACCTCGAAGCTTGTGGTCCCAGGAAGTTATGCAAGAGGTGCCAGAATCACCGATAACATCTTAGTGGGTACTCCAGGAACATTATTGGAATTGATAAAAAGAAAACAAGTCAACCTCAGCCGCGTGAAGGTGTTCGTCTTGGATGAAGCCGATAACATGTTGGAAGCCCAGGGTATGAGTGACCAGAGTGTCAGAGTCAAGAAATACTTACCAAGAGACGCTCAGCTTGTGTTGTTCTCTGCTACCTTCCCAGAGGAGGTTCGTGACTACGCTGAAAGATTCGTTCCAAACGCTAACTCGTTGGAATTGAAACAGGAGGAGCTTAATGTTGATGGTATTAAACAGCTTACGATGGATTGTGACAGCGAGCAGAACAAATTTGAAGTTTTATGTGAATTGTACGGTTTGCTTACGATCGGTTCGTCTATCATTTTCACGAGAACGAGAGCTTCTGCTGAAAAAGTGGCTACTGGTATGAAGAGTGAAGGACACAAGGTCTCTGTTCTTCACGGTCAGTTGGACCACGAAGATAGAGATCGTGTGATTGATGACTTTAGAGAGGGAAGATCCAAGGTGTTGATCACCACTAACGTCTTGGCTAGAGGTATTGATATTGCTTCTGTCTCCATGGTTGTCAACTACGATGTGCCAACAGACCAAAACGGTAACCCAGATCCATCGACCTACTTGCACAGAATCGGAAGAACCGGTAGATTCGGCCGTGTGGGTGTGTCCGTCACCTTCATCCACGACAGAAGGTCTTACGAGCAAATGGAGTACATTAGGCAGTACTTCAAGATTGAAATGACTAGAGTGCCCACCGAGGACATGGATGAAGTCGAGAAGGTCGTCAAGAAAGTGCTTAGGAGCTAGTTACATTACACGCTTCATGTATATAATGCTTAAAAGTATGTACAGATTATAGTTGCAATAGGAATCAGTTATCGAAGGCGATGGATGGCTTGAAACGCTTTGGTGTTCTGGTAGCCACAACGTCCCAGTTAATGCAATCCCACACATTGTCCAAGTATTTGGCCTTACCAAACACACCGTAGTCTGGAACGTAGAATTTCATGGATGCATCAATGGCCAAAAGAGGCATAAGCTTTCTATCACTGAAGGAGAAGGCTTCTTCTGCCTCTTCAATAGTACCCAAGAAGTTAGCGTCCTGCTTGGAAGCCTGAGATTCAACTTCAGCTTCTGGTTCAACTTCGGTGCCCTCTATTTCCAGTCTCTCCTGTTGTCTCTTCTTAAGAGCCTCCTTCTTAGCCTGTTCTTGCTCTTTCAATTTTGTAATTTGGCCCGAGCGGAGGGTATCATCGATAGTACCGGCGTTGTAAGTGTTCATCACAGCCAACTTATTGAATGAAGTCTCTGGCGATGAAATGCCTGAACTGGCCTTCCTGGCGGTTTCAGAGTATGTGGCCTGTGCAACCAACCAAGTAAGACCATTACCTTTGATACCTTTGGCACTGTTGAGCAAAAGCGCTCTGAACTCGGCAATAGAACCGAAAGAGTCTATGATCCATTCTCTTAATTCAGCTTGTGTAGGTTCATTGGTGAACTCTGTCTTGGTGGTTGGTGTTTCTAGAAGAGCCAGAGCATCAGGTTTTCCGATAGCATTGGCACCCAGAGGACTTATAGATTCCATAACGAATTGCAAGTTGTGCAATTTCAGAGCCTCTTCATAGATGTCTTGTAAGTCAGGATTACTGAAGCTCAAGGTGATTAAACCAGCCAAGTCTGCTGGAGCATTAGCAATAACTTTCAGGTTGAGTTCAGAGTTGAGTTTATCGATAATGGCTTGGCCCTGCTGGAACCAGAGCTGGTCCAAGGTCTCGGCAGTGAATAGACCTTCAAATCCTTTATTGGCAAGTTTGATGTTCTCCAAGGTGGAGATGGAAGGAAGAAGGTATGAAACAGATCTAACAAGGCGTCTGTTTACGCCACGACTAAGAGCCGAGGACGTCGCTGACGCTAATCTAAACATTTTGGATGGTATATCTTCAGATCGGTGTTTCTCTCTCTATATGGTGCATGAAAAATTCAATGAAGTGTTGGTGCGCACACGACTGGCCCGTTAAGTAGAGCGTTACAACTCAGGACAATAAACTTAAGCTATAGTCTTCTACTTCTTATCGATTTTTTTTTTTTTTATAGTTTTCATGATACATTACCGAGCCGTTAAGACCTGAACGACTTTTCAAACATTCTCGAAGGGGCGTCTTCTGAAACCTCTTATCTCAAATCTCTATAATACAGCATGGAATCAACAAAGAGCCCAATGCTAACAGCACTTTTATTTTCTGCTGACCTTCAAACTCTTCACTCTTCTTAAGAACGAAGAGCCTTGAGCGTCTTCATCTGCAAAGGTACTTCTAGGAAACTCACCGGAGTTGTCGTGGGAAGTTCTGGCAGAGGCCAGTTCACTACCGCTATTCTTGCGTAACCTATGGACCAACGACTTTTTTCTGCCTATACCGCTAGATGGTACATTCAAGAAGTCATCAGTCTTTGGCGCAGGGGCGCCGTCAAGGAAAGTAGTGGAACCTAAACCAGCCGTAGATGGGCCGTGAATAGGCTCAGCTTTGGCATGCACATCAAATGCCATGACAGATGGGTTTTGTCTGGGGGTATACATGGATGATTGAGGGTCGGTTGGAGCCCTGTTCGTCTTGGGAAGCGACAGTGGGCCGCCATTCTGTCCGCCAACGGAGCCAACAATTTCATTTTGATCATGGCTGTCACCGAACGCCATATAGAGATGCGAATTCTTATTAGCGCCTTCTGGCAAAGCTTTCATGGAAGTATTGGGCCCATCTGCTGGGAAAGCCATAACAGGGGCAGCCTTAGAATTCTTGTTTCTGTGAGGGGTGCATGCATCGAAAGGTCCATCATGATGGAACCTGCCACCAAAGAAGGCGCTGACGTCCAACTTATCAATGGTGTCCAATCCCTTAGAATTGTGAGGTTCGACGTTCTTCTTCTTAGGCGACTTGTTTCTGGATGACTTATGAGAACGGTGTCTCCTGTCATGGTCCTTTCTGTGCCTTTCTGAGTCACTATGAGACCTTTGAGGTCTATTATGTCTGTGGGGTCTCTCACTAGTTCTTTCGGTAGAGGACGAACTCTTCTCCCTAGGATACTCACGGGAGGCAGCGGAACGGCCAGCAGCTTCTTCATATGGAGGAGGAGCAGGAACTGGCTTCGATTCTTTAGCCGGGCGAGGAGGTTTAGACTTGTGTGATGGGGTTGATGATGATGTTGTTGTCGTTGTTGTTGGAGCCCTGGATGCAGATGGTGGGGGAGGGGGGTCTCTGTGGTGTCGATATTCACCAGTCATGGCGGAAGCGAACGGATTGTTGGACATTCTAGCGAAAGTTAGTAAAAGGGGAAAAAAAAAAAGTGGACGCTTAAAGATATAAAAAAAACTGATCAAGCGTTAAAAACAGCAATGCAACGGGAGATATAAGGGCCAAAAAAAAAAAAAAGCTAAAGTCTCAAAAGCGCGCGAGGGTACACATATTCATGCACCACGGTAGAAGCCATTTGTGGGAGGGCGACTGGTCAGTCCGTGTGAAATGATAGCGAAAAAAAGTATCCTGCAGATCTCCGAAGCCAAATGCGTGGCGAAGCTGGGTAGCCTGGTTTGAGTCGCAAGACTAATTGAAAAGGAAAAAGCTTACCCGATGACAGAAAAAAGCAGGGGTCACAAAAGAAAGCCTAGAAACATCCTTCTTTCTAAGCGCTTTGAGGGGAGCATTCCCGCGGCATTGTAAAAAAAAAAAAGGATGTCTCTGGATAGATTCATGGCTCAGTGGAAATGCGCACCTCGTTTGTTACTGCTTCTGAGAAACCCGCGAATATGGCTATCAAACCTGAGCCCCTGTGGCTGGCTTTTTCTGTTCCGGTTCCAGGAGGAGAGGCGGAGCAAGCGTGGTATGATGAAGGTGGAGGCTGCTTTTTTTGACCTGCTTCTATTGTAGAGGTTTGTCAGGGAAAAAGCGTTGCTCGATATGCTGCGGCTGGTTGCGAACAGACATAAAAAATACACCACAAATCGGTGAGGCCCACACTTTCAGCAGGAAAAATATCATCAGTCTGGCGACGCATGCTATTTAAAACCTGAATCTGGGCCCCTTCCAAATTGCTAAAAATGTCACTTTTTTGGAGGTTTCGGTGTTCCAATTTATTTTTGTAGGCTTCCTCTTCTTCATTGTAACATCACCGGGTTGCTCCTGGCCAACACCGCCTTCTTCTTTTTTTGCCTGGTTGTTTTTGCTTAGTCTAGACGCACCGCAAGAGCCCGGCTAAGATAAGACAAGCCACCTGACTGAGCAAACAGTATATATTGAAGGTGCTTTTTGCCGGAGGGCATATTGGAGGGTTGTTTTTCTAGGAAGCCCGAAATAGTTAACTGGAAAGATGCTTGGCTAAGAGGAGGTCCCAACAAGGGATTGGGAGGATATTATACTATCGTGAATTGAACAAAATATAAGGAGAATTGAAAAGGGGAATATAAAACATGGATGCTCTGCTGTTCGATTGATCAGTTTTCTTTGTCTTTCTTCAAAAGATGAAACGTACCTTCCATAATTAACGTCGCTGTCGCTGCCTGTTCTCGAGGAGGTTGGGAAAGATGGCCTCTCGTATACTTGGTCACGCTCTTCGTCGGATTCTTCTATCAATGCCTTGTTCTTCTCAACCCACTGCTCGAAAGCAGAGTTCGACAGTTGACTTGAAACGCCTCGGCTTCGAGAAGAAGACGACGACGAAGCCGCTGCCGCCTCAGACTGTCGAAAGGGGTTGTTGGAAGAAAGTCGGCGGCTAGAATGACTACTTCTAGTGTCTCCGAGATTCTGATTCATGGCCAAGGGTGGGACGAACAACGCAAAGAAATAGCGTACCAGGCTGTAGCGAAAGGATCAAAGATGGGGAAATCACTGATCTTTTTACGTGCTCACTCTTTGACGAGATCTAGACGTCAAAAGCTCTGGTGCGCGCACGCTGACGCGTTGCTGGGTAAAGGCAGGATGCACGGGTCTATGTCTAGTTCCCTATGCCCTATGATCCCGTCCAAGAGCCTTTCAAACACACCACTGCCGCTAATTGTTCAGTTAGACAAAGGCAAAAGTATGAGTCCACTGATCTGCCGAGAACCTTAATTACGGCCAATACCCTGTTTGAGTAATGGCATCTCTAATACTAGCTTCAAGGCTTTCCAATCATCTGAATTTCTCACATGGCCCTAGCAAGCCATTGGGAACTTGAAACCGCCTAGATTCACAAACGTCAATGTTTCATGCCTGCAACTCACAGAAAGGGATTTGCAAGGCGGTGCAGGAAGGATGGAGGTAATAGAACAAGGACGGTATGCCTTATCACTAAAAGCGAGAGAAAAATGAAAAGCCGCGCTAGAATCCTTGAGGCCTTTGTCGCTGCAAGTACAATGGGCTCATTGAAATATAGGGCATAGGGAAAATAGCCAAAACAAGAATAAATATTCTTAAAAGGAGCTCCACGTCCAATCCAGTGGTACGTTGTTGCCCATTGAGCTGCGCCGCCTATCCGTATTATTGTGCACATTGGTAGTAAAATGGGCGGCCTCCTCACTGCCCAAGCTGCTGAAGCTGCTATCTAATGCACCTCCAGGAACGGCACCATCAGTCCCGTTTGAATTGAAGTAAGGGTTTTCGATGAAAGCATACGGCACGGTGACCTCGTCTGCAGCCTTTTCGATCCGCAGATTGAGCGCTTGCACAAGCCTGAGGTAATTGAGGCCACATGATTTGCAGATTTTGCAACTCTTGAACCGTTCACGCATGTTGGCGAAGTTGTTTTGGTCCTGGTTGAGATTAGCGAAGATTGGCACCACCAACCGAGCCTTGGCGTCCATCATTACGCCACTTGCATGTTCAGAGGAATTCAGCGAAGCTGTGATGGACGAGAAAACCGAATAGCCACTGGAGTTCGACGAACTGCTACCAGAGCGCTTGGAAGGGCTATTGGCGGTGCTTGAAGTGGAGTACATCTCCTTGTTCTTGAATAGACAGTTAACGCAGTAAAGAAAACCACAAAAGCGACAATGGTGCCTTCTTTTGCGCTGGGGGCTGAAGAAATTTCCGAAAGCGTCAAAACACTTGGTGCAGTGATCAGAAGAGCTGTTGGGTTTCCAATGATCGTGTGTAGGTTCTATCAAAGTCTCTAAGCAAGCATCCTCGTGAGCTGGCATTTGGAAGGGGTACTCTTTAATCTCTGACTCTGGCGAAGAGGCATCGAGCTCCAGCTGCTCTTCAGGTTGAGGTTCTGGTGCTGGCCGGAGCACTGCTGGTGTACAGAGTGGTTTCTTCAAGCTGTAGACGTGCTGAAGAGAAGGACCTCTGGCATCGACCAAATGACCATTAGTTCTATGTCTAGATGAACGAGCAGCATACTCGCAATGGGCCACACGCTCTGCAGATGTTGTGTTCTCAGAAAGATTGAGTAGAGCCCTTTGGATCTTCAGCAGATCCAGGCGTACAGTCAGCTCAGAGGTCTGGCTATGGTGGGAGGCATGGGACTCACTGGATTCTGACTTCTGCGAAGTTCCGCTTTGCGGCAGCGACTGGCCTGGGAAGTATGCATCAAGAAGCAGCAGCGATGAGTTATGTCTCAAGGGCACCAGGTTACGTCGCGTAGGTGCATTAAGATCGAAAGTGGCTGGCTCGTATGGCTTAGATGGGGGTGAGTCAGAGGAAGTCAATAGATCTGAAGGAACTTCCGGTTGCGGTGAAGCTTTCCCTGGCAGATGAGTGTAGTGGGTCGCCAGGGTCATACGAGGGGCTCTTATTTGCTCGTCATAGTTGATGTTGTTGAGTGAAGGTTTGTTGGTGGGCCCATTCTGGTCTGGGCACTGTTGATGGAGGATGGAGGATATGCCCGAGGAGTTGTAGACGGACTTGATGGGTTTTTTGGAGAAGGAAAAAGGCGGTAGCAGCTCTGGCGTTTCAGCGACAGACTCGACTGTCTGCTCAGACATAAGCTTTGAAGAAAGATACAGAAAAGGATGTGATGATATTACTGATGGAAGATAATCAAGGAACCAGAGATTAGTACTGAGGTCGGGGAGCGTCTGCAGGATAGATGAGAGATGAATCAGGGGCACTGGAGGGGCCAGGGTAGAGTGAAACAGAAGCAGGCTTGGGTATATAGAAGAGACGTGGGGCATTCGGGAATATGACTAAAAGGGGCCGATGATAGGCTCTGGGGGAGCAAGAGGCGAGTACGAGTCATGGAGACACATATCATTGACCCACATGGATTGTTCCTGTATATAGGCCGATGATAAGAAGCAACAGGGAAAAAAAAAAAGGACGATTACCAGTGGGCCCAGGCATCACTAAAAGCGGCCACAAAAATGGCTTGGAATTAGGCCAAAATTTGTGGTGCACGGGTGTACGGTGCCAGATTGAGATACGGCCCTCCAACCATCCAATGAACAAGTAGTAGTAGAATGTTCATGGATGATAGAGCTTCTGGTTATCTCTTCTGCCCAACTTTCCTCCCGACGTCTACACTTGGTTAAAGCAATGGATTTAATAGTACATATATGTTTAGCTCTCTCTAAGCTGCCTAATCTCTCAAGACCACGTAGAAAGCGTGAATGATGGCAGGGAACCAGAAGAAGATACAACAGATAATGTTGATCCAGAATTGGGTGTCAAGACCGACCTTCAAGAAGACAGCCAAAGGAGGCAAGAAAAGCGCTGGCGGTTAGCAAAAAAGTTCAAAGTGTTCAAAAAGTTCCAAAACTCATGGAAACGAAGGGGCCACAAAACCAGGTTGGACCCCGCTCTATTAAAAAATCACATACCCAAAATGCATCCAACAATCTTTTCACTGTTCATGGTATATTAAAAAGCTGTAATTGGGGGAAGAGGTGAAAGGTAGCGGTAGTTGAGGTGTTTTTATTCTCCGGAAAGCGGCTGCCCTGCAGTCACGAAACCCATCCTTTTGTGGCCATCATGAAATGCGAAAAGCTCGGCACGCCGCATTTTTGGGTGCTAACGATGCATAGACTTTATGTTCCGAGCTCTAATTCTGAACGGTCAGGTTTCTTAATTTTTTTATATAGGTTCGGTTTCTCGGCTTCTTCGGAAAAACATGGATTACTCTTGTTTATACTGGTCTTCTGTAGGAGAGTTTTCTTATCGGATGACTTTTTTTCACCGCCACTTGAATTGCACAGCCGGAACCTCTCGGTGCTCGTGACTGGTGCTTTTTCTTTGGTGGGCTAGTGTGGTACGGGTATTGTGTCAAGGCCTCGACACAGTTCGGAGATTTCCATGAGTACCCCTAAAGCGGGTCTGTGGCTTCTATATATTTCCACATTTTAACCGCTGGGATTATGCGGTCGTAAGACCCTTTCATTTGCAGCCATGGCGCGATGCCCTGTCAATCCCTCGGTACGTCTATTACATCTACACTTGTTTCCTTTTGTACAGTTTATTTCAAGCTATTTTTCAGTCAGACATTTACGAAGACAACTTCTTGGATGCCTCGATGTCGTTTTCAAATCTGGCTCTCAGCTGGATGGATCCACGGTTCAACATATCCTCCAAGTCAAGCGAGTATGGAGCCTTGGTCTTGGTAGGGTCGTTGTGGGTCTTGACAACCTTGAAGTAGTTCTCGTACATGTTACCATCGTAGACACCAATGGCAGAGTTCAAGAAACCGTCTGGCTGCTGGAACGAGTCAACCAATGGCACGGCCTGGCCTCTGACCTCCAAACAAGACTCTGGGACGAGCTTGGAAGAAATGGCCAAGGAGAGCTGTGGCTTGACAACAGCGTAAGACACAAAGTCACGAGCAAATGCCTCCAAGACGTTAGTCAAGAGGTACAACTTGGTGACCTTGGACAAGACGTAAGCAATTTCTGGCTTCTGGGCCTTTCTAGTAGCAAGGAAGAGAGTCTCCAACAAGTAGTGGTGGGCGTGCAACTTAGACAACAAGACACGCTCGTAAGAAACAGCATCCCAAGACTCCAACTTCTCCTGCTTCTCAGCAGCAGCAGCGGCAACTCTGACAATCAACACCTCAAGAGCACGGAGAGCCTCAATGGCAGTCAATTGTTCCTCACGCTTCAAGTAGTACTTTCTGTTGAGGTACTCCTTGGCATCGGACAAGTAGGCGGTTGAGCCCTTGATCTTGATATCCTTCTCGAGAATGGTCTGGATGTTCTTGATCAATGTCCGGCCAGCAGACATACCCAACACGTTGTTGTCACCTTCCCAGGTACATTGGACAACCCAGTCGGCGTAGGACTTACCGAAACCGGAGTAAGCAGAGTAACCACTACCACCACAAGCTTGTCTGGTTTCAGTGATACATTGCTCAGCCAACCAGGTAAGGGTAGATTTAAGAGCAGCAGAGTCGACGAAAAGAGACTTGGTGTTGGCCAAGGCGGCGTAAATAGCCTTCTCGTTCTTCTTAGCCACAGCATCGTCCAAGGTCTTGACAGTCTCAGCGTGCTGTCTTTCCAAACGGTCGGTACCAAGACCCATAGCGTAGGTCAAAGCCAAGTATGGCATGATACGACGCTGGTGCAATGGGTAGTTGATCAATTGAGTCTCCTCCTTCTCGTCTTCACGCTGGTCGCTCTTGAATTGACGTCTGCCAACAGCATATCTGGTAGCGATGGTAATGAAACGAGCACAGATACGGTAACTGTCAGAAGCCATACCGACACGGCCCTGCAAAAGAGAAATGTAAGACAATTGTTCCAATGGAGGCAAGTCAACCTTACCGGAACGGTCAACCTTACAGAACTTCTGCAACATGAAGAATCTTGGGATTCTAACCTTGGAGAACTGGATCCAACCGTTGTCGACACCCTCACGGCCCATCTTGGAACCAATGTCACCAATGGCCACACCAGGCATCAACTGGTGTCTAGCATCTCTCAATGGCACGACAAAAGTCTTGACACCGTAGTCCTTACCCTTGATGATCAAACGAGCGTAAGCCACAACGTGAGTAGCAGAGTGAGCAGCACCACCAATCCACCACTTGGTAGCACCAATGTGAGGAGTGTTGATAATGAATTCATCACTCTTTTCATCGAAAGTAGCGGTAGTTTCGACACCAGCGGCGTTGGAACCGTGGCCCAACTCAGTCATACCGAAACAACCCCACAACTGCTTCATATGACGGGACTCCTTCTCAACACACCAGTAGTTGTACTGAGCCTCAGTACCGTTACCACGGATACAGTTAATGAAAAGACCCAAGTTGACAGAAATACGAATACCCAAGGATGGGTCGTAGACAGTCATCAAGTTCAATCTTCTCCAGAAGTCCTCATATGGCTCGTTCTCCACATACTGGGTCATTCTGGCGATTCTGGCAGTGGTCTGCTCTCTGTTCTCATCACGAGAAAGCTCATAGTCGTGGTAACCAGGAGCCAAGATTGGGTCTCTCTCCAAAGACTGGTAAAGCTCCAAGATCTTCTGGGCCTTCTCTGGAGAGCCTTCAATCACAGCGTGCATGTCAACTGGATCAAAAGTAGCATTGGCTCTTTCCTCGGCGATCAGAGTGACAGGATCTGGGCCAGGCGAGGTGCTTACGAGAGATTTGCTTTGGATGACCATGATAAATGTGTTTTTTCCAACTTTCAATTAAGGAGGCTACTTTTTTTTTTTCCGCTGGCCTAATAAACCTTATATAACAGGGGCCTGAAGCCACTGGGGTCCAAGGCGCGCGAAGCGTTTGTGGGGTATCTTCTTTCACAGGATGGGGATACGTTCCGTGGAAAAGCTCGACAGCGAAAAACACCAAAAGGGCAGGAGCCGGTGGGTTTGATCAGGCGATCTGTTTGGTTAGTATGGGGGTTCGTTTAGGAAAGGTAATTAATTGGTAGGCCCATTGTTTGGAATTTGTTTGGTTCTTTTTTTTCCCCTTTCTTTCCTGGCTGGTTTATGGAGGGGTCCAGTCTGGGGCCAGTCTGGGCATTCTACTTATGGCTGCAACCGCTTAGGTATTCTTACTCCTCTGTGTATTTTATTCAGGCCATCCCATTCGGTCCGTAGGCTCTACGTTGGTTTATGTACTGGTTCTTTGTAAATTTCATTAATGCTTTAATTGAAGATGTTCTTGTCCTTGGTGGTTATCGGTATACTCCTGAACCGAATGCGCTCAGGGAGGGCGCTAATAACGTCTCTGCTTGTGCGTTTGTGCCCTCGTGCCCGGTTCTACTTACCATACACTTTATCCACGGCATTGAAGCAACGACGCCATCGACTCTAAACAATTTTTCAAACAAAGGCTTATCGGTAATTTAGTCAGATCAGTGCCTGAGATCGTCTAAACAATGGCTGCGAAAAGCCTTCTACACGTAGATAACGTAATGACATGAATTGGTAAACGGGTCTACATAACTTATTTGGACAAGACAGAGGCAGCTGCAGCACTCTTGTCGCCTCTCTCTCTCTCTTCAACGGAACCTCTGCCCAAAGCAGCCTCGAAAGCAGCACTGTATGGGGCCTTGGTGTTCTCTGGTGGGTTGCTCTTCTTGACAGTGTCAAAGTAGTTCTCGTAGATGTTACCATCGTAACGAGCAATTGGAGCGTTGATGAAGGTGTCAGAGTACATGAAGGAGTCGGTGAAAGCAACCACGTTTGGTCTGATCTGCTTACACAACTCTGGGATCTTCTTGTTGACAACCTCATTGAGCACAGCTGGTGGGACAATGTTGTTACCCAAGAAGTCACCACCGAACTTCTCAATGACAAAGCTGGCAGCATGCAACTGGCCCAACAAGGTCAAGTGAGAGTTCAATTCCTTGTGCTCGTTACCTTCGATTCTTCTGTAGAATTCGTGCAAGTGGTAGTAGTGAGCGTGCAACTTAGAAAGAACCAAAGATGGAGCTCCGACAGCGTCGAAGTTACCGTTGTTCTCCTTCAACACGTCAGCACCGTTGAGGGCAACTCTGGTCATCAAGACCTGAATAGCCTTCAAGGTGTTCTGTGGCTGGAGCAACTCCTCGGCGCTGTTGAACACGAGCTTCTCGTTAGCCCACTGCTTGGCATCGTTCAAGAAAGCAACGGCACCCTTCTGCTTCTTACCAGACTCCAAAACCTCAACGGCGGATCTGATCAATGGCTTACCAACGGACATGGCCAAGATAGAGTTGTCACCTTCCCAGGTACACTGGACGACCCAGTCAGAGTAACCCTTACCGAAACCGTTGTAAGAAGAGTAACCAAGACCACCACAGGCCTGTCTGCACTGGTCAATAGCGTCAGCACACAACCAGGTGGAAGTAGACTTCAAGGCAGCAGAGTCGATAAACAAAGATTTCATCTCGTTGACAGACTTCATAATCTTGCCCATGTCGTTGGCGGCAACAGCAGCGTCCAAGGTGTCCAAGGTGTGCTTGATGGTGTGCTCCAACTTCCAAGAACCGGCACTGAAAACGTAAGCCTGGGCCAAGAAAGGAATCAATCTTCTCTGGTGCAATGGGTAGTTAAGCAACTGAGTCTCGGTGCCGTCGCCCTGCGAGGCAGACTTGAATTGTCTTCTACCGATAGCGAATCTGAGAGCAATGGTGGCGAAACGGGCAGTCCATCTGAAAGAGTCCATGACCATGGAAACTCTACCACCGAGCAAAGCAGAGTAAGCCAACTGCTCCAATGGAGGCAAGTCAACCTTACCTTCACGGCTGACCTTACAGAACTTCTGCAACATGAAGAATCTTGGGACTCTGACAGAAGAGAACTGGATCCAGCCATTGTCAATACCGTCTCTGCCCATCTTGGCACCAATGTCACCAACGGTAACACCTGGCATAACGTTGTGGTTGGAGTCTCTCAATGGGACAACGAAGGTCTTGACACCGTAGTCCTTACCGTCAACAATCAATCTGGCGTAGACAGAACAGTGAGTAGCAGAGTGGGCAGCACCACCAATCCACCACTTGGTAGCACCAATGTGAGGGGTGTTGATGATGAACTCATCGGTGTTCTTGTCGAAAGTAGCGGTGGTCTCAACACCAGCAACGTTGGAACCGTGAGCCAATTCGGTCATACCGAAACAACCGTACAAGCCCTTCAACTGGCCAGTCTCCTTTTTCTTGGCCCAGTATTCCAACTGTTCAAAAGTACCGTTACCACGGATACAGCCTAAGAACAAACCCAAGTTGACACCGATACGGGTACCGGTCTGGGGGTCGAGAACAGACAAAAGGGACATTCTGGTGGCCCAGGTTTGCTCGTCCTCAATCTCAATGTACTGAGCCATACGGGCGATTCTGGTAGCAGTGTTTTCTCTCTGCTGCTCCTTGGTCAAGTCGTAGTACTTACCGCCAGTGGTCAAGGTAGCATCTCTGTCGAAAGACTGGACAAGTCTCTTGAACAAACGGGACTTTTCAGCAGTCTCCTCCAAGAAGACATGCATCTTGTTAGGGTCAAACTGGCCCTGGGCTCTCTCAGCAGCGAGCAAAGCCTTTGGGTTTGGGGCCGGGGTGGAGTCCACGAACCCGGAAACCTGGTTATCAGTATCAGCCATATTTGTTTGTTTTGAAGTGTAAGTGGTTGATGAGGAAAAGTGAAAAAAAAAAGCCTGACGCACTATGGCCTCTTTATATATGGTGGGGGGGGAGAGAGAGAGAGGGAGGGACAAGGCCCCCCAGGAATTGCCGGGGTACCGAGGGGGTGCAGGTTTGTGGAGAAGCGAGTAAATCGAGAGAGGATCCGAGGGCCCTTGGACCGAGGGCCAGAGGGAAAAAAGCACGAATTTACCGTAGTATACTTCCAGAAACGCTGCGCAAAAAAAGACGTCAATAACCATTCTCGCATATGAGCGTTCATTTTCATCTGCCTGGTTTCTACTGGTCAGGCTGTTTTGGTTTTGAGTGGCGTCATTTTCTTTACCTCTACATGATCATTTGGATTGAAGTTGGCTTTCTCTTTGGTAACTGTTACTGCCGCTGCCGACCGCGAATAGACCCAGCCTTTTTTCACTACTTCACTTGGATCTGTATTTTTCCACCATTTTTCCCCTCTGCCCTGTCAAAACGGGGTTAGTCCCGTTCTTTGTCCATTAGATCCTTCAGGCCTTGTTCCTTGTTGGACATTCTTGTTACTCGTCTGGAGGCCCACTTCTCCTGGAGACGGACGGACTTTGCTTATATCCGCCCCCTTTCATTCTTTGATTTAGCGGAGAACCATAATCGACAAGGTTTCTTATGGCCTACATCGGCATGAGAAATTGAACTCTTGGATATTTTTTTTTTTTTTTTTTTTTGCATTCGCTTCTCTATACTAAATCATGCCACTTGTCGGGTCGCCGGCGCTACATGGTGCGATTTTTCGTGATATCTTTTTCCTTAACTATGTACATTGGGTTAGATCTGAGGAACCAAGACGTCCATCAATGGAGACTGGATGAACCAGACACCGGCAGCAAAGGCAGCGGCGTGGAGACCGATCTTGAAAAAAGGAGACTCCTTGATTTGCTCGTACGACGACGTAGAAGGTGGGTTTCTGGACGACATGTTTGTGGAAGAAAGGGCTCTTTCTAGATGAGAAAAGTTTGTTGCTCACTTGAAAATTCTGGAGCGAAAAGTCACGTGACGCGATCACCCACTTATACTCTCTGCCTCCCTCCCTCCCTACCCAAGCATGTCACGCCATTTCTCCCTCGGTATCTATGGATAAGCTTTAAGGGTAGTTTTTTCTTGGTACGTCATTCTTGAATCATTTTGAGTCGTCCATCGTTCGATTCGTATTTTGTGACGTGTATTTGTGGGGTAAAATGGTTGTTTTACAGTAGTCGTATCTTTCGCACCCATACCACCATTTTGCAACCGTGGGTAGGAATCTCCAAGGATATGTGAATGGTGGACCAAGAAAAAAAAAAAAAAAAAGAGGTGATGAACTCTAACTTATGTTCTTCGAGTGTGAATATTCATCAAGTTTGATCCTCTGTTTCTGTTGATGTTCACAATGGCATTGTGAATGTAGAGAAGGTTTGAAAGCCTGGTCGTTCCAACGCTCTGACGTAATGAGTAGCACCGATAGAACCCCACAAACGATAAAATCTATGTTTTGAATTTAGAATAAAGGCGGAGCCGTGGAATGCACTTTTTATGCTTTTGATACGATTTTTTCTTATGCACTTTGGCAGATGGGATGGTTCATTCTTGGAGTGTGCGAGGAAAAGGTAATACACTAAAGGCACCACATATCATTCCCGGCTTGAAATTAACCTCCAGAGACACTGAACTTCAGGTCAGTATAGAAATTCATTTATTTACCTAATTCTTCGTCAAACATGGTATTATCCAACAGGTAGTGGGTCCCACCGTTGATATCCTGCCTACACCTGCAGGCTCATCACATCTTGACTTGTAGTATTCACAGCCTTCACGTCAACCATGACAAACGCCACCCCAGTCACTGCTGAAAACACTTTCTCGTTAGCTGGTAAGCAGCTTAAGCTTGACACAGCCAAAAGTATCGAATCTTACTTGGGCGACTTGGCCGCTCAGAAGAATGTGGTGAAGATCGATTTCAGTGGAAACACCATTGGTATCGACGCCTCTGAGGCATTGGCCAAGGCCATTTTGAAGCATAGCGAGACTATCGAGGAGATTAACTTCTCTGACTTGTACACTGGAAGATTGAACACCGAGATTCCTCAGTCCTTGGATCACTTGTTGAATGCTTTGTTGGAGTGTCCAAACTTGACCACCATCAACTTGAGTGACAATGCATTCGGTTTGCAAGCTATTGAGCCTATTGAGGCCTGGTTGGCCAAGGCCGTGTCTGTTGAGCACTTGATTTTGTCCAACAACGGTATGGGTCCTTTCGCTGGTGCCAGAATCGGTAAGTCCTTGTTCAAGTTGGCTCAGGCCAAGAAGACCAAGGGTAGAAACTCCTTGAAGACTTTTGTCTGCGGTAGAAACCGTTTGGAGAATGGTTCTATTAACTACTTGGCTATCGGTTTGAGAGCTCACAAGGATTTGGAGGCCGTCAGATTGTACCAGAACGGTATCAGACCTGCTGGTATCTCCAAATTGCTCTTGCAAGGCTTGTCTCACAACTCCAAGTTGAAGGTTCTTGATTTGCAAGATAACACAATCACCACATCTGCTGCTGTCGGTTTGGCAACTGCTCTTAAGTCATGGCCAGAATTGGTCGAGTTGAACTTGAATGACTGTTTGTTGAAGCCAAAGGGATCTCTCTTGTTGGTTGACAGACTTCATGAGGGTGACAAGAGACCTTCTTTTGAGAAGTTGAAGTTGCAGTACAACGAGTTGGAGGTTGATGCATTGGAGAAGCTCGTGAAGGTGGTCGACGAGAAGTTGCCAAACTTGAAGTTGTTGGAGTTGAACGGTAACAGATTTGAAGAGGAGTCCGAGCTTGTCGATGCTATCACGGCGATCTTCGAGAAGAGAGGCTCAGGTGAGCTTGATGAATTGGATGACTTGGAGGAGCCTGATAGCGAGGAGGAAGATGACGATGATGAGGAAGATCCAGTTGCCAATGAAGACGACGATGCAGATTTGAACCAACTCGAAAAGGAGTTGGCTGGTGTCAGCGTCGAGGATGCCGACAAAAATGTCGATGATCTTGCCGACGAGTTGGCTTCTACGCATATTAGAAATTAAATATATTAGTTAGCTGTCATAAATAATGTAAAGGAGGAATAATTAAGAAATTAGGAAGCAGCCTTAGCGATATTAACAGGAAGTTTGAATTCAAGGCATTGGTTCCCAGTAAAACGAATGACAAAACGAAAGTAGTAAAGTCTCGACATGAGACAGGTTTGGAAACTTGGAACCAAGGTAAATTCATCATAGGCTTTATAGTTCTTCCCCACACCGCTACTGTCCGTCAGCATCTTTTGAGCTTTGCTTACGTCAACGGCAAGTGAGAACTTCTTCTTAAACAGTGTGCCATCCAGCTTGTACCATGGAATCTTAATACCCTCCTTGCAAGTCTCGGTATTGCCGCCTTCATCCACCGTTTTGAGGTCATGGAGCACCAACCGGTTATATTTCTCTTCCACCTTAGACATGGCGGCAAGATCCTCGATCATACTTTTCTGTACCCGGAAGTTGTCCACACCTAAGGTTTTAAACAAGTGGTAGATCTCGTTGGCGTATTGCTGCATTGGACGCTTCACGATATGAGTGAAATCATCGATGGACTGTCTGCCATCTTCGGTTTTCGAAATATTCTTGAAAAGGAAATCATGATTTAACTCGATGGGGATGGGACGGTTATTGGATTTGAGAGTAAACACGATCAATTCACCAAACACCGAAAGAATCTCTGGCGGTTTCATATTAGGATCTTGGTTGTTGGCGCATGGAGAATAAGTAAGCTCAATAGGGATCTCCACCTTCCAGGATGAGGGATCTGTTGGACATCTGGTTCTGAATCGTTCTGGGGAGATATAGCTAAGAAGGTAGTCAATCTTTGGAGTGGAAAGCATGATTGAGCCCTGTTCTTTTGGCCTGCCAAAAATGGGCTTCTTGCGAAATGGAATTGCAATGTCGTATGCTTTTGGAACTTGGTAGTTTACTTTGACGTCCCGAGCACTTGATGAACGATTGAATAGTTGTCGATACTTGGTTGCGTCACCGTGGTTCTCGTTGCGAACTGCTTCTTCTGCTGCAATACGATGTGATATATCAATTGCATCAGATTTGTTATCCAACTTCTTAATGGCTTTGCATAACTCGTTTCCCACGGCGATACGTTCCTTGATCTGACTAACAAAGCTGTTGTACATGACTCTGGAAGTCTCATTGTTGGTCTCCTTCTCTTTGTCACTGGGAATGTTGGTTTCTTGGAGGATACGAATAAATGAACCCTCTTCTTTCAAAATGACGAACTCATCACCACTGGCGTTTATCAACTTAAATCCCTTGGCATCTGTTTGTATAGCATCATACTTTGACGCTTTACCAATAAATCTCGCCCATAAACCGTGACTAATAGAAGTGTCAATGAACGAAAAGTCATTGATCATGTTCTCAGATTTATTCCACTGCTCTTTCTCAGTCTGACAAAGCCCTAGCGTAGGTGGGAGCTCTGTGTGGCCCGGTAGGTTGTGGTCGTTACATTCCGAGTCCAAAAGACGGACAGGAATTCTGAAGGTGAAGAAACGCTTGTAAAGAATACCAGGGTACACCATCTTTTCAGGACCAATGGCCAAGTGAGACTTGTCCAATGGATCAATAAGGTGAGGACAGTAGTAAGTATCGTCTTTTTCCGAAAGCAACCGGTTGACAGATGCTGGGTTCCACGAAGCAGCGAAATCATACATCTCCAAGAACCTTCTGATCTTCACGGGCCGTTTTGCCTTGACATTCTTCGAGTCTTGCACAATAAAGTTTCCATCGAAGTTGACATAAAACATATCGAACGGAATTGGTTTCGTGCCTTCATTCTTGATATAAATAAATCCATTCAAGTAATCGCCTTGCTTATACTCATATATGGAAGGGTCAATGATCTCAGGTTTGACACCTCTTTCGCCAACATCTTTCGTAAAGTGGATAGACAATTTCACCGCCTGGGCCATTTCATTTTTGGTGCCAGTCAAATTACGCAAATGGGTATAGTTATCCAAAATTGTCTCTCTCCAAGAACTGCTCAGCTCATCAGCCACAATGAAACTACCTTCTCCCAGTGAAACCAGAGCGGAACCGGAACTGGGGTGGCCATCGCTGTTATGAGATACACTGGTAGGTTCCGTGTTCAATTCGCTTGAAATATGCGATGAAATTACCCGACTGGCATTATCAGACTCTCCACAAGAAGAACCAGGAGCATTCACAGGGTCTTCAGTATACATCGGAGGGTCCAGCTCTCCGGTAAACGTGGAGTGATACATGTAGTAGGAAGGTAAGATGGTCCAGATTGGATCATGAGGTTTACACATTGGCCTCGGGGGCCCTTCATATTCGTCGTTTTTAGGCATACTTCCACAGTTAGAACTCACCCAAAAAGTCAAAGACCTAAGCGTCTCAGCTTTCCATGGCCTTTATATGTGTTGCAGCCATTAATAAGCCCTGCCTATGACTCAAAGCTGTAGTGCAGGGGACCCGCGAAGGCTGCCTTGTTGGCTGCAACCGCACAAGGAAACGGTGGAGAAAAAAATGGCCAGTGCTGGGTCTTATCGCTCGTAACTTAAAGCCAAGGCTTCCACACCATGGCAAGGCGCTTCCTGTTAATGCTGGAACTGAAATAATTATCACCCTCCAGTTCCGTTCGTAAACCAACCCACGCTCCCATTCGGGCCATTTCCGCACCCAAAAACATACGAACCGCACCCAAACGGCTCTAAGCTGGAACGTTCTAATATCTTCTGTACCCGTTTCCGTCTCGTAAGCTATGCACATTCTTTTTTTGCACATTTTTATGCTTTCTCGCAGCCGACTCCCCGCCGATTGAAGATTGTCTTCTTTTTCATTCTAAATCATCCATTCCGTATCCGGCACCGTCACGGGTTTTGGCTTCTACCGCCCGTATTTCTTAAGCTCCCAGAATCTAGCCCAGGGATACACAAATCCACTGAAGCCCATACAAAGCCACATGGCTATGTCACCTCCTTCGTCACCACCAACTTTCCGCGCCAACGGCCCTATCCAGTATGCTTGCGACATACCCACTGCGGCGCCAGCGGCTCCACATAAGAACGAGATGGTAGCTGCCAAACCTTGGGTGAGTCTGTTGTAGTCGTTCCAAATGGCGAAGTTGTAGAATTGGTTAGGGCGTTTCTTGTAGAGGGCCGAGGGGCCTTCTTCTTTATCGATTACTTCGTTCTCCTTGACGTATAAGTGGTGGAAATAACGGCTGCGAAAAATCGTATTCTCTTCAAGTAACATGACAAAATACATCAGAATCCAGTATCCGACCATAGGTAAGAAATTGCCGAGAATATCCGAAAACTTGTTTCTTCCCACAATTGCACATACCAAGTAAATGGCCGTAAGGATAATGGCCCACATCCAACGTGGGATCTTTGCCAAGGGGATACCAATAAGCTGGACGCCAAAGGCCGCCAGGTATGTGTTAAGAATATTGTTGGAAATAAGCGAAAGAAAGATAAGCACAAGCAAAAACTTTCCCCCACCGCCCCATGCTTTGAACGCTTCGTTGAGAAGCCCTCCCATACCCATTTTCTCGTATGCTTCAGCCCATGGACCATAGGTGAGTGCAACGTTACCAATCAAAATAGCTGCTGTACCGACAAACGTAGTAGGCACCCAGATACCAAAAAATGTAAGGGCAAAGATCTGGATGTCTGGAGTGTCCTCGGGGAATAAAATGTAGTAGTCCGATGCAATCGAGCCCCAAGTAGATGTGATAGAGAAACACAACGAAAAGAACGAAAACATGTTACCCTTGACTGTAGCGGCATCAACAATAGGTGCATCATCGTTCAGAAGATATTCAAATTTCTTGGACGACACCACATACAACATAAGGAAAGCAAAGTTCACTGGCAAACTGAGGAACGCTTCCACTCTAAGCAAATAGTGAATACCACCAATGGACACCAAAAGCGACACACTAGCAATGATAATAATGGCAGCAATAAGAGGAACCTTGCCGTCGCTCATAGACGAAAGGATTTGACCTCCCACCACACAGTTCACCACCGACCAGCCCATCACACCAATGATACTGACCAAACACACAAGTTTCACAGACCACCATCCAAACAAAAATCTAGCGCTGACCATCTGTCTACATCCAGATCTAGGCCCCATAAGAGAACAGTAGGCGGCCACTAAGCATCCCACAGTCATGCCTACTAACCCAGTGATGGCAGTATTCTTCAATCCCAAACCGAAAAGTAACGGCCCCAAATAAAAGGACGACATCGAGGACAAACCTCCACAGGCCGAGAGCCAAAGACCCATCACCGTGATAAACTGCTTTTTCTTATTGACAGCTCTTTCGTACGGCTGAATCCTCTCGATGCCTCGGGATTCCACTCCGAATGAGTCGAGCTTATCAGAAAAGCGCTTGAACAAGCCATAAGCACGTAACTCGTCTGTGGCCTCCAGACCAGTATCCAACGTCTTTTCTTCGACGATGTTATCTTTCTTCATGAGGAAAAGTGGTGTGGCTTATGGGGGAACTGGCGGTTATATTCTGGTGAAAGATCTGGTCCACAATTTGACTCTGCAGGCCGCCTTGACTGCGATGACTGCGAATGGCACCAACCGGCCACCGGTCGTATGACTCAAAGGTAAGAGAAATGGGGTAAGTGCTACCTTAGTTTTGGCTTTACAAGTGGTGTTTTGTATTTGGAGTTCGCTGGGTGTGTGGCTCACCTCGTTCATACTACATGCTCAGTGTTGTTGAGTCATCTCATGATATGTACCTGATGACTGATCTATGCTGTTCCTATGTTCTTTCTTGCTTTTTGAATATGAAGACTACTTCTTGAGCAACGCATCTAGCGAGTCCTCGTCGAACATGTTGCTTCCTGACTGTAGCGCTTTGGCCAACATCACCACAGACTTGTCTGTGAAGTCTGGTTTCTTTCGAAGTTCGTCAATGTCGTTAGCGAAAGAGGTTGCCATAAGGCCCAAGTACTCGTTTTCAAGTTGCTGTTTGTCTTTATTCAATGTCTGTTGTGCTTCAGCCAGGGACTGGTTCTCTAACGAGGTGAACTTGATGCTCTTGACTTTATCCAGCACTTCCTTGGAAAGCGGCTCGTTCTGAGCTTGTGTCTCTGCTTCTTCATTTTCGGAATCGACATCCACGTCATTTATATCAATGCTTTTAGCTGGTTGTGATGCTGGTTGTGTGGGTTCTTCTTGGGCTTCAGTAGGAGCCTCATCGTTCGATGAGGAGGAGGAAGAATCAGAGTCAGAATCAGAAGAAAAGTCCTCTGTTCTTCTCTTCTTCCTTCTTCTGTTTTTCACTTTCTTATCGTTTATTGGCGGCGCCATTATTTCAGAGAATAGCCCTTGTTGTATGTTTCGCGATGAGGTAGGTGATGATGTTCCTCACATATATATCCAACTCGCGCGGTTTAACCTCTACTATACAATTATGTACCACCGAGCATTCTCAGTCTTTCTTGGGCTTCTTGGACTCAGATTCATCGGGCTTAGCTTTTCTCTTCTTAACCATGGAGGATAGATCGTTCACAGCAGGTTTCTTCTTTACCATATTCGTGAGGTCTTGAACAGCCTTGGCTGCACCAGAGCTAGAACCCTCAGTTGCACCGCTCACGGCCTCTCCCATTATACCTTTGATGATATCCATCTGTTGAGCCTGAAGATCAGCCTTAGGGCTCTTCTTGAGCTCCTTATATCTTTCTTCCATATCGCGTAACAAGTTCTCATTGTCCTTTTTCTTTTCTTCGTCGGTTTCCTTCGAGTTACGCAGTTTAACACTGTCAATTGCAAGTCTCATTTGTTCAGTGGCCTGCTCTCTCAGGTCATCAGCAAGGCTGAACTCAAGAGCCAAGGAGAGCTTGTAGTGACATTCAGAAATCAAGCCACTTTCATTAGGGTAAAGCTTTTGGCGCAATTCAAGACAGCTCTGCAAGTCAGTAGCAGCTTGGGCAAAGTTCTCTGCTTCCAAAGAAACCTCACCTAGAAGGTCATAAACCTCAGACAATTTCTTGGCTGTGCTGACGTATTCAGACGAAGGGGTTTCATCGGCGTCCTTCAAGTAAGGCGTTTCAAGACCCTCAGAGGACTGTTCTTGAAGCTTATTATCGAAAAGAGATCTCGTGAGCTCGAGAATCTCCCATGCAACTTCGAAATCAGATTGGTCTGGGCCAGCTTCCTCTTGTTCCTCACCTTGTTCCGGTTCTTCGTTTTCTTCAGGCTGCTCTTCCTCCTGTTCCTCCTCCTTAGCATTCTCATCATCATCCACCTCAGGAGCAATTCCGTCCTCAAAGTGAAAGTTACCATCATCCTGGTTCTCCTCGGTCTCTTTATCTTCCTGATTCTCCTCCTCGTTTTCTCCAATACCACCTAACATTCCTGATCTCGAGACAGCGCTCTGGAAGAGAGCCTTACCATACAAGAGAAGCAAGTCAGCGTCGTCCTCACCGTGCTCTTCATTATAAGCAGCGCAGGCATCAGCATACTTGGTAGCAGCTTCGTCATATTGCTTGATAGCATATAACTTGGCACCCTCAGCAATTGCCAGGGAGATCGTCTCTGAATAAGCCATAGTTACTGAACGCGTTCAATGTATGTTGGTGGTTCGCGCGTTCAAGTGGTACCCCAAGGCCTCACTGCCAGACAGGAGATGGACACAAAGATTGGATATTAGAAGAGCATTTGATATAAAAAGAGTATTTGGGTCTTTAAGGTTGAAGAATTGAAGGAAAAGTCCAAAAATTCGGGTTTATGGGGTTTCTGGAATTATGAAGTCCAGGGTGTTAATTGCACTCCTCGGCTCATAGTGGCTGTAGTGCCGAGATGGCTGTCTACCAAGAATCACAGTTAAAAAGTTAGGATCTTACAAAATATTAGGAGAGGAAAATGACAGTAAGAAGCTCAAGTAGTTAAGCTTTAATATGTCATTTCCTTGTCATTTTTTTCTTGGTGTGTGGTTGTATGGGAAGTACGAGAGCTAAAAGATCTCAGTAGGTTACACTAAACAGTTTTACGAGCAAAAACGCACCGAGATGAGTTCAAAGGTAGGCGGTAGAATCAGCGAAGAGTTATTTCATAAGGGCACGTCATTTATTTTACTTTCCAATTTTTTCTTTATTATTCCTCTCTTTTTGATCTTCTCTGGAACCTCTGTTTTGATTTGCAACCATGCGAAGGTGCATCAGTATGCATAAGTATAGGTGAACGTTATAAGCTAACAACACCACAGTTCTTCAGCTAAACAAAAACGAGGCGATCACTTTTCGCTTACTTTCCTTCGCCAAGCTGAATTTGACGAATTAAACTTCAAAACCGTTGTGGCGTTTAACGTTTTCGTCCCAGCCGCACGTGACCAAGTCACCTATTGGGGGACTATTTCTCTCGCTTGACTCTATCAAGCAGAAACATCTCCAGCCTTACTGGAAGAGTGCCCACACCCACTCCCCACATTCTTTAGATCATGGCTTCACAAACGCCTTCGAAGAAGTCGCTCAGGAGGAAACCACCTCCACCAATGGAGGACCCTCTCCCACCTCCGGGCATTGTCTCTGGAGCAACTGGATCTCCACACTCCAACAGTTCAGTCAACTTCAATCATCCCATGTCCATGGCTTCACCACCTCTACCGCCCCGAGAGTTACCAAAACCAATAATAACAACACTGTATGAGGATGATTCCTTTGAAGTTAATGAAGATTCCATTCTTTCGTATGAAAGCGCTAGACCCATGGGACCTAAACAACTACCGATGGACCATAGCATTACCTCCAACGAAACGATCAACGGCTACGATAGTGAACTCGCTCCTTCTTCAGCCCAGCCTTCTACCGGAGATGACGTTTTTCTGGCATCACCGGGAACTCACACTAGTTTTCCGACATCACCAAGCCAATCAACACCTACAGAACAGTCCCAATCGCAAAGCTCACGTCGCAAATCCTTCCCGAAACGAAAGTTTCAGAATCTACTGCAAGGTGGCCTATCTCCATTCAATTCAAATGATTATTCAGATAATATCAAACTCGAACAGGAGCAAATGGCTTCCTTGAATATTCCTCCTAGACCAAAGGGCTCCGTCGCAGGTCCCGATCCAATGCCTTCGCCTCCCTATCCAGTAGACAATAATGTGCTTTTTGACCTGGATGACAATCAAAGCATTTACAACCCATACACCGACCAAAGCCCTAATACCCCATTCCGCATTCCCACCTTGGTCGGTAATAATTTACTGCCTACCTTGCCAAATAAGCTTGAGTATTCTCCAACATCCCCATCCTTTTCAAGCGATGCTTATCATAGCACACCCCCAATTGGGGGTAGATCTCCACAGCATGAATCTCGTTTTGCCATGTATGATCTGCCCTCTAGTTCCCCAAAGAGGTCCCCAACTACACCCTCGAGACCCAGATCCAGCTACTTTTATGACAATAGCCGATCACCTTCTCCAACGAAAAGTCCAGACAGATCCACTTGGGATCATTCATTCCAACAAGATTCGTCTTTTGACGAAGGAAACGATTCACCCGAGGAACGTATTCCTCGTTGGAGCTTACTTGAGGCAGAACAATCCGATTACTATGATGATATGGATCACGAGTATCCCGCTCCAACTAAATTCGACTATTCTATTCTTCCAGAGCTTCCGTCAGCCAACGACACCACAAAGCTATACCAAACTGAAGACCCTGATGCTTCTTTCTCGGGCGAGCCAACAGCAAAACTTCCACAGAGCTCGCTTACCATTTCGAGAAAGCATGACTCCTTGCCACCTGTACCACTTGATCTACCACGCCTACCGTTTTCTTCATCGTCATTGAATGCGCAACACTTCGCAGCATGTGGGAATATTTGGTCTTTGAAGGAAGTGCTTGAGTGGTGTCGTAAGCTCAAATGCTGGTTACATGACTCTCCCATCTCGAATGAAGAATTGAAGAAAGCTCTTATAAAACTTCTTGTGTTCCATAAAAGAAGTCTCCCAGTTGATATCATCAACAGGAATGTCAATGCCATGCTTGATTCTCTTGTGAAAACAAATGCAATAACGTTGGATGATTCGCCCGATGAAGCAGCTAAAGAGCCTACTTCAATCTCAATTGATGATCATGCAGAGGTAAGCGCTGTCTTCCCGGAGTTGACAGACTGTTACGGCTTCTATAGAGATCATCAGACTGAGGAAAAGACTGATAATCTTCTTTCGTGCTATTCCTCAAAGTGTGAAATCAACAGATGGATTGAACAAAAGCACAAGTTAGAGACAACAAAGATTGAAGATATAGAACTAGGAGCTGATTGGGCGAGTCATTGGCAACTTGCTGCGGATGACATGGATCTCGACTCTGCAGTTACCAAACGCCAATCATTTTTGTTTGATTTGATAAAATTTGAACAAAAATTCATTCAAAGAGCTGAATGTTTTGTGAATATTGTTGGGCCAGATTTCATTAGGACGGCAACAGCAGCAGCTGGTTCTTCAATCGTAACTTCGCATAAAAAATTCAGAGAGGATGTCTTGACTTCAGCAAAGGATTTACTCGAAGTTCATAAGTCAGTACTTATGGAACCCCTCCTCAAATTGCTTTTGGCAGAAGGAAGAATCATAAGCGATGTTGTGAGCATAGCAAAGTTTTACAGAACGTGGTCCAAGGCATCTACGGAAGGGTTGTTGCGCTATATGAGCGTTGTTCCTATGATTGAAGATATACTCCAAAATGAATATCTCAAAAGATGGGATGAAAACTTGAGGACTAATGCGACTGTGAAGGACTTAAAAGTCAACGGAAATATGCTCTTATTGAGTACTTTCAACTCCAGGTATCAACAACTCCCCTTGCAGCTTTCGGATATTCGTAAAACCTTTAAAGAGAATGATCCAGCACATGCTGAAATTACGAAAACGATCGAAAGCATAAAGAAGCTAGGGAGTAAAGTTAACGCAATGAAAGTTCACGCTGACAACATTCACGCACTTAGGCGGATTGAAAAGCAATTGACATGGAAGTCTAGTGTTATACAGCCAAATCTCAATCTTCAGTCTAAACTGCGGAAGTTTTTCTTTCGTGGTAACCTTAACAGAAAAGGTGACTTGAAGATAAACACTCACGCTGTCCATGTCATTGTGCTTGACAACTATATTCTTTTGACGGAGAAGTCAAAGGGGCCACGTTCTGCTAATTACAAGGTGGTGGAGAACCCAATTCCACTTGACTTTGTTATTCTTGAGAATCGTGAGCGTGAGGTCGGGACACTTGCCACTATTACAACCCCAATACTGGGTACAACTGTGAACAACAATAAAGATGTTGAGAACGATGACTCTGATGAATCTACCTTTCCTTTCAAGATTCGCTACGCTGGTCGTGGCAAGAGTCAAGCATATACATTTTATGCTACAAGTGAGAGCGAGAAGGAGAAGTGGTTTACGGGTATCCTTCAAGCCCGTTCTAATCTTTTAAAGAAAGTTAAACCATTGGCTCCATACAATGTTGAAGGAACCGAATGTGCTTACTTTGCTTATGACTACGGTGACCGTATGATGAAGCTTCCAATGTGTCCTTCAAATGATCCCTTGCAAATTATTTCCAAAGAGACGAGCTTGCTCTTGAAGCAACGTGGTGTCAGTTCTGATTTGTATTCTCCGAACAATACTCATGACTCACTTGTCTCAGGAAAGGTCAAATGCTCTGAAACATTCACCTACAAGGAGGTTTCCTTCCACTTGGTTGGTTTGAGCGCCGGCCTTTACTGCTCAGATTTGAAGAATCGTTGGAAGCGGATGCTCAATGCAACAAACGTTACGAAGATCACAGTTCTCCCTGCTTTTAACGTGCTCGTGGTTTTAGCTAACAAGACCTTGAAATACTATTCTCTCCCGCAGTTTGTGGATGTTTACTTTGAGAGAAAGGAAACCCTCTCTTCCACGATGCTTTCCAACGATCAAATTCAATTCTACGAGATTGGCCGCCATAGAGGAGTACCTACCCTTTTCTTAGCCAAGAAGAAGAATGCTGGTGTTACGAACTTCAAGGTTTTCACGGTTGAAACTGACAATAATGGAATTTTCAGCTCCTTCTTCTTGATCAAGCGTTTCTACATCCAGGCTGAATGCTACGGGTTGTCGATTTTCAACACCACGATTGCCGTTCATACGCAAAGGGGATTCGAAGTGTTAGACTTGCAAAGACTCCAGCCTCGAACCGTTCCTGAGCTTCCAACCCAAGATGCGTCAACTAAGAAGATCGACGTCTACAGCAGAAAGGGCCTCTTACAAGGAAGCGAAGGGATCAGGAGGGCGCTTGCTCACAATAGCATTAAGCCAATGGGTATGTTTAAGCTTAACAATAACAAGGAGTTCTTGTTGGTGTACAATGAGTGTGCAATATTTGTGAACAAATCGGGAAAACTCTCACGCAATACAATGGTGAAGTTTGATTTCAGACCCAAGGGCACAGCTTTCCACGATAATGAGCTATTTATCGTAAATGAGGAGGTGGTCGAAATTTGGTCAATCAGCGACCAAGCAAACGGCTCAAATATGCTTCACCAAGTAATTTCGGGTAAAGATATTTCCGTGATTAATACCGAAAGTATGTGTTTCGTCTCGGCAAATCCACGGAAAATTGGGTTGCAAATGGTGTTTAATGTGGTGGCCAAGCGACCTGCAGAAACCGAACCCCGTTAGAGGAAGATCTCGGAGTAATACATGTGAGTTGCGCGGATATAGTGTAATTCAATGCTATCGCTCCCGAGGAGATAGTTGTGTGGGGAACGAGCGCATCCATGCCGGATTCACTATATAAGTTGTTCCTGGCTCCCTGGGCTCAGCACTAATTTTTCATCTTCGGTTCTTTGCCCTTGAATAACATATAAAATGCACAATTACGACGTTAACGGAAAAACAGCAGTTGTCACTGGTGGTACCAGAGGCTTGGGTCTCTACGCCGCTGAGGGATTCGTCCTCAACGGTATCAAAACCGTGGTTATCACTTCCAGAAAGGAGAAGGCTTGCCAGGAATCCAAGGCCTACTTGGAGAAGCTTGCCAAGGATAACGGAAAGTCTGTTGAGGTTATTGCCATTGCTGCTGACTTGGCCAACGAGAAGGACTGTGATAGATTCTTCGAAGAGACCACCAAGAAGGTTTCTCAGGTTGACATTCTTATTGCCAATGCCGGTGCCACATGGGGTGCTCCATTGGAAGACCACCCAGTTTCTGCTGTGAAGAAGGTCTTGGACTTGAACGTGGTTGCTGTTTTCCACACCATTAAGTTATTCACTCCATTGCTTGAAAAGGCTGGTTCGGCCAAGGACCCATCTAGAATTGTCATCATGTCTTCGGTTGCTTCTCTTGTCGCTTCTGACCCAGTTGGTGTCTACGGCTACTTGGCATCCAAGGCTGGTGTGTCCCACATGGGTAAGAACTTTGCTACCCAGTTGGGTCCAAGAAACATCACCGTCAACTCGCTCGCCCCAGGCTTCTTCCCAACAAAGATGTCCCAAGGTGTCTTGGACGTTGCTGGTGAGATGATGATTGAGACCAACCCAAGACAACGTCTTGGTGAGAAGGAGGACTTGATCAACGCCGTCATGTTCTTGGTTGCCAAGCAGTCTGGTTACATTAACGGTATCGTGTTGCCAATTGACGGTGGTAGCCACATTGGTGCTGCCAAGTTATAATCTGCATACTATTATTATGAAGAAATACACTTAAAGCTTACAGAAATGTAAGCACGATATAGCAATCGGTCAGTCGTCACTGTAGCACCGTTATCGCGTCTGGCAAACAGGCACCTCTAGGCACTAAAAATCCAAAATGTACTGCACACACTGCAACGTCAAGCTGGACTCACTACGCCAGTTATCCGTTAAAGTATATTTAGACCTTATCGAGAAATAGCATCCCGGCCGACCCGAAAGAGCAATATATTATGGGGTTAGCATCTTCGACTCTTCTAGAGTCCTTCATGGAAGGAACAAACTTTGACCGTGAGGAAATCGACAGACTAAGGAAACGGTTTATGAAACTCGACAGCGATGGAAGTGGAGCGATCGACAAGAACGAGTTCCTTGCCATTCCTGGTATTTCTTCAAACCCTCTTTCCAGCAGATTGATGGATGTTTTTGATGAAGATCACGACGGAACTATAGACTTTCAGGAGTTTATTACAGGGTTGTCTGCTTTCAGTGGTAAGTCATCCCGTGCTGATAAACTTCGGTTTGCATTCAAGATATACGATATTGACAGAGACGGATATATTGGCAATGGTGAGCTTTTCATCGTGATGAAAATGATGGTGGGCAAGAACCTACAGGATGAAGAACTACAACAAATTGTCGACAAGACGATCCTGGAGGCAGATGCGGATGGGGATGGACGTCTAAGTTTTGAAGAGTTTCAAAATGCCGTAGACTCCACTTCAGTGGCATCGGCGTTGACTTTGAACAATATTTAAGGGAACCAGTGGTGGTAAAAAGTGGCCAGAGTTCATGGCTGGACAATGATAATCAGATAAAGAATAAGTATAGCAATAAAAAGAGTAACGTTTAGAGGCGGGTGATTGGCGTAGTTGATGATAAAAAGTTGTATATGATATTCAGGGATCAAGGTTAAAGCACCTTTGCAGTTCGTCTCTGCCATATCACATTCGCATTAGTTCTCTATTGTGGATTGCAACCGTATTAAGTAGTCAATTTGAAGTCCACACAGATAATTACCAATCTACAAAAAATAAAAAAAAGTAAAACCCAATGTATAGAAACCAAAAATCGTCAATTCCATTACCTCACCCATAATGAAAATTAAATAACACCATTCACCAAGTTGTTGCCCCAGCCTACGCTTATCAAACTGTGGGGCATCCATCCATCGCAGCCGCGATAGTGAGGCATGATACACAACCTCCATAACGTTATCACCCAAACAATACCCGTTATGTCTGATGATGCCGAGGATTTTGAATCCATAAACCTTGCATCTGTGGCAATTGATACTCGGCCATTATCCCTGTTAGGCACAGTTCCTGAATCGTCGGATGATGGGCTCGATCCACATGACTTCCTTACGCTGAACCAGAACGAACTAGTGAGCGAGTCAGTGCTTCTGGATAAGAACGCCACTGACACAACTGTTCCTGCTGATGAAGCAATTAGGTCAGGCTCATTGCTGACTAGTCATTTGTACGAGAGCACCTTGAAGGACTCCATGTCGCCTTCGCTCTTGCAAGGGGACGATCTTCTGCATTACGACCCCGAGAATGGCTGGCAAACACAGCAGGACAATGACCAGCTTCTTCAGTTTTTGCTGAACCAACTGGAAGCATTGAAGAAGGAGATGAGGAGGGATTTGAAGATTCACAAGGACTTCATTGCTGAAGGAAGCGACTGCAAGCAGATACGAGAGATGATAGGCAACCGCTTTCTTCAAATGTCAGAGAACTATTTTTCTTTGAATGAAATATATAACAAAGAAAGCTCTCTGCTACGAGGCTTCTTGCAGCATATTGAAAAGTGGGACATGAAGCGATCAAAGATTCTCAATCGTGTCAGGTCGATCAAGAGTGATAAGCACAACTTTGGTGTCAAGCTAGCGGATCTTTTGCATAAGCGAAATGACATTGACGCAGAAATTGAAGAGCTCGAAGACCGGTTGCGAGTCCTCCGAGGTAATAAAGCTGCAGTTGATACTGAAATAGACGAGGCTAGTTCTGTCTTGGAGAGTAAGTCCGCAAAATATGTCAACCTTTTTCGTGAGCTAGAGAAACAAGGCGAGAGCGTTCTATCGGGCTTTTTATTCTCAAGTGGCCTTCCTCAAACTGACCTACAAGTTCTTCTAAAGAAGAAACCAGTTGATGCAGCATTCCGGTTCAATGGACCTGACTTAGACAGTAAGCCACTGGTGGCAAAGAAGCAGTCTACTCAAGTCTCTGAGGGAAAGCAAGCTCCACCCTCTCAACCCCAGAAGTCCACGCAAAAGCCGCCGCCTCCTCCGCTGCAAGCCATGGGAGCTCAAGCATTCGAAGTTCCCGAGGAGGAAATCCCTAATTATGAGGAAAAGACCCCATACGAAAAAGGTTTTGAAAAGGGAAATGAACAGCTTGCAAAAGTCCGAGAGACGATGAGTGCTTTCATGGAGTCATGGTTTGCCCGTAAAAGTGAACAGAAACTACGTTATAAAAGTGTGGATGATCAACTGAATACCATAACTGATAAGATCGACCTAGATCCTATAGTCGAACTTCTTTCACATCGGATCAAGGCTTTCGAAGATCTTGCCGTTGTTTCATCCAAGCTTTCAGCTGAGTTACACAATGATGGGGAATCATGGCGAAGCATTTCGAGCACCTTAAGCAGTAAGGAAGATAAGCTCCTAGACCTTCTATCTCATTCGAAGGCAATGAATAAAGAAGTCAAAAACGTTCTTCATTCGTCGTTCACTGCCTTGAAACATGAATATGACGACAGGAAAGGGGATCAACTGACGGACCGCACGACATACCTTCCAATTTTACTCTACCGTGAACTCAAAGCAGTTGCTTCAGCTTTAGATTCAATTGGAGGTGATCCCAGCTATAGTAGCAGGATTTCGAGCGTCGACAGTTCGGTTCATGAGGAATCTCTAGAAATGAGCACATCGGTGAAACCACTACTGAAGTTTACAATGACTAATTATGGATATCGGCCAACGCCAACTACAGTTGTTGATACAATTACTGAAAACGCAGGCGGCAGGAACGCTGAAACGTCTAAAAGTCCTTATGAGAGATCAACCAAAGATCTAAAAAATGAGTAATTATCTATAAATTAATTCAGCCGCGGGGTCTGGAGTGGTTTGGCGGTCTGTTTGAATTACCCCTTCTTCTAATAAATATATCACTCGACGGCTTCCGACCTCCGTTACCTTTAGGAGGAGCATATACTCCACTATTAACCGCTTTCGGAACATCTGCTGGTTTGCTAGTAGGGGTTGCCTTCGTCTCATTTTCCGATTGAGTTTGGGAACGATTCACCAGGGGCTGACCGTCATTTGCTTCTGAAATAGGAGCCTCTGGTGCCTTGGGGCTTTTCAGACTTTGGTGAATGTAAACTCCTGATTTATGCACTTTCGGCTTCTTTGGTAAGGATGGATTTTGTTCGGCCGAGCCACTGCCAAACATAGATGATGCTCTCTTTCTTCTAGATTCATCCGAGGATTGTTCAACAGATTTCGGTTTATTTTCTGTCAGCCCTTTCCTTACTTGATTATCGTTCTGACCATTAGAAACTTCGGCTGGTCTTGACGTACTTGGTGGTTCGGCAATCCCTTGACCCTTATGGCCATTGCCCAGCGAAGCCTTTGAGTTAACGTTCTGAATAGGAGTTGATGAGATCCTCTTTAAAAAGCCAGGTTCTGCTGGCGTCATACATTGTCTGGCCTCAGCGTCTTTGATAAGTTTAGACCAAACTTTATCCCTTCTCAAGGATGACTTATTTCCTAGAATCCAAAGGGTGGTACGAGCACGAGTAAGCGCAACATTCATACGCCTGATATCACTTAAAAATCCAACACTACCCGTTTCACTGGCTCGAACACATGACATGATGATAATCTCCTTCTCCTGACCTTGGAAACCGTCGACGGTGTTGAAGTCAATCTCTGCCAAAATTGTGCTTCCATACTTTCTCTGGAAGACATCCTTCAAAGTTCTGATTTGCTCCTTGTAAGGGGAAATGATACCGATTCGGCCCTTGAATTGATTTGTGGGTAGTATGTCCATCAATTTCTGAACTAATTCAAGAGCAACCTGGGCTTCAGAATAATTAAAGAACGATTTGGTTTTGTCGCTTTGCAGATGTCTACTGACAATGTCAAAGAAACGATATGGCGTAAAAGGATAGTCTTTGTGCCAAGGACGAGTATTTCTTTCAAGCATTCCTGGGCCATCCGTGAGCCTCGAGTTGTAGAATTGAGCACTCGGAAACTTGGATATATCGGGATGCATACGATATTGAACATCCAAAAGATAGACGGAATTTGGATGGCGCCTTTGCATCCTGACAAACAAACTTTCCTCGTATTTGAAAGATGCAGCCTTTTGAGAAAGAACAGTGGGTGGAAGCTGGTTGGGGTCTCCGACCATGATACACTTCTTGCAACCGTACCTCAATGGAATAATAGCCGAAAGCTCAACACACTGACATGCTTCATCAATAATAACTTGATCAAACTTCATAGACATGCTTGATAAGAACTCATGCGCGGAACCGGACAATGTAGAGCAAATAATCTGTGCCTCTGATAGAATTTTGGCTTGAAGTTGGCGTCTTTCGATTTCTCTTGTTCTGTAAGCAATAGATGCATTTTCTCTCTGATCATCTAACCGCTTTCCGAGTTCTGATCTTTTCTTGTTGATTTCTCGAAGCTTTGTTTCAAGTTCAATTATTTTGTCATCCTTCAAGTCACCTCTCTTGAGCTCCTCACGGATCTTGTCTCTCTCAGCAATACACTTTGTATGCTCACTTCTGATAGATGGATCAATCTGAGCTTCGGTGGCTCTGACGTTTAACTGACGATCAATGAGCTCTTCAAGACTAAGATCTCTGACTGCTTGGTTAATAGCATCGCTTCGACCAAGACGAACAATCTTTGGATTGAATGATACACCTTTCGAATTCATCACGCCGTCCCTTATACGTACAACTAATTCATCCACAGCTGCATTACTCGGAGCACAGATCAAAACCTTGGGTCCCTTCAGAGTTTCTTCAGGAGTAGCACTTCTAGAACTAGCCGCTGACGGCGTGGGAATCTTGATTGTGTTTTCAGGCTTATTTGTCGACAAGAAGTGGCCAACAATACCCAAAATGGTCTTTGTCTTACCAGTACCAGGTGGACCTTGGATAAGGGAGAAACCCTCAGTCTTAGCTGAAGCTATAATCGCCTTGGCTTGAGAAATGTTAACATTATTCTGCTTCACCATTAGTTTAGCTTCCTCATCAGATACTGGAACAGGCTTTGAAGGTTCACCACTAAGAATTTCGTCACAGAGATCATAATATGGTAAACCCTTAAGGGACGTAAATTCTCTCTCAACAGTTATCATTTGCATCACTTTCATACCGACAATCACAGTCTTTGGCGTGAGAAGGCCCATCATCGATCCTTGTGGGAAAACTCTGAGAGTTATGTCACAGTAGTCAGAGTTAGCATGCTTGATATTCCTGACCTTTGCCAAACAGGTTTGTGTTCCTGGCTGCTTCAAGTAGGAGGAAACATCTGACGCATTCTCAAGCTGTTTGTCTGCGACATATCCCAATACCATAAGGTCTGTCTCTCCAATTTTTCTAGTGGCAAGATCTGCTTTTTTAATTGATGCGTATACATCGAAGAAACCATCACAGGTGGTACGACTACCAACAAGAAGTTGCACAGGTACTTCCTGCCCTGTAGTTCTTGATGACTGGATACCCTGCCAACATTCGAGCATCAATAATGGCTCAGTGAGTTTAACGTATTCCTTGACATCAGAATATGAGTCCTTAATTGGTTGGTAGATGTCACGTTCTTCACTAGGATAAGCGCTGTCTGAATTGTAGTTCCACTTCAAGATGGTCGAATAGAGAGGTTTGAGGTTGACGTGAAGACGCATTCTCATGCGCTCCTCTTCTCTGCGTTCTTGGTTGGCCTTCTTTTGTTGAGCAATCTTGGTCACTGGGTTGCCATGCATATCCAATTCTGTAATCTTAGACTTCTTTTTCGTTTCCAAGAATAAATCTGATGTATCAATGTCATCGTCTTCTTCCTCTGAAGAGTCAGAGTCGGCACCTTTTTGCCTGAGCGTGTTCAAAGAGCGACCAACAACAGGAGCTCGCTTAGAGTTAAAGCCAGCTGGCCTAGGTGCAGCAGGCGCCACTGAAGGCTTTTGCGGTGTTCTGTTATTCTTTAGCTCATTCCTTATCGCCTCTAAATTGTTAGACTTGAACGGCTTAGGTGGGGCAGGCGCCACAGGAGGCTCATTGGATACGACACCAAATCTTGTCAATAACAGTTGCTTGCTTTGCTTCGGCTTAGGAGACTGATAAGCATAAGTAGCACCCTTCTCCACTGGCTTAGTACGAGCAGGGATTGGCTCTCTGCTAGCAGCACGTTGAAGGCGTGCCTCTTCCACTACTGCCTGAACCAACTCCTTGTCAAACTCACTAGCCTTAGCGAGCACGTCTTCACGCTGCTGCTCGGTAAGCTTATTGTTGAACTTTTTGGCTTTTGCTCCATATTTGACAAAGGTAGTGAGGAAATCCTTGTCAACCGAAACACCCATCTCCTTAGCAAGATCAAACCCTTTGAAGACTAGGTTCACACAGGAGTTCAAGAGGGACATATCACCAAGTCGAAGCCAGACAATGACATGATTGAAAGCCTTCAAGAATTTACCGAAAAGAGGCCCTTTTACTTCTGGATCATCAAGGAAATCTAAGATCGGCCTGAACGCATCCAAAAGAGAGTGGCTCACATCTAACACATCACGCGTGAATTCGATTAAATCACTGAGATGATACATAGTAGCCCACACGAGTGTTAGTTGGAAAATCATGACAAGAAGCAGCCAACTGCTCGTCCAAAGTTGTTGAACCATAACTCCACAGCCTTCAGCTTTGGCAGGATTTGTGGTTAAGATACCCGTAAGAGGATCGGCAAGGGCTTTAGTGACGTCCATCAAAATTCTGACAGCTTTAGGACAAGGTTCGAATGCTCTCATTCTTGTGATCGTGGAAAAGGAATCGACTATGGCAGCCAAATTAGTTTCCAAAGATAAGTTGAGTAAACCACAAATAGCTTCATAACGACCTTCAGCATCGAAGACCTGATACAAAATGTTCAAAGCAGACTGATTAGTCTCTGGTGAGAATATGCAATTCCACATTGCCATCAGGCAAGAGGCCGTGGACAAAACCTTTAACATCACATCTGGTTCTGCGAGTGCTATTTTTTCAAGAAGCGCCGAAATGTTTGTCGAGAGCTTTCTTGTGTCTCTATTATGCATGTTGACGGCTGATTCGAGGTCCTTGTCTAGCTTCTCATTCTTCCTTGGCTTAAAGACAATCACGGAAACGACATCATTAAGAGACTGTAACAATGAGCTCAACACAACATCCAGCTGCAACGGAGTGTCGAGCAATGCCTCCCATAATGATGAGTTCGTATCCAATAAAGTAGGGATTTCTTTTTTCTGTAGTTGTAACGAGTTGTGTGCTGCAAACATAACATCATAGCTGAGAGATACTTTAATTAGCCCTATCGCACTTGCAGAGTTATCGGCCGAGCCAGATCTCATAGATGTGACAATACCTTTCGCGTGCTTTGAAACAAGTTTACGAGCGTCACTTAATCTTAAGAAAGCCAGAGGCTCTTCGCGACAGGAAGACAAAGCTTCATTGTCGAATGCTGATAAGAGTAGCTTTGGAGCATCCACACAATCAATGTTCTGCGAAATGAAGTAGTCACAAAGAGTGACGGCCGCAGCCTGCTTCTGGGAACCTGTCAATGACTCAAGAAAAGCAGATGTCCACAAGGTAAGAACGTGTAAAGCTGCGGTGTCATTCAGTTGCTTCGTTTTATGAAGAAGCCTAGTATAAAGGGGAGCTTGTAGGATTGTATCTGTGAAGTTTCTGTAGTACAATCCCTCCGCAAGGTTCCAGAAATCTCGCTTGAAGGAGCCTAAAAGAATGGAGAAGACATGAAGAAGATCGGCAAAAGTGTTCTCCATTTGTGCGAGGATATTGTTCAAAAGAACACGGGCTAATGGATAAAGCCTTATCTGAGTGAATTGACTCAGTTCTTCAAGATCATTTGGTTTGGCCATCTTCTGGATCTCTTCGGTGCCTAGTATCAGGAAACATTGAACACACATGCTCCAGAAACGCTTAGCAAATTCTGGTGTAAAATGCTTCAGATCCTGGACACGGTATAGTTGATGGTGGAATTCGTCAATGACCTGTGGATCTACTTGAGTTTGACTTGCGGCAAGCAAGATCCGCTTACCTACTTGCAGCTTGGTGTCATCGTCATTGACAAAGAATGTGATTGCTCCAGGTACCAATTCTTCGAACGAAGAGGTGTTGTTGTTCTGGTAGTAAGAAGCAGTAGCTCCCGCCAATGCATCATCGTCGCGTAGAAGCGTAGGGTTCTGGAGACATTCGTAAGCCAGCATTTCATCAAAACCGCCTGCAAGTTTCTTGTGAAGACGAGATGCTATCCATTTGTTAATTATGCTGATGAACTGGTTGACTTGGGCAACCGGAATATGACGTAACACGACAAAGCGAAACCTCAACTCTGATAGGCACTTATAAAAACCACGAGCATTTTCCTTGCTAGAACTTATGCTACGTGCCAATCTCTCCTCGACTATCGGATTCGTCTTCCCTGGAAAAGAGAACATGATCAACGCATGGCCTGCAATCGGTTGGAGAGTGGTGTTGGCAAAGAGATTGAGCTCATTTTCCGTATACTCCAGCTGAAGAAACTTCATGCATCTCATTAAAACACTCGATTGAAGCTCAGACGCTCCTGGCTCTTTATGACTCTTGGCGATATCTTTTATCAACTCATCCTTGAAGGAAGGCAGATCCATGATGAAACGGTGCGTTGAGACCTTAGTCTATAAGATCAGAGATGATTCCTGGGGTATTTACAAGCAATGCAAGATTCTTGCGGTAGGAGGTTTTTGTATGATGCCAATGAAGGGAAGAAGCAGCAAAGCTCCGCAGTTGTTCAGACGCCTCTAGGAGGATAATCGATGCGGTTGGACTTAAAAAACCAGACTACGATGTCTACGCGATGAAGTGCAGGGGTCCATCCACGCGCGCCTTCAGCTTGCTAGATCTGTATGGGATTGTTCGGAATATTTGCAACCATTTTTTTTTTTTTTTTTTTACATCAAGACTAGATCGATATCAAGGGCTTCGGCCGCTGAAATCCAATCTTCTCCAGTCTCCCAGCATCGAGCCATCACTTTTAAACTCTTGGTGGCGTTATTGTTGCCGGACTGTGCCATCCATGAGTGTCTCTCGTAGATGTGTTGCCTTCTCTCGGTGTCTAGTAATTCACAACCAGCACAAAAGTGGCAAAATATAGTACAAAGCTCTGCAGAGCTTCTTGGTTCGACTCCAAATCGAAGAACATCGGCCATATCGTTTGCAATGTCTTGGATTATTGGAGACAGGCGAGGGATCTTGAGCACTCGCCGGTAGAGGTTGATCATTCCCATGTAGAAGAATAACTTATTAGTAGCACGAAGGGTATTATCATGTGCCAAAAGCTTATCGATACCCTTTTGCTTCTCCAGCCTGGAGTCGCTCTTAAGAGTGGTGTCAATTGACCGTTCCGTCCGAGCTTGCCTTCTTGCTTCACCAGCCGTATGGGCAGTAGTTAATTGGGCTTTCAATTCCAATGCCGCCGAGACAATCCATAATGGTAACAGAGGCGAAATGTCATCAGTCCACGGCTCTAGCCTTTCTACCTCTCGTATTAAAAGGGCAATATTGATAAGATGTGGAATGATACGGCTGTCAAAACCCATGAAAAAGTCGATATCATTTCGAAGGTCAAGATCTTGAACATTATTAAACGAGAAGTTAACAGTGTTGACCGGGGTGTAAGAAGTGTTGCGGTATCCACGAAGATACTTGTCTTGACCTCGTGTAGCTGAAAGTGCTCCAAGAACGTCGACATAGAAGAACCATCTAGTCAAGAAAAATGCAGTGTTACTCTCATCTCTGTTGTATACCACCGAGAGCGAGCGGTCTGAATTGTCTGAGTCCTCAGATGACGGGGAGCTGTGTTGATTTTCTTTGCCAGCCGTCCTGGCGAAGACAATCTGACTTGCGCCAATTGTATGTGTTCTATGCTTATCAAAATCGTTGGAGTTAACCACTTCATAACAAGAGAGAAGCAATGCAGTGAGTAGGGCACCATCCGACGTTGCTTCTTCTTCATTCTGAAGTTGTTTAAGAAGTTCATTACATGAACGGTTTAATAGTTGATCAACAAGTTCAGTTGCGTCTTCAAGATCATTCGTCAATACACCTCTCCAACGAGCTGCAAACGCTAGAACTGTTGTCAAAACACCAGGATAGCGCATAGCCATCTGCGGCACCAACACCTTAAATGGATTATCAGTATAAAGATGAGAAGGAGCGGGAACAAGTTCATCTGAGGCAACTTCAACCCAGAACTTGAGTAACTGACGGTAACATGGCACTCTTAACATAATGTCTGGTAACGGCGTGAGTTGTGGAGGAATAGAATACAATGTATGCAATGCTTGAGAAGCCTCTGGTGGAGAAGGCTGAGGTAGAAGTGAATGGTATCTCAGTAGCGGATCACTTGCAGAAGGCGACGAGTTAATCAGCTGAACTGGTCCAATCGATGGAGATTTCATGACAGCATTTGGTGACCAGCCATGTATATCAGCTTTCGGCGAGTTCGTACTGGTAGACCTTAGATTACTCTCAGCATGTCTTTCAAAGTCTAGTAAATCATGAGAGAAACCATCGATCATACCGTTTAATACTGAAATTGAGTGATGATTCGAGGGAGATGCAATATGGTCAAGATTCCGATCCGGAGACACAGTATTGTGCATGAGTGAAAACGGAGCAGAAGTCTCATCAGGAGGAGACAAACCTCTTTCTGGAGACATCGAAACGCTTTCGTTTTGCAGCGAGTAGGATAAGTTTGTAGATGTATGTGACACCGAAGGAGCCATATCAGTCACAAGATCATCAATAATCTCCAGTTTAACTGGTCCAACAACTTCAGGTTTTTCAGCAGGAGCTGCAACCACCAGTGCCAGCTGGTCGTCGTTTTTAGCAGCAGTTGCCGTCTTATCGTATTTGCTTGCAACAAACGTTATCTCTCCAGGGTTAGTGCCTCCTCCCTTCTGAGACGCAGGGACCTTCCCCTGGATCTGAGATGCTTTTCTTCGTTCTGCGTTCTTATAAGGTCTTCCACCCCATGTGAGTTTCAACGAGTAGTCACACGAAGCGTTGGCCTTCGAACAAGACACACAAGCCGGTCTATCCTCGGAGCACTTGATCTTTAGCTTCTTGCACCGATGGCATCCCAAACGGGACCTTTTGATCCTCTTCTTTGTAGTTTCGGGCATGATATATGGGCATACTGTGGCCTATCAGGTGGTTAGGTGGTGTTGAATATGAGGAAAAACGTCTGCTGTTGGCAATGATTGTTGTAATTCTGGGGTCTGTCGGGGCTTCCTCTATAGAGACAATCGCAGCCGTTGTAGATAGCCCAACGCAGGCAAGGCAAAAAGATGAAAAAAAAAAAATTAAATAAAACAAAGGTTTAACCGGAGCGCGAAGGATATCCTAAACAGGTTTGCCGCCTTTTAAGATTCCATGGCTGATCTGGGTAAAGAAGGCATTGGCTGGGCAGTAGTAGTATTTTTGATACAGCAGATGGTGATGTTTTCCTGATGGGTTGGAATTTTGCTCATAATGAGACCAGATTAAGCATTAAATGTTCTCGTTACACAAGCGGAATATGCGGCGGCAGATTCCGCTCACACAAAAACACCGCATATCATTCTAGGTCCAGGCATGCTGCTGATAATTTATTATCAAGCACGCTGAGGGACCCTTAACATGGGAAGTGGGTTCTGTGTAAAAATAATTTCTATGTATATGTGAACTGCACTGGGTGGCATTTCTATCGATGCAAACCTTCTTTAGCTTTTTCGGGTTGCCTGTATTGACCCCCTGCACTGGTTTGCATTAGCGAACAAACGGTCAACGGTTTGTATTCTTTATTTCTAGTAATCCTTGTTTTGTGGGACCAGGTGGTCTAACAACCCACCCTCTTTCTTCTCTCTGTTTCTGTCAACAAACTTCTTACCGAAAAGCACCAACAAGACCCTCTCGTAAAGCCTGTAAAGGTATCCAGCAGCGATAAACAATCCCGAGAGAATGGTGGCAATTCTGGAAACAAATGCAAAGAATGAAATACGCTTCTCACGTATCGAAAGTTTGATAGGCTCGAAGGAGTAGGTGAAAAAGATACCTGGTGGTGTGTAACCTCTTCCTCTGGACTTGTGGTGTATTTCAGTAAGCGAGTACTGGTATGTGTCTATCTCGAGGCCGATTTTCTCATACAAGGTAGGAACCACTTTAGCATAGTAGTTGTACACTTGCGCCTTTTCAGAAGTCTTCTTAGCGGTGAAGTCCAATGGATTATCCATGAATGGGTAGAATTCACCAAATGAAAACTCATAAATTGAATGAGAGAGGTTGAACTCATCCAACGGAACAGAATTCTTCAGATAATACATCGCACCCTTGGGGGCAATAAAAAACTCACCCTTGACATGGTTCACTGGAATCAGACCAAAGATATGGCATGCTGGTGCGTCTGTATTGAAACGCTTACCCTTGACAGCATATTCAGCTCGGAGTGAACCTTCCATGGCTTGGTCCAAGTTCTGTGTTTTATGATGATCATTCTGGTTGTTGATGTTGAAATATGGCGGCACAATGAAGTCCACGCCCACAAAGTTGAGCACCTCACTGGCAAGGAAATTGTCGTTCGTGATATCCATGACATTCGTAACAAGCGAGTCGCAAGGCATGGCTACCATCAAATCAACGTTAATGTCGAGATCCAGCTCTATTTTTTTGTTGACAGAAAACTGTCTGTCTATGTATCCACCGAGGAATCCACCAATCTGGATCCAGAGGATGAAAAGTCCAAAGAGGATGGTAAACACGGACGAAAGACCACCTCTGGAGGACCGAACAGAATGTTCTGGTGACACTTTCGGGAAAGCATCGAACACCCTCACTTTGCTAGAGAAGTTGTCCATCACGTTTGGGGGGGAAGTCCTGAGGTTCTGTTAGAGTTGGACCAATCTTCAAGAGGCCACCTCTGTGAGGTAAGGGTGTATGCGCTGCCTACAACTGTTTACGCACGCACTTAGTACTGTATTTTTTGCAACCGATGAATATAATAAATGCCTATGATATATATGTATGAGTGACCTATAAGATCTTATTGTTTACAGGACGGGCGTATCTGAAGCATTCTCTGTAAAGTCTGCGTCTTCTGAATTCGATGGTTGAATCCTGTGCAGCTGGAAGCTTGTCATATACCCAGCCTTCTTTATAGTCGTCCTTGATTTTCAAGTGAGTCTGGTCAACCCCACGGACACGTAAAAAGTGCTCTGGGTCCTTATCAACCTGCCAATTGCTTGCAAACCCAAAGTCAAATTTCCACTCCTTGGGTGGCAGAATCTTACCGATGGAGTCCACGCCGTGTGGTTTCTTGCCTGAAATTCTGACTTTATCACCGAAGTCGAAAAGTCTCTTGGAATACCCATAAAGCTTCCATTCGTGCTTGAGCACGTTGCGGATTTGCAACTCATAAATCTCGACAACACGAACCTCGGGGACGTCATCGACGATAATGTCTGGTCTGTCGAATGTCTCATGAGGCAAAGGCTTGGTTGGTTTTTCAACCGGCTCTTCTTCTTCAGTCTCCTCGCCTTCATCTTCTTCAATAACCTTCGCAGCTTGTTTTCTTTTCTTGAGGGCTTGGATATACTTCTTGGCGTTGGGATGGCAGATAATCATGCCGATCCAGCCGGCCTGAATGAAGATGATTCTCCAAGGAATCCATCTTCCAACGAAAAGAACCACCGAGGTAACAACGATTAAAATGTAAAATATAAATGTCGTAAGTCTTTCATTCTTGAATCCAACCACATCAGTGGCCACTTTCTCTGCGTGATCTAAGCCATTGAGTAAGTCAGTAGTCAAATTTTGTAAGTCTCTCATGTTCATGAATGTCGATACCTGCGATTTCACGAACTTAGACAGATCCTCTGACGACAATGAGTCCGCTGTATTGAGACTCTTTTGAGCAAACGCAGTAGAGCTGGTTGCAGCTGTTGCGCCTGTTGCCGTGGTAGCTCTAGAATAGTCGGAGGAGAATGTGACATTTGATACCTGGTCATCTGAAAACTCCTCAGATCTCTCATTTATTAGGTCCAAAACAACACTTTCATCTTCGGATTGGTTGAAGTACTCAAGAAGTGATTGTCCTCTCTTCTTCGTTTTCACGAGTTCGGGGATATCCATAGGGTGGCGGTGTAAGTATGCGGGCACAATGATACCAAACAACAATACAAGTAATGGAAGGGCAACCACTAGATGAGGCCACATACAGATAGCCGTGTACATCACCAACACAGAAATAGTCTTGGTTGGCTGCTTCCAAGTGATCACATGAATGACACCATACTGGAGCTTAAAGAATGCTCCCATTTTCGAGCTCAATCTCTTCAAATTTGATCCAAGCTTACGGATCGATAAAGGAGCCTTGCTTTTTCTTGATGGGTCTTTGATTCTCCGGCTAATCTCATGATATTCTGGTGCATCTTGTGGAACAGTATGACTGACAAGTCTTTCTAAGAATCTGTCCATGAAATGAGTTGGCTCCTTCCTTTCCGCGTGTTCCTCGGCTGACAGAGCCATTGCTCTCACAGCCTCTAGCTCTTCTTCAGAATATTCAAAGCTTCCATCTTTTGCTCGAATCCCACCGTCAGAAGTCTTTTCAACATGTTCAATTCCCATCCCCAATAGGGTAGCGGCTGTGCCAGCAGCAATTCCTCTGTTCTTCCCTGCATGGGTTTCTGCCATATCACTGGTATAATTGTACAAGGAATTGAGCACTCTACTTCTGCGGCTCCCCTTTGAAGGCGGACTAGCAGACATCAGAAGAGTTTGAACAGGTGTAATAGTGTTGTCAATTGAAAAGAGTGCTGGAAGAGGGTCTCTCGCAAACTGGGTCATGTGACAAGTGTGGGGCTAAACGCCTTCAATGCATGAGATCTGGTTGCGAAAAATATAGATAGCCGAGCGAGAGGACGAAGCTATGCGGATATTCTATTTTCGATGCAAATTCGTCATATCTATTTCATGAATGGGTCATCAAGTAGCGCTGCTGCAGAAGGTCTGTCCAGCGGATTCCAGCAGAAAATACTACCCATGAATCGTGAGAATGACGACGCGGCGGCTTCTCCAGAGTTATGGAGACGAAGACAGACGTCCAAGGACCTGGCATTAAGCTTAACAGATTTCTTCAGTCCACTACCATTATTGGCTAGAAGCAGCTGGTTGAGATACTGAATGTTAATTTTACCGTCCACGTTGAAGAGAGAGTAGAGTAGGGTCCTTTTGATTTTCTTCTCATCGATAGGTGCACCAACATCGCTACCGTAAACTGGAGCCTCGGCTGAGATAGGATCACGGATTTTTGCAGGGCTCATTTTGGCCATTCTCAACAACTTCTTCCGCTCATTGGTTATGTAGGCAGCCGATGGCGCTCCAAACAATTCAAGTATGAGTGCTATTTGCTCAACTTCGCTCTTTCCGGGGAGTATTGGAGCACCAGTGAATAACTCTGCTAACACACAGCCGAGTGACCAGATATCAATCTTACTGCTGTATTTGGATCCCAATATGACTTCCGGTGCCCTGTAAAATCTGGATTGGATGTAGGAGAAGGACGTATCACTTTCAAAACATGAGGACCCAAAGTCAATTAACTTCACGGTGAATTTAGAGGGGTTCATGGATTCAGGAGGATCATAGTCATGAGGTAGCTCAATCATGATGTTTTCTGGCTTGATATCACAATGTATCACCCTTTGGTCATGAACAAAGCCTAAACCTTTGAGGATGTCAGAAGCAAAATACTTCAATAGTTCTAAGTTCACACCACGGAAGGAAAGAAGTTCAAGGAAGGTAAAAAGATTCAAAGACAAAACTTCCGTTGCAATGCACATGTGACCACGGAAATGAAAGTGGTCATAATAGTTCATGATGTGGTCGTTCATATGATCTTTTGATGCTTGGCTGAGTTGCTTAAGCATCTTTATTTCACTTACCGCTTGCAAAGACCAATTCAAGTCGTTTCGGATAATTTTAATGGCAACTTTACGCTGCTTGTCTGGATAAGAATACTTATGGTCAAGGCAAAGAACGACGTTACCGAAAGAGCCAGTACCAAGAACTTGCTTTATCTCATATCGATATTCGATGTGGTCCCCTAGCGAAATAAGGTAGTTGCCATTCTTGTCATCAAAACCAAAATTGTTTTTGTAGTCAACGGAATTGAACGTATTGACATTGATATTTTTTGCGTTGGCATTTGCTAGAAAATACACTTCTTGCTTTCTCATAATCTCTCCTCTTTCATAGACACTCGCTGACTGGCCCTCAGGATATAGATGTAGCTCGTGAGGAAGGATAGGCGTTTTTGGCTCCATGTCTGGATCAAGAGTATGTGGGTCCAGAAAGAGCTCCTTATCAGCTGAATAAAGGATAGAATACATTTCATTCAACGACGATACCTTAGGCTTCGATGGTGCCTGAGGTACCGTAGAAGATTCCTGGCGTAGAGCAGACGAAAGCAGCCTGAAACCAGTCAGCCGAGGGAAGCCTCTTGAAGGCTGTCCTTCAGCAGATTTCAGAGCATCATTGTAAAGGCGCAGATAAACGTTATCAGTTGATACCGAATGACACATCTTACGTGTGAACGACAGCTTCGGATTTAATGAATGTTTCGTGCTCTTCGTGTCGGTATTGATCTTATCAGGTGACGGATTTGTCTTCTTAACAGGTGATGGATTCTGAGTGGTTGATGATGAATGTGTACATGGCCTTTTGTTGTAGAATTCAGGGTGTGATACTGCTCTGTCCTGAGGCGTTGGGTACTGATGCAGATGGGTAGATTGGGAAGGTACCGGCAGTTTGGTTGTTGCCAGCTGCTTCTTCTTTGACGATGTGGTTTCTCTCATAAACAGAAACTGGACATTTTGACCAGATGGTTTTCTGGACGATCTAGCTTCGGTAAGATCATTTGTAGTTGACGAAGATGTTGCTGTCTTTAATGATTTACGTTCCGGTGACACATTGGTGCTTTCATGAAGATGTTTGGAGCTCGATAGCGACCTTGACTGAGCTCTTCTAGCCGTTGAAAGCACTGGAGCTTTACTAGGAGTCGTTGCATTGGCTCCATTATGGTTTCTAGGATAAAGACTGGCTGGATATGATTTCTTGGGCGATCTCGGAGACTTGGAAGGAGTGGGCTGGGTCTGGGTGATTTCTATGTTAGCAAGTCTCGTATTTAGCGAAGGTGATAGTTTAGACATGACGAGAAATTAGCCAGTCTTTGTGATGATTCCCTTCTGGCGGCCTTTCAATTGTGTGTTCTAGAAATGAACTCTTTAGGCTAATGGCTGAGGCGTGGGAGTGTATAAGAACAAGTATTTGTAAACAGAGGCCTTCTAAGTTTTGAGGCTCACCAGAAGCCACTAATAGCACGCACTACCCAATAATAGAAGGAGTGAAAAAAAGACATATGTAAAGAGTATTACACTATGTTAGTTTGTATTTAGCTTTTCCTAGTTTAAATTTTTCTTCCATTTTTTTTCTTTTTTTTTTTCTTTTGGTTGTATGATAACCTATGGTGGGCCACCGATTGGTGGTGGTCAGGGCGAAATACCTGTATGGAAAGAGTCCACTAGTGAGTTAGATGATCCCATTCAACTACTTGACAAAATGACTGCCTCTGAAGATTCGTTAATTACATCGCCCAATTCCTACTCAAATAAGGATCTTCTATTACTTAGTCAACTTCTACATACTCAGGGTCTCATACAACCGGATGCCGTGAAAGAATACGAGGACTTGGAAAGGATAGGGAGTGAGTGGTTCCACCACGATAGCACTCAATTGCTGAGAAGAACACACGAGAACAGTCTCACAAAGCCACCGACTGGTAAGGAAATCCTTGCTTTGTATGAGAACATGTTGGAGCAGAATGAAGATTGCAAGAACACAACCGACCTAGCGAACAAGTTCTACTTTGCCAGAGTCCAGGAGCTCGAGAGCAGGATAAAAAGGGATAAAGAAGACTTCAGGACGCTTCTCGGGGAGACCAGGTAAGCTAGTGGAGCTTATGGTTTACGTGGGATGGTTCTAGCGTCCATTGGAGTGGTTTTCGGTTGCACTACTGCTCTTGCATTGCATGGAGAAGGAAGAATGATAAAAAAAAAAAAAAAAAAAAAAAAAAAAAGCTAAGCGCATAGGCTGTTATGTTTCCATCCTTTAATAAAGGCCCACATAGCAATACCATTACTTTAATCTGAATGTTTTGAGCCCAAGCAAACCGTACTGTGAGCTACTTGCAGCCATATCCGAGTGTGGCTTGGCATGGTAAGGTCCACACTGGCTAGACTGGACATGTTGCAGGGATGAAACAAAGTGAGTCTTTAAAATCTGAATAATGTCTTACTTTACCCGCTTTGTATCTCAAAAAGCCCCCCAAGGTGTTGCTGTAGCCATGCCATGTCCCCCAGTTGTACTTGGCGCGGCTAAGGTCATTTCATCTTTTCAGGGTCCACAACATATCAATGCCCACCGCTTAAACAAACAACAAAAAAAAGAATTGACATAAATTATCAGTGTAAATACCTTCTCTCATTATAATTTGCTGATTATGAGATTTTCAACCCTGCTTTTCCCACTTCTCTCCCAGTTATACACCCTGTTTGCTGCAAATTCGCAAGCTTCTTCCTCGGGTCGAAAAAACCTCCCCACATTTGAACCGCTCCGGCGCCAAGATGCAGTCAAGTGATTATCTTCCTTCAGATATTAAGTGAAACGTTTTCTGTGCTACATATCCAAAGCATACACTTTTCCTATTTATTCCCCAGGGCTGTTTAATCGTTTACACCCATGCCGCCACCATCAAAGACGGTTCAACGGGACTCTTTCGCCTTGGCGGTGTTCAACGCCTACAAGTCGAATCGGTCCCTCTTGTTGAACGCCTCGTACATACTTTTGATCACGGCCGCCTTTTCTGGTGCTACAAACAGCTCGTCCCCCAGCAAGAAAAAGGAAAAAGAGCCTACTTCTGAGGAGTTGGAACAAGCAAAGTCTACTAAGAAGCCTAGGCTTACAAAGGAATCACTCCGGAAGCTCCTCAAATCGGCCATCCCTTCTTATGTTAACCCTGTTGTGGGATACTTCATCGCCCACTTGGTGCTCTTGGTTTGTCGTGCCTTGTTGACAATCAAGGTGGCAAACTTGGATGGTTTGCTTGTGGGTGCTTTAGTTTCCAAGAAGCTCAAGAAATTTGGTAAGCTTTTGGCATTCTGGATGTTTATTGGTTTCCCTGCTTCTTTTGTCAACGCCTTGCTTAACTGGACAAAAGACAAGATGCGTCAGCATTTGCGTATGAACTTGAATAATGGAATTATTGAAGACTACCTTCCCGATAACTTGGATCCAAACTACTACGCTTTGATCCAGTTGTCCGATAGCAAGATCAAAGATCCTGACCAGAGACTTTCTACTGATGTTTCTAGATTAGCTTCTGCCATGGCCAGTCTTCCTGGTCAGCTTCTTAAACCTACTTTGGATATGCTTCTTTGTGCTAAGGAGCTTTCCAGAAGTGGTGTTGGCAGTGGTGAGGGTACACTTGCCCTAGGCATGTTGGCACACTTCTCCACCATTGTGTTGAGATTCTTCTCCCCACCATTCGCCAAGTTAGCCTCCGAAAAGGCCAATTTGGAAGGTCAGCTTCGTTCTGCTCACTCCAAGATCGTTGCCAACAATGAAGAGATTGCCTTCTTGCGTGGTCACGACCGTGAACTCGACTACATTGATCTCTGTTATTACCAGCTAGAACGTTTCTTGAAGATGGAATACTGGAAGCGTGCTATTCACGAAATTGCCCAAACTTTCATTGTCAAATACTTCTGGGGTGCTGCTGGTTTGGTGTTGTGTTCCGCTCCAGTCTTTATCAACAAGTACTTGGGCAATGACCCAGATCCAAACGCTGCTGGTGACTTCATCACTAACAGAAGATTGTTGATGAGTGCCTCTGATTCCTTGGACAGATTGATTTACTCGAGAAGATTCTTGCTTCAGTTTGTCGGTCATGCTACCAGAGTCACATTCCTTCAAGACGCCTTGAATGCTATCAAGAATAGAAAGGTTGGAACTCCTGATGAGGATGATAAGAATGTGGAGTTCGGTAACGAGATCACTTTCTCCGACGTTAGACTTGTCACACCTGCTGATGTTACTTTGGTTGAGAAGCTTAATTTCAGTATCAAGCCCGGTCAGCATTTGTTGATTGCAGGTCCTAATGGTTGTGGTAAGTCCTCCATGTTCAGAATGTTGGGTGGTTTGTGGCCATGTAAATTTGGTAAGATCACCATCCCGACCAGTGACAACATGTTCTATTTGCCTCAGAGAGCCTACCTCTGCAGAGGTTCATTGAGAGAACAGATCATATACCCCCACACTATTGAACAGTTCAAAAAGAACAAACATGGTAAGACCGAGAAGGATCTTGAAGAAATTCTCAAGATCTTGGACTTGTCAGATATCTTGCCTGAGAACAAGGACTGGGACGTTGTCAAGAATTGGAATGAAGAATTGTCTACCGGTGCTCAGCAGCGTTTAGCCATGGCTAGACTTTACTACCACCAGCCAAAGTTTGCCGTTCTTGACGAGTGCACCTCTGCTGTCTCGCCTTCCATGGAACAGTTCATGTACAAGCATGCCCAGGAGATTGGTATCTCTTTGCTCTCTGTGGCTCACAGACCTGCTTTGTGGCATTTCCACAACCGTTTACTTAAGTTTGACGGTAAGGGCAACTACTATTTCGGTGTGTTGGACGCTGAGCGTCGGTTGAAGTTTGAGGAAGAGAGATTGAAGCTTGAGAAGAATCTCAGAGATGTGCCAACCTTGAGGGACAGACTTCAAGAGCTTAGAACTGTTTCCAAGTCTCAGCACATCAGATATGAGCACTCTCACCGTGACTTGGTTGAACTCGGAAGAAACTCTCAGGCCCAGAGTAGCGATGAAAGAACCGAGAAACCTAAGGAAGCCCCAGCGGAAGTGCCAAAGGAGCAGCCAAAGGAGGAACAACCAGCTGAGAGCAATGCTAAGAAGAATGACGACAAGAAGAAGAAGAAGAAGTCAGGAAAGAAGTGAATACATTAAGTATCGGTCTCTAATGGATATCCAAGGAATTTAGCCTAGTTAGTGTAGCCATGTTGTTGCCCAGTAGTGTAATTTGTGCGAGTCTCAGTACTAGTGAAAAACTGCTTCAACATAGATGCTACGATATATCGGCTGGATATGGCCCCAACAAGCCCAACGTCAGTTCCTGACACTTAAAGAAGGGAAACCTCCTGCCATTCTTTTTGCTGCAATTGCCAATCCTGTGCCACAATACTCGGGCACCAGACACAATGTTGGAAACTGGGCCCTTGACCAAGTGCAAAAAGGTAGATCAGACGTGCCGCCTTTCAAATCGTCCAGAACGTACCGTGGATACTCAGCATCAGAGCCTCTGGAGCTTAATGCTGTCTTCCTCAAGTCCACTCAGTCATATATGAACTTACAAGGAAGGCCCATCTCGAAGGCATGGCTGCAGTTCAAGAAAGCTTACCCCAATCACTCAGCAGCAATGGTTATCCTCCATGATGAAATCCAAATTCCGCTTGGAAAGATTCAGATTAGAAGGCAGAATACAAGTGCTAGAGGTCACAACGGTCTTCGTTCCATAGATAGCACAATTGGTCCAGTTTACACAAAGATAGGCATTGGCGTGGGTAAGCCAGATAACATCCCAGTTGATAAGCATGTTTTGTCGAAATTTTGTTCGGATGAGCTCGAAGTCTTAACCGGGGAAAGCCTTCCCCAGATCAAAGCCATCATCGATGATATGCTCCAGGGTAAGTACATCTACGATAAGCAATAGCGATGCTCCAGATGGTTATTCATACATATGAAGTATCAAGTTCACCCAAAATCTTTAAATGAAGAATGTCGGTCTGAAAGAGCCTGGTCTGAACGGTTTAATCATCACCATAGATCTAGAAGTAGTCTATAAAGAAAGATAAAAAGCACTCCTAGCTCACGGTATGCGGAGTGGGACATCCAAGAATTGGTTAAACTCTGAACAAACCTCTCCGGTCTTGCCATTGTTGAAGCGATCTGTTAATACTTCCAATCGTCAGGCCGAAACTCGCAAGAGTCCGAATTCATCTCGTGGCAGTGCACTGTAAACATACAAAGCAAGCGTGGCTCAGATCCCCCCGAACTCCATGTATGAATCATTTCATATGATTACACTGCTCTTCGAAGTGGATGACCGAAGGAATGATATTCCAATAACATTTTTTATATATCTAAGGCCTTATCATTCCATAGCTTAACGAGTGTAACAATAAGCCGAGTGATCCTAAAAGACCACAACAATCCCCTAAAGAAACTTTCCGAGTCAAAAAATCACTAAGATCTGAATATTTCTTCTCTTCCAAAACAGTTCATGTCATCGACGTTTTGGACCCAACATTGCCAATTTGTGGTCCCTTACATATTGACGCTTTAAGCCGCATACACTCAGATCAATCTGGGTCCTTTACCTGCGAGCGCGACGATAATGTTAGAAAGCAACGCAATACCACCCTCAGCCAGGCTTCACACAACATGGATTTTACGCTAAATCTCACAGCAGACCGAGCTGTGGTGCGTGAGTCTCTAAAAGGTATGTTGTATCGTTTGTGGTTATTTTGACGTCTTTAGAATCTTTACTAACCCGTGTTTAGGGATACTATGGTGTATCTTCTTTCACCGCCTATTCGGTCCAATCGCCCCCAGCTCTCACGAGTTCATGGGGATCCCATATCCAGTGGCAAACAACCTACCGGATCTTGATTCATTATTTGACCAGAAAATCGATCAGCTAATCAAGAAGGACTTTGGAAGCGCAGACTCCCTCAGTCAGCCCAAGGTCGGCCAGCTCCTTGTCCTGTTTCACAAAAACCCATCCAAGATAAAGAAGAAATCACTGTGGTTTGGCCATGTTAAAGATGACATACAACAGGAAACAACCGTTTGGGAATCATGGCAGATTAATGTTAATTGCCGCCCGGTGCCCCCAGAGAAACTACTGGCTGACACATCCTCAATGCATGACAGGGGCGTGCAACAGTCCAGGAAGAGCTTTGAAGAGAATCTCATGGCCATATATGAGAAGATAGACAGCAGCAAAGATCACATCCCTCCTATAACGACACTTGATGTGTCGCCATTTCCATATGAGATCGAGGTGGATCCCAAATCTTCAAAGAAGCCCCCGCCTCCCCCAGACGACGAGTCCTGGGGTAATTACATCAAGAAGATGTTAGACTGACTACACGTCCACGGCTCAAGCCTTCATTTTTCATTGTAAATAGGATATTTACGTTGCATCTACTACAAGTTGGCGCTATACATGCCTTCCTCGCCACGGACGAGAATACACTCTTCCTGGTGTACCACTTTGTCAAGCAAGCCCAATGCCTCTGCTGTGTCCAATGCCTCCTGGTCGTAGCTACCAGGTTGGAACCACAATCCCTTTATGAGTGACTTGTATTCGGGAACCTCGGCAATGTCCTTAAGGGTCTGAACGGTAATGTGGGGAGGAGTCAAGAACGAGACACTGAGACCATCCTTCTCGGAAAGTTTATATTGCAGAATATCCTTCTTAGCACTCAAAGCTTTCAATACCTCGGGAATTGACTTGACCACAGGTTGGCCGAGAATTTCGCTTTCCTTCGGGTTGATAGGAACCACAGATAAACCGTGGCTCACGTACCACAGCAAAATTTTAAAGCCGAATTTGGAAGGGTTGTTGGAGGCACCGGCAACAACGTACTGTCTGGAGGCACCAAAAAAGGTCTTGATCTTAGGTTTCATAGACATGTCGATAAAAGTAGCTGTGATTGCTTTAGATTACTAACTTCTTTCACAAGAATCCGGGGGAAGGGACTTGTGCGGTGCACGGGTGCAGCAATGGTTGCAAACCGGAAGCCTTACAGGGAATAGATACTCTATGGATGGTTATAATACATAAATAAAGCAAATAGGTAAATGTCATATTTTTCAAGGTGAAGGGCGATAGAAATGGATCTTTTTTATTTGTTTGCATTTGTTTAGTAAATTGGTGCCGAAGTCTTGCAGTATATTTCTAGTATTCACACATTATTGGAAAGAAACGCACAGATTTCTAAAAAATTGCAAAACATTAGTGACTACCGCCACAAAAGTTCAATAATACATTGCTAGTATCTCAACTCAGTCTTCAAATCGTAAGATATATCTGTAACAATTATACAGAGACCAAAAGGCACATCGGGTGATGAATCGTGTGGCCCAACTGCTACCGTTAACCTGCCTTAGAACTGCATTATCCACAGTATATCTGAGTTATGATAAATAGTGATACGGTTCTCTAAAAAAGTTTTTTTTTACAAGTTATTCTACTGCGCCATTTAAAAGAGCCAATACAAAATTCTTAGAAAGAAAAGTGGAATTCAGAGAGAAAAAGCCGTGTTTCCATGACTCGTCTAGATAGTCTCTTGCATGTAAACGCACCTTCTCATCAAACCATACATTCTGTACGCACTACTATCATCACCATACTTACCGGTTTCCAATACTTTTTGATCTTTAGGCTGCCATGGCTAGAGAGAAGCGAACAAAGCCTTGCAGTAACTGTAAGCGGTCTAAAGTGAAATGTGAATATAAGGATTCGCTTCCGTGTACTCGCTGTATCAAAAATGGCCTCGCCAGCACATGTCAGATTGTTCCAAAACTACCGTCGCTAACACTACCGCAAGTCGGTCCTCAAAGTCTACCAGACTTTCATATGGTTCCTCAAGTTCCACATCTACCGCATCATGCAAAGCCGTTTACTCATCCGCCACCGCCTCCCTTGCCAGGAACCATGGGATATCAACCGTCACCGAGCCAACTGAACCCACCTATACCCACACACCATCATCATACACCACCAGTCTCTTCCTTGTCGCCTAGATTAAAAAAGCAAGAGGATCCCGAGCTGCAATGGAAGTCACACATGGAGAATAAACTCAACTCATTTGAGTCAAAGTTTGACAACTTGGTGGAAGCGCTTCGAGGGAACCAACGCTACAACAAGGGCGAAATCGAAGCAAACCAGAGGTACTTTGCCATTAAGGATTCATCATCAGGGGCACAGTCACCTTATGGAAATAGCATAGAGTCTACTCCGGATTCGTCTGAATCAGAGCGCAGTTATAAGCGTCTGTCACAACAGGATTACTTCTTGAACAAAAGAAGGAAGACAGTGGACGATGACTTTCGTGATTCTGTGTTGTCTTTGCAAGAGGCAAAAATGCTTTTCAAGTTCTTTGACACCAACATCTCGCAACAATTATTTGGTTTCGAAATTGACAAATTCCAGGTCCATCAAATCTGGGAGAATTCTCCCCTACTCATTTGCGCCGTCTGTACGATTGCTGCAATGCATTATCCAGATCCATCCATCTCATCTAAACAGGCTGCTTTGCAGCACCATTTGCATAAACTTTGTTCCGGACTTTTGTTTCAGCCGAAACCCAAATCAGACGCCGAAAGTTTTAATATAATTTTGGCTCTCATACTTTGCAGCTTCTGGCTCGCGGACTCTCAGAGATTCACGGGTTTGGCCTTGCAGCTAGCTAAAGAGTTTGGTCTCAATAAACCCGTGTCGAAAAGCGAAGACCTGGCATCGCTCAGCTCCAAAGATCGCCTCAAACTTTGGTACTTGCTCTACGTTTTGGATGGCCAGCAGTCCATGTCACTCAACAGACAATCGCTTTTTGATTCTGTTGATTATTCAATTACTAACAGTCGTGATCTACTCCTAAACAAGAAAACGCTCGAAATCAAAGATGGGCCAGAGGAAGAAGACAAAGCGAAAGACGACGCTGTTGTTCATGCAAATTCCCCTGGCGAAGTCAAGACGAATGCAAAGGAAACTAATGCCTCATACTTTACTGACTTACGGTTGGTTTCGCAGGTGGAATATAACCTGGCAATAAGAGAAGCCTTCAAGGGTAATGCTTGGGACCTAATTGCCCCTAGCACGTTCGGTATACCATCCAAGTCGAACTTGGAGCTTGATAAATGGATGGTATCGTGGACGGTTCTTCTTGCACCAGTTAACAATGGAGCTGTTTGGCTGTCAAAATCTACACTCATTTACTATAATTTTGCTAAGATGCACATCAATTGCTCGGCTTTGAGAGAATTACAGGTCGAAACAGGAGCTGAAAGCGTGATATTCCCCAAATGGGAAAGATACCATCAATTAAGTCAACGAGCGGAGCCTGTTGCACATCAACAAAAGCAGTCGGAGCCCTTGGATTCGGAAGATAGTGATGATGACGAGGAAGATGATCTCATAAGCAACAAAGAGCTCATTACTCACGACCAGACTCTTCTTAGTCTCAACATAGCTATGAATGCTGCGCAGACTGTGTTGAACCTAGTTCTCAGTGACAAAGATATTCTCAACAATTTGAGGTATGTCCCCTTGCATATCCACATCATGCTTTACTATGCCGCCCTATTGCTTGTCAACCCTCCTCCGACTGATGGCAGAAAGATTGAGGATACAAAGCAGGACACATACTTTTTCAAGATCATTGAAAGTTTGAGAACTGCTAAGTTACTCCAAAAGAAAATCTACGTTAATTTACCAACAGATAAATCTTTCGGAAATCGGTTCATCGAGAGTCTTGACGACGTTGTCATTGACAGGACTCGTAGGCTCAAGGTTGAACTTGAGGAGTCAAGTCTTGGCGCAGATCAGAAACGTGAGATCTTCGAACAAATATCTACCTTGCATTTTCTTGACGAACGGTTGGAAGTTTTGCCGGGCTCAAGGGGAAGCAGTAAGGAATCGTCTCCTAGAGCAGCAGGTATCGCAGCATGGCCAGGGTCGCATCATGGCCATCCCTAATATACTCGCATAGTGCGTTTGCACCTTCTATTATACTTGTAGTCACAAAAACACATATCACACTTAGTAATGCCAATTAAGCCAATGAACGCCATTGGCGAAGGTCAGAGTACGTCTTTTCGTTGTCCCCATGTGAGGCGGTCCGATCCTGAGCTTGAGGACCTTATTTTGCAGTTAGAATACTTCGACGCCTTGAATCACTATTCTAAAGCTCTTACCGTGGAGTTATACAGAAGTACTTTGGATCTAATTCATGGCTCTTTCGAAGTTGTTTATCAGCTGCAAATTCTCTTCTCCAAGAACTTGGGGGAGGAGACTCGCAACCCTGTAACTAAAACGTTGGAGGAGGAGTTCGTTCAAGGTTACTATTATACTTTGGGAGACATTGCCAACAAAGCTATGCCCATCTTAGAGAGCACTTTTAAAAAGTCGGAACAGAAATGTGCCAAGTTAGATAAGATTATCGCTTCGGTAAAGTTTAAAGTCGTGAAGCATGATATGTACTCACAATACTTCGAAGGATGTAAAGTCTGCTCAAGAAGAGATTCAAATCATTTGAGAGGTATTTCGAGGATAAAACGGAAGGACTCAGAGATGTTAAAGAAATATGGGAGATTGAAAGCATTCCTTAAAGAGGAACTACCTCTTTTTAACCAGTACTATGAGGACTTCACTACGAAATTGTTAGCTTTGCAAGCATCAGCCCAAGAGGAAATTGCAAACATAGTGATCAAGGACTTAGCTGGTTTCTACAAAGTATGGAATATTGATATTGACGATGGCATCCCGATGAATGAAGAGGATTCATCTAATACTTCGAGAAATAAAGTTTGCGAGTGAATGTACGAATTTTTACATGTTATACTTATGTCCAGATTGAGAGTAGTGACGACTATAGAGTGTCAAAGCAGTCTAGCGTAGCAAGCTATGCTTTCGCTGGGACATTTCAATCTTTACGTACTTTATCTGTAATGGCTACCAAAGTATCCAGTTCTTGCTTTGTAAATTCTGACACATTTTCCACAACAGAATTCACGCTTAAAAGGAACGTTAGTATTCTTGAGAACATCCCACCACTCGTAGACCTCTGCATAAGGCTCTACAACCACCGTATCACATTCGCTACAGGTATCTTCAAACATACCTTTGGCAATAGCCTTTGCTATTAAGTGATGCACAACACGAGGGGTATGGCGCTTCCATGAATGCGTCTCGCTGTACGTCACATCGTATTTAGCAATGGTATGCAAGCACAAAGTTTTGAGAGAAGGAACATTGGTTTCCTCAGCCTGTTTGATAACCTGACTGACATATTTCGGAGATGGTTTCTCACTTTGCGGAATTTCAATCGCATCAACAGGGATCGAAATGAAAGGATTTGGTCCTGCTCTGAACGTGCTAAGGTTTGGGAGATCAAGAATTTGCACAGGCAAGTATCGTAGATGATTTGTTGCAATGTTGAGATCACACAAATTTGTGAGATGCTTAATACTGGCTGGGATAAATCGAATATAGTTTTGACGCAAACTCAAGACGTTTAACTTAGTGTAAGCGAAAAGTGCAGGGTTGATAGACCGTAGATGGTTGTTGGTCAAGTAAAGTTGATAAAGGTCTTTGTTCGGATCCTGAGAGAAAATGACCAAGTTATTCAAATCACGAACCTCCTCAGGAATCTCTGCTAGACCCATTCCTTCTAAGCTGATTGATGCGGTCACATCTTCAAATGCTTGGAGAATCTTGTGCCTTGCAAGCGCATACAGAGCAGCAGACGAGGTTGGGTCAGCTTCACTTGGGTAATCAGTGTCAGTCGAGGGGCATGCGATATAACTGGAAGTCTTGAAGGAATTGAACGGACCGATACCGAAATCAGGCTCTGAACTTCGATTGTCAACAAACCGTGGCTTCTTCTTGTGCACAGGTGACGTGTTTAAACTCCCCATTGCATGATTAATTTGGACTGGACTGTCTGGAACTGTCTGAGTAGTGGTAGATATGTCAAACTCAGACATTTGAGGTACAACAGGAGGACTACTGGGGAACTCCTTGCCCACATATTGGGACGACTGAGGACCAACACTCTGCCTCAGGTCAGGATCAGTGTCAGTGGCCCCAGTGAACTCGTCCTCATCACTAGATGGATCATTAAAATCGTCAAAATCTCTTCTTTTGATATCGTCCTTCTCATTAAAACTCTCACCCATCTTTCTCTTCAATTGCGGCATCACGAGAGGTGCCGCCCTCCGTAAAGGACCCTGCTGACGATCTTGTCCTCTCGTATGATAACTGCTTCTTGCGTTTTCGTCTATGACATGTTTATCCCTGGGGTCTGTGCTCAAGGCGCTCTTCTCGTCGAAAGAGCTCGTCGAAAATGCAAAAGGGAGCAAAGGATTGCTTTTCTCCATTCTAGAATCAAAGAACTAGAGCTGATTTCAGGCGTACCTCCACCGAGTTACTTGTCTTTATACGTCCCGATATGCGGGTGTATCTTTTAGTGGACCGCGCGTCTTAGATCGCGGTTTTTGTTGACCTTTCTTCCGAGCATTATCGTGGACCGAGAACAGGCATACATACAATAAGCGAACTGTAGGAGAGGTCCTAACAAGGTTGGAATTACGGGAACAACAACTTCTTTGATCCGTTTGGCTCTTTTATACCAAGATTTATGGATCTAACAAGTATCTTAGAATGATCTGGACCATTAAAATCCGAAGAATAAAGATCGTTTCCAAGGGGCGAATGCATGAGCGTGCCGCACAGAGTAGCTACATAGAAGCCCAGGCCAGGGAAACTTAGAATAGGAGCTGTCATTTGACCCATGCACCGACTTTTTTTTTTCTTCCTTTACTTGAAGAAAGCTTCTCTTTTCTTTTTTTTGCTTCGTTATTTTTTTCCCTCGTTTGTTCCGAATCACTTCGATTTGACGAGACATGATATGAGCAGATCAGATTCATTGTGATAGTGACATTTGGATTTTCCGAAGATCTGTTTTTCAATGAGCTTTCATGGAACCTTCTTGATTCATTGTAACTGCTAGCCGAAATATAGAAACCATTGAACCTTCTAAGGGGGGGCTAGAACAGGTGTCATACCAAGATATAGGTCCTAATGAATGAGCCCAGCGCTTGTATGAACGAAAAGCATATCGAACCAGATTAAGATTCTTGGAAGCTTCTTTCAGATCTTAACTTTCCATGCATAAACGGCTACGGTTAAGGATGCCTCGTGAGACTCCAACTCGCCAATGGGCTCGCGTAGTGACGGTCATTTATGCAACTTTGCTTCCCCAGGGCGGAGGATCCTTCCAATGGATCAGCCAGAATTTTTTTGGGCCATTGTAGCTACCATTCAGAAGCCTGCTGAGCATGCTTGGGCTTGCGGCAAGCCGCATAAAGAAGTCGAATCTCTGAGCCGTCTAGGTAACCGGAAGACACTCCGCTCTCGTTATACTTTCCTTAAGCGAACCCCTTGTGAAAGTGCACTCGGTAATTATGACCACACTTAAAAGCTTGAGATTTGGATCTTTAATTCACAAATAGTCGATATCATGAGTTTTCAGTTTGGTTACGAGGTTTGGAAAAGGGCCGACTCGAGTTGGAATAATGGTAGGAAGATTCCATCATTCTCAGAGTTGATATCAAGCTGTAAGTTGAAAGAGATTTATTTATCCGATAAAAGTTCAAAAGGACCGATTTCAAATAAGAAAGACAGTGCTTCAGGCCTACCGCCCTTCGAAGTCTATGATAGTCCTCCTTTGACCGAGTTGAATCAGAGTGGCTCATCTGGACTAACTACAGCATCCAGTTCACCATACGCTTGTTTAATCCCTACTTCTGAAATTCTGGAAATTAATGGAGATGAGGACACGACACATGAACAAGACCTGGTCAAGCTAGCGACTCCTATTTCCATATCATCAATATCGGATGAAGAAGCAGAGTCGCAAGAGCCAGAAAATAATAGCATAAGAGTTAAAAAGAAGTCTAGGAGAACCAGCCATATTGCCAAAAGACACAGCAATAGAATGAAAAGTACCTTAATGAGTCATGAAAAGATACTTTTCTCCTGTTCCCCTAGACCGGCTACGAAGCATTCGTCAGAGAAAGTTGTTTACCCACAAAACCTTTTAAACAAAGATCTTTGCCTAAAGAAGAACACACAATGCAGCCAGTGTGGTTCAAAGAAGACCCCAGAATGGAGGTCGGGCCCTACAGGGAGTAGAACCCTTTGCAACGCTTGTGGCCTCTTTTTTGCAAAGCTAACTAAAAAGTTGGGCCATGAAGATGCCAGTAGATACTTTCTAAACCTGAAGAAAGTTGGAAACGTTTTTGACCGTCGGATTGGGGCTCTACAATGTTGAACAAATCATGGAAAATATTTAAGAGTCTATTCTTGTCCCTTCGAATCGGGATTGATTGTTGTATAGTAATGCATTGCGAGTTCATCAAGCCATTTCTCTTCAATTATCATGCAATTCCTCATGTATTCTTTAGAAGTGAGAACCAACTCATGATATAAGACAAACTTCGGAGGCGGCTTTAAAGGGTACAACACAGATGATGGGTGAATAAATACGGGAAGTTTCCGTTTCAATTGAACGTAGCTCGATCCAAGCTTGGAAAGTCTAGCGACATTCGGGAAGAAGCCTGAAACCAATGCCTTCTGTATCCGTTTCAACTTCTCATCATAGTCCAACTTAGACAGGCTGTTTTCCTCTACATCGATGCCCACCCGTTTGCATAGCCTCTGTAATTGGGTCCGAACTTCCTTGGCCCTTTTAAGTGTACGATACTGAAGAAAATTCTCCTCTGCCCAAATATTTGAAAAGCCCGTATTTTCCCACTCGTTCCAGATGTTTAGAAGAGTAAGATGATCACCTAGGTCATGACGAAAAGCGTCCTTTTTCTTATCTGCCTGTTCTCTTTTGTCCTTTGGACGGAAAAAGAGCGAAGAAGACTCAGAAAGTAGTGCCATAACGGATAGGATTTCTGGAGTCACTTCGAAATCGGCACTTTTGAGGAGACATTTGCAGAACATAGGGTCCATTGGAAACTCGGCCATTTTCCTTCCAATATCTGTGATTTGACCTTTCATGTTGAGGGCGCCTAGTGCATAAAGTAACTCAAAGGATTTGATTAAGGTTTGTGACGAAGGAGGGTCCATGAAATCAAAATGCATTAAATCAGTGATACCCATCGACAAAAGCATGAGGATAATAGTGCTAAGATTTGTACGCTGGATCTCAGGAGTGGGATTTGCCTGCAACTCATTGTAAAAAGACCACTTAGTAAAGAGACGATAACACTTTCCTGGTCCCACTCTTCCTGCTCTACCTGCTCTTTGGTCTGCAGATGCTCTAGAGCATGGAACCACGACAAGACTTTCCATACCTGTAGTGGGGTTGAAAACATTCTCTTTCACATATCCCGGATCGATGACATACTTAATTCCATCAATTGTGATGGAAGTTTCAGCAATATTAGTGGCTAGAACAACTTTACGAGCATCCGGTGGAGTCGGCTCGAAAATCTGCTGCTGTTGTTTTGGCGGAAGATTAGCATAGATTGGGGCAATTATTAGCCTTTTTATCAGTGATCCCAACTTATCACAAGCTTCAACTAACGCCTCATTCATTGATTCAATCTCGTCCTGTCCGGTTAAGAAAACAAGAATGTCTCCAGAGGTCTCTTGAGTGGTATGAATCTGAAAGATAGTCGTTATAGCAGCTTGAATATAATTTGCTTCTGGGTTCTTAGTGTAGCATACATCAACAGGATATCTTCTGCCAGGAATCTTGAAGATTGGTGCATCATCAAAATACTCAGAGAATTTTGAAGCATTGATAGTGGCAGAAGCAATTATGAGTTTGAGATCGTTCCGCTCTTTGATGATGTCTTTGAGTAATCCCAAAACAATTTCAGTGGATACAGTGCGTTCGTGAGCTTCATCGATCATGAGAGCACTGTAGGATGTAAGCAAAGGATCAGTAAGGAATTCCCTTAGAAGCATACCATCCGTGAGATACTTGATATGCGTATTTTCAGAAGTACTCTCTTCAAAACGAATGCTGTAGCCGACTTTGTCTCCCAATTTGCAACCGACTTCATCAGCCACTCTGGCGGCCACGGATGTTGCTGCAACTCTTCTTGGCTGTGTACATCCAACTTTCTGTACCTGATCTTTATCGTTCTTTGTTTGCGTGTATCCGGCCTCGAATAAGTATTGCGGTAGCTGAGTAGTTTTACCGGAACCAGTCTCACCCACAACGATGAGTACCTGGTTCTCTTCGACCTTTTGAAGAAACTCCTGTCGAAGTTGAAACACCGGTAAAGACTCCCTAACTTCCTTCATCGACGAACGAGCAGAAGCATTGACCGAGACCGGGTCATCATCTGTATCATCCCCTTCTTCCTGCTCGTCTTCTTCAGCAAAGTCTATGAATTGCGAATCATCGAAGACGTACTCATACTGCTGATCCAGCTGAACTTGAATTTCATCTGGATTTGCGGTTTTGATTTCGGAAGCTTTTCGTAACTGGTCAAGTTCCCACTGGTTTTCAAAACGAAACTTCTTTTTTGTATCCACCACTTCTGTTCTTTCATCTCTTTGTTTTGCTGATAGTAGATCACGCTTCCGTTTTCTGTCGACATGAGATGTGGAGCCATCTGTTCCTGGAAGCTCATACTCATTCAATTGCTCAACGTCTTTCGTATTTCGAATGGATTCGATAAGCTCTTTCTTTTCTCGGTATTCCTGTGCTTCCCTAGCATTGAGGTCATTGCGAGACTCTAGACGTTCCAAGTCAGCCTCAAGTTCTGCAAGCTTAGATTCGAGACGTTTCTGAAGGTAGGCAGCTCTGGAAGACTTTCGAGCATCATCGACATCTATTGCCCCTATCTTCGAACCTTTCTGGGTATCTTTCTCGCTTTCAGCAATGGATTCTTCACTGCGGACATCGTCCAATGTCAGCTTGCGTTCATTGTCCTCTTCATCTTCCCAGAGGTCTTTTCTCCGTCGATGACCCGTTCCACTTATTCTTGACATGGATTATATCTTATCTGTATATTGTGTATGCTGCCTTGTTTACCTCAGGTTCACTAACACTATCTGGACTGTAGGAAGACAGCTGATGAGCATCGCGCTAGATAACCTCTAATCAACTTCTTCTGTCAGGCCCATCCGCATTTCCCATGAGTTCCCTGGTTAGTGGGAGACGGAGATCATCCCGAATTGCTCCTCATGACGAAACATCTTCATTCTTTCTGCCTAGTCCGATGTCCGCCGTTTCATCGGCTACTCCACAGGGGTCGCTGGATCATCCAACTCCGCTGTCACTTCACAGCAAATCACCTGGCGTTTCCACTTACATCCCTCCATGGACAGAGCCGTATATTATAGGTGTTGCAGGGTTCTCGGGGTCTGGAAAAACCAGTATTGCTCAGAAGGTCATCCTGGAGTTGAACCAACCTTGGACCGTGCTTTTGCTGTTTGACAACTTCTACAACCCATTATCCCTGAACAGAGAGAACAAGCATTTAATAACAATTTTGATTTCGATGAGCCTGGCTCCATTGACTTGGATCTTGTTGTTGAGACCATCAAATCGTTGAAACAAGGTAAGAAGACAGAGATTCCAGTGTACTCATTCACGCACCACAATAGGTCGGATAAAACGATCACCATCTACGGCGCCAATGTTATTATTATGGAGGGAATTTACGCTCTTTACGATAAGCGTTTACTCGACCTTATGGATATCAAGATTTTCGTTGACACCGATCTTGATGTGTGCTTGGCTCGTAGACTCACACGAGACATTTTGTATCGTGGAAGAGATCTTGCCGGTGCACTTAAGCAGTGGGAGGTTTTCGTGAAACCAAATGCCGTCTCGTCTGTTACGCCAACCATGCATAATGCTGATATTGTCATACCTCGAGGCCTTGAGAATACCACTGCCATAGAGCTCATGATTCAGCACATTCAAAAGAGATTAGCACTCAAGAGCACCTTGCATCTTCGTCGTCTAAAGGCACTCGGACTAGGTCCAAACTTTGATCTACAGAGTATCCAAAATTTGAAGATCCTCCCTTACAATAACCATACTGCGGGAATCTACCTGATTTTGTTCAATGCACAGACTGATCGTACTGATTTTATTTTCTATTTCGATCGCATAGCAAATCTCCTAATCGAGGTTGCAATTGAGCAGCTCACCGCCTACGAGGAAATTGATGTAAAATGCTGTAAAGGGTATTCATATAAAGGGTTGAAGCAGACTGAAGATATTGTTGCTGTGAGCATTATTCGTTCAGGAGACTGTTTCATGAACTCCATCAAGAAGACCTTTCCTTCAATCCCGATCGGAAAGCTTTTGATTCAAAGTGACTCGCTTACAGGCGAGCCACAATTGCATACCGAATCATTGCCCAAAGCCAAGACTGGTGATAGATTCTTCTTGTTTGATGCACAAATTATAAGCGGAGCTGCCGCAATCATGGCGATTCAAGTTCTAATTGACCACACTGTTAAGCAAGAAAACATTGTGCTTATTTGCTCTCTACTGACCGAAATCGGTATCAGGCGAATCTTCAATGTATTCCCTCAAGTCACAGTTGTGGTGGGACAGATAAGCAAGATGGAGGTGGCGGAGCTCGGCTGGGGCTGGAGCAGGCCGTTGAGGACCTGGAGGATGACGTTAGTGCCCAAGCATCACTCCAGAGCAACCTGGCTGAGAAGAGCAAAGAAATGACTAGTAAGGGTAGCAATGCATCAACACCGCGAAGCACGGTGGGCCCGTCATCGAGAAGTGTCAAGGCGCCTGAGTTTCGAGACACAGATTGGCTCTTCCGCACCAGATTTATAGATTCATTGTACTTCGGTACAGCATAGATAGCATTATCCTGCAAGCAAACTGGGTATGTTTCAGTTATTCTCTGAGGAGGTCGTAGTACTGGCAGTTCTGGGTAGCAGGAACTTGATAGCAACGGAGTTTCGCCTATGATGGTTCTTGAAGCTGCAAGATCTTGGTGACGACACTTGTGAAAGCCTCTCTGAGGACAGCTCTGAAAGCCTCTCTGACACTTCTTCGCCAAAAGTATTGAGGTCACAAATTGAAAATCTCCTTTGCGGAGAGTAAGTATCTGGTTTTGACTCTGGGGTAAAAGAGGTGGATTTTGTCAAAGGAGGCCTTTGATTGTCAAGTAAAAATCCCGACAAGGGTTTATTTGGAGGAGATTCAGGGGACTCAGAAGAGTCCACGTCCTCTATAGCTAACGAAAAGCGTCTTTCAGACATAGTAAGGAGTAGATGGTGGTTGCAAAAATCAAGGAGCAGTAGGTGAAAAACGAAGCAGATAAGCGACAGACTATTGGCAGCCCCCTGACCAATATATATATGTTCCCACAGAGAAGGATGAGTAGATACCGTAACCGGGGTGAAAAACTAACGAAACAAAAGAAACTAGGCTGATATCATTTGATCACGTTATCATATCTGGGGTTGCTTGTGTACAATGCAGAGGAGAAGGACGAGCGAGTGTCGGGGGAGAAATAAAGAAAGGGGCACACACCCATCATTCTCGAAGTCCGAAGAACCATCCACGGCATGAACAGTATATTGTAAGTTTTTCTTTGCTCTGGCGTTCACGTTTCCTGGCTTCTACTCTTCAGCAAACGATTGACGCCAACCGGTGGGTAGGGAGACACAAAAAGTCACCACAGCGTCAAGCTCCTGAATGAAAATCTGGGGTCGCATTTCGCAGCCATTCCTGGGGTGGTGGCCAGGCCTTCGTTACCGGTTGACAATTGGACGCGACGAGGGAGAAAAAGATACCTGGCGGGGAGACAACGAAAAGGCAGAATTATACATTTCACCAAGGGGCTCCCAAAGCCCTTAAAGTTGGTCCTTTCTTTCTGGCCCCCACACAAAAGTTGCCTAGCCCCTAATATAGTGTGTTACAGGTAAGGGTAAGTTATGGCCTGGCTTATGGGCTGATGTAAATGGTATGATGTCAAAGCAAAATGAGAGGTTTATAAAGGCAGAGCAAGGGAAGAGAAGAGTGGTGGAATTTCCAAAAAAAAAAATTCTCTCCATGTCCTACTGCCTTATCTTTTATAGATAGTGTGTCTGGCGGGGCAGGGAGCAACGTCACGATAGCACCCCTCACAGGAGGCCCTCACAGGAGGCTCCTGTTATCGAAAGCCAACTTCGAGTCACTCCCAAAAAAAGTCACCTCACACGAAGTGGCGCTTGCGGTATTCGAACCAGGGACAAGAGCCAGTGGGTTCAACAAACCTTTTTTTTTTGCCCAAGCCCAAGCCCAAGCATAAGCCCAAAGAACGCAGTCAAAAAAGTGCCGGAGTGACCCGGTGACCGGTGGGCCGATCAGAAGCGATCTATCACGGAACTACAGTTCCGCAATTTGTATTTTGCAACCACTCCCACCCCACTCACCCCGCCACTCAGATCCCACTTTTCAACGGTAGGGCCGATACTGATGCTTCCCACTTACCTTATCAGGAGCTTATTCCTTCTTATCGAGGCAAGTAGTATGCTGTTGATCGGACTTGCCGTAATGCTTCCCTGCTTCCCTCCACAAAATGGACTGCACTGACGCGAAAAATTACTGGAGTCATTAGTGCTCTTACATACTCTCCACTAGCAAAAAAAAAAAAAAAAAAAAGCTCAGCACAAGCTTCCGTTCTCCCATTCCGATCATTTAGCCGCTTTTGTCTACAATCATTAGATTCATTTCCGCATTGCTTTAAATACTCCTTCGTTTCCACCATGAAGCTCCATCATTTCGTTCGTCATTCCAAAATGTCTCCGCTGCTTATCTCTCGCAGATGCCAGTCTTCTTTCCTGCCAGCTCCTCCATTCACCATCAAGGACTTGAATGAGTCCACCCTCGAAGCAAAGTATGCTGTACGTGGTAAGATCCCTATTCGTGCCGACGAATTGAGGTCGGAAATCGATACCAATCCTTCCCACGGCTTGCCTTACGACCGTATCATCAGTGCCAACATTGGTAACCCTCAGCAATTGGACCAGAAGCCCTTGTCCTGGTACAGACAAGTCTTGTCGTTGATTCAGTACCCAACACTTATCAGCAAGATTGAAAAGTTGGAACCTTCTGTTCGTGAACACTTGTACCCATCTGACACTGTGGAGCGTGCCCGTAAGCTCCTAAAGTCCACCGGTTCTGTCGGTGCCTACTCCCATTCCCAAGGTGACGCTGGCATCCGTAGATCGGTTGCTAACTTCATTGAAAAGAGAGACGGTTATGCTGCTGACCCTACTGATATCTTCTTGACCGGTGGTGCTTCCGCTGCTGTTTCTTACTTGATCCAGGTTTTGTCCTCCAACGACAAGTCTGGTTTCTTGATCCCAATTCCTCAGTACCCATTGTATACCGCATCGATTGCCTTGAATAATGCTGTCCCAATTGGCTACCTCTTGAACGAAGAGAAGGAATGGTCTACCGACCCTAACGAGATTCGTGAATTGATTGCTGAAAACAAGGAAAAGGGTGTCACCATCAAGGCTTTGGTCGTTATCAACCCAGGTAACCCAACCGGTGCTATCTTGAAGGAACAAGATATTGTCGAGCTTATCAACATTGCTGCTGAACACGGTCTTGTCCTTATCGCTGATGAGGTTTACCAGGAGAACGTCTTCCACGGCGAGTTCGTTTCCGTCAAGAGGGTCTTGTCTAAGTTGCTCGAGAAGGATAATGAATTGTACAAGCACGTTCAGCTTGCTTCTTTGCATTCCACCTCCAAGGGTGTCAGTGGCGAGTGTGGCCAGCGTGGTGGCTACATGGAATTGGTTGGTTTCACCCGTGAGGTCCGTGACATTATCTTCAAATTAGCATCCATCAACCTTTGTTCTGTCGTGTCCGGTCAGGCCCTTGTGGAACTTATGATCAACCCACCAAAGCAGGGTGACCCATCTTATGAATTATACCACCACGAGACTCTGAGCATACACAAGGACCTTGAGAAGAGAGCCCTGCTGTTGTACGAGGCTTTTAGCAAGATGGCTGATGTTAGCTGTCAAAAGCCACAAGGTGCCATGTACCTTTTCCCACGCTTGAACTTTTCAAAGGAGAGCTACCCTTCTTTGTTCAAGAAGGCTGATGAGATGAACTTGACGATTGATGAACTTTATTGTACCGAATTATTGGAGAAGACTGGTATCTGTTGCGTTCCTGGTAACGGGTTTGGCCAGGCACCAGGCACTGCTCACTTGAGAACTACCTTCTTACCTCCAGGAACCGAATGGATTAGTAGCTGGGCTTCATTCCATGAAAAGTTCGTTGAACACTTCAAGCAGTGAAAAATTGTTGTATTTTAATAAATCTATTCAGTTTTGGGTTTCTCCTCTTGTACCTCTTGTACACCTGCCTCTTCGAATGTGCCAAAAGTATATGCAATTGCTATCGATATCCACGCAGGGAACCAGCCAAGGGCAACCACAAACCACGTCCAGCATTGCAATTCATCCCACAGTGTCAATAGACGTTGGGTCAAAGTGACAATACCAGCCTCCTTTTCACCATCATAGAAGTAACCCAAAAGAAGGATTGCCGTGATCGGGGAGGATACAAGAAGACATGCGAGAATTTTCGTCTTGAACGCGTTGCCCTTATTTTTGATTTGAGCTGATATCTGCGGTTGAATGAAGGTCAATGGCAAGGAGCATAAGCCAATGGTGAATGCAAGCGCAAAATGCACGATAAGCAAGGTGGTGATTAGCATTGCAATGAAATAAAGACTGAAAGCAATTAAGGAGTACGTCGTCACCTTGCTGAATCTCAGGGGTACAATCGCTCTAACGACCTGCTTCAATGATAAGAGAAAAGAAACCACAATTGCGACAATGATTATCAACCTTGATTGCAGGTATGGATCTGCAGCAGTCTCCACTAGGTGGGGAAGTGCAAATGCGAAGATCAAACAGACGAGCTCAATGGCTGTGAAGGTCATCAATAATGTTCCCATACCAATAAGATATTCTCCACCTGTAACACCATTCGCCAAGCAGCACAAGGAGCTCAAGGCAAATGCAACAGCCAAAAGGACAGCCGAAGGTAAGTATGTTCCGATAGAGACAAAATGCTTGGGTGACAAAAGAAGGTAGAAGAAAAACGACTGATGGAATTTTTCAAGCAAATTGTTGACCGCTCTGAAAGTGGAGTCTACAATTCTTCCGAATTGTGTGATATCAGGGCCACCAGTACCAACTGCACGGATAGTGACGGCCTGAATTTGCCATCCAGAAAAAGCTTCACATCCAAAGGTAGACTTGTGTAAGCCTGCCATTGCCAAGTGAAGGATTCCTCTAGCCAAGGTTCTCAAACGAGATCCGTAATCCCTTCTCGTAAGTTCTTCGCCAGGGGTCAGTTGAATTCCAACATGCATATTCTCATTTCTGGCGATTGTTGTAATGGTATTAATCAAATCCAAGTTCGGAAGTTGGCCATTGAGACCCTCGTAAATGAGTTGCAAGTGGTCAAAGTTATCACTATCTTTGGCATATTCTAGCACAATGGCAGCTTCAATAGAACCTGCTGTAAGATCCAAGGAGGTGTGGTAAGCTTCAACCCAAGACCTCAATGATGCATGTCCATCCCTTGGAAATACAAAGATGACATTCTTGGACCAGATCGACATCCTACCAAAGTAACGAGCCAAAGCTGGCGCCAAGGCGAGACCACCGATATTGTCCTCGTTGGTTGATGTGATATAAGGGGCAACAAGGACCACCGACTCTGTATTGTCACCACGAGGGGCATGCATAATAGCATAGAGTGTGGAGCTATTGGTTTTATCATCCTCAAAGTGTGCCACCTTGAGACCAAGATCCGTCAACCACGTCTCAAGCATCGGGTTAGATCTCGCTGACTCTTCGTAGTTCCATTTCTTGGTCTCAGATCTATAGCCTCTAACAATATTCCATTCACTTTCACGGAAGTAGGACGTGACTTGACCAGGCATCAACGCATTCTCTGAAATATACGTGTTTCTGAACTGGCCATCTTGAGGAAGCACAAGGAGCCAAGCGACACTGGCAAGTGCGAAGACAAATGATATAACTGGTAGTAGCTTCACAACCTTAGGGATTATTCCCAGTTTGTGGACCCTTCGAAGGAAAGACTCCGCCAATGCCATGGTTGTTGAAGTAGGTGTATAACTCTAACTATGGGAAACGTATAGATTCAGTCCAAGGTGCACGGGTTCAATAAACTTCAAACGTAAATAGGCCCTAAAACCAACAACTTTTGGTTGAAAGAGAGAATTGATGGCCTGATAGTGGCAATTAGGTTATCTTGATTTCTCAACGCTTTTCTAGGAAATTTCAGCGAGTGATGGTGCTCTTACTACATTGACTGGAGTAGTCTTCGCAACCGCGCATAGTCCAGTGTCACCATAACTAGCAGACTTAGTTAATTGAATAAATCGAAGGATGTGCATCAAAAGTCGATGAAAAACTCCATGAAGCCAACTTTATCATACTACAAGAAGCTTTATAAGAATCTCAATCGTCTTCCACTTGACGTGGGAAGCCTCAATCTAGCCAAATCGAAGGCTCGAGATGCCTTCAGAAATGGAAGGTCAATACCCAATGCACCAGTTGAAGATCCCAAATGGTACCACAAGGTGATGAAAACTACTGATGAAGTGTTAAAAGGTGACAACTTTCTGATTCATAAGGTTCTAGATCTATTATACAAGGACAGTGAGCCTCAACAGCCGTGGGTTAAGGAATTCATCAATACTAAATACAGTGCATTTAAACCTGTTTGGCCAACAGTTCATCTACTACACGAGTTTGGGCAAAAGAAGCATATTAGCCGGTATGATAAAGAACTAGCTAATTCGAGTCCTGAATTGAAAGGTTTCCTGCTTATGAATGAAATGAAGCTCTCGCTACCGCGAGGCGAAACTCCCATAAAGCCATTGCGGAAGATCCATTCCAAATCAAGCATTGAAGAAGTCCTTGAAAAGGTTAAACCCTTTTATCTGTTTGTTTTGAAGCATTCGGAAACCTTGCTAGACGTAAAGTTAAAGCCTTTAGAGGTACTCCACGAACCAACAAGTTATGGTCTACCGAAGAGCGTTGCATCTAGAGAACGAGATATCAGAACCAAGGTGTCTAGTGTTAAGGATATTATTCAACGCATTCGTCCTTTGACTAAAAAGCACATGTTTCATTTGGGTGAAGTAGCATCCGGTCGGTCTAATGATAGCACAATTTCAATTAATGAAAACTTCTTCCGTTATGCATCTCGCCAGCATGACAGGAACAAAGATATTTCTCCTTACGAAAAGAAATACATTCTCCACAAGCAATTGATCCCCAATGAACGCAACATTAGGTTCTTCTACAAGGAGTATGTTATTCGTCAATTTTTTGAGAATGACAAAGGTGATTACCAAATGAGCCCCTTTTATTTTTACGATTAATGACTATATCCTTATGATGGAATAGTTCCTTTTCGTCTTGTCAAAGATGCAGCCTGTAACACCGCTCGAAAGCGGATCTTTGGTTACTGCCATAATTGCAGGTTCCGGGATAGTTCCATCGCCGTCAAATGCCACCACCTGGTATATCTCTAAATCTAGATATTTCGCATCTGAGCCAATATCAGGCACCTTAAATAAGACTAACTCAGACAAATTGTCGGATTTTTTTAGAAGAACAAGAGCCCGGGACCCTGCTATAAGCAGATATGAGATTATGTCACTGGGGAAGTCAATTGTTGTACTTTTCTGTCCTGCTCCGCCAAAGCTATTGATTGTAAGCAGATTCAGATGGGATGTAGCGACGAGGATATTCTCATCCGCTAAAATTATTTGGCACTCACCAGGACTTGACAGCCTTGGAATTGTTCCAATGACTTTGAAGTTGGCTTTCTTTGCAATGTATTCTTGAATGCCCGGAAGAAGGGTCTGGTTGATCTCGGCTTTGAGGTCTGTAAGCTTCTTTATTAGTGAAACATCCTTATCTTCTGTGGTCATGATCACATCATTCTTTGAAGAATCTATTTCGAGAAGTGACATGAGTACAGATTGAGTCATATACTTATCGACATATTCGACCGTAGCAGTCGAACTGACTTCAATTTCAGGATGGGCTTTCAAGAACTCACTTTCTTCCTTTGAAAGGCGCTCGATAATTTCCACCTTAACGAAGTTGCAAAAGGTATTGAATGACTCTTGCTCAGTATTGAAGTCCCAGATGAACTCGTAGAAACTCTTCAATAACGTCTTACTCAACTCGACTGATGTTTCCAAAGTGGAGACAGTCATGCCCAATGAATCGTCGTAAATATTCTGAGCAGCAAGACAAAGCCCTCTCAAATCACTCAATATGATAATGATCTTTTCTATTGCAAGTATGACTTGCGCATAAGCGGTCTTTCTCGTGGCTTCATAGAGTTCGTTTCCCAACTTAGAGATTCTAAGAAGGCCACGTTCACCAAATTGATTGAGCCAGAAGTCTTTAAGGTGTGGTGGAACGACGCCCATCAACACAATCGCCATAAGAGTCTCAACGAGGTCATCTTCAGTGACCTCCACAGGGTTTTCTGATTCAGCGGAACCTTCAGCAATTGCATCTTTAAAATTAGAGAGATATCTATCAAAGACTGTTATGAATGCAGCAGCTTCCTTCTGCATCTCTGCAACCTGATCTGTAATGTGATTGAGCATTGATATTAGAAGCGACGAATACTTCAAGATGTCTAATACGTAGGAACGCTGTCTAGCTTCTGGGAAACCAAACTCCATCTTAAAGACCTCCAAGTCGCCGGACGATGTCTCTGCTAGTAGATACTGGTTGAAGAAGTCGTCCTTCACTTCGTGTCGTATGAACTTGCAGTTCTCTGGTAGTTCAATATCTGGTACAGCGAAGAGGTTGTTAAAAGTGGCAGTAAGGACAGAATTGGAGTTCACCACAAGAAGGTAATCGAGTAAGGAATCGTCCTCATTGGTGTTGGTGGCCGAAATTGACATTGATTGGGACTTGGAAGAGGCGTTTTGTAAGGAGATAACACCTCCAGCTCTCTCCGTATCGAAGAAGTTCACTTCGTGGCTAAGCTTCGGAAGATCTTTAAGAATATCTTGCTTGAACATATTAATAAATGGCATTGCTCTTTCGGATCCAATGGATATATCCAACTTGACTGAGACCCAGCTCATTAAGGTAATTGGTAATGACGTATTGGTTGCAAATTTGTTGACAAGATCTCCAGTGTTAGTGTCATAAATATTGATAAAGTGATCAGCACTGGAAACAGCGAAGAATCTGCCACTCAGATTCCATTGAAGGTCCAAGACTTGAGCTTTGTTGTTGATGGAGTATACTCTTTCACCATTGAACCTGAACATCCAAATAGAGGTCTTATTCATGGAGATTGCAAGAAGGTCCATTTTCGGACAGCAACTAAGGACCGTACCATCCGGTAGACCAAGAAGCTTTCCACTTTGAAGAACCTGAATGTGTGACATTAGAGTTTTCCATGCATGGATTAGAAGCCGTTGAGGATGATTTACTGCAACTACTACGAGTGCGACGCGGTAACAAAAATAGTACAGTTAAATATATATACACCATTGAATCTAAATACCTTAACCCAAATGATTAGATAAACGTAGAACAAGAAGGTATCAAAGATAAGCCCATTAGAATATAATCAGTAAAAAAAATTGGAAAAGCCAGTCATGAATCGTATAAGGTTTTGGAGTTGTTACTTGCGGCCACGAACACGCAAGGATAAGTTTCTACCTAGCAGACTGAACTCTTCTGAAGGGGTAGCAACCTTTCCTGGTAGCAAGTCATCGGCAGAAACAGCATGTTTTGCTTTTAGTAGTGAAAAGTCGCTGTCTGTGGGAGTCCTTGGAGAGGGTGCTGGAGAAGGCACACTCAATTCTTCCTTAGATTTCAGATCATTCACAGAGGAAGAAGACTTGAACAAGCTAATCAAACTTCTCCTTTTGCTGTTATTTGATTTCTTCTGTGAAAGCTGTGGTCTCTTGGAAGGTTCTTGGGTAGTTGGCAGGACGATCTGAGGCTTGGTGTTGAAGCCAAGCGAGTCGTCTGCTGGGGGAGTGAGGATCTCGCCACTTGCCGGCGTCACTTTCAGTTGTTTGTCGTTACCAGCGGGTTCCACATCAGCGTAGAGAGAGGCCACTTGGCTTGTAGAATGCCGGAGGTTGTCAGAAGAGATGACCTTATCGGATGACTGTTGTCTGGAAGTGAAATTTAAAGAAAATCTTTTGGAACGATTGGCAGGGAGGTGGTAGCTCTCGAGGAGACCGTTGAATTTTTGTGAAAGGGAAGATTTTCTCTTTGGGTTGCCCTCAGAGGCATTGGAGTAATTGCGCTGGGTATAACTGTTGTCGGAGTAGACCGTGGCAGGGGACACGGCATTACCTTCAGACGAGGAGATGGAGATGTTATCGATTTCCAACTCTTCAAGACCGCCCAAGATTGAGATGTAGCACAGGTACTTCTCAAGAAGCAGGTCGAAATGGAGAACCAAAAAGGTAAGCAAGTCTTGAAGGGTGCGCAAGTCAGCAACGTTGGTGGTGTTAAAAATGTATGGTTGGAAGATAATGGAGGAGTTTTCGACAGACATGCTGGTTGCCTCTTCATGTTGTGATAGTTGCTTAAGCATGTGGAGCAAGTACATGAAGAAGTTATTCTTAGACGTAAGGTTCTTGGTGACAAGAAGGTGAGCGATGGAGTCTAGGAGCACGTCTGCATCTCTGACGGTGGAGAAAGAGCACGATACACTTTCAGGAACGGACGATAGCGACAGGGAACCAAAGGAAGTGTTGGCACTTTTGTATGAGTCGATGCTGCAGTCAGAGCCAGCTCTGCGATGAGAGATGAACTGACGACGAAGAAGCACAAGCAGGTGTTGGGAAAAAAGGCCATTCATGGTAGCCAAGTAGTCACTAAGGTATTTCTTGATGATACCACAAACATCGTGAACGGAGGGTTTCTTTTCGTCATTGAGCCATGACTGGTAGTGTGAGTAATCGGACGTGACAGCCTTCATTCTGCGGACAGAACCGCTGACTCTGAAAATTCCCTTGACTAAACCATGGTCAAGAACAAAGTTGAAGCAGTCGTCAAGGATAGAAGGCACGCTGACCTCAAGCTTGTCGACTTCGACCACCGTGAAAGGCATCGATGGCGGTAGTGACATTGTGAGCAGAGGAGGGGCAGGGCACCGTTAGACGTTTTTCGTGGGAAAAAGGGTAATGGGAAGCGCGGAAGATAAAAAGACCCTTGGGTAGCGAAGGAAGAAGGAGGAGTAATAAGTTTGGGACAAGTGTATTTGAAGGGTTCAAACGGAAGAAAACCCTGAGCGGCTGTGGGAAACAGAGAAAGATATTTTGCAGCGGCAGGGCAGGCGTTTTTGTGCTAAGTGAAGAAGCAGCGATTTGAGGCAGCGTGGGTGCGCAAAATGCGGAGAGCCGAAATCTAGGTCGCTAAAAATGGAACAAAAATGCGACGCAAAAACGAGGTCCAGAGCGTCGATGGATGGTGACCTTGAGGAAGCGAACCAGGATGGAATGGGGGGAGGTGAAGCTATAAAAGCAGTGTTCTTTGAAGAAGAAGAAGAGTAGAAGGAAGAAAAAAAAACGATATCAATGCAGCACGGTTCGACGTTGGCCTGTGGTTTTTTTTTTTTTTTTTTTTTTTTGCAATTTACTCTTTGGGAAAATTCATTCGCCTGGCCAAAAAGTATACTTGTGTCTGTATGTATGTCACTCATGTAACAAACAAGAAAGAGAACAAGGCTCGTCTGCGAATGCGGATAATTCCCAGCCCAGCCCAGCCCAGCCCTTTTTTTTGTTCTCGCTCTGGGCCTCACAAAAAAAGCTTAACTCGTGTCGCATGCTGTATAAACTCTACAAAACCTGGCTGTCACTGTTCAGTCACCATACATAAACGTTAGGCTTCGAGACATGAATGGGTAGGTTTAGGCTGGGCGAGGCGGTGCCCAAAGGGGACAGTTCAACGCTTTCTACTTCTTCGGATACAAGGTCTAGTTGATGGAACCGTGGTTCAGTGCTGCCGCTGCTGCCGCCGCTGCTGGGTGCTGCCTGGTGGTGCTTTTTTTTTTTGTGCTTTTTTCGCGTTTTGGTCCAAAATGGTTAAAATCCACGTAGCGAATTGGCATGCCGCTGGTGCCAGTGAGGCTGGGCTAAACACAAAAAAAAAACTTGTCCTGTCCTGGCTAATCCTGGCGGCGAGGCTCATCCTTCAACCACACACACCACTGGATCTCCTCCGTATCCTTTACCAAGAATGAAGGATATACCTTCACCTGTTTGCCACCGCCCTTGTCCAGTTTCTCTTAACAACTAAAGGTCATTCGTTTTCTTCTTGGTGGGGAGTTACGTCAGTCACCGCCAGGGCCCAGCCCGTCGCTTCGCCACAGCTCACGGTAGCAACACTCGCCACAAAGTTAACCCACGCTGCTGGCTCACCTCACTGGCTGCCTGGGCCTTTTTTCCCTCCTTTGTGTGTGGTTTTTTAGCCCTTGTGCGACTTGAATGATTCATTTTCTGGACGTTGCGGGTACGCTTTTCACGCAGACCAATTGGCTGCGGGACCACTTGCACCTTTTGTCTTTGGGATATATCCGTTGCACAAGCGCTTATTTTGGCCAAACGAGGGAAAAGGAACCCAAAGCTTAACCTTCTTTACCTTGGGAATTCTTTTTCTTGACTGGCTCTCGCTAGACTTTGATGGTGTGCAGCAAACCCTTTTTGGGGGTATTGGTTGGGATACCCTTAAAATAGATATGCTGGCTGTGGTAGAAGCACGGGGGGATGGCGAGTCTACATGATGCTTCTCTACTACCCGTAATTTTTTTTCTTATCATCCGCCTTGTGTCTTCCACCTCGGTGTTCGCCTCGATCCGTATCTTGGCATTTTTTTGTCTACTTTTTTTTATGCCATGTCTGGCTCCATTTTTTTTTTCGTCCCTCTCCTACTCGCTCGCTCGCTCGCTGCTTCGAACGAGTTACACCCAGACACCACAACTTCTCTTCATCACCACTACTTACTTCTTTTCAAACATGGTCACGTGACCCCGCACTCACAAAATTTTCAACTGGCTCTCCCCTACAATAAGACCCTAACTTGCTATGTTGTCTAGATCCTTGATCGCCCGTTCGGGCCTCTCCATATGTCGTCTTTTCTCGACGACTACGCCGGCCCTTGCACCTCCTTCCAAAAAAGCCCGTGATAGAAAAGAAGAAAACAGAGCCAGCGCCAGAAGACTAATGAAAAGACGTGCTCAGCATAGAGCCCCAGCTTCCAAGCACCCACTATACATGGACATTCCCACCGCCATGCGCTACTTGCGTGCTGCTGAAGTGGGTAAGTCTCCTGGCAAAACCACCGTCACTGCCCACGTTTCCCTTGTCCCTTCAAAGTCATCTTTCCCTGTCCTGGGAAAGATCTTCTTCCCCAAAGCCATCAAAGACACACTGGCACTCGTTCTTGTAAATAATTCCGAAAAGCAGGAAGCTCTCAAAGAAATCCCTGGTGTTACAGTTGGAGGTTCTGATCTCATCAGCGAAATCAGAGACGGCGCTTTCAATTTAGCCAAAATCGACCAAGCCTACGCTGATCCAGATGTCGTGGGTGAGTTAAGACTGATTGCCAAAATTCTCGGTCCTAGAGGCTTGATGCCCCTGGAAAAGAGAGGTACTGTTGGCAAAGATATTCTCAAAACCGTGAAGGAGAACTTCGGTGCCTATTACTTCAAACAGGGTGGTGAAGAAATGGCCATTCCAATCGGACGTTGTGATTTTAGTGACGAGGAAATTATTCGTAACTTAAAGGCTGCTTCCGATGCCCTTCATGACAGCCAGGTTGGCCTTAAAGATCCCGTGATGATTGGTCGCTGTCACCTTAGTACCACCCTCGGGCCTGCCATTGTGGTTGATTTTAGTCAATGATCGAGCAAGTAAATTACCGCTAGACACCAGTAATCTGCTCGTTTAATGATGTAACATTTTTTTTCCGGAGCAACTGATTGTGCACCTCCCCATTCCATTACTGCAATCTCCTATTGCAAAATGACATCCAGCATGTACATAGAATAGCATTCTAATACTCCACTGTAGACACATTTATTTGCTAAGATCTACCTTGCAGTTGCTAGTTCGAATTCTCGCAATCACAATAGTGTTCCCCTGGCGCCACGCCAATCCAGGGTCCAAATGCTTGCTTTTGCAGCCATCCCTCAACGGTTTCTGCTGTTCGAGACGTTGCGTCAGCCAGCGCACAAACGCTTTTTTTATACAGCCTTTCCTATGCAAGTGCACTTAGTGGATCGTTCGCGCGTCGAACCGACTACGAACAACCAGCCCATAACCGACCTAAAATGGTAATATTTGGCCTTCTTAGACCTCTACCAACCCTTCTTAACCCTGCCATAAACTTATTCTACAACTTTTTTCCTTGTGTTGTGTCACAAAACCACAGTTTGATAAGGGTCCTCGACGACGTAACCCCGAGGATACACTTCCTCCTGCACGCACTGCTTGCAAGCCCACAATCTCTTTCAAACCGCATCTCCTAGGTCCTTCTTCTACTGACCCCAGAGTCTTTTGCCTTTTCCACTTACCGGCTTATACTGACTGCCTTTTTGTACAACTTTTACCTATTATTGTTATTGTGACTTCTTCCTTTGTCTTTATACAGCCATCCATATCATCTTCATCCCCCGCATCTTTATCCTTGTCGTCATCAAACAGCCAGCCTACTTACCTTCCGTTCAGCTCATGAGCCTGATCGTGTGATGAAGCTGCCTGTCCGCAATTTCCAGCCATCCAGTCCCTCGCCACTTTCGTCTGGTGATCCTCCACCAGCTGCTCTGCTTTTGCAGCCTCCTCCACCGACCACCCTGGTCCATGCTAAAGATAGCGTTCCATCAAACTTACTAGAGAAGCTTCTGACGTTCCCCTTGTTCAAAGATGCTCCACCGCTGTTCCATCATAAGGTTGCTTCTAAGCTTAAACTAGTCCAATACACTCCCCAAGAATATGTTATAAAAGAGGGTGACCCTGCTTTGTCCATGTACTGGATTCTTAAAGGTACTGTCAGCGTCACTTCTCCTGATGGTGACTCGGTGTACGCTGAGTTGAACCCGGGTGCTTTCTTTGGTGAAATCGGTATCCTCTTCAACCGACCACGTACTGCCACTGTTGTTGCTCGTTCTCGTGTGCTTTTGGGTGTGTTAACAGCTGATGCTCTCAACACGGTCTTGCGTTCCTACCCCTTGATCGAACGTCGTATTCGTGATGAGGCTCAAGAGCGTCTAGCTATGCAAGACAAGAAGAATAAGGCTGACATTCCGATTCTCAGGCCAAATAACTCCCCAGCACCCGACAGTTGGCCAAACCAAGTAACGTCTACATCCACAGCGCCTACTCTACTGGTATCCAATCCTCTGCCGCTATCGCAAATTGTGACTGCATCACGTCGTGTTTCCATTTCGTCTCCACTTGTTATGTCCCTAGATAACGTCGATCAAACGATATCAATCCAAGATTTTATCAAAACAGTCCCCATCTTTGCAAACCTACCGCCTGACCTCATACACCGCCTTGCACTCGGTGCTGACCCGCTAAACTTCAAATCCTACGAGTTCATATTCCGTAAAGGAGATCTTGGCTCTGACATTTATTTTGTTGTTGACGGTGAAGTTGAGGTCATCGATGATGGTGAAAATAAGGATAAGTCAGAGAGAATCTTAGCACGTCTCAAGAAAGGCGCCTATTTTGGGGAAATGTCATTTTTAGAACTTGCTCAAAATGGCAAGATCGTTAAACGAAGCGCTTCCATCAGAACAGTCACTTCAGTTGAGCTCATCGTGATTCGATCGCATCAATTAGAGAGAATATGCTCCAAGTACTCGCATTTTGTTGACGAAATAAGAAAGACTGTCTTTGAGAGAAAGTTGATGAATCAAACACAAAACATTGGGGTAGGGCTGGCTCTGCCCATTGTTATGCCTGAAAGAAGACGCAGCATTGCAGTGGAGACTGTTAATCTGAGAGCTTCTCTGAACCTCTCGCTCGCAAACAACCGTCAGCTTTTATCTCCCGAACCATCATTATTCAACCCCAACTGGGGTGGATTTTCTGCGTTCGATTCGTCGCACACGAAAACTTCAAGGTCCGTCTCTCCTGCTTCCTCGATCGACCCTGATGCCGTGCAAGCGAAGACGCCTACATCGCTCACGGTCGATTCTTGTGAGGGGATTGGGCGGAAACGAAGGTCAGTTTGCAGAAGTGTTTCTCCTCTGAGGCAACTACCGGAGGGACCTCTTGATCTCAATGTCCCCCCAGCAAAGCTTTTCGATCAAGTGAACAGCTTTCCTTCTAGCAGAAGGCCTTCATTTCAGTACATGCCCCATAGCAAGAGAATGAAGCTTGCGAGTTTGGCGGGCCGTCGTCGGTCTTCGGTTCTTGTTAGCCCAGGCTCCATGCCAGACAAGATTCTACTAAAGGTTTTCGAGTTTCTTGACTTACCAGTTCTTATGAAATTGAGAATCGTAAGCCGTCGTTGGCGTCAGCTACTATACATGGCCCCCAATATCTGTCAGCGGTTAGACCTAACTCCCTGGAATACAACGATTACCGATGATGCGCTAATAGCCATAACTGACTTTGTTGGTTCACGTACACAGTTCATTGATATCTCCAATTGTTTTCATATCACGGACGAAGGCTTTAGCTATATGGTGAACGAAATTGGTATGGCCGGTAATCTTAAACTGATAAGAATGATGTCTACATGGGAAGTTAGTGCAATGGCTATCATGGATTTGGCTTCCCCGTCTGTTGGCAGCCAACTAGAGGAAATTGATCTCTCCAACTGTCGAAAAGTAAATGACAACGTCGTTCAGAGATTGATAGGGTGGTCTGATGAAACTCGAAGAGATCCGTCCTTTGGCGATCAACATAATCAGATGGGCTCAAAGATCCTAAAGCGCCTCAGTCTCAGTTATTGCAAGGCTCTCACTGATGACGTGATGCATCATATTGCAAGCAATGCCAATGAAACTCTCGAATCTTTGGCCCTCACACGCTGCACTACGATCACCGATATGGGCTTTCAGTATTGGACCTACAGGACATTCCCCAATTTAAAACGGCTCTCGCTCAAAGATTGCACCTTCTTGACCGATAAGTCAATTATTTCGGTTGCCAACGCAGCCCCACACTTGGAATCTCTAGATCTTAGCTTTTGCTGTGCTCTTCTGGACACTGCTGTTGAAGTATTGTGCCTAGGGTGTCAGAATTTACAGTCTTTGGATCTTTCATTCTGTGGATCAGCTGTTAGTGATTCCTCATTAGTCGCAATTTCTTTACATTTACGAAACCTCAAGAGATTACTGGTCAAAGGCTGTATCAGAGTCACAAGAGCCGGAGTCGATGCCCTACTCAGTGGGTTCTCGCCACTAACTTACATCAACGTTAGTCAATGTCGAAATGCTCATGTCTATCCAGGTAACATGCCGGCTCAAACGCTTCAAATCAACCCATCAACAAAATCTGCATTCATAACAGCAGGTCCAGCTAAAGACATTATTGAAATTGTCATTTAATCTAGTCGCTCGCTACAAACGCTCCAAAATAATGGACATTACATTCGCTTCCAAATATGACGACTTTTTTCTGTATCTTTCATGGTATCTACATTCTGGTTAAATAATTGTGTCATAGTGTCAATATTATTGTAATATCAAAACATCTATCGTTTCCTTCTGCCCTTGCTCTTATCTTCAAAGTCAATGAATGAAATTGGAACACCTTTGTTTTTGAAATACTCCACGATAGTTGGTCCATGGGGACCTTGCACCATCACTTCGGTCAAATTAGGGTTATGGACACTATGACCGACCGAGGTTGATCCAGAACATTTGTTCTTAAGGTCTTCTGCTAGAGTAGCTGGTTTTATAAAAAACTTTTCAAAATCAACCACAGTGGTGACTTTTTTCCTGCCGAGGACCGTACTAGTCAAGATCTTGATCTTTGGTGGCAGGCCCTTATGAACTTGCTTAGGCAGAATAGTTGTTTCACCAGGCTTGAGAATTGTATAATGAGGAGAATGGTTAGAAGTGAATGGTGCAATAATTTTATCTCTTGTAACCTTCTCATCTTTGATTCCAGTGGCAGCTTTGAGATGTTCATCCACACTGATAAACTTCGGTTTAGCTTTGTCGACCAAAGATGCCGCATTGATGTACTCGTTCACAATGTCTTTTAATTGCACTTGAGTGTACAATTTCTGAAAGTCCTTGTCGACCTTATTGTAGACCATTCTTGTTTTGCTAGTTGGTTTGTAAAGCGAAACAACCGATAACTTTTTATCGAGGTCCTTCTTGCTAGGTGTTGTCCCTGAGCCTTTATTTGAATCATTCGTTTTATGCGTGACAAAGTTGGCTAGCGTTTCAGGTGGTACCGTTATAGCTACGACACTAACATCGTCGCCTTTGCCCTTGAGCAGCAAATATTTCTGCTTCTCTAATGATTTGAGAAATTTGGCACTTTTCTTCCATGATGTCTTCTTCACATTGCAATATTTGGAGTCCATTTTGGGCAAATTCTTCAAAATGTATTGTCCCATAAAATTTGATGCAGAGATTGGAAGTTCAATCTTTGGGTTGAGTTTTACCAGCTGAATGAACGAACGGTTGAAGAAGTTATCGATATCTTCAACCAGCAATTCAGAGAGAGTTTCTGATACTCCTTCGACGGAATCTTGCTCTTCTGTCTGAGACGCATTTTCGTCTTCGGCTACCTGGGAAGTTGCTTCAATGTTGTCAGCGTCATTACCCCCATTATCACTTGTTCCAGTCTCCTCCGGAACATCTTCAGCATCTTCATGGTGATCTTCAGATGTCGCTGCTTCTTCTCCCTCCTCATCTTCTTCTTCTTCTTCTTCATCCTCATCCTCCCCGTATAAGGCTTTGAGCGTCTTGTTAAGATTATCGTACGCTGAAGGCAGGTAAGGCTCTACAGAAGTAGGCACCTCGACATCATTATCGTAAAGCTTCATGAGCTCATCATCAATGACATGGATAATTGTAACAGCAGTTCCCTGACGTCCAACCACATTATCAAATTGAGTCAAGTTCAAAGAGCAATGTCCAATAGCTTTGACAACAGTGGGGGTCTGATAGCTAGCAATTCCTACCAAGGCACCTCTAGTAGCCCTTGGGTCAAATGGTGGGATACTTCCTGGTAACATAAGATTTGCATTGGTAGATAATTTCTCGATAACATGGTTGTTCGTTAGAATTATAGGAAGAATGCCTCCTACCTGCCAAAGGGTATAGATTGACGGATATAATGGAGAATCCCTGGTCTTAAACCACACAGGTTTTTCGTCAGTGTCATAATAAATAGTACCCTTATGGCCTTGGATGCTTTGGTAGGTTGCTTGTTTGATGACTGAAGGAACGATCTTGAGTTCAATCTCTTTAGCCAATTCCTCTTTATTGATGCCATATTCTTTGCATACCGTCCCTAGAAGACCACGTCTTTCGGAAGACTTGATATTAGACGACGGTTTGGGATTTGGTTGCTTCTTAAACATAGTTGGCTAAGAAGAGAACTTTATAGTAGTCTCTCAGATCAGTGCGCCATCTTGGAAATATTCGCGTTCAAGTTGCAAAATTGACATTTCCACGAAATATACAAATGATGTACTTAATGAAAAATAAAATTTCAAATTAATCATATCAGGTGAAGAGAGTTCCAGATTTCAATAATCAAATAAGATAATTGCTTTCATTGAAAGCCACCATAGATTCTCCCAGTCTACAACACCTTGACCTGTGGGGTCGCTGAATGCCAGTCGCAAAACTATAGTACGTAATGCTAACTTCGCGCTTGGAAACCAGGTACTATCAACAGCATGAAGACAACGCACGAGTCTGAACCTACCAAATGGTCTCGAAGATCTGTGGTGTGGATGGTATTTGCATTCGTGCTCTTTCTTGGAGCACCTATGTTCATATATACCACGAGTACATACCGTGCTGACTTGCCAGTTGAAGACTTGTCAGAGAAGAGTGCCAGCTTCTCGGATGCCATTCAAATCAGGGTACCCGTGTATTTGAGATCGGAGAACGATCTCGATATTCCTACTCTTCAGGAAAAGGTCAACAATGAACTACAGAGCAAATGGAACGTCGAAAACAATTGGGGCATCGAGTTAATATCATCAAACACCCAGTCCCCGGACCCATTCGACAATTACGTCGTGGATATCATCTTCGATGGTAAAGCAGATCCTGTTGTTTCACCAAACTCGAAGTCTCTGACAATCCATGTCAACTGTAATGATTGTGTCATCAAGGAGTTGATTAAATTGTTTGATATCGTTTTCGAGGACGAGGTTAAGGCTATCTTGAGCGTCATCAACAATGTCGAAAAACAAAGCAAACACAACGAGATTTCCGTTCCACATGCTTCAACATACAACATTGTTTTTAATCTTTTTGTGGAAAACGGTATTTCGGTGGATTGGGAGATAGACGAGGCTGTATCGACTATGCAGCCAATCTTTGATGTGTTGAGACATTATACCAATTTCAAGGTTAGCTCGCAAATCCAATACTACACGAAGCTCCACACCCCTCCTGTTTTTGATAATGAGACCAATCGATACATTGTTCCAACAAAGGACTTGTCCACTTTCATCAACTACGGGGATTGGAACTTGATCACTCATGATATATATCCAACTATTAACTTCATTGTTTTCTTCCCGGCTAGCAATCAAAAGGGCCAGCCATTGATATTGGAGCATTCGAAAACAAACTCTTTCATCGTTCCTCAATGGGGTGGCGTGTATATCTACAACGCTCCAATGCCTGTTTTAGGAGACTACACTTACACTCTCCAGAAAGAACAGTGGTCAAGAATCTTTGACACATTTGCATCCCAGCTTCTTGAACTTATCGGTATACCTAAACTTCCGAAGAGTCTTCCTATGAGAATAGACTCATTCAACAGGATCATGGGAGTTAAGAACCTCAAGCATTCACTCGAGAATCTCAAGTCATTGGTCACATTATCTGACTCATTGGATGAAATCTCAATTCCGGAATTGACACGCGCTCACATGGTTGATAGTTTGCATAATTACGGCGAAGCATTGAAAGGCCTTCAAGATGGCGATTTTGCCTCCGCCGTTCGCTTCTCCTCCAAGGGCTTAGAGGATTCAGACAAGGCATTCTTTGAGAAGGAAATGGTCCAACAGGCATACTTCCCTAGTGAACATAAGCTTGCAGTCTTTCTCCCGTTGCTAGGTCCTCTCGGAGCCATCGTTGTCTTCGGCTTGTTAGGCGTAGTGAAGGAGCAGCTTAAGGAGAGGAAACAAAAGGCAAAGGAATTGCAGGAGAAGAAGGATACGTAAATAAATAATCTATAAATATTGGGCTATCAAGAATACAGAAATTCGTTACCGCCTAGTAACAGGCCCTTCGAGGAGAGATCATCAATATACTCTTTCCACAAGGGGTCGTTACTCAAACATTTAGCGTCGCCGATGATAATCAAACCGTACCTTGCTCTAGTTAATGCGACATTGAGTCTTCTTTCATCTTTCAAGAAACCCACTTTGTTTTCGGAATTGGAACGAACGCATGACATAATCATGAAGTCTTTCTCTCTGCCTTGGAAAGCGTCAATAGACGCGATCATTATATCCGAAACAGTATGAATAGTAAGTGGCTTCGACTCATTGTAGAAATCATCGCGGTCCACATCTTCGTGAATGATATCCTTATCCGGATTGATGAGATCGTTTTTCACTAAGGTCGAAGAAATCAAATCTCTTTGTCCCCTGTATGGTGTTATTACACCGATGTCAGATTTCTTCACTCCTTTGTCGAAAATGAGCGTCATCAACACCTTCTCGAGATACTTGATTTCTCCATCGTTGGCATATGTCATACCTCCATCACTTTTGAACCGAGTGCGGACAATCTTCTCAGCCTTCTTTCCTTCGGTGTCCCAAAATGTAACTGGGTTACTCGGAATGCCATCTTTAACTCTATCCTCAGCGGTGATACCATCTTTAAGAAGATTGTTATAAAATTTGTGTCTGGGAAACTCACTGATAGCAGGATGCATTCTATACTGGGTGTCAAGCATGTGTGGCGTCTTGTAAGTACCGTTTCGAAGGATTCTTTCGAATAAAGACAACGAAAGATTAGGAACATCAGAGAAACTGCTCAATTGCTTGTGATCACCAACAAAAACGAATTTCTCAACACCGTTCATGGAAAGTGGGATAAGTGTTGTTGGTTCTGATGATTGTGTCGCTTCATCCATAATCACGACAGGGATCTTCGAAAGCGCTTTCAACTGTAGGCCACCTGCCGTGACGGTGGTTGTCAATATGACCTTACTCAGTCCAATGACCATATTCGAGTAGTCTATAATTGCTGACATGAGCTTCTGGTATTGACTTTTGCTGATCTTTTCACCTGATCTTCTTAAGTTCCTAAGAGATTCTTGGAGATGCGGAGGTAAACCGTCAAAGACCTTGTGATGCAAGCAAATGGATGCTAATGGATGTTCCCTGTTATATTCGATTTCCTTTTGCAATGAAGTAATTCTCAATATGGACTTTCCATGCTTGGGCAAAAGCTTCTCAGCAATGTTATCGATAGCAATATTTGAAGCGGCAACAACCAAGATAGGCGATGTGTTCATCTTCTCCAACAACTGCAAAATAATCTCATGAATCGTAGAGGTCTTACCAGTGCCCGGGGACCCTGCAAAACAGTAATCGAGTTATTAAGCACAGATTGTAAGCCCACCTTCTGTGATTCATTGAAAGTTGACTTGGTTAACTGTAAGTAGTTTTTGAAGTTGAGCTGCTTGACTTCCTTGTTGCCCAATAACAAATCCTTGAACTTTGGGTTCAGAAGATTTTGCATAGCGAAGAATACTCGACCGACCGGAACAGAAACTGGAAGAAGCTTAAGGTGCTTTACATCCACTGTTCTCGGAAGAGGCATGGTGTTCCATGGATACAACTCGACAGCTATCTCGCATATTTGAGGACCGGTAGGTTTTGGGCCTCTCAGCTTTCCCTTTTTGCCATGTCCTTTACCAGAAGATTGGTTCTTTGCGCTGAAAGTATCGACCATGGCGATTCTACCGTACCACGGAATCCTGTCATCCAAAACGAGAATAATTCCTTGATCTTGAGAGAACGGAGAACTCTTCACTGATTGCATATTCTTCGTGATATACCGATCTAGTATTTCGGGCGTGAGAAGAATCTGGATCTTGTACTGCTTGTGCTTGAGATTATTCTCAGAGTACCATTCCAAAATGAACTCACCAGGCTGCAACATAGAAGTGTTATTGTTGGAAAGCAGGATCTTTTCCTCTAAGAACAAGTTGTAACACATTTCGTTGAAATAGGACGTCAAGTCAGGGTACAGAAGAGGGGGCTCGGAAGCTGGCGTGAACTGTGAGATACCAGGAGGAAGCACCAATGGAGTTGTGGGTTTTGGTACCTTGATACTCAGATTATCAGACGAGGTATCTCCATTCTTAACGCGTTGCTTCAGACCGCCATTAGAAGCGTTACTAGAGCCACTGTTGGGGGCACCCTTTGATGGCACTGCGGGCAGAGCTGACTTCTTATTCCCCTTCTGTGCTTTGGGTTCGCTAGGACCTGGAGACTTTAATTTATCACTTTTACCGGTGGGTATAGGGCTCTTGGATTGCAGTTTCTTTGAGGCTTTCTTGGGATCGGCTGAACCATTTTGACTCTTCAGTGCGGGCTCTGAAGATTTCCCACTTTTATCACCATTCTTCTTTGGCCCTTTGACTGTTGAAGATGAATTGTAAGCCTTTTTAGAATGGTCTTTTCCATGGGAGGGTTTGGGAGTGACGGAACGAGACTGGATTGGGGTTGTATCAAGGGAACCCACTGCCTTCACGGTCTTACCCAGTTGAAACTGAGCCTTGGTAGCCATCTTGGCCTCGTAGTGAGCCTTTCTCTGTTCGGCATTTGGATCGACCTTTTTCGGTCTTCTTCTTTCTTTGCCTGTTTTTCTGGCGCCTTTACGCCCGCCCTTCTTTGAATTAGCATTAGACTTGGGGACATGTTCAGTGATACCAAGTAAAGTTCGCAAGAATGAATCGCTTTTCTCACTAACATAGTCATGGGCATTAGGATCAACATTATTATCAGCTTTAAAACAGGCCCGACAGTGAATGAGTTGCCCTTTGCCAGTGTCAGCGACATAAAGATCCTTTTCCAGATGGCAATTCATGCATTGTATATCTCTAAACTTGTAGTACTGAGGCAATTTCAAAAATAAGGAACCATTTGATAGGGAGTACGACGCCAGCTCCTCATCATTACCTTCTTTCTCTGAACAATCGTTGCATAGAAGACTAATATCAGAAAGGCCGTACCTGATCATCTTCAAGAGATGGATGTTGGAATCGCCACATTCTTCGCACTGTATCGTTTCTTCCAACAGATCATACTTGACAGTCTTGTGTCTAGTAGAAGATAGATGTTTACCAATCTCCTCCAGGCCTTGAACCTGACATGTTTGGCATGTATATGTGGGCATTAGTGATGACTGGGATTGATGCCTAGCTCAGTGTCATCGATGCACCGCATGCCATCAGTACAGGAAAAACGTCTAGCGAGTGGGTCCCTCTTGGCCACTTAGGCCGCGCAAGAAAGTAACCAGAAGCTAGAGAAGGTAAGTGGCTGCAAAATGAAATTCTCGAAGAGGGGATTCAAAGGAAGCTGATCCAAGACAAACAAGATCATCCGTATAGTTTCTTCTTTTGCTGCCCGAGAACCCCTGAAGATCAAATAGAAATAAGGGATCACCGGTATTCAGCTATGGATGCAACGGCAGAGCACAGAAGCTAAGACTACCAAGACTCCGCATAGTTACGACAAGAAACAACCAAGTCTAGAACAGCATACCGTTTTTCAAATATCTCATATTTTACCCTCGGCTCTAGTCCGGAGTTGCAACCTCAAGCGGTAGCCATGTTCCATTTAGACGAGCCGCTCTACCATGCATTAGCACTAGACGAGCCCTTGCCTTAGTGAACCAAGACAAAGAGGGTCCAACAATGGCATGCAAAAAAACAAGCTTTTCCTGATTTGTATTAAATCGGTATGAAGAAACCCCAAGGCTGTACGGCCCCCAACAAGCCGCAAACGGGATCTGGACCAACCCAAGGCTTATCCATGTCCGCAGCATTACCAAACTGCCTGTCGCAGTAAATTTTGCAACCTTCCGCGATTAACAAAGCACATCAAGGGTTCAGTATGGACAAGAAATTGCAGAGAGACATACATGAGAGGTTTTCTGTTGATGCAAACTTGAAAGGAGCGTACATGTACGTTTGGTTTCTAGATTTTTTTTTTTTTTCTGTCGTCTACGTTGGTGTTTCATCTTGGCTCTTCGTCTCGTGCCATGTACTCTATCTCGTATGTAATGCCCATTGGTTAAGTAGTCGCGCTTTACGTCGAACGACCGTTTTGCAACCGAGCAATGGTCAAGTTGGGTGCCAAGGGCCGAGCTTTTTTTTAACCACCGAGAGCGCACCGAGGATGCTCAGGGGCTTACATTTGGGAAAGGTTATTCTTCCAGGTTATTTTTAACGTTTGAAAAATTTTTTTTTTAGGCCCAGGGCTTTTATTCATTTCCTGGTCTTCTCTCTGTAGTTTAATGCAGAACTCCTGTCTCGACATAGAATTACACTCCCTTTTCAGGAACGCGTCCTGTGTGGCTACGCGAAGGAATGTTTCTTCGATCTTAGGCTTTTTACCCGAGTGACAAAAACCACTACCTTAGACACCATCACATCGCTGACCATTCCAATTTTTCAAGATAACCATGCAGCAGCCACATTACTCGGTCTCGCTGAGTGTCTACTCGCCGGTAGAAAGTGAACGCCGTTCGACTTTTTTCACTAACGATCCTGTGATTGAAGAGGAGAACGAGGACGAGCACGAGTACGACCAGTCTTCCGAACTCTTTGGCTCCGATTATAACGAGGATGGTTCTCAAAGCTCAACTCATTCCAAGAACAACAATGGCAATGGAATTCTACCAGAGACTTCAAGTCAGACGTTCAGATCTTACTACACAGCTACCAATGGTAGTGAACCTAGTTTCTCCTCAATTAACAACTCCTTGTTGAGGCAAGACTCCAATGACCAATCTGAACAAGATGTGAATGGCTTGATTGACCCAGACGAGACTCCTCGTCTTAATACTGAAATGCATGGCACTAATGATTCCATCTTCGACAAAACCCCAGTCTTCAATACCGCTGGCGTCTTTGATAATCAGCAAGAATCTAGCACCTCAAACGGGGTATCCAAAAGCTCCTCCCATGTCGAACTACCCCAAAAGTTCAAGAGACTCTCTGTTACCTTGCTCCAAACTGGCTCGCATGTTTCTCGAGAATCTCACATCTTCCACAATAACTTCAGCTCCAACGCCCACAAGGCTCAGGCCCAAAACCAGCATCGTACAAGCAGAACAAGTTTGCTTTACAAGAAAATCCACGAAAAGAATGATACACCAACTCCACCTGCTGTCGTCAATGACGAAGACACATCGGTGCTTAGCACGTCATCTAACCTATCGAGTGCTCCTATGCGCCATGACGTTCTGGTTGACCCAGATAACAGCCAGGATGATGTACCTCCAAGGGGCGACTTGCAGACTAAATTTACAAAGCCAGCCGGCGGATTAAATATAGTTTACGGAGAAAACGGCGAGAACAGCTCTGCAAACAATTCAGGTGTCGATGTTCTGCTGGATAGAATTGACCCTTCGAGATGGTCAGTTGCCTCTAGCACTACTGAGGATGAAGATATGTCTTCTCTTTTTATTCGTGCCTTGCACTCATTTGACGCTACCCAGTCCCAACTTGAGTCTGAGAACTCTGTCTGTTTGTCGTTTGAAAAGAATGATATTGCATTTGTCCACACCATTGATGACTCTGGTTGGGGCGAAGTGATCTTGATTGAGACATTAGAGAGAGGTTGGGTCCCTATGAATTACTTTGCCATGGCGATAACGTCCCTGGAAGCCAATCAGTCCGAAGAAGTGGATTCTGATGAAATTAAGTTCTCGCACTTCATGTTCCCATTGCTTAATGCATGCGGTCGTTTTCTTTCCAACCCGCTTTCTAGGGATGGCCCAAAGGGTAAGACCTTTTCAAACAAACATTTGAATGATATCAAAGACGGTGTTCGTTGTTTGTTAGATGAGACCGACTGTCTTTCAAGATCAAGTGAAATTATTGTCAAGAAACCAGTTGTTCGTAAGGCAAGAAAAGCTTTTATGTACGACTGGTGGGAGCTTATGAAGAAGGCCGCCGAGTACAAAGGCACAACGAACTTTGAAAAGGTTGAAATTCTCACGCTTTTTGTTCTACTGGTTATAAGACGTGGTGTATACTTCTTTGACGTTTGGCTCACGGAAAGTAAGGACATTCTTCAGAAAGAAGCCGAAAAGAGACTTCGTACTGATATGAACACTTATCCACTACTTCATACGCCTCCACTCGCCAAGCAGAGAGTCACCGAAATCAAGGGTATCTTGTATTCATACCTATCACTCATAATGGGTAGGTTGGACTTGATTGAGCATAATCCACAGGGCTGTGAATTATTAGAGAAGATATCATGTCACATCCTTCTCTTACTTAGCGAGCTTCTTTTCATTTCCAAAACAGGGCTCGAGTATACGTCAAGTAAATCAATTGAGCTTGATGCATCAATGGACGCGTTTATGTCTTTCGGAGACCAACTTGTCACTTGTGTGAAGGTGCTTATCAACAAGACAGTCGGCGAGGACAAACAATCTCGTGTTTTCAACGGTGAATCTTCGCAGGATAACCAAGATTATACCTTCACTGAAGAAGGTGTTCGCTTGAGACAAGTTGCGGCCAGAACAATTAAGGCTATTAACAGCAGTGTTCGCTCAATCAATGAATTGTTTGATAACATTGGCGATTTCAAATTGAGCCTGGAAAGATCATATCCTGACTATCTCAAGATGAGAATCGATCCTGCTGATTTCATCCGTCAATGCTCTGTCGGTATGGTTCAGTCGCATTCGCTTAAAAATAAGGATTTGAGGGTAATGAAGAAGAAGAATGGTAGGTCAACTAACCGTTACTCGATGTTCCGTTCTGGAAAGGCTGGTGGCCTAGGAATGACGCCGAATGGTGTTGATCTGCTCCATAAAGTCATGCTTCTTGATACTGATGATACTCCATTCAATGCATCCACTGCAGAATTCCAGCCTTTCATTGCATCAGACTCTACTAATAACAAGGCCTACACAATCAAAGATGAACTTCTAGTTGACGCGAATGGAACATTATTGGGAGCATCATTTAAGGGTTTGATTTACACATTAACTAATGAGGACTCACCTCCTCAGTATTTCTTTATTTCAGGATTCTTCATCTGTTTGAGAAGCTTTGCTAGTGGCATAGATTTGCTTGAAGGACTTATTTCCAGATTCGAGGAGAACAACGGCAATGGAAAGGACACTGATAATTCTGATGCATTGTTGGAGGTGCGCTTGAAGAAGAGAAGACGTTTGATTATTGCAATCTTCAAGATTTGGATGGAATCATTTTGGGATTACGAAGCGGACAGCCCCTTGTTGTGCACCCTTGTCAACTTTTTTAATGAAGGAATCTACCCACATCTTCCCCTTGACGCTATGAAATTGATTGAAATCGCAGCTAAGTTGTCAATTAAGGAAACGAAGGGCAGAGACAAGAAGCAGATGGTAGAAAGGCATGTTACTCTCAAGAAGTTCAACAGAAAGGACTCTGGAGGTGACCTTCGTGACTTGGAAGATTCATCTCGCTACTCGATCGTCGAAGATAATGAACTCTCACGGATTAGCTCGAGCAGTTCAATTTCGAGCTCTTTGAAGTCTATGACCTTGGGCCTTTCCCTTTCTGGGCTGGGCACTTCAGCTGGTACTTTGTTAACAAAGACCCAACAAGCTACTGTTGAGACAACAGTGGCTAAATTTCGCCAGGTGCTTGGTGATGCTTGGTGTCCTCGTCATTTCATTGAAGCCAGGTCTTTTGCAACAATGCCACTCAAATCAATGTTGCCAACATGGTTCAATTTGTGTGAGGAGAAATGGGCTTTGGACCAGTACAGACCAAACTTGTTAGATTTCCAGGTTTTGGAGCTTTCAAACCAGTTGACATTGATCGAATCAGAAATCTTCTGCTCCATCAAGTCAAGTGAATTACTTTTTGAAAATTACACCGCAAAGAAAGCTCATCTTAAGCTTGCTAACAACGTGAGGCAGTCGTTGTTGTTCACCAACTGTTTATCCGGATATGTCCTCGAATCTATTTTACAACCTGGACTCACCGATAAGCAAAGGGTTAATCAAGTCAAGCAGTGGCTCAAGGTTGGATTTAGTTGCTTTGAGATGCGTAACTTCAACTCCATGGTGGCTATCATTACTTCCTTACAGTCACACTTGATCACGAGAGTTAAGCGTCTTTGGGATGAACTTCCTCCTAAGTACACCCACCTTTATGAGTACCTTTGCAATGTTGCACATCCACAAAATAACTTCAATGTTTACAGAGAGAAGTTGAGGTTCTTTTTGGAAAATAGCGAGTACAACTACCCTGTTGTGCCATACTTCTCCTTGTTCCTTCAAGATTTGACATTTGTGACGGACGGTAATCCAAACTACAGAAAGGCGAACACGTTTTTGAACCAGAAGCTTATCAATATCGACAAGCATCTTAAGCTTACTAGAGTTATTGCTGATATCGAGAGCTTGCAAGTTCGTTACGTGGAAGAAGACGGTTCGAGAAGAAGGTCGAGATTTTCGCTCAACCTCGGCAAGAACAATACTGCTGATTTGAAGATTGTCAGTAATCCAGCATTGCAAGAACTTGTTTTGCTCGAATTCTTCAAATTGCTCAGCTCAACAAAGGTGAAGAAGATCGTGCCTGGAAGTTGAGTTGTGAATTGCAGCCCAGAGACACTCCCAGAGTATCCTAATGGCTGCGAAAAAGAAGCTGAGGGTCTAGAGAGATGCATGATAGCGAGAGGCACGGGTGCGATGGCTCATAGTCGATACCGCGGTAGCTTATCCCTAGCATGCGCACGGCAATGAGAGCGGTGAGTCACATTATCTAGACAGGTCTCTGAAGCTTCCCGCGCATTATAAGCACAACTACACTGTTATCTATTGGCCGAGGTGTAGGACCTTGGTGCATAGTGGGGTATAGTAGTGAAAAATTTACCCTTAATATATCGCAGCTTGTATAACAATAATATAGTATCAAACCTATAGACTTCATCCCATACACAAATATGCTAGCCGCTCGAAGCTCTCTAAGTGCCTCGAGAAGGATTTACGCCAGAACGTTGGCCACTAGCTCTGATCTTGCATCGTCTTTCGCTGTTCCTCCAGAGTATGAAGCTAGAACACCTCCATATGCTAAGCTCATATCGAATTTGGGAGAAGTCAAGAAGTTGGTGAATAACAAGCCTTTGACGTTGGCAGAGAAGATTCTCTACTCCCATTTGGTCGATCCCCATGACAGTTTAGCTACCTGTAACGGTGACTTATCTAATATCCGTGGTGAACAGTACTTGAAGTTGCACCCAGACAGAGTTGCAATGCAAGATGCCTCGGCCCAAACAGCCTTGTTGCAGTTTATGACTACTGGAATGTCCAGAACTGCTGTGCCTGCTTCGATTCACTGTGATCACTTGATTGTGGGTAAGGATGGTGCAGATCAAGATTTGACTTCCTCCATCGCAACCAACAAGGAGGTTTTTGATTTCTTGCAGAGTTGTGGTGAAAAGTATGGTATTCAGTTTTGGGGTCCTGGTTCGGGTATTATTCATCAGATCGTTTTGGAGAACTTTTCTGTTCCTGGTTTGATGATGTTGGGTACCGACTCTCATACTCCAAACGCTGGTGGTTTGGGTGCTATTGCTATTGGTGTGGGTGGTGCCGATGCCGTGGATGGTTTGACTGGTACACCTTGGGAGTTGAAGGCTCCAAAGATTTTGGGTGTCAAGTTGACTGGAAGAATGAACGGCTGGACCTCTCCTAAGGACGTCATCACTCACCTTGCCGGTATCTTAACCGTCCGTGGTGGTACTGGTTACATTGTGGAGTACTTTGGTGAAGGTGTCGAGAACTTGTCTTGTACTGGTATGGCTACTATCTGTAATATGGGTGCCGAGATTGGTGCTACCACTTCCACATTCCCATACCAGGACGCCCACCGTCGTTATTTGATTCAAACGAATAGAGCTCCTATCTCTCAGGCAGCCGATGTTGCTTTGCACAAGTACAACTTTTTGAGAGCTGATGAGGGTGCTGAATACGATAAGGTCATTGAAATTGACTTGAACACTTTGGAGCCTCACATCAACGGTCCTTTCACTCCAGATTTGTCTACTGCAATTTCTGATTTCGGCTCCAAGGCTAAGTCTGACGGCTGGCCTGAAAACGTGAGTGCTGGTTTGATTGGTTCTTGTACCAACTCTTCTTACCAGGACATGTCTCGTGCAGTTTCCATCATTATGCAAGCTGAAAAGGCTGGCTTGACGCCAAAGATTCCTTTCTTTGTCACTCCAGGCTCTGAACAGATTAGAGCTACTATCGAGAGAGATGGTTTGACTAACATTTTCGAAAGAAACGGTGCCATTGTCTTGGCTAACGCCTGTGGCCCTTGCATTGGTCAATGGGACAGAACTGATGTTCCAAAGACCTCAACTTCGTCTAACGCTATCTTCACCTCGTTCAACAGAAACTTTAGAGCCAGAAACGATGGTAACAGAAACACCATGAACTTCTTGACATCTCCAGATATCGTCACTGCCATGATCTACTCCGGTGACATGAACTACAACCCTCTCACAGACTCAATTACCAAGGAAGACGGTACCGAATTCAAGTTTGAGCCACCACAGGGTGTCGAGTTGCCTGGTGAAGGTTTCATCAGAGGACGTGAAGAATTCTACCCAGACCCTAACCCACAGCCAAAGCCAGAGGTCCAAGTCAGTGTTTCTCCCGAATCCGATAGACTTCAAATCTTGGATCCTTTCGAACCATGGTCTGGAGATGAGTTATCTACCACTGTTTTATTGAAGGTTGAGGGTAAGTGTACCACTGATCATATTTCTGCTGCTGGTTCATGGTTGAAGTACAAGGGACATCTTGAGAACATTTCATACAACACCTTGATCGGTGCCGTTAATAAGGAAACCGGTGAAGTTAACACTGCTTACGACCTTAACGGTGACTCTTACGGCATTCCAGAATTGATGTTCAAGTGGAAGGATGAGAAGCGTCCTTGGATTGTTGTTGCTGAGCACAACTACGGTGAAGGTTCTGCCAGAGAACACGCTGCCATGTCTCCTAGATTTACTGGTGGCTCTATTATTTTGGTCAAGTCTTTCGCTAGAATTCACGAAACCAACTTGAAGAAGCAGGGTATGTTGCCATTGACCTTTGCTGACGAGGCTGACTACGACAAGATTGTCGCCGGTGACCAACTCTCCACCGTTGACTTGAGAGATATGGTTGCCAAGGATGGTAACAATGGTGGTACCTTGAGAATGAAGGTCACCAAGAGAGATGGTTCTGGCGACTTTGAGATCGTCTGCAAGCACACCATGTCCAAGGATCAGATCGACTTCTTTAAGGCTGGTTCCGCCATTAACCATATTGGTAACTTGAAGAAACAGCAGGAGGCTGCTTCGGCCTAAGTTGCAACTCGTTGTTAATCAACGTCACACATTCATTTTATAGCATCAAAGCAGTCTACTGTGAATATAAGTATTACATGAATAGCTTTTATTTTAGAAAAAAATAAGGAAGAAAATGAGAGCACTCTAGTTTGGTAAAGAGACAATATGCTATGAAATGAAGTTCGGGAACTAGTATCGTCCTTATGCTTAAGCGTCGATCAAATCGTGCGACTTGTCTGGGTTCTCTTCCTCCTCGTCGTCATCGTCCTGGTCCCTAGCTCTGTCGTAGAACTCGTTCAAAATCTTAGGGCTGATTCTGTTCAACATTTCCTTAGGGTAAATTCTCAACAAGGACCATGCAAGGTCCAAAGAGTCGAAAACAGATCTGTCCTCGTAAGCACCTTGGGCAATGAAGTTCTTCTCGAACTTCTCCAAGAATTCCAAAGACAACTTATCTTCAGTGGACAAGGCTTCCTCACCAACGACGGACTTCATAGCAGCAGCATCTCTACCAATAGCGTACTTAGCGTACAACTGGTTAGACACATCACCGTGGTCCTTTCTGGTCATACCTTCACCAATAGCGGACTTCATCAAACGAGACAAAGATGGCAAGACGTTGATTGGAGGGTAGATACCTCTGTTAGACAATTGACGGTCGACGAAAATCTGACCCTCGGTAATATAACCGGTCAAATCAGGAATAGGATGGGTGATATCATCGTTAGGCATGGTCAAGATAGGAATCTGAGTAATAGAACCGTTTCTGCCTTCGACTCTACCGGCTCTTTCGTAGATGGTGGACAAATCTGTGTACATGTAACCTGGGTAACCTCTTCTACCTGGCACTTCTTCTCTGGCAGCGGAAACTTCTCTCAAAGCGTCAGCATAAGAGGACATATCAGTCAAAATGGTCAACACGTGTCTCTCGGTCTGGTAAGCCAAGTACTCAGCAGTGGTCAATGCCAATCTTGGGGTAATAATTCTCTCAATAGTAGGGTCATTAGCCAAGTTCAAGAACAAAGAAGTTCTTTCCAAAGAGCCATTCTCCTCGAAGTCCTGCTTGAAGAATCTAGAGGTTTCCAAGTTAACACCCATAGCAGCGAAAACAATGGAGAAGTTCTCCTCATGGCCATCGTGAACATCCTTGGTTGGTCTAACCAAGCCAGCCTGTCTACAAATCTGAGCAGCAATTTCGTTATGTGGCAAACCGGAAGCAGAGAAAATTGGGATCTTCTGACCTCTGGCAATGGAGTTCATGGTGTCAATAGCGGAAACACCAGTGGAAATCATTTCCTCGGGGTAAATACGGGCGTATGGGTTGATAGGAGAACCGTTAATGTCCAAGTAGTCCTCAGCAAAAATTCTAGGACCCTTGTCAATTGGACGACCAGAACCATCGAAAACACGGCCCAACATATCTTCAGAGACGGCAATCTTCAAGTTCTCACCAGTGAACTCAACTCTGGTCTTTTTGATATCGATACCAGAAGTACCTTCGAACACCTGGACAATAGCCTTGGTACCTCTAACTTCCAAAACCTGACCGGCTCTGACAGATCCATCAGGCAAAGTCAAGTTAACAATCTCATTGAAAGAGGGGAACTTGACGTTATCCAAAATCACCAAAGGACCATTCACACCACCCACGGTGTTGTAATTGATTCTTGGCTTGATCTTGAAGCCCTCAGTAACGGCTTTCTTGTTCAATTCATACAATTCCTTATCTGACAACATCTTAGGTGCGTCTCCACAAAGATTGAGCAGTGAACGGGAATTCTATTGGGGTGACGATGGACGTTCAATCTCACTAGAAGGGAGGTATAGGTTATCGCTTTTCGTCGATAATTAGACCAGCAATCATCATACAGGCATTTACTGTGGCATGCTCACCATTACGCACTTTCTCGATATTGGCTGCAAAATCACTACAACTACTAGCTCAGTATGCAAACTAAATTCTCTATAAGTTTATTAGTATAATCGACTTACAACATCCCAGTCGGCTAGGTGAGATTGAGTGTTCTTCATCATGCTTTTAGTAGCAAGCTTTACGGCCTCATCCCCACCATCTCCGTTATCTCGGCCACTAGCCTTACCGTTTGCAACTAGCTTATGAACGGCATCCATTACTTCTTTTATATCATATGGTTCCCTTTCAGATTCTTGCTGAGGGGATGGTTGCGGTGAGGTCCAACGGTCATCTCCGGAAGATGACTTGGTGTTGTCTTCTTCCGTGTCCAGGAAGCCCTCGCTCACAGCGCCATAAACTTGCTGGTCAGCCATGGTCTTTGGGCTTGGAACCAGTGTTGCCTTCTTACGATTGTTTGTAAGGTAATTGCTGTAGAACTCTCGTAATCGTGATGAGCTTTCGTGGCTCTGTAAGCTGGGCTGTGACGCAGTGGGGAATGAATCGTAGCCGCCTGCCGACGAACCACTTGAAGGTATAGCCACCGCGTCCATGCCTTCGGTATTACCAGTCAAAGCTGAAAATGCAAGTGCACTGTTTGAGGCATGGCTTCGTAACTTTTCGGAGTGAGTCTGTATGATGGATTTAAAGAAGTGATCCATATCAGCGAATCTCTCCAAAATCTTCCTTAAATCAAATTTGGACTGGTTGTCATCATCTTGAGTAGAGTCCGGCTCTCCTCGTAGTTGACCATAAGTACTTGTTAATAGGTCTCTCGTTGACTGCTTCTTCTTCGGCTGTGGTACTTTATCAACAGTCTGGCGAAGGAGCATATCAAAGTTAACCACAATCTTAACCACGATCAGGATGAACTTTAAGTATTCCTTTAATGTGAGCTTGGTGAATGGCTTGGTCAATATCTTGTTAGGTACGATAACCATTCTCTTGCCTTGGATTGTGCTAGACTTGGTCTTTTCATTCAGGCTTATGTTATTATCAACGTTAAGACCTGGCTCTGGCGTTGCCAGAAACACTTCTGGATGAAAATTGTCCGGAGCTGGTGATTCTGACAGAGTCAGCCGGACAGATGCTCTCCTCTGAAGGTTCGCAGTCTTAAAGGATAATGGAACCTGGATTACGTTATCAGTGATCGTTATCTTGTCCATGGAGGGCCTGGGTTCTAGTGTTTTATTATTTTCCTCCTCGACGTATTCGTTATCATGATCTTTCTCTTCTGCCAGCTTCAAAATTGGGTCCGCCTCGTCACCAAGTAGGAAGTTGATCTTCTCTTGCACTTGCCCATAGAATTGACTATCAGGTAGTTGCCTTTTAAGGTAGTCCAAGAAAGGGAGGTCAACAGGGAAGCCATCACTATTCAACAATTCAACCATTAGGACCTGAAAATGAATAAGATTCTCTAGAAAAGAGTTAATTGCAATAAGCTTGTTGTTATGCAGTAAAAAGGACTCAAGGGGAATAATTGGCTGCCCAAAAAGATCAAGTCTTACAGGTTTCCCTTTCAGATCCATCTCTCGCGCCTTCCACGAGTCATACTTGGTGAAAACGACTTGACGAAGCACTCGGAAATGATGGTATTGGAAGTTGGCTGCTTGTTTGGCAGCTCTTCGAGCATCTTCTAGACGAAATCTTAATATCCTTTCGTTATATTTCTCAGACAAGTCATGATGCAGAGCTATGATTTTGGCTCTTGTTTTCTGGATCAGCTCTTCCTTGGCCTCTAGTTCCAGCCTAGCACTGTTCACTTTGGCTTGTAGTAGTGCCACCCGCTTCTCTAGTATCTCTTTTGAACGATCTATATCGCTTTGTTTAAGCCTGGAATTGAGAATTGCTAGCTTCAGAAGTTGTAATGCAAGGTTTTTGACCGAGTATAGCTTGGGGGCTGGTATCTCCCCTGAGTTCGGGAGAGGTGTGGCCCCAGTGGTTTTTGAGGTCTTCTTCGTTTTATCATTAGTGGTAGCCTTAGAAGGAGATTGTAGGGTTTCACATTGACGAAAAATCCCGTCGATATCGTCTCTCATCTGGTCATTCTGCCTCTCGTTAGCTATGACTGAGCTCCGTACCACGTCTATCTCTTCATGGATACATTCCGCACATAGTAGTTCTTGACCCGCTAGAGCATCCATACTGGTTTTGGAATGCGATTTGGCTGGCTTTTTAGACATGACAATGGATGTCTCATGTGGTTGTTGGCGAAAGAAGAGGGATGTTGGAGTTACCTATATTGATAGTGCACTGTTATCGCGCATGATACTACATAGTATACGGTGATAATGGCTGCAAACCTATAAGTGTGTGGTAACATTTACCTTTTCCTGTACCCTTTGCGAAGTTGACGACGTTCGACAAGTTCCCTTACCATTAGGGCAATAGCCTCCTCGACGTCTGATTCAACATCCACTGCTAAAAAGCCACACTTCCAATCTTTGCTGAGCTGCCTTCCGTCTTCTATAAGCTTTGGCGACGCGAGAGGCAGATTAGAATGGGTGCAGACAAGCCATATTGGTGGTGGGCATGACGGGTCTGCGGGATCCGATGAGATCTCAAGTAGTTTAGAGCCGCCAGGAGGACGATAGGATGATGAGGGTTTTTTGACTTCGTCGACTATCAAGCCTCGAAGGGCTGTCTTGAATGAGAATATGTCAGACTCTTTTCCGCTCTCCCAAGAAACCTTGTATGTGTAGTATTCTTGCCATGCTTCATCGAGAGTCTGTTTCATGAGCGGTAGTAGATCAAATCCATTTTCAGTCTGTGGCAGCGGAGAAGAGCCTGAAGATTCGTCATAGGATGGTGGGAGACTTGAAGGTACTGCGCTATAGACGAAATAATATCCATCCACCGTACCGTTTAACTCGCTCGCACCACTAGCAACAATCAAAGGATTAGTACTAACGGGCTGTCGAGGCTCGTTGGCTAAGTTGTGTAGAACGTCTTTTTCGAGCTTGATGTAGAGCGATGCCTCTAAGAACGGGACAACCTGCTTTGGGTTGAATGCTGGGGTATCTATGAGTTCCATGAGGATAGGTGTGGTCTGTACTTCATTTGTCCGCGTAAACGTTGAATAAATATGATTGGACTGTTGAATAGCAATGGCATTGCTTTGAGTAACGGGCATGGTTGGCTTCTTTGTAGTATTATTCACCAAACTGTTATAAACAACCGGACTGAGAACAACATTATCACTAGTCAAAGCCAGATTCAATGTGTCCCGTGGGGAAAATGTATCTAATAGTTGCTTCGAAAGCGGAGCATTTGGGAAGTAGGTGAATAGGATGGGCTGGGTTTGTTGCAGTGGATAATATGTTTCTCTGAAGCTGCCCATCGTGACTTTTGAGATGAGCGAGGTCTTGCCACTCTTTGCTCCTCCAAGAAACGCTAAGCGCACAGGTTCTCTATCATTCGTAGGCTGATCGACATCGAGGGCCAGCCTTTTTAGAAGGGACTTCATAGGAAGGCTGGACTCTGTTGTAAATGAAGAGGATCAAGTAGGAAATATCTTAGATATGATAAGATGTACTGGGGTAGATATGGAGCCTGTCAATGCTCGGCTGCGAAAAAGTCCTACAACTGTCTTAGACCACTCGGCATAGATAAGAGTTTGTGATCGATTGTGATTAATATGCTGGACAAGTTGCAACACCTAGCTTAGAGTCGCCTTGTCCGAAATACAAAAACCATTGACCCTTGAACTGGACTACACCTTCGGTGAATACCACTTTATCGACTTGACCGGTCACTTCGCTAGCGTCCTCAGGGACCAAGACCGGTTTCTCCAACCGAGCCAAGGGCCCATCTTTCAAGTTGTCGTAGTCAATCAACATTTGCGAGATTGTGTATGTTGCTTTTGGGTACGGCCCGCCGCCAATTGTAGAAGAATTGTAGAACAAAATGTAGTAGTTTTGATGACGATTGCCTGTGTCAATTTTAATAGGCGCAGGGCCTGGCTCAATTAACCGGTCCTGCCAGTTGAATTTGCCAGTTGTGAAAACAGCAGACAGATAATTGTTGCTAGTGATCTCCCAATGGACCAAATCAGGGCTTGTAGCTAAGTAGAAGCCAGATTCTCCCCAGATCATGTAGTACTTGCCGTCCTTATGCTTGTCAACAAACACAGCACCACTTTTCAGCCAAGCCCGACGAATGAAATGGGACCCATCAAGAGCATTGGCTACCTCATCAAAGTTATCATCCTTGATGATAGGCGGATGTTTCTTCCAGTGAAACAAGTCAAATGACTCGGCTACACAGAGCCTAGCATGCGCTCCATCGTAAGCAGTATATGTCATGATAAACTTCTTCAGCACTGGGTCTCTCACTATCCGTGGATCTTCACATCCACCCCTTTCTTCCCACTTCTCGGTAGGATACAAAACCGGTTTATAGTACCGTCTGAAGTTGTAGCCGTCCTTCAGCCATGCCAATCCCACACTCAGAGTCCGAGCCTTATTCTGTGCCCTATATAACAAAAACACATATTCATCCACCACAATTGCCGTGGCATTATAAACGTATGCTGCCTCCCATTCGTTATCAGGATTAGGAGTCAAGATAGGGTTATGCTCGTACCTCTTGAAGTGAGGACCGATAGGAAACGCTTTAGGCGTCTTATAATGTTTATCGCCAGACGGAGTATCTGGCCCAATAATTGGAATTGATACCATCACGAGTAACTAAATATAAAAGAGCCAAAAGTAAATATTGAGTTCCAACCCCAACAGTCAGCCTTAGCAGGACTGAGCCATTCTAATCCTCCACTGCAGGACAGTCTGAGTTTGGGGCAGTGGGGATCAGCGCTCGCCCTCCCCCCCCCCCCCCAAAAAAAAAAAAAAAAATAGGTTAAAGTGAGGGAAAAAAGAAACCGAGAGCCTAGAGTGAGGTGAACAGAAAAAAAGCGGCAGAGTAACACTTTTTTGCTCTTTTATCATCGTTGTTTGCCCTCGGCTCGATTGGAGAGGCATTAGCTACTTTTAATCGATTGAAGTTTGTTTCGGGAAGTTGTCCCTTCCGGAGCCGTTGTCCATTGACGGGTTATACTATTTTTAATATTTGATCCATTTATTTTTCGTTATCTCGTTAAGAGTCTCCTGCTGTTCCGCTTCCGCCAGAAAAGCCTAGATTGATAAACGAGCCATTGCTTGTTACATTCCCGCCGTCTAGAATTTCCTCCGGCCGTGTTTTTCTAGAGTTTCTCCAACAGAGATCGTTTTCCTCCATATCTGCCTTTGCTTGCCACCGCTCCTTCCATATATCCTTCCAGATGGGTCAGCTCTTGTCTCACCCAGTGGAGGAGAAGTCCATAGAGTTCCGGGAACACTCCTCCATCTCCTACACCATTGGCTCAATGCAAGGCTATAGAATGACCATGGAAGATGCCCACGACGTACGGGTCTCTGACGACGAGAACCTTGCCGTGTTTGGTGTTTTCGATGGCCACGGCGGTAAGGAAATAGCCGAGATCTTACAGCAAAAGTTAGTGGCGACAATTTTCAGAACCCTCTCGGCATCCATCAAGAAGGGCAAGGACAATGACTTGCTGACTTACATAAGGCTCATCAAGGATTGTTTTTTCAAGGTTGACGCCCTGCTACCCGAGACCGAAGCTGCCAATTGCGGAAGCACTGCTATCATCACCACCGTTATTGCCAAGCGCTATGTTATTGTTGCCAATACAGGTGACTCCAGATCGATTCTTTCGCTTAAAGGAGGCTGCCTGAAAAATCTCTCCTTTGATCACAAGCCTTCAACCATGGGTGAACGGGTTCGTATTGAGAACAGTGGTGGTTACGTGATCAATGGCAGAGTGAATGAAGTTTTAGCATTGTCTCGAGCTTTCGGTGACTTTAACTTCAAATTGCCTTGGCTTTCGCTTAATCCTACAGGGCATCATAACGCATACTTAGAACGGAACCGGAAACTTATCAAGGACAACTTGGTGGCTCTTCCACCAGAGCTCTACCAAGTCAGTGTCGAGCCCGATGTTCTCGTGTACGACTTGAAGTGCTTGAGCGAACCCGAGTTCATTGTGTTGGCTTGTGACGGTATCTGGGACTGCTACACGAATGATCAACTAATCCGTCTCATTCGTAAGAGGTTGCGTGAGGGCTGGAACCTACAACACATTACTGAATACGTTTTAAACGATTGTATCAGTATGGCCAATAACATCACGGGTATCGGCTTCGACAATATGACGTTAATGATTGTCGCTCTACATACGGATGGCACGCTCGAAAAGTGGGGCGAGCAATTCAAGAAGAAATGATTAACGACCAAGATTCATTCCAAAGAGCGTTGGCACCATATCCGCCACTACGTTTCGAAATGAGTATAACCCTTAGTATCCCGAGTTCACCGATTATAGAACGGGTATCTATCATGAGATTTTAATGCTACGACCAGCCGCTGGTTGCGAAAAAGATCAGGCCAGGATTGCACACCAGCGAAAAAACACAAGTTTAATGTTCAACAACACCATAAATATTTTCCTTTTTTTAAAAAAATTTCCAAAGCACTCGAGGCTGTTCCTGTGGGGTATCTAGAGTAATCAAATCAATCCTGGTATCTTTTTTTGCCAAACTAGATAATAGATATTTAAACTCATTAGCAAGTCAAGGACGCCTGCAGAAAAAAAATATAAGAAAAAGCACTGGCTCTCTTTTTACCCTTGGAGCCGCGCTAGCTAGTCAGGCCCATGTACTTCTCCTTCTTCGACATCCACTTATACAACTCTATTCCCATTCATTGACCACCCACTTGCATTTTATTTCACAGCTTCAACAGCCTTTAAACCGACAAACAACACTTTCCCCCAATAAACCACCTTGCATTTTACCCACAGCATTCATCGCATTCAATCCAACTCAGGCATCCTGGAACAATGTCATATACCACGTTCGATACTTACACTACGTACGATGATCCAATATTGACGCTCGCTAGAGATCCAAATCTTTTGAAGGAGAAGGCAAAAAATTCAAAGATAAACCTGATTATACAAGGCCTAGCGGTTACAGAACGGAAGGTATCCAGACTATGCCAGCTAAGTCTCACAATATTGCAAACACTAGAAAAAATAGACCTAAATTTAAAGAACTGGACATTTTTCTCCCTAGACGCCAGCTCTGCGGACCATTTTGACGCTTCGAATACCGAAGAGAATAAGGAGTTCAATAATAATGTTTCCCTACAAGTCATCAATTCATGCCAGGAACTCACAAAGAAACTCAATAAGATATCCGCGGATGTTGATTTCATTACAAACGCCCTGAAATCGCTATCGCCTCTTGAATTTATCAGTGATAGTGGTACATTGCTCACCTCATTAACGCTACGAAATATCAAACTTAAGGATGAACTAAGAGATAAAGTGACAATTGCATACCTGAAGGCTAAGCTCATCACTATTGGAACCGATTTAGAGCTTATGTTGGGTGAAGGAAGCTCAGAACAACAGCAGACTGTTTATTCTTATAAGCAATTTGTCATGAGTCTTCTAAAGCAATTGAACGACGCGGTTGATGGTGACGATATTGAAGAAAGAAACGAGTGCTTGGCCGTCATTAGTGACATGGAGCAAATGTTCGAAGCTTTCAAGCTAGAAAAGGTACAACAAGCAAAAGAAGAATTGGCTAAAAGAGCAGAACAAGCCGAGTATACGCCCCAAACCTCGAAATCGGGTCAAGACGACGATCACAGAAGGTATTCTCCGGAAACAGACTATTCTTCTCGCAGAAGGGACTCGCTTTCTTCTCTGTCAACAACTGTCATGCAACAGTCTTTATTAAGCGAAGAACTTCCTTATCTCATGTCTGCCTTCCGTCTGGACGAAAAGCAAGAGGGCGAATCAGAGTACTCTCTCGAGCGCTCTGAAGTTTTACAACAAAAAGCTAAAAAGCAGCATGAGTCGCATCAAGAACCACAGTCCCAGTCGGCTTCAATCTTGCATTTCCCTCATCAAAAGACTCAATTGCCCGAGACATCGTTATATACGGGCGGAGAATTCGTTACAGCACCACCGGCTCCATCCCCATATTCATACCTCAACACGGGATCTTCTTGGTTGTCTAAATTGGGCATCAAGCCACAGGTTATCACAGCTGATAAGCATCTTGTCAACAGTACTACTGTGAATCGTGGTTTTGCTGAGAAACAACTACCATCCCCTTCATCCTCAACTTCATTCATCAAAGACAAGGACCATGAGGATAAAGAAAACGCTAATCATACTCCGCTTCTGATTGAAAATTTAGAGGCTCATACATTGTCGCTGTTGAGCCATGACGACGATCATTTATTAGACTACGTCGAATAGGTATTCTGTGCTGGCCAACTACGACTACATCTTGCATGAGTACCAAATTGTTTATTAAAGACATAATGACTCCCCATTGCTTAGCTCCACTGGCTAAGCTTTTTCTCCGCATTGCATTTAGATAATTGCTTCACGAAACTTTCACCCCAGTAGCCCGAAGTGTATTTAGAAATGTAGTCGAAAACCTTCTTGAAGTTGATGGCTCTCTTCTCCTCTGGAAGAGTCAAACTTTCCTTAATGGCTTCGCACATGTCTTCTGAGCTCCATGGGTTAACTATGATGGCGCCATTAAGTGACTGAGCGGCACCTGCAAATTCAGATAAAATGAGAACACCATTATTCTCCTGTTGGCAAGCAATATACTCGTAACTGACTAAGTTCATACCATCACGAGTAGAGCTGACCAAACAAACGTCCGATATTCTGTAGAGACTTATAAGCTCGTCAAATGGCACAGATTTATGCAAGTAGTGAATTGGAACGAATTCAACTGTGCCAAAACGTCCATTGATTCTTCCAACGAGCTCGTTCACATTTGCTCGCAAGCTCTGGTATTCTTCCACGTCACCTCTTGATGGAACGGCAACCTGTACCAAAACCACCTTACCGATCCATTCAGGGTTCTCTGTGAGGAAGACCTCAAACGCATGAAGTTTCTGTGGTACACCTTTGATATAATCAAGTCTGTCCACACCGACAATGACCTTCATACCTTCAAATTTCAGTTTCATCTGTTCAATTCTTGACACCACTGCGGGCTTCTTGACGCCCTCGGTGAACTTTTCAACGTCAATGCCAATTGGGAATGCACCAATTTGGATGGAGCGCCCTTCGACCTCCACTCCATTTGGCAATGTATTTACATCGGGAACAATTCTTGACACAGAGGACAAGAAATGACGGGCATAGTCGTAGGTGTGGAAGCCGATCAAGTCGCAGCTCAACACACCAGTAACAATTTCTCTTCTGACGGGCAAGATTCTGTAAATTTCAGAAGATGGAAATGGGGTATGGAGGAAGAATCCAATACGAACGTTCTTTGGACTTTTACTAGACGCTGCCAATTCCTCTCTTAACATCTGTGGTAACAACATCAAGTGGTAATCATGGACCCAGATCATGTCATCATCTTCAACCTGCTCCACAATCTTCGATGCAAACTGACGGTTAGCCTCGATATAAGCAGCCCAGGCTGTCTCATCAAAGTTCATTTCACCTGGATGATAATGAAAGAGAGGCCACAATATACTATTGGAAAACCCATTATAGTGCAAATCAGCGATAGAGTCGCTTAAGAAAATGGCACAGCATTTAAACTGGTCCATCAAGTCTCGGTTAACCTGGTCCTGTTCATCCTCTGGAAGTTCCAAGCCAGGCCAGCCATACCATTGGAACTCTGTGGACTTCTTCAATCCCTGAAGGGCAGTAACCAAGCCGCCCGAAGACATGGAGTACTCATAAGAGCCATCGTCTTTCCGCTTTATCGTCACGGGGAGACGGTTAGAAACAACAAGAACTTTGCCTTTATTCATTTTGAAACGGGTGGAACGCAATTGAGTAGCAAGGGGTTATGTAAATAGATCAGGTGTATGTAGAAGAAATGTTAATCAAGTGGAACCTGTATGCGAAATACCTTCAGGTGATATGGGTCTATAGCCCGATGGGTATGCAAAACTGGCAAAAATGTGTGTGACAAAAACACAAAAAAAAGAAGACAATGACGGGCAGTCGAATCGTTTATAAATATAACACTTTTAAGGTAATTGCGAGGATGGGCGTGGCTGTGGAAGTGTCTAGAAAGGGTTGATCCAGGCACAGCAAACGGAGTCGGACTTTTCTAGAAGTTGCGCAACTGCGGTCCACATGGCTAGATAGATAACCTTCCCAACAATGGGTTTCTGGACGAGAAAAGTAACTCGAAAAAGAATTTGCTCCAGCTGTTCACAACTACAACGAAATTATATACATCCTTTGAATTACCATTTCCAGACTTGACGTCTTGGACTTTCCTCACCTTCTTCACTTTTTGACATGTTTTGACATTTCGCACGCCAAACCACAGAATGGTTGCAAAGCCTTGGTGGGCCGACACTAAATTTCTTGCTTCCGCAAGAGTACCACACTAACTCGTATACTTTTTCCACACAATGTACCCGATATGTGGCCCACTATGAACGGTTGGGTGCCCCCACTTTGACTATTTTCTTTTACAAATTATGCATAACACGTCTATGCTAGATAGAAGGGGGGGGGGATTGGTGGTTTGGTGGTTGTTCCTCGGACCGAGGCCCGTTTAGGAGAAGGAAAAATGACAACCGTGCAGTGGGGGCGTTTTCAGTCTATGTACTCTACTGTGCTTGGCATGTACGTTTGGATTCTGGGATCTTGACGAATTCATCGAAAGCCTGGTTAAGGTACAAGACCAAAGAGAAGTCGAGGCCAGGCAAAATCACGGAAAAGTTTAATCTCCGGGTTAAGTCCAGATAGTGGGGTGCGAGTTGGTGATAAACAATTGCATCGACAATCAACTCCTCTCGAATTTTTCAATGCGGCTCCCGATATATATTCTTGTCGATGACAAATGCTACTGCGGGTAAAACGTCACTGTAATACCCGCTTTTGCACACAGTTTTTTTGGGGCACGCCTGGGGTACATAAGAAGCTGAAGTTCTCGGAATATTACCTCTTTTTCCATATTTATTCATCGCCATGGCTCCTCCTCCTACCCCTGTCGTCGCTAGACCTTTAGAAGACACTGTCATTTTCAAGCCTCTTCAGGTTGGTAAAAACGAGCTTTCCAACCGCATTGTGTTTGCTCCATCCACGAGATTCAGAGCCTTGGAGGACCATTCCCCATCGGATCTCCAGCTCGAATACTACGACGAAAGATCAAAGTACCCAGGCACGTTACTTACTGTGGAGGGAACTTTGCCAAGCAAGAAGACTGGCTCCTACGCGTTCGTTCCTGGTATTTACACCGATAAACACGTTAGAGAATGGAAGAAGGTGACGGATAAGATCCACGAGAACAAGTCGTTCGTTACTGTCCAGCTCTGGGGATTGGGCCGTGTGGCTGATCCAGCACAGAATAAGAAGGAAGGCCAGAAACTCAAGGGTCCTTCTGCTCTCTATGACCATCCAAGACTGGAGAAGGCTGCTAAAAAGGCCGAAAACGAGATCGAAGCTTATACCACCGAGGAAATCGACGATTTGGTCAATGAATATCTGAAGGCAGCTAAGAACTCTGTGGCTGCTGGCTTCGATTACGTCGAGTTCCACTGTGCTCATGGATACCTTTTCAACCAATTCTTTGCTCCTTCAGCAAACAAGAGAACAGACAAGTACGGTGGCTCCATCGAGAACAGAGCTCGTTTCATTTTGAGTGTCATCGACAGATTGTCAGATGAGATTGGCTCTGAAAGGCTAGCCGTCAGAATCTCTCCATGGGCCACAGTTTACGGTATTCAGGCTCAAAAGGATGAGGTTCATCCAATCACCATCTACTCTCATTTCTTGAACGAGTTGCAGAAGAGAGCTGATGCTGGTAGACCAATTGCATACGTTTCCGTTGTCGAACCTAGAGTGTCCGGTGTCTTTGATGTCGCAGAGAAGGACATCGCTGGTGACAATGATTTCGTGAAAGCTGTCTGGAAGGGTGTCGTGATGAAGGCTGGTAACTACACTTATGATGCTCCAAAGTTCAAGCTGCTTTTAGATGACACAGAGGATGGAAGAACGTTGGTTGGTTTTTCCAGATACTTCATTTCCAACCCTGACTTGGTTTACAGACTTAGAGATGGTAGGGAACTTACCCCTTATGACAGAAAGACTTTCTACAAGACCACTAATTGGGGTTACAACACCTACAAGAGGTTTGAGGACGAGAGACAGTTTGATGAAGAAGCCGAGAAGAAACGTAGAGCTGCACCAATCGCCGTGGCCGCTACTCATGCTAAATTGTAATAGAGAATTAGATTTGCCTAGGACTAATATATGCTTAGTGTATTTCACTAGAGGTAGGTTCCAGTATATGGCTGCGAAATCCAGAAATAGAGGCACACAGCCATGGTATTCCGCCTTGTATAGATAAAACTGTATCGGAACCACTTTTAAAAAGTAGGTAACTGAATAAACTGCTTCTTAATTATCTCTAATGATAAAAATATACAAAACCCTATTTTATCGATATAGCCGGAGATTATAAGAGAGAAGCAGGTACCGTTCGCGGTACGTGTTATGTAGCATACACGACTCGCAAACCTCAAACAGTTTGGAATACTAACGTCCCGACTACATCGATCGAGATCCAAAATCGGCAATGTCCAACCCTTACGCATACGTCGAGGATGACCTTCCTCAACAACAAAACTTACGTCACCCACAACCTCAGCATGTAGGTTACTCGCCACAACAACATCACCAACAGCCACATCAGCAATATCAACAGTTTGCTGGTGGACCACAATTCGTTGGCCAACAACAGCAATTTGCCGGGAGCCAGCAGTTTGGCCAACAGCCTAACGCTGGCCAGTTTGGTGGTATTCCAGGACAAGGTGGACAGTTTCCACAGGGCCAACACCAACAGCACGCAGGCAACGCTGGTCCATACGCTAGCTTCTTTTCAGACCCCACCGCTTCCATGGCTGCCCAGTTTGCCAAAACCAGCTTTGGTCAGTCAAACGAGTATATCCAGCAGAACTTCGGAAGTTACATCCCTGTTGCAGGTGAATTGAAGTTCTACTTTAATGTGAGCAATTCATACGTGCTCAATAAGATCATCCTAATACTTTTCCCTTACCGCCAGAAGAATTGGGCTCGTATTACCCAGACTGACCCTACTCCAAACGCAAGTGCTGGCTCTACCTACGCTCCTCCATCAGAAGACGTGAATGCCCCAGATTTGTACATCCCATTGATGTCCTTTATCACATACATCCTTCTCTGGTCCTCCTTCCTGGGGTTGAAAGGAGAATTTCACCCTGAGCTTTTCGGATACCTCGCTTCCCAGACCCTTGCATGCTCATTCCTTGATATTTTGATCTTTAAGGTTGGTCTTTACCTTTTGAACTGCTCGACCCAGAGTTCATTGTGGGACGTCGTGAGTTTCAGCGGGTACAAATATGTTGCTATCACGCTCTTATTGTGCTGGAAGAATATCGTGGGCAATTCATGGTTACTTTACTACTCCGTTTTGGCTTACGTTGTCGGCAGCTTGTCTTTATTTTTGATGAGATCGTTGAAGTTCTTGGTCTTGCCTCTTGGTGTGGCCGAAGCTTCTACGCAGACTATCACAAACGTACAAAGGAGACTCAGAGTTCAGTTCCTTTTCCTCTACGCTGTGGTTATTCAGTTTTTGATCGTCTTGTTTATGTCCAGATAATTTAGGTCTTTGGTCACCTGACTTTCTTTGAGTGAGACAGGTACGGCCTTTTGCTTGCCATCAGTTGTACCTGTACGCTTTCCATTCGCGTCTCTCAACGCGTGTATAGACGGTGCCATCGCAATGCACACCAACCTTCTATCGTATTATTTACTCTTGATTTCATAATCTCTCGACAACCCCCGTGCAACTCTTCACAATGTCAAGACCTTCACAATTCAAAGGGTCTACCTCTGCAAGGTTTGTGAAGAATGCCAAAAAATCCAAGAATATCACTTCTGAGTTCAAGCTATCTAAGGATCAGCAAGAGGAAGAGAAACCCAACCCATTGCTCAGTGATGCCATTTTCAAGAAAGAGCTCGTCGAGAAAATCGATAATATGGATTCCATTATGGGGTTTGAAAGATTTGATCATGGTGATCAGGATGGAGAGAAGCCTAGGAAAGGCTGGCTCATAAACATGCATGCTACAACAGTTCCCACTGACGATTATATGGCGGGATATGCTGGCGCCGACTATTACTTTTTGGATGCCGAAGGTGGCTCCTTTAAGGCCACAATTCAATATGACCCATACTTCTTTCTTTTGGTAATGCCTGGCAAAGAAGCCGAGGTTGAAGAAGCATTGAAGAGATTGTTAGAGCAATGTAACGTGAAGTCGGTATCGAAGGAGGTCAAGGATGATCTTGCCTTACCGAATCATTTAGTGGGCTTACAACGCACGGTCATTAGACTTACTTTTCACAACACCACTGACCTTTTAGGTGCCAGAAGAATTCTCACGCCTATCATAAAAGAGAACCAGAAGAATGGTGACAGAAGAGACGTGTTTCAAGTTCTTAATTTCAACAACTCAAACAATATTAATGGCGGTCACACCGGTTATCAATCAAATAAGGAAACAGGAAAAGGTGAAAGTTCCTCTGACCCTCTAACTTTCATCGATGATGTCCGTGAATACGATGTACCATATCATGTCAGAGTATCCATTGACAAAGGCATTCGTGTTGGAAAGTGGTATAATGTTTTTGCCAAACACGGAACGATAAATCTTGAAGAGGACACTGAGTTGATTGCATTTGCAGACCCTGTCGTCATGGCTTTCGATATCGAGACTACGAAGTCTCCACTTAAGTTTCCAAATTCCCAAGTGGACCTGATTATGATGATTTCGTACATGATAGATGGCGAAGGTTTTCTCATTACCAACCGTGAAATCATCTCCGAAGATATCGATGACTTCGAGTACACTCCCAAACCTGAATATCCTGGTCAATTCACAATCTTTAACGAACCAGACGAGAAAAGTTTACTTCTACGCTTCTACGAACATATCAGAGACGTGAGACCTACGGTGATCGCCACATTCCACGGTGACTTTTTCGATTGGCCCTTCATAGATGACAGGTCTAACTTCCATGGGATTGATATGTTTGAAGAGATTGGCTTCGCAAAAGATAATGATAAGGAGTATAAATCCAAGTATTGCGTTCATATGGACTGTTACCGTTGGGTCAAACGTGACTCCTACTTACCCCAAGGTTCCCAGGGCTTGAAGGCGGTGACTACAGCTAAGTTGGGTTACAACCCCACCGAATTAGATCCTGAACTCATGGTGCCTTATGCTACTGAGAACCCCCAATACTTGTCTGAATATTCCGTCTCGGACGCTGTGGCAACATATTATCTTTATTTCAAATATGTTCATCCTTTCATCTTTTCCTTGTGTACCATTATTCCATTGAATCCCGATGAAGTTTTGAGAAAAGGAACAGGAACACTTTGCGAGATGTTGCTTATGGTTCAAGCTTACGAGAAGAACATTCTCCTACCCAACAAGTATTCTGACCCAATAGAAAGGTTCTATGAAGGCCACTTGCTCGAATCTGAAACATATGTGGGTGGTCATGTTGAGTCTCTTGAAGCTGGTGTTTTCCGTAGTGACATCGCCACTGATTTTGAGATCAAAACTGAAGCAATCGATGAACTTTTGGGGGACTTGAGAAACTCTATCAAGTTTTGCGTTGAGGTTGAGAATGGAAAGAATCTTGAAGATATTGAAAACTTTGAAGAAGTCTACGAGAGCATCAAAGCTCAACTCGAGGAGCTTAAGAATAATCCATCAAGACACGAGAACCCTCTTATTTATCACGTCGATGTTGCTTCGATGTATCCAAATATCATGACCTCGAATAGATTGCAGCCGGACTCGATCAAAACCGAGGAAGACTGTGCCGCTTGTGACTTCAACAGACCCGGAAAGACATGCGATAGAAGACTACCTTGGGCTTGGAGAGGTGAGTTTTTGCCTGCTGACATGAGTGAGTATGGTCAGGTAAAGCGTGGGTTCCAGAATGAAACATTCCCTGGTGCCAGACCTTGGCTTCCGAGCAGAACGTTTGACGAGCTTTCGTATGCTGAACAAGCCCTGCTTATCAAGAAAAGGTTGACTGAGTATTCTAGAAAGGTGTACAACCGTGTCAAACAAACAAAAACGGTCACTAGAGAAGCCATTGTGTGCCAGCGTGAAAATCCATTTTATGTCAACACCGTTCGAAATTTCAGGGACCGTCGTTATGAATTCAAAACGTTGGCTAAGGTTTGGAAGGGTAAAACGGGCAAATGCAAGGATGCCATTTCCAAGGATGAAGCAAAGAAGATGGTGGTCTTGTATGATTCTCTTCAGCTTGCTCATAAGGTTATTCTCAATTCTTTCTACGGTTATGTCATGAGAAAAGGTTCTAGATGGTATTCTATGGAGATGGCCGGCATCACCTGTCTTACTGGTGCTACGATCATTCAGATGGCAAGGTCTTTGGTTGAGAGAATTGGTAGACCTTTAGAGTTGGATACAGATGGTATCTGGTGTATCCTTCCCAAATCATTTCCCGAAAATTTTGATTTGAAGTGCAAGGATGGCAAACTGCTTTTCTTAGAATATCCCTGTTCCATGTTGAACTACTTAGTGCATCAGCGTTTTACCAACCATCAGTACCAGGAACTAGCTGACAAAGACACATTCAAGTACACAACAAAATCGGAGAACTCGATTTTCTTCGAAGTTGACGGTCCCTATAAAGCTATGGTTTTGCCTACTTCGAAGGAGGAAGGTAAAGGTTTGAAGAAGAGATATGCTGTTTTCAACAAGGATGGTTCTCTCGCTGAATTGAAAGGTTTCGAGTTGAAAAGAAGAGGAGAACTTCAGCTTATCAAAAATTTCCAATCAGATATCTTCAAGTTGTTCTTGGAGGGTGATAGCCTTGAGAGTTGCTACAAGGCTGTGGCAACCGTTGCAAATAATTGGCTAGATGTTTTGGATACTAAAGGAGGGATGCTCGAAGACGAGGACTTAATCGAACTCATTTGTGAAAACAAGACTATCACGAAGCAAATTTCCGAGTATGAGGGGCAGAAGTCTACATCGATCACGACTGCAAAGAGATTGAGTGAATTCTTGGGTGAAGAGATGATTTCAGGTAGTCAGACGGCCTGTAAATACATTATCAGCTCCAAACCATATGGAAGCCCAGTGACCGAGAGGGCGATTCCTGTTTCCATTTTCTCTTGGGAAGAAAAGGAAGTTTATCTCAAAAAGTGGCTCAAAGATCCAAACTTGTCTGATTTTGGCCCACGTTCAGTCATCGATTGGGATTACTACAAAGAGCGTCTTGCTTCTGTTGTTCAAAAGATTATCACCATCCCAGCAGCTTTACAGGATGTGACCAATCCAGTTCCGAGAGTTACCCATCCCGATTGGTTGCAAAAGCGTATCAAGATAAAGAATGATACGAAGAAGCAAAGCTCCATTGGCAAATTCTTCGAAGCCCTGACCAATAAAGATGTGAAAATCAAAGCTATAAAGGATATGGAAGATTTTGGTGAACTTGATGAGGGAAGTGCACGGTCAAAGGTTGGTAAGGTCACTATCCGCAAGAGAAAGCATGCCCAGGCTCTTCAAGCGCAGCAGAAAGAGGAAGAGGAACGCAACAGTGCTATCTTGAACGGAGCTTGTCCTTCTATGATTGATGATTACGCGGGCTTTTTGGCTTACCAGAAAGCGAAGTGGAAGATGCAATCCGAAAATAGAGAGCGTCGGAGAAAACTTTTCGGTGATAGCTCAGCATCATCGCATCGTTCTTCTGTCGGAAACATGTTCAGAAAACAAGCTGCTAATGTTGCTGGAACAGACTGGGAGATACTTGAGTACAAGCCGGATCCTATGAATCCAGGCTCCCTCCGAGTATATGTCATGGCCAGTGGAAAAATACATTCCTTCCTTTTTAACATCCAAAAGAAGGTGTTTGTTTCTTTCAAGACAAAGCTTCCAGTGAACTACAGTTATCCACGTGTGGCCATTAAAGCCTCCCAAGCCGTTGTTCCTAATGGCCATGATTCTAAGAATCTTTACGAGCTTACTATGTCAGAGAAGACATACAACGATGAGATGAGTAAAGTTGACGGCTTGCTTCACAATTCGAATATCTTGGGTATTTATGAATCTGAGATAGATTCTATTGACAGGGCAATCATTGATTTAGGCCATTCTGTTCGTTTTGATGACACAAACGTGGGAAGTCTTGGAAAGTGTTTGAAGACCGGTTTCAGCTCTAAAGATTTGGTGAAGATTGACAAGGATAATTATTTGAAGAGATTCGACATGGAGATCATTTACATGTTGCATATCATGACAAACAGCTACGAATTTTTTGCATTGTTTAATTCCTGGGATGAAAATGTTTCTATCATGATATTGAAACCCTCTCGTGGGGCCCAAGAGATACCTGTTAACCTCGAAAAGATCTACAAGGAGGTGTACCAGAACAAGAAGGACAAGGTGTCCAAGCTATACAACATTATCGATTACAAACCGGAGATGAATTTCGATACAGTCTATTACCATACACCTTCGTCCGTTTACAAGAAGCTTAACAAGATCTTAAGAGGCTTCCAAGAAAGCAGAAGCAACAAAGCCCTCCTTGCACTTCAATCACCATACTGCGAGAAAGTCTTGGGACTACTTGACCCAGGTATCGACTTCCCAACTGTCAGGATGCAAGTAAGCGAAGTATCTTTACCAGCGCTTAGTTGGCAAACTCTTATCGCCAAAAGGATTATGAATCACTTCTTCTTGGTCGCATCGTGGATCAAGAATATGATAGCATTGTCAAATTATGGAAAGGTGCCTCTTTGTAATTTGCAGGTCGAGAAGATGGGGTACTTGATTGACATTGAGTTTGCAAGGCGCTTGACAGAGAACAATGTGGTACTTTGGTGGTCGAAGCATCCGTTCCCTGATCATGGTGGGTTCGAAAATGACAGAGTTGGCGACGTCAATAATCACGATTTCGTTCCGATCAACAATCCTGAAATCTACGAAACGGCCTCTTTGGAGATCGCAGTGGGTACATTGACCATCAATTCTATCCTCACAAGTTCATTGATCAATGAAGCTGAAGGAACAGATCTCTCCGATACGGCTCTCATTGACTCGGAGACAAATGGATCCACAATGGCCCAAGATGCGTTCTCTCCAGTGGCGTTATCGACGTTGAAGACCATGGTGAAGGGATGGTGGGATGATGCTGTTGGAAATAACGCCAATGCAGATGCGATGATGAACACCTTGGTTTCATGGGTGCACCTGTCAGATTCGAAGCTTTATGATTTCACTTTGCATAATCATATCCATAACTTGACATCTAAGGCTTTGTTCCAGCTTGTTGGTGAGTTTAAGAGGATGAATGTGAACATTATTTATGCCTCTCGGTATAAGGTCATCATACAGACAACGAAGATCTCCGTGGAAAATTCATATGCCTTTGGTCAATATTTGGTCAATGCTACGAGATCAAAGCCATTGTTCAACTTCCTTGACTTGAGGATTGTCCGGTATTGGGATGTTTTAATCTGGTTGGATGAATACAACTACGCTGGTCGTTGTTGTACCACCATCACTAATGATGATATCCAGACCTTGCTTCCTAAGAGTAGATGGCACATCAAGAAGTTCTTGCCACTCATTTTCCAGAATGACTTCGATGATTGGCTTTTTATCTTCTTGGATGCAATCGTGAAGTACAAGAGTGAGACCCTTCTAGGTGGAACGCAGAAAGGAACACAGAGAATTACACAATTGGCCCATGTGCTCCGAGGCCAACATAAACAGGACGCTTCAATTGAAGAGGAAGACCCTGAGAATTTCGAGAGCAGTGAGATTGTTGAAGTTCTTAGGAAACCTTTGTTGAGAAGAATTGAGAAGCTCTATCGCCGTCAAAATGAATCTATTTTGAATCCTGAGATGAAGCATGACTATGAGTTCCCAAATCATCCTGGATCGTTCCTTGAAATGAAGAACCCTATTCTAGAATTAGTGAAGTTCTTATGCGCCATCTTTGGGTTGTCTGCTAAGAGAAACACAGAAGTCAGGATGTTGAGAAGAGATTTGCTTGCAGCAATTGAAGTGAAAGAGTTTAGCCCTGAAAGCATCTTCAAAAACCCAAGCAGTTCGATGAAGGTGTCTACTATAATTTGCGACTACTGTAATTATTTGCATGATGTGGACTTCTGCCGAGACGAAGAGAAGGAAATCTGGTCTTGTCCTAACTGTCACAAGCTTTACAACAAGATCTTCTTGGAAGAGGAGTTGATTCGCCAGCTCAACATGCTCGTTGCCAAGTATTTGACACAAGACTACGAATGCAACAAATGTCATCAAATCAAGAGTGACAACATGAGTGAGTATTGTAAATGCTCTGGCAAGTGGACTGAAACAGTGGCATTTGAAGAAGTGGAGAAGAGAATCAAGACATTTGACAATGTTTCCAGTCATTTTGGCTTCAAAATGCTAAGAGCATTGGTCGAAGAAATTATTTAGTGCTCGTTAATAGAGTATAATTTGCATTGCATTAGAAAACCTACGGTCTCATTTCGCACCTACTCATATGTATTGTAGAATCGCGTCTTTGATCTATCACATCAAACGTTAGATGCCTGATACAACACCGACTGTGATCGGTCGACAAGATGAATTACAACTTTTAGAAGCATTTATTACTGGGCAGAATGAAACTTCATCTCCTAATTTGATTGTACTGGGCTACAAAGCTGCTGGTAAGAGTCACACTGTGCTTGAACATTTGAATCAGCTACGAGTAAACAAGACTGTTGTCGATTGTGACAGATGCCTTACTCATAAGATTCTTCTTCAAAAATGCCTCAAGAGTATCAAGAGTGACAGTGGCATCGATTTGTCAGAATACAAACAGAAGTACATGTACAAAGGCCTAGAAGCAGCAAGGCCATCTGTGCTATGTGAGAACTTTGCCTATTTCCTCATGTTGCTAGAGCAGTTCTTCACTGAAACCAACTATACCGAGCCACATGTCTTGGTTCTTGAAAGATTTGACGAGTGCTGTGATCCTACAGACGAGTTATTTGCGGCCTTCCTCAAACTACATGAACAATCTAGCATAAAGAATCTTTCCATCATATACATAATATCACACGATATCCCAAAACAGATACTGACATTTGCAGTTCCCCGAATCCAGTTCAGGTCATATACTAGGGAAGAGGTCACAGCAGTTCTACAGCTGAAGCAACTATACAAACTTGAAGGCATCTCGCCTGAGGCAAACAGAGATTTTTGGAACACTTTCGCTAAGCTTGTCGTTGACCTATTCTATGATTATACGGGTTCTGATGTCTCGTTGGTTTTTAATTTATGTGAGAAGATCTGGCCAAAGTTCGAGGAGCCCGTACGGGAAGGGCGTTATCAACCTCACGATATACTTAGAATTTATCGTGATTTGAGGTCTCTGCTCTTTACCGAGAACATAATCACTAGCAGCTCTGTCGGCAGCTATGGAACAAATGAGGAGGAGGGACCTACTCATGAGTCTGCCGTTGCGGATCTTCCGTACCATTCTAAGTTTATCTTAATTGCAGCATACTTGGCATCATATGTTGATCAAAAAGCCGACCTTCAGCATTTTTCTCGATTAAAACTGTTCAAGAAGAAGCTGAGATCCTCGCCCAAAAAGTCATCAATTACAAAAAGCCAGATTGACTCACGCTTGCTTTCTGCTGCCTTCTTTGATTTGGAAAGGCTAAAAGCTATTCTTTCTGTCATTTATAGAAACGAAGCGAAGTCTTTTAACCAAGATAGCCTGGAGTTCATCAACTTATATCTGGATATGAGTGAGCGAGAGTTGGCTAGAAAAGAGCATGAGTTCTCAACATTCACTCTTAACCCTTCTGTTGATATAAATACTCAACTATCGACGCTAGTCAAGTTGGGCCTCATCACCAGAACTTACCAGATGGATATTCTAAGCCCAAAGATCCGTTGGAAATGTGATACAAACTGGGATGTGATTGCAGATGTTTCCCGTGAAATCCTGTTTCCTATACTGAACTATCTAGTTGATAATTAGTAGATGATTTTAGAAGTCATCATCCGTCAATTGTCTAAAGCTTGGGTCGCCTACGCGTCTTACTTCCACGCCACCATTGAAGTAATTACCTTTCCAGTAGCTCATCTCATAAGCAGAGTACGGACCGTTGACTGTCTCATCTCCAATCCATCGAAATTCCCAAACTTTGGGGCCGTAGTCCTCAGTTTGCATCTCTTGATCATCATCATTATCGAGACTATCTGGCCCCCTTTTTGTACCTCTATTAACGACAAAGTCTTCACCTGTTTCCTGCTTGAAATAGCGCATAAGCTCTTCTCTGCTCATTTCGAAAAGCTGAGCAATGCCTTTCTCGTTCATGAGTTCATCGCATGCGCCAGTAATCTCGTAGACTTTTTCCTTTCGTAGCTTCTCCTTCTCCAGGATAGGATGACGCTTGTTTCTTTTCTTTGCAGGATTGAGTCTTGATAATGCCTCTAGTGGTGTTTCTGATGGTTCAAGTAAGCCAATCACTATCTTAAGAAGCTCTTCAGTGGACCGTGATACTTTCTGGTTCGATGACGCTTGTCTCTGTGCTTGTGCCTGCCTTGCCTTCTCGATATCCGATCGCTTAACATCACTTAGCCATGCCTCGTCAGCGTCTTCCTGATCATCTCCCTGGGCAACATAGTTGCCATCCTTATCGAAGGTGCCCAGTTCTGCTTCCTGTCGTAGGTCAAACGCCTCGATCTGAACATCTTCTTCAGAATTGTCGGACTTGTCATCAAGATCTAGTTGTGAATGTGAGCCCTTGAAATCTAGATCTTCGTCATCGGCATGTTGGCGTTCGCTATCGTACTTGCCCACGCCTTGTTCTCTCTCAAACTCGTCCACGTCAAAGCCCACACGTTTCTTGGGCACCTCTTTCTTGTCCTCGTTGTCACTTGCAAACATGTCATCTTCATCTTCTTCGACTTCCCCAGCGCCATTGCCCTCTGCGTCGGGCTTCTCTTCAGCCTCATCGACAGAAGCGTCCTCATCGACAGAAGCGTCCTCATCTTCCTTCTCCGAGTCGCTTCCACCATAACCTTCTGAATCCGAATCAAATCCACCAAGGACTTCTTTTCTGGCTTTCTTTCGGCCATAGTATTCTATTCCATTGTCTTCATCCTCGGCCATATTGGTTGGACTCCGAGTTTGGCTGTTGTTGATGTTACTGCTGCCTGGGTATAACTCGCATCGCTCATCGCAAAAGTAGTACCTCCAACGATATACCCCACAAAATGACTGATATCACGCTAGATGGCGTTTTGGATCTCGAAGAAAAGTACTATGAAGAGGGATATAGTGAGGGACAGGAAAGGTCTGTCAAAGATAACCATTTAGAAGGCAAGGCATATGGCTTACAGACTGGGTTCCAGAGATTTTTGGTGGTCGGGTACATCCAGGGCCTCATCGAGCTCTGGGAAACGAACGAATCTACGTCAGTCCAGAACCATTTGTCGCAACTTAAGGAACTCATAAAAGGTATTCCCTTCACTAACGGAGACAAAGAAGTGGAGCAGTATGAGCTGGCTATAGGAAAGGCCAGAAATAAGGTGAGAGTCCTAGGCACGATTACTAAGACTTCTGAGAAGGTGGCCAAGCTAGACAACTTGTTGAAAGAAGTCGGTGGATCACTCCAAGTGTCAGAAAATGTCGATGAAATGTGGTGATCATTGAGTATTAACCATGGTGTATCTATAAATGGTTCTAGAAAGTAAAGTCAAAATCTAGAGGCTTGTCGGTAGCCTCGAGCAGGTATTTGAGGACACCTCCGAGAGGGCAGTCGTTGATGCCAATTATGAGCTCCTCTCCGTGCCCTGAGTCAACTGGACACATATTAAGGCCGATGCATTTGCCGATAAAATCGATCGATTGGACTCTTGAATGCACATTTTCATTATCTTTCTTCAAATCAGAAACCTGAAGAATACCAACATGATCCAAGCTCTCCGCCCAAACGATATGGGACCCATAATAGCTGAACTTACAGTTCCTCACTGGACCGCCTGAAAGATCGTCCAGGACCGTGGAAGCTTGCGATCCCAAAGAACTGCTCCAACAGTAAAGGTTCTCCTGTGGGTTTCTTCTATCCCATAGTCTGACAGTTCCATCTTGATTACCTGTAAGTAGCAAATTTTCATCGAGAGGCGACCAGTCGCATCCGAATCCATAGTCCTTGTGTCCTGAAAACAGTAGGCATGGGTCAAAGACATCATGGCGAAGAGTTCTTTTGTCCATAAGGAAAGCATCAGAATCATCTCCAGTAATGAAAAACTCGGACTCGTTCCTTGGATTGCTTGCCAGGCAGTTCACGGCTAGCGGTAGTTTACAACTAGCTTTTCGTGTGCCAGTGAAATTGTCAATAATTCGAATGCACTTGTCATTTGAGGCAATTAGTAGTTCGGTATCAGACTTGCTAATACTGACATGATTTGTTATGCCGTCAGCCGAGCCTGTAAGGGTATACTCTCCCATGAGTTTCGTGTTGTCGGGGTCAGAAATGTCCAGCAATATATAACCACCTTCGAACGTTCCGTTGACTAAGAATTTGTTGGAACATGCACATGAAGAAATACGACTATTGGCGTTGTGTGGAAGCTTTCTAGAGTCTATTAGACAATCTAGTTTCATAGCTTGTGTAGAAAGGTCGTCTTCATCAGGCATAAGACGGTTGATTTTGAAGAAACTGTGGAAAGCCTCCAGGCTTTGATGCGAGATAGCGTTTTCCAGGGAAACAACATTAAGATTACTATCGTGGTAATATGATGATGGATAGAAAATACCATTCTGAATGTTTTCGCCACAGATAACCAAGTTTCGTAGCTGGAAATGGGTAATATGATTCTTCAACTTGCTGAAGAAGTTTTCAAACTTGAAAAAGTCAGTCCTTGTATGGAACGATAGTAGCCCGACGTCCTGTTTTTGTTAGTCACAATTCTGAATAAATATCAAAGATTCGCTATACTTACTTTCATGGCATCTTGCCTCGAGGTGGGTCTGTTTCTAAACCACAGATGACAACCAACTCTCGATCTTTCACTGTAGAACTTGTTTCGAAGACTTGGAGGCATCCAAACTCCTTGAACATTCATATATCCCCAAACTTCATCGAAAGAAAATGGTAATTCATTCTCTCTTTCTTTGAGCGAATTTAGGATGCTGAGGATATCTGTCTTCGTCAATGTCGACTTATCGTCGTACAATAAGTTATATAAAAACGTTAGGGATTCCAGCAGGTTTAGTTCATATTCATGGGATGTGCTTGTGGATCCTGGGAGGTCTTCGTGAAATGCGTCATTCTCTCCAAGTCTGTCTGAAGTCGTCGAGACTTGTTCCTGTGATAGTTCCACAGTCATCAGGCGAGAATTACGAAGATGTAAAAATGACAGGTTTGGCTGGATAATAATTTAAACTTTGAGTAGTCTGTTAATGTCTTTTTTTGGAATATAGTAGATGAGTTCCCTTTAAGCTGATAAACAGATCCGAACTCAACCACTTCGCTAGCACTTCAGGGAAGCTGTTTTTCTCTTCAAAAGTTTGCTATAGAGATTACTTGTATCTGCTTTGAGGGATTTCACCTATTTCTTGTCTGGGAGGTTTTTCTGGAGTTACTATGTAGTTATCAGTGGGAGTGGTTTTCTGAATCCACAACTTCTTTATTTCGCAGCTACACTATGTCGCTATCTAGAGACATTTCTGTAACGCACACCTGCGCCGGGTACTATTAGAGCATATGGCAAGATCAAGAACAATGGAGTATAAAATCGTTTCTTCTGAACTAAAGTAACTAAAATAATATCAATAGAAAAGGCTAAGCGAGATCCCATCTAGGGACTTAGCTTATTGTTCCTTCTAACGTCCTTTAATCGTCATTTAGAGATCGGATTCACTCAAGAAACCCTTCTTCTTGAGCTCTTCAACGTTGGCTTCCCATGTCTTTTCGATATACTTTGGCTCTGAAGCAATCTTTGTAGGCTTGGAAAGAACGCCTCCAGTGGTCAAGTAGCTGCCGTTCTCGTTCTCGAGACTAGGGTCCAACGCTGCCCTGAGGGAAGCCAAACAACCTTCCTCCATCTTCACACCAACGGTCTTGTCGATGACAACTGAACTGCTCTTGTAAACCCAACCAATCAAAGGTAAGTTCTTCCAGTGGTTGAAGAGCTCTGTCTCCACGATCACACCAGGATGGACTGCAATAGACAAGATTCCAGGATGAAGTTCTGCCAACTTCTTTGCAAAATGGATCTCAGCTGTCTTGGCGACTCCATAACGAATCCAAGTATATATAAAGTTGGGTGTGCACTTGATCTTGTCAGATGGGTCGTAATACTTAACAGCAGATCTGTGACCTTCTGACAGTAGCATCACCACCCTTGGAAGACCATCAACTTCTGCAGCCTTCAAGTTAGACAAAAGTTTCAAGGTAAACAAAAATGGAGCAACAAAGTTCACCTGGTACTGAATTTCATAACCATCTTTGGTCTCTTCATAAGGAACAGCCATCAAACCGGCATTGTTGATAAGAACATGGAGCTTGTTTTCCTTCTTAGCAAACTTCTCAGCACATGATACCACAGAGGCCAAGTCACAGCAGTCAAAATGGATGTAGGTCACTGTACCCAAGAAGCGTTCCTTCCTCTCGGAGTCGTTATAAGCCTCGACACGCTTTTTGGCCTCAGTCTTGATATCTTCAATGGCCTTCAACACCTTGCTCTCGGTTCTTCCAGCCACATAGACAATGAATCCATGGAGATAGAGTTGCAACACAGTGTGCCAGCCGATACCAGAGTTGCCTCCTGTAACTATAGCTACTCTCCTGTCTTCCTTGGGATTGTAGTATGTAGCAGTGGTGGGGTCATAGAATTGGGAGCGTGGAGCCATATTGCTTTTATTTTAGTTAAGGAATTTGATAGATGAATCTGCTGGTACTAGTCTAAAACTATGTGTTAAGTAGTTGGAAAAGTGAAATGTGTCCGCATGTGAAGTGTGTGAGAAGGCCCTGTATCTCTTACCACATCAGACGTTTCGTAGCAACAACGGCACACCTTATTGTTCGCGACGCATTGTATTTCACTTCGCCTTTGCATTTGGATCGCCCCTCAAGAAATCAACAAGGTCAAAAAGAATATCCTCGGTCTCCTTGGGGCTTGCTATCCATGCGGTACAAGCGCTAAGTCTGGCTTTGTAGTCGTTAGCTCCGACCGATGCGAATTGATCTCCAATGTGCAAGGACTCGCTTTTGCTGATGGGAGGCTTACCTGAGTCTTTGCATAGGTACTGTTGCAATGCTTCAACACCTAAAGACTTGTCTCCAATATCCACCCACACATCGGAGCCACCGTTAAAAGCGCAAACGCGTAAGTCGCCACCGGAAAGGTCCGTGACTACCGAAGTAAAATGGTGGCTTTCCTCAGGCAAAGAGGGGATTGCAGCATAAAGCATATCGTGCAATCTAGACAGAAGGGAAAGTACAATTTCTTCGAGCGTTTCACGCAGAATTTTGAACCCCAGAACAGGGATAATACCCAAGGAGCGTTCCTTCCGTATAATCGTAGTCTTGCTTTCGTCGTCTAAGCAGAACTTCTTGCGCAAGTGCACCAAGTGATCGTAGGATGCATTCATAATATGGTTTATCTGCTTCGTATCCCAGTCACGCATAATAGGTAAGTACCATTGGTCGCCTTCTAAGAATTGCAAACTGCCAATCTCGGAATTGAATCTGAATAGGTAGTTCGACTCACCTCCCATCACCAAGAAGTTGTTCTTCTGTTGATTCGTGAGCTGATCCGTGGTTCTTAACACTTCAATAAGACCAGGCAATCTCTTATGGTACTCCAAAGCACCGGATTCTCCAGGGTAACCAGCTGCGGTAACCACTGCCACGTAAATATCGTTGGCCAAAAGTTCCACAAGTCCATCAACCAAAGGAGATTCCTTCACGAGCGACTTTCCATCATCATAAAGAGTAACATCACCATCAATGTAATGAGCTTCAAGCGTGAATTCTCTTCAGCGTGGGAGGTGAGCGCAAGAACTTGAGCGGTATTGAGAATAGCTCTCACGTCGTTAAACGATGGAGAAACAAGACGCCTTCTTGACATATGTTTCTTGTGATCCTCAATTTCAAAAGCCTCCTTCAATGGTAGTCTAGTGAAGAACTGACCCACTGAAGGTACCAATTGCCTCAATCTAGACCGAGAAATGGTTTCATCAGTATGGAAACTATCCAAGTAGCGAGTGCTATCGATCAATTTCTCCACATCCATGAACACTTCAGTATATCTTTCCAGGCAAGTTTTTGCCAAAGTCTGCTCGTGCAATTCAAGAAACTTGTCTGCTTCCGTCTCATGTCTTTTCCCAATGGCATACATCTCCTCGTAGTTCTCCAAATCAGCGTGGAGCACAAATGGCACCGCCAAGAGAGACTTGATCCACTCAATGAACTCATCTCTCTTGTGTTTTTTCAATGCATATTCGACTCTATATCTCGAAGTCATTTTTAGGGGGCAATAGTGTTAGGCTTTGTATTGTTTCAAGTAAATTGTAGATACGCTATAAATGCGCGGCCCACATCACATTATCGCCTAGGCTACATGGTGAGACAAGAACGTGGACACGGAACGTCGATTGTTCCACATAGATTTTTCGCCCCACGGGCATTCCAACCGGTTAAGACAATTTCTCTAAACAAAGTGATTTTCATCTTCACTTTTTATTACTCTTTGTCAATTTGTATTCCTTTTGTGGAAGGTTTATATGGGGTACAGTTGCTGGTGAGGAAGACGTCATAGTAGCGTCGCTGCATTGATACTAGTGGCGGTGTGTGGACATGGGCATTTGCAGCCACCAGGGAACTACATATCCGATCTGGAGGAGAAAGGTGGCTAAGTATGGCTTGATCTAATGGAAGTTTATTTCCAGGAAATGTCCAGTTTCAGATCTGGTTTTTGCATTCCACGATGGAAGTATAATTCTTAGGTGGAGTCAATTTAAGGGTCTTGCGGCTTGGTTGCAAAATCTAGTGTATTTACATGAACAGCTACAAATTTCTCCTTTTAATATTCCATTTCTATAGTACACGTAGTGACGCTCTTAAGCGATCAAACCCAGTTGAGCTCTTCTTCTGTCACGCTCCTCGGTGATAGACAACTTGATACCCTTACCCTTTGGCAAGGAGATATATGGCTTACCAGCCTCGTCACCGACAACGAAAACGTTAGTCAATCTGGTGACGAAAGTGTTCTCCAAAGCATCCTTGATGTGGACCAAGTCGAAACCACCCTCGTGCTTCTCTCTGTGGGTGATAACACCAACTCTACCCATATTCTTACCACCAGTAACCATAACCAACTTACCAGTGTCGAACTTGATGAAGTCAGTGATCTTACCGGTGGCCAAGTCAATCTTGACAGTGTCGTTGGCTCTGATCAATGGGTCTGGGTATCTGATGGTTCTACCGTCGTGGGTGACAACGTATGGAATACCTCTCTTACCCAAGGCGATCTTTCTGACCTTACCGAGCTTGTAAGAAGCCTCCTCAGCGGTGATTCTGTGGACAGTGAATCTACCCTTGACATCGTACACCAATCTGAAGTTCTCGTTGGTGGCCTCCAAGGTGATGACATCCATGAAACCAGCTGGGAAGGTAGAGTCAGTTCTAACCTTACCGTCAACCTTGACGTGCTCTTGCATCAAAATAGCCTTGACTTCTCTACCGTTCAAAGCGTACTTCAATCTGTTTCTCAAGAACACAATCAAAGGCAAACATTCTCTCAACTTGTGAGGACCAGCAGAGGCTCTTGGGGCATAGGTACCGGACAATTTGTCCAACATCCAGTGGGATGGAGCCGCTAATCTCTTAAGGTGCTTCTTTCTGATACTGTTAGTATTTTGTTTGGGCTACGAAGACAGATAAACCGGATGCGTGGGGACACAAGGACGCCTAGGCGAGTCATAACTTCAAAAGCGGCATGTTCATATACCATCGAACAGAGGTTCCAACGACCAAACTTACGTCAGCCATAGACCCTCAGGACCGTATAGAACTTCCACACCAACAGCGTCAGTGTCACCCACAGCAACCGATTATCAAGACAAGGCTCCCATCCGGGCCACACCAATAAATGGAGTGGCTGGAGACCGACTGACAGTTCCCATAAATGAGAACAGGCGGTATTATATGGTTTCCAGTTTTGCCAAACTGTAGTACCTTAGGTTTGTCTCTTTATCTGTCTTCTTCAAGGAGAAGAGTAGATTTGACATACGGGCCTCTTGCCATTTTTGATAATCGATAGTGTTGATGAAAAGAGAAAAAAAAAAGGAAATGAAAAATTTTTGAAAAGTACTATACTGAGGTATCGCGAACGAAAAAAAAAAAATGGTGGCCGGGTAACCTTAGTCACGTGGGTTTGGTGAGGGCTCGCCTATCTAGGCCTACGGGAGGGGACCATAAAAGTGTGGAGAACGCTTATCAATTGAAAAACTACATGGAGGGGAATTTGATGAAAAAAAAAAGCCATGTATTTGGGACCCAGATGTGGAGATTTTCATTTTTCAGGGATAGGCGCAAAGCCTGTGAAAGTGTATTACAAAGCACTTGTAGAATGATAACGTATAATGAATAGATGTAGCGGAATGGCCGGTAACAGGAAGCTTAACATGGATCGAGGCTTCGACGGCTCTCAGATGAGATCAACTCATACCGCAGCCCCCAATGCACTGCAATAGGGGTTGGAGCAGACATTCCTTGATTTGTAAATCCGTAACAAAGCAACAGTTGTAGGACAGTTTTAAATGACAGTACTCTTTGGCTCATCGAACTTGTGAGTGTTGAGAGCACTGCCGCCATTACCGGTGGGCATGTTGGTTTCCATGTCCTTTCGGTTCTCTTCCTTATTGTGCTTGTCAAGAGCCAAGCGTTCAGCACGGGACATATCAGTAACTTTTTCCACCTCGGCGCCGGTCATCACCTTGATCCAATCCACCTTCAAGCTGTAAGGTCCATACTGTTTGTCCAACAAGCCGACACCGACGGTCTTGACCTCAGATTTGTTAAGCTCGGAGCCATCCTGGATGATTCCCCAATTGGTCATAACAAAGTCATTTAAAGGAATCACCACGGTTTCCCATTCACCTGGGTGATGCAAGAAGAGTCTGTGCTGGAACAAGTCAGTCACCAAAGGAGTGTTTGCCTGAATGTTAACCAAGTACTTTCTGCGGTCTCCCTTGACACGCAACACCAAAGAGCTGAACTGGGACCAGTCCCAGTACGAGTCGCCCGAGAACCAAGACTCCTTTTGGTCGCGAGTACGGAACATGGCATACCCTGAGCGGGTGATTTCAGGGTTACCCTTTGGCAAGTCGAGATTCAAGTATCCATGGAAGTGGCCAGCACTGGATTGAGGGTCAATGTCAAAGTTGACGGTCGACAGACCGCCCATCTCCTTGTCGCATCGAGTGATGATCTTAGCTAAAGATTCCTGTTGGTGTTTGCGGAAGCTAAGCACGGTTTCGACTGTTTTCACATTGTCGGCCGACTTTGCAAAGAGCTTATTGAGTGTGGAGTTCAAGCCCAAAGTTCTCAAAGACATGATAAGTGTTATGTAGGGTTAAGGATGAGTGGCAGCAGAACAGGCGCTTAAATAAGAATGCTTAGGTGCAAAAAAAATGGAGTCAGGAGGATCACGTGCGCGTCAGGCCCTTTTCGGGGAGGGATAACGCTTAAGGGAATGGTAGTGGGAAGGTTCTGGAGGAGCCGTTAAGATTGATTTGGAATATAAATAATAAAGGAAAAAAAAATGTAAAAAGACAATGTCAAAGAGTCCCCAGAAAAAAACAAAAACCTTCAAAAACAGTGTGGAAATTTCCTCCCTTAAGTAGCCTCCACCCCCCTCCTCCCCATTGCAAAAAAACTTCCCTCCATTGTCGGACCCAAACTTCCGTGTGGGGACCCCGTCCAAGTCCCTTCCCCCATAATTAAGCAATGAAGAGCAAGAAGAATCTCACCCAGGCCATGCTTTCGCGGCCGCAATTTAACAATGCATGGTTTATCGTGCAACAATCCTGCTTACTTTGCATCCTTCACTCCTGTCGGCAACTCGGAGTAGCCTCACTGGGCCCCCTTTTCCCCACACACACACTTTTTGCACATACTATCTGTGAATCTTCCCTTTTTGTGAGAATGATCGGGGGGCCTGTAGAAGGGTAAGGGATTTTCGAAGAGGCAGTTGTAGACGAGGTAGACTGATGATTGGACTTGTCAATTAGTGAATGTGATATTTTTTTATTTATAGTGGCCTGTTTTTCCTGCTTGGTGTTCCACTATGTGGTTTGATTCTGGCTTTGATGCAAACTCTCCTATCTGTGGGGAGGGGCCTGACTGCCCCAGACACACTCCGATAACGCAATGCAGAGGGGACTCCCATTACATCAGTGGGGGCTTGTGCTGCTGCTTCACTCTATTTTTCACTGGTCTTGGGCTTTCCATATGCTTCCACTCCCCGTTCTAATAATTGTTGTGTATTGTCTTGTACGGAATCCGTGTCTAAATAATATTTTTCTTGTCTAACGAACATTCTGTCTAGTTCACGGGCCAGTATCCTGGGAACAAGTAGTGCATCTTCTCTAGCAACTCTTTCTTGACTCCGTGAGGACTGGTGCTCACAGCGTATTTCATTGTGCCTTCAAGGTCCTTGCCCAAACCGGCGGCTCCGGTTCTCAACTCCTCAGAAATCACATCCACCAAGGTGGCAGCGATTTTGGTGGCGTTGGCCGAGTTGGCCTTCAAGTTGCCCACAACCGTCTCCACAGTGACTGGCTCCTCACTCTCGTTCCACGAGTCGTAATCAGTAGACATACAGATCATCTGGTAAGCAATTTCAGCCTCACGTGCTAATTTGGCTTCTGGCAACACCGACATGTTAATAACCGATCCACCCCAGCTACGGTAGATTCTTGACTCCGCTCTGGTACTGAACTGAGGGCCTTCCATACAGATAACCGTCAAGTCCTCACCCTTGTTGGTGTGCTCCTTACTGTGCAATTGAGGCTTGCCATCGGTGTCAAAGCCTTCCAAAAAGCCCAGCAGCGGGATAGAATCAGTGACAATCTTGTTAAGCTTCAAGTCAAATGGCTCACCGAACATGGCATGGGCCACAAAACCCTTTTCAAAGAAAGTAGCTGGACGAATGCCCTTGGTTCTGTCGATGATTTGAGTTGGCACAACGAAGTCTCTAGGCTTGATTTCTTGCTGTAAGGATCCCACGGCTGAGAAAGCGATGATGGCCTTGACTCCGATTTTCTTCAACGCGGCAATGTTGGCTCTTGATGGCACATCGGAAGGCAACAAGTCGTGGTGAGAACCATGACGAGCCAAGAAGGCAACATGATCTCCCTTTTCAGTCTCAGAAATAGTAATTGGAGCAGAAGGGAACCCCCATGGAGTGGAGACGGTAAGTCTGGCAACCGGCTTGAGGTTGGGCAAATCGTAAAGACCAGTGCCGCCAATGATGGCCAATGGCACAGACTTATCGAAAGTATGAGGCAAGGAGGCCAATTCGACCTTATCTCTGTGAACAGACATGAGTAACTTGGTGATGTTGTTGCGTAGGTGCACTTTCACCATCTCGGCACTGATTTTTTCGCTACTACGGCCCGGCACTGTGTAGGCGCACTGTGGCTGTCAACGTGGGGACCATTGGAACTAATACAGACATGAGAGGATACGTTTTTGTTTGGCTTTTATTGTTGGATTGTATTACTAAGCTGGGTTTTCTGCTAAATAAGTGTCTTTTCTGGTTGTTTTGGTGCCATGTATGGTGTTTCTCCAAAGTGTAACCTTATCAGGATCATTGCGTGCTTAAGCGCATAGATAAGGCGAACTTACACCTCCGTGACAGGAAGATTTCAACCCACATGGTACATTTGATTACCTTTCTGATTCACGTCATAGTTTACCTTAGGATCCGGTATTATACTTCCGAAACGTCACAGTCTGGAATTTTCTAGTGGAGGATCAGGTACTCACATTTTGTACACACGTAGTGGGGTCCAGAGGGTGGATTCATTGTTACGAAGCATGACCCCGTCAAGTTCAACCGGACCACTCGCAATGGAAATTGAGTAACATGTATCCGTTTACTTTGGATAGCCGATATTTTACGTCCTAGACTGGTCTTGTGTTCCCTTCTTCCTATGATCTATGGCTGCGAAATATGTCTTACCCAGCAAGTCTCCCTCACAAGAAGGGTGTTCCGCTTTAACCAGGCCCGGGATTCTAAAATGACCTATCTAAGAAGTGTGTAGTTGCTTTCTTTCTCCTAAATCTGGTTAAGTATAAATTATTAGTAGTTTGCTTAAATTTAAAATTGCATTAAGTAAGCTAGCGTTTGCTCTCCTTCAATGAAAATTGGTCCTGGTTTCGGAAATTCTGCGACTTTCTCTACAATAGAACAAAAGTCTAAAATTCGTTCAACAGAAAAAAATTACGTAAAGCAACCCCACGGAAAGTAAATACCAACCTTTCTAAGCAAGCAACAGCCCTATTTTCGATACCCACTCCATTTTTCGGAAATACCCCGATACGGCTTTGCTTTTGCTTGTTGGTGAACAGGTTTCCTGAATTGCACGTGATTCAACGTCGCCTCTATAAAGAAAAACTAATGACTATACAGTTGAGTGTTACAGAAGTGAGTCAGTCATCATGTCCTTACCTCTATCATCACGTACATTTGCCGGGCTCGTTGGCCAGTCTTTACGAAGACAAACGAATATAAGGCCGCAGCTTGGTCTGGTCAGATTTCTGTCCAAGAAATCAGACGAAGGAGGTGAGGAGGCTATCACATCCTCGAAGAAGTCTCTATCGAGTCCTTTCACGAAGCGTGGCAGCTCAGACGTTCCTCGTGCCCTGAAAGCAAAGACACAGTCAAAGAAAAAACAGGAGGAAAACGAGGATGCATCAAACAGCAAGTTTTTATCCTTCGACAAGCTCCCCAAACCTCCTAAAGAGATCCTCGACATGCCTTTAGACCAGTTCTACGCCAAAGTATACATGAGAGATCTCCCTGTGAGACCACAAATCGATCCCTCCAACAAGTTTCTGTACAAGTTCGAAGTGCCTTCGAGATTTGTGCGTCACAAGCATCACGAGTTCCCTGCTCTTCAGGAAGAAAAGTCAAAGAACAATAATCCTGAAAAGCAACAGACGAGTTCGTTTGAGCCTGCAAACAACATCCTTGAGTTTAAGGTCGACTACAACACCAACTCGTTAGTTCGAGTTCCTGAGCATCCTTTGAAGGAATCCATAACCGGCATGTTCGTGTCGAACCCCCTCATGCATAATCTTGATAATGATTTCCTCTGGGATATGTATCCTCGTGGGAAAGCCTACGGTAACGTTCCATTCGGAGGTGACAAGTCATTTGATGGGTTCAAAAACTGGGAAAATAAGGAAAATGATAAAGTTAAGCAGAAGGAATCACAGTTTGAGACCAAGGTTAAAGAAGTGAATGAGTTCAGAGAAACTTTGAGCGAATCAAAGTCCTTCTACAGAAAGCAAACAAATGCTGCTCCAACCGAGAAGCAAGAGGAGAACACAACGGCGAAGGCTGGCGGTAGGCGCAAGTTGGACCGTGGTCTCCTCAAGCAGTATCGCAAGTACAAGAAAGAAGGGTTATTCAAGAAAAGGTTTAACAACGACGGTAACAAGAATAACAATTTCTGATGAAGCAACGACAACACACTACCATCTTTTACGGATTTCTTCATGTTTATAGGGTTAACTTCCAATATTATTATAATATCATAACGGTCAAACGAATTTACTCGACGATAACTAACTCCACATCTCCGTAGCCGTAAAGGTGCTTATTTTCTTCATAGACCTTTTTGAGCTCTTCAATGTATAAGCCGTGATAATGGTCAAGAAGTTCTTGACTGATGTGGGGCTTGCTCCTTTTCTTGGGTTTCTCCTTGCCCTTAAACATGGAGAACTTCTTCAGCAGAGAGGAGTTGCCAGAACTAGAAGATTCAGATCTAGCTGATTCTTTATCTTTTTCAGTGTCTTTGGCAGGTTCTTCCTGATTTTGCAGAACCAAACCAGCTGGAACGTACACAGGCCTTCCCGTGCAAATGTTAATGGGGGTACGGAATGGCAAAAAGCCAAAATCGTAAATGAAAACGCCTCTGGCGCTGAAGAAAGGCAATGTGAACAGTGTCAAGCGTTTAAGGCCAAGCTGGAATGCATGGAAAAGAGATCCTTCCTTTGGCTTTGCTAACCTGTAGATGTCGGCCTCTCCAAATGCAAAAGTTGGTACCAAAGAAACATTGCCAAGCTCGAGAGCAATCTTAACAAAGCCCTTTCTCTTGTTGAGCACCAATTTGATTTGTCTCTTTGGCTTCTGCTCCTCAGGCTCCTCTTCTTCTGATTCATGACCCTGGTAGCCGACGCCGACCCGCAGGTTTTCACCCACCATGTCGTTTAATAAGGACTCCTGGGCACCTCCAATGACAAGACACACAGAGTTATCACCATTCTTTATGACGCTCTTGATGTTTCTACCGCTAGCGCTAGTAAGGCCCAAGGACAACAAGTAGTCTCTGTAGAAAGGGATGGTGAATTGGGTGGTAAGAGTTAGAGGGAAAGCATGACCAATTCCTGGAAAGAGTTCCTTCTCTTTAGAAGGATCATGGAAGAAAGGCTTCAAGAACTTGGCAGGGGGCTTGAAGGGCTGATTCCTTAATGCATTGGTAGCAAACAAACCCATGGCACCCATTGAGATAACCCCGTGAGGGTGATAGCAGAAGATGTAGCGAGGGCCACCACCGACTTTGCGATGGCGTTGCACGGTGGTGGAAGACTTAGAGTCTGTGCTTCTAGCGTCTTCATCATCATCAACAGCAGAAGACGATTCCAGGTCATTCAAACGCTTCTTAAGACCGAAGAACTTAAACAAGCGGTCCAAAGTAGTACGAGCATCTTCAGAAATCAAGTCTTCCTCATCATCTGGTGTAGACTCCTCAAGCACAACCTCCGTGGTAAACGTGGGCTCCAATTCGCAAGTCTTATGGACGCGAATTGGGTAGTAGTCAACAAACCACTTCCAGATAATCAAGTTCCTCATACCATTACGAATTCTGTAGACCACCTTACCGTTGGTAGGAGTGTGAAGATCAAAGCCATAGAGCCAGATGAAATATGGGATCACAATGAAAACCCACGAGAGCCAGCCGAGGTACAAGATAAAGAGAAACAAGCAACAGAAACTAGGAATCGAAACGGTATGCCACATGACACTTAAGGTTTCAAGCCTGCGATGAAGCGGCGTATCCAAGGGAGCGACATTGATCAAATTCTTCTTCTTCTTCTTCTTTGGCTTCTTGGGCTTGGTATCCGCAGCATTCTTGTCATGCAATTGCAGAGCTTTGCGGTGTTTCAACTCAGACTCGTCCGCCATAGCTCTTATGCTTGAAAAGGAAGAAAACACTAGGAATATGAGTAGGTTTGAAATTCGAGGATTTCGGGCAATATAAGAAAATGTGGGGCAGAATCTGAAGAGGCCCTCCCGCGGGAGCTGTACAGAAAAAATAACGAGCGAGGCTAGCTGGAGGAAGGTGAAACAGCAGAGCACTCGGGCCACTGGAAAATAATAATATAATTGGCTCCCACGAAAGAGGATAAAATATAGGAGAAAAAGAGACAAAAAAAAATTTGACAAACCATCTGCCTTATATACTTCGCCGTGTCGGATCGTCCGGCCAAGAATGGCAAATGGCAAGACCATGCAAAGTTACACAGCTTGACATCATCCGCAGGGATGGCTACAGTAAGACAATCGGCCATAGTATGGCTCATTAACCTGGGCAAGCAAAGGCAAGGTGTGATTCAATAGGGGACATTGTGTAGTTTTCTGAGACGATCGGTTGCGGTGTGGTCGCTTTGTGATAGGGGCTTTACTGAGGCTTTAAGGTTGGTTCGGTTTCTTTTTTTTCTATTTGGCAATTTTGTATTAATATTTTTTACTTTGTGTGTTTTATTCCTCGTTGCGGTAAAGTTAGTTGCGAAGGGCTGGTCGCGACCTGCCTAGTGAAGTTACATGGAAAGGACTGCTTCACGTACTCATTGATAGATTTTGCAACCAACCAAAAAACGCCAATGCTGGACCGAGGCGGCTTGGACCCGAACTCCCAAAAAACTCACTATACAATTGATACCAGCCAAAGGAAGAGAATAAAAACTGATGAGTCGTGTCCATTCTTCTCCCACACTGGTGAAGACATTGATCTCACTCGTCATAGGTACCGCTTGTATGAAAAGATCTGGACCCACCAGCTTGGGGCGATTCAGAAGATTTTGAATTCTGCCAACGATAGATTCTTTGCTGACCTTATTAGTTTCATTATCGATCCGCTTCCACAGAAGCTAGCCACCGCGTTTTTGGCACTCAGTTCAAATACAGCCAACAACCTTCGTACGCTAGACGAGTTCACGGGCCATTTGTTTCACAATGGAAAGAACCAGCATGTTAGATTAGTCACCCTTGACTCGAGAGAGTGTGTTCATATAAAAGCTGCTATGAGAGAGGTTGTCAAGCAAGTTCTTGAACCTAAACAGCGTCTACAAGAAGAGCCATTGGCAGCCTTCGATGAGGATCAAGAGCCGGAACCAGAGGCTTCTCCAGAGCACGAAGAAGAAGCAGATGGAATCGACGGTGATGGGTATGAGGGTAGGATTTCCTACGACTTTGAGATCGTAGAGGATTGGGTCGACTCGTACGTCAAGAAGCACAATTGTGCTGACCAGCTACGTATAGTTGTTGTGCTACAAGACAGTGACGCGTTTTCAAACGAGGTGCTTAACCAGATCGTTCATCTACTAAGTGTCTACTCCGAGCTGATCCCAATCAAACTCGTAATGGCTCTAAGTTCAAAAGGTATCAGTGACTGGATCAACAACAACTTCACGAGTAGAGCGAGAACGCTCATCGATGCAACTAAGCTACAAGCCAGAAACAATAAAGATATCTGTTTCCAAGTTATTGATGACACTTTGCTACGAAACGAAATTACTGCAGAAAACCCTGTGTTGCTAGATGCTCAACTTTCTCTGATTGTGTTGAATCGTTTCGAAAACTCCAACAATTCCATTGATGCGCTCATCACTGAGTTTAAACTTACCTACATGATACACTTTTACCAGCTGCCTTTATCCCTCTTGGTGGACCATGACTTTGTCCCACAGGAGTTCCATTTTGATGCACTTCGAAAACTTCCTTCCTTCAAGACACATATCGAATTCCTTCTACACAGCTACCATAATTTCAAGAAACAAAAAGATGATGATGGGGCAGAAGAAATGATGAAAAAGATCAAAGAGTTATTGAATGATGATGGAGCAATCTACGAACTTTTCCAGAATGCTAAGATGCAACTTCAAAAATATCAAAACTCTGTCATGAATGCCATCCACATTATTCATTTTCTCAGTGATGGAGAGAAGCAAAAGTTTCAACTTTATAAGCTTGTAACCAACAATCAGCTTATTAACTCCTCATACTTGAGCGATGTCTTAAAGAAGGTTAGAGCTTTTGACGATGGCCAAGTGGAACGAGTATCAAAATTCTTGCAAAGTGATACGATAAAGTTGACGCTTGACGATGTTGACGATGAAGATACTCTTGGCTTTAAACGTGCCTTGAGCAAACCTGGGGTCACTTCTGATCAATTACTCAAATCGTTAACTATATATCTACACGACAATCCAGCATTAAACATGAAGATCAGTGACAACTTATTCAATGAAGTCTTGACGATTACAGGAGGAATTAGCGAGATCGATAAGGTACGTCCTCGAGCATCAATTGAAGAAAGTTATGAGAATCTCATGATCAAACTCATAAGGCCACGGCTGAAGGAAATCATAGAAGAAGCTTTAGACGAGCCACAACATTTCTTGAAAAATGAATTGATTGCTAATGAAGTAGGATCAAACTACAAATCGTCCAAGGTTCTAGGACCATTGGTAACAAAATTGTATCATGTCTACAAGGATGCTCCAGTGAATATAAATATGTGGGACTTTTTCATTGCATTCAAGCTGTCAATGTCAAGGAGAGATTTGTTGGCGGAGATCAACCAGCAAATAGCGAGTTACGATGGAGAGTTAGGTGATCGAATGAAAGAAATCCTCAAGCAAAGCTCAGAAGACGATGCAAAGTGGGAGAGACTTTTGTACGCGTGGTTCATTCAAAGCAGCTCGGAGCTTTCCGCTATGGGATTCCTCAGGGAGAAGTCCAAGGGAGACTACGTGGAGAAGTTGATTTGGAAGAACTTGTAACTGCTTCCAGTATGAATAAATGTATTTAGGGACTAAAGCCATTAGTACAACGTCTGTTCGAAACACAAATTAATCATGAGATGATAAGGTCAATGTCGTGTTAGCATGGATTAGGAGGAAACACCATCGGCTTGTTTCCATGAGGGTTCTTTCTTGTCCTCCTTGAAGGAGCCCACTTCTTGTGGATGACTTTTGTCCAGTTTCTTTGTGGATTCAGTCTCGGTGTCTGGCTTTTCAGCCTCAACCTTCTTGTCGTCCTTGACAGACTTCTCAGAGCTATCCTTTCCTTCGTTTTTCTCCTTGTCTTCCTCGGTATCAGCGGATTCAACCCCGTCCACTGCCTTCTCGGTATCTTGCTGTTCAAGGGGCTTAGAATCAGACGACGAAGAATCTGCAGCATTCGAATTTGCCCATGCCTTAGCGGTGTCAACATATAAGCCCACAGACTTACCGAGGTTCGAATCCTTAATGTATGAGTGGGCCGAGGCCGAGGTAACGATCAAGAAGGTCACCAACGCCGTGAAGATCAAAAGCACAACGTAACGCTGGGAGCGCAACATCCTTGAGGCAATCACCTGGGAATCGTGCATGACAAGAATGTGGTTTCAGTGGAACGAGTGGTGAAGGCAAACAAGGTTAAACAAGGATACCCGGTTGTGATGATGGCTAAAGATAAACTGCACTGTATACCAGGCGCGCTATGGGGCGTAAGTAGTCAACAGCAGCCATACCAAAGCTTATCATGGATGAAGGAGGTACTTTTGATGATCAAAAATGGGAGAACTACTGGGAGCCCATCGCAACAACATGCCTGTTTGGGAAGTTAAAGAACCAAAACTTTTATACCTGTGGCGTTCTTACACCCACTCCCTATCAGTCCATTTGATGGCTGCGAAACACTACCAGCAGTGCATCACCAACCAGCCAGACCGCCTTCATTAAATAGACTTCTTCGGCCAAGAGTCCCAAGACACGCAGCGAATACCGCTCCGAAGAAACTCCAATCTTCGGAAAGCTTGAGCCAAATACTTGCAGGGATCAGTGCAGCCTGCCAGCGAAGAAGATCCCACTGACTGGTGACGGATGTCTGTTGCGAGACTGCCAGGAAGAGGCAGGGTAAGTTTTATATCGAGCCATACTAAAAGCCGAAAAAGGGTTGCTAAATTAGCCACGGCGATTTTCCTGGGGTAAATTAACGGGCTATACACGATCGGATTGGGATATTCCCCTGGTTCTGGAGATCGTCTACTGAACCCCGAAAGCCTAGCCAGATTCACCCAATTCGCACCGGATAGCCAAAGGCCAGGGAGCAACCAGCACATGAAGAAGCCACACCGAATGCTGTTACTTTAAAGCTTCTGTTTTTTAAATGGCTCAGCGGATACACTCGGTAATCCGAGTTTGGCTTGGTTCGGTCATGACAGAAACGTCCAACGGTTAAATTCCATAATAAGCCTGGCCTTGGATTGGTCTGAATCTAGGCTGGAGGCTTGGCCCCAAACTCCGATTGGACCCTGTTTACAGGACCAGAATGACCGTTTAAACGAGAAACACACACAGATGCGTATTTCACGTTCTCCTTTTTAATAAAGCCGTCGTAGAGGGCGTCGTTCCTGGCGGTTCTTGCCGAGGAATTGAATGGCTGCAAAAAAATGGGCCCATGTTTGGTTTTGTCCTTTGTGCGCAGGACTGGGCATGTCTTTTAGTGAGACGAAGTAACAAAAAATGACAGTTTCAGTCACGTGCACGCCCTTTTAAGGTGGCATCTGCCTGCCCCCAGGCTAAAAATCACACCACTTTGCCCTCTCTGTACATAGTAGCGGTTCCCTACAAATCATCTCTGTAAATTGAATCTCATGGGCCTCTTGTCATCTGTGAGATTTCTTTTTTTAAAAAAAATTATCCTTTTCCCTATACTTTGCCAATTTCCCTTTATATTTAGTCTTTTGGCTTAACTTGGGCCCCTAACTTATTATTTCCACTTGATCGCCTTTCACAACTCAAAAGAACGCTACACCGTTTCTTCCACCTACTATATATCCCGCCTTTACCATGTCCACGGCTTACGACTTTAACGATAACATGTTGGACTTCGAGGATACCGATTTGTTTTTATCGGCTATACTGTCGTCCGTCCCTGCTATGGACAAGTTGTCAAACCCTTATGACATAGACCAGAATGGCTTGGCTGGTTTCCCTTTCACCGAGTCTTCGGGCTTCATAGGCAACCCAAATAACAGTCTCAATATCAATCCTGATCCAAGTGAAACTTCTTCCGATGCCGTGTCGGTAAACAGTTCGTCTCCTTCCACTGACCGCTCCTTGTTCCCTTCCAATAACCAGAAACAACGTTCCTCATTCAGCTCAGCGTCGTATTCAGAGCTGGTGGCCTCCTCAGCCTCCAATGAAGGCACTCCAAATACCTCCGTGCTGTCTCCCCATACCCTGCCAGAAGGAATGCCCGACCATGAACACAAGACGAAACCAATCAATTACTCCAATACCTACGTCAAGACGGAATCAAAGGATACTCCCGAAGCCAGCCCTGTTGCTCCTCCAAAATCAAAGGCTTCTGCTAAAGACAAGGTCTCCAAGCCGGGAAAGCGCCCTAAGGTGTCCCATAACATGATTGAAAAGAAGTACAGAACTAACATTAATACCAAGATCTACGAGCTTCGGGACGCCGTGCCAACTTTGAAGATTGCGGCTGGAAAAGCCAACGTTCTGCTTTCTGACTTGGAAGGTTTGGCACCTGCTGCCAAACTCAACAAGGCTTCTGTCTTGACAAAAGCAACAGAGTACATTAAGCACTTGGAGAAGAAGAACGACACAATGTTGTCCCAGATTGCCCAGTTGCAACAGCTTATAGGCGAGGCAAATGCCAACCCTCCTAATGTAATGCCTAACCAGCCATTGAGAGTGGATGAGCGCCAACCCAACATGGGCATGCAAAACAACTATGACGGTCAATTCTCCGGAGGCTTTGGCTTTGCTCCCGAGAACAATTACAATACGACAGTGAACCAGTACGATATGCAATCGGTTCCGCCACAGTTTGCTCAACAAGTCGGTCAACAAGAAGGATACCAGCCATATAATTCTAATTGGATGATGGGAGGATTTGCTGCAGTGATGGGATCTTCAGTACTTTCCAATGAAAACTTTAAGGGGTTGGCAGCGTTACCATTTATGCCTTCATTCTTGACCCATCCATCTCCAGCAACGTTGCAGTTACTCAGTATCTTCAGATTTGGCCTTTTTGTCTTTGGTATCTACCTTATGATATCGCCTATCGTCAATTTTATCAAGAGACCAAGAGATCCTAAGGCTCCAGTGGAGAGTCAATGGGGTACTTGGCTCTTAGTTTCTTTGGGCTTACAGGTTCCTAAACCACTTTCCCAGAAAGATAAGGATCGCATTCTCGCCCTCTTGAATGGTGGATGCCCTGAACCTTGGAGCTGGTTGAAAGAATACGCCATTTTATGTTCTAGCGAGGTCACGTTCGAGACTTGCTTCTTGACCGTACTCGTCGGAACCATAATCACCACTCAGTTACCAATCTTTTCCAAGTTGATTGGACAAAGTCTTAAGACAAGAGCTGCTTTATTACGCAAGCTTGATACTGATGACGAAGATGCTGCATTGAAGAAATTAAGCCACTTGATAAAGTCGACTGATGGTGCTTCTTTATTTGCTTCTGAAGAGCTCATAACACGCGTTCTCAACCTCTCAGCAAAGAAGAACATCCTCGCTGGAGTCAAAGGTGGAGAAAACTCTCTCGCTTATGTTGAAGTATACAAGCGTAACACAAAGGACGTCTACGCTATAATATTTGGATGGAGAGTGCTCGATCTTTTGCACGAACTCAGTCTTTCTTACTTGGACTTTTTGACTTTAAAGCACAAGGATGAGGGCACGAAGTCAGCTGAAAGAAGCTTGGAGTCTGAGATTGATGCTATTGGCCAGCTACTTGATAACTACGAGGAAGAGAGCCTCAAGCTGTATTACTTGGCGTTGAAGTGTCTTATACATCCAGCCAGCACCCCTACTTTGGTGAATGCGATGAAAGAAAGCATCATGAAGACAATGCTGAATGTTAATTCATACTTTGATGGTCAAGATCTCACTGATGTCGAGTCTTTGCTTGACAGTGAAACTGAATCCCTGGAGGAATCTTCAGATGAGACGGAGACAGCAGAAGGCGTCCTTGAGCCAAAGATAACCGAGACTGTCAAGACCCAAAAGTCTCTCGTTTACTCATTGAACTTGGTGAACGAGGAAAAATTCATCGTCTTGGCCACTTCTTCAATTCTTTTCTATTTGCACAAGGAAGATGACAATGAAAACCTGAGGCATTTATTGAGACATTTGAAATTTAAGAGTGACGAGTTCCCATTGTCAACACTCTCATTTGCTTGTTTGATGAAAGTGGTTTGTGGTATGCTTGAAACAGGTGAAAACGATCAAAGGATTTCTTTGAGTGTGGAGGAATCTGAAATTCTAGAACTGTTGGTTAAGGCCATGAGAGGATGGCTCAATGACGATCGGAAAAACAAGTTCCTTGACCATTCTTTCAGAAGCGATTTGACCGACTTAGTTATGACGAAGGGTATGCTCCTTCATAATATGTGAGGCTTTGTTGAGGCCATAATCAACGTAATGTACATTATAAGTTCGGCTCGTCCCGTATAACTGAGAAGAGAAAGTTCAACGACAATACATTTACGACACATGTAGAACCGCCATTCCTGACGAGTGGCCTCGGCATTCGGCCGTAGGCCGTGGGCCGTGTTGCTACAGCGCAAGGAGGGAGGCACAGCCGCTCAGAACCCGAGAAGCAGAGTTGATTAAACCGTAATTCAAGAGTAACAAAACAGAAACTCAAAAGCAAATAAGGGTAAACGTACCTAGTAGAAGAGTAAAAAAAAACCATAAAAAAGAAGCTCTGCAGCACGCATATGGTTTGGATAATCTTAATTCACATCCGAGGAAATCTGTCCCTTTCTGCAGAAGGGTTGAAGTTTCCCAGAAATGTCATAATCGGGAAATATGTTTCGGCAGTTGCACAAGCCACATAAGGTACCCTAAGTGATATCATTGGTACACTAAATGAAAGTTTTAAAAGACGCTTGGCTCCGACTACAAGGCCAAGAGACAACAACAAGGGCGCAAAAAGGGCCACGGCATTCAAATACTCATTCCATTTAAAAGGGGAACACAATAGTCCTATTGTAGAGAGTAACTTTAAATGTTCAGATGCCTCGAACCGCACGGCCGTTTGCGGTAGTATTTTAGTCTTGAGACAAAGAAGAAAAATTGTGAGGCTGCCCACTCAAAAAAGACCTTCCTTCGTTAGTACAAACTTTATGCATGATTCTTTGGCGAATATTCGATTGCCTGAAGGTACAAAGAGTTTCTCATTGTCACGAAGAAAATAGAAAGAAAACCAAAATGGACAAACTTAGCGGACAACATGGTCCCGGTAGCCGATCCAGCATACGAAACTTCAGCTTTTGTCGATAACCAATGATGCCGCATGGGATTTACTGGCGGACTTCCGAGATTTGCGGTTGAGATTACCGATAGAAATCAACAACCGTGCAGCAGGCAAGAACAACAGAAGCTGGGCTACTTTGAAGAATACGAAGAGCATACGGAATAGTGGGCGGAGAAAGGGCAGAAGAAGCAAAAAGAAATGGTAATAAAGCATAATAAAAAAAAAATGTATGTGTATGACGAGAGAAGGCCCAGACAATCAAGACATTGAGACGAGAAGGAATGCTAAGCTTCCATTGAGTACCGGGAACCCCCTTGGCGACCGAGGGAAAAAAGAACAAAACCTAGAATTTTATTTTATTTTTTTCTTGTATAACAAAGAATGGGCGTTTTCTCTGTGACGAAGGATTGGCACTGAAGAAGTTTAACTCAGTTTTAAGGTTAAGATGGATAATTGGGGTAAAAGGTAGACATAAATAATATAATAGTGGCAGTGTTTGAAGAAACGCAGGAAAAAGTATAAATTATTTAGCGGAAGTGGTGAGCAAGGTCCGAGGCACTTTTCTGTCCCGCAGAACACAGAAAATAAATCTTAATGAAACTGTAGGATACAGAAACGGTGCTAGCGCCAAAATAATTGTGAATATGAAAGTCATACAAGGTTCGTTGAAAGAGTTTGGGGTGCAGAGCACGCATGGTGGCGCATATGTTCACGTCAAAGATGCACGCAAGTCGAAGCCTGGAAACAGAGAAGTGCCGCGGTGCGACGCACGTATGCATCGAGAGCGCTAGCAAACCGTTTGTATATACCAATGGGGCGTCGCCCAGGCGTGCACACAGATGCAGTCAACCATGTAACATAATGCAGCCATTTTTGTCAGCGCAGCCATGCGATGGTAGTCACGATATTCCTTTGCACGGGGGGTACCTTCACGTAAGGGCCCCTTTGCAGATCCCTCAGATCCATGCTTCTCCTTGAAATCCTGAACCTGCTGGGTCACTTTTGCCATGTATGTCTCTAGGCTTGAATAGCATCCTCTTGGTCTGCTTTTTTTTTTCCCCTTGTTACAAGTCTCACTCTCCTGCGCTGTACAGGAGGACCCTTGCCTATTGACGGAATGCGCTAGGCTTTTTTTTTTCTTCTTTCTGTACTTTCTTTAATTTTTTTAACTCAATTTACATAACCTTGAAGCACTGAAAAAAATACGGTTAAACCTGCAGCGTCCCCTCTGTCACCTATACATTTCACCCTCCTTTTCCCTATTTTTTATTTTCTTTGCTGCTTTCTCCACTGCCCTGATCTTCTAGATGCCTTTGTTGCCAAACATTATGTGACCTGCCAGGGTCCTCCTCCCCGGCCGGCAAACACCGCTCGGCTAGAGTCTCATCTCAATTTTTATTTTTATTATTCTTTTTTTTTTTTTTTTTTTGTAATTCGGTCTTATGATTGTCTAACCATGGCAACCCACACACAGACACTTGTTGCTAGCGCACATTTTTTTCCATATATCGCATGGCTTGATGGGCCAATTGCTGCCTTTGTTACCTTTGTTGCCTTGTTCTGCTTCATGACAATTTTTTTTCTTTTCTTTGCCGTCTTCCTTTTTTTTTTTTTTATTATTCTTTTTGTTTTCTATTCATTTTCTAAATGGTCTTCATCCTCTTAACCCCCAACCTATTGTAGTAAGAAATTCGTCAGCCTCGTCGTCTTTAGCATGCTTTGTTCGGACGGCCCATAAGGGCCACCCTCACGCAAGTAAAGCAAAACCTAAAATCCTTATTATTTGTTGTTTTGTCTGTGCACAGCGTGGAAGCCCATCTGCCGTTCGTGCAGAAAAGGCTTTAGGCCCATTTACGTTTATACAAAATTCTTGGGGCACGCAAATGCGCGGATCAATGGTGGTTCTTCCTCTTGAATATGCTCAGATCAAACTTTCTGCTCATAATCGTACTTTGCCTTCTCCTTTTGTCATTATCCCCGCCGCTTTCTTCCTTTGCTGCCCCATTTCAGGGTCCTATTCCGTCACATTTCTCGTTATTTTTTTCGCTTGTGTTACTCCGGCAGCGCTGCTTAACTGACTATATATTCCAGATCGCTGTCTTTGCCTTTCGGTTCTCCCCCCTTTTTTTTTTCTTCCTACTTCCTTGCTAACTGGTATTTTTTCTTTTCATTTCTGTTGAGTTATTTAATTTGTTCCATCCATCCCTACATCAGCCAACTCCTCCTGGTCCAACACTTCAGTGAAAAAGAATCCCCCCACTCTATCCCACGGTCCATTCCTTCGCTCATTCCGAATAGTGTCTTAGCTCTTGTCTTGAGTTTTTTCATGCGGAAAGCTCTTCCATTGATACATAAAAACGCCTGATATCATCACATAAACCATATCCTCCAAGGGTCCACAGCTTAATTTTCCCATCAACCCTTCGAGCATCTCATCGGGTTTCCTATTTATGTTTCCCTGGAATGTCAGACTATTCGGTATCCGATAATGAAGTTTTGGATAAAGACGAGACCGATACGAGGCAATCAAGAAGCACTTCCGAGTCCCTTAGACTGGGCTCTTCGAGTTCAAAGAACAGTAATTCTTCCTATACCGTTCTGGACTATTACGAGCTCACTCTCCCTCTTATAAATGGCAGATGCCTCCAGTCCCTGAATGTCCATTCCTTCCTTCGAACATTGCTTGACTTCCTGCTCCTACATTCCTTTCAACTTAAAGCCCTCCAAAAGCGTGAAATCAAACTCGCGGACTTGTCGCTCCACGAATTCAAAGGTGGCTTGCAGGGTCTTTTGATCAAATCTGTCCTCCCGAAAACCACCCAAATCCAATACACAGCCCGCCTTCGACACAAACTTGTCGAACTATGTCCTATATTTATCCTTGCCATGTACATGTTTGCACGATTCCACATTCCTGACACCTACGGTGAATACGACCTAACCGAGGATTCCTTGTCTCAAGAGCAATTTCTTGACTACAAACTTCTCAATGGAGGCAATAAGTTACGCCCACTTTCCTACTCGCAGCAATACAAGGCCTCCACCAAAATCCTCAAAATCAATGACAAGTTTAAACCTATCCATTTGGGCAAAATCCTCACATCACAGTACAATACAGACCCTGACTTGGGACTTGTGTCCGAAAACACTATAAACCTCAAATGTCTGAGTCATTCCGTCGACAACATCCAAGTCGAGACACTATGCAATTTTGCTGGGTTCGAAAATGAACAAGCATACAATATTGAAAGAGCACAACGGGAACCTCCAAGAACGGTTGTGGAAAAATTTTCCCTTTCCTTAACTCCCACACCTATGGCCGCAATCCTGACTTCGACAAGTTGTTTAGGCTTCTTGAGTTCGTAAGAAGAGCCCTCGTCCAGGACATGGTTGAGGTCAAGAAGCGGTTCCCAGAGAACCTAGTTTGTGAACACGCAATTTTTTCATCCCAGGAGTTCTGTGACTTTGCTGGTATTTCGAGAGAACAAAGTGAGGGATTCAACCGCAAGACTATAGACTCAAGCCCAGAGTCTTCATATGCATCTTCTGTGGATTACGATAAGCTTGAGAACAATTCGATCAAGGACGGTGAAATTCCCAACAATGTTATTCCAAGGAAACGTTTGGCACTGCGGGAGCCAAACTCAGACGGTAGAAAGAGAATTAAACATCTTGAGAGGATGGTTGACCAGATGCAAAAACTGCAAGAATCAATGGCCCGAGAAATGACCCAGTTTATTGAATCACAGTCGGCCCAAATTGCTGAACAAAGCAACACCTTGAAGAAACTTATGAGCAGCACTGATGGACTCTCCATCCTCTTGGCTACGAGGAATCCGAACACTACAGCATACACAAAGCAAATTCTTGATCAAAATAATGCCCATTTGAGTCATTTAAATCGTCAGTTGGCACAGAGCAATAGCGACGGTCTCAGTATTCTGCTGAAATGGAACTCAAGATTGCAACAGATTGGTGCCCAATCAAACCAGTACCATGAGAAATATGGCGAGACCCGTTCTCGGGTGCTCATGTCCACGCCAGCTGTTGAAGTCGAGTCAATTGAGGAGCTTTTTAGCAACTTCGCCTTGTGGCATCGGTCTCTAGCCGATCACAACATTTCATTGGACGAATGGGCCGCTGCTCATAACGCGAACGACAGATCCTTGCTAGACACAAGGAATGCCCTTGTGAGATATTTGGAAAACGAAGCCGCTAGGCGGCAAGTTCCGGTTCAGGTTGTGATTGGGAAGTTGCAGTCCAAAATCCAGGACCAAAAGTTGTCCTTGGTATTGCCGGATTTAGGAAGGCAGCTTTTAGCAGGTGGCACGATTATGTTAGACTGAGACCTCGGTAACAATAAACTTACGATCTTCTGATGTTGGTATGCTCCCACAAGAGTTGACTACATTGTGTTTGGACATCTGGCCATATTTATTTTTCACAGCTCTTCGGCCGCTCTGATGGTGACACTAAAAGTAACGAATTGATTAATCATTAACGAAAATCTACGAATAATAGTCATCCCAAATAAATATATGTATACACATATTGCAATACGAGTAATAGAAAAACAAACTCTGGACTTAGCTACTACCTTTTTAGACAAAACCCAAAGTGGAAGGAACACCTTTAGGCCGAAGAAATCGATTGGGCGATAATTCCGTCAGATTGGGTTTAAATGAACCGAAGGCTCAATGGGGCTATGTACAAATATGGCTAGTGGTCCAGGGAAGTGAATGCTATTCAGCATGAGAAGCTACAATGACATGCCGGGACAAGGTCGTTTGTGCAAATCATATTGTCGGTTTCTTGATATCTCTCATATTTACTACTTTGCCTAACGTGCTTTTCAACTTTAGAGCCTAACGATAATAAGAATACCAGGAAAAATTCCACAACTTTTACTCGTCTATTTCCTCGCATGAATAAAACCGTAATTAGGTGGTTGTGATCTATACTACTTCGGTTCTGAAATAAGGACCCTTGCTCAAGCAGCGCGCATAAACCGCATAAAGCATGTTGCATCTAGGTGAAGACATAGAACAACTGCGCTGCCTAGTGCAGCATGCATGCATGCAACACCCAGGATTCAATAGGGTCCTCGCATCTCGCGATTCGCCCAATTGTACTTCATGCTTTCGAAGAGCGCAAATGCTTCTACCCAACGGTTAGCGCCAACCATAAACCAGAATCGCTTCAAACCACCCAGATAAGCTGCCTCCCCATGAACAAATTACTATTGTTGCGATAACAACGTTGTGTCTAGAAGCATGACTAGAGTTATGAACCAACGGGCGGAGTTGGATCATAACGCCAACATTTTCAGGAGAGCTCAGAGCTCAATATTCTTGAAAGAGTAAGGTTCAAACAAGTATCCTTCTCCCTCGAAAAACTTCGACATTGCCTCGACCCAATGTAAACGTAAAGAGTGCAACATCGCAGATGTTCCTTCCATCATAACCAAAATACAAAGAGTCAACGTGAACCACATGGCGAACAAAAAGAATGCCATGATAATTCCTGTGGTGCCCGTTGGCCCGAAGGCATTTGCAATTGTCATAGTCCACAACACACTCGACAACTGAGCGTGTGCCAAAGACAACGCCCACAATCTCAAGTAGGAGGCAGTGTGTGACACACAGTTAAGACAGAACTCAATGGTATGAATCACCTGGTGGATGACTATATCCATGAAATTAAATTCTTCCCCTTCACCACCATGACCTGAAGTACCAACCATAGGCTCGATATCATTGGGGAAGTGGAAGGCCTCGTCCAACAAGTCGACCTCGTCGTCAGGGTGTAAGCCTGGTGTCTCAGAGTTAACATCATGTTGCAGAACCAACGCTTCCTCTTCTTCTTGAAGTTGAAGTGTGTGGTTAATCTGGGAATGAACGTCGCTATAACCAGCCTCCTTCGCACGAAGATTCTCTTTCCGGAGTACCATAGGTTTGTATGCCAACAACCATGGTACACAGCACAACGCAAGCAAAACTAATATAATTTGCACCACAGCTTGGCCCGAATACAACGGTTCTTCAATACTTCCAGGTGCAAGGAACATATTAATAAGCATGTTCAACAATCCAGGTGGTTGACGTCCTGTTCCAAACCAGTCCACACACCATTTGTAAACAATGGTCAATGAAAGATAACCAAAAATACTTTGCATGAAAATAAGACCTGGAATAAAGTTTCCGATGATATCAACGCGTGAGTTGAAGTAGCGATAATTCACCAAACTGAAGAAGAAGGAGTAAGTCATGTGGATATAACCCATAAGAACCGACATTTTCATCTTATAAGAGTTGGTGAAAAGAAGACCATTCTCAGCACCGTGCCATGCCCAATCAAGTCCAAATGGGTACACGCTATGACCTCTCCGGGAAGCAACTAGAGGAACACTAGTGTTGTGGGATGGCTCGAAATCAGATGGGAACTCCCATGTCCAGCCAGACTTGAAAATGGTCAATGATTTGGAGAATATATCGTTGTACATCAAGCCAGTGTACATGGAGAAAAAGCCCATAAGAAGCATAATGTAACGACCGCTGTAAGCCATTCCGAGAATCTCGTCCATTTTCCTCATCGAATCGAAATGCCTCTCATTCTTAACAAAATATAATGCGATCAAGAACACAATAAATCCATGACCAAGGTCACCAAACATAATGGCAAACATGAAGGGAAACGTAACAATTGTAGCCAAACCTGGATTGACTTCTTGGTACGTTGAAATTCCATAAGTATCAACGATTGATTGAAAGCCCAGGGTGAATTTGTTGGTCTTGTGGAAGGTAGGTGGGGTTCTAGTAGTTGCAAGCTCATTGAGGACTGCAACGAAGTTAAACTCTTGATCATCATTGTCATTATCATCCTCGCTTCCACCCTCATTATCATCATCATCCTCGTGTCCGACAGTAAAGCCAGTATTGGCATTACCACCAGGAGTATTCAACGTGTCATTGGAGAAGGTAAGCTCAGGGTTCAGCGCGAGCGGATTGTTGGCAGAGGCAGTTTTGGCACGTACCAAGTTCTTGAGCGCACGACGGATATTTTCAACTTCTGAGCGAGGAATCCAGCCCTCACCAACTAAGCAACGTCTTGTGCTATCTTCATCAAACTTGTTAAGTATCTCAAAGATGGAGCGTTCTCTCTTCACAACATAGTACCAGTCGGTATATTTCTCTTGGAAGACGAGAAGCTCAGTAATTAAATGGTTTTTGGTAGACTCAACGACATTTGTCAAATCTTCGATCTTTGCATTAAGTTCATTGAGAGTTTCAAGCCTTCCACCAGCGCCACCTCCCGTGTTGTCATAGATGTGGCCCTCCAAGGAGCCTATAATTCTGCGCACGCGGTCTCTCAAGTATTCACCGTGGATGTAGATGATGAAAACATTTTTCTGGGTGAGGTCAGATGCTCTCTCCAAAGACTCTGGAAGCGGTTCATCGATTGGAATATCGTTGAAATATAAGTTACCTCTTAAGGTTCTCCAGAGAATCTTTCTCAAGATGGGGACCTTCTCGCGAGCGATTACGCCGCAAATGGAATTGAACAAGTTTCCAGAATCTAAGTTGGTGCTTGTCTCGTGCAAAGAATTGCGGTCTATGTCAAATGAGTCAGAGTTTCTTCCTTCATTAAGTAAAGCCTCTTCATCGTCGTCTTCTATTTCGAACTGACGGAATTCGTCATTGGCATCCTGGTTTGATGGCACTAAGGATGATTTGTGGAAGTTGTGGACAGAGTTGATAACGTGACGGTTCTCCACATACTTGTATTTCTTAAGTTCTAGCTCAGAGTGGGAGTCGTCAAGGTGTTTGATCTTATCGTGGAACGCGCTCACTCTTTCCTTTATCTCTTCCATCTCTGAAGCTGTGGGCAAGGGGTTTTCATCAGCGACCAAGTTGGCGAATGGATCGCCCTTGAAAGTGGAGTATTTCACCATCATGCTGAACAAAAAAGTCAAGTTCAATTCCACACCGTCAATGTTCCGAAGCTCAGTGATAAAGGTTCGCTGGAAAGGTGTCAATTTGGAATTGAGATCACGGAAATGAACCTGGCCTAAGTTTCCTAGCGTGAATACCAAGTCCCTGGCCAACTCCATGGTGACATAGAATTGCACCAAGGTCATTGGCGCTGACCGGAAGATGGCCTCGGTGGACTGGTACGCTGGCTTCTTGGAGTTGAATAACTGCATGGAGAAGGATCTTCTATAGTACAATAAATTGGAACCAGCAGATCAACAGTAGTCCAATGATAAATCCTCAACACCAGTGTGTGGTTTGTTGTCTAAAAAGCCTCCAAGTTGAAAAATACAACGTCTCGGTAATCGGACCCTCCACTTGTTAACAGCAAATGCATATAACAGTGTTGGAAAAGGCCTCACTGTAGGAAGGACGTCGGGTACTGCATAGCGCTAAGGCCTGGTTCAAATTTCTTGTCCATGTATGTAAGTTACCCAATTACAGGTGTGGGAAAAGAGACTGAGAAAGCCGAGGTGAGGGATTGATGTGAAGAGAGAAAGTATAGCGAAAAAAATACTTCACTTTTTTTGGTTACACTTTTCGATCCACTTATATTGAAGATTGGGAAATAGTTGGTCATGAGGGGGGTTAAAGTTCGGCAGACCGTCACGTGAAGCTGCTACTTGTTTTGGATGTACGGGTTTACAGCCGTTTTCTCTTTTTCTTGTTTTACATTCTCCTACAACGTTAGTCTGATGCTAAGCATCTTTCTCGATACGTACTTCGGCCTGCTGTTATGAGCATTACCGAGTAAGCGAATTTAGATGGTGTACGGATGTGCCACAAACTCTGGGACCAGCATTAATTTTTTGGTGCACGGGTCTAAAGTACCATGATGAATCTACATGCTACTACTCTTCTACAAAGTATGCTAGTGGGACAATTAAGAGGTTACACTTATCTCCCTTTCTTCCTAAGAGATGGCATAAATAAAGATTAGTCTTTGGCAAAAGTACCATGCCTTTGCATAAGTCTCGACTCATGCTCTGGCAGTCACTGGATGTCTGAGGATAAATTAAACAATCAGTGGTACAAAGCATCGTAAGTTCAGCCTTTCGTGGATATATTTATCCCTTGAGTTCTTCACAGAACAATTCATTTTCTCGGAATTCTGACGTTTGTCCCGTTAAAAACGAATTTGTGGAAATTGGATCACGTGCCTTCTCCAAAGCGCAAAACGTAGCCAACAAGTCAAATACCGTGTTGCTGGGGCTTCTTTTGCCGCCAAATTAGACATGTACTCTAGAAAACTTGCTCTCCTTGCAAGGAATCTTGTAGGGCCTTTCAAACGCCAGTAGAACGACGATCACGTGACCTCAACGTGTTTGCCAGCTTGCTCTATTCTTAAACCCAGCAGTCTTGTAATAACCGTGTCAGACACATCAAGAGGCGTTAAATATTGCTTATGACCCTTTTTTTATCATTCTTTCCACCCCTTGTATGCTTTGTACGCCGCTGGTCCAACTCGTATTGACAAACCTGCACACGACATCTACAGCCCAAGCGCTTCTACGTATCTTGACAAATCTGCCAACTCCACCACAGTGATTTCGAGGCCTATTCCCCATATGCAATTGCTTCTGCTCTTGAATATCTTTCTTTGCCTTCTACAAGTAGCAGTTGCGCAGCAGCCCATTGAAAAGCTGGTGGGAAACCTGTCATCGGTGGAACTACCGCTCGATCGCCTTCGACTGTTCATTGAATCAAACTCACATAAACGACCAACCAAGAAACCATTATACACAAAGCGAACTATCGAGGATAACGTCGTTATTCCACAGTATGACGTGGAGCTTCAAGACTATGAGGGCTCTCCTTTCCTCGCCAAATACCACATTACGTTCGAGAGAATGGCTTCCCAACTCATAAAAGAAGCCGAGGCGTCTCGTGATCAAGAAGCCTTGGTTTATTTGGGTGATCTATATATGTTTGGGCAATCAGACATTAGGGCCAACTATTCGAAAGCGTTGGAATATTACAAGAAAGCTGTTGAAGGTGCCCCTCATGGCCATGCATACTTTATGCTTGGTTACATATACTCCACAGGCATGTTTGGAGAGCTTCCGCAGGATAAAGCAAAGTCAAATCTATATTACCAGTTTGCAAGCGAAAATGGAAATCTAAATGCAACACTTGTTCTTGCCAATAAGTATCTACATGGCATTGACAGAGCCCCAAATTGTGACTTGTCTAAGTTTTACTACTCAAGAGCGGCTCGTATAGTCAAGAAGTATCAAAACGACCATGGCCATGCCACTGTTTCTGGCGACCCTCTTTATAACATACGACTAGCTGATTTCAATGGTGGCCTTTACGGGAGAAAGGTGAGTGATCAGATACTGTCGTTCCAATCATTCGCTGACTATGACGAGGCTAGGCGACAGAATCTCGAGGACAACAATTACAATCATGATCCTGAACTACGCGATCTATATTATGATGCTTTAGCTGCCTATACTGGAAGTCGTTTCAAACCGTCGAATCTTACAGTTGCCAATGACCTCTCCAGAAAGTGTATGGCTCATGCCAAGGTGAAGTTTGGTAAAAACCACGGTGGCTATATCAGTGACGATGATAAGAGCATGTGGAGTCGATGCGCTTGTATATTAGGAAATCTCTACTTCGAAGGAACACATTTCGAACGTGACATTCCGAAGGCCTACGAGTACTTCAACATGGCAAACAAGATTTTCGACAGTGCTCATACTAGAGCCCAGCTCGGCAAGGTCCACGCTTTAGATCCTATCACCGATGGTTCAATAAGTGATAATTGCACAAGGCGTTTTAAGAGTGCTGCTGAGGCAGGCAATTTTGAGGCGAACTATCTCCTCGCAAAATGGTACTCGGTGCCTGACCCAGCTTCGCCATTTTTGATTCAAAACACCGCTCGAACTCTTACTTGGTGGCGTGACCTTGCTATGAAGGGACATTTTCATGCCCGCTTCTACTACGCCGATGCTATGGAATCTGGAGACGGTGCAAGCTCTACAGACGTGTTTTACTGTTCCACCATAGTTGACACTTACAAGCAGTTTGTTGAACGCTCTGAGCAGTTATTATTTCCTCACTTGAAATATGCATTCGAAGAATTTATCTACGGGCATTTCAAGAACGCCCTTGTTGGGTACCTGATTGCTGCAGAACAAGGTCTCAAGAATTCACAGGTTAGTGCAGCCTTCCTCCTATATCAAGCAAATCCGGTATTTACCTGGACACCCAAATTTTTCAATTCTGACAGGCTCGAAAGTGCCATGTCTTATCTCGAATTAGCATCCCTTCAAGGCGATATTGACTCAACCATCCTATTGGGCGATATCAGCTATGATGGCGTGGAATCCACAAATATTCCACAAGACTACGAAAAAGCATTTACATATTACTCGAGGGCTGCAACAGCAGCATCTCCTCACGGTTGTTTTAAACTTGGTCACATGTATGAATATGGTCGTGGTTCTGCTAATGCTACAGTCGACTTCCATATGGCAAAGCGCTATTACGATCTTAGTGTGAAGTACACCTTACAGTCTCCATTTTTCCGTATATCACGATTGAATACTTATGCTATGAGCCTCGCATTACTCCGCCTAAGGGTGAAACTCCTTTTCAGTCGTGATAAGAAGGATGTCGATAAAGCTGGCTGGTTCAGCACCTTCAAGAAACTCGGGAGGTCACAAGATAGCATCGATGATGATGAGGATGACGAGAGAGCGCTTCAAAAATCCACAGCCCATTTTGAAGGTGGAGACTTCGAAGGAGAAGATGAATATGAAATCTTTGATTATGTCGTGCTACTACTCACGGTTGTGTTCTTCATATTCGTTTTTGTTCTGAACATGAGGGTCAAATGAGGCGTGCTGCAAATGGTCCAAATCAACCAAACCAACAGAGAAATGCAGGCGATCAGTTTGGCTTCCGCCGTGGAAATTTCGAGTTCCATTTCTTTGCTTTATAAAGTATATACCTAATGCATCATTAACCTCGACAAACGTTCACGTTCATGTCCTGCAAAATATCTCTGGCAACCGGGTGCTTTTCTAATGTCTTGCTGCCCAACTTTTTCACTTTGCTTTTCTTCTCGGTCTTGTTCTCGGATCCCGTCCTGTTGCCAACATCAAAATCATACATCTTCGTTGCATTCTGAGGAAGATGAGTGACCCAACCTTTTTGCTTAAAAAGTTTTATGAAATCACATATGGTAGCTGTGTTGGAAAGGGTGGAGATAGACCCGAAAACGAGAAGCTTCGATCGTGCACGAGTAAGTGCCACATTCATCCTCCTCCAGTCTTTCACTAAATCACCTGCCTTGCGTTCCTTATTGGATCTGACGAGGGATATAATAATGCAATCTTTATCACGTCCCTGAAATCTATCGGCAGTGAGAATTTCTAATGAAGGTCTGTGTTTGAAGGCATTTGTAAGAACCTTCAATTGAGAACGATACAATGTCATGACACCTATGCTCTTTTCCTTCACACCAGAAGCACAGAGACCTTCAACTGTTTCCCGTATCAATGCCACCTCCGTAAGGTTGGTCACGTTTTCTCCCGTTACCGTCTCATAAGCGTTAAGTGGATCGTGATTGAGGAAGAGACATTTTGTATCCTCGTTCAAGGCATGCTTGAGCCAATCATTCTTTGGGGCTACCTCATTCTTCAAACCCGTCAACAAACCGTCCTTGTTAGGTAACGTTAACGATTGACATGCTACTTCGGTAGAACCGCATTTCAACCTTCCATCGTAAATCAAGGCATTGGAGAGATACATGATGTCCTCACACATTCTATACTGGTAGGTCAATTCGCTCACACTCTCTGGGTGATCTTCAGCAAGAGTTTGGAAAAGGGATCTTGATAATCCGCTTTTCACTTCCGGGTTTGAACTGATTACCAATGGTGGAAGCTGATAATGATCTCCAACAAGAACAAACTTATCACAGAACGCCAAGGGGCCCAATGAGAGTGGTAGCGACACCTGGGAGGACTCGTCGATGATACAGTAGTCAAAGTGGTCACGGATATTAAAGGCAAAATCTCGGATACTCAAACAGGTCGCCGCAACTACTGACGGTCCTCTGTAAACAAGTTCGAAGTCATCAAAACACTCCACTGGGCAATCTTTCGATCCTGGGACATACTGCTTTATCTCGGGATGCACTCGTGAAGGGTTCCCGATTCGAAGGAAGTCTACCCCAAGGTCTTTCATTTTCAAAAGAATGTTATCCACAGCCGAGTTGGTATATGACGAGAGCAATACAGTCTTACCTTGGTTGCTGAGCATCTTGATAAGATGTGCAATTACAGTAGTCTTTCCCGTACCGGGCATTCCAAGAATTAATGAATAGTCTTCACTTTTGAGGACTTTCTGAATTGCACGCTCCTGGTCTTCGTTGAATTCCGTGCCCTGACCCTCAAACGGTTGGCATGAGTCAAGAAACTTTGGAGGAGTCGAGTCGACAATTAACTTCCTCCTTCTGGCATCACCAGATTCTAGAAATAAGTTAAGCACGTTGAACCTTGCCACACCCATTCCATAAAACATTTCATCCTTATCAAGACGAAATACCACAGTCGAAACATCAGCTTGGGAGTGGGTTTGACTCAGCTTCAAGACGTTGGCTCTGTGAAACTTGTCCGTCTTCAGTGAGGTGGGAATAATTCTTCTTCGACTAGAAATGGTAATTGAGTCTGGCCATACTTCTTGGACAAAACCTTGAGCAAGAGCGAATCTACCCTGATCATCGCTGATAACAACTTTATCATGTTTAGTTATCTGAGTGTTTTGCATTGATGAGAAGGCTTTTCCTCCCCTCCTCACAAAGGTATAATAAAGCAACCCATCGTCACGGGAATTTTTCTGTGAAGATATGATCAAATCGGATATCGCTTTCCCCTGTTCCGCTTCTCGTTCTTGAGCAGTGTAAACCCATAGGTCCCGATTGAATTTATCTAGGAATTGCTCCTCCTGAGTTAAAAGCTCGTTCCAATATTTGTAGTACGAGGCATAGTGTGGTTTGCCCTCAAGATGCCTGGTCAATTCCTCGTACACGCCCTCATTTAGACCGCTATCTTCTGCTGTCCCATCTTCAGTCATATGGTTAATCGTCATGCAAGCCTGTTGAATCATACATTTATCACATTTTTGCTGGCGCATGAGATCAGGTAGCTCTTTTTGGCCGCTTTTCAAGAAAAGGGAGATCTGATTCCGAAGATGAACTAGAGACTTTAAGTCTGGCACCGAAATGTCATGCTTCTTGGTCAGCCCTTCATCCAGTGTATAAACCAAGAGGAATGAGGATATATCAAAGTTATACCTATCCTTGAATAGAAGGGAATATAATGCAGCTTGTGCTTGGTGGCTGAGATATTGTCCGCTTGTCTTGATCTCCATGGGAAGAAGAACTTGCGATGAACTATGGCCTCCCTGGAGATTGGCTTTAAGAGTGACGTCCACATTACCTTTCATTCCAAACATGGGGACCACACGCTTTCTTCTAGATCAAGTCCATCAGCCACAGAAAAGTTTATCTTCTGGTTGCGATGATTCGTTGGGATCTCGGATGGTGGCTTTTGTAGAAGGTCCGAAACCAATGTGTTATGAACGGGAGATGTTCCCGTATTTTGTTCTTCAAATCTGAAACAACATCGCCCAAGGTATAAATTTCAATGAGACGTCCTCTGATCTCGTTCTCTAAAAGCTCTTCTAAAAATGCTTGATCAAATTTTTCAGCAAGAAAGCACGTTTGAAATATCTCATGAACGATTGTTCCTATCAAGAGAGGCATGGTAGCTTCGCCGGGGAACTTGAATCGCTTCATTATGACAGTCTTTCTCGGACAAAAGAGTTGGTCGGCCACAACGGTCGACGTAACCAACACGTCCGGATTCCAGATAAGCAAATTGTGAGCATTATCAACAAGCCTTGGAGTGTCAGGAGAAGTCAAGATAATGTGGATGATGTCGTCCTTCGCTAGCGAGAGTTCTGCCGAGTCACCTCGCACTATGATTTTGCTCTCAGCATTATCTCTATCCTTCACAGTTAGAATGATCTGCTTCTTTTTAAAGTTCAGAACTGTGAATGAGCCGTGAAGCACGGAGACAATCTGATAACGAACGAAATCTGACCGCGAGAATGACATCTTCGCCCCAATAACGTCTTCAGTGTGTAAGTTTGATGCCAAAAGCTTCTGAAGCATCATTTCTTCTTTCAGGGAATTCTTATTATCTTGAGTAGTAGTGGTCTTCTTTTCGAGCTCCTCAATATTGATATCATCCGAAAATGGATCAGACTCTTCTAAGGTCTTGTTTTCAAAGCTGTCACCGTTTTCATCCTCATTCTTGTTATCTTGCAAGCGTTGTTGGGTAGCCACAGCGGTTGAAAATTGCTGCACGTTTAATGTGGCCAATACCGAATCATCATCAGAGAAGGGGTCCTCATCATCTGTGTCTTCTTTCGCGTCTATCATTTCTTTTGCGGAAGTGTCCTTAATTGATGTGGTTTCAGGGGATGATCTGCCCAGATTGGTTGCAAACCGGTCGATCCATGTATTTAGCCTCGATAGCGAGGGTGTACTGAAGGTATCAGTAACAGATGCAATGGATTTCGGATCAAACAGTTTGGACCGAGATAATGTGGGACTTATGCTAATATATGCTTGTTTAGACAGGGATTGGGCCTGGACTTGTGGTGTTTGTGAGAGAACGCTTTCAAATCCTAACCCATACTTAGAAAGGACCGAGTCAGTGACTTCGTTGTTCAATGTGGCCGTGTTCACACCATCTGTGTCATCTGCTCGCGTCTTTGTTCTTTCACTGCCTCTCAATGGGGAAGAAAGGATGCATTTGGTATCAACTTGACGCCTTGGGCTTACTCCTCCACGCCATCGGACGCCTTCGAAGCTGTCGTCAGAACTCTGTTCAGGTAGACCTTTGATATTTAGTACTGCTGGCCTTTCTGGAACTTCAAAAGAGGACCCGCTGGCTTTCTTCGGGGTCTCTGTCGCTCCATTCGCCGTTCTATCATCCTCGGGCCTCTTCTTGGGGTTGTAAGAGAGCGTGTTTTGTGGCTGGAAAAAGTATGTGGTCTTCCTAGGCTTTAGCCTTTTGGGATCCAGTCCACCCGAGGGTAGGTTCAGTTGATGGGGCCTTTTATCCATTATAGGCCCATATGGATTTGATATTTACAGAACGGTGGTCTGGGATCAGAAAGTAGTAGGAGCTGGACGTGTAGTGCGTCTATGTAGGTACCGTGTTTTGCTGCGAATGCGATAACCTCATTGAGTGTTGTAAGGAACATACACAAAAGGCGGAGTCAAAGTATTTTATTCTCTTTTGGTTCATTAAATGAAGTTGTAGTTTCAAGCTTTTCGAAATATGATCGGTAAGATATTCTTCTTGATATTATAGTAGACAGTATATGTAAGTGTGGCATTGTAAGAATGGCATTGTAAGAATGGCTGCGAAAAGTACACTACATAGAAGGCTTGGGTAGAATGTAGCACATACTTGACAAAATATACACTCAAGAAGATATGGATCTCAGATTCTAACCATCAAAAGTTTATGTCTCTACTCTTGAGGTTGTTTTTAAAAGGTAAGGCTCTATAGAGAGATGTCGGATTTCCATGGTAAATGGTAGGCATGAATATTTGGCTATGAAGCAGTACTCACTTCATGAAATGACTTGATAAAGAATAGGGTAATTTTCTTTGAATAAACACAGAAAGAAGAGTTTCCTTTTTTCTTCACTTATATTCAAAAAAAAAAAAAATTGTTTTCTTGGATATTCATATTTAGGTTTTACTGAAAATATAACCTCAATAGTGTACGCAACACTTAGTTAGAAGCATATCGAAGCACAACCACCAACAGCAAAATAGAATAAAAAAATTACTTTTCTTCAACCATATAGTACCTTGAGAATCCAAATGAAAAGCCGTTTTTCAATTCCACTTTTCTGTTGCCCTAAAATACTCCTATGTACTGGGCCATTGCTTGGGCTAGTGGGCTTCGCACCCGTGCACCACTAAGAATTTCCCTTGCACACAGGCCAGTCGAAGTTTTTTCTCACCTCATCTCTCTCATTTTTCAAGGACCTCAATCCCCATCTTAAACCTTTAATTTCCAGATCATCACACCCCCACCAACGCCATGGCTTACGTGTTGACGGAAACCGCTGCCGGTTATGCTCTTTTAAAAGCTGCCGACAAGAAGATCCACAAGTCCACCACCTTGTTCGAGGACTTGAACTCCGCAGACAAGGTTGCCGAGCAGTTTAAGATCCATCGTTTTGAAAAGTTCCAGTCTGCTGCCAATGCTTTGGAAGAAGCCAACGCCGTCGTTGAAGGTAAGGTGTCTGACTCTTTGAAGAAGTTGTTGGAAGACGTCAAGCTTGAGAAGAAGGTCACTTTGATTGTCAGCGAGGCCAAGTTGGGTAATGCCATCAACAAGTTGGGCTTGAACTACTCTGTTGTTTCTGACGCTGCTTCTTTGGATTTGCACAGATCTATCAGAGAATTTTTGCCTGAGCTCTTGCCTGGTTTGGATGACTCTGTTTTGAAGCAGATGTCTCTTGGTTTGGCTCACTCCATCGGTAGACACAAGTTGAAGTTTTCTGCCGACAAGGTCGACACCATGATTGTTCAGGCCATTGCCCTTTTAGATGACTTGGACAAGGAATTGAACACATACGCCATGAGATGTAAGGAATGGTACGGTTGGCACTTCCCTGAATTGGCCAAGCTCATAACAGACTCTGTTGCTTACGCCAGAATCATCTTGACCATGGGTGTTAGATCCAACGCTGCCGAGACTGACTTGTCTGAGATCTTGCCAGAAGAGGCTGAAGAGCAGGTCAAGAGTGCCGCTGAAGTTTCCATGGGTACTGAGATCACTGAGATTGATTTGGACAACATCAAGTCCCTTGCTGAGCAGATTGTTGAGTTCGCTGCTTACAGAGAGCAATTGTCCAACTACTTGTCTTCCCGTATGAAGGCTATTGCTCCTAACTTGACTTCTCTTGTTGGTGAGTTGGTTGGTGCTAGATTGATTGCCCACGCTGGTTCCCTTACATCCTTGGCTAAGGCCCCAGCTTCTACCATCCAGATCTTGGGTGCCGAGAAGGCCCTTTTCAGAGCTCTTAAGACTAAGCATGACACACCTAAGTACGGTTTGTTGTACCACGCATCCTTGGTTGGCCAGGCCACCGGTAAGAACAAGGGTAAGATTGCTAGAGTTTTGGCTGCTAAGGCCGCTGTTGCTTTGAGATACGACTCTCTTTCTGAGGACAGAGACGACTCTGGTGACTTTGGTTTGGAGGTTAGATCTAAGGTTGAGTCTAGATTGAGTGCATTGGAAGGTAGAGACTTGAGAACTACTTCTAAGGTTGTCAGAGACGCCCAGAAGGTCGACATAACCGAGGCTAGGTCCTACAACGCTGACGCTGATACCCTTGCACCTGCTGCTGACTCTGACGACGAATCTGACGATGAAGAGCCAAAGAAGAGAAAGAGAGACGAGTCTGAGGACGAGGAGTCCGAGGAGGAGAAGCCAAGCAAGAAGCTGAAGAAGGACAAGAAGGAGAAGAAGGAAAAGAAAGACAAGAAGGAAAAGAAGGAGAAGAAAGAAAAGAAGGAGAAGAAGGAAAAGAAAGAAAAGAAAGACAAGAAGGAGAAGAAAGAAAGAAAGAAAAGAAGGAGAAGAAGGAGAAGAAGTAAGCCAGCCATGTAATTGCATCATATAATTGTAAGTTTAAGAATACAGAAAACGATAGAATCAAGTGTAGTACGCCTTCGATATTTACGTACAAATTTGTTACCCCAACGTAAATGTACAATAGCGCCTCGAAAAGACGAGGCATCGGAACTTTGCAGGTGGTGCAAAGACGTACGCCGTTCGTACCAACTACAACACTAACCGATAACAGCTAATAAGCGAAACCACAAATAGGCGACGTCGAGTACCAAAGCGTGGTTATCGATAACCCATGCGGCAGGTTGACCAACTAGAGCCGGCTGTAGTGGTTGCGAAAAAAAAAAAAAAAAAAATTATAGATAAGCGAGAATAAAGTACCAAAAGAGGCACACAAAACTGATAAAACCACTAAAAAAATTAAAATACCCGAAATTACGCCTCCCAGATCCTCCTGGACCTATATGACCACCCGAACTTTGCCCACATTACCTCCAGTAACCGAACAATCCATTCCGCCAGTATCCAACATAGAGCATTTTGCACCCTCTACAGCACTCCCTATCACAGGCCACTCTTGATAAGAACCCTCCCCCCGGTCTCCATATGCAAGGGACGTTAATCAATGTCTGGCGTACTCCTATTCTCATTAAAGACGTTCCTGGCAAAACGCCGTAGATGGTCGTCTACTTTGTTTTCACAAGTGGGGGCAGAGCGATCACCTCTAAGCCCAATAGCACAAGCCAAGCCGTCAAAGAATGGACGTCAAGGTTTGCCAAGCACAAACCCAGTAGTTAACGATAATTCGTCAAGAAAACAGATACGACGGTTTCTCGAACTACGTGGGAAGCAATTCCCCAAGTTTTACTGACACCTTTGTCAAGGAACAATCCCTCTCCACAAAAGCGCTTTTGACACCTCCCTGTGGCGCACTCTTATCTGATTGTTCTTCAGTTGGGGATCGCACTGTGGATGACTTTTGGGCTTTTTCTACTAAAACTTGTGGAAACTTAGACTCTTGCTTTTAACCTTTTGTGGGCTGTTTTTTCCGTACTCTTCAAATTCCTCCTGTTTCATGCCCATATTCGCTTGCTCTGCCGCATGCCCGGTTCATTGGTGCCCAGATATCTTAGCGGGAGGTGCCGGAACGCGGCATTTTGTTCAAGATACCCCAATATGACAAGGTCCATTGATAACGCGACCGCCCCATGCAAGCATACAGTCTTATCTGGCAAGCGCCCATTGATTTTTGCAACCATATAAGAAAGGCGTAATTTGCACTGGGGCGGTGGTTGCTGCTGACGAAAACAAACATAATGCCTGACAAGGAGTTAGACTATATCACTTCGAGGGAACAGGCCTCTTCTACGGATAAAGATGGTGGCGTTTACATCAATGCCTTTGATGCCCAGGACAACAAGGCTGATATGGGCTTGTGGGATAGGTTCGTCGACGGATTTAGGAGGTTTGACGAAAAAGATTTGGGAATTGATCCAGGCTTATCCGATATCGAAAAAACTGCCATCATCACTGCCAACTCTCCTTTGTCTCGTTCGCTTAAAGACAGACACTTGCAGATGATCGCTATTGGTGGTGCTATCGGTACTGGTTTGTTTATTGGTTCCGGTAAGGTTTTAGCCAATGGTGGTCCCGCTTCCGTTATTATCGCTTATGCTTTGATCGGTGGTATGATTTATTCTACCGTTCACGCCTTGGGTGAATTGGCTGTCACTTTCCCTGTTTCTGGTGCTTTCGTTACTTACAACACTCGTTTGTTAGATCCTTCCTGGTCGTTCGCTATGGCCTGGAATTACGCTATGCAATGGTTGGTCGTCTTGCCTTTAGAATTGGTCGCCGCTGCTATTACTGTTCAATATTGGGATGAAAAGACTAATTCGGCTATATACTGTATTGCCTTTTATGTTTTGATTATGGGTATTAACCTCTTTGGTGTTAAAGGTTACGGTGAAGCTGAGTTTATTTTTTCTGCCATTAAGGTTATTGCTGTCATTGGTTTTATCATTCTCGGTATCGTCATCATTTGCGGTGGTGGTCCTGAAGGTGGTTACATTGGTGGTAAGTACTGGCATGACCCTGGTGCTTTCAACCATGGCTTCAAGGGTCTTTGCTCTGTCTTTGTCACTGCTGCCTTCTCTTTCGCTGGTACTGAGTTGGCTGGTTTGGCTTCTGCTGAAACCAAGAACCCAAGAAGGGCTCTTCCAAAGGCTACCAAGCAAGTCTTCTGGAGAATCACTCTTTTCTACATGGTTTCCTTGACCGTTGTCGGTTGTATGGTTCCATACGACAACGAAGAATTGAAACAGTCTGATGGTACTGCCAGATACTCTCCTTTCGTCATTGGTATTAGAAATGCTGGCATCGGCGGCTTGCCATCTGTCATGAATGCTGTTATTATGATTGCCGTCTTGTCTGTCGGTAACTCCTCTGTTTATGGCTCTTCCAGAACCTTGGCTGCTTTGGCTGCCGCTGGACAGGCTCCAAAGATTTTCAACTACATTGACAGAAGAGGTAGACCAATTTTCGGTATCCTCTTGGCTGGTATCTTTGGTTTGATTTGCTTCATTTCCGCTTCTGACAAGCAAGGTGAGGCTTTCGACTGGATGATGGCCCTTTCTGGTTTGTCCTCCCTTTTCACCTGGGGCTCCATTTGCGGTTGTCACCTTAGATTTAGATACGCATTGAAGCTGAAGGGTAGAAACACTGATGAATTGGCCTACACTTCTCAGGCTGGTATTATCGGTTCCATTTATGGTATCTCCTTGAATATTTTGATTCTTATCGCCCAGTTCTGGATTGCTTTATTCCCAATTGGTGGGAGCCCAGATGCCGAGGCCTTCTTCAAGGCCTACTTGTCCTTCCCTATCGTCATAGGTTTCTACATCTTCCACAAGATCTGGAAGAAGAACTGGAGAATGTGGATTCCAGTTGAAGAGATCGATATTGATACTGGTAGAAGAGAGTTGGACTTGGATCTCTTGAAGCAAGAGATTGCCGAAGAGAAGGCATATATGGCAAGCAAACCTCTCTATTACAGAATCTACCACATCTTCTGTTAACTGTCATGCCAATTCGATCAATTCCCGGAGTACCTGGATGTGTTCAAGGGTTTCTAGTCGTTTCAATTCTACTCACATACATTTAGTATTATAATTTACAATTGGTTCACAAAAAAGTTAATTTGTATATGTGTATTCGTTATGAGTCGTAATCGAGTTTTGATGCCGTTAATAATTTTCCATGCTATGATTTTTCTTTTCTTTTTTTTAGTGTTTAGAAGATGAAACCGATGATCCACTTGTACCATGGCATTTCAGCTCTTCTGGCTTGTTCTTCCTCTTCTTCTTGCTTGATAAGATCAGTGTCTACGATGCTGCGACCAGAGTCAACGTCAATCTCTTCGGCAGGAAGGAAGATTCTAGTGTTCTTCGAGTAGATCTTGTAACCAATCCAACTGAAAAGAACGACTGGGAAACCCAAGTATCCCTGGAAAAAGTCGGAGGCGTTTGGAGCAACACCAATGGGGAACAAGGACAACCAGAACTGGGCAATGAGCACCAAGAAGTTGACACAGAAACCGTACCATGATCCAAGCACACCAATGGAGGAGCGGAATGCCAACTCATCCAATGATCTGTTCTGGGCCTTCATGGCTGCTCTGAAACGGATGTGAGCCATGTTGATGGACATCCAAGTGAAAATGGAAGAAAGACCACTCAACGCAAGCAACCAGTTGAATGCCTCGGTTTGCTTGTCGGAAGCAGCGATAAATGCAAAAAGACCGAAAATGTTGGTCACAATAATGGCGACAAGAGGACGACCAAGTCTGTCGACGTAGCCAGTCCACTTAGGGGCCATTCCTTGTTCAGCGAGGGAGTTAAGGGAACGAGAGCAGGCATAAACGGATGCATTACCCACCGAGAGAACTGCAATAAGAATGACAGCGTTAATGACAGATGGAAGACCCTTGATACCACCATTGACGATGGCGATAACGAATGGAGAAGCGGTAGCATCAACGTCAGAGTCGGCGTTCAAAAGACGAGCGTCATTGTATGGAACCAAGGTAGCAATAAGGATGATAGTACCGAAGTAGAAAATGACAATTCTGTAGAACACTTGCTTGATGGCTTGAGGAATAGCCTTGCTTGGGTTAGCGGCTTCGGCAGCACCCAAACCAATCATTTCAGTACCACCAAACGAGAAAGCAGCTGTAACGAAGACGGAACAGACACCCTTGAAACCGTTGGCAAAAGCACCAGGGTCTCTCCAGTAACGGCCACCAACAAAGTCCTTGGTAGGGCCACCACCACAGATAAGAACAATACCCAAAATGATGAAACCAATGACGGTGACAACCTTGATTAAGCAAAAGACGAATTCGGCTTCACCGTACCAGCGCACTCCGAGCATTGTAATGAAGAAGACAACGACCCAGAAAATGGCAACAAATATCACCGGATTAAGATCGTCGTTCCAATATTTAACCGAAATAGATGCAGCCACTAATTCTAGTGGAAGTAAAACGAAAAATTGCATAAAGTAGTTCCATCCCACAGCAAAACCAATTGCTGGTTCAATAAACCTCGTAGCGTAAATGTTAAAGCCACCACTGATTGGGAAAGCTGTACTGAGTTCACCAAGGCCTTGCATTGTAGTGTAAATCGAAGTAGCAGTGACAACCCATGCGATCACAATACCACCGGGTCCACCCGTAGCCAAAGCAGACCCTGAACCGACGAACAAACCAGTACCGATAGAACCACCAATGGCGATCATTTGCAAATGTCTATTCTTCAATCTTCTCGAAAGCTGAGAGTTTGAAGCATTCTGGTTGGCCTTTTGCACCACGTCCATTTCCGTGTCTGAAAGGTCATCAGCAGTCAAGGTCTCAGCAGCCTTGAAGGAATCCTTAAACGACTTCCATCTGGAGTGACCTTCTTGACGCTCGTAAGCATGAGTACTGGCAGAATCGCCAGACTCCTTATTAGTAAGACTCATGATGTAAAATGAAAAAAGATGTACAACCGAAAAAAAAAAAAAAAAATCTAAGTGGGATTTACAGAAGCATATATAAAAAAGAAAGCAAAAGCCTAGCGAAGGTTAGTCAAGAATTTTGCATCCACTCTGCAGCAAAAATCGCACCAACGGTCCGGTGCACTGGGCAAAAGTGCGAGATGCGGTGGTATATATGGGGCGAAAAGATGGAAAAACTCGGTTTTGTGTGACTCACAAAGCACTAGTGCCAGGGCATATAGTGAAGCGCGGGAGGCAAGAGCGAGTCAAGACAGGAAAAAGAAAAGGGCGCGCACGGAAAAATGCAACGTCAAGGAAGAAAAGAACATCGTTCGATCACGTGTGCCGGTTTCTGCTGCCGTTCTTGGAGACGAGACCGGTTCGAAGTAAATCCGAAGTGTTGTTTGCAGCCAGTAGAAGGAGAGCTCTAGGGGTGGGTACATGGGGGAGTTTTCATGAGGGAGATTATGTACTGGAATCGCCCTAAGTGAGTCAACTCCAGGTGTAGACCATATTATTTGGTGAGGCGTTGGTGGGGCTTAGTGGGGGGGTAGGAATGCTAAAGTCTAAGATGAGGATCGATCTTGAAAAGGGTCCTTTTTCTTTTTGCTCACTGGACACTTGATGGACAAGACATTTCAAGAGATGTCCCAGGCTTGGCTAGCTTGGACACGGCTAAATTTCTTTGTCTTAATTTAATGGTATTGGGTAAGGGAACCCGACTTTCAGTAGAAGTCTAGTTTCTTCGGAGTGTCGTTTAGAGTTCTTTCTTCTGGTTTGCAGCCATGGCAGTGGTGTACCAGTTCCCATTCCCTTGTTGCTACACTATCGGCGAACACCGTGTTAAGCTGTATTCCGTGAGGAATGAGCCATCAGAGTCTCATATTGACCGGGTATACCCATTTGAATAAGAGGGGAGATGGTCGTAGGCAATGAGGGCGTATGTCTTAGAATCTGGCGGTAGGTGTCTGTTCTTTGTACTGGCCGTCCCGTACTTTGTTTAGAGTCGAATTTTAAGTTGATGTTTTTATAACAAAACCTCTTCTTCTTTTTGGTTTCTAAGCTTGTTTTCCAAATTCGGGATCCAACTTTCCCTCGGTACTTTAAATCTACACTATTAGCTTCATACTACGAGGTATTCGCAAAATGCGAACAAGGTTTCTAGGATTCACCAAATGTTCCAAATAAGGCAAACAAAAGACCAATCCAGGCATCCCTTAAATTGAAGAGGATATCTTGCATTTCTCTAGCTTTTGCTGTTGGTTCGACAGAATGTATCAATCTACGATGTTGACTATGACAGTAGAAAACTGGGCCTGACATCACGTGCCCTTTCTCGCTATGAACCATCATCACTAAGACTACTCAAACACTTCATTCCATCACAAATGTCTTCACTAAAAGATTATCTTGGAAGTATGTTCTTTCTCAATCCAAATTTATTCGACTTTCTTACTAACTCGCAGAAAAAATACGTGTTGTCACGACGGATGCTCGTCTTTTTGAAGGCAAGCTAGAAAGCTTCGACCACTCTACCAATATCGTCATATCGGGAACCATTGAACGTGTTATATACCCCGATGATGAAAATGAGGCACTCCAATTGGGTGTATATCTTCTACGAGGCGGAAATGTTGTCTGTGTGGGAGAAGTGGATGAGTCTATCGACATCGATTGGATGACAGTGAAGGGAGAAGAACTTAAAGATACCAAAAACCCGCTTTGACGACGCTTACACAAACTACAATAATAATCCTAGCATCCCCTGTTCCTTCGTGTTTTGTCTATATTTATCCCACCTCATTTCTTGACGAGTGGAATGCCATTCTGGTGCATCTTGATAGCCAACTCAAGCAAATAATCGATAGCCTCGTTATACACCTTGGCTTTCCACACATTTTCACCCCAAACATAAATACCGTGGCGACGAACCAATACTGCAGTTGCATTTGGATAGTCTCTGATTGCTTCCTGCAAAGTATCCGTCAAATCCTCTTCGTGAGGAGTGTTTTCGATAATTGGAAGCACCATTGTGTCATAGAATTGCATGCTGCCAACTTTTTCAATCTTACCTGTCTTTGGATTGGCTGCCAACTGAGGCAAAGCCTTGATCTGTTCGATGTGGCTCATGCTAAACTCAACCTTATCTTCGAAAATCAATGTCGCCATGACAGCATTCTGCGAATGTGTGTGAATACATGCACCAGCATCTCTCATGTTATAACAGCTTAGAAATAAAGGCGTACATGCCGAAGGCTTGTACTTGAAATCTTTAGCCAAGTCTGCTGATAGAGGTTTACCGTCATTGCCTTCGTTTGGCGTTTGTAAGATCTTGCCAGGCAACTCCGCCACGAACATTTCTCTAGGCTTCAACCTCTCCTTCTGGATACCTGACGGAGCAATGTAGACGATATCTGGATTGGGACCATCGACATCTCTAATGGAGATTCCACCACCGGTTCCAGTCACCCAATTGTTATCATAGAACAAACGACAAAGTTCACAGATAAGCAGCGCTGGATGCTGTGGGGAGTCGGTGAAATATTGAGGCATTCTATAAACTGTCGAGTTTGAAGCTTGACTGGAGCCGTATCTGTCTCATATAGATGAGCCTCAGTTCGTCAACTAACTCCACGTGCGCCCACGCACGTGTAACTTTTCACCAAAAATGGCTTCACCACAGCACAACCCCAGACCAAACTTCACCTCTATACGAACCGAATTGCTGTCAGACGACCTCCTACTGGAAGCTGAAACCAGCTGCTCCAGCATTGCATTTTCTTGGACAAACGCAGGCTCTGCGAAAAGCCTAGGGTCTTAAACGTGCTCAGGGGTGGAGAGAAAGAAGGCGGTGCGTCAAGCCTTGTTACTTACAATGGAAAGAGGCAACAGATAAGATCTACAGGGACCTAAGTCGACTCCACCATTTCTTCGAAATTCTATTTGCTGTGGGGAGCCCTGATTTCTTGGTCCCTCAAGCCAAGGCACTGACAGTAGGCGCACCTTCGCTTAAGCATGTATTAGGAGCATACGGATTTCGGGCGGAGCTGAACACAAAGACGTTAGAGGAAGAGGCGTAGCGGGAGGACAAATTCCAAGGTGAGAAAAAAAAAAACGACGTAACAGAACATTCCATTTCGTGGAACACCAACAACAACAATTTTTTTCCACTAAACAATAACACCAGCCGCCCCTCCTCTGTCCTCATTCGGCTGCGCAACGTGGGCTGCCAAAATGGTCAAAAATTTCATGTACCTCTGCACACACATCAAGGTGTCAACGAGGATCCCTGCCATACCGCCATCGCCGCAACCCTCACCCGCCCTGGGGGCACAAATCCACAAAAAGTCAAGCCTCCCCAAAACCTCCCGAAATCCCTCAAATCCCTCAATCTGCCCCTTGAACCCCCTAACGTTCTTTGCTTTGTTTTGCATACTTTTCTTAGTTTATTTTATTTTATTTTTCCTTTCACTGGCCAGGGCTGCTTTCCTGCGTTAACCTTTAAACTACAAACCACAGCAAGGCAGTCCAGCGCCAGTCCCAGCGCCAGCGCCAGCATGCCTCAATTGTTGCCGTTTGGCGCCGGCCCGCACAACAGTGGGATGTGTTTTTTTAATAGCAAAGGTACGAGACAAAGCAGAATGTTTTATGTTTAGAAAGGGGATTTTTCCTTCATTTTTTTTTTCTCCTAGGAGGTCCGGTCCCGTTGGTGACGACATCAAGGGCGATCGCCGTGAACTAATTTTGGAGCCATTAGTGCCATTCTACAGATACAAGGAAGGGACCTCGGTTTCGGTATATTTTCCCCATTCTGGTCAGCTTTGTGTTTGCAGAAGGAAATCAACCTTTTCTTGCTCCCCTGCGCTTCGTCCCTTTATCAGGCAACTTACCTCTTTTCTGTCACTGCCTCCTTTAGTATGCTTGGCTATTTTTTTTTTTTTTCGAGATCGCGTCCAAACTGTATGCGACTCATTGAAGGTGCATCCGACAGCCTTGTACCTCTTTTTGCTTTTCCCTTTTTTTTTTTCCTTTTCCTTTCTACTTCTTCTTTTTAAAAGATCGATCCGCTTCTTTTTTAATTTTTTGCATTACCGAATAACTTCTTCCTTCCAGTCTTTCCGTCCCTACCGATCGTTACCGGTTTATCTTCGCCTATCACGACCGTTGCATTCGCATCCTCCTTATCTGCTATCTCCCAGAAGATCCCATACTAAGACGCCTATGCCAACATGTCTCTCCAACGCATTCTATTTACTAGATCTTACTATTGGAAGTATCTTGCGCTAGCATGGCTTATTTGTGTGGCCATTTGGTGGGCCTCATACCGCAGACTAGACTCCATCTATATTCCTTCAGCCCTGAAAGAGTCCCTCACCCAGAAAGAGCTCATGGCAGTGTTTTCCATGTACCATGAAAGACATCCGTCAATGTCTCATATTTCAACACATTCTTCCGCTTACGATGAAGTGGTGAGCTCCATCAGCATGTACGACTTCTTGAAACAATACCTGTTTGACGAGAGATGTCTGATTTACTTCAACCACTTAGAAAGAAGTAACCCTGACTGGTTGGTTCATCCAGATGAAGTCATTGATTACGACAAAACGGCTTTCCAGTCGTATGAAGCATTCAAGAAGTCCAAGGAGAAGGAACACAAAGATAAGGTTAACGAAGCCAAGAAGAACAACAAGCCTCTTCCTGACCCTATAACTGAAAAGGACATCCGTCATGAGTACCAGAAACTTTGGAAGTCTGTCGAAGCTGCTGAACAAAAACTTCACGACTTCCTAGCCCACGTGCGTATCTTTGACAAGTGCTACATTCAGTCCCAAGATAGAACCATTCACAAGAATGACACCAACTATGTCAAGAAGCAACAATATTTCTTGAAGAATAATGTCGCTTATATTGCTGAGCCTGATGAAGTTGTTGGTGGCTCTGTCTACCGTGACAAGAAACTGTGTTCAGATGTTGAAAGCAAGGTTTTCCCTTGGTTGACTATGGAGTACCCAGAATTTACTCGTTACAACAACGAGAAGTCATATTTCCCTGGCAAGAACTATAGGCTTCATGAAAGTCGTGGATGTTTCCTTAATGAGTTCAAGGCCCGTCTTAACGGTAAGGGTATTGTGATGACCTTCAACGACGACCATGTCGATGATGCCATTCGTCTCATTAGAGTGCTTCGGTACCTTGGAAACAGATATCCTATTCAAATTGTCTACCATTCCAACCTCAATGACTTGTCAAAGCAGCATATCACTAAAGCTGCCAGAATAAAGTACGAGAACTATCCTACCCAGGATGTCTGGTACGTGGACGCTAGTCGCTCTATCGAACCCCAATATATCAACAAATTCAATGGCTTTGCTAACAAAATCATGGCAACCTTGTTCAACTCGTTTGAGGAAATGATTTTCTTGGATGCCGACACCGTTTTGTTGGAGAATCCTGACTTCCTTTTCAAGCTCAAGAAGTACATCAACTCCGGTACCATGTTCTTCAAGGACCGTGCTACTTTCATTTTCCGTGAAAGAGAGAACTCTGTCCTTTTCCACAAGCTCATGCCTTCGCTTGCTGATGGATTTGTGTTCAACATTAATCAGATCAAGAACAAGACATTGGACAACGAGTTTTTCCTAGGTTTTGAAAACTTTATGGAAAGTGGTCTTGTTGTTATTAACAGAAAGAAGCATTTCATTCAACCTTTCATGATGTCTGTGTTAAACTTTTACCAGCCGATCACCGCACGTCTTTACGGAGATAAGGAGTTGTATTGGCTTTCCTTAGTTCTCGCAGGTGATGAGAATTACGAGTTCGACGACAACTTTGCTGCTGCCATTGGTGAGTTGACTCCAGAAACAGAGCGTCATAAGGATGTGAACCAGATCAAGAGTTTTAACTCCAAAGAGCTTTGTTCGTCGCATCCTAGTCACATCAGTGACACCGACAATCAAACTCTTATTTGGTTCAATTCCGGTTTCCGCTTCTGTGGAAATGTTGACAAGGGAGTTAACTTCCAAGAAGAATTTGACAGCAAGAAGAGATTCACCCGTTTCAAAACTTTAGAAGCCTTTGAGACATTCTTCAGGTCCAAGTTGAAGATCACGCACGGCATAATTCCGCCATTTGATAGAAACAGGCAAAAGGCAGTAAACCTTGAACACGAGCCTGAAGCAGCTTGGAACATGATGAACTACTGCAAGAATTATTTATGGTGTGCTTACTCGTCTCTCGGTGGCTACTACGAGGCGGATGGTGAGACCAAGAGTAACTTGCTCGAAGGCACGGTCATCAAGTTCACTGATGCTCAAGTCAAAAAGTTTGAGCAAGTGGGAGACATTTGGATGCGTGATACCGGATTAATGTCCTCTGGTTAGAATTTTGCTTTGTTAATCTTAGCCTATTGCATCTTTATATATATATTACTGTATTATACAAACCATCATGACTATCGACTACTTTGGAAGCCTACTGGTGGCTTCCAAAGGCATGCAGTAGACTGGGTCAACCGGTTTCATGCCGTATTTGTCACTGAACATCAAGCTCAAGCCAGTCACGGCGAAGCAAGTGTGGTAGACGTCAGTCTGGTTGTCCGGCCTATCGCTGAACCCACCGTTTTCAAGATCCTGGCATTCTAAAATGAACTTCTCGAGATGTTCGAAGCTAATCCAATGGGCTTTCTTGAGAATTGAGAGACACAGAAGAACCCACCAACTGTAGCAGACGTCTGGAAGCTTTTCAGGCCTTCCATTGAACCCTCCAGATGGGAGAACTTGCCGCTCGCTGAGCCAGCTGGGCGTCCTGTTGTCCACCTTGTCTAACAGAGAACAGATTGACAATGTACCGAGACAAGTGTAAGCCTGGGCAGCATGGGATTCAGATCCCGGTAGAAGGCCAAACCCGCCATCAAAGTTTCTGCAACGTAGGATGAACTGCGTCGCATCGTCAGCGATCTCTTTTGTGAGCTCACCTAGCATCTTGAGAATAAAAACAGCAGCGAAAACAAATCTAGTGTCAATTTCGCCAAAGCTGTCGCCTCTGAATGAGCCACCTTTGCATTGTTGGCGCATCACGAATCCTAGAATCTTTTCCTTCTTCTCACCTTCGATCAAGTCAAAACGATCATAGATGAACAATATCTGAAGACCAGAGAGTGTTGTAAGCATATGAGCGTCATGCCCTGGAAATGCAGAGAATCCGCCTTCTTCTGAGTCGAAGCAATCCATAACAAACTGGATAACTTCATCTTTAGGCAATGCATCTAACGCGTTCATGGTGGCTAACGCCATGATTCCCCAGTACAAGCCATTGAGCCGAAGATGTTCCAGTAGCCAATACTCATATGTTTGCTTCGTGACTTTGGAGTCAAGTCCTTGAACGAATTTGATGTGTTTATCACGATGGAATGTTGGCTCTGACATGGTAGGTGAGAATGTTCTGCTGTGCGAGATCAAAATTCGAAATTCATAATGCGCACTGTGCGAAGTAGGCTAGGACCAGAAGGTTGGGGAATATTATTAACTAAAAGTACTGCTCTCTAAATGCATAACTTTTGTTAGTTGGGTAATATTCTGCATAGTTCAATGTCTTTGAGTTCTTATTGTTGATGATATCCCCAATGTTAACCACTTTACAACCATTGTAGGTAACCTCAAACGATTCGAAGCGGGAATCAAAGAGCACTAGCGTGGTAGGTAACGGCTCGATTCGTAACACATGCAGATAGTTTGGATCAATCACTTTAAGATCCTTCAAAAATGGTTGTAGATTACCTTGATCGAGTATGGTTTTCACCAATTGTCTCGCTTGTTTGATTTTGGTGCTCAAGTAGCCGCTCTGGTCTCCCACGATCCTCTTTGCGTCCAATCCTTCTTCTATGTTTTCTTTCTCCGCTTCTGCCATTAACTGGTCTAGTTTCTCTTGGAAGACAATATCGTTACGTTTTAGCTTGTTCATTAAGTCATCCCTGTAGATCACAATCTCTTGGGATAAGTAATTAACCCGCATTGGGTTACCACCAAAGATAAGATTTCCTTTGGGAAGAAGTCTTTCAAGTCTGGTCACGAACACTTTCGGGATTGGCTTCTGCGGCAAATTAGTTAGGCTTCCTCTACCCAAAGAATAAGATGATTGCCAAGGGTCATTCGGTCCTGGAATCAAGACAAGTTTGCATGTTTTGATCACCACTGGATAATTGGCTAATAGTGCTGCAAAATCATCAAAGCTGCTTTTGTAGTTCTCAGAGTTAGACACTTGAGTGCTCGATCCGTTGACAGCAGTCAAGGGTTGGGACGAAAAAGAGCCTGTCATGACTATGGCCAATGGAGTTTCTTGTTCATCGGAATTCTGTTGCTCAACAAGCGAATCCTCGATTTTAGTGAAAAATTTTTTGAGTCCAGCCATTATTTTCTTGTCGTCAAGGAAGCAATTAGCTCCAAGGTATATGATCTTATGTCCACCAAGAGCTTTCTCCACAGCACTTAGTTTCTTCCTAAGAGGCTTATCAATTTTTCCTGTAGTTCCAATTGATTTCGAATTTCCGCCAAGGATGCCCATGAAATCTAGGTAGCCGTACGTTTTCAATGCCACATCACGTCTCTCCGGAGGTGGATGACTTACATTGGAAACATGGAAACGACCACTGATCACCGACGCGTCATTGCTCATAGAACCCCCTGATGCCGAATAGATACCCTCCACGATAAGGAACATTCCAGGCATATAGAAAGATCCCTCGGTTGGGAGGGTATGGGTGAAATCAAGTTCAATGTGGTCAGTGGAGTCTTCGAGAATATAGTTGCCATTAATGTTCTTCGACAAAAGTCCAAACAAGATGAACCTACCACCATCACGTCCCAAGACATTTTTAATCAAGGTTATATCGTACTTCACGTCGTCCTTGTTCAAAGTAGTGTTGATGGCCGCAAGACTCGAGAAAGATTGCTTCTGGAAGTTCTCGTGTCTGGATAAACGATCGACTAGAAGAAAGTATCTGGAATTGAAGTAATCGGTTGCAGCCTTAAGTGAGCTTTTCAACTTGGAACCGGCGACAGGCCTCGGCACGAACTGCTTTCTGACTCGGTCAAACTCGAAGTTTGGTTGTGTATCAGGAGTAACGAAATTAAAGTAGTCTGTCCAATTAATTACCACTTCATCTTTCAGCTTAGCAGCTTCTGAGTCGATGTCCATCAAAGTGTCTGAGCGCAGAGCCTTCTGGGGTTCATCTCTCTCGACACTCTTCTCTTTGCTGAGCTCCTTGACGACCTGCTCTAGGCCTGGACCATCCACGAAGAGCCCACGATCCTGAAGCTTCCAAGATTTGGCAATTTCTTCAATGAATAATTGTGCTTTGGGCCCTCTCCATTCAGCGCCAAAGCGAAGCCCAATGACATCAGTTAATACAGAAAGCGCATCTGTTTGGATATTAAGACCATGTTTTTTGGATAGTATTCGATAGGCTATAGGCCGTATATTAGAAGGAACTAGTTTAACAGGGAGGGACGCTGGTCCTGACATAGTAGTTTGACGTTGTGTTCTATAAAATGCAATGCGACAGGATGTTTGTAGTGATGGAGACGCGCGTTCAGGTAGCGCGTACTCTAGGCGTGAGGTGGATATGAGACGTTACTTTCGAACGTCAAAGCAACCTGAATAGATTTAAGAGACTCGTCGAGTGACGAAAGTTTTTGAAGAATTTGGCCGTTGTTCTTTTGTTTGTGGCAAAGACTTGTTCGTGTTTTGAGATATTGTGAGATTCTTTCTGCTTTCACGATGTCAAAGTCGTACCGCTTCACCCAACTGCGTTTGATCTGCGAATCTAGCTGTGAAATTTTGTACCCACGCTTGTCCATCTTCTCCTTGAACTCTTTTTGTAGTTGCTGAAAGTTTGATTCGATCTTTTGGAGCGAGGCTGGGTTGTAGTTCTCTGCCTTCTTCTGTTCGTCAACTTCATTATGGAAGGCTTTGAAATAATCGTTGTAGTCTTCGAATAGGGCGTCCCATTTTCCAAGACCAGGCTTCTCCTTTAAAGAGCCTGGCTCGGGAAGAAGATTGTGTAACCGAAGCTGGAGATTGTAATCTCTGTAACCCTTCGTATCCTCAATGACGGCGTTGACAATTTCACGGAACTTCTTGATATCAGCCTCGTTCTCTTTTAGTTTCTTTTCGATAGCTTCAAGAGGGCTTTCTGTCTTTTCAGCCGCTGCTTCTTTTTGTCTGGCTTTAAGACGTGCTTCAGCAACCTTGAGATACTCCTCTTTCAGTTTGACGTCTATTTCACGTTTCTCCAAATCTATCCTTTGCTTCTCGAGCTCTAAAGCACGCTCTTCAATGTGCTCCTCTCTTCTTCTCAAATTCTGATCACGAGCATTTTGTTGCATTAGGAATGACTCGTTTTCACGTAGCACCTCATCTCTGAGCTCATTGAGCTTCTGCCTCCCGAGTTCTTTGTATCTCCGACTCGCACGGAACTCGAGATCCTTAATCTCTTGCCTCAAGCTATGAACTGTTGCTTCGTTATCTTGCGATGCAATGTATAGCTTTCGTTCAAGCTCCGCATGTGTCTCAGACGCGTTCTGTTCTTTCTCGACAAGCAAGCGCTCCAACTCCTGAATTCTATCTTTTAGCTGCTTGACTTCTTCACGAGCTTTGGCTCTCTTGACCTCTTCATCGACTTCATCTATCTCGTTACCTTTATCCCAACTTGGATATCTGCGATGGAACAAATTCTGTTCAAAAGAAGGGCGGTTACTCGAAGCTTCAATCTTCTTCTCTGGGGATGGTATTAGACCAGCTGATTCACTTAGCTGCTTATAATCTGGATCTTCTGACGAGCTCATCTTCGATAGAAATGATCGTAGCTTCAGAAACACGCCTTCCCTATTTTGCAGGCTCCCACTTGACACCTTATGCTTCTTGTCTGTCCAAGTCCTATTTTTCGTCACTCCATGGTATTCTGGTTTCTCCCAAGACCGCTTCGGCGGCGAGAGTCCACGGTACAATCGAGGTAGTCTTTTCCCATATGACGTTGGCTCTCTTAGAAGTTTAATTGGAGAATCTAGTTTCCGTGTTCTGAACGTCTTATCCGCGTCTGTTTGTCTCAATGGCGGTGGAGATCTGTTTCTCACGTACTCATCGTACTTCCTAGATAACGACCTAGTAGTCTTTGTAGGACTCAGCAATTTGACCGGACTTCGGCTCCGAGCCCTAGTACTGCTGGGATTTAGTGCCCTAAACCGGGCATATTTCTCCCCCAATGGATTTGAACTGGGCATCAATTATACAAAACGCTGTTTTACTTCAGCTAGTCTTGTTGTATCATCAACATATACGCGCGCGCCCAAACAAACAATAATATCATAGACCTCCAAGGTGTAGTACATACGTAATTTTTTTTCGCAGCCATTCGCTACCTTAGCAGCCAATCTCTATCTCACCACAGAGCTCCACCTTACGACTCAGTGTGCTGACATACAACTTGTACGTTCCAGTTTGGATGATCCATTGCTGAGAATCGGCATCCCAAATACTCAAATCACGGTGCTTGACTTCAAACTCCACATCCCCACACTCTTGTGGCTCTAAGTACACCTTGTCGATTCCGCGAAGAACCTTTGGTGGAGACGCCACGATGGTACTGGGGAACTCGATATAGAGCTGGGCAGCGTAATTACCTGCCATTGATCCTTCATTGGTGACTTTGGCAGAAACCTTGTAGAGGACATCCCACAATGCGGCGTTTCCTCCCGGTTGTCCTCCAGCCAAGGGCGCTTCACAATTTTGATCAGGAGTGTAGCCTTTAGGGTAGTCATAACAGTCATCATCGTCGAGGGATCTCACATCTTCGCTGTACAAGTATGGGTAGATGACGCCTGGTACTGGATCCATTTCGTCATGCGGGAAAAGTGCATCTTCTGGATCACAGACATCATCCTGGATGGTGTTGAATAGAGGCATGTAGTCAGCGGGGCATGGAAGGTATTCGGACGGAGGATTGATCTCACATATGTCAAGATCGCAAACCAGAAACTTGGTGTATGATAAACCGTAACCGAATTCAAAACGAGGCCTTATGGTATGCTTCTCGAAGAACCGATAGTCAAGATATATGCCCCTTTCGAAATTATCTTGGGGGTCAACACAATCTCCTAAGCTGTCTCTGATATCCACATAATGCAGATTCTTCCTTGCAATAGTAAATGGCAATTTGCCTGAAGGGTTGACTTCTCCAAAGAGGACTTCAGCAATAGCTGCTCCAACGAATTGGCCAGATGGAGGGACAAAGAGCACGCCAACAACATGATCGTTTTCAATCCACTTCTCCATGTTCACGGGACCAACAGAATTGACAACCACGACGACTCTTCGGCAATGCTCGGTAACCCTTTGGATTAATTCGTCACCGTTGTGCCAAAGCGTAACGTTATTTCTATCTCCATAATTGCAATCGACCTCAATATATCCTTCACCAGAAACAGAATTGACTACGACAATAGTCATATCTGCAAAATCTGCGAGTTCTTCTGTTCTGTCAAGATCCCAATTATCTTCAGAAACATCAACAACAATACCTCTTTCACGAGCCTTTCTTGAAATCGCTTCCTGAGCTGTGATTACCCATGGATTGTTCACGGCAGCAGATCCCCAGCCAGATATGAGAGTACCATCAGTACACTTCTGATCTCTGCAATTAAATCCATTAGGATCAACGCCTCCAGCGATACCAGCAACCAAGATTCTGCGCACACCGTCGTCTTTATTGATCGGAAGGTGCCGATTTTTATTCTTGAGAAGTACCACAGCTTCCCTGGCAACCTCAAGAGCAATTTCATCATTCATAGTAGATCTAGCATCTACGTGCCAATTTTGTTGAACAATCGCTCCATAGTGTTGGTAAGGAAATTGTTGACCATAAGTGTGGTGAGTCCAAGAACTGAAGTTGGGAACTTCTTCCTCTGAAGGAAGCGAGAGCGACTTGGAAGAGAAGAACGGCGCAAGAATTCGGATGGCCATATCGTTGAGTCTCTCTTGTGGTACTGTCTGATTGTAGACTGCTCTAGTAAGTAGAGGTCCCCAATATGCTTTACCTCCAAGCCAGTCATCGAACACTTCACCAGGCATGGTCATATCAAGACCAGAGAGGGCAGACGTAACACCTGAGTGCTGAGCTCCCCAATCCGAGACGACAAACCCTTGAAAAGCAAGCTCTTCCTTGAGTAAGTAGTTAAGAAGGTAAGAATTCTCACAAGCGTAGGTGTTATTGACCATATTATAGCCACACATAACGCCACCTACGCCAGCCTTCACCACGTCAGCAAACGGCCATAAGTATACCTCGTGCATAGCTCTATCCCCGATATTAGAACTGATCGACAGGTCGAGTCTCTCGTAATCTTCATGGTCCCACTCTCCCACTTGCCTGAAGTGCTCTTGTTCGTTACCTACCAAGTGTTTTGCAACAGCAACAACGCCTTCTTCTTGAATACCTTTAACAGTTGCAGCTCCCATGATACCTTGTAAGTATGGATCAGCGCCAAAGCTCTCCCAGTTCCTTCCTCCTTTGGCCTTGAGACCAATAGGACCAATTGAAGGACCAAGAGCAACGTGAACGCCCTTCGCCTTGTGCTCTCGGCCAATCGCCCTGGCCCGTTTGTAGACGAGGTGTTTGTTAAAGGTACTTGCCGCTGCTAACCCAGAAGGAAAGTGAGTAACGAAGTCAGTAAACCGAACCCCGTTGGGCCCGTCCTGAAGACATAAACCAGGAATTCCAAGACGAGGAACCGAGCCAGTGTTTCCCACACAAGGCCCTGATCCCCAACCTGAACCTGTGGTCAAATTGACCTTCTCAGTGATGGACATGCGGTCCACTAGCTTTCGAGCCTTGTCAAAAGCTTTCTGCCAGTGGTTCTCGATTCTGCCTCCTAGAGCTGGAAATGTTAGATAAAAGTTAAAGAAAGAAAGAATAAAGGGTCAATTACGAACGGCTTGGATAATAAGGTTTGGTCCAGTAGTACTCCAGAGGATGGTCATCGCCATAGTAGATGAGAGGCCTCTCGTGATGGTAAGCACGCTTCAGTAACCCATTATCAACATCTTTGAAAGTTGACTTGATGCTTATGGGCTTCTGTTCGACAGGGTCACCAAACACGAGAGATATAAAGTATATCAAACCCAAAATGTACGTGAATGGGTAAAACATGAGGAAGGAGTGGCTACTTTTTTGCAACCTTTGAGGATGGTGGTGCGACTTAAGTAGTGGTGGTTTTTCCCCACATATACATGAGTTATGCCTATGAATAAATAATGAATATTTCAATTTAATTATATTATAAGTCGTATCATTGGAATCCTTCCACTTGTACCTGGACAGGCGTTATAACATTAGGTGCTGGATTGTTGACGCCGGTGCTCTCTAAGTCAATTCTGCTTAGCGTGGCAGAGCTTTTGAGCGTCGTAGCCGAGCCATTGGGGTGAAGCATCGGAGGGGAAAATGAGTGTCTAGTCATGCTTGAAAACTTGCTTGTTGAAAATTGTGACTGATTATTGAGGTTCTGGTTGTTCTGCAAGGGCGCTTTCGTAGCGGTTGCAAGAGGAGAAGTACCCTCATCAGCACTAACCACAGGTGGTGTCATGGGAGCCGTAGATGATTTGGTTGTAATCTGGCTGGAGTGTTTCTGTTGGACCGAACTGATTTCAAGGCCCTTCATATCGAGCAGTTTCACTGAATGGGCCAAGTCGTTGGCGTTGCCGATGGAATGAGTGTGGCGATGTGACGTGGGGCTTTCAGGTGTCTTTGGTGTTATGGTACCATTTGTTGGAGCTGGTGTGATAGAAGTCCGTACGCCCTTTGCAGATTTTGTTTCTGTCGCTTCTGGTTCGAAGAACTTCTTGAGCTTCTTTATAGCATCCTCGCGGTCTAGTAGGAGCGCATTCTCAAAGTATCCGGGCTTTGAGTCATCTATCTTCATATTATTTGGAAACTTGACACCGTTGAAAAGGTTGAATAAGTCTGCACGGTATGTCTTCGGTAGTGAATTGCTCGAAACGAATATGTTGCAGAGCTTGGATTCAGTCTTCTTGAAAAGGAGAATTAGAGGCTTCAACTGAGCAATCGTCGTAAGCTTGTTCCTCCTCAAATCAATCTTCTCCAAGCTATCAATGTCTTCAATGCCGTCTATATTAGTAATCTTGTTGTTGTTGAGGTTCAAGGTTGTGAGGTTCTTGAGATTGGTGGGGAAATTGCGCATGGAGGTGATATAGTTATCAGCGAAGTTCAAGTACTTGACATTGGTGAGTTGATCAAGGCCCTGTGGAAACTCTTCAAGTAGATTATTGGCCAAGTTCAACTTCACCAAGTTCGTGAGTGGCTTGAAGACAAATGCTGGGATGGACGTTATGGAACCCTCTGAGACAGTAAGTTGCCTTAGATAGAACCATTTGGAATCTGGCATGGCCGAGTAATCACGTTCAAGCGGGTGGTTGGATGCAGTGAAAGCCAAGTCCGTCGAGGATTGGAAGGTCGAGTCAGCGAGGAACAGGTCACGATGATGTGAGATGCTCGCATTAGCAGTGAAAGCCCGTTCCCTGCGTGGTAATTGGTGTTTGTGAGAGCCTAGTTCGGCGGTATCATGCAAAAATGGAGGATCGTGGCGCTTCGACTGACGTGGGTTGCTGAAAGACGAACGACCATTTTCATCATCAATGACCAAGGCATACAAGACCTGCGCTAGGTCTGAAACCTTTGAGTTACGGATGATAAGGATACGTAACTGTTCACACAAGACATGCCAGCCGAAAATCTCATTAGGTTCGTATTCAACCAACTCAAGCACCTGTAGGTTCTTAAACATCTTCAACGGTACCAGCGTATCGCACGGGTACTCTTCATAACCCGATATGCTATAAATCTTTGTCTTGGGAGATAAAATCAAGCACGGGATCTTCGTAAACGAAGAATACAAGTACTTGATGTCTCTATGGATGATCTTCGGATCCTTGCTGAAGGAGAATGACCTCCAGTAAACGGATGCACTCGAAACGATGGATTTCACGGAATTCATGGAAGTGATAGATCTAGCATCACTCTCGAACTGTCTCTGGTTTCTGGCATTATTAGCCATGAAGGAAATGAACGTTGGTTCGTGGTTCGGAGTATCCAATTTGATATTAAGGGGACCAACGTCGATGCCGAGGGACGAGTTTTCGATTCTCTCGGTAATATAATACAAATGATGGATTGTAAATGTCATTCTAAGTGGCTTCACCTTCGAGCTGCCTCTGCTCTTCAGGAAACAAAGAAGTCCGTTTGCAAGGGACTCCTCGTTCTTGCGAATGTATGTGGCCAACCGCTGGACATAAACGTCTCCCTCGATGGAGGAGTCGTTGCCAAAATTGCCCATACTTTCTCGTTTCCAAATCTGTAGCTTCTAAAGCGGTGTAGTATTAAAAAGGCTGGCCCTGTTTGATGTTGATTTTGGCTTCTGGTAGTTGGTGCGACCGCCTCACTATTGTTTGTTTTGGTTAGTCTTTGTCTCGGTGCACTCCAGGTGCTGGAGCCCCACTCTGCTTGTCATGCTTGAAGATAACAAAGTGAATAGTGTTGTTATCACTTACCCAAAAGGGGAGGAATTGATTTTGTTGTTAATGGATTCTTGTGGGATTTACTATGAGGTATTTTATCAATGTCTCAGATTGATAGACCCTGGAACCTATATACTGACATGACAGCCGCTGATGCGCATAAGAGGAAGAATAAGCTTCTGGGAAGCCAAGCTTCTAGAATGCCTTCAGGTAATTATACTTTTTATGGGGTAAGGTCCAAAACGTGAAAGTTGCTATTTGCTGGTTATCTAACTTTTTAGCTTTCGTGTTTCTGAAGCCGTTATAGTACAGTTTTTCCAGATGACCGTGTTGTGTCATCTGGGATGTTTAAAGTTTGCAGCCAGTGGTACAGGCTGGATTAGAAGGAGGGATGGAACACAATGAGCTTGGGACAGCCCCTTTTAAGTCGCCAGGACGGTTCCATAAAAGACTCTCCTCAGCAACAACACTGTAGTATTAATGTCTCCCATTGTCCGGATCTCCATCTTCCCGAACCCAAAGCTCTAAAACCATGTCCATTCATATACCCGTGAAATTTACCTACCTAACGATTGCTCCTCGTCCCCAGGAGGGTCTCTTGTTGACGGGTTCACCGTCAAACGTTCCATAATACTGGCAGGTGGGATGCCTGCCATGCTGCAATTTGTATCGATGCTCCTTCGCCTTACCCTTCTTGAAGAGCTGGCAAGCGTGACTATCAGTTCGCTGTCACGCTCCCTCTCTGCTCCATGCCTCGTTGTTAACAGTCCCGTGTAGTAACTAGGAGATACGGAAGCATGAGGACTCGGTAAAAGCGACGTATCCGCCGTAGATGCAACTCCCGAGTTGTTGTCATTGTGGGGCTCACCGCTGATAATTGAAGGCGAGTTCGTCGACGTGTGTGAAACTATCAGTTTAAGCGGGATGGTTGAAATGTTATCAGAATGCACCGACATCTGGGAATCCACATCAGCATCGCTTCCAATGTCCATGCTCTTGAGAGACTTTCGCGTACTGTTGTCGTCCAGAGCAATACCTGGCGTACCTGGAATCACTGGGGCACTTTTCACACTGAACCTGACTTCGCTTGGCCGCTCAAGCCCTGTTCCTCTAGTCCCCGTTGGCTGTCGGGCTGGCTGTGTCAGAACCCGTTGTGCATGCTGGTGCTGGTGCTGATGCTGGTGGGGCGGTGTATGAGAATTTTGCCCCTGAACAAGTCTTTTCACCCAGCTAAACCTTCCACGAGTGTTTCCACGAGTAGGTCTTTTATCGTGAAGATAGGCTGTGCTAGTTAGTATGATGAAACAAAAGGATGCCGTAACAAAGGGCATTGGCATATTGTAAAATATAAGACATACGCGGCTCTGTGACTTGTGACATTTGGAAATGACAAAAAGTTGCTTTATGATTATAAGCTGATGGATATCGTGCTTGTTATATAATGATGAGGAGTAAGCTGAGCCCATATATAATAAAGCTGTGTATTCGCGCGCGCCAGAGGAATGCCTGTGTAAAGCTTCTGTGCTTACCTTCGTTGTTCACTTACCGCACTTGAACTTCCACAATAGTAGTTAGAAACAAGAAGGCACCATTGAACTGGTTCAGGGGTGGAATGGAAACAAAAATAAAGGTTAAGGAATCCAAAAAAGAATGCGCAAGCCCGGAATCGAACCGGGGGCCCAACGATGGCAACGTTGGATTTTACCACTAAACCACTTGCGCTAGTGAAGAAATGCTCCGAGACGGGGAATTGAACCCCGGTCTACCACGCGACAAGCGGTAATTCTAGCCACTAAACTATCTCGGACTTTGATGTAGGAAATGTATTCCTGTGCGTTGTTGTGGTCTTTTTCTAACCTTGTATGCAGGATGTAAAAATTGCAAAACATGTCTCTTTTTCTCACTTGTTACCCCAAAGCTTCTGGAGGCTCATAGGAGGTCTATTCGGGCTTTTTATTATCTCTAGGGGCCCTGAATCGACCAGAAACGCACAAGAATATTTCGGTATCCATTCGAAGAATTTGCAGCCATTCTCACCACTATCTACACATAATTCAATGCATCACTTGTAATTAATCACTAAGTCTATATATAATCCAGTATCCTTACGGAAACCTAAAGGGTGCTCTTGCAACAAGCCTTGTTCTCCTCAAGACCAACCTTGGCCAACGAAGACTTGTTGAAGTTGTTGTTAGCCTGTGGGAGATCCATACCTGGGTTCTTGTCGAAGAAGTTGAATGGAGTCATGTGGATGTTGTGAATTTCAACAGGCATGACTGGGAAGTCTTCCACTCTTGGAATGTGAGTGAAACTGAGAGTTGGCCAGATGACACAGTCGTCGTTTCTCACATTGTCGGTACCGTTGGCCCAGACAGCAATACCAGTATCGGTTTGGGACTGGTTGGTGAACTCACCGGCAGCGAACAACTGGTTGTCACCGTACTTGGTGACCCAGAGCTGCTCGGTAGCGAACTTGGCTCTGGTGACGTTGTAAGTGTCTGGCTCGGAAATGATCATTTGTCTGGCAGGCATCTCAATCTTGTAACCGACATTGTCCATGGAAATTGGGTTCTTGACATTCTCGTTGATGACCTTGTAAGCTCTGTTGGTGAATGGAGACTGCTTGACGGAGCCAGCCTTCTCAACAAAGGTTCTTTCGGTCACGAAACCATTGCCCCATTGGTTGAGCTTGTCTCTTGGCATCTTGACGGCGTCATCGTAACAGACGGAGTTCTTGTGGCCATCAACAGCTGGGTCGATTCTGAAAGACAAGATGTGCTGGTGGTAGGCGGCCATACAGTTCTCAGCAACGACAGTACCCCATGGAACAGTCATGTTGTCGTCAATTGGCATGGTAGACAAGATACCAGTAGCTCTGACTTCCAAGTCGATGGAACCATCGTTGACGAACTTGAAGTTAAGAGCATACTCGTAGTTGGCAACGGTTGCAATGGTCTGAACAACAAATTCTCTTCTTCTGGCAACAACAGCAGCCTTGGTTCTGTAGTTCATGTGCTTGTACAAGATACCATCGTCCTGCTCGTGCATGCAAACAGTAGATGGCATAACAGATGGTTCACCGTTACCACCAGTGAACATACCATCCAAGTACTTGATAACACCAAGACAGTCACATCCAAGCTTCAAGGAGTTACCGGTAACACCAAAACCAGCATCACCCAAATCGAAAGCCTGCTTTCTGTGGAATGGTGGTCTTGGGTCGGCGTATGGAACAGTCATCTCAGACAAGGAAATTCTGTAGAACACTTGTCTGCCCTTGAACCAACCGTCGTAGAGGACGAAACCCTCTCTGGCAGTAGTAGCGACTCTGAATTCCCAAGAGAGCCACTTGACCTTGGAACCCTCCATGGTGAAAGAAGGACCCTCTGGCTGGTTAACCAACAATGGCTTGACGTCTCTCAATGGCTCGTTGGTTAAGTCTGGGTGGTACTCAGCTGGCTTAGCTCTCTTCCATGGAAGAGTTGGAGTGACAGTACCATCAAATCCAGATGGCAAGAAGTCAATTCTGATGAACTTCTTGGTGTAGGCCTCGAACACAGGGGAGAATTTCAATGGCAAAGAGTAGTGGTTAGACTCTGGGTGGCCATTGTTAGCCTGGATGTACATGAAAAACTGAAGCAATGGTCTCTTCTCTTTTGGATCGTCAGTAGCGTAGATCCATGGATCAGTGATCACAGAACAATCCTTTGGCAACTGCAACTTCTCCACCTCGGCCTTGACAGCTGGGTGAGCAAGACAGTGCTCTTCCCATTCGGCCATATCCTCAGCCATGAAAGGTCCAACAACACCTTCTGGCAATTCGGTCTTGGTGATAAGGTGGCCGGCAGTAACGTTAACCAAGGCCTTGTTAAACGTCAAAGTGTTGGTATAGTAGTAACAGTAGAACACTCTTGGGATTCTTGGGAACTCACCACCATGTCTCTCGACATCCAAGTACTTGATCATGTCCTTCTTTGGAGGATCACATCTGTCTACCTGGACAAAGTGAACGTTATCGGAAGCCTTGTGGGAGTCCTTGACCAACTTAGTGGCCAATCTGATTTCGTAGTCCTTAGCGGAGTCGAATGGGTGCACGGAAGGCATTGGAGATGTAGGTTATATGAGCAAATAAAAAGAAGAAGGTCTTGAAAAATCGACCTTGTTGAAGGTCTTATATACTTTTCCAGTGGTCGAGATGGGTCCCCCCAGATTGGCGCATCAAGCTTCCTAATCGGGCCCTGGCTACATCGAAGACCGGCGCGAACTGCCCATTTGGTTTTATCAAGGGACCGCCAGACCAGAGATTGGTCTACATGCCGTAAATACGCCACGTGACCTGGCCTTAATCAATTCTGCGCTTACACCGAAATAGTGGGGACTGCAACTTTTTTTGTTGGTGGTGGGGGTTGGGGCAAAGAAACTTCCGTTCCGTTGGATGTCCCTCAATTTTTTCAAATTTTCCGTGGCTCGTTAAGGAAGGTCTATTCAGTTCGTAAAATACTATCAAAAAACTGAACCAACGGATTTTTTTGTGTAACAAATTCCGTAGCCTTAGCAGCATCGCCTCGACTATACTAGAGAGGATGGGTCTCTGTCTTTGCGTCCTGCGCACTCTGACTGGGTAGGTCTGTCCGGCTAAAGTCAAGATAGTACATTAGTCTGGACCATATGTAGTAGAAAGAATACGACAGAGTTGACAGATAAGAGACATGAGTACCAAATTTGGTACCTACCGCCTTGGAAACGGTTTTGTTGTTCTTATCAAGGGGCTAGTTGGGGGCGAGATGGTGATTGCGAAGATAGCCGAGTGAATGGACTTATCGAAAGATGAATAGAAACCGCGATAAGCGCTTAGTGCTCATTCTGGGGCTTCACGTAGATAAGACAACAGGCTTTAGACTACAGTGGGATTCTACATGTTCAAAATAACAATGAACTTACCGTCTTCATAATATACAACAGATCGTGCGGGAAATAAAACGAGGCCCATACGCTCAGAAGTGAGGCCAGCCCCAGGGGGAATAACGGTGGGAAAAAATGACAAGCCCTGGCTAGGAAGCCAAGGCGATGAAAAAGACGTAACACATAATGCTGGCCCGTTTACTTGAACTCATCTTTAGGTCCGCCAGCTCTACTTATGGGTTGCTGGGGAGCCAATCCTCACTTTAGTATGAGGATTCACGATTTCAACGGGCTTTCTGGTTCTCGGAGTGTTTGTTCTTGGAGATTCAGCAGATGAAGCGGTTGGCAGAGCTGGAGCTTCGCCAGGGTGAGCCGTAGGCGCAAAGACGCTGGCAGTGTAAGGATTGAACTTTTTAATGTGGTTTGAGTTGAACGACTCAGGAATGTCTGGACAGAACTCCATATCGTCTTCAGCGTCAAAGGACTTCGACAAGTAGTACCTCAACCGGGAATTATGTAAAGAGTAGTTGGAGGTGACTGACGAAGCTGCCGAGGAAGACGACGACAAGGAGCTACTGGTGGTGGAGTGTGCCGACCCGCCGTGATATTGTAAGTTGGCAAAAGTAGGTGAAGTGTTCATCTGAGCATTGTTCATTTGAGGCGAGTACTGTTGGTAGCTGTTGAACATGTATGGATTCGACATGGCTGGATGGTATTTCTTTGAATTGTACCTGAGGGGAACTAAAGGTTGATCATATAACAGATAAGCGTGTAACTAGCAAGTAAAGTGTTTATCGGTTCTAATGGGGAAACGTTTTTGAGATGGATGGGTGATAACTCGTGGGGGTTAAGCTGAGATATTTATGGATGAGTGACAGATGGAAGAAAACGTTTCTTTTACAGTAAAGCTTGACTTGCGCAACAGGAGGTACTGCACACGGCCGCACGCCCACCAGTCAATCCCCATGATAGCCTGCTCAGTGCGGGTTCTATCTGCCGGCCAGTGAATTTCTTTTTTTCGCACGGGGCTCCATAGACTTTCCATGGAAGGCCTGGCTTATTCTCCAGACGGTTGTGTAGTATATAGATTTAATGGTTTCCTGCACCGGTTAGTAGGAGAGTTTCTCTTTTCTTACTGGCTACGTTCGTCGTCGACGCACCGAAACATCCATGACCGACTTGAATGCAGGGGGGCTTGCCTTGTTGGGTAAACATGACGCCCCAAGCTGGCTGCGAAATCTGACTAGGGAAGATAACGTGATGTTACCAGCGGTTGGGTAGAAGGTGTCCAGGAACGGGTAGTTATTAGCCTTTTTATAGGGAGTGAGGGGAGTCAAAGTTGGTTGCTTGGACTGGTGATTCTGATGAATGCATTGTTTTTTGTTTTTTTGGTATTTCAATTTTTTTTTTTTTTTGTAATTCTTGTTCATGTTATTGTTTGCGGCGGTGTTGTTTGTGTTTATATTTGTCACTCGCGAGGCGTGTTCTCGGAAATTTTGGGAATTATCCCAAACACTTCACCAAAAATCAACAAGTTAAGGGAGAGGGTTGGTTTTTGGTAGTTAAGGAGTTTAGGTGGTTGTTTATTGTATGGGGGATTTAGATGGCTTCTTTTCTGGTGTAGAATGGTTATTTGGCTGGTTTCCTAGTTGTGGTGATTGTCTCAGTGTAGGTGGATGTACTGGCAATGGTAAGATGTTTGTATAATAGAGACAGAAATCAAAGGGTTCAATTAAGGACCTGAAATATGTGAAGGCAAGTAGTGACTTCAAAAATTAGGCTTGATATAGTTGTAGATGGGGATCTTTGGAAAGATAGCCTAGTGAGTTTCGCAGCCAAAGTTGAGGCTCCAGTGATGGGTACTTAAGACACCACTAGAAAATGCAAAGAGAAGAAATAGAGGATGAACTTTCCATCGAATAATACAAGGAAATGTAAACCACATTCTGCTAATTTTATTTTCATCAAGTTGCTGATGATGGTGTAGAACCACTGACCCATATAGTTGAGTATGAAGTGGACTCAACACAGCGAGAATGCCCTATAATCAAGGGACCCTGTAACGCAACAATTTTAGCATTGAATCATCTGGCTTCCATCTTTTCACGTTTCACCTTGAAGCCTTGCCGAATGACTTGTTTCAGCTTCGCATATTCTGAAACATGCCCCCATTGAGTGGCCCATTTAGGAAGCATTTTGCACCCACCGAGCACCACAGCTGAACTCCAACATCCACTTCCGTCTCCACACTTCCATAATGAATGGTTCTGTTCTAACAGTTAAAAACATTGATATCGATTTCCACCTACCATTATCCCATAGCCAACGCTCGTACCAACTCATAGAACTTTCCAATGGCCTCCGCACCCTAGTGATCAATGATAAGAGCAGTGAGCTCTTCTCAGCAGCCATGGTGGTGGGAAGTGGGTCTGCTAATGATCCTAACGATGCTTTGGGACTTGCACATTTATGTGAGCATATGCTATTCTTGGGCACTAAAACTTCACCTGTGCCTAACCAGCTTGACCTGATAGTTTCTTCAGCTGGTGGATTCACTAACGCATATACTACTATGCAACAGACATGTTACCACTTGGAACTTTCTTCTTTTGCCAAAGTAAGAGATGAAAGAGCTTTTATCATCGATAGCGTACTTGAAATCTTTGCTTCTCTCTTCAAGTGCCCCCTTTTCAAAGAAAAGTACATCAAAGGAGAGATCAAGGCGGTTGATGAAGAGCATAGGGGTAATACAAATGACATTGATAAGATATTATTTCATGCATTGAGATCTTTAGCTTCGCCAAATCATGTATTTCGACGGTTTGGAACGGGAAATAAGGAGACACTCAGCAGACTAAGCACTAAGAAGCTACAAAGGTACCTTCGGGCATATTTCCAGCGATTCTATATTGCTCGTAAGATGGTCCTAGTTATAAAGGGTCCCCAATCTGTGAATCATCTAAAGAAATTGGCCATGACCTACTTTTCCGATATTCCAAAGACCTCCCTTGAGCATACAAGATTATCTGGTTCTTCCGTATCAGATCACGACATTTACTTCAGCCCACAGCTCTACGGATACTTGGATACGCCATTATTCCAACAGGAATACAACGCTGTTCTTTTGAAAGTGCCAAATAATTCAAGGGTTAGACTATGCTACCCGTTAAAGGAGATAACGGGACTACAAAGCTACCATCGGATAAAGAACTTAGTTTGCAACCTCTTGGGTGATGAGTCTCCCAAGTCATTTTGTGAATACCTCAAGAGAAAACGGCAGTGGGCAACAATGATCATGGTTTTTGTCCAGAATACCATCTTTTCTGATGATATCCTCGTTGTCGACATTCTGTTGACTCCTTCTGGCTTGAAGAATCTTCCTCAGCTTGTGGATACCCTTCATTACTACATAAATTATACCATAATCAGGGGAGCGTATCAGGATCTAGAGAAAATTATTCGTGATTTAACAATCTTAGAGGATAGTCTTTTTCGTAACCGTGAGACAGAAGGATCATTTGTTGACGAGATATGTGGTTACGCCGAAACCTTAGAGAAGGGAGGATTTGATCTCAGAGACTTAGTTAGGGGTTACGGAGACTGGGATCCAGGCAAGAGCAGTATTATGATAGTCCAAGAGCTTCAAAAAGCTGCAAATCAGTGCTTTACCGAGGAAAATTTGAAGATTGTCATTTCCAGCGAAGACCTATGGCCTGTAAATCTCTTCACTACAGAAAAGGGGGCATATCAGCCAATGGTTGACCATTATTTCCAATACGAGTTCATTCTGGTACTCAATAATGATCAAATGACATTTTTTAACCCTGATTTGAGCTTGAACTTCGAACTCCCAAACATTCCAACCCCTTTAAAGGAGCTGATGAACGGCAAAAGGACGAGTAAGCAGTCTAGTGTCGGTTTTGTTAGAGGGGTTGAGACGGCTGCTGAACATCCCCAACTCAAATTCTTCAACAGCTGTCTCGAGGTGTGGACGACAAATAATGCAATCTGTGGAGCCGTACTGACACACATCACTTTCAATATCCAGTTTAGAGACATTGAAAGCACCCCTGAGAACCTCGTTGGTATCGAGCTACTTGCAGAGCTAATGGGAGAGGAGCTTAAGTATGAACTATATCACTATGAGCTTGTTGGGACTTTCTGGGGTGTTTTTGCTAACACCAATGGTCTCCCTTCGATACTTGTATCAGTATCAGGCATGAAAGATGAAGTAGTAACCGTTTTCAAAACTATCATGAACTGCTTTCGACTGCTTAGAACGGCTGAAGATGAAGTACCGTATCAGAAGTTCAAGAAAGCAAGGGTGAATACTAGAAAGAGAACGGAGGAAATACTTAACCTGTCCGGAACTAGAAAAGTATTTTCAGCAGCATATCTTGTGCTTGAAGAAGGTCTCATACCACCAGAAGATAAGATTGATGCATTAGAAATCATCGACACAAAATTTATCAAAGAAATGTCAAAAGACGTCCTTTGTACTGGGCCGTACGGCCAGCTTCTAATGGATGGTGACTTTACAGACCACGAGTCATTCATACTAACCGAGGAGGCAAAACTCGATAATGGAGGTGCTGAAAGTTACGATTTTCTTGCAAAGAAAAGCAGCAAAACCAGCCATATACTACCTGAAGGTAGGAATTTCTTGTTCCCCATGCATGGAGCAGAAGACGACACAGCCAATACTTTGTTATACTACATTCAATTAGGAGATCGGAGTGATACAGAGCTTTACACCTGGGGCAAATTATTCGAACACTTATTATCCTATACTGCTTTGGATGAGCTTCGAACAAGGAGAAGGCTCGCATACTTGGTCTTCACTGGCATGAAATTCTTTCGAAACAGTTTTGGAATTCACATTACCATACCCAGCGGTGAACACGAATGTGACACTTTATCTGGCGAGGTCGAGAGGTACTTAGGGATCCTTCAAAAGAACTTACAGAAACTCACCGAGAAGGAATTTCAAGAAGATATTGTTGAACCCTTCACACAAACGATATCGCAAACACCTACTCAAGTCAAAACCCCTTCAGGATTGTTTATCTCTCTTCAGCCTTTGCAAGGCTCCGGTGACAAACCCGATAGCGGGGAATTCATGAGCCACTGGAGCCACATGGACCAGATAATCAATGGCACCTACCGATTTGGAGGGACTGAATGTGAGGAGCCAATCGATAAAACTTTCCTCGAGACGCTCACATTAAAGGAGTTCCTAAGATATTTCCAGACATACATTTCCGTGGATTCTGCTCAGCGGTCCAGTCTTATCATTGCCAATGCTGCAGGGACCCAGCTGTACGAAGCCAAAAAATCGCAGTTTGCAGCCATTATCTTCAGCCAACTACAGGACCAAGGCATGAACATTACCCAAGTGCAAGTAAGCAATCTCCTTGAAAAATGTAAAGATCAGGAGGATTTCACTGATATTTCAATGCAGCTTAAAAAGTATTTCAAAGAGACAAAGCAAGGCACAAAACTCATGAGGTTGGCTTTCAAGAATTTTGCAGGTTCCATGTTGCGAAGCGCAGCCTCCACATTTTCCGTTCGGCCCCAGCTTCCGAATTCCGAGAAATATATCGTCTCCAAAAAGACGGAAATCAACAATTACAAAGCAATCCAAGGGCTATGCTATGTGGGGTCGCGGATAAGTTGGTACGAAAAATTGCAGACCTTGGAGCAATTGGCTCATAGTGGAGAAGGCACTGCACAATTTATATAAGTATGGGGAAATTCCTGCTTGAGATTTTCCACTCTCAGATCTGCCATGTCCACTGAAGCTGTGTCGGTAACATTGGAGGAGCTCAACAATGGGCTTGATTTTGAAACCTTGAATAAGGCATTTGGTCCTGATTCCCTTGGAATTATCATAGTGAAGGATTTGCCAGACCATTTCCAACTGTTGAGATTGAAGGTGCTTGAAAGCATCTCGGTTCTTGCAAATTTGCCTGAAGATGAGTTGAAGAAGCTCGAACTGCCCGAGTCCATGTGGCTTACAGGCTGGTCTTGTGGGAAAGAGGTCTTGAGCTCTACAGGCGAGCCAGATTTTAACAAGGGATCCTACTACGTGAATTGTGCTTTCTACAAGAAGGACGAACTCGAAGGACCAGAACCGCGTCTTGCTGAAAAATTTAAAGACTTCCAAACCTACGTACTGCCTAATATCTGGCCACCGGAGACTATCGATCGTTTGCAGAATTTCAAAACCGACTGCAAGGACTTGATCAAGCTCATCATCAGCACGGCAGCGAAGGTTGCAAAGAACTGCGATAGCTATATCAGCGTGCATGCCGAAACCTACGAGAAGAACTTCTTACAGAGAATCATCAAGGAATCTACTTGTACCAAGGCTCGCTTGCTTCACTATTTCCCAAATGTGGGAGATAAAACAGGAAACTCCGATGACTGGTGTGGAGAACATCTTGACCACTCATGTCTCACTGGTTTGACCTCTGCGCTCTTCCTTGATGAGTCCAAAGACAAACCTGAGAGCTTGGATAAGCTGCCAGATCCAGAGGCTGGCTTGTATATCAAGAACAGACAGGGTGAAGTGCAAAAAGTGAACATTCCAAAAGACTGTCTTGCATTCCAAAGTGGACAGGCCCTTCAAGAGATCTCAAAGGGGTTCTTCAAAGCCGTGCCACACTACGTGCAAGGTACCAGTATCCCGCACATTGCTAGAAACACGCTAGCAGTATTCTGCCAGCCTGATTTGGACGAAATGGTTAATGATACGGAGAATTTTGCCCAGTTCGCCCAGAGGATTGTGACTGGGAACCATTAGGACATTTTTCGCAGCCAAAGTACCAAGAGGTATAGTTGCGTTCCAACTGAGCAACAACGATAAACACATAACAGGAAAGACAAAAAGTAATTAGCTTGACCATTTGACGTACTTTGCAATCCTCTTTGACAACTAAAATTAGTAGAATTCAATACTCTTGCAAAAATCCATCTGGAGTCACATGATCTCACATCGTTTGGCTCTTTTCCAAACAAGAGCATCTACTCCATCTTCATGTCGAGAGAAGATATTCCGGTCGTAAATGATCCCAGACGGAACGGTCAAAATGCTTCTATCAACGATATACCTACATTGGATAATGAGGTGAGAGCAGAGCTCCGAAAGTACGGCGAACCCATCACTCTCTTTGGAGAAGGCCCTCCAGAAAGACGTGAACGTCTACTACGGTTCGTACAAGAAAGACCACACACGGAATTTGAATTCGCTGAAATAGAAGAAAGCGGAAGCGACGCAATTACCAGTGATGAAGAAGAGGAGGAAGAATTTTATACCCCAGGCAGCGAGGAGTTGGAACAAGCACGCAAGAGTATTCTACGATCCTCTGTCGACAAGGCCATCGCCAGGGTCACCAAGCAAAAGACAGAGGCAAAAGCATACAATTCATTCAAGACGCTCAAACACAGGCGACACATTAACCTGATTCTCGGTGAATACGAGTTGAATGGTACCAATGTGCTAAAAGGGAACACTCGTGCTATCTCATCGGTACGGGTCAATGGAGACAACACATTAATTGCATGTGGTTCCTGGGACGGAAATGTTTACCTCCTAAAAAAAGATGACGAGTTTAATCTTGTTCAGGTCGGAAAACTGGGCCATGGATACCATTCAGAGAAAGTGGGTGCGCTCGATTGGCACCCTACTAACCACTCCTTGGTCGCATCTGGTGGAGCTGAAGGCTCAATTAACATTTGGAATTATGATAATGAGGATGTTTTAAAACCGCAATTAAGACTAAAAAACGCCAGTGAAGGTAGAATACCCAAACTTGCTTTCCATCCAAGTGGGAACTACTTGGCAAATACATCGTTTGACCAAACGTGGAAATTGTGGGATATCACGAAAGAGCAGGAATTGCTAGAGCAGGAGGGCCACCTGAAGGAAGTTTTTGCCTGTGCAATGCACCCAGACGGTAGTCTAATAGCCACAGGTGATCTTGACGGTATTGGCAGAGTATGGGACTTGCGATCTGGAAGGTCGATTGCAATACTAGAAGGGCACATACAAGGCATCTACTCCATGGATTGGTCATCAAACGGGTACCATTTGGCTTCAGCAAGTGGGGATTGCTCCACCAGAATTTGGGATTTGCGTAAACTTTCCAATGCAAACGATAAAACGGAATTGTTCCTGATACCAGCACATACAAAGCTTGTGAGTGAAGTGAGGTTTTTCCTGGGTCATGACAGCTCGCTAGCCACGCAAGTCACCGATGAGAATGATGAAAATGCCTCAAGGTTGAGCACAACGGGCACGTTTCTTGCAACGAGCTCGTATGATGGAACGGTAAAACTTTGGTCAGCTGATAACTGGATTAATGTACGGACCCTTAAGGGCCATAACGATAAAGTCATGAGTTGTGATATAGGAAAGGATGGGCAGTACATAGTCAGTTGTGGCTGGGACCGTACGGTGAAGACATGGTCCAAGATATAGATAATTACATGCTACTGACGAATATATGCTGGCGAATTGAGTGTGATACTTCATAAACCACAGAAGGCAGCCATATAAAACCAAACACAAGTGTATTATGCCCTATGGTACTCATTATGTAGAGACATTGTGCTCACACTAGCATACCCGCGTTGTTACGTCACCGCGTCACAAGACTCTTACCCATAGAAGATTCACTTAAAAGAATTGGATATGGTCTATAAGCGAACTAATAATCAGACATTACTTATATTATGGCATTTCACCTCCTATACGGTGACTTGCTAATGGCTGCAAAGCGTTGACGAGAGGTATGTGGTGCATACCAGGTTCGCTTATCGCAATATGTGCGAAAAAAACGGTTGCAGTTACTGAATAACTTCACTACTACAACACCCAAATCAACAACCTGGAGAAGAATGGATTTACACAGTATATTGGATAGCATACCCGAGCCTCCTATTGTTGACTTACACTTGGACGAGCTTAATAGTTCGGGTGAATATAATTTACCAACGCCGATGTTTGAGTTTCAGAAAGAGCTTACAGACCAGATTGTTTCGCTACACTATTCAGACATTTTGAAGTACTGTGAAACGAACGATACTACTGAGTTGATCATCAAGTCTTTGCAAATATGTGTGGACAATTGTATGACCGTTGCCACTCATCCGTATTTGCTCATTCAGCATTACATGCCCAAGAACTTATCTATGAGGGACCTCCCAGCCAAACTAGCCGAGACGAGTGGTAAATTCAACGTCATCAAGGATCTTATTAATGTGATGGTGTCAAACAAAGTCCTGCCGCTCCCGAAACATGTTGGTGTGGTGATGAATAATAATGTTCGTGAAATGGATCTCTTGGAAGCATTGATCCTAGGATGCCGTGGATCCAAAATCGTGCAGCGGTACGTTGGCAACAGCATTAAAAGAGAGAACACCAAGAACCAGAAAAATAATGTCAAGGGTACTACTCCGCTCACCATCCATATGATTCCCCAAGATGGCAAGCTTACAAGAAACGAATCGGAATTGGAAAATGTCAAGTTCGACTGTATCATTGTCATGGACGGCCATGTCGATACACAGACAGCCTTCTTCAAGAATTTAAGGCAGCAGAAGCGCAGAGGAGAGGAATGTGTTATGGTTAGACTTATACCCATTTACTCCATCGAACACTGCTTGCTTCATTATAAGGGAATCGAAGGTGATTCGTCATACTTGTACAAGCTCATTTCGTCCATCGTTTGTTTGAGAGATAGAATCGGTAATCTTCAGCCGGACATTTTCCCTATCTATAACCAAAGCCTCACATACTTGTCTCACACATTCTTTGATCATGTTTTCAGACGTGATATTCGTTCCTTCCCTGCTTGGCCATTGCCAGAGTTGCCAAAAATACCGAGATTTTCTCCTACAGATGTGGAAAGATCGCTTCTCACCGAAGTTGTGTACCATTACACTCCATACGATTCTAATGAGGCTTCGCTTGATGGCTCTTCCAAGTCAAAAAGTTACTACCAAACCAAAAGACTCCAGCTGGACTACGTCACAAATCCTCTCAAGAACGACTACAATATATTGAGTGGAATTCATAATCATGCTGCCGTCTCTAAGAGACAAGGTATGGATCGCACAATCCTCACACACAAGCTTATCCTTGAATTGAACGCGGGCTATCTAGACTTGGCGAAAATCGAGGAGGAGTATCATTGCTATATTGATTATAACAAAGATGAACGCCAGGAGAAGGTTGGAAGGAGAATAGAAGAGATGAAGAAATCTCTTTTTAGCATTGTTTCGGATGTTGATCATGTCGAGCAAAGAATCCAAGTGAGCGAGAAGAAACTACAAAGAAGACAGGAAGAGATTGAACAGCTCAAGGGTGAAATCGAGCAAGACAAAGAAAAGTTGAGAAAGTTTAGCGAGCTAGAGTCTGTGACTACAAATGAGGTTAAAAAAGCATTTGTTGAGAACCAGTTAAAGATCTGGGAGTTGCAGAATGAAGTGAAGGATCAGGCACACAAGTTGCAAACAAAGAACGATGAATTGACTTACACTAAACGCGAGATAGAGAACTGCGAGAACTCCATCAAGCAATCAGAAGAACAATTGAAGGAGGTCCGTGAGAAAATCGCCGAACTTGAGAAGCAATTGGCAGCTGCTCGACTGGCCGAAGTGGAAGAGAGTGAGAATTTCAAGAAGAGAAAGCTCGCCACAATCACTGACATTGATCACGCAAAGGAGGAAAATACTCTACTCAAAACTAAACTTGTCAAGTCTTTGAAATTCTTGAAAGATACCTCACATTTGAAGAGCCGCAAGGGCAGGGGTCTCACACCCAATAATCGTTAATATTACAAATAGTATATAGGGGCCTCAGATCTAACAGCATCAAAAATAAGACAATTATTAATCGGACTATCCTTCTTGCCAAAGAACTGGATGATATCCTGAGCAAGAAATCCTCCTATGATAGCTGCCACAGGTGAGAACTCAGTGAATGCTTGCTTGGAAAACAAATCCAAGTATTCCTCGCTAAGCACTTGCTGTGATATTCCAAGGCTGTCACAAATGATGTTTCCACGCTGTAGCAAGGCTTCTCTGTCTATGTCATCTTCTGGATTTACTGGACGCTCAATATCAAAAAGTGAAAGAATGAATGGTAGAGCCCCTGAGAGCCTTTTAAGCTGTCTTTTGTTCAACTGAAGCGGTAATTTCTTGGAGTCAAAGATTTGCTCTAATGGTGAAAATGTGTCCAAGACTTTCACAATTTCAGTTTCGTCGTTATTCTTCCACTCCACATCGACAATCTCTTTGACACCGTTAATCTTGGTACCGGCAACCTTAGCTTGGTTTCCTGTGGCACCTTCTTTTGTCGAAGTATGCTCAATAAGATCTGTGAGTACGTAGCCAAACATACCATGCTCTCCAGCCACATAGAGTGGGATCTTATGATCTCTGGTGATTTTGTTAATGGCGAGCAACTGTGGTTTGCTCAACTCTGTGGCCACGACCAAATCAAACTTTTTATAATAATCAAGTGAAACTTCGGCTAGCTTTGTAGTGTTTATCAGGAGATTGACTCTAGGGTTTAGTTCTTGGATATTTGGGAAGACTAATGGAAGCTTTGGCTGACCAACGATACTCTCATCGTTTGGTAGAAAGAACTGTGCTGCAAAATCCTCTTCTTTGACAACAGAACCATCAAGTATTTCAATAGTATTGAGACCTCCAAGGACCAAGTTTTTCACGATTTCTGAGCCAATACCGCCGAGATTGACCACTAGGACTCTAGCGGACCTCAATCGAAGTTGGGTGTCTGTTCCCCAAAGACGGATCTGCCTATCATACAAGGCAATTTCATCTGTTTGTTAGTAAATGTTAACAAATTTAGCCTTAAAAGTCATACATACCAGCACTTAGCTGTTCTGGATTCGACATTGATGTAGATGGAAATTGAGCGCTAGGGTCTAGAGAAGTGTTGATATGTGGTGTTAAGTGCAGGCAAATCAACGTTTTTCCAGTTTCCACAGTTACTTCGCTACAAGAATTTACTGTTCAAAACTATGCTATTCCTTTCCTATAAGCATTGATATGACTATTCATGGGAACTTATTTTCTATGGCCTTCTTTAATTGGAGCCCGAGACGACCAACTTTTGCAAGTGCGACATAAACACCTGTAAAGAGACATCATCAGTCAAGACAACGGCTCCAGGAGTGTATTCTTCAGAGTTGTATGAGGTACTTGGATTCAACTTGGAATACAAGAATCTAGCTTGCGAACCACCTTCCTCTGTGTCGATAAATCTAGGCAATGGGAAACGGTCCACCAACAATTCACCAGCTTCTAGCTTTGGTTCGTCCAACAAAGCTTTGAAGTCAGCGTACTCTTCCTGGTCCTGGAAACCTGCCTTACGCCACTTGGCGATAGTTCCACCGTGGAAAATCAAGATGTGGAAGAAAGTGTCCAAGAGCAAGATTCTCTCTTCTTTAATAGAAACGGAATCCAATAAGACAGCCTCTGGCTGTTCTAGATCAAGTCCAAACGATGTTAATGTTGGCTGGATCATGACCAATGAGTTACTGCAATCCTCGGTCAACAACACATGCCTGTAAAAGGCAGTCTCATCTGGGGAGTTGTTAAAAACTTGCAAAAACTGAGATCTCCTCAAATAAAAGACAAACTGTGGGAAAAGCGAGAATTGGGGATGCAATCTGAAAGAAGCTTCAACATCTTTTCTGTAATCAGCGAATTTCTGGCACAACTTAATCAACATACGGTCGATCCACCTCAAAACGTCTGCTCCATCGTCTTGCTCAGATTTGAACAAAGTGATTCTAGCCATCAAGACTGCAGCCGCTTCCTGGTCGAAAGACTGTGTTAAAACTTGTTCATCACCAGTTAAAATGTTCGATACCGTAGTGACTCTTATTCTATAGGTGCCAGAGGCATGCTGATATTGGGTGATGAATTGAATGTATGATTGTGCGTTTGGAGGCAAAGGCAGGTTGTTGGCAATATCGAAAAAGATTGCGTGCGTACTTTGAGGGGAAAGGGAGCACATTTTGAATTTTGATGAGCCACCAATACCTAGCTCAGTGTCAGAAACGTTTGGAGACTTGATCTTCAAGGAAGATGCGTGTCCGATCAAGCCGCTGACCCTCAACTCTCTCGAACACTTAATATCAAGAGTACCGTTGAAGCCCATAAGTAAATAGTCTTCGTGGTCCTTGTTGAAGAGTTTCAAGAAAGACTGCTTGAAGATAGATGTGGTAAAGGCATCAGACAATAACAAGACACCACCAGTTTTTGAGCACATCGATTTCATTTCCAAGAAACCAACCTGATCCAAGCAACCACCAAACAAGTCAATTGTATGGCCGTGCTTGACAGCCTTGGCGGCAATGCTTTCGTAAAACTTCACAGCCTTCTTGTAATGCTTAGCGTTCTCCTTATCGATATCAGAATGAGATCTGATGGCCTCCTTCAATTTAGGACCGACAATCATTCCTGGGTTAAGAGTACAAGAGCCAGCGGAGAACAAAAAGATTCTAGCACCGAAGCCAGAGAAGGTGTTACCAAGCAAGCTGGAGGCAACATTGATGGCAGAACCGGTTGCACGGTTAGCTCTGTCACCGTGAGCAACAGGCCAAGGATCAGCGGTCAAGTTCTCAATGAGGGAAGTCAATTGATGCTCAATGTCTTCAATTGGCAAGAAGAATCTCTGTAAAGAGTTTTGCATTGTCATCTGGCCAGGTTGAGCCACGACAGGCTTGTTCAACATGTCGGCAACCTGCTTTTCAGTGTAATCCTTGTCACCACGGAAAATGTAAGACTTATTGACTGTGCTGGCGCCCAAGTCATACACCTGAACAATGGAACCATAAGTAATTAAGCCCACGAGGGCATTCGGTGGTAGATAAGAAAGTGAAATCACCAAGGTTTCTTTCAACGCTCTCAAGTTGTCCTCATCCTGACACAAGTCAACAACAAACAAGAAGATTGGGGCATGCTGCACTGGCTTTGAGGTGATGTATTCCATAGTGGAGGAAGTGCCTGCCAATTCAAGAGGCAAGTTTTCCTGGGTGATACCATGATAATGTGGGGGCAATGGAGATCTGGTTCCACAAAGGGGACAGATCCAGAAACCAGCAGGGTCAATGGTACAGTAAGGGTTCAAAATACCTCGACAGGTTGGCAGATGACAGTAAATCGGATCATAAGCAGCCACTGGCAAGTCCTCTCTGTATTTTAAAGGCGTGTACAAGACACCTGTGGGGACGACAATCTTAGCCAGCTCAGCTTTAGTCGAAGGAAAAGTATTCCAAGCGAAGCGAACACCATTTAGATCTTCTTGTTCCTCGAACTCCATTGGGTATATGAAAGCTTCACACTGACTTGGGTATTCTTAAAACAAGGGGACAAACGCGGTGAAATGAAATCAAATAAACGGGGAATTGAAAACAAGCAACAGGGAAAACTTCTGCGGAACAAACCAACAAGTGAACAAATTAATGAGTGAGTTTCGGTGGCGGGTGCTTGTTCTTGTTTGTTGATTTGTTTCCCTCTATATATGATCTGAAAAAAACTCGTCGTTTGTGAGAGGACAACACACGGTCGTGTGTAGACCGCTTACACCAGGCGCGCTTGACAGACATTTGGGTGCAAAAAAACCATATGTGGAGACAAGGCGAGATCTGACAAGGTAATGTCAGTCATTTTTTGACATAATTTTATATTGACAGTAATTGCCAAACACTTAATTGGATTCTTCTATTTTTTAATTTTTGTTTCGCTGCCCAATAGTAGAGGTCAAATGCCCACGGGGTCCATGCTGGTAAGTGTAGTGGCGAGACGAACAACCCATGAAGGTGAGGTAGTTAAGCGGCAATTGTAGAAGTACTGTTTCTCCATTTTCATACTAAGCGATGGAATTTCACAGAATCCTTCTTTTGAGGCTGATTATGTTTAGCATGTTCCGGTCCAGAATTGGTCCTTGTCTGAGACAAGCATTCACTATTGGGCCAGTGCCATTGGTACAATTTGGAGAATGATAATAGAGTTAGTGGAAACAATGGATATTTGCGACAATTAGTTAAGAGAAGGCTACTAAGTGATATTACCTTTCTACCCAGATTAAAGTAGACTGACATCGTGTCCCTGGTTCTCCACTGTACTTTAAATACGTCCAGATAACAAAAATGCTCTTATGAGTTGACTTAGAATACTGTTAGTTTGGTGGTGATTGTCTCTTGCTGATTACTGTTCTTAGTGTTCTGAGACAAGCCAAGGTACATTTTTCGCAGCCAAAGTTACTCACATAGGCAGTAACTAATACCACCAAATACAAGGTACAAAGTATCAAAACAATCTCTATTTGCTTCTTGGGAACTTCTTCTTAGCTTCATGAGCTAACACAATGAATTTTACTGATATGACTTACTTTTAATACTGGTATGTCCAAAGTGGTACTAGTAAGGAAAGACACTTTGCTTACACGGAGCAAGCTACATCACTAGAAAGCTCAAGCGGCATCCTAAAACAAATAAACCACCCAACTTCTTCAACAGCCTGAACCAAATAGTAGTCATTCCCAGGTGTCGGTTCACTCGGAAGAAATAGACTTTCCAACCGAGACCTGTACTTAGGTCATCGTTAGCCCCCACAAAGTCCGAACATATCCTGAGAACTACTTGAAGCAACCCACTTCTTTATCATGTGGCGCTCAATTAGATGGCACAATGCTGCTCCATTAGGGCTTTTAAGGATAGCCCAAAGGAACTATGCTACTCATGTGAAGAGTTTCTTTGAGCTTTACCCAAAGACATTCCCCAATGGCGGTCCACCAAAGGATCCATTCATTATCAATGATAGACTGTTGAGAAGAGAACATCGAGGACTTCAAAGCCAGAACCACCCGGATATAGTGATGGGTTCTGCATCACTTCTGAGTGGTGAAGGCGAGGAGGCAAAGAGTGAAAACCAGATCTCGGCGCTCTTGAACCGTGCTTACTCGACCATCAAGAACCCATATACTCGAGCAGCGTACCTTATTAGGATCCAGCATCCAGAACAGCTTGATATCACACAAGATGAAACTTCGAAAGATCTAATTGCCAAGTTTCAAGAGTCTTCTTCTGACTACTCGTTGGATTACAAGGTTCTACTAATGACTGTGCTTGAAGCGCATGAGTCGCTTGAAATGGCTGCCAGTGAAGCTGACTTGGAGTCTTTGGCAACTGAAAACGATGAAAGAGTTGAAGAAAGTGAAGAAAAGTTGGAGAAGTTGTTTAAGACCGAGCCCACTCCTTGGAACGACATTTTGATTGAAACCATTAGATTGAAGTACTGGATGAACATTGCCAATGGTATCAAAGAATGGGAACCTGGTAAGCCAGTTCATCTTACCCATTGAATAAGAAAAAAAAGTGAAATAGATAATTACACCATTCTCCGCGTATATGTGTATTCGAAATCCTACTAGTGTAGCCTTGCTGGGACATTCTATCCGCCCTAGAAGCAAAAGTGCCGTGAATCATCACACCAAGTATGGGAGGAAGTCGTAGTTCCCCTCAGTTTATGTCGATATATAGTACAGTAGCCGGGAGAGGAGCCAAAGCCGGGGCCCTTCCAGAAAAGAGTCAGAACGAGCGAGCTATTCAAATGCCCTCACTGGCCATCGTTCTGTCATCATCAAATTCCACTTCGCCTTGAAGATCTTCGGAAGCGGTTATTTCGTAGTCGCTGTCAACCACTGCCGGTATAGTGAGCTCACACTCTTCAAATTCTTTCTTTTCATCAGGCCCTACAGGGAACTGCCGCAACCATTTCATACGAGGCCCGCTGGCGCTGGACTCGTGAATGCGGAAGCCAAATAAACGCAAGCCAAAGTTGTCTTGGTTGACTTTGTTGATCCTGATTTTGCACTGGTTTTCAATCTCAGGGAACATCTTAACAAGTAAGCCAGGGAATGTGGTGCCAAAATAGGCGCCGTCTATATTCAAGTAACGTGAGCTCAGAGGCAAATAGATATCGTTACAGCATGGACAGTACAAACGGACTGTTTCCTGGCCTGGGATGTCGGTGGCACCGACAGGGATAAGATGCATCCCATCACAATAGTAACGGGGACAGATGCCAAATTCGGAACGCTCAAACTTGCTGGCCATGGCAGTCAAGCCGCCCTTGGACACGATGTAACGTGCGTGTATGAGGCCGTACAAGAGCTCGGCGGAGTGTGATAGTAATGCCTTGTTGGGCAAGTCGTTCTTGCCCTTGCCATTCAGGGAACCAGCGTTAGTTCCGGCAGAATTCAACCCGCTACCACCGCTACCATTATTATCCTCGGCGGTCTCAACCTGGTAATCCAAAATAGTGTAGAGTGCCTCTCGATAATATGGAACTTGCAGCGATAGCCCTGTTAAGTTGAAGTCGTCCTCTATGAAGTCTTGGGTGACGGGGACGAAGTAGTCGTGGCCAAACGCCTCGCAGAACTGCTGGATCCACGGCACGTAGTCGTCCTCGGGGTCGCTGGACATGACAGCTGGTGGAGACGGGGATGGGGACGGGAAGGGGGAACTGTTCTTTGGGCTCGTTTTTGCGGCTAAGGTGTGTTCCTCATTTGATGGAGAGGGAGGAAGTAAAAATTGGATGCTCGCACGTCAGGCTTTTCTGCTCACGTGCGTTCCACTGCGCTACACTTTCTACTTCCCTCACCTTTTGGAGACTTCTATCCAGACGTACTTCTTTTATAATACCATCAATGCTAGACCTAAAACCTTCAAGCATCTTGGTGTTTGTGTTTGCCGTGCTTCTTTTGAAGACTGTGGTGAACACTATTGGGAAAGTCAATATCGAAAACTATGCATGGAATATCTACACTGGCTTTGCCAGCAAGTCCGGGCACCCTCAGTTCGTGGAGCTCAGAAACAAGAGAGCTGAGTTGGTGGAGATCAACAAGCAGAGGAAAGCTATTAGCGCCCAGGACCAGTATGCTAAATGGACAAAGCTTAATCGTCAGTTTGATAAGGTCAATGGAGAGGTGGCTGCCTTGACTGAAGCTGTGTCCAGTGAAAAGCTTCGCTTCACCAAGACCATTGGCGTACTTATATCGTTGGGCACTGCTGCACCAGTATGGTTTTCTAGAGTGTGGTACCGTAAGGCCATTTTGTTTTACTTCCCTCCAGGTGTTCTTCCTCACTACCTTGAATGGGTCTTGGCTTTGCCATTTATCACCACCGGCGGTGTGGGCTTGACCATCTGGATGATGGCTGTCAATTCTGTATTAGCAAGCTTGGCTCAAATCATTCTGTTTTACATTCTGCCAGCTGTCGAGCAGCCTACCAAGCCAGAACAGAAACCAACTGAAAAGACAGAATAGACCTGATGATGCATTGTACTATATAGACGTTTAAGACATAGTTAAATTAGCTCCACAAGCTCATGAAACCGCTGTTGCATATTCTCTTTAAGCTCTTTGTTGTTCTCATCGAACGTATATCTGCCCTTCTTTCCCTTCTCGATCTGTTCGTGATTGAGGCTGTATGTCTTTCGTAAGACATTTTGAAGCACAGGCAAATTCAGCTGTACCTCTGTCTCCTCCAATGCTAAGAAGTACCAAGGGTCAACAGCCTTGATCCAAACCATCAAATCTTTGGAGTATGTGTAGACCGAGTTGGTGTTTTGTAAGGTGATAAAAGGCATACCCGTTTTGGCATCAACATCGATAGACCTGATTATGTCAACTATGACAGAAGGAACCACACCCTTCTTTGATGCTTCTGGATCGCTTTTGGGAAGCTTTGTTTCACTGTTAATAACAGATGCAACAGATACACCCTTCATAACACCCTTGATGATCAGTTTGTTAGCACCAGATAATTCCCAAGTATACACGAGACCGGAGCCCGTCACAACAAGGATAAAAGATTCGCTTTGCTTTGCAAATATAACATTACTTCCAAGCTCAAGAAGTGGGGTCAAGTAGCTTCCTGAATGAGCATGAACGATCTGAATCGCTCCGTCAAATGAAATCAACACATAATAGTAAAGGCTATCATCGAACAAGATTGGTAAAACTTGTTGGATTCTGAAAGGAAAGTATAAGATGTAATCTCTTGTGTCGTTAAGTTCGTTATTGGTCACAATGACTTGTGTAGGGTCCTGAAAGTCTAATCGCTGAGCGTAGTCTGCGTTCATGGATGCATCGTCCTCAGGCCATGCTGACCCATTTCTGACTTCTATTATCGACGTAACTAGATGTTCGCTAGCGCCATTTTCGTTCAAAGATTCATACTTTGGTTGTTTGTTCAAATGCTGAACGGATTTCACAACAACTTGGAACATGATGTTTTCATCAACTGCATCGATAGACGATGGGTTAATCATTTCTTGAGAGCTTATGATATCCTTCTTTTGAATGAGACGACCAAGTTCATGGTTCATCACTGCAGCGTTCCTGAAAAGCACATTAGGCAAATCGGAAACATACTTGAATGGAGTTGGGTATTTATGAACCATGAGCCACCTTCTGTAGCGTTTCATCTTCTTTCTGAATGAACCGCCAGTATTATAAGTGCTCAGACCAGCATTAGGATCGTCCATGCCAATGTCTTCGTTGTCATTGTCTTGGTCTTCATTATTCTTCAATGCATCATCACCATGACTATTGTCCCTATGTTTGAGACCGTGGACGCTTGTTTGTATACCCAAGCGAGGTAAGAAGTATGGTGTTTGGGAAATCTTGCTAGCAATCTCAAATTTTCTCCCAGATTTGGGTGCTGGCTGTGATAGTAATGCATTATTCTTTGGCGGTGCTGAACTGCTGGAAACAAGCATAGGTGCCACTCTCTTCTTACCATCCTTCGTAATTTTGACACTCTGTGTAAGGACGTTTACCTTCTTTGGAGCCACAGGTTCCTCCTTTGGCTTCTGTGGTGTTGATGGAGCAGTGGTAAAGCCCTCTTCTGTCTTTTGCTTCACTTCAATGGGTGGAGTCAATGGCCTGGCTGATATAACATTTCCCTGTTTAGCAGCAAGCTCCTCGAGTTCGAGCTGCTGAGCGCTTTCGGCAAAAATAGTCAGTTCTCTATCACCTCCATACCGTAGTAATTGAGAATCGTTTACATCTTCAGCCACAACTTCACCGAGCTCTTTTTCTTCAAAAATGACACATGTAACAGATCCATCGAGCGAAGTAAGAAAGAGGGACTGTCCGTCTGGTGCCCAGCAAATGTCTGTAATGGCATTCTCCACCACTTCCTCAGCCACCACCAAAGGTTTCGTGCGGCCAGTGCTCCATATCGCGAGGGTCCTATCTTGTCCACCTGTGGCAAGAATAGTCATGTATTGATCAGTCTTGTTCTTTGAGTCACCTTGATGGAATAGCCTGGGAGAGAAGGAGCATACTTCGCATGGCGCTTCATGACCAATAAGAGACACATCGGTAGCCCAATTGCCTCTGTTTATGATTACGACAGCTGTAACAGGGCCATTTGTAGCATTTGGGACAGCAATGTGCTGGCCATCGGGCGACCACGACATTCTGCGGAAATATGATGTGAGAGGGGACTTTTTGAAAGGGTCCATGACGATATGTTCCACCTGGAACTCATAATTATTAGCCGAAGCGTCATTGAGTTTCCTCGAGTAGCGGAATATTCTGACGGTTCTGTCGTCAGAAGCTGTAGCAAAGAACTTATTGGCAGGGTCAAACACTATACCCTTTACCATAGACTGGTGGATATCGTATCTCTTGATTCTTTCAAAAGTCGTCCCGCTCCAGATAATAATGGAACGATCCAAACCCACTGTAATCAACAAAGATCCATCTGGAGACCAGCATATATCCTGAACATCATTGTCGTGAGCCACGAGTCTCTTCCTCACCATCCAATGCTCCAAGTCAGCCTCGGTCTCTCCAAACTGTTTGGGCCGATTGGTCTGTTCCTCATCCTTCTCCCACACAAGAATGATCTTATCGTCTGATCCAGACGCTAGAAACTTCCCGTCTGGTGAAAACTTCACGCACGTTACCGCTCCATTATGTCTGGACATCGAGGCCACAGGCCGCTTGAGTTCAAGAGGCAGCTCGTCCACATCCATACGGTCAATGAGACCGTCTTTAGTATCCTCCTCTGGCTGGTAGTCCTTGTACCGTAGAATCAGCTTGGTGTCCCATATCTTGACATTTCCATCAAGCCCACCGGTAGCTAGTCTGGTACCGGTATGGTTGATGCTGGTGGCATAGCACTCTATAAATTTGTTTTCAGCTGGATGTTAGTATAAGAAAGGAGAGTCATTGCCTTTTTACATACCTCTGTGGCCTAGCCACGGTAGCTTTATGATATGCATTGGGGTTCTTGAGTTGTTGGTAGTGAGAGTTCTTCTGTGTGTAGATACACACTGGCTGCGAAAAACTAGTGTAGAGACTACGCTGTGCTAATTTGTTTCCATACCTTTACTATAACTTACAAACCAAATTCCTCGTGGACGGCAGCACCAAACTTTTTCAAACCGAATTCTAATTCGTCTAATGGGACGGCAGCGTAGGTACCTCTGAAAAAGATAAACTTGTTGAGAGCTGGATCCTTAGGAGTTGGTGGCTGGGGAGGGTTGGTCTGACCGTGGGCTTGGAACCACGATCCTGGAATAATTAAGGTTCCCTTCTCCAAACCCTTTCTATAAATGGACTCCTCGACCTTCAATGGGCTCTCTCCAAGTTCTTTGTACTTTGGATGCTTGCTGGCGTCGATTTGGACAATGAAGAACATACCAGCCACTGGTGGCAAGATCTGGACAACTTCCTTAGGGAAGTACTTGTGCAAGGCATCAATGGCCACATCTCTCTTGTGGGTGTACTCGGCTCTCAAGCCAATCAACCAGTCCAAGTAACCCTTCTGGCCCCATCTCTGGAACAAACCGTTCAAAGCAGACTGGGCAAAACCAGATGGACACTGGATGGAGACTTCGTGCAATCTAACAAATCTCTCCAACAACTTCTCTTGACCGACAATCCAACCAAATCTCGAACCTGGAGCAATGGTTTTGGAAACCGAGTCCAATCTAATAACACGACCCTCGGTATCCATGGAAAGAAAAGATGGCACCAAGGCCTTGACGAACTCCTCGTGAGAGTGGACGTGCTTCTTAGATCTCTCGTCCAAGTTCTCAGTGTATGGCTCCATCTGCAAGAAGTAGTAAGGCTCGTCCTCAATGATGATGAAATCGTGCTTCTGGGCAAGCTTGTAGATAGCCTTTCTTCTCTCAGCACTCAAACAAGAGCCAGTTGGGTTCTGACCGGTACAGATGGTGTACAACAACTTTGGCTTGTCACCAACCCATTGGTCCAAAACCTTCTCCAAGGAATCTGGGAGAAGACCCTCGCTATCCATAGCAACAGGAATGGTGTGGATGCCCTGAGCGCTGGCAGTCTCCAAAGCGGAAGAGAAAGTGTGTTCTTCAACCAAGATGGCATCACCACGGGTAACAAAGGTTCTCAAGACAGCATCCCACGACTGGGTGTTACCGATACTGGCAATCAAAGACCAATCCTCGTAAGGAACTCTGTGAATGGTTTCAGTGTGCTCCTTCAAGAAGTCAAGGATCTCTGGCTGGCCCTCAGTGTAACCGTACTGCAAAGATCTAGACAACTCCACATCCTTGTTCTTTGGATCATTCTTGGACTTGTCCTTGAACACTTCAATGACAGTCTTGTCCTCCTCAGTGGCCTGGACACCAATACCATGTGGGAATGGAGCACTTGGTGCATCCAACGAGATCTTGTTGAACGGAAAGTAGTCGGAAAGCGGCAAACCACCACCCAAGAAGGTCATTCCGGGCTGGTTGAAGTACTTGAAAGCACCCTTCAATGGAGAATTCTTTCTGGACTTTGCCTCCTCAGACAACAAATGCGAGAGATCTTTGGCTTGTGGCTTGGACATGTTGTTTGATTTCGACACAAAAAAGTAATTGAGGAGAAGAAACAGCGAGTCTGTCAAACTTTATACAGCACAGTACCGTCTGAGTAATTCATGCGCGGCACCGAGCTATCGCGGTACCGGCTATCTCTGAAGGCTTCGACGTGGGTTACTCTTTAGAGCTGTGGAAGGTGCGTGCGAACATTGGGGGGACAGGTTGTGAGTCAGGCCTTGAGCGGTAAGTTCCATTGGAGGAAAAGATGGGGAAACTTTAAAACAGGGCACGGCAATTTCAGAAATTCTGACACAACAACAACAATGACCCTTTTTCTTTATTATATTTTATAGAGGGGTCAAAAAGGGCTGTGTTTAGTGGGAGCGGCTGCATTTGGGATCTGGTTAACGTAACCGCAGAAATGCATCTAGGAGGACGGAAGTGGGGGGTTCGTTATTCCGATTCTTCTCGAAAACGTTCCAAAACCGAAGTGTTTCATCTCCAGCTCCCGTGACAATGGTTTCTCCATCGGGCGAAATCGAAAGGTAAAGAACTCTGTATGTGTGTCCGGTAAGCTGTGCTATCTGTTGCATTGACAGATACTTCCATACGATTATCTGATTCCGCGAATACCCGTGTGTCGAAACAAGCTCATTGGAATTCTTTGACCAGATCAAATTGCATACCTGGGAACCTGTTTCGACGTTGTTGATTCGATTGCCTGTAAGCGTGTTCCATACCTTGATCGTCTTGTCTGCTGTACCACCGCCAGATGCCAAGATACCTCGCTGGTGAGGCGACCATGCAATAGCCTTGACAGCTGCATTATGCTCAGTGAATTGATGCAATGGCTTGGTGTTGAGTGCATCCCATATGAAAAGGTTATTGTCGTTACCACCACTGGCGAGCTTGTTCTCTTCGACATTCCATTTAAGCCCACACACCTCTTGCTTGTGGTGCTCGAAACAATTCACGTAGTGATCCTGGATTCTAACGTCTCTGTTCAAAATTGTTCTGTCTCTGGAACCACTCGATAAGATATGCTCATTCCATGCCAATGCACTCACTCGGAGCTTATGCCCTGTCATTGTACGAACGCAACGAGTCTTGGTAGCATCCCAGATCTCCACAAGTCCCTTCAGGGTTCCCACAGCTAAATGAGTTCCAGACCCTATCCAGCTGAGAGATGTCACCTTGTCTTTCTGGTCCAACACACAAAGTCTCTCCACAGATTGTGTCAGTCCATCCCATAAATATACAGAGTCACCAAGACCAACCGCAAGCACGTCCTGCGAACCCCAATCAACTAAATTAAGATAGAAATCGTCTGAAAGCTCTGGGGCATCCAAGACACGATATGGGACCTTGGAAATGTTTCTAGGTTTCTTTTGAGGACTGAGCAAAAACTTCTGAGACTCCAGGCGGACTGGAGACAACGAGAAAAGTTCTTGTTGCAAGTCTCTAGAGATTGGTCGCAGCTTGCTGGGCAGCTGGTATGTGAACATATTAGCATTCAGGCGTGGAGTAGATGCAACACCTGGGCCCCCTGTTGATCTTGGAGGAGTGGTACGACCAGAAGGAATGTTTCCGCCAGCGGAACTCATGGTCGTTGAAGCGTGATTAGCAGACCTCAAGTTACTAGAAGAGTCATTCTTCTTCTCTTGCGATGATCTGGCATGGTTTCTAGAAAGATCAGCTGTGGCCATGGGAACGTGGTCACCGAAAAGCTCAGCTTTGAGCACACTCGAGAACGACCTGTTTGCTTCTTCTTCCTTTCGTATTTCAATCTCGTTTGCATCACGTTCTTCAGCAGTAGCTGACAGGATATTGCCAGCACCAGAGGCCCGAGATGCACGAAGGTCAGGCATAACCTCTTGGTTTGATAAACTAAACGCTGCTTGAAGATCAATACCCGTTCTATTAGGGATGTAGCGGTCACTAAAAAGCGAACGTCCATTGTATCGGCGCCTAGGCGAAGTAGACGGAAACGCACCGTATTGATCTCCTGGTTTGGGAGGTGATAGGCTTCTAGTAGACCTGGAAGGCGACCTCGGCGTCTCTAATGGGTTGGTGTTGGCCCCATTCGAGCCACCTGGCGCGGGAGAGCTCCTTGCATTGAAAGGATTGTCCATTAAAGTTGTTCTTCGTTGTAATCGAAGTGTCTGTCGTAGTGTCTTTGTTCTTGATCAATGAGGGCTGGGAAGCTGATAAAGCCGAATAAACGTTGAAGATTCGGGGCCTTGAACACACAAATTAAATATACAACTTCACACACGGATGATAAACTGGCAATGGGAACCGTATATGTCCGTCTGACGGTAGAATACAAGAAGTGTGGAAGTTATACTGGTTTGTGGTGGTGTGCGGTTAGTAACTATCAAATCTGGCCGGCACTGCAGAGAACACTAGCAACGGGAGGCTGGAAGTAAGACAAGTAGCCAGCAGGAGAAGATAAAAATACTGGAATGATCAGGGGCAGTTTTAGGGGTCGTTAGTGGAGAAGGCCACCAACTTTAAACATTATTATGGTTCTGGTTCTTGGAAGTGGTAGGTATCAGTGCACCATAAGCTGATGTCAAGCGCACAAAGCCACTACTGGACCAAACCAACCAACTCAATGGAATTCTATTAAGCATTCAAAACCACTTGTTAAGGCCTTTGTAAGGAGGCTTCCATGAGGTTTGTTCAAGGTAGAAAAGGAAAGAGGAATGGTAAATCTTCGGCAATCAACATTCCTCTGCTGTTCCGCCCATGAGGCTGAGGAAATGGCTGCGAAAAACCATGCGTCCATTATGAGACATTAGTATAAAGGGACCAATTAATGGACATGTCTAGAGTTAAAGATAACAAAGGGCAGTGGCGCTTGACTTAAAAAAAAGCTTCTGGAGATGAGGGTTTGTCAATGGAATGGCTACGGGCGTGGTTCGTATATGAAACAGAGGAGGCTTGACTGGTTGCTTCCGTTTAACTACTGTAAGTGCGTCCAGCCAGACCTTCTAAGTATTGACATTTGCCGACTGTTATGGTTTCCACGTGGAATTATCCTTATAAAAGGATTGAAGAAGATTTATGGATTTCCAGGTCGTCCAGTATACGAAGTTACTGTCTCCTGGCTAGGTAGACCTCAGGACGACTCTTTACTGGAGGTTTGACTGCGAAAGGAACGGAATTTCCGCCAAATGACATTATTCCGGCGAGATGGTAATACTTTTTCGGCTTCACAGACAAAACCTTTCCTTTCTAAGTCCCCGTTATATTTTTTCAGAAAAGTCCGAATCCGAAATGTCAATGCTTCATTACCAGAGGCTGGAAAACCCGTGGTGCACGGGTGCGCAGATATGGCCAATGGGACTTGGGCATTTTCTCGTTACGCTTACTGTACAGTGCTTCATACATTGAGATTAAAAAAAATATATACCTACCAACTTCGAGCCAACGTCCAACTTAATCCACTGACAGCCGGTGTTCTCCCCATCTTTGCATCTTTTTAATACTCATACAACTCATTTGCATCATGTTTCGTCAATTGGCTAGAAGAGTTGTGGCTCCATCCGCCAGATTCACTCCAGCTCCTCTTATGAGATCATCCCTCAGAAACTCCAGTATAATCGCTGTCCACAGAGACATCAAGGAAGATAACCCAAACATTCCATTCGAGTTCAACTCTGAAAACAAGAAGAGAGCCGATGAAATTATCGCCAAGTACCCCCTCAATACAAGAAAGGTGCTGTGATGCCCTTGTTAGATTTGGGCCAGAGACAGTTGGGTTTCACCTCCATTTCGGTCATGAACTATGTTGCCAAGATGTTAGACATGCCTCCTATGAGAGTTTATGAAGTTGCCACTTTCTATACCATGTACATGAGACAGCCTATGGGTAAGCACAACATCCAGGTCTGTACCACCACTCCTTGTCAGTTGTGCGGCTCTGACGATATCATGAAGGCTATCAAGGACTATCTTAAAATCAAGCCTGGCCAGACTACCCCAGACAAGATGTTCACTTTCCAGGAAGTCGAATGTTTGGGTGCCTGTGTGAACGCTCCTATGATGGCTGTTGACGACGACTACCACGAGGACTTGACCCCAGAGAAGACCGTGGCCATCTTGAAGACTTTGCAAGAAGGTAAGCCATTGGAAAAGGCTGGTCCTGTGTCGGGCAGACTCTCCTGTGAGCCATTCAGCGGTAGAAAGGTGTTGAACTCGCCTGAACCAAACGACGTCCGTAAGTTTACCAGAGCCGATTTGTAAACTTCGCTTCTAAACGTCATCATCTGTAAATTATACTCGCATATATCGAATCCATAGGTTAGGCCATTTGAAATAGTAGCTTTCCAAATCTGGTTGTGAAACTTCCCGTGATCCTGGTCACGTGAAAGCACATTAGATTTATCTACACCTTATTTCTCTTCCCCGCTGGACAGAATTCAAATACAAAGTACTCAATACCTCTTAAGCGAATTCAATTTTTAAAATCATAATTTTTCTTTCTATCCGAACATGTATGTCCAGCTTTATTAATGTTGTCTATCTTATCTTGTCATAACCCCAGATAAAGTTCTGCACACAGCCTATCAGTCCCGTGAGCAGTTGCAATTCGCAGATGACTCCTACTACACAAATAAGTTTCTTTCGGTGAAAAAAAGAAAATCTTCATAGTATAGAGTCTTTGTTCTTCAATATGACCAAAACAAAGCCTTATAACATCGAGACCGAGTTGGTCATAAACAAGTCTTCGGACCAATACAACGCCAGTGTTCCCCCACTATACCAGTCGGCCACGTTCAAGCAAGAATCCCTCTCTAATATGGGTGAATATGACTACACCAGATCAGGAAATCCAACGAGAACACATCTACAGAACCACATGGCCAAGATCATGAAAGCCAATCAAACCTTTGCTGTCACTTCGGGTATGGGTTGTCTTGATGTGATCTTGCGTTTGCTTCAGCCGGGTGACGAGGTGATCGCTGGAGACGACTTGTACGGTGGTACTCATAGATTGTTGACGTACATGAACAACAAGGGTGACCTTAAAGTTCACCATCACGACACGACAAATACCGAGTTGATCAAATCGAAGATCACGCCAAAGATAAAGATGATCTTCTTGGAGTCTCCGACCAACCCGTTGATTAAGGTTTGTGACGTGAAGGCCATCACAGACCATGCACATGCTGTCAACCCTGACTGTATTGTTGTTTTTGACAACACCATGATGACCCCTATTTTGATGACACCCTTGGATTTGGGTGTCGATATCCAGTACGAATCGGCCACGAAGTACTTAAACGGTCATCACGATATCATGGCCGGTATCATTGGCACCAGAGACCCTAAGTTGGCTGAACGTGTATATTTCGTGATCAACTCCACCGGGTGTGGATTGAGTCCCTTTGACTCATGGTTATTGAGCAGAGGTTTGCGTACGTTGGCCGTTAGAGTCGAGAGACAACAAAAGAACTGTGTGAAAATTGCTGAGTTTTTGCAAAACGCTGGATTTAAGGTTAGGTACGCAGGCTTACCTACCCATCCTCAGTACAAATTGCATCAGAGCCAGTGTAAAGGCGCTGGGCTGTGTTGAGTTTCGAAACCGGTTCCATTAAGATGTCCGAGAAGATTGTCGAATCCACTGATATTTTCGGTATTGCCGTCTCTTTTGGCTGTGTCAACTCGTTGATTTCCATGCCATGTAAGATGTCTCATGCTTCTATCGACTCAAAGACCAGAGAAGAAAGAGAATTCCCTGAAGATTTGATCAGACTATGCATTGGTATTGAGAACGTTGATGATTTGATTTACGACTTGACAAGAGCACTTTTAAAGAGCGGGGCTGTGAAGGTGAACGACAAGGACGAACTATACAATGCCGTTGCCGTGCAGCCTAAATTATAACAGATTGGGATTGAGGTTGTCTGTTTATACGTGACTTGGGATACTGACAGGTATATTTAGTGCCCATGGTTGCGACTGATAGATGGTATATAATTTAAAGAAACGAAAATCATAAAATTAACGAAAAAAAGAGAATAGTCAAACCCAGTGTATTTCCTGGTAGTGTCCTTGGCTAGTACTCCAGCAAAGATCTTGATGTCTTGCACATAGTGGCCAAACCAAACACAACGCGCTACAAAGTAAATCGCGTCAGCTCGTCTTCAACATCAAACTGCTTCTCGAATATGACCGAAACTTACGGTGTGCAACCCGGTTCTTTAAAGGAAGCCCTCAGTCAGTCGACCTGTCACTTGTGGGAAAATAAAGGACTTCGTCTCCAGGTGACTAACTCGAAAGTCATCAACGAACAATCTGCCACTGAGAGGAGATACAGATGCGTGATTAGTGATGGCAAATACTCAATCCAGGGTTTAATCGACGCAAGATGCAACGCGTACTTGGAAGCCAACGGCTTTGCACGCTACTCTATTATTACTGTGAAGCAATACACTGTGGCAAGAACTTTGAAGAGAATTGTGCTCATCTCCGATCTTCTGGTTGATGTGCCTAAGACTGATAGAATCTCGTCTGATTTGACTTCTCTTGATGCTTACTTTGACCAGAACCCTGATGAGGACACTGCCACTAGTGTTGCAGGAAACCAGGGTAATCTGCTGAGCAACAGTCCCCAGCCTCAAGCTCAACAGGTCCAACAACAGCAGCAGCAGCAGCCTCAGAAACCCAACCAGCAGACGCGTGGCCGTGGACCTGAGAGACCCGTGAACCCAATCGAGTCCTTGTCTCCCTACCAGAATAACTGGACTATCAAAGGTCGTATCTCCTATAAAGGTGAGATAAGAACTTGGTCTAATAGCAGAGGCGAGGGTAAGTTGTTCAACGTGAACTTTTTGGATGAATCTGATGAAATCAGAGCAACTGCTTTCAATGACATGGCTGACAAGTTTTACAACTTGCTTGAGGAAGGTAAGGTCTACTACGTTACTAAGGCTCGTATCCAACAGGCAAAGCCAAAATTCTCTCACCTCAGTCATCCTTATGAATTGTCCTTGGATAAAGACTCGGAAATCACAGAGTGCTTTGACACTTCTGATGTTCCTAAGATCAACTTTAACTTCACCAAGTTGAGCGATATCCAGAACTCTGAGAAGGATGCAATCCTTGACGTTGTCGGCGTTATCAAGAACGTCAACGATGTCTTCCAGATCACTGCCAAGTCTACAGGTAAGCCATTCAACAGAAGAAACATCACTCTTGTCGATGACTCTAACTTTGCTATCGATGTCGGTTTATGGAATGCTACCGCTGTTGACTTCTCAATTCCATCTGGTTCGGTTATTGCCGTGAAAGGTGTCAAAGTCCAGGACTTTGGTGGCAGATCTTTGAGCTTGACACAGGCGGGAAGCATTTTGAGTAATCCTGATATTCCCGAAGCCTACCAGTTGAAGGGATGGTACGACAATAAGGGCGTCAACGAGAACTTCCAAAGTATGAAGACCGAATCTCGTACCGCTGATCCCTTGGCCAACAGAAAGACTATTCAAGAGTCAGAAGAAGCCGAATTGGGTATGAAGGAGAAGCCAGATTACTTCTCCATCAAGGGTACCATCAACTACTTCAAGACCGATAACTTTTGCTACCCAGCTTGCAATAACGAAGTTAACGTGTCGTCTAGGGGTCCTACTCCTTGTAACCGTAAGGTTCTCCAGGAAAGTGATGGCGCTTGGAGATGTGAGAGATGTAACCTCACATACCCTGAACCGCATTACAGGTATATTTTGAACTGCTCGCTTATGGACCACACTGGTCAGATTTGGGCCACTCTTTTTGACAACGAAGCCAGGACACTCTTCAAGGTTAGCGCTAATGAATTGATGCAAATGAAGGATCAAGAAGACAATGATGTCCATGATTTTTCCAGGTTGATTTACTCAATTACCATGAAGGAATTCAACTTCAGATTGAGAGCCAAACAGGAGAGTTACAACGGTAATATGAGAGTGAGATATAACGTGGTACAAATTAACGAAGTTGACTTCAATGCTGAAAGTCTTCATTTGGCCAAGCAGTTGGAAGCTGTGCTATAAGCTGGGGATGATTTAGGAAATTAATGTGTATTTGTTTTGATGCGATTATGTAGGCAAGTCGATAATCCCGACTTGCAATGCTAAAATGATTGTGTGTTATACTCAACGAAACCGTTAACCAACAACCAGAAGCTTTTGAGGACTTCATTTGCAGCTCTTCTTCCTCTCGTCACCACTAGACGATGCACGAACATCTCAAGATCTTTCTCAGTAGCTTTAGATCCCGCCGTAGTTTCTGGTTCCCTGAGAGCATTCACCAACCATTGCTTGAATTGCATGGTAAATTTGCCAATGATAGCTCTAAATATCATATAATACCCATCAAGAGAGGAACGAGGGGCCTTAAGGAACGCTTGAAGCAACTTCTTTGTCAACACCTCGCCAAGATTCTGCTGAAGAAATATGTCATTTATTCTATCCTGGTCCTCTTTGGTTCCCTTTTTTAGGGACGTAAAGTTTGTCCAGAACTTCAGTACGGACTTCACGATGAAAGTTTCGTTTGCGCTCAAGCCATCAAGGGCAAAGTGAAGAATAATGTTGACAAATGCGTCGGTATGAATAATAAGCGACGGTTTGCATTCTATGATTTTGGCTGATAAGTCGATGGCACTTTTCATCATATCAGGATCGGTTTTAAGGAAAGAAAGCCTATCAGAAACAAGTCTATCAACCAATTGTTGGACTAATGCTGGCTCAAGCTCCCTAAAATTGAAGCATATGAGAGACTCGATGAGTGCAAACACATAGGGAACTGCGTTTGGATTCTCAAGAGTATTGATCACTTTGATTGCATATTCAGCGATAGTTTCGTTACTGAATGTCAAAGGCCCGTTGAGCTTCTCCCCAAGACCTGCCTTGAACACTTGCGTAGCTTTCTCTATCACAATTGTTTTCTGACGAAGAGGAGGATAGTTCATACTAAGTTCTTCCACAATGAGGAGAACAACTTGCTTTGTTTGAAGTGGGTCTGATATCCAAAATTCTTTGAAACGTGCCTGGAATTCCTCAGACATGTTATCGATGGTCTCATCAGGTAGTCCGCTACCTTTAGCAATATTGACAATGCAAGATATCAAAGAAATGAGATATTCTTCTTGGCCTTCATTCAATTCTTCCAGAGCAGCTCCAATCATCGACCGTGCTGCGTCTGCGATAGTGGTGATAAGCCCATTAATGATTCTGGCGTGCTCTTCAAGGTCAGTTATGCTCCTAGCAATGACGCTGAACGCGTTAAACATTCTCAGTCTAACCAAGCTGTCAATCTCGGGGTTCTTGAGCATCTCCAATACCACCGGCTCCAAGCTAGGAAGGAAGGTGAGCAATTTCTCGCTGCACCGTTCACATAAGTTGGTAACCGTTTTGAAGCTAGGAACGAGAGGGGTTGCCTGCCATGCATAACGATGGGGAAAAGATAGTTAAATACCTCACCCAAATGATTGAAGCCCTCGTCGCTAGCAAAGTAGAACTCATTGGAGTTGAGATATTGTAAAAAGGTGGACGTATATACCACCGTCAAATCCAAAGACGACGGTAGCAGCTGAAAAGAGCGAATGATATTGCTGTTGAATATTCTCTGTGAACAAGGTATGAGCGCTCTTGTTTGCAGCTCATAGTATGAAGAATCATCATTAATTTTGTACAACAAGAAGAGCGTAGATTCTAATTCAGCAATATGTTCTTCGCTAAAATTAGACTCTGCTTTTCCAGCAATAAAATTTGTCAATCCTTCGTAGAATGGAGCTTTCAAAAGGTTATAGACAACCAAAAAGAAATCAGCCACGTTACTTCTATAGCTTAGGAAATCCGCTTTCGATGAGTAATAATCCGATGCCTTAGGTATTTGAATCTTCGTCCAGTATATTTTGGATACCTCGTCAAATATCCTCTTTCTTTCGTCGTTGAAGGCATCGGCAAAGCTTGGATCGTCGTTATTTTCAAGGAGAATCTCCACTAAATCTTCCAGATCGACGTAAATATTTGCAAACTCTTCCCAAAAGACTAGCGTCTGTTCAGAAATAGACTCATCGATGTGGGGAACTCCTGGAATTGCAGTGAGTCTGTATAAAATAGAAAGCACGTTACGTGTTTTGGGCTCAAGAATCGTTTTTGATAGCCTTATCAGGTTTAGCTGAGCAATAACGATAGCAAGGTATACATATGCATTAACTTCCTCGTCAAACTCCTCCCTTCTGTTTGTGAAGACAATCTGATTCAAGAAGTTGTGTCCCCATTTACCCTCATCAAAGAGGTTGCTGTACAAAGCCAGTTTCGTCTCCATGGATAAGAGTGCAGCGTCGCTCTCTAATATTTCCGAAAAGACCGCCATACATTCTTTGCATAGTTGTAAGTTGCTTTCATTGTCAGTATCGCAATCACCATCCAAATGGATCATGAGATACTCCGTTATAGGAGCTACTTCTTCAGCGGAATACCGGAGCTCGCCTCCGATGTTAGGAACATATGTCATCCAAGAAGCTATTGTCTTCGATGTTTCCAAATCAATTTCATGGGAGAGGTTCCTTTGGGAAAGAAGATGCTTGACGTAATCCACACAGGTGACCAACAAAGGGTAGATATCAGATTTTATCACTGAATGGACTGCCAGTCTGTAATCATTGAGTCTAGTCACATCTTCGACAAATATTGCAAAGAATAGAAGTAGAAGGATGAATAAATCTGCCAGGAGGTTGGCAATGCAAGATGCAAAGGACAAAGAATCGTCGAAGGTGTTCCCCGAGATGGCTTGGATGAAAGTGGCAAGGGGGTTGCGAGTATTGTTAGGAAATCGAATAAATATTTGGGATAGGTCGGATGCTAATTTTCGTAGAACGATGAGGTTTTGGCCCATGGAAACTTTGACATTCTGGTGAATATGAGTGCCAATGGCCTGGATGAGCTCATTTAACTGTTCATCCGAGGGCTGGTCGAGATGTTGAATGACCACGGCATACGATAAAGCTCCAAAGTACCTAGAATTGACACTTTGCAGTTGGAGCAAGTATGATGCTAGTGCCTGGCCATGTTCGGATCTTTGCAAGTCTCTTAGGTTCTTCAGTAGATGAGTGACTTGCTCTTGGTTGCTTGTGGAATACAACGCTTCAATTTGCTATATGGTTAGATCGGGATCAAAAGATTGGATTGTAAGTAACGTACCTTTTCAGCCTCTTCGAAGAATTGTTCCATAGCGTAGGTATTATGGCAGACACCTGGAGGGTATATGTTGATGCGAAGATCAAGATGTATGCACATACTTAAGAGAGGTTACTACAAAAGCCCACAAGCACAGTTGAAGAAAGCTGTACGACAAACGTGGATGGACTGTGGTAGAAAAGGTTATAGAATTTGGTCTTTTGAAGATTTGGTGGTGATTTGCCTTGTAGGTAAAAGTAAGGATGGCGTGGGTAGCTTGACAGAGTACAATTCGACTTTGAATGTCATAGATTTGATTTCAAATTTCTCACCATCAAGCAACGAGTGTTGAAAAGGGACCTTTGAAATATCTGGTCTTTTTTCGTACTGTTTAAGAATTTTAAGTATGTCTACAATATTGTCTAATAACCAGAGTCTTCGAGTTCGCAGTTTCTTCCTAAGTTTTGCACCCACTTCCAGATGATAACTTACAAACCACACCAATAATACAAAAAAGAAATAAAAATAAAACTCAACCACTTGGTATAAAAAATGGTATCAAAACTTTAGGGTTTCTCTTCCAAACGAGCCCGTCTTATCCCACTCAACGATCCACTACTGCCATCCGACAAGTGTCTTACTGTGGACGTACTAATCAGGCTACCAAACCAGCCAACAGACGGCATCATACCACCCACAGTCCACCAAACTTCACCAAGCCAGCGACCCCCCAGATATCTAATCACCAGGTAAGTACTCTGCCTACCGATGGCCTAACAAACCTTAACTATGTCATATCTAACTTCCACTGTTTGCAGCCAATGCAAGACAGTCCATAGAGTGAGCATTTTTTCTTAGCCAGCGTCTCCAAATGACGTACACATTTCTGAGCACCCTGAATGGACCATCCAAATCAAGACCAAATTTCCAAATCTAAAGACATTTCTCTACATCAATTTGTCTACTTTTCTCTATCATCCCATTTGAAAGCAACTTTCTTCTGCAAAACCCTAAAGCATGACTTTGTGGTCAACCGTCACCGATCTTTTAGATTATGTCAAACAGCGCGCTGCGCTTACGGCTACTGGGTGAACCGAACATCCCGATACTACAAGTGGAAAGTGGTAGTGGGCGGCATTCCTTCTCGGGCCAAGCTCGGTATTCAGGGTCATCTGATAAGGAGTGAAAAGGAGAGCCAGGAAAGTAGTCTGGAAAAGTTAATTCTAGTTCCTCTGTGCCGATCGCTTTGTCCCTCATTCTCTGTATCTGTCGTCACGAACAGTCAACTCCTAGCACCTTCATCTTGAAATGAAGGGTGGGTTATTTAGTAGTGATAAACAAATTTGATCTCTGTCTCATCGCTTTTTTGCCCTCTTAGTAGACACCTCCAACTACGGGTGCTTGCTTCCCTTCACCGTACGGCTCGCTTGCTGCCTCGGTGCTTACATAAGCAGCCTTCCGCTCGCTCACATTCCTTCCTAGATATATCAGGCAATTAAAAGTTACCTATCATTTTCTCTTTCCCACCAAACTTCAAGTTATATTGATAAAAATGTCTGTGGCTCAGAGAAGAGTGTCCAGGGCCGAGTGTACTAACTGTACATGTTCGCCTGGCTTGTTATCGAGGAACAGAAGATCGTCTACTTTTGCTAAGAGAATCTCTATCAAGAGGTTCAACTCCCAGCTGGGTTCCCCTAAGGGTTCCCGTAAGGGCTCCGTCTACACTATCGACGCTGCTTCTTTGTGTGTACCTGAGGTGAAGGAGGTGAACACCTCGCTTAGGTTGGAGAAGCTCAGGAAGTTGATGGCCGAGAACGACTTGGGCGTTTACGTGGTGCCTTCTGAAGACCAGCACCAGTCCGAATACGTCGCTCCTGTTGACCAGAAGCGTGCTTTCATTTCTGGCTTTTCTGGAAGTGCCGGTGTAGCTGTTGTCACCAGAGATGTGAACAGTTTTGGTGACGTTCCTGAGGGTTCGGCTGCCTTGGCTACTGACGGCAGATACTTCACTCAGGCTACCAACGAATTGGACTTCAACTGGACTTTGTTGAAACAAGGCTTGAAGGATGTGCCTTCTTGGGAAAAATGGGCCGTTCAGCAAGCTATTCAGTTATCGCTGGATTCAGGCAAGTTAGTGAAGATCGGTGTCGACCCCAAGTTGATTAGTTTCCTGACATTTGACAAGATTACCAAGACCATCGAAGAAGAACTGAAGAAGAATACTGAAGCTAATGTTGAGCTTGTTCCCGTCAAGAAGAACTTGATCGATGCCATCTGGCCCGAGTTTGAAGAAATCCCCCTGTTCCCGAGAACATTATCAAGGTTCTCGACAAAAAATACGCTGGTGAAGACGTCAAGTCTAAAATTGCTAAAGTTATTGAAGCGATTAAAGAAAATTCATCTGATGGAATTGTTATCAGTGCATTAGACGAAATCGCTTGGCTCTTGAATTTGAGAGGAAGCGACATCCAGTATAATCCCGTTTTCTACAGTTATGTTATCATCGATGCCGACAAAAAGACAGTTACCCTTTACGCCAACAACAAGAAATTTGACACGCCCGTCAGCCTGCATTTGGAGAGCAATAACGTTAAGCTCAGGCCATACGAGGCCTTCTGGGAAGATCTCTCCAGCTTATCGAAGAAGTTCAAGGAATCGAAGAAGAAGTTTTTGTTAAATGACAGTACCGCCTCATGGGAAATCGTGCGTACCCTAGATTCAGGGCATGAATCAGTGTCGCCATCGCCTGTGGAAGATCTAAAAGCCGTGAAAAATGAAACTGAATTGGAAGGTGCCAAAAAGGCTCACTTGAAGGATGGAAGAGCATTGTGTAGGTTCCTCGCTTGGCTTGAAGATGAAATCTCCAACAAGGTTGAGCTCATCAACGAGATCGAGGCAGACCAGAAGTTGTTTGAATTCAGATCCCAAGAAGAGAACTTTGTTGGCTTGTCCTTTGATACTATAAGTGCTTCCGGCGCAAATGGTGCTATCATTCATTACAAGCCAACTAAAGAAGCATGTGCTACGATTGATCCCTCGAAGATATACCTTAACGATTCCGGTGCTCAGTTCTTGGAAGGAACCACCGATACGACCAGATGCATTCACTTTGGCAAGCCATCCCAAGAAGAGATTGACAATTACACTTTGGTTTTGAAGGGTAATATTGCATTGGGTAGCTTGAAGTTCCCTGAGAAGACTCCTATCAACGATACTGTTGCCAGACAATACTTATGGAAACAAGGAAAGGACTTTGGTCACGGTACTTCCCATGGTATTGGTGCTTACTTGAATGTTCATGAGGGACCAATTGGTCTTGGACCAAGAGCCAACCCAAAGAACCTCTTGAAGGCTGGTCATTTGATCTCTAACGAACCAGGTTACTACGAAGAAGGCGAATACGGTATCCGTATTGAAAATGTTATGTTTGTCAAACCAAGCGGGTTGGAATACGCTGGTAAGAAGTTCCATGAATTCGAGACAGTTACAAGAGTCCCATTCTGCCGTCGTTTGATCAACGAGAAATTATTGACTAAGGACGAGAAGAATTGGATCAACAACTACCACGAAACGATTTGGAAAGATTTGAATGCTACTTTCATCAAGAACACCGTCGAGTGGTCTTGGTTGAAGAGAGAGACAGCCCCATTGAAGTAAGTTTAACGTTTTTTTAAGACTACATCTAATAATACTTGGCTCGGACCTATTCCACTGTAGTGTGTGCAATGATCCACATACCCACATAAAAAGCGTGAGCGGTTCCCCACGAATGCACTAAGTGGTGACCGGACCCGAGCAGCGGAATCCGCGGTCGGAGTCAAAAACCAGCCAATGAGATGCGAGGAAATGCAGATTATCCTGCGGTACGGTCCTGCATGAAAGAATTGCTCTGACTTTCATGCTCAGACATAGACTAAGCAAATATTACTCAGTTTTTTCTGATCTTATATACTACTCTTCTCCCACAGCATTACACTATTTTATAACAGCACAACACCCAAAACTTTTCTGTTAAGCATTTACAATATGTTGAGGAATTGTGCTACCCAGAGAACTAGCATTTTTGTCAGATACGCCTCCCAAGGAGGTTACAAAAGATGGATGCAAACGGTCCCAAGCTCTGTCAAGAGACTGCCTGTTGCCAACTTTGGTTCGTTGAACTACCAGCTTAATCAAGAAATGGCTCCAGTTCAACAACAACAATCGCCCAGAGGATCCCGTTGGTCGAAGCATTCGCTCACATTCCCCTCGCTGGAACCTCAGGAACAAAAGAGCCAGCAGCCAAGAGAACAGCATGAAACCATCACTATAGCATCGCCTCCACAACCGGTCGCAAGAAAGTCAAGAACCTCGAGGTTCAGAAACGTTGCAAAGTCCAACAAGGAGGTGAAGGAAGCATCTGCCAAGCATGAGGAGATTACCAATAAGGAGGTCAAGGAGACCCCTGCCACAAAGAATGAAACATCTGCACACACTGTCACACCAGCAACAGAGGAGAAGCCCTCAGTTGCTTCAGCACCTCTTCCGAAGGTTAACACTGAAAAGCAGGCTCTGGAAGCCTCTGCTAAGCCAAAGAAGGCCAGAAGACAGTTACGTCCCAGAAAAGCATTGATCACATTGTCTCCCGGCGCTATTAAGCACCTTAGAGCATTGATAGATCAGCCCGAACCACGCCTTGTTCGTATTGGTGTCAGAAACAGAGGTTGCTCGGGCTTGACATACCACTTGGAATACGTCACCGAGCCAGGCAAGTTTGACGAATTGGTTGAGCAAGATGGCGTCAAGGTCTTGATTGATTCAAAGGCCCTTTTCTCCATCGTCGGCTCCGAGATGGACTGGATTGACGACAAGCTTTCCTCCAGATTCATCTTCAAGAACCCCAACTCGAAGGGCACCTGTGGTTGCGGAGAGTCCTTCATGGTTTAAAACAACTTTTGGCATATATAATGGGATAGACATAGCATCGGATAATAGCATACCATACGGGATAACATTGATTGTAGGCATTAAACCAGTCTTGTAGGTCTGAGACGGTTGTCTCAAGGCTGAACCTGCGAACTATAAAAGGAGGGTGCGATCGCTTTTGCAGCCAACCCTACCAACCACTTTCTTCTTCTTCAGAACCAACAAGTATGAGATTCACCAAGTTTAACGTAGCCTCAAGCATCTGCTTCTCTAGTCTCTGTGGTGCCGTCCTCGCTGGCGTCGCCCCTGTGATTACTTCTAACCCAAAGAATGCCATTGCCGTTGCCGAATTCCCTCAATTTGGCTGTGGCGAAATGGAAGGATATGTTCTGTTTGAAAGCCCCCATGGCGGCAAGGTTGACGTTCAAGTGGACGTTACCAAGTTGCCTTCTGACGGCGGGCCTTTCTACTACCATATCCATGAGTACCCTGTCCCAGACGACGGTGACTGTGAGAAGGTTGGCCCTGAGTTCAACCCATACCACGCTTCACCCGACTGTGACGCCCAGCCAGGCGACGCCTATTGCAAGCTCGGTGACTTGTCCGGCAAGTATGGCAAGATCAAGGCCACATGTTTCCAGACGGAATACTGTGATCCTTTCATCTCGTTGGACGGGTACTCCAAGGCCAACATTATTGGTCGTTCTTTGGTCTTCCACTATTCTGACATGACCAAAATTGCCTGTGCCAACATTGAGGTTGGTACCGAAGAGCAATTGGACCGTCTTAGAAGTCCATCATGTTCAGATAGTGACAGCGACGACGAAGACGTTGATTTCGTCTTTGACAAACGGGAAGTGGGCAGCGACCAAGGTCCTACCACCACCTTTGTCTCGTCGACTCACAGTTGGGACGGCGCCGACGGCTCTGCCACTTCGGGCGTCGATGCCGGCGACTTGAGTTCCGGCCAACATGGTTTCGCCACCAAGGTGCTGAATTCCTCCATCACTGGGAACAGAACGAATGTGTCCAACTTTGGCCACGAGTCCGCCTGTCCCGAGGAGGGCGCCGCCAACAGCGTTAAGGCTGCTTTTGGCACCTTGTTTGGCCTTTTGACTCCATTCCTCTTGTGAGTGTTGTTAGTCTACAAGTATACCCAATGATATGATTGTTCAAAATAACTATGTCATCTTACGACACTCAAAGTAAGTAGCATCGATGTCGTTGGGCAAGGAGCAGAAGTACTCAAGCTTCTGCATCTGCTTGAAGAGTTGAATCAGGTTATATCTCAAACGTAAGCACGTCTTCTCTCCCCTCTGGTCGTTGGTGCAGATGATTGACTCATTGGCGTATTTCTCGCCATCAATGATAAACATTCTCTTAGGATGGTCGCCGACAAACTTATTGACAGCCTCGTTGCTCTCCTCTTTAGTCTTTGCCTGCGCAAACTGAACATCAGGCTGAGTTTGGGAGGTAGCAATCTGGTTCAAGGTATTCTGGATGTCCAGCTCATCGGGCAGAATTGAAAGATTTTGATGGGAACGTTGCTCCAATTGAGGAGATTGCGGACCTGGAGCCTGCGCCTGATCACCGTTTTTGCCAGCACCAAAGGGAAGCCATGCCATTTTATGGAGTTTTTTTTTGAAGAAAGTGGAGGGAGGTGAGACAGCCTCCTAAGTATTAGGGACCCCCAGGCGTACATGTGCAGGTCTTGATGCCAGAAACCGTTAAAGACAGAGATCTAGCGATTCATTTAGGGCCATTATTGATCTTTCGTAGTCAGCATAGCCAATTCCAACAACTTCTCTAGAACGGTTGAGTTCTCTGGCTCGTTGTTTGGTGAGGGTGCCCAGAGATAACTCTTCTTCTACCTCTCGCGCCTTATCAAACCAATTATAGTCCAGGTCGAACTTTATCTGGCTGGGCGCTAGCTCATCCAATTTAAGAATGGTGTCTAGAATTTTGCTTTCAAATCGAGGCTCCATGGCTGATTTATAGTCTTCGTAAGTTCTCACTGGGTCTGGTTCATCTATAGCGTGACAAGTAGAGTTGAAGACAAAGACATAAGTATTATGGAGGCGCTTTATCAATTCCTCATGGGAGAGATCCTCCGAGATCCCTAAAACCTTTTTTCTTCTGAGATTGAAATCACTTCGAAGGTAGCGGCGTCGAAGAAGTCGGCAGTAGTGTTCTGGGTTGTATGGCTTCAGTGAGACGAGATGCCGAAGACGATAGAAATGCTTGTATGTGGATAAAAAGGCAGACCTCTGGGAAAGCAGAAGAAGATGCTCAGTGGAAGGAAAGTTTGATATTCGCTGAAGCACGGTAAGAACGGGCCCAGTGGGGCTCACCTGGAAAGAAGTCTTCATAGTACAGAGTTTAATATGCGCACGATGAGATGTTTATCTATGGTAAGTGTACCAAAAATATCAATGAAATTTGATTTAGACTTCGTTTGAAGTGATAGGATCTGATTCAGAGAAGGAAGTGAGAGCATAAACAAAATACAAATGCCATGCAAATATTCATCACTGCCAGTGAAGCTGTTGATGGCTGCGAAATGTTTGTTTCCTAAGTACTGATCGCGTTTCCTCAACTACTACTCTCTTCATGACTAAAGAAATTGCCCTCCAGGAATTCGACGATACCTTTGCTTTATCATACACTTTAGAAGTGTCCGGGACTGAAAAGGTGAAATTCCACGTCCCTAAACCTCGCATGCTTGTATGACCCACCCTCTTTTCTGTAGTTATAGTTAACCTATCACTAACCCATTTAGTTTGTTCTTGACGTGTTTTTGAACGGAACCAAGTTGGATGAGACCAACCATTGCGTGCAACGGCTTCATGCTGCCTTAGAGAAGTCGCTGTTCTTACAACAGCTATTCTTTGAAGTGTCGCCTCTGAAAGAGAAACATGGCTCCATCACACTCTACCTCAAGTGCAAATTGTTTGCTGATACATTGGGAGACTTCAAGCATGCTGATAACGTTGGGTATATCGAAAAGATCCACTTTATCTTCAAGTACACCACGTCTTGTCCACTGGTATATTTCAGCAGTCTCTTCAACAATTTGCAATACTGCTTCTGTTCAGCAATGCTAGACTTGGAGAAGCAGTACCCTTTCGTGTTTTCATTCTACGGGAAACATCTCTATGAAATTAACTACAGCACAATGCTTCGGTGCTTTACAGAGCTTGCTACGCCTCTTCAAGGCCCAGGGGAAGCAGATCAATCTGAGATGTTGCAGTTGGTGCTCGAGAAACTCAACCATTTCATGCTTACAAAATTCAACACTATCGCAGTGATGAAAGAATGTGACAAGTCTCCTTACAGATTGCAGCAGTGCAAGAAATCGATTGCTCGACCATTTGAGCCGGACGACAAGAGATTGCTCCGGAATGTTGCGTTGGTGTATAGGGTGCTCGCAGAAGACCCCGAATAAGGCACAAGCGAGTGAAGGAAAGTATGGAATGTAATTTCGCACCAAATCGGGAGTTGATGTAAACACACAGAGGCATTGCCTGGTTTGCGATCTACAACCCTCGCTGAGTGTCAAATACACAAGGGTTACAACAATACATTACCTGGAATATTTCTTTAACCATGTCGTCGTTTTTTTCAAACTTCAACGCCCATACCATCAAGTCGACTAGAGGGTTTAAGCTTAAGCCTGGCTCTCCCATCTCGAGCCCACAGCCGGTTTCTAGCTCTGCCCTTCCCTCCACACCAAAGGGAAACTTCTACGACAAGCCTTCTTTGCAGCTTGATCAGAATGATGCAAACCCTTACCAGACCATGAACGTGTCGTCTGGTTTGTCATCACAGCCAGTGACATCTCATAAAGATATCAGATCTTATGCTGAACAAACCTTGGGTTCAGATAATGCTTTGATCCAGGCGGTGAAGCTTCCCCAGGACGAGGATGTTAATGAGTGGCTTGCTGTACATGTTGTTGACTTCTACAACCAGATAAATATGCTTTACGGTACTATTACTGAGTTCTGTTCCCCACAAACATGCCCTCGTATGATTGCTACAGAGGAATACGAATACTTGTGGCAAGAAACAAATGCTACCAGCAGTGGTAATGTTGCTCCTAAGAAGCCAGTGTCTTTGCCAGCTTGTGAGTATGTGGAGAACCTTATGAACTGGATCCAGAACTTCTTTGATAATGATAACATCTTCCCTTCCAAGATTGGTGCTCCTTTCCCACAACAGTTCCCAAATTTGGTGAAGACGATATTCAAGAGGCTTTTGAGAATCTATGCTCATATTTACTGCCATCATTTCCATGAGATCTCGGAGTTGGGTTTGCAGAGCCACTTGAACACCAGTTTGAAGCACTACGTTCTTTTCAGTAACGAGTTTGATTTGATAAGCAGACGTGATTATGGTCCGCTTGAGGATTTGATTAATACTATGTTGAAGTCGTGATCAAGGCCACGTTATTTAATGCCTTAACACAATTCTAATTTAGCCATGAGGCAAAGATGGTCAGACGGGTACTGGCCGTCTCGGGGTTGGCC